CAGCACCGGATGGTTCCTCTCCACCATTCGGAGAACTTGCCACCGGCTGGACCCAGTCCGCCCCTTCTCCGCAGGCCAATGCAGTACCCACAAGCCTGCCAGCACCGGATGGTTCCTCTCCACCATTCGGAGAACTTGCCACCGGCTGGACCCAGTCCGCCCCTTCTCCGCAGGCCGATGCAGTACCCACAAGCCTGCCAGCACCAGATGGCGCCTTTTCGTCACCCGGAGAACTGCTCCCCGGTAAGGTAAGCGACGATGAATGAATCAAAGGTTCTCCAAGACACGATCACACTGCAAGTGGCGCTCTGACACCTTTTGAGCTCTTCCAAGGCGTCGAGATTATCCTTCCGTGCATCAGGCCCCTCTTTTGGTTCGCCAAGATTCACATGTCATCTTCCTTCCTTTCCGATTCACTTGTCTAGCGCGGGAAAGCTCGAACCCCGCCAGAACAAACTTCTCCTCGTTCGGGGCTCTCCCTTCTCCGACACCTCTCTACACACAGCCATACGCTCCAGCATCTGTCCACACACCATGGCGGGCCAGGAGAAGCGCAAAGCATCCACCGCGCTCAAGTCGTCTTCACCGCCAAACAAAAAGCGGACCGGCAAGTTGGTGAACAGCCGCAAGAAGGGCAATCCTACGTATGTTTGGCACAAAAAGAATTGCTCGCAGCATCAGCTAACGCCTCATCCCAGCATCGACAGTAGCGTACGCTCCTGTGGACTCTTCCGACTTCCTGCAGAGCTACGCAACAAGATCTACGGACTAGTGCTCTGCGCAAAGACGCTCCACGTGGACCTCTCCCACGACGGCCGCCGGCGCTCGCACGTCTGTGTCTAAGCATGCAAAGCTACTGGAGAGGATCGCAAAATCGTCTTGCGAGCGCGCGACAGCGACCACACCAAGTATGAGGGGGAGATCAGCATCTACTGGGAACGCCATCGCCATTGCACGCCTCACTACGTCAACCTACAAAAGGTTCAGAATCCATCGCACAAAGCCTCGCTTGCGCTTCTCGAAACATGCCGCCAGATCCATAGTGAAGCTGCGCTGCTCCCGTTCCTTAAGTGCAACTTCGCCTTCGAGTTCTTTGCCGACGTTCCGATCTTCATGAAGCGGTTGCTGGTCATCCAGCAAAAGGCCATCCGCAGCATCACCTTCCCCTACATGACGCATGTGCCGACTCACGCCCAACAAGTCCGGATCCTCAAGAAGTTGGCCGGCTTGCAGGAAGTCACTCTCTTCGACTACAACAATGAACGGAGGACCCTTGATTGTTCGCAAGCAGCTCTTCCCGCAATTTGTCGGATATTTGAGAAGACCACATTGACCAAGGCTACGGTGTGCGTCTGCGCTCAAGCATATGAGTTGGGGCTGGAAAGCAAGGACGAGAAGACCATCAGGATAAAAAAAAGTGGTGGCTTTCTGCGAGAAGCTGGAGGGTCTCCTTGTCAAGAAGCCGGAATCTGTTGATGACGGACCACAGGATGATGTTGGGGGTAAGGAGGCATAGTGCAAAGCAGGGAAGGGATGTTTACAACAGCGGCAGGGCTTGGAGCTACGTGGAGTTGGAGAATCATCCGTCGGTTGCTTCGCTACGCAGATGCTCGTGTTGAGTGGACGGGGCATTTCGCTTATCGGAAGGCATAGCAAAGGTTTGAGAACACAGTAAGGCATATCACATATGTTGCATTCACGTTTTCTCCCGTTCTGCTTCAACTTCCTCTCATGTCTCTGGCTCAGAACTCGTCAGGACTAAAGACTGCCCTGCTTAATCGAACGCAATGCGTCTCTTGCGTCATAAGGTATCCTTTCTATGAAGTGAATACGCTTTCTCTTGCCAAAAGTCACATGTCAGCTTCTTAAATTTGACAAGTCACTCGTTGCAGAGGGCGCCCCACTTTTCCTAAGGCATATATATATCCCACTCGCTCTCTATGAACTTATCTCTCCCTGCATCTCCGCCGGCAAGCCACCATGGCTGGCACCAAGAAGCGCAAAGAGCCAGACGGGCCCGGCACACCACAGCAGAAGAAGAAGAAATGGAGCGGACGCATGCTCAGCAGCGGGAAGAAAGGCAATACGCTGTAAGGCAATGACAAAGGATGCGCTTGAGGTGATTATTACTGACAAGGACGTCTTTCCACAGCACCGAAATCAACTCACGCTCACGCCTGCTATCACTCCCGGCCGAGATCCGCAATCGCATCTGGAGCTATGCGTTGTGCGAGGAGTCACTTCATATCCACCAGCATCCTGAGAACGGCCGTCGGAGTCCAAAGATCAGTGCATACGTATGCCACGCCGCAGAAGGAGATCTCGGGACTCTCTTAGCAATGCGCAACAAACCTGTCACGAAGGACCCCGATTCCCAGTCGTACAAGGAGAGACATGCTGTCTGCCTCCCACGCTGCGTTGATGGTCTTCACAGCACTTACGACATGTCGCAGACACGACTCTACTCTCTCTCGCCCTGCTCCAGACATGCCGTCAGGTGCACAGTGAAGCCGCACTGCTGCCATTCCTGGTAAATAGCTTCTCGCTCGACCACGCAGTCCGAATGGAAAGACTCCAGAAGATGCTGATGGTGGTCCAAAGAAAGACACTCCGCAGCGTCACCTTTGGTGGATATCCTGGTGGGGATATTGAAGGGTCGATCAATGGAGGGTCACTACCAGGACTCAAAGAGGTGGTGGTTTTTCGAGGGGTCGATGCTAGCTGGAGTCGCTGGAGTCGGATGCTAGGAGATACTTTCTGGACCGTCTGCCTGTCTCTGGTAAGTTCGACTCGACGGAGACTTCCGTACTTACCATGAGCCGTGACTGGTACCCAGAGGAGAAGGTGTACAAGTGTGAGCAGATGCCTGCCTTGAGCGCTGAGCTGGAAGCCAAGCTCTTGGGGCGGGAGGTCGTGGAGGACGAGGAGGACGATGATGACCAGAAGGAGGAGGGTGAATAGATACGGCAGGAGGCCATACCATGACTGCGGAAGCATGAGTTCGTCATGGCAGCTGTCGTGCGCATGGCGGGACCTGGAGCGAAGAGGAACAGAAAGTTGTCCTGCCCAAACACTACCTCAGCTACCACCTTACTATGCGATGAAGACAGTGTGCTCCACTGAAGTAGACCGTCATGTCGGTGATTCGTCGAAGAACTACGTATAGACTCAGCTGCAAAGGAGTGGAGTGCTGTGTCCACGATGACCACAGCGACTGCTCGCGACGTCCGCACCTCGCCAACCCACAGGAATTGTACTGTCGTCAGTGCTGTCGCTTACCCAACGAAAGTGAGGTGGCGAAATGAGCGTCTCTACAGCCTCACCATGATCACGATCCCTCGTTACAACTCGTGAAGTAGGAGAAAGGTGTATCACTCTCGTCGTGACCGTAGCTCCACCATCTCGGGGAGAGGTTGAGGGGAGGACGAAGTATGAGACCAGTACTTGAAATTCCACCACATGGTTTTGAACTGTTATTGTTTCGACATTGTTTCATACAGCGTTCTCATCGAGCCGTAGCCCCATGGTCCTCATCTCCAGCATCAGTCGTCCGCTCTCCAGTCGCAAAACAACCATTCCTCCAGATTCCCCTCAATTCGTAAACTTATCCTGATCCTGAATAACCAACCCGGCAATACTCGCACTACTCAACGTACTCAAAACCCCCGTAATCAACGCACTAATCGCCAACCGACTCACATCCCCCGCCCGGCCCGGCGCAATCTGCGACAACACGCCAATCTGCGTGCCCAGCGAGCCGATGTTGCCGAAGCCGCAGAGGGAGTAGGTGGCGATGAGCGTGGAGCGCGGGGACATGGATTGGTAGGTCGCGGTGTTGCGGAGCATGTCGTAGGCGACGAATTCGTTCTGGAATGATAACAGAGAAGGTTAATTGGGGTGGTGGGAAATAAGGAGGGTGGGGAGCTTACGGCGATGACTTTGACTCCGATCAGGCGGGCGACTTTAAGGAGATCGGGACCGCGAGGGACGCCCAGTAGGAAGGCGACGGGGTAGCAGATATAGCCCAGGATGAGCTCGATGGTGAGGTCGTCGATGTTCAGGTACCGGCCGAACCAGCCCAGGAGCCCGTTGACTAGGCCAAGGAGCGCGATGATGCAGAGGAGCGTGGCGAGGATCATGCCGGCGATTTTGAGCCCGAGCCAGGCCCCATTGGCGAAGGCGTGCAAGGTGTTGGCGGCTTTGTTGTCGCCGTCGTTGGGGACGACGACGGTGCCGGCGCTGATGGATTCGTCGGTTTCGGGGTAGCGGAGCTTGCTCATGGCGAGGGAGGCGGGGATGGACATGACGCAGCTGGAGATTAGAGCCTGGGGGTTGACACCAATACCGATGTAAGCCACGAGGACGGAGCCAGCGATTGTAGCAAAGCCAGAAGTCATGACCTGGTGCAGCTCGGCTTGCGTCAGGTGCGGGACGAACGGCTTGATCAGCATAGCGCTCTCGCCTTGGCCGATGAAAGGTGTTGCGGCAGCCACCACGGCCTCGGCGCCGGAAATGCGCATGGCCCAGAAGAAGAAGACGGCGAATTTGCCGATGAACCATTGGAGGAGCCCCCAGTGATACAGCATCTGCACGATGGCGACGAAGAAGATGATGGCCGGGAGGACGCTGAAAAAGAAATACTGCTGCGTATCGACGATTTCTTGGGTGGTCAAGAAGGCAACGCCGTCTTTCGCGAATCCAAGCAGTAGGCGGGCGAGCTCGGAGATAAAGCTGAAGATGTCATAGCCTACGCCGGTCCGCAGCACGAAGAGCGCGATGATGAACTGCATGAGGAAGCCGACGATGACGGTGTGCCAGTTGATCGCTTTCCGGTTTCTGGAGGTGGCCCACATGGCGAAGATGAGCACGCCCAGGCCGAAGAGACTGACGGCGCGGTTCTCCCTTGTGTTATCGGCCGATTCTTCGCTCACAAAGGCGCCCAGCATGATCACGGCGACTGTAAGTGTGGCTCCAGCGAGAAGGCGGAATCGCTCCGGTATGAATTTGACCACGCGAGGACCGGTGTTGTTCCACACCCAATGCATGGGCTTCGTGATGATCGAGATGGGAATGTGGCAGAAGAGGAGGCGCAGAGAAATGGCCAGCCAGAGCAGGAACGGCACCACCCAGTTCTTGTCGTCGTGGTGAAGACCGAGCGATGCTGCCCACCAGCCAGTGATGATGCACCATCCGGCCAAGTCGAACCAGATCTTATGTTTGCGGTAGAACGTCTTGAACTTGCCAGACTTCTTCGTGCTGTCGTCCGACCTTCCATCCCCTTCGTCCTCCGATGCGGTCGGCGAGAGCTTGCCCTGCTCTACGTCGATCATCGTGGCATTCTTCTCGCCTTGTCTGCCATCTTGAACTTTCAAGTCGTTCGCCTCAACTCGTGGAGGGTCGTGGGGTCCAATCGTGTCGTCGTGAGCCCGCTTCTCGTCCTCCCAGCCTTGCGTAGGCATATCGTGAGCGGCCATTGTCGCGACAGTCAGAGCACACACTGTTGAAATGCGCGTGACGAAGGACGTGCGAAAAGAGCACACACACGCGACTAAATCAAAGTTCTCCCCGTGGCGAAGATCGAGCTCCACATCCCACTTCCCTACCTTATACCGTACCCCTACCTTACCTTATCTCTGTGGCCCCCTCCAGCCATGCTCAAATGCTACGACGTTACACCCACCTCGCCTTGGCAGCATTTCACAACGGTCCAGCCGCATGCAACCACTGGCCGTGAAACGTTGCAGCATTTCCAATGGCCTGGGAGCATGCACGGAATCCTTCTAGAAAGCGGATCTCCTGCCTGTCGAGTGCTAGTGAGGCCTCGGCGCGGTTGATAACGGGCTTGGAAGGCGTTCGGCGCGACCGAGGAGGGCCTGCAGATCAGCCGGCGTGGGGCACGCGAGCAGGTTCGAAGACTGTTGGACGGAATGGGTTCGAGGATGCTGAGGTGTGTTGTACAGCGGTGGTAAGATGTTGGAGTCCTTGTGCGCGATAAGACCATCCCCACCGGCCACAGCGACGTCGGCCCAGAACATGGCTTACAATGACAAGCAAGGGCCGAAGTCACTGTGGTCCGGCCGTGAAATTGCTGGAGAAGGATAATTGGTAGCCATATATGCCTTCTGAGCAACGCACATAGGTGTAGGAAGTGTGGAAAGAAGGTGAAAAGGTGCGTGAAGTCAAGAGAAGCTTCGGAGGCTCATCAACATATAAACACGCATATACGATTATACGAGAACGAGGTGAGTCATTCAACACCGAATTCCGCAGCCACCCGGCAGGAGGCTCTTGGAGGCCTCTAGTATAGCACGGTGGACATCACGCCATCCGTTGAAAAAGCGTCAATGTGACTTGAGCTGTGGTCGGTATACGTCGTTCAACGAATCCTTGGCCCTTTTTACTGACTTGTGGTCGAGCGCAACGATATCTTCGCGGTGGCGGATTATGAATGTGGACAGTCTCTCTGACCGCGAAAGGCCTGGCTGGAAAGCGGTCGCTTACGAGGTGTTTCGCAGGCGCCTAGATGGTTTGAAGCTTCATCGACCAGCGTGCCTACGTCGAGCGCAGAAGGCGTTCAGAAGCGTGCCATCCTTCACCAAGTCTTCCAAGCCCTCGACCTCCTTCAAATCGGCTGTCTCCCACTTCTCGACCAACCGTCTCACCGCACGTACTTATCCATAAACCGCCGATGGAAATCACTCCTCAACAAATCATTCACAAACCTCTTCTCCTTGCCCCGCTCCTCCGTCCCCCGCGCCTGGTTCTTAAACACCACATCGTCATCCCACCGCCTCTTCACCCCATACTCCGCCTTATTCAACAGCGGATTGCCCAGCGCGATATCCTTCTCCCTCTGCTCTGCCTCCTTCGCCGCTTCTTTCTCCGCGGCAGCTGCGGCGGCGGCGGCGCGCTCGGCCTTGATCTTTGCGAGCTCGCGCATGAGTTCGGCGGACTCGTCTTCACTCTCTGATTCTGATTCGGAGTCCGAGTCTGCTTCGGAGCCGGAGGAGGAGGCGTCGATGTCTTTGGTCTCTTCTAGCACTCGTCGCTTTTTGGCCTCATAGTCCTCTTGCTTCTCCCCTCCACCCTCTGCTGCCTCCACATCGCCAATCTTCCTCTTCGCGCTGTCAGGTGCCTCAATCGCGCCCTTCACTTCCCGCTCGTCCTCGTCTTCATCCTCCGGTAATGCCTTGCCCTCAACCTTAGCAAAGTGTGCGCGCTCTGCCCTCAGTAGCTCGGCTTTGAGGTCGCGCTTCGCCTGCTCGTCTGCGGTTCCTTGCGTCTGTTGCCGGAATTTGAGCGTCTTGTGCGCGGGGAGCAGGCGTTGGTGGTAGGCTTCGCCGCGGGCAGCTTCTTTGCCGCGCGCTGGGTCGAAGGTTGGGCGATGGGCTGTTGTCATCCTTCCTGTGAGGGATGGCGGTCCTGGAGAGGTCTTAAAGTGGTTCTCGTGTTCCTGTCAGTGTTTTGGAGTGGTTGCTGGTGGTTGGAAGAAGTGAGGTCGCAAATATGAGCATTTTGGCGCTAGTAAACTCAAAAAGTGTGGGAAACCACACCCCACGACGAACTCATATCCCCCCCTCCACCAACCCCTCCAAACATGCGATAACACCACCATGCCCTCCGAGCCCGCCCCCTCCACAAACGAGCGAGAATTCATCCTCGCGGCGCTCCGTGAAAACACCCGCCTCGATGGCCGCGCCCTAGACGCCTACCGCCCCATCTCCCTCACCTTCGGCAACGACTACGGCACCGCCGACGTCCGACTAGGCAAGACGCGAGTCCTCGCGAAAATCTCCTGCGAAGTCGCCACACCCTACCCGGACCGCAAGTTCGACGGCATCTTCACCATTACCACCGAGCTGAGCCCGCTCGCTAGTCCTGCGTTTGAAGTCGGACGGTACACCTTACCCCCACCTTGCTACTTAGATGGAGAACCCAATTGACTGATATCCTAGCCAAGACACCCCCGAACTCCTCCTCTCCCGCCTCCTTGAGAAAACCATCCGTCGCTCCGGCGCCCTTGACACCGAATCTCTTTGCCTCGTCGCTGGGCAGAAATGCTTCCACCTCCGCGCCACGCTGCACGTCCTTGACGCCGATGGCAACTTAGTAGATGCTAGCTGTCTCGCCTTAATAGCAGCGCTTCTGCACTTTCGACGTCCGGACATCGAAGTCCACGGCGAGGATGTCACGGTCTTCGATCCTAGGGAGCGAGAGCCGGTGTGCTTGACGATACAGCATAGACCTTTCTGCGTGAGTTTTAGTTACTACCATGCTGGGGAGGTTATGGTACAGGATGCGACGCTACTGGAAGAGCAGTGTAGGGAAGGAGAGGTGGTGGTGAGTATGAATCGATTCGGGGAGGTGGCGCAGGTGGCGAAGTATGGGGGGCCGCCGGTGGATGGACTGAGTGTGCTGGGATGTATGAGTGCGGCGCTGGAGAGGGTGAAGGGGTTTGATAAGATGGTTACGGAGAAGTTGAAGGAGGATGAGAAGAGGAGGGATGCGGGAGGGTTGATGGCGGAGTTGAGCGCGGAGAATGAGCGGCCGGTTGAGGGTGGGGATAGGGTTATGCTGTGAGGACTGCTCCTTCGACTGGACTTGCGCCGATCGCAATACCGTATCGTCGAACGAGGGCACTGGCAAATGGTCTGGGCGAAGTGCGACGAATGTTTGCCGGCGTGAGAGCATGTGATCGACAGGCTATGGAGGTCTGGACTGATTGAAGGAGACCACCATGTCGATGGCCTCTATATTCATGGCGATCAGCACTAAGTACTTTCACTTCTCCTCTTCACTCATCTGGTCACATGTCCATTTCATGGCTTTATCCTAGTGAAGCACTTCCACGTGCTCCAACACCACAGGACCGCCTCTATATAAGCTGGCTTCTTTCCGACCTCATCCATCCCTTTTACATCAACACCTTCCAACTCAATTTGACATTCTCCTCACATCGGATATACCTTCACCTTCATAACACATATAACATCTACAGAAGCAATGGCTTCCATCATTACACTCTCTCTGCTGACCACGCCATCGAAGCAAACAACCTCCGAGGGTGCGGTTGCTTAACCATACCTTCACGACAACTTGCCAATTGGCTACATCAGTGGCTTCCAGTTTCACACAATAGCTTACCACATTTACCCCTTCATCAGACACCGCAATCATGACGGCACTAATTGACCGTGTCACGAACCGCTTCTGGCCCGCAGCTCAGGAAGCGCCATCATGGGACTTCTCCATGGACGTGAATCCTCCGCGAGAGCCACCTAACAAACCACCAAAGACTGTGACCACTGCTCCCGCCGATGGCGACTCCTTAGACGACGACGACAGCATAGCTGAGATCGCCAACACGAGCTTTTGGAATCGAAACTTGGATGGCTTTTCCGGCTCTCCAACGCGTAGTGGACGCAGATCAGTGAACCACCAGCATTCACGTTGTGAAGGCATGTTCGGGAAGCTGTCAGGACACTCTGGTGATCTGCTCGGGAGGAAGAGGGAGCTCCCTGCAGACCACACCTCCGCCCGAGACAACCTACGAAAGGCAAAGAGGGCAAGGCTCGATGGAGGAGTGGGAGAGGAGAAAAAGCGGGAGATCGACGGATGGGTGGGCGGCATGCTACGTGGTGTGAGATCTGACGGCGCCTCGAGGAACGGCACGTCGTTGGACCGTGCCAAGGCTTCGACGAAGTCGCTCAATGAGGCCATCTCTCCTCCACATCTGAGCACGACGTTCGTAAGGGGTCATGCACAGCCGAACATGCCAGCAAGGACACCCAGCGGTGGAGATCTCGATCGCAGCGATGGACTGGGCAGGCCATCCAACACGGCAAAGACCCATCAGCCTTCATTGCAGACTCGAGAAACATCGGCGCAGAAATCAACATCCAGAAGCAGCCTCTTCAATGCCTCTCCAGTGACACCGACACCGGCTAGGAAGCCGGAGCAGAGATCTATGGCGCTCCCACCACCTCGTCGCCCGAGCCTCCTGCCGCCGGCGGAGATTACCCCTGGAGCGGCAAGAGCGGCTCCTACACCTCTCTCGGCTTTCAAGCAAGGTGCTATTACCAAGCCTACCTCCTTACATTCATCATCTCGACCATTACCGGCCATGAAACAGCCAACAATCATTCCGCCCACGACGAACCACAACACGACGTCAAAGCTGGCCCCACCATCCCAATCTTCCCGTCCACCCCCAACATGGACCCTCCTGCCCCCGACCGAGCCCACTCCCTCCCACGCAGACGGCACAATCACACGACCCTGCTTCATCGACGACGACTCCGACTCCGACTCCGACAACGAGGAAAAGCCGTCCTCTCCCCTCTTCATGCCCACGCAACCAGAGATTAAAGTCGAGAGAGAAGCTACCGCCGCCCCTCGACCTCGGAATCTCGGTCTGCCAGCTGACGCTGATGCTGATGAGAAGGCGGCGTTGCAGGCGAAGAGTGAGAGGTTGAGGCTGGAGGCGAGGAGGAGGAGGGATGGGGAGAGGGAGGGTGGTCCCGGCCATAAGATTGATGTGAATACCAAGGCCGTTGTTGCGAAGAAATACGGTGAAGCGCCGTCGAAGTCAAAGACGGAGGCGTCGGGGTTGAATCATCGGCCAGTCGACAATACGCAGATCAGCTCCAAGCTGCCGATTTCGACGAGCAATGACACAGCGCAGCCAAAACCAAAGGCGGACGTTGACCATCTTGCTACTGCCACCCTCGATAAGCTAGCCCAGAGAGTCATGCAGCAGAACAGGCGACCCGCTGCTGGCCATGGCAGACCTGGGGTCATGCCACAGCCTGGTGCCGCACCACGTCCTTCAGTCACGCAAGGGCATGCTCCAGTTGCAAAGCCTGCTCCAGTGCAATTAAAGCCACAACAGGTCCAGCAACACGCGGCTCAGCAGTCGCAGCTGAGCAACCTGCTTGGCGATATTACAGGCACGAGTATACAGGCACAGCGAAAGCAACCGCCGGTCCAAAAGCCGCGGCTGGGCGGCCAGCTCGGCGAAATTAGAACAACGCCCACTGAAGCACAGTCCAGGCAAGCATCAGCGCAGCCCTCGCAGCTATCCACTCTGCTCGGTGACATCGAAGGATCGAGCATCAGCGATGCGCCAGCTCTCACCAATGCAGGTGCGATCGCGAAACAGCACGTTGGCAAGATCTCACAGCAGCATCCGCCAGCTCCAAAGCCACATCCTACGCAGACGAAGCCGGTCGAGGAGAAGCGACTTCGGGATGCTCAGCATGGCCCACTAAATCACCAGCCTAAGGTCCAGATCGCAGTACCTGCCGAGTGGGATCCAACTTCGACCTTGCAGGAACAACCTGATCAACAGAAAGCAGATCTGAATGCCCAGATCAACGCTATCAAGGAGCGCACACGCACACGTGAGACCAATCAGCAGCGGGAGGCTGAAGCGAAGGAAGCAGCCAACGAGTTAGTACGAGCCGCAGCAGACAAGGAAGCAGAAGACGCTGCCTTCCAAGAAGCAGAAAATGCTCTCAATGCCGCTGAAGTTGCTCGCGAGAGCGAACGTATCAGGGGTGAGCAATTGGCCAAGAAGCGTAAAGAACAGGATGCTGCGAACGAAGCCCAAGCTCGCAGGCGATACGAGGCGAAGGCGAGGGAGGAAGAAAGGCTCTGGGAGGCCCAACGGAAGGCGAAGAAAGTCGCCGAAGAGAGGATGCGGAAAGCGAAGGAGGCGGCCACAAAGAAAGCTGCTGAGGACGAGAGACAAAACAGTGCTCTGTCGAAGTTGATGAGTGCTGCGCCGCAGAGGCCTGCGAGTGCCGTGTCGCAGCAGAACATTGGGAGACCGATGACAAAAGGACCCGATTCTGCGAAGATAGAAGATGCGCCTCAACAGAAACCAGCACCCAAGCCTGCCGAGCCGTCTCCAACTTCAGGCAAGTCCGAAGTAGAGCTCGCGCGACAGGCGCGGATCCAACAGAAAGAAGAGCTGAAGGAAAAGCGACGTAAGCAAGAGGAGGAGGCTGCGAACGAAGAGCTGGTTGCTGAACCTTCACCACCGCCTGCTCCATCTCTCTTCGTGCCGACTCGGAAGAAGGCTCAGGTGGCTGCTCGGGAGGAGTCTGTTGATGCGAAGCCGGTTTCTGGAGCTTCGTCGTTCGCGGGAAGACCGGTGTCGTTGAATAGCGCTGCTGGTGCTGCCCGTCTCGCCAATGCCAAGAAGAGTCACGGAAGACAGCTTGGCCAGATTTCGCCAAAAGATGTCAGCCTCGTCAGGCTGCGACACGAGAAGGTCGAGTGGCCTGCCGTTATGAGCTTCATCAACCAGAAGTATAACGACGGTCGGTGTGTGGACACACTGCGCAAGAGGGCCAGGCAGGTCAAAGAAGCAATTGATGCCGCTGGGACTGGGATCACAAAAGCTCTGCTAGGCCGGGTCGAGGCTGGAGACTTCTACGCGCAGAAGGAGCTGAACAAGTTAGTTCATGGTAATGACCACGATCCCGCAGCTGCCGGCCAAAGACCTCGCGACGCGAATGGACATTTCCTGCCCCGGTCAAAGGCGCCCACACTGTCTCCTCAGAAGGCTGCTTCTCCAATCGCCAGCCCTTCTCCGCAGAAGGCTCGACAGCATAGCACCGACGTTCAGACGCCAGAAGAGTCTGCAGAAGACCAAGACACCATGCCGACTCATCCGATCCAGGGTGGTAAGGAACTCACCGCGAAGATCCTGATGCAATGGTATGACGAAAGCGAAGACCACCATAAAGAAGAACTGGCGTGGGCGCGAGGAGAACGTGAGCCATCGCCGTTCACTCCTCAGGACTATAACTACTACGTCTACGGCGTCTGGCGACGGGAGATTTCTGCAGAAGAGCTGGAAGAAGGTGACGAGCTCGAGGACAAGGAATGGATGGTCTGTGATGATGACTACGAAGACAAAGACTGGGCGAACCTTGCTGCCGGCCAGCAATCTACTCGGTTCACGGACCCCAGATCTGCGATGTGCGACATGACTCAGGGGAACAGCGTCACGAATGAGTACGATAAGCACGGCATGCGTTGTTCGACGATGATCATCAACGGTGGAGGAATGGTCCAGGCTCGTGTCATGCGGCAGGCGAAGAATTACAGCGATGGTATTCCTCCGACGTCCAAGGAAGGCTGGCTCTCGCCAATCGTCTGGATCGTAATGCAGCAGATCATCAAGCGCTCGGGTGCAGACGACATGTTCGAAGTGTCCAAGGAAACCAACACGACTAGCGTCGCGTACGGCGAGATCTTCTCGGTGTTGGAGAGGGCCAATGTGCAGGCTGCAAAGAGGTTCGTCAATCTCACTTTCACACCGCAGGACAAGAACCTCAACAGGCGGGATGAGGAAATCGCGGATGAGGTGGACAGGCTGGTGATGGCGCTGGATGCGGACGAAGACGAGACTCTAGATGAGACGTTCGAGTCGAAGGACGGTACTACGACGGTGAGGGTTTGGGTTGAGCAGAACCAGTTGAAGGGGCCGAGGAACTGTTAAGGGGAGGGGGGCTCTTGAGTAGAGGCTTGCGCTTATTGACGCAGTCAGTTGGTGAGCTTTGCTCGCATCTATCGATGCAGCGGGTGACAGCTTGGAGGTGTTGATGCTGTCGGAGAGCCTTGCTCGCATCTGTCGATGCAGCGGGCGGGCGGGTGGAGCTTGCATTTCTTGATGCAGCTGGCGGTCAGTATAGAAGACGGGATATCATCACATTGCTATACAAGACCATTAATCATAACACCATCACTATTTCACCTCACTCTTTCAAAGCCATGCCCAGTGAAAGCGACTGGCTGCCGGCATTTTCACGACCCCTCAAATGCCCCCTCGGCCTCCCTCTTCGCCGTCCCCGTCTCCACCATCCCCTTCATCCCCATCTTCCCCCCCACCTTCTCCATCAACTTCCCCGTCCTCGAATCGCTACTCCCACCATGCTCGGGGGGCGCTTTATTCCCGACCCTGTTGCCTTGTCAGCCCTTCCCCCCAATATCACCCCCCTTCGCCCATTTCTTTCATATGCACGGTGCAATACTCACCCCGGCCCAGCAGTAGTCCCACTCCCCAAGTCCGTGCCCCCGCTATACGTCCGCGTATCATGCGCGATCTCCATGCGCGTCCCCGACGTATCGACGTCCTCGGGGTCAGGGGCGGTTTTGTTGCCGTGCCCGGGACCCGAAGTCATGGCGGAGCCGTGCGAGCCGCCGCCGGAGTAGGGGTCGGAGCCGGAGGCGGTGGTGGTGATGCCTTCGCCTGTTGCTGCCATTGCTGCTGTTCTTCTAGATGGGGATGGAGTTGTTGAGGCGGAGATTGAGGACTCGAAGCGTTTGGAAGTGAGAGAAAGGGTGAGGATGCAATGAGAAATGCCTCTGTACCTACGTTATCGTCTCCGAGCTGTCGTCACGCTCATGATGATAGAGAGCTAGGCGTGGTGGAAAAGTAGACGAGAGATCCTCGCCTGGTTCTCTCCGATCCCAACGCCTGCTCGTCCAATGCGGGCAAATGCCGTGGGAAGCTTCACCTATCTCGACCTGCCCAAGTTGCTTGTCCGTCCCTGAAAGAACGATAAGTCGACCAGAGATTACTTGGGAGCGTCTCTCCACCGTCACGCAACTGATAAGAACAGTCGCAGCTGCCAATCAGAGATGCCGACCGCAGATAAAAATGCACCCCAGGTTGTGGCGGAAAGCGATCAGCTCGATCGTGCCAGAGGACGGTTTTTTCCTTGGCCGCGTACGGCAGTTCATGTGGCAGATCGCAGTTGCTCACATCAGAGTAGCAAAGAGAGGTGGATGTGGATAGTTGACAGTCAAGCATGTTCTGAATGGGCCGGCAGCAGATTGGTGGTTATAAGAGTTGCACGACCCCATCCCCAGAGCGTATATGGATCTGACGTTTGTTTGGATCATGTCGACTGCGTGGCATATGATTACAGTGTCAGTATTCACACGAAAGAGATGATGTCTCTCTGCGGAAAAAGGGGGTGTCCAAGGTCTGGGAATCCGGAAGCGTTTCACAGAAGTTCAACACGCTGCCGCGCGATCGAGCGAATTCAAGTCAGAGAATTTTGTTGCTTGCCAGACAACCATGTACATGTAGCATAACATAGCATAGCGTCGCGTCGCATAGCACATCCCAACCCGAAATCGCTAATAACAAACACAAAACACAAAACCCCTCCCTCCTCCCAAACCGCCCATCGCCCAGCTCAGATACTGTGCTTTCTAAGCCAAGCTCTTCTCGGTCTTCATGTCCTCGGGGTCCCACCGGCGGCCGTCGTACTCCTTGTTGTCCATCCACGGCACAAAGCGGTAGAGGCCCATGTACGGCGAGTTGATGGGCGACTCGCCGGTGAAGAGCAGGAGGTCGTAGAGGAAGCCGCCGAAGAGGCAGCCGAGGAAGGGGGAGACCATGGGCACCTATTTCCAAACGTTAGACATGGGGAGAAGTGGGGGGGTTTGACATGGGGAGGAAAAGACGTACCCAGAAGTAGTAGTTCCCGGCTCTCCAGACCTCGGGGCCGTAGCCGATCATGTACGAGACGAGTCGGGGGCCGAAGTCACGGGCGAGGTTGATGGCGTAGCCGGTTTCCCAGCCCCAGCACGCACCAATACCGAAGATGATGAAGAAGAGTCCGAGCGGCGTCAGGGGTCCGGCGCCCAAGTTGGCGTCGTCTTTCAGCGTGTAGATGAGGAACATGAGCAGGGAGGAAGCGATGAACTCGCTGAAGAACTGGCCCGTGGTCGTCATGTACGACTGCGGGTACGTGCAGAAGATGCCGGCGGTGGCGGTGTCGGAGTAGCCGGGGACGGTGAGGATGTCGGGGCCGCCCTCGAAGGCGATGATGGCGGAGCGGTAGTTGCCGTAGACGACGGCCGAGGCGCACATGGCGCCCAGCACTTGGGCGATGGCGTAGGGGAGGAACATCTTCCAGGGGAACTTGCGGAAGACGCAGTTGGCGAAGGTGACGGCGGGGTTGATGTGGGCGCCGGAGATACCGCTGGCGTAGACGCCGAGCATGACACCGAGACCCTGGGGTGTTGTTAGTGATAGAAATGGATAGAGATTGCGACAGTACTCACCCAGCCCCAGGAGACGGATTGGTAGTCGCCACCAGCGTTCTCACTCAACAGGGTCTGAGCAACCACACCGTCACCAAACATGATCAGAATGAAGGTCCCCATGAACTCCGAGAAAGGGGCTCGCAGGGTGTGTCGGATACGAGGCCATAGCAGACCAGAGTTGTAGGCTCGCTTCGTGAGGTTCTCCGCAGTCACGCTGCGGTCGATGAGAGGGCCATGTTCCCGGTATGGCGTTTTCGGGCTGGCTGGGCCATCGCTGCTGGTCGGCGTGTGTGGGTGCTCGACATGGCCGACGTTGGTGCTATTCTCCTTGACATAGTCGTTGGTGAGAATCTGGTCGTCTCGGGAAGCCATGCTGATGAGTGAGTGGGACGAGTTTGGGATGGTAGGAGGTAGCACAGGACACTGGCCCGCCGGTAACGAGCAATATAAGATGATGAGGACCAAGGACCAAGAGTACGGTGAGGGCAGGACCTTAAGAAGTCTCCGCAATTGGAAGGATCCGGACTGGTTAGTGTTGAAGTCTCAAGGTGTCAGAATCACCGTGCGTATCCGAGAGGCGGACCCGCTGCGCAACGTGAGAGTGGAGCTCTAGGTCTTCCCAGGCCGTGCAAAATGCTACCGCGGAGCACCTCAACGCCTGCAGTCCTGTACGTCTTGAATCAGTCGTCTGTACTCTCGATATTGACCTCTGAGTAATGAAGAGGCAGGCAGGAAGATTGCGGTGTCGTTGACGATACGGATCTACGTCAAGCGAGCTGCCGGTGCAATGCTGACGCTGACGTCCTGTCGCAACAGCGGGGAAATGCTGGAGACAGGACATGGGATGTGATCAGTGACACGGTACGGGCAACAGTAGCCGCATGCAGTCGTCGCATATTTTGGCAGCTTTCGTAGGCATCGCCGTGGTACGACCGAGCGACCCTGCCTCCGCTACCCCAGCTTGCTTCCGCATGTGGACGGCGTGCAGCGTTGCATTGTCAGCTCTGCATTCCAGCCTCTCCGTTGTCTCTGGGCGATGCATTCCTGCCAAGTTGGCGCTCGTTCTCGACCTTCCTTGGGGTCTCCAGAGGCCATGAGACCATGGAAGTCCCCGAACTCCACGTGGTGAGGATTCGTATCCCGGCGTGGAGCGGAAAATGATAGCACGCGGACCAACATTGTTCGGATGGTGCCGGCGTAACTCTGGCTGATTAAACGATCGAAGTTAGAAGCGCGTTGGCGGTTATCGATCAAAGCATAATCGCGCAATCCAACCACACACAGACGTCGCCAGACTCCATACGCAATCACCTAGCCGCTTGGCTGATGATAGGTCCCCATGGTAGTGATGACCCGCCTCCACCTATAAGCGCGTCTTCGCGTTGCTGGTGGCGGAGTGATGGGGGCGATTAGGTTTGTCGGGGTGAAGTCTCATCCACGGTGGGCTTGCGAGGCTTGGTGATGGGCGCGCCGACTGTTCTACCGCCCTTCTGGCCAGCTTGGGGGTAACCGTACCTGCGCAAGCGGCCAGACCCGAGAGTGCTCCTGCATGCAGCTTCGTACGACGGTCAGAAAAGAGAGAGGCGAGGTCACTGCCGAGAGGCGCTAGGGGCTGGATAGCGCAAGTGATCGCCGGGACGTGGAGGAAAAGCGGGGAGGACAGGTGGCCCAGGCGCTCGAACGGCTGGTCCTCGAGCTGCTCGCGCCGAGGAACATGTTCGTGAGCCATCAGACGCCGAACGACACGCGCACGTGCCGGCCGTCGGTGAGATGAACCGCCGAACAGTGCGTCGAAGGAGCGCGGAATCCCTCCTCGAACGGCGTGGGCGGCCTTGGTCTTGGTGGGGGGACGAGGGGTCCAGAGCAAGTTGGCAGCAGCCTGGACGACCGCGTTGAATCATGCGGCGGGGAGTAGTTGTGGGACGGCGAAATTGAAGCATGATCACATGCTTGCCAGCCCGGCGGGGCTCTCCAAGCTGTGCTGTGGCACATGCGCGGAGAAGCCTACGGGCTTTGAGCGGGCGAGGTATTTGTGCTGCTGCTCCGAAGCAAGGCATTCGTCGAGCATCACCACTCTTCAGCACACGAGCATCATTAACCCCCTCCTCAATCGCCAACATGTCCGGCATCGCTGACAAGATCTCCAACCTGGTCGGCGGCCAGCAGAAGCCGACCGTCGATCCCTCGACTGAGACGTTCGTGGGGTCCATTGACCAGGGCACCACGAGCACTCGCTTCCTGATCTTCGACACCAAGGGGGAGCCGGTGGCCATCCACCAGGAGGAATTCAAGCAGATATACCCAAACCCGGGGTAAGTACAGTTCAGTGCACCACTGCAAGAAAGACGCTCACGGTATAATAGATGGCATGAGCACGACCCGGAAGAGATCGTCCAGTCCGTGGAGAACTGCATCGAGGGCGCGCTCAAGCAGTTCGAGAAGGACGGCCACTCAAGAGAAAGCATCAAGACGATCGGCATCACCAACCAGCGTGAGACGACCGTCTGCTGGGACAACAAGACCGGCGAGTCGCTCTACAACGGCATCGTATGGACCGACACCCGCACCGCCGCGCTGGCGCGTGAGCTCAAGGCCCGTCCCAACAGCGACAAGACGGAGGTCTGCGGTCTGCCCATCTCCACCTACCCGTCCGTCACCAAGCTGCTGTGGATGCTGCGGAACGTCGAAAAGGTGAAGAAGGCGTACGATGCGGGCACGCTTGCTTTCGGCACCATCGACGCGTGGCTGATCTACAAGCTCAACGGCGGCCCGGCGAAGAACATCTTCATCACCGAGTGCACCAACGCTTCTAGGACCATGTTCATGGATATTCGATCGATGGAGTATAGCGATGAGATGTTGGACTTTTTCTCCTACGAATTCGATATGCGCAAGGTCCACCTGCCCAAGATTGTGCGGTCCGCGGACACCGAGCACTTTGGCAAGCTCGAGACGGGCTCGTTGAAGGGCTGGCCCATTACCGGATGTCTGGGTGACCAGTCGGCGGCGTTGGTCGGACAGAAGGGCTTTGACCCCGGTGCCGCGAAGAACACCTACGGCACTGGATGTTTCTTGCTTTACAATGTTGGCGACAAGCCCGTCATCTCAAAGCATGGGCTTTTAGCGACTATTGCGTACAACTTTGACGGCAAGCCGATTTATGCTCTGGAGGGTAGCATTGCCGTGGCGGGCAGTGGTGTGAAGTTCTTGATGCGTAAGTTCATCCCCCAGACAATACTGTGTGACAATTCTCTGATGTGTTTCACAGACAACCTAGGCTTCGAGCAACAATCGCACAAAATCACCGAGCTCGCGGAAACCGTCAAGGACAACGGCGGCCTCGTCTTCGTCACCGCCTTCAGCGGCCTCTTCGCCCCCTACTGGATCGACGACGCCCACGGCACCATGTGTACGTCCTCCTATGACCCCCTCCCCTCAACCCCGTCACACACTAATAAAGAAATCCAGTCGGCATAACCCACCACACGGAACGCGGCCACATCGCCCGCGCCACGCTCGAAGCCGTCTGCTTCCAAACCAAAGCCATCCTCGACGCCATGGAAAAGGACTCCGGGCACAAACTCGCCGAGCTCAAAGTCGACGGCGGCATGTCCAACTCGGCCCTGTGCATGCAAACCCAAGCCGACCTCGTCGGCATTCCTATAATCCGTCCTAAGATGCGCGAGACTACTGCTCTAGGAGCGGCGATCGCCGCCGGCTTCGCGAGCGGGGTGTGGAAGGATTTCGGCGAGTTAAAGGAGGTGAATACCGCCGGGCAGACGAGCTTTGAGCCGAAGATGGAGGAGAAGGAGAGCAAGCGGATGTTTAAGCGGTGGGAGAAGGCGGTTAGTATGAGTAAGGGGTGGATTGCTGAGGATCAGGCGGAGCAGGGGCGGGAGGAGGATTCGAAGGCTACGTTGGAGAGCGCGAAGAAGGACGAGGAGGCGGCGGCGAAGATCTAAGGGGTGGTTTGTGAAGTGACGGTTTAGTCGAGGCTTGGATACCTCGGATTTACAGCTACTAGGGAGGGGAAGAACTTTCAGTAGGCACTGGTATAGCACCATGACTGTCATGATCGTGTTGGGGTCTATACTCTTTCCTACCTTCGCTCCTCCCCCAACGGGAGCTTGTTTGGGTACGAAACCATCTGGACCGCCATGCTGCAGTGCTCTCTGCGCGACATCGCTCCAATCGTGATTCGAGCGACCACGCAGTCCTTCCACTCCTTTCTGCAAATCGTCGTTCATACCGCCTCTTGTGAGTAGGCATTGGAGGGTGAGATGAGATGGATGTAACGAAATGTATGCAGCAGTTTGACCTTGGCGCCCTTACCTACTTGCTCTCGTATCCTCCTTCTCTCGAGCACTCAATGCCATGTATAGCATAGTGGAAGATGATGTTGGTCGAACTGTTCTAGGAAGACGGGAAAAAGCAAAAGATTGCTAGACAAAGTTGGACGAGGATCACCCGTTGCGGCGTCGAGCGAGCGGGGCAGGCGAGGATGTCACCTCAAGCAAGACGGCCAGGAGATCCGTCCAAGCCGTCCACTGCTTTGTTCTCTGGACCTGAACACTCCTCCAGTTGCATATCCAACCTACTACCTCCCTACTGACCCCAGCAGTGTCGTCGTATACCTCTTGAAGCCTACCGAATTGTTTCCGCCTTTGCACCGCCTAGTTTGGCCGACGTTCACGAAGCTGGCGACGTCAGGCGTGCATTCCGAAGCAGTATCCACGCCAACGACGACGGCTCGAACGGGGTCGTATGACGGTTTAGGAGCTCGAATTAGGCCGTAGGAGACAGCAGCGACAAGGAGTGAGGTGTCGAAGCTGCATACGAGTGAGACAAGACACGCCGGCTTCCGAGCTGGATATACCATTCAACACAGCACCCATTCGCGCCGCTGAACGCTGAGGCCCGCGAACCGATTGAACGCAACCGTGACCTCTGTTTCCGACTATTGGAGGTCCAGCAAGCAAAAGAGGGGAAGCATTGGCAGCTCAACTCTGGTTTGGGTCAGCAGAAACGCAAACACGACCACACTCCGGCGGCGCAACCCCTCCCGCGTTCCTCGTTCCTTGCGTCGCATCCACCGCTCCGTCCGCGCTCCCGTCCAATCTGGGCCCGCACCCACACGGCTCCGAACCGTCCAGCAGCCCCTCCCGGCCATACCAGCGCCCCGCGTAGTCCCGGCAGGTGCCTCTGCCCCTGCCCCTCCCCTCCCTCCCCCAGCAAGCCGCTGCCATTGTGAAGCGCTCCAGCCCAATGCCGTCCCTCGGCTTCCTCAAGAAGAAACGCACAAAGGACTCGCAAGGCAGCGCCTCCGACTTCGCCCCCAAGAGCCCCGTCTCGCCCCCGGGCTTCGACAAAGCGGGCGCCGTCGGCGACTCCCCCATCGACCGCGTGCTGAGCAAGAACAGCGCCTTTAGCAGCGAGCCCGACTCCTTTGCCGGCGACACGGGCGGTAGTGTGCCCCCGACCTCCAACGCCCCGCCCACCAGCAACCCCGAAGGCATGCAGACCCAGAGCAGCAACAGCCCGAGCATCGCGAACCTCATCAACCAGCCCAACAACAACGACAGCGGCTACAACTCCAACGCGAGCAACGATGGCGCCGGCGTCCCGCAGCTCGGCAACCCGAACGCAAAGCACAACTCCAACCCGACCCGCGAGACCAAGGGCAAGTACACGCTCACCGACTTCGCCATGCAGCGGACGCTTGGTACGGGGTCGTTTGGAAGAGTGCATTTGGTGCAGTCGAAGCACAACTCGCGCTTCTACGCGGTTAAGGTGTTGAAGAAGGCGCAGGTGGTCAAGATGAAGCAGGTCGAGCACACGAATGACGAGCGGCGGATGTTGCAGCGGTGTCGGCATCCTTTCCTCATTACGTTGTGGGGCACGTGGCAGGATAGCAAGAACTTGTACATGGTAATGGATTTCATTGAGGGTGGCGAGCTGTTTAGCTTGTTGAGGAAGTCGCAGGTAAGAAATATCCCCTTTGATAGTGACATATTCCAACGGCTAATATTAATACTTATTGTAGCGCTTCCCGAACCCCGTCGCCAAATTCTACGCCGCCGAAGTCACGCTCGCGCTCGACTACCTGCACAGCATGAACATCATCTACCGCGATTTGAAGCCTGAGAACTTACTGCTCGACCGCCACGGCCATCTCAAGATCACAGACTTCGGCTTCGCAAAGGAGGTGCCGGACATTACATGGACGTTGTGCGGGACGCCAGATTACCTCGCGCCGGAGGTGGTGAGTAGCAAAGGCTACAACAAGAGCGTGGATTGGTATGTTTCCAAGCCGAACGGCACTCGAACAAGCTAATAGAATTACTCAGGTGGTCCCTCGGCATCCTCATCTTCGAAATGCTCGCCGGCTTCACCCCCTTCTGGGACAGCGGCTCTCCGCTCAAAATCTACGAAAACATCCTCAAAGGCCGCGTCAAATACCCGCCCTACATCCACCCGGACGCGCAGGACCTGCTGTCCAAACTCATCACCGCGGACTTGACAAAACGCCTCGGCAATCTGCATGGGGGCAGTAAGGATGTGATGACGCACCCGTGGTTCGCGGAGGTGACGTGGGAAAGGCTGGCGAAGAAGGACATCGATGCGCCGTATGTCCCGCCTGTGAGGGGAGGAGCCGGGGACGCGAGTTTGTTTGACAAGTATCCCGAGGAGACGGAGGCTTATGGGGTTACGGGGGAGGATACGTACGTTCAATCTCAACCTCAAGACTGGCTTTGGTGTGTACTTGGCTGATTCGCTGATGATTGTTACAGGCATGGCAAGTTGTTCCCGGACTTCTAAAGCAGACCACCTCTGCACGATTTACGAGCTCCGGAAACGGCCCCTCGCGAGGGATGATGGAGGAGGAAGACGGACGGGTGATGAGGAGCATGGCGCCCGGAGGAGAAAAGGCTCGACTTTTGGTTACGAAATGGACGCAGCTTGCATGGGAGGCGGGTATTGTTTACTTTACCCTGCGGCTTTTTTCTTAGGATGTACGGCAGGGCCTGTGATTCAACGATATTGATATGCCCCATCGCTTCACGTCTCCTGAATGCATCCATCTCCGCCACGATTGGAAGGCAAGTACTCGTGACGACTGAGCCTCTTGCTGATGGAACAGCAGGACGTCTCTGAGTTCGCTGTGATTCGATTCCTGCATTTCAGCCTCTATGCTCCTTTCAACACCCGCTCAACCATCACCTCACTCAGCCCAAGATAATTCCCCGGATCACAAAGCCTTCCCAACTCCTCATCGCTCAACCCAGCCTCCTTGATCTCCTCATCAGCACACAACAACTCAAGCAACGATTTATCCTCCAGTTGCGCCCGCCTACACAGCCCATACACCACATCATGCGCCCTCTGCCGCCCCATCGTCTTGCCCAACCCCATCATCACCGCCTCGCTCACCACTGCTCCCTTCGACAATGCTAAATTCCGTTGCATAGCCTCCTCATCCACCTCTACCCCTTCGAGAAGACATCGCGTCTGCTCCAGACACCCCACCGCCAGCGCACAAATCTGCGGCAAATTAATCCACTCCACCTCCCACGCCCCAGTACTCCGCTCATGATCCGCGACCACCGCCTCCACCATCCCCCCCGCCAGCTGCCGGACCGAACTCGCCATCGCGCACACGTACGCCGAACCGATCGGGTTGCGCTTCTGCGGCATCGTGGAACTACTTCCTCTGTGCGGGACGTACGGCTCCCTCGCTTCATTAACCTCGGACTGGGAGAGGAGTTTGAGATCGGTGGCGAATTTCGCGCAGGTTGCGGTTAGGAGTGCAAGAAAGGAGGAGAACTCGGCGAGGGTGTCGCGTTCGGTGTGCCAGGCTATCTCCGGGATGCCTAGCTTTAGGTGGGAGGCGAGGAGGCGTTGGCAGCGGAGACCGAGGGGTTCGGGGTCGGAGTCGGGGTCGGGAGAGGGGAGTGGAACGTTGTAGGATGAGGAGGGGGAGATGGTGGCGAGGGTCCCGGCTGCGCCGCTGAATTGCAGCACGAGGAGACGCGGTTTCAGCTCGCGAAGGCGTTGGGCGTGCCGGCGGAAGGTCGCGAGGAGTCGGGCCATTTTGAAGCCGAAGGAGACGGGGACGGCTTGCTGGAGGTTGGAGCGCGCGGGCATGGGGGTGGTTTTGTACTTTTCGCATAGGGTTGTTAGCGCGGCCGTGATGCTTTCGAGGGAGGCTTCGACGAGTGCGATGGTGTCGCGGAGCTGCAGGACCGTAGCGGTGTCCGTGACGTCTTGGGTTGTGGCGCCCCAGTGCGTCCATTCTCCCAACCCGGGCTCTACTTCATTAACCTTAGCAACGAGCTGCTGGACTACCGGTAAGACCGGGTAGCCGATCAACTCTGTTTGCTGGCGGAGGAGGTCGAAGTCTAGGAACTCTGGTTTGCAGTGTTTGATGATTTCGTCTGCGGCGTTTTGGGGGATGATGCCGAGTTGGGCCTGTGATTTTGCGAGGGCGGCTTCGAAGTGCAGGTAGTATGTTGTCCGTTGGGCGTCGGACCAGATTGCTCGAACGGCCGGGGTGGAGAAGGTGTTGGTGAAGATGGGGGAGTCGATTACTGTGGTCATTATGCTGTGGGGGTTGGTTGATGAGAGGGCCAATGTTGGATTGTGTTGTCTCCGTGATTTGATAGGACGATCGCGGCTCCAGAGGATAGTTGCACCCGTGTTAGTTGATGGAGTCGTTCGAGATTGATGTTTGAGCATCAGTCGGGTTGATCGACAAGCGACTTCGGCAGGGCAACAACTCCTCTCCAACCTCGACTATCTCTGTCGGCTCATCAACGGGACTGTGAATTTCATCGACCTGTTACACCTCGAGTTCGTGTTGAAACAGGAGGGCTGATCGATGTTGTTCAGTTAAAGTTCACATGAACAAAGCTCAATGATGATCCATTGACAACCGAAGGGTGGCAAGCTGTCGACAGTGAAAGCGGCCTAACAGATCAGAGCGAGCCCTGTAAGGGAGCTTCTCACAGACGATAATAGCCCATTAACAAGAGTGACGTGAGCTCTTCGGGTGCATTTGGATCTGAGAGAAGACTGCCAGGTAGCTCGGTGGGCCGCGTTCACTGTCTGTCGCCTGGGTGGAAAGACGATATCAGCCATCACGACATTCCACCAGCTCCATGCCCACTCGGGTCTTAATAGTAGGCGCAGGCGCCATCGGAGCCTTCTTCGGATCCCGCCTGGCCACCCTCCCGCAGGTCTTCGTCTCCGCACTCTGCAGAAGCAACTACAATGCCGTCAAAGCCAATGGTCTCAAAGTTGCCAGCCCCAATTTTGGAGAATACGTCTTCAAGCCAGAGTTCACGTTCGATAGCCCGGATCAAGCACGCCGGGTGACGCGGGAGAAGAAACTGACCTGGGATTATATGTTGGTTGCAACGAAAGTGTTACCTGAAGTCAACGATGATAGCAAGCTGCTTGAAGGGCTGGTCAGCGACGAGACCGGCATCGTGCTAGTCCAAAATGGGTTGGGGATAGAGAAGCCATATCGAAAACGCTTCTCATCGACGACCATCCTCAGCGCCGTCACGATCGCTTCTGCTGTCCAGCCCGAGCCGGGCGTGATCACCCACAATCGATGGACTCGTCTCTCAGTCGGTCCGTACATACCAGACAACGACGCCGGCGGCAATGATACAGCTACAACCCGCACCAACACGTTCGTCAAACTCCTGCAAGATGGAGGCATTGCCGATGCCATCGCCTACCCGCCGACATCACTCCAATTCCTTCGCTGGCACAAGCTGGCTATTAATGCTGCCATAAACGCCTCATCCGTCCTCAGCGGTGGATGTGGCAACGCTGCTCTTGCCAACGACCCAGAACTCGCAAAGCATCTCCGAGGCGTGATGGAGGAAGTCTTGTCAACGGGAGCGAAAGTTCTGGGCCATGACACCTTTCCGTTCGATAACCTCGGTTTCGCGACTCCGGAGCAAGTACTTGCCAGCGTGCGGCGGAACACCAGTGGAAGCCGGCCGAGCATGTGGTGGGATTGGGTTGAAGGTCGGAAGATGGAGGTAGAGGCGATTCTGGGTGAGCCGGTGAGGGTGGCGAGGAAGCACGACGTGGAGATGCCGAGGGTGCAGAGTTTGTACGCGTTGTTGAGGATGGCGCAGGTGAAGAGGGATGGAGGAATGGAAGGAAAAGGAAAGCTGTGACATGAGCTTATATGGCCTTGTAGCCATACTCACTTAGCTATATGGCAGATTTTTACGGGTCGACTTGATAGTGTGTTGTTCGCTGGACTGCAGTGATCCAATTTACAAAGTCCTGAACGTGCTTTCGTCCATATCGTAGAGAATAGACGTCTCGCCCAAGGACTTGGCAACTTCGCTACTAAACGAGTTGGCTTCGCAGTCGGTCAAAAGAGATGCATCGAAGGCCTGCAAGAGCATCAGTAGTTGACTGGACAATGCAATGATCTATGCTCCTCACCTTTGCCACCTCCAACGGCGAGAACGAGATAGCACGCCTAAAGTGCCAGAATCCCCAGAGCAACGGCAGCACGACTGCAATACAAAGTATCTCAACGACCGCCGCGCCAACGAAGAAGTAGTGATTTGAACGAAAGACGTTGTGTGTGCCAGTGACCGTGCCATTGACCACCTAATAGATTTCCATGCCTGGATCCATATCGCCCAGCAGCTTCGATGCATCGTAACTTTGAGCTGCGTCAACTCCGAGTCGGGACATGAGCTCGTTCAGCAAGTCTAGCGTCGACTGCCATGAATCGGTGAAGGAGGAGCAACTGGTGTTACCGATTTCTTCGTATTGAAGATAGTGCTCGCATGAGCTCACTGTCAATGATTTCTGGCTGAGGAATTGACTTCCGCTGGAGTACCTATTCATGAAGAAGTCAGAAATCCCGAACAGCGTGGAGAAGTGATCTTCTGTCCATGGTAAGGTAGGTTGCGCTTGGGTGTTGTTGGCAATGGCGAGAATGGTAGGTCGTACAGGATGCTTGGGCGCCACCGCACCATGTGAGATTGATACTTCGTACAGCCCAGTAGCTGACTCCAGCCTGCAAGCGGCCAAATTGAGGACGCCTGTGCAGTTGTTAGTCATCGTGGCGTAGCCAGTGATAAGATTGAGAGTCTCTCTGGAGTGGGAATCGAGCTTCAAAGCAAGTAGGAAAGTGGTACGACTGAGCAGCATCGAGGTGTTGTGCTCAGCATCGTAGTCCTACCAGGGCCCCGGGAGTTGCAAAGGCAGGCCCTGCGTGCGGCACTCAGAGACTGCTAGCGCTGGTGCTCTGACTGCGGCGTGGCAATCACCTTCGTAGCCTTCGACAAAGCCACGCATGGTCGTGTTCTGGATAAAAGAAATCGTGGTCGCCTTCACGTTGTTCGTAGATGCAGAACATACATCATTTTTCACGTCGCCGTGGGCTGTTGGGATCGTAAATCCGAAGGCATTACCGCACACTCCTTCTGTGGTCATGTTTTTGACTCGGTACCAGCCACCCGTGAACATCGTCGGAATCTGTTCTCGAGGTCAAAAGATTAGCGGCGGCATGCATTCTAATCCGCGGAATGCTCACCTGCGGGACCACACTGACATGGAGAGGCACGATCTCATCTGTAATATCTGGTGATACTCAGAGGATGCACTCTGGAGGAGAGGCCCATCAATTACCACAAATGTGCATATGATGCAAGCGACTCCCAGCAGACGGACTCGATGGCCAGTGCGTATAGCTCCAAGTACAGACGTACCGGAGGTCCAATCTCGTTGTAGTTTCGCGATAGTCGTCCCCTTCGAAGCGTTGATCCACCAGGCTACAATGGCTCCCTGGATCGATGCATACGCCAGTGTCTGGTTCGCCACTTTAGTAGCCATGCCCAAGTATACAGATTGAGTGAACGTCCATCGCACCACAGGGGCTCCATTCGAAGCGACGAGGATTGCCAGTGAGGTGAACATGCTTGCCAGTGCAATGGTCAGACCACAAAGTCCACTGAGGGGCCCAAACTTGAGCCATGTGCGCTTCCATGCCGGCCAGTTGGCCAGAAAGACATGCCGACGGCGCAAGCGTACCGGAGATTGCTGGCCCTCGCTGTCGTCAACTTCGCTTAGCGCCGTGAGTGTCGGTGTAAGGTGCTGGCTTTTGGCACCTGGCGACAGTCTATCCTCCGCGCACGGTAATTCGTCATCCTTAGGTGTGAAGTCGTTGGCCGACACAGGACTGGAATGCTCTTTCTAGACAAGGTCTCATCAGTGGGCGCGGGACTGAAGGGTTCAGCGCTAGACTTTTCAACAGCCATCGTGGAATTTTGCGATAGAGTACTTTTCAAAGAACACAGTTACAAGAAGCCGACCTGGCCTCCGAGAAGGCTGTTGAGGAGCCGTGGGTTCTTATCTCCCGTCTGTGTCGAAGGCGCAGCGACATGGTGTATCTCGATACATGCAACCGCTGGTCGATTGCATTGCTGCTACTGTGTGCACCTCCATGTATCCACACCAGAAGCAAGTCCATCGTCCTTGGTTGAGCTGGACGAGCGTCTCCAGCTGCACAAGCTGAGAAGGCGGTGCTGTATGCCAGCAAACACCTTTCGCGATAAGCATCGTCAAGGAGTCGTCGAGCTTCTCGAGCTGAGAATCAATCCAAAGCTGCATGTAGCTGCCTTGCTGAGAGAGCTTTGTGCTTTTCGCAGGGATTCTAGAGCTTCAGTCAGCAATTGTTAAGAAGGGCTGCGCGGACCCAATCTTAAATACATGCCTGGGTGGTGTGGTGTTTTGATCTCAAATGGGCGAAAACTTCGATGCTGAATCCGGATGCCTTCTCTGGAACAATGCAGACCCATGTTCATAGACTCCAGGAGACCGACCACAAGCACGAGTGACTCGAGGGGGCATTGACACAAGCTTGCAAGAATAGTCGGTCTTGTACTCCGAATATGCAGCCCGATGTGCCATCAGCTCGGCGTCTTCAGATCATATGCAACGCCAAAAGACTGTGACCGCTGTCTCCTCGCGCACGATCTGCTCCGTTCTTCCAAAAGTACCCAGTAACAGACAACTCACCCATCCCTCATCTCCTCACTCCCTAGAAGCAGTCAAAACCAGCATATGCGGCCTCAACAAATAAACATCCCAAAACCCCCCCTCCCTCCTCTCATCCTCCGGCATAACCGGGGGCCACCACCGCACCTCCCCCAACCCCGCCTCCTTCGCAGCCCTCTCATAAAACCCGTGCAAAAAATGATACATCTCAAACTCCACCGGCTCCGGCTCCGTGTAAGCCTTGAGATGACACTTCCACCCCTCGTCCCCCACTTTCTCGACCGGCCAGACGGCCACCCCGTAGTAGTCGTCGATGGGCTCGTACATGGGACAGTGCGTGTTGGGTGTGATGCTGATGAAGCGACCGCCGGGGGCGAGGTTGACGTGGATGTGCCGGAACATGTTGAGTAGGGTGGCGTAGTCAGGGGCGTAGTTGAGGAGCCAGCCGGCGAAGATGAGGTCGAAGGGGCCGCCGGGGACGGGGGTGGGGATGCTGCAGTCGCCGGTTTGGTAGGAGATAGTGGGTTTGAGGTCGTCTGGGAGGAGGTCGTTGGCGCTAGAGATCATGGTCTGGGAGATGTCGACGCCTATTACTTTGCTTGCACCTTTCCTAGCTAGGAGGCGGGACCAGTGGCCTAGACCGCACGCGAGGTCGAGGCATGTTAGACCCTCTACGCTGCCGAGACGTTTTAAGACACTAGGTTCTTCGATATCGACGACCGGTCTTTCCTTGAAGGCCTTGTACCGGCTGCCGATGGTGTCGTATTGCGTAGACATAGCTTGTTGTGTGTTAGTACCTGAATATCATCTCCCAGCTTACCAACTCGTGGTCTCAACTGCGAGAGTTAACAACGACAATGTGGGAACCAAAACGAAAAATGGAACTTACGTCTTTGAAGACAGTGATTAGCCGAAGCGTGGTGGTAGGAAAAGGAGAATTCTCGCCTCCGGTTGAGACATTGATGCATTTGATGGAGCTTTGATTAGCCTCATCAATGTGCGAGCTCCTATTGGAGGACGAAATCCAGGAGAATGATGATCCGACAGCGACGTTTTCTACCAAAGCGACGACTAAAAGCGCAAGCGCGATCTTGAAATAGTTGAGGAGGTCGCTATCTGCTTGACCTACTCAGTAAATCTGCCATCGCTGTGCCCATCAGTCCTTGCACCATACTGATCGTCGACATCTATTTCCTCGCCCGGCTCCTTCCCCACCAAGCCTTCACGAACCCATCCTTCTCCTTCGCTCCCAGTCCCACCCTCTTCACCCTCCCCAACCTTGCAAGCGCTTCCGCTACGGCATCGAGCACTCTTCGTTCCTGCTGGCTTAGTTCCGCATCTCCTTCACTGTCGGCCTCGCCGTCGCCGCTGAGGGTAGTGTCGGTGTCGGTATCTCCGGGGACTTTCTGCGCGTGGAGGGTGTCGAAGTAGTTTGTTTCGTAGCCGCCGGTGCTGCGTCGTGCAGCCGGAGAAGTTGTGGATGTCGCGGAAGAGCCGGTAGCCCTACCGGTTGAGCGGGGTGAGACTGTGGACGGACTTTCGAGCGTTCCAGACGGTGGTGGTAGTGAAGCCAATGTCAGCGCTCCGCCCACACGAACGCGGATGCAGTGGGTAGGTCTGCTGTTAAGTCGCCAGATGAAGCGAGCAACTTCTGTCCAGCCGGGAATGGGAGTCACAATGTCCGCTGGCGTGTAGCGCAGACTGACCGGGTAGATCCTTGTGGTTGGTGATGCTGAGAGGAGAGACGGCGCCAGCGGAAGAATTGCACGGCCGTTGCTTGTTATTGTCTCTGGAAAGACGACAATTGTGCGGTCAGGGTTCTGCGCGGTGAGTTGGGCGAGTGTGAGGGGGGCCTGCCGTGTGTGGAAGATTGCGGGAGCCGGGACGGAGAAGACGGAGGCCAGTGCTGCTTCCAGGGATAGAGGTTGGACGAGCCGAGAGTTTGGCGTGGACTGAGTGAAGATGGGATCGAAGATGGCGCCTAGATAGAGGATGTCCAGCGGCGAGGTGTGGGAAGAGGCGATGATCGAGCTGCCGGCGGGAAGGCGTCCTTTCGCACGGGTGGCGGAGAGGGATCTGGTCGTGCTTGTCAGCAAGCGACTCTGCCAGCTCTTAGATGCGACTGACCCTCTCCGTACACCATCGACCTGAATGTCAATCCACCACACGCCCGGTATACCCAAGACATACCAGAGATTGGCTTTACGCAAGACGCCGCCTGGTGGCGTCCACTGAATGATTGCGAGCCATACCAGCCAGCCGAAGGACACGAGCGGGACGCGGACGCAGAAGAGGAACTGTGTAATTGTTAGCGAGGCGGTTCCTCGTATGTCAAAACGCAAAGCCACTGACGAAATACCACGGCAAAAGCAGTGGATTGCTCGGTTCCGGCGAGACAGGAAAAAATGGCGCGATGCCGGAGCCTTCAATGTCATGGTCAGCCTGGTCGTAGAAAATACAGTGAAGTGGTAGCTACCTTTATCTCTGTATTGACCGTACTTCTCCATCCCGTCTTGTCAAAAGCATCCTTGTCATGCACAGAGTAGGCGGCCGCAAGCTGAGGATATGTAGCTGGCGAGGGCACTTATCACGGAGCGGCCGCCGTAGTGTTCAAGTGGACGGGCGGGTATATCGAGCTCTCAGGCTATATCCGACATGCAGTAAGATGACGGTATGCGAGTAGGCGAGGGCACTGCCGGTGCGTTCGGATTTGCATGTGAACGCCCAGCCAAATGATCGGCAGCGGAGTGGGGTGCGCTTTGGCGGTTCGGGAGCAGCCGTAGTGTTTACACGTCCCTAACGACGCCGAAACATCAACTTCTCGACTGCTTGACTTATTCACCTTGTTGGAGGCGACTGTGAGGATGATACTGAGGTGATTACTACTTGGACGACAGTACCAGACGACGCGACCATGGACCGACCACCCTCGCAACAGGAGAACACGCGACCGAGCGGACTCAAACAGCCATCGCGTCTGCCGGCCATCGCGAACGGCGGAAGGACGCTACTTCACGAGACGAGCCAGAGTGACCTCAATGCGAAGAACACATCCGGCGCGGGCTTGATGGGACCACCACCGGCGGTGTCGGCGGGCAGCATGAAACACAAGATCCCAGGACGTGAGTGGAACGCTGTCTAGGACCGCGAAGTGTCGAGTACTGATTCAGCTATGCATGCAGTGCCAGAGCCCCCGACGAAGCGTAAGACACTCGCTGAGCGCGCTGGCGAGCCCATAAACCCGCCACGCTCACACATGCCTCAACCCGCAAAAACGAGCTACGCGAAGTCAGAGGCCATCTACCAAACCGCTGGCGCTGGACGTCAACTGCCATTCATGGGAAACTCCTTCAGCACCACCGGATACCGAAACACTTCCAACGCTTCCACGACAAGTTCTTCGAGCGGCATTCGACCTGCGAGCCGGCAAAACATCGCACGACCACGAGCGACGGACCCTCATGCTGTGTTGGAGGAGACAGAAGAGGCAGCGGGAGTCATGGGCAAGCGAAAAGGTACACCAGTTCTATCTTTCAACCCTGCAAGCAGCATCACCATCCGGAAAACTCGCACTGCCCAGGACCTGCGCAGCCCACAGCATCAGCACCAGCCACGTCCGGACATGAGAGCAGCGTCTCAACACTCTGCCTCTTACATCCGGTCATTGTTGTCTTCGACATGCAGTGGTAGCAACAGCAGCAGCAGATCCAACAGCGGCAGGAGTACTCCGGACCATCAACGCAACACTTCAACCTCGTCATCAGAGCCGTCTTCCTTCCAACAGGAGGACAGCACAACACCCAAAGCCACCAGCACCCGCAACACCTCCCTCATCACTGCATTTGCCGATCTCTCCATCACACCAAAACCCAAAGCACTGCCCCCACACTACTCTGGCAAGCTGTCGGTTCAGCGACCCTCAGCAAGCAAACACCGCCCTTCGCTCTCCCCTGTCAAAGAGTCAACCAAGGAATCCCCTTCTAAAATCCCCAAATTCTCCTGCACCCCTCTCCTTCGCCACGCACAATCATCGCAAGCTCTCGTTACACCCCTCAAATCGAAATACTCGACCAACGGGTTCAGGTCGCCCGCCCCGAGTATCTCGAAGCGAGGATATCCCCCTTCAACTGCTGCTGCACGGGATGCATGTGAGTTACCAGTATTCTTGACGAAAGAGAAGCTTACACCTTCTTCCCTTCCAGCATGGGACACCAAAGGTCGGCTCGAGGACATGGAGTCCATGTACACGCGACTCCGCGGCGACCTCGCCAATGCGGCGGATTCCAAGCGCGGTCTTGAGGAGGCTATGGAGCTGTACAAAAGTAGAGGTGCGCATATTGCCCCCTGGTGCTGGTTAGCCTGGCTGTGGAAGGACGTGCATGCTGATTGTAGAACGACAGTGCAAGAGCTCACCTCTGCGAACAAGGAGATGACAACGAGTAACAAGCATCTGACGAGCGACTTGGAGCGAGCAAGAAGCGACCTCCACGCGACGACGACCGATCTGCGACAAGCGAGGCGAGACCATGAGCGGGATATGCAAGATCTTGAGCGCAAGCATGAGCGTGATTTGAGCGAGCTGTACGCGAAACAAGAGAGGGAGTCGCAGCAGCTGCATCGCGAGCTGGAGAAGATTGCGGAACAAGGGGAGAAGGATTTAGAAGTGGCGAAGAGGGAGTGGGAGAAGAGGAAGGATGACGAGACGGCGGATATGACGACGCGGCATTGGGATGAGATTGAAGAGCTGAACGTCAGTCATCGGAAAGAGGTCGAGCGGTTGGAGAAGGAGATCGAGCAGCTGAAGAAGGCGGGAGAAAGCAGAGCGAGTGAGAGTGCTGGCGAGGTACAGGAGCTGCGCGATAAGCTGAACACGCTCGAATCGCATATTGAAAGCGCGGAGGCCACATCCAAGGCGATGGAAGCGCAGATTACAGCGGCGGAGGCGAGAAGTGCAGCACTGGAGCAAGAGAAGGCGGCGTTAATCTCGAAGACGCACTTTCTGGAAGGCAATCAGGAGGCTCAGAGCCATGAGTTCACGACCATGCGGGATCAGCTGTCTGCTGCGAAGGCATCTGAGGAAGCCGTGCTCGTCCAGCTGCGGAGGGAAGAGATGGCGAGGCGGAGGCTCAACGCTCAGATCCTGGAACTGAAGGGCAACATCCGGGTGTTTGTGCGGACACGACCACTGCTTGCCGCCGAAGCTGAAGAAGCCGAGCCCGCGAAAGTTGAATACCCTGATCTTGACAGCCTGGACGGCGGAAAGGAGATGGTTGTGCAAGGACCCAAGCAGCAGACTGCCACTGGCAAGGAACGGGTGGAGAAGCACAACTATGCTTTCGACCGCGTGTTCAGTCCATCCACTGCCAACACAGAGGTCTTTGCGGAATGCCGGGAGCTAATCCAGAGCGTGGTCGATGGCTACAACGTCAGCATTCTATCGTATGGCCAGACGGGAAGCGGAAAGACGTACGGCATGTCTGGTCCGGAAGGCATCATCCCAAGCTCAATAGCGCTGCTACTGGAAGAGATGCGGAGGCTGAAAGCGAAAGGGTGGAAATACACTGTCGATGCTGCTTTTGTGGAAGTGTACAACGAGACCCTGAACGACCTTCTCGGCGATGCAAAGACCTGGGATGAGACTGGCGCTGAGGATCTTGGTGCCAGCACAAGAGCCAGCGCGAAGAAGAGGGAGAAGCATGAGATCCACCACGACCCCGTCACCGGCAAGACGACAGTCACAAACCTCAGCTCTGTCCCGCTATGGCCACCTCCCACCTCTTCCGTCACAGACGACGAATCGAGCACGATCTCCTACACCGAACGCGCCGTCACCAATCTCCTCGACACCGCAGCCAAAAACCGCCGCGTCGCCGCCACAAAATCGAACGAGCGCTCATCCCGCTCCCACTCGATCTTCATGCTTACTCTAAAGGGCTCCTGCGCAGCGACCAACGAAGCGTCAGAAGGCGTGCTCAACCTCGTCGACCTGGCAGGAAGCGAGCGTCTCAAGCAATCCGGCGCAGCGGGCAACCAGCTCAAGGAGACGCAAGCGATTAACAAATCCCTCTCCTCCCTCGGCGACGTGATAGCGTCGCTCGGTAGCAAGAAGGGGGATGAGAGTCATGTTCCTTATCGGAATAGTAAGGTATGTCTTCCCCCCTCTAATCCCTCTTCCCACTCATAGGGTCTTATGTACTGACTTTTGTGCGTGTGTGTGCTAGTTGACGTATCTTCTCCAGTCGTCGTTGGGAGGCACGGCGGCGAACGGCAAGAGCAGTCGTACCCTGATGCTGCTGCATTTGAGCCCGTTGCTGGCGCATTGGCAGGAGAGTCGGAGTAGTTTGGTGTTTGGGAATAAGGTGCATGGGACGCATATTGGGGCGGCGAAGAAGCGGTAGTATGGAACGTGTCGCTCAGCGGGACGCTTGTGGTACGGTGAAGGAGTTTTAGTTGGAGGGACTTCTCTCACCCAGCTACCTTGCTGTTGATATGGCGCGGCTTGGGGCTTGAGGCGTAGGGCTTGGGTTCTTGGAGATCTTGGGTTTTCGAATGTATATGGCGTTAAGGATGGATGGGAGGAATGATCAGCGTGCCGCTGTCGCCGCCACCACAGGTCGACAGACCGATGCGGTATGTGAATGCAGACCTGGTATTTACCGCCCTCGTCCAGCGATTGGGTTTCCTTCCTCCTCACCCAACTCACGAGTCGCGCGAGCAATCTGGCCACACGTCTTATCGAACAACACATGCACACCTAGCTTGTTTCCAGCCTCCGGCAACCCACTTCCAGGCATCCGGCGCGCGACTCACGTCCACCAAGCTTTCGTTAGTCTGCTCTGCAGTCCCCGGCTTCCTCGAAGAAGGCTTCCGGGGACGGTTTTGCTCCAAGCCCCCATGGGCCTCCGCACTATGTACCACGTTCCGAGTGGAGATTTTGTCGTAGATCGCTGGGGACCACTTTGGTCTGGGTTCTGGGATACCGATTGAGCTTCCCGAAAGTCTCGGAGGGCGGTAAGGGAGTGTGGTATAAGGACTCGCCAACTTCCCTGTTCTTTTTGAATGTATAGGAGTGGTGGGTTGGGAGTTTACCTACCTTTGTTTGCAATAATACGCCACGTGTTGGCTGTTGACATACCGTTCCGTACTTGTCGTTGTGGGTAGCCATCATGGTCGAGCTCAGGGGCAGCGCCCTCATCGCTGTCATCTTGACGGTTAGTGGGCTGGACTTCTTGTTGTTTGGATATGATCAGGGATTGTTCGGAGGGATTCTGGCTGGGGATGGGTTCAACGAGGTGAGTACTCCCTCGAAGACACACCATCCAACACCCTTGCTGATGTTATGTGCTTCAGATGCTCGGCAACCCATCGCCAACATTGACTGGTCTGGTCACGGCAATCTACGACATTGGGTGTGCTCTGGGTGCCGTTGCAGCTTTCTTGTTTGGCGAGAGGATTGGACGGAAGAGGTCCATTATCCTGGCCAACATCATCGTTATTGTTGGGGCGGCGGTTCAGACGGCTTGCTATTCTTATGGACAGATGGTAGGTTCCACGAACAGGGCTTCGACATGTCCGGGACATCGCTAACAGTCTCTAGATCGCTGCGCGTATCATCGCAGGCATTGGCGTGGGGTTCTCTACCGTTGCGTGAGTCCTGCCAGTCAAAGGATCCAGTCGTCTCGAGTCCTAACAACACCTCCTGCGGTGTTCTCGAATATCTAAGACATGCTAACCTTTTGATTCATGGACAGCGTGCCCATTCTGCAGACCGAGACCCTCCCTGCTCACAACCGCGGAGCCATGCTGGTGGTACAATCCGGCCTGATCATCATCGGCGTCGCCATCGCTTCCTGGCTCTGCTTCGGCTGCCTCTACTCTGACACCAGCATGCAGTACGTCTTATCCTCTCCATGCTGGTGTGCTCGTGCTGACCCCTTCCTAGATGGCGCTTCCCAATCGCCTGCCAGATCCTCTTCTCCGGCCTCTGCCTCTGCTTCTGCCCCTTCATCTGCGAAACACCCCGCTGGCTCGCCAAACACGGCCGCCACGACGAAGCACGCCACGTCATCGCCCGCCTTCTCAACAAGAACGACAACGACCCCGAAGTCAAAGGCCAGCTCAACGAGATCCTGGACGTCATCAACACTGAATCCGAAATGGGCGAGCCCACCTGGAGCGAAGTCTTCAGCAACAACAACAAGACTCGCAACCTCCAGCGTGTGTTGCTCGGCATGGGCCCTTTCATGATGAACCAATGGAGCGGCATTAATGTACTGTGCTACTACCTCGCGTACATCCTGGAGAACTACCTCCACTTCACCACCGAGATGTCGCTCATCCTCGCCTCCGTGGCCTTCACCCAGTACGCCATCTTCTCCTGGCCCCCGTTCTTCTACATGGATCGAATTGGAAGACGCTGGACGGTCATCTTCTCCTCCGCCGGCTGCGCGGCGTGCATGTTCATCATCGCCGGCTGTCTACTCAGCACGAGCTACGCCTGCGCAGCTGCCGCGACGGCGTTCATGTTCCTTTACATGGACTGCTTCACCATGGGCATCTTGCCGGTGTCGTGGAGCTACGCCGCCGAGACGCAGCCCTTGAGAGTTCGGAACAAGGCCATGTCTGTTGGTGTGTTCTCGCACTGGCTGTCCAACTTCGTCGTGGTGATGGTGACGCCCATTGGACTCGACAACATTCGAGGCAACTTCTTCTGGATCTGGGGCATTATTTGCTTTTGTTTCATCCCCCTCACTTGGTTCTTTGGTGTCGAGAGTACGTTCTCCCCTTCCGTCTCGTCTCGCACACCTCATACTGACTGCCATCCCAGCTTCCGGCCGCACCCTCGAGCAGGTCGACCGCATGTTCTTCGACGAACCGAGAATCTGCATGGGTTTGAACCCCAACCATCGCCAAGTTGTCAAGTACTCTCGTGAGGACGAGGAGAATCGGTACGCCGCTTTCGCGGATTTGGATGGGAAGAGAGGGAGCATTGCGGAGATTGAACGGAGGGGAAGTGTTGGGTCGTCGGAGAAGGTTTGAGGGTCGGGTGATGTGGTCTTGCTGCTGGCGAGGACAGTCACTGAGAGAATGGGCTAGTGCTAGGACCTATCACTCCCGGTCTCTGTCAAGAGGTCCAGGGATGACTCGAGCATAAAGCGTATTGTCATCTCCAGCGTCTTGTCATCTTCCAATCGCATCCTCTCGCCTTCCTCGACTGGACATGAGCAGTACATCATTCCACCTGGGCTATCATCCGGTGCTCGAGAAGAAGTTGAAGGCTGAAAACGCACAGTGCTATTATGACAGCTTCTTTCATATATCCGTTTCGCCTGTGTCTATCAACAGGGCCCATGCGAGCACGTCGTTGCCGTCGAGAAGGCTCAGATGAGGCCAGATATGACGACTACACCTACAGCTTCTCCGCCGACCTGACGCAGTCAAAGGCCATCAGGACTGTCAATGAGTACACCTCACGTCTATTGAGAATACTGCGCGAGCAGAGCTAAATCTACATCTTCTCCCATTTCAGAAGCAGCCCACAGTCTACCGAGCCTGCCAACGTGACCACCTCGCTGTCTCGGAGAATAACCCTTCTGCCGTTCTCACGCAGCATCAGTAATACACCCCCTACTGGCGTCCGTCACACTCCTCGCATACTTAAACAGCGTCCCGCGATCGTACTTCAGCTTCGGCGCCACAAATTCCTTCCCCCTCCTCTCCAGCTCTTCCGCGCTCTGCCCCACGATATCAACCACGTTCTTCTCAGCATCAATCGTGATGGTATCTCCATCCCGTACCAACCCAATAGGCCCGCCTTCCTGCGCCTCTGGGGTGACATGTCCGATCAAGAAACCATGGCTCCCGCCGCTGAAGCGGCCGTCTGTGACGAGCGCGACGTCGTTGCCGAGACCGGCGCCCATGATTGCTGAGCTAGGTTTCAGCATCTCGGGCATTCCCGGACCGCCCTTCGGCCCTTCGTAGCGGATGATGACGACGGTCTTCTCGCCTTTGGTGAAAGTGTTCGCTTCGAGCGCCGCGATGAAAGCATCCTCGCTGTCGAAGACGCGGGCAGAGCCGGTAAAGACTGTGCCTTCTTTGCCGGTAATCTTGCCTACGGCGCCGCCTGGCGCGAGCGAGCCGCGGAGGATCTGGATGTGGCCGGTTGGTTTGATAGGGTTAGAGATCGGACGGATGATCTCCTGATCTGAAGGGAAGTCGGGGGCGTTTTCGACGTTTTGAGCGAGAGTGCGGCCGGTGACTGTCATGCCGGAGCCGTCGAGGAGGCCTTCTTTCAGGAGATATTTGATAAGAGATGGTGTCCCTCCAATATCGTAGAGATCGTTGAAGACGTATTTGCCGGAGGGTTTGAGGTCGGCGAGGAAAGGGGTGCGGTCGGAGACGGATTGGAAGTCGTCAATTGTGAGCGGGACGCCGACGCTGTGTGCGATAGCTATGAGGTGGAGGACGGCGTTGGTGCTGCCGCCGGTTATGTTAACAAGGACCATGGCGTTCTCGAAGGCAGAGCGGGTGAGAATGTCTGAGGGGCGGATGTCTTCCTTGAGGAGGTTGCGGATGGCGGGGCCAACGGCCTGGCATTCAAGTTGTTTGGCTTTGCTGGTGGCGGGGTTGGAGGAGGAGCCGGGGAGGGTCATGCCCATGGTTTCGATTACGGAGGCCATCGTATTGGCCGTATACATGCCTCCGCAGGCACCCGCGCCAGGGCAGGCGTGGCGGGTGATGTCGAAGCGCTCTTCTTCGTCGATCTCGCCGGAAAGGAATTGGCCGTACGATTGGAAGGCGGAGACGATGTCGAGTTTGGCATTGCGTGGTTTGGCGCCACAGCCAGGGGCAATGGTGCCGCCATAGACCATTATGCTGGGCCGATTTGACCGTCCCATGGCTATGATCACGCCAGGCATGTTCTTGTCGCAGCCGGGTATGCTGATGTTGGCATCGTACCACTGTCCGCCCATGACCGTCTCTATGCTGTCTGCGATCAAGTCTCGACTCTGCAAGCTGTATCGCATCCCGGTTGTGCCCATCGATATCCCGTCGCTCACACCAATGGTGTTGAATTGCATGCCCAACATGCCAGCCTTGCCCACACTCTCCTTGACCTTGTGGTTGAGGTCGAGGAGATGCATATTACAAGGGTTGCCTCCGAACCAGACAGACGATATACCGATCTGAGCCTTCGACATGTCCTTCTCCGTCAGACCAGTCGCGTACAGCATGGCTTGCGAGGCTCCCTGTGACTTTGGTTGTGTGATGTGTCTCGATATGGCATTAATGCCTTCGCCATCGTCTTTGGGGGTGGCGTTGCGCCTTCTGGTGGACTGGGAGAATGCTCGTCTGTAACCCAGTCAGTATACCATTCTCGGTGTCATAGGTGTGGAAGCGTACATTGATCTCCATCGCGCCGGCAGTGACAGTGGTGATCGCATTGGAGCTGGACAGCATCTGAAGGTCGCCATGCTGTATTCAGTTGTCCCAATGGCTTGCGGTATAACTTTTTGAGATGTGAGTAATTCTTGAGTTTACATTGGCTCGTGGTATGCTGGATAGGGTGGTGCTGCCCCTACCACCTCCGCAGCACCTCTGAACACGCCGCCGCCTCACATCTCGATTCGAGTGGCTTGAGCTGGAGACGCTAAGAACTTCCGTCAGTGACGGCAGCAACGACAAAGTCGACCGCAGACCATCCATAACCCACCTCTACGCTCGAAACACAACCGAGTCCTCGCCATAACTACACAGACGACCTCTTGCAACGCACCACCGAGTCACACCTACCTATCGAGCCCACCGAGCACGAACACGCCCGCACTCGAGCATTTGATCCCACAAGAGGGACACTACCGAACAAAGAGGTAAGCAAGACTGACGACGAAGTGGCGTAGTGCAGGTATACATCGGCGGCGGCGGTAGGGTGAGCATCGAGTCGGGCGAGGAGGGGAGAGGAGACTGCAAGAAGTAGCCGTTACGTCGGGTTGGATATCTCACAGACGCATGAGAAGCGGCTCCACCTGATTACTGCCTGCGGCTCCTCAAGCAGGAGGGAGCTGCCTCGAATGTGGTCACCGTGCGATGGATCCGCAAAGCCAATCCTTTACCCCATATAGCAGCAACAACGACACCTGGCGGCTGCAGACCGACGTGGCGAGGGTGCAGCAGGTGCAGGCCGAGCATACCGAGAGGATTGCGAGGCTGGAGAAGAAGCACGAGGAGGATGCGAGGATGAAGAGCGTATGGGGCAGTAACTCGCCTTTTCCCAGTGTGCTGAGCGGTGGAACCCCGCAGCAAGGTAGGCCCATACTGAGGTTGGATGGGGATGCAGCTGATGGCTTTGGTGAAGCTCCTCTTCAACAACCGCACTCGGATCAGTTCCGTAGCTTCGATGATGATGCGAACGAGCTGATGAGTAGTCTGCATCTCGACGCTGGGGATGAGCCCAGACGAGGCATGACGGCGAATTCGAGGGCGAATAGCGTCCGCTTCGACGAGACTGCCAACCAGAACCACTTCTCGCATTCGTCAAGACCTTCGATGGACTACATGTCGCGCACCAGCAGTGGCCTCGGCGGGTTGCAGATGACAGAGCGCTCAGCATCTCACAAGTCAGAAGGTCGTGCCAGCTCTGTACACTCGATACGGTCTGCGGCATCTGGCAGGGCTAACAGCTTGAACCTGGACACAACTTACGGCATTGGCGACTCGAGCTCATCATCCTTCGACCCACCAGGCCTCCCGGGATTGGCATGGCTCGGGTCCGTGCCCGCCATCATTCGATGCTGGATGAACACCAACTTCAAGCACGATGCGCTACTCTACGCCGCTGTATGCACTGGCTCGTACAAGTCCTTCCTGGAGCTGCGCCTGATACAGAAGCTCGGCTTTGAGGATAACATCATCACGAATGAGCACGGCGCAAAGGTTGTTCAGCTGGCGGTCTACTTTCCCGAGGCAGTGCCTCACCCGGCATCGTCGCGGTCGAACAGCCCTGCTCCTCAGCTGCCATACGTCACGGTCGATTTCCATGTGGTCGACAGCAAGCCTTCGGATGGGGACAAATATATCCAGATCTTTATTGGAAGCGACGCTTTGCGCTCTCACAATGCCGACATCCTCTTCTCGTCTAACAGCATGACACTGTTCGATGATGAGCGCAGCAAGGTCAGCATCCCGCTTGTCCGCCCAGAAAGCGATGCCACTTTCAAATCTCTGTATGTCGCCAGTGGAGCTGCTCTGCCTACCACAGACATACAAAGTGAGCGCACCAAAGAACCTGCCTTCCTCAATGGCTTAGGCATGGGCAGCTCCGGAGCATCTCTTTCTTCCGCTGCAGCGAGTCCGCCACCAGGCAAATATCGTCCACCTGGCGTTATCGCGGCCGAAGCAGCAGGCCACGACTCCACCAAAGCAGGAGCGCCAGGCTCAGACAGCGATGCAAGGCCGGCTAGTCGCCAGTCCACCGCCTCGTCACGCCCGTCGCTCTCACTTCTCAACACTCGCCCTGAAGCGCAAGACCAACAGCCCGATCCTGGTCCGCCTTCATCAGCCCTCCGTACCGGCAGCAGCCCAGCAATTTGGAGCAACTGGCGAACACAAAGCAGCGCCGCCGCGACACCTCCAGCCAGCGGCCTCGACTGGGCTGGCGCGAGCAAGAACCGCGACACCTCGTATCAGCGCAAGGATACTGGCATCAAAGTCCTCAAGCCCAAGACAGCGAGCCGTACCGTCTCGTCGTCGACTGCCGGCATGGGTTCGGCTTCGCTAAACAGCCCTGCAGATGGCAAGAGCAGGTTCTTCGATGAGGGGCGCAGGCGCAGTGAGGTTGGGGAGGCGAAGAAGGAGAATCAGCCGATTGGGAGGCCGGAGTCGACGAACGCTGCAAGTGCGAGCGCGACACCTGCGCCGAAGACTACGAAGAGCAATCCGATTGGGGGTGCATCTGCTTTCACGTGGTTGAGCAGCGGCGGTGGTGGAGCTAAGTGAGTGATTCCTTGTGCCTAGTCTTCGCAGGATTGGCGGGATGAAGTTAAAGCAAGCACCAGAAGATGGATGCCTGAACGGTTTCGGCATGGCATTGGAGCGTGTTATCGTGGGAACGGTATGCAAGCACGAAAGGGCAGGATCTGGTCTCCCAGCACTGGGCTGCGAAAGGATGATTGGAGTCTCACGTATCTGGGAGGATGAGATGTACTCATAGCCTCCAGCCTTACGGCATTGGAGCAGCAGCTAGCGACGCAATCAATGAAAGCATGTGATCGCAGCATGAGCCTGAGTCTGTTGACGCGCAGACGTGTCTCACAGCAGCTGATGTAGTGAGGTTGTGGAAAGTCTCTTCAACGAGCTTTTCTTTGCCATTGTCGACTTCTTCTTCCTCACAATCACCACTCCGCTTCTTCACTTGATACTACTCACTCTTCGACACGTATATCACGTCCACACCCTTTACCATCGCGTCAGCAACACGATCATCTGAAGAAAGTCGACTGCCACCACTTTGCCTCACAGCGACTTGCAGCACGCGCCAAGCCCAAGGCAAGCAGTTCGACGTACGTCAACCCGACCTTCAAACGGCCTTGCGGAAAAGACAACATCAACCCCACCGCACCACTCTTGCTTCTCTTCACGTAAGTCACCCCTTTACTCACCACGCTCCCTTCGTACAGCGCAGCAGCAGCAGGAAGGCAGGCAGCGGCAGACAGGAAATTTCAGCGGGAGGACAAGCACAGCAGTGAGAGGAAAGAAGTTTGAAGCGGCGAGACAGAGCAGCACGGGCTTCTGTTTCATCGGGGCTCTGCCAGCAGCGGCAGAGTCCACTTCCACAGCACGAAGTCACGGCTTCCTCGCAGAAGAGGAGGAAGCTCGCGCCTTTCCACCACACCGACGACGCTTCCTTCGCCGCCTCAGAAGACACGCCTGGTTCTTCGTCGCCGATCCATCCGGACGCTCCGAGCCCCGCGAGCAGCGAACCGACACAACTGCAGCAGCAGGGCGTGAGGTTCTTGCCGCCGCATTTGCAGCAGGAGGTTACTACGGAGGGTGGGAGTCCGAGTTGACGGTTCGCGGAGATCAGTATTGATAGTGCGAGTAGTGGGGATATGTCTGGGAGCGAGAACGGGGCGGGGGAGGTGAAGAAGGCGCCGAGCCCGGGGAGGGTGTTAGGTGGGAGGAGTGCGAGTCCGGCGAAGAGGAGTGCGGATGATATGAATGGGACTGCACAGAGGGATGGGGTAGGGGAGGGGATGAGGGATGTGACGCCGGGAGGGCAGGAGACTCAAGAGACGGCCGAAGACACGCAGACACAGACGCAGCAGACGGGTGGCGTGGACAGCATGGACACCAGTGCTCCAGAGAGCGTAGGAGCAGAGACCGAGGCGACGAGCTTTGGTTCGGAAGAAGACAAGCCGCCTCCGTACCAGTCAACGGAGCCTTCGCCGTTGAAGATCAAAGACTACGCCGACTACACAACAGAAGACATTGACAAGCAGGAAGCTTCCGTACGCCAGATGTGCCAGAAGGAACTCGAGGAGGGTCAGAAGGGCATAGTCGTGTCGTGGAAATGGTTGGCGCGGGTCATGTCACGGTCGTCAGACGGCCTGAAAAGCAATCAATTCCCAAAGGAGGCCAGAGAGGGACCGATCGGGCAAGTCGACAACTCGGACATCGTGCCCGAAGCTGGCTTCGACGAACCGATACTCAACGACATCGAAGGCCAGCCATTCATCCCACTAAAGCCTGGTTTGCAGCTTGGCGAGGATATCGAGATTCTCACAAACGAGGCGTGGGGCGTTGTGGTTGCGGCGTACGGCGTGGCGCCCGGTCAGAAGCAGATCGGTCGGTACGTAAGGAATACTGCTTCCGAGGAATCGACCGGCACCAATTTTCAATACGAGCTCTGGCCGCCTATCTTCACCATTCGCAAGGTGCCACAACCGAAGCAGGATGACGAAGAAGAAGAAGCGCCTCCTCTATCGGCACCAACAAAGTCTTCTCACGAGTTGATGCTCAGGGTGAAGCAGCGCACTCGCGGCCAGATGTCACCTGATGATGCAGTCAAGCTTGTATCGTCGCGGCAAGAGAAGTTCCAGAAGTTCTTGGCCAGGAGCAAAGAAGCTGCGGGCATTCCGAAGGGCAGCAAGGTGCGCATCTTCAAAGCACTCGATCCTGCGACTGTGACAATGGACGTTCAGCCAGAGGGTGCATCCGCGGCGCCAACTTCAGAGAACACAGACCCCACGTCCACTGACAAGCTTGTGGTCACCACGGAGGACTTCAATAAGATGGAGATTGGGAAGGAGCTCGAGCATGTTGATGTCAAAGACCAGACTGACGACCCGAACTACAATGGCTCGAGCAATATGGAGCTCTACGTACTCACGCAAAGCGGCACCCTCATACTTGAAGAGCAGATCGGTGGTCCTGGGGGTGGCGAGTTCAAGTCGGACAAGAAGAGTGGTGCTAGAATCAAACTTAATCTTGCCGGCCTCAGGAAGAATGGCGATTCCAAGCCTGGGTCGACGACCAACTCCCGTGGGACGAGTCCCGCGCCTGGCGCCGGCATCATGACCAGAGGTCGCACAAGGCGAGATGGTCGTACGAAGGGTACGGTCGGTCTGGGCAATCTCGGCAACACATGCTACATGAACTCTGCTTTGCAGTGCATTCGAAGCGTCGAGGAACTTGCGGTCTACTTCCTGTCGAATGCGTACAAGAAGGACATCAACGCCAGCAACCCTCTTGGTCATGGAGGGACGATGGCGAAGGTGTACGCCAATTTGCTCGGGCAGATGTATGGAGACAACACCTCTGGATCCGTCGCGCCGAAGGCATTCAAAGGCGCACTCGGCAATGTGGCGCCGATGTTCTCTGGGTATGGCCAGCAGGATTCACAAGAGTTCCTCAGCTTCCTTGTCGATGCGCTGCATGAGGACCTGAACCGCGTGCTGAAGAAGCCGTACAACGAGAATCCCGACTCGACCGACGAGACTGTCAAAGACCCGCAGAAAATCATTGAGCTGGGTGAGACGTACCGCAGCAACCACCATGCCCGGAATGACTCCGTGGCTATGGATCTGTTCAGCGGCTTCTACAAGAACACGATGGAGTGCCCCAAGTGCGACAAGATCAGCATCACATTTGATCCGTTCTCCCTGCTCACCGTCCAGCTGCCCAACGAAGGAAGTTTCCAACACCCCGTCACTTTCATCCCTCTTCGCGACAGAGCCATCAACCATGCGATTGATTGCGACAAAGGCTGGACCGTCAAGATGCTAAAAGAGAACATCGCCTCCAAGCACTCGGGAGTCGACGTCGACCGCCTCTGGATGGTCGAAGTATACAACAACAAGGTGTACAAAGTATTCGAGAACTCCACCACACTCGCGGAAGCCGGCATTCAGACCAACGACCACCTGTTCGTCTATGAGCTTGAGGCCGCGCCTACGAACGGCCCTTCGCCGCCCAGCAAGTCAGCCCTGTATTCGACCTCCATTTATAGCAGCAAGAATGATGAGAAGGTCCCCGATATGGACGATCCCAAAGGCGAGCGCTTCGCTGTCCCAGTTCTGTCGCGGCAGAAGAAGGGCACGGGCTGGGACGTGGTGCTGCACCCGCTGTACATCACTGTGACTCGTGAGGAGGCGCAGAATTACGACGTCATCATGCGAAAGGTTCTGGTTGCCTTGAGTCGGGTGACTAGCCGGCCTGTTCTGTCCGAGGATGCTAAGTTTGGTGGCGGCTTGGGTGGAGCAGCGGACGCAGAGATGAGGGATGCGGCGCCAACACAGCACAACGGCACCACGACTATCATCAACGGCGAGAACGGGCAGGTGACCGATACCTCTGGTTCTGAGGACGATTACGTCAAAGTCTCGGTTGAGCCTACGGAGAACACGCAGGCGAACGAGGCTCCTGAGACCGATGGCGCAGAGAAGGAGGATCGTCCTATTCCGGAGCGGTTCATGGATCCTCAGTATCACATCTCGGCTGGTCTGCGCAAACACCTCTTCGAGTTGAAGTACGGCGCCTCCAATGACGCCAATCTGCACTGTACTGGCATCAGCAGCTTCAAGGATGGCGCGGTCCGGCCTATGGAAGTGCGCGTCAAGAAAAACCTCAGGCGTGGCAGCACGCAGTCGACCTCATCCAGCGAGGAGTCCACCACTAGCAATGGGACTGGGACAAATGGCGATGATGTCGGCAGCGATCCTGACGACTTCGGCGACAAGCCGGACATCATGCTTGGGGGTGACGGTAGTGATGACGAGACGCTGCCGGGTAACCCGCTTGACTCTGCTCCGGCGATGTCTCGTAAAGACTTGCGGAAGAACGGCAGAAGCGGCAAGGGCAAGAAGAAGGGTCGTCGTGGCGGCACGATCACGTACAGCAAGAAGGATCGGCGCAACTTCAACAAAGGCCAAGGCAATGGTGGCTCAGCCCTGTTCGGCGCCGGCAAGCTGAACAATCCGCAGCAAGACGATGAAGACAACCCGTACTACATCAAGCTGGGCGAGTGCATCATCCTGGACTGGCACGAGCATGGCGCCGACGCTCTCTTCGGCAATACCACCCGCGATCCCAAGGACCCTCGCGGCTACTTTGTCTCCCACTCCGAAGGCAAGAATCTTCCGTTCATCTCCGATCCTGAAGTCGAAGCCAAGCGCGCCCGTCGCGAGACCCGCCGCAAGCACGGCATCACGCTCGACGAGTGCTTCCAGGAGACTGGCAAGCGCGAGGTCTTGTCTGAAGACAACGCCTGGTACTGCAACCGGTGCAAAGAGCTTCGCCGTGCGACCAAGACGCTGGAGATCTGGACTATGCCGGATATCCTCGTCGTGCATCTGAAGCGCTTCGGTGGCAACAGGAGTTTCAGAGACAAGATTGATACGTTGGTCGATTATCCGCTTGAGGGCCTGGACATGACGCAGAGGGTGGGCTTGAAAGAGGAGGGTAAAGAGTATGTGTACGATCTGTTTGCGGTCGACAACCATTTCGGCGGTTTGGGAGGTGGTCATTACACGGCGTATGCGAGGAACTTCTTCGATGAGGTGTGGTATGACTACAATGGTAAGCTGAGCACACTTTGCTGTTGGTTGATGAGGTTACTGACCTTCTCCTTCACAGACTCCTCATGCAGCCGCATGAACGAAGACCGCGCCCAGTCCTCCGCAGCCGCCTACCTCCTCTTCTACCGCCGCCGCTCCGACAAGCCTCTCGGCCCTCCTGCCTTGCAAGAGCTCGTCCACGACTTCCGCAACCCGCCCACCAACGGCGAGCCTCCTGCCGACGACGCCGAAGAGTCCGATGCGGGGGAAGGCCGGCTCGGCGGCCCAAATGGCTTCTCGCGTGGGCCGTCGAGCGCTGGGACCGGAGCCGGAGCCGGGAGTCTCCGCAGCGGGGGCGCAAGTGGTGGAGCTGGAGCGCGAGCCGGGGGCAGAGCCCTGATGAAGAAGGACAGCGAGAGCAGCGGAGCGACGGGGATGGGGACGATTAATGGGCAACAGCTGTATGGGCCCGAGCGGCCGCCGGTGGGTGCGGATTGGACGTTCAACAATCTTGATAGGTCCGGTGGTGGGGAGGAGGGTGCGAGTATGAGTCTAATGCAGAGTGTGGAGGGCCCAGATCTCACGCCTGAAGATGACGATGACGCGGCCAGCACGACGGCGCAGATGGATGAGGATGGTGGGAATGCGTCGCCACGGCTGTGGAACCAGGATGATGAGTTCGAAGACGCCAGCGACACACCTTATCCTGGTTGGGCACCCAGCTCGGCTACTCGCACGACACCAATCGACGAGATCTCGCCACCGGCGTACAGTTCACCACCATACGAACTCGACGACCACAACCTCTACACCAGCGGTCGCGGTAACCTGGACTCCCTGCATCTCAACGACACCGGCATGACAGGGACGTACGAGGATGATGACGACGATGCGCCGCCACCGTTGGTGCTCAATTCAGACCCGCCCACGCCTGCTTCAGGGGACGTCCAGCAGGAGCATGATAAGCTGGATTAGGTGTCCGACGAATATCCCATTTTCCCGAAGGACGACGACTTCTAGGCGGAGCGTGGGCTTCTGGTCTGAATGGGAGGGGTGGTGTGCAGGGCTTGTGAGGGTTTCATTGTGGAAGGAGGTCCTTGTGCAAAGGCTCAAGGAAGGGAAAGGCAATAGCGCATCATGGAATGTGAGCGGCGACTCGCGAATGGTACATGGGCAGTGGAGTATGGGCGCACGAACATGACGGCGAGCATAGATAGCTTATGGGCGCTCGCGGGCGGACATCTCTGTACTGCTGCTGCGGGCGTAGCCTTTTGAATGCATGACTGTAACCTGATCTTGTGCTTTGCAGTCTTTTCTTCAGTGATGGAACGGGTGTTTGGATGTTTCTGGACGATGTGCTCAAACAATGGTATCAATACAATAACAATCTGCATGGGTATCTCGGACATGGAGAAGACGCTCAATGCCACCCAACGCCTTGCTAATGTTCCACTCTCAACAATCGTAACTCGTAACATGCTCATCAGGGTATGCCCAGCTGTACCAACACCACTCGCGAAAGCGGAGATGCCCAACAATAGCCAACGCTGTGCTCAGTCCTTGCAAACCATCGCGCCCTCACGCTCTGCGATACGGCGACCAAAAACCGCCACGTCGTCAGCAAAGGTGAAGTGCACCCTCCCCTCCTTGACCCACTCAGCCCATGTGCCCGGGTATTTGCGCGCGAACAGAAAACCGCCGAGGGTGAAGCAGTAATCGTCGATGTGGCCGGCCAGGTTGGCGAGATGAGCCGCCAGCTTGCTCATGCTGTCGGCGTGGAAGGCGTGCTCGTTTTGAACGAAGAGCTCGTCGTGCTTGCCGACGTCAAAGCCCCAGGTGACGCCGAAGACCTTCTCGACGTGGAAACCAGGGCGCATGGTCGGCGCGATGACCTTGGTAGCAGATCCGAACGAGGAGAGCCACAAATCGAAGGTCTTGACGTAGGCGTCTTCGACGATGCGGAGCAAGCCGGTTTGCTGGGTGGAGCTACGGGTGAAGAACTTCTCGAGCGACACGGTGGTGATGGTGAGGTTGGCGAAGTCGACCACATCTTCCAGCGACTTGTATGGCGCAGGAGAAGCGGCGGCGGTGGTGGTGACCCTGGTGGACTCGCGGGGGAAGAACTTCTCGTACGGCGTGGTGGCGCTGGCGCTGCTCGCAAGATCGAGAAGGGCTTGAAACGACTTCGTCGGCGCTGGAGAAGCGATGGTGGTGATCTCGGTGAGGCCAGCTTTGGTGGGCTTGCTCGGGGGCTTCTGGCGCTTCTCGACGCGACCATTGCGGATCTTCTTGAGCTCCGGTGGTGGGTCAGTAAGCTTCTCGAGGCTCCAAAGCGCGCGAAATGCTCATATCCATGCGCTGGAGGGCACGTACTGGTCTCGGAGAAGGTGGTGCGCTGACGGATAGCAAGCGGCGCCGAGCTGTTGTCTGGATGTGGGCCAGCTTGCTTCTCGAAGGTGCAAAGCGCGCGATATGCTCATATCACTGCGCTGGGAGGCCGAGGTGCATACCGGTCTTGGAGAAGGTGGGTGGTGCCATGGTTGGTGGGTGTGTGTGTGTGTGTGTGGTGGGGGAAGGATGTTGTGTGGATGTGGTCAAGGTGGGCGCTGGTGAAATCGAGGGATTGAATAGGAGGGGTCGTGGGTGCGGGTCCGCCGCAATCAACAAATTCCTTGGCGCCACATTCACCGCTGTATCTTTCGAAACATGTGAATTCGAGGGGTAGCGGGGTTGATCTGGCGTTGATCTGCGGCCGCGCTAGTGGATACAAAAGGCACCGAAATTCCGCAGATCCTCCCTCTTCCTTTCTTCAACATCCACACTCATCCACCTCGCGTGGTCACCCGTCATGCATCACCTTAGCAAAGCAACGACCTCGAGCTAGTTGTTCAAACCAGGCCCTCTAGCTCGGGGAAGGGGGGTGCGTTAAGGTTGGGTTGCGTAACGCTACTTCCTGCGCAGGGCTTAAGGGCTCGAAAGGAGTGACATCGCTCGCTGACATTGTGCCGGTGGTCCAGCCGTGTGCCGTCGACCACTTCTGTGCCTTCAGCGAAGATCAAAGTCTACGAACCCTTGCCATGCTGAGGCTGCCATGACGGGTGGTGCGACTTTTTCTTCTTTTTGGCTTCGGCTACCACCTCCTCCGATCAAATCCACCCATCTTGCACCACGTCAGCAAAGCAAACGCCCCCAAGCCGGTTGTTCAATACCAGGCCCTCTGGCTTGGGGGAGGGTAGTGCGTAAAGGTTGGGTTGCGTAATGCTACTTCCAGCGCAGGGCTTACGGGCTCGAGAGGCGTGGCTGCCCTGTTGACATTGTGCCGGTGCCCAGCCTCACCGCCGTAAGACACCTCTGTGCCTTCAGCAGGGTGATTGCCTACGAACTCCTGCGATGCTGGCGCTGACAAGATGGGTGCGACCTTGTCCCTCGTTTCGGCTGCGGCCACCACCACCTGCTCCGGTAAGATCGTGGCAGCAAACACAAGAAAGCCTGCAGTCGCTGCAGCCGTATGGCGCACCAGGTACCTACTGGTGCTGTCAGTACTAACCTCAACAACGGTATGTCTGCCCTGACAGCTCCTTTCCTTCTTTGAACGCACTGACATGTCACTGCGACACGCGCAGATTCTGCTAACACTGCATTGCGCACTGCGCACCAAGGGCTTGCATGCCCTCACAGCCTTTCGGGCTCAGCAGTTCACGCTGCGTTCTTTTTTTCATCGGCGCCTTCGCCATCGCGGCATGGGCCTGGAGAAGAATTTTGACCGCTGCCACTGCGTTTTGATGTTTGTGTGCCCTCGTGCGTGTATCACCAGCTTCGCTTTGCGCACTGTGTGCCCATCAGGATCGCTTGCGGGGACACAGCACGGCCGTAGCTCGCCGGCGCAAGGCTTTCTCGTTCTTGCCATGACTGCGCCGCGACGACAGATCTGCTTCCCTTCTTCCTATCCACCTCCCATGCTTCACCGCGCTCTGCCACGACCAGTCCTCTTCGGCGTGCTCGCCTGCTCCATTGCTCCCATACAATGCAGCTCAAGAGACTCAATTCGATCGTCCACGGCGCTCAATCCACCAGAAACCTGAGCGCTAGCAGCGCACATGCGATTGTGCATGTGATCGGCTGGAAATGGTGTGAAGTGAAGTTGGAGTAGAGTTAAGGACAACGGGCGGCGCTCGCCAGCATCAGCCGTTTGCGGCGATGGGAAAGAACTAACGAAGAACGCCGAGAATGGCAAGGGTACCGCTCCCCAGAAGAAACATCACCACTCTACAAAGAGCCACTGGTCGCTCATGAGGACATCTGAACGGTTCAGTGTTGACCTGGACATTCCGGAGCCCATAGAAAAACAGAGAAGTGAGCAAATTGGCACCGCCACGGTCAGGAAGCACAGAAAACGAGCTTCGCAGGCATCGAGCAAACATTCTACAGGCGCACGAGATGCTCTAGAACTCGGCGTATCGTATGGTAATGATGGGTCCCCTTATCTTCTATGGGCAAGGACTGATGAAAAAGCATCGAGAACGGACTCTATCTAGCTCTATGGTATGCGTGGTCTGAGATAGCAGAAAGTCACGACATCCCCTCGTGAAAAGCGCTGCAAACGCTTCAAACAGATGTTTAATACCTCTACCTCAACAGAAGTGTTACAATTCCACAGCAAAACGCTCCCTAAGCCACCCTCCGTAACGATAGAAGAGGAATGGCACTGGAAGAAAGGCCACTCCTATGAACCCCAGGACGCTGTTCCCCCATCCAAGCCCTAGGTCCGCATACAACGACGGCCCTGCCAATGGAATGAAAGCTGCAAACAGAAGTCGGAGAATGACGTTCGCAGCCAACGCAGAGGCGGCAGCCTCAGGGCCAAAAGCTTCCACCAGGTAGAGCTGAGTTGGCATCAGGACCCAGAGAACGCCGAATCCGAAGAAGAAGGTGCCGATGATGGGGACGATCCAATGTGTCTGCTTCTCGGCTGCCCAGCCATACCAGAAGATGCCGACAGGCACGGCGGGCATGACCCACACCACCGGCTTCAGCCGTCCTTCAGGTTTGGGCGAATCTCCAACTGCCCGTTGTAGCTTGTCGCTCAGGGTGGCGAAGGTTCCCAAGGAGACGGCCATTCCAACTCCAACGCCGAGATATGCCAGGCCAGATACGCCCGTGGAGAAGTGGTACTGCTCCTCAAAGACCGTGGGAAACGTGGTGAACAGCAGAAAGAGGAGGCCAAAAACGAATGCGCACAGAAGGGAAAGGAGGAGCACGATTGGCGACAGGACAAGGAGCTTCATCGGTCGAGTAATAGCGCGGAGGAACAGCTGCCGGGGAGTCAGGCCACGATCCATCTTCGAGACCAGAGCGGCATTGCCAGTTTGTTTCCGGAGACGAGCAGCTTTCCATCCCAGCAGCACTGCGGCATTGGTCTCGCGAAGGAAGAAGATTGATATGGTAAATATCACTCCTGTCTAGTTCGAACCGTCAGCGACTCTAGAACGGAGAATGGTAGGGGTTGTGTTGTACTAACCAGGATTATGATGATGTAAAAAGTCCAGCGCCAGCCAATTGACTCGGACACAAAACCACCAACCACTGGGCCCAGGACCTGGAAGAAACGTCAGTATTGCCACTTTACGTAGGAGAAGGCCACCTACCGGTCCCAGAAGTGGTCCCACGAAGAACAGAGACATTGCTCTCCCACGCTGAGCTGGTGGGACGACGTCGGCGACGGTTCCTCCTCCGACTGTCGATGGGCCTGAAGCAGCACATCCGGCAAGGAATCGAAAGCCCAGGAACATGGCGGTGTTTTTGCTCAGCGCACATCCGATGATGAAGCCAATGTAAACGACACTGCAAGTGTGGTAGATCACAAGGCGTCCGTAAAGTTCGGAGAGCGGCGCAATGAGCATTGGCCCAACGGCGAAGCCCGAGAGGTAGATGGACACGGTGAGACTGACAACGGTCAGACTCGTGATGTGGAACTCTCTCGCAAGCGAGGCGGCTCCCGGTGCAAACATTGTCGCGGCGAGGTTGCTGTAGGTGTTGGTCAGTACTAGACGAGTTTCGCCAAAGAAGTGGGAACAGCATTGCTTACGCAGCGAGCAAGAATGCGCTGAAGAGCACGACCTGGATCATTCGTTTCCATGCTGGCCAGTTTCGCGGATTGTGTACATCGTCTGGCCCATCCCAGTCGACGACATTGTCCTTTGTTCCTTGTTCAATTGCTGTTTGGGCTGGCTCGCTGGATTGTTGGTCGTGGTTGCCGTCTTCTGCCGGCTTCTTCTCATAGTTGGATTCCAAATCGGCCGCCATGATGTGCTGTCCAGGGTAGTGTGGGTTTGTTCACTAGTACGAGGCTCTGCCTGCTACATAACTGAAGGGAGGTAGGCGGATGGAGAAGGCGGCGTAGATGAATCATAGCTATAGTTCTTGGGCAATGGCTAAATGGCAACCACTAAATCCGCAAACTTGTTCGTAAATACGGAGAAAGACCGGAGATTTGCTTCATGAAGCGGCCTTGTAGAGTTCTACACACGTTGTCAGAGCGAGCGGACGCGGACGGAGGAAGTGTGAGAAGAGCAGGCAGGCGCACGGGCCCTTCAATGGAGGAAAGAGCGGAGGGTCGGAGTGGTCGTCTCCCAACCTGCCCCCCTTCTCGAAAACAAGTACGTACTTCTAGGCGCAGCTACATGAGCATATTGCGGGCTCTGCGCCTTCGAGAAACACGCTGGCCGAAGATCAGGCACTATGGCCGACAATTCCCAGCATCCGCGTCCGCCGCCAAATCGACGCAGAGACAAAGTCCAGCTTTCATGCGACCCGTGCAGACATCGCAAGTACGCGCTCACTAGCCATCACCGAGTCGTCCACGTTTAACTGTGCCAGGCTGAGGTGCGACCGACAGCACCCATGCGGAGCTTGCTCGAGGCGTGGCGTCACCACCTACTGCCATTATGCGACGACATCTTCTTCTACACCCGATGCTCAGCGCCCCGTTGCTTCCCAACAGCCCACCGGCCTTCACGGGAGAATCTCCGAGCTGGAGAGCCTTGTCATGACGCTCATGAAAGGCCAGTCCAACCCATCCGCAGATGTGTTACCTGGGATTCCGAGACCAAAGAAACCTCAAGATGATGTTGGGTCCCCAGCAGACCCTGGTACTCTGAACTTGCGCGACTCTGGAACCAGCTATGTCCAGAGTGTCCATTGGGAGGCCATTCTTGCCAAAATCAGAGGACTGAAGGAGGACTTGGTGACTGATAGCAAGACTCCGTCCGGTTCACACTTTTTCTATGGCCCGAACCGTCATGCAACTCGAGATGAAATCCTCGCTGCTGTTCCTCCTCGTCCAGTTGTTGACCGCCTCATGGCCCTTCACTTCGATTCCTACTTTGTCACTCCCTGTCAGTACACCCAAGCTTTCTTTGCGCTTTCGGAGGCATTGACTGCGTCCTGTAGATTTCATTCATAGCAAGAAGTTCCTCCGAGAGGTAGGTACTTTCTAACCTCCGATCGCAAGCAGTCTGACATTTGAGCAGTACGAAGCTTTCTGGAAAGATCCGTCGGCAACTTCGATCGCTTGGATCGGTCTCATGTTCTCCATGTTGTTTATCGCTGCGCAGTTGCAGACCTTCACGATTGACACTACCGACGGAAGAGCCGAATCTCTGAAGGCGGAATATCTCGCCATGAAGGATGCCTTCCGTGAAAAGGCCGTTCAGTGTCTCATTCTGGCCAGGTACACAACGGGAGGACCGCATATCCTGGAGAGCCTCATAACGATCCTTACCGGAGAGTTCGTGCTTTTGAAAGACAGTGCGACCGATGGCTGGCTTTTTATCAGTATGATACTCCATCTTGCAATGCGCATGGGCTATCACCGGGATCCAGATCACTTTCCAGGCATATCTCCATTCGAGGCTGAGATGCGCAGACGCATCTGGACTGCTATCCTCCAACTGGATCTCACACTATCCTTGGAGAAGGGCCTTCCTCGAAATGCCACAGGTACGCACATCGATACAAAAGAGCCCCGCAATCTGCGCGACTGTGATTTCGACGAGGACACGACCGAGATGCTTCTACCGAGGCCAGAAACAGAATGGACGCCGGTGCTGCCTCTCATTGCAAGAGCGCGACTGATATCAGTTATTGGCTTGATCTGCGACATCAACACTGATATTAATCCCCCTTCCCACGAACAGGTCATCAAGGTCGATGCACTTCTTGGAGACGTACACAAGCGTGCTATTCCACCCGTGCTGCGCTGGGAAACGATGCCACACCCTATCACGGATAGCCCAAATCTTGTGATACAGCGGGTCAGCGGAGAAACGACCTACCACAAGTCACGCATCCTCCTGTACCGGAGGGCTTTGATCAGCGACCCTGTTCGACATTCTCAAGAGCAGGACAGGGAGTCGGTGCAAATCTGTTTAGATTCCGCACTCAAGATTCTATCGTTTCAGCAGATGCTTCATGAAGAGTCTCAGCCATTCGGTCGTTTGCGCCAGCTTCGTTGGAAGATCACCCATATCTTCAACCAGGATGTTCTCCTCGCCACGAGCGTGCTCTGTCTCTACCTTCAAGACATCGATAAGTTCGAACCGTCCGAGACTGCGGGACAGACCACGCGCAGGGCCGAAGAGATTCGACAACGGCTGACGATCTCGCACAAGATTTGGCTTCAAATGAGCACGGCATCTGCGGAAGCTGGAAAAGTAGCGAGAGCGCTGAATATCGTTCTTGGAAACACGGAAGCGTCTGCTGGGGACACCGGTGGGCCTGCTCCTTACTCATACGACTTTCTGGCGGATTTCGATGTCATACCTCTGCATGGATTTGACACGACGTTCAATAATCAATGTGAGAAGCACTGGACACTCTGTCATGTCGATTGCAACTAACAGAAATACTTATTAGATTATCCTCCTGGGCTCTACTCCCCTCTCACGTTTTTTGATAACGTTCTAGGAGAAGGCGGATCCATGGACACTGCTGGGTGAGCAAACCTCCGGGTTGGCAAGCTAAGAACGAACACCGGTCAAGGAGGTTCAAAGTAGCTCAGCAGTTCTCGCGACACGGGTATACTGGTATCAGTCTGCCCATAAGATTTCAACCTGACTCGACGCGAGGAGATGGCAGAAGGACGATAAAGACAGACATCATAGCTTTCCGCCCAATACGGTTAAGAGTGATCCGACTGCTTTGGAGAAGAGGAAGCCAAGACCATCGAGGTCACTGTCACTCGACGGGAGGCTCGGAGCATTAGGCTCAGACATCTCTGCTCGACTAAATCAGATCGCCATCGTTCGAAGAGAAAGGTCGACCTCAAGCACGCCTGTCGAGCTGCTTTCGCCGCTTTGTTGGAATGGCTAGCTCTCTTGTTGTCCGGAGACTTATGTTTCTTGCTGGTAAGGAAGATATGTCAACGGACTCGGTGGATGCAAACGAACCCTCCGGCGGCGCACTCCGGGTATGGTGGCAATAGGCTCGAACATGTGCCAATGTCATTTGCTTGAGGGTGGTGTCGTGATAGATTCAGATAGTTCTATGCCCGAGATATGCCCGAGATATGCCCGAGCTCTCCAGCGGGGTCGGGAACACCATTGAATGCCTCTCCGCTCCGACATGTACACATCACTCCATCTACCTGGTATTGAGTAGCGCTTTGGCACCCTTCGAGAGCCGGCAAGTTGGAGATACCATGACAGAAACCACAAAGCCTCATCTCCTCACTCTTCCACCCGAGATCAGAGAATACATCTACCGCCTCATCCTCCACCCCTCCGCGAACCGCTCCTCGATTGCAGACGGATATGCCCTTCAAAACTACAGCGCTGCCCTCGTCCTCTTCAAGCTAAACCACCAGATATACATCGAAAGCCGCAAGATCTTCCGCGACCTCAATATCTTCGTCCGTATCGAAACGCCATGGCAAGAAGCACAGAGCCATGTATCTTTAGAAGGCCATGTCCCCATCTTGGCGAAAGGCGAAGAGGCGGCGAGGTTCAATGGTCACACCATGAGTGTCATCATTGATGCTCCGGAGAGCCCATTACAGGCTACGGAGACCGAGGCGTTCGTCATACTGCTGGAAGATCTTGAGAAGTTCTGTAAGGTTTGGTTCTACGCGGACCTCACGCACCCAGGCCTCAATAGGTTCTTACGCCTATCTTTGAGGCTCAGAGACCCGCATACACCTTCGTGGGATGAGAAAAGGATACACAAAGCGGTACAGAAGCAGCTGCTGTTGCCATTTGGGCAAGTAAAAGATCTCAAAGAAGTGGTCATCTCCGGTGACCCTAAGCCGCTACCCTCGATTGAAGCAGAGTTGCGAGAAGCTCAGAAGACACCGCATCAACGCCCTGAGCACTGCCTGCGCGAAGCAACGCAGCTGAAGCTGGACGGCAACGTAGAGCTCACTGCAGGCAATTACACAGCAGCATTGAAGAAGTATGTCGAGGCGTGGGAGGCAATCCACATTGTCATCCGCGGTCGTAAACGGCATATCCACGCCGATAGCTTCTTCCAAGGCGAGCTCAGAGAGCCACCCTACGAAGGCAAGAACGGGCAGAGCGAGCGACTAATTCTGAGGGTTCAGCTGGTAGCTAACACCTGTCAAGCTTACCTCAAGCTAGAGGACTGGGACTCGGCGAGCTTCTGGGGCATGCGCTCGATCAAGATGCTTCGAGAAGCCATGGGCGCCGATGACACGCAAGAGCTGCCGCCGGAAGATGAGGCTGTGTTGGGCTTTCCAGCTGCAGATCAGATGGGCAAGATCTATTACCGCACGGCGCTGGCATACAAGGAGATGGGTGACAAAGTGCAGGCGAGGAAGCTTTTACGGGTGGCGACGATTTATCTGCCCAGGGATGAGCATGTGAGAAAGGAGTTGGCTGCTTGTGCGTTGAGGATCGGCTAGGAGTCGCCTATGAAACGTGCGACTTTACCGCCACCATCCACTTCTTTTCGTCAACATCAGCTACACTTTTCTCCACCCACGCAGTCACCGAAACGATTCAGCGCTGTCTTTGCATCGCGGCCAAATGTTTAACGACATCGGGAGAGCCAGAGCAGTCAGCAGATGTCCCACCGTCCACTCGCAGAACTGTGTTACAGGTCAGCATGCTCACTGTAGTCATCGCGATTGAAACATACCATGACCAGTGATGAACGAAGCGTCTTCACTCGCGAGGAACAGCACGGCCTTTCCGACCTCCTCTGGCTTCCCAGCCCTGCCCATCGGGATATTGCTGAGCATGTCGTCTCGGAGCGCAGGCATCTGCGAGAAACCCGCTGTCATCGGCGTGTCGATCAAGCCTGGAGCGACCGCGTTGACACGGATGCCATCTTTTGCATGGTCAAGCGCTATAGTCTGGACGAGGTTGATGACTGCCGCCTTTGACGCTGCATACGGGCTGATTGACATGGCACCGCTCAAACCAGATGTGCTGGCCGTGGCGATGATGGACCCCTTGCCTTGCTTCTGCATATACGGGATGACGACCTTGGAAAGATAGAACAGACCGCCGAGGTTCGTGAGTAGGACTTTCTGGAACACCCCGACGTCCTGGTTCGGAACATGGGCCGGTGGACAGAGCATCCCGGCATTGTGGAAAAGGATGTCGATGCGGCCATGGATCTCCACACAGGCTTGGACGGCGGCCTCACATTCCTCTGGCGACGAGACGTCGCATTTGCAGAAGCCGACATTCTTGGAACCAAGATATGAAGCAATGTCACGCTCCTCGAGGTCAGCGATGAAGACTTTGGCGCCTTCTGCGAGGAAGAGAGATGCTGTCACCGCGCCTATACCTGATGCGTTTGCGCCGCCTGTGATGAGGACGACGTGATCTTGGAAGCGGTGAGCGGCCATCGTGTTTGAGAGAAATATCTGTATGCGAAGGCGTGGTTGATGCCTACCTGGCGGAAGCATTTGCATTGAAGTCTTTTATAGTCGCGTGAGGACCAGTGCGACTCTGCCCAGCTGCTCCAGCCAGCCACTCTTCAACCATGACAGCTGACCCGGAGGAATAGACATTCAGCTCATACCCTACATCGCACTCTGCGACCGGCGATGCACGCAATAGAACATCTGCGACTCTGCCACAGCCCGAAGAACCACGCTTTCCTGATTGGGACAGATCTCACGACTTGCATGATGCAGGGCCCTCGAAACGGCGGCCGCTCTTACGCGCAGGGCTGGCAGGTCGCATCGGAGTCTGGACGCACAGGTCTTACGTGGTGGTTCCCAGCCCACAATTCAGCAGAACGTCTCATCACTGGCCGCTCAGACGAGGCAATTTTCAGGCGTCCCCAAGCGGCTTTCAGCTGAACCTTCCGAAGCAATGGGAACGAGAACGACAGCCACTGGCATGCTTGACCAGATACTTTGTCTCACCTGGGGTGCAGTCTACTCGGCATGTTTACTCCGTAACATGAACCATGGCCTGAAGAGCGGATGTTGGTTTGAGACGACGCCGACTGCTCTTGTTCGAGCACTTCTGGGCTGGTGAGGCTGGGCCATTGCCCTGGCGCATGTCTTAGTGTGAGAGGATTTGCGTTTGTGCATTGGTCGATGAGCATTTCCAGTCTTTGTTCGAACAAAGAACCCGAGACACGCGCTGGAGACTCACGGCTATTTGCAAGTCAGCATACATCAGCATGTTCTTTGGCAAGACTTCGAAGCTGGAAGGCTCCAACCGCGAGACTACATTCACCCTACGCGAAATCATTGCTTGCAGATGTAGTCGCACTCTGAACGCATTGCCGCCGGTTTTCAGACTCCAGCTTCTCCGCCGCTCTTCAGCACTAAGTCAGGCATGCTTCGAAAGCTAGCGCTCGGCGGGCAAGACTATTATTGTACAGCAGAATGTCACAGGCTGCTCTGCAACGACAACAGCATATACTATGAACCGCCGCTCAATGGCCGGTTGACGCTACCATAACGAGACGCACCCAATGGCCGCTGTAGTGGAGATTCCTACTTACGGCGCATAGCCTCATCACTCGATATACCACCCCATCCGACGACCAATGACATCAGTATCCCGTGCCTCCGAATCGGCTGTCGACCACAAAGGCATTGTCTTCCGCCAGTGCCTAAAAATGGATTGAGCGTCACGCTTTGTCTTTGGCCTCTTTCTGTATTCGCCTTAATGTTGGCTCTCGCCGAGATGTGGCTTCCCAATCATACTCCTGCCCCCACCAACCTAGACCTCAAACACACTTCAGAGAGTCATTGTACAGCAGTCTATTCACACAATGTCCGAACGCAGTTCTCAGGTTTTGAAGAGGAAGATCCAAACCGAAACTACGCTCGCCGAGCGTGGTCTCAAGAAACTCGCCATTGATGCCTCTCAGCCATCACAGAAGCCGATGCGCGCACGGGGTGTACTGCAGCGTCGGGTTCACCAAATTAGTGCAGAGCGAAGCCCGTACGCCCTCATGTCAGACGAGAGACATTCGGGCAGGTGCACTCGTAAGCTGAAGTCCTTGGAAGAGCTGGAGGACAAGCCTGAGTACCTTGCTGACCTGTTCTCTAGCACGCACGACTTGATGACACAGAACTGGACGACACTCAGAATCTATACCACCATCGAGCACGTCTCTGGCAACAAGTTCAAGCACTGCTACCAGAAATTCGAACGGTCGCAGATTGTCGGCATATTCACGGAGCTGTGTTGCGAGTACGATGCTGCAGTCGCAAAACTCCATCGCACCGGATTCACCGTAGTAGAAAATTGGTCGTCGTTTGCTCAAGAGCTCTTGCGCTGTGGAGAAGATGCCGATGTTGGTGAGTCGAAGGTGGTCGAGATCAAGCCTGCGGAACCACACAGGACGCTGGCCTTGTTAGGATGTGAGGGCGTGCGGGCCGTCGAACATCGACTGCACACCCAGTGGGTGGAAGCCGATGATGCCGACGACCTGGAGCTTGATAACAAGCTCGACATGTCCCACGAGCCGGACACTAGTGAGGGCAGAGAAGAGGACGATTGGGACAAGATGGATATTGACTAGATGTGGTCGGCGGTTCCATGACAATAGTAAGTACTAATGCAATCGATTCTTAGTTCTCGCGATCTTCTAGCGTTAAATCACGAGTTTAAGTCGACTTCTGTGCATTGGCTTTTTATCTAGCAACAACGTACTGACAAGCAGTGGCCAGAATTCATAGGCCCGTAGAAATGTTGGTGGACTCCACGAAGACGTCCACTGCGCCTCCTACGCTCTCTTTCTCTCAACACACTGCAACTGTATAGCAGCACAGCACCGCCGAGTACATAAGTCGAAGCCTACCGCCTTCAACCATTGCAATTCGCAATACACAAGATGTCCTGGACAGAGATGCCATGCGTCACTCGCAGGTCCCTACGACACCAAAGTTCACGACACCCTCAACGACGCGTCGAGGTCCTTCACCTGCCACAACGGCTTTTTTGTCGACTTCACCATAACAATGCATTGTGTATGTGTCGTGAGGCATTGTCCTCGACACTTCGAGGAGCATATATGGTATCGGAGGACCAGTCTGCTTCCTCTCCTCCAGAAACACTACCACCGCTACGACCGACGGCTGTACACCAAGTACAGCGCTTCCTTCAAACCGACAAACCCACAACACCGCACAAACAACAACACCCGCCCGCACCAACAGAATGCCGTACACGAACAAGCGGGCGATGCGCCTCCCATCGCGCAGCGTCTCTCCGCAGTTCAGACCGGTCGACGTCGACCAGCAGGACACCTCCGACGGAGCCTCCGATCCCGCGACCTCGGAGTCAGGAACACCAGGCCGTCCTTCCGATTCTGGCAAAGCCTCATACAGCACGAGGAGGGCAGAGAGGAAAGCTGCGGCCAACACTGACGCTGAGTCTTCGAAAGAGGAGGACGAGGATGCGCAGAGCACAGAAGGTACCACTTCGGCCAGCAACAGCGAGTCGAACGCAGACGAAAATCTAGAAGATGCTGAAGGATCGGATGAGGACGATGGTTCGAACGTTCAAATCGTCAAGACATCCTCACCTCAAGTCGACACGGCCCCGATCCAGCGTCAAATCAAGAGGCTCACCATCAAAGGCCCCAAGCTTGGCACGCACACTCCACACGGTACAGCCTACGCCAGGGGTGTCTACCAGCGTCAAACCGATCTGAAGAAGGTCATTGCGAAGCGTATTCCGTACGAAAAGATGTCCGACAAGCAGCGATCCGACCACTGCACGTGCCTTCTCAACAACCTTACCGCCACGCTCGGCAAATCGGATACTCTCGTCGACATGATGTTCAAGGTGCGTCAGCTGATGGGGCAGAACTGGAGCAGGCTCAAGGTGTACACAGAAGCCATCGACGGCGCGCGCGACGACAAGTCTAATCGGGACCACCGCCAGTTCCAACGCTGGCAAGTCATCGGCTTGCTCGTTGAGGTGTGCCGCAACTACCACACCGAGGTCGTCCGGGCAGAGCGCGATGGTTTTAAGCTCGATACCACCTCTGCGGACGAGGAGTGGCTAAGGCTGCTGGACGAGCTTCTCCTACGCGGTGAGTATGCGGAAGCCTTCGAGTCCGACCTCATCAAGATCGAGGAACTCAGTAGTGAGGGGAGCGGGATGCTGGCTCTGTTGGAGTCCGACGGTCTGCATGGCGTTGACCACTACGTCCACAACAAGTTCGTCGACATGGAAGCGGAAGTGTTCGTAACTGATCACTGGCGGCTGCCGTCAGACGAAGACACGGACGTTAGCGACAGCGAAGACAGCCTGGCGGACAAGGGTGATAAAGGTGGCGAGGGCGGCCAGCAGGGCGACTCGGAGGAGATGGAAGGAATGGATATGATGGAGGGCACGGTGGATGTCGATGAGACCGACGCAATGGACATCGACTAGATGTCGGTGGGTGATGTGAGGAGAAACTGAGAATGTACGATACAAGACGATGTGGGTGGGTCATTTTGTCTGCAAAATTCGCGGTGACGGCGGCGGCGACTCGAAGGATACTGGTGTGCTTCTGTCTGCTACCTCCTTATCGCTGTCGCTGAACAAGCTGCAGTGTGAACATAGTATTTGTATTAACGTCATCTACCCAATGCTAGAGCTTTCCCATTCTCTTCTAGCTTAAAACCTGCCATGTCTTCCAAAGTGTTCTTCGTTTTAAACAAGTGAATCAGGATTGACTGTTACTACTGTGCTCCTAAACTCGGTTGGACATGATATTATCTGGGAACCTCGGCGACGACATGCTTGCCCACGGGATCGATCCATCGTACTGAGTCAAGAAACGTCGATTGATACTCTTATCCAACAAAGAAACTTAAGACACAGACGCAGAAGTCATTGCTGCTGATGTACCATTGCTACTGCTCTCTTGTATTCAAACATGCCCTTCGTCGTCGTAAGGAGCACACTGCAGGCCTCTATATCCGTTTTACTACGACAGGGAGGTCATTCAAATGCTCTCGATCATGCAGTCTCTATATTGGTTTCCAACAGCTCCTTCGCTTGTCCTCCAAATTATACATCAATAGCATCGACCCAAGTATCGCCGTTCAACCACCATCGCAGCTGGTGAATGTACCTGTATTGAGTGCCTTCAACACCAACACGACACGCAGCAATGGGCCGACACTGCACCTAGCTTTGGGCGTCGAGGTCACTTGCTAGGAACAAAGGCATTGTACTCGACACATCCACGACAATGGATTATATACCTCGCCGCGTCGACACATCTCGACACTTCAGGTGGCATGTATGCCGCTGCTGGAACACCCTGCTCCTGCTTCTTGATAATCCAGAAACATACACTACCAGCAAGACACGCAGTAAACCACCTCCAACACTCCCACCCAACCAACCGAAACACCCCTCAAGACCTCCAACAAAACACCCGACCTCGACAACACCAGCATGTCGTCCGACTCCTTCCAAGCTCCGCTGAGCTCTTCAACATCACCGGCATTTCGCTCGAGAATTTCGACACCACCGTCACGGCTGCCGACTTGGCTTTCCTCGCTGAGATCGACGCCGCCGCAGTTGAGTACGCCCAGGGCAAATTCGTCCTTCCCGGACGCACAGGCCTGGCCAACCTCGACGAACTCATCGCAGGCTTTGTCCGCAATGGTCCAGACTCAGAGGAAGGGCGCAAGGTGTGTAACTTTCTCGGGTTGGAGTACTTGATCGATCCCCCCCCAAAGCCTGCAGGCCTGGAGAAGCTGATCAAGGGGACCTGCACGCTCCAAGGCCAGGACTGGAAGAGGTTTACGCTTTACACCGATCCGAATGAGCCAGGACCAGACAGCGGAACCAACCGGCCCACCATCACCCGGCGCCACGATACGGTCATCAAGTTCTTCGTCCTGGTATGCGAGCGGTGGTACAACATGGCCGCCAGGGCGACTCAAGCCGGATACCAGCTCGACCACGCGGTGATGGAGGCCAACTGGCTGCCAATCATGGCCGACCTGGTAGCGTATGGCGAGATCGCGGACGGGAGCGAGCTAGATATGGTCTATTCCGAGTCCGAGAGGCCGGGGGTGACGGCATTGTTCGCGGGAATGGTGGATGAGGGCCGTACGAACGTTGAGTCGAAGGGGGTGAACGACGAGGGCGCCATCGAGGACAAGATTGCGGCGCGGCGCTTGGAGGCGATGGACTTGGACTAGGTCGCATCGTTTGGTGACGGCAAGACGGCGATGGGTGGGAGAATGGACGGGTCTTCGTGGTGACGGTGACGGCAGGGCGACAACCGGAGAAGGTGCATCACTGTGTACCGAAGTATCGGTCTCCTGCTGTTGTCGTTGAACAAGCTGCAGTGTGTTTAGCATTCGTAGCGTAACAAGGCGTTCTCACACCATATCGCTTCCTCTCCTTTCTTTTTGGTCTTCATGAAAAACGTAATCACAACTTTGTGCCTTCGTCCTGCTCCAGATGTTGTATCCTGAAATTTACTGCTTGTATGGCTGACATGTTTATGCCTTCTTGCCTTTACATGAAATTTGCAGAAGCGTGAAATGCGTAACGCGAGAAGCGGGTCACCCTATATTTTCCTACCTCTAAGGTCTTCTACTGCCAGCTCGGAGTCTGATATGGCCCGTTGCGCACGGCGTGTCAGCAGAAACTATCTAACCGCTTTCCTTTGGGGTTTGTGAAGGCGCCGTTAGCGAAAAAAGTCTGCTGGTCATCATTCTCGGCATACTGTAAATGACCGACTCGCCATGTGTAGTTGCAGCGGTCGGAGATAAGGATTAGTGCCTGAAGAGAAGAAGGAAGAAGTTTCGGAAGGAATGAGGTTGTGATATAGCGTAAGTAATGTCCGTGCACGCGGCGGCCTTGGCTTTCCCGAAGTCCGCCGCAGGGAAAAGTGATGATGGATGCGATGGAAGTTGGGATGCCATTGATCGATATCACGGTGCAATGAACGTTGGCCAGAGGAGCGCAAGGCGGCTTGCTAATACCAATGGTAATGCTCAATGGGATACAGAAGAAGTGCATACCAGCTCACGCGACCACAGCACCCCTCTCGCAACACGTCTGCATCTCCTGTCGACTCGCCAACCAATCTCGAGGCTATGCCGCAGCGGCAGCGGTAGCAGAGCAGCAAGACCAGACCTACGATGAACCGCCAGTCCCTCCAGTCACCCAGACCGGGCCACAGAAAGCATACCGCCTCCTAGCCTCTCCCGTCCTCTCACGACCTCCCTTATTGACCCGTGAACTCACGTCCTTCGAGAAAGCCTACTACCTCTATCAGAAGCGCCTGAACGAGCGATTATCCATACCTTTTTCTCGCTATTTCTACTACAAGAAAGGCACACCAGGTGATGCCGAATGGAAGCGAAAGCGCGCAGTCCGGAAGACTGCAGCACGAGACATCGGCCTCTACTCCGGCTACGGCGACGAAGCGTGGAATGACGAAGTGCTTATCAATGACGAGACTGCAGAGCCGGGCAACCAGGTAGAGGCTCTGATCCGGGATGCCGAGGGCAAGGACATCGTCGAATCGAAGCCGGTTGGCGATCCAGAGACGGGCGGGGAGCAAGTCAGCGGTGACGAGATGATGGGAGAGGGTGTGCGGAAGGAGCTGTCACAGCAGCAGCAGATCGCTATCGAGCGGCCGGCGCCAAGATTCACGGAGGCGGATGAGAAGAACGATCTGAGGAGTCTGAACCGCAAGCTAGATCGAGCACTCTACCTGCTCGTCCAGAGGAAAGATGGCTCGTGGCGCTTCCCTCAAGACCGCGTTTACGGTCGCGAGAACCTACACCAGGTACGCTCATCCTCTACCACTTCCCCCATCCTACTAACATTCCCAGGCCGCCGAACGCACCCTAATTCAATCTCTGGGCATCAACATGAACACCTGGATGGTCGGCAACCACCCCATCGGCCACTTCAGCCTTCAATTCAACGCCCCCGAAACCACGCGCATCATGCCGAACCGTCTCGTCTCCACAGCCACCGACTCCTACGAGCAAGAAGAGTACGGCGAGAAAGTCTTCTTCATGAAAGGCCGGATTATGGCTGGGCAGGCGGATGTGAGCAAGAATGAGTATGGGGACAAGGCTTTCCAGTGGTTGGCCAAGGAGGAGGTGCAGGAAAGGGTGCATCCGGGGTATTGGAAGAGTGTGCGGAATATGCTGACGGAGAGGTGAGGTGGCATGGGTGTAGGAGAGGTGTAGTCATATTGTATACTTTATGCATAAGCGTTCATCATAACTCTTGTCACCATTCTATGCTTTACACTTTGCCGCTGAAATTCAAGTTAGATAGCATCTATCATCCTGCTGTCGCGTTTGTACACGCAGGTCTACGCCCTAAACACCCTAACCTTCTGCCTTATCCCCTTCCTGCAAACCGGACAACCCGCTGCTCTCTTCGGCCTCGTCCGATCATGCTGCAGAACCGGGGAATGCTGCTCGCTACACCACCGACACATGACCAAATGCCCGCAAGGCAGACACGCTACTTCCGCCAACTGTGTATAGCAGACCTTGCACTCCATCTGCACCTTCAACTCGGCATCCTCCTTCGGCTCCGGACGGCCAGAGTCCGCGGCGTCGAGCCCTTGCGCTTCGGGCTCGGCTTCTTCTTCCGAGCTGGAGGTCCCAGAATCGCCTCCTTCGTTCAGGTAGTCGGAGAGTGTAAGTTGGCGATAGATGCGCGGTGGACGGCCCATGAAATTGTTGGCTTGGAGGCGGCGGAAGGCGGCGTGTGTGCCTTCCTCGTTTGTAGTGGTGGTTGTAGCGTCGCGGGCGGCTTGCTGAGCGATCAAGTTGTCGGAGCCAGTTTGCATGGCTTGGCGTCCTGCGGCAAGGGCGAAGGCTTGTGCGGTTTCGCGGCGGCGAGAGTCGAGTTCTGTGCGGCTGTGGTTGCCGTCGCGGGCTTGGGCGCGGCGTTGGGTGTCGAGATTGTGTTGGTCGGGATGCTGTTCGCCGGCTTGGCTGTCGCGATTGTTGAGGGGAAGTGTGGAGGCGTAGGTAGTCATTGACAACTCCCATATCTCCGGACTTTCACGCATGCTCTGCAGCACCGCAATGTCCTCTTCGGTCCGTTGGCCTGCCTGGAGGCGGTACAGCACCTGCAGCCTCTCTGGCGGGCTGAGATGCTCTGCTCGCCTGCGCACCTGCGCTGACATCTGGTACGTTTGGGCGAGGATCTCGAGGGTGAGATAGGGGTTGTATTTGTCTACCCATTCTTGCACGGGATAGCCCCTCCCACCGGTGCGCAACAAGAGATCTGCTGTGACGGTAGCACTGTCTCCGGCAATTGCCCTACGGCGTCGTAACCACTCCGCGGGTAAGCGCAACCTCCAGAAATTTGCGGGGTCGGACACCATATTATGGATGGCGTCGTCTACCATATCAAGATCGCCACCTCGGATTGCATCAAGCACTGCCCGAAGGTCTTGTGGTGATGTCCATAAGTCACGCCGGAGTTCTTCATCTTCTGCTAGACAAGCGAGAACGTACTCAAGATCTTTCGCAAACCACGCATCAAGCGGCCAGACGGAGTGAGGCGCATCTTCGGCATCTCCCTCGTCAGGCTCGCCACCGAGTAGCGGCGACGTCTCGCGTTCGGTTACTTCTCGCACCCTCGCGGCCCGAATAGCGTTGAGCATACTGTGCGGGAAGTTGTCGGTAGGGGCTCCAGCAGCGGCGGCTTCTTCCAGTGTCACTGCATTACCGTCGTTCTGAGTCTCTGACTGCGGTATTCGGTCCTGTGATCTCAGCATCGCGTAGTACTCCTGCAACATGGTCTCATCGCTCGTCGGAGCCAGGTGTGGTGGTGCGTCTAGAGCATTGTCCCGCGCTGCCTGCCGCCATGGAACACCCCATAAATCCCTTTCTCTGGCCTCCAGATCTGCTAGTCGCCGTGATTCCTCCTCTCCGCCCGCTGCAGCCTCAGCAGCAAGCACTTCTCGCAACGTCCGCTCCTCAGCTCTAGCCTCTTCAGCGGCCCGAAAGCGCTCTTCAGCCCGGGTGAACATGCCGCCAATTGGACTCTCGTAGTTCTCACCCTGGGCAATGATCTCCTCACGAGTGCCAAACAGACGCATGTAGTTCTCTGCCGTCCGTTGCTCACGCTGTAACTGCTGCAGCCGCTGCTGTGAGCTACGGAACTCAGTCTCCGCGTGGTCAAACTCAGAGGCAGCGTGGTCACGCGCGTGACGGGCCTCATCAACCTGCGCGCGGGCCTCTTCTACTCGGCTTTGAGCACCTGTGAGTGTGCGATCTGGCCGAGATTGGCCTCCAGCACCCTGTCCAGCGCTCTGTGTACCAGCATTGCCACTGTCGACTGGTTGGCCTACCTGCTCCGGAAGCGGTGCGATGTTGTCTAAAGTCTCACCCAAAGCCAGAAGGCTTTCGGTCGTCTCCGACTCCACGGAACCAGGAACGTCTTCTCCAAACTCTCGCAGACCAGACACCAAGCGTTCGATACCGCGGCGCATGCGATTGAGCTCTCGCCTTAGAGCAGTGACACGTCGAAGCGAGTACTCAGCGTTGCGAGAAGCAGCAGGGTTCATAGCTTGCGCATGGATGTTGTGCCGGAGCGGGTGGTCCGACGGCATTCGTATTGGCATGTTTCGATCTTGAGAAGGCTGAGGTGCTCTGACAGCGGGCTCCGTGGGTGTTGCAGCTTCCTCCAGTGAAGCATCCTCAAACATCTGCTCCAAAGTATCATCCAGCGATGGTCCACTCGGCTCCTCTGGCGGTGTATACGTTTGTCGTGACTGCTGCACTTCCTCCCCTCGCCGCCTCCCCTCCCTCATTTCCTCCACTGTTCTTGGGAGATCTCCAGGACTGACATCCCTGAAAGGCTCTCCTAGCACTGCCACCCTCTCTTCACTGCCATCCTCTTTCTCAACAGTCCGGTAGCCTTCGTGGAATTCATACCACTTCTTTAAGAAGTCCGTTTGATCTGGCACTTCAGGTATCCTCGTCTGCCCTGGCCTCAGTCCGCTGACCTCAACTCTACGTTGCCAGAACTCTTTACAGAACCAACAGTACCGCTGCCATCGATTCCCTCTCGGTACAAATCCAATGCCATCGATATACGTGCTGTAGGATGCAGAGTGGGCCCGTTCATCGGCACACGCGCAGCAATTCGGGATTGAGGTTAGTCGGCACGAGGTTGGGAGTTTGTGCTCGCAGTACTCTGGCAAGCGAGTCTGGTCGGCCGTAAGTGTGCCCATGTTGAAGTGTAGACCACCATTCGGATGTGATAGTCAGATGCGGTTGATGCCAAACTTCGAGAAGCTCAATTAGCAGCTACAACCCATATCACGTGATCAGCCCTAATCCGACGTCATCTTGTCCTGGCTTCTTCCCTTTCACTAGCCTTACGCGATGTGATATAACTGAGCAAAATCAAAAACGCCAGGGACCCGCCAGACCACATCACATCCACAGCGAAAAGATGAAACTTTCAACAGCATCCTTGAAGGTTTGGCCTCCTGAATACTATGGAGGTGTTCCACTGGGCTCTCCACCAAAGACCGACAGTAGCCGGATATCGAAGTCTTCACAGCAATCTACTAGCATCCTCAACGTTGGAGACCATGGATGCTCAAATAAGAGTCTGCCGGGTCCAAGTCCACACGATCTAGGTCTTCGCCTCTTCTCTCAGTGCTGAGCTTTTGGCTGCGGACGCAGCACCGCTATTGGTGTCGTTGCGTACGCCATGCCTTCAGATCTCGGCGCCGAGAGGACCAGAAGAACTCTGTCTGCAACATCGGATACGAGGTCGATACATAGCTCGGGAAGCTGCCCTCGAGATAATTTTTCTTCACCTTCGCCTTCTCGGGATTCTCTGGCCCAAAACGACACTGTCGAGGACGAACGCCAACCACTCATATCATCTCGACACAGTCTGGACTACCAATCAACCGCCATCATCAACATGGACAAGTCGTTATCGAACTCGAGCAGAGACTCCAAGTCCTCACCTCCCCAACAGCGTCGACGCTCCAGTGTTGTCAACACAGACGACGATGATGCACTTCGCCTTGCTGAGCTCGGATATTCTCAAGATCTTTCCCGGAAGTTCTCTGTCTGGTCATTACTAGGCGTGGGCTTCAGTCTCACCAACTCATGGTTCGGGCTGTCAGCTGCCTTGGTCACTGGAATCGACTCTGGCGGCACCGCGCTCATTATCTACGGCGTCATCATCGTGGCATGCGTCTCGACCTGCGTGGCCATCAGCCTTGGCGAGCTCGCGTCTGCGATGCCTTCGAGCGGTGGGCAGTACTTCTGGGCGCAGGAGTTGTCTAACGACCGTTGGAAGAGAATCGCAAGCTATGGAGTTGGGTGGAGCTCTTGGGCAGGGTCTATCTTCTGCTCCGCCAGTGTGGCTCTGGCCTTGGCGTTTATCGTGCTAGGAATGTGGCAGTTGAGTCATCCTGAGTAGTAGGTTCCCCAGTGCGTTTCGTTTGACACCCAGAGCGCCTTTCCTTTCGGGCTGGCCCACAAGCGACTGCCCGAACCGGAGCAACGAGATTGCAAGGACCCCACCCGGATGCCAGAGCAGCAAGTCTGGGACGAAGGACATGAAAGTCTTACCAGAAGCACCACATAAATCGGTAGCCAAGCAACCCACAGGCGACAAACAAAGTGTGCACTTGCCGCATGACTCGAGGACGGCGTCGGTTGTAGGCCTGATGTCGCTCTCCGTGCTCGTAACGAACCAACGGTCTGCTCTCCGGTACATGGGGCTCTTCAGCATCTTTCGCTGAATGGAGAAGGATTGCGTTAAACAAGCAGTCAATCGCCCTCTGTAGCTCGAGTATGCCTGTGGCTAGGTGGCCTGAGGACTTACCTGATGACTTGTTCTTTGCTCATTGTGAATATGAGATGGAGAAATGCTGACACAGAATTAGCGTTGTCGACAAATACCACGTCTTCGCAGCCTACCAGCTCATAAACGCGTTTGCTGCGCTGTTCAATTGCTACGGCAAAGCACTTCCTTGGACTGCAACTGCCACTCTATACGTGTCGCTGCTGTCCTTCTTCATCATATTGGTAACAGTGAGTCTACTGTAACACCCCTCAGTATTCTCGCGAAAGCTAACAACTTCTCAGGTCCCTTCTGTGACCCCAGAACACAAACCAGCGTCTTTCGTCTTCGCGACGTTCATCAACAACACAGGATGGGATCAAGCCGGAATCGCCTTCATCGTCGGCCTGATCAACACCAACTGGCCATTCTGCTGTCTCGACTGCGCGACGCACTTGGCGGAAGAGGTCCCCAAACCCGAACGAAATATTCCAATTGCCATCTGCGGCACTGTGGCCATCGGTTTCACCACCGCCTGGTTCTTTGCAATTGCTATGTTTTTCTCCCTCTACGGCGACTTCGAGCAGCTCGTCTCCACGCCGACTGGCGTCCCGATCCTTGCTCTATTTCACAGCGCTCTGACTGGCCGCAGCGCACAGGTCGCTGGCGCGATTATTCTCGAGTCACTCATCCTGACCACCGGCCTGGGATGTCAAATTGCAAGCCACACCTGGCAATCCCGTCTCATGTGGTCTTTCGCTCGCGATGGCGGCGTCCCTTTCAGCAAGTACTTCGCCCAATCCAGCGAGAAGCTCGACGTCCCGATCCGCGCTCATCTGACTTCCTGCGTCCTCGTGGCAGCCGTGGGCTCTCTGTACCTCGGCAGCTACACCGCCTTCAACTCAATGGTCACAGCAACGATCGTACTGCTCTACATTTCTTACGCAGTCCCCATATTCGCGCTCCTTTTCGTCCGAGGCCGCGACAACATCCGACACGGCCCCTTCTGGCTCGGCAAAATCGGGATGGTCGCCAATGTCGTTGTGCTGTGCTGGACGCTCTTTACTCTGATCATGTACAGCTTTCCATACACCAAACCGGTTGCAGCGGACAACATGAACTACGTCAGCGCGGTGTACTTTGCTGTTTTTGTCATTGCCGCGGTGGATTGGTTTGCCAGAGGCCGAAAGCAGTACGGGCATCCTAAGGAGAGGCGGCACACGCTTGTGGCGGAGGTAGTGGAGAGGAGGGCTAGCGCTCCGGTTGATGAAGTGGTGCGGTAAAGTTGTTAGAGGCGCAGGCAGTACGATGGAATAGAATAGAGATCGCGGACATCCCTTCCCATTGCAGAGAAGAAAGAACTGCGTCTGATTTACTTGCGTCATTAGACCGCTTACTCATTGAACACATCGTTCCTGGATCACGTCTGCATGCCGTGTGATAATTTGAGGGACTGTTGAACCAGTGGAGAGAATAACAGAGACTGGGGCGAGAAGGGTCACGATTTCAGTCACGTGCTCCTCGCGCCTTCTTCGCGAGGATCTTGGCGCGTCGCGTGGCTTCTGACTTCATCTCTTCAATCTTCCCACGTGAACTTCTGAAATCTCTCGACCACATGGCACCCGAAACATGTCGGCTGCCGTTTTTCGCAGTGGGACACCGTCACTAAGCATACAACAAACACAGAACACCGCTTTGATACTCGAGTTCAACTGCCTATGGACGAACGATATCCGGCGGAAGCAGAAACGGTGGCAAGATGGTTTCCTACGTTACCACACCTTCAACAAGCGTGTTATGGTGTACGACGACTCCCGCAACTTCGTTGGCGACGCTCACTGGAAGTCGAGCGACGTACTGCAGGATGGGGATAAAGTCCGGCTGGAGAAGGGCGGGGTTCTTGTGCAGGTTGCAGAGAGTACTGGAACGACTGAGACCGATCTCACGGAGCTGCGGCAGAGCAAGAAGAAAGCGCCTGGAGAGAATGGCTCATCACCTGCCGCTCCACGCTCGATGATGCCAGCACCGAGACCTCCCGGCTCTGTGATGCGGCCAACGACCCAGTCGAAGCATCGCTCCCTCAATGCACTGCTCGGGACGCCGAAGGCACCGCTTGGGAAGGCTGCTATGCCAATACGGTCTCCATTTGAGGAGAGGCATGCTGGGGCAGAGAACGAGGAATGGGAAGGTGGACGTCCGCAGAAACGTCAGCGAATGCAGCCACCGCAACCTTGGACCATCGCAAGAACTACCAAGCCCACCAAGGCGAAGGAAGCGCCGTTATGGGCTCGTACCGCAGACTCAGCCGCAACTCGTCAGAGGCATATCCCAGCGCCTATGGGGCAGCAGCGGTTAGTTACAAAGGAAGTTATCGATCTTTCTGAAGATCCTGTCGAACCACAGCCGAACAAATTTCTTGATGGATTCTCAAGCGATGCGCTGGTGCCACCTTCTTCGCCTCACGAGCCTGTGGCTAGAAATGAGAAGCCAGCGACTCGGTCAAGCTCGACGGCTTTCCAGATGCAAGGTCCCAACCGTGTTAAGGAGAGTAGCAGACGAGTTGAGGCCATCTCAGAAAATGACGCTACTCCTGCACGCGTGAGGCCTCCGTTGGCTCCAAAACCAAGAGTGAGTGACGGCGCCGACACTGACGGCAGCCAGCTCGTGGGTAGAGCTCCAGTACCATCTCCAGAACGACCCCGGCGGGTGAGAACAGAGTCAATTCTAGCTGACGACGAGACAATGCGATCACCAAGCAGGAATACCAGTAGGACGCTGAGAATGGCGGCGGGTGCACCAAAGAAGAGAACTCTGCTATGTCAAGACCAAGTGTCTCAAAAGACATCACGGACGCACTCTGCCAGCACCGAGGCCGCCATCGGCACGTTGCTGGATGCCACTTCCGAAGGCTCAGTACCCCGTAATGCAAAATCGAACAGTCAATGGAGCAAGCTTGATGCAAGACTGGCCAGGATCGCAGAGAAGGAGCGGCGAGATAGTGAACGCGGTCAAGCAAAGGATCATGCTATGCTCGACATACACGCCAAAGGAGATCTCGACCCTCAGGGTGCCATCGACACGATCAAGCAGCCACAAGTAGCCGCAGCTCAAGCTCCGCTTACTCTGGCGCAACTCGATTCGGCCATGCTGCCAACCCCCACTCGACTCTCGCGGAAACCGCCAGCTCCCGACCGGCCTCCATCAAGCGAGCCACGCCAGCTCCGAAGTGTCGTCTCAGAGTCCAACACATGCACCACCTCGGACGAACCAAAGCGCGCCGCAGGTACCCCAGTCCGTCTCACACCCATCCCATCGCGGAGACCCTCAGTAACCGGCCCTCCTCATGCTCCTGAGGTTGAAAAGCGTCCAGTATCCGCCGACCAGAAAACAGCCCCCCCGTCGAAATGGAAGTCGAAGAAGCCGTTCCAGCGCGCTGTTAGTCTCAACGTCGCTTCAAACGGCACTTCGACTGTCATCCTGAGCAAACCATTCAAGACGCCCAACGCTCCGGACACGACACCGCCTCCACCGCCTCGGGAGCCGGAACCGTGGAGTAGAGAGGCGTTTGATCTATTCGAGTGGCGGCCGCCGGGTTGGAATGAGGAGGGCTGGTGTGTGAAGGCGGAAGGGTAGCTGAGTGTGGAGATGAAGAAGTTGGCATGAGGTAGCTTGTACGAAGTAGCAGAAGTTTCTAAGACGTGAATGGCTTTGAACTGCAAGTAGGAGCAACGTTACCATGTAGGTATGAAACCAACCTCAGTACGAGTCAAAGTTTGGATTTCGAGTGTCGTCGCATTCGTGCTATCTAAAGCACTACTAGCAACGTCATCAGAAGCCATGTCGCTTCCGCAGTAGTAGTAGGTAAGCATGCTCATCTTCTCCCATCGCTCCCCGAAGCCAGCAAGCGGATGAGCTCGCCTTCATGATATTCGCAGTCCTTCCGCTCTGCAAGATGCAGTGCAGTCTCAGCACCGCCCATTCCCGTGTCCCATGATGTTACAATGCGCCGTACTCCTTTCATACAACCACAACCCACGAGAAACGCCGCTCATGCACGATGCTTGTCATGCTCGCTCTCTCGCTCATATTCACACAATCCTTCCATCACTCCCGTTCGCACTTCTCACCCACCTTCTTCAAGCATGCTCAGCGCGCATACCCAATCTCATCCTCATACTGTACCCACCCAACAGCGTTAGTAAACTCCCCAGATCCCGCCAGCCTACTAGCCAGTATGAACTTACCTTCGCAACAATCTTCCTCTTCGGCTTCTTCCTGCCCCCTTCCTCCTTCTCCTCCCTCGACATCCGCTTCCCCAGACTCTGCTCCGAACCCCTCCTAAGCAAACTCTCGCGGTCCACGCGCTCACGCTGCCTGCGCTCGCGCTCCTCGGCGTACGGGTCATTGGTCGGCGTACTCGGCGTCTGCGGGGTTGGCTTGTGAGTAGCGCCGCTGGAACGACGGTCGTGCTTGCGTTCGCGGCTGGAAGGCGGTGGCATGGCGGTGTCGAGGACGGGAGCGCGGATGGCGGCGGACCTGGTGCCTTTGATGCGGAAGCCGATGTCGTCGTCTTCGGAGGGGAGGGGCTTGGATCCCTTGCGGTCGGAGCGGTGCGATTCTTTGTCCTTGGACGATCGGCTGTGCTTGGAAGACCGCTCCTTGGACTCATCGTAGTCGTACTTGGATGAGCGGCGGCTGCTCTTGTCCTTGTCGCGCGTGCCGTCGTAACCGAAGTCGGATTCGTTGCGGTGACGGCGGTCGCTCTTGCTCTTGTGGCGCGATTCGTAGTCCTTGTCGTCGCTGCGGCCGTTCATGCTGCCACTCATGTCTTCATCACGAGAGCGGGATCGATGGCGGCGGCGGTGACGATCGCTGCTCCTGTCACGGTAGGAGTGTGAAGAGCGACGCTCATGCTTGTCGCGGTGACGGCGGGAAGAGTAGTCGTCGACCGGAGACTCAGATCTGCCTCTGTCCTTGCGGCTTGACCCACGGCGATCGCCGTCATCTTCGTACTTCCTCTCGCGCTCGCGCTCCTTGCGCTTCCTCCTCTCACGGTCCTTCTCGCGCCGATAGTCCTCATCATCGTCATAATAGTCATCATCCCGCGCCCGAGTGCTCTCCCTACGACTCTCGTGACGGGACCTTGAGTACGACCTCGACCTCTCACGATCCAGATCCGCCCGTGGCGTCGAAGTCTTGATGCCGCTGCTAGTCGTCGACAGAGGCGCGGTAGTCACTGGCTTCGGCTGCTGCTGTGGCCGATGTGAATAGTACCCACTGTTCGGCAAGCCCGCACGCATCGCTTTCGGTCCAGTAGGCGCATTGATTGGCGGAGCAACCTCTGCAGGCGCTGCTGCTTCTCCTGCGACGGCCGTGGCGACGTATCCGTACGCACCGTTGCCTCGACCACTGCGGGGTTCGTAGCCCATATCTTGCTGATACTCCTGGTCTTCATACCCTCCTTCCGCTTGCATCGCCCCACCATCTTCACCTCCAAGCTCTTCACCACGCATACCATCATCTCCAGCCGCAAATTCACCCTCTTGACCTCCAACATCCCCCTCACCACCATCCGTAGCACCGACAACACCCGCATCGCGATCGTTCGTCTCGTCGTCTTCTGAATCATCCAGCAGATCCTCAGCGCCGAAGCATTCACCAAAACCTATATCCCCGCCCAGCCGCTGCCATGCCCCTTGAAACATAGGATCAGAAAGAGAGAATTGGAGCTTACCTTCAGTTCGCATCTTCCGCCTTCTCTCCCAGGTCATCCCTTCCGCCGGGTTGTCCTGGGTCGTGGGCCCTGCGCTGTTAGTAGCTGGATACTCACCTGTGGGATTAGTCTCGTCGCCGTTCTCAGCTCCGGTGTGGTCGTTGGTGTCGTCCCTTGTGATCTTCTCCGTGGCACCGAACATTGGCTCGTATGAGGGCGAGCGCCTACGGTCGTTGCTTGGAGCTGTTGGCATTTTGTCGTGCTGGGCGTCCTGGACTTGGCTCCGTTGCTGCGGACGCGGTGGTGGGTGCTGCTGCTGATGATACTGCTGATTCTGGTTCATGTACCCTGGGCCTTGGTGCTGACCGAAGGGCTGATTCTGCCAGCCGCCACGGCCGCGACCACGACCAGCAAAGCCATCGTTCCAGCCTCGACCTCTATCAAAGCCGCGACCGCGACCATAGGGGCGGTTCCCACCATAACCACGGTTATTATGGAAATTCTGGTGCATGTGATTGCCGTGGAAGTTTGACTGCTGGTTATATCCACCATTGCCAGGGAAGAAACCGGGTGGACCATTTCCACCGCCCATGCCCATGCCGCCTCCGCCAAAGCCGCCTGCCATGCCGCCAAAGTTGCCACCCATGCCCATGTTCATCATGCTCATGTCCCCAAACCCACCACCGAACATCATCGACGGATCCATCATGCCTTTGCGAGGTGGAGGACGCCTCAGCCTGGGCTTCCCCTTGTAGAACTCTCGGGGTGCTAAAGGGGCTGACTTACCCATCATGTTTGGCATCATACCGAAGTTCGGCATGGACCCCATTCCGTTCTGCATACCTCCCATCATCGGGTTGAAGCCGCTCATGTTGTTGAAATCCATATTGTTGAACCCTTGCATGTTCTGGTTGTCGCTTTGCACGCTGTTGAAGTTCTGCTGTTCTCCATGCATGTGTGACTGGTCGTATCCCTCGCTGTAACCAGCTTCTCCGTGCTCTTCACCGCCAGCTTGCTGCTGCTCTTCCTCGTACTCGTGCTGCTCTCGGTCGTCCTCTGGGCGCTCGGTGGTGATCACGATGTCGTCATCGTCGTCAGCTTCCTCATCGCCATCTTCGTGACGTGCGGTCGGAGTAGCGGTGGTGCGCTCCGCGGGTTGTGCCTGGCATGTGCGTCAGTGACAAAACCTATCTCACGAGTGGTGAAGACTCACAGTGTCTTCACCGTTGGTGTCATTCGCGACAGTTGTCTCAACCTGCGGCTCATCCTGGGTCTCCTCGGCCAGGGTGCCATGACCACCCGGCTGCGGGGTCTCCGACGGCGCGGACTCCTTGGGCTGCTTCTGCTCGAGGTTCTTGATGAAGGCCTTGATCGTCAAGCGCAGACTCTTGTTCGGCTTGCAGTCGTTCTTCTCAACCGGAGCATGTGTACAGATAGGACACGTCTCTGGGATAATTTTTGAACCTGAAATAAATCAGCATGGCAGATCCTCATACTGGTGAGCGAAGTGACGTACAACGCTCGCAGACGGTCTGATCGCAGCAGGGCAGCTTAAACGCGTTGACGGCAAGTTTGTTACACGTTGCGCAGCGCAGTTTAATCGGCACTTCTTCCATCTTCAGTGATCTAGCCAAAGTCAGTGATGTGAGCTGCAGTGATACGTTCATATGACTTACACTCCAAGGTCGTAGGAGGCGGCGTCTAAGAGCGCCATGGTGTCAGCCTTGACCGGTTTCAGCACCGGCGGAGCTGTATGAGGTTTCGGCCAAGGTTGAGGTTGCGGTGCGCCTATCACCAGATATGACGCGAGTGTGTGAAAGGACGTGCTGCGGGTGAGCGGGCTCACCGCAGAACGCGGGTGTAGTGAGGTTGTTTCGGTGCGATGTGGTCGCGTGTCGTACTGTCGAAGCTGTTTCTACTGAAGGTTGGAAGCTGAAGTTTGACATGCGCAAGCTGATGTAGGGAAGCTTAGCCGAGGTCACGTGCTGACCGACCTCACCTCATCAATCGAGATCATTCTCCTTCCACAATGATTCGCATCGCGCGCCTGAAGTTTTTGCAGTCGACACTGATGCAGAGATTGGGCAGCCTGAAGTTGCATCGAGAGGGAATGAATTGGGTTCGCGATTCGCGATATGCAAGCACTTCCGAACGGTTCGGAGAAGCACGGACTGCCAATGCTACAACCTTCAACGTCACCTTGTCCATCGTCCTCTCTCGTTCCATTTGATATCACATTCGCTACTATGATACTCGGTCAAATTGCTTGGGTGGACTGCATAGCCTTCCTCGTCTTCCTCGCTCCACAATTGCTTATTCAAGTCGGCCTTTTCGAAACAGCAAAATGCGGCATCAAGGCATTGCCGTTCCTTCGTATGCATCATCTTAACACATCGGCAAGATACCTTGCCCTATGCTGATCCGCCAACCAGTCCTCCGCCTACCCTACCAATTCCTCAAAACCCGCTACTTCACCCGTCACCCCTCTAAACCCCCCTTCGTCCAAGTCGCCTCCCCCTTCCAAGACATCGTCATCCGCTGCGTCCGCTACGCCTTCGCCTGCATCCCGGCCTCCATCGGCAAAGTCTTCTTCTCCAAAAACGTCGCCCTCCCCTTTATGAGATTCCGGATGCTGCGCCACGGCTACCTGCGCTCCCCGATCTACTGGCGCGAAGTCAACCGGGGCGATCTGAACGGACTGTACGCCATCGCTGACGAGACCCGGAGACCGGATATCGTGGTTTACTACTGCCACGGTGGTGGGTTTAGTATGGGGAGTGCGTTCTTTTATCTGGAGTTCTTGCTTGCGTGGGTTCATTTGCTGAAGGTGGAAGGCGGGTATGACAATCCTGCACTGTTTGCGCTGGATTATACCTTGGTACCCGAGGCGACGTATCCGACGCAGGCGCAGCAGACGCTTACCGGGTACAAGTATGTGCTTTCACTTGTTGATTCTTCGTCCAATATTGTGGTGAGTGGCGACTCCGCGGGCGCCACGCTGATTCTGTCGCTGTTGCTCTGCTTGTCCGACTACACGCCACTACGGAATCGAATGCCTGGTCTTGCGGTTGTCATTTCTCCTTGGGCGGCGATCATCAGTCCGAAGAACCAGAATACAGCATCCGACTACCTTAATGCTGAGAGCCTGCATTTGTACGGAAGTCAGTACATCGGCACGAAAGCGGACGCAGATGATTCCCTGGTTTCTCCAGGCCGTTGCAAAGATCTTAGCTGGTGGCGGAGAGCCTCGCCGAGCGCCGGCTGGTTCTTTGTCTACGGCAGCGAGGAAGTGTTCGCGCCAGAGACCAGGGATCTGATCGAGCTGTTGAAGAAGGCCGGTGGCGGAAGTGTGGGAAAGAACGAAGGCGTCAATGGAGAAATTGGTGGAGTGGCAGTTCACGAAGAGCAGAAATGGGTGCATGCTTGGCCAGTGGTGAAGCTCTTCTTGTGCAACACAGGAGAAGAGAGGATGAGCGGGTTGAGGAGTATCGTGCGGGTGACGAGAGAGCGCATCAAAGTTTGAGCAACGACCGAACGCGAACCTGCCCATCTCTGACGACCCTTGTGTCAAACGTGGACTGATATTTCAAGTGGCCGACTGCACAACAACAAGCAGCCGAGTTCCACCCTCTCAGACGCACAACACAGGCCTCTCGCTCACTGCGACTTTCCATCACCGGACTTGCTGATCTTCTCAATCTCCGCAGCGAGCTCATCACGCTGACACAAGCTCTTCCAAATTTCCGGTTCGCATTGGCGGGTCGCGGGATTCTTTGTATCGAGCAGCCAAGTCGCAACATTGCGGCCGGGATCGGATACATCCATTGAAGACGGCTGGCCGTCCTGGCTGGTGCTGTCGCATGCTGGCCACGCAATATTCTCTTCGGACTCATCCTCCTTATGTCTCTGCGACTGAGGACAGCCGCATTGGGCTTTCGTGCTGAAGTTCGATCAGCTTTTATAGATTACAACGCCCATGCCGAACGGAAAGAACATCCGAGACTTACGAGCTTGGACTGCCGGACATTCTGGTCGAGAAAAGGTCGTCAACACACTTCGAAAAGCTGCGTCTGCATCTAATGGTAATTACCAAATACAAGACAAGACACTGGCAAGAGGACATGCGTAATATATGCTTCCGGAAACCAAGACAGATGTAAGAGCTTCTCCACGCACATCAGGGTATGATGAAAAGTGTGCTTGGTAGGCCGGCCCTGCCCTGCCCTGCCCTGCCAGAGTGGCCACTTACAGGTGTAGAGGGCGAAGAAAAACGATTGTGGGGTGTGAACGTGTGCTCGCTCCGGTCATTGGCAAAGCCTTGCTAACGGCATCGCTCCTGCGAACACCGATTGTCAATGTCCATGCTGGTCAAAGGTACCGTCTGTTCGGCGGCAGACGCTCCCCGATACAACCACGACGCCAAAGAAAGAAGGGCGCGCTAGCCATCCAGTCTCAAACGATCAAGATCGTTGGCTCTGGGCTCAAGCGCTGTCCGGCACTCGTGGACGCCACTCGGCATTGCTGGTTCGCATACCATGGTCGACAGATCCTGCGAACCATCATCTGCCCGCATCTCATGGAAGGATCTCTCCTATGCGAACAACGGTTGCCTTCCGCGAACCGGCTATGCCGGCTGGATGCGCCGGTCCGGACGCACTGGAGGCGAAGTGGCTAGCCTCATCAGCCGTCCTGCAGGGGTGCTACCGGGTTAGTTCGTCAGATTGCCTCATCTCGCATGAGACATCTTGTCTCGCGGTTCTGCGGTGCAAAGACCCGACCTTGAGCCAGCCAGGGTGGCATACCTTGAGATGTGCCAGCACGGATCCTGCCAATGTTCCGACGGTCTGGAATCGACGGATGCTTCCCCGTTGATGTTCGCCGAAGGTCTGGAGGTTGGCACGATCAGTCGCGTCCCCCGTTCCTGCACCAAAGGCGGTCTACAGCTGCCTCAGATTCACGCCATAGCTGGCTACTACGATACGACGTCTTGCATTGGCTCAAGTTCTTCTCGCAACTCTCGCGTAGCGATCCTGCTCCCGGCTGCAGCTCGCTCGTTGAGGACATCCCATTCGCGCCGGTCATCTGCTTCTTGAAGGATGATACGCCGCAGGATCGGTGTCGGCGGCCGCTCGATAGGACCGATCATGTTGTGCCGGCTGTAAAGATCAGAGGGACCAGCGAAGCAACGCCTGAACGAGGTAGCTTCGGGCAATTTCACCGCAAAGCTGCAACGTCGAATTGTTTTGACATTGTATACCTAATCACGTGCATCGATCACGGGAGGGATCTGATCAGCCTCTGCATACTGACGGCACGCGCGTGGCCTCGCGAGATTCTAAATCCGTGCTGCGAAAAGCGGCAACAACGCAGAAAAGAGGATGAGCGGACTGAGGAGCATCGTGCGGGTTTCGAAAGAGTGGATCAAAGTCTAAGCGATTGTCGAAGGCAACTAACTCTCCATGTACCGACGGCCACTACCTCCAGGAACCACCCTAAGCTGCGAGAGGCGACAACAACGGAGAAGAGAGGATGAAAGGACTGAGGAGCATCGTGCGGGTTACGAGAGAGTGCATTAAAGTCTAAGCGATTGTCGAAGCCTCGAAGGCAGGTACCTCTCCATCTGTTGACGACCACTAGCTCCGCGAACCATCCTTTGCTGCGAGCCGCGACACATGGCACTCGAATCTCGCTCGCTTTCCGAAGCTACCAACCAGCTGTGTCTCCGAATATCTGGCCTGACTGCCTTGACATTCCGTGCTGCCTGAGGGCACAGCTGGGATCCAAGCATCGGTATCCGAATGCTCTTGCCTTGTTGCAGGCACTCAGCCTTTCTTCGATGCACCACCAGACGACTTGTATATCTGATCGATCTCAGAAGCCAGCTTGTCCTCTTCACAAAGCTTCTCCCACTCGCCCTCCTCGCTCTCGCGGCTGGATCCATTCTCTAGGCGAGCGAGCCATCTCACAACTTCGATGGTCCGGTCTTGCATGTCTGTGGAAGCCCCGCCGCTCTGGTTGTTGTTGTTTTGTTCCGCCGCATGGCCGTTGGGCGTGGTCCGGTTGACGTTGGCGGCATGCGGCTGATCCGATCGGCGGACCTCTGAGCCGTTGGCATCATGGTGCCTCGACGTAGAGGAGCCACATTCGGCTTGCCCGCTGTTTAGATGTCAACTTGGACCGGCCGACGCGTGTGAAGATGCGACTGGAGGACAGCAGCGATCACTTACGAGCTGAAACTGCTGGATGTGTTCGCCATGATGTTTCGTCTGGGATAGAGGAGGCTGGCTCGATGGTAGATGCTCTTTCTGGTGCAACAACAAAGGACGGAACTGGATTGGCGGTCTCTTATATGCAATCTTGGACTTGTTTAATGCTGTCGATGACGGTTGTCAGCTCGAAGGGCGCGTCTGGACAGGTCTTGCCCTGTGAATCATGCTCCCCTGGTGAGTGCACGGGGCCTGGAAATAACAGTGTGCTGCTCGACGTGTCACTCTTGCGAGGAGCCTCACTTCAGGTCCAGCCCGCGGATGCATTTGACCTCCCTCCTTGTGCGCAGCAATATCAACATCAGACCTCCTTGGCACGACCGTTTGCGTCTCCATGCACTGACGGAATCCTCACACTAGCTTCCAGAAACAACCCAGGCGCTAGCAGAAGGGCAGCAGACTGACGACGGAACTTCGAGTGCACAGATCCAACGGCATCATGCCAGCAAGCGATCGAGGCCGAGAACCTTCTGTCATCGACGAGTATCTTGGCATTTCTCGCAACATAGCACGGGACGCACCACTGTATTGCTGATCCCAATTTCCTTCGATGTCCTTCGAGACGACCTAAAAATGCCTCAGACATGTTCGAGTACCGACAGAGTGGCCTATCCGCCCTTCCGGACACACTATGCCTGATCTAGTGATCGGATGTTCCCCGTTCATGCACAACCCGGGCTCATGCTTTCGACCTCGTGGCATTCGACCTCAGGAACGGCAGCCTGCATGCTGCTTTAGCCAAAAATGCCAACACACTTCAATACTGTTCGGCATGCATCTGCACCCTACTTTCGAAACGCGAGATCCAATGGATTCCTCTCAAAGGCCAAGAATGGCAATGTGCACTTCTGCCCCGCCACTTCAGCGCTGGAGGCGGTGAGTAGCCTCATCATTCGGCGTTGTTCATCGTGAGCACACACGGAATGCTCATTGCCGGCAGAGAGCTGTCACGTTGCTGAGAGAAGCAGTTCATCAGCCATTCTATGGAAATTGCAGGTCAAGAACCTCGCTTGGGCGGCTTTTGCCACACCAACGTCGGTCTTGCTTTAGATCCAAGCACCGAACGGCCCAAACGTCATCAACGGCGACTAGCCACCCATGCGGGGCGTTTGCAAGGCGCTTGGAGTCAGCCTCGATATGGTAAGATGCTTTGTGTGCAGATTAGCGAACGACCGTCGTGGCGGAAGAAGTTTGAGCTATTGCGTCTGTAGCGTGCCTCTGCAAGTGCATAGCGTGGTGGAAAGCTTCTATCGCATCTGCAGGATGCAGATCGCGTCAGCTTTGCTGGGGACTCGGCTCCGACTACTCGCACGCCACCAGGACCGGGATCAGTAAGACTCATATGTCGCCGAGTCATGGCCTGCAGCTTAACAACGCACTGTACGGTCTGGATCGAGTGTATCGAGTCTGGTCGCTCACAGGAGTCTGGGAATCGAAAGGCACCCCAGCGCAAGCACGACCGCTCGAGGACTCTAACGCATGGATTGAGGCTGCCACCAAGCATCACTATGCACGCAATCCATCATACGCGTTGAGATTTGCCAGGACAGAATGGTAGTTCGTCGTGCTGAAATGCCGCACTATGCACCCTTTGCCAGAGCATGTCCACGGGAACCGTTCTGGCCAAGACTTCTCGAGCATGGCATGCCGTCGATGTGGGCGTCAACATGGCCGCCAAACTTAAAACCAACGCAGCGGGCCTTGTTGGCTGCCTTATTATCGGTGTGGAGGAACCGGCAGCACGGGCGGCCTCTACCGATGATGCTGGGCTCGCATGGGTGAGCACAGCCACCATCTGGCAGTCGAGGCTCGAGACCACATGGCCATCTGTTCCAAGCTAATGCAGGCTTCCACCTGTACCAACCGTGCATGTCGTCTGGATATCATCAGACTAGAGCAATGCGAAGAATCGCTTCCGACTGTGATTTCGAGCAGAAGACGGTACAGAAAGACAGCGCCAATTTCTTCATGCACGAGCAGCACGACATTGGGCCACGGGAATCACAATGCTCATCTTCCTAACGGATCTTTTCTCGCGGGAGAACCTAGAATATCGACATTGTGCGGCACAAGGAGCGTTCCGGCCTCGCCTAAAGGGATCTGCAGGAGTGCCGCGGGGGTATTTTCGCTGATGTGGTTATGCAGATCTCAAGATATGTCCAACACATCGTCGAACGATGTTTTCACTTGTAGCATGCAGCCTGAGATTGCACGCATTGTTGACGGTTGGGGGGCCGATGCAATAGATCCTTTTGCTTCTGAGGTAACGGAATGCAGTCGAGAGCGGTGTCGCTTGCTCACAGACCACCCTTCACCGGTCGCGCTCTGGCATCCTTCCCGCAACGCAACTTGCAGCAAACATCCCAATCTGTCAGCTTTCTACAATCAGAGTGGCGTATGGTACACCAAGCCTTGTTTTCGGCAGAAGTACGAGGCTGTGCAGATGTGCAAAGACCGAAGATGAGGGATTTTGTTCGGTCTGAGCAACGCCTGGACGGACGAGCACGCGTTGCAACGAACCACTCCAGTCTGGAACCACCTTTGTGCACGGGTTCCGAGCGAGACTGTATTTTCCAAGGAGCGGGAGTAGGAAAATTTTCCCCACGCTTGTTGCCTGTTGTGCGACGAGGACTATGACATGAATAAAAGCTCCTTCGAACGACGGATTTCTTCCCTCAACACCTCGATCATCATTCCACTCACCAACAGCGAACGAGATCTCTACATCGCTTGGTATCGCTCAACTCACCTTGCTGATCCGGTTTATGCTCGTCCGCTTGACGCTGCGCTCGAGCGTTCCCGCAACGCCTTCCCAGACGGCAGTACATCGACAACATCGCCTCCTGTCAGGCCAGCCACATTATCTCATCCACCGTTGAAAAGTTCACAACCTGGAACGGCTTGACCAATCACAGGCCAGTCTTCATCCGTCGCGATCTCAACCGTTCCGTCTCAGCTTCGTCGGCCGGCAACGACGTTTCGATCGAACCCTTTCACGCCTGGGCTCAGCCTCGATACATCGAGCGGCGCAAGCAAGCCGTGGCAGTCTGGTACAGCCTTTTGAACTTCCTGATCTTCAACTGGACGGGCTATGGCGGCGAAGAAGGCGGATTGCACCAACTTGGCCTCAGTCCTAGCCGTACTTGCAGCGAAAGGATCGATGATCTACGACTCTATGTGACGCTACAAGAGAGGCTTGCACCACCGCGCAAGGTCTTTGCTGGGATTGCACGCAATTTCTTTTCCAGCATACTCGAAGATCCGAACCCAACGCCTCGCTCAAACCCATTGCTGTGGTGGATGGCTGTACTCATCCATTCCGAGGTCCACGGGCAACACACTCTTCTGCCAGCCTTTGGTGTGGAGGATACGCTCGACTTCTCGGCTAAGCTCGAAGCATTGGATCATTACGCTCGGGTTCTCACACTGCAGGCCACGTTCGTCCGCTGGAGGGATCCGCTCGGGCATCTTTAGGACGTATCACAAGCATAGCTTGATGTTGGACGTTGGGCGGATGCAAACAGCGTCGATTGGGTCGATGAGGGTAAGGAAACTCCCGGTGCCGTTACCACCGCGTTTCCCACCTCTGAGAGCTGGCATCAATGGCGGGAAACGCTGCGCACGGCTGTCGACAAATGGCTCGTTCGAGACTGTGCTGGACCCATGCGTGAGATAGTATCTTTGCTGCACGCCGTACTTCCACCTCCTCGTCCATCACCACCACTGCCGCCTCTGGATGCTGATAGTGTCTTTGTCATTAGTTACGTTGCCTTTTGCCACTGGTGTGAAAACCCGATCGTCTACACCAACAAATACCCTGCGGAGTCTATCAGCTATCGTTCGCTAGATGAAGCAAATTTGGCTGCCCCGCGGGTAGTCGAGCGCGTGATGCGAGAGGAGCACCAGTCTTTCGTGGACGCAGACGCAGACGGAGACGAGCCGATCGATCTCAAGCTGCACGCCGAGCTGTTCCCGATAGGAGATAACGACTACCAGGAAGTGGTGCAGTGGGACGAGGCCACAGACGAAGATGGCAGCATCAGGAGCCGCGCAATCTATGTGAATCGCGATGACGCTTTGAAGGTGACGGCTTGGGTCAGAAGAATGCATAGGGATGACTTCAATAGAGCGATAGAGGAGTGGAAAGAACTATGCCGACAAGAGAAGGAAGCCTACGAAAAAGATTCTGCTGAACGCGCGAAGCATCCGCAAGAGACAGATTCGGAAGCTGCTGCTGCCCTTGGCTGCCTCAGTTCCTGGCATTAGTCCCGCTCATTCTCACTGTCAATTGGCAACACCTGGGATTTCAACTAACGACATGATGGTTGTCGGATTGGTCTGGATGTTGAATCGTTTGGAAGAGCGGAAGGGACAGAGAATCAGTCCCGATGGTTCTGACCCTGGCCAGGAACAAGAAGGAATCAGCTACTTAAATGCTCACTACAGTCTGGAGGTGCGCACCTCATGAGGGCCAGCGACGGCATCCTATGCAGCATGGCTGCATTACCATGATTCGCCAGAGCGAAAGTAGCCTCAGCCACTCCGCACTGACCAGTATGTACAAAAATGGCAAGGCAGTATGTGACCGTAACAGCTCTGTCCAGACAGGGATGCAGGGTATCGGGATTCATTGCAAGCCACTTAGCTCGCTGGAGGAAGCTTAGATGATGGGGCTGCAGGGATTGGATCATCAGGCGAAGAGGTGCATGAGGTGTGTTATAAGTATCGACTGTCACCACCAGACGAACGCGACTCAAACCCATTCGGCGTCTTATCGGCGAGAACGCAGCGTGATATGCGTGATCCAGACCGTCTCGTTGCAATCCGTCTCGTTGCAATCACCTGTCATTGGAATCGCAAAATGTAGCGAGTCTAGTATCCATCTGTCCACACATCTTCATCTTCTTTCGCCCATCTGTCCACACATCTTCACCTTCTTTCACCTTCCCCTTGAGCACCAATGCCGTGTCTGGAAGAGACAGGACTCCGCTACGCATGCGTTCAAGCGCATGAGCATGCGCATGCAGGAAGTAGGCCCAGGTACCTTGGTACACCACCCTAACGCAGCCGGCCGGGGCCATAAACGCTCACACCAAAAGACACTGATATGGCGCTCTCTCGGTGATGTCATCAGATCACTGGGACTGGCATTTTCAACGCCTTGCAAGCACTGAGTCGTTCATGAGATACTGTGGCTAGCTACTCACTCTGGTACAGCGGTACTGTTGCGCTCAATCTCTGCCCTCACGACTCCGTCCATGCCATCAGCAGAAACTTTCATAGCAATCCCTCAACTCCATCCCAGCCATCCGGCACGACAAATATTCAGGTACAGGGTATCAAGCACCCAAAGGCGCCAGCCAATCCATCAAACCCACACGCCACTTCCATGCGCTCAAAGCCCGACATGACAAACCACTCCTCATCCATGCTCCACCATCCCTCCTAAAACATGCGCCCAGGCGAATACAGCGGCTCCAAAATCCTCCAACTCCAATCCGCGATCCCATCCAACTGCTTCACATCCTTGACCCAATCCAGCATCAAGCTCGCACTCGTCTGGATATCGTCGTAATTCACCTGACTCTCGCAGATCCGCTTGAGACAATCGTTCTCGGTCGTCATGCGCAGCAGCAACAAGATCCCGACGAAATTCTGCGTCCACGCGAACAGATGGGGGACGAGACGCTTCTTGTTCTTCGGCGGGGCCATCGCGACGGTCCACAAGCATGCGGATTTGATGGCGAGGGCGCAGCAGTCGTCGTCGTCGGACGTCATGAGTTCGGGGAAGTGCAGGGCTTTGTAGACAAAGGGGCGGTACATCATGAAGCGGGCGTAGTAGAAGCGGGTGCGGAGCTGGGCGGTGACGACGTCGAGGTTGTATTTGTGGCCGATTGGGACGTGGCCTTGGTCGCGGGAGAAGAGCGGCTCGTTGGGGCGGCGGTTCGTGGGTGCGGTAGTGGGGAAGTCGAATCTGTCGTTGTCGGTCCATTGCAGGGGGCGGGGGAGCAGTGAGCGCCAGGAGTCGAGTTGGCGTGCTAGCTCGCGGATGACGTGGACGGGAGGTCCACCGTAGCTTTCGGTGGGCTCCATTTCGGATGTTGCTGCGTTCGTCAGTATTTCACCCCTTCACAGATTGGGTGCAATCTTCGTACCTTCATGTATCACAGTATTGATCCTGGCGATCAGCCGCCGCAAAGCTATCATCGCGAGGAAGTGGTACTGAAAATGCGATCGCTCTTCGTTGAATGGACCGGATGGCGCTTCATGTCCATCATGAAAGTACGGCAAGGGCACCTGATCCTCAAAGCCCACGATTCCCGTGCGCGGCAAATCGAGGTCCAGATGATAGAAGTCCTCGCTGAGGATGCAGCTCCAATAAGCGCGCTTGATCAGATCACCTTCTGCGGTACCCCAATCAATAGGCCGGCATTTGATCAAGACCTGACAGGCCATCGAAGCCGCCACGGTCGAGCGCCAGAAATCCAAATGTCTTGCGGTGGACTCGTAGTACGTCGCTTCCAAGAGGAGGATCTGCACGTTCTCGAGGCTAGTCTGTGTCTGGATGAAGCCGATGCGCCGTCGTGCCTCGTTGAAGATGGCTAGCCCTGGCGGCCGGTCAATACTTCCTCCTCTGAAACCACTAGGCTGGCCGTCGATCAGATTGATAGGCCGTTCGAAGACGCCTTCGATGGCGACTTGGCCAAGGGCGAACACAAGCAATGCCAGCACAGCGTGAACATCACCATCACTGTAGCCATCCCTCAGCAACGGCGCAACGGTGTTGTTCATGAAATTGTCTCTGTCCAAGACTGGGAACAGGACATTGAAGGTGTTGAAGTACGCATCGCACTGCTCGCGGATTTGCTGAATGGTCAAGGTCGGAAAGGCGACGTTTGAAGCGAAGCCTTGCTCTCGCATGTTCGAGTTCAGAGCGAAGTATGGAAGTGAAACATCGTAAGGCAGAGACTGCGGATGCTTTGCCATCTCCTGGCGGATGAACCAGGGCGTGCCCTCTTGAAGCACATATTGAAGGTCGCTGGTTGCTTGGATTCCGGAGTTGATCAGATGGATGTAGATGCTGGGCCACAAAATGATCTTGTGAGGGACCGTCAGATGGACATAGGTCTGCTGAAGCTCTCTGGGAAATTCCACGGGGTTACTCTCCCCATGCGAGCTGCCTTTCGCAGCGGAGGAACTGGATGGAGAAGGATTCGCGGTTGATTTGGTGAAGCTACGAATATCTGGTGATACCGAGTTCGGAGTCAAGGCTAGGGTGTCGAACTTATTCTCCAGGCGGGTCAGCGTGTCGAGAATGTGGACCATGGTCTTGTCCTTCCTATACCTCACGTTAGAATCCTTTCTGGGTAAGTGCTGATGGGGAACACGCACAGCAGACTTACTTGGTTGGCATAGGCTCACGGTATTGACACTCGACGTTTAGGCGGGTGCAGAGTCCGCCTGCCTCGTGTTAGTACAACACCCATTACTTTGTTGGAAAGTCGCTGAAGCTTACACTTTGGTCGCTGCTCGTCGCATTTGCTCTTGCTGTGGTGAGTCAGTACAACGTCCTGTAAGCACTTCGCATGGTTACTTTAACGCACCGATTACGGCATGTCTGGCAGGCTTGCGCTGCAATAGCAGCCCTCTCGCGGCGTTGCGAGTTCTCCGAAGACTCGCCGGCAATGCCCATGGAAGTGTTCATCAAGTGATGTTGGGGGCGTGATAGCTCACTATGAGCTCCACGTTCGGCGTCGCTCTCCCGTACCGCTCGATCGCGAGCACTCCGGTGCGCTTAGATCTGTCCGCGGTGTGATTGCACATTTGTCGCTCGCCAACAAAAGCGGTCTTGCGCGGTATCTTTGCGATTCGGTCGGGAACAGACGGCGCCGGCGACACTGCCCAATCAGGCCTCTCTGAACGCGGGTGGCGATTTATGCACCTCGATACCGGAGTCTTCTCAGGCCGGGTGAAACGATGAAGGTGGCGGCGGGATTTCGACTTGTATTTCTGCGATACAATGGCCGAGCAGGAAAATCGAAATCCAGAAGTCTGTCGAAGTTTCGAAGGTCGTGGCGTGTCCGGGGATCAGCGCGGCAAAAGCGACTACCAGCAGGACGTTGCGGTGACGGCGAACGAGTCTCGCAATACACGTGATAGCGCAGAATTGATTGAGCGCATACAACGGTATCGCAGGCGTCGAGAGGTAGCAAAGGCTTGTGGTTGATGTGGAAAAGAGGAGAAAGATGAAGTGTACATGTGGTCTCGAGATCTCGGACGCTACTCCGCAAAATTCTAGAACAAGCAGGGTCAAACATGACGAAATGAACATGGGACGTCCGGCTGTTCGATACTGGTGCTGCTGCTGCTGAAAGACGCAAGACAGCCTATCACTCCGGTCGGGCACACGCAGCGGCTCCCTCTCTACATGTATGTGTACATCGACCGGATGAGTTGTGGAAATGGATGTGTTGGCTCAGAAGCACGTGTCAACCGTTCCTTACCACTCCACCCTGGACTCAGTGCTCGGCAGTACAACACTGCTAAGACGAGCAAGGAGAATCTCAGACAACCCAGGATGCGTAGGACTCGGCCTTTGCACGGACGCCGAAGTTACCTCCTACCTACAAAGCATGTTGAGCATTAAAATAGTCGAATCGAAGCAACAAGATCTCCGAGACTCTTCCGGCTCTCCGGAGGCGTTGCAGGCAATATCGCGCAGTGGCAGTCTCGTCTCTCGCAGTCCCGAAGACCTGGTACCCGATCGACGACAAGGGCTCGGTAGACTGCGGACCGAACGCAAGTGCCGTGGGAGTCGTGCTTTTCGTGTCTCTGGCAGCGGTGTTGAAGCGGTGTTGAAGCGGTGAGAGCGTTGGATGTCACAGATCTGCAAACGGCCAAAGGAACGAAGAAGGCCTGCAGCACTACAGAGGCACAGAGGTCGATCATGTGGTCTGAAAGGCATCTGGAGACTTTGGCCGGCGTGGCTGGACCTTCCCCATCCCTGCCCATCCCACATGCAACGCCAGCAAGCCCTACGCTCTGCCGGTCCCACTCCTCCCTTGATAAGATTCGTTCTTGGAGAGCCGCGTGTATAGCCTACTGCATCTCTTGGTATGTTTTGCAGGTGACCTTGGTATATGTACCTCAGCCTTGTTAACATCTACATTCAACGCTGCCGTCTGCATTCTCTCGTGTCTATGCCCACGCGACTGCCGAAGGGGGGCTCGGCATGCATGCACACCTCCACCACGCTCTGGCCATAGCTTCAATCACATGCCCGAGCGGTATCACGCACGCAAATGTCTGAGAAGGAGAAGGGAGACGGCGGTCGCGAGCAGTTGACGCGACGCTCGTCGTTTCGCAAACCGCTGCACGAGACCGAGCTGCCGGAGGAGTATCTCATACGGCTTGAAGAGAAGCGGCGGCAATTGGACGAGTCGGTACACAAATATATCGCGGCGAAAGAACGCGACTTCAAAGCTTTTAAGAAAGAGCTGTGGCATCAGTATAGGAATGCGGAAGGTCAGGATGGGTCGAATGGCGGGCCGTCGCGACGAAGAGGCTCGCCTGAGTCCATTCAGCAGGCTGCGTCTTGGAGGGAATCGGGCGAAGCAGTGACAACATCTTCGCGAAGACAGGCAGACAAAGGCGACGCAGGCGAAGAAAGCGGAGCGCACCTCGACCGCGCCGCTGTCGCAGGGTTGAAAGACCGACGCGCCAGCCTCGAGCGCGACAAAGACTTTATAGGAGTCTTCACACCGACATTCCTACCCGCGATCAATGATCAGAACCTCGCGTCGTCGGCGCCTTCGGCAGTGACGGTCGTCGATCGAGCTGAGATCAAGAAGCCTATACACCTCGAGCGCTCAAACTCGGACACCCTCGGCCAGGCGAAGCCGAAACGACCATCACACCTTGCGCTCGCACACCGGACCTCGTCATCTGGTTCTTCGGCCGATGGCAAGCTTGCGTCTGCTATGAAGTCGCCCTCGCAGCAGTCAAAGCGGAAGCGGGTGTCCTTGGCTGTGGGAGACTCGATCGTGGCGCCTTCGGATAATGTCCCGGCTGTGCCGAGTAATAGCAACACTCCTTCGCATTCGAGACAGCGATCGGCGGGTGGGAACAAGCAGCCCTGGACGCAAGAGCTGTCAGGTGAGACGGCGGATGGGAAGGCGAGCAGTACAGCGTCAGGCTGGGCACAAACTCCCGCAACAAGCCAAGGGGCTTCAAGTACAGGTTCCATGAGTACCAGCAACACACCTTCTGCTTCAGCGAATACCTCAAACAATGGATCGACAAGCTCGATTGGCCGGCAAAATACAACGACAGCACCAAAACTAGATCCAGACGGCGACCTGTTCGACCTCGAAGCTGTAGAAAACGTCCCCTTCGACCAACCAGATGACCTCGAAGAAGCGCTCGAAACCGACGACTCCGAGCCCACCCATCCAGATCCATTCGACCCGCCTCCTGAATCTACCCTCGACCCCTCCACCGCCTCCATCCCCATCTCCCAACCAGCCCCATCCACCCCCGCATCCTACGTCCCCTTCGCGCCCAGCTCCGCCGTCGCCTCCCAACAACCGATCAATCCCGGTTTCCGCCGGCCCTCCGTCGTCGACGACCCGGTATATCGGGAAGGCGACTACGAGGCGGCCGAGGAGGATGCCGTGGAGAACGAGATTTACGGGAGTAGTTTTAATCGGCCGGGGAAGGGGAGTTTTACGGCGGGGTCGCTTGGAGAGAGTTTCATGGCCAAGTTTGCGGAGACGAGGGGGAAGGGGCAGGGTGTGAAGTCTTGAAGACGGATGACTTTTTGGGTGGTGGCTTGGCTCTTTGGAAAGGAGGGAGGTTCGGATTCATGTCTGCGGTGCGAGTTGAGGGACGTGGATCAACGGTATTGCTGTCGTGCTTTCCACGGGATCCGGATATGAGGCCCTTCGCGAATGGATAGGACGCCAGCCGCACGGCATTTGCTCGTGGATGCTGCGACGCTTCACGCTGCGAAGCAAAGCGATTCGTGCCAGCGAGAACAACACGGTCCGAAGTCGGCATGGAAGAACGCAATTGATCATGACAGCAAGGAACGCTCCCGTACCGTAGAAGCAGCCGGGGAGGCAGGCCGCATGTACATCTGTGGATGTTTGAGATCAAGTCGGACTGTTGACCCGACTTATGTGTACACAACGCTTATGCCTTCTTTTCCATTGCTTCAATTTGGGGGTTTCGCCCTCATGATATCTGATGCGTTCATCGTGTTGTAATGTAGAGGCTGCCCACCGCCTTGTTGTGTTCGTCGGGCTCGATCACATGCTTGTGTGGTTAATCAGAGCAGGACTCGACTCCGTCTCCGCAAACAGGGTGCAGCCACCCCCACTGCGGGCATATGCGGCTCAAAACATATGACCTTCAAATTTCTTTCGAGTTCATGATACCTTTAACTCACCTTTACCAAAGTAGAGCCATGTCTGGAGAAGAGCAGAACGCGAACGGCGAAAGCCACACGAACGGCACACCTTCGAAGTCGAGTACACCTCATAGCAAATCCGGATGGGACGGAAAGCTGCGTGTCAACAAACAAGCTACTCTAGCGAATCCGGAGGCGCTGAGTGATCCTGAGTACTCGGACGAGGATGCGCACCCGGTGGAGCAGATAGATGCGGATGAAGGTAGGTCAGGTACCAAGAGCAAGGAGAAATATATGGCTAATTGGAAGCAGATCTACTAGAGGGAGAGGAGCCGGAAGTAGAGGTAAGCAACTTGATGTCCTTGAGTCGATGGACAACAACTGACGGTATATGTATAGGAGATAGACTGCCAACACTCCCGCGTATCTTCCATGCCTGCCCTCCACCTCGAACGCTTCAAACGTCTGAAACGATTATGCCTCCGCCAAAACAGCATTCAAGACATCGAGCTCCCCAACACTTGCACATCAACTCTCGAAGACCTCGAACTCTACGACAATCTCATCAAACACATCTCCGGCCTCGAAGCCTACACCCAACTCCGCAGCCTTGACCTCTCCTACAACAAGCTGAAGCACATCAAAAACCTCTCCTCCCTCATGAAGCTCGACCACCTCTACTTCGTCCAAAACCGCATCTCCACTATAGAAAACCTCGAAGCCCTCACCAACCTCACCTACCTCGAACTAGGCGCGAACCGCATCCGCGAGATCTCCGGCCTAGAGACGCTGACGAAACTCCAACACCTCTGGCTCGGGCAGAACAAAATCTCCGAGCTCAAGAACCTCTCCACCCTCACCAACCTCCGCACCCTCAGCATCCAAGCCAACCGCCTCACCTCCCTCTCCGGCATCGAAACCCTGCCCCAACTAACCGAACTCTACGTCTCCGACAACAAGATCCCGTCCCTCGAACCCCTGGCCGCGAACACGAAGCTCGAAATTCTGGATTTCCAATCTAATCCCATCTCTTCCTTGACCGGGCTCGAAGGGCTGAAAGAGCTGGAGAATGTCTGGGCGAGCAATTGCGAGATAGGGGATTTCGCGGATATTGAACGGATGTTGAGGGATAAGGAGAAGTTGGAGGAGGTGTATTTCGAGGGCAATCCGGTGCAGAGGCAGGGGCCGGTGTTGTATCGGAATAAAGTGAGGTTGGCGCTGCCGCAGGTGGGGAAGATTGATGCTGGTGAGTTTCCGAAATGTTTATGGTGATTTTGTGATGGTGCTAATGATGGGTGCAGCGTATGTGAGAGCGGGATGAGGTGTGGTTTGGACTTTTTGCTGCTGGGTTTGGCGTGGTGCTTTGGCGTTTTGTGAGCTGAGCTCGTAGAATGAACGACGAGATGTCGGCCGATTCAAGGAAGAGTCACTCAATGAAATGGGTAAGCTTTAGAGATTACAGGAAGACACTACAAACTACGAACACTATTGGGATGGGGACTGGTCGTCTTCCCCGTCACTCTTCAACGACAGTAATATCTCAAGCACGTGACCATCTTCCCGAAAGAGTTAGCGCCTCCAAACTGAACTCCAACCTCAAAAGTCGATGATCCTTATCCATTGCCGCCACACACAAACCCTCTGAATCTCCCGGATGCCTTCTTGAAACCACTGCGAAGATGGCGCAGCAATGTTCAAACCCAAGACCCGCCCCGTCCCCTCCCCCGGCGCTCTCAGAGTCCTCACCCAACTCGCCTACATCTCCAGCGGAACGGCTTTGGGAGCCGCGGCGTTGTGTACGGAGGAGAGGAGACGCAGGATTAAAGTTGTGCAGAGGTTGGCGGATACGGCGAGGGTTATAAGACAGCATCCGCGGTATGCTGGGGGTGTGGCTTTCGCGAGGGAGGGTGGGGAGGAGGAGGGGGTGATGTTTAGGCGGAGAAAGAGAAGGAGACGGGAGGGTTGGGGATTGGAGGGGGAGGGGGTGAGGGGGGCGGAACTGCCTAGCATGGTTGAGGCGGGGTATGAGGAGACAGTCGAAGAAGGAGGAAATTCTTGGGGGTTGCGAGATGGGAAGAAGAGAGCACGGGGCAGGAATGAAGCCAGGACGGCGGCGGCATATACGCCTTTTGGCGCGAGCGATATGGACGTGGCCAACGCGAGTGCTGACCATGACGCGCCGTCTGATGGACATCGAGCCGAGCGAGCCAACTCAGCAGACCAGCGTATATTTGCGATGTCGAAAGACCCATCGCGAGCATTGGGTAGTACGCATGTCTTACGGGACGACGCGGTCTCGGGTACGCCAGACTCCTACGACCAGTCACGAAGTCAGCCCTCCAATATCATATTCAAGCACATCAGAAGGAAGCCGAACGGATTCTGGACATTTGAGCGTCTTGGTGACATGCCGCCGGCGCGTCTTCGACCGGATCAGCTTTCTGAGGAGTATCAGACCAGGGACGCATGGAGGGATCTCAGAGGTCATAGTGCCGAAAGTTCTCGGTTACTGAGCAGCGTGGCCGGCCTTGGTCCTGAGCACATCACGCACGATGTTGAGCTATTCTTCGCTCAAGAGTCAAGCAACCGCCCCGCTCCCGCGATCCTACAATCGAGAGCCGACCGCGCCGATCAATTGCTGCTGCTGGCCATCCGACAGGGCTCTCTGGACGATGTTCGTTCGCTCTGCCTTTGGATGCTCGGTCAGGGCACCTTCAGAGAATGGCACAGCCTTCTTCTCGCAACGTATTATGGCACGCTTGTTGCTACCGGAGACCAAGACGAGGTGCTCGATTTCTGCCTAGGAGTGCGGTCCACCTCCGCTTACCAACGTCTGAGTCTCGCAAAGCAGTTGGAGCACAGTTTGCTCATTCTGGCCAATGCAGACACCAACGCTTCGGAAGAGCTGAACATTTACAAGCTTGCTGATAAGGTGCTCGGCAAAGCATTCAAGAGTTGTGCACTACAAGACGTCGTCGACGGTGTTGATTCCATGTGCCGCTCTCTTGTCAGGAGCGGCAACATATCGATCGCCGCCGAACTGTTTCTGACGCTATGGAAAAAAGACAGGGATCTTTTCTCGATTCACCTTACGCCTAAATATTTTGCAGCTGTTGCAGACGTGGTCATCGACGGCGGACTCTCGAGCGGAGAGCTGTCAGCCACAGGGCGCCTCCTCCGATGGAAACTTACTTATGACGATCATTATTCGGAGCAGTCGATACAATACATCAAGGGGTTCATCGCGGCCTGCGGGTCTCGCAAGATGTTCTCAACATTGTTCGATCTCTTCTTTTCTAAGCGGCGCATCCCGATCCCAATGGATGTCCTCAAGGGCTTTGACGAACCGAACAGGATACTGCTAGTGACCGCGGCAATGGCAGAGCCAGATACTGAGACACTACAAGCATCCTGGCTGCCGCTCCGCAATTCGCTTTCTAAGCCGCAGCAACGGGCAGTGCGAAATGCTTCGATCAGAGGCGAGCTAGAATCTTTGTGGCATTCCACTCGTGACCTGCGTGTAGTCGAAAGCAAGTCTCTCGCGCTCCAGAGGCAGACGAAAAAGCAAAGTACCATGCTTCAAATCAGGGAAGCTATGCTTGGAATCTACATAAATGCTGGCAAAGTCGAGGAAGCATTGGCGCTCATGTCACTTCTGCAGAAAGCGGAAGGTTTGAACAGCCGCACACTGCGCCATGCCGCGCATGTGTTCGCCTCGAGCAGTAGGTGGGACGAGGTAGAGCGTATCACCAAGCTTGCTGAGCGGCAAGAGCTTGATGGGCAAGACTTCGATGCGACAGCAGGTTGGGATAGGATTGTCCATCTCTTCGCTCAAGAGCACACTGCTGAGAAAACATGGGCATTTGTTGACAGTCTCACCCATGCAACAGGCTTCACACCTAGCACAGCGACGGCCAAAATCGTCTTGTCGTCATGCATCACCCACCAGTCGCTTGGCCTCATTCCCAAATGGCTGGCACACCTGAAAACGATCGGCCTCCAATTCGACTTCGACAGTAAGGTCGTGGCAAGCATGCTGACGACTTACTGGATCGAGCACCGACCAAAGCACAAGAGGATCATGTGGATCTGCTACTTCCTGCACCGACACGTATCGGCCTTCAAGGCTGCGGACTTCCGGGGCCTAATGAAGGCCGCTATTGCGTATGATCTCAGGAATCCTTTCGAGCAGGAGTTTGGAATGAACAATCCTCGCGAGCACGCTTCGGCGAGGCTGGAACGTGTGGACAAGCTGCCGGGCCATCTGGCGATTCCGGGGTGGACGAAGTCTTTTGATGATGGTATAGAATTGTCGTTCAGTCGGGGAACTGGGAGGTTCGCGGGGATTAGGGTGCGGTATACGGCTGACAGTGAGGAAGCTGAAGCGGACAGCGACTCGCTGTTTGATGCTGAAGGCAGCGATGCACGCTCACAAGAAGGCCTGGCTGCTGTAATCAGGCAGCCAGATTCTGGTTCCTCCGAAGTGGAAGCCAACACCTCGGACAGTAGAGCCATCGAGACTTTATCGCCCACAGCGTCCGATGCACTAAACGTTGCAGGAGATGTTCGCGCCAAGACTGAGGAGTTCGACCTCACCAGCAGCGGCGCAAGAACTGGATCGCCGACTAACCGGTCCGAATTAGGCCACGATCGTTCTGGTCATGAGACAAGTGTCTTGTCCGATCACACCGAATCGAATGCTGCTGCGGCTGAGTCAGACCCAAGAGGACTCTTGCCCGCCGACAGCTTCAGCCAAGGAAGCAGCGTCTCGAAAGACAAAGCCAACAATGACTCCTCGTCAGTCGACTCGACGTCAATGGATATCGAAGAAGATTACCATGCCATGATCGAGCAGTTCAACGTAGACGAAGGCAACGCAGAACGACCACCAAATCGCAAGATCCATCAGAGCTATCAAGACGAGGGCCTGGACAATACCAATATCTCGTTTGAGCAAATCCGTCCTAACCGCGATACCTATCACTCTAGCTCCGCCGTGAATGAGCTGCTCGACGCTTCAAACGATCAGCCCAGCACAGGTCGGATTGAAAGGGAGTTGGTGGTAGCTCTGTCAACGGGTCACTACGAATCAGCGCTACAGCTCTACGAGCAGAACCTCGACGCCAAGGGACTTCCATTGTCCGTGCGCAGTCTCGAGGTCGCGGTAGAGGCATGCATCCGATTTTACCAAGGCAACACCACCGAAGCCGAAGCGCTTCTCGACCGCGCCTCCAAAGCAGGTTTCAATGTTACCTGCGCCATGGGTCCGCTGATCGTCGCACGCATGCGCAGGATGAACAAGATGCAGAAGCGCAACGCCAACAAGCTCCGCATGACGGTCATGGACTACTACCGCATGAACGACGAGAACGGTTGGAAAGTCTCGCACCATATCGCCACCACGGCCGCGCACATCCTAATCTCGAACAACTGCCCCGAGCACGGCGTCAACCTCCTAGCAGCGATCTACAAGTCCGAATGGGCCGCTCGTCGACCTCTCGATGCCCCCGCCATGACCGTCTTCCTGATGGGCTACAACGACATGCGACATCTCGCCGGCGTCAAATGGGTCGTCGACTACGTCCTCCAAAGCGGGATGCGCATCGCCCGCTCCTTCATGCGCGAGCTCAAGCGCTCCTACCAACTCCCTGAGGACACTCCATCGACGTCCCGCCGTGTGCGCGAGCGCTTCACCAAGCCAGCTGATCGTGCGCTCCTTCGGTCGTGGGCAGAGGAGTGCTATACCAAGCGTCTGCAGCAGATCCACGATGACTACGCCTTTGGTCTGAAGCTGGACTGGACGATCAAGAAATGTGCGAAGCAGGAAGGGCTGGCCGTGTTGGCGGATTACGATGAGGCGTATCAGATGTTTGTGCGCGGTGGACTGGATCCGGAGGAGTTTGATCTGGAGTTCTTGAGGAAGAAGGATGAAGTCTTTGAAGACAGGTCGGGTGATGTGGGAATTTCTGGTGTGGTGCAGCCAGATGCGGAACCGAATGCGCCTGAGGAGCCGTTCGATGAGGTGGTGGACAACGCGACGTTCCACGACGAGGAGGATACAACTGCCTGGGAGCCTTCGGCATCGACGGTGGAGCAGCACTCCTCCAACCACGTCCCACGGGCTAGTGAGCGAGAAATCGAACAGGCTCACGCTCCTCCTGAACGACCTGTTGAGAAGATGGAAGAGCCACCGACGCCGCGCTCTGCGAGGAACAGGCCTTGGTTCGGCCGGACTGAAAGACAAGAGACTCACATCATGCCCGAGGGCTTCGGGAGAAGGGAAGAGGCACCGGCTGCGGCGTCATATACCCCGTTTGCGTAGATCTGCGTTTTGTGTACAGCATGGCATAGCATAGCGACGGCGTTCAAGATGGGCGCTTTGACTTGTTCGATTAGTGTATCAAGGACTGCAGTCGCAAGACATGCACATCCACCCAAACCTTCTAATTTCTATGATAGTGCTCATGATGGTTCTTGCGACGTCCCACTGCTCAGTCCTGTATTGACCTTAACCACTCGATACGGCGCAACGAAACGATGCTCGTTTGCTTCATCAACACCCTCTGTGATCTCGTCAGCCATTCCGCACGTCTCCTGATATCACAACAACCAGAGTTTAGTAGACTTACTGATCGCACACCGCACATACTCAATGAGTGGCGGCGCCCATATGGTGACCGCAATGATCTGCCCAAAGCTCCACTGCGAGTCCTGCAGGTCATGGAAGACGGTAGGCTTACTGTTGAGGAACCAGATCATGTTAAGATAATCAGGGTTGATGAGGCGGATGAGCATGATGATGGCTGCGAGGACGACGATGATTTCGGCGGCGTAGTGGTAGTAGGATAGTGCTTTGGTGAGTGCGGGATAGAACGACGATTGTCGATTCAAAGTGGAGGAACGGGCGGGGAGGCGGTGTTGGTCGTTGGATGGCTTTTGCGTCGTCTGCGTGTAGCGGGCGTAGAGCTTTGAGATTGGTTTGGTGACTTGCTTGCCTACGAGGAAGAGCAGCAGGCTCAAACAGCAGGCGATGAGCGGCGCTTCGATCATTGTGGGAAGCACAACGGAGCGGTCGGTATGGCAGAATCGCAGTGGGGTCGCGCGGCCTCCGCAGGACGGTAGGTTAGTGTTGGGAAGTGCGCGTGGCTGCAGGTTTCCGAGCTTTGTTCTGGTGAGGATCCATGTGACGAGAGCGAAGATGGTCGCCACTAGAGTGGTGGTTGTTACGTATTCGGATCTCCGTCTCGCCTTGTGCAAGATGTATAATCCAAACGTCAGACATACGACTGCGGTTGCGGCGACATCGCCGAGGAGGGAGATGGCGCTGTCGATCTGTGAGTACGTTACGGCTTCGAAGATCGTACCATCGCCGCTGAGTGCGAGCATGGAGGCGCCTTGGAGCGTGATGGTAAAGTAGCACTGCGCTTTTTGGTACTCTACGAGACCGTGTACGAGTGCCGAGTACTGGAGTTTAGCTTTTCGTGCTCTGCGATTAGTTTGCTGGTCGTGCTCTTGATCGCTGTCTTGTCCAAGCTTCCGAGAAGTGGAACGGCGGGTAAAGAACAGTAGCGCGTTGCTGTAGAGCCACGCAGCGAGGACAATGGCCACCTGCGTGATGTACGAGGCATAAACGCCGATGCCGCCTATATCTGCGTACGTCCCTGTATTCGCCATGTATTCGCAAAGTGTCTCGAATTGGCTGTAAACGCCCACCACAGGTTGCGCCTGAACACTGTCAGCCTTTCTGATTAAGAGACCTATCACGAGCCAAGGAGGCACTAACGCTAAGTGCGAGAAGTTCATGCCGCTCGGAGGCGTTTTGTAAGCTGTGTGGCATTAGATCCATGTTACCGGGGTACACCCAGGCAGAGCTTTTGAATGAAGGATGGCGCACGCTCTTGCGCACCTCTTGGGCACAGTCGTTCATCGGCTCGACAATTTTGGTGAGGTTGATGTGGTTCCGGGAGTATATGCTGTAATCTCTGGCGATCTGAGTGGAATTCGGGTCAAGCCAGTCGGAGGCCAGCAGCTCTGATATCAGAGGGTATAGTAGGCAGTTTGAGATTGTGGGAAGGCTCGTCCACGTCGTCGCTGGCCGTGAGCATATTGCTGTGCAGTTAAAGGTGTTGTCGTCCGTCTCGCAGCCGGAGTCGAAGAATGGGATCCAAGTTGGAGTGTCATCAAGAAATGCCACTCCCATCCCCGTCATAAACTGCAGCATTGAAAAGCCATTTGTTCCGCGCCATGTCGTGGTGTTGCTGGAGAACACGTGAAATGGAATACCCGTAGACATGGATGACCGCAAAGGGAGATGGGAACGAGGACGGTGATGAATGGCCGTACGAAAGTGAGAGATCAAGAGAGCATACTCAGCCACCTACCATATCGTCGCGCCGATGCTCGCGGCTAAAATGTACCGGGATCTGTGCATGAGGCGTTTCCTCTCGTCGTCTGGACCAGGCGGGAGGAGGTGTGGTATAAATTAAGCTTCGGTCTAGCCGGATTTGGATGATCTTGTGAAGCAGATGCAACGCGCCTAAAATTTCGACCTCACGCGTTGAAACTGGCTGCGGGCACTGACTTCTATTACACCAACACCTCGACCACTACCATACCGCAGAGATGTCGCTTTCAATACCTAATGCGCCAAATAGCGGGCTCTTCAAGCCAGGCTACCAGAAGTAAGTTATTCTGTTGAAGAACGAACACCAGCAGGATAGCTAACAATACCTCCAGCTACGACGCAGAGGATGGCGCCGTCCTCCGCAACATCGACGCCTGTCGCACCATCGCCAGCACCGTTCAGACCTCCCTCGGCCCCTACGGCCGCAACAAACTCGTCATCAACCACCTGCAGAAAATGACCCTCACAAACGACGCAGCCACCATCCTCCGCGAACTCGAAGTCGTACACCCGGCAGCCAAGCTGCTCGTGATGGCGAGTCAGCAGCAAGAAGCTGAGATGGGCGATGCGACGAACCTTGTCATAGTCTTCGCCGGCGAGCTGCTGCGGAAAGCGGAGGAGCTGTTGCGGATGGGGCTGAAGACGAGCGAGATTGTGCAGGGATATGAGCGGGCTGGACGAGCGGCGGCGAAGGCGCTGGAAGAGCTGGAAGTGGAGAGGGTCGAGAACCTGAGGGATCAGGCGGAGTTGGCGAAGGCGATCCGGACGGTGGTTGCGGCGAAGCAGAGCGGGAGTGAAGACGTCCTGGCGGATATGGTTGCAGAGGCTGTATTGGCGGTGCTGCCGAAGAACCCCGCAAACTTCAACGTGGACAACATTCGGGTGGTGAAGATTATGGGCGGCAGCTTGGAGCAGAGCAGGGTAGTGAAGGGAATGGTGTTTGGACGGGAGCCGGATGGGACGGTGAAGAAGGCTGTGAAGGCCAAGGTGGGAGTGTTCAGCTGTCCAATCGATATCTCGCAGACAGAGACGAAGGGGACGGTGTTGCTCAAGAACAGCAAGGAACTGTATGAGTTCAGCAAAGGGGAGGAGTCGCAGATGGAGCAGACGATCAAGGAGTTGTACGACTCTGGATTGCGGGTGATTGTTGCTGGAGCTACCGTTGGCGAACTCGCGAGGCACTACCTCGACCGCGCCGGCATCCTCGTCATCAAGGTACTTTCGAAGTTCGAGCTGCGGCGATTGTGCCGAGTTGTGGGCGCTACACCCCTCGCCCGGCTTGGTGCGCCCATGCCAGACGAGATGGGCAGCGTCGACGTTGTGGAGACACTCGAAATTGGCGGCGACCGAGTTACAGTCTTCCGCCAGGAGAACGAGCAAACACGCACTGCTACCCTGGTGCTCAGAGGCGCCACACAGAATCACCTCGAAGACGTCGAGCGGGCAGTAGATGACGGCGTCAACGTCTTCAAAGCCATCACTCGGGATCCGCGACTGGTACCTGGGGCCGGCGCGACGGAGATGCAGCTGCATGAGCGCATAGCTGGGCTGGCAGACAAGACATCCGGCATCGCGCAGTATGCCATCCGAAAATACGCTGAAGCTTTCGAAGTCATTCCTCGTACTCTCGCCGAATCAGCTGGCCTCGATGCCACAGAAGTGCTCGCGAAGCTCTATACCGCCCACGCATCGCCCTCGTCCAAGCCAGCACCCAACGGCTCCGCCGCGAAGAAGTCCAACGACACCGAAGACGATGAGGACAGCGACGAGGAGGTGCCGTGCTTAGGCGTCGATATCGAGAACGCAGACGGCACAGGCACGCTCGACGCAGAGGAGGACGGTATCTTGGACCTGATGATCACAAAGGCGTATGCGATCAAGCTGGCGACGGATGCCGCGCGGACGGTACTGAGCGTGGATCAGATTATCGTGGCCAGGCAGGCTGGTGGACCGAAGCCGCCTGGACCTAATCCGAACTGGGATGACGATGACTGAGCGCTGAATACGGATATGGTGTGAAAGGATAGATATGCCTGCATGAAAAAGCGTAGCCGCACAGCGGAACCGTACCAATGTTGCAATGTACATGCCGGTGTATCTCAAGTCTTCATAACATATGCTCCTAGTTGAACAAGCCTCTGTGATGTTGGCGTGGTGCTTGGTGCTTGATGCTTCTAAGGAAAAAAAAGCCAAGACATTGGATCAGCGGAGTTCTTGTCCGAGGCTCGATAACAACCTCCCCCACGAGAACATCAGCCCTATGCAGTCAAAGCAGACCACATGCCGCTGCCGTTGCCTTGATGAGGCTGAGAGCATCCCCAATTAACTGCGATACAGTTGCCTAACATGGCGCCAAACGGGAGCAGTCGCAAGAGTAAGCACTCGTTCATTCCGCAACCGCAGGGCACTCTCCATTCCTACGCAACACCGACTGACAACATGGATCTTCCAGCTCCCGCTCCCAGTCGACTTACAAACGGCGACAGCAACGGACGGACGAGTATATCACTAGAGAACCTGTTCGACGACGTAAAGGAAGAGCGAAGCCCAAGACTAGAGGAGGATGCAAAAAGGCGATTACCCACTGTCAGGAAGCCAGGCAGCTGGGACTCGGAGGGTAACCATACACACTCAACCATTCACGACGCACCAGTCGCTGACAAGTGACTGTCCAGGTCCCACCTCTACAAATGCATCTACTCGATCCTCTCCCGCTCCCGGTAGCATGAACAAAGTCCCCTCCTCCCTTTCCAAAGCCTTCCCCAACAACCGTCCGCTCGCCGACAAGGCCGATATACAAAAGTGCACGCACTGCAAGCGCGCCGTGACCAAGCACACCATGCCCAAGCACGTGGAGAGCTGCCTGAATAAGAAGCAGGAGAAGCAGCGCAAGAAGAAGGAAGCCAAGGACGCTCGTGACGCCGCCGCTCGTAAGGAGAAGAACGCTGCGAATGGCGTCGCCGACTCTGATGAAGATGCTGAATCCACTATAGCAGACGGCTCGAAACCTACGGCGTCGAAGACGGGTCTGGGTGGTGGCGCGAAGAAGCGTAAGGCTGCCGATCCCGCCGCAGACGACAACACTCCCGAAGCACCTGCGAAGAAGAAGTCGAAGAAGTCTGGTTCTACGAATGAGACTGGCAAGGCCGGCGCAAGCAAGCCTAAACCCAAAGCTCCAGTCGACGTCGAGAAGCAATGCGGCGTAGATCTACCTCAAGGCGGTCAATGTGCGCGGTCTCTTACGTGCAAATCCCACAGCATGGGCGCCAAGCGCTCGGTCCCAGGCCGTAGTGCGCCTTATGACAAGTTACTAGCGGACTACCAGCGCAAGAACCAGGCGAAGCTGCAGAAAGCGGCGTTTGATGCCAGTGCGCCGGACCCGGAGGATGAAGGGTCAGCTGGTGCCGGACCTGTGGATAGTGACGAAGAGAGGGATGGGGTGATGGCGGGCATTGCGAGGGCATGGGGTGGAGCGCCGTTGTATCAGCGACCGATGGCGCCGTTGAGGGCGCGGTATCAGCACAATCGCATTCGCGGGATGTTGCAGAGTGCCTTCGCCAATCGGGGAGCTGGTGGTGGCGGGACTTTTGGCTCAGGAGGCGGTGGTGGAGGCTTCTTCGGTGGCTCATCGGCCGCTGCTACTACCAACCCCACCGCTGGTCCATCATCGTCCTCCGCCGCCCCAGCTTCCGCAACCACCAACACAGGCCCCAGCGTCGACGACAACGGCATCGTCCATGCGCGCCGCGGCTCCGTCGTCCCCGGCGCCCGCTCCATGATGGCACCAGCTGCTAACCGCAAAGCCAACGTCGCGAACACCAACTCCAACGGAACACCGGCCGCGGTCGGCGCGTAGGAAGCGTCGTCTTCGCGACAGGCTCCTGCTGGGGAATACGCGCCACCGGAGGGTTTTGGAGTTTCGCATGGTTCGGGAAAGGACGCGCCGAGGTTGGCTTTTGCGACGCTGGATGAGGAGAGTGCTAGAAGGAAGAAGGTTGTTGATGGGCCGTATGGGGCTAAGAAGCAGTGGTGAGAGGGTAGGTGTTGATGTTGTCGTATGCTTGAACGGGCGTTTATGGGGTGGGTTGGCTTGGGTTGGTCGGTTATGATACCCCCTCTGTTGCGCTGATATTGGAGACTCTATGGATTTTGATGCCGGTATGGGGGCATCGATGGCTCGCTGAGAACATGATAGATGGTCACAGACTATCTGAGATAAGAGAAAGCTTCGCCCGCTGTATTTCATCTTGATTGATGTTCAATGAGTAGTGGCGGCCCGTGCGTTTCTGACTTCACCTCTTCAGCTTCACTCTATCTCACATTCATTCGTCAACCTTCCATCTCTTCAATCTAGCAACCCCTCACGATCGCGGACAGTATACCCGCCATCATATTGCGACCTCTCACCAGTCAACCGTATTCGGTGCCTCGGCCTCAACTCCTTGTTCTGGCCCCCAAAGCAACATCTGCAGAAAATCAGCTTGGAACCTTGTACCATATGCACACCCCGCCGTCCACCACTCCTATCGCCCTGGTTCTATCCGTCCATCCCGTACTCTTGCCTAGTAAGCGAGCCGTCTGCTGAGTTAGCAGGGTTCTGATCTCTCAGCTCGAGACATGGATGTGGCGGTTTTACTGCTTTAGTTAGCTATATCCTTACTTCATTGGTATCCGTCTTTGCAGGGTCAACACGTCCTCGGCCTTCGGACGCAGGAACAGCGGCGCGAAGAAGAGGTCTATGGCGAGGCTGCGCTGGTACGGTAGGACCGATGGTGCGAGAAGCGAATATGGTGATGGCTTAAAGCGGTGCCATGCCCTCCTTGAAGGTCATGTTCTTTTCAAGATCTCCTGCCTCTGAGACACAAGCAAGAAGGTGTTTTTCCCATCCACAATGAACCTCTCTGCTCTCATCTCTTTCTTTGTTTTCTGCTCACTGCCCTCGGCTTCCGCTCATACAGCAGCGGCAGTTCCTACGTACCTTCCGATTCCTCCTGAAGCCGCTGGGCCTCCCGTCAACGCAACTCTCGGCTACCGCCTTCAGGACTTGGGTGATGGAGCCTACATGGTGACTGATGGCTTGTACCAAGGACTCTTCTATGTCGCCGATTGCAACAGCGTGATAGTTGTTGATGCTGCCCCAACAATCGGCTCGAACATTCTGCACGCCATCAGCTCGGTGACAGACGCTCAAGTCACGCATATGGTTTATAGCCACCACCGCGAAACCACACATCTACTCCCCGCACCACCGCATCCTCATGCTCGTCAACATCGTTTACCCAGGCTGGCTGCCCTTCGACCGCCTTGGAGAAGTCCAGAATGTACCCGGCCATGTCCTTGCCCACGAACAAATTCTCGCATACGACTTCACGACTTACGTCGGAGGCCACCTCAACCGTGTCGGCACTCGCGACGATGTGCGTATCTCGCAGGAGTATGTGCGCGATCTGTACAACACCACTGTCAACGCTATCGAGCTCAGCGCAAAGATGTAGGGCCCGTTGTCGGCTTTTGGATCGATCATCCCGCCAGTTATGGAGGCGAATCCTGGCAATGGTTGGGCGACTACGAGGGCGTATCTGGACGCTATAACAGAGTACGTTGCGGATGATGTTGCGAAGAGGTGGGAGAAGAGGTTGGCTGGAACTGATGTGTTTGGCCTGAGCAATGCGGAAGTTATGTTGGAGAGCGTGAGAATTGACTGGGGCAAGCTTGGGCCGTTTGGGCCGGTGGAGTGATGTCGATGCCTTTGCCCCGTAGAGTAGTCCTGCAAGCATATAGCTTCCGAATGAACACACACTCACTTCCACGCAACCCTCTCCCGCGGCCCAACAGCCAACTTCATATTCGCACCCGCCTGCCGCAGCATCTCTAGCATATCCTCCCTCTCACCCGCATAATGCACCGCCGCCTTGCCAAAAGCATTCCGCACGTCTAAAATCTCCCGCACCCCTGGCTGTCTCAACAGCACTTCCAGCACTTCCTTCCGCTCGCACAGACAAGCTTCGATGATGGTCGTGTTGCCATCGACTCCTCTTGCGGCCACCGGCGCACCAGCTTGGCACAGCGTCTCCGCCACTTCTGCTGTCTTTGCTCGGTATAGAGCTAGTCCAAGGACGGTGGTGTCGACACCGAGTGATAGCAGGAGCTGCAGCTCGCCAACGGAACTCGATTTTGCTGCTTCACAGACGCCTGCGGCACCTTTATCGATGCTTATAATGCCCAGTGACGCGAGCACCTTGGTCTTCTCCAGGCCGAACAGAACCACTGCATTGTTTGGGGTGGCAATTGCCAACGACCCCAAATCTTCAACAGCGCTGGGGACATCAAGCTGGACGTCAATGGCCTGCGCCAGAGCAGGATGGTTTACAACCTGGAACAACGGCGCGAGCAAGCGCCAAGCGTCACGATTGCGCGCCTGTAGAGCGACCTGAATGAGCCGCCCGATGGCGAGAGACTGAAGAAGGCCAGGGTCGGGTAGAGCCTGGCCGAGAAGAAGTTGCAACAGCGCGGACTTGCTAGCTCTGTTGTTGATCTCGGGTTGGTGTGTGATCGCCTTGTCGATCGTCTTGGTGGTGATTGTGTCGTCCAAGGCACGGTATGCGAGTGAAGTCTCACTGCTGTTTTCTATGGCATCTGAAGAGAATGTGGCGGATGCCCGGTATTCTGCCGTCAACGTGGTAGTTCTTTTAGGCTGGTGCGGTGCGTCGCCCGGGGTGCTGATTTGGATGACACGAGAGGTGACGGCCCGGCAGTAGCCACAGCGGACGGTGGAGTTCTCTGTCATGTAGTACGAAACGCAGGTTTTGCAGAACATATGGCCGCAGTCTTCAATTCTGTGCGACGTCAGTCGGTGTTCGTCTGCGGCAAGATAATCGGTATCAACCACGGCATCGAGGACTTACAAATTGTCGCAAATACGGATCTCGCAACAAACACAAAGCACAACGGTCTCTCCATCCACATGCACGCCAACTGCTGCACCTCGCTCCCAATCAAGCTCATTGATCGCTTTCACCGATTGCAGTCGCTCCATAGCTTTCGTTGTGACAGTCGCCGGTTCCGGCACCCTAGCAACCGTCTTCAATTGAAGATCGCCAAAAAATAGCGGCGAAAGCGGCGGTCGAAGACCCGTGACGGCCTGGAAAGCGATAGAGTTCAGGATCTGTATGTTCACAAGTCTCGCAGCCTTCCAATTCCAGATGTGTGTGGATTGGTCTTCGAAAACGCTCTGCTTGAATTCACCGCCCAGGGCAACACCCATGTCCCAGCCCGGCGCGATTACAGATTCCCGTCTGGTGGAGCGACCACTGAAGCCGCCCCTGGCCGATCCCAGTCTGAGTAGTTTGGGTTCTGCACGAAACCCGACAGTTTGGCCATCCACCAAGTCGAGATCGCTTAGTACCCAGTCTTCACTTGGTTTGATCGTCTGTTCATGGATCCTGAATGTTATTTCGGCGTTTCTTTTTCTTAGCCACGGTTGATCTGGCATCATCTCCTTGAAGCGCGCTCTCATGAATTTTCGGAGGTCTTTGACTCGCGCTCGTGGATCGCAATGGCAGGACAGCATTTGGATACCGTCGGAGATGCGTGCAAGCTTCAGGTGAATGGTGCTCAAGGCTGTGATGACCAAGGAGGAAGACATGTCAAGGCGGGAGGAAGCCGGTCCACCGAACAGTTCGTGTATGAATCTCGCCCGATACTTGGTGCTGTTTGAGTAATCTTTTGAGCTGACGACGTTCTCTTGCAGCTGTCCTGTGAGCTGTGGATGATTGTAGAGAACGTAAGGACTGTGGTCTTCCAAATAGAGCCGTTGTCCGGGTTGGAGGCCGAGCTGCACCGGCATGCTGAAGGGGTGGCATCGTTCCCTATTACTGGCCTTGCTATTGTTGACCTCGAGCGGTGTTGTTCCGAAGTGAAACGTATCTCGGAGTCGAGGTGCGATCTCGAGTTGAATGCCTCCGACGTACTCTTCTCCTGTCAGCTGGTACTCAACACTGTACTTGGCACCCATTGGCATCGCAACAAATTGTTTCAATGACCCATTGGACGCCTTGTATCCCCCAAGAAGCTTCTGTTGCGGAGCCACAATATGATTCTGCAGATTGGTGTCTGTATAATGTTTGGTCTCAATCGCAGGCAGTCCAGTGAGTACGTTAGTGGCCCCAGTGTAGACCCTGATAGCGAACTGGTTCGCGTCAGGATATGGTGATCTGAACCCTATCATCAAAGCCTCCCTTTGCAGCATAGGAAAGAATAGCCCATCCTTTTTGCGCATGTTCTCCGGAAGCGCAGAAGCAAAATGACGAGCAACGAAAAGAGGAAAGCTTGCAAACGTCGGTGGCTCGTCGTATATCTGGTCGTCTTCTGGCAGCCGTACTGTTCTCTTGAAGTCTATGTAGACCTCACTCTCATGTGCATTGTGGTCCTTAACACAGATAGAGTCTGGAGCCGCCACTACGTTGACTTGTGGTTTCCCGGAGAACCTGGCATTGTAGAAGTCGATCAGTCGTTCATGTGAGTCGATTCGGTAGCCCTGTCGGAGGTCGTAGCAACTCGGGCCGTTGGTTACTTCGACGGCGATAGCGCTTGTCTTCGGAACTGCTCGTTCTATGATGCATCGTCCTGAATCTGCTTGTACCTCGAACCCATAACTTGGATTGAATCCTGGACAACATCAGTAAGCACGCAACAGCAGCTTCGTTTCATTCGGTCTACCTTGGTGCTGTAAATACGAGTGCAACGTATCAATCGAATCAGAGGGCAAGAAAGTTTTCTCGGTCATTTTGGGTCCTGACGGACCACTGCCTTTGATGATGAGATGGACTCGGTCGCCATTGAGCCCCTGTTTGACGAGATGTTCCACATCCTCAGGATAAGGTTTGTTTTGAGGAAGAACTTCCCGCTGTTGGCCAGCCACGAACGACTGCACAACCATCGGATCAGTCATCGACTGCTTCGGTGTACTTCCCACCGCACCTTTTGCCCGAGTGAGGGCCTTGATGTTGGATAGCCCCTCTGCCTCTGCTTGTTTCGGCGCTGTTGCTGGCTTCGATTGGAACGAGCGGAGCCATGAGTCCATGCTGTCGTCGGTCTGAACCTGCTGTTTAGTAGCGCCTTCCACCACATCAGCAGAGCTTTGACCGGGTTGGAGTTCCGCAGTTTGGGACGTGAAAGCAGCTACCGACTGCTCACGTCCGGGACGCAAGTCGGCGAGCCAGTCACAGAAAGCAGAGTACTCGTTTGTGGGTTCCATGGAAGGCACATGGTTCGATCCCTCTGTCTTCCCATTCCGCTCGAGCTGCACTTTGAAAGTCTCGCTGATTTCGCGCTTTAGTCGAATGATAGCTCTCTCTTTGCCTTCACCATACAACATCGGGATAACGATACCAAAGATCCCAAGGAGGCAGTAGGCCCAGTCCTCCTGTCGCGTAGTATTACGATCTCGGGCCCAAGTGAAGCGTTCACCGATGCTGTACTTGCTCAATGACTCGCCATGGAGAGCACCACAGGGTATGCCGGTGGCTTCCGTGATCAGCGCCTCCAGAGACTGTTTGTCACCAAGCCGGTGTCCTTCCTTTGAATAGAATTCCACCGTTAGGGGCGCGAGAAGTTCCTCGAGCGTCCAGCCTCTGGTAAACCACCTGCTTGACTTGAAAGACGGGTGCCACGATGTCTCGGATGGCTGCTTTCCCAAGTCTCCCTCATCGACAGACACATCCGGCAAATAGACGTAGCATCGACTGGCCCTCTGGTAAAATCTGAACATCGAGTTGATAGCCTCTTGTAGCTCGGCACTGCTCGATTTGTCGATGCAGCACGTATCCTGCCAAAAGTACATGAGGTGATGAGCAGCCGCTCTTTCGTTACAGAAGCGTAGCTTGTCGAAGCCCGGCCGCTTGCTGGCGCTTCCATCTTGAAGGTCTTTGGAGGTTACCTCCTCGCCGTCCGCCCTCCAGCAATGGCTCAGGATTGCGTAGGGAGGAGTCGCCGCCTCCACGTTGAACTCCGTCAGCACCGGTATCTCCCCTTCTTTGAAGTGGAGTAGACGCATGTTGGCTGGCTTCCGGTTTGATGCCGTGAACTCGTGAAGGCCGTCTCAGGCCGGTATTGGAAGTTTCGAACATCCCAAGGCGGCATCTGCTATCCGTAGCCAAGAGCAAGAAGGTGGCGTGACCATGTTGCCAACATGCTGTACCTCCTTGCCAAGGTGCAAGGTATAGATGGCGGAGCACCCAGGCCAGCTGCCATACTGATCAAGCAGTCTTCGTCCTCAAGGTTAGTCAAGGTGGTGTGGTATGTGTGATAGACTCTGCGGTCTGACACAACCTTTGATGATGTGTCGTGGGCAAGAGTTTGATGACGCCGGTGGAGAAGAACCTAGGTTGCTTTCCTGTACAGCAGGCAGCGGAAACGGCATCCGCATCTTCACCATCTTTGCACTTCTACGCTCCATCATCCACTGAGCAATACGTTCGTGCTTAAGATATAGTCGACGAGACCGACAGGGCGCCACTGACACGAAATGGCGAGCTCTTTGCAGGCAAGCTGCAGGAGCTGGCGCTTGATGAACAACAACCTCTCCTGTCGAGGTACCTATGGAAAAGAACAAACATCTCGACCGCCCAAATAAGCACATACGTCCAGTGAGACAGGACTCATCTTGAATAGCACACTCTCCCACGCCATGGAGGCCGGCGATCAAAGGGCAGACATTCATGTTCTTATCATAGGCGCAGGTAAGTGGTGCAACATTTCCTTCCGTCTCATCGCTGTGGCCTCTGAACTACTGCATCATGGTTGTTCCCACAGGTATACAAGCGGTGCTGATGGAACGCAAAGGCATCAGCGGCCTTCTACTAGCCCAAGGCCTCAAGAAGCATGAGATTCCATTCTCCATCTTTGAATCTGAAGACTCAGCCAAGTTCCACAGAGCGCGAGAATGGGGCATGTCTATTCAATGGGCTCTCCCCATGCTCGCAGACTTGCTTCCTAATCATCTCCTGGAACGCTTGCAGTCCGATGCTTCAGTAGATCCACACTACGTCTTCCCCGAGACAGGCAACACGATGCCAATCTACAATGCCGAGACTGGCGAGCTGATGAAGTCTATCCCTCTGGTCAAGATGCTTCGCGTGTCTCGACGGAGGTTGCGCAGACTGTGCGCAGAAGGCATTGAGGTCCAGTATGGTAAACGATTCCGCTCAATGACCACCAGCGAGGACGACGGCAAGATTACAGTACACTTCTCCGACGACTCCCAGACAAGCGGAACCCTCGTCGTAGGAGCAGATGGCGCCAACTCAGCAGTACGCAACGCCGCTTTCTTCGACACAGATAAAGGCAAAGCTGTTACAGCAGGCTACGCTGGAGCTAACATGCACGTCTGCTACGGAGACGCCTCCATTGCCCGCTTGCTCCGCGAACACCTCTCCCCGATTCTGGGAATCGCGATGCATCCTCGTGGCCACTGGCTGTGGTTTAGCATACAGGATGTACCTGACCCGGAGAAACCAGAAGGATGGGTGTTCCAGCTGCAATGGACATTCAAGCTGGGACCTGAGACCGCGGGTTTGTCAGAGCTCAATCTCGAAAATCTGAAAGCTGATGCGAGCAAGTACTTTGCTGAGCCGTGGCGGAGCGCCTGGGAGAAGATACCACCTGGCACGAGAGTCCCCAACAATCGTCTCTCGATCTGGCAACCCGCACCGATACCCAGCGAGGCTTGGGGAGGTAGAGTTGCGTTGGTGGGTGATGCTGCTCATGCCATGAGTTTCCATCGCGGCCAGGGAATGAACCATGGTATCGCTGATGCTGTCGAGCTTACCAAGATCTTGAGTGCTGGTGGCAGGGGGAAGGAGGCTGTCCTTCAACACGAGGCAGAGATGATTAAGCGGGCGGGAGAAGAGGTGGCGATCTCGAAGTCGAACACGGAGATGGTGCATGATTGGGATAGACTGATGCAGAGTCCGCTGATGCAGCGCGGTGGTGACAAGAACAGATAGATTGGTCATCGCCACGGACACGAATGAGAGCACATCGAGCTCTGTTGCAACGAGCGACATAAGTTATGTGACATGAAGAATCAAATCCGGACCCCGGAGGCTTTTGTGACTTCCGTCAAACTGACAAGTGGTCCAAACATCACTCCATCTGCCGGCTGCCGTATCAGAAGCACTGGATGGGCGACGCTGACGAACCTCCTAGTCGTCGCGCCCGCCCCTTCCGTGCCCACCCCGTCCCCTGCCGCCTCCTTCATGCCCTCCTCGTCCGCCTCCTTCATGCCCTCCTCGTCCACCTCCCTGATGCCCTCCACGCCCTCCTGGACCATCGTCATCACCACCAATCATCCCTGGGTTGCCTCCAAGTCTGATGACCTCCGCCTCAGAGTTCTTGCATGCCTCGGCACACTGGGCTTTGAACTCTGGTGCTGCGTTTCGGAGCTCGACACGATCATTCTTCGCATTCTCAACGGCTGCTCTGAGCTCTGGGCTCATTTGGCCTCCGCCGCCTTGACGGCCTTGACCGTCTCCTCCGCGGCCGGGACCATCTGGAGAAGAGAGAGGTCAGCGTGTGAATACCTCGCCTGATAGGGTGAAAAGCTGGAAAGGCTCTGGTCAGGTGTGAGGGTCTCTTCTCGACGTACCATTGTCGCGCCCACCACGATGCCCTGGGCCGTCATTATCGTTGTCCCGCCCCCCACGGTGTCCGCCTTGTCCTCCATCGTCTGTTCCAACGGATCAGCAAAGAACTCGGAAGTCCTTCTGTGCAGGTATTCAGACTTACGACCACCTCGGCGTCCGGGGCTATCGTCTCTGCCTTGTCCTCCACGCCTGCCGCCAGGTCCATCATCGTCAGAGTTGCTGTTGCGGCGTCTGCCACCTGGGCCGTCGTTGTCGCCCCTGCCATGCTGCCTGCCTCCCTTCTTGTCGTCGTCGCTGTCTCGGCGACCACCTTGGTGTCCTCCACGATGATGCTGAGAGCTTGTCAGCTGTTGTTGTATGTACTAGGAGGCCTCGGTGTACGTACTTCAGACATGATGGTAGATAGCTCTTTTCTGATTGATTGTAAGTCGTTTGAGTAGTTTTGTAGCTAAGCAAGTGAATGAAAGTAAGAACGAAGGGAACACTTCCAACTAATAAATACCTGGCGAGTCTGGACCGACCTTGGAAGCTACCTACAGCTCTCCACCAAGATCTCGTGTCGCCCAAGACCTTGGAAGCGCCTTTGACGTAGCTGCCCCTCCAAGTGCAATGTCTAGACTTGGTTGATCTTGATCCATGGTGCAGTAGCTCGGTTTATCAGGGACGAGATGGCGTGCCGTGCGTGCATGGAGGGGTGAACCTCCACAATAAATCCTGTCGATGGAGGGGTACCCTCTCAGCTCCGAAGCAGACGCGTAATGGCGTTGACAGCCAGTATGCCGTGGCTACAACGTCTTTGTCTTTCGAAGAAGCTTGGAAAGCCTTCTCGGGCCGTTGCTGGAGACTGTGGATGTTCCTCAAGACCCTGCCATGTGCTGTCCTCGAGAGACGAGGAAGTGGGTTGGCCATGCTACTCTTGACGTAGCTTCCACCAAGGTTCGAGGTATTTACAGCGCTGTACCAATGTATCACTGCAGCGCAACCGCCTGAGCCCTCGAAGATATCCGTGTGTGTGAAGGTAAGAAGGGTCCCTTGTCAAACGTGATGGCGATGAGATGCACAAGAGAGGTCAAATCTTCGCGGAGGTGTCGAAACTCATCCAGCACGGACCCCACCAACCATTATGAGCTAATACATATATTGCAGAACACCAGGGCTGCAAAAGTCGTTAGAGCGATCAATTTCGAATTCTTCAAAGTAACTATCAACCCACGTCAACCGGAGCATCAAAAGCACCCCAATGCCCCTCCCTATCCCCCTTCTTCGCATCCAACGCATATCTAGCTCTCCTACCACCACAGAACATCCCCGCTGTCGCTTTCCTCCGCACACTGACATAGCGGCCTTGCATGCCCCCTTCCACGTCTGCAATTGTTCCGTTCCGAACCGCTTCCATTGAGTCTTCATCCCAGCGCCAGACTCGATCCACCACTTCGTCGCCTTCTTTCTGGAACTGCCGTGGGTTATAGCTTGGCCGGCGTGCGATGATGTTGATGAGGCGGTGGGGCCAGGTGTAGAGGCGCTCGAAGCGGGAGGTGAAGGGCAGCCAGCGTAGGACTGAGGGTGAATATGCAACGCGAATGTACGGATTCATGAAGATGGCTGGCTCTTGGTCGGATACAGAGGAGGAAGAGGAACCTGCTGAGACGAGCGAGGCCAGATCGGCGTGGATGAGGCAGCATTCTGAGGCATCCCAGTATGAGTCTGTTTCGGAGCGGAAGCGTAGAGGTGACGCTGGGGTGGTGTTCGTTGTGGTCATCAGTTGGACGTTGCGAGCCAGAGCATCGATTCCTTGCTCTTCATGTCCTTCAGTGCTTCTGCTCTTGAGCAAATCACCTCTATGTGGCTCATATTCAACGTCTGCAGGAGGTTGCGATGGATCTTCCGCTGAAGAAGCCGGCTGATGCACCCAGGGCTGGAACCACTTGCCCTCGAAAGCGACCATTCCACCCCAGCAGCTCTTCACCTGTACAGCATCCTTCTGATCCAGCACATCATGTCTTGACGCCGCTTTCCCGGCATTCGAGAACCATGGATAGAAAGGCACGCCCATTGAATAGCCTTCGATGTCTCGCGCTGCTAGCGTGTCGTAGAACTTGAATGGATTGATGAAGTCCATGGCACATGCGGCGCGGTAATTTGTTTTGCCCGTCGACTCGTCAACGTTGGTGCTAAAGAGGAGATTCGCTGCATCGATGGGATCGAATGCAACGTCGTTGAGGTATAGCAGCTTGTCCCACGTCGTGTTGAATGCTTTCGACTGCGCATCTTCCAGCGGCCGAAGCGCACGATTTCGCACTTCGGCAAGGAATGCAATTCTTCTCAATCGTCGCGTGCCATCCGGCAGGATGATGTGTTGGAGGTCAGATCCATCATAATCCTCGTGCTTAATGGAGGAGTCGCATGGTAGTGACGCTTCGAAATCATATAACGCCCTTCTGCTTTCTTGATCCGGATTATCTTCGTAGATGCTCAGGAAAACGTTCTCGTGTCCCAGAATATTAATGAGACGATGGACTGACTGTCCCCAATGGCCTGACAAGAGTGCTCCCTCTTTGTCGTACAGAGACGCCGCGATGAAGATCTTCTCCTTGCGGATGTTGGCTGTCTGATGGTGCTCTTGCACTCTGTCTCGGACATCAAGGTACCGTTGCGGAGGATTCGTGTAAGACGGAAAGAATGTCCCAAACAGGAGTATCAGACATAGCGTGAAGTATGGTACAAATGAGCAACAGCGGAGAAGGCGACCAAGCAATGACCTTGGCTTTCGTCTGCGGTTTGATAATGGATGCAAGTCGGTTCGTTTCCGAAAGTGTCGCCAGTGGTGTTGCAGTGACTCGAAAAGCCAGCAGGAGCGCGAGAGACGTGTGGAAGTACAAGCGACGGTATCTTCGAGAGTGTCGAGATCGATCTCCTCGCTGTTGATGCTACATGAGCGTGTCCTCGACAGGAGTCTGTGATCTTCATCCCTTTGATAACCCATTCTGCTTCTCCCAAAAGGATCGCACAAGTAAAATAACATTAAGAGAGTCACTTGCACAACATAAAGACATTGTAAGAGGAATTGAGAGCAGGAGGTAACACTTACTAGACCGCTGAACAAGTGAAGAAAGACCAATGGCAGAAGACGAAAAGAGGAAGCCTACGAGAACCGTGTAGTACTGTGGTTGCGGACGAGCGCGTTGCAAGAGTGCTACAGTAGGCCTTGGGCCCTTGCGTGCGTAGTGGACCGAGACCGAAGGTCCGGTCAATAAGGCATTGTGAGATCGAGGGTCAGGTCGTCCGGCGCCACGTTTGCTATTTCGGAAGATTATTGTTGCCTTGGTCTCGAGCTCGCCCAACACAAATGGAGCTTGTTGCGCTACTCGATTGCTGATCAATACATCCACCCCAGATGTATACACAGGCATGCAGTGACTTCAGATGCGTTGGTCGTGGCGGCTTCGTGTACCCAGAAGTAGTTGTCGAACTGTATCTCATGAGCTGAACACAGCCCGCCATCGCATTCGCATGATGAGCCAGTAGAATCGCCGGTCCTGAGCGCATGCTCAGATTTGCATTTCAGGTACCATTAATCGGGAATTTGGCAGCCTGGCGGCTGAAGACGCTGGGTGGCCAATGTCATCTCCGACGAAATGCCTAGTGGAGAGTGGAGAAGCGCCTTCAATCTTTGCAAATGCACTAATGGGATCCATCGTCTGGCCTATCCGGGTGAAATGAACGATGAGGAGAGTCGACGTGAGGTCGAATGTTTGCGAGCGCAGGCAGCAGATAGCATCCCGATGCGCGTAGCGTACGGGAGCCGCCGCACCTTCCTGCTGAGGAGCTTGTCAATATGACTTCGACATTACATCTCACTTCACGGTCCATGCGCTGACCATGTCGCTCAAGTATGGGCTGAATCTGAAGAAAGGAGGGCCACCTCCGGTTCGTAAGACTATACTGGACGACGAAGACGATGGCGAGGAGGAAGAGCCTCAAACGGGCGGAGCGGCAGTAGAAGAGATTAGCACGTTCGGCAGCAATGGACGGGCGGCACCAGCACGGAAACCGGGAGCATCGTTACCTGGAGCTCCATCGCCACGCAGAAAACCAAAGGAGGAAGAAGAGATAGACCGGCAAGATCTGTCCTCCGCCAAAGCTTCAAAGGCGAAAGTGCAAGCCGCGGCTTCTCTGGACCCCACCATCTTCGACTACGACTCCTTCCATGACGCTAAAACCAGCGTGAGCGAAGCCCAGAAGGCCGCGGCCAAGCAGGACGCCATCGATCGGAAGCCGAAGTACATCAACAACCTGCTCGATTCTGCGGCACGTCGGAAGCAGGACCAGCTCGTTGCACGAGAGAAACTGCTGCAGAAAGAACGCGAGGCAGAAGGTGATGAGTTCAAGGACAAGGAAAAGTTCGTCACAGGGGCGTACAAGGAGCAACAAGCGGAGGCGAGGCGGATAGAGGAGGAAGAGGAGAGGAAGAAGGCCGAGGAGGAAGAAAGGAGAAGGAAGGGTGGGGGCGGAATGAGTGGGTTCTATAAGGGCATGATGGAGCAGCAGGAGAAGCAACATCAGCAGGCTCTGGAAGCGGCCGCGAAGATGGAGAAAGACTTGCAGGAAGGTGGGGTGAAGCGTAGCGAAGACAGCATGGAGAAGAGCGGAGCGGAAGTTGCGGAGGAGGCGCGGAAGAGGGGCGTCAACGTGCATCTCAACGAGGAAGGGCAGATCACTGATAAGCGGGCCTTGCTTTCTGCTGGTCTCAACGTTGGATCTAGTGGGAAAGCAAAGGATGACAAAGGCGCGGATCATCTGCGCACGTCTGCTCGACCAGCGCAGTCTGCGTTCCAGAATCGTGCCGATGGAGGCAAGCAAGCCATGCGCGAACGGCAGAGTAGAATGATGGAGGAGCAGCTTGACGCACAGGCGAAGCGAGCTCGCGAGGAGGAGGAAGAGGAGCGCCAGAAGCTGGAAAAGACTGCGAAGAGTGCGAAGACCGAGAAGGATGTTGGAGACGCGAAGGCGCGTTATCTTGCGAGAAAGGCTGCCAAAGCGAGAGGGGAGAGCTGAGAGCCTCACGCCATGCGAAGCACGATTACGTCTTGAATTTGCTCGCTCCGGAGCCGCAAACATGGAGTCGAAGTCAGCAGGGCTAAAGGTGCGTGCGTTCCCATTCCAGTTCCCTTCTCTACTTTCTGCCTTGCAATGTAAGAGCGGGCTACTCTTAAGGACGGCGAGCTTGGCTTCTGTCCCATGACTAGCTCGTATCAATTATATGCCCAAGATTGATGGCCTTGCCCCCGCGCGGGCTGCAGTGTTGCATAATCAACTTGCGTTCCATCCGTTTCTATTTGAGGGAGGGCATGAGCTTGTTCACTGACATCTCTGCGGCAGCAAGTACATATGTTCTCTGAGAGCAGCCCTCGAATGAGCAACACGCAACTCAATAGGCCTGGATTACAGATTACATGTCCTTCACCACACTGCGATCGGCCATCTCGCCCTCCCGCTTCGGACCCTCCCGCTTAAACGTCTCAGCGAGACCGCGCTTTGGATCCTCGTCCGGCAGGCCGCGCTGACGCCGCACCTTGAGTACTTCGTTGCGCACCGCAAGTGTCACCTCGATCCGTAACTTTTCAGCCTCGGGACCGTACCGCAAAAAGTCGTCATCGACCACTCCCAACCTCTCGTCAACCTCCATCATTTCCCAACCCTCCCTGCCCGGTTTCCGCCTCGCCCTCTCCTTCAGCGTCTGCCATCTTCTCCGCAACGGCTCCAGCACGCCTTCGCGATCGACCAGCTCGCCAAACGTTACCTCCACATGTTTCCCGGGCCGCGGTAAAGGACGTGGGAACGTTCGCTTCTCGCTCATGACTTCTTGCGGTCCATCGATCCACATTGGAAGCACGTCTGGACAAGGTTCGGCTTCGAGGATGAGGCGCGCGACGCCCCATTTGAAGTAGCGCATTGTTTTGCACGGATGCTGGTGGATCATGCCTTCCGGGAAGATGTGCAGCCAGCTGTGGCGTCGACTCGGGTAGGCGGCGGGTGCTGGGAAGGAGTCGAGGCCGTTGGTGGAGTAGGTGAGGGTCGAGGCGGAGAAGGGGTCCGAAGGTGGTAAAGACATTGAAGGGGTGCGCTGGGCTTGCGACTGAGGAGATGAGGATTGGCCACCACGAGGGTCGCTGAGCAGTCGTATGCACTCCGTCATCGTCGGTTGGAAAAGGCCCCCGTATTTGGAGTGCGCAGATCGTTGGGTTGGCAGGGTGTTGCCGTACGTGAAGAATTTAGAAAGCATCCCGTATTGTCTGTAAACCATGCATCAACACTGATCTGAAATGAATTGAGACAACCTCGTACCCATTTTTGAAGCAGATATCATAGCTCCCAAGCGACCAGCGCATATTGTTTGAGTCCCAGTGATACCGAAATGGCATTACGCCCCAAATCATTGGGTCATCAAGCCTGTTGATCTTTAGCATATGGTTTCGTCGCCACCACCAAGATATTCGGAGCAACTCACACACTCGTATGATTAGAAACAGTAACCAACCCTCTCTCCCGTCCCCTCTCATCCTTCCTCTCATCCACAATCTTCAGAAACCTCTCCAGCCCATGCGTCTCAGTCGAGCTAAGCCCATATAGGAATGAGCGACATAAAAATCCGATGAAGCCAATCGTGGTGTTTGAAGCCAGGCGATGGGAGAGCGGAGGCTCGTATGGCCGCTCTTGTTGCACCATCGGGGCGGACAAGAGCGGAGGTTATGGGGATGGCATGGATGGATGGAGTGAGGTGTGGATAGAAGTAAGGTGTGGTTGGAAAGTTTGCAGGAGAGCACGTGGAGGGCTGGGATGGATTGGGAAGGTGGGTCTGGGAAGTGAATGCGCGCCAATGACGTTGCGCGGTTGACGATGGGAGAGGACAAAGACATGTGCGACTGCATCTTTCGTTCTTCTTCAGCTGGCCGATGAATACGGCTAGAACCAGCTTCGCAAGAGTACTCTTGACCATGAGAACGAGCATGCGACTATTTAGCAGAAACACAGTGAAGCGGATGCGACCTGACGAGGACACTTGACGACTATAGGATCATTTGGACAGCATCTTGGATCGCAACTGATACGAACCTGGAAAGCATACTTCTGGTCACTGGACATACTTCACGATTGGACTTAATGGATAACGATGTTTCTACCGAGTCGCCGGACGACACTGCTTCGAAACAGCAGCTGGACTTGAGCAGCTTGCCACCCGTATTCGTCTCAGCATCGCAGTTCGAGAAGCATTTGGATGACCTTCACGAGTTGGAAGAAGGGCTTGCTGAGGCGAATGCGCCGTTGACATACGATATTCACGAGGCAAGGATCGTGCTGTCAAAGGTGACGAAGAAGAAGCGGATTCACTTCGACTTGCGTGAGAATGGAGGTGTGTGGACGGAGGAAGTTCCTACTGAGCAGCTGAAGAAGTCAGAAAACATGAAAGATTTGGATTCATTGGAATCACCTCGTCCGACCAAGAAGGTCAAACTTGAGGATCCAAAGGATGAAGTGATTGTGATCGATGATGAGTCTACGGCTTCGGAAGGCGAAGAAGCAGCATCCCCGGCGCCAGGACAACGAAAAGTACCGACTGCCAAAGAATCATCGGCCGCCAAAGTCAGGACACCATCTCCCACGCCACTCAAAGAAGAGGACTTGATCCGGGTCGTCCACATAGACTGGTTCGCTGAGTCCAAGAAACGCGGCGTACCAGCACCTCTGGAAGACTACCTCAGCTACCTAGGCCGTCGCGTGCCACGCCCCGTTGCTGCTCCAGCCACACCTCAATCAGGCTCCTCCACCAGCAAACCCCCCTCAACCCAATCCACCCCCTCCAAAGCCATCCTCGACCGCGCCAAAGAAGACGCCCCCACCCCCTCAAGCACCCAACACTCCCGCACCACCGACCGTTTCTCCAAACGAAAGTTCAGCCAGTCGTCAAACAAACCGCTCGGCGTAGGCGGCAGCTGGGAAGCCGGCCACCACTCCAAACATCCCCAACTCCTCCACGCCACCACCTCCGAAGCCGAAAGCGGCAACTCCTCCGATCTCCCCGAGCCCCCGGAGTGGGTCAAGCAGGGCGTTAAGTACGCCTGCCAACGCCCTACTCCGTTGCGCTCGCCGAACGAGGCGTTCGTCTCTTTGCTGAAGAAGATCCGGACGGCGCGGGAGTTGACGAATGATGAGATTGGGGTAAGGGCGTATAGCACTTCCATCGCCTCGCTCGCCGCGTACCCGTATAAATTGACGAGTCCGAGGGAGATTGTGAGGCTGCCGGGCTGTGAAGCGAAGATTGCGAATTTGTTCGTTGAGTGGACGAATACGGGGAAGGTGAAGGCGGTGGAGGAGTTGGAGGCGAATGAAGAACTACAGATACTAAAGTTGTTCTACGAGATCTGGGGTGTTGGGGCGACGACGGCGAGGGAGTTCTACTATGATCGTGGTTGGAGGGATTTGGACGACATTGTTGAGTTTGGCTGGGGTACGTTGACAAGAGTCCAGCAGATTGGGGTTAAGTTCTATGATGAGTTTTTGGACCTGATTCCGAGGGCGGAGGTGGAGGAGATCGGGAGGGTGGTGCGGAAGCACTCTGTTGCTGTGCGGAACGAAGGCATCCAGAGTCTCATCGTGGGTGGGTATCGGCGTGGGAAAGAGGCGAGCGGGGACGTGGATATCGTGGTCTCGCACCCTGATGAGAACCAGACGATGAATTTGGTCACGGACATTGTGTCGGCGCTGGAAGAGAGCGGGTGGATCACGCACACACTGCTGCTGTCTCTCAACTCCACCAATCGTGGACAGCAGACTCTGCCTTTTCGGGCCTCAGCGCTGCATGGTGGGCATGGCTTCGACACTTTAGACAAAGCGCTCGTCGTCTGGCAAGACCCTGCGTGGCCGAATAAAGAAGCTGATCTGGCTGCGAACCCGAAGGCGAAGAACCCGAATATTCATCGTCGGGTCGATATCATCATCGCGCCTTGGCGGACTGTCGGATGTGCGGTGGCGGGTTGGAGTGGAGGGACGACATTTCAGCGGGATTTGAGACGGTATGCGAAGAATGTGAAGGGGTGGAAGTTTGATTCGAGTGGTGTGAGGAGTCGGGTCAATGGGGAGGTGGTCGATGTGGAGGGGTGGCAGGATTATCGTGGTAAGATTGGGGAGGGCAGGGCGAAGACGATGCTTGAGGCGGAGAGGAGGGTGTTTGAGGGGTTGGGGTTGGAGTTTATTGAGCCGGATGAGCGGTGCACTGGTTAATACTGTGCTTCGTGAATACTGTGACTTTCAATCCATGACCCGTTCTCGAGTATCGCAATAGCGCTGAGCCTTCCCTCCCACTGCTCAACGACTTGTCAGTGTCTAGGAGAAGGGAGATTGTGTGTGTGGAAGATCCTAGTTCCACACCCAGTTCTCGAGCATCGTAACAACTCTCAAGCCCTTAGTGTACTGCTTGAGCGTCTCAACAGCTTCTCCAAGCACGGAGGAGGCGTTTCTTGCTCAATACATGACCCCTTCTCCACCATCGCGACAACTCTCACCCCACCGTAGCGGTGCTCGCACTCTCAAAGGCTTATCCCTTTCCTGGGGAAGGCGCCCGGTCAGACGTCCGCCGGCTCATGCTGCTCATCCGGGTCGTAGTCCCAAGCGTTGCCCTCGTCCCTCGCTAGAGCTTCCACCGCACCACTCGTAAACTCCTCCTTAGTTCCTCTCGGCACGTCCCTGATGAACCTCGCCGGATTGCCCGCCACAACCGTGTAAGGCGCAACATCCTTCGTAACCACACTCGCCGCCCCCACAGTACTCCCCTTCCCAATCGTGATGCCCGGCAAGACTGTCACATTGCCACCCAGCCAGCAGTCCTCTTCGATAGTGATCTCCTTGCCCAGTTCCGGTCCCGCCGTGCCCTTTCGAACATCAGGATCGAGTGGATGAGTGCCAGAAAACAAGCTCACACCCGAAGCCAGCAGCGTCCGGGCTCCAATCGTGACTTTGCAGGTATCCAGAATCGTAGCGTTGAAATTGATGAAAACTCCTTCTCCGAGAACGAGATTGGTGCCATAGTCGATGCGGATGGGTGGTTCTACCCATGGTTCGTTGGAGAAGAGGGCTTCGTCTTCGATCTCGGTCGCCTTGGGAGATGGCAAGGGCGTGGTGTCCCCGACGATTTCGCGCCATAGACGAACGCGCTCACGCCTGCTTACGCCGCTGTAGTTGTTGAAGGCTTGACAAGCGAGGGTGCAGCGGCGGCGGCCTTCTACCATCTCTGGGGTGAACGCGAAGTAGAGGTCTCCGCGGAGCTGTCGTTGCTTGTTTTCGGATGTTGCCATGTTGGAGATGCTGAGAGGACGGACTCTCGAGTGTAGGGTTCTCCTGTAGGCAGACTGGGTGTAGTGGTGTCAGAGGGCTGGGTGTGCATGCTTCGTAGTTCCGAGAAGAGGTTGGAGAGGTTTTTGACGGGCAGGTGACCGGACTTGTCTACTAGCGGCAACAGGACTCTCCAGAAAGGGGAAAGTGCAGAGAGTGCAATGAGATGGATAAGCTCACAATGCTCGAGGTCTTTGTTCAGGAGAAGGCCGTGTTGTACAATCTTTGTATCGAATGTCTGCTAATCAACCTACCTGTCTGGAAAGGCTTCTCCGAGGCGAGGCCTTGTCTGATGCGAGCGCAACGCGTGTGGTATGCTCTACAGCGTATTGCTGGACTCGAGAATGGTGTTGATAGCCTCGAGTAGTCCTTGGGCTGGAGTCTGGAGTCGGGATGGCATGTGATCGTTTTGGGAAGGCTCGATGTAGATCCCTCCCACCTCACCTCTTCTCTCAGCTGTTGTTCTATCTCGTCGTGCTGCTGTAGACAGTCTGCAGCGAGGAGAACATCCCTTCTAGAGGACGGCGCAGCCCGTCGAGCTCGTTGTCGTTCTTGGTGGGGAGGTACCTCCGCCCATCCGCCGCTCCGCCGTCAGCCCCAACCATGCCGCAACTCCTGCTTCGAGGCACCACCACACCATCGACAGACGACAAAAGACATCACGATAGTGTTTCTTGTCGAGACAAACTTCCAAAGATCCTCGACGAAGCCTCGAGTAGGCCCAGATCGCCATTTCGAGTCGACCGAGGCGTCCAAGGGCAGCGCAAGCTGTTCACTAGCCCCCCCTCCATCACCACGGCCTAGGACCACAAGAGGAGGTGATGAGCATGCTGAGATTGCCGTAGCAGCAAGGAAGAACAATCTACAAAGCATCAGGAAGGCCCTGCTCGCCGTAGAGGAGCAGCAGGCGCATTCGAGGCGGCGACAGCACCACGCTTCGGGCAGAAGCCTTCACTTCCGCAAGCCCCACGTGCGCCAGCGAGCTTCACTAAAGCTCAGCAACACCAGCAGACACTGCTTCACTGCTTCACATAACATGTGAACGCGCGTGGAAAACGGCGGGACCGCTCCTTGCTCCCAAAGCGCCTCCATGGGTGCTTCTGGTCGCGCTGCAGCCGGTCATGGCGCCACCAATGCGACGAGGAAGCTACTCGACCCGCAACTTCTACCAGAACATCAGCATGGCCAGCAACATCCTACAAAGCACCTCAGCAGCACAGTCGCGAGTAAAGATTGCGTGTCATCCGCAGGCAGTCGCCCACCAGCAATTTCCGTCTGCGCACACGCTGTATCAGCTCACCAGCTCACCGAGGTCAACAACACCTCGACAGCAACGACCCCGACCGCTCCAAACAACGGCATGTGCCCAGCGAGGCAGCCATGACGGGTCGATCGAGCATCGGACACGATCCTCCTCACTAGGCCCGTCTGAACTCAGAAGTCGACCAAGATGCCATTGTCGTCTCGATCAAGCCAGAACCACGAAAACAGCACCCTCAGAGGCAGTCAATGGCTCCAGCAATCTTCCACCCACGTGCACCTTGCCGAGAGCCATGAAAGCTTGGACATCGCCTCGAGATTCCACAACTTGGATGACCACACTCATCGGCGGAGGGTGCGGGACACCCTCTTCTCCACTAACACCCGAGAGAGGATGTACGGTGGCGGTAATGCATGCTTGAGTCTTCAAGAGTATCTTGCACCACCAGCAAAACAAAGGCGTACAAGCAATGAGAAGAGATGAGATCTTTCGTACCCTCGACCTACCGTACACGTGCTTGAGACATCTCGTCGCCATGGTATGCACTTACTCTGGACTGACCGCAGGACCTGGCTGGAGAACTACTCTCCGAAGGACTACTCTTAGGGTTATCCCGGAAGCATCGACGAATACACCCGCTGAAGGAAAGTCTCCTAGGCAGGAGAGCTGCTTACGGTGCTACAGCCTTTGATATCCATCGATCTGGTCTGTTAGTCCGGAGAACTGGACACATGGGACGGTGTCTTACCAAGCTCCTGCGCACGATGTCAGCGGGCTTTCAACTCTTCAGCTCATGCCGTTGATTGTCTGTCTCAGGCTCTATGGTGTTTGCTTAGGCAGATCGGAGCAAGCATCCTGTACTTACGGGTTGTGGGCGGCTATGATCGACGATGTGCAAGCAGCAAGCGCCAATCAGTCTCTACGCGGGCGTGCATATCGTGGCTTCACGACATGCTTCTGAACAGCTTGCTGCTGAGCGGTCATGTGCAACTGCTGCTGTCGTGTCAGTAGACATTCATGACCGCCCTGATACCCATTCTGGTGCTCTTTTCTCGAGTACAATACGTCTTGCACTGTCCGGCTCTCTTGCGCTGAACTGGCGGCAAACGCCTCTTTCTACCGGAGAGCCGTTCCAGTGATCTGCTTCGGCGGCAGGGGAGGGAAGTACAGCTGCCGCGCAGTTCTCCGCGCCGCTGGTGGCTGTGGTGGTGCTTACCCCTTTCCGCGGTTCCTGCCCGGTTCTTCTCGTTTGGAGATATGCGACGACTGCCTTCGTGATGGTCTGCTGTTGTTGGTGCATGGTGGCTGAGTGTGTGTGGTGTGTGGTGTGTGGTGAGTGGTGAGTGTGTTGTGAGGTGAGTGGTGAGTGTGGTGTGAGTGCATGTGGAAGCCAGCCCACACCTCAAGCCCAAGCCGACCTCAGCGCGACGAGGTCTCCGGGCCATGCTCCGCTTACGCCGGCTAATGCTCGGATGGATGAAATGCAAGTAACATATGATTCTGCAAGGTATGTGCTCTTGTCGAACGGGGCTTCGGCAGGCGTGGGTGTCCGGTGAACCGGAGGCGCTTCGTTGTTGTCCTTACTAGACATTTGGTCAGATGGTGGCTAACAGTGAACAGACATCAGTCTTGGATCGTTACGATCACCTCAATTTTTTGGTCTTTGCTAAGCACAGAAAGCTTGAGGTCGTCCGTTCGAGCTTGCACGCCTTGGTAAGTCTTTTGCACTGGATTGAGAGATCTCTACGCCACGCCATGGCATGAACGTGGTATGGGTATAATGAATACAAGCGCTTCAGGACGATACGGCGCATTGGCTTTTGCAAATTGTAAAGTGTTGTGTGGTGGTGTTGCTGCGATGAGAGGGAAAGCGTACATTGCGGACAGCCGAGCTGATTCCCTCCGGAGATCATTATGAAACACCAGGCCATCGAACAAATACAACATGGACACGAAGAGAATGCTACGCTTCGCGCGATACATCTCGTCCAACTCCGGAGAAAAGATGGTGTTTTTGGTTGTGTTGTCAACTCGTGAAGAAAGCAGCCTGAAGCCGTACAACCACCTCTCGACGACGATTTAACAACGCCACACCACCGTACGAACACGAAACAAATACGATGAGGATGAGCAACACTCTGCGATCAAACCCATGCAACTCCGTGATCGAGACGACGTTGCATCGTTGCACAAGCACTCTCTGAACCAAACGCCCTTCCCAACACCACCGCCCCTGTCCGCGCCACAACCCCACACCGGCACGACACCGGCCGACCACGGCCACCTTTCGCAAGTAATATATTCATTTACAGAAAAGTGTCTTCCGGGCTGGGGGCCGGCGTGACCCAGTCGCAAGAGGAGGAAACGTAGTAACCCTGCCGCTGCCATGCCATTGCCATGCCCAGTTGCCTTTAGATAGCCTTTCATTTGTTAACGTACCTTGGGTTATTACGCCCTGCTAACATCTTTCTTAGAGCTGATCGATTCAGCTTTCACAAGCTTCAATCAATAAGCTGCTAGTGGGCTGAGAACAACGACTCTTGCGCAGGCGTTCGGAGGTTCGATTCCTTCAATCTTTTCTTGCTTTTCTTCGTTTCTTGTGCGAGAACGTTGTGGAGGGTGTGTCGGGGTTTATGAGGTTATTTCGCTGTTTATAGAGCTATGGACGGGTCTGTGGTGGTGGTGGAGAGTGTGGTGAGGGTGTTTTGCTTGAAGCCTACCGAACGGCTTGCGGTCTTGGCGGTGTGGTATGTGGAGCTTTGGGCGGAGGAGTTGCTGCTACTCCTTCCTTTCGCTCGAAATGTGCTCATTTTGACGGTCTTGAGCTGCTCAGAGAGACTGAGGGCTGAGTTGAGAACATATCCAGCGCTTGAGAGGAAGGCAAGTACATTCGCATTAAAGTAGACCTGGTCGCTCTCTATCTACTCATTCTCTTTCTGACCTCCACGGAGCTCCACATTGCGACGGCAGAGCTGAAAATTGCGGCTTCCCCTCCCATCGCACAACACGCTCCGTGCGACAATTCCTCCTCGTGCCGCTGAGGTTCGATCAGGCTGATCAAGCTGCTCGAGAAGAAGGCAAGTCTCGCCGCAATCACGCTCATCGTCCTTCACACAGTTCCTATTCAGTCATCACCCGAGCCACCTTCGCACTCCCAGTTCAAGCACTTCCGGCGGGCCCGTACTGGAGAAGTCCACGGTGAAAGACTCAATAATGGGCAGATGGGAAACCAGGTGTCTCGACACGGGGAAAGAAGATGAGGAGGTCTCAGAGCGTGGCGTGGTCCTGAAACCTTGGAAGTGTCTTGGAGAACCCTTCCACCCGTCAATCTGGAGAAAGAGAGACGGCCTGACCAGATTGAAGACGCAGCGCAACTCGACCAAACGCGTAGACGACCGCCGCACTGGCTGTGCCGCTTGAGGTATCCTTCGAGAGTACGTGGCCGGATTTAAGCGTCCTCCGGGCTAGACGAACGACACCTGGGTTCTGATGATGAGGTACACACAAACACCAGCGTAAGATGGATGGAGAAGTCTCTGCGGGACCATCAGAGGCCGGAGGACGTGCCAGACAATCAGGACGGAGATGCTGGGAACATTTCGCCGATAACTTGCTAAGCAGTGCGGAGCTCGTCCAAAGGAGGTCCACAGCACGGAAGGTCAAACAAGAGGAGGGACGTTGACGGTGGGAAGCGACAGCGAGTAGATGGGCCAGAACGGATCTTGCAATTCTGTCAGTGCATTGGTTTTGGGACCCAGAATCAAATAGATCATTGCTCATGGTTGCTCGCTAAATTACAGTTCAACATCAAAGCCTGCAGCCCATATCCACATCATCCATCAGTGTACAACAGTACCATATTCACCCCCCTGCTCCTTCTCCTCCGGCTCATAGAAGGAGAACTTCCCGACCTGACTATCGTTATCCCGAATATGAAACCGCACCCTTGCCATCTCCACCTCATTATGTCCTTTCCCTTCAAACTCTCCTCGTGGTGAATGCTCCAGCGCAGCAACAACAAGCTGCGTAGGGCTACGATAGCGTCTGCGATCCGCGAGACCCAGCACGACTTGCCACAGCACGACCAAGCAGCCTGCGATGGCGACAGCGACGCCGAGCTCGGAGGTACGGGAGCCGATACCATAGGACCAGACGTACATTTGAGCCCAGCGGGAGAGGATGGGGCGCGCAGGATCTTTGGTGTTGATGTGGCTGTCGACGGGAGCGGTGCTGTAGTCGATGAGGGAAAGGGCTTGCAAGGTGGGTATGAGAGCGAGATAGTCGTAATTCTGATTGTAGATCCAGTCGTTGGAAGGATTTTGCAGTTGGCTCTGCATCGTCTGCGGGCACGAGTGTGTCAGCTATCTCGCACGTCTCGAGAGTTGGGTTAGTGGCTACTTACATTCTGCAGGAGCTGAGTGGTGGTCCGGTTGGCGAACAACGAACCCTGCTCGCTGGTCGACCACGCCGCGACATACCAATTCGGGTCCATGGCAAAGCTGAGCGCGTTGTGCACGGGGAGGTCGGCGGTCTGCACGAGCTTGGCTGGGTTGGAGACCGGGTTGGCGTTGAGGGAGTACATTGTAAAGTCGTAGTAGGGCACAAAGTCGACCACGAAGTGGGTGTCAGACGATCCGTTTCCCATATAGAACTCCACTGTCACGGAGTGTTGGGTACGATTAAACACGTCAGAGTCTTCGTCCGCGGTGAAGATGCGTTCCCACGGGCAAATCGTGTTGTTGAGCAGCCGGCCAACGCTCAGGCAAGGCGCAGGGATCCAGGACGGGCGTTTGCCATCCTTGAAGTATGCCGCCTTGTCCGATGTGTACACGGTGATGTCGACACCCGGGTCGGTATTGCCAGTCGCGTTGTTGTAGATCTGATCGGTGAAGAATTGTGCTTTCTTGTTCTCGCTGCTCCAGCCTGAACCTGTGCGGATGCATCTCGTGTACTTGCCAGTCCAGCTCGATGTAGACAAGGCGGTGAACCGTAGGTCGTAATTGTCGTAGCACCGAACTTGACGGTTGGCATCTACCTCCACTGTCTTCAGAACGGTCAGTGGATTGAGAATTATCGAGCAGTTTTTGCTGTCGCATACGCACCCAGTGGTCCGTGAAGTTGTAGTCAGCCCATTTCGTCGGTACAGCTCCCAGCACGACGCCGTCGCGGAGAAGTGATAACTCGAGCGACTTGTTGTACTCCACGTACGTCTTGATCGGATCGGTATCGTACAGCTGACGAGCGGAATGGTTGGTGATCCATTTCTTGGTGAAGCCGAACGACAAGAGTTTCACAGCCAGGTAGTCATTGTAGCTGTAAGAAGGACAAACATCAGTTGGTGCTGTGGATTTATCGTTTTTCATAGCAAGACTCACAGGTTCGTGATCACCTGTCGGTTTGGAGTCCACCATGTGTAGTCCTTGTATTGTTGTTTGCCATCTGCCAGTCCGTATAACAGCTCCATCGCGTTGTCAGTCTTGATTTTGGAGGTGTAATTCGCCGCGAACGACAAGCCCAGCTGCGTGGTGATGCCGGCGTCTCCGTCGCTCGCGATGTAAGTGCTGACCCACGCATCCATAGAATCGCCAAAAGGAGTCAAAGTGCACGAGTAGTTTTTGGCTTGGATCTCTTGCTTAGTACAATGCGTGCTGGCGTGAAGGTTCCACCAAATCCAGGAATCGGCCCTGGTACTCGGCGGCTCTGCTGCGTTCAAGCCTTGGAATACACGCTGTCCCACCTTGGCGGTTGGGATAATGTTTAATGCCGGAATCACCAAAACAGCAGTAGCTGGACCCATCAGGTTGATGAGAACGCAGAGGAACAGTGACAGTCCGATCAGCTGCCAGACTCGTAGACCAACTCGCTTATCTGCTGCGCTCTTCTTACCGAATGGCGAGGGCCCAGTCTTCCATAACAGTGGGTCAAGAAGTGTTATCGGATCCGCAAACTCCAGTGGTCGAGTCAAATAGCCGACAGGGAGGCCCTCTTTGTAGCCAGCCGCCTTCATCGTGAGTATGTACATCAAAGCCGCAGCGATGATGCCGAACCAGACCTCCAGAGCTTTCGCGACGAACTGTAGTCCCCCAAGGAGATCATGGCTGGCTTTATTGAACTCCCTCGCCCTCTGTCGTGGAATGGCCTGGTTGGGGTTGAACATGTCCAGCCAGCATTGACCTTTAGGACACCAAGCACTCGCTCCAATGATGTACTCGGTGAAGTTGAGGTAGAGCAGAGCGACGACAGGAACGAGCCACAGCAGGGCGATCGTCTGCCAGATGATTGTTGCCAAAGACCCTCGTTTCCGTGCCATTTGGGGATGAGCTCCCAGCTCGATCTGAGGCCTTATCGCTTCATCCTCGGAGATCTGGTGTTCGGGTGTGGGATTGACGCTTTGGTAAGAGAAGGACGGATCGTGCTTCAGATCACTCATCTTGCCGGCTCGATAACTACAGATGCGTCCTGTGGTCCTCAAGAACACGAACAGAGGTCAAACGAGTGATGACTGTCCAGCGGCGACAGTGCCGGATTCAAGGATGAAGAAGAGATACTCGCCAACTCACACATAGGAGCTGAGCCAACACTGATATATCGATCCTTCGAATCGGCGCGACGCCTGAGAGCAGATGGCGGGCCATTAATCATCCATTAGCTAGAAATGTTATTGATCCTGCACGCCAACAGACAGCTGCTGTTTCGGCCCCCAAGCCACAACCGACGTGCGCATCCTGGTATTCCAGACTGCACCAGAAGACCAGCTGGCACCCAGACCACCCAGACCCTCCATTGCATTCGATCGAAAACAGGTGTTGTTTGCCGGCGATAGTCATCGCCCTACGAGCTGGGTTTTCAGTAGCAAGTGTAACTCTGTGAAGAACGCCTTTGTCAGCTTAGGCCTGCCATACATGTAATCATCATGCTTTCGGTACGTAAACAACGGTTCTCTTCGGCATGCCGTGCTGGGAGGAAGAGACTGCCGCTCTAGATGAGATGAAGTTAGCCTTGTCCCCATGCGCAGGAGTTCTAAGCTTAGAAAGAAGCTAACGCAGAGCCTAGCTAGACAGCTTGGCGGGACGCCTTATCGTCTCGACTTCACTTCCCCGGCCGAGGTGAGTGAGGTTGGGTTAGACTCTTGTGAAAGGCGAAAAAGGTGCTGGCATGCAACGCTGCACGATTGTCGAGGTGATACGCAGATGGGAATATTTCTCCGAGCCAGGATGATTTGTCAACACAGTACATCGGCTTCGCGTTGACAGCATCAAAGCGGCAATTCTCGAATATCTGCAGTAGGGCGCCTGAGCCCCACCCAGCCTTGTCCGGAATTGGACAGAAACTCGGTGCCTGGACAGAGCAGCGCCTCCACCTGGGGAGAAATCGAGAAGCGCATCCCCGTTGAGCTGAAGTTGCTGATCGTGCCACGCGAGCTGAATGCCTCGAGCCTGTTAAGTTCATGGTCATGGTTCGAGAATGAAGTTAATAGCGGCAATCCACGGTATTTGCTTCCAATCTGTCAAGATAGACAGCTCATTCACCCACCACCTCCCTTCCTCTCCACCTCCAGCATCGCATCCACCACCTGGAACACGCCCGTAACAAGCTTCATTGTCCCCTCGTCGACCTCTCCACCAAAGCGCTGTTGGATCTTGTCCGGATGCCAGCGCACGCGCTCAGCTTTGAGCGTACGTAATCGATCCTTAGCGCTGTCGGCAGGCGCGCGACGCATGAAGGCCTCGATGTTGGGCTTGAGGACGAGTTTGCCGGGAAGTACGGGCCAAGGGAGGCGATTAGCGAGCTTAGTGTCGGAATCGCTTGGCTGAGAAGTGAGCAACTTGGACCAGGAGGAGAGGTAGGTGGACCAGGCGGTGGTGTACTCGGATTCTGATGGCGCCTCCTTGGTAGGCTGAGTGGCGGGACGGTTGGAGTCGCCGGTAAAAGCATACTCATACCTCTCCCACGCATCCTCATCCTCCTCGCCATCGCCAGCACCTTCTCTACCCTTCCACCGCTGCGCCCTCTCCCAAGCCTGCCTCTCCTTCCTCCGCACAAACTCCTCCCGCTTCCTGGTCCTCTCTTCCTCCTCCGCTCTCCTTTCTTTCTCCCTCTTCTCCCGCTCAAACACCACCTCAGGATTCTTTCGCTCCCACATCTTTTCCTTGACGTACGTGACATACTCTTCATCGTTCATCTGCTCCAGCTTGCCAGTCGTCGCATTCTGCTGGGCCGGGCGCGGATAGACGTGGATGGGCTGGTTATAGACGCTCTCCCAATAGGCTGCAGCCCCCTCGTCGTCGGCCAAAGCGTCGAAGAGCGATGCGCGGAAGGCGTCTGTGTCCATGGAAGAAGGGTCCGCGGGTTCCCGAGGGAAGGGATGCGCTGCATCGGAGTCCTGCGTATCTGGGTCCTCGCGGGAAGGAGTGCCATGTTTCCTGCGCTTCTTATGGTGCCGACGCTCGCCGGCCGAATCGTAGCTGTCCTCCCGCCGTGAGCGGCGATGCTTTCTACGATCGTCTTGTGGATCTTTCGTGCCATGCTTGAATCGGAACTTCGATGCGCGAGGTGATCGCCATTCGTCCTCACGCCGTGATCTTCTGCGACCGTCTATGTTCTCTCGTTGGTCGTCTTTGATCGCATTGTGTCGGTCAATTTCGTTCTGAAGGCTTGCGAGGATCGCATCGTGGTCTGTCTCGCCCTCAAGGCTCTGCTCTACCTGTCGGCGACTTTCCTCGAGCGATGGCATGCTGACCTCCCAGTTGCACACCGTCTGAGAAGCATCATCATGCTATACCATGTCTTGTCATGTGGAAGAAGCCTCCACGGTTCTTGCCTTTGATGCGGCATGAATCGCTTATCGATAACAACGGAAGTCTTGGCAGTATCACCTCAGGCAAGAGCTACCGCGAGCTCAAACATCGTTGTACAACACCACCACATGCATCCCCACTGACCATTCCGATTCGAACACCGCCACCGCCAGCGACAATGGCAGACCCCACCGCGAATGACCTCCTCACCACCAAAGCCCCCGACGCCGCCCTCTCAGTGCAACTCCACCCCCTCGTCCTGCTCACCATCACCGACTACATCACCCGCCACATCTCCCGTCGCCAGCCCAACCCCATAGTCGGCGCCGTCATCGGCCAACAAAACGGCCGCACAATCACGCTCGAGCACGCCTACGAAGTCAAGACCTCATTACAGAATGATTCCGACATCCTTCTCAATCATGAATTCTTCGCGGATCGGATGGAGCAGTACAAGGACGTACACAAGGTTCCAGCATTAGATGTGCAGGCGGTTTTCATGCTGGGAAGCACAGTGGGGCCGGCGGAGGAGCATGCAAAAGTGGTGAAGCAGGTGCAGGAGATGGTGGAGACGGATGCGATTATGTTGGTACTATTTCATGCCGAGATGGTGGATCAGTTGCAGGGAGGGAAGCTGCCGATTACGATATACGAGAGCGTGGTAGATCAGCAGGAGGGTGGAGAGGTTGGAAGCAAGGACGTCAGATTCCGGGAATTGAGCTTCGAGGTCGAGACGGGCGAGGCAGAGATGATTGCTGTGGATTTCGTGGCTACGGGCGGTGGAAACGCGACAGCAGTACCTCAAGCAGCGGACACGATCCCGCCTCCTGGAACGGTAGAAGCGGGCAGTAGTAAAACTGCAGAGAAGAAAGGGAAAGGCAAAGGCAAATCGAAAGACGACGACAGTGACCCGGACAGCACGCACTCCGTCCTCTCCCCGGAAGACGAAGAACTCATCGCCTCCCTCACCGCCAAAACCAACGCGATCAAAATGCTCAACCAACGCATCAACCTCATCCGCTCATACCTCCAGTCCCTACCGCCCAGCTACCTCACCTCGCCCACCTCCACAGAAGCCCCAGCAGAAGATACCAACCACCCCCTCCTCCGCAGCATCTCCGCCCTCCTCTCCCGCCTCCCGCTCCTCGCGCCCCCGACATCATCCTCCGAAACCACCCACCACTCCTCCCTCGCCTCCGCCGCGTCAAAGGAGAAGGAAGACGTGCACCTCACAACCCTGCTCTCCTCCCTCACGCGCTCGATCTCCGAAGCGCAAGCGCTGGGTTCGAAATTCCACACCTTGACGCGGGAGAAGACTGCCAAGGACCGGAACGTGATGTCTGGAGGCGGAGGGAGAGGGGGGTTCGGGCAGGGGGAGGCTTACGGGGATTTTGGAGCGTCCGGGGCTTCGGGGTCGGGGCTGGGGTCTTAGAAGGATCTTGGTTCTACGGCTAAGGGGTCGACTGGGCGTTCTTATTCTGGGTTTGGGGGTGGTGGGGGGAGTTATGGGGGTGGAGCTGGGTACGGAAGTGGCTATGGTGGTGGCAGCGGTGGTTATGGAAGTGGTGCTTACGGAAGCGGAAACACTTATGGAGGAGGCTTTTATCGATGAAGCGACGATGCATTGTGAGCGTTTCAAGCGACGAGGAGCATGACTTGCTGGTTGTTCAATTGGGGCGCATATGTACTGATGGGCTGATGCTGTTCAGCTCGATTGATGAGTTGAGGTGTCTTGATTTGCTAAACCACCATGTCTACAACAAGAAAATCTGCAAGTTTGACCACCTTTGCCCCGAACAACTTGCCAATGTCTAACAAAGCGCCCTGTGCCGGACATCTCTCCTGAACTCCTGCCTCGATAACGACATAGGAAAAGTGCAAGTTCGAATGAAACAGAACGCCAGACACCTGTATTGAACATCTCTCCTGAATTCCTAGCCCGATATCGTTCCCTTGACAAACTCCGTGCCCTCGTGTCCTGCCGTGATGCTCTCGCCTTTATTCCTGATCCAAGCATGCCCTGTCGTGATACCCTGCAGCAATCTCCCATGATGCTGTGAGTTTGATGCTTTGCGCGCGTTCAGGCTTCGATGACCTTCATCTGCTCAACGGCATCCATCTCGCGGCGGCGGATGCGTTCGGCGAATGTGAGGAGGCTCTTCGGCTTGACTGGCGTCGCCTCGTCAACTTCGGATGACTCGTTCGGAGGCGTGGTCGGTTCATCATCTTCGTCATCGTCGCTCGTCTCGCCTTCAGACTCAGACTCGCTTCCCTCGTCGTCGTCGGTAGTGTTGGAGTCAGACGTCGACCCCGAATCCCAGCCCTCATCATCACCACCGCTCGAAGTCGAAGACCCACCCCACCCCTCATCACCACTCTTCTCATCACCACCCCACTCAGCCGCCTGATACACCACCCCCTTCTTGTTCTTAAACTTGCTCGGCATCCACTCCTCACTCTCTTCTTCAACAAACCCCTGAGCTATCTTCTGCACCTCAGCCCCCCAGGCCCCGGGCGAGTAGTCCATCTCGAACCCTTCGTGCTCGAAGCCCCTGACGTCGCTGCGCAGCACTTCACGGCGCATTAGGCTCTGCTTTCTTGGGACTTTGTGCAATTCGATGTACGACTTCGACGGCGCTGGGGCGCGCTTCCTCAGCGGGCCGCTTGGGAGAATGCGGTCGAGTTCGCTCAGCGCCTTCTCAAACTCATGCTGCGCCTTGATGCGGTCCGGGTGGTCTTCAAGCAGCGCGAGGTCGTAGAGAAACACCGCCAGCAGCTGGGCCTCAGCCTCGACGCGGAAGCAGTTGTCGCAAAAACCAGCGATGGCGTGGTAGAGTTCCGAAGTGCCGCCGCGGCAGGCGATGCTGAGCTCGTAGTCCTCTTCATCTGCAGCTCGGACGCGGGAGGAGGGGTACTTGATTTTGATGTTGGTGTTGCAGTGGGAGAGGCGGACGGTGTGGGTGTGGCGGCAGGTGGTGAAGTGGTAGGTTTGGATGCGGCACATGATGGCGGTGGTGGTGCTTTGGTTGATTCCACGTGGGAGGGTTGTGGTGAGGTGTACAAATGATGAGTTGGTCGTAGTGAGGAGGTGGTGAAGAACGTCCGGCGCTCCTTGTGGTGTTTGAAGTCTTCGGTTTGAGTTTTTCTGAGTGGTGCGGATGATTTGCACGTGTTGACTCGGCTGGTGAGACTGGTCTGCTGAGGTGGTCCGTGAAGGCACAAGGCAGTCGTCGTTGAGTCACCAGATATGTCTTGCTCTGAATCCAGTCAGAAGATGTCTCGCACAACACAAATGCTTTCAAACAATGTCTTCACAAGAAAATATCTCACAGTCAACGTCAAGTCTCAAGTCCAAGTTCTCAGACCAGAATGAAGCAGAGATATGTCTCGTTCGAAGTGGAGCCTGTATTGTCCTCAATAGCGACGCACGTCGACAATACGAGTTTCAGACTACCCTTCCCGTTGTCAAGAAGACCAATGGGCATTGAAGAGGTGGTTGGGACGAAGGGTAAAAATAGATGTGCGTCGTTGTCCCGAGCGCTGAAGTGAAGTTGTCTGAAGAGTGAGGTGAGGTTGAGACTTGGGCGTTGCGACTGCCTTGACTCCCCTGGCGCCTTCCTGCTGGCGTGGAGACGAGATGAGGGGGTTGTCGCTGCCGAGTCGAGGGAGGTTTCATTCACATGCCAATGACCTCTGACGCGTGATGAGAGAGGATGTTCTTGTGCGACGTTACATGCCCGACCTGCCTCATGCGTCGGTCGCCTTGGCCCTGACAAGCTTGACTGGGCCAGAAACCACCATATACAGTCCCTGCGATCACAGTATAAGCATGTAGTTAAGGTATGGCCGCAAAGGCTTCGAGCAGAACATCTCTTATACAACAGCAGATATGTATCTCTATCTACACCCATCGCCCGCTCAGCGCAGCCTTCGTGCAAACACCACCAAACGCCTCGCTCCCAAGGGTATCCGCAAACCGATATCAGCAATACTCCGCAATAATCATGAACACTCCTTTCACCTCCATCCCGTCACCATCCAGCATGGGCGAATCACTGAACTCCGCTCCCACGATACGTCCCACTCATCAATCACCCCTTTCCGCTCGCGCTCCGCCACCACCGCTTCTTCCCTTTCTCCTTCTCGGTCCCCATCGACTCCGCACCCGCCTCTCCATCTCTGACCCTCCCCTGCTGCTCCACACCAGACCTCGCCTGATCCATAGAAACGCTCTTACTCCCCCCAACTCCCACCCCCGGACTCGACCCCTTCGATGGCCTCGTCAAACTACTCATCGTCCTCGACAAACCCCCGGACGAAAAGTAATTCCGACTCCGGCTCGAACCAGACCGCTCAGTGCCCATGGGTTGAGTCGAAGTCCGGCGGACCGAACTGGGGGAGACGAGCGGGGTGTGCAGATCTTCGGACATGTTGGTATTGGCGTCTTGAATATTGCCTGGCGAGGTGGGGATGGAGCGTAAGACCGGATCGGGTTTGGTTGATTGCGGTGGGTGGGGAAATCTCGAGGGGTCGAGCATGGCACGGAGGGAGGAGGTGCGTTTGGGGTGGGCGGTCGGCTGGGTTGGGGTGATGGTGACGGCGGAGTCGAGGGGTTTGGCGAAGGTGCTTGGGCCGTCAGATAGGGTATGCTGGACTAGCTGTGGCTGCGTGGCGTAGTGCTGAACTGCGTCATTGGAGGTGTTCGTCTGGTCAACGAAGTTTGTCGGCTTCGTTGGCACAGGAGGCTCTGGCTCTTCGTCCTTCCACTGGTCCAGTGACGGCAACGGCGGCAGTTCACGGTTCAGGTTGATGGGCGGCTTCTTCTTGGACTTTGCAGACCCATCAGGGGTGCCTTGACCTTTTCCGTCATCCTCGTTATTAGTATCGACGTTAGTCGTGCTGTCCCTGCGCTGGAACGGCCGCCAACTCTTCCACTTGCTCGAGGTGTAGTCGTTCGACGACAGCGCAGAAACAGCACTGCGCACAGAGTCAATCGAGCGCGACCGACTCTCCGGCCGACTGATATCGAAGCTCGGCTGACGACTTGGCTTCCGACTCGACTGGCGAGAGCTTGGCCGTATAAACTCTCTGATCTGGCGCGTAATGCTCCGCGACCTGCTAGGTACTTCAGAGTGGTTCGCAGTCGAGAAAGGTGCTCTCGGCCGTCTTTCGGGATACACCTCTTGAGGGTTGACAGGGTTCGTAGGAGCTGTGGCAAAAGTGTCCAAGCTGTCCTTGCCCTGGCGGCTCTCCGGCCGCAGCATCTCCAGCTCCGTCCGACTCTCTGAACGAGGAGTGTGTCGCTTGCGGCTGGTGGATCGCCTCATCTCCGCGCTTGGTCGACTGTTCGAGCGCTGGTGAAGAGAGACGGGCCCGCTCATATCCGTGTCTGACTTTGGGACTGGCTTCCGGGCTGGTATGCGTATCGGTGCAGGGGCTTTCTCGATAACGACAGGCTGTGCATCCTTGACAAGTGGCCAGGCTGGCTCAGCTACACTGTCCGCAACCGCGAGTTCAAGGACGTCACTCTCGTTTCGAGCATGTTGCAATGCCTTCGCTTCCTCCTGCGCGTGCTTGTGCTTCTCCAACTCCCGCCGCATCCAGTCGTTGTCAAGAACATTAGCCTTCGCATCAACGCCATCTTTCGGTCCCGACAGCCAATGCGATGATGTCCGCTTCGAAAGATGTGCCGGAGTATCAACAGCACTGGTAGGCGCAGTAGAGCCTTTCCAGCCGTAGTCCGTCGCGTCAGATGCAGAACCGGTCGTCATCATCGAGCTCGACCTAGGCACACTTCCTGGCCGTCGTAGCGCGTCTTCCTTCATCCTCGTATTCCCAAACTGCAATGGCTGCGACTTCGATCGCGTGTGAGATGCAGAACGAGCCTTTGCAGGTGGCAAAGCTGGAGCTGGCCGTATGGGTTCAGGAGGTACTTGTTCTTCCTCTTCCTCATCCTGCTCACTCCTCACCCTCTCCCACAGCCCACCACTATACTTCCTGGGCGCTTTAGGCTTTTGCTCCACCTGCGGTGGCCTAGACTCGGCCTGTTTGCCATTGCTGTCGGCCCTTTTCCTCTCAGGATGCGCGAGTGTATACACAGGATCTAGCGGTGCTCCTGCATCGTCATCATCATCCTCCAACGCCTGCATGAATGCCGCATAGTTCAGTTGGGTCTTGTAGTCCAGCTGCGGCTCTTCGTCTCCGTCATCGCCAAACCGTTCGTGGTAGACATAGTCGGACGGCTTGAAGTTCTGCAGCACCAACGCGCAGGCCGTTCGCAGCTCGTAGTCGACTCGTGGAGACAGCGGCGGGACGACGGATTTGGGCGTGACGGGCGGCGAGTCTCCTCCATCGTCGTCTTTGCGGTGCGCGCCGATCTTCTGTGCGTGAAGAATGTGGAGTCAGTTGGACGAGCCAGCTTGCGGTGGGGCAGGGCAGGAGGCATTTACCAGTCGCGGTATCTCCCACTTCATCCTGCCGTGTTATTGCAGGCCTCTCGTGCTCGACCTGTCGTCTGTTGAGGTCATGGAGAAGAGAGTGATGTCGTGTAGCAAGCAAGTCGGTGTTCCGGCCGCCAGCAGGGCTGAAGGACAGGCGTGCAGCAAGAATAAGCCAACAGAAGCTGTCTCACCTTTAGAGCACCTGCATGAGCTGTACTCCCGCGCTTCCACGCTGCAGCTAGAGATCAGTGTCACCCGGTCACTCCAGAATCTGTAGACGAAGGCAGTGCCGTTGTCGGACAGGGAGAACAATAATCTAGGTATAAAGAACACTTTCTTCCTCCCTTCAACGTCGCGCTGAAAGTCAATCGATCATCCAACACCGAGGCCGAAGCTCCTTCTTGCCTAAATCGATAGGAATCGCGAACACAGCCAATCACCGCAGAGGACGAAATCTGAAACATCACGAACTCCCAAAGGGATCGACGGGGTCTGGATGCGGCGTCGCTGAGTCAGTCTTACCGCTTCTCTTATACATACGTGTACTTGGTATGCACGGTATGAATCCGAAACAGAGCTGGATGATGCATGGAGTGGACTCCTCAGCGCTTAGCGGACAACACATCTTTCTGTACCATCGCTTCCAGCATCCCCGTGAACGTCCAATGCGTCGGACGAAATGGGCCACGAATCTTGAAAGCCACGTGGCGTGCGCCGCTAATCTCGCATTGGAGAACCGTAATACCGGATATACAGAACATCCACATCCCGCCCACGTGTACGCGGCTCATATCAACGGATATAAAGTACGAGTCTCAAGCATCCCCAGCAGCAACCTTAGCATGCCCCGGCTCCACCCCCAACTTCCTCGCCTCCCACTCCACACTCGCCTTGATCTCATCCTCCAACGACGCACCCTTCGGCTCCCATCTCAACACCTCCCTTGCCCTCTTCGCGCGCGACCGGCTATTGGCGCCCCAGATCGCCTGGCCGAAAGGTGTCAATTCGCTGGCCTCTTCAGATGAGACCGTCTTGACTTCATCAGTCTTGATATAGCCCTGCTTCTTCGCCTCCTTGGCCACGAGGCGCGAGATGTCGCCCCAGACGTGCTCGCCGTTCTCGGCGAAGTACTGCGCTCACATCAGCATCTCACCCCATCAGCGTAAGTAAGAGGACCGAACTCACATATCCCTCTTTCCCCCATAACGCAGGTTTCCCCGGCCACTCCGCCAGACTCTCCCCCGCTGCTGCATTCTCCACTAACTTCACATACAAATCCGAAAGATCGTGGACATGCACATTACTCCACAACGTCTCCCCCTTCCCCACCTGCACCCCATGTCCCTTCTCCAACGTCACCCTGGCAAGCTCTGGAACCTGATGCGAGCGCTTGTTATCCGGGCCTCTGCCTGTTCCGTAGATAGTCGGCGGACAGACGACAGCGACTTTGACTCTGTCGCCGTGTTCGGAGCCGCTGGCGAGGACGAGTTTGTCGGTCACACGGTGCGGGGCGGCGTCCGGGAAGGAGGTAATGGCGGAGATGTTGGCGAGGTCGTCGTAGATGCGGGACGAGGCTTCGCCGTAAGTCTTTTGGGAAATGTCGTCGTGGAGGAGGAGGCCGGTGCCTGATGTGTGGATGTAGAAGCCTGGGTGCGTGGGGTCGTGGGCAGCGACTCCCTTCAACATCGCTTTAACCGCCGCTTCGTGGTCCGCTGATGCGAAGTCTGGTTTCTTGTTAGCTGGGCTCTTGGTGGGCTAGTTTATTTCCGTACTTAGGACAATATCAGCTTTCTTCGCCTCGGCCTCTATAAGATCTACGCTATCGAGGTCGCCATACACCAGTTTGGAGCTGGCATAGTCTTTCGCCACGAGAGCTCCCTTGTCGCTGTTGCGGACCAGACAAGTGATGTCGTATTCGGGATGGGCCTGGGCTATGGCGAAAAGAGCATCGCCGCCAATGTAGCCGGTCGCTGATCGTGTTAGTCTTGGTGGTCAAAGTAAGGTTATTTTAGATACTTACCGCCGGTCGCGAATATCTTTGTCATGGTACAGAAGATATGTCTTGATGTTCGGATCGTGGTGTGGAAGGAAGACTGAACGATAGATGAGAATCTTATACTATACTAGTACCTTGTTCTCTTACACGATCTCAAGTGCTACGAGACTGGAGCACTTGCCCAATGTCTCCCTATCTGTCGGAGAGATACAGTGCCTTCGAAACAGAATCGTCTGCCCCCCGGATCAATGACAGCACTAGATGCAGTGGGCCTGATAAATGCTCTTCCGCTTGATGAAGGGAGTCTGCTCTCTCTTCGACGGATTAGTGTCTCCTGTTAGCTCTATTCGAGACGGCGGCTCCGGTGAGTTGATAATGACCAAAGTCTAGGACCGTAGAGGACGATCGTAGGTCGTTCATCCATCGCACTTGCCGTAGCTCATGGGCTGGTGGTCTGTGCTCAACTTTCCACATGACACCAGCACTTCACGTCTTAAACTTCGAAGCATATCGATCGCTTCACGACTCCATTCGCAGCGCGCCACTACATCAGGGACTGGATGACACAATTTAGTGTTCTCGTCACGCCAAATTAGGAAATACTGCGCGCTCAATCGCAACCGCCTTGACGAGCCAGTACAAGGGGCGCTATCGACAGCGGCGCGTCTCAGGACCTGACGACGCCAATTTGCCATTGCATGCTCTAAACTGAGCTTCTGGGGCTTTAAGCGCGCGCCGCCGTGATGGATGGCTACGGGGACGACCGTGGCGGCTTTGACAGAGACAGGAGGGGAGGCGGGCGACCGAATCGCCGAAATGCTACTGACATTGGCGCAACCTACGTCCACTGGATGCAGAATCGGCGGCGGAATGGTCGAAATGCGCGAGTATTCGAAGCAGAAAGGCCCAGCGCGAGCTATGTAGAAGACATGCTCCCGCCAGCAGCGCGGAAAGGCAAGGCAGCAGACTCGATCCCAGCAAAGCACCTCCACTCGTCGCTGAACAAAGTGCGACATCCAGTGAATGTGGTGAAATGGACGCCGGAGGGTCGACGGCTGCTTACTGCCAGTACGAGTGGCGAGTTCACGTTATGGAACGGCACTGGTTTCAACTTCGAGACTATCATGCAGGCGCACGATTGTGCTGTGCGTGCTGTCACGTATGCGCATAACGATGAATGGCTTCTCTCTGCGGATCAAGATGGGTTTGTCAAGTATTGGCAGACCAATTTCAACAACCTCAAATCTTTCCAAGCGCACGCCGACCCAGTCCGCGATCTGGCCTTTGCGCCAACAGATTCCAAGTTTGTCACTGCTTCGGATGATGCTTCACTCAAGATCTTCGACTTTGCTACCAGTGCGGAGCAGTCGACTTTGACGGGACATCAGTGGGATGCAAAGTGTGTCGATTGGCATCCTACGAAAGGGCTGCTGGTGTCTGGGTCGAAGGATCATCAAGTAAAGCTCTGGGATCCACGGACGGGGAGATGTCTTACCACATTGCATGGACACAAGAACACCGTATCGATGGCCAAATTTGAGCCCACAAACGGTGTCCTCCTAGCTTCATGCGCGCGAGACCAAACAGCACGGGTGTTCGACATTCGCATGATGCGGGATGTCTTCCTGCTGAAAGGCCATGATGCAGAGATCAACTCACTTGTATGGCATCCTATCCACTCCGCCCTTCTGACGACCGCTAGCGGAAAAGGCACCATGATCCACCATCTCCTGAACGAACAAAACCCACCATCAGGCACACCTGCCACAATTTCGCCCTACGACTCCCAAAACCCCTCAGAAGCTCCCACACAAACCATCCACCCAGCACACAAAACCGAATTCGCCCACGATTACTCAATCTGGAGCATGGACTGGCACCCACTCGGCCACATCCTCGCCACCGGCTCCAACGACAAAGTCACCCGCTTCTGGACCCGCCCCCGACCAGGCGACGACAGCTACCTCAACGACCGCTGGCACATCGGCCAATCCGCCGCCGAAGCCCAAGGCACCTGGAAGAAGAACGAAGCCCAGCGCCAACGCGAAGAGGAAGAAGCCGAAGCCGAAGACGAAGCCGACGGGCTCGTGGACCAGAAGATGCCGAGCCGCGGCGCCTTACTACCTGGCCTACCAGGACTCAATGCACCCATGCCTGCTCCCTTCCCAGACGGAACAAGCACCGGCGGCGCTCAAACCTCCCCCAATATCCCCGGTTTCCCACCCTTACCCCAAGGCGGCCCCCCAATCGACCTCGCCAAACTCCTCGAACTCAGCGGCGGCCGCCTCCCGCCTCCGGGCCAACTCCCAGGAATGCCGGCGAACTTCCCCCCATTACCGCCAGGATTCCAACCACCGCCCGGTTTCCCTCCGTTGCCGCCAGGGCTGCCGGGGATCGGGAACACGCCTACACCTACGCCGCCTACGAATGGCGCCAACGGCGGTGGGATGAGACGACGCGCCCCGCTGCCGAGTCAGGAGGAGAGTTTGCAGGAGCAGATGCGGCAGGGGCGGTATACGAAGGCGAGATAGGGTCCGACTTCTGTGCGGCGTACTTGATTTCGCAAGGGGGAAGGGGTTTGGCAGCAGCGGGGTCATGATATGGTAGATTCTGAGGTGACAAGGCGAAGCCGACACGCTTCGTCGGATGATGATCACCCCCCTCCGCTGCTGCCGGAGTATCTGGAGGAGTGGAACCTCCCGCTGTTGTTCCGTCATTAGCGAGTCTACAAATGCCAATCACCTTTCCAACCAACGAGCATCAGAAGTCGCAGCTCCAACACTCTCTCAGGAGAAGGGGCCAGAGAGAGAGGTATTTTGTTTCGGCCAGACAGCATGATGCATGATTCGGTAGTGGCATGATATGAATGCTCTCAAGCTATGGTTATGGTACAAACATCCTCCATCCATTTTCCCCTGAACCATCCGACGAGGTCAAGAAGGGACTCAAATGCCGCGCTCGAATCGCCAGCGCAAGTACCCGCAATCCCCAGCTCACCCACCCTCATCACTACCATCACCACCTCCGCCCTCGCTAGTGTCGTCTTGCTGCTCCCACCCCTTCTTCCCCGCAGCAGCAGCAGAGAGATGGATAGGCTTAATGCCAAACTTCCCCACGCTCTCGTTCTTCGTCTTCAGACTCCCCTTCCTTCTCAACATCTGCTGCCCTCCACCATTCGCATTCGAATTCCCAGCTCTATGCCCCTCTGCCTGCGACTGCATCTACGACCCCATCTGCGCCCCCATCTGCGCCTCCAACACCGGCCCCCCATTCTCCTCCCCACCCACACCAGCATCAGACTGCAGCGGCGAGCTCTGCACATTCAACTGCCCCGTCCGACTCGCAACACTCGAACCCGCGGACGCAGCGGAAGAATTACGTCGTTTCACACCTCCCATCATCTTGCCTAACTCATCCTCATCGTCTTCTTCTCTCCTCCGTTTCACAGCCATGGACTCCGGAGGACTCTGCTGCGAACCCGGCGAGCCGGAGACGGAGACGGGGGTTCTGTTCCTGCCGCGCGGGCTGTCGTCTTCCACGAGCAGAGGGCCAGTGGGGGAGGTGTCGTCGTCGTCCATCGGTTCGTCCGTAGGGCCGGAGTCGAGCGGGTCGGTGGAGGGGTCGGAGCTGGATTTCTTGTCTTTCAACGGATCGGGGGAGGAGGCGAGGATGTCCATTGGGTCGTCTGCTTCGTCGTCGTCGGGGTAGTTGACCAGGGGGCGTAGCGGGCTTGCGCCGTTCGATAAGCTGGGTTGGACGGATGCGGGAAGGCCGCCCTCGTCTTCGTCGTCGTCGGTGCTGAAGTAGGCTTCTTCGTCGCTGTCCAAACCCCGAAGACCGGCGTAGCTTTGCCGGCCGTTGACCAGGCGTTGTGGGGTGCCTTCTTGGGTCGTGAAGCTGGTGTCGTCGGTGCCGTTGGTGAGTTGGGGGTAGGGTGAGGTTAGCTGGTCGTACTTTAGCACTAGGGCTTGGAAGGTGTTGACGTAGGTGATGCGCATGAGGCGGTCGCGGTAGTTGGGGACGAGGTGCATGATCAGATTTCGTAGGCTTTCTCGCTTGATGTACTCGAAGAGCTCGAGGCAAGCGGAGTTGAGCAGATTGTCGCGCGGCATCGTCTCTTCTACGATGGCTAGTATGGGTTCGAAGAGGTTTCTCTGCATCATGTGTCGGTCATGGTATTGATTCTGCAGCCCAACGACGGTCCTGAACCACTTAAGTGCCATGAGCTTCATGTACTTCTGGGGACACGCCAGTAGCTGAGCCACTCGCGAATGCAGGTTCTCCAAAAATATGAACTCCATGGTACGGTGAGCATGCTGTCGGACGAAGAAGCAGAGAATGTCCACCAAATGGGTGTACAACGAAGTCTCGTGGATCGACAAAGTCCTCATGTCCGTTCGGCCCTCCAGCGCTTTCAGTGGCGCGAACAGTCGTTTTGCAGATGTCTCGTAGAAGTCGTCAATGAAGTCGTTCGATGCAGGATTGTACGCATGTTGGTGATCCGCTTGAGGACCAGGCCCGCCCGGACCTCGTTTCGCCATGATGTCTTGGTTAGCACCATTCGGACGGTTCGACATGTCCATGCCCATCTGACTTGTCACAGGGTCGAGGAGGATCTTAATCGCATCTGCCATTTGACTCTTAACACCAAGATCGATTTCCACCAGTAACAGCTCGATGAGCGTGTCTGTCAGCGGAACCTGCTTCGCTCTGATGGCGTTCGAAATATGGCTGCGGACCATGTGCGGGTCGTGGTCAATCAGCGCGACCAGAATGTCTGTCCCAGCCACTCGAACCGCAGCGTCGTGATGTCGTAGTGCGAACGTAATGACTGTAAAAAGGCCATGGTGGATGAAGTTCAAATAAAGCTGTGCCCGTGCTTGGGCCTGAATGTTCTTGCTCACAGCGCAGCAGTTCTGGATGAAAAGCACCGCTTCCTTTTTCTTCTCAGCCCGCTCTTCGTCTGCTGCGGCGAAGATTTCGAATAGCGACCTTAGCCACTCTTCCCTTCCCTGCAAATGGTTGACAATATCAACCTGGTGGTAGAAGATCAGGCTGTTCAGAACGGAAAATGTCGGGTCGTCCAGTATTCGTGCCAAGACCACGTCTTTCAGGTAGAGTAGTCGATATGTCCAATGGATCTTGGATCTGATGAGTTGGCTTTCAATCGGTACCACTTCCTTGAAGCGAGACGTGTCGGAGAGCCATTGGCGATGATTCGCGCGATGTGAAGGGAAATCGGGGTCATCTAGGATGAAGTCAGCTCAAATTGCCACCACATCTGAAAATGCTTCCTTACACTCCAGAGCGCCCACGACACCCATGACCACTTCGTCCGTGACGCAGTGCTCAATAATGCCAGTGTCGTTGAGCAAAATCAAATGCTTCATAATCGTGCACAGCCTATGCAAATCCGGCGTCGACTCCTGCTGCTCCGCCAACTCCACCAACGGCGCCAGCTTCAAGATATACCCTTGCGCCATGATATGCTTCCCCAGCCCATCCCGTCCGTTCGGCGTACTCGTAATCTGCCGCAGCGCAATTTCCACGTCCTCCAGATGCCCCAGCTGCGGCTCCGGCAGCACGATATGACTGACGGTATCCAGCAGATCGTCCGAGAGGTCGTCCCCCGGCGCTGCCGCAGCAAGATGCGTCTGCACCTCGCTCACGAACTCCCAGATATGCGCGCAGCCCTCCGCCTCTTGGAAGCTCAACGCCATATCCGTCCCCGAGCTCTCCGTCCATACTATCAGCGTATCCTGCTGTTTCTGATACCCATCATCCTTCGTGATCCGCGTCTCCAGCAACGTCCGCGCCACATCCTCTTCGCTCACCACCGTGATCCGCGCGTCCAGCGGCTCAGAAGGGTGGTCGGGCGGGACGAAGTACTGTCCCGTGCAAAACCCCGTCCCGCGATCGTACCAGTCGTTATTCTTCAGCTCGTAGACCTTGACGCGCTTGCGGTCTTGGTTCGCCGCGGCTGCGGCGACGTTGGATGACGCCGTCTGCGCCGCGTTCGCCATGTCCCACCCCGCGCCTTCCCCGTCGCTCGCCAGGGCCGAGGACAGGTGAGGTGGTTGGCGCGGAGGTCCTGCTTCTTCAGCGCATCGCACGCAGGAACAGTGTGCGGGTGTTGTTGTTGAGGTGAAGTGGTTGTTTCCGCTTATCTACGTGTCGGGCGGGCTCGGAGGTGGCGCCTGGAGGCCGGAGGTTGCACCAGCGTCGCGTAGGTGCCGGCGCAAACACAAGGCAGCGTGCAGCTGTCGCGCGGAGAGTGGGTGGAGGGCGGCGCGGGAGTGGTTACTGGGTCCCAGTCGCGGTGGTGTGGTTAGCTTGGGTGACGCAATTGCGGACCGTTGTGAAGATCTCCTTGTCGCGTGTGCCGCCGCAAACTCTGAAGGCGATATAGTGCCCTGTGCGCCCGAACTAGCTGGTGCTCGCTACAAGTCTTATTTGTGGTATAACCTTCGAGCACGTCTTGTCCTAATCAACGAATAACAGGCACATGAATCGGAGAGTGTCTGGGCCAGTTGACGTGCATGAAGGGTAGAGAACGGTACGGCGATGGATGTACCACCCAAATCTGCGTCATCGCCACCACCTATTTTCGGCTCGGCTGGCGCGCTTCAAAGACATATCATGAGACGAACTATACATTTTCTGCTCTCTGCCTACTTCAAGAACGACCCATTCGTCTTCGCCAGACACTCATCGTAATACGGCTGGAAAGCCAGGAAGCCCTTCTCCTGCGTCCCGACTTGCTGGTAGGAGTACTTCGCCTCCTCATCAGGGATGAGGGTCTTCTTATGCCCGCTGCCTTGCTCAGCAGCATCGACCAGCAACTGCGCATGGCATGTCTTGTCCAACGAGATGAACCAGAAAGCCGCGGCGTCGATCGTGTTGCCGACTGTGAGGAGGCCGTGGTTCTGCAGAATAACAGCCTTGCCGTCACCAAGGTGCTCTGCAATCCGCTGGCCTTCTTCGCGGTCAAAGACCACGCCGCCGAACTGAGGGTAGACGGCGTGGGACTTGTAGAAGCGCAGGGAGTCTTGAGTCATCATGTCGAGCTCCCTGCCGAAAGCCGAGAAAGCCTTGCCATAGACGGAGTGAGCATGGCAGGCTGCGTGCACATCTGGTCGAGCTTTGTGGATCTCGCTGTGGATGGCAAAGGCGGCGCCGTTGATGGGTTGGTCGCCGATGACGATATTGCCGTCCTCGTCTACAAGGATGAGGTCTGAGACGCAGATCTGGGAGAAGTGCATTGATCTAGCAAGCCTATCAGCATCACATATCGCTCTTCCAGGACTGGTAGAACATACAGCGGGTTCAACCAAAAGTGGTCTGTCAGAATAGGATCCCGCACTGATATGTGTCCCGCAACACCCTCATCAAAGCCTCGATCAGCAAAGATGCGGTAAGCGGCAGCGAGATGCTGCTTCCTGTACAAGCGTTCCTCCTCCAGACTCTCGAACTTGGGATAGGAGCGGATCTTGAGTTGGCGACCATCTTTCGTCCGACCTACTGCACCGCCTTTCTGATTCTCATCGCTCTCTTTGCTGAGCGTGCTCGACCTGAATGTGTCGATGCTGTGCGCCTTGGAGGGCTCGGTGACTTCGACTGCCATTGGTGCCATTGTGTTAGTATCTTTCTATTTCGTTGACTCAATGGTTCTCAGAATTGTAGATAGAAGATGACGAGATGGGAAGGCATTGAAAGGTCGCCACTATATGCCCCGAGGTCGGCTTTTGCTTTGGCGGAGGCCCCAGATCTTCAAATGCGGAGGTGTTGTTGTTCCCACTCATTGGACGTCGGGCAGTACTTATGCTCTGTACCTCGAGCTGCTGCCGATGCAACCGAGAGCACGAATATGCTACTTGGGAATGCATGGTGCATTGAAGTAGCGGGAAGGTTCTCTTGCCATGTGTCTAGGGAAGGCCAGCTCGTCGGGCATTCGAATCTGCAAACCGAGAGTCACGACACATCTGCGACCGATGGGGTGAGGTCGTGCTCCGAGTATGCGGGACTGCGTGAACCACTCCATCGTGCTGGTCGGGAGGACGGTGGAAGGTGTTCCAATGGGTTGGACGAAACACAGCAACATTGGCACAACGCCATGCGGAAGACGCCTTCCATGGTTCTGGCGTTCCCACGTGCTTACCATGCCCATAACGTTCTTCCGAGTCTCCTCATCACCATTGGAAATGACTCCAGAATGTTTCAAACCTCCAACCTGGAGAACGATCCGGGGACTCCTCGAATGTTCCTTGGAGAAACACCACGCTAGCGCTCGGCTGGGGACATTAATAACATCCGATCTTGTTGACGGACGATGGCAGCATGTGCTTCGCCGTTGCACGCTGTCTTGGGTCAGCCAGAGAGAAACTGCCCAGGAATACCTTAAAAACGTTTGCGGTGCCATCTGACAGCGCACGACGAAGAACGAGAACGACCACGCAAGCATCCGCACGAGCTGGTGATCCCCGATGTTGAGCATCCGATAAGCTTTTCTGCATTTCTAATTTCGGCAGGAGGAACATCTTCAAGGCCGCGGCAATCCAAGGCATCCTCGAGCAATCATCTTGTCTTGTGGAGACGATGTAAGCACGAAGTCATATTGTCTATCTCGTCTGCACCTTTGGCCCCTCAGGAGACAGTCATCGAGCAGCGCAGCTTTAATATACTCGCGGCCAAGGCAGATTGGAAGCTATTTCCTTTGCCGTGTATAGCGTGAGCGGGACCGCATTCGTGGCGCACGCATTACCGCCAGGCTATCGGGGATACGAGAAGTGTATCTGGCTTCACGCTCTCTCTCATGCTCTGAAGGGAGCCTGGAGAGAACGACCATCCTTGTTCTTAACATCTTCATGCCTATCATACAATTCACCTTGTCGTGATCTACCAACCACACCGATGCCTGCATAGGCGCCCACGTCGATCAGCGGCTCCCAGCCGCGTAGCGGGACAGCATTCTAACCACCAACATGTCTATCTTCTCGTCGAAGAAGAAGCAGCCAGACGACAAGAGCAAGCCGCAAGCTACTACAACCACAACCACCAACAGCAATGGCGCAAACGGCACGGCGAAACCAGTCAAACCCACCGTCCAGACGCGCGGTCCTCCACCCAGGAATGCACAGCCTGGCATATCGCAGCAGTCCGGCGCCCCACTCAGTCCTGCTGAACGGACAGCGCAGCGAGCGGCGTTGATGGCAGCGAGTCGGCAGCGCATGAACGACAGCAGTAATCCGGACTATTCGATCAGCGGCAGTTTCAGCTCGTCGAAGGGGCGCAGCTCGCATCCGTCGGAGGAGAAGGCTCAGCCCGTCAAGAGCTCGCACAAGACACTCGTGAAATCGCCGGAGGGGAAGAAGACGAAAGGGAGTCCTGAGAAAGAGCCAAAGGAACCAAAAGACTCTAAGCCTTCGACACACTTCTTCTCAGCAGCGACTTTTTCGAGGAAGTCTGCTCCGCCGTCGGAGCATCGGGGATCGGTTGAGAAGGACGAGGGAGTGGTTGATACGATTGGATCTGTCGAGAAGACTCCAGCTTTGCCGTCCGAGAGTACGGCGCCTGGGTACACCGTCGGAGGAGACGATAATACTTCCGCTCGAGGACAGCCGACGCCTCAGCCCTCGGAAGACTCGGGATACGGGTCTGCGGCTCGGTCGGTGGTGAACACTTCTCAGACCGATGGTGAGGCCCAAGCAGCTCCGAAGGCCAGGACTGCTTCATTACCACGTGTTGACAGTGGTGTTGCTCCAAAGCTGAACTCGGCTTCGACAAGAAGGCCCGGGCAAGAAGACAAATCTCTAGTCGCACCACCTGACGCGAAGACTCGATCTAGAGGAGGTAGCAAGTCTGGTGTCTACGTCTCGAGGCTGGATCCAGGTCCTAGCGGTTCGGACTTCGCATCGAGGCTCGTCAACTTCAGCAAGCCTTCGTCCGAGGCATCCAGACTGGGGGACTCGAAGAAGCCTGCCACACAGACAACTCAGTCTCGCGAGACTGGTCCAGCTCCATCCGAACAGATGAACAGTCGCGGACGAAGCACTGCGCAGAAGCCTGCCCAGTCGCCGGTCGCTCAGTCTTTTGACAGGCCGCAACCTCAGTACGCACAAGCAGAGCGCTCTGTGTCATCCTCGCGGTCCGTCGAAAGACCCAAACCATATCCAACGCAGGCTGCAGATACGTCTTCGTTCTATACAGCACCAACGGGGACGCGGACGCCTGAAGGTCCCAGGACGTACACCCCAACTTCAATGACTTCAGCTGGAGCTGAGCAGCAATATAATTATTCGCCAACTGCAGCGAAGTCTCCTGTCTCCTCTCGCTTCGCCGATGGGGCCACTCTAGCGGCTCTACAGTCGAAGTACTCGGACTCCCAAAGAACGGTCGACACTAATCCGGTACCGAACGTTAACCACGGTAACCAGCTGTCCTACCAGCCGCTGCAATCCCCCACAATGCCGCCACCCAACCACCACACCAGCACATCAACCATATCCGACCAGTCTGCAAGACGCTCCACCCTCCCCCCTGTCTCTGCACTCGAAGGCTACAAAGTCAACAAGCGCGGCCAGATCCTCGACGAAGAGGGCTCTGCGATCGGCGAGCTGTTCGAAGGCGACCTGATCGACTGTGTCCGCCAGAAAGTCAATGCGGACGGTGAAGTGATTGATGAGTTTGGCAGTGTTGTTGGACGTGTCAGACCCGTTCGACGCGCTGGCGTTGCTTCTGCTGTGAGGTACTCGGAGGAGAGTCAGAGATCTGCGTTTCAGTCGCCGGTTTACAGGACGCCGATGTTTTCGGCTGCGGCTTCGGTGCATAGGCGGGAGTCGAACGCCTCCCAGATGACGGGCATGCAGTCGCCGATGGGTATGGGGCAGCAGAGAGCTGTGCCGAGTGGGATGGCGGCGCAGACGATTGTTTCGCCGCTGGATGGGCAGGGCAATACGTTTATCGCGGAACTGGACGCTTCGACAGAAGCAGAGGCGTTCCCGATTATGGACCACAGCGACATCTTCGTGCCGACCTTTGGATCTTCCCAGCGGTCACAAAGTCCATCACAACTGATGAAGGCCGAACTACCAGCGGTCGAACGACGACGATCCTCAGACCACTCGCAATACAGCGACGACACACCACCCCTCGAGCAGAAGCCCAAGAAATGGGCGTCCCGCTACTTCGACCCCGGCCCGAACGAAGTATCCCAATCGCCAGTGGCATCACGCCGCAACTCCAAGAGCCCTGCTGCCAACAGACGAACAAGCACGATGGACTCCCAATTCACCGCCCGCCGCGCGTCAGCCGTCGAACCAGTCCCCAAGCGCGCCTCGACAATGGACTCCCAATCCGCCTCTCTCCCCCGCCGCGCCTCCCAATCCACCATCCCGCCCACCCCGACCGTCCCCTCTGCCCCCGTCCCCGCCATCAAAACAGAAGCGAAGCAAGCTCCCAACGGCTACAAAGCCGTCCTCGGCCCCACGCTCGAAGACCTTGCGGAAGAATCACCCTCCCGCTCCTTATCTGCGACAAGCAAAGCGAGCAAATCCACCAGCAACCTGCACGCCGATGCCCAGCGTCTGAGCGTCGCGAACGGTGCCAGCCCTGTGGGCTCGAGGAGGGCGAGTCTGCAGATGGGGAGTAGTCTGCATCCGCAGAGCGCGAGGGCGAGTTATGCGCCTGTTCGGCGGAGTCCTCTGTCAAACTACGGTACGTTCCCTCCCTTTCCATATCCCCCCTCATAAACCTCTCACTAACTGTCGTGTTTTCGGTAATGTAGAAGCCACACCCCCCGGCTCCTCTTCCTCAACCACGCAAACCGCCGCGCCGAGCCGCAGCCCCAGCGCCCGCGCCGCTGCCTCCGTTCCCCGAGGCGATTTGAGCACGCAACGAGGGGGCGAAGATGAGGATGGCGAGGACGCGGCGCCCGCGCCGGATATTCTGCGCTCGAAGCCGAAGGTAGCGGGGAAGAGCGAGAAGAGGGGCAAGAGTCCGAAGCCGCCTAAGGGGAAGGAGAAGGAGCTTGCGCCTGCGGCTCGCCCTGGGGCTGGGAATTTGGATACAGTGGAAAAGGCGAAGGTGGTGGAGAAGAGGAAGTCGAGGTTTAGTTTTATGCGGTAGGAGGGGAGGTGATGGGTGGGGAGATCTAGGAGTAAGATGGTGTGGGTATCTAGGGGTACAGGGAGAGGAAGAGGGAGGGAGACGTCGAGTTCTTTTGTTCTAGCGTTCAAGCGTCTGAGATGTTATAGAAGGTGTGGTCGGGCTGGAAGCTTTGGGACGATACTTATCTCCTTGCGGGATGGCTGGTTGGGCGGCGCGGCATAGAGAAGGCCTCCAGACGAGGCCGTGAATGGCTGGACGAGGCACCTAATGTTTTAGTTCAATCTTTCCTTTGTATGTCGGCTTGAATCTACTGGCTCTTACCTTCTAGGTCAAACGAATGGGAAATTTATTGATCGAGTCCATCATACATCGTTGAATCATCTATAAGCACACCATTTTACTGCCTGCTCCCTCAGCCCACCGCCTTCCCACCCGGCCACACCGGCCTCGTCTGCATCCCATACTTAGCATGCCACGCGAAGAAATACGCAATCGCCGCAATCGGCTGCCCAAAGACACAAAAACTCAACCAGAAGATCAGATTGCCGACCAGCTTCGCATTATGCCCTTTCGCCTGTTTGAACACGTCCGTTAAGAAGATCAGGGGAAGTTGTCCGACCATGCCGAAGAAGGCGAAACCCAGGATGTTGTGTGTCGGGACTCCGATGAGCAGCTCGTGTAGGATGCCGGAGAAGAGGAAGGTGAGGATCTGCGCTACGGTAGGAGGGACACCGCGTCCGACCATCGGGGCGTAGATGTGGCGTTTCATAAAATGCGTGACGGGTTTGTTCCAGGATGTCCAGTACGAGCGAATGGTAGTAGAGTTCCACCAGTCGCCGTAGAACTCGCGATCAGCGAAATACATAATCTCCGCCAGCCCGTTGAGGAAAGATTGGAACAGGGCGAAGAAGCCCGCTAACCAGCAGACGAGGGAGATGGTGGAGAGTTTGAGCACGCGCTCGAGGATGTTGATGAGGTTGAGGGAGGAGATGTCGGTGAGGCTGTTGCGGAGCAAGGGGACGGCGTATTGGGCCGAGGTGATCCAGATGAGGGCGCAGAGGAGGCAGAATTCCGCGGTACGTTTGAGGATGAAAGACCAGCGGCGGGCGGGGAGCGTGGGGTAGACGGGTTGGTAGACGAGGGTGGGCGCCCACCAGAAGTAGGATAGGTTGCGGATGGTGATGTTGGCGGGGTAGGGGCAGGTTTTGTAGAGGGCGGGGAGGGCGCTTTGCGTGGAGGTGGTGTCGAGCATGGCGTGTCGGAGGTCGCGGTTGGTAAGGGCGTAGGAGCAGACTTTGAGCCAGACGACGACGGAGTGGAGTTGAGTGAGGACGCCGATGCCTGGGTTGTGGATTTTGTAGTAGACGACCCAGGTTGCGAAGACCAGCATGGAGGTTGCGTTGATCGCGTGGATGATCGCTATGGCTTTCCAGGTGGAGAAGAGTGTCTTCTTGTCTTGTTCCGTAACCATCTCATCGATCCCGTCCTCGTTCTTCTTCTCTTTGGCTCGGACGTCCTTTGCAGCATTGGCCGCGAGGAGCTCGATCATGTAGGCTCCGAACAGATGGCATGGCGTGAGGAAGTAGAGAAACGCACCCCATCTCCAATCGACCGGTGATATGTCAGAGCCGGATAGAGTGACCAATATGCCGTACTTCTTCAGGTTCTCAATCATCAGTCGTAGGTTCGACACGACCAGCACGAGGCCCATGAGATTGCGGAAGCCCAGGAAGGAAGGGGCGACCTCTGCGTCGTGGCTCAAGCATGATGTCCTGCTTGTCGAATGCACGGCGAAGGTGTGCTTGTACTTCTTCGACTCTTTCTTGGGTCTACGCTCTTGTTGGAGGGGTTGTGAGGGGCTGCTGTTGATTGAGATGGACTCGGGCGTTGTGCCGTTCATCCGCTCGGTGGTGGCCATTACGGGGGAGGTCGCTGTCGTAGACATTGTGATTATCCGGCCGTCAATTGGGAGTCATTGACGGGATGCTTAGCAATGGTTGAGAAGGCTTGCTGGCCTTGTGAGGAAGTTTGGCTTGGAAAGGCACTTGAAGTGTTCACGGTCTCTTCAGCGGTCTGACGAGGTAGGGTCTGTCGCCTCTTCGACAAAAGACTATGTTCAAAGAACTCATCACAGCCATTGGAGTTGCCCAGGATATTGGGGTGTCGTACCGCTCGATACGAAAGCTCAACAGAAATGGCTTGCAGCTCCAGCATTGGCTTTTGGGGTTGGGCGTGGGGCAGATCCCGCTTGCAGGGGGTGGAAGGGTCTTGCATGTGATTGACTCTAGGCATAGCATTTTCATGGCTACCTACTTCCGTTGTGCATCGATGAAGACACATATCGTCCTCATGTAACGGCGCTTTGCTCTGTACTGTGTGAGGTTCTGCGGATACCATGCCATACTCCTTCTTGGATGGACACCACCAACGCCTTCGCTGAAATGCAGTGCCAAAGACTGCTTAGCAAGTGAACTGCAACATCGCCAACGAGAAGACGTGCCTCGAGACCCCCCTTGTTGACGCCCGTAGCTCAAAGGTCCGTCAGGTCGACGATCTCGATACCAGAGTCGGTCGACAGGCGGGTGCGCTTGTTCGCCTGGTTCTCTCCGGTGATAGCGAGGTCATCGTCATTCTCGAACGATTCGCGATCGCGCTTCTCCTTCTTCACACGGACCTTCTCTTCCTTCGTGCGAGCTTGCTCTGCGTCCTTCTCCCGATTACGACGGAGAAGTTCTCTGGCTTCCTCGAGCGTGAGGAACTCCGGATCCCTGTCTTCAAGTGGCACAGGAGAGGGAGAGCGCGGGATGATGTTCTCGATTTGTAGGTCGCCTGTAGGATGTTAGCAGCGTATTCACGATGACGGCAGGGCAGAAGCTTACGGTGCGATCTGTACCTGAAAGCGTACGTCGCAAACGGCTTTTTGCCGTATGGCCAGTTGAGAGAACTCACGGTCGGGACATAGTTCAGCAGTTCTGGCTGGCCCAACCTGACTATTGTTAGACCCCTGCGAGCAACCGGTCACCCCTGACGTACTCACGAAACTTGGCTGGAGATCGCACGCCCTTTGAGCACCTTCTCTGGCAGGGCCTTTCCTTTTGAGACAGGCGTAAAGCTTTCACCGTCAAGCGGTCTTGAAGCGCCAGTCCGACGAGCGAAGACGCAGCGCACCTCAATTTCGCCAAGCTGCTGGAAGTCAATGGGTTTCAGGCCTTGCAGTGGTCCCTCGTCTGTCCATCATGGTTAGCAAAAGACTACTAGCAAATGAGGGAGTCACCAACCGGTGTTTAGCTCAGCAAATGTGAAGCACTCTTTGACGTAGGCACTACCGACCTTCCGGTCCACAACCTCGATAGAAGAACAGTAGGCCGACGTACTGTAGACGGAGGCGATACGATCAGTCGCATACTTGCCGTCCAAGTGAATTGTCCAGTCAAGCACGTCCTTTTCACATCCGCCTAGCTGAGCTCTAATCGTCTGGAGGCGGATAGTGAAGTTTGAGCCCGGCACAGCCTCGATGTACTTTACTCGCTTCAGTGGCTCATCGTTGCCCGCTTCGCCTGGATCGTCGTATTCTTGTAGCGCAACACCGTCCACGCAGACGTCGACGGTCACGCCGGGGCTTGTCGCAAGCTTCATCGTCCTCAGCTGTTGGTAACTTCCGTAGATGTTGACGAAGAGCCAGCTGGCGCGCGAAGCCCGAGTCTCAGTGCTGCTGAGCTCAGGCTGGTTTCCAGGAGAGATCTATGGGCAAGAAGGCAACAACTTGTGGTTAGTTTTAAGATGCGCCGAGAAAGCCAGCGACGGTGAATTTAGTGGCGTGGCAGAAGAGAGAGAACGTGTAGTGGTGGCTTTGATGAGTGATTGCCACCTGTCAAGTGAACGTGTGAAGTTGGCTTAAGGTGACATTTGGGAGGTGAGGTCGAGGTTGCACGACGCGTGAGGAGGGCGCGCTTCAAGCACGAGCTATACGCCACTTCACGTGCGACAATCGATCTTTCATATGAAAGCGGAACACAAAAGTCTCATGTTCTCTTGACACAGAATCACAAGGATCACCAGGTTGAGAAGCTGTGTAATCACCAGCGCGAGTGAAGATACAGCAAGAGCAATAGCGTGTCTCCTCGTAGCAAGATTGGCACAAATCACTGACACCCCTGTATCCAGCTTCTTCTCGCAACGAGCCCAGTCGCATGCTGGCCTTGTAACACTCAACCTCTCTCCTGGCGGCTGGTACTGAGCCCGTTTCGTGCTCAAGCGGCATCAGCTGCTTGAGGAGTTGGCGGCCATTCTTCGTAGTCCAAGTCTCGAAGAAGCGCTTCGTCATCCGCTGCAAGCCTCCAGTCGTCAGGCAAACAAGCATTCGTCTCTACCGCACTGGCATCACACTGTAGCCCATCGTACTGTCCAGTGAACCCTGTCGCGATATGGCTGCCATCAAGACGCTTGAGGACAGACGGAGTAGACATCCCTTGGAAGAAACTGGATATGTGAAGCTTCCAGGTGTCGGAACTGGGCGGATGTTGAGGTGTGATCCCCAGAGACTTCGCCCGGTCCTCCAAAGCCTGCTGGAAGTAACGATCGCCCTGCCTCTCTGCCTCCATCATCAGAAATCCGGATCAAGCTCAGGCAGGAGCTCGTCGAACAGGCCTCTGTACCCGGCATAGATGCAAGCGCGCATAATCTGGGGCAACATGTTGGGCTGTAGCTTGTACAACTGGCGGTAGGTTGTCTCAGCAGCTGTTACTGGCCACCATATGAGGTAGGGGGTGTGGAAGCTCTTGAAGGGTGCACGCGCGAGCACATTGTTCATCACGAACCGCGCGTTGATTGCCTGCTCAATGGCCGGAGGAAGCGAATGGGATTGCTTGGACCATCACACGGCGAATAAGGTGTTGTGGTGGATTCCGCGCACGCAGCATGCCGTCTCTTCTGGCAGGGTCTTCGGCCTGCGCAAACGCACGTACCTGTCAACGTTGCCGTGGTATGCAGCCATGAGGATGAGCAAATCTTTCTGGACTGTCGGTAAATCAGCCGGTAACGGCTCGTGAAGTAGTCGTAGTTCCGGCCTCGATGCGGACACCGACTTTGAAGGAGCCTCAGAATTGCGCTCGTCGAAGTGATGATCCTCACACAGGTCGAACATTGTTTCTTGGTACTCGAGTGACCCGAAGAGCGGGTCAGCGACATCGTCCTCGCTCGGCAGTTTCTGTTTGATGTTAAGCATCCAGCAGACACACGTATCGCCATTGAGGTTTGCAGCTTGCCGGCTATCAACATCCACGGAGCGCGTGTAGTCGTTCATGATGCTGTAACGGACCGGTTGAGACACAACGGCGTCGTAGATGGCCATATTGCCACACTCTCTTGCTTCTTCGGCGACATGCACGTCGGGCAGGACGTCCAGCTCCCCATAGAGCCGTGTGTATCCAGCCACAGCACACGCTCTGGCGACGTGATATGCCATTTGCGGATATCTTTGCACGAGCTCCCGGTAGGTCTTCTCGAGTGCGGTGACGGGATGCCATATACAGTACGGCATCTCAAGAGGAGACTTTATGTCGGGAATGATGCCGCTCATAATTCTTCGCGCATTCAGAGCACGAGCGAAGATTGGTGAAGATCCATGCAGCTCATCGCCGAAGCCTGAGTGGTACCGAATGCCATGGACCGTACAGAATTCATGCAGTGGGTGGCCGAGTGCTTCTGGTACCTTTTCACCTTGGAGAGCCGTCAGGCAAGCCTTGCGACTGTACTTCTCGTCCTCTTTGAAGATTGAATAGTCTGAAACGCTGGCTGCTGCGTTTACGGCCCCGCTGCTTGCGTCCCTTGCCTCTATTGGTGGTATCATCTCGCCGCTTTCCTTGGGTGCTCTCAGTGTAGAATATCGCGATACCGAAGCCCGCGATAGCCTAAGTCTCTGGAAGAGCTGGGAGACGAACGCCATTGCGCCTGCTCTGAGCGATGCAGCTTTTCGAGCAGTCGTTGTAGTGAATTTTCGGGAGAATGAGAAAATAGCGACTTTTCACTTACCTGATCTTGCGGCACAGCAACAACGTGAAGTGAGCGGCACGTTTTGCAGCCAATGTCTTGTACGCCTCTCCGCGTTAATGCATGGCCAAACAGTCAGACGTCCACCCGTGAAGCCCATCAAGAGCTTCCCGCGCAGTCATCCAGGGTGACTCAGTTTCCATGTCGAATACTACGCCCGGGGTATTTGATGAAGTGAGGTGTTGTGTCGATCGGATCCTTTCCGGGACCTGCATCAGCCCGGCGCGTGTCAGGGTGTGCAGAGCAGATCGATGACACGTCTGCTGCCTTTCAAGTTCCATGTCGCTTCCAAGTCCTTGTCGTTCTCTACCACCATCAACAACACCTGCGCTCGCGGCAGCTCGTTCATGTGAAAGTCAGCATGCTGGCGAAGAGCCGACGTCCTTTCCGACTCCACCTCGAGGTCTCCGCGCCGACAATCGGCCATCGCGGCCGCTATTCTTAGCCGCCACGATCTGATTATCGAACGTTCGTTTCCCTTATCTGATCCCCATCTCGACTCGATCATATCGCATACTCTCTCTATTCTTCTCGATGACAGTCGACCATTATTGCTATGGCAGCGTGTGCACGACTGACCACATGCCAGACATCGAACGTACGGCCTCTCGAGGCTCGGTGGGCCAGGTGCCGCGACCGGAGAAGGGCATCGTTATGAGGTAGAATAACCTGCCTTGGTCTGTTAGATGTATACTAAGGGTCAACGCAGGCCATTACTAGACCAGACAGAAGATGAGGACTCGACATCATCTGGCGATGACTTCAACTCCGCGCAGGCCGGCGTGCAACAGGCGGAAGCCATTGCATCGACTTGGAGTAGGACTGGTCTTTACATGGCTTATGTCGGGTAGGTCAAAACTATCTGTCTGATTGCTGCAGAGACTCATAATCAACAGCATCGCCCTCCTCGCAACCGCCACATCCCTGGAAGCCCAAACAACGGGCAACCTAACAATCTTCGCCACCAGCGCCTTCTCATCACACTCGCTTGTCGCAACCGTCGGCGTGGTCCAGGGCGTCGTCCTATCAGTCGCCAAACCTCCCATGTCCAAGATCGCAGACGTCTTCGGCCGCTTCGAAGCCTTCAGCCTCTCCGTCTTCATCTACAGCATTGGCTACATCCAGCAAGCCGCCTCGAACAGCGTGCAAACATACGCGGCCGCACAATTATTCTACGCTGCAGGATCTACTGGCCTGCAGATATTGATACAGATCTTCATCGCGGACACCAGCGACCTTTTGAATAGGGCATTTGTGTCTGCACTGCCAGATGTTCCGTTCTTGGCTACCGTTTGGATAGGACCAGAATTGGCTGAAACCATTCTCAAGACCATCAGTTGGAGATGGGGTTATGGCATTTGGGCTGTCGTGCTGCCGACTGCATTTTTACCCCTTGGGCTCTCACTCTTCGCCAACCAGAGGAAGGCCGCAAGGCGTGGCCTTCTACCTAAGTCACAGTTCGAGGGCCTGAACACATTGGAAATCGCGAAGACCCTGTGGTACGAATTGGATATCTTTGGCCTGCTGCTCATATGCGCGGCCTTTTCTTTGATACTCATACCACTCACCTTGGCCTCAAGTGCTGGATGGGAGAACAGCAGTCTGATCTCGATGCTGACGATTGGATGCCTATGTCTAATCGCCTTTCCATTCTGGGAGCGCAGCAAGCGTCTGGCACCTCGAGCATTCTTCCCACGGGCTTTGTTTAAGAACCGGACAGTCGTTGCTGGGCTTGGGATTGCGTTCTTCTACTTCAGTAAGTCGTCAAAACGTATCTATTCATGACATCACTCTGATGACTCGCAGTGGCCTTCTACCTATCAGTCTTCCCCTACTTCCAATCATACCTACTGGTCGTACAAGGCGAGACCGTGTCCTCAGCTGGCCGCATTGTGCAGACCTTCACATTCACTGCGACCATCACCTCCATTCTGGTATCTCTCTCAATCAAGCGCTTAAAGCGCTACAAGCTCTTCGTCGTGCTTGGTTCGCTGCTCTACCTTCTTGGACTCGGCCTCATGCTTCACTACCGGACGGAAGGCTCCTCCATCTTTACCATCATCGCTAGCCAAATGGTCGTTGGCATCGGCGGTGGCATGCTTCACGGTCCAGCTCAGCTCGGGATCCAAGCATCGGCCAGCCACCAGGAAGTCGCTGCAGCGACTGCAATATTCTTGACCATCCTCGAGATCGGAGGTGCCGTCGGTAATGCCATCTCAGGCGCTATCTGGACACACAATGTCCCCGTGAAGCTGGCCTTGTACCTCCCACCTGAGACGCAAGAACGCGCGTCTGAGATTTATGGCAACATCACACTCGCAGCGAACGGCTGGCCGATGGGCTCACCCACAAGACTCGCGATAAATCGCGCATATCAAGAGACAATGAGCAAGATCTTGAGCGTGGCCGTCTGCGTCGCCATCCCGTGCGTGATTTTGAGCTTCTTCATGAAGGATTACAGGCTTGATGAAATTGATCAGCACGTCAAGGGCATCGTCGTTGGTGGCGTGCAGGAAGCGGCTGAGCATCGTGATGACGACAATGCTCCCGGGACGTCACGAAGGATGTCTTACGACGCAGACGACGAGCAGGAGTCAAGAAGGAGTGAGGATGCGTTGTTGCCTCGAAAGAACTCGTGATGGTCAAGGCGTGGTGTTGTTGATGCGTATGAGCGATGATACCCTGGGATGACTTGACGACGCTTGTAGATATCTTGACAAACAGAGACGAACAGATTCACATACACATGAACTTCCATTAAGGCAGCTTGTTGAAAGTTAAGCATACGCATCCAGACCCCGTGGAAGCGGTCCCACCTCCGGCAACACCACTCCCTGCGTTCCAGCCCTTGTCTGCCCTGCCCAAGGGGTCCAAAGAAGAAACGCCTTCCAATCCCCAATCGCTCCTCTTTGTCTGGCCGCACACTCGTTCCACCATCACCTTATCTACCTATCTGAGTGCCCATCACCTTTTCACGTGCTCCAGGCTCGCTGCGCGCGTGCGTGCGTGTTGCGGTGTGGCGCTTGCGTCTCGGGATTTGATCCTCAAACCTCACTTGTTCCCGAGCCGGTGGTGACATTCGCGACAACCTCACTTTAGGCGCGATATCACTTTACCACACCTACTAAAGAACTCGACTTGCGAAGAAACATCTCCGACATAACACACCGAGTTGCTTGAAGCGACTGCACCGCCTTGCCAAACGCCTCGCAGCGCAGAACCCGCGCTCCATTCCTTCCCAGCATTGGCGCGGCGGTCCCTGTCTTTGACCTGACTTACTGCTAGCGCCAACGGCTCGAGCAAAAGGTGAAGAACAACGAGCAAGAGCGGTCGAGTACACACGTCCGGGAAGAGGCAGAAGTGGGCAAGACAGAAAGGATTGAGGGTTTCCTGCTGGGAAGCTGAGTGACCATGGTGGTCGCGACGATAAAGTATGACTCTCCCCCTGCGCGCTGCTTCGAGTCTCTCGAGTCTGGGTGGATGCTCGAGCTTGTCTATGCGGATGGACTCGGCGGTGGGACGTGATGGGGTGTTGGAGTACCCTGTGGAGACGGGGTTGAGGAAGGATACGAAGTATAAGGATGGGAATGCTGTTTGTGGGATGTGAGGGCTGACATGTGGTTTTGTACAGATGTGTTGTTGTGGGTGATGGTGCTGTGGGCAAGACGTGCCTGCTGATCAGCTACACCACGAACAAGTTCCCGTCAGAATATGTACCGACAGTGTTCGACAATTATGCGGTTACGGTGATGTACGTCTAGCTCTACAACCGAGGGAGCTGTGCGTGGAAGCTTACAACTGCAGGATCGGAGACGAACCATACACCCTCGGACTCTTCGATACCGCAGGTCAAGAAGACTACGACCGACTACGACCCCTCTCCTACCCTCAGACCGACGTCTTCCTTGTCTGCTTCTCCGTCACCTCACCCGCATCATTCGAGAACGTCCGAGAAAAGTGGTTTCCCGAAGTCCACCATCACTGTCCAGGCGTGCCGTGTCTGATAGTCGGCACGCAGACCGACTTAAGAGATGACCCGCAGGTACGGGAGAAATTAGCAAAGCAGAAGATGACTCCGGTACGAAAGGAGGACGGCGAGAAGATGGCGAAGGAGTTGGGGGCGGTGAAATATGTGGAGTGTTCGGCTTTGACGCAGTTTAAGCTGAAGGATGTTTTTGATGAGGTGAATCTACCGATCTATCGTTTCTCAGATTCGTGTGTTGACATTTCCAGGCCATTGTGGCAGCTCTGGAGCCACCCGCAGTGAAGAAGCCGAAGAGAAAGGGAAGAGGATGCATACTTCTTTAGTCGGCGTTTTGGGAGGCGTATCACGGCGAGCAGAAACCAAATGGGCCACATCAAGCCTGGAGCAAGCGAATTCAGTTCAGTCGTCATCGATCCTGTGGGTTGGGAACTTGTGGCGGTGTTGCGGGCGCGCTGCCTTTAGGATGCTGAGCTGTCCCTCATCATATATCCAAGCAAGTCTTGTTTCTTCTGTTTGATACTGCTTCACTTGCTCACATTGATGTCGCTAACATTGACTTGGGGAATCAACGCTATCGAGACGGAGGGCATAGTAGAGGAGAGGTCTGGCAGAAGCATGTGATTCTTGGCTGGACTTCGCGCTCCTGCCCGATCGGGATTTTTGAGCTGTGCGTTGCAGCTTGTTTGTTGTGAGACCAAACACGCTCATTCACAACATCAAAATTCTGCATCACAAACTTATTGTCCCTGCATCGCATTGTCTCGTCACTCGTTTCACCACACTCGTTATGCTGCATCATGTCGTTCTTTAACCAGCAGGAGTACCTGCAGAACACCAAGACGAGGAAGAACAACAACGCGCAGGGAGAAATGCAGGTCAAAGACAGCGCGCCCCTCTTCGCGACCTCACCCGAGAGACGCCACGCTCTACGCAAGCTCGCGGACATCCCTGAGGCAACCCCTGGACCGAACGCTTTTGCTCAGCAAGAGGCTCATCTGCATCGCTACCGGCTCGACAGCAACGCCTTCTACCAGCAGGAGATGCAGAGACGTCTTGCCACGCCACCCACCATCCCGCACCCTGCTCTGCGGCAGAGAAGCGCGTCTGACCCGCCAACGCCTCCACGCATGTCTACCTGTACGACCATGTCACCATTCATCGATGCTGGCAAGCCGGAGAAATCGCCACCGCTCAAGCTCGTGCCGTCCGACGACTACCTCGCTGAGCCCACCGAGCGCGGCTACATCGAAGAGCGGCGCGAGCAGATCCTGCACGAGAAGTCTGGCAATGAGGGACAGCGCACGCCGGTATTCGTCTCCACGTCGACCTTCTCAAAATCGGTCGGTACACCAAGGGAGCGCACCGAGAAGAAAAAGGAGGTGACCATCGCCGAGCCACCTGTGAACAGTGCGAAGACGCCCAAGCGTTCCATCCTTGAGAAGCTGCGTCTCAACACCAATTTCCGCAACACGCCGTCCTCCATCCCGACCGCTACGTATGCTGTACCAGCTGCAACAGAGGCGAAGGATCACGTGCCGGTGAAAGCGCAAGCTATACTGGGAACAACGTCGCCATCGAAGAAGAGTCGCACCAGCTTCGGCTCGTCGCCTTCAAAGTCAAACATCCCGCGCTCGCCATCTAAGCGCAAAGGTCTCTTCAGCCGCAAGACTTCTGGGCTGGGGGAGAGCGTGACCTCACGCTCGAAGTCTGCCCTTAGCAGCCGCTCGGTTGAGTCCGATCACCCACCACCCACAGCCAGCACGGCGGGCAAGACGCCGCCGACCGCTTTCTCAGACCCAACGCACTACAGCTACAGCGGGAAAAGCACACGCATCGCTTCGCAGCCGCACTCCTCCACTGGGCTGGGTATCAATAAATGCTCCATCGCTCGCTCGCAGAGCCTCAAGTACTTTGACACTGGCATCCCACCCACACCGCCGTCGAAAGACACGCCACCAGAAGAGAAGGCGAAGCGTGAGCCTCAGCTGAAGAGTAAGTCCTCCCGCCTGCCGTTCCACGATGAGCAGGTCACGACGCCTTCAAAAGAGCAGCTTGGCTTCGTCAGCACCAACGAACGTCTGAGCCCGACCAAATTCGGCAGCTATGGCAACCGTGAGGTCCCGAAGTTGGTAACGATGCCGAGCATGTACTCGCTGCACGCTTCCGTGGTGCCTACTCTGCACGATGCGAGCACTTTCGAGGAGATGAAGGCGCGTATGGATGGCTTGGCTCTGGAAGGCTTCAGCTTGCCGCCGGAGAACATGCGGGGACCGAAGCAGGGCATCGTCTACTCGCCTAGCATCTACTCGACTGAGTGGGGTGAGCGTCCGAATAGCGTGCTCATTCATGCCGCGTCGCCGTCGCATCAGGCTGCTGCTCGCCATACCAAGAAGTATTCGGATAAGAGTAAGAGTTCATCCAGCGGCGGCGACATTCCGATCGTCTATCCAGAGTTGGCGAAGGATCCATCGTACAGCGACATCACTCCTGGCGCCCTTCACGCAAAGAAAGGTCGTGGCCGCGAGCAATCCGAAGCCACGCTTCCAGTCCACGGCTGCACGCATTCCCGCGACCACAGCTGCGACTCCCGCGCTTCTCGTGAGTCCGCAATCTTCGCACACGGTGTGGAAGAGGATGCCGATAAGCACTCGCCAACCTACGGCTCCCCGTCGTCTTTCAGCCATGCCAGCGCCGCTCCATCACCACTGCACATCCTCCCAGCGACCACCTACAGTCCCCCACCGCGCAAGAACAGCAAAGCACACCTCCTCACCCCCGAGCCAGCCAACCGCAGCCTCAACGGCAAAGACGGTCTACATATCTCCACCCCTGGCTCCCGCAACAACCTCTTCACTAACGCCCCCACCCTCCCGGCCTCCTCGCCCACCCGCCCACCAAGCCCACTCCGCCACACCGAGAGCCCAGCAGCCGGGCTGCGCAACAGCTACACCGGCGCTGACACCAACGTGGATCCGGAGAAACCTTCCCCACCAAAGAAGGAGAAGAAGAAGGATGAAGAGCCAACAGACAAAATCGACAAGATGCTCGAACTCCTCGCCAACCTCAACACGCGCAACAACGAAATCATCAACATCCGGGATGAGATGCGGGCTTCGAACATGCGGTTGGGAGAGAGGTTGGCGGTTGTGGAGAAGGAGCGGGTGGGGTCGCCTGTTTCGTCTTTGGGGGGTTCTGAAGGTAGCGGTCCTGGGTTTGGTGTGAGGAATGAGAAGGTAAGGGAGGGGAAGAGGGTTAGTACGGCTGTGGCGGAGGAGTTTTATCGTGGGGGGATCGTGCAGGAGCAGGAGGAGAGTGAGGATGGGGAGAGTGAGGGAGATGAGGGTGAGGGGAGGAAGAGGGCGGATACGATCGCGGAGTTGCGGGAGACGAACGAGCGGTTGTTGGAGATGGTTAGTGGGTTTGCGGAGAGGATCAAGAGCTTGGAGGGGAGGAAGGGGAGGAGTTGATGTCGGTACTGTTTGCGGGAGGTTGGTCGTTGGAGAGGGGCAACTTTAAAAAGGTGGTTGTGTGATGCATTGGTTGGCGTTTTGGTTTTGGCTGGTGGTGGGTTCGCTGCGTTGTGTACTGAGCGGAAAGCATTGGGTCTGGTTGCGATTTTGAGAGGCGAGCAATGGGCTCCTCCAGGAAGGATGGCGATTGTTTGTGATACCCAGCTGAGGCTAGACGGTCTGCACGCTTCTGGAGTCGGTTGTTCTACGTTCCTGGTTTTCTGGCAGCGGGTTTGGCTCTTCATAGCAGCATGTACATATACTTCCTACTGTCTGACTTCTTCATCGGTTAACGTTCAGTCAACTTGAGTCCGTTATAAGAAGCACTTAGTTTGTACAGAGTGATCAGTAATTGTACTCTGCATGTTTACATCTATTTTGCCGATGACACCATCTCTCGCCAAAGTCAGAAAAAGTTCCAATGACGACGTCGGGGATTGACTCACGATCACAACACATTGAATTCATAAGACAATGCCACGAGCGATATAACATTCTAGTCAATCGACAATGTCTTCGCAAGACACAAATGGGGTTGTGCGGCAGGCCAATGGCGACGGCACCAAATACCGTATGGCCATCCAAACCTCACCTCCAACATCACACTGACATGCGAATAGGACGGATCACACCAGCAGAGCAGTCCGAGAACCCATTCGTCAAGCTCATACCCGACCAAGACATCGCCGTAATCCCCTCATACGAGCTCGAATCTGGCGTCACCCTCCACAATGTCCCCATCGCCTACAAGACCTACGGCACCCTGTCCCCGGAGCGGGATAATGCCATGGTCATATGCCATGCCTTGACTGGTAGTGCGGATGCAAAAGACTGGTGGGGGCCACTGCTCGGAGGTCCAGAAGAAGACGGCAAAGAGGCGAGAGCGTTCGACATGTCGAGGTTCTACGTGGTGTGTATCAACAGCCCAGGCAGTCCATATGGTAGCGTCAGTCCGGTCACGGCAAGAGATGGTGATCCGGCGAATGAGCATTACGGACCAGACTTCCCTTTGACGACGATTAGGGACGATGTGAATATGTTCAAGCTTATACTCGACGACCTCGGCGTGAGACAGATCGCTACGGTCATAGGAGGGTCCATGGGCGGCATGCTGGTATTGGAGTTTGCATACTTTGGCAAGGACTATGTCCGCACGATCATCCCTATCGCCACCTCCGCCCGCTACAGCGCCTGGGGTATCAGCTGGGGTGAAGCGCAACGCCAGAGCATATACAGCGACCCAAAATATCTAGACGGCTACTACCCCTTCGACGACCCACCCGCAACAGGTCTCGGAGCAGCACGCATGCAAGCCCTCCTCACCTACCGCAGCCGCGACTCGTTCGAAACCAAATTCGGCCGCAACATCCCCGGCCCCTCCAAGAAAGAAAATATCAACGCCCCAGCCCGGCCCACCACGCCCTCAGGCGAGCACTTCGCAATCCACAACGAAGGCCACAAAAACGCCGGAACCCCCCGCTCCGCCCGCACCGATCCCATGACCTCCTCCACTGACTCCCTGCCCACTCCGTCACCCAGCAACATCACAGTAACCGACCCGCAATTCGCCGGCGCCACACCCTTGCCCGTCCCTGCTCCTCCCGTAAACCTCCGCAAGCGCATCCCAACCTACTACTCCGCGCAATCATACCTCCGCTACCAAGGCGACAAGTTCATCCGCCGCTTCGACGCCAACTGCTACATAGCCATCACGCGCAAACTCGATACCCACGACGTCGCGCGCGGGCGCACCGACACTTCCGGCTCGCCGACGCAATCCGAAGTCAACGCCGCGCTCGCCATGATCGAGCAACCGACCCTCATACTCGGGATCCAAAGCGATGGACTATTCACTTACGGCGAGCAGCAGGAGCTCGCGGCGGCGATTCCGAATAGCGAGTTGAAGACTATTGATAGTCCGGAGGGGCATGATGCGTTTCTGCTCGAGTTTCGGCAGGTTAACGCGTTGATTCTAGGGTTTATGCGCAGGGAGTTGGGGGATATTATGGCGCGGGAGCCGGTGAATTGGCCGCCGAGGTTGGAGGAGGAGGGGGGCGAGGTGAAGGGGAGTACGTTTGGGGAGGCGGAGGTGGAGGATATCACTGCGTGGTGATGGCTGTTGTCACTAAGCTGGCAGCGTCTGTCTGTCTACGCTGGACATCGGCTGCGAAGTCTTGTCCAGAGGCGGCACAGGCACCCCAAGCACCTCCATAGACTCCACCACTGCCTCAATTGCTCGCCGCTGCTCACCAGTCACGTCCCGCTTCCCCTCCGCTCTCCGCAGCGCTGCCCTCACAACCGAGTCCTCCCCATCCACACCCAGCCCCTTCTTCCACCGCATGAAATGTAAGCCCTCAATTCCCAGAGCTCCAATGCTTCGTTCAAACCTCTTCTCCACCCACCCCCTGTGCACAGAAGAGAACAAACTCGCATTAACCCTCGCCCCCTCCCGAAACTTCCGCCACGTTTCCCCGTAGAAGTCTAGCAGTGCCCCATCGTCCCCCTCCAGCGCCAAGACCTCCTTCACCCCCTCAACATACGCCGTCAAAGTCTCATCTAGGCGGAGGTAAAGGAACTCGAGGAACTCGTGCGCGTAATGATGCGCAGCTCCTCCACCGGTATCTGCCGGACGGGAGGAGAAGTTATAGATGGTATTATAGAGCGAGATGTAGTCGCGATGGTCCAGAAAGGAGGGGTTAGAGATGATCTGGGCTACCGCTTCGCGGAGCAAGTCCCAGACTGCGTCGGTTTCGTGGCGTGGGAGGTGCGAGGGCTGGTATATCGATGGGTGTGCGGATGCGGAGGGTTGTTGTTGGTCGTGTCGGGCGAAGTAGGTGCAGAGGGAGCAGTTGGGACGATAGGGGACCCTTTCAAGAGATTCTTCGGTGGTAGACATGTGTATCTACTGCTCCTTCGAACGTTCCTTCGACGGCGAGGGGGATACTGATGCGGTTCATACATTGAGGATTTATATAGACCATTGCGTGAGGCATTTTGGGTGACGAGCGGCGGCACAGCATCTGCCGTCTGTCCCGAGCTGCATGCTGTTGCCTGTGATCACACGCAGACGACTGGGTTGCCATCAGAGCTAAATCGTGACTGCAACCAGCTTGCCAGTACGCTAGCTAGACTACAGCCCTGCCAATCGTCCCCATCTCTCTACAAAAACTAACCTAAAACCCCTACCGCTTCCCCTTCCCCTTCTTCTTCCCACCACCCTGCTGCGGCTTCCCCTTCACCACCTCACCCCCCGGCGTCCCCGGCCTACTTCCCTCACTCTCCCCCGCGGGTGCTGCACCCTGACTCAACAGATTCGCCCTCGCCTTGCCCTTCTTGCCCTTCGGCCTGTACGTACTGCGATCCCGAAGTGGCAGCCACCGTTCAGGATCCGGCGTCTTGGCCGGGTCGTAGTCCTTGGGGATCCGCGAGGGACGGATCTTCTTCGCTTTGCGCGGTTTTTGGTTGCTGTCTTCGGCGGGACGCTTGCGGGTTACGCCGGGGGTGGTGGGGGGCTGGGCGAGGCCGGCGGATTCAAGGGAGGGGGCATCGATGGTGGAGATGAGGCGGTCGATGGGTGTGAGGGTGGATGTGAGGTCTGAAGGAGCGGATGCGGGAGAGGAGGCGATGAGGCCGGCTGTTGCGATGGAGTCGGATGGGTTGAGAGAGTGGAGTTCGGTGAAGATTGAGGTGGCGAGTTCTTGGTGCTCAGGAGCTGGAGAGTCGAGGAGAGCGCTGCCTGCGGCGCGGAGGAGTTGAAGGACGCCGGCTGGTCGTTCTTTTGTCCTCCGCTTCCAGTGTGATGCTGCTTTCGCTAGTTCCCTCTGCTCGTGATTTCTCCGTCCTTGAGTATGGTATAGACTCGCCATCGTCCCAACCAAGCCAGGTGAGTACCGGACCTCCAGCTCCGCTTCCTTTGCAGACTGCTCCAACCGCCGCAAGAACCCTTCTAGCAATTTGATAGCTGAGCCTGCATTGCCAGATAGGACGTACAGCTGGACAATCGTAAGCACGAGTCCAACGTCCGTCGGCCGCTTCTCGAGCACTGGAAGGATGAGCTTGATCGCCTCCTTGCCGGTTTGGCTCTGTGCGTGCGCAGCAGCGTTGACAACGGACATGCCGTTGCAGAAAGTGTCCGTGTTTGGCGAAGGATGTTTGCTCAGTACTGCTTTGGTTGAGTCCGCTGTGCCTCCGAATTTGAGCGACTGCAGGTCCGTGGCGTAGCGGTTGCGATTCAAAACAGCTCTCTGGAACTGGAATGGATAATCAGGCTTCAGCGTGTCAAGGTCCTTCGAAACGATGCGTTGCGCCAGAAAAGGATTGCTGTCGGATGCTGATGCCGCCACCCCGTTCACCTGCGCGATATGTCTCGTACTGGCATCCGGTATCCTCGTCGCATCCACCTCCTTCGCCAAACCATCCGCCTCCTCCTGCCTCCCCAATCTCGCAAGCACGTATACTTGCTGTACCGTAATCGGCATCAATTCCGCCTGCTTGTCCTCGTCACTGAGATCTTCCAGCGCATTACACAGATCCTTCGCCCGCTTCAGCAGCACCTCCCCCTGCCCAAGCTCTCCTCTTGCAATGCATCCGCAAGCCGCATTATACGCCGTCTCGAAAGCCTCCAGATCCGCTCGTTCAGGCTTCTTCTTCTGCACTAGCTCTCCTTGTCCAGACCACTCTAGCTGCGCATCCACAGCACCAGAGTTGACTCTCAAGTCCGCCTCTACATCATCCTCTAACTGCGAAGCAAGCCTTTGGTAAAGCTCCGCAGCCCTCTTGAACTCCTCCGTCCGATAACTGGCCTGCGCCTCTACATGCTCAAACCCCCTCTCACCACCTTCTCGTGCTATCTCAGCTGCTTGTGCCGGCTTGCCGTCTTTGTAAAGAGCGTATGCATAGTCCAACCGCGCCCGATCCTTCAACTTCGCTCCGCCAGCTTCGATCGCTTTCACAGCATCTCCGTACCGGTCGAGTTTGAGCAAGGCAATGGCTTTCACATGCTGGGCTTCGAGGTCGCCTTTGAACTGCTTCAGTGTTGATTCTGCGGCCTGGAGGACTTCGCTGTGGTCTTCAATGTCGGTCTGCTTGAGTAAGGAAGCTAGGGATCCGACGGAGGTGGACATGGTGAGGTATTAGGTATGCGACCACGGGACTCTCATCGACCAGCCATTGAAGTCCGTAGCGAGTGATCTTGTGCTGGTCGTGGCATCTCGACCTTCAACGTCGAAATTCCCCAAGCCCCACCATAGACGCGAGTCATGCGTTCATCCCACCGCCCTACCTCGACAACACCCACCAACACTCATACCACCAGCAGCATCACAGACCATCGTCATGGCAAACCCCTCCCCACCACCTGAACTCTCCCATTGCCCCCTACTAGACCTCCCCCCCGAACTCCGCCTCCAAATCTACACCCACATCCACACCACCCCCTTCCGCTGCACGCTCCAACCCGAGACCCAAGATCTCTCCTACCAGTTTCCAGGCGAGAAACACCAAAACCCCTCCACCAACTTACACCTCACCTGCCACCAACTCCGCGACGAGACTCTGCCGATTTTGTATTCTCAGACCACGTTCAAACTTATCCTCTTCGGCACGCACTCGCGTCAGGATGGAAAGGGGTACGAGCAATTCCTCTTCCCGCGCTCGACCCCGTCGACCCTCCGCCACGCGCGGAATCTCGACCTGCACATCCACGTCATGGAGCCAAAGGATCTGGATCTCATCAAGCAACGTCTGCGGGCGCTATGCCGCCAAATCCCTCAAACCAGGAAATTGGCAAAGTGTGAAGTCCATCTCGCCTTCCACGTCAACACCTTCGGCCCCACGCTTCCGCGACTACGGGAGCTGTCGCAGGCGACGCTGGAAGCTGTGCGGGAGACGCCGGGCGGGAAGGGGACAGGGGTGGCTGAACGGGATGTATGGGAGAAGGTCGAGGCGGAGGCGGGGAGGGTGGTGGGGAAGTATGCGGGGATGGATGATCCGATGGGAGGGGATGGGTGATTGGAGCAAGCTCGGAAGGAATGGTTATTTGTACAGATTATGGATTAACTTATTCAAGACTTCACCGTCTCCGCCGCCGACGGAGATCCCACTGCGGTTCCTCCAATATCTCCTCCTCAACCAAATCCTCAACAATCACCCAAGGATCGTCGTCCCCCAAGCCCTCATCATCCCCCTCATCACCCGCCAACATCTCAGTCGTCACCATCTCCTCATCCTCCACGCCCTCTTCTTCCACTTCGCCCTTCCCAGCCCCTTGTCCAACATACACCCCCTGCAAAAACCCCCCAAACGCCTCCGCAGCCGCCAAAATCTCCTTCCCCGTCGGCACGATCTCCTCCCTCGGCAGCAAAAACCCATACGTCCCGCGATCCCGCAGCTTAATCTGATACGCATATCTCACGCCCATTTCATGATAAAACCAATCCAGGGCGCTGCCGCCTTGGCCTTCCATTAGAGGAAGTAATTCCTTTTCCCCGCTTCTTGATGAGATGGCGGAGTTGCCCTCACAAGCGGCGAGGACTTCGTACTTCAGCCCGCTGGACCTGCGGATGGCTTTTTCCAGTCCGACGGCGAGTTCTTCGAGGTTTTCCTGGTTCGGCGTGGTGGGACTACATGAGTAGCTGTAAGGGTAGAGGATCTGTTGGCTGTAGGCATGCAAATCCAGAAACCCGACGATCTCGACGTTATTCCTCTCTGTCTCATTCTTCGCCCAGTCCGCTAACCTCTTCGACTCCACGGCCTCGAACGCAGAGTCCCCCGCGAAGTTCTCCGAGCAAGGGTTCCCCGCCGTGCTGACGGCATCCCACTCGAAGCCGTAGCCGCGGTCCAGATCGATACCCTGGCAGAAGCGGATGCCGGTGCGTTGGCGGTTTTTGCGCCACAAGCGGTCGGTGTCCCAGCTGTAGACGTAGCCGTCGGGGTTGAGGGTGGGGACGAGGACGAAGTCGAAGTCTTCGAGCAGTTTGGTGGTGGAGGGGTTCTTGCCGTAGCGGGTGATGAGGCTGTAGGCGATGTAGTTGACTGTGCTTGTGCTGATCCATTCGCGCGCGTGCACGCCGCCGGTTATCAGCACGGTTTTGCGTTTGGGGGGGTTGGGGTCGTCGTTGTTGGTCGGGTGGACGCCGATGCGGAGGGCGGGGATGGGGCGGCCTTCGTAGGTTGTGCCGATGCTGAGGAGACGGACGTGGGTCGTGAAGAGGGAGGCGAGGAGGTGAAGCCAGGGGGTTATGACGGACAGAGGCTGGTAGTTTGTGAAGAAGACGTTTGTGTCGCTGTTGTCGCCGTCGTCGCGGGAGAGTTGGAGGGGACGAACGCGGAGGTGGGAGATGGCGGATGGTGTGGGCGTGAGAGACTGGTCGCGGGGGACGGGGTAGGTGTCGTAGATTGCTTGCGCGAGGTCGCGTTGGCCGAGGAGGGGTGTGTGTTTGTGTCGGAGCGAGGAGGGGAGGAGGCGGAGGAAGGAGGGGACAATGGTTTTCGCTAGTCGAATGTCCACCCAGTCGTGCGAGAATCCCCAGACGTCGAGGAAGAGGGTGTCTGCTGCTTCTGCCAGGCTCGACGCCTCTTCTGCTGTGCTGACGTTGAATCGAACAACCACATCCCCGCTGTATCGTGCTAAGGTGCGCGGTGGAGGTTGTGAAGACTGTCGGAGGGCTGAAGGATAGCGGTGTTCGAAGATGTCTTTCCCATTCCTATGCGATCCCCATATCGCACCGATCAACCTGTTCGAGAAGCTCTTCCAAAGGGGTGTTGGCTCGTTCGATGTCAGCACAAGTGGTTGTTGACCAACGCCGGCGGGGGAGGGGGCAGCAACGACAAACGCGCTCAGCAGCGCTGGCAAGGCCAACAAGACGCTCAATGGTATCTGCATCCCGTCCTTATCGCCCTGCGATGGGCGCGTCAGTGGGAAGTGGGAGATGAAGCTACGTGGAGATGTGTGGTGAATCGCGCTGCCTTGCGGGGCTGAGAGGAGCAAGTGCTCGCGTGCCTCATTGCAACTGCCGGCTATACAACGGTACCTTGCAGATCGATATAGCCGGAACAAGACATGGCAGGAGAAGAGTTGACAAGAAAGATCTGGTATGATTGAATTCAAGCACCCCGATACCAGGACGCCATAGACTTTGCCCCCGGGGTATCGTAACGCATGCCATAGTCATCTATACATCATTCACCCAATCAGCCCCACTCCCTTCTTAACCCCCTTTCCTCCCTACTTCCCCTACCTTTCCCTACCTTTCCCTACCTTTTCCTACCGCACCTCAACGCCCTGCTGCTGCTGCTGCTGCTGCTCCGACCCCTGACTCAACGACCGCTCCTCCTCGCTGAACCCGGCATCCGAAGGCGGAGTCGTGTACTCATCGCTATCCTCCCCCTCGTCATCCTCTTCAGCACCAGCTTGCGCATGCGCAGCCTCGGGTGAAGTCTGTACCGGCTTCAACGGAGAGAGAAAACCCTGCTTGCTGGGGCCGATGACGGTAGTCCGTTTCTTACTCCGTCGCGTGGGGGAGATGTCGTCCGAGTCGTCGTCACTTTCCTCCTCTTGCCCCTTCGTCCGATGTCCGTTGACAGGTTTCGAAGGGCCGATGACGGTGCCTCGCTTCTCTTTCCTGGGGCTCTGGATGGGTGAAGCATCAAAGTACGTCTCCTCCCCCTCCTCATCTTTCTCCACCACAGCCTCAGATCCCGAGCGCTCCATATCGCTCATCTCAACCGGACTCGCCCTCCTCTCCGCAAAAGCCCCCGTGACCTCCACATCGTCCAAAAAACTCGGTGCCCTCCACCCCGACGCCTCATCCCCACTAACCCGCCTCTCCGCACGGTCATGCGGACTCAGGCCCCTTTCGTAGCTTAAACCTCTTTCCCAACTCAAACCCCTGCCTACCACCGATGGACTCTTGCCCTCCCCACCCCCGGCAGTCGACCCGCTATTCTGCCTCCAAGCCTCCCGTCTCGCCTTCATGCGCTCATTCGGCCACTCGGTCCCAAATTGCACTACTGAAGCTTGTTTGCCGTGTAGAATGAACCGCCCTTTTTCGCGCTTGAGGCCGGGCGTCCCTTCCTCCTCGACTGCCTCGTCGACATCCTTGTCTTTATCCTTGTTGGTAGAGGCGGCTTGGTTCTGCAGGAGGACAGGCGCACCAGTGGCACTGCGCACGGTGCTATCGCTCCCCTTGCCTTTCCGGTGCTTGTGGATCGAACTACCGTGATGATGCTGATCGCGGAGCGTTTTCTGCAGGCTGCGACGCACCCCGCTGTGGCGCTGTTTGGTATTACTCTCAGGTGGAGAGGTAGAAGGGGCGGCGCCGTCGACGTTCATCCCACGAGAAGCCAGCGGTTCAGGCGTCATGGTCGCGCGGGCGAGCAGTTCGATCTCCGGATCCACCGTCACGGACGAAGGGGCGCGGGGACGGGGCGTAGCGCTCTCCGGCGGCTCGTCGGGAGTAGGGCGGTCGCCAAAGGCGTTGCTGGATATGCTCGAAGCCTGGGAAACACTATTCCGCCCTTGCGATGAGGTGCTGAGGAGCGCGCTTGATACGGAGCCGCGGTGCTGATCGGCCGGCTGCACGTCCAGTTGCAGCGGAGGTAATCTCCACTCTCCCTCTTGCTGTTTTGTGTTCGCATCCGACGGCGTGCGGAAGATATCGTTCGTGTACGCTTCCAGCGAACCTGTAGTCGAAGGCCTCTGCACATGTGTCGGCGACGTCGGACTCTGCGACGCAGCAACTTTGGCAGCACTACCTCTCGACGTCAGTCGTGAAAGACTCATTGGCCAGCTCTTCTTCGCAGAATCCGGCGCTTCGATTTGCTGTTGTTCAGCCAGCGCCTCAATCTGATCTGCCGACACACCATCCTGCTGTACATCCATAGCGAGGATGTCCTTGTACGCCCTCATGCGCCAGATATCGCGGCGCCGCCACTTCAGATTCGCATCCGCCCGCGCAGCAGCATGAATCATATCCTCCCTCGTCTTCGGGATGATAGGCGCCAGGACGAGCAAATGTCGGGCATTGCGCAGCATATTATCCAATTCCTTGTTCGCCTCACTGATATCAAGCGTCATCTGCGCGACTTTCTGCACCATGATCTGGCGTCTCGCAGCCATGACCTGTCGCTGCATCTGCGGGCTCAGCAGTCGATTCTGCACCAAGTCGCTAGACGTCGTCTGAGCTGAGCGCGCGGTTTGCGTGGACTCCAGTCTACGGATTTCCTTGCTCCGGGCGTCTTCGTCGGCGCCGCCGACCATGCCGCGGATCCTGACTCCGGCGGAGCGGAAGGCGGCTGCGTAGTTGATGAGAGCGAGCCAGTCGTTGAGCTCGGAGTCGTTGTCTGCCAGCAGCACTTCTTCGTGGCCGCCTGGTGCGACGAACGTGAAGGCGTGTTTGTGCCGGTTGTACGAAGCGTCCACCAGCGCGACCGCATTGTCCGTCCTGAGCAGAGCATCGGCCTTGAACTCCTGCAGCGGCGGCTTAAACGTCACAGGCGTCCTTGGCTTCCCCTTCTCCTGTGCAGCGTTGAATTGGTTCACCAGCCCCTTCGCCCAGTGCACGTTCTTGAACATGTACAGCTGCGAGCCCGTCAGGATGGCACCCCATTCGTTCCATGGCGAGCGAGCTTTCTTCTTCTTCGTCGCCTTCCGCCACAGCGTGCCGACTTTCGTCACTTTGATATCGATGATACCGGGCTGCATCTCCATCAAAGCGGGAGGGGCATGGTTCGTGAAGTCGCCTTCGTAAGCGTTGGGCCGCGAGCGTTGGGAGATGATCTGCAGTGTGCCTGTGTGCGTGAAAGCGCGTTGAAGGTATTGCACGTCCAGGTCGTTCGGCGTAGCCTTGTAGTTGTACGGATCGTCCATGTTGATAGACTCCTTGATCGACGGCCTCAGCATATCCAGAGTGTTATCCCGCAGCAGGTCATAAGGATCAACGGGACCAGAAGATTTCTTGTTGCCTTCAGTGATGGGAAGCTTCACCTTGCTCTTCCTAGGCTTGAAAGGCAATACGCGCTCGCCATTGATATCCACTTCCTCCTCAATCCGAATAAAAGGCGTATAGCAGATGTTGTCGTATAAGCAACCCAGCACATCATCCGAAACTCCTTGGTCAGAAGTATTCTTGACATACTGGTGCTTCTGCATCTTGCGCTTGTTGTTCCGGTTGAAAGCGTCGGTCTGCAGCATCATGAGCGAGAAGGCGATGATGTAGGCCTGGTCGGGCGACACGAAGATGCCGGGGTTGCATTCGTGATAGCGATCTGCAAACGCCTGCACCACGCGGTCCATCTGCTGGGTCTCCGGAGGCAGCTCGGCTTCCATCAGGAACTTGCGAAGGGACATGTCGACCGGCTCGCCGAAGAATGAGAAGCGTCGGGTATAGCTCCGCAAGACTGCGTGTGCGAACGTGTCCGTGGATTTGGAGAGAATCGCAGCAATCTTGCCGCGCGCCACTGCAGCCTCCAGCCTTTCGAGGTACCGGCCGGGACTGTCCCCTTCCTCCCTCTCCGGCACCACAAGCGTCTCCCTACTGATCGCAAAAGAGTTCGACTTGCTCCGCGTCCCCGGCGACCCATGCCTCGGCGAATTCGGATCCGAGCTCTGCCTGAACCGCGAAAGATTCAAGAAACCACCTAAGCTAGACCTCCCCGTCGTAGATGTGGATGTCCTCCCACTGCCCGACATAGGCGGCGGCGTGCCGGTATCGTAAGAGCTGCGGCCGAACGAGCTTGTAGTAGAAGCGCGATCGCGCATACCCAAACGACGAGGCGGTTGCAGTGGCGGGGAACTGGAAGACGCGCGTGACCGCTGCGAGCCGTTGCGCATCAAACTCATGCCCCCTGGCTCCGCAAACGACAAAGCGCCTCTCGCGAGCGCGGCGTTTGTTGGCAGAGGCGCCGGCTTTGTCAGGATGTCTTCTGTGTGTCGACGTTGTAGGAATTGCGCGGAGTTGCCATTGGTGTCGTCTTGGCTCTTTGTTGAGATGGCGGAGGTGGATGCGCGAGGTGTTGGTGGGCCGTCCTGGTGCGACGTCTCACTCGGAGGCGGGATCTTCACAGGGAGTGGGAATAGTGGGTTGCGGTTCTTGTTGCGTCGTGCGAGCTTAAAGAATGTCGTATGGGTAGACACCGTGTGAGTGGTCGTCGTCGTAGTGCCGTAGATCTCACCTGAGCTTCCATTACTACCATCAGACCGTGAAGACTCCGAAAATCGATGGTCAGACATCGGAAGAGCAAGAGCAGAGTTCGACTCGTCGCCATATGAGGGAGGCGCGCCCTGGTTGTTCGAAACATGGGCAGCAGCCATGCGCTGCAGATCCTCCAACCCAGTGCTCCTGCCCTGCAACTTCCTCCACCTCAGCGACGACACCTTCTTATCCCCCCTCCTTTCCTCCGTACTCTTCCTCGGCTGCGGCCTCACCGGACTCCTCCCCTTCGACATCGACCTCTTGAACAACGACGGCCTGACCCTCCTCTCCCTCTCACCCTCCTCCTGCCCCTCCTGCATCTCCCCACCCAGATGATCCATCGTCGGCGCCGTCTTCATAATCGTCGGCACCGCCGCCGCCGAACCACTCGGCACCGTAGGCAAAGGCGGCGCACTCTCCCTCTCCCGCCTCTCCACCTCCTTCGCCCGCACCGCCAGCTGCGACTCGGAGTAATTCCGGATCTTCAGCATACTAAAACGCTTCGTTCGCGTGCTCTTGCCATCCTGCCCATCCTCCGCCGGGTCCGGCACCTCGTCCCGCAAAAGTTCACGTGAAAGTCGCGAGCGCTGAAACCCGTACTCTGACTTCGGCCGCTCGTCTTCTGTACGCGGAGATTCGACCGTCAAGCTGCTCGTCTTCGGCCGGCCGTCATTGTCGCTGCTGTTGCTGTTATCGCTCGAGGTGGTGGAAAGAAGGTCGAGCAAGCTGCGCCGCTTGGAGAGCAAGTTGGGCATGTCCGGCACTCCCCAACTGCTGTTATTACTGCGAGGTCATAGGAAACATGTAGTAACGAATGTCGTGCTGCTGGCATGGAAGCAGTCCAAGAAAATCTCTTCCCTTTGCCGGAGATGCAAAAGCCTTGGAAGAGGTTGTTGTTTGAAGGTTGGTACTGCACCTTCACCGCGGACAGGGCTGACTCTGAGCTCAGACCTTGGACACGCAGACCTTCTCGGCACTCAGGAACAGAGTTTCACTCGTTTCGAGTCTAGCTTTTTGTTTCTGGAAATGGAAACACTTTATTAGGGGAGGGCAGTGAAGATGTCTTCGATTACTTCTGGACGTTGGAGTTCCGGGGTCTTGGTATGTGCGATGCTGTGTCTCGAGAAGTTGGAACTCGACGCGTGGCAAGCCAACACAACCTCACCTCACTTTCTCTCAGCAATCCTTCTCGGACACCCATGTCAGAGGCTGGGAGGTATGGGACCAACACGTGTAAGACCAATTGCTCTACCTCGATTGCGATGTTGCAAATGGGGCCGCTAGACCATACTGTTCTTTGCTCAGCTGGTGGGAGCGAGGTGAGCGCGTGAGCGAACAAGATACATCTTCTACTCGAATCAAACAGGCATGAAAGAAGAACCTCGAGCATCCCTTCCCCTTCGCCGTCTCCTCTTCCATTCAGCTCGTCTTCTTTGCTCCTCCGCTTCTCCTAGCTCCACTCCGCCAACCCCTTCATCCGCTCTCACTACCTTCGCGGTAGGCGGAAGGCCATCCCCAGGCGGGTTCGGTGCGCCTGGAGCCATCACCACATCCTTCTTCTTCGGCTTCACCAACAGCAGGATGAACATGCCAACCACAAGCAAGATCAACAACAGAATCACCAGCCTCTTCGTCCCTTTCTTCTGGTACCGCGTAGCGACCGTCAACTCCTTCTCGGCTGCTTTCACGTGCTCGGCTGTCCTCTCGACGTTGTAGTCGATCCGGTCCAGTAAGCTGCCTTGGTCGATCACCATACTGTTCAGCTCCTGGAAAATAGTGCTGAGGTCGATAACGCCTTGAGCGATCTTCTCGATCTCTCGTTCGCGCTGCTCGATTGCTGCATCTAGCACGCCAGTCCTTCGGCGAATCTGAGAGGTCTGTTGTAGTGTAGATTGCGCAGAAGAAACATCAGCCGCTTGTTCGGCAAGTGCAGGGTCCGTGTACGGATTCTGGATCAAGGTGGGTGTGCCGGAGCGAGTGTTGGAGAGGTCAGGCGTAGAACTGCCACCTAGCGAACGCAGCTTGCGCAGATATGCAGACTGCTTCTTGCGGAACAGCGTCGAAGCGTCTCCAACCCTCGTGGCAAGGGATATCTGCAGGTTCTTGGCCATCGTCGCTTCGGCTTTGCTCACACCACTCCCTCCTCCGCTATTGGCTTGCTGTTGTTGCGTGCGTAGCATGTTATCGACGCGCTTGATGGCGCGCTGGCAAGCGCCGAAGCCACGTGTGATCTCTGAGGTCAAAGATTCAATCTCTCGCTCTTCCCGTGCCTTTACACTCTCATCGTCGAAACCGGGGAGGACGTGCTTGCTGTGTAGAGTATCGAGGCGCTTCATGAGGGACGCTATGGTAGAGAGGTGAGTCGTGATCTCATCCTGGATATCCAGCCAGCGTGGAGGTAGGAGGTCCATCTCGATAACAGCGTCTCCGTCTGCGTTATCGAGGTTAGACATGAGGCCGGCGCGCTCGCTCGTGGGATCATCGCGGAAGCCGGCATTGTTGTAGGAGGGCTTGCGCGCGGCAGGGTGGTGCGAGTAAGATTGCCGGTAGGATATGTACCTGTACTCATGTTAGATACACTGCCCAGAGCTATGGTTCAAAGGGAGATGGTTTACAAGTTCGTCCGGTCGCGCCAGGCGCCCAGTTGGCCGGCCGTCGTCATCGCCGTGATTGGAGTCTGCCTGTCTTGGATGCGCAGATAGGCATCGTTGCAGCACTGTAGTTCCTGCTGTATCGTGAGTGTTGGGGCCAGGTAGTAGGTGTTGGAGAGTCGCCTGGTGTCAGGACAAATGGACCCTTGCGACAGCTCTGTTCGGGATGCGCCTTCCGGCTTCCGCTCCGCCATGCCTGCCACCACACATACGGTATACCTACATCTTTCTAGCTCGACACCCAACTCCAACTCACGGTAGTGCTTGGAAGCTACGTTGAATCTGCATCCACACGAGGACAGTAAGTCAATTTGCAGCTGGCTTCCCAATCGCCGAGGACGCGTTCGCCAGGCATCAACCGTCTGGCGCCTTACAAAATCTACGTATCGTTTTCACAACAACATGACAAGATGGATTGAAGTCACGGCTAAGCACGCCTACTCTGTTCCAACCTCACTTCCTCACAGCTCTTTCTTAACGTCACCTCATGCTTGGATGGGAAGACTACTGAGCATTGAAATTGAGCAGCTTCCACTGACCCCTCGAGAAACCAACACATCCGTACACAGCACCGTCATGGCCCACAGCCACGGACACCCCGAGATGGTGCAACACTTCCAGGACCCGCATACACCATCCTCACTCTACGGGCAGCAGTACCTCGAAGCAGTCTATCACTTCAACAACGGTGAAACTGAGCGGTCAGTATGCGTTACCCTCATAAAAAGAACCAATTCTTACTTAAAAGTTCTGTTAGCTGCGTGAGCGTGGCGAAACTCAACCTCACTGATCCCACGCTACCAAGGTTCTATCAGATGAAGAACATGATTCTCCTCGCGACGGCGGAAGAGGACTGGTATGAAGCGGTGAAGTGGCGCAAGAAGACTGAGACTCTCTGGTGAGGCCCTCCCAACTCCAACTAGTGTTTGGTAGCACTTCAGGCACTGGCACGAGAACTAACGCAGTCCCACAGGAAAGCTACAAAAGCCATGACGCCCTCCAACGAGCAAGAAGCTCAAGCAGCGCTCGGCCAACTACGCGACAGCATCCGGTACTGGAGGGAGCGCCATGAAGAGCGGGCTCCTGCGACCATCGACGAAGCGAGGCTGGCTGTAGACGACGAGACTGAGAAGGAAGACTCAGAGGCCGTCGAGCTGCAGAAGAAAGCTGATGAGGAGGCAGCGACCTTGACAGCACTTTGGGGCGAAGACTTCGTCACCAGGGCCACCCAAGGGGAGAAGATGAAGTGGAAGAAGATTGCGCCGAAGCCGTATCCGTGGAGGTAGATTGAGTTACTGAGGAGTTGGGCCATGCTTTCACCCGCTCCAACCGTGATCGGGGTTTAGTATTGGCGAGGCTGGCACAGCGTACAGTTTCATGACGCCTTGGCTGCCATTGCTATCCCAGTCAGGATCGGTTCTCTCAGATGTCGGTACGTATGCATTGGATCCAGGAGTGCTGCATGGAATGCTAACGAGTGCTGATCGGACGGGAGTGCATGGTTTCAGCATGTCCATGCAGGCATCGAAGGGCTGAGGAACAGCATGAGTAGGAGGGAGGTCCATAGGCGACTGATGGAATGCGCCTCACAAACTGTTGCGACGTCGTGGTTCGTTCGAAGGCTTGATGTCAATTAGTCTTGACAGCACGGAGACGCCGCTCGACAGAATATGTGGCTCGCAGCAGAAGGACGTATTGATTGACGATTGGGCGATGGAGCATATTAAGGCTGTCCCGCCTAACAGCCCCTCCTGTTGTGTACTCAAACACGCATTCTACGTAATCTCGACCGTCTTACATGTGCAATCCGCGGTGTCTGTAATACAGCGGGATTAAATAAGTATTCCGGTGAAGCCTTTCTTCGGTCCCGCGCTTGCCCCTCCACTCCAGAACACTTCTCAACTTCCAAGCTTTCGTTTCTCTCACAACACCCTCCGCTCTACCACCAAACAACCCCCTACGACCTGCGACCCCTAGACCACAGCGCCGACACTCAGCGGACACCCCCTTCACGACAGCGACCATGGTATGCACACCTTCTTACCACCACCAGCGGCGGCGCGCAGTCATCCCGCACAATCGCATTCGGGCTATCACGGACACGGCGACAGATCACCGCTGACGTGTGATTGCAGGCAGACTCACTGACCGAAGAGCAAGTCTCCGAGTTCAAGGAGGCCTTCTCCCTCTTCGTAAGTCCGCCAGCGCCCTCATCCCCACCGCACACGCGATATCCCCCACCACGTCAGCAATCTCCCCTTCCGTCGCACAACGCTAATGTCACGCGAACAGGACAAAGACGGCGATGGTACGACCTCCCACCCAGCATCTCCACCTCTCCGACCCTACTAACCGCAATCTCCAGGACAAATCACCACCAAAGAGCTCGGCACCGTCATGCGCTCGCTGGGCCAGAACCCCTCGGAATCCGAGCTGCAGGACATGATCAACGAGGTCGACGCCGACAACAACGGCACCATCGACTTCCCCGAGTTCCTCACCATGATGGCGCGCAAGATGAAGGACACCGACTCCGAGGAGGAGATCCGCGAGGCCTTCAAGGTCTTTGACCGGGACAACAACGGCTTTATCAGCGCCGCGGAGCTGAGGCATGTCATGACGAGTATTGGCGAGAAGTTGACGGACGATGAGGTGGATGAGATGATTCGGGAGGCGGATCAGGATGGGGATGGGAGGATTGACTGTATATCAACCCTTTTGTTTTCTGGGGTCATGCGGGATGCTAATGTGTGTGCAGACAACGAGTTCGTGCAGTTGATGATGCAGAAGTAGGCGCTGCGCGCTTATGTTCTGCTTTCGACTCGTCTCTCGGACCACGAAACCTCGATTCTCCACACTTCTGTCTTCCTCGATGGCGAAGCACGAGCGATGAGCGATGAGATAGGATGTGGGTGGCCCTGTGGATGATTTCGAGGCCGATGGTATTATTGGACTTTCCTTAGTGAGGCGATCGAGCATTACAGAGCAGTCAAAGACCGGATAGTGCGGTATGGCCGTCTAATCAACGGATGCACATTCCTCCCTCCCACCCACTTCTAGCTGTCCTTCGGCCTTCTCAGCCCCTCACTCTCCTTCACGCACTGCCCCGCCATCTCCGCCTGCTCATCCGTCTTCACAATGAACACCTTCCCACCGCCCTCTCTCTTCCTGCCCACCTCCGCCACAACCTCATCCTTCGGCTTCCCATTCGCCTCCCCATCAATCTCAAACCCCAAACACCCCACCCTCTCCACAACCATCCTCCTCAAACCCACCCCTTTCTCCCCAATCCCGCCCGCAAACACCAACGCATCCACTTTCCCGCCCAACTTGACATAATAACTCCCCACAAACCCCACGATCCGATCCACCAACATCTCCACCACCAGTTTACACCGCTCATCCCCTTCCTCGGCTTTCTTGCTTATCTCCCCAAAGTCCGTGGTGCCCGTCATAGCTTTCCACCCGCTCTCTTTGTTGAGAATCTGCTCCGCCTGCGTGATGTGCAGTTCTTTCGTCGAGCTGACGGAGAGTTTGCCCGCGTCGTGCGTCATGTGGAAGATCAAGCTGGGATCTACGTCGCCGCTTCGCGTGGCGCCTGGGAGGCCCGCGAGGGGCGTGAGACCCATTGATGTGTCTATGCTTTCGCCGCCACGGATACAGCAGGCGCTGGCGCCGGAACCGAGATGGAGGGCGATGAGATTCGTCTCCGCAGCTGGTTTCTTCAGGTACTCGGCCACGGTGCGCGTGATATAAGCATAAGACAGCCCATGGAACCCATACTTCCGCAACCCATTCTTCGCCGCTTTCTCCGGGTCAATGGCATACGTCCGCACGGGTTCCGGAAGGGTGGCGTGGAACGCCGAGTCGAAGAAGGCGATGTTCGTCGTCTTCGGACAGGCCTTGTGCACGGCTTGCACGATCGCTAGCGCGCCGGCGTTGTGTAAAGGTGCGAGATCCGAGAGTGCTTCGAGGTGGTGGAATGTATCCTGGTCGATCCGGACTGGTGTCGAATAAGAACCGCCGTGGACGACGCGGTGGGTGGCGAATTCGACGTCGTCTGGGTGGTTCAGTTCGGTCAATGATTTGTCTTGTATTAGATGGTTGAGGATGTGTTGGTATGCGTCCTCGGGGCCATTGATGTTGGGGATTTGTTGGTCTTTGATGTTGGTGTCTTTGTGGCTGTACGAGAGGGTGGCGGGGGGTGCGGTCAGGCCGGCGATTTGGATCACGGCGAGTTGGGTGGGAGCGGTGGTGGGGGAGTTGTAAGAGAAGACGGAGACTTTGACGGAGGAGGAGCCGGCGTTGATTGAGAGGATGATTTTGGGCATGATTCTGGAGATTGGTTAGTGGTTCTGACAAAGTAAAGAGAAGAGAGAGGTGCGAGAGAATTATTGCTATGCCCTTGACATTGGAAACGTTGAGTGGATGAAGCGAATCGCAAACAATGAGCTGTGTTGCTGTTTACCTTGCTAGAGCTCCAATGGCACTTTCTAAGTTTTGCGATGGCAAGAGTGACGTCTGTTCGGAAGTGAACGGATCTCATTGAAGGGGAAGTTGAAATGGATGCCATGACTAAGCTAGCACGATGGAGAATATCACCATGAGAAAGGGCAGATCAATTGCTATGGCCTGAGAATCAAATCACAGCTGATGCCATGTCTCCGTGTGACCATTTCGTAGAGAACCCGCTGGCTCAGCTCGGCCATATGCCCAATGGTGAATGGCCCTCCAACATGCCGTCCCGGTAACCTCATCCCATCCCGTACTCGCAATGGTGTTGCTACACAAACGCAGATGTCCTAGCCGGCTGCTTTTGATCAGTCTGCGGACCTGGGAATCCCCCCAATGTATGCTTGCTTGACGGTATGTAGCCTTTCGTCTCCTCCTTGGCCATGCCCTGGTCGAACTCGATCACATGGCCTTCGATGAGTCCGATCTAGTGTTATCTCACGTTAGCTTCGCGATTACGCTGATACCAGAGATCTGCGGACGTACCTGCTCCAACGTCCTGTTGTGGTTCTTGATTACCTCACCGTTCAAGCTGAAGTCCCCATAATAGCTCTTCGGCAGCAGCTGGTAGAAGTCGTAGACCACCTGCTTGAACGTCGTCGAGTAGCGAGCGTGGAAGCTGCGTTCTTTCAAGCTCCTTCCTTTGATGCGGACGGGGACCCAGGAGTTTGGACCGATGAGGAGTTGCTTCTTCAGTTCGGCGACTTGCGAGTTGTGCTTCCTGTTCAGTGATTTGATGTCTCCTTCGTGCTTGTTCTCCAGTTCCGTCATGCGTTTGGCGTGCTCGGCCCATGCTGCTTGAACGTGGGCTTCCATATCTGTAAATTTGGAGTTGGCCCTCGTCTGTTCTGCATCGAGCTCAGCCTTCTCCGCTGCATGCTTGGCTCGCTCATCCGTGAGCAGCTTGATCGCCTTCTGCAGGTCCCCTTTGACTTTGGCTACAGCTTCTTTATTCGAGGCTACCTTGTCCTTCTCAATCTTGTCAGTCGCTGCCTCGAACTTCTTCTTCTCCGCTTCGAAGCTCTTCTTCTCCGTCTCAAAGCCAGCCCTCTCTGCCTCGAAGCTTGCTTTGTACTCAGCGTTTGCCATGCTATGCGAGACCTTCAGAGCCTCAATCTGTTCGCTGCACTCCGCTTTTGCTTGGACGATCTGTGCTTCGCATCCGGCCTCAAACGCGGCAAGGTAAGCCTGCCGCTGGGCCTCTTCACCCGCGGCCTTTGCTGCGAGTCGAATGTCGGAGTGCACCATTCCGAGGCCTGGTGAGTTCTTCCTCGCCGATGTGTCCTTGTTCACGCGGTAGTGGTCGTTTGTTGCCATTATGGAGATGTTGTGATATTCTGCGTTCTTGGTTGTTTTTAATTCCTGGTCGGGGCGTAGAGTCTCTGGTAGACACAGTTAAGATGGAGCTTGAAGAGGCAGATCGTGTGAAGAGATCGACCTAGCAGGACTACCGCATTGAGTGGCTCATGTGAAGGCGCACGGTCCTGTCGACCACGGGAAGCCACGATCTGAGGTGAAGTGAGTTGGTTGTCTCGGCGTCACAAAACTGCAATATGAACAATGGGGAAGTGAGAGGAGACGGCGAGCTGCCAATGCAGCTGTAAAGAATTGAGTATGCTGCGCAGTAAATCCCAGTGAAAGGCGCACTGATGAGAATGATGGGAGAACGGTGGAACTCAATTATAATGCTGGTGAAGCGATTGCGATGAGAAAGACGAAGAGATGGAGAATTTTTGACAAATGAGTAAGTCTTCACAATACCTGAGACGGGGGCGATAGGAGGGTGTTCGCGAGCTAGAAGGTCTCGAGGTCCAGGGACAGCAAGCTTGTAAAGTCTCGCGATGCAGCACACAATGACCTACTAGAGTATGTCTCCATGTCGTATCCCACTGCAAAGGCCCTTCCGCTTCTCCAATTTCTGATCCACGCATGAGCTGCCATCCCGGAGTGGGGAAGCATTATCTTGCATGCTGTATCGTAGCATTATTTCCCTTCTCGCCACTTGTAGGGATACACGCCGCTTCAGATGTGCTCGTAGGTGTTTCGTATGTATCCCGGCCTGTTCGGAACTAGTCATCCTCCCCAGAGGTTCAGGTTGTAAGCCATTGTGACAAGACTCGTCTGCGGACTAGAACGGAGCCCTGGCCTTACGAGAAGCCCGCAAGCTAATCAAACATAGACAGGTCGACACGGTCAGTCTGCACCGCAGCATCTGCAAATGTCGCAACTTCCGGCAACGGAGCGCGACACTCCGGGCAAGAGTTTGAGGTCTTCAGCCAGGTATCGATGCAGCCGGCGGCGCAGAAGATGTGACCGCAAGGCAGCCCTATAACCGCTGAGTCTGCTGTGAAGTCGTCCTTGCATATCGCGCAGTCTTCTTTGCCGGTATTGTCCGCCAAGCTTGAATATGTCTGGCGAGCAAGACCAGCAATCGCAGCGTCCTGTGCTGGGACGAACACGGGATCCGCATTGGGGTCGTTTGCCTCGTCGGATTCCTCCCACGCATCCTCGAGCTACTCGTCGTCGTCCAATTCGCTGGGATCGTCTTGGAGCACATCTCGAAACAGTGGGCCTCCGTCATCCTCTCCACGATACTGGTACGTCGTGTATCCCAGTTCTTCCAAGCGCATATTCAATCTCTGGTGTAATTGTTCAATTTCGCTTCCCCCGAGGTTGTGAAGAGAGAAAGCGTCTCGGCAATTGTGGTAGTCATAGACGAGCTCTTCGCCAACGCAGACCGGGCATAGCGGTTCATAATCGTCAAACGCGCTGTCGAATGCGCTGGCCAATTTCGTAACTTTGTCCTGACACTCTAGAAAGCCTTGATTACATCTGACTCCGCACTTCCCTCCATGCACGTAATTGCGAACCGTGTCGCCATCCGGTCGACATATAATACGATGGTATTTGCCATCGAGTCCACCAGCGAGGTCTTTGATGCTGCGAACTGTTGCCAGCTTCCTTCTTGGATCTAGAACTTCCGGAAGAGCCAGATCGATGCTGTCTATGCTGTGACTCGCGGGGCTAGCAGCAGACAGGTACGGTTCGCAGTAGAGGTCGCGTAGCTGAGCGTCCACAAGGTTGCCGTTGTCGTCACGAGTAGTATCGAGAACGAGGTACAGCTCCTCGTCATGCCAAGTTTCCTCCACCATGACTCCGCCTTGATCGACGGCCTCAGCCTCTGTGTGAGAGGCCGCGATCTCTTGAAACGCATCGTTGCCATCGACAACGGGCCTGCCATCAACACTGGCGTGTTGAGGTTCTGCAAGCCCTTCTTTGCGCCTTTCCACCCTCTCCGCACCAAGCAGTAGCACGGCGTCACCAACCTCGACGTCTGCCAACCACTCCAAGTGCCGCTTGGTGATGTCTCCGGTTGCCACCTCCATCTTGCCAAATGGTGGTCGCCTGAACCAAGCGCTTTTCAACCGCAGAAAGAGTGCTCTTGGTCGAAGGTGCTTGTCTTGAGTGGTGTGAGGAATGAGCAAAGACGGGGAAAGAGAATGTCCAGACTCTAAGGCGAGGTGAGGTTGATACCTTAGAGTTTCGAGGTGCCTGTGATGTTGTCAGACGAGGATCTGGTCCAAGCGCAAGCATGTGATAACGAAGCAAGTGAAGGTGCTTGTGAAATATCAAGCATAACCGTTGAACCAACAAGAAGATCGCGCGAGTCACCCTCGATGGTCCTAGAGTATAGGGTCACTCTTAAAGCCATGACCTCGTGGAGACCTTCATGCGTAGCTTCATAATCGCTCCAGCGTCTCCCTCTGCCATACTCGGGTTCCATCTGGCGCGGCGGCGGCAGGAGGCCCGCTGCATCGTCGGAGGCGCTGACTTTTAGTAGGGCTCTTGCGGTCGCAATATGTTATCACGACTGAGCTGCGGACGACAACAATCGAAGGTCAAGGAGTGCAGTAGGTACTCTTCGTTGCTGTCGTCTTGGCTCCGATGCCGCCTCCCCGAGGTGAAATTACAATGTCAGTGCTGCCATGCTACTGCCCCTCGCTGGGTGGGTACGGGCATATCGGTCCTCGGGGTACGGATGGCTTCAGGATGAGCGATGCCAGCGTGTCTATGGGCGGAAGAGGAGACGGTGCGTACAAAAGATGGTAGTACGCTGCGTATGCGCCTTTCCGTAGTCTTGGTATTATCGCGTGCAAGGGGATGGAGGAGACGAGGCGATGTAACGGCATGTCGGTATTTAGATTTAGTGTTAGTGCATTGACCACGTGTGATTCAATCGACTGACCTATAGGACAAGCAACAGCTCTCGTTTATGCTTCTAGAGCCGTTCTCTAGATCGTCAATCCTCCGGTCATTTGACCACGCGGTTGATTAGGAATATGGCCCTTCACCACACCTCCATGTCTCCTCGTTCTACCCGCGTCAGGCCATGAGCGCCATTACAACTGCTGGCCCAAACGGGAGCGGCGGCAAGCGACAGGACGACCATGTAAACAGCGGAAACGATGACCTAACGCCCGTTCGTCATGACAGCAAGCAGGCCGTCGACGATGAGGCCGACTCGACGACCGTTACGCCCAAGAATGAGCAGGCTACGGGACACAATGCAGCAATGTCGCTGCGTTCGTTGGACACTTTAATGAACAATCGCGCCTCCAAACCGTCGACGCCGGCATCCGCAGCAGGCCTCTCGATCAAGACGAACGTGCTAGTCCCTCCTCAACCCACGGCGCCGTCCTTGAAAGAGACACCTACAATCTACGAGACGCCGGTGACCGAGGAAGCTGGGTTCCTGCATCACGTATCTTCGCCGACAGCGATCCCTGTCATGGGAAGTTCACTCCGGTCGACAGTATCGACCTCGAGTATAGCATCGTCCATGTCGCCGAGTACCGCGTCCGTACTCGCCTCGCCGTACCTGGCCGCAATGACAGACATCACTCCACTGCCTTCACCACTGTTCAGGAGTGAATCTGCTGGGAGCTTGTTCAGAAGGTCACTGGATCGTCCTAGAACGCCTTCGATATCGAGAGCCGGGTCGATCGAGGAGCAGCTAACACCGACGGCAACGGTGCCTCAACAAAGCTTGGCCTCGTCACCTCCAAAGAGAAAGAAGGGATACGGAAGCCTGCTACAAGATGCGGTAGAGACAGCTCGCGCGGTTTCGCTACCGACAGACGACAGCGTGAAGAAGGAAAACTTGGGCCATGGGCGGAACAGGAGTATATCAGACTTTGTGCCGGAGCAGCTACACAACAGTGTTAGGCAACGACACGTCACGTTTGGAGAAGGAGATACCGCCAGTTTTGAGGCGCAAGAATATCACATGCAGCGCGAACAGAATCTTGCGGCGCAGAGAGGGCTAACAGTACCATCGGATGCGAAGTCGCATCGCCAGCTCCCTTCGCCTCCACCTAGTTCGTCGAGCGCAGCGAGTGACGGGGCGGACGAGGAGCCGGATCTTCTTGAAGATGACAGCCAGGAGGATTACTTGGAGATACATTGCGGTCTTAAGAACAAACGGAGGAAGTTTCGGCAGTTGCGACAGCTGGGTGAAGGTAGTTTCTCGAAGGTCATGCTCGCTACTCGACAACGGATCCCACCACAACCAACACCAGAGATTGAAGATCACGTCGATCCGCATAAATTGGTCGCTGTAAAGATTGTCGAACACGGTCCAGCCGGTGGCGCAGACGAACAGCGCATCGAAACGAGTTTGAAGCGCGAAGTCGAGATGCTGAAAAGCATATCTCACCCCTCCCTCGTCCACCTGAAAGCCTGCGAATACCAAACAACCCGAGCTCTTCTAGTCCTCACATACTGCCCCGGCGGCGACCTCTTCGAACTCGCAAGCCAGAAGCGAGACCTGCTCACCCCACCAATGATCCAGCGCATTTTCTCCGAACTCGTCTGCGCCGTCCGCTACCTCCACAACAACTGGATCGTCCACCGCGACATCAAGCTGGAGAACGTCCTCGTAAACGTCTCCCATCAAGACCTTGCCACCATCGCCGACCCGCTCACCCACCCAGCGCCACTCATAACTTTGACCGATCTTGGTCTCAGCAGACGAGTCCCCCAACCTCCTGAGTCACCTCTCCTATCTACCCGCTGCGGCTCAGAAGACTACGCCGCGCCGGAGATCCTCCTCGGTCAACCCTACGATGGCCGCCAAACGGACGCCTGGGCGCTGGGTGTTTTGCTCTACGCGCTCATCGAGGGTAGATTACCCTTCGACGCTCCACCCGGCAAACCGGACCGAAGTCGCAATACCCACCGCATCGCGCGCTGCGACTGGATCTGGTGCCGGTACGGCGATGCGGACGGCGACTGGGACTCGTGTCGAGGCGGAGAGTTCGAGGGTGCGAAGGACTGTGTCGAGGGGTTGTTGAAGAAGGTGCGGATGGGCAGGAAGGCGCTGGAGGCGATTGAGGGGATGGAGTGGGTGAGGGAGGGCGTGCAGGTGGAGGGTGGGTTGAAGATGAGGGAGGAGGATGATGATGAGATGTTGCTTTGAAGGATGTAAAAGATACCATGGGTTGGAAGCGCTGTGCTCGGAAGGTGGGTATGTATTATGGAGAAAGAAGGTGCCTTCGCAGGCTGTGAGACTTGCTGTGGCTTCGCTTCACTTCAAGTTTCAATCCGGGTCATCCCCGCTTCACAGTGTGCTATCTTCACATGCTCGTGCACGTGCATACATACGCTGCATGACCTGTGCACGGACGACTGAGATAGATCCAACTCCTATTCCTCGCCAGCTCCTGTGAACTTCACATCTTTCTACTTGACAACAACTCCATACACATCACCACATCCTTACACAAAGAAGTAAGATGGTCGCCTACGCCAACTTCACCCCAGAACCACCACCAAGGGCTGCCATCCGCGCCCGCAATGAGACGGAGGATCAGCACGAAGACATCCCGGAAGCCGACCGCTACGTCTACGTTATCATCAAGGATGCGCACGACTCTCATGGGCCTGGCATGATCTTCAAGCTCGGCTTCCTGGAGGCCTTCAAGAACTGCCTAGACACCTTCAGAGTCAAGTCCTGCCCGAATTGCCGCCCCGTCAGCGACATCCGCTTCAAGACTCACAACCAGATCTTCGCAGACATCACCACCCCTAAGAGAGTAGGTTCCAATGACGCTGGTAGCTCTTGAACAGCTAACGCCAATAACGCTGAATAGATCGGCTTCTGGCACAACACAACCACCACGATCCGCGCTTACTCGAACGTCCCGGGCATGCAATGCTCAAAGTGCAAGATCCAAGGCTACCCAAGTTCGACCGTACCGACCAAAGCTGTGCCGCAGACGATGACGAGTGTCCCGAAGAACGAAGTCGTCGCCCTTCGCGTCCGCGACCTAACAGGCTTCGAGATGGAGGTGAAGATGATGAACATAACCCCCTTCAGCTTCCTCATGGAGCAGTACGCCACCAAAGCCTGGCGCAAGATGAGTGACCTTCGCTTCCTGCTCGACGAAGAGAAGCTTCTCAAGACCGAGACGCCCAAGAAGGTATGGTCTGCGACGCAAGCGTGACGCCAGATCTTGCTAACGCAAGGCCACAGCTCGATCTTTCGAACGGAGACCTCATCGACGTGTACTTCGAGCAACTCGGTGGCCGAAAGCAAAGCCTAGATTCTCGAGCGCAGCGGCGGTACCTCACAGGATTTTTGGGTGTTATGGATGGGGAGGTCACGGCGAGGACTTGGTTCGGGGGCCGTCAGTCGGGCAACAGCAGGGCAGGCACGACGAACGTGGGGACATGAATTTCGGGTTCTTGGATTCGATGCTGCTGTGATGGATCAGCTTGAGGCTGTCAACTCTGCTTGTGCATAAGATTTACCTCAATGCAGATGTGTCCAAGACGTGCACCGAGTGCGTTCTGCTATAGTCCTCGCCTCTGCCTCTACCGGCGCATAGCAGACTCGGCCCTTCTCATCTTCCATTCCTGATCCTCTGATATCGCCCGGAAGCTCTAGTCGCCATTCACAGCCTTCCTCTTGAAGCCATCACGCGGTCTAGTCGCGATCGTTGTCCAGCTCTTCATATCATCATAATCCTTTGCAACTCTAATATCCCACTCCCACGCTCAATGATTCCTAAAATTCTTCTTCTGATAAAACAGATCCGTCCTCGAACTCCCCAGATTAATAATCTTCGGACACCCATCCCGATCCTTCTCCAGCCGCGTGCACTCAAAGCAGTAGAACGCATCGCTGATGCCCTCTCCGCCGCACACGACGCATTTGTTCTGGTAGTTGCCGAAGGAGCATTCGTCGCAGATGCGCACGAGGGTTGTGGGGCGCACGTAGGAGTCGCAGACGGGGCACTTGCCGTCGCATTTGTCGCAGAGGCGGCCGATGGCTATGCCGGCTGTTTTGCGGCACATGACGAGGTCGCTGGGGGAGGGTTAGTGGGGGAACTGGCATGGTGGGGGAGGGGAGGGCTTACGGGTGATGGCGGGACATGTTGCGCGGTGTGTGAGTTGGGGGTTGTTGCGGTGTTTGTTCGTGAGTTTGAGGTGGTGGAGAAGTGTTGTGTGTACAGCAGTGAAGAGAGAATATGCTGGAAGCAGAAGTTCAAGAGGTGAGGTAAGCCAGGATGACTAAGTAGCGTACATTCACGTGAAAATCGAAAACGGTCTTGTGAAGCTTCCAAGTACGTATTGACTATCTACAGCTTCGACGCCATCTCTTTCTTCGCCTGTTCTCTCAAGAGTCTCTTCAAGATCTTCCCAGAAGCATTCTTCGGTATCGCCTCCACAAACACAATCCCACCCGTCAGCATCTTGAACTTCGCCAGCCGCTCCCTCATATACGCATCTACCTCCTGCGTAGAAGGCTGACTACTTTTCACATCCCGTCGGACAATGTATGCCCGCGGCGACTCTGAGCCCTCAGCATTCGTGGGGTCTGGCACGCCTATCACCGCGGCATCCACGATGTCTGGATGGCTGAGGAGAACGCCTTCGAGCTCTGGTGGTGCTACTTGGAATGCTCGGACTTTGATCAGTTCCTGGAGAGCTGGTTAGCAGGATCTTAGCAGAAAGTTTTTGAGGCTATATACCTTCTTCCGGTCAACGATATACCAGTTCTTGGTCTTGCCATCACAGTACCCGATGTCTCCAGTGTGGAAGTAGTTATCCTCATCCCAATCCCGCTTGTTTGCTTCCGGATTCTCGAAGTATCCTCTTACGACCGTCGGCCCTCTTATGCAGATCTCACCTTGCACATCATAATCCGTGATGTCCTTGCCAGAATCGTCCACCAATTTCATGTCAAGATTCGGGAGAGGTCTGCCCACACTCCCCGTGGTGTCGCTCTCCGGATATGGGAACCGAGTGGCGATACAGGAGGTCTCAGTCATGCCCCAGACTTGAGTAAAAGGTACGCCCTCCCCGAGCAGCGCTTGTAGTCGCGACTGCGGGTGTTTATCGAGCGGTGCAGCGCCACAGTTCGCCACCTTGACCGACTTAAGACTACAGACGTCCTTTAAAGGGTGGTTGATTGCAAGGATCGCCATGGGCGGGACGACCGTCAAGTCAGTGATGCCGAACTTCTCGTGGGCGCGGAACCAGGACTCCGGCTCGAAACGAGGGAAGACGACGCCCCTGTGTCCAGAGCGGAGGCTTGATGTGAAAGCAGTAGGGAGCGTTGCGGCATGGAACATAGGGAGGTTAAGCACCCGCCCCACCCTCCAGTCTCTTGAGTCCGCCTCAAAGACCAGGGTGTGCTGGGCGATCAGGTTGTAGTGGCTGAGGTCGGTGGCCTTCGGTAAGCCGGTCGTTCCTGAGCTGAAGAGGCGAGCGACGGTGGTGTTGCTGCAACGCTCGAGAGAATCAAAGTGCTCCCTGCGCAACAGAAGCAGAAGGGTTAGCCAGCTTCAGACCACAGTTATTGCTTAGCGGGAGAGCATTCTCACCAATCCTGCTCGCCATGCTGCAAAAGATCGTTCCACTGCTTAAAGCCAGCCGGCGCCGTCTCCCCATTCGGATTGAAGATAATAATGTTCTCCTTCGGCAGACCAATCTCCTTTGCCGCTTTCAAAACATTCTCAAGCATGTCCGGTTGCGTGAGAAGATACTTGACCTTGGCAATCTTCAGCGTATGCGCCAGTTCATACGCGGTGTACGCAGGGTTGACACCAGAGAAGACGAGCCCACCCGCCACCAGGCCGTGGAAGAGGATCGGGTACTGGACATCGTTGAATGAATTGATGCAGACACAGTCGCCTCTCTTGGCTCCAATGGCTCGAAAGCCGGCGACCAATTTCCGGGTGAGCGACAGAGCCTGGCGAGCGCTGATGGAGTTGCTTGGGTTGTTGCCGTCGATGTATATCGGATCATCCCAGTCGTAGCGTGAGGCCAGGTCGTCGAAGGTCCATGATGTGATGTCCTTCGTTGGGATGGGAAAATGTTCTTGGGCGAGGAATGGCATGGTGATCGCTGCTAGATATTGGATGCTTGGTACAACACACAGATAGAGATAAACGAGAAGACCGCCGGTATAAGAAGGAACAGGCGTGAGAAGTGAACCGTGGATTGCCTCGTCAGCCCTAGGAGATACGATGCTGCAAGGGAGCGCAGTCCCGAAGATGGAATCTTACTCTCACCCACGTCCAACGAATAGCCTGTCGATCCGGCCGTAAAAGCGTGTAGGTCTTGAGCTGGCTTCCCAAAAGCGAAAGCGGTATGTTCGGCAGAGGACCATTCTAGAGACAAGGAGTTGATGCTGCCTCGGTTGCTCGCTCTCACGGCAGCAAAAGCTGAGAAGCATGGAGCCAGCGGTCTCCCCACGGGGCTGAGGACCGACAAAGTTTCTGACCGATGATGGTGTTGGAAAGGTCAATCGAACTGCTGAATCGTACAACGGTCTGAAGTGTTATAAGAGAAGCCCAGTCGCGGTCGGTAGAACATGTAGATCTAATTAACAAGGGTATAGAACGATCACAGCTACATGTATCACAATCCTCAGGACATCTCTGTAGCTCGTCCTCATTTGCCCTCCTCAGCCACATCAATAATCACCTTCCCAACCACCCTACCAGTCTTGAGCCGCTTGAATGCCTCCACCGCTTCGGTCATCGGAAAAACCTGATCAGTAACAGGCTTCACCTTGCCCTCAGCAATCCAGCTTCCAATCTTCTCAATGTTCTCGCGGTTGACGTCCGAGAGAAACACGACGAATTTCCGCCGCCCACCACCGAGGAAACCAGGCAACATCTGAGCGCCAAACGCAAAGCGCAGGAACGCTAATGAGGGCGCGCTGGCGACTTCCATGAAATGGGTAGTCGGAGTCGTGTAGGTGTGTGCTTGATAGTACAGCGCAGGGTCGCTGAAGACGTTGTCGACGACATGATCGAAGGGTCCACTGGTCTTAGCGGCCTGCTGAAGCTGCTCCAGTAGTGGACGAGCGGTGTAGTCAAGCACTTCATCCGCGCCGAGCGAGCGGCAGAGATCAGCGTTGCGGCCGGAGCATGAGACCGTGACGTGCGCTCCCAGGACTTTGGCGATTTGAATCCCGTAGGTGCCGACGCCGCCGCTGCCGCCGTTTAGGAAGACGCGCGAGCCAGTCTTGACATGGGAGACGAGGGAGCCGTAGGCTGTGACGGCCGCGACAGGGACGCCAGCGGCTGTGAGTGGTGAAAGGCCGGATGGGATTGCGGCGATGATCTTGTCGGGTGCGGCGATGTACTCGGCTAGGCCGCCTGCAGCCACTGCGTTGGTACTGGCAGCGCCGAAGACGAGCTGGCCTGGTTTGAGGGTCGAGCCACTCGCTGCGGTGATGATACGGCCGGCAAAGTCGAAGCCAGGAGTTGCAGGCTTCTTGACCGCCAGCGTGCCTATGAAAGCTTCGGCGGGTTTGTAGTCGACTGGGTTCAGACCAACAGCGAGGACCTGGACGAGATGTTTGTCCAGTTTTGGCGTGGGCAAGGAATGCGAAGTGTGCAGACTGAGATGCTTCTCGATTCCACCTTTGGCTGAGGCGTACTTCCAGATGCGCATGGTGGATGGAAGTGATTCTTCGGTCATGGTGGTGGTTTCAAGTGTTTTCTGCGGTCGAGTCGATGTCTTCCCGAATCTGTCCCTTGTTGGGGAGCTGTTCTTTATATATATATATCTTCGACACGGAAGGCCACGATGCCACTCGAGAGGCAGTGACGCGGATGTCCATGAGTATGGTGGTACGTGATACAACGATAGAGACCTGAATGTCGGTGGGAATCTCAAACTTCGACCGATGGAATCGCGGCAGGAGCGAACGAGGGTTAGCGCGGTGAGTGAGATACGACATGAGTCCTAGCGTGTCGATTAGCGGCGAGTTCTGAGCCGCTTGGATCTACGGAGATAGATGGCCGGATCGTATCTCTCATCTTCTTCCAGGCACAGTGTCTGCACGTCAACGTTGAACTCGCAAGACGCTGCCTTCGTTCTCAAATCTGGTGGCATCGAGATTGGATCTCTGGCGCTAGAGCAGATGTACTTCATGACAACGGTTGCTTCCTCTCCTTCCGTGGGAGGAGACGGCAGAAGCTGAAGACACATGAGAAGAGGGGAAGAGACCGTTTGCTAGACGTCAGTCGTTGATACAGGTATCTGATAGTACCGAAACTGACCAAGGAGATCCCTCATGCGATCATGTGCTCACCACACAGAGGTCCACGCTTGCATCCACCAGAAAGAGTCGACGTTCGCTCCACCTTGTTCTCCCAGCCATCATTACCTTATCGTCGTATGCTTCGCTAACATGCTTCCGTATCTCGCTCCCTTCGTCATGAGATCGTTAATGATGTGTGTCCCAGGAACCGGACCTTGTACTTGCGCCTCGGAGGTAAGTCCTTCCCATGGACTGGACAGTGGCAGCGATGGGCGACGTTGCGGTCGTTGTCATGGGCCTGGCACGCCGCTCAGGATCGGCCAAAGTCTGGCGTCGTGGTGGATGTTGAGGACGGAGCACGCAGCTTCGGGGGCGGCCTCGGGACAGGGCTCGGTGGTGGCGGTGGTGGGCATGGTGGTTGGGAATGCGGCGTGTCTGCTCGGGCGGCATTGCTGCCTTTTTGGAGCAATGAGAGGGCTAACATCATGATTGGATCGGATTTGGTGGTGAATGCCATTGTGGAATCCATCGTTGATTCCGCGTCGTGGGAGTAGCTGGAGATCTTCGAGGCAATGCCGAGCAGCAGTGACAAGTGGAACGGTCAGGCCGTCGACGCAGATTCTGAAGCGAGTGTGTGAACGCAGAGCGGTACAAGCGAAGGTGTGAAGGCGTGAAAGGCGAGATTCAAACGAGTGTGGCCTGCGAAAAAGCTGGGATCGTCCAGCAACGATCGGACTTGGACCATCTTATCTTTCTGGGTGAAGGTCAACGTCACACAGTTCCCCCGCGACAGGCTGTGTCCAAGTGTTTGCCTCGTGCTATAAAGCACGCAAACACAAAGCAACACCCGCGGGAGATCCTGGCTAGCTTGCTTGCTGTTTTCGGTCCGCGAAGTCGATGTCTGCGGATTAGTGGTGGCGGAAGCCCGGCAACAACTTTTGCAACACGGCGAGATGTAGAACCGGTAGTCGGGACACCTGTGACCATGCGCTGACGAGCAGCTGGCATGTGCTGTGGAGCCATGAATGCCTGTCCCGGATGCTTGTTGGGGACACCACCTACGGCTTGTCGCTCGATGCAGTCTTGACGTCTCCGTTGATGATACACCTGAGGCGGTACGACGTGTTATCCCTCGAAGCCACGCTGCTGTGTTCAAAATCGTGCAGCTCACATCGCCGCGTCCTCACCTGGGCAGCTGTGCGAACTCCCAAGGCCTTGCGTCGGGCACGGGTGGCATGTCCGGCTGATCAGTTCGCCCACGCTTCACGTCCGTGAGCCAGAGAGCATCTGCATTGCTTTGCATAAGCGCCTGGCGAGTGTTGGTGTGATCTAGGGCATTTTGAAGCACGAGCAGTGCCTCGTCAAACATCTCGGGTGACGTCTGCAAGAAATGTACGATTCTCGTCATTGTCGACTCCAAAGCTTCGCGGATCATCCGACTGGATGTGTCGCCGTGGTGAGAATGCGAGAGATGGGAGGACGGCTTATCGTGACGCTGGATAATGTCGAGGGATGCAGTGGCGCTCTTCTGCTTAGGTAGACCTTTCTTCGTTGTAGCTTGCCACAGCTCCATCAGTCTCGGCCAGACTTGATCGATACGACTTCGCATAAAATCTCCGGCATATTCACATAGTACTCCGATAACATCGATAGCAGATGCCACAGCAAACGGCTCCTCGTCATCCAGACGGGCTACGATCTCAGGCCACAGGGTGTTGATCAGCGGCAGAAACGAATTCTCATGGCGAGCTATCGCGGGCACTGTGACCTTGATCAGAGACAGCAGTGACGTCCTCAGCGATGGCGATGCTGAAGGTAGAAAATGCTGCGTGAGCTCTGTGATCTTGAAGAGGAGATTGTAAGTCTTCGGAGCTGGTGGAGGAAGGTCCGCCTCGTCATGCGGTTCGAGCAATGCATCCTCCTCTTTCTCCGCATCTGCCTCTGCATCTTCGGGATTGTCTTCGACAACCTTCCAAGGTCGCTGCGGGTGCGACTCCAGTGGCTCGGCTGAAGGCAGATCCTCGTCTTCATTTGCATCCCCTCGCAAGAGCGCGACCAGGCCTTCCATCGTTATCGGCTGCCATCCGTCTGTCTCCACTGTTTCTGGTCCCTTGCTCTGATCATATGTGATCGCAAGTTGTGGGGCCTTAGCACCTTCTTCTGCCATAGCACTGAGCACCTTGAAAAGCAATTCCACAAGTAGTGGGTATCCGTGGTAATCCTCCAAAGCCGCAAACATGCTTTCTACTGTGTCTTCCAAGTACGGCAGGAGACCTTGACCTGCCAAGCGAACCATCATCAGCAAGACCTGCGGCGCTTGCGACGAGACATCGAACGCATTTAGCTTCAAAGCCACAGCATTGGTGAGGTAGTCGACGTTTTCCACGATTAAGTCTCTTGTAGATGCATAGCCACAAGCTGATGTGAAGGCATCAAGCGTCGATATGCTGTCACGCTGCAGCTGGTCGTCTGGAGTCGCAAGCGTGTGCAGGACCGGGTAAAGGGCGTCCACCAGCTCGTATCGGAAGTCCTGACCTGCAGTCTGAGCGCGAAGTGCTAAGCCTCGAAGTGCCAACGATAAAAGTCTCGGGTCCTGCGGCTGGTCTGAAGACTCCGCCAAGGTGGACAGCGAGAAGGCGTAGAGCTCCTCCAGAGACTCACCGTAGGCCGCTGGTCCCTCTTCCTCGAATTGAAGGAAATTGTCTGGAGCATGTGCCTCTTTCACGGCCACTTCTGTACTCAATAGCAGAAGCCACAGGTTAGCTATCTGCATGTTGCCAACTGAGTAGCGCAGATCTTTGGTGACTTCCGTGACAAGGCTCGACGATGCACTGTATTTCGCAACCACTCTCATAATGCTATCCAGACGGTTGAGATTAGTTTCCTGGCCTCTGTACCTGGCCAGCTGAGAAGCGAAGCTGAAGTCCTTCGTCTGCACTTTCAGCACATCCAAACCCACGGCCTGTATTGGTGATGCTGGCATGGCAAGTTCTTGTTTCCTGGACTGGGGTGCGATGGTAAGCGCGGCACTATCACGTAGTGCGAGCATCAAAGTGCGGTCGATCGTGGTCATGTCTGCCTCGACCTCGACGAGCAGAGTGTACATAGTGGTGATGTATGAGGTTGTAGCTGCTTTGATGTCTTCGTCATGGCCTTGCATGACCAATGCAAGTTTCCGAAGCCGTTCGTAAAGCATACTTTGGAGCAGCCCAACGATAGATCGATCACTACGTAGCGATGAGCGGAGATCAGATGTGATTGCACTGTCTTCCCAGCCTGAGGCCATTGTGACAAGCGCATCGAGAGCAAGCTCAGAGCAGTTTTCGAGTGTTCGTCGACAGTGGCGAAGGAGAACTGTGCATAGCTGTGCCAAAGACTCCTTGACATCGTCTCGGGCGTGCGATTTGAGGCGTAAGATGTTGCTGATGGCTGGCTTGATCTGGGTGGCGGCGGCATCTTTCCACTGTGCACTCGTGACTGTCGCTTCTCGTGAGCTGGCAGCCAAGCTGTCCTCACTGGATAGACGTTTCTCATCACCCACTGTATTCTTCAACAAGACCCCGAGAACACCCAAGCAGTCAATGAGAGTTTTGTGATTGCGTCTCTGTTTAGTCTGTGGTGTCAAGATCTTCGTCAGTCGAGACACAAGACCTGGCAAGAAGTTGGCCTGTGCCTCCGCATCGATCACATCGGCAACGAGTGCTTTCAGTGCTGCACTTCCAGCAACTTGAGGCTCCATTGACTTTCCGTCTTGAACGCCATCTAGAAGCACGGAGATAGTCTGTCCCAGCTGAGGAAAGGCTAAATCGTCTGTCAAGGTCTTCCTACCCTCATTGCTCTTCGCCAGCCCGGTGAAAACATGATACAAGCACCAGAAGCTCGATGTTTGCAGCTCATCTGTGGTCTCGGAGAACGAAAGACCTTTGGGTGACTTGTCTCCGAGATTTGAGCACAAGATCACCAGTTGCGCCGCTAGCTGGGGAGGTATGTCTTGTTTCCAGCCCTTGTCGACAAGTGTGGCGATGCACTGAAGGGATATCTCTAGGCAGCGTATTGAGAGTGTCTTTGACTCTCGGAGCAGCTGCGCGATCGGGAAGAAGACATATTCGGCCAACTTTGCGTCGAATACGTTGCCTTGAGAAGACGTCGCTGAGGTGACCGTATGCTCGAGTTTTTCTAGCCGATCGACGAGAGTCTTCTGGTCAGTCCGGCCGCTTTTGTACGATGCAGCTGCTTGCGCGAGCGCTACGCAGTCCTGCTTCAGCCTTTGGAAGAGCTCATTCTTGCCTTCCATGGCATTTCAGAGAGTAACGGTATTGGATGTGCGACCATCGCGTGTTGTCGTTCAAGGGTATGCCTGTTCGCCGCTTGTTGGTCGTTGGAAAGGAAAGAAGAAGTTCGACTTGGGATTACCTAATCACAAGTCCACTACTTCACCTTCAACTTCGACACACGACGTCACGACACGTTCCATACCATGCTATGATTCCACGGACCATCGGCCTCCACTCACGCTCACTCAGACCCAGTCATGTGTTCGAAGGACCCGCTACGTGGCCATGGTCCAATGGCGGCGGCGCAGCACCGGCCCTGGAGCAAAGACGGGGCCTGAAGAAGCCAAAGCAAGCACCACTGCTGAGGCAGAAGGCTGGGAAAAATAATTGGTCGAGGGTTACGCCTGAGGAGATCAAGAGGATAAAAGAATATGAAGCACGGCGGTCTGAAGACGCAGACAATCGCCAGCGACAGCACAATGTCGGGATCAAAGAAGTGCTCGAACGAGCTCAACTATACGGGAAGCTGCGCGCCTCTCCCAGTGCCATCATGGACTTCTTGGTTGAATTTGAAGATCTCATGGAAGCATCACTCAAATCAAGAGCAGGAGGTAGGGCTGCTCGGACCACCGTCCCGGTCGAGGAATATCGTAGCTTGCGCGATAAATATGGCCTCGACGACAACTTTGATATCGTTTGGGGTGCTGTCAGCGCGCTTCTACGGAACGATGAGAAGTTGAGGAGACAAGGCAAGCTCTTGCTATTCGCCGCGTCTGACGCTGGCAGCTGGGAGGCTACCCTGCGGATCATGAACCATGCGTTCGTCCAAGCCCTGGATCGGCCATCAGTGTTGGACAGTTCGGAACTGGCCGGTCCACGTCAGCGTCTGTTCGAGCTCGCAAAAATGGGCAGTCAGACCGACTTTCGCATTTTGACACTTGCAGGGTTGATTGCTAAGTCACAGGGCCAATCCGACCGCGCTATTGCTTTCTGGGACGATGCACTTGTGGGCGCCGAGGCATGGGCGGAAGAACATGGCAGTGAGAGCGCCCCCGAGCGCGACAGCAATATGCCGCACCTCTTTTCACCCTGGATAGAGTTGGCAGCGGAGCATCTTGACCGGCGAAACTTTCGTGAGGCGGAACAGGCCATCAAGATCGGCTGCCGTCTCGACGACCCGACGTCGCATTTCAACGCAGCTCTGTCGCATCGCAGAGAGAACGCGCAGAACATCAACGTCGCCACGAGTGACTGGTTGTTTCACATGACCAAAGCGGCTTCTTCCGGCCACGTGAAAGCAATGCATGATCTCGCAAACTACTACATCACCAACTATTGGCCTTATCTGGAAGACGAAGTGCCAGACCACCTCAAGCCGACGCCTTTCGATCAATATCCGCCGCCGTTCGACTTCGGGAAGACCACCGTGAAGAACGCACGGGACGGCATCCGATCGGCTCTGGGATACGTTGCTACGACCTCGACGGAGTCTAAGGATAGTGTTTTCCACACGGCAGCATTCCCGCAAACGGTCGAAGGAAGACTGCAGATGGCATTGCAGTGGTTCGAGGTCGCTATGGCTTCACACTACGCGCCCTCATTCCTCCTGGCAGCAAGAGTATATCTTACAAAGGAGATCGACTCTGACCTCGCGGTCCCAGAAGAGGCCGTGAAACTTCGCGAAGAACGATACATCTCATCATCCAAAGTCGACTACGACGCAGGCAAGAGGAAACAGCCGCCCCCCGTCCACAAAGTCAAGAATCCAATATACAACCCGGCCAAAGCCAAGAAACTCATCCGCGAGATCTTCTACGCCGACCAAGCTGTCAAACTGCGCAAGGCCTGTTTCGACAATCGTCGCAAAACTGTGAGAGTGAGGGACGAGCCAGACGATTTCAAAGAGGTACGTCAGAAGCTTCGATACAACGTGGACAAGTGGTTCCGGTCCGACTTTTCCCACTTGTTCATGAACAGTTCGGAGGGGCTCTTGTTCGACTCCTCCAATGATATCAATGATCTGTTGAAGGAGGCGGAAGACGAGTGTGAACAGCAGGGTTGGGACCTTTATTCCGAGGAAGACGGAGGGCTACTGTATCGACATGGCATGCGTAAACGATGAACGGGCTATGGAATTGTTGTCCTGTCGTACTCCATATTTGACCGTGAAAGGAGGGGGGGTCGGCCAATCATCATGTTGGCGATGGGACCTTCAGACGAACGGCAACCAACGGCGACCTTGCACGCCGGACATTGCCCTTGCCACGATGGCGAAGCAAAACAAGTGAGGTTGTGCTACAACGTTCACACCACGCGAGCTGGATCACATTCAAGATCGATCCGCGGCTGCCGGGTTATGCCATGTGACTCGAATGACAACATTCCCGCTTCACAACGATCGATACGATCGACTGCAGACCGTTTGCGGCCGCAGCGACCGCGACGAATGACTGAGGTCTTGACAGTTCCGATTGCTGGAACTTCGTTCCGCTATACTTTGGACAGCGATAAGGAAGCAACCCAGTGCCGCAGAAGGATCATCGACCTATTCTACCTCGTGGGAAGGCTGGACGGAGAGTTTGAGATCCTGAACTCTGGTTGCGTTGTGTATAAGCCGGTGGCTATGCCTACATGTACAGTATTCAAGAACAGGGCCACCTGAACCCTGAAGCTTTGCCCACATCTCCTGAACCAGTTCAGCACCGGATAGAAATGGAACCGAGTCAAGAGTCCATCTTCCTCATCCCACTACGCTCCAACTTCGAGCTGATATTTGTCCCACGTACCCGGACAGTGTCATCGTGAACAACAAATCATGCGTGGCCTCCTGTCTGCTTTGCGTGCTTTCTCTGCAACCCTAACGTGCTGATCATGATCATGTGTTGTCAGCACAGCGCAGGAACAACCACGGCAGCCGGCTAGTAGGGCTCCGGTGTGAGACACTCATTTTGTCTAAGATGAATGGAAAGCACGACATAAGGACTTGAGAATGCTGGCGCCACAGGAGAAGCATCAGCCTTGCTCGACGTTGAGAACGAAGATGTAGCTAGAGAGTCATGCCTTTGCGGCGGTCTTTGCACTACTGCGACGCACGTGGGAGCTGTTGCACGCAGCACGCAACAGGTGATGTGCCTCGGTAGATTTCCGTCAGCATTTGCGCGACGGCATGTTCCAAATGCCTCGTGCCAGAAGACGGCGATCGAGTGCACACCACGATGCACATGTTCCTGATGTACCTGCTGCCAGACCAGGATAACGCTGTACAGCATCGTTAAATTTCGGCTCATGACACAACTCTGTTGGAAAACGTCGATCCGGCCTCTTCCTCTTCTCCCCGAAACTTTCCCTGTGTGCCTGAATCGACACGCCATCGGCATCGGGCAGCATCGCAACACGTACGCAATCATCCATAGTCGCAGTAATATCACTCAAATGAACATCATCTTGTCGGCCAAATCCGCAAGCCCGCGGGTAAACGTCGTGATCTGATCTTGGTCGAGGACGGTGAGCCGGAGCTTCTGCGGAGGATTTGTTGGATTGGAACGACTGCAAGACTGTCGATCGGATCAGCAGCACGTGGCTTCCTTTGCCGGTGGAGGAGGAGTGGAGATGTGGTTGTTTGGGCTCTTGGCTCGATGGATGGCCGGTCAGTGTGATGGGGTGGTCACGTCGATAGTTGCATCGGCACATTTTTGGAGGAAGTACGGATGGGACGTATTGCTATGTAGAGAATGTTCTATGCAGTGGGGTGGGACGCTGTGCAGGATTACTGTCATCGTGCAGCGGTTTGGTACGATGCTGGATGTGAGACTGATCGCAATGTACCTCATGGTGCAGATGAAGGCGTTGCTTGGTCGCAACATCGAGATACGGCCATCAGTCCAGCAGTATTGCTTTTGCACATTGTAGATAGGACCTCCAATATCCGTGCTGCACCCGGTGGACCACATGCATTGGACAGTTCCTTCAGGAACAGCATCACGCAAGGAAGGATCTGATCGTCTGCTGTCGTCGACCACGCGCAGATGTGCTTTTTCTGATAAGAGCAGAATCGTCAGATTGACGATCGTTCAACACCACGTTCTGTTGACCTTCTTCACATCTTGCCCTGGCAGGTTGTAACGGTGACGGACATGGCGTTATTCTTCATCCTTGTACCTGGAGATTCGAGGACAAAACTAAATCCTTCATCCCGCCATCGCCCGTCAGTGGTTCTTAGACCGACGTGGAGGGCTTTCAATTGCATGCCGCATGCAGCGGAACATCATCTTGGAACATCATCACATGAATTCGAGAGAGACACTGGAATGGACGCTGACCTGAACCACCAGGTGCACGCGATCCTCGGCAGTCACGGCAGTTCTGCTGCTGTGCCCTCAAACGGCCTCACCACAGCAGGAGGTCTCGCCGTAGTGAGAGGAGTTCGCGTTTTCCTTCCACAGCTATACATGCAACTAACCATGCGAGCGAGGCAGGGGTGAGCAATCGGGCCGCCAGCTACTGCATGAGGCGCGCAGTAGCGATGGTGCTAACGACGAGGCAAAACTCGTGAGAGCCGGCATGGCATTTCTCTGGAAGATGCCGAACGACAATCAATCTGGAATTGACAAGTTTACCACGAGATGCCACAAGATGAAGATGTTGGAGAAATCTCTCGGAAAGCAAGACACCTTCTCCGCGCACGCCATACCGTCGTGCTACCTATTAGAGAGCAGCGGGAGGACCGTCGGAAGTCAAAGGTGAGAGCGAAGGAGAACCTACACGGCCATGTGCCCCTTGGTAGGCTAGATGAAGGACACCAATGGGGTCGATCATGGCTTCTCGCTACTGTCGCCACGAGTCCGGTAGAGTTTGACGCTGCTGAGAAGCTTCCGATGGGGCTTTTAACGTGTCATGGCATTGGGCAGAAATGATCCCGACGCTCGCGTGGCTTTTCGAGCTCCTGCAGTGGAACGTCCGGCTTTTTGGCCTCGCTGTCGGTACTCGAGCTGTTTCGTGCTACCGGTTCTGCTGTGGCTGCCGTGAAACCCCATCCTGCCCGCTCATGCTCGAGCACAGGATGACAGCGGTGCGGGGAGTTTCAACCCATGTCCCGGACGCCCACTGGCAGCAGGACGAACAACCAAGAGAGCCCGGCGAATCAAAGAATGTTGGAGCCGTCTTCACGGTACGCACGGCCGAGTCTGACCCTAGGCTATCGTAGACTTATCCACCTGCCGCTAGGCCACGCGATTCATCAATCGCTTGCAGCTAGTCAGCCTGACGTCCGAGCAGGCATGCACGGTTCCTGCTTTGCATACCCTTGCGCACTGTTCGCATCGCCGGGGGCACGCCGCCTTGTGATCTGGCGGCGGCGAGGTGGCTTTCTCGACCCTGGCACGGTTGAATGCTCCACCTCAATGTTACTTGTAGCGGGCCTTTACCCAGCATGTGCGCGAAACGCACGAGGTCAGTCAGGGTTGACCACTTCGTCTTGTCTAATTTAGAATTTGAAACTACAACATCTTACCCACTACTGCACTTCTGGTTCATGATCCGGGTCCGGCTCTTCATATGTACGCTGATCGGTCACTCGCGCGTCCGGACGTTCAGCGCAATCGCCAACACGCCGCCGACGACCAGCAGATCCGTCTCGACAACTTGATTGCTGTTGGTTTGGTGCCCCCAGATGAGCGACAGAACGTGAAGAGGAAGAGGAACAAGAACGTGGTGTTTCAAGAATCCAGTACGATCCTTCGTGCGAGACAGCTTGCTGAGCTGTAGCTGTCCATACCGCCAGACCTGCTGACGAAAGTGGCATCGTCTTAGATACCGGGCAGCGACAGGTGTCTCAGACACGGCAGGCGGAAGAGCACCTCCCCTCCAGGATAGGTCGCCAGCCCACGTCCGCCGCTGCCGACAGAGGTCAGCTGCCGCAACGACCCGGCCACAGCAGGTTGTCGTCGTTGGCGCAGCTTAAGGAGCACCGGAACAGCATGTTCGCTTCCAAGCATCGCGAATCACGGCGCGAGAGGACGTTTATTGGTAGCGTCTGCGCTGCTTGCGAGGAACCCCTGGAGCATACCCTTCGAAACGAGCGGATCCTTCAGTTGTCCTGCGGCCATGTTGCGCATGAGGCCTGCTTCTACGAGTATATCAAAGAGTTCGAAGCTCAGAGCTGCCCAACATGCGATGCACCGCTGGGCGTGGACACAAGCAGAGGAGGAGGCATCGACTTTGGAGAGTTGAACAAGGTGATTCGATCAGCCCAGACTCCTGATCATGGCGAGAGGCGCATGGAACCTTCCAATACTCCAACACCATGGGACGCGGAGTCCAGTCGGCAAGGAACAATAGCGAACCAGAGTAGTCCACGCAGACCGCAGCGCCAGACTCGAGAACACTTGCTTCCTAAACACACTCGAAACAACGCCTACCGGTACAACACCGCTCACGGACGGAACGAGAGCGGTGACACTGGTATGGTGTCGTCTGCGGACTACGCAGACACGCACAACACCTCCGGCCGACGACACGACTATGATGTGCAGTCAATGGAGACTACGCTGAGCAGCCCAAAACACCATACCAGGAATCCAATACCTGCACCGACAGTCACTGTCCGCAGCGAATTCCCTACCCTGAGCAAGTCGCGACAACAACAAAGCTTGACCTGCCTGATTACCGTGGAGGTCATTGACGGTAAATGGCAGCCCAATCCGGAAGATCTACGAAGCCCACCGCCAGTGCCTGCCACGATACCAGAGGAGCCTTATGAACATCACTACGAGCAGCCCAAGCCTCAATCCAAACCACGTTCCCGACCCGAGCCCCCACGGCAGGTGGACAGTGTTCACGACAATCGTGAGACGCTGGAGCACGTGAAGCAGGAGTTGTACTCGCGATGTGAGAACTGGCATGGACTGGATTTTGAAAGATTCGGCAGGCTTATACTTCATGCTACAATCCGTGTCGGGAAGGACAGACAGGCGTGGCAGGAGCTGGAGTGCTATCTCTTCACGGAGATGCTGATTTGCGTGAAGGCGAAGAAGATCTCGCCAACTGCTAGCCAGCAGTGGGAAGGACCAGAGGGCCCGAAGCAGAAGTCAAAAGTGACGTTGAAGGGTTCGATCTTGATCAAGAAGCATTTGAAGCATGTTGAGGTCATCCCAGGTGAGTTTTATTGCCGGCTTGAAGACGATGACTATACTGACGACAGTCTCCAGAGTCTGAAGTCCTCACCCTCAGCCTTTCCGTGGCCGAGCTACCACACTTCCATCTGCAGTTCATGGAGCACTCCCAGCTCGAGATGTGGCGGAAGGCCCTGCTCAACCTGAACAACCCAGACATGCCTGAGCCACAGGTCGCAGATTACGACCAAGATACCTCTGGTACCGAAGAGGACGAATATGCTACGAGGTCTTCCAAAGCAGATCGGAGAGTGTCGTCGATACACTCTTCGTCGTATGGTGCGAATCGCTCGCAAGTAACAGCGCCGACTGAATACACCAACTCTCGAGCTGGAACGCAGGACATGCGGTTTGGAAGCCCGTCGATCCATGTCCCGCTGGACATTGTGGTCGTCATACCTGTGACATCTTCCATGCAAGGGCTGAAGCTCAACGTCTTGCGAGACTCACTTCGCTTTATGGTCTCCTCACTAGGCGAGCGAGATCGCATGGGCTTGGTCACCTTTGGCTCTGGCGGTGGCGGAGTGCCTCTTGTCGGCATGACTACTAAGAACTGGGGCGGCTGGTCAAAGATTCTGGAGTCGATCAGGCCAACAGGCCAAAAGAGCATCCGCGCAGACGTCGTCGACGGCGCAAACGTCGCTGTGGATCTGCTCATGCAGCGCAAGTCAACTAACCCGCTGTCCACCATCATCTTGATCAGCGACTCAGCTACCTCTGACCTGGAAAGCGTGGACTTCGTGGTCTCGAGAGCCGAAGCGGCTAAGATTTCGATACACTCCTTCGGTCTCGGACTAACGCACAAGCCTGATACCATGGTCGAGCTGTCGACTCGGACAAAGGCCAGCTATACATTCGTCAAGGACTGGATGATGCTGCGCGAGTGTTTGGCTGGCTGCATCGGCGCGATGCAGAGCACATCGCATCAGAACGTTAAGCTCAAGCTCCGGCTTCCTGAAGGCTCGCCAGCGAAGTTCTTGAAGATCAGCGGTGCCCTCCAAGTAACCAAGAGAGCGACCGGAAGGGACGCAGAGGCTTCGCTTGGTGACCTGCGCTTTGGCGATAAGCGTGACATACTGGTCCAACTTGCCATCGCTCCAGACACCTCAACTCCAGACTCCCTTCCATCCGACCCGTGGGAGAACATCATCTCCGGCCTCGAAGCTCTGGGAGGACCAATCGACAACGACGACAGCAGAGCCATGTCCGTTGAAGAACTTCCATTGATCCAAGCAGATCTCAGCTGGGGTGACATCCTTCGCGAAGGCAACCTCGCCCAACTGCCTCGCCCTTCACTCCTCGCCATCACCATGCTGCCTTCACCCAGCAAGAAAGCCCAAAACGCCCGCCCAGGCACCCCTCCCATCCCACCTCACCCTCACATCGTCCAACGACGAATGGAACTCCTCACCTCCGACATGCTCACGCGAGCCCTCACCCTCGTCAGCAAGGGCCAACCCGAACGCGCCCACCACCTCCTCGCCGAGACCCGCTCCATCCTCCGCGGCCTAAACAAAGGCGGTCTTCCACCTCTCCCCCCACCACCCAACAGCGCCCTCCCTCCAACCCCCAAAAACAACGACCTCAAAAACACACCCAACGAAGCCCACGTCCCCCTCCCCGAACCCAGACGCACGCCTTCGCCCCCGCGAACAGAAGCCGTAAACCCTTTCACCCCCGCCGCAGGCATCGACACCATCACCATGACAGCGCTCGACGCAGAACTCGAAGCTAGTCTGGAATGGATCTCGCACCCGGCCGTCTTCGCACGGGACTCGCGAAAAGCGGTGCTCCAAGCCATCGGCGTCATCAGCTCGCAGCGAGCGTACACGTTCCGCACGCCGGCTGAATCGCTCTGGGCGGCGCGGGTACCGGGGATCAAACGCCTATCTGAAAGGAATTCCGACTGGCGGGAGGCGGGGGATGAGAGTTTGAGAGAGGAGTGATGACTACCACCAGTATCAATATTCGGCAGCTGATGCGAGGACTTAACGACGACTACGATCTACACCACCGCCCTATGGAGTTTTCTTTGGCTATTTTCTGGAGATTTTCTGTGGATCTTGTGGATATGTATGATGAAGTGTACATACACATTCTTGTGGCCGGCATTGGCACGATGTATTATTACGAATATTGGCGGACGACGACTTATTCAAAACAGCTAGCTTCTATGTGTTGAAGGGAGCACTTGTTCATAGAGATGGAAATGTCGATAGCCAGCTGAATGTCGATATTTCTCAGCACTTTGATACCGGCTTCTTGTTGTTACAATACTGCTTCAGTGCACGCTCGCTCATCGTATGAGCGGTATCCCAGTCCCCGTCCGCTTCCGATACAACTCATAGTCCTCCCCAAAGAAATCCACCAGCGTGATCTCCTCCGCTATCCATTCCGTTAGCACTCTTCGTTCCACATCAACGCCACTCAAGCCAACTCACCTCTAATCCTCTTCCAAAAAAACATCCACAGCGTCATCAAATAACCCACCACACAAACCTTATTCCCAACCAACACTTGCGTCCCAAACGCCCACCAGAAGAACCCAAAGTAGCTCGGATGCCGTAACCACCGATACACCCCCTCTGTAACGAGCACATGCCCTTCCTCCTTGGTTTTGGCGGGGGTGTGGTTGAAATTCGTACCCGCTTGCGCCATCGCCAGCGTCCGGACGCTCTGTCCTAGAGCCACGAGGCCGACGCCTAAAGCGATCGTGTAGGCGTTGACGAAGGATTGCTGATACCATGGTATGAACGCCGAGGCAATGATTTCGACGGTAGCGAGGGTGTGCGCGACGTTGTACGCCACCCCATTACTCCAGAGCAGGAAACTCGATGCTCGCGCTTGGGGGGCGTTGAAGCGCGCTGTTGTCCAGAATTCGAGGAAGTGGAAGAGACTCAGGCAGGCGAAGAAGGCTGGTAAGCGCCATAGCGTGCTCCTGGCGAAAAGAAGGTAGGCCGTGTTTAGAGTGCAGGCGGCGAGCGTGAGGCCTAGGGTGAAGGACTGCAGGGCGATGGAGGAGAGGGAGCGGCGGCCATGGGGGAGCAGGGAGGGGTCGAAGGGAAGGGCGCGGCGTTGGAAGGACGGGCGGGACCAGTCGAATCCATCTTCGTTGGGTTGACGAGTTGTGCCGGGGATGTGGTTTGAAGCTTGGAGTCCCTCTGAAGACGTTTGTGCTGTTGTAGGCAGGTGGCCATTGCCGTTGCCGTTGGCGGAGGAGGAGACAGATTTTCGCGCCATGGTTTCCAGGTCCTAGAGCCTTGCGATGTGGTTGTTCTTATGTTTCTTCATCTCACGTCTGCCTGGAGTCAACATTTGAAACGTGAAGTTCAAAGTAGGTGCACCAAATAAAGCGAACGTCATTCCTTTGGCCGCTTCTGCAGCAACAATATGAAGCCCGGAACAAGCCGAACGACGAGACGTAACGACACGAAAATGCTGGAAATGTCCCATCCTATTATTTAGTAGGCAGTAGTCTTGAGATACCGAGTTCATTGACTGTTCAAGAACCACGAACGTAGTGAAGTCAAGAGTGGGAGCAGCTCGGTCAATATACGGAGATCGCTATCATCGACACATGTAGATCTATCTCTAAAGCACCTACGTCGGCCGTAACAAAGGATGCGCCTCGGTATTGAACACCCACTCGTCTAGACTAACAACATCCGGCTCGCTAAAGACCAGATAGAAGTACTTCAGGGTCTCCGCCGTCCAGAAACTCTCCATACTATCATACAGTCTCGGCTGCTCTTCAGTCACATCCTCCACTGAAGCATATGCAATGTCTGTTTTCGTGGCAGTGCTGATGGCTTGAAACATCCGCCACGCTCGGTCTTGTAGCGTTCGGTCGCCGGTGATGCGGTATAGGATAAAGATAGATTCGATCGCCTCGGGTCGGAGGCTGTAGCGAGCGTCGGGGATGTCGACGACGCCGGGTGGAAGGTTGCGCTGCATGATGACGCGCTGCGCGGATTCGGGCGATTGGTTGGAGAGATCGCTCTTCTGGATGTGTTCGGAGACGGCGGCGTGCCATGAGGCCTCACTCCATGTGCAATTGTCGTGAGAGTCGCCGGTGCAGGGTATAGCCTTGAAGATCTCCGGCATAACGCCTGAGGGCATGCTTTCGTAGGCCCACAGACATCCGTCAACCAACTGGCGAGCGGTCGAGATCTCGTCCGGCTGCTGGAAGACTTTGGCTGCGAGAGCGACCATTCCACCGGCGAAACAGCTGAGATGCTGGCCTTCTGGGACCAGCTCGACGTTATGCGCAGAGTGTCTTCGGATGGAACCTGCAATCAGCATCTGATCGTTGTTCGGGTTCAGCGGCTGGAAGAATATGTGCTCCTTCGCAGACTCAAGAGCGGTCGTGTACATGTCTCTGTACTGGTCATTTCTGCCTCCCAGCATCAGGTGCTGCTTCGGAAAGTATTCATACAAACTGTCCGACATGCCTCCAAGGGTGAATGTGGTGCCCTTGTGGAAGTCCTGCGTCTTAGCATTGAGCATGACCGGCCAGAGTCCGGGGATCTTCGTATCGTTCTGTTGTGCCTGCAAGGTGTCCGTGATTCGGGCAATGGCATCATACCATTTAGGGTCGCCAGTGAGTTGTGATAGCCGTGTGAACTCAAGAGTCATCGAGCCAATCTCTGCCAGCAAAGCGAATCGGTCTGCTTCTTGCTCCACGCCCTCTGCGCCATTCTTCCACTTCCATCTTGTCACTGGCATCCTGTTAGGGGTGTCGAAAGCTTTGTACAGCATCTCGCCTAGCTCCACCGCCTTGTCCAGCAATATCGTACTTCGCTGCCCGCTGACATCGTATGCACTCAGCAGCCCTCCAAGATATCGAATCGTCGTCTCGAACACATTGAGCGTTTCCAGCTCGTTCGAGGTGAAATCAATCGTCTTGACCTCTGACACCGCCATATCAAAGTCCTTCTTCAGCCCCATGATCCACAATGTGTCCAGCGAGTCGACCAAAGTGGCCCCCCAGCCTCCGAAGCCATTACTGGCCAGTCCGGACATAGGAGCAACCTCATCTTGCAACCACGCATGCTTCTTGTACCCTTCCCATGAATGTACAAATGCCTCCTTTACGGCTGCCAGACGTGACTGCCGTTCCTGCTTCTCCTCCTTCGTCTCGATCGTAAAGTGTGCTTGTATCCGCGGAATGCTAGCCAGCGGACCTGAAGGGAGTGTGGTGAAGTTCTCCACGGGGTGCCGTTGAGGGACGTTCTTCCATCTGAACCTGGGCATGAACAGGCTGTACCATGGCGGTGAGACAGTGGTCAAAGTAGGAGATCTCCTAGTTGGCTGTGTGAGTAAATGAGTGGCAGTAGCGCATGCTACTATGGCGAGGATCAACAGGAGGACCCATCGCCGGAGGAGACGCAGCATGCCGAGGGCATGGAGGAGGGTAAGGAGAGACTAGGGGACAATAGGACAGCGCATGGCTTGTAATGAACGACAAGACGGGAAAGGAAACCTCTACCTACCTGGTGAGGCTGTTGATACCATCTGTAAAGGAGTTGGCCAGGATGACGCGGTCCAGCTCGATCTTAGCACGGACGCGGGCCAGAAGGTTGAGCTGTCAATGGCACCGCCTTTGTCTGGTGTCAATATGTCCATGGTGGTGACCACAAGGGCGCCGTTTCGCGCATTGTCTCGTGCATACCGTTGACGACGGCGGAGGCGATGTCGATGTAAGATGAAGAGTGCGACTCATCACGATAAATTGCGTCTTCAGATGGATCGACGTTTAGCGTCCGACGCGCTGCACGTGATGGTGTCTTCTGTTTCCTCTTCCACCTATGCGGACACCTACCGAACTTATTGATAACGTGAGGATGGAGGGATAACAGCATCTGCAGCAAGAACTACAGCGATGGCGGAAGTGTACCCAACCTTGGGCCAATGCGCGGCGGTAGCGACAGCATTGAAAGTGCTCCTGTGGCCCGCGTAGTAAGTCAACCGCCATATACACCACGGAGAACTACAGACCTGACACATTACAGCCACTCCACTGACTTCGAAGTACACCGGAACTGGCTGGGCATCACCCACTCACTCCCGCTCAAGGACTGGTACTACGAGGTAGCCTCACCGCCCCTGTTCTTCATCCCAACTCTAATGAGAACAGAACACCTCAGAATGGACGCTCGACTACCCTCCCTTCTTCGCCTACTTCGAATGGCTGCTCTCGCAAGCTGCTCAGTATGCCGATGCATCCATGCTGCAGGTGAAGAACCTGGGCTACGACAGCTGGCAGACCATCTACTTCCAGCGGGCGACGGTTGTTGCGTCTGAACTGGTGTTGCTTTACGCTCTTTACCTGTATAAAACTGACCCTTCGTCTGAAGAACATCGCTAACGGCATCCAGTTTCGTCAAATCTTCCCCATCATCGTCGAAGAAGCAGTCCCACGCAGCCGCGGTGTCCATCCTGCTGTCACCTGGGTTACTGATCATCGACCACATTCATTTCCAGTACAACGGCTTCCTCTACGGCATTCTCATCCACTCCATCGTCTTTGCACGCTCGGACCCTGGGAAATTAGCTAGCGGCATCGTCTTCGCCGCTTTGCTCTGCTTGAAGCACATCTACCTCTACCTGGCGCCAGCGTACTTTGTCTATCTGCTTCGTGCTTACTGCATTGGACCGCGATCAATTTTCGACATTCGGTTCTTCAACTGCATCAAGCTTGGCTTGGGGCTCGGTGCGGTCTTCGCGCTGGCTTTTGGACCCTTCGCCTACCTTGAGCAGATTTCGCAACTCTTGAGCCGGCTGTTTCCATTCTCGAGAGGACTTTGTCATGCATACTGGGCCCCGAATGTATGGGCGATGTACTCATTCACCGACCGAGTTCTGATTCTTGGTATGGTCTCCTCACCCTATGCTTCGAGGCGAGGACGAACAGCTGATCATGAGCAGTTGCGCCCTACCTCAAACTCCCCCTCAACACCTCCGCAGTCAACAGCGTCACCCGCGGCCTCGTAGGCGACACCTCCTTTGCCGTCCTCCCCAACATAACACCCCGCACGACCTTCATCCTCACCCTCGCCGCTCAAATCGTAAGCCCCCCCTTCCCACCCCACCAAACCCCAACCTAACGCCCTCGCAGCCCGCCCTCCTCAAACTCTTCCTCGCCCCAACCTGGCACACCTTCGTCTCCACCCTCACCCTCTGTGCCTACGGCTCATTCCTCTTCGGCTGGCACGTGCACGAAAAGGCCATCCTGCTCGTCATCATCCCCTTCTCCCTGCTCGCGCTCAAAGACCGTCGGTATCTAGGCGCTTTCCGGCCGTTGGCGGTGGCGGGGCATGTGAGTTTGTTCCCGCTGTTGTTTACGGCGATGGAGTTTCCGGTGAAGGTGGTGTATACGGTTTTCTGGTTGGTGGCGGTGTTGTTGGTTTTTGATCGGGTGGCGCCTGCGTATGTTCCCATCCTCCAGAGAGCCGCCGATGATGAGACTGCAGAAGCTGATGCTATGACAGGTCGGAGAAACCGCGCGTGTTCCTGCTGGATCGATTCTCGTTGCTGTATATTGCGGTGGCGATCCCGTTGATTGCGTATTGCTCGCTGGTGCATCAGATGGTGTTTGGAGCGAAGTATGAGTTCTTGCCGTTGATGTTTATCAGCTCGTACTCGGCGATCGGGGTTTTTGGGAGCTGGGTAGGGTTTTTGGTCGTTTTCTTCACGGAGTGAGCAGCCCTTCGGGGAGAGGCGATCGAAGAGGCGAGGGATGGTATAGAGCGGGAAATGAATTCTTCTGTTCCAATCATGTCTTTCAACTGAAAGTCAGTTTTGGATTGTGGAATCAACTTTGATGTCAGGCCAGTGTCTAAATCAGCGTGAGATGTGGTACTCTTGAAGCTGCTCAAAGAGTGTAAGCATCGCTCATGGAATCGACAGCAGAAGACGAGTTGGTTTCATTGACGATTGCATATCGATGGTGTATTGGGTGCATCTGTGGAAAGTGCAAGGTTATAATATGCTTCTGCGAAGGAAGAGAAACAGAAGTATTGTAATCACACAGACAATATATCGTTGAGTGTGTCGCGCGTTCCTCGCATGCCCAAGGACGGAGTGTTGGGCGACTGCATGAGTTTAGACATGGGAGTGTGGTTTAATATTTGTACTTCTGAGGGTATTGAACACATTATCAACTAATTCTCCAAATCCCGGCGACTCGAACGAGCCCAAATATGTAGTGGTGGCGGTGTTGTATCGTCTTGGTATGGCGGATGAAGGTGCTCGAAGTTTGTGCTGGGCCTTTGAATCGCGAGGAGGCGTGCTGTCGGAGGTCTTGGCCGAATTTAGGGTTTCACTAGTGTCCGTCTCGATGGACTGCGCGAGTGCCAGAGCCAGGCAAGCCGGCCCTTATTGAAGCACACCCCCACAATGTCGACCTCTCTTGAAGATTTGCTTGCTGCCCACCCTCCCACCTCCGTCCTCCTCCACCCCATCCACCACCGTCCTTCCACACCATCGTCAACGACTTCCGTCCATCGATCCGACCATCCAAGAGACCTTCGGCACGCGTTCGACCATTTGTTCCTGCACCACCACCTCCGGCCGCCTGGATAGCCCTCCCTTGCCGGACACGCTCACTCGGAACCGCACAACGCGACGCCAGCCAGCCATCCAGCCTAGCCCAACGTCAGCCAGCGCCATCAACATCAACATCATCAGCCAATTAAACTGACATAAAATCGAACGACAGGATTGATGCATTGAAGATTGTCATATACCGCAAGACACCCATCCGCAAGCCCCGGCTCAAGCTGGGCACGTGCAGAAGATGGTACTTGTCCACACTACAACCTATAGCAAGGAACAAAGCTAACAGCGACAAGGTGCTGTTCAAGCGGAAGCCGTTCGCCCTCATACCGCCTCCAGAGAACATCTCGGACAATGCTGAGGTATACCTCCCCACCTCTGCAGGCTCTGCGCCGACTCTGACACGTGCGGATATAGGTCTTCGTGATGAGGGGCACCGGTGAGGTGTTCACCGACTACGAGAAGTACTTGAAGAGGTGAGGTTGATATACCTGAGGTCCATCTACCTTCTGCTAACCGCTGTCTAGATATGACTTCCTCATCCAGGCAAGTGACTTTCAGCAACGATATTGTTGCCTGATTGCTAACCCCAAGCAGAAGAAGTTTGTCGACGCTGTCAATGGCAAGTCAGGCCTCAACTACTTTGACGCGTTAGAGTCTGAGGTGCGATATCACCTGATAATCATGGAAAATTCATATCTGACTTGACTTCAGAGCAAGAGCACGTCGGCGATTGAGACCGTATTTCCCGAAGTACTCCGCGATCCAATACTACGCAGAGTTCAATTCTCGACGATCTCGCGCATCGACGACCTCGGTGAGTCCCGCCCAACCACGATGCTGACCTAACTAACCTCCCCCAGTCAACTGTGTGTACGATGACTTCAAGCACAACTTTTTCCCGAAAGAAGAGGTGATGGTGATGGTCGAAGATTTTCCTGAGCATCGTCTCGGCGTCATCCGAGAAAAGGCCAAATTCCCGCAGATCCTAAGTCAGAGTGGTGAAGTCCAGAGAGAGGCCTTCTGCCGTTACTTCGTACGCCTCTACTCAGCACCTAGAGAGGAGTACGTTTGCGACGACCTGGCTATCCGCCGCGATCGCAAGGTCTACAACAAGCAGAACGTGAGGGCCTTCCTCAAGCACACCCTCTTCCGCGAGCCCTGGATCGGCGCCCCCTGGCTGGTCAGAGAGCACTTTGCCATCAAGTACCGCCTTCCGATGGACATCCCGGTACACCTCCTTCAGGAATCTCGCCTCCTCGCGAACAAGGTACAAACATACCCGTCTTTCTTATCATATCTTCATCAATTCTTCCCGGACTTGGCTAATGCCTATGCGCAGCAGCAAATACTTCAGAACGACAAGCCGTCACGCAAGCGTACGAAGAATTTCGAGCAGGATGAGTTCAATCGCATGAGGCATGCAGAGATACAGCATCAGCAGATGCAGGAGGTGAGTGTGCTTAGAAGTGTCTGCGAGAATCAACTTGCTAACCTCTCTTGTCAGGCCGCAAATGGACAGCCCGGCACCCACCCTGGAAACATGCATGTCAACCCACCCCTCAACTCCTCGCGCACTGTTCCGAGACCCGCTGCGCCACCACCGATCAAGTACCCTATCGAGGACCTGGAGATTCCGCCCAAGCGCAACGGTGTTGTGCGACCGCAACTGCAGTTCTTCACGGACGAGATGGAGAACTACATCAAGAGGGGCCGGCTCACGACGTTCGAAGACATTGAGATGGAGTCGATGGGTATGCTGCTGGAGGTCTGGAACACGCTGAATGTGCAGTGTGAAGTTTATGCCCTGGACAGCTTCACCTTTGATGACTTCATCGATGCTATGAGGTTTCGTTCTGATGAGACAAAGTGTGTTCTGCTGGATGAAGTTTTCTGCGCTACACTCAAGGTGCTGGTCGACGACAAGGGTGTTGTGAATCTATCAAAAGGTGCGATGCCTGAGATGATCGCGGAGTCTGAAGACGAAGATTCGGAGGATCCTCAGGATGAGAGCGAGCTGTCGACGCCACTACCGGACGCGCCTGCGAGGTCGACACGAAGCAGACTCAGCCATGTCGACCCCTCGAAGAGTCCGACAGCGTTGGTCGAGAAGCTCCACCGCGGCTCCGAGATGCTCGGTGACCGCAAGTGGTCCACTCGTATCGGAGCACGAGACTTTCAAGATGGCGGATGGCAGGTTGCTCTGGCTGGTGTCTTATTGCAGCTTTCACGTTCTGCCCGCTTCCAAGCCCGCTGCAACGACATTCTCGCATGGCTCGCCCCAACAGATCAGCCTCCGACGCCGGAAACGGCTCGAGACCAGTTCGCAGTGATGGACATCAACCTCAGGATCTCCGCCCTCCAAATGATCACGATACTCTCGATCGCCACGCCGACCATGAAGAACTTCCTTGAGCAGTGCAGCGATGACATGACAGACGTTAGGAAGAGGAAGATCGAGTACCAGCGAGAGAAGAAGGAAGCTACGGCGGAGCTCATGATCAAGGATCGTGAGAGGAAGATCCTGTTGCCTGCCAACATGCCGGACTCACCACCTGCAGAAGCATTGACGCCGGTCTCTGCCAACGACGGTACGCCTGAAGTGATCGACGTCTCCATGGCCGATAGTTCCGACCCTGAAGACGAGGCACCAACAAGTGGCCGTGCTCTCCGTCGCGGCAACGACAGGAAGCGTAAGCGTGATGAGGAGGCGCAGCGGGCTGCTGAAGAGAAGAGGAAGGCCGAGCTCGCCAAGCAGCACCCAAAGCAGTCGAAGGAGTTTAGGAAGCTGTTGGGAGAGATCGAAGTCTTGAAGACCAAAATCATGGACTGCGAGGAGGCCATTGCAGAGTGTGACGGCGACTTGCGTGAGGCCAACGTCCAGCGCACGAAGGTGCTTGGCAAGGATCGCTTCTGCAATCGCTACTACTGGTTCGAGCGCAACGGTCAGCCGTTCGGCGGTCTCCCCAATTCAAGCACGGCAGCCTACGGCTACGCCAATGGCCGCATCTGGGTCCAAGGTCCTGACGAGATGGAGCGTGAAGGCTTCGTCGATCGCACTCCAGAAGAGCAGAAAGTCTACCAGCGCGTCTACGGCTGTACGGTTCCCGAGCGCCGCAAGTTGGAAGAAGGCGAGACGGTCCTCCTTTCCGCCAACGAGTGGGGCTACTACGACAACCCGGTCCTCCTCGACAACCTCATCGGCTGGCTCGACGACCGCGGCGACCGCGAGAAGGCGCTGCGTCGCGAGCTCGTCCTTTGGCGCGACACGATCGGCGAGTACATGGACAAGCAGAAGAAGTTCAAGGACCTGGAGGCAGCGAAAAAGCTGGGCGCGGACGAGGAGCAGACCAGCAGGATCTCGACGCGGACGAAGACGCATGAGGGCTTGTCGCAGGCGAAGGAGAGGTGTTTGCGGTGGACGAACGGGCTGGCGATTGAGCAGTTCGGACACTTGCATTCGGAGCCGGCGAAGTCGAAGGCGAAGATTAAGTTGAAGCAGCAGCAGTTGCCGAGGCAGAAGGGTGTCGCTACGGTGCCGTTGAATCGGTATGGGAAGCCGGTCACTAGGCAGGGGTGAGCGGGTATTGGCGGCGTGGAAAGAGGAGGATTTGCTGCTGCTCTGTGCGACCTGCTTTAAGATGGTGGAGGTGTCGTTTACGGTGCGGACTCTGAGCTTCAAGATGGAGATGATGATACCCTTGCATGGCTTATGGGTTGGGTTGTTGCTTGCTTGTTTCTTGTGGCTCGAGAATTGGAGCATATGCATTAGCGTCATGGATGGAAGGCGGTCATCGAACTTGCTGTATTGGCTTGTCTGATGGGCGAACGGGACATGGTCTGCTGCACTCTCTGTGCGGTTCAGAAATGGTCGATTAGTAGCTCCGTCTGTCGAATAGCAATGAAAACACATTGGAAATACCTTCTGCCCTCTTGCAGTGTTGGTCAGATTTGGTCGCTATAGATGCTAACTATCTTACACTTCGCTCCGCTACTTAGTCCAATCTCTTTCTATTAGCACAAGACTTAGATCGGCACAGCGATGCCAATTCCGCTGCTACGACTATGCCCAGTCCCAATCAACTCCAGCTCAGCAGCTATTGTCACAAAACAATGTCCAAAGATCAGACCTGGTATTAGTACTTTCCTTCCACCCAACCCAGCGCATGACCAAGCAAACCCAACGACTACGACCCGGCCCTCCTTCCATTCCTTCACCTACACAACCTCCTCCTCCGCCCACCCCTGCAACCCCGAACTCCCCTCATTCATCCCCAACCCCAACCCACTCAACCCCTGCCCCAGTCCCGCAAACCCATGCTGCATCGCCTGCTGCTGCTGCGCCTGCTGTGCCGCCTGCAGCGAGAAAGCCGGCAGGCTCACGGCGCGGTTATGCGCGCTACTCCTCGCGTTCTGCGCGGAGTTGGAGTTGCTGAAACCGCCCATGCCCATGCCGCTGCCGCTGTTGGAGGAGGAGAAGCCGTTGGTGAGGGGTTGGATGTTCATGCTCTGGTGGCTGCCGTGGCCGAAGGCGCTTTGGGTCGGGGGCTCGAGGCCGCCGCTGCCTCCGGCGGAGCGGGTCTCGTTGGGGGAAGAGTAGAAGGCTGCTTGGGTGGTGGAGATGGCGGAGGAGGGTTGGTGGGAGTAGGTGTATTGGTGGGTTGGTTGGAAGGACAGCGGGGACAGCTCGTCGCGTTGCTGTGGGGAATGCTGCTGCGCTTGCTGCTGCTGCTGGTCGGCGGCAGCTTGGTGGGCGTTGGCGAGGTAGAGCGTGAGGGGATTGTTGGTGCCGGTGTTGAAGACTGTGGAGGCCGTGGGGCCGTGGAGGGGGTTGTAGCCGTTCATGCCCGGGCCGGAGGAGGCGGGGGAGATGGAGTTTTGGGTACGGCTGGGCTGCAGGCCGTTGATGGGGGAGGGGGAGGAGACGCTGTTCTCGGAGCCGGGCTGGGGCTGCTGGGGTTGGTTTTGTTGCTGCTGCTGCTGCTCCTGGTTGCGCTGTTGGAGCTGCATCTGCTGGCGGGGAGGGTTGCCGCAGCGGTCTTTGCCGAAGTTGACTTTGAAGCGCTTGTACTCTTCCTTGCCGCGGACAGCCTCGATGGCTTTGATGGCGTTGGCGATGTTGGTGAAATTGACGAAGGCGCAGCTCTTTTCGCGGAGGGTATTGACAAGCTCGATCTCGCCGTACTCTTGGAAGTCCTGCTTGAGGCGTTCTTCGGTCCAGGTCTCGTCCAGGTTGCCGATGTAGACATTTCGTGAGGCACCGCCGGAGACAGCGAGCGCAATGGCTGGTGGCAGAGCGCCGGAGTGCTTGCCCCAACCGATCTTCAGGCGGCGGTTGTGGATCATCAGCCCTTGCAAGTTGCTGAGGGCGTAGAACGAAGCCGCAGACGTCGGGTCGATGAATGTGACGAAGCAGATGTGCTTGTCAGGGATGTAGCGAATGTGATGCAGCAGACCTCCTCGCACAACGTTGCAGATCTCCTCGATCGTTGTCTCAGGGTGGATGTTACCAAGGTAGACGGTTCGGTTGCCCAAGTTGTTGACGCCTCCAGCGGTGGTGGCCACAGCAGCAGCAGCAACCGACTGCTGCGCCAGTGCATTGGTGATTAGGTCCCGGTCCGCACCGTTGAGGACGTGTGCGTACCCTGGCGCGATGCCGAGATACTGCGCAGCGTTCTGCTGCTGCGTCTTTGAAACGTAGGCGCACCTGTCCTTGCCGTAGTACACCCTACGAGGAGCCTGCCACTTTGGGTCCTGAGGCAGCTGGGTGACGGCCTTGATCGCATTGCCAATCGACAAGAAGTGAACGAAGCCGATAGCCTTCTCGCGGACGATCTTGACAGTGTCAATGGGGCCAAACTTGCTCAGATCCTCCCTCAACTCATCCTCAGTCGTTTCCTCAGAGAAGTTCCCGAGGTACACATTGCGAGAAGCGCCCGACTGTTGCACGGCGAGGGCGACAGAAGTCGGGACTGACGAAGGCTTGCCCCAGCCAATCTTGATGTCTTGGCCTTTGATGGACAGCTTCTTCAGAATGGCATCAGAGTGGAAATGCGTCGCGGAGCTGCCATCGAGGAACGAGATGAAAGCGCAGTTCTTGTCCGGCAGCAGACGAGCGGACTCAATCTGACCGCTCCTGACATGGCTGAGAATCTCTTCGGCAGGCGTGTCCGGAGGTATGTTGCCCAGGTACACTGTACGGCTGGTACCAGAGACCATACCAGGCGCAAGCTGCATTGGCGGTCCGTAGCCACCATAGTTCGCTGGCGCCATTGCATTGAAGCCACCAGTGGGCGATTGCATGTTCCCGAAGTAGGACTGAGCGCTGATGGGAGAGCCGACATTCTGGTAGACAGGCGACATGGGACCCTGCTGCTGCTGGAACCCGTTCATGTTCATATTTTGGGAGTTGCGACCTCCCCCATTCTGCTGCTGAAAGTTCCCAAAGCTCTGGAACTGAGGTGACTGAAAGGTCGAAGGAGAGCCTGGCTGAAAGGGGCTGCCCATGAGCAGACCCGACGGCAACAGCGGAGTGAAATTCATATCAAAGCCGGTCTGTGGCGTCTGCATATCTGTACCGTTGGTGTTGTAGTTGTTCGACGGCATCTGTTGTCTCATGGTGTTGATTGGTTGCACATTGCTCTCACGGTGAAAGTGTCCTCGCCCCTGACCGCCAATGGATGGCTGAGATGAGTGAAAGCCGCCATGTGAGAAGCCTGTGTTGTCGGCGCCCATGGTGGACTTCAACGCGAAAGACTGCGAAGGGCGATGGCCGAAGGAAGGCGCGCTCGGCGCCGACTCGTTGGACTGCATGCCTAACATATGCGGCGGCAGCGAGATGCTGTCCCGCGGATTCGCTGAAAGTACTGCCGTGGTGACGGTGTGGACGCCCGGTTCAATACGACCGGACGGTGGGTGTAAAGTGCTGACTCGAAATGCAGCGTCGTTTAAGGGTATGCAATGCCGGTCCAGGCTCGTCAGTCTCCTGAAGGCCTGTAGAACAACTCTTGCCTAGTCGCTGCTACTTGCTGCAGTATATGTACACCTCTTGTTCCAAGACAGCCAAGAAGCTTCGGTTGATTTTCGAAAAGGAACGTGGTCGGGCTCGAAGGAACGGTTGCTACGGTCGGCCGACTGTATCGTGGGTTCAATATTTTGAAGTGTAGTTGTAAGGAATGGAAGGGGAAGAAGGGAATCAATGCGGTTCAATGGCAAGAATAGCAAAACACGGGACGAAAAGACAACGACGAGAATGACCACAGCGAGCAGCAGAAGCAACGCTTGTGAAGGAGAGAGAGAGGTACGTTACCGACGAGGGAGAGTATGGAGATGAGATGATGGGTGGTCCATGCTAAAGGAGCGCCGAGATTAATTTGCTGCTCAAAAGGGATGGCCTTCTGTCAACCCTTCTGGAACATTGCCGGGTCTGGTCAAGCGTCTATATTTGCCAATGGACCCGGACATGGGTGTCGGGCTCCGCAAGGACGAGCACAGATGTGCGCGAAGAGTGGTGGGAGGGAGGTGTGGTGGTGGGCAACGGAGAGTTTCGGTCGGTCTGCGGGAGTTTGTACGATGCTTTGACGCAGGGCAAGCAAGCTCGATTGGAGAGTTGCAGTTGTTCCTGAGCGAGTCGGCGCTAGGATCTCTCTCCGACCAAGCAGTGAGCGGGTCGGGAGGTGGTCGTCCAACGGGTGAGTCCTTTCACATGGGTGAGTCTCCTGTCGTCTGGTCCGTGGTGCCAGTTCCAACCAAAGATCGACAGGCACTGCACAAGCATCTCCGTGACACAGCGCTGCTGCTCATCGACGCTCCTGTGCTTCGGAATGGAAGCGGTGCGAAATGAGTGGTAGGACCTTTCACCAGCGGGGAGCGAGCACGATGTTGCTCAGATCAACAATTTTCCAGCAGATCGAGTTGCCTGAACACTGCCGGTTCGCTCAATTGGGGCCTCGTGTAACGAAAAAATGGCTGGCAAGTCTTGGAGCCATGCCGCAGACGAGGCGCCTCGAAATGACCGAGTACCAGACGACCGCTGCAACCCATGACTTCAGAACAAATCTCCGTTGCTTCTTGTGACGACCGACGGCCAGCATCTCCAAATCGTTGGCAACAGGACAAAAGCGAGTGACAGCTGCAGCCCCTCCTCCACCTGCCCCGCCTCGGGCAAGAATGGCACGTGGGAATAAGACAACAGACAAGGCGCAGCGATACCGGCAAGGTATGAGGTAACGGTTATAGATCTCGGTGTTTTCCTTATCCATTCATCGCCATTTCTCAAGAAGCTCTAATATTATCATCTGTCCTTCGTACTTCTCAGTCAAATTCATACAGCTAGAAAAGCTCGAGACGATGGCAATGGAGTACGATATGTTCAGCATCCCAGGCTACCTCCCTGGTGAAGCCAAAAACTTCCCTCATAAGAGCATACGAGGCAGCAAAGGCGAAGGCCTCCTTCGATATGGCGGTCCTCAAGTTGACGTTGCCCCGTTGAGGGAAGGCATCACGTTTCCATTCTCCGGACGGACGGCCAAGAACAGGTTCCTCAAAGCACCTATGACCGAACGACTATGCAAGTGGAATAAGGAGGGCGAGGATATCAGTGCTCGCGGGTATCCTTCGGAGGAGTATAAGCGTCTGTAAGTACGTCCTTACGGGTGGACCAACTGCGTGACTAACTGGTCTGGAGATACCAACGATGGGGCGAAGGCGAGATTGGGGTTATTGTTGCTGGGAACTTGATGCTTAAATATGTGAGACCCTTCATCATCTCTGTAGGTTTCAACTTGTGCTGATCTCAACGCAGGATGCTGTAGAAGCCTTCGGGTAAGCCGACAGACAACGTGCGCGACCGTTTGAACAAGCACTGATCTTGTATTGCTTCCCATAGCAACCCCATCCTCTGTGATGACCACGACAACCGCGTCGAGGCCTTCCGCGAGGTCTCGGATCTGGCAAAGAAGAACGGCACAGTATTCATTGCTCAGCTCTCCCACCCTGGCCGGCAAGGCGGTGCTGCCCTGAATCCGAACCCTGTCAGTGCTAGTGACGTCCAGTTGAAGATTGAATGGGCTGGAAACAAGTTCAACCAGCCAAGAGCACTTACCGTCCCAGAAATCAAGGACCTCGTCAAGCATTGGGGTGAGGTGGCGTACCTATGCTACAAAGCCGGTTTCGATGGCGTTCAGATACATTGCGGTGTGCCCTTCCCCTTTCAATCGCGATATTATATCGATCGACTGACATAATCTGGCAACAGCCCACGGCTACCTCTTAGCCCAGTTCCTCTCCCTGACCACGAACAAACGCACCGACGAATACGGCGGCGACCTCGACAACCGCTCTCGCATCATCTTCGAAATCATCGAAGAGATCCAACGCCGCGTCTCCGACCCCAGCTTCATCATCTGCGTCAAAATGAACTCGGTCGAGTTCCAACCCGGCGGACAGACACCAGACGACTGCATGAACCTGTGTATCAAAATGGAGCAAGCGCGTGTAGATTTCGTTGATCTCTCCGGCGGGACGTTTGAGGGCAGGGCGTTTGAGCATAAGAAGGAGAGCACGAAGAAGCGGGAGAGCTATTTTATTGAGTTTGCGGAGTTGATCAGGCCGCATTTGAAGAAGACGAAGGTTTATGTGACCGGTGGATTTAGGACGGCGAGTGGGATGGTGCAGGCGGTGAGGGATGGGGCGTGTGATGGGGTGGGACTGGGGAGGCCGTTGGGGATGGAGCCGTATTTGTGCAAGGAGATTTTGGAGGGGAGGGTGACTGGTGAGTGTTGCTTGTCCTACATCGAGCGGGCATCGGGCTGACAGACTGTCCTTCGTAATGAAGGTTCGATCGAGAACTACATCGTATGTACACATGCTACCGCTGGTATGTCACTTGACTGACAATTCCCCAGCCCATGCCCCAAAACACCCAAGCAACCGGCACGCAAATCCACCAGATCGGCAAAGGTGACGAGATGATCAGCGATTGGAGCGACGGCGAGGAGATCAAGCGCTTCATCAAGGCTCTAGAAGAGGAGACGGAACGGAAGAAGTCGGTTTTGCCAAAGGTCGACAGCTCTGGTTATCCGCCGTTCAAGGCTGCGGTTGGATTTGCTTATGCGAGATAGGTGTGATAGATCTATGGTAGAATAGATTAAAGCTAGACTTTAAACGAAGATGAATGTTGTAGAACCTCAGAATCATGTTCTCGCTGCACGATATCTGCGTGTGGTTTCATCTGGGGTGATTTTCATTGGCTGCAACCACCTCGATTTTGGGTGAAGGTGTTGTTAATCTGGTATAGCCACTAGCGCGGAATTTGAGCTACACCTTCCGACTTCCCGTGCGCGTTCCTCTCACCAACACGAACATCACAACCACAAACCAGCCATTCCATTCACAAACATCCGTCCGCCATCATGGCCGAAAGACACGCTGCAGGCGCCCCGTCCACCCAGAACACTCCTCTCCCACCCAGCGTCGAAAAGGCATACTACCGCAAATGCATCGAGCTCAAGCGCCGGCTGAACGAGGTCGAGGCCGCAAACGACGAGATGAAGCTGCGACGCGTGAGGCAGGACAGAGGAGTCATGAAGATGCGACTACAGCGGGCATATCTGCTCGATCATCTGCGCAAGATGATGGAGCACACGACGAATGTAGAGGGAAGCGAAGGCAGCGCTGACGAAGGGATGAACACTGTAAGGACGAAAGCTTCATTCTATAAGAACACACGCATATGCTAACTTCCGCAGCAGCCACCAGTAGACCGACCACACCGCGATAAGAGGCGGCGTCACCTACCTCCCACGCCTTCCGCTCCGCAGCCCGCAGCCAGCTCGCATGCTCATCAGCCTGCCCCTTTCGCTCCACCAGCACGTGTCCCGTCACAGCCGGAAGTCGGTGGGACTCCAATGACAATGCCCGGGCAGGGCGGTATGGGCGGCTATGGCTACCAACCGCAGTATGAGCAGCAGCGCACGCCCTCCGGCCCACCACCACAGCAATACACGCCTCAAGCAGCACCTCCGATTCCAGCTAGTCCGTACGGACCGCCACCACCAGCGAGAACGAATGGCGCGCTTGAGCACGACCGTGAGCGCGAAGCAGCATTGTTGAATAGAACACCTGGGTCGACAATGCCGGAGAATGGCGATGGTGAAAGAAGGGTTGTGTCGTCCGCACCAGCAGAGAATGCTAATGCGGAGAACTCACAGCTACCGGAAGCGGGGGCAAGCGCCTTCACGAGCGTAGGTTGACCCAAACCCTTGACGCGCTTTCGAAAACATGCGCTGACGCTTATGTCCTGTGTTCCAGGTGAATGGATGAAGACACCAAAAGCGACGAATGAGCCGAAGAAGAGTCCAGGGTCCTTCGCATCCGCCGGGAAGGAAGAACGCCGCGAAAACAAGCGTGGTTCCATCCGTGGATATAGACAATCTCTCTACAAGCAGCTTTGTCGTTGCATGGACTCCCAACCCTGTAAGCCAAACTCATTGCAGGCGATGTCAACATCCGCAACACTCGCTGACTCTTTCATCTCGGTTCGTAGGTGCCTGTGGACTGCGTGAAGAAGAGGAAATAGCAAAATTCAGAGCAAGCCGCGATGGAGACGAAGGCAACGGCAACAGTGAAGCCGCTAGACCTGCGAAGGAGAGCGGAAAGGCTGCGGCACCTGAGCCTCTTGATCCAGCAGGATCTAGGGGAATCTTCGTGCCTCCACGGCAACATCATGGTTCAAAGTACGGCGACGTGACAGACTTGCGGCAACTGGACAGGCCAGAGGCCAACGCACCACGACGACTGCCTCGCACGAAGGTGGGGCCGCAGAAACGGTTCCGATAGAGTCAGGCGACTGAGACGTCGCAGCGCACTCCTTCGAATAGCGAAGGAATGCCTCCATCCGAACATGACGAGCCGTTCTCTTGAAGCGCGTTCATACTTGGAGGGCATTCTTTGGTTGGGGCAGAGGGAGAGGGCTTTTTCATTTCTCACTTGATGTGCTACTGGAACAGACTGCCCGTTGCGGTAGAAGATAGCCATAATAAATTCGTTCTATGGCTCCATCCGATTACATGTGTCACTGTCAAATGTTGAGCATGTGAATAGATCTGCTTAATGCGAGTCAATTTAGCTTTTGATAGCGCGCGAGGGGCGTGTTACGCGACTCGACTTCACGTGTTCCGCCTGTGAGACGACTCGACTTATTGGCTTCTACACATTCGACCACTCGATCGCGTGTTCGTAGCGGCGCACATGAGCATGCTCTGCCCTCCTGCGCATTTCGAGCGACAGTGATCACACCATACCGCCAACATGCCGCGACCAAGGAATAAGGCTCCCAGTGAGCCACCAGCTCGGGAGGAGACACTAGATGTCGAGATGGACGGGGCCCAAGTGCTGAAGTTCAACGAGCCGCTCACATGGCGCCCTGGGAAACCTATAGTCGTCACCGAGCTATTGCGCCGCCTGAAAGCACTGTCCGAAGAGCTGGCACCCATGCAACAAGAAGACGCCGACAGAGAAACCCTCGTACCGAAAGCGCAAGAGCTCGCAAGCCCACAACTCCTGAGCCACAAGGACAAAGGCGTCAAGGCCTACGCTATGCTCTGCATCGTCGAGATGTTCCGGCTGCTGGCCCCGAATGCGCCGTACAAGAGCAGTCAGCTGAAGGAGATCTTCGCGCTCTTCACTTCGACGATTGTGCCTGCGCTCGCGAACCCGGGCGATCCGTACAATGAGCAGCACAATGCGGTTCTGGCTTCGCTGACGACGGTGAAGAGTGTGGTGTTGGTCACGGATATTCCTGGCTCGGACCACATACTGCTGAACCTGTTCACGAATGCTTTCGACGTCCTGGCTGGAGGTGGGAAGAATGGCATGGGCGAGAAGCTGCCGAAGAATCTGGAGTACCATATGACGAACATGCTGTGTACGCTTGTGGACGAGTCAGAAGTTCTACCCACAGGAGTGGTGGATGTTATCCTGGCACAATTCCTACGAGCAGATCCGAGCGCGCTGTCGTCGGGCCAGAGGAAGGGCGAGGCGGTGGTCCCGGAACCGCCGCCTGCGTACAACATGGCTCGCGCGGTATGCAATACTTGCTCTGAGAAGTTGGAGCGGCTTATCGGACAGTACTTCAATTCTGTTCTGGTGAATCTTTCTGAGATTGAGAGTGCGAAGGATCGCAAGGGGAGAGGCAAGAAGAGAACGCACGACGAGTTCAGCGACGATGAATCCGACGACGGACTCCTGACTCCGCCGGCAGAGAGTGACATGCACGAGGTCGAGAAAGCGCATCGCCTGCTACGAGAGCTATGGCGCTCATGCCCAGACGTCATTCAAAACATTGTTCCTCAAATCGAGATCGAGATCCAGACTGAGAGCGCATGGATTCGGACCATGGCTGTACAGACTCTCGGCGACATGATCTCGGGCATTGGCGCTGCTGGTCCCCCACCTGCTGCCACACTTGACCCTGCTGCGTACCCTTCACAGAGCCTGGAAGACGATGCGCCGAGCCAACGGCAACAGAACCCACTACTCACTCCCAATGCGCCACACGCCTTCTCGTCAGTCTACCCGAGCGCATACCAGGCTTTCATGGATCGCTACAAAGACAAAGCTCCTACAGTCAGAAGTGCTTGGGCTACTGAGGCGGGCAGGATTCTGCTCACCGCTGGGGGCGGCAAAGGCCTGGATGATACTCAGGAGAAGTCCATACTGCTATACTTCTCTAACACGCTCATGGACTCAGACGAGAAGGTGCGACTGGCTGCTATCAACACGCTAGCACAGTTCGACTTCGATACCTTGGTTCAGAAGATCGGCAGGTCTGGCAGCGTGGCGACTCCTGGCTCTGTGCTCGCTCATCTTGCCGATCGGATCAAGGACCGCAAGCACACGGTGCGATGCGCAGCGACCGAGCTACTGGCTCGGATCTGGGGAGTTGCCGCTGGTGCTATCGCTGAGGGTAACGAGAGGATTCACAGCCTAGTCGGAGCGATACCTTCCAAGATATTGGTTGCCTGGTACGTCAATGACCATGAGATACATGCGCTCATCCATCGGGTGATGTACGACTACTTGCTGCCGGTCACGTACCCGCCAATCAAGGCCAGACAACCGAGCACTGGCGACTCACAACGGGTCAACGACAGCCAGACCGGATCGAGTGGCGCACTGGACCCAGATGCTATCCGTGCTGAGCGCATCCTGGTATTTGTGCGAGATCTCGACGACCGAGCAAAGCGTGTCTTCTTTAGCCTGCTGAACAAGCGGTCATACTACGAAGGCTATGTAAACGCATACCTCACGCTGTCCGAAGAGGCGTCAGCCAGCGGAGGGGATGGTACCAAAGAGGCCAAAAAGAAGCTTGATGTCGGTGTGGACAAGCTGGTCAGGTCTTTCGATATCATCGCAGATCCAACCACTGCTGCCGAGCATCTGAAGAAGTTCGCGAAGCATCATGATCGTCGGAGCTACCAGCTTATCCGGTTCTGCTATTCGGCAGAGAGCGACTACCGCAAGATCTTCAAAGCGATGAAGGAGCTGACCAAGAGGATGGAGGAGGCGCCGACTGGAATGGCAGTCGTCCTCGATACACTGATCGCGCTCGTGCGGTCTGCGGCCGTACTAGTGTACAACAAGAGCCATGTTCCTGCGATCGTGCGGATCTCAAGGACAGATGAGAAGGGCCTCGGATCGGCTGCTCACGAGGTGCTGAAGGAGATCTCGACGAGGGCGCCGGATATCTTCAAGGTTCATGTCCATGAGCTCTGCGAGACTCTCAAGAAACAGACTCCATCAGAAGATGTCGCCATCGATGAGCCAGTGGTCGATACACTGAAGGCTTGCGCTGGCTTCGCGCGACGCTTCCCGGAGGGCATGCCAAAAGATCGCGAGTTCTACAAAGCCATGGTGCAGTACAGCATACGCGGCATGCCTCCCAAGGCGGCGAAGCATGCTGTGACTGTTATCGTCTCCTCAGCCGACAAGAAGGAGATGTACATCAAAGACATCCAGAAGGCCTGCATCAAGGGGTTCAAATATGGCGAGGCAGGCTTCCTTTCGAAGCTTGCCAGCATCAGCCAGCTTCGACTTCTCGCCAACCAGGAGAGTGAGGACCACACGGAAGCTATCATGGAGATGGCCATCGGTCAGGTCCTCGGCCAAGTGCGCGAAGCAGCAGAAGAAGGCGACCCTGCCTGGACTGATGACATTGACGACGACCTCGCCGCCAAGCTCTGGGCCCTTCGCATCCTCGTCAATGGCCTCCGCGGCTTTGACCCCTCTGTCTCAGAGGATCCAACGAAAGCTCTGAAAGACGCCGCGACACCTGTCTATAAGCTTCTCAATACCCTCATCCAAAACGACGGCGAGCTCTCGGAATCTGCCTCCACTCCACCAAACCAGAAAGCCCACCTTCGCCTCGCCGCCGCCATCCACCTCCTCAAGCTCTCCCGCTCCCGTACGCTTGACCCCTTGCTCTCCCAGCCGGACTTCAACCAGCTGTCCCGTATCGCGCAGGACGAGTCACCGCACGTCCGATCCGGCTTTGCTGCAGCGCTGAAGAAGTACCTCCAAGCCGGACAGCTAGGCCATCGCTTCTACGGACTCGTGTTTCTGTACGCCTTCGAACCTGACAAGAGCGTGAAGGAGTCGACAGTCACCTGGCTCCGCAGCCGAGCAGCGATGGCAGCGCGAGCGAGTCCAAAGGACACCGTGCTCGAAGCTGTGTTCCCGAGATTCTTGGCCCTGCTGGCGCACCATCAGGATTTCAGCACTAGCGCCGAAGACTTGCAGGATTTCGTGGAGTACGTTGTCTTCTACCTTCGCAATGTGGCGACCCAGGCGAATCTGCCGTTGGTGTACCACTATGCGCAGCGGTTGAAGACGGTGGGGGATGCCGTCGATCCTGCAAAAAGCGAGAACTTGTATGTGCTGAGCGATATCGCTGAGTCGGTCATCAGGGTGTTCCAGGATGTGCAGGGCTGGTCACTGCAGGTGATGAGCGGGAGGGTTGGGTTACCGAGCGGTCTGTTCAGTAAATTGCCTAGCCATGCCGTGGCGCAAGAGATTGCGGAGAAGAGGTATATTCCCGATGAGCTGGCTGAGGGGCTGGAAGATCTGGTGAAGGGGCTGTTGAGGAGTAAGAAGAGGAAGGCGGACGGGATTGGCAACCAGGCGGCTAAGAAGCAGAAGTCTGGTGCTAAGGATGTGAAGGAGAAGAAGCCTGCCGCTAAAAAGCAGACCAAAGCCAAAGCGGCGAAGACGCCGAAGCGGACGTTAGAGGACCCCATACCGAGTTCAGAGAGGCGGAAGAGCACGAGGCACAGTGGAGCGAAGAATTACGCGGAGGAGGATGACAGTGAGGACGATGAGGAGTTGGAGCAGTGGCAGGAGGCTGCTGATCCCGAGGAAGATGCCGAAGAAGGCGCAGATGCGGAAGACGATGTTATGGAGGTCGATGGAGAGGCGAACAAGGAGAACGTCAGCGAATCGACGCCGCCGACTAGCGACCCACCTCCCGCGGCTCCAGAGAGTGATGAGAGGACTGCGAAGGGGAGAGCGAAAAAAGGGAGGCAAGGTACCGATGAGACGATGAAGAGTTCTACGACGAAGGGCTCGACGCCACGGAAGGCTGCGCCGAAGAAGGCTGCGGCGAAATCTAAGGCTGCGGCAAAGCCCGCGAGGTCTACGCGGGCGACAAGGGGCCGGGAGAGGGATGTTATGAGCATCCCGAGTGACAGCGAGTGAGAGTTTCGATCGCGGATTGAGGGGGATGTACGACGACGAAGGGTTTTCAAATTGCTGAGGCGGCAGTCAGATGTCTGCTTCACTTTGCTTGTCAGGCATGCGGTGGAAGTGCGTTGAGCGTTGGCGTTTGGAAGGCGTTTTGAGAGGCGTTCTGAGCGACATGAAACCAAATGAGAGGGTGTGCATGATGTAGCATTTAGCGACGGCATGTGATATGGATCGGGAATATCAACAGACCTTTCAATCTCTCATCGTTCCACCGTTCATTCACTCATATCGCCAAGGCCTTCCCCACGCGGCTCCGCTGTCGATCAGCCGGGCTTTCACGTGTCAACCTTGACCACAGTATACACAACCATTGCATCGTCCACGCCCACGCTTGCACGACATCTCAACCCCATCGCCCTTCTACCAGCGCCGCCATGTCAGGCGCACCAGTCAGCCTCGATAGCATCGCGACCAAGATCCCTCAGGAGGATGCCCACTTCCACCGCGAAACCGTGGCCGACCTCTTGGACCGCAAACAGACTAACTTCCCCGGCGCGCAACCCGTCTCCTTCGCGCGACGGCACCTCACCGAGCTCCGACACACCGACTACTTCATGTGCGAGAAGACCGACGGAATCCGCTGCCTCATGTTCCTCACCGAGATCACGATTAACCACCAACCCGCCGAAGCGCAGTTCCTCGTCGACCGCCGCAACGACTACTACTACGTCCAAACCGACTCGCTGCACCTCCCCGTCCCAGGCCCGGACGTCAGCATGTACCACCGCGGCACGCTGCTGGACGGCGAGCTCGTGAAGCAAAAGCTCAAGAACGGCTTCAGACTCGCCTACCTCATCTTCGACATCCTAGCCATCGACGGCGAGAACGTCACACAAAAGGGCTTCGACAAGCGCCTCGCGCGCATCCAAGAACATATCGCCAAACCGCTCAAAGACTTCTCGCGCAAGTACCCGGATGATGTCGCGGCGCAACCGTTCCAGGTCGCGATGAAGGAGATGGAGTTCCCGTACGGGACGGAGATGATGTTCAGAGACAAGATCCCGAACTTACCGCATGGCAATGATGGGTTGATATTCACGAGTCGGGAGGACAAGTATACTTTTGGCACGGACCCGAAGATTCTGAAGTGGAAGCCGCCGCATGAGAATACGATTGATTTCCGGTTGGTTCTGGGCGCGTTTCCGATGGAGAGGGATGAGGAGGGAGAGTATGAGGATTGGGATGCTATGCCAGATATGGAGTTGTGGGTGAATCATGGGGATGGGCAGGGGAAGGGGTATAGGTTCTTTGATGTGCTTACGGTGAGGGAGGCGGAGTGGGACGCGTTGAAGAAACTGGGACAGCAACTGGATGGGCGGGTGATAGAATGCTATCGCGATCCGGACGCGGATAGAGGTGTGGATGTGTGGCGGCCGAAGCTCGACGATGGTGTGCCCAGGTTCAGAGACGACAAGAAAGATGCCAATCACATCTCGACGGTCGATAGTGTGCTGGAGAGTATACGGGATGCTGTGACGGAGCAGGACTTGAAGGCGGAGGCGCATGCGATACGGACAGCGTATAAGGAGAGGTTGAAGGTAAGGCAGGAAGCGGAGAAGAGGAGGGTCGAGGAGGAAAGGAGGAGGTATGAGGAGGAGAAGAGGAGGGCGGCCGAGGAAGCTGCGAGGCGGGAGGCTGCGGCGGTCAATGGAAAGCATGAGGCACAGCAGAATGGGAACGGGGTGAAGGATGAGGAGGAGGAGGACGACGATGGACCGGTGTACTCTGAGGATTAAGCTGCGTTGGTCTGGACTCTGGACGACGATTTGTGTTTCATCTAAATGACGGTCAGCTAGCCTGGTTGAGTGTCAAGACAATATCATCTTGGAAAGCGAGGAGTTTGGCGCCACACCAGGGACAAGAGGATAGATATGATACCCCATATGCATTGCTTCGCTTTCATCAAGTCCTTTGATATAGCTACACTAAGTGCACAACCATGCCTCGAGGTCCGATGCCGCGCCGCTTGGGTTATATCGCTTACAAGCCGTGGTGCCCAGCAGTAACGTACAATATACTACAACAACAGCCCTGATACCCCTCCTCACCTATGCCTTACCACCCTGCTTCCCACTTCCCTCCGCCAACTCCTCCTGTGTAAACGGCTTCTCCATCTTCCCACTCTTCCTCTCCAACGCCCTCGCCACCTCTGGCGCCCCGAGATCCCCAAACCGCACCCTCACCTCCGCAAGTGCCTCATCGCTCATCCCCTCCAACGTCTTCAACTCCTTCCTCAACCAAGCCACCACCAACCCCAAATCCCTCACATCCGTCTCCACCCTCGCCTTGAACAGATTCCTCCACACAGCACCCGCAAGCACCGCGTCCCCTTTCACCAACCCTTCATCGTAGCTCAGAATCACGCCTCGCCATTGCTGCCACAGGTCTTTAAGATACTTATTCCTCACGCTGCGCGCGGAGATATTATGCCACGTCGCCATCCTGTCTTCCGCAGCATAGAAGAAATGATCCAGCAACTGCTGATGCCAGATCTTCGCATGCTCCGCGGGGAACGTCCGTAACCGCACCGTCAACAGGTACATATGCAGAAACACAATCTGCGCCCAGGTGTGGAACGTCACGTCCAGCTCCAACCCACCCTGCGCTTTGGGGCGGAACCATATACTATCCGCGTTATCAGGCACACCCAGGTCCTCGCCATCGGAGGTGGTAGGCGCGGGTTCGGGGGGCGAGGCGTTGCGGGAGGGGATGGTGTAGGCGGCGGGCGCGGAGCAGAGGAGGTACAGGTCTTCGGTGCTGCCGTAGGCGATGTAGGGCTCGGTGGTGTTGCGGAGGGCTTTGTTGGAGCGGATGGAGGAGGCGAAGTTTTGGATTGGAGCGGAGGGGGGCCGGTCGGAGGAGTGCTCTGTTGGCGCGGGTTGCTGTTGTCGGAATGGGGTGGTGGTGAGACTGCGGTGGTGAGCGAGGATGGTCGTTGAGGGTGCTCCGCGTGATCTGGAGAGCCATTGGGGTTGGCGTCGGGAGTGCAGGCGTAGTGCTCGTAGGCAGGAGGTGCAGACTGTGTTTGAGGCCATTTCCGCAGCCGTGGAGTTAGAGTAACGATGATGGATGCTGAGACAGAGGTTGTTGGCTGTTCTAATCGTGATAGATGTCGTTCAATGGAAAGTTTGGTCTTGTTGACGCTTCCTCCAAATTCATGACCTCATGACACGACCACCACACGACCGAAACCGAAAACTTAAGGAGAAGATCAATCAACGACCACATCCATATGCGTGTGTTGTTTTGATTATGTATACGGGGTTTCTGTTGATACGCAGGCCAAAAGGTACCGCACAATGGCGTGAGTTGATCTAATCTCCTTAATGCCGACTTTGATACCCCTGCAACCTGGCCATGAACAGAGCCTCGAGACCTCTTACACTGGCGATATCTGCTTCTCAAACATCGGAGAAGATGGATCCTGACGACCTCGAAACGGTTTCGGACTGACAAAAGCAAGCTCATCGCTGCCCTCAGAACCATACTTGACAGGCATGTCGCCCACTGCCCTCGCGAGGTCGCGACCTGTTGAATTAGAATGGCATCCCGCAAGCAGTGGTGCCTCGAAAGCCTGTCTAGACGTCAGCTGCACGCACATGTCTCACCATATCGAAGCCGTGAACTTACCTTAGCGATCTCCAGCGGCGAAAACGACATCGATCTCCCAAGCCTCCAGTAGCCCCAGTACGTCGGCGCTACGAAGCATATACAGGTGATCTCAACTAGTGCGGCAGCAAGGAACCACCAGTAATCCGTGCGGAAAACGTTCTGATCGCCAACAGTAGTGCCTTCGACGGTGGTGTTTGTCTGCGCGGCAATCCCAGGATCCATCCGAGCGTCGAGCCAGGCGAAATCGTTCCTAGCCATCGCAGCTCCAGTGTACACCATAAGCTTGTTCAGAGAAGCGATCATATCTCCAAGTGGATCTACAAACGACGGGCAATCCCCGCTGTAGTCACCTTCATATTGAAACAGGCGCTGTTGGTTATAAGTCTGCCAGGAGACGCGTCCGCGATCGTTGTAGGCGGTCACCTGGCTTTGCCACGGCTCACTGTAGATAGCCATGACGCCAGCGAGCGTGGACGCATGTCCTCCTCCTTCAACGATGCCGTTCGTTCGTGTGTCGTTCGCGAGGGCGACAATGCGTGGGGTGCCAAGAGTCTCAATGGAGGACAAATTTCCAGCAACAGTGATGTTGTATTCTCCAATGGCGGACTGGAGCGTGCAGGCGGTGTAATGATAGGTGCCGGCACAATCCGTTGTAGTAGAGTACCCGGCCAGGAGATTAATCGTCTCATGCGATTGTCCTGTGGGATCCAAAGCCGCGGCAGTCACGAACGCTTGCTGGTTTAGGGGACCTGCTCCGGTACTGTCCCGCTGTACAGCAAGCAGACTCATTGCCTCATGGTAATCAACCGAGATTGAATAAGGCGTACACTCAACCACTGCAACTGCTGGCGCTCGAATGGTTACGAGACACTTGTCTACGCAGCCATGAACCAGTCCCGGCAAAGGCGCGTTTGAATAGTAGAGCGTTGCGACCTCATCCATGAAATCTTCTGTGAAGGTCCAAATGTCGTTGGAGACTTTGGTCCCGTCCACACCTGGCATTGTCTTATTGAATGGCGTGTTGACATGCGTTCCATAATCCATCTCTTCGCTAGCAATCCAGAAGCCGGTACTGCCCCTAGCTATCTCCTGAGCCATGGAAACCTGGAGTGACACAGGTTCGTGCAAGGTTGACGGCACCACCGAGCTGGAGCGTTGGAGAAGCGGACCGTCGATGAGTGCCAGAGTAGAAAAGATCGTTGCAAGTCCCAGCAAGCCGGTGCGCCTTCCAGCAGCAAGGGCACCTCCGAGGGTCGCCCCTGATCGCCAGTCATAGTGCAGTCTGGCGAGAGTTGATCCTTTTCTTGCTCTGACCCACCATGCTATCACAACGCCCTGAATGCCTGGAGAGAAGTAAGAGTGGGCTCGAGGGTTGATGCACAAGCAGAATGAGAGGACGAAGACTTACATGCATATCTCATTGCCAGGTTCGCGATAGCAGTACACGTAGCCAAATAGATAGAAGGCGAAGCAGACCAGCCTGACACCGCTGCACCATCCGAGGCGACGAGTATGCCAAGAGAGACTGCAATAGAGCCGATTGCTACAAACATAGCAAGAAACCCCGAAACTGGCCCTGCTCGCATGAGGGTGGTTCTCCAAGGTCGGGGCGCGGAGGTGTAATGAGGCGGCAGCGCCCAGCAGGGCTCAGGTTGGGCTCTCCCATCGCACTCAGACATGATGGTCTCGAAAGGATGCTTGGAGTCTCTCTGCTCAGTGGCGACGGTGGAAGCCTGGGATAGCGGCGAGTCGTCAGCAGCGATCGAATGGAGCTCATTCTTCCCATTGACAGCCGTGTCGATGTTGATAGCATCACGTTCACTTGTCGGCGCTTGATTTTGAGAGCGTTGTTCATGTGCATCGGACCTTGCCCCGGCGACTTCTGCCATTTTCTCTGTGTAGTGACTGGCATCCAGTCGGCTGAGATTGATCATTACCGCGCTGTGCGCCTCCGCAAGAACAATTCGTGCTCACAATCCCTCCTTGTATATACCCAAGGCTCAGTGGAGTCCAGACGACCCATATCTGATCAGTCAGCCAGCGCTGCCATGGCCGTCCCACTAAAGAGCTGACTTAATAGCTCCATATCCACTTGGCAGGAAGATCTTGCGGTCAACATCACTCACACCACCCTTAGCATTCTCAGCCCGTCGACGCCAGCAAAGCAGACCGAAGAGGAGCTAAGGACCTGTGACGTGTGTTTGCCGATAAGATGAGGAGCGGGCGAAGGTCTTCGGTTGTCCAAGTCCATTTTCAGCTGACTAAGTGGATCCAAGCTCGTGAAATGGCGGGTAGCTTCATGCAGCTCTAGACTTCTTGGGCTGCAGCTGAAGTCAATGGTTGACAAAGCTGCTAGTGTCCCATGGCTGCTGACTTTGCTTTGGACTCTCGCGGCGCCGAAAGCCGTTCATGAAGGCGATCGAGACTCCGTACTGGAATCGGTGACTGGCCACCTTCACAAGACTGTCTTCCGGATCGACAGTTGAGGGAGAATAGTGTAGCAGACCATGGATCCACTGCGATGAAGGATCCGGAACAAGAACACATGCTGCCGTGATAGAGTATGCGGTAGCCTCTCTCCGGATGTAGCTCCAAGTATCGACATCGTGCATCCGTGAGCTGCCTGTCAAACCCGCAATATTATCGCCTGTAATCGGCTCCGTCTGATCTCATTTCCTTAGTCTGGTCGTCGGCTGCGTTCGCTTTGGTCGATGGGTGGTAGCGACAGCGGCCAGAGTAGGATAGAGAGCGCAGGGTCCGTGAATGCATGGCCTGCGCGCATCTTCTCGTCCATGGCAACAACCCAACGTTGAGGAAGATGTGGCTGCGTAGATATGTCAACATGGAGAGAACACGTCTGACGACCACCATCACTCAATCTGCAGCCAGTTCCCGCACTGGTCTGCTTTGGCTTTCAAGCGCTTGATTGGCCATCCTCTCTAGTAATGTTGTTGTGCACACGGTCGAATGGTGGAGCGTCCTTCCACAGTCCTACGGTCTGAAGAATCGCGCGTACAGTCGTGGGCTCATTCTGAACAGTTGCAACTGCTAGGTCCGCGAGAAGCACAATGGCCAGTCCTTGCGCCACCAGAAAGCCCATCATATGGGGTTTTGGCGACGGCGGCCGTTGTAAACCCAGAAAGCTCCGCCGTTGCAGCTTGGGTACATATGGGATGCTCGTGCGCACAGTTGGCCGGCTAAGTGGCATGATGGTCTTGTTTGCAGTGTATTCGCCCGGTTGATGATTGTAGAAGAGATGTTGGAAGTGAGACATGTCGACAGACCCCATTCCCCACAATCCACGTGTAAGGAGCGTTAGGCGGAGATTGGAAGCCAAGCTGAAGGAGGCTGAGTACGAAGACTCTCGGATACCGTACGGAACACACGAATGCGACAGAAGCAGCTGAACAGTCTGTCCTTGTCGAACGGAGGACATAGGTCTGGACGCTCTCCAACCGCAGTCAAGCTGCATCGTCTTGAACCTCAACCCGTACACGACAACGCACCCCGTCGTGCAGCCGCTTGAGCTTACTATACCGGATACACCACCTGAACAACTGGCGCGCAGCGACGACAGGCGGACGACTGAGCAGTTCGATGCTGGAACTGAGAGACGGGCTATAGCAGGCAGGCCTAGCACCCTCATTGCACGGCCTGCCAGCAATGGCAAACAGGCCGGGATATACCAATCAAGACGATCTCCTACACCTCAGCGACGACAATGATGGACCGGTATACAACAGCGGCCAGCCGCCGCCAGTATCCGACGAGCGGATGCTTCACGACTACGACATGGAGGCAGCAGGAGCTGGGCGCATTTCCACCTCGCACGATGACTTTGTTGGAAGCGCGCAGCCGCACCCGGCGACGGCTGGGTTACCGGGAGGGCCTGGGGTATCGGTGACAACACCTGGTGGAAGCGCGGCGACATTCCGACCTCCCTTCGCTCATGCAGACACAAATTTTAGCCAAACAAGCGGGCTAGGCAACTACCAGCGGTACTCGGACATGGACAACGATACGTACTCAGATGCCGGCGCCGGAGGATACTATGCAGCAGGAGGTGGAATCGACGAGGACAATGTCCCTGGGCTTCCGCTCAACAACAAGGCCAATCACCGCAGTCGCAACAGCATCTTGAGTCTGGGTGGAGGCATCACAGGGCGGATGAAGAATGCACTTGGCATGGGACCCGATTACAGCGAGATGGACTTGCCTCTCACAGAGCAGGGAGTACACCGAATGGACTCTGATAGCACGTCGCCGGACCAGCAGGCTGCAGTGAAGAAGAGAAAGACACCTGGAAGCACTTTCAAGTTTGGAATACCGGGGCGAAATAAGGTCGATCCTGCGACACTCGGACCCAGGATCATACATCTCAATAACCCACCTGCCAATGCTACGAACAAATACGTGGACAATCACGTTAGCACGACCAAGTACAATGCCGCGACCTTCTTGCCCAAGTTCTTGTTCGAACAATTTAGCAAGTACGCCAACTTGTTCTTCTTGTTTACTGCAATATTGCAGCAGATCCCAAACATCAGTCCAACAAACAGATGGACCACGATTGTGCCCCTGGGTATTGTGATGATAGTGTCAGCTATCAAAGAGGCGATCGAGGACAATCGTCGAAGAAGCCAGGATCGGCAACTCAACAAGAGCCCAGCGAAGGTGCTGAGAGGCACCCGATTTGAGGATGTCAGCTGGATCGATGTCAAGGTTGGTGATGTTATAAGGGTTGAGAGCGAGGAGCCGTTCCCAGCGGACATCGTTCTTTTGGCAAGTTCAGAGCCCGAAGGACTGTGCTACATCGAGACGGCCAATCTGGACGGTGAGACGAACCTGAAGATTAAGCAAGCCATACCGGAGACATGCGAGCTAGTGTCCTCCGCTGATCTGGCGAGGCTGGGAGGGCGGGTAAGGAGCGAACAGCCCAACTCAAGCCTTTACACCTACGAAGCGACTTTGACTATGCAGGCCGGTGGCGGCGAGAAGGAGCTTCCGCTGGCGCCTGACCAGCTCTTGCTACGTGGTGCCACGCTCCGCAATACACCCTGGGTGCATGGAGTAGTGGTCTTCACCGGCCACGAAACGAAGCTCATGCGTAATGCGACCGCCACGCCTATCAAGCGTACGAATGTCGAACATCGCGTCAACACACAGATTCTACTCCTTGGCGCCATCCTCATCGTCCTCAGCGTCATCTCTTCCGTCGGCGACCTCGTCATGCGGTTGACGAGCGGCCACAAGCTCTTCTACCTCGCCCTGCCAGAAAGCACGAACGCTGCTGCGCTCTTCTTCTCGGATCTCTTCACCTATTGGATTCTCTACTCGAATTTGGTGCCCATCTCACTGTTCGTCACAGTAGAGATCATCAAGTACTGGCAAGCCTACCTCATCGGTTCTGATCTCGATATTTACTACGCTCAGACGGACACGCCGAGCAATTGTCGTACATCCTCGCTTGTCGAGGAGCTGGGACAAGTGGAGTACATCTTCTCCGACAAGACCGGAACGCTGACATGCAACATGATGGAGTTCCGCCAGGCGAGTATTGGTGGCTTTCAGTATGCTGACGACGTGCCTGAGGATCGGAGAGTGGCTTCCGAAGACGATATTGGGACTGGGATTTTCGACTTCAGGGCTTTGGAGCAGCATCGGACCACTGGCCGGATGGGGAACGATGAACGGATCAAGCTCTTCTTGCAATTGCTGAGTACGTGCCATACCGTCATTCCTGAGACGAATTCGGAGAAGCCAGGTGTGATCAAGTACCAGGCTGCTTCACCCGACGAGGGCGCTTTAGTCGACGGCGCCGTGCAGCTGGGTTACAAGTTCACGGCGCGAAAGCCGAAGGCGGTGACGATCGTGTCTGACGGCCAGGAGTACGAGTTCGAGCTACTGGCTGTGTGCGAGTTTAACTCCACTCGGAAGCGGATGAGCTGTATCTTCCGATGCCCGGACGGCAAGATCAGGTGTTTCTGCAAGGGTGCCGATACGGTCATTCTCGAGCGCTTGGGCCAGAGAGATGAGATTGTCGAGAAGACGCTGCTCCATCTCGAGGAGTATGCCGCGGAGGGCTTGCGAACTCTATGTCTAGCCATGCGCGAGGTGCCTGAGAGCGAGTTCAGAGAATGGCAGAGTGTATTCAATACTGCCCAAACGACTGTGTCTGGCAGCCGCGCGGATGAGCTGGACAAGGCTGCTGAGCTGATTGAGCACGACTTCACATTGCTTGGGGCCACAGCCATTGAGGACAAGCTGCAGGATGGCGTGCCGGATACTATCCACACGCTCCAGACTGCCGGCATCAAAGTTTGGGTTCTGACTGGCGACCGGCAAGAAACAGCCATCAACATCGGCATGAGCTGTAAACTCATCTCGGAAGACATGACCCTCCTCATCGTCAACGAGGAAAATTCTGAAGCCACTCGGTCCAACATCCAGAAGAAACTCGATGCCATCAACTCGCAGAACGCAAGCAGCGCGGAGATGGAAACCCTTGCCCTCGTCATCGACGGCAAGAGCCTGACATTCGCACTGGAGAAGGACATGGAAACGCTCTTCCTCGACCTGGCCGTAAAATGCAAAGCCGTCATCTGCTGCCGTGTCTCACCATTGCAAAAGGCGCTGGTAGTGAAGCTGGTAAAGCGCCACCTCAAATCTATCCTCCTCGCCATCGGTGACGGCGCCAACGACGTCTCCATGATCCAAGCCGCACACATCGGCATCGGTATATCCGGCGTTGAAGGCTTGCAAGCCGCTCGCAGCGCCGATGTCAGCATAGCACAGTTTCGCTTCCTACGAAAACTCCTGCTTGTGCATGGCGCGTGGAGCTACCAACGAATCAGCAAAGTCATCCTCTACTTCTACTACAAGAACACGGCCCTCTTCATCACGCAGTTCTGGTACTCGTTCCAGAACGCATTCTCCGGCCAAGTCATCTACGAGTCGTGGACGCTGTCCTTTTTCAACGTCATCTTCACCGCGCTGCCACCCTTCGTCATCGGCATCTTCGACCAGTTCGTGAACGCGCGGTTGCTGGACCGGTATCCGCAACTCTACCAGCTCAGCCAAAAGGGCATCTTCTTCCGCACGCACAACTTCTGGTCTTGGGTTGCGAATGGGTTCTACCATTCCTTGCTCCTCTACTTCGTGTCCGAGCTCCTGTACTGGGACGACCATGTCCTTCCAAACGGCAAGATCGCTGGACACTGGGTCTGGGGTACCTCGCTCTATACCGCCGGCTTGGTGACTGTGCTGGGCAAGGCGGCGCTGATTACGAATTTATGGACCAAGTACACCGTCATTGCCATCCCTGGGTCTCTGCTGATCTGGTTCATCTTCCTACCGGTCTACGCGACGGTTGCACCGATGTTGAACTTTTCCACTGAGTACACGAACGTGCTGCCGGTCTTGCTCACGGATCCTTCGTTCTGGTTGATGGCGGTGGTGCTACCGGCGCTCTGTCTGCTGCGAGACTTTGCGTGGAAGTACGCCAAACGGATGTACTACCCGCAGGCGTACCATCATGTGCAGGAGATCCAGAAGTACAATATCCAGGACTATCGACCACGGTACGTTCCCTTCCTCCCTTTCTTGCAAAGCAAGGAGCCATTTGCTGACATGTCAACAGAATGGAGCAATTCCAAAAAGCGATCCGTAAAGTCCGGCAAGTGCAGCGGATGCGGAAGCAGCGCGGGTACGCTTTCTCGCAGACGGATGAGAGTCAGGCGCGGGTGCTGCAGGCTTATGATACGACGAGGGAGAGAGGGAGGTATGGTGAGATGGCTAGTAGTAGACGGTAGCACTGGCATGCCCAAGTGTGCCTTCTTTAGAGCGTTCGGGGTTGGGGGTGGATGGGTTATGTATGTATGTATTGTATGTGTATGGAGAAGATACCTGGCATATTTTTGACAGTTTCTCACAATACTGTGCAATCTCTTCGGGCCATAGCTAGGGTAGGTGATGTTGTCGCACCGTTGAGGTCGTTGTCTTGAGGTGGGCAGTACCTTACTTCAGCCCATACCACGTCTTGGCAATATCTTGTGGCGCGAACCCCTGCATCCGCACTCATGCTCCTTCAAGCACTACTCTACATCGAAGGCGAACATGAAATGCGACGAGTCGTAGTAACAGGTCTCGGCGCCATTACCCCTTTGGCAGCCGGCATCAAAACAACATGGAAGCGCCTCCTCGAGTCCTCTTCCGGACTCTCCTCAACAACGACCAGAGGTCCGGCTTTCGAAACCCTTCCCAGCAAAGTCGCCGGTCTCGTTCCTCTCGGAAAACGCGAAGATTGCGCCTGGCAAGCCAAAGACTGGCTACCCGCAAAGGAAGAACGTCAGATGGCATTGTTCGCACAGTACGCCGTCGCGGCAGCTGACGAGGCGCTGAACGATGCTGGATGGCATCCTACTTCCCAGGCTGATCTCGAGGCTACGGGTGTGACTATTGGATCTGGCATTGGAAATCTGGATGAGGCTTACAACACCTCTGTTGCTTTTCACGAAGGCGGATATCGCAAAGTCTCGCCGCTGTTCGTGCCAAAGCTGTTGATTAACCTAGCGGCGGGTCATGTGTCTATCAGGCACGGGTTCAAAGGACCGAATCATGCTGCTACTACGGCTTGTACGACTGGGCTACATGCTATCGGGGACGCTTCGCGGTTGATTGCTTTTGGGGATGCGGATGTGATGGTTGCGGGTGGCGCGGAGTCGTGCATTCATCCTCTGGCAATCGCTGGTTTCGCGAGGGCGAGGAGTTTGGCAGTCGATTGGAATGATGAGCCTGCTGCTGCTTCCAGGCCGTTTGATAGTCAGAGGGCTGGGTTCGTCATTGGGGAAGGTGCTGGGGTGGTTGTGCTCGAGGTAGGCAACTTTATTCCATCTATGAATCGACTGACATTTTACAGGAACTTGAACACGCCAAAGCCCGCAAGGCGAACATCTACGCCGAAGTCAAAGGCTACGGTTTATCTTCTGATGCCTACCATATGACTGCGCCCGAGGAAAACGGCGAGGGCGCCTTTCTGGCTATGAGAGCAGCCCTCAAGCATGCTAGTCTGAAGCCGGAAGCCATCGACTATGTGAACGCACATGCTACATCTACTATCCTAGGGGATGCTGCTGAAAATAGAGCCATCAAGCGTCTGCTCTTAGGGCCGGATGGAAGACAGAGTGCGTCTGAAGTGAACATCAATAGTACTAAGGGAGCCGTTGGCCATCTGCTCGGTGCTGCAGGCGCTGTGGAGGCCATCTTCACCATGCTCACCATTCACAACGTATGTAAGATGGTTCGAACGAAATGCAGAGTCATGCTGACTTCATTACAGAACGTCCTGCCGCCAACGCTGAACCTTGTCCGGCCTGGTGATCCTCCGGAGGAATTCGACTGCAACTATGTTCCCAACGCAGCGCAACAACACACAGTCAATGCAGCTCTAACAAACAGTTTCGGTTTTGGCGGGACTAATGCCAGTCTTTGTCTCGCGAAATATCGATGAAGTTCAAGTTCAGTTGCTGTCTTCACGACCCCCACCACAGTGGGGCGCGTCCGGCAAACAACTCGGCCAGGCTGAGGTAGCTCTGTAGTGCTTGAGATAGTGGCATTGGTACACTGCACCTTCGAACAACCGCCAGACGCACGAAGTCTCCCAACTCAAAAGCCCATAATGGACTCAAACGACCAGGTCTCATGGTCACAACCTCGCCGCAAAACAGTCTACTCCAAGCTCCGATCGAAGGCCGAACAATGCCATGAACGAGTCCCCTTCTTCCGAAAGCTGCCCGGCTCAGCAATAGCAATTATATTGCTTCTGGTCGCCGTCAACATCCTAGTCTGGGTCGCCAGCGGCGTCGTTCTCGCCTTTCACCGCAGCCTCGTCACCACCGCCGTCCTCTCCTACACCCTCGGCCTCCGCCACGCTCTCGACGCCGACCACATCACCGCCATCGACCTCATGACCCGGCGCCTAGTCGCCTCCGGTCGCCGTCCCGTCACCGTCGGCACGTTCTTCTCCCTCGGGCACTCTACCGTTGTAATCGTCACCTCCATCGTCGTCGCCGCCAGCAGCGCAGCGATCTCAAACCGCTTCGGCTCCTTCTCGGAAGTCGGCTCCATCATCGGCTCCTCCATCTCAGCAGCCTTCATGCTCCTCCTCGGGATCATGAACGCCTACATCCTCTACCGCCTGTACCTCCAACTCCAACGCGCCATCGCCTCGCCCATCGGCCACGAGAACCTCGACTTCAATTTCGACGGCACCAGCGGCGGCGGGTGCATGATGCTGATCCTCCGCAAAGTGTTCAAAATCGTCGACCGCCCGTGGAAAATGTACCCGCTCGGCATCCTGTTTGGTCTCGGCTTCGACACTTCTTCTGAAATCGCATTGCTCGGCATCGCGTCCATTGAAGCCACACAAGGGACGTCGATCTGGCTCATCCTGATCTTCCCAATCTTATTCACAGCAGGCATGTGCCTCCTCGACACCTTCGACGGCGCGGCGATGATGAGTCTCTACACCTCTACCCGGCTAGCCAAGGACGCGATAGCAGTGCTATACTACCAGTGCGTTCTCACAGCCGTAACGGTCGTGGTCGCGATCGTGATTGGTGTCATCCAGCTTCTCAACCTGATCGTGAACGTGAAGCCGAATCTTCACGGGCCGTTTTGGCGAGGGGTGGAGGTTGCGGGGGAGCATTACGATATCATTGGCGGGAGCATATGCGGGTCGTTTATTGTGTTTGGGGTGTTGGCGGTGGTGTTGTATAAGCCGTGGCGGAGGCGGGTGGAGAGGGGGAGGGTGGCGCCGATGCCGACGGAGTATGAAGATGAGGGAGCTGGAGAGGGGGATGAGTTGTCTGAGGTTGGGGTGGAGGCGGGTCCGACGTTAGGTAGCAAGGGGGACGGAAAAGGCGGTGGAATCGAGGATGTGACAAAAGGTGGGACGAAGGTGAATGGGGAACCGTCATGATCGTGAGGGCAAGAGTAAGCCTCACAAGTCTACGCAATATAAAGCTAGATAGATACTCTAGATGATACGGGTCGCCATTTGCGCCCTGGTTTTCGGGTATCAGATGATATGCAACGTCCCATATCAGTGGTACTTTTGGTTTCGCCATGAACGCCATCTAGTCCCATCCCTTGTCGAGAGCAGCGTTGTCCAGAACGCCATGCCTTTCTACCCTCTGTTGCCGGTGCGATCACAAAATGCAGTCAGAAGAAGGTCCGTCTTCAGTCACGACTAGGCCCAGCCTGCATGGCCTCATGACTGAACAACTTCTTGAGACTCCCACTCGGCTCGCTTTGCCGTTTCCTCCTCTCGCGCTTGGCGAAGTCATCGCCGTTCCCATCCCCGGACCTAAAGGCTGTGAGCGTGCTCACGCTGCTCTCCAGGCTCGCTTGATCAGGAGTAGACGACGATGTTGTTGGGTAGGTCGGGATCACGAGATCAGCGGATTTCGTCGGCTGATGTCCCGTAAGCGGATCCCGGCGAGGCGGTAGTGGTCGATACGAGTACGATGAAGCGGAGGCTGCGGTGCCAACGGAAGAGCTTGGCGTGTGCGAGAGCGAGGGCATGCCGGAGCTGTCTGTCGCTGTGGATGCGCGGTTGAGCCGAGGTCGGGGACGAGATGGGAGGTCCAGGGAGTAGTCGTGCGAGTGGAATTGAGAGAGGTAGCGGAGTGCTTCGCTGTCCTGATTGTCGCCGTGGTGAGAGCCGTAGTCTGAGATGTCGGAAGCGAGTGACAGGGGACGAGGAACTGTTGGAGATCGTTGTGGGATGATGTCTGCAGGGGCGGTCTCGAAGTATGAGGACGCTGTAGGGACGACAGAGGGTGACTGGACGCCGTGGTCGGTTCGTGAGACGTCGTTCTTTCGGCAGCTAGGATGCGCTCAGTACGCTGTTATCTGAGTTCAGAGGTAGTTGACTTACGCTGCCGAACAATACAAGATCGAGCTTCCTGGAGTGATGATCTGCTTCTCGCACGTAGCACTATCACACCGTCAGATAACACATTTACTTTCCGCGGGAGTCACAACTGCCACACCAGAACTGCAAGAAGCTCGCCATCCCCGTCTCATCATCATCCTGGCTCACGATTTCGACGCCTGCCTTTTTGCTGGCTCCGAGCGCCGGCCTGCTACTCGAGCCGGCCCCATGGCCATGCGGCTGAGCATTGTTGTAGCTCGGCGCCCTTTTCTGCAGCTGTCCAGGTCTCGAAGGCTTATTGTGGCCTGGTTGCAGCTTTCGTCCCTGAGAGCCGGAGCGAGCGTGGTGTTTCCTGTCCATGGTGCACGGCTATTGAGCGTGTAGGTTGATGTTCGTGGGTTTCACTCAAATTGTACGAATGCCACGGCTGGCAAGCGAATGCAGACTTTTCGTAGCAAACAAAGATGGACGAGTCCTTCAGATTCCTGGATCCAGCACTTGTACACACAGCGATAGCGGAAGATTATCTTTCATCAAGATGGTAGTGGCTAGCTTGATCCGCGGCGCCGGTAAACGAGCGATAAGGGCCAGTCGGCCAGCAGTTGTTTGAGCAGCGAGTGAATGTTGAAGAGTCGAGTGAAAGGATGAGAAGGAAGGGAAGTGGTGTGTTGGAATAAAGAAACTGGAGTCATTCCGCACTGTGATGGCGCAAGACTGTGCTGAGTCCGCAGTGGGCCGAACACGACGGTCATGCCTGGCAGCAGCGAGTCGCGGTGAGCGTGGAGGAGCGTGCAGATCCCGTCTAGACTGCTTGTCCACTTCGCTCAAGCATTTCTTCCATCTCATTGGTTCTTTTTCGTCCGACATTCGAGACGTTCTCAGAGCGAGAAGTCGCAGTCAATGCGGCATCTCGATTGGTGGATCGAGTACACGTGTCTGGGCAAAGTCAGACTCGACAATACGAGGCCCATGGAAGTAGCACGCAGGCCGATGGCCGGCACAGAGCCAACTCCGCATCAGCGACCTCAGGATGCACGACTAACAGCAACAGACACCGGTCAAAGGCCACCACAGAACAGTCGTAGCGGTCAGATGCCGTTTTAACAGAAGGTGCAGCGTCGAGCATGATGAGCCCCGCGACAACGAGGCTGGTCACGCCACCAGCGTGTCCGGTGAACGACCTTACCTGAATTGCTTTCACCACGATGAGCAGAAGACTCTGTGGACCTAATCAAGTGGCAGATCGACCTCCCTGGAGTGGATTACCCTGGGTCCGGAACAGCGCGTGTACACCACAATGACCACCCTACCGCTCGCTCGAAAAGCTGAAGGTGCGAACGAGCCCTGCCAGTACTGCCTCAACCTGTCCCGCGAGGAGTTCGTTAGGAGAGGCTTCGAATATCGAACGTTCAAGTTCGACATGGCCAGTGTTACGCGAGGTGAGGCCGGCGACTGCCCTTTTTGTCGGCTGCTCGTGGACTGCCTCGTGGCATTCGACATGCACCGCTTGAGAATGTTATACTGGGACATCCGGGTTACTTCAGCCTTGCTGTTGGAAGTATCTAGGGACAGAACCTCGCATCGATTCGAATTCTACGTCAGCCCAGGTGAATGCTGACGGGAGGAGCAGATATAGTATCTACGAAACGCTGACTGGATGACTACAGGCGATCAGACACACCAATGTCTCCCCAGCTCGATAAAGGCTTCAAAGCATATCCGCTCGCTCTGGCAAGACCCCGAGGAAGCGGAGGTGCTGAAAGGCTGGCTGTCACGACCCCGTGCTCTTCAATATGAAAAGCTCCCCACTCGGGTACTCGATGTAGGCGTCGGTCCAGATATGGATGACACTGTCCGTCTGCATCAGAGCTCTGCGAAGGGAGAAGCATTGTACGCTGCGTTAAGCCACTGCTGGCTTCGAGGCGATATTGAAGCGACCAAGACGACAAGCCGCAACTTCCGAAGCCGATTAGACGGCTTCTCAGTTTTCGATCTACCCGACACTTTCCAAGAAGCTATCGCTTTCTGTCGAAAGATTGGCTTGCAGTACATCTGGATTGACTCGCTGTGCATTGTCCAAGACGATCCCGCTGACTGGAAACGAGAGGCCAGTGCTATGGACCAAGTCTATGCGAACGCTTGGTTCACGATTGCCATGCATCACTCCAGCAATGGCAGTATGCCATATAAAAGCCTGAGCCTGGTCATTGGAGAACAAGTGGTTGCGGTCCACGTCCGGCGTATCCCGGAAATGGAAGATCTGGTACACGGTCAAGCTCGCTCGCCAGCAATAGGTCCCACCCATCAGCTAGCCGACAGTAATCACTGGGATTCCGTAGTACAGCGAGGCTGGTGTTTCCAAGAACGAGCCCTGTCCAGCCGCATGATCCATTTCACAGAGCACGAATTCCTCTATGAAGCCAGGGGAGCTTTGACCAAATGCCAGTGCCGGCGCCACTGGCACTTTGGCGTTGGCCTTGCAGGATCTGTTACAGCGTTTGTCAAGCGACGGCCGCACGATATGGACGGTGTCTACCGTGTCTGGAATGACCTGGCTCAGCAGTACACCTCTCGAATGTTCGGTCACAGATCCGATCTTCTACCTGGCTTCGCAGGCGTCGCAAAACTGGTCGGGAAAACATGCGCACAAGGGAACTACATCGCCGGCCTATGGGAGAAGGACTTGATAAAGTGGTTATGTTGGCGCAGCCGCGAATGGCAGTCATCGCGCGCCAGCGCCTGGGCATGCGAAAATTGCCGACCTCATCCTCGACGTATCTGGTGGACTGCGCACGACCCGATCCCGAGCTGGTCATGGGCCTCCCGTCTCGGACCTTGCGAATTCGTCTTCGAGTCGTGGAAAATGACCTCTTGGACCGAAGTAGCTTTCATCGAGCGCGTGGAATGCCGCATGGATAGCGGGAACCCGTACCTCCGTGTAGCATCCCTACAACCTGAGGACTGGCCAGAGGATCCTTGTGCGCGATATCTCCGTATCCGAGGCTCGCTGTATCCATGCCGGAATTTCACTAACAGCACCCCAGAGCACGGCTTCGTCTCGGAGGGAGGAATGTGCAAGAAGGAGTACGGAGTCGTTGTCCCGGACCACTATGCCCGGACCTGGGACCTCACACGCCCAATTCTTGAACTCCTCGTCGACGCTCGCAAGGTTGGGGTAGAGTACTGTGTAGACGCAGGTGACGATTTGCCCCCAAATGCCAGCCAGATCTATCTCCTACCGCTGTATGAGTGTCCGGATTCCATGTCGAAGACGTGTCTGATTCTAAGGGCTTGCACGGAGAAGTTGACCGCCGAGGCGCTTGACACGGATGAGGAAGGCGAGGGAAAGTGGTGGTTGGAGAGAATTGGGATTTCGGTGCTGGACGGGCAGAGGTTTGGTGTGATGCAGCATCAGGAGCTGCAGAATCAGGTCATTCATCTAATGTAGTATTTGGATGGCTTCTGGTACAAAAGTTCTATGTCTGTATTTATCTTCGATAATAGGATGAGACACCAGAACATCCCGCCACATCGCCGACACAGACGCCACATCGCCGTCACAGCACGTACTGGTACGTTGGCGCCTTATCGCCCATGTCCGCGATCTCGTCATGGGAGAGATCGATCCCATTCGTCACCAGCGCCGCCCTCTGCTTGTTCTTGCGCTTATAGAGAAAGCGTAGGACGATGGCACATATCAAGCCTAGACTGACCATCATGATTCTATGCCTTTGTCAGCAGCTGCGCTCATAGACCTAAGGGATCACATGGCAAATACATACTCCAAACCGTGTCCGAGCAGATATCCAGGGGCGTCTTGCGGCCGGTAGAAATTCGGCGCCATGGCACCGCTGAGATTACCCAAGCCGACCAGAACCGCTGTACCAGAGGCTCTTTTGTACGTGGGCGCGATGTTGGACAGCACCCAGGTAATGATAAGCACAAATGTCGGATAGCAAGCAGCGGTCGCAATGAAGACGCCGGCGTACGAGAGACCGTTGATGAGCTGGCTGGACCCGACGATCGTAAGGAGATAGCCAACGAGCTCCGCACAAAGCAGAAATATCACGAAGGCACTCCGCTTCTTCAAGCGATCCGAGTACCACGATAAGACGACCGTGAGAATGCATGCGGTAGCGTACACGGGGATGGTGAGCAGATTGGCCTGGTTCCCAGTGTATCCTAGATTGGCGACGATGGAGGGCAGGAAGGCAGACATGCCGTAGATGGTGCAGCTGGAGGCCCAATCGATGACAACGCCGAGCCAGATTTGCCAGTCTGTGAAAGCGGCGAGGACGTATTTCCACTTGAAGGTGTCACTCTCGATTTCTCCCGCCTCCTTGCCGTCCCATTCGACAGCGCCACGGGTCTGTACGCGGTGGGTAGCCCAGGATCTTTGCTCGGGGGTGAGAAATTTGGCTTTGGCTGGCGAATCAGTGATCAGGAAAAAGGCAGAGACGCCTATGAGGAGGGTAACGATTCCTTCCATGATGAAGATCCAGCTTCTCGACACGTCAGCAATCTCGCTTGTACAAATAGTCCCGACGCCTCTGCTTACCGCCAGCCTGCCAAACCCCCAACACCATCCATCTGCGCCAACGCATAGGCCAGCAAGCCGGAGAAGGAACCCGCCAAAGCCGCAGCACTGAAAAACATGCCCTGCCGAAATCCGAGGTCCTGGGGCGCATACCACGTCGACAAGTAGTAAGCGCAGCCCGGGTACTGCCCGGACTCTGCCACCCCAAGCATCACTCGTACCGCGATGAGCCCGTGATAGTTCTGGACGATGCCAGTCAAGGTCGTGACTAGGCCCCAAGCAACCATGATGGACGGGAGCCATATCGAAGGGCTGAGCTTCTTGAGAAGGAGATTGGCTGGAAGCTCGAGAAGAGCATAGGGGAAGAAGAAGACAGTGTAGGCTGCAACAACATCAGCTTAAGTTACGGTATGCGTCCGGATGCACTGTCCGACTGACCAAGATTGTACCTGTTGCCGGTGAGCTCCAGGTCCTCCTCCATACCCTGTACCTTCGCATTGCCGATGTTGCTGCCGCGTTCGTCAGTGACCTGTTCCGGGAGATGGGTGCGAGACTTAGTCTCTGGGCTTGCCGTACCCTCTGTCCAAGAATGAGAGCAGATACAGCACCGTGACGATGGGGATGACGCGATAGTCCATCTGGCGAAGAGTCTTCTTTGCATCTATGCTTTCAGAGGCTTCCACCGTAGGACCTTGATTGTCCGCAACGTCTTCATCTGAATACTCGAGCCTTCCACTCGACTCCTTCTCGACTGGCGCGTCCATGATCATGAATGGGTAACGACAAGCAACGGTGTTCCCTCGCCGTACGGTGCAGTTCCTGAACAGACGGAACGATGGTATGAATGGTTATATAAGGGGTGGCAGACCCCGCAGGTGCGGTTATATCTTCCTCGGTGCCCACTGCCCAGACAGCGCCATGCTGCTTGGCCACCGAACATCCTTGTGCTGCGTGCTGCTGTAGTGCTTGTAGCGATCGATGGCAGGTGTTCTGTGGGGTGATGAGCGTGCCGTGTCCTCGGTTCCTGTATGCAGATGGAGATGCAGGTGACGTCTGCCACGTGCCTTGGTATCGATCTCCGCGCGGGGCCGCCTCCGCCTTCACCACGTGGGGATGGCGGCTATTTGAGGACATTGCCGTCGTCCACCGAAACACCTCATCGTTTCCCGATCGTTTGTTAGGTCGACGACGTCTCGGCGCTATAAATGATGATTGAAGATCTCTCCCTCTCTTCGCAGGGAGGACGTTATCTACGAGTCTAACCATATTCGTCGACCATCGACGTCATATATGAGCTTTTCCAAGCTGTGCAAGTGTGAGAACTTCTTGTGAGTCTGCTTCTTTGTTTCTTTGTTCATCAGATACCACTTCTTACATGCTGTTCCTTCCCTTGTTTTGGCTTGCCTGCCTGCTCAAGGGTACAATCGCAGACAGCCTTGCCTCTCCGAAGCGAGGTCTCGTCTATGTTGGGGCCGGTGATGATCTCTGGGAACCGAAAGGTTCCGACTTGACATGGTATTACAATTTCGCGCCCTCGCCCTCGCTTCAAGGCAGCGACCTGGAATATGTCCCAATGCTATGGGGCGATAGATCAGAAGACTCTGGCTTTGACTCCACGGTGGAAAACTTGCTACAATCAGGCATCAACGTCAAGCATGTCCTCGGGATGAATGAGCCTGATTTGTGTGCCGATGAGTCCGCCGGAGGCTCATGTATCGAAGCGAAGAAAGCTGCCTCTATATGGAAGCAGGAGATCGAGCCTCTAAAACACCAAGGCATCTCACTCGGGGCGCCTGCTGTAACCCAAGGCGGCCTGTGGTGGCTGCAGGACTTTTACACTGAATGTGACGGAGGATGCAGCACCGATTTCCTGCCAATCCACGTCTACAGCGATTTCGTTGGTCTTGCGAGCTACGTCGGTCCGGTTCACGAGACATACCCGAATATGAGCATTTGGGTCACGGAACTCGCTTATCCCAACGCCACCGTCCCTGAGTCCGAGCATTACTACAACCAGACGGTCGATTTTCTAGATGGCTTGGACTATGTTGCCCGCTACTCTTACTTTGGCAGCTTTCCTCCGGATGCTGCATCGTCGTGGGTTGGCTCAGGGGGGACTATGATGAACAACGATGGTGAGCTCACGAACATCGGGGCCTGGTACCTGGGCATGTCGTCGGCGGAGGCTGGTACCAAGCCGGAGAGTGCTGCGATGATTCTATCTCGACCGTGTCTACCTGCTTGGGTACTACTGGGCGCCTTATGGGCATTTGTGCTTGAGCTGGGTTAAGTTCTGGTGGGAAAACGCCGATACGAAGTTACCCTCCCATTTTGACCCCCCAGACCTCATCCGCTGCCTCAAGACACCTGGATCGAGTCGAACAACCCTTTCCACCGTTTGCTGTCGGCTTGCGTTGGAGAGCTTCTGTGCCTTCCACTGCTCCTAGCCCTCTTCTACGGCCTCGACTCGATGTCCAGGCCTCTGTGGATTTGCGGAAGACTACGCTACATCAATGTGCTGATGTCCGCTATTTGAACTACAAGGACAGCATCTTCTTCAAGCCACGGCTCGCTCGCACGAGTAGCATCAGAGAGCTTTCACGAGCTCGCATACCAAAAATCCTTCATACGCGAATCGACGGGGCGATGAAGGAATACGGAACAATTGCTGCGTAAATAATGAGCCGGCACTACCGAGAGCAATGGGAAAGGGTATAGGCCCGGAAACAAGTTCCTGACGTGCTGGAATGGTTGGTCGTCTCCTGGATGAGAAGAACGTGCATTCTGTCGAGGTCTATATGATTGTCGGCTTGAGAATGACAGATGCAAGAAAAAGAGAACGTAGGGCGTGGTAGATATATCTTGAAGTACTATTTCTACATGTCAGAGAGGCTAAAATGCCAACACTCATGTACCTGGTCAGAGCCCTCCTGCGGTCTTCCACCATGCCGTCGGTTCGGTGGCTAGGTACAAACTCCGCTGCTCCCTTCCATTAACGCATTTCATGGCTTCCTTCCTCTCCTACGCCCCTGCCCCGTTGCTCCGAGCCAACGCCATTGTCTTGCTGCCATAGACCCTATGCCTTATGCCACAGAATGCATGTTGGGGTCGTCTGTTCCTCCTAATTCCTTGCCATCCGATGTGATGCAAAGGTCTGATTCACAGAAACTTTGAGAGTGAAGGTCGTATAGTCTCCGTTGCCGTTGTCGACACTAAGGTGGCTGTTTCGTAACCCTCTCGGGATGACTTGCTGTTGTTGGGCTCATATCATTCTTCGAGGTAGGCATGTCGCTCTACTCCCATATCGTCCCTTATCTCTGGCTCGGCAGCGGCTTCGCACTCCTCCACGGCTCCTTCGCTTTCCGGCACATGGCAAGGATGCGTTGTTGTCTGGTCTTCTCGTCCATATTGAAGTTGTCCTCGCGAGGTCCAATAGGTAAAGTCATCTCGATGAACTTCTGGTCCATGGAGTCCGTCGAGGCCCGCGAGCTGAAGCTGCTGGTGGAGGACTTGCGGCTGTTGTTGAAGCGCATGATGATGGCTGTTATGGTGGTTGAGAGTTGTGCTGGTGTTGTCGTTCAGTGTTGGTCTGATTGACTTCTCGACTGTTTGATCGTCTGTTCATAGGTTGCCTTGTGTCGTGAACCATCCTGATCTGAGGTGGGCCCACGCCCTGCTTATAACGTTCCACGATCACGACATCGCCGGTGCTATCGGATCACGCATGCCTTCTAATCACGCCAGATGAGTCGTAGCACGCGCCGAGCACCAATGAGACGGTCCAGATTCCTTGTCCTCTCTCCGGGTTTTGGACGGACTTTGGCGGGTTGGAAGTAACAGCTGAGAAAACAGCGAATGAGAGAGCGAAGGGAGTCGGATCCGAGAAAAGGTCCGACGTCCTGTCTGCGGGCTGCGTCAGCTGCGGTGATGTTGAAAGCTCCTCCTTCTTCGGACGAACACGCGGAGGTTGACGAGTACCTCAACGTCCATCTCCTGAGAGTACGAGAGGGTATACTTCCACCTCTTTCAACATGTCCTGAGGTGAGGTAGCAGACAAGTGCAACAGTTGCCCGAGGTCTGCACCGAGCTACACGAGCAGGCATTTGCAAGCAAACCCCGCCTGAATCGGTTCAGAATGATCGGTAAAATGGTAATCGAGAGTATGGCGACATTTCTTTCTTCAAATCCGTTCAGCAGATCCACTAAGTGACTACATTTTGTATCAATCCTTCTCTTCGACGATGACGACTCAGCAAGTACAATCAGTAGGCATCTACCATGGCCTGCCAGTCTTTGGCCCTGAGCAGACTGGCTTGACAGCCATCATTACCGGCGCCAATGGAATCAGTGGCTACTATATGTACCGCGTCCTTTCTCAAGACCCGAAGCGATGGAAGAAGATCTACTGCCTGTCTCGAAGACCGCCTTTGATTCCTGGTGGCCTGCCAGATCATGTTGAACACATCCCGCTGGACTTTTTGAAGGAGCCCAAGGAGATTGCCAACGTGCTGAAAGAGAGAAATGTCACAGCCGACCATGTCTTCTTCTACTCGTACATCCAACCGCCGCCTCTGCCTGGCAAAGGCTTGTGGTCGGATGCGGAAGAGACAGCGCGAGTCAATTCGGAGCTGGTGAGGAATTTCCTGGAGGGGATGAAGCTGGCTTCTATTACGCCTAAGCGGTTCATGCTGCAGACGGGGGTACGTCTTCTCAGACTGCTATATCAAGATCTATACTGACAGCGGCCACAACAGGCTAAGAACTATGGAATTCACCTCGGACCAACAAAGCAACCGCAAGAGGAGACCGACCCTCGCATTGAACTAGAGCCCAATTTTTATTACCCCCAAGAAGATCTACTGTGGGACTACTGCAAATCGAATGGCTGCGGGTGGAACATTTGTATGCCAGGCCCAATTCTCGGCGCCGTGCCCGATGCAGCGATGAATGCGGCGTTCCCGTTAGCTGTATACGCGGCAGTCACTAAAAAGCTCGGCCAGTCATTCGAATTTCCAGGCGACATCGTTTCGTGGCAAGCCCAGCAATCTATGAGCAGCTCCATGATGAACGCCTACATGGAGGAGTGGGCTGTGCTGAATGGCCCTGCGGATCAAAAGTACAATACGTGCGACAGCAGTGCTTTTGCATGGGAGAAGTGCTGGCCAAGGATTGCTGGGTGGTATGGCGTCGACTGGAATGGTCCACAGCCAGATGAAGAATGTACGGCAACCGAAACGAGGTTCAACCCACGCGGCTACGGAGGCAAAGGCGTCACGAAGCGGAAGTTCTCAACCGCCGCCTGGGCGAAGAGAGAGGATGTTCAGAAAGCCTGGGGTGAGCTGGCGAAGGAGCATGGGTTGACGCAGAAGGAATTGGTGGATGTTGACCGTGTGTTTGGCTTCCTGGATGGGACGCTCTGCCGGCACTCGCCGTTGAACTTCTCGATGGACAAGAGTCGGAAGTTGGGATGGCATGGGTTTGTGGATTCGTCGGAGTCATTCTTGGAGGTGTTTGACGATCTGGCGAAGTTGAAGATGATCCCGCCGGTGCCGAAGGTGGATGTGACGTTTAATTGAGTGGTGGCAGGATGTGCGTATTCTGTTGCTGGGAGGACTTATCCGTTGTACTCTATCTTATTCAGTACACTCTAATCGATAGTTCTACCTTCATACGCTAGTCAATATCTTCTTCATGCCACAGCCGTCCCTTTGTTGGTCTCTGGGCGTGTGATGATGCACTAAAACACATCGGGCTTTCTTCGGGCCCTTTCATACTGGAATACATTAGTTATAACAGAAAAACTGCCTTCCATGACCGGCCGGGGTAGCTCAATCGGTAGAGTGCGCAAAGACCCTTCCGTTGGCCAACCAAATAATAGCTAACGTCTCTCCAGGCGTGTGGCTCTTATTCATTAAGATCAACCTCAAGGTCGCGGGTTCGGTTAGTTCCTTCATCTTTCCAATCAATTGTCAATCAGTTGCTAATGAAAGCAGAGCCCCGCCTTCGGCTATTCCTATCCTGTGGTTCAACCACAATCAAAGGCAGCAAGGCTCGTGTGACCATTTTTTTGTCCGCTTGATTTGGTGTATGGGATGATGCTTGGTATATGGAACGTTGGCAAACGTAGAAACCTATTAGGATGAACTTTTGCTTGCGGGATATGTGCAGAGCTCTTGCAACTGTAATGACGCATAATCTTAGAACCTGGTTCGATCTCAATGGAGGTAGGTAGGACGGATACACCTGTAGGCGTGCGTTGGGTACATCAACGAATGGCGGTCTTCTCCGTTTGGCGGACTGTACTCATACCCATCACGCTCTTAACCGCAACCCCTTTCTAGCCAAGTGCTTCGAAGCCTTCAATCGAAACGTATGCGGACTCACCACATTCGCCAATCGTCTGAACTTCAACACTCCCGGCGATACAGTGCTGTACTGCGGCCACTTCTTAGCCAACCCTCCTGCGTTTTCAGACTCATCCTTCGGTCCCAGATCGTTAAGTGTGATTGAAATAATACGTCTGCGTAGCCTATGTAGGCTGCTGCAAATACTCCTTAACGTAGAGCCAACAGCATTTCCACTGTCGAGTGGCACAGATGGTCCAGCAGCTAGTTCTGCAACGGGAGAAGCGAATGCAGTAGCATGGAATAGGATTGAGAATGTGAAACAGCGCATCTCGACAGCGATCCAGCGTACGAAACATGGGGAACGAACTACCTCTCTCATCGATAGGGATGGATGGTGGCGGATCTATCGCTGAACTAAGCCCCTCAGCCGCCTCGGCATCCGGGAGATACACTACGTGCCTCTTGCTGCGCTGTACTCTGCCGGGATTTTGAAAGCGTCGACACGGCGTTCGATCCATCCTGCCTCCACTGCGTATCACCTTCCACCACACCAACTCCTCGCGGGTTGGTGTTCGAGAAGGCTTCACCCGTACGCATGAGGATTCCCTGCTCGTTGGGCTGCGTCGCTGGATTCGTGTTCGCCATGGTTGTGTCGTTTGGTGGTAGTTTCTTGAGCGGTCTAGGTGAAGAGGTTGTTGTGTGAGGAGAAGTGGAAGACAGCATGAAGAGAGAAGTTGTGCGAATAATTAGAAAGGCACGACAATACCTACCTCTCCACCCGCCCTCTTTCTTCCCACAAACGATGAAAGCTCACTGACAGGAGTGATGTGGCCATTTTAGGAGAACATGCTCTCGGAGAAGACTTCCCGACACGTCCGGCGCAGCCTTCACTGGCGTCTGTATGCTAGGTAGTTTCATCACTGTAGGTGATTTAGTGGTCAGCCATGCGTTGAGGTTCTCCAAGGAAGGGGTGAAGAGAAAGTCTTTAGCGGAGCAGTTGGTCAACCATGCCCCGCCAGCCAGAATGGAGGAGCACTGATCACGATTGGGCGTGTACGCACTGCGGCTCGTTGCCGTATAATCATACAGTCATCTTGCCTGGTATCTGCAATGTCTCGGTTCACATGCTTGCAATGACCTTTTCACTGCGCCCACTGCCTTCGCCGCTGGGCCCATGGGGTACCCATCGGCTCGGCGGAGAAGGCCGTCAAAACACGCTGCAATGGCCTGCCGGAAGTGACGCTCGTCTGGCGGCTGCGAGGAGGCGGTGTAATCTTTCATACGTTCGTCGGCCGGGGTGTCCTTTGGCCGTTGTCACGTCTGCGCTGCAGCTCCATTCTGGGCTCCGTCAGCTCACGCCTGGCCTCATCGCGCTCACGGTGTGATCAGGAGAGCTCTCTCTACCGGCTGTGTCTCGTCTGCGGCGCCAGCCGCATGGTGAGGAGGTTGTTGTCGGGAAGGAGGTGCGGCTTGTACGCTTGAAACCTGTCTCTTCTCGTTGTCGCTGGCCGTCATGTCCCAGTAGACCTGGACACGCATCTGGAACACGAGCAGCTTGGTGTTTTCCGTGGTGGCCCACTCTCGGCTTCCAGCGCTGCGATCGTGATCAACGGAGTCACGCCAACCGGCAGTGTCTCGTTCGTGACGCCAGCGGTCTTGTTGTATGCTTCGGCGGAGCTGTGGAGAAGGTTGGCCTGCTCTCACAAGGCGGAGTGAGACGATGTCGTTGTTCGGTAACAGTTGCCTCTTGTAGGTCTGAATCTGCCTTTTCTCCGTCTCGCTCGCCGTCATGTCCCAGTAAACCTGAACACGCATGTAGAAGACGAGGAGCTTCGTGTTCTCCGCCGTCGCCCATTTGGAATTCTGGTTGTCGTACGCCCAGAACAGCTCGCCAGTGATCTTTGCTTCGTCGTGGTTTTCGAAGGCAGTGTGGTCGTCGACGGAGAGGAAGTGGTCGCCCTGGCATTTGAAGGTTGTCGTGGGCATGGCTCGAGAGTTGACCGAGACGCAGAGGTATACCGGGCATCCAGCCTCTTCGTACTCGCAGTGATTTGCGGCCGCCTTCTGCTTCTGCTTCTTCGGCGTATGCCCCGTCCCACTAGTAGACGCCTTTGCCTGGTCGTTCGCTTTGCGGTTGCTCTTTGAGTCCCTGATCATCACGCCGAGAGTTGCCCTCACCGCCTCCATCTCCTGCTTCTTCATGTCCGCCGGCATGCGAGTTCCCGCCCACCGACCGGCTCCCTCCACCCCCTCCCCTTCGAAGATAATGCTGATGATGCTGGCAACGTCTTCGTTCGTCCACTCGGCCAGCGCTGTCGCGTTCTTAGCATCTGCGCGGACGTATCAGAGGGTCGCCTTTGCGCTGAGATTCTTGATGCATTCGAGCGAGATCTCGGGGCTAGTAGCTGACCGTTCTCGGAAGTGTCCTAGGCAGCGTTCTGATTGTCATGATCCGTGAAGGCCACCCCCCGTCTTCATCTCGTCATGGTTCTCGAGTGTCGTGTCGTGATCGCTGCCATCGCAGCGACTGTAGAATCACCTCAAAGCCGTAGTGGAGTGTGAGAAGACCGCAACACAGAGGTAGACCGGGCATCTCGGACTCGTCATGAAGCTCTCCTCTTCTTCTGCTCCATCGCCCATGATCTCCTAACTCTCCTAACAGGAGAAAACTGAAATCGAAATCAAAAGAACACCTACATCTCTAGAGGCACTTGGCGCGATATTCGCCAGTTTCACTGCTACGGATGTGTTGGAAATTGCCATGGGTAAGAGATCTCCGGAAGAGCTTGAAATGACAGGCGTGCAAAAGCCCTGAAGTTAGCAAGGCAGTATGTGTTCATGGTCGAGAACGAGCGACGCAGCGTTTCGATGCCGCAGTTAGAGCCAGGCGTGCGGTCTTGTTGTCAATTAGAGGACAAGGAGTAGGCAAGGCCGTGACAGTGGTGGCCCAACCCGGATTAGCTATTGATACTTCTCGCCAGTGAGTTCAGTTGTCTGAGCCATAGCACTAATGGTACCAACGGTCGTGCCAATTTCTTCAGGAGTGAGTAGTGGAGAGGGTTACTTTGCAGAGGCACGATCGTTTGGTTGCGGCGAGTTGAGGCACCCCCGAGATTAGGGTTAGCTTTCCTCATTGAATCATTCACATGCTTCCAGGTTGAATTAAACAATCTATTCCACCCTCTAAAACCAGCAGAGCAACTCCCCAGCGACAACAAGACCACAATCACAAGATGGCCGACCCTAAGCAACAAGTAATGGACCAAGTCCGACAACAAGCCGCTCTCTCCAACGCCAGATTACTTGTCGAAGTACGCTCGCCTTCCTTCCTTCCTCCATCTTGTTACTAACAACACATTCCCGCAGAAACTCAACGAACACTGCTTCGAGCGCTGCGTCCCCAAACCCGGCAGTTCACTCTCCTCATCAGAATCCACCTGCTATACCTACTGCATGGAGAAGTACATGCAAGCGTGGAACACGGTTTCGAAGCAGTACATTGGACACGTGCAGAGAGGGGCTGGCGGTGCTGGAGCGGGTGCAGGGGCTTTTGGAGGATTATGAGGTGGGCATGATGGAGGGTGTACGATAGTGGGACGAGGAGGCTGGACTGAGAGCGAATGCATTGCATTGGGTTGTAAGATGGCTAGCATGATGCCACTCAACGAAGTAGACGCATGGATTGCGAGCGTTGCGGGCAGCGCTGAGGGAGACTCTGGCTCGATGGCAACGGTTGGCCACAAGCTGGTACAAAATGTACAGTAGTGGATTGGAAACATTGTACCATAGTGTCGAGCACCGCTTGAGAGGCGGTGTCCACGCACATTGAGATACGTTGTGCGCCTAAGCTATGCATCGCTACGCTATATTGCAACAATCAACTCCGAGAACAGATTTCAGCATCACCTTCTTGTCATCGCAGTCGATGGCGGTGTTCCTTTCGTAGGCGGCGGGCTCATCATTTGTTTCTGCCTGTCCGCATACTCCTTCACAATAATACTGCAAGCAACCTCCTTGCACAGCCTTTTCGTTCTTGCCGGCGGCAACAGCCCTGCAAACTCCAAACCAGACGCTCTCTCCACGGCCTCAACAGGCACCTCGAAGTCTTGCAACGGTTTGTCGTTCGGGATGATGTCGTTTGGCAGCACAAATGCGCCCAGCGAAACATTACCACCATTCTTGCCGTCCTCAGCAAAGATGACTTTGTAGAAGTGCGTCGGCACAGCGACATTGGGCGGATGGCCGATCACTTCGTACGAGACCTTCCACTTGCCATCTATTGCGTCCCTCTTTGGCAGGTACAGCGGTCCGGTAACGATCCGTACCGAGGGATAGAAAGATGTCAGACGTCGACAGAAGTCCTCAAAATGTGCCCAGTAGTCTCTGTTGAAGCCATCTCCGACCTGTGGACACATATTCGATAAAGCAAACGTCGAGTCCATAGCTTCCTGACTCCATTTCGCGTCTGCTGCAGGGACTTGATGTCCTCTGTCGTAGCCACTTCGCGCGTAGTCGGTGAGCTTTGCTCGGTACTTTTCCGGTATCGTGTGGTCTTCAGCAAAGTACGAGTGTCTGCGGTCGCCGTTTCGAAGGAGGAGGGAGGCTGGCGTGATGTGCTCTGCTACCCAGTGAGGGTTCCGTCGGGCTCGGTCGAACGATGATATGAGGGATGGGGCAGCTCGAAGATCTGCTACTGGTCCCAGGAAGCCATACTGAAAGACGCCGTTTGGGTCGACTGGAGGGACAGCTGGAACTCCTGGGTCGTCTCTGCGGATTGGGACTGGCGGAGGCGGTGTAGTTCGGGATGGGTCTTTTGAGATGGTTGTTGGAGTCGTCGCTATCGTCTGTGACTTCGCCTCTCTTCTCCCTCCAATCCCATACAGTGCTGCAGTCGTCGCAGCTCCCACAGCTGCTGATGCGCCGGCAACGACAGCGAGTGTAAACTTCGACATGCTGCTTGGTGCCGGTGGCACGCCAGATTACCGGAACGCCTGCTCTTATAGATGTCCTCCCCGGCGCCTGAACATCCACCAGCTGCTGTGGTCACCAGGACGTTTGTTTCGGCGCGATCTGGCAGACGACGCGAAGTCCAATCAAAATGAAGCTAGAGACGGCGGTCCAAAAGATGGAAAGAGGCATAACATGTGATCGCGCGTAGCTGCCTAGCGCTAGCGTGTCTGGTGTCTGGCTGACATCACTTCTCGACTCGACTGCTTAACATTGCTGTCGCAACATGCAATGATTCTTCACCGCGACTCTGCGTGAACGGATTTAGTTCGCAGTGCTGGTGAGATCATGACAGACCTGCCGTATCGCAACAAAACGGCAGACCCGTCGAACCATGGCGGCGGCGAGGAGGAAGAGGAGGAAGAAGACGACATCGACGACTCTGGCTACAAGACACAAAAAGACGCTGTACTATTCGCCATCGATGTCAGCAAAAGCATGCTGCAGACGCCGACAGACGCAGATCCGAAGAAGCCAGATACGGCGTTATGTCCGACGTTAGCAGCATTGAAGTGCGCTTATGCGTTGATGCAGCAGCGCATCATTTCGAACCCGAACGACATGATGGGTATTCTTCTTTTCGGCACGGAGAAGAGCAAATTCCAGGAAGGGGACGAGGAGACCGGCAGAGGCGGCCTGCAATACCCGCACTGCTACCTTCTCACAGACCTGGATGTTCCGGCAGCCGCGGACGTCAAGCAGTTACGAAGTATGGTCGAAGACGAGGAGGAGGCGTCGAAGTTGCTGCAGGCATCAACCGAAGAAGTCAGCATGGCGAACGTTCTGTTCTGCGCCAACCAAATCTTCACTACCAAAGCACCCAACTTCTCCTCCCGCCGGTTGTTCTTGGTGACCGACAACGATTATCCTCACGCGGCCAACCGCGATGCTCGCAACTCAGCGGCAGTCCGGGCCAAGGACCTGTATGACCTTGGTGTGACCATCGAGCTCTTTCCAATCTCCCATCCAGACCGCGGCTACACGTTCGACCGAAGCAGATTCTACAATGACATTGTCTACTCCGCCACTCCATCCGACCCAGACGCACCAGCACCGCTCTCTTCCGACATCAAAGCTGCCAATGCTTCCGCAAAGGATGGGATCAGTCTGTTGCAGGCCTTACTGTCGTCCGTGGCATCCCGTGCAGCACCTCGCCGCGCACTCTTCAGCAACGTGGCCTTTGAAATCGCTCCAGGCCTCAAGATCAGTGTCAAAGGCTTCATCATTCTCAAACGACAAGAGCCAAGACGCACATCCTACATATACCTCCCGTCTGATAGTGACAAGCCTCAGGTCGCCGTCGGCAGCTCGACGTTGATGGCAGAAGACACAGCACGTTCGGTGGAGAAGGTCGAGATACGGAAGGCGTACAAGTTCGGTGGCGAAACAGTCTCGTTCACCATGGAGGAGATGGCCAAGATCAGGAACTTCGGTGACCCAATCATCCGTATCATTGGCTTCAAGCCGATGGATATGCTCCCGATATGGGCCAACATCAAGCATAACACATTCATCTACCCCTCAGAAGAAGAGTACGTCGGCTCGACCAGGGTCTTCTCTGCGTTACAGCAAAAGCTGCTGAAAGATAAGCTCTTCGGCCTCGCTTGGTTTATCCCTCGCAAGAACGCCGTACCGACCCTCGCCGCCGTCTACCCGGGCACCGAGAAGCGTAACGAAGAAGGCGAACAGGTCATGCCTCCAGGCCTCTGGATCAAGCCTCTGCCTTGCGCCGACGACATTCGTGAACCACCAGAGACCAACTCCATCAAGGCACCAGACGAGCTAATCGACTCGATGCGCGTTATAGTACAACAGCTCCAGCTTCCGAAAGCCGTCTACGACCCAAGCAAGTACCCGAACCCAAGCCTGCAATGGTTCTACAAGATCTTGCAAGCTCTTGCTCTGGAGGAGGATCTACCGGAGACTCCAGAAGACAAGACGCTGCCACGGTGGAAGCAGATCCACAGGCGCGCTGGGCCGTATGTGGTCGAATTTGGTGAAATGTTGGAGAAGCATTACGCCGAGTGGCAACGCGAGAACAAAAGCAGTGTACATCCAACTACCAATGGCGCTGCAAAGAGGTCACAGACGTCCACGGCCTCAGGAGCTAAGAAGGTGAAGACGGAGGATGTGGAAGATGAAGGTCCCAGTGAGGAGCAAATGCTGGCGGCACATCAGAAGGGTGCTCTCGCAAAGTTCACAAATCCACAGTTGAAGGCATTCTTGGCTTCAAAGGGAGGGCGCGCTTCGGGAAAGAAGGCAGATCTTGTGGAGGCTGTGACGGGATACTTCGAGACGCGGATGAATGTCGATTGATGAAGTGACGTTTCCCTGATGTCTTGACGTGTCAATGAAATTAGCGAGGTGTTTTGGTGCATGTAAGGTCAAATGCTGCAACGAGTCATCAAATCACTGTCTACTGACTTCCAAATACGAACGTCTCACGACATGTGAAGCTCACATGGTTAGCGTATGACGCGGTTCGCACGTGGCAAACATTCTCTCGCATGCTCTTCACAACTTCACGTCCCACCGCATGCTAACACCTGCACATACCCGTTCGAAAGCATGCCGCTGCGACCGATGCGGACCACTCGCCAAACGGACTACAAGCCTCAACATTCATCACCACTCGCGCAGTTCGTCTGGCACATCGATGATCGGCCCTCACCGTCGCCGCCGCCCTCTGCAAACTATGGGCTTGGTCTCACTTTCCGCTCGCCACGGTACCTGCCACCCTTGCGACCTAGGTTCAAAATCAAGATTCCAAAGCACAAACGACCGGAACTGGAGAGGAAAGATGCGAGTCTGGATCCTGCGCTGTTTGAAGATGAGGCCAGGGCGGTTGATGAAGTGACGGATAGTGGGTACTCGCTCCCTGAAGAGCCGGCGGAAGGTGCGACCGAGACCAAGGAAGGAGCTGATGACTTCAGCACGTGCTGGTCGAGTGAAGTGGGAGAGCGTCCGGGCGAGGTATCGTACTATGAGCAAGTGCAGCAGAGTATTGAGCCTGGAGAAGCACGTCTGAAACGACAACAAAGTCGCGAAGGAGAGGAAACCAGGCCAGAGGAGCTGGACACAGCAAACAGCAATTGTAGGGACTTTGCTTATGCTCCGCCTCCTTTCAGCAACTCATACCCAATCTCCAGGTTGGTGGTGAGTGACCAAACCACTGACGTGCCTCATGCCGGCGCTGAACAAGCTTCCACAGGTGGCCAGACAGCGCTTCCAGAGAACAGTGCGAGCCAGATTGAAAGTCCTCAAAGCGGCATTGCTGGATCCTTTCTATTGGCGCATGAAGCACGAGCTTCGACGTCTTCTCCTCAGGATGCTATACCGACAACAGGCGCGGTTCCGATTGATCAGGGCCAACTTGTGGTGGACGACCAGTCTTGGTCGAGCGACCTGGGCCACACGAGCGACAAAGCAGGCCCAGCGCCTCAGAGAGTCATCCTGCGAGCCTACGGTCCGCGAAGCAGATCCCGGGTACGAGAAAGAGCCTTGACAGAAGAGAAGGCCGACGAAGAAGGACAGAGTGGTCTCGGGAACGACGAAGGCACACGGTCTGCTTCGAAAGTCGACACCAACGCTGAGTATCAAGACTACGCTGATGTTTCAGGAGAGGCCAGCTCCGTACACCTTAGCAACAGTGGACTTATGGAGATGGCGGCGGCAGCTTTGAGGGGCGATGAGGCTACAAGAGCCATCTGAGACCGCTTTCTATCCAGAAATGGGACACTTCTTGCTCCCGCTATATGACTCTTGAGGTCGAAAGTATGGGATCTTGGGAGGAGCGGGATCAAGAGTGGATAGCTGACAACTCAAGGCACGCAGCGACCGAACGCATGAGCGCGAGAGTCTCGTGGTCAGCTAATTGTTTCATGCGATTGATGTTCGATAGCTACCTACATTAACCAACTAATCGACCACCTCCTTCGGCAGCATAGTGATGTAGTCCAATGGTGCTGGCTCTATTCCTTCAGCTGTCCCTTCGATTCTCACCATATCACCATGCTCGGTACGCATCGTGGAACGTCTTCCTTATGGCTGAGTGACCGTCTAGGTAGATCGACGCAAGTCCTCCGAGATGCTGTACCGCTGGCCGATGTTCTTGTCAAATACTCGAATGCACCATAGAGAGCACCGCGCTCGTTTTGTCCTAGGATCTGCACTGTCTTGCCAGCGTTACTGAGCCAGAAGCCATCCTCTTCGAGACTTGGAGAATCGCTGAGACTGCCGTAGACCCTTTCGTACTCATCGACAGTTCCAACGCCGACCGAGAGACCAGATCGCTTGCCGTGGCAGACTTCGACAGTCTTCCCAAAGACCCCTTGGACTCCACCACGCCGTTCTTGACCGGCAGTGTAGACAGGGCTAGATTTTGTTGTGTTTAGCGCCACAATGCTTGAGGGTACTGAGTATTTGGCACGATACGACGCAGGCAGAGGAGCATAGCGAAGCCATGCCTCGACAGAACTCTCTGCAGCCCCAAGGAAAGTGAGGCAGTTGATGAGAAGCAAGCGAAGGATGTTGAGTATGAAGGAGACTGCTTACCATACTCACAGGCTCGGGACACTCAGCCCATTACATCAGTCACCTTTTCAAGTACCGCTGTCGTGATATCCTGTCATTGCGGAGGGCGACTGCAAGAAGCAGAAGTGATCCGCCCAGATGAAGAAGGTCGTCATTCAGGCTGTCTATATCTGCGAAGAACCGGATGAACGGTGGCATCTGGTGTGAGGTTGGGATGGAGGAGAAGGCTTGAGAAGGCTTCAAAGAGCTTGAAACAAGTGCCAAAGACGCTTGCATTTGATCGTCCCTGTAGTTCGTTGAAACTTCGACTATTCTTGTGAGGCGTGTGAGATTGTTCGACCGCTGTAGCAAAGTCGTCCGGGACACTTCGGTATAGCGGTGAGCCGAAGAATCCGCAAGCGGCCACAACGATTGTTGGTGTGTACCTCTAGCTTGTCATTTCAGTGTGCAGTGGAAGGGGTCTTCGATAGAAGCCTTTCGAGGACCAGACTGCAATCTCTCCTCCAACGTCCGTGATACACTGCTGACGGTGTCGACCACCCATCTCCAATATCGTTGACAAGCTGCGTTACGTTATTGAGCCAAAGTTCAGCTCACTTCTGAATCCCGTTTTCTGCGCTGTACTGAGCCTCTATCCGATCGGTGCAACTCCTTCCTTGTCCTTGATTTTCGGCAGAGCAACGCTTGTCAGCCCTGCCTAGGTCGGAACTCAACATAAGGACCACCGGCAGCGCACATCGTGATATAGCCAGGAGCATTAGGCTCACACGCCTTGCCAGGTTGCCGTGTAGCACAGCAAGGTGCTTCGCTGGTCAAGCGCATATCGAAAGAGAAGAGCACTCGCGCCAATGCAACGGTCATTTCTGCCCACGCCAGACGCCAGCCCAGACAGTTCCTCGTCCCCATGCTGAATGGTGCATATCCAGGAGAGGGGTGGTATGCGATGTCTTTGCCGGCAGAATCCTCCAATCGACGGAGCCAGCGGTCTGCGACGAAAGAGTCGGGGTCGTCGAAGTATTTCTCGTTGTGATGCATCGTGTATAACGAGGTCCCAACCGTGGTACCGCCCGGCAAGAAGTGTCCGTCAACTGTAGCTCCTCCTGCTGGAACGATGCGAGGTAGAGTGTTCGGAGCCGCCGGTGATATCCGTAAGGTCTCAAGGATACAGGCCTGGAACATGCGTAAGGAATCTAAAGTCTCCCCAGTGCGGATGTCTTCAACGTTGGAGAATGCAGATCTGACCTCTGCAGTAACCTTTGCCAGGAGGTCGGGTTGGTGAACGAGGTAGTGGTAAGTTATTGCCATGGTCGTGGCGGTCGATTCGGAGCCTGTCATGAAGTTAGCTGAGTTGCAAGTCTCAGGGCTGAGTCGTTGGAACATACCAGCAGCCAAAAGAAACATGCTTTCAGCCCAGATGTCTTTGATGTTACCCTCAATATCCGGATTCCCGGTTCGCTTTTCCTCCGCAGCCATCATGCTCGTAAAGAGATCCGGCCTGTTTTCGTCCGCACATCGCTTCGCTTGAGCCCGGCATATGTCGAGTGACCAGGCCGCCAGTCTACTGATCTCTTCCCTTGCCCGATACAACAGTACCCTGTCTAATTTCCACTTGAACAGCGTCGGGTAGCTCATACACTTTGGAGAGTTAGCACTGTTGTTGCACTACGGGTAGGTAACTCACGATAAGGTTCCGCCATTGGACGTTTCGGAAGGTTTCAGGCACCCATCGATTCTCTTCGGAGTGTAAAAGGTCAAACGACTCGCCGTAAAGAAGGTCCGTAATAACATCCAAAGTTAGCCAAGAAGTGAACTTGGAGATGTCCCGTGGCTCGGTCCAAGCCGATTTCTGCCCATCTGGTCCCTCAAGTGGGCAAAGCAGCGTCGTGAAACTTGCAACCTTGTCTACGTAACGATCTTCGAGATCTCGAATGCTCTTGTCGCCGAAGAAAGGGCCTTCGGACTTTCGTTTGAACTGCGAGACTTTCTTGTCTTGTGTCGATACAGCATTACCTCGCCTGCTTGGGCTGAGGACCATGTATTCGGGAGCCTTCCGGAAGTTGGCCTTCGCACTGTAGATATCGCAAAAGGCCTCGTACGTGTCGAAGGATAGGAAGTTGGGGGCGATGCGGACGGCGGAGCCTGTTGCGGTACGCCTTAGCAATGCATCCACGTTGATCCTTGGTCTTCGCCCTACCATATCTTCGATGCCATTTCAGATTCGTCGTGTGCCATTCTGCTTTCATTGCAGGATATGTGAACAACCAAGGTACTAAGGCTGCTAGTGGTGGGCCATTGAACTTGCGGAGCGGGTCGGCGGCAAGATATCGAATGAACAAGGCGCAGGCCTACCGACAATACATGTTAGCAGAAGGACTTTCTTCTTGAGGACGTGATTGCCTTACGGTCAATACCAGAAAGACGCCATATGTCGCTGGCGAAGCAGCGAGTAGTCCCATGATGATGGTTTGTCGAGAAGTGATTGATTATACAGAGTCTTGTTCGAGGTTGGCTTGAACTCTGAAGAGTGTTATACTGTATGCTCCGGGGGCCCAGGTCAATATGAATCCTCCGAAATCCTGGTGGACCGCTGACCTCAGCGACGAAACGTTGAGTCTCCTGATTGCCTGAGTTACCACAGAATCAGCAGTTGAGTGTCCAGTCGATCATGCCCAATCGTTGCCATGTCGGAGGCGGTGACTTAAGCGCACCATGTCGATAGGCGATAGTAGCAACGCGACCCACCACGATCGAGGTTGTGTGGAATCCCGAAGAGGAAGGAACACATTCTGGGCATGTGAAAACACATCTGCTTCTTGCACGAGATAACACTCGTCGTATCGCAAGGCCTTACAAAGCCTTAGTTCGTCTCGGACTTCGTCATTGAACCCACCATTAATAGCTAGTAGGGTCGGTAGGCTGCTGGCATTGCCTTTTGACCTGCACCTATGCAGTCTTGGTAGTCCAACGGTCACGGATGGGCCAGCAATGGCGAGACTGGCTGAGTCGTCAGACCCACAGGTATTGCTTTTCAATTTGCCGGTTTCGGGTGACATAGCAAGCGCCGGCGTTGATGTAGCCATACGATACGTTGGCCACATAAGAAGCAAACCCACCGAAATAGCTCGAAGAGAATCTGTAAGGCTGACTTCCAGTAACCGGGCTGGTGGAAACAGCAGGTGGATGAAGTGTTTTCTTCCATCCACAGATCGACGTGGTGGAGACGGCACTTGATCGTTTCGGGCATCTGCAGGTTTTGCCTTCTACCTTGCGGATCAGCACGATCGCCTGTGATTGTGATTGAGTTTGAACGCCGTTTGGACCCTCCTCACCAAAGCCCGTCGCCGCGCCACGTCAAGCAGCCAAGGCAGCGTCACTCTTGAGGTTTCCGAATCAGTCCCATTAAGCGATTTTCACATGCTCAATGAGTCGTGACTATTCCTGTTCGTAAGCAATGAGTGTATACACACAGTTGACATCACCTCTTCACGGTGAAAAAATCTCGTGTCCCATTGATAGCCAGGACAGCTACATCAGCACCATAGTTGCTGCGCGACTCGCGAAAGAAGAACGATGCGAAGTCCTTCGAGTTTTGTCGTCGTCGCATTCGAATGACTACCTAGGTATTCATGTGCGTCAGTTCTCCTTCCAATAGTTGTCTTTTGAACCCCGCTCAAGGTGCAATGTCGCCAGAACAAGTATGGTGTTGCCGTAATTCAGATATACACACAAGCATCCAGACCTTCCATCCACCTACACACGGCGTTAGAAGCTCGTCTGAGCCAACCTCGAAGCAGCATTCCTAGCATCCACCCGATCCGCATCATCATCCTCCTCCGCCAACCTCGCCAAACTACTCGACTGGCTCTCCGCCCTCTTCCTGCCCTTCGCACCACCTTCTTCTCCCTCGTCACCTTCTTCACCTTCCTCCGGAACTCCGTGGCCACCAATCACGCTCCCGGAGATACTCCTGTTCAAACCATCTGGACGCCTTGGCACACCACTCCACGCATCACCCTTCGGTCCTTGACTCGCAGCCATACTAGAGCGACGAGCGATGGGATGGGCTTCACGACCAAGACGGCTGAGTCCACCGGATGCGTCGATGTTACGGACGTCGGGACGAACTTGCTCCAATGTGGCGAGGGTGCGGCGTTCGGCTTCGATTTCGCGGAGGACGTACTCGCGAATGCTGGTGCGGAGATCTGCCGCGGTACGAGCGAACCACTTACGCTTCTCAACAAGAAGATTCGACGTGACGCGCTGAGTCTTCTGCTGGAGGTAAGACTCATGTGAACGGGCCTCATCCAGGGCAGAGATGGCTTCGTCGACTTTGTCGCGCTTGACGCTTGAGGAGGCCTTGAGGCGGTCGGCTGCTGACAGCTTTGAGCGGGTAGCTTGCTGTGCTTGGATGAGCTCGCGAAGGAGGATGTGTCGGTTAGTGAGTGTTTCCTTGACGATGAAGGCATCACTGCTGTGGTATGCCAGTGGATCAGAGAGCGAGGCTGCTTCAGCGGTGCCCTGTGCAGAGTGGAAGTCACCAGTGTTCTGGATGACCCTGCCAAGCTTGCGGTAGGCATTGGCGAGGCCAGGGTGAGTCTCTTGCGCTTGCAGTGCAGCGAACTTAACGCCCAAATCTGCCTCTGCGAGTCCAAGAGAACGCCTGTTCCTGACGACCCTGTCCAGCTTTTGCTGCCCATCCATAGCTCCAAGGTAGAACGTCTTAACAATGGGCCGGCTGTCCAGCAACTCCGGCGTGTCATCTGGCGGTGGTGCGAATTGCTTGAGATATTTCCTTCGCACGCCCGTTGCAGGCTGTCGCTTCCTTACCACTGGACTGTAGCCAAAATCTGACTCAACAAAAAACACCATCTCTTCGTCTCTCATTAAGACGTCGTTACTGCAGACGACATTGAGCCAACGCTGAAGGCTAGTCTTCGTCCGGGCCTCATCCTCGTCAGTTCCCATACCAGCGCTAGTCGACGCTGGCGGCACTGCAGGGACTAATGCTTCCGGATTCGAGGCTGTCAGATGAGATGACAGTTTCAAGAACTCGGAGTGCGTTCGTCGCACATCGCGGAACTGTGTAGTCCTGAACTTCGGCAAGTTCGTCTGTGCGATTGTCAGCATGTACTTCCTATAGCTATGCTTTTCGCCAACATACGTAGACATCAAACTTCAATATTGGGTCTTTCTTCCCACTCCTCTCCAAGCCCGTGATCTTCGCCTGCAACTTGTACTGCGGCATATGCTGCCTCTGCTGCGGCGGCACACCATGGTACCGCGCCGACTGCGGCCGTCTACCCTCTTCATGCGATCCTCTCTGCACGTCATGCTGTTGCTGCTGTCCATGCTGTTGATACTGAGCCTGCTGCTGCTGCCATTGATGCTGCTGTTCCGGGGACCAGCTACCCGGCTGTCCCTGTCCAGGCACCGCGTACGAAGAACTGCCCGTATAACCCTGCTGCTGCTGCTCATGTCCGTTCATCCTCCCCTCATCACGCTCCACCGCCGGCCCAGGCAGATCCGCGCTCGGCACATTATCATTGCTAAAGCTCGTCCGACTCGCATCCGGCGAGCTGGCCCACGGACTGGTGCCGGCAGCACCACTATAATCCATTCCGCCTTGTCGATACGAACCCTCGTAGAAAGCCTTCTCGGAGACTCGGCGCTGGAAGCGGAGGTTCGAAGGGGTGCGTGTGGGCGGTGGGACTCGTGCTTTGCCGTGCGAACTCGAGGACGGGGTTGGAGGGGTGCTGGGGCCTGCTGCTGGGTGGTCGTCGTTGTCGAAGCCTCCGGAGCTCATTGCTCATGCGCGCATCTTCTTAGCACGAGCTAGTGGTGTATGATGCCGCCGTGCCGCCGGACGAGCTGGGAATGGCGTAGGAGTTCGTTTTCTTGGCCGCTTGAAGCCAGCTGCGAGGCTAGCGTCGACTTCCTTCACGAGCATGTGCGAGGGTAAACATATGAGCGAGACGAACATCCACACACGGAACAATTACCGTGATTCAGGAATGGCCAGGTGATCCGAACAGCAGCTCATGGTATCTGAAGTAAGCCTTCGCTACAAACTACATAAGAGAAGACCGCTATAGAGGAAATGTACAGGATCCGACCCCCACGCCACGCACCCAAACGCAATGCCAATGCCGTGTGAACTCAACCGCCAGGTAGAAACCCATCCTTACGACTGCGCAGGCGACTTTGGCACTTCGACGGGACGTTGAGGGTAGTAGAAGTTCTCCTCCGGGATCCTGCCTCTCAGGAATTGTGGCTCGCTTCCCCGGACGTAGATGTCCTCGTACAACACCTCCTGGGTTGCATCTGGCACTGCCATAGCCTCTGCCGCGGCCACCTCCTCGTCCACGTGGCTACGCGCCTCCTTGTCGATGCCCTTGAGCTCCTCCTCGCTCGTGACTTCCCAGTCAAGGAGTTTCTGCTTCAGGCCGGCAATGGGGTCGTTGGTGGATCGCATGCGCTGGATCTCCTCGCGCGTGCGGTACGTGGTACCCGGGTCGGACATGGAGTGGCCGCCGTACCGGTAAGTGACGTATTCGTAGACAAGGGGGCCCTTGCCTTCCAAGCACCATTTCTTGCCGTATTGCACGGCAGCCTTGACAGAGAGGACATCCATTCCGTTGATCTTGAGGCCGGGGATGTACTGGCCACGCTTGTAGTAGTCGGTGTTGGCTGCAGCGCGGTTGGCTGCTGTGCCCATACCATATTTGTTGTCTGTCACGTGTTAGCATTGTCTTTCAGCTACCTGGTGTAATACAACTCACTCTCGCAGCCGAAGATGATGGGGATGTTCCAGAGCTTGGCCATGTTGAACGCCTCGAAGACTTGACCCTGGTTGCTTGCACCGTCACCGTAAAGAGCAAGCGTAACCTTGTCCTTGTTCTCGTACATGTTGGCAAAGGCAATACCCGCACCAACAGGCACCTGAGCACCGACAATGCCATTGCCGCCGTAGAAGCCAGTGGAGAACATGTGCATAGAGCCACCCTTGCCGTACGCGATGCCTCCTCTCCGTCCCAACAGCTCACCGATGATCGAGCGCACAGTTCCACCACGCATCATCGCAAAGCCGTGACATCGGTATGCAGTGATGAGATGATCGCTCTTCTCGATTGCGTGCTCGATGCCCACTGCGACTGCCTCCTGGCCTGTAGACAAATGGCAGAAACCCCGAATCTTCTTCTCTTTGTAGAGGCGGTCGGCGGCCATCTCCATTCGGCGCACAGCTACCATGTCGTAGTACATCTGCTTCAATTCCTTCTTCGTGGTGTCGAGAGTGTAGGGCGGGGGGTCGAGCTCGTAGGTTTCGAAAGACTCGTCGGAAAGCTTGACCTGGAAGGGCTTGTCGTCTTCCTGCGGGTTGGAAGGTTAGAATGTGCCATCGCGATAAATGCGGCCACGCTGTCTTACTGAAGGCACATCGCTCTTTTCGACGTGTGTGCTGGCGGCATCCGTTGTGACATTCCTCCTCACCACGGGGGTGAAGGCGGCTCTGATCGGGGCATTGCGTCGTATGGGCGCAGCATATGCGCGAGGTGCGAAGCGGGAGAGCATGTCGAAGGTATCGCGGAGTGGAGGGGTGGGTCGATGCAGAGGGTGGTGTAGGCAGAGGCGCGGTATGGGTTCGAGGACAATCGTTGAGCTCGCGGGAAGCTGAAGTGTGGCACGTGCGAGCCGATGAGGTTCCGCTTTTAGCTCGTAGGGCTGACCTTTCAACTTCATTTTCATACCTCAACTCTACATGTATGACCTCAAATACCTTAACGACGGTATCGAGATAATATGCGGCCAAACTCAATCAATATGGTGATCGATATGGCATGAAAGACTTACAACTGGCTGTGAAACGGACGATTTACCTTTCAACTAAGATCCAATTCATACTACCAGCACATGCGGTCCTTCAGGCATGAAAAGACTTTGGTGTGCCGTACTCGTCCTCCGTGTAGGACAACAGGTACCCTTACCAGGCTTCCACATAATGAACGGCCTTTCGAAGAGGAAAGACAACCCAGCTATGGTCCCCAGATTCAACTGTATCAACAAATCACACGGGCGGACCCAAACTATCGCGGTTACGGTATCGTGAGAGAGCCCATTGACAGTTTCGAACAGAAGAGCGCTAGGGAAACCCACTTCTGTCTCGTCTATGAGCCCTTGCTCGATGCACTTGAACAGTACCTTCGGAAAATGCCGGACGGTCGTGTAAAAGATGAAGAAAGGGCAGCATTTGTAGACTCCGTCAGCAAGATGCTGGCGTGGAACCCGGCGTAGAGGCCGACAGCCAGCGAACTATTGAACCATCTGTGGCTACTTACGCTCCGTGGGACGGAGGACATCTTGGGTGGAAGCTAGGAGGGGTAGGGTTTGCAGTGAGCGCCTAACAGCTACGTGTATGCAAGACCGTACCTTCTCTACTCAAGTCATAACGTATCCACCAAGCGCCTCCGTCCTCGACTGACTGTTCGGGTCAAAGTACGGCTCCTCGCCAATGCCAACAGCACGATGCCCAAAACGTTCTCCCAAACCTTCGTAGTCAAAAGTAGCCGTGTGGAAGGCACTGCGATTGTCCCATATGGCCATATCATTCGGGTTGCGCCACCTCAGACGGACAGTAAGATCATGATTTGCCAAGATCATATCGTAAAACTTCTTGAGCAGCTCCTCGCTCTCGTCCGGGTTAAGCTCGTTGATGTACTTCGGGAAAGGGCCAACTGCATATATGCTCTTCCAGCCAGTAACTGGGTTGGTGCGCACCAACGGGTGGACGGTCGCCAACTCCTTGCCGATGTTCTTTGGCGAACCGCGAGGCTTGTCGTAGATGTAGACGTGCTCTGGGTCCGCGGCTGCTGCTTTGAGGAAGCCGTCGCCGATGAAGGTGGCGCTGAGACTCTCGAAGAACTTCTGGTAAGGCTTCGAGAAGCGGTCGTAGATCTCGTAGCCGCTGGCCCAGAGGGTATCGCCTCCGCTCGATGGCAGCTGGGTCAGACGAAGCGAGGTGAAGTCGGCCGGACACCTCTCGAACTGGATGTCGCTATGCCACCTAGCCGAGTCGTACCGACGCTTAGCTTGATGGCGTTCGTGGGCGAACATCTTCTTCCGCGCGACGGAGCTGATGTGGCTGATCTGGTCGTCGCCGACGCCGAACTCGGAGGTGCTGTTCAAGACTGGGTGGACGTGGAGCGTAGAGTCCGCGGGCTTGCCACTTAATTCTCCCAGACGGTGGATGAGCTTTTTCTGTAGCTCGTCGGTCAGGTTGTCCTGCTTCCGGAAGAAGACCACGCCGCGTTGGGCGACTACACCAAACAGTCAGCAGGGCTCGGGGGGACATTTTGGATGCACTCACTGGTAATGGCAAGATCTCGGATGAGTTCATCAGCATTGTTGGCATTCATGAGATCATCGACGATGTTCAAGGTAGGATACTCGCGGCCGATGACTGGGGTCGCTTCTTCAAATGTAAATGTATCAAGAGCACCAGATGGCTTCAAGGGCTCGCGATACTGAGTCTTGCCATGATAGCCATTGCCGTTCTCGACCGTCCGGTCCGGGATTTGATCGTTGAGTATGCCTGGTGCCATTACTGCTAGAGTATAAGTTGATGCTATAGGAAGATTGATCAATACGAAAGTTGGGAAAGAAGAAGTTGGAGGACAAACAGCTGCTTCATCAACAGTCTTGAAGACAGTCCCCACCAGCGGTTCTCCATCACGCAAGACCACGGCAAAGTCGCGTGAACCCACTGAAGTCTGTCTGGCAAATCAGCGAGCACGAAATCGTCCTTTCTCGGCGTTGGAGACGAGGGAGCGAAGAGCTACCGATGAGCCATGTCCGACAAGCCGACAGTCGAGAATCATTGTTCCTACCTCAGATATGTCCAGTATTGAAGGCGATCCCTCTGGCATATCATGGTGATGAAGTTCAAGAAAGGGACGAAGGGCCAAGACGGGGGAATGCTGATGTTTTCTGACAGTCACTCCGGAAACGCCCGGACCACCACCTGCCTATCAGTTTCCTCCCGACATCCTGTCACTGCCATACGGAGTCCTCCCCCGACGATGGTACGGACACGCCGTGCTGTGGCTGGCTTGCAAGCAGCTGAGGGAAAGGCGAGAACGGTCCTATCATCTCCCGGTCGCAGCGATGAAGACGCGCTACTCGCGTACAATACATGCCAAGGATGCGCTCATGTTGCGATGTGCATGGTCGTGTCAAGGAGTATGGGCCTCGAGGTGTAATGTGTGCCCTACCTAGCTCCTTTTCAGGTGACGCCAGACTAGGTACAGCATATCGTTCACGTTACCGGGATGCTGACGGCTATCCTCTCGACCTCAGCACCTCGAAGTGCACGGCACTAGTTTCCCTGGTCTCGAGGCCGGATGTGCTGGATCCGTGGACTCTGCAGGTCCTTCAAGTCTACCTTCGCTACGATATGCGCTGTACACTTTCGCCGTGGGCCTCGCGTGGTACCATGCAAAAAAACAACACTTCAGGAGAACCAGCCAACCTGTCAACAGCCAGTAGCGCCTGTGATATCAATTCAGCAAAAGCGCCGAGCGAAGGGACATGAACACAAAAGAACTCTGTGGTTTTCACTTCGTCCAAACCCAGGACAAGTTCTAGCGGTTAGGCCATCCTCATTTGATTCTGGAAAACTCGACGCTATTTCCGACACGTCACTCTTATCAGTGCTCTAGGGTTCTGCTGGTCTCTCCGATGGGGTGAGGTCGTGGAATGGCGTTGGTACTGATTCGATCTGTGGCAGTACTAAAACGTACCATGCGTGTACCGCAATGAACGTTTGGACAACGGGAATATCAACGGCCACGCCGTCCGGATGTCCAATTCGTGCGGGCTCGTCTGGAAGACGATGTGCATTGAAAGTCGCTGTACACAACATTGAACCTGCAGCTCTGCAGACTCTGGATGGATAATATTAGGCCCGACTTGCAGTAGCACATCTTACCTGCCAATGCACGATCAGTACTAGGACAAGGCTACTTTACGTGCCCATGGGCAAGGCATCTCTCAAATTGCTACCCGTCCTAGTCTGGTGCCTTGGCTGGACGCCTCGTAACTGCTCAGCCTTACAATGCGGTCAGACGGTCAACCATGCGGACGGGGCAGTGACTGGGTACCAGCCTCTCTCGATCGATTGGACTTGCCCAGGAGATGCTCTGACGGCCCGGCGACCCTTTCTGACGCCCGACGTCCGCATCTATTCTCCGATGAGGCAAGTGAACGCGGCATTGTATGGTATCGCTTGGACATATTGAAGACCGACTGATGCTGGAGGCGGAACGACCTCTCACCGAACGAATGCTTTCTGACTCCAGCTTCATCTCCGACGCCATGTCAGCGCTCCTGCTTGGATGGGTGGACTACCATCCCCTGATCCACATATAAGAACAATCATGTCCCTGGTTGTGATAGCAGTACAGCTCCATCGCACCCCCGCTTCGACCAGCACTCCTTTTCCACTTCACACAGCATCTCTCCCCCCAACCACGACAGCACCATGAGGATCTCAAACCAACTGGCCGCAGCGTTCATCAGCGCCATGGTCAGCCAGTCAACCGCAACACCAGTCTCTGACACGTCGATGGGATCTTTGATCAGGAACGTGGGCGCTCAGCAATGCTACTACCCCCCGAACGCTGTGTGCTCCGAGTACATGATCCCGCTCAAGATCACGTCCGAGGATCTCGTCTTCAACTTCATCCAGTGGGACAACAACTTCGCGCTCGAGCAATTCTTTGCCGTGGCCTCTACTCGTGCCGCCGCCGGGTACCCGACGGTCATTGGCGGCAGCAAGAATGTCACGCGAGACGTCGAAATTGCTGCATCGTTTTGCACGCCGAAGTCTCCCTCTGGCAAAGAGAAGGAAGTCATCTTGGCCACGCACGGTATTGCTGCTGGGAGAGAGCATTGGAACTCCGCATACAAGCCTGAGACATACAACTTCGTTCGTATCCTCTGCCCTTCACAGTTCCATGGAACGTCTATGCTAACGCCATGCAATCTGCAGGTCCAACACGCAATCGACGACGGGTACTCTGTCTTCTTCTACGACCGTCTCGGGTGCGGGCTTTCCACTAAGATCTCTGGATACGACTCCCAGCTCAGCAATCAGGTCGTGGTTCTTCGAGAGCTTGCCAGCCTCGTGCGTTCCGGCAAGTACACTGGGAGTGTTGGCGTCCCAGCCAAGCTTGCCTTGATGGGTTTCTCCTTTGGGTCGTAAGTACATCACCAAGGTGCTGCAGATGAGGAACAGAGCTGACACGACTCCTGTCGATAGCTACATCGTCCAGACCACCATCGCAGAGACGCCAGATATTACAGACAGTGTCGTTCTCACCGCCATTGAGCTCGATGTGGCGAAGGGCGTCAATGCCAACGGGCTGGTCAGGTCTTTCATGCCGCTGATTGCGAGCTCTCTGAGTGAGAAGCGCTTCGGTGAGCTCGACACTGGCTACCTGACTTGGAGAGACGTCTGGGCCATGAGCTTGAAGTAAGTCCATGAGTGGGAAACCTAACCTTATGTCGGTTTGACTGACCTGTGTGCACCTTACCAGCTACTTCCACTACCCCGACTTTGAGATCGCCGCTGCGCAGTACACCGAAGACAAAAAGCAAGCCTTCTCCATCGGCGAGTTCCTTACCTTCCCTTCCGGCAACCTCGACAGCTCCTCCTACACCGGCTCAGCCTTGGTTCGTACTCCGCTCTCTCCTCCCCATGCAGCACTAACTGACCTCCCTCCAAGACCATCACAGCCGAAACCGACTACATCGTCTGCGACGGCTGGTGCCCCGGCATCTACAAAGACCCCGCCGTTGACTACTTCGCCAACGCATCGGCGCTGGTGCGCCATTTAGTGCCAAACACGAGCCACAACATCAATTTCCACAAGAGTGCGCCGGAGACGTATAAGTTTATCTTGGACTTCTTGCGTGAGAACTTGTGAGGTGGGTGGTAGAATGACTGGAGGGTAGTCACGGAAGGGGTTTAAGGCGAGTGGTTGGATGAGTGTTGAGGGATTTTGCTTCTTGCTCACTTTCGCTAATGTTTACGTGGTGTTGATAAGACTATCTTTCATTCATAAATATCTGAGCTGAGCTTTGCCTACTCTTTCACTGTCAGATCTGCAGTGACGTGGTTACGTAGTGCAAATTGCTGAAGCCATGTTCACCGGGACTTTCTTATCCTTGAAAAATACTGCTACGGAGTCCGTTTTCCTAAGGCGGCATGATTAAGCATTTAGAACGTGTTCGTTAAGACAGGGTCAGCGGTGGATAGGCCTTCTTAGACGTATATACTGCTGCATGTTACAGCGTGGCTATGAATTTCTGCCTTCCTCCCAAGGCTTCGCAAGGAAAGCTTGACCGAATATCGAATGTTCTCCTCTCACCATCGTCTTTACAGCCCCTGTAGATGGATTTCCTTTGCCATCGTCTTTAACGGTACTGCCGAATGCTCCAGGTCTGCACAGCCGTTTCCTGCCCTGCAGTAAGCCATATAGAAGGGGCTCGATGAGTGACGATGCCTGCATGATCTGGTGCGGCCTAACTCGAGGACGTAAAGCGAGTTTGCTCTCCTCACCGTCGCATCGATTTGCGCAAACTAGTCCAGACCGTCGAAAGAGAATTCAGGCTCCGAAGGGGGGGAATGGTGGGGAGACCGGTAAGGCTGATACAGAGGCCGACCCTCGGCAGGGAAAGTTCCAATAGGTGGCCCACGCAGAGGCCGGGTCGGAGCGTAGGGCTCGATATAGGGGTCTGGCTTCCAGTCGCCCTCCGGTCCCGATTCTCTGTCCCTGCTCTCATTCTTCCGCTTCACGACGTTTGGACTCTCAGGCGTAGCTTCACTTGACGGTGGGGGCTCTTTGCCCTCGCCGGAGTCCTTCTTCTGCGTGTACCTTCGATTCATCGCATTCGGACTTGAAGAGAAGGCCTCCTGGTCGCCGCTCGAGCCCTTTCGCTTCGTCTCCTTCCGCTTGACCATCTCAACATTGCCTGACAGGAATTGACCCTTCGGCGCAGCCTTCTAATCGTCGCCGGTGTCCTTTCTCTTCTTCCCTCTCCGCTTGGGTACCTTTGCACTCCCAGGTCCCTCGTCCGAGTCACTTCCCGTTTGCTCCTTCTTGGCCTTGGCAGGAGCGTCCGGAACCTTTGCCACAATGTCCACCAAAAAGTCAAAGTTTTCATCAGCCTGCAGAGCGCGCTTGACGTGCTGCGCCAGCACTCTCTTCGGGCCTTTGCCACTTCCACCACCAGATTGTGCCGCCTGAGCTGCAGATGCAGATATTATCCGGATCATGAACAGCTCCAGCGCGCGACTAACGACGTGAGGAGTGACCTGAGCGACTTTGCCGATGTCGTCGTCGGCCTGCATTAGGCGTTTTATCCGCGCCACCGGGAAAGAGGTCTTGAGTTGCACGCCAAGAGTTGGGTCCGCAGGCGGTTGCTCACGAATGGCGGGCGTGTCCATCATCGGCGGTGGTTGGGCGTCCATAGTGAAATGATGCGAGCCATTGGTGAAAGAAGAGTGCTGTGGTTCTGCCTTCACAGGCATGGAGTATGCATCCGGAAGGTACTCTGCGTCGTCCGCGGCGTCCGGCTTCATCCTTCGAGTAGTGGCAGGCATGTCGAGTGGTTGGGGTCCTGAGTAATGAGGTGTTTGTAAGGGCACCGAGGTGGGTGATCCTTGATGTTGGAAGCTGTTCGGGTAGACGTTGCCAAACCTATCTCGGCTGTGTGAATGATGATGTCCGTACCGCGGTGAAGGTAATGCTCCAGACAAGTCAGGCGACTGCGACCTCAGACCAGAAAGATCGGGTGAATGGGGAGCGTATGAAGACAGGTCCGGCGATTGAGGCGCATATGAAGAGTCCATCGCACACCCACACAGAAAAGTATGTGCCGCTGACGTAATCGCTGTGTTTTGCTCTCCAGTGACACGGCCGAACAAAGAATGCCACACAACTGGCCAGAATAACCGGGCGCGCAGAGCTTGAAGCGACCACAGAACCACACAAACCGCCCGCAAAATGCTTGCAGACTGGCAAAAACAAGCAGTGGGACGAATGGGAATTCGGGGTGCGTGAAACCGTGCTCTCCAGAACGCGGGCGGCGGTCGGCCTTCTTATCTGCAGCCGCGACTTCCTTGGAATCTCGCGTGGACGCGCTAGCAAAATCTTTTGGGTTTAGCCCCCGCCTATCGAGATTTCCTTCGTGCTGCCTTCCGAAGATCAACAGTCGACACAAAACGACTTCATGTTTGCAATGGTCACAATTTCAACATCACCCACCAGAATGTCATACATAACTCAAACTCGCAGCGAGTAGTAATAGCAAATACACAATGATCGAGGGGCCGTCAAGCTGGTCACTACGCCACCGACGGCACGAGGGAGGCCACACATTGCGGCTTTCAACCTCGCAAGCACCTTGACGAGCATCATTCACGCAGACCACTACATTAACTCATTCACCGCGGACATGTCCTCGAGCGCAAGCAGCAATACTGCCGCTATAGCATAGCAGAATACGGCCGTCTAGCTGGAGCCTTGCGTTCATCAAGACCTGACTCCTGACCAACATGCGCGACGTATCGTGATGAGGACGTAGATATGTCTTTCAACAATGAGGGCATGTACGCACATCGTACCGTGGACCTTTTTCGCAGTAACGTCTATCATCACTTCTGTTGTTCTCGTTTCGATCAATTGGCTCTATGGGAAAGATGCACTCGTGGTTGAAAGAGGCTCGGACTATCATGACACTGCACTCACAGCACAACCATGCCAGTATCTCTCTTTGAGAATCTCACAGGACAACCTGGAGACTGCGATGAAGAACTTGAACCCTCAAAGCTCATCAACGAGAAAGCTCTCTGCATTACCTGGACCTGCTACGCCTCATCCCACCTTCCCAAACAGGGCCTTGCGAGTAAGTGTCGAGCTTACTCTGCTCTCGAGCTCGCACCAATCCTTGTGCCACACAACACACCTTGACGCCTTGCAAAACAACAAGCGTCTCAGATGGTGAGCTGCGCCACTGTTTCGTCTTTGTAGGAGCTCTGTACGTCATACTGGACCTCGGATTTTCTGACGTAGCTGCCACAGCTGTGGAGCATATATTGAACAGTTGTCAGGTAAGGTTCGTGGCTGAGAGAACAACCAGAATATAACCAATATAAAATCACATCTCCAAAGCCACACAGGTAAGCTTGCACAATACTCTTTGCCTACATCCTGTCAAGGTCCACATCTCTAATTCTACATACAGAGAAAAGTCAATATGGACAAGCTCAACAATAACAACAACGACAAGGGCGCCGAAGGTGCCGCGAAGAGCGTCACGTCAACCGCATGTTGTACCTACCCCTTCGCAAAGACTTCCGCTAACAGCAGTCCAGCTCGGCAATCTCGCTGGAGGCGTTTCGAAGACCGCAGGTGGTGTGGTTGGCGTTGCCGGACGTGGCATTGGTCAGACAATCAATGACACCACTGGGACGAAAGCTGTTGGTGATGGTCTCCAGGGCGTGACGGATGGTGTCGAGAGCGGCGCGAACTCGGTGGGGAAGGGCGCGGAGAATGCTGGGCAGTGGAAGACATCGTAAGGGTGGAAGACGGCAGGATCAGTGCCAGAAGAGCCTTGTGATATGCTCTACGCTCGCTCTCATCTTATATACCCAGCGTATCACGCCTAACGAAAGTTCTTCGCGAGCGATATTTTCCAGAGACTGTGCACGCTATGCGCAGGACCGGATTGCATGTTGAAACCAGCACAAGTACCGTTGCCCATCACCACACCTGTAGTCGTTCCTGAATGATTTCGACACCGTCATGCGAGCGTGGTATTCACGCGATCGCATACGTGGTTACAGAAGGCTGGTGAGGACTCGGCCTTGATGTCGTGCTTGCTTACCGATCGTGCTGACACGGGAGCGAGTGCGACCCGCTCAGACTGACTTCTTGTACCACCTTACAGCTTTCTTCTCCGAGTCCGATCTCTCGTGGCTCTTCACTTTCACTTTCCTCCGACAATGCGCTTTTTGACCAGACGTGAGGCTCTCTGGAAAAGAGTTCAGCAGAGGCGGCGAAGACATGCGCCGCGAACCTCGGAGACGGGATGACGACGTCTAACCGTTTCCGCCGCCCCTTGGGCTGCCATTGAAGTATACTTTATCCCAACGGCAAGTCTTGAAAACAGCAGGTCTCTTTGGTTGTATTCTATCTTCAATTCCCACGATCAAGAGACGTCTAATATATATCCCCTCCATCATGTCGGTCCCTATCGCCATCCCCAAAGAATATGGGTACGTCTAAACCAGCAGAGGCATTGAGACTGATCACTGACATTCCCATCTACAGCTATGTCGTTGCGACTACCGCCAGCACTTTCTTCGTATGACGACCTGTCCACCGTTTCTAGCATCGCGCTCATACTCCCTCGTAGCTCAGCATGTGGCACGCAATGCGCGTAGGCCCCTTCCGCAAAGCAGCCGGCATCCGATACCCTCAAGCATACGCAGAGAACAGTGACATGGCCAACGCCACGGGAGAGAAGAAGCACGCAATGTACCTCTTCAACACCGCTCAGCGCGCACACGGAAATTACATGGAACACCACGCTGCCACCGTCATTGCGATGCTGGTCGCTGGAGTACAATATCCGATCGCTTCGAGCGTGATGGGTGTGGGCTGGGTACTGAGTAGAGTGGTCTATGCGGTAGGATACACCAGGAAAGACAAGACGGATGGGAGTGGAAGGCTGATCGGGTCTGGATTCTGGCTGTTCGAGCTTGGGTTGTATGGCTTGACTGCGTGGAGTGGGGTCAAACTTTTGCTGTGAAAATGGGAGATGCTGTGATTGGGCTTGGGGCATATCGAACCTGGGAATGACTACGGACACAACCAAGGTCAGCAAGTTGTTCAAGTTTGGAGAGGCCAGATTCTAGGCATGTCGATTCTTTCAAAACCCCATGGCGAGCTGTCCTGCGTTCCCCTGCCCTTTGTACATCGATCTCCAAGCTCTCCTCAGGCATTTTGCTCAACGTCCACCAAGATGGTACGACCAAGAACAATCCAAACTGGACTTCTCGCCGACAAGTGTCTCGCAATGGATCGTTCTGGCTCTCGGCGCAATTCCCACCATATGAAGCTGGTAAGGTAAGGTAGCTTCTTCTAAGAGCCCTTCAAATGAGTTCACACGTGACAAGACCAGCGTTTGCTAACGTCACTTCATCAAAGTCCTTCTTCTCTATAAGAGCGCTGTCACCTTCGATCCCTTCCTTCCATGATACCCCGACCATCTCACAACCCAGACATGCCGTCGTCCTTGCGCAGAAGACTGCAGAAGCGCGCCGTCGGGTCTGAGTTAAGCGGTGCGAGCGATGGCGACGACTCGTCTCTCAACTCGTCAAGTTCGCAGGAGAATGTCAAAGCAGCGCTGACCCGCAAGACGAAGGTTCAAGCTCCAATCGACCGCGATGATCTCAGCTCTACACCACCACCTCCGCCACCAAAGTCACCCGATGAGATGTTGGCCAGAAACATCTCCCCACCTCAATCGCTACTCGACAGGTACAAGAAACGGGCCGCAAGGCTGCCTCCAGCTGGGAACGTCGAAGCACCACCGCAACGTCAGCAAACCGGCATGATCAGTGCGTTCGGAGAAGACTTCGAGACGAGCGATGCTCACGATCCCTTCGACAACTGCCAAAGCCCGAAGTCGAGCGCCTTAGACGTTCAAGATAAGAGTGAGACGCGCACTTTTGGTGGCGTTCAGTTCGACATGATGCGCAAGAAGGACAGAGCCGGTGAAGCACCGGTGGCAGATCCCATCGAAGATGGCTCCAAATACGAACGACGATTCACGCGTTCTCAGTCAAGGAGACAGCAGAGGATGGATTCGGCGGGCGACGCGGCGGGGTTGAAGGACGTTGATGCCAGCAAAGACCACCTCGCACCGCCTGCGACGACAATGGCGGGCGGCGTACGTCTGGTGCGCACACCATCACCACGCACTTCTCAAGCAACGCAAGAGCCGCAGGACCAGGACGTCGACGAGCTCGCGCAAACACCAAACAGCAGCCCAGCGTTGCAGCATTCACCTCGCCTCCCGACCCGGCCACTCACCCATATGAAAGCCGCTCTCCTTCCCAACCGCTACTCACCTGTGGACCCAAGCCTAAGCCCCCGACCACTCAACCTCCCCCATCGAGGGAAGTCCAACGCCAACCACACCAGAAGCCGTAGCATCACTTCCGTCGCAGTCCACCCGCCAGTGAACATCGACATGCCGCCTATGTTTGTCTGGACCTCACCTCTGCCTACGACCAGCCGACCAACGGATCCGTGGATCGCGTCGAAGCGCTGGACGTGCTGCCAGTGCGGACCGATGGACCCAGATGATAAGCCGGCGCAGACGATTGTGGAGCAGAAGGTGTGTTCAAGGATTGATTGTGGGCATCAGAGATGTCGGATTGGGTGTTTTGTAGGAGCAGGGTACGCGCCGCACCAATGATGTGTTTGGTTGTGGAATGGCAGAGTAGAAAGCCTTGGTCGGACGGGGTGAGCGGATCAGGCATACTGTAGGAGGACGTTATGATGCGTTGCCATGATTGGCGCAAGTTCAACGTTGTTTCTGTCGTACCTTAGCCGTTGTACAAACAAGGCGATGTGAAACCAATCGATCCCATTCTTATAACATCCACCACGTGACTGCGGAATGCTAGCGCGTTTTCTCGATTTTATGAGGCGTAGATCTTCCATCTCTCCTGCTTCTCGCCACCATCTACAAAACAATGGCCGAAGACATGTCCGCCAAACAAGCACCACTCACACTCATCGTGGCTGCAACCACGAAGAATGGCATCGGCAAAGATGGTGCGCTGCCCTGGCCGATGCTGAAGAAAGAAATGGCCTACTTTGCTCGGGTCACCAAGCGCGTGCCGATGCCATCCAACACCGGATCTCTTCAATCGGACACGCTCAAGGATAACGTATTGAGTGGCACGCAGCGTAATGCGGTCATCATGGGTAGGAAGACGTGGGAGAGCATTCCGCCGAAATTCAGACCACTCAAGGGACGGACGAATATTGTGATCAGTTCGCAAGCTCGTCATGAGCTACAAGGGATTCCGGACGATGTCGTGGTCGCTTCCAGCATTTTGTCTGCCCTCGAGGACTTCGACAAGCATGTCAAGGAAGGCAAGGCGTTGCCGCTGGGTCGTGCTTTCATCATTGGCGGTTCGAGCATCTACAAGAGTGCACTGGAGATGCCGCAGACGAAGCATATTCTCCTGACCAGGATTCAGAAGGACTATGAGTGCGATACGTTCTTTCCTGTCGAGCTTGGTGGCACGGGTACTACGAGCGATGGCTGGCAGCGAAGAAGCCTTCAGGACCTACGAAAATTTGCTGGGGAGGAGGTTCCGGATGGCCCTGTCACTGAGGCTGGTGGCGATGAGGAGGTGCCGTTCGAATATCAGCTCTACGAAAGATCGTGATGGACTTGTTCGGACGTCGTGCCATTGCTGGAAGATATCTTGACATCTCCTCTGCTGGAGTATGTCGATCTTGATGTCGTGCAGAGCACTCCTAAACCAGCGACTTAGGATACGACATTCCACACTGTCTCCTATTGCAGATTCTCATCACGAGCAACAGTCAGCGGTACGGGGCCTTCTCCGGTTACAGCAGCAAGGATGTTCGTGCCGAAACTCTCGGCAGCCTCGGCTCCCCCGCAAAGTCACAAGCCAAAACATCTCCATATGCACGAACGAAATGTTCACGAATGGGCTCTGCAAAGGACGATTGAAGTTCGGGAAGAATCGCAACAATAGTTTCAAGCGTCAGACAACCTTAGGTTGTCCTCGGCGACGGCTCCCACGAAAGATCCGTATGAAGGTGCTGATGTGTTGCCCGCAAACTTCCGAGGTTGGAGCTCCGCTCGTCCAGAGCCAGCAGCCTTCGTCAGGAACCGATCATCCAGGCGCGTGCGCGCGACTAGCCCTTGGCAATTTGGCGGGACCTGTCAATCGACGTAATAAAACCTTCATGATCTCCCTCGGTTCGCAGTCATGGTCGTCTTACTCTTTGGCCCGCTCAAGTGACGCTGCTGCACTGCTGTCCTGCAGACCACAAGCTGGTATCGCTCCAGCGCTGTCCTCACCAGAAGAAGCTTGAAACGCCCAATTAGTATTGTGACTGATTGAAGGCACGTTTCTTCCTGGTCTTCGCCGTCCATTCTCTTCCGACTCAGGCGCAACGAAGCGAAGATGTCCGCAAAAACAGTGTCAGGTCCGGGCGGCAAGAAGCCTGCTTCGGCAGCGACGAACCTTATCGGTAGGAGATCCTAGCGCTGTTCTCTCTGGAGGATCACGTACTAATTGAAGCAGCTGGCGGTGGAGCTGGGATGATGGAGGCACTGGTGTGCCATCCTCTCGATACCATCAAAGTCCGCATGCAGCTTTCACGACGACAGAGGGACAAGGGCGCGAAGCGGAGAGGATTCCTCAAGACTGGTGTTGAGATTGCAAAGAAAGAGAGCCCACTGGGTCTGTACAAGGGCCTTGGGGCAGTGCTCACCGGTATTGTACCGAAGATGGCCATCCGCTTCACGAGTTACGAGTGGTACAAGCAGATGTTGGCAAGCAAAGACGGACACATCTCAGGAGGCGCGAACTTCATGGCTGGGTTGGCTGCCGGTGTGACAGAGGCGGTAGCTGTCGTGTGTCCGATGGAAGTGGTCAAGATTCGATTGCAGGCACAACATCACAGCATGTCCGATCCTCTCGATGTACCCAAATACCGCAACGCTGCACATGCGTGTTACACTGTGGTGCGAGAAGAGGGTGTTTCAGCGCTATACCGAGGTGTCTCGCTCACAGCATTACGGCAAGGCACGAACCAAGCAGCCAACTTTACAGCATATACCGAGCTCAAGGAGATGCTTCAACAACGGCAAGACGACCCCTCTGCGCCCCTGCCATCCTGGAAAACCTCGATCATTGGCCTGATTTCTGGCGCTGTTGGTCCGTTCTCGAATGCACCAATCGACACAATTAAGACACGTCTGCAGCGAACTCCTGCTGAACCTGGTCAAACAGCCATGGGCCGTATCCTTGCAATTGGCAATCAGATGTGGAAGCAGGAAGGTCTCCGAGCATTCTGGATGGGTATCACACCTCGGGTGATGCGAGTGGCACCAGGGCAGGCCGTCACCTTCGCGGTGTACGAGTATCTGAAGGGAGTGCTGGAGAAGGGACGCGAGATGCTGCCTGGGAACGAGTATCAGGAGTAGATTGGCGGGAAGGTGGAGAAGACCGCGTGGGCAAGAGACCAAGAAAGGTATTACATCGACTGGCCTTCACAGCGGAGAGGACATCGGTCGTGGCATCGAGAGGACAATCGAGCGAACATTATACCCGATGCCGGACCTGTACGAAGGAACTTCCCAAATTGGCAGCTGGTAAACACATTCAAGCCCCACATCCATCGACCTTATCATTATCCCCGCTTCAAGACTGCTCTCTCTATTTCCTTGTGTTTTGCTCTGGTTGTTACTCTGGTGAGAAGTCCGACTCTCAGAGAAGTCCTTTCAATCTTACTTCATACATCTAATCGATTCCAAACTTTTCTGCTGACAATGGCTTCAGACGGCAACACCAAGGACCACCACAAAGCCGTCATCGGTTCTAATAAGAGCTTCTGGCTCTTCGATACAAAAGATGGCTTCGATCTCACCCATCCGTCATCACCAGACTCGCCTCCAATCTCCCCTCGCGTAACGATTGAGACGAAAACGTCCCAGATCTCCATCGACCCCGCCAAATCAGCATTGATCGTCATCGACATGCAAAACTACTTCCTCAGCTCCGCGTTGGGTCGCGCGAAAGGAGCCGGTCATGCTGCGGTGAACCAGTTGGTCGAGCACGCCGTCCCAGCGTGCAGAAAAGCTGGTGTGCGAATCATCTGGTTGAACTGGGGCCTGAGCCAGCAGGAGATCGACGAGATGCCGCCGGCTATCATACGAGCGTTCGGTTTTGTGTCGACGAATCATGGCGAGGAGATTGCGCTTGACAAGCATGGTAATCCCAGATACACCGGTGGAGATAAGCAGTTTGAGGATGGGAAGAACGGGAAGAAGTATAGCGGGGTTGGAAGCGACATGGGCAACGTGACGGACCCGAAGTCCGGACAGGCAATCGAGGCTGGGAAGATGCTGATGCGAGATCAGTGGAATAGCGCTCTGTACCCGCCGCTGGACGAGATGTACGAGGAAGGCCAGAAGCTGGACGAACGTCCCGATGTCTGGATTCACAAGAATAGGATGAGTGGGATGTGGGGACCTTCGACTGCCTGTGAGGAGTTTCTGGAAAAGGAAGGGATCAAGACGTTGATGTTTACCGGTGTCAATACGGATCAATGTGTCGGCGGGACGTATCAAGACTGCTTCAGCAAGGGCTACGACTGTGTGCTGTTGAGCGATGGGTGTGGTACGACGAGCCCGGCGTATGCTCAACAGAATATGGAGTTCAATGCTGCGAATACCTGGGGCTTTGTTACTACGTGCAAAGCGCTCGCGGATGGTGTGGACAGGATGGAAGCGTGAGGTGGTTGCGGTGGAATGGCTGTTGGTGACATTCGCATGTGATCGCCAAGACACGACAGGATATCACGTTACACAGACTTCGACGTCACATTTGAGAAGTCGACAGGTCACTTGAGGCTACGTTTCAGACCTGGCTAACCTCTCATCTTCTGAAGTACGACTTCACACCTTCACATCTCTTCAGCAACAACGCTTTCTACCATGGCGACGCCTCAGAAACGCAGCGCGGCTGACGTCGAAGCTATCGATCTCACAGAGGGCGATGATGTGCCGACACCGACACGTGTGGAAACACCGGCGAAGCGGGCGCGTGTGGCACAGAGCACGCTCACCACCACACCGGCCAGCAACCGCGCAATTCTACCTACGCCCGCGCCAGCTCCATCGGCAACACCGCAACGCAATCCTCAAGGCACCACACAAAGCACTCCGCAGGGCACTCCCCAACAACCCCAAACCCCAGCATCCTCCAAAAAGCAACCGCCCAACCTCTACGACATCCCCGCAGCCGTCATCCCCGAAGACCTCGAACCCGCCGAACGCTACACCCCCCGCAAAGTCAAAGCCGCCGACACAAACACCGACACCGACATCACCTTCTCCAACCCGCAAACCTTCTGCCTCAAACCCGCCTTCTGGCGCCGCTGGAAACCGAAACACTACGCCCTGCTCGCCGAATGCCTGCGTCAGCAATTCGACCCCACGCACTTCGCGCGCGTCACCGGCTTGCCCGTCGAGGAGATCACCCACGTCTTCTCCGCCGTTGTCGCGGACCCGCTGTACGATGGCGAGGAAGCCTGTAAGCGCGGGGAGGAGGGGATGACGGCTTTGTTCGAGCTGGCAAGGGAGTTTGGGGCGGTGAACCGGGAGCGGGGGGTGAGGAAGGGGATGAAGGTTGGTGAAGGGGTGGTGGGGGAGTTGGAGGGGGTGGGGGAGGGGAAGGTGAGGGTTATTGTGGAGAAGAGTGGGGGAGGGGGGAAGGTGTTGGGGGTGGGAGAGTTGGGGGAGGGGGATGTGAGGTATTTGGGGCAGAAGTTGACGAAGGAGGATAGGGGGACGGTGTTTGGAGAGGTTTGAGGGTGGGTTGGGTGTGTGAGGAGTTTTTGGTGAGATGAGGAGATGTTGGTGGTATTGTACCTCGTGATGGATGCGTTGGGAGTTTGTGTAGCGGGTGGTGTTTGGTCAATACCCGTAGCTACACATGATAGGTACCGACTCGCAATGAAGATGTCCTCAAGCTGAACCTCGTTCACACCTTCCCTTTCGCCGAGATCGGCACTTGCCAACGTCTTTCGGCAGAGCGGGCGATGCGGGCATGAACGACGATCAACGAACGTCTTGCATCTGGTTCTGGGATACCGTTGTTCTTCTGTTGGTAGCCTCGAATTACTTCTGCTGCCTCCAGTCAATTTGTATCCGTCGGCAACGCACTGACAAACATGGCAGCACCAGCAAGACGGCTCGGTATGGCAGCGTTGTGTCCCACTCCAACACCACACGGCTGACCGTTGGCAGTCCAGCCGGTCCTATTGTACGTCTACACCCACGATAGTAATGCCGTGAAACGTGTGACTGATGATGCTCGAGCAGCATCTGCGACCTGCAAGAGAAATTCCGCAACGCCATCCACGAATTCCCCAAAGTCGTCTCCACGACGCAAAAGCTGCTCAAAGCCAGCCAGATCCTCGATATCCCCGTCGTCGCTACCACGCAGCTGCGCGGCAAATTAGGCGAGACATGTCCTGAACTAGGCCTCGACGCTGCCGATGGCGTGGCAACGAAAGCGCACGCTGATAAGAGCGCGTTCTCGATGTGGGTGCCGGAGGTGCAGCAGGCGTTTAAGGATCTTGGAGAAGGGAAGAGGGAATGCGTGATTGTGGGGATAGAATCGCACATCTGTGTCACGCAGACGACGCTTGATCTGCTAAGGGAAGGGCATAAGGTGTACGTGATTGCGGACGGGGTGTCGAGCTGTAATCCGCAGGAGGTGCCGATTGCGTTGAATAGGTTAAGGGCGGAGGGGGCGGTAGTGACGACGAGCGAGAGCTGGTTGTACGAGTGTATGGGGGATGCGGGGATTGGGGAGTTTAAGCAGATGTCGGGGTTGGTGAAGGAGTTTAGTGGGAAGACGAAGGAGAATTTGGGGGCGTTGTGCAAGTTCTGATGATGAGCAGTACCACCACCATGGAGGTTTCGTCGCGAAGGGTACGAATTGGCACATATCGAGTGGCAACAGAAGCATTAGGAGAGACAAATACCTTACTGTACATACGATATAGCTGAAGACCGGAATAAGTACTACGTGTTGGCGTGGTCAGCCTAACGGATCTATTTGAAGCCCACGTTACATAAGTGGTACGGAGGTAGTACGGTACCTGAGCCAGACAGCTGAAGGGTTGTTAGGTGTGTGACGGTGCGTCCCACGTGAGATTTATTTGCATTGACGTGGTACAACGAGCGACCTCATCGATTCCGAGGAACCTAACTAAGTTGTGTGAAATTGATTGACAACGTCCGGCAGAAAGGTGGAGGAGGAGAGGCCAGTCGGAGGCGTGTGAAGGGTCCCGTCATTCTCAGCGCGCGAGCCCTTATGATCCTGGGGCAGCAGCCCTGGCCCTGACACTGTTCACCCTGCAATTCGATCTCTCTTGCGACCCTTTGACACGCACCGCTCTTCGTCCTTTTTGATCGAGGAGTGATACATCGCATTCTTCTCCCTTCCGTACACTCCACGTCCCGGTCCTCGTTCGCCTTCGTCACACGCCACGGGCGGCAATAACATCAATCTCTCGGACTTCCTTCGACACATCCCGAAAGCAACAGGGGCGGCCCATTTGCCATTTTTCCTTACACCTCCCATCCCAGTACAGACACGGGCAACGACAGCAAACTTCCCGGCAACGCGGCTGGCTTCCCGCTGAACCATTCTCTGTTGTTCCCCGACGTCCAGCGCCATCGCAGTCCCCCCTCTACGCCAGCGTACTCTCGACATCGCTACTTCTTTCAACTGGTCACATTTCTTCGCCCATGGGCTAACATGGCCCACGAGCAACACCCTATGCGACCGCCCTTCCACTCGCAACATTCCAGCAGCGTCCCTTCAACGCCATTCCAGCAACCTCGCGATTTACGGTTTCACTCGCGGTCGCCGTCCCCGAACCGCGCGCTCTCCAACAACTCCCCACGGTCTGTCGTGTCGGAGGCAGTGGCTCACAACCATGTGCAGAGATCACAGCCGGTAGTATGCAAATTCGAGACCGGCGCGGAGATTCGAAAAAGGAGGATACCATATGTGGAAGGTGGCAATGAGGAATTGGGGCCTCCCAAGAAGGAGCCCAAGAGGTCACTGGAGCCAGAGGAGCATGAGAAGTTGCGCACGCAGATGGACGATCTGTACCAGAGGTTACTGCCGTCTGACGAGAGCGAGGGGAGGAGAGCGCAGTTGGTCAAGAAGTTGGATCGGTTACTAAACACCGAGTGGCCTGGCAATGACATTCGGGTGAACGTCTTTGGATCGTCGGGCAACTTGCTGGCGTCGAGCGATTCGGATGTGGACATTTGCATCACAACGCCGCTGAAGAAGTTGGAGAGTATGCACTCGATCGCGATGCTGTTACACAAGAGTAGGTGGAGACTACGTCAAGAAGGATGAAACTGGTGATATGGATGCTGATGAGGCTACAGATGGCATGGAAAAGGTCGTGTGCAGGGCTTCAGCAAAGGTTCCAATTGTAAAATGTTGGGATCCAGAGCTGAACCTGGCGGCGGACTTAAACGTCAACAACCCTCTCGCATTGGAGAACACGCGGATGATCAAGACCTACGTTCAGCTGGACGATCGGGTGCGACCACTTGCGAAGATCATCAAGTATTGGACTAAGAGGCGGATACTGAATGATGCTGGTGAGTAGCGACGATGGAAGGCGCGATGAGCTCAGGCTAAATTCGTGAACACAGCATTTGGAGGCACCATCAGCTCGTACACTTGGATCTGCATGATAATCAACTTCCTGCAAAGACGAGATCCGCCCATACTGCCTTCGCTGCAGAAGAAAGCTGAGGAGCGAAAGCAGCCTGAGAATGGCAAGATCCCACAGTTCGCTGATAACCTCGACGAGCTGAAGTCATTTGGCGGCGCCAACAAGGAGACGCTTCCCGATTTGCTCTTCCAGTTCTTCCGCCATTATGGCTACGAGTTCGAATATTCGAAATATGTCGTGTCCGTGAAAGAGGGGCGGCTGTTGTCAAGGCAGGAAAAGGGCTGGGATCCGGCCAACCACTACGAAAAGGAGGCGAGGAACAGGCTTTGTGTGGAGGAACCCTTCACTCTCAATCGCAATCTAGGCAATTCAGCGGACGACTATGCCTGGTCTGGCATTCACGGTGAGATACGGCGTGCCTTTGAACTTTTGGCGGATGGCTGCCAGCTGGAAAAGTGCTGCGAGGAATACGAGTTCCCGGTGGAGGAGAAGCCCATCTTCCAGAGACCTCCGCCAAAGCCGAAACCGACCTTGACGAGGAGCGCGTCGCAGTCTGGAAGACCAACCCAGGAGCCTCCGACTGGCAGGTCTCGGAAGGCCAACAACCGCAATCAGTCCGCTCAACGCGCAGGCAGCAGACGGGCGTCTAGCGGAGCATCGTTCAGCAACCAGCGCGTGCCGCTGCCTTTCCAGAGCCCACCGCAGGGAGGTTCAGTAGTGGACTACTTTGGTATGAAGGGTGACTTGCACAGCCAGCTCTATCAGCAGTGGCAATATCTCCAGGCCCAGACAGAAGCGCTTAGGTCGCAGCTTGCGGCGCAGCAGCAACATCAGCAACAACACCAGCAGCAGCAGCAGCAACATGGCCCTGGGAGGCCTGTCGACATTGGAGGTTCGCCGCACCACCGTGCATATCAGCCCAACGGACTGCCCAGTCCACGTTACTTGGACAATCCACCGCCGACGGCGCCGTTGCTGCCCGGCTACCTCTATCATTACCCTGCACGGTATCCGCCTCCTTCTCCTATGTCGCAGGCTCGAACAAGGGAAGGTGGCACGAGCACGAATCCCTCCTCGCCATCGCTGGTCGCTGCGGTGCCGGCGCTCAGAAGACAGGTCCATCGCGGTTCCATACCAGAAGGCTCGACAAGCAGTCTGCGGTCTCAATCACAGCCTGGAAGATCACTGCCTCATCCATTGACACTGCAACAACATGTCCATCCCGGCTACGACGTCTCCGGTGCTTTACCGGGGCAGTACCAGAATGTTCGCACGTCATCAGGCGCATACACATCGATGCCACCCGGCATGCAGACGCCGTTCTCACACGCATTGGCTTCCTATGCGGCTAGTACGCAAGGTGAGAACTCCATGCCCAAGGAGTACGTTGGATACTATGTTGGTCAGTCGCCGTCGCTCGGACCTCAATATCCACCGAGCACTCAGATGCAAATGCCACCGCCGCCGATGATGTTGCGCGATCCGCCTCAGCAGCGACAGCGAAGAGTCACCCCCGATCTCATGCCTCCTATGCCGAATGGACGACACAGTTCGAGGTCGCCTTCACCACTTGGACACCTCAGGAGCTACACTACGACTGGCGATCTCAGGTCAACGGCAGTGCAGGGTCTGAAAAGTCCACCCATGCGGTTCGATGTCCCTTCCGAACCTGCTACGGCTCCTCTGCCTACCCAGAAGCCAATGGAAGTCACCGCGCCGCTTATCGTGAACGGATCTGGCACTGGCGCGAGCTCATCAAAACAGCCGGAGAAGAAAGTCAACGGCATCACCAGCCCACCGCATCCATTGTACGACAGTGGCTCAGCAAAGGTCAACGGCACCGGTTTCTCAAGAACGCAGCTGCCCATGCGGCCTCTCGATACCAACGTCATTCCCGAGCACATGGAGAAAAGCGAGCAGCCCAACCACTCACCTCGGATATCTCCCAGCCCACGTCTGAAGTCTGGACCTAAACTCAACTTCTCGCCCAACAGCACGCCAGTCGGTCCCAATGGAAACAGCGAGCAGTTCCACGACTCCACTCCGATCCCAGCACCCCTCTTATCACCAGTAGCCGAGCTCCGCACCCCCTCACCCACGCGCCCGACCTCCTTCGAACGCGAATCGCCCACCGCCAACGGCCTCATGAAAGCCGCCAAGATCGCCAACGCGCGCCAAGTAGCCGGCAGCGAGAACGAGCCACCGACTTCGCCCAAACACGAGCGGAAGGGCAGCGCGCCGAACCCTTCCAGCGCACCGAAGCCGGCCAAGAGTCCCGAGCAGTCGACGCCTGCGACTTCGGCAGCGGCTTCGGGCGCGTTGCACGGGCAGGGCCAGAAGATGGACGCGAATCCTTGGCAGCAGGCGACGAGGAAGGGGCACAAGAAGAGCAAGTCGACGGGAGTTCAGCAGCAGGGGGCCAAGGGGCAGCCGATGCCGGCGAATGAGGCGGAGAGGAAGGGTGGGTGAGGGGCTAGGGAGGAATTGGCACTCACTTATCGGGAGAGACGCTCATTGCAAGCACGCTGCGATATTTAAGGCCATGAGACAGAACAAAGTTCGCGAAGGTGTGGGCAAGGATGCTCGCCAATACTACAGGCGCGAAGCATTCCACCATCGTTGCGATCGCGAGGAGATGCTCGACAGTGGAGAAGATGAGCTAGAGGAGATGGTTTGGGGCATAGAGGATGAGTGCCGGAAATGGTCTGGCACCGTCATGTATCAAAACCATGGAAAGGGAAAGGCGACTCAGAGTCAGGCCAGTGTATAGAAGCGTCATTGGAGAAGCGCCGATGGGTTGCGTGAAGCGCCATGGAGACCAGCTTTCTTAACTTCGCCTTCAGTGATCGTTGCGCAACTTTGCGGCTGTCTGTATACGATGACGGACTTCCTCAGCCCTATACGACACCGGAGGCGGACCATGATGTATGCACGACATACATGCAGTGCGCCGCGATCACGTTATTGCAGTGTGACGGCGGCAGTGTGCATCTGTTGTGCTGAGTGGAGTCTGGCTTCAAGAATAGCTGAAAAGCTTATGCGTGTCGGATAGATCCTCCCGGCTTCCCGAGATCGTCCGTGCGGCGGCTTGTGACATGTGATTGTCGTCTGGTGCCTGGATGTCTTGAACGACACATGCAGCTCCTGGTGATACTGTCATACGAAACACCAACGACCATCATGATGGATCTATGAGGGCAGCTTCTATTCGGTCGTATTTCTACATTCTTGAGCATACCTAGCTGCTTCCCTCTCCCGCTTCCACCACCTCCTCGACACCAACCACCATCATGGACCGCCTCCGCAGACTCCTCAACCCCGAACAACCGTACGAGCCCCTCCCCTCCCCTCCCCCCGACCCCGAAGATGCCGACTCCTCCGCCCTCCACGACTCTCACCCACCCCCACCCTCCCCCGCCTTCTCCTACATCGACTACACCATCTTCCTCCTCCTCGGCATCTCCATGCTCTGGGCCTGGAACATGTTTCTCGCCGCAGGCCCCTACTTCCAAACCCGCTTCGCCCCCTCGCCCTGGCTGCTCAACAACTTCCAAGCGGCCGAAGTCTCCGTCTCCACCATCACGAATCTCGGTTCGATGCTGCTGCTCACGCGCATGCAGGCGGGCGCGTCGTACCCGAAACGCATCATCGCTTCGTTGTTCATCAACATGGTCACGTTCACGCTTCTCGCTGTGTCTACGGGTTTCGGCGTGGACGCGAAGGGCTATTTCGCGTTTCTGATGTGCATGATCCTCGCGACGAGTCTGGCGACGGGGCTGTGTCAGAATGGGATTTTTGCGTATGTGAGTGGGTTCGGGCAGCCGAGGTATACGCAGGGGATTATGACCGGGCAGGCGGTGGCGGGGGTGTTGCCTTGTGTTGCGCAGATTGTTTCGGTGTTGTCGGTTGGGGAGGGTGGGGAGGGGCAAGAGGATGGGGATGGAGAGCCGGTTGTGAGGTCCTCGGCTGCGAGAGCGTACTTTTTGACGGCGACGGTGATTGCAGTGGTTACGCTGGGGGCGTTTATGCTTCTGCAGGCGAGACATCGGACGCCAGAGAAGACCCAGGATAATACTACATCGGACGCTGCCAGCGATCAAGAGGACAAGAAGACCGTTCCATTGCTTCTTCTTTTCCGAAAGCTATTCTGGCTAGCCAGCGGCGTCTTTGTTACCTTTGCCGTCACCATGTTCTTCCCGGTCTTTACCCAACGCATCCTCTCCGTCCGCCCGGCCGACCAACAGGGCGCATTGACGCAACCAGCAACTTTCATCCCCCTCGCCTTCCTCCTCTGGAACACCGGCGACCTCCTCGGCCGCCTCCTCACAGCCGTCCCAACGCTCTCGCTCGTCCATCGGCCCAAGATCGTCTTCATCCTAGCCATCCTGCGCGTCGCATGGGTGGGGCTCTACCACCTCTGCAACATCCGCGGCGAAGGCGCGGTGGTGGAAAGCGACTTTTTCTACTTGGTGGTGGTGCAGCTACTGTTCGGGTTATCAAACGGGTATTTGGGTAGTATCTGCATGATCGGGGCGGGCGAGTGGGTGGAGCCCGAGGAGAGGGAGGCTGCAGGTGGGTTTATGGGGTTGATGTTGGTGGCTGGGTTGGCGGTGGGGAGTCTGTTGAGTTTTGCTGTCGCTGGGTGAGCGGCTTTACCGACACGAAATACCTAGGAAGAGACTGGAAGCATTCCATCTGAAACGGGGTCAAAGCTCGGAGAGATGCAGTGGAAAGGGTACCTCAACCCCTCGACAGCACGATCGACCCTACCGGCTGATCTTGAATACTGCCAGCATTACATTACACACCTAACAATGCTATGCTTCGAGGCCGGCCATGCGACACTAGGCGTGGATGTAGGCTTGCGAAGCCATCGCACCAAAACGTCCTGGGTCCTGCTGCCCCAGCTCCAGGCCGTCGACAGTGGTAAGGTGAGGCAGCTCGCTTCGGCTAGAGAGATGTTATTCAGTCAACGGCTAGTTTGACATTGGGCGATGCAGCTCTTGCGGGCGTCGTTGGACTGTGAGAGTTGCTGAGTTTTCGCTGAGAAGACTACACCAGATCTAGGGGTAGAGCATCGCTGCTCAACACCAGCCGCATCTCTAGAGTACCTCATCACACAGTACTCATGATTACACTAGTATGACTGCGGACTTGCGTACTATTCGCAAAGACCGCGAGGGCCGTAAACAGTTGCCCGAGCTCGGCGTAGGATTATTAGATGTTAGAAAGCTCCACCTCACCTCGCATGTCAGCTCGAAAGTTATCATCATCAACCATTTCACTTCTTCTACATCATTCAATATCAAAACCTAAGTACCAACATGCCAGCCAAACAAGCCATCTTCACCGACAAGGCCCCGGCGCCTCTCAAAGGCATCTACAACCAGGCTATTGTCGCCAATGGCACCGTCTACTGCAGTGGCAGCATTGGCATGGACCCCACGACTGGGAAGCTCGTTGAGGGAGATATTGGGGCTCGTACGGTAGCTCATGTCCCACAATTCTTCAGACCTATGGATACGTGTTGATCTGTTGTAGCACCAAATCATGAAAAACCTCACCGCAGTCCTCGAAGCCGCTGGCACAAATATGGATAATGTGGTCAAGGTCAACGCCTTCATTGCGGATATGAAGGACTTTGCTGCGATGAACGAGGTTTATACGCAGTATTTTGGGGAGGTGAAGCCTTGTAGGACGTGAGTTGACAGTCACTTCTCTCGGATGACGTGACAGCAAATGGTGCTGACAGCTATGAGTTGCGTGGCGGCGAAACAACTTCCGTTGGGAACGGATGTCGAGATTGAGTGCGTAGCGGTGTTGCCGTAGGTAGGCGTTGACCGCTAGCAGGAGACAGAGCGAGTGCTGATTGATGCAGTGAGGGAGGAGGTAGCAAGCTGTGATGAGGATGAAACCTCTTGTTCTATCATGTTCGACGCCCAAGAACGCCTCGCTATGCTTCGCTATGCTCAATCGCTGTATGCAAATATCAACAACACACACATATCCACACACGTTCACTCAAGATTCCCTCGCCTGCCAACTACCATACATGATCCCGCTCGAATGCCTCAAGGACCTTTGCTTACTGAAGTTGTTCCTCGTCATGTCGGGTGACGTCCGTTGTTTACCATACTGCTGTGAAGCCCTCTGCTCGAACTCGGCCGGCTCGATGCCGAAGTCCTGCTCCGCGGTAGTCCTTAGCAAGGGCGAAGACAGTCTTTGCGAGCCGCGGCCGCTGCTTGGTGTGCGTCTTGCCAGATGATCCTCTGCGGGGCTCTTAGGCGACATGAGAGATTGCTGCTTGATGTGCGGTAGACGCTCTGAGGCGGGACGTTGGGTCTCGCTTGGCTGGCGGTTGACCCGCGGTATAGAAGTCGGTGTGCGTGGTGTGCTCGTAAAAGATCGCTTTGGCAGTTGAGATTTTTGTACGTTGATTAGAGTCGGCTTTCCAGCATCAGGTATCTTGACCGCCTGCTCGATTGCACCAGCGACAACCTCCTCGACCCGCGGACTGCTCGGTGCACTGCTGCCAGGCTTCTCGTTCTCAAGCTTGGCGGACATGACTTCGAGCTCACTGTAGTCTTGTTCGAAGCGGTCTGGCTCGACTGATAGATCGCTTTCGAGCTTGTTCCGGTTTCCGAGAAGTTGTGCTAGACTTCGATCGTAGTCCTGCGTGAGCTCCTGGAAGTCCGCCGCATGCTTCAAGGCAATCTGAGACTTGCGCTTGACGACTTTCTGGTTGTACTCTGACACCAGCCTCTCTTCCGCATTCCGTAAAGCAGTTCGGCTGGGCGTCGACAGGAGAGTGATGGCCTCCGCCTGTTTTGCTGGCTCGTCATGATATGCACCATAGTCTGCAACCAGCCGTTGCCGCTCGCGAGCAAACTCTTCGGCACTCTTCGTGGAGACGTCGCGCTCCATCCGCTCCCGCTCTTTGAGCAGAGCGTCGAATTTGTCCTTGTACTCCGACGCCATCTGATCCTTCGCACGCTGGAGGTCTCCGACATGCTCCTGAATCTTCCGAGCAAAGAGCGCTTCATTCTGGGTGATCACGCTTCCAAGCTCGGAAAGTTCAGCTTTCGCTTGCTGGAGGTAGTCTTCGAATGACCGTGTCTTCAACGACCCATCCGTGACACGATCAGAGCCGCCCGCAGTACGACGTAGCCGAGGAGTCACAAGGACTTTGTCTTCTTGGGGGACCGCTTGCGGCGGTTCTGGAGGTGGTACCTCGACCTTCTCAGAATCCGTCTGAGCAGAAGCATCACTTCGACCACCAGCAGGAGTAACAGGCGTGCTCCGCGACGAAACCATGGCCTCCAGCTGGCTAGCAAGAAACTCATTCTGCCGCGCAAGCTCAGACTGCCCACCAGCTCCATCCGTCTTTGCAGACTTGAGTGCCTGCGCCAACTCGGTCTCCATGGAGGCGAGCTTTTGCTTCAACGCAGTCACTTCGTCTGCTGCATCATCTGAAGCCGCTATTGATCTCGTCAGAGAAGCGTCCTTGTCGCCTTCCGCTCGCTTGGCCAACGTATCTCGCTCAATCCGCAAAGCGGCCAGCTGCTGCGATAGGCTATCACTGTCATCGGCAGACCGCTTGTCCTGATCCAATTTTTGCCTTCGAAGCTCAGCCAACGACCTCTCGGCTTCCGCACGACTGGTCAGCTCAGCGTCAAGGCGTACCTGTAACGCTACAGCCGTCTCTTCTGCAGCCGAGACTTTACCATTGAGCTCGCCAAGTGCGCGCTCACGTTCAGCATCGGCAGCCTGCATCTGCGTATGCCTCAGCTCGGCAGCTTCCTCTAGCTGTATCTGCAAGTTCTGTAACTCGCTGTTCAGACTCTCCTGTAGGCGATCGAACTCGCTCTCGTGCGTCTGCGACTGCTCGTGCAAGCGCTCCTCGAGCTGCCTGTCCGATTTGGCGAAGGTAGAGGTCAGCGATGCTTCGTGCTCTTGTTCGAGCCTTGAAAGTGCCTGGTCATGGCTGGACTTCAGCTGCGAGATTTTGTATTCCAGTTCCTCCTTCTCTGACAGAGTCTGAGCGTGATCTGTACCCGTCCTCTCCAGCCGAGCCTCCATCGCAGACAGCTTGCGCAGCATTTCATTGGCCGACTCCTCATGCGTCTGCCGCAGCGAAGCCAGCTCAGCTTGGTGCTTTGCGTTGGAGCCTTCGACGTCGACAGATCTGGCGTTCGATGCAGCCAGTTGTGCTTCCAGAGCACGTTTGCTCTCCTCGTGAGTACTCTCGAAGGAAGATTGCATGTCCTTGATCCGCGCCTCATGGTCATCCCGCAGCTCAGACATAGCACTTTCATGCTTTGTTCTTGCCGCCTCGGAAGCATCTTGGCTCTCCTTTTGAATTCGCTGAGCATCATCAAGCCGTGACTGCGACTCCGCCCGAACCTTTGCGAGCTCCTTTGCACTCTCATCACGAGCAGCGGCAAGGCTAGCGTCTCCAGCCGATTGACGATCCTCGAGTTGCTTCTGAAGGTCGGCGCGAGCTTGATCAGCCGCCTCCGCAGCGCTATTCTTATCGGCATCGTGCTGCCTCTTAGCTTCGTCAGCTTTCGACGACCACCCTGCTTCGAGCTCGCGGACTTTCTCCTCGTGGCTCTTTGCCATTTCAGCGAGTTCGGTCTCCTTGCGCGCAACGTCGGACGACTGATCGGACAACTTCTGCTGCAGGCTGGACAAATTGCCAAGCGCGTCGGCAAGCTCGTTGTCCTTCTTCGCGAGAATTTCATTCAGCTCTGCTTCTTTGCCGTTCAACGCAGCCTGCGCTTCCGATGCCAGCTGTTCGATCGAACCGATCCGCTGCTCCAATGCCTTGCTACGCTCCTCTGTTGACTCCACAAGCTGGTCATACTCCTTCACCTTGTCAGTGTACTGGCCAAGCAAGGAGACATTGTCAGCTTGCAGCGCCGCAGTACGAGTATCCAGATCTGCATTCTGGGCCTTCAGGTCGTCAATGGACTTCTTGTTGTCTCTCTCGGTCTCCTCCGCAGCGTCTCGAAGCGACTTCACTTCTATTCCATGAGAACCACGCAAGTCTTCCAACTCACGACTGTGGCTTGCCTTTGCATCTTCCAGCTCACGGCTATGATTTGCCCTTGCATCTTCCAGCTCCTGCCCTTGTTGCTTCAAACGCGACTCATGCTCCTCCTCCAGCGACTTCACAGTCCGCCGATGCTCTTCATCGACATCGCTCAGTTTTCTTGCCAACTCCCTCGCATGTTCATCATGCCGAGCTTGCAGATCCTGCTGTACTTGCTGTGACCGCAATTCATGCTCGTCGGTCAACGACTTGATCGCCTTCTCGTGCTCTTCGTTCACACGAGCGAGTTGCTTCTCCGACTCCCTCGCATACTCAGCATGCCGAGCTTGCAACTCTTCGACATCCTTCTTCAGAGACGATACTTGCTCGTTGTAGTCTTTGCATGTGGAATCCAGATGGCTTTGGTGCTCTGTCTTGAGCTCTTGAATCGAGGCTTCTGCTTTGCTGACTTCATCCTGCTTCTCCGAAAGGGCAGTGTCGCGCTCCGCCTGGAGGTCATCTCGTTCTTTTCTGATGGCGTCGATATCTCTGGCATGCTCTTCTTTTGCAGCCGCCAACGCCTTCTCATGCTCAATATCTGCTTCACGCAAGCGAGCCTGCGCATCCTGGCCCTCATCATCAATGCGGGCCAACAGAGCTTCGTGCCTTGTCTGAAGCTCATCATACTGCTTTTTAACGGCATTCGCCTCCTCGAGATCGTTGTTCAATGTCCTCAACTTCTCATCGTACTCAGCGATAAGAGCGTTCCGTTCCCTCTCCGCTTCTGCTGCTTGCCCGTCCTTCTCCGCCAACAAGCCATCATGCCTAGCTTGCAACTCATCCAGCTGCTTCTGCGCACCTTGAGCCTCTTCGAGATCCTGATTCAAAGCCTTCAGTTTCTCCACGTGGCTGGCGACGAGCTCTTCACGTTGCTGGTCGGCCATCTTCGCCTGGTCGTCCTTCGCTGTGACCAAAGCATTGTGCCTCGCTTCGAGCTCGTCATGTTCCGCCTTGACGCCTTTCAGGCTTTCGAGGTCGCGGTCCAAGGAGTGCAGTTTCTCTTCGTGGCTAGCGATGAGGTCTTCACGTTGCTTCTCAGCTGCCTTTGCTTGGGCGTCCTTCTCGGCGACCAAGGCATGGTGCCGTGCCTGTAACTCGCCATGCTGCTCTTTCACACCTTTCAAGCCCACAAGGTCGTGATTCAAGGACTTCAATTCCTCCTCATGGCCAGCAACGAGTTCCTGCCGCCGCTCCTCCGCCTCCTTGGCCTGGTTTTCCTTCTCGGTGACAAAAGCATCATGCCTCATCTGAAGTCGATCGTGCTCCTCCTTCGCAGCATCCACCTTTGCTCCGAGGCTAGCCTCCAGACTCTTCATCGCTTCCTCATGTTCAGCCTTCAGATCCCGTTCCCGCTTCTGCATCTCCTCCGCCTGTCTCTCTTTCTCTGCCGCCAGAGCCTCATTCCGCTCTCTTAGCTCATCCTTCTCCTTATTCACAGTCTCAAAATCGGCCTTGACCTTCTTATGCTCCCCGAGCAACTGCCCAAGCTCCTTGCCATGCAGCTCAATATCCTTCTTCGCATTCTCCAACAGCCTCTTCTGCTCCTCGACCTGCTCGATGAGCTCTCGTCTCCGGCTTTCGTAATCGACCGCATCTTTAGTGAGCTCCGCGACCTTCGCCTTCGATTCGTTGTGTTCTTTCTCCAGCTTGGTGCAGCGGTCCTGTAGCTCATCGTGACGCTGCTTTGCCGTTTCGTCCTCCTGCTTGTGCTCTGCGATCATATGTTGGATGTGCTGACCAGAGATCGCCTTGCTCTCCTCCAGACCTTTGATTTTCTCTTCATTCCTCGCGTGCAGGGCTTCTGCCTCGGCTTTCAATTGCTGCAACACGCTCAGCTGTGACTGTACATCCCGAGTACTTATCTGAGAAGCCTCTCTCTGCGTCTCAACCTCCTGTACCTGCTTCTCCAACTCTTGCGCACGCTTCTCCGACCGCTCCCTCCCACTCTTCTCCTCCTTGAGCTCACCCTCCAACTGCCGTCTACTAGCATCACCATTCTCCTTCCCCCTCCTCAACCCCTCCAACTGCCTCTCCATCTCCTTACTCCTCGCCTCATCCCTCTCCCTCCCCTCCTTCAACTCCTCCATCTCCCGCCTCACGGACTCCAAGACCCCTCTCGTCTCTTCAGCCTTCCCCTCAGCCTCCTCAACCCTCCGCCCAAGTTCATCCCTCTCCTCCCTCAGCCCCTCCAACTCCTCCCCCAACCCCTCCTTCTCCCCAATCAACCCCTCCACCCTCCTTTCCAACACCCCCCTAACCCTCTCCACCTCATCCACCTCATCCTCTTCCCCACCATCCCCCTCGCTCTCAGCATCACTATCCGGATCCTCCTCACTCCCCCTCGGACCCAACTCCACCCTCACCCTCCTCCGCAACCCCTCAAGCACCTGCAGCACATGTCCCACCCCGCCCGGATCATGCGAGTTACTCCTTCTACTACGGAAGAGCTGGGCGGTGATGACTTCCGGCTGCCTGGCCGGAGCGGCGTTCGGGAGGCGGGTGATGAGAGTTTTAATGTGGTCGATTTGGTCCACTAAACCCCGCTGGGAGGAGCTGTTGGTGGTGGCGGTGGGGGAGGAGGGCGCGGAGGCGAAGGTGGTGTGGGAGGTGTCGGATTGGGCGGTTTGAGGGCGTGAGGGGGTGGGTGAGGGGGAAGGGGTCATGGAGTCCATTGTGTCGAAGGGATGTGGATGGGGTCATCGATCCATAAGTTGGGCTGAGTGGTGAGTGCTTCAAGGCTCGTGGGACTCGAGTTAATGTGTCCAGAAGGCCTGGCGAGTAGTAACAAGACTATACAATAGTAAGAAGAAGAGAAGCAACGTATCCCTGCCCCGAGTCTCAATGCAATCTCGTCAAGCACTCCAGCCAGAGGTCCAGATGTCGGCAGTGCTTCAGATTCGCACAAGGATATAGATTAACTACCGAGTCGATGTCAAACACGAAACATTCTCCTATGAAAAAAACCAAACAGTAAGTAACTCAAAGCCAAACCCACACTGTCGTAATGCATGTGATTGACAGCAGTCCTCGGAGCCCTAAGCATCATGGAAAGCTCTCATCTCATCGTGCATTTATCGGCCTCGGGGCCGTTCCATGATCTCAGATCTCCACGCCTTGCCGACGCTAGTCATGCAAGATCTCTACACCACGCGACTCAGGGGCATCACCACATAACCCGAATCCTTTCAACCTATGGGAAAAGTCAGATGGAACACACAGAACAAAATACACACAAGAAAGAAGCCTACATACGCTACGCTACCGTACGCTGTACACACGTCCCTCCCATCGTGCCATCCCTTCCTTCACCCTGAACACCATTCCCGCGCCTGCATCTGACTTCTGCCCAAAGGACAATCCTTCTCCGTGACGAAGCGTCCGATCCCAAGAAGCTCCCGTACGTACGGGTATACAGCACCCCCGAACCCGAACCACCTGGGTATGATGTGCGAGGATGAACGCCCAGAGAGCCCAAAGTCCCGCGCCGCGTGCTCCAGAAAGCGAGCGCCAATCCGTTCCTGCTACGCCCGTACCATGCCCAGTCGCGCTAAAACCACTGCCTGATCTTCCTGACCTTCCTGTTCTTCCTGCACGCCTGTCCGCCTGCCATGCACATGCAACCGCCAACGAGCGATGACGCGCCAACGCACAAGCTTACCTTTGGTCTCCGTTTTTCCTCCTGTGGTCTCCAGATGAGATGATGATATGATTGTTGTCGTCGTCGTCGTGGCAAATCTCGGCTCGAAGGAGTTACATTTGAAATGCGCTCTCATCTCTGCAATAACCCATTAGCACCGTATCGCCATCCCACCCTACAACCTCCACCAGAAAAAGAAAAAGAATCAACTCACCCTCCCCCTCCTTCCCTGCCCCCCTTGCTGTTGCTGCATCCCCTGCTGCATCCCCTGTCCCTGCGGAAAATACCCCGGCATCTGGCCCGGAGGAGGCATCTGCGGATAACCCCCATACGACCCCATCCCCATGCCCATCTGGCCGAAACCATGCGGCTGATACCCGATCCCGGGCGGCATCATCGGACTTCCATTGCGATAAGGATCGAGCGGCGGTTGGGACTGCGGCGCGTACGCCATCCCGTTCGGACTGCCGTAGTACGCCCCCGGGGCCGGTCTCGGCATCTGTGCTTGCGCTTGCGCGAGGAGGGCTTGCTGGTACTGCAGTTGCTGCGGGTTCATGGGGGAGATGTTCGTGTGCGACATCGCAGGCGAATGGGTGTATTGCGGGGTGACGAGGCCGTTGTTGGCGTAGGCTTCCCCGGGGTAGGTGGAGGAGTCCATGCTGACGTTGCGTTGCATGGCGTGGTGGTCGAATTGCTGTTGCGGGGTGCCACCGGTGTAGGGGGAGCGGCCGTAGGTGTTGGCGTTGGTGTCGAGGTGGGGAAGCTGGTTGTTGTTGCTGCCTTGGCGCGTCTTGGAGTTGCCGCGGGAGTCGTTGATGGGTGGAGTGCCGTTGTGGCGGGTGGAGAGGCCGACTTCGTCCATGAGGCGCTTGTAGCCTTGGTTGGGCTGGGCTTTGATGCGGAGGAGGACGTTGCGGACGTTTTCCAGACATTCTGGGCGGAGGCTATTGTCCAGGAAAGGAGTTGTGAGGACCTTGAAGATGAGCGTTGCGCCGCACGTCGGCTCGCTGACAATGTCGTTTAGTGTCTGATCGTCGAAGAACAGTGCTCTGAGGATGCTGTCACGAGCATCGGGTTCATTGCGCTGATTGACAATCTTCAGGACAGTCAGGTACGCGACCTTGTGGGTGCAAAGATGGACCAGATGCGGGATCAATCGAGGAGCCAGCACCGACCGCCTGCGAGGGAACGTGCAGGTATCCAAGAACCACGTCAACAGCAGCGCACCATTCGAGTTTGTGGCCAGCTGTACACTGTGCAGAGCAATCGCAGCAGCCATGAGCCTCTTCTGGTCATTGGTCGCAAAGTGGCTCTCCAGACACGCACGCACAGCACGCGCACCGAACCGGCCTTGCGCTACCTCCCACAGCTGGTTGATCATGGTGTCGAAGATGAAACCATGTGCCGGAGCCTGGAAGCGCAAGCAACACTGGATGACGTAGTTGCCGTACTGATCAAGGAACAGGTTGACAGCGTGCGGTCGCAGAGCGTCAACGATCAGGTGCATCTGCGTGGAAGAGCGCGCAACGTCAATGATCTTCTGTGCAGCCCAGGTGCCGTTCTTGTGCACGCCAATCTCGGCGAGATGGGGTGCGATCTGCTGGAGCATCGCCACCTTCAAGTCCTCGGAGCAGTTCTCGAATAATTTCTGCACGACGGTGTTGCCAAGGTAGTCGGATGAAAGCTCAGCGATCTCCGGCAGCATGTCCTGAGCGATGCTTTCAATCTCCATCGGGCTGCACGAATTGTTGTCGATGCGCTTCCGGATCTCACGAAGACGAGGTGCATCGTGCACGCGGTTGTGGCTGGACTCAGGAATCGGTGGAATTTCCGTCTGGTAGTCGTGGAAGCTCATAGCGTTCTCGAGGTTCGAAATGATCCTCATCTGGTCTTCTGGCGTGGCACCGAACTGTTGGACGATGCTCCGCACTTCATCTTTGAGCTCTAGGAGGTTCGGCTTCACCAGCGCGGCATCTCTGGTCGCTGCATTGATGTTGCCGCCTCGATCTGCTCCGCCAAATGCCGCCGAACCATCGTTGCGGTTCTTTGAGACAAACGGATCCGGGCTTGGTGATGGATAGGCACCGTTGGGTCCTGGTGTGTTCGAAGCACTCTGCTCCTTTGCGTATCCGATCCTGACCGGGCCGCTGCCTGGGAGCAACTCCTTGCCGTTGCATTGTGCTTTCGCAATCACAGCGCTTTCGACATTCTTGAAGTTGACAAAACCACAGCTCTTGTGTGTCAACACTCTCACAGACTCGACAGGTCCAAACTGTACGAACACGCTTTCCAATGTCGATATCGTGGTCGACGATGGGATGTTGCCAAGCCAGAGTGATCGAGTTGCGCTTTCCATGTTCGCATCCAGGCCGACAAAGGAAGGCTGTGTGTTGAGGTGCATATTCTGCACTGCACTCGACAGACCGTTGAAGTCGGAGCCATCATTGCTCTGTAGGTCTGCAGCAGTCATACTGCTGTCAAGCCTCGACGGTTGCGGCATGTAGTTCCTAAGCACACGTGATGAAGGTGAATCAAGCACGCCAGCAGTACGAGCTCTAGGTCTATTGGCGCTCGCAAAGTTGGCGAAGGCTTGCACCTCCAGATTGTGTTGCCGGACGGCCTCGTTGATGGCAGCTGCTTGTTCTGCGGATGGTGTCATTTGGCCCGAATACATGCCGGCCTGCTCGTACTGGTCCATGTCCGCATCGTCTCCATCCGCATACTTCTCTTTTGCATTGACGGAGTACGACCTAAAGCGGTTGGCCATATTCTTGCTGTTCATTGCGTTCAAAGCTGCGAGGTCTGCGATGGACACGCCATTCGCTTGACCGATCATCTGATCCGATCTGTTCTGGTTCGTCGGAGTATCCACTAAGCCCAGATAGTCCAAAGTCCTGACATGGTTATCGGCAGGGGAGTCTCGGGGTGATGATGGCGCGTCCGATGATCTGATGCTTTGTAGGGTGCTAGCCCTTTCTCTTCCAGCGAGCCAGTTGCTCGCAAACAACGAGTTGCCGAACGGATTGGAGGCGCCCAAGTAGCTGTTCCGCTGTGGCATTGACCCTGCTCTTAATCGTGAAAGGAGCGCCGCATTGCTTGCAGTCGTCCCGTTCAAGTTTTGCGGGTCAAAGGAGGTGGGTGTGTTTGCTCCGTACGGGCTGGTAGACGGGGTCGCTCGATTCGATTTCGAATATAGCGATGTACTGGAGCCGTTCAGACCACTTGAGGAAGGTATGCGTGAAGGCACAGTACCAGCACGGGCACGGCGAGTGGCATTTGGCGGATCGGTCGTGGTCGAGCCTGCAGTAGCCTGCCCTTCGTTGTAGTCTGGAAAGCTGTCACGGTTGGGTGACTCTGGAATCGACTCTCGCAGTGGTGTCGAGTGACCGCTGCCGGTAGTGGGTGGCCCCCATACCGATGGAGACAGGCCTTCTTGAGCTTGGATTTCGCGGGCTCTGTATACTTGTTAGTGTGTTACCAACCCGAGGTCTATTCATTCCGCCTACCTCTTAGGAAACAGTCGACTCCCAAACTCTTTCGAAGGAGAGCCGGCACCGGCACGCCCAGGCCCTGCCTGAGCACTGCCGTTGCCCAACGGATACCTCAGACCTGAACCGGCAGGTGCTTCGATCGGGCTGTTGGTGGCCGAGGTGTGAGCGGAACGCTGCTGGTTCATGTTCAAAGAGCCGAGTCCGTCAAGGTTGATTTTGTAGTCGGGGCGGGTGGATGGCGCCATTACGAATTAGGTTGTCGAGAGGAAATGCGGTGGTGGAAAGGAGTGTGGTAGACCGTGCAACGATCAGATTGTGCGGCGGAGGTGTCTCCTTCAAGCCCAGCTCATCATGTGACGTTGTGGTATGGCGAGCTCAGCTCACGCTTGGATGATGATGGCAGCTGCTCTGCGGTCGGTGCTGGGAGCAAGCTGTTGCGGGAGGTATAACTTCGAAAGTTGGAATTGTTGCACGTGAAGGTTGAAGATGGTCGCAGGCGCCCGAAACCGTTGCTGGTGGTACAACGGCTGATGTGGATGCGGAGGGGGCCGAGGATGGTGGAGAATTGGAGAGGTGGTGGTGGTGGAAGGACAAAGGTTGGAAGGTCGGCGGCGGCGGCGTCAGCCAGTGCGCTCTTTGGACAATTAGGTCGCTCAGGGTAGAGGCTGATTGCTGCTCGGCGAGGCCGTCGACAAGGCGTGGCAGAATGGAAGGATGAAACCAAGAGACAAGATGGAAGGAGGGCACAAAGGAGCGTTGGCGAAGGTGAGGGAGGTGGTGGTGCTGGTGGTGGTGTCGCTGTCGAGTAGAATAGGTCGGCGGAGGAGAGCTTCGGCGTGCCGTCCGCTAACCCGCGTTTCACTCTGCCCTGAAACTCGGCAGGATTGAGTGGTCAAGACGAACGACAGCGCAAGGTCAGCACTCGGACGATTACCATCATCTACTATCAAAGGCCGGTCTGGCCACTTCACGCATCTCTACAGCGCAAAGAGCAGTGCTGCAGACTTCTCCTGAATCACGCCCTCTGACAGGAAGCCGCTCGTCTCAAACCACCCTCCCCAGCTTTTAAGTGGCTGCTGCCAGTGCGAGAATCCCTGAGCACTTCACCTCTGAAACACCACACGTTGTCGTCCGAGCGCTTCCACGCCCGACCACTCCCCGCCGCCATCCACCTTCCCGGGCGCGCAGGGCTGCAGCCGTTCCTGCGCATCACCGCCTCGTGCTTCTGGATGTGTCGGCCAAGAGCGTACCATGCCCTGAGATACGCAGGACTTTCCGCTCAAGGACTCTCAAACCATATCAAACAGTTCAATATGCCCCAGTGCCAGTTCCTCGGTCCTTTAGATGCTTCGTGCAAAGTTCAATCTTTCTTACAATTGGAATGGTGTTCAAGTCCCAGCGTCGGGCCCACAGACAAGGAAGTATGACTAAGTCCCAGCTCTCCGAAGAAGGAATACAGGTATTGCAGGTGTCATTGCCAGGCACGTCTGCAATGCACCGCGAATTGAGCTCATCGTTACCCATTACACTGGTGGCATACAACGTCTTTGAGTTGACCAGCCTACTAACATAGACGGCGGTGGCACTTCACCTCCTCACGATGCCTTCGATCAACAATCGCTCTTTTCGTCGGGGAAACATGATCACGCAACCAGCCGCAGGAGTATGACAGCTTCCCTGGACCGAAGTCGTGGGATCTGCTACTTCGACTTATTTACCTGCTCCCAAACGCCAGAGGCTGCATTGCAGTGACTGATGCTGGTATTTAGGGTGCCTTACCCTGCACTACCCTGATGCCCATACACAAAACTTGGTCAACATAAGGCAAGCCGCTGGTTCCTTCTCTACGTCCCTTTACAAACCATTCAAGGTCATATTTCTCTCTCCACAATTTCTCTTCCTCCAAGACGGTAGCTCAAAAGACTCCACATCGAACATCTCTAGGCAGGCTGCTGCTTGTGCGGAGGCGAAGCGCAAACCCATGGCCGACAATGCAGAAACCGCACCCCTTCCCACAACGGTGCCGCCGCATAAACACCACTTCAGCTGAATTCGGAAGATCGACTAGATCACAACGCCCGACTTCAGGAAGACTCTACAAGCCTACGGGCCGAGTGCTATGTCTGAGGAACCACCAAGACCGAGCGAACGAAGTTGTCGACAAATGAAGGGAGGGGGCGGTTCTCGTCAACGGTAAGAGAGGAAACCGAGTCCGAATGCTGGGCATGAGAATGAAGCAGACAAACCCACGGCTGGACCGACGTCTCCCCCTTCAACACATCCACCCTCGACGAGAGCGTCAAAAACGGCGTCCACTGGCCCGTCAAAAGTGGCACATGGCAGGACGTCAGCGAGCGAAACGTCCTCGAGTTTTTTCGGCACGCCCCTAGCGTGAGTCCAGATGATACTATCGAGTTCCGGACGATGTTGCGACAGCACGCGTTGCGGTGTGATGAGGATAAGATAGGGCATTTCTTCCCGAGGGTGGCGGAGGATGAGGAGAGTACGTCGTTGGCGAAGGTGGTTGTGCAGGTTTTGAATCGGCCGCGGGAGAGCTGAGGAGGCACATCGACGTCCTCGAACAATCACTAACAGCAGATGTGCAGTCCCATTCCTCAAAACGGTCATAGGTGGCATTGTCCTGCTGTACATTCTCATCCCACATGGCATCGACGTCTCGCGACACCAGATACGTACATAGCTCTAGAACCCGAACCTCGCCATGCATATTTATGTGCTCGACACATCGAAACATCGCTACGAACCCCCAGAAATGCCAACCCAAGCCGCAATAGCGCCAAACATCGCCATCACAGACGAAACAATCGGTATTCGTCCGCTGCCCTCATTCGTATGCACAGAAGCGGCAGGTTCGTCAGCCGCTTGCGCAGCTTTCTCTTCGTCGAAATACACTGCCATCACCATTAGCACCGCTCCAGCCTCATCCCTGCTCAACAGATGAAATAGAAGCGAACTCACCCCCTGTCCTCAAGAACCAACTAACCCCAAAGGCCACCCCAAACGTCGCCGCCAAACACACAAAAACCGTCTGCGGGAACGTCTTGACCGTGCCCGCGTAAATCGCGCTAAAGACCGTCGGCGCCACCACCCGCGCCAACGCATGCAGGAGGCCCGACGCTCCGAGGAGCTGGCCCGTTTGGTCGGCGGGGACATGCTTCGTCATGGAACTCTGCAGCGTCGGGGACCCGATGCCGCCTATCGCCGCCGTGGCACCGGAGAGAATCATCATCGGCCCGGTTCTGGAGAGCGTGTAGCCCACGTATCCGAGGGTGTCGAAGAAGACGGAGATGCGGATGACGAAGAGGTCGAAGCTATCGCATCCGCGGTTCTTCTGCGTTTTGGCAGCCCCCGGAGGACCGCGGACATACCGTGTCAGGGCGGGGAGGATGAGCAATAAGCATATCACGCGTGAAGAGTTGACGATCGTCATGAAACGTCCGGATTCAAAAGACTCCCAGCCGAACATGTAGTTGGTGTAAATGATGATGATGCTGATACTCCCCATCGCGACGCCGAAGATGATCGTGTCGACCGCGGCGAGGGTGAAGAGGTTCCATCGTAAAGCGGCGCTCGTGCCAGGGCCGGTGGGCCAGAGGACTTTGAGTGGCGTGAGGATGTTGAGGCTGCGGAGGGAGGAGCTCCAGTCGTTGGCGACGCCGTAGCGGGCCGTGTCTTGGTCGTGCCTTTCGCGGTTTTCCAGCTGGCGTTTCTTGGACAGGGATTCGGGGACGAGGAGCGAGATGAAGAGGACGAAGAATAGGTGCACGGCGAGCAGGATGTAGAAGACTATCACGATCTGCCCGGTCTTCTTGACGATATAGCCGGCGACGACGGGTCCGATTGCGATGCCGCTGAAGAGGGCGCCGTGAAAGTAGCCGAAGGCGACGTTGCGGTGGGCAGGGGGTGTGCAGTCGGTGGCGTAGGCGTTGGCGATGGCCATTGCGACGATGAAGCTGCCGGTGAGGCCGTCGATGGCGTAGCCTACCAGGAGGAGGTTGACAGGGAAGCTCTCAGGGTAGGTGGCGGCGAGGATGGTGATGATTTCGCCGCAGATGGTGCCCACGCTCGTGACGACGAGAATCGGTTTCCGTCCATAACGATCTGAAAGCGCGCCCAGCTTTGGACTCGTGACGGCGGAGACGACGCCGAGGAGCAGACCTCCCAAGAGCGTGAATTTGGCGACTGCCTCTTGTACTTCTGGGATCCGGCATTGGCCATTCGTTCCGCCGTTGAAGTCAACGGGTGCCATCGTGAACCCTGGATTGAGAGCCTGTTGATCGGATATGTATCGCTGACATACCAATTCCAGGATAAGATTGATCTTGGGCGTAATGGCTCCTCCAAACGCGCACGCCATCAGAAAGAAGGGCGCGAGTACCCACAAGATGTTCGGCCGCCTGTACCATGCCACGTTCGCAAAGTCGTCCATGCCATGCCATTGCTCTGGTTCGTAGTCTTCCTCATCACGAGCAAGCAATGGTGACGACTCGCCTGCCTCCTGCTCTCCGTCGTCCGATGATGGTATCTCGATATCTCCCTTTGCAGCTCTGGCTGTCTTTCTCCTCCTGGCATCTCCATTGCCTCTTGACTCCCTGTCCAATGCCTCTGCCTCCAGCTCCACTTCTGCTTCTATCGCATCTGAATGATCCATGCTTGCTTGTGCGCCGAAGCACTATATCAATGAATGTCGAGGTGTAAGTTGTCTGCGAGAGATCGAATCGATGCCGTCCAGTAGAGATAGCTATCCCAATGCCCAACTATCGCACCATCACCAGCGCGCGTCTAACAATGCGGTTTTGTGTCCTGCCGAATTGGCAAGGTCCGCCCACTCTTCAGGATACGAGGCTCGAATGCTCCAGTCGCCTGGATGATAATGTAAAAAGAAGAGAAGCTGTAGAGAGAGATAAGGCCGAAGTGGTTGGTAATCCTCCCAAAAGCCCCCTTGATCGGACAACTTGGACAACAACACTCCAAAGGAACGGCACACGGTCAAGCTCTCCGACAACGAATCGGACACTCTCCAATTCAACGACCCGAGAATGTATTATGCGGTTCCTCCAAGCTGTCGCGAGTGCGCCGTATTTCTGATGCGGCTCTATCTCGAGTAGACGTCATTGAAGGTGGTTATTTTAGATCTGCGATCTCATGCACGGAGGCGGCGCCACGATCTGTCCGACACACCGGGTTGAGCTTGAATCGATCAAGAGATCTTATCAGTTTTGTCAGTCCATTGAAGAAGTGGCCGCTGGCAATGTGGGGCAAGTATATACACTATAAAATACATGAAGTCGCCTCCAAGCTCTCTACGTAGTCGCACCATTACAGCGTGGTAGCAGTGTTCGCCTGCTGCCCCTGACCCATGAAGAACTTCTTCTGCGCCAGACATCTCTCATTCACACATCCAGGACACCTCAACCCCATCTGCCTGCTGCAGATCTCGCCGTTGTTCAGATGCGTACCTGCAATATTCGCCAGCGCATTGATGAAGGTCGGGCTGCCGTTCAAGCTCTCTGCTCTCCGTACTCGACCGTCTGCGCCGAGTTCGTTGGCTTCGTGGATGACTTCCTGGTCAATCTCGTACAGCGTCTCGATGTGGTCGCTTGTGAAAGCAATAGGGATGAGTACGAGATCCTTTTGACCTGCTTTGACGAAGTTGTTCACCGTGTCCGAGGTTTGTGCGCCCAACCATGCCGAGGGTCCGACTTGCGATTGCCAGACCAGTCTGTATGGGTTCTTGAAACCAAGTCGTTGTTGTACCGCCCATACTGTCGCCGCCACCTCAGCAGGGTAGGGGTCGCCGCGGTTCACCACGCTCATAGGCAGACTGTGTGCGCTGAACAGCAGCACCACACTATCACGCACGTCCTCCGGATACGACTCGAGCTGCTTGGTGATGTTCTCCGCGAAAGCATCCACCAGTCCAGGATGCGTCGGCCACCGATCAATCACACTCCACAATATCGAGCCCTCCGCCTCGGCAGCAGAAAGATTCGGGTTCCGCGTTGGTGACTCCATTCTTTGCCTCCACTTCCACAGCTCGTTCAGCGAGCTCCCCGTCGTACTGCACGAATACTGCGGGTACTGTGTGAACGCCACCGCTCTCCCACCCTTCCCCTTCCCAAACCCGTCCTCCAGTAATTGAGTATACATCTCCTCCGTCAAGGGATTCGCATATCGAAACGCCACGTACGGCTTGTGAGGCGCCGTCTCCGGATTCGTCTTGTCCAGAATCTTGCACATCTCTGACGCTTGATACTCGCTCCACTTCCGTATGGGGCTGCCGCCCCCAATGTCTGCATATTGCTTCTTGATCTTCGGCGTTCTTCTTCTGCTAATCAACGGGCCAAGGTAGTTTTGCAGAGCGCCGAGGGGTATTAGGTCGCCGTCAGCGAAGAGGCGGGAGAGGAAGTCGCCCACTTCGTCTGTAGTTGCTGGACCGCCCATGTTCATGAAGACCATTGCTGTAGGACCTTTCGAGCTTGTCGAATCTTGCGTGACGGGCGGTATTACTGTGGCCATCTGGCGGTCTTGGGGTTGCCATATCCGCGGTTTGTGGTGAGCTTTCTGTTGGAAATTGAGGCATTGGGATGTCGTTGCGCGCTTGGCGAGCTGCTGTAGGGGACGGTGAACGCTCATGATGAGCAGTGTGTTGTTCTTCGAAGAACGGAGGTAGTCAGAGAGAACAAAGTGTCTGCTGCATCTGAGCACCGCGGTCAGATGTCGCGGAAAGTTCAAGCTGATGACGCGAAGAAGTCCGAATGCTGTGATTGGCTGGGCCGACTTCACTCCTTGAAATCGTGCTCGACTCTGCTTCCACCTCTCACCACATCGTTACCTCCATTGAGATGTATTATCCACGGACCGGAGGAAGGAATAACATGACGATACAGGATCGAGAAGTGCTGGTATAGCTGCAGTGCGACCGAGTCCGTGACGGACTCTTTGTGCTCGGATACGTGGCAGCCGCTCCCAATGGCACAGCAAACCGCCGTCTTGATCATGGACCGCGACCCAGACCTGACTGGACTACTGCAATGGCTGTTCCCAGTCTGTCACCCGGCAAGCCACGCAGAAGGAGTCGCGAACATGGCAGATACTACCTGCTGAAGGCCGGATTTTCCATACCGTTGGGACCATTGCCTTGTGACACTGAACACCAGTCTGCGGACAGCAAACAGCTTGCCAGTCTATCAGAACGTGCTTGCAAGAAGGACCTCCTTTCCCAGGTGGGCATGCAAACCCACACCACGCTTGCCAGATCATATGCAGCCCACATAATCAGGACTCGCCCTGCACCCTGAGTGAATGGTCGACGGACCGGCACAATGCCAGCAAGCCACCCTCAATCAGCTGCAGCGCTCGAACCATGTTGATCTGTGCGCGTCTCTTTATTGGCACGCTCCGTCAAGGCAAGTGAAGGCAAGTCAATGATTACCGTTTGTGGTGCGGCAAACGCTTGCCATTGGTCAAAAGAATCAGGTGAATCGCATCTTTCTGCTCACAATACCTATAGCCGTTTCAACGAGTCTATTGTCGGGTGGCTGAGCCCCCTCGGTGTCTGTATATAATACACCTCCTCTTCCTCAAACCTCCTGACTTCTTTCTTCGCCACAGCTGCAAAAGCTCCTCGTTCAGACACTCCGCCATCTCAACACATACACTAACTTCCTGCACTTACGATACAGTCTACCGACTCCCTTCGCTCAACATCAGGCCACGTTCTACCACCCCCACAATGGCCCTACACGCCAAAGACAGCCCGCCAGTCAAGATCGGCAAGAAGTACGCAGGCGGCAATGGCGCTCACGCCCAGCACACCACAAATGAGGCTCGTAATTCAGGGGTGAGGGCTAGAGAGGTGGTGACTATCGTCATCAACAGCAGAACCGTCCGCGAGATGGGCCTCGACACCCTCACCCGTTTCTCGCAAGCAGCTGCGGCACAATTCCCACGCGCAACTATCATCATCAAGGAGAACACCCGGAATGCTTTGCCCGGTGACGGCTCGATCGAAACCACGGAAGCTGAGAAGAGCCCTGAAGGCGCGCAAAGCAGTTCGGTCAGCCCGGCGGGAACGGTCACCAATACCGACGTCACGAGCACACACAACCATGTGTATCACGTTGGGAACTCCCAATCCGCCAAATTCCCGTCCCTCAAGGCCTTCGAGTTCGTGTTCGACTGGATGGAGCGCGCGAAGCACACTCCGCGCGGCAATCACCCAGAGCCGTGCGCCGTTCACGCCAATAACATGCAGCATGACGAAGCTGATTTTCACTTTCTTTGCGAAGTCTACGACGTCACTCGCATCCTCGACATTCGACCAACCCCACACAAAGCAGTCGAGCAGGTCATGACTTACGTGTCCGTCAACAAGCCATCCCTGAACACATTCAAGGCGTTGACCAACGTCCTTCCCGCCGACGACAAGGTTGTGACCCGTAAAGTCACATCGTTCTTTCAGCATGGCAAGAAGGGTTGCTACAAGGGCTCGGAAATCGACGAAATCAAGGCCTCCGTCCGCACTGTCAATGATGATGGTGTGCTCTGGTCTCGTTTTGCGGCCATCGAGACGTCCCGTGAGGCTCACGACTTACGTCACACGAAGAGATCCCACGACCGCTAGGAGCAAGGGGTGAAAACTGAGCGAGGCGAGATTCAATGGGTTTTACAGTAAGCGTCTTGTGCTGAGCCAGTATTGAGGGCTTGGTGGAAAGCGTTCAATGTCAAGAGCTGCTAAGCATGGTCAACTCAACCACGGAAGATGGTCATCTCACCTCAACGAAGTCATTCGCTGTGGAAAAGAGCAATTACTGGAAGCAAAGAGCCTGAGAGAGGTTGAGAATGCTGTTCCGTTGGTATTTCTGAGCGTTCTCTTGCTACACATGACAGCTTCATATATTACACTTCTGCACTGCAATACTGTTCCACTAACCAAGAGCTGCTAACTGGACGCGAGGCTCATCACTTTCGTTATATGGAACCCGCTACGAGAACTATATTGTCCGAGGTGCTGAGGCGGGCAAAGCTGGCAAGACACATACCTATGGGAACGATCAATATCTCCACGCCCACCGTTCATACACTCATCACCCTTCACGAGCATCTCCCTCTCTACGACGTACTCATCACCGAGTTAATCATCTCTCACTTCAAACATCTCCAGGCTGGCACCCATGAGAGCGAAGACGTGACCGGCATGCAGGATTACGTCAAGACGGTCGACATCAAGCTGCACGATCGTTTCGCGGCCATCGAGATGACTTTCCCGAACCAACACGTCTTCCCCTCGAGGTACGCCGGCAAGAAGAGGCAGGGCGCAGGGAAAGCCTGATCATTGGAGGAGGGCAGAAAGGTGGCGGCTTGAGTCGAAGAAGTCAGGAGACCGGATTGAGAAAGGTTCACGATTGAAAAAAGGCATAACAGGCGTGGTCGCTTATGGTTCGAAGAGTAGCAATATGGACTGGGACAGAGCTTCAATGGACATTGCAGCTATCGTGAATTTTGTCAGCCGGTCTGAGACTGATCTCGTGACAGCTTGAACCCGGCAGATGAGATGTCTCAGATGAAGCAATCCTGCAGCAGACACAGCACTATGTATTATCAACATCATCACTTCTAAGCTTATCGTTATTGCTAACGATCCACTGCTCAGCACCCTCTTCCGACGTGAAGTATAACATGACCTTTATAGAAGCAGTATGGATTGCAGCAGACCACATGGAACCCAGCCGTCAGCTCTCGCAACTCGGGTGTATCAAGCCTGAGAGTACACTCGACCATTCCTCTTGACAAGCTAGTGATGGAAATGGGTAGCAGCCCCGACATCCTGCTCATCCTCAATATCCGTCTCCGTCAACCGGAGCCTTTCAATCAGCTCAAGACCGCTGTCGCGGTCTCTGCCCAGACTCTCAACACCTTGAAGGCCGTCCACGAGCACCCCCGCTCCATCACCTCATCATCACCCGCACAGTCACCTCCTTCTTTCAGCATTTCGAGCAGAGGACCTAGGCCATCGACGAGATTTCGATCATCAAAGAGTAGGTGAAGGACCCGGCTGTTGATCCAAACCTCCTGCTCCGATTCGCGGTCATCCGAGCTTCTAGAGAGCGCCATGACGAGCGCTGTGCCGCTCGGGCTGTGCAGAAGGGCACGACGGCGAAGGCACGCGAGGAGACGACTACCGGTGACGCAGCTGCGGGCACGAAGACGAGTGCGAACGGGGACACTGAGAAGGGTGCCCCGACCGACGGAGTTGACAAGCGTGTGAAGACCAAGTCCGGTTCCAAGGAAGGGCTGAACGCGAAGGGCGAGAGGGCCTCGGGCCCAATTGAGAATGACAACTGGTGGCTGTTGAGGGAATGAGGTGTAGTGGTAGGTGTATTTGTGGCACAAGAATACTGGATGTAGCTAAATCTGTTGTGATGAGGAGCGTAAGTCGTATGGCGGAGCGTCGTAAGAAGTCATTCGACTTGATGCTGAGGAGTATTGGTCCGATGCCTGCTTCCTGGCCGCGCTGAAAGCGTCTTGACTCCTGCTTTCAGTGACTCGAGAAGATTGGTGACCTTCGTACAATTCATGCTGCAGCGGCAGCTTCATGCATCATTCCCTCCAGCACCGAGTCCAGCGAACCTTTTGACCCATGCACGTTTCACCAACAGATGCTCATCGCGCTGGCCATATAACAGACCTTTCGAGACCATTCTGCCTTGTGACACAGTGAAGCTGGTTCGCGGACGGCAAAGAACACGCTGGCCAGCTCAGCATCTGCTTGCAAGAGGAACTCCTTCCCTAAGATGGACACGCGAAGCTAACCCATGCTTGTCTGGTCACACTGAACGAGCACATGCTCGGCAGCCTGCGCATCTCTGTGTTGGCTCACCTATGCGAGGCAGTTGAAGGCAGGGTGAATGTTTGCCATCCAAGGAGCGGCAAACGTCTTGCCATGGGTTAAAGGGCTGCAGTGAATCGCTACTTCGGGTCGCACCACGTATACCACTGCCAATGACTCGATTAAACGGTATATAACCAACCTTCGCCCTGGCTCAGATCTCGATTCTTTTCTTTCCTTACCACAACCGTAACCTACCAGGCTCTCTCATACCCACCCCCAGCCGACTTCCGATACACTGTCGTTGACCTACCTCTACTGACATACAGCCAGCTGGGCCACCTACCTCTGACAACATGGACTCCCACGCGATGGACTCCGCTCCAACCTTGATCGGAAGGCGAACTACGAACGGCCAGCGCTCTCGCATACCTATTGTCGCAATCATGCTCCGAGGAATCAGGGTGTACGAGATCGAGTTGAGGACGCTCAAGCGGTTCTCCACGACGGCGTGGCAGACCTTTGGCAGGTCAACTTCTATCCCGAGGACCGATCCTCAACAGGAGTTGACGTTCGACATCGAAGACGCTCGCTTCTGGCAGCTGCCGTCCCCGTCCGCCGTCAGAGTCGTCCTTCAATGGATGGACCTCGCCAAAGAGACAGCCGGTAACGACCTGCTGCCCCGCCTCACGGCCCCGGGGGGCTGCACATTCCATTTCGCGTGCGAAGTCTATGCAGCCACCATCATCTTCAACGTTCGCCCACGCAAAATCTCGAACCAAGCTCTTGAGCCTCTCATGAAGCACGTCTCCACCCAGCCGAGTAAACTAACTCTCCAGACGGTTCACGAACTGCTCCCCATCGACAACGTTCTGATGACCCGATGTATCACGGCCGCCTTCGAGAACCGCGAAAACCGCAAATACTTTCCGGGAGAGATCAGTGCAATTAAGACCTACCTGAAGGTGGATCCAGAGCTTGACTCGCGTTTCAACGACATAGGTCGCTCAAGGCGGCGGAAAGTTCAACGTCAGCGCCGCTACTGAGGAATCCTGCGCGAAAGCATCATTGTTGCGGAGAGAGGTCTAGTGGACTTGAAGAGTGGTGCGGATACGAGTTGCTGGCAGGGCAGCTTAGACAGCGTGTACACTTACATCAATACTGTCATCTTCCACCTTTCCTGTTCGTCACGACACGTAGCTCTTGCCTGTCCTCAATTTCCAAGCCGTTTCACGCCACTTCACTCTTCACCCCAACACCGCCAGTAAGCTCTCCACCAAACCCCTCTGGCACGCCCCTGGCTGGCCTTCCCAGTGCCCCATATCTCGGCCCGACCCACGCTCCCAGGAGCCTACTCCAGGCAGTCCCGCCAGCCAACACTCTTTGGATGACCTTGTACTGATGCATATCCGCATATGCCAGACCAGTCTTCGGATCTCGGAACTTCGCTGGCCAGGACGTGACAGCACAGCGCTGCTTAGCAGGCGGCGGAGGAAGAGGGACTTCGGTCCTGCCGTTGCTGCCTTGGATCGCGCGTTTGCGTGGCCGAGTGAGGAGGTAGGTCCTTTCGTCTGAGGTGAAAGGTGGATGTGAGGAGGGGAGGAGTTCGGATGCAATTGGAGTCGGATCCAGAGGGTTGGCTTCTGGTGCCTTGGATTTGGGTATTCGTTTGGTAGTAGTGTTCGAGGTGTCAAGATTGGGGAAGGAAGAGAGGATGAGGAGCGTTCGCTGGGCTTGTTCGCGGATGAGAAGTATTGGTGCTGGGGGTGGTGCGATTGGCGGCTGCGGTTGGACGGTGAATTGGTGAGAGCCTGGTGGCCAGCCGTGGTAGATATGGGGTTGTGGAGGATGAGGTGGGTAGATTGGTTGCTGCGGTGGAGGCTGAGCAGGCGCGACACCGTTCAGAGAGGGCGCGCTCGGTGTGTAGTTGGCTTGAGATGGTGGCTGTGATGGTTGCGAAGCGTACTCCTGGATGCCCTGGAGCCAAGAGACTGGTGGTTGTGCCGGAGGCTGGTGTGCTTGTATTGGCGCAATCGCAGGCTGCCCTTGCACAAATGGAGTGGTTGTTGGCTCTGGCGTTGACTTCGCCTGAGTTCCAGCGGGCGAGTCTGCGGCCACACTTGGCTGCTTCGAAGCTGTAGCCGTTGTTGGCTCAGTGCCAGCATCGCCCGCCCCATCGCCAGCTTCCTGCTCAACCACCTTCTCCTCTATGATTTCCTCGACCTTCCGACTGCCATGCGCCACCCTCTTCACCTTGATCCGCTCTCCTTCCCACAGCACACTACCACTCCAGTGCCTTATCATTGGACCGTCAAACCCCTTATTCCTCTTCGCAGCCAGCGCCTCATCCCTCAGCCTCTGCCGCTCCGCCTCCTCCCTCTCCCACTTCCCGAACTCTTTCGCGGTCTCCTTCTCGATCCTCTCACACTTCTTCAGCCGCTCCTCTTGAGTCAAGCTCGCCATGACCTGCTTCGTCTTCTCCCGCTCTGCGGCGTTCTTCATGATACGCTTCTGCTGCTCACTTCGTTTCGCGCTTTGCTTCAGGTTCTCGTGAACGATCTCGCGGTTCGAAACAGCCAAAGACCGTCCAGACTGGCGAAGAGGGGCATCAGCGGGGCTGGGAAGCCAGTTCGAGCGCTCGCTCTTCTTCTTCGGCCGCTCCACCGTAGTACCATCTTCTGCCTTGACATCGTCCGCGAGCTTCACCCTCTTCGCAACCTTCCGCAACGCCGGTACCCTCAGCTTTGCCTCAGCAGCCTTCCGCTTCTTCTTCGCCTCATTGCGCTCCTGCTTCTTCAGCGCCTTCTCGCCCTCCAAATCTTCCTGCTGCCCTTCTTGCGGTGGCCCGGCGTCTTCGTCGTCGCTAGACGAATCGAAGGCCTCATCCTCGTCTCCAACGTCCTTGTCTGAGCTCTCGTACTCTCCGGCATCCTCCTCATCTTCCGCTAGCAATTCCTTCTGCAGCTCTTCATCGTCAAGGTTGTTCCGGAGGGCTGCGTAGAAGTTGCCTGCAGTCGCGCGCTTTTGTCGTGTAGCAACGAGGCCGGTCTGTACGAGATCGTCGCTCTCGGACCCGCTGTCTGACCGCTCGTCGTCTGACATCTCGGTGGTGTGGATGTTGTGCGACGCGACTTTTGAAGACAGGTGTGGTTGGATTTGGAGGTTCAAGCTGATGTTGCTGGTTGGTTCGGGAAGCCCGGAGCTAACGGAGGTTCACGTTAACGAATAGTACAAATTCTGGAATTCCTCCAGCTTCTTCCTCAATCCTCATCAGCCATTTTCCTAGAAAGGCGTCGTGAGCTGTAACAGTTGCCCATAGACTAGGTCTATCCTGCTCATAGCAACAGCGCAGGCGCGTGGCCAAAATGCTTTTCACACTGGCTCGTTTACAGTCTCGCCCGTGGTCACATCGAAAGCCGGGTTAGTGCGCTCTTTGAGTGCTCTGTGAACGCTCGACGTCCGCGAGAACGTTGGCCTCAGCTTGCGTGCACCAATTCGCAGGTCGTAGAACCAACGTTGCTGGTATCAAGGCCACAGAATGAGTACACAGGGATCGTCCTGCAGCCTTAACGCAACGTCGTCCTCGCCTCGTTCCGCCACGCGCCAAGACGAGGTGAGAGCACATAGTCTTCAAAGCAAGAAGAGACCACCTCACGTGGCTCTAGGGCTTCTTCCGTCCTCGCAATTCGCTTCATCGAAATCGCCATGTCTCTTCTTCCACCACCCCCTTCTCCAGTTCCTCCCACAATGAAGCCGCCAACGACCTTCCTCAGCTTATCCACTGAGTTACGCAACTACATCCACAACGTCTGTGGCGATCTCAATGTACGACCTGCGACTCGGCCACCAAAGCTTCAAGCGAGGTGGGGAACGACGGTTGTAACATCCACAATTGTGTCGCATTGCGCAAGTAAAAGCAGCAGAGATATGGCCGGCCCGGAGGGTGATGTGTCCTGCTCATGCGAAGCCAAGGCGCCATCTGGGTATGCTGGCCGCACCTGCCGATAGCTTCTCCATTAACCGGTACGCATAGGTGAATCGCAACGGCGATGTGGCGGCAGGCTGGGAGAGAGAGTCAAGGAATGCCTCTCCCCGCTGTTGACTGTCTCCAAGTAGGTGAATGAGCATGCTGTAGAGATGTAATGGTTATCGAGCTCGAGAAGTGCCAGAGGTCCCGCTCGGTGACGATCGAGAAGGATGTGAAGGGCTGCGTTGATATAGGTGGTGGAGGAAAAAGTATCTGAACGCTTGCGGCATAAGGTCAAATTCGCGCTCCGCTGGCATTTCACGATAGCGGATGAGATCTGGTAGCAGGTGGTGTGAAAGTTCTCTTATGGCATTGATGCAGCTACATCCCACCTCATGAAACGCCTTCCACGTGCAGCTGCCATTCGAGGCAGAGTGGTATTCACCACCAGCACATCGATGCAGTAGTATAGAGAAGCAGCCAAACCACCATGACGCTCGCAACTCCCCGCTTATTTCTTCTTGTCCGACTTCTTGTTCTTCGCCGTACCCCGAGTCTCCTTGGCACGGTTCTTCCTCTGCTTGCCTGTTCAAGAAATATGTCAGCATCCATCGCACTCTTTCCAAACCTCCACCATTGTGATTCAAAGTGTACTCACGCTGCTGCCGGCTTGCCTTCTCAATCTTGGTCGCCTGCCCGTATCTCACCAGCCTGTAGTGGGGCTCGAAGTTCTTCATCGCCTCAGCCGAGTCGTAGATGAGCGCGAAGCCGGTGCTCTTGCCGCCACCGTACTGCGTGCGGAAGCCGAAGCAGGAGACCTGGTCCTTGGAGGCCTTGTAGAGTTCGGAGAGCTTGCCGCGGAGTTCGTCCTTGGAGACATTGGGGCGGTTGGGGTGGAGGACATCACTGTAGCAGACATTTCATTAGTATATACTTTTGGTGGGCGCTTCGCTGCAGGCGCAAGGTTTGCATTGAAGCGGTGTTCGTCGCTGGAGAGGGTGTACGCACACGACCATCTGCTTGCGGCCGAGCAGTGGGTTCCGGATGAACTTGCGGGTTCGGAGGGTGACCTGAGATTCGCTCATATTGGCGACTGTGTCTTGTCGGATGAGCAGTTGTCGAGGGTGCGTGAAAGCGCTGGAGTTCGAAGTGTCGTCGATGAAGTCTGGTTAGCGCATCAAAATCGTCGTGGGGCGGCCGGGAGTCTTGGCATATGCCTGACTTTTGGCCTTACGAGGGTCGCTGTTCTTACAACTTCATCCTACCCGACAATGACAAAAATATCGATCTCATCAATTTCTACATGACGAGACACGCTCCTCATCAGCTAAAATAACCACCGGATCGCTGTTGAACTACATGGATCCCCAGCTACTGCTCTTCCGGCGACAGTACTTCCAACTCTTCGAGCCAGACTTCCTCGCTTGGCCTCCGAAGCAGCTCTTGAAAGACCTAGGAGTCCAAGGATGGCTGTACAACAAGCTCTTCAACGCCGACGAGGTGACATATCTGCCTCCTGATAGATACCGGTATAGGGTACTCAAGCCCTTGGTAACTAAGATTGAGCAGTCTATTGAGGATCCGGAGGAAGACGTAGGTTACGCCTTCATTTCTGTACATCCATTTCGTATTCCTTTTGCGATACCACCTTCTCGTTACCACTTCTCTAATTTCATTCCTTCGCCGCAGACGATCTCGGATGAGCTAGTAACCCATCTTTCTTCCCTCGTTGCTTCGGGCTTGCTACCGGAGATTGCAGCGGTACAGCAGAAGTCCTATGTTACGTTCTCGTGCCTCTCACCAGAGGTGAACTTGTCAGATGTACCTGAGCAAGAGCCTACTATCACAGTATTGGAACGCCGCAACCTTATATCTGGCTCTACCACGACAGGCTACCGAACATGGGAAGCTGCGCTACACCTTGGCTCATACCTGCTCAGCAATCCAGAATTGATACGCGACAAGAACGTTTTCGAGCCTGGAGCGGGCACTGGCTTTTTGTCGATACTATGTGCAAAGCATCTCGAAGCCAAGCATGTCACCACCACCGACGGAGATGAAAGTGTGGTCGAAGCTTTGAAGGAGAATCTCTTTCTCAACGGTCTTGATGAGAGTGATACGGTGAAGCCTAGTGTCCTACGGTGGGGCAGAGGATTGCGAGGTACATGGGTTGAGGAAGACTTTGAGGAATGGCCGTGTGATGTTGTTGTTGGCGCGGACGTTGTAAGTTGATTGATGCTATGTGCAACGAGGACTTGCTGACAGACGCTCAACAGACCTACGACAAGACTATGATCTCAACCCTGGTCGCTACGCTTCGCTTTATGTTTGATCTCAGACCATCACTCCAAGTCCTGCTATCGACCGCCGTGCGGAATGCTGAGACTTACGAAGGATTACAGGCGGCATGCGGTACGTCCTTTACGACGTTATAAATCCATCCATGCAAAACAGCCGACTGATTCTCATGCACAGCCCATAACAAATTCAATGTCAAGGAGATTGACTTCCAGCAACAGCCGATCCGGGAACAAACAGCACTTTTCTATGCTACGGCCGTGCCATTGAAGATATTGTCAATCACCAAGCCTGACTGATAGGACTTTATCTTGTCAGAACCAAATAGACGGCTTTCCAAACAAATCAACGAGGTATGGAATACACGACAGTATATACGAGAAGCGCAGTACCCAGGAACATCGTCAGAAAGCGAGAATCTAGTCAATCGCGCGTAGACAAACGGCGGCGTGTACATCACGGAGGAGGGTAGACGTAAGAGGCAGCGAGACATCACAAACAAGAAGGGAGACGAGCGTACGTAAGATAGAGTTAAGATGAGCGGTGAACAATGTTTCGTGAGTACTCTTATGATTCGGCATCCATTTCGTCCGCAGATCTTTTCTGGTCGCACTGCGGCTGCTCGTCTGATGATTTTGCCACTCCGGTCGGCAGTTCACAGCCCCTCAGCACGTCCTTGTCAGACATCGCCTGCCCGGCCAAGTACTCCTTGATCTTGTCCGTTGCTGTCCCGTTCTGATACTGCTTGACTTTGGCGACGCCCGTGAACTCCTTCAGCAACGCTACCAGCTCGTAGTCATCGCTCGGGGCACCTTGCTTGAACTTCCTCGCCCGCTCAAGATACTCGTCCTCATCGGCCGTCAGCTTAGGCAGCATTCCGTAGGTCTTGCAGACACGAACACATTCTTCGCAATCAGGATCTACGTCCGGACAGCGGACGTTGGTGCAATTCTTGCGGCCGCAGTGCTTGTACTTCTTGCAGGCCTTGCCGATTTTGTTGATTACGAAGATGGCCTCAAGCAAGAATCCGAAACCCTGGTAATCATAGCCCCGGGTGTAGCGAAAGTCTTCTGCGTTGAGGCCGGAGTCGGGATCGAATACGTTCGATCTTCCGAAGTCTGCCAGTACCACGGTAAACCCGAATTCCGAGTCGTCAGGGCGGATGAGCAGGTTCTCGCAATGGAAGTCCATGTGTCTTGTCATCATCGTCTCACGCGAGTAGGACTCCATGGTCTCAGGGTCGACGCCAAAATGGAAGACAGCAAAAGCATTGGCGATGCAGCGTCCGATGTGATACTGTGTCCCGAGATCCAGGTCGCGGAAGCACACCTTGACAAGCTTCCGCAAAGTGCCGCCTCCAGCGTATGGAGTGGCGAGCCACTGACAGTTCCCTTCGACGTGGTGGTCGACCAAGCAGGTAATCTCCCATCGCTGAGATAAGTGCGGCAGTCTCAAGACCTCGATCTCGTTCCGTAGGTCATTCTTGTCTTTGGAACCAGACTCTTTGACAAACTTGGCGGCGACAAGGACTGGGCAGATAGCAGCAGCCCTTTCCTCGGTCTGATCATCTGCAAACATATCGCGTATCTTCGAAAGATGGTCATGCCTGATGGCGAGGTAGCAGCTGCCATTACTGCCTTCTGCGATCAGCTTAATTTCAAAATAAATTTTCCGAAAGTGCCGTCTGGATTCTTCTGCGTCACTTACCCGGCGGTTTTGTATAATTCCATAGGACTTGTGTGTCAGGCCGAATGGCTTCTGTGTTAGGCCGAACATTGCGGAGACGTTCTCGATGCCTGCAACGAGTATGTTGAATATGATGGTATCTGCTGTTCGATCTTCAATTGCAACGACCGGCGTGCTGATCCCGTTCTCGTCCGTAAAAGCAGGGCTTCGAGTATGGATTTTGGGGAGAAGCGGAAATCCGCTATACAAGTCGTAGTCTTTGGGTATATACACTCGGGCTTTCTCTGTCGCGACAGACAATGCAACAATGCTCATTGTAGCAACGACAAGTCCCATCGAGACAAAGAGGACAAAGCCGTCTCGCACAAGGTCAGCGCATTTCTTTGTTTTCAGTCAATGTTCAGCGCGAACCCAGCACCGGCCAACAGTTCCTTGTCGCCCACACGCTGCTCCGCCAAGTATTCCTATATCTCGCTTGGCATGATGAGCGGTACGTCCCAGCGCTGCTGCGTCCTTGCGACATCTGTGAACTGCTTCAAAAGTGCCGCCAAATCTTCCTCCGTCTCCGCCACAGAGCGCCTAAGCTTCTTGGCCCAGCTCAGAAACTGCCTTTCTTCGACACTTAGCTGAGGACGCACACTAGGACCCGAAGCGACCCTGAAGCAGCCTTTACAGTTGAAGTCTGGACAAGCACGACACGTGGAGCAGCCACAATGCTTGCAAATGCTGTTGACCTTTCCCACCTTTGTTGTCACGAAGATTTTTTGCATCATGCAACCCAGCTTCTCGTAGTCCTGCCGGCGACAAGCTCTGAAACGCCCTGGGGTGTCGGGATCGTGGGGTCTGGATTCATCGTATTCCCAGCTTCTCCCAAAATCGGAGAGTACCACGTCGAAGCCCAGCTGTGGGTCTGAGGTTGGACGTACAAGGAATTTGCCGCCGTGCATGTCCATGTAAGTAAGTTTCGGGTAGTGCTTCGAATGGGGTGTCATATCTTCTGAGTCAGTGATACCCCAGTGGAACAGGAGAAGAGCGTTGGCGATCTGCAAAGCAATGTGCCACTGCAGTCCCAGATGTATGTGCTGGTAACAGTTCTTGACGAGAGCTGTCAACGTTGACCCTGGAACGTATTCCATAGTCATCCACTGGCATGTATCCTCCCGGAAGAAATTGATCAGGCTGGTGATTTGAGGCTTGTGCCGTAGCACGGGCATCTCCAACAATGCGACTTCGTTTTCAAGATCGAAACCGTCCAAGCTGTGAGGAGTGTAGAATTTGACCACTACGAGACATTCTCGCAGGTTGCTGCACAGCTTGTCCCTGGAGCCATGGCATTGGTAGGCCGTACGAATCCTGTCCAAGTCGTCACGTGCTATTGTCAGATGACACGATCCGTTGCTGCCGCTCGCAAGAAATTTGATGATCCGGTGGGATCGGCGAAAGTGCTCCTCGGAACTAATTTGAGGTTCCTGTTCCATCTTTTGGGGATGATGCGCAGGCCTTTGATGAATACGAGGACTGACGGATCGGAAGACCCAAAATTGTGCTGCCAGCGCGCGGTTGGGGCGAGTAAAACGGAGATTGCTTGCTTGTTGAGGTGATGTCGTGTTGTTACGGCCATGTTGTTGGTACATATAGCCTCGTCGAACAGAGACGGTGGAGCTCTTGCAATGCCCACAGACACTCCAGCTTAAGGCAGATAAGCGAGACCATGTCGCAGAACGCCGAGACAAGCCCTTTGTCTGGCGCCACTGACTTGTCTCGAGATCCTCTCGTGTCGAGCATTGCCGAAAACGAGGGCCTAGCCCTCAGGAAATTGTGCTCACGAAGTTCAAGTGCATCCTTACCTGGTCCGTCAGACATGTTTCAATGTCCATGCCCAAAAACATTCGTCAGCAACGGGAGAAGCATGCCAGCAACACAAACCATCGTGTCTGTAAGACCCGCCGCATCTGTCTTGGTTGCCGTCGGTGCTGTCGAGGCGTACATGTCTGACATGTCCGACATTGGTACAGACGAGTAGCCATTGATCTGACCATTCTCACTCCCGCGGCTGTGTGAGCCTTCCTGCATGGTATGCATCGCCACGTACATAAAGGTGCCGGCGCTGAACAACAACAGAACGCCAGTCGCAAACTCAGCACTCATACTGCGTCCAAGTGCGGCCGAGCTGTAGCCAAGAATATGCGCAGCGCCCCACGTAAGCAGAGCGCCAACTGGTGCCGCCAGAGAAAACACAATCAGGTGAGCTCTGGCGGCGCGTTTGCTGAGCCCTTGTTTTAGTAGAACAGAAGTCAAGCCGAAAGCGGCTGGCGCCTTATGGATCATCAGAGCGAAGAAGATGATGAAGCTCAGACGGCTAGTAGTCGCAGAAGACGCGCCGAGAGCTATACCGTCGGCAATAGCATGGATAACCAGGCCTACAGTCGTCGACGACGGACGTCCGCTCAATCCATGGTGTGTCGTGCTGGAGTCTGTTGGCGGCTCCGGACCGGAAGACGTCCGAGACCGAGTCAGGCTGAATTGGTTCAAGCTGATGTGAAACCGTTGCGGTTGAGAGGGGCCACTGACGTGGCGGGGAAGTGTGTCGACCAGGTACATCAGGATGAAGCCCGTGATTAGAGAGAAGCCCACCCAGGCATGAGGGTTGTATTCTTCGTCGTGGTGCTCGTTGGCCTCATGCTCATTCGAATCTTCCAGATGGTCCGAATTTTCTTGGCCGTCGTCCTGCCTCTTGACCATGCAGTTCAACCCAGCGCCATCCAATCCTAGATCATTTGGCATGGCTGTTGCAGTTTGCCGCCATACGTTGTGCTCCATCGCTCCAGGCATTGGATTCGTGAGGACTGAGGATCGCGTCGCGACACGTATTGATCGCTCGGCATGACTGTGACTGCTCCCACTTGCTTCATACAGCGTTTCTATTCCCTCGGGTATGATCACAATCATAGAGGTGCCCACCAGAACCCCAGTGCCAAGGGCAGTGACCAGTCGCAGTTGGCGGGAGGAAAGGGAGAAGGACAGCGGGAGGATGCCGGCAAGGAAGCAGCTGCAGAGTATTAGAGCGGTTGGAGGACATACAGGGGGCCAGACAGCACGTACGAGACCGCCATTATGAGGCACAGAAAGATCAGGATCACAAGTCCATCGAGCTGCATCTTGAAGAGCGGCTGCTGTTCAAGGCCAGGCGGAGTTCACCGGTCCGCGCGAGAGCCCGTGTTGGCAGCAACGGAACTAACGTATCGTCTCGGTACGTGACATAGTCGCGCGATGTCGTAACTGTTGTGAGAGCTTGGTTATCCGTGATGACAGTTGGAGAGGTTGCAGTTGCAGCCCTTGGTTCTCCCCAGAATTGTCGCAGATCCGGCGAGTTAAGCGGCGGAAGTGGCGTTAAGCTCCATGGACGTTCGGCCCGCTAGCTGGATCCACCTCACAACGCGCTAGGCGTCGCGCTTTACAGCTTTACGCGAACTCCAACAACCGACATCACTACTTCTTGCTACTGGTGCTCGCAACAACCAGCACATCCAACATCTCAGTCGCATAGTCGCCTACTGCAAATCTCCGACGTAACTCCTTTCCAATCGAACAAGGACCTCTAAAATGGACGAGACCGAGCTAGAAGAGAAGATAGCAGAGCAGGTTGGCGAATGGTCGAGCAACTCCAACGAATGCTTCACAATCGAGCTTGTCAGCGGCGACGGCACAGTCACATCTTTCAACCCGGAGTTCACCTATCCTATCTTCGGCGAAGAGGAGGCAATCTTTGGATATCAGGACCTCGAAATCAACCTCTCGTTCGCAGCGCATAACCTCAAATCGCATCTCTCAATCAGCTACGGCACGAAGTTCCCAGCACAAGGCGAAGTGAAGCCGACAGACATTTATGAAGCTCTGCGAGACTTCCTGCCGCCTAAAGCCTTCTCGAATGAAGATGCGACGCAAGCAGTGAAAGACGAAAGCGCCGCGCAATTCAGACCACCTGGGGAGAGGATACATCGGTATGCTAGAGGCGGCCAGTCCTATGAGATATGGTGTGCCAACATGTCAGACCCCGCTGCGAGAGAGCTGCTGCAGAATATGGAAATTCTGATGCCGATGTTCATCGAAGGAGGATCCATGCTGCAGCTGGAACAAGACTGGACCACGCAGCGATGGAAGTTGTTCCTTCTCTACAACATCACGCCCAAACCAGAGGCAGGCCCGGCGTACTCACCGTTCTCACTGGTCGGCTACGGAACGTCATACCGCATCTTCACCTTCCCCGATCGGACAGACTCTGTGGAGTCCGATCTAAACATCTTCGCACCATCTTCGCAGTCGATAGATGACTTCCTCCCACCACCTGACTCCACGGTGGAGAACGATCTCGCGCCGACTGCTCACCCGGACAACATCTGTTCGCCACTTGACCTACCCAGCCGCGAACGCCTTTCACAGTTCCTCATCCTTCCGCCTTTCCAGAAAGAAGGCCACGGTCAGGAACTTTACAATGCCATGTATCGTGCACTGTCAAATCCTTCCAACGTCTGTGAATTCACCGTGGAGGATCCTAACGAGGCTTTCGACGACCTACGGGACCTTTGCGACCTCCTCCATCTCCGTGCTCACGATGAAGAATTTGCCGCGCTTCGCATCAACACCAACCTTCCAGCTGACAAGCTGATGTCCGAAACCGAGCTGCCAACCGACATCATTGTGCCAGTCGCCACCCGAAACGCGATCATGAAGCGTACCAAACTCATGCAACGTCAATTCGACAGACTTGTCGAGATGCACACTCTGTCTGCTATTCCTCCGCTCCACCGCAATCGAAGTCGCGTCACAAGGCGCGAGAAAGCCTCCAACCCGCATGACAAGGCGTACTACATCTGGCGACTGTATGCGAAGCAACGCTTGTTCCTGTTCAACCGCGACCAACTTGCGCAGCTCGAGCGGTCGGAAAGGATTGAGAAGCTGGAGAGCGCTCTTGATGCAGTGCAGACGGCCTATGCGGAGATGATTGAGAAGGTGGAGGAGAGGGAGAAGAAGACTGCAAGGGCTATTGCGAATGGAAACGGGAGTCCAGGCGTAGCGAAGGGTGGCGCAGAAGTGGAAGAGACGCAAGAGACGCCGAGGAAGAAGGAACGAAAGAGGAAGGTTGTGGAGGACGACGAGGATGAAGATGAGGAAGAAGGCACGGCGAAGGTGGTCACGAATGGCCATAAGAAGGCGAGGGTGGACTTGACTTGAACTGCTATTACTATTGTGGGAGGTTTTAGCATGGCGTTGGTGGTGTTGAGAGTCCTTGAACGGGAGGATAGGTATGCCGCGATGGCTCTTAGCCATTGCCATCGGACGGCGTTTCCATACATGACCACTGCGTTGCCCTCGGCGGCGAGGGCGGGTTGCCTAGACCGGAGTGCCTACGATCAGGTCTGCCAAGATGTCCCTTAACTCAGCTCTTCGAAGCGTCGCGTCACATCCCTCTTCACTTTCGCGGGCCACTCCAACATGCATCACATGTACGGTGCTGGCTTATTACCGACACTGATCGGTTTTCCTTGTACGACCAGCTGCACATTGATACCTTGTCAACGATCTTCGGTGCGTCCGTGCGAGTGCGACAGGTACATGTAGGTTTTGGCGTGTCATTTGCGACAGCTCACAAAGAGGACAAAACTCATTTCAATCACCCCTGGACCCGTTCAATGCTTAAGTATGGCCTTTCCTACTCATCCTTCTTTCTTCAGGTTTGCTTTTGTCCTGAATTTACAATGGCGGAGAACCTCTTGACCCTTCCGCCTGTCGTCTTCACTCGCATTGCCTAGTTGACGCCGCCTAGCGACCTGCCTGCCCTTCGGCTGACCTGTCGGGAAGTCAATGACAACGTCCTCGACACGTTTGCAAAGACCCATTTCTCCACCTTTGCAATCTTGGTCCACCATGAAGACAGTCTGAGGACTTTGCTAGCCCTTGCTCGGCATGAACGTATCGCACGCGCAGTGCGAAGGCTCGTCTTCTGCTTCGAGACCATTGTGGCGGACGATCCAGACTACGACACATGCATTTCCAACGGGCCAACAGAGCCTTCGCCGCCGCCGGGCAAGCAGGCTTTGCGCAATCAGAAGCAAGCAGAGGCTCGCCAGAATCGACTTCGCAAGCGAAATCTCGACCTGCAACTCCTCACACAAGCATTCACTGCTTTTGCTGGCGCAGGCAAGAAACTGGAAGTCGAAGTCACTCCGATGGACCGAGGCCCCATGAAGCCGCCGTACAAGCCATGGGGTGCGAAAACGCTCTGGAGTGCTTGCGAGCAGACGCCCTTTGCATTACATGACGATGATCGGGAATGTACATCGCGTTACTTCTAGCTTTAGTCTCGCTTTCGGGCTTGTGTCAAAACTTCGGGACCAGACCATCAAGACAGTGCTAACTCTTTTCTTCCAGTCTTACACGATAGTATTTCGGGCCATCGAGCAGGGCCGTGTGATCGTCGACAAACTGAACGTTTGGCACGGAGGCTTTTCCAACACTCTCGTCGAGCTCAACTGGCGTCACAAGCTCTACAAAGCAATACGCTTTCCTTTCAACAATCTCAAACGTCTCGAGATTGCCTGCGCTTGGGAGGGTTGCGATGCCAGTGAGAACGATGTGAAGTTCGTTGCTGGTCTCCTTCAACACGCACGCTCGCTCCAGGCGCTCGAGATCTACTCTACCCATGACGACGGGCAACCCTGGGGTTGTCATCTCCACAGTGCTGTCTTCGACAGGTACCTACAGCACAATGTCACGACGATGCGATACCTACATGCATATTTCGTGACGATTGATGGACAGACGCTCTGCGAGTTTATCAAACGGAACTCCAATTTTCAGACTCTGCGGCTGAGCTCCGTCAACCTTTACTGTGGTGATGCTGTCGTCCCAATTACCGAGAGTGATGGACGAATTGCCCGCAATCTTCGAGAAGAAGCCATCAAGAAGTATTTTCGGGAGGAGACTGCGCTTGAGGACGTACAAGTCCCACTCTGCGAAGCACGCAATGGAAGGATGCCTAGCTTTCACGGCACAAGGTATTGACCAGTTCTTAAGCACCATGTGATCGAGAGAGGCGATAGGTCATCAAATGCCGAGGCGGGACGATGGAAAGAGTGTCTGTTCAAGTACAGCTGACGGCTCAGCTCCATGTAGTTTTCTTGACTCATCAGTACATGCCTTCTACTTTACATTCACGCAGGTACCAACGTCTCTTTTCGCGGCTTTGCGAGACGTTGACACTCCGCTCCACGAGGTCACGGAAATATCAACACGCTGGAGAGGTGGTGTCGTGTACTCGGAACAACATTTCACAACCCAAAGTCCTGCCTCCGCATCTTCTCTACATACTCAAACTCCACCGGATTGATCAAATACCGCCACACCAACCAGATGCAAAGCAAAACGATCCATAGCAACACCAGCACGATCCCGCATGATAACAAACAGTACATGACTGGGTCTCGATACCATCGCCGAGCATCAACGGGCTGTGCTTCCACCTCTGGTGTCGGCCTGCGATGGACAGCGTCGTTGTCATGCCAGGTACCGGCGGAGCTTAGAGCGCGTGCTGAGCGTTCTTGTATGGACGACTCCGGTGCCGGCGGGTCCTGGAGGTGGTCGATCCAGCTCTCGATTTGTGAGCCTGCGAGCCTGGTTGAATAAGATGGTGGAAAAGAAGAGGCGTGAGACTCTGCGTCGTCGTCGTTGTCCTCGTCTTCGTCGGCGATAACTGCGCCTTCTTCATCGTGTCCAGCGTCGTCTTGACCTTGGTCAGAAGCATCGTCCGTCGCTGTGCCATGCGCTGCTTGAGCTACGGCATGAGCTTGATGGTGTTGTATAGCGCCAGCATTCCCCACAAGCACTCCCGTAGCCACTCGTCGTTGCAGACCTGTCGGAGCGCGTTGTTGTTGGTTGGCGGGTAACGGTACTGCTGCTGGATTTGTTGGCGCAAGTTGTGCTGGTGGTCCTGCCCTACCGTGGCCACCTCCATTGTTCCTCGCCATAACACGAGATAGCGTACTGAGGGTGTCGAAGTGTTTACTTTGATGTTTTGTGCAGGCGTTCGCGGAGGCTTCGGTCGGGTGGAATCTACGATCTCTGCAGAAGGGCATCACGTATTGACGAAGAGGGCTTGCTTACTGAAGAATGTACAATCTGCAGGAAATCGATTGTTGAGTATGATGGTATGTGAGATGGGGTTAGACATGCCAGAGACATTGCAAGCAAGACAACGTAATCGCGGTGCCTTACTGCTGCAAGCTGCGTCGTGCGTCTGAGACACGGACATTCTGGCGGCGAGACATCTTGCTTAGGCCTCTCAGGTGTGCTTGAGCTTCTGCGACCGCCTAACGTGTAAGTCTAGGTGAAGTCCCCTCTCATCTCGTTCAGTACTGCTCGTTGTCTCTGCGATGCCATCCTCTCAAACCGGTCGACGGCCATTGTGAACGTCCCTCTGCCGCCGGTCAACGAGCGGAGATGTTTAAGGTAGCCGACCATTTCCTTCAACGGCACACGTGCAACAATCTGCTTCATGGTGTTGGCATTCCCATTGGTAGAAGCGTCAGCCATTGCGTGCCCGCCAGCGTAAGGGTCAGGTGGAGCGTAGATCTTGGCCACATCAATAGATTGACCTATGTTGCTTGTTTCTTCGTCGGAGCTGAGCGATACGACGGTGCCGCCACGAGCACTTGAGATGTCGTGGACAACCGAACCCATGCTGCTTTCATCGACCGAGATGGTGACGAGCATCACCGGCTCCATCATGACCGCCTCGCTTTGCTTCGCGCTGTTTCTCAGCGCGTGTTGTGTTGCGACACGAGCGGCAGACGAGATGGCAGCCGGCGTTGTGGTTGGGAACAGCTGTGTTGTAGGATCGAAAGTGATGGCTATGTCGCTGGAGTGGACTGGGTAGCTGTAGGCGGGCCCACGTGCAAGAGCGGCAGAAACGCCGTTCTGCATCGCCTGCAGTACAATATGTATTGGGACGTGTTCTGGTAAGCCGGGCTGATCTGGGTCGATTGAGGAGCCGTCGGCATATAGCGTTGGCGTGAGAATAGATAAACGATTGTTTTCTGCCAGATCGATAATGTGCGCGTCCCCAGCACTGGTAGCCTCACCAGAGTGGGGTTTGACAGATGCAGTACAAGCAGCTTTCGAGCTCTTACCACCGACTTCTCGCTCGAAAACTTCGGTGACCTCCTCGCTCAGAGCCGTCGGAGCCTCCCTGTACCCTATCTCGATGCTACCAATTCTGGCTTTGGCTTTCAGATCGCTAATCAAACGATCTCTGGCGATCTCGAGATGCAGCTCACCCATGCCAGAAAGATGCGTTTGGCCACTTTCTTCGTCAACCGTCACGTGGAGGGATGGATCTTCTCGCAGAAGAATGCTCAAGCTCTCTTTGATGTGCTTCTCTTCAGACAGACTGCTCGGCTCTACGCTGACAAAGAATACTGGTGGCGGTACGTCGATCGGTCGTAGCTGCAGACTGTTGATGGGTGCTGGTGGACCGACCTTTGGGTTTGTCCCAAGGTACGATATCAATGTGTCTCCCGTTCTTGCTGCTTTCAAGCCGGGTATGACCCCTATCTGGCCAGCTGGTATCGAATCAACATCAACCGCATCGTTCGCATACATCTTCAATAGCCTCTGAGCCCGCTCAGCAGATTGCAAGTTCGTATTCCAGAGAGCTGAGTTCCGGTTGACGGCTCCAGAATAGACTCTGATGTAGACGAGTACCCCTCGCTTGCTGTCTGCCACCACTTTGAATGCCAGTGCACACGCTTCGAGGTTCTGCAGGGCAAATGTTGCTTTGTCCTTGGACAGTCCCTTGCCACCTTTGGATGTTGACGCTGCGGCTATCGCCACTTTACCAGCAAGTAGTTCAGCGAGCCCGCCTTTCACTTCGCCACCAAAGCTGATCTCTGGATCCGGACGTTCGGCGGGTGACGGAAGTAGATCAACCACAGCGTCCAACACTGGCTGTACGCCAACGTTTCGAAAGCTTGCACCAGCAAAGACCGGGACGACATGTTGTGGGCGACGTAGGGCGCAGATCCGTAAGCTCTCAGTGATGTCCTCCGGGGAGATGGCCAAATGGTCCTCGTCCGCTTCCAAGTAATCTTCGACCATCGCATCGTCGTGCTCTGACAACAGTTCCACAAGAGCGATTCTGGCCTTCTTTATCTCCTCTGCCAGCTCAGAATCCTCAACTTCGAGCTTTTCCAAGCCAGAGACAGTAATGTCCTTGCCATCTCCACCTTCAGCATACCTCAAGCCTCTCAGTCCAACAACATCGCCAATGCCTTGCAGCTTGCCCTCAGCACTCCACCAGGGAATGCCGCAGACGGCCGGCCAGACACCTAGCCTCGAGCCGATCTCCTTAATGGTTTGCCCAAAAGCAGCGCCATCGCGGTCAAGCTTGTTGACGTAGATAGTACGCGGGATGGCGTATGCTGAGGCTTGCGACCAGACTTTCTCAGTCTGCGCTTCTACGCCTGCTACGCCATCGAGAATGCATACTGCGCCATCAAGCACTCGCAAGGAGCGAAGTACCTCAAATGTGAAGTCTGCATGGCCAGGTGTGTCGATGAGATTGATGTTATGAGGAACCAGAGAGCGTTGTCCGGCCGTAGTGTTCGCCGACGAAGGCGGCCAAGAGAAGCTGATAGCCGCAGATTGAATAGTAATGCCTCGCGCTCGCTCGGCGGGCAGGAAGTCTGTCACAGTACTTCCATCGTCGACGTCTCCGATCCGTCTGGTATAGCCGGAGTAGAAGAGAAACCTCTCTGTAGTCGTGGTCTTTCCTGCGTCGATGTGTGCTATGATTCCAACATTTCGAGTGCGATCCAAGGCCTCCTTGGTTTGAGCGGTGGCGAAGTGTCTTCGGACGTACGACAGGCGTATTGTGCGGACGAAGGAATACCGAATCATTCCAGTTAGCCCAAGTTCAAGAACGCCATGCGATGCAACGCTATTCCAGTGGTCGACGAGGGGTGTCCCGGTGTCTTGTTCAAGGTGGCTTATGATATGCAGGGATGTGAGGATCGGGCCGCCACGCCCGCCAGACCTTGTGCGCTTCTTACCAACCCTCGCAAACCGCACGATACCCTCATGCAGCAGTTTGATTGCGCCATGTTCGCCACTACCGCTCGTAGCTGCAAAGACGGCGTCGGTACTATTGATGGGTGCTGAGGCTTGGTAATTTATTCTGGCACATACTCTTGCGAGTCGACACTCCTTATCTAGACCAGACCGCCCGTATCATCAACCAGCAGAAGCCAACTCTTGCCTATCCCGGATCTCGACGACCCACCCCCCTCTTGAACTCTCGCGCCAGTACGCTCAAGAACAACGTCTTCGTTGGAATCGGCTCTGCGGCCTCCAACAGCTTCGAGCGGCACGAACGCAACAGCGTCGCACATGCAAGGCTGGATCACAGGAAGGCGACAACTGGCAAAACGAACTGCGCGTACGCGGAGCTTGGTGCTCGAGTTTGTCGACGCTGGGCGGCGCCACGAACCCCGCGCTGGATCCTATACACTTGGACGTCAAGATGGAGCACAACGACCTCGCCCGTATGCCCTCCCAGTACAGTGGACACGGCAAGGCGAGAGCAGGTCCGAGGCCGGTTATAACGACGCCGTCGTCCAGCAGGAGCAGAGTTCCAACCCTCCCGATTCAGATTCCCACCAACGCAAATGTCTCTGGGAATCTACCGCCTTCGGCGCCGGCGAGCCCGCCGACACCTGCGCCCTCTCCTACCATGGGGACTGCACCCGACTGGTCTTTCGCGTCGCCGCGTGAGGAACTGGGTCATGAAAAGCTCGAAGACGACGCCGCGATCGTGAGCAGTGTTGGCTACAGGCACATGCGCGCAACCTTCGAGAGTGCGGACAATGATGAGCGGCAACGAATGCTTGCCGAGCTTCTCAATATGTGTGATGGCAAGTTGCTGGGATTTGTAGCGAGTTTCGTGGGGCCTCGTCTGAAGAGAGATCCGTTCTCAAGCCTGCCTAATGAGCTGTGCTTGCGAATACTGACCTTCGTTGACGATGCCAAGGCACTGGCTAGGAGTTCGCAAGTCTCCAAGCGCTGGCGAGAGCTAGTCAACGACGACCTTGCGTGGAAGAGGTGCGTAACTTTTGCTTTCGGCTTTCCCTCAAACGAAAATCTGCTAACACCTTGTTCTTTTCCTCCACAGTCTCTGCGAAAGTCACGCATTCCGCAGGCTCTCAGACGAAGCACCTGTATCCCATTCACGTCGAGTTCCAGCAGCACAGAGCTCGAATCAAGAGCACAACTATCCGTATGGCTTGCACAACTCCGCATTGCAAGGACTATCAAGCTCAGCGCCTGACTTGACACGCCGGATAAGTATGAACACTTGTCCAGCTATGTTAGCTGATACACAGTCGCCCCGAGTGACACCATCTTCGACCAACAAGCGGCGACCAAAGGCGATGACTTACCGTTCTCATTTCAAGCAGCGCTACCAAGTCGAAACTGCGTGGCGTACAGGCGGCACAGTGCATCCGAGGCAAATCACCCCTGATCAAGGTGTTGTAACGAGCCTGCATCTCACGCGCAACTACATCATTGTAGCTCTCGACAACGCCAAGATTCATGTCTTCGATCCCGAAGGCCGGCATCTGCGCTGTCTACAAGGCCACGTGATGGGCGTGTGGGCGATGGTCCCACATGGAGACACCCTGGTGTCTGGTGGTTGCGACAGAGATGTACGGGTGTGGGACTTGCAGACAGGCCAGGCTGTCCATATGCTACGAGGGCATACCAGTACCGTGCGGTGTCTGAAGATGTCTGGCTCGAACATTGCTATTTCTGGCTCACGGGACACGACATTACGAATTTGGGATATCAGGAAGGGGATTTGCAGGCATGTCCTGGTGGGACATCAGGCATCGGTCCGTTGTTTGGAAATTCACGGTGATCTGGTGGTATCTGGCTCTTACGACACAACCGCGAGGATATGGTCAATCAGCGAGGGGCGGTGTTTGAGAACTTTGCAAGGCCACTTCAGCCAAATCTACGCTGTGGCATTCGACGGCAAGCGTGTGGCGACAGGTTCACTTGACACTTCTGTCCGTGTCTGGGACCCGAAGGACGGTAGATGCTTGGCCCAGCTGCAAGGCCACACGTCTCTTGTCGGTCAGCTCCAGCTGCGGAACGACACTCTGGTTACGGGCGGTTCCGACGGATCAGTCAGAGTCTGGTCACTTCAGACGTATTCTGCAATTCATCGCCTTGCAGCACACGACAATAGTGTTACCAGTCTGCAGTTCGACGACAGCAGAATCGTTTCTGGTGGTTCGGACGGCAGAGTCAAGGTGTGGGATTTGGATCGCGGCGTCTTGATACGTGAGCTTGGTAGTCCGGCAGAAGCCGTGTGGAGGGTTGTGTTCGAGGAGGAGAAAGCCGTTGTGCTCGCGAGCAGGAATGGAAAAACTGTCATGGAGGTATGTCGAAGGCCGCTCCATCATCCTGCTTTCAGAAGATCGCTTTGCTGACATTCATTTACCAGGTATGGTCTTTCGCCCCACCAGCGGAAGATGATTTCTCCGGATCGTCTCGACCTCACTCTCACACGCTCGCGCATGCCAGCAGCTCCATGTCGATGCCTTCGATTGCTCCTTACCAAGACCCAGCATATGGCGAACGTCCGCAATGGTCTGGGAGTCATCTCCACAAGGAGGAGTCTGCATTGGAGCAGCAGCAGGATGAAATTATGAGCGACGCTTACGATTGGCAAGCAAGGAACGACGACGACGACCCTCAACGAATACAAGAGAACCACTCATGACCGGAAGTGGATGTGATTCAGTAGCAGAGGAGGCATGATTGCAGGAGGCATGACAGCATGATAGAGCCTGTGTTTGGGCATTTTGGGGGGTGTCCGGGCGCACGACATCCATGTCAGTCAATTCGGTTGCGCAGAGCGCGCTCTGGTGGGATTTGTTTGCCCTTCTGTGCATATCTCGTACGGCCTTGCGAGGCCGCTATATCAGGTACCTTGGTTTTTGTATCCTCTTCTTCATCCTCCATGTGACCACTCGCACGTTTCTTTTCTTCGACTTCACCTCATCGCCATCACAATAAAGCATTCACACGTGCCTTTCCATGCAAAGTCAGTATCATCGACACCTACCATATTGACCACTCAACTGCGTACCAGAACTCCTTCGAACATGGAGACAACGCCCCCAGCTGGCAACCAACGCACCAACGACGAAGTGGTGAAGGACGCAACAAAGCTCATCGCCCTGCTCGATAGATACTCCGTCCTCCGCGGTGACACCCTCACCACATGCCCAGATATCACTCCAATTCTGGTGCAGAACACCGAAGAAGCCATGGGCAACATCAAGCCCGGCATTCCCGCAGCGCTGCAGATCTACCCGATCGTGCCGCTGTCCAGTCACCTGGATGAGCTGGATGCTGAGAGGGCCGAGATGTCCAGGATCAGGAGCGGGTTGCGCGTTCTTATGACAAAGGACGAGGTCAAGAGTGCGGCCAAAAAGATCATAATGGACGAGTACGCGCGCTTGATCCAGCCGAAAGATGTCATGGAGAAGTTTGAGAAGAAGGAAACAACAATCATGCTCCTACAGCTGCGGCATGAGCAGGCCAAGGAGAAGGAGCCTAAGATCGAGGAGTTCAGCTTTGAGCTTATTGAAGGGTTGCTGAAGGATGGGAAGGTGTCTCGAGTGTGGACGTACGTTGTTATGTCCTTGTTTGTTCCCGTGGTGCCTTGCTAACACTCTCCTGCGCTAGCTACTGGCTTGAGAAGAACACTTCTTGGGATGGGTTCCTGTCATTCCTCACCAAGGCTTCAGTGAGTGGATTTGCCGAAGCGCGCGGTCACCCAAGAGGATACAGCTTGAAGGACGGGAAATGGTTGTACTCTCTTATGAACGCCCAGTACGTTCAGCAGGGCAACCACCACGACCTGGCCACAACGGAAGACTATCGCGCCATGAGAAGCCACATTGACAGTGGGAAATGGGCGTGCATCCTCATCATGCACGAGCTGGTGTGGCAAGAAGCGAGGGTCAAGCAAGCGATGCCTGTGAAGGATGGACTTGAGCTGGATGGTGTATTTCTAAGTGGATGGGACGAATTCGCCAATGTTAACTTTCATCTCTGAAAAATTGGTCCTGAAGGCTCAAAATGGTTGATTGACAGATGCAAGAACGTGTTGCCGTGTTGCGCCGACTTCTTCTGCTCAACAGTCGAGCTCATACCATGGCCTCTATGCGATCCACGGGACATTCAAGATGTGGACCAGCAGGAGGCGTATACAATTAATCTTGTTATCTCCTTTTCAATACCTTTCTATTCTGTGAATGACCGTGTCTTCGTCTCTATCAATTAAAGTTTCTGCGTCTCTGTTAACGGTCGTGTCTTCATCTCTGTTAATGGACGTCTCTTCGTGTACCACCCTCCCACAAATGCTTAACAAAGGAAATCAGCGGCGCCAAGATCCTCCTGTCTCTCTCGTCCATTGGCCATTCGCAAACTCGCCGGCAGTAGTCACTGGACATCATTAGCGAGGTTCCAACCAAGTACAGCGTATGAGCGTGAACGTACAGGCGATATTTAGCGCCCAGGTCTCACAGGCTCTACGTCATCGTGGTCAGTATCGTCCTCCTGCGGTTCCTTCCTGACAGGTCGTGCCGGCACCGGGGCGCGGCGAGCTTTTCGCTCGTGCATAGGCCCTGGCGGTGCTCTGCGCGCGATAGGCATCCCGGGGGTTGGCTCGTTGATGAGACAATGGAAAGGAGGCGATGTTGGCCGGCTCACCTTTTCGAAGTGGATCGGCTCTGCCTGGCGTTTCCTTTCGTCCCGAACTTTCTCCTTGAGGCCGCTTAGCTTGTGTTCTCGCCGCATCTGCAGAAGTCCCAAACGCTCTTCCTCTTCGTGCTTCCGCAAAAGAGGGTTATTGCCTTCCACGTCGCGGAGTTGGGCTTGAGATATGGTGTAGCCTTGATCTTGCACCGTTGATCTCTCCCGTGTCATTGCGTGCGCTCTCTTTCGATCCAGACTGCGCATCTTCGCATCCTTGCGGGAGAAGCGCTCCTCGTCGTCGCAGTTGTCGTCGTTGTCGCCGGGTTCACGCATGGCAGAAGTCCCTAGATGGGCTGCGGTCTTGAACATCCCGGAATGGGACTGGTAGCTGGAAGGTCTGCCGGTATGTTGCATGGTCATGCGGTCTTTGTGGGAGAGTCGAAGAGGCGCGGTGTCTTGCTGGTTGGCCTCCATTGGACTGTCTGTCGGATCCTGTAGGCACGACGAGTGTTCTTCGGCCTGGTCGGTGGTACTGCCTGGCGAGAAGTGTTCGGGGGATGCCATCGCTTTAGTAATGAATGAATACCAAGTGTTTGAGAATGCAATCAATGAAGTTCTGGCGCAGTGGGTTTGGTTGGTGGTAAGATTACATTTGAGAGAAGAGTAATGAAGAACATGTATCTTTACAGCGTCCGAAGCAACTCCATCGCCATGCCTGAAGAACTCTAATGAGGTGGTTGTTTCCTGGAACAGAACTCTAGTGGTCGAAGAGCAGTTTCCTGGTAAGCTGCAACAGATAGGTCAGTCTTGCCATTGCGAGTATAATGATTGGGGTTGCACTTACTGCCCAACCTCCTGCTATCCCTCCAACGATGCTGCCCGATATGAGCATAGGTTTCACACCTCTTGTGCTCTTGAAGATCATCCCGCTGATGCCACCCGCTGCCACGCTATTGAACGAATCATGCTTCCCCCGATAGTATCCTATTGTGCTATTGATGCCGTTGTACATCATTGCGACCACTCCTGCGGAGTTTCCCAAGAACGGCCCTCTTCGTGTGATGGCGTTGAGCGCAGAGTTGAGTCGCAGTTTAGGGGGTGCCGTTGGCGGTAACCGGTTCAGCCCTTCCACCAAGCCCCATGCTCCCCCTGCCGCCAGCGCGGATAGATATGTTACGCCTGTTCCATAGCACAGATCATCCGACCATCCTCGTGATGGTAATACCGATCGGCCGCCTGGCAGGTCTGAGAGTGCTGAGTCGTCGAGGGAGAGGTAGTCGAGAGTGTCGCGGTCGAGGCCTGCTAGAGGGTGGAGCGCTGCTGGGTCGAAGGACCCCGGGTTCATGAAGGAGCCGACATCGTCGCCTGAGACGTTGTTGAACTGCACTGGGCCTGCTGGGTCGTGGATGGTCTCAGAGTCGGATGGCAAGGGCGTCTGCTGCCGCGAGGACTTCCCCGAAAAAGCGTCCCACACCCCCATTGCTATATGTCGCGATCGCGGTGATGAATGGAAGACTTCGTGATGGCGGGACGATCTGACTGATGGCGTCGGCGTGGCATAGAAAATAGTTCTGGCGATATGACCTCGCGGTCCTGCCGATTCGGGACTAGTCTTTCCCGAAGGCTTGGCGACACCGACTTCACGTTCACTTTCAACCTTACTCGCTTCTTTCTCGGATATCAATTTTGTCTATTTCTCGAGCAGATCTCTGCAACGGTTGTCCAGAGATCGGAACGAGCAATGACATGGAGTCTGTGCCTACAAGAGTCACAACGTAAGGACTTCGCTGCAGCCTCGCTTCTCGTAGCCAGGAAGCATATATCTCGAGCCGCAAACGGGGTTTTCTCTGCCACGGGGAGTTGAAAGGCCTACGCGCCAGCTTTGGAAACCATTTTGCTCATTTTCCTCCGTTCCTTATTGGAAGCTTGACTCATACAGAGTCTCCTTCTCGAAGGAAGTCGCATCATGAGACTTGATCTAGCACTGCATTGGCAACATCATTCTCCGATCGGGGTCTCATAACTCCAATATGCTTGAAGATTCGGATAATAACGATCGTTTGCTCGATGAGGAGCAGCTCAAATGGATTGCTCGCAACTCCAAGACGCTGATACCTCACCAGCAAGCCTCTGCTGGAGCTGACGAAGCGACGATGTAAGAGAATCCCAATGAGCGGTGAGCAGCGTGTTCAACAGCCACAAGCGAAGACGACTAAGACTCTTACAGCGATTTGAACTCCAAACTCCAACAGGTCTTGCGCACTTCATCCCAGCACAATCTTGGTGCAACACATCGAGTTGCGGCATGGAATGCACTGTGCTCTCTCGTTGATGGTTGCGCACACTCGGATCGCCATGATCTACACAAACTCCTATGGTCCAATGACACCTGGCATCGAATCTTCTTCCTCTACTTAGACCAAAGCCACAAGGCAAGACCTAAGTCGTCAAAACAATTGCTTAACACTCTAAGCTCATCCTGGCTGAAGACAGATGGTCCATCGAAGAAGGGTGAAGTGGTCGCCGCGGAGCTGATACGAACACTGCTCGAGGACAATGAAGTCAGTAGGACCAAGGCATGTTTGCAGGCTACTGTTCACTTCTTGTCTAGAGGTGTGGTGTCCATCGACGGGATCCTTTCACAGCTAGCACCCGAGGACGGCAGAGGAGGCGATATGCGGATTCAAGATAAGTTTCAACGGCTTCTATCCTTGCTATTTCAAGGTCTCGCACGCGGGGACGTGGGATCAGCTACAGGCCAGTTGCTCGCTGTGCTACTTAACAAAGACTCCTCACCACAACCTTTGCCAGGTGCCTCAGGCTTCGAATCGATGCCGGCCTGGGTACCTCCGATGAGGGACACATTACTTCAAGGCAATGTTGACCTTGGAGAACTGCGGCTATACATCTTCCCGGTCCTGTTCAAGCGGAGCGTACATGATTACCTGGGATTCTTGCAGGCCCTGGGAGTGTATCAGCTGCTCGCAACCGGACATACGCACCACGACGATGGGGTTCATGCGCCCGTCTTGTACGCAGCTCTGCAGAGTGGCAAAGAACATGGCCTGTTGTATGAGACAGCAGACAGCTCCATCTCACACTGTTCGACTCATATCTCGATCCCAGTACGCTCCATCGGCAGGATGCTCCGGGATCGCTCGCGACCTGCTCGTCTAACTGGACTCTCACTACTCATCACTTCTCATTCAGCAACACGTCCCCTTCCCGCAAAGACGTTTTGGCTGCTCAAACGCTATTTGCACGTCTTCCTCGGCGATAGCGACGCGGATTTTCGTGGTGAAGTGTTCAGTTTGATGCAGAGGCTTGTGGACCGCTTGAGGGCCATTACCGCTGTGGCTAGCAGGCAGACGAATGTCAGCAGCGAGGCAGCAGCTTCACTCTGCCACGGTCGTGACTTTCTGCACTGGCTGCTACAGTTTTTGGGCTCGGAACTGAGACCTACTGCCAGCTACCAGCATCATATCTGCGCACTGAAAACGGTGCTCATCATGGCGAGGTCAGGACTGGACGATGCGGTATCAGTTACTCATCTCTCGAAGACGGCTACAGTTGGTGAAGCAAAATGGCCATTCCACATTTCCATCTTGACGCCTGGACTTCGACGGGGGCTTTACGATCTCCTCCTCGATCCTTTTGACGATGTCCGACAAACTTCAGCCGCAATCTTAGGCATTTACGCTAGCGTTCGGGATGCTGAATCGCAAAACGACGTGTGCAATGAACTGTCGGGTATCGTTGGGCGGTCTGAGAGTATGATGTTGGCATCAGGACGAGCTGACCAAGCCGACGGTGTGGCACATTTGTACGCGCTGCTCTATCGTGAGCGCGCAGAGCAGCCTCAAGAACCGAGCTCGAGCATGGCTCTATGTCAATCGGTTTTGACGCACTTGGTAGGCACTCTGGAGCAGATGCTGGACACTGCCAAGAAAAGCCTCGCAACGGCGACTCAGAAATATCCTCTCCACGGTCTGCTGACCAGCCTGCGATATGTGCTGTGTCAGAAGGACTGTCGCTACGATTCTGAAGACATACCACAGCGGTTGGTGAACTGCTTGCATTCTCTATGGACTGTCGTTCGACCGGTGCTCTGTGACGATGCTCCTGAAGGATACGTGCCGGAACAGGCAGATGAGACTATCGAAATCTCGACCAAGGACACATTGAGCTACTGCTGGCGTGCACTGAAGGAAAGCAGCTTACTAGCAGGGAGCCTCATCCAGCAGGCCACGATATCTACAGAACAGGTTCTTGCACTGAGCGACCTCTGCTTCACGCAGCTCTCCGAATTAAGACATCGTGGCGCCTTCTCTACAGTCGCTCAGACCTGGGTTGCTTGTTGTCTGCGCTGCCACGACCTCAAGACCGAAGACGGCCAAAGTGTCACCGAGCTGTGGTACGACAGAGTCCTTGGCATCTTGAGAGACGGCCATCTCATCAACACTCGTCGCTCCGCTGGCCTGCCCTCCCTCGTCTGCGGACTGCTCATCTCCCCTGGACAGCTCCCATCTGTTGCCAAGGCATTTGACGACCTTACGTCAATTGCTCGGCAGCCTGTCAGTCAAACAAGTACACAAGAGAGCAGCCTACCACAGGTCCATGCTCTGAATTGTATCAAGGACACACTCAAGAACACTCGCCTGGCCGAGCGATCTGAACGCTACGTGGCACACTGCCTCCGACTGGCCGCGGATTCCCTGCAATCGGAACCGTGGGCCGTCCGCAACTGCGGCCTGATGCTCTTCCGTGCTGTCATTGACCGCCTGCTTGGCACCAGCGAAGCTCATCTGGACGAAAGCCGGCAGGCCTCAACCACCATCTCGACTCAGGATCATCCGGAGTTGCTAGGCATCGTCCTGGAAATTTTGCACGCCTCCCAAAGTGCCACTCACTCGAAGGGCAGTGAAGGCGTCTTCCCCGCTCTGCAGCTCCTGCAGAGTCTCGAGATCCTTGCTTCGAGAGTGGACGAGATACAGGAGGTGGTCCTCAACTTGACAGCGAACGCCTCATGGCACATACGAGACAAGGCTGCCCGCGTGTATGCGAGGATCGCGCCAGAGAGTACATCCTTGAAGAGTGTTGAAGCTGTGCTGACTACTTCGACTTCTGGTCAAAACGCCCTTCATGGCGCTTTGCTTTGTGTCAAGTACCTGGCTGTCGAAGCCCACCATGCACGAGAAGCCCAAAGTCGCAACACAGTTGATGAACAAATTAGCAGGTCAGATTTGCCAGCAGCGCGGATATCGGAAGCAGTAGCCTTGCTTGCACGATGCGACAAGCTGTTTTACGGGAAAATCTCGCACGCTGTCAAGGCAGCATACGTCGATGCAGTGGCGGAATGTCGATCGAGAGCAGTCCCAGCCTCACAGCCTGTTGATTCCGACCCCCGAACGCAGGCAAATCAAAGCATGACGCCGCCACAGCCCTTCGATGTCGAGTCAGAGCTGGAAGATATGCTGGTCCGTGCTCCGCGCAATCCACGCTCAGCTGGCGACGGGGTGGTGCTCCGCAGTCTAGCATGTGCATTTGCTACTACCTCGGTGCGGCGCTTTCATGCAGATATTGAGGAGATGGAGACCATCATGTTCAACCTTGGCCCTCGTGATGCCGATGCCTGCTCAATGCTTTTGAGTCGCTTATCTTTGCAAGACAGCCTGGACGAGAGTGTTGTGCAGCTTTCGTCAATACACGTCTGCACCGATATTCTTGTCGATCATACTTCGATTGGCCTGAAGTGCCAAGCCCAAAAATTCTTGTTGGACCTTTACGACAAGCACGAGCTCTCACCTGAAGTGCTTTCTGTATTCCTGGAAGTCATTGCGTATCCGACGTCTCCGCTGGCAAGAGGAGCTAACCAGGCCTACGCAGATCAGGGGCTGCAGCTCGGTGTCATCGCGCTCGACCACCGCCTGGAGAGTCCCGACGACGACAAGTCGGTAATCCATCCAGAGCTACAGCGCTGGTCGTCCTTCTGCTCCGAAGCCGTGCGTGAAAGTGAGTCGTCCCTGTACAGCCGAGAAGCAGGTGCATTTGCGCTTCGAAGGGTTCGATCTGGATTTTGGGAGTTCTTGAACCGCGAGAGCTCTCCGTGCTTCTTACGCATGTGCCTTGCTGTTTACGATCTCCTCAATGACGATGATGAAGACATTCGACTGCTGGCCGTGGTGACCGCGAACGACATCGTTAAAGTCTCTGCATTAGAGCGGCCCTCGGGTGTGCTGGAACCTGTCGAGGCCCGGAGCAGTATTCTTCGCTTCATGGTTCAACGATGGCTCAACGATGTCGAACTCGCCACGGAAGCATACACGCGAGCTTTCAGACCGCCTGGTTCCGATGACAGCCATACGATCGAGGAACAGCTAGACAACGCTGCAGCTGTAGATACGGCGCTATTCGCTGAGGAGAAACAGAACCTATACATTGACGACGCTACTGAGATCAAAGCGTGGACGGAAGTCTTGCTTCGCCTGGATGCATTCGCATTACCGCAGCATTTGCTCAATCACCTCTCGCGGAAAGTCATGAGCGGCCTTGAGAGTCTGCTGAAGAAGGCGGCTAATAACGACGACGGCGCGCTTGGCTGGAGTACTAAGCCAGGCGTCTTCATTCTCGGCCTGCAGATCGTGTACAGCGCTGAGGTCTTGTTGCATCTCGTCGCCAAAGGACGAAGGGTGGCTGTTCGACCATCAGAATTGCGGTCGAAGTTGAGCAGGCTTGCTACGGTATTTGCTGCTCAGAAGGTGAACGATCTCTGGCAGCGTGAGGTCTGGAGAGTGCTAGGAGATGCTACCTTACAGCAGGCCATTCACAATGCTCAGCTGATATGCCTAATAGCAAAGATATTGGACAGGTAGCTGAAAGAAATTGGAGATCTCGACATGTGACTACCTTTTGTGCCATCCAGATGAATCCTAAATGTTCAGTAATTTGAGTGACTGGTGATAGATACCTGCTCCCTGCCAAAACACTGCAGCCATAAACCCACGTGGGCTGCAGCTCGACCTCACCTCGCTTCCAACTTGCGAGCTCGACTGAATCATCCCAACCCCGACTGTAACTCACTTCCGATCACGCCAATGTATCAGTAAAAGGCCATATCCACTCAGCCACCACTGAGTCCTACACCCATCGAAATCATCAGCAAAGTCTGTACCAGTGGTTGACAATGACGCGCAACACACCAAGGGCTGGAGGAGCCGCCCATCCACAGGCCAATACTCCTTCAACGGACTCCAAAGCGAAGAACGTGTTGATACTCATCGCTGATGATCTCGGTCTGGATTATTTAAGCAGCTACGGCTGCAAGTCATTGAAGACACCCAACATTGACAAGCTCGCCGCCGCCGGAAGCAAGTTTACGAATGCCTTTGCTTCAACAGCATCCTGCAGTGGGAGCCGAAGCAACATCTACAGTGGATTACATGTACGTGTGCTCGAGAAGCAGATCTGCTCGACAACTGAGCAATGCTGATGAACGGAAGACCCATGAGAATGGCCAATACGGTCTAAACCAGCAGAAGACACACTTCCAAACATTCCAATACATCAACACCGTACCGAAGCTGTTCAACGCCTCTGGCTTCCAGACCGGCATAATCGGTAAAGTGCACGTCGGCACCGACGAGGCGTATCCATGGCAGGTCAAGGAGGAGAGTGGGACGAGAGATGTAGCGTACATTGCTGATCGTTGCGACGCCTTCTTCCAAAAGGCCAAGGACGATGGGAAGCCTTTCCATCTGTCTGTCGGATTCATTGACCCTCACCGGGACATTCGGACTCGTGGAGGCTTTGGCAATTCTCGAGACCAGTACGGTCATCGTATCGATGTTCCTCACTTCGAGGCAGATGAGGTCGAGATCCCGGAGTGGATCAGTGACTTGCCCAAGACACGACAAGAGTTCGTCGAGTACTATCGTGCTATATGTCGCGTGGATATCGGAATCGGTCGCATCATGGAAGCGCTGGAGCGCCAGGGCATAGCAGATGAGACCCTGGTCATCTTTACGTCGGACAATGGACCGCCTTTCCTCAATTCCAAGACCACGCTGTATGACTCCGGCGTCCATCTCCCCTTGATCATACGCAAACCCAATGCTCAAGGCGGCATCACGAACCCGCAAATGGTGTCCTTCATCGACCTCCTGCCTACAACGCTCGACTGGGCCGGCATTGATCTCGACTACAGCCCCGGCTGGAACTTCAAGAGCCCACCTCGTCGTGGCAGCTCCCTTCTACCAATCCTAGAGACCTCCGAGCTCCTCCCAGAAGACCAATGGCAACACCACATTTTCGGTTCCCACACCTTCCACGAGAACCAGAACTACTGGCCCACTCGCTTCATGCGCACGCGCAGGTACAAGTACCACCGCAACGTCGCGTGGCGGCTCGACTTCCCGTTCGCAGGCGACCTGTACGCAAGCTTGAGCTTCGAAGCGATGCGGAATCAGAAGAAACCCGTCATGATTGGCAACAGAACTCTGAAGGATTACATTTTCCGTCCACCGGAGGAGTTGTACGATCTTGAGAAGGATCCGCAGGAATTGCATAACCTAGCTTCAGGTGAGGCGCACAAGGAGATCTTACTTGATATGCGTGAGAAGCTGTCTTTGTGGCAGAAGGAGACGAAGGACCTGTGGCTTTACCGTGACGGGCAGTCCATTACGATGTTGACAAGGTATGCGAATGATGGGCTCGAGGTGCCGGATCGGCTGGACTTTGATGTTGAGGAGCCGGGGACGATGGGGGTGCCGAAGACGGACTTACTTACGGGTTGAAAAGTAGACCGAGAATGATGTATTGAGCTTCTACTGTTGCCTGATCATTTACGATCGGCGGCGAGACTGAGAATGCACCGCGACCCATGGATTGTCAGGCTTTTTTGATTTTCCGCAATATGCCTTTAGAGCTGCTTGGACGTGGTAGTCCGAATGCTGCTCGGTGAAGAGGCTCGCGGTCTAACTTCAGACGTGAGTAATGAAGGAATGGCACACATGGTTGAGGAGCACACGTTGAACGCTTGCTATTTGTGCGTCTTCGCGCGAGCTTCTCTCTCAACTGGGTCCGCCAGAAGTGCATACTTCTTGTCCAGGCAGGGGGCCTTGGCCCAGAGTATGCCGGTCGTTCTGAGCGTTGGCAGCCCTTCCCCACTGAATACTGCAGTGTTACCGATCTGTATTGAGAGGGCGGTCTCAGGAACCTTTTTGATCAGGCCGCGACGCTTCAACGGCGCTCCGCAGCCTTGATGAGTAGCCGATAGCGAGCTACCATGAAACGTCGGCCGAGTGCACTGCGTCATTCGAAGAGGTTCGCGGTAATGTTTCTGGCATGGGCTTGCGATGCATGTCTCCTCAAGTCTGGCCAGCTTCCGGGTCATGTCCAGGAGCCCACAGCAAAATCGACAATGTCGCACAGAGATGCTCACAGTAAGAGCTGTTGTCCACTCTTGCGCCATCTCTCACGTCCCCTCAAACTCCAAACACTTCCTCCTCTCCTCCTGCGCCTCCCTCGCAATCATATAATCATCCTCGTCCACCTCACTCCCCTCTTCCCCCATCCGCTCTAACTCCGCATCATCCACCAAAGCCCCCGTCCCGCCCTTCTGCGAAATCGCCCATATCCCCTCCCTCGCCCTCTTATGCCTCTCCCGATCCTCCTCGATCCGCTGCTCAATCTGCCGCTTATCCAACCTGATCCCAGGGTTATACACCGGATCCCGCACACTCGACTGCGGCGTCGCTTTCTTCACCGACCCCGGCGGCTCCACCGCGCTCGTAGCACCAGTCGGATGTCCAGGCGAACTCTGCGCCGCTACATCCCGTCCAGCGATCCAGTCTTCCAGCTCCACGACCGTCTGCTTCTGCAAGAACCCCTTCCCCTCCAACGCCGTAAGCACTTTCCGCACGACCCTGACATTAGCCGCTCCACTCCCGTCGTCGGGCGCGACTAGATCCACGATCCGCAGAATATCCCTCTCCATCATGCGCACGTATCCCAGCTCGTTCTGGCCTTTCGCGAGGTCGCAGAGGGCGGGGAGGAAGTACATGATGTTCGCGCGGTTGTTCATGTTGTTGCGCTCGAGTTGCTCGAGGATGCATGAGTGCAGATCGTCGCTGAATTCGGAGTGTTTGAGGGCGTAGTTGGCGGCTTTGGTCGCGGAGGTGGTGGAGGCGTTGAGGTGTTGGAGCTGGGAAGTGAAGCGCATGCGCACTTCGAATGGGTCGGCCATGGTGTTAATTCGGTGGTGGTGGTGGGGGTGGTGGAAGTGAGTGACGTTCTAGGGCATCGTGTTGCGACTACAATGTGTCGAGGTGGTAGAAGTCTAAGACTTTAGAATGCTGGAGTTACACATTCACATGTTCGGAACGCTAGCGGCTGCAGCCGAAGCTTGGACTGCAACTCTGGAAGGAGCCTCAGCGCATGTGACACAAGATAGAACGGCACAGATGACGATTGTGCGGTCTGATGGGCGTGCTTATATTGACACGTCTATGTAACAGTCAAGCCGCCACTGCCTGGATGAAGGTCTTTCAAAACAGCTGTCGGAAAGGTCGAAGACACAATCAACATTGTTCTCCTTCCCCTCCGGTGATATGGCCAGAGACCGCTCCTCCGCTGGCTAGACAGCTGCAAAGATCGACAGACAAGGCTCGTCGGGATGCTTGCCAGATCGACAGCGACCAGTGAATCCAGCTGGACGTCCCGCATCGTTGAGCTGTGCGACTGTTAGCTCCAGCTCTGCAGAGCGGCTGTGACACAGTCGCGAAGCAGCGAGTATCCTGGAACGGAGGGTCCATCACGCGATACCGCCCTCGACGCCGTTGCATGATATTTTGAGTCCAGCCATGCCATGTTCTCTCCACATATCGGTCCTTAGTGTTGAGAACCGTGTTCGCGAGGTGTCTCACAGCTTATCCAGCAGCGTTCGCTTTCTCCTCTCAAGCAGCTCAGTCTCCACTTCCTCCGCCGTGGGTAGCTTCCATACCACCCCATCCCCAACATCTCCCGGCAAAGGCTCCCACTCCGGATCCGCCTTCTCATCCTCCGCCATCAACGTCTCAAACGCCTCCTTCTCCTTCTGCGCCTCGTACGTCAGCAGCTCTCCATCCTCCTCGTCCAAGTTATACCCGTAATACCCGGCATCAACCCTACTCCTCAAATCCGCTCTCACCTCCCCACCCTTCTTGCCCTCACCTTCCTCTTTTCCCTTCTGCGCTGCCTGCTCAAACAACTCCTTCACCCCCGGTAACTCCCTCGCCCGTCCAAAATACCTATAGCCCTTCCCACCTCCCTCGATAACCCTCCCCTCCTCATCCGTCACCCTCCCACCGCCCCTCATATAATTCGGCCCACCCAGCTCGCGTATCCGCATCTCCCACTGCCATTTCTCTCGAAACAGCTTATTGAGTTCATCGTTGATGTCGCGGATCTGGTAGTCGCTTAAGGCAAGGTCTTGGATCTTAGTGACTTTGCGCGAGATTTCTTTCAGCACTTGACCGCGCCATCGCTCGCAGGTGGGGATATGCTCTTGCGCGCTGATGGCTTTGGGGCGGCGGGTCTTGTTGATGTCGAGGATTCCGAGGTCGCTGGCTTGTTGGGCGCGGAAGCGGAAGAGCATGGACTGCGCCTTTTCTGCGTTGCGCGCCATGGTGAAGGTCCAGGTGTGAGTGCGAAATGGTAGATGAAAGGTGTTTCTGAGCTGGGGGTATGGGTTGCGTATGGCTGTAGTGAGACCGGAAGAAAGGTGGAGCTGTCCTCAAAATGTTAGTCGTAGAGGTACATGTGCGAGATTGATTAGAACTGTTGGTGGTCAGCCACGGCATACCGCCATTGGAGTAGAGTTCGCGGACGCTAGCGGTTGTCTGGCTTGGCAACGGACATTCACCTCGAAAAGTCTCTCTGAACCTCAATCTGGCAGGCCTCCGAGCCGTGTCCAACACACCAGGCCACTTACAACACATGCAAGGACGCCGCAACCGCAGCGGAAAGGGCCTACGGATGCTGCTGGACGCCATAGCTGCACTCTGCCATGCAGCTGTCTTGAGTCACGGTTGGGGACCTACTAGCTGCCGCCCACGAATGTGCTGCTACAACGGCTCATAGAACACGACAATTCCTGCTGGCACGCACTTCACTTGTTTCGCCTGTTCTTGCGTACAAGAAGAGTCGTCTGACAATCACAAAGGAGCCCTCAGCATGTGACAGCTTGATTTTCCTTTGACAATCACGTGTTTTGGCGCAGATAACGCTCTCCGATGACGTCTTTCCTACCAGTGTCGATCGGAGATCAGACCCAAGGTAAATAATCGCGCGTCCCACGCGCACCTCACTCGTCTCCTTCATCTCTTCATTACTCTCAAGCAAAACTTTCAAACGATAACACACTAGTATGGCCGACGTTACTCCCAGTGCTGGGTGAAAGAGACCCCAATACCGCTCAAAACCACGCTACGGATGGACAAAATGACGGTAACTAGGTCTTCCATTCTTGAAGAAAGGTCTGGTTGACATACACAAGAGCACAAAGACGACGGCGCGAACAAGGGGAAGCGTAGAGCTCCAGCTTCCAAGAAGTCTTCTCCGCCGAAGGACGGCAACTCCAAAGACACAGTCACCGTCGAGAAGCCACCATCCGCCGCCGACCTTGCCGACATTACTGTCGAAGGCGAAGGCGACGATAGCGTCCCGATCTTCGACACCTGCGACGATGTCCGTAAGAAGATACGCGACCATCTCGGCAAACCAGGCGTGAAACAGACCACTTTCGCCCGCGACCTCTCCGAGCTAGTCAGGTCCGAGCAGGTCCAAGCACGACACATCAGCAAATTCCTTACCTTCAAAGGCCCGCGAGGTAGTGGACACAACCCAGCATTCTACGCAGGCTACATGTATTTCGAGAAGCTGAGGACCAAGCAAGGCGAGAAGAAGAGCGCAAAGCGCGAGAGGCTGGAGGATGCGTGGAAGGCTGACGGAGGCTTTCCACGTGAAGGAACCCACAACAAAAGGCTGCTGATGGTGAAGGGTGAGACTTGGAGCTATGATCAGTTGGGTCAAATACAGATCTCTGGTCATCCGAGAGGCGGCGGCATTAACATGAAGCCGGCGCGCAAGTGAGCTCGGTATACCGGGGGAGGCCGGATGTAAGATAGGTGCAGTGCAATCATCGGAAATGTAAGATTTCGCCAGGATCACTTGCTCATCAGAGCCGCTCGTGTGGGAGGATGTCCATGGCTTGAGAAGCTGGGTGTTCAAAGTATTGTACAGGCTACGGACGTGACCCTGACATACCACCGACATCACTCAGCAGTAAAGCTGACCGTCGTTGGCAAGGTCAACTCATACCCATTCGTTCTTTGCTTCAAATCCTTAGTCGCCGGCTTCATCTTGGGCCCCTTGGCATCACCTCCTGTCTGCTCCCATACCATCACGGTCCGTTGGGTGCTCTCGCCTGAAACACTGATCTTCACCTGCTGAGTCTTCGCATCAAGAGTGAAGTACTCAATCGTGCCGGCATCGATCTCCACCCATAAGCTGATCGCTGCGACGAATATTCGCCGCCTCACAGCATCTCGCGGTTCACACCTCACCATCAGCCCATCCTCCGACACCTTCACATTCCCACCAAAGCTGACCCAGCCGAAAGTGGGATGGTCGACCAAGTACGTCGCAGCGCCCAGCACATGGCCCAAGAAGTTAGGCCCGTAGTCTCCACTATAAGCGTCCCATATCAGTGTATCTGGGTACGAGTGGAACGCCATACTCCCAAACCCATCTTCGTCGATATTAGTCAACGGACCTTGATTCCCTCCATAGCCGATACGGAGGTCATAGATCGCGTCCAAACTCTGCGGGTCCGCGTGTCTTCTGTAATTATCCAGCATCGGCAGCGCATTGAGGCCAGACCCATAATGATGGATCTGCCTCTCAATCCGCGCAAGGTCAATCGAGCCAGCGTACAAGAAGTCCCAGTACCTGCGCGCGTTGCCGTTCCAGCCCCAGTGAGGGATCGTCGGCATGTAGCCTCGTATGGCGTTGACGGACTTGTCCGCGGTGGCGGAGTCGTTGAAGTAGCGCGACCAGTAGTAGACTCCCTCCTCGCCTGTTGAGTCCCAGGCCATCTCGCTGCCGAAGGGGTCTGCTTGGCCGGCCCAGAGGGCTTGGCGAGCTTGCATCAGGTGCTCCATGTGCGCTGCTTCTTCGGGGTAGTTTTCGGCGTATAGGTCTGCTAGTAAGAGGCCCCAGACTGTTTCACCCATTAGGCCTACGTCCCAGTAGCCTGTCCGAGGCGTGCCGTCGGAGGTATTGCTGACGGAGTATCTGACTGTGTTGTACGCCTGTGAGAGGTACCATTCTTTTGAGTGTCGAGACAGGATATCTGGATTCGTTCTGCCAGCGCGGTAGAGGCCCCAGTAGAGCGCAGAGACGTGCACGTAGTCGTAAGTACGATCGATGAGATACGCTGCCTCCTTGTCCCACGATTCTCCGGGGTTGATTGTCCAGTTGAAGTACGGGTCGTACTCATAATTGGGCACCAGCTCTGGTTGGTAGTAGAACAAGCTCTTCCGGACAGCATATGTCTCGTTTCCGGACGAGATCTGGAGTCTTCCCCAAACCACCTGCTCGACCATCTGCTCAAGCTTGGCCACCTCGGGGGCATTTGGAGCGATAGCTTGCTTCATCCCAGCGGCAAGGAATGATCCAGCGCCGCCTTCGTCGCTCAAGCCTGCTATCCACGTCCGGTTGTCTTGTAGTACGTAGTCATCTGCTGTGCGGTTGTAGGTGATGACGGATGGTGCTCTTCCGAAGGGGTCAGAGGTATTTGTATACCATTGCTCGTGTGTCAAGAAAGACCCAAGTTCTGAAACGGCTTTTGGACTTGAGTGCGCGATCCAGTAGTGTACTGCCTGGTGGGTGCCGTCTTCGTAAACGATGTCCAGTCGCACTCGGCCAAAAGCTTTGAGCGAGGCTGTAACGTCGAAGCCTTTCCAAGAATTGTCGTAGGTGCCGCAGCCAGCTACGCTTAATGCGTGCTTCGGATACACATTGATTGAACTGATGTCGGACCTCGACTTCAGGAACAGCTTTGCCGTCAGATCTTGTGGCACAACGTAACCCGGTGTACCAACAGCGACTGGCACATGCTCTGCCACTTTATCCTCAATCTGCTGCACACCGGAGGCAACCGAAAAGCGAAGGCCCACCGTAAGAGATTCTCCCGCTTCCAAGACAGCTGACGTAGGCGGATTCCAAGGCTCAGCATCTCTCCATTGAGTCTCTGCCAGCGCAGAAGTATGCACTTGATACGCATAGTTTCCCTCGTAGGTTTGGATCCGATATCCTAACGGCACGTCCTCAGGCTCCTCGAGAAACTGCCAGGCCTCAAATTTGGACGCATCGTTCAGCGGCGTTATCACGAGACTCGGACCTGTACCCGTCAATCTGGTAACCTGAAGGAACCCTGCGTCGAGACCGATGTACGGGTCCACAAAGACACACTTCTCCGTTGCTTCTGTGGCGGAACGATTGGTAAAGATGTTGTTGAACTCGATCGGCATCCCAAGACTGCCCAACTCTATCGCTTCATCTCCATTGTTCTCAATGGTAAACGACAAGGCTAGATCGCCAGCTTGGCCAGACCAGCTGCGAGTGACGTTGAGCGAGGAGGATTCGAGATGCGGTAGTCCTTCATTCAAGTTCGACGTAATGGCGTCGGCTGAAGAATGAGAGGCAATCGGACATTTCTTCCGACAAGCAGCAGTATCTCCATACTGCCATTGCGATGACCCTGTCGTCCTGTAGTGGAAAGTCAAGTCCCCGGTGTGGTATTGTCCGGCTTCATTGCGGTATTGGAAGACGTCCGAGGGCGAGAAGTCGAACGACGGGCCTGTCGACGGTCGGAGTGACCGAAGCACACCAGAATCTTCCGTGAATTTAACTTCGAAACTCGAGATGGACAACTCTGACTGAGCAAAGACGGCATGATCAAGATACAACGACAAAACGGCGACGGTGAGTAGCTTCATGGTAGGCACTTGTATCATGTAAATCAAGAGCAAGACTGAGAATCAAGGAAAGTAGGACATCTGTACACCTATCTTATTTACATACATAATACCATCATCATTAGTCTTCGACGATCAATGTCGTCGGTGCTACGGTCCAGCATTCCACGAGAGTGAGGAGAGGATTACTGCAATGTGAGAGGAGGAGAAACTGACATGACGCTCCGACAAGGTTTCTCCGCACCACCCAAATAGGAAGGTGCTGGTAACTCTGAGTGAGCAAGTCCATCCGAATTGCGTCTTGAATCGCAGCAAGGGCTTGACCTGCGGCAGTTACATCTGTGCTGGCTGGGTGTAGCATGTAGCATATCCATCTCGGTGATGCAGTACGTGCGCCCTGTCAGCAATCGTCAAGATCAAGGCGGTCGTTGTGTGCCGAATTAGGCCGACTCAGACCTCGGTCTGGAGTTACACATGTGTATTGTGAGCGTTGGTTGTCTCCGTGACATTTCTTTTGTATAAGACCGTCACTGGAGACCAACAGAAGTGCAATGGCGGAAGATAATAGCCAGAACGCCTTCGAACTCAGTGATGTCGCAACTGCAAGGACTGGCGAGTTTGGCGACGACAGTACCACGCAGCACACACAGGCTCTACCACCTGCGGACGGCGGAAAAGCAGCGTGGAGACTCCTCGTGGCTGCATTTGTCTTCGAGGCTCTGCTATGGGGTTGGTTCCACCCACGCGTATGCTTGGGAGTACCTCACGCTGACAATACAACCAGGCTTTCCTCTGTCTTTTGGTGTCTTCCAGAATTACTATTCGCAGCTTCCGCAGTTCAAAGACTCGCCGTACATTGCCGTCGTCGGAACGATCGCTTCTGGGATGTCGTATCTGGCTGCTCCGGTCATCATCCCGTTCATCCGGCGCTTCTCGAGGTATCGGCAGCTGATGATTTGGGTTGGTTGTGCGTTCTTCATATGCATGAACCGTTCGAATCGTTGAAAGCTGACTGTTGTTCCAGGGCCGATATGTCTTCTCGGCCTTGCAGCGGGCTCATTTGCTCGGTCCCTGGGCGCACTGATCGTTACTCAAGGCGTCATGTACGGCTTGGGCTTTATCATCTTCTATTACCCCATCCTCAGCATGGTCAATGAGTTCTGGATCGTTCGACGAGGCATGGCGTACGGTCTTCTTTGTAGTGCATCTGGAGTGTCGGGTGCCGCTATGCCGTTCATCGTGGAGGAGCTTCTGCAGAAGTACGGATACCCGACGACCTTGAGAGCAATCGCCGTTGGCCTGTTTGTGGTCACTGGGCCGCTGATTCCCTTCTTCAAAGGACGACTGCCGGAGACAGAGACAAGTTCTGGAGGTCGGACCGACTGGAGCTTCCTCAAGGTACCACTGTTTTGGACATACAGCGTCTCGAACCTGGCCATGGGCTTGGGGTACTTTTTCCCGTCCCTGTACATCCCGTCGTACGCTTCCGCCAACGGTCTGAGCACGACCCAAGGAGCTATCCTGCTAGCTGTGATGAGCGTCGCACAGGTCCTGGGCCAGGCTTCCTTTGGCTGGCTCTCTGACCGCCGCATGTCTTTGAACATTCTCGCAATGGCATCAACAGCCATCGCAGGCGCAGCAGCTTATGCCTGTTGGGGGCTTGCACACTCATTCAAATTGCTCATCGTCTTCTCGCTTATATACGGCTTCTTCGGTGCCGGGTATACAGCGCTCTGGGGTCGAATGGGCACCTCGATCAGCAGTGAACCCACCGCTGCTTTCACCGCTTTTGGGCTGCTCAACTTCGGCAAAGGTATTGGCAACGTGCTCGCTGGACCGATTAGTGGTGCTCTTCTTAAAAGTAAGATTAATATGCATCACTATGGAAGTGTGAGGTACGAGACAGTGGTGCTTTTCACGGGCTCGTGTATGGCGTTGAGTGCGCTGGTGATACCTCTGTGTTACTTGAAAAGGTCGAGGCACCATATCTCGTAGATACAAACTTCGAATATGTCATCGTGAAGTCGCTTCCCGATTCCTCACCAGCCTCACTGCTGGAACGTCTTGTTCGCGTAGTTGAGCAGAGCTAATGAGTCTCCGCTGTATCTCACCGGTGGCGGCATCTTGTCTAATCGGCCCAGAGGTTATGTCCGAATGTAGCCCCTTCCTCATCAACGCGGGTGCGTGCATTCGCGGCCCGGATCACGTCTGTTTCTGACCTCTTTCTTTCGGTCTCTCAACTCTTCAGGGCGCTTTAGTCTTCATCTGAACACCGTGCCACGCCTTCATCTCGTCTCCCAGCACTGTATTGACCAAGCGATGTTGTTTGATGACCGGCAACCCCTGGAACTGGGCGGAGACGATGTCAAGCGCGTACATAGATCCGCAGCCTCCAGATATATCTTGGACCTATTGAACGGTCAGAACAGTGTCATATGCGCCTGAGCGATGGACCAGCCCTACCTCTAGCTTTGTTGGTTGGAGTCCATCCTTGATCATGTCGAAGACTCTGCGCTCGTTCTCGGAAAGGTACTCGGGCGGCGCAACAGGGTCTACGGCATCCGAGGAGTATAGTCTCTGTTGGATCCAATTGTTTGCCGGTTGGAACTGTACAGATTGCCGCCGCTGCTGCAAAGCAGGGGCTTGTCTATGTGCAATTGATGCATGGGCCGGCCTCGCGGCTCCCCGTAGCGCGTGGGAGATTGGCTGCATCATCAGTATGTGCTAACGTATCAGGTCGATGGAGATGGAAGTGAGGTATGGAGGTGTCAGTAGAATGTGAAGCTGTGGTCATCAATCATCTGACGACATTCACTTTGGCCAAGCTTTTCGACCTCGGCCTTGACCGCAGAGCCTCAATCAATCCTCTTCCATTTGACGGCCAACGCAAACCCTCCGACATCTTCTCTCACCAGCCGCTACATGTAATTTCGCGAGCCCAGAGACAGCGCCAGACGAGCCGCCGGCTTCTCACATACTACAAATGCAAAGGACCATGCGGGGCTCCAAAGCAAAACACTCGGCGGTGCGGCTCCTATCGGGATAAAAGCGACGTGCTTCTGAAGTACCAGGAGGTACCTCCAACGCCACAGCTTCAACGTTGACCCTCAGCCGTCGGCCAGGACCTCTTCGAGCCTCAGGAACAGGGCGGCGTGTTGTCAATCGCTGCACCCTGCATTTCAAACTCTGGCTCTCGAAAAGCTTGAGCTTCCTCCTACCACTCTCGACAAAGACCCTGTTGATCCCCAGATCGCAAACTTTCTCTACAACAGGGAAGCTGCTAAAACCACTTTCACATGAAAGCGAAGCTCTTGACTGTCAGGGCTCGTTCGAGCCTGGTCTGCTGCAAACAAGCATGCGAACATGCAGGCTGCACGCCACAGGGTCCGTCGGGGTGCGTTAGCGCGGTATGAGTTCGCGTCGTCTCGGCCAACGGACGCCCTCACCATAAACGTGAAGTACTTGTGGAGAAGCTGATATTGCAACGCAACCCACTTTTCCACCTCAGCGATCCCCACACCCACAAGCGATTTCCATGGAGAGCGAATGCGCCGTTCTGGACACGCTGAGTTCCCGAAATATGCTGCTCACTGGCGCTTATTCGCTGTCACTAGAAACGCACACTCTCTCAACCTCCAACCTGCAACGCGGGGAAGTGTCCAGGCTCTAGGTTTGATGGAGGAGCTATGCCTCCCAATGGCTTGCTCCGCGCATTTGAACGTGCTCAACAGACAGCCACCGATGCAGGGTATGTCCGTGGTGAGTGCTTTGGCAGTCTGGGGTGCTTCTGCCACAACATCGAGCACGAGGGCTGCGTGGGGTGATGGCGTTCCTTCTGTACGACATCAGGGACATGCGAGATGCTGGAGAAAGTAGGGTCTCATGAGGGGTCTCCAGACAAAACAAGCGAGACACTGCAGCATGTTCGTCCTGCCTTCGTGGTAGGCTATGGTATAGTATGGTATTCGGACCGATGCAAATGCCGACCAACATGTTGACACCATCACCAGCTCGAAGAACATTGGCTCTGTTCCAGCGATCACTCTGTCGTCGCGAACAAGGCCAAGCTGTGGTGCGTTTAGACACCGTCCCCTCGGCTCGAGGTTGACCAGCAGCCAGCACGACCTCCCCGTGTCCGCTTGGAGAATAGTTCGCAGCAGTTGCGTTGCACGACATGCTCAGTGCTCGCTCTCTTCGGGCTGCATCGAAGATCACCGTAACCAGTGGGACACATATGAGAGTCCCCAAGTCACTGACCACCCTCACCTCCACACAACGCGTTCAACGGTCTGGTGGCAAAACGCTGTTGGGACGCTTATCATGAAGGATGGATGGGGCACAGATCTGGAGTTTCTGGTGGCATCGTGGAGTCCCCAGACTTGTGGAGCCATTCACGCAATCGGCTCGGTAAGTACACCGCTGTATGGGAGAGACGTTGACACGAACGAATTTCCAAAGAGAGCGTAGGTCAGCGAAGCCCATTAGGCTGTTTCAGGCTCTTGTCTTCGAATACTCTTTGGTACCCCGAAAGGCTTTGGCATGGTACTTGAGAGGACATCGTGAACAAAGCTGTGGCGGTGCAGGTAGGATTGAGTTGTCTTTAGGAGATGAGGTAAACGAGTGTCAGTGGAGCCTGGACCGCGTGGGTCTCACTGCTGGATGTATATATGTATCAGCATGGCTACTGCTCTCTGAACACCTTCTCGGCGCCCTGTAGCCCCGACTTCTACTGCTACAGCAGTGCCATCCATTCCACAGAAAAGCCGTGTGGCACGGCCTCCAATCTGACATTATCAGAGGATTTCGTAACGGACACTTAGACTTTATCAAAAGCCATTGATTCTTAGGTTTCGTTGATAGGAATGCAGCGGAGCGTGCTCCTCAACCATGCTTATACAGCTGTAGCAAAGGAGGGGCACCTGCAGCGGACACGGCTGGAAGCTATCCGTTCCGCGGAGGCTCGCGAAGCTGCTGGCGAGATACTGAGCAACACGTGCTGCTTGGATGCCCGCTCCGCTCGAAACGTTCTATGAATGCTGGCAGTTGGATCCTGTTGGATGGGATGGATGTGGTGCAGTGCGGCTTCGGATGCTCGGCAGCGGTGGCCAGTGCACGGCTTCATGTTGTGCGATCCCGGCATCCGGGGCTTGTTCTTTGCGCCGGTCGGCTTGCCGATTGATGAGAAACATGCTGATGGTCCAGTCGCCATCGCGAACACAGTGTGTCGATTGCGACAAGTGTCCGCTTCAGCAAATCAAAATCGCCAATACATCGTGCTCGTTCTCATCTCATCGTCCACCGCTCGTCCGCCCCGGCTTGTTGTGTGGACAGCTGAAACGCAAGCACTTCGTCTAACGTCCTTATCGCAACCATGGCCAGCCCACAACAAACTCTCGGCGAACGCAATCCCGTCGGACGGCATGTGCACGCCGTATCACGATACGATCATCTGAGCTTGCATACCACAATTCGCGAACTCATCAGTCACCACTGGTCGGTAAGCAGTTCGTCATTGCGACGATCACTCCGGGGAGCGTGGAGCCTTTGCAACTCGCGTCCCCAAGGTGCGAGCGCGACCGCGTCCGGAGAAGAGTCCACCGCATCCACAGCATCCACTTGCTATATCTGAGGATGGCTCGAGGATGGTGAAAAAGTCTTCGACGACGGTGAGCCGCGCGGCGGAATGCCCGGCCAATCATCACGTCGTCTGCGACCGTTGACCAAGCCTGCCGTCCCAAGCTCCAGGTCCGGAGATTGTATGAGATGTTTGTGAGAAGCTACCACCGCCGCATACAGAAAGTTGCCGTATCGTCTCGATCTTGTCGAATGATTGAGGTAATATCTTGGAGTGTCTCAACGCCGTTGATGGTAACATCTTGTCGTATTTTGCGTGCTGCTGAGCGATATGGCTATCTCGCAGCTGCCGAACCTTGCTTCAACCCCGCGCTAAGGATGAAATCTTTTTGCGCCACAGGTACGAGTGATGATGTACCATTGACCGCCCACCAAGAAATCGTGGAGCTGGTGAGATGGCCGTGGATGGTAAGGATGTCGTTTGCAGGGCGGAGGAAGGGTAACGGTGGCGATAACAGAGACTTCTGTAGCGACGGCTACCGACCAGCAAGCTCGTGGCATTGAATATATGTCAGCGATGGGCCTGTCGGACGAAACTGTGGCTCATCTTGTATCGCGAAGTCTCGAGTTGTATAACTTGGCCGGTCCCACCTTGCCGGGCGATCCGCTAGAGGTCTACCGCCTGCGCGTTGCTGCAGCTTGAGGACCCAACAGGCGGATGGTGCGCCATAGCGTCGCTTGCTGCCCTGGATGGGACATGCATGGGTGGTTGCGGAGCCAGAGAGCCAGGCCTGCTGGTCGATGGTGGCATAGCGCTGCCGAATCCGTGCACACCAACCCTCCCACACCTCTCAACAGTTGTGGATCTCCGCACATCAGTTCTGGGCCCCATTGCCCGTCTGCTTGCCCTTGATCTATCCAACATCACTTCTTCCCTTCTCCACCAAGAGTGTCGCTTTGGCCTCATATCATTGTCTGAAGGTGTCAGACAGTGCGAGTGCTGCAGATTACGAGAACGGCGGATTTGTTGTCATTTGGTGTTGTGTTGTTGGGATCCTCTCCCACAGACCACGATACCTTACTCGGCGGCGCTAAAGCGCAGGCACTTCCCAGGAAGTTGATTTCTGGTTACGCCTGCCGCGAACGCAGCAGCAAAGTGCGCATCGAGTCGTCTGACGACCACTCTGCACCTCACTTGCTCTGCTCATCCGCGAGTGTCGAGTCCTGGGACCTACAGATCATCCTCTCCATCCCGCTGAGCCCGCGTGTCATACCGTTCCAGCGTGTGCGACTTCATATCTTTCTGTACGTGTAACACCATATTCACCATTGACACAGGCTTTCCAGGCGGCTGCTGACGAAATGACGCGGACAGTGGTGTGTTAATACGTTTGCGATCAACAACTTTTAATGCCTCGCACAAAGTGAGCGATTCAACCTACGACGAGCACCTCCTGCACTGCCTGGATTGAAGAGATGCCATATACGCCTCCGTCCGCGCAGTCACCTGCCTCGTCGAAGCCCACCAGTCCCGCCATCAGCCGGTCGTCATCGTATTGCGAAGATGCTCCACGGTCACCCTCAGTCGGCCGCCCGACTCCGCCGCGATCCATGTCCTCATCCTCATATCTCCACAAACACCGACGATCGCCGTCGATAGCAAAATCAGAGGGAGCACTACCGACACCTACAGAGAAGGGATCATCGGTGCAGATGGTGGACTTTGCACCTAATGGCAGCGTCCGCCAGTCGCCACCGCCAGTCAACAACCTCAGAATGCCGACTGGCGCGGTGTTGTCGCCTCCTGATTCGTCGGAAAACTCAGATGGCGACGAGACCAACGAACATCAACGTGGGCGTGAGCGTGAGCTGGACAGAAATATGGTTGATGAGCTGCAACAGGCCGTGCGGCTGATCGATCAGAGAAAAGAGCCATCGCCGGATAGGGGCACGACGTTGACATCAGAGACCATCTCAGAGCCGGTGTCTCAGTCAACATCACCCACAGCTCTGACCGCCGAAGCTCGGAAGATTTCGCATTCTCGGTCGTCCACCGAGACTGCAATCATCATACCACGGACAAAGTTCGACTCGCCTGCGCAGTCATCGGACGATAGCGACGACGATGAGGGCCCGCTGTCGAGACCGTCGCTGGTGCGGAAGAAGTCTGGTGAGCTGGTGAAACCTGCACTGCGACCATCATCCAGAAGGCGATACTCGAGCATGCCAGGAACACCTACCTACCACAAATCTGTCCACTTCAACGAGAGCAACAATCAGACGCGACACTTTCTGCAGGTCGACAAGCCTATCGCAGTCAGCGCTGGTACTTCACCAGTAGAGATGTACGAGAGCGAGTCGGAGTTCCCATTCGACGACTCCAAAGCTGAGCGCGAGATACGGTTGGCCAACTTCCCAGCCGACACTTTTGATCGCAGAACGAAGCCAGTCAGAGTGGAGCGGATCTTCCTATCTACCGACAAACAAACGCTGGTTGGTGTTATCGCGGTCCAGAACATCTCGTTCCACAAGCTGGTCGTGGCTCGCTTCACTCTCGACTACTGGAAGACCACGTCCGAGGTGGTTGCAGAGTACAACAATGACCCCAAGAATCCCACCACTGATGGATGCGATCGGTTCAACTTCCACATCAAGCTGTCTGACCAAGCGAACATCGACAACAAGACTCTGCTCCTCTGCGTTCGATATAACGTTGGCGGGCAGGACTACTGGGACAACAATGACAACACCAACTACCAGATCGACTTCACCAAAGTCGTCAAGAGCTCTCAGAGGCCTGTTTCAGCGCCTGGCCTTGGAGCTCGACCTCTTAACGCCATTCCACGTAGCCGCCATACTCCACCTGCGAGCGCCCGCGGCCAACGCGACAGCATCGATGATGACTTCTCGAATCGCTTCGATAGCGGCTCTACCTACAGTTTTGGCTCCGCCAACCAGCTGCTCGGCGAGTCTCCTAACGCCGTCAAGCTGAAGCCGCGCGCGAAGTTCCAGGCTCCCACTGCCGCTCCTACCGCCAACGGCCTCGGCGGTCGCTACGACTTTGGTGCGTCTTTGACTGCTGCACTCTCCTCTGCCCAGGAGAAGTACGGTCGTCAGAGTGGTCTTCTAGGCGCCGCTCAGAACGAAGCCGGAGGTAGCTACTTTGGACCTATCGACCGGACTGAAGGTCCTGTAAAGGCAGACGAGCACCCTGACGCCATCACCACCGATAGGCCTGCGATGGGCTCCGATCAGTACAAAGACCTGGTCCAGAAGTTCTGCTACGTAGGTTCCGCCAATACCGCACACACTACGGCCAAAGTCTGAAGGTCTGGACGCTGAGCTGACTTCATTGACAGTTCACTTCTGGTCCTGGAAAGCCTGCCGTCAGCTCCCCTCTGCCTACTGCTACTGAGACAACACCATCATCTGCTGCATCACAGTCTGCTGCGAAGACTGATGGCGCCGATGATACCGATGCTGCATCGCCTGGGTCATCATCTACGAGCTCAGAATCTGACTCGCCGCCAGTAGACGGCAGCAACGAGCCAGCTGGACACGGGCCAACAACAGCGTTCAGTCCATTCACGTCGCGCTCGGGCTCGCCAGCGCCGGTAACAGGCGGTGGCATGGGCGGACGCGCGGCATCTCCCATCAGCTTCGGATATCCATATTACCACGATGCGCGGGACGGATACCTTTCCGATTCACACATACCTACCGCTATACATGGTTGATGGCAGCCATGCTTCACCCTCGTCTCCGACCTCCTGCCACCCCTCAACGTCGACTTCACTTCGGTCGCGATCAAATCACGTAGAGGCGTGGCAACGATCATGGCATAACGGAACACGATATACGATCGCGAGCATCTTTGCTCGTACGGATTGGACCTTGCACTCTCGCTGCTGCTGCTGTTTGGACTCTTGTCAATGTGGGACAGAATACTCTCACACCAGTATTCTTATTCCTTGTCGATGAGGAACAGCACTCAGCCGAAGGTGCGGTATGGGATTTTGGACTTGCACTTCTAGCGAGTAACCTTTGCGTTACTTCTTCTTGCGATGGCGTTTGACGGTATAGATCTCCTTTTCTGGCCCCCTCGCGTGCGTGCACAGTGCGTGCGCCACGCTGGATGTGTGGCCTTTTTACCTATAAAAGTTGCATCCTCTTCTCGGCTTGGGCTCGGCTTGGGCTCTGTGCATACGGGTGGACCTGAGCCTTCGAGAAACGGAAGGAGGAATGGTCTGGGTTTTGGGAGCGCCTGCTTGTTTTTTTGGCGAAGCGAAGGTGTTCACAAGGAGTTTTTGTGAGAGAGCCTGTGTATATTGAAGGGGCTTTTGGTCACCTGCTAGTGGTCTATCGTTGAGCGGTAGCCTATGTGGGAATGGAGTGAGATACATATGCTTATGAGCACGAGTTCGATGCTCCCTTGTATGCTTTGCACATCGAGTTTGGCTGTGCCACCCTGTAACTCTCCCACTGAATGGTCAGGTCTTCACTTTTCATGCGAGTGCCTCAGGGACGTCGTCTCGTTAAGCTCATCGCGAGGGATAAGCATATGAGCCCGTGGAATTGGGGGAGGCAGCTATGGCCAGCGCTCCTTCCTCAAGGGACGGAGACATCATGCTACCTTATTTCGACCTCACATACCTTGTTTCGACTTCACGTCCTAGACTCAGGTACTGTATGAAGAATTGCAGACATCTACGAGGTCTACATGTTCCCTCTAGTCTACTTCATCCATCCCACGTACCCGCAACGCATACGTCTCGCCCCCTCCGCGTCGCAGCCTATTGGCGGACCGCTCTTCCCCCGTAGCCACGAAGCATCCCGTGCCGGACATCGAGCAATCCGCAGAGTCGCGCTGTGATGAGCTAATGTTTGATTGTTCTGATGTCGATCATTGGAGACAGGCCCAGACCGCACAGATCGCACGACTAGCGGCGGCAGCGGGCGGCAAAGCGGGAGAACTGGGAAGCGATCGAGAGGCTGAACTGTGGGCTGCATGAGAGAGAAAAGCAAGGCGGAGAAGCAGCAACGCTCCAAGCAGGGCGAAACAGCAGCGAGAGGTACGAATGAATCAAAGCCATTGCGAATGTGTGCGACCATTCTGTAGAGTGTCAAAGCAAGCCTCTCCATTGACAGCTTCGACGAGCCAAAGTGGAGTGGGCGGTGATTGGCCGCGTGCGAGGGAAATTGGAAAGCGAGTGGCTTGACACCTCCAGAAGGGAAGAGCCACTGCCACTGCCCTGTGCTCCTGCTCCCTCGAACCTTTCCGTACGCGTTCCACCGGCCTTTCACACCACCCACCACAACAGCGACGCCTCGCCCTCCTCCTGCTGCACCGCGCGCAATAACAGCTTGGGGCCCCTGGGAAGGACGACTGCATTACAGCGACCCGCGGCTGCCATTTCCCGTTGACCCGCCCACGCCTCCACTGCCAGCACAGCCGACCGCAAACTCGACCTTCCTGCTCCGCCGTTTCGCATACACATTACACGGTTAACTTTGTCGGAGCACGTGCGAAGTATCGCTCGCTGGCTTGGCCATTCCACGTTCACTTACTCGTCGGCGCAATCACATTCGCATAGCAGCAGTCAGCGCCAACAGGGTAGACCCGCAGCGTCGGGCAGCCGACCCTCCCCATGAGCCAGCAGGGCTCCCAGCCGGCAGCCGGAGGGCCAGCGATAGGTGAGTCACGTCTTCTGTGCGGAAGGGATAGATGGGGATGGCCGGCAGCATTGCCATTGAGTCGCATGGGGATGGTCGATCAAGGTCGACACGTGCTAATCACATGCTTCACAGGTCAACCTGCTTCATCGCTGGCAGCTGCACCGCCTCCGAGGACATCTTCGCTCGAGCCATCGGCACCTGCAGATGCGAGTAACGCGAGTAGCGCAGCGCCGAAGACAACACAGGAGGGTACCACACCCGGCCAGCTCGGTGTTCCCGGACAGGCGGACATGCCAGCTGCTTCATCAGCAGATGCCAGCGGCGGTACGATGAATGAGAAGGCGGAAAGCATTGGAGGGAGGTCAAAGCGCAGCGTAACTGGGCGAAGGAAGCGAGATGCCAGCGCGGGTAGTAAACGCTCTGCGCAGCAGCAACCTACCACCACCGAGAAAGACGCGAGACCAACTTCCGCAGGACGAACAGGAGCTGCTAGTTCGATTCGGCCGAAGAAGAAGAGCGGATTTCTGTCCTTCTTGAACTGCTGCGCGGCGCCGGACGAAGGCCAGGAAGCCGGACAGTCTGAAGGCGCACAGCCTGCAAAGACACCGAAATCACAGCCTGTCCGAGCCCAGCAACCCACGCAACAGAAGAACACCAGCACCACTGCCACCAGCACGGAGAACTCCAAGGAGGTTGTGGATGAGAAGTCAGCCGCCCAGATTCCTCCGCAAGCAGAACTGGCCGCGGCTCCAGTGATACCTCTGCCGGAGAGCGACAAACCCGCTCAAGGAGATGCGACTGTCGACAGGAACGTGCCGACACTTCCATCTGAAGCGCCACCCGTACAGCCCAACCCGGAGACGAGGCCACTGGAGGCGGAAAAGCAGCCTGAAGCACCTGTCACTGGTGTGCTCCCGGTCGCGACGTCTACAGAAGAACCAAGCTCGAGTCAGAGTCCCGATGTGCAAGTCGATGCGCCTACTCCTGTGGTCCAGCAGGACGAAGACGCTATGATCCTCGATCGGACGCCAGAGCAGGCTGCCAGGGACAATGACATTGAGATGAGTGATTCTGGGCCCTCGCTTCCTCTCACTGGACAAGATGCTGCTGCAGTTGTGGAGGAAGAGAAGTTGGCCCATCAACGGAGAGAATCATCGAACATCAACCGAGAAGATTTGCCGCCGCCACCCCCCATACAAAAAGCGCAGGAGCAGCACGATGGTGCCGTTGTCAGCCAAGAACAAGCTGCGGTCTCCACGCCTGAACAGACTCAGAAATGGCTTCTACCGCCGCCCCGGCCGGAGTTCCGAGGGAAGAAGTGCTTGGTGCTGGATCTCGACGAGACATTAGTACATAGTAGTTTCAAGGTATGCTTGTGGAGACATCTTGCATTTGTTTGCCAGCTAACATGTCTAGCAGATTCTGCACCAAGCCGACTTTACCATCCCCGTCGAAATCGAAGGCCAATACCACAACGTGTATGTCATCAAGAGACCTGGAGTCGACACCTTCATGAAGCGCGTGGGAGAGCTCTACGAAATTGTGGTCTTCACTGCGTCCGTCTCGAAGTATGGAGACCCACTTCTTGATCAGCTCGACATTCATCACGTTGTGCATCACCGACTGTTCCGCGAGAGCTGCTACAACCACCAGGGCAACTATGTCAAGGACCTGAGCCAGGTCGGACGAGACCTCAAGGAGACCATCATCATCGATAACTCGCCGACGAGCTACATCTTCCACCCGCAGCATGCAGTACCGATTAGCAGTTGGTTCTCTGATGCACACGACAACGAGCTCTTGGATCTGATTCCGGTGCTGGAGGATCTGGCGACTGACCGCGTGTCGGATGTCAGCATTGTCTTGGATGTCGCATTATAACAGGGACATGCTCCATTTTGCGAGCCACTGAGCATCCAAGCCGGCACACATCGACCTGGGCCTATCTGACTGGTGGCATATTTCCTTGAGCGACGGCTGCATACTGGACCTTGAGATACCCCCTAACTTCAGCCTGAGGCTTGTTTTCGCTTCTGTATACCATCGAGCGAGCTTCCGTATCGACACTAGAAATTGTAAAGCTTTTATTCGCCTCTGGCTTCCATACTTCCTGGCACGCATGCAAGCTCGATCGTGCGGGAACACCTTTGTTGAGCACCCGGCCGTTCACCGTCACCAGCTTACATCCTGTCCTGCTTCCTCGCACCACATGGAGGCGCCAGAGTCTATTCTATTCGGCACGGACCGACAACACGTTTTGCATCAACCACCTTTCTCAGCATTCGAATAGCGTTACGAGCAAGCCTGAGATTCACAACTTCCTGCTGCGGTCACCGGCCACAGCGGCACACCTCTCTGCGGCATCAGACTGGATCAAGAACAGGCTTGGTGGGCTGGCCAGCGAAAAAGCCGACATTGCTGGACATCTACCACCAACACGACCTTTATACCCCACATCGCCTCCTCCAAAGCACTTACAACAGTGCATGTTTTCCTTTGTCATTTTGCGATCCTTCTCGCTCAGCAGTCCCAACGTTCAGCGCAGTGCGCGATCATCCCAGCATGTCACCGGGGCATCTGCCGCAGCGGCTGCATCGGCTTTCCAATATCCGCGTTCGACATGCATGGAATGGGTCTTGGACTAGCTGGTTCTCCTCCTCGGAAGTGAGACTCTTGGGTTTGGGTATTTGCGCTGTTTTGTCTGCCTCAGTGGCGGCAGGGGAGCATGCATGCGGTGTATGGGTTTGTATGGGTGTGGGACCAGTGGGACAGTACAGTTGCGAGCATCCAAGGTTGTAGGAGAAAAGGGAGGGAGGGCGAAGCGCAGCATGTATACAGGCTTTTTGTGTATAATACCAACCCAATCCAGTCCCACCATTCCGCCCATTCCACTCTTCCAGCGTCGACTGCGGTGGCTCCACGCCTAATGTGAGTCTGATGTCTAGTACAGCATCTCTTTCACAATCTCGGGAGAGTTGATGAAACCGCACCGCTCGCTCAGCTTCTCGTCCAGCATGACTTTTCTCGCCTTCGCACTGCTGCTCGGTCCCGTGCCGGAGTAGCCAGGGTACTTGCCACCTATCACATACACACCATAGTTGTCGTCGTCGAAATCTGCTTGCTTCCAGCCTTGGAGCGTGTCGTGGCCTTCGAGCGAAGGTTGTCCGACGGCGACAAAGGACGACCATGATCGGCTTTCTTGGGACGCGAGGCGGTGGTCGGATGGGCGGGGGTGGTATGCGAAGCTGTTGTGTCTGTTAGATAACACTGACGAACTGCTTTGAAGGTTGATCGGAGCATACCCTGGTAGATTGAATTTGGTTAGGTTCCCGAAGACATAGATCAGCTCAGCTGTGTGCACGACTCCGAAGCCGTACTCGTCGTGCTTGTGGAGGAGGGGTTGGAGCATGGACTGGTTTTGGTTGTAGAAGTAGACCGGGTTGCCTGCGGCGGCGAGAGCTTGACTGTCGACCACATGTGTCAGTCGAAGGCATGGTTGCGAAGGTCGTCAATGTACTCTCGCGTCGCACTCACCCGTAGTGTATCGGCTGGCACGTAAACAACAGGTCTCGATATATCCGGGCAGCGCGATACGTCTCGGCATGCAGCTTGATTGTCCCATTTTTGAAGCGTGTGGGCTGAAAATCAGGAGAAGGGTACAAGGCCAGCATCTTCTCAACATTTTCCACCGTAAACCCAGGCATGTACTTGTTCAGAAAGTGATACGTCTCATGCGGCGTCTTGATGCTCGTATTGGTAAACAAAACAGCATCATTGACAGTCCATCCGATCATCGCTGAAACGTTGGCGAAACGATGCTCCGCAATGAGCGTAGACGGTGCCGCTGGAACGATATCGCCGTCCACTACAGGCAGCCAGTTGTCACCTTGTTGTCGAGCCACTCGAGCGGTGTGAGTGATCAGCTGAGCATTCAAGAGTTGTTGCATTGGCAGGCTGCGAAGGCAAGCAACGTTCTCTGCAGAATCGAACGAGTAGCTGGCGCAGACCGATACAGACCATGCCCTGGCCATTGACTTCCGAGTTGAGTTACCTGTAATTCCTGGTTCAAGCGCTTGGCTCTGACAAATGGCTTGTTGAAACGGGACTGGGCGGGTGCCGCCCTTCGGTGTTCTCAGCACAGCCTGTCATAATGGGACTTGTGCTCACTCACATATGCCATGATCTGCATGCCCACGGCAAGACCACCGGACGATTGACCATGGATGGTGATCTTATCAGGATCGCCGCCGAAAGCCGCTATATTGTCTCGCACCCATTCGAGGGCTGCACGCTGGTCCCGTATACCGGCGTTCGTGGAGCCTTCTGCCAGGAGTGCGCCTGTCTGTGCGAAGCCGAAAACTGCACCTTCATCAGACGGTGGCCTGCTAAGGCTTACAAACGTGACCCACCTCCGAGCCGATAGTTCAGCTCGACGTTCATGATCGGATGGCCATTGTCGATGGCATGGAGTTGCATGCCTCCTAGCTGGGCGAGGATACCATCTTTGTTGCCGGTCAAGAACGATCCTGGAGCACATCAGCCTCTTCCGGTGTTCGGAGGGTCCAAAGAGCATCAGGTAACATACCTCCATGTATATATACAAGCACCGGCAGCTTATCACCAGCAGCCGTGCCGTTCGGTCTCCAAACGTTGAGCCGAAGACAGTCCTCAGACGTGTCAGTGACATAATCGTAAGTGCCCCAGATGCCCAGAGGGCCATAGTCTTTCCGCTGAGGACATGAGGAACCCGGATCTTTTGCTTCTATCCTGCTACCTGGATCTGGCGTGTACGGACGTGGAGGCTTGAAACGATATTCGCCACCTGTGTCGTGAGCATAGCGGATACCGAGGAAGGCTTCGATGCTATTCTTGTAGATACCATGGTATGAGACTCCAGACCCATGGACATCGGTCGCTACGGGAGCAGGGGGCGAAGCAGCGGGCGAAGCAGCTTGGGTTGACTGCAAGAGATAAAGAAGAGCGAGGCTAGCAACCTTCATATTTCAAAGGAGCATTGGCCTGAAGCCAAGTCTCATGGAGGTGCAGCCAAGAAGGGTGGGGACAAGCAAGACATTGTACTTACGCTGCGCACCTACAGAGATAACGAGACGCCGCTCGACGCACGCACTCATGGACGGCATGCATGCTGAACGTACCTTAGTTTGGCAGCTCATGCTGCATCGGGATATGCGATCGACCAGGGTCGGGTTACCGGAGGATATGCAGGTACACAGGCTGTATTCCCCTGTCATATGCTGCAGCTAAAGTTGTGCATCGAAGACCTGCGACTCCGTGAGCGCGCGAGGGATGGTACCTGGTATAGAAGAACGAAGTGATGTTGTTGTTCATCGGGACGAGCTTCTCAATTCGGCAGACACTTTTAAGCTCTGCCACGCGCAACCTTATATCGCCAAGCGATGAGGTCACAGCGGTCGGCAGGAGCCGGCAACGTGGCCTAGGCCTACGACATCTTGAACCTTTCTTTTGACGTATTCTTCTGCTTCTCCCTACAACTTTTCGACCATGGCATAGGGCGGACTTCCTTCATTTCCAGCATCGCAAGACAAAAAACCACACAAACGTACCTAGACATCCTAGCGCCGCCCCGAATCTACTCTTTTGACAACCTATGGACCCTGCCCTACGATGATTGAACGATACTCCGACGACGAGCGGCCACTGAGTGAGCGCAAAGCCGCCTTGCCGGGCGCAAACCATTTGTGCATCCTTCCCGACTCGCGCCAGCCTCTTATCGAGCGGGTCAACAATCCATGGCAAGATGAGAAGGCAGTCTACCACGACGAGGAACGAGAGCTGCCTTTCTGCGACCTTGAAGGTGAAGGGTCATGCCCCAACCTGACGCGCGACGCTGTTCGCTCTCGAAGAACCCGCAACATGCTGTTCTACCTGCTAGTGCTCGTAGGGGTGGGCTTGCTGATGTGGAGGCTGTATCTTCTGCCTCATCTTCAGGAAGAGTGGGAGATGAAAGAGGGTTTCATGGCGCAAGAGAATGGAACATACGGCATCACGAAATCGGCCGACTTTGATGGCACGCAAATTGAAGACTTGGACAGCAAATATGTGCCAGGAGGCGAGCATGATCCGAAGCGCGAGCGGCGGCTAGTCTTTGTGGGCGATGTCCATGGGTGCGCGAAGGAGCTTAAGAAGTTGCTGCATAAGGTTGATTTCGACGAGGAGAAGGACCACCTAATTGCGGTCGGCGATGTGATATCGAAGGGCCCAGACAATGTCGGCGTGTTGGACGAGCTCATGCGCATTGGCGCATCCAGTGTGCGAGGGAACCACGAGGATCGCATACTTACGGTGGCCGCTAAATCACTGGAAACGGACTCTGCGATCGAAGCCATGAGCAGCGGCGCGAAGAAAGACAGAAAGTTGTTGAAGAAACTGCACAAGAAGCACCTCAAGTACCTCGAGAGCATGCCGCTTATGCTGCGGGTGCCGGCATTACCACAGGCAGCCAAGCCGTCGCACAGGAGGTCTTCGCCACTTGCTGAGGAGATCATTGTGGTACACGGAGGCCTTGTACCCGCAGTGGAATTGAAGAAGCAAGACCCTTACTTCGTCATGAACATGCGGGGCATGCGGACCAAAAGTCATCTTCCTCTCGCCGAAGCTAAGGCTAAACATGGCAAGAGCAAGCCGTGGCACGACATCTGGGATTGGTACAACGACCGCTTGTACCGGAAGAAGTCGGTCAAGGACTTTGCCATCTGGGACTCACTGGAGGACGCAAATGAACCTACGACGGGTCTTGATACTCTGCTAGGACGGTTCGGCTTGAAGAGCGGCAAGAAGTGGCCCAAGCCGCAAGTCGTCGTCTATGGTCATCACAGCAAGGCCGGGCTGCAGAACGAACGCTGGAGCAAAGGTTTGGACACTGGCTGTGTGAGCGGTGGCGAGTTGACGGCGATGGTGCTGGATGCGAAGGGAAGCTGGAGTTTGACGAGCGTCGGGTGTAAGGATCATCGATGAAGGAATGTGGGTTTCAACGGCGCATGCGCGGATATATGCACGGAAAGAGGATATCTTTGGCGGCGTTGTGGTGTGCAAAAGGCTGTGCAAAAGGGTGTGCAAAAGGGTGCGCAGAAGGAAGGCAAAACTGAGACATATACCCCTGGAACGATACGAGACCTGTACAGCTGCCATACACTACAACACTGCATTCTATCCGCTACCTCTACTTGCACCTCACTTCGCCAATCCATGTTTTCGGACGCATCCTCAAAAGTGCCGCTATCACAGTGACTGATCTGCCTCCCAGCCTAGCCTGCCAGGCGGAGAAGATGTAACATTTCCGAAGCTGCACTACCTCATTCTTTGAGTTGAGGATTTCTCAGGTCCAGCTATAATTGATCTGAGCATTTCTCGACGCAACCATGCCCGTATCATGTGACACAACAGGTGAATGTTCGGTGCCAAGCTGAGCATGAGCTAGCGCGCTTCCTTCTCGGCCAATAGGAGAGCTCAGTCCTCGATTGTATTCACTCCAACTCCACTCCGGCATCCTTTCTCTGATCGCATTCTACAACGGTACTCACGACCCATGTGACAGCAGATGTAATCCATCTTACCGCAGCTCGTGTATGATAGTATATCCTTAACCTCCAAAGATATCTCGACACCTCCATTGCCGTCCGACGTCGGCCTGTCGTCTCATGTCCAGCCTTCTCCCCATCGCTCTGCTTTAAAAGCTAGAGACTGTCCTAACATTCAACAACAGGCGCACCATTAAATCCTCTTGAGCATGAGTCTGGAGTAGTACTCATTGAAGGCGAATCGTTGAGCAGTCGAGGCCAACCATGAGCGCTACAGGTCCAAGTGACACGACGTTCCGTGGCTATACCTCAGCCCAGGTTGAAGAATATGCACGCAGACGAGGTGGCTATCCTAAGAGCCTCATCGACGAGATCATAGGCCTCCATGGCTCGACCGGTAGTTCCTTCGGCTCATTGCTCGACCTGGGTTGCGGCCCGGGAAGCGCAACTCGAGACCTTGCGCCGCATTTCGACCTTGCTTTTGGTCTGGATCCCAGCGACGAGATGTTGCGTACGGCCAGGGCGATCGGTGGGCATGCGAAGTTGAGCCCGATCCAGTACATGCAAGGCGACGCCGAGGAGTGCTCCGGCGTCCCCGATGAATCCGTGGACCTGATCACAGCGGTGACGGCTGGGCACTGGTTTGATATGGACAGATTCTGGCCTACTGCTGCTCGTGTCTTGAGACCAGGAGGCACGGTCGCCTTCTCCACCATCTGGCGGATCTTCGTCCATCCCCGTAAGACTCCGCATGCGAACGATATCCAGGAGATCCTGATCGACCTTGAGCAAAGAACGCTTGGCCCTTACCAGAAGCCTGGAAACTGGTCACTGATGGGTATGTACGCCGACCTGAAGATGCCTTGGTCTCTCGGGGAGCCTTGCATGGCGTTTGCGGAGAGCTCTTATCGTTATCAAGTCTGGAACCTTCACGGAGTGCCAGAGAAGGCAGATGGTGGTTATGTCTGCGGTGAGAAGGTAATGACCGTGGACGAGACTGAGAAGGCCGTTGCTACCATCAGCGCCGTCACCAGATGGCGAGAAGCACACTCAGAGCTGGCCCACACCCAGGATGACTGCGTGGTTGCTGCTTTCAACGAGATCAAGGCCATCTTGGGTGTTGGCGGTGATGAGAAGATAACGATGGTCGGTCCGAGTGTACTGGTGACTTTGAAAAAGTCTTGAGGGTGGTTTCAAACTTTTCGTTGACTTCACTGTCTGCTCGTCCGCGATGGACACTGCGAGTTCACAAAAAGAGGAAAACGAAGTAATTCCGTCGCCATCGGCTAGCAAAAATTCGCTCGAACCCCCGACCTTCGGTGAGAACCGCAAAAGAAAACCCCCATCGTCGGAGGAGAGAAGAAACCAGGCGTACAGATTTGCTTCTATTCATTCCTAGCGCAGGATCGACCCAAGTGGGCGAGGAACTGGTCATGGTGCAGACGAAGGGGAGGGGGAGTGGTTTTGATCCCATTAAGCAAGGTTGTGCTGTGAACACCCGTTCCCTCAATGGGTACTAGAGATGGAACGTCTTTTTGTTACAACAATATATACTTTGGTGAGGGTGAGCGAAGGGGGACCGAGATTGGGCCGGCTGTCACATGCTCACCAAAGACGACTTCACTACGTCGGTTTCTCACATCTGCAACCGGCACGTGAGAAGACTTCATCCTTAGCGCTTTGGTGACCGCCAATGGACCAGCTGGAAGATGGCTGTGTCAGCACCTCACCACACGATGCGCATGATCGAGCGGATATATCCACGAGTTCAGAACAACCGGACCTCATCGCACCACAGCCGCGTCAGCACACTTGGCCGAAGCAGAAGCCCAAATCTCAGGGTGCGCAATCACGTAACTTGACTCCAAGGAGCTCCTGGCCGTATACTTCACAGCATCTGCACCCGGCGATGTAGGTCCGCGTACGGACATCCACCAGCTGGTCGGAAGCAGCTTCGCAGCGACAGGAGGCATATGTTGGTCAGAGCTGTGCAAAAAGTCTACGAAGATGCATATACGTATGCCTGCCCATCGAGAAGCGTATTGCTCAGTACCTGAAGACGAGCAAGCAGGATGTGTGATCGGGCTTGCGATTGCTCTCTGAACGTCAGGTGGCTTGAAGGGCTGCCGCATGCGGTATCTGAGGTTGTTAAGCGCATGTCCTTTTCAGAAGGCTGCTCTGCGGCCTGCTGCGGGCATGTTCTCCGGCACTACATACTCCTTTACTCCGAAGCGACACAAGCTCCTTCGCTACATGCAACGCGGTTTGAGCTTGACGTGATGCGAGGCATCTCCCTATATCCTTCTACAGCGCAGGTGTTCACAGCAGGGCACATGACCGTGTTGCTCGGCGTAGCAACGTACGTCGAATTCGGGTGTGAAGTACAGAGCTCGCACGTCCATATCGTTTTGACAGATAGTAGACTTGTCCAAAGACAAAGGGGTCTATATCTGCACCGCGATAGCCAGTCAATGCTACGCGGAATTCATGCCGCCACTCCTTGAGATACCTTGTTACATACAGCTCCGCTCGGATATAATACCCCACGTCCTCCTCACCCGGCATCGGTATAACCACAGTCATCTTCAATCTTCCCAACTAACATCTCACCATTCCCATACTCGAAATTGACCCTGTTAGGAAGAAACCGAAACACAAGCTCAGACAGCGAAAATGGCGACAGAAGTCCTCACTCAAACAGCGGAGCAGTCAATCCCTCTTGCAGTATCCCAATCGGCCACCGACAAGTCGAACAAGTCCGACAAATTCACAAAGACCGCCGGTCAAGACGTCGGCTTCCTCTCTCCGCCAGACCTTGACTTCAAGGACAAGTATGAGGAGCGAGAGTCGGTCACCTCTTATTTCCAACCCCAGCAGAACTGCGAGCTAACCAGATGCAACCGATAGATACATCAAAGGCCGCCTCGCCGGCGCCTACCGCATCTTCGGCCACTATGGCCTCAACGAAGGCGTAGCAGGTAAGCACTGATGGGTCAAACGGTTCTCCAAGACACGATCACACCCCGAGTGTCGCTCTGAGACCTTGTGATTCCCCTTACGGCATCAAGACACCCGCTGACCCTTGTACCCTTCTGTGCTTCAGGACACATCACCGTCCGTGACCCCGTCGAGCCGGAGACTTTCTGGGTGAACCGTTCGTCATACCTCCCCGTCACTCTCCACAGTCATACTGACCCACTGCGATCATAGCTTTCGGCCTTGATTTCAACCTCATCAAAGCCTCCGACCTCCTGCGCGTCGACCACCACGGCGCCATCCTCGACCACGGCCGCGTTAAAGTGCTCAACAAAGCCGCTTTCCTCATCCACGGCGCCATTCATGCCGCGAGGCCTGATGTCCTGTGTGCTGCGCACACCCACTCGGTGAACGGCAGGGCGTTCTGCGCTCTGGGGAAGGAGTTGGATCCTATTGGTCTGGAGAGCTGTATCTTTTACGACGTACGTAGGCCGTCTTCTCCAGCTTGCCAGGGGGGTCGATGCTGACATGCATGAACACAGGACCACGTAGTGTTCGACGGCAAAGGCGTCGTCCTCGCCGCGGACGAGGGCGATGATATCGCCGGAGCGCTTGGAGATAAGAAAGCTGCACTGTTGCGCAACCACGGCCTGTTGACCGTCGGGCAGACGATTGAGGAGGCGGTCAATTGGTTCTACCTGCTTGACCGCGTTTGCAAGGTCCAGTTGCTTGCTGATGCGGCTGCGGCAGGTAGGGGTGGCGAGACACATAAGATTGACGAGGAGGAGGCGGTGTACACACGTGGTGTGGCGGGGAGCCACAAGGCGGGTTGGTTTGGTGGGAAGGCGATGTTTGATTTGATTGATGACTTAACGGACAAGAAGTATTTGTTGTAGTCGGTCAATCTTGTTTGGTGGTATGATGATTCAGAAGCCACTGCTCGAATGCCCGTGTTGACTATGAACCTGCCTATTTCTTGCGTCCACGGCCCTGTGTTAAGAAAGTTGGCGCAAGCCGATCCATATCACCGTACCAACGTGCAACACAAGGCCTAAGAGAGTGCGAAAAGGATCCTGGCATCAGTGCTGTTTTCATTTCGACATCATCCAATCGGTATACCTATGCACAGACGAGTTATGCTGAGCTGACCTCATCTCACCTCAATCCGGCCAACCTCCCCTCTAGCCTTCTCCCACTCCTCAAAACTCCGCTTTGACCATTCCACGTGTGCTCGCGCGAAGTTGATCTGCCCAGACCATTAGCTTCCGTTCTCACGGCGGCCTCGCCAGTCGCACAGGCTCGCATAAAGTGAGATAAAAGCGAGAACTCACCATATTACTCCTCAAATCAGCCTCCTTCGAGCCCTGAAACCTCCTCAAATCCTTCAGCACACCCTGACTCGCATCTTGTACATCCGTCTTCGCCACCACAACTGCCTGCTCCAGCTGATCAAGCGATTCCTTGGTCTTGCCCAGCGCATCGCGGCGTGCGCGCTCCGGGTCGGCGTCGGTGACACCTTGAATAGCGTGGGTGAGACGGCCGAAGAGCTTGTTCGTCAGACCTGAGGACGAAGCTGCGCGCCGGTGGTGATCAGGCTGCGAAGGTGTTGGTTGGCCCTGATGAGAGGTTGGTAGATCGGAAGAAGCGGCGGTGGTTGGTGGAAAATCGGAGTCGACGCTGTTGTTGTCGCCTTCGTGGTCTTCTCGAGGGGGTTGGGAGTGTTGCTGAGGTTGTGAAGTATCTCGGCTGCGGTTGCTGGAGCTGCTGGTGCTTCGCTTTGGTGTTGAGCCTTGCTGGTTGTATGCGCTTGACGAAGACATGTACTGTTCTATTCGCTTCGCTTCGGCCTCGCTACGTTCCAGCTGCTCCAATAGCGCACGCTTCTTCTCCAGTTCGTCTCGCGTCATCTCCTCTTGCACTCGTTTTAGCACACGATACCTTAGCACGCTTCTCACAACACCGGCGAACTGCGCGCTTTCTCGCATTGGCTCTGCGAAGCCTGCGCTTAATGCAGAGCTGAGATCTCGACTTTGAATGTAGGTGAAGTCACAAGCCTGCCCGATCTTCTCGATCGCCTGTGCCACACTTGCCGACTGTTCAGAGAGCGAGAAGGCGTTGTAGCGTGCACCAAGATCCATAAGATCGTCGCCAAGGCTGTAGAGGTGGCGTAGTAGCCGTTGGTTCACCTTCTCCATCGATCCTGTGAGGAGAGTCTCCAATTCTTTCGACGAGCCTTCAAAGGTAGAGAAGTACGGGTCTAATTCCGACTCGCCAATGTTCTGCTGAGCGACAGGTGGGAAGCGGGCATATTGAATTCCAGGTGTGCTGTGTGCAGCCGAAGAAGCAGAAACAGATGGCGGTGGCGAGGTGGGTGTGCCAGACTGCGAGGTGCCAGATCCAGAGCGAAGCTTGGCGTTCGTCGCAGGGATAGGTAGATACGAGTGCGCTTGCGTCGGGTTTGCAGGATCAAGTGGAGGTGCCTTCAGGTTGTTCTTGGGTATGCTGGCGGCCGGGTGAGAGTGCAAGACCTCACTCCAGCTAACGTTTGGATCCAAAAAGCGCCACCACACTCCATCCTCACGGACATCCTTCATCCGACGGCATCTGTTGAGGAAGGTCGAAAGCATGCGTTGGCGGAGTTCGATGATACCGACATCCTCCTTCGCTTTAGTAGGCTTGGCGGCATAGTCGGAGAAGCTGTGCTTCTCAGGAATGGGTGGGATGATAAGTGTTGGGTGGAGATTGACCAGCGTCTGGCGTAGCGAAGCAAACTCGGAGTATCGTCTGCGGACTTCAATCTCGCCTGTCCGAATGGTGTAGGTGATGAAGCCGCCCCCTCCCTCGGTGTTCTTGCCCGCGTGTACGATCTGGATCTCAAGATCTGGGTGTTCGTAGAGGATCTGCTCAATGCGACTGTCGTAGCCGCCTTCCTTCGGCGGTACCTTTGCTAGCTTGGGTCGTGAGTCGGAGAGGTCCTCGTCACTCAGCTCGGCGGAGCGCGAGAGGAAGGCGGGTGTCTCGGTGGGCGAGGAGTGTCCGGACGGGGGAGTCGAAGGTCGATTGAAGCCTGTAGTATACACCCATCAGCCTATGCTCGTCGCTGCTCTACTGCTTGGCTGCGACCAACGGTCTACCGGCGACTGGACCTCGCTGATCTCGGAGTCACGACGCTGAAAGGAGCCATAGGGGTTGTTGTCCTCATCGTCCCACATCTTCGCCAATTCACAAAGTCCACGAATGAGTAGTGCTTGAGGAGAGAGGACCAGTATCCTCGAGCTCTGCGATGGTCTTCGGCAAGTTCCGGGGGTGACGTCGAGTCGAGCTTACCTTCAGTATTCGCCAAGAGGTTGATAGACCTCCACAGGTTGGAGTACACCCATTCTTCCGCCATCGTCGTGCATACGACCGAACGAAGTGGTCGTGTAGCGGACGACGTGAGTGACGTCTTTCCGTCCAATGGTTCCTTGTGAATAGACCACCGCGCAGTAAGGCCACATTCACTTGTGTCTACCAGCATGTGAAGAGCACAATATGCGTCCAAGCACAAGATCTTTCCTTCAACCTCACCTCATCAACCTCTGCAGAATATCACGAAAGCTGAACTCGATTTCGCTTAGCACGTACATGAGACCACATTTCCAACGACTTCCCAGAAGATCAATTGCAGCAACACGACTCTACGCCACTACCCAGAACCTCAACATGGCCCCCCAAAGCTTCATCATCAACTTCTACTCCACGGACAATGAGTGCGACCACAAAGGCCGCACCTTCAACGACATCCTCCGCTTCAACAACCAAGCCCTTGAGCACGAACACGACTACATCCAGGTCCTCTTCCCTCTACCAGAGCGCTCTCCCATCAACCCCACCGCCCCAGTCATCACCCCAGAAGTCCGCGCCGCCTTTCTCGATCACTCCGGTCTTCGAGAGCGCCTGGTCCTCGCTTTGGAGCGGATGCTTCAGTTCTACGGCTTTGGTCTCAATCCCAGCTACTCGAAATTGGAGATCGCCAACTTCACCGCCACCTCTGATATAGGTCCGCGTGCGAGGGAGGATGCGCTGATCGGACGCAGCCCAAACTTCGAACGTCGGGCGCCTATTACGTGGTTGAAGTCGATGGACCACAACCACTTGCGCTTGACACGGATCATTCGGTGTTTGAGGGTGTTGGGGCTGGATGTGCTGGCGTGGGCGCTGTATCAGGCTTTGATGGGCCATGATCGAATTGAGAATGTCTCGGATCGGAGTAAGATGTACTGGAGTAGGGCAGCGAGGAGAGTGTTGTGGTTGGAACCTTCGGAGGGTGATGATGGGAAGGGAGTGAAGTGGTTGAGGGAGGAGTTGATGGAGGATGTGAAACAGGAGGTGTGGATGAAGGAGGAATATGTGCAGGCGCAGCCGTCGTCCGAGGAGGGATCGGATGAGGAAGAGAGCGAGGATTCGGAGAAGGTGAAAGATGAAGTGAAGGTGAAGCGTGAAGGCGACTGATCGATGCGCATGTTGCACCAGCACTATCGCTTCGAAGCTACGGCATGCAGCTGAGATTGTCTGATCGACGGCGCTCGTTCTAAGTCCAGCGGCGTGGATCGAACGCAGCCATCGCTGGCAGTAGCTATGCTGCCCTCGGGACTTTGCGCCCCGGCAGCGCAACAGTCGCACGACAGAGGACGCAGACAGACTACTGCTCTGTTCATGGCGACCACAGTAATATGCAGTGTCATCAATATACCCATTGAAACGCCTTGCGCTATGCATAATCCCCCCATCAAACCTCACGAACCCTCCTTAAGCATCCTCTCCGCCTCCACCTCATCCCCCTTCGCCATCCTCAGCGCCCTTGCAGCCGTAATCTGGTCGTGGCCCTTCGCCATCAGTGCCGCCACACCACCGGGCAACTTCGGCGTATGCAATTTCCGCTCCCTAACCTGCACATCCCTCTTCTCCGTCTTTCCAAACAAAGCCTTCCCAATCTGCTTTGTCCACTGCCACGGCTTGCTCAACCACTCATCAGCCCCAGCATCAAAGTACTCCCACCCATCCACACCGCCGAATTTGCGGTAATCCTCCTTCAAGTTCTCGATCGTCTCCTTGACATCGCTGAGCGAAACGTAACCGGAGCCATCATTGCTGCTATCCAGCACTCCCAAGACCACACGCTCAGGTTTGAACCCGTTGGCGACGCCGGCTTGGTAGGATTCCTCGAGGCTGCCTTGCACGAAGCCGGAGTAGTATTGGCCGTTGTACCAGTTCACCAGTTTCCCGGCTCTAGATCTCTCAAGGCGCGAGTACGAGAAACCTGAGAGTCCGCTCCCGCCCGCGGGAAGGTCGGAGGCTACGGGCGCCATGGTGATGATGAAGTCTTTACCGAAGTCCTGTCGGATTCTGCGGATGAGGTTTTGAGCGCAGGAGAGGGCGACGGGTTCTTCAATGTCCAGGTCTATGCCGTCGACGTTGCGGTATTTGAGCGTTGAGACGAGCGGGAGGTAGTAAGCATCTTGAATCGATCTGCCGTTCGTGCTGCAGAGGCGGCCGTCGTAGGAGCCGGTGGCGGCGCCGCCCATCATGACCATGACTTTGACGCCGTTCTGTTGGAGTGTGGCGGCTTCCTCCCAGGTGCGGTCGAATGTCGTTGCATTTGGGTTCTCGTCGTTGAGGGTGATGTTGCCATCTGGGCCATTGATATGGAGAGCAGCGAGGATGACGTGAGTGATGCCCGTGTCTTTGTTTAGAAGAGGTAGTATGGAAAGGTGTGCGTCTTCGTCATCCGCAGGGTGGAACGTCTGGACATATTGGATCAACCGCGGTGTCGTGTCTGCACGCTTGACCGGCGGTGGCAAGAGGTCTGTTACTGGAAGGGAAAGTGCTGTGTTGATGAATGCTAGAGTCGCAAAGAACGAAGTAAAGGAGGAGTTTAACATGGTTGCTAGGAAAATGTATGTACAATGAACAGGAAAGGAAAGATGCAGAACTCGAGAACCTACCTCCAAGACATTTGAGGTCTCCGAGGCGGTCTTTAGGCTTTCTGCCTTTGCTGCCGATCGTCCTTGTGAGGCTGAGGGCCAAAGCACAAAAGGGCCAAATTGTGGAAACGCTTGGTAGGAGTTGCTGCGCCTGTCGCTCGAAACAGAGGACAAACCGCGTCGAGTCAGGCGAAACGGATGCTGCGACGTTGGAGGTGTGAAGCGGCCAGGTAGACGGTGTAACAGAGGTCTTGAGACGCCCAAAAAGACGCCTCCCGCATCTGAACCCCTCCAAGCAGATCTGGCATTGTGATCATCACGGCAGCTTTGGTGATGCCCCGATGCGCCAAGTTGGCGGCCACGCCGAGAGGCCGTCGGTAAGTGGGAGATCTGGCTGTTTGGCCCCCAAAGACTGCTGCTTTTGCTGAAGGTGGAGGAGAAAAGCTTGGAGCGTTGCAAGATTGGAGTGGAGGTGTTCTAATTTAAGCAAGATCTACTAGGCCCGTTCAGGCGGTTGTGAGGTCGGTCTGGAGAAGGAGGGAGATGTTGTGCTAGAGAAAATGAAAGAAGCCAAACGGGCACATCTGGCACTCTTCTCCGAGACGAGATTGCGGTCAAAAGGGCCACATCGTCCTAGTCAGCGGGCGGTCATTGTCTGTGAGAAGGCCATGACATGGCTCACTCTGACCCGGTGAGCCGCGTTCACTGACCACAGCTGGGGCCCGTATTGTAGACTGGAGATGCTTGTCGTATGGTCTTGAAGGCGGCTGAATTCCCATCAAGTGGAAGTGAAGTACACCAGATCCTCTTCCAGGCCTGACACCTGGCCATCAATCAGTACAATGATTGAGATGTGGGACATCGACGAGCACAGGTCTGGATAATCTGTAGCACTTGATACAATATCTGACCGTTTCGCGTTATCATACAAGGCATGTCATTCCATCCTACCCCATCGCTGAAGCGTTCACATCCCCACCGACACCGGGACTACTCTAGACCTTCAGGAGAAAGGTCAATCTGGCCAGTTACCAAGTGTTCGAGGCCTCGTGTATTCTACTCGGACCATGCTTGGATAGCATGACTGAGGATATTGAATCCGCTTGATGCGGGACAGCAGGCTGGCCGTGGTGGTAGTCACAAGTCTTCGCCTCAACTCCAAGTCTCTCCTCATCGTTGATCAATCTTGAGCCACCTCTCCACCCTTCCGGTCTCTCACTGCACGACCTGGGTTGCGCGTAGTCCGACGTCTTCATCTGCCAGATTTGTGCTGTCAAAGGTGTCTAGCTCCAGGAGACAGAAGGTGGCCAGGACAGAGGTGGAACGGAAGTGCATGCCTTGCAGGACATCTTCTCCAAAGCAGTTGTACGTGAGCAAGTCTGACAGTCTTCTGGTTACATTCACTTCTCGTAGCTTGGTGCAGAGGACCTGTAGCTGGGAGCCCCTGTAAGCGTGCCAGAAGTGATGCTCCACCCGCATACGTCGGACAAAGACAAAGCAGGCGCCGTGCTGTTGTTATCCACGTCCGCAGAGTTTGGGCCAGTGTCGACTTGCTGTGTAACAATGGTGGACAGCCTATTCGTCGAAATGTCATGGGATGCCCGAGGCTGTGAGGACCGATGGCTTGGTGTCCGCACTGCGATTTCCCGAGAGACAGCGGAAATATTGGAAACAGAAGGGTGGTAGGTGCTCGGTGCAGGCACAATTCGATCCTCGATGCTGTAGGGACGGATGTCGCGAGGCCATGCCGGTGCTTCGTCGTCAACCGACTTCACCTTGGCAGCAGTAGATCTCATTTCCAGGTCTTCACTGCTTCGGACACGGGAGACTCGAATATGTCTACAGCAGGTCTGTATGATGATGGTCAAATTCGCTAGCAAAGCCAGCGAAGCCCCCGCTATGCCAGTGATGCCGGCCGCGGTGGGATAATACCAGTACTCCTGAGCCGCAATGACACACTGTGTCGATAGTCAATATTATAGACCAAAGGAATCGACGGCCCGCTACACTTACGACGACAGTGGCTGTTGCCACGCCGAGCCCAGCAATATCAAGGAACGCCATCACATGCCAGTGTAGCTTCCGCGGCCGCGACACTGCGATCAGGCCGAGCATGGAGATGACTGAACATATCGTGGTCGACCAGATTGCGGACGTTGCGTAGTAGGATCCCCAATAATAGCTACAAACGATGAGTTTCTGCCAGTGATAGGTTGGGGACTGTCGTTGCGTACGTCATCCAGACGCCCATCGACCCGGCTGTGACGAGGCTACATATGATCTTTGAACAATTGATCAGTATTTGTAGGAGCAGACGAATGTAGTCAGCATTGAACACCTACCTGAATAAACCGCGTAGCCAAAGTGATCTTCTTCTGCCGGCTGTGGGACTTCCACCCACTGAACATGACGGGCATTGGGACCACAATGACCTCTTCGTTGTCGTCGAATTGCTCGGATTTGGCGCCCATCATTCGACGGTACAACGCGCCCGCGCAGTCTGAGTTGCAACTGTCGTTTACGGAAGTGCTGATGCTGTCAACGCGCCGGTATCAACAGAAACATAATGGACGCGAGCACCAGGCACCAGGATAAAGTGAGGACGGGAGAGGGCATGGCTACGGTAACCGGAGGGAGATGTCTGCCGGCAGGCACGGTTCTAGTCTAGCCCTCTTCAGCCGCACCAGATCCTTCGTCGACCCTGACTTACCTACCAATCTATTTAAAAGGCGCTCTCCGTTGCACGAAGCATTCTCGGAGCAAACAAACTTGTTGTTGGACGGTCACATGAAGGCCATTGGTACGTTCGTGGGCCCATCGACGTTCGGAGACGACTGCTCTTGTGCTTCGCCCGAATGTCGGTCGTTGTCCAGTTTGCTGACATATCCACACACTACACGATGCCGAGTCGTCCTGCTCCTGGCTCTCACTTATTTGGCCGGACCAATGGTTTCTGGGAATCTGTGGTCCATGGAAGCTCCGAAGGCAAAATCGTCTACAATGGACTGTCCACCCGATGTTAGGCGGCTTATTCCCAGCAGGTATTCCTTCCCTTACTAATGTCCTCTATGCTGGCCTCGTTCCTTTCACCATTTCAATGAGAGTGCGCGTTCGACCACGGGATGCGCATAATGAAGGCACCCGAGACCCGAAGCCCGTTGCAGTTCGGAGTGTCCTGCTATGGACGCATAAGTAAGACCTTTGCACCACAAGGACATTCTCCAGCATTTCGTAACTACCCTGCTGCTGTCTACTCTTATCAAGAACACCATGGCCGCCACATTGAAGAACATAGCCCTGGTCGGCGCCGGCGGCATTCTGGGTTCCCGAACACTCGAGGCACTTCTCAAGCACGGCAAACACAACGTGAATGTGATCACTCGCCCGTCTTCCAAGAGCGAGTACCCTTCTTCTGTCAATGTCAAGCAGGGCGACTACCAGGACGCTGCTTTTCTGGAAGCGGCACTGCAGGGCCAGGATGTCCTGGTATCCATGCTGGGGTTCGCAGGTCTGCCAGATCAACACGCCTTTTTCCATGCAGCAGCCAAAGCTGGGGTCAAATATGTGCTCCCGGCCGAATATGGCGCCCCGTCAGGCAATGACGCGCAGGTCAAAGCTGCACCGCTCATCCAACTGAAGAGGAACGACCACGAGCTCATTGAATCTCTTGGGATAAAGTGGATTGGTGTGGTCACGAATCCTTGGATAGATTATGTGAGAATTACCCTTTAACGTGAGATGTTGATATTGTAGCTAATGGCCAGCTAGTGCATCCGATACGGCGTCTTCGATATCAACGTCCCTGAGAAGAAGGCGACCGTGTACACGGATGGCGCGCCGTTCAGCACCACCTCCATGGGGAAGGTAGCAGAGGGAATCGCCAGCCTGCTTTGTCTCTCGGAAACAGAGATCCAGAAAGAATTCGCCAACAACTTCCTGTACCTTTCGTCGTTCACCTTGACGCATCCGGAGATCTTCTTGGCTATCCTGCGAGTTACTGGCACGACCGAAGCAGATTGGCAGGTCGAAAAGAGCACCACGAAAGATCTTGTCGATGAAGGATGGCGGATGGTGAACGGAGGTGAGCCGGCCGGCCACTTTAAGATCGTCTTCGGAGCTGCATATACCCATGGCCTGGGTGGTGATTATTCCGAACTTCTTCACAATGAGAGGTTGGGGCTTGGGGAGGAAGACTTGGAAACTGTCGTGAAGGCTGCGGTAGACGCGGCAAAACCAGGCGGGTTTACCGCCGGTACAACATTGAAGCTCAAGTAGATCGAAATGCCTTCGCTCATGTTTTCTGAAGCTTCTTCCTTGTCAGGCGCTTGTGCTGAATGTAGCTCGAGTGACCAGACCTCTCATTACGCCCAGCCGGACATGCCTCCTATGCCTGCTGCATCCTGTGTATCACCCTATCAACAGATTCCTCCGCTATCTTCGAAGGCATCGTATCTTGCGTTTTGACGACGCTACAGATTGCTGTCGTTGATCGAGTAGTTGCTCCGGCACTTGCAAGTCCCTCCATGCACCTCTACCAGCACCTAGGTGGAACGATCTGACGTCTAGTCTGCTCCTCTAAGGATTGCTAAGAGTAATTGTGGAGGGTGTAACTGCAGAACATCGACTAGCAGGGGATCGTGTCCAATCAGCTGCCATTCTGTATCCGAAACAACATCACCTGGCCGTCGAACATGACACCCTTCCTTTTAGCTCCTCGTCGGCTGGTACGACCACGATTCGTAGCGTCTATGTATACCTCTCACGCCGCTGCGAATCGGTGCTTCTCGGGCATACAGTGTTGTCTACCAAGTGACAAGATTTCAACACTCGTGCCGGGCATGAGGTCGGTGAGTTGAATGCTTACTACGTTGCTGCCTTCGTACATTCCTTTGCCCGGTTCAGCCTGAGACATCCAACGAACATAGCCCATCTCTCGGCCCTTCACGTGGATGACTGACCTCGGGTGTCACTGTCATCTGCTCCGTTACCAGCCGGCTGACCACCACATTTCGTTCACAAGACTCGATGTTGTAAGGACAATATACTTATAATGACTTCTGCAGCTATTGAGGATCTTCACACCAGCGCGAGACGATGCCGAAATCAACGGTATCGTACCACAGCCTAGCCTCGGATTACGATAGAGACGCAGAGGAAGACGGCACGGACGCTCAAGAGGAGGAAGCGTACCGCAACGCGTTCATCAACACCACGCACAGTCGGACAAATCCAGGGTCGCCGGTCGAGGCACGCCGACATGCCACGTCAAGGAGATCCGATATAGATCTTCGAGGCCGACTGCCGTTTAGACATGCATTAGATGAGACCAGTGGTTTGTTGACGAGTGGAATCGGCTCGCCTCGTGACTACCGGACACTGCCAGTCAGCGCCAGTGCCCCAGGAACGCCTCGATATGGGCTGAAGCGTAACCTCAGCTACGCCGGCAGTCTGCGTGGTCTGCGAAGTCGACACCACAGCCGGCGTGGTTCCTTTGGGCTGAGGCTGTCACGAGCACTCGGGACCGACCCCAACCAGACGGAACCAAACACACCTCACACGGCCAAGTCAACCCTGGCACTTGACGACCGGGTGTGGTACGATCAGTTTACATCCACCGACTGGGTGCATGATAGCATAGCAGATGCGTATCGGGTGAAAGAGCTGCGAAGCAGGAAAGACTTGAGAGGAAGACTGTATGCATTTTTTGACGGAGCACAGGGTTGGGTGCTGGTTGCAATCATCGGAGTCATAACAGCTGGGTTCGCATACTTTATCAACATCACGGAGGCGACCATCTTCGATTATAAGGAGGGACATTGCACGACTGCGTGGTGGTTGAGCAGGAGGAAATGTTGTGCTGGTGCGAGCTCCTGTCCGGAATGGTGTATGTGGTCGGATGTCTTGTACAGCAAGGATGCGGACAGTGAGATGGTGAATTTTGTTGCGTTCGTGGCGTGGGTCATTGTGCTGTCTGCCGCTTCCTGCCTCATCACATTACAGACCAAGACTGTCATCTCCTCGGCTGTGTCGCTGTCGACACTGGACGAGAATCTTGGAGCCGATCGACAGCAAGCTAAGGCAGACGGTGAAGACCCAAAGGGCAGCATCACACCCAAGCAGCACTTCGAAGCAGCAGCTCGCAGACCTCCTGTTATCTACTACCCGGCTGCAGGCAGCGGCGTGGCGGAAGTGAAGGTGATACTCTCTGGCTTCGTGCTGCACGGTTATCTCGGTCTCACAACTCTCGTCTGCAAGACGTTCGCATTAATTCTGAGCGTGGCCTCCGGCTTGTCGATTGGGAAGGAGGGTCCTTACGTCCACATCGCCACCTGTGTCGGCAACATCGTGTCTCGACTGTTCACAAAGTACAGCACGAACGATGGCAAGCGGAGAGAAGTCCTCTCTGCTGCCGCTGCTGCAGGTGTTGCCGTAGCCTTTGGAGCACCCATCGGCGGCGTTCTGTTTAGCTTGGAGGAGGTCAGCTACTACTTCCCACCGAAGACACTGTTTCGGACTTTTTTCTGCTGCATCGCCGCGGCGCTATCCCTCAGGTTTCTGGATCCGTACGGGACTGGCAAGATTGTGCTTTTCGAAGTCCGCTACATTATCGACTGGAAGTTCTTCGAGCTTGCGGCGTTCGTACTTCTCGGTGTCCTAGGCGGCTTCTTGGGCGCTATGTTCATCAAAGCTTCAAGGCTGTGGGCTAAGACGTTCCGCCGGATGACCATGATCAAGAAGTACCCCATCTTCGAGGTCTTCTTGGTGGCTGTCACCACTGGCATCGTTGGCTTCTGGAACCGATACACTCGCCTGCCGGTTGCGGAGCTGCTGTTTGAGCTGGCTGCTCCTTGCAACGCCTTCACTGACGAGGGACTCGGGTTGTGTCCTACCGAAGAGAGGATTCCGACCATCATGTGGTACCTCTGTGTGGCTTTTGTCGTCAAAGCTCTGCTCACAACCGTGACGTTCGGCATCAAGGTACCTGCCGGCATCTACGTGCCTTCTATGGTGGTTGGCGGTTTGATGGGACGCATCGTGGGTCATCTCGTTCAATGGCTGACATTGACCTACCCGGACTCGGTTCTCTTCAAGAGTTGTCCGCCAGTTGATGGCAACCCAGAGTCCTGCGTGGTCCCTGGTGTCTATGCCCTGGTGGCAGCTGGTGCTACAATGTGCGGTGTGACGAGGTTGTCCGTCACTCTGGCCGTCATCTTGTTTGAGCTGACCGGAAGTCTGGAGCATGTGCTACCCTTCTCGCTCGGTGTGCTCATCGCCAAATGGACTGCGGACGCTTTAGAGCCTTTGAGCATCTATGATCTACTGACAGATATGAATGCCTACCCTTACCTGGACTCGAAGTACCGTCCAGTCTTCACGACCGACTTGGGTGATATCACAGCACGGCCGACGCGCAGCCGCTTCATCGATGTTAGCAACTCGCCGCTGATACCAGCAAGACAGCTCCGAGCTAAATTGGAACATCTACACATGGTCGGCGAGCTCGATGGCGGCCTGCCAATAATTCGAGGTGGGATTCTTGTCGGCCTGATCCCAGGACCGGATCTGGAGTACGCTCTCGACCGCCTCGATGGCGAAGAGTCAGCCCTCTGTCTCATGAGCGCACACGATCGATGGCAGGGCCCAGGCCGAGGCGTCATACCCGGCGGCGAGCGTGACTACGACGATGAGACGGACCACGATGGAGCTGCAGATGAGGCGCAACCACTCATGAACACTCCAAACGCAGCCGATCCGATGGACTTTACTCCGTATATCGATCCAGCGCCCGTGTCACTGGATATCGGCAGTCCGATGGATCTCGTCTTTGAGTGCTTTGTCAAGCTTGGGCTGAGGTACATTTGTGTGTTGAGGGAGGGCAGATTTGCGGGCATGGTGCACAAGAAGGCGTTCGTGAAGTATGTTAAGCAGGTTGAGAAGGAGGAGTGAGAGCATTTTTGAGCGGATTTTACAGTGCATGGGAGGGTTCCGGGCATCTGAGCGTTCGAGCGTACTGGGACAGAGCAAAATTCTTGATGTCTACAGGTTGGCGACCGCGGTGGAACAACCGATGGATAGCGTGCGTACTGGTGGGTGATTGAAGAGGTTCGCTGATACAATTGCTTAGATACTATCTATCAATCCATATGAAGTCTACGAGTACATGCTTCTAAAGCGCGGGACAAAAGAAATCGTGCTACGTGCGACCTGCGCTGCACGAGACATAGGAAACGCTGAGGGCCTGGTTATTGATATCCACACCACGCTGCCACCGCATGCATCATTCTCCGCCACCCGAACGACTGCTGGCTCTGGGACAGTCGGGCGAGCATCTTCAACTTATCATCTGTCGGGGAGAGGCCTGAGCCCGGTGAAGTTCTCAGGATGCTCCCAGCCCACCATGTCGATGTAGAGCCGGAGAACCTCCGGAGGGACTCGAGTGACTGGTGCATTCGCTTTGTCACGCGGTGTCGCTGCATGGCTATTGGCGGCATCTCCGCTGGGACCTGCAATACGCGCTCCTGATCCTGCGGTGTGGACTCCGTACATCTTCTCAACCATCTCTCGAAGGAAGCAGATCGAATGGTAAGCTTCTGCTATAGGCCCGGTGTACGCGTAGCCGTCTGTCATGATGCTTGAGTCCAGTCGCCATTCCACAGGCACATCAGCACGAGTCACCTTCTCCATGAACAGTGCTTTTGCTCTTGGCCTGCCAGAAAGCAGGTAAGCGACCAAGGGCAATTGGAAGCGAGCTTGACACCGTTGGGGTCGCTTTCTTCGACAAGCTTTATCACGGATGCCACGCTTAGAGCGGTGGATATTGCTTGGACTGGATCCTCGATCTCCCCCGCACGGACGCACCATTGCGGCCCACCGTATCTTCGAAGAAGGCCGTATTGAATGGCGTAGTGCGCATCACCTGCCACTGCGCCGAAGCACAAGAACTCATGAACAAATACGCGGAGGGTACCCAGGATGTGGCCCAAAGCGGGGGTATACAGGACCCGACATGTCGATGGAAGCCTTTTGGTGTCAACAATACTGATGTAGACCGTGTCGACGCTCTCTGTAGAGCACTTCCACTCCGCCAACGTCCACGCAAAATGGAAAGACTGTGTCCACGACGAGAACATACTCTCGCATCCGTGCTCGTTCCGGAGGTGCGACCTGACCGTGGATGTCAGCCGATCGAGAGATACGTCGTGTATGCTGCTCGGCTGGGTGCGATTGAGGATCGCATGTGTGATGATCGTGTGCGGAGTGTTCAGTCTGCGATCACCTCCTGAATTTGGTGTCCAAACGCGATTGAGATATCTGGGGCACTGAGATGCAATTTCTTCGAGCCTGTCTCCGACATGGCTGGGAAGCTGGGTGCCGGCTGTGCTGGATCCCATCATGCCCATTCTGGGGGTGTTGTATGAGATGCCTGGTATTTCTCGCCGGTATCGATCTGTCTCGCAATGTCAGAGACATGGTCGAGGCGTCCGTCTTCGTCCATCAAAGACATTCATTCGAGGCTCAGACATGTTCGAGTCGATGTGTCGTTACAGTCCGTCGAAACGATGGGCGGAAGGGTTCTCCGGGACACAATCAAACGATATGGAGTACGCTGAGGCACTTCACTTTCGATTGTACGCTCGGGAGACCTGCTTGTAACTACTGGATGGCACCTTCTCGGAGACACCATAGAGTCTCGATTAACGCTCTGTGACGGTTCCGTATCAACACCGAGTTTGAAAATCTTGCTGAACCTTCCACGCTTCACTCTAAATGCACTGTGTCGACTTCAATCATGAAGGTGTCAAGAACGAAGACCCCCCAGCCCACGGTGTCACAGCATCGTGATGTCGAAGTTTGACCGCCAGTTCTCACTTCTACTGGTGATGTTGCGTCCTTGAGCGACTTTCTCCAGCGGGTGAGCCTGGAACCATTCAATCAGGCTTCCAGGAATAGGCCGTCAATTACTAATGCATTGGGATTGAACGGAGGAGAGAACGTTCGATGAAGAATCTGTAAGGTAGGCAATAATCTGCGTGGGAGGACGAGTATGTAATACGATTGTCCAATCGACACACCGAACGAAACGTACAGCAAGCGTCCACCAACCGGCAATTCTCTGTCACATAATTGCCTCCTACACCCCGGCCTCGACGTCCTGCGCCTCCAAGCTTGCACAAAATGTTTCTCCTCGCCCGTAAGGCAACGGTCTCCGTTCAATCGAGCTTTCTCTAACCATCTCAACTCGTACAAAACTCGTCGTCGGCCACATCTGTCATCTCAGCATTAGTGTCTTCGTCCTCGCGAACCTCATTGGAATGCTGCTCTTGCTTCTCAGGCCACCAAATCATATCGATCCTCAATCTTTTAAGCTCCTTCTTCTGTCGAGGAGTTGCAGGTACACTCCTTCCCGAATCGTCAGTGATCGTCAGAATCTTTTCTCCTCGGTCGTCGCCGTCTGATGATGCATCCAGAATTTCCTCCTCCTCCTCCTCCTCCTCCTCCTCCGTCTCCGACCTCAACTCATCTATGAGGATGTCCATGTTAGCTCGCCACTTCAATTGCTTGACATGCGCCATCCGCGCTGCCCCACTCATCTTCATCTCTGGTCTGAACTTGGAGACCAGATTCCGGAAGCAGTCGATTGCGATGGTTGCGTCGAGATAGGGGTAAGCCAATGCATACCCCTTCTTGATGATGGCTGGGTCATCGCACCACTCAACAGGAACGTCCGCAGGTCGTAGAGTGCGTGTAAGCCCTTCAGGTATGTCCGCGTAGTGATGCGCAAGCAGGAAGATTGTTACGGGCAGTCGGAAGTGATCGTCGAACAGTTCCACCACGTGCTTCGCTTGTTCCAAGACGTCTTTCTCGGAAAGGATCTGGTAAAATCCAGGATGAGGGTGACCGACAGGAAGCTCCCTGGCAGGAAAGAATTCAGAGCCGCGTCGCAAAAGTCGCTCGTATGATACGATTCGGTGAGCCTCACCAGACACCACTGTTCCAAAGCAGAGGTATTCCCAGAAATTAACTTTTGCGCCGATGACCGGCTTCATTGCTGCGGTGTACAACACAGTGTTCCTCGCAGGCAGTTTCTTAGTGTCCAAGATGCTCATTGAGCCGCCAGGGACGTTGGCTGCACAACGGGCTAACACGAAATTGAGGGAATGTGACCACGAGGAGAAAGGGCTGTCGCAATCCTGGTTTGACAAATGGGCGGTGACCAACTCTCTCAGACGTTCCAGCGGTAAGTCGTAGACACTGTCCGGAAAGTTGCCATGCAGGTCTGCATGAGTAATGATAGCTTCTCGTGTGTTGAGCTTGGCGTCGCCTCCTGAACGTGAGTGATGAAAGCGGAACAAGTAGCGTGGCGTTCTCCGAGAGATCTCCTCGAGCTGGCCACGGACGTGGTCAGGCAGGCCGGGAGCTGTCGCTTCGGGCTGAGGACGAGACGGGACGGCCATGGTAGAAATGTGGGCTGCAGTCTCAAGAAGTGCGTGAGAAGGGTTGGCTGCTGAGCCAACGAGAAGTCTGAAAGGAACGATGTTGTTGTGTTATGAAAGAGTCAAGATCAATGTATGCCTGCAAAGAGTAGCGATGATGTTGGTGTGAACGGATCTGGTATTACCATGGACGTCCCTAGGAGCCACTTTACATATGCTCTTCGACCGACGCCATACATGACACCGTCTCGGACGAACAACGAGCCGTCTCACAGTGACGAAAAGAACGACACAGTCTGCTGTCTGACGTGAAGCTTTGGCAAGACTTGGTGAACTCGAGATCTCAGATTCCGCAACTGTCTGAGTCGAGTCTAGATACTGTCTAAGTCAAGTCAGCCAGCGCCCAAGACTTCGATCGGAGTATGGTGTCTCACCACCTTTAACATCAACCATCGACTCACCATACTACAGCCTCTATCTCACAACCAGTTCTTATCCCCATGATGACTAACAAACGCACCCCCCATACTCTCCACCGTCGCCTTATCCACCACCTCCATCATCGAATTCACACTCTCCTCCGGCGTAATCGGGCCCTTGAAGTCCGGCGCAAACTTCATGAAAGCCGCCACCATTGCCTGCTCCCCCTTGATCGCTTCCTCGTCCTTCGGACCACTCGCATTCATGTCCGTATCCACCAACCCCGGCGACAGAGCAAGGAAGAGGATCCCCTCACTCGCGCCGTAGGCGGCGTTGTACTTGGCCACCAACATATTGGTAGCGGCCTTGCTGATGGAATACGGACCGCCAGCGACGGCTGAGAGTTGGTTCGTCAGTTCGACGTCAGCTAGCCCAGTGGCGAGGGTGATGACTTTCTTCTGCTGGCCGGCCTTGATCAGAGGCAAGAAGGCGTTGGTCGCGAAGGCCACGCCGATGACGTTGGTGCGGAAGCAGGCGGTCATCTCTTCGTCGAGGAAGGAGGCGGACATGTCGGCCATGGGCTTCCAGCGGCTGCGCTCTCCCAGAATGGCGGCGTTGTTAATGAGGAGGTCCAGCTTCCCGCCTGCGGCTTGGGAGACTTGCTCAGCAGCTTTCTCGAGCGCTGGGGCGTCCGTGATGTCGGCTTCAATGATGGTGACATTGGTGATGCCGTCTTTGCTCAGCTTGGCGTCTGTGTCGGCTTTGTTGCGGCGGACGAGGCCGAAGACCTGGTAATCTGGTTTGGCGGCGAAGTATTGGAGGAACTGGTAGCCCAGGCTGATACTGTTAGCAAGATAAAGTCATATGTCAGGTAGCGATCGACCATACCCGCGAGCGGCGCCCGTAACCGCAACAGAAGGCATGATCGTCTCAGCAAAGCTGTCTCGAAGTGTGGTTGAACTCGTGGTATGAATCTCGTTACCGATGCAATTGTCGCTGCTGGATACTCCCTCCCAACATCAGGACGACCAGCGCCCTTTATACCCTCCATCTCCTCCTCACGTTACCACCGTAAACACTCCATCTCAGTCATCACCGCACCTCTGTCCTCAGTCTTGGCCCGGACGAAGTAGCCCTTTCGAGACATTGGCCTAAGCATACGCCTGGTCCACAGACCAACGCCAACGCGCAGCAGCCAGCTCCACCAGACGAGACGGAGGGATTATCAATCCTATCTCCGCACGTGCTCCGCGACTGCACAGAAGGCCAAGATGGCGTCGGATGAATTGAGGGCAGCGATGGAATGGATGTGTGGTGAAGGCTTGCGCTGGGTTTGGGAGAAAGTTGATGAGTAAAGGTGGGGACTAGCCCTCGTTGGCCAAGCGGTAGAAACTACTGAAGTGCGAGACCGACGAGACGTCAACATCGTTTAGAACAGTCGAACAAGCTGACTGGATGCCACTGCATACACCACTCCCACCTCAATCTGAATGTCCGTCGAGGTTCATACAGTCTGGCATCCTAACAAAGCGAGCCCGCAAAACCCATCATATCCAGTCTCAGCTACCCCTTTCCTTCTATTCTCTCAGGTACAGCAAGCAAGCAAACACATTACACTAACAGCTCAGAAAAACAACAACAACAAGAAAAGTCGTAAACACCATCGCAAACCCTCCCACATACCCCATCCAGCCAAACAGAGTTCCCATACGAGAGATGTCCCAGGTGCCCAAAAGGAGAGTGAGGTATCAACAACACAAGGAAATCGTTCTTTAGAAGTCCAGTCCAGTCCAGTCCAGTCCAGTTTTCTTTCCAAACAAACCAGTCGCTTCGTCTTTTATCACTCGCCTCTCCGCGGCCGCGAACTAACACTCAGCGGCTGCGCCTTCGGATGCGCGTGCGAATGGCCACCAGCACCGTGCGAATGCCGTCCATGCCGTCCACCAGTCCTCGACAGCGATCCCACGTCGTGCTTGCCTACACCATTCATTAGCACCCATCCGACTCATCCCTCTTGTTTCGGGGTTAGTACTCACCATCACAACAAGCCCTCACATTCTCCAACCGATCCGCCTCCCGCTCTTGCCCCTCAATCACCTTCCTCAGATCCTCCGCGCTCTCCGCCGCCACACTGGCGTCGTAAATCCCGCTTTCTCCCGCAGCCGACGTGCGTCCTGAACGTCCGCGGTTCGTCGGTCCAGCGCCGCGAAGCCGTGAAGTCAAGCTGCTGAACCGGCCATTCGACTCGCGCCTCGTGGTGCCGTGGCGAGTGGTCGCGGTGCCGGAATCAGACTGTTTCGTGGTCAAGGTAGGAGGGGATTGCGGGGTGGTCGTGCGAGCAGCGGCGGCGGACTGGCGCTGCGCGAGACTCGAAGCCGCGCGGTTGCGTTCCGGGCTGCTGTTGCGCGTGGTGCGGGAGTTGTAGCTACTTAAGCTAACGCGGCTCTGGCTGCGGGCGCCGGTGCCGGTGAAGCGGGAGATGCTTCTGCGGATACTATTCCCAACACCTGGATTAAACTCATCAATGTCTTCTTGGTTGATGGCGTCTTCGGCTTCGGATTTTTCCTGCTCGGTGCGCAGGAGGAGGTACGAGAGAGCGTTGAACCAGGTCTCGTGGCGCTGGCTCGTTGGGGCGGTGAAGACTATCTCGCGGCCAGGCGTGACGACGATGAGAGATTTGCGGTGCAGGCCGGGCGGGTATGCGTTGTCGTCTGTGATGACGCGGACGGCGTCGATGGCGACGCTCTTGGCTTTGAGCATGTCGCGGCCGGCGGTGCTGGGGTCCTTTTCGCTCCAGTAGAGCGTCCGGGTGTAGGGGTGCACCCAGAAGAAGCGTCTATGACGGGTGGAAGAGGTCTCGCTGCGGCCGGCTTTGCGTGTGTACTTCCAGAGATACTCGCCGATCATAGTCTGCGTGATGGCTTGGATCATGCGTGGGTCTGTCGCCGGCGCTACACCATCTGGGTACATGAGGGCTCCACGCTGCATGTTGAACCGCTCGTCCAACTCTGAGGCGAACGATGACATCGACGTGCGCCTCGAAACACCAGAAGGAGCAGGACTATGCAGATTCTGACTGCTGCTCGGTCTCGGGGCGCGAGGTGTGGTCCCATCCCTCGACATCGTCCTCCCAGCCTCAGCAGGCGTACGCGGGCGATTCTGCTTGTACGCCGAAGCCGGCATGAGTGGTGGACCCATCGAGCCAGCGTTAGCAGTAGACGGCGCTGCAGGAACTTTACCGCCTGCAGCGACGATCTTCTGCGTGTGATTCTCCGGAAGTGGTGGCGGTACAGAAGCCATCTTGCGCATGCTGCCAGAGCTTGCGGGCCTCCTAGGCGTTCGGATGGCGTTCGGATCGGCAGGCACAGCACCGTCGATGGACTTGCGGCGGGAGTCCGGTCTGATGGCTGTTGACGGCCGCGATGGCGAAGAAGTGAGCTCATTGATAGCACCACCTGCCGCCGCTCCAGCAAGAGCACCGCCGGCGAGACCAGCAGCACCAACTCCTGCTTTGCTCTTCAGCATGTTCTCAATGTCGTCACCAGACACCGCAGTCTGCGACCCCTCATCCGCCACCGGCTTCTTAATGGACAACGGTTTCGGGATGGCACTCTCGTTCGACACGGTGTTGCTCGAGATCTCACCAAGCGCAGGTCGCAGGCGATCGGTTTCCTCCGTCTTGAGGTCACCAGTGCCGTCGAGCGAGCGGGGAGTCTCAGCCGTAGCGAAGAAGCCTGCGCCGACTCGCGACCTATCAGTGCCTGGAATACCATCTCGTTCCACGGAAATGCCCTCGGAATCGTGCATAGCGCTCAGGCGCTTTGAGCTGCGGTCCGGTAGAAGTGGCGTCGATGAGATTGGACCCTCAGAGACTGACACTTGAGGTTCAAAGGCCTGCGCGTGGATGGATGAGAAGTCCAAGTTCTCTTTATCCTCAGCACGAACAGCCAATGGAGCAGCAGCAGCAAGAGGAACAGCAGGTTCTGCAGCGGCGGCAGTAACGTCCCGCAGCTCTCTGCTGGTCTCTGGACGTGGTGGCGAGATCGGCTCCGTCTCCTGCGATACGATGCTGGACTGCTCAAGCTGCACCGGAGTCGAGGCCTCCGGCTCTTTGAACATCGTGACTGGGCGCTCTGCCTCCTTGGCTGTCTCAGCCGGTGCTCCAGACTCAGCCTGCGCATCCTCCGACTCCTCGCTCTTACTCCTCCCAAAGCGACCAAGGCCAAAGCCAGCGAGCGCACCGCCGACAACCTCACCAGCCCGCTCACGCAAGCCGTGCTTCTCAGTGGCAGGCTCTGGCTCCCAAGGCTCGGTCATTACACCAGCATCGGCGTACTGAGGCTTATTGATGGCAGACTCATGCGCCAACATCGCAGCATTCGACTGGTGCGCCAAGTATGCATCTTCACCGTCAGGTGGTGGAGACTCGATGCTCTTGATCGGGCTGCCGATCTCAGGCTCTTCACTGCCTTCTCGACCAGGTGTGAGAGGCTCAACGGAGATATGTCGCTGCGTGTCTGGCGTCGGGGCTTCTGAGCCGATGCTCCTGCTTGGTGTACCTTCCATGCTATCGTCGTCCAATGCATCAAGCTCGTCTCCGAGAGTCTGACCAGTAGGCTGCGGCGTGCCATTGCTGGAGGCAGGGCTGTATTGCATACCCGGACTGTCGCTAGCAAGATCGCCAACACGTCCGCGCCTGCTGCCCTTGTTGTTGAGATTCCGGATGCGGTACTTGGGCGCTTGCGCTTGGATCGGCGTGCGAACTTCGTCGGCTTCATCTTCTGTCGAAGCAGTCGACTGGAATGAGCGGCGGTCGCGAGGTTTGGCCCCTGCAAGACCCGAGACCTTGCGAATAGTGCCACCTCGATTGATGCCACTTTCAGTCTCAGTGAGCTCATCGCTGTCGTCACCCATGCTCTCGCGGCCGGTTTCAAAGGCATCCGTTGTAGTGCCCTCACGCTCGGTGGCCGTCTCAAAGGCCGCATCGGTGCTCTCGGTATCTTCGCCTCCATATGCATGATCGAAGGCAGCAGTACCAGCTGCGCCAGCAAGCGCTCCACCAACAGCAGCTGAAGCTGTCCTGGACTTGCTTGGAGTGTGGGCGCCCTCGTGATCCTCCCAATCCGGCTCATCTTCCAAGATCTCTGTAGTGCTGCCGCGGTTCGCGCCCAGTGGTCGTGCAGGCTTGCGGAACTGTCCGCCACTCTGGTTGTCACTGCGTCGCTTTTTGGCCAAGCTACCAGCGCCGCCCTCATTGCGCCTCGCCTCTAGCTCGTCACGCGTGTCTTGTAGCATCCGCTTCAGCTCAATCTTCTCGGTCTTCTCGCGATGGATGTTGTTCTTGAGATTCTGGATCATGCGGTGCGCGTGATTGAGGCTGGACTTGAGAGTCTCGGATTCGAGCATGCCGTGGCGGGGGGTGCCCTTGACCGGCGAAGCAGGCTCCGAGTGCTCTGGTGTACTATCACCACCGCGTTGATCCTCATCCGCCGTCGCAAACTCCGTATCAGTCGCTGTACTTGGCTGGTTCCAGCGGTAAGCGACAGCCTTGGCCAACTCCGAGTTTTGCGAATTGAGCTCCTCGATCCGCTTCTGTAGCTTGCTCTTCTCGGATTCATGGTTGGCTACATCCCGCCGCAAGCCATGAAGATCTCCCTCATGCTGCCTCTTGATAGTCGCGTGCTCCTCAGCCAGCCTCTCGTGCGACACCTTCAAATCGTCCAGATCACGCTGGGCAGCCGATTTGGCAGACTCGTTGGTCTTCAGATTCTGTGTGAGCCGCTGCTCCTTGTCCGTAGACTCCTTGAAGCTCGCCTCCAGCGCTTGCAGACGCATCTCCAGGTTCCAGTTCTCATCTTTGTAGCGATGCTCGCTCTCGTCCATCTGCTTGATGCGCTGCACCATGCCGGCCGCCTCAGCTTCCAGATGCGCCTTTGAAGATGATGAATCCTTGAGCTCTTCGTCCTTCTCAGCTAGAGCCGCCTGCAACTGTCTGACCTGAGCGAGCAGAGAGGTACTAATCTCGGTAGCAAACTCAATGTCGTGGACGCGGTTGCTGGGCTGGTTTCGTTGCCTTCTTGAGGATGGTGGAGCCATCTTAGTAGGCGATTCGCGGCCTGAGCCTGTCAAGGCGGACGGTGTAGCAGTAGGCTCGAGTACATTGCTGCCGGTTCGCGCTTTGGGTAGGAACGCGCGCGCCGACTCTTTGCCGACTTCGTTGTACTCCTTCTCCAGTTCTGCCAGCTTCTTGCGCAGCTCTTGCGGCACCTCATCATCCTGCTGCATCTCATCCAGGTCCTTCAGCCGTGCTGACAGGTCTTTCCGTTGCTGAACAAGTGTATTGCCGAGTCGCGAGGCATCCTGCAGTCGCCGGTCGGTGTCTTTAAGATGCGCCTCGAGCGCTCTCTTCGCTTGCGATGGCGAGCCGTTGGAGTACATGGAGAACTGCTCGGTATCGAAGGGCGCGAACCGCATGGCTGCCGAATTGGCGGTGGCTGATGTGATGAATGGGTCGGACATGCCATTCGCGGGTGTGGCGCCGGGCGGTGGGTTGGCGGTGGTCGCCATGGTGGTATGGTAGGTGTAATCCTAGGGAAATGATGAAGAGAAGGGAATTGGCGACACGAGCAAGGGGAGGGAGCGGCAAGCTGCAGCTACGCGCCTCGAGCACCCGACCCGGGATCGAGGGCCTGTACTGGTGGATTCCCGTGATCTTGCAGCAAAGGCGGAGGGGTGTGTTGCACAGCGGCGGGGAGTAGGTGTTGTTTATTGGGGCGGCAGATCAGCCCATGCCATCCCCGCAGCAGCGCCCAATGTCTCCACTATCGCCAGCACGTGTCAGCAACAAACAGAAGGAAAACAATGGTAATAGAACAGGTCGGGAGAGAAGCGAAAGGCGGTGGCGGCACTGCTGGTGTTGCTGGTGGTGTTGGCGGCGGTGAAGCACATCATGCGTGTTTTCAAGGAAGAGAGTCGGATCAACAACGCCAGCCTGGGCCGACGCTGATTGGTCGCTCCCTTCACCTGCATTGCGCCATCACATGATATCGAGAAATATACATTCACTTGCTAGACCGTATACGGCAACTACGTGATCTCCAAGCCGTTCATATGATATACCAGGTACTTTCCAGTCTTCTCCAATCCAAGTGTTGACCCTCCGGTACGAGATAGATCCAGGTAGTACTCCGTAGCGTGAGATAGACTCCCGGACCGGAGATCGAAGCTTGTCGTCGTGGCGCATTACTCAGCCCTATGAGACAAGCGAGGCTTGAACATTTCGACCTCACTTTCATGTGAAGAAACCCATACCACCACACAGCCCCAACAACCATGGCAGACGTCGCCCCCTCCTTCAAAAAACGCACCAACAAATCCACCGCCCGCAAGCGCCCCGCCACCCCACCCCCCGAAGACTCCTCAGACACCTACACCTCCTCCTCAGACGAGTCCGGCCACCCCATCAAGCGCCGCAAGAAGGAAGGCGTCAAAGTCACCACCGCCGGTCCCCAACGCCCGCAAGACCTCTCCAAATCCACAAAATACTCCGCCGACCGCACCAAAACCATCACGACCCTCGACGACGCCACAAAGACCTCCAACTGGAACACCAGCACCTCCGACGCCGCCGAGACGGCCCGAGCGACCGCGCGACCGCAGCAGGAAGCCCAGGCTGAAGAGAGCAATGGCGCGTACAAGGGCTCAGCGAACTACAGCTCCTACATCCAGAAGAACCCCGACACATCGACTCGGCAAGTTGGGCCCGTGAAAGCGCCTACGAACGTCCGCACTATTACAGTAACGGACTTCGCGCCGGATGTGTGTAAGGACTACAAACAAACCGGCTTCTGCGGCTTCGGCGACAGCTGCAAATTCCTGCACGCCCGCGAGGACTACAAGCAAGGCTGGCAGCTCGACAAGGAGTGGGAGAAAGTCGGCTCCAAAAATACCACCTCCTCTTCCACCTCCAAACCCGGACAAGAAGACATGGACGACGAAGAAAAACTCCTCGAAAGCATCCCCTTCGCCTGCATCATCTGCAAAGAGCCTTACAAGATGCCCGTAGTGACGAAGTGCGGACATTACTTTTGTGAAAAGTGCGCGATGACGAGGTATATGAAGGAGAAGAAAAGGACGTGTGCGAATTGCGGGGCGGATACGGCCGGGACGTTCAATGTGGCGCGGAAGTTGAAGGAGTTGCTTGAGAAGAAGAGGAGGAGGGTGGAGGAGAGGAGACAGCTGCAGAGGGAGAAGGGGGAGGATGTTAGTGGGGATGAGGAGGAGGGTGGGGGTTAGTGTAAGTATGCAAATGAAGCAAGCACTTATCCAAAAACACCCTGATCGAGCGTCCGAACTTCCAAAGCCAGCAGAAAGTCTCCGCCGCGGAAGATTCCTGGGCCTGCGAAGCAACAGACGATTCAAATTTCTGCGCGCGCTGCTCCAAGACGAGGATGGCAAAAACGATTTAAAGAAATCCACGAGACCACCACATCGTCCAATTCTACCTGAGGAGAGGTTCGAACTCCCGTTTCCGCCACCACTCCACGGCGCACCAGTCGAGAGAACCGAGCCGCAACCAGGTTTCCGGTAACGCGGAGGGTTAGCGGCGTACTGACCGACTTTACTACCCAAGCTGGAAGGTGTTTTTTGGGAATCACGCTTTATAGGTCTATGTTGGGGCCGGGCATGTGAAAGGGAGACTTGGTGAAGGCAAAAGGATGCGGAGGGCACTGAGAATGTACGTGGAGCGACGGGAGAAATGGGAATGCACAGACACTTCGACGAAATGTTAAGTACTTTCCCCACAGAAAGGTACATCCACCTCTACCGACCTCGTCTCAAACACCCACCCCAACCCAAAGCGGAAGGTCCTCACATGAGAAAAAGACATAAGAAATTGAGGCAACACGCAAGAAGAAGTCCATCTAGACAGGTGGTCGGCAATCTATTCGGTCGGTCCGCAGACAGTGGAATGAGCGGATTCATGAGAGTACGAATTGTTGAGGGGATTCATGAAGGGTGAAGATTTACGGGGCTGGGAGGCTTGGGGTGGGCCGAGCGGGGGAGAGGAGAGGAGGATGAATTGAGGTTGCCGGAAGAGGACGGGGTGGACTGACGTTTGGTTTACTAACTCCCACCACCGCAGTCGGGGGCGGAGGGCGGAGGGACCAAGAATGCAAGATGCCCGGCGAAAGGTTGCCATGGCTGCAAACAAGGAGACCGTTCGCTCGCCTTCTTCTCGTCCGGCGTCGACTTGACTTCACTCACCATCAGCCCGAAAGCGGAAGCAGCCTCTTCAGAGTCGAGGAGCATAGGAGAACGCTCCAAGCTGCGGAGCGGAACATGACTGGCTGCGACGAGGACTGCGCTAGCTGGCGTCCATATACTGGCCGACAACGGAAGCTGCACACGAGGCGCTTCCCTGAGCTGGGAGACTTCACTTTATCACCATTCGCGGATCGTGAGTGGTCAGGAGGGTTACCGCGCTAGTTGGCGTTCAGTTGCATGTGACAGCGGCAGATGCTCAAGCCTCACCATAACAGCAGAAGAAAAATGAGAGAGTGATTCCCGTCTCCTTCAGGGGTGTTCATTTGCTTCCTTGCGGTTCTGTCGTTTCTTAGTTCTGTCTCAGCGGCGGATGAGGTGATGTGGACGGGATGATCATGAGGAGAACGGATTCGCGGTGTCCTCTTTGATGGCGGCGCACACTACTTGGACATCTCTCGTCAATGACCGTGCGCTTTCTATGGGGGCATCCTCCGGTCTGGTCTCTCGTTCGGTCTCCTGGTCACTTCAAAATCAACCGGTGTGCCTCCGTCAGCATAATAAGACAACCTCAGAGGTGTTTTCAAAAAGCCAATGATCAAAAACTGAAACAGCATTGCAGGAGTCGAACTTATTGCCCAGGGGAGAAGTCGAATCTTCCGTCTCCGCCGATGTTGACCTGGCAACAATAATTGCACAGCACGTGGCGTCGATCAACGCACACTGCCAACAAAGGGGTGTACTGACCACTGTACTACCTGAGCCGGAAGACGCTTTTTTGAAGATTGCATATAAAGGTTCATGGTTTCGTGCATGTGACTGCTGAGACTTGTGCAATCAGCCGCTCCGAGCAATACGAACGAGGCTCTTCGCTGGCTCCAGCCGATCACCCTACCTCCGCGCAGATTGGAAAACGATCACTCTATACCCTTCTATGAGATCAAGCGCTCTGGAGCTCCTCCGCGTGCTTCAGTCCTCGACCCAGTAAGACCAAGCCGACCCAAAAGAGGTAAAAGAAGTCTTCATCATACCGCCACCGCGCACAAAAATGATTTAAAAAGAGTGTCCAGGGGGAGGGCTCGAACTCTCCGTCTCCACCGTATGTGACAGCTCGCAATGTGTCACCAGCGGCTAAACACAGGCGTGACCGCCACATGAAGCCTGCTGCAAGGACCGCTCGGCGTCAAACATCGGCTGGTGTACTGACCTGCTGTACTACCCGGGCCGAAAGGCAATGATCGAGACGGAATATAGAGGTTCATGGCGGCCTGCAGAATGGGGTGTCGCCAGGGCGGTGTGCTGGGCGGGGGTCGCACTCTGGACACCAACAGACGGTGGGCGTTGTTCGTGCAGGCGAGACAGGAACTTGCAGTGGTTTGCGAACGGTCTTCAGGGACTCCCGAGATGTGAACTGCAATCTTCGGAGATGACGTATCTGTTCTATAACCTCGTGACATGCAGGGTATCGATAGCCTGGAGACGAACGGTCGGCAGCCAGATCAGACGGGTATGGAAAATATGTTGGCTCGTCTGCGGTTAGCACGGTTCTCAGTGATCATTTATCCTCACTCGCACTACCCATATAGTCATAAGCTGCTGGGGCTAATGATTATGTGGGAAAGTTGTCGTTGGACGTATTGTATCTCAAGATCAATCGAGTGCTATTCAGGCCACACTGTACACGCATGTACCTTCATGTTGTATTGCGACGTCCAGACAGCGATCCCTAGAAGAAGAAGTCGGCAAAAAGTAGTGCCGGAGCGTTCCAAATTCGGAAGTGCGTCTGACGCAGGAGGTGGAGGTGGTTCTTCCTTCCTTTCTCCTTCCCCTCCCACGTCGTATGAGCTCAATACGACGAACAGGGTTGTAGGCGGCACCGGCAGCTAGGTCTGAGTCTGGTTGGACCTGTGCTGCGCATCAACGCGTGATGCATATGCATGCCCTACCTCAGTACAACCGAGGCACGATGACTGTATACGAGCGAGGGTTTAGTAACCACACGCTGGCAAAGAGTACGCCCGTATGGCAGATCTAGCAGCTCAGATGGTCTGCTGATGAAGGACAAGCACTTCCGGCGGGGACCAAACTCTCTTCCGCCGGCACTTCACAGCTAAGGTGCTGGAAGGATAGCTTCAGCTCTGGAGCAAGCTGACGGAGAGACGGAGGTAAGTATGTTGTGGTGAGTCCGTTGCACTGCACTTCTCAGAGGATCCTTTCCTTACCTCTTCCACTTGTCAATCCGGAAAGTTCGTAGGTGACAAGCATACATCAACATGGACGACACACTCTCACCCGACTACCTGGTCATCGGCGCTGGCGCTATGGGGATGGCTTTTGTGGACACTCTTCTCAGCGACACGAAAGCCACCATCGCTATAGTCGACCGCTACGCACGCCCTGGAGGCCACTGGACCATTGCATATCCCTATGTACGACTCCATCAACCGTCTGCTTTCTACGGCGTCAACTCTCGTCCTCTTGGCGAAGATAGGATCGATCAAGTTGGCTGGAACAAAGGTCTCTCTGAACTCGCGACGCGGGATGAAGTTTGCTCGTACTTCAGTATCGTCATGGAACAGACGTTCCTGCCATCTGGACGTGTGGAGTACTACCCCAAGCACGAGTATGTTGGGGAGGGTCAATTCCGCTCCGTCTTGACGAACCAGATCTTCCGAGTTGGCGAGAAGACCCGGATCGTGGATGCGACGTGGATGCGCGTCAAAGTGCCTGCGATGGGCCCGCCTGCTTACGAGGTGGCCGACGATGTTACTCTCATCCCACCAAACGACCTGCCGAAGATCACACGGCCATGGGGTGGCTATACTGTGATTGGTGCCGGCAAGACAGGTATCGATGCTTGTCTATGGCTGTTGGCGCACGGGGTGGACCCGCAGCTCATCTCCTGGATCGTGCCGCGAGACAGTTGGCTACTCGAGCGCGGCGGCATCCAGCCTGGATTAGCGTTTGCGCAGAAGACTGCAGCCAGTGTAGGCGCCATCGCTCAGGCCACGATGGAAGCTTCGTCGCCAGAAGACTGGTTCCTCCGGATGGAAGCCGCTGAACAGGTGGTGCGGCTGACTGATTCAGTCTGGCCAACCATGTTCCGATGCGCCACCGTGTCGCTCGCCGAGCTTGAACAGATCAAGAAGATCAAAAACATTATCCGCCAGGGTCGAGTCGTCCGTATAGGGACGAATGAGGTGATGATGGAGCAGGACTCCTACATCCCAGTACCGGACACTCTGTACACCGACTGCTCAGCAGACGCCCTCGCCAAACTCGAGCCCGTCCCCGTGTTCAGAGGCCGCAACATCACTCTCCAGTCTGTCCGCTACTGCCAACAAGTCTTCAGCGCCGCCTTCATCGCCCACGCAGAAGCCACGTACGACGACGACAGCAAGAAGAACGAGCTATGTCGAGTCATCCCACATCCGGACGAGGCGATGGATTTCCTAATCGTCAGCCTGCAGAGCCATCGGAACGGCCTGAGATGGGCCGCGCACCCGAAGACTGCTGCGTGGCTGTCTCAAGCACGATTAGATTGGTTTGGTAAATTTGCTCCGACTCCTCCTGAAGACCCGGCGCAAGCGGTAGAGTTTCAGAAAGTTATGAGGCAGCGCGTGGAAGGGTTGTGTGCGAAGCTTGAGCAACTGATTTCTCAGGTGCCTGGGAAGGATGCCGCGAGGGCGAAGGCTCAGTTGGCGAGGTTCTAGTTTGTATGCGAACAGACATTCAGCAGAAGAAAGCGTTGTTTTGGTGTGACAAGAAAGCTATCCACCTGTACTGCCATTCTGGAGATCGCACACTGTCATCACTACTTGCATTCTGGCGCGATCACTCGCCGTTTGCAACTAGCATAGTAATGTACTCAGTAGTTGAACCATCACTTGTTCTACCAGCATTGCTCTGATCTCGGCCACCGTCGAATGGTTTATGGGACTCATTGAGGGTTGATTTCGATATCGAAAGGAATACCCGCAGGAGATATAGATGAGCTGCATACTATACACTTCTTCACCACAATGTCCTACGTGGCATGCCACGTATATGCAAACCTCCCCAACAACACCCAATCATGAGCCAGACCAAGCGAGACCCATGCAGGTGAGGTCGAGCTCGTTCTCGATCGTCACTGCAGAAAGATCTTCGCCCGGCAGCCCCACCACGCTTTCTGACGGACGCAAATCCGACGACATTGAAAAACAAAAATTCTTGCAGCCGTCCGTTTCTTCTGTTGTCTTACCAACATCTTCTCTCTGAGTAGACGATTAAAAGTGAACGACTTCAGAGCTTTGCGTTCACTTACCACCCGAAAAGCTCCGATTGTGTGATTGGATATCCATTGCTTCAATACAGTTCATACTGAGGCATAAATTTTTATTCTACGACAACGAACAGACGGATCGATCTCGACATGTCGAAAGCGCCGGTAGTCGACGAGCGTCGCGCCTCGCTGGCCAACGATGCGGAGATCACGACATCATCAGCGCCCGTTGAGCGCGTCTCAGTCCGACCCAAGGGCACTTCTTCCTCTCCTGAAGGCTCTCCCAGCTCCTCATCATCCCACGGCGAGCGCTCCCACGGCGTGGTCGAGATGATGAGCCCCACCACCTCTGACGACCGACAACAGCCGATTCAGATCACCACCGAAGAAGCCGACAGGAAGAAAGGCCGCTTCGGCTACCTCAAGACCAAACAATTCTGGATCGTCCTCCTACTTTCTCAGGCGCTGGCCGTCACCATCACTGGCACGAACACGCTCTCCTCTCTCCTCGTTGCAGAGGAGTTCTCGATCCCGGCGTTCCAGACTCTGTTCAACTACGCTCTTTTGAACCTCATCTACACTTCTTTCACGCTGTACAAGTACGGCTTCAAGCGCTGGACCCAACTCCTCTGGAAGGACGGCTGGCGCTACTTCATCCTTGCATTCTTTGATGTGGAAGGAAATTACTTTACCGTGCTGGCTTACCGGTACACCACGATCTTGTCTGCACAGCTGATCAACTTCTGGGCCATCGCGGTCGTGGTCATCATCTCGCTCATCTTCCTCAAAGTGCGCTACCACATTGCGCAATACGTCGGTATTCTGATCTGCTGCGGTGGGCTCGGTATCCTCGTCGCCTCCGACCACATCAGCGGATCCAACCAGTATCCGGCGGCGGACGCGGTGAAAGGAGACCTCTTTGCCCTGCTCGGCGCGACCTTCTACGGCCTGTCGAACGTCTTCGAGGAGTTCCTCGTCAGCAAGCGCCCGTTGTACGAAGTCATCGGGCAGCTAGCATTCTGGGCGTTGCCGATTAACGGTGTTCAAGCCGCCATCTTCGACCGAAACCAGATCAAGAACGCACGCTGGAGCGGCAAAATCGGCGGCTACCTGACCGGCTACACGCTCATCTTGTCCTGGTTCTACTCCGCCACGCCGGTCGTCTTCCGCATGGCTTCCGCGGCCTTCTTCAACATCGGTCTCCTGACCGGCAACTTTTGGGGTGTAGTTGTGGGAACCCAAGTCTTCCATTTGCATATCCACTGGATGTATCCGATCGCTTTTGTTCTGATCATGGGCGGGCACTTTGTGTATTATGGCACGGAGGGCGTGTTGGGCGAGGCGAAGAAGCCATGGCTTGGGCAGAACCAGGAGGGTGGTGATGACGGGCTTGGGACTGCGAGGCGACAGTTGGAGAATCCGAATGCGATTGTGTAGATAGCTGTTGCGCTGGTGTTGGACGACGGAAACGAGCAGATGAGCACACGGCCGGAATCTTGATGCGAAATGTCTTAATGTCCGCCTCCGAGCTCATACAGCCACTGGAATCGATTTTGAAGCATTTCCGAACACACCGCTGTATTCTCCCACCGTGCGCAATCCTCCTCGTGCCACGAATCTCGCTCCATCGCGTCTTTTCGCCCCAGTCACGTGACTTGGTCATCTCGAGAAACTCTCCCTCGCGCAGCTCTTCGACCATCGTGCGCACATTTCCTCCCCCGGCCGTCGACGGTGAGGTCGCGATAAGGTACGCCGATGCTCTGTCACCTCGTGGCCTGAAAAACTTTCGATGCAGGCGGAACCAGAGTCTTGCTGACACATGGTGGTAATCTCGGTCCGCTGGCTCGTCTCGTACCTTGTTCTGACGACAGCGGAAGGGGTGTCTAATGGCAGCGTTAGCATATTCGAGTTCAACGCTTTGTTGTGCATCGAAATTGGGCCAGAGAGGATGTGTATGAGATTTTGAGCGCGATGGGAGCGACGTGGATGCAGATGGAAGGGCAGAAAGAGGCGGTTTTGAGTTTCTTAGCGTATGTGCCTGGAAGCCTGCATGAAGGTGTGGGATGGCAGCAATGGAGACGAGAATACGGTGGTCGTGAAGTAGAAAGAGACAATCGCAGATGTGCAGAAGATGTAGAGAGAGATGAAGTGGTGTAGATTTCAGAATTAAGCTACGGAAGGACGTTGCGCCGAAACTGTGGCAGATGTGGCAGAATCTTCGGAGTCGCTGCCCTTCCGCTCGCCTCCAACCATGCCGCAGACTGCTTGCTTTGTGCATCTGCACAATCTCCATAGTGCAGCCATGAACGTCCCAATATCGCTCTGTAGATGCAGGCCATCTCGACAGACCTCACCGTTCTGCCTGATCGTTCCTGTGTGATCGTGGCATTGCCCCTTTGACCTCCTAGTCCAAATGAGGCAGTTCGCCCAATTAGGTCAAGCTCCGTATGCCGGAGGACTGTCGCGGCGGGCGCCATCGCCATCACCATCACCACCATCACACCGCCATAACGAGACAGTGATACTGCCGTCCAACCTTCTCTTCCCATCTTCGTCCTTGCCAACATCCGGCATCGCACCATCGCGCCGTTAGCTTCGACCGATTCAACAGCGCTCCTTCCGCAGGCTTCCACGCTGGGTCGAGCAGGATCTTCCAGCTTTCCAGCCTCCTCGCCTGTGATTCGTGCCTGCCAGCGGACCTGTGGTTGGGATCCACTGACTGAAAAGTGACACTTCTGAGAGCGTTCGACCTTGGTACGCTACTGACGAGAAGACCCTTTTTTCCCAAACGAGCCTGCTCGGTCCGTAAGGTTTTGCACAAGGGGTCCAGTGGACCAGGGTAGGCGCGGTTGGCTTTTTCCGATCGGGATTAGAGTTTGCCTTCCTCATAGCCGTGCCATTTCGACGCATGCTCGCGCCGCCGGCTATCGTAAAATGGCCGTTCAGTATGGCCGTTCGATGCAAGGAGAACAACATCGTAGCCCTGCATCACCGTCAACTGGCGAACGTGAACATTTTCGTCTTGCTCACCTTCTCTGCGACGGCAAGAAGCCACCTCGCGGGCGAGCAGGCACGTCTACATCAAGTCAGGGACTTCTCCGTCCGCAGGTAGTGCTCGAACGAATTGCTCAAACATACTTCGTGAGATCGATACCGGAAGCCCTACGGATGCTCTCATGTGGATCAAACCTCCCAGCTCCACCATGAGTGACTGTGCAAAAGTGACAGTCAGCGCAATTCGCGCCTGAACCGTTGGTTCGATGTCTCAACCAGCGTTGAAACGAAGGGTCTGCTCACGCCAAGAGATATTGGGGACCTGATGCTCGGGTCGCACCCCAGGGTGGAGATTCGCCCTCTCAAGGCTCCTTCTTCGAGTATGAGGTGTAGACAGGCCAATGTACATATGAGTGGCATCGTATGAACGAGCCCTTTCTACTCATGCAACTCTCGTCGTAATCCGATGTGTGTAGCGTCCAATATCCGTCGTTGGAGATGTGCGAAATAGAGTTGGCTGTGAATCGTCCTTCAACTCTGGTACTGTCAGATTTCATAGCGTACCAGACAAGTTGTTACCACAAGCTTTCGAAAGGTGCACAGAAGGGCATAAGATGCTGGCCCCCAGACGCTCATGTCCGCCCATATCACACACATCTGCTTCTGCACAAGACATCAGTCAACTGCTCAAGCAATACACACTCTCACACACAACACTCACACATCAATCACACTCTTCTCTCCCCTCCATCACACTCTTCTCTCTCCCCATCACTCTTCTCTCCCCCCTCACCATCACTCTTCTTTCTCCCTTCACAAATGACCAGCAACAGTCACTCCTCCCTCCTCCCCCTCCAACACCAACGTGACACCATCAGTCACGTTCAACAACATCAACACCTCCTCCTCTTCCTCAAGTGAGTATCCCCTCCCCTCTCCTAACTTCATTCGCTGTACTTGCACCACCCCACTTCACTTCTTCGAGAACATCCACCTCCACACTGACCCCTTCTCGACACTGCACTGCACCCCACACCAGCGCCTCCACGACTGTAGCTGCGGCATCCCAGATGCTCAAGCAGAGAAGCATCGTCACTGTCCTCACCGACATGAAATCTTCTCTCAGCTGCACTCATGGTCGTGCTGCTTGGATCAGCGACTGTAGCTGCGGCATCCCAGATGCTCGACAGCAGAAGCTGGCTGAATCGACTTCGTCGACGACGCCTCTTCTCACAGCTCGAAGTCTTTGAGATGGCATCCCCAGTCGCTGCAGTGGCAGCAACCTCGCTATTCTCCAGGAGAACAAGCGACCGCACCCTCTTTCCATCTATCTTGCCTCATCATCCATTCTCCGCTGTGCAGACTGCTTTCACCCCATTGCGACGAGTGCTAATGTCAGATTCTAGCAACAACAACCCCGAGAACCAGCACCAGCATCACAATGGCTGCCGCAGGTTCATTCTCGGCCGGCTCTAACACCGGACCTTACATTCCGAGCCCGGATTACATGGAATGCCTCAATGAGGGATTCAACATGCTGGCGAGAGAGGGCGAGGCCTCCATCCCGCCCCAGACAATGGCGTCGCCGCCAGTGCGGCTGACGAGCCCTCCCCTTTCGGACATCGACCCCAAGGAGAGGCTCGACACGCCACAAAAGCAGCAGCGTTACAACGCCGAGCTTTGGCAGATCGACAGATCTGTAGAACCCCTCCCCTTCTCGAGCGAGGAGCTCGCGCCGCCGCCGCTGCAGCCACTGATCCCGGCGGACCCCCTCTCCCTCTCGCTGGAGAAGGCGGGTTTCTCTGCGCTCCAACAGGACTTCCTCCGCCAGCTCGGAGCCCTCTCGAACGAGGGGATGATGATGCTGCCACCACTGCCAGGGACGATGGCCTGGCAAATGGTTCGCACCTTGGAGATGACGGTGCGATGGGAGGAATGGGCGGCACTACTTGTGCAGCAGCAGTTCGAAGCCGTCCCGAACAACCAGCCAGTGCTGCCGCCACCGCAGCCACCGATGATGGCCCCACCTCCGGTGGTCCAGCCGGGGAACCAGGCCACCGCCCAGCAGCCGGCCTTCTCGGGCCACATGACCGCGGGAAACGGACTTCGTCGTGGCGTCCAACATCCTCGAAGGCCACAGAAGAAGAAGGCGATCCCTTCTCCAACGCCAGAAGCGGTCGATACGCCTATGGGCGGCTCTGGAGATGCGGCACCACCGCCTCCCCCTAAGAGAATCCGCGCTGCTCAGCACGCGGCCGGCCGGGGCGCTATTCCTGGAGAAAAGCAGGCCATGAAGCATCACAATCTCCGCTGCAGAAAGGCCACTGGGTGCGTTGCGAGCTGTGACCTCCAAGCCAACCACCCTGAGTTCTACGCCATGAAGGTCCGCAAGAACCTTCTGTGGATCCATGAGGTGGAACTGTCCGACGCCCAGCGGGCAAAGCTCAACGAGCAGCACGAGAGGAAAATGTCGAAGGCAAAGAAGTAGTCACCATCAGACTTCTTCTCGACGACCGATATCGCCGGCCCACGTCACATCAACGGCTGTGCTGGCGGCACTCGACCCTCGACCTCGGAGAACCGGCGGAACCCTGGCCCGGACGGGATTTGGAAATGGCACTGGCGCATGGGCGAGAGTGCGGGTGTCTCGACGGGGCGGTCTGACGGCTCATGGTATCATCATCTGCTGTACTGCCGCCATCAAGGGCAGGGTGCTGGAGAAGGAAGGTGACCGTCCCGTCGGGCTGGAGGATGGGGGTGCTCCGGAGAAGGTGCTGGATGGAATCGTCGCCGGCCAAGTGGAGGATCAAGTTGGAAGGGGGGTCACCTCAAGGGCGAATGGATCTCGAGGATCCTGATGGCGACATGCTGCCCCGTCCGCGGCTGGTGAAGAGCTTGGTTCATGGTCAAGAGCTTGGGCACACCGATGTGCACCTTCTCCGGAGAGTGGATGGATGGATGGTTGGCTCCTCGACGATTCGATCGATCGGCATTACGGCGGAATCACGGCGGCTCGAGTGGTGGTGGAGTGGAGGGTGGTGGATCTTGTTTTCTCTTCTGCTTCTTGTTTTTTGCTTCTTGTGTCGGAGTTGGAGTTTGGGCTGGGCTGGGTTTTCGGATTGGAGTGGTATTTGGAAGCCACAGTGCGATACTTTTCTTAACATATCTCTTCAAAGCACATCATTAAACACCATTACTGATCCCATCCTCACTGCTTACAATCCGCCTTGTATCGCGAATGATGACAGAATCAATACCAGTGAGTTGATAATGCCCCATGAAAGCGGTATCCAAGTTGACATTCGGAAGTACCCAGCAGTGTACACGCCACTCAGTCTAGGTAGAGTCAGCATTACGCAGCGCCTGGAGAGGACTATCATGATGCCGTCGACTATGAGTCAGACTTACAGACCACCCACGACGTTGCCAGCGATAAGGGCTTCGATGCCGCCAATAACCAGGTAGATGATGGGCACCACCCAGATGACCTTCCAATTTCGATACTGAATCACACAGGCATAGCCAGCTGCCGCCATGTGCACGCCCACGACGCAGATGAGGGTCCAGAAGAGTGTGAAGCGCCACATGGAGTGGCCATCGTAGAGATATGCGGTCTGCTCGCCGCTGACGGGGAAGGGCCAGTAGAGGGATGGGAACGGCGGTGGAGAATATCCAAGCGGTGTTGGGTCGACCTTGTTCTTCAAGAACTCACTGAATAGCAGTGTTAGCGATCTGCTGGTGTACATATGGCTTGGATCTCTTACACCATTTTTGCGGACGCTCACTGTCACATGCTGAAATGGAGGTTGAAGCTTTGGGACCAGTACTCCGTCACCTCATCATTTGACGCCTCGTGCTCTTCGCTGCCATCTCCAGCGCAGCCAAAGATGATATTGTCGCCTTCTTGCCACTCCAGGAGATGCCGTTGAAGGTCGCTGCCGCCTTACCGCATACCCCCTGCCCACTCGTGCGTTCTTGGCATTGCCGCTACTTCCTGTTTTGGATGGAAAAGTGGGCCTTCGCTGACCTCCGCCGAGGCATTTACTCACGTCGATTACCACGACTGCATCGCATCACACATCGCCGAAGGCAGAGAATAACTACCTGGACAACATGCCAGCCGATCGACTGCTTGGGACATTGCTGAGATCTCTGCAGACCTACACTGATCAGCAAGATACTCCACGGTACCGATCCCCACGCGGACTTCATCCCACCCCGTACTGACACGCGCCAGGCTACTCGGAACCGCTTCATCCCTCTTGACGACCCTCAACAACCCACTGAACGTCACGCTGCTGACCAGCCAGCTACTGTCCGCTCCCGCGATCTGGACAGAGCCCGAAGGCCTTCGAACCTCTGTCCGATGCTTAAGCGCCTTTCATTCTGCCACGCAAGCTCTAGTCAAGCATGAGCATGCTCTGCGCGAGAAGTCGGCTGATGCAGACTTTGCAGACCTGCAGCTGGAGCGAACGCTGCCTAAGAATGAATGGGTGAAAGCTGTAATCAGTGGCGCCGACGACCATTCACGGAGATGGCGACATCTACTTGCTCTTGGTGGACTCCTGCTTGGTTTTGGCTCACCAGACGATGGAAATCTATCCAGCAGTATGCGAAGCACCATCGAGAGCGCTTTGGTGACGGCCGCCAACCTCGCCCTGGATGAGACGCCTGAAGAGGACCAATTGGGCTTGGACTCAATCACCCTTGTGCTAAACCATGCCTTCCCATACGTTGCCGACCACGAACGAGCAGGGCTCACCTACGACAGTCTTCTTCCTGTGTTGATTCGATCCGTCTTACATTCTGGCGAAGGCCTTCGCTCTGGATACTTCCTTGGGTCCGTTGACCAAGACGTCCGCCAAGTTTCAAACGACAGATTCCAGTGGCCAGAGCAATCGCGTTCCTTCCAGCAGATCCAAGCAATGCTCAACAGCCCAATCGTGTCGTCGCTCGGGCCATTGTCTCGACTGATAGGTCATGCCATCGAGCAAGTCGACCAGCCCTGGCTCGTTTCGGCTGCGATGGAGGAGATTGTTCAGCTAACTCGCAACATCCATCTACAGTGGCGGCAGACTAAGCTGTCGGAGATTGATGCTTCGGAAGAGAACCTCTTCTTGGACCAGCAAACGCTGGGGAAAACCGTGCCTCAGCTTTGGAAGCTGCTCAGGTCCTTGCTTTTTGCGATAGTAATCATGTTGCGCAGTATTACCGGGAGAATGCTCTGGCATGGCGCATTGGCAAATGACGAAGGTGAGGTGATAATGTTGTTCATGTGTTTCTCACGCTGACCTGAACGACAAGTCGCCCCCAAACTAGCTGCTCAAGCTCTCCATGTGATGCGCAACCTGTACTTCGCGGCGGTCAAGACCGGATCTGCATCGTTCTCGCAGTACACGTTCGCCTACCTGACGGCTATGGACGCTCTTTGCGCTTATCCACCGGAAGTTGAAGCATTCTTGCAGTCGATTCGACCAGCTGAAACCTCCGGCATCCCTCAACACCCTCTCGACCGCAACCTCGATCTCTTCTTCCTCAACACCGCAGAGCACTTCACTTTCGTCGCATCGCCAAAGATCAACGAGGATCTCCTCGCAGCCACAGCATCACGCTACCTGGTAGCAGGCGAAAGCAACCACCTTCTACCAATTTTCGAGGCAGCCCATAGCGGCGTGCTTGCGGTGTTCTCCGCGCCGCAGAACGCGGATATCACCAGACGACACTTGCCATTTTACATCGATGCGTTGTTCGGCGTGTTCCCGGAGAAGGTGTCGGCACGACAATTCCGGCTTGCGTTCAGGACTTTGTTGCGCCTCACCAGTCCGCCCGCTGTGTTGGCTGCCAGCGAGCCCATGCTGAGCGCGACGTTGCTGGAACTGCTAAATGAACGAGCATTAAACGCATCGAGTCAACCTCTGCCGCCGAAACCAGCTGAGCAGAGCTCGGATGCTGATCCACCGGTCGACCTTTCGGAACAAGCCGTACTCGTGCTTACCGTGATCGATACACTACCTCAACTGTCATTGGAGCTTCTGGACGAGTGGCTGCCGCTTGCCGCTCAGCTGGTGAACAGGATCGAAGATCCTGCGATGCGTGAACACTGTAAAGAGTACTACTGGCATACGCTCGTTGGCGGCGAGATGGACCCAGACCGGAGCGGCGTGTGTCACGACTGGTGGAGCACTCGTGGCGGAAGGGAGATGCTGCTATTTGGAGAGAGTGCTGGCGAGGAGCAGGACTTCAGCATGAGTGGCGCTTTGCCGGACGAGGCGAGGGAAAGCAAGTTATGAGGAATGCAGAAGCGCTGCCACGACGGACCAAGTCCGACTGCGACGTCGAGATTCGGACGAAGCGGCACAGAAGAGGCACAGCCTGGCGGGGTTGCTTTGTGCAAGCGCCCATGAACTCCCTCGCCCGTCGCTTTGGCAGCCTTCTCTCCCATCATTCTAAAACGCCAACGTTGTCCGTCAGCACAACTTGACATCCTGCGGATCCAGCAACAACGCCGCAAAGGTGCCGAAGCACCCAAGGCTCTGGTGCCTCATCTCCACACGCTGCGCCGTATAACTTCCCGACCGCTTTCACCAGCATTTAAGAGACGTTCGCAGACCTCGAGATGGACTCATCAGCAACACCTCTCTCGAACTCTTCAGAACATCCAAAAGACGAAACGGTATCCGAGATTCTGACGGACGTTGCAGTCTTCCTGGCCGTCTGTGCAACCGTTGCCGTTCTCGACCTCTGCATCCTCTGGAACAACCAAGATACATTTCACACGATTCTTGCTGCGGTCGTGGGCATCCTCATCCTCCTCTGCTGGAGCGTCGCGCGTGACAATAGGATACGTGCGAATGGTCATACCATTGCCCGAGATCGATCTTAAAGCATTCGAGCAGGGCCGGAACAACAATCTGGAGGAAATCAAGGAGAGGATGATTTGTGCCGAGACAGCTAGATCCATCGCCGAGACATATACCTCGCTGGGTCTACAGACTCTAGCAACCACGACTGTACAGCGCAGGAGTCGAAGCGTGTTCCAACCCGGAAGCCGAGGCATGACGATCGATCAGGGCCGATCGGTTGTCTCGGCACGCCCGCCACACCCCGACCTCGCCTCTAAACCGCGTTGTTAAATCCGACTGCGTTCTCCTAACGCGCACGCAGAGAGTATGGAAGAGGCGAGCTGAAAGATGACTTTCGAATCATTCCCGGCTCTGAGTTGAAATCTCATTCTTACACTGTCCGCCTGACTTCCCTCCACACGCAAGAACTCATCTCATCCGGCAGCGTTGCGACTTCAGTCCTCGGCAAGAGTTCCTTTCACTTCTCCATACCACTCTTCCCTTATCTTCCATTCTAGCCATGGCCGCTCAGGAGGAAGTTGAAGACCGTGCCTTCACCCACCATAGCGACGCAGATTCTGAAGCCGAACGCCGGCCCCGCCCAAGGTCACTCAGATCATGGCGCAGTAGATCCAGCGTTGGCCGCCCACGAACGCGATCGCGAGCTCAAAGCAGAGGAGCGGACGACACAGAACTGCACCCAGTGTTCTCAGCTGGCTTCCACGATGACCATTCGGTATACCACAACGAGCATGATGTTGAGTCGAAAGATGAGGACCTTCAAACCGGTGCAAACGGACCATCCCAGGATGATCTCGAGTCGAACGAGAAGTCTGAGTTCGAGAAGGACAGTAATGATGAGTCCAAGGAGGAAGTGGAAAGCGGAGACCAAGCTCTGGACGAAGGGGACGATCGCAGCGGGCAAAACGCGAACCTTGAGAAGGCTCCATCCATACGCCGACAACAGACGAACAAGTCTACGGCTTCGAAGAAACAGAGGGACCCGAACATGGTGTCCTGGACTGGACCAGATGACCCTGAGAACCCCAAGAACTGGACCGACAAGCGGAAGTGGATAGCAACGTTTGTTGTCTCTTCGTTCACGTTCATATCCCCCGTGGCTTCTTCAATGGTAGCGCCCGCTCTGCCGCAGATGTCACAAGACTTGAATGTCAACACGACGGTGGAGGCTCAGATGATGCTCTCCATCTTCCTGTTGGCGTACGCATTTGGGCCATTATTTCTCGGGCCGCTGTCCGAGCTCTACGGTCGAGTCCCTGTATTGCAGCTAGCGAATCTCATCTTCCTGGTCTTCAATCTCGCATGCGGATTTGCGCAGAACGGCGGTCAGATGATCGTGCTACGCTTCTTTGCCGGGATTGGCGGCTCTGCGCCCCTTGCCATCGGCGGTGGGATACTTGCGGACTGCTTCGCTCCTGAGCAGAGAGGCAAAGCAATCGCAATCTACTCTCTGGCTCCTTTAATCGGACCGGCAGCAGGTCCCGTTGCTGGAGGCTTCATCGCGCAGAACATCAGCTGGAGATGGGTGTTCTGGATAGTGAGTATCGCGGACGCTGCCGTTCAGATCTCTGGATTGTTCTTCTTGCAGGAGACCTGGGCTCCGAAGCTACTCGAGCAGAAAGCGCAGAGGCTCAGGAAGGAGACCGGGAACGAGAAGCTCTACGCTGAGTTCTCCACGCAACAATCACTGGTGAAGAAGCTGGAGACGAGTCTGGCCCGCCCTTTCCGGCTTCTGTTGACCCAACCGATCATCATCGCCCTGGCAGTATACATGGCGTATCTCTACGGGCTCGTCTACCTTGTCATCTCCTCCTTCGCGGCCCTCTATACTTCACCGCAGTACTACGGAGAATCCACTCAAATCGCTGGCCTGCATTACATCGCTCTTGCAATAGGCTATTTCTTCGGCGCCCAACTGACCTCCCGCTTCAACGACTTGCTATACCGTCGGCTCAAGAAGAAAGCCGGCGGTGTTGGCTCGCCGGAATTTCGCATCCCAGTCATGATACCCTGCGCCATCCTACTCCCAGCTGGCCTCTTCTGGTACGGCTGGAGCGCAGAAGCGCGAATCCACTGGATTATGCCGGATATCGGGGCGTGTATTCTGGCTGCTGCTACGATATGCGGGTATCAGTCGATTCAGACGTATGTGATCGATGCTTATACGAAGTACGCTGCTAGCGCTGTTGCGAGTATCACGTTCCTGAGGAGCTTGGCTGGGTTTGGCTTTCCGTTGTTTGCACCGAATCTGTATGATGCGCTGAACTATGGATGGGGCAACTCGGTGCTGGCATTTGTCGCTATTGCAATCGGGGTGCCAGCGCCAGCGTTGTTCTGGAAGTACGGTGCACGGCTCAGAGCGAAGTCGCAGTTCGCGGCTGGCCAGGGATGAGATCGTTGTGATAGACGTAGATAATACAGTACAGCTACAGTGCTCATATCAAATTGGCATTCAGTCGGTTCTATAAAGTCCAAAACCCCAGCCAAACCTCAAGGTGGCCAAACCCAACGCCATTCCTAAGCTGTCGTAGATGACGTTCAGCTTACTGCCCAGAACCTCCTTCCAACCTATCGCGACCTCTACCATAGGGATGTCTGCGCTCTCTGCCAGCATCAGCATCTCAACGTCGAAGATCCAGCCTTCCGAGTGCATGTATGGGACAATGTAGGGTAGCGACGGTCGCGTGAAGAGCTTGAAGCCGCATTGCGTGTCCTTGATCTCGGCGGTGCGTCGTGTAGTGAGAGTCCGGATGAGCAGGTGGAAGAGTCGCATGAGCGTGTTTCTGAGGACCGAGCGCTGCCAAAAAAGATCAGCTCTGACAGTTTTGCGATGTTCTTCGTGCTGCTCACCTTGACGACGGCTTCAGTCCCCACCATGTGTGCTCTTGAGCCCACAGCGACTGCTCGACCAGACTTGTCCTTCGCCTTCTCACAGGCCATAACAAGTTTTCCGAGATCCGTGAATTTGCTGGCACCGTCTGCATCTGCGAATACCACATACGTCCCTCTTGCGTGCCTCATGCCGTGTGTGACCGCACCACCCTTACCTCGATTTTCCTCCAACTGAACCACTCGTATACTTCCAGGTGGTATACTCCCATGGCTCAGCGAGCCATTCCACGGCCCGTGCTGGGCGGCGTGCTTGTTCATCTGATGCGTTCTCGCAAACCACAACGCGGTCTGCACCGTCTTGTCCGTACTGCCATCGCTCACCACGATAATCTCCCACCCTCGCCTGGGGTCTCCTTCTTGCCCAGCAGCTTGCAAACTTCCATTACTCGAACTCTTGCTCTTGGTACCATGATGACCGTAATTCGCCTGCAAATAGTCCACCGCTTCTTCAAGCATGCCGCTCAATCTCTCTTCCTCGTTGTACGCCGGTACAACAAGGCTCATGAATACACCCCCTTCCTCAACCTGGAACGCCTCTGCCCTTTGAATCTTCCCTTCCCGAGCCATGCCTTTGAGGGCGACGTGGTTGTCGTACCAGCATGGTAGCTGCTGCGGTTTCGAAACGTCGCCATTGGAAAGGACTGTAGTATACTGCTTCTCCGAAGTTCTAGGCGGTCTTGGAGAAGGAGCCAGGAACAAGAAGAGTGTATATAGCTGTCGAGAGTCCAGCAGTCAGCAGATGGACTATAGCTCACAACGAAATGTGGTATTGTGTGCACAAGACGAAAGCCCGAACGAGACAGCGGCGAAAAGAGATACCAGCAAAACGATACCAAAAGCACCAATGGCCCCTCCTACCGCCCATACCCATAATGGCACTGCCATTATCCTATCCAACGCGGTCCAGGCGCCTTCGGGGACCGAGTCTGCTGAGTCCATTGTGTGTAGTGGTTGCAGAAAATGTTCGGAAGCCGCCGCTATTGTCTGGTTGAAGAGTGCGACACCATGACCTTCAGACGAGTCCCAATTGCGACAGGATGTCCTTGATATGACTTGGGTGACGTTTGAACGAGCACAGGCATGTGAAGACAACTGTCATTAGATATTTGACAGAAGTCGTTGTATCGGGAGTACTTCTGTCACTCTTGCTTCCGTCTGACATACATCTCTTTGGTACAACGACAACTTCTTGGACACGCATGCTACTGCTATACTGCTCGCAACCGCTATGAAACCAGGCGGTCACATCTTGTCATCATGGAGCAGGTATAGGGCGACCATCGGCGACATGGCCGTGACAGCCAAGATGCGGCTGATCGTTAGCTGACTCGACGGCGACTAGGATACCCACCGTCTGGATGGCAACGCATCTTTATTTCCACTACCATGGCAGGTCAGGGGAGGAGACGTAGGAACGTTGGAGTCTGCGTTGAGTGCAGACAGCATAAGCTCAAATGCGATACAGAAGAAACTCATCCGGCACCCTGCTCAAGATGTCGGGCAAAGAACCTGGACTGCGCCATCGATGCGACGTTCAAGCGGACGCCTGCTCGACAACGCGCTCGAGATATGGCTGCCGAGCTCGAAAGGTTGAGACGCGAACGAACTTGCAGTCAGCACTCTCACAGTCCAGACGCTTTGCCTCTCGTCGAAAACCCAATCTGCAACGGCGAGAGCGCCCTGGACAATCGACTTGTCCGTCTAGACACGTCGGCCGCTGGTATACAACCAGCTCGACTGGGACTGAGCACTTTCAACGAGAGCGCTATCCGGGAGAGATTTCGCATGTTTTATGATCACTTCCATCCATGCCTGCCGATCTTGAGCCCGAACGTCCCGATTGGCACGCTACAGAGGCATAGTCCATTCCTCTTCTGGACCATCATTGCCGTTACTTGTCGTCTGGAGAGGCTACCGGAGCAGGAGATTGCAAGCTTCGAGAGCAGCTACACGTCTCTTGCTCAGAAAGCCAGCATGACAAGTCCGATGACGCTCTACACGATCCAGGCGCTTCTTCTCATCTGCACGTGGCCGCTCACAGCACGCTTTCAGCTAGGTGACCCAAGCTATCTGTATTGCAGCGCGGCGATAGCTGGAGCTGGGTTCTTAAACTTGGATCGCCTGGGCGGAAGACCCAGCCGGAACGGCCGTCAGATGAACAAGGCCGACACCCAGAGCATGTCCAGGACGTGGCTTGGCCTCTTTTGTGTGGCTCCATCTCTTGAGCTGTGGTACGGCACACCCCGTAGCTTTCCTGCCCTTCGAGATCTCAACACCATCAGCATACACATTGAGAGGTCAGAGATTCCCATAGAGCTAGGAGCTGAAGCCACCATGATTTCTATAGGCGCAAGACACAAAGACCTGCTGTCTTCGAATGCCAATATCGCCGAATTGGACAATTTCCTCCAGTTGCAAGAGGCCGAGGTGGATAAAATGGCCACACAATGCGTCGCCTTCTCGTCTCCCCGGCTCCAATTCATTGCTCTTGCCACAAAGTTCCAGCTCTTGACTGCAAGTCTGACTAAAGCTGGCCATGGCGGATGCAGTGCAGACGTTCTCGTCACACCACATAGACTTGACGACGTGATCACAGTCTCGAGTCACATGCTTGATACATACTCTACTATCTTACACGATCATCCTGGTCTGGATTCAGTCAGAAGATTCCGTACACTGCCGAAAAGCTACCACCGCATTCATGCGTATGTAGGGTTCTTCCTGCTGCGATTTTGCTGCACAAACGCTCAGTCTAGCGAACAGAGCAGACAGCACAGCAGACAGATCATAACACGCATGCGCGACCTCTACCAGTCCTGCTCCGAGAACGTAGGTGGCCCTCTAGTTGGAGACGAGCCGGGCAGAGCAGTCCAATGCCTTACTGTTCTGCTTGACGGCTGCGAGAGCGACCTCGACTACGGCAAGAACGAGCGGGACGACTTCCAGGCCAGCTCACTTTTCTGGAACATGCTACAAAGAGCGTACCGACTACGAAGGCGCTCAAAGGCCGACATGGACAAGGCCAGCCAGCCACGACCTCCCGTGAATGCTGTTGCAGGGAATGCTGATCCCTGCAATGCACCCAGTCCTCCTATCGTAATGAACGAAGTCAACAATTCCGGCTTGCTGGGCGAAGCCTTCAACGACAACGCCTTCAGCAACACCATCCAAGATCTCCCAGACTTCGATTGGATATGGGGTCAGCCAAATGGGCTTGACGCTTTCAACTTTGTTTGATTTGAGGGGAGGATATTGTTACAGAGCATTGCTAGGATAAAGTAGGGCCTCCTCGAAACATGTGAGCGGTGACCCAGCAAGCCGAGGAACCATCACCGCGAACTGTACCTGAACGCAGTCTCTTCCATCAGTCTCCGCTCCACCCGCTCCACCACACTCTTATCGTACACTTCCTCCGGCGCCTTGCCCTCCTTCAGGACCTCCTTCTCGTGCCTGACCATCTCATCCTTGGTCATACAGACCAAGCTGTCCAATCGCAGCTCATCCGCCTTCTGCCCCGGTGTTGTCCGATCAACCCAATCACCCTCCGGCTTCCGCCACCTCGCCAGCGCCAATCTACTAGCAAGTCCTGAAATGGCACTGCGGCCGTGGTAGGTCTCCTCGATCAGGTAGCCGACATCATCCGTTGTAACAGGTATGCGCAGGCCGACCGGGTCACACCCGTGATGCTTCGCTACACGTTCTTCGAGTCCTTGCAGTTGCGCCAGAATGCCGTCGTACATCTTATCTCTCGACTTACTTTGCAGATACTCGTGCGGGTAGCCGGAGATCTCCAACATCACGTGGTTCGCCACGCAGAGGCCGAAGACCGCAGGCATGGTTCCAAGTACTGGCAGGATGCGGACTCGGAACTCAGGAAGCACGCCTAGCTCCCCGACGGCGCCTTTTTGGAATTCGTCCTCCGGTAGCGGGAGAAGCTGTGCCTTTCCCGGCCCTGTCTTCTCGGACGAGTAGACGACGGGTATGCCATCTTTGACCCCGAGCAGTCGAAGCTGACGTCTCGTTGACCGTGAGAGAGGGTCCTCTGTTGAGGCTGAGATGTCGCCAATGAAGACTCGGGTCGGATCTGATTTGCAGCCGGCGCCCATTGAAGATATCACGGGGAGCTTGTTGTCGTGACAATATTTTAACAGTGCGACCTTGGACTCGATGTTGTCGATGGCATCGATCACATAGTCAGGTTTTTGTCCGTCCTTCCATGCGCTCAGCTGAGTAGCTGCGACCTGCTCACTGAACAGCTCATTGCGGCAGTCGAAGTGAGTCCAGGGCGTGACCTGCTCGAGTCGTTTTCTTAGGCATAGCACCTTGGGCGTACCGACATCTGCAAGCGTTGCCACGGCATGTCTGTTCAGAGAGCTTAGGGTGACTTGGTCGAAGTCGATTAGTCGAAGCTTCCCGCATCCTGATCGCGCAAGGGCGGCAGTAGCATGTGATCCTACACCTCCACAGCCAACGACGACCACAAAGGCTTTGCGGAGTTTGGCCAAGCCTTCGTCTTTGAGGAAGACGCGGTTGCGTGCGAGCTGTTCCAGGATTAGGCCTAGGTCGTTGTCAGACTTTGATGGTGAGCAGAAATTGATAGATGGCGCACCTTCATCGTAATCTCCCAGTCTTGCTCTCCGCGCAAGAGCAGCACTTCTGTCCGCCTCTGTTGCGTCCGCATTATCCTCCGGAACGGCGCCTCCGAAGTCATTTATCTAGTCTGAAGTCAATCAGCTGCATTCGGGCTCACGAGCATCTCAACACACCTGCTCGACATGGTGCGGTTGGTCAAGCCCGGGTATCGATTCTTTCAGGTCGTATTCGTTGTATTGTTTTCGAGCTTCCTGCAGCCCAATAACTGCGCTCGCCGCAAGACATCCTGAGAGAACCGCTGTGACTGCCAGCTGGACACGATGAGAGCCGGCGATGTCAGAGACCCATGACATCTCTTTCCAGTACGAACCCTGCTGATATATGTTGGTGGCTAATATAACAATGAAGTAGAAGCACGACAGAGTCGCGCTCGGCTTTCATCTGAAGTGGCGTCGGCTGTGGCTGAGATAACGGTCACGTGCTTTCGAAAATGTATTGAGTATATGCACATGTAATATGAATACAGATAGATGTGCATGAGCGTCAAGATACCCTGTAAGATGAAATGCATCGAATTCATGCTCGCAGAGCGTTCTTCATTTGACAAGACGTAAAATCAAACTAGACCGAGCAGAGCAGCTGATCTCGTCAACGACACATCACTGCACTATCCATTTCTGCCTATCACCAACCATGATGCCGTCAAATACATACCACGAGTCATCACCTTCTTCGACGACCACTCTCCGTGTCAGCTCGTCGCAGTCCTCAAGTCTGCTTTTGCCAGCACGGACATCTGCTCTGAATTCATCAAACCCCTTCTTGTTTGCTTCCGTTCGCTCTGCCAGATATGTAGTTGTCGCCGGGTCCAGCTCCTCGAATTTCCCACGGCCCATGATCTCTCCCGAAATTGCGTTTCCATCGCTCGCGCCAACAATCCGCTGAAGCTCCAAAAGTGCTGGGCTCGCCACAGTCTGGTCCAAACGAATCACGACCCCATCTTGGATAGGATTGAGCATAACAGCCGTGCGCAAGATGACTGCGAGAACAGTCCACTCGTTCTTTGACTTGACTCGAGTGCCGTCGAATGCTTCGGCTTCTTGCCACCGGAAGTTGTACCATTTTCCAGTGGTCGGATCGCGGAGATGCGGGCCCCATCTGTCGAGGTAATGAGTTCTGGCGCGAAATACCATGCCAGAGGTGGCGATGTGAAGGCCTTGCTCCGAAAGCTTCATTCCAAATTCCGGAATGCCTCCTACGCAGTCCCAGAGACTCCGAGGTGCCCACTTGAGACCAGAGATGTCCATTGATGGGCATGTGTGCCTGTAAAAACATTCGACGTCAGAGATATGTGTCGAAAGATAATTGGACAACGGCGACTTACCAGAACAGCTTTTCAGGTATGTAAGGAAGTTGCCTGTAAATGTTCGCCGTCCGCATCTGGCCTTCAGCGCTCATCACAGCCTCCATATCAAAACGCATCATGACGGCAAAACAGATCTCCTTGTCCTCCTCGTGTGAGGTTGATCGAGCTCTGATGCCAGATAGCGCAGTCACGAGCTGCCCATCGTCTCTCTCTGCTCCACTTCCCATGATATTCCTGATCGCGCTGCAGCTTTCCTCAAGCACCACGTTGCTTGATTCAGCGCGCATGAGCTTTTTCGACATACTCTCTTCAGCTTCTACTACATTCACCGCTTTGTCCTTGAACTGAACGTAAAGAGAGTTCGCCAGTGCGCCTTCTTGCAGAGTCCACGCACGTCTCATCCAGGCAGAGACAGACACGCGAAAGCATAGTTCCTCGAGAGATCGGTCGATGGTGGAGAAGTGCAACATGGTCCGATCGAGCACTAATACGTTCGTAGCATTCTTGTAGACCTGATACATCAGTTTGATTGCTTTCTTGCGCAGGTCCTTCCGCAGTGGTATCGCCAGGGTGTCCATCCAGAAGTACAGCGGCTCTTTCTTGGAAGACCGCTTCAAGAAGTTCTTGACAGACGACCAGTGTGGATCGACCTGCTCTTGCAAGGAAGCTAGCAAGTGATGGAGGCGCTCTATTTGACATATGGGAAGAGTGTTAGCATGGGGATTCCCAACGCCGTCAGCCCAGACGTGCGAGATGGCGGTGTAGCGTATGGACTTGTGGTAGGGCACGGCCTTAATCTCGAAGCTGGACCCGTCCTTCAACAATGCGATGGATAGCACAGGGTAATTGCCGGCTTCGAGAATGGCCTCCATGTCCGACAGCTGTGGCCCGGAATGCTGGCACGAGGTCTGGTCATGACACGCATCGCTATGTGCAGTGACATATGTGCTTTCGTTGATGTTCTCGGCCATGCAGCGGTCCTCTGTGCACGCCGAATGGTCAATCTGCAGTCCAGCGCTCTCCAAGGACGCACAGTAAAATTGGCCAGTAGCCATGAAGTAACTTTGCAGCCGTTTGGTTCCTGATCTGCACCAGCCCCCTGCTTCGAATCGCTTTCGTACAAGCTCGGTGGAAGGCCAGCCGCCGACTTGCGTCGAGATGAGGTCTGTGTTATCTACTCCACCGATCGCAGAGATACCGCTGTGGTATATCTTCACTTCTTCGAGAGTCAGACCAAGGACGACGATGGAATACGCGATCTCTTCGCTCAAGTTCGACTGCCCCTTTGCTCTGCGCTCCGCGGTGTCAAGGAAGCCCACAGCATCACACGCCTCGCGTAAGCTCTTCTGCACGCGCTCATATTCAGAGAGCCGGTCTTTGCGTGAGAACCTTGGTAGGCTCTTCTGCCACTTGGCTGCCAGTCGTGGCAGACTGGCCGTCGTGATCCTCTTCGCACCCTGATCGATGAACTCCTCACCGTCTGCTCCGAAGAAATCATATAGCAGTCCAAAGAAGAGCCAAGCCTGGAAGAACGCGTCGTGGTCTTCCCACGGCACAGAACAGAAGTCACCCCACTGGAACTCGGTCTTGTCGAAGCCGCATCTCGATGGATACCCGGAAAAGTCGCCTTTGTCAAACTTGTACTTGTCGTAGTATGGTATGGTCAGCGGAGGGAAGGTGGCTCGGATGGGATGCGGCAGGTGGTCCATGCTCGAATTCTGGTGAGGAGATCGTTCCGCTGTCTGATCGAAAGATGAGTTGTTAATCTTTCTCCCTGTCAAGGCTCATCACATGAGGTTCTTGGGGATGATCAATCTTATAGAGACGTCTCGGTCTAGGCGAGACCGAGACTGCATCTGGCAACCATAGCGACGGTCCCCAAAACGTGCATGGCATTGCTGGCGACGGTGAGGCTGATGACTCGTGAAACACCTTATTAACCGCTAGGTACTCGCGCTATGCGCATCACGCCACGGAGAGAACGTGCCTGCAGCTTCAGCGATGTGTCGGCGCGTATTCCCATCTTCTTCAAAATCTTGAGTGAAAGGTATCATGGCCGGTGATGGATCGTTCGAGGGCACGGCAGCATGGCTGCGTGGCCAGTGGTCAAACCCGGGCGACATCTTCACCATCCTCTTGCTCATCGGCGGAGATATCGTGCAGACAGCGATCGCTCAGCTATGCGCCGGTCCAGTACCTGGCCTAACACCGGTCTCATTCTCCTTTGGCTGGGTAGGTGGTGCTTACATCTTCTCCATTCCATCCTTGAATTGACAACGGTCAAGGTCACATACGCAGTTTCCGCCATGCTCTCTGCAGTGGGGAACAACCGACTCATGCCTAGCCCAGAAGTCGATTGCATAATCATCAATGCCAAAAGCGGCTTTGCACGAACGAACTACTCTTGGATCCTTTCCCGGATGCTGCGGGATTTCGACCACTGGAGACCTGCACTGTGCGATCGCCTTGAACAGGAGAAGCTCAACGAGCTCCGAGAAATCAACAGATCAAGTGCAAAGCCTCGGGACGAAGACGAGATCCGAGTGGCCCTACGAGTGTCGGTATGGGAGTGCAATTCCGCCACCGGTAGAGGCAGTGGCGACGTTATCTACTGGATCGGTCTGTTTGTGACTGCTGTTCAATTTGGCATTGCCGCTATTCCATGGGGTCTGTACGGCGAATGGTACACATTCTTCGTCATCGGAGCAGGCACAGCATTGGCTTATGCTGGCGGCGCTCTACCACAGTGGTGGGACGAGAAAGTTGGGATACGTAAGTTAAAGTACACCGATACGACAAAAGAGCGCAAGGATGTTTTTCTCACAGAAGGCAACGGTTCTCATGATGCAATCCTGATCCTAGGCTGTGAAGGAGGTCTGGACCTGGAAGCGCTGGCGGCAAGTCAACGAGAACTACGAAGTCCATGGACCACACGTGTGCTGAGCTTCACTCTGGCTATCTGTTGGATCGCACTACTTATCAGCGTTTCCGGTTGGGAACAACATACTTGGTATGTTCTCGCCGCTGGCATGCTTGGGCTGGTTCACAATGTCATAGTGGCCGGCGTGCCACGACAACCCCAAGCATTTGGCATCGACCTCGTCCACCGGGAGACGATCGTGGAGGGCAAAGTCATGCAGGTCTTACGTCTGGTCGAGGAATCTCACCCCCGAGCAGGCGCGGCATTACTCGAGATCTTCTTCCCGGGAAAACTGTTCCCACGAGAGCAGCTGATGTGGGAGTACGCTGAACGCAGAGCTGAGGCGTGGAAGGAGAATAGCAAGAAAGTAGGACATGTTGCGCGGACAGAAGCGTGGCCGATGCCTCCGCTGCAGTCGCCGCTTCCCAAGAAAGATGGGAAGAAAGACGACAGCGATATACCTGAAAGTGGGCCATACACATACGACGGTGGTCCGAGCAACTGGGACTCTCGCCCACAGGCAGTGTTAGGCGCCAGTCGCCCGTCAAAGGACCATGTAGTAACGGTAGAATAGCATTTGATGGGATGCAGCACTTCTACGCAAGCCAATGTGCTATTTCGATTCACGTGTTCGCGTCGTCCACTGCATCAATGGGTTTTCAATCACCGGTACAGAAGTATCTCTATATCCAGTTCAAGCGTTGGTTCCGATTTCCATCTGATGTGGCGTCAATTGGCTCTAAAAGCGGAATCTTGGCTGTAGGATTGGGCCAGCTGGCACACGAGCTCACCTGTTTGCTCCACTTCCACTTCCATTCTCTTGTTCTCGAGTTGACTTCAAGGCAAAGTTGCCTGTCCCTCTGTTGCGCCGTCGAAACGGCACCGACTATGGCACTCACCAATTTTGCGCCCCTCCGAGGGGCCATCTCCCTACTGCTGGCAGTATGGACACTGGTAGCGTTCGCGCAGGACTCAGATGTCAAGTCCATACCGCTGCGAACGCACAGTCTGCAGAGTGTAACCACATCTTGATTTAAGACGCCTCATACCATAGTCTAACAAAGCATTCCCAGCCCTACCTCGACTCCGACATGCAATCCCGCTGGTTTGACTTCGGCGGCAGCACCCTCATCCGCGCCGACCAATACGTCCGCCTTACCTCCCAACACCCCTCGCAATCCGGCTGGATCTTCTCCCGCGTGCCTCTCACAGCCACCAACTGGGAGATCGAAGTCGAATTCAGCATCTCCGGCACGGGCAATTTATTCGGCGACGGCATGGCGATGTGGGTTACGAAGAACCGCGCAGAGCAAGGACCAGTATTCGGCATGAAAGACCAGTTCGAGGGGCTAGGTCTCTTCTTCGACACGTACAAGAACAACCGCCCGGGCGTGGTATTCCCCTACGTAATGGCAATGGTAGGCGACGGACAAACGAGTTACGACCAAGCAAACGACGGGAAAGCGAACGAACTCGCCGGCTGCTCGGCACGAGGGATCAGGAACGCGGACCAAGAGACGCGGGCGAGGATTACGTATTTCCAGGATAAGATGTTGACGGTGGATCTGATGTACAAGAAGGAAGGCGAGTGGACGCGGTGTTTCGAGGTGCCGAATGTGAAGTTGCCGTCGGTCACGTATTTGGGCTTCTCGGCGGAGACGGGGGAGTTGAGCGATAATCACGATATCATCAGTGTGCAGACGAAGAATTTGTACTCGCCGAGTGGAGGGAGTGCGGCCGGGAATAGAGACTACAGTCGGGATAAGGGGAGGAAGAACAGGGGGAAGAAGAACAAGAAGGCGAAGGAGGGAACGAGTTGGCTCGGGTATCTCATGCGGTTCGTGCTGCTCGGCATGGTGGTGGCAGCGGCGTATGTTGGATACACCGCATACCGGACGAGGCGGCGAGACAGGTTCTGAGTGGGAAGATGTATGGTTTGTAGCGTTCTAGCCAGTGTACGGAATGTGAAAAGGAAATGCATACGTGTTGAAAGAAGCTTGATGTATGTTGTGAAGTCCTCAGATTAGCTCTCTTATTGTTCTCAACGACGACCAGCACCGCCGCCCCTTGCGAGGCTAGCGAGCGGCTGCCTGCAAATTTGGCTTTTGAATTTTCATCATCACAGGACGTCGCGCAACTGCCTCTCCCAAGCCCACCGGAGCCCACAAGACATCTCATACCATCCTCGCAGCGAGCCGCAGCAGCCGGCTTAGACGGAGCGATGCGCTACTCCGCTTGAAAACTATCATTTCGGCTCCTCATCGCACCCGCCACCTCCACCCACCACCGAAGCAGCGAAGCGGGAAGTAGCAGATGCTGGAACTTTGCTGTTTGTCGGTCATGGACGCACCATAGTGCTAACACGTCCTCGCTCAGCGTGCTGCAGCCCGCTACTAAGCAGATTGAAGTCCGGGGTCATCAGGGGCTGGATGAGTGAAGTCGCTGGTGGAAGAGGAGCAAGTTCCAAACACGCACTTCCTGCGATCTCTGTTCATGACTCAGCCATGTGCGCGTGCTCCGTGCAAGTGGTGTCACGGTGTGAGACCGGCAAGATCCAAGCCAGAGACTAGGGTTGCGGCTACGTGCAGGACTGCGCTTGGGTACTGGAAGCTCGGTGATGTGTTTCGGTCATCGGAACCGTGCTGTGGAGATCGTTAGTGTGTGACATGTGATATCATGTTGAATGGGGCGACGTACCTTGATTGCTTACTCTTCCTGTCTGGAGTGAAAGTGAAGTGAGGTTGGATGGGACGAGTGAAGGGGAAGGTGCGCCACACTTCGGAGAGAATGCTCCGAAGGCCGGTCTTCTTTGAGACGATCCACTTCAGCGTGCCTCGTTATCACACGAACAGTCTCTGGCTTGATAGTAATACATATCTTCGAGTTGGACTCGAGAGGTGTTGTCTGAGTCCTTCGCTATGAATCATGCGTACTTCTACAGAGTAATCGCCCGAACACATACAACCCAACATGTCCCATTCGACCACAAGTCATGCAGCTAGTCCACGTCGCATATGCAGTGACCTTGACGACAATGTTACACAAAATCGTCTCGGTCTCCATCGCCTTCTACTGGCCGATCTGGCAGCACGACTAACTGCTGTTGCATACCGGTTGCATGACACTCTCATCTTACACAGGACCACATGCAGATCCTGAATGCTGGCCCCTCGAGAGCGTTGGAATCCGTTGCCGCTCGCACCAATACTCCACGGCTGCGCTCATGTTGCTCCTCATGGCTGCGGGCTGTGGTCTGACGGCGGTGTCGCTCCGAGTCTGCTCAGAGCGGCGTAATTTGGTGTCGATTGGAAAGGCGATGGCCCGCGGCCGGGCTGACCGGGATGACATGCTCGTCGGCAGGGTCCACCATATTGAACGACGATCACCGAGAGTGCCTCTTCATCCCTCGGTCGCCGCTCCACCCTTTTTCGCCCGACTCCTCTGCCGCGCAGCCTCCTTTCCAGCCTTCCGCGCCTGGCTAAGACTGCTGCCTCTTTCATCTTCACCGCCTCTCTCGTACTTCGCAACCGTCTCATCGTTGACCAGATCCAACCCAAATCGATCCAAATGCCCATTCCGCCATCTCTGAATCATCCACATTGCCGTACCGTCCATGTCGACTTCACCACCCTTCTGTAGTCGACCGATCTTGTGGGCCATTGCGCTGAGCAAGTCCGTGATTGAGTTGGTGGGCTGGTGGTAGTTTGAATAGACTTCTGGGTTTTGATGGTTGACATGGAAGAGCAGATAGTCGGCCAGAGTAAACGGCGGAATGACAGTGTCTTTGACGCTCCCGCTCAACGCCAGCTTCAGCATCGCTTCCGCGTCCGGCACGTACGGGATGAAGACTCCAGGTGTATCGAGCAAGTAGACGTCGCTACTCGCGCTGGCATCGTTCTCGCTGTCTATAATCTTCACACCGGTACCGATCTTGCGCGTCACGCCGGGTTGAGCACCGGTATGCGCAGCTTTGCCTTTCTTGACACCTCCGGCTCGCAGAGCATTGAGCAGAGTGGATTTTCCGACGTTCGGTAGGCCGACGACCATGGCGTGCGCACCAGTGAGAGACTGCCGCGCACTGCTTCGGTCACGGAGGAGGGAGAGGATCTGAGACGTAGAGCGAGATGATTTGAACGAGGTAAAGAGGACCGGGGAAGGAGAATGAAGGCTGCGAAGAAGAGATTGTGACTACCTACCATTAGCCTTGAAAGACAACAGCTTCTTTGCCAGCTGCACGACTTCGCGCCTAACACACCTCCTTGTTCGTCTTGCTTGGTGTCCGACCCTCTTCAACAGCAAGGTCCTGCTTGGTATACACAACGATCCTCTCCCTCCCTCCGCTCGCCCAACCCGACAGCAGGTCCTCGAACATGGGGTTCCGAGACGTCAGCGGGATGCGGGCATCTCTGCACTCGATCACGAAGTCAATCTGGTTGAGCATCGTCTTCATCTTCGCGAGGCCGGCGGCATGATGGCCGAGATAGTAGGAGCGCGGCAGGGAGGTGAGAGCGGGAAACGTTGTGCGTGGGACGAAGGCCGTCATTGTGTGGAAAGGCGGTCTCTGGACGGTGACATTGTGCTTGTCAACCAATAAGCATGTTGATGGATGAAGCAGCAGAAGTGCGTGAAGCGTTCACATGCCACCTCCGCGGCTCCTTCCCTGTTGGGATGCCCGCAGCATCGCCGTCTTCTCCTCCGGCTTGCCGCAGCTTCAGCGACTGATCTGACCAAATCACTCACTTGCAAACTTCGAGAAGACAGACCAGCTTGGTCGCCAGAATGCCAGCTCAGTCGCTCGAACGAGAGCACCTCGACCAGCTTGCCTCTTCTGCAAAATCCAAAGGACTCTCGTGCTGCTGTGAGGCAGGAGAGGCCGCCCACATCAGTGCCAAGTCGAACATCCACTAGCGTCTGGAGATTTGAGCCAATAGCAGAGCAGGGATCACGGCAGCAGAGAAGGTAGATTTACTCTACTCCGGCTGCCATCGTCATACTACAACTTAGGTACAGCCAAGATGTCACACAGTAAGTCGCGTACCTCAGCAGCGGTCGTCGGAGAACACTACTAACCTGACAGGCAAAAGAAACACCTCCCTCGCCTTCTTCACATCCCATGAGCGCGAGGAGCTCAAAGCCCACTGGGGCTCGAAGTCTACTCGCCTGACCCGAGACTCATTCTTACCTTTCGGCAGCTGCCAGCTCTGTTTACTATCTGCCCGCGACCCTGTCGCATGTCCCAGCCATGGCCACCTCTTCTGCCGCGAATGCGCAGTCAGCAATCTGCTCGCCCAAAACCAAGAGCTAAAGCGGCTGAAGAAGGAGAGCGAGAGGAGGCAACTAGAGGATGAAGAGGAGCGAAATCTGAACGAGGAGACCGATAAGGCAAAGGCATTGGAGGAATTTGAACGCACTCAGGCGGGCTTTACTTCGAATGGCGTGAAGAGGAAGCGGCAAGCTGATGTCGAGGACGGGTTCAAGCATGGCACTGGCGACGAGAAGGCTTCAAAACGACGAGCTTCCGACAAGCAAGGCGCGGGCGAAGAGTCTTCCTTCTGGGTGCCGAGCAAGATTCCAGACAATAAGAAAGCGGATGTGAAGACTATCAAGGCCCAGCCCACTTGTCCTGCTGCAGCAGCAGACGAACAACATCCCTTCACGTTGAAGACGCTGGTCGCAGTCAACTTCTCCGAGGACGACAGAACGGGCGACAAAAATGCTCCGTCTACAGCAGAAGGAAAGGTGCGGGCATGCCCAAGCTGCGACAAGGCCCTCTCAAACTCGACAAAAGCTGTTCTGGCGAAGCCTTGTGGACATGTATTATGCAAGCCATGCAGCGACAAGTTCCAGCGGCCGCCGGAGAAGACGGCGCACGAGGAGCATGACGAGACGGTGCGGTGCTATGTCTGTCAGGAGGATGTCACGCCAGGTCGGAAGGTGAAGCAGAAGGAGGGGAAGGAGAAGGTAAAGGTGGAGCGAGGGCTGGTAGAGTTGAGTTCCGATGGAACTGGGTTTGCGGGTTCCGGTAAGAACATGGTGAAGAGGCAGGGCGTAGCGTTTCAGTGCTAGAGCGCCGTATCACTCATTCATGCCCTGTATTCAGAATCTCAGATGTACTACGCTTGTCTTGGCGGCCAATCCTCCGAGGTTCGACCTCGACGTGAAGTCGCGCCTGCCTTTATAAAACATTCACCACAGACTCAGACAGCCGTACATTTAATATGGCAGACGTGTACGATCATCCAATCCTCACGGGAGAATCAGAGACTAATAAAAGCAGAGCAATGCCATCAGCGATCGCACCGCACGAAGCCTCGCCAGAGCGTCCCTCGAGTCCAAATCACATGAAGCGCCGCCGCTCTACTGATGTCGAAGAAAACGACGCGGACAGCAAGCGACAACGTACGAACGGAGACGGCGCGGTCAACACCCCTTCACCATCAAACAAGCCCGCGACAGACACGCCTTCTGCCTCGACTGAGCAAGAACAGCCAGAGCCTTCGACAAGCATGGATCACGAAGACAAAGCCAGCAGCAACGGCGCGCCCGAACCTCCAACAGCACGCCCACGGCGTAGGCCAGAAGTCTCGGACGAGAAGCAGCGGAGTAAGCGACTCTTCGGCGCGTTGCTGGGAAGCTTGAACCAGAAGGGCGGAGAGACGTCGAAGCGCAGGCAGGAAATCGAAACGAGAAGGAAGGCTGAGCTACAGAAGCAGGACGAGCAGAGGGCGGAGGATGAAGCGAAGAGGAGAGAAAGGGCTATTGAGTGGAGGAGGCAGAGGCAGAGGAGGGTTGATGAGGATGAGGTGAGTTGGTTAACTTCGTTTAACTGGGCGGCGCATGGGTGAGATGTGGATGCTAACTTTGTGGGTGGTGCAGATGCGCATACGACACAAGAGCATGCTTGACCGAGCGAACTTTCTGGTTACGGTTGCTGAGCCGAGGGTGGTAAGTACATCCACTCGCCGGTGCAACGGCAAGATGCACAAGCTGATGCGGTTCTAGCATTATCGTCCGTGGGACCTGCGGCCGGAAGAAGAAGATCGCATCGAACAGCAGATCGTCGATACGCAGGCACTCATCGACCGCGAAGTCGAAGCTTTCGAAGCGCAGCGACCAGGAGGCAATATCGATGGTGATGGGATGGATGGTATGCTTGATTCGACCATTGTACTTCACCAACAAAGCCAACGCTGACACCACAGCAGTGCAAGCATCCCAACGTCCAGCCACCGAGGCAGTCATGAACGGCAGCCCTGCGGATGCTGTCCTACCGGCTGACGCGAAAATGGAAGATGCAGAAGAGGACTCAGCTAAGTCTGCCTCTGCAAACACTAACAAAGCCGAAGAAACCAACGAAGCAGATATTCAGCCAGCCGAAGTGCCCGACTCAAATGATGTTACTAATGCAACCAGCAATGGCGATGCCAACACCGACATCAAGGAGGACGACAAGGACGACGACCACATCGTGGAGGGAGACGAGGACACGGTGATATACTAAGGTACTGTTTCCTTCTTCATCGAGCGTTCTTGGCCTTGCAGCGTTGATGTACGATGGTATGGTGGGCATGGCGCTCCTTCGAGTAAGAAGCGGCGAGCAGGCGGTGGGCAGGCAACGGGCAGATATGTAAGTAGCGTTGACAGGCTATCAACGAGGAAGTGAAAGCTACGAATTGTCTTCCTGTTCAGGTGTTTGCAGCTTACAAAACCTCCTACCTCGTGAAGCTCACTGCATGTCTTACGTACGAGACCCTGCAGGTAAGCCCACCTACCGAGGTCGAAGCTGACATATGAACATTAACTCTGGGACCTTGGCATCAACCACATCTCACTCTTAAGGACCTTGAACAGTAGATATCAGCTCTCTCCGCTCTCGATTCACTGCCAACACCACGGGCTAATATGGCTCCAGACAAGATCTCACCAACCGACTCGCGGGTCAAGAAGGACTTTAAGGAAGTCAATGGACGGAAGTGGTGTAAGCCATCTACCTTCAACCCCCTCCGAGACAAACACTGACAATATGATATAGACTACTGGGACGCCGCCGCCAAAGGCGAACAGCGTGGTACCGTTTTCTTGATCCATGGCTTCCCGGACATCTCCCTCGCCTGGCGCTACCAGATCCCTTTGCTCACAGAGCTGGGCTTACGTTGTATCGCTCTCGATTGTATGGGATATAGCGATACTGTCTGTTACATTCCAAGCCCATCCTTACCTGCTCTCAGTAGCTGATAACATCCCAGGGCTACTCCCCAGAACTAAAAGACTACACCTTCAAAACCCACGCCGACGCCATCGCATCCATCGCCTCACAACTCGGCACCTCCACCATCATCCTCGGCGGCCACGACTGGGGCGGCGCCGTCGTCTGGCGCGTCGCGCAATGGTACCCCGACCTCGTCTCCCACGTCTTCGCCGTCTGCACGCCCTACTTCGCCGTGCACGACCGGTACGTGTCGACGGAGTACTTGGTCGAGAACGGGGTGCCGCAGTTCGGATACCAGCTTCAATTCGGTAGTCCCGATCGGAAAGTCGAGAGTGTGGTGCAGGGAAAGGAGCGGATGCGCAAGTGGCTGATTGCTATGTATGGTGGAAAACCGAAGAGTGGAAAGGCGTTTATGGATCCGCGGAAGGGCATCGATTTGGACGCTGTGAAGGAGGATGAGTTTGAGATGACGCCGTTGTTGAATGAGGAGGTAAGCAGAGCTACTTGCGCTTGAGTGTGGATGTGGAGACGCTGACGCTGAGCAGGAACTCGACTACTACACCGCCCAATTCATGAAGTCTGGCGTCGAAGGGCCGTGCAATTGGTATCGTACCCGCGAGCTCAACTTCGAGGACGAAAAGGCCTTGCCGGCGGAGCAGCGTGGTGGGGTCAAGCAGCCGAGTCTGTTCATCCTCGCGGAGAAGGACAGTGTGCTGTCTGAAGACTTGACCAGGGGAATGGATAAGGCCATTCCGAATCTTACGAAGGGCAGGGTGCCGGCTAGTCATTGGGCGTTGTGGCATACGCCGGATGAGACGAATGTGAATATTAAGCGATGGGTTGAGGGGGTCGTGTTGGGCGGGAAGAGTAAGCTATAGGGTCAGAAAGAATGTGTGTACGTTGCCTGCGAGCAGGAATGTTGTGAATATGCGATGAGATCACAGAAGCTTTGTTGTTGGTTACTATGCAGCTCTGACCTTTGCACCCTGCACCCACTGTCCGTTCTCATCCAAACTCTCCTTCCGAATAAGATACAACTCATCAATAAAAGCAGGCACAAACGTCCCCGGCCCTTTCACATTTTCCCTCCCCGCCGCCCTCTCCGCCGCAATCTCATACATCAAACACCCCGCCACAGCCGCCAGCAACTTATCCTCTCTCCACGTCGCCATCACACTCGCGATAGTCGTCCCCAGCGCACACCCACTCCCCGTAATCTCGCCCAGTAACTCATGCCCGTTCTCAATGACAAACGTGCGTTCACCATCTGAAATCACATCCGCCGACCCAGTCATTAGCACAACGTTCCTCAACCGCCCAGCCGTCTCCTTCACCAATGCGATCTTCTCCTCCATTGAAAGCTGCGACGCACCACTATCCACGCCCCGCTGCTGGACCCCCTGCGCCCCAGACGCCGTCCGGATCTCACCCTCATTCCCTTTCAGCACGTCAAAATACCCACCCGCCAACAACGCCTTCACACCTTCCCGTCGCTGCTGCGTCGCCCCTGCACCCACCGGATCTAAAAGCGTAGGTCCGCCGACAGCGTTATACGCCGCAAGAGCTTTGAGATGGTTCTCCCGGATCTCAGGCGTGGTGGTGCCCATGTTTATCACCAAGCTCCCGCCTAAGTTCGCGAGATCGGGCGCTTCGAGGCCGTTGTTGGACATTATCGGGCTGGAGCCGATGGCGATAGCGACGTTGGCCGCGAAGTTTTGGACGACGAGGTTGGTCATGTTGTGGCAGAGGGGTTTCTTTGAGGCCATTGTTTTGATTATGGTTGGGATGCGGGCGACAAGGTCGGAGGGGCTGAGCTGGGGTTTGGAGGCGGAGGTGGCGAAGGGTGGTGGGGTGGCGATGAGTTGGCGGAGGTCGGATGAGGCTTTTTTGGGGTCGGAGGCGGCCATTATGGCGCTGACTACTGCTATGCCGTCGAGCTGTTTGGAGGGGGAGGCGGTTTGGTAGAGGACGCGCTGGGCGTTGGCGTGGTTGATGCCGCCGATGCAGACGGTTTTGACTGTGTGGTTTTGTTTGGCGAGCGAGGACAATATTTGCTGTACACCAGCAGTCCCGATAATGGATTTGGTGTTCTCCTTGGTTGGGGTTGCGTACACCGTCCCGATTCCTAGGTAGTCGGCGCCATCTCGCGCTGCCTGCGACGCCTCCTCCTCGCTGTTCGCAGTAACGCCGACAATGGCGTCGGGTCCTAGCAGCTTCCGAGCGGTCTTCAGGTCCATGTCATCTTGACCGACGTGGACGCCCTCGCAACCAACTGCGAGTGCCACATCCACCCGGTCATTGATTAGAAGCGGCACGCCGGCGGCTTTGGTGACTTCATAGAGCTGTTGCGCTATCTGTACAACATCTGCGGTTTCCGAAGTCTTGTCTCTATACTGAACAATGGTCACACCTGAGAAAAGCTGTTAGCACATGTGCTGGTGAATGACGGTCTTTGGATCGAGGGAGTATCTGAACCTCCTGCAACGGCTGCTTTCACGACCTCTAGCAGGTCCTTTTTGCCGAGTATGGCCGAAGTCGAATCGGTAACAAGATAGAGTGAGTAGTCGACAGAACGTCTCGCCGTCATGTTGTATGTCTTTACATATGAATTGGGGCGAGATATTCGACGAAGTTTTTGAGGTGGGAAACGCAGATTTTATCGGCAATATCTTACGATGGATCAGTACAGTCCGAGACCAATGTCCCGTTGACCGCCTTGATATGATTCTGAAGTTGAACGTGAAAGATGGGTTTTTTCAATGCCCATACACGGCCTATTTTCGTAGTCCCCAAGATCTGGAAGCGACTCGGGAGGACGGCTTCGGGCGGGACGGTCTGGTGGTACAGAATGAATGCCAAGCGACGTGTGAACAAAGGTGTATTCGCTATTGTTCCAGCCATCGCTGACCATGTCACGATATGCCGTTCCATGTGAATAGACGCATGTCACCAGTTCATCGCTCGAGGCAGGTTTAGATGTAGGTGTCGGAGCGGAAAGAGTTGGAGTGTCATCTGCGGCGGGCGTGAGTCGGTCGTGCCGATGCACGTGCTCTGGCCGAGTTTGCTCTGGTCATCGAAACTTCTTTCTCCTGCGCCCACCTCTTCCACCTTTCCACCACCCTCAGCACTCCATCAGCAACATCAACCACCTGCGAAAGCAAACAACCGCTCATCGAGCCGCGTCCTACGAGCAAGCGACACCGCTGTCTCACCCTCCCACGACCTCACCCACCCCTCATAGGACCCCATCACCACCACCACCCGAGCACCGACAGCGCGCAGGGTTTATGTATTCGTCCCACGCGCACCCCCTCCAGAACCCTCCGGCGCCGAATGTGCAGGACACGTTTCGCATATTGCGAAGACCTCGTAGTAGCGGGCATCAGCACAACAACGGCTGACTAGCACCCCATCACAAACATTGCTGAGCGACCAAACAAATCCAATACCCAGCAAACGTCTTCAGACAAAGACGTATTCGAAACAGTAGAAGACACCGCCTGTCTCTACTGTATGTCTCAGACGTCAACGTCCACGAGAGCCACCTGAGCGCTATACTACCTACCAGCTTCGCCACCGACCACAGCACGCATCACTACCGCCACCATGGCCAACGTCAACATTCGCCGGGATGTCACCGATCCCTTCTACCGCTACAAGATGGAGCGCCTGCAGTCCAAGATCGAGGGCAAAGGCAACGGCATCAAGACCGTCATCGTCAACCTCAGCAATGTCGCTGACCAGCTGGACCGCCCACCGAGCTACGTGATCAAGTACTTTGGTTTCGAGCTCGGGGCCCAGACCAACATCGACCCAAAGGACGACCGCTGGATCATCAACGGCGCTCACGAAGCGACCAAGCTGCAAGACTATCTCGATGGGTTCATTTCGAAGTTCGTCCTCTGCAAGGACTGCAAGAATCCCGAGACCGTCGTCAGCGTCAAAGAAGGCGACATCATCTTGGACTGCAAGGCATGCGGTATGCGCACCAAAGCCGATGGCCGCCACAAGCTCGGCGCATTCATCCTCAAGAACGCACCGAAAAAGGGCAAGAAGGACAAGTCTACTAAGAAAGCGGACCGCCGCGCTCGCAAGGAGGCTGAGAAGAATGGCACTGCTGAGGAGAACGGCAATGGACACCCCAGCCCTGGCGACAGCGGCTCAGACCAAGGCGAGGAGAATGGCGATCTTGCTGTTGAAGCCGGTAGTGACGACGAACTGACACGCAAGATCAATTCTGAAGCCAAGGAACTGCCCAGCGAGCCCGCTACGGATGGCGGAGACGTCCAGTGGTCCGTCGACATGTCGGAGGAAGCCATCAAGGCCCGCGCCAAAGCCCTCCCGGAGGACCTCAAGCAGACTCTCGTCATTGACGAAGACGCTGAAGAAGGCCAGAACGGCGGCAAGAGCGCCTACGACGAGTTCGGTGATTGGATCGACGAGCAAGCCAAGGAGGAGGGAAGTGTCAGCAAGATCAAGGACGTCGACATCTACAAGAAGGCCAAGGATCTCGGCATCGAGAGCAAGCACCGCACTCCCACCGTCCTGGCCATGTCCCTCTTCGACGACAACATCGCCAAGCAGATCGAGCCCCGCGCGCCGCTGCTCAAGAAGATGATCGGTGACTCTGAGAAGCATCAGAAGGCTTTCCTTGGTGGTCTTGAGCGCTTCGTTGGCGAGACGCATCCCAACTTGATGCCTACCGTCAGCGCCATTCTGATCCCGATCTACCAGGAAGACATCATTCCTGAGGACGTGCTCAAGGCTTGGGGCGCAAAGGCGAGCAAGAAGTATGTGGATCTGCAGACGAGCCGCAAGGTGCGCAAGAGTGCTGAGAAGTTCATGGTATGTCCTCATTCCTCCCATATCCAATTTGTTGTGCTAACCAGGGTTGCAGGAATGGCTCGAGAACGCTGAGTCCGACGAGGACGAAGACGACGACGAGTAGCTATTCCGCGCGCTGCTCGGCATCGTTGGAATGCGTCTTCTTTGGTGCTCCTTCAACAGTACAAGCGATGGATCAGTGGCCAGGAAGCTGTATGGTTGATACGAGACTGTTTTGACTTGATGGACTCTTCTCTCCTAGTGCGTTGATTTGACAGCTTTGAGCTGGCACGGCGTAGATATTAATACTTCACTCAATCGGACTGATTCTTCAAGAACACTCTATCTCATGTCCTTACTGCATTCAATTTCAACTTGGCAAAGGTACCTAGGTAATGCCATTCGTCTTGTTGGCCGTCTGCAGAATGCTTGGCGCTGTCAGCACTTCAACTTCATCCAGCGTGAGTGTCACTCTTCGATCACAAGACAAGCGACCTCAAATGTGTAAATCCACTTGGCCCACGCTCTTTAACATCAACGACTTTTGACGTGATCATGCGTCCAATGCGCCCAATATAACGACACCCCCGCAGCACAACATTCCCCAACATGGACGCTTCTCTCCGCCACACGCCTGGCCTGATTGGTGAGCTTCTCACTATTGCTTCACATGCGTAAACAGAGACTGATGAGCGCACAGCCAGGATCGAGAAACTCCGCGACGAACTCATCAAACACTACGAAGCGCTCGTCACTCGCGCTGGGGTAAGTCCTTCACCTCTCCCACAACAAGCGCCTGTCAAACCACGCGGCCGTACTGACAGGCATGTGTGATGTATAGATCGAGCACACCGATCGCAACACGACAGCGATAACGCAATATCGGATGCAGGTCGAAACCGCAGCAATCGTACGTTCTTCCTTCCCTCCCAACCCTTCTCCTAAGCTATATGCGGTGTCGCTGATGAAGTATAGGTCCGCGCAGCAGAAGACCTACAAGTCCTGATCCGGCAGATGCAGGAAATGTGGTTGTTCGGGCAACTCGACACGCTTGGGGGACGGGAGGCGCAGAAGGGGGCTGACGAGAAGGCGAGGGAGGTCGCGGAATTGCTCAAGGAGGTTGTTGGGAGGCAGGAAGAAGGGAGAGGCGAGGGGAGCGATAGGATGGTGAATTGGGGAGCTGCAATGGTTGACGCTTGAAATCAAATCCAACTGACTTATTCACGTCAGGGTAAAGCCTCACAGCTTCGCGGACGCACCGCCTCTTGCGCCAAAAGCCTCATCAACCAATCCAACAACCATCCTAGCACTCCCCACACTATTCTGATACCCCCCACTCCCATGCCCATACCCATGCACCACCAGTCTCCCGCCCACAACCTCCCCCTCCACCCTCGGTCCCCCCTCCCTCCCGGGTCGCAAACCAACCTGCACACTCACGACCTCGAACCCGCCATCCGCTCCCGTCAAAAGCTCCGGCGCAAAAATCTGATTCCTCTCCAGGATGATCGCAGTCGTGGCAGGGTCGACAGCTTCGCTCCATACCCCAACCTCCTTCGTCCCGCCCAGAATCGTCATACCGGACCCAGGCCGCGGGATACAATATGCCACGTACCCGTCTCCGCTGCGTGTACGGGTTGCATGGGCTTCGCCGCGCACGAGGACTGTTTGGCCGCGGATCGGATACATCATCTGATCATTGCAGAGTTTCGCCGCCCCTAAGCCGGTGGCGTTGATGAAGAGATCGGCTTTCGGTCTCCCACACTCCATTGCGACACGCTCTGCTTCGTCCAGGGCGGTTTCCAGACCAGAAATCGTCGGGAGGCGGGACTTGATCACGCTCACGCCTAGCCCCTCCGCTTTGGCGCGGAGGTAGAGGAGGTACTGCGGTACGTTGATCGATGGAGCACGACAGGACGCCGCCCAGGCGATTTTCGGCGAGCCGCCAGGGATGGAGTCGTTGAGAGCGGAAACGGGGCCGGCGACAGTGGAGAGTTGGTGGAAGTTTTGTACGTGGGGGGCCCACCAGAGGGATTCGGTGGGTTGGGCGTCCCAGTAGTGGTTGGAGGTTTGCATCTATTTCATGGTTAGCCGTAATTGGATAGGAGAGTGTCGGAGGTGGTCGTACTTTGAGGCCGGATTTGGGGAGCTTGCTGTCTGCATCTTCGCAGTTCAGGACATCGATCCAATAGTCGTATGTCTGGACGTCCCAGTCGCAGATGGTGGGTTGGTCGGGCGTTGCTGAGGTTCGCCAGTGGGCTCCTGCCCTGTACATTGGTCAACGTCCAGCTCGAGGACCGTTTGATGCTAGAAGTCAAGAGTGGCAAGCATACCAAGGCGACGTGTACTCAATACTCTCATCTCCAGGCACATGCGCCGCAACGACTGTGACTTTGTAGCCTTCTTCTGCGAGGAAGTAGGCAGATGTGAGGCCTGTCACTCCAGCGCTGGTAAAATGGTAAGCCTTGAGCTGTTGTGGCAGATGGCAAGATAGGATTCACCGACCCGACGACAATTATGTGTCTTTCTTGGGGCATGTTGATGTTTGTGTTAGAGAAACGGTGGTTATATGGAGAGTGGCCACGGGAAATAAGTCAAGTCACAAGGATGGTATAAGGTATAGAGTTGAGATGAGTCGTACGCCGAGCTCGGCCAGCCGTGGCGAAAGCAGTGGATGTCTTATCAAACAGCTAATGTTCAACGACTGACAGTGACGCAGATGAGAGAGTCTTGATGTATCATTTCTTCAGCAAGAACGGGCCGTAAACAGCCCGTCAAACATAACTTCATTCCAAGAGGGGGTATATCTACAGCTCAACCATTCGCTCAATGCCCCGATAGACCGAAAAATGACAGCAGTCGTCTTCTCATGAACGCCTACCATTGCAACACCTCGCTGAAAACAAGCCAACACCTCACAACCAGAGATTATTCGTCTTCTGCGGTCCCGTTGGCTGCGTCGACAGCCTTCTTGACCTCGTCATCAGCTACACCCTGCCACTTCTCCCTCTCCGCCTGATCGGACAATGCAGCTGCGCTGCCGACGAGCTCGTACAGTTTCCGGGACACGTCGCGATTTATGTCGGTGTACTGGTCCTTGGTGATCTCTGTGTTGTTGTAACGGGGCCGGAGGGAAAGCTTGACCATTCTTTGGATCTCCTCCTTGGCAGAGTAAGATAAGTTGCGCGAAGGTGAAGCTGATGAAGCGCGATCTTGTGGTGCTTCGTCATCGCTGGCGTGTGGACTGTCCTGGTGCCGCCGGCCGCGGCGCTGTTCCTTGGCGGAGGTTTGTGTCGGTGAGAAAGGCGAGAACGTAGCTCCCATTGGTGAAGACAACGGCACTATCGTGGACGACAACGGCGGAGACACTGGAAGTCGACGAGTCGCGGGAGGCGGTGGGGTTGCTGAAAGTCTTCGTGGAGGCGTGCCGCAATCTGAAGAGGATGCCGATGGCGCGGGTGGTGAGTCGCGGGGTGAGTATTGACCGTTCTGCTGGTCGGAAGCGCCAGGTGAGCTGGCAGAGACTGGCTTGCTCTCCACCTCTCGCAATAACGAGGATAGGAACGTAGGTCCATCGCCAGGTCGTTGAGCAACATCAGCCGACGACTCTCCGTTCTGCTCAGGCTCAGGAGCGACGACTCTGGGTCGCCGCAAGCGAGGTCGCTTCTGTTGGGGTGCCTCGTTCGTCGTAACCTCATGTCCGGAAGATGATGGCGAGGCGGTCCTCTTTCGCTTTCTGCGGCGCACATGGGTCGGTGCGTCCTGCGACTCGCGTGCCTTGTCGAAGGCATTCCAGGCGCGAAGCTCTTCTTGCGACTCTGGCGCAGGTCGATACGCTGGCTCAGCTTGCTGTATCTGTGCATTCGCAATGTTTCGCAGTCTATTGGCAGCACCTTGTTGGCTTGCGACCTGGAACCGCCTTTCCCAGCGCGAGAACTCGCGTCGCTGCTCTTCTGTCCGCTGGTCGCCGGTATCGTCATCAAAAGGAAAGTCGAGGTCGAAGTCCAGGCGTCGTGATACTTCTTGCCACACACGTGCCCATGTTGGATCATTGCGGCCACGAGTCTGTCGTCGTCCGGTAGGCATGCGTCCTCGAGTCCTCCGGCGGGCACCGGGCGTGACTCTCGTGGTAGCGTCGCCATTGTCCATGTTCGTGTGACACTCCTCGCAATACCAAATCTCTGGCGACTCATCGAAGCCCGCGCAGAAGACATGGGTCGCTTTGTCGCAACGGTCGCAGTACATGAGTTCATGCGTCTCGTCGGCAGCGCCACAGACCGAACATGGCTCCCAAGCTTCGGCGGCGAACAGCTCGTCCTCTATGATCATTGTAGGGTCCAGCTCTGCCTCTTGCACCTTATCTTGGACCGCATAGCTGTTGACGACCGGTCCACCGACGACACGGCTGAGTTCGACCATGTTGAACTTCGCTCGGCAGATCGGGCAGCTGTTCGCGCGCTCGACCCATGGTGCAAGACAGGCATTGTGTAGATCGTGCTTGCAGGGGAGTAGGTGCGCTATGGCTTCTTCGTCGGTTTCGATCCTGTGGTGGGAATCTCGAGTCAGCATGTAGTTCCTCGTAGCATTGCGCCCAACGACCCTCCGTAGCTATTGCGTGTAGTACAATAGCGAAAGGAACACCTCACCTTCCAAGCTTATTCGGCGAGCATCTTTCAAGGAAAGACAGTCCTCAAGCCGTCCAAGGGTGGAAGTCGGTACCGTATACGGCAGCAGCGCGCGCGCAGGCGTAGGCCACGGAGGAGGTCATCGCCGTGCAGGCGGAAAAGAGGATCGATCGTTTCGCTCATGACGGGTTCGAGGGGTGGTACCTTTTCGCATCTGCTCTTGTGCTTGTACTTCTCTTGGCATGGCTCTCAGTGCCAGCGGCTCCAGCGTCACCGCTTGCTCTGCTGCCCTCGGGCGGATCCGGGGGAGGGTCCTCGAGGTCGGAGTGGCGAAGGTCACCGAGACAGACTATGCACGTTTCCGCCATGTCTTGTGAATGTCGACGAGAGGTGTATAAGGGGTCGGGGTACTGAAAACATGAGCTGTGCGACTGAGCGAGTCTGGTGGAAGGAGAGAAGAGGAAGGCGATCCGCGAGTGAAACCCCACATTTATAGTCGTTCGGGATCGCAGCTCCCTTCCGTGCTGTAGTCTGCACCTACCTCCGTTGTCCAATGAAACTCACCGACAAGACCACTTGATCATATTCCTGTTTACCAACAGAGTGAGAATGTGTCTTGCATGTGATCGTTTTAGTAAAGTCCAAATATCGCCAACCTGGCTGTCCGTGCTGCAGTCCAGGGGACGTGTGATTCATGACGGTCACGTGTTATGTTTAAAGGAACAAAGAAGGATTTGAAAAGGGTTCCACGGAGAGGAAGTAGTGTGTGCAATGTGCGCAGCTGAGAGGATGTTGAAAAGACCACGGATGCCGGTCAGACCGACAATGGCCTCAAAGACTAGCTCTGATGCAGCCTGCGATTCGTGTCCGTCAGATCACCAGAACGATTGTTCCAAGCGTGACGAAGGACCACCAAGTGCTTGAAAGTAATGAAGGTCGAAAGCGGCGGCCGTGAATAGAGGATTGCGAGGCCTTCCGCGAGTCGCGTATGGTATAGTTCAGGTTTGAAGGACTTCTTATTCGTGCCACTCCGCAGCTACGTCGTTCCTCAGACATGCCGCCACAAGGTCGAATGTGCTTGTAACTCCATGTCTTCCATGCCACTCCAGCTCAAACACCACGCTTATGTCTCCTTCAATTCACGCAGACGCCGGATCGTTGACCTCGTTGCCGCCGCAGCTGGTGTCGACACCACGTATGCTCCTCCCGCCATGGTCTATCATGCGATTGTTAGCTCCTTTCCGGGATCTCGGTGTACCTGCTCTTCACAGTGTTGTCTTGTCCATACCTTCTTGCATGCCTTGCACGACCAGATGCCAGTCGAGTGTCGCTTCACCGTGGTCTTGCCGCAGAATGTGCATGTGTATCGCGCGTGCTGTGAGATTTCGATCTTCTTGACTTGCTTGCGGAGGGAGGCACCATAACTATAGCGATGCTGTCAGTATTGCTCCTTAAAGACACGCTGTCGCTGGGTTCGATGGAAGTTCGCAAACGGTGGGTGGGTGCTTACCGGGTACCGTATTTACCGGTGATGCCGACCTTCTTCGTCGCCTTGGTCATCGCTGCGGTATTGTCTGGTGACGGTGGATGTGGTGATGGGTGGTGAAGATGTCTTCTTTCGAGGTCGTCGTTGGTGATCTCGAATTCGCGGGCATTCGTGCGCACTAGCGGGTCTTGGCAGTTTTTGAGAGTCGGAAGCCGGCCCCCACTTCACCTCAATTCATCCATGCCTGTATTCACGGCGGAGACGAGAAGCACTCAATCGCGCAGCTGGCAATACAAGCAAGAGGACGCTATATCTTACGCTTCCTGTTAGAAGCCTGTATGCTTCCAGCTTGGCTTGACTTGGTACTCCTTTCATCACCTGGAGCCACGCCTTGTGCAAGACGACCATGGCCTCGAACGACCGCCTCTATGAGTGCGTAGTCCTCGGTGCAACAGGCTATACGGGCAAGTATACGGCGGAGCACATAACCACTCACCTTCCTACGGACTTCAGATGGGCAATCGCCGGTCGTTCAGAAGCAAAGCTAAACGCTGTGGCGAATGAACTCAAGCAGCTCAATCCAAACCGGACACAGCCTGACGTAGTTGTCGCGCAGCTCGAAAAGGATAATCTGATCCGCCTGGCAAAAAGCACAAAGGTCCTCATCACCGCCGTGGGACCATACGTCAAGTACGGCACTCCAGTCGTCGAAGCATGCGTTGAGACCGGGACACATTATCTCGACGTGACTGGCGAAATACCGTGGACGTACGACATGGTCCAGAAGCACCACGACACTGCGAAGAAGAACGGCGCCATTATGATTATGCAAGACGGCTTCGAATCTGTACCGACTGATCTGCTTAGCTGGGCGCTCGTCACCCATGTCCGCGAGACTATTGGAGTTGGCACAGAAGAGGTCATTGTCACCCTCTGGGACATCGTGGGAACCTTCAGCGGCGGCTCGCTGGCCACTGTGATGAACATGTTCGAGTCGTTCACCTCAAGCCAGATGATCAAAGCGCGGAACCCATGGTGCTTGTGTCCCGTCTCTCCGCCTCAACAAGTCCCGTCCAGGCCGCTGCTCGAACGCTTGACTGGCACGCGATCGGACAGGGATATGGGGACGCTGACTGATGGCATTCAGGCCTTCTCAGATCTGCCAATTGTCCATCGCAGCTGGGGTTTATGTGACGAAGGAAAACTCTATGGGCCAAAGTTCCGAGCAACCGCCTATATGAAGTCTCGAAACATGATAACGGCGATTGGCTTCCATCTCGCGCTTGTCATTGCATTCTCGGCTCTCGCTCTGCCTCCTTTGAGGTGGTTGGCGAAGAAATTCATCTACGAGCCCGGTCAAGGGCCCACTAAAGAGTAAGCGTCATCCTCTTTCCATGTCACTATTTCATTCCAAGATTGGCGTTCGAAAGTGACCGTGTCTGGTCCGATAGGCTCACATTGGCCGAAACACCATCAACGCCATGAGTCCATGCTGACATCCTCGCAGGCAAGTCAAGAAGGACTACTGCGAATGGCGTGCTGTTGCAAACGCCGATGTCACTGATCCGAACGACCCAAAGCGAGCACAGGCCCAGATGAAGTGGAGCGGCAGTTTGTACCACTTCACCGGCGTGTGCCTGGCCGAGTCCGCTTACATTATTGCTCGAGAAAAGACTCTGGCACATTCGATAGGTGGTGGCATGATGACGCCTGCTACACTTGGTGCCGCATACCTGGACAGACTACAAAAGGCTGGGCTCGAGCTCGACATAAAAAGCTTGCCGTAGCTTATTTCCATGGCTTGTGGCCTCCCGGATCATCCCTTCAAAAGCTTTCCTGCTACAAACACGATCTCAGTCATCCCTCTTCAACCAAGGCCGACAAGCCGCATGCAAAGGCTTGAACCTCGCATCAAGCGCCATCATCTTCTCGTAATCCTCCTTGCAGCACCGCTCAAAGCAGTCAAAGAAACTCGCCGCGACAAAATCCCCATAGCTCGGCTGACTCCCAAGCACAAACGGCCCTTCGTCCTTCCGATGCTTTGTCAAAAGATCTCCCAACTTCTCAGCCGCTCCGCCCGGCTCAGCGGCCGTTTTCCACGCCTGCTCGCCTCCCTTGACGGCCGCGAACTCCTTGAGCGTCATGCCGAAGGTCTCTTTGCGGGTGTCCTCGAAGTACTTTGCGGATCGGGGCGGTAGCATCGAAGGGACGTCTGCTAGCGTGTCCCACCACACGACGCCGGCTAGGTTCTCAACGGCTTCGGTGATGGGGCCGTGGAGGTCGGCGTCGAGGTGCAGCGGTGGCGAGGGGTGGAGTTCTTCGAGTACCGGGGCGATGTTGGCGGAGTTCATGATGACTTTGCCGTCTGGGAGGCGGATGGTGGGGGAGGTGTAGTCGGTCCAGCCTGTACCTGGTTGGTTGGCTTTGACGCCGCTGTTCGAACGGGTCTGTCAGTCATGAGCATCTGCGCAGGCTTGTTCGAGCGTAACGTACAGCTCTTTCATCTTGGGCTCCAGGTCGGGATATTCAACCCATTCCGTCGTGTAGGGTATTTGCTTGTAGTTGAGGACCATGCGCGCTGCAGAACTCTCAGCATGTCCTCTCTGGCAAACGATGACAGAACATACTCTTCCACGGATTCAAAGAGAAACATGACGGTTTGTCGGAACCTTTGTGGATGCTTGGGAGGTCGTAGAGGATGATGTTGCCTGCCATGACGCTTGAGTAATGTTGACAGTATGGCTGAAAACGTGAAGATGCTTGGACTTGTTTGATTCATGTGGTATCAATGACGGGACCTCTGCCTCCTCTTTATACATCGGTCACTGTCAGGAGAGTTTCAGCCGTTGGGCTGGAATCCAAGCAAATCTACACCGAGCCCCGGTGTCTGCCAAAGCAACAGCGACTTCGACGAATTCGTTAGAAGGGAAGTCATGGTTTTGTTGCGAATTATAGACATGACGTCCTGAGCCGCTCTACCTTTTGCTCAAAAAGATCCTAGTGTGGTGGAGCGCTTACGGGCGTACTGCAGGTGGGCCATTTGACAGTGGGGCGGTTTGTGTGAGCAGGGCTCTGGGAGAATGGAGAAGCGGCCGATGTTGTCAGTTGCGGTAGTAAATATATCTGATGGATGGCTATGGTACTCAGTTGGTCTCCTCCGTGCCCTCGTTCGAACGACAAGTCTAGGGATGTCTCATCAACCGTCCAGCCGCATGGACCATCACAACCTCATCCACCTCACCCATTCATCCTCTCCAACCCCTCAAGCGCCTTCCTCACCTCCGACACAATCTCCGTAGCCACATTCCCACTGTCGCACTCAAAGTCATACCGCTTCGTCTCCTGTGCTCCGGCCCCCCCGGCCGCAGCCCGGAACACCAGCACCCGCACCATCTTCGGATGTCTCCCACTCACTTTCACGCCGACGATACTGCTCATTGGGACATTCGTTACCTTACCCCCTCCTGCGCCCGCTGCGCCCATGACTCCTGGTGTTCCGGGCGGTGCTGCGGGGAGGATCGTGAGGTACTCGGCTGTGATGATCAGAGTGCGTGGGTGAGAGGGTGCGAAGGAGAGCGGTTGTTTGCGTAGGACGTTGTATCGCTTGCCGCCGATGTCGAGGCCGAGACCGCGTCCGAGGCCAAGATTGAGGTTAGAGGCGTTGGTGAGTTGAGCGTTTGGGTTGGTGTAGCCTGCGCCAGTGCCTTTCTTGTGCTTCTTGCCGCCACCTGCTGCGTTTCCGCCGCCCGGTGTGGTAATATTGTTCAGTTCAAGAGGAGCGTTGGGGCTGGTGCTGCCAGGTGAGCCAGAGAGGCCAAGTCCAAACATGCCGTCGCCTGCCCCTGCGCCGATGAAGCGGCGACGAACGAGGTCCAGACTCAGCTTGTCGCCTAAAGCCTCCACAGTGCGGTCAGATGGCGCGACAGTTTGAGTACCATGGACTTTGAGGACGTAAAGAGCTTTCTCTAGATTTAGTTTGTGGCAGCCTTCTGCGAAGATCTCAGCGATGTATGTGTCCGCTGTGGTTTGAATCGGAACGGTGGTAGAGGCAAAGGTGTTTTGGTCGGTGAAGTGGACAGTGATGGTCTTTGGTGCGCCTGTTCGAGGTGTAGATTGCGCTTCATCCCGCTGCGGCAAGTCCAATGCATTGCCAGTTTCTTTGCGCAGAGCTGACGATGCAAAAGAAGGGCCAGTGATGGGATGTCTCGGCGCTTGGAGGGCTGGTGTTGTGGATCGAGTGGTTTGAACTGAAGTCTCGGTCTCTGATCTCACTGCTGTGGCAGGGCAGACTTGCAACTCCGGCTCACTCGGTCGCGGTGTGGGAGCTGCTGTTAAATTTGGTGTACCCATCGTAGAAGTGCCGATGGATGGCGTTAGAGCTTCGTTCTCCTTAAATTGCTCGTCAGTTGCTCGCACCAAGCCGAACTCGTCCCAGGGCTTGTCTCTCGCTCGCCGCTGCGGTGGACGATTGTTGTTGGAAGTGAAGTCTGTGACAGGTCTCGTGCGTACGAGAGCAGGGAAGTCAAAGTCTATCTCTTCATCCTCGACGATGCGTAGAGTCCAGCGGTTGATATTGGCTTCCTCATCTCCCTTGTCGCCTACTGGAGGCTTGTAGCCCTCTTCGTTATATCGCCAGAGACTCAAGCCAATGAGGTCGGTGACTGTGGCCTTCTCGCCTTCTCGCTGTCGTCGGATTGGGACCTGCAATGCTTTCGATGGAGTGGATGAGAACGGAGCGTAGATCTTGATCCATAGTGGACTGCTCTCATCCTTCCCACTCCATTCGGCGAACCGTTGGAATGGCTTGTCCGTGCTCTGGCCTGGGCTGTTGCCTCTGAGAGCCATGGTAATAAGAGACGGAGGTACCACAGCGGTCAAGCGATGACCTGGCGGTAGTTTCGGCAATGGGGTCATTGCATCATCTGTTGCAGACTTGCCTGCTACTGAGTGCCTGGGTTCTGCAGGTACCGCGGGTGGCATATCGGGCAATGCCTTCATCGGACTGGTCTCGGAGCCAATGCCCTGTCCTCCAACAACGCCTAGGCCAAGCAAGGAGGCCGAATCTGCAGTGCCAGCATCCACGTCAAACTCATCACTCAAGTCGGAAGCCTCGCCCACATCCGAGTCTTCGAGCTCACTTTCGCCTGCTTCGTCTTCTTCAGCAGGACGTCGTGGCAGGTCCTCTTCTTCTTGAATGCGCTCGGCAAGATGCACCCTCCGCTGCCCACCGGGTCTACCAGGCAGCTTCCGACCGAAAGCATTAGGGTCTAGCGCTTCGCTATCAGAACTCATCTCGCTGCTTGTAGTCGTATCACGTCGTGCACGTTGCTTGATCGCTTCGACCTGACCTAGGCTTCCTCTCCTCAGTGCCTCGGCCACGACTTCAGGCGGGCGTGAAGGGCTCGTAATCATCAGTGCCGGTCCATCAGCCCCTTCGTCGGCTTCGAGAGGATTTGCGGGTGAAGACTTTGACCGATCACGTACTGGCATTTTTGCGAACGAGATGCCTCGCGCCGCAGACTTTTCGTCATCTTCACTGTCGTCGCTGTCCAAGTCAGAGCTGTCTTCCTCCTCCAGCATCTCTCTCCTCGTGCGCTGCCGCCGCTTGCGGTCATTAGCTGCCATGAGCGTGCCGGCAGGAATCGTGTCCTCACTACCGGCCCTCCCTGTAACCATTCCACCGGCATCTTCGCTCTCCCTTACCGGCCTGTCTTCCTCGATGCTAATTCCACGAGTCCTAGTCGGGGCGCGGAAATAGCTTCCCGCATCTGCCCCTGCCGCGCCCGTAGTGGGAATGGGCGGGCTGTAACATCGTTTCACTGCTTGTGTGTCCGGGAGCCAGCCTGCAGCACGAAAAGCAGGATTGTTCAGGACTCCGGTAGGAAGGTTGATTAGGCGCTCGCCCACGCCATCACCTACGTGGCGGTGGTTGTTTAGGAATGATAGACGCAGTTGATAGGTCGTGAAGTCTTCATTCAGGAGGAGCGACATCACGATGTGTGGTGACTTCCACCATCACCAATCCTGACACCGACCAGCGGGTTGGTGGCGGTATTAGGTCTCCAAAAATCGTACGGGGGTGGAGGTGGGTTGAAGTGCCACGAACCTCGCCGTCGATGCCGCTTTGGGAATGCGGCGAGCTCGGGAGTCCGACTTCTTCAACCCAACACCAACATCACCTCAATCGACATTTCCAACCTACACGACATGGCTCTCGTGGCATACTCCGACAGCGAAGGCTCCGACAATGAGGCGCCTGTCGCGTCGAAGCCGAACGACTCGAAGCCCAAACCGGCAGATGGAGCAGCTTTTCGCAAAGTCGAGCCGCGCAAGATAAAAGTCGACTTGCCGGCTGTCAAACCTGAAGTAGAAGACGCAGAAGCCGATAGACCAGCGAAGAGAGCGCGGACTGGAGGTGGATTCAGCGGCTTCAACAGCCTACTGCCTGCACCTAAGCGACCGGCTGGTAATGCGCCTGGCAGAGGGGTTAGTCTCAAGACGAGCTCGGAAGCTGCCTTCAGTCGCCAGCCTGTGAACGGCAGTGTCAACGAGACGCCAGAGGATGAGACGTACGCAGGTGGGCGGGATGAGGGGTTGAATGGCAGCACAACAGAATATATACCGGCCCCACCACAACCGGAGGCCAAACCCGTAGGCAAGGCGACGAAGTTCAAGCCATTGAGCGTGCAGAGTGGGCAAAAGAAGAAGAAGAAACTATCACCTCAGAAGCCTTCAGAAGGTGATGACACAAGACCTGCCCCCGAAGACTCAAAGGCACCATGGACAGCAGACTCGAGGGACGAAGCAGTCAAAGCACGGACGGCACCTCCCCCAAAGCCTAAACGGTCACTCTTCTCGGTGCTACAGGCCGAAGAGTCTGAGATAGCACCACAAACCACCGCAAACTCATATGAGGCTATCACAACGCAATCCGCGTCCGGACCGGAAGACCAGCGACCAGAAGCGCAACAACCACAACAATCCACCCCCGCCCCAGCACCATCCAACAACCTCTCAAGCCTAGCCTCCGACCTGAACCTCTCCAACGCCGAGCGTCGCCGCCTCTTCGGCAGCCACGCAAAAGGCGGCGATATCAACATCGCGCACTTCAATATGGATGCCGAGTACGCTTCCAACGAGCAGCTGAGGCAGGCAGGCGAGGTAGTGGAGCACAAAGCTGTCAAGTCTATCGCGCCGGGCAAGCATAGTCTTCAGCAGCTTGTGAATAATGCACGGAGCCAGCAGGAGAATTTGGAGGATAAGTGGGCGGAAGGGAGGCGAGAGAGGGGAGAGGGGCAGGGGAAGTATGGGTGGGGACGGTGAGGTTCAGGTGTCACGAAATACGAGTTTGTGAAATCAACGTTCTCGACACTGCATGCGAGAATAAGTGATGACTTTATATGTGCACATTTAACCGATACCCAATCTTCATACATTCAGAAACATTTCGCTCGCAAAACGCTCAACATAAATTAAACACACCCACATCAACGCCACCTACCAGTTATAGTAGACCGCCTTGATATGGTTGTGATAAAAGTGACTGCACTTATCATCCCCATAACTATCCCCAGTCGGTAGATCCCACGTCTGTGCCTTAAAATCATCATTCGTCCATTCCTTGCACGACTTAGAGATCCCCGTGAACTTGTGTCCATTCGAAATTGACAAAGCCACAGAGTTCGCGGAATCTGGGCGGTCAAAACAACCCTTATCCCAACCAATCCAGTCGCTGTTAGAACCCGCAATGCCCTTGTTCATCTGCCCAGCGAGACACATACCAGTCTCGACGCAGGGGTCTTGGCAGTCGTAGCGCGTGAACCAGTTGACTGAAGCATCGAAGCTCCGGGCCTCGAGGGGGACGGTGTGGTTGGTGGCGGGGAGGGCAACGGCCTGCGTTGCTAGAGTGGCGAGGAGGGCGAGGGTGGAGTAGATCATTTTGGCGGTTGTTCTTGGTGGCAGGAGAGGGTGGCGTGGGTTTGGTTCGGAGGGGTTTCTGCTGGGTGTGTTGAGGACAATGGAAGTATAAGTATTTGTTGCGGAAGGAAGTGTGACACAAAGAGGAAGACAATGTATGATGCCAGACAATGGACAATCCATTCATTCCGGGCTTGTTGGCGGGTACAGCTGGCTTTGTTGCTGGCAGCAGGCCTGTCTTCCCCACCACACGCCATTGAATGCTCGGCCATCGCAGCAAGACTGGCATCTTCGAGTCAGAGCAAACGTCGGTGACGATGATCCAGTCTCCTGGGACTTCTCCAGTACGCAGGTGTGCAGTGGGCGCTCATTCATTAAACTCGTTGTGCCAGCAGGTCGGTGCTTCTCCGATCAATCCAGTCCATTCTTGTCTGTCGCATTATTGCCCACTAGCAACTTGGCTTAAGCCTGCCAAAAAGAGCCTTGAGAGACGCCTGAGCCTCCAGCACGAGCGGCGAACGGGCGCGAGCGAGGTGCTTCATGGCCGCTTTGAGTGGATACGCCAGTCTCTGCGGACCCACCCAGCCTGTGTTGTCGGCCAGTAGATACGGCGATGCTCGCACAATGTCTGCCGCCAGCGTGAGTATGTTGCTTGTGAGTGCCAGATCTGCGTACTGATTGACGGTGGACTGGCTGTTTTCAGGCGAAGATCCATCAGAGAAGATAGAGCTCTCCCGGCTGGACGCTGTTTGCAATGAAGACAGCGCTTCGTTGAGGAGAATCTTGAACCACCAATAGTATATCATGTTGGTTGCCTCCCACATGCCACTGAGATTGTGTAGGCTTTTTTCTGTGTCGGCATAGATGTCTTCGCTAAGCTCGAACGGCGAATCGTGCTGACTTGGCCATGCCTTATCACGCCATAGGTCGAGCCCTTCCAGCAGACTGAAGCATGTCATCGGTAGCGTTGCCAGCAGTTCCGAATCATAGGAAGCGAGACTGCTGTCTACCAACTGCAATAGTGTGCTAATGTCGAAGCCAAAGTCATAAAGCTTTTGCAGGCTGTCTTTCTCGAATCGTTCCCAAGGTAGTGTCAACCACTCTTCGCTACCAAGGATAGATGCCTTGTGGGTCTCGATGCAGTGGTTCATCTTAGTGCTGTCAGTATGTGTTGGTGAAGGCGTTGCCAAGAGCGCGACGTACGATGGTCCACCTGACGTCCTTGAACAGTTGCATGGCGAAGTCTGTCTTGATGCTGCGAGGACCTGCTGCCCGACACCACTCTGCCATGCCATGCTGTATCAAAGCAAGAATCGAGGGTTAGCGACAAGCCGAGCAGGTGGACGGTGTGTCTCATGTATCCGTACCTCGTGAACCTTTCCATGTGGTACTGACGAGTACGTGGGAGACAAGATCTTGGGCCAGCATCAGAAGTCATCCTCACTACGAGAAGGGCAGAGCATACCTCGTATATCGACAACGTCCTCATTGCAGCCAGTGTCCTGTCTTGAAACGCCAGATCGGGATCGTATAGCGCTCTCTTCAAGCCAGTCAAGGCGATTGCGTACTGTCCCCTCCCTTGGGCGACCAAGTCAGACTTGCCTGTCACCACCCCCATCCTAGCCAGACTCAGCGCAGCGAAGGAGGCTGACAGAGCGTTCCCTTGGTCAGTCAAAGTGTTCATGGTATACATCCATGTCTCCTTGACGTCGACCATGACCTCCCCTCGAGGAGGGAGGTAGGTCTCGTAACATTTCGTCTGGAGTTGTTGCAACACGAGGCTCCCGATGCCAGCCTGAGCGGGGAGAAGTAGTCCTATATCGGAGTCTGAAGGGGCAGGTGCAGTGCTGCTAGGCGAGCTGGATCTGGACTTGACCAGAGCCGCATCTTGAGAAGGTTGCTTGCGGCCCACTACTTCCTCGAAGCGCTGCCTCTTCTTAAGGCCATTGGGTGTCCACTGCAGGACGGTCGAATATTTGGCGTACCCGCCACATTCGACGCCACGTTTCTGACAGTTCTTGCATGTCGGTCGACTTTGATCGCACTAGATGAATGGACCGTGAGCTTCTCAATGATAGTAATGCCTGCTGACGCTGCTCACCGCGACCTTCCTCTTCCTACACGTGAAGCACCCTAGAGATCGTGGAACGCCGACCATCGTCACGTATCGAGTGGTGAGCGTACGCACGCATTCCAGAGAAGATCGCTCGCAACATGACCTCTCTCCTGCCGCCTTGTGTTGGCAGTGCTGCTGAGGTCGACGCTGGTGATCGGTCGATCTGGGTACCAAGGCTGAGGTGGAAGCACATCTCGCCAAGGCCCGCTAACCGCCTGTTTGGGCCATTCTGCGAGATTTCGAGAGCACAGACCAGATGAATTTTGGATCCTGCGAGGGTTGGAAATGCCCAGCGGAGCCACCAATAGCCATGATGCTGAACTGCCTCGCAGCATCTGAGCATCGCACGCTATCAAATCTTCGATCAGCAGCGACTGTATCTCGATCACCAGTATCTACTGCTCGACTGTGCCTTGCCGGGTCCTCGGGGACGGGCTACGTCGTGATCGACTGAATACCATCCCTCTTTTGCAGTATGCTGCGAAACTCGGTTCGTAGCACAGCGACTCCATCGTGTATATAAGTTTTCCCCGTCGCCTCCTATGGTAAGTACTCACTCTCATACTCAATCATCGACACATCGACCGCTTCGAGCCTTTCTACGCCTCAGCAAGAACGCCCTTCCACTATCACTCCTCTCCAGAACCCCTCGTCCAGCTCCTCACTATGCTCGGGTGGAACAACACCATGGCAAAGGCCGAGAAGAACAGGAAAGACAGTCAAGAGTCAGACCAAAAGGATGCCAGCAAGCAGCCACAAGCGACCAGATGGCAGAAGATACACCGCTCAGTCGGCTTCCAGAAGGGATACAACCTTTTACTGTGTAAGAATCCCCTGCCGCGTTGATTTGTGCCCTGCTAACATCCCCTAGTCATCGTCTTTGCGGGCGCAATGGTCGGATTCTGCCTCGCCCGACTTGAGTACCTAAACATCGGCACCTACGCCGACGGAGCATCTCCGGGAGAATGGTACTGGTACAAATCCGGCCACAACCGCGTCGCCATTATCCTGCATCTCGCGACAGTCATCCCCGCAGGACTTCTGATGGTCTGGCAATTCCTCCCCATCATCCGCCGGAAGTTCCTGATCTTCCATCGCATCAACGGCTACGTCGTCACGATCCTGCTCCTCCTCGGTGTGGCGAGCGCTTTCATGCTTGCTCGAAGGTCCTTCGGCGGTGCACCAGCGACACAGGCAGGCATTGGCTTCCTTGGAATCATAGTGCCTATTTCGCTCGGGATGGCGATCTACAACATCAAGCGCCTCCAGATCGAGCAGCACCGTGCGTGGATGCTGCGCACCATGTTCTACTGCGGCACGATCATTACTCTTCGCCTCATCATGATCATCGCCGCCCAGATCCTGCCATTTGCCAGCAACTACTACAGCGTGATGCCCTGCGACGCTATCGCGACCCTCACGAGCCCCGGCCAGTTCCGCAAGAGCTACCCCCAATGCTTTGTCGAGGATGGCACTGCCGATGGTTGGATTCCCGTTGTTGCGGACTTCTCGCAGGATGCTGTGACCGTTGGTGCGGCTTTGCAGTTGGGCTTTTCTATGGGAGTAAGTCAAAAATACCTCGCCTCTACAATCTTGCTTCGTGCTGACCCTTGTGCTGGATAGATCTGGGTCGCCATCGCCATGCACGCAATCGGCGTAGAGATCTACCTCAATCTCACCTCGGCCGAAACCGAGCGACTTCGAATGGTGTCTTATGAGAAGCAGTTGGAAGCTGGGTTCAAGCACCCAGGCAGCGCCGGGCTGACTGCGGATCGATGGGGTGATGTGCCGGCGTGGGAGCCAACGCCTAAGAAGGAAGTCGAGGGGCAATGATGCGATGAATGGTATGATTGAATGTGTTGTTGGCGTTTTGAGCGGAAAGGAATTTAGACATACATTTGTCAGCCTCGTAATCCTGCTTTGTGGATTGAATCCAAGGGCTCTCTGTCCCTCCCATGACCTTGGAGACCTGATTCGTCGAAGTCTGCAAACGATAGTTCGGACAAACTTCACCTCCATAGATCGAGTTCGCTTTCGCTTCCTCCAAGCGGAAGCAACCCTACCCCCCGGAGCCGATGAGGAATCCTCACGTCCGCATCGTCAGGGCAGTCGTAATGATCTGCCCAAACAGTTTGACAAAGCAGACGGAGGATGGGGACATTGCGTCGGTACGAGACCGAATTCAACGTTAGCAGCACCACTGTGAGTCCAACGAAGATGTACTTAAGCTACACAGCCACCGCCTCTGCGCAGAGTGTCGAGGTAGATTTGCAACACCATGCTATCAGCAGCTTTACCTGGACACAAAAGAAATCCCAGCCATGGCCCCAACCTTCGACATCCGACCGTACGCTGAGCAGCATGCATCAACGAACGGTCCTGGAGATGCCCGACCAACTGCTCTCCAGATCATCAAGGATAACGACCTACTAGGCAAGCTGTCCGACAAGACTATTCTTGTCACCGGAGGCACCAATGGTATCGGCTTGGAGACGGTCCGCCAGCTGGCAAAGACTGGAGCCAAGGTCTTCTTTACCGCAAGGAATGAGGAAAAGGCAAAGAATGTCGTCCAAGATCTGGTCGAAGAGGGAAAGACAGACCCAAGTCTCCAGGATGCGAAGATCCAGTGGGTAAAGATGGATCAAACCAGTCTACAAAGCGTGAAGGAGGGGGCGGAGGAATTCTTGAAGAGGAGCTACAGGTTGAACGTACTCGTCTGCAATGCTGGCGAGTCCCACATGTCCTCCTTTGTCAGCAACCGTCGACTATTCTAACTGGAATCAGGCATATCCCAAACCCCATACGCAGTCACGCAAGACGGCTTCGAAGCACAGTTCGCCACCAACCATCTTTCGCACTTTTACCTCTTCCAGCTGCTCAAGCCATTGCTACTGAGATCTTCGGAACCAAATTTCAACAGCCGCGTGGTCGTCGTGGCGAGCGCAGCGAATGCCCTCTCCACTGTCCAAGTCGGTAACTATGGGCTCGACGAACCTCCAAAGGAGTACTACGACCCGATGTGCGAGATGGATGGCGATCACAATCCCATGATCCTATACGGTTCCTCCAAAACAGCGAACATCTGGTTCTCGAACGAAATCGAGCGTTGTTACGGCGCGAAAGGTCTGCATAGCCTAAGTCTGCATCCGGGCGTCATCCTCACCGCCGGCTTCGCGACCCTGGATCCAAGGGTTGCGGAGAAGCTTGCGGCGCTCATGAATGATGAGAGCATCATGAAAGCTTTCAAGTCGGTGGAGCAAGGGGCTGCTACACAGGTATTGGCGGCAGTTGGCAAGGACTTTGAGGGTAAAGGTGGCGTCTACCTGGATGATTGCGGAGTCAGTCAGCCGCTGAAGGAAGGTGATCAGGCTGGCATCAGTGGGTATAAGCAGTGGATATACGACGAGGAGGGTCAAAGGCGGTTGTGGAAAGACTCGCTGGACATGGTTGGGTTGAAGGACGAACAGTAGCTGTGTGCCATGCTAGTGAGAAGTAGTTGGACGGGAGTTACGCATGTTCTCTTCGAACACCAAGTCGCTCGCTGTATCGTGGACTGTGTGGTCAAAGCAAACCGCTCATCGTGATGAAGTTGTTGGCTCGGCATCTTGATCTTCTTCCGACCCGACTTTCGGCCCGAGAATGGAAGTCAACTTCGATGCCGACCTCACCTCACCTCTTTTGGCCTTCATTACCTACGCCCTCCTCCATCTTCAAGTCATCGTACAAATTCCCCTCGACTCGTGGGTCTCACTCATCTCGACCACTATCACATGATGGCTACTTCGTGAATCACGACAGGTAGGTCTGGTAGTGAAGGAAAGAGCTTCTGGACAGTAAGTACACCATGAGTCGCTGTGTCGTCACAATGTCATGGGCGACGACAGAGGCATGCATCATACGGACAGTATTGTGCTACCGTCTCCCTTCTGCCATCCTTCCTCTTTCTCATCATTCCACTTTCGTCCTCCAAGTGAGAGATGCAAGCGTTGAAAAGGCTCACTGCCATCACCAAGACCTTCAGCCCGATCAAGCAGACAACAAAAACAATGGCGACGGTATCTCCGCACCACTTCGTGGCTACGTCTGGCGAGACCGCGCCAGTCTGGGCCCACACCGAGCCGTACTCCAATAGGCCCAAGTTCCCGCAGCTTTCTCAGAACACATCCGCCGACGTGTGCATCATCGGCAGCGGCATCTCCGGGGTGCAATCTGCCTACGAACTTATCAAGCGTGGACGTAGCGTGGTGATGCTTGAAGCTCGCGATGCTATCTCCGGCGAGACTGACCGCACGAGCGGACATCTGGCATCGGCGCTTGACGACCACTATCTCGAGATCGAGAAGAAGCACGGCGAAGAGGGGGCCAAGCTCGCCGCCGACAGCCACAAATGGGCCAGCAAGCACGTTGGTGAAGTAGCACGCGAGCTGGGCATCGACTGCGAATATCGTCAGCTTCCGGCTTATCTCATCAGCCAGTATGACCGTCAAACTCAGTCCAGTGAACATGACGCCGAGGTGAAGCGACTGATCATGGGCGAAGTCGAGCAAGCAAACCGCTTCGGTCTTTCGGCGGAGTTCAAGACAGGTTTTGCGGTCAAGGGCTGGGATGGCAAGCCTGATCAGCGTGACGCAAGCATCTTCCACGAGCAGGCGACATTCCACCCGACGAAGTACCTCACTGGAGTCCTCAAATGGCTGAAGGAGCAACCGAGCTTCACCTGCTACACTCACTCTCGGGTCATGGATGTCCAGGAGAAAGGCATTGAGGTCATGGGCATAGGCAAGAAGACGGTGACGGTCTCAACCGACACCGGCCACACCGTCGAATGCAGCGACGCAATCATGGCGACCTGCGTGCCGTTGCAGAAGCTGAGCATCGTTGCCGAGCTTGAGTACATGCGCACTTACTGCATTGCTGTCAAGGTTCCCCAGGGCTACGTTGAGGACTACTTGTTGTACGACACCGCGGAAGCCTACAAGTACGTTCGCCTCACGCGCTGCGATGAGCAGAATGATTACCTGGTCGTGGGCGGCTGCGATCACAAGGTTGGACAAGAGGTGAGTTGGGAAATCTCCATTCTGCACCAACAAGTCGTACTCACCACCCTCACAGGAAACCCTTGGCCGCTTCCAAGAGCTCGAAGACTGGATCCGCGAGCGCTTCACCAAAGCCGGCTCCGTTGACTACGCATGGTCCGGCCAAGTCTTCGAGCCAGTCGACTACATGGGCTTCATCGGCCTCAATCCCGGCACGAAGCACACTTACATCATCACTGGCGACTCCGGCAACGGTCTCACTCATGGTGTGATCGCAGGTCGCTTGATCACAGACCAGATCGAAGGCGTCAAGAATTACTGGGGTAAGCTGTACTCCCCGTCTCGCAAAGCCAGTCTTCTCAAATCAGCTGGCACCGCGATGGCCCACGATGTTCAGATCCAGGCGCAGTACAAGCGCTTCCTGCAGTCTGATATCAAAGACATCGAGGATCTGGCGCCTGGAAGTGGTGGTGTGCTGAACTCGACTACCAAGGTTCCTGTTGCTGTGTACAAAGACGACGAAGGTGGTGTGCACAAGTTCTCCGCGCTGTGTCCGCATATGAAGGGTGTGATCTGCTGGAATGGGGTGGAAAAGAGCTGGGATTGTCCGGTGCATGGGAGTCGCTTCAGCAAGGATGGAGTTTGCGTTATGGGACCGGCGAAGGGGCACTTAAACCCAGCGGACGAGAGCGGGGAGAAGTTGCAGTCAGAGGCTGTGAAGTGACGAAGACTCAATGGCCGGTTCGAAGAAGGCAAAGAAGGACGACGATAGCATCACAGCACAATGAAGACGTGAAGAGCATCGCCAAGATCTGCAGACAAGGTCGCTTACTGACAGACGGGTCCTTCTCACCGGGACGATTGTTTGTGGGCAGAATGCTTTTGCTATGTACTTCACAGCATAAGCCTAACATTTCACCTTATCCCGATGTATAATTCAGCTCCCTTCGACATCCTTCCCCTTCCTCTCTCCGCCAAAATCGCAGTATTACCATTGATCAAACAAGCTCAAAGCCTCACATAGCTGACTTCGCAGTCCGGGTTACCAGGGTTAACCGGTGGAGCACCGCTCGAGACCGGAGCGTAGCTAGAAGCCGCAGTGGGGGCTAAGCTTGCGACCGGACCGATGCTGAAGGCTGGCGCGCTGCCGGTGACGGTCGCAAATGTAGTTGGGCTGTATGCTGGTGGGACGGATGGTGCTGCTGGGTAGGAAAACGCGGGCGGAGAAGCGGCGGGCGCTGAAGGTGCAGCCGGCATGGAGAAGGCAGGCTGAGACGCAGAGGGCGCTGGAGCAGCTGGCGCAGACATCGAAATGCCCGAGCTGGAGTTCGCAGAACCACCAGCAGATCCACCACCACTCCACACCGCCGGTCCAGGCATAGCGTAAGTCGACGGGACAGGAGGCGACCACATATCGAAATTGACCTCATCAGCCGTGTACAAGCCCGGAATCTTCACCATCGGCCCCGGTGAGCCATTGCCACCGCCCGAAACACGAAGCTGAGCACATTCCATGTAGAACTGCGCCTTGCCGACGTGACCCTCGTGGATAGCGATATGCTCTGGACGGACCAGGTACTCGCCGTCAGGTGTGTCGGTGGGGATGGTGAACTCGATGCGGTCGTCTTGCCAGGTGCCCCAGTTGTTCTCGTTGCTGGCGGAGCCCGAGAGACCGCTTTCCCAGACTTTGAACCAGTCGCCTGAGCCGTCGTAGCTGGAGACGTCGCCGCCGGGGGCCTGCATATCATCAGCATCAACGAACTAAACCCTTGGAGTGATTTGGTCGACGCACCAGACTCATGTAGACGAAGCCAGGACCGGGGTGTTCGATGAACTCGTCGTAGGCGAGCTTGAACCCAACAGTGTCGCCCGCCATGACGTCGTAGGTGTCCGAAGCAGCGTTCGTGGCACCCTCGTTGCAGCGAAGGTTCTCCGAGTTGATGACATCGTCCGTGTAGGAAGGCATGTATGTGTTGGTGTTCTGGCGAATGTAGCTGTAGTCCGATCCGACCGCCTCACCGTTGACGATGAGCTGGGAGAAGATGTAATGGGCGTTGGCTGTAAGCGGCGCCGCCAGCAGCGCTACCCTGACAAAGTTGATGGAGACCATTGTTGCGGTGTGAGATGTCGTTTGTCGTTGAGAAGTGAAGCGAGAAGCGAAAGAAACGAAAGAAGCGCAGTAAGAGCGAACGAACGGAAGCTGCTGACCAGAGTAGCTGTCTTGATGTTTGGATAGTATCAGTGAGAGAACACAGGCTTCTTTAAGTAGGCAGCGCCTCTAGCATATCACGTACCTTGATAGCCTACGAGTCCATAGCTAGCCGGCGTACTAGTAGGCGACATCTCGTTGCAAGTCAACCGCCTCCTTGGCAACAGGACCTCGCCTAAGGGGGTGGAACGCAACAGTCTGCATGAGGTGGTGTACGGGAGATACGACCGCCCTTCCGCTGTGGCGTGGACGACCTCGTCGCCAGGCTGTGTGTCACGGAGAGTTGACAGTGAGCTTATCTTGCCGCCAAGGTGAAGAAGTCGGCTCGGCCTCCTGTGAGGAACTTCAGATATAGTATTGAGTCCGCCGCTAGTGCGCAATGCCGCAAAGGAAGCCTTGTCGCCTTGCCCAAAGCTAAACGAGAGTTGCAGCTAGGCCGTGTCGCAGCCAAGGATGCCAAGTTGCCTTCAGCGAAGCGAGTTTCGCCTTGTATCAGCTTAATGAATATATGTTACAAGCCAGGCGTTTACAGGAGGACTCTTTGCTGTGATGCTGTGTTTTGCTGTCAGTTCGTGGCTGTTGTCTCGACATCGCCGCCGTCCTTTGTGTACGCATGATGTCGACTCGGATTGGCAACAGCAGCATGAGCAATGTCAAGCTTGCTCATACTCTCACCACTGCGCTCTGCATCATGGCGCTCCTGGCAGATCTCCAGCGCCATAGCATTGCCCCTTGTCTCTGGAACCCTTCTTTCTGAAAGATGTCCAAGAAGATATGTTGCTGAGAGCTTGATCCGAATCTTTGCTAGAATGCTTTCAGGCCGATGCGCAGTTGAACCCCCTCAGGTGGATCGTATCCACCACACCGCTGTCCGCTGGGCCTCACCCCAGCTTGACTTCCACCGGGCCAGTCGCATAAGCCTCCCAGATGTACTTCGGAACCCATCCGCATGCTTTCCGATACTCAACACCATCGATACGCTCGATCCAAAGGACGTTGTAGAACTCGCAGAACTCTTCGTTTGAAGCCTCGAGGTGCTTATGCTCGGGCGGTGCGTCTTCTGGGATCGCCTCGTTCTGCTGGAAGAAAGAGCCGTCTCGAATCTTTGCTCGAACCTTGTCCCAAAGTACGGCTGCGGAAACCTTTCCTGTCTGACGTGGCATGCCCGAACGTTCGAGGAGGAGATCGTTGCGTGCTTTGAACTGTGCCCTATTGTCAATCCATTCGAACGCTTGAAAGATGGAGGGTCGGGCAGCGTCACTCGCAACGCTTTCATTGTTGCGTTGCTGGATCTGGGCCGACACTGCAGGGAACTTGGATTCAACATATTCAGTCTTCGCTGCGTCCTTGCCAAAAGCCATGGAGACATCGAACAGCAAAGCAGACGTTTCTGTCGAGGTATTCCAGGCTGGGCTGTAACGTAACTCTTGACTGTAATTGCCGTCCTCATACTCATCCTTTGCGCCTTCGAAGATTCGCCACTCGAGAGACTTCCGCATATCCTCCGCAGATGCAGTACCAGTTGAGATTGCAATTAGCGCTACTGTAGTGTGCTCATCAAGCGCAGTCCGATCCATTAGTCGCAGCAGCCCAGCGAACCCGCCGTTCGACTGCTGCAGCACAAGGATTGAGCAGGCTTTGCTGGGCGCCGGCCCTCGTTTGAAGATTTCGTCCTCGAAGACCGATATCTTGGAAGGGCCGAACGCTGTAGATACTGTACTCATTCTTGACTCGAGCACCGTTGCTACAGAGAAAAGGGTTTCGGTGGTTGAGCACGTCAAGTATCTTGCGTTGTTCAGAAAGCTTTCCTGCCCAGCATCCTCGACCAGCGGTATCGGGTGTCTAAAGCGCTCGGCGTCGTCTCTCTGATGGGTAAAGAATACATCTGCCTCAGCGAGACTTTTGCCAGCACTCTCGCAGAAATTCACCCATCTGAACCAGCCGTCTATAGTGCCGCGATACGATCGCAAAGTGTCTGCATGATGACCAAGCAGGTGCGGCTCAAGTATTGGCTCTGGCGTATCGCTCTCATGCAAGACCTGCCAGTCCACAAGACGTTTCGTACGCCAACTGCCAGCGCGGGCCTGCGTCTGGGGATCGAGAATGTAGGACAAGCCGGAACAGAGGCTCCATGGGTCGACAAACGCTTGCCACCCAGACCACGACCACGAGGGCAAGCTCGAGCGGCCTGAAGCATCCTCATTGCGATCTACACGGCGCTCTGCGATGCCAAAAGGCTGCCACAAAAGCGCGTGGTCCAGAAACAATCGTGGTAGACCGGAGACAAACCCGCCGGGAAATGATTTGCCCAGTGCATTCAAAACACCCGATATTCCAAGCAAAGCATCCTGTGGGTAGCTGAATTCTCGTCCATTGTACGGGCATATGAGGTCAGATAGAAGGCGAAGTCCGGCCACCATCTCGACGAGAATCGCTGGCCGAGATCATGCCGAAGAGCGATGCCTTCAAAGTCGTGACCAGGAGAGAGATCGACTCCATCCCACACACAGCAGTGGCAGTCCCAGAACAATCCAGTCTCGATGAAGACAACAGCTCTCTTGCACAGGATCTGTTCCTGGTAGGTCCAGCCTCTACTGGCCCATCGAGACCTGGAGAGCATCACGTATCGTGCACTCATGGCTTTGGCTACCTCCTCTTCAGTCATCGTCGGAAGCTTCAGTAGCTCATCTAGAGATTTCCAATCATCTTCCGGGGGCCAGTCCACGGGCCAAGTATCGTATTTGTACCTATCTCTGGTCGTGCTGAACGAAGGCCATTCCATGTACAGGCCATTCTCGTACATCTCTTCGGGAGCAGCTGCAATGATAGTCAGGTAAGCTCCTGAATAGATCTTGTCCATCTTTGCCACCTGACTGAGGGTTCCACCATCGCTGAGATCGTTCTGCACAATGCACAGCCGGTCGACCCATAGATACCTTTCGCCCAGTGCGGAAGTGAGCTCCATGGCGTGCCCAATTACTCTCGGGATTTGCTTTGCAGTCTCCTCTCTGCCCAGGAAGCCAGGTATCTGGAAGTCGATGACAGTCTTCTCATCAAGAAGCAGACTGCGTGGTGGTGTTGAAGCGGACTTTGCAGGTTCTCGAGTCTCTGGCCAGACGTAGCTTAGAGCTAGGTAGCAATCTGCAGAGTGGCCAGGGACTATGCATTGCTGGTCCACATCAATCAGCCAGCGAGGGATATCTTCGAGTGGCCGCTGAGAGACTGGCTCTGGCACACAGGAGTCTCCATGAAGCTCATCGCAAGCAATGATCCACTCGCGGACTTGCCTCACGTATCGCGGCTCTGCTATGGTGGCCGATCGTGATGAGTCTGTGGCGGACATGTCAGTAGTATCGTATATTGGGCGAATGCACTTCCGCTTTGGCATGCAGCTGCCGGTAAAAGATCAAGAGAAAGTTTGCAAGTAAAAGATAGAAAAGGGCACCAGATAGCTTGCCTCTACTTTATGATTTTGGATCGCATGGCACCACTGTGCTGTCTCGCCAGGTCGCACCATCAGGAGAGCATCAGGCCACGATAGGCGAGGTCCCACGTCAAGTCATGCCTTCGCACGCTCTTCCCACCGTGCTGGCCACCGAAACCACACCCGCAGGGCACTCGGTTGTCTTCGAATCAGCTGGGTGTTGTAGAACAGGAAAGGAGAAACAAGAGGGACGACGCTGCAGGCGGAGATCGCAGCGATGAAGACGGACGAATTCGGCATAGCGTCAAACTAGGACAGCAAGGCGTTTGGTACATGTATTGAACAACATCTACGTTTCCGTGATGCAGCAGGGCTCCTTGAATCGCTGAACTTCTAGATGCTATAACCATTTCCCCCACAAGGCAATCCCATGCGTACGCCAACACCTGAACACGTCCGAACTTTTGGATTCGAGTCAGCAGACCATCACCACAACCATTACTCCTTTCCCCAGGGCAGCTCATCATCCGAGATCTCCATGCAAGTCAACCCACGGCTAAGAACCGAAGTCTCATCTGGGTACTTCGCCGCCGTCTCAACCTTCGTGAGATGCTTCACTCGATCCGCCGCCACCTTGAAAACCGCATCCACCCCCATCTGGAGATCCGCCACGAACGCAACACTAGGACCGTACCCTGATTCCAGCCCGTGCGACTTACGCAGGTATTCACCTATTTCGTTGTAACCAGGAAGGAACTCCCGGCCTCTCACAAGCCTGTGGTACACCTCCGCATATCCTGGATGGAGTCGATGGCCCTGCTTTCCGGCGTTGCAGATTTTTGGACTTAGCCAGCTGCGGAAGAATGCGAGCGGTAGCTCCATCTCTGCAACTGCCTGCTCTCCGGTTACTGTGCTTCTCTCGTATCGAACGGACATGCTGAGGAGGTCGTGATCGGCAGCTTTAAGCTTTGACACGAACTCCTCACGCTTCGCTGTAAACAGCTCTTGGATGCCTAGCTCCTTGAGTCGATCTTGAGCAAGGTCCCACCTCTTGTTGCTTCGTCCGAGCAGATGCAAGCCGGCCTCTCTGAAGATCCAATCACACTGATATCTGACCGCTACCTCAAGCATCGAAACCGGTTTGTTGCGACATTCGTCGAGAATGGTTTCGCGGTAAATGTTCAGGACGTTGTCGATGTGTAGACTGACGACATCGCTGCATCCATAGACCCGGCCGACCTCGAGCAGCGCATGAACCTCGCACTCGGCATGACGCAGAAGACCTTCATCGCCGTGGTCGGTAGTGGTCGGGACGTGGTACATGAGGTCGAACATCTCTCTGTGGGCCACGATAACGTCGGCTCGCTGGGCGTCAAGTTCGTCGAGATCGACTCTGTCTCACATGCTTTCGTCGGCATATTGCGCTTCTGTTTCGAGATGTTTTGGCACAAGCATCCCGAGCGCGCTTTACTTGTCGAAGCGCAGTTCGTACTCCCACAGGCGCGGCGTGCCGTTGAAAGAGTCTGCTCCCGAAACACCGCTTCATCGTTCGCTCAAGCTGGCTTTGAACCAGGCTGAGTGGAGTACCAGGATCTGGCTATGGAGATTGAAGTCGGGTTTCCACTTGCTGAGAGACATCTTCACGTTGCCATCCGGGAACCATGGGTATGAGTTGGAAGTCATAGCACTTCTCGTTTGTTGACACAGGCCGGAGGATGAACATGTCAGTACGGCGGTTGAAGCAGTATGATTTAGTGGTGCCGTCAATTTGGTCGCGAATGTGGAGACGTGAGCGATAGATCAGTGGGTTGGATATCAGTCGGTTGCGCTTTGTGGTATCCAGGATGACCAAAACCGTATGGCTGCAGTTGATGGCGGTGTTTGGGTTTGAGGCAAGGCCAGGAGAGAAGCTGTTTAGGCGCAAAGAGTGGTGAAAAGCAGAGGCGGGGGCCGGCGAGTCAATTTCAAATTGACATGAGGTCATCTCTTCAACAAGCGCCAAATTCCCATGCATGTGGAAATCGAAAAGTCACGTGCTAGACTTTGGCGATTCTCTTTCTGGCGTGGCCTGCCTAGGCTTAGGTTGTGCAGTCGCCATGCCAGGATCATTGTGATCATCGTCTGTGTGCTGCGAAGGCTTATTTTACATTTCCGGCAGAGGGCTCGTCTTCCAGACCTTAATCGTGTCGAATGGTTCCTCGTGCAACCGGCTCAGTCTGGGAGAAGGCCTGCTGTATAATCCGGATCTGATTCTGTATACTGATGAGAGTACAACACTGTGGAAGACGTTAGAGCAGATCTACTCACTGTCAAGCCCTACCTTATATCCCACCGTCATAGTGTTTGCCATGCCACCCCATCCAGATCAAAGGTCAACCCTGCCTTTAAAGGCACCTTTATTGGACGATGCGTGGCTTGAAGGCAAGCGTGCACAGGGACGTGATGGAAAGAAATCACAGGATGTGTGTTCAGGTCGACGTGATGGAGATGTGGTTAGAAGCTTCATTGCAGCAAGACTACATACGCGTCTCGCCAAAGGCTGATGAACCATGCAAGCACCTCCCGTGGCTTCGTAGCACTTTGAAGTCGTCGCCTCCCATTCGTGCAACGGTAGCCATCGAACCATGCATTCCTTCGACAACCTCCTACTTGAGCGGGATGAAACGCGAAGAGTGCGTAGCACCGATACCTGGCCTTCCGTGCTTGACAGGCTTGCTGCATAGATTGTTAGCGTCGCCGGAGCGTCAATTCTGCCCAGAGTTCCAACTTACTAAGAGATAGAGAACTCAGCAAGATAGTGTCCCACCATCTCCGGCTTAATCTCCACCTGGTTGAACTCCTTGCCAGAGTACACACCCACCACGCTGCCGATCATCTCCGGCACGATGATCATGTCACGCAGGTGCGTCTTGACGGTGTCGGGCTTCTCGTTGGGTTTGGCCTCCTGCTTGGCCTTGCGCAGCTTCTTGATCAGGCCCATGGGCTTGCGCTTGAGACCACGGTTGAACCGGCGGCGGGCGCGGGCGTGGACGACATCGCGGAGTTGCTCGGAGGAGAGGTCGAGGAGTCTGCAATGCGAGAAGGATGAGGTTAGTGACGCTGCCCGTGGTTGTGGTGGTGGGTCGAGGATGTATGGTCGTACTCGTCAAGGTCGATGCCGCGGTAGGAGAACTTGCGGAAGGCTCTCTTCTTCTTCAACTCTGTGATGCGCAACACATTGTATCAGCCGATATCCTATCTTCCTGCGCCCCTTTGTGGCCTGTCCACAGGGTTTTCACTCATGTCTGCGTACCGGCTGCCTCTTCGGCGTTCTGCGAGAGCGTCAGCATGTCTTCCATCGAACAGTGCGAAAGCTGTTCGTACGTATTCCTGATCGGCCATGGTTGCTGTTGTCGTGTGATGCCGTGGGTGGATGTCGTAAGCTGAAGTTCGATGGTTGACGTTGGGTGGTCAAGCAAATTCGAGGTGCGGAGCTTGCCAAGCAATGGATTTCAAGATCACGTGACTTGAGCAGTCATCAAAATTATCACAGGCCGGCGATGTCGTTGCATGAAGATGCATGCATTGGGCAACAATTATAGGCAATTGAAAACGGAGTTGGGAGCAACGGATATGGCGCGAGAGGATCGTGGAGCAACAATAGTCAGGACTCTTGTTCGTCGGAAGCTACGTGCAAAGAACTGTCACGCTGGGAAGACAGTGCAGCACAGCGCATGCAAAGAGCGCCATGTGCACGCAAACCCTTCGTTCTCGACCTTCTTGTAGAGCCTCCTCGGACCATAGACTGATTCCTCCTGCTTTCCTTGCAGCACGCTTAGTCGAACAGACCGAAGCCCATGTCCTCGTCCGACTCCTCCTTCTCCTCTTCCTTCTCCTCCGCCTTCGCAGCCTCTGGCGCAGCATCACCGCCAGCGGCAGCGGCCGGAGCAGCACCACCTGCCGCAGCGCCGCCCGATGGGACGGATGCGAGCTTGGTCTGACCCTCCGAGATCAGCTGGACAATACGTTAGCCTGTTATTCCCTTGAAACTTCGCCGCCCTTGTAGAGCTACTGTTCGCGGATATGTACCTCGTTGATGTCCTTGCCCTCGAGCTCCTTGAGCAGAGAATCGAGACGGTCGCCGTCGGCCTCAACACCGACTGCGGAGAGGACTTCCTTGACATCGCTGGCGGAGGGAGACTCGTTGCCGCCGAGGGTGAGGAGGAGGTATGCTGCGAGGTGCTTCATTTTGGTTGGTGCTGTTCCATGGTCAGTCTTGTCATTTCATAAACTGCAGTTGTGCGCCTGGCATACTTTTTGGGTTGTGGTGTTTCGAACAAGAGAATCAATCAATTTAAGCGCTGACGATGTAGCGCAGACTGAGACTTCGAGTCCTTGATGTAGTTGTGTGGTTCGAGAGAGGTGGTATGAGTCGCAGTCGGCGGTGTCTTGAATTGAAGCCGCCTCGAATTTCGTGCGGGCGATATCTTGGCGAGGCGCTGAGGCGCTAGTCCGGAAGCGGCGGAGCAACGTCGGGTGCAGCGAGACGTCAGCTGTTTGCACTCTACAGCAAACACTCTACTCTACATCATTCTTCTTCTGATCACGAACTTATATTCTTTATAGTTCCCGCGACCGCCGTCAAGATCACCATGCTCATTCGATAACCCAGACTTCAAAGCTGCAACGAACATGTCGGTAGGTATAATGGGTGACTCCCAACATGCGACCAACGGGATAACGACTGACTCACTTCGGTAGTCCTTCAGCTCCATCCTCCAGTCCCTCGGTGGCCAGCAACAACAGGGAGCACAGCAGGGTCCTGCCAAGCAGCCAGCATCTTCAGCCTCTAGACTGCAGATCAACGGACAACGAGCCCAGTCATCCAGCAATGTTGCGAACGGGGCCAAGCTTACACCAAACAACGCGGCGGCAGGAGTGAAGCGGAAGTCAGCAGAACCGGAGATTGCTGCATCTGCGAAGACTGCGAGAACCACTCCTGCAGGCAGTGCTTCCTCTCGATTCCAGCTCGCGCCAAAAGCTGTCTCACAACAGCGACCAGCAACCACAGCGGCAACCTCTAGCCCAGGGCCACGACAACCGACATCGTCGTCTCAACGTCCGTCCTCGGCAACACCCACATCATCCGCCACAACGAACGCCGCCCCTGCACCAAAACGAGGTTACCTAGCCGCCCTCGAACGCGGCAAAGCAGCCCACCAAGCGACCGCCAAGACCGCCTCAACACCCACCTACAAGAACGAGCCCACAAAACGCATCCCCACAAAACGCGAACGGGAAAGAATGAAAGCCGAAGCAAAAGCACAGCAGCGAGCAGGAGGCAAGAGCCTTGTGGACCGGAGCAGATCCAACACGCCTCTAACAGGCCGAGCAGGCGCCGCCGCCGCTGCAGCGCCGCTACCAAAGAAAGTCCCGAAACCGGAGCTGAGCTACAAAGGCACGATGAAATCCGCCTCAGCTCCCGCGGAACCCGCTCGCCCATCCACACAATCAAAAGCCAAACCCGCGTCTTCCCGCTCCCGAATTAACGAGTACGCCGACTGGGACGAGCTCGATGAAGTCGATGACTACGGGGAGGAGGACGAAGACGAAGGAGGCTACGTTTCAGACGCGTCTTCAGATATGGAAGGCGGGTTTGACGATGTGCAGAAGGAGGAGATGATGTCGCGCAAGCTGGCGCAGAAGGAGGATGAAGAGGCGTTGGCGGAGGAGGAGCGGCTCAAGCGGGAGAAGGAGGCGAGGAGGCGGAGATTGGCGCAGATGAATTCTGCTGCTGCTGCGGGGAGGAAGAGGTACTGAGGAGATTGATGGGCTGGCAACGATGAACGATCAATTGGCTTATGAACCATGATGGTGATATTGAACTGGAATAGAGGGTCCGGGATGAGTCTTTGATTTCATGCATGAATTTGCTCTCTTTAGCGTTCTCATTACACTAGCGTCATGGCGAACCCGAACGCATGGTAGTTACACATATCCACCTGTGACCTCCCTTGATCACTGGACCTTCTCGGACGGAACGCTCTGCAAGTCTGCCACTCAACACCATGAATGCACTCCCCCAATCACGCGGCACATAATATCCATTCTCACATCCCCTCCCCCTTCACCGCCCCATCAACCTTCTCCTCCTCTCCCTCTTTACCCTCCTGAAGCACCTCCGGCCGATACTTCCCCACCATCTTCCCCACCGCCGCCCGTCCCAACTTATTCTCCCGCCATATCCTCACCGCACACTCGACCGCCCCGTTCCTAACAGGCGGCCGCAGCATGGCGAGGTACAGCAGGGTCTGCGCCGCAAGACTCACGCGTTCCGGGTCCTCGGCAAGTTTCTCGATGCGGGTCCAGATGCCGTGGTCTCCTGCACCTGCACTCCCATCGAGTCCAGCGGTGCCTGATGGGAGATAAGGGATCTCGGAGAGTAGGCGAATAAGGTAGCGTCCGTCTTTGGTATCGATGTAGGGGAGTAGGGCGTCGAGGAAGTGGAGCGTGAGGTGCGTGTAGTTGGACATGGCTGAGGATGGGGAGGCGAGTTTCTCGGCGTACCATTCCTCGTTAAGCCAGGCGATGGCGATGTCGAGGCGGCGGCGCCAGTCGTCGAGGATGTAGGTGTGGAAGGCTGCGCGAAGTTTGTCGGGGAGAATCTCATCCTGGAATCCTTGCTTGGTGAGGGCGCGGTCTTCGTTCTCGCGCTTGATCGTGTCGGTGGCGCCGTCGAGGTTCATGTTGGGAGCGCTGGATTCAAAGGCAGGGCGTGTGGCTAGGCGGGTAAGGAGGGCGACCCAGCCGTCGCGGTCTTGGGACCCAGTCGCAGCAAGCTGGCTGAAGCCTTTCTCCTTCTCGTCTCCAGGCTTCTTGGTCCTCTTTGCGGCTTCCGTGTCGAGCTCGTGCAATGTTATGAAGAGTCTGTCCTTTGCTGTTTCCGAGTACGTTGTGCGTTCTTCTTCCGTCAAAGGCGGTGGTGACGGGAAGTGGAAGGGTGCTGTCGCGAGCTCCGGCTGGCCTTGTAGTGGAGGTAGCTGGTCGACCTGGTTCGCGATTTGCTCTCCGTCGCCGAAACCCATATCAGGATCGTAGTCGTCATCTTCTTCGTCTCCAGTCGGCGCTGTGGGAGGTGGACGCCGTTGCATTTCGAGGTACCGCGCCCTTACGACGTTAATTGCGGCTTCAAATTGTGCTGAATTGATCGAAGATAGCAGAGGCGGGATGATCTGAGCGAGGACATGTTGCGGTACGGCCTCGGCGTGAAAGCCTGCCATATTCGAATCGTTCGTGAGAGTCCACAACTGCGCCCCGCTGACGGGTCCAGGTGGCAGCGGTGGGTATTGCTGCTGCTGCGGAGTCATCCCACTTTCAGCCTCACGATCGAGCTTCTGCCTTTTATCATCACTCAGCCCGTCGACTGGCTCGTCCGGTGCACCACGCTTGAGCGGATTGTGCTCGGAGAAGACATCGGTCAGAGTCTGCCGCAGCCGCTCGATTTGGTGCTGTATCCGCCCCGCGAGCGCTTGAGTCGGATTGCGTTTGTACACGTTCGTCAAGAAGGACATGGTGGTGCGTGTCATACTCCTGACCGCGACCTTGTCCTTGCCCTCCAACTTGCCCGTTCCCGCAAGCGTAAGCGGGTTGAATGCCAGAACCGTGGACAGAATCTTCGCGGCAATACTCGGCCGCCTCTGCACAAGCGACGACAGCGCATTCAGGGTCGCCGTCGCAATGAGGGGGTCGCTGATGTTATCCTGCAACACACCCAGCAGACGATCTAGCAACCCAGATGCCTCAGCCTCCAAGTTCGAGTATGAAATAAGCTTGTGGTCACGCGGCACGAGCGCAAGACTGATCTCGTTCTGTTCCGGCCTCCTAGGATCCGCAATGACGCCCTGAGTCTGCACAAGCACCACAGACGCGACGAACTTGATACAGCACACGCGTACACCACCAGGCGCGCTGTCCATCCGCCGCAAGATACTGCTCTTCATGCTCGCCATCTTACCCCACGTCTCCGCGTCGTCGACATTGGTTGCGGTATGCCGGAATACGAGGGGGTATATACTGGCAGCACATTGCACTGCGCTCTTCACGACTGTCCAGTCTTCGTCCTCCCCATTCTCCTCCTTCCGTAATAGGTAGCTCTTCAATGTGTCAAGCACGGTAAAGCACATGCTCTGCTTCTCCTCCGCGCTCACCACCGGCGAGGCGAAGGTCTCTGCGAGGAAGTCGGCACCCCATCTTCGAAGCTCGACGGGGCGCTCGGGGCCAATGACGGGGAGCACGCCGTTGACGACTTGAGGATAGATGGCCGCGTCTTTGAGCACGATGGAGCGCGCCGAGTTGAGCTGGGTGATTGTATCGCTGTTGTCGGCCATGCTGGCGAAGATGGATGGGGGTTATGGGAGGTGCGCGAGGTCACAGCAAACTATCTACGCTAAGCATTTGCCCATGCAGCACAGCACCCATATAGTCCCCTGAGGCGTGCTGTCAGGAGAAGCGTATGGTCGAGCGTAAAGTGGTCAAGCGCAGCTCCAAAGCTGGTATGGCTGATGTGGTGTTGTCGTGAAGTTGCGCGTTAATGGCAGCAGTTGACAGCAGATGTCGTTGAAGCTGTGAGGCGCTGGCTCATGCCAAGCTGTGATTGGCCAGCTAAGCGAGGCTCGATTGGGCGATCATATGTCAAGACTCCGACTTTATGGAAGACTGCATCTCAACTTCAATACAACGATGAGGCCGACACAAAGATTACGAATGCCCTTGGGCAGGTATGGTATAGTCTCATACCACGGTAGAATAATGCTGACCATACCCAGAGCCCCTCAATCATCCTACTACGACCAACAGAACCGACCCGGCACCGCCCTCTACCGCGCCCGCCAACCCTACCTCGTCAAGAACGCCATCACGGGAGTGTGCATAGTCGGCTTCGTCGCCGCTGTCTGTGCGTCGAGAACACCAGAAAGACGTCATGGTAGAAGTATTGGGGCTGATGAGAGACGAGCAGATACGTTCACGATCAAAGCGATCGGACAAGACGACTTCTCCGACGTCCCTATGCCTGATGCACCAGCGCAACCCGCCCATGCGCCGCATATGAGCGCAGTACATAGCGCTGGGAAGTCACAATGAGTAAGGTGGATCGAAAGGCGTTTGAATTGGAGGTATGATGTGCTACGGTACCAGCATTTGGCGGCGTTTGAGAGTCGGGACAACGTCGGGTGAACGTTGCTTTCATCAATATGTGTTATATAGCCCTGTAACGCCTCCGCATCAGACATTGCACGTCCTTCGACAAGATCCACAGCTTTATTGTGCAGCTGTGAGCTGGTGGCGGTGGCTGTGCAAGCTCAGCAAGGCTCGCTGAAGTATTCTTCAACCCTCCACGAACTTGAGTCGATTGTCTTTCCCAAGGGTCAAGCTACATCCATGGCGAGTACTGACGTGCTAATGTCTCAGTCTACAGAAACACCGTCTGGTTCTGGCGACACCAACGCTGCGCAGGACTTCCAGCACACACCGCTCGAGGATGCCGCCAAAGAGATCAAACTTCTCCATATACTACCGGAGACTACCACTGGCCATCTCAACTTCGAGCTGCACGCCTACCAGCGCGATGCGGCACCTCCGTACGCCGCCATCTCCTACGCCTGGGGAGAGCTGAAGTACTGCAAGGCCATCACCATTCAGCACCGCGAATTTCGGGTAACGAGCAACTGTCACTACGCCCTGCAACAGATCGTACATCAACACCTCGCATCGCCGGAGTACGAATACTACTGGATGGACTCGCTCTGCATCAACCAACAGGACAACGAAGAGAAAGGCATCCAGGTCAGGTTGATGTGGGAAACGTTCTCGGAAGCCGCACATGTTTTCTCCTGCGTCGGTCCTCGTGCGGACGACAGCGAATACTTGTTTGAGCTGCTACTACAAGCCTGGCAGTCCGCTCAGAAGATGACAGGACCTCTGGCGACCACGATTCGTGCCGCCTTCGAGCTGACGATCTATCGTAATAGTAGGTCGACCATTCCGCACGTTTCTCCGTTTGGATTAGGCCGCCGTGCCGATGTTGCTCTGGATCCCTTCGTACATCGTGCGTAGTGGCGTCGCCTTTGGATCGTCCAAGAGCTCCACGCTGCTTGCGCGATCACCCTTCTTTGTGGGATATGTCCACATTCGCAACTTCCGGTCGTCGTGGTTACAGCGCACCTCGGCTCACAACACAGTGGGACCTTACAGAACATTGTGAAGGAGGGTCCCCAAGATGGCGCTCCTCGCGTGGAAGTCTGTCTGTGCGGCTCCCGCCATGCCGACTGGAGTCGTTGGACCAACATAAGTAACACTGGGCGCAAACTATGGGTCAACCATCGGTGGGAGGGCTTCCTCCAGTATGACCACATCTTTCTTGCCTTCGCTCGCTTCGAATGTTCAGACTTCCGCGATAGGCTTTACGCGCTACTCAGGCTCATTGAGTGGCCGAAGTGGATACGCTTTGACATGAAAGCCATCGAGCCAGATTACACGATTTCAAGATTCAGTTTGTTGCTACAATGGGCGACCTTTCTGCGCCGGAAAGATGGTTACAGCCGACATGGATGGAGTCTTGCTAGTTGTGTCATTGGTCTCATGGAAGCGCTGGAGATGGACAGCTCCGACCACGAGCTATCAGGCCTTGTGCAATCGAGACTCGCGAGGGATGCGCGGCAGTGGCAGCGGATGGTAGCAGGCACGAAACTAGTGAATGAGTGGGGTGGACCTTCCAGATACGAACCCGAACTAAGGACTGCGACCATGCTAATGCTGACGCCGACATCTTGGAGAGCAGTCTTCCGGGGAGAAGCGGACCGTGGATCGCTCTTTCGTGCTGACTGCCACGTCGAGGTGCATCCGAACAAAGAGTCAGGGAAGACAGTGGTCGTTGAAGCAAAGGAAACTCAGGACGAAAGTGGGTACTGGCTCTTCAAAGGGGGAAAGAACGAATTCCGGGCAATCTGTGGTCTTATCATCACTACTCTTCCTCTGAATACTATCACCCCTGCTTGCTTCGACTGACACACATGAAATACCCGGCACATGGCCATCCTGTAGCTACGTTGATCCGACCGGATGGGGAGCCATGCGGGAAGGTGCACATCGATCCGATGAGGTTGAGCTGGTTGGTAGTGTCCTGGTAAACATCGACAAGCCACCGCGGTGCAAGTTCGGTACGTCTCCCACGACCGTTATAAACTAGACGATGATCAAAATCACGCATCTGCACTGGCGGATCTAGACATTGCTTCGAAGTTAGCCATCTGGACTCGCAGCAACGGGCTCGCGGAACGATTGAAGTTGTCCCAGTCGAGAGGACTTCACATCTCCGTAATGCTGTGGGGTAGCATGGTGCTTTGCAGAGTCTCAGCCGAAACCGTCAAGTAGGGGCAGGGCCGGTCGAATGAGCTTCTGGGTGTCACGGCCCTTAACACCTCCTCGGACGAATGCACGCAGTACTCTGTCATCCACGGAACTTCATTGTTGATGAACGGAATACGACGGCGACCATGGGAGGCTCTGTTTATCTTGTAACTTGACGTACCGGTACAAACACAGTACCGGTTATTGCTTACGAGCGCCGCGACCAGAGCTGGGACGTCTTTGTAGAACGCACTGCGATTCTGTCGCAACAACAAGTGGGCACTGGCAAAAGCAGATGGGGTAGATGGACTTTCAGAGGAAGATTCTAGGAGCAGGTAACGGATGGGTCGGTCGTCATGAGCCTTGCTGGCAGGCTGCGCGATCTTTGTGAGGACCTCTTATTCGTTATCATGAGCCTTGCTGGCAGGGTGGGCGATCTTTGTGAGGATCTTTTGTTCGTCATTATGTCGATTGTTCGAGGAGATGTGGTTCGCATCAGGCAGGAGTATCTAGGCGATAGCAAGGACCGCGCAGCAAACATGGCGACCAGTACAAGAATCAATATGAAGTAGTAAGATCCCCCTTCCCACCCCTCTCAAGACCACATACAGCAACCTGACCTGATATAGCTTCAACTCATGAGCGTACAGTATACTTGCGCGCAGGGCAACTAGCCCGCCACATAGCTTTGTCGAGTGGACAGTTCCATCCGGACAAGTGACCGTTCATTTGCATGTGAATATATTGCGGGCCATACCGCACCTCCTACCTCTTTTGGACCAGGCCCTTCCAGTCCCTTCCTTCACAAAGTTCACCTTCGATACGCCTTGCACCTTGTCACCCCCCTTCCTCACCACACCGCATCTTTCCTGGCATCCTTATACAATTCACAATGCTCGGACAGTTCCCAACGTTCGACGACGGCAACGTTACGATACGCCTGCATACCGACAGCACCCTCAGACTGCATAGCCAGATCCTCGCACTCCATTCCAAATGGTTTGAAGCGAATCTCAGCAAACGATGGACTGGACTGCGGGAAGGTAACTCCCCCGATGCCGCGACCAACCAATTCGCCTACCAGCTACGATTCGATGAGGACTCCGCGCTCGCTATGTACGTTCTCGAAAGCGCCTGTACAGAAGGTGAATTCGTCGATGGCAACGTGCAAGTCGACGAGGAGCAAATGTCAGAGGCGGAAGTAGAGCTGTTGGTCGGGCGGCGCGCCGTCATCAAGGCACACTACGACATGTTCCGGCTCATGTACCACGTCCCAGTGCACACGGTATACAGTCTTGAGAACAGCTTCGTCGAGTTCTTCGAAAAAGACACCCTTGCGCAGCATCAAGTCGGCATGGCGTATAGCTGTGAACACATCTCGGGACCATGGATCGATAAGAGCTTGATCGAACATCGGGCACCGATCCTAGATGCACTGTCGTCGCAGTCCCGTCGACATGCTGGAGATTGCGGTGACGTACAAGTCGAGCTGGATGTTCAAGGAAGCAGCCGGTCATCTCGTCGGCACAAGCAATCAGTCCTGGGTAGATGCGCAAGACCGCCTAGTCGAACTCAAGCTGGGTGATCTGTTCGGCAAGAAGCGGAGCGAATTCATCTCGAAACTCCATTCGACAGATTCAGACCTCTTCAGAATGTCTGTCAAGGCTTCGCATCTCGGAGAAGAGCCCACGCACGCATTCTTCCGGAAATGGCTGGCGATCAAGCTCAACACACACCAAGGCCAGCATTTCCTAGGTGACAGGTACTCAGAGACGTACCGCAGGATCGCGCAAGAAAAGTACGAGGGGAATTCGGTCGATGTCGAGTATGCTCTGGGAATGTACCTGCAGTCACTGTACGGCACCTGGCATAGTAGCGGCGACATTCGGAAGATGTTGGGGTCTCTTCACAAAGTGGCCAGGCATGCCAAAGGTGTTGTAGAGGGCATCGTGCGCAGCAAGACGGAGATTGAGGGTCGGAAGCCGGATGGATGCTCGGATCTCTTCTGTGCGCTGACTTTCGTAGAGATCAAGGATAAGGAGCTTCCTTGGATGCGGCTTGTTAAGGAAGGTGGACGTTGAAAGGATTGAACAGTAGCTCGATAGCATCTCCCGAAGGGCTAAGTTCACCATCGAGCATCTCCTGGTCACAACTACGGCTGCAAAGTACGTTGGACCTGGAGAGTACCGACCGCTGTTGTATGGCGGGATCTTTCGCAGGCACGTTCTGTGGATGAAGAGGGAAAGAATTCTGCTGGAGAGGAACGTTAGCGCCAGCAAAACTAAGCACGTCGGTCCGTTGAGTGGGCAAATGCCGACAAAGGAGGGAGCTTAGATTGAGGACAGTTAATGGGGCTCACAGGCTGAGTAGACTATGAGCATGCTGCCCACCAAAATGACTAGAGAAAGGACGTACCAATTTAAGCCAACTCGTGGATCATTGATTGCTCGCAAATGTTGAATCGCTAACCCCAGGACCACCGCCTAAGCTTGCGCCCGTTGACCATCATCTTGTAGAATCGCCAAATCTATTCATCTATGCATGACCATTCGCAAGCCCACTGGCCAGCCCATTCGTGATCTTAGGTCCAACAACCGCCTTCTCTATTGCTTGGAGCGCATCCGCTACTAGATCGTTACCATCCTCCACACCACAGCTGAGCCGTACAAGATCATCGAACACGCCAGCAACCTCCCTCTGTTCCTTGGGAATGCCAGAGTGTGTCATGCTACTCGGCACTTCGCACAGGCTCTCCACGCCACCGAGCGACTCGGCCAGTGTGAAGATCTGTGTCTCCTGGCAGAAGCGCTCGGCTGCTTCTTGACCTCCCTTGAGCCGGAAAGAGAGCATACCGCCGCCTAGACCGTCTCGGTGCTGCTTCAGCGCGATCTTGCGTTGCTTGTGCGATGGGAGACCCGGGTAGTTGACAGCCTGAACATTCGGTGACCGCGAAAGTGCTTCCGCAACCATCAGACCGTTCCTGCTCGCCTCCTTCGCTCGCAGATGCAGTGTCTTGACACCTCTGTGCGCGAGCCAGCAGTCAAACGCCGAAGGTACGGCACCAATGGCATTCTGCAGAAAGCTCAATCTCGTCCACAGCTCCTCCGAATTGAAAGCCGCCACCCCCATCAAGACATCGGAATGCCCGTTGATGTACTTCGTCACGCTGTGCACCACGATATCCGCGCCATGCTCGAGTGGGTTCTGGATGTACGGCGAGAGGAAGGTGTTGTCCACTACAACCATTATCCCGCTGCGATGCGCGATATCTGCCACCGCTCGGATATCCACAAGCGACAGCGTAGGGTTCGAGGGCGACTCGATCCAGATCAGCTTAGTCTCCGGTGTGATCAACTCCTCGATATCCAGCTCGATGGACGGTGTGAACGTCACCCGCACGCCGTGCGCCGAGGCGACTTTTGTGAAGTATCTGTGTGTTCCACCATACACGTCTGAGACAGATATGACATGGCTGCCAGCCGCTAGACTCTGCAGTATATTTGCTGTCGCCGCCGACCCAGAAGCGTACGCCAGCGCATATCGTCCCCGTTCTAATGCTGCGATCGCCCGCTCAAAGTTGAGTCTGTTCGGGTTCGATGATCGCGTGTATTCATACTCTCCAATCGGCTTGCCTACTGAGCTTTGCGCGTATGTTGTGCTGAGGGAAATGGGTTCTATGACCGCTCCTGTCGTTGGGTCTATGGGAGACCCCGCATGGACGGCGAGGGTACCGAACCGGTGGACTGGCGATGGCGCGCGCGGTGGTGTCTCGATAGGGTGGTCGCCGGGGAGGCTCATGTCAGGCAGACTCGTGGTATGAGCTGCTTGAAAAGTGAGGTGGCGGTATGCTGGCTACAGTGAAGTCAAGCGGTCTGTCGATGGTATGCGGGGGGGGTGGGTCGTGGGGAGTTCGAGTCCGAGGATTGACAGTTGAGAGGACGTCGCAGGTCGAGGATGTCTTTGTAGTAGATGTAGTGCGAATAGGATGGGATTAGATTAATACGTGATCTAGAGACTTTTCCTTAGCAATCGCCTCAATTGCATAATCAATCCATTCTTTTGCGTTGGACATTGCTGGATTCGGGCTGGCGTGAATGATTTGCTGCAGGCACAGCGATCACGACATATCGGGCGGATTCAGGTCCGTCGCTTTGTTGCTTGAAAGATACTCGACAACGACGGGACTGTTGGAAAACGGATACATGGCTACAGGATGGATATTGGCACTGATTGCGTCGAGAGCCTTGCGCTGTCAAACTACAACTCGACAACCCGTCAAACTATTCCCCAGATCCCCACCACAGATCCATGCTGATAATGTTTCCCTTGAGTCCTTGTACGGCCCTTCGAACCTCCTTGTCCTGCAAGAGACAGCCTGCACACGTCGGAGAAAAGCAAAACAACAAGGAGCACGGCTAGAAGACGAAGAAAATGCAAAAAAGAACACCCATGCTTTAGCCACTCATTCTCATCACTTCATCTGTGACTCGGACTCATGTTGAAATGTCGAAAGCATTAGCCAACTAACCGATCGCTTGCACTGGCAGCACTACCGGGTCATCGTTGCCAACTCGCTGTCCCAGGTCTGCCTCAATTCCTAATGAAATTGCGACCGAGCTGGTTGAACTGTCGATGAGATTTGCGGGCCAAGAACAAATGGCCACTAGGACTCGCATTTGATTCTTAACGTCCAGAATTTATGAAAGTAATATAATCCTTGCTGTTGCGCTTCCGAGGTTGGGCCGGGGGATGAGGTGAGGTCGTGAGTGGTTCTTTTGGTTGCTTCTTTGGCCACTCGCATGGAGTGATACTGTTGATTGGAGAAACGGAGAACTTGGAAGGTGTTGCACGAAGTGAGTAACCTGCCTTGAATTTTTGACTTCACTCCTTGCGACAACATCAGAGGCGGCCTCTGCAGTGGATCAAACCACGCGGCATGTCCTCTCCCTTCAATGGCGAGCCGGTCCCAGTCACGTTCCAGCCTGCGAAGGCTCTTATCAAGGAGGCTCTTAGCATCCATTGGGACCTTCTCGTAATGCTCCCTTCTCTCACGGTCTCGAGTATGACGCGCTGCTTGGCAAGTCCTGTGCAGGAGTGTTTTGATGGCCATTACCTCCAGTCGTGTGCATATGTGAGGGACCGTGAGCTTGGAAGGCGTCATCCGCAATGCTTCCTTGATGAGCGAATCACCCGATGGTCTTCGGTGGCACATCACTCATCAGGTAGTTTACCGGTAGCGCCAACAAGCTCCAGCTCTGCCTTGTCAATACGTTTCAGCAAGAACGAAAGAGTGGCATCCCTTGCCTTCTCCAGCATCTTTAGCCGCTCCAGAGGCAGGCTTGTGTAGTCCATCAAAGGCTTCACATCCGCCGCAGGTTGCACATCAGGAACGGGTTTTCCATCCGCTTCTCCACTATCAGGCGCAGCCTTTGCCTGCTTGACCTTCTCCTCCTTCTCCAGCGCCAAAGTCCTGAGCACAGCAATGCTCTGATCCCGCTCAGCAAGCGTCTTGACAAGCCTCTTCGTTTCCGCCTCGTCAGCCTCCATCTTGCGCTTCTTCGCTTGCTCCTCTGCCACAGAGTCCTTCCACTTCTGAACAGCTGCCCTAGCACAAGTCTCAATATGCTCAAACCTCACCGGACCAAGCAGCACACCGCCATACCAGCGCGCCACGACACAAGCTCCCATGACCTGCATCCCATCCAGTACTTTCTCTACCTTCTTCCCGGCATACTTCTCCCCATCATCGTCGTGGTCGGTCGTGTACTTCATGCCGCCCGTGATAGACTGCTGGTTGCTCTCGCGTCGCCATGCTAAGATCTTGTGGCTTGCGCTCTTGATCTCGTCTAGCGATTGTAGTTCCTTGGGCTTTGAAGTGGGCGAGAAGAAGCCGACGAAGGTTGACGAGCGGTCGTCGATCGGAGCAGAGCGGAAGATGGGCGCGGAGTCTGCTGGCTCTTCGGAGCGTTTGCGCTTTTGCGACATGGTTGTTGTTGACCTCACGAGCCATCAGCGGCCCTGCGGTGTAGCGACTACATCTGTGTTAGTGATTGTGAGCGAAAGTGAGGTTGTCCAAAGGAAGTGATGTTTCCGGCTGCGCGGGTGCCTGAGGGTCAAGCAATCACGTGCACGACATTCCGCCGGGTTGCTTTGGTTAGCATCATGTAAGGTTTTCCTCCGGGCATTAAAGGCATGTCATCATCTCTCGCTGATCGGATGAAGCCGGCGTCGAAGAAGCAGGCTGTTCGCGATTCTCTAACCACTAGTTGATTCCTCCAGCAGCGCATAGCAGATTCAATTCTCGTTCAAAGACGAGCTATTGGGTGCCCAACATGGCCGACTCACAAAAGATCGCAAAGATTCTGGTCGAAAGCATCTACAATGCTGGAGTTCGAGTCGTCTTTGGCATTCCTGGTATGACATTGATCATAGAACTAGGACGGAAGCAAAGACTAACGCTTCAGTAGGCGCAAAGATCGATGCCATATTCGATACGCTCTCGGACCATCCGGAGATCAAGTTGATCATCTGCAGGCATGAACAGAACGCGGCCTTCATGGCTCAAGCAGTCGGCCGTATCACGGGCATACCAGGAGTTGCCATCGCCACCTCTGGTCCAGGCGCCGGGAACCTCACTACAGGCCTAGTCACTGCAACGACCGAAGGAGACCCAGTAGTAGCTCTGGTAGGCTCCGTACCGCGACTGCTCAACACCAAGCATACGCATCAGTCTATGAGGGCACTGGATATCCTCAGTCCGACGGCGAAGTCGGCAGCGAGCATCGATGTCGAAGACCAGGCGGCTGAGGTGATACTGGCAGCTTTCCGGACGGCGAACTCGAATCCCAAGGGCAGCGCTGTCATCTCCATACCAATGGATGTTGCATCAGGAAGCTCGAAGATCACTGCATTCGATCCACCAGCCTTTCATGGACCACTGTTTGGCCCTTCTCAAAAGGAGGATGTGCAGAAGGTTGCGAAGATGATTGACAATGCAAAGCTTCCGGTTCTCTTCCTTGGCCAGAGAGCCAGCAGTCCTAGAATCGTGGCAGCTGTGCGTTCAGTGCTCAAGAGACATCCCTTCGCCGTAGTAGAGACCTTCCAGGCCGCAGGTGCGATACCAGAAGATCTGGCGAAGCATGTCTTCTTCGGCAGGGTTGGACTCTTCCGCAACCAGACCGGCGATAGACTACTTCAGCAGTCGGATTTGGTACTCACCCTTGGCTACGATCCTACAGAGTACGACGCCAGTTCTTGGAACCCGAACGGAAAGCTGAACATTATCCACATCGACTTCACTTCTTGTGACTACGGGGCGTACTATCATCCGAACATGGAGCTACTTGGTTCCGTACGGGAGAACATCCTGGCCATCTCCGAGGCAGTCACGCATGTCACAGACCCAGCACAAGACGAGTTCTGCCAGGGCTTGAGCAGAGAGCTCATCTCATGGCAAAAAGATCTCGACAAGACTACCGGCGAGAAGAGCCTGGTGCATCCCTTACGCTTCGTTTCGGCATTGCAGAAACGAGTGTCAAAAGACACAACAGTGACCTGCGATGTCGGAACCGTCTACATATACATGATGCGCTACTTCTTCGCCTACGAGCCACGAAAGCTCTTATGCTCGAACGGCCAACAGACCCTCGGTGTCGGAATGCCGTGGGCTATAGCGGCATCGCTTGTTCAAGACCCACCCTGCTCGGAGAAGGTCGTCTCCCTGAGCGGCGACGGCGGCTTCATGTTCTCAGCACAAGAGCTCTCAACGGCTGTTCAGCAAGGCTGCAACATCACGCACTTCATCTGGAATGATGAGCACTACAACATGGTGGAGTTCCAGGAGGAGATGAAGTATGGGCGGAGCAGTGGCATCTCGCTCGGTGGCGTCGACTTTGTCAAGTTTGCCGAGGCCTTTGGCGGTAAGGGCTTCAGGATCCATGATAACTCCGAAGTCGAGTCGGTGATGGAGCAGGCTCTGGCGCACAAGGGGTTGAGTCTGGTGGATGTGAGGATTGATTATAGTCATGCTAAAAATTTAGCTGGCAATCTCATCCAGGACTCCGTGGGTTGAGGAGGCCTAATGCAAGGGAAAATGGACCGGCTGAGCTCCGTTCATGAAGGAATGTAGCAATCTAACCCTCCACTTCTTTCACCCCAGCATCATCCGTAACCAGTTTCGCCGCATTGAAGTCATCGCTTGTCGGCAGCTCAACATGCACGTTCGACGCCACTGCCATCTGCATCTCCACGTTCTTCGCAGTTATTTCTAGCACATGTCCACCAGCTGTCCGGTCATTCGTGATGAAATGAAGATGCTCACCCGCCACACCAAAACCTTGCCAGTTCTTCGGCGTTCGGAATCCAATAATGGTCCCGTCCACATTCTCATACGTCTCCACAGACTGCTTCTTCCCCAGCTCCGAAAGCGGCTGTCCCTTGTACTCCTGCCCGCGCACGGTTCGGCATTTCAGGTATTCGAAACGGCCATTGATCCGGTAGCTCATGAACAGATTCGCCGCGTGGTCGTTGAACGTGTTGAGAAGGGCATCGATGTCGTTCTTGTCGTCAAGTTGAACCTCCTTGGTCTGCTGAGAGACGAACTGCGTGCTGACAGCGAACGGTATCTGGTCTGTCTCGTCTGCTTCGCGGATGTTGCCTTCGGCTTGCAGTTGGTAGACTTTTCCGTCCAGGAATAAGAGCTCGCCGTTCATTCGTGCGAAGGTGCCGAGGCCTTGGTTGCCTTTTGATGCGAGTTTAAAGACCGATATGCCGGTTTCGCTAACGCCGTCCATCAAGGCGTTGAGGAGGGAGTATTGGTAGATGTGGTTGTCTTCCATGATGTTTTCGTTAGGCCAGGTTTGACGTTAACCAGATTCAGGAGGTCGATGGTATGACGCTCGAGAACTTCTCACAGTGAGCAGCAGAGATATGGAAGAAGGCAAAGATACTAAATCGGAGAAGGAACTATGAAAGGAATGTTGCACTCGAAGATGAAGTTGTGTTCAAGCCGTAAAGTTCCGTGAGCAGAAGTCCACCTTAGGAGAGGTGGGCTGTTCTCGCGATGTCTCATACGTTGGACATGAGAACCTGAGTAGTTGTGTTAACGTCTCGTGTCGGCATAATTGAGCAGCAGCATGCCGTATGATCGAAGGGTCCAACAGGTCATATCGCGTTCATGTGTCGTCAAAAACCGGGACACATGAAAATGGTCTGTGCGTCGGGACGCGCCGCTATGCCGCCTCGCATATATTCTGGGCGCTTCTCTAAACCTCCCACTCATCATTCTTCACCAACCTCTGCACCAACCTGGACCACTACAGAGTATAGCAGGCATCAGCTACAAGCAGGTGAACTAACGACCATAGCATGGACGAAGACACTGCAGCGCTGCAAGCCAGGATCGCGGCCTTGCAAAGCAAAATCAACAACCACAAACAACAGCATGTGCCGCCCACCGCGCCGTATCAGCAGCACTACCAGCCGCACCACCCACACCCCAGCCCGTTCCGCGGCGCACCTCGTCTCGCACCCTACGGCCGTGGACGCGGCGGTGAAAGAGGTGGCTTCACACCTGTGAAGAATCGCAAGCTCGTGCTGAATGGTGCGAACGCGCCTGCAGCGCCCGTGGTAGGCCCTAAGGCCGACAACCTCGTGGCCACGCATCCTCATCAGCTCGTGAACAAGGATGCCCACAACCGTCGCCTGCAGCAGCTTCGCACCGCTAAGAGACAGAAGATCAACCAGCAAGAGCGCACCACACTCAACCAGCACACATCCAGCGAAGGCGGTCGCGAACTCACTATCGAAGGACTGCGCTTCCAGCTCCGTGAAGACGGCAGCAAGCTCGTACGAATCTCTGGTAGGTCCAGGCATGTGACATTCGGCACTACGAAGCTAAAGATTACAGACACCGCTACCAACAGTATGACGACGCCGAAAATGGTCAAGGTTGCAGACGTCGCATTCTACCGCACCAAGGGCGGCAACCTTGTCCGCGCCAATGCTATCAAGGGTCTTGCTAGGTACTCCGCCATACTTGCTAGCCGCCGGCAGAAACACGACTCACGCATTGTGCCATCTAGGACCTCCAACCCCGACACGAAACGCCAGTGCGAGCATTTCACGAAGACTGGTACCCCAAAACCCTCACGGCACTGTTCAGGCTTGATCCTACTGCGGACACCACCCACGAACATGACCGTATCCACTAAGGCTTGTTCAAAACTGACACCCATCGCAGGTAAATGTCCCTTCGGGCGCTCGTGCCACTACGCCCACGATCCCGAAAAAGTCGCCATGTGCCCGGCCTTCCTCAAGAACAAATGCACCTCCGGCGAATACTGTGACCTCAGCCACGTCATGTCTATCAACCGTGTGCCGGCGTGCATTCATTTCCTCCGTGGCAACTGCACGAATGATGCATGCCGCTACCCCCATGTTAACGTTTCCCCTTCAGCTCCTGTCTGTGCTCCTTTCGCACGTCTCGGTCATTGTGCAAACAATGACTGCGACAAGCGTCACGTCTTCGAATGCCCGGACCTTGCAAATAAGGGCGAATGCTCGGACAGCAAATGCCCACTTCCCCATCCCGTTCGTGCTCACGTACTTCGCAAGGCTGCTGCAAAGCAAGCCAAGGTCGGCTCCGAGGAAAAGTCTGACATCTCGAGCGATGAGGAAGATGAGGAGGCTGAGGCTGGCTTCGAGGACATCGACTCCGACGAAGCTGAAGACGTCATTATGGGCAACGGCGACAACTACGGCCACGAGCTCACCCAGCAACAAGATTACGTTCCCTTCTCGTAGACCCATTCGGTCATCTGCAGCATTGCTATGGGCTCTCCCAAGCAGTAACGGGCATCTCGGAATAAAAGAGGATGGAGTTGGGATGAGATATTGCATTCAAGCATGGCGTTAGCATGAGATACCCACCTGAGGTCTGCCTGGTGCTACTTCTGTGGCTAGAAGCATGAATGTATCGATAGGAGAGAAGAATGAAATTACAATTGCATGAATGACTGCCTTCAGCTCCTTCTCGTTCCTTGCGGTCCTGCAGCAATCCATAGCACTTGGCAGGCCGTCAATCCGCAGCGCGCCGTAACCACTTGGCTCCAACACTCAGCCTCAACTGAGAGCGATTATAATTAGGAGTCTTCGTAGTATACAAGAGGCTACCTGCGCAAACGGCTGCTCTTTGCGAAACGTCCGCATCCATACGGTAGGCTTCACATCTTTGTTCTCTACTTCCTGTCAGCACCTTCCACAAGCTTGCGGCACGACCAATAGCACCAAGGAGGCTCCCTTGACCTCAAGACCACGATGCCTGGACTAAAAGACCTTCTGAAGAAGAAAGAGAAGATTGCGCAGGATCCAGAGCCAGTGTCCTCATCCGCACTTGCTGTTCCAGAGTTCAAGATCATAAGAAGCACCACAGAGTCAGAGGAAGTTGTACAACCACCCGATTTCGAAGACGGAGCAACACCTAGCAACGAGAAATCACCGAAGTCGAAGGAGCGGAGACACCATCTAGGGTTTAGGAAGTCCTCGAATGCAGATGTCACGAAAGACCCTACAGCGACGCAAGAGCGGCAACTGCCCATACGCCCAAAAGAGGAGCGGAGAATATCGGGCAGGCTACACTTCCACAGACCCTCCCAGTCACGATCGACTTCTGAGACGAGCGTAATCCTACCACAAGATCTGCCAGATGCGCCGGACGCTGTGGGCTACACGGAGAAAGCGCGAGGGGACATCAACGAGCAGAAAGAGTTGAACCAGCATCGCGAAGCACAATGGGAGAAGCGGGCTACGATACTCGCACAGAGTAATCCGCTACTTGAGCAGCAAGAGAGACAGCGCATGGAGCAGGAACAACAGCAGGCAGCGGAGAAGAAACGCGCGCGATCTCGAAGCCCTAGCATCTCAGACCGACGCGGCGACGACGACATCCAAGAAGCCATCCGCCTGCACGAAATCGGAGAGCTCAAACTCTCCACCGCCATGTTCGGTCGCTTAGGTGACCCGACGGGTGCCAACAACGCTCTCGCCCAAGTCCTCTACGGCCTCGCCTTACGGCACGGCTGGGGCGTCCCCGTAGAGCCGGAGAAAGCGATCCACTACCTCTCCATGGCCGCCTCGAACTCAGCATCAGTAGAGAAGATGGCGCTCGAGAGCGGGATGAAGAAAGGTGGTGCGGCAAAGGGGGAGTTGGTTCTTGCCATCTTTGAGCTGGCGAATTGTTTCCGGCACGGATGGGGGGTGAAGAAGGACGCGGTGGCGGCGAGACAGTATTATGAGACGGCGGCGAATCTGGGGGATACGGATGCGATGGAGGAGGCGGCGTGGTGTTTGATGGAGGGGTTTGGAGGGGCGAAGGATAAGGTACGTACTGATTTCTATCCATTCTATCACCACATCACCATTTCCTATCCTGTCATTGATCATGTGAACGGCGCAAATGCAAGACCGATGATGCCACCTCCCTCCCTATCTCCAAAATCGATCGCAACATCGTCTCAACAACCTCAATCAAAACCCGACAATCCTCGCCTTACTAGTCGGGCATCAACGCACCTCACTTCACCTGCATATCCGCCCCCAATCCCCTTCCCGTCCCTCCACAAAGCAAACAATCACCACGACAAGGCTAACACAGCTCCCACCCACCCACAGTTCAAAGCGGCGCAATACCTCCGGCTCGCCGAAGAAAAGGGCCACAAAACCGTCGGTAACTCTTGGTAAGCCTCTCACCAATTCCCCCTCTCCCCACTCTCTCCACCCTACCCACTTTGGCTTCACGTGCGCGCGGGTCGAAGCTTTGGTTCGTCGAGACGCGGTGCGACACGCGGTTGTCGCGGTATTGATATACCCTGCGGCAAAGGGCCAGATGCACGTCGGCTGCGTACCTGCTTTGGGCGAACTTGTTCAGTGGTTCGGCGAGACGCAGCGCGCCTCGTGTGATGGGCTGCAGGGTTTTTGGGCACAACATGCGCGAGAAGTGGTTTCTGTTTGTCGTATGTGGGATGCTGTGCTGATTACGATGATGCGACAGGATTTGGAAGGATAAGTATAGTCCGAAATAGCGGGAATCGATGATGGGGCCATGGCGACACGCTGGGAGCATGGCGCTTCTGGTTGAGAGGGTTGGGGATGTGCTTATGATTGAGGATGTCATGAAGAATGGAGTTGGGAGTGGAAGTCTCGACTTCGGGTTCAGTGGCGTGTACAAGAGCTATCAACTCAGTCAGCTAGACAGACATCCGTCCACATCCACCTGGACTCCAGCTATCTGCTCGCGCCGAAACGCCTGTGTAGGCCATCGTGTGAACACTCGCTCCAATCCTCCAACATCCAAACAGAGCCGCCGTCGCAGCAATCGCGAAAAGCATCATATAAACAAAGTCGTAGTCGTAGGTAATCTTCCATTTCAGGTGTTGGGGGTATCCAGTATGCACAGTATCTCCAATGCAAAACATCATCATAAAATCATCAAAACATAATCCATCTCACAGGAGGTAAAGCCGAAAGGGGTGTGTGGTGGCAGCATCTCGGCTGCTCGTGTCTGTCGTAGTATACTTCGTCGTACTTCGTCGCATCCAGTCGTCGTGATAAGTGGTATCCGGTCGTCTATTGTTCAGGCTTCATGCAAAAAGCCAGCATATTCTCGTCATCGTGGTCGTCATCATCGTTCATCTGTCTTTGTTGCTGTTGCTGTCGTTGTCGAGATTCGATCTCTTCATGGTCTCGCACCATGTCTTTGAATTGCCGTACAACGTGCTCCGGGACCTTGTCCCAGAGGAGGCTTCGACTGTACACTTCGGATTTGCTCGATTGCATGTATTCCTCGCGGGCGCGGGCCAATGTCTCGGCGAGGTTGGATCTGTGCGCCGGAGTGTGAGGGTGTTGGCTCGAGGAGGCGTGGTTGTCGGCCAAGTTGTCGTCCGCCTCCGAGATACGAGCGTACTGGGCTGGCGTCAAGGAGAACGCCTCGTCTCTTTCCTGCTCCTTGGTCCGCGAGGTAATCTTGCGGTGGAGGCGATCGATCCTGCTATGAGGCCTGGAGTTGATGTTGGGTTGCGCGGAGCTTGCAGGCTCGACCGTGCCATGCTGGATCAATCTCGAAGAAGTTGGCGTTGTCAAAGGCGCTGCGTCGTACAACAGGGTCTTGAGTACGTCTGGCGCTGCCGTTCGGAACTCCTCGGGTACGTCCGGCATCCCAGCTGTGCGCGAAGCGGCCGGCTTCGAGGCGACGAATGCACCACACATCAGCAAGAAGAACAACAGGCCAGTAGCAACAGGCTGGTCCTGGGTAGCATCTGACGTCTGCTTAGGTTCAGTGGTGTTGTTCGTGGTAGGTTGAGCCCTGGGCAAGACGGGCGATGACACAACTGGCTCCGGCTTGAAGTCGAAGAATAAGTCGTTGGAAGTGTCATGAAGGTCACCAAACTGGACGAGGTCGTCCCAACCATTGACAGTGAGTGACTCCATGCCAGCGTTGAACTCGGTGAAGCCAGTGCTGCTCGGCACAGCAGACATGGGAGGCGCCGGTCCAGCTTCCAGCTGATCCCTCATGAGTTGTACCTGCCTACGCAGATGTGAGGTCTCCTCGTTGTGCCTCAACTTCATTTCCCTGTTCTCTTCCTGCAAGACCAGATTCTGATGCTCCATGTTGTGGAAGTTGTGGAGCAGGTTGCGGTGGTTGTGCTCATTGTTCTGCAGAGTAATCTTGAGCCCACTGATTTCTGCCTCCAGATGGTGTACCGCGTTGGTGTAGTCCTTTTCGCGTGTCTCGAGTTCTTCGGTGTGTTTCTTCTTCCGCTGCCGAGAAGCGAGTCTAATGAGATGCCGTCAGTCAATGGCGCAACTGAAACAGAACACTCAATACGTACGCAGCCTCACGATTCCGCAGTAGGCGTTTCTGCTGCTTCAGCTCTTTTATGACGGTTTCATCCTGTTCGCGTTCGAGCTGCTCGTCAATGGTCTGGATGTTGCGCTCCTGAGGAATCTCAATGCGTCCATTCTTCTTGCGGACGCCGGCGCTCCGTTGCATGTCGACACTGGTACATGGCGGACTGTTCGCTCTCATTCGTTTTGCAGCTTGCCTGTGTTCCTGTTCATTGCTGGCCATTGTTTGCCAGTCTTGGTGAGAGTGGGGTGACATCGGCGTCTGGACCTGAGGCGCAGGGATAAAGTGCGAGTCTGTGGGTCCATGGGGGGCGATCATCTGTTGCATAGGCCCCGGATGATGGGGTGCAGGATGGCTGAAGCTTCCACGTGCGCTGTCCGCTCCATGGTGTGGGAACGGCGGGCCGTGGCCGCCATCGTAGTATGCCGCAGGTTCCTGGTTAGCAAAGTACGCGCCAGCAGTGGTGGGCGTACAATGACCGGAGTTGCGGTCGAACATCCACTGTTGCGGCACAGGTTGGCCGACAAAGGTTTGTAGACGCGAAGGTTGCGGTTGAATGAAGCCATTGTGTCCGTCCCGATAAGGTTGATGGGCGCCAGATTCAATCGCCAGATTGCCGCCGTAGTGCTGTTCCCAACCTTGGGACTCCGCAGGCGAGAGGACGCCGTTGCTGTTGGCGACGGATCCTCTGCGTAGTTGAGCTTCTGGACTCGACATGATGTCTGTATCCAGTATGGTCGAGTCGAGGATGCCCGACTCGTCGTCTTCGAAGTAGTTGGGCTGTTTGTTGCTGATCGCACCATCCGCCTGCTGGCGATGATAGCCAAATTGAGTGGTGGCATGCGCCATATTGGGCGCTCTTGTACCGAAGTAACGGTGAGGTTGGCCGACGAGCGGTGTAGACGGCTGCTTCCGGCGATGCTCCGCTCAATGGCGGGTACCAAGATCGCTGACAGCGCTATACCAGTGCCTCTGACTCTCCAACATCCAGCTTGGCGGACAGAGTAAGTGAAGAAGAATGGCAACGATCGACAAGAAGGCGTGAGGGTAAAGAGGATGAGGATGGTCTGGAGCGGTAATCAATGCTGGAACGAGTGCAACGGTGGCGACGAGGACAGGGAACGCTCGCCTTAGATAGCAAGCTGCCTTCTGGGCCTCGACGCGTGCGGCCTGAGGAAGCCCAAAACAAGCAGGGAAATGGAGAGAAAGTCGAGAGAAGCACGAGCTGCGCGGGAGCCAAAGACAAGAATCGTCGGGAGCGTGGTGGCTTGCTGCCCAAAACAAGCGAGCCCGATGGGTCGTCGCTCGGGACCCGACCTCCGCTCGATGTACGACGTGCAGTAGCCGCGCATGAAGCGGCGTGCGAGTCGCATGTGTCGCCGCCCAAGAAGGGTAGCCGGGAAAGATTTGTGTATTCTTGCAAGGACCACTCTCCAGGAAGGAGAAAGGTGAGATGTTCGATAGGACGTCAGCGTCTGAGAGCGACGACTGAGGCCCGATGGTGAGGAGGGGAGGGGGCGCGTGGTGATGCACACAGAGGTGGCTGTCGCTCGTGACGCCGACACCGACGGCCTTTGTCTCACCTGTCTCACTCACCTCGTGCTGTACTCCATGTGATCCGCCGGCGACAGACTTGTTGCGTGATCGGCATGCCTTGATAGAGGACGTGTCGTCGCGAATAGCTACGAGGTAGAGTAGATCGGGCTTGTCCTTGCCGCGAGGCGAGGCGACCGGCTCATCCCGAACCTTTTTGATGTGCTCCACCGAAGGGCATTGTGCATGTGTGGATGCCCAATTCCAAGCACCGTCCACGCCATTAAAAAGCCCCAATGGCCCTCTAAACTAGCAGTCTGACCGCAATATTTGTTGACTCATATCGTCGATTCCGTCATGGCAGAGCGTGGGTGCAGCACAGCTCCAACGCCTCCCTTACGATGACGGGATCAAACATACCGTGCTGCTAGGTCCTTCCAACTCCACGGCGCTACAACATCCTGGCGGCTGGCTACTGGATACCTGTGCTCGAGGCTCCTCATGGGCTTGTCTTGTCTAGCATAGGTCTTCCCTGACGACAACAGCACAACAAACTTGCAAGAGTGGCTATAGTGCGACACACCGCCATTAAAGCCACCTACCCGAGACCGAGCACGACGAGGATGAGATGTGCGCTGGTTCCTCAATCTACCACGCGGTGCTTTCTGTACGCAATGCTGGAGGCTTCGAATGCTGCTGAAGCTGACACACAGGACAGAGGCAAACTTGCTGAGCAGCACTGAGCTTAACGAGATGGCAACTGCCGTGGTCTCAAGCACGAAGAGGAATCACCATTATGCACAGCAGCTATAAGTTGGGCAGCTGTGGCTACAAGGCCGACCTATCAGCAAAACTGCAGCTCGAGCTATTGGTCCTCAGCAGCATCACTTTTCAAGGCAAGTAGGGCCGTCCAAGCCTCCTCGCATTCATCGTACAGGAATGGATGTCATCGCACATGGCGAGATCGAAATCGGCAGCCTTGCTCATCAATGGTGCAGTCCTGGTTTCTCTGCTTATTCTGTGCCCAGTATCTGACGAGCAAATAGGCTGTTGTTTCACAGTGGTGAGCTCGCAGCCAATCGAGGAGCTTGGAGCTTCAAATCCCGTGACGCCTGTCACAAAGCAGGTCTGGACAAGCGGAGACGAATCCGCTCCGACAACACGATATTGAGATCGATCGGTTGACGGCGACTTTGGTCTGAACCAGGAAACACGATTGGTAAGAAGAGGAAATAGAAAACGTCAGACCTGGCAACTCTGTTGCGAGACTATTCGCCCTCGTGAGTCCTCGGGATCAGTTGAATTCAGAGTGCTTCGATCTTCACGGCGAAAGATGTGACCTTCCGTGTCGAACGGCTTTCTGTCCACTGTCGCCGTCATACCATGCGCGATCGACGGCAGATGAAGAGCTGTAGAACACCGGTCACCGGCGGCTCCTTGCATTCTGCCTCCAGGCATACACCCATCAGCAAGCACCCGTTCGGCTGCCATGCCGCACGCCATTGCGCGAGTCTTTGACAGCGGGTACCACCTCCTGCCGGAAATCTCCAGCCTTTGAACCCGTCCATCTGCCAAACCAGAAGTTGCCTTGCCAGACGAGTCCACTGGCGTTGAATTGCCTCTGCCACCCACCACAAGTTCGCATTGGTTCAAAATTGCCTTCCCGAGCACGAAACAACTTTGAGCCGTACAACGGCCCCGGTGCCGTGGTTGGCGGCTGTCGTCCTACTGTTCACTGGAAAACGTCTTACGAATGGCGACGCAGTGCATGGCGCTCTGTTTGTACAACCGATCGGTCCGCGTCTTGTGCATCCACGTGCCGCGTCTTACAAGATCGGCATCCCGACATTTCACCATGTTGTTTCACGGCGTGGCTGCTAGTCCGGTTCTTGCAGGTGTCCACACGAAGCGATGAACTGGTTCTTGCAGAGGTTCTCCACCATCGGACGCCAGTCCGCCCTCGGCGGGACGACATGCAAGCAAGCGATGTCTGCGACGGTCTACAGCAGAAGGCAAAAGATGTTTCGCAGGGTGAGACTCTGCGCCGCTACTGAGGGTTGGACGACATGCCAGATGTACACGAACGTGGCGACCGTGGGCGGGGATTTGGAGCAACGTGGCTTTGACAGAGTGGTATCACGACCGCGTGCTGCTATGCAGAACAGACCCACTGGTTGCCTGTGCTCGTGTGTCATTCCTCAGGCCATGCAAGCTCCCTCATGTGTCGCTGTCGCCCGTCTCCGCTATCGCTCGCACTTCCGCCAGCCTGAGCAATGCTGCCTTCACCATCCCCCATCTCCTCCGTCATCCGAAGTTGGTGGGGAGAAGGAAGAGCGTCGAGCTCGAGCAGGCTTTGGCGTCTTTCGGAACTCAGCTAGCGTCGGAATTGCGTGGCCTTCGCAGGAAACTGGAGACGACTGTCAGTACGATTTCGTTCATTTCAGTCATCCTGTGCTTACCTTCACGCTTGTGTACGGCGTATGCGTACATCTCATTCGTCACATGACCATGGCCCGGCAGGCCTTTTTTCTCCTTTGCCCTCTCCTGCTGTGCTTTGAGTGACTTGCCGATCAACCTTCCCTTTGCACCGGTGAGCGCCGCAAAGACTTTGACACGGACCTTTACGAAGCCATCCTTGTCGTGGTCTTCGATGTTGGCCATGGGGCACAGGCGATGCGTAGCGCGGAACTGCTTGATGGCATCGTTGACATCGCCAACGGTGATTCCCGAAGACCCTGGTTCCGCGTCTATTGTCACAGTTGCGTGGCTGTTCATACCATTGGCTATGTGCTTCGCACTCTTCGTCCCGTTGCAGCAACGGGCAACGACTAGGACTTTCTTGACTGGCGGCTGAGTGAGGAGCATCGCGTGGCACTTTGAGCCTAACTTGAGCGCACCAGGAAGGTCGAATGACACCCACATGCGATTTCTCGAGTGCTCTAGGAGCACACTCTTGCCGTTCTCGGGTCGGACGTTCCATGGTGCCATGTAAGCGATGGGCATGCTGAAGTGGCAGGTACGCTCTGCTTCAAGACCCAGCTGGCGCTTCAGTTCAGGCGAGCCTTCGATGACGTTTGAGAACTGGCGGTTGACCTTTTTGGCAAGCAACAGAGACTGGTTGTCGTCAAGCTTCAAAAGAATCTGTTCGAGCAACTCGGATATGGCGAACACTTCCGTGGCCAGCTCGCCCGTGCGCGGCGTCATCCTGAAGCGGTGCGAGATGGCATTTGCTATGCTGGCTTGGTGTTCTTGCTGGTCTTTGAGGAGATCACGCATGCGCGCAATGATCCAGTGAGAGGCATCTTCGGGGTCGGCTGGCAGTGACGTCGTGAGTCGGTCGAGCTGTGAGGCAAGGGCGGCGCGGTCGTTCGATGCTTGGAGGTTGTGTGTGAAGATGTCCTGCAGTGAGTGAACCATCTTGCTCGCCTATGCAGCTTGGAGGGAGTTTTGGTGGTTGGTGTTCACGGAAGGTGAGGTGGTGTGATGGAAGGTGTGAACTGAGACTTTGTTTGCTGGCGAGCTGTAGTGCACGGGCTCACGTCATAAGTCTGAAGCGACATGTGATTTCGCTCAGCTAATCGAAGAGCAACTACGTACGTCCGAAAAATCATAGCAATGGCAGCATCACGCACGAATGCAAGCAAGTACAAGCCAAACGAAGCAACTCTGACCATGCAAACTTCCACACAGCACCAGCAATCGCATGAACAGTTCCCCTTCCATTCTCGGACCCACGGGTGATTCCACTCCTTCCATACCAGCACCGGCGCTGATCACTCAAGCTCAGGCATGGCCTTCGCTGTCCTCCCCGTCAAGTCCGGAGTTTGCTAACTCGATTTGCCGTGCTTCGAACTCCGCGTATGTTGGGATTGGCTGGCCTTTGTTACTCGCTACGCCCACGGATTAGTATTGTCATGGACGAAGGGGCAGTTCTGCATGACTAACCATCGACCTTCACAGCCATATAGTCTTGGACGGACAATGCGAGGCGGCGTCTCTTGGCTTCTTTGCGTCTCATACTCGCCCGCTCCATGAGCCATGGATGCCCTTCACTCATCGAGATGCACCCCTCGAAGGTTAACCTGACATTAACCTCGCCGGCGGCGTTGTGGTCTTGATCACTTGCATAGAGGCACAAACGGTGTTGCGGCCAGAGGCGCGTCAAAACTTGGTGAACGTCGCCGACGGTAATGCCTTCGGACCCTTCTTTTGCTGTGATTGTCTCGAGTGGACTGTCCATATGGTCAGGAGCACTGTACCTCAAAGGCATCCGACAGCAGTTGGCGGATACGTCAAGGCGGTACACGGGCGGTTGCGACAGTAGTACTGATGCGCGCCGTTTACCCAACTTTTGCCAGGGCCCTCGATAGTTGACAAGTTGGATTGTGACGCTGTCAGGGCGCTGGACATCGATGGAGTTGAGCCACAAACCATCTTTCTTGTCGAAGTTGAAAAGCCAGCTGGAAAAGTGCTCCGTCGGCGAATAGGGAGTGACATCGAATTGGGCACGGAGTCCAAGCTTGAATTGCAGCTTGATCGAGCCTTTACTGACACCCTCGAAGGTGTGGTTGACAGAGTATGCTGAGAACAAGTCCCGGCTCGTAAGATTGGACAGAACCTGCTCTGTAATCTCGGGAATGGCAAACACCTGCTGGGCGACGTCCGACGTCGTTTTGGTGACTTCTTTTTCCCACGCACGCCGACGCATGTCATCAAGGATGTCGCTCATTCGTGCGAGTGCTGCCGTCGCCTGTACTACATCTGGAGGGTTGTGATGTGTGTCAAGAGACTCCTTGGCTGCTTTCACTTCAGCTTCCAAGTCATCCTCGAGGTCCTGTGTACACCAGTAGCTGCGGTAGACCATGGTTTTGGCAACTCTGTCTTTCTGCCACTCTTCGCCCGTACGCGGTAGTGAATGTCAGATCGCGGTGACGCGCAGAAAGGCTGTGTTCGACAGTGATACGTCCAGGTGAAGTTCTTCGCGAAGACGCGCGTAGCAGGCAGACGCGAGCTCTCGAAACACCTTTGGTGCGGCAGGTGCGCTGGGTTGCACCTAACCCAGGAGGTTCTAAGCAATGGCACGGAGCCTACATAGAACACTCTGTAAGCACGTTTCGCTGAAGCTGACATGCAAAATACGACCTACTGAATGACTGCATTTGATCTAGTTGTTGACGCCTCAACTCCCTCGCTAACCCTCAGAATTCCACGCAAGCTCAGGCTTGCTGGCTGTAAACCGACCTCTCATACCAGCAGCACAGCATTCAAACACCCATCATGCTCAGGGTTGTTCGTCACCTGCGCCCACCGACCCCAGACCACCTTCCCACCCGCCGTCACCAACCCCAGCTCGCTCACGTTCACCTCAATGATCGTTCCCTTCGTCAACACCCCCAGCTGCGTGTACATCGGGTTCTGCGGGTTCTTCTTCACCGAGATTATCGGCAGCTGCACCGTCACACCCAGCTCCGGATGCGTCACGTTCGCCTTCTTGTATCGCAACCCCATCGGCCTGATGAAACGCTCGTACTTCACCGGTCTCCGCGTAAAATCTGGACCGACAAACGTAGGCTTCGTGATCATGCGTTTCCAGCTCTTCTTCGCCGTCTTCTTGCCCGTCTTGACCACCTTGAACATCTCCTCCTCGCTGATCCCTCTGACCTTCGGCAGCGGCACAGAAAACTTCGCCGCCTTCTCCGCACGCTTGTTCTTGATCGCACTGCTGAGCGCCTTCGCGTTTGTCTCCTTGCCACGGTCAAGCAGGTAGGCTGGTTTGGGTGTTGTGCTGGGGCCAGTGTCTTCGGCGCCCTTGACGTTCTTCTCCTCCTGCTGCTTGATGGCCTTCTTCATCTGGATCTTCTCCTTGTGGCGCTTCTGCTGATACAGCTTGGCCCGCAGGCCGCGCAGATTCTGTGATTTCGACGAGGCATTGTGGGCTTCTCTGGCGAGCTTTTTCCTCGTGCGCTCTTCATGGTCGAGGCGCTTACCGTGCTGCTTGGTGAAGCGCTCGATGTACTCGTTCTGAGGCATCGCGGCTGCTGACCAGATAAGTGTTGTGTCGAGTATGAAGAGATAATCTGAAATCTTCAACCTGAAGGTGGCGGTCGTTGCTCCTTCGAACTTTTCTCTTGGCACAGCGGGATCACCCGCCATGAGCTTCCTTCGACTTCATTAGACACCGGACGACAGCGGTGCATTGGAAGGCCAATACAACGACCTGTCATGTTATCACGGAGTATACAACGCGCCGTATACGGCTCGAGATGGCACATCCCACGAGTGGCCAACTTGAGCACAGTCTCTCACACCATCGAAACCGACAACCTTCCTCCTCCACCACATCCCCGGAAGCACATACCGGACAGACAACGAAGATCAGAGCCCAGTGCCCAGTCTGAGCCCCCTCCATTATTATCAACACCTCCTAGTCCTTCCGGCACCGAAACTCTTCCACCGCCGAACGCTCAATCATCGCCCCTGGCCCTTTCCGACTCCGTTCGAGACCTGCTCCCTCTCCTCAAGGCCCAAGCACCCCACTACATCACAGTCCACATCCACGGCAAACCCTACCTCCTCACCCAAGGCGATACCCTCCGCCTCCCTTACCTCCAGCACGGCGTCGAACCCGGTGATGTCCTCCGCCTCAACCGCGCAATCAACATCGGCAGCAGGGACTACACGCTCAAAGCTGCTGCAGCACCACCGAACCCGAAGCTCATATACAACATGAATCAGGGCAAGCACAGCTATCTGGACGAGCGTATTTATGTTTGCAGGGCTGTGGTGATGGGCGTGGAGAGCGAGCCGTTGCGGATCAAGGAGAAGACGAAGCGGAGGCAGAGGAAGGTTAAGACGGTGAAGAGTAAGCATCGGTTTACGGTGCTGAGGGTGAAGGAGGTTAGTGTGGTGGCGTGAGGTCGTGAGATATGGTCTGAACTGTGGGTTTAGCGATGGCGTCTGCTCATGTATAAAACTGTATGTCAAGATTAGGTGGATGAAGGCGGTCTGAAGCATCACATCTCCTTGTCGCCAAATCGATTCGGTTTCACCCAGACAACCTTCACGGTAGCCTCTTTTCCCTTCCGTCACTTCAGATGGTGACAGAGCTTATTAACGTCAGCGATCTTACAGCTATTACCATCCAGACGTGTCACGAGGTTCAAGGCCATGAGAGCGCACTGGCTTCACTTCCGAACTTGAACTCATTGAACCGGACTGGCGACGTCATCTTATCACATCACATGGCAAGGCCCAAGCTTCTCTTCACTACATAAGCTCTCAGCTTTCCCGACGCTTCCAACTTCCACCACACACTATCCACTGCCAACCTCAGCTTCAACAACCTACAACAATGGCAGGGGACAGTGGCGACACAGCCATCATGACAACCACCAGGAATGCAAGTGAGAGTGCGGATGCCGACCAGAGCACTCCGCAACAGGCCGTCTTCGACCTTCCTGAGCTTCTTGAAATGGTCTTGGAGCTGTTGGACCCACTTGAAATCGCTAAGGCGGCCGCCATCAACCGGACCGCGAAAGACTTGGTGAGGCGATCTCCAGCACTGCACCAAGCCATGGATTCGAAACCTCAAACCAACAGCGCCTTCCGCATCCCCTGTCTTGGACGCTCCCAACAAGACTACACTTGCGTGGAAGACTTGCGTTTCGCCGTGGGAGCCGAAGATGAAGACCGCGGGTCGTGCGACGTCACCGTAAGCATCAAAATCGACGCCGACTAGCTTGACCCATCGCAATGGCTGCGTCCTTTGGTCGGAGGCCTTGGTCGCAACGTACTGCTCTGCCAGCCACCCGTCTACACTGCTCGTGTGGCGGCCGTTTGCGGTCTTGGTGCACACAGCAAGGGAGAAAGTCAGTATGATTTCGGAACGATGCGCGATGGCGATCGAGTTGTGGATGAGGGAGGCAAACATGGGGATGGCGACGAAGAAGGTTCCGATGAACAGGAGGATGCAGCAGATGAGGGAGGCAAACATGGGGATGGCGACGAAGAAGGTTCCGATGAACAAGAGGATGCAGCAGATGACGAAAATGCGACAGGCGCGGCGACTCGAAAGAAAGCAGAAAGCCTCTCCGGGGCGGTGACCTCAGTCACGGACGTTACCATTGGCCTGTCGTGGCTGCAGCCAATCGCCTCCGCATGCAGGCCGAAAAGTGCCAGACTCACAACTGTACGACAAGGACCTATACGTCCATAGGCATGGTATCTTGGCCTGCTGTCACCGTCTCCTTCGACATTCGCCTTCCCAACGACCACCCTATCGTTTTAGAGGACATCGACGGCCCAGACATGTTGTGTGAGTACATGGTATACAAAGCCGAACACGAAGAGGAGGCTGAGAACTTCGGCTACGACTCGGACGACGACGACGGGCCCCTTTCGTACAAAGAATGGCTTGAGGATCAGTAGAGAGGAGGCGAGATCAGGTCGAGCAGCATGGCTTGCACTAGCGATGGCTACAAGCCGGCTTTTCTGGCATCACTGCCGAACTCTTGTCAAGATAGGAATGAGCCAGGCGGTCCTGCCTTCATACCCCTAGCGAGCAGGGTCCGACAAGGCGAAAAGTTGGAGGGCGACCAGTTCTGCAGGTACGGAAAGAGGGCTCGTATCATGTGCGAACGCCAACACTCTGATATTGTTGGAGGACAGGTCTTGATCGAACGATGATGCGGTAGCGGCATCCGGCAAAGTCATGTCCAGAACCGTTCAGGGTCAGGGCAGCAGCACAGAAGCAGTGAAAGTATCTTAGCATGGCTTCGTCTTTCATGGGTCAACGTGGGTTATACAGTGACGTAAGTCAGAGGCATTCAACGATTTCTGAAAGTCCAAGCTCCTTTCCACGACTTCACTCCACGTTACCTCGCTCGTAAAACCCCTCGCACTGAACCTTGCATCACCTTCACCACACAGCAAGTCACTGATTGCCTTCATGGCCGAGACCACACTCAGTCCGGGTGGCGACCAGCCAGACACGGTTGGGGTTATCGACGACAAACCGACTGCCGTCACGAACAGCGACCAGCCATCAACCACCATGGAAATCGGAGCTCACATCCAGCCTACCGGCAAGCAGACGCCGTTCGTAAGTGTGATTACACGAAATCCTTCTTCCTTCGAGACATGCTAATCGATGTACCCTCTTCCTCCCACAGGACCTCCCAGAGCTTTTCACAAACGTGCTCGAGTTCCTCGATCCCCTCGAGATTGTGGTGGCCATGCGCATCAACAAGGCCGCTAATCACTTGATCAGAACCACCCCAGCGTTGCAGCGAGCGATGGGCTTACACCCTCAGCCGGACAGCTCGTTCTGGATCCCGATACTAGGGCAAAAGATGAAGGACTATTTTGATCGTGCAGGAATCTCGTGCCGGACTGCCGGGCCTAATGGTCCACTTCAAGAGGTCCTTCTCAACTTCCACATTGGCATCGCATCCCACAATCGTTACGGGCCTGCTCTGCTAAAATTCCCTGAGGCGGCAACGGTGGGCTCGAAAATGATGCTGTGTCAGCCTCCGAAAAGGATTATGATGCACCTGCATTGTTACAGCAGCAGTGGTGATTGTAACTTTCTCAGTGGCTTCAATCATGACTGGGTCGGATCAGAGCTCGGTGTCACTTTCGACCAAGTCGTGACGACGGCGAAAACCCTGCGACAGCGACATGCGACGAGAAGGCTTGGGTCAACCCAGGAGACTCAGGAGAGGGTCGACTGTCCAAGAGGTGGGACCATTGTGATTGAATGTATGGTCGCTGGGCAGGTGCATGACTCGGAGGTCTTTGCTAAGCTCCCCAAGCTTGCGCCCGAAGACTAAGGGCGACATGCTATGGATCATGGGTAGCTGCATGCCGAAGCGTGCCGAAGAGGCTGCACTAAGTGCCATGGCACATCTCGAAGATGAGGGAAGACTTTGTTGCGCTCGCAGTTGATGGATTTTTTTCACATGTCATAGAAGCTTGCACAATGACGTAGATGAAACAGTCTCATATCCATTCACTTGCACTGGTCCAAGCTTCCTTGCGGGAGACCACTGCTTAAGACTGCCTCCTCTCTACATCTTCCTTTTTCACCTCTGCTAAATACATGTACTCACAACCTTAACTCGCCGATGCAACGATGACCGATGGGGAGGAGTATATACCCACTGCACGCGGCGACCACCCAGACAGCAAGGATGCAGACGAGAGCCAGATCGCAACCACCACCACTCAAGGCGACGCCGCGCGGAGAACATTCGATGTGCCCGAAATCTTCCTCATGATACTCGAAACCCTTGCGCCGCTTCAGCTTTTGGTAGCCTCTGGCATCAACAAGAATGCGCAGCACCTGATTACGACCACACCTTCACTCCGACGAGCCATGGGGCTGGCGCCGGCTCTCGACAACGACTTCTGGGTCCCCATGATCGGAGGCATCCAAGATCTCTATGCTCGCCGGACGAACTCCCACAGCTCTGTCGCACTGCACGCATCAGGGGCAAAGGAAAGCGATCCCTCTATAGCCATGTGGAAAGTTCACTTCAGCCTGAGCTTCAGCTTCAGCGACTCCGAGCACAAATCGTACCCACTGCCAATCGCAGGTGGACTTGGCCGCAATATCTTCCTTTGTCTCCCGGTGGTCAAGACGGCAACCATCCAGCTCGTCTGCGATCACGTACAAGACTGCGATCACGCACAATACTAGAGTTTGTCCCAGATGCAACCAAAGAAGAGAGGCCTTAGCAGAGACTCACAACATTCGACATGGACTACCAAGCAAGACATTGTTTCTGACACCGGCGTCACCCTCGGAGACATCGCTGATGTCGCTGCGCGCTTGAAGGACGGTCACGCTCAGCAGACCGAGGTCACTGAATATCGCTCCGACGTATTTCTATCAATGACCAACATCGGAACTACAGAGCCATGGTTCTCGGTTCAATTCGAGGTGGAGATGCAGCATGATGAGCCGCTAGTTGTCGCTCTCCGAGGCGGTGAAAGGGGGAAGTGGTGCCCAAGTGCTGATCTTGATTGGTTGTGAGAGCTTATGTCTAAAGAACGCATGTACATTGCTTCCACGGTGGTGGCTGTTGACTGACCGGGAAGGTAGCTTGAGGCTGAAAGCGTTCAGATGCTTTGGTGGGTTTCAGAAGAGAACAATGGGGAGAATGGCAACTTGTTCAAGCGTGTTAGAAATAGGAGTCTAGGCGAGGACTCGCTTGTCTGCTATCAGAGTGTATGGAGACAGAACAAAGCAAGCCAATCAAGCCCCAGTCCGATCCATAGGGGAGAGTGGAGGCCGTGCTCGTAGGTAAGCACAGTCCTAAGCCTGCTGCAAATGTTTCGAAGAGAGCGGTGTGTAGAAACATAATCAGAAATCCCCATAAGAATGATTGCAGGGTCACATGCCTCGTTAAGTCATACAATGACGTAGATGGAACGGCCTACATATGCACGGGCCCTAGCGTGCCGCTCAAAAGTCCACCCTCCCTCCCAACTTCCTGCCGAAATCCTTCACCTCCTCATCATCGCCTACCATGGCGCGCAGCAACAAGCATCGCTAGCCCGGCGGCCAGGCGCGCGAGGATCTTGCCGACCGAACCATGGCTCTGCCTCAAGACCATCAAGAGCCAGCGCAGACTCCATTCACCATTCCCGAGATCTTCACACACATCCTCGAGTACCTGCAACCACTCGATCTCCTCAAAGCGACCGGCATCAACCGTACAGCCCGCGATCTTGTCCACACCACACCAGATCTTCACCGTGCGATGGGAACGACTGCGCAACCGGGAAGTGATTCCAGGATCCCTCTCATCGGCGACTCAACGTTGAAGTACATACAGAACGGCGGCATCACCCTCGGGGAGTCTCTTGGGCGAAAGCTGAAACTGAAGATGAGCTCAGCGCCTTGGCAGTGTGACGTTGGTCTCAACTTGGGATGCACAGAGGGCAGGGGTGCTCTACCGGTACAGCTCCTTAAGGCAGCAGGTCTAGGCCGGAAAATGCTTCTATGCATCCCACCAATCACGGCAGTGGACATCTTTTTGCTTCGTCGCCACACAAAGGGACTTGGCCAGGAAGGAAGGGTCGAAAGCGACGAGGAATGCCTATACTCGAGCGAGGTTCGATGGGTGACCTCGAGCACAGGTGTCACGATCGGCGACATCGTGGACGCTGCAGTGGAGTTACACAGGGAGCATTCGAAGAAGACGGTCTACGCGAAGGAGACGCCGTGGTCCGGAATGGACGACAGCATCTGTCCTGGGGATGCGCTGCCGTGGTTCAGTCTCAGGATTCAGCTCGGGCTGGCGGAGGCCGAACCGCTTGTGGCCGAGTAGTTGGCGGAGAAAGAGAGGTTCGAGGATGAGTGTGCTTTCCCATCGTATCGGGCGGCTATGTTTCGAGGTACGTATAGCGAAAACGCTCTTGAAGGGAAGCTTTGTAAATCGAGTCCGTCGCTGTACTAAGAATCATTAAATACGCCAGTTGTATTGTCGTCTGACCGCCGAGAAGTGCCACATTGTAGTCGGTCGTAGATCCCGAGACAGGGATGGGGTGACTTGAAGCTGTGACGTAATTGGAGAGGCACTCACATGCGCTGGCCCAAGCCTTTTGTTGCCGTTCAAACGTTCACTTGGCCAAACTTCTACCACAAATCTTCACCTCCTCTTTACGCACCTCCCACCATGCTCTGCCGCGGCGAGCACGACTACGGCAGTGCCCCACCCAAAGACCACTGTCCACCCGGCGCTATGGACACGCATCCAGATCAGCGCAAGCAGACACCGTTCGACATTCCGGAACTCTTCACCCAGATCCTGGAGGAACTTCCACCACGCGAGCTGTTGAAAGCGACGGGTATCAACAGGGCAGCGCGCGAGCTCGTTCATACCACATCCGCCCTTCACCGAGCCTTAGGCCAGGTCCCCGATCCGCAGAGTGATTTCTGGGTGCCTCTTCTCGGCAGCCTGGACGATACGCGCGCGCGCCGCTGTGGCATCGACGTCAAAATCCTTCCGCTTGTGCCATACGACTTCCCGACACCAGACCAAATGTGTGGGTTGAAAGCTAAGCTTCAGTTCGGCCGCACATCAGAAAGATCTGTTGGCCTATCAGGGCATCTCCCCAAAGCCGCAGGGCAAAGTCGCAGCATCCTTATTTGCCAACCTCCGGTCTTCGAAGTGATCGTGACTCTGCGCTGTGCTCCTTACCGTGGCCTCGGGCTCTCGAAGGAGCAAATCGCTAGAAGAACCAAGGGTCGCCAGTACAAAAGCCGCGCATGTGTAGTGCAATCTAAGACCGGTGTTACCATTGGCGACCTCGCGGACGCTGCCTCGACGTTGGAACGCAGCCACATGGCCCAGATGGATTACCCCATGGATTGTGCCCATATGAACTCGGATACTACATGCCCAGCAGATGTGCTGCCCTGGTTCAACGTCAGCTTCAAACTCAGGCTGACGAAAGCAAACGCGCTGGTGAGGAAATACGCAGAGGCGATGGAGTCCAGTGTCATGAAGGGCACGGACTGGCTTCGGAATCTCCTTATGTACAAGCTGGAGATGATGGAAGGTATGTCTACCAGCGCCGGGTATGTTGGAGGTTACTACTTCCTCCTTAGGGCTGTCGCGCGGCGAGGATCCAGTGACCTTCGAGGAGTGGAAAGCTGATCGTATCGGGTAGAGCAGGCTGAGACAAGTACCAAGACGGGCGGTTGGCAGTTGGTGAGACGAGAAGAATGAAGGATCACTAAGTATATCAAGTACGCAATAGTCGAGCAGCAGCACGCCTGGTGAGCATCAGGATTTGAGGATTCGTATTGCGTAACTGACCGGGAGTGGCTGGCTGTATCAATAGATGGTAGGATGGGCTCTTCATGTTCGAATCTCATCAAGTCATGGGCTGCAAATACCAGTTAATTATCGCCCTCTGCAGGAATGGCGGATAGCATGTGATAGAACAGAAGTGCATAAGTGGGAAACAAGAAGTCAAGTCAAGCAGCGGGAGTACCCTAGCGCTGGCGTCACGAGATCGCGTCAATCGGCTGCGTGGCAAGTGCAAGCTTGAAGGGTGCCTTGAAGGAAGGCGTAACAACTGTCAGAATCCTTCAAAGGTACATCTTCTGTTTCTCGCCGTGTTGTTCGATAATGATACCTTTATCCCCATTGCATCGCTTAACATGAAGTCGCAGCGACAAGCCGTCCTCCTCCTCGTCCTGCTCCTAACTCTCACCCTAGGAGTCTACGCCAAAGATAAGCCCAAGATCGAGAAGACTCGCTTCGACGACCAGCCGCAGAACCTTTTCTACTTCGAGGACAGCGATGTCGTGCTAGTCACCGACCCTTCCCAGCGGACAGCCTACCGATCCGAAGATGCAGGCGTTACCTGGAACAAGCTGGACGGCGTGGGGGAGGAGCAGGTGTTGGAGGTGTTGAAGCATCCATACGACAACAAGGTCGCGGTGGTGATAGGGACGGACAAGAAGCATTGGACCACACGGGATCAAGGCAAATCGTGGAAGAAATGGAAATGCGACAAGCAGCCGACGCTGATGCGCCCAGCCATCAGCTTCCACGCCACGGACCCGGATCGCATGCTGTTCTTCACGGCGGAGTGCCATGGGCTGACGGATTGCGAGGAGAGTGTGTGGTATACGACGGACGGCTTTAGCTCGGATCCGGAGCTCCTGCGCAAAGGGGCGGTTTCGTGCTTGTGGGCGAAGAGCACCGACCTGTTTACAACTGGCAACGACAAGCTGGATGATAACCGAGTACTGTGCATCGTGGAAGGGTCGTTCAGCCCATTCTCCGCCAACTACAGGTTACTCACTTCGGACAACTTCTTCAAGGACGAGGAGCAGCCGACGATGAACGATGGCAACACTCCGACTGGGTTCATGCGATTAGCGGCCGTCAAAGGGTATATTGTCGCAGCCGCAAAGAGCGAGGGCACGACAGAGCTGGCGATGTACGTGACGACGGACGGCGAGAAATGGCATCGGGCAGAGTTTGGCGAGCACAAGCTCGAGGAGGATGCCTACACTCTGCTTGAGAGCACCAACTACAGCATGCAGGTGGACGTCTTGGTCACGAAACCGGTGGAACCGATGGGTGTCCTGTGGTCAAGCAACTCGAACGGAACTTTTTTTACGAAGAACGTTGAGCACACCAACCGCAGCCCGCGAGGATTTGTGGACTTTGAGAAAGTTCAGAACATTCAGGGAATCGTGGTTGCCAACACTGTCCGGAACTGGGAGGACGTCGAAAGGAGTTTTCTTACGAGCAAGGAGGTAGTCACGAAGATCTCCTTCGATGACGGTCGAACGTGGCAGTCCCCGCAGGTGGACGACGAGGATTTGCACTTGCACTCGGTTACTGACCAGCGAAATGTTGGACGGATCTTCTCAACTCCTGCGCCAGGCATCATCATGGGCATTGGAAACACTGGCAAATACCTACTGCCTCGTGACGAAGGAGACTTGTATGTCTCTGACGATGCCGGGTTGACTTGGTATAAGACACGCAACAAGCCTCATCTGTACGAGATTGCCGACCAGGGAGCTATCATAGTGGCTATCAGGGAGGGCGAGACTGATGAACTCATTTACTCTCTGAACCACGGCAGGGACTGGGAAGAGGTCGACATCGATGATGATATCTGGCCTATCTCGCTCACGACTGTTCCCGATTCGACCTCTCGGAAGTTTATTCTCACCGCTGCAAAGGGCACAGGCAACGACAAGAAGTTCTTCATCTATTCCTTCGACTTCAACAAGCTGGATGTGCCGAAATGCAAGGACAAGGACTTTGAAGACTGGTGGGCTCGTGTAGATAAAGATGGCGAGCCGACGTGCATTATGGGCCACACTCAGAAGTTCCGGAGGCGAAAGCGGGATGCCGAGTGCTTCGTACACGACGACAAGTTCAACGAAGCAAAGCCGAAGACCAGCGACTGCAAATGCACCGATGACGACTTTGAATGCGACTACGAGAACGGTTTCACGCTGCATGATGGCGAATGCAAGTTGACTGGCCAGACGAAGAAGCCCGAGGATCTTTGCGAAGATGGCCAGAAGACGTACAAGGGCTCGTCTGGGTACCGGTTGATCCCCGGAAACACTTGTGTAAGGGAAAATGGCAAATCCAAAGACGAGCCGGTCGAGCGTAAGTGCAAAGAGCTCGAAAGGCCGGCACCGAGCGGCAAGATCACCGCCGAAATCACCAAGTTCAAGGGCGACAAGTTCATGGAGTACTACTACCTCGAGCGAGGAGAGTCCAGCCGCGGAGAGCACGAAGCCGTGATCATGCGCACCGATCGGAGAGAAGCCTACCTCACCCACGACCACGGCAAGAAGTGGGCTCCGATTGTCGAGAAGGACGAAGTCGTGGCCATCTACCCGCATCAATACATTCATGACTACGTCTATATCATCACTCCAAGCAGTACCGTCTACTACTCTAAGGACTTTGGCAAGGACATCCACGCTTTCGAGGCACCGACAAAGCCGAACCAGGAGCGCCTTCAGATCCTGGTCTTCCACCCTACCGAGCCTGATTGGCTCCTCTGGACTGGCGACAGGGAGTCCGGTGGCAGTCAGACGACCGCACATGTCAGTACGCACGGCGGAGACAAATGGGACCCGCTTCTTAGATCGGTGCGAAAGTGCCAGTTTGTCTATCGTGAAGATCGACCAGGCAGCGAGAAGCTCGTTTACTGCGAGCAGTACGATAACGAGGACCCGAATGCGCCGATTCTACTGCAGAGCTCGGATGACTGGTTTGATCACAAGAAGACTTTGAAGCGGGATGTCATCAACTTTGCTACAATGGCAGAGTACATTGTCGTTGCTGTGCGCGACTCTGAGCAGCAGAGCTTGCAGGTCGACACCAGCATTGACGGGCAGGTGTTTGCGGACGCCAAGTTCCCGGCTGATTTCAAGGTCCCGCATCAGCAGGCGTACACTGTACTGGACTCGAGCACACATGCGGTGTTCTTGCACGTTACTGTCAACAACCGCGAAGACCAGGAGTATGGCAGCATTCTCAAGTCGAACTCGAATGGCACGTCATATGTTCATGCTGTCAACTACGTCAACAGGAACAAGCTTGGCTATGTCGACTTTGAGAAGATGCAAGGCTTGGAAGGCGTCGCTGTCATCAATCGCGTGGCGAACGTTGACAAGGTCGAGGGTGGTGCTCAGAAGAAGCTGAAGACGTACATCACACACAATGACGGCGCTGACTGGGGCCTGATACCACGTCCAGAGAAGGGCTTTGATGGCAAAAAATTCGACTGCAATGGTGACATCAAGTCATGCTCGCTACATCTGCACGGCTACACCGAGCGAAGAGATCCGAGAGACACCTTCTCCTCGCCCAGCGCGGTCGGTCTGATGATGGCTACTGGCAACGTGGGCGACAGTCTCGGCTACAAGAAGGACGCTGATACCTTCATCACCAAAGACGGCGGCCTGACCTGGCAAGCTGCAGCTCCCGGCAACTGGATGTGGGAATACGGCGACCAAGGCAGCGTTATCGTCATCGTGAAGGAGGACATGCCCACTGACTCCATCCTCTACTCCCTCGACGAAGGTGACAACTGGACCAGATTCGCCTTCACCGAGAAAGAAATGCTCGTCGAGGACATCACCACCGTCCCCTCCGACACCAGCCTCAACTTCCTCCTCTGGGGCAAGATCGACGGCGACCTGCACACCGTCAACCTCGACTTCAGCGGTCTCGAAGAGCGCAGTCGCAAGTGCTTCCTCGACGAACAGCAACCCTTGAGCAAGAAATCCGACTACGGCCTCTGGAGCCCCCGCCACCCAAGCAGCGACAGCAACTGCCTCTTCGGCCACGAAGCACAATACCACCGCAAGAAACCCGACCGCGAATGCCGCAATGGCGGGCGGCAAGAAGTCCAGCATCTCCACAACATCAAGCAAAACTGCACCTGCACCCGCGCGGATTTCGAGTGCGACTACAACTACATCCGCAAAGCCGACGGGCACTGCGAGCTGTTCAAAGGTCTGTCGCCGCCTGATCCGAAAGATGTGTGCAAGAAGAAGGGCGTGAAGGAGTACTACGACGTCACGGGATATCGCAAGATTCCGATCTCGACGTGTCAGAGGGGGAAGGAGCTCGATAAGCTCGAATCCACTATCAAACCCTGTCCAGGCTACGAGGAGGATTTCCAGAAGAGGCACGGCCCTTCGGGTATTGGCCTTTTCTTCGCCATCGTGCTCCCCATCGCCGCGGCGGCAGGCGTGGGCTACTGGGTCTGGAAGAACTGGGACGGCAAATTCGGCCGTATCCGCCTCGGGGACGGCATGGGTCCGATTTCAGGCCCTTCCGCTTCCGGTGCATTCGATCGTGAAGCACCTTGGATCAAGTACCCCGTCATGGCGCTCTCGGGCGTGGTGGCGGTGCTGGCGGCGCTGCCGATGGTGGTGGGGACGGTGTACAGTGCGATCGCGAGTAGAGTGGGGAGGAGAAGCGGCGGTGGAGGGGCGTACACGAGTCGGAGTAGTTTTGCGAGGGGGAGGCATGATTATGCTGCTGTGCCGGATGATGAGGGGGAGTTGTTGGGGGAGGATAGTGAGGAGGAGATTTAGTTTAAGCTGGGAAAGGAAATGGGGTTGTGTGTTCATAGGGTGTGTAGTATAGGTTTGTTGGTTGTGTATTGATGGCTTTCTCTTGAGCATTGATGTCCTCTACCTTAGTCTTCGGCCATTCGCCATCGAAGGTAAGTAGTATCCAGCATGGGAAAGCGTGAGGCAGACCAACTTGGCCATAGGCAAAGAACAGCGCCCTCGGCTCTCACAACTGCCGTTTTCGGATGCAGTTGCATTCGATGTCTCCTCGCATTTCTTTCGAAAACATGGGATCGACAATTACACCCTCTGTTACTTAGCAAGCCTCTGTGCCAGCAGCTGATTCTACCTCTCGCAGTAGTGGCGAAGGCGGTTGATTGAGAAGGAAGGACCTCGAAGTCGACGAGACGATCAGCAGCACCTCGCACTTCACCACACTCGCCCAATTGGAACACATCCAGAAATGCATCACAACATCCTCCTAACCGGCGCATCCGGCTACCTTGGCGGCTCCTTGCTCGCAGCATGGTCGTCTGCCAATCTCCCACCCCATGGCAAACTACACGCTCTAGTCCGAACAGACAAGCAAGCAGACGACGTGCGTCAGTATGGAGCCGAACCAGTACGGATAGACGTCTCCGACCCTGAGGCGATACGACAATGCGTCGTGGAGCGTCAGATTACCATTGTGCTGTGGTTGATCGATGCCATGCGGTCGGAAGGGCAGGTGGCGTTTATCAAGGCTCTGGGAGAGGTGAAGGGGAGGGTGGGAGGGGATGTGCATTTTGTTCATGTATGGATTTGCTCATCCATTCGGATCACAGGCGGACAAGCACTGATGAATTCTCGACAGACGAGCGGAGCGAAGATCTTTTCAAGCCATGCCGGTGCGCCTACAGATGGTCCATTGCTCGATACCGCGCCGGATCTGTATGATATACAGAAGGCGCAGGTCCCTAAATTGTCCCTGATGGGAACGGTGCGTACATTCTCACAAGTCCCTCCTCTTCGCTACAGTCCAACGGCGCTGACAGTCCACTACACCCAGGCCGTCACAACAAACAACACAGTAATCGAGACAGGGGAAGCCGCTGGGGTGAAGAGCTACATCTTCATCCCCTGCATAGTCTACGGCAAAGGCACCGGCCCCAACAACAAAATCTCCATCCAAACCACCGCCATCGTCCGCGCCGCCCTGTCCCAAAAACGCGTCTACAGCGTCGATGACGGCAAACCCGTACCTCCCCCCTCCCACCCCACTGCACCCATCCAGCTAACTGTATTCCTAACGCAGACCTGGCCCGTCTGCCACATCTCCGACAACACCACCCTCTACCTCGCCCTCCTGCGCCGCATCCTCGCCGGTCCTGCCCCTCCGTCAGGAAAGCAGGGGTATTATTTAGCGGCGTCCGGGAGCGTGGCGTGGAACGACTTGTACGTCGCTCTAGCACGAGCTTTGACGAAGCGAGGCGAGGTTGTGGATGAGAAGGTGGAAAGGGCGGATGAGGGGGCGTTGGAGGGGATGGCGGGGGCGTTGGGGTGTGGGAGGGAGTATGTTGGGTTGCAGGTTGGGGGGCTGTAAGTTTACTTTTTGGGGAGACGGGAGAGTGGTGGTGTGGCAAGTGCTAACGGAGGTGTAGGTGTACTTTTACGGCGAAGCGAGGGGAGGAGATTGGGTGGAAGCCGGGTTATGCCAAAGAGCACATCTTCGAAGCGGCTGATGATGAGGTGAAGATTATTCTCGAGTATGAGAAGGGCGGGTAGATCCGATTGTAAGTCATCGAGGAATGATGTAAATCCAGGATATCTTCAGGGCAACTACATCAATTGGAGAAGACAACGAAAATTGTACCAATTTGTGTGATGAACAGTTTGTATTCCCACAACTTCGTCAACCATCTGGTCTCAGATGACGACGGACACTATATAAATGAGCGACGATAGTTGGCATCAAATCCCTCCCATCCCACCTCTCAAGCAACCTATTCCTTCTTCCCGCCCTTCGCACCCTTCTTAATAACCTCAAGCATCCCCTCGCCCTTCGGCGCGGAGCTCAGGTTCTCATTCCCATCCTTGGTAATGAGAATATCATCCTCAATCCTCACACCACCAACCGGGAAGTACTTCTCCAACACCTCCGCATCGATGAACTTGGCGTGCTTCTCCTTGTTCAAGAACTGGCGCTTGAGAATGAAGCGGTTGAAGTAGAGTCCAGGCTCGACCGTGATAACCATACCGGCCTTGAGAGCGGGCGCGGCGGGGGTGTTGGGGCCGTGGCAGGTGGAGGGGTTGAGGGAGTAGAAGTTGGGCTGCTTGGAGAGGGCTTGGGGATAGATGGCTTCGTTGCCGGAGCAGAAGGCGCGGTAAGCGGCGGGGAGGCGGGCGAAGCGGGGGTCGGTGGGTTGGGCGTTGGCCTTCTTGTTGGCGGCACCCTTCTTCGCACCGAGCTTGCCGGCAGGACCTTTCTTGCCGGGCAGAGGGGTCTTCTCGGACAGGAGAGGCTCCTTCTCGCTAGCAGTGTCGGCTTCAGTGTCGGTTCCGCTGACGTCCTTCTCGTTTGCAGCGTCGAAGAGGACTTCCTTCTTGACGACAGTCCAGTCTCCACCGTTCCTCTTCGCGGCACCTTTCTTTCCCTTGCCGCCCATCTTGTTCTTCAACTCGCCTTTCTTGTTCTTGCCGTCGTTGTCGTCATGACCATCGCCTTTCTTGCCCTTTCCGCCCTTCTTCTTGCCGTCCTTTGGCGGCGCCATGCCATCGTGGACATCAAGCCCCATGTGGTGACCGAGGCCGTGTGGGAAGAATCCGAGAACAGTACCAGCATGGAAGATGTCCATGTGATCACCCTTGAGAACACCCATCTCGAGAAGAGCATCAATCGCCATGTGGATCGCAGTCCAGCTCACCTCAATGAACTTCTTCCCAGGTGCGAGCTGCTTGATGCACTCCTCCTGAATCTTCTCGACAGCCTTGTAAACCGTCTCGGCCTCCTTGCTGGGCCACTTGCCCGGCTCCTTCGTGTTGATGGGGAGTGTGCGGGTCACATCCGAAGCGTACCCATTCCACTCAGCGCCAGCGTCGACGAGGAGGAATTGAGCGTGCTTGCCGAAATGGGCATCGTTGTTGATGTAGTGGAGCTGGCTGGCGTTGGGACCAGAACCGAGGATGGGAGCGTAAGCCTGCTCTTGTGCCTTGTTCATGAGGCAGGTGCGGAGGTATACGGCCATGGCCTCTGGCTCGCTCTTCAAAGCATGCAGGCGATGCATGATCTGCTTGTGTGCCTTCGCGGAGACCTCGTTGGCCTTGCGAATGAGACCGACTTCGTGCTCGTCCTTGACGACGCGGCACTGCCTGATGGCTGGCAGCAGACCCATCTTGCGGGCAGCCCTAAGCTTCATGCGAAGCGGCTTGCCCATCAACTGGCCTGGAAGCTTGAAGAAAGCGAATTGTCCCTTGGCCTCATGGTGGTCGAGGAGCAGCTTGCGAAGGTTGGTCCTCTTGGGACCTGGGCCGCGCACGACCTTGACATCGTCGACATCGTACTTCTCCATGGCATCCTTCGCAGTCATGTTGCGACCATCGTAGAAGATGCGACGGCCTTCGCCAGCCTTTGGGAGCCACAGAGTCAGCTTGTCAGCAGCAGTCTCGTAAGTGACGTGGCAGCCAGGCTCGGAACAGCCAGTGAGGTAGTAGAAGGCGCGGTTCTGGCGGAATGGGATGGGCTGGTCGCTGTCCGGGTAGTACTGGGTCTTTGCTCCAGAGAGAAGGATGAGTCCATTCTCCATCTTCATCTTCTCGGCGACGCGCTGAGCGTGCGCCTTTGCCGGGTACTTGTCCATGTCGGCTTGCTTGCCGCGGATGGTCACGGCGGTTGATTGTTGCATCTTGGGCAACTTTGCGAGGGCGTGTTGGTTGTTTCGTGTGTTGTTGTCAATGTTGTCGATTGTTGTAGTGCACATTGGGGGTTGTAGAGAGAAGAGAAGAAGAGATGAAGAGGAATTGAGGGCTACCTTATAGGCGAGAGGGGAAGGATGAGCTCGGGACAGGTGGCGAAGCTGAGACACTGAAGGATGGGATGACTCGAGCCTATCTCCCTATCTTCTTGTCCAACATTGCCTCTTTCAGAAGCGAGCAGGCCTATAAGGGCCTTGGCGGCTGGGTGTTTGGGTGGCCAGAACGTCATCTGCGCCTACTTTTCATCTATTCTGCTGTTAGCGTGAGACTCTTGCTCCTACAGGCAGCACAATGCCCGCCAATTGGACTCCTGTATTCTTCGCGTTGGCCGAAGATAAGAAGTTTAGGTGCAACACTGGCGCACTACCCTCGCTTTATCCTGGTCGACGCTGATGCCAGCCACAGAATATCACAATCTCGTCGGTGGCGTTTCGTCTGAAGACGCGCGGAGGTCCTCTGTTCCGTTGAGGGCTTTGTCGGGTCCATAGTGAGTGACCCTTCAACCGACTCGAGGGAGCTGAGGATGGAGGAAGTAGCAGTAAGCATGAAGGATCGGGATGTCGGGTCGAAGAGTGTGTGGCGCGAGCTCGCCTGCTGTCTTGCTCGACTCCGCTGTCGGTCTCTTTCCAACCGACCTTCCACTTTCGATCACACCGCAGTACAGGGCGGTGGCACGGAATCTCTCTATCGCATCTCAGCAGGTGTCTGTAGAACAAGGCCAAGTACTCGTTGTCCTTCCGTCTCGTCTCATATTTCTTCTCATCCATCTCATCTAAGACATGGCCACCAACGGCGAAGCACCGGCTTTGAAGCGCCAGCGAGTCCAGAAGGAAGCCGAACATGTCTCCAATGGCGAGGTGAAGGTCAACAACTGGGAGCAGCCAGGACCAGCGGCCTTTGACTTTCGCAGTGTGAGTACAAGCACTACTCCAGCACCATGAGAGATTCATCGCTGAGTGTCGATAGGATGTCACCACAACCCCGACATCCCGCATGCTGTCCGCCATTGCCTCTACAACTCTCTTGGGTATGTCGCGAAACTACACTATATTCTCCGCCGATGCATCTCCTCAAACTTCCATGTATGCTGATCTGTTATATCTCAGACGACGTCTTCCAAATGGACCCAACAACCAACAACCTCGAATCCTTCATCGCCACCCTCACCGGCAAAGAAAATGCCCTCCTCGTCCTCTCCGGCACCATGGGCAACCAAATCGCCATCCGTACCCACCTCCAAGGCCCTCCCCACAGCATCGTCACCGACTACCGCTCCCACATCATGACCGCCGAAGCAGGCGGCGTAGCCTCTTTATGCGGCGCTTTAACCATTCCCGTCGAACCCGCCAATGGCCGCTACCTAACCCTCGAAGACGTCAAGAAGAAATGTATTATTAGTGATAACGTCCACGCCTGCCCGACTAAACTGATCTCCCTAGAAAACACCCTCGCCGGCATCATCCTCCCGCTGAAAGAATGCCAGCGCATCTCCGCCTGGGCGCGCGAGAACTCCATCCTGCTCCACCTCGATGGCGCGCGTCTCTGGGAAGCCGTCGCCGCTGGGGCGGGGAGTCTAGAAGACTACTGCGCCTGCTTCGACTCCATCTCCCTCTGCTTCAGCAAAGGCCTCGGCGCCCCGATCGGGAGCATCATCGTCGGCACTTCCGCTTTCATCACTCGCGCGAGGTGGATCCGGAAATCCATCGGCGGCGGATTGCGACAAGCTGGTGTCGTCACGGCAGCGGCCAGGGTCGCAGTGGAAGATACGTTCCTCGGCGGGCTTTTGTCCGCTTCGCACGATCGGGCGCGAGAGATTTCGAAAATGTGGGAGGAGCTGGGAGGGAAGGTGGTGAATCCGGTGGAGACGAATATGGTGTGGTTGGATCTGGAGCATGCGGGGGTGGGGGTGGAGAGGTTTGTGGAGTTGGGGGAGAAGGCGGGGTTGAGGTTGATGGGGGGACGGTTGGTGGTGCATTATCAGATTGGAGAGGAGGCTGTGAGGAGACTGGAGAGGGTCATGAGAGCGGTGTTGAAGGGGGTGGAGTTGGAAGGGAGTGTGGAGATTGAGCCGCGGGTGCTGAAGAATGGTGGCGAGGTGGTGCGGTGATGGTTCTTGTGGAGTTCAGAGGTCATTGAAGGCTTGTGAGCCAGGTATAGAGCTGCTCTAGACTAGTGATTGTACATACGATATGGCCAGGCTTACCCTGCGCCTCCAGCTTCCCACGCATCTCGAGCAGCTTCCTGGGTGCATCCTCTGTAGGCAAGTCTTCTATCCGAGTACTCTCGACATTCAATTGCGCAAAAGTCTGCAAGACGGCATCCTCTGCTTTGCCCGAAGTGAGGTACATCCCGATCGCTGGGCCGAGAAGGCACCCGATGTCTGTCGTGCTGTCGCCGACGTATATTGGTATGTTGTCGCTGTCGTGCTTCCAATTGGCAAGCAGGCCAGAGAGCACGTCCTGCTTATCTTTCGCCGTGCAGGTGATTTCAGGCTCTCCATTCTTATCCAGCGGTAGAGGGGCGAGCAACTCGTTGCAGTAGACCCGCTTCACTACCTCATCCATCCGACCTGGATGTAACACCCCGGCCTCGAGAAGGGCACCAAGGATGAACCGCCGACTCCAACTCACGCTCACAACACTCCACTCATTACCATCCTGCTCAGCAAGAGCGATCATCTTCTCCAAAATCTCCGCCTCCCGGATCTGCACTTCACCACCCCTCACACTATCCCTCCCCGCCTCCATCATGAACTCATCTCTCACTGCATCATCCCTCTCAAGCTCCGCCACCCTCCCCGGCGTCCGAAGCACCGCCTCTCGAACGCGCAGAAAGCTCTCCTGCTCCACCAGTTTCGATTGCGAGAGATACGCCACTTCATCCTCTACACTCCAGCGCTCCTTTACCGGACATGGATGAGAATCCTTCCATCGTCGGTAATCGTCCATATACCGTTCGCTGTAGAACTGCATCGGCTTTGGTAGTTTGTCTTCAGCGACACCAGGCTGTGCGAGTTCTCGTGCTTTGGCAAGCACCCGGCTGCCGATGATAGAGGTTGTGTCTTCCCTGGTCATAGTGCCGTCGAAGTCGAGGATGAGGTTGATGCGAGGCCTTCTGGTAGCCATTGCGACCGGCCGTTTGGCGAAAGACCTTGGGAGCCTGGAGAATGCTGAACGAGATGTCCTACAGTGCAACATTCGGCTGGCTGTGGTTACCTAAGGCGAGCTGGGTTGCCTATGGCCATTGGTATGATGAGGCTTTCTCAGCAAGCATTGACTTCTCGATAAAGAGGCCTTCCATTCACCGTTGACAAGGACTCCGTGCATCCGACGACGAGATGAGCCTTGGTTCGGTGAGGAGATAGCATCCGTTGCTCACCATACCAAGTCTGGTGCTTCGTCTCGCTCGGAAGAAGACGTCGCCAGACGCCTGAGCGGCTCGTGCCTTGGCGCGTAAGTTCGGAGGATTTATTTGCCTTCACAGCCTTCAATCCTTCATCTTCCTGGGAACATGGCCTTGAACATCATGTTCATCGGCGGCCTTCAAGCTCTGGAGCTTGTATGCTGTTCGAAGCTTTACCAGACCACGACTTCACCAATTTCAACACGTCCAAACTCCCAGATCGGGCCAGCAGTATTCAATATGCAATGCGGCCGCAATATGAGTAAGCTTCTCAGTGGCGCAGGTCTAGCTGATCGCTCGGCCCTTCAGCTGTTTAATCTCAACTCTATTTTTGTTTTGGGCGGAGCAGCCCCAAGGTAAACACACGGCCATGATCACCAAATGGTGCATTGTGCTGCGGCGCTTAGGCAAGGTCAAGTATATTCTTTTCGTTCACCTGGTCGTTGTCCCTCTCCTTACACACTCGGCATGATGGGGATTGTTGTTGTTGGCGCCTTCTGGTTGTAAGCTGAGTGGGAGAGAGCAAGAGCTATACAGAGCGGCATTGGAAGAGCAAGGAACGATCTTTTGTTGGAAGAATATACTCGACCACATTCAACGAAGGCTACTGGACCCTCCAGTATCAGACATCAATCATGGATACCGGAATCCATCCTTACCCAAGCATGGATCCTCCTTTCGATCACTTCGAGCTGGTAGCGCGGCAGAATGGCAACCAAGGACAAATGCAAGATGCCACCAACGCACTCGCAGAGTTTGGGGGCTTCCAGAACTTCTCCTCGAGAAAATACGATGCCTACGTCTTCACGCTCGATTGGAAGACGACTGGGTGCTATCAAAGAGGTGTCCTGCCCGTGCCATTGGCGAAGAACGACACTTGTTTGCCTGGCTGGCATTGTAGGTGATACACAGTCTGGGGCACACCTCGAGACATGCTGATTGGAGACCACAGGCCCGAACTCTGACTTCTACAACCCTCCTCAATTCTGCGCCCCGACGCCCGAGTGTGCTGTCTTTCGAGCCGGCAAAATGACGTGCGAACCGCAAGGGGTGTACGAGCCGAAGATCTGCGCGAACGGCTTCTACTGTCCTGGAGCACCCAATGGACACCTCCAGCTCCCTTGCCCCGAAGGCACGTTCTGCCCGACAGGAGCGAAAGAGCCATTCAACTGCACCGGGGGAGCGATATGCCCAGAGAAGAGTCAGCGACAACTCGTTATAGCACCGCTGTTCGTCATGATTATCATCGACGTAGTGTTGCTGGTGATTGTTGGAATCGGGTTCGGTGTCACCAAGTGGAGAAGAAGTCGGCCGAAGAAATACACAACTCTGGACGCTGGTGACGGGAACTCGGATAATATCGAACTCCTGCTTGCCGCACGAGCACCACCCAGGTCTTCTCGAGTATCGGTGTCTGCGCCAGCACCACCGCCTCACTCGCCGTATGCGCAATACTCACCTCCGCAGAGCGATTACATGCAACCATACGCACCGCCCTACAGCCAACCTCAGACACCACAGCCGTATCCTGAGTCGTACCCGCCTTCCTACAATCAACCCTACAACCCGTCTGTGTCTCCGAGACCTCCTACCTTGACCCACGCACGTCGGGCGTCCGGACGTGTGGACAACATGGATGGCTATGTGGACGACGACCTCTCCGACTACGGCGACTACGAGCCGGAAGACGACTTTCACAACTCGCCCGACTTCCAGCGCTTCATTCGCTCGATGAGCAAGACAATTGAGACTTCTTCGATTGGTCTCTCCTTCGACTTCGAGAATTTGACATATGCAACGAAGAACGGCAAAGGCAAGAAGATTCTGTCCGGCGTAACTGGAACGATGCCTCGCGGTAGCTGTTGGGGTATCATGGGCGGATCTGGCGCAGGCAAGAGTACATTTGTGAACGTGCTGATGGGCAAGCTGCAAGCGACCGCTGGCACGATGAAGATCAATGGCTGGCAGAAGGACATGTCGAAGTACAAGAAGTTGATTGGATACGTGCCGCAAGACGATATCATTTTCCCGGAGCTGACGGTGCGGGAGAATATTCTACACTCAGCGCGGGTCAGATTGCCGGCGAGCTGGAGGGACAAGGCGATCCAGGATCATGTGGACAGCTTAATTGCGTGTCTGCAGCTCACCCACGTCCAGCATTCCCGGGTTGGGGATGCCAGGAAGCCTGTTATCAGTGGAGGGCAACGAAAGCGTGTGAACATTGGTATCGAGCTCGCGGCAGCCCCCATGGCCATCTTCCTGGACGAGCCGACGAGTGGTCTCGATGCAACATCCGCAGCAACCATCATGCGACTTATCAAGGGCATCTCGAAGCTCGGAGTCACCACAATCGCCATTATCCACCAACCTCGCGAGCAGATCTTCGCCGGTTTCGACCAGCTCCTCCTCCTCGCCGAAGGCCAAAGCGTCTACTCCGGTCCCACCGAAGACGTATCCTCCTACTTCGAGAACCTAGGCTTCGCCTTCCCCCAACGCGCCAACCCCGCCGACACCCTGATCGACATCATCACCGGCGACGGCGCCCAGTACACTATGTCCGGCAAACGCGACACCGACGTCAGGACCCTCATCAACACCTGGCAGACCTCCGGCCAATACAACCGCAGCGGCAAGCACCTCTCCGTCTCCTCCTTCAACGACGCCGCTACTAAGCGCAGCCGTCGCGCTTCCAACCAGTCTCTCAACTCCACCGCCGAGCAGGAGGAATCTCTCGTCCGGACTATGAAGGCCCGAGGCGCCACGTGGCCGGCACAAGTGTTCTACTGCTGGAAACGCGCCATGACGCAGCAAGTCCGCAACGCCACCTCATTCTTCTTTGAGATCGGCGTCGGAGCGCTCGCGGGTGTTATTATCGGGTTATCGGCCTTCGCGTCCGCTGGGCACTTATTCCAGGGCATCTACCACCCGCCGTTCACCTCCCTCAGCTCCGCAGTCGACTACTCCAGCACGCCGCAACTCGGTCTCCTCGGCGGTCTGGCCATCGGTCTCGCGGCTTCCGCGCCAGGGTTTTGGGTCTTCGGCGAGGAGAAACAGATGTACTACCGCGAAACTGCCTCGGGGCATTCGAGGAGCGCTTACTACGTTGGCAAACTCATCGCCACTCTGCTGCGGATCGCGCTGAGTGCGTTCCACTTCACCGTCTTCCTCGGCGTCCTCGCTACACCTTTAATCGCGTTCCAATGGATGTACGTGGTCAATTTGCTCTACTTCTGGTGCGTGTACGGTCTGGCTTCCATCGTGAGCATGATTGTGAAGCGAGAAGATGGGCCTTTGATCGCTGTGCTCGGCTCGTTGGTGATTGGCGTGTTAGGCGGTGTAGCGCCTCCACTGAGCACGGTGAAGAGCTGGGGTTTGGAGTGGCTTTGGCGAGCTAGTCCTGGTGTGTGGTTGACGGAAGCGTATTTCACGGAGAATCTGACGCCCTTGGGGTATTTGTATGAGTTGGACCTTGCGGCCTCAGCGACGGGGTTTACGCTGGGGCAGTATGGGTTGGATGTTGGGTGAGTCTCAGTCACGCCTCATGGGCAGATGGATTGGTGCTGACTTCATTTGACAGGATCTTGTTTCTGATCGGCTTCGTCTACCGCATCGTGGCGTACCTGTTACTGGTGTTCTTGCATCGCGACAAGCAACGGTGAGAGGACTCGCACGGCATTTTTGAGCATTGAGATACCCAATATATATTATTATCGCATCAAACCACGACTCCAATCTACCACCCAAACTCTCTCGGCATGAACAATTTGTTGACAGCCTTTCACAGTATGCCACTGCGAGGCGCTCGCATGCGCAGGCGACAGCGGACCACGATGGTCGACTTCGACCTCCTGCTCACGACGACGCCGATGCATGAGTGCAAGGAGTGCTGAGGCGGTACCTTGCACGTCTCGGCTGATGCACTGTGAGGTGGGATTTCGGTACATATGGCTTGATTACGAAGGCGCAAAGGAACCCTAAGTTGTGCATACTCCTACGGCGCTGCAGAGGAGGGTCTCATTGATCAGACGAGGTCCGTCTCCGCTCCTGCCGACTTAAATGCTCAGGGTAGGTTTTCATGAAGTTGTTCCATTATCAATCCAATCCAACCCGAAGACCTTCGCTTTCGTTTGGGTTGGAGCCAACAAGTTGGACCTGCAGCGGCCTTCCCGAAGTAACTGCATCCTTCACAACACGTTACGACCGCCTTGCTGCCTGGAAAGAAGAATTCCCCGAAATGCCTTTACGGCGCCATGAAAGCACAATGTCCGATATCTCAGTGTCCTACAGCTGGCTTCTCCCCACCTTTGCTTAACAATCCACCTCTGCTGCCCCGCATACGTCAACAATGCAGGGAAAGGATAGATAGAAACGAATGGTTAAGTATAAAGCTTGCGGCAGAAGCTTGTTGTCATTGATCCTCTCTACTATCTTCTACTGTCTTTGATCTTCCGTCTCCAATCTCTCTTCAAACGAGCAACTCCAACATGTCTCACATCACACCAGTCTTCGGCGGCGGCGGCTTCAATGAGGGCCGCGCCTTCGGCGACGTCTCAGTCATGCAAGACCTCTTCAAACTGCTCAAAGACAACGGCTGCGACCACATCGATACCGCCGCCCTCTACGGCCAGAGCGAAGAGCTCATGGGCAAGGCGAAAGCTGGCGATCAATTCATCGTCGACACCAAGACGAAGGGAGGTTTCGGTGGCAGTGCCTCCAAGGACACAATTCTCAAAGAGGCAGAGAATAGCAAGAAGATGCTCGGACATAACGTGGATATCTTCTACATTCATGCGCCGGATCCGAACACGGATTTGGAAGAGACGCTGGAGGGGATCAATGAGGTGTATAAGAGTGGGTTCTTCAAGCGGTTTGGGCTGAGCAATTACAAGGCGGAGGATGTGGAGAGGGTGTACAATATTTGCAAGGAGAAGGGGTATCCGCTGCCAAGTGTATACCAAGGTAAGACAAATGGTTGCGAGAGAGTATAAGGAAGCATACTTACCAGCAGAACAGGCAACTACAACCCCGTCGCTCGCAAGCAAGAGACTCTCCTCTTCCCTACCCTGCGAAAGCTCAACATCGCCTTCTATGCCTACTCCCCCATCGCCGGCGGGTTCCTCACCAAGAAGAAGCAAGACATCCTCGACGGCATAGGTCGCTTCAGCCCGGACCAGATGGGCGGCCTGTACGCTAAACTCTACAATCGTCCCGCCTACCTCGAAGCGCTCGGTCAATGGGAGAAGGTCGCGAACGAGGAGGGTGTGTCGCCGGCCGAGCTGGCGTATCGATGGGTGACGTACAACAGCCCGTTGAAGAAGGAGAACGGGGATGCGATTATTTTTGGCGCGAGCAGTACGGACCAGGTGAAGAAGACGCTGGGGTATATTCAGAGTGGGCCGTTAAGCGAGAAGGCGTTGAAGGGGGTGGACGGGGTGTGGAAGACGATTGAGCATGAGGCGCCGTTGGATAATTATCATTTGTAGGTGTGGTATGGTAGATGAGTGTATGCGTTTATCAACGACGTTTTCGCCTCTGGTAGACCTCTGAAGCTTTCACCGCGGTACCTCCTAGTTCTAGTGTCCGGTGCATGTATCCAAAGAAGAGCCGTAGAACATTCGCGCCAAGGCAGAAGTGAAAAGCGCTCGCCTCGGTCGCAAGAACCTCACCTCCTGACAAGACGAGATGGAACCTCGTATCTTCTTGTCCCAGCGCCAGCACCTCATCAAACACGACCACCGAGGCCCTCAGTAGGAAGCTGACCGAGCGACCCCTTCGTACCGCGAGGACGGCGTGTGGCCGCCGGAGCAACCGCCCAAAACGCGGATGACCCACCCCCCAGGACGCGAGTGGCCAGACGCAAATTCCACCACTGTCTCACGCTCCGATCTCACACCCACTGCCCTGGTGACAGCCGTTTCAAACACGATCGGATTGGCGAAGGGTCGCAGAACATCCGACAGTCGAAATCTCCTATGCGCTCGTGAAGGACTGCTGTTCCTCTACGCTGGACAGGATGCTGCGACCTTCTCCGTGTCGCAGGTGTCTGGCACATCCAGCCACTTTTGTCGCAAGCCTCCATCGTCTTAGAGAAGACTTGCCACCAGATGACCAATATTCAACACACTGTCGACAAGAAGACTCGTGATCGGTGCGACACAAGAATAGCAGCGACTGACGTGTTGAACGGGCTCTAGAAAATGCCAGTGCTAACCCAACGTTCGCAAGGCAACGGACCACCTGTGGCGGAAAGGCGACTTGATTCGCTGCTGGACCTCGTACCTGCAGATTTTGGGAACACTGGTCAAAGCTTATCTATTTGTCTGGCGAGGCCTTGGGGCTGTGCTCACCTCAGAATGCAAACGACGACGACACGGGGCTTGCGTGTCTGTGTCTCGTATATCAGGTGAGAAGGCGCCTCCCTGGCAACAGCTGGCATTCTCCTTGCAAACAATCCTTTTCACCTTCTTTCACGTATCCACCACAATACTTTTGTTTGTGGCCAGCATTCGCTAGACTACCTGCCACATCATCAGCCTCTTCATATCGATCTCTTCGACGATACAAAAGGACACGAATCACGCAGCGTTCGACAAAACCTCTTAGCACCCAAAACACCACAGAAATCAACCATGCGCTTCACCAGATCAGCTGCTGTGCTGGCAGCATCGCTTGCAATCGCAGAGGCCCAAACTTTCACTGACTGCAATCCTACCGTATGTTCTTTTTCAAGCATCAGAATCGTGGAAGACGCTTGCTGACTGGGATTCCTTCCGCGCAACAGGAGAAGAAGTGCCCCGCAGACACCGGCCTCCCCAGCGACGCTTTCATATCAGACTTCACAGACGGCAAAGGCGCATCCACATCATGGAGCGCGGCGGCCTACAGCACGATCAACTACGGCAGCCAGGGTGCAGAGTTCGCCATCAGTCAGCCTAAGCAAGCGCCAACGATCGAGACGGACTTCTACATGTTCTTCGGCCGCGTCGATGTGAGGATGCGGGCAGCGGCGGGCACGGGCATTGTCAGCTCCATTGTTCTCGAGTCGGATGTGAGTTGGATGGATAGGTCGAGAAGCATGTGAGCTATTTGCTAATTCCTGACCCTTTAGGATCTGGATGAGATTGATTGGGAGTTTGTGGGTGGCGACACGGCACAAGTCCAGTCAAACTTCTTCGGCAAGGGCAATACAACGGCGTACGACCGCGTGGAGTACATTCCGGTTTCAAATCCTCAAGAGGAATTCCACACCTACTCCATTGACTGGAACTCCGATCGCTTGAACTGGATCATCGACAACAAGATTGTGCGGACCCTCACTTACGACGACCCTTTGACCGTCGGCGGCAAGAACTACCCACAAACCCCAATGAGGGTCAAGCTCGGCAACTGGTGTGGTGGTTGCAAGGGCATGGCTAAGGGGACTGTGGAATGGTCTGGCGGACCAACGACCTTCGAAAACGCTCCATACACGATGTACGTCGAGAGCGTCAGGATCCAGAACGCCAACCCAGCCGACTCGTACGAATACGGAGACATGTCCGGCAGCTGGGAGAGCATCGACATCATCAAAGGCGGCAAGCAGAGCCAACCTAGTGGGGAGGTCACACCGTCCAAGGCGTCGGTGACCCAGACGTCCGCACCAACCAAGGCCCACACTGTCAGCAAGGTCGACAAGACTGAGGCTGCTGTCACTTTGACTGGCAAGTATACTATGAACGGCACCATGACTGGTAGCCACCAGGCCGGCGGCGTTAAGACTTCCGTCGTCCAGGCTACTACACAAGTCCCAGGCGCTCAGCCAACAGACGGCAACTCTCCCGGCGGTATTTCACCAGGCTCGGGCTCAGGCCCTTCTCCCAGCAGCTCTGCTCCCCCTAGCACTGGCGCGGCTGCTGCACAGGGTGTGATGGGTTCTTCGCTCGGGCTGGGCCTTCTCTTCAGCTTTCTGTTGTTGTAGATTGCGCTTTGTCTGAGTTCGGCGTTAGAGACTGGGCTGGGCATGGTGTAACAAGCAAGCATTTGGAGGACTGCAAATCGGTGTTGAAAGGATTGAGTTTGGCTACGGGCGATACCCACGTGTTACGCGATTGGATAGATGGAATCATGGAGGAACAGCATGGACACGATTTTGGTAGCGATACCACAAGGAAGGCATTGTAACTACGTAGCTCTAGTAGCAAAGAATGAACATTCACCACAGTATTGATTGGAGCACCTTGAGACGGTTGAGTTGTTGGTAGTCTAACATCCACTTTCACATGCACAAACAGCTGGACCCTGCATGGCACGCCTTTGTAAGAGGCTTTGGCGGCTGGCATGTGCTAACTCAGCTCGATGACTGGCTCTTCCATGTTACATACACGCCCTCCCGGTGTCCTCGCAGATCTTCTTTGTCTTCTGGAGTACCGTCAATACCAAATCCGCGTCCGCTTGACCGTGGGACAAACACAGCTGGCAGCATTCAACCATGCAGCGTAGCACCACCTTCTCGCAGCACCAGCCCGCCAACGCAGCAGACACCGACGACGAGAGCGATGGCTACGCAATATCCTCCAGTGAAGCCGGCGACAGCGACGAGGAAGCACAGAACAGCATGCACGAATCCGCGAGCCTAATGCGACGAGCATCCAAAGACCTCGAAGCAGTCACCATGCGAGAAGCCCAGCAGACCGCACAAGCCTCTGACGACTTCGAATACGCCGAGCCCGAGGGCATGCTTCCACGAGATAGGCAGAAGAAGACACCGCACTACAACGAGCGCTTGGAGAAGCAGATGTCGCATGTGGAGGCTAGGCAGTTCTACCAGAACCAGCAGCGGCAGAATACCCTCGAGGAGGCGCAGATGCCTGGCTTCTACGGGACAGGGTCGACGAGTCCGATCGCTGGACGTAGCCCGGTCATGAAGGCGCGGACGTTCTCGGGGTATGTGGGTGGTGATGGGGTAGGGCTCAATCGAACAGCGAGTATACGGTCAGGACGGAGCAATCAGGATAGTGGATACCGCAGTGCGGCGCCGCTGGGTTTGAGTGATCCGAATAAGCCGCCTGGGAGCGCGACGGTGCAGGCGCCAGACCTGGGGAGGTTTGCTGGCATCAATGCTAGGACTGCGCCGAGCGAGGACCCGTACTTGAAGGCGGATAAGGACGCGAGGTCGCATTCGCTGCACCCGAACTTACCGCACGAGTCGAAGCCGTTGCTGGAGAAGGAGGGGATCCATGGTGCTGGAGCGGGTGTGGGCATTGAGGGTGGGAAGGACTCCAGTGTGACTTCGGAGCTCAACGCTATCTATACCAACATCCAGAAGATCTTGGACTTCCGGCATAAGTATATTAGGCTGTCGTTGCAGTCTTTTGGAGACGACCCGAAGGATGATCCGGACTGGAAGATCTACCCTCCCATGCCTGAGCCGGTGTGGCACGAGAACAAGGAGAGAGCGAACGGGGTCAACGAGGAGGAGAAGGACGAGGCGCCGCCTCAGAAGCAGCGCAAGATGGGCCATCATATTGGTGAAGACTTCAACATCGACGACTGCATACCCGTGCCAGAGGCGTCCGAGATGGTGTTTCGACTGGACGACAGCGGGATCTATCAAGTGTACGAGAACGCAAAGTCTGCTGATCTTGGTGAACCAATCGTGCACATCCCAGACATTCGAGAATACTACATGGACCTCGATGCTCTGTTAACGATATCGTCAGATGGACCATCAAAGTCTTTTGCGTACCGTCGGCTGCAATATCTGGAAGGGAAGTTCAACTTGTACGTCCTACTCAACGAATACCAGGAGATTGCAGATACGAAGGCAGTGCCGCATCGCGATTTCTACAATGTCAGGAAGGTCGATACGCATGTTCACCACTCCGCTTGCATGAACCAGAAGCATCTGCTTCGCTTTATCAAGAGCAAGATGAAGAAATCGCCGGATGAGGTTGTGCTGTTCCGTGATGGAAAGCATTTGACGCTGAAAGAAGTGTTTGAGAGCATTAACTTGACGGCTTACGATCTGAGCATCGACACGCTGGATATGCATGCTCATACTGACTCTTTCCATCGCTTCGACAAGTTCAATCTGAAGTACAACCCCGTTGGAGAGAGCAGACTGCGGACCATCTTCCTCAAAACGGACAACTACATTCAGGGTCGCTACCTGGCTGAGATAACGAAGGAGGTGATGTCTGATCTCGAAAGCAGCAAGTACCAGATGGTGGAGTGGCGGATCAGTATCTACGGTCGATCGCTAGACGAGTGGGACAAGCTCGCCGCCTGGGTGGTCGACAACAAGCTTTACTCGCCCAACGTCCGCTGGCTCATCCAAATACCACGCTTGTACGACGTCTATAAGGCGAACAACACCATGGAGAGCTTCGAGCAGGTCATCATCAACGTCTTCCGCCCGCTTTTCGAAGCCACCGCAGACCCATCCTCGCATCCAAAATTGCACATCTTCCTGCAGCGTGTCATCGGCTTCGACTCGGTTGATGATGAGAGCAAGGTGGAGCGCCGCATCTACCGCAAATTTCCTCTACCGAACGTCTGGAACACGAAACAGAACCCGCCTTACAGCTACTGGATCTACTACTTGTTCGCCAACATTGCCTCGCTGAACGTTTGGCGGAAGCAGCGCGGCTTCAATACGTTCCTCCTCCGGCCTCACTGCGGTGAAGCGGGTGACACCGATCACCTTGGTGCAGCCGTGCTGTGCTGTCACAGCATCTCCCACGGCCTGATGCTGCGGAAGGTGCCATTGCTGCAATACATCTTCTACCTCGAGCAGATCGGCGTGGCGATGAGTCCACTAAGCAACAACGCACTTTTTCTAGCTTACGAGCGGAATCCATTCTTGCAGTACTTCCGGCGCGGTCTCAACGTCAGCTTGTCGACCGACGACCCGCTACAGTTTGCTTTCACGAAGGAGCCGCTGATGGAAGAGTACGCCGTCGCAGCGCAGATCTACAAACTCACCGCGATCGACATGTGCGAGCTAGCGAAGCACAGCGTCGTCCAATCCGGCTTCGAGCACTCGGTGAAGCAGCGCTGGCTGGGTCAGAACTGGCATCTGCCTGGTGTGGCTGGGAACGACATGGCCAAGGTCAATGTGCCGAATATTCGTGAAGCATTCCGGCATGAGACATGGCTACAGGAGGTCGCAATGATCGATCGTTACACCAACGCTCCAGGCAGCTCGCGATTGAGTGCTGTCAGTCTGCCGATCACGAACGACAGCAACGGCAGTGCAGTCCCGCCATCGCCTACGGCGTCTATGCATGCGCATCCGAGTGCTTCGCACATGGGCGGAGAGGCCGCAACGCCGCGCTCGTACATGTACCGGCCGAATGCCAAAGCTTCCCGGCAGCCTTTGCAGACTGATCTTGGGCAGGCTCAGCAGGACGGCGCTCATCCTAGTCAGCTGGGCCGTGTTGGCAGCACCACCATGTCATCGCCTACTGGCATGGACCGCCAATCTCAGTTCCCTCAAGTAATGCCACAGCCCACGGATGCTGCGGCCAGCGTCAACGCGCAAGGAGCGAACACTGCCAACTTGCCATTCGGCAGTATGAGCCTGCATCACAGCGAGCCGAGGATGTTTCCTGGGGTGGTGTCGAGACGTAGGCAGTCTTCGGTGTCCAAAACAGCGAATCATCCGGCGGGCGTGGATGGTGCGGGTCAGCAGGGGGAAGATCTCAAGAGTAGCACCGGTAGTCTGGTGATGGGCGGTGGGCTGGAGAGGAGGGAGACGATTGAGGAGGCTGCTGAGAGTGAAGGCGATTGATGAACATTTACTTCTTAGATACAGCGATAGTTCTTTCTATCGAATGTCTGTCTGGATGATGCTGTACAAACTCTGTCGACGTGTTTCCTCCGCCGTTCCGCCCTGTTCTCCAACGCTCTCAAAGTCGATCCAATCCGCCCTTACGCCCAACCAAACCAAAGCGAAGCAATCCCACCCAACCGTTTCCAATCATAAAAGAACGACCGCAGCAAACATCACCGCAATCAACGCCGCCACACTCCGCTGCACATGCTTCTCCGTGCTCGCGCCACCCGGCTGCGCAGGCACCACCGGAACATTACTCGGGGATGCCGATGCGCTCAAAGTGGGCACGCCCGTCGCTGTCGTCGCGGTCCCATTGATCTTACCGGACGGGAAGGGCGCGCTGCTGTTGTTGCGGGGTGGGGAGTCGTGGGCGCAGAGGTCGGCTAGGGCCTCGTACGCCGCTGTCACAGGTCAGTGGAGTGAAATGGAAAGGCGGAGACATGGGGGCTCACTCATGCTGATGGGTTGCGTATCGCAGTTTAGCCGAGCACTCTTGCCACCCATGAACGTGCAGCCTCTGTGCTTGATGTCCATTGAGTCGATCATGGACGTCCCGCCACGGCAGTCGCTGTACGGGTACAACTCTACGCGGCACTGGCGTGCGATGTCCGCGTTGAGGCTGTCGTTACCTGGTGCGGGACCGGCAATGAAGCTCTTAAACTCGCGTGGGCTGTTGACGCATTCGCCGTTGCTGGGTAGTGCGAGCGGCTGCAGATGGTCGGTGGTTCCGGGCACGAAGGAGTCCTGGCATGAGAATCTGAGCTTCGGATCCAGCATGAGGGTGATGTTCGGTGGAGTGCTGGCGCAGAGGTTATCCACGCAGGTGACCAGCTTGGGGAGTGAGTGGTTATCGCACGGCGAGGCTTTGTTGATGCAGTTCAACTGCGATGATCAGCAGCTGCGTCGTCCTCAACAGTACGGATGGACACTGACCAAGCATGGCGGCAGACCATCCAGCTGAGCGAAAGCACCTCGAACGACCGCAAGGGCACCAAACGCCGCCATCAAACGCACACGCAGACCCCGCGCACGTGTAGCCATCTCGCCAGTCGGCCAAGCCTAGCTTTTTCAGGGCTTTTGGGAGATGGAAACGAGAAGCGGTTGTCTGTCTTGAAATGGCTGTTGATGACAATGATGGAGGAATTGCGAGAAAGACAATGAAGATGTAGGACTTGAACACTCTGTACCTGCCTTTGGAGCTTTGTTTGGAGCGGATGGCGGCAGACCTTAGCCTTGTTGCTGCTTGTGAGGGTGGAGCACTGCGGCCATGGGAAGTTACATGTCGGGTTGCACGAGAGGTGGCTGGGAAACGGAGACCTGGGCTTGCCTGGGCCTTGGGGTAGTCCTTGTGCATGTGCATGTTCCTACGCTGCTGCTGCTTGACGGAGTTGTCCATGACGCGTGTTTTCGAAGAATGTTGACTGAGTCCCAGAGTACATGTAGCCTGTGCTGGCATGATAATAACGTGCGATTGTTTGTGAACGAGGAAGGGAGTCTCAGGAGTGTTGTCGTGACCAGCCTCGGCTCATGCTGAACAACAAGGTCGCCATGACTTCATCTCATCAGACCTTGTGCGCCATCACAGTGCACCGGGAAATGCCATAACATGTCCATAGAAAAGTCGACAGACGGAGACCACTGGCTCCATCGATATGGAAACCGTGAGCATTACCAATGGCGTACCACCGAGCGCAATGGCCGAACAACATATTACCGACCCCTAGGCCTGGCAGAGTTCTGCTTCGACACAGATGGGAGGCATTATGAAGGCCGAGCAGACATTAACGCACAGCTCGAACTGGAAATCAAATCTACCCTATCTCACCATGACTTTCAAGGAAAGATAGACTATCGGGAAAGAATACTATTCGCCTGGGCCTGCTTGAGATGCCAGCATTTGCTGCTCCAGTCGAAAGCGTTGCAAGGCAAAGACTTCTCAGCCACTAGAACGGCATCTGCGTCAGATGTCTACTTTACCATAGACGCTCCGAGAACAGTCTCGCAAGCTGTTGAGGATGCTGGTAACCAGCTGGTCTTCCTTGCGGACCATTTCCAGCACGTGGATGCTCTGGACTTCTGGGTACACTGTCAGAACACTGGACGTGTGTTTGATCCGAGTAATGCGTTGGCGAAGCTCTTCGTGTATCCTCCGCAAAGACTGAAGGGACAGCGAAGCAGCCTCAAACTGCTGGTTGTTGGTTCACACCAGATCTGGGACGGACTTACGAACTACGTCTGGTTTCGGAACTTTGTGCATCTCCTGAACAAGAGCATACCTGAGCTACGGCAACAGCTGCATGATCTACTCAGACCTTCGGCCATCTTTGAGAGGCTGCCACCGCCTCAAGAGGCCCTTTATCCTCCAGTCGAAGGCTCACAAGCTCGACAACGCTGGTTCTGGCTGCTCACTCGCGTTCTTCGACATGTGCGGAAGCCACTTCAAGCAGGCTTCGCAAACCCACTCCGGAGACGGGTACCTATGAATGGCGCCGTCTCATTGTCTCCGACCTATAGGCCTTTGCTCGATTACAGCAAGACGCCCAGACTCAACTCGATCCCATGCTTCGCCAAAGCAACAATGAAGGGGACCAAACGACTTCATCGACTATGCCGAGAAGCCAACGCCAGTGTCGGAGCCGGCTGTTTCGCATTGGCGGCCTTACTCATGATGGAGTTCTACGAGCAACGGGAGCCCAACATCCCCGTGTCGGAAAGAAGGCCATTCATCAGCGGCTTCCCACTCAACCCGAGGGCATTCTTCAACCATGCTGAGGAGCCAAACTCGTTGATGCTGGCGTTTTGCGACGGCATAATCCTGCCTTTCTTGCCTTCAGACCTTGATCTCGACGGTCGACTAAGACTGCTTGCGCGACAGGCACACAGACAACTCGCCGTCTTCCAGAAACGGCAGAATACGAGCCGGGCCGCTGGAGGTTTGCAGTACATGGGCAGCAGAGGTCCGGGTCGACTACTGCAGATTCAGTACATCAGCAGCCTCGAGCGGACTCAAGCAATGCTACCCGAGCATCTTCAGACCGGACTGAACCCGGAAGGAGCCTTCCCTATGCGGCCCAACGCAACGACGCAGACTTGCGGTGTCAGCTCTGTGGGCCGTCGAGAAGCATTAATCAAGCCTGGCGATTATGATATTGACGATGAGAGCAAAGACTTTGTCGCCGACTTCAGGAGCTCGTTTGCCGCCGTGAGGCCGAGAGATGGGGAGTTCTTGGTTGGTGTAGGGGGCTCCGACGAGGGATTGTGGGTGAATGCAAGTGTTGATGGGAGCACCATGGATCCTGCACTGGTCGATAAGTGGAGGGAGAGGTTCGAGACGATACTTGACGAGGGAGGAGGAGGAGAAGGAAGGATGTATAAGCTATGAGTTGCCATATCACGTGAGATAGATGTCCCTACTAGCGCGTCTTGGCAAGCTGCAGCTCGAGCTTCGGCGTGTTCCACTTCTCCAGCAACCTCCGCTTCAGTCACGTCAACCTCAAGCTGCACCACCACCACCTCGCTGGGGTTGCACATTGAGCGGCGGAGACCAGCATTGTCAATTGTCCATTGTTCGTATCGCCCTTTTCTTCATACTCCCCATCACGTCTTCAACGAGCTTCCGTGCCCGCTGCAAGCCTTCTACCCTCACTTGCACTTAGCCGCCGCCATGAGGCCGCCGAGGTCACCTTGTTGTCTCTCCTTCCCTTGTCTCTCATTCTGCGACTCACGCAAACACTTCATATACTCTTGTTTCGATCATGCTTACCTAACTTTTGCCATGGCAAACAGTTCTTCCTCTGCCGGCAGACCTCCTTAGGGCCAACCTCACCAGGCTGTGTGCTGGAGCTCGGATACCGGGACGCATGGAGCCATTGTGATCGGACACCTTGTTCTCTGGACTCTTGCTTGGCCATTCTTGGACCGGACCTCTTGCGCGATATACTTTTGACTGGACACGTAAAACGCCTACCAAAAGCCACCATGGACCACAACGACGCCTATGCCAGATCGCCGCCACGCGTCGCTGCCAGAGACCGCGATGACTATCGCAATGCTGATCCCTATGCACGTCGTGGACCAATAGGTGCGGTTGCTAACTATGGTGTTGATTCCTATAGGCCCAAGTACGCAGACTCATCAAATGCAGATCGTCGTCGCGGCGACCGAGACCGCAGACGCTCACGCTCGCGATCCCCGAGCAACATTGACCGCTACCAACCTTCCGAACGAGTTCCACGTGACGACTACTACGGACCACGTGGTCGCGACGATGGCCACCGTGAACGACGCCGCTCCTCACCGCAACCTCCCGCGATCGACCGTTACGTCCCAGGCATGCCTGAGCCGACTCCACCTCCGATGCTCCACAACCCAATGGCCGACCCAATGAAGCTTGAGTTTCAAGTCGGCTTCACGTGGTTTGCCGAGTGGTGGCGCTCCGAGCAGCGCGTCAAGGAAGAGAAAGAAAGAGCCAGGACCGGAAGACCAGCGCCGCGCTTGAGAGGCGAGCGCGAGATACGTGAAGACCGCGAAGCTGAGAGGCCCAAGATTCAGGCGGCGTATGACTCGTACAAGGAGAACCTGCAGAAGTCTCAGGCGCAGACATTCGTCCGTCTACACAAACAAGAAGACTGGTTCCGCGAGCGTTACGTGTCGGAGAGCAGAGACGCCTTCAGGCGCAGGCTGATGGACTACCGTCAAGGGCTGTTTGCGCAGTTCCAACACGATCTGTTTGATGGCAAGTTTGACGAGTTCACGCTCGAAGGCATCTACAAGACGGAGTCGAATGGATTTGGTGGCGTGATGGAGAAGGAAGAAGGCGAGGCTACAGCTGCTGCTGAGGTGTTAGGCGTTGGTGACCTGCTACCATCTAAAGGTGGCGACATCCGCGACGAGGCGGCTCTCGTACCCACTCTGCTCATCAAGACGATTGCGCCAACGGTGACCCGGGAGAAGTTTGAAGCATTTGCGAAAGAGCATCTGGGTGAAGGAGCAGGCGGGTTCAAGCACCTATCACTCTCTGATCCCAACCCACTTAAGAAGTGCCATCGCATGGGCTGGATCTTACTGAACGAGGGATCGGAGGCAAACGATGAGTCGGAGGCAATCGTGCCAGCTGAAGCGCAGCCGGAGCAGGACGGAGCCGAAGAAGGAGAGAGCAATGGAGACGCTATGCAGGTCCAGCGACCCCTCAGTACCAGTGAGAAGGCGCTTCGGAAGATCGACAAAGAGACCATCAAAGATCCGGAGCGTGGCGATTTTACCGTTCACTGTGGCGTGCATCGTCCGCCAGAGGCGACAAGGAAGAAGGCACTATGGGATCTCTTCTCTGCGCCCGAGCGTATCGACAAAGACCTGGGGTATGCAGAGCGCCTTGTTCGCAAGCTCGATAATGAGCTGGGTGATACGTACATTGCCACCGCCGACGTTGGGAAGCGCGTCGAGTCACTCGTATCACATGGCCTTCTACAGCCTGCAGAGAAGCCGACCAAGGAGATGGACATGGATCAAGATGTTGAAGAAGGTGAGGAAGATGAAGGCATTGTGGACGAAGACGAGAGTGATGACGCAGAACTCCTCGAGAAGAAGAAGAGGCTCGATCTGCTTGTGGAGTATCTGCGCCGCGTCCACAACTTCTGCTTCTTCTGCGTATTCGAAGCAGACTCTGTGCACGAGCTGCAGCGCAAGTGTCCAGGAGGGCATCTGCGCCGCCCTCGCAGCTCGCTCACCAGTGCTGCGAAAGAAGTCGCGCGCGCTTCTGCCCTTGGAGAACCTTTCCCATTGAAGAGATCCGGAGCCAGCAAGAACGACAGTCGCGATGGTGTTGCGGACCCTGCGAGTGCAGACGTAGAGATGGGGTTTGATCTGGAGAGCCCAACCGAGGAGAAGAAGCCCGAGAAGATGCTGAAGCCGTCCGCGCGTAATGCAATGCAGCTGCAGCGGGCTTACAACTGGGTCAAAACGTTCGAAGAGAAGATCCAGCAGATTCTGGAGCCCGAGAAGGTCAACTTGAAGAAGCTGGGTGGTGTGCCAGTTGAGGAAGGCTTGGAGGAGGAGCTGACCAAGGTATGGCCGCGTCTGCTTTCCATGCTTGTAATCTATACTAACTCTCAACAGTACGTCAAGCAAGAAGACATCAGCAAATACCGCTGCAAGGTTCCGGAATGTACCAAGCTGTTTAAAGGCACCGACTTCTGGCGCAAGCACGTCGAGAAGCGTCACGTAGAGTGGTACCAGCAGCTGCGCGCGGACGTCGAGCTCGTCAACACCTACGTTCTCGACCCAGCGCACATTGCTCCTAGCAGGAGCGATGCCAACAGCAATGGCCACTTTCCGATCGGCAACAACGTCCCCACCGGCACCCCTCGCGGCTTCAACCTCAACCAGCACATGCCGATGGGCTATCCACTCGCCGCAGGCGTACCGGGCAACGCCATGTCGATGTTCCCACCGGGCATGAGCATGCCGCCTGGCTTCAACCCAATGGCTATGCCGGGTATGCAGGGTGGTTTCGGCCCCGTGCGCAGTGGAGGCCGTCACATGATGAACAACGGGCGTATGGGCGGACCATACGCGCGCAACGATGGGCGCGGACGTGGACCTGGTGGTCGTGGTGGGATGCCGATGATGCCGCCGGGGATGGGCATGGGGATGTCGATGGAGGGGGGTGCGGGGGCGATGGGGCCGCAGGAGGCGGTGCAGGGGAGGAGCTTGAGGAGTTATGAGGACTTGGATGCGGCGGGGCCGGAGAAGGAGACGACTGCTGAGCTGGATTATTGAGGGTGTGGTCGTTGAGGAACGTGGAGCTTGCTGGATGAACGCATCGTCCTGGCTCGCTTGTTGTGTAACTGCTGACTGTCGAGACTGAGACCTGCTGGCACGAACGCTTTTCTTTGCTGGCCCGTCTGCCGATACCGACTACGCTGGTAGTACCTGTAAGAATGAAAAAAATCGTTTAAATCCAACTGTTACGTTGTTTCAATCATGGAGCTGAAGTCGAGAGCTGAGTCGGCATGCTCTTGCCGTTGTTGTGCCAAGTGTGCTCGCCACTTCTCCCATGATCGCTCCACGTATGACGTTTCCATATATCCAGTGGATCTTGTTGCGAGTGTTCTGAATGAACATTCAATATCAGTCGCTTACTCTCCATCCCTACAACACATCAAGCAGATCATCCGCCGCCCAAGTGACGGGCCGTTCGGTGGCGTCGATCCCAATAGATCTGGGCCCCGCAACTCATCCCGTTCTTCTGGACGCTTGTGCCGTCATCCATCAACACTCTTTTGCCATCTGCATCCCCTATCTTCACTTCTCGCAGACCCGTTCAGACGGTCTTCGAGGCATGGCCAGCAACAGCACCAACTCCACCGGAGGAGACATCGTCGACGACTTGTTGAACGGTAATCCCGGAGCAGCGCAAGACTCGAGTGGGATAGCGACTAAGGCCTTCTTCCTCAACCTCGCGTTTGCGTTTGGCCTATTCGCTTTCCAACTCACTGGCTTCTTCTTACTGAAGAGTTCGGGCCTCGGACGGCGCATCTACCAGCCCAAGACATATCTGGTGCAGGACCGGCTGCGTGTCGAAGCGATACCTGTGAGCCCGCTGAAATGGATCAAGAGGATCTTCGCGATCGAAGGCGAGGAGTTGAAGCTCAAGTGTGGGCTGGATGGCTACTTCGCGATTCGCTTCCTGCGGGCGATGGTCGTCATCTTCTTGCCGTTGATGGCGATCGTCATTACCGTACTGCTGCCAGTCAACTATAATGGTGGCGTGGACGAGCGCACAATCAATGTCAACGGCGAGCTTACGAGATTCAACGTCACCGGTCTCGACACTCTTTCCTGGACGAATGTGGCGCCCGCACAAGCGAACAGGTACTGGGCGCATTTGGTCTGCGCACTGCTGGTCATCTCTTGGACGCTGTATCGTGTCTACCGCGAGAAACTGCATTTCACTACAGTCCGACAGCAGTACCTTACATCTCCCGAGCACCGACTGAAAGCCTCTGCAAGGACAATTCTGGTTACGAATATCCCGAGCGAGTACCAGAGCGAAGAGAAACTCAAGGCGCTCTTTGACGTTTTCGTGTGGAATGATGATCGAAGTCGACTGCATGTTTGGGTCAACCGCGACTATCGGGATTTGAGAGCGCTGGTCAATTTGCGGCACAAACTCACTCATCAGCTGGAAAAGGAGGAGCTGTCGATTCTGCGACGAGTCAACAAGAAGTATCTGAAGAATGGTCGAAAGGAAGCCGGCGAGAAGAGGTCGCCACCAACGTCTTCTGACACGAACGCCACAGCAGCCGGCACCGAAGTCGAAGGTGGTACGGCTCGTAGGCGGGTGGCACCAGCATCTCTGAATGAAGGTGTTGACGACAACGAGGATGATGCGAAGCAGGATCAGCGCATCGCTGAGGCTTTTGAAGCCGACTGTCAGGACGACAAGCAGCTGTGGCACAACTACCTGGAGGACTCCGAGCAGTCCACTGTTAACGTCATTAAGCAAGACGATGGCAGCCTGATAAGCGTTCCGTGGTGGAAGTTCTGGCTCCGAAGCACTGACATAGTCCCCAAGATCGCATACCTCCGAGCTGAAATCGCACACGTCACGCCCCTGATTGAGAACATGCTCCAGAACCTTGACAAGGAGGCCCTCTTCAAGCGCCAGAACTCCGCCTTCATCCAATTTGATCGACAGATGTCCGCGAATATGGCCTGCGCTTTGGTCGCACATCACAAACCTGGCTGCATGGCTCCACGCTTCCTTCATGTGGCCCCTCATGAGATCATCTGGCCGAACATGGGACTCACCAGCTTCGGACGCTTTCGGAGGAAGTGCATTTGCTTCATTCTTTTCGCCGGGATGCTGTTTCTGTGGGGTATACCTACGACTTTTCTCGGGATACTGTCCCAGCTACAGTCGTTGCGTGAGGATACGAGTTACCTTAAGTGGCTAAAGCCGTGGCCTTCATGGTTGATATCTCTGATCTCAGGTACAGCACTCTCTGCTCCGTTATGTCGATCGTTGCTAACAGGAACAAGGTCCGCTCTCGGCCCTCCTCCTGGCTTTACTTATTCAGCTGGTCGTGCCCGCCCTGTGCCGTAAGCTGGCTGTGAACATGGGCACGCCAACAAGGAGCCGGCGGGAGGTCGTCACCCAGAGCTTCTATTTCGTCTTCCTCTTCATCGAACTCGTCCTGGTGACCTCGATATCCTCTGGATTCATTGCAGTTATTGGCTCAATTCTCGACAACCCCGTCAGCATTGTGACTACGCTGGCGAAAGATCTTCCGAAGGCCGCCAACTACTTCTTCAACTACCTAACCATTCAGGCGCTGGGCTTCAGTGGTAGTGTACTGTTTCAGTACCTGCGTCTGCTTTTCATTACGTTTATTTGGCCTTTTCATACGCAGACGCCGAGGAAGGAGGTGTGGCTTCAGACGACCATTCCGCATCAGATGTGCGTACTCTCTTCGCTACAATTGTCTCAAGAGCACTGCTAATGTTTTCGCAGGTGGGCCAACGTCTTCTCCATGTGGACCAACTTTGCAGTCATCGGTCTGATCTACTCCGTCATCGCGCCCCTGGTGCTCGTCTTCATTTCAGCAGTCTTCTGCCTCTTCTGGATAGCATACCGGCACAACTATTACTATGTACAGCGCAACAAAGTCGACACTCATGGGCTGCTGTTCGAGCAGGCCTTTTCTCAGCTCCTGTTGGGGGTGTACGTCTTAGAGATAGCACTCATCGGGCTGTTCTTCCTCGTTAGGAATGCTCAGGGTCAGGTTGCTTGCACCCCACAAGCAATCATCATGATTATCGTACTTTGTTTGACGGCGATCTACAACTACAGCCTCGAACGGGTCATGGCGCCTCTAAGGGAGCTGGTGCCGGTGACGCTGGAAGACACTGCAGCAGAGGCTGAGCAACGTTTCCTTACTGATGGAGCCAACAGGCTGAGTACTGAGGTTACTCAGGGTGGCGTTGATGGAGCTGATGATGGGGACGACTCGTCAGGCCCGGCGTCCGCAGCCGAAAAGCCTGGGACTTCCGTGAGGTCTGGCACGCAGCCGAAGACGTCAAAGAAGGCGCAGCATGATCGCGCAAAGGCCATGGCAGCAACGGCGGCCAACGCGAGAAAGACGTTCTCGCGGCTTTCCAACAAGATCGATGCTCGTTTGATCGACAACCAGCTGAATGCAGCACGGCAAGCCGGTACTTCTCGAAAGAGGATGCTTGAGGCTGCAGATCAGCTAGGCAAAGCTATCGCTCGGTATCCGGACGAGCTGATCGATCTCACTCCACAAGAGCGCCACGCCGAGCTCAGAGCTGCATATCAAGACCCAGTCACGAGAGAACCGCAGCCTGTGGTCTGGATACCTGAAGACCCCGCTGGGATATCAGAGGACAGCGTCGAGCAGTCGAAGAAGTATGGCAGGGCTCTGAGATACAGTAATGCGGGTGCGTACTTGACGAAGGAGGGCAAGTGCAATGTCACGCAGCTTACGCCGGATGTGAGGAGTGATTGGTTGTTGGATTGGGTGCTGTGATTATGGTTCAAGACCTAATGTATCTTTTGTACACAGCGAGTACATACGCATATCAAGAAGAACAATTGTAAACGTGGTCATGGTCTCTGATGTCCGGGGCTGTGACTGTTTCAAGCCAAGATCTGTGACGCGCTTCGAGTGAGATTTGAAGTGAAGTCAATAAATCAACATAGACCCGTCGAACCTCACCTCGTGATCCCGTCTCGTCAACACCCACCATGACGACGTATATACCCTCCCTCACCCTCCCAGACATTGTCTTCAAGCATCCTGCCGCCGCCGTCCTCCTGCCCATCGCTGCCGGTACAGCAATCGGCTTCTCGACACGACCAAAAGAAACGCAACAGACATATCTCGCGCTCCGACAGCCCCCTCTAAGACCGCCGCCGCAAGTGTTCGGGCCAGTATGGACGGCGCTATACGGCGCGATGGGCTATGCGGCATACAGAGCGTATACTACAGGACTGCATAGCGTAGACGGAAGCAAGTTGGCTTTGGCGCAGGTACGACCACCCACCCCACCCCTCCTCAAACTACGACTAATGTGTTTAAACAGCACGGCGCAACCCTCTACACCCTCCAACTCGGCCTCAACCTCATCTGGATGCCGCTCTTCTTCACCTTCAAACGGCCCATCGAAGCGACCGTCGACATCGTCGCGCTCACAGGCATCGTCGGGTACATGACGTACATCTGGGGACAGGTGGATGAAGTGGCAGGGTATGCTTTGGTGCCGTATCTGGGCTGGCTGGGGTTCGCGACGTATTTGAGCGCGGGGACGGGGTATTTGAATGGCTGGGACTTTGGGGGGAAGGAGAGGGGGATAGGGGGTGGAGGGGATACAAAGTTTACGAATGAGAAGCCTTGAGGAGTATCAATGGAATAGAGATTGGAGAGCTGGAATTGGAAGCGTTGGATGTAACAAATCATTGACTGTTGATTTGATCTGTTGCTGTTGGAGCGTCGCCTTTGTTCGATAGCAGGGAGTTGTTGTGATACAGCTGGTATACTTATTCTATACAACCATTTCATGACAGTTCAACGCGAGTGGTCAACCAATCGATCTCGTTCTATACTGGAGCAATCTACGGGCAGCTGTAGGCACTGGCGAGATGGTAGGGGCTCTAGGTGGGCATCCGGTTTCGGGGTATTTTTACAAACTATTATAGTTAATTTTTCCAATCCTATCACCACCAGCAGCCAATGAGCTTGCGTTGGTGGTTTAGTAAGCTATGCCATCGCCTTCAATCGATTGAACGATTGCTTATTGATTACCAGGTGGTAAAATTCATCGTTGCCATCGATGAGCCCCGGGTTGTATGTTTGATTCTTCAAGCAAATTGCTGTCCGATTGGGTCTAACGAAGATTAGCGATTCCCGGCGTAAGTGTTAGTCCTAGTCAATGTCGTTACCAAGTGCTGATCAATACACAGCGACGCATCATATAACACCAGCTGGTTCCAAACTTTTTGCTCGAATTTTGATGATATGGGGATGAGATGACTGAATTCTGTCCCGAGAAGCCGAGGCCGGATCGTCATTTATTGCGGGGAAAAGGAGAGTTAGAACCACTCTTTTGCTTGCAACAAAAACAAGAAGGTCTCACTGAATCGATTCAAATTTGATGTTACCTATTCGTTGGATGCTGAGCGGCGATTCGGAAAAGAACCCATCCGCCCAAACCGGGGAAGTCGGGAACGGCGAGGAGCGACGTGAAGTGGCTCTGGGACTGATCGGGAGAGGTGATCGTGAGAAGTCATTGAGTGGTAACAACATGAAGTCTCCTCAGAATCAGGCGAAAGAAGTCTGAAGAACGTCGAGGTGATGAAGACGAGGCACTTGAAATAAGGTGCAACAAAGTGGTATTGAATGATATGTAACCTACACCCATGTTATACTGCGCCTTGATCCACGCCAGAGCCCGCTGACATTTTCGCTGACCTGCAGCTTGTAGCTCCTCAGAGGACACCTGGCCATCAACGACCGCCGCGGCGCGGCTTCTTGACCGGAGACTTTGCCCTGCCCGTCACCGGATTGCCAGTGCCAGCAGCAGTCCCCTGGGCGAGCTCGTCTTCGTTGTCGTCGACGTCTTCCTCCGCTGGACGCTTCTTGGTGCCTGCGAGAAGAGTAATGAGTCAGCTTGTCCATCATGTTGAAGTTGGAAATGCGGCCAGCGGAAGTGAGGAAAATACGCAGATGGCGGTTGGGAGTCAAGGCAGCTTACCTTTGGCCTGGCTGGCTGTTCCGCTTCCGCTGGCTGTGGAGCCACCGCCTGCTCCGGTCGTCTGACCCTTCACCAGGGAGACCCACAATGCGAACAAGCCATCCAGCGTCATCTTTGCCATCTGATCCGCGATGTGCTTGAGGCTGACATTCTCGTCGTCGTCGTCGTCGTCGTTCTCATCATCGCCGTTGGCACGGATTGCGCCGATTAACTTCTTGGCTTGTGGACGACCCTTGGTCTTCGTAGTGGTCGGCTTCTCATCAGCGGCGAAGTTGCCAGTGAAGGCGTTGAACTGGTCCACGAGGACTGATTTGGTCGGCATGCTCATCAGGAAGTCGACGATCGCTTGGTCTTCGGCGTTGTACGTGTCCGTGGTGCCCGAGCCTACGGCAGCTGCACCTCCAGCTGTCCTAGTGGTGGCTGCGATGCGTCTGTTAGCGGTGAAAACATGTAACCACAAAGGTGCAACCATACCGCCTGGGAGGAACAAATTGACCATGTTGCTGAAGAAGACACGAACACCGGTCTCGGACAACTTGTTCATGAGCTGCTCGACGCGGTCCGCCGTATCCTCGTCGTCTCCTTCCGCGGCTGCCGTGATCAGACGGGCTTTGAACTCAACCGCCTGCTTCGAAAGCTTCTCGCCGGCCTTGCTGGTCAACTTGGTTGGCTTCAGGTCATTGCCATAACGCGTGAGGACGCTCTTGATGAGGTCTTTGTTCTCGCTCATGATCTTCTGGCTGGTCGTGACCTCATCCGACGTGAACTGTCCTATGAAAGACGTCAGCCTTGCACATAAGAACGTTGTCTCGCCGACATACCCAATTTACTTCCTGTGTCCGCAGCGCCCCGCTTAGATGTCGCCAACATCTCAATCACGGCTGTCTGACGACTCAGGTATTGGAAGAGCAGGCCTTGATTGTGGTGGTTGACGTATTCGCTTGACGACAGTATGTTTGGGTCGGACACAGAGAGGAAGTTCTCGCTGTGGATGGTGTCACCGATGTGCAGCGCGGGCCTGCAAAGCATTAGCATGCCATGCCTAAGACTGCACATTGCTCGTAACGGCAGTGATGGCAATGAAACAGGACAAGATGAAAAGACGATACACTCACACTGGACTCGCACCTCCTCCGCCCGCGACAGTCTCAGGTGACTGCACGACTGGTGACTGGCCTCCGGATCGCTGGGACGTCGCACTGGTGGGCTTGAGCACTGGAGTGGTCTCCTGCGACAGTCTTCCACTGACGTTGCGGGCAGGTGTCTGAAATGTGTCGATCTGTGGTGGCTTTGGTGCCATGGCTGAGGTTGGTGCACTTATATTGTGAGCTTGAGATGGCTGAACGAATGAGACGAAACGCTTGCTGGGCAGATTGAAAAACTTGGTGAGAATCAAGAAGAAGTATTTGGAGGGCACTTTGGACGTCTAATAAGTGCTCGTCTCGCACACGTCTGCAACAGACGGCTCTGCGTCGTGTGGATGTCACATCAAACGGGACCTGTGCAAACGGAGATCTTACGGTGCTCTCCCGAGCGAAGCATGTAGACGACCGAAGAGTCGCCCGTCAACCGTCTGATCGATGGCAGCGAGGACGTTTGCATTTTTGCAGTCTCTTGATCCTCATGAGATTTCGAACCTGTCACCCTTGGCCATGGTGTGAGGTCTGCTTTGACGATTCCTGGCGATTCCTCTTTCGCGACCAGAGGCTTGCTCAAGCCCCACCCCCATCGGGCATCGTTGGACAAGTTGTTGGAAACGCGAGAAATTCCTTGTCTCCCTCTGGCAGTGCGTCTGCATCGGTTCGATCGGGTAGTGGCCTTGCTCAGCAATGTCTCTTGCCGACGGAGAACGTCTCAATGTTTCAGGCTTCGCACAGCTACGGTGCTTCGCCGATCAATTCTGTCCCAACATTGACCGCGACTAAGGACTGCCATCTGATCCATTCCAAATTCAGACAGGAGGTCGATAAGCTCTACTTCTGGAGTCGGCTGTTCTTGCTGGGTTCAGGCCCGATTCACATAGAGCGTGGACCAGGACGATTAAGATGCTCGTGCGCAAGCTATGTTGTGTAACAAGGACAACGCCGCAAACGCGGGGACGCTCGAGCGCCGTGCACGAGATGGTCATATGTATGCACTGCTGCACGCGTTTTGCAACCAGCGGGTTTCAACAAGACCGCTGATCATGATAATCGTGCGCTGTACAGTCAACCAAAGATCCCGCCGGGCTAATCGGGATGGACGTCTTCACAGCTGTGACAGGTTCCGACCAAGGCTCTCATGTTGACTGCCTCAGCTCCTGCAGCCTTCCGTTCCTCGATTATCGTCCAGACGTAACACAGCAGATCTGTGGAGAAGTACCGACTCCTTTTGTTTGGCAAAAAGGCGTGAAGTATCGACATGTGCTACAATTCGCAAGCACGAGAGTGGGCTTATAACCCACTCTTTCCCACCTCACAAGGAGTAGGTTCTCAAAACTCGAAAGTCATCACCAAACTTCCCAGCAGCAAACAATCATGGATTGATACTCCTCCACGCTAAGGAACGATACTCCTCGGTCCGCCGGCTCAACACCACCCACTGCAGCGGATCCGGCTGCGACCTGCACCGTGCCAGGCCCATGCTTTGGGCAGTCACCCACGCAACACATCGCACCGGTCGACATCACTCAATAAACCTGGCCCGAGCGTTTGACCCGTCGAGCGGCGCGGCCAGAATTTCTCCCGTTGTCAGAAAGGTGCCTACGAGTACGACGCCGACGGTGCAGTACGCCCTAGTCCTGAAGGGACAACGCAACACCTTTCCACTCCTGGTTCAGACCCTACACCATGGCCAATCTGCCAATCCCCGACCTCAGCGAAAGGTTTACACTGGCACAGAGTTTGGAGAATCTTCACCAGGCTTCCGAGGTCGAGCAACTGGAGTTCGTGCAGCTGGTGGTTCAAGAGTCGCAGAGTTACCGCGGATTTCGCCATCATGCGGCCTCCACACAACGAAAGCAAGACCATCACCTGGACATGTACACGCAGTGGATGCTGTTCAAATTCAAAATGGCCCGGGCTGACTTGAGCGATGATGACCTCTCTGACCTACTATTTCCCTTGAACGATCACAAGCGGATGTTCGAGGAGTTCCGTCAATTTCTCATCGTCGTCTACCACAAGACGAGGCCACGCAGCAGCATGACCGGAGAGCGAATCATGTACAGCACGCTGTGTACATACCGCGACTCATTGATGTTCTGGACAAAGCGAACCTTTCGGATGCGCAATCAGATTCCTCCCCCCGCATCGGCAATGTACTATTGGATGACTGAAGTGATGCGCGGTGTTCTGGCCAGCTATCCAGGCGCCGGAAAATCTGTGCCCAAGTCCTACCTGGGTCTCCCAGAGCTGCGCCAACTGTTCGACCTGGAGATGATCTACAATAGGTCCATCGAGTTCTGCGAGCAGCACTGGGCGGCGTGGACTATTGCCAGAGCAACAGCCTGTCGCCCTGGCAGCATTTGCGCTTCACACGACGCCAGGGACCCGGGCTTGAAGTGGTCAGACCTGGATATCCGAGTGGGAGATGAACCTGGCAAGTTCGCACTCACGATTCGCTTCCAGAACATCCAGATCAAGCGAGCTGCAGATCCCGAGAAAGCACTGGGGGTAGGCGATACCTTTCTTCACGTCTATCTGGACTCGCCTCAACCCAGCAACCTCATTTTCTCGCCAGTCCACCGGCTCCTCGTGATTGCTCTGCGACGTGGCCTTATTGAAGGTGTGGAGAGTCTGGATGACCTGCTCAAACTCAGACGGCACAACATTACGTTCAAGGAGAGCGCTCGCGACCAACCGCTGTTCTTTGCGAGCCCGAACAGAGGCCTCGGCATCGATTTCTCCCGGCCGCTCAGCTCGGCGTCACTCTCAGCCTACCTCAAATCGCGTGCATATCGTGCGGGGTGGGTGTTCAAAGTCATGGGCTTCAATTGTATCCGTCGGCGGGCCCTTACCGACGTTGTCTCACGTGTTGGCTTGGCTGCCGCCCGTCGTCTTGCTGGCCACTCCCCTGAAACCTGTACACTTGAGAAATATTACATATACCTGGAACCAACGATCGACCAAATTGGCGTGATGACGGAGCAGCCTGTTGATGCGCGAGGTTTCTCGGATGCGCATAGGAAACGTTGGGCACCTTTGGTTATGGGCAGGATTGAGGATGAACGAATTCAACGTACTCGCGGCACTGCGTTGCGAAAGATGACGGACCGGTAAGGCAACACCTGGCTCGTATTTTGGACCAGAAACACGTTGCTAACGTCTAATTTGGCATTTATAGGCTCGTTCTGGCTGACGAGAACCCTCCCGAAGAATATGCGACTGACCCTGGCGTCCGCAAACGCTATCGGGCACGTCTGTCCCGGATTGCCCACCAAGCACTTCTCCAGCATGAGCAGGCCGAGTCCAAGCGGGAAATGACGACGGAAGAGTTCAACAGACGACAGCAATCTCTCGAGGCCTCCAACTTTGCTGATCATGTGCTCCAGCGCGCGCTCGAGTTACGGGACGAACAGAGTGATGCTGTTGCCGTGGCTAGTGCCAATGATGATGACGATGATATCGAGGATGCTGATCAAGACGAAGACGAAGACGAAGCCGGTCAAGAAAATCCTGAACAAGATCTGGAGGAGAGTGGGGAGTCAGATGATTCGAACGTTGTCCGGGTCGAACCAGAAGCCGAGATGGGGGAAGAAGCAGACAACAGCAGCACACAAGCCCAGGATGTCTCTTATGAGTACATGGCGAGAGCCTTCATGGAAGTATTACTAGACAATTCGTACAACCAGTACACGATGTGGTCTGAGCGAATCAAGACATGCCCGGAGTGCCAGGGTGACGAAACTGTGTCGGAGGACAAGAAGGTACTTTTCTCGTCTATCATACTTCGATCTCGACTGACTTTCAACAGGCTCAGGAGTATCAGAGTGAAATTCATCTGAACAATCATCTCGAGGGCAACTTTCACAGCGCGCAAAGCACGTTCAGACGAGCCGCGGCAATTCGCCGGGCCAGCCATCCCGACAACCTTTTTGTATGCCCGTATTGCGAGGAGGCTGTCGATGACCGCGAAAAATTCTTCAGAGCCATGGATGCCCAGTACCCAGGCATTACGACATTCAGCGAAATCAGCGAGCTCTTCTACCATATCAGCCACAGCAACGACCAGACCGACGGACCCAAACACGATGAGCTTAAAGAACTTGGAGGCTGGTACGAATCCGATTTCTATCCCACGACCAGCACGGAGACCACTCTCAAGGCACGGCAGCTTTCACACAAGAACCTCAAGGCCATGGGTGTCCAAATCATCGAACAGCGTCAAGTCATCGCCGGTGCAGAACAATACGACAGCTTTCCTGGCATTGTCAAAGGCTCGCATGATGGCGTGCCTCCGAGATTCGTCAGCTCGGTGCGATCGGGCGCGCCAAACGAGATCCCAAGCAAGTTCGCAGGCATTGTCGTCCGAGGGTTACAAGCGACACAGCCGGTGCCGGATGCCTTCAGGTCGAACGTCGTGAGCAGCAAAGCACCGGCGCGCAGGAGCCGAGAGATGTTGCCGCCGCAGGTGAGTCGAAGCGGCATCCGTGTCACAAGTGCCGTCAGTGCTGGGTCAGAGGAAACAGGACGCCGACAGGACGCCGTGATGATATCCTCCGGCGAGGAAGACTCCGATGAAGAGGAAGCTGACGAGATGGAGATTGATGGGTAGGATGTTACGACACTTTTCGGTTTTGACGACAATGGTGGCGATTATGGATAGGTGGGATGTCACGATATAGTGCACGCTTTCCCTTTGGGTGACGATCATGAACAATGTGTATTATCCTTGATTATATTATGTAAAGTCAAAGACTTTGTAGATGATCTCCAGTCGCTGAGCACGCTCGCTGCTCATGTCCCGTAGACTTGCAACTTAATGTCCTCGAAGCAATGCTGTCACAACATCATCTGCAGCATCATCGTCGCCGGAGTCGCGGCTCAATAACAGAGCTTCACGCCTTGATCTCCAGCCGGCGAGCAAATTTTGAGCCCGGGTTCCATACGCAGCAAATTCTCCGAACCTTTGGGCCTGTGAGAGCCCTTATCATACATTTCTTCGGCCTTTGTTGGTGCTCAGCGTGTCGTATTTGGAGCAGCGGGTGAGCCGCGAGCAGTTTGACCGAGCCTCAAGGGTCCGGTGAAAGCTGGATGGAGGTCTCGTAGGCCATCTCAGTGGTTTCAGTGGATTCTGCTCGAAAACTTGAATGATTTAAAACCCTTCGAAAGGCATTGAGCAAAAGGTAAGCGCGTCTGTTGAGCATCGGGGGGGTTCAACTAATCGCCCTTAACATGTACTGACGAATGTGTATGCAGCGACGCATGCATTCACTGAATTTCAGTCTCACCTTTTGGCTGGCTATTTGGAACAAGCGACTTCGGTTAATGTTTTGAACTTTCCAGTGAACATCCTTAATGTTGTGGGAGAGATTTGAACTCTGGGTTCTCGAAAGTATCAGGGGAGTGAGGAAAGGCAGAGGAACTCATTCTTTTGAAGTGTTTCCTGATGAAGGCATACAAAAGCCCCAAGAGCCTGCCTCGATGTGACACTGCATCCATACTGTCTTGCTGATCTGCCTCGACAACGCGGGCTATGGATCCACCTTCGCAGGCATGCCAGGAAACGCAGGCTGCTTGTGCTGCAACACGAACGACCAGAAGTCGTACCAATGATTGGAGTCCGCGAAACTGGCATATGCGATCAGTATTGGCTCTGTACAGTCTCCAACATATATGCAGATGCAGTCCCCAATGCTATACACACCCAACTCATGCCACATGTCCAAGAAACGCCTCGCTAAATCAACAACAGCATCCATCCAAATTCATTTGTTGTGCACCAAGAAATTCCTCGTCGAGTCCCATTTTTCCGCATTGTCATAACTAGTAGTAAGAAACCTCGTCAGTACCTCCCTCTTGACAAAAAGAGACAGAAGAAAATGAACATACATATAGGTCATGCTGTTCCGCAGACTCGGCTGCAGCGTCTCCGGGTAGTATCGGAAGAGCCACATCACTCCTGCCCAGCTGAAGGAGGCAAACACCGGCCAGCTGTATTGCTGAATAGCCTTGAGCTGCCCTTCTTTCAACCCGAGCACGCTCTTCCCTCCGTGCCCACCGTAGCTCCCGGCCACCAAGCTGTTATCTCCCGGTGGCTGCACAGCAAGCTTCGCCAACGCCAGCACAACTCTCGCAAACACGTATATGCAGATCTGCTGATTCACAGAACTGCTCGCACCCTTGCCATGTCCAAACACCCAGTACCCGCCAAACAAGCCAGCGAGGAACGTGTGCATGCTCTCTTCCTTGCCGCCATTGGCGTTCTTCAACAATAAGCAGCCGCTCTTGTACAGGAAAGCGAACTTGGCCAAGTTCATGGCATGTTGCCGTGTCGCTTTTAATGTAAGCCATAGCTTCTCTCTGAGCGTCCCGGATCGGAAGAGGAAGACCATGACGAGGGCGTGTGGGAAGCGGACTTTGGTGCCGTAGACGGCGCCATTGCGGATGGCTTTGAGAAGGATCAGGGGTTGTTTGTATGTCGGGTTGAGGATGATCTCGCGTTCCAGGTATTTCTGTTGGGTTAGTTAGGACTGTCTTCTGACGACGTCACATGCTCGGCTTACTTGGATGGCTTGGAGGTTGTCCATGGTTGCGGGTTTGTCAGGACGAGGAGGGAATAACTTGAGTACTATTGTCTTGCTAACATTGGTATAGACAAGAAAACAAGCTGCATACAACGAACAGATGAGAGGAAAGGCAGTGAACCGCACATGATGCTCTCGGCAATGGCTGTTGACGGTCGTGAGCAGCAGCAGGTCAGACCTCGGCTGACGATCCCCACAGAGCCGCCGCATGTGACAGTCCACGCCAAGAGTCGACCTTCTTGTTCCGTTATGAATTCACGCTATCATCCATACTTGTTGCGAGATCAGGATACTGTGGATCAAGAAACACAGTGAGTGCTCAGTAGTATGGGGTGATGAACCACATCTTATCATACATCTACTAAACCATCATCGCATCGTCCAACCATTTCTTCCCATGCACTCATTACTCGTCACAATCATGCCCGCCCCTTGATATCCCAAATCCTCGCAAAAAGAGTGAAATAGATGCCCACCCCTACAGTACATTAATCCATCGTCCGGACGCCGCGCTTAGGAAACCATATCCGCTCTCGTTGCTCATAACTCGTTTCTGTCGTCTCTTCCCTGTCATAGATTCTGGAAGCTGTCGTCCACTTCTCCGTCGGCATCCATCATGTCGTCGTGCTGATTCATACCACCGTAATTCGTTATGTCCATGCCGCCGGGATTGTAGTTCGTCATCGGATCATTCATCCGAGCGTCTCCCCACTGTGCTGCTGGTCCCTCCATGAAGAACTCAAGCGAGCCGACGTTTGGAATACCAGAATCGCCCAACTCACTACTATCGTCCGCTGGCTCCTTGTTCCGATATCGCGAGCTACCGCCCCTCTGTGCTCCACGCTGGGGTAACGTGAGTTGTCGTCCGGAAGCCCCCATATGTAGCCAGTTGTCAATATTAGCATCATGCTTGTCGTAGTGATCCCCAATATGGTTGAAGCGTTGTTCCCAGGCGTTTGATGCTCGCCGACCACCGTGTTCCGGGCTCAACTCTGTCTGATTCACGAGCCGCTGGCAGAAGCCGCACCAGAAGCGGTAGTGCGCGTGCTGGCCAAGGTGGGCTGCCATGCACCAGTACTGATTGTCGTATGTACTACGTCGGTAGTCATGCTGGGCTTCTAAATGGCGCGCGAAAGCCTCCACAGATTGAACCACGTAGTTGCAATCCTGACAGAACCAGACTTCGTCCAACTCATGCTGCGAGCTCTCGTGCCTCTTCCAGTCGTTGCGACTACCCAGTCGTCTGTCGCAGCCCTCGAACGTGCAGCCGTATGGACGGGTGTGGCGCTTCATGTGTTTGCTAAGCGTACACGTCAGCTGTGGTTGTTGGTGGGCAGCGGAGTAGTCTCACCGGAGATCACACTCACGTGGCTTGATCTTGCTGCATTCTGTGCATTTGAAGCCTTCTGCAGACTGTTGCGCAACGGTGTCTTCGCTGTTCTGCTGGCCAAAGACTTGATGACGCCATGTTTGCTCGGGACCTTGGCCTTGATCCATTCGCATTGCCTGGTCCATGCTGCCGGCGAATGTCTGTTGGGCCACCTGAAGATGGCTAGTCGGCGAGGACTGCACCGTGTCTGGATATAGTATAAGCTGTGCATCTCCCCCTGGATTCCCATAGAAACTGTGTCCGGTATAGCCATTGCCAGAGTTTTGGAAGCCAGCGTTGAACTGGCCGTCCAGGTCCATGCCAGCACCCATCTGCCCAGCACCTATACCTGCTAGCGGATTCACCGAACTCATGTCGAAACTGATATCAAAGTTGCCGCCTCGGAAGCTAGGACCTCTTGACATGCTGGGGGTTCCCAGAGACTGAGTATCGCGATACTCGACCGGCATGTGTGATCCGTAGCCAGACTCAGACTGGGCCATAGAAGGTGGCATATGCTTAGACCTGCACAGGTGTCAGCACTGGCCCTGTATTCGCGCTGAGTCGTACTTGCATCCGGATCAAGTACTGTTGGTCCCAGTCTCCATGCTTGCGCGATGTATGCGCCTTGAAATTATCCAGCCTTGGCCAATTCTTTGGCGGAAGCCCGTTGTTCGGAGGCGGACAGGCAGCACAGACATAGTATACAGCGCTCCCGACCGTTGGTGGCATACCGTGGACTGATTTTTGATGTCGCTGTAGGTCGTTCTCAGTGCCAAACCCCTCCCGACGAGTGCATCCTCTCACGCAACATCGGAATGGCTTGGTGTGCTGAGATAGGTGTTTACTGGAGAGCAAGTCAGCTTCGTTTCCCAGATCGCATAGCATGAGAACATGGCATACTCTTTATCGGACTGGTTTTTTAGCACTTTGTTGCACAGACGTCCATCTTTGTGCTTTGTGCACCGCGTTACCTCCGACTTCGATCTTGGTCGTCTTCCGCCAGCTTTGCCTCCCGTAGGCGCCGATTTCACACTGAATTGTGGTTGTGTATCCGAGTATGCATTACTAGCAGTCTCATCACAGAGCTGGATTGGCGGTGGAAGAAGCTGAAGCCGTCCGTACCCAGCCTGTGCCGACTGGTAGGTAGAATCTTGTGCGGAGCTGTAGGAGCTCTGTTGTAGAAGCGGCGGTCTTGGATGGTATTCGCTTACCACTCGTCCTGCCACGGTGTTCGCCTTTCTGGTGTCGTTGACCGAGCCAAACCCTCCGATTGGGACTTGATTGGATGCAACATTAGAAGGATGCCATGGCCCTGAATGTAAGCCTTGGACATCAACAGAGCCGATGTGGTTCTGGAAATGCAAACCTGTAGTAGAAGGAACTCCGGTTTGTTGAATCGCCAATGAGGAAGCAGGATCATGGTACGGCAGCCGTAGCTGGATGCTCGCTGGATAGGTGGATGGCGGTGCAAAGCCAGTATTCAGCTCATCGTTGCCATACTGGTTCTGTGGATGGCTTCCCATCGTCTCACTGTAGGTCGCTTAGCTGACTGCATGAGACGCTGGACTAAGACAAGCTGTTGCCCGAGAACTGAGGCACGCTGGAACAGCCCCTCGATTGACGAGGCTGAGCGCTAGAGCGCCGGTGAAGAAGCAAAGCACTCACCTTGTGCTGTAGTCCGAGGCGGTGTTGTCGTGATACAACAGCGGTAACTGCACGAACCCCACCAATATATGTATCAGAGAGGGTCAAGAGCCAGAGTCACAACTAGGAAACGGTGTAGATCATGGCCTAAGTGAGATGAAGCGTTGAAGGGAAGCTCTCAGATGCTGGGTCGGTCCTAGAAAGCCTCGAGTCGTAAAAGCGAGGCGGAAGAAGGGCGAGCAGAGCTCTGGATGCCAGCACCGCCCAATTCCGGTCGCTCGAAATGTCCTGGTGGAACGGAGCCATTGCCAAGTGTGAAGTAGGTGTCGATAAGGCAACTTCTCACCCCCGTCAGCAGGGCGTACCTGGGGTGGGTCGCGGTTCGCCATCCAATTGGCCTGTGCATGGGTACGTACTGTATAAGACTGAGGAGGCCGCCCGCTTGTGACCGCGTTCCTTGCTCTCGACTTTGCACTTTGCACTCCGCAGTGCATTAACTAGTCAAAGGGCGGCCTCTTGTCTCGAGAGGGATTCCGGTGTCGCTCTGCTTGCAATTCCCTTGGTTCGAAGCATTACGTGGATCACTTTCATCTGGTCATTGGATCTTCCATCTGGAACACCGAGCTGTTGTCCTCGCACTCGTCTCGGTCGGACATGTTTGCTGCGATTTCAATGTCACACCTGAGTGGACAAGGTCCTCAGCAAACAAGTGCAACATCCAAGATCGGACAGAAAACCGCACTAGAGGATCCCAAGCTCGCCAACGAGTGATCGAGGCGTGGCGTGGGATGAGACGGGACGCTTCTGGGTGCCTGAGGTTTCCTCTGTCGTCGATGGTCATGGTGCATCAGTCGGTCCGACGTACGCAATCGATGCAAGACACCCAAGATTGACTACGGAAGGAGATTGGCGTATGGAAATCTACGGCGGCAAGAATGGGAGGCGTAATGCCTGTCGTGCAATCCTCCCGAACTACCATCGGAGTATGGCCACCGGATGAGCCCTTACTCGCCTTGCCATGACTCTTCGTCAGACTATTTCATACCATGCATATGGCTCTGATTGACACCAGTGGCAAGATGATTGCATACGTGGCCTTACACAAGCTCACAATGTTCTACACGGCAAGTGGTGTTCTCGATACTGTCTGCTCCTTCGACAAGCCCCTGTCGGCTTACTTTCTTGTTTGTCTTTGGTTGCGCTGCAGACAACGTTGCATCGGTGATCGTCATGGGTCTGGAGGCCGCCTATCGCGCCCCATCCTGTGGATGCTCTCGACGACGAGCGATTCATCCTCACGAGGTAGCGATGTGTCCGTATACGCTGGGCGAATTCCTGTAGGTATAATCGCAGAACCGAGCACGATACCTGACGTAATTACCTCCCTCCAGCCACGTCAATAGCAGCGCCTGTTACGTAGCTTGCCTGGGGTGAGAGAAGCCATATAATCGCTTCACCGACCTCGCTAGCTTCACCCGGTCGTCCCAGTGGACTCATGTTCCCAAGTTTGTCAGCTCGGCCGGGGACTCCAGAAAGGTCGTGAATGTCTGTCTTGATGATTCCCGGTCTAACATTGTTCACTCTAATCCCCTTGGGACCAAGTTCTTTTGCCAATCCAATAGTCAGTGAATCAATAGCGCCCTTAGAGCCGGCGTAGTCCACGTATTCGTTCGGCGAACCCAGCTTGCTTGCTACTGAAGACACGAAGACGATACTTCTGTTCTTCTTGCCGCTCTTCGCCAGTCTCCTCGAGGCCTCCCGCGCACATAGGTAGGATCCGAAGACGTTCGTGTCGATGACATTTCTCAGCCTCTCGGTAGTAAACTCTGCTAGTGGTTGACTCTTCGCAGTGATACCAGCATTAATGACCACGCCGCTGAGGGTGCCGAAGTAGCTCTCGTGAGCTGAGAACATGTCTACTACATCCGCCTCTCTGGTGATGTCGAACTTCAGCTTCGCCGCCCTGCCGCCTGCTTTCTGCACGTCTTCAACAGTCCGGTCTGCTGCAGACGCGTCGCGGGTGTAGTTGATGCCAACGGACCAGCCGCGTGCGCCCGCTAGAAGGGCTGTGGCTCGGCCAATGCCACGCCCGCCTCCCGTGACGAGGATGTTGGCCATTGTCAATACCATCTGTGGGGTGAGATGGATAGGAAGGTAGTTGATGTAGCAAAGTGAGTGTCGAGCATCCTTATGCGAAGACGTGAGCATGCTCGGCGTATTTGACCGCTTCTCCCGCAGCCCCTTCCATTTGACCGCCACGGACAGAGTTCTGACACGAACCAGCTTCCAGTCATGGCCATCGAGAAGCAATCCCATCAAAATCGATCTATCGCCGTGAACGACCTTCAACATGGGATCGGATGACACACCTTCAGGCAATCCCGAGGACTTCCTCGAGAGCATTGTCGAATTCCCAGACGGAAGTCGGTTCGAGAGACTCCACGCCATTACCGACTTTCGCAAGGATCCTGGCGAAGCAAGAATCTTGTACCTCTGCAGACGACATGATCCGAACGATGCTGGTGACGGCCAAGACGAACAGTTCGTCATGAAAGTGAAGGCGCAATGGCCGGGTCCACAGAATCTATACCATCCTGGCCCAAGCCCAGCAACAAACGCCGAACTGAAAGTACTTCAACTGTTTCGCGACCAAAAGGTTGAAGGCGTGCCGCACATGGTTACTTGGAAGCAGACAGTCCAGCCAAAAGATGGAGTCCATCCAGGAGGCTATCTTGTCTACACCGTGATGACACTCCTGCCGGGCCGGACACTATGGGACCTGGGCTACTGGTCCCGGACGGAAGACGAGCGCACCGTGATACAAGAAGCATTCCTGTCCAAACTCAAGACGATCAGACAGCTAGGCATCGCGCCCTACGACTGTGCTCTTCGAAATGTTTTATGGGACGACGATCAGAAGCAAGCGAGCATCGTGGACTTTGAGCACTACCGGGAAATTGACGCTCCCATCGACGACGAGACTACTGAGCTGCAACGATGGGGTTTGAAGTCGCGACCGGTGCCGGGAACTTGGTACATGGAATGGGGGTTGAAGGCTAAAGAGGCTGCGGAGATAGGTATAGTCGACAGATAGCAATGCCAGTTTGCGCACACGCAGGGGAGTTGAAGGTGTGCAAATTCTACAGATCTACTGCTTTATCTGTTTACCCTTCTAGTGTAGGTACACCATCTAGAGCTTCGGAAATCTAACACGATTGAATTGGTTCGGCCACGCCAGGTCCACGCCCAGCTTCCACCCAACCTTCAACACCCACTCCGGCTCTCGCATGAACTGCCTGGCCACCAAAATACAATCCGCCATCGGTGTCTTACCACCCTTTGCATCCGTCATCTTCTCGGCAGCCGCAGCCTCTTCGCCAGTACTGCCATCATGCTTTGAATCCTGTCCTTCAGCTTCAGCAGATGTCGACACAATGTCCCGCGCTTGCTCTGCCTCAGTGATCAAGCCCACAGCACCGATCAACATGGGCTTGCCAGCTTCACGAAGCTCTCTCCGAATCTGCGCGGCGATCTTGGTCTGGTAGTCTTTGCTGTCGAACATGTTGATCTTCTGCTGCGGGTGGTTGCCCCCAGAAGAAACATCAAGTAGATCGACTCCGAGATCAGAGGCAATCTTGGATACTCTGATCGTGCTATCAACGTCCCATGACCCGTTTCGCTTGCCGGGCTCAGTATCGTCCATCCACTCGGTCGAGCTCAATCGAAGGAATAGCGGCATGGACTCCGGGATAACAGCTCGGATGGCCTTGATGATCTCCACCAGAAGCCTCGTCCTATTCTCAAAGCTGCCTCCGTAGTCATCAGTCCGTTGGTTCGTGATTGGAGACAGGAACTGATGTATGAGATAACCGTGAGCGCCATGGATCTCAATTACGTCCACCCCGGCTTTCACCGATCTCACAGCTGCGGCGGCCCAATCCTGCACCAGCTGCTTGATCTCATCCTTGCTCAACGCACGAGGAGCATAGTAGCCTCCTTCAGGATCATCGCTCCTCTTGCCATCCCAGACAAAATCTTCTCCACCGGAGGCAGATACGACATCCTCAGGCCAGCCGTAATTCTCCTTCGTAGCCCGCACACTCCCCTTCTTGAACTGCGCAGCAATAAAAGGCGGCACAGTCGACGACTTCCTCCCGGCATGCGCGAGCTGCATACCACACAATGCGCCTTGACTGCGTACCATATCAGCTACCGCTTTGACACCCGGGATCTGATCATCGCTCCAGATTCCAGGGCAATTGGGAGAAATACGTCCGTTCGGCTGCACGCCGCTAGCTTCGATGAACACGAGTCCGGCGCCTTTAAGGGCGTAGTGGCCGAGCGTGGTGATGTGGTAGGGCGTCAGAGCCCCGATATCAGGTCCGGACGGAGCGGTGGAGTACTGGCACATGGGCGCCACGATGATGCGGTTGCGGAGGACGTTACCGCGAATGGTGAGAGGAGTAAATAGCGTTGGTAGTTTGGCATCTGGCTTGAGCGGCGTGCCGGGGTTTAGGAGGTGCTGAGGCGTCCAGAAGGGAATGCCTTTAGCAGGGACATTCTCGGTCGTTGGAGCCATATTCTTCCTGAGCGCTTGTGCTAGGTCCAGTAAAGGCAGTCTGGTATAATTCAGACCTAAAACTCAAGGCGATAAAAGCGAAGAGCTGCTTCTTCAACCACCAAGACTGTGCGATATGACCATAGAATTTCCCTGTGAAAGTGTATCATTGCACCAGTCGTCAAGAAGAAGAGATGGAGTTCATGTTAGCCCGACCTCGGCAGTTGTTGGGCGGGTTGCATCCTCCCGCCTGCAGGAGGCGGCGATAAAAGATACTAAACACGCAGAAACGGTTGCACAGAACTGGCTGGGGTATCAAGTCATGTACATTCATCAAAAGTTACAAATGGATATCAGAGTTAAGTTCAGCGCGCCAGACCCCCCATCTCGCCGATTCCGCGTGCTCCTTCGCAAGCTTCTCAGCCTTCTGCGTCTCGAAAGTAAACGCCCACTGGAGCACATGTCAGTAAACCTTCTCAGGCAAAGCCCTAGGCGAAGCATCGCTCACCGTCTGTTGCGTATACTTCTTCGGCATCCCCCGCGTACTTATCAACCCGATATGCTGCACGACTTGCGGAGCAAGCGCATAGCGCGCGAGCCCGAGTTCGTTCGCATACTTTTCGATCTTCAGGTCGGTCGGGCCGGGTTTGACGTCGTGCAAATGCTGTATGAGCGCCGGCACCTGCTCTCGCGGATATACCAGCGCTTGTGTACAGCATCCCTTGTCGTCCATTCGAACGACACCAGTTCGCGGAACAAAGCCATCCGGTCTTATCAGGAATAGGAGAGTGAATATGGCCGGAATCGTTACGCAAAGAAGTATCCACAGCGAAGCGCAGCGCGCATGGTTGATGTCGTGCGAGCTTCTGTAGTAGTGGCAGCGGAATTTCAGGCCAGCAGCTGTAACGAGGCTGGAGATGATCGGAACGACGAACCAGATCCATGGGTTAGTTGCTAGTGAGTCGATATCGGCATCCCAGCCAAGGTGCCACTCGGTGAAGAAGAGCCGGAGATAAAGCCAGGGAGCCTTCTTTTGTCTGACAGTTGCCAGAGCGTCCAATGTCTTCGCGAGCCAGCCGTCTGCGAAGGCTACATCGTCCTCTACCATTGCGATGTAGGGTGCGGTTGTCTCATTGTAGCACTGCGATAGGGCATAGGCGTAATCACTTCCGCAAGTCAGCGAGTCATTGTCGATGTCCTTGCGTTCGTCGAATAGATTTTGTTAAGAACCCTATGTCCGATGGAAAAGAGTACTCACAATATTCCTTTTGCCTGGATCTTCTCATGAGCTCTATATTCGCGCAACATGTCCATCTCCGCATCGGTGACGTTGTAGCCACCCCACTGGCGATAATTATAATTAGCTTAGCCTTCGCCGAGCATATCTGAAGTTGTACTCACCCAGTCAAACACGTCAAGCCAAGGGTCGTCCCATTGAGGGTGAAGGGTCGCATTGAGATCCACGAAGATCAGACGAGCTTCTATCGCGCTCCTTTCCTCTGGTGTGAGGCCAACAAGCATCGATCCTGCAGCATCGCTTAGATACTGAGTTTTTTTGCGCTTGATGGTAGTCATGGCCACACACATCACGGGCTGGTTTTTCGAGACCCTGGCTGGGGTTGTGTGTTCAGAGGCATTTGCGGCCTTGATGAACGCCCCAGATTCAAGCAGCCGGTGGTCGGTATACCGATACTCGTACGCGCTGTCCGCATTGAAGAACCAGGATTGAGGAGCGGCCCATAATGTGGTCCAGCAGTAAAGAAGGGTGACAACCCCGGCTAAAATCGTGCATATCAGTATCCTGCCGGCCGTGGAGCTCGCGGAGAAATCATGCAGTCTTCTTCTGTTCGACCGTGATTTGACGAGGTCAAGATCCAAGGACCGTGGAGGAGACGTGAGGCGTATAGGCATGGTCCAGACAGCGACGTTTCCGCGGAACGCGAAAACTTAAAAGAGCCATCACAGGCACATGGTAGGTGTATTATAAACAATCAACCGCAGGCGACCACATGACAAGGATTTGGTACTATTCCACACCCCTTCCTGCATGAAACGTAATGAGGTCTGGGTAGTCGGTACAGCCACTGCTAGAAGCCTCCGTTCAGCGTTAGTTGAAAGCGATCAAATGACGGACATTGAAGGATCGAGGCTTAAGGAGGGCTACACACGGGTCCAAGGGAGGTCGGCCGTCAAAGCGTACGGGTAGGCTGAGGCTGCCAGATTCCCTCCAATGTAACTCGCGGGCGGAAATGAGATGAGCTAAGGAGGCTATGCCCAGTCGCTCCATCGGCTAAGCGGTATTTCATCAAGCCACCGGCGCGTGAGGAGTTGCCGGCCCCAGATTCATGAAAACCGTTGCCTGGAGCGAGAGTACGACGCCGTGGAGTGGAGGGGAGAAAGGAGAGGGGTCTTGCTTACATACTCGGAGTGAACTGCGAAGGGCGACGGTTGCAGGGTTGGCAACGGCTGGACTCTGGAGGAGTTGTTGTTCTCTAAATTAAGGACGGGCCAATGCGTTGCGTTCGCGTTCGACTTCAAGCTTCGAAGGCTCTCCCAATTTCTGCTGTCGACTCCGAGGTCAATCCCTCCGCTTGTTCTCGCCCATCTTGCGAGATTCGAGACGAAAGGTATGCCGTTGTATTGACGTGTGTCCAACGACGCCGTACGAGGTCGATCATCTAGACCTCGACGACAGGATGGAAGGTCCTCCGTCCGACTTCACGCCAGAATAGCCTCGGCTCTGACCGGCTGAGTTCTACGGCTTTCGCTAATGAATTGCTGGAAGTCGTCTTGTTGATGATTTGGAAAACAACATCAGCAAGCAAGTGACCAGGCATATCCGACAGTCTTCTATAGACGACGGCACCCGAAAAAGGCCACGTCGCTCTCATCGGCAGGCTTTCCGTGCGTGCAAGAAGACGAATCGCGCGGCTTAGATCCAGTAGACCATTTGCAGTGTCGGCAGCTTCACATCGGAGACCAGTCTGGTGTGTCTTATCACCTCACCATGAAAGGCTTCAAAGTTGTCGAGCACCAGATCCCGACGCAGCATATCCGCGAGTATACCCAGGCAACCGCCAACACCCAGGAAGATGTCCTTTACCTTCAAGCAAAGCAATACATCCCGCTCTCCAACCCGCATCCGCAACGTGGAGATGTTACGATATTGGCTGCTCACGCCAATGCATTGGCAAAGGAGCTGTACGAACCTCTCTGGGAGGATCTCCTCGCCCAATGCGAGCGCTACAGGTGGCGGATACGAAGCATTTGGATCACCGACGTTGCTCACCAGGGCCAGAGTGGTGTCTTGAACGAGCATCTCTTGGGCAACGAGCCCAGCTGGCACGACCATGTCCGCGATCTGCTGTTCATGGTCAACCTCAAGCGGACGGAGATGCCACGACCGATTATCGGCATTGGTCATTCGATGGGAGGCAACCAACTGTAAGAACTGATACGCTCGTGGCTCTCTATTAAGACTGACATTGTCCAGCACCCACTTATCGCTGATGCACCCACGTCTCTTTTCGTCCCTCATACTCCTCGACCCAGTCATACAGGAGCGATCAGCAGAAATCGACCCTTCGCCCAATGCGCCACCGAATCTAGCTCAGCTCTCTACTTTCCGACGCGACCTGTGGCCATCCCGAGACGATGCAGCAGCATCCTTCGCACGTTCCGCCTTCTACAAGCCCTGGGATCCTAGAGTACTGGAGAAGTGGACTCAATATGGACTCCGGAATGGCCCGACCCTGCTCCAGCCAGAAGCAAAGTCACCTCAAGTCACGCTCACAAGTACGCCAGGACAAGAGGTATTCACATATTTGAGACCCAACTTCCAGGGCTTTGGTGTCAACGGCAAGCCGGTCGATCGATCAACGCACGCCGACCTGGATCCATCAAGACCGAATCAGTACCCATTCTACCGCAACGAGGCGCCGCAGATCTATGCTCGCCTGCCAGAAGTACGTCCGAGCGTCCTTTACGTCTTTGGGTCTACCTCTGGCGTCAGCAGCGAGAAATCCGATCAAGCGAAGGTCGACCGTACGGGGACCGGCGTTGGTGGATCTGGTGGCGTGGCGGAGGGCAGGGTCAAGGGAGTCACTTTTGAGGGTGTGGGCCATTTGATACCTATGGAGGCGGTCGAAAAGACTGCTTCGACTGTCGCCGACTGGGTCGGTACTGAGATGGTCAGGTTCCGGGACGAAATGGAAGTGTGGGATGCGTGGCAGTCGAAGAGTCTGGTTCAAAAACAGGGGATTGATGAGACTTGGAAAAAGATGATAGGTGGCCGTCCCAGACGAGCAGGAAAGTTGTAGGGCATGACCCCTACATCCAGTTCCGACTTGAGAGTCAGATGTCGGCGATCCACCGATCGATGCCTGTTCATCATCACGCGAAACTCGAAGTGTCCAGCACGTCCTTGAAGCATCGAAGAGAAGGTCAGGGGTGCGCTCGCCCTCCCTCCCTCCGCAGCTGTGAGGATCGGACTGCCTTCGCATCTCACGCATGCTGCAACTGTTGCAACTGCTTCCGCAGCACCTTCGTCATTGGACCGGACCACGTCACTGTGGGTAGCTATGGGAGGGGCTATGCTTTCGCTACCACCTCGAGTCGGAGAACGCAGAAAGGCCGGGACATGTCTGTGTGCCTGAGGTCGTTACTGAGGCAATGTGGAAGGCAAATCTAGGGTGGAGTCATGGCAGAGCAATGCTTGATTCCTCGGTCCACCTTGCCAGCGGTACAGGAAGCGGCTGCGATGTCAATGCGAGCACTGGATATATACCCGAGTTTGCCGTCAATTTGGTAGCCAGATGCATGTTTGTGTCACCTTGCGGGTTTCTGTGCTCAGCTTCTTCGTCGTCCAAGCCCGCGGGATGAAGCAGTGAAGCCCGCATTCCCGTATTCAATGGTCCACGGTGAATTAAGCTTTTGCTGCGTCTACTGATGCGGAGCGTTAGTGACCGAAGAAAGTGTTTTAAACGACTACCTACACAGCCACTGAATTCCGATCGCCTTGGTATGACAACAATCTTCCACATATCAAAAACACCTCACTTTCGTCCACAAACATCATGTGCAGCAGCAACCATCACAGCATTCTTCCGCCAAACTCGCAAACGTTCTCGACGACCTTCGCTGTCAACATTTGATTCGTCGCATCATCATGCCATTCTCGCGCAATGTCTTCAAGAAGCCGTCAACGTGGCTCCGAATGTCGATCGTTATTCTCAGCGCCGTCGCAGCAATACTTCTGGGTCTCGCATATCCACTCACAGGAGCAGGCGCCAACTGGGTGTTCTACGCGGACGGCATAACTCAAGTCTGCGTTGCCATAACGTTTATAGCAGTAAGCCCATCAGCCAGCGCTTCCGTTCCACCGCCGACTTACTGACCACCGTATAGGCAGGATGGTCAATAACATGGAGCGTCGTCGCCCTCGGCCTTGCATTCTTCGGCATCAATTGGCATCCCGGGGTTGACATCACATTGGACTTCATCGGGCTCGGCGTCGACGTAGGCTTTGCCGCCAACTTGATGGCATGGATCGCATATGTAATCGACACGAACTACCTTTGCGACGAGGGGTACCCAGGAGGCTATGGCTACAAAAAGGGCTGCGAGCAGGGAAAGCAACTCGGTGGATACGTGTACAGCAGTGGTGCTTTGCTTCTGCTGGCTGGGTAAGTCTGAACCAGCACATGTTTGACAATCGGCAATGGTTGATCGTTGTCGTTTAGGTGCTGTCATCTGGCCTTGTTTGTCATGGCGTGCAAGGCGACACACGTCCGTCTTGCGGAAGAAAAGCGCCAGGCGCTCGAGAGGAGAGGTGATAAGGCGCGTGAGACGAGTGACGACGTATGAGCATTTCACCGCCGGCTGACGGAGGAATGGGATGATGAATGATAGCCGGGTCGTTAATGTTTAATCTGTAGTATGTAATGTCGTAGTACGACTTCAGAAGCGGACGATTTGTTGCGGAGCTGCGGTAAACGTGACAAGTGTTGGCGGTGAGATGCCCCTTAGTAGTAGATTGGACGATGTCTTGCCTGAACGGGCCCGACTACGTGAGAGAGGGCAAGCTCATTCGGACCGGGCGTCAAACAGCCGCAGAGGTGGTTAATTTGTCAGTAAATGTACGGTAGCTCGTGAACACTGCTATGTTCACGGGAAGTGAGAAGGGTGATGCAAACAAAGTGATATCACACAGTTCATTTTCCACGGGGTATCTCGCGCTCAAGCGCTCACGAACCATTCTGATGCTCAATAACCAACCCAAACGCCACGCTAAAGTCATTCGTCGTTCCATGGCCAACCTTCCACCATGCAGCGCATCGCATCGTCCTCGTTCCTTCAAAATGCCTCCCACGTCCCCAGAAGCAGCCGCATGGCAGCTCTCGTTCACCGCTCACTGCAGTAACGCCCTGTCCGTATCGTAAGCAACAGCACAACATCAACACCCATAGTCATACACACCCAAGATAGTCCTCGCGGATACTGCCAATCGCATACATCTGCCCCAGCTCTCCTCGAATACCCTTGATCCGTAACCGCACCTGCGAGTCGCGCTCGATGATCATCCCATCCGCTTCGCTCCAGCTGGGCGTCGAGCCTTCGGCGTTGTGCTTCATCGAAGGTGGGAGCATCTAGAACACAGTCAGCCCATTCTCCCCTCCGCCTCCTGGGAGTTCTCAAACCCACCGTCTTGCTCACAAACACAGCCAACCCCCCCACATCCGCAAAGAACCCGTTGTTAACCACATTCGTCACCTGCCAAACCCGTCAGCAAATCCCCCGCCCCAATCCCCTCACCATCTCAAAACCTACCTTCCCATCAACAACCTCCCCCCTAAACGGCCTCCACACCATCGCCCGATACCCCACATTATACTGCGCGAACCCCGTCCCCGGCGCAATCTTCGGCTCGGAGATATCGTCGATTTGTAGAACCGCGATGATCATGAAAGTCCCGGTATTCGTGCCCTCGACGTCTTGGTAGAGCTTCTCTTTGATGAAGTCCGGGGCCGAGGCGGAGAAGAAGGAGGGGTGCAGGTCGATGCGGTGTTCGAGGGTTTTGACGAAGAACATCTTGTCCGTAGGTTTGGGGGAGAAGAGAGGGTCGGGTGATGATGCGGTGGTGACGCGCGATGGGGAGTTGAGAGGAGGCGCGCGGTCGCGGGTTGATGAGCTGGCGCGCTGCGTGTTCGGTGAAGGAGGTGAAGTGTAGATGTCCTCTCCTCAAGTATGCGCCGTCCTGCTTGCTCGCGCAGTCGCAAACGGTCACAAATGGTGTGTCGAGGTCGCGGGTGGTCTGGTGAGGGTATGCGCGCGGGTGAAGAGATATGGAAGCCCTTCAGTATCTCGAAAGGTCGACAAGAGAGGAAGAAAGGCTGTCATTCACGCAGCACAAAATCTTGAAGTCGGCGGAGCCGCGAACGTGCGGGATGAGCCGCTTTGCAGACACGCGACGTCACGTGCTGTTCTGTCGTGAGAAGGAGATTCAACAATGTGAAGCAGATGGAAATGTGAGTGAAGTATCATCTCTGAAGCTGAATATTCTACTGCAAGCCTGTCCATCCTCTAGAAGATGGAAGGTGAAGGGGTATACGCGCATAACCACATCTCACGCCATGATCATCACATCGTCCTGTCCAAAAGCCCAGTCGCTGCCACAAGTGGCGTGCCCTCATGAAACCCATCCATCATGACGCGCCATTGCCCTCTCGACCACCAGAAGGCATCAAAGGCGCAGGCGTTGGCGTCCCAAATGCACCCTCTTTTGGCCTGAACCCTGCGCTCGAATACACCTCCCTCCCACTCTCCGCAGGATGCCGGTGCAGCTGGCTGGTGTCGAAGACCTGCTGCGGAGCTGATGGCTGCGCTATGAGATGCGGAAGAGGATGCTTTGGCGCTTCATCGTGTCGGTAATGGTGATTGTTGTCGGCTTCAGGCGGCGCATCGATGGTGCTTGCGCCTGATATCGCCGAAATGCCGGAGATGTTCCTGAAACCCGTCAAATCGCCATCGTACTTGGGCCTAGGAATTGCGGTAAGAGGCGACGAAGAAGGCGGTTCCCGGTCGCCGCCATTTGCTCGACTGAGCTGGGAGAGAAGGTTCATCCGATCCGCAATGGCAGATGTAGCTGTAGGCGGCTGCGCCATGACGCTCGAAGGGAGCGCGTCGGCACCATCGCCACCTCCTGAGTGTCTCGCGGGTGTAGCCAGCGGGCTGCTTACTTGATTTCGTTGGTATAGATTGTGCATTAAGTTTCTGGCGGTTGGATTGGGGTCCGCGGCCCAGTCTGGAGTGTGGGATATGCCGGGAGTGCCAACACCACTCCCAAGAGGGTGTGCATGCGACTGGTGTATAGGCGCTTGCGGTCGCGCCCACGCATTCTGCTCGTAGAATTGCTCGTGAGCAAGACGTTCATCTGGGGCGAATGCGGGGACGGTGGGGCCGGCGAGGTAAGTTGGTTGTTGTGGCGGATGTTGTTGGTGTTGTTGCGGAGCGTGGGTAGGTTGAGCGCCGCGTTTTGATAGCTGTAGAGAAGTTAGCAAACTGTCACCAGCAGAGTGATTGCGAGTTCGAATGGTCACCTTCATTGCACGCGCATCTTCCTCCCACGCCCTCACATCCGCCCCCGCCAAATCTGGCGCCGCAGGGAACCCGACATACTTCGCCATACCACTCAGTATCGAAACTTCTTGGTTGTACTTGGCTTGTTGCTTGACATGATCACTCCTCTTCTTCGGAAACTTGTAGATGTATCGCTCATCCGCCGCTTCGTCTCCACTTCTTCGCTCTTTCTGTATCGCATACCAGTCCTCTCCCAGCTGGTCCAGAACATCGTCCCTCAGCTCCCTCACAGTTTGGAAGTGCTGGCTGTGCAACTGAGCTCTGTCGCCGAGCACGCGGTCGCGCAGACTGCGCATGCGGTAGTTGTAGTATGCATGCGCTTCGCTGATCTGCTTATTTAGTCGCGCATCCACGCACGCTACCTGGCGCAGGTACTCGGGGTATTCGCATTCGGGCTGGGAGAGCAGGTGGAGCTCGGAGGTCAGGACTGCGAGGCGTTCGTTGGTAAGGCGCTCGCGGAAAGCACGAAACTGCTTTGCGACGTCGTCGTAGAGCGTGGTGGCTTCCTTTTTTGCGGCAAGGTCTTCTTCGGTCTTTGGCTGATTATCCTCTATAGCTTGCTCTTCTTCGGGCTCGGCAGCATCGGCCGTGGGCTGCGCGTTGGCCTGTTCGTGCTTCTTGCCCTTTGGCCTGCCTTTGCGCCCTTTGCCGCCCTTTGCGACAGCACCATCTGCCGCCGGCGTGCCTTCTCTCTCCTCGGCTCGTTCTAAACGTGCCGCAGCATCGTCGAAGTTGTGGGCTGGTGTATCTGCCGTAATCTCATGACTCCTCTTCCGCGGTGACTCTCCAATGTCGGATTCTGCGCTCGTCAATGGGCTGTCGCCGTCGTCTTCTGATCGCTTCCGCTTTTGGCCTGTGAGTTCATGTCAGCCAACTTGCGCAATGACACGCAATAAACGCAGTGCGCATGCCGTCCACACATACCTGCTGTCGCGACAGTGCTCGTGCTCGACGCCGCGCCCGGACCAGCTGGCAATGGCGACGGAGGGTCTGAGAGATCATCCTCGGCCGTCGCGGCCTGACTGAGCTTACTGGGTGTCCTTCCCAGTGCGTCTGCATGCTTGCGCAGCTTTTGCGGTGTCTGATCCAGCCTCTCTGTCTCGGCCTCGGAGTCGACTTCAAGGTCTCTTCTCGCGCCCGACTGCTCCTCCTCTGTTATGTTGTCCGCCACACCATTTAGGCCGTCCATATCGTCATTGTCGTCCTCTGGGTCGCTCAGACTACTCGACCGATCGTCCTGCCCGTCCCCGAGATCGGCATCGTTGTCGGCAGCCTCCATGCCCATTTCCGAGTTCAACTGCGCCTCGACGTCTTGCATCGTTGCATCTCGTGTGGCAATAGGAGAGGAGTTGAGCTTCTTGGAAGCGGTGCTGAGCGGCGAAATAGAGGGTCGAGCGGGAGTGGTTTGGGAGGCGGTGCGCGAAGCGGCCGGCATGGCCATTGTTGACGGTGGAGGACCCAGCTACTGTTTGCAAGATTGTGCAGGTGATCGCTATACTGACAGGCGGTGGGGACTGTAGTGGTATAGTGCCTTGGTCGTGGCCGTGTTGTGGTGTTCCTGTCTTGCTGTGTCCTGCGCGCGACAAAGCAGACCTGGCAGCTGAACTTTCCCAGAACGTAGATCGTGTCGAAGTCGCTGGCTCATGTGATGCTGTGCACGTGGGAGCGGCTAGCTGTGAGCCATCTGTCACATGCGAAGGGAGTGAGGGTAGAGTGGAAGTGGTGGTGGAGGTGAGGGAGGAGAATGGCTTGACACACCACACCACCCCATCGCTGTCGGCTACGTAGTGCCCATCGCGCTTTCCTCCTGCTTGTGCTCGGTCTTTCATTCTTCCGGCCCCAATGCGGCAAGAGCGAGCTTATCGATTAGCAAGGATCGAGCTTAAACGCAGAAGGGTCCGAGCTGGAAGAAAATCTACGATTTGCGGCGCGACATTGAGTTGAACATATACCAACCACGAAATGTCGAGGTCAAAGGAGGAAAAGGTGTTGAAAGACGGCGTCGAGAAGAAGCCCAAGAAGGAGACGAAGAAGGAAAAGGGCGAGAAGAAGGACAGGAGGGAGAAGAAGGATAAGAAGGACAAGAAGTCGAAGGCCATAGAGAAGGCATCTAAGAAGACTGGCTTCTCATTGCTGGCAGATGATAAAGTCGCGGATCCTTCACTGTCGTCGCTGTTCGCAGCAAAGGTATGTTATGCGTCTTTTAATGGAGCGGGAGCGATGCTGACTTCGACAGCCGACACCACCGCAACGAAATACTGTCCAGGCCCAAGTCCAACAGTCTGACGATGAGGAGGCAGACGAGGATGGTGCAGACGCAAATGCACTGGAGCAGGATGCGCTCTCTGATGTGGGCGAGGCCGTCGATGGCGAGGACGAAGTACCAAGCCTGGACGATGCAGCGACCAAACGCCGGAGGAAGCGCAAGCATGATGAAGACGATGTTGAAGGCGCATACATGCGCCGACTAGCACGTGAAGAGGCAAAGGATGCAGAAGTTAAGAAGGCTGAGCGTGCGACGAAACGACGGAAAGCCAACGGCGATACGGAACAATCTACTCTAGGGAATGGGGTTGATTCGGACAAGGAAGGTTCTGAAGAAGATGCGATCGGGTCTAACGATGACATTGTGGACGAGGACGACGATGAAGACGCCGCAATGTCACCACCGCCGAAACACGAAACCCAAGAAGGACCTTCAGACGAAATATCCAAGGCCAACCGCACCGTCTTCCTTGGAAACGTCTCTACCGCCGCCATCTCCTCCAATTCGTCTCGAAAAGCTCTGAAAATCCACCTATCTTCCTTCTTCGAGACCGTTCCTGCTCCTAAAGATGGCGAGCCAAAACACGCAATCGAATCTATCCGCTTCCGCAGCACTCCATACGCTTCCGCCATCCCCAAGAAAGCAGCATATGCCACCAAACAGCTCATGGCCGCCACCGCCAAATCCACCAATGCCTATGCGATATACTCCTCCGAATCACTGACCCGCGCAGCCGTCAGAAAGCTCAATGGATCTATCGTTCTCGGCCGCCATCTTCGCGTTGACTCAGTCGCCCACCCGTCTAAGACCGACCACCGCCGCTGCGTCTTCATTGGCAATCTGGGCTTCGTGGACGATGAAACCAACATTCAAGCCGCAAATGCCGAAGCAGGCCACGAGAACCGCAAGCCATCCAAGCAGCCCGCAGACGTCGAAGAAGGTCTATGGCGCACTTTCGGCAAGTGTGGGACTGTCGAGAGCGTGCGCGTCGTTCGTGACAGCACCACTCGCGTTGGCAAGGGCTTCGCGTACGTTCAGTTCGAAGACGAGAATGGGGTGGAAGCAGCTCTGCGCTTGAACGAGCAGAAGTTCCCGCCCATGCTGCCCCGGAAGCTTCGGGTAACCCGAGCGAAGGCGCAGAAGCGGAATGCGAAACCAGGGTCTGATCGGCCTTCTTCGCGGCCTTCAACAGGGACGGGGTATCAGCGGAAGATCACAGGCGAGGAGGCGTCCAAGATCGGGAGGACGGGAAAGTTGTTTGGGCGGGCAGCGGCTGCGAACGTGAGGAGGGGGAGTCAGAGGGGTGGCGGGAAGCAGAGGACGGGTGCGAATGAGACTGCGTTAGGGAATCGCGGTGAGGCGAAGTTGGGTGAGGGCATCAGGAAGCCGGAGAGCTTTGTGTTTGAGGGACATAGGGCAACGAGTGGTGGTGGTAAGGCGGGACTTAAGCTTGGAGGAAGGAAAAAGAAGCCCGGGGTCACGGGGAGGAGCAAGGCTTTCAAGTCGAAGGGGAAGGGTAAGTGAGTACAGTTCGTGTAGATAGATGTCAATACCATTCAAGTGGAAGACTTTGCTCAGGCTGCTCGGACTTGTTTCAACCTGTCATTTCATGCCTCGTAATTCATCACCTCATGTCTCGGCCCAAGCGCTGTCTTCCACAACCATGCAGTATCCAACGCCTTGGTATTCCCTTTAAGTGGCATTGAAACACAACGACATACCATCAAGCCAACCCATAGACGTCCACCAACCAAAAAGACAGCCCCGACAGCACCTCACCACTTCTTCTTGGGGCTTTTCTTCGAGTGGCGAGATCCGGCGACCTTCCCTGTCTTCTTGGGCTTCTTGGTGGCCGGAGCAGGCGTAGCCGGATCCTGTCCGTCCTCGTCGCCCTCGTCGCCCTCATCGCCCTCATCGCCCTCATCACCCTCATCACCCTCATCGACATCGTCCTGGGCGTCCGTTCCAACCTCAGGCTCTTCGCTCGCAGAGGCATCCGGAAGCGCGAAAGTCACCCTCCTTCCACCCTTCTTCTGCCTCTTGCCACCGACATCAGCCCCGAGGTCCTTGTCCTCACCCATATCAATGTCCAAAGCCTCCATTAACCTCCTCATCGCACCCAACGACCGCTTCTCGCAGACATCGCAACCCTCAGCTCCACAGACACGAGCAAGCACACTCCTCTCACCATCCACCGTCTTCATGCGCATGGGCCTGAGATACCCTTCCGTGATCTCATCGTCGTACTCGCGAGGCTTCGGTGTGAAGAACGTGATCCCCGCTGCAGTCCTGGTCGTGTCCGTCGAGTGCACCCACGGCATACCGCGCGTCAGACTTGGCTCCTCGTGAATGTCTTCGGCGTTTTCGTCGCAGACCATCACGTCTTCCTCACGCATGACGTTCTGCTCGGTGGTGGTGAAGGCGACACGATGGACTTGGCCGCCGTGATCGTAGACTTCCTTGTTGAGAGGAGAGTCCGGGTTGACGATGCCGCCGAGCCAGGAGGTGGGAAGGTCGGTACTGCCATACTCAGGCCAGTTGACGTAAGAGTAGTGGATCATGCGGATCTTGAAGCAGTTGGCCCACTGCTGAGGTGTTGGCCATACCGACGACCTTGACCGTTTGGGGCGCCGACTATTGCCGTCACTGTCCTCTCCGTCGCTGACGTCTTCGTCCTCGTTGCGTTCAGGTTCTCCAGGCTCCTGTGTGCCGGTCATGTTGGTGTCAAGATCTCGGGATGCGCCACTCTCCTGCGCAGGGGTTGTCGTGGTACCAGCGCTTTGGCTGTCGCTGCTGGCATGCTGTGCGATCGCTCCGGTAGACCCAATCTTCTCCGGATCAGCGAGGCTGAAGAGGTTTGACTTGCGCCTCTGCTCGAGAAGAGCTTCGGCCTCTTCACTCGACTTGGCGAAGCCCTTCCAGCCGACAGAGTTCGACGACTGGAGGCCTCGGAATACTCTGGAATCATCTTTCCCTGGCGCAGCCTGCAGCCGAGTAGACGACCTCGTCCCTTTGGCTGAGCTTGGTGAAGATGTGTAATGCGCATGAGCAGACGGCGCGGGGGTCTTCTTCGTGTCTGGCGCCATGTCGAAAGCGCGCGGTGGTGACTTTACTGTGTTTTGTGGTAACAGCTGTATAAGGCAGCAGTCTGGGTAGGTCAAGGTATCAAAACAGTCGAAGGGCCAATGCTGTGTGATATTTGGTGTAAACAGAAACTGTGCGCGGGAATCTGCGTGAAGTTGAGGAGCCGGGCCCAGGGGCAAAGCTGCCGTCAACGCCATGCTGGCTTGGTGCTAGCGTATCAGAATTTTCCAAAAAGGGAAGGAGGAAGTGAAAGGGATTCTTGCTTCGGCTCTTAACTACAGAGAGGAGTAGCAACTTCGGGGTTTTACCATTGCACAATCGGGGGGAAATGAGTGCAGCTTGGGAGAAGAGTAGTTGTATACAAACTTATCTTGTATGGGAGGAGGCCTGGCGTTAATATGGCACCCAGCACAATGAGACAATGCTGGGGAGGAAGAGTAGTTTGCTCCTGTTCCATACTTACTGGTCCGCCCGCCACAACAAGCAGCATCAGCGCTCAAGGAGATAGCTCCTAAGCCTATCGGGAGTTTGCTTCGCTTTGTTCATCGTTGGCCTTTCTACTCACAATCAGGTCCAGATGCATGATCTATGCTTGCCTTGAGCACAAAGAAGCCTGCGGAAAGGCTGCATCGGTATCAGATACCGGCAGCTATGATCCCTACCGATAGGTCGTAGCCACATAGCATGCGAGCGAGCGTCTCGGTTCTGGTGGAATGCTGTTGTCGGTGCGCAGGGCAAAGACATTGGTCGGGAAAGTGTGGCCAACTGTCCACGCAGCAGAGGTAGTCTTAGTGGGCCCGGTCCTCGCGGCCATTCAAACGGATATCATGGGTCGCAAGCAGATTCCAGCAATCAGTGATGCTATATGCGTTGGTCGTAGGAGTTGAATCCGAGTGATGAAGATAGAGAAGAATGTCGAGACGGAGTGAAGTGAAGAGGCGAGGTCGGGAGTCTTGGCAGACTCAGAGACGACATCTCCTTCCAACGCAATCTTGCCCATCTACCTAGGTATGGCTCATTTATATATTTGTCTTGCCTTGTAAAACCTGCGCAGCACAATGTCGTGGTCGGACTCTCGTGCTGTGAGGTTGAAGAAGCGACGGGGCCAATGCCAGTGACTGAAACTCTGCTCTCGGTGATCCTACGCCAAGTCGACTCAGCCTCAAGAGGGTGTTGTCGTACGAATACAGGTATCTCTCACATTCCATGTGAGTGTCAAATGAATCACTGTGAATAACGGCAGGCTCACGGATCCGAGAGCTGTGGAACCTCTGAATCAGATGGACGGCGCGGCCACGTAGCGTAGTGACCTGAGCGCCTGCTCCCCCCAAGGACGAAAGGCCAACCATCGCCCGAGTCACAATGGCCATGACGAGCCTCTTCCGGGTAATACTGCTGCTATGTCTATGTTCCGGACTATGCAGCGCGTCAGGCGTCCACTTCAAGCACTTCTATCCCCAGCTCCGGCCTTACATGCAACAGTACCTCCGCGACGAATGCAGCACAGAGTACCAGAACTACCTCAACGACAGCCCGACGTCCAATAACGAACTCGTTTGCAAAGGCTGCTTGGCTGCTCCCCTGACGGGATGTCTACTTCACACTCTGCGCGAAGTCGACAAGAGCAATATGGCTTCTGCAGCTGTGTTACTCGGTATTCTGCCTACAAGCCTGAGTCTGGCCGGATCGACGACGGCGGAAACAGGACTGCTGAGCCTGAGACGACCTGTTCTGGCTTTCCTTCTTGGTGCCGGCGCACCAGCGGTCAACCCAACCAGGACCTTCAACTACGGCGACCCATACGTTCTTATGACGACGCGCAGGCGAGGCCTCAAGGCTCCGGAGCTCAGAGGTTGGATTGGCGTTATGGTGCTGGTCGCTGAGTATGCGCTTGCCATGGCTGCTGTCGCGAATCTGGGGATAGTCAGCTGGCAGCTGTGCGTCCGGACCATCTGCAGCTTCGCCCAAGACACGATCTACATGCCAGCGCTCTGGGCTTTCTTCGCTGCTGCAATTCACATCGGTGGCGCTACTGCAGTCGCGCTCAGGGTCCGCTTTTATGAGCATTCCAAAAACGGCCAGTACCGCCGAGTCGGTATCTGGCGAACTTTGAAGCAAGAATTCCGGCTCAGCCACAATCAAGATCACATGTTGCTGGATCTCAACGACGAGGGATTCTGGTATCTGGCGTTTTCGTGGATCGTCGCTTCTGGCACTGTTGTCCACATCATCTTTGGAACGCTGGTGTTCTCGAGCATCTTGTTTATCACGACGCTCGATGCAGTAGTCGTTGTCTTCCAGCTACTTGGGAGCACTATCGTTTGCCGGGCGATACTGATGTTTGAGCTAAGTGGCATGCGCACGAAGACTTCAATCAGCTTGGACGAGGAACTGGATGCGAAGCGACGGCGAACAGACTCAATACCGCTGCCTGTCTATCCGAAACCGAAGTCAACTCGATAATCTATGAGCCTCAGCTACTTTCCACCGCGCCACCTTGCCGAAGCAAGCGCCCCCAACCGTCAATGCCTTTCGTGCATCCTACCATATGCATTGCGAACCAAGCCGTTACGCTAATGCTGTCGATGATCACAACATCCAGCTCGCGTTCCAGCTCCTCGACAAGCGCGGTAGCCGGCCAATTTGTGCACGATGCAACGATGGCTTGTGTTCCGGTCACCGCGCAGCGACGGATGACATCCTTGATATCGTCTGCACCACTCTCCGCAATCCGGCAGTTGCTAGCAGGCGTGGGGTCCAGCCGCTGTGTGCTGAGCACTTCGTATCCACAGCCTTGGAAGAAATCGGCAACTTTTGCGGCGTGTGCTTCTGCGTAAGGCACAGCAATCGAAATTCGCATGATGTCGAGGAACTTCAGTGCCTCGACGGTTGCCAGGGTGTTCGTGCTGCAGGAGCGAGCTATCGCGTTTTGCATAGCATCCGTGAGCTTCTGTTCGTCTCCAAGATCTCCGCCGGTCCATTGCCCGCTCGTGCCGTGCCAGAGGACTGCATCTACTTCGGCGTCGGCAAGGAGGCTTGCAGCGTCCACCATAGCCTTGGCGTTGAATTGGGAGGTCGAGGCCGCATCGACGCCGACTGTTGTCACTTTGACCCTGGTGAAGAGTGGGACGATGTTCTCGCCATACGATTGGAAGATCGCTTGTGTGATCGGCTCGACAGCGGTGTTACTTGATGGGACGATGAATCCGATTTTCCGGCAGCCTGCAAGGTCCGGCAATGGTGGGACCGGCATGGTCGTAGGTCTCACCGCCGTGGACTACACCTGCTTGTAAGCTCGAAGCAATACACCGTCTTGGTAGAAGGCCATATCTTGGTCAAAATAGAAACTAGTTGGCATACTTTCAGACGCCGGTATTTTAATGGCTCAACCAAGTGCTTGTGAAGTCACCTGCTTTCCTCAAATCCAGCTATAGTAAAGTGTCTAATTTTCCCGTCGTCGGCTTATTGTAAGCGGCGGCAAGACTCGTGAATGCGTCGACGATGTGGTGAATCATGCATACAGTAGGCTACCACCGAACCTTGGGTTCTTTGCCACCGAGCTTGTATATGCAGCTTCTGCGGCACAAACAGGCGAACTTCGGGCAAGAAGGCCCCACAACAAGACTTTGACAGACACCTTCTTTCGACCTCACTCGTTACACAGGCACGATAGGCGTACGAAGGAGGGAAACTCTGGCCGCCGAAGGAGGAACATATCCGGCCAAGCCACACGCCACGCACAGACATCGCCAGCAACCTCACCACATGCCGTCGTTAATCATCAAACCCCCATACGAGCAAAGCGGCATACCATCGGCCTCAGCTGCGAAACTATCACATCAAGCAGACGGTTCGCCACTCAACAACGACAGCAACACTAACGCGACTGCCGAAGAGGCAGCACCCACGTCGCCAGTAGCGCCTGAATACTCCCCCATCACACCGCGAGCGCAACCGGCTCTGCCCGCCATATACGAACCGCAGACCATTAGCGGGAGCAACGACTATGGTCAGCCAGCTCCAATACCGACCTCGGTAGCGCGGCCTCCATCTCCACCACCAACCGCAGAGTTCATCCCAGAACCTGCGCCCCAACCTTTCTCTGGCGAAGATGCTACGGACGCGATAGCGCTGAGAGCGGCGATATCCTCGCTGCAGTTCCAGAAGAAGAAGGCGCAGGATGATATCAGACGACTCGAGAAGATCAAACAGAAGGCTTTAGATGAGCCAGAGCTGTTCAAGAGTGAGCTTGCAGCCGGTCGGTTGCAGGAGCAGAGGCCGAAGATTGGCGATCTACGAGCTATCCTGGATCATGAGGGCAGCGATGATGACGACGAGGAGGTCGTGCTGGGAGCCGTCGCAGATGGTGAAGACGTGGAGATGAAGGATGCTGAAATACCAGACTCACAACCATCACGGCTAACATCTTCCGACCCAGCGCAGGCCAGAAAGTCAAGCATTGCGCCATTCGACCGCATACCCGGACCTCAGAATGTTGTACGTATGCCATACGTTAACTGGGAAAAATACCACATCACCGGCTCGCCACTCGAGAGTATGCACGAGCAGCAGCGAAGGTGGCCTGGCAATACCGCGTACGGAACAGACAGAGGCCGAGAGCAGACAGTGGCTGCGCCATACAGTCCGTGGCTCGATTCTCTTGACGGGCAGGGACAGCAGAGATGGGGGAGGAATGACAGCATGGCTGTTACGACGCCTACCACTGCTGTGACACCGACGAGCGCGGATAACATGCATGTTATGGAGACTAGGAAGAAGAGCAATCAGTGAGACCGCTCTCGATGTTCACTGTCTCCGGAAGCTATCTTTTGCTGCATCTGTGCTGTTGTGATTTGATCAAGTAGGTAAGTGTATGCCGCGCAGTCCGCAAAAGCTGTTCTACGTGATACGGAAGACGACCAGCTCACCAGAGCGGTCGGCTTCGCCAATTCTGTTGGAAAGATGCTTAGTAAGCCGATGGGTGTCTACATCTCCGTCAAGTGACTCAAGAAATTCATCGCTACCGAATTCAAACTCCGCTTCTGGACCGATTCCTAGCTCAAAAATACTTTTGGGGGACAACATACTCGACACAAGCCTCATCGATCCTGGCAGGGCTCCGACCAATGTATGGCTGACCTCGCCCTGGTTCGCCGTGTCGACACGCAGCAAGAGCAGGCTGCAGTCGACGCAGGCAGCAAGCACGTCGCCATCTCTTGCCTTGCCGATCGTCTTGCGGAGGAGGGAACGGGCCATTTCTGTGGAGTCACCCGGAAGCTCGTCGAGGGCCGCCAGGAGTCGACCTTTGGCGAGTTCTCCTCCTTCTACGACACCGCTCGCAATTCCGCCAAGGTAGATGGCTCGCGGATCGTCCGCCCGAAACAAGGGCGGATCACGAGGGTACTCAAATTCTCGTTTCCTAAATCGCGGAGTTGACCATATTCCTTTGGCATTGTCCAGCTTGCGCCAGTCGCAGACCTACGAAGGAAGGTCCTTCAACTCTGGGTCACTCGCGCCATCACATTCGAGAGAGGCCATGACCAGCGTCAGATAGTGGCTTGCAGCATCTGGGTTGAAAGGTCCTTGGGCGATGTAGCGAGCAAATCTCGTGAATACTTCTACCGTGGAGATTGTATAATCCACTGCAAACCCGCTACTTGGACGCGGAGGGTTGGTGTAGCCAATCTTGCTCATCCCGAGGAGGGCGTAGATTCTGTCACGCGGATCTGTGCTTTCGAGTCTGCGTCCCTCGAGCAGCCGCAACAGAATCTCCTTGCGTCTTTGGTCGTTGGGATTTTTGGGCTGTTCGTAGTGTGATTCCATGTCATTGATGAAAACGAGCCTGCCCGTAAGGTCGTAGTACTGGCGGTATCGACCCTGCTGTCTTTTGCCAGTTTCCGAGTGTTCAGAGGGTGAGATCAAATCCTGTATTTGCTGCTTGAACGATTTCCAATCGACCGATCGACGACCACACCAGAGCTCCAGCTTCCGGGCAGCCCACACTTCCTGCTGAACCCACACTCTGGTGAACCAAGGACGCTCGCAGAGGGTGACGTAACTCTGGAAGACGAGTTTTGCGTCCATTTGCCAGGCTATCTCGTTCTGCTGTCCACAGTCATCGAAGGCTGCTTCCACCATATCATCCATAGGACCCAGCCAAGCGATCACCCCTTCCGCCTTGTCGTAGATAGTCAGCATGTTGGCCACCTGGACTGCCTTCTCGAGCGGATCGCTCTGTAAAATGCAGATCTGGTCCACCCACAGCCACCTCTCGACGTCTTCTTCCGCATGTCGCAGTCGATACTCGAGTAGGAAGTTAGCCAATGTCTCGGTGATCCGCAATTCTAATCCGTTAATGCACAACGTGTGCGAGAATACCGGCTCGCCCCAGGTGTAGGACAGCGCTTCGTAGGTGACAAGCCTCTCCTCATCATGCAGCGCTGCTCCTTCGAGAAAGGTAAGATCGACTTTTGCGAGAGTGCCCACCAACGGGCCTTCGGTGGTACTGAATTCAAGGCGTAGGAGCCTCGTCTGCCATTTTTGAAGAGGCGTGTGGACGCTTTGCTGCTTGTCGGACAAGAGGAACTGCAATTGCGGATGGAAGAGACGGACATAAGCAATGGATCCAAAGATGCAGACCTTCAGCTTCGAGCTCCTCGAGAAGAGACAGCCTTGCCGATGCCGTAGCCTCGTTCGCACGTTGCATTAGACACAGCCTCCTCCCGAAAGCCGCAGCAGAACGAAGGCTACTCAGGCGAGTCTGTGGCCGTAAGAACGATTGAACCTTGGAGTCTTTCTCTCCGGCATTTGGTGTCGTGCAAGGCCAGTTCTGCTTAATCAAGCCTTCAGTTCAGTGTGCACATACGGCAAACACGAGGTAGGGGATGTTCAGGATGTCGCGATGGCCGTGATATTCTGACCGCAAGGCGACATTGGCGTCCGTGACCTGGAGGTTGACTTTGATCGGTGAGTCTTCCGCTGGTGGTATTTGGGCGTCGAAGATGCCGAAATCATTGAGTGACACCTCGTGAGCCGGAGACGTTGGGCTATCACCTGCAGTGACAAGCTGTCTACCAGATTAGGCCGGCTGCATACCGAAACACCGAGCTCTGCGCGCCACTGGTCTTACTGCTGGCGCAGCAGCTGAGGTGACAGCACAACATGCCATTCCTATCCTACAGGCCTCCTAAGGTATACCGTACAAATACCGCCTGATCCTGCAAGCCGCTTAACAACACCACCAAATGCTTCCTCCTACCCCTCCACAATTGCCCGACGCCAGCTTTTGACCATGCTCACTAGCCCAATCCATCAACTACCGTCCACCTCTATTTCGCAAAATGCAAATCATAGTTCAACCACTTCCTCGCCAACACCTGATCCACTGACAGTCCCGGTTTCCCATACGTAAGCGGGCTGAAGAACCAGAAACCCCAAGCCATCACCGTAACAATCACACCAGCCGCAGCCCAAGTCGGCAGCAGACTCTGCCCAGCGATTCGTTCTCGAACCGGCTTGCTCCGTGCCGCTCGTTGCTGCTTGGATCCCGTCTTGCCGTCGGTGATGGACATGGCGCTGATGTCGGCGGGCTCTATGTTAAAGATGAACTCGACAACGGCGCCTGCTACGAGACAGGAGGCGAGGTGGGCGGGGAGGTAGTGATGGAGGAAGAGTTGGCGGCCCATGATGAAGAAGGGGATGTAGTGGGCGGCCCAGAGGAGGAAGAAGAAGCCGGTGCTGTCGTAGAGGCGGGAGCGGGATCCTATGGACTGTTAGCAAGACATCGATTGGCTTTTGGGTGCTGCCACTTACGCTGATCCAGAGCATCAACCCCACGCCGGAGTGAGAGCTGATCTGCGCCCAGGATACCAGCGAATACCGCTAGGATAGAAGAGGCGAACCACCAGCCAACCGGATTGCCGAGGAAGTAGATCTGCTGCCTCGTCTCGTTCTCAGTCCAGAAGCTGACTCCGCGCAGCAAGAACGGCCACTGCAGCGGGAACGAAGCGTACGGGTGCGAGGATGTCAAAGCATTGTTGTGGTAGAACATGGCACGCTGCAGCTCCAGGTACTTCTTCAAGAATGGCATGCTCTTGACCTTCTTCTCCTCCTTAGCGAGGCGAGGCGAGTCCTCAGGAATGCCAGGCACTTCCTCAACGTACCAGACGTTGGAGCTTTGCTGGAGGTTCTTGTTGCCGTTGATCTCAGCCTGCTTGTAGGCCCAGTCTGGTAATGGGGTATTGTGCGTCCACATGGCCACTCTTGTTGGGAAATGGATGAGCTTGAAGTGTGACGCCATCGTCTTGAACTGCTGGTCGTGCTTGCCGTTCTCGATCCTAAGCTCGAAGCAGGTATCGTTGAAGCGCTCACCCTGAGCTTCTTCTCCCGGCACAGTCGTGAACTCCTGGTTGGTGGGGTAGTATGGCGAAGCAACATCGTGCGACAGGAGCCACGTATCCGTGACGAGATGTCGGAAGCGAACGACGTCGCCGTTCTTCACTGGGTGGCCATGGCCCTCCATTGCTACCGAAGGAATGATCTGCCACAAGTTGTTCGTGTCGTTGTGCGGGTAGCCTGTCACTTGCTGGCCCTGAGAGGAGACACGTCCGTCATCGTACCGCAATGGGTAGCGGTCAGGGTGCGAGTGCAGGTACACTTTTGTCTCCTTGTGTCGCATGGCGATGTTATCGAAGTAGTCAATACCGATGGCCTGCTGTGTCATCAAGTTGTCTGAAAGAGTCTCTTGGAACTCGGGAGTCATAAAATCGTCACCAGGTCCGGATCTGTTCAAGATGGCGAAGTGTACCTGGAACCAGAACAAGTACATCAAGAATGGAACAATGATCAACCCGATGACACGCGCGGCAAGATGCTTTCCGAATTCTGGCAGACTGAGCGCGCCACGCCTGCGATTGACGTCCAGCAGTTCCCAAAGATCGATCATGACCGGCACGCCGATGGAGAAGAACGTGAAGGCTCCGACGTACTTGGTGCTAATGACGCAGCTCATGCTGATACCGGTCAACAGCAGCCACTTCCACCACTTCCTGCTGAATGGGTCGTGTCGTAGCTTGTAGAATCGAATGTAGGCCAGGACGCTCGTTGCCATGAACAGAACCAGCGTCGCGTCCAGCAGAATCAATCTTGTCTGCCCAATGTGGGCGTTGTCGAAGAGGACCAACGAAGCTGCGACAATGCAGGCTGGAAGGCTGTATCCCGACTCCCACATGATCCAGAATACAGTCGATACGGTCAAAGAGCCCATGAGGGCTGGCATTGATCGGTATGCCACGTAAGGGACTTTGTTCGTGATGTAAGAGTCGCCAATGTTCTCGAACAAGAAATCACCATTGTATCCAACCAACCATCCGGCGAACGCGAATAGGAGCTTGCCAAAGGGGGGATGGACGTCGAAGAAGTACGTTCGTTGGAGGTAGTAGGAAGCAAACTAGCCCTGTATTAGTCCTTGCCCGATCGTACCATACTGTCCGGGTCTGCGAGCTCCGCTGTCATACCTTGCCAAAGTGTACTTCGTCGAAGACCACTTGGTCCGGATGGCTGATGCCCCAGAACCTTGTCATGAATGCCAGGACTGTGATCACTCCCAGCGCGAGCTTGTACTCCCATTCATTCTTGACAACCTGCTTCGCGCCCTGCTTTATGCTCTCAATGCTCTCCGTCGCCGAGCCATTCGCGAGACCGTCGGGCTGAGGTGTGGTTGCGCGCTTCCTCTCCTTCGCGCCGCCGCGTTGGCGGAGGCTTCCTTGGGGACTCGCCATAGTACGCGAGATCAAAAGAACCACAATGAGAAGTAAAAGGCGGCCGGGGACCGCTGTTATTGTGTAGAGGATTCGGCAAGGAGAAGGGTACAGGTGTCGTTCAATGGGTAACTTTTTTGAGGACGTCCAGAAGGATGCCACTTGGCAAGCTGAGCTTGGACGTGCCGGAATGGACCCCCTTTTCACATGCTTGCTCTCCTGTCATGCAGACTTGGGAGCTTACTCGCAATGGGAACTCTTCAATACGAGATTCTGCAACTACACAGTATACAACTCACGACCCGGTCACCGTGTTGAACCTTTAGGGGCCCCGGTTTGCCCATTGAATAGGCGCCACAGTCTTGCACATGATGGAAGAAACTCAGAAGAATACATGAGCCTGCACATACGCCATCTTAGGTATCCTGTCCACCGACCATTGCCGCTCCATCCTTCCTATCCATCCTGTCCCTGGGCCAACCCCTCACGGCGGCGCATGCGAAACCCTCTGCACCACACTCAAGCGACGCCCATCATCCCCACGAGCAAGCTCAGAAGCACTCCCCGTCCCATGCTCATTCCGCGGCCTCTTCCACCCGTAAAGGATTGCCAGAAACCCAGCTATCCCAACCACCACCACTAGTAGTGCCAACGGGATCCAGTCGCCAGGGTAGAATCGCCTCCGCGGCCCGTTGATGAACATGGGTGCGGTGTAATGCAGATGTGCGCCGGCCTGCGTACATGAGACGTTGAAGTGCTCCCATACGGTCTGAACGTCGGCGGAGTCGTGTTGGCGAAGGCACCAGCCGACTTTGCCGATGAAGTCGTCGATGTTCCAGCAGAGGCAGGACCAGATTTCGTCTGTGGTTGGGGATTCGGTGACGCAGCCACTGAAGCCGGCGTAGCCGTAGAGGCATGGTAAGGCGTCTGGGGGGTAGTTGGGGAAGGTGAGTTGGACGGCGGTGGCGAGTCGTGTGAGGGTTAGGATTGCAATGATAAGAGTATGGCCTCGGAGGTATGTCGTGCTCGTTGGAGGCATGGTGATGTCTCATGGAAAGCTTCAATGAACGTATTGGTGTTTTGCATCTAGTATCACGCTGATGCAGACAGCAGCTCGACTCCAAGCGGCATACAGAAGGGGTTCTTGAGCATGCCAACATGAATCTCCACTCGACGTTGTTGGCACGGAAGGAACATTTGGAACGAGGCAGGAATGGCTTCAAGTTTTGGGCGAGAAGAGACCAACAGCAACGACGATGTTCTTGACATGGACACCAAAGTTACGAGGAAGGAGCTCAGCTGTTGGAAGAATACTCCAGCACCTGGGTACATGTACGCTCATGGATACATCTATGAGGCGCTAAGTACCAACTAAGGAAAAGAGCTCAACATTCGCGTCACTACGAATACTCCCAATGGCCGTCAATCGTCACCCACCCCCTCGGCTTGAGTCTTGCACCGCTCACTGATAAGCACTCGCGCCATAGCCTGGTCCGCGATAGTGATGGCCCGGTGTCTGTTCACCCTCAAAGACCTCCGGCTCAACAAGACTCGGGCTACAATTTGACTCAGCAGTGCGGCCACGCCGAACGCTTCTGCGCAAGCCTATGTCGTATGGATCAACGGTATCGCTCCGGGCATTCCTAGCCACGCTGAAGCCATACCGCTCATCGGCATGGGCGCGTACCCTGTCCCTTGGCCTGCCGCACATCTGCATGCACGGCTTGCCTCCTGTAAACCAGCTCCTTCTCAACCTCACGCTCATCATGTTGGCCATCGTAAGCATCTCGCTCAACGCTCCTCGGCCTCTCGCTGTGGAATCGCTCGTTCCTTAACTTGATCCTACTTCCCTCCCTACTCCAGTCCTCTGTATTCTCCTTCTTCACCTTCTCAAACCCGGCGCTTGGATACACCAACCGAAGCATCTTTCGGACCTCCCGCAGCGAGAAGAAAACGCAGATGCCAAGCAGTAATGAAAGAATGCAGAGAGGCACGACGGCTGCCGCCACGACAGCGCCAGTGCTCATGGTGGAGCCTGTGGACTTACCAGGGCTGGAACTAGAGCTGACGCTCGCCTCTTCGCTGGCTGTCATTACCGCATTGGCAGGGCTCACAGATCTTAGCACTGTGCTGCACGTTTGTGTCAAAGACGCCATCGCTGGTGCGGAGTCGACAGGTAGTGGTTTACGCCTTGGATGATGGAATATGTCTGTTGTCGAGTTCGACCGAAAACGTTCCGTTTCTGGAGCTTGAGAACGTGGGCATTGATTCAATGTGTCCGGACCGCAAAGCTGATGACATGGCTGTGACTCGCCGCTTCACTTGTTTCCATGCCGGAGCAAATAGTCGTGGCTAGGCCGTGCTTGTTATCAGTGCAAGCGGTGGTGGAAACGCACGTCCTAGGCACAGCTGATGCATACGCAGTGCAGAGCTCAAGTAGCCTCAATGAGCCTACAACGCGGAGTTGTAGTGTACATCATACGATTCCTGTACAGCGCTGTCCGCTCTCACACAGCCGGTGACCGTAAAAGCGCTGGTAGCACAGTCATGTAATAACTCGACATCGCAGCGGGATGGTTTTTGGCATTCATACGAAAGCGTAAGGCTCACTGTCGTGATGACGGATAGCTCACCATAGGCGAATTCCTCCTCTGTCTCCTCTGTAATGGAGCTGGCTGTGGCCGGAGCGTGCTAGGAGGAGCAGTCAGCTGATGTTCGCTCCGTTCAAACTAAAGTTGCATTGAAGCCTTACTAAGGATTGCTCCCATCGTACTGCGGCTGCCTTGTCCCCGGACCGTTAAATTGCCGGTCTCCTGCACCACCAGCCAACTGATCAAGTGATGGAGGAGTCCCCATCACCCGCTCAAATCGCTCCCGCTTCTCTCTATCCCACCGATCCGGTTCCGTAGAAAACACATCTTTCCGCCCCTCCCCCGTCCCATGCACAAACCGCTGATCCTTCCCCCAATGCCCATCCGGCATCGGCCTCACGTACCTCAACTCAAGCGACCCCCTATGATTCTTGAACACCTCACTCTCACCGTGGGTCTCTCGCGCCTGTACCGGAACATTGCGCATCACGAAATCCTTCGCCCTCTCATCCAGCACCGGGCGTGGACCGGTCCTGTTGATGGGTTGCGGGACGTAAGGCTGTTCACCTGGCGCAGCGGTAGTGGGCGGTTGGGAAAGTCGCATGTCCCTTTTGCGGCGGTGGCGCTTTTTGTAGTAGGTGTGCAGGAATTTTGCAATGAAGAGGAGGAGAGTGAGCAGAGCAAGGGAGATTGCGATCAGCGAGATGATCATGCTGAGCGAGAGGGCGTGGACTTCTTTTGCGTTGCTAAGGAACGTGGCGGTGGGAGTTGAAGATGGTGGTGTGGTGGGTGTAGGCGTTGTGTGGGAGTTGCTGCAATGTGCGGAGGGACTGGGTGATGCTAGAGATAGATGGGTTGCAGTCAGGCGTTTGCGGGTGGTCACCATCTGCTTCGGCGGAGATAGAATGGTCTGGGCCGAGACACGCGGACGGCCGGTGGTATGTTGGGAAAGCTCAGTCGGCGATGGTGGGCGCTTCAAGGAAACAGTTGCAATCCCTCTGGTGGTCTCCAATCTATCCGGTGGTCTTTGGGTAGGTTGGAGGGTCGCTGTTGGGGGTGGCCTCTCAGATGTAGATAGCGGTGGTCCCAAGATTACCATGGGGTGCGTCTTCGCCGGTATTGTCGTGTTCTGCGGTGGGTGTGTAGGTGTTCTTATCACGGTGGCTGTAGGATGTGGATCCGTCGGTGCCAGCTCACTGGCCGACGGTCGGAGTTGTCGTCGCAGTATCATGGTGGTGTCGGCGATCCGTGGACAAGGCCGCAGCCACAGAAGGCATTGTAAACTGGTAGGTGCTCCTTCAAATGATTGCAAGAAGTACTTGCTTGCTGTGGGGGTCACACGCTGTCCACATGGCTTTGCGTCCGCGGTGCCATCCCTGAGTAGCCGTCTAGCAAACTAATGAGCCATCAGCACTCGCGCATAGCCAAATCCCAAACGGTGTACTCACCACTCGCAATGAACACTCGACTACCACCCTTTCAACGCCATAACCTTCCTCCACACCGCCGTCCTCTCCTCCGTAACCGTCGTCCCCACACACCCGGTCAAATACCCCTCCCACCCCTCCTCCGTCCCCTGCTCCAACCCCCGCCTCACATCCTCCCCACACTGCGTAGCCAAAAACCACGCCGCGCTCCCAAAACCCCACATATCCCCATTCACCGTCCCCAACACCGCTTCCGGACCCTCTTGTTCCGCTTGCTCAACCTCCTCCATCCCAATCCCGCAGTTCTGGCACACAGTCGCCAGCCACGTGGCGTATTTGAGGTTATACTCTGGACTCTGCATATTCCTCGTCCCCTGCCCTGGCACGCCGGGGAAGTGGTTCTTGGCGTATTGGAAGTTGGCGGATTCGTAGAGGATGAGGGCGAGGAGGGCGGCTTGGGTGGCGAAGGAGGGGAGGTAGTAGTTCTGGAAGGAGAGGGCGAGGTAGGGGGCGGCTTGGGATGCGGTGCGGCATTCGCCGGGGGCGGGTGGGGAGGCGCAGGTGCGGGTTGAGGGGGCGATTTTGAGGATGGAGGCGGCGGTGAGGGTACGGGATGAGGTGAGGGGTTGGGCGTGGGTGGGAAGGGTGGCGGCCAGCGCGAGGAGGGAGAAAAGGGAGATGTGCATGCTAGAGACGTGTCGAAGAAAGAGTGTGGGTATGCTTAGAGTTTCCCTGGACAAGAAACGTTTTGCGGTGGTGCACAGAAGGAAAAAGACGAAATCATAGGAAAGAGACGAAATCATTAAAGTGGAAGTGTGCTTCAGTAGCATAAGCATAGACCTTGCTTGCAAAATGCGTCTGAGATTCATCCTACCCTGTAATGCCTTTGTGGTTCAGAGTGTCGTGTATGGCAAGCATGTCAAGTTTGACATGTGCTTCACCTTGTGCCTCACCATGCGCTGCTGGCGGGTGCGACCAATCACGAGCGGAATTGGCCGACTACATTTCTCGATACCAGACAGCAGGAGAGGTCGCATGCGAATGCCACGAGCCTGTTAGTTCAACGTTTTGCCAGCGAATATTGTACGTGCTTGCCAATGAGCAGTCTCTCTGTAGCATCAAACTTAGCCGGTGAAGCCACGCAGGTAAAGCGTCTTGTGTTCAACGCTAGCTGTACAACGTGGACGAGCGAGCCATTAGAAGGAGCCAGAGAATCACGGCTCTTCTTCGAGAGCACTTTTCCTCTGAATTCGTGTCCAGAGAAGCTCCAAGAACCACGTAGGTGCAATTTGTGAGACCGGCCTCGGGGGCCAAAACCCAGGCCGCCGCCGTTCTCTCGCCTGCCGCCTGCATCATCAGTCACCGGCAGACTGGCTCCAGAGTGGCAAGCAGCAAGCTTCCACCAGTGCTTCGGTGTCCGAGGACAGCATCCCAAACGCAATCGTGCGATATGTCGTCAATGGGGGCCAAAAGCACGGGTTAGACGGGATCTCCAAGGAGGAGTCACGTTCCTGCGTATCGAAGGCTGCATGTCGGATGAAGTGATTGGCGGAGCAGGGAAGGTGGAACTCTAGAACCTCACGTTCCGGTGAAGGGCTTAGCGTCTGCGCCTCAGGCAGGGTGGTTGGTCGTGATCACAGATTGCTTGGTCATACGACGGTCGACGAAGTAGAATCGAACAGATATAGGTGTTGCTAGGTGGAACGTCTCCAATGTGCGTTTGTCGTCTCATGTCGTGCCCAGTTCGTACGAAAGTGAAGTTGCTGCTTGTGTGAACTTATAGCAGTCGGAAGCACTGCCCCCGACCTGTGGGGCTTCGAAGCTTAATCAGCAGTGCAGGCAGCAGTCGTCGTTGCCTTCCAGGTCGTCTTCCAGTTCGCGTCTTTACTCACTCTGCTCGCACCACTTCCGATCTCCCATCGCGCAACCTCAGGCGGAGCCCATTGAGCCAGACCCCGCAGACGACGTCAAAGCATTCGTGGCCACGCTCGACTTCCACCCTGCCAGATAGTGGACGCCTGGAGGCCAGCTTGACTACTACTTCACCCATCCTCCACGGCCACGGCGACTTGTCACAAACACCGCCCTCGAGTCTCCCCAGTTTGATGCAGAGGAGAAGCTTCTAAGCGAGCCGCCTTCCGAACCACACACCGGCCGCATCTACACTCCTCGCAAGGTGAGTCACCGCCGCCCTGCATGTTCGCCGCCCATAGCTAATGACTGCCCCAGGATACCGCCCGCTCCATCCTTTCCCCCACTCGGTACTTCGCCTCGAACCATCCCGCAACATGGCCTCCGCCGCCGCCAACTCTCGCCGCCGGCCCGCCCATGCCAACATGACTCCCTCATTAATCGATTCCTTCCAGAACATGTCTCTCCGCAAGGGCGACACCTTTCATCCTACCAACAACACCGTCGACAACGACTTCTGGGACCCGCTTGAGTCGAGAGCCCAGTCACCGCCCGCTCGCTCCACAACATGCCCCAAGTCGCTTGAGGATCTGCTTCTGGGCGCTGGCGATCGTCGCACCGCAGAGCTTCTCGCAAGGGTGGATAAAGCTGTCGAGACCCAGTCGAAGCTGGCCTTGAGCCACATCCTGACTGAGCCAGAGGTTCTTCCTGTACCCACATTCACGGTACACGACACCTCCATTGAAGAGCGACCAATCAGCAAGGCCCGCTCTCACAGTCACGGCTCGGACAGTGGTCTCGGTACGAGCATCTCCGGTTCTGACATCTCCGATGCAGGCATGACCGCCTCTGGTGAGTCTGCCTCGTGGAGAACCCGACACTGACAACATCCGCTAACATGTCGTACAGCGTCTCCGGTCAAAGAATCCATGACGGGCATCTCAGCCGCCACTGAGCAGCGCGGTCTGAGCAAGTACGCGTGCGAGCAAATCCACAAGCACATCGTGAACCCCATTCTCCGAGAAGAGAAGCTCAAAGAATTCCACGGCTTGATCAAGGAGGTTCCCAGCCGTATCGGGAACAAGGAGATCAAGAACCTGCGTGACCTAGAAAAGACGTTGATCTTTCTAGCACCGGTAAGTGAAACACGCCCGTCTCACGTCGGGGTGCTTGTTTACTCATGGTGTTCGGCGTTAAGGACTACTCGCGCTCCCCATACAAATATCTCGCCTTTTGCGAACGTACGATCCGCGTCCTCCACACGACTGTCACGACCCTTCACGAGTCCGACCAGCGCGCTCCGGCAGACCGACCATACACGCAGGGCTACTTTTTTGATTTGGTGGAGCAGGTGCGTTTGGGATCGTTTAACATCTTCTCCCAGGCAGCAGTTATTGACAATGTTCCATAGATCCGCAGATACGCTCAGATCCTCGCTGTCACCCGCGAGAAGCAAGAGAGGGGCGAGAAGCTCAACGAGATGGATTACACCCCGTAAGTGAGCTCCTTCCGATCCAGCGATTGGCTTGATGCGGTATCCTGCACGATGTCTGTTCTTGGGCACCGCCACCGCCAAGCCCTGTTGGTGTTTGATAGCCGGAGGGCACTGCACCAGGATCACGGCCCGGCTGGCGGCTCATGATCGACATCGTGCGGGATATAAAGCCCAATGTCCCGCTGCGGACAGCTGGCACACGGGTTGACTCCTACATTGTATCACGTGCTAACACCTACCTGCAGGGATGAAAGTGTCTCACTCATTGGTGGGGTGAGTCACAATGGCAAGCCGGCTGAGCTTGTTCGTCACAAGGACGGCAAGACTATAAGTATCGCCACCGACCATCACCTCTCGCCTGAGGATGTTGCGTCTGCCTCAATGAAGCGTCCGATGGAAGACATCGACGTCGACGAGGACGATGTCCTCCGGTCCATGGCGCGGCGGAAGAAGAACGCCAAACCGGAGATTCACGAGTGCTCGCTGTGCGACAAGGAGTTCAAGCGCCCTTGCGACCTCACCAAGCATCTCAAGACTCACGAGCGCCCGTGGAAGTGCCCAGACGACAAGTGCAAATACCACGACCACGGCTGGCCGACTGAGAAGGAGCGTGACCGCCACGTCAACGACAAGCACTCCGCCGCTCCATCGCTCTACCGCTGCCTGTTCCCTCCATGCCCGTACACCTCCAAGCGTGAAAGCAACTGCAAGCAGCACATGGAGAAGGCTCACGGCTGGGACTACGTTCGCTCAAAGAACAATGGCAAAGGTCGCGCCAGCGTTGCACGGCTGCCTAAAGGTTCCGTCTCGCAATCGCCGGCCTCAACAATGTTCACACCCAACACACCCATCCTTCCATCGCCGTCGATGGGCTCATACGCCTCCGCATCGGAGTCATCACGCCACGGCTCCATGCCACCACCAGCTGCCGGACCAAGCAACTTCGGTACACCGGCTTTCACCCACCCATCACCAGACTTCAGCGGCCACTTCAACATGAACTTCGACTTCAACAACATGGGCGACGGCTTCGCTTCGTCGTCTGCCTGGCCCATGACTCCAGCCATGAGCGACGACCGCCGCCAATCCTGCGACACGCTGTCTTCATCCGGAGGCCTCCAGCTCGATGGCTCCGCGTTCGATGATGGCATCTCACCAGACGATCTTGGCTACAACGGCTTCAATTTCAACGACTTCACCTTCCCCACCCAGCCCCAACAACAGCAAATCACACCAAACTCCAACATCGCGCCCAGCATCGGCAGCAACAACGGCATGCAAGCATCTCCTGGCGCCCAGCTCGACCAGACGTTCACTTACGATGCGATGGCCGTCGACAACGGCTTCGACACCGGTGACTTCACCCTCTATGACGGCGGCGCTAGTTCGTCCGGCGGTGCTTCGATGTTCCCATCGCTTCATGAAGGAGCAGGAAGCTGGGGCAACTTCACCGGTCATTTTGACCACCAGCACGTGGCATCGATGCCGACCGGAAACAGCACACTCGACGATCTCTTCCCAGAATTGAAGGGACACTAGACGGAAACAGCTGAAGCCGCGCGGTCAGTCTTACGCACGATGAAGTGGTTGGCTTTACCCGATTGAGAACGGAGGAGAAGAAACCCCAAGACTCAACCAAAAACAATCGGCAGCATCGAGATGGCGTTCTCTTGTGGGACTTTCTACCCGGCTTAGAGGCTGGTTGAGGGAGGAGCAAATACGGAACTGGTTCTACTACTGGACATCAAGAATGTGAACAAGGGAAGACCAGAATGACTTTGAATGACGACACAGGGATTTTTTTTTTGATGGATGGATGCGACACCTCTCCTATAATGGATTGAAGGTTATGTAGCTTTAAATGATTATGGGCATGGGAATGAATGAACCGGCTATCAAAAGCTGGGTTTCAAGGACGATGATACCTCTTTTCATTCTCATCCTACTCATTACAACTTGGTCGCATCGTACCAAATCGACATTTTTGTATTCCAGCAAATGAGGGGTACGGTAAAGGTGAAGGTAAGCGTTTTGATATCCATTAGTTGCAGCGCTGGTTCGGCCAGTCAGAGGGGGGGTTGATGATGCTTATTATCGACCCGACTGCTTCGGACTTCATGTTCTTGGCCAACCAGTCCAACCACTTCTCCTCCTCTGATGACCACCACCCAAGTCCCTGCTTCTGCTCCTGCTCTACTGTGCCAAAGACTATACGTGTACATGTAGGTAACTGGTGGTAAGCGATGACGTCCCTCTCCCCATCATGGCCACTCTGCCTTACCTCAACCCCGCCCGTCAAACCCCCCTCCTCAGTCCTGCCCCGCTCCGCTCCCATGGTACGGCTCCCAGACAGGACATTTTCGCCATCTTCGGCGCGTGGGTTCGCAGACGAGGGAGGGGAGGGTCAGGCTTTGCTGGAGTTTGATGGTGCTGCACCGACGATGGCGATGGAGTGTGGCTATAATATGTACATGGCCCCTCGTTTGCTTCTTCTTCTTCTTCTTCTTCTTTCCCTTCTGATGGATTTCTCGTTCTGCTTTTGCGAAGTGCTGGACAAACATACATCTGCTGCTCGCAACCCCAGTTCCGTGCAAGTCGTACTCGTGCCCAGAGCACCAAGGTCGTACTTCGACGACATTCTTTACGACCAGCGCCATGGTATCCTCTACACCTCAGATCAACGACCGCTTCGAGTTCGAAACCAGCTCATGCGAAGTTGAGCGCTGGCGCATGGGAATTGAGGGGATAGAACGCATACGGCACCAACCTCCTCCATCCGTCACCCTACGCAACAATGGAGTGGTGCTCCAAGACGCCGCACCAGCAGTACCAGAGTCGATGGACCTGATCAGCCCTGCCACCGTCGACTGCGTATCAGGCATATTTTCTAACTTCGAGACGCCGGGTCTTGTCGTCACGCAGCGTGAGCGTCGTGCATCTATGTCCACGTCTGCCAGCCAGATCGCGCAGGCCGGTGCTCCTGTCCTTAGCCAAGAAGATACGACTGAGGCAGAAGAGGGAGTGATGGAGGATGCTCCTCTTCGTCGATCCTGGAAGCCAGTGGACAGCACCAGCATCAAGTCATCGGGCTCCAAGCGCAAGCGGAGCCCAGGCGGGGGCACTAGGGAGAACATATTTCGCAAAGCAAGCCGGGGCGCCAAGCAGGCCATCTCAGACATGGCCGCGTTTGTGAAGCGAGACTCGGGCTACGCCTCGCTTCCGTCGAGTCCTTTGAACAAGACGCCTGCCACGCCGTCGTCGCTACTGGGCGTCAGTTTTCCGAAGGAAGAAGTGGCTCAGAGCCCTCCGGGAGGGTTTGGCAATGCGGTGCTTAAACCGCCTCCTCCAGGCTTGGTCCTCGCCGAATCCTGGTCAGAAGAGCCGTCGTCTGAAGAGTCGTCTTCCGAAGAACCGTCACCGGCCACATCGACGTCTGAGGAGCGGAGACCCAAAAGGAATCTAATCGGCATCAAAGCGCGAGACTCCGTGGAACACATGCGAGACATGGGCCTGCAATTGCATCGCGTTGACGCAAACGTCGAGCTCCCTACCACAAGAGGCAGAGGCAAGTCGCTGTTCACGAGGAGCATCATCCCCCCGGAATGCGCCATCAACCCTGAGGCCTATGCATACGCCATGGCCGCGTGCGAGAAGAAAGACGGGTTGATGTTAGCAAGGCTTCGCCGCATGTCGAAGAGCTTCTTCGGCCGTCGTTCGGCGCCGCCGGTGGCGAGGGAGCAGAATGTCGACCATGAGGATCCGAAGGTGCGGAATCAGTTCGCCGATGTCCTTGAGAAGTCGCTCAAAGATGTTGAGACAGAGCGGGAGAAGAGGTTCCGTGCGATGGATGGTAATCGTACGTCCGAGGCTACGCAGCAGCGCGCGGCCGAGTCTTACAGGGCAGAGGCGAGCGAGCGACGGGAGAGATTTGCGGAAGCTGGGGTGCTGGATCCGGATGAGGAGGAGAGGGAGGACTTTCGGGGGAGAAGGTTGCGGAGTAGGCAGGCGGATCTCTATAGGCATCTGTAATGCAGGTAGCGGCCAGCCATCAGAGTGGCTTAATATCAGCAGCGGTGAAGCGCTGCAGTAACCCGACGTTCCAGTCTTGAAACTTCCTGGCGCCTTCCGGGAGTAGTTGAGCGCTGTCGTCAAGAAGCTTGTGCAGAGTCTGGGCTTCTTCATCTAGCACACGTAGCTCGTCTTCGGCCAGCGAAGCCGCTGTTAGTCGTTCAGGTATGTCTTGCTCAGACGGATCCAACTCCTGCCATAGGACCTTAACCACTCTGGTGGGCTCTGGTGATTCCGAAGCAGAAGATGATATTGTGAGATCGGGAGTGAACAGCCAGAGCTTCATGGTCTTGTCGCCAACATGGACAATGAACTTGCGCACGCCTTTGGTGTCCATGGCGCAGAGCAAGAGACAGGCGAGCCACTTTTGTTTGTCGTATGACACTGATGACTTATGCTCTCTCGACGACACAGAGAGGTTGAGTTTGCGCAGCCTGTAGCCACCAGTCGTGCTTTCAACGTGTCCAATGGTGGAATTACACTGAGTACATTCGAGGAGAGAGTCAATCTGACTTGCTCGTACCTACAATGATAGAAGCCTCAGCAGGTGCACAAACGCAGACGGCGCGATAGGGTGGTGAGAATGCTTCGTGTATGTATCTAAACACATTATCCCATACAAGCCCATGGATCTCCGGACTGCATGGTGAAACTGCTAGACTTGCGACAGCGTCTTTCACCCGACCTACCATCGCTTGCGCGAGGCTGATACAGGCTTCCAGCGAGTCTGTGACTTGATGTTGGACGCTTTGTATCCCGACTACCACCTGTAGTGTCCACCTTGCGGCGCAGGAGTGTCGGTTCTTTTCGGCCCGTGTAGATGCAGCAGAACAAGGTAGGGAATATTGTGGTGTGAAGAGTAAAAGTAGGAAGATTTTACCTCGACGTTGGCGCAATCCACCGGCAGCAGCAGGAAGTCTAGCGGGTCGACCATGCCAACACCTGCCTCAAGTGCCAGCTGGCTGCCTGCAGCATAGCCTTTCTTTTCACCCTCGCCGTTCTCGTGGGCGTGAGGTTCGTGAGGTTTGTGACAATGCCAGAATTCCATCATCTCCGCCCAGCCTTCGGAGGGAAGATCCTTCCATGTCTGAACCTTCCCACGTTCAAGGAGTGGCATATCACACATCCTGCAGCGGATCGCAGTGTCAGCCGTCAACGTATCCGCGGTCCAGGGAATGACGTTGCCATCGTCAGACTGGCCATTTGGGAGGAAGCCTTTGCTATCTGGCTTCAGCTCCTTTTCTTCGAGCTGAATACGGAAGCTGAGGTCTCTTGATGGTATGGCCGGGATGGTGAAGATGACATTGCTTTGCCTGTTTGGTGAGAGATTGACAGGAAGTGTTATGCTTGCTGTCTGGCCCTCATGGGTTAGTGTCAGGAGACTGCCGTCTGCTGAAAGAGTGGCTTTGGTCTCCTTGTTTGAGACTGTGGCGAGCGAAGCCTGGAGGGATAGTGTGCGTATGTTGATGAGGTGCTCGACGTAGAGGTGTATCATGGTGGCTTGGTCCTGGTAGTCGCCATCCATTGAGTCTGGCGTGTGTTCAGGAGTGGCAATGGGGTAAGTGTGAAGTCCCAGTAGATGTTTGTCCCGTTAGTTTTGGGCGTGGTCGTACGATAGCGCGGGTTCGCAGTGGAGTTGGCCAAATTCGAGGGGATTGAACTCGACCTCTCGGAGCCATTGTGTGCCAGCAACGACTCTGCCTAAGATGACATTATAGCAGGAACGACAGACAAGAATAACCAAGCATGGCCGACGAAAAGTTCATACCGCTGGGCCACATCGTTGTCACAGGCGGATCCGGCTTCCTTGGAAATCACATCGTCTCCCTCCTCGCATCGCGCAAGGCATATACGAAGCTCACCGTCCTCGACCTGAAGAAGCCCGCCGAACCTATACCAGGTGTGAACTACCAAGATGCCGACCTCACCAACTACGATGCGCTCCTCTCCGTCTTCCAGAGTCTCAAGGCGGACGCCGTCGTGCACACCGCTAGCCCAATCCATTCTATGGGGAACAAGGAGTTGATGTACAAGGTCAATGTTGAAGGAACCAAGAACGTAGTCAGAGCGTGTCAAGAGACTGGGGTGAAAGCAATGGTTCACACATCCACGGCCAGCGTGGTTCACGACACCAAGTCGGACCTGGTCAACGCGAACGAAGAATACCCTCTCATCATGGGCAAGGACCAGCCTGAATACTACACTGTCACCAAGGCTCAAGCAGAGATCCACGTTCTTGCTTCCAACCGCACCAAGGAATACCCAAAATTCCTCACCGCTGCTCTTCGACCATCAGCCATGTTTGGCGAAGGCGACGTACAGCTCATTCCACCGGGTCTCAGCGCATACTACAAAGGGCAGACGAAAGTTCAAATAGGCCAAAATGACAACCTGTTTGACTTCACCAACATCGTAAACGTTGCGCATGCGCATCACCTCGCGCTTGCGGCGCTATTAGCGACGCGCGAACGCGAGGACAAAGGCGGCAGTGCTCCACTCGACCACGAGAAGGTTGACGGCGAAGCCTTCTTCATCACCAACGACTCGCCGGTTTACTTCTTCGACTTTGCGCGCAGTGTTTGGGCCGCGGCAGGAGACAAGACGGAGCTCAAGCAGGTCTGGACGCTGAGCAAGGACGTCGGTCTGCTTATCGCGACGCTAATGGAGCTGGTGTTCTGGCTCTTCAGAATGGGCAAGCCGAATTTGACAAGGCAGCAGGTGCAGTATACGTGCATGACGCGGTACTTCAATATCGACAAGGCGAAGAGGAGGTTAGGGTACATGCCTGTGGTGTCGATGCAGGAAGGGGTAGACAAGGGCGTGAAAGATGCGTTGTACAGGGGTGTGGTGCGAGGTCAGCCAATGGACTTGAAGGGGAAGAAAAACCAATAGGAGAGGTTTTGTATCAACTTACACATTTTGGATGTTCGAGATGCTGTTTTCTCTAAGGTTCCGCCAAGACTGCGGTCAGCTCCTTTTCTACAGGCGTGGAAGGCTGCTTGAGTGCTTACACCACCACTCCATAGGTCTTGGAATGGAGGATATCAAGTTTAGATCCACTCACGTGGGTTACTTCGACACTGACGGCACTGTCGCAAAGGTCAGCAAAATCGGTGAAGTGCATAAGTAGGTACATTTCTCGTCTCCTTTGCTTCCGATCTTCTACCTCCCTTTCACATCGACACCAGTACCATCAGCCCACAAGGAGCTCTCTCGCAATCCTCGAAGAAACCGCAAGAATGGTATTCGTGCCACCTACCGCGCATACAGCGCCATCCCGTAGACCCTACCCCTTCAACGAGGCATCCACCAGCGACGAGCGCAAAACCGGCCGATGGTCCTCAAAACTCCGCTTCTGGTGCCGTCGCCGCTGCAGCAAAGAACCGAAATCTTACGTCGACAACGCCGAAGGTGTCAGAAGCCCAGGAGGCATCACATACGTCGACGGTCGCACAGCCAAAATCGTCGAGATCCCATCCCATCTCTCCCGGTACATCCGTTGCAGGTACTTCCCGCAAGCCACGGAATGGTTCAGGACGAGTGAGGATGACCGGAATGATCATCCTGGATTGGAGTCTCCAATCTCGCATTCCGAGTTTGTGGCCAGGTCGCTGGAGCGACATCAGATGGAGCAGACTGCAGGGAGCGGGAGACCCGCTGGTTCTCACAGAGGACAAACACACGACAACCGCAGCGGCAAACCCCAACGATGGCCCCGTACGACACGTGCTATGGGGTTTGGAAGGAAGGACTCGAAGGCGCCGCGAGCTGTCGCAAGACAACCGGAATTCCCGGCATCATTCTCCGAGTTCATGAACGGGCCGCATCAACCACCGCATACGGTCCACCGTCCAGATATGCGCAGATTCACGGCTTCGCAGCTGGCGGCTTTGGATCTCAACACTGCGACCGGACCGCAGCGGCAGGCGGAGGTGGTGTATACTGCTGGGCTCGGGAGAACGCGCTCGATTGCGCAAGGGAGTGTGTCTACGTCGGAAGAAGCGCCCATTTACGCTTCCTTTGTCAGGGGTCCGCAACGACAACCCCACGTGATGCAGCCGATGGGGTTCGGGAGGATGCGGTCGAGCGCGTACAGTAGCGCTAGTGAGCAGACACGAGCGTCGGAACACGCTACGTTCGTCCCAGGACCGCAACAGCAACCTCAACTTATTCATTCAGCTGGAAAAGCGCGAGCGCGCTCAGTCGCACCAAGCATCATCAGCTCCAACCGCGCCTCAACGATCGCAAGCAGCGACATCTTAAGATCCTATGTTCGCGGCCACGAGGACGGCATGAGAGTCGCTGAACGCGAGGCTGTGGACTCGCGCATGCCTTCGCGCAGTGCGTACAGGGGTGGTGGGAGCAGACGGCGCTCGGGGGATTCTCGACGGTGGTGTGGTGTGTGGGATATGGAGGATTTTAGTGATGAGAGGCTGTATGAGGATCGGATGGTGGAGAGGAGGGGGTTTAAGAAGGGGTGGGATCAGGCGATGGAGAAGGTGGCGGTCGTGGAGAAGGGGGAGGTGTGTGTGTGTAGTTGTGGGAGGTGTTCGAGGTAACTATGGGGCTGTGAGACTGCGGAGGGCAAGACTAGAAAGGCTCGTTGTGAGATAATCAATGTTCTATCATATGTCCCAGCGAAATGGTAATTATCGCCTTCAACTATCGCCTTCAACCCTAGAGTCAACCCATCCCAACCATAGGTCGGCGCTGTGCCCATCAATACCACGAAGAATAAATCTGGTGTTTACTTCAAAAATCACCATGGTAAACAGGTACCAACAGCAGGCTCAATGGTAGCCGGTGGTTTCATTGGGAAGACGATCTCATCGCAACGTATTTTGAGCCGATGACTTTGAATACACACCCAGTGCCACTCATCTCTTCCGAAAATTGGGTCAAGTATTTCTACCGCCATGCTGGAGGCAAACCTTGATCCAGGAAGGTAGTCCTCATGACGGTGCCTTGCCTCAAACCGATCTCCTTCCACAGCTCAGGATTATGCCACCGCTCCTGATCATTGCAACCATTCCTTTGTGAGTGCTTGCGTTGCCGAAGGGCTAGGACTTTCGAGTCGTTAAGTGTATCTTCTGCTTTCTGACGGTGCGTGATGCCAAAGCGCAGCTTCTCCAGACGCGCCATTAAGGTAGCGTTGGCAGTGCAATTGTGCTTCAGACACTGATAGGGCAGGTTGATCCCGGGCGGGAACGCACTCTCGTCGTGATCGGTGTCTTGATCTTTTACTAGCTCGCGAAGGGCCTCGTTGATGATGTTCCGTGCAACCTTCGCCTTCCCGGCTGCGTTGGCAGCATCTTCTCCTGGTGGTGGAGTGTCGCCGTCGTTTCATGTGACCGAATCTAACTCACAAGCCAGGGGGAAAGTGGAGAGAATAGGGAGGATGATCCAGTCGAGGCGGTATGTGCCGTGCGTCGCCATCACGTCCTGGGCACTTTCGCAGAATTGCAGTACGAGGTCCATGATCCTAGAGAGATGTTGGTTAGAGTCTGCCTTGAGATTGCGCTATGTCGGAGAAAGCTCACGCATGGTTGAGTCCACAGGGGTTGCCATTGCATGGATTCCTCGCTGCCAGATGGATGAACTGTGTGTAGCGTATTCTTTGGATCATGGCATCGGCGAGCATTGTCATCAGCGAGATATCTGCTGACTGGCTTTCACCTGTGTTCTCGTCGACGAGCTCTTGGAAGTACGCTTGTTGAATAGCAGCCCACGTGTGTTCCCGGAACTGATTGTGGAACTCCGCATATTTGTGGTCTTTTTTGCTGTAGGGTACGTTGAACCGATATACAGCTCGTAGAAGGGCTGCAGCTTCGTACTGGACGAGGGCCAATGTCATTTGGGTAAACCCGGGCTCTGCCAGGGGCGTCGGAAAGTCCCATGAACCATCATCAGCATTGACGGGTAGCTGGGTGTCGGCAGAACCTGGTGGGATCGTACTGCCGTAACCGCTATTGCTGACGCAGAAGGTGTCGAGGAGCACCAAATAGTGCCACAGGCGACGTCGGAGCTCGACGTCCCACAGAGAAACACATTCGGAGCCCTCGCCATCTCTGTGAAGTCCCATGCGCTGCGCAGCGTGCACCGCTGTAGCGACAAGGTGACTCGTGCGGACTATGCGGCCCGTAAAGGCGAAGTAGCTCTCTAGGAGTAATAGTAAAGGATTGATACGCCACGGGGGTTGACTTACAGTGAACAGCAGGAGCGTTTGCATTGTGCTGGTCGTGCAGGTAGCATGGATTTCGAGTTTGTTCAGGCCTTGCGATACTTCAGCTCTGTATTGCTCAAGCAGGATCTTTCTCGGAGCCCCAAGCTCGTCCTCACAAGCTTTGTCGGTGAGACTTAGCACGGCGAGGTGGAATATAGCGTAATGCTGGACATCCCAGTCCTTGTCCACTGGGTGATTCCAGATTCCCTTTAGAACCTTGGGCATATGAAGAATCCTGACGAAGCGGTCGACATTGGAACAGTATGCTCACACTAGCATATCAGCCCGAGCCGGAGACAGTGGTTTGCGCAATGGCTGTTGCGAATAAATTGGTGGATCTACAGGCTTCGGGAACGTCGCCTTGTCGTGATGGAGTCTGAGATTCGTTGAAGACTTCCATAGGAGACTCGTCAGCGGGAGCAGGAAACAAAAGAAGAGGCACATGCATTATCATCTCGCCAATTGCAGAACGACTTTGTCAAAAGTCGGGATTCCTTTCCATTCGACCAAAGATTTCCCCGATACGCCGCCTTGATATCGCAGAAAGTGTTACCGTTTGAGTTCTCGATCTCTTTCAGTACCTTGTCCACTTGGAAGACGCAGGGTGTCGGCAAGCGGAAGCTCATTGATGGATCATCTTGAGAAGGACCCCAAGAGGTTTCTGCCATTGCTGATGATGATCTTCTAATGAATGTGTAAGAGTAGAGGCAACCGAAAGTTAAGCAGGGAGAACAAGCAGCATGAATGGATCTGAAATGCCTAAGTAGACCTACCAATGCTTCGAACGCCAGTCACACACCCGTCACGTGTGTTACCAACACGTCACTCATCGCTCCCCACTCAGCGACGTAATGTGCTGTACGATGTCGCTGTTCGCAAGATGGGAAGAAAGTGGTGGTTGTCACGGCAGTCTGGCAATCCGAGGTTGGCTCCGTGTCCGGGTCACACGGTGCGCTCGATATGCACAGACCCGCTGTCACGAGACTTGACGCTGGTGATCAAGTCGTACGTTCCGCAATCGTTGGTAACGCGAGACGTCCTTGTGGCTCGTGGGTCTGTTATCGAGTCCGCCTAAGCACCAAGTCCGAATAGCTTGCCTTGAGGCGATCCGGACGCAGTACAAAAAGAAGCTGAATTGACGTAAGCTGAACAAGGAATACTCCTTCGGCCATACAGTGCACAGCATCACCGCAGCACACAGTGCCATTCCATCAGACCAGAACGCCGCGCTAAGCCATGCTGTCAATCGAAGCAATCATCTCTCCCGTCACACGTTCTTCACTCTTCCATCCTGACTCTCTTATCACCGCCACCCTCAGGCACAAACAAGATGCCATCGTCGGCGCCGGTGAAGGCGTCTTCGTCGTCCGCCACGTCTCGACTCCGCTTGAGGCCTTTCATCTTGCGGGTCTGTAAAGCAGATAGATCCTGCTTGCCGACGTGGATCCGTCCGACCTTGTCGCCGATGATGTCTGTCTCAATATTCTTCTTCGTCTTGGCCTGAAGCAGGACACCGTTAGTATTTCTGCAGAAACATAGCGCAAAAGGAGATGAAAGGCAAAACGCACTTCTTGCGACTTCGGCTTCTTCATCGCCTCCTTCCACATCTCCGGATCCGCCTCCTGCACCCTTCCCACCCTGAAATCAGCCCTTGGGCCCATCTCTTCCACATCCACCTTCGGCAAAGTCGAGTTTGGCGCCCTCTTCGTCCTCAGAAGGTAGCACCGTAAGTGAATCATCGGCTTCACATTTTCCTGCTCCTCCTCGTCCACTGAAAAGTGCATCATGTACTGCAATCCCTCGACATCCACATTAGACACATCCTCGCCCTTGAACATATCCGTGAAAATGCTCTTCGCAAGCGTGTACGCATTCGCGGTGGGCGATTCGAATGCCGAGCCAGAGAACGAAAGTAGAGGCTTCAGGCCTACCCTCGCCGTGCCGTTCTTGAATTGTGACATCGTCCGCATTGTGTCTTCCTGTACAAGTAATTCTAGAATATCTAGCACCTTGTAGCCAAAGAACCGTACCAGTGTCAGACAGTGCGGCCTCTTCTTCGAGGTGGAAGAGTAGACCACGAGACTGGCATCGTTCTTCTCGGAGAAGAACTCGAGACTGCTCGCATCTTCAAAGGGGTGGATTGAGTTCTTCTTGTTGAACTTGAGGGAGAGTGGCTTCTTGAGCGAGCATAGGTCGGTCGTCAAGAGGTTGGTGATCTCTGAGGTCGAGGTATAGCGGAGGAAAAGAGTTTGTCGTGCGTTCTCATTCTGCTGTGGCGCCTTGTTGTCGAGGAAGCGTTTCGTCCGCGCGTTCTTGGGCTTGATCTCTCGTATTGGTAGCATGTTGGCGGTCGTGGTATCCTGCGTGGTGAATGCGGTGGAAGAGCTTGCTTGAGCGAGGACCTTTTTGCTAAATTTCCCAAAGAGGAAGCTGTAGGACTTGTCTGCCAAGACAAATAAGAGAAGCCGACTTCGGCATGTCGTCATGTGATTACAATTCATGTGTAAAAAGTTCGAGACTCTCATCCGCGCCGTAAACTACAACTTACACCTCATCGACATCGCAAAAGTCATAATCAAACCGCGCGACCGACAATATCCTCAATTATGGCAGGCCAACCTTGCGCCGTTACGCCCATCCCGACCGAAGACGCCTTCAACGAGCACATCTCCTCCCTCCCGTCCTCATCTCTTGCAGTCATCTACTTCCATGCACCCTGGGCCGAGCCATGCAAACAGATGAGCACCATCCTCTCGACACTCGCCTCCACCTACTCGCAGACCTCGCCACCTTCGATATCATTCATAAGCCTGGACGCAGAGGAAGTGAGCGATATCAGCGAGCAATACGACGTCTCGCAGGTGCCCTTAGTGGTGCTGCAGAAGGATGGCAAGGTGGTGGAGAGTGTTACCGGCACGGATGCGGGCAGGGTGAGGAGCGCAGTGGAGAAGCACGTTGCGACCGAGGGAGCAGGGAAGGCGAATAAGGCAGGTCTACCACCGGCGCAGACAGTCACCAAGCCGCCACCTTCACAGAGTGCAGCGGATTCAGCGGTGCATACGAACGGCGACACACCTTCAACAACAGAGCAACAATCGGAGGAGGATCTGGACGAGCGGCTGGGCACACTTGTCAAGGCCGCGCCAGTCATGCTGTTCATGAAGGGCACACCGTCAGCGCCACAGTGTGGATTCAGCAGACAGACCGTGGCTCTACTCAGAGAGAAGGGTGTACGATATGGATTCTTCAATATCCTGGCGGATGACGATGTGAGGCAGGGATTGAAGGCTTTCTCGGACTGGCCTACGTTCCCGCAGGTCTATGTGGGTGGAGAGCTCGTTGGTGGCCTCGATATCGTAAGTCATGCAAACTTGGAAAGATGTACAGGAGCTATTTACTAACACGATGGGAACAGTTGAAAGAAGAGTTCGAGAACGACGCTGAGTTCTTGAAGGACTATTCAGTACATGCGCAGAAGGCATAGTGCAACCGATTGTCTTGCTTCCAGCGACTGCCAGCACTGTATGCATGCTATGATTAAAGTAATAAATCTTATGATACCACATGAGCCGCGCTCAACTCCGTGCTCCACGCCTGACGCTTTTGTGCACATTCGCTTACAACAAGACGCAACCAACGCCGACACATGCAGTCCCGTGCCACCGCCCGCCGATACCCTTCGATTTACGGCCAGCAAGGAAACCCACAATGCCCGCCCTGCACCGTTCCCGGCTCCCATGGCAGCGGCGGAGGATTCGCCTCCTGCTCCGGCTGGAACATTACTTGCGCGTTGCTTAAACCAGCAGCCCGTTTCGATTTATCCAACTTTCCCGCCTCCAGACTCTCGACCCATCTGCCCAGCGCCTCTCTGGAAGACGGATGAATGGGTAGCTCTTCATGCCAGCGTCCATCATTGGGCTGGCGCCCTGCATGCGAAACCGTTGAGTCGCCGTCTCTGGCATCTGGGTCGGGCACTTGTAGATGCTCCTGGACTTGCGTGAGGCGTCGGACTGCTGAGCTGTCCTTCACTGTGCCACCTTCCGCGAAGAACTGGCCCCTAAGCAGTTCGTCCTGAAGTTCCGCGTTAGAGAATTTGGCAAGGAAGCTCTCGAAGTCGAAGTTATTGAGCACATCATCATCTTCGTCCTCTGCCGCAAAACAGTCGCATAGAAGCACATCGAAGCCGTCGCCGCCGTAAGGGTCTTGGTTGATCCGCCGCTGCTCGTGGTTCGTACATAGTCTGCCAGGGCGAGATGAAGAAGAATCTCTCTTCGAGTCTGCTCGATTGTCGTTGTTGGTGATTGCAAGGTTCGACATCTTCCTGATCGTATTCCGGCTTTTATGAGAGATTGATGTAACGAGCAACAGAAGGCGACTGAACAGTAACGATAGCAAGAAAACAGACAGCTGCAAAGACCTCGAGAATCATCTCACCGATACCTTAGTGAGCTCTTACACGAATATTGCTCGCCCCGCACACGTCGATCCTGCATCTTTTTAATGCAGTGCGCATCTTGCCCCAAGGGAGCGGCAATCCTCACTTGTCTGCTTTCCACGAGCGTGCGGCTACACACCTCGCTGGAAGGGTTTGCTTGAAGCAGAATCGCGACTCGCGAAATCCAAGCAAGCTTTTGGAGGAGAGTTTGACGCCGTTTGGGGAGCGGGCCGTTGAACGGGTCGTTGAAAACGTGAGCAGGAAGATATTGCCGGATTGGGGAAGTGTGGCCACGATGAGACAGTGGAGCCACACAGCATGTGTTATGTGTTCTAGAAATCTACGTTCGTGCAGTATAGCCGTGCAACGCTTGTGTTAACGGTGATACTCTGGCAGCCGCACAATCACTGTACGTTACTGATGGTCATTACTCCTGCTCCCCATCCTCATCAACCTTTCCCATACCAATGCCATCATCCTCCCCTTCGTCCTCCTCGAAAGTGCTCATCGGAACCTGATACAGACGGATCGTAGGCTTGTTCGGATCCTTGACCAGGACGAACTTGCCCTCTGTCGCCTCCGCCTTCATCACCATGTCGACGAACGTACGCACGATGGCCCATCCGTTGTTGAGGTTGAGGTTCATCTGCGACGCAAACTCGCGTGGCTTATACCCGAGCACGCCGAGGATGACGTGGTCAGATGTGTTCTTCGGCGTGGCACGAGAGATGAAGCTGTACACATTGTTAGTATTCATCCAATGATACGTGAGAAAAGCAGACTTACCCAAGCTTCATCAGATCGGCCTTCGCGAGGATGGCTTGTACGGTCCATCGCGCGAGCTTGCAGGAGTTGTTTTTCATCTCGGTAGCAACCACTGCACCCCTCTGACTAGCCAGCTTGGTGCGCCAGTCGAGCGCGCCTCCGGAGCCCTGAGCCTTGTTGTCGAACTCGTTGAGAGCTTTGATGGTGAGGAACTGGTCTTCTCCGCTGATGTTGTTCTTGACGACAGCATCCAACTCTGAGCGCACAACGAGGTGCAAGGGCTCTGCATCGGCTTCGAGAGAGAGATCGAAGCGACGGTATTTGTAGGCTTTCGAAGCTGGCGGATCGGTCTCCTGCTCGGGGTTGTAGAAGGGATGCTCATTGTTCATCTCATGCTTGCCGGTCTCGCTCTCAATCACGACTTGCGACGGGAAGACGTTGTTGATGTGCGTAGCTTCTTCCTTGAGCGCGCCGGGACTGTTAATCTGGTCTTTGTTGCCTTCGCTGATCTCGAGCGGAGCATCGGCGGCATTCTCGTTGACCGTAACCATGTCGATGGAAGAGCCGTCGCGCTTGTCAATGTAGATCTTGTTGCCTTGCTTCAAGATGACGATGTCCCAGCTGTACACGCTACGAGGAGAGCACATGAGCATGGAAAGAATGTTGTCGGTGGCAAAGATGGTAGCCTCATCTTTCTCCGCAAGTTCTTGGATGACCGGGTCTGACGAGGTGCTGACATTGTATGCCGCGCGGTCCAGCATCTGGAGCTTGCGCACAGAGGTTGCAGCCCCCGGCTGCTTGTCGAAGGAGCGGTCGTAGTAGTGCAGGAAGCCGTAGTCATCCAGATCCTCGCCTTCGCCAGTGTCCAGGTTGAGCTTGGAGAGACGGTTGAAGTCAATCTCCTCAAGCATGCGCCAGGTATCCTTTGGTTGTACGGACGCTTCTCGGTTTCGCTGTGGCTTGTCGTAATCTTTCCAGCCGAACCTCCTCCCGCCTCTGCCGCCGCGACCACCACGCGGATCGTACCCCTGCTGGCCACCTCGTCCACCAACTCGCTGGAACGTCCCTCTGCCGCCGCGCTGGTTCTGTTGTCCTCGTTGGCCCCTGCCTCTGAAGACCGCGCTGCCTCGGCCACCAAAGCCACGGCCTCGGGTCGATTGTGTGGAGCGGTCCACAAGCGAGAAGGTGTTTTCCTCGTTTTGGCCCTCGATGTTGAACACCGTCTGCAGGCCACCGGGTCCGCCAGCGCCGTAGATTTGGTCTCTATACCGTGACTGATACTGTTGCCGGCCTCCTCGTTCACGCTCCTTGCCTTCGGCAGTCCAGTCCGCCATGCGACCCAGCTTGTCGCCCTTGGAGAATGGGGCGTACGGAACGCCATTCAAGGTCGTCTCGGTGGTAGTAGGAGGACCCCATGTGTCGCCCGTCGGCAGTGTCTCGATGATCTCGAGTAGTGATGGCGCCATGATTGTGTGTGATGTTCAGCAGAAGATAGGTGGTGGTTGATGTGAAGAGTAATTTGGTGAAAGCCAAGATTTCGATGTGGGGCAGGGGCGGCCGATCCCGCTCTTGCTGACTCGCCGATCGCAACCACAACACATTTCGATCACTTGGTGTCAATCTCACCTCGACTTCACATCAACCCAAAAGATAGATTGGTCGCGCCCGATGAGCATCAGTAGGCACCCCTTACTACCCAAGCATATCGACGATGGCCGTGATGCTATATACGATCCACTGGCATGATTCAGAAGGTCGAGCTTCTGGTCCACGCTGGTGCGCCTTCAGGCCGAGAGGACGATGATCGTTACAGAGCGCAGGCAGAGGCTTATGTTCACCTTTACGACGGGACAGCCAGCGTAAATCTCATATGCATTGACGACAACTGCGCTGAGAAAAAGCTCCCGCTGGCTTTGGACGCCTTCGAGCAGGACGACAATCAGCCTGAGCATCAAGAAGCTCAGTACGATACAACTACCTTCTTGGACGAAACCCAATTGGCGTATACAGCACTTGACAGCCAGCTTTTGACTTCTTCTCTCGTCTTGCCGGAGGCTCAGCGGTCGATCTACGTTACAGCACCTGCCACAGTCGAAGAGGACCATGCCACTCGAGGAAGCTGGACCTGTGAAGGTCAAGGGCTCGCTGCGCAGTCTGCGTGGCCTGAAACCCGATCTAGAGAAGGACGGGCGGAAGCTTCCAGTCACGAACCATCTCAAAGCGGAGACAAAAGTGATCGCACAGACTCATCGTACCTGAAGTCACCGCATCTTGATCGCGCTTCGCGTGCGAAGAGAGCAAAGACCCACTACCATATGCGAAGCAATGTCAATGTCCCTGCATTTGACAATGACCGTCGCGTCGATCAGGCTGAGAACATCTCTGCGGAACGTGCATCAGCGCCTCCGCAAGCTCGCGATGTTCGATCTCAAGCATCGGCCGACGGAAATCAAAGCACATCTGAGCTGCCCACAACTTACTCTCTCACCGACGTTACTTCCGACCATTCGAAAGCTAGAGCTCTACTTTCACAGCGCTCGGCCAGCGACCCTGGACCTCGGGTTGAGCAGACGCCGTCTATCCCGCAAGGAGCCGCACAACTGTCGGATGGTAGCCATGGCTCAGCCGTACCAGCAACAGCGCCTCCGAGAGCCGTGTCAACAGCGCCACAACAAAGTGACGGGGCAGACCGCAAGTCCGCACAGCTTCGTTGTGGCGATAACTCTAAGCTTGAACACGCCCGAGGTCCAATATTCGAGACGTTTGGTCAGCCGAAGAACCTCCCGGGCCCGTTAGATGAACTTTCAACGAGCATCATCCCGCCGGCTCCGGAGCCAGCGCTCGACAACTACACGACCCATATCACCAGCGGCCTGCGACAACTCGCTGAATCAGAGGACATCACCGATTGCTTCAGGCCAGTCTTGGTGACTCGTGAGCTTCGAGCTCTAGAACGAGGCCACTGGCTTATCAAAGTGCCAGCAAACGATCCCAAGTGGACCATCGAACGGCAGCTGAAATTCTGGAAGTTCCTGGAAAGGTGGATTGGCGACGGTAGTCTTGGATGGGGCGTATGGTGCTCTCGTGAGCCCGCGATTGGCTGTTTGGGTACCATCGAGTTATACTGCTGGGGTGAGGTGGTTAAGCACATCTACCATATGCTCTATACGGCGAGCGTTGCGCAGACCAGGAAGATGGGGCTGGAATGGATTGACGGAGGTGGAGAGGTGGTCATTCGAATGAGAGGTCGCCAGCTCTGATGGTGCTGCTCTCGAGGCAGCTTACGAGGTTTGAATGACGAATGCGTAGCAAGACGTGCACCACTTTCAGTCAGACCATCAAAGCCGGCATGCTCTTTCAATGTCAGTTTTCGGGTGCTTTTCTTGGAGACAAGCTGTTACGTATTTCATCGAACTGCGGGCTGAATGTTCTGGCGAGCGGCTTCAACGATGCCGGTCTTGCGGAATCTAGCCCGATATCGAATCCGCAGGCAGAAACACTGGCGATGCCTCGAGGACGTTGGTCTTTGCTGCAGGCGGAGGCAGCCCGGAAATCCCGCGTTATTAAGCGCGCCTCTCGCATTCGAATTCGTCCGTCGGCCGAGAGAAAATGCTAAAGCGAACCATAACCAAGCACGTAGGTCACATGTTCCCTCGTAACAATCGCCAGACTTGACCGCAATGCATTCGGCGTATTCGCTACTAGTCTTGTCATGTCCTCCGTCGTTTGCTATTGGCTGTACTGTTTGTTTGCGTACGGAAACTCGGGCTGAACATCGCGAATACCAGCCCGTCTTCGAGATTGGGATTGATGCTTACCCTGCCTTCGGATACTATCGCGCGAGTGCTGGTCGTCGGGATGCAAGTACACCAATTACACCGGACTTCGCATGAGACAAAGATGCAAGGCAGTGGTAAGCACCGTATGCCGCATACACTTCGCGATGGCGGAGTTCAGCTGGATCCTTCAGTCGCATCCGTAGGAGAAAGACTGCTGTCGTGTATATAATCTTCCAGTGAGCCTTGTTCTCATTCCGCATCCTCTCTACTCAGACTGATCTCATTGTCGGAAACTCCAACAAATACTCATTTCATCTATCAGCAAGCACACCCGAATCGCCCCTCCAGGACCGTCACGATGCTGTTGGACGTTGAGACACTGAAGAAGTCGTCGATCATCGACCCAAGTATAGAGGAGGTTAGAACAGGCCCGCACGAAGGGACTGGATTGTACTGACAGACGAACAGTTCGCCAAGAACAATCCTGCGCCTCCGATCGATTGGAACAATGCTTCAGGAATGAAAGCCATCATGGCGGCAATGTCGCAGCAATCTCAAGATTTGCTCGGCCCGCCTGAGTCCTCCATCATCGAAGTGTACAAGGATATTCCAATGCGGGATGGCTTCCAAAGCACGATAAAGATCGCCAGGCCAGCAACGACCCCGGCAGCTGGCAGCCCGCTGATCGTGTTCTTCTTCGGTGGAGGCTTCGTTGGCGGCGACATGGAAGCAGGCACTCCATTTGCTCGCGCCTGGGCTCGACTGTTCGGTGCCGTCACTGTCTGCGTCTCATATCGGCTGGGACCGGAGTACAAATTCCCGGCCAGCTGGCATGACAGTATCGACAGTGTTAAATGGATCGCTGAGCACGCGAGTGAGCTTCACGCCGACCCGTCGAAAGGCTTTCTCATGTCTGGCATCAGCGCCGGCGGCAACTTGGCGGCTGTCAGCACATTGGCATCGATCAGTGAAAAGTTTGCTCATCCGGTCACTGGACAATGGCTGTGCGTGCCATCCCTAATGGACGCAGACTCGGTTCCAGAGAAGTTCAAGCCGTACTTCCTTTCCTTGGAGCATAACAAGGATGCTCCGATTCTATCTGCATCTGCGATGGAAGCCATCAAGACGCACCTCGAGTCGGACTCGACTTCGGCGTTACGGTATCCGGTCCTCAACAAGGAAGTTCCGCTGGAGAAGATCCCTCCGACTTTCCTCCAGGCAGATGGTCTCGACCCGCTGCGAGACGACGCATTGATCTACGACGAGATGCTGAAGGAAGCCGGAGTCGAGACTCGCATCAACTTCTACCCCGGCTGCCCCCACGGCCATTTTGCGTTCTTTCCAGGTGAGTCGAGCCAGACCACGTATCGGTTCGAGGTGAGACACTCGCTAACCCCACATCTCCACATGCAGGCCTAGAGATCTCGAACAAGGCCGTAGCGGATGTCATGACGGGCGTCGGCTGGTTGCTGAAGAAGCAGATCTCGCCCGAGCAAGGTCTGGGCGCAATGGTTCCTGCCGCTTGAGGAAGGACCACAGGGACGAATAGAGCTAGGTGGAACTGCTGTGGCATGGGCACGGCTGGTGCAGGCTCAGTTCAGATACTCCAGCGGCAGATCGGACGAGAGGATGGTCACTGTGCCGAGCACCGCGGCGATAAGATCGAATGCATTGTCTTGCAGCAGTTGAGGCAGTCCAGGCCAGTCCAACCAAGCGAGCGTTGACGGTGTTCATTGTTCGAACTCTTCATTTTCCACAATCTGAGGCTGCAACAAGCGATCCCTCAATAGTTACCTCCCTACCTTCTCGTCCATCCTCTAAGTCCGCGGGGGCCCAAAGGTGTCTGTCAGGGCGAAAGTCATTCTCAGCTATTTGAAAGCCACCAAAGCGCCACTTCGCCTGGACCGATGCCCAATGCTGTGGTTGTGCGGACGGAACGATCGTCCCCGCTGCCCTAGCTCCAGGTTGTTTGACGATCATTTGACGATCATGGAACAAGAATAGCTGCAGCATTCGCTTGCCCCTGCTTGAAGTCGCAGATGATCAGCTTGCGTCGGATGGCTTCCGTGGTGTAGCGGATTGACGGGACAGTGGCTTGCGTTGGTATCTATTGCGGGGACGTGGGAGTGAACAGTGGAAGCGGGAGAAGGAGATGGTTCAGGACTGTCCATTCGCTCATACGGGTATCATATCATGGATCATTACATTACCAAGAACCACAAACGCCTTCCCACTAGTAAGAAATCCAGCCATGACAGTCTCTAATCCAGTGCCAGCTACCTCGATGCATCAGCAAGAACCCAGCGATTCCTGTCATCTTCCTCAACGATGCCTTCTTCCACCAGATAGTCATGCAGATCGTAGTCGTCCTTCCAGGCGCTGGGGTCGACAGGATCTCTGCCCTCCTTCTTGACTACCTCCATGTGTTGCCCGATATGCTCCATGCGCTCGTCCCAGCTGCGGAAAGAGCATTTGCAGAAGCTGCACCCACTCTTCTCAGGCAGCGATCGAATCTTCTGATAACATCGATTCGCAATTGCGGTGCCCTCGCAGCCCTGGGGAGCTTTCTTGGGAGACCGTGATCCTGAAGACTTGGGTGTCTCTTTCTTGTTCTCGGTGACATCCGTGTGCATACGCTTGACGTGTTGGAGGAACAGATCCTTGCGGTTGAAAGTGTTCAGTCCGTCTTTCTTGTCGCACATGTCGCAGCACCAGCGACCGGGGCGCATGTGTTGGGTAAAGACGTGCCTGTGCTGTGTTAGATCGAAAGCATTATACAGGGACGACGGTACACCTACCGCTTCCATTCATTCTTGGACCCGAATGCTGACGTACATTCGTACCGTGCCAATGCGCACAAAAAGGGTCGGTTCGCTGCCGCGTCGACGGTCGCTTGTTGCTTGCTTGAGGCCTTCGCGCTTGACGACGAAGTCTTTCTCGGCGTGTTTGGTCTCTTCGCGACTTTCGAGGACGAGGTCGGAGACGTCGCTACACGACTCGAGGAAGTCCGGCGTCTGTGGATGTTGGGCGACTCGGGACGAATGGAACGTGGACGGGAGGCAGCTGGTGGAGCGGTGCTTGCATCGTTGTGCGCGTCCATCTCTCTGTCTTGCGGCTGATACCCTTCTTCTGGAACCTGGTTGAAGTAGTTGTGGCCATCGTCGAACACGATCTGATTTGGCTGACTATCGTGCGCAAATTGAATGCCATGCAACGCGAAGGGCGTCACGGTGGTCTCAAGGGGACTTCCGAAGAGGCCGCCACCGAAAGACGGTGGCATCGCATCGAGATAGGCGGAGTGAGGCGAGTACTCCGCAGCACTGGGACCGGGTGAGGACAATGGAGTGCTATGTCTGTCGCTCCATGCGCTGCTCAGGTCGGCCGAAGAGGGTCCACTGTTGCTTGGTGACGACATGCGTTGCTGGTCGTGGCTACTGTACGTAGCCAGCGGTGGTAGTTGTTGGCACCCGGCCGGTTCCTGGAGCATTGGTGGTAGGTGTAACGGCTCCCGAACGTAAGACCAAGGTCCATGGGGCTCGAAGACGTAGCGGTCCACAGGCGCGATAGGGTATGCCCCGAAAGCGATGTCCGCAGGATGTGCGTTGCGGTGATCAATCGTTGGACCAAGCTGCCACTCCTCTGAATCATACAAGCCAAACGTTCCCCAGGTACGTTGTTCACGATAGACGTCGTTGTTGATGTAGTCCATTGTGATGGTGCGATTCGTCGAGGGCACGTTGAGTGTCGCGTCAGCAAACGAAGGCGGTCTGTTGTTGCTGAGCTCTCAATGGGAGGAGTGTGATGTACACCAATGTGTTCTTATGCGATAGTTGGAATCGTTGAAAGAAAGTCAAAACTTCACCATATCGCGACGGTGATTCGAGGACGCACAAGAGCGGGCGGTGCGCGGCGAAGCAAAGCAAACAATGCCTCCACGCAAAGTATCAATAGAATGGTTGTCGTTTTGAGTGGTGAAGGCGGAGTCAAGGATAAGGTATAGGTACAAAAGGTGGCTCGAGTATGCAGTGCCGTCGACAATTATGTTCGTGTGAACGAACAGACATTGGCAAAACCATCCGCAGGCGACGGGTTTATGTGCAACGAGTGCGACCTTCCAGGCATATTGTGTCTGCAGAGCCGCATTCGTCCAGCAGCCCACGCAGTCGGTTGATCCTGTCTCGCAAGCAGGCGATCAGTGGGCTCGTGCACCCATTCCGGTGAGGGTCATACGCGCAGCGGGCGAATAGAGCTCGCTGATTGCTCGCTTGCTCTCGATCGGGATGTGCTTGACCAGGGGCATATCCAAAGAACGGGACGGTGGCGTCTGGCGATGCCCTTTGCATCCAGGGCTCTGTGTCTTCTCGCGAGCTGTGGGAGATTGCGGGTGTGCCCCTCGAGCAGCATGATTAGCGCAACGCACCATTCTACGCAGGCAACGTAACGGGAAGCGGCTTGCATGTGCACTTCGCCCAGCGGCGGACCAGTCCAGGCACTAGCTCGAGGCACATTGGATCGATCGAGGCCGAGCTCAGCGTGGTTCGTCCCACGGGATGTCGGCAGGAAGCTTGTCTCATCGACAGCGCTGAGGTCGCCCTGTGTCACCCTGAGCTGGCGGCCTCTAATGTGTGCATCCGCGGTCGAGAGCATGACCGGTCGAACGCCATGATAATGCACTTGGTCCACCGCCATTGGTCCGTGTTATGCCTTAGGATTGTGTACATGTACTTTGCAACGACGCGAGAAGGTCAAACTTGCATGTTGGGGGTGTTGGAATTGGAGACTATTCAAACTCAGCCCCCACACAAGCACGGCACCGCCCCGAAGCGAGGCACCGGCGGCTGGAGTAGATTGCATTAAGGTTGCCTTCTTTGCCTTCATGTTGTTCGTGAGTTTCAGATGACGCGAATGACAACACATCAACCGGTGTCGGTCTTCTGTCGAGATGACGAACAATTGGACTACTGTTCCTTCTTCGTCCTAACATCCGACAACATCATTACTCGCTCCCCAACGCAATGCATCTTTGAGCACACTTGGCGAACTTCAGCCCAGTCCAATTGTTGCAGGCATACACGAATATCTGTGTGATTTTGTACCGCACGGACTTCAATATATTTTGGCGCAATGATGAGATGTTTTGCGCGATTCTCACACGCGCCGTTGCTTGGTGCGGCCGTACAACCTGTCTTATCCGCCTGCATGAACCAAATCCTTCCGTCACACACTGCTCATGGCCGTACTACAACCTTGACGCAATCTTGTAATGCTCTCCATCTGGCAGGAACCAATTGGCAATCTGATCAGCCCGCTCCTGCTGAATCGCCGCACCATCCCTTACGGCTCGTCCGTCGTTTAAGAAAGCCGATATCTCAAAGTCGGCGTGTTTCTCGGCATCATACCCATAGCACTCTTGCACACATCCAGGATCACCGTAAAGGTTCGGACTCCTCATGGGTACCTCGCCTCGCAATTCTGGCTCCATCTCCTTGTCCCGAGCTTCCTGCGCGGGTCCATCCGGTAGGTGCCAGATCCAGCCGTTTAGGAAGGACACCTGCTGCTTGTAGCTGGCCTTGGGCATCCTGCCCTTCTCGTAGAGAGTGACGGCATCTCCAACCGTCGCTTTGCCACCAATCACCAGACTGAGACATCGGGCGAGGAATGCGCCATCTTCCATCGATGTCGCAGCTCCTTGAGCCATGTGGTTGGTCATGGAGTGCGCTGCATCTCCGAGCAGGACAATGTTCTTCTCTGGGCTCGACCAAGATTCAAGCGGGCCTGTGACGAGTAACGGCCATCGAGACACACCAGGTGGTATCTTCTCGATGATTCGCCGGATCCTGGGGTCGTAGCCATCGTACTGTCGTCGGACTTCTTCGAGGTCGACAGGACAGACAGTATCCACCGGCGGGTCCCGGAAATGACTCAAGACCATGTTGAAGTCTTTTGCGTCTGATATTGGATAAGAGACTGAGACGTCGAGTCAGCAAGGGCACGTCCTAACATCTATGTGACAACTCACTGATATATCCCGTAGGAGCCATCCACACCTCCATCGTCTTAATCAAGTTCCCATTCTCATCTTCAACAAGTTCTCTCGTCAATGGATCTTTCCGAACCTCCTCATACGGCACAATAGCTCGAAACGCACAGTTCCCCGTTGGTGGCCGAGGTTTCACCTCTGGAAACAAAGTCCTTCGTACAATCGATTGAACGCCATCAGAACCGATGACAAGATCAAACTCAAACTCCCGACCCTTCTCCGTCTCGACTGCAACTTTGCCAGTCTGCAGTCGATCAAGCTTCGAGACTCTGCTGTCAATCAAGATCTCGACACCACTTTGCCGTGCGACCTCAACAAGACCGTTGTGCAGGTGGTGGCGATGGACAAGCCACCAAGGTGATCCGGTGGCTTCTTCGACCCGCTGGATCTTGGTGTAGCCGATTTTGGTGCCGTCTTTGCGTCGCATGTTGAGTTCGCTGAATCGGACGAGGTCGTTGCCGATGACTTTGTCGATTCCGTAGCGTATCAGCAGTCGGGAGACATTGGGAGTCTGGGTGATATATCAGTGTTATCCAAGGCGATATGGAAGGTGATGACTAACCATCTGTATGCCAGCGCCAATCTCGCCGAGCTGCTGTGCCGCCTCTAGGATAGTGACTCTCCCACCAGCTCGCACGATAGCGATTGAGCAGAGTACACCGCCAATGCCAGCACCCACGATACCGACGTGCAAGTCGTTTGTGGGCATGTTGAGGTGGATGTGTACCGCAGGCACTCAGTTAGTGTTGTCGACTTGTCAAATTTGGCAGTATTGCGTATTGCAAAACGAAGATGGTGAGCCGTTCTTATCTGCGTAAACAATCAACCGATTGTCCCACTAGAGAAAGTTAAGAAGTAGGCAATGATTGATAAATTAGAAATGGAAGAATGCAATGGAGGCTTCACGAAGCTCTTCTTATTGCCGTGCAATTCACGAGCAGCTCATCCGTGGCGGGAGCCGTTAAGGTGCGTGCCGTCATGGGGGAAGCCGGTAGCTGTGTTTTCGTGCATGTCCACGATCTCACCCCGCACGGATGATGCAGCAGGTTCCTAGACGGTGGTGAGAGACAAATGAGGAAGGTGGAAGTCGAGCTTATGGTTGGAAGATCCGATGACCGAGTATTCTGCGAAAACAGACCCCAACTGCCTTTCCTAAGCATCGGCATATCTCTGGCGAGGTACTAACAGGTACATAGGTACATCCGTCAGTAGAACGACGGGCAAGAATCATACCTAAGCCATCCCACCACTCAACAACGGATTAGCCGGATACATCGCCATCCCCGTCCAGAAAGGCCTGTCCTCCATAGTGCCGTATTCGAACTTCTGCAGCACTTTGCCAGTGCGTACGTTGATGACAATGATCACGTTCGCAGGCCCCGTCAGCATGTAAAGCTTCTCGCCATCCAGTACCGCATCAAACCCTCCTTCCAAGCTTTTGTCGTACTTGATGAACCCCTCGAGCATGCCGGTAGAGTCAATCTTGCCTACACTCGGAGTGACGGAGTTGATGTCGTAGTAGGTATCGGTGATGGACGACCACACGGCCCAACAGCTCGCTGCGAAGGATGTCGAGTTGACGACTTCGAGGGCGGACACTTTGTTTGTCGCATAGTCCAGCGAGACAAGGACGCCTCCGAATGACGCTTCGGTGATGTAGAACTGTTCCGGGTTGTTTCCGTTGAACGCAAAGCCGAACGGTATCTGGATGGGATCGACCCTGTTGTCGGTGGCAGTGGCTGCAACTTCGCCAGTCTCGTCAACGTCAAAGACGGAGATGTGGGCCAGGGTCGTGGTGGGCTTGTTGCGGCCTTTGAAGACGCTGATGAGCTTGGTTGAATCAATGGAGAATTGCAGATCAGAACCTGTGCGCGCGTAAGGAAACCTGTCAGCAGGTGTCTGATACGGTGAATCAGGAAGGCCGTATATGGGTGGTTTGAGCCTAACAGGACGATGTGAATGACTTGCCGGATCCTGCGCGACCACCAAGCTGAACAGGTGTGGTAGAAGAGTAGCCGAATTCCCGCAGACCCATGCCATCGGGCACTAGGCCTCGCTCAGGGTGGACACAAAAACAGGCAACGCCATTGATTGCTCCTCCATTGAGTACACAAGCTAAAGATATGATGAGCGAGCGTTTTGGTCATGGTGGAGTGGCTGTGTGCTTACCTTTTTGGTGCTTGGATGAATATGCAACGGCCATAGCGAACTCTCCAAGGGTAGGCACAGGACCTCCAACCACTAGAAAGCATCATCAGCATTTCTGTCGAGACTTTTCTTGCAGGCGAAGGACCTACTGGTAAGCTTGAGTGGGTCGGTCGGATCGATCTCAAACATCACGGCAGTATTGGAGCCCGAATTGACCGTGAAGAGATACTATCTGGTGTTAGCTCTGTCGGCGTCGCTCGTGAATAGCCATACTCACATCATCACTGACAACCACCGACGACTGGCCTTGGAGTGGGTCGAAGGGGACTGGAGCCAAGTCCGGATCCGTAGCATTCTGGGATTGTAGTCCCATGCCATTGGTGCTGGTAACGCTCGTTCGATCCTTGAGCTTGCCTTTCCCACCAACATCGATCGCAACGACAGAGCCTCCGGCAGGGTCGACACGGAGGAAGTACACCGCTTTTCCCCCTTTGCTCCCACCAAGACCATGCTGTCCAGAAGGGAAGGCGAAGCAGGCTGACGATAGCAACGCTCCTAGGAGCAGAGTGAGACCCTGCATTGTAGATCAAGATGAAGCGAGTGGTCGGTCGTAGTCAAAGAGCTGACGACGCTTGAAGAGAGAATGGTAGTGGATAAACTGGAATGCTGCCCTTCTGGATTTCAGCGACTCGAAGGTCTCTTATATCCATGTCTCCGGAACCACGGCACCTTTCGAGAGATGGCCCATTCCGTCCGGACATAGCATCCCATCGGTGGCTACGGTACTGGTGATTGAAGGACGCCTGCTCAAGGGAATTGACCCACGCGCTGGCTGTTGCCGGGAAGGCATGATTTGCAATTGCGAAGGCCGGCCTACCAGGAGGTGTCGCAGGCTGTGGTCTCTTTCCAAGGTGGCCTTCGGAGTGTGTATGTTGTGGAATCAACACACAGCCTTCCCCTCGTCCTAAGTGCCAGCTTGGACCCGAATCCTCCACGACCAAGGGTGGAATCACCTCTTCCCGATTAAGCAAGTCACGTGCGAAGGCGTCTAGAGAGCGATGATCCATTCTTGCAAAGATGAACTTTGGAGGGTCTCCAGATTGTCCGTTCCAACCACCTGACATTGTGTGGAATCAGGGATCCTGCAACCGTGGTTGTCCAGCGGATGTTCGACTATCGCTCATCGCCATAGATCGGGAGCTGTAGATTGAACGGAGCGGCCGACTGAGATCCCTCCAGGATTGTAGCTCATGGCGGCGATGTTAAGTAGGTGTTGATCAGCCGTGTTTGTCTTGAGCATATAATGAGTCGTGGTCGAAGAACTGGAGTAAGAAACAAGTTGCATGTTCCCCTGTCAGCACGTGATCTCGGAAGACATTGTTTACCGGCCGTATTCCTGGAGGCGCAACTCTCTTCTCGTCCTTCCACCATTCCACGCTGAAGCCGAACAGCTGGTTGTGACGACCGAGCGTTCACAGAAAATTACCCATTGGAGGATGATATCCGTCCCCTGATCACACGGCAGTGGAACGGCTAATCAGAAAGGTGATGATGATTGCCTAGCTTGAACAATCGAAGCTCCCAGGACGCCGCGAGATCCGCCTTGGAGGATGTGCAGCGAGGGGCTGCTGCGAAATCGTGTGTGAATGAGGATGGAACCTTGATCATAGGCGGTAGGTTTATGAGTGAAGTCTGTGAGCATACTACATTGAAAGTACCTTAGATCTACGTTCCATACTCTTACCACTTCTCAAAACACGTCCTTCAGGTACGAGAAGCTGGAGGAGTTCAAGCAACCCACCATGACGACCGAACGCATCCAGTCTTCGACGAAAGAAACGAGTGGTCGCGTTCAAACCTCAACGAAAGAAGCATGGTCGAAAACGAAGCTGCGCAGCAAAGACTGGTGGAATCGCGTTGGCGACCCTTCTCTTGAAAAGGCCACCAACAAAATAGGCGCAGAGACTTTCTGGCCAACTTCCCTCGACCGCGAATCGCAGAAAGCTGCTCGAATACTGCGAAGCTTCTGCATCGATGGATTCACGGCACAGGACGCTAAAGACCTCGGGGGAAGTAATGTCGATGTTACGGAAATACAGCTCATGAAGATCCCGACTGAAGTGAGTGTTGTGTAATACATTCCAGTGTTGCTGAGATGGTAAAGCAACATTTGCTAAGAGGGACAAGGTCATTCGCGAGTGTAAAGGACTAGCCATCTTCACCGTCATCCGAACCGGCTTCTTGTCCTCGAGATCTGGAGGAAGCGGTATCATCGTGGCTAAGCAACCAGACGGCAAATGGTCGCCTCCATCTGGGATTGTTATCACAGCTCTAGGTATGGGCTTTCAAGCTGGCGCCGACATATACGACTGCGTTTGCGTGATCGAAAACGACGACGGCATGGATGGCTTCCTTAAAGCACGCACCACTATGGGTGGTGAAGTCGGTGTTGCCGCAGGCCCCCTCGGTGGCGGTGCCATTGTCGGTTCTGAAGTTCACAAACGTCAGGCGCCGGTCTTGACGTATACAAAGGGTCGAGGGCTGTACATGGGCGTGCAAGTGAAGGGGACCGTCATCGTGGAACGCTCTAGCGAGAACGAGCGATTCTATGGCGTCGAAGACGTGAAGTGCACCTCAATCCTCAACGGAGAGGTACCACCTCCATCTGACTCTATTGAAGAGGTCGGCCAGCTCTGGGAGACGCTCAAGGCAGTGCAGGGCGACCCGCACGACAAATCCAAACTTCCGCCATCCAAGGATGCACCCGACGACCGTGAGCTCGAGGTGCCAAAGGAAACAAGCCAGGCAGAATACGATGATATTGGCATGTGCCCCGAATTCTCTGATGAGGAGAAGCGTGCAGGGCAGGCATCTTGACAGCGCTGCATGGTGTTGTCTGATGTCTGTGGCATATCTGTGCTTTCACCGGGTGGTAATAGCATTCTCCCGGTGCTGGTAAAGGATGTGGATAGGCATAGATACGATAGTTGCATTCTCTTCTCAGTGTTGGGTCTCAACTTCGCTTGCTAACTTTTGCAATCGCCTGTTAAATGACCTGACTTCCTTTGACTACCAGACTCTGCTTGGTGACAACGCAGCACGACCAAACGGTGACCATTGCGCTGGCTCTGAGACACTCAACTATGTTTGCAAGACAGGTCGACACAACGGAAGTGCGATAGGTATTGACAGATGGTAGAGGACAGGAGCGTGACCTCGTGTCTTGCCGCGATGTTGATGCTTTCTTGGCGTTGAGTGCCGCCATCGCCGACGATTGGTAATCTTTGCAGTTGCAGTCATCGATATCTCTGTGTCTTATCAATTCCATCTTGCTTTCATCTGTTGTGCTTTCTTGGTCGTGTTATCTACGGAGACTGGTGCGGCGCTGGGTACACAGGCGCATTGGACGGAACTACTGGGTACTAGAAGGATACCAACCGAGACATACTGGCTTTACGTTGACCAAGGATCCATTCATCACGACCAGGACGATCTTCAACTAGGTGATGGACTAGATACCATCTCAGACTGGACTTTGAACTCTCAAACGTGATCCCAGCAAGCCTTGCACCGCTTGGATCGAACTACCACGCGGCATGCCGGAAGACGAAGCGCACCTGAACGGCCACTCGAAAAGGCTATCCGATGAGAGAACACCGCTCCTCAAGCACCCCCCACCACCGGCAACCTCCAACGCAGCCCCGGAAGCACTCGACGCTGATCAAGCCCAGAGCTCGCCACCAAGTGATGGCCACACAGGCCCCAATCAATCCCTCACCTGGATCCGTGGTATCGTTGTCACGCTCGCACTAGGCTTCCTCATCTTCCTCCAAGCAACAAACATCTCGCTTCTCACCACCACCCAAAGCGCTATCGCCGGCGAGCTAGACGCCTTCGAGAAGACGACATGGTTCACCTCCGCCTACCTCATCGCCATGAGCGCGCTGGGTCCACTCAACGGCAAACTGGCGTCAGTTTTCAGTCCGCGCGTCTGCATCTTCGCTTCCACGGTGGTGCTCGCGATAGGAAGTCTGCTGAGCAGCGTTGCCAATTCCTTCGAAACCTTCATCGCCGGGAGAAGTTTGACTGGTGTCGGGGCTAGCGGCATCTTCACCATCTCCATCATCATCGTGCTTGAGCTCACGGGCTCGAAGAACAGGGGCCTAGCGATAGGCGTGCTGAACTCTGGCTACACCTGTGGTGTCGCTGTCGGAGCGACAGCTGCAGGCGCATTACTAGGTCCGATCGGGTGGCGAGCGCTGTTCTGGATGCAGGCACCAATTGCACTCGTTGGAGGCACGCTGTTACTTCTCGCCATCCCTAGCGACTTCACGAGCGGCAAGAAAGAAGTCAGCGATGAAGAAAGCAACGTGTGGCAACGCCTTGCTCGACTGGACTACTTCGGTGCCCTCACGCTAACAGCATCCATCGTCCTACTGCTCTTCGCCCTCTCCTCGCCACACAAGATTCCAATCTTGCCCATCATACTCTCAGCAGTCGTTCTGGTCACGTTCGTCCTGAACGAGGTGTACCTGGCCTCAGATCCAGTCATCCCCATTGCGCTTCTCAAATCTCGCGGCCTCCTACTCACCTGCCTCGGGACTGTAGGGTATATGATGGCGCGCTGGTCGGTCCTTTTCTACGCCCCGACCTACGCCCTTGCCGTCCGCCAATGGACGCCTGCGACAGCCGGCAGCATCCTCATCCCCACTAATGGCGGCTTCGCCATCGGCGGGCTGATGGTGGGCTGGTTACACATCAGGCGGAAGGGATCGTTCTACATTCCGTCGGTTGTGGTCTATGCTCTATTCCCTGTCACACTCGTGGCGTTGGCCGCTTTGTCGACGGAGCTCTCTAGCCCAGTGCTGTATGTGCTCGTGGTGTTTGCTTGCGGAGCGGTTACTGGAGCGGCGCTAAACTACAACCTTGCACATCTCCTTCATCTGACACCGAGCAGCACGCACTATATCGCCACCTCGCTACTAGCTACTTTCAGAGGCTTCGCTGGCTCCTTCGGCTCTGCGATCGGTGGCGGGCTCTTCCAGCGGAAGTTGTATACTTCGCTCACGGACGGCTTCGCTGAGGAAGGTCTGCGACACAGAGAAGATTTAGTCCGAAGACTGCTGGGCTCGCCTGCCTTGGTCGAGCAATTGGGCGGCGCGGAGAGAGAAGTTGCTATACGTGGCTATGAAGATGCGCTTAGGACGTTGTTCCTAGCGGGAGCGGGATTGGCGTTGCTCACGGTGTTTGTCCAGGCTGGAACTGGGTGGCGTGCTGCGAAGGAAGAGAGCGAGGTGGTGCCTGTTCCAGCAGAGGATCGGCGAACATCGACACGAGATGATGATGAATGATGTAGTAGTAAAATCTGTACACATAGCAATAGAAGATAGAAGAGCTTCCGCGCGGAAGAGAGATAGCTACAGCTGTACAAGATCATATCAACAACCAGATCATCCATAGATCATAACGCCTTGCTCAATAATCAACTCTCCACTGCACAGCAGTCCCATATCGACAGGTCATCTCACATCTACAACTCAGCGCAACCCTCTACGCCTTCCGCTTCCTCATGCCAACCTTCAGCCCCAACGGCTTCCGCAAGAACCCTTCTCTCGTCTCCAGGTGGTCCTGATACAGCTCAAACTCGTATCGTCGGAAGACCGTCGAGACGATCAGAGCGAGCTCCATCTCCGCCACGTTGCGACCGACGCAAGCTCGTGGGCCGTAGGAGAAGGGGATGAAAGCTTGCTTTTGCCTGCGATGGAGTCAGCATGGGCGAGTGGTGAAAGAAGAGAGGAGTTGAGGCGTACTTCTCAGTAACCTTTTCCCACCGCTCAGGGCGGAACTCATCGGCATCTTGGCCCCAAATCTATAGCGCAAACTTGTCAGCAATCTTCATACCGGAGGTCTAATTTCGAATACTCACCTCCTTAGAATGATGCATAACATAAGCCGGCACACTCAACACCACCCCCTGCGGGAAATGATGACCCGCCAACTCCACCCCCTCCCCCGGCGGCACCACCCTCGGCAGCCCTTGGCTAGACGTACTATGAATCCTCAACGTCTCCTGGATAACCATGTCCATGTACTTCAGGTCCTTCACCTGCTCGTACGTCGGGACGTCGTTGCTCGGCAGCGCCTCGTCGAGCTCTGCTTGCAGCTTCCTCACGACTTCCGGGTGCGCGAGGCAGTGGTAGAGCAGCGCGCACGAGGTATTAGACGTCGTGTCCGAGCCGGCGATGAGTTGTGTCAGGGCTTCGGCGGTGAGTTCGGCCTGTCCGAGTTTCTCGCCGTTCTCGTCTTTGCCTTCCATGAGGCGGGCGAGGAGATCCACGCGCTCAATGTCGCCCTTTTCTGCGGCCGCCAGCCGCTGGTTGACTCGTGCGATGGCGATGCCAGCGAGGTTCTGCACGGCTTCGATTCCTTTGCTGAAGAACGGATCCGGGAGATGCTTCGCGTACGGCTTCAGCCACGGCATACACCCCAACGCATTCGAAACCTCTCCCCTCCGATTCAACACCTCAATCGCGGGAGCAGTCTTCGGCGGCGAATCAGGCGTCAACTGCACCTCCGCCTTATCCTCGCCCCTCTCTAACATCCCAAAAGGCGCCCCAAAGGCCAAGTCGCCGATAATATCGAATGCGACATAATTGAACCAATGCAGTGCGTCGAACTTATAAAACCCCCCATCCGCCTCTTTACTAAACCGATCCCACTGCGAAGCCAACAATTCCAGGTTATGATGGATATACTGCTCAAACTGCCCAATGCTCTTTGCACTAAACGTATGCGACACCGTCTTGCGCTTCCTCGTATGTTCCGTCCGGTCCCGGGTATTGAACAGCCCGCGCTGGATCGAGACGAACGCATCGTAGTACTCTGACTTTAGGAACCCCGTTCCATGCCCGTAGATGACGGGGATAGCGTCCGGGTCGGCAATGGAGACCTGGTTCGGCGTGACTCGCACCAGTTTGCCGTACTTCTCGTGGCATTTGTGGACGGTAAGGTAGCGGCGGCAGCGGCGGCATTCGTACATGTACCAGAGGTTGGTGAATTTGGCGAGGAAGGGGCCGGGGACACCTTGGATGGACCAGTTGCGAATGTAGGGGAGGAGGAAGAAGAGGAAGGGGAGGGCCAGGAGGGCCCAGGGCGTGAAGAGGACGGATAGGAACATCTTGCCGGATGGATAAGGATACTGGAAGAAGGATACGAGAGCCGTCCGTAGCAGTGAATGGTGAAGATCAACGCATACTCATATACACCTCGCCATCTCACCTCAGCCCAGTACCGGCGTGGTAACCGGAAGTCTATAGCAAGGACGAAACTCGCCCACTGCACCGAAGATTCCTCAGAGTCGCTGCACCGACTAACCCACAATCGCGACGGCGTGAGTGGGGGAGGAGAGGTGCCCCGCAAGTGGCTTGAACAAAGTGACGAGCGAACGGGCGGAAGAGCGAGGCGGAGCGGTCATGGCTCGGGCTTGGCTGTCGTGTGCGAGATATCACCGATGCTGCCTCCCGGATGTGAGTTACGGGATATTTATCGAGCTGACTTCCCTACCTATCGAGCTGGCCAGGCGCGAGGTAAGTGCATACAGTTGCTTTTGGCTTGCCAATGCGGATGGCACCGGACAAGTGCGTCTTTCAGACCTAGGCGTCGTCTACCTTGAACCGCGACTACGCGTGGATGTACAAGACCCCCAGAAGCAATGCGATGTTTGTTCAGTCGTACAGGTCCTCCCCATCCCCGTCCGCATTCACAGCCTCCTGACGCACCTCCCGGACTTTGCCCTTCCCCTTGCCCTTACTCGAGACCGGCCTGCCAGGCCCATCAATCGCCAACTTATCCGTCCTAACAACGAAATCATCCTCCTCACCCGGCCCCCCACCATTGACCTGCCTTGCACTCTCGGGCCGACTGCCACCGTTCGGAAGCGCAGGCCTCCCATTAGCCTCCCCTCCATCCGCCTTCCCATCCCTATCCTTCACCCCCTCAAAACTATTCCTCACCCGCTCATAATGCCCCAACTCCTCCAAACTAACACTCGGCACCAACTCCCTCCTCGCCTCCGCAAAGTCCTCCTCCACGACCTCAATAGAAGTATCAGCGTCTGAAGCATGATGATCAAAGAACCCCGCCACAGTGATAGCGCCCTGTCCGCGCTTCGAGCGCTCTTTGTTGATAGCCGCCACGCGTGAGTCGACGGCGCGGGCGGAGCGCGTGATGGCTTTGAGCATGGCGTCGGAGCAGAGGGCGTAGAGGTCGGCGCCGGTGAAGGTGAAGGGGAGGGCGGAGGCGACGTTGGGGAGGGAGAGGGAGGGGGAGAGTGTGAATCTAGATCGCTTCGTTAGCATTTTACCATGTCACAAGATTGGGTAGGAAGAGGTGGACGCACTTCCTCGTCAGCGCCTGCAGAATCGTCGCCTGCTTCTCATGCGTATCGCTGATCCCCAGATACAACATCTTGTCAAACCGCCCCGGCCTGAGCAAAGCCTGATCCAGCAGATCCGGTCGATTCGTCGCGCCGATCACGAACACCCCACCGCCGGTGTCCTCACCATCGCTCATCCCATCCAGCTCCGCCAAAAGCTGTGAGACGATCCGATCCATCACCCCACCACTATCCCCCTGGTTCCCACGTTTAGGCGCCACAGAGTCCAGCTCATCAAAGAATACGACGCACGGCCTTGCATCCCTCGCTCGCTGGAACACTCGCCGCACGTTCGCTTCCGACTCGCCGATATACATATTCAACAACTCCGGCCCCTTGACCGAGAAGAAGTTGAGACTAAACTCCGTCGCAATAGCTTTCGCCAACAACGTCTTGCCCGTCCCGGGAGGCCCGTAGAACAAAATCCCGCTCCTCTTCTTCAGTCCCTTAGCGAAGAGTTCAGGACGGGAGAGGGGGAGCTGGATCGTCTCGATCACAGCGTCCTTGACGTTCGTCAGCCCTCCGACGTCAGACCACTGGACGTTCGGGATCTTCGGAGCGCCGATGGAGTCGGCGAAGTTCTTGCGCGCGAAATCGACCGCTTCGTCGAAGTCGGCGGCGATGAGGGAGGTCGCTGCTGCGCCGCCTGACAACGTGATGTCTTTGGTCGTGATGACCTGGCCTGAGGTTCGTGAGGTGGAAGCGGCCAGTTGCTCGATGCGTGCGTTCCTGGCTACAACGGCGCGGTCGACGACGTCGACGAGATCTCCTGCTACCAGCGCGGCGGTCTTGACGGCTACGGCCGCGAGGTCGACGTCGGAGGCTACGGGCATACCGATGCTGTTGACCACGTTCTTCAAGATACCCTCTCGCTCCGCCTCGTCAGGGGCCGTCATCTCGATCTCGTGCGTGAAAAGACCTCGCACGGAGTCTGGCAGTTTGTCTACATCTGTCGTAGTAGCGACCAACACCCGACAGCCTTCGAGGACATTCTTCAGCGACGCAGCCACGCGGTCCGAGTTCAGCGTCTCAAGATGCTGGACACAAAGCGCAGTGAACTCCGCACCACACTCCAAAGCACGGTCGCAGCGGGCCTCAAAGAGACCTTGCGCCCCTGTGTCGAAGCCAGAGCCGCTTTCCGAGACTATGTCGTATGCGTCGATGGCGAAGTAGTGCATGCCGAGCTCGGCGCAGGTGGTCCGCACAGTGGTAGCTTTCCCAATGCTCCGCTGCGTCGATGTGAGTAAGAGGGCCAGCGGCGGGAGTCCGAGGTGCACGGCTCGAGGACTCGTGGAGACGGAGAAGAGCTCGCGTACTCGGCGTTGTAGATTCGAAGTGTATGGCGAAGGCTGCTCTGGGAGTCCCGGTGCGCCTGAAACATTTGTCGAAGGTCGCGAGCTGTGATTGACGACGTGCATGTAGTACGGCCAAGTGTTGTTGCTCGTAGCTGGCAGTTTCCGGTGATCGTCACCAGACTGCCGCATAGTCATCTTCATCGGGTCGATGGCGGCTACACCACCCCAACCATCAGCGCCGTCGACCATCTCGCTTTCGTCTTGCTGTGCCGTCACATCTTCGATCGAGAACCAGGCCACGCTCGTCGAGCCACGCACACTGTCCTGCGCATCGCCAGTGTTCCACCTTGACAGCATCTCGTTTTGAGAAGAGCCCTCCTTTTCTGCTTCGCCTTCGTACATTGAGCGGCCGAGCGATTCGTCGATCGGTACGGCAATGAGATCGCCAGCCTTGAGAATGCGTTGCTTCCGCTCAAAGTATTGCTTCAAGCTTGCAAACAGCGCATTGTCCAGCGCTCGCTCCGTCGAGAGTGGTGTGACGACCTTCCGAAGCGTCACTTCAGACGCAGTGGGAGGCATCCGTGACGACACAGAAGTAGGTCGAGGTGTCGCAGGTCGCTTCAGATTTTGCCGTTTGTTCATCGGCAAAGGCGAAAGCGTGACATTTTCCGATCCGTTGAGATTTGCGAGCAGGATCGGAGAGAGGTAGATCGTAGGCACTGCGCCAGCAGCTGTTGCAAAGGACGATATGCTGTCTCGCCGCCCACCTCTTGGGTTCACTTGATACCTTTGGGGCTTCTTAGACATGCTTTCTGGCAGACTGTAGACCTTGACGGGTCTCCAAGGCTGGCTCAGTGAGCCTTCGAAGCCACCAAATGCACTCAGCTGCGGCAGGAAGTGGCTTTCTGTAGGCTCGATCTTGGCCCAGTCGCCTGAAAAGCAGCCCAACTTAGCCAGTGTGGTAGAGTCGACGTACACTCGCGCCTCCTCGTCTTCGTCCGGTGGTGGTCTCGGGTGTAGCAGTCCGTCTGGTATCTTCTCAAGCAAGCCTTGAGTGTTGAAAGCTCGGCTTCTTACCGGTTGCCCGCCTCTAATGGTGGTCGTAGTAACGTGCGAGTATACAGAGCCGGGAGTACTAATCCCAGTCATCAACCCGAACGGCCTAGGTGTCATGGACATCAGTGCTGAAGCTAGACCTGAGGGCTGATCGGACAGCCCTGGCTTTGCAAGCGAGATCATGTCATCGTCGTCATCTGAAAGATTGCTGTCTTCTGCACTCGAATCGAACAAATCTTCTGAGTTCGACATATCCGTAGCTGACTTGGAGATCACGACTGGCTTCGCGGGTGAGTTCTCTTCAGTAGCTGAGTAGAATTGTTCTGACACATCGTCGTCCTCTCCATCTTCTTCGGGAAGTCGAGGCGAGATCATAGCTCTGCCACTGAAAGGTACTGGCCTCTTCTCCGCAATCGGTACGAGAACAATCTTAGTTGCTGGTGACAGAAGACCTTGAGAGACCGGCTCGCACCCCAGAATCCGAGCAGGAGGTGCGGAGGCATGTGTGACCGGATGTGTAAGCGGCAGAGCCAGTAGGTCCCCCGTATGAGCTACCTGTACAGCAGCTAGCGCATCGTGGACGAGTTGTTTCCTCCGATCTTCCGTAGTCGCAGGTGGCTCCTCTTCATGCGGGCTTGGAGGGGCTGGACTCGCTCGCTTTCCAGCTTTGCGCCCAGCAATACCATTGGTTTGACCAAATCCTCCGGCATATTTCCTCTGAACATTCTCCAGCTTCTGCAAAGCATCTGTGTCGACAGCGACGAATACTGAGTCTAGGGTAAGAGGGACAACATCGCTGATGCGTACCTCCACCGCAACGTTCTGTCTGATGGTTCGGTTCGGGAACAACGTCTGCACTACGTTGACGAAGCTCTGTGTGCCTAACGCAGAGGCAGGGAAGCGAATTGTAGAAGCAGGTAGAGGTCGCTCGTCCTTGGTCGTCCTTCGAAAGGGTAAGACTGTCCATTCCGAGCCAGAGGGTGTCGGATCCGGTGTCCACGGTGCCAGAGCGGCATACACCTCCCCTCCTGTAGCTCCCTCCCGACTGGGATACAAGTCCTGCAGCAAGTCTTCCGACAGCACACCAACCTCGCCCTTGAGGTTGCTGTCCAAATATAACCTCGCGGAGATTGCTGGCTTGTCTGCTCTTCTCCTCCGCTTCCGCTTCAGAGAGCCAGCCTGCGGGTTCTCGTAGGCCATCTCTTGCTGCTGCTGCTACAATCCAACAAACCCAAAGGGAACGCGTCAGGTAAGACGTCAAGAAAACAACGAAGTATCCGTGAGACAAGCTAGCATTAAAGTGTCGGCAGCCAACGGCTCTTAGTCCGAGCCGAGGTTGGAGTAGATTGGGTTCAGTCAAGCAGGAGCCAGCAGATGGTGCACTCATGAAGACAGAACAATGTGAGAAGGCGAATGGAAAGAAGAGAGAAACCCACCTCACGTCACTTCAGCAAGACTGTCAGCTCACAAGGACCAAGGGTGGCTTGCAGTGCTCGCACTGACACTTGCACGTGAAGTCTCCTCGTACACTGGCAGGTACCTGACTCCGCACTGCAACAGACGGCGCTTGTGGAGCGCGGAAAGGCAGATCGCTCCCGGGGCCAAGACGAAGATGAGAGGCTCCTTTCGCCTGCGGGTGTCGCAACCTTCGTGCTGACTTCCATGCGACATATGCCAGATCCCAAGGACGAGTGATTTTCTGCTCATGTGTGGGTGATATGGATGATGTATCTTATGGCATGTCGGCAACAGACCTGACCAAGCATGAGTGGACCGGCATGCCCGGGTGGGTGGGTTCTCAACCGCCGGGTGATGAGGTCGCGATCAACAGCCATCAGAGACAACGGCAGAGCGACGCCCACTCCTCGCCACACCACCAACACGTGAAGTTATTCCTGTCTGCTGCTTCCTTACACTCCTTTCATCTGCATTCTCCAGTTCTCTCGTGTTCAAGACCCACCAGATGGAGCATTCCCGCTGACTCCGATATGATCGACTGTTTCCGAGATGTCACCGCACGATGATCTCACTGACGCAACTAACCGCCAGACGCACGTACACGAGAAGGAAGACAATGCCATTGAATATGCACACCAAGCAGAGAACCTCGGACAGGGTCGACGGGGCTCAAAGCATGGCGAAAGAGACGATTCGCCTGCTGTCAAGGCGAAATTCGTCACGCCGCTCGACCCTGTGGTTGAGACGGCGGATGGAGGTCGGCTGCCTGTCATACCGGTCGAGGAGGCGGAGAAGCTGAACGAGCTACGGCAGGAGGCAGGTTTGATGGATGAGGAGAGGAACGAATCCAATGGTGCGAACGGGACGAAGAGGATGAACAACAGGCGGCACAGGGAGTCAAACGTGTCGCAAAACGAAGAGCCGGACGCGCCATTGCGCGACGCACTACCACCCTCGAAGACGAACCCATTGTTCCCTCCGTTGCCCATCTACGGACCTCCATCTACAATGCGATCGATACAGGTCGTCTTCTTCCGGATAACTTCCTACGTCTTATCATTCCTGTTTCTGATGGTCATCTTCTTCGGAGCCGTCCTCAATGAGATTCCACGAGTTGTTTCCGACTCGCGCCAACGCGCTATGCTACAGAATCCCACAAAGAAGCGTCCATTCTATGCAGAGGAGGTGCACCGAAGAAAAGAGCGCAGAGCAGCAGAGAAGGAATGGAAGAAACAGCACAAGAACAGGGGGAGGTCAACACCATCAGGCGAGAAAGGCGAGAGTGTACCGCAAGATGGTGCTTTCGTCCTGACTGAAGGCGGACCCGAGAAGCTCACAATGGACGTCGGATACTATGCGCGCCGGGTTGGCTTGGACATGGAAATCTTCGAGGTTCAAACGGAAGACGGCTTCATCATCGAGCTGTGGCACCTGTTCAATCCACGCGACTATCGGAATCGCCCAAGCACGTCTGAGCGAAACATCCATGGCCCGGACGTTTTCGAGGATTCGCGAATCGACTCAGCATACGAACAATTTCCAACAACAGACAAGAAGTACCCGGTCCTAATGATCCACGGCCTTCTCCAAAGCGCCGGCGCCTTCTGCAGCAACGAAGACGACTCCCTCGCCTTCTACCTCGCCAAGTCCGGCTACGACGTCTGGCTCGGCAACAACAGATGCGGCTTCAAGCCCCGCCACACCATGCTCGACTACCGCGACCCTCGCATGTGGGCCTGGAACATCCGCCAGATGGGTGTCTTCGACCTGCCCGCCCTCATCTCTCGCGTCTTGGGCGAAACCGGCTTCCCGAAACTCGCACTCATAGCGCACAGCCAAGGCACCACCGAGACGTTCGTCGCGCTCGCCAAAGAACAGCGGCCCGATATTGGCGAGAAGATATCAGTCTTCTGCGCCTTAGCACCAGCCGCCTACGCTGGGCCTCTGATAGGCAAGATCTACTTCAAAGTCATGCGTCTCATCAGCCCGGCCATCTTCCGCATCATATTCGGCATTCATGGCTTCATTCCCTTCATGCTGTTCGCGCATAAGATACTACCTGCACGTCCGTACTCCTGGCTCGGGTACCACGTCTTCTCGCACCTGTTCAACTGGTCGGACCGCCGTTGGGAGAGGGATCTGCGGGATCGCATGTTCCAGTGCGCGCCGGTGTATGTAAGTAGTGAGAGCATGCGCTGGTGGTTAGGACGGGAGTGCTTCGCGAAGCAGAAATGCATCTTATCCACTCGCGAGGAAGGGGCGCAAGAGGACATGGAAGATGAAGAGGACGATGAGATCGTGAAGCGAATGACCAGGGAGCGAGATCCGCATTTGAATCCACGGAAGCGGTTGCAGAGGAATTTGACGAGTTTTCATTGTGCGACGGAGACTCATACGCATCATGATAGGAACAGGGGCAGGTTTGCTTGGTATAATGAGCAGTTTCCGCCGCTGGCGCTGTGGATCGCTGGGTCGGATGATTTGGTCGATGGGCGGAGGTTGCTGCGTCGCTTTGACCGCGGAAGGGAGCCGCATGTGCGGTTGGTGCATCGGAAGATTATCGAGGGGTATGAGCATTTGGATGTCATTTGGGCTATGGATGCGATCGAGCAGGTCGGGAAGGAGGTGCGGGAAGTTATCTGGCGGACTGTGGACGAAGAGAGCGCGGCAATGTGTCGGGTACCGGTGGGTTGTGGGCGGCCGTTGGCAGAGGAAGTGGATGTGAAAGATGAGGTGCCCATGATGCATTCGGGAGGGCGCACGCGGATGGCGAGTATCAGTGAGGTTGCCGAGCGGGGAATGACTGCAGGCAGCGCTGTTGGCGGCAGTACTGTGGGGACGATCGAGGAGGAGAGCGATGGCGAGGATGAGAAGTTGGGGCGGAGGTTTAGTGAGGCGCCGTTTACGGATCTACAGGAAAAGGGCAACCCGTTGGGATAGATGGTGTCATCTTATGCCGGTATGAGAGACGATTCGACGATACATGCGAGGATAGACGTACATACAAACCAGAGCTGTGCCATTATACCAGGTAAGCAGCAGAACTTCTATTTGTCTGCTTCTCCTAAACAGAAAGGAAAAATATGCCACCGCACGAATTGACCTGAGCTCACGACCAGCCCGGCGCGACGGAGAAGGTGAGGTGAGGTGAGGTCCTATCCCCGGTCACTCCTTCCTCTCTCGTCGCTCCTTCCCCATTCCATTCCATCACCACGCACGTGAAACCACGTATCTTCATCTCCCCTTCTCCACCCTCCAATCACCTCCTCACAAACCCCGAAACACCACCACCCCCTCCCTTTCATTGAGAAGATGCCACCATCAACACCAATAGGTAAGGACATCCCCTCCCCCCACACGCCTTCAGCGCCCAAACAGCAAAGCTTGGCGGGCAGAGCGCGCGTGCTTCGGAGCGAGGACGGCGAGGGGTGGTTTACGGAGTTTTCGCGAGTGGTGGGGGTGAGCGTGCAGTTGCAGGAGGTGTGGAATAGGGCTGCTGGGAGTATGGATGGGGGAGAAGCGGCGGAGGGACAGGGGGAGAGGTAAGTTTCTCCGTTGTTGAGAGGGTGGCGGGTAGGGTTGACGGGGTGTACAGGGGCGCGAAAAGTGATGGGGAGGCGGGGAAGGAGCCGTGCAGGTCGAATGTACCGGAAACGAGCAAGACATACGACGCGAAGATTGACTACACGACTACACCGGCGAAACGAGGCGGCGAAACGACGAGGTCTACGGAACAACAGCCCAAACGCCGCCACCATACAACTTTACCAAGACTAGATACTTCAGTCCAGCATTCTAAACGCCTCGAACCGCCGTACAGAGAAGCGCCTAGATTCGAAGATGTGACGGGAGATGAGCCGGAATGAAGAGCTTCTCCGCGATACGAACGACCTCGTATGGTCAGCGACGTGGTGCTGAAAACGCTTCCGGAGTCGGAGAGGAAGCTGGAAGGGCGAGGCGAAGGGTACGTTCTCCGTTGCGCGGAAGTGGGTGGATGGGCGCTGATGTGGTGTTTAGATTTTGTCTGCGAGTCAGAGGAAATATTTGCTTTGAGCTGGTAGAGGTGTAAATTCTCCGAGCTGCGATGTGCTTGTATCAGTACTAATTATCTGTCCAGATATGCATTGAAGGACGGAGAAGAAGCTCATGCAAAGGCGGAGAGGGTAAGAGTTCTCCGGCTTGCAAAATGCTCACAGCGGTACTGATGAGCTGCTCGGAAGTACTTAGACGCTAGGAGAAGAGACTGCCTGATCAGACTGTGGACTCTCTGGGCTGCAGAGTGGCAAAGTACTCAGATGGTGGCAAGCAGCTCCTTAAAAGCGCTTTGCACGACGGAGAAGGGGTCAACAAGAATGTGCAGAAGACTGAATTCTCCGAAATCACGATACAACCGTACGAGCACTGAGCGCATAGCCAGAATGACTTCAGATCGAAGAAGCCGCAGCTGATGCCACTTCCATTCCATTCATGCCGTCTATAGTACATCCTCGCTATGCTTGTTCATCATTCGTCAATCCTTTCGGCTCAACGTCACCATCTAGCTCGCCATCACACTCTCATAGAACCTCGGCTCCTCCCTTTGCAACATCGTACTAACCTTCTCGACCTCCTCACTCAAGTGCGTAATATTCGCATCCCAGGTCCGCAAATCCCTCGTCGTCAGGTCCACCGCATTCGCAGAATTCGGGTCCTGGCCAGCGGGCGTCGGGAAGAAATGCACCAGCTCGCTGATCTGATCTATGCTCCCGCTCAGCCGGTTCGATTCGATCATAGCTGCTGCGTAAGCCTCCGCGCGGTCAGCTGGCACGCCGAGCAGAGCGCCGAGAGACTCGAGAGGGATGTTCTGGTAGAGGCGGGATGCGGCGACGAGATTGTGCTCGAGCACGGCTTTGTCGAGGACGGTGCTGCCGTCGGAGGTCTTGGCGAGTTGGTGGTCTGCGAGTCCGGAGGCGAAGGCGGCGACTTCAGAGGGTGAGAGGAGGCGGTCTAGGAAGATCTTCTCGAGGATGCCGTGTTCGGGTGTCTCGGCTGCGCGCTCGTCCTTGTAGAGCTTGCCGAGCTGGCGGGCACGGGTGGGTCCAGCGGGAGCGAGCACTGCTGTGGTGATGGCGGCGCTGAGGGCGCGCAAACGCTCCTCCTCGTCTATTGCGGGCTCGTTGGAGAGGATGAGGTAGGATGTCGAGGCGTCGAGGAAGTTGCGCTGGGAGTCGTTGATGCGGGCCTGGCTGAGCTGGAACTGCAAACGGACCGCTTGGTCCGTGACGCTGAAGATGACGTTCTTGATCTTGTTGAGGTAGCTCAGCGCGTTGGTCGGGTCGTCCTCTTCCAGGTAGCAGCGGCAGATGCGCATCCAGATGGCGGCCTTCTCGTCGTCGGTGACTGCGCGGCCTTGTGAGCTGTCGAGCACGATGGTCTGCAGAGTCTTGGCGGAGTTTGTGAAGTCTTCTTCTGCTTCGTGGGCGTCTGCTAGGACGAACTTGAGATCCGTGTCTTGCTGCTCGTAGGAGACGATCTTTGGCGCGAGGAGCTGCACGATCTCTGTGCCGGCTTCGATTTTGACCTCATTGTCTGATATGCTCTTGTACTTTTCGACGAATGAGGAAAGGAGTGGTCGCGAGTGAATGACACCGATGCTGTCGCTCAGTATGCTCTGGACGTAGGCGGTGAGGTTGGCGCTGAGGTCGTTGCTGGTGAAGGTGGAGAGGATGTTGTCGAGCATCTGCGAGTAGCCTTCGGATCGTTGCGGAGGGTTGGAGGAGGCTTCGAGTTGCGCGAGCTGGGTGGTGACGTCTGGAGAGGCCATCTTGCCAGTCTGTGCCAGTGGGGAGGTTGTGCGGTGCAAAATGAGTAGTCTTGAAAGTGGATGTTTCGAACATGAGGTATGTAGCGATTGAAGCTCTTATCGATAGCTGCCTTAGGCTAGGCATGAAGCGGGATTTGCATGTGACAGTGAGATGCGAATGAGAAGCGACATTTGCACGGCTTAATGTTAGGAAGAGCGTATCATCCAACCTCGTGTCTATCGATGTAGTCTAATTGTATCAATCGTACATCCGTCCCCTCCACACATCCTCTACAGCTACCCTTCTATCCAAAGATGCCACAGCCAAATGCCCAATTTCCCTCCGCGGCATCACGTCGCCCAGCTTGACTCTGAGATCCTTCAATAGTCTCGCGCGCCTGGCACTATCCAATGCTGAGCCGCCTGGCGGTGCAGCAACGTATGGATTGTCACGGACCAGCGTCGATACGATCAGCTCAAATTTCGGCCCCTGCGCGAACAATCTCACCGCAACTGGCACTAGACTTACAACCATCAACAGCCCCGAGCCGAGCAGGAGAACAACCAGCCAGCCTTCGTGACAACGAACGACCTCGACGCTCTTCTTTATATGTGCGGTAGTGACGGAATGGCGAATTGTTCGGTTTCCCGGGTCGACCCACCCTGAGATCTCGCCCTGTACATCGGTCATAGCACTGAATCCGATCTGAGCCAGCCAGCCCGTGTTCATCAGCTGACCGAATCGTTCCGCGAACACTGTCGTATCGAGCTTCCACATTGCATGGGCCAAAGTTTCTTCTGTTGTCGCTGGTGCTGAGGGGTTCAGCAAGTATCCTTGCGAGATGGACGGCAGACCACTTGACGGTACTGGGTGCGACTCGCTCGACGCCAGACCAGTCAACAACTGAACAAAATTTTGAGCAAAGAATGTCCACACTTTGCAGCCACTGGCGTCCAAGAATGTCCAGCCGGATGAAGTATGTGGTCGCTGAGCGCGGCGGATCCTGGAGACTGCGCAAGACTTGTCCGTGCATGTAACTTCGGCCTCGATTTCTGTGGTTCCGATGTAACATGTTGCTTGCGTCCAGCCTGCTAAGCTCGCCGCTGTATATACGAGGAGACGGGGCGCTACGTCTTTCTGGTTCGGCCTGCGGGAGCAGCCCCAATCGTCCTTCCATGATTGCGATAGACGTACGTGGCTAGTATTCGAAACGAGCTCGTGGCTAGTATTCGAAACGAGCTCGGTCCCCGTGGCCGCAAAGCCCTGCCATGATCTGGACGGGAGTATCGTGGCGCCGAGACCGGATTTCTCGAGGGACGCGCAGTCCAGATACCAGTACGCCGTCTCGATTGTAAATGCGCTCTGGTCACCAGATGGAAGGGTCATTGGAAGGCCTACCAAAGCTGCATAGGATGTGTTCCCCGTCGGAACGTCGCGCCATCGAGTGTCAGTCACTGAGACTGGTGCATCAGGGAGTCTCTCGACCATGGGAATTTTGACGTTGCCCCAAGTATCAACCGGCGCACGCTTCACACTCATTGGTGCTAGCATCGAGGCAGAGAAGATGGCCGACGCAACTGCTCTGGCTTTCGAGACATCGGCCTCCCAGAATTCGTAGCTGCTGTTAGCGGACATGTATGTGACTGGCGCGAAGTGCGTGACGTTGGCACTCCCAAGGCTCATAACACGTAGTGATGCCTGAGAAGCTACAGGCGAGAAGGCCCATAGGATGGCTATCGCGAATCCCGCAATGCTGAAGCTCTGTAGCGTGCATTGTGCCAACACAGAGTTGACAACGCTGGTGCAGTTCGCGAGGAGATCCAAAAACCCAAGCTTCTCGCCACGCTCCAGGCGCCACGATAAGAAGGCTTTCGTCGCGCGACCCACGACTGTAGCGAAGAGGATTGGGAAGATGGTGGGTGCCTGGCAGTTCGTCAGTTATTGTCTTGACCACCTACAGTGGATGACTCACGTATCTGAGAGCCTCAAGCAGGTAAGGGACTGTCGTTGGGTGACGCGCCGTGCGCATGCCGTCAAAGTGGTACACAAGCAAACCGATTCCGAAGAACGCTGCCGATAGTGCAAATAGGATGCCGTCAATTCCGCAGCCGCCAACCAACGATACAGTCGGTCGCTTGGTAGTCCGTGGCTCCAACAATCGCATCTGGCGTGGCGATAGCCTCAAGCCGTTAAAGTTCTCGGGAGATCCATGTACGTCCTGGGATGCGGTGGATTGGTGGATGAGGACTTCTTGCTTGGGCCCATCAGAGCCCTCGCTGGATCGATTTGGCGTGTTTAGCATGACCAAGGATGAACGTGGGGGGGAGGGTAATGGAGGACACGACCTATCTTTTCTGCATCTCAGAAGACATCCTTTATATTCACCCCAATGGCCATGTTTGGTCGGTTAACGTTCGCTTGCATTCAATACAGGCCAGCTCATCACCTCGAAAGTTCTTGCTGCAAGTCGTGTGAGCTAATTGCTTACTGTTGGAGGTTTTGTATGCAAGCAGTGAGCGGCTGGATGACTTGGCAGGTAATGTAGCCAGTTGCGGAGAAGTGCAAAGCTGCAACTACCTCTTAGTCTCCAGGCCTTCGATATACTGCATTGAAGGCTTTGGAATCCGCTCGAGATGGGGCATGATTCGGCCTTCGATTCCAAGGTGGGAATTGGGCGTTGGGCGAGTGCCGCTGATCGCGCAGCACTCCAATATGATCGGCATCAGCTGTGATCAGAACTCCAGACCCGATTCTAAGGAGATGATGCTGGCTGACTACTCCATTCTCCGTGCTCTGGTCTGTCTTTAGGTGGCCATGGTGATGGTGAAGACAAGTCCCAAAACTGCGTGGATGCTGTGACAAGCGAGACTGCTAATGAGTGGCAGCCTTGTTTGATCATGAAAACAACAAAGGCAGTAAAATGGTCACAATACCAGGTCCGGAGCGGCGGCAATGGTGCCCTTCGTGTCTGCTTCGTGTTCCGATTGCTGGCGTGGATGAACAGAACGAGATCGTTGTTGCGGAGGAATTTGGGAAAGCAGCGGAATGCGGGAGGGCCGCCCCTTGCGGAATCCAACCTTCGTAGCTTGAGCCTCTGTTGTTTGCTGGATCGTCACTTCACATCTGCGACACATCACCTCTCTCACCACATCCCCCACCAATAACCTCCACGGCCGCAACAACCATGGCCGACACCACCATTAAGCCAGAGATCAAGTTGGATCCCGCAACGGCCAGGTCGCCAGCAGCCCTGTCCAACATCGAAGAGTTCGAAGACGATGTCGACCTCACGATACCTCCACTACCAGAAGAGGGCGGGAAGCAAGCCTGGCTGGTGAAGACCCCGGACTACATCTGGAAAGCTTGGAGCGAGATCTACCGGAACCATGCCGATGATACGCCCATCGAGATCGGCAAGATGCGTGTCTACGATGCGAAAGAGCCAGGCGGCGAGCAGCGGACCCAGATCAGACTCATCAAGAACATTGAGCAACATCGCGAACTCCCACTGATCTACGACCTTGACATCCATCATTCGGGTTATAGCAACACCGTCGTCTTCTCCGAGAAAGACCTCCCAGGCCACAGCATGGGTCCCGCCAGTCGCAGCCGCCGCAGGCCAGCTACCGGCCTCAAGCCTGGCGGCATGCAGTCCAAGAACGAGCGTTACGGCAACAAGCCCGGCTCATATCGCACCTCCATACCAAAGCAGACCGGACTTGCACCCATCATCCATCATGTTGCAGACGCCCACCCATTCGAAGACGAGACCTACTACGCACACTTCAAGAAGCAATACGACCAGGCCACCAAACCGAAAGCGACAGTTGCCTACGAGCGCGGCATCAATCGCAGCCTCCACCCTGGCACGAACCCCAAAAACGCCTTTACGTCCTTCTCGCTCACCTCGAAGCCGAAAGACAAAAAAGGCAAACAGCGCGAAAAGGCTGTTCGTCTATCGCAGGAAGAGCTGCTCGATCGCCTGTACCAATGCTTCCGGCGTTACAGGTATTGGGGTATGAAGGCACTCAAAAACGAGCTCAAGCAGCCGGAGGCGTTCATCAAGCAGACGCTAGCAAGTATTGCAGTTCTGATCAGAGAGGGAGACTTTGCCATGAACTATAAACTGAAGCCTGAGTATGAGCGTGCGGCCGAGATCAAGCCGGAGGATGTCAAGGAGGAAACGGCCACGATCAAGAGCGAAGATGAAGTGAGTGGGTTGGAAGCAGAGGATGCCGAGATGGACGACTATGATGAGGATGACGAGGGTGACTTTGAGGATGTGATGATGGATGGGGATCTCTGAGAGGCTCCATATCGGTGATTGTTTGTTTTACTGCGTTTTAGCGAAGGGAAGGGCATGGGAAGGCTAGATTGAAATGATACCCCATAGGCTTGGAAATGGTCTGAGAGTCTGCTCATTATTTTGAGACCAGAAGCACAATCGACACAGTTCTGCTTTGGTCAAATACAAAACCATATCCTCCGCTCCTTCACTTCTTCCCCTCCTCCACCCTCTTCGCCGCCAATCCCCCCAACTTCTCACATGCCGCTGTCAAGCTCCTCGGATCAGCGCCCTGAATCATCGCCTGCCCGTTCACCCCGACCTGCTTCCCATCCTTGAAAAACATAAACGTAGGCATTGCAGAAACACGGTACTGCCGTGCAATGTCTTGCGCGTGGTCGACGTTGACTTTGGCGAAACCTAACACTCCCGGGGCGCTGTGTTTCTTGGAGAGGTTGGCGTAGACGGGTGCGATGGTTTTACATGGGCCGCACCAGTCGGCGTAGAAGTCGACCGCGACGTATGTAGTGTTGGAGAAGAGGGTCTGGAGTTCGGGGAGGGAGTTGATGTGGTGAAGTGAGTCGGCCATCCTCTCGCGTGGTTCTGTTCTCTGATATTCTTTGTTGCTTTGACAGTGTTCAGGCGAATGGGGTTTTATACTGGATCATAGAAGTATCTGGTGTCGCCTGCAGAAAGCGCTGACATATCTTTGGTGGCGCTATTTATAACGTGGAGTCTTCTCGACGACCGACTTCAGCATCCCCTTCTCCATCACATTCATCTCGATATCAAACAATATCGTACGCGGTGATCTCTCGTACATCCCACTGTTTGATGGGGACCATGGATTCCACTAAAGAAGGCCCTAAGGCATGGCGGAGGGAGCGATTCCATCAGATGTTGTTGACGGTTGAATGGGACAAAGACCACTTGATGATCAGTACTAGCCCAAGACACTCACAAAGCTCCTGACAAGACGATGCCACAGGAAGGCGTGTTTGCTTGTTCTCATCACGTTTGCTGCGTTGCAGTGGAGGTAAATGCTTTCCCGTAAGTACTTTCTCATGGTCTCCATACTGTTCCAGCGTGACTACTCCATCAGAAGCAACAGCAAAAACATTCGTACAACATCCCGGATATTAGTCTTCAGTGGAACCCATCATGGACGCAGTAGCGATCATAGCTTGGACTTTTCTCGCCCTGGTCATTGTCGGCTCGTGCTACACACTCTTCCTCTACCTGAAATCCAGATATGTCAGGAGGCAAGCGAGTAGCCATGTTGATGGCATCACCGTCGACGACCGGCCATCTCCAGATGACGACGACACTGTTATTGAGCTTCAGAGGCCTGCACGAGCATACCGCGGGCGAGCGTCAACAGGGACACCTGTACGGTGATCTGGCAGAGCCTGGCAGACGGTGCATGGACTTGTTGGTTGGGCGCTACGCTGGTTGGCGCACCAGAACTGATTCAGTGCTCACCTTCACTCACAAGCCAAAACCTCTTTCCGCTGATCGGAGGGAAGAGCCTCTGGTGTTGAGAAGACCTTGTCCTCGAAAGAGAACCGCAAGTCCGAATCGATGAGCAGAAACCGTACCGCATCAGGATTATGGAGCCTGCCAGAAGCCTTCTCGCCTGTCTCGATCATGTTTCGGAACCATCATGTTGCCGTTGGAAGCAAATCGACGTTTCTGACTCGGCGAAGTGCTTGCTGAAACACTTCGGTCTGACTCTTCTAAGTCATGTCATTGCTCGATATCAAAATAAAAAAGGACAGAGATGCGCGGGCACACAAAAGCACATCAGCTTCACAACCATTCTGCCGTTGAGCGAATCCAGCCTTCGACTGACACCAAAGCAAAGACGGACTACGGCCATTACCCAACCTTCCGCACATCGCCTGCCCGGAGTCAGCTTCAATACACGACATACACATCCACATCCACCTGGATGCACCCCAAGCAGCCAGTTCCCAGCACATCATTCGAATGGGCCAGCTCCCTGCCCACCACCACGGTGCGCCCAAATGATCATTCTTCAGCTAAGGCAGACGGCCCCCCAGGCGGCTGGTATGCCGTCGGAACCGGCCTCTGGGTCCTCTTCGCCTTCACGGCCAGCGCTCTTGTGGTTGCTGGCTGCTGCGGAATCGTGTGGTTTCGTAATAGGCCGCGCAGGGAAAAGTATGTAAGGGAAGAAGCATCGCGGTCTCGGGGACGATCAGCAGATACCGGCTTGGGAAGCGGCAGGAGAGGGCCGCCTTATTATGTTTAGGTCTGCAGCAGGAGATAGTGAGGCTTTTACGTTGCTGTGAATAACAAGTATTGATACCTGCTCGGCATTTTGCTGAACTTGACTTTACATAATCGTCTCGGTAGCAGTCCCTTAGTCGCGGTGACAGTGTCCTTTGCCGGGCTGAAACCAGTATTGATGCATTATGATCGTACCGTCGAAGGCGCTTCACCAGCACCAGCGTCCAATTTCTCCAACATGACAAGCTTGCCCTCTCACCTCACATCCTTCCCTACCCCTTCACCCGTCCAGGAAAACCGAAAAACACGAGCAAAGGCACGAGGCGCATCGTCGGACAGCCCTGACGTGACCTCTTGCTTGTTTGCTAGTGTTTCTGCATGATGTCTGCCAATGGACTGGTGATCGTAATCTTGAGACCTGGGTGACTGCAGGTAGGCACATACCTCTCCCAACCTATCGACAGAGTGCCGTCCGTTGCCGTCATCAGTGCCGCTACCTCCCAATCCAATCAAACTCCCAGTCATTCAGATGCTCAAGCGCGACCATGACTCCATCAAAATCTCATCCCCTAAGCAGGACTGGTGCCACACCGACTCAATCTCATGCACAGGCCTCCTTGCCATCATCATAGTCTGCGGAGCATTCGTGCTTCTAGGGGCCATAGCCCTCGTCATCTGCGTCAGAAGGTCTCGCAAGCAGAAACAACAAAGGTTGTCGCAACTGCGCGAGGAGTATGGTCTCGAACAAATCCCGGTAACGGAGAACGACGAGATCACAGCTCACGGTGGCGAGGGGGACAGGCGGCGCCTGCGGAAGTCGAGAGGTGAGCCCAATGGCCGGTTTGGGGGATGAAAGGTGTGTGATGGAAAGCGGCGACGCTGGGATGGCAGGACCGCGAGATGTTTTAAGTCATGAAGCATCTTTGAGGGGGGGAATTGGCTACCGTGCGTGCAATACAAACGTAGCCCTCTCTCGAGACCGGATATCAATCGGGCGACCGTTGAGTATGATTGGGAAGACAAAGTAGTGATTCGCGACGTGATGGTGGACTGATAGCAATGAAAGTAGAATGACGGAAATGGTGACGAGATCGGAACCTTGGATGCGTCGTGTTCTTCCGTCCCGTCCTCCGGCCGTCGTTCGTTTTTCGCCCCCTCGTCCTTCTACGTCATGGCTTCATGGACATCGCAGCCTTCAAGTTCTCTACGATCTTACGAAGAGCGTGTCTTCACGGCAACCTCGATGATAGATGGTTGCATGATGAAGAGGGCTCCTTGGGAGCAGTAACATGAACAGCGTGCATCTTCTCCACGGAAGGACTTCCACAAAACCATACGGCGTTGATCACGAGACATCGAGAAGAACGAGAAGCATACCGGAAAAGGCTACTAAGGACTGTGCGATTTCCCATCGACCCGGCAACCACTGCGCTAAGTGCAATGGTTGTAGTCATCTTCATGGTGCTCAGCTCTGTCTTGTGGCAACACTCGTCGCAAGCCCCTTCTCGTTCATGTCCTCGCTGCCACTCTGCTCTCCAGGGAAGCCGGGGACGACAATACCATGGATGTCGAAATCCACTTGCTCACCCAGTCCCGGCGGAGGAAAAGCCAGGTTCAGCGCATAGAACAACCCTCCGCTTACCGCGTACCCGAAGAAGAAGCTGATCTGGTAGATGCGGTACCAGCCAATGCTCACCGCAGGGCCGCCGACAGCCATGACGAAGCCTGGCAACGCCCAAATCATTCCCAAGAAGTAAGCCGTGTATGCGCGCCAATTGAGGCCGTTCCAGAACCAATAGATGCCTCCGGGGGTGTAGAGGTCCGGGATGTTCCACTTGGTCCGGCGAACAAGCCAGAAATCCACGACTAATATGGAGGCTGCTGGCGACATGAAGACGCCAAAGGAGCTCAGCACTGTTATGAACGTGCTTGCCTGCGTGAGGAAACGCCATGGGTTTGCGAGCACACCTAGGATCGCGAAGATGATGCTGCCTCGCAGCCGGCTGACGTAGCGTGGGACAAGCATTGCGACGTCCATGCCACTGCTCACGTTGTTCTGTGTGTAGTTTATGAAGACGGTAACGGAAAGCAGGCCAAGACCGGCAAAAAATGTCCCTGCGCGGCAGGCTGGCGTGTACCATGTTGCTTGGACTTGTTGGAGCCTACATTCAATTAGTCTGTTCTCCTAAGACTCCAAGACGCTGGAAGTGTCTTACAGAATGACAGGATTCCATTGTATTTCTCCGAGAAGCTCGGCGGCGGCGGAAGTGGCGATGATGCCCACGAGTGCAACCAGCGTCACCGTGATCGGCAGAGCCGTCAGCTGGGCTGCTGTGGGAGCATGCCTCGACTTCGCATATCTTGTCCAGTCGCTGACTCTGTCGCTGCCACCAGTGTAGGTTCCGGCGACTGAGGTGATACCTTGGAGCATCAAGAAGCTGACATCCGTCTTGGAGAGCGAGACATCCGCCTGCAGATTTCCGAGTTTTCCCGGGCCTCCGTTCGCAGAAACACACCAACCCATGATGCCTAGGAGTGTTGCCGAGGAGATGACGAGGTTGACCTTGAGGAACTTCTGAACCTGGTGTGGTGGTACGAATATGATAACCGGGAAATAGAGGCAGATGAACAGGATAAATCCGACAAGCTGCGGCGTAGTAATCCCAGCTGACAGCGGGAGCGTGTTCTCCATGTGAAGAAAGCTCCTGGAGAGCGAGTTCAGGATGATGACGAAAGCCATTCCGCCAAAGTACCTGAGTTGACTGGTCAGCAGGTTCTCTGTGATATCAGATCATCCTTGGAGGCCGCATGGTGCATGATGCTGCCTCCCCGCCTTTCATGGACTGGAGACGTACATCTGCGTCCCGTAGAAGATGAAGGACTGGAAGACGTTGAGCATGACGACAAAGTAAGACCCCCAGAGTCCGAACGCCGCTCGAGCGAGTGTGCCGTATCCGAGGTGGTGAATCGCACCGGCCGCTCCGTTCAAGTATGCCGACAAGCTGGCGATCACGCATCCGACGACCTGTCGACAGTTAGCAGGCCAGTTCTAAGATGCCGAAGCCAAAGTCTTTGTTACGACAACGCCGCAAGCTTGCCCAGCTGTTAACCCAACGCCGATCAGACTACTGCCAATCGTCCAAGACGACAAACTTATGCCGCAGGTACCCCAATATGCCCAGAAAGATATCCATCCGAATGTTCTCTTGTCGTGGGGGATTGGGTATACATCCTGGCAGACGGTCAGTAGTGTTCGTGGCAGACGATGGAGACACCAACCTTGTTCCCCCATCTTGTAGTTTCTATCGACTCAAACTCATCGTCGGTAGGCTTCACTTCGAGTGCTTTGAGGAATTTTGAGGCCATCCTGTCGGTTCAGCGTGCGGTCGCTGGTACAGAAATCCAGGATCAGATATTCGATGTCGCTTCGACAGATTTGGCGACTTTCGCAGGCATTTCTATACCCGCGATCACCGGAGCCTCCGCGATAATAAGTCAGGTCCAGGCTCGAGCCAGGCTCGTCCCGTTTGCAAGCAATCACATCTGGATTGTTGTTGGACGATGCGCTTATCTCCAGCAAGTGGAGGGTTCCGAAACTCTCACAATCCGGAACACGCATCCGAAAACATACCCTCTGTTCTCGGGTCGACTCCGCGAACACGTCTTGCTGGTCAGCATGAAAGAACATCTGGGCTTTGAGCTGTGTCTGGACCCGGCACCACATCTTCTCGCGCGTATTGCGACAGTCAAACTTGATCGAGCCTGAGGCATCTCGTTGTCGGCAAGCACGCAGGAGAGAACCACAACATTGCTATGGAACGCACCTACGATTTCATTGTCGTCGGAGGTAGAGTTCCTGCCATTATCGATGTTAATCTCCAGCTGACAATCATATGTAGCTGGACCAGCAGGATGTGTTCTGGCGTCTCGACTGGCAGAGTCAGCAGCAAAACCATCCGTCCTTCTGTTGGAGGCAGGGGGCTCCAATGTCGAACTGACGGACCTTTCTGCGGACGAAAGGTTCAACATTGCTTTCAAGGCGGAGTCTCCGCTCAACTGGGGCTACCAGGTCAGCCACGATGGTCGGGATATTGACTACTCGCGAGGCAAAGGCTTGGGCGGTAGCACTGCTATCAATTTCTGCGGCTGGGTCACCGGACCTTCAGCCGATTACGATGAATGGGCTCGCCTGGTCGACGACGAAGCACTCAACTGGGAGAACGCTAAACGACATCTCGAGAGCATCGTCCATCTTCATCCACGGGTTCCGAGGGAGTTTGAAGGTGACATACGACCGTCTCCAGGTAAGCGTGCCTTGCAGACAACATGATCATCATGCGTATTGATAGGGTTCAGGACATGGGACAACTGGTCCCATCCATCTGACTTACGGTACCGAGTGGCAACAGAGCGTTCACGACGTTTTCACTGCAGCCGAGCAATGCGGCCTGGGCGTCAATGCAGATGTCAACGATGGCCACCCTATCGGCATGGGCATTGGATCTGTGTGTATCCATGAAGGTCTCCGAATCAATGCTGCAGACGCTTTCCTTTCCAGTCCACCAGAAAACTTGACAATACTTGCAATGTCCACAGTGTCTGCCGTCATGCTGGACAAGTCGACTGCTACGGGCGTGAGATGTGTCGACGGTCGTGAGTTTCTGGCGAAAGGCTGTGTCATTCTGTCTGGGGGCGCCATCAATACACCCCAATTATTACAGCTCTCCGGCATTGGACCCAAAGAGTTCCTGGAGCCTGTTGGCGTTCCTGTCAAGCACGAGCTGACGCAGGTCGGACGGAATCTCCAAGACCATTGCTTCTCCGTCGCAGGTATTGTTGTTCAAGGCGAAGGGGACAGGATTGCGAACCAGAGTCCCTCGCCCATGGGTAAGCATTGATGGGTCGAAGGGTTGTCCGAGGCGCGATCACACTGCGTGTGGCGCTTCGAGACCCCGTGAACTCTTTCACAATCTCGAGACACCTGAGACACCTGCTAACCCTTCTACTCTTCGGTGCTTTAGGTTGGTTCAAGTTGCCGGCTCTTCGACAGTCGCGGGAGTTTGCAGACTTGCCACTCGAAACACAACGCCATCTGGACACAGCGAGTGTCCCGGATTGGGAACTGGTTACACATACGCCTTTGTTCGACGTGGTGCCCACAGCAGAGGGAGAGCAGATCATGACAGCAATGGCGATCTTGGAAAATCCACAGTCTCGCGGGACGGTCTCTCTGAAGTCAAGAGATCCACTCACAGCTCCGTCAATTGATCCCAAATTCCTCAGCCATGCGTACGACCGCAGAGCCCTGACTGAAGCATTTAAAGCGATGCTGCAATATTTACAGGCACCTGTTTGGAAGTCAAAGACCGTTAGGTGTCTCGGCTGGCCTACCGACGACAGTGATGCAGCGATCTTGGTATGTGCAGTCTCGACCGTTCCCTGGTGCTTGCTCCAAAGCTTACTTCTTCCCAGGACGAGCTAAAGACCCGTCTAGCCAGTTCGTGGCACATGTGCGGCACTGCTCGCATGGGCGCTTGCGTGGACTCTGACTTCCGACTGTTCGGCATCGACAAGCTACGCGTGGCGGATATGTCTGTCTGCCCGTTCGTACCAAAGTGAGTCCCAAGAGATCGGACGTTCCAGACTCAAATGCTTACAGCAGTGTTAAGCAACCATACTCAGTCCACTGCGTACATCATCGGAGCTATCGCCGCCGAGAAGATTGTCAGCTTTTACAACCTCAGCCACCCAACCAATCAATCGAAACTGTGATTACGACGGCGAGAACGATCAGTCCGCGTCCAGTGTGGGCTTCGGGAATCGGATTGTTTGTTTTGGAGTTGTCTCACAAAAGAGGCTATCGGATGGGCCGTTGATTCTGGTCGCTGAGTCGGGGCCCTTCCGATCGATCACCCCAACGTTCGAAACACGCCAACCAGTTAATTCTAGCCCAGTCGATAAGCACAGTGCCTTTCAAACCGGGCATTTCATCCAGCAACAGAGTCCTTTCAATCTTCGCGTGCGTGGCGACTTCTTACCTGTGTTTACCGGGAAGCACTACCGTGCGCTAAGACAAGGAGCCTGCTACCGCTGCACTATCATTCATTCATAAAACTCCACAGTACCTACAGTTCAAAGGCTGAGCAAGACTCAATCAACGTCTTTACGTTTCCAAGATTACTGACCGGCGTCATGGCGAGAGATGCAATCAACGGCCAGGTACGCCGGCCGCATGTGGCAGTGCTCGGCGCTGGAATTGGAGGTCTTGCCGTCGCCATAGCCTTGATCAAACGAGGTGTTCCGGTCACTGTTTACGAAGCTGCGGAAAACTTCTCTCCTGTTGGCGCTGGTATAGGCCTGGGTCCGAACTCTCTGCTTGCCTTGGATCTAATCAACCCTCAACTTCGCTCCGATTACGAGAAAGCGTCTACTGGAAATGAGAGGGTTGAATTTCAAAACAGCGTATTCGATGTTATGTACGCCGAGGAGGGATTCGGTGAATCAAAGAAGTGGTCGAGAGGACTGGTCGGCGCCCCGTACTTCTCTCGGAGCAGTGCTCATCGGAAGGACCTTCTCGAAATTATGAAGAGTTTCATCCCGGATGGGACAGTCGAATTTTCGAAATGTGCGGAGTACGTACAGCAGAGCGAGGATGCCGTCGAGATCCGATTCAAGGATGGAGAGACCGTGATCGTCGACGCCTTGATCGGAGCAGACGGCATCAAAGGAATGACTCGACGAGTAGTCTTGGGGAAACGATGGCCAGACGAAGTCGCTGCAAAGTACTGTCACACGTACATTTACCGCGGCATCCTGCCGATGAGTGATGCGAAGGCCATCCTTGGGGATCATGCAGGCGATGCAAAATGGTTCCTGGCCAAAGACAAGACCGTGGCAATTTACCCGATCTCGAAGGGCAGAGAGGAGAATTTTGTTTTCTTCGTGGCGGACAGGAACGACTGGACTGGCTTGCAGGAGGCAAAGTCTTGCAGTAGGGAAGAAATGGTCGCGGACCTGGCTGGCTTCGATCAACGACTGCTGAAATTGCTGGATTTCGCTCGGCCTTTACGCTGGCCAGTCTACCACCACCCTGATACACCTTCCTACTACAACGGGCGAGTTTGCCTCTTGGGCGACGTGGCGCATGCTTCAAGCCCTGGACAAGCAGCTGGAGCCGGACAGGGTCTGGAGGACGCTGTCGTACTGGCACATCTGATGTCGCTGGTCCAGGCGCCAGAGCACGTGTCCTCAGCATTCGAGGTCTACGACGGTATAAGGCGGCCTCGGGCACAAAAGGTTGTACGTACCAGTCTCGAGGCGGGCGATATGTATGCTTGGAATGATGCCTCTGTTGGGGCTGACATGCAACGTATCGTCGACAATGCAAATCAACGCCTGCACTGGATCTGGCAGCACCCATTGCCCGAGGATGTTCAGCGGGCGGAAAACGAGTTCGTTAGGCTAGTGATTTGAGGAGATATGGTCATCTCCATATTCGAAATCGCAATTTGGGTAGATTATCTCCCTATCAGGAAGCACAATTTTGGTAGACAAATTGGATACTATAATTTTCGCTCTGTCATAGGGTTTTGATCAAAATCACAGCTCAGTGTTCGGACAACAACCGTCCGAATCCATCGATTTTATCCATGATACCGTTTGTCCTGTAGGCATGCCATACCGTCGCAGTGTTGATCGCCACCACAGGCTTCCCGAGCTCGACCTCCATCTCTGCTGCCGCAATAGCAGCAGGTAAATTCGTCCCGGCCTGCAGAAGTGCATCGACATCTGGAGCGTTGACCTTTCGGAAGGCCTCCTTGATCGTCTCTGGAGACACTTCGGCGATGCTCGTGGCGCTGCTGCATCGAAGGCCGTGTATCATGTGCACTGCGTAACCGCATTGCGTGAAGAAGTCTACGACCTGCTGATCGCCTACTGCTTGGTAAGGAGTGATGATTCCGATCTTCTTCGCTCCAAACTTGTTGAGGGCTAAGTGTACGAGGTCAACAAGTGCTGCAATGAAATGAAATCTGTTGGATAGCTACCTTCTTGTGCAGCTTGTGCTCCAGTCGAGACTTTCAGACCGTTCGATACTTCGCCCATGAATTGCTCGAACTCGGCTGCGCCATTCTTGCCACCTAGAGCAAGGTCAGAATCTGGAATATCATCAACGGACAGACCCCCAGCAGTCTTGACGTACCCCAAAACGTTTCAGCCGACATCCCCATCACCATATAGGTTGGAAGACAGTGGCAGACCCGCTTCACAGCATCTTGAATCGTTGTTCTCAGGCCTTCCAGAAAAGCAACCATAGCATCGTCGGAGTTGAGGTCAGGATTTTTTATATCGATGCGACCGCTATGGAACGATACACCAGGAACTCGCATCCAATTGAACTCTGCTTCGACGACAGTGTTGGTGGCAGGTCTGTTCTTCTGTCAGACCATAGGTGTTATTGAATCTGCCATTCAACCAACATACAGGATGAGACCAAAACGTGCCCTTGGTGAGACGTAGCTTACGGGTGCTTGTGCCATGCTGGTGTTGTCGTCGTGTATGCCGATTGAGACGTTGATGGGGGATCGATGATATGTTGGTCAAGACTCCATGGGCCTTTCTCGCTCTGGAGAGCCATGTCGTCCAAAGCTCTTCCCTTCGAACGATACCAATCGTCGGCATCTCGTCCGGAGAAAGGGTTTGCTTCCGATATTGCAGGTGCTTATCTTCAAGTTGTGTAAACATGACTCAGGCAGTTATCGACGGATCCCTTCCGACAGACCACTCTACTTGGAGATACCCTGCGAACTTCTCCTCATCTCTATCTCCAAGCTATCACCGGACCCAGTACGAACATGATAACGACAGGCACCGCAATGCATAGCCAAGACAGCTCCTACGATGGTATATGGTCTGCCTGTCTTTCCACCATCCGGCAACTCGACACGCCACATTCTCATCTCCTTTGCATAGTTCGAAATGTCCACCAGCATGGAGAAGACAGCTTCAAAGACTGAGCCCATCTCGTCGACTAAAAACATCGATTTTGACTCTGGCTACCATGAAGACCTCGCAGGAACGATACAGACCGATCGAGCCCTACTATGGAGACGGGACGTGGTGCTTGTGCCAGTCACGGGACTTTTATATATGATCATGTTTTTGGACCGTACGGCAATCGCAAACGCCCACATCGCCGGTCTGGATGAAGGTCTTAATCTGCCTTCTGAGGGATACGGTGTTGCGCTCAGCTTGTTCTACATCCCGTTTGTTCTGGTAGGTTCCTGTGCGTCCTTCTTTAAAATATTGTATACTGACTGATTCGCCTTGTTCTGCAGGCTGAAGTGCCATCTAACCTCCTTTTGAACACGAGGAGGATACCACCAAACTACTATCTCGGGGCCATGACGTTCCTGCTGGGCACTCTGGCCATGTGTCAAGGGTTGACGGAGTCGTACGGAGGGCTCCTCGCCCTGAGGTTCTTGATGGGTATCTTCGAGGCTGCTCTCCCGGGAGCTTGTACATTCCTCATCAGCATGTACTACACCAAACGGGAGGCCTCGATACGATTTGCGTGGTTCTTCAATTTTGCCCTGGCTGGGCCGATGTTTTCTGGGCTGTTGGCATATGCCATAGTCGAGAACTTGGACGGGACGGGTGGTTATGAAGGCTGGCGGTAGGTGTTTGATTGAAACAGCCGGCGCCTTTCGCTGCTTTGCCTTTTTTCGCTGACTCCTTCTCCTCAGCTGGATCTTCATCATCGAAGGGCTGATCACTGTCTTCTTCGCTTTGATCGCTCTCGTATTTGCACCAAACTTTCCGGGAAAAGCCCAGAAGTGGTTCCTCAAATACGAACAAAAGGAAAGACTCATTGCCACACTCGAGGCGTCCCGAGGCCACGAAGAGAAGGGAACAGTGTCCGACGCCGTACCGATCTGGAGAATCTTGACTGACTGGCGCATCCATCTCTTCACCATGTGCTTCTTCTGTTGCGATATCACGGCTTCTTCAATATCCGCGTTCATGACGACTATTCTCACGGATTTGGGATATGAATCAACGACTGGTAAGCGGTCAGCCACTGATCCATCGCATCGCTACTCATACTTACGATTTGCAGCTCAACTGATGACGATGCCGGTATGGGCTGCTGGTAGGTCGTGGTGGAAGAGAACCGGCTCCCTCAAGAACAGCCTGCTGCCATCGATGATCCGTTTGCTAATTGTTACCTTCAGGGATCGTGTCCACCTTCGTCGTTACCTGGGCCGCATCGTACTTCAACTGGCGTTTTCCGTTCATCTATGCTTGCCAATGCTGTCAACTGGTTGGCTGGATCATCATGCGAGTCTATGTTCCAGCCGCCGGCGTTCGCTACGCAGCGCTGTTCTTCATGAGCGTTGGTGAGCCTTTCCGACCCAAAGTTCTCCAAAACACAACGTCTGACACTCTGGGGATGTAGGAACCTTCCCACTCATGGCGCTATTCATGGCTTGGTTGAGTGCAAACCTGCGAGGTCGGAAGTACCTGGCCGTTGGGATGGCGTGGTATGAGACAGATCCGTGAAACCCTACCTTCTTTGACGCTCTCGCTAATCTCTCATCCTCGTACGTAGGCAGGTCGGGTTTGGCAACTGCGCCAACTTCATCTCCTCGAATGTGTTTCTTGCTGAAGAGGCGCCATTTTACCAGACTGGCTTTTCCAACGGACTCTCTTGGACGATTGTGGGGATGGGTTTGGTGACGTTGGCAGTCGTACTCATGTGGCGAAAAAACCAGACGAGAAAGGCTCGCATGGCGATGATGAGCGACATGGAGAAGGAGGAAGAAGAGCAGAGGACGTTCAAGTTCCTGCTGTAGAGCTTTGAGAGGTCGCGCCAGCTGTTGAGTATCATAGATTTTGATACAGCGTCTGGGCGTCTTCTCCCAGCCCAGTTGCACCCGGACATACAACACCACGCTCGTCGGCAGACTACAACGATCTGTGATCTGTGAGAAGATCCCTTTCACGCGGCCTGACCCTGACCTAATGAACCGCTTCCACAGTCGGCAGCCTGATAGTAGCCTTGCTTGATTATTGAACCTGCATTTCAAGACCACCAAGAGCCTGGCGAACCATATCCCATGTTGGAGTCCAGCGATGAGGATACCCCCAAAAATGGGTCGATCGCCTGACCCGTCATCTCGTCAATCATTTGCATGAGGTCGTTGCTAAATTCCGAAGTCCAGCCGTGCGTGGCGTCGTTCACTGTATGGGCATCGGGTATTGATGCTACGTCCTTCTGAGAATCGATGCCAATCCCTTGACTCGCGGCCGCTGCAGAAGCGCTCTTGACTCTTTCAAAGATGTCTCGATATCGACGAGCGCTTGGATATCGCTCACAGATGATGTAGAGCAAGAGCATACAGTCGTTGAGAGAGAGATGGGCATCAACGGACTGGTCTTGTGCTAGCCACATGCAATATACCAGCGTAAGACCTTGGAATGTCCGTTAGCGAGAGGTTCGTTGAGCGAAAAGATCCACTTACCGCTAAGGAACACAGATTGAATTGACAGTGCCGAAAAGCCGACTGGATATTTCACATGGAGCTTTCGATAGTCGCTGATGATTCCTTGACAGGCGTCGGCGCATAGGCGGACATACTCGTAGTTCAAGGGAGATTGGCAGAGCTGTGGATACAGTAGAAAGCGCACACATCGATGGTAATGGATGGTGTAGAACTCGGCCCCGTCGTAGGGTACGTCGGGATTGACTTGACCCTCAAAGCCGCCGGCTTCCAAGGGGATTTGATGCTTCCAGCTTGACAGCCTGTCCAGGAAATGATCGATGAGTGATGTCGACGCTCCGTCTTGAATGTCGACTCGATACACCAGGTGTTGAATCTCGGATTCAATTCGTTTCAGCCGCAATCGATGGATGAAAGGGGTCAGTGTGGATGTCTGCCATCTCGAGGGATCGTTTTGATCTTGGGCTGCCTGGAGGACTGTAGCATCATCCTCCACTGCTTCGTCAATGTCCAGCGGAAGTTCGCAGTCCAAGTCGTGGTCGCTTATCCCCTAATAGACGTTAACGAGTGCTCGTTGGCCGATGGTTGGTTCTGGTGAGCAGTGAGATGAGGCGCCACAGCGCATCTCTCACTTGAATATCGATAGTCACACTTACCGGAGGACGTCCTATGGCGATTGAAATATCTCTGTCCAGGAAGTACGCAGTCCAGAAACGTCGCTTACTGAGTTCTCTCTGTACACTCGGACATGTCTGCGGACGCTTTCGATGTAAGCCCAGCTCTACACATAGGCGCATCGCAGCACCGATGAAGGTCCAGGCACCAGGATCTCGTGGCGCTCGAGTGCAGTACAGGGCCAGAAGAAGAAGGTAGTCAACTGTCCTCTCATCTCGCAACCTTTGTATCTGGTTCATCTGCGCGATCGCAAGGTCGTAGTACTGATCGCTAAAGAAGTATCCCATCTCGCCTGACGACTCCAGCCAGCGCCCGCTCACAGCGTAAACCAGATGCAATATGGCTCGGTCGTAGACATCGGTAAGATGAGCTTGATTGGTGTATAGCCATCTTACTCTGGGCGTGTGAAGAACCGGATATCTGGTAGCAATGTGTTGGGACCACCCCTTCATCAGTCTCGCTGCTACCTGAGACGTCAAGGGTGGAGTGTCAAGGGCTTCTTCAGATCGAGTGATAGGGTGCGCGGATTTTGGGGCCGGGTCTGAGTCTTCTGCAGAAGCACCCGGGCCTCTCGCGGCCATTGGTCGGGGATTACCATCTCGAGAGACCACGGAAGAAAGGACCCTGCCGACATCAATATGACTTGATGCGCCGACGTAATGACCAGATGCGGAAAGGGACAGATCTCGCACCGCGATCATGATCTCTCCGCCCTCGTCCGGGTTGCATTCTGGGTGGCTGCCAGAAGCCGTCGCTGGGGAGTCTGTGGGGACATTCTCCGTTGGAGCTGGCCGTTGCGTGGCTTCATGTGCTCCATCGTGGTAATGGTCCTCCCCAGCTCCAGGGAGTTGAGACTCCAAATCTGCAACGCGCTGCTCCAATGCTTGGATGTAAAGTTTGCGCTCGCCGCCTCCTGGAACGTCTGGAACAAGATAGGCTGAGTTCGTTGTCAGTAAGGAGCTCTGCAGACTGAGGCTCTCTCTACTTACTACATTTGAGACCGTTTCTGGCGCAGGAAGCGCACGTGGGCCTCACACCATCGCACTGCGCAAAGTCAGTAAAACCATGTAGTCAATGGGTACGCCAAGGAGCAGAGTCAAGCCGTTGCCAACCTCAAGCCGGTGAATGCAACAGTCCGAGACACTTGCTACATCACCTCTGACGGAGTCCGTACCTTTTGCTTTCGTCTTTGGCAGCGTTGACACGCGGAGAGAACTCGGTCGCGCTTACGCTTACGTCCAGGAGTGCCCTTTCCAGGAGTGCCCTGTTCGCCGCTCGAATCCATCAAGTTATCCAAAGGGTTGGAGAACCTATGTACGATGCGACCTTCCTGCTTGGTGGCTGGTCCGAAGGCTAGGACAAGCAGCCGACACCACACGCGTGCAAGCTATGAGGGGTTGGAAAGAGGCCGAAGAGCATGTCGGCAGGCCTCCTTCATGGCGCGCCGTCGTACCATACCTCCGTACCGCACGGCGTAAACTCGGTAGCCGATACAGTGTCGGCCTTATCGAAGCTAATGAGTACCTGACTCGTTGCATGTGACTGTACGATTCAGCAAAAGTCACGAGATCTGGATCTTCGGATGAGTCCGAAGCAGACGGAACATCCGAATTGATCGAATTGATCCACCGCACGAGGTCTGCACGTTCGCGGTGGATACGCGTTGAGAAGTGGTATATTACCTACACGTTATGGCTACTCTTCGCGTCTTCCAGACCCTGAACGACACTACCGACATAACTCACAATGCAGGCGCCGGTTGACGCCCAGCTCTTCATCAACGGCGGCTTTGTTGACTCCTCCGACCAAGAGACATTCGACCTGTATAGCCCATACTCCGGCGACCTTGTGGGCAAAGGTGAGCTCGACCCATACCAATCCAGACATCCAAACGAGGCACAGCGAAGGCGGCCCACCAGTGCAGAGCGAGCTGGTGAACCATCTTCTCACGGACAAGAAAAGGCCACTCACGAGAGTGATACGCTCCCATGGATGTCCTTGTTCCTGGAAGAGGATTGCCAGATGTGGCCGGTGGGCCGCTTTTACTGGGACTCGCTTGACGCCTGAGTGCCACTGACATCCAAGGATTTGCCAACAGTTGCCGAAGCGACGTCTGAAGATGTAGACCGCGCCGTCGCCGCTGCGCAGGCCGCGTTTCCAGCATGGTGCAACTTGCCGCCGGTCGAACGTGGAAAGCCACTCGCAAGGCTCGGGAAGATGATAGAGGATGCTACTTCAGATCTTGCCCGGCTCGATGCACTCTCGTTAGGACGACCAGTTGGGACGTACGTTAAAATGATGAGTGAAAGGGCTCTCCAAGACACGTTGAATATCCAAGATTGCGTGACGTCCTGAGACCTCTCCATCTTTCTTTCGAATGTCGAGACATCTGCTGACCATTCGTCCCATTACTCCAGATACTTCGACGCTCACTACGCTAAAATGCACTTCAATTATTTTGCTGAAGCAGCCTACCCTGTGGGAACATCCTCCCTGAACACCCCCGGCTTCGTCAATATCAGCTTGAAGCAGCCCTACGGCGTTGGCAGCGCTATCATTCCATGGTGGGCAAGATCCTGACTTGTCTAACAACAGGACATATACTGACCTGGTTGCTCTGATTGCTGTAGGAACGCACCTCTGGTATGAACTTCCGAAGCCTTCCTATTTTGTCAAGACGATCTCTAACCTTTAGTAGGTATTCTTGAGCAAGAAGCTCGCACCCGCACTTGCAGCAGGCAACACGATGGTCCTGAAGACGTCCGAAAAGGCACCTCTTTCTTCCCACCTTGTCGCCACGTTCCTTAACGAGGCCGGCTTCCCACCTGGTGTTGTCAATATCATCCACGGCCATGGCCTTCCTTGCGGTGACGCTATCAGCCGACATATGGGCATCCGGGCTCTGTCTTTCACAGGCTCTGTCAGGACAGGTGAGCATGCTGCATCTGCTATCGCAGGTTTTTATCTCGTGGAAGACCTTCGCTCACGCTTCCTTCAGGTCGTGCGATCCAAAAAGCGGCAGCAGATAGTAACTTCAAGCACCTCGTCTTCGAGCTAGGCGGCAAAAGCCCAGCTATCGTCTTCTCCGATGCCGATTTGGACAAGGCAGCCCAGGAAACTCAGAACTCAATCATGTTCCACAGCGGCCAGACATGTGTACGTTCGATCGCAACTATGTCCCCGGCTGGAAGATCACGGGGCTTTTTCCGACCACAAGCTAATATACCCATTCATTCTCGTAGATGGCAAACTCCCGGATCTACGTCGAGAAATCTGTTGCGGAAACGTTCATCAAGAAGTTCAACGCCTTCGCCTCGAACCGAAAGCTGGGAGATCCATTGGATGCTGAGACTGCCAGCGGTCCCCAAGCCGACAAAGCCCAACACGAGACTGTACTCAAGTACCTCGAAGAAGCCAAGAAGACCGGTCAGGTCCTTGAGAATGCTACTCTACCCTCCGAGAACGGCAGCTTGTTTGTCCGACCTACCGTGCTCCTCCAACATCCGGAAGATTCCAAGGTCATGAAGGAGGAGATCTTCGGTCCGGTGGTAGCGATCAACACGTTCGAGACGGAGGCAGAGGCTCTGCACAAGGCCAACGATACCGAATATGGGCTCTATGCGGCGGTGTTCACGAAGGACTTTGATCGCGCGATGCGGATAGCTAAAGGCTTTGAGAGCGGAATGGTCGGTGTCAACTGCACCTCACCGACGGGTGCTTGGGACATGCCATTCGGCGGTTACAAGCAGAGTGGTGTGGGTCGTGAGAGCTTCTTGCTCAGTTTGGAGAACGATTGGATGGAGACGAAGTCGGTGTACATGAAGGTGGAGGGCCTCGTACAGAGCACTGCAACGACGAACGGACTGGGCAGATAGTACAGATCTACTTCTTGCTCGACGGTGCCCAATTGAACGGCTTCTTCAGTTCTCCCTCCCAGCCCACAGCTTCAGCAAAGTCTTGCAGAAATTTCCATCGAGCTTTCTGCGCCCACCCCTCTTTCACAAAATTGTTTGCTGTCTTTGGAAAGAGGTCGATGATGCCGTACAGACTGTCGTCGTGCGCAGCTGCCATCAATATATCTTCCCTCACATCCATCTCCTGCAACTTCTGGATCGTCCTGACAGCCTCGTCCGGATCCAGATGCATCGGCACCTTCTGCTGCGGAGAAGGTATGTAGAAGGGTTTGGTAGAGTCTTTTTCCGGCAACAATGACTCAAACATCTCTCCTGGACAGCTGCTGCATCCCTGGAACGGGTGTGGAGTGATGTCTGCCGGAAGCGGCAGATACGGTGATGGTCTCAGTTCGCCGGCATGGTGAAACGCATCACCGCCCATCAGAATGAAGCTGTCAGGAGAGCTTGTCACTCGAGCGAGTGCGCATAGGTGGCCGATGGCGTGACCAGGCGAGTTTAGCAGATAGAAGGAGCCGTCGTTGAAGTAATCATAGGCATCTAGCTTGCCGATTTTGAGGTCACTACCGCTGAAGTCGATTTCCTTGAGCTCCCGACCAGCATAATCAGACTCGAGGATTGACGAATTTGGGTCCTTGGGATAGCCAGGAAGCTTGTGGCTGCTGAAACCTGGTCCAACAATCAAGGTAGTCGACTTCTCGAACTCGTCCGGATTCCCCGTGTGATCGAAGTGCCAGTGGCTCCAGATGACTGCCTCAATGTCTCGTCCATCTATCCCTTCGGCCTCGAGAATTTCACGCACTGACTTTTTGACTGTGAGCTCATAGCCTCCCATTTTGAAACGGCCGATCAAGAACGGCGAGGAGTTTTGCCAGTCTTTACGGATGCCCAGGTCGAACATTAGTTTCCGTTTGGAAGCCGAGTGCTCGATGAAGAAACTGAATGCCAATGTTGAGAGGTAATCATGGCCTTTGATGGACGGCGAGAGGAACTTCCAGGTGTCGACGCCCTTGATGCTGGATGTTGTATCGATGATGGAAACGCTGACTGTCGAGGACGAAGGCGGTATGTTTGAGGCTGGTGCCGCAGACATCGCGTTCGGCGGTTGATCAAGCAGATGGTCGCATATCATCTGGGCAGCCTGGATATATACTTATGCATGCTGCCATCAATCGCCCTATCTATCGGCATCAGTGAGTCGTCGGAACTTCCGGTGGACTTGACGCATTGTGCCCAGCGAGCGACAGTGAAAGCGGCCCACCTGGCAAATCTAGCAGTCTTCTCCTAGACCGATTGCAATCGAGAGGATCATATCAGTCTCTTCAGCAGGCTGTCGTGTTTGGTGAGAAGATCCATTTCACACAGTTCTCTCTGACCTAGCGGGCTGCTTCAACAGTCGGCAACTTGTGCTACTGCTTCATAAGAATAACCACCTGAGCTACCTCATCAAAACCTGCCGCTGCTTCTGCTATACAGCCTGGCGGGTACATACAGTTCAATGAAATAGTTACAATGAAGGAGACGGCGTCAAGATAGATCTGAACCTCGGACTTCATTCTTCCGTGCCCCGATCTGACCTCACATTTGATTTAGGTGAGGCGAAGTCACACGGATTCCGCAGAGAGCGGTATAAGGCAAACGGAGGAACGCAGAGCAGTTCTAAGATCGCTATGAGCTGTAGAAAACTCTATGTGATGTGCACCTCCGCCTACATCTATCTACACAAAGAACACCTGGTCTCGAGCTAGCTTTGTAGAAGGAAAAGAAGGACCCTCATCATTCCTTGTTGAGACAGGGCAGTCACAAGTGGGAGAAGCCCGCCCGAAACGCAAGGGCTCAACAGCCACCGTCGAAGGCCACCTGCGGCTGACCAGTTGATGTCCGCGGCTCAACCCCATTCAACCCCCATGGCCATCAGGCACATGCGGCTCGTCCGCCGCGTTGATTTCCACCCACAACGCCTCTTTCTCCTCCTTCGCGAGAGACTCCCCGAACTCGTTGGCCAACTCGCCCAACTTATCGGACTGGCTGATGCACCGCCTGGCTTTGACGACATCCTGCGTGTACTTCTCGTACAGAGCAGTCTCCCGCTCGTAAGCGCGCGCCTCTCTGATCTTGGCTTGGATTTGCAGCATGGTATTACATGCCTTCTCCGAGATGTTCCGGTAGGTCGCCACAGTTACATGGAATTTGACGTACTGCTGGGATTTCTGGCTTTTCGTTTGCAATCGATACTGCGTTGGGTCGGTAGGCCATCACCAGTTAATCGCGTATACTTGGTGGGAAAGTTTTGCTAGCGCTGTGCGCTCCTCAGGAGTAAACAAAGGCTTTTGGTCAGGCATTGTGGGAACCTTGTTATCGAAAGTGGGAAGTCGAGGGATGCAGGAAAACGAGTCGTCGCTGAGTTTGGTGGTTGAAGGCTTGCTTGGAGCTTGGTAGGAGGAGTGTCTAGACTGTTGAATTCCTCTCGAGGAAACGGCATCGTTAAAACTTCTTTGCCTCTGCTCTGTTTGCTGTTTCCAAGCGGTGACCAAAGCATGAGTCCGTCCATGAGCAACCGATCGCTCGTTTGTTAGCCAGGTTGAAGGAACGTAGCAACGACCCCTTGGACAAGTCATCCTGCTACTTCACTGCGGAGAGACTTGCAGTCAAGGGATGAGTACGACCTCGACCGAGGGCAACGAGTGAATCCCCGATTGAGAGAGGAGATGGGGCAGCAGATACGGTTGCGGAAGTCGACAGGCGAGCCCAATAGCGGTTCGGTAGATAAGGGCTTTAAGGCTCAGAGGGTAATGCCAGGTCGAAAAGCCTCCGCCTCCCGAGCCGATCTACGAGAACCCGCGCAGTGTCCCCGCTAACAATCGATATCCGCAGGACCAGCAAGTAGACATCAGCCAGACCAGCAGAGCGTTGACAGCATATTCGTCAACGAAGGCAGGTACGGCGGTGCTGAGGAACATCCCCACAACGGCCAATACCAGCCAGACCGGCGAACCGTGTCCGGGGACCAGGATAGACAGCCTCGAGGGAAGGCGACACAACGCCGGGTGACGAAAGGTATGGTATGTGGTTGCAGTACTAGACATAATGCTAGCCTTTGAGCGATAGAGCTGGTTCCTCCTGGTGCGTCCTTGTGGGAAAGTGTTTAGCTCTGTCTCGAGTCTGTCTGCCGGGCAGGGCTTTGCCAGGCGGTGGAGATGGCGGGTACGCACTGCTTCGGGTTTGCTGTGCCTTTCTTGCATGAACAGCAATTTGCTCCGAGAGGCAACGTCTCCAGCACAGTGGCTTATCATCTTGCAAATTGTGTAGCGATGGTTTTTCATTCTCGTGCCCCGTGTTCACTCTTTCATCCAGCTTCCACCGCCCTCGCCTCCCTCCGCCCATTCTCCTCACCCTCCACCTGATCCCTCCCGGCCTGACTCCTCGCCCTCTCCCTCACTCTCCCCTCCCATTCCTCCCACTGTGGACCCCCATCCACCCTAACCCTCTTCTTCACCACCGCCTCTCCATCCTCCCGCTCCCTTTCCCGTCCCAACACCGTCCCAACCAACCGCTCCTCCCCCTCCACATCCCCCACCCTCCCCTGCCGTCTCTTCACCCCCGTCAAGAAATCCTCCACCCTCGTCCTCCCACCCCCAACACCCACGCCTGCATTCTCGCCAGTCATACCCGCGACGCGCTTGATCTCCGCGTACTCCTTCCCTTGCAAGAAACCCTCTAGCACCGCTACGCCGGCCGCATCAGCAGCTCTCCGTGTACGCTCCGCGCGTTTACGTGCCTCGCCGCCGACGTCCACTTCCCCCATCACCTCGACCGGGACGCGGAACTTCTCCCTCCACGCCTCTTCAACCCCTCCCTCGACGCCGTCCCCCAAGACCCCAAGCTCCTCGAGCGCCATCCGCGCGTCCCCGACCCCAGGGACGGGGGTATTGTGCGAATTCCTTGCGTGCGCAGCGGTCGTGGTCGCTAGTAACAAAATGTAGCGTTCGACCAGCTGGACGAGGGTGTCGAGAACGGAGGGGCGGGTGGAGTGGAAGCCGGCGGCGCGGAGGGTGGTGAGGATCGCCGGGCGGAGGAGCGCGCGGTGGAGTTGGAGGGTGGGGGGTGGGGTGGTCATTGTGGTTGTTGTGGTTGTTGTGTCTGTAGATTGGTGGTGGTGGGTGGTTCTTCGTTGATCGAGGTGATCTCGCGGATGACGGGTGGGTTATTAAGGCTGTCGCATGGCTGGTTTGTAGCGGTGGAGGCGATTGTGGGTGAGCCTGGATTCGTGGTATGCTGAAGGTGTTATATACGTCAATGTTGTGAAGCGCTTCGAGGTCAGGACAGGTGAAGTCCGCGGAGGTTTCACGTGATGCCAAGACCTGTCACATGCTCTAGCAGTCATAGTGAAGTGAAAAGCGATTGAGCAGAGTGACCAAGAACTAACAAAAGGCTCTTTCGACATTTGGATGCTGACACGGTCATATGTGGGTATCTACAACGCTTCAAGGCTGGTCATCAACACACCCTATCTCAACCCTACTTTCTCCTGTTCTCTGCAGCCTGCTCCAACACCCCTGCGACCTCCCAATGTCCCAGCTCCGCTGCAATCTGCAGCGGTGTCTTCCACTCCTCGTTCTTCTTCGTCCAGTCCGCACCATGTCGTAGCAGCACCTTCGCCACGCCGGCCAAATTACTCGTCGCCGCGCAGTGTAGAGCAGTACCACCATCACCCATCAGTTGGTCTGGGTCAGCGCCTGCCTCGAGCAGGAGCGCCAAGCTATCAACATTTCCGGCCCACAGAGTCCAATGAATGGCTGCACTCCTGATAAATGACAGGCGATGGAGGTCAGGGTTGTATTCGAGCAGGACGCGCATGAGTGCGGGCGAGCCGTATTTGCCGGAGTACATGACTGGCGTGGTGTTAAAGCAGTTCAAAAGATCAACGTCCGCGCCAGCTTCAAGCAAGAAAGCCGCCATTTCCACGTCATCGGCTTTGCAGGCTTGGTGGAGCGGGCTGGAAGAGGACTCTTTCATGCTCGGGTTGAGAGCGGCGCCATGGGAGAGGAGAAGACGGACTATGGCAAGGTGGCCATTACCTGCGGCACCAGCAAGGGAGGAAAGTGGGCCTGGCTTGGGCGGTTTGAAGGCATCGTAGAGATCAGGTACTAATGAAGGGGTATTGATCGGTGCGCCGAGTGAGAGCAGAAGGCGCACATGCTTGATGTCGCCCGCACATGCAGCCGCGTAGAGTTTGTCGGCCAACGATCGAAGCTCTGGTACACTTTTGGGTGTCAGGGGAGAGGTGGGCGAATCCATAGTAATGGGTGTGTCGACTTGAGGGGATGTATTTCCGGACGATGATCTGCTCGTGCGCGGAGAGTCGTAACGAAGAGAGCGGGTGCGAGGAGAAGGTGGAGGGCTCCATTGTGACGTCGCCTCGGTGAAGCTGGGTGCTCCTGTGGATAGGGGAGACGGCGAAGGAATAGTGTAGTCGTCTCGCGAGATGCTTCTGCCTTTGGCGCTGTTGAAGGGAATGACGCCGCTGTAGGCTCCACCGCTGGTGAATGTCAGTATGGGAGGAGGCACGGGGGTGGCGGATATTCCATACCGACTCTGGATGCTGTTGTTGAATTGGAAGACCTGACGGTCCCAAGCAGACATTGTCTCGTAGACCATGTTACTGATTGCTGGTGTGTGACCAATGAAGATTGAGTACTTTTGTTGTGATTGAGAGCAGAGATGTGGTGGTTTGTCCTTGAGTTCCTGTGGCAGAGAGGAAGCACACTCTTGTATATGGTGCTGTCCAGCTGAAGCTGACCCGTGGCGTGGTGGAGCGATAGCGGGTCAAACTGTCAACAGTGACGAGACGCGGTGAGATGAAGAATGAAGAGACCTCGCTAGCGGGTCGTAGAAGCAAAGAAGGAAGGTCGAGAGCGCAGATGACTGTATATCGTGACGAATGAGAGCTGCACTCACCATACCATCGCCGCGAAAGTGTATGGCGTGGAAGAATGCTACCATGCATGCGCCCTGTAGGGCGGACAGCTCAGGGCAGGCACATTGGCGAGTGGAGGCTCAGCTAGCTCCACCGAAGTATTGAGGTAGAGGGACAGAATGAGTGTAGTCGGGTCAGCACGCCGCCTTTCCAGCGAGACAAGCTCGAGAATCGGGTGAGAGATGGCTTTTAGTTTGCGGTGAGAGTAGAGGGGGAGTATGCAAGGGTTGCGGAAGGAAGCAAAGCTTAGCCCGCATGCGTGGCTGAGGCTGAGCAGATGTGACATTGGAAGAGCCTGGTGATGGATGGCACGTCGGTGGTGCGATGGTGCAGGTGCTGATAGTGGGTGGTGTGACGGAGAGTTGTGTGGACAGCGTCGTAGGAGGTAGTTGAGTGGAAGTGCCAAAGAATGGGTTGTTCTTTCCTCTGCTCTTGCCTTCCCGCAGAAGTTTCGGCGAAACGTATGGCCGCTCGCGGGCAGGGCAGGCGCTAGTGCTTGACATTATGCAGTGAGCATGCATCACATGGCTAAGCCTCACTCCATCAAGAACCCAGATCCACAGCGAGCTCGTTGACCGACTGTCCATACTCTGCCACACTGCGTTCCCCTGGATGACGCCACCACCATGGTCAAGCTCACCTTGAAGACCGGCAAGGCGGCTTCACCTGATGCCAGCGCGCAACCGGATCCACCACCCTCTATACCACCCACCCCCGCCAGCACGACCAGCAACACCGGCTTCAAGCTCAGTCTGAAGAACTCCGCTGCACCTACCCCCGCGACCGAGCAACCCCCTCCCAAGCCCAAAAAGCAGCCCTCCCAGCAGGCGAAGAAGAGCAAACCGCCCGCCAACGGCAGCAAGAAGCGCGCCGCCAACGATGACACCATCTCCCCCGCCGCGAAGCGCCTCGCCGCTCCGTCGCGCAAGATCTCCCTCAACATCGGCAAGGCAGCAGCGCAGCAGTTCGCGAATGACGGGCCCAACTCGGCGGGCGGCTCCAACAAGATCCTGTTGAAGCGGAAGCCGACGACCGGCCCAAAAATTCGAGCTCTGACTGCGGCGAGGAAGCCTCCACCACGACTACCCGGGTTGGGATACGACAGTGAAGACAGCGACGCAGAAGCAGACCCAACCATCCAGCAGGCATTCATCCTTCGCATGCAGCCGGGAGAGGATTGTGACTATCTACACGATGCGATTGCGAATGGCAAGGTGGGGCTACCGATCAGCGAAGGAGGAGCGGAGGTGAGCTTCAAGTTTCTCGAGACCAATATGCGCCGCGCCATGGTTACAATACGTGGGCGGATGTACGCCGCTGTGCTGGTAGATCTACCTTGCATCGTGGAGACCATGAAGAGCTGGGATAAGAAGGGCTGGTGGAAAGTGGCCGACCTGTGTCAGATTCTGCTCGTCTTGGGCCGGTGCCATTCTGAAGAGGACGCGAAGACGTACGCTCTACCAAAAGAAGTGGACAAAGAAACCCACCAATACGCCCACGGTCTCACACCACCGATGCACTGGGTCCGCAAGCGCCGCTTCCGCAAACGCCTCTCCTACAAAGCCATCGCCAACGTCGATGAAGAAGTCGAGCGCCTTTTACGAGAAGACGAACAAGCCGAAGAAACCGGCGGCAGCGTCTCTACCAAAATGATCGACCCCAACCGGCCCGACCGCGGCGTCAACGAGTCCGAAGCAGACGACTACGAAAGCCAGGACGCGCTCGAAACAATCGAAAACGGCCAGCAAGCAGGTGAAGAAGAGTACCTCGACGACGAAGCCTTCGACCTCGAAGGAGGTCTGCAAGCCGCGTTCGACGAGGAAGCCGAAGAGGCCTTCACCTCCGAACCCGTCGCTGCAGACATCGTCTCCGCCTCTCCAGCGCCAATCCAAGACCAAGCCCCCTCCTTCGCCGCCGCAACCACTGCCCTCGAGAGCGCCGCCCCCACCCCTGCCGCCGAAGGCGAAACCGACATCGACGCCCCCGGTGACGCCGACTCCTCCTCCGAAGACGAAGACGAAGACGCTTCCGACGAGGAAGAAGACTCCCCCGACGTGCTGGACGAGGACGCAGCTGCTAGAGCTGCCGAAAGGAACCAGCAGTTGGAGGAAGTGGCGGATTTGGAGCGGGAGATCGCGAGTCAGAGGAGGAAAGTGGCGAGTATGTCGAATCAGCTGTTGAAGCAGCGAGCGGAGGCGCAGTTGAGGAATTTGGAGGAGGATTTGAGGGTGAAGAGGGGGGTTTTTGGGCTGGAGGAGGAGGATGAGGAGGTTGGTGGTGGAAGGGGGGAGGAGGAAGGTGGTGCGTAAAGGGATGGCGAGGCAGAGGCGGGACGTGGTGTGGCATTCGTTGGGCGGGAGGAGGACGAAGCTAGCTCTTGTCCTCTGCAAGGTCACAGGCTACTGAAGGCGACGGTATCCCTACATCTACGAAATCAACGTCTATTCGTTCAGAAAGCCCAGAAGCTAGCCCATGTCTCCTGCAAGGTCACAGATTCCAGCTCCTCGCCACTCAATCATTCGCCGCTATGTCGCGGGCACTACTTCGTGTCTCCTGCACGGTCACAGCCCACTTACCGTCCTCACGCGCTTCCAACTTGACGAGCTGGAATTGGTTGAGAGGACGGCCGCGCTAGTTGATGTCTCCTGCAAGGTCAGAGCTGTGAACTTGGGGAGCTGGAGATTGGCTGAAGGAACTGAGAGGCTAGTGGGTGGATGCTGCGAGGTCATGAACTAAACGACTACGCCATCCTTTGTGTGCGAGACCGATATCTATTCGTTCGGAGGGTGCGGAGACTAGCGGGTGTCTACTGCGCGGTCACAAGCCATCATTTGGAACCGGAAGTATGGGCGAGCTCATCGCAAGGACGTTTGAGTGCTACGTTTTTACATTGGGTGAGCAAAGAGCCACGCTAGCTGGTGTCTCCTGCGAGGTCACAGACTACGCCGACTTCAGCGTCGCATTTCCAGTCATTGGTTCGGGAGGGGGTGGCGCTAGCTCATGTCCTCTGCAAGGTCATAAGCTATGCTCTACTCGCTCGCTTTTTGATATCAGCTCGTGGGGACGGAAAGAAGACATGGGCAAAGCCATGTTGCAGAGCGATTGATGAGCATGCTGGTTAGGAGACCTCGTTGCTACACATACAAAACACTCATCAACCCGCCGCTTGCCATTCTTCCGTTCGCCTCGTCGAGGCTGCTCGCTCACTGCTCGTCGTTCTGCTCGTAGATGAAATTGGCCGCTGCAACATGAATAGTCAGCACTCTTGAACCAGCAGACTTGCAGACCCCAGAGGATGAAATGGCACTTACCAATAACCTCCAAACCCATCTCTCCCATCCACCCCCTCAACCCTTCCCTCTCATTCTCGTAACCCCAGTGCTGCCTATCCGCCGGCTTCTTCAGGTGCAGCTCGTCCATCGTACCTATGCATCCCCATCAATATACACACCCTTTACCTAGACTCGTAGAATAGGATATAAGGACTCACCATTCCTCGCGACCATCGCCACAAAAACATACCGATGCTTCCCCGTCTCCGGCGGCGGGCCAGGAGGCTTATACTCCATAACCTCCTCCACCCCATCCGGAAACCTCATCTCCACTGTGCCGTCAGCCGCCTTGTTCGGCAAAGCCGTCACGACCCAATGGCAGATCTCGCTCCATTCCGGGTTATCTCTAGACGGAGCGTCGGGGTCTGTGAGGGCAACGACGACTTGCGGGTGCTTGGAGGAGATGAAGGGTTCGGAGTCTGAGCCCAAGAGCATGACGTTGGGGACGGATTGGGTGAGGGAGGGGTTGACGGTGTTGCCGTAGTGGGCGGTGGCGTTTGACCAGGTGATGTTTAGGGTGGCGAGGGGGATGAACTGGAGAAGGGGGCGGGTGTGTTAGTGAGACTCAGGGTTGTAATATGAGCGGGTCGTGGGGACATGAGGGTAAAGGAGGGTGGCCGCTGAGGAGACGGCGAATGTATGGGTTGGCGGGCTTACAGTATCGATGACCGTGGGGATGATCTCTGCTTTCTTGAGTCTGTCGAAGTGTCAGCATGTACTCAGCTTAATGGTTTCAAGGTGTTGTATACTCATAGATAAGGTCAACATCCCCATCCTTGATGAGCGGAACCTGCTGCTGAACGTCGACAGCGAAGAGGCTGCTCGCCACGAAGAAGACGCAGAAGATGAAGCTGAACAGGATGGCCATGGTGCTCAAGAGTGTTCGACTGGGAGGGAGCATGGAATGATGTTCATGGAGGAGATGTATCTCATATGAAGAAGGGTGTTGTTTGCAAGGAAGCCGCTTCCCCGCCTGATCGACGCCTGACGACGGCGTGAGCTCAGAGGCGTTGCTGTTCCTGCATCTTGTGGAAGCGAGCAAGGAGGTGATAAGAGGGTGGTATTTAGAATATTGAGCCAATGATGGAAGCTGGGTACCTAGAAAGACTGCTGAATGGCTGCAATGGAGAAACGCTGTGCTGGTTGTACGCCGACAGGGTGCCTCTGTGCAACGCATTTGTCGTTATGGACGAAAGATTCTGCACACGGTGATGATACTTGCAATCGAGGTCGAAGTATGAACAGCGTACCTTATGCACTGGTGAAAGGATAGAAGATGCTGTTGTATAGAGCATGGATGAGATGGAGTATACCCAAGCAGTCTTGCTGGGCGGCTTTCAATCGGGCGAGGAGCCAGAATGTATCTAGACATGAGCGGCCCTATCCCAATGTCATACGTTGAACAACCTTGTATCAAGTTCAGTTGTTACATGTGTGGACTGGAGTGACGGATGTAGAACTGTGGCTGAACAGGACGGTTTTGATCACGTGCGCGCGCTCGGGCCGAGAACCTTAGTGAGCTACAAACGGCTGTTTACATCACATGCTTCACTTCGCCAGGAACCGGGCATACCAGGCACAATATTGGAAGAGTCACTCTGCTTCCTTCCATATTATTCAAAGAGTGAAGCCAGAGCGGTACATCTCCGCAGCCGCCAACAGCGACGATCTACCAGCATCAGAGGCACGCATACCACAAATCCCAACCCACAGAACCCGCCGAGCTTGAAGCCTGCGTGGGCAGGCGCAGGAGCTTCGTAGCGGCCGCCAACGAGTCTGAAGTATCCTGAGCACCAGCAAAGATGGCAGCGCTAGGAGAGGATCTACTTGGGGTGGTCAACCGGCTGCAAGACCTGGTCTTCAATACCATCGGCAACGATTCGCTGGACCTCCCTCAAATTGTAGGTCATGAGAAGATGAAGAGCATGCTTGGTCCTTAGGCTGACACTGTATAGGTCGTCGTTGGATCGCAATCTTCAGGAAAATCCTCCGTCCTCGAGAACATCGTCGGCAGAGATTTCTTACCCCGTGGCTCTGGCATCGTCACCCGCCGGCCCCTCATCCTCCAGCTCATCAACGTGCCCTCCGAGCGAGACGACAAGCCCGGCGATGATGAGATACACGTCCCTCATACACCGGCGTCAGTGGCCGGGCAGGAGGAATGGGGCGAGTTCAACCACATCCCCGGCCAGCGGTTCTACGACTTTGCTTCCGTGAGGAGGGAGATTGAGAACGAGACGACACGAATCGCGGGCAGCAACAAGGGCATAAACCGACAACCCATCAACCTCAAGATCTACTCGCCTCATGTCCTGAGCTTGACGCTGGTCGATCTGCCAGGTCTGACCAAGGTTCCAATCGGAGACCAACCTACCGACATCGAGAAGCAGACGCGGAATCTCATCTCAGAATACATCGCAAAGCCGAACAGCATCATACTCGCAGTGTCGCCTGCAAACGTGGACATTGTCAACTCAGAGGCTCTGAAACTTGCCCGACATGTTGATCCAGTCGGCAAGCGGACGATTGGTGTCCTTACCAAGATTGACCTGATGGATCACGGCACGAACGCTCTCGATATCCTTTCTGGCCGTGTATACCCACTCAAGCTTGGCTTCATTGGCGTTGTCAACCGCTCCCAGCAGGACATTCAGGGGAACAAACCCATGTCGGAAGCCCTTGCATCTGAAAGGGAGTTCTTCCGCATGCACCCTGCATACCGCAACATCGCGCCGAGATGTGGCACGCAGTTCCTCGCCAAGACACTCAACACGACTCTCATGGGCCATATTCGGGAGAAGCTGCCAGATATCAAAGCGCGACTGAACACGCTCATGGGCCAGACACAGCAGGAACTTGCGTCGTACGGGACCGACTCCTTCACTGGCAAGGAGCATAGGGGGAGCCTTATTCTCAGCCTCATGACCCGATTCGCAACTTCATTCATCTCATCTATCGACGGTACATCTTCCGAGATCAGTACCAAGGACCTCTGCGGTGGCGCGAGGATATACTACATCTTCAACTCGGTCTTCGGCAACAGTCTCGACACCATCGACCCGACTCAGAATCTCTCTGCTCTCGACATCCGAACTGCGATCCGCAACTCTACTGGACCCCGACCTTCCCTCTTCGTTCCCGAACTCGCTTTCGATCTGCTGGTGAAGCCGCAAATCAAGCTGCTGGAGGTGCCTTCTCAACGCTGTGTTGAGCTGGTGTACGAAGAGCTCATCAAGATCTGCCACACGTGTGGCTCGAACGAGCTGGCAAGATACCCGCGTCTGCAGGGCAAATTGATCGAAGTGGTCAGCGACCTCCTCCGTGAGCGCTTAGGGCCTGCCTCCAACTACGTGGAGAGCTTGATTTCCATTCAACGCGCGTACATCAACACGAACCACCCCAACTTCCTCGGTGCAGCGGCTGCAATGAGCAATGTCATGCAAGATAAACACGACAAGGAGAAGCGCGTTGCAGCTGCAGAGGAGAAGCGGAAACGCGACGCACGGAGGCGGAAAGAGTTGAATGGCGTCAATGGCGCTGAGACTCCTGAGGATGGTGAAGAGGAAGAACATCAGCAGTCTGTGTTACCCATTCGATCCGGCGTACAAAAGAGCAAAGAGAGCAGGAGCATGAGCCCAGCGGTTGGAAGAGATGGGCACAGATTACAACACTCGATTACCGCGCCGAATGGCACATCAGGTGGCAGTGGGCGAGATTCATTCTTGAACTACTTCTTCGGCAAGGAGAATGGAGCTGCCAGTGCTGGTGCTTTGCCCGGTCAGAGTGCTGCCGGTGGTCTGCCTGGTGGAAGCAGGCACGTCAGCCAGAACCTCGAGCCCAGCATTTCTGCGAGTCTACGGAGGCCCGACACCAATCCGCGCCCATTGAGTATGCCCGAACCAGTCGAGGAGCCTGACTACAGCGACTCTGGATTCGTAAGTCCTTCAAAGTCCAAACATTTCACCAACACTTCACTGACTTCCTCACAGCCCCACGACGAACACGCCCCGCCCGCACTCACGGAACGCGAAGCCCTCGAGACCGAACTCATCCGCCGCCTTATCTCGTCCTACTTCAACATCGTCCGCGAGAGCATTGCCGACCAAGTTCCCAAAGCAGTCATGCACCTGCTCGTCAATCACAGCAAAGACGTTGTGCAGAATCGGCTGGTCAGCGAACTATATCGGGAAGGCTTATTCGAGGAGCTGCTGTACGAGGACGATGCTGTGAGGGAGGAGAGGGAGAAGTGTGAGAAGTTGTTGGGCACGTATCGGGAGGCGGCGAAGATTGTTGGGGAGGTATTGTAGAGTTTACTAGGGGAGGGGTTGGGGTTATGGGACCGATTCTCCGCTGTTGTACATACAGCTGCTGTGCCGCTACTATTGGGATTAGGCTGGATGGGACTATGTAGATTACGCTGCTCAGAAGTGGTATTGTATCAGTTTACCGGACTGCCTGTGTATTCGATACATGGTCGCCGCAAGGGGTCTTCAATAAGCACTTGGCGTGTCTCTTTCGTGCTCCTTCCGCTTTGGGCGCCTCGGCGTTAGCTTCACTAGTATGCCTCGTCGTCGTCGTCTTCGAGTAACTACATGTCGGATCCACCACACTCGCTCGACTACAGACTAACTTAGCCGTGGTATACACCAATGCCAACGACCTAAGACGTCTTCCACGCCATTGTGGCGCGCACTCTCCACCGCCGCAACCTCTCCAGTCAATGCGACACCTACCTCCAAGTCCCCATCGTACGCCGCCGTTCGCCTAACCCACCCACCCAACGCCGTCACCTCCTCTCCGCAGACTCCGCAATGGGCAGACCCGAAGACGACCTCCTCCTGCAAGAGCAAAGCGAACCCCTCACCTCCTCCAGCCAGCATGCCTCTCGAGACCACAGCGGCGAGCGCACCCCCCGACCTAGCGGTAGCTCCATTTCCACCACAAGCTTGATGCTTGAGCACGTCAATGACACCGCCTTGCGCGCCAAAGAAGCGCTGTACAACGGCACCACCTACCGCCTCAACCGCGACGGGGCCAAACCGCACGGCAGCGACAGCGGCGACGAAGAGGGCGAGGAGATCGACATGGAAGACCAGCTCGCGTGGCGCCGGTCGGTGAAGCCGTCGGATAAGAAGGCGAGGAAGGTGTTTTACATCTTGATCGCCATTGGATTGGTAGGGTGGGTGGCGGCTTTCTTCTTGTTCTTGGGGCAGGGGAGGCATAAAGCGAGTTTGGAGCGGGTGCACGATCCGCACGCGACGAGCACGGTCGGGCATGGAAAGAAAGTCACGCTGCAGCAGGTTTTGGCTGGGCAGTGGGGGGCGAGCAGGCATGAGATACGCTGGATCGCCGGGCCGAAGGGGGAGGATGGGTTGTTACTTGAGCGAGGCGGCAGGGAGGGAAGGGATTATTTGGTGGTAGAGGACGTGAGGTATCGCGGGGAAGATTTGGAGGTGCAGCGGAAGCACTCGACGACGCTGATGGAGAAGGGGAGTTTTGATTACGAAGGACGGAGGGTCAATGTGGACGAAGCGTGGCCGAATGCTAATCACACGAAGGTGCTGGTCAGGAGCGACTATGCGGATAACTGGCGGCATAGCGGGACGGGGGCGTATTGGGTGTTTGACGTTGAGACGCAGACGGCGGAACCGGTGGATGGGAAGATGCCGTATGGGAGGATACAACTGGCGAGTTGGAGTCCGAAGGGGGATGTGGTGGTTTTCACGAGGGATAATAACATGTTTGCCCGGCACCTGGATGACGAGAAGGTGCAGTCGATCACGACTGATGGCGGCCCGGAGCTTTTCTACGGCGTGCCGGATTGGGTGTACGAGGAGGAGGTGTTCCAGACGGAGTCGGCGACGTGGTGGAGCGGTGATGGGAAGTTCGTCGCGTTCTTGCGGACAAACGAGAGTAAAGTGCCCGAGTTCCCCGTGCAATACTTCTTCTCGCGACCATCTGGCAAGGCGCCGAAGGATGGCGAGGAGCGGTACCCCGACACGGTGAAGATCAAGTATCCCAAGGCTGGGGCGCCGATGAGCGTGGTGAGTCTGCAGATTTATGATATGGAGAAGGAGCAGGTGTTTGAGGTGCCGATTGATGATGATTTCGAGGACGATGATCGCTTGATCACGGAGGTTGTGTGGGCGGGTGGGAGTGGGAAGGTGCTTGTCAGGAGCACGAACCGGGAGTCGGATCGGTTGAAGATGATTTTGATTGATGCTGTTGGGAGGTCTGGAAAGACTGTCCGGGAGAGGGATGTGCTGGCGCTGGATGGCGGGTGGTTTGAAATCTCGGAGACGACGACCTATGTGCCTGCCGATCCTCAGAATGGGCGAGAGCATGATGGGTACATCGATACCGTCATCCACGAGGGCTACGACCATCTTGCCTACTTCACGCCTCTGGACAATCCAGAACCGCAGATGCTGACTGAAGGCGAGTGGGAAGTCGTCAAGGCTCCTTCCGCCATATCGCTCGACTCGAACCTCGTCTACTTCATCTCTACTAAAGATGGCAGCACTCAACGCCACGTCTACACCGTCGACCTCAAGTCCGGCCCGTCCAGCATCAAAGCGATCACCGACACGAGCGACATCTCCTACTACTCCGCCTCCTTCTCCACCTCCGGCACCTTCATGCTCCTCTCCTACCAAGGCCCACACATCCCCTGGCAAAAAGTCCAATCCACCCCCTCCAACACCGGCGCCTCCACCTCCATCACCCTCGAAGAAAACCCGCGCCTCGCCGAACTCGCCAAGAAAACCGAACTCCCCATCGAAATCTACCAAACCATCACCATCGACGGCCACGAGATGAACCTCGTCGAGCGCCGCCCCCCGCACTTCGACAAGAACAAACAGTACCCCGTCCTCTTCTTCCTCTATAACGGCCCCGGCTTCCAGCACGTCAACCGCCGCTTCACCGTCGACTTCCAATCCTACGTCGCCTCCACACTCGGCTACATCGTCGTCACGCTCGACGCGCGCGGGACGGGGTTCCTCGGCCGCGCCCACCGCACCGTCATCCGCGGCAACATCGGGTACTGGGAAGCGCACGACCAGATCGCGGCGGCGAAACAATGGGCCGCGAAACCCTACGTCGACGCCGACAAGATGGCCATCTGGGGCTGGTCGTACGGCGGCTTCATGACGCTCAAAGTCCTCGAGCAGGACGCGGGGGAGACGTTCAAATACGGCATGGCCGTCGCCCCCGTCACGGACTGGCGCTTCTACGACTCCGTGTACACGGAGCGGTACATGCACACGCCGCAGCACAACCCCGAGGGCTACGCGAACGCGAGTATCAGCAACGCGCGCAATTTGGGCAAGACGGTCAAGTTCTTGGTGATGCACGGCGCGAGCGACGATAATGTGCATTTCCAGAATACGCTGAGTTTGCTGGATAAGCTGGATTTGGCCGGGGTGAGGAATTACGACGTCCATGTTTTTCCCGACAGTGATCATAGTATTTATTTCCATGGGGCGAATTCGGTGGTTTATCATAGTGAGTATATACCCCTTTCGTGCTTGGATGAGAAGGGTTAGGGCTGACTTGTTCGCAGAGCTGAGCGATTTCTTGGTCAACAGCTTCAATGGGAACTGGCTGCGTACTGATGAGCCCGAGCCGGCGATGATGGGGGATTGGGATAAGGGGTATGCTATGGGCTGAACGTGGATGGGGATTGCAGGGAACTGGGTGGCGTTTACGAGACACGATTGCAATGCCTTGAAGCTGGAGGAAGTGGCTCATGCCGCTTCCACCCTATGTCGGAGTCCGATTACGAGAGGGCAGGCAAGTCGTCGTGCTGGCCATGGCGACAAGACGGTCAGGACAGGCAGTAGGAGGTACGATTGGACTGCTCTTGTAACGATGTGACCACAGCGGGGCAGTCTTCCAAAGAGCTAGCGTGGGCGAGAATGGCGAAGTCGCAGACCTGTATTCGCGAATGCCGCAGACCAGTGGTATGGTAAAAGGATGAATGATGAAAGTTCAACAACAAGCATCCATTGGTGCTGTCTGAGCCCATTACTAGCGTTGCAAGACCTTGCCTACTGTAGCAGTCTCTGACATGAACATCATGACCTCATCCCAGTGTTTCCCATCCGACACCCCTAAAACTCCGGCAGCCCATGCAACCCAACAAAACCCAACCCAACGCCTGTCCATGCACCACGCTCAAACCCTCCCATCCCGCGAACACGCTCAGAACGCTCAACCCTCCCACACACTCAAAACGCCCAACTGCCCCTCCTCGCCCCCGTCCCCCAATTCCCATTCCCCCCATCAACATCCCACTTCACCATCCCCCTCTCCTGCCTCGCCCACTCCCGCACATAAAGCCTCAGCGCCCGCCACCGGATACAATCCACCTCCTTCACCCCATCCCCGCCTCCGCCTTCAAAATCCCCGCCGAGCCTGATATACCCCTTTGGCCGCTTCTTCGCGGTAACATCGTCCTGGCGCAGGTCCGCGAGCGGGATACGCGAGATCTTGGACAATTCGCCGTCGAAGGGGCGAGCGAGAGCAGGGTAGCCGAGGGAGAGGTAGTTGTAGACTTGTGTGATGAAGGAGTCGGGGTAGTCGGCGTCGAGCTGGGCGTCGAAGTCGCGGTCGGCGGCGAGGATGGAGTTGAGGTTGGCGAAGTCGGGTTCTTTGCCTTTGGGGGCCGGGGGTGTTTGGAGTGTCTGTGGAGTGGTGAGGCCGGGGGCTGAGGGTTCGGAGGTGAAGGCGAGGTCGAAGGGGTTGCTTTGTTCGACGGCTGGGGTCATGAGACCGGTTGGGCCGGCTGGTGGGGCAAGGCCGAAGGAGGTGGTGGTGTCGTCGTCGCCGTTCGAGACGCAGAAGCCGCCCCACAGTCCCTTAGACTGGGTGCTTTTCACGCTGTTTGCACGGGATTTGGTGGCGGTGACTGGCGAGCTGTTTGGAGAAGGACCGTGCCAGAGGCCGGCTTCCTCTTGAGAGCCTTGACGCTCGCCTTCTGCTGCTCCGGCGCCGTCGCCGACTTGGTGGCGCAGGACGGCGGAGCCTTGCGTGACGTCGAAGCGCGCGGGTTCTGGAGACGGACAACGCGGGAAAACGATGTCGCTGCCGAGCATGGGTGGACGAGCGCGCTCTTGCATCGCTTTGAGCTCACTGTTCGGTTCAGCGTTCGGCTTTACGCCAAACTCTCCTGGCTTCCACCATGGCGACGACGAAGGCTCGGTCGGCTTGGCTGTGATTTTGTTCGCATTGCGCTCTTGCTGCAATTCTTCAGCATGCTTCTGCATCTCCAGCTGCTCCCACGGAACGGTGCTGTCCCGATGAGGCCTCTTGATCTCGAAGAGGTCATCCTCGTTGCCCTCCCATGTGACAGGGCGGTCTTCGATCTCCGCTTCCTCACTCTCATCATCATTGTTAATGTAGTGATTCGGTGCCTCGTAGCTGAAGTCAGCATTGGGGTAGGCAGCAAGCGCCTGCTCTTCGAGCCGCTTCCGTGCCTTCCTGCGCTCCAGGTCCATCAGGTAGTGGGTGAAGTTCTCATCGACAGACTCTCGGATCCGCGTGGCATGCTTGAAGTACTCGAAGGAGGATTCTGACGCAGTAATGGGTGAGCCATCACGTGCAGGAGAAGTAGAAAGAGGGGATGGATTGGATTCGCGCTCACTCTCAGAACTCTCAATGGTCCCAAGGTCAGATGGGTGGAAAGAGCGTGTACGGGAGGGACGTCTGTAGGGTTGGGGCTTCGCAGAGCTACCATCGGGTAGACATGGTACTCTCAGCTGGGGTAGGTTGTCAGCAAGCTCATCATCGTCACGCTCGGCTTTGGCAGCGGCAATCGCTGGCTCTGGCAAGGCGCTGGGACCGGCTCGCTCCTCGTTGACGCGCTTCCAGTGTTCGGTATGATGAAGGTGGTAGGCGTATTCGGTCTTGTCGGACTGCGAGACGGCCGGTTTGTGGTCTCCAGCTTTCCTCGAGCGCCTAGAGGTGTCCAGAAGGATAGGTGCGAACTTGCGGGGTGCCTTGTCGTCAGCATCCATGGCTGAGGAAGAGTCGGAGTCGTGGCTGCGTTTGGGATTCCTGTTGCTGCCGTACGTAGTCGATATGACCTCTGGTTTGAACTTGACGTGAGGTTTCTCCTCCTGCTGCTTGTGTTCGCTGCTGCTGTGTGTCTCATCCGCCAGCTGCGGAATGAAGCGACGTGGCTTTGGCTTATCTCCGACCTCACTGCTCGAGTCCATGTGATGCGGTGACGTTGTGTCATGCTCGACTAGCTCCGGTATGAAACGTCTAGGCTTCGACTTTTCCTCCACGTGCTCCCTTGCATCTTTCGAAGATCTTGTCGATTCCTCAATAGGTTCCGGTGCGAACCGCCTCGCTGGCTTCTTGTTGTCATTGTTTGTTGCCTCTGGTTGTCGAGAGGACCTAGTCGTCTCCTCGATTGGCGTAGGAGCGAACCTCCTCGGTGGAGGGGTCGAGGACATTGTGGTTGTTTCGTGGTCCAGTCCAGGACTCTAATGTCGCTCTTTCGCTCATACGCTTCTACTGTCTGCTAGGATTGGCCTGACCAAGGCAATAGTGGAGGAGGCACGGGTGTCGGGGGTGTTGCGACTCGGTCAGACGGTCGGGGTACGGTCTTGCGAGACAATGTCTGAGAGATGCCTAAGACTGGACCGGCGTCGCCCAGGACTCTGTTCGAGCAGCTCGTGGATCTGGCGACAAGTTTGGTGTATGGGAGCGGTACAGATCCTCCCAATGCTTCCTTGTTCTCGGCGACGTTCTTGGGTTGAGGTCTGGAATTCAGGATGTCTCGGTGGGGCATGCATGTGAATGTTGGCCCGAAACAACAACGGCCGTCTCAACGACACTCGTCTGTCTCTTTCCCCCAACAAGCCAGCAGAGCGACGACGCCGTCAAACAAATAAGAGCGGCAGTACTCGACGAGAGCAGAAGAGACAGCTTCAAGCAGCCATCAAGAAAGGACGCGAAAGCAGTCCGCAATGCTCCGAGTACTCCAGTCTAGGTACACCCCATTTTTACCCCGGTCAACAAGTTCTCCTCCTGCGTGCCGCCCCTTCGCTTCTAGCCCGCATTAGGCGCTCCTGTCCTTGTCGTCGCCGCGAGGAGAAGCTCAATTGGACGTGACCCTCCTCTTTGAGCTCCAGCAGGCTGGGCCCGTGGCGTCCGGCCTTCGACGGACCGCTCGACCTACTGCTGAGACAGCAGCACGCTAGCTGACATGACTGGACGAAAGGCTGACGACTTCTTTTGCGGCGGTGAGGTGGTCTTTGGCTCTTTGTACTGACGACCTCAAGCGTGGTGGAGGCGAGGGTTACTGGCCGGGCGGGACCATCCCAGTTGAGATCCAGATGATGGACACGTCGTCAGAGATGCAGACCGCCTTGGAAGCGTATCGAGCCGTTCCAATCTGCTGCATCTTCCCGCCGGAAGCGTTGTTCAACGGCACGACGAAGTCTCGGATGCTGGCACATACACCGGCTTTGCAATTGAGAACATCTTGGGTTCTTATCAATTGATCGGAATGCCAGGCACTCGTGGGTGAATTTGACGGTCTGCAGCTGGCCGAGAGGTTCCCGCGCATTGGAACGTCTTTGAGAAGCCGCAATATCACCATGCAGTACCCAGAATGTCCCTCTTGTCAGAAAATCGATCTCTAAACTCGCTTGCAGGGTACACGATATCTGCTTCACTCGCAGATAACACCACTGCTTCTCCGTCACCTGTTTGAACAAGAAGCCCGCTCTCCTACAGCAGGCGAGCAGCCGCTTGGTCTGCATCTCGAGAACGGTCGACTGCAGGATGGTAAACGAAGCATGCGAGTGGAACAGCTGGTAGCCGGCGGCAGGGCGCATTAGCCATTCTTTACGGTAGGTGTACATCATTGAATGCGATCTGTCAAGAACCATCATCCCTCAGTCAATACGGCCAAAAGCTCTGTCACATGTCACGATCCAATCTCGAAGTAACCCAATCGGGCAGTTGCTCTGCGCTACCCGCCTACCTGGCCCTAGCCCTAGCGAACGGCTTCTATGCGTTTCTGCACGTACGCGTTCAGCATCAAAACTTCACAATCAGGCTTCAAGACAAGTTATGTCTTGCTCGCCCTCTGAGCAGCAACTACTTCTCACAGTCTACCCAGCATGACGAAGAACACGCCCAAAGCCAGGGACAAGGAGACCGTCGACGCCATCGTCAACCGCCTCGGCCAGCTCGACGTCTCCGACGAAGCCGCCAGTCTCGCGCCGTTGCAGCAGCTCTGCCGCGATCTCAAGATCAAGCCTGCTGATACGGCGAATGAGTGCAAGAGGGTGAGTATAGAGGGACACATATCCTTGAGAGAGATTTGTTCTGACCCCTGGGCAGCGTGTCCAGCAGTCCGTTCTCGACCGCTTCAGGGCGCAACACGGCGACACATCGTCGACCACGAACACCACCCCCCAGCCTCCCGCCTCGAGCAGCGCCGATGCCATTCCATCTGTCGACGATGTCGCCAACCAGCTCTGCCAACTGACCGTGAACGGCACCACTACTCATCTAGCCAAGCTGCAGAAGTCCTGCCGCGACCTTGGTCTCGGACCTACTCCCACCGGGAAAGGCAGCAAGAACGTAAGCATTGAGAATGAAACATTTGCAGACGAACGACCATGTGCTGATGCTTTCACCGCTCCTCCAAAAGACCGTCCTAGACCACTTCAACGAGCACTATGGTACGACAAACACCCGCTCGACTCTGCAAGCGTGGCAAGCGGTCTGCCGCGACGTCAGCGTCGAAGAAGGGCCATCGATCAACCAGTGCAAGAAGGTACACTGTCCCCAAAAGCCCGCACTGTCTCCGCGCACAAACCCGTACTGACACCTCGTCAGCACCTCAAGGGCGTCTTCATCAACATCGTCGATTTCGTGCATGCGAAGAGGAACGGACTGCCCGCCACCAAGTACCCTACCGCTTCGGCGCTGCGCAGGTACATGAAGCGTGCTGGACCGAGCTAGATCTATCCGTTGGTCAAGGCGAAGGAGAACGTCATCTTGAGGTGGATGTTGATTCACTTGTACTGAGTGCTTGTGCCGAGGGGGAAAAGGTGACGTCTGATCGGGCGTAGATCCCTTGTTCTGGTCTCCCAGGCCGGAGGATAAGGTAGACTGGATGCTGGTTCGAACGAACGTACCACCTGACCTATCGAAGAATGAGAATTGGTCCGCCTACCGCACCGCACCAGGGATCCATTTCTACGCATCGTAATGCTGCACGTTGAAGAATGCGATGGCTTCGTCACATTTCCGGCGACGAAGACTGCCATCGGCTCGCTCTCAGGTTCCGTACCACACCTCTCTCTACACTCGAGCGTTGGTTCAGTGACGCACCATCGAGACTACTGCGAAATCCATAACCCCTTCGTCTGCTTTCCTTCAACAACAACACGTTGAGTCGCTATCACAACGCTTTGGACCGCCAAACCTCACACCAAGCACAGGTTATCTCTCGAAGCATCAGCGAACCATCATTCCTCCAACCCGCATTTTCTACCAACTACCACCCAAGATGTCTTTCGGAAGCATCGTAACCCGCCTCTCCAAAAAGCGTCCCCGAAGCGACGACTCCGAGCCCAAATCCAAGTCCAAATCCAAGATCAAATTCTAGTTCAAATCCACCTCCAAGAAGCCCAACTCCTCACCCGAAGGCGCACCACCAGCCAAACGCATGAAATACACGCCGCCCAACTCCGAGCGCGACGCTCTTCCCCCTCCTCCCTCCCTCTTCCGCCCTCGTGGCCAGGTACTTCGCAGAGCCAAGTCGATGTCGCATATCCATCGTCCCAACGCCGCATACCCGCCACTGTCGCAACAGCACCCCCGCCCGTTTCTCGCGCACGATTGGCTTGGGGAGCTGTACTGGGTTGAGCCGCGTCCGCTGCCGTATAGCGATGATCCATTTCCTTATGCGAGGTCGCCGAGGGGTGGGGGAAGGTATGAGAGGGGGAATGGGGAGGTTCCTGGGTACTTGAGGACGATTTGTGCTGAGCCGAGGGGTGGGACTGTGGTGCCGCGTGTTCCTTCGAGGTATGTGGATCGGCGTTGCGAGCGACAGCCGACGAGGGAGGGGAGCGAGAGGGCTTCTCGGAATTCTGGCGAAGAGGGATTGATCGAGTCGAGCGCCCAGCTCAACGCCGAAGATAATCTCTTGAGACTGGCACGAGGCATGGCCACATTATCCATGGCGAGCCCGCCTTCGCGACTCGACCTGAATTCGGCCCCTCCAATTGCCCACCGCCCAAGACCAGGCGAGCCAGGCCCGTCGGCCCCTCACATCAGGCACAGCAAGTCCATCGCCACCCTCCCCACTCCTCCCCCCTCCTCGCGAAACCTCTGCGAACAACCCGCTCGCCCAGCATCACCGTACAACTTCAGCCGCCCACCCACCCAACAGGCGCCGCAAACCCTACAAAACTACCCCGGCAAAGGCAAAACCTGCATCGACTCCCGCTCCACAGCATCCACCCCCCCGCCCAGCCACTATCCCCCCGCCCCTTCGCCGCCGCCAAACTACCCTCTCCCCGCTGTCCCCGTTTCGTCAAAACCGGCACCGCCACCGCCGGATTACTACGCCCGCGCTCGCGCGTTGGCGGAGAGTAGAGCGGAGTGGCATGCGCGCTACTTCCCTGCTAGCACTACCGCTGTCTCGCAGGAGGAGAGGCGAGGGGACGTCTCGCCGTTTGCGCAGGGGGTGGTGCGGGGATCGCTGGGTACGGGGCAAGGGACAGCGATGCGGGTATTGCAGACGGCTGCCGCGGGATCGCCTGGTGTGGGTGGGACTGGCTACGGAGACGTTGGTGGAGCCGTCAGTCCGCTCTCGCCAACCTGCACCCCGGCGCCGACGGGACAGATGAACGGCACGACGCAGGAGAGGTCCGCCGAGCCATCGGTGTCTGCCTCCAGCGAGAGGGTGCCTCATCCTCGAGCAGCGTCTTCTATAGGAACCGCAGCTACGGTGCCTTATGCTGACGAAGGCGACGGTCGTGTTAAGACAGGGAGGGCAGCGGAGGCTGTACCAGTAACTGTTGATGAGGCGGAGGCCGGTTATGGAATGGAGAGACAGCAGTGGGATTCCGATCTTGCTCGACACGATGGTTATGAAGATGAGGATGAAGATGAAGATGGCACGCCTAGAGCGACTGAGCGCGACGCGGTGAGGTACGGAAGGCACAGGCGCGGGGGCGAGAATGTTGTGAAGCAGGCTAACAATGTGATGGGAGGATTTTTCTGAAAGCGTTGGAATCGGATCGCGACTGAGGTGGAAGAATGTACTGAGCTCATCGAACTTGAATTTTTAACACGTACCAAACGCTATGCAATCATCAATCATGAACTCCACCCCTCACCCTCGCTTCCTCAACGACCTCCCCGCCGCAGCAGTTGGCACAGGCGGCACATTCTCCTTCTTCGCCGCAGCACCGCGCTTCGCGGTCGCCGTTGTAGTCTTTGGATCAGCTGGAGCCTTCTTTGCGCCGGCGGCAGCTCTGCCCTTTGCCGGAGGTGCTTTCGTGACGATGGTCGTTCCCGCGGAAGTATTACTCGCCTCGGAACTCCGGCTGGTGTCGCCTTCGTTTGCGGGAGGGGCAGGAGCGCCGCGTTTGGCTTGCGCTCGACTTGCTGTGCGTTTGCCTGCGGCTGGAGCTGTGGTGGTTGTTGGTTTGACTGGGCTTGACGGTTTCTCGAATGAATTGGCGGGTTTGATGGGTGAGCGGGGCAGGGTGCGGGAGTTGTGGGATTTGGGTGATAGGACAGATGAAGGAGCGACCTTGCGTGAGGCTGTTCGCGAGGCCTTGGTGTTCGCGGCGGTGGTAGTCGTTGTCGTCTTTGCGCGCTTCTTCGGGTTGGCGAGGTCTGCTTGCGTTGCTTGCGATGAGGCGGGCACGTTCTCCTTGTCATTCTCCTCCGCGGCCATTTCCTCGCTGGATTACCGTTAGCATGTGGCACTGTTCGTCGCATCGGCTGGCCATACCTCTGCCTCTTCAGGCTCTTCCTGGCCGGTGTTCCTTCTTTCTGTTGCTGCTCTTCCTGCACAGGCACAGCAGGCGCAGGCTTCGGGTTGGCCTTCTCTGCATGCTCGTCTAGCAGGTCCTGCATCTTCCGCTTCCTCAGCCCCGGCGGTATTCGGTTGATGCGCATCTCCAGTCGTGATCGGAGCGCTTGCGACTGCTGAGCATACTGGGCACGGAGCTTGCGAGCTCGCTCGGTGACTATACACATTGTCGCGTCAATATCTGCTCATCCCAGATGGACAGTAATACACATACTCTCGAGCTGCAAGTTGTCAATGAGAGCCTGCTTCTGTGCTTGCGTGATTCCTGCAGCGCCTTTACTAGGACTTTGTGGAGGTGTCTGCGCGTTCTGGTTGGTAGGCGGTTGTAGGACGACCGTAGGCTCTGCCGATGCCGGATGCTGTGGTGCCTTTCTTGGAGGCATAATCGCGATGATATGATGTTACAGTTCGGTTGTTTTCGTTCTCTTGTATATTCAATTGCGACGTCCTTCTCAATATCATGTGCAATCACGTCGTGAAGCCCGCGAAGTAAACACACTAAGACAGCCCGCATTAGCGCCGGACCAAGCCGCAGAGCCTCAAGTGCATCGTAGAAGCCATACGTGAGCTCGACTGCCTTCACTACGACATCCATCTTCTTCCCATCACATCACGACGACGGCGCCCTAAATTTTCAGAAGCACTTCTCCTCAGCGATCCATACAGCCTCGTCCATTTAGATCAGGCTTGAGGCCTCAACAACCGCCAACATGGTGTTGGAAGCGACGATGATAGTGTACGAGCGTCCACATTGCTATATGGAGTACCATCACATGCTAATAGAACAACACAGCGTCGACAACTCCGAAGCCTCCCGCAACGGCGACTACCTCCCCTCCCGCTGGGAAGCGCAAACCGACGCCGCCAACCTCATCTTCCACAGCAAAACGCAATCCAACCCCGAATCCTCCGTCGGCCTGCTCTCCATGGGCGGCGCCGCCGGCCCCGAAGTCCTGACCACCCTCACCACGAACCCGGGCAAGATCCTCGACGGCCTGCACCGCACGAAAGTCAAGGGCGACAGCAACCTGTACACGGGCATCATGATCGCGAGCCTGGCGCTCAAGCACCGGCAGAACAAAAGCCAGCGGCAGCGCATCATTGCGTTTGTCTGCAGTCCGATCAAGGAGAGCGAGAGCACGTTGGTGAAGCTGGCGAAGCGGATGAAGAAGAATAACACGAGCATTGATATCGTGGCGTTTGGGGATCTGAGCGATGAGAATGTCAGCAAGCTGCAGGCGTTCAACGAGCAGGTGAAGGGCGGGGATGGGTCGCATTTGGAGATTGTGCCGCCCGGGCCGAATCTGCTGTCGGATACGATTGTGGCGTCGCCGATACTGGCTGGAGAGGGTGGCGCGGGAGCGGCGGCGAGTGGTGCGGGTGCTGGGGGTGATGCTGGGGGTGGCGGTGGCGATTTCGAGTTCCCGGGCGTGGATCCGAATATTGATCCCGAGCTGGCGCTGGTGTTGCGGATGAGTTTGCAGGAGGATGAGGAGAGGAGGGCACGGGAGCAGAGGGAGGCGAATGAGGCGGAGGGCAAGACGAATCTGGAGAGTGTGCCGGAGGAGGGCAAGGAGGGGGAGGCGAGCGAGACGCAGCCGCTGTTGCAGGATCAGGAGGGCAGTGGGAGTGGAGGGTCGAAGGAGGACAAGAAGGATGGGGAGGGTGGGGACAAGATGGACACTGCATGATGCGAAGGGTAGGTAGGGTCCGGTCTGACATGCCAGCGTACAGTACTTTGATGCATAGCCCTGGCGCTCTGTAGAACTAGATGTGGAATGCAAGCGACTTCTGCTGAAATACTCATACCCACTTCTTCTGTTATATCTGTTAATTCGACTGACCCCGGGAACCGTTCGCAGCAAGGCAGTGGTCTACGTAGACAGCTCAATCAGTTTACTGTTCTTCGCGTTTCCCTTGAGACACACGCCCTCACCCTTCCCATTGCTCTCCTGAGTCGTCTGCAAGAAAACCCTCAACGCCCTTCACTCCCCACCCAGCCTTTTGAAAAACAGTACGCAATCCCTCCTTACCAGGCCATCAGTCTCCAGGCGAAATCTCACTCTCCCTCAATTGAAAGGTAAAGAGGAAAAGTCAACAACCACCGTCCCCTACCTTAGCCCGGAAGAAGTCGGAGCCTCCGTCAGTACGGGCGGTATATATACCATGTACCATCCACACGGCGCCGAAGATAGAAGATAGAAGATAGGATAAAGTATTCCGCACCTACCTCCTACCGCGTGCAGCACTTACTTAAATGTCTGATGCTTCGTTCGGGAACGAGCGAGAGCGGAAGGTCGCTGTGCTGTGCTGTGCTAGGAAGGTAGGTCGAAGATACGTTGTCCTGCTCGGGGACATAGGCGGCTAACGGAGCACGCCTTTCACGACCGGGAGTATTCTTCTGCAACGGCCAACCCTGGCCTAAAGAAGCGAGCGAGCGAGCAAGCCACCCGGGCGGGGCGAGACGAGACGAGACGTTGGTGGCTGATCTGGTTCTGCCCGTTCGTTCGTTCGTTTCGCCGCGATGGCGCCCATGTGCGTTTGACAGCTTGGCTACGGTACGGGTTTGTTTTTTGATTGCGGGATGCTTGGATCGGGCGGAGACGATGTAGTACTTGCAGATGGGGTGGGGTGAGCAAGTGAGATAGGTGCGGGTGATATAGTCAAGCGTCTCCGTAGCGGTGCGGGTCTCGTCAGCCTCTCATGCCGGGTATCGTGACAGCCGTTGGGGGAGATGAGGCGTGCAGTCGCCGATACCTCCTAGCAAGCATTCGGCCCGGTCGGCGTGTGTCGAACGGCGAACGGTGGAGCCTGCGTGTAACGGGGTAGCATGAGGATTTGTTGATGGGGTAGTATGTACCTCGCCGTGCGGCCGTTGAGATACGAGACAGACTGGGATGCAGCGGCAACGTCCCCGCCAAACGTCCAGCATGGGACAATCACATGAAAGTCTTCCTCCACGCTGATAAGCGAGGCTGACGGGGTAATGCAATCAAAGAGAGAACACTTACGCTGTGCAACATATCGAGCATATCATTGGGCTCTGCAGGCACAGCAGACGCGGAGACTGAGCTCTGCTGCATCTTTGACAGCAGGGCCAAGGAAGAGTGACTCCACAGGGACATGGTGGTTGTATCGTCGCTGGAGGAGAGGATATCCTCAGTTGGTGTGCAGTCTGATCGATTGACATTCCAGCGAGAAATACGCTGAGCTGCAACACAGCACGATGAGCCAGTCGGTTAGTTTCCGTCAACAAGCCCCATCGTCCAACCAGACAGCCATGCTAGCAACGTTTCTGTGCCGCTCGACTTCCTCCTCGAGCTACCGCAGAGCATGCACCAGCCCAAAACAGAAACGCTGTGGCTTGCCTGCGAGCTCTCAAGCTCTCGATACGCGCACGTCGAGTCTCGATAAGCCACAGTCCATTGGCTAGACATGGCGTAGAGATAGGCAGCGATTGCGACTGCGAGCGATGCCAGGTTCCGTGTCATCCCATGTGGAGTTCGTCATGCAGTTGAGTAGATAGGGCCGTGGAGCTCCAGCTTGAATCTGTGTACACTGGGGAGGGTTCTGTGGGCCTCTGGAGAAAATGTTCGTGTTCGTGGCAAAGCGATGGCAGCCGAAAAAGTGCTCAGTCTCGGATGCAATGCACTTCGAAAAGGCAACTGCAAGGAAAATTTCGCGCAGGTAGACGTGTACTTATCCACTCGTACCGGCCGCCATCCATGCACCGTTGAAGAAGAGCCCTGGCGGTTGAGCGTTCCCTAACCGCCGTAGTGGCATCTTAGCTGCAGACAGAAGGCGAATCTTGTAGACGGACCGAGTATCCAGGGAAATCCAACCATGGCGGAATGCCTTGCATGTGCTGATCAGCCGTTTGAATATGGCTGGACGTAAAAAAGATAGCGACGAGATGGAGCTTATCGAGGTGCGCTGATAGCTGTGTTGATTGTACTTCGCTCGAGCGCGCGGGCTGCGAGCTCCAGGTGTCGCAATTTCGTCGAGCTGTACCCTCGTACCGTGGCCTTGGGACCTTGGGTGCCCAATGAACCGCTGGTGCGCTGCAAGGCTGCTCTGGTGAGTTCGTGCCGGCCACGCGCGTGGCGTTCTGCCGGAAGGTTTGAGCCGAAGTTCGGGTTAGAAAGTGTGGAGTGCTTTCAATATGCTATTCCGGTTTCTCCCTTGCGGTTGGTGTTGTTGCTGTCGAGGGTGTGTTGTAGCAGAGAGGGGTGGTAGTGCTGTCTCCCGCACCGCGAAGACGGGAAAAGTCGGGGATCTCGATAACCAAAACCTCCGCAGGGCGAGTGGGGGAAGGAAATGGCGATCAAGGGGAATGAACTGCACGATGAGATGTGAATCTTCGCAGTCTTCCAATTGCAGAGCAGAGCTCGTCCTGGGGGTGGGGCTGCCTGCTTTTCTGGTTTTGGACCGAAGCAACGCAGCACGCCAACGCCCGCTGCAGGCCATCGAGGTGACTTGATATCGAGTGTGAATCTACTCCCGTCTTCTCTCCCTCGCTTCATATACCATTTCTCTTACTCACCGCCGCTTGAGCCTTCCCCTGCCGAGGCATCCCCCCATCGTCATCGCCCGCATTTCCGCTTAGCTTCTCCTTCCAGGCCAGATCGACCTGGGCCAAAAAGTCTAAAGACAGGGTCTTTGGATCCCTTCGTGCCGACACCGTCTCTTGAATTTCTCTACAACCACCGACGCGACGACGACTCCGCTATCCACCGACACCAGGAACCTAATCGTCCGCCGGCCGCGACATCTGACACCGATCACATCAGCGCGACAGCAGCGAACGAGTCTTGAAGCGATATCGACCCTCGCACGATGATGACCAAGGCCTGGTAGCACAACGTCAAGCAATAGCAGGAGAGTGTGCTATACCGAAGTAAGGCTCGGACGTAGTCATCTGTCAGAACGAGCACAGCACACGGCGAACAAGCAGAACGGCCTCTTGACTTCACATTCCTGACGACGACATCGCGAACATGGCCACCAAAGTCCTCACACCGCCAAAGGTCGACTCCCAGACCTTCCACCAACCCAGACCCCGACGCTCCTCTCCGCCCTCCTCGACGTCGCTGTACATCTCCACATCCCCTCCTCGACACTGTTCGAGTCCGAGGCAGTCATCATTCACTCACTCCGCCGAGCACCTCGAGCGCGTCGATTCACCTTCACCTACCACATCCTCACTAGAGTCCTCACCTCAATCGTCGATGCTCAACTTCTCGCACAACTCTTCCCTCAACTCGACACCACTCACTGGCGGTCTTTCCTTCGAAGGCAGCATTGGCACACCTGACGAGGACATCGACTTTCCCAACTATGGCGACTTTTCAGGCCTCAAGAAGGACGATAGCGCGTCAACAAAGTCGGGCGATGACGATGTGGATACCCCTGGGATCTCAGCGAGCACAGATACCACTCGCTCAGACTCGCCTTTACATACACCGACTGTTGCCGACGACACAGCGATCAAGCAGCAGCCTTCACAGCACGTCGACTACCTCAGTCATGACTGGAGAGAAGAGGATATATGGGCGTCGTGGAGGCATATCGTCTCGCAGAGAAAGGTATACGGACAGAGATCGAGGCTGGAGAACGCGTCGTGGAGGACATGGGCGAAGTCGAAGTATCACCTTCGAACTATTTCGCCCGAGACACTCAATTGGTGCGTTCAATTCAATGCAGTATACATGGAATATGGCTGACCGATATGCAGGCTCAAAGAGTCCGACGTGACATGGCTGTATGGCCCTCTGAAGCCTGCTCAAACCCACCCCATCACCTCCAACGCCTCCACCCCCCAATCACACCTCTCGAAGAGCAGCTCATTCGTCAAGAAGCCGATATTGAAGAAGCGGAGTGTGTCCGAGGTCATGCTGCAGAAATCGCTATCGACATCATCACTGGTCAAGCAAGCAGCTGCTTCCGTACAAGCTCAAGCGACAAAGTCGCCTCGCAGGGGTCTTAACAGGGTCAACTCCGAGCTGAGCTACGCGGTCAACGCCCCGTCACAGCCACCCAGCAGAGAGGAGATTGACTACTTTAGCATTCGAACGGGCAGCGCTGTGAGCGAGACGCCTTCGGATACCAAGGAGAAGCATATCAGATTTGATGAGAGGGTGGAACAATGTGTGGCCATCGACTGCAAGGACCCAGCATACGGCGACTTTGACGATGAGATCGAGGACGACCCACAAAACAGCTCGCTTTCAGAGTCCAGCAGCGATGAAGGATTGTTAATGATGAGCAAGAGCAAAAGGACACCCACGGGCAGAGAGCGGCCGAAGGGCCGACTCAGCAGAACGAACTCATCACAGGGGAAGATGATTGAGACGATTGAAGCCACGACTCTGAAATACCGAACAGATAGCCCGGACGTGCCGGAACAACCACCACAGCCCGCTCAACACCATACCTTTGGCTCGGGGTGGGGCTCTGGCGCGCTTTCGCATTCGCCATCGCAGGAAACATTACGACCGAGCAGACCCTCGAGAAATTTCCTGCTCGTTGAAGACGAGGAAGAAGACGCCGACGCCGACAACTCCGCCTCCTGGTCCTTTGGCGCCAGCAACCCCAAATCCTCCCTCGGAGCATCCGTCAAAGACGCACCTTCCAGCAGTCGCAACGACAACAACTTTGTCCTTTCGGATGGCTACGAAGGAATGCAGGGTATGCGAAGAACAGAGAGTGGCATGTTCATGCCCATCGACGAGGACGAAGACGATCTGGTGGCTGCCGGGCTTTTTGGCCGCGTCAGCGAGACGGTGAATACGGTCAAGGATATCGGGTGGGTGTTGTGGAATTCTTTTTCGCAGAGGCGGGACTCTTGACTCGTGTGGCGGAGTGCGGGAGGGCGTTGATTCAGGGAGGAGAGACGACAGCATCCTCGACACGAAGCTACGGCTACCCAGGGTGGCGGCTACATCGTGCAAGGCATCGGCGTTAGGGATATGGGCATGGGCATAGATGGGCGAAGCGGCGCCCTCTTCGAGAGGGCTGCATGCTGTGTTGTGTTGTGTTTTGTTGCGTTCAAGCGGTTTCGTCTGATGTGCTCGCTCCGTGAGAGTGAGCTGTATATAATGGGATGCAATTGAGCGCGCCATTCGTCGTGGGTTGATGGTTATGACCATGAACCCAATATCCTCCTATTTCATCTCTTAATCGCTATGTCGCATTTTAAAGGTTGGCAATGCTCGAGGTGTGGTCTGCTGGTAAGGTATACTCTCAAGCCAGTCTGTGCACCTCACCTCGTCACCTCCACACGCTTTGGCCTGCACTTCACCATACACGTTCTGTTTATTCGTCTCTCACTCCAACCTAGCGTTCACATTTGACAGCACACTCGTTCCCCTCTACTCATCTACGCGATCTAATCCGCATGATCTCTCGAAGCCTAAACTAGACCAGCGCATATGGGCCGATAATCGCATACCACCACCTCTCCGCTTTCACGCGCTCGAGCGAGTAATCACGATCTCCCCTCCCCAACGAAAACGATGGACAACCCCCCCTCCCCCTCCACCCTCGTCAGCAACCTCATCTCCGACTCCGCCTCCGCGCGCAAATACGCCGTCTTCAAGCTGCAAAACCTACTCTCCGACCCCTCGTTCGCCGACGCTTTCATTGCAGCCGATGGTTTACTAGCGCTACGAGATGCCGTGATGCAGACAACGGGGAATACGCAGGCGTATGCGCTGGGGAGTCTGGGGGTGTTGTTGGAGTTGGGGGTGGGGTGGGAGGGGGTGGATGCGCTTGTGATTGAGAAGGTGAGTTACGATGGGTGTGTACTAGGGAACGGGGCTGATTGTTGGGGGAAAAACAGGCAGTTGCGTTAGCGGTCGGACATCCGCTGGTGAATATCGTGCGCAACGCGCTGACGCTGCTCGTGCTGGTGGTTTCGCGACCGCTGGAGGGCGCGAGGAGGTCGGGGTCGAGTACGTTCGGCTTCCGAGCGATTAAACCCGCACTCGACCATCATCCGAATTTCCTGGAGTCGCTGGTACATCGGCTGAGCGCGTCGGATCACACGCTGTGCGCCAATGCGCTGCAACTGGTCAACGCGCTTATGCGGGACGCGGTGGTGAACGGGGGCGAGCTGGAGTGGCCGCGGTTCATCAAGCGACTGCAGGATTTGGGGGTTATTGGGGGCGTAGGCATGCTGATGCGCGGGGACGCGGCGAATGACGCCGGCAGCCCCTTGGCGACTGCTATACTGGAGTTCCAGGGCCTGACGAAGTTGCTGCTGCGGAAGTGGAAGGAGGTACGGGTGAATGTGGAGCTGCACGAGCATAAGAAGGCGCTCAAGACGATTCATCTGGCGTCAAACCCGCAGCCTTTCAGTCCGCCGAACTCGGACGGCGAGCCGGGGAGGAAGACGCGGAAGCATCACCCTGAGAAGTGGCGGCGGCTGGGTTTCGAAACGGAGAGCCCGGCGTGGGAGTTTGACGAGACGGGGTATTTGGGTATGATGGATCTGGTGGATTTCACACGGAGGAACGCGGATACGTATCAGCGGATTCTGATGGAGCAGTCGATGCAGCCGGTTGCGCAGCGGTGTCCGGTCGCGCGGGCGAGCTTGAGCGTCACGTTGGTGCTTTATGAGCACTTTGAGATTGAAGGGTCGGGGGGTGAGGAGGGCGGTGGGCATAGGACGAGTCTACAGGGACGGGTGTTTGAGGCGAGGGCGAGTGGGAATCTGGATCGGCTGTATAGGCCGCTGTTGCTGCAGTGGGGACGTCTGCATACTGCGGCGTTGAATGCTTTCATTAGGTTGTGGAAGGTTGCGGGTGCGGAGACGGCGGACTTTTATAAGATTGAGGAGGTGGTGCGGATTGTGGTCGAGCGGATTGTGGGTGGGACAACGCGGAAGACCGACGTGGCGACGGTTGAGGACGAGTTGAGGAGCGCGAGTCTGGAGAACGCTCGGAAGTGGCAGATGGAAGGGCTCGATGAAGTTAATGAAGACGCCTGGGGGCCACATCTGGTGCAAATACGAGAACAGCTGCATCACGAAAGCTTGCAGTTCATGAAAGAGCAGCGAGTCCGCTGTCTACTACAAGGCTCCTGGTTCCCAGCCTCCGGCAGCGGCGAGGCCGGCTGGCGATACGTCCGCCTAAGCCACAACCGCAGACACCTCCACTACCGCACCTACGTCTCCCGAGGCACCGACTCGCCCGCCCTGGGCGACCTACCCGAGAAACTCGACCTCCACGCCGTCACGTCCGTCGACAGCAACGTCTCCGCCTCCTCGGAGCAACCCCCCACCGCCCTCCTCAACGGCGACAACAACAGCAGCACCGACACCCTGACCGACAAACCCCTCCTCCACGAACCCGGCAAAGCATCGACCAACACCAAAATCACCATCATCGGCCACCCCCCCGCCACCAAATCCTACAAACTCACCCCCCTCCAAACCTCGCCCGTCGAAACCGTCCTGCTCGAACTCTACCCACAAACCTCTTCCCTAGCGTCCGAATGGCTCGACGGCTTGCTCTTGCTCCTGAACCAGCAGCCGATTACCAAGGACACGACGAACTTGGTCGCGATGATGGAGGATTGGGGCGTGAGGTTGAGGATGCTGAATTTGAGGTGGGAGGACGTGGATTGGGAGGCTTTGGAGATGAGGGTTAAGGGGGAGCGGGTGGAGGGGAGGGAGGTGCCTGGGAGGGAGGGGTTGGAGGGAGGGTTTTGGTTTGGGGGGTTGGAGACTTAGTTTTGGAATGGGAGGAGGTAGTGGGATGGAGTGACGCAGGCTGTGTTGTTTCTGGTGGGAGGTTTGCGAGTCGGGCCTGCCTGGTCTTGATGGTTGGCAGAGGTCCACGTTGTGCGATTCAAGCACAGGGGCTTCAGTTGAGAAAATGGCAGTCCCTGGAAGAGCAAACGCGCCAACATATCGGACGCGACGCCCATGGCTGCGAACGTTGATACCAAGGATAGCCGATCATCCGGGTTCAGGGAGGTGAGAAACGGGCTGGAAAGATGCCTATCTATCTTACATGGAACCTACCGAGTCCTGCCATTGCTCACTACCAATCCATCCTGGCCCTACCTCACTCAGAGATAAATCGAAAGAGTGAGCTGCTCGACTTGGCCACCACAGAGCTTGCTCGTATCTTACGCGCGATACCGCTTATCGGAAGAGCAGATGATGATGTGGTCTGGCTCGTGCTTTTGTCAGGAACGAATGCGCTGCGTTGCGGTGCGGTGCTTTGACTCTTCAATCCCGTCGTAAGCGCGGAGATCAAGCGTTGTAGGGCTCGTAAGGCTGAGTCGAGGAGCGAATGTCAGCCGCAGTGGACTTTGGGTTCTGTGAGAGTCCAGGGTGGTTTGGAATACGCTCGCTCATCTCGATGGCTTGCGAGTGGTAATCGCATTGAAGCATGCTTCTGGGTAAAGAGGAAATTGAACGCTCAGATACGTGGTAAGATTGGCTTCCAAGACTTACCAGAGGCCAGCATACCGGCCGATATACACGCGATTGAAGGAACCGGAAGGATTCCAAACCACCCAGGGCCGGGTTGACGCACCAGCCAGGTGCTTACGTTCTTCTAATGCTTCGCGAAGCTTTCTGGAAGATGTTTGAGAATCTGCTCATGGGTGTGGTCGGGGACCATGCGATTCGACCGCTGAACAACGTGTTTGTCCGTCTGACATCCACGACCGTCCTCGAGGATGGAGCTGAAATTCGAGTGCTAGATGATAGCGAAGATCAGAAGTAGATTAGAGTTGCAATAGACGGCAAACGGACGTTCTCTTGCAGCCGTCGCCAATATCCATCAACCATGGTCGATGAGGTAGTACAGCAGTAGTTGCTGCATCGGACGTTGCACAACCGCGCGGGTCGCCTGTCGTTCGGAGATGAGTGGAACAAAGACAACAGCTCACAAACATCACGGATCCGCGACAAAGACGCAGTTCACTGCGGCATGTGGTTGTTTCGTGGGCCGCTTCCGCAAGACACAAGCCCAGCTGTGTTGTTCAATGTCTGCCCAAATGTTTCAAATCGCGAGGAAGGGCACCGAATACGCTCTGATTAATCAAGGCTGTTATACCTGTGCCCACTTCTATGCGAGCCAAACAACATTTCCGCATTTTTAACGTGGTCGTGTCGAATGTTGATTGGATGATCCTGGTAAATCTGACATTTTGCCCGAATTCGCGAGCAGTCCAGAGCTATTCTTGTTCCTGGCCGACTTCGTCCTTCGTGATGACCCGTCGCACAAGGACAGCGCCGCGAGTGCCACATTTGACCGGGGCAGAGGGAATGGCGTTGAACAATCTGAAATGGTGCTGGGTGTGGTACCTGGCAGCAGACCATTGTTCTCACAAAAGTCAAGACAGCGAGGGGAATGAGGACCGCGCCAGCGCATGGTATGCAAGGCTACCTCATACCTCGCCAGACGGCCCCCATGTCGCTGCTGATGGAAGGCTGCTCCCTGACCGCCGGCCAGTGCGTAGTAGGGTGAAGATGTGATTGGCATCACGCTTCCTGCATATGCTCGATATTGCTTACTTTCTAGACGCCCGAGTGCCATCGACAGCTGCAACGACAAGTCATCGGAAACTTTGTTCACCCAAATATAACCATGATGCTTGCCGCATCTCTGTGTCACCTTCTCCCTCGGGCTATTGTGTGCTCGTCCGGCCCTGCTAACCCGGCAAACCGCCATCAGACACATTGAGCGTCCCACCGTCTCGTCGGGCTCGCTCCCATTGCCGCGTGCCAGCAGTAACACGAACTCGGGCTTGCTCACCTCTGAAACGGCAAACATGGCGTTCGTTGAATGATCCCAGGTCCCGCCTGCCGTTTGGCCGTGCTTGCCTCATGCGGGAAGTGTAAGGAAGCGGATATCAGACATGCAGCATACCGATATCCACGGCCCCGGGTCACCTGCATGCTCCCTTGGGTCAACAGACGGACGTCTCCTTGCTTTCGACTGCTCTTGTACTCCTCGACGGCCAGCGACACATCACGTCTGCAACGACCTGCAACATCGACGCAGCCTATCTGCAACGAGAACGGCAATGATCTCTCCGGAAGAGTTCGAAGCACTGCCGCCATCCATCCAGTACGTATCATCTTCGAGTATCTCATCCACTCGCTGCTTCGTCTGCCTTGACGGAGAATTCATGCCATGCAGCGGAGTCACCGACCGCACGAAGCCTTAGTGCTTGCTGCTAGCCTTCGCTACCGTTCATATATGCTGGCCCATCGTACTGACTACCCGCAGGAGGAAATGCTTCTCTCCTGCCGAACGGCTGCGTATCAACCAGCAATCCCAGGCACATAAGCGGAGGAAGCAAACGCCGTCACCGACATGGCCTGCTCCTCCATTACAGGCCGAGTCCATACGTCGAGCTGCAACCTCTGCTGGTCTGTCCGAGTGCTCCAATGATTCTGTCGTCAGTGCTGCTACCCCCACCATGATCACGGTCAAGCAGAAGAAGATCTCGGAGGAGCAGGCTCGCTGGTTCTTGATGCTGCCAGAGAAGGTTCGACGGCAGCAGTTTAGCAGGGAGGAGCATCTCACGTTACTCATACGCTGCAAAGAAGTGCTCGAGCCCTCACGGTCTCGTCAGGCAAAAGACTCCAGCCATCGAGGCTCCTCTTTCTCAAGGCCTCAGTCCTGCATGTCCTTGCTGCCCAAAGACAGACCATCGACCTCTACCGCCACCAGCGTCAACACCACCACAAGCTTCCTCGATACAGATGCTGCTTCGGTACGCACGACGGACACTTCCAACGCCGAGATGAAGATTTTCAACCTCTACACGGGTTGTGGTGGTTCAGTCTCTGCGCACAACGATATTGTCGCTACTGTTCCCAATCTCCCATCGACACAACCTCAGCCTCACCCAAGCGATATAGCAACACCGAAGAAGCGGCCGGCTTTCCGCAGATACTCGCTGAGGCCTCTACCAATACCACCTCCTGTCCTCGCTCCACCTGTGCCGCTGCTGCCGTCCCAATCGCCCCCAGCATCGCCTGCCTCTTCTCGGCCCCTCTCTTTGTCCGCCCGCCTGTCTCGACCCTACGTTGGTCTCTTCACCTCGGTGTTCGAACTCGAGGCAGACCCAGTGCAGCCAGTACAACAGCCGGTCGTTGAGTCAAGAGCTTATGACGATGAAGACATCCGCAAGCGCCTGCGGAGGACATTGCTCTCGCCAGAGAAGTTCGAAGAGGTGTTGGAGTTCGGATTTTCTGCGGATGAGGAGTGTCCACCGTCGGCATCAAGCTCGGACAGCACACTGCGGTTTGACCAGCCAGCCTCGAGTGGGAGCGAGTACGATGGCGACAACGACGGAGACAGCGAAGATGACGACACCTCAGTCGAAGCATGTCCGAGGACTCCAACGCCGCTCTCGGGGGACCTCTTCGGTCCTGCGATCAAGCAGTCTTCACTCGACTCTGGAATCGGAACACCGCTATCACAGATCGAGCCGTTCAGTCCTACGGCCACATGCGGCCCGACCACCAGCAACGGCAACCGGGAGATGACGGTCCACATGACACTCACTCGACCTGGCCTGCGATCACCGGAAGACGAACTGTACAGCGCCCAGCGCCAGCAGACCTCCGGCGTGGACGTCGAGAAGCACGACCCGCTGGCTTTGCAAGTGCTGCCAGTCTGCGATGATCCAAGTGGAGCTCAGGGTGCGTTTGCCGTCAGACGCTCGGGCTCGAGGATGGGTCTGAGGAATGTGTGGAAGAGTTTGGTCAAGCATTGAGAGGTGATCTGCAGGTGAATTTGCATTCTTGTATATATTTACCGCGTTCGAGCGTTTGATTTGCGATGCATTGGTGCTGGTGGAAGGAATACCCTGGGATTTATGCCATCTGATCGAGGCATGGGAGCAGAGGCGTCGTGGATAGTGACCGTCTCTCCAATCTCCAAAATACAGCTATATATGTACAGTACGATTGAGCCCAGACTTGTGACTATCTCTTGCTGGTTGATTTGTTCGAGAAGCAATATATCTACCTTGCATTAGCCCCTCCACGTTCCTGCCTCTTTCGTCATTAGCTCGAACCTTCTCAAGCTGTCTGCCGACGTCAGCGCTTCCACTCCAGATATCTATACAGCTACTCGTCTCATATCAAGGCTTCAGAAAGCAAACCAGCACCCTCAATCGTCATCTGAGCCATGGCCTCCTACGCAGTGGACATATCGGAATACGAAAACGATCCACGCCTTTTCCTCTTCACCTCGCTGACCGCCGGCTCCTCGCATATCATCACCGCGACATCCCGACTCGAGACAATTCTCAAAGCCAACAAGATACCTTTTCAAGCGATTGATCTAGCGACGGATGAGAAGGCGAGAAGACTATGGTCACGCAGGGCGCAGAAGAAGAAGCTGCCTGGGTTGGTCAAGGATGGGTTTGTTATAGGTGTATGTGCGTTGCTCTACGTGAGATGGGCGTGAAAGGATAAAGCTAATATAGATGGGGTGTACAGGATCTGGACGAGATTGAAGAGTGGAATGAGTTTGGCGAGCTGAAAGAGAACATCGGGCCAGTACCAGCGAACAATGCTGCGCCTGCCAGCAGTACCGTGCAGGGAGTCAACATACGCCCAGCTGAAGCTGCGAGTCCGAAGCAGGCGCAGGGATCGGTTGGACCGAGCAAACTTGGCGTCAACAAAGCCCCTGGACCGCTGCTGAACGAATCGAAGGCTGTGCCGCTACCAGGAGCTGCTGAGATGGCGGCGAGGAACAAGCCTCCGACGACCTCGAATCCTGTCGACGAGCCGCCTGCTGTAGAGACGATGAACACTGCGACGGGAGACAAGGAAGCGAGCGTAAGTGCTGCAAAAGCAATCCTAAAAGACGATCATCCAGGAGTCGACCACCTATCAGCCCCACCCTCGGCTCTACAGTCTGGTACCGCAACGCCAGCGCCAGAGGCTGCAACGCCAGCTACAGATGAACATGTGCCTGCCGAGGCAACGGAAAGGAGGAGCTCGACGCATCATCGGGGGAGTGAGATTCGGGAGGCGGATGTGGCGGAGATTCAGAAGATTGAGAAGGAGAATGCTTTGCAGGAGGAGGATGGGGAGGACGATGAAGAGGAAGAGGTTGTAGGGAAAGGTGTGGAGGCCTTGGAGGTGAACGAGGGTGAGAAGCCGCAGGAGCAGAGTGCGAAGGAGGGGGAGGATGCTACGAAGAGTGTGAAGGACTGATGTTGTTATGGGAACTTGATGAGTCTATGTCCATGACCCCTTTATGCTGACCGCTCAAGTTCTTCTCTGTTTCTATCTCCCTCTTTGCCGCTGCTGCTATGCTCAGACTCATGCTTAGCTGCCCAGCCGACGCAACCATGCTCACGGAGTAATTGCTCCGCTCGGCCTCCACGACGGGGACGATGCTGATGAAGGCGTCTTGACGATTCCAGATAGGTGAGCACGACATAGGTAGGTGTTTCAAATGTTTCGTGAACCAATTTCTACACATCAGTCGAAGGAGAAGCTGCAAATCTCCCAAGTACATTTTCGGAGGAATCTACATGGCTTGTCTTCGGTGCTGTGCGTAATCGTCTGCAGGCGAGAGAACGGGCACATGAAGGATGTAAGCTACATGTACCATGCGGATGCGCTGACTTCGCGCTCTGCGGAGCCGGAGCAATGCAGCCTTGAACCATTTATCTACGGGTATGCGCTTTTGTATTCCGGGACCAAGTGAGAGACTCATAGGTGACAGTAGTGCGGTTACACTGGTGTCCATACGATCTAGCTGAACAAGGCTCCACCATGCGGTATCTTCATGCTGCACTATCCTCCTCCTCGGGCAGACGTTTTACTGGAGTTCAGCTACCTAGTGCCGTAGAATACCACGATCAGCATCCACTGGAGGAGGAAATGTTCCTCCGCCCGGAACAATGGGAATATCTTTAGAGTCGCCCTGATGTACTCTCGCAACTCCTGCTCGGTCTTGTACGTGACGACGGGCTTATCATTCTTGATCGCCAGCATGAAGTCGACGATGTTGATGTATACACCCTTAACATTCTGAAATGATGTTAGCATACGGAACTCGTAGGGCAGCAGCAATAGACGGCGACTCTGACCTTCTCACACTGTTCGATTGTAGAGCCTTCTTCAACGCCGACATCCTGACAAAGCTGCCTCCAAGACAGCTCTTTGACTGTGGCCGGGTAGCGCCCATGGAAGAAAGTGAGAACGACCTTTTGGATGAGCTGCTGGAGTTTCAGTGTTGAAACAATGGCGATGACCGTAAGTATGCATACCTTTCTGCAAGCCTTTCCGTCTTCACCAGGTGTGACACCGATCTCGCGGCAAACCTTTTGCAGTTTGCGCAGCTCTTCTTCTTCTTCCTCGGTCAAGGGCGCTTTGAAGTCAGATGAGGTGGACTCGACGGAATCGTCGCTTGCGTCAGATGAGGTGGAATCGTCAGTCCTAAGAGTGACTGAGCGGCCGATGGTGATGCTGCGTTCCCCAAGGTTGACTCGAATGCGTTGCTGAGCTAGCTACTGAGGCGTCAGCACAAGTTTGACGGTGGAGAAGGCCTCATGCGTCACTTACGTCTTCGGATTCGTATGCCTGTGCTGTAGTGGTTGACTCAATCTTGAGATCGCGATGTTGCTGGGGGTAGAACGATTCTTCGGCACCGTGTACAGGCCCTGAGCGGTCGACAGTGCTACTGTCGGTAGCTTCATCCATGGCCTTGGAGTGCTCGTTGTTCGCCATGCTGGAGGTGGTGGAGTGAAGTAGATGCTGAAGTGAAGTAGAGTCGTGCTTCGAAAGCCGAAGGAGAAAGCCTTGCCGGTTCAACCTGACTTCATTAAGTGAAGTCGTGAGAATGACCTCACCTCAAGCCGCGCTGAGAGAATGAGTCGACAATACAGACCACTCGTCGTTGTCTGAGAGTAAAGTAGCATACGGACATGAACATGTGAAACCGGCATTAACAGCGGTGGCGAGTCGGAGAGCAGCAGGCCATCCGACCTACTGCTGTAAGAACTAGAGCATTTGATCGTATTGCGGTCGTACCGCTCCACCGTTCACCTTTACCAGTTTGCTGGATGATACAGATTCAGTTGTCCATTCCACTGTATGCGCAGAAAATACCACGTGACCTAATACCTCAACGTCAACCTTCGTGGTTCAGTCACACCCTGTCGTGAATTCGATCAGACCTGGGTACTCGTATAGCCAATGAAAATCATCATACCGTTTGCCACGTCATATAGCTGCCCTTCTGGTTCCATCGAAAGCGCTGCTGTGACCTCCCTGATTCTACCAGCAGTGCCCTTCATAGCAACTTCCCATGACCTTCTCCAGCCTCCGTATAAGGTCTTAATTCGTCGAACAAACCCAAGTTCGTCCGTGACATGGCGCAACGTCGCCCCCGTTCGTCGCCCCGTTTCGTCGCCCCCGTTCGTCGCCAGCACTTCAAGACTTCAGTACCTTATTCCGCTTCTCTCTCCGCTTCAGTCTCTCCACTCTCTTCCGATGCATCTTCTCCTCCATCTTTGCGAACCGCTCCTTCTCCTCCTTCGCCGCCCGCTTGTCCTTGATCGCCTGTATCCGCCGCTGCCTCTCGTCTTCCTTTTCCGCCTTCATCTCATCCTCCAGCTTCTTCACTTCCGCTTCCTGCGCCTGCTTTTCTACTCGCTTGGCATATGATGACTGGCCGGCTGTAGGCCTGAAGGCTTTTCGAGACTGATGCCACTGCTTCCCATTCTTGCGGAGGCCCGTGACTTGTGGTATCTTTGCATTTGGCGCGGCCGCGGGGGTGGATGCCAACGCGGTAGGCATGTTGTCGCCTTTGGTAAGTATAATTCGATTGGAAGGTTTGTAGTTAATTCGAAGAATGAAGTTGGAACCCGACGTTGTACCTGCAGCCGACAGCGGCGGTGGCAGCCAGAATTTCTCGCAGCCTTATCGATATCTAGCGCATGTGACAAAAGACGCACCACGTCACACCGTCTGCATTGAACGACTCGAAATCCCTCATTCCAGCGGACTGCGCTACCATGTCGCTCAAGTACTTCTGCATGTCCACTTGACAGAGATTCTGGCTCTCTGCGCCTGTCACACGAACTACCATGCTTCCTCGATAACATTCACTTTGCCTGCATCAACACCAGCTAGCTGCTTGCTCGTGAGGAGACAGCCACGACGACTGGCAGCCCAGATGGACGCAAGACCGAAAACCTCGAGTATTGAAGAGGCGGCTATCCCAAGCATAGCAGACCCAGCGGCGATCGAGAAACAAGCGACACGGCAAGGACTCGAGGCATTGAAAGACATATCATTCGGCAGCATAGCCGGTATCGCGGGCAAGGTGGTCGAGTATCCGTTTGATACGGTCAAAGTACGCCTCCAGTCACAGCCAGACCATCTACCACTCCGCTACAAGGGGCCACTGGACTGCTTTCGACAGAGCATACAGCAAGATGGCTTTCGAGGGCTGTACAGAGGAGTGAGCGCACCATTCGCCGGGGCGGCAGCAGAGACAGCTTGTCTGTTCTTCTCATACCGCTTAGCACAGGAAGCTCTCTCTGCTGCGAGTGGTCTCAAGTCTGGCGATATCCTGCCCCTGAGTGGCCTTGTCACAGCAGGCGCGATATCTGGCAGCGTCACCTCTGTGGTCTTGACACCAATCGAGCTTGTCAAGTGTCGCATGCAGGTCCCTCTGCAGTCCCCACTGGACCCAACGCTGCCTCGAAATGCAGGGCTGTCCACAAGAGCTGTCAGCCCCTTCGCTGTAATAAGGGACGTCTACCGCCGCGAAGGCTTGTCCGGCTTCTGGCGCGGTCAGCTTGGGACGTTTCTACGCGAGACAGGCGGCACAGCTGCTTGGTTCGGTTCATACGAGGCTTGCACGCTATTTGCCAAGAAGCGCGTTCAGAAAGACCAACCAACGGTCGCTTTGCAAGACGTCGAGCTCCCCATACCTCAACAAATGGCGTCTGGAGCAGTGGCAGGGATGAGCTACAATTTCATCTTCTACCCTGCGGACACGATCAAAAGCAAGATTCAGACTGGTGAGCTGAGCGCATCTGGCGTTCGGCCCACGTTTCTGCAGGTCGGCAGGGCGTTATGGCAGAGTCACGGACTGAAAGGGTTGTACCGGGGGTGCGGCATCACGGTTGCAAGGAGTGCGCCTAGTTCGGCGTTGATCTTTACGATTGTTGAGAATCTGAAGAGGGCGTTTGCTTGATCATTTGGGCGTTATGGCTGCATGAGCTGGAACGAGGCATGAGCGATGGTGTTGAGCGATGGTGTTCTCGCGTCTTTTGCTTGATATGGCGTGTCTCATCAACTGCACGAGCAGCTGCGGTATAGAATTGCTTCTCAAGACGACCTACCTACCTGCCTTCTTTGTTGCCTGACTGCCATATCGAGGCTTCGCCTTCTCATCCTGATGTTTCTCGGTTACCAAGCGACATTGAATACCAGGCAGGCTGAAGTTCAATAGCCTGTCTTTCCTGGCCTAATATAACCATGGATGAGGCTTTGCAGGAGCTGGGATCCTCATCCTTCCCGCGCCTGTCATTTTCAATCCTTGCGTAGATCACGAAAGCCGTTTGGAGATCTCCGCAGCCGCTGCCGCCGGCAGTTGTCGACACATGCGCACTTCACATCGCATCGCGCTTCATGCAGTTTTGCATGATGGTGTCGAAAGCGGTCTTACAAGAGTGATTGAAAGTCTCGAATCACCCGAGAAGTACTCAACGTGCTTTCAGGCGCCGCGTCCTCGGACTTCAACGGAGCCTTGACCTTAGGAGCCCCTTTCCACTGGCCGATTCCGATTCAGTAGTGCCCGTCCGCCCGGTCCCAGTTGATTCCTCTGCAAGTAGGATACCCTGGATGCTCCTTCGCGGCACAGGTTTGTTGTGAGGAATTCATCGACACACATGGGCAGAGCAGCATCGCAAAGCGGAACTGTGCATCTGTTCACAGCTTCTCCGAGTCTCCTCTTCCACCAACCTAGACGGACAACATAAGGTTTCTACAACACACTCAAATCCAGTGCTAACCTCAACCGCTCGTCACAAGTGGCTCTCCTTTTCTTTGTGCTTTTGCTACACTCGACAGCTCAATGCTAGGAACCAGCACTGCCTTACCTCAAGCCACCTCGAGTACCAGGAGAAGGATCACATTATTCCTTCTGATGGGCCATATCAATCACAATTCCACAACCAACACCGAACAATCCCTGCGCCGATCGTTCTCCAGGTCTGCACGGCCGCTATAATAGTTCCAACCTTGTCGCCTTCGACACGAATCCAGCACGAATTTGGCATTCAGATCAACCACTTCCTACTGTTTTCGGTCACAGCCCCTAGGGCAAGCGTATCAAGCTTCCAGATTGTTCACTGCAGACGCGTTGGGGCCAGTAGGTGCGTGACCTCACTTTTCCACCTCTGGCCCGCCGAGGGCAGGGAGTAGTTTGCTCGCCGGACAACCGTTGGGCCAGGCGAGAGGGCAATAGGCCGAGTGGCTAGTAGGTAAAAATGCGTAGGTTCGCGTGCTCGTGTTTCTCGTGTCCTGTTGTTGGAGGTGTTTCTTCTCTTCTTTCCTTCCTTTCTATTGCCCGGACACACGACGGGAAGACAGTATTCGCAGGGCTGCCCTTGTTACACTGGAGCTGGCGTATTGCTGGGTCATTGATCATCGACACTGCACCAGTTCGAACGCTCTGGATTGAACACACCTCCTCGCCCGGACAGGTTGTCGACGATGGGTTTCTTCAAGTTCTGGGCCTCCTTCACCGAACCACGAGTGCGAGAGATCACGCCTCAAGAAAAGTGCAAATGGCTCGAACATCCTAGACCGAACACATCAAACGGCCTTCGACTCAAGCACAAGAACTTCTCCAGTCCAGTCATCCACGATCCGGCGCAGAGCGATAGGCAATCGGCATGGGACGACGACAAGAGTTTCATCTCCAGGAGAAGTGTGCGCAGCATTCGAAGATGGGGGAGACGAAAGAGTAGGTCCGGCATTGCGTCAGACTTGTCGCAGAACGTGCCGCAGGTGCCGGAGTTAGTCGTCGAGTCGAGGCCATGGAGAGCGGAGGAGCGTGCAATCCCAGAAGAGGACCTGACGCGGCCGGGCACTGCGGTGACAACAGAGGCGCCTGTGTCGCCAATCACGCCAGGAACGCCTACATTGAACGAGGTGTTTGAGCTCTCGGCTGATAGCATGGTGGTCCCAAGGGCTCAGGAATTGAGAGAGGACATTGCGCGAGAGGAAGGTAGAAAGGACGAGAGCAAGGACGAGGATGCCGATGATGACGACGGAGAGGAAGAAGATGCGGCAGAACCACCACCTATACTGAATCTTAGAAAGAGAAGCAAATCCTGCGCATCAGACAAGCCCCGCCAAAAGCGAGCTTCCTGGTTCTCCATTGGCAGGCGAAGAGAAGACGACGACTTACCCCCCTTACCGCCATCTCGCGCAGGGCCAGACGCCCTCGATTCCCCAACCTTCACCGGCGTACCAATAATACCAGCAGCACAAGGCTTCCGCGACAGCCTAGGCGCCGAGTCCATCCTCCGAGCTTTCCCAGAAGTCCCCGGTCCGGCCGTCGAAGAAGAAGAAGACGCAAGCGCCTTCGAGCCCACGCTACGAGACTCGGTCTTCCTCCCACCACCGCCGGAGAAGCCCTTCCAAGGCTCCATCGAAGTCTTCCGGCCTCTCTCAAGCCCGCGAAGCTTCTCACAGCCGAAATCACCCATGCTGGCGCCGGATAGCTGGCCCCGTCCATCGAGCAATCTCTCAGATTCACGCCCTCAGCATGCGCGCGGCCTTTCTGCGAACTTGAAGCGTAGCCACATGAGCGACGACGGAGTCTTCACCGCCGAGCAGCAGCGGGACTACGGCCGTGTCGCGAGGTTCCTAGAGAACATGGACCAGAAGCATACGAGTGGAGGAGTCGTGGGCGTGGTGACGGAGGTAGGTGGAACGCCGGGGTCTGTACCTGCGAGGCCGTTGCGGCGGCATAATGTGAAGTACTCGAATGATGAGGCGTTGGCTGCGCTTGAGTTTGGGATTGCGGAGAAGTGAGGGAGGATATATGGGTGATCGTTTAGCGTGGCGCTGGGGTGGTAGTGATTATGGTGGACGTATTCATGATTTCTCACCTGCATCTCCGTGGCCATATTAGCTCGCATGACGTAGTATCGGTGAATGTAGTGACGGGCCCGTTGAGGCCTTCTGGGAGAGGGTGTGGAGCGCTGTCGTCAACATCCCCATGCGGATATGAGGAAGCAAATGCATACATCACTCGCTGCACTGGGACCATACTAGAGTAAGACCACGAGAACTGTAAACAACGCAACACATACTCATACTGACAATAATTATATTACAAGAAGCTCCCGCCCCATCTCCCACCCCCAAACGCCCAGACAACACCACCTCACCCACCGTCCACCCCCCTCCCCACCGCCGAGAACAGGCGCAGAGGCGACGGCCTACTGGTACCAAGGACGGTCCAGCGGCACGACGCGGATGTAGCGCCCGTTCTCGTCGACGACCCACTGCTCTGGCAGGGCACCACTCCCGCTGTAGCTGGGGCCGCCGAATTGGTGCGGCGGAGGAGGGGCGGCCTCCGCAACACGCACCCACTGCACCGGCTGCGCCGGCGCGGCGCTCTCCCTCTCATACTCATAGCGGGGCGGAGAACGCCCCACCACAGTCGACGATGTGGGCGCCTCCGCCCAGTCTACGCGCCCGAGATGGTTGCGCTCGTGCGCGGCCGCGTTGTGCCCCAGCACAGCCCTCATTTCTCTGGCATCGTACATTGCCGGCTCTCCGTAGCCCGGAGGCTCCTCACGGTACTGCACGAACTGCTGTGGCTGGTAGTGCGCGTACGTTTGGTGAGAAGCGCTCACAGGACGAGGGACGACCGGAGGCGTCGCTGTGGCGCGCTGTGGCTGCAGGTGTGGAGCGAGCCGGGCCAGCATGGATGAGATGTCTGCAGGCAGTCCGTTGTTCGTCGACTGTTGAGCAGGCTCGGGGGCCCCGACGGAAGGGCTACGTGCATGCTGATGCTGTGTGGAAGGCAAATATGCGGCGGTCGGTGCGTATGGGTTGGACGAAGCGTATGCGGGTCCGTTGTGCGACTGCCCTTCTTGTGGAGTGTTGTTGCTTTTCGTATGAGCCGCCAAGATATCCGCCAGACTGATGCTTGGGGCCGTCTGTGCAGGCTCGCGCGTAGGGTTGCCGAAGCTGGCTTCATCCGGGTTGGGAATGTACCCGGTGTCAAAGCGAGACGGGTCGAAAGGCGCTTGTTCGTTCCTCACCACTGCTGGGCGTCTTGGGTCGTATTCATCGTCTCTTGCTCCTTGCCTGGCGCCCATGGTCTCTCCGCCTGGCGTCCCATCCATGCCACCTCGACCCTTCTTCTTCTTCTTTCCTTGCATCTTCGGTTTGGCACCACGGGCGAACATGCGATCGAGGGCCTCTTCATGCTGGTTGACATTCGGAGCATCTGCCATGATCGTGCCGATTGTGGGCAATTGTGTGGGGAAGACTCCCGGGATCGCAGCAGCAACGAGTCCTAGCTTGGTGTCGTCCATTCCTGGAGTGCGAAGTAATTTAAAGATCGCCTTGTCTTCTGGCAGCTCGATCATACCGGTGGTCCAGTCGGCGTACGGGTTGCTTGGTAAATGCAGCAGCTTGAAGTGATTGATCAATGGTTGTAAGCCAATGGGAGTCATGTGCTTGATGCGCGGGTAATACTCGACTGCTGTCGCGGCGGTGCGATCGTCCTGCTGCTGCACGCAGACCTTGCAGACCAGCTGGTTCGCTGCCTTGATTGGTTGCATCAAAGCGTTTGAAGCAAGAGCAGAAGTGACAGTGTCCAACCTCGGATATTGACGGAAATGTGCAGAAAAGCGTGCGCAGGCGTGGTGAATGGTAGTGTGCATGCGGATTGGGACAGGAAGTCCAGGGACTCCCTCCAAGGCGTCCCAGATTTCACGAGCGTACATCGCAAACTGATCGGTCATAGCAGTCTCCCTGTCCTCCGGAAACGCGCTTGGCAGTTCATGCTGGTGGGCGTGGCCGTACGTTGCGAGGTCGTGGTGGTGTTGACCATCCCCATACGTCGATTGATCGTACTGGTGCTGAGCTTGGCCGTTGTAGGGGGTGTCGGCATGAGTATACTCGTCGGATGTGTAGCCGTGGCGTTGGACTTTCGAAGACTTGGTCTTCTGTGTCTGGTGTTGCCTGTGACCGTTCTCGTTGAAGTTCTGCCTTGTTTTGACTTTCTCTTTGGCGAAGGGAGGAGGGTCTGGCCATTTAGCTGTCTGCCAGTGAACCACGACATTGCCCTTGTTAAACTCATAGTCGTGCTTGGCACCGCAGTGTTGGATGAGCGACTCGAACGCAAAGCGCTTCAAGCGTGACTCATCCTTCGAGCGTGATTGATCTTTGGAAAATGGTCCATCTTTTGAGCGTACTTCATCCTCGCACTTAGCGCAGGTGAACAGCTCTCGAGTGTACTCCTCAGCGTGAGGCTTGATTTTGTGATCCCAGACCCATTTCATGTTGTCGAGAGAGAGGAATGGCTCTGCGAAACTGCCGTAGAACATTCCCTGTGTGCGCTCAGGCTTCGGAAGCTTGTCATCTTCGACATCCTTGACGTACTTCCCGTAGACGTAGTCGATACACTCAGTCGCAAATTGAGGGCAAGTCTGCCTGTTGAGTGGACCCGAATGCCATTGTGTATTCATGAATTCGTCCGCATACTCACCTAGCCTCAGTCGCAGCGATTCCTGAGCGCGCTCGTAGGCTTCGCCGTAGACTTCTTTCGCGGGTCTCGTGTCATCCTGCACGTGGGCTGTGAAAGGCTGTGCAGAGCGGAATTCGGCCATTTGCATTTGGCGGTCATGCTCCATTTCTACGGCATGGTCTCTTTGGTCTTCCAAGTGTGGTCGAAGCTGCTCCCATGCCAGATCTGTCATCGGCTGGGATATCTGCATCGCATTCTTGAAAGACGGCGCATGTTGTAAGACCTCCGGTATGATCGGAGGGTCGAGAGCCGAGCACCTCCGCTCTATGTCAGCTTTCCGAGCTTGGCGTGCTGCTTGAATGTCCTGAGGAGTCCTGGCTTGTTTGGAGTTGTCTGATGCTGTGTATCCTTGCTGCGACCAGGGCTGTGTGCCTGGCGGCATAACGTATTCGTGGTGTCCATTGTGCATAGGATAAGGCAGTGCTCCTGGAGGTCCAGAATTCGTGGGATAAAAAGACGCGTATCCTTGCGGAGAGGCACCAAAGTGGTTCTGGGGTGCCATCGATGTTCCAGCACTTATCGTTGGCGTTCCGTTAAGCAGTGTCTGTGACATCATGCCTGCACCTGTACAAGGCATTAGGCTCTTTTCTACGGCCGATCCGTGTAATTGGGCAAAGCAAGAACCGCCGGGGCTCATGGCAACACACTCGGCAGAGAGAGAGACAGGGGACTCGAAGCGAGGAGCAAGCGAGCATGAAGATGATTTGGAAGGTGGCTTACCGTTCGTCGCGACCGCTGGACGTCCTACATCCGTCCCAGCCGACTTGATCCTGTTATGATAATGCGGAAAAGAAGACGGATGATACTCCCTGAGCACTTGCGAGATTTGCTGGCCAGGTGGCAGCTTCTTCTCCCAGACTTCCCATCTGGCAGCATCCGACATGAGGTCTTTACCTCTCTTTGGAAGGCCTTGCGTCCACCCTTCTGCGGCATCGAGACGCTTGGCGTCTTCGAACTCCATGTGGATGTTTTCGAAATCACTCTTGCGGTATACTTTGGTGGCCTGGAGGTTATGAGGGATGCCTTCTTTGGAGGTGCGTTGCGTCTCCGAGATGTAGTGAGACTGGGGCGTCAGGAAGATGTGGGTGATCCCATTCTTGAGCACTCGCCCTACTTCACCCTTCACCAGGAGTTGCACATCCTGAACGATGATTAGCATATGCATTAAGTTGGGAGCGATTCAAACACTGACCGAAATGGTGGTGTCACGAAGACAGGGGCCGCAGGTGATTTCGCCGAACGGCCAGATGATCCGGACACTGTGGAGACCAGGCCCGCGATCATACGCCGAGGTTGCGGGCGGTGGCCTGGACGGAGGGCGGTTGCATCTGTGGCACGTCGTCGAGAAGAGCAACCTGAGCATTTGCCTCTCGGTAAAGCCTCTCAAGGGGCGTGGGAGAAAGGGGTAGAAGCATTGCCTGGACTGCTTCCAAACAGTTTCGCTTGCTTGGACTTGGTGCACAGCAGGGAAGAGCTTGCGTGCGCCGATCACCTGGTGTGGACCTATCTCCGTTGGCTGGGCTGTGCTGGTGAGAATGCGTCTGAACTCCCGGCAGCTCGATGCGCAGCGTTCGAGGTCAGCGGGTGCGACCTTGACGAATACCTGCTGCCATAGTTGCTCAGGAAGGGCTTTGACACCCTCCGGGTGCCACTTTGGAGAGTCTGCAGTTGAGTCGCTGCTGACAAGAAGGGAGGGGTGTAATGACAGCTTGCGCCGCTGAGATGGATGGTCTGTTGACTCTGCATTACCGTGGTCAGTCACGTCAGTGTCTACATCAAGTGAACGCTTGACGCCGGCATGGCTAGGCGGCGGCAATGGCTGTGGCAATGGTTGTGGCAATGGCTCCTTTGATGGCACTGGGGAGCTAGGCCGGCTTGCGTCCGAGATATCCATATCCGAGGAGGCATCCGTGGCTTGGTCCTGCTCCGGATCCTGAGGGGCGGTGGTCGTAGCCTGTGGCTCCGTCATATCCGGCGGCAAAGGCAATCCTGGCTGCTTGTTGTCCGACTCCGTGGCATAAAAGTCCGAGGTGGACGAAGGCGTCTCGCTCGAGTCCATCGGTTCAAGGCTGTGCTCCTTTGGTGCTGACACGGCTCGTGTCCTGATGATGACGCGTAACGCGTCGCTGTTGCAGTTGGCTGCAGAGTTAGGGGAAGAAAGCAGGCAGACAGGAAACAGTGCGATACCACCCACTGTTCGAGCGCGCAGAGCGCGTCAAGTGGAAGGGAGTAGCTGCTTGCTGTACTTATGCGGACACAGGCTGCGCGGCGAGATGAGCGGCGTGCGGCGTGTGATGAGCACCACTGGAAAAGTAAGGCGTGCGAGTGCGAAGGAGCGAGAAAGCGCGATGTGGAAAGCAGGCTTGGCTAGAGCCAGCCGTGCCAAGACAGCACGTGACTCGGATCTGACGAAGCTCACCCGACGTCAAGCTGGACGAGGGCAGTCATTCCATCTTCCACGCAACTCTGTCCACGTTGGCTTGTGGCAGTGTTTGCTATACGATCTATCCGACTTCACGATTCGAAATCCAACATTGCCAGTCATTTTGACCAAGTCAAACAACCATGGCATCGCTCAATCTATCCGCAAACGGACCTTCCATAACAGCCAGCTACCAGAAGATTGTCAACTCTGGTCCACCCTCGGGAGCAGCAGCGTCTTCACCGACATACGGGCAATGGGCGCTCTTCAGCGTACAGGCGCCGCTCGTCAGTGCCTTCCAGGCCGAGTCTGGTAAAGAGAGTGTTCTCAAAGTCCAGACGACTGGCGAGGGCGAGCTACTGGACCTGATCGAAGACTTCTCAGATGGCCGCATTCAGTTTGCCTTCGTCAAGGTCAAGGACCCGAACACAACTCTCCCGAAGAGTGTGTTGATTGCGTGGTGTGGAGAGGGAGTGCCAGAAAGGACGAAGGGCTACTTCACCAGCCATTTGAACGCAGTCTCGAAAGTGCTCCACGGCTATCACGTACAGGTGACCGCGCGATCGGACAGGGATCTCACGCCTGAGATGATAGTCCAAAAGGTGGCCGATGCCTCGGGCTCAAAGTACAGCGGAGGAGGAAATGTTCCAGCATCATCTGGTGCATCTGGCCCTCCCCCTCCGGTCGCCTCGAAACCCACCATGCCAACAAAGAGCTTCGGAGCTTCAGGTGGCTTCCAAGCTCTAGGCTCTCGGTCAAGGGCGCCGCAATCTAGTGCACCCGTGGATTCAGACGGATGGGGAGAAGATGCACCAGAGGTAACACGATCACAGCTTGAAAAGGTGGCACCGGCGTATCAGCCCACAAAGGTCAACATGGGTCAACTGCAGTCACAGAATGAGCCCTCGAGATATCAACCACCACAGCAATCAAGCAATGGCAACCCTGACGTCGTCAAGGGTGGCTACCAGCCTGTAGGAAAGGTGGACATCAATGCTTTGAGACAGCAGGCACAAGAGCAGGGACAGAGCAAAGATGATCGACCGACGGTTGTGAAGGGTGCCTACGAGCCTGTCGGCAAAGTGGACATTGCGGCAATACGATCACAATCGCGAGCGGCACCTCCAGCTGCCGCGCCCATGCCATCGCAGCCTTCAGGTGGTGACGAGGAGCGGCCAAAGTCGCTCGCGGATCGCTCTGCGGCTTTTTCGAGTGGCACGGGTAGCGAGCGCCTGACATCGCTTCCGAAACCAGCAGTCGCCAACCGCTTCGGCTCGCAAGCAAACACATTCGCTGGTACGCGCGCACCCCAGCCTAGTGGTTTCGAGTCGAAGCCTGCAGCACCTTCGGCCGCTCCTGTTGGAACAGCGAGCAAGACCTTTGCGGACGAGGGCGGCAAGACTCCGGCGCAGATCTGGGCGGAGAAGAAAGCTCGTCAACGTGGCGATAGCGGTGCAGCCGAGACGCAGCCTTCAGGCGGCTCCGGTGCGCCCGCTTCACCCATTCAAAGTCAGCAGAGTGGGAGTTGGCAAAGCGGATACGCTGGGAAGAAGTGGGGCGTCCAGATTCCAAGCAAGACCGGTGGCAGTGCGGTGAGCGAGCAGAGGACGGGTGAGGAGCCACCAAGGGAGGAAGAACAAGAGCCAACTACGGGAGGTGTGGGTGCCATCCGTGACCGGTTCAAGGATGCAGCACCAATGGGAGCGACTGCACCTGGAGCACCTTCTGCCCCTGAGCCTCCACCACTCGACACTTCGAGCAAGCCAAATGCCGGTGCTCGTGGTGTCCCAATTCCAGGTCTTCCGACAAGGCCACAGCAGGAAGACGTTCCGGAAGAAGAGCACCAGGACCTTCCACCTCCGCCACCTCGTCCGATGCCACAAGACGAACCAGAAGAGGAGGACGAGGAGCCCATGCCGCGCGGCTCGCCAATCCGTGTCGCCATGCCCGTCTCCCGCGAACCGGAGGCCGAGATCGAGAAGCCCGAGCCTCTCCCACCGCGTGGCCTGCCAACTGAATCTCTCCAGCAGACCATCTCACAGCATGATGAGCCGGAGCCAGAAGAGCAGATGCAAGATGACGATCCAGCGCGAATGGCCGGCCAAGCAGCCGCCACAGCAAGCTTCGGCCAAACCGAGGACCCACGCAGCGCAGGTACATCGGGTGGTCAAGAAGCCATCGCCCAGTACGACTACGAGAAGGCTGAGGAGAACGAGCTGGAGCTCCGTGATGGCGACCGCATCACCAATATCGACATGGTGGATGAGGATTGGTGGATGGGCCAGAATCCTCGTGGCGAGACCGGATTATTCCCAGCGAACTACGTGGATATCGTCGCCGGCTCTGGTGGTTCGGGTGGTGGTGCTGCCGCCGCGCCTCCGCCGCCGGCCCCTGCTCAACCTGAGCCAGAGCCAGAAGAGTCAGGGGGTGGAAATGCCGGGCACACTGCTGTGGCGCAGTATGACTACGAGGCGGGCGAGGAGAATGAGCTGTCGTTCCCCGATGGCGCGAAGATTACAGATATTGTAAGTCATGCTGTCCCTCAGACGTCCCATATCACCGTTGCTAACACACCACAACAGGAGTTCCCAGACGAGGACTGGTGGCTCGGCAGCTACGGTGGCAAGCGGGGTCTCTTCCCAGCCGCGTACTGCGAATTAGACCGCTAAGAACAGAAAGAATAGCAGAAGGTGGTGATGGTGGCGACGGAGAATATGTATATAGAGCAAAACCTTGTCTAGGATGCCAAGACAGCCCCAAAAGCTTTACCACAGACGCACACAATTCCTGGGTATCCGTCAAACGATCGGAGGAGGACACAGTAAGTGTTTTCACAGTCGTCAAGACTCGGAGCATCTGCTACGTACGCAATCTGAGCTTCACAGTTACTCGCCGGCTGGAGATCGACTCATCAAGGCGCGAAGCTTCGTCGTTAGGCCGCGAGCAATTTGAGAAACCCTCGCTTCATTGCTGCATTGCCGCTAGCTACACACATCTATCTAATCCTCCTCACCATCCTCCTCGACATCATCTAGCCCTAACCAAGCACTCCGGCACCTCACCCCCTCCGCCCTGACCTCCCGCTTCCCATCATCTAGACACGCCATCAGTTTCTTGACCACCTGTCTTCGATACGGCACTACTGCTTCCCGCTTCAGTTGCTTTGGTACTAGAGCCAGACATTGCAGCGACTTTGCGCGGACCTTGGCGATGTTGGCTGGTGCAGCGGTGCAGTTGAGTAGTCGTGTCACGAGGGAAGCTGTGTGCTCTGCTATTGTGTCCGGGTCGTGCATGAGGACTGACTCAAAGATCGTCAATGTCGAGGCTTTGGGTTCCTGATCCGCGGGTGACGAGAGGTCGAGAGTTTGAAGCAGCGGGGGGGTAAGTGATGGTAGTGAGGTAGAGAGCATAGAGTACGGCAGCCAGCGCAGAATTCCGGAGAGAGCGATGAGGTAGTTCGGTTTAGTGCTGGGCTCTGCACTGCGGACTGCTGCGGCGAGAGATGGTACCAGTCGGCTGAAGGTCTTTTGCTTGTAGAGGCCGGAGACCTGGCAGTGGTTTTCTTTCGTCAGGATCTCTTCGGGGGCGAGAAGGCTGGTGAAGCGTTTCGCTACGCTTTTTCCGTCTGGCGAGGAGAGGAGTTGGAGGAGGAGTTGGAGGTACTCCGATGTCAGGGCGGAAGATTTGCCTTGGATGAGCAGGGCTTTTGTGACCGCGAAGGCGACGCCAATTGAGTTTGGTGGTGGTGAGACCGCTGAGAGGAGAGCTTCAACTTCAAGCTCTGCGCTCTGCAGGGTTGCCTGCATTGCCTTTGCATTGATGAACTTGTTGATCAAGAGTGAGATGTGCTGCAAAACCACTGGAAGAGTTTCGTGGTCCTTTGTGTCGAGTGCTAGTTTCGCCTGCGTTTGAAGCAGTGCAATAATGTCCTCTGCCTCAACGACGTCTGGCCGCAGGGAAGCATAGTAGTAGAGCGTGAACGGTGCGGTGTGAGCCGAAGAGCGAGTGGTATCGTTCCGAATCGCTGCCATAGAGTCCAGGTTCTTATTGTAGACCTGGCTCTGGAAGTGCACGCCTTGCTGCCGCAGGATGGCGTTGCACAGTCGTCCGACGATATCGACAAACTTTTGATCCAAGCCGGCCTGCAAAGGCTGGATGATGGTTGATGAAAATGGCTCCACATATTCGGCGAAGTAGTTACCTCTGATCACGCCCTCCTCATCAGGCATTGGCGACCCATGAGTGAAAGCATAGAGAATGGCCAGTAGCATCGCCTGTTGGTATTCTTCCGATGCTCCTTGCGCATTCGCCACATTGTACTTGTTCTTCAGGCGCAGGACGACCGTATCGAAGACTTGCTGCTCGCTGCTGAGCTGTGCAAATGCCTCAAGTACTGACAGATAGCTGGAGTCGCCTGCCGGGCTGTCAGGAAGTTCCACCATGAACGCTGGTATTGCTTGGTTCCGTATCGCATCTGGCGCTGTGCGAGCCATCTCCGCCAAGGTCTTGATTGCCTGGGACCTGATGTCGCCATGGCCTGGGACCTGCTCGTGTAACACGATCTCGGTTACTGCATCGACGGCTCGGTATCCTTGGTCTTCGGTAAGCAGTCCACGAAGAGCCACCAGCTGTGCGATGCCGGAAAGTGCTGTGAGACGAAGAGACACTTCAGCCTTAGGCGCATTTGTGAGTACCCTCAACATCACCCCCAACGCATCTCGACCGTACTCAATCAACCCCTCAAGGTTAAGCTTTGGCTGAAGCCTGAAACGATCGAGATATGCCCGTACCACCTCGTTGAAGACTTCGAGCAGTCCCCTCCGCTTCGTCAGGGACTCCGATGCTTGGTAGAGAGTGAACAGGTTTGGAAATATGCCTTTCACAACTTTGTCTGCGACAGGAGTTGCGGAAGACGCCAGCGCGTACAAGATCCGGCCAGTCGCTGTTGATTGCTTGGTCGGGGCATCTTCCAGGTGCTGATTGCATTCTTTCATGATTGGCCTCGTATAGGCATTGAGGAAGCCTTCTTGCAGAGCAAACTTGCCTGCCATCAAAGCCAGGGCTTTGAGCGCCCCCTCTGCCAGGTCTTCCTCTTGAACATTCAAGATCTCGAACTTCAGTGCATCCCATAGAGTGATAGCATAGATGTTGATCGTCTTGATATCGTAGCTAACCACACATGATTGGATGGTATGAAGAACATCCCTCTACGTCGGTCAGCGCAATTTCTCATCCGTTTCCCAGGTCTATGCTCACCTTGGTGTTCATCGAAGTTGAATCCAGCTTGTCCAGCAGCGCCGGAAACGCGAAAGGTGCAAACTGTGAGTTCGCCGCGATGCAATCTCGCAGCCGATCTTTGAGATCCTGAGCAGAGATGCCATAAGGATCATCAGGAGGCGGCTTGAAAGTGATTGGAAAGTAGTTGAAGGCTGCCTCGAACAGATCTTGGGCGTTGCTCGAGATGTCCCACTCTGTCATAGGTACGTGGAGGATGGAGAAGACCACCATCAAATTCCTAGGGTCCTTCTCACCGTCGAAGAAGTAGATGAACTTTGCCAGGAACTCCGGATCGCTGGTGTGCAGTTCGTGCAATGGTGCTCTGTACTTTTCTAACAATCGGTCGAAGAGCTGGATGACAGCGAACCGATCTGTTTGGAGCTTATGGTCCTTTAGCGGGCTTGCGTGATCGAGAAAGGTCTTTGTGACCCGTTGAACTGTCTCAGGATCCCATTTTCCACGTTCTTCCAACGCGGTGAGAACCCGAGCGGATGCTCCAATGCCCTCCGAGTCGCCCTCCAACCGGCCCAGGATGAAGTCGCATAGTAACCGCCTCTCCTGTCCAGTTAAGACTTTCGGTGGTACAGCCTCCAGAACGTCCGCCAGATAGGCGACTGACTTCGCACGGAGGGCGGCATCGTCCTTGTTGTTGATGTAGTCCTCAAGGCTCGTTATCAGGTCGATGAGCTTCAACTCTTTGTGTTCTAGCTTCGAAGCACTCCGAGCAGCTGTTGACTGGGCTTCCGGCTTGTTCTTGTCGACCTCGAGGAGGTACAGCTGAATATCGGACATTTCTTCATGGTTTGATGTTGATATCTCGGGCGTCCAAAATAATTTTGGTTTTGGTGAAGATCAGGCTCGCGATGACGCCACTAGCGCGGATTCGCGCTCACTTCAGGTCGACTGCTTAGGGATTTTGAATGACCACTGCACCTCTCTAATACGTTAGGGCCACCGCAACAGGAGCAGGTTATCTGACAAGCGATGCCTTCACTTTTCAGCGACCAGAACTGGCTTCGGACTACATGGGAAGCACGACAGAGTGGCGGATGACGTTGAAATCTCAAACCGACTCGTCTGTAGGATATATGTCATGGTATTGGCTACTCTGCTCGCGCCCGCAGCCAAAGGTCTACTCTGAAGGCAATGGCGCACTTCATTACATGTGTGCTTTGCTGCAGAGCTGATACTGGATGTCGCCCATAATCCCCGTTGATGATCTGGTGTTCAGATATGCTAATTCTGAATACACGGTGCGTGGCAACCGATGGGGCGAGACATCTGTGGACCCTGTTACCAAGAACAGACAGCTTCCATGCGTTCAGGTCTGTACCTGGCTCCAAGTGAGAATTACATGACGGTGACCGGCGGCGCCTGACTTTGATCAACATGTCCTTCTCTGGCAGAAATGCGGCAGTGAAAGCGGCCGACCAGACATACCAGGCAGTCTTCTCCGAGACGATAGCGTGGCCAAAAGGCCGTATCCCTCCCGTCAGCGGGCGGCGGTCGTCTATGAGAACGTCTATTCGCGGCTCACGCTGACCTACTGGGACGCTTTCAATCGACAGCTTGTCTGGGAAGCTTTATGGCAATACGGGGAGAGCTTTTCCTTTCCAGATTTCCATCCACGTTTCGTTTTCGAGCGCACAGTCTTCAAATCACCACTGTCTTCCTCCACCGAACTGAGGGATCACACAGACAAGACCATCGTCGCACCTCAAACTCAATACCGCCGATACTGCCGACTGCTCCAAACAATCGCTTCGGTCACCTAGCAGACCTTTCATCATGGTGTCACCAATTGGTGAGAAAGCTGTCGACAGCCAGATCGAGAACGCTCTTGAGAAGGGAGCGGTTGAAGGTGCGAACTCTCACACACTACACATGCATTGCTCATGTTGTCAAGAATCGCCCCCTCTTCCACCGCCAAGAGGTTGGCGAAATAAATTGATGCTGTGGTGCATTCACATGGTTCTGGCAACCGCAACATGCCTCTTGTTCTGGTGGACAGCCAGGAAGACGCTGCCACCGTCCGTCGTGCCTTGGGTGATCTACTTCGAGCCGGAAAAGACGGCAGCGATTCACCTCGTTCATGATCGTCATGGCCAACAACTACTGGACCAGAATATTGATTCGGCAAGCTGCAACTGCGCAGGAAGCGGCAGCTGCGCCTGCCCCCCTGAACCTGCCCCCAAATGAGACTGAGAAACTGAGGTTGTGATGGCCGTCACATCCTGACCTGACCCTTTCCAACACGAGACGAAGTAGGTGCTCCGGGACGGCTCTGTGATCATACTTCCAGGTTTCAGGTTTTCTTCTGCTCCGCCGACATCAGACTTCTTCATCACGACCACCACTTCCTACTCTCCACTCGAACAAGACAAGACCAGCTGCGCCGTACTCGTCATCACCAGTTCACAACCATATCCGTCAACGAGAATAGCTCACTCATTTCTCTTCACGACCGTGACTACCATCCTCACCATGGCTTCCACACAGATCAGAAGGGACAGCAAGACAGAGGTAGCCCTCGAGCAAGCCTTGACACACGGTACCTCCTTTCTCATCCAATCCGCTGTTCGACGAAGTCACTGACCTGGAGCAGCTCCTCGTCCACTACCACCACCGCCCACGACCTGGCGCACATACGCGAAGCGGTTTTTCGTCCAACTCCTCGTCCACACGGTTTTGCAATACATCGCACCGTGCATCGTGCCATCGCATCTGAGATCATACCTTGGTCTTGACTGGTACGGGGGGACATCACCGTGGCGGCCATGGCAACCTTCATCACTCGAGCCATTCTTGCCGAAAGTCTGGTGGCCGTCGACAGGCGCACTGCGTCTCCACCTCCCACCCCGAAAGGTGGAAAGCACCCCAAGAAAGCAGCGGCAGCTCAGAAGTCCAAACCCGACGCGGAAAAGACGCAGCTGAAGCACGAGGTAGCAGCCCTCGTCAAACACGAGCTAGAAGCAGACCTCTACCGCGTCGACACCAGCATCGCCCGGTCCGAGTTCATGCTGCAAGAGCTTCGACCTCTGGAGCTCGAGTTGGCGGAGATGACGCGTCTTCTGTCCGAGGATCACAAAGTCGAGCACGAAGACAGCTGTGACAACTGCGCGCTGATGCGCCAGACGGACATCTTGTTGCGGGAATTTGAGCGTGAGGCTGGATGTCGGCGCGAACTTGATGAGAGCCTGGAGGAGTTGAAGGGGAGTAGAGCTGCTTTGGCGGGATAGTTGGGAGGGTCGGACGTTGACTGTCGTTATGGTGGCTTGCATCGGCGCGAGTGGATGGCAGAGGCTTCCAGGATCATCGTATAGGGGGCGGAAGGGACCTCTCATTAACTTTGGCGCTGGCTGGCGTTATTGTTTCGGGGTGGAAGGGAAGTCGGAGATCACAAGGGACACCATTCATACCACAGCGCATTAAGCGTGCACTACAGTTGGCATCAGCACAATGGCAGACACCAGTCCAATGCATTTTCCGTCTTATCGCACAATGCACTCACTACTATACACTGTTTTTCCATCCTCTAATCCACCCTCAACACCCTCGCTCCCCGCCTCTTCCCACTCTTCTTCCGCTTATTCCCCTTCTCAAACGCCAAAGCCTCCTGATGACTCCGGCCCAGATTGTCCAGATCTTTCACTTTATAGATCCGGATGATCCAGTTCTCCGACGTGAAAGCCTCCTCCAGCGTGCTCAACTCGGGCCCTTGCGCGGGGAGCCGCGAGCCACGCACACGGTCGGTCGCTTGGCCAGCGGGGAAGAGGGAGTTGTAGTTGTAGTAGGACATCTTGTACATCAAGCTGTTGCGCATGGTGGGCGTGGCTTCGTCGTCGATGCGGTATTCGCCGCGGGCGGTGAAGAAGTCGCGTTCTTTGACTTCGTCGGGCCAGATGCCTTGACAGTGTCAGTGTCATTTATTCGAGTCAAGAAAAGGGGAGAAGCTCACCTTCAGCGATCCTGACCATCCACAAGAACTTGTTGATGTCGTCACCGCTGTACCCGAGCAGACCGCCAAAGACCACCAGCACGTAGTCGACCTCGTGCTGCCTCATGATCGGGTATGAAACCTCCTCCCGGCTCGACATCGCCTTGCCAACCGTCGCAATGTGCGTGTTGTTCCAGGTGTTGTTGTCGACCAAAGTCGGCCGATCCGCCATGCCACCAATTTGGTAGCCGTAGTCCCACCAACTCATGACCTTGGCGGTCTGGTGAGTATTCTGCCGAAGCCAATAATAGGCTTCTCTGTAATCGTCGATGATGTGCTGGCTACCATCGGGAAGTCGAGACGCAAGCACCACGGACGGCGAAGAGTACGCGTTCGAAGTCACCCATGTGCAGTGGAGCACAAAGAGCAAGAGATAAACGGTCAAGGCACCGGTCGTGGTGGCCTTGGAGAGGTAGGAGTAGATGCCTACGATGGGCTTTGTGGTGGATCGGAGTGTGTCCGGAACCGCAGCAGCCAACTTCTCGGAGAGATTGGCAGAGCCGTTCGCTCTCGGACCATTTGCTTGGTGTTGAGCTGGTTCCGCAGGCTTCTCTGCGACCAGGAAGGTGTCCAAGATGTGGCTAAAGGCCATAGCGGCAGCAACACACACGATCGGCGTCAGTGTGAGCATCAGACGTACCATGACGCCAGCAAAGTAGCTGGCGAGGACGGAGTAGATGACGATGAAGACCTGCTCGTCCTTGAGGTTGCGGAAGCACATGTAGACACCGGCTGGGAAAAGCCAGATCAAGAGGTTCAGGTCGAAGAAGAACGCTGGCCACGCGGTGGGCTGATGCTCTGAGACCGAAGCAATGATCGGAATGTGTACCTTTGCGTATGCCGTGTCCCAGAGGGAGTAGAAGCGACCAGACCAGGGTGCGATGGTGCCCGAGACAGTGAGGAGGACCAAAAATCCGAACGCTGCTGCGAAGACGACCAGAACGAGGCCGCGGAGTAGCGTTTGGAACTGCTTCGATGGCAATTGAGTGCGGACGTACTCGGTGAAGCCAACCAGCTGCAGAAGACCGAAGACGCCTAGTCAATCCTGTTAGCATATATCTGAGTAGACTGCTCTGTGCTGAACATACCCAATGCAGACATGTGGTCGCTACTCTTGATCGGCAAAAATCCAACGAACGGCACCTGCATACTCGCCAATGTGCCCAACGCATACCACGTCGTATAGCTCACGTACAGCCTCGGGCTGAAGCGTCCCATACAAATGAGGACGAAAGCGTGCAGCGGCAGCAGATTCGTGATGAAGACGTATCCACCCCACGCGCTGACCATGTATCCGTAGAACAATGCGCAGAAGCCAGCCCACATGATGCTCCCCTCTTTGACCGCCTTGATCCACAGGTAGAAAGTGAAGACCAGCAAGAAGATAGCAATCGCCTCGTTGTCGTAGCTACCTGCCACCGATCTCGAGATGTAGCCAGGAGTTATTCCCATGAATGCTGCGGCGAGCAACCCTGCTGAGGGCGAGGTTGTCATTTCGGATGTAAGGAGGTAGGTCGCGAAGGCTGTGAGGCCAGAGAATGCTGGTGCTAGCAGCACACATATGTTTCGAATGTCGACAGGAAGGGCGAGGAAACGGAGGACGTGGTAGATGATCCCAGACGTGACCATGAGGCCTGGGTATAGAGTACCGCCGGTGACTCGTCCCAGGGGGTGCCATGTTCCTGTACATATCCCAATCAGCACTCTGTCATCGCCTCGAAACCATGCGATGTCCAATACGTACGGTCATCGAACCAATCCCAAAAGTTGTAGAAGCCATTGTTGACCAGATATTTTGTTGCCCGAAAGTTGAACCACGGATCGACTGTGCACATTAGCTATCTGTGCTTCCTTGCCATACTGACTATACTCACACTCGTGAATGATGCTCTCGAATCGAATGACAGAAAACAACCTGCTCGCAACGGCAGCAGCAGCAATAGTCACCAAGATGATGACCCGTAGGAGGCCTCTGGTGTTTCTGCCGCTCTCGCCCTCGAGGAAGAACTTGGTGGCGGACCCTGCCTCTTCGACGGCCATCTTGAAGGATTGAATTGGCAAACGAGAGACACAATGGCGTGTCGTCTTCAGTCCCTACCTTTACCTTTACTCCAAAGGCCAGCTTGCTTGGCTTATGTCGTCGCTAGCTGCGGCCAAAGCCGGAGCTAGTAAGGGTGCCTGAGCGTTGACGACGCAACTTTTCTAAAGGAGATAGATCATCACGAGACTCTTGCATTGAATCCTTCTCCCTTGTCATATCACCTCACAGTCCGACCACCATGTTTCTCCTCAGACGCGCCGCCGTGCGCGCAGTGTCACAAGGAGCATCTCGCCAACTATCAACCCTCTGGCCATTGAACGCAGCCCGTATCGCCCGCCTGGAGACCTCCAAACCCATACTCAGCAGATCATTCCATCAAAGCCGGGTATGGCGCGCCGAGGAGGACAAGAAAGAGGTGGAGGAAGCGAAGGATGAGTCGACAGCCGCAGCTCAGGAGGCCGAAGAGGCTGCAAAGGCTGCACAGCAAGCCGCCGATGATGCTGTTGTAGAGGCGGCAGCGTCAAAGGCACCAGCAGCTGAACCTGCCGTACAGGAAGCGCAGGAGGTTGCTGAGGGCGAGTCCTCAATAGCTGAAGAGGCTGCTGAGAAAGCTGCCGCTGCGGCGTCAACAGCACAGTCAACTGGTCCTCCAGAGCCACCACAACCAGCTGCTGCTGCGCCTCCTTCATTCCCCAACGACTTCCAGGACAATGCTCAAGGCGGCTCGAGCTTTGGGACTCCCGCACCATCTCGCATCCTCTACATCGGCAACCTGTTCTTCGAAGTCACTGCAGCTCAACTCGAGGCGGAGTTTGGCAAGTTCGGCACCATCACCAACTCTCGCATCGTCACAGACGCACGTGGTCTGTCGAAAGGCTTTGGGTACATCGAGTATGCACAGCAGTCGGCGGCGGATCAGGCGGTCCGTGAGCTGGACCAGAAGGTCTACCAGGGGCGAAGGATGGCCGTGCAGTACCACGTGAGAAGGGAGAGGCGGCCTGGGCCAAGCGGAGTAGCGCGGCCCAAGAACCCGCCGAGTAAGACGCTGTTCATTGGCAACATGAGCTATCAGATGAGCGACCGTGACTTGAATGGTGAGTTCAGGTCTCAATTTCTATCACAGTTTGATCAGATGGCTAATTGGTTTCCTCTCAGACCTCTTCCGTGAGATCCGCGATGTGCTCGACGTACGGGTTGCTATCGACCGCCGATCTGGACAGCCGAGAGGATTCGCGCATGCCGACTTCATCGACGTCGCGAGCGCCGAGCGGGCAAAGCAGCACCTCGAGAAGAAGGTCGTGTATGGTAGACAACTCAGGGTGGATTTCTCGGCGAGCTCAGCGATGTCGCAGACTCCCCGCGACTAGACAGTGGTGATGAGGAGGTTCGCAACAAGAGAGGAGCAGTCAAGAGGGCAACATCAACACGCCTGCAGCAGAGCGATGGTCTTGTGGATTAGAAGAATTGCACATGGCCGATGATGCTTCCTGCAAGGCCTCTGCGAATGTTGAAGAACTGTTTGGACCGCGAGATGTACAGCATAGCTCAGGAAGTGGAAGGGGTCTGATTCATGGCTGTACTTGAGATGTAATTATATGCATGGCGGCGCGCAGGGAGATACCTTGGGCCTCCATACTGTACGAAAAGAAGATACTTCACTCTGGCAGTCGTTTCAAACACCACATCTGAGCGCCCATTATCACGTGAACATACTGGAGGTGGCGTCATTCTATGAGCCGAGGTCGGCTGTGAAGACCACCGAGTGTGCCCTGCATGAACTCCTCACACTCACACTCATGTAATCAACACTCTTCTTCTTCTTGACACGCAGTCCTCCTTGAGCATACCGTCCACCAGTCTGCTACACCACCATGTCCTTCCTCTCCGGCCCCGAGTGCTCCACCGGCTCCAACCCCCTCTCCCAATTCCAAAAACAAACCTCCGCCGACACATCCCTGCAACGCGACCGCCTCACCTCACGAGGTCCGCAACAGCTCAACGGCTTCCGCTCCCAACAGGGAGTCCCCGATGATGCCGCCTTTCAAGACTTCGCCCACGCCGGGCCTCAGATGCCGACCGAGGCCCTGCCCCACTTCGAGCAGATGCGGCGGGAGCAGGAGTTCGCGAACCGCAGCGGAGGCGCCACGCCCAACTGGGCCGGCGAGTTCGCTCAGCAGCCTCCTCCAGCAGGGTTTGCGCCGGAGGAGTTTGCGGCGCAACAGCAACAACAGCGGGCGGGTGGGTTTAGTCCACAGGACTTTGCGAATTTCAGAGCACAGCAGGGGCAGGCGAGGACAGCGACCCCGCCGTTCCAACAGCAGCAGCCCAGTAGCATGTATCAGAGGCCAATGTACGGGGGTGGAGGCTTCGGGATGCAGCGGCCTATGATGTATGGGCAAGGCATGGGAATGGGCCAGCAGCCACAGGAGAGTTACACGGGGAAGGGGAAGGGTAGGGTACAGGAGCTGAGCGATACAGACTGGGAAAAGCAGTTTGAGGAATTGAGTACGCAGGACAAGGAGCAGGATCTGGACAAGGAGGCGGAAGAGGCGATGGAGAGGGAGTTGAATCAGATGGACAGGTGAGTCAAGCGATTTTCATTTGGTTGTGGAGGGCCTCCTGCTCACTCGTCGTGAGTAGTGGTTTCGGCAACTTCGAGGATATATGGAACGGTATTCGGCAAGAGACTAACGCAAGCAGGGATATGCTCGCGGAGGACGAGCTTGCCAATCATTTCGGAGACGACATCTACGACCAATGGAAAGACTTTGAGGGTCAGTTTGGCGAAACCAGGGCCAATGATTACGGCAGAGGGCCGGCAGACGGGAACTACATGTTCGAGGAGAACAACGTGTTCAAAGACGTGCCAAATGCTTTCGAGGAAGGACAAAAGATACTACGAGAGGGTGGCAATCTCAGCCTGGCAGCGTTGGCCTTTGAATCTGCAGTACAGAGGGAGCCAGAGTTTGTGGATGCTTGGGTAGCGTTGGGCCAGGCGCAGGCACAGAACGAGAAGGAGGCGCCAGCAATACGTGCGCTGGAGCAGGCACTCAAACTGGACCCGGACAACCTTGATTCCTTGATGGGTCTGTCGGTTTCTTACACAAACGAAGGTTATGATTCTTTGGCCTACCGCACCCTGGAGCGGTGGGTTGGCGTCAGATACCCATCCCTTGGTGTGAAGCCGCGAGGCCTGGGCGAGGATGAAGAAATGGGCTTCACCGACCGACACATCCTGCACGAAAAAGTGACGAACCTGTTCCTCGAAGCCGCGCAGATGAACCCAGACGGCGAGAACGTGGATGTCGACGTCCAAGTCGGCCTCGGCGTCCTCTTCTACGGCAGCGAAGACTACGACAAAGCCGTCGACTGCTTCACCGCCGCTCTCAACAGCGCGCAGCACGGCGTCATGAAGCGCGAAGGCGAAGAGCACCTCCTCTGGAACCGCCTCGGCGCCACCCTAGCCAACTCCGGCCGCAGCGAGGAAGCCATCGAAGCCTACTCCCGCGCTCTCGAACTAAAGTCCAACTTCGTCCGCGCCCGCTACAACCTAGGCGTCAGCTGCATCAACCTCGGGGTCCAAGAGGAAGCCGCCGTTCATCTCCTCGGCGCACTCTCGATGCACCGCGTAATGGAAGTCGAGGGCGTGCAGCGGGCGAAGGAGTTCATGAAGGACTCGCAGGGCAACGACATTCCCGACGACGTTGTGCAGGGAATGTTGCAGCAGAACCAGAGCACGAATCTGTACGATACGTTGAGGAGGGTATTTACACAGATGAATCGGAGGGATCTTGCGGAGATGGTGGGGACGGATATGAATCTGGATGCTTTTAGGTCGGAGTTTGAGTTCTGAGGATCAATGAGGGATGCCGGGGATTTGGGGGAGCTGCACAGGGAACATGAAGAGACCATCGTGCATGCTGGAGGCGAAGCAGGAATGCCAGGTCGCCAGCTCCGGGGGTTCACTGGATATGATTCTCCACACGGGCAAGCACCGTGGACGTGAGATTGGGGTGAGATTATGCGATGGCTTGGGAGAAGTGGATACTAATGTGTATCTAGCTGACTGAATTGGATGCTTGTATAGATGGGCGTGTTGTATAGTGGATATCTGCAATCAAGATAAGCATATCTTCCAGGCTCGCCGTTCGCAACAACACCGTCGTCGATAGTGGCTCATACCGAATCCCAACGATCATCGTCGACTACTCCATTCTCAACGGCGATATCGTGGCAGCCACGTGCGATTCTTCTATCGTTCCCTGTGTTCCGTCCGATCTGACTCGCCGATCTCGACCACGTTCGCTTGCAGCCCCTCGGAGAGCGTCGCAGGATTGGCGGGGAAAGCGCAAGTTATCTGCATTCACCCCGGTTCCCAAGCCTCGTCTCCTCCTCTCGCTTGACTCGACTTATCTCCTCTCATTCCCAAGCACGTTGGCACGTCCGGGCAAACAGCTCTGCCTATCAATCGAGCAAACGCTTTAGGAAAGCACCGAGATATGCTGCTCCGGGAGATGGAAGCTGCCGTGTCGTCAGCTATCTCCAACACTCTTCCTGTCTGCGACGGTGGGTAGGTCAAGATTGTACAAAAGGTACCAAGGTACTACTGCTGTTTCTGCTGCTGCTGTGCCGCTTCGCGTTTCATCATCATCCTCCCTTAACTGGCACAACGTCTTTCCTCTCCATATTGTGAGGGCTATACGACGCCATGTCCAACACCACATCCAACTCGCCGCCCGGCGAGAAGATCTCCCAGGCCCCGTCGACGCAATCAGACCCAGAACAACTCCACGGCAAGATCTTGGACGAAGACGAGAGCCATGAAGTCTTTCAGCGCGGCGGCGCCGTCAACTTTCGCGGCGTCGGCTGGGTTCGCTGCACCCTCATCTTCCTCAAGGTGCTCTTCGCGACCGGCGTGTTGTCTATCCCCTCCGCCATGGTCTCGCTAGGAGCCGTCGGCGGCGCGTTCAGTGTGATCGGGTGGGGCGGTTTGAATACCTACACCGCCATCATCCAAGGCGACTTTCGCAATCGTCACCGCGGCTGCCACAGTATTGCTGACATGGCGCACGAAGCGGGCGGCCCAGTGCTGCGAGAGATTGTCGGCGGCCTCTTCGTACGTCTGGGCTAAAGCTCCTCCAGTCAGTTGCGGAGATGCTAACACCTCCATCCTTACAGATCATCGCATACGTACTGTGCAGCGGTTCTGGAATCCTCGGCGTCTCCATTGCCTTCAATACCTTCTCCTCCCACGGCACATGCACTGTCTGGTTCGCGCTGGTCTCCGCCATCCTCACCGCAGGCGCCGCCTCGGTGCGCAAGTTCGAGAAACTCTCCTTCCTCACATTCGCCGGCTTCATCTCCATTTTCGTCGCGGTCCTCATGATCGTCATCGCCGTCACCCTGCGGGACCGCCCGGCCGCCGCACCCCAAACAGGCGCATTTGAGCTCGGCTACTACGCCATCCCACCCACCGTGACCTTCGCAGCCGGCATGACAGCCACCTGCACCATCTTCATCTCCTCCGCCGGGACCTCCGCCTTCCTCCCCGTCATATCAGAGATGCGCGAGCCAAAGGACTACCGCAAAGCCGTCTTCGTCGCCATGGGCTTCGTCACGAGCTCCTACCTCTGCTTCGCCCTCGTCGTCTACGCCTGGTGCGGCGAATGGGTCGCCTCTCCCTCCCTCGGCTCTGCAGGCCACACGATGCAAATCGCCGCGTACGCTGTGGGCTTCATCGGCCTCATTGTCAGCGCTTGCTTGTACCTGCACGTGGCCTCCAAGTACGTCTTCGTCCGCATCTTGCGGCACAGCAAGCACTTGCAAGCCAACACGTTCGTGCACTGGGGCACTTGGCTGGGTTGTATAGTCGGGTTGTGCGCGGTTGCATTCATCCTCGCCGAGTCGATTCCAATTTTCAACTACCTGGTCGCTATCACGGGGAGTGTCTGTTTTGCGCCGCTGGCGATTATGCTGCCTGGGTACTTATGGGTGTACGATCACCCACACTGGCGGTCAGGAGGGGCTGAGAAGATGATTGTGTACTATCTGCACGTGGGCATGATTGCGCTTGGAGCGTTCATCTGTATTGGCGGAACTTATGGTGTTGCGATAGAGATCAAGGGTGCCTATGATAGCGGGTTGATTGGTGGTGCCTTTAGCTGCGCTGACAACTCTGCTTCAGGACATTAGACGTAGATTCATGAAGGCAGAATTATGATATGTATCATCCATTTTCATTAAGCTATGACTACAGGCAGGAGCCTTATGTGTACTATTCATGTTCATCGTGCTAAAGCTACTTTGTCGTGTTCGCATTCCCGTTCGTGATCCATGCATAGCCCCCAGTGTCCCATGCTTCCCACCGCGTGCAACTCATGTCACTTCGTCGGGCCCTTTTCGTCGCTGCCATGCTCGTCCTTGAATGCTACCTCAGCACCCCGTCCGTTCCATGCACAACCACCGTTCCCAGCGCCATTTACTTCATCCTCCGCCCATTCCCGACGCCCTTCAAGTACGGATACACCCGTTGCTTGGGCTGCTTCGTGCTGGATACTTGCTACTGTGGCGGCACGGGTTCTGACGACAGCTCAGCCCTCTCCAGCAACGCTTGCTTCTCGCTTGGTGCATCCGGCGAGGGGTGATACCTCGGCAGTCCATGTTTCTCAGACGCATGCACAGCTCGCACAGTCTTCCTGAACATCGCCAAAACCTCCCTCACGCCTCCACTCACAGCCTCTAGGTCGTCCTGCTCAAGCTTGTCCGAGTGGAAGTTGAAAGCGTAGCTAGCTTCAAGCCACGCCAGAGCCGATCCAAAGCACGCTTGAACCGCCACGTAGCGGCGGACAGAGTTACTCTGCGCTGGTGCCCACCATGCCACGACGAAGAACGTGAGCATGCACCAGATCTGTGCGACGTGAGTGCTGAAGAAGCGGGCTTCCGGGACGAATGAGTCCAGATCGTGGTGCCTCTTGAAGCGGGCGAGGAAGCGGGTGACCACCAGCATCTGCGCCAGAGGGAAGAGGGTGAAGGCTGCGGTGAACAGGGCTAGCAGGTAGAAGCTGTAGATCGCCACTTCCAGCACGGCGGTCGTGTTCCAGACGGATGGATCGGAGACTGCATCGTCCTTGAGCACGAGAAAGCAGACAATAGCATCAACCAGGGTGATGACGATCACATTCAAGAGATAGACATGCGCGACGAAGAAGTGGCCTTTGGTGATGCGAAGGACCTTCTTGTTCATCGCTGTGAAGATGCTTGTCCGGTGAGCAGGATCATTGATCAACTCCTTCGTGCTGCGGCGGATGGTGAAGAAGCCAACGACACCCAGGCATATTATGGTCAGAGAGAGGGCGTAGGAGGCAAGGAGGATGTAGCTTCGCAGAGGGTTGTAGGTGCGTTCGATCCATTGTGTTTGCCAGCTGCCGCAGGGCATGTCGATTTCGCGGTCCATGTTGGGCTTACTTCGATTGTGTGGTCACTGTATTCTCAGAGAGAGTAGATGTTTTCAGCAGCCTGCGAAGACCGTGATGGAATCGGTGGGAGTTTGATCCGTGAGAGAAGTTGGAACGAGGAAGGTCGGAGGTCGTCCAAGTCGGCCAGGCAACCTGAAGGCTGGCGAAACCTTGCTTGGAGCAGCCTCAGCCTTGTAAGCCTCCGGTGAATCGAATGTTTTGCCTCAGATTTCACAAGATGTTTGAATTGTGAGAGAGTCTTGAAATGCGTCTTTCCCGTCGTCACGATCCTGCCCAGTCGTCGTCCCGTCTCTCCACACCCACCATGCAGTGCATGCATTAGCGCCAGCACGCCATGCGTTTGCCGCGGCATGTGACATAGACGACTCAGGTCTCGATACTCACTGATCTGGTAGTCTGAGGGAGCACTGGTAGATTAAAGGCCTTCAATCACTTCAGACCATGTGAAGATTTCTGTGTTTGTAGTGCAGTAGTTCTGTGCCAGCTACTTATACGTATCATTCCAGCCCAATCCAACCCAAGAGCCCGTCACTTCGTATTCTCAGCATTCCGAAAGACCTGCATCGTATGATCCCATACTTTCTCCCTCATATCCTCCTTGTCAAAGCCAGCATACGCCGCCGACAAATCGTTCGTGTCCCCATCAGCCTTGACCGAATACGCGCCACCACCAAGGACCCCGTTCGAGCTGGAGGCGACGTCTTTCCGGTCTGCACCCAGGCTCTGCGCAGGATACCGCTCCGTAGCCAAATACAACACCCTCTGCCCAATCTCCTCCGCGCTCGTCGCATAGATCTTCGCCAGCGGCGCGACACAAACCCACACCAGTTTAAACCACCAAGGATGACTGTCCGCATAGAAGTTCGGCGTAATGACCAGACCAGGGTACATGTGCACGCAAGCAAGCTTTCCCTCGTTCTCTTGGGCGAGCTTCTCGAAAAGCAGCGTCTTCATGTAGACGGTTTGACTCCGCACTTTGGCGAAGGAGAAGTGCTCTGGTTGTCGTAGAGAGAAGTCGGCAGGGTAAAACTGCTTTTTATTTTCGAGGCCACCTGCGTAGATTGATATGCACCGGGCGCCGGGTGGGAATTTTGAGGCGCGGAGAAGGGGCAGCAGTTTGGTGATGAAGCGCACACGGGAGTAGTAGAGCAGCGACATCGAGGAATCGAGGCCTTCTTTCGTTTCTGTGGGTTGTTAGCGTCGATGGGTCGAAAGCAAAACGACAGCATACCTTCACGAGGACCTTCCAGCTTGAGCACCGCCTGCGACTGAACAAGGGTATCTACTCTTGCTCCAGGTTTTGCACTCTCGCGCTTCTCGATGTCTTCACAAGCCGCATCCACATCCTGCATAAGCGCAAGATTGCCTCCTTTGACGAACTGGAATTCTCCTTCTGGACAGAGCTTGCGGCAGTCTCCCAGGATCTTGTCCGCCGCGGTTGCGTTTCGTCCCACAAGGTAGATACGTAAGCCCCGACCTTGAGTCGCCTTGGACGCTGTTTCGGCAAGACATCGTAGCGAATACTCGCCAATTCCTGTCGTAGCTCCCACGAAGACAGCGACGAGGGGATGCTTGGAGACGAGCCGGTCATTAGCAGCGCGGGCGGTCTCGAGGCGGACCATGGTGCGGACGGCAGGTTGAGGGATGATAGCGGTTTTTAAGCACGGTTTGATGATGGAGAGGAAGTGGAAGAAAACATGACTTATCTTATACAGATTGCCCACGTCCGTGACTTGGGCAGCTGCCGCACGGTTGGAAGACGTCTAATTACGGTGACGATGCTATCCACGCCGCCATAGACGTTCTGGGCGTTCATGCTGCGAGGTTTGGCGGAATGTGGTTGATGTTGGAGTTCTAAGCCGCAACCTCGGAGGAACTGGTAAGAATACGGCGGTCCAAACTTTCAAACGTGCCATTTATCCTCTACTCCTGGACTCCCTTTCGTCTTCTCTTCCGTGCCTACACCTACTCGACCGCGCTATTGCAATTCTGGTTGCGTGCTAGTCTGTCCCCATCGGCGATGTCATGGCCCAGCCGTACTGTCGCCCATATCAAGATGAGTTACATCTTCCCGCTCGATGCGCGGCCCTTTGACCTGCTACGTGTTTAGCGAGCAGTGCAGCGCATCGTGAGGGTGTTCGATCATTTTCACTCTATCAATAGGCTCGTACAGCACGATTGAGCAGAAAGACACTTGATTGTCCCGTTGCAACGCCAAAATAATTGAAAGAGAATGGTGCTCAGCTAGCACGTACACAAGCGAGACTGGGACATTGTTTACTTCTTTGAACTGACGACAGAAGGACAATGGATGATACGCCCATGTAGACTCGGCTCGAAGAACAAGGATTAGTCGAAAGAGCCTCATATCGCTACCGTGAACGGAACGCTTCTTTGTCTTTGGTCCCGGGACCTTGCGCCAGTAAGTTGAGGGTAAGATGTGTGTTGGAGCTCACCCGCACCCAAACTACTCTGCATCTCAAGTCAGATCCTTGCAAAATACTTCCGTATTCAAAATGCAGTCTTCAACCCTTGTTCTTCTGGCGGCAGCTGGCATCGTGAGCGCAGCGGCACCACCTGGCTATGGTGGTAGCAGCTGCCGCACTGCGTCCTCCTGCGACCCGACCTCGACGACATACTCGTCCGTCTACACCACTCCGATCACCAAGACGGTGACTCGCACCTACTACAAGACGGTCGTGTCTACGACTGTGGTTCCATCCACGTACGAGACCTTCGAAACCATCCCCATTACCGGATCGACGACCACCGAAGTTATCGAAACAAAGACGATCCCGTACACGATCCAGTCTTCCACGGTGGTATGCTCGACTGTGCCGTGGGTTATCATGACCTCCTCAACGAGCGTGTGCACAGAGACTTCGACCATCCCGTACACGACCTCAAGCATCAGCACCTGCACGGAGACGACTTCGATTCCCAGCAGCTACACTACAAAGACTCCCTGCACCGAGTCGAAGACAGTGACCCGGAAGACCACCGGAACGAGCTACAGCACGAGCACGGGCATTTCATGCAAGACTACCAGTTCATGCTGGCCTACGTCCGCTCAAAGGCCTCCTGGGTACGTACGGGAGCCGATAAGGAATTGATAATGGCTCAACGGTACAGTGTTGAAGTTTTTGGTTGTATTGATAGTGTATACCTGTAGTACAAAATGTACGAGTACAGCATTCTGGACTGAACTGTGCTTGCTTTAGCTGCAAATTCGACCGGATAAGTTCGCTTCGATTTGCTCACCTTTCGTCTCACCAACCCCTTGCACAATAATCCGTCAACCCGTCAGCTCCCACCAACTCAACGCAGCACACAATCCATCTACAACCACAATCCCGGCCATAGCATCGAGATTCATATATCCCTGCGAATAGCTAGCGACCGCATTTACAACTTCAATCCCGTGTACAGCGGCACTGCCCAAAACAGCCAGCTTGTTCTCCGCTGACTCTCGTTCGTACAGTTGAATCGCGAGGCCCAGCACGAGATCTCGATTTCCGCACGCCCGAGTCATAAAGGTGGTTGAAGGCGTCTGTTTGATGCGAAGCATACCGGCTGCTGTGAATGGCGCTACCATGAGGAGTGCTCCGATTCCGATGTGGCCGACTCCAAGTATGGTGTTGAGTAGTGTCGACATGTTGGTGTTGGTGAATTAACGAGACGATGAGCAGACGAAGAGGCGGGTGTTATGAAAAAGCTTCATGCCTACGTTGTGGGAACCTTCTTATACGGTGCTCTCCTTTCGGATTCATGACAGAAAACAGTATCTCGCGTCCAGATTAATAAGACGTCTTCTGCTTTAGCGGAGATAGTATGCAGGAGGTTACAACTTCGCGGACCAACGGGGCGTTTTCGGACCGACGTGACCGAGATCGATTCCGAGACGACCGCGAATGCTTCAGTCGACCTGCACCGTACCAAAAAAACTTGAACAAATGCAGCTGGTGCACTTTCTTATGCACATACGGCGACTCGTGAGGCCGGTCACGGACCAACAAGACTCCGTCAGACAGCACGTTCCGAATGCTTGACATCATTACCCGCCTTCTCGCCGAGCTTGTGTTCGGGATCGAGGTCGGTATCCACGACGACCGTCTCGCCAAAATAAACAGCCAGCTCTTCCAAGCTACGTTTCGAGGTCTCTGGATCTGCGGAATGAGGTCAGAGCTGGGAGAGCGGAGGTAGATCACTGCGGTGTGCTTACAAACGAAGTAAATCACCAGAATCGACACCACGGTCAAGCAAACAAAGACCAGGTAGTAATGCCAGCCGATGTTGGCAATTGCTGTTGCTCCCGGAGTGACGTATGTCTATTGATGTGGTCAGCGGATGTTTCTGGTTGAGAGAGTAGTAGTGCTCACGATGCAGGCCAGGAAATACGTTGTCGTCGACAATGCCATGCCTCTGGATCGGATGTTCGTCGGATAGATCTCGCTGCTGTATATGAAGCTCGCAGCGTCGATGAAGAGGCCGTAGAAGAAGACGAAGAACATGATTGCAAACACCGCGACTTTGCCGCCTGCCTTATTTGGTGTGGCGACGGTGACGAACTCGGCTAACATGGCTATCTCGATGATGAGAGCGACGAGGCAGCCGGTAAAGCCCGTGAGGAGGGCCTGCGGAGGAGAGCGTGTCAGTGAGAATGGCCACGAGAGCGGGGGTAGAAGGACATACGAAGCGTCGTCCAGTTTTGTCGACCGTCAGAAGGCTGAAGAGATTGCCCAATGCACCGATCAAGGTGTAGATGCAGTACATCAACAGCGACAGCGACGCCGAAAGGCCCAGGTTTCCATAGATGATAACGGAGTAATAATTGATAACGAGTGCTCCAGTGTTGTTCGCTGCGAATTGCACGAAGCAGGACAGGAAAGCTCGCTTGCGGTAGCTGGCGGTCTTGAAGATGCCCATGTAACCGGATGGTTGGGTCTGCTCAAATTCGATCTGCGCCCTCATTGAGAAGAACTCTTCGTGCGCGGCAGTATCGGCTGGATCGTTTTGATCATGGTGAAGGCGCTGCACAATTGTCCAGGCTTGGTCTGAGCGGCCACGCATGAGCAAATATCGAGGGCTTTCCGGGACGAAGAAGCAGCCTATGCCAAGAGAGCACTGTTAGCGAGTGTACATAGGAGCAATATGCGATAGCACGAGCAGTCTTCGGTCAAGCAAGGAAGGCTATGGCTTACCAATGGTCAGCAATAGCGCAGGGATGCATGTGAAAGCAATCGGCCCTCTCCAGCCGAAAGTCAGGTTGGTCGAATAGAAACACCCAAACCCAACCCACGAACTGATATTGTATCCGCTGACTAAAAAGAACCCGTGAAGTCCAGTTAACATGCCTCTCTTTGCAGCTGTAGAGCTCTCCGCAAGGTAGACCGGTGTAAGTGTGGCAAGCGCTCCAAGACCCGCGCCTTGTAGTATACGAACGACGATGAGCATGGCGATATGGACGCTTCCGGCAGCAAGAGCTCCTCCAATCATGGAAACCACGGCGGCTAGTTGTATCGTCCACTTCCGACCAATGTTATCAGCGAGCGGGCCACCACCCAATGCGCCGATGATTGCGCCGAAGAAGAACTAGCTGTCGTTAGCACAACTCGTGTACATGAGGTGGACGGACATGCCAGGGCATTGATAGCACCGAGGATGCTGTTTGTGTATGACGCTGTCGGGTCGAGCTGGAAGTACCTTCGCCGCCTTTAGCACCTCGATGACCGCGCCGAATGTATTCTCTCGTACTCGTAGAAGCCGGGTTGACCTATGCTCGTCGCGAAGGTTGCGAAACCGAATCTGCAGGATGGAGATGGTAAGACTCCGAGCATGTTGGACGATATATGAACGAACCCATAGTTGAAGGAGCCCAGCGCAACCGTGATGGAGATCGCGATGTTGTATCCTGCCAGTCGAGGTCAGATGAGTACGAGTTGATACAACAGTCACAACGGATGCTCTAACATACCACTGGTCCTGGTCATCTTTGCTCTTGAGCTTAGCCCTGTGTTAAAGTGCGGTGGAAGATCAATCCAAGATTAGGGATGCGAGAGTACATATGTATCTGCAAGGCGCCGAGCAGCCGTCGTAGATGCATATCCACAGACCGTAGATCCAGATTCTCTCCGCTATTCCCCAGACCTTCTATCAATGAGGCACGGCCAATGCGGGGATGGTAAAGTGAAGGAGTAGTTCGCCTACCGGAGAACGTTTCCCGAAATTCAAGAGGCTTGATCGACTGAGAGGGAAGGTTTCGAGGCAGCGTCCATAAGCGTGATGTCTGGAGAATGGATGAGGCTCAGGGTTAGACTGATATAGGAGATAAAGAGGGCCTTCTCTACCCTTGAACACCATTCGAACCCATGGTCGCAGCCATACCTTCATCGCAGTACTCGCTCTGCTGTCGGAAGTAATACTTCGTACCCGAGAGCTCCACCGTCTGGCCTACCAACGGCTTGCCTGATGAGGCACCGTTGGCCTGCTTCCCGTCACCATCCAATAGCATCAGGACGGCCTCCACAATCTTCTCCATGGGTACAAAGTTGTCTTGCGGGAAATTCTTCCATGCATCTGCCGCGAGCAGATTGGTACGGACGGCACCAGGGCAGATGGCCTGAGAATTCATGTTGTTAGATTATCTCAGTAGTCCACTTAACGTTTGAGTCGACACTCACGTTCACCCGAACACCATCATTCTCCCACATGGGTCCAGCAATATTCCGTGTCCATCCTAGCGCAGCAAACTTCGAGCTGCCGTACACAGGAGATGCTGGAACAGCATACAGCCCTCCGCAACTCGCAGTCACCACTAGACTCCGTGGTCCCCTCCCATCATTAGAAGTCTGACGAAAGTAATGCTGCGCGAGATAGCTAGTATTGATGACAGCGGTGGTGTTGATGTCGATGACTATCGGACTAAAGGGTGGAGGAGGCTCATCTCCAGTGTCGTAAGCCTTGTAGAAGTCTCCACGCTCCATTATTCCGGCATTCGCATGCACAAAGTCCAGTCTCCTCGTAGTTTTGAAAACATCCTTGAAAGCTCCGGCAAGAGATGAGTATTCTGTCACATTGACTTGATGGAAAGCAGCCCCAAGTTGCTCAGCTGCCTTGTTGCCGCTTTCGACGTTCATATCGAAGAGATGGACGTTCCAATTGCCTCTCTTTGAGAGCGCTTCAGCGACCGCCAGGCCCATGCCACTGGCGCCGCCAGTGATTATAGCAGTCAGAGAAGTGGATGCCATAGCTGGTTGTGATCTCGACAGAAGGTGGGAATGCGTTGGTCGTCCGATGTGGTTTCAGGCGTGCTGCTGGGTAGGGCGTAGTCGTATCCGGACTCGGTGAGATTCACCTAACTTGATCACGCAAGGTATATTCATTCGTCAGTCAGAAGCAAGTGTCGATACTCTGCTATGGCGCTGTCAGCTCTGTTAATCATTCCAAGTGCTCAACCTCGCCTGAAATACCAGGCCGGATAATGTTAACCCAGCTCTACTTGGGCTTGACCGGCAGATTCAGCCATGAGCATTGATTCTCCATCTAATACACATGCCATCCGCATAGCTTCTTAAAGCAGAGTCGCAGCGCCAGCATGATACCATGTCATATTTCTCATTGGAAGGAAGAAGAGCGTCGTCCCGACCTTTGCTTCCAAAGTCATGAAGCAGCGAGACAAAAGTCATAGCAAGGCAAAAGTCGAGTCTTGCAATCGCCTCCTGACGGCATTGGAGACTGCAGAGAAGATACAACCATGACAATGTCGATGACCCGGTGACAGTAGCTTTCGAACAAATACTGCCCATCATGATACCTGCACTTGGACCCTTGAGCATAGTCGCGCTCATCTTCGGCGGCTGCTGCTCAAATGTCTTCGCCCTCGAAGCAATCCTCCAGTATGGACACTACTATGACACCACGAAGCATGCTGCTAACACGTAAACAGGAGCGAGGCCAGCAGCGGTCAGTCAACTGCGAGAAATCGTTGCCATGCTCGACTAACGATCACCCAGGCCTCCTTATAACATTTGCCCACTTCATCTGCACAACCCTAGCCGCCTACCCAACCCAATTCTCCTCCACAGGTCCCTACATGCTGCGTAAACCTCTGGTCCCAGTACGAAAATGGGCTGTCATTGCGGCGATGCACTTCGGAATCAACATTCTGAACAACTGGGCCTTTTCGTACAACATCTCGGTCCCTGTCCACATTATCTTACGGAGCTTCGGGAGCGTCTCGACGATGATCGCGGGGACTCTACGCGGGAAACGATATAGTCGACTTCAGGTGTGCAGTGTGTTTGTGCTTACGGTTGGGGTGTTGGTTAGCGCGTGGGCGGATTCGGAGAGTAAGGTGAGTAGATGAGAGAAGTCGCCGCACTCCTAAATGTGGCATCTCTGATGACAACGAACAGGGCAAAACTTCGTCGAAGCAGTCCCAAAACAGCTCAGACTTCTCGACCGGACTCGCTGTTCTGCTCGTCGCGCAATGCCTTGCAGCATGGATGGGAGCATATGTGGAAGATGTCTTTGCCGAGTACGGCGCCAGCTGGACGGAGAACCTTTTCTATGGACATCTACTCAGTCTGCCGCTGTTCTTTCCGATATCGACTACCCTTCGGAACCAGTACGGGAGACTTGCAGCCACACCTCCTCTCAGCGTTGATCGGCTGATCAAAGAAGACAACTTCATGTTCGGGCTTGGGAACCCGCGACTTCTGAGATTTGTCCAGCCTGTCATAGAGCGTCTACCACAGGGGTTACTATTCCTCTCGATCAACACACTCACGCAGCTGGCTTGTATATCCGGAGTGAATTTGTTATCTTCCAAGTCTTCGGCGGTCACAGTCACGATAGTGCTCAACATCCGCAAACTGGTCTCGTTCATTTTCAGCACGATCCTGTTCGGACATGATCTAAGCAACAAGATGATCTTCGGCTCGACCTTGGTCTTTGGAAGCGGTGCACTATACGGATGGGAAACAAGTTGGAGGATACCACAGGAGAAGAAGAAAAAGGAGCAAGCCAACGGATCTGTCGAGAAGAAAGATAGATAGCGTTCACTGCAAAGTTGCAGGTGTTGGAAAGACGTAGAGGGCCCTGATTCGCCCTACCACACCTTACTTGGCAGCTCACGGAAGTCATACTGTTCGTGTGGTTCATGTTCAGAGGTCCGCCAAGGTATTGACTGTTGAGAGATTAGAATCCAGCTCGGCTTCTTCCGAAACATGGTTGTCACCAGCGCCACGAGTGCGTCGACGTGCCAATTCACGGCTGCCACGAGAAGTTGGGCAGCGAGATCATGTTCACTAAACTCTGATAATGGCGACAGTGCTCCTCACGTTGATATTCTTCTTTCGAGTCGGTCCCCGGCAAGAAGATCGTCGCGGACGTCGATCGCATTTGGCAGTCTCTCCGGACTTCACCTCTCCATCTCCACGGGAATGTCTCGGCGTATTCGTGGTGGATGCCGATCATAGATCGCCGAAGCTGGTGAGGACACGTTCGAGGCCACGAGGAGAGGATGATCGTTGTCAACGCTTCGCAGTAGTCCGACGATCCAAGTGAAAAGCGATCATCCCTAAGGATCGCAGCCATACACCTCACGCAAGCCGCATCGTCCTATTTGAGTTAGTGCAGTGGTGGGGGATGGCAGGATGAATTGCGCAAAACGTTTCGAGTGGTCGCACACATTTCCAGCAGAGTGGGAGATGGGGGTGAGGCTGTTTCGGTGGCAACAGACGTTGGACGAGCACAAGATTTGAATTTCCCTTTGACCTCTGAACGACCAACCAACAGATCGTTGCCCGTGATGCTGTAGCGTCGCCGTTCCGATCTCCAGAGTGGGTCGCCAACTCCACGGTCCGGCCAGGATGTTTTTGGGCAAAGGTCGTGCAGCAGCGGTCGGGAAGGCCAGAACCTGGCCAGTGACAGACACGGCGTTGCAAGGTGTTCGCTGTCTGGTAATTGCGGGAGTACTCCCGGTGTTGAGCATTTCAGGTAAAAAGGGGGCGAAGGTCATGGCTACCATCAGGGCGTCGGCATGCGTGGGATATGTAGCAGCAAAAGCAGGGCCACCCAGCGCCGTTGAAGGTAGCCGCGCTCCTATGATGGGTCTTTGACTGCTGTGACACCTGTACGAGGTTCCAGACTCGAGCACAGCAGTAGTGCACCCATGCCAAGTCGCACCGGCTGATGTCTCGTAGCGCTGTCATACCACGTCTCCGAGATGCGTGGTCGATGGAGGATATGGCCATGCCTCAACTGGAGGACTGCTTGTTGTGATAATACATGTAATGATGGAATCCAGAAGATAGAGTTATTAGACAGAAGTAGCGGCCGAGCGAACATCCGCGATCGGCACGATCCTTGCTCACTCGACACGTGCGCTCGCCTGACTAGCAGCCGACCTTGCATTGACGGTGCGCCTCGGTCCTCTCCCAAACCCATCCGAGCCATCCTGAAGCTCGACCAGCAACGTCTTCCCCGACCTCACCTCCCCTCAGCCTCGCCACAGAGACGGCGCATCCCAAAGCTGGAGAGTCGCTGCCGCTGCGAACGCCTGGTGGCACAACTCGAGCAGAAGGTTCATGCAAGGCACAAAAACATCGGCGCGGGCGGCATGACACGAGTCACCTCATGATCAGAACCTTCTCAACCACCTAGACTGGACAACGAGACGGAAGCCAGGCTGACATTTTGGATTCGCGAGCGCTTTCATTCGCTCTTCAGCTTTGACTTCTCGACCTCCTCCTTCACCACCAGCGGCGCGCATTGCGACTCGAGGTCAGATACCGTGGACTTCGGCGGTGGCGGTCACGTTTTCGCCATCTGGCCCTTAACACCCACCTCTACTCTATTCGCCAACCACGGAAGCGCTAGAACATTGCCAGACATCGACTCGCTCGACCCAGATCCAAAGACAGCGGTGCGTGCGGGCGTGAGCGCGACTTCCTGCAGCCGCCTCCCAATTGGGCGGACCGCCAGAGCTGCACTGCGCGAGTGGACCACCGAACCAGTTCTTTGTGCTCGCCCGGGCCCTAACACCTCTCGTGCCTCAACGTTCCCTAAGCACCTTACACCTTACCAACTGAACGTTTATTCTCCGACTTCGAGGTTCACGACAACCCCGCGCCGCACCACACTTGGAGTGCGGATCCAAAGGCTATCCTGACCACGCTCGTACCGCAAGGTGTTGTTGGGCGGCGCACTTCGCTTTGCACCGGGTGGACAGCTTCAACGACTTGTTCTTTTCCACAGGAACCGCGACCTCTCTTTTCGACTGCTAGAAGGCTGCCACCATCTTCCACGTTGTCCCTACCTCACTCAGCACATTCTCAAGGCTGCGTGGGCTGCACGAGGGATCAGCATGGCTTCAACACATCAGAACCCAAACGCACATCATCACGCACAGCATCACCAAGGCCTCCCTTCCATCAGCAGCTTGACTCATGGCTTGCCGCCACCCTCTCAGCAGCGTTCGCCGGACCAGCAGTCTATCACGGATTCGACAAGAGACTCGGGCACTTGGCCGCAACCTCAGAGCAAGCGTAAGTTCATCTATTTCTTTCTACTTGGCGCGTGCGCGACGGCAGGCAGGCAGGCGGGGCGGTGGTATGGCATGGATGGTGTCTGTTTGGGCAGATGTTCTTTGTTTCGGTGAACGCACATACTTGCTCGCAGCTGCGAAGAGTCAGTACGAGTTCAAAATGGTGGACTACGAATAACGACAGCATGCTTGAGCTGGGCGTTGCCTTTGAGCCATCGCAATGATCGTCCCGGCACTGTCGTAGCAACAAGGCCGCTAACAAACATGTACAGATACCTCAGTGAATAGTGGCCTGCACGTGTCAACATTGCTCAATCCGGACGAATCACCTAATCGAAACTCAATCCCAAGCACACCGCTGTCCGCGCGGATGCCAAGTTCTGCGCAGTCCGGCCATAACACACTACCCTCAATCAACCAGGGATTCCAGGAACCTGGCAACCGCGACAGTCATGCATCGATGGACTCAAGACGGAGCAGTGTGGATAGCCGCATGCATCAAGGCTTCAATAGCCTTTATATCAACAACCCCACATCACCATACGAAAGCGCAAACACCTCACAGGTATCGCTAGCAGCAAGCCTCCGTCGACCCAATGGAGGGCCAATGTCGCCGCTCGGCTCGCGGTCGAGCATACGGCCGCCGGGGCCTCGCGTTGCGCCTCCTATCATGCCCATTGGACGAACTCCGGGTCAACCTGATCCCACAGCAGCGAAACCTACACAAGGTTACGCCTGGGCTTTTCCAGACACCGTGCCGGAAGAGCAACGAGGCTCAGAGAGTGATGAGTCCAGCTTGAACGACAGAGTTTCGCGGACCAATAGCTTCGCTACTTCGGTGCGCAGTAGTATTTTCTCGAACGATTCGCAATTGCCCACGGGACAGAGGCGGTTCGATGATGGTATGTTCCCTCTTCGACATGGCTACAATTGCCGTGCTAACACCCTCCAGAACATGCGACGACACATCACCACACAATGCAGCACCGAGCGGTACAGAATCTGCAGAACGAGAACCTGCAAGGCTCAGCTGTTGGCAACTACAGTCGGACGCCAGAGCTTCGCGTCAGCCACAAGCTTGCAGAGCGGAAGCGTCGAAGTGAAATGAAAGACCTGTTTGAAGATCTGAACAAGGCTGTTCCGTCGAATGGTGGCACCAAAGCGAGCAAATGGGAGATCTTGACGAAGGGTGAGCTTTTTTTCACCGTACACCAATCGATCTTTCTGACCACTGTACTAGCCATCGACTACATCCGCAGCTCTCAGCAGCTCGAGCACCGCCTTCAGCAAGAAGTCAGTCGCCTGCAACGCGAGATCGACTACAACCACGAAGCCCAGAAGGAAAACGATATGCTGAAAACGGAGGTGCAAGTCATGCACCAGCATCTCCGGCGCTTAGACCCCAACAACACTCACGTCTACGGTCAGTTCACAAATCAGCTCAACCAGGCCCAGGCGCAACAGTCGTCTCAGCAAAACGGCGCTTCTGGCATCTCGCTGCCTCCAATCAATCCTCCCGGCCCTGCGAATGGGCCACATCCTCCGTATGGAACTTCCGGGCATGGAGCGATGCAGGGAGTCGAGTACGGTTACGGCACGAGATGAGGCTGTTTAGAAGCTGCATCGTCCAGTTTCGTCGCTTGGTCTGTTTACATTGAAAGCAAGATGCCTACTTCGAGGGATGGACATCCGCATCAGCCGACTCGCACTTCCACCGCGATCGACCTGTCGCAATCGTAGATTGCCAAATTTCAAGACACAGCGCAAGAGGCAGGTCAGGCGATTGCCTGCCTAGCAACCTTCTTGCGCGTCCGCCTTCGCTTCAGCAATGAGCTACGAAAAGAAATTACCTTCGAACCATATATGACATGGCAAATGCCGCCGCCATGGAGAGCGAGTCACGACGTCGCAGGCAGCGCGCAGTTGAGGAGTGATAAGGGAGCAGGGATAGTCACGGGCGGTTTGGCGTTCACATGTGCCTATGTTACTTGCGGGAAAGGGTGGATAATGGGACGGGACTACTTCGCATGAGGATTGGGAGCGCTGTCACTAGTGGGTGGATGAAACTGGTTTGGGCTGTGTATTATACAGTTGCTTGTGCAGAGGATATTAGAAGTGATTAAAGAGCTTCTCTAGTCTTGTGTCTGATCTGGTGGATTCCGAGAGTTTACATACGGCGTAGTATGGGAGAGCTTTCCCAGTCTGGCCCAGCACCCGATGAGGAAGGAGCAACTTAAGCTTGACTTTCAAACTGTCTCGCGTGGTCAACTTCACGAAGCTATAAAGCCATTCACGAGCTATACAATACTCCCCCACATCAACTTGGGAAAAGCACATTGGTGTCTCGATGACCAGCAACCGCCACGTCCAATTCAACTGAACCATAGAATATCATCTCATCTCGACCTACCTTATTGAGGTCTCAAGTCAAAATGCCAGTCATAGAAGCAAATTCCATCTCAATCAACTACCTCCTCTCAGGCTCCTCCGACGGCGACCTAATCGTCCTCATCAACGGCCTCGCAGATGACCTCACAACCTGGGATGCCCAAGTCCCCGCCCTGCTGAAGGCTGGCTACCAAGTCCTCCGCTACGACAACAGAGGCATAGGCAAAACCTCCCGACCCTCAGGCCCCTACACTGCGGAGCTCCTAGCTGATGACTTACACGCGCTCCTCAAACACCCAGACCTCAATGTCTCGAAGTTTCATCTTCTAGGCGTGAGTATGGGCGGCATGATCGCGCAGTCCTACGCGCTCAAGTACCCCAACGGCTCACGGGAAGCCGACGGATTGGAGATGCGGTCGCTATCGCTCTGCTGCACGTACGCCCAACCGACGCCCTTTTGCTCGCGGATGTTTGCGCTTTGGGCGGACATGGCGAGGAGGATGTCCGTGCAGGATGTTATGCGGGATGTTACGCTCTGGGCGTTCACAGTTCCGTTTTTCCGAAATCGGACGGAGGAGATGGAGGAGGTGGAGGAGGCGATGAGGGGGTTGGAGATGGGGACGGAGGAGTATTTGAGTCAGTTGAATGTTATCCAGAAGTTTGATTCTATGGGGGCGTTGGAGAGTTTGAGGATGCAGGGGCAGGGGTTGGGAGGGTTGGAGGGGAGGAATGTGTTGGTGCTGGCGGGAAAAACAGACATTCTCATCCCGGTTGTGCTGAGTAGGGAGTTGGCGGAGAAGGTTGAGGGGGCGGAGTGGGCGACTGTGAAGGGGGGGCATGCTTGTCTTGTAAGTCGAAATTATTTTTCTTATTTGAGAAGATACACGGATGAAGTGAGACATGCTGACGACGGGTGTAATGCAGTGGGAGTTTCCAGACGACTTCAACAAGGCCATCATAAATTTCCTCGACCAACATAGGATATCAAAATCATGAGAAGAACCCGCTTCGAGAAGCACGACTCAATGCTGCAATCAACCACTCATCCTATAAACAAGCAGCGCCTCGCTCACGCACTCTTATTAGGATAACCCTCCTTATCAACCGGATTCGCGGGCCCCCCTCTCTGCCCCAACACTCCACCCACATCCACCTCCTTCTTCTCCTCCTGCTTCATCTTCTCCCTCGCCGGCGCCTGCTCCGCCTTCTTGCGGTCCAGATCCGTCTCGAGCCCTGGCTCCCCACCACCAGCTCCCGACTGCTTATCTACGGCTTCTGCGACTCGTCCCTCGCCGTAGCCGGCCATTTGTTCGGCATTGACGTCCGCACTCTTGCCTTGCTCTTGATCGGTGAGTTGGCTCGTGTCTTCGGAAGCGCCTTTGCCGCGCACGCCGCGGGCCATGGAGGTGGGGGTTGCTTCGTCTATCGTGGTTGTTTGTTTGGAGGGGATGCGTTGGTCGCTGGTGGGGTTAGCACGTATCTCACAAATTTAAAGAGAAAGGGTCACGAACACATGTGGTGCATTGCTGTTGGCTTGTGCCTGTGAAGTTGCCTTTTCTGCGGGTTCTTTCGAGGCTGGGTTGCCTGCTGTGTTGTATGCTATGTCTTGGGAGGGTTGGGAGGGCTCGTTGGGGTTGACGGCGGCCATGCTTGCGATACCTGTGTCCGGGTTTGATTGAGGTGTCTTCGGTTACGTTGTTGAAGTTGTGGTATAGATCGACTTAGATTTCTGGTGAGGTTCCTTTTTTCATGTGAATGAAATGTTGTCTATGACCCGCGAAGGAAGCTCCATCGCTCCTGCCCCTCCAAAAAATCACATTCACCTGCCGCTATCAACGTCATCGCGGGTCATCAGGTGAAGAAGCGGGCCAGAACAAAACATGGAAACATGAACTCAAGCTCTGCCTTTGTCGAGATCGGTTTGACTTTTGTTTACATCTCAAACCTTCCAACAAATCTACCATAAACGAAACGCAACCATGGCCGCCAGCATGACACGCAAGGAGATCCTTGGGAAGGTCTATAAGATGATCCCTCCCATGCTAGAGAAGTTCCACAAAGGTACTGTAGATACCTAGAATGTCAAGCCATTGGCTCTTCTAACAGCCATGTCCAGGTCAACTAGGAAGAGTAGCCGTGATCGGCGGCAGCGAGGACTACACCGGAGCACCATACTTCTCAGCAATGGCCTCTGCGAAGCTCGGCTGCGACATGTCACATGTCATCTGCGAGCCAGGCGCTGGAGCTGTGATCAAGACGTATTCGCCCAACCTTATGGTGCACCCATACATGCGGCAGGAGAAGAACCTCGCAAAGGGCGAGACGGTCGACAGCATCAGCGAGAACGTCATTGGTATGCTTGACAGGCTGCACGTTGTGGTGATCGGACCAGGTTTGGGCCGCGACCCAGCTATGCAGGAGACATGCGCGAGAGTTATCGCTGAGGCGAGGAAGAAGAACATCAGCTTTGTGCTGGACGCGGATGGACTGTACCTGGCGCAGACACGACCAGAGCTTGTCAAAGGCTACAAGGAGTGCATCCTCACGCCCAACGTCGTGGAGTTCGGACGGTTAGCCAAGAGCCAGAACATCGATGTTGAGAAGGGCGACGCATCGAAGCTATGCGAGCAGCTGGCGACAGCGCTCGGCGGCGTTACGATCATCCAGAAGGGCAGCGTGGACTACATCTCCAACGGCACGCACACCATGACCTCGGAAGGCGAGGGAGGTATGAAGCGATCAGGTGGACAGGGCGACACTCTCACTGGCTCTCTGGCAACGCTTCTGGCTTACAGAAAAGCGTACCTGGAGAAGATCTGGGATCATGAGAACGACATGAGCCCTGATGAGCTTCTTGCTCTGTGTGCGTACGGTGGCTCCGCCATCACGCGAGAGTGCTCGAGGCTGGCGTTCAAGGAGAAGGGTCGAAGTCTGCAGGCTGCTGATCTGACGGAGCATGTGCACACTGCGTTCTTGGACATTGTTGGGGAGAAGCCCACGGATGGGAGCAAGCTCTGAGCGACTGTACAAAACGGCGAGTTGAGCATTTGCAGGCGTTTCGAACCATACCAGCCTTGACAGAGTAATGAGCGACAGGATGGTATAGTTGTACAATACGGAACAAAAAGCATCTTCTAGTATGGTACAAAGACGTGGCATCACAAGGGGCCCTGTGAGATTGCATGATTTGGGCACCGCGAGTGAGACCAGTACAGTGCCCGCAGGTTGATTTTGGGACACCTTATGCTCACGGAGCCGGTTTTCCGTTCTCGATTCACACAGAACCATCTCGCTCATGTGGTTCAGATGACATTTCCAGATCTGCTCGATCCGAATCCGTGCCCGAGACAATTTCAACAAGAGCACTTGAAGAGACATTGGCAAGGTGAGACGCGGACCAACGATTGAAACCATCGAGACAATGTTCAGACGACATGCGAGGATACATATGGCGGATGTTTGCTTGTATCCTGCAGGTAGGTCAATACGCATTCTTTCCGTAGTCCATACGCATCATCACCACAGTCTATTACTTTACGATGGGAATCTGGATTCCCGTGACCGACCCCTTTGCGATCGCCGGCTTCGCTATGGTCTGTCTTCTTGTTATCATTCTTATACTGCTACTTACCGTTGTTCAACGGAGATCTGCGCAGGAGGTGTGGGACTCTGTTGAAGGTAGACAGAGGAGCAATGCGCTGGACGAGAGGACTGGAGGGCATCATGCTACTGGGGAGCAGCAAGTCAGCAGCGACGATCTTACCATCGAGAACCATCAGGCCGCCGCCGCTGCCACCACAGCTGCCAACGAACACGCAACTCACGACAATCAGGTCGCTGAAGACAACTACGCTTCCGAAGTCACAACCGACACAGACCGCCTCATTCCTCCGTCGAGGCCCGAGAGCAGTCACTCAAACGGCTCCACGGCGCCTTCCAACCACAAGAACAAGCGGCCTGCTGTGAGAATCAGTCGTTTTGTCGAGGTGTTTGGCCATCATTCTCCGAAGCAGCCGGACAACGATCAGACACCAAAGCGCATCGACTTCCAGGCTGTGCCGCAAGGTCGGATGAGCTTGAATGAGCATCGGAATAAGGAGATGTGGCTTGATTGATTGCAGGCGGAGAGCCACGTAGGGGTGGAACACCATGTGTGGAGTATGAGCAATACCGTAAGTGTATCAAAGTTGCTTTAAGAAGTGCTATGAACTGACCGCAGCCTTCCCAGCTACCTGAAATAAAGGAGTAATCTGGCCCGCCCTCAGCTCCTCCGCCACCTGCGAGCTGACGGTATGCCACCGCTGGAGCGTGTCAGCTTCCGCATCAAAAGCATAGAGCGGCCGGTTCCGCATCTTGACGCTTTCGGGATCAATCTCTTTGCCTTCATTCGCGAGTTTCAAAGCACTGTGCCATCGATCCCGGAGATCTTCGCCGTTGGTCTGAGACTGCCTTGTTCGGGCAAAGCGGAGCTTTTCGTACGTTCGGGTCTGGGAGGAGAGGTCAGCATTTGCTTTCGACAGCGCTGGATCGCTAGGATGCTTACCGCGAGCGGTATATCGTTCTTGCCGGCGAATTTAAGACAGATCGCCAACACCGCCGCGCTCTCCGTCGCTTGCGATGCGCCTTGCGCGCTGGTCGGGAGGTGAGGGTGACAGCTATCTCCTAGCAAAACAATCTTATGGCTCTTGCTGACCCATGTAGGCAGCGGGTCCCGATAGCAGATCTTCCAGTCCAGGACTTTGTCAGAAGGCGTTTTCTTGATCGCCGCCACCATGTGCGGATCCAACCCTTCGATACACCTCCACACCTCCTCCAAATCACCCTCCTGGAACCACGACTCCGTAATCTCCATATCCTTCTCATGGCTCAGTTTTCTCGTCAAGATCCAGTTAAACTCCTCACCACCACGCAGCGTGTTCTGCACCACATGCGTATCATCCCCAATCCAGATATTCACACAATCATGGTCCGCCAAGTCCCTACACGCCGGATCCTCCTTCAAATGCAAACCCGGAAAATACGCCCGAAAACACGAATACCCACTACTCCTCGGATGGTCCTTGAACCCCAACACCAACTCCCTTGCCTTACTCTTAATCCCATCCGCCCCGACCACCACATCCGCCTCCACCACCTCCCCGTCCTTCAACCGCACACTCGGCCCTTCCTCATCAAACCCCACCACCTCCCGCCCCATCTGGATCTCGATCCCCGCGTCCCGCACCGCCTGTAGGAAGACCTCGTGGTAGTCCCCGCGGTGCCCGATGTAGCCCGCCATATCCATCAGCGGCTGCTGGGCCAGCACTTTCCCGTCCGACCACCGCCGGATCTGCATGTCCGGCGCTTGGTTGCCGATTTCCGTCAGGCGGTCGTAGAGGCGCTGGCCGCCCCAGCGGCGGAGGAGTTTGAGCGCGTTTTCGCCGAGCCCGAGGGAGTCGCCGAGGCGTTTGAAGCGGGGGAGTTTTTCGTAGACGGAGACATTGAAGTTTTGGTGGTGGAGGGCGAGGGCGGTTGCGCAGCCGCCTAGGCCGGCGCCGATGACGATGACTGGGAGGGTGGTTAGAGGTGGTTCGTTGGAGGTGGGGTGGAGGGCGGAAGGGTACCTTTGAGTGGGGTGTCGTCTTGAGTCTCCGCCATGGTGTGTTATTTTGCTGGAGTTTTGGTATGTGGTGATACCGTCGACGATGTACGAGAGCTACTATTGTACTTATCTTACGGCGGATTTAGGACTGCAGCTGTCCCTCGGATACATGTAGTTGGTCGTCTGCATGACTTATGTGCTTCCGTCTCGAACGTCTCGTCCAGCGGCAATTGCCCGCATCCTCAACTGCCGAACACACCAAAACACGTCGTCGGCGCGAACGGATATTGTTGTCCAGCTTGCTCCATACCGCTCCAGAATCCAGCCTCCACGCTCCACGATCCACATGGAGGTGGGGCGAGTGGGTCGAGTGAGGGTTATCTGGCATATTGGAGATCGCAATTGCCGTGTTCCTGGCCACGAGGGCGAGGCGAGCATGGGGATAAAAACGTGGCAATGCATCTCTGACATGGTACTTCATATGTACTTCAGATCTCTACACGCGATGGCTGCATTGAAGATGCTGCACTAGTACATTTACCTTTAATCCAAAACATCAACCACACTAGATCAACATCGGGAGTCAAACGAACCAAAGAAATAAATCAACAAAAGTAACACTCTCACCAACTTACCTTGACTGACAATGAGCGGCAAACCCGACCTCGACATCGCTCCCCAACCCACCCCCCTCTTATCAGAGAGATGGTCCGGCGTGCCCTCTCGACTCACCTCAGAAGCCTCCACAGCCCGCACCCGCCTATATAGCAACAAGACCTTACCGCACAGCGCTCCCCGCCAACGCCCCGCGCGTCTCCCACCAGGCCTCTCGGAATCCGACTTCTCCACCGCAGTCAAGGACCTCCGACAAAGCATCGGTGCCGAGAACGTCGTGATCAACGACCAGCCGTTGAAGGATGGATGGTACCTCGAGCACCCGAACACGCATGATGCGTTCCATGTCGTTGAGCAGGAGGAACTCGTCTGCAGCGCGGTAGTCTACCCTGGATCGACGGAGGAAGTGCAGAAAGTCGTGCGCTGGGCGAACAAGCACCTTATCCCCATCTACCCCATCTCCATCGGCCGGAACGTTGGGTACGGCGGTGCTGCGCCTCGAGTCCCTGGTGGCGTGGTGCTGGATCTCGGGAAGCGGATGCACAGCATCTTGAATGTCGACGGAGAGAACGCCAGCTGCATGGTCGAGCCGGGTGTGACCTACTTCAAACTCTACGAAGAGATTCAGAACCGCGGACTTCCACTCTGGATCGACTGTCCAGACCTCGGAGGCGGCAGCGTGTTGGGTAACGCCATCGACCGCGGTGTCGGATACACACCCGCTGGAGACCACTTTGCGAACCACTGCGGGATGGAAATCGTACTACCCAACGGCGAATTGCTACGCACGGGCATGGGTGCCATCCCAGGCCCGGACGGCACGGACAGTCCAGTCTGGCAATCGTTCCAAAACTCCTTCGGCCCGAAAATCGACGGCGTCTTCTCGCAGAGCAACTTCGGCATCGTGACGAAGATGGGGTTTTGGCTGCTGCATGAGATGCCGCATCGATCGTACTGCTTCACGTTTGCGCAGGACGAGGATTTCCCGCGGATCGTGGAGGCGATACGGCCTTTGGCGCAGAAGGGGGTTTTGGGGAATATTCCGCAGTTGAGGCATGTGGTGCAGGAGTTGAATGTGACGGGGAGGAGAAAGTCGACGTTTCATGATGGGGAGGGTCCGATGACGAGGGAGGAGATCCGGAGAGCGGCGAAGGAGTTGCCGTTGGGTGATTGCAGCTGGGTGTTTTACGGGACGCAGTATGGCGATGCCCAGTCCGTGGAGCGACAGTTGGGTGTTGTCAAGGCGGCCTTCTCCGATATCGAAGGCACGAAGTTCTGGCTCCCGGAAGACGTACCGCAGGACCACTACCTCCACTCGCGCGTCCAAGTCAACAGCGGCGTCCCCATCCTCCGCGAGCTCGACTGGCTCAACTGGCTCCCCAACGCCGGCCACCTCTTCTTCTCCCCCATCACACCCACACGCGGCAAAGACGCGCAGAAGATCCACGACATGATCGTCGCGGGGCACAAGAAATACGGCTTCGACGTCTTCCCCACCCTCTGCATCGCCGGGCGCGAGATGCACTACATCGCCAACGTCATCTTCGACCGCGCCGACGCGGACCAGAAGCGCCGCGCTGTTGCTCTACTGCGCGAGCTGGTGGACGACTGTGCGAAGGAGGGTTTTGGAGAGTACCGCACGCATTTGCTGTTTCAGGACCAGGTGGCCAGGACATATGGGTGGGGAGACCAGGCGTTGATGCGGTTTAATGAGACGATTAAAGATGCGTTGGATCCGAATGGGATATTGGCGCCGGGGAGGTGTGGGATCTGGCCGAAGCGGTTTCGGGGGAGGGGGTGGGAGTTGGGGCTGGAGGACGTTGATATGAAGGTTATTGGGCCGAAGTTGTAGGTGTGGTTGATGTCGTTGAATCAAGTTCTTTCAGCGGTCATTGTCGTAATCGTCGGCCTGTTGTTCGAGCTGATGATATCGTCCCGTGTTGATCGGACAGGCTGTAGACGGGACGGTAAGGGTGACTTTGACTGGTGCCGTCCCCTTCCATTCCCATCGATGGATGGTCTCTTACTCATGGACGCGGTCTATCAGGCCTCCAAGTCCACGCTGCACCCAGCTTCTCCTCACAAGGGCCATCAGGAGGTTTATCTCGACCGGACAACACCGGGGTTAAGGGGGGTAAGTCCGACAGGGCTCGATCCTTTAGCTGCACCATTGCGTCTTTCTGCTCTGCGCCTTTCCTCATTCTTGCAAGCCGTCGGTGTCTTCAGCGTGAGTCACCAGCTTTCGACCCATCGGCGGCCTTCCAGTCCTTCGGTTCGACGTCGGCCGTCCAGGATCTCTGCTCGCGGCGCTGTAGCTAGACCTGGCTTGATCGACATTGGGTTTCGCTGAAGGGTCCGAAGGGAGGGGACACTTCTTTGCGATACGAAGAGGAACTCTCTTCATTTACAAGACGCTCGGCGGCAGCACCGAGTCTTCTAACGACTTCATTGCTGCGAAAGATCGAGACTTCAGCCCCAGCTTGCTCAATCAGCTGCACCTTACTCAGCGACCTACATCATCCCGTCTGGAGTAGAGGGGAACAACCACTTTCACTCTACTGCGACTCTGTGCGGTAAAAAGTTGAATCAAGAGGTCCAGGACTACCGCCCACGCGACCAGATGGCCTCCCAAAACGGGCCCACACCGCCCTCATCCACCTCCTCCAACGGCGCATCCCCAGACACCCACCAGTTCCGCATAGTAAGGAAGCGCAACCGAGTCCCTCTCTCCTGCGCACCCTGCAGACATCGCAAGCTCAAATGCAATCGAGGTCATCCCTGTGACAACTGCTCCAAGCGCGGCGACACGGCCTCCTGCAGCTATGCTACCCAAGGGAACCGGAAGAAAGGCGCCAATGGCCCCACAGGAACGCCAGACGATATGCAGAATCGCATTGACCGGCTGGAGGGGCTGGTGCTCTCATTGATGGGCAGCGGGTCGCAGCAGGGTGCGCCGGCGGCGGCGCAGGCGGCGATAAGCGCGAGTAGGAGTAATAGTTTGAGTACGGGCTCGGATTTAAGATTGGATGTGGAGGGCAGCGATATGATTCGAGAAGAGGGCGGTGAAGGGGAGGGTGAGGATAGCGAGGTGGATCAGGTGTCGAGGGGAATTGGGATCATGAAGGTGGATAATGGCAGAGCGGTCTTTGCGTCGGACGCACATTGGTATGCTATCCTGGGCGAGCTGACGGAGGTCAAGAAGTATTTCGAGGAGCATAAGAAAGACTACAAGGCGCATATGGAGAAGGTGCAGGCTGCGAAAGCGAACGAAAGTCCGGGTACAGCTTTTCTACTGCAAGGACCAGCGGCGAAAGACCAGGCTGAGTTGCTGGCTGCGTTTCCATCGAAAGCGGATGCGGATCGCTTGATCGCGCGGTACTTTAACGCCTACGATCCATCTGTCCACATAATCCATGGCCCTTCCTTCCAAAAGCAATACGACCGGCATTGGCTGAATCCAAGCGACTCGAGCGTGGTGTGGATCGGGATGTGCTTCGCGATGATGACTCTGGCGCTGCAGTCGTACCATAGAGCGGGCGATGAGCCGCCAGAGTATCGCGGAAAGGCGATGGACCTCTCGCATGAGTTTAGGCGCTTGACAGCGCAGTGTCTGTTGCTAGCGGACATCACGCAACCGATTGCGCAGATTCTGGAGACACTGGTTTTGCACGTACAAGCAGAATATGGACGAAGCAGAGATGCGGAGCCTGGCGTTCTGTTGATGGTGAGCTTGTGCGTGCGGTTAGCGATGCGGATGGGCTACCACCGCGATCCAGCGCCTCATCCATCCATCACACCGTTCCAAGGCGAGATCAGACGGCGAGTATGGTGCTTTGTGCGCCAATGCGACCTCCTCATCTCTTTCCAATTCGGCCTCCCGGCCATGATCCGAACAGAATACATCGACACCGAAGCTCCTCGCAACCTTTACGATGACGAATTACACGAAGATATGAAAGCGCTGCCAACCTCCCGACCAACCTTCGAAGCGACACCGATGAGCTACATGATAGCGAAATCGAAGATGACCTTCCTGTTCGGCCGAGTAGTCGAGCGGGTGGCCTCCATCACCAACCCGCCTTCTTACGACGAAACGATGAAATTCGACCAAGACCTCCGTGAAGCCCGCTCCACCCACCCTCCGTTGCTGAAGATGCGCTCGTTCCAGGAATCAGCGCGCGATCCAGCGAACTTGATAATGCAGCGCCTCGGACTGGAAATGGTCTACCTCCGCTCCCTCTTCGTCCTGCACCGCCGCTTCATCGCCCGAGGCCGCGAGAACCCTCGCTACGCCTATTCACGAAGAACGTGTATCGATGCTTCAATGGAGCTACTTGCGCATCAAGCCACGTTACATCAAGAAAGCCGACCGGGCGGACGGCTGCGGAGCGTGAAATGGTACATCTCCTCCTTGACGACCCACGACTTCTTGCTTGCAGCCATGTTGGTATGTCTCGACCTTTACCACTCCGCTGAAGCCGAACGACGCAACCGCGGCACGACCTCCCCTGCTTCCCCCACGGAGCTGTACAAAGAAGACCGCCGGGAAGAAATGCTCGCAGCAGTCGAACACTGCATCGGCATCTGGGAAGAAGTGCGCGAGCAGAGCATGGAAGCCTACAAAGCCTCCGTGGCTCTCCGAGTAATGTTCGACAAGCTGAAAGCGCATCAAGCACAGCAAGCCGCTTTGCAGGGGCAGCAGATGCAAGGTCAAACGCAAAACCAAAGTCAAGGGCAAGCTCCCTACCCGCCTACAGGCGTGGCGAGGGATCTGGGCTTCGGCGCCTTCCCGAACGGCAACCCTGCCCTGCTCAACCCGGATGATTTGCCGCCTGAGCAATCGGCGGCGATGACGTTGGGCATGCTGTCGACGGGCGGGATGGGCCAGTTCGCTGGTTTGCAAGGCGAGATGGCGCGGGTGGATAATACGGCTGAGAAGCAACAGCAGCAACAGCAACAGCAGAGCTACCCAGCAAGCATGGCCGGTCTCCTGAACGAACCCTTCGGCGGGACCGAGCGCACAGGTCTCACGCCCGGCTTTTCGGGAGCGGATGGCGGACAAGGGATGGTCGGCGCTGCGAGTCCGTTTAGCCAGTTATTCGGGCAGAGCGGGGGAGGTGCGGGCATGGAGGGGGTGATGGGGGATATTGACTGGGGCGCGTGGGACAACTACATCGCGAACAACTCGGCCTTGGATCCGGCGGGGAATATGAATTTGTGGCCGATGAATTTGGATCTGGATTCTGTGGGTGCGGTGGGTGGGATGGGGACGGGGGATCAGGGGCAGCAGGGCGCGAATGGAGCGCCGGGACAGGGGGCGGGGAATTCGTTTATGGGTGGTGGGGGTGGTGGGATGATGTGATGATGGGTGTGGCGTCCGAACATGGGACTGGGAAAAGGCTATGGATGCACAGCCAGGCTCAGGTAGATTTTGGGTTGTATGTGTACATAGGTATGAGCGAATGAGCAACGTCCACTCCGAGAATGTTGTGCATGTGTAAATTCTCACACGACCGGCTTCCCGGAACCCTCTCGGTGCCGAGCCATTTCGAGCAAGAAACAGCTGCAGCTACGGAGGTACTGCTCGCGAACCCTGCTGCTCGCGTGTGATCTTGGTCGGCTGCGTATAGCCTACCTCTTAAATCCCCCCTCTCCAAGCAATCCTGCTCGAGACGGTGTGCGGGCTTGGCTATCATCTGCATCCATCGCCCGAGCAGATTATATCAACCGCAGCTAGCGCTGCCGCGCGCTGAGTGAGCAAGACGCGGCGGAAGGGCGATTTTGGCGGAGAGGTGCACAGGTGGGGAGTAATGCACAGTCAGTGCTTAAGTTAGCGATTGCAAAGCTTTGGTCGTTATTAAGATGGTGGTGTGCTCCTGCTTGCGTTGGGAGTTGTGTTGTTTCTGACTTTGTCCCTTCGGTTGGTCGACCTCGCTCGTTATCGCTGCTGCTATCATCACGTGCACGGGCTGTCCGCATCGAGGGAAATAGAGAAGCAGCTAGATAGCCGCAAGGATCCGGCGGCGGAGAAGAAATCAGGAACGGGCGGGCAGTCGCGCAAATCAAGCACTGCTGCTGCCGGCGATTGCAGGGCGGTGACGGCGGGTTAAAGTTTGTTGGTGGGGCTCTTGCTCTGGCTGACTTCAAACACTGCTGGCCAACTCGCCTGCTCTGCTCTTCATTCTCTGCCGTTTCGCCGTGTCGAGCAGCGTCTTGCCATTGATCAATTGACACAGCAAGACAGCTTCTCGCGAAGCGACCGGCAAGATGGGGTCGTCAATGAAGGACATCCTCAACAAGCTGCACATGCCCGGCAGCGGCAAGAACTCGCCACAGCAGAGCGATACCGAGTCTGGCAGCACACGCCCAACTCGCAAGGAGAGCTCTGCACCCCATGAGAACCAGACCACGAGCCCGCACTCGTCCATGTCGGAGCCGCCTGGGGACAAGCCGCGCCATTCCATGACTGGTCTATCAGCGCTCTCCCATCGTTCGAAGCGGCAAAGCTTAGATATGAAATCCCCCGCAGGCGGCGGCCACCGGGCGTCCAAGGATGGCGGCCATAGAACGGCCACACCCATTGGCCTGCTGCGGCGGAAGATGCGGTCCAACTCGGATTCCTCCCACTCCTCGACCGAGGACTTGCCGCTCAACAGAGAAGGCGAGGCCATGAGCAAGAACCAGCAGCGCAAGCACGATCGCATGGCGGAGAAGGAGAAGCATCGGAAAGAAGCCGAGGAGAGGCGGGAAGCGGACCGCAAGCGCAAGGAGGAGATGGAGAGGAAGGCGCTGGAGAACGAGACCGAGGAGCAGAAGGCCAAATATGGGGTTCTGCCGATCAACAACTACGCCGGCGAGGCGAAGAACCTCCAGGGCCACTTCGACGTCAGGACTCTGAAGCCGGAGCAGGTGGGCCAGGAAGTCGTGTTCCGCGCTCGCCTGCACAACCTCCGCAAGCTCAGTGCTCATCTCATGTTCATTGAGCTGAGGCAGCAGACGGCGACGATTCAGGGTATACTGCACGAGCGTGGGGATGTGTCTGAGCACTTCCTCTACTGGGCTGAGCACTTGCACGTCGAGACGGTCGTGCGGGTCAGAGGTAAGGTGCAGGAGCCCAAGGCGAAGCAGGGCGAGATCATCGGTGTCTCTATCCACCACGTCGAGATCCAAATCTCGGAGATGCACGTTGAGGCTGTGCCGAACGAGCCGCTGCCGTTCACCGTCCACGAGGCTGAGGTCACGAAGGAGGAGACGGAGAAGGAGGGCGATACCCGCCATCGTGTCTCAGATCGAGCTCGCTGGAACAACAGGATCATTGACCTTCGCGCGACAGGCTCGCAGAGTGTCTTCCGTATCCAGTCTGGCATCTGCCAGATTTTCCGCTCCCACCTCGATTCGCTCGGCTTCACGGAGATTCATACGCCTAAGCTCCAAGGTGCGGCGTCGGAGTCTGGTGCCAGTGTGTTTAAGGTCGACTACTTCGGCCGACCAGCCTTCCTGGCACAATCGCCTCAGCTTGGCAAGCAGATGTGTATCGCCGCAGATATGCGCAGGGTGTTTGAGATTGGCCCGGTGTTCCGTGCTGAGAACAGCAATACTCACAGGCATTTGACGGAGTTCACGGGTCTGGATCTGGAGATGGCTATCGACGAGCACTACCACGAAGTCCTTCGAACACTCGACAGCACCTTCAAGGCAATCTTCAAAGGCATCTACGAGAATTACAGGCATGAGGTGGACATTGTGAAAGAGCAGTGGCCATCTGAGGATCTCTTGTGGCTCGACGAGACGCTTGTCCTTCCCTTCGCGGAGGGCATCAGGCTGCTCAATGAGTCTGGCTGGAGAGACGAGAACGGTAAAGAGCTGCCAGAGGACGAAGACCTGGGCACAAGAGATGAAATCCAGCTTGGTCGCGTGATCAGGGAGAAGTACAAGACCGACTACTACGTCCTCGACAAGTTCCCAGCCTCCGCGCGCCCCTTCTACGCCATGCCCGATCCGTACAACTCCAAGGTCACCAACTCCTTCGATATCTTCCTGCGTGGACAAGAGATTCTGTCTGGAGGGCAGCGTATCCACGACGCAAACATGTTGACTGCCAAGATGGAGGCGTTGAAGATGGACCCGAAGAGCATGGAAGAGTACATGAGTGGTTTCGAGTGGGGCTGTCCTCCACACGGAGGTGGTGGTATCGGTATGGAGCGCATTTTGATGCTGTTGCTCAAGCTCGGCGACATCAGGAACGCTTCGCTGTTCCCACGAGATCCGCGCTCGCTGCCATACACACCACCTGTCAAGCAGCTCAGGCATCCCGAGGCCAGCACGCTGCACCCGCCGTGGTCTGGTCAAGATCGTGTTATGGCTCAGATGGAATTCCAGCCGTTGGAGAAGCTCATTGCGAACTACGGCGATGCGTCGAATACCTCCTGGCTCGAGCCGAAGTTCGAGATCTGGCGAGATGCCAATACTGGTGCCGCTGTCGGTTTCGTGCCTCACGAAGGCTTCGCCATCACCATTGGCGACCCGCTGTGCCATCCAGGTCAGTATGCGAAGACGATCGCAGGCTACCTCCGCTACATCAAGAAGGAACGCCACATCAAACCGCTTTGGCTGCTGTGCGGCCACCAGATGGAGGACATTCTCGCGACCAAGTTCGACTGGCGCACCTTCTCCCCCGCCGCCGAACAGCGCCTTGATCCCGGCAACAACCCGGCCATCAAGGACGCAGACATCCAGCGCAAAATCCGCCACGCCGAGAAGGAGGGTGTCAAGATCCACGACATCCCGATGGGCACGCCGGTGCCGAAGGACGTCCGCGAGAAGATCGACGCTCGTGTGCAAGACTGGCTGGCCGGGCGCAAGGGCAAGCAGGTCCATCTCACAGACGTGCACCCGTGGCAGGACGTCGCGCATCGCACGTACCACTACACCACGACGCCCGACCTGCAGATCCAGGGCTTGGTCATCATGGCGCAGCTCTCACCCGACCACGGCTGGCAGGTGAAGTTCGCGCTCGACTTCCCCGGCGCGCCATCCGGTGCCATTGAGGCGGTGGTCATGCACGCGCTCAAAGCTGCTGCCGCGACGGGCGCCACGAGCGTGACGTTCGGTGGTGGTGCGGCGAGCAAGCTGACGCCGGGCAAGAACCTGAAGGGCGCGAGGTTTAAAGTGTTGAGCAAGGCGTACCATGCGATTGCGACGGAGTTGAAGTTGACGAATAAGACGGAGTTCCGGACGAAGTTGGGCGCGCAGGAGGATCCGGTGTTTAGTGAGTTTTACCCTACTTCATCTTATCTCGACACTGGGTGGTATGCTGACCTGATGTGTTACAGTCGCCTACCCACCCCACGGTCTCGGCCCAGCGGGTGCAAGGGCCATCATCTCCTTCTTCGAGGACGACGACGAGGGCGGCAAGGTTTAGAAGGCCGAGTCTGCAAAGTCGCCGTCGCCGAAGAAGAGTGCTACGTTCATGGAGAGGATGGGGACGTGGAAGGATAGTTTTCTGGAGAAGGAGAGGGGGAAGGATGAGAGTGGTCTGAATGGGTTGACGAGGGCGAGGATGGGGGAGTCGTCGAGCAGTAGTGGGGATACCTCGATTCCGTGATGGATATGTGAACGGAGGGGTTGGGATGAAGAGCTTGTACAGGGCATGGCGATGGATGACAGCACGTATGTGTTTAGCCTGGTCGATATGAGATAGACAGTTCATCTCTTTGGTCTGAATATGCCGAACCAACCCAACTACCGCGTCTGCTCGCTCTTCATAATAAGTCTTTGGAAGGTGAAGCCAAAAGTGAAGTCGAACGTTGCCCGGGACGACTAGCGCCAAACACGGCAGTCGCGGAAAGCTCACGCGCGACCTCAGCCGAGACCTTGAACGACATCTCGAGTCTCTTTCGTCCTGCATGGCTCCCGCGACATTGCAGTCTTCGCTTGCTTCCTCGCTGTCGGCGCGCATGTAGCAATTGCGCCAACGAACGGCGACACGACAACCCCAGCATACTTAGCGCTACCTCATGGCTCGCATACCACGCAACAGCAGCAGCAGGAACACCGGAACAACAACATCGACGGCAGCGGGAGCTTGGGATAGGAACCACTTTCTTTGACACGAACACGACAGGACCCTTTTGGACAGGCACGAGAACAGGGGGAACAGGACAACGAACGGATACAGCATTTTGGAACGAAAAGAGCACGCATTGGAAAGCGATTGAAGCGCATCATGGCCGCGGTCGCGCACCCTTCACGACCGACGATACGGCGGAACTCGCCTCTGTCGGTGTCGAACGGCGTGTACGGCTTTTCATCCGACGCGCCGATGTTACGACGCATCGATATTGGTGACAGCGATTCCGACGACGAGCCACCGCCCGCGATCAAATTCTCGAAAGAAACGCAGGCGCTGTTGGCCGGCGCGCCGCCGCCTTCGTCACCACCAAGACACGAGCAGCAAGCGTATGAGTTACCGCGCTTCAAGAGCTCGATCGGAAGTAGTACTCGCGCAGCACCAGGAGCAACAGCAGCAGATACGCCTAGCAGAGCCCCCGGCATAAAAATTATCCGCCGCAGTTCACCTCCGCTTTCTGGCGATCGAGTGAGAGCCGGCAGTACGCCGCCGAGAGTTGTGCAGATTGGTGGGAACAAGGGTTCTGCGAGTTCCGGGAAGCGATCGATCAGTATTGCGGGACCATATCAGCAGCGATATCCGATGAAGAGGGATCCAACGCCTACGCATGAGGGGAGACAGGATGTTATTACGCCGGCGCCAGGGCCGAGGGCGTTGAGGGTGAGGACGCGGTCAAATAGTGCGCTGTCGCAGGAGGCGCATGGGTCGGGTGCCAGGGAAGGAGCGCGGTCGGCTAATGAGACGGGTAACGAGACTAGTGAAGGCGAGGAGCTGAGACGTAGTATCACTCAGCATCATGCGCCGGAGACGGTCTCGAGGCTTGGTACGTCGACTGTCGGGAGGTCGAGGAATCCATCTGCTGATCCAGCGCCGCCGCCTGGGTCTACGAGGATCAAACGGGCGCCGAATGGGACGGGGTCGTTCTTGAAATCTGGACCTGTACGGAGAGGGTTTCGGAGACGGGATAGTGAGGACAACATCTCGCCAAATGATGAGGCGCAGCATGGATCTGCGTCCCAGAATGGCTCTAATGGCTACTTCCCGACTTCCGGGAGTGCAACGCAAGCGAGCAGACCGCCGAGTCGGACAGGTAGTGTCAACGAGCATGCGCCTGCTGTGGAGCCGGTGTCTATACACGACTTTGCGCAGAAAGGTCAAGCTCCTGCTGAGGCGAGACCTCCGTCACGACAGACTGGATCGTATCTTTCGCGAAGTCAGATGAGCAATGATTCGAGACCACCATCACGGAATGCGAATGAGCGTGTACGGAGTCGGCAGACGAGCGTTGAGCCTCCACAGGTGAGGAAGCAGTCAAGTGTACACCACGACGAAGCACCAGCATTAGTACACCATGACCCGCCCCAACGACGACCTAGCATCGACCAGCCGCAATCACGGCCAGCAATGGAGACTAAACCAGCACAGCAGAAACCAGCACCCTTCAGAACAGCACAATATCGATACGCCGCGCCAAAAATCAACACCGACGCCTCAGAGGACCAGGAGAACATGCCACCACCCACATTCAAACGCAACAAAGATGCAGAGTTCAAGCATCTCGGCAAGCCATCCAATGCTGTCCTTCAAGATGAGAACAAGCCGAAAGCACACCACACTGAAGACACTCCCGTCCGAGCACCAGCTCAACAGGAGCAGCGCAAAGTCCTCGGTGCTATCAGCGGCAACACGCCTCATCGCGCTGCCCCTGCGCCTCCGCCGAAGATGTCGGTACTGGAGACCGCGACCACGACAGGCGGTGCTAGTGTCACCAAGTCGAAGAAGAAGCGATCGCATATCGTCATCAACGGCAAGATCTTTACGCAGATGGGCAAGGTGGGCACTGGTGGGAGTAGTCAGGTTTTCTGCGTGATGGCGGAGAACTTCAACACTTTTGCTTTGAAGAAGGTTAAGCTGAAGGATGTTGATGAGGCTGCTGTGCGTGGATATAAGGGGGAGATCGATCTGCTGAAGAAGCTTACTGAAGTCGAGCGCGTGATCCGGCTTTTCGACTGGGAGTTGAATAACGACAAGCAGGAACTGCTTGTGCTCATGGAGAAGGGCGATACCGACCTCAACCGCCTTCTGACGCTCCGCCTGAATGGCGACAAGGCCCGCTTCGATCCAGTTTTCACCCGCTACCACTGGCGGGAGATGCTCGAGTGCGTCCAAGCAGTCCACGACATGGACATTGTCCACTCCGACCTCAAACCCGCCAACTTCCTCCTTGTCCAAGGCCGTCTGAAGCTCATCGACTTCGGCATCGCCAACGCCATCGACACCGACAACACCGTCAACGTGCACCGCGACAGCCACGTCGGCACGCCCAACTACATGTCTCCCGAGAGCATCACGGACACCAACGCACCAGCCCCCGGCGAAGCGCGCGAAGACGGCGCCGGGAGGCCTTTGACGAAGGATATAAAGATCGGCAAAGCGAGCGATGTCTGGAGCTTAGGCTGCATCCTATACCAAATGACCTACGGCCGCCCGCCCTTCGCGCACATCCAATCGCAACTCCCGCGCATCCTCGCCATCACGAACAAGAACTACGCCATCTCCTTCCCGGACGTCGGACTCGGCGATATACCCGTGCCTGCGTCGCTGAAAGGCGTGTTGAGGAAATGTCTGAACCGCGACCCCGATCGTCGACCGACGGTGAAGCAGTTGTTGAGTGATGGGGACGTGTACATGAACCCGGAGCAACCCGGGACGGTCATGATGGGGGAGGAGCTGTTGAGGCAGATTATTGGGAAAGTGGTGGAGAGGTGTCGGAAGGACTTCCCTGGGGAAGAGGAGGTTAGGGGGTATCCGAGGGGGTTTATGGAGAAGATAAGGGGGTTGGTGGAGTATGCTTGAGGTTGGAAACTTTGGAGAGCATTCGTTTTGGAGGCAGATGCGTTGTATGGGATTGGGAAGTTTTGAGCGTTGGAGCTTTAGGTGTTTGACTTTGGTCTTTTTGGAGTGACGAAGAGCTTGGATACCGCAGTTTGGTGGCCATCAGCATGTCTGCATTCGACGCTATACTTACGAGCAAGAAGCAAATTCACTTCTAAGGCCACCAAGTCATCGCCATCAAGGCACCTTTCCTCTCTGCTCTTCTCACCGCGCTTCGCAGCGTAAGTCCCTCACCCAGCCGTAGCATCCTTCTTCTTCTTCGCCTCAACCAACTCCACATTATCCTCCGGGATCTGCTCATAGTTCTCCTCCAACCACTCCCGAATATCCTCACTCACATCCCCCTGCACCGTGATCTCCTCCCCACCCGCCGGCGCCTTCGTCACACTACTCCCCGTCGCGAACTTCTTCCCAAACTCCTTTGCAATCTTCTTCAAATCCAGGCCGAAGTGCTCCAGTCCCGAAACTTCCGTAACGTACTTCCGCTTATTCCTCTCTACCCTCTTGATGATAATCTTGCTCTGCGCACGTTTCTCCGCTTCTCTCGCTTCAGTGGCAGAGGCTTTGGCGGCTTTCTTCGCGGCGTCCTTTTCAGCGCGTTTCTGCGCTTCGACGGAGAGGATGGAGAGGTTTTGCGAGAGGGCTTCGGGGGAGTAGAGGGCGGTGTGGAGGGAGGGATGGTGGGTGGAGAGCCATTCTTCGCATTTCTTGGTCGTGCCGCCGTATTCACAGTACTGGAGATGGAGGGGTTAGTTGGGGGAGGTGGGAGGGAGGGGTGGAGTGGTGGGAGGAGGTCGTACCTACTTCTGGTGGGAGGGTGCAGACGCCGCAGTAGACGACGGACTTGGCGGGGCGGAGGTCGGAGGGCGGTGCTTGGACTTCGGCCATGGTGTTGGATAGGCTGGTATGGAGTAACGAGTCGTCGAACGCAGGAAGTGGTGTGAAGTTCTGGTGGGGTTGCTAGGTGTGTTTTGGCCGAACGATTCCCGAGATATCTCGCTCTTGCAAGACAGCGCCCTTCAGTAGCAAAAGGGCTAGGCTCATTGAGGAAGCACTCTGACATGCGATCTATGAGTTCTGCTTCTCGGGAGTAGTATGTCTCAATGGGTTGGACTTACGACCACAGAGGGTTACTCGCCTCCCTTGAGAATTTCTTCAACTACACTCTACTGCTACACTTTGAGCTTTGGAGTTGGCTCGAGGACAGACATTTTGAAGCCGGAACAAAACAGTGCTGATACCTGCTTCTTAATACTATCCAATATGAGGGATGTTTGAGGTCCAGGTCGTAACAAACGCCCCTGCTGGAAGGTAGAACAGACAGCGTATCATCTCCGCCATGATCAAAACGCGTGAGACGGAATAAACAACAAGAGCAGCCCAGAAAGCTATTAAAAATCCTTTAGCAATCACTTCGGCCCAGACCAGTCCCAGTACACATGCGACCACCAAAGCCGTTGCCGATATGACCGCCGCCACGCGATACACCATGCAGTCTACAGAAGAAGGAAAGTCGGAATTCCATGCGGCTAGATGGACTGCACCCAGAAACAGACTCGTGACGCATGTCACCGCAAAATCCAGAAATTGCGCATATTGTGTTACCCTCGGCGACAGTGCACTGTCCGAGTTCCGGAATGGACGGCGATATGCTGCGATAATATCAGAGTTGTCTTTGCGACAATCTGGGCCGTACTCGTGGCAGAGCTGCGGTAGACTTTCGGGCATCGCTTTTTTCCCAAATGAATGCACCGCAAGCACGGTACTGACTGATTTCGGCTTCTGCATCGCAAAGACGTAGGTGAAGACAGAACAGAGAACAAAGCCGGAAACACCAAGCTCGAGCAAGGATAAGGGGAGGCCACTGGCCACTCTGACGATTACCTCGAGCAGGAAGTACAGAATCTGAGCCAGAACAAGAGCTTTGCCGACTACGTCGCTGTTTGATTTGTCGAGTCTGTCGTCAACAGACATGATGTTGTGTGGCAGGACCCCTCGCTCTATCGCTAGTCGAAGTGCTTCGGGAGGAACGCGAATGTATGCCGGCGCTTTGCTTGTCGTTGTAGAACTGCGCCGTTGGTCTTCCATGCGAAAAGTGCCATCATCTTTGCCTTCAGGTTCGTCTTGGATACCAGCGCGAGATGCCGTACTTGCAACATGATCTGCATCAAACTTTGGCATACTCGGCGTTTTCTCCTCCACGTCTCACGCTTGAGGGTTGGGCTCGATGTAAGCTCATGGAGGAAGGTCATCTTCATGAGTGGAGAACACGTATGGCTGATCCGAGGGATTCGCATCGCTCTGATTTCCAAGAGGCCATTGGTCCATCGCGGCTGTTCGTTCAACGTCCATCGTACACATGCTTCGCTTCTGATCGCCCCCCAAGCCAATACCGCGGCCTGCAACATTTTCAAATTGCTCGACCACATCGTGAACACCATCGGGCTTTTCACCATCATATGTGACAACGAAGCCCCCCATACCTGCAAACAGCATGTGCGTCATGGTCCAAGACTGCTCCGTTGCAGGAACATTATGGTGCAGCTTGCGCAGCTGTGTTCGCGCAACCCACCAGTCTTCGACGGACCTTCCAAGGATGAATTCCGGCGCTAGGCAGGCAAGGAAAGCCCACCGTACGCTCTGAGCAAAGCGACGGGAAGCCCACTTGAGGTCTCCTTTCCACCCCGGATCGCGCCCATCTCGCTGCTCGGGTACGTTGAGGTGCACTACTGAGTATGTACACGCAAAGATTGTCGCAAGCGAGCTCCAGATAATGTCCAGCGTACTCCTGACATTGGGGCCAGCAACAAAGGTTGTAGACTCAAGGCGAAGCGTACAATTCGGATGAAAGATCATCCTTGCTGTCTGACTAGATTTGGGATGGGGACGCGACCAACGAAAGGAAGAGATCAGGCTGGGCAGAAGGACGTATAAATACCGTCGAGAGCCTTCTGCTCCGTCACAGCTTCATCACCCAACAAGCGATGAGGCTGGCAAGGCTGCATCTACCATTGGACGCCACTGAGACCGACTGCGCACGCGATGCATGCTCAGCCTTGTTACGGAACAACACTGCGTAGCTCCCCGGTATACACCTCATCTCGCTCGTGGTCTCAGTCGTGCGGCTCTCTCGTCCCAGGAAACAGCTCGGATGACGGAGGTGAAGTTGGCGTTAAGTGAGCCGACTGGGTTGTCCCACCCGGGCCGAGTCTGGTGCGCAGTATAAGCTTTTGACACGTGATCCTCGCCTGTGCAAGAAGTTCGAAGCAGTGGACAACTCCTTTATGCGTATGCTGTCAGGTAGTTGCTCAACTTCAGACCGCCAATCTCGAGATACTTCGTTCCTACCAACACCAATATTCTTACGCCACCACTCGCCAGTGCAAGAACTCGCTTCCCATCCGCTGACGCACAGCGACACGTTTTCTGAGGCTTGACGTGGCTGTGTCCGCGGCGTCTCCAACTGAAGAAGACCTTCCAACCTCCTAACGACAAGTGAAGGCCGCAATCATTCCCTGCCTTCCTTGAGAGCATTCTCACAATGGTAGCTCCCCAGCAGGCTCGAGAAGTCCGTACCGCCCAGCTATCGGCTCAGGAACGCGAGCGGATTCTCAAGCCATATCTTCCAAAGACAAACCAAGGAGCGACTCATCAGCAACGGCACAAGCAACGAATACGGCCTGTCATACGGAGAACAATCCACAGCCTGCTATTCGCCATAATCCATCTCATCTTCAGCATCTACATCCGAATCAGGCAGGCGTACCATGCCGTGCTGGGCCAATTGCTTGCAGTGCTTTACTACCACCATCGGACTCCAGAGCTGATCAAGCGGTAAGACTTGCCAGCATCTTATTCTACCAAAAGGCCTTTTACTCTGCCCATCCTGGTCTCTACGTTGCACGATTGCATATGAGAACAGCCACTGACCGCTCCCAGGGACGTCTCTGGCCTCACGAAGGTGCCCAAGCACTTGAGCCTGATTCTTGATCGGCGCGAGTCTCTTCTCGACGATGTGTGCGAATCTGCCGCTTGGAGCGCATGTGCTGGCGTGTCAATGCTCTCGATCTACGAGAAAACCGGCATTCTCAAGCACTCTTTGCCTCACCTACACCGTCGCATCGAGCGGACCATGACCTCGTACTACGGCAACTCTCCCAACAAGCCTTCAATCTCGCTTAGGGCACCGCATCTTCCATCCTACAGCCCTCCGACATCTCCAGATCCGTCCATAAACGGACACGACGGCGTCTCATCGCAACGCCCACACCTGACGATTCTTCTCATCGACGCTTCCGATGGCCGCCAGACCCTCGTGGACCTCACCAAGACCTTGGCGGAAATGTCACAGCATGGCAAGCTCTCGCCTTCAGACATCAGCAGCAAGTTGATTGATGCTGAGATTACGGAGTCGGTGATGGGCGAGCCAGATCTGCTTATTTTGTTCGGGGCCAAGATAGTGTTGGAAGGCTATCCACCATGGCAGGCGAGGCTGACGGAGATTTATCACGTTCAAGACCATGCTGGTGGAGTGGGCTACCATGTCTTTCTGAGAGCGCTTCGAAAGTACGGGCAAGCAGAGTTCAGAGTCGGGCGGTGATGAGTTGCTAAGCGGTTGATGAAACCTACTTGAGCATCCTGTAAACTCTATGTAATCATTCAAAGAAACCCGTTCAAGCGAGCATTTCCTTTCTCTATCCACAAGGACTCTCGAAAACCCACAAGATTTTCTGCGCGCTGGGCACTGATGCACTGATGCAATGGTGCAAGCCGCGTCGTAGACTGGATGCGCAGATGTTGTTTTGCTGCGATGGCCACGTTGGAAGATACACCAATTCGTCTGCTCCGTCGCCAGCCCTTTCCTCGAACTCAGCTCCCACCGCTACACTGTAAACACAACTCCAAGCGGTGCGCTCTGACCAGGCAAATGACGCAGTGTGGCTGCTGACGTACGTTTCCATCTTCCGTTTGCGTTCGTCCAGACCCTGCTCAACCCCATGGCTGTCCATCCTCCATCGCCTCCTCCCTCGCCCTCCGCTTCTCGAGCCTAACACGAACAGTCAGAATCCTTTCCCGCTTTGAGCTCTGCCTGCCGGAAAGAAAATTACTTACCACACGCTCAAACTCGGCTTGATGACAAACGGAGCGCCGATGGAACGATCATCGACCAACGGCAGGAACTTCGACAGTTGGGGGTTCTCTTCGTTCGCCATCCTCTTCTTGAGCCTGCGCATAGGGAGAGTCAGCAATTGTCTCTATCGATGGAGATAGACGGACTCACCACTGGCTGAAAGGCGCATCGGACTCAATCTCCTTCGTCACGAACGGGACGCCGATGGATCGATCATCGAAGATAGGCAGAAAGTCCAGCTGCTGTTGGCCATCCTGCTTGATCGCTTGCTGCTGTCGTGCTGACTTTCCCTCTGTCTTGTGGTTGTCTGCGTGTTGGGCTTCCTCCACGAACTTCGTCATGTTTGCGGATCGGTCGAGCTTTGTGGTGAAGTATCGTCTCTGTGGAAAAGTTGTTCGAAGAGAGATCGAGTCGGATGTGATTGTATTGTTGCTGGGTTGGTACCTGACACCTGTCGGGCGGCTCGAGGTCTTTGTGTGCGTGAATTGTGGAAGGATAAATGCGGTTGGTGCTCTCGTGAATCTTAATGAACATTCACCCACCATTAGAGTTCACTCCCACGTGACCGTACACTGAACCTTGCAGTTGGCAGCCAAAACTTTTCTGTCCCCAAGTGAAAAGCCGACATGTTGGTACGATATGATACAACAGGGTTGAATTGTTGTTGCAAATCTCGAAGGTCTTGATTTACATGGGCAAAGACCATATAGCAGGAATGCAGACTTACCATAGCGTGACACTGGAGACAACCCAGAATAAGGTGAGCTTGCCAGACAGATGCCGTCCTTGGAAACGAGATCACGGAGAAAGCGCCGTCGCTCATTCCGGCGTCTTCCTTTTCATGAGCATGCTCTGGTGCCGAGAACAGTGTCCGATAGATCCTCTCCCAGGGAAGAATGATTGAAGCTTGCATGGTGTGTCTTTGTCGTACGGTATCTATATCGCTCCTTGGAACCTTTCGAGCAGCCTATCTTCGACTCCATCGAGAATGTAGTAGTGCTCAATGACCTCCAGATTCTCCGCTTCGGCATTGAACAACTTCTCTGGGTCCTCAGCGCCGCCCATAGGGTTCGCGCCCATTTGGGACTGAGCCATCTGTTGCGTTACTTGGTTCGCAGCTGTGTGTTCTGTCAATACGCGGTGATCTGAAGCGGTTGTGAAGGAGTGGCCGAGACTCACCATTGTTGCTCCCCAAGATGAAATTATACACCGGCTGAAGCCCGAACAACGTAAGGAAGTACCACGACAGACTGCTCACCCATCGTACGTCCAAGTCTCTGGTGCCGACACCTGCCTGCAGCATCTGCTTGAATTGTGGCGTGAGTGGGAAGGGTAATTTCACTGTGGTGGTCTTCATCAGCACTTCGTCCTTCAGCTACCAAGTCCTCTCCGCACTCACTGATCACGTAGCCAGAGAAGAAGGCATTGATCCATCCCATAATCAAGCTCTGCGGCACCATCATGGCCACATTGCCCTTCATCATGCCCATCATGCCCTCCATCATCGCCGGGTCCGACATTGGATTTGGCTTCCCTTTTCCTCTGGCATCAGGGTCCGCAAGGAACTTGCCATCTCTTGCATTCTCGATCAACCACTCCCGTCGCTTCTGAAATGCTGAGGCACTGATCTGGGCGTAGTTGGTACGGAGGTTTGCAGAGCGGAGGAGAGAGCGCTGTTCGCGCAGTTTGGCCAGAGGCTGTCGTTTCGGGGCGCTCTGAAGGAGTGTGCTGAGGTAGTGGCGTAGTATGCCTGTAAGGACCATCACCACAGTAATGGGGAGGAGGATCCAATAGCTGCCGTTCACATGCAAGTCAGCCAGCGGTAATGAGGGGCCAGGCTACCGACAGTCACATCGCCCAACTAGGCCACGAGCTATGTCATGGATAGCAATAGGAGGTGGGCGGTCGACGAGTGTGAGCTAGCGTTTTCAGGTATGCTTGAGTCTGGGAGAAGAGAGCCAGATATGCTCTCACCTGCTTGCCTGGGAGGGGTGAGCATTTACTTACAACAGCGCCGGATCCCGTAGGATCTGCTGTGCTTCCGCCATGATGGTCGGCGTGTTGGAAAAAGCGTGGTACGAGTGCTTTCACAGAGATGTAGACGTGAGGTTCCCAGCAGCTGCTGGTGCATCTGACTGCCAAGGCTCTGGACGCCAGCTGGACTTCATCCCATGCCTCTCGACTCGCTCACTAGGACGACAGCATATTGACAATGCCATAGACCCTTCTTGCTGTTCTGGAGAACACGACACCAGCTTACCGTCCAACATGTCGGACAACAAGATCTCACCACACTCTCTCAACGACCTCAAGAACACCACCGACGACTGCTTGGCCAACTACCTCCGCTCATTATCCTTCGTGCAGGACAACAGCAAGCTCGACGTCCGCCTCGCCGTTGGCTATGTCGCTGTCATCATCGCCACTATCACGTTTGTAGCAGACTACAAACTGGGATGGGAGGCAACCAAACTCGGCACAGCGTTTGCCGTGGTCGCGTATGCCATCCTCAATGGGGTGTATACCTACTGGATGTGGATGGTGGAGAAGGGTCTTGTCTTTGAAGGAACGAAAGGCAGCAAGAGGGTGAGTCGATTGGGTTCTGGCTTCGTTGGAGCTGTTGGCAGGCGTGGACAAGGCAAGAGGGCTGACCAGGATTTATTAGGTGTCGATTGCGAGCAAGACCAAGAAGCACGATCCGACATACTATCTTACGGTCACTACGTCAAGCTCAACGAACCCACTCGAGATCCAATGTCCGTTCACGACATGGTTTACATCGGATGGCTACTTTGTCGCCCAGCCTTTCCAGCAGTGGCTGGCCACGAGTGTAGGTGTGATTGGTGAGGCCGACCAGAAGAATGCTGCGAAGAATGAGAAAGAAGATCTGTTCGTCTCCGAGGCCGAGCTCAACGGGACGCCGTCAGCTTCTGGTGCAGATAGTGGGAAGGGCAAAGGCACGAAGAGAGGGAAGAAGAAGAGCTAGCCAGAACAGCTTGTCAATTGATACGTTGCGGTCAATTTTCCGTCTCGCAGAGCGTCTCATGCCTGGCTCTATGCTACCTCAACAGGTCTTCCGCTTCCGTTCTTTGCTCTCTTTGACGGGTCGTTCTGAGGACTTCACGCCGGGATTCGCCTGTTGTTCACTGATGGTATGACGCTATTCGTCCTCTCGCCCGGAAGAGACCATCGCACCTCATCGATCGAGGCTGTGGCTCACCTGCCTTCAAGCTTCGGCCGACCGAGACTGGATGCAAGACGTGCCTACCAGTGCCCGGGGAACCTTCGACACCGTGTTAACACGAAGCAATTCACACAGCGGCCTCCACAACGAAGGCGGTTGTCTCTTTATGTCTCGTCGACACATCACACGACACTCCCGGCAGGGAGGACTACTAAAGGGCACCCTTTCCTGTCCATCTGTAACCTCTTTGTTTCTCTACACTCTCTCTCCCACCTCACCCAAGAGTACTCTGCAGCATTCCCTCTCTACCTACGGGCAGGACTCGAACATCAGCCAGACATCTCTCAGAAGCAACCGACCCAACATGGCGAGCGACAACAACGCCTTCTTTTCCCGACTTGGGGACTTCTCCAGTCATCGCCCCATCACCGAGATCCAGACAGAAACCCCAGCACATGACACCAGAATGGTCGATACCTTCGTAAAAGTGGAGGTGTGGCTGGAGCATATGAGTCTCGACCATGACGCGTCCACGAATGCCAGCGATCGCGTCCACAAGCGCAAGCACCCCGGCTCTTCCCACGACAGTCCACGTGAGATTGATTTGGAGGAAGCACGCAAGCGCAGATCTGCTAAAAGTAGACGAATAGATGAGCATCTCACCATCACAGACTCCAAGGGCTCTGGGTTCGCCCAATCTTCCTCAAACGCGCCAACGTATCAGCAGGCGGCCTTCCCGGATGCATCTCCTACCAAGCATCGCAAGCCTAAAATTCAGGTCGGAGAGGAAGATCGGTCCAGCGAAGCCGAAGCCGTCGCAGTCGGCCCGTCATGTCAAGGAGAAACGCGGATCGGATCCTTCGTCGCTACGGTTGCCGACCACTCTTGTTCTAGCAGCGGCCTCTCCCCCTCTCCAGCAGACGAAGGAGCTACGTATCAATGCACGCTCGAGCCTCTCGTCAGCCGCAAGAGCAACGGGACCCAAGATCAATATGTACAAGACAGCCACAACTCAGCGAAAACTGCGACGGAGCTCACGCAAGCCTCCACCAAAGTGCCCACTCCAATCATTCGAAAGCAAGGCAAGGCCTACGCGAGGCCGAAAAAACGTGTCCAATTCGATGCGTCTGGCGATCAAATGCAGGAGTTCGACCATGAACTGCCCGTAAGTGGTGCGGAAAGCTACGAAACGGATGGCGAATGATCGCCGCGATTGAGAAGAATCTGGCAAGAATGTGCACAGGCGGTGAACTTTGTGAGACAGATTTCCCTGCATAACAAGACATTGGATGAAGACATTCACTTGGAATTTGGGATGCGGCGTTGTTTCCGCACAGGGCTGTACGCTAGACTCAGGATCATTATAGTTGTTCCTGGGACATGACAGACACGCCTCTATAATACACAGTGGCGGATCAGCGTTCTTCGCAACCGCCTTGACGTGCATCCGACATTCATCCTCACTCCAAATCTCATGCGTCCATTATCTCATACCACAATAGCCATTCCTATCACCAACTCTCCTTGTAGTTGTGAGCATTGCTTCCTCCCTCCTGCACCGACTCGATCTGGCTCGGTCCCTTGTCCATCAACTCCATTTCGTCCGAGATGTTGTGATATGTGTTCAACATGACAGAGTTCTTGCACTCGTGAGCACCATGCGGTCGCAACGCATCGCCCCTCCAGCCGGGGCTGTCTCTGATCGCAGGCTGGTTTCCAGAAGCGCCAGTCCTACTCTTCGTTCGGGACCGGTACATGCTGCTCAGTTTCTCGCCGGCCACCAGCATCCAAAATCTTCTTAGAGGCCCGGCCAGCGCGGGTATGCATGCACAGATAATGCCAACATTGCATTCGATCGACGACCAGAGCGCAATCGGATTGTAAGTCCATGTTGGGTTGGTGGTAGCTTGCCATCGAATGATGAGGCTCAGGCGGATGACGCTGCAAAGGGTGACGAAAAGTCCAACCAGGAAGGTCATGATAAGACCGACCTTCTTGCGCGTGGAAATCTGGACTTTGAGTAGGCGCGGGATCGGCAGGATGAAGACGACCAGGTCGTAAAAGGTGTTCAGGGTGGATCCGGCAATGATCTGGGCGAGAACGTTGATGCAGTGGCCTCTGTGAACAGTCAGCGATGACACTGCCTTGGGATAGTGCAAAGAGACGCCTCACTCAGTCACCCCGTCCCATCGTGTCCAGGTATAAGACACCGGGTTGCACTGAAAAATGATTGTGAAGAGGAAAACGATCGGTGACACAATGAAAACACCCATCGTGACCAAGCATATCCGGCGAAAGGAGGATGAGACCGAGCTGGGGAAGATGCGGAGGTAGAACAAAAGGATGCTCTGCCTTGTGCTTGTGACGCAGAATATGTAGATCATCTCTCCGATCCAGAAGTACTGACGAAGTGGTGTCAACATCGCAAATGTCATCGCATAATCTTGTTTGTCACGTACCTTGAGGACATCGTTGATGCTCTGAGGACTGAGCGTCCACGTGTCTTTGCCCAGGCCGGTATCGATCACTGTCATCAGTCAGAAGAGAGGAGTTCTCTCACTCTCGTTTCGAGACTCACTGAAATGGCCAACAATGTTGAGCGCGCCACTTAGGAGTTCAGCCAAAAGGATGGTCCAGTCGTCCCAGCCGTAGCCTACTCCACCGAATGCCTCCGAGCGAGCTGTAAAACGGCCTGCTATGGCGACAAGAGACAACGCGAAGAGAGTCCATATTATTGTGTGGGTTCTGGTCTGCTGCGATCGGACTGGGGCGCCGCAAGTCGTCTTCTGGAACCGTTGGGTTTCTAGTATGGACTGTCAGCGGCCCATAAGGCTTTCATCTGAGAGGCAAGGCGGCACACGTACGTAGAGCTCCAATTCCTGTGCAGTTGGCAAGTAGACAGTCGCCTACTGCGACTGTGAGGTTCGCGTTTGTGCAGATGCACTCGGTGCCCGTCAACGAGCAGCCAGAAGAAGGAACGGTTTGGGCAAGGCATTGGATCTTGAGAAACGCATCAGTCTTTGTCCTAATCAGTCAAACATGGCGGCAAACAGATGGCACATACAGCACAAGAAGGTAGAGCTTCGAGCATTCGCTGGAGCGCCGCCTGTCCATCTTCGGCAGTCGAATTGCCAGCCGCGAGGCCGACGCTTGTAAGACAAAAGACCAGGATGCCGAAGAGTAGCTTCATGCTCAACTGATTGATTGCTGCAAGCCACTCGAATGTGCGTTCGATCAGATCTGGGGCCGCTTGAACCCATGGTTACGGTCCACGCAGTATATATTGTCGCGACCATGCTGAAAGGATCAATAGCCCAGATATCTCTGCCGCTCTTGCATCCCTCCACCTGCTGGTGAATTCGTTATCAAGGAGTGATGCACACGTGTGTTGCGGGTTGCCTGAGACTTGCTGGGGTGCATGACTTCCACGATCCTGGAGGAACACTAGCTCAAGGCCGAGTCCAATTTACGCGTCGTTTGACTTGTTTCTGATGGTTTCCTCCCCGGAATCCCGACGATCATCCAGACGTTGGACCTGGGACGTGGAGGTGCAGTCCCGGGTTATCGTCCAAGCACGGGCGACCATAGAAAGGAAGACGTACGTTCTGGCGGTTTGATTTGGTGCGCTGCAATACCGCCGTGCCGTTTCGCGGTGCCATTCCGCACCGCCAATGTGTTTCGCGCAGCATGGCTCCATTCCAGAACTCTGTCTACCTAAGGCGTCAAACGTCTAGCTGGTGATGGCTGAAGAAGGCTTCACGCACGGCCAAGTAGGAGGTTCTGGCTTAACGCCGCGAGTGAAAGTCTCACGTCTCCGATGCTGCGCTCCGGAGCCTGGTCCTCAGCCAACGCGATGGCAGCGGCCAGGAAGATTTGAAGTCTGAGAACAGCAGTGCCTGGTATGGCCAAGAGCAGAGGGCTGAAACCCTCAAAGCCCTCGAGAATCCTCCAAATCTGTCTGAGAAGCGCCGTCTCCTGGGACGACCAGACAAGTGACAAGTTGGCCGTATCGGCTGACAAAAGAAACACGAGTTACCGCATATCTACAATGTTTCTACCGACCCATCGCTACGCACTCAAACAAGCATCCCCATTTCTCACCACCTTTCGCTGCAGCGCACGGCTTGTAGTATACATCCAGAGAATCGCCTCGGCTTGCTCAACGCATCGCTTTTATGACGTGAAGCTCTTGACGAAGCTCTGCACACTCTCCTTCAACTTGTTCTCCAGCTCCTTGCTGAGCGAGCCCTCCTTGTCGATCTGTTCCATCAGGCCTGATTCGTTGGTGCGGAGGTGTGACAGGTAGTCAGCCTCCCATGTGGTGATCTTGTTGACGGGAACGCTGTCGAGGTGGCCGTTGACACCGGCGTAGATGAGTGGCACCATCTCGGCGACGGCCATGGGGCTGTACTGCTTCTGCTTGAGCAACTCCGTCAGACGCTCACCACGGTTGAGAGTCTGCTTGGTGGCGGCATCCAGATCGGAACCGAACTGAGCGAAGGCGGCAACCTCACGGTATTGGGCCAAGAAGAGCTTGAGAGAACCGGCGACTTGCTTCATGGACTTGAGCTGGGCGGCGGAACCGACACGGGACACAGACAGACCGACGTTGATGGCTGGGCGGATACCCTTGTAGAAGAGTTCGGCTTCCAAGAAGATCTGGCCGTCGGTAATGGAGATGACGTTGGTCGGGATGTAGGCGGACACGTCACCACCCTGGGTCTCGATGATGGGAAGAGCGGTGAGAGAGCCGCCACCGAACTTGTCGCTCATCTTGGCGGCACGCTCGAGGAGACGAGAGTGGAGGTAGAAGACGCTGGCTATGTGTCAGCATTCTCCAAGATCGAAAGTTGGATGAAAGAGTACGTACTCGCCGGGGTAAGCCTCACGCCCTGGTGGACGACGGAGAAGCAGGGACATCTGGCGGTAGGCCACGGCTTGCTGGAGGTGGGTTAGCGAGGTCAGTCTGATGGGAGTAGGGAGGGAAAAAACTTGCTTTGCTTAAATCATCGTAAATGATGCAGGCATGCATGCCATTATCCCGGAAGTACTCTCCTTTAAAATTTGACTGTGGTTAGTACATAAAGATGTATGTGAATGGCAAATGTGTTAGATGACGGAGAAGATGTGGTGATAAGATGAAATCCAGGTAAGGGCCAGGCGGTCTTCTCCGGCGGCGAGATGAACCAGTGGTGATGCTGAGATGGCGATGATCGGCGTGATGCTGTGTTGGAGATGATGCTTTGTCCGAGGGATGCTTCTCCGGGGAAGGATGTCCGGATAAGGCCATATGGGTGGTGATGTTGAGATTAAGATTTAGTAATGTTCCGGAGATGCACCTTCGACTTCCGGTGGGTGGCCAGGGCAGCCGGCGATGCGTATGGCTTGTTACAAGCCCTGCAGAAGTTGCGCTTCTCTGCCTTCGCTTTGGCCACCGAGGCTGCGCTGCGCTGGGCCTGGGCGTTCCTCTCCAGGGGCTGGGCCCGACCCTCGGAGACTGCGACGGCGTGCAGGTGACCAGCTGTCTTCTCATGCTTTTGGAGAGCCGACGGACTATCGAGTGACTCGTTGCAGATCGTACAGTGGAAGCTGCGAGCAGCTTTGGCCTTCGCGCGGCGCTTGATGACCCCAGAGCGGACCTTGTCGCGGTTCTTGTCCGACCAAGCCTGGGTCTTTGCGCGGAACCTGGCGAGAAATGCCTCCTCATCCTTCGCACGCTCGCGGTCGTAGTGAGCCTTGAGCCAGCCCTTGGTTGCCTCTGGGTACTTGAGACGGTATGCCTTGCGCCATTTACGATTCCTGGCGGTTCGGGCAGCCTCCGAAATGAGTAGCTCATTGGGCGTGAGCTTGAGGTCTCCAGCAGGGCCTTCATTGAGCGGAGTATGGCTGTTGGCCGGGTCCCAACTGATTTGGTCGCGGGTCCAAGGCACGAGGTCCACCCAGAGATGATCCATCATAGAGGCGAAGGCCGAGTAGAAGACGTTGGTGAAGACCGCTTCGACAGCGACAAAGCGAAGGCGTGCTCGTGGAAGGATGGCCGCTGAAGGGATGGGAGCCCAGCAGATGGCGCCGATATGAGCCAGCTCGAAGCCCTTGTCGTATGCGAGACGTACGAAACGGGGCAGATGTACGTGAGTCTTGTCTTCATAGTGCTTGATGCGAGTGAGGTAGCCAGTCTGGGCGTTGGTGCCGGAGCCGATGCAGAGCTTTGGTGGATGACCTTCCTTGGTCAAGAGAGCGCCGTAAATAGCCCAGTACTTCCCGGCAGGCGTGGGAGCAGACATGAAGTACTCAGACGTTGGTGGGCCATCGGCAGCGAGGACATCCTGAAGGCCAGGCATGAAGTTCAGCGGTGTAGCGGCAAAAATCGAGGGGCCTTCGCTTTGGAGCACAGCGGTGAAGTCTGGGTTGATGTACCAGTCGGGCGCCTCGATGCTGACCATTTCCATGGTAAGGTCGTCAATGGTCTGGCGGAGCGTGCTGATTGAGCTACTCATTGTGCTGAGCTGGGCGGCCTTGGTGGTAGAGCGAGTGACTCGTTGAGTTCTGGGCAATAGCCGGAACAATGGCTGAGCGAGCGGCTGGTGGCAGTGGTGAGACGGTCAAGCTGGTGGGTGGCTGATTCGAGTGACTCGTTGAAGGCAGTGGAGTAGCCGTGACAGTTGATTTGATGAGTGAGTGGTGGAGCCGCTGACAATGGGGGTGGTGGTGTTGGTGGTGGAGGAAGAAGACCACCGAGCGAAGAGTGAGCAAGTCCATGGTCCAGTCCAGGCCGGGCGGCAGCGGCGCCCATGTTGTGCTGAGGAAGGCGGAGACTTGTGGTGTGGAAGGAAGACAGAGGGTTGTGGTGGTGGTGGGGGAAGGCGGGTTTTGTAGTAGAGAAAGTGCTCCTCGTCCGAAAGAGGAAGGATCATGTGGTGTGCGGAGCTGGCACGTCACGTGCCTCGTGACCAGTGCCATGCGGTCGAATCTGGAAGGAATGTCCTGTGCAGGGCGGCGTGTGCAGTGAAGGGGCTGTGAAGTGAAGGAATCCTGGAGTGAAAGGCCTGGGAAGTGAAGGGTATGTGAAGGGCAAGTGAAGGGCAAGTGGAGGGTATGTGAACGCAGAATGAAAAAGTATCTACTCACCCATCGAGCAACCGGTGAACGGAGCGATGTACCTTGAAGGAATTTGTCGTCAGCGTATACTTCAAAACAAATGTACATTTGAAAATCCACTTACTGAAGCGGTGCAGCCTCGGAGGCAGTGGCGGCGACGATGACGGTGTACTTCATGGCGTCGTTCTCCTCGAGGGTCTTGACAAGCTGGGCGACGGTCGATCGCTTCTGTCCGACGGCGACGTAGATGATGTAGAGCTTCTGCGACTCGTCGTTGCCCTTGTTCCACCTGCCCTGGTTGAGCATGGCGTCGAGGGCGACGGCAGTCTTGCCGGTCTGACGATCGCCGATGATAAGCTCACGCTGGCCACGTCCAATGGGCACCATGGCGTCGACGGACTTGAGACCAGTCTGCACGGGCTGGTTGACGGAGCGGCGGGGCAGGATACCAGGAGCCTTCATCTGGGCGCGGCGCTTCTCGGTGGTCTTGATCGGGCCCTTGCCGTCAATGGGGTTGCCGAGGGCGTCGACGACACGTCCCAGCATAGCTGCGCCAACCGGAACGTCGACCTGGGAACACGTTAGATGGAGGTTCGGCTTAGCGCGTATTTCCCACTCACGATCTCGCCGGTACGCTTGACGGTCTCTCCCTCCTTGACCAACCTGTCGGAACCGAAGAGCACGACACCGACCTGGCCGGCTTCGAGGTTCATGCACATGCCCTTGACGCCAGACGCGAACCTTGCCGGATGTTAGCCTTGAACCCATGTATATCCAGATGTGGCGTGGAGACATACTCGACGAGCTCCTCGGCCTGCACATTGTTCATGCCATGGACACGCGCGATACCGTCACTTGTAGCCTGTCAGCGTCGTACACGTATGTTTCAAGTATTGTGCTTCCTGCGTACCCGACTGAGAGCACACGGCCCGTCTCGGCCAAACCTGCCTCCTCCTGCACACCGCGGATTCGCTGCTCGAGGATGGAGGAGACCTCGGTGGGCGCAGCCTTTGCGTCGGCGGCATAGGTGCGGTTGATGGAGGTGGTGATGGCGGGTGTTGCTCGTTGCTACAATGAAGAGGTGACGTTAGCGCGATCTCCCTGAAAGATCCTCGGAGCTGGCAACAAAAGTGCGTCGAGCTCGATTGGAGCTACTGGAACGCCTCAAAATAGTTGCTGTAGCATTGAAGCATGCCATTGAGCACTTTGCACGTCGTTTTGGGTGCCATTGGAGCTCGGTCACGCTGGCGGAAGGGGTGGACATACCGCAGAGATCCTGCTGGTGGAGGAGAGCGCACCGGCGGCGCGGGCGCTCGTTCGAAGCGCCGTCCTGAACATTTTGATGGTGCTTGGGAAGCTGAGAGTGTGATGAGGTCGCTTCCACGACGATAGAAGCAGTGGGCGGGAGTGGAGAAGAGGGTGGTGTGGTGGAATCGATGGGCGTCGAAGGAGCTTGATGCTCTGCTCTCTGTCGCTGCTGGGCCTTGGCGTGCACGGGCCGTTTTCACAACTCGTCGTCCTAAAAGTCCCGACCGGCTAGCTCAACCTCACTTGGCCTTGGTCAGACGATGCCACAGAATTGCTACTCACTCTCGTCCACGAGATTATTGCGTTAAGACAGTGGGCATCTCCGCATACAATTCATGAACACTGTGGCTATAACGTGCTCGATATTGCCTTGAACATGGCATTGAACCTCGAGAAACAGCTACTCTTTGTACGTGTATTGCTCATCGAAGGTGAACCATGAACTGATTTTAGATAGTACGGCGCATATCATCACAACCCAGTATGGTTGACAACTTAGACCACGCAAGCCAGTAATCAACTTACGCTCGCCGCCCACAGGTCAACGTTGCAATCCACATAACATGCGTCCCGGCAATCATGATGACTGCTTTCCTCTTCGTATGCCAGCCGGAACCACCGTGAGAGCGCCATACTAACATGATCTTACAGGCAACAAACACACCTTCCATACCTCTGCCTGGGTACCTGACGATTCCTAACCTTCCGGCCAACTTTGGAACTATATTATGCACGCTCTACAGCACACTCTATGTCTTGATGGAACCCGTCGCCGGTGGCCTTCTAGCTCCCTTACTCCTTGCAGGCACGGCTTACTCCAACCACTTGACGTTCGCTTACGGGATGAAGGCGAATTATATCGCTCTAGGAGTCCACGTCTTCTCCTGGATCGCGCAATTCGTCGGTCACGGGGTCTTCGAAGGGCGAGCGCCGGCTTTATTGGACAATCTGGTGCAAGCGCTGTTCCTCGCGCCGTTCTTCGTCTGGATGGAGGTCCTGTTCGCGTGCGGGTACCGGCCAGAGTTGAAGGCGAGGTTAGATCAGAGTGTTGCGAAGGAGATCGAGAAGGCGAAGGCTGAGAAGGAAGCGAAGAAAGGCAGTGGGGAGGTGAAGGCCAACGGAGATGCCAACAGGAAAGCCAAGTGATGATTTGTACATGTCTTGCTTGTATTCACGGGCTGGAGAAAGCGAGCTACCTGACATAGCGTGCGTTGAAGCGTTCTCGAACTTGAGTATGTATATGAACAACAGGCCACGGCCCGCGGGCGCGAAGTCAGTGGCTTTGATACGGAGAATCTGAAATGCATCAGTGTAGCTGTATCCGATCCCGCTAAGTGTACATGGTCACCCTCATTCAACAGCCATCTCGCCTTGAGCACCACTGATCCATACGCCCTTATCCCTCTCTTTCCGAAACGTAGTTCTGCTGCTGGAAGAGATAGCCCTTGATCTTCGCGTGCTTCAACTGCTCGAGATACCGCTCTGTCGCTGCACATTAGCCTTAAGCTCCTGCAGAGTTTGCAATCGTCTACTGACCTCTCAAATGCCCGCACTTCTCCAGGTGATTGACGCCCTCCCTTCGGTAGCACTTTCCCATCTCATCCCGTATAAGCCTTGCCATCATGCTCTGCACCCACTGTTCCCGAATCACAGCATCTTGAGCGGCTTTGAGGGCCTTGTTGTCATCGTAGTCGACCCCATCGAACGTGGGTGGTACTCTGGGCTTGGCGGCCTTGAAGGAGGCGGATTCGGGGGTCGGCATGGCCTCTTCTCCGCCGCGGAAAGTGTTTCGAAGGGTCGTCGGAGGGTGTCGTGGCGGTATGCTCGAATGTTCGCAACGCGCAGAGGCAGACCAGCGAGGGTGGTTCAATGCCCTGGGCGTCTGGAGCTCACTGGACATGTCCGAGCTCCGCTTATGTCATCAGTTTCTCGTTCTCGTCGAGCTCGCTGCATCCGCGAACACACTTTCATTCTCACTTCTCCGTCTTCTTCTCCACGAGAACCGCACACTCTTCGCTTTCTTCGCCGTCCTCAGACTCTCATTCTCGAGGCGCTGTCGCTCTTGCGCCTTCTTGCCCCAGAAGTCCAGCCCGCTCGTCGGCATGCCGTAGCTGACCTTCCACTTGGCCTCGTCGAATGAGATGGCCTGTGATGCCTCGATACGCTTCAGCAGCCTCTTTCGTGTTTGCTGACAATTCAGGCACAGTGAAGCGATCCTATAGCTTTGGTACGGATGGTGGACCAAGTCGCACGTCGTTGAGGAAGAGCCATCCGGAGGTATCGAAGCGTTCAGACATTCGACTTCTGCCTTTTGCGACAGGACACTGTGGCCGCACACGGCGTAGATGTAGAGGCGGTGGACGCACATTTCGGACAAGATAAGTGAATACGTGCTACGAAAGATGTCTTCCTTCTTCAAAAAGTGCTATGATGCTGCAATACCGCTTTTGGCCTTCTTTGTCTTCGAGATGCACGCTTCACGGGTCTTTGTCATCGAACAGACCAAGCATCCTACAATGTCTTGCAGCCGCATTCACCTTTGGTATCGCTGCGACTCGTGGCGTTGGTGTTCAAATCTCTACCAGAGCTGCAAGTGGACCAGGCCCTCCATTTTCCAGGCCATTCCCCTCATGCTCGCCACTCCTCTTACCCATAGGATAGCGACTGACGGGCTCATCAGCCAGAGGAGTCCAAAGATCGGTACGACGTTGCACGTTCGATCCACAGCACCACTTGGGTAAGAATTTTAGCTTCACAGCATCAATGACAATGGCCGACATGGTAAGCAAGACAGTTTTGACTTTTTCAGCAAAATTAGCACAACTCGATCCTGCAGTGTTTAGATACCGCTCAGTTGTCCCGGATTCTCCTTCGACAATACATCTTCAAGATTCAGACCTTTGCTTCACTCAGACCTTTTCTACCAAGGTTCTGCAAGACCAGATCGAGTACGACTCCACAGCCTCACTCGTTCACAGCCTCCTGTTCTTCTACTAACAGATCAACAAAATGGGTACGCACAGCTAGCATTCCGCAAAGCCTCACTGCCAGCTGACAGGCATCCAGTACCTAGCAGACCCCACCACGAAGTCAATGTTGGGAGTGTCGGACTGATACAGCGTTCTGTAGGGTGCCGCGATCAGCTACTTACTAACCTTCGCTGTTGCGGTAACCGATCACCCATCACACTGTGAGTCTGCACCGGGCTGACCTTGAGTAGGCAGTGCTGGAAAGTGACGCTGCAGCAAGCATTGTACGTTTTCCTAGAGCTACCCTAGTGTCATCCGTGCGGAGCTAACTTGCACAGGGAGTCATTGTCGGCCTGTTCAAGTCCCTGAAGACACCTCTCGTCTTCATAGGCTCGGTCTCGGCTGTCGCCACAGTCTTCTCAGGGTTATTAGGAGGCATGGATATATTGAGGTAAAAATTTCAAGAGCGTGACCTTGTCGAAAATTACTTTCTATGGTAAGCACTAAGGGTCAAAGGGTTCTTCGAGACGCTTTGGGATCTCTTGAATTCTTCCATTGTATCGAGACACTTGCTGACCCTTTTACCCTTTGGTTCTTTAGGCACCCCATGCCCGGGATCATGTACGACACGAGTCTCCTGGGCGATGACTCTCTGACCAAGCTTGAGGGCGGCGTCGACTTCAAGGCTTACTATCCCGAGAACGCGATCGCGCACGGCTGCTGGAAGGAAAGCCCCGAGATGTACGTCTTCAATAGGCTCAAGCGGATGACAGCGAAAGCGGACGACCGGGCGGATCACGCATCCTTCCCCTAGACCCGACAAAGGCCACAAGACGATATCACTCTCATCGGCGGCCCGTCGCGGTCTTCGGGAAGATCAATATCACATGGCTCAGTCTAACGTAATGGACCGCCCTGACTGTCGGCAGCTCAAGCGAGTGACGGTGAAAGCGACCCTCCTAGTCGAAGTGAGCCATGTGATGGATCTTCTCGCAGAAATGAAAGGCTGCTCACGAGCGCGCCGGGGGCTCTTCGAGTGCACTTGGGTCCGGGAGAAGCCTGTCAGATATGCCTAGTGGGCCATTTTCACCACCATTCGCCTGACTCCTTCCCCGTGTTTGTTTTGTGACGTGCGCTGACAGGCTATATGCAGGTGTGGGACAATGTATGATTTTCGTGCATCGTGCTCGGACTTCATGGTCGGGCATTACATCGATGTAGAATACGGGTGGAGGTGGGGTCCAAGATGAGTAAGAACTCGTTTACATGCAAGCTGTTTTCACAGTGAAATTGGCTCTTTCGAGCACAGTGAGGAGTGCGAGAGTTCTTCTCGCAAACGACAACAGCCCGCCCACCCACGGGAGTGATGTAGCCTTTTCTGGCTTGCCCAGGTAACGGAGAAAGCTGCCAGGTATTCTTGGCCGGCCGTCGTCACTGTAGTTTCTTCTCGTGGTACCAAGCAAAGCATTGCTGACGACCCGACCAGGTTGACGCCGAATGGGACATTGGGCGCTGTGTCGCCCGGGGGGCAGCAGCTGTTGCATGCGCGAGTCAAAAATCTGTTCCTGTGGGACAATTTACTGACTCAGCGGACAGCGAATGGGTTATGGAGCTTAATGATGACACCATCGAGTCCTGCTTGAAGCTCCTCCCACCGGAGCAGAAGCCGAAGCTGCGGTGGCACGCCGATGATGGGCCAGAGCACACGTGGCATGGCGACGAGTGGAACAGCTTCCCTAAACCTGACCTGTATCGAGACCTGGACTACCACCTTACTGGCCCAGCATACCCGCAGCCACCGCCGAACCTTAAACCTGTAGAGCGACGGGCCAACTCCCCATATTTGGAGCTCAAATCCCTTTTTTCCGCGCAGCCACATCCGGACGACCTGGACGACACCATTGGGGAAGGCGCAATGGTCCTGCATAAACACATGAGCACCGATGCCATTCTTAGAGCGAGGGCACTGCACACGGCCATGTCGACCATCATGGACGCGCGGGCGCCGCCCAGCACGAGATGGTTGTTCTTCAAACCCAAGACCGTATCCAAGATCGAGCTTGTGAAGTCGCTGCACGACCGCGTGGCAGAGGACTCCACTGATCATGATAAGCGAGGTCTCGAAGCGCTGTCCACTGGTGCTGTGGTCAGAGCTGTTCGTGAGCGCCTGCAGGCTGGTAACGTAGGGGAGGAAGAGATGCACTTGGCCGACTGGGTGATCACGAGAGTTCGTGGTGGAGACGATAAGTAGATTGAGCGTGCTTCTTGTGGCCTTGGAGTATTGGAGTCTCGTGCTTGCAGCACTACTCGGAAAGCCGAATTGCTCGTGGAAAGGGGGAATGAGTTTTGGGATGCTGCTACCTACTCTTTCAGAGGCGACCACCCCAGAACTACTATCGGACACGCCGGGAGGGGTTTGCTCATGCACCGTCGTTAATTTAGAATGCCGCTAATACAACTCCTTACTCACCATACATCTTCATCCCCATCGCGCCTCTCCCGTGATCACAGAAAAGAATAGGCGCTGGTTCAAGGCCCGCTGCTACCATTGGGTTCGCATTTCCGCCATCGTCACTCCAGGTCCCTACCTCCACGTCAAATCCACAGGCTCGATAGAACCTCTCCTGGTCGGGAACGCTGACCACTGACACCGATACACCTTCCTCGCGCGACCGATCGAAGCCCCATGCTACCAGCTCGCGGCCATAACCGCGCTTCATGAACTGTGGTCCCACGCCCAGGAGGGACAGCGTCCAGCTGTCCGCTCTTGTGCCAGTCCAGTGATGCTTGTAGAATGCGTATCCTTCGGGTAAGACTCGCTCGTGGTCGTTGTCGATTGCTCGGTTCGGCCAGATGTAGTTCTCTACGGTGTTGTAGGTGCCGACTATCTTGACCATTGCTTGGGAAGTCCAACTTGCTTTGAGAGGGTCGCTGTAGTTCCGGATCCAGTGTGCTAGGCCGGTGATCTCCTCGTTACCAGTCGATGGATCAAGACTGTAGCTGACGATGAGATGTTCTCCGGGCTCTGTCCAGTAGGCTTCCCGCATGAAGCGAAGGTAATATAGGTATGCGTCTTCGGGGAACTGGTTGCGGTGCGGATGAATGTATTCGCCAAAGAGGTAGTCGTTATGAAAAGCTGCGGCCAAAACCTTCGATGCTGGGAGCAAGTCAGCAGGGACTGCTGGACGAAGGGGCATTGCATATGACCAGTCCAGCTCGATTTTGACTGACAGGTTGTACGATGCCTTGCAAAAAAAGTCTGCCACACTACATGTATCTCGATTGCTGGTAATGGGCATTGACCGCAGCCGCCAAGTGTGCCGGTTTTCCGGACACAGCACGGGAGAAGCAATAAAAGTCATCACCACATGCATGCACGTTTCTTGATCCCCTTGCCGGTAGGGACCGCGACTATTGCTCTCTACTGTTTCTCCAACAGTTTGCAAGTGCCAGTACCATCATGAAAGACGAGGGAGACTCCTGACCACCCTCTCCCAAGTCGCTTGCGAGGCCGTAAGAGACCATCGTTATAATAGTCTGATACTTTTTTCAATCTATCGAAAGCCGGCTGCTGGCCGCACAACGTCGTGATTTGCTAAGTCACTAATGTCCTTCTGCTGACTAGAATATAGAAATGAACCCCGGGTGTCAGGGCGCCGACTTGATATCATACAACATGCCATTGGCATTGGAATCTGATACATCGGCCTCCCAGGCCAACGAGAGTAAACGATAAACCTTGCGCATCATCGGCATTGTCCCTCTCAATCACGAGCTCCTCGTTTATTGGGACGTCGGCCAGAGATACTCGACGTCCTCGCTCGTCGTCAGTGTCCGGCGCGAGCGTCAAAGTACCACCAGTGTATGGGTGCCGATTAGCAGTGGGCAGTCCTTCGTCTGGCGTGCTTGAGAAGCATGCGAATATCTCCACCCAATCGGTGCATTCTGAGGCGGCTCCTTCGAACACAACCTCGAGAGAAGTTTCTGTTGGGTGGGTCTCGATTATTTTGGAGCCCTCTTGCTGCTCCACACCTGGCAGCACAGCCCTCCGGGACCGTCCAGAGGCTGCCACCGCCTCCTTGATACTTCCGTTCTGCCCAGCTTGAGACACTGCATGCTCCGTCACAACCTTGTTCGGATGACCAGAACAAGCACCACCACCGACGTCGCTTGCAGACAGCATCACAAGCGTGGAGGTTGAAGGCGTGATGGGTTGGAAGACTTTGAGATTGATCGCACTTTGTTGTGGGAACGGACGCCAGGCGACATTCTTTCGCGGCTTGACGAACTCTTCTTGTACTTCAGCTCGTACCTGCACTAGAGCTTTTCGAAAACGCTCGACAGTCTGCGGTGCATATTCCTTTAGGTTAGGGACCGTCCACTTCGGGAACATTTGGCGATGCGCTCCGGAAATGGAGAAGCGGCCGTGGGCTCGGATGAATGAGTCGCAAAGAAAACACGCCTCCTTGGAGACTCCTATCACCCGAGGCATGGCCAACGGCTGCCTCAGCTCGAAATGCACAAGCTGTTGAATCTCTGCATGAACGTGTTTTCGCGGTACAAGCTTGGATCCCGTAGAGACGCTGTAAGTAGGTAAAGCATGCCATTCAGCATTCGGAAAGCAATGACTGAACTGGTGTGAGCAGAGTGTCAGATTGCGGGCTATTCGCCAGTAGTTTGCGACCTTGCCGAGCTCTCGAACATCTCTTGCATCCAGGACCGCGGTTGGGCATCCCAGAGCCTCTAAGCGACTGGGTAGCTTTGTTCCATCCACTGTCAAAGCGAAGGCTTCCATGATGATATTCTCAAGATCCGGAATGAGATTCGCCGAGTCGCCTGCCTCTAACTGCAGGAAAGCTGCTTCGAGGCCGCTGATTTGGCCATCCAACCTGTTGATGTCTGTGCGATGATGAGGAGCGAAGGACCTCTGTGTACTGGTGGCAAAGAGTCGTCGAAGACGGGCAGGCAACGGTCCGTAATCCTTCTGCAGATGCGATGGCTTTTTAAACCGCGCGGATCCCAGGCGGCCGAGGAGTCTATTGCGGTTGAGGTGCACAATGACACGAAACAGCTGCTTCTGGCAATCCTCTCGAGCGATGCCTGACTATGGTAAGCTTGTTAGCTGTAAAAGTACATTGCCAGTACATTACCCTTCTTCGCGCGCCTTCTCAACAATGCAAACACTTCGTCAAAGGTCTTCCAAACCTCGGCAGAGATACCTTCGTTTACGGCAAGTGTGAACGATAGTGATGGCGTTTTCTGCTCTTGTACGACGGCGACTGCGGACACAAAGTCGACTTGAGGTTGGCATGCCGCGATGAAGGCCAAATCGTCTGCGAGGCTTTTCTCTACTGTGAGAGGCAGCAGACAGGAAGCATCTTCGTCCCGCGGGGAAGGCTCATCGTACGACCGCCGACCAGTAACATGGTCCTTCAACGCCCGCATTTGCCGGTCCATCGTGGGGCGGTCGATGTTCTTCCATATTGACCTCCTTCTAGGAGCCGTATCAGGGTCCAGTGACTCGGCATGTTGCTGTAGCATGGCGTCGCAGTCTCATTCTTTTCAAGGAGACGGTAAATAACTGCTGTGAGAAGGCTGAATTGCCTACCTGTGCCGCGCTCATGCCCGCCACGTTGGGCTGCATGTATCAATATTTGGCGGCTGCTGCAGGAGTCTCTGCAGCTTGCCGTCGAGGCGCAGTGTCTTGTGGAAACCATTGAAAGCCTCTCTTCGCCGCTTGTCCAACTCGCATATGAGCGCCATGGGCATATATAATGCTCTCGACTCAAGCAAGCTTTCTCATGATCAGTCATATAGGGACGAAGTTTGCTGTCTGCCTGTGAAGTTCCGGTAAGACGTAGATCCAATCGTGTCGTCTCGTGCACGAGCAGCCAATGACACCGTGCTGGCGTCCAGGATGACCAGTCCCCTGGGTATGGTGGGTATGGGCATCTTGTGCCACACGAGAGGTCGTGTCTGAAGAATAAACCGTGGCTCCGTGGTCAGACCTAACATTTTGGACAAGGCTCGTGGCATCAGCATAGGGGTTGGCCGCTGTAGCCTATTTAGTTGCCATGACTTACCGTTGTGTCTTCATCTCCATGTCCACGTAGGTACGGTGGACGTTGTGACCATGTACCTGAGCAGCTCCCTCCGCCCGAGGAGACCCACTTTCGAGTGCACTCCACCTGTACCGACAACGTACATCGAGTCTGAGATCTCTCATGTGCTATAACGAGCGGAAGACACGCCGGCCAGCACACAAACCAAAGATTGGAGCATATGCTTCTATTCCTCGAAGCTTGACAGGTTGGAGCACAGAAGTAGCAATTATCACACACTGAATTGTGTGGCACCATGGCTCAGACAAATGGCACGACTAAGATCTCATACGATCCCAACTTCACCTCGGCGGTCATCAATGCCACCGGGCCCAACTGCTCGCCGCGTCTCCGCGAGGTCATGACCGCTCTCATCCATCATGTCCACGACTTTGCACGAGAAGTCAATCTCACAACTGACGAGTACATGGCTGGAGTGTCATTACTCAACTGGGCCGGACAGATGAGCACCGATCGCCGGAACGAAGGCCAGCTTGTGACTGACGTGATTGGACTGGAGAGCCTTGTCGATGAAATCACGTACAAGCAGGCTTCGGCGCATTCTGGGAGCGCAACATCCAGTGCCATCCTGGGACCGTTCTGGCGGGACACGCCGGAGAGGCGGTGGGGAGAGAGTGTGGTTGACAAGGTGCCCGACGACGGCAAGGTGGCTTGGGTGTATGGGAGGGTGACGGATGCGGCGACTGGACAGCCGATCAAAGGAGCGTTGGTCGATATTTGGCAGGCCTCCACGAACGGTGAGGGTGGCGAGACCTGTCAAAAGGACGTCGGCTGATTTATTGTCAGGATTGTATGAACAGCAAGATCCAGACCAGCCCGACCACAACCTACGGGGCAAGTTTCGGACGGATGATGAAGGCAACTATGCGTTCTACTGTCTGAGACCGACTCCATATCCGGTCAGTGCTCCAGTGACTATTCATCAAGCTCGATATATTGACCAGCGCAATAGGTGCCCGGAGATGGTCCAGCCGGGAAGCTACTCGATCTCCTAGACCGTCACCACTACCGACCAGGACACATCCACTTCATTGTCAGTGATCATAGCTCTTCGTTTGGGTCAAGCAGAACCGAAGACTGATTGAAAACAGGTACTGGCAGACAACTACAAATCCATCACCACCCAAGTATTTGACAATGAGACCGAGTATCTGGACAACGACAGCGTGTTCGCTGTGAAGGACGGCCTGACCGTCAAATTTTCTCCAAGAAAAGGCGATACGAAGGCGAATTGGGAACTGAAGTATAATATTTCGATGGCCCCGTTGGAAGAGAAGGGCGCCGGCAATGTGCCCAGTGCACCAGTCGCTTCATACTAAACCTTCATGTGCTTGACCACGATGGAAGTATGCCCCAAGTTCTTGGATGAGTCATGTACACAGTTCGCAGAGGAGATTCATGTATCATGTAAGTTGAATTTCGATGTCCTCTCAGCCCCTCATTGCACAAGCAAGCAAGTGACAAGGTGATGGCACTTGTGTCATATCTGGCAGTCTTCTCCCACACCGACCTGCGTCCCAAAAGACCACACCGCTCTCTCAGGCGAACTGTCGCTCTCAGGAGGACGCGGCAGCGGCTGTGGTGGTGGATAATAAAATGACGAAGTCGCAAAATTAGGCGCGAGACCGGCGGCGAGGGGGCGTGGGCGAGCGGCCCCTCGAAGAGTTCATGGATGGCCGCTGGGGCACCGTCGGTCACGATCTCGATGGTCTGGTTGGTATTTAGGTCGGTGATACGAGATGGGGATGGAGAATGAATGGCTGTTGTAGATGCTGAGGGGCTGGCCATAAAAGATGAACGAATGAACGAAGGGGGTAGGTGGCGATGTAGAAGTGGAAGATCTGGGAGAACGGTTGGAAAGGTCAGGTAAGAAGAGGGACAGTTGGCAAGTGTCACTCTTCCCTTAGCAACCATAGTATAACGCCTTCTGCGTAGCAGCTCGGGAACATCACCTTGTCAAGTGTTCTCTCAAAACATTCACTTCTACACTTCCATCTACCTCATTCATTCATCTACCCCGTTTATTCATTCCTTCATTCATTCACTCATTCATTGTCCCATTCATTTATTCATCCCTACCTTATATATACCCTTATATGGCTAACGATATTCCTTTCATCACCGCCCTCGACGCCCGTCGAGGGCGTACCGACCCTCGCGAGACCGCGATCGCGTTGGCCCCGGGGCCACTCCACCCAAGGGTGGCTCGGGAGCTTCTCGAGCTGGACGCCGCCGCTCGCCGAGCCTCCCCTCCCCGCCTCCGCCGCTCGCGCCGTCGTCGTGTCTCGCGGCACTACCTACGAGCCGTTTTCTTCCTCAAAAACGGCATCATGCGCCGTTCTCTCGACACCTGAGAACCTAAAAAAATAACACACATTATGGGGCACTCGGCTGCCTTCGACCTCCTGGCGACCCTGAGGTGTTTCACCGGCGACCGAGAAGCGACAGATCATGACAGACGGTTCTCTCCAGTGGGCCGGATGGGACATCTCCATACTCTAACGGGTCGGGACGGTTGAGACGATGATGCAGTCTTACCAGGTGCACCCTTGTCATCTTCAGGAGGAGCTCGTCCATCTGGAGAGAAGCGGCTTCGTCGGAGTTGGCAGTACGAACGGCGAAAGCAACTCCACGCTCCTTACCATTCCGGATGCCTGCGATCAAGTCAGCTGCGGTTGTGTTGATTGTTGCGACCGTCGGCCATCTCACTGAGGATCTTCACGGACGAGCAGAGGTACCCAATGCCACTGCCAGCAAGCGCACGAAGTGGACGGTGATTGCAGAAGGTATGTGCCTGCCTAGCAGACCTCTAGAGCGCCGTATGTCGCTCACTGGCCTTGCAGCCCAAATCCTCTCCTAGACAACGACAGCTCGCCAACGAGAGTGATGTGGCCTTTTCGGAAGCAGTCCGGTCTGGGAGATGGCCTTTTCGGAAGCAATTCGGTCTGGGAGCAGGATCGTCTCTAAGACGAGAGACAACGACAGCTCGCCAGCAAGCGTGATGTGGCCTTTTCGGAAGCGGTTCGGTCTGGGAGAAGGATCATCTCGGCGACAACGCCAGCAAGCCAGCTCTCCAACGAGAGTGATGTGGGTCTGACGGATGCAGTTGGGTCTGGGACATTGGTGTTCTCGCAGCCAACCGACACCTGAGAACCTGTAAAAAATTCGACATTAATGGGCACTCGGCTGCCTCTCGGCCCTGGGATCCTCCACCGACGACCGAGAAGAACAAGCACGCAGTGTGGAGGGCCTTGAAGAGGGTATGTGCCTGTCCAAGAGACGTGTCGAGCGCCGTATGTCGCTGACTGAGGCCTTGCAGTACAGATCTTCTCCCAGACAACGACAGCTCGCCAACGAGAATGTGGTCGTTTTTGGGACATGGGTGTTAGGAGAAGGATCATCTCGGAGACAAAAACAGCTCGCCACCGAGAGTGGTGTGGTCCTTTTGGGCACGTTGGTTGTTGGAGACGACTGCAGGATATGTCCTGGGACCCTATAAAATTTCCGCATTATGTGCACTCGGCTGCCTCTCAACCACTCGGCGATTTTAGGGCGGACTCCTTCTCCCATAAACCATCTGGTCTGGCCATTCGAGGTGAGCCAGAGCGCTCTCGACAGGTCGGGTTTGGAGGTGAAGGAGGTGTCAGTGCCCCTGTCTCTTTCCGGCATGCGACCAGCTTCGCTGACTGAGGCAGAACAGCATGGAACTCCTCACATAGGACGACGTCCAGCCAACGAGAGCGACATAGCCTTTGGGGGTGCCTACCAGTGGACACGGCGCGCATGACCATCAGCTCAACCGCAGCGCAATGCCAGACTGGCGACAAACCAAGCGACCATGGTTGCTGCGCTGATTAACGAGCTGGTGATGGAGGACTGCAGCGTGACCCTCCGGCACTCGACCTCGCCCAACTCAGACTCCGTCATCCCGCCTTCGCCCCAGCACCTGGCGCCTCCATCCAACCACACTCCAACCTCAACCCCGCGCCCCTCCCACCCCAAGAGCTCACCCTGCAATTCCGCACCTGAGGGCGAATGGCGAAGAGACGATCACAACCAAGGCCAGGGTGACCGCAACGGTGACCGACAGGGAGGACATGACGGCCAGCAGTCCGTATCGACGATTCCAAAAGGCTGCTTCAGACTGTGAGCGAGCCTGAAAGAGACGTCTTAGGCGTGGTCCTTTGCTGACTGAGGCCTTGCAGCTTAGATCTTACAGACAACGACAACCTGCCGATGGGAGTGTTTTTGGCATGCTTGGATCAGGGAGGGTACTGCAAGATGTGTCCGCTGGCAACTCTCACGGGCGCTTGCTTGTGCAATGAAAGGACAAGAGGGCATCGAGCTTCACCCTACCTGACATCAGAAGCTTCTCAATAAGCATTTCTCGGTTTCTGACTGTATCGACCAGTCGGTCCTCGATCAGGTCGACCCATTCCAGCTCACTCTGTCATGAACTTGTTGAATATGCCTTTCCCTTCGCTATTCATGACCTCCTCACCCCCTTCCTCGCGCGTCTCAGTTTCTCCTTTATAGGACAAAAGCACGATTCGCTGCATTGTCCCATACTGCTCCTGGAAAATGCACGACTGCTTTCACATGCCATTGGCCACCGACGGGTTCACCCCCAACAGCATAAAATCACGTCAGCGGCATAAAAATGGAGCGTGGTCTGCTGGCGCCTGCATCGCCGTTTCGGGTGGCGTCGTCTCGCAGAAGTGAAACCTCCGACGGCTTCTAATCCCGTGGGGGTATTTCGGCAGTCATTGGACGATCTTTCCATGTGATTGTCGAAGAGATAAGGCGTTCACCATCGTCCAGCAACTCGAGCAGCCTGGATAGATGCTTCTGCAACGCTCGTCAACGTTGACTATGGAAGGACTGAAGAGAATAGTCCTCGACAGCATAAAAAATGAAGCAAGAATAGAAGCACTCGCGATCATCCGAGCCTTTGCAGTCGTTGACGCTTGGCGTCTCAACCGGCTGCAACAACTTCGATTCGTCTTGTGTCCGTTCACACGCTCTCCTAAAATCCTTATCTCTGAGCAGGGCAAACAACCACACACGTCGCTCGATTCCTCGCCAAGCGGACGGTGGGCCCTCTAACATTAGAGATTCGTGTTCCTGCGTCCAGTCTTGCCAGTCTCGTGGGACCTCGCCCTGAAGCGTGCGGATGCTGCCTTTTTCGCCAGCTTGAGCTCTCAACCCGCCGGCTGTCGGTCTGTTTCCTTTGGTATTTGATCTTCTCCTCACTTCGTCAGCTTTTCTATCACATCACCTATCTCACTGCTCGTCTGTCGTTGTCGTTATTCCACCAAACACACAAACCTCGCGGTCGCCACAACATCCGGCTTGCCACGATCCCACCCTCGAACCTAACTTAAATCTTCAGTTGGGACGAGCGTCACTTTGCTCCACCGCCGACGACCAAGAGCTGGAAGTCCTCGCATAGGAGACATAGGTACACACAGCAAACAACGCCCTGCTGGCCGGGTCGCAGCATTATTTCCGCAACATACACCACAAACGCTCGATATACGACACCCACTCCCAATTATGTCGACACCGATCAACGAGAAGGACGAGCCAATATACAGCCCGCCCTCGCATACCGCGGCCTTCGGACGTGCCAGTCTAGAGGGCCGTCCAAGTCAAGATCAAGGACGGTCGTTACCTTCCTACAATGTCAACAATCACCGGAACCAAAGCCGTGACAAGTCTTCGGATGAGGAGGGGACTGTCGTTGGGGAGGCGGAACACATACATTACGGGCCGAATGAGAACGAGAATGTAGCACCGCAGCGTGCCCGTGCGAACAGTCACTTGACCGTCCGAACGGAGTACGATGGCGAGGGCCTGCGTAGCATAAATTCCGCCGCCTCTCCGTCGCAGACGCGCGAGCAGGCTTCTCGGCTGGACGATGACCTGGAGATGCTCAAGATTGAAAGGCAGGTCTCACAGTTGAACGAGTCAGAAACATTGTCCCAACAAAAGAGCCGCGAGGGCGACATGTATCGGTCAAAATCACGGAAGAGAGACGAGCATGTGGACGAATTCGACATTGCAACGAATCCCGTGCACGAACAGACACAGGTCTATAAGCCCGTTGAGCACCCGAGCTCGAGATTCGGCAAGCTTGTCAAACGCATCCACGGCAGCAACTGGCTCATCCGATGGTTCACCTATATTACACCGCTCACCTTGATCCTGCTCATCCCGCTCCTGTTAGGCGCGCTTTTGTTCAAGAACTCGGTGGTCGGTGGTGTTTATCTGGCATGGTTCATGATCTGGCTGGAAATTGTCTGGCTGTCACTCTGGGCTGGACGCATCCTTGCAAAGTGTCTACCTTGGCCAATAGGACTGATTTCCAGCCTTTTCACCAATAACAGCAAGAAATGGCGAGATATGGGCAAGCAATTGGAATTGCCGGCAACACTCTTCTTCTGGTGGTTGGCCATTGAAGTCTCTTTCCTGCCGACAATGCTCCACCACCAGCGCGATTATGGGTCTGGCCATACACAGGACTGGATGGGTACAATGAACAAAGTGCTGGTCTCGATCTTTGTCGCTGCCGTCCTCAACTTCGTCGAGAAAATCCTCATCCAGCTCATCGCCATCTCCTTCCACCTGCGGACATACGCCGATCGAATCGAGCTCAATAAGTTCCAGATTGGCTCCCTCACCAAGCTCTACCAGTTTTCAAGGGACAAGATTGCAATGGAAGACTCTGAATTCGAGATACCATCTGGTGATCAACCCGGTTCCGGTGCAATTACACCCGGTCAAATTGTTACTGGTGCGGCCAAACAAACGAAAGCAGCTTTCAACAGATTCGGAGATGTGGCTGGGAAGGTAGCCGGCGACTTCACCGGGAAGCAGACGATGAAGAGCACTCACCCACATCAAGTCGTACTCACGCTGCTGCACTCGACTACCGGCGCGCAGACTCTGGCAAGGCGACTGTACCGCACTTTCGCCCGCGAAGAGACGGAAACTGTTGTATCCGATGACCTGCGTAATGCCTTCGAGAACAACGACGAGGCTGATGCGGCGTTCAGCATGTTCGACAAAGACATGAACGGCGACATCAGCATGGAGGAACTCGAGGCCGTCTGTGTCGAGATTGGACGAGAGCGAAAGTCGATCACGGCCAGTTTGAAGGATCTGGACTCCGTGGTTGCCAAGCTGGACGATGTCTTCATGTTCATCGTTTTCGTCATCACGGTCCTGGTCTTCATCTCGCTCATTTCTACCTCCGCCGCTGGGGTTCTGACGTCCGCTGGATCGGCCGTGCTTGCCCTCTCTTGGCTGTTCTCAGCTACGGCACAGGAATTTCTGCAGTCGGTTATCTTCGTGTTCGTCAAGCATCCATTCGACGTCGGTGACCGTGTCTCGGTCTACGGAAACACTGGTGCTGCTGGTATGGGTGACGACTACTTCGTTAAGGAGATTGCGTTGCTCTACACCGAGTTCAAGAAGATGGAAGGACATATAGTTCAGGCACCTAACAGCTACCTGAACGGCCTGTTCATTCTAAATCAGCGCCGTTCTGGTGGTATCGCGGAAGCCATTCCCATCCAGATCAAATTTGGCACGACACTGGAGCAAATCGACGGCCTCCGCCAGAAGTTACTCGACTTTGTGTTGGCCGAGAAGCGCGAGTACCAGGGCAAGATTCTCACCGAGCTGCGCGATGTTCACGAAGTCCACTACTTGACGCTCAACGTCATCATGTTCTACAAGTCCAACTGGCAAAACGAAGGCCTACGTGTTGCGCGCCGTAACAAGTTCATCTGCGCCCTCATGGTCAGCATGCAAGAGCTTGGCATCGAAGGCCCACGTATGCGGTACCCGGGACAGAAGCAGTCGTTCCCTGTGTATCTGCAGAACGTTCCGCACGTCAAGATGCCAGGTGCTGGTCACAGTGGTCACCCTGATGAGCCGAACGGGACTGTTCACGACGAAACGCATGATGAGCCCCAGGATCCACCTTTCGTGTCACCGCTCCAGGGTCAGCAATCATCAACTGGCCAGGTACCCGCTTCGCGACTCCGAAGCGGTAGCATCTTGAAGAGCGGCCGTCCGCGCGGAGAGAGCGTCTCTCAAATGAGCCGCCGTGTGGATTTCAGTCTTGGCGCACGGGGTGCCGCGAGCGGCGACTTTTCGGGCGACGTATATGAGACTCGCGACAGGTCCAACATCCCAGCCGAAGTCAGAGAGGCATCTCGCTCACGCGATCGAGCGAACGAGGAGCTCCGACGATCAACAGAACGCCAGAGCCACGAGGCTGCACGAGTGACTTCGCGTGACGAGCGACTTGGACCAGGCCATCTGAACCGCGTGTCGACAGAGGGTGGCAGCCGATGGCGCACGCACGGCACAATCCACCGCAACCGCTTCCGCAGGCCTGGGACGAGCGACGAGCAGGGTCTGATGGAGAGCGGGATGGCTGATATCCCAGAGAACCCTTCGACGGCTGGCAGTCAATTACCGAGCCGTGACCGGTTGGATCCACGGACGGGAGTCGTCAGCCCTCGCGCGTGGAGGATGACTACGGATGAGAGCAATGTGCACCCGCCACAGATCCAGCCGACGGGTGGAATGCGGGAGGCCGGGGCCGCTGCACCGGAGGGCCACAGGTTTCCTGGGAGGTCACAGACGGAAGACTTTGAGATGAGGAGGTTTCGCTGAGTGGAAAGAACAGATTGATGTTTAAACAGATAAAAGTAGACTAGATACCCGGACTGCGAGCGCCGATAATGCGAATGACTCGGAAGCCAGCTGGTGACTCGGATGATACACCTCAGCCGCGAAGGCAATGTAAGTAACAGTTCGGTTCAATCTGTCGCATCTCCAAGTTCTACTCCTCTTGCGATCCGGCATGACCTCATACTACAGCGAACAGGTCAGTACATCTACCAACACCCCTTCAGAGCTGGTTCTGACAGCCAGTCCAGGCCATCTCAAACGAACCGACAAACCTCTTCACCCTCCCCGCCGAACTGCGCATCTACATCTACGAACTCGTCCTTGCACTCCCAAATGGCCACATCATCCACGTCACCGACGTCATCCGCACCCGCCGTCACCGACGCAGAATCACGCCAGTCACCCAACCGCCAGTAACCCGCACATGCCGCCAACTCCGCTTAGAAACCCTCCCGATCTTCTACGCCAGCGCACCATTCTACCTGGGCAAATTTTCGAGTCAGACGGATTTCGAAAAGCCTAATGATGCTGTTGCCTTTCTGGATGCTATCGGGACGGAGGGGAGGGGGACGATCAAGCGGCTACTCATTGGGTGGGGAGCGGAAGATGCACAGGACCTAGTCCAGGAGCTGATGTGGGACATGTTTAGAACTGAGGTCGGGCTGGTGAGAGCGAGGTTTAAGGAACAAGTTCTTGTGGCGGCGAGTATGCGTGAGAGGCATGAGAGGTTCGTGTGGTATGGGAGGAGGTTTCGTTACGGATTGTATGAGGTGTCTTTTGGGGTGTAGAGTACCTTAACGACGAATAACGCGGCTTTGGCCGTCATATCATCACAGTAGACAGGTGTATGTAAGAAGAATGAAGGTCAGGCGACGTAGTGGAAGAAGTGGCAGTCTCCGCAGTCTAGACTATAAGGAAAGCATGTTCAGAAGCCTCTTAGTTAGCGGAGAAGACGGAAAGCGAGGAGTGAACACGGACAGTATAGCCCCTCGAGATGGTAGGGATGGTTCAGTTCTCCGAGACAGTAGGAACAGCATCGCCTAACGGGAGTCTTCATAGCGGGCAATAGGGTCACGGAGAAGCCAGAAGCTGACTGCCACTTCTTCTTCTACGACGTCGCCTGGTTCTCGCACTTGCTTCGCCAAGGCCAGCCACGCGAGGAACAGCTGTCCCAAGCGCGCCGCTCAGTTCCAAGACCTCACCTCACCTCGCTGCCGTCAATATACCCTAACGCCAATTCCAACGATGAAGAGACATTCCTTCCTGGCCCTTCCGGCCCTACTGCGCACGACTCTCCTCGCAGCAGCCTCGCAAACGACATTCAGCGTCCAGGACGACCTGTTAGCATTCCCGCAGTACGATGTAAAGTTCGAAGAGGAAGACTATGTGCTCGAAGCCCAAGCACGGGTACGGCTGCACAGCAGCGAAGAGCACGCCCGAGAAGAGGCAGGAAACGCGCCGCCCTCCCAGATAGAACACTATCGACCCGCGGACAGTCGACAACGCAACAATGACCCGGATGGAGGCGAGAAGCTCGAGTATGAGTACATGTACCTCGATGGCCAGCCGTACATGTGCAGTATCCCGCAAGTCAGCAAGCGCTCGGACGCCGCCAATGCTGCTAATGATACGGTCTCGAAGGCAGAGGAGGAGCGCGAGCTAGCAAGAGCAAACGAGCGTGGATGGGAGTTGCTGTCAGGCATGCAGGGAAATTGCGTGTACTTCATCAGCGGGTGGTGGAGCTACAAGTTTTGCTACAATGATGGCGTACGGCAGTTCCATCAGCTGCCGCCTAGTCGAGGGGTGCCTGTCTACCCGCCTGTGGAGGATCCGGGGGTGGAAGGATACACGCTTGGCATGTACAGCGGAGAGAATAAGCAGGCAGAGACCGGGACGGACGTTGGGAAGGCCAGCAAGGTACCGGCTACCGGCGAGCTGGTGCAGCGGGGCGAGAGCAGATACCTGGTCCAGCGTCTTTCGGGAGGCACGAAGTGTGATCTTACCGGCAAAGACAGGAGGGTCGAAGTGCAGTTCCATTGCAATACGCAGCCGCCTACGGATCGGATATCACTCATCAAGGAGACGAGCACTTGTGCCTATCTCATGGTGATACAGACGCCTCGTCTCTGCAACGACGTCGCTTTCCTGCCACCGCAGAAGGACAGCCCGAACTCGATATCTTGCACGCCTATCCTGGACGAGTCACAGGTGGACGACTACAAACGCGACACGGCTGCTCTCAAAGCTGCAGAGAAGGAAGCGCGTATTTGGGAGTCTCACGTCGATGCGGCAAAGGTCTTCCTTGGCAGTACGGGAGACTTCCAGCTTGTCGGTGACACCATCGTTGGTGGCCACAACATCGTGCCTGAGGACGTGAAGATCGAGAAGTCGGCCATTGTGGGAGGTGGCAAGGAGACTTACATTGATACGGTGGCGTCTTCAGATGGAAAGGTTCTCTCCAAGGAAGCCATCGAGAAACTTGGGCTTGGCGATGCGAAGAGTGTTGAGAAGTTGCGGAAGAAGCTGGAGGAGATCGCAAAGGGCCAGGAATGGAAACTGGACGTCATTGATACGCCTCAAGGAAGAGAGTATAGAGGTATCATTGGAGATGGACGGGACGAGAAGGAGGATGAGAAGCAAGGCAAGGACGAGAAATCCCAGGGTGAGGGCGAGGAGCAGGAGCAAGAGCAAGAAGGCAGCAAGGAGGAGTATTACAAGGAAGAATTGTAGATATCCGGTTAATTGGAAGTCACTTTGCTGCTCCATGCAACACCCTCATCTTGCTTAGATACGGATCTTTGTCCAAGTAAGCGCCCCTCAGCCACCTCTCCTTCCCAGCATCACCAGCCTCGAACGCCTTTCTCGCATGCAGGACTCTCCGATTGTCGAAGATCACGCACTCGCCCGGTTTCATCAGCCGCTCGTAGATGCCGCTCGGTCGATGGACCAACGCATTGAACTGCTGCGCTGCCTTGTGCCAGTCGGCGACTCTTGAGTTCAACGGACCAAGTACTTCAGTCTTGCTCTGCTGCTGACGATGTCTAGGTTTGACGGCAAAGGGCGCTTGGAATGGAGGGGACCAGTTCACAGCGGTCAAGTAGTCGAGAATATTCACAGGTTTGTCGTTATACAGTGCGCGAAACGTCTGTCGGTAGTCTTTCTCTAATACTTCGAACACCGGTCTTGATTGGTGGTAGAGATTCGAGTCAGGGTGATTGTAGTGGAAGCTCGCTTCGACGTCGACGAGGGTTTTGAAGGTGTCGACGTCTGCTGCGAGGAGGTCGGCGGCGGCTTTGTAGCTGTCGGTGAAGAGGCTCGCGCCGCCGGAGGACGAGCTGCGGATGCAGTGGAGGAGCTGGATCTGTGGAGGTTGTTCCATGTAGAGGAGGTCCATGTGGAAGCCTAGGTCTTGAGAGGTGTAGGCGACATTCTTCGCTTTGGGCACGGAACGGACGTCCCAGGTGTAGCCGTAGAAGGTGTTTTTGATCGGACCGATGCGCTCGCCTATCGTTGAGACAGAGGTCTCGGATTCGGGGACGTTGCTGACGAACAGCAGACCGTGGGTGTGCAGTTGCGTTAGTGCTTGGCTGAGGACTTGGTCGTCGTTCATGTAGGCTTCGTAGTCGAAGTCGGAAAATTGAGCGTATTCCTCGGCTTCCCATGCTTTCCGCGGCGATGGAGCATAGGACGGCCATGTATTTGCATTGCCATGTTTGAGAAGGCTGCGAAGGGTTGCGATGCTCAGGGACGTAGTGTGATTACCTGGGTAATTTGGAGCGTCGTCGAGCCATTGAATCTTGATAACATCCCCATCCCGCCATACTGACTTGGGGGCTATTTCGGCCGGAATGTCAGTGGTGGAGAAGAGTTTCTGTTTCGTCGATGCGTCTACGCAATGTGGACATTCGCAGAGATCACGGAGCAGGAGCGGTGAAAAGGCCCGGATTGCACCGTCTAGAGCAATGTTCACTTGCTTTCTTCGATCAGTGTGAGAAATATAAGCACGGTGTGAACCGTCTGTGGCTCTTGGGGGCTTCTCCGTCGTTTGTGAATTCGTCGAGGTTCGATCTGCCGGAGTAGTAACTTGGATTCTTGAGGTCGAGGGTACCTGTCTGATGGGCGAGTCCTGATTGTTTCCCGATAGCTTGTCGCGACGCTTCTCGATCGTATGACCTGACTGGGCCGAAGGCGGTCTTTCATCGCTGGTGTTATATATTGGGAATGCTGAACGTCGAGAGCTGTTCGACAAACATCTTGAAGACTCTAGTGAGCTTTGGATATTGCGAGGTTTTGTTCTCCATGGTAGCATAGATCTCAGCACTTGCGCCATCGGTCAGATGTAGGACGACTGTTCAGTCGCGAAACGGTCACATGTTCAGTCGAGGCATCTGGAGAGGTGATGTTGGAGCTCAAGAACGCTTGGACCAAGTGAATGTATTCCCCACTGCGCGCTTGCTTTCCAGACCTCATTCCTTACGGTACGCCCGCTTTCAGGACATCGCGGTGTGCGAGAAGGTGCTGGGGGTTAGATGGATGTCTGCAGCAGCAGAACATCTCCGAGATGAGGTGGGCACCGTCAATGCCACGAAAAAAGGTGGCATGGCTAACGAGAAGAAGGGCACCCGCTCGCAAGTAGTCCTGTCTGGCGCCATTGCAGGGCTCGTATCTAGGTATGAAACATGACGATTACACCCGCACGTAGGGCTGCTGCTAATTCAAAACATAGATTCTGCATCGCCCCCTTGGACGTCCTCAAGATCCGCCTACAGCTGCAATACCATTCCCTCTCCGACCCGCTTTCCCAACGTCTCCAGAAGACACCAGCCGGCGTCGCAGTCGTAGCCCGCGACATCATCCGCCATGAGGGCATTACCGGCTTCTGGAAGGGCAACATACCTGCCGAGGGGTTGTACTTGAGCTATGGAGCAGTGCAGTTCCTTGCCTACCGCAGCACGACTCAGCTCATTGAAACGCTCGCGGAGGATCGCAACACCAAGGTGCCAGGCATGGTAAAGAGCTTCATTGCAGGTGCTGTAGCTGGTACTGCGGCGACAACAGCCACCTACCCGCTGGATCTGCTCAGGACACGATTCGCTGCGCAAGGCACAGAGAGGGTCTACGAAGGCTTGGTCGCGAGTGTCCGAGAGATCACGCGCAATGAAGGCTACACTGGCTTCTTCCGTGGCCTTACAGCTGGAATCGGGCAGATTGTGCCGTACATGGGCCTCTTCTTCGCTTCCTACGAAAGCCTAAAAGTACCGCTGGCGGACGCACAGCTGCCATTCGGCTCTGGCGATGCCGTGGCTGGGGTTACTGCAAGCGTTCTTTCGAAGTCTGCAGTCTTCCCGTTGGACACTGTGCGAAAGCGACTGCAAGTGCAAGGTCCGACGAGGACCAAATTCGTTGGTGGAACTCGAATGCCCGTGTATGACCGTGGGATCTGGAGCACGATCACCACCATCGTTAGAATGGAAGGCTGGAAAGGTCTTTACCGGGGCTTGGGCGTGAGCTTGATTAAGGCTGCACCGGCAAGTGCTGTGACGATGTGGACATACGAGCGAGCTTTGAAGGCTTTGCGGACATTGGACGACAAGGCTGGAGAGTTGGTTGTCAAGTGACCGGTGGACTAAATACCTACTTTTTCAAGGTCTCTCCTCAGCCGTTATTGTCCTTCTTGTCCAAACGGCCAGCCGTTCAAGGTAAGCTTGAGCTGCTCAGGCTTCGCCAATTCCTCCTTCCGGCTCTTCAGTTCATCCACATCCCAGTTGCTCCACAAGAACTTGCCACCACCGCGCAGGAACCCAGCCTCGGGACTACATGCCCACACGATAAAGCTCGCTGGCAGATCAGCTATGCAACTGTCAGTCACGAACCGCCCATCATGCTCCGAGCCAAGACTCACCACCGTCCTGAGCGCCTAACCCGCTCTTGCTGTTCATCTCACTGGAAATGACACCAGGATGGATATGTACGACCTCGTATTGCGGGTTCTCAGCACCGAATGTTTCATACACCTTGGTCGCAGCCAGCTTTGAGCCCGCATAGCCTGATGCCGTCGGCATTGCCGGAGATGAACAATACAAGTGGAGATGTCCACCAAAATGGCTTTTGGTGCCGAGTTGGAGAGGAACGCTCGCGTGCAGTTGAACGCACCCTTCACGTTGATTTCGTAGCCTCTCCACCACTTCGGACAACCTGCGTGTTAGCACTGTCTCCGGTGCGAGAGTAATACAGAAGGGATGTGCTTCAAAGGCAACCTACATCCTCCAGATCGGCGTCCTCGAGCTTCTGCAGCTGGCTCAGATACGCCGCATTGCACACCAGAATGTCGATCTCGCCAAGGTCCTTCTTGATGTTCCCGAGTGCTCCGCGAACGGAGTCGGCGTTCGCAATATCCCCATGGACTGTCTCGATGGTGGTGCCAGGGACAGCTTCTTCGATGACGGTTTTCGCCTTCTGCAGTGGCTCAGGTCATCTGCCGATGATTGCGATCTTGGAAGCACCCGCTTTGGCGAACGCAAGGGCAGTTGCTGCTCCGATGGCACCGCCGCCGCCGGTTATGGCTACGACCTTGCCTTTCGCGGAGAGCTCAGGGCGGAGAGGGTCGATGGAAGGGTAGGATTGGGAGTGCCATGTTTTGGTCAGGGAGGGCATGGGAGCCATTTTGAGGATCTTGGTGCTGGACTGTACGGAATAAGGGAATGTTTACGCTTAGTAGCTGAGAGTACGAAACACCTCACTGTTTTGTTTACCGAACAGCCGCATGATGTCAGTTCATGAGGACTGGTCCACGCGGCAGCTTACTGCAATAGGCGCGTATAGAACTTGTTTGGTGCCGTGGCCGTGAGACCGGACTGAAAGGCTGGATGGTGGAGCTTTGGGTTAAGGTAGATTGAGTTCGGATGGTTTCCTAGGTAACGTTGCCTTCTAGCTCTTCAGAGAACGCTTCAGTCAGCGAAGGACGGGACTGGAGACGTCTGCTACAGTCGCTTGCCTTCCGCAATTCGAGCACAACGAGCTCCGGGCGGTACCGCCGCTTCCGGTCTTGCTGTCGTTGTAGGTTTTAAGTAGTCCCTTAGGGTCGTCAATCCGGACTGAGTCACGATCCACTACTAAGTTGTTGGCCGCAACACAGTCGGAGAACTTGCGGCAGTTCTGGAGTACACGATCATATTAACGCGTGACCTGGCTCCAGAGATAGCGGCCAGACTGACCGCACAGTGGCATAGGTGGCCGCTCGGCTGGTCGAAGAGCCCTGGTTTGTTGACGGTGACTTTGATGCTTCCACAAAGACATTCACCAGTCATGCCGTTGACGTACGCAGAGGGGTCTCTCGCTTTGGGGTCGCCGGCGTAGGATGCCATGGCCGCGGAAATGGGGAGGAGAGCGGAAGATATGAAGGGGGTATGGCTTCAAGCTGGTAAGGCAAAGTATGACCCACGCTCGTCTGCTCAAAAGGAAGGCAAAGAAAAGGTGTAGATAGAGCTTGATGAAAGATGGCTGCGTTTCCTCCGTATTACATTTCTTGAGACGATGAGGAATCAGCTTCCTTACCAGAACCAGTGCAGAAATGCCTGCTGTGCTCCTCCTTGCGAAGATCAATGCCTATGAAGTCGGGCTGAGCAGCATGAGACAGACGTCTTATGGCATTGTTGTCCTGTTCTGTAGAGGTCAGGAGAACAATCAGGAGGCGAAGGAGTAGAATCAAGACAAGAGTCACAGCCGACTTCGGAAGGTCAGACCCTCCGCGGTTACTTCTCTCACCTCTGTTGCCGAACATTCACCCGACCTCCAAAGCGTTGCATCATGGGCGTACTCAAAAGTGCCCCCAAATCCATATCGAATCTGTACAGATTACTGCAAAACTAGACGACTGCGTGACAATGAAAGGCCCAGGATATCTCGCCGTAGCCATCCAACCAGGCGCCCAAACCGAGGAGAAAGCATTTCACGAATGGTACAACACCGAACATGGACCGCTTCGACTGCGTCTGCCTTTCATCCTGAACGGCAACAGATACAAGGCAGACGACGGCGAGCGACCAGAGTGGAGCGCGGTTTACGATGTATCCGATCTCTCCCACTTGGACACCCGCATCTACACACGTCTGCGCGAAGAACGCTCACAGCGTGAAAAGGCTGTGATGAGCACGTTCGAATCGCTGGATAGGAAAATCTACAGCCTAGTCTCCGAACGTGGAAGCAATCCTCGCCCTGCTCCTCACACCATCGCGGTCACTATCCGCGTCAAGGAAGCTGACTTGGAGGATCTCCACAACTGGTACGAGCAGGAGCACACCGACATGCTGTCCAAAGTTCCCGGCTGGCTTCGCACCAGGAGGTTCAAGTTGGAGGTCGGCGGACTCAGGGGCATGCCGCCACAGGGAGAGTTTGAATACTTGGCTGTTCATGACTACAAAGCGCAGAACGGCCTAGGCGGACCGGAGCATGAAGCGGCCAAAACCACGCCTTGGACCAATGAGATCCGAAAGAAGGTGGAAATGAGTCGCCGAGAATGGAAGCATCATCTCACCTTCAACACCCTAGAGGAACCTCCTTCATCTGTGATGACAACAGATGGCGCGGAGCTGCACTACCAGCTGGAAGGCAAGCCGCAGGATCCGGTGATTGTGTTTGTGAACTCGATTTTGACGACGCTCCACATCTGGGACGATGTTGCAAAGTCGCTGATGAGCACCGGCATCAACGGACAGACCTACCGTGTGCTCAGGTACAACTCCCGAGGCTACGCGCAGCAGGATCCCAAGAGCAACCCAACACGTTTCGACATGTTAGCAGATGATCTCGAATACTTGCTGCAGAGGCTGAACATCGAGAAGGCGCATGCCGTTATTGGCGTGAGCATGGGCGGCGTGACGAGTCTCAACTTCGCGATCAGGCATCCGGACATGCTTGAGAAATTCGTCGCATGCGACTGCAACGTCGCTTCCAGTCCAGCCAACAACACTGCTTGGGACGAGCGCATACAGCTGGCAAAGTCGGAAGGGATGCCAAAGCTTGCGGACGTGACTGTGAAGAGGTGGTTCACCGAGCCGAACCACAACTCTACCAATGCGAAGAAGACCTTCGACATGGTGGCGAACGCAAGTCTGGAAGGCTTTTCTCAGAATGCCGGTGCTTTGTGCAATTACGATCTGAAGGACAGCCTGTCGAGTATCAAAGCACCCGGACTTTTGATCGCTGGCGAGGGCGACGGAAAATTGCCCGAGGTCATGCAGAAATTCGGCATCCCGCAAACCAATTTCAGATCGATTCCTGGCGCGGGGCATCTGCCGATGCTGGAGAATCATGAGGCGTTCACGAAAGCTCTGCAAGATTTCTTGTGAGATAAACGCTGAAGGAAGCCGCCAAGACCATAGGCAGCAAGCCGTATCGGGCAGCGGGTGGAAGTATATAAGTGCTTCGCTTCCTCAATCTCTCATGCCTTCCTTTTCCCTCATCTTCAACTTGACGCCAAGGCCGAAGCAACGGGGCGGGTAGATCGTTGTAGGGGTAGCCAGAGGATGCCTTCCTCATTCGAATCATGTCCTCCGGAAACGGTTGGCAACATCGTCCAAAATCTATCGTTCGAGGATATCGGTAATCTCCGGCTGAGCAGTCGCACGATGGCCGCGTTGAGCACCCAAGAGAAGTTTGAATCCTTCTTCTCGTCAAAGGAAACCAAACTGTCGCCGACGGACCTGAATTACTTTGTCCGAATGACGGGAGAAAGTTCGCTCGCATGTCTGGTTCAGGAGTTGACCATTTCCGGGATCGCCGATGACACAACATTGCTGGAGCGTATGCTGAAAGAGAAGGATCGTCGGGATCCAAAGACGCAGCGCTTCGTGCGGCTCACCGAGGAAGAGCTGGCCAAAACCAAGCGAGACCTCGACACCATTAACGCTCAGCGGGATGAGCGCGTCTCGATGAGAGAGTCTGGAAAAGATGTCGAGCTGCTCACGAAGGCATTTCGCAACGTTCTGGCCGGTGGAAAGCAGGCCCGGCGCCTAGCCTTGACGATGAATGTTGTGTTACGCACCGAGGATGCAGAGACCTTTCAATCGCCTGTCGAAAGCAAAAACCGTGATGCTATTTGGCAGGCAGCAGCGGATTGCTTCGGGTGCGTCATGGGATCCCTGAAAGACAGCAAGCTGCCGGTCCAAGCCCTAAACGTCTTCTATACGACCATGCGCTGTAGTCTGGATCTCAGCCTGATCAACAAGCTCAGGGGGCCAGCCGAGAAATATGCGGATGTGCTGAAAGTAGTCAAGTCGCTTCGCATTAGCCTCTCGGAATGGCCCCGTGGTCGGTCAGAGCCGGTGCAGACCGACAGCCTCCACGATGCGGCCTCTGATGAGTCGCCAGGCATTGCCGGTCTCTTGAAGCAGTGTCCCGTGCTGCGCACGCTTGAGGTGCATTGGTACGATACCGATACAGGTAGGCGACGCAACGACACGGGGCTTGATTTGTTCCAATCAACCACAAAACATGGTATAGACCTTCCGCATTTGAACGGCGTTACTCTGCGTGGCCTGTACTTGAGTGAAAGCTCTTGTCTAAACTTCCTGCAGAGTGTGGCTTCAGTGAGCGATCTGACCATGGTCGAGATCAAACTGAGCGAAGGGAGCTTTACTCCAATCTTCGCGTACTGTGCCAGCGAGAAAGCCGGAATAGACCGTGTCTACTTCGAAGACTTTTGGGAACGTGAACTCGTCTGGTTCGATGATGGGAGGGAACCGAAGGTGGCGGTCTGGGGAGCACCGAAGGGCGGACAAACATTGGAGCGCAGCGGTGCGGAAGCCAGGCAGCCGATTCAGTACCATCTTGGTGATCAGTACGAACGTTTGGCTTCACCGGAGGAGTATAGGTGGAACGAGGACAGGTGTCGCGAGTATGGGCCATGAACACGCCGTTTGTCCTAGATTGCGGATCTCCAGCGCTCGACAAGTAGTGAGTGAAACTCAAGGAGGGTTTCATAGCTCTTGTGTGTCAAATAAACTGTGACGTATCGTGCTGTCTCTTATCAGGATGGCTGAGGTTAGTACAGGTTCACGCAGTCAACAAGAAGCTGTAGAGTACTTAGGCAAGCTTTCGATGGTGAAAGCGGCCCACCAGGACGAGTGAGCCGTTTGAGGGACCTTCTTACAGACGATGACCGCCCTCTGACATGAGTGATGTCGCCCTTTTGACCACAACCTTGTCTCGGAGAAGAACTGCTAGATGTGGCCCCTCTCAGGTCCTCGTTCACATGCGTGTCGTGCTAGCGGTTACGGCCCGGTAACGGAACTTTCCGGAGCTAGAGTATGACGTGCTGCCTTACCAGCCATTGTCGTTTGGACTGCGACAATACCCGCCACGTCGAACATCATGCACTCGCGTCTGTCCAGCCGTACGCTCTGCATGAGCTGGAAAGAGTGCTTAGATACTCACCGCTGAAATGTACCGTGGCGGCGGCAACAATCGCTACCGCAGTCGAGGGAACTACTCTGGAAGAGGTCGCGGCAACGGCAGACAAACAACCCGCCAGCGAGGCCTATTCGCGGACGGTATCTGGCATTGTGACTGTACTCCACGCTTACCCGCCGAGCACTTCAAGACGAGAAAGGAGGGTCCGAATCAAGGCAGATGGTTCTACACTTGCCAGAAGCCGAAGGGAGAGGGATGCGGCTTCTTCTTGTGGGATGATGACGCCAAACCGAGAGAGGAGGCTGCGGTGTTGAGTGGAAAGCGGTCAGAGCCGGGCGGAGAGACTGCTCAAGAAGGTTGGAATGCTGGCAGGCCGACGGTCGAGCCCCAAGGCAAAGGGCTGTTTGAAGGGCATGCAGACGAAACCGCAAGGTACGAGAGAGACGCTTCTACTGCCAGTCCGACGCCACCACCTTCACGAAAATCGAACGGCCCGAGTACCGGTGGCTCCAAGCGAACGGCAAGGGACGCTGAACTGGACGAGTTCGATCTAGACGATGTGGGAGCTCGAGACATGGAGAAGCTAGCAAATTCACTTCCGCCAGAAACACCGCACAAGATACAGAAGACCGGTGTATACGCAACCCCAGCGACTACAGGAAAGCGGAAGCTCCCCTGGCTTGAAGAGCCTGTCACGCCCGCGACCTCTACGAAATCAACAACGGGATACTTCGATACACCGTCGAAGGGTGAGACACAGAGCTCTATCTCTGTTGCCGAGCCTGAGACTCCAGCCGTTCCACACACCATAGCAACTGCAGCATCGCCCTCACCACCGACGAGGTACAAGGATGCACTGCACAACCCTGCAGACTCAGCAAGCTCTCTAACCAGCGAGGTACTGGCCGCTTTGTCCTCCGTCACAATGCCTGCAGAGGTCCGGGAGAGCCTTCGGAGCATATGCACGAAACATGATCTGAGGTCGCAAGGATTTGTGAGAGGCCGCGACATCTCGCGCCTGGCCATCAAGGCGAAGGATGCCAAGATTACCGAACTGCAAGCGCGGATAGCGAGTATGCAAGCCGACAATGAGGTTGAGAAGAGCCTGAACAGGATGAAACGGTGGCAAAGTGAGGGTCGTTTAGAGTAGACGACTAAGCGCTGATTGGGATGGTTGTTTGTGCGTTCGAGATACCCCTTCCATAGCATTTGAGCGTTGACATCCAGATGCAAAGCAAATCCAATGTTGCACTATCACATCTACTCGTGTCCGGCCCTTCGATCATAGTTTGGCATTCTCCGATGGATCCTGGGACAGCCAGAAGTCAAACCACTCTGCAATACCTTTCAAGCTCTGCTCCTTGGTGTAGCCTATGGAAATTTCAGCAATAAGCCAGCCAGCAATCACAGTCGAGCGATATCACTGACGCTCGTACGGATCATTGGGATCTCCCCGAAGCGCGAAACCATGCTCCACGCCCGAGAACAACTGGACCTGGAATTGCTTCTTCCCTGATTGCATGATGTCGACAGCCCTATTCCGGAACTCGTTCGGGAACGTGTGATCGATCTCGGAGCAGGAGAGGAACAATGGGTCTAATTCAACCGTCAGCGATGAACCATGCTTGTTGAGATCTCGATGCTGACTTACTCTTCAGGTTGAAGAAGTGCGACTCATTGAGGAACGCCGGGTGTGCGAAAGCGCCAGCTGAACATATACCGCTGCTCGACAGCTCGTCGCAGACATACGGGGCGCCATAGCAGTATCTGCAACAGTTAATCAGACGACAATGATGGTTGTTCAATACAGCACTTACCCAACACAAGCGAACTTGATCCCAGGCTTACCATACTTCTCCTTCACGGCTTTCACCCAAGCGGGAACGGCATCCTTCGAAAATGCCATATGCTTCGCCTTCCACGCTTCATAATCGAAGTTTGGCTCTGTGGTGGTGTCCTTACGATGCTTCCGATGTTTCCACACAGGATCCTGCAATGACCGTCAGCTGCGTCAGCGACACCATGATCAATACCTGTTGCCCACTCCTCGAAAGTAGTCCAACCCAAGCGTCAGATACCCAGCATCGGCAAACCCATCCATGATCAAGAAGCCATTGGTGAAGAAGCCAAAGACGTCCGGGAAGTAAAGCAAGATGTTGCCGTTCGCTTTCTCCTTAGGCGGCTCCACGATATACGTCTCGACGTCAGCTATAGTCGTTGTGATACCTCTGGGCTCTCCATCGTGAATTGTGCCTTCGAGACAGCAGTCGCCTGGTGGTTTGGCAATGACGGGATCAGGCTTGACAGCATTGTTGAACTCGGAGGTCTTTTCGACTTCTTGTGTCTTTTTGGATCGCATCTTGAACGTCGTCAATGTCGATTTGTTTCACTGGCGTGGCACGAAGGTTCGACGACCTATATACCCAGGCGTCAAAGTGGGTTGGCCGGGGTTGCTCAAATAGGAAGGAAGTAGGCAAGATGAATGCGGGGCATCGAGAAGGCATATCCGATGTCGCATCTTGATGGTACCGTGATGATTGTGCGTCTCCCTCAAGAAGGGGACTGCAATGCATTTGTTGAACGAACCATTTTGATCCGAGAGCCGTCTTCAACTGCGAGACAGGGATGCAAACATGGGTCCTCCCAAAGCCTTCGACTTCTCCGGCGAAGTAGCGATCGTGAGTGGTGCCGGATCTCGAATGAAAGGTATCAAACAGTCCGACTGAGACGGCGAACATCCTGCCGATTCTATCCCTAACACTCACAGGTGAAATCGGCAATGGTCGAGCAGCATCAATTCTCCTTGCCAGACAAGGCGCCAAGCTGGCACTCGTTGACAGCAATGTCGAGTGGGCGAAGGACACGAAGGAGATGATCGATGCAGAAGGAGGAATGTCCGAAGTAGTCCAAGCGGATGTAACGAACGAGGAGTCTTGCAAGAACGCAGTCGCGAGGACTGTCGAGCTCTTTGGAGCTGTGCATATCCTCATAAACGTTGGTAAGTGGTATTGCCGGCCTGCTTTTCCACGGGAGAAGACTAATCGACTTGTTTTCAGTTGGTGTTGGAGGTGCGATGGGCGATGCTACGAAGGTAGATCTCGAGGCGTGGGACAGAGACATGAGGATCAACGTCACCTCGATGGTGCTCATGAGTCGGCATGCCATTCCCGAGATGCGGAAGGCTGGGAGGGGAGCCATAGTGAACCTGTCGTCGGTCAGCGGGCGTGAGTTGGAATTACCACATCAGGCATTGAACCATACACTGACATTGACAGTTTTGGGCGGCAATCCCAGCTTGCTCTACCCAACCACCAAGGGTGCGATAATCCAAATGACGAGAGCGATGGCTGCGCATCATGGCAAAGAAAACATCAGAGTCAACTGCGTGGCACCTGGAATGGTCTTCACGCCAATGGTGCGATCGAGGGGTGTTGACGAGACCATGCGCAAGGCTCGAGTCGGCCAGAATCTCATGGGCAAAGAAGGAACCGGATGGGATGTTGGCCACGGTATGCATCGATGCGTCCCTATATCTTTGTGTGGAGACGATTGCTGATTTGTCCCTAGCGATCCTGTTCCTTTCGAGCAAAGAGGCACAATGGATCACAGGACTGATTATGCCGGTGGACGCTGGGGTAGGCTGAAGAGTCCTCCGCGGCAAGGCTTGATGCTGACGATTTGTTAGACAACAGCTGGGAAATCGGACCGCCCTGCGCTGAAAGAGGATGTTCTGGCGGAATCAAGCACCGGTATTCCCAACAGCAAGCTGTAAGCTGGTACTGTGTTCCAGGAGGCCGCGATCGGATACCATGGCGAATGCGACAGCTTAGCAAAACCTAGCCTAGCTCAAAGCAGCGTTGTGACAGCCAAGTGGATCCAGCTACGGTGTATGATTGTACGCGGATGCGAAGGCTTTGAAGATACCAGTGGCCTATCCAGCGTGTAGGAGCCTGGCTGAGGTGTGGCTGCTTAGGGCAAGTCCAAATGAGGGATTGTGAACGCTTGTAAGTCGACGTGTGCCTGTGTATCGCAAGGGAAGCGCTGAAACTCTCCGGAAATTCAGCTCGCTGGCTTTATAGGACTGAAAGTCTCCGGCAGACCTTATAAGCACTGCTATATACGCAGAAATCTTGAGCTGAAGAAAAGACAAAGAAGTAACCACAAACCAGAGACAAATTCCGCTCATCACGTTTTCCAAGCAGCTAGAGGCTCTGCGAATCACCTTGCCCAAGTCAAATCGTCTTCAGCGCACCCACCCATCATGCCAGGCATCGGAGACAGTAAGCTCGCCGCTCAAAGCCAATGAGACGTATCACTGACCTCGAGACAGCGCAGGGCGATGACTGGAATGACATGGCCAAGCTCTATAAGGAATTGTCGTACGGGACAAGTGCCCTACCAACTGCCGCGATGTTAGAGCGAACGAACGCTCTGCTGCCATTCTCGGAAGCCACAGGCATCCTGGATAACGGCAGTGGCCCTGGGCCAGTCATGCAACGTCTTCTTGAAGGCTACAAAGTTCCGAATGACTGTACGCTCACCTGCTCAGACTTCAGCCAAGGCATGATCAACCAAGCTCTCCAGACCAAGGAGGAGAGTATCAAGGCCGATAGAAACTCTCCGTGGACTCGCATGAACGCCATTGTTCAGGATGCGACAAACTTAGATAACATAGCTGATGGCAGTCAAAGCCACGTCACTGCGGGTTTCGTAGGCGGTCTCCTGCGTTGTGACAAAGCATGAAGGTCCGTCGGCTGACTGCTGCAGGTGTATTTCATGACCTCGGACCCAATGAAGGCATTGACCGAGACCCGACGCGTGCTCAAGGATGGAGGCGTCTTCGCCTGTACATCGTGGCACAGCTCGGAATGGATGGACTTGATGTATCTCCTGCCCACAATACGCCCAGACAAGGTCATGCCCCAAATGCGGCCTGAGTGGATAGATGCAACAAAGTTGAAAGGCGAGCTCGAGAAGGCCGGGTTCAAGGATGTGGATGTTCGGGAGGTGAAGACGCAGATGGCCTTTGAGAAAAGGAAGCCACTGATCGAGTTCATGAGTGTGAAAATGCCGCACCTGAAACCCCTTGTCGAGGACATGCCGGAGGAGGAGATTCAGAAGTACCAGGATCTGATGGACGAGGAGATGAAGAAGATGGATCCAAATGAGCCGGGAAAGTTGAAGGGGATTACTCTAGTGGCAGTCGGTAAGAAGTGATGTCGGCTCAGACAATGCTCATGTCAATCGCATCCCAGTCCGGCTGTAAGAACCCTCTCTCCATATGGAAATACATTTGTGGGTTCTCAGCGGTGTCCATATCGTCGTCGCCGTGTTTACACCTCGAGAACTCGCGAACTGAACCCGTCCCATGATACAGACAGGCCTTCTGGAGTATCTCTCTCCCTGCCTTGCCTGGCAAGCCGCCGGCAGTGAAACGGGCCAATTAGGACAGGGTGAGCGATGTAAAGGATCTTCTCACAGATACTGACAACTCGCCGACACCGACGCGAGTAATATAGCCTTCCGGGTGTAAACGTGTTCGGGAGAACGCTGCTAGGTGTGCCCGGTAGGACGTCTTCACTGTCGCTTGCTTGCCTAGCTCACCTGGCCGCTCTACGTATACATTAGTTCGGACGCGCCGCACAGGAGCAAACGTCCTCGTGCGACATCTGCGACCGAGCCCGCCATATCCGCAGCTCAGCTTGCAAGAGTAGCCTCCGTGTCGACGTCGAGGAAACGGGAGAGGCCGGTCTTGCTGGTGGCTTCCAGAGTAGTGAGGACTTAGGAGTACCTGTATGTAGGCGCCGGCAGCAGCGGCAACGCCACACACATCGTTGCCGTCTCACTGCTCTCTCATCCCACCGCGGTCACCAGCGACGACGCATTTGCTTCTGCGAAGCATGGGAAGGAAGACGGGGCGACAGCAATAAGCAGGTGAGGTGGACGTGATGAATTCTTCTGCAGTGAGAATCAATATTGACGAGATGGTGGCACGCAGATGTGCTGTATAGAGTTTCCTCGTGAGGTTGGATGACAGCAAAGGCGCTTGCAGGGATGAGGTCTTAATCAACGGCGGACACTGGATTCAACCCAACCTCAGCGCAAAAGAAACAAGCATTCGCATTTTCAGTCCTCATATCGGGCATCGCGGGCTACCTGGTTTTGGATAGGTAGGCTGCTATCCGATATCTATCAGAAAGACAGGTTACGCCACTCGACATTCTCCGCGCTCCTCTTGAGCGTCACTGGACCCATTCAGCATCGACGACCTTCACAACCATTGGCCGTACTTGAGAACCTCCGCATTATCGGCAACGCACAGAAGCATGAACGTCGAGGACGCAGACGTCGCCTGGGCTGAGCGGGAATCCTCGCCTTCCCGATGGCGGACGTACGACCCCCAGGACCGATTAAGTGGCGAGTACGATCGCGTCCATGCAGAACGGGAAGAACGTTCTCGCAACCGGCCACGCTCGCAAAGATCAACTGAGCCGCGCGAGGAGCCCGTCGAAGAAGTCGAAGAGGTCGAGCTCGAGCCGGTGCGCTCGAAAGGTCGTGGTGATGGGCCGCGACGCAACGAATCTACGACGTCCAGCTCGGTCTCCTCCTTTTCCACAGTGGACCGCTCGGAGATCAGCAATGCAAGGAGCCGACAGACGAGACACAACAGCACGATCTCGAAGGCTTCGACGCGCATGGAGAACGATATCATGCAATACCTTGATCGGCATCCTACTGCAGTGGAGCGCGTAGCCGCACATCGACTCCAACATAGCCAAACGGTCGGAAGTAAACGAGTCTTTACTGGTACAGGCGAGGAGTTGCCAGACTTTGGCAGCAACAAACCCTATCCTCCACCGTTACCAGAACGCGAGGAGTATGTGGTCGAGTTCAGTGGCTTCGATGACCCACGGCATGCGCAGAACTTTGCGTTCAAGAAGAAGATGATCATCAGTACCATTCTCGTGTTCGACTCACTGGCCGCCACATTCGCCAGCTCCATCTTCTCCGCCGCCAGCGGTGCTGTCGGAGAGGAGTTTCAGGTCGGACGCGAGGTCGTCACTCTGGGGACGTCGCTGTTCGTACTGGGCTACGCTGTTGGACCAATGGTCTTTGCACCACTCTCTGAGCTCTATGGGAGACGGCTGCCGATCATCATCGGTGCTTTCGGGTTCTCGATCTTCAACACCGCTGTCGCGGTAGCAAAGGACTATCAAACCCTTGTCATCTCGCGCTTCTTCTCGGGACTCTTTGGATCATGCCCCCTCGCGCTGACAGGAGCTGTGTTCTCTGACCTCTTCGACAATAAAGTCAGGGGATTAGCGATAGCTATCTTCGCGGCCACGCTCATGAATGGACCATTCTGCGGACCCATGGTCGGAGGCTTCCTCACGAAGTCGTATCTGGGCTGGCGCTGGGTAGCCTGGATTCCAGCTTTCATGGGCTATGCGTCACTTGTCCTAGCAGTGTTGTTCCAGGAGGAGACGTACGTCAAACTGATGGTGGGAGAGTTTTCCAAGAACGCCTCTAGGGTCTCAGGACCACGGGGTGCTCCGAGACCCCACCACTTTTGTCCACTTATCGAGACATCTGCTGACCCTTCTTCTCATCGTTCTAGATATGGCCCTGTGATCCTCGTCACCAAAGCTTCGGAGCTGAGGCGTCTGACTCGCAACTGGGGCATCCACGCCAAGCAAGAGGAAGTTGAGGTTGACCTCAAGGAGCTCGTTATTAAGAACGTCTCCCGTCCTCTTCGGATCCTGTTCACCGAGCCGATCGTCCTGATCATCACGATCTACATGTCCTTCATTTACGGTCTGCTCTATCTCAATCTGACGGTCAGTCTCCCGGAAACAGAACCCCCTTCCTCAGTCATACTATAGGGTTAGAGGCAGATCCCATGGCCGATAAAACGAAGCATTCGCGGTCGTGTGGCTCTATGTGCTTGTCGACCGGCCATCAGATCTGTTTCTAACCCTCACCGTCCCAATCAGGCACAGAAGGCTCTTATGGGGCCTTGTACTTCGTTGTCTGAGACATTTGCTGACGGGTTCTCTTTGCGTGTGCACAGGCGTATAGTATAGTGTATGGGCAGGTCTACGGCTGGAGTCTCGGTGTGAGCGGTCTCCCTTATATGGTAAGTTCATCAGGATCGTCGAACGTGGGCATTGCTGACATTCTGGCTCCCTTTTTGACAGGCTCTGATCGTAGGAGTAAGTAAATGGGGACGGAACCTGCCGCTGCTCTTTCTTAGACCTGAATCTCTCCGAGAGCTTGCCGGCCCAAATGACCTTCAAGGGTTGTTTCACCTACTAAAGCCTTAGGATTGGTCTAGGAGATGGTAGCCGGCAGCGTACCCTCTTCCCTCAATATAGCAAGGATATCACGCTGACATCTGTCCCCAAGGTCATGATCGGGCTCGGATGCATCGTGTTCATGAACAAGTCCTACGTCAAGAAGCTGGAGGCGAACAACAACATTCCCGTCCCCGAATGGCGGTTGCCTCTGCCGATGGCTGGAGGCATCGTCTTCTCACTCGGTCTGTTCTGGTTTGGCTGGGGAGGGTACATGGCGAGTACGCCATGGATTGTGCCGACGTTGGCTGGGATCTTTATTGGCTTTGGAATCTTCTCGGTGTTCTTGCAATGCTTGAACTACATCATCGACTCGTGCGTATGCCTTCGGAGTATCTGGAAAGCTGAGATGCTGACCGCGATGGCCCGGACAGGTATCTCATGTTCTCCGCCTCAGCAATCGCCGCCAACACAATCATGAGGAGTATTTTCGGCGCCATCTTCCCACTCTTTGCTGTGAGTCAATCGTTGCCCTTCCATATCATCACTACAGCCCCAGCTGACTGCCTGCAACACAGACCTACATGTTCGAAGGCATTGGCATCGAATGGGGTATGACGCTCCTCGGCTGCGTAGCAGGTAAGTGCTGATGAGGACGGCCCAAGTCCTAGTCGCCTCCCTTTCCGGGGACCCAAAGTTGACTGACCTTCGATCAGCAATTTTCATCCCAATGCCGTTCCTGCTGTACAAGTACGGAAGATCGATCAGGGCACGCAGTAAGTTTGCGCCTGCGCCCGATCTGCAGCAGGATCGCCGTAGAGACGAGGAGAGTCGGATGCAGCGGTCAGAAGAGGAGAAGGGCGCGGCGAGTGGTGGCGAAGGCAGCAGTAGCAGTGGGAACGGAGCTAGCAATGAGAATGAAGAGGGGGAGAAGAAGATGGTTTGATTCCTTCTCCACCCACAGGGTTGCAGCGAGGGAGGCCCTGGATGAGATACGAATGCTTCCACGTTGACACGTTTGCTGGGTAGATATCTTCGACCGCTGCAAGACCACATGATTGCTGGCGCAAATTCAGTGCTTTGAAATTTCTCGCACCCATTCCCTCGCACGACGATTGAGAATCGTCAAGAAAAGCATCCACTCCGCCAACAGGAAGGCGATGAAGCTTAGCTCTTCGTCGTGCTCGGCCCACAGGAAGCCTTGCCAGACGAGCCAGTTGATCACGGGAGATGTGGTTGAGTTGAGCGACATGAAGGTAGCCTTGCTGCTGTCATTGTCGTCAAGTGTTCATTGTCGATGCTGACTCTAGTGGGATCGCGACATTCGGTGCTCCTAAGGGTCGCGCTGACGATGATCGGTTGGTTGTATTCGGGGAGAAGAGGAAACACGATAAGGCTATCTGTGAAGACGACAAAGGAGAGTTGGAACAGTACCATTCGCTTCGAGCTATCCGCTCACGCTCTTTGTTCGTTCAACGATGCTAACGACTTTCACAAGCAACATCATGTGACCTGAAAAGCCGTTGTTGAATGGTGTTGCTGTTTGATATGCTTCGCGAATCAGTTCTATCGCAGTCCACCATGTTCGACATTCAGCATTGTGACCATAAGCCCACCCTCCATGTGATGTCCGCGGGAACGTAAATTGTAGATGTGATGTGGAAAAGATAGAATTGTCAGAGGTGTTGTTGGCATGCCTTCCAACCCCTGCACCGAGACCCTTGCTTGCTTGCTCGCTTGTCTCTGCGGGCATCCAAGCATCCATAAATCATTCAATGCCGTGCACATTAAGCCTGCGCCTGACCTGATATGCATACAAATTGCCACTCCCCAATGGGAATTCCCTAAGATCAAGTTGTCCTCGTGGTGATGGCGGTATCTGCATACGAGAAGCTGGACCGGCCTAACGATGACACCTCCGGGTCAGAAGGTGAACATTATGTCTCAAGAACGTCGGAGGATGTGCGGCAACACGATCGGGAGACGCTTAACGCTGAGGAGGAGGCGGAGCGGCTATTAGTCGGCGATGGCTCAGGAAAGTCGCAATGGGGGAGGAAGAAGGAACAGAGAAAGGACAGGCGACGGCAGAAGGGCAGAGGCGGCGAAGAAGCAGAGAAGAGGGAGCTGATGTATGAGATGGAGGAGGGCGGCCCGAGGAATAGCAGTACAGAAAGTATAGGCAGCTCGAGCGAGGGTGACATGCAGCGGTTGGGCGAGGTGCAGTCACGGAGGAAGGTATGATATGGCCTGAAGTACAGCATAGAGATGGCAGTATGGCTGATCACGTTACAGACCAGTCGCACCAAACGCTGGACTGCAATCTCTCTGATCCACGTTGTCATTATTGCTGCCTTTCTCGCACTACTCTATGGAGCCTATCGGGCGACTCAGACCTCGACCAACAGTCACCCATCCACTTCAATCGCCCAGACACTGTTTAATGGAACCCACACCTTCGCGCCCACGACCATTTTCCTATCCCTCGACGGCTTCCGCGCCGACTTCCTCAATCGTGGTCTCACCCCAACCTTGAACGCCTTCATGCGCACCGGTGTCTCTCCGGAATACATGAATCCATCCTTTCCTTCTCTCACCTTTCCGAACCATTTCACGCTTGTTACCGGCCTTCATCCGGAGTCTCATGGAATCGTAGGCAACACTTTCTGGGATCCAACCACCGAGAAGGAATTCTATTACACGGATCCTGCCAGGAGCATGACCCCGGAATGGTGGAATGCTGAGCCCATCTGGGTCACTGCCGAGCAGCAGAACGTGCGGTCTGCAATCCACATGTGGCCCGGTAGCGAAGCGCATATTGCGGGAGTAGAGCCCGAGTATGTCGATGAGTTTGACGCGGACGAAAAGTTGGGACGGAAAGTGGACAGGATCTTGCATTGGCTCGACATGCCGGGTGACCAAGATGTCGAGCACAGTGGAAGTGGGAAGGCTAAACAGAAGCGGCCACAGCTCATCGCAGCTTACACGCCCAATGTAGACGCGGACGGCCACAAGTATGGACCGAACAGCACTTACATCCGCTCCACGATCGCTGAAGTCGACGGCATGCTTGGTGCCCTCTTCAAAGGCATCGATGAACGGAACCTGACGAACATCGTCAACATCATCGTCGTCTCCGATCACGGCATGGCTACGACCTCGACCAACCGGCTCGTCCAGCTTGAAGATCTCGTTGACACGAGCCTGATCGAGCACACCGACGGCTGGCCGCTCTACGGTCTACGGCCCTACAAGCGCGACGATGCCCAACTCATCGAGCTTTACAACCAGCTCTTCGCCAAGTCCAAGCTACCCAAATATCGAGATGCCTTTGATGTCTACCTCCGTGACAAGAACATGCCCGAACGCTATCATTTCCACACAAACCCACGCATCGCTCCACTTTGGATCATTCCCAAGGCTGGCTGGGCTATTGTCACCAAGGACGAATTCGACATTGCTGCTGCGAAGAAGCATGACGATGTCTATCACCCTCGAGGACTGCATGGCTACGACCACGAACACCCACTCATGCGAGCGATCTTTGTGGCTCGAGGTCCGGCATTCCCTCATCCAGAAGGCAGCAAAGTGCGCGCTTTCCAGAATACAGAAGTGTACAACATTGTTTGTGATTCTCTTGGTATTGAGCCGCAGCCCAACAACGGCACGCTGAGGCTGCCATTTACGACGGAAGGGAAGCATGACTTCATTTCCGTGCCGGAAGAAGTCGACGACCTTCCGGCTGACGAGACTGACGACGACGAAGATACGAGCGACGGTGCACCGCCACCAGAAGTCCCAAACCTGAACAACCCAACACCACCCCATCTAGGTTCGCCTTCGCCTCCTGAAGCGACTAAGCTCGGCCCAATCGAGGCCTTTCAGCCAATACCGCCTGATGTGCCAGCGAGGCCAACAACACCCGAGCGACCAGAGAAGCCTGAGCGGCCTGTTGTTCATGATGGCGGTGATCCAGATGCAGAAGACGCAAAGGGCTGGTGGGAGTGGGTGAAGCAAGAACTCGAGAAGCTGAAGGGGTTGGCGAAGGATAAGTTTGGGCATAAGGATGATGGGAAGGAGAAGAGCGATGGCAAGAAGAAGAACATGGAAGAGAAGGAAGGGAAAAGTGGTAACGGGTGAAGGTCCGCTCACGATCTGTGGAACACATCGTCTACAACAGCAGTACTGCCATGCTGTGACAAAGCTCCCAAGCGCTACTCACTCTTGGACTGCAGCACCCCGTCCTGCTTGCAGAAGAGCGGACGTTGCGTTCGGAACGTCGACGACTCGGCCTTCCATCAGAGCGCCAGGCCTACTGTAGATGGTGGTGGATACGTTATTCCAGGGAGCCGCTGAAGATAAAGAGGCGGCGAGCCTGGACCTGGCAGAGAGCGATACATTGGCAAACTGCTGACAGTGAAAACGGCCAGCCGGACATGTCTAGCATTTTCTCGCAAATTCAAATGTACCCGAGAAGGCCACATGACTCCAGTCGGTAAGCTGTCACTGTCTGCGAGAAGATCCATACACTGCTCACTCCGCCTTGGCTGACCGATTTTACTGTCGGCAGCTTGGTTGGGTACAGAGAACAATGGTGCAGCCTAGGCTGAAGTACCTGTGTTCAAGCAGAAGGCTTGCAATGAGTGCATTATGTCGTTACACGTAGCTACATCTGCACATCAACAATAAACATGCACATGAGAGTGACTCTCTCTCAAAGCCCAATGCGAGCACCTCACTTCTTGGCAGCATGCCACTCATCCACCCAAGCCTTCACGAAGTGGACCTCCTGCTTTTGTGCGTTCTTCACCGCTGGCGGAGGTAGCCTGGGTGTGGTCTCGTTCGGGAACCGCCCATTCTCGTCGTAATGATGTAGTGCTTTAGGAATAAGGATGAAAGGCTCGGTCGTCGTGCTGACCCGGTGGGGTGCGCCGTATTCTGCGAAACTTATTAGTATATGTCTTGTGGAGAGGTACGGAACGAAGAAAGGAGGGAGTCATACGATAAGCATGCGGCGTAGCCGGCCTCCAAGGATCCCACTGCCCATCGATAAACGCCAACCTGCTGTGCGAAATCTCATAGCCACCGTACTGATTCGCCTCCTCGACATCCGCTGGGTGATGGATATCAAAAGCGAATCTGCACACCGCGCTAGTGTACTCGATGTCAATCGTTCTCGAGATAACGGGCATCTGGTTTCTTGGTACACCGGAACCGGTCTGAAGATATCCCCACTCAGAGCAATACTGATAAGACCAGGACCTCCAGACGGACTGCGCCTGCCCAGTCTCTTGGTAGTGAGATTTGATGAGGGTGCTGAAACATTCGTCCTGCGTTTGGTCCTCGCCGCAGTACTTGACGGAGTTCTCGTAGACCCAGCCGATGTAGTTGAGGAGCTGGTTGACGACGGTGGTGTTGCTCTCGTAGCCGGTTGCTTCGAGCAAGGAAGCTGCGTCGGAACGCTTAGACTCTGTGTGTGGGTATAGGACGTCTGAGGAGGTGATGTTGTTGCAGTAATCGTAGAAGCCTGTGTCGCTGACTTCGGGATCCCAGTTGAGACTCTGCCACAAGCCGACACCGCTTGCCAGTTGGTTCCCGAAGTCACCATTATGAGTAAGATTGGGCAAATTGAACGTAGCTTTGAGCTTGTGGGTCAGCGTTGTGTCGTCGGCTTTCTTGATGAGGATGGTGTCGACCATGTCGGTGAATATCTTTTGCGTAGCCATAGCAAACGCAGGTCCGTATTCAGCAACTGGTGCGTAGTACTGCCAATAGTCATAGATAGCTTTCGTCACCGCAGACGATCCGATCGAACCCCAGAAGACATCCGGATACTTGACTCGCAGGAAAGCAGAAATAGATCCTGGGTATGACCCGCCATAGCTGATCCAGGGGGTGCACCCTGAGGTTAGATTCTCCTTCTCGTGCCCCGGAAAAACAACATTGGTGGCAAAGTACTTCACATCCTCAAGGGCTTGCTCGGTTGTCAAGAAGCGTAGGTCCGTGGTGTTGAGGTACCGCGTGGGAAAGCTGTAGCCGTAGTAGCGGTGCTCGAATATCACAGACATGCCGCCAGTAGCCTCAGCGAGGTCGGCAAGGATGCCCTTTTGCATGTAGGGAAGACGGTTAAGACCATTGGTTTCGCCGCTCTGCAAGATGATGACAGGTCCGCCAGGCTTGTAATGCGAATCGTCAAACCAGTACCGGTTCTTGTATGTGTGTTTGGTGTGAGGAGCATATTTGGCCTTGTTCGGGAAGTGGTCCACAGGCATGTCGAAGTATCTCTTGGGGTACAGCGATTCTGGGTCGACGTCTCGGCGGGCGAGGTTTGCCTCAGCCTATATGGCGTTAGCATATGGCACCATCATGGCTTCTCGAGACACCAATATCCTACCTTGGCTACCTCTTCCTTGAAGTCATGAATAGTCCTGCCGCCACTTCCAATCCGCAGACCCATGTTGATTGCATTGGCGCCACCCATAGCGCACAACGCCAGTGCGAGCTTCTTCAATAGCGAGCCCATTGCTGCTCATCCGGCTCTTCGTGATGGAGTTTGAGATGAAAGTAGAAGAGAGATGTATAGTCGTGCCTACCTCAAGGCGCAGCGGGTGGCCGGTGTCTTTAAGAGGCAACAACCCCAGTGCTACATCATAGCATGAATTGTTCTACGCTCGTTGTGGAAGGTCGTCGGATGGCCCGCTACAACGACGCTATCTGCGGCCTGCGCTCTATCGAGACGCACAGTGGGCCGCTGCAGGTGATGTAACATCGACTGGACCCCGCAGAGTCCGTCGTACAATTATCCTGGCTTATTCGCAGAAAGTAAGGACATGAGGCTTTGAACTCGAAACACCACAAGACTGCCATGTAATCACTCGCCTCTCGCCCAATCCGCGACATGGTGACATGCAATGCGATGTGATCATGACAAGTTGATGTGAGACGGCGAGAAGAAGCATCCCACATCCCTGCCTCCTCGTCGACCCCGGAAAGCTTGGTCGATCTTCACGCGCTCGGCACGTTATCTGAGCCCGATGTTAGCCTCGAGTTCTATACAGCATTCTCCAAGAACGGGACGGACGGGATCTGAGCTTATCATGACCCCCACGATGCGATAACGGCAGCGAGAAGAACAACATGTCGCTGCGGGCCAATGCCGACACCGCCTCCATCCTCAGCTACCAGTCGCGCGCCCCTACAGTAGCCACCTCGCGCAATGCCCAGCTCTTTACTCTCGACACCTTCAGCAGCAAGGACTTTATAGTAAAGGACTTCATCGAGACACTCTCCGAGAATGCGCAGCCTACGCGCCGCTCCACGGGGCAGTCGACGAACCAGCAGACGGCATTCGACCCGAAACCGCTCATTCGTACATTCGAACATGCTCTGTCGAGGCTCAAGACGCTCAGCGAGGACCTGGAGCTACGAGAAAATGAGCTGAGCGGGAGCGTAAGACGGGCTGAGGGCCAGCATAATTCCAACATCAAGTCGCGCGAGCGGGAGCTTGAGCGGGCGATAGACAACTTCCACCGCTTGGAAAGGACACTGGACGGGGAGGGAGATGCTGGTGGTAATGTTGCTATGCGGATAGGCGAGAGGCTAGAAGAGCTGGATAAGCAGAGGCAACGGGCGCAGGACGCCAAGTTTGTACTGCAATGCTGGTTGGAAGTAAGCGAGAGGGGTGATTTGGCAATGCTGGAGGATGTGAGGAGGACGGGCGGCGGAGATGGAAAGGTGCGCTGTGCGCATATTGCTCGCCAACTGCTACGGATATCGCATCGACTGGATCCATCTGGAAACAGGAACAGCGGCAATCCTCAGACGAACGGTGTACACTTTTCCAATGGCGTGAACGGCGACCATGATGAAGGCTACCAAAATGGCTACTCAAGGAGCAGACGTGGTGGCCAGCAGCCTCGCGAGCTGATTGAGAAGTTTTTGGAGAAGTTGGAGAAGGATCTATTGAAATCCTTCGATGACTTTTATCGAAGGCAGAACTATGATGGCATGCGAGAGTGTGCCCTAGCGCTGCGCGACTTCAGCGATGGCAACAGCGTCATCAGTCTCTTTGTCAACCAGCATCAGTTCTTCATCGACCGGGCCCAACTTGTAACGGAAGACTTGGCCACAGACACCGACATCTGGGATCGGCTTGCGGATCCAGATACAGAGCCTCCGGGAGTGGAACCAACCCTTCAGAGTCTGATAGATGAAGTCAAGATTGTGACTCAGGAGGAAAGCTATATCCTCAAGCGAGCATTTCCGTACTATGAGGAAGTGCTGACTCGCTTCGTTCAGCGAGTCTTTCAGCAGAGTGTGCAGCAACGACTCGAGATGGTGCTGAATAAGGCGGACAGCATCTCAAGTTTAGCATTTCTGAGAGAACTTCAAGCATGCAGATCGTGCATCGCAGGACTAGTGGAGGACCTTAAAGCCCATGGCTTGACTGAACATCCAGAGCCGGCATCTTCAGTCATTGCGGCTGTGCTCGACCAGCAGCTGGACGAACTCTTCGTGCCTTACTTTACGGGCTCATCTTACATTGAGCGGGAGAAGCGCAACCTTGGGGAGCTGTTCGAGGGTTTGCTTTTCAAATTCACCATGTACCACTCGCGCAGGCGGAAGATGAATGCTTCGAGCAACGCGTATCTTGCACGTGGGAAAGAGTTGATGAGCAACGTAAGGGAGAATTACATTGACAGACTCAATAACATGGATCTACCGACTGGTCAGAAAGCGATCATGCTTCGACTAGCTGGCATGCACGACAAAGAGCAGTCGACTACCCAGAAGGAGATCGACATCACTGAGGAGGATGGCCAGCTCAGCCTACCGTACACGAAGCGAATGCTGAAATGGCTCGCAGAAGGCGTGGGACGAGGTCTGGAGCTTGCGGGCGGCAGCAACGAGACTCCGAAAGAAGTGCAGGAACTACTTCATCTCCTCATTGCCAATATGGGCGAGATCTACCTCGAAACGGCACTTGACGCAATGTCCGACGCAGCCACGACCGCCGAACAAAACACTCGATCAGAACCTGACCTCAACTACATCGCCGATCTACGACCAGCCATCAGCGTGCTTCACCTTATGCTCACCACCATCCAGCTACTCCTCCTCCCACTGGCAGCAAGCAACCTCACCATCCGCCGCGACCTCGAAAAGCAAACCTCCACCTTCATCACCCGCATGGAAACCAAAATCGACAGCATCCTCCAACGCACCATCGACGCCGCCCTATCCTGGACCGCACGTCTCCTCTCCCAACAGAAAAAGACCGATTTCCGCCCCAAAGACGACACAAACCTGCAGCTCGACCGGCTCCAAACGCCCACTTGTCAAAGCATCTACACCTTCCTCTCTCGCCTCCACACCCGCGCCCGCACCGCCCTGTCCGCCGGCCGCGTGCTCGAATCGTTCAGCCTCGAACTCGCCGTCGGCGTGCGCACATTACTCCTCAACCACTTCAAATCCTACCAAGTCTCCCCCACTGGCGGTCTGATCGTGAGCAAGGACATCACGCGCTACATCGAGCTCTTCAAGGCCTGGGATCTGGATGCGAGTTTTGAGCCCAGTCTAGAGGTGTTGACGGAGATTGCGAGTATTTTCGTCATTGGGCCGGAGGCGCTGCGGGATCGATTGAGGAGTGTTGGGGTGGTGGGACAGGGCACCGCGGCGGGTCTGGCCGGGGTGGAGAAGGGGGATTTGAGGCCGTATGTGTTGAGGAGGGAGGATGCGGGGACGGTTGGGGTGCAGGCTGTGCTGAGTGGGTTGTGAATGAGACGACGACTGAAGGAAGTCTTTCGAAACGTTTTACCTTATCCAGCGCAAGAATTGCGAAATGGAGCATCGTGCCTCACGCTGTTTCGGAGAACCTTCCATACTGTTTCTCTTCTCATAGACTGCATCCATGACTTTCAATCGCATTGTGCAGCTTTATTCGCTGTTGTAGGGTGTCGATCAGTTGCCTGCGCTAAGCGCCCGCTTCGCTCGCTGTTTCCGCGCGTTTGGTCCCGTCTTGAACCTTGTCCCTGCTACACTTCTCTCCGCCATCTGACACTTAAGAGTTGAGGTGCCAGACCGCTTGTATCGCTGCGAATAATCTGACCAAGACTGGACTGTGGGAGGTAATTTTCGTTTGCACCTGTGCAGCAACACATTGTGGTCCTTGCCCGGCTGAGCGCCGTTCGACTGTCTCGCCATTGCACTAAAACTGGCTGTACGCATGTCGACCGCAAGACCTCATCATGGCCGGACTCAGCGAGCAAATCGAAGCACTGGGCCAGGAGTACAATCGGCTCGAAGAGCGCATCACGGAGCTCGAAAGAACGAATCCAAACGGCAAATCTCACTCTCACGATCTCCAGTCACTGTCCTCAAAGTTGCCACTCGCCCTGGCCTCTATCCACCACATCGCGCAGGAACTCATCCATCGCCTCGGAAATGGCGACCAGCTGAGCCTGACGATACAAGCCCAACTGCAGGCCTCTTTCGGTGCTGAACTCCACGCTGGCGTCCCTCTCGCCAAACGCACACTACCCACGCCCAGCCTCTCGGACGCAGCAACCAAACGGAAGAGCACCGAGAGTACTGAGGGGTTCGACAGACCAGCTAAACGCCCTCGCGGACGTCCACCTAAGAACGGGGTGTATGCTCGCAAGCTGAGCACGGATTCTTCAAGCTCCAACTCGGCCAAGGAGAAATCGACAGACCTCAAGCAAACCACTCCCAAGGTGAAGAAGCCACTCGGCCGACCGCGGAAGAGCGTTGCCACGCCTCCACAGCAGACCTCCAGAAGGACCACCGGCTCGGATGCTAGCACTGCCCAGGATGTGTCACTGGCGTCCAACAAAGCGGCACCTTCGAAAGCGAGCGATGCGGATGTGACGAAGACGAAGGAGAATCGTACTCCGGCCAAGCAGAGACACGAAGACACTACTCAAGACTACATCGACAGTGGGATGGACGTTGATGATGAAGGCGAAAGGAACGCATCTGTCTCCATCCCGCCCGAGCGCCGCAGTACTCGTACGCCAAAGCCGACGGAGAAGGCAAATTTCATTAGCTGGAAGCAGTACAATGAGATGCAGTGAGGGATCTGTTAGCTGTGTTTCCAATGAACATCGTGCGCGATGGTATTTCTAGCGAAGGCGCTCAGGAGCTTGGAGTCTGTATCACGCATCGCGTATGGGTGGGCTTATGGCTTGATGTTTCGGCATTTTTGAATGGGTGGAGAACCCGTTCAAAAGGAGTTGCTGGCGGATGGCGAGATTTGTGCAAAGTGTACATCGGTGAATGTCGGTTGAGTCCATATTCACTGGTGATGTTTAGCGAGCGGAGGCTGGACATCGGAATGCGGCAGTATGGTTTATCGACAAGGCGCCAACCATATGTATTCATACAAAATATCATAACCATCCAGTCAACCTCTGCGAACTTCCTTCCCTCCTTCAATTCATTTATCGACCCCACCCAAACAGGAAGGAGGTTTACGTAAGCAAAGCCTTGCATATCCAAATCCAAACTCACATCTCAGCTCCTTCTTCCTTCCCTCTCACGATGTCAAGTCCACCACCCAAAATTAAATCTGGACACAGTCGTCACGAAACAGCATTGATACACGGACTTTCCCAGTCGGAGGTCCAGAAGCTGTCGGAATCATGCATTGAGGCGAAGTCGCGGGCTTATTGTCAGATATCCCTATCTTTGGATCTCGAGCAACCATGCTGATGAAATTTGCAGGCCCATATTCCCACTTCCGAGTCGGTTGCTCGATCCTGCTCGCGGACGGCACGGTAGTGCAGGGTGCAAATGTTGAGAACGCAGCGTATCCCGTCGGCACCTGTGCGGAGCGTGTGGCGATGGGGACAGCTGTTGTTCAGGTAGGCTGAAGTAGGACACTTGAACCTAAGGACTCGATCTAACACTGTTTCAGGGAGCAAAGAAAGGCGATATCCGCGCGATAGCAGTTGCAACCGACATCAGCCCTCCTGCGAGCCCTTGTGGGATGTGCAGGCAGTTTATCAGGGAGTTCTGCGAGGTGGGTGGAAGGCCTTTACGACTGATTCGGTATGTGGCAGATGCTAACGGCGCCTACAGCTCAACATGCCTATTCTAATGTACGATAACGAGGCACGGTCGACGGTGATGACGCTGGGACAGCTACTACCGATGAGCTTTGGGCCCGAGAAGTTGAAGACGACCGATGAGGTTGAGCATGGCTTATCGCAATAGCGGAGCGTACTTTGTGTGCTCGGGAGCGTGCTGCGACTGCGTTGTTGTTGAGCGTGGAGCTAATTGGGGATGCACGTTCGAGACAGCCTGCATAGACAGGCGTTCAGAGGGTCCATGACAAATTCCAGGTACTGCTCGATGTCCGCCGGGTCACATTCCTGCAGCCGTGCTGCCCTGAAAAGCTTCTGTTATACGTTCCCTTATACACCTCGCACGCATGGAGTGAACATGGAGTGAATTTACAAATGCATGTTGACGTCATTCCAAAGCCGGTGAAAGTGAAATCAAAGAATCGCCTCCCACTTGCGACTTTCCTTCTCTCAAGTACCAACCGTACAGAAAGATGAGGAGAAGCGCAGTATCAACAGCCCGGCAAGCCGCCTACAGCACTCGCCATGTGTCGTCTACAACAACATCCCAGGCGCCCTTCGTATGCGCAAGATGCCAGAGGACCGCCTTTCGGAGGGCAACATACCAGTCTGCTTCGTCGCAACGACACTTATCAGTAACACCACTCCGGCGACAGGAGGCATCTGCAACCGAGCCACCTCCACCGCAACGAGAGTCCATCCTACCACAAACCCACTTCGACTTCTTCCCCAACACCTTCCCTAACGGACCACCCCCCAAGTCACCCTTCACACCGGACCTCCAAGCCTTGCGACGCGAATTCCTACAGATACAAGCCAAGTCGCACCCTGACATGGCCCCAGCGAACCAGAAACGGCAAGCAGAAGCCCTCAGCTCCCGCGTCAACGAAGCCTACAAAGCGATCCAGGACCCACTGAAGCGCGCACAGTACCTACTATCACTGCGCGGCATAGACGTGGAAGACGAGAGCGCGAAGCTAGCAGAGAACGAGCTGCTGATGGAGGTCATGGAGGCGCGGGAGGCGGTGGACGAGGTGGAGAGCGAGGAAGAGCTGGGCAGTATACGAGACGAGAATAATGCGCGGATAGGGCAGAGCGTGGAGGTATTGGAGAAGGCTTTTGCAAAGGATGAGATGGAGCGGGCTGCGCAAGAGGCGATACGATTACGGTATTGGATGAATATTGAGGAGAGTATACATGGGTGGGAGAAGGGGAAGGGTGGTGGGGTGATTCATCATTGATTGGAGAGGTCATCGATTATGGATACGAAACGCTTATACTTCTGTTCCATATGTGCATCAGATCTGCCCGCGATTTGCACTGCCTTTGATGAAGCCGTGGAAGTCGGGTAAGCGTCGGGCCTGAGTAAGCTGAGCATCGCGACCGCATCCTCATGCATGGTGATGCGTTATAAGGCTATGCGAAAGGATGCGTCCGCAAGGACATCCGCGCGAACAAGCACTGGTTTTCCGGTCAATCCTCAACACGCTTATAAAGCCAAGAGCATTCGTCCTCCGACCAGCTTGGCGCGATTGGCATTATATCATCAACAACACATCGCACATCTTGTCAACCATCAGCCCAGTCTGAGTGAACATCGCTGAACGCTTCGCAACACAACTCTCAATATGGCCGACCGATCGCTGTACGAAAAGCTCGAATCGAACGCGAAAGCGTGCATTCATTCAATGCGAACAGCCACGAAAGGCTCCAACGATCCAGATCCTGATGCGATTCGATCCCACCTACACCCCGACTGCTACGCGGACTTCGGCCACTCCTTCTTCGTCTCCACGTCCCCTGGACTACAAGGCAAGGCGCCAGGAGAAGAGTGGGTTACTCGTCTCTGCGGGATGGCGTCGAAGATGAAGACATACACGATGGAAGTGATGAATACGTGCGTAGACGTGGAGCGACGGACGGTGGTGATGCGGGTGGAGCTTCACATGGTTCCCAATCACGCAGAGGAAGTTGTGAATGATGTGGTGTTCTGGTTGCGTCTGGATGACAATGCGGAGCAGGTGCTCAGCATTACTGAGTTTATCGACCCCGTGGCCAGTGGAGAATTGGCGAAGAGGATGCAGGTCGGACCCGGGGGATCATGAGGTAGCGGAGGAGGTTCAAGCTGTTCAGCAGAGATGAGGTGTTCATGATTTTGTGACCGTATAATGAGCCTATATGAGGAACGGACGTATCCTTACCAGTACCCTATCGAAAGTACTCGTGCAGCTTCACCTCTGCTTCCTCCATCTGCTTCTGGAGTCGTGCCTCGCTATTATGCAGACCCGTGTTATAGCCACATGCACGCCTCTTCCCTGCTGCGCGATGCTATAAGCGATGTGCTGCTATAGAAGCGTCGGAGTAAGGTGCGAGCTCGCAACCATGCGAACCATGCATGCGAGACAGCGAGCCGATCAACATATGTATATCAATCAGGTATAACAAACAGCACGCGACATATCGCAATGACCGCGGGTCGCGTACACAGCTCGATCGCCTGATCATGTCCACGCGTCCAGTATATAATGTATTGATGAGTCGTTGAGCGCGACACGGCTAGATCGGGATGCCGATACTCTATCGGTCGCAAGCACGGCCAGCATCCAGGCAGTGCGCTGTCGAAGCAATAAAGCCGGGACAACAGGCGCAAGGGGACATGCAACCACCGCCGGTCTCGTTCGCAGTCGCTGTGGAAATGATCCGCCGGCTCGCAGGGCAGTCTCTGCGGTTCTGCTTTGTTGTTGGCCACGCAACGGTGGGATTCTGGTTGAGATGGTGGTGGCGGGTTTGTGCTACGTCAGCTATTCTTGAACAATGTGTTAAGTCTGGGAATGTGCTCAGCCTCCCAGCCTTCGTGCGACAGCGGTTGCGCGTTCTCGACGGGGGCGGTTTGGGGAGCAAGCGAATGAAGAAGCTTTTGCCACGATCGGCCTGCGATGCCTGCAGCGCTAACCGTTGGCTAGCCCTGTTCCTGAAACTTATCGCTTTAGGTGTTGGCAACGGCGGGACGGCGGTTGGAGGAATGAGGATGCGTTGGACTAGCAAAACGCTGCATGCTAGCAGGTTCCTGTGCTCGGAGAGGTGTCACAGTTGCGCGTGAATCATCAGCGTTGGATGTTTGCCTTCGGACAACAATCATAAAAGCGGACGTTGAGCGCATGAACCGTGAATACAAAGATTTAGACTTTACCCCGGAAACAGAAGTGGGTCCCAAGGTGGCTTAGTGGCCGAGCGCTAGTGCAGCCATCCTGCAAGGGCAGAAGCGTTGTTGGAAAGGGGACTCATCACCTTTTAAAACCTGCAACTGTGCCCTTCTGCTTCCCTCCTTTCACATTCCACCACTCGCCTTACGCTACACCATCGTTCACAACACGAACATAATACAACAAGCACCACTCACTCCGACTATCGACAATACCCTATTAATATCAACCACCACAACACCGTCAACATGAAGACCACCTTCGCCGTCGCCGCCTTCGTGGCCGCCGTCTACGCACAGTGAGTCCTCGTCGCATGACGCACACAAACACCACGCATTTGCTGACTTTTCACCTTAGGGGCATGCCCGCCAACGAGTACACCGACGGACAGCCACAGGTCCCAACTGGCTCTGCTCCCGCCGCCTACTCGACCGTCGCACCAGTCTCCTCGGCCGCGCCAGTGACTTCTTCCGTCGTCGCTCCGGTCTCCTCTGCTGCGCCAGTCTCGTCGGTCCCAATCGTCAGCTCCGTTGCGCCCGTGCCATACCCAGTCCCCGCCGGCAACTCCAGCGCCGTCGCCGGCCCCACTGGCACTGGCAAGGCCACCCTCCCCGTCACCAAGCCCACCATGGCTACCAGCGGCAAGCCCGCGCCAAGCGAGGCTGCTCCCAGCGCGTCTGCTCCAGCTGCCACTGGCGCGGCCGCCGCTCTCCAGATCGGTGCCGGCGCTGCCTTCGCCGGTCTCATCGCTCTCTTCGCATAAGCGACCATTGTTCTTCGGGAGCCTCGCCGGTCTGGATATCCGACACAACAACTGCTGGAAGGAAGGCGGCATGGCATGAAGGATAGTGGGTTTCGGCAACATTGATTCATTAGCAACAGCATTTGGGTGGCGCTGGGATTGAATCAGCTTCGACTATTAATGGGTATGCATTGACTCGCGACAGCAGAGTCTTTGCATGTGTTGCAGTGGATAGTACGTTGAAATCAACAGTGGAATGAACCCAACCTTGTCTCATATCTCTTTCGTCATGTACTACCGTTCTCCTCGTACGTCTTCGACCTCACTGCATTCTGTAGCTCTACCACTCTCTTCTCTGTTCCTCTTGCTATGTCTCTTACTCCTGTAACGAACAGCAATGTCGACATCCAACGCACGCTCATGCTCCTGAGCATCCGGATACAAGTAGCACGCATCCGAGAGTCCACGCAGAAGTTGTGAACTGGCAATAGCTATGAGATCCTGCTTCCTGACGATTCATACGAACGTACTCCCACGCCGTTCATCCAACCCATCACTCACACTTCCGCCGAGCCGTGTGATAAGACGAAGTCTTCCACTGAAGGAGGGCAATAAGACAAGAGGGCGACAACCAGACATATGGATCATGCCAACGGAAGCTAGAGAGTACCACGAACAAACACAAGCTTCCGCCCAGCAGGTCCTAGTAGGCTTGCTCAAGTGTACGTACGACCTTGAACTCCACCTCCCTCGACTTGCCGTCACGACAATGGAGATCGTGGTATACCGTGTTGTACGCCGCAGCTCAAGTTCGCTCTGTGAGCATTGAGCGTCAGCGACAATATAGCTCCTCCTACCTCACATTACGATGCTCTTGGACTTCTGCTCGACCTGGTGTATGCGTGGTCAAGCCTGGGGTCGGTGTTGTGCTGGAGTACATGTAGTTCGCTACACTGGACGAGTCCTGTTGACAGCCGAAGATGGGCGCAGGACGCTTGTCCACCTCGCTGCCATCACATCCACATCGCGTGAAGGCCCTCTAGCATCAGCAGGATGTAGTAGGAACAACCTACTGAATACAATCTCGACCGAGGAAGCCGCTCGAAATCTCTGCGGGAGTAAGTAAATCGTGGCGATGCAGGGTTCTAGCCAACGTCTCCAGGATTTTGGTGGATCTCTTTTCACTCTGATCCTTTCGGCCAATCACATGCGCAAATCGCAGCACGTTTTTGACCTCACCTCTTCCCACCGCTCGCCCTTCAAGATTTTCATCGCGCGGTATGCCCGGCAAAAGCAAGCCAGAAGAACGATGGCTCGGATTGACACTTTCGGCGCTCGCCATGTGGCCGACGGTGGGTTTGACTTTCCTCTCTATCTCCTTCGCACCATCCTCATCCTTCATCTGTTCTGTCAGTCTCGTATCTTGCGCCTGGAGCAGGACAGAAGACATACCATACAGCTCATACAGGTCCAATACCAATCTCTCGGCGCCTTACCAATTCTTTAGATCTGGTTGACGCATCACGACAGTGCGACAAAAACCCTGGACCAATCAACCGTCGACTAATCCAACCCACGAGCATCGATTTTGGTAGGGCTCGCAGCCACCCCGGCCGCCCAAGTCTTGACTTTCTGGCCAAGCATTTGCCTATCAAAAGCCAGCTCGTCATCGGCAGGAGCAGTAGTCCATCCGTCACTTCCGTCTGTCGCCCAAAGCTTTCCATCAAGCTATCGCAAGCCTCCGTGGCGGCCATTCAAGACCCGGCGAAGAAAACGTGGTGGGCGGAGACGGCAGGTAAGCAATCCCGCAGCACCACCACACCCTGCAGGATCAGCGTTCACCGGCTAACGAGCAAGGTCCACGTTGATCTCATCTTACTTCCGCAGCATCGAGCTATATATTCTTAAGCTCGCAGAAGGTCAAGCTTCTTGATCAACCTTTGCCAAGGTCTTGACATCTCTTCTTTGTCTCGGCGCCTGCTCTTGAGCATTTTCATAATGGCGGCAGATCATTCTATGCGCGACTACGGTCTGGCTGCACCTCACGGGCCGAACTTCACCGGCCAGCATGTTGCTACGGCCAACCTTGACGACATGAAGGGCGACGAGGCATCCGTCTTCCGAAACCTGTTATTGCCAGACGACAGCTACGACGAGAATGGCACATACTGGGCGGACATGCCGCTCGGCAAGCGCATCTCCTTCATCAACAAGGTCAACAACGCCGAGAGCGCCAGCGAGCTGCGAACAATTGGGCGGATGATCAAAGCCGATCCGCTCAGCCCTGTCAGCTACTACTTCCGCAATATGGTCATTCCTGGTATGGGACTTTTGTTAGAAGGGTGCGTTTACTCTCCTTCCCTTCATCATGCATCGTCTTCTGACATCCTTCTAGATACGTCCTGTTCTCCATCGGAAATCTTGGTCCATTGTTTGAAGCTGGCTTCCCGGACTGCTGGGGCTCCCAGACTATTTGCCAGCCTGTATGGCAGGAAGCTGTGGCGTACCTTGAAGTCGTCGGTATTATTCTTGGCCAGATCCTGGTCGGCATCCTTGGTGACTGGCTGGGTCGCCGTTGGGGTCTGATCCAAGATGCTATTATCATGTTTCTCGGCCTAGTCATGCTCACTGCTTCGTGGGGTGTTACGATGAGTGAGTTGCAACAGCTTCTGGCACACCGCTTTTCATGCTGACCTCCTTGCAGACGGCTTCGTCATCTGCTATGCGCTATCGCTCATGTTCTACGGTGTTGGCGTTGGTGGCGAGTACCCAATGACTGCGACGTCAGGCATGGAGAACGCTGTCGGCTCTGGTAAGATCTCAACTCGGGACGACCGCCTGCACCGTGGCCGCAAGGTCACTTCCGCTTTCCTGATGCAAGGCTGGGGTCAGTGGTTCAACCAGGTCGTTCTCATCCTGTTGCTCCTCATCTTCAACTCCGGCAGCGGCAATCCTCCATACGACAAGGTCGTTGTGCAATGGACGTTCCGCGTCTCCTTTGCTATCCCGGCTGCGGGTACCCTTTGGTTGGTCTACTACAGAACCTACAAGATGAGGTCTGCATCCAAGCAGCTTATGGCAGCCAAGAAGAAGCAGTCGGTCACTGGCTACGACGTCAAGTCCCTCGGTCTCACCTTCACCTACTTCGGCCCACGCATCATTGCTACTGCCTTCGGCTGGTTCGCGAACGACGTGTTCTTCTACGGCAATAAGCTCTTCCAAAGCTCCTTCATCGCCGTCTTGAATCCCAACGCAGAAGGTGTGATGACGAATTGGCTCTGGAACTTGGCCAACATCGGCGTGGAACTCGCTGGCTACTACCTCGCTTCCTTCTTGATCGACCACAAGCTCTACGGCCGCAAGTGGATGCAGATTATCGGTTTCGCCGCCTGCTTCATCACCTTCGCCATTCCCGCCTTCCAGTACCACTACTATGCGGAAGGCCCCGGCATCCACTCCTTCCAGGCCATGTACTACCTCTCGTCCTTCTTCGGCCAGTTCGGTCCGAACGCTGTTACCTTCTTGGTCGCCGCTGAGGTCTTCCCGACACCAGTTCGAGCCTCCGCTCACGGCTTTAGCGCAGCCTGCGGCAAGCTTGGCGCCCTCCTGGCAGCTGTACTGTTCAACTACATCGACTCCCACACCCGCTTCTACGTCGTCCCGTGGTTCGGTCTTGTTGGCGCTATTGTTACATACCTCTTCCTACCCGACACCACCGGCCTCGACCTCAAGGAGCAAGAACGCCGCTGGGCCTTCATCCGCGCTGGCCGCGAGTCGGAGTACCACGGTATCGCCATCCACCCGAAGCATCTGTCCTTCTGGGAACGCATTCGAGGCGTCGGCAAGCACTACAACCCTGAGCTGGACTACCAGCAGCGTGTCGAGGAGATGCGCGCTGATTGGGAACAAGCCATGGCCCGCCACGCCCAAGAGAAAGAGGGTGCCGAGATCGACGAGGCGACTGACGACAGCTGGAGTTCTGAAGTCAGCACGTTCTTTGAACGTACTCGCGGGAAGGGAAATGGGTCCACACGATCGCCTTTCGTGCAAACGACCCAGGCCAACGGCGGTACGTTGAGTGAGAAGGAGAAGGAGAGTGATGAGGCTGCTCGTTAGACGCGATTTCCTCGCTTGCTGTGTACAGTTTGGGAAGGAGCGATATAGAGCGATATCATTTGTGTTTGGCCTTTGCTTGAAGAGGAGGCGAGAGCGGGCGCTGGCTGTGTAATTAGGCGTGCATAGACTGTATTCATGATGAGACGACGCGATGGTGTTACGTATTGCTCGATGTTCGGCATTTCTCTCGCAGTTGTACTTACCCTTCTGACTGCTGTAGCCCAGCAATTCGCACGTCTATACGTAGAGAAGAAGCACCAATTCAGCTGATCATGTGAAGTGTATAAAATTTGCCATGCCCAACGCCTCGCTAATCAAGGCAGCCGTATCTATGTGTCTACACCGAGCCATCAAATCTTGCTTCTCCTGTCATCTACCCCATCACCTTCCCAATCTGCGACTCCCAGTTCTCCGCCCTCTCGAAGCCGTTGGCATACGTCGAGTAATCCATCATCGCCTTCCGCACCTCGCTGGCGTCGTTCAGCACGAACGGGCCGTACTGAACGATCGGCTGATCGAGCGGCAAACCCGCGACGAGAATGAACCTCGCTGTCTCCTTGGCATCTGGTGCAACCTGCGCGATGACTTGGTCGCCCTTCTGCTCGAACACGGTGTTATGGTATTGCTTCACTTCCTGCGTTGTCGCCCCGGTGTCGAAGATTGTCGTCCCTTCGAGCGTGTACGCGAAGGCGTTCCAGCCTGCTGGTAATGGCTGTACGATCTTGCCGCCAGGTCGGATCGTGACGTCTAGTAACCACACGGGTGTGTATGCGAGCTCTTGTACGCTGTCGACGCCGTGGCTGCGGCCGGAGATGACTTTGACTGTGACCTTGCCGTCGTCAACCTCGGCGACTGGGATCTCTTTGGCTTTGAGATCGCGGTATCGTGGTTCGCAGTTCTTCAGGTCTTTGGGCAAGTCGACCCAGAGCTGCATGCCGACATTTGAAGTTCCGTCGCCATTGTCGTGCGGCATCTCTGCGTGCACGATGCCTCGGCCGGCTGTCATGAATTGGAGGTCGCCGGTCTCGATTGTGCCCTTGTTTCCGGCGAAATCTTCGTGGTCGACTGCACCGTCGAGCAGATACGTTATCGTCTCTTGCCCTCTATGCGGATGATCCGGGAAGCCAGCACCAACAGCAACATTGAAGTGGTCAAGCATAAGGAACGGTGTGAAGTTCCTGAGCTTTGGAGTGCCAATCGAGCGTCTCACGGTCGCACCAGCTCCCTCTGACTGCTCTCGCGCGAGGAGGACTTGCTGAATGCCTCGTGGCTTCGGTGAGACCGCATTGAGAGAGGGGTCTTCTGGTGGGATAACGGGCAGGCCGACGAAGGTCGAGTTTGGTGACATTGCTGAGAGTGTTCGGGTGGTGTTGTGTTGAAAGATCTTCGGGATGTTTTTCAACGCGTTCGTTCTGATCGCTTGCATATACTCGAGAAGTGTCTCTTGCTGGTAGTAGCTTGCCGTGACGATAGCGAAGATGCTCACAAAGATGGAGAGGAGAAGCCTCATTAGGAGCAGAAGTGGGTTCTTATAGTGAGAAGAGGAGATCCAGAAGGTATGAGAGACGGCTAGAAGGAAGAGGTGTGGTTACTTAGCTATTAGTATTGACTTTGTTCGCATTGAAACATAATTAACTGGCATTGAGCACGAGAGCAGCAAAAGTCATTCTTAAGCCGTTATTCAGCTAATGTCAGCGGGGCGCGAGGCTGTAGCACGTGACCTTCGCCGCACTCGGAAGGTTCCGCGACGCTTTTCAGGGTCTTCACTTCTTTCTGCAGGACGTACGCTCTCTTCTGCAGATTCTCCATCAACGCATGTATGTCCACACGGCATCCACGCGCACATCGACCAGGATGCAATTGCTGTGCCTAGAACAGAGTCACCATCGTAGGACCACTTGCCATTCTGGTATCGGGGCCGCGACATGGTAGGAGGTAGCTAGTCAGTCAGCGCCAGCTCCCCTCGAGTGATTACATTTCAGTAGGAAACCCGAGGCTGTAGGGTATCATTTCATCAAACCTCTTCCTGTATTCATAAGGTCACAGACGCTCTCTAGCGCTGCCTCAAAAAGTTCAACCCTTTCGCTCCACCAACGATGGCCGACGACAGCGAGCAGACAAGAAGACTCCTGCAAGACAGCATCGACGGCTACGGAAGATCAATGCCCACGACAAACTTCGATAACCCATTTGTCATATCGACGATCGTCGCCTCGGCCATGACCGAATCGGACACAAACCGGACAGCCAAAGCAACCTACGCGTTTATTGTCCCGGCAACGTACGTTAACAATCCTGGACCTGAGCGAACGACACATGGAGGCGCAATCGCCACATTCATGGACAACTGCACCAGCATTACCTTGATCGCATCAAAACGGTACTTTGGACAAGGTGTCACGAGGAATTTGAACGTCACCTACTTTCAGCCTGTCATAGCTGGAGAAGAGGTCTACGTCGAGACTGAGGTTCTCTCGATCAACAGGCGAGTCGCGACTATTCAAGCTGCGATGAGGAGACAGAGCGATGGAGCTTTCTTGGCGATGTGTATTCACGAGAAGATGAATCCAGAGAGGGTTGGGTCGAGAGCTTCTTCGCTATGAGGGCTCGTCAACGTATGACCCAAAGCCTCGTGACGACAACCACGTCTGTCTCTGTTCTCTCTTACCTGATATCAAACAGACCATTCTCCTGTTTGATCAGGTGTGTGCGATGAACGGGAACGCTCTCGAGTAACGATACTAGAGCAACAGCTTCGAGAAGTTCTCATTCGCTTAAAGCCAGTAGACGCTAACGGATGTTTGTTCGAGTGCTTGTGCGGCTTCCGTCTTTGAGACCTCACCTCTCCTGCAACCTTCAAAACCTCAAGCAACCAGCAGGATGTATAACAGAAAATGTTCTCAAGTTGCCAACTACGGTAGCATGCTTCTCCGAGTTCTACTGATTCGTGAGAATGGGCTGTCCATCTGGGCCGTGTGTGGGGAGGCTCGAGAGGCTTCACTAGCAGCAAGTTAGGTCTTATCACTCCTCCAATGACGTACTATTCAACTGGTTTCTCGTTAACATTTTACCTTTGGCACTGTCTTTCCGTGAACAATCGTCCAAAATATCTTGGAGTACCGAACTGCCTTAATTTGGACAATGCTGTTCCTCAGCTTAACCACTCTCCTGGCCCTATGGGTACCACTCATCCAATCTCAAGACCTCTGCCCAGTACCCAACCACTTCAACTACCACGACAATGACCCGCAAACCATCCGCTCATTCCAAGGGATCTACCACTCAAACTACAACGAGACCATCACCTTCTGCAACTTCAAGCCGAAATCCTTCGAGCTCAACTCATGGAACATCATTCCAGTGCTCGCGCAAACCCACTACGGCACTCATACGCCATATACGACCGTAGGCGCCGTTCTCACTGGTTCGGTCTACATCGCTGGCAATGGAAGCGTCGTCTGGAATGGCTTCGGGTTCAGCGCGACTGGGCCTTACAACTGTGCTTTTGCTCTGAACGAGAGCGGTCAGAGGGCTGAAGGGTACTATACCTATACGAACCAGAAGAACGGGAGTACCGAAGCTGGAGAGACGGGGCCTTGGAGGTTGAGGTTTCAGCGAGAGCCGACCTGGGATGAGTGCAGGCTCGTGTATCGGGGTTACACGGTCGAGGACTACGAGACGGGTTGTACTTCGAGCGGAACCCACAGCTAGAATTTAGACGTCTCGACTTCGATCCAGGCTGATGGAAGCTATTCAGGTTATGAGCGCTGTATATACAGCCCAACTCAAAAACTCCTAGGTCAAGACCATAGAAAACACAAAAATAAACCCATCAACAAGCTCATATGGACGGCAAAAGCGAGAAGCAAAACAGCAAAACGTACAGCAGGCGGAATTCCCGCATGGTCTCCCAATGCAGTACTAATCACCCGATTCACAGCTTGAGGAATGGCAGAGCGGACGGGATGCCCTATTTTCTGCGATCTTTGGCCGTACGTGAAGGTTGTTATCTCGTCATGCCTTATATTCTGTGCGTCAGAGTGACTCTATGGTAGGTGTGCGGTTTTCTTCGTTCGCCCGTGAGATCGAGTGGCACATATCTAGGACGTCCACACACGCCAGACCACATTTCAGTAGAGGAGACTTCATGCACCTGCCTGTCTCAATCTAGAGAGCAACGAACGACTTCCAAGGTTCAGGTTCATTAGCATAGCATATTCATCCGACTATCATCCAAGCTATCTAAGCCGGCTCCAGCCCGTAGCAAGAAGCCCCTTCCTACCGACCAGCGCCTCTTTTCTCCTCTCATGCAACAACACCTTTGAACCAGTTTGCGCCAAAGGGTTCTTGCGACCAACCTATGAAGAAACCTACGCCTTAATGTGAAGCCAGGACCGCCACAACACAACCGTAGGAAAGCGCAGCAGTCCATGGGATGAAGATGCATGCTCTGCTTTGGCTCGCTATCATCTGTCTATCGACCAAGCCCTCAAAGCGCCGAGAAGACGAAGAGCTATCACACACGTTAGCATTCCCCACTGCACAGCCCATAGAAAGAGTGGTAGTACTCACGTTATTCGTCGCGGCAATAGCAATGCTGTCCTCCCTAGGGTGCCAGCTCATGTGCAGAATCTTCTTGTTGAAGTCAATCTGGTCCGCATCGGTCTCCTTACGCATCCTTTGCGCACCACCTGCCGGACTGCTCCCTCTGCTGCCGCCCTTCTTGCCACCTGCGGCACCGTCTTTGCCATTCATCGGAGTTGGGATGCCGACCTTCTTGGCCTTGAAAGCGCTCTTGTCGGCCTGCAGCACCACTTCGGTGTCCTTGCCTTCCTCGGACGGGTAGATCATGAAATTGTTGTTGTAGGAGCCGGTCATGACGTTCTTGGCGTCGCCTGAGAAGACGACCTCGAATTTGTCGAAGATGCTGTCGTTTTCGTAGGTATCGCAGAGTTTGGGTCGGAGGTGCTCGTGGATGGGGATGGTCTTGACCGGCTGGCGCTCCATGTTGACGTCCCAGATCTTGACGGTGAGGTAGTCGCGGGAGAGGATGTAGCGGCCATCGTAGCTGAAGCGGACGTCGGAGATGGATGAGATGATTTCGCTGAAGAATGAGCGCGACGAAGGGTCTTCTTCTTGTTCGAACTCTGCATGCATTTGTTAGTAGCTGGTCGCTTCAGTATTGGGAGAACTCACGCTTGGCATGCTCATCACACAACGCCTTCTGTCGCATATCCGCCAGCTTGATAGTACCCTTGCTGCTCGCATACATGAACCAGTTGCAGCTCTGCGGATGGAACTCAGCGGCAGTGATGACTTCTGTCAGCTCCTCCATGTTAGCAGGCTTAATGTCGACGATATTGAAGCTCTGGTCCTGAATGTTCAGGTTCCAGAGGTTTATCCGCAAATCGTCCGAGGAGATGAAGGTCTCGCCATCACTGTTGACGGAGATGCTGTTGATGTGGTAGGCGTGGGCATTGGAATAGACTCTGCGTGGGACTGCGGCGACGACAGTGTCATGGTGCGTCATGCGTGGGAACTTGAGGTCGGCAACGCTCCGGAAGTGATGGTTCGGATAGCGTACAGGCCCGCCGCCATTTGCGTTGCCCGTGCCTGCAGGTGTGAGCTCCGAGGAGAGGTTGTTTTCTGCCACCACCTTCAACGATTTCTCAAAGACCTTCCACAGCTTGATCGTCTTGTCGTTGGTCGACAACAGGTAGTGTGATGCATTTTGTCTCCGACACCACTTGATCTTGTTGATCTTCTCCTCAATCTCCAGGGATTTCAGGTAGTCGAATTCAGGCTCATGTGATTGGAACTCCGTGTGGAACTTGTACTCGCAAGTCTTCTTTGTCTCATTCCGCTCGAACAGCACCACCCGGCCGCCCTTGTCGCCGGTCGCGAGGTAGTTGCCCGTCTGATCGAACTCAACAGTCGAGATGATGTCCGCTTCTGTTATGTCCTCGACATCGCCTTTGTCTCCGAAGCATCTAGAAGTGGAACGTTAGCATTCATTAAGAAACAGCTACATGGGTGCAAGTGAAGAGAGGTGGTCGAAGCCAGGGGAACCGCACTGCGTGAGCCACCATGACGGTCCAGCGCGTTCGTCTGTTAGAAATTGCTCCGAGTCCGTAGTCGTGCCGCTCCCACCGCTGTCGTCTGCCAACAAAGCGGAGATCTGCCCACTGGAGCTCGAGCCGGAGCTGAAGGTGAGAGAAGGAATTGGAGGTGCTGGCGCCGGGGCCAGTCGTTCTCCCAAAGGACCTATCTTATCGTCCCCAACTTCGTGCTCGCTCACAACGACATCGTCGCAGGTGTTCGGCTCTCCCCTCCCCTCCTCCTCTTCCCTTGGGCGGTTGGTGCGGTCCAGGATGGCGTTCTTGATGCTGGAGAACATGGTGGTGTAGGTCTGTTACTCGTGGCTCATGCTGGGTGCGATGCGTTGAGGATCCGAGCGTGGTACAGTTCCCGTCGGCGGTGGTGGCATTCACGCGTGCAGTGACAAATGCGAAGAGGGAAAGACTTACTGGGTGAACTTCCAGGTCGGCTGGGAGCCATCCGCAACTTCCACCATCTTCCTGCCCGCCTGCCTATGGTCTCACGCACTATCGAAAGTCCAGCACAGCGGCAGGTGCTATCGTGGGTTGTTGCGGTGTGGGAGTGGAGAGTTTCCGCGGTGCTCCCTCGGGGAAGCTGCTGGTGGGCTTCGGCGGCGTCGGAGTGTTGAGTGTGAGCAATTAAGGTAGAGCAGATAGCCCGGAGTGAGGATCGCAGGATCGTAGGAGGTGTAGCATGCAAGGCACGTGAAAGGATCAGCAGGTGCTGTGTCTAGAGCTGGGTCTGAAGTGACGAGCGACGTCAAAAGCGCCAAGCTTGTCGGCGGGGATCGTGAGCCAGCTATGGAATGAATATATCTTTGCGTGACATTCACCACTTCATTGATCCCTTAATACGATAAGATGAAGACGCTTGTAGTGGCGAGGCGATGAGATAGAGCACGTGGATTAAATGAAGAGAACGGTATTACAGGGTCAATTTCCCCCAAGACAAAGAAGAGCTGCTTCAGTACGCCTTGCCTATCTGACTGATCCGCTTCCACGCATTACTCAACACCGAATGATACCTGCTCCCCGTCGCCTCCCTTCTCATCCCAGTGGCCCCTCTGTTCCTCCCATACACCGGGGTCAGCTGACTCACAGCATCATCCTCCTCCTCCTCCACCACACTAACCCCAGGCACGACCTCCTTGGAGTACCCCGCCGGCCTCACAGCAGCCTTCGTCAACGGCATAAGACTGATCGCAACTGCACCATCCCTCGTCTGGTCCAGCATGTCAATCGGTCTGTGGGGTGCGTTCTTGTTCCAAGCGGAGTGTATGTTCCGGCCATCCGTGACTTCCAGGCTGGCATGATGGCTGTGTCCGGCGGCGTTCATGCGCTTCTTTCGGCGTCTTTTGCAGCGGCAGAGGAGGCAGCTGATGATGACCAGGCTGGCGAGGACAATGACGACTATTACCACTAGCCAGGCGATGGTGTGCTTGTTCAGGATTTCGGACTTTGGGTCTGCTGTGTTGGCTGAGAGGAGGGAGCTGCCGTCGGTGGGTGTAGCAGGGGTAGCTGCTGGGATCGGCGGCGGCGGTGCTGACGGTGCTACTGGTGCCGGCGCTGGTGCTTCAGTTGCTGCCATCCGGGCTACCAGACTTCTTTGCGTGACTGGTGTCTTAGGCATCGGGTGAGAGGAGCAGTACTTGATGCGGCCACCCATTCGAGAACAGCCTGCTACTCCGGCACATAGGACAAGTAGTATGTACAGTTTGTGATGTATGTACAATAGCCAACACTTCGCTTCAAGGTTGGAGCGCTTTGAGCTGACCTAGGATGCGGCCGCCAGAGAAGATCATTGATTCCGGAACAAAGAATTTGTGATACACCGAGACCTGTTGCGAGACAAAGGCGCTGCCTGCATCGAGCCTAGCATAAAGCCTTGTATGACGAAATTTGGTAGTCCTTCATGGCATTGAAGCATTTGACCTTAGCGCAAATGTCAATGCATTTCATCGCGACCTTTTCACGAAGCCAGGGAGTCCAGCCAGCCAACCTTCGAAGGTGCACATGTATTGTCCGGATGTATCTTGTGAATTCTCCGGCACCGCAATGAAAACCTCACTCCTCATATCTCTGGGGCTGGGTTTTTCCAGATGTGCGGAAAACTGCTTTACGTGCTCGGTGGTGCTCTTGGAGCCCTCGGAGGGAAAGGAGCACCGAGGGGCGGCCTAGAGCCACCCGCAGGTCCTCCTGCTCTGGGTGGCCCTCCCGGCCTGCCAAACCGATTGCCACCTCCCACGGCCCCTGGTCCCAGATTCCGCCTGCCTTGGCTGCGGACGCCTAGCCCACCTACTCTTCTCACACCAGGCCCAGGCCCAGGACCAGCTCCACCTCCCATCCCAGCCCCAGGGGCATTACCATCTCCAGGCCGAACAGGTCCCCTCCTCCTCCTGACAGGCCCTCTCTTGTTGCCTCCGCCCTCCCCACCCTCGGCCTTGACCCCCTTTCTAGCTTGCCTCTTCCGCTCCTCTTCCTGCTCCGCTGCCTCAACTCCATTGTAGATGAATGCAGTGACCTCGACCCGATCCCCAAAGTCCTTCGCAGTACTGTTGCTCACGAGCACTGTATCCGTCTTCCGTCTCTGCGCTGCGATCTGGTTGCGCAATAGCTGTTGCGAGACTACCGAATCCGTTTGTCCCGCGCGGCGTTTCTGTTGCGTCATCCAGTTCGTGAGCAGCTCATCGGTACGCTTTGCGGCGACTGGCAATGTTTTGGTGTGGGCCTTGTTGAAGTGGTAGCTGCCGGTCTGCCATTCCTGAGCATAGGTTTGAGCACCCAGGCGTGAGTGCGCTGGGGAGGCGTGAAAGGCGCGGCGGGCGGGTAGTGTGACACGGAGCCGTTTGGCAGGGCGTGTCAAGCGGATGGTACAGCGTGGACAGTCCATGTTGATGCTTTTGTTGGGCAAAGGGTCATCGAAGGGTGTCATATGAGAAGGTGATGTTCAAGGAGCCACCCGGCTAAAGTTCGGTGGTACAGCATTGACCATGACCTCGACCTCGCCTTCGACAGTGGACATCTTCAATTACACGATACACTTCGTGAAACGCATCATCACGACTCCACGCCGGCGTTCAAATAGAGAACAGCCTATCAGACTCGACAGAAGACCAACTCATCATCTCCCACTCACGAAGGCCTCTGTGAGCTCCTCGCCCTCGTCGAACACCATCAAGCGCCTCGAGCGCACTCCCTGAGCCCACCATGGCCGCTCCTATACAATCATCCTCCCGGCGCATCGTTCCACCCTTCTTCTCTCGCGACCACCAAGCTGGCCTTGCGAGCCTTCTCAGCCAAACCTACAATAAACCAGTAACCCTCAACCTCATCAAGCTTCAGCGTCCACACGGAGAAGCCGACTTACTGGCCCAACACGTCGTCCAACGGCTCAAGGACCGCAAGAACTCGCCACGCCGCGTCATTCGAGATGCCGCGTGGAAAGCCAATCTACCCACCCAGACCGCCATCACAGCACAACGGCAGGAGCTCATTCAGAGAAGAGCTACCATCAAACCACCCACGCTGGAGACGCTGAAGATCGGCAATGATGCGCAGAAAACGGGGTTCATGGGAGTGAGGGACGTGTTGAAGGATTTGGCGCTGCCGCAGGTGAGCAGCGTGGCGGTAGAGGCAGCTGGGCGTTTGAGTCAGCGTATCACGGCCAATCGAGCTCAAGGCAAGGTGGCGAGAAGAGGTCTGACGGCCAAGGGAGAAGAGCACATCATAAGAGGGGCAGAAAAGGCGAACCAGACGGAAGGGATGCGGGCGGGCAAGAGGAGGATTGGTGCCTACGGCATCAGAGTCAACTTGGGGCATTCATAAGACCGACAATCGGTGAATGTTCAGATGATATCCTACAGCACCATACCAGGACGAAAGAGGAGAGGCTCACCAACCTGTTACCACAGGCCGCGGATTGTTGGTAGGCGCGACCATACATCGTATCAAAATCACAGGAACATGGGCGACGGCTTGTTCTCGAAGGTGTGACATGGCCCAACAAGTCTCTTGAGGCAATGCGGCGGCGGTGAATAGAGTGGATGCCACGCTCGACGGGACACAAATCGTTCCGGCGCTGGGCGTGACACCACTGGACATCGCCCTGTCCAGTCGAGCTAGACGCAGCTTACATAAGTGGTCCGCTTTACGTAAGCAGAACTACCTTCCTGGACCTCACGTCTTTCGTCCACTCTCTCCATTGAGCAGACATGCTACGATCGTGACTTTTGACGATTCGCAACACCATCGGGTTGTCTCCAGGCAGCATCACGTGGAGACTATGACTCAGCCGACTGGTGCAGACCTCGCATGGGAGCTCAGTCTCGCTCCTTTGTTGTATTTATGTTCGTCTTTACCTCCTTGTCGTTGCATCTCAACAACTTCGTCCATTAGAACCCCAACTGTCATATCACCGCTAGCATGGCTACGAAGAACAACACGGCCGATTACACATATCTACCAGTACCGCTACTGCCTGGCCAAGCCAACTGTCGCCTTTCAGAATGCGTGCCACGAACTGTACATGTTTCCGCCGCACAGGAAACCGTTGCACTAGACCAGCAGCTCAAACTCAAGGAGATCATCGAAACAATCTCAACACAGGTCGACTCTGTAGAATATGAATCGAGCAACTCTGAATCGAACATCACTGTTGCGAGATCTTGTCTCAATGGCCTCAGCACGTTCCTTGGGGACATTCTTGCGACACAGACATACAACGAGAGGAGACTGCATGATAGCAAAAGCGCTCTACGCACATTCGAGATTCCTGAAGTCTTAGAGCTCATCCTCGACACCCTTCCACTGCACGATCTTCTTCGAGTTTGGGCGGTCAATGGGGCCATGCGCGATGCCATCCAACATTCTTCGCAACTCCAGAGAAAGCTGTGCCTTCGCCCCGCCAGCCCTGGAAGTAACTTCTATGCGCCATTTGACCTCGACAACCGAGTCGCGCCAGGGTTCATCTGTGCTCCGCATAGCATATCTGACAGCGCCAACTTGGCTCAGAGAGGGCGCGTGAGGATCGAAGCATCTTTCGCTCTCTACCCCGGCCAGAAGCTCGGCGGCATCACGCCTCGCGCACGACGCATGCTTGTCTGTCAACCTCCTATCCAAAACATGTTTGCGAAGGTGCGCTGCTGTGGGCGACTAGCGTGGCCACAAGAATGGAGCTTTCCCGGCTTTACGCGTGTCATGGAGCAGAGATTGTCAAAGTGCCAAATCGGCCCCAGCGATCCCGGACCTGGTGGACTGACCATCGGTGACTTGTATGACTGCGCAGTAAAGGTCACGGAACATCATCGCTATTGCGGCAAGGCAAATGCTCGTCAGTTGGACAGTGATGGCTTTGTCAATGCGCGAGTCACGTTTCAGGGTGACGTCCAGCTGACAGAGGAGGATCCGCTCTGGGGGGAGCTCGAACGCAAACAAAATCAGAAGCAAAGTGAGAAGGAAGAGGAGCGGAGGACAAAAGAGCGGTTCGGGGCGTACACAGAAGCAAAGCGGACCGGTGAGTGTGCTTGCTTCACCGCTTTTTAACGTAACAGGAGCGCTGATGGCCAATGAAGCACACGAGAATGAAAGGCCGGTCCCGACCCTTGAACAGTTCCTGGAGTTGGACGCAGATCCGCACTGGGACTGGGCAACGGGACAGAGGAATCACGTCCAACAGTCTGAGCCACACGTCACCACATGACTTGAAGGGCTGCCGATCATGCTGGCTATCTGGTTTCGTCGGGAATTCAAACTGCGGTAACGGGGTTTGCTTACTGGGGAGAGGTTGACGACCGAGAGCGGTACTCCCGTGCGTTGGAAGCATAGCGTTGTCCGTCCTGTGAAGAACACCAGACTGAAGACTTGCCAATGTTATCTGATTAGCCGAGAGGCGTCACATGAGATTATCTGCGCCAACACGATGATGTCGTTAGTAGTTAGGTTTCACAATCTACCAACTCCCATCCTCGGGCAGCTCATACAGCCCATTCTTCCTCCTCTCCGTCGCCCACCGCTCACACCAAGCCTTCATCCTCTCCCGGCTCTTCTTGCTCCCCACATTGACCGTCGGAATCACCTTCTCGATCCGCAGCGCCGTACAAAACATCGTCAGCTCCCGGAAAGAGCTGTGCTCCGAGTACGGTACACCGAAACAAGACGCCCTGCTCGAGCTTCCGCGCTGTGGGACGAGATCTTTCATGCTGTAAGTGCTCTTCCAGTTGTCGCTAGTCAGCACCGTCTGTACACTGGGTGATTCTGTGAAACGGGAGTTGGGCGGGCGATAGTTCCAGCCGCTTGGTCGGAAGCCGACGGCTCGGGTGAAGTGTGGGAAGTAGTCTTTGAGATAGTCGTCCAGAGTGTCTGCTCGGATCTCGAAGAGGGGCGTCATGTGGACTTGTGCTGCGCGAGGGTCGTTCGTCATGCGGTCGTTGAGTTCCGGGTCCTCCAGCGCGGCTACTATGCGTTGCTTGGAAGGTGGTGCGTAGATCTTGGAGCCGAGTGCTTTCGCGATGCCGATACAGATGCGCTCTTTGCCGATGCTGTAGGTGCCGACAACGACTAGCAACCTGCCACGGCCGCTTTCGACATTTGGCGTGTTGGAGGTGGAGAAGACCTGCTGGCTGCCATTTGGATTCTGCTGAAGCTTCATGCCATCGATATCATCTTCATCAGGTGGCTCCTGTTTGATGCTGGGGTTCGACTCTTTGCGAACAAACTTAGCCATGCCTTCGCCAGCTCGCTGTCGCTTCATCTGCTCCCAGCCATCGCTCTCATCGACAGAGTGCTTGCTCAGGCTGATGCACATATCCGAACAGGCTTTTATGACATTCTCCTGGCTCGGAAATGCATACTTCGGATTGAGATAGGTCGTGTCAAGATAGCAAACATCGATCTTCTGCTCCTTCGTCTTACCACTGACCTTGTCTTGCACGTTCGGCATCAACAGTGGGTGCTCAATGTGCTTTCTGCAAGCTCGGAAGTCGCCGCAGTGGAGTATGCGCTGCATCTTGGGATCGCCGTTTGGCTTCTTGCCGGTCACTTTCTCGAAGAGGTAGAGTGAGCTGCCAGGGCAATGGTTGGCTGGGATCATTGTGACCCTTACGCCTTTCGTGTTGGGCACCTCAACCGTCTTGTCGAACTCCATATCAATCACGTATTTTGGGTCAACTCTCAGCTGCTGCCGCACCAGGTTACCCGTGACTTTCGAACAGAAAATAGGACCGTGGCTCCAGGAACTGGTCAAGCCGATGTAATGGTCACTGTGGAAGTGACTCAAGAAGTAGGCCTGGCACCCTTGCACAGCACCATATCTGAAGGCGTCAACACAGATGAACAAGCCTGGCATGATCTTGTAGAAAGGACAGGTACGTGTATACGCTGGCTTCCCTCTGGATGAATGCTCAGCGGCAGCTGCTTCCGCCCATGCGGCATCCTCAGCATGACCGGACATGAGCTTGTTGAACGCTGAGCCACCGTTTGTGCTGGGCTGGCCGAACGTGAACGGATTCGCTTGACCTGGCTTTGGGGCACGAGATGGCTTGCGGAAGGCATTGGCGGAGGTAGAAGCAGGACTGCTTGGCTTAGGGTCGTGTTTAGCTTTCGGTGCTTCTTTCGGGAGTGTCGATGGCTTGCCGTCCAAGCAGTCGTTGACATGGGATCCAACTTCATGCTCGCTGAGACCAGCGAGGTTGGCGCTACAGATAGGACAGGAAGGCGTGTCTTCTGATGCACTTGTTTCGGTAGTCAACTCAGGAGGCAGCACATCATAGTCTTTCTCATCTTCTTCAAGCTGCGCCTGCTCCTCCATATATCGACGTTCCATGTATTCATCACCTCCTTCGAACGGGTCCTCATCGAAGTCATCCATGTCGTCGAAGCCGTCACCATTCTCAAAATCCTTGAACTCGTCCTGACCAACATCATAGCTCGTTTCTTCTTTTGGAAGCGAAGGCGGCCGGGGCTCGTTGTCGGCTGCTGCCACATCTGACGGTCCGGCTTCCACACTCTCCTGATGCGTCTTCAATCCAACGTGTAAGTGGTTCGCTCCGTCTTCTTCGTCTCCGTCGTGCATGCCAATGAGAGCTTCTGGAGCCTCCTCATCTTGCTCGCTGTCAGACTCCTCAAGGAAGGGACCCGGTCTGCTTTGCGTGCTTGAGTCTGGTAGAGGTTTGCCAACACCAACATCGTTTTGGTCATCCGCATTTGAATCATTGGTTCCTGATATCTCCTCCACATCTGTTCTTCGCCTTTTCACAGGGCCGTCGTTCTCGTTGAAGCGAACGTCATCTTGCTCGGCTACAGGACTCTCAGCCGCCTCTCCCACGTCGACACTCGAAGCAGCAGGAGATGGCATGCTCTGCTTGTCTTCCATGAACAGTCCCATATCCCTCTCCTTCTTGAAAAAGCTCATGATGTTTCCATTGCCCTTGTCCTTTGCCTTTGGTGCCGCTGCTGGCTTCTTTGCAGATCCCGTAGGACCTTGCCGGCCTATGACAGGCAGAGGCGCCTTGTTAGATCTCGTCTTCGTCGCCATCTTGGGTGCTGGGACAGATGGAGGAACGGGGAGCGAGAAGGGAGTCTTCGCTGGAGTGTCTGGTGGCGTTGGTGGGCGGCCTGTTAGAGGACCTGGAGTGGAATCTGCTGTCGTTTCTCTTGGTTTGCGAAACATCCTCTATTCCAACAGGACATCTTCGATCCTCCTCCGACCCGCGAAGTACGAAAAGAAATCGAACTCTTCGGACATTTTGGAGATGCACTTAACGCGCATCGGAAGACGTGCAGGCATTCACGCTAAGGACTCTCGTGATGTCACCTTCAACCTCACTTGGTCTCTCTCCTATTTCCACAGCACACCTACGCCAACCTTCCGCTGCTTCTGAGACACTTTCTCAACAAACTGAATACCAGAACTCCATGCACGCGACAGGCAGTAGCTGGGCGACGGTAGGCATTTGAGGAGGACTGTCAGAAGTATTGACGCATCCCATCTTTTTTGGCAACGATTCTAGCTAAGTGAATCTTCCTTAACCTTGCTAAAAGTTTCTCTGTTCAACACCCAGCGGCCGAGAGCAAGGATCAAACATGGCCATGCAAAATGGCGCCTGCAAAACGGTTCTCGCCGGATCGATCGCAAAAAACCTAATCGTAGAAGTCCAAGAAGGACTGAAGACGGTCGATCGGAAACCTCGCCTTCATGGCTTCCTGGCCAACAAGGACCCAGCGGCGCGAATGTATGCCGACTGGACAGCGAAGACTTGCAGGGAGAAGTATGATCATAGAATACTCAGCCATGTCATGTTCCTGACCTTTTCCCAGCGGCTTCGATTTCACCCTCCGAGAAGTAGACCGTGAAGACCTCGAGGACGAGATACGCCATGCCAACAACGACAATGACGTCGACGGCATGATAGTCTACTACCCGGTCTTTGACTCAACGCGGGACCGTACTTTACAGTGGACCGTCAGCATGTACAAGGACGTCGAAGGCCTCTCGCCCCAACTCATCAGCAACATGTACCAGAACATCCGATTCCTGGACCCGCCGACGAATCTGAAGAAGTCCATTCTTCCGTGCACCCCTCTGGCTGTCGTCAAGATCTTGGAGCACTTGCGCATCTACAACACATTCTTGGACTACGGTAAGCGATTGTTCGGGCGCAGGATCACGGTCATCAATCGAAGCGAAGTCGTCGGCAGACCACTAGCAGCACTGCTAGCCAATGATGGCGCGGAGGTATACAGTGTCGACGTCACTGGTGTCCAGCACTTCAGTCGCGGGACCGGGCTTCGAAAGCAGAAGCATGAAGTCCGAGATATGGAAGGCTGGGGCTTGGAGCAGTGTCTGCCGATCAGTGAGGTGGTGATCAGCGGTGTGCCTGGCGAGAAGTACAAGGTGCCTACTGAATCGATCAGGGAGGGCGCTGTGTGTATAAACTTCTCGAGCGAGAAGGTATGTTTGCCCTAACGGCAGATTGTGCTTGTACTGACAAAAGACAGAACTTCAACCCAGATGTCAAAGAAAAAGCCTCCATCTACGTCCCGGCGATTGGCAAGGTGACTATCGTCATTCTGCTGCGGAATCTGCTGCGCGTCGTGCAGAATCGGCCACAAGAACCAACTAAAACTTCTGATGCCCCGGACCCCGTTCCTGGACCGTGATCCCCCCGACAAGAGCTGCTCAAGCAACATATACCATCCACTGCTGCGTTTAGTGCAGAATCTGCCAGCCTCCGAAGCTCAGGACGACCTAAAACAGGACGCTGAGTCGTAACCTGCCGACTTCTGTCAATACTCACCCGCAGTCAGCCCAGCATCTGGAGTTTCGCTCCTCTCATGTCATCTACTGGATTGGGAGGAACGCCACAGGTCTCACCTCCGAACAGACTCGCAGCGAGGCCGTTCGCCGCACCGTAAGATGGTTGATCAGGCCACTGTCTTCTCGCGCCGCGATTGAAGAGCTTCCTCCCTCCAGCAGCAACGTTACCAGTCCGGACAAGTGGTGCACAACGCCGAAGCCTGGCCGTTGCGCTCAGGTCAGAGAACTCGTCAACAGGCATACTAGCAGGTGAACAATCGCACGGCAGCATGAGGTTGACCAGCTAGGCTAGACAATACAATTGGCAGGATTGCTTGCTCGCACTCCATCTCCTCTCCCGGCATTTCGCAACCTGGTTTTGATCGTCAGACCGTAAGCAGTAGTAAAGATGACGGAAGTTGGGGGCTGTCGCGGCCCTTTAAATCCTGCAGACCCTGGAGATCTCTTCAGATGCAAGCCCTCCGATAGTGTAGACGGCTTGTTCGATTCTTTGCAGCGTCCGATGAGAACAGATATGTGTCAACATACGAGCGTACAGGAGTCTCCATCCCCCTGAGCATGTGAAGACGAAATCTACCAGACTTCTGCCGCTATTCAACATCTGTGACAGTGGGTAGGTGGCCCGTTCTTTCGAAGGAGCCGGCCAGGATTGGCTCGCCCCGGTCGATTAGTTCGAGACTACGGGGATTTTACTTCGAACTCGATCTAATGATGAGGATCGATGTCTTCCTTGCCACGCGTCAAGGGAGCGGTGGGCGTCGAGTGGGAGGGGCTGAGAGAGCGGACGTTTGACGACGGGGCCTCTGCTGCGACGGTGTAATTAGGATGGGTTGCTGACGAGGACGAAAGGCGGTGCATGTGCATGCTCCACCTTTCGTGGTTATCGCGACGTAGATCATCTCGTCTTAAATTTGCTTGGCCTGCATCGAGTTGACTGGGAGGGAGTTCCTTACATGTCGTCCAAAACCATCGCTGCGCGTGTACCACAACCTCTGTCCGTTGAGCACTGCATCCCTTTCCTCACCATCTCTTCTGCGATAAAATTCACGTGCGTGCGGCCGTGACAGACGCCTCCCGACCACATTCCTCGTTCTAGCCAATGCTCGCCAATCACGGATAATTGAAGAAAGGTCGATGACAGGGTACATGTAATTGCGACATCCTCCCACCCTCCCACATCCAATTTGCTGGACTGGACGGCACACACTGGTAGAGAGGTACGGCGGTGACACGAAAGGGAGATAGAAGAGAAAGTGGCTTCTCAAACCGGCGCAGAGGCCACGGTCTCAAGATCGCATCGGCGTCGTACAAGCAGCGTCTCCGCTCATGGGCAACCGAGGGCGCTGAACCGACACTTGTATCCGACTTTGGGCAGCAGATCGTTCGGGGAAGAGGAGGACCGCAAGCAGATGTCCCTCGACCATTCTCCGACCCGCGATGGCGGCGGCTGGTCGTCGCCCGGTCTCACGACAAATTACGATGAGGGAACGGCGCGGTCACGAGGGGGCAGTCCGAGCAAGAAGTATGGGGACTTGATGAATGGCGGCTCAGGCCATGTTACATGGGCGAAGGCAAAGGCGGGCTCTGCCAGAGTACAGAGGTCGAATGAGGGCAGTTTCATGCGCCACATGCGGAAGATGTCTTCGGGGCTGCCATACTTCTCCGATCGGTCGACGTATGCAGAGAAAGAGAAGCTGGGTCGAGGGCGGTCTTGGAAGAGGATGGATTGGAGGGATCTACCTAGAAGAGTCGGACTGCTCATCTCGAGAAGGCGGAAATACGTGGCATTATTGACGATGGTGCTGTTGATGATATTGCTTTTCACGAATAAGAGTAAGTAACGATGTGTGCTTAGGGAATTTCAGGCGACTGATTGAGGGAAATAGCGGTAAACTACTGGTATAGACGGACATCATGGCTTGGTGGCGGCAGCAAATTTGTGATCATCCTCGGTGCGAACCAAGGCGGTGGTGTCATGGATTGGAAAGGACCCAGAGAATGGGCAATAGAACGGGACAGCGTGAAGAACAAGAAGAATTACGCCGCGGAATGGGGCTACGAGATGGAGATTGCAGACATGAGCACGAAGAAGCGGTATGCGCATGAATGGAGAGAAAGCTGGGAGAAGGTGGACGTGATACGGAACTCGATGAGGAAATATCCTGATGCTGAATGGTGGGTATACCAAAGACACCTCCTCAAATCGGTGGTCACTGACATGCGCAGGTTCTGGTGGCTTGACCTCAACACCTTCATAATGGAGCCGAAGGTTTCTCTCCAGTCGCACATCTTCAACAACGTCGGCGATGTCGCATACCGAGACATCAACGCCTACAACCCACTCCACATCGCCCACCCTCCCAATGGCACCTCCGCCGACCCCAACGCCCCCAAATACACCAACTACCTCGACCCCGAAGCTCTGTCCGCAGTCGGCGACGGCGACCCGAACAGCATCAACATCCTCATTCCTCAAGACTGCGGAGGCTTCAACCTGGGCAGCTTCTTCGTACGAAGATCGGCGTGGACAGATCGATTGTTGGACATCTGGTGGGACCCAGTCTTCTATGAGCAAAAGCACATGGAGTGGGAGCATAAAGAGCAGGATGCACTGGAATACATCTACACGAACCAGCCTTGGATCCGACCGCACTTTGGCTTCATCCCGCAGCGGAAGATCAACGCTTTCCCGAACAAGGCTTGCGGTGATGACCGACATGTGCCAGAGGGCGGGTGTAGGACGCTGAAGGCTGATGACCCGGAGGCGGAGAAAACGGAGTGCGGTATTCAAGGGATACACTATCAGGAGCAAGAGCGGTAAGGACGTTTTCCATAAGCAGTGTTGATTAAATACTAACGTAACGTAGGGACTTCCTGGTTAACATGGCAGGTTGCGAATGGGGCCGCGACTGCTGGGGCGAGATGTACAACTTCCGCCAACTCAGCAACCACCTGAACCGCGGACGGTGGGAGAGAGTTGTAGACTCGATACGGGATTACTTTAAGAGGCGGACGGAAGCGAATCAACCGCAGCAGCAGCAATGATCGATTTGTACTGGAGTACCATTGATTTGCCTACAGAATTGCATACGACGGCGCATTGGGCGTGTGTGGGAGGAGCATCGCAGGCGTTGGTGGAACATGTATTCATATACCACTGCTGTCGGTCTCGGTCTGTTTCCAAGCAAGCGAGCATATTTGTATCTGCCCCTTTGGTGGAGCGCCACTCCTTCGAGCGGCATGGGCGGTGTTGGGACTGTCACTCTGGCGTGTAACTGGTTGGCTTAGTGGCATAAACGTATGATACAGGAGTCTTGAAGAGTATTGTTACATCCGTTTCGCTACCTTGATACACATCACAGACTCTCCACCTCCCTGGTGATATCCACCAACTGGATCCTCCTCGTCTCAAACTCCACTTTCACAGTATACGGCCTAAACACGAACCCCGACTCGTCCATCTCCCTCGCATACGGCTCGAAAATCTCATACGTCGGCCGGATCGGCACATACCGTATTATCGAATGATCAACCCACCCGGTCCTCACAGGTATCGAAGCGAAATGCGTGATATACAGACTCCGCATCTGCGCCCGACTCTCGGGCCCTATCGCGTTTATCCACGCTTGAAAGGACGGAGGCATGGCGCCTGTCCGCCCCTCGAGAGCCCGCGGCAGTTCCGTGTCGCCTATTACGACGAAGCTGTTGTTGCGATAGTAGGCGGCGAGGCCTTCGGCGCGGAGGACGCAGCAGGTGCGGAGGATGGAGGGTTGGCGGACGAGGGACTGCACGGTCTTCTTTGGGGTGCTAAATTTGAAGGTAACGGGGTTGTCGAGGAGGACGGCGAGTTGGGTTATGTAGGCCCAGAGTTCGGCGGGGAGGCCGGCGAAGTGGGGTGGTGAGGTCTCGTGGGGTGGTTAGTAGGGTGGTGGTGGAGGTGGGAGGGGGGTGAGTACGTTGGAATCCGCCATTGTGTCTGTCGCCTTCTTGGGTACCCGCGTTTGTAGACTGAGAGCTCAAAGACGGTGGTGATGCTCGTGCAGGGTGTCCCACTTCGCATTCTAGATCTGTATGCACCCCAGGAAATAGCGTAAAGTCAATCGACGAGGCGGTTCAGATGACGATGGGGGCTAGAGGATGGGGGCCAGAAGGGAGGGGCTAAGAAAGGATGTGAGCAATGCAGTTATGACGGAGTCTATCCAGTGCCTGCAACGGACCACTCGACTCTACATAGTCTGCAGCGCAAAGGCCCCGCTACGCCGACTGCCACCCACTGGGACCAGACCACCATCCTCTGCCTCAGCTTCAGGGAACATCGGCATCACCTCCAGCAGCCTCCTCTGTTCCCTCTGTTCTCTACCATACCACCTCGCCGGCAAACCCTCTTCGGCATTGGACCTCGCCCTCCACGTGAAGGTCACATGCGCGTAGGCTTTGTCGTGCAAAACCACCTCCATCGCCGCAACAATCGTCCGGTCCTCCTGATCTTCTCCGCGCAACACCCGCCAGATATGCCGCTTCAGCTGGCTCCCTGAGTCTCTGACATAGAGGTTCTTCATGTACAGTCGGTTGGAAGGTCCGATCGCTGTCAGCCATTGGCATAGCTCCTGGCGCTTGTGAATGTAGGATTCAGCAACGAAAGTCGTGCGCTTGTAGTACAGCGGCAGGTACTCTTCTCGAATGACCCTGCACACGCGGAGGATGCCAGGTTGCGCGACTTCGGCTGCGATGCGCTTCGTGTCCAGCTTGTGGAGGATTCTCATTTCTTTCTCCTCGATGGCCTCATCCACGATCTGTCGCCAGAGCTCAACCGGGAGGTCGAGGAGGCCTATGGGAGCTTTCTGCAGCATGTGTGAGGTAAGCAGCTTTCAGATGAGGATCGTTCGGCGGCTCACCTTGCTTTCACATTCCTCATCTTCCGTTCCATTCGCCTCATTTGAGCTCACTTCGTGCTGCCCTTTGCGCATGGATTTAATGGCCGAGTATCTCTTCCGTTTCTTTGAAGTTCCATCTGACTGCTCGTGTGGGGACTCGCGCATTGCGAAGGGAGCAGCCGCTTGTGTAGCAATGGGGACAACCAATGGGGATCCGCCGAAGGTGACTGTACCACCGAAACGAGGCTGCGCCATTCCGCGCACACCGGTTTGTTGGCCAAGGAGGGATTGGATAAGCTGAGGTGAAGTTGTTCGACTTGTCTCCCTTCGTCCAGGTGCAGAAATCTGAGTGCAAAATGGCAACGTCTCGGTGTGTAAGTAGTTGTAGTGCGTCTATCCAAGACCGGAAGAGAACGTAGGCCTCGAGGTCGGTGGAATCACTCAGGACAGAGTGTTCGGTTTTCGCTCTCTCCTGCCTACAGAAAAGTGACGAGCAATGTGTGAAAGCCGGTCGTGGTATCGCCAGCACGGCTTTGGTCCTTATCGAGCTCAATCTATGTAAAAGAACAATCGTAAGTGCATCATTCACGAGAGCCGAATGAGTACCGCACCTCAGTCAATATACCAATCTGGGCAAACTTCTCCTGCCAAAATGACTGCGAGAACCTGCCACGACATCAGCATAAGCGTCACACACCAGAACTGGTACCACGAACTTTGCGTGAAAAGTGAATGTGCCCATAGCCTTGCGGTTCTCGTGCCCGATGATCACCAGCCAGTCACGGACGCAGGGCACGTTGTTCAGGTGCCGCGACTCGAAGCTGTTGTTGCGATAAAAGGCAAACAGCACCTCTCGCCGTAGGAACTTCGATGTCATGGCGAGAGCTGGCGGACGGACTATGCACGCTTGGGCTTTTCGTTTTACTGCTTTTGTTGGGTCGATGGGCACACCTCTCTTGACTACCTCCTGTATTATAATCAAGACGATTTCGGAGGGTAGATCTGGTCATCCGTCAGTATAGGATCACACTGCTTCCAAAAGTGGCTTTGACAGACCAAGCAATCGGAACGTCGTTGCTTCGTGATCAGCCCTGAATACCTCCTCAAACTCGTCGTTCAAGGCATAGAAATTGTGATCCATTGCGGCGTCTGGTGTGTTCAGCAGCCTTTCGTCGAGTGATCGTTCGCAGTCAGCAATTTGAGCAAAGGGGCAAGAGTAATGCTTCCAGGACGATACATTAAAGTGAAATCTCAATGGTTCCGGTGCCGTAACTATACTTGTATGATCTGGAAGCTCGCCGCTGACTTGTTCATAGTTACTCACCACGACACCGCCATGGCATGGGAGTCATTGGTGCCCGGCGGCTACGTGAGTAAGATAGCTGGAAAAAAAGACGCCTCTCGGCTCCAGGATTGCTGTTCTCACCCACGACATGTATGTAATAAGGAGATATGTTGGTACCTGCTCGCTATGGATGTGAGGAGTTGAGGGCTGCTGAGGAGCTGCTGCTGACCGCTCGGACCTCGGGAGTTGTTCCTGAGCTGTTTATTGTGCTGTCTTGCAGCAATACTTGTTCGAGGCATCTTTAGCAGACGACTCGATCGACGGAACGGCTCCAGTATGGCATCGCAGCCTGTAAGAGAACCGAGAGCTCTCCACGGCTGCTCTAATCAAGTGCCGATATGAGACGCCTGAGAGCTCAAAGTACTTCAGTACATCGTCTACGAGCATCTGCAAGTACATTCCATGGCCTCCACGAACAGTGTTATTGCTCATGTGAGGCGGAGGAATTGCATTCGGGTCCATCGACTGTAGTTTGAATAGCCTGCGGGATGACAGCTTTTGCCGTGAAAGGGTCCAGGATGAAACATTCTTGGTATGCAGAGGCAAGGCCCCCCTTGTCGCTGTTGTCGTCGTGACTCAACTGCCGTTATGCATGGCGGCACGTGACACTCAGCTGTGTTGACATCGCAACCTGTGCGAGGTCAACTGAAGCCTTTTGTGTAGACGGTTGATGAACAGTGTATCGCCTCAGGAGACATCGCAGAAACAAGCCTCCAAGTCTGGATTCCTTTCAAGCATCCTTTTGTTCGACTAGCGGAAGCGCGGGCAGTCGCGCTAGAAAGGGCGATTTGGTGGGGCTATTGGAGAATAAGTGTTGTAAGCGGTCAGAACGACCTCTTGCCCTTCCTACTCGACCACGACGACCGACTGCGTGACACCTCATCCGCCGTGCGACTCAACAACTGGATGCTTGTTGATTGACGAGCGAGTCGGCCGCGAGCCGATTGACTTCTTTCACGCTCGCTCCCGCTGGTCCGCCTTCATTGTCAGCAATAACGTGCTCAGCAGCTTTCAACGTGAGCGCAGTCGACCTCCAACAGTGCAGCCCGTCTTGCTCCGCTGTCACAATGGGTGCATTCGTCCTTCGAGCCTAGCAAGAACGCTACTGCTTGGCATGAGAAAGATCGAGTGTTAGGTCGTGCACCCTCGACCTGGTCGAAGGCAGGACCTCCAGTATGGCCGAAGATGGACAGTCTCCTGCGATGTTGGCACCCCCCAAGGTGACTGCGTTGAAAGAAGAGGCAGCTCACGAGGGTCAAGACAGAGGGCAGATGCTGCGTACTATCAGTATGGACATCCGAGAAGAGCGTGAGGATCTGAAGCGGGCCGCCGAACAGTCATTGAACGCTATACTGGAGCTGGGCCTTGATGGCAAGGTCAAGTGGGCCAGCCCTTCATGGACGGATCTTACTGGAGGAGCAACAAAGGATGTCATCGGCAAAGATATATCGGAAGTCATTGTGGGCAATGTCAATGTGTTCGCGGAATGCGTGGAAGCTATACGGCAGGATGATTCCAAAAGCCGCATCATCCGATTCTCTGTTCTTGATCGGTCGGCTGCGGAAACCGCTGCTTTTGGATCCGCAGAGGAGAAGACACCGGTCGAAGCGAAGGCTGGTCACAAGGGCTGGCCACAGTCGGAGCAGTCTGGCCAGGATGGAAGGGGTTCCGAAAAACAGGAGACGGGAGAGCCGCATCAAGGACAGGAGCAGGAGCATGAGCAGGATCAAGAGCAGTCTCAACCACAGCAGAATGAGGAGAGAATCGACTTAGAGGCTCAAGGCATTATGGTCTACGATCGCGACACAGGAGAAGAAAGCCATACCATGTGGATGATCAAGCCGGCTGTGTCGCGTGAAGTTACGATTGACCTTCCGGACATGCTGGTGGAATCGCTTGGAATTGGTGCCGAGATGCTTGCCAACTACCTCACGCTGCTGACCGATGTAGGCGTGCACGATCCTGGATCACATCCCCCGCCCCTGCCCGTTCTCTGTCGGATTTGCGAACGCCAAATCACTCCCTGGTGGTTTGAAAAGCACACTGAGCTTTGTGCGCAAGATCATCGGGCGGAGATGGACGTGCAAATGGCTCAAGATGCTCTCAACGAACAGCGTTCGGCTCTGGTCAAGGTTCTGGACGCACTGGAAGCACAGCAACGATTTGCGAAGCCGTCATCGAGCTCTGGGAGCGATACTGGATCACCAACACCGCCACCGCGAGCGGAATACAAGGGCATGCCAATAGGATCACACTCCAATCCATCGTCTAATCCATCCTCTGGCCGAGCTTCACCAGCCGCGAACGCGCCCAGATCACGTGACTCATCCGCCAGCGGCTTGAGCCATCACAGAGCTCGCTCCTTCGCTGTCAGACGTCCACTATCCAGAATTGTAGAGCTGGTTCTGGATCTTTGTGATACTGCCATGGAGATCAGCACACCATCCGTCAAGGACAGCAAAGTCTCTGCTCCCGGCGAAATCAGAACGCAGTCACCACAGTCTGAGAGCCGCATTTCGCAGGTTTTGGGCTGGCAATCACCAAGCACGACTACCATCGAGAACGAGCAGGGCCTGGCGAGTCTTTGCGACGACACCTTCCAGATGGCTAGGTCAAAGATTGAGGCTATTTTCCGCCACCGACGCATCCTGGAGTACTCTGAGCGCATCCGTATGGAGTACGAGCTTCTGGTGTCGGAGTGTATCGAAGCCGCTATCGACAAAGCAGCACGGATCAAGTCCGGCGAGCTCAGCGACTCTGGCGAAGATTCTTCGTGTGAGACACCAGAGCAAGAGGCTCCAGCTCAGGAGGAGACGGTGTCAGCTCCTTCTGATGAACTTCACATTGAAGACTCCATCGGCTCGCCACAGCGTCGGCTGTCAGCTCTCCCCTCCTCCATGGCAATGGCGCTGCGAAATGGGTCCGATGTGGCACTGGATCGTCGTACCTCGTCTGCCGGCTCTTCTAGAGCTAGCAGTCCGCGCGGTGCTGCAACGCCAAAGTCGCATGGCGCCATGTCTGAGCAGTTTGCGTTCCAAAAGCGCCATTCTATTGCGTTCGAAAGCGACACCGGTGCCGACAGCGACAGCAGCATGCATTCCTCAGTCGCCTCCGTCGGACACAGGAGAGTCGATTCCCCAAGCGGCGAGACTTCTCTCAGCCGTGTGGCCAGTCATCGTTCACGTGAGAGAAAGCGACAAAGCCTTGTCCTTCCTAGCTTGGTTGGTTCATCCTCCGGTCGTCACCAGTCACCCGCTCGCGGTTCTCAACCACCACATTCGCCTCTGCGCATGACGAAGCCTAGACTGCCTAGTCAAGCTGACAGCGTGCCTTCTCCAATAACATCGCCTGTTTTATCGCACAGTGAGTTCCCATCACCGGTGGTTCGAGCGCAGCACAAGCATCATCATCGCCGTCAGTCGTCGGCAGCACTGGCTGAAGCAATGGGTCGACCTGCCTCGCCGCGTCTCCACGCCACGGTGAGCGTTACTCAGCCAAGGGCCGCTCAGACGTCCATCAAAGACTTCGAGATCATCAAGCCGATCAGTCGAGGTGCGTTCGGAAGTGTATACCTGGGGAAGAAGAGGTCCACTGGTGACTACTACGCGGTCAAGGCTTTGAGGAAGGCAGACATGGTGGCCAAGAATCAAGTTACAAACGTCAAGGCGGAACGAGCCATCATGATGTGGCAAGGAGAAAGTGACTTTGTCGCTAAGCTATACTGGACTTTCTCGAGCAAGGACTATCTCTACCTGGTCATGGAGTACCTCAACGGGGGAGACTGCGCGTCTCTTATCAAGGTGCTTGGCGCGTTGCCAGAAGATTGGACGAAGAAGTACATCGGCGAAGTTGTGCTGGGCGTCCAGCATTTGCATAGCCGGCAGATCGTTCACCGTGACCTGAAGCCGGACAATCTGCTCATCGACGCGAAGGGCCACTTGAAGCTGACGGACTTCGGTCTCTCACGCATGGGTCTCATCGGCAGACAAAAGCGCGCAATCAACGCACAGCCAGAGGACGCCCCACCCGATTTGCTCAAGACAGGCCCTTTTAGGAGAGAGCCTTCTGTCGCATCATCAAGGACCTCTTCTTTCGACTTCCATGGCAATAACCAGTCTCCTGCCCATACGCCTGCGATGGTTCCAGCGTGGACCAATGAGCTCAATCAGCCCTCCTATTTCAATCTCAACCGGGAGAGCTCGGCTTCGCGAGAGCCTTCGCGTCGAACCTCAGGGTACCGCAGTGACAGTGGCGATAGCGAAGCTCTGGCTGCGGCTATGTTCAGAAGATTCTCCATCGCAGACAGCCGGACACCGATCGAAGAGGAAAACGCAGACGAAGAAGGCGGCGAGTCTCCAGACCCATACGCGCTTCATCCGGTCCAGAGCAACTCGAGTGCGCCCAAAGTAGGAACACCACCTCAGACTTCAGCAATGCCTCCACCTATCATGTCGCTGTTCGATCCCGAGGACAGCAATCGCCGGTTTGTAGGTACGCCTGACTACCTTGCACCCGAGACCATTGCCGGCCATGGACAAGACGAGATGAGTGATTGGTGGTCGCTTGGATGCATCCTGTTTGAATGTCTGTACGGGCAGCCGCCTTTCAATGCAGACACGCCAGAAGAAGTCTTCCAGCACATTTTGGCCCGCAATATCCACTGGCCCGCCGACGATGACGATGAGTTTGAGGTCTCGGACGAAGCCAAGGATCTCATCAACAAACTGATTTGTCTCGATCCCAAGGAGCGCCTCGGCTCGAACAAGGAAGAGAAGTACGCAGATGGAGGCGAAGAGATTAAGGCACATCCTTGGTTCCGTGACATGAACTGGGAGACGCTGCGCGAGGACGAAGCATCCTTCATTCCTGTCAGCGAGAACCCAGAGGACACCGAGTATTTCGACGCACGAGGCGCAACGATGCAAAACTTTGCGCACGAATTTGAGGACCAGCAGTCGTCCCCAGGCGTGACACCAGGCGCTGACTATCCGGAGCGGCCACACGATGCGTTGTCTCGGGTTAGGAGCCAGGTCAACTCCGTCAAGCGTGGGCTCATGCCGTTGCACATACCGCCGCACGTTCGCGATTCGCGCTCACGCCGGCTGAGTGAGCCTGTTGTCGCTGACGACTTCGGCAACTTCCAGTTCAAGAACCTGCCTGTGCTCGAGAAGGCAAACAAGGATGTCATTCAGAAGCTGCGCAGCGAGACGATGCAGGCTCAAGCCAAGACTGCTCAAGGCGGTGGCGCTTCGTCTTCTGCGGTCTCGCCATCACCGGGACCTTCTCTGGAGTCAAGCCCGGTCTTGCCAATGCCTCTCAAGCGGGCCTTGTCCCAGACTCGTGGGCACAATCGCCCGCAGTCACCTTCGCTCCTCAGCCAGGCAGAGTCGTCGCCCAGCAGAGGTTCACATCCATCTTCGCCGCTGCTCGTGTCGTTCAGCGCAGGCCAGAGCCACGAGAGACGTAAGACTTCGAGTGGATCATCCAGTCTATCGCAGCAGACGAGCAATCCTTCGCAGCATTCGAACTCACTGCAACCTGGCAACTTCTTCGAACAAGGGCCACGACTTTCTATGTCCTTCAAGACTCCCTCCAATACACCATCACCGATCAAGGGCGCCAAGCCGGGCTCTGTACATCTACCACTTGCACAACAAGACAAACCTGCCGTGCCTCAGCGGCAAAGCAATGCTACTTCTCCACGGCAGAGGTCTCACACGGTCGGCTCTCAGGAAGGCGACCTGGTGCCTGAACTCGTGCCTACGCATTACAAGCGGAGAAGCGGGGTGTTCGACATTTCACCATCGTCCTCTGACACTGAGGAGACACGGCAGAAGGCTTTGTTGCGGGTCCAACGGCGGCGGGCCAGCTCGAGAAGGCTGTCGCAAGTCAGCTTGGCGGATGGCCCAAGTTTCCGGACGCTGGACGTACTCGTGTGTGAAGACCATCCAGTGTCGCGGTTGGTCATGGAGAGACTTCTGGAGAAGTTGCGCTGTCGCACGATCTCTGTCAACAATGGCTCGGAGGCCATGCGGTATGCTATGAGTGAGGTCAAATTCGACATCATCATGATGGAGTTCAAGCTGCCGCAGGTCAATGGCGCCGACGTCGCACGCATGATCCGCGATACCAAGAATGCGAATTCTCATACGCCGATTGTTGCGGTCACTGGCTATCTGAAAGAGCTGCAAGCACCGCACCACTTTGACGCTCTAGTCGAGAAGCCGCCCACGAAGGAGAAGCTGGAACAAGTCATTGGCCGTCTCTGCCAGTGGAAGACGGCTCCGGAAGGCTGGAAGCCAAGCATGCCGCAGCCAATACCTCAGTCGAGCCTGCGACAGGAGTCCATGCCAACAGATGACAGCCCGACTACCACCGCATCGTCCGGCTTTGGCAGCTTCGGTCCTGCACTATCCAGCAGCTACGTCGGTTCAAGTCGAGGTGATTCCATTGGGTCAAGCCAACTTAGCTCGCTTGGGGAGTCTGATGGCCACTTTGACAGCATTCCTGTGATCATTAGCCGTCAGGCCACGAATGACACTTTCGATACGGCAGACCTTGAGCGTAATTTTGGCGGCCTTGGTATCTCTCACTCTGTTACCGAAGAGCCCAAGTCTGACAGGAACATGCCGCACGCGCCTGGCCTGGTCACACAAGCATCCGCTCCTGCTACTTTGAACACACCAGACCATCCTTCTGTGCGCAAACAGCCTTCTATGGAGGCCATTGAAGCGAAGCGCCGTTCACTGGAGAAGATCCGCAACGAGTCTGCAGCCGAATCTGGCGACGATGAAGACGAAGAGCTCGGCAACTCTCAAGCACGAACTCGCTCACCAAAGCGCCACGTCAAACGGACCTCGAAGCTGGGCACAGAGATGATGCGCACCAACAGCCAAGGGAGCGTCATCTCCGCTGAAGACGTAGCGGGCAGTGTTCGGGAAGTAGCAGTCCACGAGCCTCGCAGCGAATCCCTCGACGCCATGACCATCATCGAAGAGCCAGCCGCCGAAGTCGAAGCAACAGGCCACCTCACCCCTCCTACCATGTTCCCTCCTCAGCCAGGCGACCACACTGAGAACTTCGACATGGACTCCGCGCAACTCGATCCGAACGCTACGCCCAAGCCACAGCACGGCGGCGAACTGCCGGATCCAGATCCCACTCCGCGAGCGTCTACGTCGCCTCAGCACCAGGATTGAACGAACGCATGGTGCTTCTTGTTTTGATTATACCAGAATGTCGCGTGGAACCGTCGTTACCTCTCAGCTCATCGAGCATTTCTTTTGTCTGTTGTTGATGATTATTGCGGGCTTCAGAGCACTGTCACGAATTATACGTCCGGGTTTCTTCTTTTTAGCAAGGTGTTTGGGGGTAGTGTTTATTTGGAACTTCCTGGACAAACCTTTGGCGTGGCGATCGATTGAGCAGCGGTTATCTTTGGCCCATCCTGTGTGCAAAAGGGGATGGAAAATGGAAAATGGAAAATTTGTACCATTGCGTGACTGTTTCCTCTTGTTATAGGTAGAGAACAGTAGTGAAGTCAGAAAATTTGAACTTTGGGAAGATGGTTATACATCTCGTCACAACTCGGGCTCCCCTTCTCTTCGCTACATCCGCGCTACGGAACAAAAGGTATCTTCGCCATGAAATTCAAAATCCTTCCCCCAAACCCTTATTGAGGCGACTCACTGCGCGCGCTCAAACCCATCGCCTGTACCTGGCAAAGCGCCCAGGCAGACCTTCAGCGCCGTCCTTGAAAACAAAAGAAATCCGAAGTCCCCGAACGCCAGGGCTGCACTCTATGGGAGCCGATGCAAGTCATTTTCCACCGATATTTCCCCACACTCTCTGTAGTGGCAATACTCGCACATTCAACATTCAAAACCCAAATCCCAGCCCTCCTTCTCTATTGCGAGAGGGCATCGCTCACACCATACCCATGGCCCGCTGTTTATCAGCATAATTCGCATTCCGCATGCTCGCGCGATTTGGACTCCCGTGACTCTCACTCGAATGCCTCGAATTCGCATACGGTAACGCTGGAGGCGTCGCTACACCGCCTGGCCCGGGGTAATCGCTGCCCACATGCCGTACGGAACTCTCGTTTTGCCAGGCGGAGTTCATGTTCGGATCTGTATCGACGCGTTGGGCCAAGGGACCGGAGGCGGCGTTGTAGGGGCTGGAAGTCTGCGGCATGGGCGAAGAGGCGTCGCCGTAGGAGTCGGTTTTGCTGGCGTTGAAGGCGGGGGAGTTGACGACGGGGGCTTTGCCGCGGGCGCCACCGTAGCGTTTGAGGATTTCTTTGGTGGTGATGTCGGCGCTGTTGGAGAAGAGGGAGGAGTCGTTGAGGATTTGGGCAAGGTCTTCTGGGACCTGTGGGAGGGAGAAGTCAGTAGGCTGGTCTTGAAAAGATGGTGTATGGGGTTGTACTCACTTCGCACATGCTCTCGTTGCACTCGATCAAACTGTGCACTGCCTCGATGGCCAGGAAACTGTCGTCGACTGGTATTTGCTCTTTGCCTCGGTGAATCACGTTTGGCGTGATGACAGTCGCCAAATTGTGGATGTCCATCTTACTCCCGCTCTCCTCGTCCACATGGCTGAATGACGAAACCCAGTTCATGAACGTGAACAGGACTTCCATGGTGTCCCGATGCGGCTTAGGTAGCAAACAGCACGTCAGATGCAGCACTCTTCGCCTCCGTTCGGCATCCTCAATCCGCTGTGAAGTGATCCAGAGCTTGTTCAGCTTGTGCGTGAGAAGGGGATCAGGCATCTCGCGCAGGAACTTCTTCAGCAGAGCGGCGACTTGGACCGGATTCTCCTTTGTGAGGTCAACCTCGACGGCGCCTTTCGCGTCGATCTCGTCCTTCACGTCGTTCAGGCGTTTGATGTTGCCGTTCTTCCGGAAAACGCCTTCCACGCTCATGTCCATGGTTTTCATCGCGCTTACAGCCTCCTGTACCAGACTTGGGATTCTGAGACTCCCGGGACCCACGCCATCCGTGCTCTCCTCGTAGTCACGTTCCAGCAGCTGCTCAAGCGGGACACCAAAGATGGCGGTCTTAGAACTCTTCGGCATCTTCTGCTTCGGCGCAAAAGCCTTGCCAAACTTGCTCCAGAACGTCGGCCGCTTCGTCTCGATCAGATCCAACAGCTCTTCTTGGTTGAAGTGTCCTTCCAGAAGAGGCTCCATCGTCAACACCGCCACGTGGCGCACGATGAAGTACTCCAGCGCTGTCAGCTCGGAGAAGTACTTCTTCGTGCCCGGAGGCCGCTCCATCTTCTCCTGGTCCTCCGACACGTCGCGTGTATGTCCATTGACCAACCGTGGAACAGGTTCCTGCGGTATCATGGGCTGTCGCGCGTATTTCGACGCGTTCGGCCGCTGCTCCCGAGTCTGCTGTGCTTGCACTATCCGCGGAATGTCATCCAAGGTCATGGTGTCATTTCTGCCAAACGTAAGCTGCGATACTTGCTCTCCGTTCGCATCGGTGTCTTGTACGATCTGAAACGTGCCCGTTCGCCTTCGATCTCGCCCATTGGGGCCCTCTGCAGAGCCGGGCCGCATGCCCTCCGGTCCATCAATGATGCGCGACTTTCGTACTTGTCTGCCGGCGTTTGACAGCTGCTTCTCCATTCTTGTACTTCGCAATCGGCGGATGTCACCCATCGTATCTTGCATCGCACCGCCGCTAGAGACGCCTGCGTACGATTTGCTTCGGGTGTTTGACCGCAACAATGGCGGATCTCCTTCAGCAGTCGGCGTGTGTCCCTCTCGCGAATCGTACCCGAGAAGATTAGGGTCATCGCTTGTGTGTGGTAGCGCGCCGCTTGTTCGCAAAGTTGCTAGTAGCCGGGCGTGCGCCACCCGTAGAAGGTGGACATATTGGTTTAGCCTGGTCACCTGCACCAACATTCCCAGTCTCGCGTCCGGTGGAGAATGTGCCTCACAGTACAATCTCTCCTGCTGGTCGCTCCACCTTGCTTGTTCTGAATCGCTGTTCAAGTCTCTGCCGCACTTGGAGCAGGCCAGACACTGCGAATGCAGGACACGATTCTGATCTCGCAAGCGGTAGCACTTGTCTTCGACCGCCTTGCTGCAGACCACACACGTATCTGCCGCCTTGTCCACGTATAGCTCTGCATCCGCTCTTGAGTCCCGATGGCTGTCCGACTCTAGCCGGTCGTCTAGCTTGCTGATGTCTTCGAGAAAGCTGGTCAGGCCTTCTACACTGCCCGTCTCGCGCTCGAGCTTTAGCGCGCCTGAAAGACATATCCGGATCATGAGCTTCAAATAATGCGCCAAACCAGTAACGAGCGAGAGCAGCTCTTGTGTGACTCCCAAACGTCGCACGCCAGTGTCTTGACTTTCTGCAAGCAGCTGGAAGAACGCGACAACCTTCTTGCACAAGAGCTTCGCCTCCCTGCTGTAGCTCAAGCCGGGATGAATAATGGTGTCGAATGTCCGCACGCCTTGCTCGCCACCGTTACGCTTAGGCCGGTGCTGCAACCGATGGTCCAGGTCGTCGGCGGACGAGAATAGCAGGTCCACGTGAGTGATGAACTTCTTGGCCGCCACGACACCGTCCATGTAGGCACCGTTGCTAACGTGCAACAACATGTCAGAGATGCACGTCGCCGATCTCTCCTCGAATGTACTGAGTGTTTGCCAAATCCAGTGCACCTTGAGCTCCACGGCTTCTTCCTCCTTGCGAACACTGGTCCTGAGCTCTTCACTTGCATCAGCGTCGGATGTGACGTTTCTTGACCGCTGTCGTTCCAGCTCCAGCTGCTCTGCTTCCGAGCCCTTCGCTGGCGGGGCATGCAGTCGTACATTCCAGTATTTATGGATCATGTAGCACTCCGGGTGCCAGTGCTGGTTGACGCCATTCCTGAAGATCTCCACGAACTGCTTGAGGATGGCAGTCTGGCAGCCATTGCACTTTTGTGCGAACTTCGTCGAGTAGTGGTAGTGGCAGAAGACATCGCCTTCGTGCTCGTAGTAGCTGTCCGATGCACCAAACACTGTCGGACACACGCTGCACGTGAAATGTTCAATGTGATATTTTCGCTCCAGAGCTGTGATGTACGATCCTCGCAGTGCCCCGCCGCAAGCATAGCAGAGAAGGTCCAGTCGCCGGAAATAGTCGGTTTCGCAGAGCGGGTACTGGTTCGGAGGCTGGTCGGGGACGGGGAAGAACTTGGAAGCTACAATCTTGTCGCAGTCCTATACTCATCATCAGCAGGTATACTTTCTACCAAAAAACACTGTTGCAAATCACGCACATGGCATGTGAAGCACTCCAAGTGATATGTATCGCCCAGCGCTCGTACAAACTGGCCCGTCAAGTGCTTCTGACACTTCCCACACATTCTCTGTTTATCGCTCGGTCGTCTGTCTTTCTTCGGCCGCTGTGGTCGCGCCTCGCTCTCGCCATTGGGATCTAGATGTCGCTGCTGCGAGCGCTCTACCGATGTGCCCGCGTCCAAGCTGCTACCGCCGTACCGCTGGGGCTGGGACGAGCTCTCCGATGTTGATCCATTGGTAGTGTAGAAGTTCTGCCGAGGTGTTGTAACTTGACTGTCGTAGTATGCGCCATTCACCGCATCCTGCGCTTCGCCGTCCGATGGAGCCATGCTGGCTGCTGCCCCAGCGGGCGACGAGGAGATGTTGTCTCGCGCGTTATCGACTACCCCTTCTCCCAATGCTCGACTATTCTTGTGCGACTCTGTTTGTACCACACTAATTTCCTCTTCCTAAAGGGGATGGTATAGCTCGTCCGTGACACTGTAGTATCGGCTCGGTGGTGTTTGTCGCACCCGCAGCGCTTGATGTCCGGGGGCGTGATGTGTAGTCGTCAAGCGCTTGGTAGTGCCGCCGTCATACACCCTGGACCCTGCTTTGGCCTTGTCGGGAAGAGTTGTAGGTGGTGGTGCGGCACCCTGGTCGTGAGCAGGAAAGTTGGAGCACCTGCAGATGTGAAACGCTGGGTCGATGTGCTGGAGCGACAAGAGGCAACGGGCCAAGAATAGACACGCAGCACTGCCGGCGAGCCTGTTATTCCTCTCTACCAACTCCTCCAACTAATAGTTTCCCGCGGGCGAATATGGTGGCTCGCGTTGGCGTAGTATGGGCGTGATGAATCGTGTCGGCTGCACGCGATGGAGGCGGTCGGGGGAGAAAAGGTGTCGCGTGGCGGGTGGCGCTCGTGGACCGTCCCCAATGCTCGCCGTTGCCAGGCAGTCCCCGGGTCCGACAGGCGCAGGTCACGAGATGTCGTGTCACCGAGGTGTCGGGGACGGGGGGGAGGGGGGGATGCGGAGGGCGCTGCTCTTCTCCGCCGCACAGGAGACAATGCAGACGCCTCCCGCGATGGGAATTAAGCGGCCTTCTAGCGCTCGTCGGAGCAGATGCCGCTAGCTTGAATCTGCATCTCCAACTCGGCTTGAATCAGGAAGCTTTGAGCCAAATCGTATACACATTCACTCTGCTCACGTGCCTGCGGTGAATTGTATTGCGGCTTGGGGAGTTGTTAGTCCTTCTTCGCCCACGAGACCTGTATCCTTGGCAAACAACAAGCTTTTGGATCCGAGCGCAAGCCACAACAACCAAGTGCGTGGTCTCCAAACACTCTTCACCCACCTCTACCGTTACCACAACCATGGCCGGCCCACCCAACCCTCCCGCCGCTCGCTCCACAGTCCCTCACCCCCTCTCCCGCCGTCGTCCTCCTCCAACCGGCGACGAAGAAACCACCAGCATCCTCCGCCTAGGCGAATACACCGACGTCCCCTGCCTCAGCGTCAGCGAAGCCAACACCATCCTGCAAAAAGTCATCGAAGCGCGCAACAAGCCTGATGAGAGCGGGCGCAAACCGCCTGGCATGCCGAGCTCAGATGTCTTCACCAAGACGGAGATCTACTTGAAGCTGTTTGCGCGCTTCAACGGGGAGCAGGCGGTGCAGCAGGTGGAGAGTGTGAGCTCGAAGTTGGTGGGACCGGGAGGCATTACGGGGTTTGAGAGGGCGCAGCTGGGTAGGTTCAGCATTACAGGAGAATGGGGAGTGATAAGGGCATGGGTGAATCAAGTAGGCTGACAATATGGTGATCCAGGAACACTCTGCTGCGACACGGTCGAAGAAGCGCGCACGCTCATCCCCTCCCTCGAAGGCAAGGTCTCCGACGACGATCTGCAGCAGGTCCTCGACGACATCTCCAAGCTACGCGACTTCTCATAGAATGGGTCGTCCCAGCGGTAGGAGTGTGGTCAGATGGATCTCTAGCACGTGGAAAGGGCTTCTGTCGAGAAGTGAAGAAGAGACGGTTCAAGCGGTTGACAGCAAGCACGGCAACTTGACGATTTTTAGCGAAGGCGTTGGATGGATGACGGGGTGTCTGAAGTGTGGAGCAATGTTAGATGGTGCCGGTCTTGGGTGGACGATAGTCTGCTTTGACTGCAGAAGACAAAGCTTCCTATCACTCGGTAGGCCTATCTGTTTCTCACTTGGATCTGTTCTTCTGCCTCATCTCACGGTATCTCCGGTGATGATGAAATCAGCTGCGGTGAGGTTGGGGTTGAGAATCAGGTAAACACAGTCACGGCACCTTCCACCTCAAACCTATGCACTTGCAGGGTAAGGTAATATCTATCTCAAGATACGCTTCTGTCGCTCCTCATTCATGTCTGCTCAAAGTCATCTCGAAGCGAAGATATCCCGAAATTCTGTCTGCATACTGAGCTTAGTCGAGCTGAAGACCCCTGCAGAATCCTTCCAGAATTTGCCTTTGGGCACGCACCAAAACCTGTTTGCCTTGCGCCAACACGGCTGAATGAGCAAAGTCTTGTCAGCAGACTTCGTTCGCTATATCCTTGACCTTACCTGAAGGAGCCTAGGAAGTGATGAGTACCAAAAACTGAGCTGCCAACGTAGGCATGGCGGCGGCTTTCGTCTGCAAGGAACCGGGCAGAAAGATCGGTCCGTTGGTTCTGCCACACGGATATAATCGCGTACAGTACTCTTCCTTCGAGCGCCCAAGCACCGCGAGCTCGCATTGGTCTTTGTCATCACTTCAGATGTTCCGATGGGCGGATATTGCGAGCACTGTGGCCGAGAAGCCGAGTATATGAGGTGAAGGCGTCCGCTACTATCAATCCCGTTCCACCCCATCGTCTATCGCTTATCTTGCTGCAAAGATGAAGCTTTCTTCTATGCTCGTCGGTGGTATCGGCCTCCAGATTTGCCATGTCCTCGGCCAGGCGACACAACCCGCGACCCACTCGATAGGACCCGTCGTAGACCTGGGATACGTCAAGTACCGCGGCACCACCAACCACACCGCCGGCATCAACTATTTCCGCGGCATCCAGTACGCTACCCTCCCATCCGAAAACCCTCCTCGCCCCACTGACATCTATCCAGATACGCCTACCCCCCAACCGCCTCCCTCCGCTGGCAAGCCCCCATCCCCATCGAACACCACAACTCCTTCAACGGCAGCACAATCTACGACGCCAGCGCCATCAGCCCGGCATGCTACATGTCCTTGCCCAAATCGACGTATACGCCTTACAACGAGTCCTTCGGCGCGAGTTTGTCCGGGTATTCGGAAGACTGTCTGACGGTCGATGTACTCGTGCCTGTGAACCCGATGGACGAGAGGTTGGCGGTGATGGTGCAGATTCACGGAGGCAGTTTTCAGTCCGGGAATGCGCAGGTGTTTCCGGGGGATGGGATGGTTAACCGATCGGAGGGTGAGTGGATCCGGTTGAAAGTGGAGGTGAGGCTGGTGCTGACGGATGGGAAGGGAGTATCATCTATGTGTCGATGCAGTATCGGCTGGGTATCTTTGGGTTTTTGGGCGGGAGTGCGATTGAGGAGGACGGGGTGTTGAATGCTGGACTGTTGGATCAGAGGGCGGCGTTGGAGTGGATTCAAAGGAACATTGCTGCTTTCGGTATGTTTTCTGACGTACTTCCGTACAATCGGGCTATTGTACTGACAGACCCAGGTGGCGACCCTTCGAGAGTTACCATATGGGGCGGCTCTGCTGGAGGTCGGCCAACTCCCTATCAGCATATCCGAACTCGTGTTCGCTGACATGCTCCCAGGAAGTAGTGTTGCTTATCAGCTCATAGCTGGAGGCGCTTTTGATCAACCACCATTCTCCGCTGCAATCGCGGAGTATCGTGGGTACTCTCTTTAACCTTGAAGACGGAGAGAACACTGACAGATGAAAAGCATGGTTCCAGCAGCTGCTCAACCAATCCGAACAGCAGATACAGTACTCCAATGTACTACAGCTGTCTGGCTGTTCCTCCATAACATGCCTGCGAGGCTTACCGGTTGGTGAGCTAGAGAACCTCAACCAGGCGGTGCAGAACGCATCAGTGAACGGCCCAGGTTCGTCTTCAACGGCACCGTCGAGAAGTTATAACTAACAGTACTCCAGGCAATGGCTACGGCCAAGGCATATACAACCCAGTCGTAGACGGCAGCTTCGTCAAAGAGCTTCCGAGCATAGCCTTCCAACTCGGCCACTTCCACGACGTCCCGCTCATCGTCGACCGCGACGCATACGAAGGTGTCATCTTCTCCGATCCCACATCCACCACACAAGCCGAAGAAACAACCGACGCACAACACATGTTCCCCTTCGCCGGCCCAGCGTTCTTCTCCCGCCTATACCAGCTCTACCCAAAATCATCGTTCAACTCGACCTTCTTCCAGCGACAGACCTGGTTCGGCGACTACCTCATCAACTGCCCGACCTACGTGATGGGCTTCAACGCCATCGAGCGCAACAGCAACCGCTCCGCGATCTGGAAGATGGTCTTCTCAGCCGGCACGCAACTCCACGGCGCTACGCAGAACTTCTTGAACTCCGCTACGACCGACTTTCCTACTGCGAATAACCAGACGCTTGTCGAGATTATGACGTCGTACTGGATTTCGTTCGCAGTGACGCATGATCCGAACACGATGAGAGTAAAGGATGCGGCGTACTGGCCTGGGTATGCGAGCGGAGGGAATGGGACGGGGGCTAATGGGGAGAGTGCTGGGTTTACTGTGCAGGCTGTTACGTATAGCAGTGTTGGGCCAGAGGAGGATCCGGACGTGAGTGAGCGGTGTGAGTTCTTTGGGGCGCATGCGTACAAGGTGCAGAACTAGAGGATGTGGCGAGAGACGAGCTGTCGCTGGGAAGTAATGATACGTCCTCTTCCTCACTCTTGTACTACAGAGAATGCTCATGTACTGACAGGCGAGGCCTCATCATGAATAACTGGACCCTGAAAATGAAGCTTTGTGGCCAACTGCTACCGAGGACGTGTACCATGTCATCTTCGCCGTGCGACAACGATGAGAACGTTTCGCCGGTAGCACACAACTGCCATTGATGTGGTACAAGAGATCCAAAATTTGGAGAAGCAGTCACAAGACAATAGGCGATCCTACGAAGGCATCTCATTGGTGCGCATCCCTCATTTCCACCTGAACGCGCTAACGAAGACAGGGGTAAGAAGTTCGAGACCGACAGGATGGATGCGCCCGCGCATTCCACACCTTTCCCTCTGAACTTCACAACACTCTTTCACCACTGTACAGCGTCACCGTCGACCACTCTCGCTAACCTTTCGATTCGTTCTCGCGCGACCTCGCACCACCGACACATTCTCCACCCTCAATCGCCAAAGTAACGCGCCAACACGATGTTCGCAAAGGCGGTTCTCCTCAGCGCACTCGCGGCCTGCGTCGCCGCGCAGAGCAAAGTCCTGTTCTTCACACACGTCCCGAACCCCATCACCGATGGCGAGGCTGCAGCGATCACCTTCTCGACCAACGACACCGAGAGCCCCATCACTATCATCCTGCGGCAAGGACAGCAGGGTAACCTGCAGACGGTCATGACGCTCACGGAGGATGCTGAGGATAGCGTGTTCATCTGGACGCCTCCCAAGTCGATCCCGAATGGGGTGGATTATGCGCTTCAGATCTCGGTACGCGACGCGTCGACAACATCCTTAGAAAAGCGCCGACGCTAACACCTTTCAACAGCAAGCCAACCAGACCAACTACTTCGGTCCGTTCACCATCCAGGGCGCGAGCCCGGCAGCCGTCTCCTCAGCTGCAGCCAACACGTCTACCTCCGCCGTCACTACCGCGACCACCACCATCGGCAGCGCGGCTTCAATGGGAACCGGCACGACAATGCACCGCAACACCACCATGAGCTCGCCCAGCCTCACCGCCACGAAGAAGACCACGACGACCAAGGCCACGACGAAGACAACTGCAGGCGGCGGCGCCTCATCCTCGGCCGGCGCAGGCTCCCAGGGTAGTTCGACGTCGGGTGCAGCAGGCCCGGACAACACCAACGCTGCGTCGTCGGACTTCAACGGCGGTAGCAGTCTGGCGCTTGCGTTTGGCGCGGTGGCTGCGGTGTTCTACCTGGTATGAGGATTCGTTGAGGATGGTTTTGCTGTAGTGTGAGCCAGGCGCTGAAGGAGACTCCCCAGCAGTCGGCTCTTCGGGATGGGTGTGGACGGCCCCTTTCGATAGTTTATTGTCTAATACTTGATCACGAGCGCAACGTACATGAGAGATTCTTGGTCACGGTATGCCTGTTCTCACGACTTCGGTCCACCTTTCAAGCGAGCATGAACGGATCTTCTCTCCAATGCTTCTCACATGGCAGTCCTCGGCTCGAACGGAAAGGGCAGCCGCTCCCAAGACCAAGCGGGTAGATCTCGGTAATTTTCATCACTCTAGCGCTTTCGTTTAGAGATCCTTTGGGAACCGCTATTCCGTGGAATCGGCCAACGACGTAGACGACGCGGCTGCTCAACGTGATTGATTATCAAAACGTCCGATGTGATATTTCGTACGAGCGATGCGACAAGTCGTCGTGGCACCCGTCAGCCCCGCGACACAAGAACTTTTTCCCCAAGCTCATCCATGTCAGCTGCAGGAACGGAAGCAGCACAAACTCCAGCTCTCCACAAAGATTAACTTTATTTGCACTTGCGGGACCCTGGACGCCGATGATGGCACCACCGCGCGCGAACTCGGTCCTTCCGCGCCTAGCGATTGGTGCGCGCAAACGATGGTCGTCGATGGTCGACATTCCAGAGGTTCCATCCTGTGCCGTTTCCAGGGGCGGTTCATTACGTAGGTTGGCACGAGATGGATGGGGTGGAGGCAATATAGGTGAACGGGGTGGTGCTTGGTTCTTCATTCTTGTCGCTATACACACTCTCTTCTGGTCATCAAACAAGACTTCTTATTTCTCTCGACTACAGCTCTGCGCGCTTTCTTACCGACGGTCCTTTTGAAAATGTACTTCCGCACGTTCCTTGCGCTCCTCGCGGCGCCGCTGGTGGTGCTCGCGCAGGACCCTAATGCTTTCATTATCCCGGACGAGGGCATTGCGGCGCAAGGTGGTGAGCCGTTGACGTTGGAGTGGAAGCCCTCGACGCAGGGGACCGTGACTTTGATTCTGCGGAGCGGGAGCTCGAACGATCTTAATGAGGGCACTGTTATCGCTGGTGAGTATTGCGCATTGGCGCGCAGTTGCAAGACCACGCGACAGGAGTGAAGCTGACAATATCGCGCAGACAGCATCGACAACTCCGGCTCCTACACCTGGACGCCCTCCAACAAGCTGACGCGCGGGTCCGACTACACCGTTGAAATCGTCTCCGACAGCGACCCGAGCGTGACCAACTACACTCCATACTTCGTCCTCGATACCGACAACACCGTCGCTTCCACCACGCCCACCGTCACGCTCGGCGCGTCCAGTACATCGATCGAGTCGCAGACGGGCGTCACCACTTTGACGGACAAGAGTACCGAGAGCAGCGCGGCTTCGCCGACGGAGACGGAAACGGAGACGAATACCTCCGTTGTAACGACCAAGACCAAGACTACGCCGACTGGTGGGATGAGCACGGGGATGTCCTCCTCTTCTTCTGGTATGTTCCAAAATCATTGCTCTTGCAGTAGAGCGCTGGGCTAACGTCTTGCGACAGGAATGATGACCGGCACCATGTCCTCAACCGGCGCAGGATTTCAGGGCACCGCCGCCGGTGCCTCTAGCGTCACGCCTGCCTCGGACAACGCTGGTGCTCGCGCGACGGCGATGGCGGGTATGTTGGGTGTGGTTGCGCTGGGTGCTATGGCCTTGTAAGCAGGATAATTGGAGAGGGGCTGGTAGAATAAGTGGTGGATGGATGAGCCATGTGCTGGTTCTTGATTGTGGCTTCTTGGATACCCAGATAGCATGGAGAATGCATGTGTCTTTCGCTGAAGTCGAAGAGAATGGAGCTCTTGTTCTCTCCATGCAGTGTTCGATGCTACTGCAGGTACAAGGTTCACGGATCTGGAGAAGTGGAGGACTCGCTCCTGTGTAGCTCGACAGACAGTAAATATGTTCCGTGTCTCGTGACAGCAACGTCGTCGTCGACTGATCTCACTGCCTATATGTGAAGGGTCTAACTTTGAACATAGCCAATGAGGTGGCTTAGAACCTCAGCGATTTAGTGCGTTTCAAGCAGTTCCTGCTGCAACACAGGGTAAACATCGCCTCCCCGTATCCCTGCAGGCGCGAGCGATGGCCAGCGAAGACTGTTGTGCCTTCTTTTCCTGACGCATGTGACAAACGACCACATTCTCGAAGACGACAGCGATCTCTGTCGACGAAGTGCTGATCCAGACCACCCTTGCTATCGATACGAGCGACGTTGCAGATCAAACAAACAATCCACCCCACCAACCACTGCATTGGCGTAATCACCGACCGACCACAACTCATAAACGACGACAACACCATGGCGAGTGTATACGCCGCCTTCCTGCAGGCGCCGAATGCCTCGCATCTCGCAAACGACGCCTCGATCAACTACATCACCACCACGACGAGCATCAGCGAACCGGCCGCGATCGTCAAGCATATCACCGCACAGCAGAAGCAGGTGACGAAGAAAGAGGAGCGCATACTGAGCACCATTGAGGGGCATGAAGATCTGCTCCTCGAAACAGAGACGACTTTGCAGTTCAACAACGGCGGTGGAGCCTTTTTGCCTAACATGGACGAGAACCTGCTCGACGAGAAGCTGGTGACGTTCCCGCTGCTGCATGTTGTCCAGTTCGACGCAACGCGTAAGATCAAGCAGATCCGTCTGTACTGGGACCAGTCCACGCTTCTGAAACAGGTGGAGGCAATTGGCAAGACAGGACGCAACTGGCCGATTCGCGACGGCAAGGCCCAGATCGAGGCCATCAACAAGAGCGTCAAGGCCACCGGAGGCGAGACCACCGGCGTGAAGTCACTCGCAGCACGCGGCCCCAACGATGTGGTCATCAGAGAGCACAAGAAGAGCGACAGCGTTTCTGCAACTCGCGGTCAAAGCACCAGCTTAAATCTGTTCGCCGCACGTGACCCGAACGAACAAGTAGGAAGCGACTATCAAGGTCCTAAGCTCGCACCACGCGCTTCCGCCAAGCCAGCACCGCGCAATTACAACGAGCTGTTCGCTAATGGCGAGTCTCCGCCTGATGACCCGACGTCGAACGTTAGGAGCCCTTCGCCGAGTAAGAAGGACGGGACTATTCTGAAGGCGGGCGCCGGCAAGCACTATACCGGCAATCGCCTCTTCGATGATAATGAGCCGTCTGGCGCGCGCTCGCCTGAGCGTAAGAAGGTGTTCAATCAGAAGTATGACCATTTCGCTTTTGGTGACGGGGAAGATGCGCCGTCTGGTCGTCCGATGAGCAACAACAAGAGCAAGGGCGCAGCGACCTTCAGCTTCGAGGATTTTTCTACGCCGCCGAAACACCAAATCAAAGAGCGTAGGGATGATCAGGTGCATTGGGGTCAGGTGGGTATTGTTCTCGTACATCATTGTTTATCACGACTAACGAAAACAGGAGGAGGACCAGCCCTCGCCACCAAAGCGACCGATCGTGCATGCCGCCCGGAAAGACGCCGACGCCCACTTCAATATGACGGATGAGAGGTCGCCAGCCGCGGCGCGCCCTCCGACCAGCAAGCAAGGCATGATGCTGTACGACGATCCAGTCTTTGGTGAAGACACAACCAGCCAGAAGGGTTCGCGCAGCAACACCACTTCCACCGACAACAGCCGCCGTGGCAACGACTTCAGCGCTCACTACCAGATGACCGACACCCAATCGCCGGCGCAGAAAGAGAACGCCGCACCTAGCGACTCGATGGAGCAGCACTGGGCCTTCAGCGACTCGAAGCAGGAGAAGAAGATCTACAAAACCGCTGGTGACGGCATGGGCGGACGTAGTGGCGGACACGACTGGATGACTGGCGAGGGTGATCAGAAGATCTACAAGACTGCGGGCGATGGTATGGGTGGGAGAGCGACGACAGGTCGGAGCTGGGGCATTGGCGACGAGAGTGATGTTGAAGAAGATACTGATAAGCGTTACAGGGGTCGAGGAAGGGGGCCTCAGGCTCAAGCGGGAGCGAGGCAGTAGTGGGGAGGTGGCGGGTGGGAAAGTGGCGAGGACTGGAGGAGTGGAGGATGATTTCTTTGGCTGATTTTGAAGAGGTGGTATCGGATGCATGGACAGCACGGCATGACTTTTGCTCACGCACGGATGGCGGCAACGAAGGCGATCAGGGCATGGTTTGGGGTGAACGCTTGCATCTGAGTGTATGGTGTCGACGGCATTTGGCGCGATGCATGCTTACGACTACTGGCAGTAGTGGTATAAGGTGTCAAGGGCATGTATTCGATCAGACTGCAACGATACTCAAGATTGATAACTTATGCATCCCATCACACATTCGCCGTCGTTGCGTTGCTCTACATTGACTACAGAACATCACCGTCACGACGAGCACTCACAGCCCACCGGGCTTCATATCCCCAACTTGCTTCCCCGCCGGCATCTCACCCGGAACATCAGAAGAACTACTCCGATCATCCCCCTTCCCCTCCAATACCGCCCCCTCCGCTCCCGCAATCTCCATCGCCTGCTCATCCCGTCCATGCATCAAATGCTCCAGATTCACCTTCGGCCCTTTGAACCACTTCCTCGCATCCACCACCCACCAGACCAGCACCCCGAGCATCGGCCCGCCATACACCAACGCCGTGTAATTCATCGTCGTAGCGTCCAGATCACTCCCCGTCACGCTCGGCAGGCACAGAATCGGCACCATCAAGATCACGAACGCGCTCGCGACCACGCCGATCGGGATGCTATATCTTCCCAGATTCCACGGGCCAGGACGGAAGCGATTCCCGACAAAAAAGACGCGGATGAAGATGGGCAGAGTGAAAGCGACGAAAGCCGCGCATGCGCCTATGGAGAAGATGGCACCGATCGCTATTTCGCCGCCGAAGATGAGCAGCAGAAGCAGGCAGCCGATGGCGTTGTTGAACCAGACGGCGTTGACGGGCGTGCGGGTGTGGGTGTTGACGTGCTTCCAGAAGCGGGAGAGGGGGAAGCAGTCGTCACGGGCGTAGGCGAAGGTGACGCGGGAGGCGGCGATCTGGCACGCTTGGCCCATGGCGAAGCCGGCGATGATGGTTAGGGAGAGGATGGCCAGGGCGACTTTTTGCGGCAGGCAGTCGATGAGGTAGGCGGCGAAGGGTTGGCCGAGGTCGCTGTTCAGGGCGCGAGGGATGGAGACGACGGTGTAGGCAACGATGAGTTGGAGGGCCCAGCCTGCGACGCCGCCGACGGCGCTGGTGAGGAAGATGGCGCGGGGGCTGGCGATGTTGGCGTTGCTGCATTCTTCGGCGAGATGGAAGGGGGAGTCGTAGCCGGACATTGTCCAGATGACGCCTGTTGGAGACGATCAGCTGGAGGAACGTAAAGTCGATCGGGGTGCAAGACTACTTACCGATGAACGACATCAAAACACCAACTCCCTTCGGGTAGTCAGTCCCCTGGTATATGTTGCCCCAAACCTCGCTCGAGGGATTGAAGCGCGACAGTCCTCTTGACGTCCTATCGCATGCCGCAGGGATCAGGATGATGACGACGAACAAGGCGATGATGTTGAATGTGCTTCCAGCGCTGTTGACACGAGCGATCCACTTCGTCGGAAAGGACGCCATGACGCTGTGGATGCATTGGATCAAGACGGTCAGCAGGAACGTCTGGTAGTTTGTTGGCACGTAGCTCGGGTTTTGGATGCTGCCGCTGGCTAGGATCATGGCCGCGGTGCCGTAGTTGACGCTGGGTGCTGACGTGACTTGGCCGATCCAGTTGCTGGTGTATGTTAGTCAATCACAACAAAGCGGACTTCGAGTCGATCAAGCCTTACCTCCAACCAGTAATCCAAGCAGCCAACGGTCCCCACCCAGGCGGCGCAAGAACAGCAGCAGCATAGTAGAGTCCACCAGATGTCGGCATCGACGAGCAGAGCTCTGCCATGGAAGAAGCAACAGATTGGATGCCCACCATTGCCACGAGCCAACCCCATGTCATCCCCGCCGTTCCGGCATACCCCATCCCATACCACAAGGTCGTCGCAAAGCTCGGCAGCAGTCCTAGGACAGCGAACGAGACACAGAAGGTCGTCCACAATGTAAACTCCCGTTTAAACTCTGGTCGGTACCCCAGAGCAGCAAGAACTTCCTCATCCGAGTTCCATTCGCGACCCGAGTCGTTGATCGGGACATCGCCGCCTTTGAGAACAGATGTGACGGGTTCCTGCGAGACGCTGACAGTTCGACCTTTGCCGGCGGAAGACGCACTGGCGTTGCGGTCCGCCATCTTGTCTTCCAGAATGAGAATACAATACGAAAGGACTTGAAGAAAGGAATACAAAAGAAAGACCTACAGCTTACCATAGAGGTGAGGTCCGATAACGAATGCTCGGCGACGTGATGCGCACTGCAGCTTCGCTTCCGACAACCAAATACTGGACAGCGGCCAAACCCAAAGAAGCAGCCATACGCCGTCTGCGAATGAAGGGTCGCGGTGGTGCAGTGAGTTGCACGAGGGTCTCGCGTGGGACTTGGGGCGTGGGAGATAGCGAGATAAGCCCTGTCGCCGTCTGGCGGCCGTAGGCGGCCTTCGGATGACATGAATAAGGCTGGTGTAGAAAGAAGTCCGGTCGTCGAGCAGGGCCCATCGCCATATTGGCCGGAGGTACTGTTGGCATTTGAGCTGGACATCACGCCCTCATCAAGCTGCCAACGGATGCAAGATGATGAAAGAAGGATGTTGTCACGAGGAAGCAAAAGTTGATCTTCGATGAGGTTTGCAACCTTCACTTGCCCCGCACGCACCCAAGGCACCCAAGCCGATGGTCTAGACCGACACTCATACTTGTTGTTCGACAAAATGAATCAACGCCACCAGAGTCTTGGACAAAAAGGCAAGATAATCAGCAATAGCAGTGGTCGCTTGTTCGTGGGGACAACCGCTACGGTAAGTCCACATCTGACCAAAGCATCCCATCCAACCCCCGATGCCTCACAACAGCCGCCTCAAAATCCGCAACCCCAACCTCCTCAGCCCTCCCTTCAGCATAAAGATCATACATCTTCGCAATGTTCCTCCCCCTCGGTGGCAGAGCCTCTTGCCATTCATCCCACTCCCAAGAGACCTCCTTTACCTCGCCGGTCGAGAAGTCCTCCAACTGAATCGGAATAGGGTACGCGCTGCCCTCGGACTGGATGAACGGGCCTCGCTCGTTCGACATCTGGATCCGTCCTTTTGAGCCGGTGATGGTCCAGGTGAAGGGTGAGGAGCCGGGAAAGGGTGGGCCGGTCAAGAATTTGACAAGGAGAGATGCTCCGTCCGCAACGCTGGACGACTTCTGGAGTGTGCCGTGGACTGATACTAGATCAGGCACATTGGAGCGCGTTGGTCCTTCTGTGCCGTCTTCGCGGATGATGGTCTGTTCTGGCCGTTGGATCTGGAGGTGTGCATTCGACGTCTCATACTCGCCGAGGACAGAGTGAACAAAGTCAATCACTGTTTATTGATCAGCCTCACTCTGACATCTAGGACCTGATCAAGACTTACTATGCCCAAAGGCAATCGTCACCGGGTTTCCTCCAACACTCTTGTCCAGAAAATACGCCAGACCCTCCGAGATACTATTCCCTCCACCACGAGAGGTGTACGCCTGAACATCACTGCTAACCACTTTCCCAACAGCACCGCTCTGCACCAGCTCCTTCACTTTCAACGTAGCAGGAGCGACCCGAGCTTGAAGCCCAACCAGAGTCTTCGAGCCACTCTTCTCCGCCTGCGTAGCAAGTTCAGACGCCCGACGAACATTCTCCGCCAGAGGCCATTCGACGAAGACGGCCTTGCCTGCCTTCACGCTCGGCTCGATAGTGCTGTAGTGCACATCAACCCGTGTTGTGCAGACAACTAGATCGACATCCGGGTCTGCAGCTAGTTGTTCCGGGGATCCGTAAGCTTTGACGGTGGATTCCAGGCCGTAACCTTCAACTGCTCGTTTTGCAGCTTCCTCACTCGAGTTGAGCAGAGCTAGGATCCTGTATCTCTCTCTGCCGCGCTCGGAAAGCAGGTATGGGAGGTGTCCTTCGCTGGCCCATGAGGTCTTGGCTGACTGGGAGAGTCCGATCAGTGCTAGGCGTATGGGAGGCATATTGTTTGGAAAGCTGGCTTTGCAGGTTGCATCGCATCAGTAGTGACGTAGGCATCGTCGCGCTTTTATATGACCTGAATTCCATGATCCGGATGCCGTACGGCATTGACTGTTGAATATGGCTTACACATCAAAGTCGGATTCGCAGCAGTATGCGCGCATTAATAATCAGCCTGCCAAAAGCTTTAGCCGCCCCATGAATCGCGCACCAAGAGGCACTTCCTGCGTTGCCCAGAATAGTATTGATGTGTTTACTCATTGTGTGGTTGTAGGCTTGTATGCTTGATCGTGCATAGTGTCAGGTCGCAAATCATGTAGTAGCATTCATGTCAAGCATTTTCGCTGGTAAATGCCGAAGGATGCGACGATCGTGTCAAACATGCCACGTTTCGATTCACGACCGCACAACTCCAAACCTAGTCTACCGTTTCGAATAGCACGGCAAGATAGTAGGTCTTTTCATCATGGCAAAATTCGTTAGCTTGGGCCTGTGCCTTATGATGCTGCGCAAAGCCGCCGTCTGCACCACGCCAACCAAAAGCCGAGGAGGCAACAAGTTCACCCTCGAAGAAGAGATCTACTATCGAGACACCGGCGAGTTGTTGCCAGGAGTAGAGTGGCGCCAGACTGTCTTCGGCAAAACGTGCAGATCGCATGCAGACTGCGCGGGAGAGTGTCCGGTAGGGTCCCTGTAGGATGAGGTCTCGCAGAATCAGCGTTGCTGATGAATTCGAATGCAGGAATTCACGTACGACATCTGTCTACCCGAAGAAGAAGCCTTCGGGCCTCGAGATCTGGAGGATGACGATTGTGGTACGCGAGTGCCGGGGTGGTGCGTTTGCAAGCCGCTCATCGGGCAAGATACTGGCGAGTCCGAACACCATGAGTTGTGATCCGCCTGGAATGGAAAGAGCTCAGTAATAGCTACTGCTGGTCGCGCTCCGTTCGTAATCGAGGCCTGCTCCAGGGAATGCTCCAGGTGGGTCGCCTCTGCGGAAGCGCTCCTCGCCTCCGCTATCCTCCTCATCGCCTCGGAACGCAAGGTCCTCTGGATCCGGAGGTGCACGTAATTGCGTCAGTATGTACGCGTCGAGCGTGGGGGGCTCGTAAGCCTGTGGAGTGTGGTACTCTCGACCGGTTGGCAGTCTCGCAAGTAACGGCTCGAATGGTGGTACAGTCTGGACATTGACTGCGCTATTCTCCCGATCCCATTTGGCTTCGAGCATTTCCACAACGCGCGCTTCTTCGAGCCTGCCGGCATCCATACCCCATTCCCCGCCCTTCTCGATGCGGCGGTCTTCGCGCTTTTCTTGCCAGCTTTGCTTTAGACCTCTAAAACCTTTGCGCTTGCCGTCTTCGAGCTCGACAGCCAGACCGAGTTCTTTCTTTGCACCCCTGAGCCATGCCAATCCTTCGCCAGTATTGCCGGAAAGCTCGGTGTCGATGGCCAGAAAGCGTATAGACTTGGCTCTGGCTGTCCGGCGGAGGTCGTTGGCATACTTGGACAGATCTTCATCGACCTTGCCCGCAGTATTTCCAGTCAGGAGCCCGCAGGCCTGACTCGCATGCTCTGCGGCGGCTAAGCATATGCGAGCGAACAGGTGGGCACGAACTTTCGGTATCGTTGGAGCTTTGAACATCCAGTCCCGATTGGTCTCGTCTCGATCATCTGCCACAGCTGCCGCATACGGATCGTCTTTGGAAACGACGGTCAGAGTGGCTTCTGCGAGGGCCAGGGAAGCCAAAGCAGATATGGTCGAAGGTTGGACGTCGATGGGAGATTCCTTTGATGCAGATACAGACGGTACTGAAAGCAAGTATTTGAGAATGCTGTGGGCTTCCAGCAAGTGCTTCATGGCTGTGGCGAGAGCTGTCGTTCGCTGGTCTTGCGACAGAGAGGGCGAGCCGTGCAAGAAACCCAATTGCGACCGTGCCTGGTAACATGTCAGTGGACTGAATCAGGTATCATCCGTAGGGAGCCTCAAGGAGTTGTTCCGGATCAGGAGAAGTCGACAATACGGCCCCTCGTAGTGAAAGCGAACGTTTGCAAGGAAATATTCTTACCAGTAACACATGTACATGAGCCAGTGTTGAGAATGTAAACGCAATCTCATTGTGTATTCCCGTCAACTTAGGCCTAGGTGCTTCACGACCAGGCAGAGCTGCTGTGAGTGGAGTTCGCCATTCGACCTCCAGCGGCTTGACAACATCGACATCGACCCTTTCAGTTCCCACGTCACGGAAGCTGCTCGCTGTGTTCAATGCCAGCAGATACGGGATGTAGTTCGTTAAGGCATCTTGCACGATCGAGAGATGGCTGGAGCGCGATTGAGCCGGCAAACGCTTGTGCTTCTTCAGGGTATCCTTCAGCACTGAACGTTTGGTTGTTGCTTGTAGTGGTAGAGAAGGGTGTGTAACTGACGAGAAGCAGTCTGACAGTAGAACGGAGCTTGTTGTGGGTAACGCAAAAGGGAACGGCATGGTTGTCGAATGGGTGCTGTTGAAGGTGGTTGGAGACGGGACGGGTTGAAGACAGGGAGGAAAGATCGACGTCAAGGAGTTGGCACTTGGCGTGTCACGTTCGCGTGCCTCATCAACCTCCCTCCTATCCTTACCATACCCTCTAATTACAGGCTCTACAACTCATCAGTGCATTGTCACAGTCAAACGCAGCGGCAGGAGTCTCATAGACAGAAAGTCAAACGCAGCGGCGGGAGTCTCATGGATAGATACTACAATACTAGCTACTACGATATGGCCCGGCCTGCGACGACCTACAGCTTAGACGCCGACGACGACCTGTGTGCCAGCATTACACTCGTTATCCTACGCAGTGCGGACAGCTATCTGCTTACTGGACCGCCGTCACCAGCTTGCCCGTGTTGGCCCCAGAGAACAACTGCATCCAGGTCTTTGGAATATCCTCAAAGCCTCCCTTGACGATGTGCTCTCCCTCATCGATCTTAAGCTTGCCATCTTTAAGAGCCTTCTTGAAGATATCGCTAGCTTCGCCGTACTTGTCCATGTCTTTGGAACGCAGGTTAGCAAGATGCTCCCAAGACAACGGAAGAACGGCGACTGTACTCACAGTCGAGAACAATGAAGCCCTGGCACTTGAGGCGCATCGAGATGATTTCGAACCAGTTCTTGATCCCTACCAAGTTACCTGCAAGCAGAAGGGTAAAAGGGTCAGCCAGTGTCTCAGACATGGTAGGGTTTTGCCCATGGGTTTGGTACCGGCGGCATTGTTGTAATTGGATATGGCACCGCAACACGAGACTCGGCCAAACTTCGCCATGCGGGTAAGCATGAAATCCGTGATCTCACCACCAACATTGTCGAAGTAAACATTGGCAAATCCATCGGGACCCGGCAACGCCTTCTCGAGATCTTGCTTAAAGCTGTCTTTCTTGTCTGCCCGGGAACGAATCAGCCAGTGTTCTCATTCGAGAGCGTGCAAGAAGGCTCCTTACAGTTGAGACAAAGATCTGCTCCCAGGCTCTCAACCCACTTGCACTTCTCATCGGACCCGGCCATTCCGATGACCTTCTTGCAGCCTAAGATGTTCTTCGAGATCTGGACTGCCATCATTCCAGTGGCGCCAGCGGCTCCGGACACAACCACAACATCGTCCTTGGTCGTGTTCACAACTTCAGTCAATCCAAAATAGGCCGTTAATCCAGTGAGCCCCAAAGCGCCGAGGTAATGCGTCTTTCCCATACCGCCAGGAAGATCTGGCGCGGGCTGCAGTTGCTGAGCAGGCAGAACAGCATACTCGGACCAGCCAGTGCTCGCGATCACGGTATCGCCTTTCTTGAACGACGGTGACTTGGACTCGACGACCTCTGCCAGACCGCGGGCGTGCATGGGAGTACCCTCCTTGACCGGGGCGGTGTACAAGCGCTCAGGGTTGATGTATTTGCTGATCCATCCACGCTGCGCCGGGTCGTTGGAAAGGTATGTCAGCTTGACAAGCACCTCGTCGTCCTTGGGGTCCGGTAGGTCTTTTTCGACCAGTTTGAAAGTTGCGTTGTCGCCATCTAATTCAGGCATGTTCTCGGGCTTCTGGTTGAGAAGCCATTGTCGTGCTTTCACCATGATTGGAGCTGATCTTCGGTATGCGAGTTTACGAGATTGGACGCTTCGACGGGTATGTTCAATGTTGACAAGTATCGCAGAGCAGCGAACGACGTAATAACGAAAATATAGCTACCGAGCTTGCTACCGCGGCTTGGAAATCGATAGGAGCTTGAAAATCGAGTCTCCAATGTTTCTCGCCTTACGTTGGCTGGCCATAGCGCCCGCTTCAACACACATGCCCAGCAAAGTGGATGTCCTTGATCAACAGCACCACATTTCACCCTGCTGCCAAAACAATCGTCATCACGACAACGAACAGAGACAATGGGGCTGAACGACATCTGACCGGATCCAGAAGGATGAGCACTCCCGAGGATGAACGAAGCTGGCTCCACTGGCTCACTACCCCGCCCATTGGAGTAGGGTCGCGGTAAACAAACGTCAGGCGATGAACGAGAGGTAGGACAATTCTTCTGCTTGCACGAATTTATCCTTACAGTCACAATTCCTACATTGCCATAAAATCTTAACAACAGCAACATGACCAACGTTCCAGATTTTGACAGCCTCCCGGAGGTGAAGGGCATGCCGAAAGGTGCGCATTGACTTGACATATGTTAAACAGCAGAGCTGACGATCGAGTAGGCTGCGCCTGGGGTGTATTCGACAAGAACGGCAAGAAAGACGTCTACGGCTGCCTCAACCTCGTTACCCCAGAAGTGATGAAGGCAGCCTACAAGGAAGCCAAAGACGGCGTTTCTGTCTCTCTCAACTGGCCGATTGGTGCCATCCAGACCCCTGGCTTCGGACGCAAAGGCCTGGTCCACAAGGTCGTGTCCTTCAAAGGCAGCCCGCTAGACGCTCATGGCTACGACGACGAAGTCGAGTTCAACACGCAATGTAGCTCCCAGTGGGACAGTCTTTGCCACTTCCACCACCAAGCCAGCGAGTCGGGCTACAACGGTGTGAAGACCAACGTCGAAGAACTCACCCAGACCTACGGCAACGAGGACAAGGACATGAAGCTACCCACGCTCCAGCACTGGCACCAGCGTGGCGGTCTTGTCGCTCGCGGCGTGCTCCTCGATTACGTGCGCTATGCCGAGGAGAACGGCATCAAGTACAACTGCTTCACGGACCACCGCATCTCGACCGACACGCTCGAGAAGATCGCCAAAAGCCAAGGCGTCGAGTTCAAAACTGGCGACGTCCTCATCGTCCGCTCCGGCTTTACGGAAGGTCTCACTGGCGTTTCTGGCGACAAGCAGCAGGAACTCATGGGTTCGCACAAGACTTGCGGCGTTGAAGGCACGGTCGAGTCCGCAAAGTGGCACTGGAACAAGCACTTCGCCGCTGTAGCAGGGGATGCCATTGCTTACGAGGCCATCCCGCCAGTTAGAGAAGACGGCTCGCATGGGACCACTGCGGAGCTCGTGTTGCATCAGTATTTCCTAGGTACACTGCCTTCCCGACTTGCCTTTCGAGACATTTGCTGACGGCTTCTCTTCATTATAGGCTTGTTTGGTATGCATATCGGAGAGCTCTGGGATCTGAAGGCGCTGGGGGAGACGTGCAAGAAGCTCAACAGGTATAGCTTCTTGTTGACGAGCTCGCCATTGAACGTGCCTGGCGGGATCGGGAGCCCGCCTAACGCAATTGCGATCTTCTAGAGATGGACACTGCAGAGATGACAGCAGACGACAATCGATCTTTGCAGATCCGCTGGGTTGGTTTGACGAGCTCCAATCAATGACTTACAAGTCACTTCGCTCCCGTGCGTACATTGTCATCCCCACTTTGCTCCAATACCCACGTTCTCACTGCTGCTTTATTCCAACCCAAGGTACAGATCATTACTCCGTTAGAGCATGTCCCGCGATTCCCCTCCTTATCCTTGTAAGCCATATGCACGCTCTACCGACGCCGACATGCAAGGACCCGCTCAGTGCATGTTGTGTAACTGTACAGCCTCACGGCACGGTGGCCTCGAGCACACATATACTGTTGCCAGGGCCCTCGAGCCTCTCGATGCAGCATCTCTTCCGCCATGGTGGCACCTGCAAAAGCTGCTGCGCGGTCACTCAAGCTCACATTCCCAAGTATTCGAAATGAGAAACATCCCAGTTTCAATATCTTCATGAACAACGTTTTCCACCATCCAAAGAACCGCAAAGCGCTTGTTGTTTCGAGAAAAGAGAGTCTGCATGCTGAGTTCGAGGCCCAGCTTCGTGCGATGTCTGACATCGACGAGCCAGCGATACAGCGATACATGACTGAAGCACGCGATAGCTCCCCTCGCCATTTATTCTTGCTAGCATCTATGGCGTAGGCAAACTCGAAGACAGCACTGGAGCAGTGGAACACCAAGCACGCAAGATTGAAGGCGAAGTTTCCCAACTTCTCACCCCACGTGAGCACTCTCAAGCTCCCTCGATATCTGGACAGAAGAATAGGGGAGACTCTGCGAAACAAGGTGTCGATGCCAGGGAAATTGCCATCCCACGAATAGAAAGTGAGAGGCACAGCAGTGACAAAGACCAATGGAGAAAGTACTCATACGAAAAGTTCGCTGCCCAAGATCGTTAAGATGAGCCCCGACGTCGAGTTCGACAAGGAGACTATGGACAGGGCATTCCAGGACGCGGCCGATCGGTTGAAGAGCGGCGCAGGTAAAATCGGTAACTTCAACAAATCGGTGGGAGAGCTGGAAAAGACCATCAAGCGGGTAAGTGGTGATCGTGCGTTGCAGCTGCAGATCTAGCGAGCTGATTGTGTTCGCAGTGCCTTGGCGAGGAGTCCGACGAGTACTGGAAGCGAACGATGGGAGGCTCGTGAAGTTTGGGACGATCAGGCGACGTAGTAGAAGAAGTGGCAGTCAGCTTCTGGCTTCTCCGTGACCCTAGCGCCCGCTATGAAGACTCCCGTTAGGCGATGCTGTTCCTGCTGTCTCGGAGAGCTGAATTATCCCTACTGTCTCGGGGGCCTATACTTTCCGCGTATTCTCCTCGCCTCCCGTCTTCTCCGCTAGAGAATCTCCTACTAAGAGGCTTCAGAATATGCTTTCTTTACATTCTAGACTGCGGAGACTGCCACTTCTTCCACTACGTCGCCTGAAGCGAAGGACGGGAGGCCCATGAAGTTGAGACGATGCATCTCATCCATCATAGAACGTTGCAAAAGAAAGCATTGCAAGGTCTACGTGTCTCCATTAGCATTTGCGTAGAACACTCCTCATATAATGTACACTGGCTCGCATCTCATCTCAATGAGCCACCTGCTCATCTCTCATTCACACCGCGAGTCCTCCCTACTTGAACCTCTTCTCCGCCGCCTTCCAGTTAACCACATCCCACACCGCCCCAAAATACTCCGCCTTCCGGTTCTGATACTGCAGATAATACGCATGCTCCCACGCGTCGATCCCCAGCAACGGCCGGAACTGCCCCACCACCGGATCCTGGTTCGCGTACGTCTTAATGCCAATGGCGCCGGTCTGCGTATCCTGCACCAGCCACGCCCATCCGGAACCCTGGATCCCCGCAAGCGCGGCGTTGAACTTCTCCTTCATGGCGTCGAGGCTGCCGTAGGAGTTATTGATGGCAGTAGCGAGTTGACCAGACGGGGGCTCGCCGCCGCCGGAGGATTTCGGGGCGAGGTTCTCCCAGAAGAGGGTGTGGTTGATGTGGCCGCCGCCGTGGAAGTTGATGAGGGCTTGCTGGGCGATCTGGCCCTGGATATCGCCTTGGGACTGCACGTCCATCATCTTCTCTTGTGCGGCGTTGTAGGAGTTGACGTAGGTGTTGTGGTGCTTGGAGTGGTGCAACTCCATGATCTGGCCGGAGATGGCGGGCTCGAGGGCGGCGTAGTCGTCTGTGTACATCCGTCATCGTTAGCTCGTCTCTTCTCTCTTAACGTTCTATCGGTGTCTCTTACATGGCAGATCAGGCAATGTCGCCTTGTTCCTCGCAACCGAGGTGCTGAAGCATGCAGCTCTCGCTGTTGTAGACGGTGCTGCTGTCCGCAGAGCATTACGCACGGCGCTGTTCTTGAGCATTGTCGTCGACATTGTGGTATGTGGTATAGTCGATTGAGGGGTTACTGGAGTTGTAGAGTGAGAAGAGAACGAGCTGCATCGCTCTTATGCAAGTGTTTATCTCGAGGAAGGAGCTTGGGTCAACACGACGTCACCGCACCGCACGTGCTCGGAGCTCACTCCATGGGCGAGCGAATGCGAGGTCGGAATCACGGATACAATACATCAAAGAGTGACCTGATAAGTATTGCAATAAAAAGCATGTATTGTTACTGGCCAGTTCCGCTACCGTAGCCTTCCCATCGATGTATACGAAAAGAGCACCAAGCTGAGATGTAGAACGACCCAAGACCAACACAATGCAACGCCTGCTCATCAATGCCATATGCTTCATCCTAGCCATCCATCATCAACATCATCACCATCCGCCTTCTCACCACCACCGAACCCCAGGTCCAACTTCGGCGCCTCCAGCTTCGGCGCAGCCTCAACCTTCTTCTTCGGACTCTTCTTCGGACTATACCCCCTCGCCTGCTCCTCCAACGTCGGTCCTTCTCGCACATAGCTCGTCTCCCAGCCATCTTCTGCCGCAGCAGCGACCCACGCCCGTAAGCCGTCGTGAACGCCTCCGTAAAACTTCTCCTTGCAAGTGCGCAGGGTACTACCCAGGACTTTCTCGAAGCCGGAGGCCCTCAGTTCGGAGCGGAGGGCGTTGCGCGCGATGGCGGTGGGGACGGAGGCAATCAGGCCGTTGAGGAGGTCGAGGTGTGCGGTGATGTAGGTTGTGGCGTCCCATTCTACGCCGCCGATGTAGGGTGCTGCTGGCACTGGGGGGCGGATGCCTGGGAAGTGGCGTCGGGTGTATGTTGCTTCGAGCACTTTAGCACGGTCGGCGTCGTCAGAGGACTCTTGTGCGCTGTCGTTCGTGGATGATGAAGTGTTTGGCCGTGGCAAAGGTATGACATTCAGATGATGCAGGAAGATCCAGAAGACTTCCTTGGTCACGTTGGACACCTCGCGCGACCACAGCTTGTACGGCCGTGGCACTCGCATATCGAGGACGAAGTCGACCGGTCGTACATCTTCTGGCTTCGATGGCTCTCCAAGGTAGGCCAGGATCTCGTGAGCTCGCTCCTCCAACGAGACAGACGCCGAGCCCATAGCAGCGGCAAGGTGGTTGACTGTGATCTGGATGTTAGTCCGAACGCTCCTCATGTTTATGGCGTCCTTGACTTACACAGAACAGTAATCACGATCGCCCTCGTCCCATACTCCGCCGGACCCTTCTTGTCCTCATCGAACAACATCCCGATCAAGGCCGGGAACAGTTTATCTGCGACCTTCTCCAGCTCTTCCATGGCACGCTCAGTTGTGCACAAGCCTTTCAAGCAAAGTAAAGTCTCATGCAAGAGCTGATCTTCATGCTCCTCTCGCCACTCAATGTCCAGAATCTTGTGCAGCAGACCGACGATCTCAGTCATCCCACCTAGTGACAGGAAGCCGTCAACCCATGCCACCGTCTCGTTTCGAAGCAAGATGCGGAGCTTGTGCAGTCGTCCCACTTCCATCTGGACCGGGTCCGTGTGTTTGCGTAGGTAGCTAATGTAGTCGGATGGCACGGCGGGAAGAGAGCCACGCTTCTTGTCCATGGAGGCTCGTGGAGTTGATGCTGTTGTCGGGACCCGAGTCGTCGATGGCTCACGATTCCTGCTCTGCGATCGTTGTTTCTTGGTTGGCGACGAGTCATTCGTGCGCTTGTCGGCTTTGGAGAATGTAAATGTACGTGACCGTGGCCGCGAACGTTTGGTGGCTTTCGAGGAGTCCTCTTCCGTCGTAGGTGTTTCTGCCTCCTGCGTGGCCTTCGCGGGAGATTGAGGCTCATCGCTGTCCGTGCTGCCTGCTGTGCCTGGAGGACTGCTGCCGGCTGCCTTTGCTGACTCCATATCCTGCTTGATGAAGTCTGCTTTCACGCGAAGGGTCAAAGAGCGCATCTTCTGTCGCATAGCTTGCGGCACGTTCCTGGAATCCAGCACTGCCTCAAATGCCTTGTCGACTTCCTTCTCATCCAGAGGCGCGTCTGCTTTGCCGGCATTCTGACCATCCTTGTTCCCGCCCTTGCCCTGGAAGGCGGCGACTGCAGCCATGACTCTTCCCCCAGCAGTGCGTTTTGCGATCGTCAGCCTATCCTTCACCGGCGCCTGCTCTGTGCTGCTGCCGCTGATCTTGCGCTGTCCCAAGTCTTTCGCCACAGGCGCCGGTCTGGTGTCCTCTTTACTCCGCCGGCAGCCAAAGTCTTCTGATCTCCGCCCTTCCATTGCTGCGCGTGTGCTCTCTCCACTAACACGTCTCTCAATAGCCTCAACAAGGCTCGTGCCGGTCGCGTACATGCTCTTGGGTCTGCTAGACAGGGTAGGCCTGAGTTCCGGCTGGTCTAGGCCGCCATTGAAGTTGCGTTGTTTCGAAGGTGAATAGTCCTTTGGCGTGTACCTGTTGATCTCCTCCTCTACACTCTGACGTTGCTTCTTCCCGTCTTTGCTCTCAGGACGCACCTTTCCCGTAGACGCATACTGCGCCCATATGGGAGTCTCTGCGGGTGTTCGACCGTTAGAGGAAGATGGCGGGGTGGTGTTCTCTTTATCCCTCTGGTTCTGGCTAGAAAGATCCTTGCTGGACCTGTTCATGCGAGCAAACATCCCCGCTAGGTTCGTTGAGGACTTGGACTTCTTCGAAGCAGTGGGGCCATGCTGAGAGGCATCTTGCTTGGGCCGGATGTCGCTGCTGGTCTTCGAAGAGACCATGTTCCGAGGCCGGCTTTTGGATGGCGATGCGGACGGTGACCGAGCATTGTTCTGTCGTTCTCCCAGTACCTTCCCTCTTGATACATGTGGGTGATCGGGCGGTAGCAATGGGACGGTCTGTGTCCTCATGTTCGAGACATTCGCAACCGTGGAGTCGTCAGATCGGGCTTTGGGCGAGACAAGGGAGCGGAGGATGTTCGACTTTGAGGAAGCATTGCGTCGATGTCCAGGCCTTTGCGGGCTTCGTAGAGCGTCTGTCTCCATCGTTGGCCTTTACTGTGTGTTGCGGTACCAAACAATACTCGTCGAAGATGTGATGTGCTTCGAGTCTGGCCAGCACATTGTGAGATCCAATGTTTGACCTAGCAACGCCCCTAGCAACGTGGCAAGGACCACCCACCCATTCACCTTCAACCTCACTCCTCGGCGCCATTCCAGTGGCGGACATGGTGCTTCTGACTCGATCATCGCATCGATCTTGATGCAACGGAACAATCGTCTTTTCTGCACGGCATGTGGATTTGTGGTTGATGAGAACACAAGGAGCTCCAACTCTGACCACATCATGCCCCTCTCCTCAACGTCATGGCAGGGAAACTCCATCCCATCAGAACAGTATCTAAACTCTCTTCCGCTGCGCGTTTCTCCTCTACTATCTTCCTTCCCATTCATCTCTCACCATGTCCGCCGCCGCCGCAGTCTTCCGCGCCAGCAACACCGCTCTCATTACCGGAGCTGGATCAGGTGTTGGCCTCGCGGTAGCAAAACTATGCGCATCCCATTCGATGAACCTCATCCTGGTGGACCGCGACGATAGCAAGCTGAAGGAGGCCAAATCTTCCATCTCTTCCAAGGGCACCGTGGACACACATAGCATGGACGTGGGCTCAACCTCAGACTGGTCGACTCTGAAGCAGAACGTAGAGAAGGGTGGCACGAAGCTTGACTTCCTGCATCTCAATGCCGGCATTGGACTGAAAGGCGACTGGATGGATGGCTCGTATTTCCACAAGATCTTTGAGACGAACTTCTTCGGCGTAATTAATGGCATTAACACTTTCTTCCCGCATTTCGAATCGAACAGCTCGTCCCCGAAGGCCATCATCGTCACAGGCTCGAAGCAGGGTATAACCAACCCACCAGGCAATGCAGCATACAATACTTCCAAGTCCGCCATTAAGACCATCACCGAGCATCTTAGCTTCGACCTGGCAAAGTCAAGTCCGTCTACAAGCGTGCATCTGCTGGTCCCTGGCTGGACATTCACTGGATTGACTGGCGGAGGTGGGATGAAGGAGAAGCCGGCTGGTGCATGGTCGGCTGAGCAGGTGGCCGACTATCTTTACAAGAAGATGAGCGACGGAAAGTTTTATGTGATCTGTCCCGACAATGACGTCGATTGGGAGACGGACCGGAAGAGGATGACGTGGACGGTGAGTGTTCCTTTTGGTTCTGATAGATCTTGATATGTTGTACTAGTGTGCTGATGATCCGCAGATGGGCGATGTCGTGTACGAGCGCCAGCCGCAGAGCCGATGGAGAGATGAGTACAAAGAGGAGGCGCAAAAGACTATGGACGGGATGAAGCTGGGTCAGCGGCAGATGGACTGACTCAGCAAGCTATAGAGACTCAACTTCCAACCGTCTTAGCTAGTGCTAGATCGACTAAATGCTTCTCGCCCGGATGCGGTACTTCGGAGCTTCATGCTAATGCTCTGTGGTACCCAAAGCTTTCCTTATATCGAGAGTGCAACCAGCCCACGCTGTTCCAAAGGTTTAATCGAGCAGGGTGTGGTATCGGAAAGCCACCGAAGTTGTGTTATGGGAAGAAAACAATCGCAGCCTCCGAGTCCGGCAACTCCACACTCGCAACCCCATCACATACATCCACCGTCTCGCTCGCATTCACCCCATCAACCGGCGAGCCGTTCCCATTATCCAGCTTATAACTCCACGTCTCGCCTGCCCAAGTGATCATCCCGCCGTTACCACATTTACCTTGGTTGTCGTATCCAAGAGCGTGAGCACCTGCAGCTGTTCGAAGCCTCTGGACCTTCACAGAGCTCACACTGCTGTTTACAGGAATGTCGAATGTCATGGATCCGCGGGTACCACCGACGTCTGCAGACCAAAACTTCAGATTGACGAGCGCGACCTTGCTCAACGCACCGCTGGATGGGTCGTAGATGGCGTACGCCGTTGCCAGATCTTCTCCCAGCAGCTCGACAACCCGTCCGGAACTCGTACCCATAAAGTCCGCTACCATCGGCAAACCGTAGTATGGCCCACGAACCTGCGGGCCGATATTCTGCTGGTTGCCATTCGAAGGATCATTGGCAGACGTATCTGGAACCCACAGACTATGCGACGCCGCAGGCCGTCCCGTCTGATCGACCCGCTTCACTCCCTGACTCATGGCGTAGAGCTCGAAATCGACGACCCACAGGGCGGCGCCGAAGGCATCCTGGAACTCGAGCGGTGGACCGATGAGAGAGGAGCCGCTTTCTGAGATTATGTATGAGACGGCGGGGTCGTTGGCCTGGATGTACTGTAAGCCGGCGCCGTAGCCGTTGTTGAACTTGCTGACAATGGCGTGATGGCTCATGAGTTTCGTCTGTTCGGTCTCTGGCGTGTAGTTTGACAAAGAGGTCGGGACTTGGTACCAGTGCTGTGCAGCGTACTTCACTACGCCGTTGCTGTCGAGGCCGTTGTCGAACGCGGCTTGGACGCTGAAGGAACCAGTGCCGGAGCCCGCCAGATCGAGCACTTCGAAGATGCGGTCCTTTGGTGACAGGCCGAGAGCTTCGGTGATGTTTCCTTCGAGGGCTTTGGCGTCGGAGACATACTGCTGGATGGTATATGGTTTGTCGTAGACGTCGACCTCGTTACCGAGAGCAATAGCAGCTACCCGATCGGCACCAATGGCGTGGTAAGTGTGCGTCACGTAGTCGAGAGAGCCGGTGGTGTTAACGTTCTTCTCCATTGGTGCCTGGAACGAAAAGTGCTGGTTCGGGAAGCTCTTGAAGCCGTCGAAATAAGACGGTCCCAGAACATAAGTAGCACCGCTCCCGATCGGACAGTCGCCAGAAACGCAGACTGCATCTTCGGACTGATTGGGGTCGAACTTGACACGGTCACCGGAAGTGCCGCCGACTCGGATGATGAGGGTTGAACCGACCCGCTTTGCTATCGAATTGACGAGGTTCTCACTGAATGCGTTGGCGTAGTTATTGACGAATGCTGTCTCGAAGCCGAATCCTATGAAGTCAGAAGGCACTTGGGGAGCTCCTGAGGGTGCCGATTGCGGGACAGAAATGCTGGTGCCGTTTGCTGCTCTAGAGCATGTTGGGCCTGGAATCGTAGAGTGGGTGGCCTTGCTGGAGGTCAGCGTGCCGGAGGATGGCTTGGTCGAATGCCGCGACTTGGTCAAAGTCGGTTTGGTGTACGTGCGCTGTCTTGATGTCCAACGTGAAGAGGTTGTTGCTCCAGCGGCTGAGGTCGAAGGCGAACTTGATGCACCAATCACCAATTGACTGGTAAGGAAGGCTACCAACAGCGTGGCGAGTGGTCGATGCATCGTTTAGCTCGCTGGAAACGAAGACGGGCTTTCGGATGTAGTAGTAAGCTTTAAGCTTCAATGCAGAGTTAATGTGTCGTGTGGTATTGAATGCGTTATCACTCAATGCCGTGCAACTGAAGGTAAAGAACGGTTCTGTCTGCTCATTCCAGAGGGCCTTCCAAGGTTCGCAGCCAAAGAATGCGGATGCAGTCTCAACAATACCTGGTGGACGACCTGGCTTCGAGAACGGTTGACAAGATATATTAATGCTAGTCTGTAATGACCGTCAGGGGGAAATGAATTTCGTGACCATCGACACATCATGGTGTTGGTGGGGATGGTAGAAGTAATGTTTCCCCTAATCATGCAGTAGAAGAACTGGAAGATGCTGGTGCGCCGGAGATCTGCTGTCTTTGGATAAGAGTAGTGGGATGGAATAAGTGTGTTGAGAAGATTAACGAGCGTGTAGATTCGCCATCGGCCATATGACCGAGCTATTTGATTCAGTGTGCCACGCAGGGAGATAGAGAGCTCAAATACCTACAGACTCGGAGCTACGGCATACACGTAGCTGGGTACTTGCATATCACGCATAGCACTCATCGGGACAATTGAATGACTACGAGAGGTAGGCCTCCACCGCAGAGATGCAATGCATCTGCTGATTCGTTCCCTTGTGTTCGCAGCACAGGTGTTGCTGGCGAAAACATGGTTGTTTTATCGCGCACGCCATAGAGTAGATGCAGAAGCTTCCATAAAGGCAACGGTAAAAGATCGGAGAGGTTGTCGGAGATGTCGCAATCGTAGCAGTATGCAAATCCGGTTGATGCTATTGCCGTATTAGTGCACGCCATCTGGTGGTTCGGCGCTGGGACCAGCTGCAGCTTCAAAAGGTAATGCCAATGTGGAGAAGCTTGTCGACGTAGAAAAGGAAGGGTGGGCACATGCTCACTTCTTCCAATACTTACGTGCTCACTACTCTGTGCTGTCTCATGGAGGTCAAGCTCACAGCGTAGCATCCAGAAGGGTGTGGTGGTCCATCACAAACAAGTAAGCCTGCCGTGCTAGCCGGTCAGCCTGCCAGCATTTCCAGTTACCAGTGACTGCACTCGACTGGCGGATCTTCCATATCTCATCCTAGTTTCCTTCAACTGGATGCCGTATAACGACTTCCCGAAGGGCCGAAGCGAAGATGATCGGTGGTGGCAGCATCAACGGCCTTAAAGCTCCTTTGCCACCGGAGGATGATTAGCGACCGCTTGGAGCCGTACAGTATGGTGGTGTGGTGGACCTCGCCAGCTGTTGAAGGTCCAAAGTCAGAGTAGAAGCGCATCAATGCAGGCTGTCAAAGTGCCACTAGCATACGTTGGGTCCAGTACAGTGTGTCGATTTTGACGCGTTTGAATTCCTCCGTCCTGACATCGACCCTTTGGTCGTATTTAAGAGACCTTCAGTTTCGTGGCTCTTGTACGCCCTCATGGAACGTCGCAGCTTGACTACCACAAGGTTCCCTCAGAAACAATCCCCGCGTACTGTGTGGTATCCTTGGAGTCCTTTGCAGCGCCAGTGTTCATGAGATGGTGGTGTATCGGGAGTTGTCGTGTCGCGACGTTGTTGTCGGAAGAGGTCGTCTGGAGGATGGCCCGTGCGTACTTTCAGATTTCCATCCTCAGCGTCGATGAAGCTGCCAGGAGCTCCAGACCAACCTCGACAAAAACATCAAAACTTCCATTTGCGAGCCATTGGCCCTTCTACCACCCGTCAACCGTCACGATGGGGTTCTTGGACTATCTCTCCGATCTCTATGACTCCATAGCCATCCAGCCGGCCGAGGCGGAGGAGCCGCAAAAGGACGACGGAGGTGAGTAGAATGCACTGGGGATACGGTGTCAATGGCCAGAGCTGCTGGAGCGGTTGCGCCGGCATTTCATCACGATCGTCGATGAAGTCTACGCGGACGAACACGTACTGACTGCAGCGTTCAGACTCTGGCGAAGAGGGAGGCGAGGAGAAGAGCGAAGACTCTAGCGAGGGTGAGCAGCAGATACCACGGGCCGCACGTCATCGCGCGATCTAACAGTCTTATCCAGGCGGCGAGGAAGAATCAGAGGATGGCGGAGACGACGAGGAAGAGGAGGAGGAAGAGGAAGAAGAGGAAGAAGAGCCGGAGGACATCAAGCCCAAGCTTGAAGAAGGTGCGTACAACGTCAGAACGCCAGGTGCTCCGCCTGCTGTTGTCCGCCAGCACATTGAGGATCACTTCCTCTGACACAGTTGGCGGCACCTGTGCGCACGAACTTGGAGACAAGGTCCTTTGGCTAACAATGATCGGATAGAATGCATGCGAACAGCACAATGCGCGCCCCTCAAGCATCACTACGATGAGTGTGCCGAACGCGTGCAGCAGCAGGAGCAAGAACATGGCAAGGCTCAGGAGGACTGTGTCGAAGAATGTATGTCTTTCCGGGCCAGGACAGAAACCAGAAATGCTGTGTGCATCGGATAGAGTGCTAACACGTTCCAGTCTTCCATATGATGCACTGCGCTAGCCAGTGCGCCGCACCGAAGCTTTTCAAGCAGCTTCGATAGACAAGCATTCGCATGCGCCGCTCAACGAAGCGCTTGCAAACCTGCCCGCAGCATCGGTGTTCGGACAGGCAGCGGCGGTCGAGGCAGCAGCGACGTATCAACCCCATGTACCCGCCTGTATAGCATCCTTGATACATTGTACATCGTACTTTTGCCCAGCCTCTTCTCGCTACAATCTGCCTCGGCTCGTATTTGTTCAATGGCATTCGGAGAAGTCCCGGACAACCCATGGTGAGTCCATGCTACTCAAGGTATTGCTAAGCTCAGTCGACGATACGCACGTTGCAAACATGCATCTTCATCGGCCTTGACATTGACGCGAGCCGCCGAACGGCGGACGCGACCTTCTCAAAGCCGAGCTGGAGCTGTGCTGTATATCAAAGCTTCGAGAGCTCTTCAGCATCAAGTTTGAAAACATCTACAGGAATTCGTGTACGAGCCGCGTAACATTTCTGAATTATCATGGAGAAGATGCTCATCGAACGCGATGTCGCCATCCCAATGCACGATGGCATCTCTCTGCGTGCCGACATCTTTCGCCCCAAGGATGGCAAGCCAGCACCGGTCATCATGACCCTGGGCCCCTATGGTAAAGGCGTGCCGTACTCTGTTGGCTTCAAGCCTCAATGGGAGTGGCTCGTAAGTGAAGTTGAGGGGCGGATGAGTCGATTGTGACAAGACGAAGCCTGTGACGGCCTCTAGAAATGTCACAGCTTACACACGATCTAAGACACCTGCTAACCGTGCTACTCATCTCGGTAGATCACCACATACCCCGACATCCTTCCTGGCTCGACCAAGGAGTTCATGAATTGGGAGACGGTAGACCCAGAGATCTGGGTGCCGTACGGCTACGTCTGTATCCGTGTCGACTCTCGAGGTTCTGGCCGCTCGCCCGGGAAACTCGATATTTTCTCCCGGCGAGAGGCGCAAGACTACTATTATGTCATTGAGTGGGCTGCTGTTCAGCCATGGAGCACGGGCAAGGTAGGCCTGAACGGAATATCGTATTATGCCATAACGCAATGGAACGTTGCGTCTTTGCAGCCGCCGCACCTTGCGGCGATGATACCTTGGGAGGGTGCGGCTGATTATTACCGCGACACTGCGCGGCATGGTGGCATCCAGTCCAACGCATTCATCACTGCCTGGTATGCCAAACAGGTCGCCTCCGTCCAGCACGGCAACCCAAACACCGTTATGGACCCGTGGCTAGGCGAGAGAGCAAGCGGGCCTGCAGCATTATCTGAGAATGAGTTGGTGGCGAACCGCACTGATCCGATCAAGGATGTGTTGGAGCGCCCGCTTGACGACGAGTGGTATCGCTCGCGTTCGGCGGAGTGGAGTAAGGTGACCGTGCCGTTTCTGAGCGCTGCCAACTGGGCTGGATTCGGCCTCCATCCGCGTGGCAACTTCCAGGCGTTCATGGATGCTTCGCCGAAGCAGAAGTGGCTGGAATGTCATCCCGGGAGGCATGAGGAGTGGTTCTACCTTGAACGTGGTATTGACTTTCAGAAGAGGTTTCTCGACCACTTCCTGAAAGGTGAAGACAATGGCTGGGACGGGGAGCCGCCGGTTCAGCTGCATTTGCGAAGACCTTTCAGCGACAATTTCGAGCTCAGAAAGGAGCAGTCGTGGCCACTGCATGATACTAAGTGGACAAAGATCTACTTCTCTGCTGGAGACTCTAGCTTGATCTGGGAGAGACCTGCCGAAGAGTCAGCTAATACATTTAAAGCCCTCAGCGAGACCGTCACGCTCATGTCTGCTCCACTCGAGAAGGAGACAGAGATCACTGGCCCACTCGCAGCAACCATCTTTGCCTCCTCTACGACCACTGACATGGACCTCTTCTTAACCTTCCAAGCCTTCGCACCCGACGGGCGCGAGGTCGACTTCCAAGGCACCATCGACCCTCACATCCCCGTCGCGCAAGGCTGGCTGCGCGCCTCGCATCGCAAGCTCGACGAAGCGAAGAGCCTTCCGTACCTACCGTACCACTCCCACGACGAGCTGCAGCCACTAGAACCAGGAAAGATCTACGAAATGAATGTCGAGATCTGGCCAACGCACATTATCCTTCCAGCAGGCTATCGACTTGCTTTGCAGATTGCCGGCAAGGACTTTGAGAGGCCGTTACCGCCTGGTACGCCGAACGAGGCGTGGGTGGCTAAGGGATCTGGGCCTTTTTTGCATACTCTTGCCGAGGATAGGCCGGAGAGTGTGTTTGGAGGGCAGACGACGGTGTATGGTGGCGGGGAGGGGAGCGAGTCATTTTTGTTGCTGCCCATTATTGATCGGTAGGGAGACAACGTAGTTGTATCACACGGTGATTTCATCCTTGGATGTCTTCCATCCGTCTGCCCAGTTGCCATGGCCCGAGCTTTGCACTTATCTTCAAATCCACGGCAGCTCTCTTGTTCTCAGGCGCAGCATTCCCACCGCAGAGCAGCCCTTTCATTAAATTGCTGTCTCGACGAGAACTCACAGATTCTGTGCAATAGTATGGCTACCACGGCATCGTCATGTATGCGAGCAAGTCTTCTCGGCAGGTGGCCCGCGGGAAGTCGAGAGGGGAACGGTGAGGAGGTGGTGACATCGACGGCACCCACGTCAGTCGGAGACAACTCCAAGGTGTCAAAGTAAAATCGGCGTCCAGAGCCCAAAGGTAACTTGGGGAGTCTCTCTCATATTTCACATTCACAACCAGAAAGATGCATTCTCTTCCATTGCTTCTTTCCCTAGGCGGCCTTGGCCTTGCCTTACCTCAAGCCTCCAGCAACTACAGCATCGTATCCATTCCATACGAATATACATATCTCCTTCCTGATGGATTTACGGGCAACACGAACTACACCTTCGTCAACAGCACACACACGAGCAATAGCTCGATCAACGACCTCTTCTCCGCAGCCAAAGCCGCCCCGATCATCTCCTACGACCAAGAGTTCCTCGACCTCGTGGGCCCGAACCCAGAGATTAAGCTCATCGAAGAACGACCCGAAGGCCATGACTTCGCCTACGAGATGGGAGTCTGGGTGCCCGAACGCAATTCTGTCTGGTTCACATCCTCCGTCTCCGGCGACCGCATCCCGCCCGCTCTCTACGAACTCGACTTGACCTCGAACAAAATCAGCGAAATCCAAACCAACCAACCCATCACCAACCCAAATGGCGGTTACTACTTCCAAGGCAAAGTCTGGATCGCCACCTACCCCGACAACCAGACCTACTCCGGCGGCATCGTCTCCGTGGACGTCAACACGCTGGAAGTTGAAACGGTCGTGAACTCCTACTTCGGCCTACGCTACAATGGCGTGGACGATATCGTTTGGGCGACCACGCCAGATAATTGCAGCTACATGTACTACACCGACCTCAACTTCGCCTATCTGGGCTACGAGAATCTCCCGCCCATCCAACTCCCCGCCGCAGTGTACAGATGGGACCCACAGAACCGCGTCGTCTTGCCCGTTATTTCGAGGAATCAAATCAACCCCAATGGCGTGCGCGTGAGTCCTGACATGAAGACGTTGTACGTCACGGACTCGACCGCAACTTTTGCCGAAGCTGGACCGTACTCGCCGGCTTCAGGGCCGGGCGATACGTTTTGGTTGGGTCCGTACGTGTGGGCTTGGGATTTGAATGAGAGGGGGTTGCCGGTGAACCGACGGTTGTTTGCGCAGGTGAGGCAGGGGATTGCGGATGGGATTCATGTTGATGATGCTGGGAATGTGTGGACTGGTACGTACTCCTTGGAGCAATGGTGTGATTAGTAAAAGCTGATTTGTGATGTGATCAGGCGAGTACGAAGGCGCTGTAGTGCGGAACCCGGCCGGGAAGACGATTGGAGTGTTCAACTCGCAGTACTTCCAGGCGGATAAGGATGCAGGGACACAGTTGGGCTTTGCCAATTTTGCGATTGCTGGCGATACGTTGGTGGTGTTATCGACGACGAGGTTGTGGACAGTCAAGCTGGCGAAGACGGTCGTTGCTAGGGATAGCCCGATCGTGAACTGAGCAATCTAGTATGCTTGAGTGGCAAAAACCCTACTGTAATACTCAAAAGCATCGTACAACCATAATGCCACTCAAAGCTCAAATCTTACTCCCCCTCCCAACCACCCCCCTCTGCATCCCCACCACCCCATTCGGCACCTCCACCACCACCCACAACTGCTGCGTCACCGCCACAAGCCTCCCCTCTGCATCCCACACCTCCCCACTAACATCAATTTTCCCCTCCACCACCTCCTTCGTCCGCATCCGGATGAACAGCCACTCCACCCCTTCCTCCGGCAGCGCCCTCTTGACCTCAATACTGACGTTTAGGGTCAAATACCAGTACGGCCTTGTCCACGGCACGGAAGTCCCTTTATGGCCTGATGTTTCGACGGAGACGGCTTCATCCGCCATCCCCTGCGCGGAGCGGTAGGAATCGAAGAAGTTTTCCGAGGCGGGGAGGAAGAGGTCGCAGGCGACGCCGAGACTGGCGGTAGTCCAGCGGGAGTGCGGGTGCGCCCAGCCGAGGTAGGATTGCATGGTGCGTTTGTCGGCGTGGGCGGTGCGTTCGACGGCTATGTGGAAGTTGCTGAGGAAGCGGGTATTGGGTGATATGTCGTAAGGGCGGTGGAAATTGGTCCAGAGGGGGTCGTGTCCGGCGCGGAGGAGGGGGAAGGAAATGGGTGGGATGGGAGGGGAGGGGGTGTATGGGGTGGGTAGGGACATGCCCTTTGTGGTGAGGCGGTTGAAGATGGTGAAGTAGGCGACTACGCGGTCTTTGTTGCTTTGATGCAGGGTTGCGTGGAGGGTTGAGGTGGTCTTGCTGAGTTGGACGTCTTGGAGTGAGATGAGGGCTTGGCCGACTGCTGCTGGTCGGAGGAACTGGACGTAGCAGGATAGGGTGTCGGGTTGTTGGTGTTTGGCCAATGTAGTGCGACAATGGAGAGCAACGGATTCCCATAGGAGACTTATCATGGATGCACCATGTGCAGCTGCGAGGACGTCTGAGCACGAAGTATCATGAGAAGATGTTGTTCGAGAAGCCACCTACCGAGTCCATACGAATAGTCTGCATGGATTTTGATCACATACTCATGGCTACTCCTCTGCGTTGGTGCGAAGGCTGTCGAGTAAGGCACCGCCATTGGAAAAGTGAATGTTGCTGTCTCAAAGATGTATGCGAATCCGTGGATGAATGGATGGGGAAAGCCAACCGCATCCTCTTCGAGGGATGTACCGCTTTTAACATCATGCTCTATGACTCTCGTGTTCATCGAGTCCTGAGGTGAGAAGTGCTAGGGTGTGTCTTCAAGATCCAGAAGGCTATGCATCGCCCCGGATTAGGGCCTGATACCTGGATCATCTAAACAGCCGCATTCGCTCCGAATCGATGAGTAATAAGGTCCGAGCGATCAACGTCGGTCATTAGTGAGGAGTGCGTGTTGTGATGCGGCCACAAAAGAAAATGCCTGGGATTTGTTTAGATACAGGCAGGCGTCTACACATACATTGCTTCCTGCACGATCCTTCACAGTGCCGTCTCCTCCACAATCTTCCTACTCCTCATCGTCTTCCTCCTCCTCGTCATCCTCTTCGGCCAAGAACTTCCTCCTCGCCTCTTCCTCCTCCACGATCTGGGTCTCCTGGCTACCCCCCTGGAACGCTCGGATGCGGTCCGCCACACCCGGAGGCTTGTCAATGCGGTCCGCAATCCTTCCACGGCCGATCAAAGAAACGACAATGCTGGCGCCCACAACGAACGTAAGCACGAAGCGGTACACACCGTACCAGTGGGGCGCCCAGCCGCGGGTCTTAGCGCGGGTGTCGGTATAGTAGAGGAAGTTGAAGGCCAGGAATTGGGTGATGAGGGCGTACTCCACAGGCAAGAGGAGCGTAGGCCACGCGACAGCCGTGCTGATGACGCCAATCATGTAGCGTGGGTAGCCCTGAGTGCCGCCAAACTTGGCCCATTCGAGACCCCAGTGAATGGCTCCGAGGAAAGAGAGGATCTAGGTTTAAATCAGAATCGAGTGGATGTGCATGAAGAGTGGAGTCTGTACTTACGACTGCACCGTAGCCAACCTGCAGTGGCTCGACAATATGCAGAAGAGACTCGGCCGTCTTTTCACTGACGAACACGCCTGTCCCGGTGTCGGCAGCGTGGCCAATCTCAAACGCACAGTACACGGTCGTCATGGCGGTCGCGGCATAGGGGAGCACGCCCGCCATTCCCATGTAGTAGGCTTGCCTCGGCACCTCTTGGAGACTGAACGTGTCACGGATAGTTTGCTGTAGAACCTCAGTCAGCCCTCGTACTTTGCTTGTAGCACGCACCGGCCGGGGATTAGGGGTGTTAGCCATACCAGATCCGACCTTATACCGCCCATCATGTCCGGCTCTGCCTCCTCGCTGTCCACTGCTGAAGTGCTCATGCTCACTGGTGCAGAGACCGAGCTCGAGCTGGGGGTCACAGTTTCTGGGGTGGGTTTGATCTCGTGGCTGCGAATGGCATCCTCCCTCTTGGTGTCGACCTTGTCAACGGTGGGCCGCTCGGTGCTCGCCCATCTTGCCAATGCCAAGGTCTGTGGAGCCAATGGCTTTGCGACGGAGAGGACTTGCGGTCGGCGGGAGAGGGTGCATAGCTGAGACCGCAGCTGTTGTCGGGCTGGCGAGCTGGTGGCTTTGAGGCCTGGTGTGGTGGAGGTGTTCAGGGAGCGCAGGAGGCCCCGAGACGCGCCGGAGCGGAACATGGCGACCGTCGTTGCCCGGCCGAGGTGCTACAGAGGGCAAGGGCGGTCTCTTGACCTTTTTCGGCGGTGGTAAGGGGGTGGTGAGTGGAGAGTGGTGGTTTGGTGCGAAGACTGTTCTCTCCCAATGGGTTGAAGCTGCCACAGCTCAGGCTGTTGCAGAAGGCTTGGCGCTTTTGAGCCTCAGGCGACGCGCGCGAGTCATGTGCTTCGACCAGGACAACCACACCTCCTCTATCTGCGCATTCATAGAAACATGGTTAGCTGTATACTGCGTGTGACCGCCTCCGTATCTCATTCGTCGTTACCGAAGCACCAATTCCTGCATCTCTGGCATAAAAAAGAGCTCTTTCCCGCCCAGTCTGACGTAGAGACACCGCCACAAGCCTCGAAACAGCGGGGCAGCCACGAGACGCGCGAGAGACGAGCATTTGTTTCTTCCAACATCTCCTTCCTCTTCTGTCAACTACGCAAACCTTCCCACTCACCAGGACTTCTTTCTCTGTCAGTCTCTTCTTGAACTTGAGCCCCCAGCTTGGAGCATCCTGATACCCATTTGCGTTGGCGACGTTGACGACACCTTGCTTTGGACTGCATAGAAGGAGACTTGGTCGCAAAGGAAGTCATGTTACGCCTGCGGTGATTCTCGACCTCTCTCTACCTGCCTGGGACCTAAGACGACACCAGACAAATTCTATACCCTCCCTGGCCAAGGTAACGGTCAACCACCGCCACCATGCTTGAGTCCCTGGTTGCCAACCTTCTGAACCGCTTCCTCGGCTTGTACGTCCGCAACTTCGATCCCAAGCAGCTCAATGTGGGTATTTGGTCCGGCGATGTCAAGCTTCGGGACCTCGAGCTTCGCCGCGAGGCTCTCGACCAGTTCCACTTGCCTTTGAACGTGGTTGAAGGACACATCAGCAGCTTGACGCTCACAATACCATGGAGCAACTTGCGAGGGAAGCCAGTGCGAATCAACATCGAGGACGTCTTCCTACTGGCTGCCCCGAAAGAGGACGAAGAGTACAATGCGGAGGAAGAGGAGAAACGAGAGCATGCGGTCAAGATGGAGAAGCTCGACTCGGCAGAGTTGCTGAAGGAGAGAAATACGGAGGGCATGAGTCCAGAGGAACAGCAGAAGCAGCAGACGTTTACTGCTGCGCTCACAACAACCATCATCGACAACGTGCAGATTCAAGTCAAGAATGTCCATATCCGATACGAGGATGCACTGTCGGATCCAGGCCATCCCTTCGCAGCTGGTATCACACTTCAGGAGTTGAGTGCTGTCAGCACCGACGAGAACTGGCGTCCAACTTTCATCCAGAGTGCGAGCTCGACTACGCACAAGCTCGCTACTCTTGGCTCGTTGGCCGTCTACTGGGACACAGATGCCAAGCTTATCGGGACAGGTACAGGCAACCCTGGCCCAGAGAATCAAGGTCGCGATCATAAGGATATTCTCGAAAAGTTCAGGGCCCTCATTGTGAAGGGCGACAGTCCGGAAGTGAATGAGCACCAATTCATCCTGAAGCCTGTATCTGGCCGCGCTGGTCTGGAGATGGACAAGACGGGAAAGACAGATCGCGCGAAGATGAAGGCTCGGCTGCTCTTCAATGAGCTCGGCTTCGTACTGGACGACACGCAGTATAGGGACCTACTCATGCTGGTGGATTTGTTCCACTATTTCATCCGGCATCAAGAGTACAAGAAGCTACAGCCAACAAAGAGCCCGAAAGAAGACCCGAGGGCATGGCTGCACTTTGCCGGCAAAGCTGTCTTGGACCGCATCCATGACAAGAACAAGCGCTGGTCCTGGGCTTACTTTGCGGAACGACGTGATGACCGGAAACAGTACATCACGTTGTTCAAGAAGAAGAAGCGCGAAGAGAAGCTTACGCCCGATGAAACCAAGGATCTTGATCGATTGGAGCATAAGTTGAGCTACGAAGACTTGCGCTTCTGGCGGTCGTTGGCACGAAATCAGCTTCGCAAGGAGAATGTTGGTGTCAAGAAGGAGCCGCAGAAGCGAACATGGGGTAGCTATATCTGGGGCTCCTCCCAACAACAGGACACCTCCTCCGATGAGAGCCAGATGTCTGAGCAGCAGCGCAAAGAACTCTATCAAGCAATCGACTTTGATGAGAAGAAGAACATTGAGGAGTCTGTGGACATGCCGAAGGAGGCCATCAAGTTGCAGGTCGACATGCATCTCAAGACTGGCTCTTTCACATTACGAAGAGATCCGCACGGCAAGAACACTGACATGCTAAGACTACTGTTCGACGATTTCTCCACTGAGTTCATTCAAAGGACCGACTCGACGCTGCTGGATCTGAGTCTTGGCGGCATGAGGCTGTACGACGGGTCGACCGAAGGCAATCTGTTCGAACAGATGCTGCGGGTCAAGGATGCACCTCCTGTGCCCGACAGCCAACGGGTGCAAGAGCTTGGTGAAGATGACAAGCCAAAGACTGACGGCGCTGCTGATGCTGGCGACGAGAGTGATGAGGAAGAAGTGGACCCATTCTTCAGCATGTCTTTCGAGAACAACCCACTCGACGGCCGTGCCGATACAGCTCTTACCGTCAAGCTGAAGGCTATGGAGATCATCTACAACCCCAACTTTGTGGTCCAAGTAACGAAGTTCTTCAAGCCACCGGAGCAACACATGGAGTCCATCGGTGCACTGATGGAGACTGCTGGCTCGACTGTCGAAGGTTTGAGGCAGCAGACGAGAGCGGGTCTGGAGTACGCGCTGCAAGAGCACAAGACCATTGACGTGCAACTTGACCTGCAAGCGCCTTTGATCATCGTGCCCGACTCGGTGACCAAGAAGAGTGCGATCTGCGTCATTCTGGACGCCGGTCACGCATCTGTCAGGTCCGATCTCATCGACAAGAGCACGCTTGAAGACATCCAGAACAAGCAGCGGCAGCAGTACACCGAGAAGGACTTCCAGAAACTCGAGTCTCTCATGTACGACAAGTTCCAGCTGAAGCTGGAGTCGACGCAGGTCTTGATCGGAACGACTGTGGAAGAGACGAAGAAGCAGCTCGACGAGAATGCTGCGAGCAAGAGCTTTCACGTTGTCGAACGCATCAACATGGACTTCACGATCGAGACATGCATCGTGCCCAAAGCCGCGGACCTGACCAAGTTCAGAATTAAGGGACATCTACCCGTGCTGCATGCCATCCTCTCGGATGCGAAGTACAAAGCGCTGATGAAGCTGCTCGATTTCGCAATACCCAAGTTCGACGAGCCGGCCGGTAAGGAGCAACAGCAACAGAAAAGCATTGAAGCCCAGAAGAAGGCCAAGCGAAAGAGCATGCTTCCTGAGGATATCAGCAGGCTTCGAGGCAAGTCTTTCCAGGCTTCTCGCGAGGAGCTGGTTCTGGACGAAGAAGAAGGCGAAGAGCAGAAGAAGCGCGAGCGCGAGAAGCAAGCTGGACCGCCAGCTCAGCCAACTGGTGAGAAGAAAAAGCAAGACAGGAACCCTGAACAGCGCATGTTTGAGTTCCAGTTCACGGCCGACAAGCTGCAAGCGTCGCTATACCGGTCGGATCCAGATGGCAAAGAGGACGGTGATCAGCTGCTTGTCGACCTTATCGCCGAGACCTTCCACCTTGAGTTCTACCAGCGGGCTTTTGACATGGTGGCTGATGTCCGCTTGAAAGCCTTGACGGTCGAAGACCATGTTGAAGAGGCGCCTGCGCCGGAGTTCAAGAACTTGATCTCGAGCGAGGATCTGTACTCGCAGAAGCAGGATGACCTCTTGTCCATACACTTTGTGAAGGTTAACAAGGATCATCCCGAGTTCGATTCGAAGTACGAGGGCATCGCCACGAACCTAGATGTGGCGGTGTCGACGATCAATCTCATGGTCACGAGGAAGACTCTGCTCACGCTGCTGGACTTTGTCATGATCACCTTCACAGGTGGAGACCAGCAGGCGCCCAAAGAAGAGCCGAAGCAGATTGAAGGTGCAGAGGAAGGCGTCGAGCAGAAATCTCAGGAGGCCGACAAGATTCGCGTCAAGGCTGAGCTGAGGCGCATTGCTGTCATCTTGAACAACGATGGCATTCGCCTTGCTACGCTAAGCTTGACATCAGCGCAAGTGTCTGTGTTGCTGATGGGCAAGACGATGCAAGTTGGTGCTAAGCTTGGCAATCTATCACTCGTCGACGACATCAACCAGGGTGTCTCGGAGCAGTCCTCGCTCCGCCAGCTCGTGTCCATCCAAGGCGATGAGCTGGCCGACTTCAGGTATGAGACACACGATCCCGACTCAAACTCCTACCCCGGCTACGACACCACGATCTTCCTGCGCTCCGGATCACTCAAGGTCAACTTTGTCACTGAGCCTTTCCGCAAGATCATGGAGTTTGGCATCAAGTTCGGCAAGATGCAAGCCATCTTCAACGCCGCGCGCCAGGCGGCAGCGAACCAAGCGAACAAGGTGCAGGAGAGCGCGAGCAAGATGCACTTTGACATCGCCATCAAGACACCAATCGTGGCCTTCCCAAGAATGGTGATTACGGAGAACCCTGAGCGCGACCTTATGACGGCCTACCTCGGTGAGATCTACGCGAACAACAAGTTCGTGCCCCTCGAAGGGCCGGAGGCTGGGGGCTTGACGGCGAACAAATTGTCGGCTGGTATTCACAACATCAAGCTTACGTCGACCTTCCATTATGAAGGCGGCAAGTCTGAGGAGCTTGAGATGATCGACAAGGTCGATATGGACTTCAATATCACTCAGACGGAGCACAAGCCTGGCCTCGAGCGGCCGGATACTGAGATTGAAGGATCGATGAGCAACATCAACTTGCGTGTCACAGAGACGCAGATGAAGTTCGCCATGGAGCTGTCCAGGAACATTCCGCAGGCTTTTGCAACGGAGTCGGACGAGGAGGTTGAGGAAGAGGTCGAAGAGGACTTGCCCGATAGTCTGTTGAAGAAGGCAGAGACCTCACAGTCGTCGAGTGGCGAGCAGACGCCTGCCGAGCAGCAGCTCACTCAGAGTCCCTCTCACCAAGGCCCTGAACTTGGCGAAGGCAAGGATACGTGGACGAAGCTGGATCTCATCTTCAAGATCGGCGCGATTGGTCTCGAACTCGTGCATGGCAGGGCGGATCAACCCGTTGGCGATCTCGAGGCTGCGAGTCTCTCAAAGTTCTCGCTCAATGAGACCAGCGTCAAGTTGCGCATGATCAGCGACGGGGCGCTGGAAAGCGAGCTCCTTATCCAGTCTTTCACGATCACGGACACGAGGACGAAGGAAAAGAATAAGTTCCGCAAGATTATGTCGTTGATCAACACCGATGTCAAACAGCAGTTCATGGCTTCCGTGTCGATTTCTGGAGGCGATGATAAGAACCTGATTGCCCTGCTTACGATCGATAGCCCGAGGATCATCCTGGCGCTGGACTACTTGTTCGACGTGCTGAACTTCGTCAACGTTGGCTTAGCGCAAGACGCACCGCTTGTGGTCGAGGACGAAACAGAAGACGAAAGCAAGGACGACGATGATGATGCCGCTAGTGTCGACACCCAAGAGCTCGTCGAGCGCCAGAACCAGGCCGGCTCTGAGACCGAGGAGAAGCAGAGTGGCGGCATGAACATCTCCTACCGCGTTAACATTGTGGATGCGCAGGTCATGCTCATTGCCAACCCGGCTATTAGCAACTCCGAAGCCATTGTGCTCGGGACGAAGCAGGTCCTTGTGTCGCAGCAGCATGCCATGACGGTGCAGGTTGAGAAGATTGGCATGTTCCTTTGCCGGATGGACAAGTTTGACGATACGCGCTTGCGCATTCTAGACGACTTCAGCATTCAGACGTCATTGGATATGTCGTCGCAGGGCAAGGATTCGTCGATGATGAGTATCCATGTGGATATAGAGCCACTGGTACTGAGACTGTCCCTGCGGGACATCATGCTGGCGATGCAGATCTTCAACCGCGCATCGGCGATGTCGACTAGCCAGGACAAGAAGATGCAGGATGAAGGGCCGAAGAAGATTGCGCAGGTCAAGGGCGCGACTCCTTCGACGAAGCCGAAGTCCACCAAGAAGACCGTGGGCAGTACGACCCAGCGAGGCGGCGCGAAGACCATCAGCACAAAGAAGAGCGTCCAGCCGAAGGAGGCCGAACAGCCCATGGGCTCCGCCGTGCTCAAGCGTGAGGAAATGCGCGTGCAGATGGGAGGTATCCGCGTCGTGCTCATCGGCGACCTGCACGAGCTCCCGATCCTGGACTGGAGCGTGAAGAAATTCGGCGTCGAGGTGCGCGACTGGACGGGCAACATGACCGCCGACACGAGCATTGATACGTTCTTCAACGTGTACAACTTTTCGAAGTCGGCGTGGGAGCCGCTCATTGAGCCCTGGCAGCTCGGGTTCCATATGGCGAAGGAGTCGCACCCGGATCGCTTGGCTGTGGAGCTGTATTCGCGCAAGTCGCTCGAGCTGACGATCACGTCCGCGACCATTGCGCTGGCGTCGAAGTCGGCGCAGTTCTTGTCTTCGGATGAGGATGTGCTGTCGAAGCCACGAGGGAACGATGCACCCTACCGCATTCGCAATTGGACAGGCTTCGAGGTCGACGTCTGGACTAGTGGTGACTCGGACGACGAAGGCCAGGCCGCGAAGTTGCAGGACGGCGAGGAGAAGCCGTGGCGGTTTGAGGACCCGACCACCACCCGTGAGACGCTGTCGCCTGAAGGACAAACAGGCGTCATTGGCGTGAAGCTCGCGGGTAGCGGGTTCGATAGCGTCGAGCGCATCCAGGTCAACCGCGAAGGCGAGGTTTTGTACAATCTCAAGCCGCCGAAAGACAAGATCAAGCATCGCATGCTTGTCGACGTCAAGCTGGGAACGGACAATGTCAAGTACATCACCCTTCGCTCCCCTCTGCTGGTGGAGAACAACACGCAGATTCCCGTGGAGCTCGGCGTCTTCAGTCCCGAAGAAGGCCATTTGCTCAAGATCGAGAAGATTGCACCTGGAGAATCCAGACCTTCGCCGGTGGGCGCTGCGTTCATGCATTCGCTGGTTGTGAGGCCGGATCAAGGGTTCGGGTATACGTGGTCGACGGAGCGGTTGTTCTGGAAGGATTTGTTGAAGAGGCCTGTGAGGACGTTGACGTGTCAGGGCGAGCAGGACAATCATTCTCCGCCATTTTACTTTCAGATGCAGTCGGTGTTTGACAAGAATAATCCGTTGACGAGGTGAGTACAAGGCCCAAGCAGGATGGCAAAGAGGAGAGGCTAACTTGAATGCAGTGTATACCCATACCAGCGGATCCGCCTGTCTGCGCCCATCGAGGTTCAAAACTTGCTGCCGTACGACTTCAAGTACCGGATCTACGATAAGAACACCAAGAAGGACTGGACGAACTTCCTGCGCGCAGGTGGCGTGAGCCCGGTTCACGTAGTCGAGCTCTCGCATCTCCTACTCATGAGCGTCGACATGCAAGACACGCCGTTCAAGGCCAGCGACTTTGCTATCATCAACTCGACCAACGAGAACGACTTCAGACGTGAGAAGAACCTGGTCGTCAAGGACAACAACAACTTGGAGCTGCGGTTGAAGATACATTACTTCAATGTCCCGGACAGTGGTGGTGCTTTCAAGATCACGCTGTACAGTCCTTATGTCGTGCTCAATAGGACTGGAATGGAGCTTGATATCAAGACCAAGGCGTACTTTGGCTCGACCAAGTCTGCTGCTGGCACGCAAGCGACGTTCGCGGACACGGAAGAGGATGGCCAGAGGGCCAAGCCGTTCATGTTCTCGTACCCGACTGATGACCGAAGGAACAGAGCGCTCATCAAGGTGGGCAAGTCTGGATGGAGTCAGCCGGTTAGTTTCGATGCCATTGGTGCTGCGATGGATGTCAAGCTGCCTGCGCAGTCTGGTCGCGAAGAGATGCATGCTGGTCTGATTGTGGAAGAGGGTGAAGGCAAGTACAAGCTCACCAAGGTTGTTACCGTCACGCCCCGCTTCGTGGTCAAGAACAGGCTGGCAGAGGAGATTCAGATCCGTGAGCCAGGGTCTTCTGATGCTTCGACCTTGAAATCGGGCGAGATGCACCCGCTGCGGTTCTTGAAGCAGAGCACAGGCCAACAGCTGTGCTTGTGCTTCCCCGGTGTCAACAACTCCTGGTCTTCGCCGTTCGACATTGCGAACACCGGAAGTGTGCATGTCAAGATCGCGAAGTCCGGCGAGCGGCAGAGACTCATCCGAGTCGAGATCTTGACCGAAGGCGCCATGATCTTCCTGCACCTCAGCATGGAGACGAAGCACTGGCCTTTCTCCATCCGCAACGAGAGTAGCCAGGAGTTCCTCTTCTGGCAAGCAAACCCGAACGTTGACGAGGACGAGGAAGACCGCGGCTCCGGTTGGAAGCCAGTCCGGTACAGACTGCCACCTCGCAGCATCATGCCGTATGCTTGGGACTATCCGGCGAGCAAAAACAAGAATCTGGTTCTGGGTGCCGGTGGCAAGGAACGCCACGTCAAGTTGGCTGAGATTGGCAACCTCATTCCGATGCGTGTCCCACCTGCGCAGGGCCAGCAGCGGCAGAGGATCATCGATCTGAATGTTGTTGCCGATGGACCGTCGCAAACGCTTGTCATTTCCGATTTCAAGCAATCGAAGAGCATCTACAAGCAGAAGTCTGCTTCCACCAGTGCTTCGACGACCGCAGGCTTCGAGGTCAAAGAGCAAGACGACGATGTCACGATGAAGGCTACCGTTCGATTTGCTGGTGTCGGTTTGTCGCTTGTCAACTCGCAGCTACGCGAACTGGTCTATGCGACATGGCGAGACATCGAGCTGAAGTACACCGACTCGCAACTGTACCAGTCAGTGGCTCTCACCGTCAAGTGGATCCAGATCGACAATCAGCTCTACGGCGGTATCTTCCCTCTCATCGCTTATCCGAGTGTCGTACCCAAGACTGGCAAAGAGATGGAGGCGCACCCGATCTTTCGCACTGTCGTCACTCGCGTCAAGGACGACTCGTACGGTGTGCTGTACATCAAGTACTTCACCTTCCTCATGCAGCAGATGACTATCGAGATCGACGAAGACTTCATCTTCGCCCTGCTCGACTTCACCAAGGTACCTGGTGCTTCCTGGACCGAAGAGCAAGAAGGCAAGCTTGCTCCTGAGAGCCTGGACATCCCGGAGCCGACGCAGGAACAGTCTGGTCAGGACATCTACTTTGAGCTGCTCCAGCTGCAGCCCATGCAGTTCGATCTGTCGTTTGTGCGGACCGAGCGCATCAACGCCGAGGACACTGGGAGCTCGTCTTCCAACCCGTTCATGTTCGCCGTCAACGTGCTGACGATGTCCATTGGCAATGTCAACGATGCGCCCATCCGCTACAATGCGCTGATCTTGGAGAACGCGAGGGTGTCGATGAACGCTCTGATCAGCAACGTCAAGAGCCACTACGTGCAAGAATCGCTAGGACAGATACACATCGTCATCGGCTCAGCAGACTTCCTCGGCAACCCTGTCGGCCTGTTCAACAACATCAGCTCTGGTGTCGCAGACATCTTTTACGAGCCATACCAGGGTCTCGTCACCGACAGACCACAAGATCTCGGATTGGGCATCGCCAAGGGAGCTAGCAGCTTCGTCAAGAAGAGCGTCTTCGGTCTCTCCGACAGCGTTTCCAAGTTCACCGGCAGCATCAGCAAGGGTCTCGCAGCGGCAAGCATGGACAAGGAGTTCCAAGACCAGCGCCGCATGTCCCGCTCCCGTAACCGGCCAAAGCACGCCCTCTACGGCATCACTTCCGGCGGCAACGCCTTCGCCAACAGCCTTGCAAGCGGTATCGGCGGCCTCGCTCGCCAGCCCATGCAAGGCGCTGAGAAAGAAGGAGCAGCCGGCTTCGTCAAAGGTGTTGGAAAGGGCCTGCTCGGCCTCGCGACCAAACCTGCCATCGGCGCCTTCGACCTCGCGTCCAACATGGCTGAAGGCGTGAAGAACACCACCACCGTCTTCGACCAAGAAGGTCTCGACCGCGTGCGTCTCGCCCGCTTCATCGGCCTCGACGGCATCGTGCGCCCGTACAGCCAGCGCGAAGCGCTCGGGCAGTTCTGGCTCAAAACTATCGACAATGGCAAGTACTTCAACGAACAGTACATCGCGCACCTCGAGCTCAACTCCGGCTCGCAAGGAGACCGACAAGGCGGCGCCGCACAGTCCCCTTCAACCCCCAGCGGTGGTTCCCGCGGCCAAGGCCAGCAGAGCGAAGCCTCAATGCTGGTGATGATCACGTACAGCGCCATCATGCTCGTGCGCGCGCGCCGGCTGACGACGGAGTGGGAGGTGTCGTTGAAGGACGTGCAGACGATTAGCAAAGAGCGGACGGGGATGAGTATTATTCTCAAGGGCGGGACGAATGGGCCTTTTATCCCGATTGCGGATGAGGGGAGCAGGAATTGGGTGTATAAGCAGGTTGCCGTGGCGGTGAATGCGTATAATGATAAGTGGAATGCTAGGGGTTGAGTGGGGGATGAATTGGGGGCAGGCATAGCGGGAGGCGTTGATGGGGGGTGGGGGGTGGTTAAGGCGAGTACAGTACACAGCATCAGGCATATATATATAATAAGACGCGGTAATGACACTTCTCAACCGTACTTCTAGAAACATTCGAATCCAGACAGTCATTTGTACAAATCTATGAAACTACACATACAACACTCCTCCATCCCACTACTTCAACTCCGTCATCTCATCCTCCAACATTAACTCGAACGAAAACGGCTCAAACGCCACACCCTCCCCGATAAAATGCTTACTCATCGCCTCGACCCAATGCAACCTTAGCGAATGCAACATCGCGCTCGTCCCCTCCATCACCACCAACACCGCCACCGTCAACGCGAACCACAACGTGAAACAGCAGAAGATGACGAAGATCCCCAGCGGTCCTTCGAAGGAGAAGGCGTTCCCGAATGTCATGTCCCAGAGCACGATGCTCAATTGCTGATGCGCGAGCGACAGCGCCCAGAGACGCAGGTACGAGGCCGTGTGCGAGACGCAGTTGAGGCAGAATTCGATCGTGTGGATGACTTGGTGGATCATCACCTCCGAAAACTCGAACTCCTCGCCGTGTTCGCCGCCCTCGCCCCCGCCGCCGCCGATGTCTTGCGTGATGAGCGCGCCGCCGTCCATGTCGCTGTCGGCGAAGCTGGGGCGGCCGTTGGCGTGGGCGTCGCCTTCGTCGTCGTCGTCGTCGAGGGCGGAGACGTGGGTGGTCTCGCCGATGCCGCGGTAGCCTTGGGCACGGGCTTTGTTGTGTTCGTAGCGGAGGTAGAAGGGTTTGAGGAAGAGCATAATCGGGACTTGCACCAGCGCGGCGAGGACGAGGATGACTTGGATCGGGCCCTGGCCGGCGTAGAGCTGCTCGCCTGGTTCGATGGTGCCGGGTTGGAGGAACATGTTGATGAGCATGTTGAGCAGACTTGGGGGGTTGGCGCCGCGCGCAGGCCAGTCGACGCTCCATTTGAAGACGATGGCGAAGACGAGGTAGCCGAAGATGGAGTGGAAGAAGATCATGCCCGGGAGGAAGTTGCCCCAGATGTCGATGGGGCTGCGGAAGTGACGGGCGTTGACGTACGAGAGGCAGAGGGAATAGGTCATCTGGTGCGTAAGACTGTCAGCAGAGTCTCGAGGAGAGATGAAGGGTGTAGACTTACGTGCGCCCATCCCAGGATAATCGACAGCTTCATCTTGTACGAGTTGGAGAACAGCAGATCATTCTCCGTGTCATGCCACCTCCAGTCCATACCAAACGGATACGTGTATCCCTCCACTCTCTTCGCCATGACCGTACCGCCCTTCTCCGGATCGTAACCCTCAGGGAAGTCCCACTCCCACATACTCGGGAACAGGCTTAGCTCCTTCGAGAAGGCATCGCAGTAGATCAGACCAGTGTACATGGAGAAGATACCCATCATCAACATGATGTAGCGTCCGTAGAAGGCCATGCCGAAGAGTTCGTCCTGTTTGCCGCGTTGGAGGGGCTTCTCCCAGTAGATCATGGCGACGGCAGTGAGGGTCATGATGGCGCCGTGGCCAAAGTCACCGAACATGACGGCGAAGAGGAACGGGAACGTGACGATTGTCGGGAGGCCGGGGTTGACTTCGGTGTACTTTGCAGTGCCGTAGGCGTCAATGATGGTCTGGAAGCCGAGGGTGAACTTGTTGGTCTTGTTGTAGGTCGGTGGAGTCTTGGACGTCTTGATCTGGTTGACGATGGTGGGCACAGCGAGACCAGCGCGGTCATTGACATCCTGGAGGCGCGACTTGATCATCCCGAGCGTGTTCGTCGGACACCAAGCTTCTGCCACAAGAGTCTTGCGGGCTGGATCGTATGAGAAGCGGTTGAGCGTCTGATAGACAGTCTTCTCTTTCTTAATGACGATCAGCCACGCAGCCAGCGAGCGGCCAATCTGCGTCAGTTCCGCGTCGAGCGTGCGCTTCGTGTTCCCCAAGACGTTGCCAAGGTCCTGTAAACGACTGTTGACCTCGTGGATCTGGTCACGGCGCAGCTCGCTGTTCTCGTCGACATTGTAGATGCTCGCGCCCAAGCTCTCCGAAATCTTACGGATCTTCGCAATGATCTCCTTGCCGTGCGCGAAGATGACGAAGACGTTCTTGTGTACCTCCTCGTTCTTCTCCGGGTCGAGCACGGGGTCCGGGATCTCGCTCTGGTTCATGTAAAGGTTGCCACGCAGCGTACGCCACAGGATGCGCTCGAATGCACCCATCCTTTCCCGCGGAATGACACCAGCGACAAAGCCAATGTTCATAACGCTGAAACTCTGCTGCTGACCGCCTTCGGTGGAGCCGTTGGGCTGCTGCTCGACGTCTCGCAGTAGTGGCGCGTCATCGGAAGAGTCGATGGACTGCCGGATCTCCTCCGTCTGGCCCCTCGCCCTATCGAAGAAGCCGCCAGCTTCCCGCAGCACCCAGCGCCATTCCGTCAGTTCGGTCTCGCGCTTCTTCAGCGTCTCATAGCTGTCGTTCAAGCTCTGTATCCGCTGCTCCAAGCTCTGACTGCGATCGGCCAGCTCATCGATTTCAGTGGCGGAGGGCGCAGCCATGGTGTTCGCGAAGTCGTAGATAGGGCGCATGGAGATATCGTTCTTCTCAATCTGCGAGCGGAAGTAGTTCAGCTGTCTCTCGACGTTGTCCAGTCGGCGGATCTCCTGGGTGAAGGTACGTTGGAAGGCGGACGTTTCGGGGTTTAACTGTTCAAATACCATCGTCAGTACATCACTACCCCCATCTCTTGCAATGCTGTATACATACATCACGGAACTGCATGACCCCCAACTCGCCCAACGCCGAGACGACCTCGCGCCCGATCTCGTTGGCGACATAGAGCTGGGTCAGGGTCATGTCCTGCGAGCGGAACAACGACTCTTTGCTGGCCGCCATCTTGGCTACTGTCTCCCGCCTTATCGCTATGGGAGATGTAGATGGCCTGGGAGGCGGTGGAGGAGTGGTGGAGTGGAAGGGAGATGGAGTTGTCAAGGCAGCTGGCCTGAGAGAGATGCTGTTCGTCCCTGACGATGGCGCCAAGGATATTGAGAGTCCGTGCGCTCAGTTCGATCAGCTGTTAGAACTCGAGACTTCATGTCTTCATGTCCACACTATACGACATTTACAGCCATGTTTTGGAGAGGGTATCTATTCCCAGGCATATAGCAACAGAAGATGCATTACGGCAACATGGTGGAGGTACCATCATCGAGTCGGTAAGGATATCTCCCATTCATCTACCAACCACAACTCATCATCTCTACATCGTCATACCAAGACTCCGTCCCCATCACCCTCTCCCCCTCCCTCTGCCGCCTCTCCCCCTACTCCCCCTCCCCTGCCCAAGAAAGATAGGCGCGCACACCCGACAAAACCACTTCTCCTCCTCCGCCGGCGGCTCTCTCAACCCCGTACACCCCAAATGGAACCACTCCCGCGGACACTGCTCGTTGTCACAAGCAATCATCTCGCCGTAGGATCCACGGTCGCAGTAGCAGTACTTGGGCTCGTCCGGGTCGTCGGGGTCGCCTTCTTCGTCGTCGTCGGCGTCCTGAGCGTTGTCGTCGCGGGAGATGGGGGAGTCGGGTTGCTCGGTTGTGGTGGGCTGGGGAGGCGAGAGGGGTTCGGGGGTTGGTGAGGAGCGGGGTGATGAGGGGGCCGTGGCGGTTGGTGGAGACGAGGGGTGGGGAGGTTCAAGGTCTGGCACGGTGGTGTCTGGGTCTGCGTCTTCCTCACGCTGAGATGTGACTGACGCGTTGTCCGCTTGCGCGTCAGGCATCATGGTGTCATCATCATTACCTTCTCCTTCATATCCAGGAGGAGCCGGTGATGATGCCGTACCCTGGTTCAGCGTATTGCGCCTCGACACCGGCCTCTTCTTCCTCGGCGACTTGCTCGAGCCCTCCCGCTCCCTAAGCTCAGCGGCTTTCTCGCGGCGCAGTCTACGCCTCTCCACCGCTTCGTCGCTGTGATCATCCTCGTCGCTGTCTTCATCCAAATGACGATCGAGATCCGGGCTGCGGTTGAAGCTGGCCAATTGCTTGACAAGGTGCGAATTGCTAGCTTGCCTCTTGTGCAGCATCTTGATTGGCTTGTCTTCAACACCAGCTCCAGGCTCGGACTCACTCTCTTCCCGGTTTCCGCGCATGCTTCGCGTGCTTCTTGCTCTCTGCAATGCACCCGCCCCACTAACGTCTGGAAATGCTTCAGTTCGAGGCGTCCCAGCCGCCGATCCGCGGCCAGCTTTGCCAGAATTGGAGCCAGAACGAGATGGATGGCTGCGGTCGGCGTCCGTAGATGAGGGACCTTTGCGAGCCTGGCCGTCACTGGCTTCGGTCGTCTTCTTTGCATTGTCCGCCTCATCTACTGGTGCCTTGCGCTTCCTCTCGTTAGACTTACCTGGCGCTGAGATCGGACGACTGCCTTCATCACTCGCAACCTGTTCGTGGCGCAATTTCGTGGCATTACTACTCTGTCGCATCCGCCCGCCTGGTGCACGACCGGCCGGTGGCTCCATGTTCGTTGCAGTAAATGTCGGGTTCAGCGGACTGCTGGCGAGCGCTGGACTGGCCTGGGCCGAAGCAAGGCCCTTCCGCTTTAAAGGTGCTGGCTTCGTCTTCGCCTTCTTAGCCGGCTCTGTGCTTGGTGTGCTCCTGGAGACCTCTTTCGCAGCCGCCTTAGCACCCTTAGTGCTCGTTATGCGCTCCATGCCTGGTGCTGCCAACCCTCTTTCCACCTTTCTCTTCTTTACAGGATCGCCATTTGCAGAAATGCCCAACCCTGCCGGCCCGGCTGGCTTGCCCTTCGCAACCTTCGCATGTGTCTTTTTTGGCCTGTCGTCAAAGTCTGAGTCTAGCTGCTCCCTGCTCTTCCCCTTCTGCTTCTCACGACCCTCGCGCGCTCCAACCGTCCTAGCGGCTGCAATGTCCGACTCGTGTATCGCGCTCGCCGCGGCCGCCAGGCTGTTTGTGGCAGCTACGTCTCTTCTGTTCGCCGATGGGCCAGTCGCTTGCTTCTTCTGCCTGTTGTCGCTATACGCCCAATGCGTCATGCTGCCCAGCCTGGCTTCTTCACTGATCTCCTGCTCCAGAAACGGCATCACTGAGTCGATACGCATGTGCTGCCGCGCGAGTATGCGGTTCGCTTCGGACACCACAACACCCTTCTCATCCAAATTCGGCAGCATGTTCGCGATCAGCGTCCGCAACTCATGGTATTTCTGCCTCTTCGCCAGGTCCTCTTCGTCCGCAGCCTGCGTTCCAACCTCTTCACCACTAAAACTCCCCGCAACCGAATTCTGCGTCGAAAGCTGAGCCGGGTTGCCGCCGTTAACCACACTAGCCGCAGTACTCCCAACCACGCTGTTGTTCGCCGTCAAGCTCATCAAGCCGCCGGGCACCTGTCCGCCCAACTCTCCACTGCCGGCACTCCCTACCTCCGCGCGATTTGCATCCCGCTGCTCCCTCGCGACTTTAGATGGAACAGGGTACCCCATAACCTCATTCACCACTTCCTCAAACTTCTCCCCGTTTGCCCAGATCTTAGCTTCTACCTCCTTCATCAGCGTAAACTGCCGCATCACTTCCTTCGGCAATGCCGTAATAGCGTCCGTGAAGAAGGTGATGGCTGGAAAGAAGCCTGGCGGGCCTTCATCTTGCTCGTTGTCTCGCGCGGCATTGGCGTTGTTGCCGAAGGGGCGGGCGTAGTAGTTTGCTGGTCGCGCGGCGGTGGCTCGGACGGCACGTCCGGAGGTTGTGCGGCGGGTGTGCATGCCGTTTGGGTCGGTGGAGGCGGAGGCATGGGGGGCGTTGGCAGGGTTGGTGGTGGAAGGTATGCGGGTTGCGGCGGTGGGAGGCATGGTGACGCGCCGGAGGTGGTTCTGTGATGGTGGAAGTCGTCAGAATTAGGTAATTTGGAGCATGGTTGGTATATCGCGCGGCGATGCGAGAGCAGGTGTCTGGCGGTGTAGCTGTAGTGAATGTGTAGCAGAGTAGGAGAGTGAGTATGAACAGCTCCATACTTTCGAGCGCGCGCATCACACTGCCACCAAACGCCGATCGGCAAGTCTCCATGACTCGCGCAACCTCACTTGCTTACCAAGTCACATGCGGCGGATGGTGGACGATATCCGGACGAACTGCAAGCACCGAGAGGCCGTGAATACATGACAGAAGTCTATACGAGTCAGTCAATGGCAGGAAGTAGAAACGTCGGACCAACACATCTTTCCGATCTATACCCTTAGCTGTGACATTAAAGACTGATTGACAAGGTCACTACCCTTTGATCCTTTCCCTGTCCATCTACCATCCTCAAACCATACCAAACAACCCAGCAAGACACGAGAACGAAAAGATCAGCCATGCCTCCCATCCCCATAGCAATGGCCGGCAAAATCATCCCCCACGCCCATGCCTTCTCCAAACTGATGCTCCCCGAATACGAAATCATCTTCCGCTTCCAATCCGCCCCCGAATTCCACTCATCCTTTCCCTTCCTAATGAAAGGCACGCCCGTCAACCCTGAATCTCAAATCGGCACCAATACCGACAACCCTAATCCAAAAATTCCAGCTGCGATCTTTGTCGGCGGAGGGTTTAGCGATGACGAGTTGGAGAGCATGAGGGCGGTTCCGGAGGCGAAGATGTTGCCGTGGGTGAGTCCGAGTCAGAGTACGAGGGAGGAGGTGCGGAAGGTGGGGGATTTGATGTCGAGGGAGCAGAGGGAAGGGGGGCCGGGGGAGGGGGTTATGGAGGTCGTGGTGAGGAGGGTTAAGGAGTGTTTGAAGGAGCATGGGGTAGTGGAGGGCGGGGAGGGGTTGGAAGGGAAGGATGGGGGAGAGCTGTGGCGGTGTTGAGGTAGAATGGAATGCGGCGATTGCTCTCTTCTCCGGATGCTGGCAGACTTTACGCTCATGTACCGTGTTGTGAACCTGTTTTACTAAGATTCGATATCGGAGAACGTCTTGCGAGCATATTCAACCTCCGAAGCAAGATTCTCTCTACCTATCCGCTTCCATCCGAACCACCTTATCGCAGTTCAGCAAACACAACGGATCCAGCGCGTTCTTGACCTACACCATTCTGTCAGCACCCGCCTCTCAATCACAGTGCCCACACAAATCACCCTCCTCATAGCATCAACAGTCCCCTGCCCCAGCTCGAGGGGCAAATAATCCCTCTTCACCAATCCCGCACCATGCTCCCCCGTAACCGTCCCCTCCATCTCAATCGCCCTCTCAACCATTCGATGCACCACCGCCTCCGCGATAGGCTTCTCCTCGTCGCTGTAGAAGATGGCAGAGTGGAAATTGCCATCTCCAACGTGTCCGATAACGCAGTGCACCAAGCCACAGCTCTCGAGATCAGCCTTGGTCTGCTCAATCATATCCGACAGCCTCGAAACCTGAAGCGCGCAGTCCGTAGCCCAGAGCTTGTCGTCATCGTTCTTCTCAACAGCCGCAGTACCCCATAATATCGTCTTCCTCGCCATCCAGAGATCAGTACTCTCCTGCTCGTCCTCAGCAAAGATGAAACTCTTATTCCCCATTCCCTCCGCCAGCCCCTTAACAACAGCAATCTCCTCCCTAACCCCATTCTCCGTCTCGCTAAACCTGAAAAACAACGTCGGCGCCTCCTCCCACTCCCGATCCGTCGACCCGCTCTCGTTCAAGCACTTCACACTCACCGCATCCAACAGCTCGACCGCAGCGACTTGGATCCCGCTCTGCACGACTCTACTAACACACTGTGTCGCTTCGCGGATGCTGGAGAAGGCCGCGACAGCCACGCGCTCGTTCTGCGGGAGCACGGTGACTTTGAGCACTGCTTCAGTCACGAGGCCGAGGGTCCCTTCGGCGCCGGTGAAGAGGCGGGAGAGGTCGTAGCCGGCGCTGGACTTGGAGGGGCGTTGGCGGGTTTTGATGATGGTGCTGCGGTGAGGACGATAGTGAGGGAGATGACCCAGTTCTTCATCGTGCCGTAGCGGAAGGCGTTTGTGCCGGAGCAGCCGCTGTAACAATCATAGGGATATTCAGCACTGTTTCACAGGAGCCACGGGGTGGTGGAGACAGCTTACGTTCCGACCATACCACCGATCATTGCTCCAGGACCTATGCGTAAACATCATCAGCTCTTCCACTTTCAACCAATACCTCTCAGTACAGCAAAACATACCGGGATCTGGAGGGAAAAGAAGCCTCTCCTCCTTCAACCGCTCATTCAACTCCTCATACCCCACCCCCGGCTGCACCACCACATCCAAATCCTCCTTATGCAGCGCCAAAACCTGCGCCATTCGTCCAAAATCAATACAAAGCCCTCGTCTCGTGTTCGCGAAATTTCCCTCGAACGAAGTTCCGCCGGAGAACGCTACCACGGGGATGCGACGCGTGTGGCAGAACTTCATGATTTGAGAGACCTCCCCCGTGGAACCGGGGAGGACGATGGCGACGGGGCCTTCATCTCTACTGCTGGGGTGGGAAGACTATTCAGAGCCGGTGTGGCGGGAAATCTCGTCGAGGCGGCTGTTGATGTTGGCTTCGCCTACGATGGCTGCGATTTCTGTTCGGGCGGTACGGAGGTTTTCTAGGGAGACGTCGTGGATGGGTTTGGGTGCTTTGCCGAGGGGTGTGGTTGAGCTGGTGTGCCTGTGTGCCTTTGATGGGCCATCTTCGTAGGCTTGAGGCGATCAACGGTACCAAAAGCCACGCCTTGCCCCCGCCTCCCGGCCGACGAAGAGCCATGCTTCTTATTGTAATGATCCTCTGTCAAACGATTGTAGGACCGGCTCGCTGCGCGCTGAGCTGGATGAATGTTCGCAGTCCCGGTGGTACATCTCCCAAGAGTTCGCATGGTCGCTGCCATAACCGCTCTCCGTAATGCTCCAATTCAGGCCGCGAGCAGATATCACAAGCCAAAGAGAAGGACGCGGAGGAAAGCTTGAGCAATGCTTGATGGCGGCAAAATCAAGTAGTAATGACCCAGATGCCACCATCTTGAACAGCAAACGAAGCGGAACCTGACCGCAATGATGGTTCAGCCACGAGGCCAGCGTACGGGCTGGAGCTCGCTTCTCTTGGAGGATGTGCTTCGATGTTGAACCCAAGCCCGTGTCGTTAACCAGTCTGGTCAGGACGAGGCGGCGAGAAGGGCCTGCGCCATCGTGGTGTAACAGCAAGAGTGGTGGAATATTCGGCCCGGCGTCCTCCTTCCAGAGCTCCGACCCGAACAACATTCCATCACGTGATGTCAGACGCAAGAATCTCTGGCCGAAAGCATCTCGCGAGATGCAGACCTGGCGTCCTTTCAATGCTCGCAGCTACAAAGAATGATGGTGGCTGGCTGGAATAGCGCTTGGTCATCATGCACGGTGGGAAGGGTGTAGGTAGCTCATAACAGCACTCTCATACATGTAGCTTTCTCCGCTGTCGAAACATTGATAAGCTTCGCGTCTTCCCATCCGTGAGTGATTCAAAGTAACCTCACCCATCGAGAAAGAATCGCAGCGCCTGAGCCCACAATGGCTGATCCCCAAGCGTCCGAAATGCTCACTGCCCTCCTCGAGAAGAACCACCTCGAGCACGCTCTCCTACTCCCTGATGGCTCAACCCACAGCCATATGGCCCACGTCTGTGCTTCTCTCTCTCTCATACCACATGACCGACTGACTTGGTCCAGCTCCTCATCTCAGCCCACCGCCTCAACAGCACCACCTCCCACCTGGAAGCAATCTACACCACCACAGAATCCTCGCTCATCCCTTGGAAACCAGCCGAGTACTCCATAACATCCGACGAAGACCTCTTCTCCCACCTCGGCGATCAAAGTTACCAGCGCGCCTTCATCCAGTACTTCGACCGGCGCCTCCAGGACTTCGACAACGACTGGAGTGCGTTATTCAAGCACTACCTCCTCGAAGGACCCATGCCGATGCTCGGAGGTTTGACGGGAGGTTTCGCGCACCCGTTGATTATGGTGGCGGATGCGGTGGATGTGGGGGATCCGCATGTAGCGGTCGAGGCGTTGGCGTTGACGGCTTATGATTGGAATGCGCTGCACAAACTGACGGACGGCCCTCCTCCGCCAGCTCGTGAGGGTTCCGGGAGGGAGTGGACGGTGTTGCAGATCCTGGGGCAGATAAGGGATGATACTGTGTTCGATGAATTGCTCCAGAAGCCTGGAGTGAGGAACACGATGGTGGTGCTCCAGAGTGATCATGCAAGGCAGGCTTTGCTGGGCTACCTGGGCGCTCTGCATGTTGCGGTTGACAACGTCGACACGATTCTCCCGGAGTTGGTTGAAGCGGCGGTCCATCTGTTATGCACCATCCATGTCAAACCCTCGGCCTCGACAGCGTTTACACAGCACAAATTCGACTTCTATCTCACCCACCAGCTCACCTTCTGCTGGTGCGTCAAGACTCTCATCCCGTTCCTCGACTCGGTTGCCAGCGCGAAGCTCCTCCGCATGGTCTGGCTGATGATGGTTTTGACGTACGTCACTCAGCTTCGACCGAAGATGAAGCCGGAAATACTCGTAGACACTCCACTGCCGACGGGGGATAGGACCAATATCTGGGATGAGATGGCTGCGGCCACGGTCGGCGGCATCACGGGGAAAGACGCAGATCCGCACTTTGTCAAGGTCATTCGGACGTTGAAAGAATTCGCGCAGATGTGGCCAGAGCGTGAGGAGAACTTCCTGAAAGCCGCGATTAGGTTCGATGGAGAGTTCTCCGGGTGGACCGGGTTTGGCGAGGCGGGTGAAGAGAGGACGGATGTCGAAATGTAGCACGTGCTCCGTCCTAGGTAGCTTCACGCAATTACGAACATGAACGCCCTAATGGACCCGTCTCGTCGGCATCCCGTAGAGCATCAACGCCGAGTTCTCATGCAACATCGACATCCCAGCCCCCGGATCAGCGTTCGTCACCCTACTCATCTCCTCCTCAAAACACTCAATCATCGGCTGCAGCTCAAACTGCAGCGTCTCAGCCACATTATGGTGCAGCTGCGCCATAGCTTCCAGATGCGTGCTCAAGATCGTGCGGCGCTGGATGTAGACATTAATCCTGTGAACCTGCGTAGAAGTCGGGATGATCTGCGTGCGCCGGGTCCAGACGATGCCGTAATGGAAAGCAATCCTGTCCAGACCTTCAGCACGGTTGGTGAGCCAGCGACGGAGGGAGGCAATGGTCTCGCGGGAGGGCTTCTCGATTTGCAGGAGCAGAGTGAGGTTGGGGTTGCAGCGGAGGGCGCGGAGTTCGGTGGCGTAGAGGGAGGAGATAAGGCGGGTCAGGTTGGAGAAGTCGAGGTCTTTAATCACGGTGCGGATGGGCGCGAGTTCCAGGAGGAGAGGCAGGAATTCTCGTCTTGTTTGACCGGAGACCAAGAGGAGAGGTGGGGGTGGGTGGTAAGGCGCTTTGCCATTTTTCTTGGAGGAGGCGGAGGGGATGAAGATGCGCGTATCTTCTGCGACAAGCTCGTAGATGGCGTTGCGGAGTTCGGCTGGGAGGTCGAAGAACGAGAGCTTGCTTTCCTTGGTCGACCCTGACTCCTCTGTGATGATGTTGGCGGCCAATGCTGCTTCTGCTGCTGGCGAGAGCGAGACGACGCTCTTGCGCCGAGGTTCGAAGAATTGCTTGCTGTTGCGACGGAGGCTCTTCAACATTGACATGGCGGCGATCTTGCTTCCGAGCTTCCTTGAAGATCCTGGGTCCGATGAACGTTGATCTTACGCAGAACAGGCGGATGGAGTAGGAACAAGCAAGTGAGATGCTAAAAAGGAAAGTCTTGGTCGGGTCAAGCTGCGACGTGGGTGGTGGCGAGAGGCAGGGATGGTAGAGGGCCAGACCTCCTCCACACACTCCACATTGCGGGCGAGATGCAGACGACAGGGCCGGGGTCGGTATACGCCGGTAGTGGCGTGCGGGAGTATGAGAATTCATCGAGTAGGCTCGAGGTAGGGTCCTTGGATTCAGGTATGTTTTATATGTCGACAATCTAGACGGACAGTGACTTGCGGTGTCTCCATTTGATATAAGAGCGAACGCCGACTGTTCTCAAGATAAGAACACGAAGGGATTGCTGAATGGTATCAACCCAATGTCAGCATCATTGCCATTTGTCAGCGAAGAGACACCGCAAGCGAAAAATCCATCTCTCAAGTCAAGACAGAAGCAATTCTCGAGCCACGTTAATGCCGTACGCGATAAGCCAGGGTATCATTCACGCACTAAACACCCTCACGTTCAAATCCACACTCCCACAAGCCACCAAACACCGTATCTGCTCCTTGACCCCTTCATCCTTCTTCGTCCCATTCGTTAACGTCCCGTTAGCAAGCCCACTGCCACCACCGCTATCCGCTTCTTTGTAGATACTGGGTGCCCACCTCAAGCAGCTGACGAAATGGTCTGCGGCTTCAATAACTCTCACGCACTTCCCCTCTTGTGCCAAGTCCCAGCAGCGGATCGTCTTATCGTCCGAGCAGGAGAGGAGGTACTTGCCACCTGGGTGGAAGACGAGCGAGCGCACCCAGTTATCGTGGCCGGTCAGGGTCTTGATGCAGATGCCGTTCGTGGAGAAGATTTTGATGAGCTTGTCGCGGCCAGCGGTGGCGAGATATTCTGCGCTGCTGGATGCGGGAGGTGGCTTTTTAAGGCCAGCGAGGGATGAGAGGTGGGTGTATGTGGATGGCGGAGCGAATGCGCAGCACTCCACGACGTGCTCGTGCGCCATGAAAGTCTGCTTCAGCGCGTTGGAGTCTGGTTGCGAGAGATCCCACATTCGGCCGGTCTGATCTGAGGAGGTGGAGAGGAGCCATCTGCCGTCGAAGGTTGCAGAGAGTGACCGCACCCATTCGCCATGGCCGCGAAGCGTGCGAAGACAGTAGCCCGTGGTGACATCCCATATTCGTATGGTCTTGTCTCTGCTGGCTGATGCGAGGAGGTTGCCAGAAAGTGGTGCGCCTGCTGCGCCTGAAGGTATGAAGCGAACGCAACTCACGCTGTGATCGTGGCCAGGCAGTGTTCGGATGTTCTTGTACTCGTCTGCGGGATCCCAGAGTTTTATTGTGAGGTCGGAGCTGCAGCTGGCTAGCAGGGTGTTTCCTCTAGGTCCACCAAAGTCGACATCCAGCACAGCTTTGGTATGTGATTTGAGCGTTCGTTCCAGCTCACCAAGCTCGTAATCCCAGATCTTGATGGTGCAGTCTTCACTACCAGACGCCAGACTCGAGAACAGTGGATGGAATGCTACGCTCGTGATCGGCTGCCGGTGCGACTGCAGCGTATGCCTTGCCGGCGCACGAGGTAGCCAGGTCGTGGGGTCGTGGTTCTTTCGCGCGGCCAGTGATGTTGGCGTCGCACTGTCCAGCTCGTTCTGCAACTGCGCAGCCTTCCCTTCTAGATCCATAATCTTCTTCTGCAACCGCACCACACTCGTCCACTTCTTCTCCAGTAGCCCCTCATACTTCTTCGCCGTAGCAGCATCGAAGCTGCTCTCTGGGATGTTCAGCTCATCTCGAATCTGCTGCGCGCTTTGAGTGTGACCGGTGGAACTCAGGTAGGCGATGAGGGCTTTGTGGCTGTCAGCTTGCGATCAGCGAAAGCCTGGAAGAAGTGGAAGGGCAACTTACAGCTCGTCGGCTTGCCGAGAGGTGAGTAGCTGGCTCATCGTGGCTACGTGTTATCTCGCCATCCAGGAAGGAGTATGTCCTCGCTGTTGGGTGTGACGTAGAGGTGGTTGCTACGCGACTCGAATGCCTGGTGGTGGTCCTGTGCTTAGAGGCTCATGTATTGTTTTCGAGGTGACGGTTCGACTGTTTTGGTAAAGTTTGGTATGGGAGTGTTATGGTGGATTGTGTGCAGCGACAATAGCAGCGATTGTCGACTTTCTCTCGCCGACAATATGTACCTTGGTCGTTTCCGCGGGCACGTGCGCTCATAATAAGGTTGTTGGGGGAGCCGAGTGACGATCGCTGTTGCCGCGGAGGCGCGTTGTTGTTGCGGCGAGATACCGACACCTCCGAAAGTTTGACCACGACCTGCAACACCAATTGACGTCGGCAACAAGTGAGACGGAATCGAATACATCACGACCTACGGCTTGATCAGTACGGACAGCACAGGACGAGAGGCAAAGTAGCCACGACAGCCTCCCGACTACGAAACAGACACCGACCTTCGAATTCATCCCAAGCGCGAACAAGCATTGTTGACAGTCAGAGTCCGGAGCCACTGTCTGGCTCAACCGCTGAACGGTCGATGCGCCGGAGCGCAACATCACGGCAAACAACCCCAACAGAGCATTGTAGCGACTAGCGACTATGGGCGACCAGGAGGAGTTTTCCCAGCTCTCGCTGCCTGATCAGTTCGCACACAAGAACTGGAAAGCACGGAAAGGTGGCTACGAAACGGCCACGAAGGAGTTCGGCACTGCGCAACCGACAGATCCTATCATTCGAGAGTTCACAGACGGGTCATTATGGAAGGCCGCGGTCAGCGACAGCAATGTTGCAGCGCAACAGGAAGCATTGGGTGCATACAACGCATTTCTGGAGGCCAGCGGCACGGACGGCGCGCGGAGAACAAGAGGCAATACTGTGACGGGCGTGGTGGAGAAGGGTTTGACGGGCAGACCTGCGGCGAAGGCGGCAGCAACGGAGACATTACTGCTGCTCGTGGAGCTGGACAAGGCCGATCCGATCATTGAGGAGCTGTTGCCATTCGTATCGCACAAGCAGCCAAAGCTCATCGCGGCGGCACTGTCGGCGCTCACGACTATCATCCATGCATACGGCTGCAAAGTGGTCGAGCCCAAGCCGATCGTCAAGATACTACCAAAAGTCTACGCACACGCCGACAAGAACGTTCGTGCGGAAGGGCAGAACCTCACAGTCGAGCTGTATCGATGGCTGCGGGAAGCGATGAAGCCGTTGTTTTGGGGAGAATTGAAGGAAGTGCAGCAGAAGGATCTGGAGAAGCTGTTCGAGCCAGTGAAAGCAGAGCCCATGCCGAAGCAGGAGCGATTGTTGAGGAGTCAGCAAGCGGCGAAGGAAGTGGCGGAAGCTGCTCCAGCGGAGGCAGAAGAGGCAGAAGAAGAGGAGGGAGCAGGAGAGATTGATCTGGAGCCTGAATACGTGGCCGTTGATGTCCTTGCGAAGGTTCCTAAAGACTTCTCCGATCGATTGGCTTCATCGAAGTGGAAGGACAGAAAAGATGCATTGGACGATTTATTCGCAGCTTGCAACGTGCCAGCTATACAAGAAGGCCCGTTCGACGAGATCGTGCGCGGCTTGGCGAAGAGCATGAAAGACGCCAACATTGCCGTTGTCACGGTTGCAGGAAATTGCGTGGAGTGCCTTGCAAAAGGTCTACGACGGTCTTTCGCCAAGTACCGAAGCACGATCCTCACACCCATGCTCGAGCGGTTCAAGGAGAAGAAGGCGAGCGTCACTGACGCTCTAGCTGCTGCTTGCGATGCTGTTTTCATGTCGACAGGTCTCGGAGATATCCAGGCAGATGTATTGGAGGCGCTCAAGAACAAGAATCCTCAGATCAAGGAGCACAGCGCGAAGTTCCTGGCGCGAAGTTTGACGATGACAAAGGAAGCACCCACGCCCGAGCAAACGAAGGAAATTGTAGAGCCTTCGAAGAAGCTACTCACCGAGTCGGCAGTTACGTTGCGAGATGCTGGAGCGGAGATTCTCGGAGTACTGTGGAAGATCATGGGCGACAGAAATATGCTCTCACATCTGGATGGTCTTGATGAGATCCGAAAGACCAAGATAAAGGAGTATAGCGACGCTGCAGAAGTCAAAGCGAAGTGGAAGCCCAAAGCTGCTGCTCCTCCGCCTAAAGCTGCGCCTGCTGGCAAGAAGCCTGGCCCAGCGGGCAAACGAACTGTCGGGAGCGCGAAGAAGCCTCCACCAGCGAGAGCTGCGAGCCCGGCACTGGATGAGCCAGCTTTACAGCCACGACCGACGAGCCGACCAGCGACCAAGGCAGCCGGCGCAGGTCTCAAGCCGCCGGGCATCAAACCTCCCTCTGGTCTGTCGAAGGCCGGCTCTGGTCTAAAAGCGCCCGCCTCTGGCACCGCATCTCCCAAACGGCAAGGCGTGGTCTTCGATGAGCAGGCCGCAGCACCGCCAGCCAAGCCCGGTCTTGCAGCTCCCAATCGTGGTCTCGCTGGCCGCCCACTTGGCAAGCCCTCCTCCACACCCGCCTCACCGCCTCGTGAGGAGCGCTCAGAGCAATCGGCGTTATCCTCCATAGAACGGCAAGAACTCTCCGAACTCCGCTCCTCCGTCGAACTCCTCCAACAACAAACCTCCGACCTCCGCAACGACAAGCTAAAACAGCAGTCCCAAATCACCGAGCTCCAGAACCAGAACGCGCAACTAATCGAAGACCACACGCGCGACGTCCTCCAAATCAAAGCAAAAGAAACCCAGCTCGTCCGCGCCCGCTCAGACGCCGAGAACGCAGAAGAGCGAGCAAACTCACTCAGCAAAGAAATCGACCGCCTCAAGCGAGAGATGTCCCGCCTCGGCCGCGTGAGATCAGAAAGCGGCGATGGCTCCCTCGACACCAACGGTAACACCGACTTCACGCCCACTTCAACTCGGCCAACCTACGGCAGCAGCCGCTCGTACGCCGCACCCGCCTCACGTCCTGCGTACAGCAGCTTGAACAGTTTTGATGCGCCAGGCGGACAGGAAGGTAAGGAGAACATCCCCGCCGACGTGCATGTTGGTGGTAAGCTGAGCGGCGTCTCAGTGCCCCCTTCCTCCGAGCGACACGCGTATTCACGACCGATGAGCAACGGGTCTTCCGGGCGGGCGACGCCTGCTTCGGCGGACGGAGGAGAGAGTTTGGGCAGCGGACATGGGTTGTCGAGGAACCCGTCGCAGAGTGGGGATGGGGTGGAGAGCTGGCGGCGGGCGGCGGAGGTGACGCAGAATTTGAAGGCGAGGATTGAGATGATGAAGGTGAGTCGTCGTCGTCTTCCTGTGAGTAAGGCATGGGGTGGTCTTGCTGACGGTGGCGTGTAGGCGAGGCAGAATATTGGGAGGGGGCAATAATGGGGGTATGTGCGAGGGTCGTGATGTTTGAAGTGCATACGCAGGACTGGTGAAGCACGGCGCAGTAGGAGCTGTTTGGACTGGTGTTTGTGAAGTTACAGCATGATACCATTGATCGTGGCACATTGCCGTGCAGCATGCGCATACATTCCCCTATCCAACCTCATTCTCTCTATGCTCACCCTACTCCTGCGTATCAGGCGGCAACTCCTCCCCCCTCCTCTTCTTCCCCAGCCCACTTTCCCCCCTTTCCCGTCCCACAAAATCCCCAACCCACTCCCTCACCCTCCCGACCTTCTTTCCCATAACCCCATCCCGAATCTCCACCCCCTCCCCAACAACAACAACCTCCGTCCCCATCCTCGCAAACCGCCTCCGCATCAAACTCTGCCCATACACCACGCCCCTAAACTCACTCAACGCCACATTTCTCAACAACACCACATCGCCCTTCCTCAGGCCCCTCAATTTTTCTCTTAGTTCCGCATCCTCCGCCCGCCGCGCTTGTTGACTCTTCTCCGGCACGAGCCAGAAACTGATAGTGAAACCTGCGCGGGTGTCGTCGCCGACTGTGAGTTCGATGATCTCCATTTCTGTCCCTGGACGGCGGCGGATGGGGACGATGCGGGAGGGGGAGAGGGAGATGAGGGCGCACAGGAGGTTGAGGGTTATGGTCTGCGGGTGGATGGAGGTTATGTGTTGGGCTGTGGGGAGGCGGCGGAGGTCTGTGATGGGGAGGTTTTGAGGGAGGGAGGGGAGCTCAGGGGAGGAGTCTGGGAGGATGGAGTCGGAGGTTGTGAGGTACGACGTATCGGACGTGGAGAACGAGGTCGTGCAGAGGAGACTTGCAGAGATGTCCTGGATTGAGGTTGTCGGGCCCTGGTAGGCTGTGGTGGGCAGGAGCTGGGAAGAGTCGAGAGAGTCGAGTAGGGCTAGGGAGTGCTCGAGGAAGTCTTCTTGGGAGTCGGAGCGGGCGCGCTTTTGCTTTGCTTTGCCTTTGTTGGGTTTGACCGGGGTCCTTCGAAAGTCGGAGGCCTCGTCTTGCATGGGCAAGTTTCTCGTTGGGCCAAGTTCGACAGATCGCCATGTTGGGTACTGACTTGTGGCGGTTTGGTCGCCTAGAGTGTCTTCAAGAGCTGAAGCGTGTCCATGTCCTAAGAACCGTTCAAACGCAAGGGTAAGTATGGAGTCGGCAGTCAATCTACTTTCATCCCAGTCCAAGCAGTCGGCCAAGGGAGCACCAGCCAACAGGATGATGCGTCGTGATGGCGGCATATTTGGGCCAAGTTCCGTTCATATTGTCGTTGGTATGTATGCTCGCACTGATGTTTTACTGTCCAGACGGTATCCTTGTGGCTATCCAGAGGCCAGAGCGTTTGCTGTCACATGTGAATGTGAATGTTGACCCGGAGATACCATCGAAGGAAGCCGAAACCGCGAATGTCCGAGTATGGCTCGGCCGATACTGATGGCAGGTAGTGATAAAGGAAGGCTCGATGGCCTTTTAGATGTCGTCTTCAGCTCAGCCTTTTCGTCTTGAACCTCGAAGATCAATCATGCCGTCGTGAGAGTCCCGAGTTGTCGTCCGCAGCCGTCTTTCAAATCGCAAGGCAACACAGCGGGACCCTTTCCGCTTCGAAACTGATAAGATTGATAAGAGAAACCCAGAGCCTCAAAACCACTCCGATGGCGCCCGCCGCCATACGCTCAGCCAAGATGACCACTCTCCTCCGCCGAGTAACGGACAAGTTCACCCCCAACGCCTCCTCCACCGATCTGACCGCCCTCAAACCCCGCCCAGATGGCTTCTCCACCGCCAAAGGCGCCGATGCCCTCTTCCTACGGACCAAACCCGAAGTAGACGGCGAAGAATGCCTCCACGACTGCGAGACCTGCACGATACACCTTCCCCGCGGTTTCAAAATCGACGAGGACGATGCGCTGTTCGGGCAGATCAAGGGGTTTAGTCGGCATCTGATCGTCGCGACGGGGAAGACGGATTGGGTGAGGGATGTGGCGGACGAGAAGGGGAGTGTGATGGAGGCCGTGGAGGGGAATGACAAAGAGGTGCAGGGCGGGAGGTTGATGTTGAGCGCGAGCAATATGGACTTGCCTGATCACGACGACTTGCATCCGTATGGGAAGGATAGGCCGACGACTGTGCTACTCATGCCAGCGTTTCAGTTTATTGACAATGTTACCCCTACCAAGGTGCCGGAGCTGATACGGGGGATTGTTAACAAGACGCCTACGAACACTACGCCGTTTCCTCACGAGACCTCGCCTTCAGATGCTCCGCTCAGCTCTTCGGACCTCCCTGCAGAACTCTCCCTCCGACCTTGTCACCACAAATACGTCATCCTCATGTGCTCACAGGCTACCCGCGACGCACGCTGTGGCCAATCCGCTCCTTTGCTCCGGCGCGAACTGGAACGGCATCTACGTCCCTTAGGCTTGTACCGAGACAGCGACGACACGCGACCAGGTGGCGTGGGGATCTACTTCATCTCGCATGTCGGGGGCCACAAGTACAGTGCTAATATGATGGTGTACCGGAGAGGAGAGCCCGGGAGGACAGGGACGGAGTTGATGCAGGGCGAGAATGGAACGGCGGTGGGTGGCGAGCAGAAGGCGGCGGGCGAGGCGGAGGCGGCGCAGTGTATATGGCTTGCACGGGTGAGGCCGGAGGATTGTGAGAATATCGTACGGTTTACGGTTCTGCAAGGGAAGGTCGTAAAGCCTGAAAGGCAGCTGAGGGGTGGGTTCGACAGGGAGAAGGGGGTGGTGAGTTGGTAGCCTCTGTTCCTCCCCAAAACTGCATGCACATAGAACCAATAAAGACAACCACAGCTACACCCCCTCCATCTCCAACTCCAACGGCACCGGCGGCCACACCGCCGTCGAAAGCAACAACCACGCCGTATCGCTATCACTCCACTCCCGAAACCCCATCTTCTTCCTACCGCCACCCACCTTGTCAGCGAATCCCCCACCACCCTCCCTTTGACCACCTCACATACCAATGCGCCGCAACCCTTTCCCCAGCCTCCACAACCGACACCTCTCCCTTCAACTTCCCAATAACCCCGGGCTCCAACATAACCACTGCCTCCCGTCCCCTCAACCCCAACCACTCGACCACCCGCTTAACCATCTCCTACCCCAGCCCCTTACCCCTCCACTCCAGCTCAAGAATAACGCTCTCAACAAACAACACCCTCTCCGCTCGATCCAGTAACCCTTGAGCCGCGGGCAAGAAATTCTCGTTCGCCAGGTAGTTTTCGACTTTGTAGAGTTTGGCGGCGGGAGCGCGGGTGGTGTCGTAGGCGAGACAGGCGTCTTTGAAGGCGGAGCTTTGGGGGAGGGAGGGGGGGAGGGAGATGAGTTGGGCTTTTAGGTGGCCGATGTTGGGGTGAGTGGGGGTGTGGAGGGAGGCGGTGATGCAGGTGATGTTTTCGTGGGAGGGGGCAGTGGTGCAGGGTTGGCCGGTGGTGGTGAGGTAGTGGTGGATTGATAGGTCCATTGTGTGAGCTTCGTGAGGCTGAAGTTGTGGGAGACTGACAGAATGAGACGAGGAGATGAAGTGCAGTTGAAAATTGATTGATTGTGTTGTGAAAGACTGGCATTGAGCCTTTGATCTTACTGATAGCTTGAACGCTCGCTCATAACACAACATCTATCCACAGCTCTCATCACTTTCATCTCACATCTTACTCATCACTTCATAGAATCGTGCCAAACCCAAACGTCGTCTTGATCGACCGCACATAGTACTCCGACCAATTCCTCTTCGTCGGCTCCTCCTGACCGATCGGGACCCCTTCCCACTCCACCTTCATCAGCGTCACAGCATCGACATCGTTCTGATCGAACTTGATCTTCAGCGTCGAGAAGTGCCCGGCCGACCACTGCGCTAATCGCCACTTCTGCTCAATGTACTTCGGCCGGTCGAGCTTCACGTACGAGCCGGATACATTCCCGCCAAAGATCTCGAACTTGCCACCTTCCTTTGCGCCTTCGAAGACTTTCGGAGGAGCGCGAGTGAAGGCTGCGATGCGTTGCGGGTCGGTGAAGGTCTCGAAGAGCTGTTCGGCGGTGGTGCGGAATTCTTGGAGATCGGAGAGGGTGGTGACGTTGATGTTGGATTTTGATGTTGCGGTGGCGGAGTTGGATGTTGGGTCGTCTTTTTGCTTCGCTACCGAGGAGCTTTGCAGGACTCTCGGTGTGCTATAGCCAGGTGGGTTGGAATCCGGCGCATGTTGGATGTCCTTCCCATGCTCCGTGATAAGGGTCCGGGCGAGCTTTTGCAGGCGTTTCCGGATCTGCGGCGTGATTTCTTTCCGCACGAGCTCCTTGACTGGCTCCTTTGAAAGATCTGAAGAGTAGACGTCTACCTCAAACTGTGCGACTGTTGTTAGTGCGGCCGAAAGAGGAGGATCACAAGGGCAGAATGAGACATACAACATACTCGTCTTCCTCCGTATCGTGCGCGACCTCAGGGATCGTGATCGTCCCGCTGACGTCTTTCGTGTCGCCTTCTTGACTCGCCTCCTCGTCTTCGCTCTTCTCTCCCTTGGCAGGTACCTTCCCGGTGTATTCGAGCTGTAACCGGACGTCGAAGATTGTGATCACCTTGCCCTTCCGCTGCGACACATCGACATCTCCGTCCATGCTCATGACCTTGCTCACTTCTGCTTCCGTGCCATCGTCTCGTGACGCCTTCAACCCCACAAGCTCTTTGGACAACCAGTCTTGCGTCCACGGTCTGACGTCCTTATTCACCCAATGCCAGTTGTTGGGATTGTGAAGAGCCATTGCGGTAGGTTGTGACCAAGCCGAAGGGAGGCTGCTGAGAAGTCTAGCCTAGGGAGTATTCAATGTCAGCCTGTTGCCTATGATTGTGAATGCGTTGCAGTATCGCAGATAGGGTAGTCAATCAGGACAAGAGAGTATATATCTCGAGCATTCGCTAATCCGCATCAAAAAGAGTACAAGTCTTTCTCGGACTGGTGCCAGCTTGTAGGCTCATCACGACAGGTGATTGGATAGGTAATATGTTCGCCTTACCTGGAATGAGGTCCCGCGTAATGTGTGTGGATTACTGTGGTGGAGGAGAGGGATTTTTGCAGTCGAGTTGTTTGAAGAAGAATCGAAACGTCCAGAAGCCTTTCTTGCCGAAGTGCTCACAGCCTCGCTCCGTTCCTGAGGCTCTGCGGATGTATCCGTGGCCAATGAGGAATGAGAGTCTCGAACAGAAGGCGGTCTCGCTGAGCTCGCTGAGCCGCTCTACACTTCCTACATCGCAAACGATTGCACCTGAAGAGAGCATCCTAGAGCGTTGCGACAATCAAAGTGATTTTCTCCCCCATGATGAGCGGAGCCATGTCAGCGCTTGAAGGAGACGTCCGAGCCTCTTGAGACAGCACAAAGATGATGGGCCACCAGCACCCCTCGGCGCTTCCCCCTGCCTTGCTCACTCCAGCATGACTGGTACATCTCAGTTAAAACATCACCAGCTCATGCCTCGGCCTCGAAACCGCGAGGTATCACTCTAGCAACTACACTAACATCACGCCAACTCGATGGAACTGTGGAGCTGTAAGCTCCCCTCTTGTCTGGCCAAACTTTCAATCTCAGTCCGCAAATGCGGAGGTGGCCTTGCAGAAGAACAACTCGGCTATCAGGGAGTACATGTAGGTACTGTATTCCTAGCAACTTCTTCTGCCTTTTTCGTCTTCAATCCGATGCCCAGTGCTGGAAAGCACATTACCTCCACGAAAACATGCCATACGATCAAATTCCCTCCAAGGCCTCCCTGAAGGTCGAACCGTTCAATGCCCATGTTTCAGATCTCCAACTCGAAGGCCTCAAGTTCCTACTGCAAGTCTCGCCAATAGGCCCAGAAACGTACGAGAACAAGGTCGCGGACGTGAATAGTTACACCTCGTTCGGCATTACGCGGTCATGGCTCGAGGAAGCCAAACAGCACTGGCTTGAGAAGTACGACTGGCGCAAGACCGAAGATCGATTCAACACCTACAACAACTACACCGCCGAGATCGACGACGACAACTTCAAGTACAACATCCACTTCATCGGTCTCTTCTCGAAGAAAGCGGATGCCGTTCCACTGCTTCTGAACCACGGCTGGCCTGGTAGCTTCGTTGAGTTCCTGGACGTGCTCGATACGTTCAAATCGAAGTATGATGAGAACAGCTTGCCTTACCACGTCATCGTTCCCAGTCTGCCGGGCCATGCGTACTCCAACGGACCTCCGCTCGACAAAGACCACACCATTCAGGACACTGCGAGGGTTCTCGACAAGCTGATGGTCGGGTTGGGCTTTGGAGGAGGGTACGTGACGCAGGGAGGAGACACTGGGAGCTTCATTAGCAGAGTATTGGGTGCTACTAGCGACTCTGTGAAGGCTGTGCATAGTAAGTCTGTCGCTTCCTCTGTGAAGACACAATATGACTAATTGTGGCAGTCAACTTCGCCGTCGGCATTGGCCCTGAGAGCGGCGATGAAGTGGCAAACATGAGCGCTTCAGACCAGAAGCACATGGGAAGGATGAAGGACTTTCTGGACCAGGGAAGTGCTTACGCTCGCATGCACGGCACTCGTCCCAGCACGATCGGGCTGGTGTTATCGTCGAGCCCACTCGCCCTGTTGGCATGGTATGTCAACCATTGGACGTGAGCATCGTCCATAGCTGACAGACAATCAGGATCGGCGAGAAATTCGAACAGTGGACCGACAAGAACCCACCACTCGAGAAGATCCTAGACGACGTAACGCTCTACTGGTTCACGAAGTCCCTCCCGCGATGCATCTACAGCTACCGCCAATTCTTCGGGCAAGAACCGCAGTTCTTCCACAACGACCCGAAGTACTACATCAAGAAGCCGTTGGGGTATAGTTTGTTTCCGGAGGAGCTGGCGCCGGTGCCTGTGTCATTGGTCAAGAAAGTACGTCTCTATCTGTCTACGAGGTATTGGAGTATACTTGCTGATTTGTATTGCAGAGCGGTAACTTGGTCTGGCACCGTGAACACCAAAGTGGAGGACACTTTGCGGCCATGGAGAAACCAAAGGAGTTCGTGCAGGATATTGAGGATTTTATTACTACGGCTTGGACAAAGTCGAAGATGTGATCTGTTTTCCTTCATCTCATGCGGTCGGCAGATTGTCTAGATGTATATAATCCACTCAAAGAATCTCGTTCTCCTGGCGCATCTTCAAGTGAACATCGCCCAATCATCCCTTGAGACTGTTCTGCACGTGAAACAACCACAGCCGCTCGGAGTCGGCCCGCTCGCGGCCGAACGGTTTCACTCCTGCACCGCCGCGTCAGATCTTCTTCATCTCGCACCTCACGACTCCGAGATGCAGCAGCAGCAACCGCGCTGATCGCCCCTGCTGTGTGTAGACTTTCTCCTTTCAGCATGCGTAAGCTTCTCTTCTTCACATGCGACACGACCTAACTTCGACGGTGAGGTGATGTTTGCCTGCTTCTTCTGATTCTCTCCATTCACTGCCTTGCCTTCTGGAAAGGCCTATTGTTGCGCGCCATTCGTCACTCCTTCTATTGTCTACATACTCCCGCGCGACGAAGTGTCTGCGACCTCCTGAAAGAGGCGCGAGGTTTGTGCGACTTTTTCCTTTGCGAGAACTACTTACGCCGCTGGACGCACGACTTTGACGACTTTGGCGGACGCTCCCCTGACTTTACGACTTTACGACGACACCGCCAACATGAAGACGGCTAGCACGATTCTGGCCGTGCTCGCGACGGCCGGGCAGCTCGCCACTGCGATACCACTCGATACCCAGGATGTGGACTCTATCAAAAGTGCTTCCGGCACTCTGGCATATGGCTTGATGTCATTCTACCAGAACAACAAGACCTCAACTCCACTCACAGAAATCGGCACGCTGGAGGAACCGCTGTATTGGTGGGAAGCTGGCGCTATGTGTAAGTGAATGTTGATACCCATCATGCTTTGAATTGTTCTGACATGTTAAAGGGGGAGGAATGGTCGACTACTGGGCGTACACTGGAGACACGAGCTATGTCGACACCACGCAGCAGGGCTTGCTTGCTCAGATTGGCCCGCACAACAACTACATGCCACCAGCCTACTTCGCCAGTCTCGGGAATGATGACCAAGCCTTCTGGATACTCGCAGCGCTTTCAGCAGCTGAGTACCAGTTCCCTCTTCCGGGCGGAAATACTTCTACCACATGGCTCGACCTGGCAGAAGCCGGCTTCAATACTATGGTCCCGCGCTGGAACATGTCTGCTTGCAACGGTGGTTTAAGCTGGCAAATCTTCCCGGAGAACCCCAACGGCATGAGCTACAAGAACTCCATCTCCAATGGCGGCATGTTCCAGATCGCTGCACGCCTAGCGCACTACACCGGCAACCAAACCTATCTCGACTGGGCTGACAAGATCTGGGGCTGGATGGAGGGCGTCAAGCTCATCGACGACGATTACAACGTCTGGGATGGCACAGGCTCCGAGAAGAACTGCTCCGAAGTCAACCAGCAGGCCTGGTCGTACAATCCATCTATGATGCTTTACGGCTCTGCTATCCTCTTCAACCAAACCACTTCCGCGATCTGGCGAGATCGAACAACTGGCCTACTTGAGGCGTGCGCCAACGCATTCTTCTCGCCCTTCCCGAACGCCACGGACATTGCTTTCGAACGCACGTGCGAGAAGAGAGGGACCTGCAACAACGACCAGTACTCGTTCAAAGCCTACCTCTCGCGCTGGCTGGCTAAGTCTGCGGTTATGGCGCCTTTCATCCAGGACTCGGTGTTCCAGCTGGTGAACTCGTCAGCTACCGCCGCTGTACAGACGTGCACCGGTGGCGAGAGTGGAGAGCTTTGCGGGCAAAAGTGGTATATCGGAGGGTTTGATGGGAGTTCTGGTGTTGGCCAGCAGCTTAGTGTGTTGGAGACAGTGCAGGCTTTGTTGCTGCTCCAGGATGATGTGCAGCCTGCGGAGCCAGTTGTTGCGAGCAAGCCTCAGCGTGGTGGTGCGGGCAGGGCGGTGGATGGCGGCGACGCAGAAGCGACCAAGGTCAGACAAGCACCTGCATCGCCGTCTACGACGCAAGCGCCGCAGGAGGTTGTGACGGTGGTGAAGACGAAGACGGTTGTCACTACTGCTGAGTGCTAGAAGTGCTGGCTACCATGAAGGCGTTATGGGAGGCTCGACGGTCTGATCGGCCTTGTGGTGATGATGCATAGCGAATCGGCGTTTCATAGAGGGCAGCGATAGGACGCTGGTAGAGTACTTAGGGCATTGCTGGAGCTGTAGTTACCGTCCTCGAGCATTCGCGCCTCCGGCGCTGTTGTGATCTTTACCTCCAGCCCCCTTCTCTAGCGAACGTCTAAAGAGGCTATCGGTCTCATGACCGTCTCCTCCCTCCGCTTCCCTATCCCAGCACGTTGGCTGAGAGGCGCAAACGCCTTTACGAACCCTCCCGTCAGAGCCCAGGCAGGGTACCCGGGCTCGTCAGCATCTCGCAACTTTCTCCCATGCTGCGGCTAGCACACACTAAACTCTCCCATTGGCGGATCCAAGCTCATACGCACCCCTGCTCGCCATGTGCCCGGCGTGTCAGTGCATGTTCACAAACCACATCCCGCCGGTATCGCGCATCCGCCGGACAAAATCTTGGCCGGGGACGCGCGAAAAGGTTTCGTTCTGGACCCAGTGTGACCTTGCGATTCAACATCGTCGGCTAGACCTTTAGTCGTGCGGCGCGGGGCAGGCGGGCGTTCAACGACGTTCCTTCGCGCGTGAGATGGGGAAAGGATTCAGTGTGGAAGGGGATGGTGGTGAAGCAAGGTAGGTTTGGGATACCTTAAGAGAGTCAAGGTAGGTGCCATTTCGTGTGTCATACTCCTTCGGTTTCGTCTTCACCCTCGTTCCATCGCTGGGGACGGACGACTCCTTCTCTCCACCTGGTGGGCCAATACTACGTGCAATCCACCAGGACGTCCTACTTCCCTCCTTGGAGAAAATGCCCACGGTAAACGCCCATGGCTCTCCTGGAAATCGCCTGTTTCACACCGGAAAGCGCAATAAGGGCATATGATGCGGGAGCAGATCGCATCGAGCTCTGCGATGATCGAGAGGCGGGCGGGACAACACCTTCTATGGAGACGCTACGAGCCGTGAAGGAGCAGGTCACGGTTCCCGTCTATGTGATGATTAGAGCGCGAGGTGGGAACTTCGTCTACACGGAGGCAGAGTTTGGAAGAATGCTGGACGACGTTGACAGGTTCAAAGCAAGCGCAGAGGGCTTTGTGTTCGGAGTACTGGGTGACGGCAATGATGTAGATATCGAGCGGACAACACAACTGGTTGCAAGAGCTTCGCCTCTGCCATGCACCTTCCATCGTGCGTTCGACGAAGCTCAGGATCAGCTGCAAGCGCTCGAGGACGTTATGGGTTGTGGATGCAAAGCCATCCTGACATCAGGAGGAGCGCCAAATGCAGCAGCTGGAGCAGTTTCACTGGCTAAGCTCGTCGAGCAAGCAGAAGGCCGCATCCAGATCATCGTCGGCGGCGGCGTCAGATCAGAAAACGCTGCAGAGCTTGCTGAAGTCACAAAAGCCAAAGCTTATCACTCCTCGGCCATCCTTGAGGGATGCGCTGATGTCGACATGGACGAGGTCCGGCAGCTCAAAGCACTCCTATGCCAACCACAGGTCCATGCGGCGGCGTCTCCGCATCCTGCGCAACAGGCGCGGTATATCGCCAAGATGGGCAGTAGTGCTTCATATATGGCTGCCGTCTCCGCTGGCCCTAACACGCCTAAGGATGAGATGGAGCGGCGACTGAGATGATCTGTATTGGACAAAACAGAGTGCATTTGGAATCAAGAGGGCGTTCAAACTTGCAGCTCTTTTGCGGGCCTTCCAAGCCAAACCAGCTCCATGGCCATGCAAGTTCATTGATCAAATCTATTCAGCCACCCACACAGCAGCCATGCCCATGCCGGTCCCAACGCACATGCTGGTCACACCAACCTGCTTGCCGGTGCGCTTCAACTCATAGAGCAGCGTGCTGATTTGTCTAGCCCCAGTGCATCCAAGCGGGTGTCCAAACGCAATAGCACCGCCCTTGGGATTGACCTTCTCCATCGGCAGGCCTAGCTCGTTGACACACCACAGACACTGCGACGCGAATGCCTCGTTGATCTCAAAGATGTCGACGTCCTCCTTGGACACACCCGCTTTCTGCAGAGCCACGGGGATAGCTTTCCACGGTCCAATACCCATCAGAAGCGGCGGAACGCCAACCACAGATGCAGCCACGTACTTCCCAAGCACTTTCTGCCCAAGACGCTCCGCTGTGCTCCGCTTCATCAGCAGAACAGCCGCTGCCCCGTCCGAGATCTGCGAAGCATTGCCAGCGTGAATCGACCCGTCTTTGGCGAAGGCAGGCTTGATCTTGCTCAGGCTTTCGAACGTAGCCTCCCTCACGCCATCATCTTTCGACACAGTAATCTCCGAAACCTTCTCCGTCTTCGGATCCTCGTACTTGACCTTCAGTGGCGCAATCTCCTCATCAAACAAGCCCTTCTTCTGCGCCTCAGCAGCCTTCTTGTAGCTATCCGCCGCGAACTTGTCTTGATCCTTCCTGCTAATACTCTTGTCCTTCGCCATCTGCTCGCTCAACACACCCATCGGTACTTTGCACTCCGCAGCCTTCTTGTGCTCTTCCAGCAGCTCCGAGAACTCGGTCACAGCTTGCGGGCCATATTGCGTCGACATGCTCTCGACTCCTGCGCCGATGCCGATATCGATCATGCCGCATTTGATGGCGTTGGCGATGTCGACGCAGGCTTGGAGGCCGGAGCTGCATTGGCGATTAAGGGATTTGACTGCTGTGCCTTCTGAGAAGCCGGCTGCGAGGGCTGCTGCTCGGAATTCGGTGGCTCCGCCGCCTGGGGGCAGGACTGAGCCGACGGCAATGTCTTCGACGATGCTGGGATCGATGCCGGAGCGTTGGATTAGGCTGGTGAAGGCGCCGTGGAGGAGGTCGGCCTGTATAGCAAGATATGTGTTAATGCTGTCATCTGTGCCAACAGACAACATTGTGTACTTACTGCGGGTGTGTCCTTGAACTGTCCGCGTCCACCTTTGCAGATAGCCGTCCGTAGAGCGGTGGTGACAACGATGTCATCCGGATGCTTCTGCAATACCGCGTTCGATCCTGTGCTGTTGACGTGTGCAGCTACTTGGGACAGTCTCTCCTCCGCAGCGGCTCTCTTGGGTGTCTGATTAGCCATTGTCGAGATAGTTGGTTAATGCTGGTGTATGTCGATGTGGAGGGTTGGAGACGAAGAGAAGAGGAGAAGTCATTGTCGTTGATGGCATCTCTAGATGACTTGTTGGTCGTCCGCGTGAGCTTGTGGTCGGACCAACCTCACATATGATGCACACCAGCCAAAATGCCGAGGCATCTTCTGAATTCACATGGTAGAGCTTCGCAATCACGTGCTTTGACAAGTGACCTTGTTAAGTGCAGATGAAACATCGCTTGCCGCTGGATCAACGATCAGATTTGATACAGTCAGATCCAGTGCCTTTCTCAACAAGAAAGAGTGGTGGTGAGACGATCACATGCAAGGCACACAAGTGATCCGCCAAGCACGACGGACTGGCGCCCGACCAACCAACAACCCATCTCTTCTGACTGACGATATTGCCAATACTAGCAGCCGAAGATGCACAACAGTGGCTTGATCGGGAACGTTCATGCGCAGGAATGTTCGCCCGCCATCCATACTGCCCATCGTCATGCCGGGCAGGAGGATCAGGAGATTGAAGTTATGTAGGATCCAGCAGGCTCACCGGCCTTCCATGGATACCGCGTATGACAACCGCGTATGGCAACCGCGTATGGCACCCTCGCGTCGGACTCCGGAGTGCTTACTGACCCGCTGAGGATACGAATGCTGGTAGATGAGGTTGGCATGACCGACAACCTACTACATTGCCACGTCTCGGGAGCTAATCTGCCCTGTGCGGCTGACCCGTCGCGAGAACAAACCGAAGAAAGCGAGCGCCTATCTTCCTTTGCAGCCCACTGTCAGGGTGGCCTCATCGGACTCCGGTAAATCCATGGTCCACAGTCCGCCATCATGTCCTCAAACGGGCGATTCTTACGATGTCCAAGAGTCATGTATTACGCCTCATCACCACCACCACGAGGCGGCAGGCTCCCGGGTCCGGAAAACCGACCCTACAACTGCCTCTGTGGAGGAGGGTTCTTAGGTGAAGTCAGAAAAGCGCCCCAAAGGTAGGCTCGCTCGGCACACCTTTCTTGCCCCAGTGGCGGCAATCCTGAATCCTTCCAAGCACGGCCGTACCACGCTTGTTCATCCTTCCAAGATGCACCGGCGCCTCGATGCGATTCGCTCGTACAAATGGAAATTAGGGAGCTACTGTACCAACACGTCGTGTCTCGCCTGAGCAATTGCCCCATGGCTTACGACGAAAGGAGCTCCATCGGGAAGGCGTGCACTCGCAAAACTGGGTCCCACAGTAATACCGTGGCTGGAGAACGAGATCGACGAGATGCCTTGCTTGGTGCTCGCATCCGGAAGCGGCTCCAGAACGGCTGAAACGAACCACGAGGGCCCTATAATCGCCAAACTCGGGCGAGGGCGCTGGATTAAACAGATCTGGTCATTGATACGAATACATTACTGATGGCATGGTCCAAGCGAGCTCTCTGACATGTGCACCCTAGAAGGTACATATACCATGCAGACGGGACGGATCACTGATCCTGTACCACCTCACGAGAGCTCATCCGATGCGGTGATGGTGTGTTGGCACACATGGCACCACACAGGAGCAGGTCCTCGACCCCCGGTACGAGAGACCAACAGCACGGGACCTTGACTTCAGCTTCGATATCTCGCCCGACGTCTGCTGCTCGCTCCCACGTCACGAAACACCACAAATCGAGCCTACCCTATCTGGACACGAGGTTGCATCGACTGTTCCGCGGTACCATGTCTGGCACTCGAAGACAGCTTCCTATGCCAAACGTCACGAGGATTACCAGCTTGACGCAGGCCCATGCCACACTGCAGCACTGCTGGGTCAAGCTGTCTAGCTTCGTACAGGATTATCCGGCGTCGGCCTCTTCCGTGTCATCATCTTCTTCATCCTCGGAGGGTGTCACTATCTTCGCTGAGAGGCAACGATTCCAGTCCTGGCTTGAACAGTGGGAGGTTGCATTCACCGAATTCCTCACAAACGCCATGGCAGCCATGAACAGCGACAACATTACGCAGAGTCGAATTATGAAGGCCAATCACCTGGCATGCACGATCCTGGCGTCCGATAACGACACCACCGCAGAAAGAGACTTCAACGCAATCGTGGAACTTGCGGCAGCGGTGCTTCGATCAAGGACGACTGACTCACCTCCGAAGAGCGATGAGGACGACAAGGCTCCATCTACCACCGCCACGACAACGACTACCACAGCTCTCGATGTCCTGGATCCGTTGATGGTGGTCATATCCCGGTGCAACGTGGACGTTGTGCGAACACGGGCGGCGGAGCTGCTGCGAGCTCGCCACCGATGAGACTGACGACTGGCAGCATTGACTTCTTCCAGACCATCCCCGAATACACTGACGGCCCCATTGTTGGTTGACTGTTGCTGGAACGCAAATGTTTGGAGACTACGAAGCTAGACTCTGTCCATCCATGATGGATTTGGGGCACAGTTCACCCGGACTATGGTGACCTTTGGCCCCCTACCAAGCAGCTGCCTTCAGTTGTCTCCAACACACCACGGCACGTGAGAGATCGAGCCAAGACCTTGGCGATTCGAAGGATCCCGTCTCGAGCTTGCGATCCTCCAACGGCTTGCCCTCGATTCATGCATAACCACTTTATTGCCAGCTTCCTGTGAAGCGCTGGATCAAGAAGGCGAAGCTGGCCCCAGGACCCAAATTAGTCAGGTCAATGAGCAGGATTCCAAATCAATCAACTTGGATCCAACCGACGTTCGCACCATCTCATACCTTGCAGCTCACCGCTTCCCGGCACGGTGAGGTACAGCGCCTCCTGCTTGCTCCGCACCTCTTCCCACAGCGCGTGGAAGCTCTTGTCGCAGAAGTTGTCGTGAAACGCGAGCTGCACTAGGTTCTGTCGCATGGCGTCCCACGATAGGATTTCGAGGTCTGTGACAGCCACCACCAGATGGCCCACGAACCACGCTCGTTCTGGCATTGAGTGTGCGGTGATTCCTCCCACGGACAAGAGCCACAGGAGGAGACGACTCTGTGTGCCTACTGCCCGGATCATGTAGGTGAGGGAAGCTTTGAGGTCGCGGACGAGTGTATGGAGCATCAGGGTTGGGTCTGGGAAATAGCCGGACATTGGAGTGAAGATCTATACGTATGTCAGCAAGCGAGAGAGTCTCCGAACGATGGTGTGGCCCAACCCACATGAAGACAACCAGCCAGTCTACAGCTCTGCGACAACCCAGGAATCGGCGAATCATTGGAGGGGGCCTGGCTAAGCTGCAACATCCTCTCCAGCACAGAGCACAGATAGCTCAGCACCGTCGTGGCCTCGTGCGTGGAACCATAATTCAGCGTCGAGGTATACAATCGCGACAACCGCTGGACCTCGTGCAGGACATTCGCAGTCACCACATCGACGCCGAAGTCACGCAGATTGGCATGGCCACCGTCGTGGGTGAGGAGGGTCGCAGTATCTGGGTTCTGCAGCCAGTCAAGCTCGCGCGTGGCATCGCCGTACGTTAGAGGCAGCAGTGAAGGCTCGTTAACGGACACCATTGCACACCAGAACACGAGATTCGCCGCCATGGGGTTTGTGGTGCGGACATTGTCGAGGCCACCGCGCAGCTCGACGACTCGCTTGAGACCTTCGAGGTGCATCTGCACGGTATCGGATGGTTAGCAACAACCGGCACAGCTACCTTGGTCATCTTACGTCCAAAGCCCGCATATTTCCACGATCATGCTCCATGCTCGCCAGCGTCGCGATCGCAACCATGGTCTGATCGTTCGTCCCAGCAACAGGATCCTGAATACGGGTATTGAGTAGCGTCAAGCACTGGTCCATCAACTGTCGGGTATGAACACTATTATGTTGCTGCAGCTGCAGCTGCACACGATCGAGCCCACTCAGCAACAAAACAACATTGAACAGCACTTCATCACTCCGCACGAACGGCCACCACAGCTCGATCAGCGGTTTCGAAGCGTAGAACGGGAAGGAGCGGTATGCAAAGTTCGCTAAATCTGGCACGAACACATCGTCAGACGGCCATGACAGCAATCACAAGAAACACCACATCTTACAGTGATGCATCAACTCATCCACCGTCGGCGCCGCCTCAGCGCTCAACGGCCTCGCTTCAAACGGATCAACACGACCGGCACTCGGCACCGCGGGCAGCTGCAAGGGCTCGGCTTCTCGACCGACGGGCGAGCTCCTCCTTACGGGCAACGTGGCTCCAGATGGCGAAGTTCTTCGCATGCCAGTGCGGTCGGAGGAGCTCGCGACGGCTCGTTGTGTTGTAGGGGCTGGCTGTGAGGCATTGGGATCGGTCACGGGGTCTTGGTCGTCGAAGTCGCAGGATATGAGGTTGGTGAAGTGGCGGCGGCAGTTGTCGCAGAGGGGACGGTGTTCTGTTGGTTAATCCGATCAACGACGGACCAGAAATGTTGATCCTGCTGCAAAAGACGTACCATCACACTGCACACATATTAGCCATCGATCTACCAAACTCTGTTCTGTACCTCACCTTCACCTTTCTCTGCTTACACGTCCTACAACCAGTCTTACTCTTCGTATGGCTCCGTCTCGCAATCGGTCGATTCACTACAGAAGAACCCGACATCTGCATCTTCTGCTCCACTATGGCAGTGAAAACTTCGCAGACTCGCAGCTTCTCCCACCGCAGCTACAATCAAGGAACCCAGGCTTTAAGACCTTCGGGTTCGTATCCTGCACGCCAAAAGGCCCAACTATACCGTTTCAGTGACGACAGCGCGCTAAGCGATGCATGGCTTTGAGCTTGAGGCAGTAAAGCTCTGCGTGCCGTGCGTGCATGCGCGTGGTTTGGGGATAGCTCGAGTGGCCGGTGGACGGGGTCGAGTAGTCAGAGCTGACTGGGAAGTGGGGCTGGATGTTTTTGTTTTAGGCGGAGGTCGACGGTGGTTGAAGAGGGTGGTTGTTGCGTGTTCCGCGTTGCCGAATGGGGAGGATAAGAGGACGTGGGTGGGAGCTGAAAGATTGAGGAGAGGAAAGGTAGTGTTTGTTTGATTGGAGAATCTTGAGTCTTTTCAGCGAAGCGGAGATATAAACATGGCGACGGTATGAGGACATTCAAACAATTAGACAGCCAATACCGTTCTGACATCGATCAGATGAAAGCAGCAGTAATGCACACCCCTGGCGGGCCAGAAGTGCTCAAACTCGAAGAGGTACGCTCGAATCAAAAACACTAAAACCCCCATATTGATGCCGACCAACAGCGCCCAATCCCCACCCCAGAGCCCGGCTGGGTCCTCATCCGCGTCAAAGCCTTCGGCCTCAACCGCTCCGAACTCTTCACCCGTCAAGGCCACAGCCCGGGTCTCAAATTCCCACGCATCCTCGGCATCGAAGCCACGGGGCTCGTCGAATCGGCACCCGGCGGCGAGTTCCAGGCCGGCGACATCGTGGCCACGGCGATGGGCGGGATGGGGCGGGCGTTCGATGGTGGGTACGCGGAGTTCACTTGTGTTCCAGCCGGGCAGATCCAGAAGTTGACGACGAAGCTTGGGTGGGAGGTTTTGGGCGCTTGTGGGGAGATGCTGCAGACGGCGTATGGATCGTTGTTTAATAGTCTGCAGATGAAGAAGGGGGAGTCGTTGTTGGTGAGGGGTGGGACGACGAGCATTGGGTTGGCGGCTGCGGCGATTGCGAAGAATCATGGGATTAAGGTTATTTCGACCACGAGGAATCCGAAGCGAGAAGAGTTGTTGAAGAAGAGTGGTGCTAGTGTTGTGATTGTTGATGATGGGTCGATTGCGGAGGAGGTGAAGAAGCAGACTGACGGGGGAGTGAACAAGGTGCTGGAGCTCATTGGGACGACTTCGTTGCTCGACTCTTTGCAGTGTACGCAGCCGCATGGCATTGTCTGTGAGTCCTGATCTTACCCATAACTCGAGGGATGTACTGACAGATGTGAAGGTATGACGGGAATGGTGGGAAACTGTAAGTCTTGCTGGGGATGAGATGAGAGACACACTCGACTTACTACCTCCCAGCTTGGAGTCTGAAGGAATTCTCACCAATGGTGCGTAACAACAGTCTCTTTTATCACCCCATCCCCAAGACTCGTGCGAACGGGTTCATTGGTTCTTCAGGACGCCATCCCCGTCTCCGTCTGCCTGACCATGTACGATGGCGGCCCGAAGGCTTTCATGAGTACGCCGCTGCAGGAGATGGTCGAGCAGATCGAGGCTGGGACGCTGCCAATCGCGGTCGGCAAGACGTTCAAGCTGGACGAGATTGTGGAAGCGCATAGGACGATGGAGGAGAACAAGGCGGGTGGGAAGATTGTCGTATTGCCTTAAGAACAAGGAGGCGGCTGGACGTTGATGAGATCGTCTTGATAAGTAACCAGATGACATTGATGAATGAGAGTACCTGCCTTGTCGTAGTGCCATATGTTCTACCACTCCTGTTGTGACATCCCGTGGCGTCGGGTCTGGTCGCACGTCGTCCTCACATAAGGTTGGTATGCTTGGCATTGAGGCAGTGCAAGCGCTAAGGTTCACGTCCGCACGTCATTGGCGCGAGCTCACCTCTCTTCACCTCCAGGTTCTCGCGGTCTGTAATCAATCCGTCGTCCTCTCTACTCGTCATTCCCAAGTGCTACAGGTGCTGCGCCCTCGAAGCCCCGCTTTCCAATCCTCCTAGCAACACTATCGATCCGTTGATACCTCGCGGGGAGTCGAGCGCGAGCCGAATCAGCACCATCGCCAAGCTCCGGCAGCTCACAGCAGATCGCAGAGTCGCCAGGAAGCTCGCGGGTGCATAAGCTGCTGCGCTGTCCGTATACACCATGCGTGAGTTGCTTCCTCCATCTCCTACTCTACTCATATCCACTCAACACGCTGGACTTGGACGGAGCGCAAAGAGTTCGCCAGTCAATCCACTCCAACCCGCCAATGTGAAAGATACGATTAGGCAGTCTCGCCCAGACCTTGGCTCATTACCAGCCTCTGAGACGGACACTTGATGACCAGCGCGCCATCATCTCGTTCACTCGCGCTCGACAGAGACTGATGTGAAGCGTGACCCTACAGCGACCTACCGCACCGACTTCCACAAGCACGGCCGTAAAGGCACCGCCATGTCTAGAAGTGACAACCAGATGGATGGCCCGAACGACAGCAACGAGCGCACGCCGCTTGTGAACAACTCCTCCACGAACAGCACCTTGGGCAATTTGGGAACGCTGCATGGCAGACAGGGCATAGTGGGCAGTGGGAACAAGCCGCTGTATGAGGACGACAGGGCATGGGTTCGCTGGCCGATGAATTTCCTCCACTTGACCTGGGAGACTCTGACGAGCAACTATGTCAATATCTTGTTGGTGTTCGTGCCGGCGGGTATCATACTCGGCGCATTGGATCTGAATCCCACCGCCGTGTTCATCGTCAACTTTCTGGCTATCATGCCGTTGGCGGCGCTGCTGAGCTTTGCGACTGAGGAGCTGAGCGCGAAGATGGGCCAGACTCTTGGTGGTCTCATGAATGCGTCCTTCGGCAACGCGGTCGAGCTTATCGTAAGCATAGATCGAGGTGGAAAAGCTGGTGAATGCGCGCGCTGATCAGATGCTAGGTCTCCATCGTTGCGCTCATGAAAGGCGAGATCCGGATCGTCCAGGCTAGCATGCTGGGCTCCATTCTCTCCAACATCCTGCTGGTCCTCGGATGCTGCTTCATCTCCTCCGGTATCATGCGCGAGGAGTCGCGCTTCAACGAGACTGTCGCATCGACCATGTCTTCCTTGATGGCGGTTGCTGCGACCTCGCTGATCATCCCTGCGACGTTGTACTCCACACTCAACGACAGCAACCACGACACCGAAGCCAACATCCTCGTCCTCTCCCGCGGCACGGCCATCATCATGCTCATCCTCTACTGTCTCTACCTCGTCTTCCAACTCAAGACCCACAAGAAGCTCTTCGACGCCGAAGCGCAAGAAGGTGAAGAGGATGAAGCCCAGATCCTCGGTCCCGTCCCAGCTACCATCTGCCTCATCCTCGTGACCCTCCTGGTAGCCGTCTGCGCCGAATACCTCGTCGACAGCATCGACGCCATCGTGGAAGAAGCAGGCATCAGCAAGACCTTCATCGGTCTGATCCTGCTTCCCATCGTCGGCAACGCCGCCGAGCACGTCACGGCCGTCGTGGTCGCCTACAAGGACAAGATGGATCTTGCCGTGGGCGTTGCCATCGGCAGCTCCATGCAGATCGCGCTTTTCGTCACGCCCTTCCTCGTCATCCTCGGCTGGATCGTCGGTCAACCCATGACCTTGAACTTCGAGGGTTTCGAGACTGTGGTGTTCTTTTTGAGTGTGTTGGTGGTGAATTACCTCATCCAGGACGGGAAGAGCAATTATCTGGAAGGGTGTATGTGTCTCGGGACATACATCATCATTGCGATTGCGTTCTACGTCTATCCGGAGGACGCGGGTAGCAAGATTGGCGTGACGGTCAAAGAGTGGTTGAGGCCGCAGTGAGGGTTCGATAAGGAGGTGTGGAGTTGGAGAGTGGGATCAAAATGTACAGATAGTTGTGGGCAGGTAGCTTTTCGTAGAGTCTGGGGAATTTACCTTCTGTCAAGCGCTACCTTACCGCGCCTTGCGATATATGTTTAGTGCTGTCCCGCAGCTGCTTGCGCGTTCGCCGGTTATCGCGGGCTTGGAGGTCTTGGTGTGGAAGGCACGGGCGTGTCGCGACTTCCACTTCCATCTCTTCTGACTGCTGCTCAAATGCATAGCATAAGATACACGCGTGTTGCGCGCATCTCGCACGGGTCACGACAGAGCTGGGTGTCGGGTACTATGGCGCGCACTGGAAGGATCAGATCCTCGATGACAGGACCGGCAACACCAACTTGACCACATTTCCTTGCTGCGCGATAGACTGTGGCACCCCGAACGAGTGCCCAGTACGCGGTTCATTAGGACAGTGGCATTCTAGCCTCGAGCGCGTGGAACCATTCACGACATATCTTCGCTAAGCCTGCGCCCGCAGAGGGATTCGAAGCCGCAGCAACTCCTTCAGCGCTGCGGTCCGCGACCCCAGGACGTGCCTCTCCACTGCTGCGGGAGCACGACACGAACTTATCCCCGGAAGACTGAAAGACTGCCTGAGGAGAGAAACCAACAAGCTTGGAAACAAGATATCTGTTCCAGCAGGCTGGACGCGGTTTAGCCCCCATCCTGCAGGCGACGCCACACTGTGAGTCCTTCACCTGGAACCAATCTTCCGCGAGACGACATCTAGAGCTCCTGGAGAGCTTGCTGCAGCATCGCAGAAAGCGGTTCGTATCTGCTGGCGATCCTGCTGTTGCCTGTGAGGCAGACGGCGGGGGCTGAGAGTTGGTATGGGAGATAAGTATGAGGCGTGAGTTGTAACTTCCACCTGTCTTTCTTTCTTTTACGTTTCGCGAGTGGGTAGGTATATATGCTATAGCCTTTGTGGGCAGCATGGCGACCTACACCTCCCTTCTGCTACTGCTTGTAGCGCAGCAAGTGCGTGCTTTCGTCGTGCCTAGTCTGGAGCAGCTGGCCATTTTGGCAGATATCGAGCCCTCTACACGTGAGCAGGAGCCTATCCTGGGTCAGACAGGCAATACGCCCAAGAAGATAGCTATTATCGGCTCTGGGATCACCGGCGCTTCAGCCGCTTCAAGGCTGTATGAAGGCTTCCGCTTCAGTGCTCCTGCGGATCAGCAGCCTTCGATCACTGTCTTCGAACGGAATCCGATCATCGGTGGCCGGATCACCCAGGCGTATGCTTATGACTCTATGATATATCCCATCGACACCTGCGCAGCTACCTTCGACAGCGAAGACCTATGCATCGTGAGCTCAGCAGTCGTCGCCGGACTGACGCTACAAGCACGCATAACTACCCGACCAAGGACGGGCGAGGGTATCTGGGATGGCGATGAGATGTTGGCCGTGGAAGAGGAGTTCCGTGACGCTATTGCGTGGTCAGAGTTCCGCCAAAGAAAGTGGTCGCAACGCTACGACCGCTCGCCAACCAGCTTTTCTCCGCTCGTCAACACGATCCGCGGCTCCCTAGGTCTAGTACTTGGGACTGCCCTTCCAATACTCGGCGGAGGTGCGTCCATCGGTGTTGCGAACTTGAGCGCAGAAGTGGAGATAGCTGGTCTTTCTGAGATGGCAAAGAGCTTTCAGTGCTCTGAAACCAATTACGAGGATCTCGACGGCATGTTTGACAGCCCAGAGGCAAAGCGCTTTGGGCGCGAGCTGGTGAACGCGGGCACGAGGGAGCGGTACTTTGCGAATGGCGACGAGCTGAATGTGCTGGAGTACATCCTCGGATTTCAAGACCAGCTGCCTTCTTACGTTTCGGAGGGAAATCTGCGGCTGGTCGAAAGACTGTTGAAGCTCTCGACGCCCGACGTCAGGCTAGGAGCAGAGGTCCAGAAGATCGAAACAAAGGGCAAGAATGACCACCGACTCACCATCGTACCCACAGATGGAGGCGTACCAGCAACCGAGCAATTCGACGCAGTCATCCTTGCCACTCCATACTCGCTGGCCAACATCACATTCGACCCACCACTCCAAAACGCCACTGATCTGATACAACACTACGAGGACAGCTTCGTGACGCACTTCACGACTCCCTCTCGCCTCAACCAAACCTTCTTCAACTGGACCGACACCATGCCGCAAAACATCCTAACAACGACCTCCAGCTCCAACACCACCGCCTCGCCCTTCTTCAGCCTAACGCTCCTCAAGCAATACGCTCGCGGCAGTCCCCCAACAGCTGAAAACCTCTACAAAATCGTCTCTCGCGAAGAGATCGCCTTCACAGATATACAGCAGTACCTCGAGGCTCCGGCGAACATCACCTGGATCGACGTACAGCCGCTGCCGCGATCTGTGCCTGTGAAGACGGGGAAGTGCAGGCGGCTGGTGGAGAACCTTGAGGTTGCGCCGGGGGTGTTTTATGCTGGGGCCGGGGAGCAGGTGATTGCGAGTGCTGATATCGGGTGTAGGCTTGGTGTGAACGCTGCTAGTCTGCTTTTGGGGAAGGCGAGGTGAGGTTGGAGGAATTTGTTGGGTGTTAGATGAGTGGACAGTAGGAGGACGACGGGAAGACTGTTGTGGTACGGGACTTCGGAGCCATTGATATTACACTTTCTTAGCGCGGCATAAACGTATCGAGCTAATAACGCTTCTGCATGAGTGGCCGGTGTGTTGGTACACAAACATGGATTGTACGGACCTCTCTGCGAGTTGAGGGGGAAACAATGACCATAATCTGATGCAAATCCTTACTCGCTTTCATACATGTACACAGTCGGAACATTCAGGTTTTCGAATATAGGTTTGAGGAGGGTCGAATTTGAACTTGAACCCGTCACCTTCTTCTGCATGTCCGGGGGCAGACCATACTTTACACTATCAAACTTATTACACCGACCTATATCAGAGCAGATCAATTCTCGACAAGCGACATTGACAACATGGATCTTGCAAACTCCGACAGGATCCAACAACCCACCGACTTCCTCGACCTCCCAGCCGAAATCCGTCTGGCTATCTACCAGCTCCTCATCGAAGACGAAGTCCGCGACGAGGAGTTGCACTTTAACAAGGCTGTTGTTAGGCTTCCAATAGAACCTGCCATTGCCCAGGTTTGCCGGACGACCAGGAAAGAAGCACTGGATTTCTGGTTCTCCACAGCGCGATTCCCTATCCACTTCCGCGCACTTGAAGGACACAAAGGCGAGTATAGCATCGTCAACCAGCTAGTGCCTATTCCATACGCAGACGCGCGTAAGCTGGAACTATCGTTTGCCCAAACGTACGGCATGAACTCGTTGTACTATCTGTACTCTGTCGATCTCAATGAGCGCACGAACTCATACACGGTCGAGCACGCGCCAAGGACGAATGAGTGGTGGGTTGGGTACCGGCCGTGGAACATTATTGCCCATGCGATGGCTGAGCGGAGGGCGAGGAGTTTGTTGAAGCATTTCGATCGTGCGGTAGAGGAGATGATTGCGAGCAGTGGAGGCGTGAAGGAGTTGACGGCTGAGAGCTATCAAATGTTGACGCCGCGGCCTTGGTGGCAGCTTGGAGAGGGTTCGTCGGGGGAAGATGAACTACTCCGAAGTGGCAATGAAGAGGCTACAGTGGCTTGAGGCAACGGGTGAAGCAAATGGCCGATTGGATCATGCTCTCGAAGCGTTCAGCCCTGCAAGTCTTCGACAATCAGACCCGGTCGGCGAGGGCATGGTTTTCAGTCGGCATAGATTCTAGCAGACAATCTCCATTGGTTGATCCATTGAGTGTTCGCGCTGGCGCTTCTGGAACAGTACCTAGGTACTTGACCCATGAAGATCCGCAGATGCCGGTGCTTTAGTGGGTAGACCGACAGACTCTAGACATTTTGGCCACATGGTTGAACGTCTTATCGCGATAGCTCCATTGGATAGGAATGATTCAAAGCCCACGCACCAGGTGTTCAGAACCAGGCCTGTCGAAATATACGTCTCTTGGGGCTGCTCCGCGGGAAGATGCTGGGGGTTGTGATCCTACGCCTTGGTGCCAAGGTCGACGACAAGAAAACCGTTCTCGGCTTGCTCTTTGACCGCACTTCATCCTCTGCTGACACAACCACAACTTGGAAATGCGCAGAACAAAATCGTACCTTTCGTGGAGAAGTGCGGCCGCCTTGGAGCAATGTCAGCTTATTGTCCGACGATCGTGATATTACGGCCTCGTTGTAGCATGCGCAGATCTCCTCACTTGGCTGGTCTTAGCCTTGAAGGCGAACTGCGTGCCGAGTCTACTGGACCTTCCTCATGTATCTCTCTGGTCTGTTGGAAGGGTTGCATCGGCCTTGCCTCTGTGGAGAACCCGCGCTCGCCGTGAAGATCATCTCGCGTGGCTATCTCGCCAAACCTAGGCCCATGTGAGTTGCATTATCTCGAGCTTGGTATCGCTGCGTAGTGACATCGGATGGTGGTGAGGTGCTCCCATGTGTACTTAACCGTCCCAGGCGTTGATAGAAAGGTGGGCTGCGCATCTCTTCCTTCCAGTTCCAGGTTCCTTCATCCGCTTCTCACTTCTCACACGCTGCACAATACACCAGCCATGTCCCACGCAAAAGACATCGAGGATGGCACTGGAACCGGCCCCGAAGTCCATGCGGTCGACTCTTCTGACGAGAGCTTCGATCGTAGGGACAGCGAGGGTGCCGCGGCGAAGCAGTCCATGGGCCAGCGATTTTGGCGGACGCTGAAAACGCCTGGCTCAGCCGTGCAGATTGTCATTGCGGCGGTCATCGCCATTGCCATTGGCATGGCCGTAACTGCGACCGTGGACAACATTCCAGAAGCTGCGCCCGTTATTCTCGAGATTCCCGGCCAACTTTGGTTGCGCGCGTTGAGAGCTACAGGTTTGTCAGATGCTTCCCAGGTGTGCGCCACTTCGCAACTGACAGTTCTCAGTCCTGCCATTGATCATTACCGCCATCATTCTGGCCGTCCAAAACCTGAAGGAGATGTCCAAGGGCGGCGCGAAACTCGCCAAATTCACCGTCCTTTGGTACGTCGGCACGACGATCCTCGCGGTCATTCACAGCATGATCCTCGTCGATGTGGGCTGGAGAAAACTCATGCAACAAGTCGACCCGGCCAGCCTCCGGGATGGCGCAGAGACGGCTGAAGAGATCCAGGAAGAGAACCCGGACAACGCACCGCACGACATCATCGTCCAGGTGGCCGAGTCTTTCATTCCACAGAACGTTTTCCAGGCTCTTGCAGAGGACCAACTACTTGGTGTGCTCGTCGCGGCCATCATCGTCGGATGCCTCATCAAAGGCCCAAATTCGTCGCTACTGCGCGGGATCAAGGAAGTCGACAAGATCGTATTCAAGATCATCGATTTCTTGATCAAGCTCGCACCCATTGGTGTCTTCTTCTTGATTCTGGCCAACCTGATGACTCTTGACATTGAAGATATCGGAGTGAACCTTGGCGTGCTCATTGGCGCCTCAGTCGGTAGCATGTGAGTTTGGAAGTCCCTAAGCCAGACCAGCGGACGCTAATGTTCGGCACCAGGTTCGTCCAACTGTTTGTCGTACTGCCCGCGTTGTTCTTCGGGTTCACGCGAATGAACCCGTATGCCTATTGGCTGAAGAATAGCCCAGCCTGGATCACTGCTTGGGTGAGTGTCGCTCAAGGACCATGAATGTGGAACATCCAGCTGATCGTCATATGTTCAAAGGGCTCTGCATCATCTGCCGCCACACTTCCGGTCACCCTGAAATGCCTCGAGAAGCGTAAAGTACCGCAGACTGTTCGCAAGTTCGTGGCACCTCTTGGAGCGTTGATCAACATGTGAGTTCGTCGGTCCCAAACGTGCCAGTCTGTCCACTAACCCGTGATCCAGGGACGGTACTGGAATCTACTTTCCCATCGTCGTGGTCTTTATGGCCGTGACTCAGGGCATCACGCTCAATGCCGGCAACTACACCGTCATTGTCCTGTTGGCCGTGCTCTCTTCCATTGCAACGACGCCAATTCCGTCCTCATCTCTGGTCCTGACCGTCATGATTTGCGGATCAGTCGGCATTCCGGTGACGGGCATGTACGCTGTGGTTGTGGCGATCGATTGGTTCATTGGTAAGTCAACCGTATCTGAAATGCTGTCGATTGTCCGTACTAACAGTTCTTAGATCGCTTCAGGACTGCGACCAACGTCAGCGGCGACCTCTACGCTGCAAAGGTCATGGAGAAGCTCACCGGCATCACTGATGAGGACAGCCATACACTGGCCGCGCAAGAGGTCTTGGACCGTACGATGAAGGAGAACAATGAGGGTAAGAATTGATGAAGCAGCGAGTGAGGATTGTAGCAATGTGTATGTAGCATCGGACGGTATCTTATGAGAGGCTTTCGTTCGACTCGTCCGCTTTCAAACGTCTCCTTACGGATGTCCACGGCAAGCGTGCTGACTTTACAATGTGGAGAATCTTTGTAAGGAGTTTCCTGTCTCCGCTAGTTGAATCATCTCGACGCCTGCTGCATCCTCGCGGAACATAGCACACAAAGTGGTTGAAAAACGTGAAAGGCGATAGAAAGGGTTATGAGTCAAGATTTCCATTCTGTTCCTGTAAAAGTTGAGATGTTGTCGAGTCAGGCAATTTCTTTGGGCCCGAGCGTGGCTTGGCAACGGTCGCATCTCTTCCGCAAAATCTTCGAAAGCAATTCGAACTTCATCCTTCCATCGACACCTCTCATCAGCATCAATAACTTGCCGCAGCGCTCCTCGAGCCACAGCATACGGTACGTACTGGCTCCATACTCCACCATCTCCTGATGAAATCGCAAAACCGCAATCAAACTAGAGTCTTTGACCTCTCCGGAGGTGTGAAACTGCAATTGCTACGTCAGTCTGAACGAGCAGTCTGCCTGGCCACTTCAAGGATATACGAGACCGGCGCAGGCGCTGACTATGTTGCAGGGCTTGACGTGATGGCTCCACCGCACACGCCCTATTGTGGCCGCTGAGGGAGAGACACCACCGCTGGTCCACGCCACAGGCCCACTACATGCCGGCCCCCTTTGCAAGGCCTAGCAGAATGACAGGTGAGCAAGCACTTCTTTCTCTTACATATGCCCCTTGTATGATGAATAAGACTTAAACAAAATGGAATTACCGGCTGAGACCTTCGGGTCGTTGGCGAGAAATAAGGCTTCAATATCTGACATGCAACACATCTATCACATGTACTTCAGCCACGCGAGAGATACACAGGCTGACATGTGAGGGTAGCAGCGAAATAGACTGGATGCCCGCCCATGCCGAGTCGTCATAAATTGGATCTTCACCTGCGCTGGAGCATCAGTCCGCCGGTCTTCTCCGCCTCTCGCCTTGGACGTCCGCGAAGACATGCGTGCAGCCGACTTCGATCTGGGCCTTGTACAAGGGTAAGTTCTCACCGCTCAACGCTTCTGCTTGCATTGATGAATCGGCACTGGGCTCCGACAAATATCCATGAGCCGATACGCCACTTTGCGACAGGCCTAGAAAACCTCGTCCACTGAGCTTATGATGCTTGCACCACGATTGCACATACTCGTACGGTGACTGAAGCTAACCTTATATCCTAGGACAGGCATCGTAGCACATGCCGGTGGCTTTGAGTGAAGTTTCCAGGACTCTCTGTCTTTCTCCATCAACGCGTCCTTCTGAAGAGCAGCCGATCTCAAGGGAGCAGAGATTGGCAAACGCTTCATTCATGTCCACCAGGCTCGGAGCCGAGATTGGCAGTGGACACCCCACGTAAGTCACACCATCTTTTGCATTCACATCCGCTTCTATGATGATTCTTGATGACGAGTCGTATCCGGCTTCGCCGTTGCCGACACAACATTTTTATTACCATTCATGCATTACCTGATATGCCTCGCTATCGCTACGCCTACATACATTGCCTCGTCTTGCGTATGTGCTAACCAATTCGCACCTACAGATATGCTCAAGCACTCCGCCCTGCCTTGTGCGACTCTGCAGCGCACTTGTGATTCCACGAGCCACGGTAAGTCCGCCACGACAAGACTGCTTTCCTTTCTTGATGATACACCAATATCAATGACAAGCATATGTCCAAGCTGCCCGCAAGGGCCGCGAAGACGAGTATACACTTACTGATCTCCGAACTACTTTTCAACCACGATTGTCAGGTCTTACATCAGTCAAAGACTGACTGGAGTCTTTGTAGGTCACACAGCCCTGGCGACCCGCTGCACACGCACCAGTGCTTACATTGAAAACATACGGCCCCAAGAGGTAAGCGAGAGCCGGACTTCTCAAGCGCCTGCAGCATTCCTTTCTTATGATGAATTCTAAAATAATCTCACGACGGTCGACATAGCAGCTTTGTCTGTATTGATGAGACGGGCCTTGACCGGCCCCATACCTGACGTTGTCTTTCATCTCTCTCGCAGCGTCATCGGCCTTTCTTGCATCTGCTGACTGCGCTCCTCCACAGTTAATACCCCTCGAGCTCGACTTGGAATGGAATCCTCGCGCGAAGGTGTGGGACACGCCATGCCAGGTGGATCTTTAAGAGGCAGACTTGCTGCTGGATCATGTCTCGGAGAAACTTTAAGCCTGAACAGTCTGGTACACCTTATTCATACTCGTGTAGCACTTGGAAGAGTACAATGCGGTTCATCTTTCTCATACAGCGCTCAGGATATCAAAGCGTCTCATCCAGCACGATCCTCAGCAGGACCAAAATCATTCCCAACGCCAACGCTACCCTAGATCCCGCCCCCGTTCCCTCGTTAAGCCCACCAGCTTATTCAAATACCCAACAAACCAATGCATTCACGAGCGCCCAGGGCTCTAACCCAAACAGATACCAACAAACTCGTCCCTTCCAATACCGCCCTCTCCTCTGACATCAAATTCTTCAATCATGGCCTGCAGTTCTTCCTCTTGCAGCCCCTCACCCAGCTCGCGCGCTACTCTCCGCAGATCATTCAACTCGATCCTCCCCTTGCCTTCCTGATCAAATAGCTCAAACGCGCGCAATATCTCCTCCCTCGGATCTCGCGCGATGATGCGCTGTGCCGCGATCGTCAAGAAATGCGCGTGCGACAGCAGTAATCGCGAAGGGCCCGAGAAGGTGGGCTGCGAGGGCACGGGTTGCTTGCTGTTGCTACTGCTGCCGCCTTGCTGGAGTTGCGAGGCGGGGACGCCGTGGGTTTGGAGGATGGAGAGGATGTCGGGTTTGGGGAGGTCGAAGCCGAGGGCTTTGAGGGCGACTTTGAGCTCGTGGTAGTCGATGTAGTTGTCTTTGTCTAGGTCGAAGAGGGAGAACTGTAGTATTACATTAGCGCCCGCCATCTGTATTGCACATGCATCGAAAGTCTGTTCATACAGCCTCGTTAACCTCCTCCCTCTGCTCCTCGCTCAGCGACTCCAGTACTCCTCGCTCTTCCAGTTCCCTCCGCTCGCGCTCCACCCGTTCTTGTCGCTCGCGTTCTAAGCGCTGCGCTTCTCTTTGCTGCTGTGTCGGCGCCGCGCTCGCCGCACCAAAGCCTCCTGCATTCTGCGCCGGCGCGTTGAATGGTGTCTGCGCATTGTATGGTGTCGATCCGAACGCGCTCTGGCCTCCAGTGCGTCCTAAGCCTGAGGTGTATGGCCGGCTGGGAAAGGCGGGGTGGGAGCTGGATGCTGCCATGGCGCGGGAGTTTCGAAAGGCGCAGGGGGTGGCAGTGGTGAACGCGCGAGCGGAATGGCCTTGGAGTTGTCGCTGTCGTTACAGTAAATGTTGCTGAGGTTGGACTTGAGGCGCGTGTGTTGACGCGTGAACCATTCATGTGACACTCGCTGTCATTGGCGGATATAAACGGAAGCTAGCGGGTGGCCGCAGATTCTGCTGGTGGCGCCTTCTGGTTGAGCGCAGCTTGCTTCTCCCTCTCTGCTTCTTCGGTCATTCCCACATGGCCGCCCGACACGACGACGACACAATGGCTACAAAAAGACTTGGAGATGGTGTAGCCCCTGGGGAGACCGGATTTACTCGACGTGTAAGATTGATGCGTCTGAGGGCAAGTTTCTGCCACACGAGCCACTCTTGGGAGACCGAGCCCCCGCCATACTGCAGCACATGCAGGCATAATCCAGCATTTCAGTAACCATCAGGAACAACGCCTCTATAGTGGTCAGATCTGACCAGCGCTAACGGCTGTCTACGTCGAGGCGTCTATCTCACGGTACCTAGAGGTCTCGGTCTGAATCTTCGAAGAAGTCTACCAGGGCAATGTGCATAAGCGACACCTAAATGCTGCGGACAACCCTCCGGCCTTCGGGAAAGTCGACAACGATTGGGAAGCGAACTTTGGGACCTAACGGCTGTTTGCATGGTGGTGTGCAACTCAAGGATGCTGTCTTTACATTTACCCGTCTGGTAGACGCATAGGGCATTGTTTTCCGCGGAGTCCTGCAATATACTTTAATCCTCTGCACCTTAGCAAGGCTGGATACGAGGTGCAACGCCATCGATATCGACAGATATCTGCTGGATGCCTGCGGAGATGTTTAGGCGACGTCGCGGCGCTACGCTGACACCTTCCCATTCGCCCTGCAATGCTGGCGAGCTGTCAGACTGCACCTGAGGGCTCCAGACTACACGGCTTTGGGGAGACACCAAGCATCGAGACGGCGTCCGGTGGCGCAGTATCGATAACCCCTGTTTCGCCAAAGCCTTTTGTTCTATTTTGTGCCCACCTCACGACAGCATGCTGCATGCTCGAGGAGCTATCCTGCCCGTCATTCCGCGGATTGTGGCGCAACCAGACATGTTCGCCATCCCGAACTGAAGGGAATACAGCTCGGCTTCACGATCTTCTTCTCCATTCACTATTTCGGACGCTGCGGCCAGGTAGGTCGCTACGGTGGCGGCGCTCTTGATGGCCATTGCGAGAACTAGCACTAGTTGCGCAGGACACATGTAAGCGATGCTCATATCTCCCGATCAGTTGGCTCTCACAATACCTCGACCCAAGTCGAACTTGTTCAGTGGTCCCCAAAGCCGCGTCCTGTCTGGCCGATCAGCGCAACACTCTGGCTCCATGTGTTCTCGGTATCTTGTCGAGATCTGTGCCGTGCAAACCAGCAGGCAAGTGACTGAGTTCCTGTGGTCCTTTGATTGTTTCGGAGATCTTCGTTAACAGCTCAGTGCCCCGACAATCGCTTCGTCAGCGGAATCATGTGGTTGCTTCCTTCCACGCTCTCCCCCAATCTGCAGATACGCTTGGTTTGCGCGCACGCTCTCATTCTTTGTCATCAACAGTCGCTTTCGAGTTCACATCTCTATTCCATGAGAGCGCATATGGTTTTGACCCGAAGGCCGAAGGACGCATAAGCTGATGTTTTGTGGGAAGAACGCTAGCCATGGCCATACTGCTGGAAGGCGCTTGGTCTTTGCTGGGGCTGAACTGGTATTCAGGAGGTCTGTATGGATCTCCAAACGGCCGATGGATTAGCATGAACGGCTGACTCCGATGGAATCTCCAAAGTGTGGGGAATAGCTTGCTCTTGAGGCTGGAAATGCGAGGCTGGAACTGCCGTGGACACATTTGCCGTCCTCTCAGTTCAGCCGTATTATAAGACGATCGGATTCTGGAAAAGAGAAAAGTTATTTGTTAACCCTTCTAGAGATACTTGGTCATCAACAGTTCATCATGGCGAAGCAGCAACAACGGTCACCCTTCGTGAAGTTCGACGACATACCTGGATCCCTGCCAAACAGCAGCGTTCCAAAAGATGCAGACCTTGACTCTATCGCCCAGAAGGCTATCATAAAGCTTAACCATCTACAAGAGTCTGATCTTGCGTCACATGCGACATGGCGAGATCTACTTTCCTTCACGGGCACTTACCGGACGTTCTACTCTGCCGCCACAGTACTTCGAACATGGACACAGCTGAGTCAACAGAGCCGTCGATCGGTGATTCGACCAAAGGACGATCGAAAGCCCAGACTGGCCCACGGCGGTGCGGGCATTACTTGGGTTGATGTGGATTTTGTGTTCAAAGCACAGCATGGGACCCTTCCGGAGGACTGCATGGGTACCGCTTCACTGGCTTCCGACAAAGACGGAACATGGAGAATCTGGATGCTGCGGACGTGGTTAGAGTGCTTCGATGGTCGGGGTCATCCTGATGTCTTAGAGCCTGCCCAAGCAACTGCCAACGGTCATGTGAACGGGGGTCACAAACCAGAGCCTGAAGTATACGGAGCGATAGTTGTAGGTGGCGGACAAGCTGGGCTCTCGACAGGTGGCCGCCTCAAAGCTCTCGGCGTACCGTATGTTGTTCTGGAGAAGCATGGCTCCGTTGGAGATGTGTGGACGAACAGGTATGAGTCGCTGCGATGGCATACGTCCAAGGAGTACGGCAATTTGCCCTTCGGCCATAGCTATCCACTGGAAGACGACTATATGATGCCGGCGAAACGTATTGGCGCCGGACAGAAGCAGTGGGCGGAGAAATACGATGTTAACGTCCAGACCGGGTCAACGGTCAAGGAAACCACGTTCGACGAGACCAGCAAGATATGGACGGTAGGCGTTTCGAGATCAGATGGGTCGCAGGAAACTCTTCGCGCGAAGAATCTTGTCATTACTATCGGGACCGGACACTCGACACCCGTCTATCCATCCTGGGCCACGCCAGAGAAGGTCGAAGCGAGCACTTTCAAAGGGACTGTTGTGCATGCCTTCGCTGGCTACAGCTCGGCTCACAACTGGGCCGGTAAACGTGGCGTCGTGATCGGGACTGCCAATACCGGACACGACATTGCAGAGGACATGGCCAATGCCGGCATGGAAACTACCATCGTCCAACGGAGTCCGACCTTCGTATTTCCGGCTGAGTGGTTGCACGCATCCGAGGATAGGAACTACAACCCTGATACGTCTGCCGAAGTGGCAGATCGAGAGGAGTTCACATATCCGAACAAGATCCTTCGTGAAGTCGTCAACAACCACGTCTGGGCCGGAATCAAATCGTCACCGGAGCGCTTCGATGCGCTGGAGAAAGCGGGCTTCATGCTCGATCGATTTGGAGATACTTACAACAATTTGTATGTTCGGTTTGGAGGTCACTACGTCGACATAGGCGCATCTGCACGGATCGCGAAAGGAGAGATCAAGGTCCGCAAGGGTCCTATCAAGGGTTTGACAGAAGACGGTCTAATATTCGAAGACGGAGGAGAACTCGGCGCGGACTTGATCGTGCTCTGCACAGGCTTCGATCATGTGTTCCGGAATGATGCTGCGAGGATTGTTGGCAGAGAGGTGGCCGAGCAGATGGATGAGCTCTTCGGGACGGATGCTGAAGGGGAGATTCGTGGGCATGCGAAGCCTGCTGGTCGTGAGTTGCATTATTTCTCGTCTTTAGGGTATGGCTGACGAAGGAGCAGATCCAAACCTATATTACCATGGCGGCGATGTGAGGATGGCGAGGTTCTTCTCACGGTTCCTTGCGCTGCAGATTCAAGCGGATGTGCTGGGACAACCCTTGGTGCCGTACTTGGACTGATACTGCGCGCGAGTGTGACTTGGCCTGCAGGCGTTCTCCCAACAAACAGCATTCATCTCAAGCCAAGATCATATGCGTCGTCAAGCCGTATCTATCCGCATCGCACGAGAAAGAACCGGACCTGTTTCCAACCCCACCTTATCTGCCCCTCCAAACACTCCTACAAGTTCCATAAGATCATCTCGCCCGGAGAAATCTCCCGCGAACGACATCATCTTCAATAACCGCGGCATATGGCCACAGAGTTCATATATTAGCACATGCCGATGGACTCGCTCGCTTCAAAGGTACCGTACTTGTCGTCTTCTTCACTCATCACACCCAAGTACTTCCTTACCCTCGCGTGACCTCGAGCTCAAGTGTTTACTCCACTTCTGATCTCATTGTTACCTGAGCCGAAGAAAGCTTCCTTAGTGCCGAAGTTGTATTCAACTGCCTGCTGCCGAGAGGTTACTGTAGCTGGAATTTCGAGGTCCTCAACTACTATCTTCCTCTCGTCTTCATCTCAAACGCAGACCTCAGATCACAATGGCCAGCAACGGAGACAAAGACGCCGGCCCGGCGGGCAGGGAGAGCATCAACACAGAGATTGTGACCTTGACGAGACACTTGAACGAAGAGCAGACGAAACATAGGGAAGCTACGGGAGATTTTACGTACGTCAAGAGAAGGTGCCGAAGCCGCTTACTATTGCTGACGATCAGCTGCCAGATTGCTATGCCACGCCCTGCAATTCTCCTTCAAGTCGATAGCCTACTACATCCGCCGAGCCTCCCTCATCAACCTCAGCGGCCTGGCCGGCTCCTCCAACACCACCGGCGACGAGCAGAAGAAGCTAGACGTGATCGGTAACGATGTCTTCCTCGCAGCCATGCGCTCGTCCGGCCGCGTCCGGGTTCTGGTGTCCGAGGAAGAGGAAGAGGTCGTAGTCTTCGACGAATACCCACACGCTCGCTACGCAGTGGCCTGTGACCCCATCGACGGCAGCAGCAACCTCGACGCTGGTGTGTCGGTCGGCACGATTTTCGGAATCTACAGACTGCCTGAGGGAGCAAAGGGTACGAAGGAAGACCTGCTCCTCCCCGCAACGGAGTTGGTGGCGGCTGGCTTCACCATGTACGGTGCTTCGACACAGCTTGTGTTGACGATGAAGGACGGGCCGGTCAACGGGTTTACCATGGATAACGGGCTCGGAGAGTTCATCCTTACGCACCCGAACATGCAGATGCCGAAGAAGCGCGGTATTTACAGCTGCAACGAGGGTAACAGCAAGTACTGGGAGGAGCCGGTGAAGGAGTGGTGCGAGAGCTTGAAGAGCGCTGAGAAGCCGTACAGCTCACGATACATTGGGTCCATGGTTGCTGATGCGTATCGGACGCTGTTATATGGTGGTATCTTCGCGTATCCGGCTGACAAGAAGAGTCCGAAGGGCAAGCTGAGGATCTTGTATGAGTGTGGACCTATGGCTATGGTGTTCGAGAATGGTGAGTGGTGTCTTGGTTCCTATCTTGTGGCAATCGCTGACATGGGGAATAGCTGGTGGCCAAGCTGTCGACAGCAAGATGCGCCGGATGATGACTGTTGTTCCTGAGCATATCCACGACCGCAGCGGTATCTTCTTGGGCAGCTACGAGGAAGTGCAGAAGGTCATTGACGTCCACAAGAAGCATGGCATAACTGGGTCGTAAGCATTCGTGGAAAGACAGAACAGGGGGTGTGAGGGACAAACTTGGAGCGTCAGAAGACAGTAAAGTGAACATAGCCATACCGTCTGCGACTCTAGGATGTTGCGGAGATTGTCGGTAGCAGCAACATGCCTTCGTATTCTCCAAAGTGCATCATTGAAGTCCTATGAGAATCCTCGTGAATTCTTTCAGGAGACTCGGCGCCTGGCAGGCTCACCATTGATGTGCAACCATCCTGATAGCAAATCACTTCTATTTGAACTCGTCAGTGGGAAGACGACTTGGACGCGTGTGGGTGTTGCCGTCGCGCGTCGAGCTTGCCTCGGACTTCCAGCAAGCCCTCCATCTTGTGCTCGCCGTAGTCGGCATCATCATCCGAGAAGTACCAGCCTACACGTACTAGGGCAGTCTTACGGCATGTGATCCATCTTGGGTCGCTTTGGGGCTGTCAGAGAGCTTCCCTCGTGTCAGCCTATCACGGCTATGGTCTGCGCAGCTTCGGCGTGCGAACGGGTGTGATGGCGCCAGTGGAACGGAAGATGAGGTGACGCCAGCATCTACTCATCTAGGCGCATACCATACTTCCTGGCGGACTTGCTACTGACGCAAAGCATCTGCTGGATGCTTGAGGCCAAGATGAACGACCTCAGCTCCTGGGTCGGCGGCCTTGCTTCGAGGGTATGGGAGCCCCAGCAGAAGGGTCTGCCTTTCGGATCTCAACTACACGCAAGTCCGCCGAGAAGGCAACGGACTCTCACGGGACCTCTGGATCCCTCGCAGGAGACCATATGGCATAGGCTCCAAGTCATGTCCTCGGTGGAGCCAGAGCAGCGAACTCATCTGCAAGAACAATGCAACTTCCTTTCGATGCTACCACTCGACATCCGCATGATTATCTACGACACGGTACTAGGCGGCATGGTCTTCCATATCGGTACAGAAACGGACGTCAGGAACCGCATCCTGACTCACATATGCCACCACCCTGAGACGGTTGGCCAAGGCGATCACCAGGACTGCTTCGCGCCGACCTTCAGGAGGCCATCCTCTGCCCCTCGGGATGACTATCCACAAGCGACAGGTCTGCTACCACTGCTGGTCACCTGCCGACGGATCTACTCCGAAGCTATCGGTACGCTGTACAGCGCCAACACCTTCGACTTCTGGCAGAACCGAGTGGCCTTCCATTTCCTCAAAGGCATGCTACCACCGCAAAGACTGCACAGCATCCGTCGCTTCCGATGGGGCATGCAACTCCCGCACCACCCCAATCTCAACGCGCGTTCCCGCAAAGACTGGAACGATCTTTTCACGTTCTTCTCACGGGAGCTGTCTGGACTGCAGCATCTGCACATCAAGCTTAACAGGAACCACCCATTCGAGGCTATGGTGGAACAGACGCTGGATGATGACGCAGCGCCTTGGATTCAGCCGATGGTCCTAATGGCTATCGAGGCCAACCGGAAGCGTGGCTGTAAGGTGGAGGTCGTTACCAATGGCGCGGTGCATGACATTGAAGTCATCTTCACAGCGATCCGAAAGGCGCACGTTAATGCTTCTCGGAATCGTGTGGTGGACTTGACATGCACCGAGATGCATCGCCGGATACGGCTTTCGTTTGACAGCCATGATTGATGGGCCACGGCTGATACGGCAGATTTACAACACACCTCAAGCCATAGAACTGGATGCTGCCGAAGCGAAACGGCCCCTTCAGCTCCGATGCAGGAACGAGGCTGCTGGAAGCGCCAGCGCACTGCCTAAGGCGTGCTTGAGCCCATGGCCTCGTCGAGCAGCGACGGAGCCTCGATCACATGTTCAGTCTTCTGCTTTAGAGAGCGCCAGGTACAGCTTCAGGTCAAAAGGCACTTCGGGAGCACGAGAGTTCTCGGGCCTTTGAAGGAGGGCACCGACTGCGTCGTGTTCTGATGAGGTTCTGCAGATGCCATATGTCTTTCTTAGTATTGAATGCTAAGGAGCAGTACGTCAGCATCGGCAACCTGTTCGAGCTTCTGGGAACTTCTCAAGAAGCATTACGAAGACGCTTGGTTTCTCGAAGTGTCCAATGGATGCTACGAACGACTTCTCTTGAAATGGAACCTGAGGTTACGAGATTGCAGGTGCGGCACATGTAACCATGAATTGATGAAGTTGAGACTTTTGAGTGAGATAGACGAGGCCATCATGCGCTGGTTTTTCAACCGGGTGACGACAGGTTCTGGACACTTTATCAGTATCACGGAACTATCTTAACGGCCGTTTTGCCTCCATCAACGATGGTCTGGAGGTAGTCTATAGCTTAGGAATGAACATCGGAGTGTTCTTCTTCCACTCCTGATAGTCCTTGCGATCACCGTAGCGCTTGTCGTACTTGTTCTCGCTCAGCGGAATACCGGAGACCTGTCAAATATTAGCAATGCCCGTCCATGATTCGTAGCATTCAAACTCACCTTCAACAACAAAAACGTCACAAACGCCGGGCTCACACCCGCCATCGCCAGCGCTCCCACCTTCGCACCAATTCCACCACTGAACCCCATGCCAGCCTGCCCAACCCCGCTCAACATCACCCCAGCGGCCGTCGTAGCGATCCCAGTCCACAGCGTGCTCTCGCCAAAGTAGTTAGGATGCCGACTCTTCGACCACAAACCGCGGGTCAAGAAGTCCTCGTCGTGCTTCTTGGCCTTCTTCTCCTCCACCCATTGGTTCTTCTGCCGGTCCGCGGTGGCTTCGAATGTGATGCCGCCTACGTAGAGCAGCAGGCCGATTACGTCCGTGATGGTGACGAATGGCAAGGCTGCTAGTGCAGTGGCCGGGATGCTGTTCAGTGCCAGCACTGGCATGAGACAAAGCGATACCCACGTCGCTTGTGCCGTCCAAGCTCCAAGGAACTTGAGAGGAGAGCCCCGGATGCTGTCGAAGCGGCTGTCCTGGCCGTTTTCAGAGGTGATGCGGGCGTAAAGGAAGGATCCAAGACGGGCGGCCCAGATTGTTACAGCGGCGGAGAGGACGACTTGCCGCCAGTTCCAGGCATTGACGCCGCCTTTGCTGGTCAAGCTGGCGAGGAGACTAGGCCATGCTGGGGCGGTGGAGGAGAGGGAAGCTGCTGCGCGGGCACGGAGAGTGGGGAGGTAGAGGGATAGGGCTGTGCAGGAGATGTAGGTGAGAGAGCCTGAGAGGTCGTAGAAGCGCTCAGTTTGGAATGCGATCGATGGAATTGCTACCGCGGCTTGGATGCCGTAGGCCAGGCCGATGGACGGAATGAGGGTGCGCAGGAAGGGGTTCTTGAAGTTGGTTGCGGCCAGCATGGATTGGACGATTGAGGCCATTGTTGCTGTGTTGGCCCGGAAAGCGTGGATATGTACGTTTGGGTGTTGGAGGAGTGCTGTGATGCTACATCTTCATCTTTTGGAGATGTGGCCTTTTATCTAGAGTTCACGCGTAACCGCGTTTCTACCAGCTGGAAAGGTGAAGTCAAGAACGTCATTTGGCGTCGGGGACGGGCGTCTTCATCCTTCCGAGTGCACGTCGCCAACAAACTTTCATTCACAGACCTATGGCATCGGGACTTTCACGTGTAGATTGAGGCCGAAAGGCGCAAACTTAGAGGGCGAGGCGAAGGGTTCGGGCCCGAGGACTCTGGCCCTAGAATACCAGGTTTCAGCAACGGAAACATCCTCTGTCGTGATCGCTATGCGTGACAGTCGAGAGAGTATACTGCATGAGCATGTTGAATGTTTTCAATGTCTCGCGACTAATCCCATAAGCTACAACACATCATCGCAGTCAAAGACCTCCCGCTCAACGGGCCATAGTGGTATCATGCAATGCTCGCATCCCGTAATCCGCAATCCCATCAACGCACTCGAGCTGGCAGGCTCACACCCCCTTCTTATCCTCTTCCACCTCATCGCCATCCATCTCGCTCATCGGCGTGATCCCGCCATCATCACTCCGTTCGAACTCCACCCACCCTTCACTCCCGCTCTCGCTCTTCCTTCTCCTACCTCGCTCGCGCATCGCGGCGTGGAGATTCCTGCTCACCTCTTCTAGATCCGCTGTGCCAGTCTTCTTCACACCTTCGTCATCCTTGCTGTCTTTAGTGGTAGGAGGTTTCTTCGCGTTCGATTTAAGCGATGTCAGTCGCTTCAACTTCCCACCAAAGCCAGTACCAGCATTAAGAGGAGACGACCATGAACCGGAGCTAGCTCTACTACGGCTGCGGTTCGGAGTCGGCGGGCGAGAGGCGAAGAGGCCGATGCTGCCAATGTTCTTGAAGCTTTCATTTCGAGGGAGGTTGCCTTCTGGAGACCTTTGGTTGCGGTAAGAAGGTGGGGTAGCGGGTGTGAATGTGAGCGAATCGATCTCGTTGCCGTCTTCCCTGCCGAGTGGACTTGTAGGTGTTGACGGTCGTGAGATCTCCGGTGGTGGCGTGCGTGCTTGTTCGCGATCGTGGACAAGACGCTCTCGTTCGAAGTCGGGAAAGAGTTCTGGGCCAAGCTCATTAACGAGATCGGAGATGCGACGGCTGAGGTTCTCGCGGCGCTCAGCCATCCTGACGAGGATATTGCTAGACGATGGGCTGATGGAGAGGAAGAGGGGTCGCAGGGATTTGAAGATGTCCATGCCGACCTCACCGAAGCGGAGGGCCATGAAGCACGTTGCTGGGAAGAAGAAAAGGCCGCCGATCGTGATTAGTGTGAGCGGCAGCGATTCCGAGACGCGAACTCCGACGCGATTGTAGTAGCACCACCAGGTGAGGAGGCAGGTGTACGTGACGTCTAGGATCGGTGTCAAGGCGAGCGCGACGAGGATCTTCCAGGTGGCGATGACATCGCGAGCACGGATCTTGACTGTAGAGGCGGCCAACGCTTCCCTCGACTTCTTGATGGATATCAATTTGCCAATGACGAAGATCGGAGCAAAGAGTACTGTGCCCGGTAAGACTGCCAAGCTCAAACAAGCGAGCTTGAAGGTCCGCCATAAGAGCAGGAAGATGACCTTATACCAAGAGTGCTTGGCATACCCGACTTGATGGTCACGGATACCCAGATGGAAGAGCTGCCGGTTGTAGTCCAGGACGTCTGTTCGGAGCGAGACGACACGTGGGTCGTCCTTGTATGTGTTGTAACCCTTGATGAGTCGGCGATTAAGCTCTACGGTCATGCTGAGTGGTAAGTTCTTGCCCTTGGGGTTGTAGAGACGTCGTACTGCTTGGATCAGCATGAGCGTGTCGTAGTCGGGTGCCAATGTTGTCACAGTCTTTAGGCCATTGGTCACGGTGTCAAGGAGAGACTGTATGGCTGCCCTTCTGCCGTCGCCTTTGTATTGCTCAACCAGCTCCAGAGGTACAGTAATCGGCTTGCCGAACTCAATGACACACCGCGAGCGGAACTTGTGAGGATGAAAGTAGTTCATGCCCACAGGCACAATCTTGACGCCGCAATCGGGGTTCTCTGCCAGGGCGCCCAGCGCCATGATGGCCACGCCGGCCTTGAGAGGGAGCAGTTCGGTCCGGTCATGGCTGCCGCCTTCTGGGAAGATGCCAATGCAGCCGCCCTCTTTCAGACGATTAAAGACAGCTTCGTAGACTTTGCTCTGGTCTACGTGCGGAGCGACGCTGAATTTTATGCCATCAAATTCTTCTTTCTTGGAGTCACCATTCGAAAGCTGGCCGTTGCTTTCTTCCAGGCTCTGCCCAGTCAGCTGCTTATACGCGACATCTCCTTTGAAAGGCTTCTTCAGCCGAATCTCTTCGTCTGATATAACCTCCTGTATCTCGGTATTGGCCGCTTCGTTGTTCACACTCGGCAGAACAAGTAGCCCGCCCTTCATGAACTGCTTGCTATCCGTAAATTCCGTCCCTTTGCCCTTAATCAGCGTCGCATCTTCCTCCGGGTCCGGCAGCCATATCTTTCCCTTTGCAGGCTTCTTCAGATCCAACGCCCGCCCTACTCCCACGCTTCCCACTAAGCGCGACGCGAAGCCCACGAACTTCCGTCGTAGACTCTTCTCCGCGATGAGGAAGCTGATTCTTCTTTTCGCGTCATGCCGTACCGTCCCGCCGAGTATGAGCGGGTCGACGAACTGGTTGGCGTGCGGTGCAGCGACGAAGATGACAGGGTCGTTCTTGGGGATGCGGTAAGAGGTTCGAGGGTGGATCTCGCGGAAGAAGAGGTCGATGACAATGGTCCAGAGCCAGAGGAAGACGTCGTAGACGAAGTTGTCCTTCCACGTGCGCGCCATGTTTGTGGAGTGTGTTTAGTCTGGTCGTTGAGGCATGGGGAGTGTGGGGAGGAGGTGGTGGGGTTGACACGTGGTCCTTTTGCGGAGTGGCTCGTCTCTGGTTGTAATGTAGGCTCTCATAAAGTCGCACACGTCCCATACCAAGGACACAAGGAAGTATAGCACATCGAATCCGTTGAACGGCGACTTGCAGGAGAACCACAACAATGAGCGAAGACGAGGTGGGGTCCGGGGAAGCTGCATTCACTTTTCGGCGCTTGGGCCTCAGGCATAGGCGTTTTTTGACGACATCCCATCTCCTCCGACATCCCATCTTCTCCCAAGTACATGTCCTCTTGTACGCAACAAGCCCACAGTACGCCGGCGCAGACAAGCAAAACATGACGAGCTTGGGTGTGTCCACAAGTCGGACCTGTGCTTCAGTTCTCAAACGGCATCAGTCATCGAGAGACCTACAAGTGGTGGCACGAGACCGTCCTGATGCTAGAGGCCCGGCCCGATCGGAGTGCAGTGTCAATGGTGCTTGTGGCAGGCGCGAACTTTCGTCGGGACGCCGTCACAGCAGAGGACCTGCATGAGCGGGATGACTTCGAACATTTCATTTTAGAGCAAGAATTGACTCCTGGAAGATTGCTGGACCTAGCGGAGTTAGACACATACGATGCCCCGAACAGGGTTCGAGGCGCATGGCAATTCTACCAGGCCTTCATCCAGACATGCGACCACCGTCGAGCTTTCAGGACCGCCGATGGCCGTATTGGAATAGGACCACGCAATCTTGCTGCGAACGACATTGTGGTCATTGTATATGATGGCAAATGGCCATTCGTGCTCCGCCCGGTTGGCAATGGCAATCATCGCATTCTAGGACCTTGCTATGTTCACGGCACCATGTTTGGAGAAGCAACATAAGCGCATCTGGATGCGGGGAATGAGGATACGGTGTTCAGGCTTATCTAACGACTACAAATGCGGCGATACCGGCAATGCTGCACTGATACATGGCTTGCTTTTTCCTGCGCACTTTACTCTCGAACATTCGACCTCCACAGCATACGGCCCCTTACAGGACCATAAGATCCTAACATCTCACCCCTCACTTACTTCTCCCCCGTCGCCTTCCCAAACCCCGTATCTGCCGGGTCCATCGGCCGCATGCCCTCCTTCTCCACCTTCTCCCTCTTCACATGATCCGGCTCCTCCGGCGGCCTCTTCACGCCGTCCTGACTCGGCACCGGATCATCCTGGTTCACGAAACTGCTCTGTGCGGGGCTGCGACCAGAGCCGCCGGCGGAAGTCGTCTCGGCGTGGCCAGCGCGCTCGGTGCTGCGGGATGTGTTGATGGAAGATGATTCGGGGGAAGAGGCGGTGGGGCCGGTAGAGGTGGGGGCGGTGTTGGTTGCGTTGGGGGTGTCGGCTGTTGTGCTGCCGGAGCCTGTGGAGGCGTAGGTGCGGGTGAGACCTAGAAAGAGGTGTTAGTAGGCTGAGGGCATGGTTGGGGTGGTTGTGGCTTACGGGTTCTTGGGAGTGCTGAGGAGCGGAGGAGTCTGCTTGCCATTGATACTCTTGAGGCCATTGTTGTTGGTCTGTTGATTCCAATGATCAAAATGCCTGGATCTTCAAGGCAACTGATGGATATGATGGTTTGACTACACTTGATGGTATGCCGTTGATGATGGAGGAATGAGGTCTTGACAAGTCGACACAATTGACATGGGTTGTTGCATTGAATGATGTAACACTTACACAACGATTGAACGGCGATGGGTCCGACTTCAATGACCACCATCTTTTACTCGATCTGGGACATTCTGGTTGTGCACACGACTATATCTCCATCCTATGTTCCGGATATGCTCTCCAAGGATTGAGCATTCTCATACTCGATCAACGGTAGATTCAACGATAGGTGCGTACCAACACATAGAGTATGAGTCTTTAGCACAGTTCGGCACTGCTTGTCCATCGCATCTTTCGACGAGTTCGTTGTTTGTTGGGTATTTGAAGATGCTAACGGCCTTCGTTTGCTACGGCAACGATGTCTGACTGTTCAGTTCATCGATGTTGTCGAGCAAGTGGAGGTCAGTTAGGCTCACAAGGCCAACGCACGATTGCCTTAGCGGGCTTGGCGAGTTTGCCTTGGTTGGCTCAGGATGCACCCCACGTGCATACCACACCTGCACCTCCCCAGCCACCTCCTCCCACCTCGACGACGTCGCAGACCCGCCGCGATCAAAGGAGGGGTTGGCTCCTGCTTGTAGGCCAGCTGTACCTGCGTCCAGCACTATTCTCCTTTCGCTACCAGTAGGCCACCCTTTCTGTTTGCCTTCATCGACTACACTGATTCATTCACCATTCACGAGTGACACACGAAAGCAACGGGTGCTAGGCTGCATTCACCAGCTGCACGCGCATGAGACCGTCCGCGCGACCTGTCTCACACCCAGCCCTACCACCCTTGTTCTGTCCACCTTCTCTCCCTTCTGTACCGCAAAGAACATCCACATACACCTGCAACAACACCACGAAACACACACATACCACATGAATGGTTCTCGCACGCAGCATGACTTCGCGCCAGGCCTACCTCGACCGCTTCGACTCGCACCCCAGCGTCGACGCCTCCATGGACGACTTCGAGCCCCGCGAGTTCTCCCCGACCTTCCCTGACCTACCTTCACACCATTCTGGCTTCCGGAGTCCACATATGTCGGAGTACAGCGAGCAGTCCCGACGATCATACAGTCCGCCGGCGTGGCGGAAGTCGGGGAGTGGGTGGTTCAAGCAGGCGTCGCTTTCGCCGCATAAAAGTGACAGGGGGAGCAGAGAGACAAGCCCACTATACAATGGATTGGGTGGGCAGGGCGACCTGGATTTGAGAGCGTATGCGACTGCGACAAGAATACCACTGCCAATGTCCGCGCGAAGTAGTCCTGAGCGCGAAACAGGCGTCGGCGCGGACGATCAGGGTGAGGGAGATACCACTGTAGTAGATGCGCCTCCCAATGCACCAGCAGAAGCGCCAAGTATGACACCAGTGGACGAAGGCAATTGTGAGTTTGCGATTTCCGTTACTCTGAGAATGCAGTGATCTGACAATCCGACCAGATATTCGCTGGACAAGCTCGTTAGCCGTCCAGCAAAGAACCGATGGCATTGAGCAAACTGTCATGTACATCCGGAAAGGCATACACCACGTCTCAAGAACGAAATACCACGCCTTGTTATACGGCATGGTCACTCTACTCATATACTGGCTGCTTGCCAATCTCCTCACAACCCCTTCCAGTGGTCCTGTACCCGATCTCATCAAAGTCGCCGGCCTCGCCAAGTCCTTCGAACCAGTCATTTACTACTCAGAAGCCGGCCACGAGCAAATCGGAGAACTCCAAGACACCGGCATAGCAGTGTGGGACCTCGGCGAAAGTGTTCGTAACACCAATATGACCTCCGCGCCCATCATTGTCGGCCAGCTGGAAGGCCTCTCCGAAAGCTTCAAAGACCTTTCCATAGAAATGACCTCCTTCTTCGCCGGTCTCGACGCCGACGTCGACGCCATCCTCCTCGTCATGGAATGGGCACAGCGCGAACTCATCAAGCTCTCTCAAACACCTCAGAGCGCCATCGGCTCTGTCTGGTCCAACGCGCACACCCTGCTCGCCTCCATCGGCATAGTAAGCCCAGACAGCCGCATGATGCGCGAACTTATGGGCCAAACCATCCAACAACAAACCCGCTCCACCCTCGAACGCACATTCAACGAGTTTTTAAATGTCATGGAAGAGAGTATCAACAACGAACTCCAATACTCGATCCGTCTCTTCGGCTTCTTCGAAGCCATCGACAAGCAGTTCCTCAACCTCCACCGTACCGTCATTCGCGAGCAAGACGCGCAAGAGCGCATTGAGACGGACTTTTTGTCAAGTATGTGGACGAAAGTCGTTGGCGTCAACGCCTCCCGACTACGGAAATTCGAAAAGAACAAAACCCTCCTCCAATCCGTCCGCGACAGGACCGTGCGCAACAAGCACGTCCTGCTCGACCACAACCAGCGGTTACGGCAGATGAAGTCCGCGCTCGAGATGTTACGGCAGAGGCTGGTGAGTCCGATGGTCAGGAATTCGGTCAATGCGAGTACGTTGAGCGTGGAGGAGCAGATTGCCGGGTTGGAGGGGACGTATGCGCAGTTGAAGGCCACGAGAGAGGAGCAGAAGAGGAGTAAGATGGCGGTGATGTTTGGGGCGAGGGATCGGCGGGATGGGCTGCAGGCTGAGACTGGGATGAAGGAGGCGAGGAGGCAGGTGGAGGGGGGGAGGTGATGTTGGAGGTAAGGAGTGGAAGGCGTTGTCGGTGTATGGTTGCACTGGGTGTACAATTGGCTTGTTGGTCTTTGGGTGTTGTCTCTTGGAGAGGGCCTCGTGCATGCATGGTAAGCCGAAGTGGCGTGGAGGCGAAAAACTGGATATGCCACAGGTTTTGGGATATCGGCAGCACTTATACTTATCAGATAGACACACTATCTACCACTTCAACCGCGGTGTTCATTTCGCCCAAATGACCGAACTCAACCCATCCTCACTCTCCGCATGCCCAATATCCCCCACCCTCAAGCTTGCCACCTTCTCCCCCAACTCCCCCGTCCCTGGATCCCGCGCAAAGATTGCCACATTCGCCGTCGTCTGATCCCCCACCGCCACAAACGTACCGGCAGCATTAATCGCAAAAGTTCTGGGGTACGTACCCCCCGCCTCCGTCAGCCCAGCGAACCTCATCACGCCTTTGGAAGAAAGCTTCCAAGTCGCCACGCTATCGTTCCCGGAGAACGTGCCGTCCGCGCGGTTGGTGGTGTAGAGATAGTTGCCTTTGACGTGGATCTCTCCCACCTTCGTCCCCGAGGGCGCGGGGGCGTTGGAGGGGAAGGGGGAGAGTTCTTGCATCTTTTTGAAGGAGAGACAGCCGGAGGAGGGGTAGGTAACGGAGAAGGAGGAGATGATGTTGGAGAGTTCGTTGGCGACGAAGAGTTTGAGGTTCGTCGGGGCGGCGGCGCCGTTTTTGGCTCGGCGAGGGGTTGGGGACCAGAAGGCTGCGTGGCGGGGGCCGGTGCCGGGGGTGACTTTGAGGGAGGGGCAGGAGGTTAGGGCGCCTGTGTTGCGGGAGATGGACCAGATGCGAATGAGGTCGGCTCCGAGGTCTGGGGCGAGAAGGAAGGAGCCGGTTGGGTCGGTGAGGACCTCGTGGGGGTGAGAAGCGTCCTGGCGAGCAGAGTTGGGGCCCGGGGCGGACATGGCGAAGGTGAGTTCTTGCAGGGGCTTGGAGGACGATTTCAGAGGTAGGGCGAAAGTTGAAACTTTGGAGGATTGACTAGCAGGCGGTTAGTTATGTGTATGGGTGGGAGATGGACGACGTACTAATGGGCGATAGCAATGTAGCTCTTCCCATCTGACCCTCCGTACAAAGTGTTCGCCACACCACCAGACGGTGTCGTAGCCTTCGCATCAACAGACAACCGCATGTCCGAGGCAGCACTCAGCGAGCTGATGGACGCCGTGCTGCTGTAGAAATCCTCATCGGTGCAGTAGAGTTTCCTGTTCGCTGAGTCCCAGGTCAGCCAGGATGGCATACTCCCGCAGGCCTTCAAGGACTGTGTAAGCGAGAGAGCATGGCTCTTCTCGTCGAATGTCAACAAGTTGACCGTGCCGTCGTAAGTCGAGGCGTAAAGGTTCGCTGCGTACGAGAAGCTGGGCGCCAGCGCCAGGGTAAGAAGACAAAGGTAACGAACGACGGCCATCTCTGGCAAGAAAGTAGTAAGGACGTGAAAGAGAAGAGCTATCGAACGAAGGCTACGAGACAGAGGTGTAAGAGACAACAAGGCGACTGAAGGCCGACGCTGCACCCACATCGTCAGACACAGTATAATCTCGGACCATCACCCGCATGCGCCCAAAAGATCGCAAGGCATCTCAATCTGACACTCGAAGAGCAGTTTCGACTTGTTAGCGAAGATTCGCAGGTCGAGGTCGCACAGCAAATTGAACAATATCGCCGGATAAAGCCGCTTATTCTCAAACACCACCAGCGTTTGGGGCTGTATCAGCCAAGCCCGTCGGTTGCGCATACAAGCCTATACAAATGGGAGTCAATCGATAGGCTACTTTCCATGAGTTCTTGTGCCGGTCAGTTGCTTGGTGCAACACTTGCTACTACAGTAGATAAGCCTCGTTTTGTGGCATCAATGCAGCGGCTTCCCTCTTAAACGGATGCGCCTCAGTATACAACACCCACTCATCCAAACTCACCAGCCCCGGCTCGGAAAATATCAAATAATAGTACTTCAACGTCTCCGCCAACCAAAAACTCTGCATCCGGTCCGCCTTCTTCGGCGGATCGCTCAAAATATCCTCTAGCTCCGTGTTCGCGATCTTAGTCCTAGTGTGCTTCTGCACCGCTTCGAACATCTTCCATGCGGCGTCTTGGTACGCAGTGTCGCCGCTGATACGGTACCAGATGAAGACGGACTCGATTGCTTCGGGACGGAGCTCGTAGCGCTTGTTCTTCACGTTGGTGTAGCCGCGGGGTGGTGTCTGTTTCGGATCGCAGTGTTTGTCGATGTTTTCTTGTTCGACCCGAGAGAGCCAGAGGGTTTCATTCCACTTGCAGTTTGAAGCCTTCTGGCTGGGGCAATGGGTGTGGCGACTTGGCTCGGGCATGATGCCGTTGGGTAGGCTGTTGTAGAGCCAGGTGCAGCCGTCTATAAGGCGGCGGGCGGTTTCGAGATCGTCCGGGCGGGAGAAGGCTTTGGCGGCGAGGGCTACCATGCCACCGGAGAAGCAGACGAGGTGTTGCATTTCTCCTGAGAGTGAAGGTTCTGTGGCGTTGCCAAAGGCTGTCACGGCTCCAAAGAAGAGGATATCGGTGTCGTTTGGTGTCATTGGTCTATAGAGAATCTGGGGCTTGAAGACCTCTGCTGCGCGCTCGTAGAGGTGGCGATACTGGTCCGTCCGGCCTGAGAGCAGGAGACGCTGTTTGGGCAAGTACTCATACATCGAGTCCGCATTCGAGCCCAGTGTGTATCTGCTGTCTGTTCGAAAGTCGAGGCCGCTGACATTGAGATGCATCGGCCACATGCCGGGCAGATTGGTCTGCATTTGTTGCTCGTCAAGATGATCTGTTGTACGTTGCGCTGCGTCGAACCATCGTCCGTCGCCAGTGATCTGCGAGAGGCGAGTAAACTCGAGACATAGCGATCCCACCTCTGCCGCGTTGACATAGTCACCAGCAACCTGCTTATCTCCCTTTCGTACTCTAGCAGGAGGTCAGTAGGAACGTCACCCAATGACTTTCATCAGCTTCCTACTAACCTTTTCCAGTCCCAACGACTCACGGGCATGCGATTTGGGGCGTCGAACGCTACCATCAGCATCTCTCCCACTTCCTTCGCTTTCATGATCAAGATAGACTTCTCCCGCTCACCATCACATAGATCATACGCGGCCAGGAACCCACCCAAGTATCTGATCGTCGTCTCGAAGATGTTGACTTTTGGTATACTGGACTCGGTAAAGTCTATGCGTATCGTCGCTTCCACCGCTTCCGTGAACTCATCTTTCAGGCCTAATATCCATAAAATATCGAGCGAGTCTACCAGCGTCGCAGCCCACCGGCCAAACCCATCGTCCGTATTCCCTGACACCGGGTGTACTTCGTCTGACAGCCACGCATGCTCTTTGTATCCATTCCACGCATGCACGAATGCTTCTTTGACCGCACCCTGCCTTTCTATCCGTACTTTTCTGGCCTCGGCGCTCTCTTCCTTGAACTCATGCTGGATCCTCGGTATCACTGCCGCTGGCGCCGTAGGCATGGGCAGCAGCGAGGTCACCGGATAGCGTACAGGTACATCCTGCCATCTGAACCCGACATCGTGAGGTCCCGAGCCAGTAGCCAATGGTTCAGGGCGGTGGAAGTACGGCCGCAGACTCAGGAGACTCCCGAGGGTCGCGAGGAGGAAGACAGCTGTCGCAACGAGGATGGCACCTCGTCGTGTGTCCGTCTTCTGGAAGTGCGACCACAGTGCTGACATCGCGGTACCGCCATCGTGGGCTCGAGAAGAGCACCATGCTGCTACACGGTGCGCGACCTCGCACGAGGCTGGCCCCCAAAACGATGGACTCGGTAGGCGTTATAGTGCGATCACAAGGCAAAAGCATGAGATGAACCACTAGCTTGTGATTGGCTGCTCACTTTTTTGCTGGAAGGACGTTGATTGGTCAATTTCGTTTGCAGCTGTATGTGGTTTCGCTCCATGAGGTTTGCTATCGAACTTCACAGACACTCTCTGCTGTGACATCCACACCCCAATCACCACAGCTCAGATCTTGGTACCCCCTCTCAAACTTCCACCAAGATGAGCGCAGATGGGACCGACGAATGCACCATGTGCAACAAAATTGGCGCACGCCTCTGCAAAGGTTGCCAAAGCGCTCGCTACTGTTCAGTGTCGTGCCAGAAGAAGGATTGGCCAACTCACAAGCTCCTGTGCGCAACCTTCTTCGCCTTCGACAATCCTAGCCGACCCAGCAAGGAGCATGTTCGGGCCATCTTCTTTCCTGTCGACGACAAGAGGCCTACGATCGTCTGGCTTCACTGCGAGTGGGGTCTTCACGGATATCAGCATCCTGATGCAGAGCCATTCCTTGGCCTGGCAGTCTATGAAAGACACGCGTCGATCCAGCAGAACCCGACCTTGACGAAGACGCTGTTGCACACAATCAAGCTCGCCTATGACGATGACCACCTCAACGACGACGACAAGTTCCCGCGCAACAAGAGCATCAGAAGCATCACCGCTACCAGGCCTTGGCCTGGAGAGTATCACGACTGGCGGGGCCCTGTTCTAGCGTATGGCAAAGTCGGCCTGGGTGTCGATCAGGCCGCCTGCAGGGACATCGATGTGGTTGACTTCCGCCACATTGTCGACTGTCTCATGTCGTACGATGCCAAACCTGAGTACCTCCGGCACGACGCCAATTCATCCAAACCCTCCACGGAGAGCTCCGACACCAAGATCTTGGGGGTCAGGATCAATTGTGTTGGTGATCAGGGAACCTGCAACAGACCACAGTTCGAAGCGGTGGAGCTCTCACCAAGCGACCCCATCTTTCGCGAACACGACACTTCCGACACTGCAGACCGTATCGGGCTTCCCATCTTCACGCGACGTCTCCCGCCGGATCCGAAATGGTTGGCCAAAACGCTCCTCGACGGTCCTAAGGGTTTCGAAAACGTGGACGCCACCAGGCTTCATCATTGCTTGGATCTGGAAGCCGACTACGATCCTGCCAGTGGGAAATTGGGTTGGGGTTGGTGCTCGAGCCAGTGGCAAAGCAGGGTCGGCAGCACTATCATCGTGCGACAAGACAAGAAACCGCTGTCGGTATTGCATGCCGAAGCCTTGTACCGATATTGTCGCTTCGACGTCGGTCCTATTCTCGCGCACACGTTGGGAGAGTACGCCCCTGATAAGCGGATGAGCAAAAAAACTGCCCTGAGGATAATATGCCGGCCGATGTTATGCGATTCTCTGGTACAAGCTGCTTGACGAGAAGAGGGAGGCTGGGGAGTACCCGGACGATCCTTATCCGTACCAAGTATAGTTGCGTTGAAGCAGGGCGTTGTCGCGCGGAACTTCGGTTCATCGACTGCTTGAGTATGGCGTTGTGGATGCATGGAAGTGACGGACCACGAAGTTATGAGGAATGAAGTGACGAAGCATGAGATGATGATGAATGGATCGTGCGAGCATGTCACCACGGTTCTTGCTTTGGTGTTGGTTTCTATCGAGGCAGGCAAGAGGGATTAGCGATGTTCTACCGTCCTCATTAAATACGCACAATATCGTACAACCAGTTCCTCTCCCTCTCACATCAACATTAACCATCGTGCACGCCCTCAACTGTCACCCGCAGCAGCCGGCTTCGCCTTCGGCGCCAACTTCCTAGGCTTCTTCTTCTCAACAGGCGGCGGCGCCGCATCACCACCATTCGCCTCACCCGTCGACGGAGCCTCCGCCGTCTTCTGCGGCTGCACAGGCTTCGGCGCCGGCTTCTTCTTCGGCGCGGGCGCTGCTTGCGATGTCTGCTTGGTAGCGCCTTGCCCTGTCGACGAGGCTCCTGAAGGAGCAGGTTTCTTCGCCGGAGCAGACGTTCCTGAAGTCGCAGGCTTCTTGGCCGGCACAGGCCTCTTCTGCGGCACCGGCTTCTTCGCCGGCTGGGCACCCGACTCTGTGCCTTGCGTTGAAGTCGCATGCGAAGAATTGATCTTCCTTGGCGGCGGTCGCTTCTTCTGCGTCCTCTTGATGGCCTGCTTAGGCTCCTCTCCGCCTTCGACGAGGAAGTGCGCGTCCTGGGGATCCTTGCCGTTGATATCCAGCACGTCTTGCGGACAGGCGCTCATCACGACGACGATGTCCCGCTCGGCCTTCAGACGGACGTAGTCGCCTTTCTTGCCCTTGGGGGCGTGGAAGCCGATGTCGCCATCTTCGTCCCACGGGATGTTCATGAAGAGATTCAAAGGTGCTGGGACGGAGTTGATCGTCACTTCCGCACCGACACCCTTGTTGCCCTTCAGACCTGCGCGCTCGTTGAGCTCCTTCAACGCCAGGACCAAGTTCTCCGCGCAAGAGCCATGCTGCTCCCAGTTCTCCACACCCAGCCCTTTGTATCTGGCTGGATCACAAGCTGCGATCAGAGTGTCGTGGATACCGGGGCTCGTATCCTCGACCAGCGTCATGATTGGCTCTCTGATATTCGACACCAGAGTATCATCAACCCTTGGCCGCAAGTGCAGAGTCGCGGCGCGAGAATGCGGCATGCTCATGAACTCCATCGCGGGTTGGAAGGGTTGCTTCGAGTTGTACGCTTGGTAGCCAGCGTAGAGACTGCCACTGTATCCGGAGCCGGTCAATGCTGCCATACCTGTAAGCAAGGGTTAGTGTAGGTGTTGGGAAGAGGGAATTGTTACCGCTCCAACCTGCTGCGCCGACGGGTGTTTTGGAGAACTCTGTGAGTTGTTCAAGGTATGACTTGTTTGGGTCGCGTTGGTGCTGGAATCAAACTTAGCAAAATGCCGGAGCCACACAGAGAGGGTGGTGCGTACTGTATCTGCGAACGAAGATACAGTATCCGTGGCTTGCTTTGGGATGTAATTGCTGAAGCCTTTGCCAGAGGGGAAATACGAGCCCCAAGTCCGGCTGTTCTTCTGCTGTTCGGTCTCTTTCCCACTTTGATTGCTGCCATCCTTCTTTGATGACCAGCCCATAGAGGGTACATACGAGGTGGGCACGTATGAACTCCAGCTGCTCTTCGGCTTCCCATCCTGTGCCGCTTTCTCTTCGCCCTCCTTGATGCCTTCTTGTGTAGCCTTCTCAGCATCTTCTTGACTTGGAAAGTCCGAACCACCCTTCTTCTTCGCCTTTGCTGGAGCAGACTTCAGAGCTTCACTCTGGCTTGGTTCTTCCTTTTGCTCTTGCTGCTGGTCTTGCTTCTGATCCTGCTTCTGTGCCTGCTGCTCCTCCTCCGAGCCTTTCTTTGGCTCAGGATTGGGCAATGCAAAGGCCCAAGTATCTACCACCTGCGTTCCAGAAGTGTTGATGATCTTGATCGTCTGGCCCGCCGGCACGAATGTCGCGGTGCCATGACGGGCTGGAATAGCTTGGAGCTCGGCCATTGGTATGAACTTTGGTACACTGAGTTTCGCAACCGTCAGCTGCAACAGTTAAATCGGTTGAAGAATGCAAAAAGCTGAGTATAACAACCAGACGACGTGATAACTGTGGCTGGAGCTCTACTTTTGAAAGTGACGCCCCAAGTTCCATCTCGTCTGCCACCGCATCCAAAAACCTGGTCGGGAGCGCAAAGAAGCTCCGAGTGCTGCGTCATGTTGCAGGGATCTCGTCGCGTGAAACGCCACAACCACCGACTTGGCAAAGACCGCTTTGGGGTGTGTATAGACGTTGCGATGGAGTAGGAAATGTGGCAGCAGGACATTCAATTCTGGCCTATCGCGTTATGCAAAGATGGAGACTGCTCTCACGACAATCTGACAACGGTCGATCGAAGGAGGCATACGCTGTATCCCTTGCGGTGCTGCACACCTTGAGGCCCCTCGTCAATCTTCGAGGTATAATCCTCATGCTACCTAGGTTTCTTTATCCGCAGGAAAGGACGCCAAAGGAATCAAGACTCTATGTCGAAGATCGAGCTGCTGAGCCTCGATATTCACACGAGACATGCCAGTTTTCTGGTGGAACAACAGTTGGATGCGAGGTCCACTCTCGCTACACTGTTCGAAGCTGGATAGCAGGCCTGCTTTCTGAGCTGTTCGTTATGATGAGACAAGAGGTCTGTACGATCTCAATCCCGCGTTTCAACGGTTCGTGCTTGGACTTCGACATCTCGTAGGTGATGTAGTGCTGGTGCCGTCGTTGGTTCATGGTGTCAGGTTCGGCCCGGATGTCTCTCGAGCCGGAGTCCGTCATGTCCGTGATCGTGATCGTATTGTAGTCGTGCGAGAGGCATGGAAGCGGATTCCTAAATCAAGTAGCAGCCTCCTTCGCCTTCCCCGCCTCCGGCGCCTCATCAATGAATTGCGGCGGCCCAGCACTCTCCTGCAAATACGACGGCATCTCCTCGCCCAAAGCACCGGTATCCAGATCCACCTCCTCACCCAGCGCCTCCAACTCAGCATCCAGCTCCGCCTCATCCACATCTTCCGGCACATCATAAGACCGCGATATGCTCTCTTGAATATCATTCCCCATATCCATCAGATCCGCCATCTCATCCTGCATCTTCTCGATCTTGTCAATATTCACCTTCCCATACTGCTTCTTCAGCTCCTTCTGCGTCGTCTTCATCGCATCGACCGTCGCCATGGTGTTCTTGAGGTTGTCTTGCATCATGCCTGCTTGCTCCATGTTCCAGGATTGTGATTGTAGTTGGTCCTTTTGTGACTCGTACATCTTTCGTTGCTGGAGAACTTTGATGGCTTTCTGCTTGATCGCGTTCTTACCCGGGCCATCGCGCATACGTGAGAGTCGTTGTTGGTAGGTTTGCAGTTCGGCGGTGAGTTTGGAGAGCTTGACGTCTATTGATTCGATGCGCGTGTCGACCTACAGTGTGTCAGCAGGCGCATCAGTTACAGCACATAGCGGTCGCTGTACATTGGATATGGCGCTGTTGAGGTCGGGTTTGGGGGCGTTGCTCTTCGCGCCGAATAGGCGGTTCATGGTGGGCGATGCTGATGAGGTGGAGTGATCCAAAGGAGTGTTGCAGTACTGTAGTCGTTGCTGTAGATTGAGGTGCCTTCACATCAGATGTCCGCAGTTCGGTGCCTGGAGGTGACGTTGTTGGAGGGGCCGTTGCCAATCGAAATATTGATTGAAGCTGACATAAGCTTCAACAGGTCAGTATTTCCACCACTTCACTTCTCACACGCGCCGTCTACCTCACATATCTCCTCACACACCATGTTTACCCTAGCTTGTTCGCGATCTCCAGTTCTTTGACTCCACCCTTATGTGTCACAGCATGGATCTATTCGAATTGAGAAGTAGCTCCAGTACTTGAAACCACTTCCAGGTCCTACAGTGGACCTCTTGCGGATGAAACTGCCAAAGGACAACGCAGAAGTTTCTTTATCATTTTCATTCATAACATCACAGAGTAACACGAAAGATGGTTTGGGATCGCCATGATGAGAGACCCATCAACTACGGCCTCGACATCATGCCCCTTGCATGAGATGGTGCCACGCACAATCCTGTCATTGTTCTCTCCTCCATGACTTCTAGACAATACTCACCTATCCAGCCTCACCCGATCTGTGAATGACCAACAAGATTGGAAACGGCAGCATTGCCTCACCGTCAGAGGAACACGCCACGCACTATGATACTGGTCCACGACTCGACAACGACAACCTAATACTGCCTTCCAAGCGAACCAAGTGTCCCACCTGCGGAGCTTCTACAGTGACAGAACGTAGCGATAGACCGAAAGGATTCTGGTCCCGATTCTGGCCGATCACCGTCTCCTATTTCGCTTTCTTCTTTGCTTCGCGGTGGAAGCGTCCGATGTTGGCGTTTTGGGTGCTGTTGCTATACAGGTGAGAAACTATCTGAGTTCCAGAGATATGTGGATGGTTCGCGAGCTGCGCTGACGATGAGTGGCGGAACAGCTGCGTCGATGTCACGATTGAGAAGATCACGGCATGGCTGCGAGCTTATGCGGCATGCTGTTATGTATGAGTTTGGTGGCCAGGGAGCAGCAATGGTGTCCCTTATCGTGCTTGTTGGGGTGTCGAGGTTGTCCTGACTCCGAGGTTGCTTGGAAGGGCGTACTTGTCCTGCCACGCTTGCCTTTCGTGGGCTTGGAGACTGGGTGGCCTATGCGCAAGGATGTGAGTGGATCCGGAAGCTGCAGAGTCGGGCGTGGGTACTTTGACTGGCAATACTCAGAAGGGAGCGCGGGGATCCTTGGGTTCTGGAGGGAAGCACTGTAAGGTTGGCAGGAGAAGTAGTTGTGGCAGTGTGGGAGCCTTCATGACAGGTCGTTTCAGAGAGGACCCCTGAGCGGCAGTGGGTCCATGTGAATACCATACCATGGCCAGCAGTAGGTGCCCTTGGACGAATAAATACAATCGGTCTGGTGCCCTTCCGTACAAATCGACTCTGGAATAGCTAGGATATAAGCTTGTGATCAGAGGGTCAAGGTTCATGAAGACAAAATAGCTCTTTCATCTCCTCTTTGGGGGTTCTCTTTGCTGAAGTCTAGGGCATGTGAAAAGCCAAATTACCGGATTGGGAAGGTGTGGCTCTGGGTATTTCGTTTTGGCTGTGCCCTTTCCCTTTTGAGTCGATGGGAGCGTCTACCACCACGACAGAACTTTACAAGATATACCCAGAACGAGATTGCTCATGCTGGCCATGATCTGACGGTTGTTATGGCCTCGTCGTCATTTTTTTCTACCGACCTCTTGCGATGCGAAGAGTCCAAGCTTCGACGATGTGTTTTCCTGCCTTTCTTATTTACTTGTGTTGACGGCATGATATCTCAAACTCTACCCATACTATGTGTACTCAGTGCTCTACGGAGAAGGTGTTGATGATGTCGTCGCCTTAAACCCTGCATCTCCATTTGGCACCGTTGTCGATCACATGCAGATCCTTAACTTTTGCTCATTCTCGATCATCTGGTGATTCTGCAACAGCCTGGTACAACAACATAACTACACCAGCATTTGTTCGACTCGACATCCATCATCATCGCCCACCTCAACACCCTCATCCTCTCCATCCTCCTCGCCCTCGTGGCCATCCTCGCAGCCATGACCCGCAGCAAAACTGCCATCTCTTCCACCTCCAACAGTACCCCGATCTCCCTCCCCGCAACCGCCCTCCCAGCACCGTCGACCTTCACCGACAACCTGCCCCTTCCCACCCTGATCGTCTTCGATCTTGACTACACTTTGTGGCCCTTCTGGGTAGACACCCACGTCTCCCCACCCCTAAAATCCAACCCCGCCGACTCCCACCGCAGCGTCCGCGACTCCTACGGCGGCACCTACGGCTTCTACAACGACGTAGCCGGCCTCCTAGCCGCGCTCAAAAAGCGAGGAATCCAAGTCGGCTGCGCAAGCCGGACATGCACGCCCGATTTGGCTCGCAAGATGCTTACACTACTACATCTCCCCGCCTCTGCGACGGAGGATGGGTCGGAAAGTGAAGAGAGGAAGGCGATCAGCGCGTTTGATTATCTGGAAGCGTATCCGGGAAGCAAGACGAGTCATTTCCAGAAGATACATAAGGCGAGTAAGGTCCCTTATGAGGAGATGCTGTTCTTCGATGATGAGTCGCGGAACCGGGATGTTGAGAAGTTGGGGGTGACGATGCAGTTGGTGAGGGATGGGGTTACTGTTGCCGAGATGGATAAGGGGGTTAAGTTGTGGCGGGAGAGGAATGCTAAGAGGTTGGAGGGGGTCAAGAGGGAAGGCTGATGGTGGTGGTGGTGGCAGTATTAGGTTGCAAGGGGGAGCTCGACGGCGTGGGAGCAGTGGGCATGGAGTACTGGTGATTGGAGCAGGTCCGGAGGAATGATACCCATGATTGCATAGAGTCTCATAGAGGGGCTACAGGATACTGGTACAGACAGCGAACAAACTTTAGTCTTGAAGATTCTTCTCTTTTCTTGAAGTGTGTTAACGATCGAGCTTCATCGCTTTCATTCCCAAGGTACCAGATGAAGGTACTACCATGCTAGCAAGTGTGGGTATCTATGCGCTCCCGAAGCAATTGTGTATGACAGCATGAAATGAACGCCAACCGATTCTCGTCTTCCCTGACAAGAACTTTCCCATACTCCACAAAACACCAGCATCCATCGCCCAAAGAATGCTTCATGTGAATGCTCCAATGAATCGTAAATGCTCGCTCCGGCCAACAGTAAGTGCAGAACGCGCCATACAATCCAATCACAGAAGCGGACGACACGGTGAGTTTTGCTCATCACTACTGTGCCGCCGCAGCATCCGGTTCAGCAGCCGGAACGTCCACGTCAAGAGTCTCTTTGCCATGAACATTAACCACGACCCTGCGGCCGCGCTCGCTCGCAGGCACACCATCTCTCGCAGCGCCGAAGTCCAGAACCTGAATCGAATTAGCGGGTCTTCCAAATACTCCAAACGTAGTGCTTGCTCACCTCAATGTACGTGAGATTGTTCCTCTGCACCGCGGCGACACACCTGCGCTCATCGAATCTCACCTGCCAGACCCCACTAAGGTCCGTCAACAGATCGCGCACGCACTCGCCATTCTTGACATTCCACATCTTGAGCGTCCGGTCACTACCCGAGATAACCTTCTGCCCGTCATGCTGGAAACACGTAATTGCGCCAGTGTGAGCCGAAAGCGTCGCCTTGCAGGCCCCGGTATCTGGATCCCAGATCCGCAACGTGCTGTCTGCGGCTGCTGAGACGAGACGGTCGTGGCTGAGGTCCAGCAGACCGACGAGGGAGGTGTGGCCTTCGAGGCTGAAGAGGCAGGTGCCGGACTCCAGGTCCCAGACCTTCACCAGGTTGTCCATGGAGCCGGATATGCAGCGGGCACGGTCCTGATCCAGAACGACGGAGTAAACCTTTTGCGTGTGGCCTTGCAAACGTTGAAGAAGCTCACCGTTCGAGATCTTCCACACACGTACGGTGCAGTCGTATGAACCAGAGATGAGGGTATCGCCGTGCGCAGCGATGGCACGGACCGAGTTATGGTGACCGGACAGCGTGCGCAGGAAGTAGGGATTGTCACGATCATTGGCCGGTGGGCCAGCGTGGTAGACCTGCGGCTCGCCTGGCTTCGGTAGCTTCCACACACGTAGTGTAGAGTCGCGGGAGCCGGTGATGATGAGCGGCTCCTTCGGCATCATGATCGGATCGTTGTTTGAATCTCTGCCAATCTCGACAGGCTTCAGGATGACCAGACACCGGACTGTCGAAGTGTGGCCCTGGAACACCTGCAAACATCTGCCCGATTTGATGTCCCAGACCCGCACACTGCGATCGGTCGAGCCTGAGACCAACGTATCGCCTTCATACTGCAGAGCCCACACGCCACCTTCGTGTCCCTCGAGCCTATTCTTCAGAGCACCCGTCTTGGTATCGTAGACATTGATCTTCGTGTCGTCGCTACCAGTCAAGATCTTCTCGCTGTCGAATAGTAGACAGGTGACGACGTGACGATGATGTGCACGGAAAGCCAAATGCCTGGCGTTGCTCTCTTCGCTCATCCACGACTTCCGGATCAGGTAATGGCGTTGGTACAGCGACTTGAACAGGTGCATGCTCTTCAGGCTCGGCAGGCCGGACGAAGGGTAGGGAACGGCTTGCGCAGCCGCTTGAGCGAGGGCGTTGGGTCCAGTGTGGGACGCCAACAGCCTGTGGATGCGATTGCCGGAAGTCGATGCGCTTGGCTTGGTTGCAGATGCTTGTACCTGGACCGATCTGCGCTTCAATTTCTTAGATGAGCTGGAATGCTTAGCCATCGACTTCCGCTTCGCCCGCACTGGCACCGACGATGATGCCGTGTCCTCATCGTCGCTGACAACGATGGCATCAGCTGGACTGGTGGTGTCGTATTCAGGCGACGCTCTGGACATCCTTCTTGAAAGGTCTTCTTCGTAGCCGTCTTCTCCCGGATGCTGCCAGCCCCAGCCTTCCTTGATGGCGCGTACTATCTCACCTTCAGGCAAGACGAAGCCGTCACGCTTTAGGAGGTCCTGCCAGGCCTTCTCGTCGAAGTTGATATGCCGGCGCCAGCGCTTCGACACCTGAGCTGCGCGGCACATGCTCTGCACGTCGAGATAGCGGATGATGTTAAGACCGAGCTCAACGGGCAGTACACTGAAAGGATCACACTTCAAAGCCGGATTGACAACATTGGCAACCATCTGAAGTGTCGGCTTCGAGCAGCGTCGCAAGAATTGGTAGATCAGATAGCTCTGCATGGCCTCTGGCATGCCATCAAAGGCGTCAACCATAGTGGGAATGTCCATCACGGTCGGCCCGCTGTTCGATTGCGAAGCCTTGCCTGGTTGGGACTGCACCACGGATTGAGTCTCTCCAAAGCTGGAGTTCTTGGGCTGCGAAGTGAACGACATATCCGGAGTCTGCATGGTTCCAGGGTCAATGTCCATTCGAGAAGAATCATTTTGGGCTGCAGACACAGCTTCGCCGAAGGAAGCCTCGAACGCGTTTTGACGGGAGGCGAGATTGGCGGCGGCAGTGATGGGCGACAGACTCGGACTAGGTAGACTGGCATCTTGTTGTGAGCTGGTAAGAAGGGTGGGAAGATTGGGTCGTCGAGAGGGTGGCATCAGCATCTGCTCGGCATCGGTGTTGCTATTTTGTAGCGATCCAGCATCCAGATCAAGTTGGCTGTCTCCAGACAGATCGGTATCCTCACCAGAATTCGTCTTCTTGCCTCCTTTCCTACCGTAGAAAGGCGGCCCGAGCAGCGAGTCCTCATCCTGAGGCTCTGAATCCGAGTACTGCAGCTCCTGCAGGCGTGACTGAGATGGCCGAACCGGACTGCGTCTCCGCCTGCTAGCTTGGCTTCCAGATGTTTTAGGCGCTTGAGGCGGTACCAGCCCAACGTCTGTGTCAGGCGTGACAGGCGACGGATTGCTCAGTGGCGGCCCAGAACCTGAAGTGGCCCGCTGCTCTGCCGTTGCATGCTCGCCAAGCTCCGTCCGGGTTCTCTGTAGTTGTGAACGAGGTTTCTTGATCTTCCTGTGCAGGCTTGCCAGCTCTGCCGCCTCTGCTATAGACGGTGGAGTAGCGGTCCGCTTTGGTGCTTTGGAAGCGCGCACGTTATGGACCCCTCTCCCCAACTGCGACTCATTCTGGACTCTCACGGGCGTACGGTAATCATCTTGCTTCGCCTCTGACCGCATGGAGCCGTTATGCCTGCGAATGTTCTCCTGCAACTCATGGTGATCCTTCACAGTCCGCTGAGCGTCTTCTTCTTCTTGAAAGCGAATCGGTCGACCGTGTACATCCGTGCTGAAGCGCTTGAGATAGCTCGGGGTGGGCGTGAAGGCTAGCGGATACTGCTTCAGGTCTCGTTCGTACAAGTTCTTTGGCGGCTTCATGATCAGTGGCGGCAAGGTCACAGTCGTGGTAGTTGTGACCGTGGTGACGGTCTGCTGAGTGGCGGGCCCATAGCTCATCTGAGCTACAGTCGCGTGTGAAGGTGCTGCATCGCGAGAGCCTGCCATGTTGGTGGTGGTGGCGGGAGGGTTGTCCTGCTCCATGAGGTGGGGTGGTTTGTGGTGTATTTGCTCCTCGGTGGGTGATGCCGGGGCAGTTGAGAGGATTGCTTCGGGGTTCATCGCTGGGTCTGTTTTGAGTCCTAGTCCGTGATTGCGAGGGGCCTCCATGCTCTCGCGCTCTTTCGTTGCCTCCCCACTGTTGTAGCGGAGCCGACACGACCTCGCTGCTTCTTCCGCGTTCCTGACGCGTGCTCTTCAATCTCTCTGTACTGTTCTTCGATATGTTGCAGAAGCCAGTATTGATCTCGGTAGAAAGGTAGTTCTCCGCTTCTTAAACGCGGCGTCAGTTGCGTGTCATGCTGCCGCTGTAGAGGTCCAGGAGTCTCAGACACGTGCAGAGACAACAAAGGAGGCTGCGGTGTCTTTGTGTGCCCACTAAAATAGGCAGGAGATGGCGGAGCGAGGGTACACCGTTGTCGAACGGTGGGCGGTGATCCTTGGGCGGAGTTGGAGGTGGGAGTGCCGTCGGTAACGGAGGTGGATCGGCCGTGTGTGGAGGGAAAGAAGAAGCAACCCCGGCCGGAGAGGCCCGCCAAGCTTAAAGCTAACATGGAAGGTACCTCACGCGCAAAGATGAGGCTCGCCCTGTATTCTCTATTCTCATACACGACTGGGTGGCCAATGTACAACAATATTGACACGTCAGTAGGAAGGTGGAGGTGCATGTCGGTCTCTTCTATTGACGCATGGTGTAACGCAAAGTACGCTTATACTGTGACCAAAGGCATCGAACAGACAAGCGCTACATCAAACCATATCTACATCTAAGTCTTCGCGAACAAGTCCTTCCAGAACTGTTTGAACCCATACTCCGGTCTCCTGTCATCATACACCGTCGCCTTGTGATCCATACTGAACTTGTCTAGCACGCCACCCGGTCGATGGCCGACGATCTCCACACCTTTCACCTTCGGCGCCAGAGCACGCTCTTTGATAGCGAGGGCGAGTTGAGGAGCAACGTCAGCGTAACAAGCCTTCAGTTCGCGGTCCAGGTAGTAGTATGGCTTGCGAGCTATGGGCGGGGCCATCAGATTGTAGGTTCGTGCCAGGTTGTTGAGGTTGTTGATTGCAGCATTCAGATAGCCATGCTCGGTCTTCTCCCAGTTCGGGTCGCGAAAGAGTGGGACAGTAGGCTGGCGGGGAGGTGATGGGGCGCTTTTCGCAGCGCCGGCATGCTGTTCGGGCTGCTCCACTGAGACTTTGACAGTGCTGTCGGGTTGTGCTTTGAGCGAACCGTCGTCATTGAAGCTTTGCTCCATAATCTTGATCTCGTTCTCCACGTGCGTCTCCTCGTCCTGTACTGACATTGTTGGATCCGGATCCGACGCCTTGAGCTCTCCTGAGACGGAGATCTGAGACAAGTGGCCGGTATTGTCGACAGCGTTCAGCGTCTCTTCCTTCTTCTTGGTCGGGTTGTAGACGCTCTCAGCCAAAGCGTATTCTTCAGCAAGCTGCATCTGCTTATCCAAACCGCCACCACCACTGGATATTACTCTGGCTGCATGCCGCTTCCAGTCTGCCCGTAGCCGACTTCTGAATTTCGTAGCCGTCGACACCAGTTCCTGCTGCTTCTCCACCCACGGCGGCAATATCTCCTGTCGCTGGATGATCTTGTTGAGCAAATACGACGTAGTGTCGATGAAAGGACTATTTGCATTGTGGTCCTTCTCGATCTTTTGTCCACGAGGCAGGTTTTTGAACTTGCCGCTCGCGATGGCATCGTCTATTCTCTGGTTCGCAAGAGAGGCAAGACCTTGCACAGTTGCCGGCGCAGAGCGTCCACTGGGAGCGAAGCGCATCTTCATCTCCTGGCGTAGCTTCTCTCGCTCTTCCTCCGACAGACCAGAGTCCTTGGCATATTCGTACATCGACGTCCTGTCACGAGCATTGGCCAGTCTCACTCCAGCTTGCGGCTTGCCACTCGGTCGTCCGGTGTCAATCTTGCTGGGCGGACCTCGTACGCCAGGTATACGTGCCGGCGATCGCAAAGGCTTATGCGCATCTGTCAACATTCGCAGTGATGCATCTTCTGTAGACTCCTGCCCGGTCCACGGCCTCGCAGCCGCGATATCCCTCATCCCTCTACCGGCACTTGCAGGCAGATTTGCCTGCGCAAATGCCTGAGCATTGTCACTTCTGAAGCTCGCATTGGCAATCTTGTCCTCCAGCTGCCTCCTCAGCTCCTCACTGAAGCCGGCTTCTTCGACTGCTTTTCGTGCACTTCTGCCCCCTGTCTCTATACTCTCTTCGCTCATCTCGGAAAGACGTCTTGACATCGCGCCCTTCTCTTTCGCCTGGGGTTTGGCCGCTGCCGGTCCATCCTGAGATGGCGATTGTCGTGATGAGCCAGATGCATGCCGGACGCGGACGAAGGGATGTTCATGACTGGCAGTGCTCTTCGCCCGCAGACAGCGAGCACAGATATAAGGCTGTGTAGTCCTGATCCCTCGCATCCAGAACTAGACTGCTGTTGACGGTATGAGAGAAATCGCAAGGTCGATGGGCAACGCCACGATGCATGTCGTCAAGATCTTATCTGAGATAAGATGGAGGCTAAAGTCCGAAACTGCGGATATAAGACCACGCTCGAGTATAATTGTACAACGGATCGTGGCATGGGCAACAAGCAACTCGAACGCAACCTTGGTCTCACGACCTCGGATGGGGCATCGTTACACATAACACTGTGGTAACGCTTGCACGGCAGACAGGCTGGAAGGGGTACTCGTGGCCAGTGACTGGAAGTACCAGTCGGATTTTGACCAGGTCAGTAATGCTGGCTCACGAAGAACGTCCTCTGCTAAACATCCTGCAGTGAACACTGTAAAACTAATAGGCAACCATCAGAACGCCAGCTGTAGCGCTTCCGCAATCCCGCTCTTCTGGTACACGGTACATTGGAAGGACCTGACTCCGCCTCCCCGGGGCCAAACAACCTCAGCATTGGATGCTGATCATATCGCTTGGGAAGTAGAGATCGAAATACCAACGATCGCTTCTACAAACAGCAATGTCCATGCCAGCTTTTTCCAACCTCACTTCTCTTGCTCTCCAAGCTCTGTCTGTTGCAAAACAACACTAGACGGCTGAACGTGGGGCTTCGGGCAAGCAGTCGACCTTGAGATGATTACGATAATCGGATGGACAGCTCAGACGCGAGGAGAGGCTTAATCAGAGCCAGTACTGTCGCTAAATATCTTTTGATATCATTTGGCTGACGGTTGGCTGCGGAGACTGGCTTGGTGATGGACTTCGTGGTCAATCGTCCTATTGTCCCAACGCCCCGGCGGTTGTGCAGCCACCGATCAAGACTTGCACGGTCAGGAAGACTGAATTTGGAATGCCTGAGTAAGCCGGTGGAACACAATTGTTCGGCTGGCACGTCCGGTTTCGATAGCCCGAGGAAAGCCATCTCCTTGAGGAGAATCAGGAACCTATAATGACGTACAGCTACGCCGAGGACGGTCGAAGGTGCTTCATGAGATGCGTGACCGTTCTGCAAGGTTGGTCGTGCTGATGGGCGACGATTCGAAACCTCCAAAGGTCGACACGGCTTCGAAAGCTGAGAAGGGGTCGGCCAATCTACGCAGCACCCTTGCCATCAGGTATAGCTCCAGATGTCTGCGGCGCCGGATGGAGTGATAGAACGTGTTTATGTGTCTCGGACTGGATCGTAGTACCGTGATGGACCCGGGGCTGCCTGAGTCGTAGTGGGAGCTAAGAGGTCAAGTCAGCAATGAGCGTGCTCTTCCATCGTGCCGTGGACCTACTTTGACTGCTTCCAGCACTACCCGAACCACCGTCCGGACTCATGTTACCACTGGAATCAGGCTCGTCTCCTGGTGAAGCGGTCCGTCGGTTCTTGTTGCGATTGTCGCGATAACGAAACACATGCCACAGCATCCACCTGATAACCCAATTCTCTTCTTCGATGCCGGCGGTGTCTCTCCCAAGGTCGTAGATGGGTCTCGTTTCGCGTCGCGCACGGGCATAGATTTGCAAGATCTCTCGATGAATCGCGGTCTCACTGATCTGAGAGCTGCTGTATGGAGGCTCCACCGTTGGGTCGTTTTGAAACTGTGGTGCCAGCGACGCAGGAGTGGCTGCTATTCTTCGACGGCCTTCGACTGCTTCTTCCTGCTAGGTTGTGAGCGGATGTTGCAACCAGTCAACAGCTGATCCGTTTCAAGCAGAACGTCCGACCTTCATCATTGCATATAACCGACGATGCTGTTCATTCCGTTCGTCCAGACCTAGTCTCTCAAAAAAGCGTGCTTTCGACTCACTCTGCGCGAGTGGCGCTCTAGGCGGAGCCATGAGGATTGTTCGATATCGGACTGCGGAGAAACGAAGAACAGAGAGAGTAGAGTTCCAAGTGGATCGGTCCAGACAAGTGGGATGGGAACCGGTGAAACCACGCCAAGGCAGAGGAAGAGGTTGGTTTAGAGCCGTCCAAGTGGACAGGTGAGAACTGTTCTTTGTAAGCTTTGGTTGTTCAAACGGCTGCGGGTTGACACTTCGGCGGCGGGCGAGAGCCGGCGGGCAGCACGTTGCTTTTAACCTTTGTGTGCATCCAGCCAACTAGTCCCGCCTGTCTGCAGGGGTAGTCTGACGTCGAACCGAAGGGCGGGACGGTCGTGCTATCAAAATGAATCGTCAGTAGCTGGAAGGTAGGGCATGATAGTGGCCTGCCGCAGCCTTCCAAATTGCGTATCGAGTCATCTGGCACACAAAGGAAGCGATATCGCCGAAGCCGGTTTGACAAGTCAGCGGTCGTTCGATGTGCCCGGGGCCGGCTCGACGTACTTTGCATGGCCTTGACCGCCGTGGGTACTGTACGCTGCTGAACTAGCTCACAGAGCTCGCCTTTGGCAAGCAGTGCCAGCCCAACTCAATTGGGATTCTGACCCAATAGGTGCACACGCAGTGGGCAGCTCCCCTTGTTCAAATGCTGCCGCTATAGATGAGGCGCATGAGTGCCCATGCCCCTCGTCAAAGCGTCCACTGGCAGCCATTAGTGCGGACTTCTATCGCCGGCGTGTGCTTCCTTGGCTGGCACCAGCGCACATTAGACAGCAACTACCGTGGTGTGCCCGTGAGCAGCGTGCTAGGGTAAGCGTGGGATGAGCAGGAAGCTTTTCCAACCCAGAAGCGGTATGAAGAGAACAGTGACGAACTTGAGCTCGACGTGACTTGCATACTCGTAACTCCGTTCGGCTCAGGCAGTACCGAGACGCAGAGAGATCCGCCTAGCAGCGACGGTCGACCCAAAGTGCCAGAGATCTTTACATCAGCGCCAGCCTCTGCAATCACCGCGATCCTCCTCCACGGCCATAAGCTCGAAGCCCCACAACATTGAATTTCCGTGTGCCGCTCTCAGCGCTAGTAGAACGTTTCCCTTCACGTGGCAGCGCAGGGATCAGTATCTGGGATGGCTTCCACGTGCCTGACGCCTTCGATGGCGTCCGGACGCCAACGGGAGCTTCTAGGCGAGTTCTCGAACGTGGAGTGACCCTTCTGAACGCCCGTGCTTTCAGTACAAACGACCTGGTGGACCCGGTGGTTGGCATGCGTGTTCGTTAGCCATGCGGGACCTCAAGCCTCTTTCCCGACTCGATACTGCATGTTGGAACGAACAGCCATTGCGGTCATGCCACAATGGCGGGGAGATGGTCCTCTGCTTCGAGCTTGTTGGGCAGAATGTTACTGCACTACTGTATCGCTCACCGGTCATCCGGCATGTTCGAGCACGGCTCTGGCTGAGGGTTAGGCATCCAGACTCGTCTCGTCTCTCATTTCATCAAGCCTCGTCTGCTTAGTACTGTACAGTGTAAGGTAGAGTGCTGTAGGATTCGACTATTGGCGTTACAAATGACTTCGGAACTTGCCAGCGCACGGTATCGCCCGACCGCTAGTTGCCCGTGACAGCGGGATGTGGTGGCTGTTGTTCCGAGATTGCCCTTTGAGGGCTTCGGCGGGGACTTGACTTCGGCGGTGACTTCAGCGATTGCTCGCAGCTGAATCAGCGTCAGGAACAATCTCGCCCACTGCCTGCTACGACGTGACGGCGTGTTTGATCGTTAAGCGAGGGTGCGTCAGTGTTGTTGTCGCCAGATTTTCCCGCTCTGAGAGACTACAGGGAACAAGTCTCGTGTACCTTGTATTGATGACGCAGTACGTGGTGGTAAAACAACCCAGACGACTTCGTCCCGCAATCTAGGCATCTCGAGAGACGAGGAGATCAGCATAGCATCTAGACGAACCGGCATGGCCCTTACTCCCATTGGTGGTCTTTCTTTCGTGCGGCTGCCCGAATAAGGAAGGTACTCAAGAGCGGTGCCAGAACCCCAAAGCAAGATGTGCATGAATTCAAGCAGGAACGTGAGTCGAACTATGCCTTGTACGATGCCATCACCGCCTCCGGTGGCCTCCCTCCCTCCAAGCTGGGCTGTCACTCCAGTACAGGAGATCCGGGATCCACACAAGCATGCAGAATCGGCTTGGCCGGATGGATCAACGACGACACGGCAGTTACATTCATGCACCTTTACGCCTTCGCGTCCACTCTGGCGCACCCAGCATACCGATCGTGGTTGGCCACGCGAGCCATGCTGACCTCTAGTGTTCACATGGCTGTTACTGGACTCCACTGGGATGTGCAGAGCTCCATCCTGCGATTGTCTGCGGTATCGACGGATGGGAAGCGCGAAAGACTCTAATCTCCATAAACGTGGAGAAGAATGGTGTCGTCCAGATTCCGCTTTTGACTGCCCAGGTGGGCCATGAGCTAAGATGAAAGACTCGCAGACATCAGTGTTCTGGCGAATTATCGAGTTTGGACTTGTCCCTGCTGCAGAGTCTGGACTCGAAGTCCCGCGTGTTCCAGAAACATACCAACAACTCCGTATCCCCTGGCACTTGTCACTGACGCCTCCACCATCGAACTCTCAACAAGACGAAGATTTTGGCTTCTTGGGCACAACTAATTGTTGGCTCGCCGCCGCCGCACGTGTACTGCGACCAGTGAGTCTCCTTGCAAGTCACAGAACACCTTGCGGACGGCTGCATCGTCCTCCCGAGACTTCGGACCTGCCCAAACCTCGAGCTGTTGGCGACGAAAGCCCAATCGCCAAGTCGGACGCGTGGCGGCCATGTTGGAATGCCAAGGGCTGCAAGCTGAGGCACGAGCTTGACAAGGATGTCAAGGACGGCGATGCGAGTCCAGCTTCCAAGTTCACGAGCAATGCGCTGGCTACGCGCCGTAGACCTGCAAAAGATCAACGGACGCTGAGCCAATGAAGCGGCATTCAAGCCCGGAGGAGAATGGTGGAGAGACAACGAGAAACATCCACCACGGTGCCGCTTCAGTCGCACGCTGGAGAACCACGGAGCTGAGATGATAAGCTCAACGGATGCTCACCCGCACACTCTTGAGCTGCGTCTCTACTGCAACGACAGGACCTAAGGGCACTACACCATATTACCGCCCGAACCGCCCTTGCCGGCTTGCGAGAGAAGCCGCCGTCTCTCGCCTTGGAATGACGATAGAAGCTGCAGAGCCATCCGGAATCAGAGGTCATGCGGCAGACTTGAAGCGACGAGAGGCTGCCACGTCGACCTCCTCAGTGATCAAGATCCATCCCACAAGCAAGACCTTCCCGCGGCAGTACCACGGCATTTCGTCATACGCATATGCTTTACGACACTACTGCAGCGTGGAAGGGGTGACTGCTGATCGGTGTAGCTTGTGCAGCTTCCCGGTTTGGAATCCATCGTGCGTTTCGTCCGGAATTCACACCACACCTCTACGAATGAACCACCATGCCATACTACGATCGTCCGACTTTGATACACAATCGCGATCGCAGTGCGGTACACCATCGAATTCACACAGGCAACGTGTTGTTTGGATTGAGGACGCGTGGCATTGTTAGGGAGTAACGGTCTCTGGTCCATTGCAAGAGACTCGTTCCTGGAGAGACTTGAGAAAAGACGCATGAAACAGCATTTGATGAGCACTTCAGAGACACGAGGAGCGCCTGCTGGCTCTTCGACAACGCGGCGTGGGATCCGGCGTTGACGTGTGTCGAGAAGCCAGGGACGTCTGCAGTAAGAGAAGACTTGCAATATCAGGTGAGGATGAATATTCAATCGGACCAAAGACGCTACCTGAAGAATTGTTCTCAACACCCTCACTTTCCGGGGGAGCGTGCACGGCAAGTACGGTCAAAGATGACAGCACCTTCTCTTCTGCCTAACCCTTCTCATGTGATTGCCTCCACTCTGCGACTTCGCTTTCCTGTCTGTGTATTTCCGCGCCAATTCTGGCTACCTATGATTTTGAGACCTCCATAGCCATTCCTCTGGTGTCGAAAGCACCCCAGCTCACCAGACTTCCGAGATGTATACTTTCGACCACCACACCACGGCAGTAATACGCCTTGACTCATCAGAAGCCACACCGAGCAACCACAGCTCAACATATGATGCCTACAGCGCCTGCAGGTCGTCGAAATAGCACTCTTCAGATGGTGCAGGGACCGATGCTGCCATTCATCCATTCGCAACCATCAACATCCGCCGTCACTCGCCAACCAGAACAGCCGAACGGTCAATCGACAACTCACATGCGACGGAATTAGCCCAATATGCGACAGAAGACATACGGGTGGCCGCTTTGAGACGGCGGCGGTGCTTCTCGCTCGATGAGGTCCTCAACAGGTCCTCAGCATCCTTGCCTTATTTTGAAGAGTCGAAGGCCATGCATGTTACTATGCCGCCATACAAGCCGCCGGAACGAGTCACTACTCCAGAGGGACTGCCCAGCTGGCGCGGCCAAATATGGACGCCCGCTCCGCCAGCGCCTACGTTCTTCCGCCAGCTACGGAGACGTCTGAGCGGGAGCCGAACTCCTGCACAGACGGTTCGAATGTGGCGGCCTCCAGTCAGTGGATATGGCACGCCTTTTCCACGACCACCATACCAGCAGAACGTGCTCACAGGCTACACGACAGCACCACTTCATCACAGAGGACGGGCGGCTCTTGACTTTGACCTCGATGGCTCTTCACCGACTCGCGAGGAGAATCGACGCCGGCACAGTCAAAGCAATGGCCACAGTCCTACATCCACGCCGCCAGTCTCACCACTTACGGAGACTCCACCACCCACCAATCCGATCCGCCGCATGGCATCCTGGCGCAACAAACCTCTGCCACCTCTCCCCGTGCAAGCCGCGCCCGCTGAGTCTGAGCCTGGGCCCGCTCCTCGCCTTGCATTCGCAACAGAGCAGCCCGGCGCCGCTGCCCCTCGCCACTCCGTCATATCCTTCGCCGCTCGCAACCACATCCGCCACCATCGCCATCGCGTAGCGCGCGGCACCTGGCGGACACGGATGAAACGGACGAAATGCTGGCGCTGCGAGCTCGAGGCTCGGCGAAACAGATCGAGCGAGGCTTTATCCAGGTTCAAGAGGAAGTTATTCTGCGATGCGGATGCGTGGGAAGGGTGGTGGGATAGGCTGAAGGCGAAGATGAAGTGGACGTGTTTCTGCAGGTATAAGGGGTATGAGGAGGAGCGCGAGGATGAGGATGGGTGTGATGAGGGTGCTAGGATTGGTAGGGAGAGGGTGCGGCTGGGGAGGTTTGGAGCGATGTTGCGGGGAGCGGTGTCGGTCTGATGGGTGGGTTGTACGAAGGAATACCTGAGATGCTTCGACCTTATTTTTTGTGCGCGAGGTGCAGCCGGACTGTGCTACGGGTTATCTCATTTTGTACAGCTCTCTATCCGCTTGATTTTCACTCCACTTGCTCTCCGCAACACTTAGCTTGTCGCCCCTTGATCCGCGAAGCTGACTTGTGCTTTCCGCACTCTGGCCACTGTACAGCTGTACAGAAGCAGGAGGTTGCGCCCTCTCCGTCCGCGGAACATCCCATACTCTGAGTACTGACTCCACGGTGGAACCTTTGAGCGCCGTGCATTCCATCCCCTTCAAACGCCATGCCATGCCGCTAATCGTCAATACTGTACAGCCTTCTTCCAGCGCCAGCCATAAATCCAATCCTCTGGAGTACATCCTTCCTACAGCTTATGGCATGCCATCAGCGTTTCCTTCATTTCCGCTTATGAGGCCCAATGATTTTCGGATAGAATCTCGAAAGCGTCGAATTGATGTTGCTCTTCTGCTTGACGTGCGGTTTCTGTACGTCCCATTGCCATTAGCATAATCCATCTCATCACGAATCCGTCCACATCGTGTTTTCTCCAACAACGCACCTTCGTGTCCATACACGCCCGCAATTGCTGTTCTAACACCGCGCACCCCTGCGCCGAGTGTCCCTGAGACGCCCAGCAGGTGAGCATACTGCTCATCACGCCAATACATGGGTTGGGTTCCGCTTGGTCGGGCTTTCGCACTCGGAGTTTGGGGAGGGGTGGAAGTTTCGGAGAGGTCGCGGCGCGGGCGAGTGCCTGGGGGGAGGTCTTGCCGGCGACCATGTTGGGCGGGTTCTGGATGAGGGGAGAGCAAGTAGAGAGATGATGGTACTCAAATGGTCTTGGAGTGGTCGTTCACAATACGGTAGGCGATATGTCGGGGAGTTTCAGATCATGTGATTGGTGGCGATTGGAAACCACGCTTTGCCGCTTTGGTGTGTTTATTCGAGATTCGACTGACGCCAAACACACACTTCCTCCCAGAACTGCACGCGACGCATACATATTGCTGTCGCGCACGAGTAAAGATGGCGGAGGAGACATCAGTTGGAGACATTGATAATGCAGCAAGCATACCACAACAGAACGGCGCCTTCCATCCGCAATGGCAGGCAACCGACGCCGTCCAACTGCAACCCTCAAACCTCACCTTGTCCAAAGCAACGCGCGCGTGGGAGCGCAAACCTCTCAGTCCTTTCTCGCGACAACGCTTACGCGTGGGCAAGGTGTGGAAGCGACCTGCGAATTCTCTAAAGCCTGCTGCTTCAGATGGTGGAGTTGAGGATGAGAGCCGCTCGACGAAACGACGGAAACAGCAGACTTCGTTGCAAGGCGGGATGAAGCCGGTGAAGAAGATGTGTTTGGAGTCGAGCTTTGGGATGGGCGCGCGCGTGGTGGGGTGGGAAGGCTGTGAGAGCCCGGTGAGGAAGATCGTCACGCGGAGTAGGGCCGAGCAGGGCGGAGAGGAGATTGTTGCTTTAGCTGAGGAAGATGATGTGGGTGTTCGCGATGATGAGGTGGCAGTGGAAGACGAGAGGGCTACGATCGAGATACTGGATGAGGACGGCACGGTACTGGACGTGGATCCGGTAGATGGAGGGCAAGAGGCGGGATGGGAAGATGAGAATGAGGCAGGGGATGAGGATCATGCTGCGGATGCGGAAGATGACGAGCGAAGCGCAGTGACACAGCTTCTGGACGCGAATGAACATTCTGCGACTTCTACCGTCGATGATAATTCCATACCGGATGCTGCGGAAACAGCATCGCTCGACAGCAAGGTAGAAGAGGCTGCCGCAGTTGGCGATTTGGATGAGGGCAGTCTCCATGACATCGAATCCAAAGACGCGCTCGCGATCCAGCTCGAAGGGTCGTCAGTTGGAGGCGCCGCTTTGGAGGACAGTGACCGAGCTGTTGCTCGGCTTCCGCTGCCAACAGGCAGTAATGCCACTCTACCCGCCGGCTTTGTGTCTCCCGCAAAGAGACCTAGACCTATGAGAAGGATAGAGAAGTTGTTCTCTTTCGGCTCACGACGGCGAACGCTTCCCGTGCAATTTGCGCCCGTTCTTCCTGCAGACAACGCCTTGGGTCCGCAAGCAGACCAGCCGATATCAGCTGACACGAAGGATGATACCCAACAGCCCGGCGACGTGGAGGCAGTCGACCGCTCTGCGTTGGCGAACATGGACACAGCGTACGCTGAAACGTCTTCCGTGCAAGAAGTGAAAGGCACGGACCACGAATGGGAAGATGTTGAAGACTCAGGCTCTGGATCAGACGCGATGGACACAGACGAAGCTTTGCCATCTGGTGGAGAGGCTTTCGATCCTCCGTCTGACAGTTTTGATGAATTCGAGCGTGATGCTTTCGCCGCCGCCAGTTCCAACACCGCACCAGTCATCGATACTGCTTCCAGCAAGCTTCAGTCAAGCCCGACGCCTACTATCGAAGGTCAACACCCACGGCTGCCGCTCCGCAGATCTTCACGCAGAATGTCTACCAGCCCCATGAAACCAAGCTCCATCCTGCCTTCAGCCGAGAGATCGCACCTCATCGCTTTTACTCCGCTCAAGGGCGCCCTTCCCACCGATCGATCGTCGGGAGGACAACATGACACGACTGGTGCGGAATCAGAATACCGCCACCCACTATCCTCAAGTCCTCTCGAGCGCGCTGCGTCCGCTCCACCTGAGGAGCTGCAGATGTCGCCGCGGAAATCGTTTAAGCCACGTATCTCGGACGACACTGCACTTCTTCAGGCTTTCCTCAACCGCGCTGCTCAGAACAGAGGCTCTAGACGTATGTCTGCTACCAAGCAGGAGTCGTTGGAGAATCGCCGGGAGTCTGACGTTGTCCGGCATGCGCTTGCCAGTCCCACCAAACCTGACGTCCTGGCTGAATTGGACGCTAACAGCCCGTCGCCGCGGAAAGCAGTACGAAGTCACGATGCAGAGCAGCCCAGCGCACCCTTTAGCGAGAACGAGCCTCTCATCGACAATTTCTGGAACCGGGATGATGCTGAAGCGCAGAAACCCAGAGCAGAGCAAGAAGAGGAACAGCAGCCGCTCCTTGACGAAGAAGATGCCTCAAGCTCAGTCGGATCTCGCAGGAGGCGAAGCGGCCGGAACTCACGAAGGCAGCAATCAACGACACCTGGACCGAATAAGATCTCTATCAAGGGCAGCGCGTCTGAGGGCGTAGTCTTGAAGCGATCCGAGGCGCAAGAGTTGGCTCTGCTGACCAGGAACAACACGCGCAAGAATAAAGGCGGAAGCATATTGCCTCCATTACGATTGACGAAGATGGCGATGCAGTTTGGCAATCCCGACGTCGCGGCTGATGGAGCGGAGGATGACGCGATGGACACGAAACCTGAAGGAGCCAAAGGCGTGAGATGGGCGGAAACACTGGTGGAGTTTTCGCAGAATGGCGAAGTGAGCGACAGCAGCGTGTTGAGCGATGAGCTGAGCGCATCAACACAGCCAGAAACTGTCGACAAGGAAATGTCAGAACCCGATGCACCCTCGAACTCTGTAGCCACTCCTGCCGACGGTCTGGCTACCGCACCTCCGCCGTCAGAAACCCCAAGCAAGCCTAAGATTCGCAGACTCAGAGCACCACGCACAGCTGCGACACCTGGGAAAGCGCCTCCGCTTCCGTCAATCTCCACCGCTGTCGATGAGCCAACTACAGAGGACCAACAGGAACCAAAATCTGCGACAAGATCGGCCCCAACCAAACGTCGCTCCCGCATCGCTACACCAGCGAAAGGTCTTACCAACTCCTCTCTTCTACCAACCGATGTAGAGCCACAGCCCGCGGCCCCTGAATCGAGACCAGCGCCTGCGCCGTCAAACAAGCGGAAAGCGCCGGTCAGCAAGCTTCCTGCCCCAGCACCAGCGACTTCGGCCTTCACCAGCTCGGCGCTGGGTCAAGGCAAGGAGAACACGACTTCGTTTCTCGCGTCGCCGCCAAAGAAGAAGGCAATGGGGTTGCCGAGTTCTAAGGGTTTTGCGCCCAAGCTTGATCTCGGAGCTCAGACAAAATTGGCGCCTGCCACTGGAGCTGGTGGGGCCGGGGGTGACGAGGGCCCACCGCCAGGGCTGATGAGTCCGGCGAAGAAAGGTGGCCGGGGCAGACTGGCGAGTGGTTTGGAGAAGCCTGAAGGAGGGTTGGGGAAAGGTGGTGAGGAGCAGACGGAAAGAGGGCTGGGGCTCAGCAGTCCTGCGAAGAAGCGGACGAGGAGGGCAGTTTAATTGTCGGAACCTTGACATCGTCTTTTCCAGGTCGGCCGTTCGTGTTCCTACAAGCGAGTAGGCAGATATCTTCGGACCTTATACAGGCCAATATGTACATCGTGCTTCATTCCGCCTCGCTTCATCATCGGCCTTAATGACAGTGCGTAGAGCTCATCGTGCCACCAACAGCCAGTTTCTCACTGTTCAGCCCGGGGCAAATCCGTAGCATAGTCCCACGTCGTCTCCTCGCTTCTGGTGGAGCGACCTGAAGTGAAGTAGTAGCTCGGCCCATTCCGGCGCTAGCTGCTTTGAGACGCTTTCGGCAACCGCACCTGAAATTGTTCGCCAGAACGACCGCTCTACCCAGCACTAGCATATGATCACTCAGACCACAGCCATGGACGACGACGCAAGCCAGAAGCGCAAGTTCGACGGCGCCGCTGGTGGTCGGCCTCCCAAAGCCGCCAAATCGGGCGGTGGTGGCGCAAAGATGTCGTTCGCTCAGAAGATGATGGCCAAGATGGGGTATAAGGAGGGCCAAGGTTTGGGAAAGGAAGGGGAGGGCATGGTCAATCCGATTGAGGTGAAGTTGCGACCGCAAGGCGCCGGTGTGGGCACAATCAAGGAAAAGACCAAGCAGTATAAGGAAGAGCAGAAGCGGAAAGCGGAGCGGGAGGGCAAAGAGGTCGACGACAGCAGCGAGGAGGAACGCCGGGAGCGACGAGAAAGACGCAAAAAAAGTCAGCGGGGCGTGGGAGGCAGTGGAGCGGGCACCACACGTGGTGGACTGCCACGGAAGGCAAAGCCCAAGTACCGGACTGCTGCAGATGTAGAGGCTGCTGCGCCGGGCTTGGATGTGCCGGCGCAGATGTTGAGCTCCATCCTGGATGCTACCGGCGGCGAACAGAAGATGCGCACGAGCGCGGCCGGCCTTATGGTTCCGGCTGGTATGCCTACCGACTCCGAGGCCGACAGGATTACCAAGCGAGAACGCATGGAGCTTGAAGCATTCATTGAGGCATGGCACGGCATTCAAGAGCAGAAAGTCTATATCGAAGAGCACGAGGGCCAGCATCAAGTTGAACTGGATCAGACGATGGAAGATCTGGAGAAATTGCAACACATCACTGCAGCTGTTGAAGATCTCAAATTGGCGCCACAACAGCTGGTGGTCCTTAACAAGGATAAGCTCGACAAGTCACCATGGGCCACTCTCGTAGATAAGCTCGAGACCATACAAAACGATCACCTGCATGACATCGAACGGTACGGTCTCATTGATGCTGCGGTTGGCGCCGTTGCACCTGCCTTCAAAGAACGTTTAGCAGACTGGGAGCCTTTGGAGAATGCCGATAAGCTCGTTTCGGACCTCAACAGAATCCGAGTCATTCTTGGTCTTGATCAGCAAAACGAGCTGGCTACCGCAAGCCGGCACAAAAGTCTGGACGAGTCATACGGCAGGTCACGTCGCCAGAAAGCCACATCAACATACGAATCGTTGATGTACACCGTCTGGCTGCCAAAAGTTCGAACAGCTGTAACCCATTGGAACATCCTCGATCACTCTCCCATGACAGCACTTGTGCAATCCTGGCGTCCGCTGCTTCCGTCCTTCATCTTCGCCCACCTTGTTGATCAACTTATCGTACCAAAGCTCTCGTCGGGTCTTCAACAATGGGACCCCCGCAAGAGAAACCACCACCACAAGCATGCGACAATCAAGCATGCACAGCCGCACACATGGATCTTTCCGTGGTTGCCTTACCTACCTCCGTACCAGCTCGACCCCAAAGCATCTGCTGGTGGGTTACTCGTTGACTTCAAGCGGCGGCTTCGTCAGATTCTTGATTCATGGGACATCTCATTTGGTGTTCTGCCCGGTCTCACAGAATGGCGTGACTTGCTTCGATTGGAACTGGACCATGTCTTAATTCGACATCTCCTTCCGCGACTGGCTCTACATCTCTCTGCAAGGTTTGATGTCAATCCCTCTGACCAGGACCTTACACCTCTCGAAGACGTGCTCAAGTGGCAACCCTTGTTCAAGAGCGACGTCTTGGCTAGGTTACTGGTGGCTGAGTTCTTCCCAAAGTGGCTATCGACACTGCACATGTGGCTTACCTCTGAGGATGCCAATTTTGAAGAAGTCGGAGAATGGTTCCAATGGTGGAAGCAGCAGCTACCAGATCAGCTGTCGGATCATGCTGATGTCGCTAAAGAATGGGCTAAGGGTACCAAGATGATCAACGATGCCCTGGATCTGCTCGACCAAGACACGCCATTGTCGCGACTAGCGCCTCCTGCTGCCGGACCAGCGAAGCCAATTGCCAAGGACATTGCCGCGAAGCTTGACCGAAAAGAGCGAAAGCCGGTGGCAGAAGCAGTGGAAGCGGATTTCAAGGACGTTGTCGAGAGCTGGTGCGCCGAGAATGATCTTATGATGCTGGCAATACGAGAGCCACACCAAAGTACAGGCTTGCCACTTTTCCGCATCACCGCAAGCGCGACCGGTAGAGGAGGTGTGGTGGTCTACTTCCAGGCCGATCTGGTGTGGGCACAGAAGAAAGGGGAGAAGGGAACTTTCGAGCCTATTGGACTGAACGAGAAGCTTGCCGAGAGAGCGGAAGGTCGATAAGGAAGCTCTACGGAGCTATCTGCCAGCGTCGTGTCACTGCTGCACGTCTGCTGGCGTTTGTATTTGAGGTGAGACTCCCTGCTATGCTCAAGCGGATGGTTCAAGCTGGCGCCGGCTAATTGAAGATACGGTGGTAGAGGAATATCTAGGTGACAATGGCCTGGCTGGGAGCGATTTGAGGATTCCCACATGGAGACTATTACCATAATTTCGATTGTCAAAGACGATAGACACCTCCTACGACTTTGACTGCTTCTTAATCTCTGCGCAAACAGCATCGGTGACCTCCTTGGTGTTGGCGCTGCCTCCAAGGTCTCTGGTGAGGACACCATTACCGCACACAGTCTCCATACAGCTGATGAGACGATCCGCCGCCGCTTCCTGTCCCAGCCATCTGACCATTTCAGCGCAAGTCCAAAATGTGCCGACGGGATTGGCTACGCCTTTGCCAGCGATATCGAACGCGCTGCCATGAATTGGTTCAAACATGCTTGGGTTCTCTCGCGTAGGGTCTAAGTTGCTGGTGGGCGCGATTCCTATGGATCCAGCGAGAGCAGCGGCAAGATCGGAGAGGATGTCGGCGTGCTGAGTGGCATCAGGGTTAGTAAGAAACCATCGAGGAAAGGAAGACAGCGGTGCCACTCACAAGGTTCGTAGCGACTATGGTGTCCAAAGTATTTGGTTTGAGCACCATTTCGCACGTCATGGCGTCAACCAACATCTTCTTCACCGTGACGTCTGGAAAGTGTTTCCCAACTTCCTGCGCGATCTCATCCCACATCACCATCCCGTTCCGTTGGGCATTACTCTTCGTCACGACGGTAAGATGCTTCTTCGGCCGCTTCTGCGCCGTCTCGAACGCGAAGCGTATCAACCTCTCGACGCAGTGTCGAGTGAAGATGGAGACCTCTGTGCTCGTCTCCCAGGGCATGCCTCGGTGAGAACGGCCGCCTTGTCCGGCATACTCGCCTTCAGAATTCTCCCGGATGATGACCCAATCCAGGTCACCGGTGTGCGCATTGCGAAGGGGAGACTGCGTTCCTTTAAGGATCTTCGTCGGACGCACGTTGGCGTACTGCTGCAGTGGCTGACAGATAGCAAGTCGGAGGCCCCAAAGCGAGATGTGATCTGGTACAGACGGGGCTCCAACGGCGCCGAAGAGGATAGCGTCATGCTTCTTCAAGCTTTCGAGTCCGCCGTCGGGGATGTACTGGCCGCGTTTGAGATATGTTTCTGAGCTCCAGTCGTAGTCTTCGAATTGGAACTTGAAGTCTGATACCTCGCTCAATGTTTTCAGGACTTCTACGCCGGCGGCGATGACCTCTGGACCGATTCCATCGGCGGGTATGCAGGCGATGCTGTAGGTTGAAGTGCCATTGGTGGCATGGGGAGACATTGTGGTGGCCGTCTTTAGAATTGGATCCGAGCAGTATTTCAAGGAATTAATTGGTCTGTCGGTGGACTGGACGTGGAATATATGTACATTTGACTCGGCAATTGACGGTTTGAGATGGCCTGCAACGCCGAATATGATGAACGGCTTCTAGGTTCGGGTTGTTTTGGGTGTACGCTGCCGCTCCGCGATCGGACTATGATTCTAGACAGAGATGTATGCTAAAAACCATCTCTTTGACCCCTCCGATATCTACTGACTGCCATGTTTGTGAGAGCCTTGGTTCTTTTGCGATCGTCAATGGGTTCCAGTGATATTAACTTTTGTACAAAAGTATGCTACAGAGCTTTTTCCACGTCAGCGAACCGAAAGTCATCCAGTATTCTTCCGCTATCACACCCGCTCATGACGAAGTCCAATACCAGCAAGCTTCCCCTCAACACCAGCAGTGAAGATGAGTCTCTGTCCATTCCGCATCCAAGCTTCAAAGCCACTTAGAGACTCTTCCTCCGGGAACTCCTCAAACACCGGCAACGCTGTATCCGGATACGTCGACCATGTCCCGTAGAATTCTTTCTTCGAAGACCATGTCGGCAACTTTCGCCGCATCATGCAGTAGTAGAAGTACAGCACCCGGCACAGGCTGTGGACACGATACGCAAACGCTTCCTTGCCCTTCGTGTCCGGCGTGTTGCCTCCGTCGCCCAGAAGAGTCCACCAGGAAATTCGCCATCGAAGAGTCAATAGCACGAGCCCAAGCTCGCGGACAAACTTCTGGACTTCGCTGGCACTCAAAGTCGACCACTCGTTGAGCACCTTTTGCAAGTAGCTGTATGCGCTGACCTCCAGCTTTCGACATACGATCCGAGACAGTTGGGCGGCCATGATGACGACGGCGCGGTCAGTGCTGTCTTCAACGTCCATGTCCTCCTCTGTGGATGACTGGCCTCTTCGAACGTACGAGTAGCTTGCGCGGCTCGGCATATTACCCCAAATCGAGAGGCATGCCTGCAAATGCGTCAGTCAAGGATGTATCATTCGCTCTGATCCTATTACAAACCATCAAGTTTTCTAGTGGGTTGGACTCGTCGACGCAGTCCTCCCACTGTTCAGCCTTCAGAACCTCGCAATCGATGAACTCACGATGATTTCGTCGAGACACCGCTAGCTTCTGTCGAATTGCAGAAAGATACCCATGGCACTCAGCCAGATTGAGGACGTACAACGAGCCGCTCGCTTGCCGTACGCGGACATCAAAACTTCCCTGAAAAGAGTGCAGCGTCGCCAAGAGATCGTCGAGATCAAGCATCTCTGGCAGGTCGATTCTGACACGACGTGCTCCATCGAGCGTGAGATGGTTCACCGCACGCTGGGCTGCACCTATAATCAGTGGGGGCGCCGTCATCTCGCGAACAACAGGACGCACATATGTAATTACATGTTCCACTCTCAATGATGCTCAAGAAGCTGGCTTTCGTGCATGGTTGCTGCCATTTTGCCGTCAGGCCGGCTTTTAAACAACGGACACATGGACCTTCGTCGAGCGTACGAATGCACTGCTTAGGTCAGTCTACGTCGAATGATGTGTAAATCATGAAACACTGACCGGCTGCTTGTCTTTCGTGCAGCGAATGCACCGAGTTTTGTTTCGCCTGCACATCTTCGCGTTCTCTCTTGCACCCTCCGCCAATGGGCCATTTCGGCGACCCTTGGCTGGCCTTGACGGTGGTGCACGGCTTCGATCGCTGCCGCTCTCTTGGACGAAGGTCTAGGCCATCATACTGGAAGGTTTGACATAGGAGTCATCACTGTGTCTGCGTGTTCGAGAGTGCAGCTCAACTTGAAGCTCGCTCTCCTCAGAGCGCTCTGTCGGGAGTGGTCGCTTTCGGGAGCTTGAGCTTGAAATTGTTGGTACAGAGCGCCGTCTCAAAGCGGACATTGGATCTTCAGCAATGTTGCATGCAACGACATTTTCTGGCGGAGGGCAATGAAACTGATCTGCCCTGTCTTCACAAAAAGTCCTGGCGTCTGCGTCATTCGACTGCTTTGCCCAGATACTAAAGTCGGTGGTGATAGACGGAGGATTCACCAATCCTGGAATGTGCCATTGCCGCGAGAGCCTAAGAGGGTCGGGTGTAGGAGCGTGTATGATCCCACTGGTGGGATCCTCGTAATGCTGTGTAGTAGGCAAACTGAACTCGTCCATCGATGCCAATTGACTGAACAAGTCGAAGTACCCATCGTACTGGACAGCTCCGATATCCGTACTCCACGGGTAGCAGTCGCTCAGGTCTGTAACCACTGAAGGTTGATCTAGTCTTGACCAGGGTCCTGTAACTCGAGTGGCAGCCAAATAATCGTAATAAGAACCATCGATAATGGCCAGTGCAGGCTCGCGTATGAAATGAGCTATTCTGAAGTCCTGGGCATCTTGTCTGGCCAGAGAGCGGCCGAGGTAATGCTGTGATCTCTGAAATGCCTCTGCGTTGCTAGCACCTGCATCTGGGCCACCCGCTGTATCCGTGGCTATGGCAAATGGATATGCAGCCGTGCCGCACACTTTACCGGAGACGCCACGAGAGGCTTCGAGCTGCTGGTCATCGCTGTCAAGACTCTCTGTGGTCTGTGTATGGCCACAGCCGGCTTGGTCTCTATCATGTTCGCTGCTGGGGTAGTTGCTGCGCAAGGCTAGAAGTCTCGGGTCGATAGTACCGTCAGAGCTCAGCATGATCACATCTTGGCGAGTCCATAGTTGACATGGATAAACGGGGAAGATTGAAGAAATTCAGTTTCGCGACGACCTGTGGTGGCAGAGTTGAAATATCTATCAGCGGATGTTATTGTGGAATCAGCGTCGTGGTGTTGGGAGCAGTCCATGCTCAAGAAGTTGGCAAAGGTGAGGCTCATGCTCCAGCGAATGAAACACAAGACCGCTGAGCGTATTCGGAATAGTTTGCTGATGCCTTACGCCTGCCGACCTTGTCACGAGAGGATTGGTCCTTTTTCACTGACAAGCGGTCAGAGCCGAGATCGATATAGGTACTCCAGGCAAAGCCTCTGGGTCGAATGTGCTGCAACGCGAGTCTGTGCCGTTGCCTCAGAGCCTTGTGAAGAAGATCCTGCCTCCAACGATGCAAATCTTGGTAAGTCGAGCAGGATATCATCATGAGTACAACGCAATGCTGACCCGAAAAGGTCGTCAACGATGACGGCCCACCTTCAGGGGTCTCACCATACTTCCTACCCTTCGTAGAAGCCTTGCAATCGCATGGCCACGGTACTCACGTCGTCATACCTGACAAGCCACTGTCCTGGATTGGAAAGGCTCATGCGTTCGGCAAGTCTTTGACAGCACGCCACGTCTGCCCTTCAACATACACCCAGAGCCAAAAGTGCTCAGCAGATGATCAACCGGAGTGCATCAAGCACAGCTGGACCGTCTTGGACGGCTCTCCAGCTAGCTGCACGCAGATTGGACTGTTTCATTCTGAATGGTTAGCTGAGGATATCGACCTTGTCGTATCTGGCCCAAATCACGGCAGAAATGCGTCCACTATCTACAACCTTTCAAGTGGAACTGTTGGCGGAGCACTCGAAGGCGCTCTGTGTGGGAAAAGATCGATCTCCTTATCATTCGGCAGCAAAGATCCCCAGCCTGAAGCGATTGTCGGGGCGGCGTGCGACAGGGCAGTCAGTTTGATCGAAATGCTCTATCGACGCTGGGACCCTGAAGTCGAGCTGTACAACATCAACATCCCCATGATAGAGACGATCGATAAGTGCCCAGCTGTCTTCACAGTGCCGTGCCCCACGTATTGGAGCAGGGGCAGTCTGTTTGCGGAGGACAAGTCCAGTTCGAATTCATTCGAACGCCAGTTCAGATGGGCCCCAGAGCTCTCCGAAATCCAGCAAGCAGCGAAGCGAAGCTCCGAGGGAGAGGACCTTTGGCCCTCACAAAATGGCGTCATTTCGTAAGGTGCTCTCCGGGGCCTTCAACAGAATCCAAGGCTAATTTGGTACAGGATCACAGGATTTCAAGCAAACTTTGTGGTCGCAGGGCAGACAAGGGGGCAACCGCAGGAGGAGTGAACGCAGAGCCAATGCAGCCTCAGTTCCAATGCCAATCTTCGCGCTGTTGGATGTGCTGTTAGTTAACGTGTGCCAAGGTGGTAAGCACGAGGCAGCCACATGTTGTATGCTAGCCGTAATGGTCAGCGATCATGTGACAGGTGACCGATTGGGGAAGTACCAGATACTTGTGTTGGGTGTTCAAATATACCAGCCAATGCCTTCCGTGCGTCCAGCTGTTCTAAGTTGACTGCCCCGTACAAGTGGTCTGAGTGATCTATTTCGTCCTAGAACATTGCTACTGGAATGGCCCATTCGCCAAGGGTGTCAGCAACTGAACCACAACAATTGAGTTGCTCCTTTAGCGAAACCACCTCATATCTTCGGACTGGTATGATACATATCCACCATAATTTTGGCGAACATTGTCGGCCCTCAGTGCAACCACCCGTTCAAAGACGGTCTTTCTCCGCGCCAGAAATCACCCATGCCCTGTCCCCACCGAGTCTGCCGTGCAATGGCTTGCTCGACAAAGCTGCAAGACTCTCTCAAGTACAGTCTAGCAACAAAAGGCCATATACCTCGTTGATTGCATGCAACGGTACGTCTGAAAGTCGAGAGACGCACGCTTAACTCGGCTGACCAAGGGCTAGATCATCCTGTCGATGACCGGGTTTGGAAGGACCCCAGTTCTCTTACCTCTTCTCTATACCTTGAGCCGGCTTACGACCTGGAAGTTTTCGAGCTGGAGCTTCCCAAGGATGGGGGTGACGCATGGAGGAGTCCTGATATGCTGTCAGGCGTTGGAGGGCAGTTTGATGTTCTGGAGTGTTGATGAGCTGCGACTGTCATTGTGGAGCCGGTTTAGACAACCAGCACGTTCCCTTCTGGTGTCCTGATTGCTGGTACATATGGTGGGATGGTCGTTAAATGTCATACCGATGAGTTTGGCCAACACATCGTGTCGAAGAGCACAAAGGGACAATAAGGAGTTTCCAAAAGCCAAATCCACACAACCAAAATGGAATAGTCTGAGCGCATGGGCCATCACGACAATGACATGTCCATCGTCATCAATCACCGCTAGCTTAAGTATATCTTTCCAACTAATGCAATAATGGAGAACTGCATCCGCAAAGGATGTTGCAGCGGAACAGTATCACCAGATTGCCGAAAATGACTAGCTACTCTGCCGCCATCAAATCATCACTGGGATCACAGGACAGCAGCACGACGAGCCAGGCCGGCACCGTCAAAGGCAGTTCAACTCGCCAAAACATAAGTTCGACTACCACAAGAAGATCTCCTTCGCCTTCTCAACAACCAAAAAAGGCCACTCAAGACGAAGCGGTCTACATCCTGACCATTTTGACCGATCAACCGCACCACGAGCGCATGACAGCACTTCGGAAGAAGTACTTCCCTCGAAAGCTGAACAAGCTCGACGCCCATCTAACGTTGTTTCACGCCTTGCCCGAGGGTAGACTCGAGGGCACTATCCTTCCGACCATTCGGCAAGTTGCGAGTCAGACGGAGCCGTTTAGCATCAACGCCCGAACGCCTGTTCAATTAGGCAAGCATGGAATAGGCATCTTTGTGCCACGAGGACAGGGTGGCGACCACATCGGCCAAATCCATGGTGCTCTCAAGGAGCCGTGGAAGCGAGAGGGTTTCCTGAGCGTGCAGGATTCGGGGGGTGTCAAGGCTCATTACACGGTAATGAACAAGGTGGACGACGAGGCTGAGGTAGAGGCTGCTTATGCGGAGCTCAAGAAGAGCTTCTATGGAGACGAAGGGACGGGAGAAGGAATCGGCTTGTGGAGGTACGACCGGGGGTGGTGGAAATGGGTGGATGGGTTCAAGTTTGGAGCGTAACAGTTTTCTCATGCCTGTCTGAAGGACTTCCTCCGATCTGAGGCTGCCTCTTTCGATTCCCGCTCCCTCGGGCCGACTCTAACGATTTCGGCGCGTGCGATTGTGCTTGATGATCCACCGTTTCCTGACTTCGGTCACTGGGAAGTTGCGGCAAGAGCATGCCAGGCTCAGCGAGTCTTCTTGGACATTCTGTGCCTCTTGCTTGCTCAAACGGCTAGCGCATGGTTTTTGTACACCCATGCCAGTACCTCTTTCGCAACAGCTTTGTGCTGCTGTTCTGCATGCTCGGCCTTGACCAAAACATCAAGCGCAAACAAAATCAAACATTGTCCCACCACTTGACCTTGTTGGGTCGAAGCTTGAGTCGGACCTCCGTGGCTCAATGAGGTGTCCATGAAGCCAAGTAAAGGCGGCAGAGATCGGATGATGGATGAGCAAAGAGCGTTGATCGCCGTTTCCTCCCATCTGATACGATCATCACCACCAGAGTCAGCGTCACCGCCATTGCCGTGAGTGGCGATAAAGCGGATGACCGAGATCAGCGCCTCGCGAAGCAGGACTTGCGCAGCTGCGTGAAAGTTCCACCCAAACGCTATCCAAGTGTCCGGGTACACCAGAATGTTCATGCTGGAGAAATGGGCAAACGGATGACCGACCGGATACAGGTCTGCTTGCTTTCTCGCAGGCGATGAGGGCTCGGATGACCGTGGTCTCCATAGATGACTGGAGGCCATCTCTAGCGTCTCCGCGTGTTTCACCATCGATTGCAGGGAATGGCGCAGAGCCCTCGCGTGTTCGAGACGCTCTTTTATCTCTTCATCCGTCGTGCCATCGCCGCTTTCGAGCACCGTGTGGGCTTCCGCACATAATGTTGCTATTCGATATGCGTCTTCGTAGATTCTCACGTCTGGACGGTCAGCGTCCAGGTGGCTCAACAGTTCCTGCTGGACTGGATGCGGATATTCTTGGCGGAGTAATTGTCTCGAGAGCAGCCGATGAGAGGCGATCGAGCACAAGCCGAAGCCTAGCCTGCTGAAGAGTTGGGTGTAGCCGCGCAGCTGGAGTATAAGGCCGACTGCTTGGCCATGATCGCCCAGTGGCTCTGTTCGTCCGAGGTATACTGTCTGCGCGCTGTCAGTAGTTTCTCCGATTCTAAGAAGGGACTGTGCATCTGCCGCACAGATCTGTTGCCTCGATGCACAATTTGCTCACCTCGAAGCTATCTATCAATAGCAAAGACGCGAATGTACTGTCGTTCGCTAACTCTTCGCCGTTTGCTATTGACGCCCGGATGCCTCGCAAAGCTGCGCCGTAACTCCTCCTTGCCCTAACAGAGGACGTTGCACCATTCCAGAATGCAGCCTTCAGGTCAGCGAAAGCAATTGCTCGAACGGCATGCCACAGGGTAGACTCCGCAGGCGAACTGTGGTACAGCACAGGTAGGAAGTCCATGTGACCAGGAGAGGCGCCTCCTCCAGCCAGAACCCAGTTGATGAAGAATCGCTCCACGGCCCTGCATTCGGGGTCTCGCTTTAACGGCTCAGGGAGATTGGCGAGTGTCCTAGCATTGAGCCATGGATAGAGGCTCTTCCAATCAAGATTGGTGTCTGTCTCTCCGGGTGAGCTTTGCCGCCACACCAAGGCCGCAGATAGGTCTCTTGGCGGCGTACGAGCACCTTTACTACCACGTGCTCGCTGAGAGTTTCTCCTGGCGACTTCGTTCTCGTTGAAGAAGCTGAATTTGGGATCGGAAGAAGGAAACTCGCACTTTGTCTCCCGCTTGGCACATCTGCCACATCTCGGCCTGGAAAGGTCGCACTGGACAAAAATCAACCAATGTGCTCTGCACTGCACAGGAAGGGAATGGAAGTACCTTGATTTTGGACGCCTTGCACTGATTACAGGCACGAGAGGCGGTCATGTTTGGAGTGTGTCGGGCCCGAGTGCAAGCCTACCTTCGGCAGACATCATGGAGTGTGTTGTTGGCAAGCAGTGCAGGGGACAAGAAACTACGGAGAGTCCTCCAGGTGAGTGGCCAACATTCAATACAGAGGTCATTCCTATTCTGGTCTTGCAGGCCGAAATGTCGTTGGGTGTCGGAGTAGTCCCAGCGAGAGACCGTGTTGTTACTAGCGGCGGAGCAGGCCGTGTATCAAAGCTTGTTTGGCTGCTCTTCCGTCTTCACCTCCTGGTCGTCGAGCGATTTCGCCTGTCGGGGGCTGGTGTCAAACCTGCGCGACAGAGATGTCCGACCAAAAGAGATGACACATGCTTCGAGCGATCAGAGCTTCGTTCACGACGGCGGCTATACCTGGCCGAATCTAGGACAAATTGCCACACCAGCAGGCATAGCAGCCGCATATCTACCCTTGCTTTGATCATCCGGCCAGACCTTGAACCTGCTCAGCTTCGGCCACCACCGACTCCCAGTCGTGCCTGCGTCTCACAAATTGCTCGATCGCTGGCTTCGGAACCAGGTCGAACAACCCCATCTTGATGACTGCCTGCCAATCAGCTTCCTGACGGTCGCGCTCTGACAGCGCTCTGACGTACACTTGCTCTCCGGTACGGCGTCTGAAGTGCTCATCACTGGACAGCCACATGCTCCACAGAACCAACGGCCCATGGGAAAACCGATTGTAGTGTCGTGGTCCACCCACTCCTTGGGCTCTCCCTCAACGACGACATCCTTGTGGGGTACAGGTAGGAAGCAGTTCCCCACACCGCCGCTCTGCTTCCGGCAGTTCAGGCAGTGGCAAAACAGATTATTCTTGAGAATATCGTCATTGGCGATTGTGACGCGGATGGAACCACAGTTGCATTGGCCAAAGAACGACATGTCTCCTCGTGCTGGGGGAGATCCTTGAGAGATCAGAAGACGGTCGGAGAAGGTAGGTGGCCACTTCCGCTTTGTAAGATGAAGGTGATTCGGGGTATAAGCAGTTCTCGGCCGGCAGGGGGAGGAATCGATGCCCGAGTGAAGATCCTATAATGGAATTTCCTTGCGCTCCTCTCGCTCGTCACCATGATTGGTGGCAAGTGGCTGCTGCGGCTGAAAGATACTGCTGATCAAGACAGTCGTCCGCTGAACGATCGGTCTTAGGGAGCTTTGCACTGGTCCAGACTAGACTTGGAATCACAACTGAATCGGGTCTATTCGAAACAGCATGCCCACGATATCACCCTTGGCTACTGAAGCAGAATCAGAGCATACTCCCACATCCCGGCTGACGATGCCTTTCGCGCCATTCTGATTTAAGCCGCCCTTAACCTTCCGCGCTGTCTCCACCAGCAAACCTCCTGTCAGGAAGATTGGCTGGCTTCTCGTAAAACGCCCTTTCCCGATGTCGTCGAGCAACTCCTTGGTTCGTCCGTCATTCTGTGCAGCGTCGTACTTCTCTCGGTCGTCGAATTGAAGCACACCACTGAGATGGTGTCCAGAAGATTCGTCCATGCGCACGATTGATCGCAGCTTGAGGCTGTGTGGTGCCCAGATTTCGATCGTCAACGGAATGTGGTGTTTCGTGTATTAATCGTAGTCAAAGCTTGTGCCCTCGGTTCGAGGGTAGAGGAAGAGGACGATCGCTTTGTAAGTCATGTTGGAAGGGCAGTCGAAAATGCTGGCAGTCTACACTCTTTGCAGGAGATTTGATTGTCTGGCGTTTGAGTAGAAGAGGTCGCAGAGTATGTGGGTCATGGTATGTCACTTCATATCTGAATCTGCATGTCCAGCGATTCTGAGCATCCAGACCTTTGATCCTTCTTCATTGGCAACATGGTACGTAACGATTGGCTGTCGTCGAGCTGGCACCCAAGTGCTCACCTGAGCGCAGCACTAAACACGCGAGAGTATGCTGGCAACCTGGAAGGCTTGTACCGTTGCTTCGCACTGCTAGGTTCGAGCGATGACGAAGCAAGCTTGAACAGCTTCTCCTGGGAGAATGGACATGAAGGCAGCGGTGTCACGGTCCATGACCCAATCAAAGCAGAGCCGGCTTGGAGACGTACCCAGATGTACATTCAGCTCGCCCATGCCAAGCACGTGGTCGGTCCCGAGATTCTCGAAGAGGCTAGCGGCATCGCAGAGGGCGTATGAGTTGGTCAGAAAGGCCTTGAACGCAAGCTCAAACACGACTTCGCGGGGGAGGCACCTCGTCACCTACTGGAGAGCTCCTGGCATGGCGTCCCTTCTATTGCTGAACCATCATGCCGCATCTCAGCTTCCTGGCTGACAAACACCTGCCAGCAGCAAGCATGAAGCATTTCTCGATGATGTTGAACACGTATAAGGCAATCGAGAGGGCACCATGAAGTTCGTGGACCGTTCGTAAACCCGACGGACCATTCTGCCGAAGCTCTTTCATACAAACACCATGGGCATACCAAAGACAATGAAGGCTCTCCAGCTGACGGAGGTAGGCTGTTTATTGACCGTCCCAGCGACTTGCGCTGATTGATGCCTGCTCCAGTTCAAGCAAGACAAGTTCGAGCTGAATGCAGTCCCGATACCTTCCATTGGCGACAATGACCTTCTGGTGAAGATTGGTGCTGCCGGGTTCTGCCACACAGACTATCAAGTAGGTAAGGTAGATAGATGAACGCGTTTCCTGTGACACGATCAAGCTCCGTGTCGACTAGCTTATCCCGGCCATTGCCCCGAGATACCTGCTGACGCCAGTTCTCACCACAGGTGTGGGAAGGCGTCTACGGCTCAAAGCTGCCGCAGATCCCTTCTCACGAGCCAGCCGGTATCATTGTGTCAGTTGGTGCCCAAGCTAAGGCAAAAGGCTGGGAGAACGGCCAGAGGGTTGGTGTGATGCTGTTCAAACATGCGTGCCGTAACTGCGTTGGCTGCGAGACGACATCCGACGTCCGATTCTGCAAAAACGTGGTGATTGAAGGCCTCACAACCGACGGAGGGATGGCCGAGTACATCATGGCCGGTTCGAGATGAGACCCAAGTTTAGCACCCGGATGGACTAGCTGACAACAGGCAGATGCTGATGGGACGGTCCTTCTGCCGGACGATGTTCCATTTCACGAAGCTGCACCATTGCTCTGCGCTGGAGTGAGTAGTCGATCAGAGCGCCGTGTTTGTTTGGAGCTGACGGATCTTGTAGGCGACAACCTGTATGCTCTGTCTTCCGCTGCTTGCACCGGGCGGGGATGCTGACCGAAAGCTCAGGGGGAGCGCTGAAGGCTTCGGGGGTCACAGGGCCCGCTCCAGTCGGTGTTCTCGGGATTGGAGGCAGGTTCGAAGACTTTGCAATGCTTCCTTAACTGCGATTGCCCTTCTAAATCCAAGAGACCTACTAACACTTGTGTCTCTGTCCAGGACTCGGAATGTATGCCGTTCAGTTCGCAAAAGCCCTCGGCCACCCCGTGGTAGCCATGAACAACCGCGAAGAGGGCCGCACGCTGGCAAAGGAGTTGCCTTTGCCTGCGGATCGGATCATCGATTACAATGACCCAGAAGCCGTATCTAAGATCAAAGACTGGAGTGGAAGAGATGGTCTTGCAGCTATCTTGGGTTGCACCGACAATGTCGAAGCGAACGCATGGTGCCTGAACACTCTCCGACCTCACGGTGTCTGTGTGCCCGTAGGACTTCCGGTGGATCCAGGCTTCATGTTCTCTGCGTTCAAGCTGAACTTCTCGGAGTTGGTAATCAAGGGCTCGCTGGTGGCCACAAGGAACCAGGTCGAGGATATGATGCAAGTGGTAGCGAAGCACTGCATCAAGGGACATGTCACCACTGTCACAATGGAGGAAGCGGTGAATCTGCCAAAGATGTATTTGGACTCTCACTTGAAGGGTCGGCTCGTGGTGAAGCTTGAGTAACAGAGATCGTATGGATGTTGGTGCCTTCGCAATCACCATCGTCCAGATTGACCATAGCCACACAAAAATTCGGCAGTGAGCGCTATCGCCATGAAGGTCTTCCCGCCAACCTGTTGCACAATAGAGAGGTCGAGTCGTTTGTCCCAGCCGTCCCAGCCCCTTATGCCAAGCCTGCTTCACGTGGCAACGCTAGCGTGAAGCTAACCCGCCTTCCAAATTCCCGGGAAAAACTTCGCACGAGGCAAGATTCCGCTCCCTCTCACGTTGCGGATAACGACACAGGAGCACAACCACACCTACCACCGCTACGAACTCACGTTGATGATGACGAACCTCCAATCAATCACTGTAACACTGCGTCCGAACGTTTGGTGGCATGCACGCCTTGCAGCGCCGTCCTCATCTAACCAGCCGCAATACGAGTTCCCAGCCTCCTCTCTCTATCCAAACAACGCCTTGTTGTTCAACTCTAACCACACAATACAGCCATGTTCCAGCCGCGTGTGAATCCCGCATTGTGTTATTCGGGAGGCCAGAGTTCTACTACCGCCTTGACAGTAGGTATATCTTCATCGTACTTCTCTCAGTGGTCACCTTCTCTCTCATCACACCATCTTCTCTCTCTGCAACCACTCGCTACACACTCACTCTTCACACAGTCTTCACAGCAGAGAACTCTCCAAGATGCATTTCAAAGTCCTCACGATCTCCACCGTGGCCGCTTCGGCTGCCGCGCTCCCTCAATGGGGCCCACCGTCCGGTCCTCCTTCGGGTCCGCCTGCCGCGCCGGAAATGGGCCCTCCCTCTGGGCCTCCTGAGGGACCATGGCAAGGTCCCCCATCCTTCCACGGACCACCTGAGGCTCCTGCTCCAGAAGAATCAGAAGGATGGGGTGCTCCCGCATACTCTACACCTGCCTCAAGCACGCCCTTCGAGACGACAACATCATCGATCTACACGCCACCCCCGCCGCCTACGAGCTATCCACTGACATCTTCATCCTCAATCCCCCCACCACTTCCGGTCTCGAGCTCATCATCGGTTCCACCACCGCCGCCGCCTCCGGAGACCTCAACCACTCCCTGCGAGACTACCTCCACCTCATCAATCCCGATCTACACTCCCCCACCACCACCAGAGACGACGTCTTCCTCGATCCCGCCACCCATGCCGGAGAGCTCTTCTACGCCTTGCTTGACCAGCAGCAGTTCGATCCCTGTCTACCCGGTTTCGTCCTCTACGCCATGCCCCGAGAGCAGCTCATCGGTTCCGGTGTACCCCGTTTCCTCTTCGACGCCATGCCCTGAAAGCAGCTCGATTCCGCCAGTCTATCCAGTCTCGTCTTCGACGCCATGCCCAGAAAGCAGTTCCTCGGTGCCGGTGTACCCAGTTTCCTCGACGCCTTGCCCTGAGAGCAGCTCGATTCCGCCAGTCTATCCAGTCTCGTCTTCGACGCCATGCCCCGAGAGCAGCTCGATCCCGCCAGTCTACCCGGTTTCGTCTTCAACACCATGCCCTGAGAGCAGTTCCTCGGTGCCGGTGTACCCGGTTTCGTCGTCGACACCTTGCCCTGAAAGCAGCTCGATCCCCGTCTATCCGGTTTCGTCCTCGACGCCTTACCCTGAAAGCACCTCTTCGGTTCCGGTCTACCCCGTCTCATCTTCGACGCCTTGCCCAACGAGCTCCTCCTCCATCCCGGTATATCCAGTCTCGTCTTCGACTTCAACTCCATGCCCGGAAACTTCCAGCATCGTCATCCTTCCTCCATACCCCGTCTCTTCCAACAGCAGCATCCCATGGGCACCGACCGCGACCGGCACGCCATGCGAGACCACCCCAACGCCCTCGGGAGTGGCCCACCCTACGACTTTCAGCTGGAGCAAGACCACTCCAAGCGCCTCTCCGTTCGCGCCATGCACTCAGATCAAGGACGGGCAGCCGCAGTGTCCTACCGGCAAGCCAAGCATGTCACCTGTCCCGGCTACTGGTGGAGCCGCGGGTGTTGTTGTGCCTACGCTCGGATTTGGCTTCTTCGTGATTCTGGCTGCGATGTTCTGATCTGGAGATATGAAATGTCTTGGGCTGGGCTGGAGGGAGTTATGAGATTGATGATTTTGCTCGGACATCACGATGTTTATTATATGGATATGACTTATGCTTAGGTGGATGGCTGCTTGGGAATTGACGGGAAGCGGCGGTTTATGCGTTGCAGCGATATGAGATACTGCTACCACTAGCAGATAGACTAATACCTAATATTAATGAACATGATACAACTCACAACACCGTCCTTCACCATTCTACTCTTCTGTTGTAGACTTATCCTCCCGTCTCTACTTGGGACCTCCAAGGCAATTGTTTAGACATCTGCGACTTGTGATTCCGTATTGCCTTTTCAGAGAGCTGCGAAGATCCGTGAAGAATGCAAGGCCTGATGCTATAAAGTAGGAGGTATGGGCGATGTATTCAGAAATCTAGAGTGCTTGGCTGAAGGGTGAGTCGGTTCCGCTTTCGGCCTCAAGCCGAGGGTTTGCTCTGACATGTGCGCAACTTTCGTTCAACCACATCACACCTACTGCCAATGCACGATCCACCGCGCGAGACCACGGGGACCACCTCAAGATGACGAGAATATCATAATACGGCCTGTGGGTACAAGTCTACCGCCACTACCCTATCCTGCGACGGCTGCGACGCTGGCCGCACGCCCACCACAAGGCACCTTCCACCGTACTTGCGCCGAAGGAAAGAAGCATGGACTGCACAGAAGCCGACAGGCTGGTGCAACAGCTCGCCACGGGCTTCAACACACTGCAAGATGAATACCAAAAGCTTTACGAGCAACACCAGGCGCTGGAGATCAAGTTGGAAAGAGCCAGAGATCTGGTAGGTCTAACTCTTTCATGTCCGTACGATTGGGCACGCCCTTTCATGATGAACAACCATTAGCTCTAGATCTGTAGCCGTACGCGGCATTGACAGACGATATTTCAAATTGACTCTGACCTCACCTTTGTCCTATCTGTTGGCCTTGCAAGACATGATCTGATTGGGTGCTGATCAACTTTACTACAGTACAACGAGGTATCTAGACTCTACGGTACTGGCGCTTCAACAACTCCACCACTAAGTCTCGCGTCTTCGCAAGCGAAACGACCCCGGAACTTCAAGGGCGTGTCCAGCGTGGCGGAGGTTCTGGAGCAGCGGGCAGACGACTCTTCGCAAACCGCTGGAGCGCAAGTTCGACTAGCCAGTCAAGCAGCTGCGGCTCTACATCAGGGCCTTCCGAAGCCTCAAGACACCACCGCTTCCGGCGTGAAGATATGGTCTGGTCGCTCAGCCGACAGGCCAGAAGCCAGCAGCTCAATGATGCCCTCGATTTCGGAGTCGCCACTAGAGCAAGACTTCACCATAGAAGGCGTGCCGAGCAAGCTCGGATGCCCGTTCGCGAGCATGGCGGGCAAGAAGCTGTCGTCACACGCGGCCAGCGTCTTGAGCAGATACCACACCAACAGCGGTGGCCCTACCACCAGTCCGTCTATCACGTCAGCACCCCGGGTGAATGGAAAGGACAGTCTACAAGCACGCAAAGCGAGCGGCGGCGACAGAAGATCAAGTTTTGTAGATCCTATCAAAGCAGAGATCTGTGGCCTCTCCGACCATGATGAAGTCTTAGAAGACACTGAACAAGCGACGAAGGATGCTATGGCACAGCAAGCCAGTGCTGAAGCTGGTGTCTGTCCGATCAGATTCCTGGATCAGCATACCCCAGAAGAGATCGCTGTGTACTTCGACAAGCACAAGCACGAACTACCACGATCCCACGAAGTCTGCGTGAAGAGGTATCAGAGCAATGAACAGCAGATCCGAGAACTGGATCAGAAGTATGGCAACTTGGTATCGATGATCCAAGGGCTAGGAGCGAAGCATAAGGGGATGCTGCCAGAAGATCCTGATGAGAATGATGCTGACGATGGAGGCGGGCAGGCTGGCGACACAGCAGAGGCAGAAAAGATACAGAGATGGGCGAGCAGTGTCTCACCGATGCAAAACGGGAATTCAGCAGAACAGGAGGCAGAGGAGCGCCAGCCTCACTTTGACCGCCCGCTCCGCGACATCCGTGTAGGCGAATCGCCCAGCCGGCCATGGGGACTGTCAGTACCGGCAAAGTATGTCGAAGCTGTTGAGAGCGATACCAGCAGTCGTCCAGCTGAGGTGGCTGCGGAGCCTGCTCGACAGCCGCAAATCGATCAGGCCAACAGGGCAAAAGAAACTCCCAAGTGTCCCTTTGGACACACTTCTGCCGGAGAAAGGATGCGTAAGGCGCCTGACACTGCCAACGCCCAGCCTGCGTTCGTTACCACGAAAGCGGATGCTGGCGAGAAGGAGACCAGGGGGGATAACTCTGCGGAGAAGAAGCCGCAAATGGTCTTCACTGGACCGGTGTTCATTGGATATAGTGCTGAAGATGCCGCAAAGATATTAACACAGAGCGGACTGGGAGGCGGATGAGCTCCTAGAAGGTAGCTGAAGGATTTGAAGTTGCGGACCTTCACTCATGGATGGCATGGTGTCAAAACAAAGGAGTGGAAAGGTGCCTTCGCACATGTGACGATTCTGCAGTGGTCTCCGGCTGTTCCAAGCTAATGGACAAAAACAACGACCTGCTTGTTGTTACTACAGTCTTGTCTCGTGCAACGAGAATTAGGAGTCGTCCACAAGAGTGCCGTCGCACAGCGGGAGTGGCAAAGTCGTCCTCCCTTTAGGTAAAAGGTGCATCTCAACCCCGTGCGCAGAAGTAAGAACAACGTATATATAGAGTCGCATGACTCATGCTCGTCAGCACATGCGCGCGATATCTATTAACCTCAACTGCAGGAACTTCAGTTCGTCGTACTTCAAACAGCACACCTCATTCCCATCCATCGAAATACGTTCAACGATGCCAGCGTTCTATGCTCGTCGTGTCGCGACCTCAATACAAAAGAACGAGAGCATCAGAGTAAGTGAAATTCTGATTGTCGTTCAAGCTTACGAGCCTGCTAACTCAACCGACAGCGTGCAGAGCTACGACAGCAGGCACATGATGAACCTATCAAAGCGCACGCCTTGATGCAAAGAGAGATCCATCTCAGAGTCGCAAAGCTTCCCGCCGAACTAAGGAGTAATATCTACGACCAATTGGTGTATGGTGCTTTTGTCACGAAGCAGCAAGGCGTGACATACCTCAGTCTGGACTACACAACCGGCAAAGTGACAGAATCTGAAGTGGATCCGGCCTTCTACATCTTCGCTCCAGGCGCTTTGAGCTCTCGGAACTTCGACATGTTCAAGCAACCACTCAGCGAGACCTCGGAGCTCTTCCACGAATACTTCGCCACGGTGTCAAAGGTCTTTGTCTGGAGCTTCACTTCAGCAAGCTCATTACGGTGCTTCACTTCGTGGCTACGGCCGTATCTTCGCAAGCGGCCTAATCCACCTGCTGTTCGAGTTGCGATCTTTGCCTTTGACGACAGCTCTTCCATGGTCAAACGCAGCTACGGTCATCAGGGTTACTTCAGTCATCTGGCTTTCTGGTATCCTATGGAATCCCCTCACGGATGCTTGGTGCGTGCAGAATCACACTTCCAGGAATGGACGGACGCTATGCAACTTGTGCCAGACATCGTTGATATGGAATACGTCGCGTGTTACCCCTGGGGGGACTATGAATCTCTTCGAAAGCTGTCAGCTCCTTTGTGTGGAAGAGGTAATCTAAGAGTGGCCGTGGAGAAGAAAGGTTGGAAGGACGTCACCAGTTACCGAGAGCTTCACCTGGCTCTTACCATTGCAGCTGTTGCGGGCAGTACCATACCACGTCCTTCAGATTTTCATGAGCTGGATCTCCGAGTTCCTTATGGATATGGATGTAGAGGAATTGAGTCGTCGTTCTCGAATTGAAGGTCGAGTTGATGAAAGGGCGGAAGACGGTACTGTCAATGAGCTGTCGGGGCAGGCGGTAGAAATGAGGAACCATACCATATCTCTATTACGACAGCCACGTGTTGAGATCCCAGACTGTTACTCTCATGTTTCCATCGACTACAATGTTACAGAATGGATTCTACTGCAGCCGATTGTGATTGTGATTGGCTCGCTTCTTAATGGTCTGACAGGGGGCTGGGTGCGTGTGACGGTTGACTGTACAGACAATCAACAGTGACTGACGTTGCAAACTCCATCACGAGTCTCGCGTCGGGAATTCTCAAAAGCTCTAGAGATTGGAAGACCTACACTTACGTCCACCTTTCCTACGAAGGCTCGAGAAACCATGTCTAGCAACAACAGTAACGGCGTCACAGGCGCCGTGACAACAGTGACCGGAACAGTCCGTCATACGTATTATACACACCTTCAATCAACTAACATTTTAATCCGTCCCAGGTAGGCAAAGCTGTTTCCGGCGTAGCAAATACAGGTACGCGCCGTCTCCTGGAAACTCCTATGCAGATAGTATGCTTACATATGATTGTCAGTTGGCGGCGTAGTCGGCGCAGCAGGTCGTGGTGTAGGCGAGACGGTCAACAACACCACTGGCACGAAGCAAGCTGGCGACGGCTTGATGAGTCTGACGAATGGGGTGGAAGATGGGGTTGCGAAAGTCGCACAGGGCGTTGAGCGGGGGAGTGTTGGGAAGAAGGGGTGGTAGCTTTTTTGCATTTCACTATGATTGGGTCGCAGTTCATGGCAATAGCAGTTGATGTCGACATGCCATCCAGACAAATGAAGTACCGCTAATATGTCGCTCGTAAATCATTCAACACTGAAGGCTATTCGCTGAAACCAACCAGAACACCAAACATACGCTCGAACGCTCAATCGCAATCTGCTCACTCCTCCAAACCATCCTCCCACCCCCCTTTGGCCTCCAAGTCCTCCCTAACCCTCCGTCTCACATCCTCCAGCACCCCTCCAAGCGCCTCCCCCCACTGCCTCTCTACCTCTCCGACCTTCTCCTTCAAGTCGTTCGTCAGCCACTGCTCCTGCGCCTGCCTCGCTTCCGCCATCTCCGCTCTCACACCCTCGTCGCGGGGGTTCGCAGCACTCCTTTCCAGCTCCAGCAATCGCAGACGAGACTTCGTCGTCGCGGTGCGGACTTCGTGCAGCAGACAGAGGAGGTTCGTTTGGGACTCGATGAATTGGTACGCGCTGCGCTGGGCGTGGGACAGAAGGCTGTAGAGGTATTGGAGTGGATGGTCGTTATAAGATGGATTCTCGTTGTACTCTTGCTCTGGGATTTGAATATCCAGCGTACTGATGTCGTTCGGAAACTGTTGCACGAGTTCCAGGAGTCCTGGAGCGATGTCCCAGAAAGCGGACAGTTGGTCTTCGACGCCGCGGGAGACGTTCTGCTCCATAGTCCGCTGCAGCTCTTCGAAGCGCTTGAGACTATCTTTTGCGAAATTGATGTGCCGGTCTTGGTTGTCTTTGGCGAAGAAGGCTGCGGCTTCGTCGACCTTGGCCTGCATCTTTGCGACGCGAAAGGGTGTGAGGATGACTTCAGAGTACTTTGCGCTGCGGTCGGCATGCAGCTCGAACATCTCCTTGTGCACCTGCTCTCGAGCCTCAAACACCCATTTCAGCAGGGTCAGCTTCTCGAGCCGCTCGGGCTGTTCGTCGCCTTCTTCCTGCGCCTGATTGGGATCTGACACTTCATTACGGCTGTCAAGCTCCGCTTGGAGCTGATCGATAGCAGCATTCGCCTTCGCAAGTCGCTCACCGATCAGTGCATTAAGTGGATGAGCAGCGTTGGCTTCGAACAGGTCGAAGTTCGATCTTGCGTTGGCTTTGCCTCGTTCCGCCTCCTCGTTGTCAAAGTCCGCTTCCGCTTGTGCCGCCTCAGCATACGAGATGCTGCCGTCTGCAACCTTGGCCTGAATGCTCGATCGCAGCTTGGCTCTCCGCTCTATCGCAGCGTCATGTTGCTCCCGCTGAATAGCGTAGTCTTGGTCAAGATAGGCGTCCTTGATCTCCTGAATTTTGGAGTTGTTTACCAGCGCACGATGTTCACTCCTAAGATCGGACAGGAGTGGATGCTTGTTGTTCAGCGCAGGATAGTGTCGTGGATATGGCGGAGGCAGAGTCACAAGCCTTGAGACATCGAGCAATTGCACATCAGACGCTGAAGCGTTCCGGGGATGAGAAGGCGTTGCGATGGGTGTCTCGAAGTCCGCGCCTTCGTGCCAACCGGTCTTCTCAGGAGGGTATTCATTGGGACGATAGCCAAATGACCCCGTGCTAGGCCCAGAAGCCGGCCCGGCGTAAAGAGCAGACTGAGGTGAGTCCTCACCCTTGTCGTGAAGCAGCGCCGGACTAATGCCCATGTACTTCGTCTCTCGATGGGTTTTCTCAATTCGTTCCGGCTTGCCAATCGATCCAGATCCGGAATTGCTCGCTTCCCACCATCGGCTAGCCGTTCGACCTCGAGAGCTGCTTTCCTCCGGCACAGTGCTGACATTCATGCTCGGAATTGGAGACAGGGACGGCTTAAACGCCTCACCCCATTGCCTCGAGTCGGGTCTTTCTGGGCCAGTGTTCTCCATGGTGTCGTAGGCGGAGGCTGCGTCAGTGGCTGGAGTGTATTCACCAAACGAGGAGGCTGAAGATGGCATGTTGGCATGAGCAGAAGCAGGCTGGCCATCGGAGCCCCAAGATGGGGCAGTAGCGTCGTATGAGGACATCGATGTGCTCGGCGTGGGAGCACGCTTGCCCTGTCGAGCGTACGAACGCCACATGTCCCTCGTGAGATCCATGATGTCGCCAGCCAAAGTATTGTATGCAGCAGGGTATCGATCTCGCCTCAGCCTCGACTCATGCACCATGAAATTAGCGAATAACTCGAGACGCTCCTCATCGGACGCAGCAGCAGCCTCCTTCTCCACGAAAGCGCGATGGCGCTCGATTGACTGCAGAAAGAAGGCATCCAGCTTTGCAGGAGCCATGGCCGAGCCACTTGATGCCGGTCGAGATGGCGTGAGCGGCGCCGGCATGGAAGAAGATTCAGCAATCGGCTGATGGAGGATGTGTGAGATTGGCCTGTCGCTCGAGGCACTTCCGGGGACCTTCAAGGGCTGCGTCTTTATCGCGTTTCCCTCAGGCTTACCGATGGCAGGCGTGTACGGAGGCGTAAGCACGTTGCTTGCTGAAGGAAGCGCTCCTTGCGTTGTCGTCTGAGCCTCACGCGAGGAAGTCGGACGTGAAGCTGCAGATGGCGAGACGTAGCCGGAGATGGTCCTCATGTGCTCCCTTCGCCGGCTAATAGAACCTTCAGAGGTGGCGAACAGAGCATCAAACGGCTTGCCGTCATCACTCATCGGCGAGATGACCTTGCTGTTTCTGTCTTTGGCTCTGCTCCTTGATCGCCGCTCCCTTAGCCCTTGCCCACTGCTGTCTCGCTGAGCAGGCCTTCGTGATAAAGCAGCGTCCTGATGCGATCCAGTATCGATGCGCAGAGGCTGATAGTCTTGGTCCGTGGTATCGATCGGCGACACCACAAATTGGCGCGGAAGGGCATCGGTGTCGACCCAATCTGCTGGAGTTGGCGGTATTGGGCCAAGAGTGCTGCGTGTAGCTAACCTCCGTGATTGCTGAACATCAAGGCTATGCTCCGATGTCTGACTATTGGAGCGTGAAGTTGGCGGGTAGCGATTCAAGCTTTGCGATCTCATGCCAGGAGGGGGTGGCCCAGGAGGTGGGCCGGGTAATGGCATGCCTGGTTGCCACGAGTTGTCCGGTGAGCCTCTACCGGCCGCTCCAGACCCAGATGGAGTAGCGATGGACAATGTGGACGAAGACTGTATGTGGCCCGTGGAAGCAGCTCTCCTCGCTGCTGGAGGATGCGGCTCAGAAACTTCTGGGAGATGCACACTATTGCGTGTGGGCAGCTCAGTGTACGTGGTGGACTTCCCACGTAAACCCGAGAGACCGAAGAAGCCGCGGGTGTTGGCAATTCCAGAGGTCGAGCGTTCTCGGTGCCTGGAAGATTGCCCCGGCGGAGGAGGGAAGGCGGGTGACATTGGCACCTGAGGAGAGTTCGTCACCGAGTTATTGCCAACAATAGGTGAAGCGGTCAAGCTCGTGGTGTCCAGCAGGAGTGGCGAAGCTCGAACTGCTCGGCCTAAGCTCTCTGGTGTCTCCGGGCTATATGGCGGAGGTGGAGAAGGCATGGCACCTACTTGACACTATGGTTAGATGATTAATCCTTGGCTTAGACTAGTCCAGCATGGCAAACAGCTCCACCTCCAACATCTGACCGAACAACCAGCGCAGCGTTAATTTCTGAAAGGAATGCAACATACCTTCCATCCCAGAAACATCCCGCGTAGATGGCGGGACATTGCTCGACCTCTGCTGGAACAACATCTGGGTCCCAGAGACCTGCCCGCCTCTGTTGCTCCATTGCCGTGGATTGTACGGCTCCATCGTCCTGGCGGAGACGGTAGAGTTAGGACCCAGCCCACCCGGAGAGTGCGGGTTGAGGGCAGATGGAGTAGCAGGACTGAAGGGATGTGGTGCTGGAGGTGCCAATGTATGTGCAGACAAAGGCGCCCCCAGGGCCCGAGCGATGTTGGTTGTGATGGCCGGAGGCTGCTGCACGATCATGGACACGGGCCGCCGCTGCTGGGTAGCAAAAGGCGGTCCATTCGGAGTGTTAGCATTAGACGAGCGCGGTGGAGGAGGCGGAAGATTATCAAGCTGGTGTTGGTTCATGGTCGAGATGGGCGAATGAGGAGCGTAAGCGCTGAGGTGGGCCACGGTTGTCTCCAATGCGAGTCTTCAGGACCATGGGGATGAGGTGCCGCACACGCAGAGCCGTTGTGACGAGGCGCAGAGACTAAGCGCGTGTAGACGCGGACAAGAACCGGCCAGGGGTTCGCGTCGCAGCTGTCTCTGTGCCACCCCGGATGGTCACACAACTGTGAGGTGTTTCGAAGACTGCATCCTCTACGCTGGTTCTCAAATGTGAGCACACAGATAAGCTGAAGCACGATTGGCCGACGTTGCGAGCATCAAGCTCTGTGCCTCCTAGGATCCCAGAGTGCGGCTATTCTGATCGAGGACTAAGTGCTGCACTGCTTAGGCAAGCAGCGACGCGAATGAGAAACTATGCTGGCTTGATGCGTGCAGTGGGGAAATGTTGGAAATCCCATCAAGCTGCGGCTGTGAGTGGACGCCATTTGCAAGGCTGGTCTTGGTGATGGCGCTTAGAGAGATCTCACGAGAGGTCGAGATTAAGCCCGTGCTATTCTTGTTCGAGTGTAGATCGGCAGATGTCCGGCTTGTGCCGAGAAGCTGTATTCACTTCCACAGCTTCAATTCAAACCTTGAAGCATGTGACAGTCAAGAAGAGACGGTTACTTGCCTGATCTACGACAGTCGAACATGGTGTGGTCAATTAGTGGCTTTGAAAGCTTGAGCAGCTATTGCATATGTGATTCTCACGCAAGCCCAACGACATCCCTCAATTCCCACCCTTGTTTTGCGTCGTACAGTTGATTCCATGCAGCAACCCCTTATCAACACTCCCACAAGTGAACAGGTTCTCCGTCCCATCAGGCGCCGTCACATGGATATCATCCAGTTCAATGTTCGAGCATACATCCGGGTCGCTGCAAACCACATACCCGGAAATGGGCGAGTATTTCTTGCTCGTCGTGCCTTGGAAGTCGCTCATGTGGATGTTGTTGATCGTGAGCGAGGACGGGAACTCGTTGCACTGGTTGAGTGTTAGCGTTGGTGTGAGAAGGTGTTGATGGACGGCCGGGGACGGATGCAATCTGTGGTTAAAATACGTACGAGAGTCAGGTTGGACTGGCCATAGCACTGCGTGACCTCGATCGCATAGTCGACATTGTCAATCTGATATCCGGTGTATGTGATATTGTTGACCCGGCCTGCACCACCGCCTCCTTGCAGATCACCGGACAGAGCTGCAGGAGCGCCTGGCCAGACTTTGATTCGAGCTCCGTCGGTGGCGTTGCTCATCTCGATATTCGACACCTATACCAATTAGCACGGCCGGACAGACCTACAAGATCAGATCGAAACATACCATAACGTTCTCGACAATGTCATAAGTCCCCTTGTACTGCCCCAGCGAGCCGACACTGATCCCATGGCTGCCATTGCAATGCATGTTCTGCACCAAGATCTCGGTAGAATTAGGCTTGAACGACACACAATCATCGCCGTTGTTCACAACACTCTCCTGGATAACGATGTTGCTGCTCCGGTAAGTGTCCCAGCCGTCAGTGTTCTTGGCCACGTTCTTGCTCTGGCTGTACCCGCTGATGTCGATGTTGTCAAAGACGACGTCCGTCGAGTTCTGGAGGAAGCTGTAGTACTGCGGCGAGTACCGCCATCTCAGGTTGGAGATAGTACTGCCGTGGAGCTTAACGACGCCGAACAGGATAGGCCGCAGGATGTATTGGTTTTGGGCGTAGAGGTCGTACCAGACCTGTCCGTTGCCATCAAGCATGCCGCCACCGTAGACGTTGACGTCGTGTCCGCCTAGTTGGAAGAAAGTGGTTGCGTTCTGGAAGACTTGCGGGAAGCTGTGGGCTTGCCAGTAGTCGGTGTCGTTGGTGAACTGGATGTAGCCTTGGATGGCTGGTGCGCTTGTCAGATCATCGAACATCTTTGCCTCTTGATCAAACAGCGGACATACCAATATCGACATGCTCCAGAAATTGCAAATTCATAGCCTTCCCAATAGTGTACGTCTTTCCAGCCGGGAAGACAACCTTGCCACCATTGTTGCATTCGTGAAGAGCGTCCAGAATGTATTGAGAATCATCCGTTTCCAGATCGTCGTGGCTCTTCACCCTGCAATGTTTGTGTCTCGCCGGCGACTTCGGCAGAGGCTGGTACGGTTCGTGACCATTGTAGCTGATCTTGGGCCGCTTGAGGTCTGCCTTGCCCGGAATGCTAGCCAGATACTCCTCGTATGCTGATTGAGTGGCGAGGCACGGGAGGAGTAGCAGCGAGAGGAGACCCAGTACCTTCTTGAACGCCATTGTGTCTAAGTCTTGAAGGATGGAAGGCGACGCTGCAAACAATGAAGGCTTCCATCGTCATATATCCCTTAAGCGCGTCTCGGCGAGTGGTAGTGCATCGATATTGGGGTACTCCGCACATCTTGCATCTGCACCTTCCGTGATGAGCATAGTCGGGGGCAGTTCAAGCATCTCGTTGGTGGAGATTTAAGCTTCCAGCATCGCGCGGCACACACTCTACTGGTGACGGAGCACATACTTTATATCCCCATCGGCTTCTGGTTGTTTCGGAGTATCTTTCCATCAAAAACCGAGTTCCTCGAAGCTTTGAGCCAAGGCAAGAGAGCCAGACTGAGGTGCCCAGCACTGACACCGACCGCCCATCCTTGTAGAGAACAGAGGATGAAGGCAGTGAGGCTCAAACACAGGAAGAAACAACGACAAAACTATGTACCTACATCAACACAGGTTGCTAACGCCATACGCTACACGGGCAAACCCATCACCACCCCAACTTTTCACTCACGCCTTCCCCTCAACTTCCTACTCCCCCTTCAATTTTTCCTGCTCCACATTGAACGCCATGCTCAAGAACTCCTGCTCCTCCTTCAAATGGCTCGACTTCAAGCCCGTCGCCACACTGGCGCTCGGGTTCCTGCCCGCATACATACAATGCTTGCGATAGTGATGCTCAGTGTTATTCAGCAGCGTCTCGATCCTCGGCTGCGTGAAGCTCCACGCGCCCGCGTTCAGCGGCTCCTCCTGCGCCCAGACGATGGTCTTGGCGTTGGGGTAGGAGTCGAGATTCTCCTTCAGCTGGGCCCATGGGAATGGATTGAGCTGCTCAATACGCGTGATGGCGGTCTTGCGGAAGTCGTTCTGCTGGCGGTTCTTGAAGAGGGCTGCGAAGACCTGGCCGGAGCAGAGGATGACGCGGTCGATCTCCTCATGAGGCGCGATCTGAAATTCGGCATCCGAGGAATGCATGGGGTCCGGGATGATCCATTGGAAGTGGCTGTCGCCGGTGAAGTCTTCGATGGGGCTGCGGGCCAGTGGGTGGCGGAGGAGAGATTTGCTAAAGAATGAGATGAGTGGTTTGCGGAATTGGCGGTTCATCTGGCGGCGGAGCATGTGGAAGGTGTTGGCTGGAGTCGTCACTACAGAAACTTGCATGTTGCAGTCTTGATGTTGGCGCTCGAGCTTCTCAGGTGACGGGAAGATGCGTGGGTCCTCGTTGCAGAGTTGCAGGAAGCGCTCCATGCGACCAGAGCTGTGCTCGGGACCTTGGCCGTCGTAACCGTGAGGCAGATTCATGATCAGACCGGAACGCTGCAGCCACTTGACTTCTCCAGATGCAACGAACTGGTCGATGATACACTGAGCATTGTTGGCGAAGTCACCGAACTGAGCCTCCCACATGACCAGGGCATTGGGCGAGGAGAGCGAGTAGCCGTATTCGAAACCAAGGGCACCAAACTCGCTCAGATGAGAGTTTGAGATGACGAAGGTGCCTTGGTTCTGGCTGACGTGCTGCAAGGGAGTGTATGTCGCTTCCGATTCCTGGTCATGCAGCACGGCGTGTCGCTGAGAGAATGTGCCACGCTCGACATCCTGGCCGGACACGCGGACGTGATGTCCTTCCATGCAGAGTGAACCAAAAGCCAATGCCTCAGCCGTCGACATGTCGATGTTCTTGCCCTCGTTGACAGTCTTCGTGCGGTTGGCAAGGATACGCTTCAAGTTGCGGTGGATGTTGAACTTGTCGTCAGGTCCAGCTCCGATAACGTTGCTGATTTGCTTAAGCTGATCAGCTTCGACTGCAGTTGGCAGATGAGGTAGCACCTCGGTAGCTAGCTCTTTTGGCGACTTGAAGCCATCCCAAGCGCTCGTGAGCCATTCTTTGGAGGTCGGTTCGTAGTGCTTAGATTTCTCGAACGACTCTTCCAGCATGCCCCACACCCACTTCTTGTGCTCGTCGATGTCTTCCTTTGTGAAAGTCTTGGAGTCCAGAAGTTGCTTGACATACTTGTCGAGACACGGCGGCTGCTCACCAATGCGCTTGTACATCAGAGGCTGGGTGAATGATGGCTGATCAGTCTCGTTGTGGCCTTGCTTACGGTAGCAGACAATGTCGATGACAACGTCCTTCTTCCATTCAGCGCGCCAGTCAGCTGCCATTTGGCAAACAAAGTTCAAGGCTTCGACGTCGTCACCGTTGACATGGAAGACAGGTGCGTCGACAAATTTGGCGATGTCTGAGCAGTATGGTGTCGAGCGAGCAAAACGTGGGTCAGTGGTGAAACCGATCTGGTTGTTGACAATCATGTGGATCGTGCCTCCGGTGTGGTATGCTGGCAACGCAGCCATGCCCATCGTCTCGTACACTACGCCTTGTCCGGCAAACGCAGCGTCGCCGTGCAACAGGACCCCCATTGCAGAGGTGGCAGACTTCTCGTCGCGGTTGTAGTGAAGGATGGCACGAGTCTTGCCAAGCACAACGGGATCCTCAGCTTCCAGATGCGATGGATTGGCGACCAGGGAGAGCTGCACGCGCTTGCCGGAAGGTGTCGGACGCTCGAAGTTCATACCAAGATGGTACTTCACATCGCCAGAACCTTCATCGGAAGGCTCCGCAGAGCCACCAAATTCTGAAAAGATCGACTCATTGGGCTTGCGGACGACGTTGGACAGCACATTCAAACGACCACGATGCGGCATACCAATCACAATGTCTTTGACGCCGTAATCGACAGATCGGTCGATCAGAGCCTTCATGCCAGGAATGAGCGACTCGCCGCCTTCGAGACCGAAGCGCTTGTCGTTGGGATACTTCGTAGCGAGGAAAGATTCGAAAGAAGAAGACCAGATGAGGCGATCGAGAATCCTTCGCTTGTCGTCCACGTTGTATTTGTAGGGATTGGGGATTTCTATGCGTGAGCGGATCCATTCGCATTGTTCGCGATCAGGAATATGGATGTACTCAACACCGTAGGGACCGCAGTAGAGCCGTTCACAGGCTTCAATGATTTCACGCAAAGTCATCGAATCACGGTTGTCGGTCTTGAAGCGTGGAAGGATGCCGGGACCGAGAGAAAACTTCTGCTCCATGTCGGCTTCGGTGAAGTTGTACAAGCCCAGGTCCAGCTCTCGCGGGTTGTCATATCCCACGCCCTTGGCCTGATTCCTGATATTGAGAGGATCGATCCTCGCTTTGTGGTGACCGCGTGCTTGGTACGCTCGCACGAGGAGCTGCACCTTCAAGTGGTTCATGACATCGCCGCCTTGCCCTTCAGACATTGCCAGTACCGCGCTCGTCGATGCCGGAGCTGCCGCTCCCTGCGCCGAAGGTACAATGGTTGGCGGAGGCTGGAACGCCCTGCTGGTGGGCATCTCTCCGCTCTCCATGTTCTTGAAGTAGGCCTGCCATGAGACGTGCACTGATGATGGATCTTGCTTCCAAGCCATGTACATCTCATCGACATAGTTGGCCGTGTTGCCGGACAGAAACGAGTCGGAGGGGTCGACGCCCTTGTTCGTCTCCTCGGCGGCCACGGCATATCGGCGGTGTTGGGCAGTGAAGTGGTTGTAGGAGGCAAGACCAAGCTCCCTCCTCTTCGTTGCCAGGGCGGTGCGTGAGGCATGATGGGCGAGGTTGGTGTAGGCGCGGGAGGCCGAGCTAGCACCCGCGAGTCGTTTGCTGCATTGTCCGAGTTGGGTTCGCAGCATCGTTGCTGCCGCTCATGGAGAGCTCAAGACCACCTAGAGATAGGGCAGATAGGGTCCGCGCAGGTGGTTGGAAGAGCACGATGGTCGGCGGCGTCGGAAGGGGGGTGGTGGTGGCGCTGAGGAGATAGCTTGCTGGACGAGATCACAAGGCAAGCTTGACTTCCAGTCGTTGTTCCAGTCCGCGGCGCCTTCGACAGCGGCTCGGTCCGTCCGGCTTCCAACTCTTTGCTCTCACGTGGCACTCTTTCCTCAAACGTGCACTCCAAGACTTCAATCTTCCATCACATCAACTACATGCGAGGCGAACGAACCAGGATGAGTACTTCCTCATGATGCGCTGGATGTGCTGACCTCCAATGCCAATGATTCTCTTGGTAGTCAAGCTCGATTGCGCAATAACGAGTGTGCGACTGATGGCGGTCGCGTCTCAGCAGCACATCAATAACATTCACAGCCCAATTTAGACCAACAACAACGCTCCATGGCAGTTAGATAGGAGGTTTGATGATGCTGGTCTCACGGTCCTTCGTTGCCACCCGGAAAAGAAACCCTCTCGTCCTCATCATGGCCAGCATCTCTAGAGAAAATTAGGCGAGAAGCGGCCTACTCAACATACACAAAGTTGTCTTCCCCATCCTCAAGCAAAATGTAAGCTACATGTATATACATACATTTTGAGTGTTTGCAGGCACCAAGAAAACAGCATCGCTTCAAGTTGTCGAGCCGTGGCTGGATGTTCTCAAGCCGCCACCTGCCCTTGACATACTGCTCCTTCCGCGAGGTTCTCGGCCGCAAGCACCAACGGTTTGTTCAATCTTCTACCTGATTTTGAAGCATCTCAATTGCTCTTGTAACAGAGGTTATCCGTTTATCGTCATGCCAGATCGCATCGATAAAAGAAAGGAGTCTGTTAAGCCCAAGCCCGTACATGGCTCAACTGAAGGTGCTGCTGGAGAGTCGGAAAAGCAGAAGAGTGTCTCGCAAAGGACTGTGGGACGACAAAGGCGAGAAGCGATCCAGAAGATTATCAGTGACGACCGCGCAAAACAGACTGCCCATCGCAACGCCCAAGGACCTGGCCGCATCATCACTAGCGATGATAATGACAACGACGCTGCGAGCGTTCCACAGGATACCATAGACAGTGCATTGCAGCGGAATTCCATATCTCAGCACGCATTCCCAAACCCGTATGCCTTCGACGTTACGGGAAACAGAGGCAAGATGCCCGCGGTCGATGCTCAAGGGCCAGGTTAGCAGACTGTCCCTCGACCACTAGGGAGCCCTTTCGTCGCCACTGCTCAGCATCGAGAGAGCGATCCGCAGCGACAGCGTCAAGCACAGCAGCAGACGAGAGAGCTAGACGCAGCACTTGGCCTCCATCGGCTGCAAAGTGCTTTCCCATTCTTGCAACCAGGCTATGTCTCTGACCGAGGGGACCGACCAGACTTCATGCAGAATGTCGACCTGCAGAGGCAGCCCAGTTCCAATCAGACTCCACATCGAGTGGAGAGGCCGTCTTCAATTCCCGTAATTGTCAACAGCGACTCGGCGAGTGTGACACTCGCAACAGCGCGAGCTCTAGGATCTGGCTATGAGCACATCATAAATTCCGCAGAGCCGTTCGGGCCAACGTCGAGCACTGCACAGCTGCAGGTTTCCGACGCACCAGAGATGATGCTCACGCAGCCGGCGACTGAAGACGGTCGGCCCCCCGGACAGATGGCTTATGTTTCTCAAAACCAGATGCTTGAGTATCATCCAGCCCAGCCATCTAGCGCTGAAGACCAGATATCCATGGACCTTGTTGCAATCGCCAGCGCAGGTACGCCAGCGGAGGAGGAAATCCTCGACTTTGTGAATCAGCTGCTAGTAACAGAGGACGAGGATTCCTATCAACCTGTCGCCGACGTTGCCACCAGCAGCGAGGAGACGGGAATAGAGGAAATTCTCGAATACGCCTCCCAGCTGCCGCATACAGAGGGCGAAGACTTGTCTGACTTTGACTTTGGGTTTGACACAGGCAGTCAGCAGTCTTGAATATCTTTCCAAGCATGCGACAGATATCTGTGTCTACCGTCTACCATATTACCTCACGTCGTGCTCGTCTTCCACCCATCACGCGAAATGCTCGTGGCTCGCGCTCGACGGTCTTTATCTCGTCAGGATGTAAGACCTCATTTGTATAGAAACGACACAAAGGACGAATGAAGTGCTGTATATCGCATGACAGGTGTCACTGGCCGATCCAACGCATTTCCATTGCACCCGGTGTCGTGTGATTGGGATGGTGTTGTTCTCGCCAGCACAACAGGTGAGGCGCGTGTGCAGATCGATCCCGACGCCAGATCCGGAAACTTCATCAAGGGCCGAGCCAATAGCCCCACAGATAAGTGGACAAGTTTAATTACACGATGAAATTTCTGCCGCCTTTCTGCAGGAACATATGCAGAATCCATGCGAACCACGCAGTCGTGTCCGAACGCAAAGACATCCGCTGGCCGACTCGCTCGCGAACACTTCGCCGCGCGCATCCCCAGAAAGCTGCAACGCGTGCTGTAGGTTTCGACAGATCAACAGGACGGCCGCTTGAGACGATGTTTTCGGGAAGGGGGATTTAGGAGGCTTCAAAAGGAAGCGCTTGAAGAGACAGGGGCCGCAGATGGAACACGTCGTCGCGAGAACAGGCCGAGCCCTTATCCACCGCCAACCGCACTACCCCCGTCCGTAGTCTAGCCGCTCACGTCGTCGACAGGCCCGGTGTGAGACGCGATTTGCCAGCGACTCGTCGTTTCACCTCAAGTTGGAATTACACAGGATGATCCTAATGCGCTGGGGCGCCACATCCCCTTCTCATATCCATGGCGACGCTCTCTTTGCTTCCAGTTTTCTTCTTTCTTCTCCCAGGTCATCAACTACAATCATCTTTTGCGCGCCGTTGAGTCTTTCAGTCACTCTTTTAACCACACGTTCATTACCCTTCAGTCCTTCACGACAGCGCAACGAGCAAACGACCCAACCGCTTCTCACCAACCGCATCACATCAATCAAGATGCAGCTCACCAGCGTTGTCCTCGGCGCCAGCCTGGCCTTGATGGCCCACGCCGTTCCCTTCCACGAGCACTCCCACTCGCACCTCCACCACGCGCGCAACGCCGACAAGTTCCCGATCCACATCACCAACAACTGCGGCAGCGACAAGGAGTTTGCCCTCTACCAGATCACCGGAGACTTCCAGATGCTGCAGATGTCCGCCGGCCGCAAGATCTGCAACGGCGAGACGCACACCCTCCACGCGCCCTTCACTGGTCTTGGCCTGCGCCTCTCCGGCAATGCAGACTGGCCCACTGGCGACCAGTGGAACCCGCAGGCCCTCGCCGAGTTCGGCTACAGCAGCTACGACGGCATGGACGGCACCGCCTACAACCTCTCGTTCATGGAGGGTGCGGCTGAGGACATCGGCGTTTCCATTACACCAGACAACAAGGAGTGCGGTCCCAAGTCGTGCACGTCGCCCTCGACCTGCGGGCTCAGCCAGGGCTGGACCAACCCCGATCAGACCGCCGACGGCAGCCCGGCCGACACCGTGTGCTACCACGGCAAGACTGGCTTCAGCGTCGTGTGGTGCCCGTCGTCATAGGAGGGTTCCGGGATGGAATCGATACGCTTCTTGTTATGATCTTGATCTTTTCGGATGGGGTGTTTGCGGGGGCTAGATGAGTCGAGACAGGATACATATCCAATGATTTTTGAGTCGCATGGAGTATATCGTTTCATTGCATCCTCTCCTGTGTTGTCTGCTATGTTTCCGTTGTCGGTGACATGAGCTGAAAGCCTCCCAGCCCCTGCGTCCATTCCAATGCCGCTCAACCTGACAGGTATGTTGTCCGCAAGCGGGAGACACTTAAAGCTCCCAACCGCACATTTCTGCCAGTCTTCTCCGAGAAACGATTACTACCAGAAAGGCCACATCGTTCTCGTCTGGGTGCTGTCATGGCTTTGAGAGGATGCCTCATGTTGTCCAACTTGACCCGAAGTCACCACAACTCTTGCATACTGTGTCGAGTGAAGTGTATGGTAAGTGCGAGTGTCTCTCTACTTCCTTCTTCTGGAGAGAGAGACTTCACGTGTTTTCGCGCGTAACACGCGATTTGCCAAGGCCCTTCAGGCAGATTCTGGAACAAACATCGACCTCATCTTCCTGCTTCGAGGTTGACACACTCGACATCGCGCCGCAGATCAGGACACCCGGTGGATCACGGCCGCGATGGCGAACTTCTGGGATCTTCCAAGGCCGGTCAGGGATCATATCTACCGGCTGCATTTGGTCAGAGAAGACAAGATTAACAAGGCCGAGCACGACAAGATCGCTACGCACTACAGCTATCATCGGGATAGGCGAACGCGCGCACCATCAATCTGCGGTGTGTCAGAAGATGCAGACGAAGAAGCTGCGCCTATTTACTACAGCGAGAACCACTTCGAATTCAAACGCTACTCGTCGGTGTGGTACCTCCCCGACATTGCGGTGTTCCTCTCATCAACGAGTACAAGCCACGCGCGGCTCATCCGAACCCTCTCCGTGGACTGGCCGGACCGCTATGCCAGGGAGGCTTTCTTAGAGGTCGCAAAATTGGAGAGGCTCGAGAAGCTGCTTGTTGGAGTCGACGAGGCCGGTATGGTGCAAAGCATGGCCAAGAGACGACATTATCAGCATTGGTATCAGAGCTTGGGAGCATCCCCGCAGCAACAGCTTGCCGTCCAACGCCATCCTGGTATGACCGGCCTCCTTGCAATCACGGGAGTTCCTCACGTGGAGTTCGTGAAGACGCACGGCTACTCTGGGGAGGAGACCGCGGGTCCAATCGCCGGTGGCTATCTCGAGACCGAAGTCGTGCCGAAGCTGATGGCTCACATAGCACCCAAGCCCAGGTACGTGGCGCAGCACTCTCTGGTAACGACGCACAGGAAGCTAATGCTCGACACAGGAAGAAGAAGGGCAAGTTTCGATTCTTGGACCTACCTCCTGGTGAGTAGCCACAGATGCCTACGTGCGTTGTGGCTCGCGCGGCGACTCTGGTTCAAGACGTTGCTGAGATTGATCGCTGACTGCATTCCAGAGCTTCGCAATCGTGTCTATTCCCTGCTTCTCCGTATGGAAGGGCCCGTCCATCCTTCCCCGAAGCCACCCAGCTCCACTGGGAGGAAGGAGAAGACCGGGCCATGCTCCGCTCTGAGTATCCTGGCCGTCAATCGTGAGGTGCACGATGAGACTGTCGGCATCTTCTACCATTACAACCAGTTCGAGTTCTACTTCCCAACACAGCTCCATGCTTTCTTGCTCAGCCTCAGTCCGCAACGTCAGAGCTTCATTCGAGACATCACCCTGCATTATCACAATGCCAAGAGCGGCGGCATCGATCTTGCGGAACTCACTTTCCCAATGCTCAAGCAGCTGACTGGTCTACGACGATTGCTCGTCAAGCTCGAGACAAAGGCCTGGGGGCGGAGTTGGTGGCACCACAACAATACTTTCGGACTCCGAGACGGCAATCCCAGCGCGCTACCCGGCATGAAACACCTTTTCAACCTACGAGGCATTCTCGATATCAAGGTCGATGATACCGAGTTGCAGAGCCGCATTGACAAGTCAAAGAAGGACGACAAATGGCCAAACTTCCCAACGAACAATGCGGCGAGCAGTCACGTCAAGCTCGAGCTCATCCTCAAGCACTTCAACGATGCGCTTGCCGATGCCCAGAAAGGGAAGGTCAATACGAAGCTGCTCGAGGACGACGAGTGGCATAAGAAGAAGGACTTCCCAGCGATTGATGAACACGAAGACGAAGATGAAGATGAGGATGAGGATGAGGATGAAGATGAGGATTGGAAGCCCTGAAAAATGTGCATGGCAGTTCGTCTTGCCATGGACTTCTACGACGGCGGTCTGGCTTCGACGGTCTGGGAGATGAGCCCATGGGAAGATCTGTACTGTTGTTCTAGCGAGGCGTATGGGGTAATGCGGCACCGGAATGTGCTGTATGAAGGGGCGTTACTCTAACGAGGAGGCTAGGCATTTTGCTCTTGTAACTTTGTCAGCATGGCTTGCAAGGTACGTGTATACACATACATCGTACCGACGCACGTACGACAGTCAACGTATTCTATCGGACACTGCCTCTCTTTTCGTACATGGTCACTCAAGCAAGTGACAGTAACAAGCGATCCAGTGCGGAGGTGTTGTATTGTAAGCGGTCGATGAATCTCGGAGTCTTCTTCGAGACCCAATATCCTCTCAAGCGGCCACATGATTCTCGTTGGCAGGCTCTCGCTATGGGGAGAAGACTTACCACAAGTCTCGCTCTCCTTCTCCGTGACACAATCGCCCATTGTCGAGCCTGCTACTGAGTCACATTCTTTGATAGGGTGAGAGTCTCATGCGGACCTTTCGCCTCGTCCTCTCTTCTGCGAGGAACAGTCTCCGCCCCAATAGTCCTGAGCAATAACTCATTACAGTCCGCTTAGGAACACGTGAAAAGAAAAGAATACAGGTGAGGTGAAGTGAAGCCGCACATGCAATCTCAGCCAATCACCTGCCTATCTTGGACGCCAAAGGCAACCAGTCTCGCTTGGAATCGATGAGCACAACCATGCCTCCTACACCCACCGCCGCCGTTCTATACAAGAAAAAGGATGGCAGCCTCACGATCTCGCCGGATCACAAGTATCTCTTCTGGACCGGCCAGGGCACCTCATCACCCGCCTTGACGATTCCCGTCGGCGACATCACCAACCTCCAGCAAACACCTGCTACTTCCGCCAAGGTCGCCCTCAAGGTTTTTGTGAAGGAGGAGAGCCATGTCTTCTCCTTCACCAGCAAAGACCGTGCGAAGAAGGAACAGGAGGAGGTGACGGACACGCTGAGGAATACCATTGCCGCTGCGAAGGCGCCGACTGCAGCGGCCCAGCTTCAGCCCGCAACGACACCATCTGGTGATGGTGGTCAGCAGAATGGCGGCGACGCAGGTCAGTCGGCAGCAATGGCTATCGCGAAAGCGATATCCTCGAAGCAGGCGGATGAAGGCTGGTACGATGACAGCAAGCTGAAGTCGGACTTCCAGCTGCAGCGATCATTATTGGAGGCGAACAAACCGTTACAGGCGCGCTTCAACGAGGCCTTGAAAGACAGGCCAGAGAGCGTGTCGATATCTCAATTCACCACCCAATTCTGGTCTGCAAGACTCCATCTGCTGCGAGCCCATGCTATCGAGAAGGCACAGAAGCAGGGCGAGTACAATGTACTACCTGAGATCAGATTCACGCGAAGGCAGGCTGAGAAGGAAGGCGATCCGGATATCAAACAGCTGCACATCACAAAAGAGCAGATCAAGCTCATCTTCCGGCAGTATCCTGTCGTGAAGGAGGCCTACGATGAGAATGTCCCGCCTCTGGATCCTGGTGGCTTCTGGCAGCGCTTCTTCAGCTCGCGTTTGCTCAAGAAGCTGAAAGGAGAGAAGATCACACAGCAGGACCCTCTTGACTCCGTCATGGACAAGTACCTGGAGCGACGCGAAGCCGGACCTGCCAGTATTGGCTACATCCCACACTTTATCGACCTGGAAGGCAACGAGCAGAACCACAGTCAACGCAAAGGCAACAGACCGGACCAAGATATGCGGCCGTCCTCTTTTGACAAGGTTCCGCTGCTTCGGGTCCTCAACAACTTGTCAGAGAAGATGCTGTCTCATGTCGCACCTGAGGATGGCGAAGCACACGCGCCGATAGGCATGGACGAGGAAGCTTTCGAGCAGTTGCGGCTTCGTGATCTCGCAATGGACGACCAGGACAACAGGGTCAAGCTAAGTATCCGGGAACCTGGCCAGCTCGGTCACGGCGATGCACACGACGATCTATCTGCGGAAGCAAAGCTCTACATGCAGCAGGATCCGGATCAAGTCATTTCAGGCCTGCGAGAAGGTTTGCAACCATCACAACTCGGTGCCGACAAGAGTGGTACCGTGCGCCTGGACAGAGCTGTTAACTACCACAGCGACTCTGATTCTGGGTCAGAAGACGAGCGCACTCCCAAGCACAAGTCCACCAATGGCAAGAAGTCCAGACGACGAGTAGCGGTAAACTCTCACTCCGCCATCGCATCCGCAACCTCCTCAATCCTGTCTTCCGTTGCCACCCGCCGCGCCACCTCTTCCTCAGACCCCAGCTCCCTCAACGGCTTCTCTCAGCAGACCTTCGACCAACTCACCATCACCCACAACACCACCACCGAGTTCCTCCACTACTTCTGGACCCTCTTCCTCTCCGGCAACCCCGCGCACGTGACGGAGCTATCGCAGCTCGTCAGCACGCTGGACAGGAGTCTAGACCGCATCACCGCTGTTGCCGAGACGGCGGAGAAGGAGCGGCAGAAGAAGATTGAGGGGATTGAAAAGCAGTACCGTGAGTATGAGCGAAGGACGGGGAAGCGGAGGAGGGTGGATCACGATGAGGTGCCGGGCGGGAAGAGGGTGGTGAATGAGATGGCTGCGCCGACGATTAAGGCGCTGCAGATGGCGGCCGAGAGGTATAGGCGGGAGTTGGAAGTGCAGAGTAAGGAGGCTGGGGGTGCGTGAGGACCGGGCATTGCGTCCATCTTGCTTTCACGAATGTGTCGTTGAGATCCCGGCATTAATACCAAGAATTACTCGAACGACTGTCTTCGTTGCGAGCCTCTTGCTCTTCTGCTGTGCGTTCAGCACGTTGAAACAGTGGACCTCGGCAGGCGTCGCGCAGCTCGCGAACGCGCTTCGAGCTCTCAGCACCTCACTTCTACCACGCTCGCCGAGGTGTCAGAGATTATAGGTCAAATACCACACCATTCAAGAGTAAGACACAAAGTCCGCTTCGCCCATTTCCTCTTTCTGCTTTTCTACACTTCTCAAGATCAACAATCATCCTCATCCCCAAAAGCAGAAAGGCCAGGACCTCAACCATGTCCGCCTTCACAGCCGAGCACAAGAGTCATAGCTTCGAGGGCAGTCTGATGCCCTGGGCGGAACCTTCATGGTATTTTTTATCAGGCATGTCGTCCAACGACGAAGCTGACGACTTCCAGGCACACAAGACCCTCACCATACTACAACGACTCCCACCGCCATCTCCGGGATGTGATCCGCAAATGGGTCGTCGACAACGTCGACACCGAGACCTGGGAGGCCGCCGGCGAAGTCCCCCGCTCCATCTACCACAAATGCGCCGCCGACGGGCTTCTCGTGCCCATTAGTTTTGGCCGCAAGATTCCGGCTGAGTACGCCAATTACCCGATTATTGGCGGGATTAAGGCGGAAGACTGGGATGGGTTTCATGATTTTGTGCTTTGGGATGAGCTGTATCGCGGTGGAGCGATTAGTTCGATCTTTGTTGGGTTGACTGTTGGTATGTACTTTGTAATGGGGACGAGGAAGGTGGGTGGAAGAGGTGCTGATGGCTGCGTTAGGGGCGCCGCCTCTGAGAGAGTATGCGAGTCCGGAGTTGAAGGCGGAGATTTTGCCACAGATTTTGAATGGAGAGAAGAGAATTTGTCTTGCTATTACAGAGCCGGTATGTTGGCAAGGCCTGGGAGCTGCTTGAAGTGCAGAAAGGTACTGACGGTGACCAGTCGGCCGGTAGCGATGTACGGAATATTACGACAACCGCGGAGAAGGACGGCGATGTCTACGTGGTCAATGGCGAGAAGAAGTGTACGTCTTCTAATGTTGAATCATGGGTGTTGAAGCGGACTAATTGGTCAACGCAGGGATTACGAACGGCATCTTTAGCGACTACTTCAGTACGCACACGTCCTCTATCCACTCTCACAGCTCTAACTCTTATTACCTACAGTGACGGCGGTCCGCACTGGCGGCTCAGGAGCAGGCGGCATCTCAATGCTCCTAATCAATCGCCATCTGCCCGGCATCAAATGCCGCAAAATCGAAATCGGCGCAGGCAAGCTCAGCGCCACAACCTACATCACCTTCGAAGACGTCCGCGTACCCGCGAAGTACCTCATCGGCCAGGAGAACGCCGGCTTCCGCCTCATCATGAGCAATTTTAACCATGAACGCCTCTGGATCGTCTTCCAAGCGCTCCGCGGCGCTAGGACGTGCCTGGAAGATGCGATGAAATGGGCACAGAAGCGAGAGGTGTTCGGGACGGTGTTGATTGAACAGCCGGTGGTGAGGCATAAGTTCGGTCTCTGTGCGAAAAAAGTCGAGGGACTGCAGGCCTGGACGGAGCAGGTGGTTTATGAGCTTGATCAGTTGAGTGAGGCAGAGGGGAATCGGTTGCTAGGCGGTGTGACTGCTTTGCTGAAGGTCGAGGCTGGGATGGTGGGGAAGTTTGTTGCAGACGAATGTGTGAAGATCATGGGAGGGTGAGTCTTACCGTGAAATTGGCGAGTAAGACGAGATTATGTGCTGACGAGGTTCTGTTGCAGGCTTGGCTTAACGAAGACCGGCCAAGGCTCAAGAATCGAGGCCATCTCGAGAGGTGTCATTGGGTTGATCGTGCCGGGCGGCTCAGAAGATGTGATGATCGATCTAGGTGTTCGAGAGGCGCTGAAGTTGAGTCGGGCACAGCAGAAGGCGGCGGCGAAGCTATGAACGTCCTCTGTGTCTTCTGAGAAGTCTGTTCTAGTTGTAAACGGATCAATTATGGTGACTCGTGAATCTATGCTCCTTCCTGTTCGAGCGACATGTGCGTTCGCCGAGAACGGAGCAATGCGCATGTCGCCTTCGTGCGGAGAACAACGACCACGAACATTGGACCGTGGATACCTCGGGCCCATGAAGACTTGCACTCTTCAATCAATGGAGACAAAGGTAGGTCTGCTTTTCAAACTGTAGATGTTCTAAGAGCTGAGAAGAAACAATGATGCTTCGATCATTCCTCCTGTGGGCGTCCATATTCCTCAGGACTTATGCCATCACCCAACCATCTGCCAGTTTCGACTACATCACCCAAGAGATTGATTTTCTCGCTCCCCTCCATGAACGTCTAACAGGCTCGCCAACACACTGGGCTGTCATCGACCGTATCCAAGCACAACTCGAACAACTCGGCCTCGAAATCCAGTGTGACGACCTCAAGTTCACATACTACGATGGCCCTCTCTCCGAACCCAGTATCCACATCAACGGCGAAAGCGTACCGGTTACCTCTTACTCAAAGTATTCCGGTTTCACGGATGCAGACGGCGTCAGTGGTCAACTCGTTGATCTCACCACCTCATCTCTAACACAGATGCCCGACTGGAAGAAAGCCAGCGGTAATATTGCTCTGACCAATATCACGAACCTGGCGTACGATCTACCAGATCTGCTTCCTGTATGGCCTGGCTCGCCGCCGTGGGAGGTGCAATACGGCAGTCCGGAGGTAAATGCAGAAGTGCTTGTGCACAACCTGACTGTCGCCGCGGACGCAGGTGTCAAAGCTGTAATCTATGCCTGGCAGAACGCTTCCACTGGCTTGGTTGAGGGACAATGGGTTCCATTCCACAACCTCTACCAGGGCGTTCCTACGCTCTTCGTCCAAGGCGAATACGGCGGCCTCGAGAAGCTCCAGCAAGCTACCAGCGACGGCGCCGAAGCGCAAGTAACGCTCGAAGCCCAGATGCAACCCGGTCGAACAGCTCGCACGCTTTGGACAGTTATCCCCGGCACAGACCTCAAGAACGAATCCGTAATTTTAAACACGCACACCGACGGGACCAACCTCATCGAAGAAAACGGGTACATCGCCCTCCTAGCCTACGCCGCCGAACTCGTCGCCAATCCGCCTCGACGCACAACTGTTCTTCTGTTCGTAGGCCAGCACATGCACTTCGAAGCCTTTGCGCAAGCGCCCCAGCGCGCGACGAGTCGATGGCTCAACCAGCATCCAGAGTACTGGGCCGGTGAGGGGCAGAGACATGCTTTCGGGTATGGGGGGCAGTTGAAGGGGGTTGTGGGGTCTTGTGTTGAGCATTTGGGGGCTGTGCATTGGGACGAGTCGGTTGAAGATGATCGATGGTTTGCTACGGAGCAGATGGAGCCAGAGCTGCTCTATGCTTCGACGCCTGAGCTGAACCGGCTGTTGAGGGAGCAGTGGGTGGGTGCTGAGCCGAATGTGACAAGGGTGTCGAATCCGGTTGACTCCGAAGGTCCCCAGGCTGGGGAGGGCTATCCGTTCTATCTCGTCGCCATACCTAATATTAGCCTTGTCACCAACCCAAGCTATCTGCTCAAGATCTGGCCGCACAGCTTCGACGAAAAGCGCCTGATGGACTTGCATGCCACACGACGACAGATTGACAGCTTCTTCCGGGTGTGGAAGGGCATGGACATGATGAGCGCTGAAGAGATGGGCGTGCAGAGTTCAAATGGAACACAGCAGGCGTTGCATGTTTGAGAGGTAGCACGGTTCCCGATAGAAATGCGTCGAGCCGCGCTGCTCCCAGTATAGCTTCAACACGTTGCTTAATCTGCCTCCTCACTTACTGTCCGTTACTCTTCCTGGCCTGAGTACCCGGTGCGAGTCGACTGTCGTTCCTGGACTTGATGGCACCATCTCTTCGCAGACCTATGGGTGTCTCCAGGCTTTTGCAAGCGAAGTCCTGATACTCACCTTCCGCGCCGCTCATGTCCTATGGGAAATAGAAATGCACAAATAGCCCAACCTCCTCTTCCTCGCCCACACCTCCTGCATCATTCGCATCATGTACCGAGTTCGGACTCCTTGTCCTCACAAGAAAACTCTCGTCCTTCACCATCCTCCCTCCAGTCGCGGCAACGAACTCAGCACTCCAGCCCTGATTAGCCCACGCCGACCCCGGACACGCAGACGCCGCTTGCTCAACTATACTTGACAGCTCGGCAGCATGCGCGACATCTTCCGCACTGGCAGTCCTGGCACCACCTTCTGGCACCAATGCCTCACGCAACCATCCTGGCAAACAGTCGGGTTCAAGTAGTAGATTTGACAGCAGCAAGACCCAGACATCCTCTTCCCATCCCGCCAGCCGTAGTTGTGCAAGATCTGAAGTGCCAGCGTTTGCAGCGATACCGTGCAGAAAAGCTGGCGGTAGCAGAGAGTGGCTGTCCAGAAATGTCGTGAAGGCAGCAAGGGTGAACAGATTGGAGCCGCTGGGGACCACCGGAGCTGCCGAAGACTTTTGCGCGCGATAGATCAGGCCGCGGGTATACGCTTTCAGCGCGGCGAGAATGGTTGTAGTGATCGTGATCTGAGAGTTGCGGTAGATAGAGGCGTAGTGCTGTTTTATGTTCTGTGGTTCTGTGGTCGGTGTGGTGGACTGAAGGGTCTGTAGCTTGGGTGTGAGAGACGTCGCGATCATGCGGGCGATGTGAGGGAGGTAACGACGTCCGCTTCCGTCCACATCCGTCAAGTACGAGAGTGGTTGTGCAATGAAGGCGAATGGGAGGCCGCGCTCATGGCGGAGAACGTAGGTGAGAAGTTCAAGTAGAGATTCCGGAAGTTGCTTGAATATCTGCGGTCGATTGGCAAGCCCAGAGCTCGTCTGCGACAATACCTCGGGTTCTTTCAGGTCGGAAGTAGCTTTCTCGGAATTCCAATTGCCTTGTTGATTAAAGAAGCCAGGATGAAACGGTCGTAACTCCTCCTGCAGTAGTTGAGGTGGAGCTTTGAGCGTCATTGAGACGATATCGTTTTCGTTCTGTGCTGTGCAGAAGCCATAACCTATCAAAAGCTCGCCGTTGCTCTTGGCCCCGTAGTTGTTGAACACCTCGCTTCCGGCTGCGACGCCTTCACGTTCGCCAGCTCCTGCCAACTTGATGGTGAAGACGCCGAGATCAAATGTCCAGTCGACTCTAGATTCATGACTGTGATTGGCTGCGTCCAAGCCGGGGAAAAGTACTGGGAAGTGGAGGTCTTCAGCTGGAGTAGAAGACATGTCCAGTAGCACAGCTTGCCGCCTCATACTCCCGTTCATCGATGAAGACTTGTAAGCTGCCCAGTATTTGCCGGATTGTGGTCTCAAGGTACGAGAAGAGAAGGAGCGAGATGTGTACATGGACACTGCCCAGAGGAAGAGGTGCCTGCGAAAGAATAAGATGTGAATATGAAGAAAATTTTACTTACCATGCTCGAATCAACTTACCATGTGTACGGTTTGCAGTCGATTCCTGCTTCTTGCAAAACCGCAATGCCATGATTGTAATAGCCCCCGTAAACATTCTGTCGCGCAATGACAGTGTGCCACACATCTGTACCATCCAGCCAGGCAATATCTTCTGCACTGTCGAAGAACAGTGCCTGCGTCAGTTCGCCGTCCGGACTCGGCAGTGCTTCCAGATACGGTTTCCAGAAGCTCTGCTCGCGATTGATGTACTGAGCCATCAGATAGAAATAGCCTATTGCCTCGACCTTGAAGCGTTGGCGTTGCTGTTTAAACACTGGATATGCGTTATCTACAAGAGCATTGAGGTAGGACAGTGCCATTGAATGAGGTGTTGAGGCGATGGTGGTTGCAGGAGGTATGGGCTTGGTCGCCCGTAGATGGACGCCAGACTCGTTGTCCTGTAGAATCCTGATGTCCGAATGGAGGTATGCGCCATTAGAGCTGAGCCAGGCCTCCAGCGCCTCTGTTTGTGGATTTGCTGCTGCCATCTTGAGACAGACAAGGTTCTCTCACCAGAATCGAAGTCGGAGTGTTAATGGCAGGAGAGGAAGTCGAGAAAAGATGGACGAAGTCTGAAGTGCACGGACCGTCTCGCCTTCCAACACCGTCCCCTTTAGTGAGCCTTACAAGTCTTACATCCCATCGTTGCTTCAGTCTTCTTTCGCAATATATGGCGCCCGCTGGCCGTCTTTCGGTCAGGTATGCCCGGAAGATAGCCACAAGGGAGTTGACCACTGTCTGGCAGGCATAACGCCTAAGTCCGTGGAGATCGATCCAGGTTGCATCATTGAGACATTCATCCTTTCAATGGCTTGACACTCGCCACGCGTAAGTTAAATGAAACATAAGTATTCCTTTTCTTCCAGTCTCCAAGCAAGAATCACAGGAAGACAACTCTTGCGGACGCACAAAGTCGACAGCTAGCTACCGACAATGGCCTCCAAATCCGCCGTCGAGGTCGTCTTCGGGGCGATGACCTTTGGGCACGCCGGTAAGCATTCGACCCGGACACACTCCAACTACGTCCGTAGCCGCCTGGCTGCTAACAAAGATACAGGTGGTCAACAAAGCCGAGTGAACGACCTCAACACAGCTGGCGAGATCCTCGACATCTTCACCAAGCATGGCCACAAGGAAATCGACACGGCTCGCGCATATGGCGAAGGTACCTCCGAATCCATGCTCGGCGATCTGGACTGGCAGAAACGAGGTCTTGTCATGGAAACCAAGCTACACGTTACCAAGGGCAGAGAGGTGCCCGCAGGCTGGGACCCGAATATCTGTCATCAACCGCAGCCGCTGCGGGAGAACCTCATGAAAAGCCTCAAGGAGCTCAAGACAGACAAGATCGATATGTACTACCTCCACCAGCCGGACCGATTCACGCCCTTCGAAGTCACCATGAAAGCCGTCAACGACCTCTACAATGAGGGCTACTTCAAGCGCCTCGGCATCTCAAATTACCAAGCCTGGGAGGTCGCTAAGATCTGCGAGATCTGCCGTTCCAATGGATGGAAGCAACCGGACGTCTACCAGGGTGTCTATAATGCCCTGCACCGCTCCGTGGAACCAGAGCTCTTCACATGTCTGCGTCACTACGGCATGGCGTTCTATGCCTACAATCCATTGGCGGGCGGGTATCTTACTTCTCGCTACCACCGTGAGGACAAGGACAACGAGATCGAGACTGGTGCGCGGTTCGATCCCAACCGCTGGCAAGGCAAGATGTACCGTGCTCGCTATTGGCGCGATGAGTACTTTGACGCTTTGGATCTGCTTCGGCCAGTGGCGAAGAAGCATAGTCTCACGGAAGGCGAGTGTGCGATCAGGTATGTGTCTTCCTTGAGACCCTTCTACTCCAACCCAAAGCTCGAGACACCGGCTGACCTCTTCATTATCAGATGGATGAACCACCACAGTATGCTGAAGCGGGAGCACAAGGATGCCATTATCATCGGGGCGAGTAGTACAAAGGTAAGCTCCGCCAGTCCTCTCGCGCTTGTCTGAGACTGACGATGAGGGTGTAGCACATGGAAGAAAATATGCTTGACTTCGAGAAGGGCCCGCTGCCGGATGATGTTGTAGAAGCTCTTGATCAAGGATGGGAGGGGTGCAAGGGCATATCAATCAGGTACTGGCATTGATCGGTGGATGTCAAAGGCTGCTGTATTGAATCTTGATTTTACATCGCTAGCATAAGCCGTTGTCCATCGTCGCTGTGTTGAACGCTGGTCTTGTTGAGAAGAAGATCATGAACGACCGCTCGCTCACTCTCCGATAACGGTCAGCGCTAAGCCTTCATCAAGCAAGGGCAAGCGCTGCCATCAAGCTTTTCTTGTAGCGTGGTCTGGGCCATGCAACGTGAACGTCGACAGATAAGACACAGACAGATCTCGTATTAGATATGAATGTCGTCCCCTCCCACCTCCAGCCGCATTGCGGCACGCCAAACATACGGCACGATGATGGACTCCGATGACCTTGACAACTCCGGGAAGCACTCCGGCATCACCGTTTCACCAACATGGTCGACCCCATCACCAGAACACCTACCCGGCCATGAAAACACCGACCTCCTCACCACCCACGAACACCGCGACCTCACACGAGGCCTCCACCAACGCCACATCTCCCTCATCGCCATCGCCGGCGCCATCGGGACAGGCCTCTTCCTCGGTCTCGGCAGCGCGATCCAAACCGCCGGACCTGCTGGAGCTCTACTGGGCTACGCCACCGTCGGACTCGTGGTATGTACGGTGCAGTTCGCGCTCGGGGAGGTAACGGCGCTCTTGCCCGTTACAGGGAGCTTTGTGCGGCATGCGGAGTTTCTTGTGGATCCGGCGATGGGGTTTGTTGTTGGGTGGAATATCGTGTATGGTATGTAACCGTTCTGTTCCCCCTCTATGCGTCGCCGCTGTGTCTCAGATCCTAAGGGCTGCGCGAGCTTCTTAGCCGAATTTGCCTAGAAAGCATATTCAGCTTTCAAGCACTCGCCTTTGACCTTGGTCTTGGACATAGTGACCGCCGTGAAACTCGTAAGACACGAGTTGGGTGACTCTAACTCTGCATCGAACAGGGAACTGGCTGTCAATCCCAGCGGAGATCTCAGCGATATGCGTGTTATTCCAGTACTGGCTCCCGGACCTCAATCCTGCGGTCTGGATTGTGTTGACAATAGTACTGACGTTCGTCGTTGGCATGGCTTTGGTCCGGGTATACGGAGAAGTAGAGTTCTGGTTTGCTCTGCTCAAGATTGTGTTCATCGTCTTCCTGATCATCCTAGGCCTGGTCATCTCCCTCGGAGGCGTACCGGGAGTTCCGAGGAAAGGCTTCCAGTACTGGCACAAACCTGGCGCGTTCGTCGAGCACATTGGCACTGGCGACTGGGGCCACTTCCTCGGATACTGGGCAGTGATGTCGAGTGCTGTCTTCAGCTTTGCTGGGACTGAATCGTTGGCAATGGCAGCAGCTGAAACTCGCAATCCTCGGCAAGCGGTCCCTGCTGCTTGTAAGCGAGTGTTCTGGAGAGTGCTGGTGTTCTACATATTAGCTGTGCTCGTCGTCGGGATGCTCGTCCCCTCCACCGATCGAAGGCTCAACGGCTGGTCCGGAACAGCGACGCAGTCGCCTTTTGTCATCGCAGCGGGGGACGCTGGAATTCCTGCGATAGCATCTGTCGTCAACGCCGTCGTAATCACCTCCGCGTGGTCTTCATCGAATCAAGCACTTCTGTCCGGGACTCGTGTCCTCTACAGTCTAGCCCTGAAAGGTCAGGCGCCGAAAGTACTGCTTCGAACAACAGCTTGGGGCATCCCGTATGTCTGTGTCCTCGTCCAGACGGCGTTCATGTTTCTAGCGTTCATGTCGCTCTCAAACGGCGCCTTGACGGTGTTCTGGTGGTTTGTCGATTTGACGGCTTGCGGCGTCCTGATCAGCTGGATCTCCATCCTGGTCAACCACCAACGCCTGATCATGGCAATGAAGAAACAGAAGATACCGCTATCCGAGTTACCCTGGCACACAGGCTGGACGCGCTTCTCCACGCCAGCAGCATTAGTCCTCAGCGTCATTATCCTGCTGACAGGCGGCTACCCAGTCTTCACGAAGGGGAATTGGTCAACGAGCGGTTTCGTCTCATCGTACCTGGACATCCCGCTGGTACTGCTGGCTTTTGGGCTTTGGAAGTTCTTCAACAAGACTAGCTTCATGAAGCTTGAAGATGTTCCGTTGCGAGAGGCGCTAGACGACTACTTGGAGAATCCGGAGGAGAAGGAGCCGGCTTCGAAGGGCTGGCGGAAGGTCGTGGGAATTTTGTGGGATTGATGTTCACCTACACTGGCTTATACGTACGATCACTGCCTCGTACTCCGTCTTCCAAGCTGCGCACCGCCATCAGTAGCCTTCTGTGGCAGGCGTCTGCCGTATGCCGCCTGCCCGGCCCCGAATCGTGCTCACGAGGCGTCCTTTCGTGAAGCATGAATCTCCTTCACCCTGGCCGTTAGAGGCGCCGCTGTAGTCTCCGTCCTGGACCACGGCTTCAGGGCGTGGCACCGAGAACAGCCCAGGCTTGCTCCAACGTACGGGGCTCCGTCTTCATCAGATTGTCCCTATAATCCTCTGCAGCTCCCGCCGAACGCCTTGTGGTTGAAGACGGGACGTCTCGGCCTCTCCATTGACCCCTTCTCAGCCCTCGAGATCTCTAAAGAGTTCCTGCTCCATCTCCCTCGGACACAGCTGACCAAACGACACATACTGCCCATCCGAGAACGCACCACCCCTCTGCTCGCCATCCTGCCCGGCGACAACCGCCGCCATGAACTTCCGCGCATGCGGCTGCACCCACATTCTCGGCCACGCTGCCTCTCGAAGCCCTTTGTCGCCATTATGGTGGATCATCACCGGAATGCGGTCGAGGCAGAGATTCGTGTACAGCGGGACTTCAGACCATTGCTGATCGGCCTCGCCAATCTGGCGCTGCGAAATCGGAGGTTCGGTCTTTGAAATATCGGCTGGGATCTCGGGAGTAGCTCTGTTGGGGCAGTCGAAGTGGCCGGTGCGATCTTTTGCTTGATCCTGGATGTCGCCGTTGTGTCTGATGTAGCGAGAATCCTCCTCTGAGTTTACAGTCTGCTGTCCTAGCTCGGAGAAGTAGTCCAGTCCGATAGAAAACTCGTCTGGTTTCCCTGCCTTCTGTTCCATTGGCTCGTGCGTGAATGAAGGATTCAAGGGATCGTCAATAATAGTTCCCTCGATCTTGCTCGGTGGCACCTTCAGCTTTCCTCGAGCCTTGTCAAGGCTGGTGAGATGACGACGACGCATAACTTCTCGTTGAAATTCTTGCTCGCCCAGGATGGTATTGAAGATGCTTTGGTCGCTGCCGTGATACATGAAGTCCGCGCCTCGGCTGCCGTTGTCCCACTCAGGGTGGTCCTGAATCGCATCGACTTTGGCTTGTGCTCGCCTAAACATCTCACGCATGTCCTTCACGGGGCCAACGACGTATCCAGAGTTCAACCAGCGCTGGCGGAGGCTGGTGTACTTGTTGCGGCCCATAATAGTATCGGTGTTAGTCCCGTACACATCATCAGGCAGTGGGGTCTCTGGCATTGGATAGCAGGCAACTGTGTGGACCTGGTTAGGTGCACAGCGCTTCCCGGATCCAAAGATGATCGTTTGCCGGATCCCCTCCGCATCGTAAGCCTTGCCCAAGCGGTCCGACAGACGCTTGTTGGCCGCCGCATTAATCGAGTGGTATCGACTGATAAGCGTGTCTTTCCGCAGTTGGAACCAGATGTCTGCCTCGAGGTGAGCCTGCTGGTTTCGGGCATTATCGTAGTAATCAAACGAACCATATGCGTCCATCATCAATACTAGGTCATTGTCTCGAGACGCATCTTGCGCTTGTAGCCATTCGAGAACGCCAGTGATCTTGGCGATATGGCTACCTCCGCCGAGAAGTCCGCCTGGTCAAACTTGTGAGTGAATGATCAGTCTGGAAACGGGAGGACCATACCTGTATTAAAAGTCTTATTTAACGATATGAGCGTCGGGATCGGATAGTCCAGCGCCGTCGCCGTAATAATGGTCTTGCAAAGGTTCACCTCTTCGTTCGAAGCAGGTAGTAACAGGTGCAAGTTCTCCGCCCGCTGGGCCTCTGGTTGCTCATCCTTCGACTCAGCAGTACCTGTTCTTAGACTCGGCAGATTTGACGGGCTCTGGAGGCCATGCTGATGTGGGAACCCCTCATGTCAGTGAACCTGTCCTTTCATCCGTAGGAAGGTGGCACATACCCGACCAAGCCCCAGCAGTATGAACCCCCCAAGCACCACTCCCAAAATCAGCAGGACCTGCCGGCCCCTCGCGCTCGACCCGAGAATCATCTCCCAAGCTCAAGGCGAACGTACAGAGTGGAAAATCTACCAGACGGCGTTGCGGTGTAGTCCTGATGGCAGAAATGTCACTCGAAATCACACAAAAAGCAGGAGAAGTTGGACGGACCAATCATTCGCGCCTCGAGTCAAATGCTCCCCCGCGGATATTGGCGATCCCACACGGCGCCACAAGTGAGAGAAACAGGGTTCCGGATCTGCCGTGCGCCCAGGCCCGGCCAGGAACTTGAAACACTGCGGTGACGAGGCGGCGGCGTCTGGGGATTACGAGGGCGTGGCGGTGGGCGGGCGTGGCCGGAAGTGGCGGAGTGCACACATAAGGCACACCTACAGGCACCCATATGCGTTGTTGATTGCTAAATATGGAGGACGACGTGGCCATTGGCAACACATCAACGTGTACCATGAGGCTTCACTGCTGCATCGCCGTCTTCGTCGTCACCGAAGTCTGCGAGTAAGAAGCGTGGGAGATACCTATGGTAGTCGACCATGCTGGACGAGAGGATGGACTGGCAACATAGGTGAACAGCGTAATCTATACTCAATGAACCAACGGCAATACCCAAGCGCCCTTCCCATCCCGCCAGATCTCCTCATGATACGCCTCACAAACATCATCAAACTTGATCCAGTTGTCTCCCCCACTAGACCCCAACGCCGCATACCCATTCCTCGCCCCTCCCTTCCAGATGTCGTAAGGCCAGAACTCCCGCGCCGTAGCATTATCATACCCCGAGTAGGCAATCGGCACCACAGGCGCGTAGATATGTGCATCCAGCAGCGTTCGCGAGTGGTTCTGGAACCAGATGTTCGGCCACCACGTTTCGCGCAGCGATTTGAGGCCGTTGCGGTGGGCGTTGTGGTGGATGATCGCTGGAGTGACACCTGTCCAGACGTCGGTGAAGAGGGAGACGTTGCGCCAGCTGGTCCAGCGCGGGAGGTCTTTTTCGTAGGAGAAGGTCCAGAAAGGCGGTAGGGAGGCGTCGATATCTGCTTCGATGCCTTGTAGATGGCCAGTGGTCGGGTCAATACTGCGAGATGCTTGGACGTCGCGGAGCTGCGCTTCATCGTTGAAGTGCACCCACTCAGTGTCGTCTTCGGCGAAGACGGTATTGAGCCCGATCTTGCTCTCGTAGTCCACGCCAATGCCGAACTCGAAGTTGCCGTCCTCGCGAGTCTTTGCTTTCTCGACCACTTCTGTCAGATGCTTTTCGTTGTAATTGCGATTTGCCGGTGGGCCACGCCACTTGTGCTGCATCTTCTGCCTGGCAGACATGGAGTCACGCCGTAAGACCTCCCGCCACACTTGCTGGTCGCCGAAGATATGACTGAAGATGAACTGATCACTGCCGAAGTTTCGCTCCTTCTCGGCCTGCGCCAGCGCCTGCCCAAACATCTTCCGCATCGCACGAAGAGTGCCCATGCCGACTCCAGAGTTTAAGAACCTTTGCCTGTACTTGATGTACGGATTCTCTTCGTTTCCAACGTCAGTATCCGTCTCAGGCCCATAGATGTCCTTCGGCAAATTCGACTCTGGCACAGCATAACAAGGCGGGTCGTCAAAAGTCCACGGCCAGCACCTCTTCTGACACCCAAAGATAATCTCCTGCCTAATCCCATACTTCTCAGCCGCCGGCCCCAGCTCGTTGCGAATCCTCTGATCCGCTCTCCGGTTAACGTCAAAATACCGATCAATCAGCGTCTGCGGCCGGAGTTGAAACCAGATATCAAAGCCATCGACCATGAGCACCAGGTCGTCCTCGTGGGTCTCGTCAAAGGAGGCGAGGTACTCGTAGACACCGGAGATTTTCGCCAGGTGGGAACCGCCTTCCACGAGACTTCCGTCGCTGAAGTCCTTCTGCCAGTTGATGATGGCTGGACTCGGGTAGCCGAGGATTGCGGCGCTGAGGAGGACTTTGCACAAGTTGGGGTCCGCTTTGCTCGCCGGTATGACCACGTGTAGGTTTGACGGTTTTTGCGTGGCAAGTTCTGTCGCTGTCGGTGGGAGTAGTGGCTGCCGTGCGTTAGTCTGACTGCTCACATCTGTGCGTGAAATGCCACTCACTCTCGCGATATAATGTATCAAAAACAGCACCGTCAGAACAAACACAATCACCGTACTCTTCTGTCCCTGCCATAACCCCATAAACCCATCCCTCTGCCCATCCACCACCGGCCGTTTCGCTCCCACCCCATTCGCAGCGCCGTTGGGCGTCGTGTGCTCTACACCATCGCCGCTGTTGATGCGTCCCATGAGAAAGTTCCGCGATGAACAAACGTACTTGTCGCTATGTCACTGTGATAGTATTTTCAGTCTTCCGAGCATGATCCCGTCGCATCCGACAGCCCGAAAGACTCGACTTCAATGTTACGGTATTGGTTCCACAGCGAAATGAAGAAGTTTGAAAGTTATCACCGCCCGCGGGAAGCTTTGCCTTGACTTTTCTTGGCGCGTCTCAGGGGCACGTCGGTGGTCTCCGGTGGTGGCGAACTTGAATCAGACAGTTTTGCTGGTCAAAGCAAAATTAGAAATGCACATGGTTACGAGGCACATTGAGGCTCATCAGAATGTGTACACATAGGCTGTGATCTTGGTATCATTGCATCTGCGAAACTGCTACGTAACAATCTCCGGTTCTGGCTTCGCGTCCTCCACCGTCTCCTCCGGCTTCTCGTCCGGCTTCTCCCCCTCATCATCCTCCTCCTCATCCTCCTGCTCCTCCTTCTCCTCCTTAGGAGGAGCGTGGTAGTACTCCTCATTCATAATTTCAAAAATATGTTCCTCATGAGGCTTGCACAGCTTGTTCCAGCTGAACCAGCCCCCGTCATCCGACCATGCGCCTCCTCTGCCGTTGAATGAAATGTCCTGTGCGTCCTGAGGTTCTGCGTTATACCACGTCAAGCCATTAATGGGAACGCCGGATATGGCTTCGCCGTCGAGTTTCCGTGCGGCCTGCCGCAGTTCGCTCGCTCGTGTCTGGAACCATAACCTCTGCCACCAAAACCTTCGCAAGGCCTTCTCGCCGGATCCGGTGAAGTGGACTGAGACGGGGATCTGGCCAGTCAAGGGGTTGTAGAGGAGCTCAACTTCTGACCAAGATGTCATGGCGTCGGTGCTGGCGTCGTCGCTCGAAGCCAACGCGTGAAAAGGCGGCCGAGAATGGCGGATGTCGTCTGGTAGCTGCATGACATGCGGCCTCCAAGTTTGAGGTCGACTGAATGTCACCTGCGTCCGTTCCGGCTCCCACGAGTCCTCTGGCCGCATGAAGATCAGGAACTGCTTGTAGAAAGCGACTGTCTGGAACGCAGTAGACTCGTAGTCGATCCCGATGTGATACTCCGTCTTGTTGGCAGGATCGAGTTGTGGCTCATTTCTCACAATCTCAATGTCTGTGTAGTTCCACTCAATGCCAATGCGCTTGCTCTTGGCCTCCAACAGCAGCTCGGGTCTGTGTGTGAGCCTGGCATATTCCTGCTCGCCGAAGATGTTGGCGAAGTAGAACTGGTCCGAGTCGGTCTCGTACTTTGTGTGGATCGCTTCCAGCGTTGAATTGAACAGATCTCTCACGTCCTTCACGGGCCCAAAAACCGTGCCGGAGTTGAGCCATCGTGGCATGAACATATCAATGTGAATTCGAGACGTCTCCGGTCCAAATGCGTAGTCGGGTAATGTGGCCTCGGGGACTGCCCAGCATGCCGGACGACTATAATCAACCGGCCAGCAGAGCTTGTCAGGGCCGAAAATGATTGTCTGCCTCATGTCTTGGGCCTCGAAAGTTGCATCGCCGTAAGTCTTGCGCATGCGGTCATCCGCCGCGCCATTGAGAGCGTAGTATCGTTTGATAAGGACCTCTGGTGGCAGCTTTGCGAGGGGTCAGTACTCATCACTCCAGGCTTGGGAGGCTGTACGAACCTGGAACCAAATATCATATCCATCCACAATCAGCACAAGATCCTCCGCATACTCGCTCGACGCCTGCAGCTGCTCCAAGTACTCCAGAAACCCACCCACTTTGGCAATGTGCTGCTTGTAGGGATCCTCCAAATCTTCCGGATCGTCGAAGTTGATTAGCACTGGGGTAGGGTAGCCCAGTATCTGCGCCGACAGCAGAAGCTTGCACAAATCTGGTCCCGAGCTCGTGGCGGGTATCAGAAGATGTAGTCGGCCTTTGGTCGCATGCACAACCTCCTGCTGTCCTTCAGAGGAGAAGTCTCCTACGACCACTGGTGTGATGCCTGCGAGTGCATTCTCCGTCTCTGGCCTCGAGCTCCGCCAGATGACAGCAACGAGAATCGCCGCAAGTACGAAGGTCAAGGCGGATCTCGAGGGTTTGGAGGACAGCAGGGACCAGAAGGAGCCTTCATGGCGACCGAAAGCGCGCGGGAGCATGAGTCTCAGTGTTGTGAAGCGCAAGCATGCCGGTGTTTGGGTGGCATGCTACGGCATTTGGAGGAAGAAGAAAAGTTCACCGAGTCAACCAAGTGCGTCGCGACCGCGCAGCACGACACGTCTCGATATTTGGTAATCTCAAGCCGCGCCACGGAAGGACGTTGAGGTACCCTGGCAAGGTGGTGGCTCTGCTCTGGCGCATGGGTGGGGGATGAGCTTGGCTTAATCACACGCCCGCGGAGGTGAAGGATGTGGAGGATTGGAAGGATTGGGTGCAGCGACTGACGAGTGCCAAGTCGGCTAAGGCTTTTCACTGCCTGTTAACGATCGCGGATGATGGCGTTTTTCTGCACCTCACCCCTTGCATCTCCGCCGGTCTGAAACTCACTTGCCACTCCTCCACTCGCTCGACGCAGTTCCTGGCTAGAATTGACGGGAGAACGTGGGAGCCGGGATCCTTTCATCACTTCAACGGACTCCGACCCGCAACTCTATCTGTCCCGTGTCAGCCGTCATGGCGAACAGAAACCCTCCGCTTGCCTCGTATTCAGTGCCTGTTGCATGCATCTCCTCACTCCGAATTAGAATCAGCTACCAGGTAGACCTGCTCGAGACCTGCATATTGATCAATGCCGGCAGGGGTTGGTTGGCCAAACAGGCTCGTCATCAAACGCCTGCCTTTCCCGCTGTGCAACAGTGCAACGTGGTGATTCGGGAGCGACGGAATGGAGGGGATCTGGCCGGCCTGGCGACACCGATGCTTCCGGCCTAGCCGATTCCTTCCCCAAGCAAGAGTGAACCTTGTGTTGGGCCAATCTCATGGAAAGTACTGGGCACACCCGGCACATTGCAAATCGTCGACCCAGCCTCTGACGCCGCGACGTTTGCCAAGTATAATAATCTCGATTCGGAGCTTGCGGCGCAGTAGGTTTGAACAGCTCTTCGGTCCTGTGAAACTCTTAACTGTTAAGAGTCCGTCTGCAGGCGCGCGCCTTCCCTCACAGAGCCTCTAAAGCTTCCTTGCCTTATCGATCACCGATCACCTCACATTGTCCCCAGCGCGACTGCTCTCACCTTTCACTTACACTTGGCAGCAGCGCAGCTTTACAGGATTATCTTTGCATTGCGGATATGGTACGGACCGTGAAGAACATATGCTGCGTGGGGGCGGGATATGTGGGAGGGCCAACGTGCGCGGTCGTTGCCTCGAAGAATGAGGACGTCGATGTGACGGTCGTCGACCTCAGTCAACCCCGAATCGATGCCTGGAATTCGTCGCAGCTCCCAATCTACGAGCCTGGCCTACAAGAGATTGTCGAGTTCGCGCGCGACGGCTCCGACCAGCGTCGATCCAACCTCCATTTCTCGACCGACGTCAGAGGCGCAATACAGAAAGCAGATTTGATATTCATCTCGGTCAACACACCTACGAAGACTGTGGGTGTAGGCGCAGGACGGGCAGCGGATATCAAATAGTATGTTGGTCGTTGCTATACAGCCTCGAATTCACCTCTAACCTTTCTCTACAGTGTCGAGGCAGCAGCTCGCGAGATCGCAGAAGTCGCAACCAGCGACAAGATCATTGTTGAGAAGTCGACAGTCCCGTGCGGCACGTCAGAAATACTACGAGACATCTTCGAGGCGGTCGGCGAACCCCACGTCCGTTTTGACGTACTATCAAACCCAGAGTTCCTGGCAGAAGGCACCGCGATAGCGGATCTGCTGTCTCCAGACCGAATCTTGATCGGGTCAGAAGGCACGCCGGAGGGTCTCGAAGCTGCGAATGCTTTAGCCGACGTGTACGCCGCTTGGGTCCCGCGAGAGCGCATCCGAGCCGATGTGAACATCTGGTCGTCTGAGCTGGCCAAATTGGCAGCCAACTGCATGCTCGCTCAACGAATCAGCAGCATCAACTCGCTCAGTGCCATCTGCGAAGCTACCGGTGCGAACATCAAGGAGATTTCGCATTCCGTGGGATTGGACAAGCGGATAGGTCCAAACTTCCTGAAAGCTTCGATTGGATTTGGCGGCTCCTGCTTCAAGAAGGACGTTCTGAACCTCGTCTACATGGCCGAGACTCTTCACCTGCCAGAGGTTGCATCGTACTGGAAAGCGGTGGTCGACATCAACGAGTGGCAGAAAGATCGGTTCGCCAAGCACATTATCCGCGCTCTGAACAGCACCGTCGAAGGCAAGCGAATCGCAATACTGGGACTGGCTTACAAGAAGAACACCGGCGACACCCGCGAGAGCCCAGCGATAGCTTTCATCGGTCAGATGCTATCGGAGAGAGCACAGCTGGCAATCTACGACCCGAAAGTCAGCTACGATCGGATTCTCAGGGAGCTCGGCGACGAGTTCGGTCACGAGGCTGTCGCCAAATACGTCAAGCCTTGCGAATCTGCATACGCCGCATGCGAGCGAGCTTCCGCCGTCGCCATCATGACGGAGTGGGATGAATTCAAGACCGACCAACTGACCCCCCGACCGACGCTCGACCTCAGAGACCTCACCGTCTCGAAACTCAGCACCACACCCGTCGCCAAGCGCGCCGATTCCACGAGCAGCGCGCCCTCATCGCAGAGCGAAGACAACATGAGCTCGGACGAAGAGGGTCGTCAGTGCCCTAGCACCCCTCCCACCAACACGAGCAGCCCTACAACAGAGCTGAGCGATCCGACCAAACCGCTCTCTGACGGTTCTACACCTACCCGACTGGACTGGGCTCGCATCTCGACGCTCATGCGGCGACCACGACTCGTCTTCGACGGGAGGAACGTGGTGGAGGCTCCGAAGCTGCGCTCCCTAGGGTTCTTGGTGCAGAGCATTGGACAGAGGTCAGAAGGTCTTTTGCGACGATGATGGGACAACGACTTGAGAAGCGTGGAAGCTATACGTGAGCCTCTGGCCTCCTCGGGACCAAGTGCTGGAGCCCGGAACGGCCTTGGGGTCTGGAGACAACGGGGACGAAGGATGTCGGTTGTGCGCTGGCGCTGGATCGACGACGGGGCGGTGACTTGCTATTCATTGGAACATTTCTTTTGGGGTTTCGCGGTGGAACAGCGCTATTGGGAGGCATTGATTAACACAAAGCGATATCATTCTTGGGAGTCTGGGCAAGAGTGGAGATACCCGGGTAGCAGGTACAGGTGCACACGTTAATGTCACAATACGGTAGTAGAAAGGTGCATCAGCAATGAGCATCAATTACACATAGTAATCACTACAACCTCAAACACCACAACAGCACCACCTCGCACGCACAGTCTCATCATCCTCTTAAACTTCAAATCCCAGAATCATCCGCATCCCGCAAATACGCCGCGTGCTCCGGGTAGTAATCGCTCCAACTCCCACACGTCTCGTCGAAACTGTACACCGGCGGCGCGATCTCGCTGATATTCGCCGCCATCTCGAGGAACTGCACGCCCATGCCTTGCGCCGCGTGCTACGCGATGTGGCAGTGGAAGAGCCAGGGTCCTGATCACGATCATCTCGTCAGTATCCATGATTCAGAGAAGAACAGTAGATAGTACGGGAGAGGGTAGGTAACACGTACCAGGATTATCAACGATAAACGCTACCGCCAACCAACCCGCCGCCGGCATCATGGCGGTATCTCTGCGCATGGGATTGGCGAAGTTGAGCGTCGCGCCCGCCGTGTCGGAGAAGTTCCCCACGCCCTGCCCGAGGACGAAGAAGTCGTGGCCGTGTAGGTGGATGGGGTGGGGGATGGAGACGCTGATGGGGTCGCCGGGGACTTCTTGCACGATCCAGTAGGAGTACTGGTAGCTCAGCACGTATCAGTCAGCTTCATGGATGGTCTGGATGTGCGGTAGTGGGTGAGGGAAGGGGAAGGCTTACCTCGCCTTCGTTCGGTACGGCGATCACGTTCGCCGCGTCGGGGAAGCTGTTGTTGCCTTCCCAGACGTACTGTAACGTTGGTTTGTCCCAGGCTACGTGGATGGGGATGGTGTCGAGACCCCACTTCACCACCGTCGAGTTCAAATTGTTGACGCCGAAGTGGATCGCGGTGTCCAGCTGTCCGTACTGCTTCAAAGGTTCTTCGGGCACAGATCCGTTCTGATACGCCGTCACCACCTCATCCGAGCACCGCTGCGTATAGCTCGTACCCTGCGACGTCGGATTCGCCACCGGCGCCCCCTTGTACCGGAAGATGCTCCTGATATTCCCGTTATTCGCATTCCGTCCGCAATCCGGGCGCGGCTGGTCCTGCGCCTCCGCGCGGAACCAGTAGTTGTCGATGTCCTGGTCTGCTTCGAAGACGACGTCGTAGCGCTGGCCGACGGTGATGAAGATCCAGTCGGCGGTGTAGGGCCGGACGGGCGAGAGGTCGGCGGCGATGACGGTGAAGGGGTGGTTGTCCAGGGAGAACATGAAGGAGTTGTCGCTGGATTGGTTGATGAGGCGGAGTCTGTACTTTTTGCCCTTTGTGATGTTGGTGACGGCGTAGGAGCCGCTGGTGCCGTTTGCACTGACCATTGTGCCGTTGATTAGGCCTAGGCTGTTAGCGATGTGTTGACGGTTGTGAGATGGCAGATGAGCTCACCATTGTCCGCAATCGTCGGTGGACGGCCGAACGTATGCGAGATGATTGCTGAGCGAGCCGACGAGGTCTGATAGTACCAGTCTGTGACTGGTAGGGTACCAAGATCCTCATCGTAGTTCTCCGTTGATGGTCCATCAATGACAATGGAGCCGAGGATGCCGTCTCCATATTGCACTCCCTGTGATGCGTGAGTACGGTGTCAATGACTTCGGCAACAAGATGCACTCACCCAATGGCTGTGATACCACGAAGTCCCGTACTGAGTGGCCTGCCACCTGTACACCTTGGTATGACCCGGAGCAATCGGACACTCTGTGATGCCCGGCACACCGTCCTCAGCATTGGTGTACCACTGCCGAATGCCATGGAAGTGTATGCCAGTGCCGTTGTCCTGGAGGTAGTTCGTCACAGCAACCTCCACATAGTCACCCCAGTTGGCGTATATAGTGGGACCCGGGTATCCTCCATTGATCAGCAGCATCTCTCTTTCGACGCCATCCGGCGCACCGGTGCTGTTGGTGATGCTCAAGGAGTAGCTGCGGGTGACGCCGGTGTCGGGCCAGCTGGCGTAGAAGTCGGTGTTGATGTTGTAGCCAACGGACCAGCAGCCGCGGTTGGTGGCGGAGTTCTTGCAGCCGGAGGGCGTGGGAATGTACGGGCTCACGGGGTTGGTTGAGTTTGGCTGTGCACTGCCGCCGCCGTTTCCTCCGCCGAAGAGGTCCTTCCAGGCTGGCCAGTCCCAGAAGGGGTGGAGCCAGTACCACTTGATGTCGTGCCAAATGGTGTTGGGCCAGGGCTTGTCGTAACGTCCTTGGTGAGGCTGGGTCGAGTTTGGTGCAGCTGTAGTGTTCGATGCTTGCTGCTGTGCTGTCGCTGCCACCGCCGAAGCGATGATGCAGACTGCGTACACTGCTGCTTGTGAACGCATGTTGTCGATCTGTTGCTGGTGTAAGAATGGTTGCTGTATCACAAACCGAGTGTGTATGCGTGATGAAGCAGAGATGAAGGAATGCGTTGAAGTGAAGAGAATGAGAGTTGACCGCGAAGGATGATTGTGATGGTTCAAAGCGAGGCAAGGACTGCTGCCCTCTTGATTCTGCAGCAGGTAGGTGCCCCGTCGATGCTACCTTATCTTCTCATTGTAGCAAGAGCGGATGTCGCTGTCCAAAGACGGCCCGAGCTCACCTAGTCAGAAAGAGCAGATGACTGCCGTGAGCAACGTTTAGCACATACAGCCATTTCTTGGAGGACTTCTTGATTTTGTTAAGAAGCCTTTTCAGGCTCTGTATAATTTACAGCCATAATCTTCTCAGCCATTCGAGGTCGATCGGGAGATTACTGCACCTTGCAGAACTCATTCTGGACCCTCACACCTCATCACCTCCTTCTTCCACCAATCCCCATCAAATTACTCCTCCCCACCACCCCCAGCCGATGCACCCCCTGCCTTTTTTCCCAAACCTGGCTCCGCCCCTCCACCACCCCAACAACCTCACTAGCAATCCTCTGCGCAAAAGCCTCCCTCGTACCCTTCTTCCCCGCCGCATCCAGGATCCACGTCATCGCCTGCCGCCTTCGCTGTCTCAGCCCGAGCGGGACTGGAATTTGCAACGCCACGCCTCCTCCTGCTGCTCCACGCTGGGAACGAATGCGGAGGAGCGGGGCGACTGAGTCGATGGCGAGGGTGAGGTAGAGGATGGGGTTGAGCGGGAGGTGGGAAGCTGGTGGTGCGCCGGGGAGGAGCGGGCGGGAAGGGTTGTAGGTTGGAGCGGGCAGGGTGCGGAGGGTAGAGAGGAGGGAGGCGACGTGCTTTTCTGCAATGGACTTTTTGCCGTCGCGCATGATGAGGTTGGTGAGTTGGACGAGGATGGGGTCGTGGCGTTCGCTTTTGTGGGTGGGCGTTTGCGAGGGGAGGGGGAACTTGTGGCCGGGCTTCGGTTGTGACTCGGCGGTTGATGAGACGGTAGATTGAGAGTTGGTGTTGTAGACGGCGCGCTGTGCTTCGGATGGGATCATTGCGCCGTCTAGCTCTCCTTGTCCACTCATCGAGTCCAGCTCTGGCATGCGTCTTCTCGCGAATGTGCTGAAGCCCCTCTTCTGTCCACTACCCATACTTCCCGATCCAGTCGTCTCCGTCTTCGGGGCTGGATTCTCATGGCCCTGCTTCAACTCCTCCTTCATCACCTTCGGCGCATCCTTCTGCAGGTCCTTCTCCTCCGCCAGAATCTCCTGTACAGGCGTGCCAGCTTCGACGTCCGGCCCCTCCATGCCCTGAGACTTGGCCATCTGAGCTGCCTCCTCGCTCACGTGTTCGGAGTTGCGCGTATCCAGACTTTGCTGCTCGCTCGCAGGAGCCTTGGGCAGCGAATCGGGGTTATTGGTGCTGCTGCTGTATTGCCGGAGGCCATTGTGGGTGATGAACCTGGACTGGACTGGGCGTCGGTGGCGGAGGGCGATTGAACGGAGCCACGGGGCTGGGTTTGTCGAGGGAGGCATTGTCGCTGTTGTGCTGGTGGTGTTGGTGAGTCAATGGATAGAATACATGTATGTAGGATGGATGAAAGTCTGAAGTATAAGTGCACGTGACCATCAATCGGTACGGGCCTTGTTGGCCGAACGGAAAGTGGCGGAGAAAAGCTTGGGAGTGACGAGGCGGGTGAGGTGAGCTCGCAGGCTGTGTCTGAGTGATGATTGCGACAAATGGCGTGAAGGCGATATCAAATCAACGCACCACTCTCTCCCACCGCTGACGTTGATATACCACTGCTACCTCTCCGCGGCCGCGACGTTGCTCAACTCCACACTGTCCCAAGCTTCCACCAGCGACTCGGCGGCTTGCATCATCCCGCACTGCTGCCAGCCATTCGTGCAAGGAAAAGCTGCCGGCGACCACATTCACTGCTACGCCTGACGAGACCTACTATACACCTGCGCAGGATACACAACTGGACAGCGACACCCACAGGCTTTGATCTTTGGAATCCGCGCAGGCAACAGGTTTGCAGCAGCGACGGCGCGACCCTACCTCGACCGCCTGATTCCGCCAACGACCACCCAAAATGTCGAGTGTAATGCGGAGCGTGAAGAACGTGACCAAGGGGTACTCGTCGGTGCAGGTGAAGGTGCGCAATGGTATGTCGACACACACTGAGGAGGATGGTGGGCGGACGGCGAATCAAGCTAACATAGCATTACGATAGCGACAAGCAACGACCCATGGGGACCGACCGGCGGCGATATGGCGGACATTGCCAAAATCACATACAACAGCTCAACGGATTTCTACGAGGTCATGGATATGCTTGACAAGCGACTTAACGACAAGGGCAAGAACTGGCGGCATGTGCTCAAGTCGTTAAAAGTACTGGACTATTGTTTGCACGAGGGCTCGGAATTGGTCGTGACATGGGCGCGGAAGAACATCTATATTATCAAGACCCTGCGGGAGTTCATCTACCTGGACGATGAGAGCAGGGACGTGGGCGCGAGCAGTAAGTTGGATCGCAGATTTGGGAGAGGAATCGAGGACGTGCGACTGACATACCTCTGATCACAGTCCGACATTCCGCAAAGGAGCTCACTTCACTCATCCTGGACGAGGAGAGACTACGCGCCGAGCGTACGAATCGCGGGGCCTGGAAGTCGCGGGTGACTGGACTGGACGACATGGGCCTTGGCTACTCTCCCTCGGAACAACCGACACGCCGCCCACGCCAGATGCGACCACAGAGAGAGGACGAGGACGATCTTGAATACCGGTTGGCCATTGAGGCATCGAAGAACGAGGCAGAGGCGGATGCGGCACGTAGAGCCACTTCATCCGGCGGCGGGGGCGGCGGCGAGAACGACGACGACCTCGCCAAGGCAATCAAACTTTCGAAGGAAGAAGAGGAACTTCGACAGCGTGAGCTAGAAGATCAGAACCAGGCCAACCTTTTGTTTGACGATGCACCCACGGAGCAAGTTCCACAGCCTACGGGCTCCAATCAGGGCTATCAGCAGCAGTCCCAGGTCGATTGGTTCGGCAACCCTATCCAGCAGCAGCAACCTCAGTCTACCGGCTTCCTCAACAATGCCTATAGCCAACCAACAGGACAGTTCCAGAATGGTTACGGAGGTGGATACGGCTACAACCAACCTCAACAGACTGGCTATGATCCAATGCAGCAGCCGGCGCAGCAGTTTATCCAGCCACAAAACACGTACAACCCCTGGGCACAGCAAATGCAACAGCAGCAACCCACGAACGGCTTCGGCAATCAGCAGCAACCTCAGCAAGAACAACAACCTGCTGCGCAAGCCGGCTCAAACAACCCGTGGGCCTCGAACCAGACCGCTTCACCAATTGGCGCCCAACCCACCGGTTCCAACAACCCCTTCGCTACCCACCGACCCGCTGCTCAATCTTCATTCTCTCAAGCACCAACCCTCTCCACGCTCGCCGAACAACAAGCGACCTCCGACTTCTCCCGCCGTCCCAACCCCATCTCATCCTTCTCGACCCCTGGCCCCGCTCCCGGCCCCATCAGCACCCCATCGCCGGTCCACCAACAACAGCAACAAGCCCCCCGCTTCCCCTCCTCACTCTCCCAACAACAAACCGCCCAACCCCCACAAGACCCCTACCAAGCCAAACTCAACGCCCTCCTGTCCTCCGGCGAAGGCCAAGACACCTTCGGCAACACCGGCGACATGCGCATTCCAGCCCAACACACCGCGCCCGGCACTTTCGTCAACTCCGCCGGTGCGGGCTCGATGGGTCGGTTGGAAGCGAGCAAGACGGGTAACAACCCGTTCTTCTCGCAGAACACGGCAGCGCAGCAGCAGTTCCCCGCGCAGACGGGGCCGGCGATGGGTTTTGGGGGCAATGCGAATCCGTTTGGCAGTCGGGCGCCGGGGCAGCAGGCACAGCAGCAGCAGGGGTATGGAGGGTATGGACAGCAGCAGGGGCAGCAGGGGGGTGGGAGTTTGATTGATTTGTAGGAGATGGAGTTGATTGGGGTAGGAGTTGAGACGCTGGCGGTACTGCGATTTTTCGTGAGCAGGCGTTTGCTTAGACGATGTAGCGTAGGATGATATCTGGTTGGAGCGTACGGTGTATATATCATGACAGCAACCCCAATTTCACCATTCATGACCTACTTGATGCTTGTCAGGACTGCATGTGGTCCGAGCGCCACTTCAAGCACTTCACTTCCTCCCAACCCACCATCCAACTCCCCCATCACCACGACATCTCCCAACCCAACAACATGACCACAACCATCGCCCCCCGCGCCCGCTCCCTCTACCGCCGTCTCCTCCGCGAACTCCCCTCGCGCAGCCCCTCCATCCTCGCCAACCCTTCCCCTTTACAAAAACACATCCGCTCGGATTTCTCCACCGGCGACGTCTCCACCCCCAGCGACCCTACTGCACCAGTGCAAAGGCGACTCGAGGAGGTCGAGCAGCACGTACAGTACCTCAAAGCGCAAAGGATGTATACGACGCTGTTGGAGCGGTATAATCCGGGGGTGAATATGAATGAGGAGGAGAGGGTGAGGTTGACGGCGCGGAGGGTGGGGATGGATTTGCCTGTTGAGCAGGGGGGGAGTGGTGGGGGGGAGGGTGGGGAGGGGAGGTAAGAAGGGACGGGGGAAATGCTGAGGGGTTTTGAGATGGGAGGTTGAAGATGTACCGGGCTGGGGGCAGGAGGTGCGCGAGAAAGGGCGGTCAATTGAGGTGGAGGGTGCTACGCTAGCACCAGGATCTCTGGAACAGCAATGAGCTCGATATGACGCTGGAACAGGTCTCGCTCGTGGACCGGAATCTGCTCCAGCCAACACATCGCCGAGCGTGCAGTTACCACGCCTGTGGAACGCCATCCTTCGCCTCGACACCATATCTCATCAGGCCGTATATAGCATCAGGAGAGGAGAGGCTCGCCGACTGCCCCTGAAACCGGATGGAGAGCACTCACACACCACGAAGGATGGAGATGCAGGAGTGCAGTGCACGGATGAGCTCATGGCCGGCGAAGCACGCGCCAACCTTGAGGCTCCGGGCTTGCTCGGCTGCGCGGCACCGAACATACACGACAGGCAGCCGGCGTAGCGTCGATTCGCGATGGATGCGGAAACGGCACAGACCTGACAGTGGATACGCTGGAGCAGCAGCCCAGAAGGAAGAATGGGATCGGAACAGGCTCTTAAGGTGCCACGTCGGGATCACGTGATGAAGGGGCTTGTTGTCAAAGGTACAAGACCACATCGCCAGTCATTCTAAGAAGATCTGCGGTCTGCCCGATTGACGAGTGGGACGAACGATCGCAGTGACGCAGTGCGAGGCGTAAATATTGTTCTTACGTTCATTGTACATGACCACTTCGATACTACGACGTTTGTGTTCAAGCTCGAATCGTTCTTCGTCACAATGTCGCCTCTCATCAGTGTTTGCCTCATCATGCGAATGCGACTGCGATTCCGAAGTCGGACTTCAGATGGTAAATTAACGCTTTTCTGCCCTTTGACTTATGATCATTTCATATATCCCAATTTAAACCATCGCAGTATCTGATCTTTGCGACTATATCGACAACGCTAGTAGACTTGATCATGCCACCCTCACTAACCGACTTCCGCGTCCTCTCCTTCGACTGCTACGGCACCCTCATCGACTGGGAAACGGGTATATTCAACCAACTACAAAACTTTCGCTCGCTCCTGCCCACCACCCACAAGTTCCAGAACCGAGAGGAGCTCGTGGGCTACTTCACCAAGCAGCTCGCGCTCGAAGCGGAGCAGCCGGAAACGCCATACAACCAGATCCTATCCCAATGCTACGCCTCGCTCGCCATCGAGGCAGGAGTCGAATATAGCGATGACGAAGCCGACCTGTTCGGCAAAGGCGTGGGAGAGTGGCCTGCGTTCGCAGACACGATCGCTGGTCTGCAGATCCTGAAGCAGCGTTATAAGCTCGTCATCCTGTCGAACGTGGACAACGACAACATGCGCCGCACGCTCGCGGGGCCTTTGGCGGGAGTCGACTTCGACGGTGTCGTGACTGCGCAGGATGTCGGCTCATACAAGCCGGACCATAGGAATTTCGAGGCGTTGCTGCGGTATATCGAGCACGAACTGGGACTTAGTCGCGGAGAGCATCTCCATGTCGCCAAGAGTCTGCCGGTGGATCATGTGCCTGCGAAGCAGCTGGGTATTAATAGTGCGTGGATCGCGAGGGGCGAGGACGGGAACAGTGCGATGGGTGGGAGACTGGAGGATCTTGCGGATCGGGTGGCGTTTGAGCGGAGGTTTGCTTCGATTGGTGAGATGGCTACGGAGGTCGAGGGGTCGTTTTCTGAGTAGCTGAGGATAACGGACAACGCTCCAGGTGTAAGACGTAGATTTCATTCATATTTTCATCACACATGACTACCAACCCGGCGTCGCTTGCGTTCAGGGCGGAATCCTTCATCTCTATCATTGTCTTTCCGACTTTCATCGGATCTCGTGTCGAGGTAAGATTGCGGGTTTCCGTTCTTCCGTTTCATTGTGGCTGCGAGCTCGTCAGCGTCTTCAGACTGAAGTCCTCCTCAACTCAACCTCTTCGACGCCACGCAGCCGTCGGAATGGAAGCCAGAGATCGCGAAACGACTCCTCGTCACCCGGCTCACCCTCATGACCACCCGGAGGTGGTAGAACAAAATCATCCTGACCCTGGACGTTCCATCGCACCCTTGGCCTCTCCCGTATCCAGACAGGAACTTTGCGGCTCTTACGTTCAGGAGGGGTAATCATCCGCATGTCCACCACCAGCCTCGACAAACTGTGACCAGCAGTGAAGCTCACGACGAAGCGTCCGATATGCGCTTCCTGGCAAGCGACTTCATTATGGTCCGCATCGTCATGCACACTGACCAGAAGCGTGAGATCCTTGACATAGGGAGCAGAGCGCTTAGAAAGCGGCCCGGTAGACGTTGATGAGACGTCACAATACTTCGTCCACGACTGCAGACCTTCCTTGACCTTGCCAGCTACGATACCAGCGGAGGCGCTCATGCTGATCTCGAAGACGAATCTGTTCTCGCCGTAGAAGTAGGCGTAGTAGATGTTTTGTTAGACGACGGCACGTTGACGCCAGGGCTGTTCAGTGGCGATGGTACATACCGTTCGCATACTTGACGCCCGGCGTGTCATTCCTCTAGCTTACGGATTCGATGGATAGCTGTACCCGCTGGCTCTAGATTGACGCCAAACTTCGAGGTAGGCAAGATGTGATACGTGCCGTTGGTGGTCACCAAATGACCGTCTATCTGAAGCAAGATCTCGTCCGGTAGCTCAGTGATCACACATCGTTGAGAATTTGTCACGACCTGCGGTGGCTTGATGAGTTCAGAAGTCTTTGGCCAGAAACCCACCACTGGGTATCGTCCTGGCAGACCAGCGACTAGAACGTGTAGGTCGTAACCGTCGATGGAACTCGCGTGGGCGATGAATTTGCACTCACCGTTATCGATCCATTCTTCGCTGAAGCTTAAGGAGCTGAGTGTGAGCATGGCGGCGGATTCTGCCATCAGCAAGGCGCTTGTTGTTGCATGAGTACTGGTTGAGAACGTGATGAGCATCTGTTCTGCTAATGAGTCTAATATTGCTTCATGCTGAGTGTCCCCATGCAGGATATGCTCTTTGGTTCTGACGCTTGCTGCAAACCGTGAGTATGGACTGTTGTGATCGAATGCAAGCTGATGTGGGAGAGAAGTGGTGGTCGAAGTGTCGTTAATAAGATGCTAGCGCTTGGACCATTCAAGATGTCAACCTCACTTCCCAGACATACCATCACTCAAACATGGATCTTCTTCGTCTCCCGACACCGCTACGCCGCTGCCTGATCTCCTCATCATGGCTCACCACCTCCACCCGTCCACTGACAACTCAGACCTACCGTCCAACAGGCGACCATGAATTCCCACCCCCAAACACCCAACCCACCACCAACACCACCCTAAACACCTACACCGTCTCTCAACCCCCCAACCAAGCCCAGCAAAAATACGCCCACAACTTCTTCCACTCCTCCCCACCCCACCTCCTCTACACCAGCGCCCACTTCCGCTCCCTGCCCCCAACCTCCATCCCTGAAATCGCCTTCCTCGGCCGCAGCAACGTAGGCAAATCCAGCCTCCTCAACGCCCTCTTCGGCCGCAACAAACTCAAAGACGCGCACGTCTCCAAACGCCCTGGTCGCACACGGACAATGAACGGGTTCGGCGTGCTGGGGCCGGGACAGCGGCTTGGTGCGGCTTCAGCGAGTGGAGAGGATAAAAACGCGCTGTGGCGGCGTTTCCCGCTCCGAGGAGGGCTGGTGGTGGTGGATATGCCGGGGTACGGGGCGGGGAGCAGGAGTATCTGGGGCCAGGAAGCGATGAAGTTTTTGGAGCGGAGGAGGCAGTTGAGACGGACGTTTGTGCTGGTGGATGCGGAGCATGGGTTGAAGAAGACTGATTTGGAGATTCTGGTGCATTTGCGGAGGGCTGGGGTGGCGCATCAGGTGGTGTTGAGTAAGGTGGATAAGGTGCTGTGGTCTGGGGCGAGGGCGCCGGGACCGCAGAAGCTGCAGGGACGGCTGAGGGTGTTGGGGGAGATACGGAGGAAGATTGGGAAGGCGGTTGATGATGAGGCGGGTGATGGGAGGAAAGGGTTGTTGGGGGATGTGCTGGCTTGTAGTGCTGAGAAGAGTCTTGAGGGTCACAACAAGCTGGGCATTGATGAGGTCAGGTATGCTGTTCTCAGTGCTTGCGGGATGGAGTGTGATGAGTTTGGGCAGCGGAGGCAGTACAGCCTGGACGATCTGAACATTCTGGAAGAAGATGAAGAAGAGTGAGGGGTGTGGGTTTTCAATCGCCAATTTCTCGTTATCTGATGGTGTGAGTCTGAAATGCAGCCCACGCTGCCGCCTCCATGAAATGCCAGTCTCCGGCGGGAACAACCAGACTCATCAAACTCCGGGACAACCAGTCCCAGTATCCATGTCCATGCACCTTGTGAAAAGCAATCGGCCGTTGATCATAATGAAGGTCAGCTGCTCCGTCAATCATCCAAGGGAGAGCCCGGCATCAATGAGAGGTGTGCCAGGTTCGCTTGAGTCACCGCATCGCATCTAAACCGCACCAATTCCAAGCATCCGCAACTCCAAGCAGCAACAGTCCCAAGCAGCAGCAACTCCAACCATCAACAACTCCAAGCACCCGCAAAGCTTCAAGTAAAAGAAGGTGTCGCGAAGTTTCAAGCCGCAGCACACGGGCCATAAAGAAAGGTGGTGGTGATGAACCAGATCGATCGGAGGCAGATTCGGCAGAGGTCGACCCAGCCTAGATGTACCAAGTGGACTCAGCCAAGTTGGGGTGCACTGCACCAGGACGGCTCCAGCCAAGAGCAATCTGAGCTGCAGGTGTCAAGGGAGCGGGACCAGCATTGGACGAGTTGTCAGAGGAATCGGCTGCTCGCTCGGTGTTCTCCGCCAAAGTCGTGAAGAGGTACGCCCTGCCGCGCTCACACAGCAAGTCGGCGTAGTAGGCGGGAGGGCAGATGCTCACGGCCTTGGTCGCCCGGTTGAAAAGGTAGCACAGCTTGTGCGTGAAGCCCTGAAGCTGGTCTGCTTCGAACTTGATGTCATCTTTGATCACGACATAGTGAGCTGGGCGCGCTGTGCCTTGCAAACCGTGGTGAGCCTGCAGCCAGAACTCTGACAGGATCTTGCCGGCAATGCCACGATCGACGATTGTGCCAGGTGCTGGGTTCTTGGAGCGGCGGTCTGCTTCTGCCTCCTTGGTCGGGTAGAACCGTGTGTGATGACGCTTCCCGACAATGATGATCGCCATCGCCGGCCACTTGTCTTCCGCACCGTAGAGCTGTTTGAAGGCCTCGTGGAAGGCGGGAAGCTCATGGCGAAGGACGAGACCGTACTGGCCTTCAGACACACCATCGCGGTAAAGAACGATCTTTGTGGGAAGAGAGCCGTTCTTCTTCAGCCACAGCCTCAACCGCTCGATGACCATGGTAGCGAGGCCTTGCACCATCTCTTGCATCCCAGTCTGAAGACGAATGCTGCCAGGCCACTGAGCGAGGTCGGCGTCGGTGCTGGCAACGACGGCTGAGATACTTGGAGCACCCTGCTTGCTCCCGGGCGAAGGATGCGTGACGTCGATGCCCATAAGCATGGTGTTGTTGTCCAGCGGAGCACTCAGCGTGTTCGGCACCTTGTGTGGTACCCCTTTGCCTTTGATACAGAACTTGAGGCCCAAATTGGCGAAGAACATTGGTTGACCCTTCCCGGTTTGAAGCTTGGAGCCCACAGCACAAACGCTGTGAATCCCCGCTCCAACATCGCCGTTGTACTTGATCCGGGCATAGAGCCACTTGTCGGCTTCCGGCAGCACGACGAAGAGCATGCTCACACCTGCTTGTTGAGCCTTCTTGAAAGCCTGGACAATCTTCGATTCGTTGCTCGCGCGATTGGGAGCATCAAGAAAGTCAAGTCGGATATACTGAGTGGGTGCTTGCTGTCCAAGTCGAACTCCGTATCTGCTGACTGTGCGAGGTAGTTCTGCGAGTGTTGACTGTGCGTCGTTGAGACCACTTCTTGGGTCCGGCTTGGCTTGAAGGGCTTCGCCCCTTTGGGGGTTGATGACCAAGATCTGCCACTTCGAGAACGAGCCACCAGCCTCGAAAACCTTCTTCGTCAGGTTCCAGGAGCCGTTGTCCGGCCGCAAAGAATTGTTGTTCTTGTACCTGACTTCGGGGGTGTCCAGAATCCGGCCTGGGACTGTGATCATGTCTTTTCCAACACTGATGCCGAAGCGATTCACAAACTGGCGCTGCGTGTCGCCTGCAAGGCCGAACACTTTCAGTCCACTGCCTGGAGTACCTGCGATAGACATGGCATTGTCTGCTGGCTTGCGGGCGGCGAAGGTAAGCATCTCGGTCGTCTGTGGACCTTGAAGCATTCGCTTGTATTGTTGACCTGGGAGAACCTGGCATATCTCCATGGGCATGTACTGCGGATCCTTCGGTGTGCCAACATTGAGGACTGGAAGCTCCGGCCGTTGAATGACAATCCCACGCTCGTCCTTCCAGTAGTCGAAGACGCTGATACGGCGCGTTTGAGAGGTATTGCCGTTGGCGTCCTTGGTGTTGAGGTCGAAGTGGACAGCTCTCGCATCGCCGAAACGAGGTCCGCGGTTAGGGCGGTCGCGACCCGGGCCAGGGGCGAAGCCAACAATGGTCTTGATCTTGACCATGTCTGGCTGTCCTCTCACCTTGTACACCGCGCGCACCTTGAGCATACGAATGAAGGCTTCGCACAGCCCGAGTTGCTGGAACGGTATGCCGCTTGCCCGAAGCAAGTCGATAACGGCGAAGGGCTGATAGAAGGCTCCAGCTGTGACGTTGATGTTCACCAGCAGTCTGCCGATTGATGGTCGAACGCTTGAGTAGTAGCCTCTGTAAGCCAGCAACCCCTTCCCAAGATCTCGAGGCTTGTCAGGTCCCTGCTGCTCGGCAATTGGGTAGAATTTGTTCCCGCCAGCTTTGACAATTCCATCTGTTTCCTGCGGACGCTTGCACATGATGATGTTGTAAGCCTGGATGAGCTCGTCGCGGGACAGGTACTCTGCTCCTGGTGCGTTGCTGCTCAGGTACTGCACCAAGTCGTTTGGAGTGAATTGAGTGCCAAGCTCGAGCTTCACCTTGACAGTGTTTCGAGCTCGAGCTGCGACGACGAAACCAGGAACAGCGGTTTGATTGACATTCTGGGGGGTGTTGCCAGGTTCAGTAGGCACGACCATGTCCTTGCCAACGCTCCAACCCTTGCCGATATTGAGCTTGCTGGTTGTGATGATGACGTTTGAGTAGTCGGTGGCGACTGCTTTGCCTTGGAACATGGCGTCCCTCAAGACCTCGTCAATAAGCCGACGTCTCTTTGGTCTGCTGATGTCCGAACCTAAAGAGAGGTCGTACCGGAAGAGGATCGTGTTGTCGCTGTTGAACTTGAAATAGTTGGTCCGCAACGTGATCTCTTGGCCCTCGGTGCCATATCCACGACGCCCTGGCATGCTAACCGTGAAATCAAGTTCGTCTGGTGCAGGCGATTTGTTCTTCACTGTGTAGGTGAATTCGAATGACTTGTCTCGAGTCGTAGGAAGCAAGGCGTCTTCGGCAGCAGTGACGCTCGGGTCTGGGTTTGGTGCAGTGCCGCCGAAGATTCCGTTCACCTCACGTGGAACAGTGTGTTGGGGAAGTTGTGTTTGTTGTCCTGCTCCTGGGGGTCCTAGAAGTTGTGTCAGCAACAACAAGCCTGGAAGACATCATGCCTTGTACTGACCCCCTCCGCCTCCCTGAGCACGACCGCGAGGACGGCCTGACATGTCTGTCTAAAGATACCGTCAGCTCAAGTAACATCCAATGGTTCCAACGAATGGTCGGATACTTACGGCGGCAAGGAGCACTGGTCGGCAGTTTGTCCGGGTCTGTTGGTAGAGTGCTGGTTTTTATGTGGGTCGAGTGACTTCGTCGTAGTGATGCTTCGAGTGATCCTGCAATAGGTCAGTAGTCATGCCATATGTCACCGACAGTAGTAAAGAGCAGTGCTGGAGAAGCCACGCGAAGACAGGTGGCCTTGTGGTAGACTGAGGAGGTAACGTACGATAGGTGCTGGATTCCAATGGTGTGGTAAACAACTTTCAAAGCTGTCCAAAGTCAAAGAGTGGAAGTCCAAGAAGAAAGTCCAAGAGTGGGTAGAGTGTTGTAAAAGGAAACAAAGTGCAAGCCGGCCAGCGAGCGGTATATGAGCTGTTCACCACCGAACCATCCGGCGATGCTTGCTGCTCTGACACCGAGACAGGTCAGAGGCCCGGTTTGCTGGAATGTTACACAAACGCAGATCCGATGGTGACTCCGGGTATTGTTGATATTTGCTGTAGTGTCTCGTGTGTAGCGATGTCTTGACGGTGCAAACGATAGGAGGCTGCGAGGTCAAATGTATGTTGTTGGTGTGCGAGACGTAGAGTGAGTGAGGTGGGAGTTAAGAGACAGAGGAATGACAGTGTGTGACCCAACGCCGCTTCCTACTTCCCGATGATTGGCTGCCACCTGAGGCAGGTGCTGCACGATAGCTACCAGGAGAACGGTACCGACGAGCGTGGTATCACATGGCGGTCGTTTGACACATGTCGTTTCGGGGAGACGTGGGCGTTGGAACAAGAATGGCTATGTATTAGCGTTAGTTTCGACCAAGTGCTCTCTCCAGTCACAGACCACCACTTCGCTTGGCATAGAACATAGAAGGAGACAGGACAAACAGGACTCAGGTTCACAGCTCTAGCCTTCTTCCCGATCGAGCACGGTACATCCGTCCAATATCCTAACCGGAGTCGCTTAGCTGCAGGTTTTATTGGGCTATGCATGCTCACGAGGCTGGCATGTGAACCCCGGCTCAAGCACAGCTTTGTCGTAGCGAGACGCCCATAACATGCGGCGCGAAGTTGGATCGTTGGTATTGGCTGTGCCGCAAGCTTGAGACTGGCAGGCGTCTTGCCGTGCCCAATAGAACAAGACGACCACACACCATCAGTCGCTCTCGGCCAGTAGACTTCGACAAGCATGATGTCGTCTTGGTTCATCGCTGCCGCGTCCAGAGCATGCCCGACGGTACCGAAACTTCCACCCCGGTCTCCCTGTCAACACCCTCTCACCACTCCTCAGGCCAATCGTTCTCCCGATACTCCTTCAGATCACTCAGCCACACGTTCTCAGGCTGTTCAATAACTTCCTCCGGACCCGCATTGGCAATATCAAAGTTGAGCCAATCCAGATGCGCCTCTGTAGCAGGCACCAGCCCGCAAGTCCAGCCTAGATCATCACTGACATCCTCCCCGTGGAAGTCCAGCGAGCTGGCTATGAGCACTTTGGGGTTGGTCTCATCCAAGCAGTGTGAGTCGACCGCGACGAAGTGATGCGGATAGTTGGCGAAGAGGTACGGGCCAGACGAGTTCGCATTGTAAGCAGGATTGAAAGGATCGCAGGACTCGAACAGGTCTTTCAGATCCTCGAGTGAGTGCTTCCTGTTATCGTCTGGCCAGAGATAGCCGAAGAAGCAGTATTCGTTGCCCCAGTCTTCGCCCTGCTCAACGTGGTCGAGAGTACTCAAGGAGGTCCTGACTCTGCGTTCTTGGTCTGCTGTGAAAGGTTCTAGAAAGAAGACCGGGCACACGTCAACGCCGCCTATGTCTGATTATCAGTAACAAACATGGCTCATCTCGTCCGAGAGGCTTACTAAAGTTAAAAGGCCCTGGCTCGAGATCCACGACAACCTCCTTCCGCCAGATATCACCATACTTTTCCAGTAGATCCTCTCCGTATTTGCCAGAACCAGAGCCTGTCCAGAAAGGCAAGACAGAAGTTGTCGGTATGGGCGCCATCTTGATGGAATCAGTGTTCGGGATGTCAGTATTCATTGCGGCCATGATTTGGGGTTCGTGGTTCTCGCCTTCCAGAACATCGTCAACGAAGAACATGTCCGTTACGCCATTCCATTTGTCGAAGATGTGTTTGAAGATGTGGTAGATAGCCCTCCTGGAAGAACCAGGTCCTTTCCACTGGTAGATTCGGAGATCTTCAAGTTTAGCATTCGTATCGTTCTGGCCAGCAAGCACCGTTTTCTTGAGCGTCTCCCTCTCGGTGTTGGAAAGCCGTCTTAAGGAGACGATGGGTGGTGCGTCCGAGCCAAAACCATAGTCATCCTCGAAGTGTTCCTCCCACACGAAGGGTCGACCAAATCTGCTTGGAGCGGCTAGCGACGTCGCTCTCGCGTCCTCATAAAAGTCCACCTTAGTCTCCTCATAGACATCATCTCCTAACGCCTGAGCCAGCGTAAGCCCTTCATTCGCATCACAAGTACTCAGCAGAACATTCGCCACATTCATCGGCACTCGCGCGGCATTGAACTTCAACTTCGACTCTCCCGCAACCAGTTCCCACCTCGCCGCAATCACAGTGGAAGCTTCCCATCCACTGTCAACCAGGATGAGACTCGGGTATGAGAATTCGCGGTACCCGCTTTCGGCATTCGCATGCCTGGCGATTTCCAGTATCGCGTTGCTGCTCGGGAAGTAGTCGCGGATCCACCGCTTTGAATCTAGTTGGCGCGGCGCTGCTGTGGTTCTGTCGAAGCTGTGGACCTGGCTACTGTCGACTTCCTCTAGGCTCTTCATCACCTGTTCTTTCTCATCGACAGACATCCGCTGGAGGAAGAGGATATAGAGGTGCTCGTCCGGGTTGAGTCGACGGTGTTTGGGGATGCAGGGCAGATGCCATGATGGGCTGGCGGTTGGCATGGTTGTGTGAAGGTAGGCTGCACCGTTTTGCTCAAGACTTATCCCTCAGAGGCAGTTTGAAGAAGGCGTTGCTTTTAAGTACTTTGGTATCAACCACGGGATCTGGCTCCGCGATTGAGGCAAACCCAGGCTTCCATCGCTGCCTGTTGTGATGAAGGATGGAGACCAACCAGACTATCAAATCGCGGTAATCGAATGCAAAGAACGAACCGATAGCATGACAACCTAACTTGCGCCTGGTGTATCGTTGTACACAGGTGGCGGATGACTATAACAAGATATCGGGGAAGGCAGAAGTGAGCAGGAGGCGGATGAAGGAAGCTGCATAATTCAGCACGTTATACCACGTTCTACATCAAACCCATCGGTCAGAAACCGAAACCGAGCGCCGTCGCTTTATTAGCACACCACTTACACCGTCCAAACTAAAGCTTTCCCTTCTCAATCGTCTCCATCGCCTTCTGACCCCTCTCACGCATTGGAGCGTTGTCCATGATCCGCTCTCCTCCCCCATTGAGGGCCGCATCCACCATTGCAGCCCCCAGTTCGTCCTTGTAGATCCACGAGTTCGAAACTAAGAAACGTATCCTCGGTGGTTCGTCGACTACCTATCATATCATTAGCGTCTCCTTCGGGCTACGTGCGGCGGAAGAGTGACAGTGGACGACTTACATGCCATGGCCGTGCGACGAATGACTCCCATCTGCCGGGATTTTGTGTCTCGGTATCGAGAACTTCTTGGTCTAGTTTGCCCTGTTGAGTGTCAGGTGAATTGGCTGCAGAGATGGAGTATCGGGTACGCACGCGAACTTTCCGGATCTCCCCAAGGAAGAACAGTAGGTTGCTGTCGAGATATGGGACCAAGCCACCGCTGGTATATACGAAGCGGAATGGCCTGCCCGTAGGCTCTTCGGGAACGACTGATTGTAAGAGCATCTTGATGGCGGTTTGTGTGTAGTCCACATGGACCTCCTTGCCGGATGTCGGTGAGCCGAGTGCCCTGCGATGAGTGTTAGCTGCTTCAAAGCCTCGAAAGTGACAGCACTCTTACCATATGCAAGCCACTGCTCCCTTCAGCTGCTGGATCACGTCGCCGTCATACTTTGAAAAGTCCTTGTGGATGACATTTTGAAGTTTTGCATCCTTGATCTCCATCGGCCGGCGTGTGAGAGCTACAACTTCTGTGATGGACGGGTGGGCCAGACAGCGGCGGAGGACACCACCGCCGACCGTGCCAGTACTTCCAGTGAGGATGACCTTCATGGCGGACGAAGTTCGTCTCTTTGACTGTTGTGGTTGTCGCTAAGGCTGTGAAACTGAGGTAGTATGTCTACGGTGGTAAGGTCTCTAGAGGATGGGGAAGAACGCTTAGGACTGAGATAAGAAGTCTGTTATATACCACCTACCTCACTTACCTTGTGATACTTGTGCCCCACTGGATGTCTGCACAAACCCTCCGCCGGTCGCAGCAACATTGCGACGCGGTATGCACCACTGGCATCCAATGGCCAATCGCAAGCGCAGAATCCGTCCATTGCGGAGGTGTATCAGCCCGCGCCTACGGGAGACTGTATCGAAGTCGGCGCGGACACGTTGAACGCCATGCACGTCGACAGGCAGCATCCTGCTCTCCCGATTCATCTGGTATCTTGCGAGACGATTCATCCTCTCCAGACAATGCGCTAGTCCATGATTCGTATCGTCGTCGACACCAAGAGTTCAATGCGACGGCGGCACCCGGCTGCTGACCATGGTCCGCCCGGTCATTCGTCGCAAGCCAAGCAGCTGCAGCTACCAGGGCGCTCGCGACATTACTTGACCTCAGCCTTCCTTCTCGCTCAAATCCACTGCCTTCGTCGTCCGCGGATGATGGGCGTAAACACGCCTGATGATGAGCAAAGGTTCAAGTATTTCCGGACGCTGTAGCTTCGCTCTTACCTAACGTGAGATGCGTGAGATGGTGGCATCGGGAACGGCCGGGGACAAGGAACGAATGAGGTAGGGACATCGTCACCCGCTTTGCTACGAGATCTCTTCCACCAAACCATCTCCGCATGCCTTACGAATGAGCCGAGATCCAAGAAGATTGGCGAGGTTGGCTAAGGTACTGGACACTTTGATGCGCTCTTCTATCCCTCTCCTCCTGCGTTCGTAAAAGCACACCGCTGGCATGCAAGCTAAGAGGTTGGAGGAGTGAGCGTCATGAACTGTCCAGCGAAGACCGACCCAATCGTCAGCGATGGCCACAACCAGAATCCGGATGTCCTCTGTCCGGAGCTCACGACTAGGAGTGATCTGGGCCGGATAGCCAACGCTCGGAAGCAGAGGGACTACAGGCTGTCCGATCCACAGCTGTCGTCGAATGCCGAGATAATACCTCAGCCCCCCGTGGGCCAGACTGACAACGAGTTGATGGACGGTGGAGATGGTGGGGTGGTGCGGGAGGAAGAGCATAAGAAGGAAGAGCACAATTCAGAGGCCAACGGACAGGGTAGGGATGCAGGTGGACGAGCTCCCGGGAGTCCATGGAAACGACTGGGGTCGAAGACTCTTGGGGTACTTCGCAAGTATCTCAGATTCATGGGGCCCGGCTTCATGGTGTCTGTGGTAAGTAGCAAACAAGGCAGCTTAACGGACCACGCCATGGCTAACACTCAATCAGGCATACATCGACCCCGGCAACTACGCAACAGACGTCGCAGCTGGAGCCAGCTACCGCTTCAAACTCCTCTTCATGATCCTGCTATCCAACATCTTCGCCATTTTCCTGCAGTCGCTATGTATCAACTTGGGCACCATCACAGGCATGGACCTGGCGCAGATGACCCGCGCCCACTGTCCTCGCTGGCTCAATTACCTCAGCTACTTCTTCGGCGAGAGCGCCATCATCGCCACCGACATGGCTGAAGTTATTGGGACGGCGATGGCCTTGTACATGCTTTCCAATGGCAAGATCCCGCTGGTCGCGGGTTGCGCCATTTCCATCATTGACGTTCTTTTCATTCTGGTCTTCTACCGGCAAAATGGTTCGGGCATGACGGCCAAACGACTTTTCGAATTCTTCGTTGCACTGCTCGTTCTGGGAGTGGTCATCTGCTTTTGTATTCAGCTTTCCTACATCACAGGCGTGACGCCAGGAGAGGTGTTCCATGGCTACGTCCCATCTTCCGCGCTCGTGGAAGGGCAAGGTCTCTACCAAGCGTGCGGTATCCTAGGAGCCACCGTCATGCCACACTCCCTCTACCTCGGCAGCGGACTCGTGCAAGACCGCCTCAAAGACTTCGACCGGAGCAATAACATCCTCACCCCAGACCAGATGGAAGCCTACGACGACGACGACCTCAAGGACGACCACTACCGCCCCTCCATGCAAGCCATTCAGAGCTGCCGCAGCTACTCCATCGCCGAATGCGGCATCTCGCTCTTCACCTTTGCGCTCTTCGTCAATAGCGCCATTCTCATCGTTGCAGGCGCATCTCTGTACGACGTCCAGGGCGCCGCAGACGCCAGCCTCTTTGGCATCTACGACCTGCTCTCTACCTCGCTCGCGCCCGCAGCAGGGAAGCTCTTCGCCGTTGCCCTGCTCCTCTCGGGCACCTCCGCGGGTATCGTCTGCACCATCGCCGGCCAGATGGTTAGCGAAGGCCAGCTCCGCCTCACCATGAAACCATGGAAGCGTCGCCTCATCGTCCGCTCCATCTCCATCGTGCCCTCCATCATCGTTGCGGGCGCACTTGGGAAAGCCGGGGTCGATAACGCGCTTGTCGGGTCTCAGGTGGCGCTGAGCATCATCTTACCATTTGTTTCTGCGCCGTTGGTTTGGTTTACTTGCTTTGGGAAATACATGACTGTCACGGCTGATCGAATTCACGACTTGAGCGTTGGACGAGGCGCCGACGAAAATGAAGGGAACGAGGACGGAAGGAGTCAGACGAGCGTGAACATGCGCTCGCATCCTGTAGTGGCGTTTTTGGCGGTACTGATTTGGGGCATCATTGTGTTTATGAACGTGGCGCTGATTGTGCTGCTGGGGTTGGGTAAGACGTGAGATGGGATATATGTTTGTAGGTATGTTGAATGAGGAATATTAGCATGGTACTACGCTACCTCTTTCTTACCCGGAATACGGCATTTGCGCATGTCCATCTCCAAACTTCGTCCAACCCGGCCTTCCACCATGCCAGCCTGTTCAGCGCCGCCCGTAGGTCGTTTCCCTCACCACTCATCAGCATCAACCAGTCCCCCAAACCTCGTCGCTCCGCACCAAGGGATCTCAAAGCTCAACATCGCCAACAACCGCAGATTCAAATCCCAATGCTCCAACACCACCCCCCCGAAACTCCTCCACCCGCCACAAACGCTTAAAATCATGCACAACCGCTTCCCACACAACATCTCTCAGCGTGCGATCGCTGGGATGCGTGCACTCGTGCACCAAACGCACCGCTTCAATAAAGGCCGGGAGATCGATGAGGTTGTTGCAGGCGTATTCTAGCCGCGTTGCGGCCATGTTTCGGAGTGGGGGGGATGGAGTATTTGTCCGCTATGGCGTATGTTTTGACGATGAAGGGCATGGAGGGGTTTGCGTTCCTTCGGCGTCGTGGTAGAGCCAGGAGAGCAGTGCATGAAATGCGGCTGGGTCGTCGTGGAGGTGGATTGTGGGATGGGGCTCTATGGCTTCTTTGAAGTTTCCGCTGAGCATTTTGGAGAAGACGGCGGAGGCGGCGGAGAGGATGACTTTGTGGACCTTGAAGGTGAGATAGTCGCAGATGTGGGTGAGATCTGAATGCTTTCCTGTGGCGAAAATGCTGTAAGTCCATTAATGTCAGCTAGCTCGCGGCTGTAATAGTTGACAGACATACTCCTTCAGTCCCTGAGTCCCCCTTGACCGGTCATCTCCCGCTCTGTACACTCCTTGCGCAAGTGGTTACGGATCTAGAAGGGCACCAAGGAAGAGAATCCGAGTGTTTGCCGCAGGGTGTCCACTGTGAAGGGGGTAGCCGCTAGAACATTCACTGCGGAATCGAAAGGTATTCAAACAGAGCGCTTAGTCGAACTGAATCGTGTGCGATAGTCTCAACATTGCTTGAACGTGTATCTGGTATCACAAACGCACGGCGAAGAAAGGACCAAGATTACCTGTCCGATGATCAGTCCCAAGGTAATAACCATCAAGACAGCAGACAAGCTTACAACTTCGACTTCCCACCCCCCTCCCACCCCTTAACCGCCTCCTGCCGCTCCCTCTTCTCCCGCTGCCACTGCAGACTCTTCACCTGCGCCCGCACGTCCTCCTCCGTCGTGTTCTCGAGATAATCGACCGTCTCACGATACATCTCCTGCTTCAGCTGACCGTAAATCTGCAGTCCTGACATGCCCTCTCGTGACTTCTGCACGAGCTTGAACTCCTCGATGTGGGCGAGCGCCTCGGGGAGGCCGCCGAGCCAGTCGACTATGCCTTCTTCTAGGGCTTCGAGGGCCTGAATCGTGATTAGCATGCCCTGGAAGAGGTGACTGACAGGAAAGGATGGATGTACCTTGAACCGATGCGCCTCCAGAATCATCTTCCTCACCGTCCCAGCACTCAGCTTCTGCCGGAACACACTCAACATCGGCGGCCTGAGCGGAACGCCCAGCTCCAGTTCGTTGAGGCAGAGATAGCCTTTATGCGGGTTCATGCACCGGTAGTCGTGCATCCTGTCCCCACCACCATTAGCCCTGAATCGCCGAAACCCTTTCCACCACAGCTCAAGGGTAAGGCAGGGTACCTACATCGCAACCATAAACCCCCCAGCAAAAGCATGCCCATTCACCAACGCCACCGTCGGCATCGGGTACGTGATCAGGCGCAACCACAGCGCGTACCTATTTCCCCATGCGTCAGCAACTCCATCCCACCACATCCCATCCCGATTCCTTAGGCAAGTAAGTAAGGTGAACGCACAAACTCTCCTTCCAAAACCCAGGCGTCCCCCCCGCATGCTCCAAATCCAACCCATTACTATAGAACTTCGCAATCCCGCTCGTCGTCACCACGACCCCCGGGGGATACGTTTGCGGCGAGAACTGCAGGATATCCAGCGCTTTGATCAATGCCTGGCAGAAGGCCTGGTCCCCACGAAGGGTGAACTGTCAGCACGGACATGGTTTGATGAGGTGGGTTGGGTTGGGAAAACGCACGGTGGTGAGGCGGTTGTCTTCGCCACTGGTGAAGGTGAGGAGGTAGACTTTCTTCGCCGGCTGCGTGACGACTACGCTCCCGCCCGTGGAGGCGATGGGGAGGTCGAAGAGGACGGGGCTGCTGCCGGAACTTGAGGAGGATGGCATGGTGGCTTGTGGATGAGATGGAAGCGCCGGTGATGGCGAGTAGAAGAGACGAGGAACGCTGACGGAAGGGCTGGTTTTACATGTGCTGAGGGTACTGGAAGTGGTGTGAGAGCCGATGATCACAATCGAGAGAGCAGACGAAACATGTGCAGTTGCGCTCAAAGTCGACCGCGGCACGGACAAGGCGGAGTTTGGGGGCTGGGTCTGGGGTTGTCCGGATGATGCCGGGGGGATACATGGGCTGTATGAGTTGCACGTCCATAGCAAACAAAGGGCAATAATTTCTGCGACCCGTTACGAGGCGATAATGCAAAGGAAGTACGGTGGCACATTGGCTACCACGTAGATGAGCTTTCCTTGGTACAGACATGAAGCTTCTCTGGGAGGAGCTACCTATCCAGATCTTCCGATGCAATGCCCTAGCCAAACGCTCAAGCAACTGAATCGTAGAACACCGATCGCTAATGCATTCGCTATCCCCATCCAATCGCCTCGCTGATAAAGCACTCGATAAAAGAACCAACACAACCACCCTTCCCCCTCCCTTTCATTCTCTCCCCCTCCCCGCCCCCTTCCCCCATTCCACTCTTCCCCCTTCTCTCGTTTATCTAGTCCACACTCAAGCAGTCTCCCCACACCACTCCCCCACCCACTCCAACTCCCGCTCCCCACACGCAAAATCCCACCCAACAATCGTGTTATTCTGACTACAGCAGATAATCCTCCGCGGGTCGAACTGCAGTTTGAAAATCCGATGGCTGTCGGCCGGCCGGCCATTGTTGGCCGCGGCGGCGGGGTTGAATTGCGCGTGGCCGCCAAGCTGCTGTGGTGGTTGCTGGGGTGGTGGTGGTGGTGGTGCTTGTTGTTGCTGTTGTTGTTGTGCGTATGCTGCAGCGGCTTGCTGAGTTATCGCAGGCATCGCGGACGCGTGGGGGAGACCGGCGGCCGCGGGGCCAGCGGGTTGGACGGGTGCGCCCCCTGGGTGAGCGAAGACGGGGTTTTGGGGCTGAGCGTCGTCTGCTCTCCGGTTCTGCCGACGCTGCTGCTCCCGCAGCAAATCGTTCTGGTTCAGCACGACTTTCTGCACCCAGTTCCCCGCGTCCCGCTCGTCGCGGCGCCAGACGATGACCGTCTCGTCGTAACTCCCGGACACGATCTTCGCCCAGCGGCTTCCGCCACCACCTGGTGGGACCTTCGCGCCGAGGGAGAGCATGTCCTCGGGTCTGCTGGAGCCGGCGCTGCGGGAGGCGGCGCGGCGGCTGGTGGCGGGCTCCATGCCGGCGGCGACGGCGCGCTGCCAGTTGCGGTCGGCGGTCTGGGCTTCGGCGGCGAGGTCGGTGTCGGAGGTGGTGCGGAGGTCGCCGAAGCGCGCCTGTACCGTGCGCACCAGGTTGGCGTGGCCGGAGAGACAGGCGACTTCCGCTGCCGTGCCGGCGTCGAAGATGCGGACGGTCATGTCTGAAGACCCGCTGACGATGCGACGGCCGTCAAATTGGACGCAGGCGATGCCTTTGGCGTGGCCCTTGAACATGCGTGTTTGCTTGCCCGTCATGATGTTCCATGCTATGACGGTGCGATCTCCCGAAGCGCTGACGATGGTGTTGTCGTGGATCTGAACCGCATTGACTGCTGCGCCATGGCCTCTGATCGTGCTGAGATGGGTGAGCGAGTCGAGGAGGCCTGCTTTCGGGTCGGCGAAGTTGGCAAGAGCGGCGATAGGGATGAGCTCGGAGTCACGGGCGAGTGCATGGCGAGACCAGAGCTTGATGGTTTTGTCCTTACTGCAGGTGACGATGTAGCGGTCGTCGAAGCGGAGGTTGAGGACAGGCTCGGTGTGGGCTTCTGAGACATGCTTCACGACCTCGCCGGTGGAAAACTTCCACACAATCACGGCGGAGTCGCTGCCGCCACTGACTATGATGTCTTGCTCGGGGCGCTCATCGTATTGCAGACATAACACACTCTTTTCGTGGCCTATGAGCGGTTTCTGTCGCAAACGATTGGTGTGTAGATTCCAGATCCGGATGGTCTTGTCCCTGCTGCCACTAACGAGGTAACGAGATGTGTGCTGGACGGTGTAGACGCACTCAGTGTGGCCTTCTTCAGGGTGGTCCGGGTGGGGTAGCTGAAAGGTCTTGTGCCGATTCTTGTCCCAGTTGGCCTCCAGGCGGCGACGCTGCTTGTAGATGAACGGCCAGCTGAGCTTGAGCAGGGTCGGGTCGGACGTGGTCTGGAAGACGCTCGGTCGCAGCTTGATGTCTGCCGGTGATGGTGGGAAGGTTATGTTGCGGTACTTGTTCAGGTCGTAGGAGTTGTACGGGTCGAAGCGCCGGTTGAGCACCTCGGAGAGAATCATGGTGCTCTCTACCGGCAGCTTCGAAGCTGTTGGATCAACACCGGCTGTTGAAGTCTGCTCCAAACCGTCCATCTCCTCCACGTCAGATGGTGTCTTCCCTTCAGCTCTATCCTCCTGAATACCCAGATCCAGTCCACCCGCAGAATCGCTGTCGCTCGTTAGATCACCACTAAACGCCTCAACTCTCCGCCTCTTCCTGCTCTCCCTCCTCTCCAGCACGGCAGTGGCTCTGTCACGTCTCTGCTGTCTGTCTAAGCGCGCATCCATCTTCCTCTGTCCGTAGTCTCGTGCCTGCTCCACAAATCTCTCCACTGCGCCCTTGTCCAGCTCCCAGCCTTCCCTTGCGAAGCATAGCTGCCATAGTCGCTCGTCGAAGGATCGATCGCGCCATCTGCGACTAACCATGGAGGTAGCAAGAAGGTCTGTGGGTGAGAGGTAGTCGAAGACGTGGAGGAAGATCTCGGTGGGCAGGTAGGCGGCGGGGTCGAAGTGGGTGAGGCGCTCGATGAGGAGGCGGACGTCTTCTTTACAGTCGTTGGGCATGGTGTGTACAAGCGACATTGCGAGTTCTGTAGGCAGCGTCAGCGCATGGTTGGGAGTGCGACAATGAATGAAGTCAAGCATATGCAAAGGCTTCCTCATATGATGTGAGTGGTAGACCTACCCTTCCTCTTCTCTGTCGAGAGCATCATGGCACTCCGCAAGACGGCGTCCATGTCTGGCGTCGAAGCAACGGAAGGCTGCATGGCGGCGTATGCCATGTCGCTGTCAGATCGGTCGCCCGAGTATCCTTCGTCAAGTAGTGGGCTGTTGTCGGCAATCTGGGTGTGATCGTGTATGGGAGCGACGAAGGGCTGAGGAGGCGGAGGTGTACGGAGAGGAGAGTCGGCGAGCGGTGGTGAAGACATGTTTGCGACAGTGTCTTGTCTGGTGCGGTGGTGCTCAAGTCGAAGGTTCCACGACAGACCTGGCTGTGGTGGCAGATGCTGGACGCTGGTGAAAGGCGCTTTGACTGAAGGTGATTGATTGTCAGTCAAGGCACATGATGACGAGTGTCGTGCTGGTCGGCTGACAAGGCTGGTGGTGACATATGCGTGCGCATGTGAAGAGGAATCCAGCTTGTTTACTTCAAAGACCCTCGACACTGACGCCCGCTTCTAGCGCCAAGCCATATCCTTCGAGAACATCTACAACTCTTCCGCGGTACCACCACTTTCTCCCTCATGGGCAGTCTACCCACGATATAACAAGACCTGACGTCTAAGGCAGGTCGCGTATCGTACTTCACACTTGCGAACCCGCGCAAAGTTCCTTCAATTCAGCAAGAAGGCAAAGCAAAGCAACGCCTCGGCTTGTCTCTGCTACCAGCGGGCGCTCCCGCATCGACGGCGGAACAAAGAAGCTTTTAGGGCGAGTGCAAAGAGTGGGATGGGGGTACCCTCGACGACTCCACTCCACTCCACTCCGACTCCGACACGCTGGACACCCTCCTTTGGCATCTGCGACGACGGCGACAGGACATCTGCTGCACCGCGATTCATCTGCCGGGCGGCCAGAGTCAGTGGACGGCGATCGCACTCACCACCTGAAACACCCTTGACACCCCCCAAGACCCTGTCGCTCGAGCTTTCCCTGCTTCGGCCACTCTCCTTCTTTTCGCTGCTCCTCCACAAACTCTAACCGCTCACCACAAGACACTTTCTCTTCCCGCCAGACAAGCGCTGTCTAGGCCGCCGACCGCGCCCAACGCAACCACTGTTCCTCCCTTGCGCCACCGCCTACCCCCCTTACCGTTCCTTCGGGCCCGAGCCATCACCGACTCCGCTGAATCTAGAGCGCCAGCAGCAACATATGCGCCCATCTTTGAGGGATATACCACGCCCATGTAAGCGGACGGTGCAGGGCCACACGGCGTAGCAGCGAGGATGGCGGTCGCATACGGAAACCCTTACCTACTGTCCAGAACGCAGACCGCGCCCATGGGAGGTGCCAATGGTGACAGGAACATGAGTGGTGGAGGCGGCGCAAGGATCAACGGCGTCAACAGCGGGCAGAATTCGCTGGTACACTCCCAGAGCCACACCACTTCCAACTACTCCATGCAGAGCCAGCCCAGCAGTAGGAGCAGCGACAACAGCGGCCTCTTTCCCCCACCGCCCGTCATCGGCATGCCGACCCCTCCGAATGGCGGAGACGTCACAGCGACGGACAACATCATGAACACCGTCGCCGACGCCAGCAGCTCTCTCTTCCAGATCTGTGTGTCGCTGCGACAGCGGCTGATGGGTGTACCTGGCTTCGAAGACTGCCTGAGCGAGATCGAACAAGATGCGGACGACGACACTGATCCAGTGACGGTCCTATGGCGCACTTTTCGGCAAGGCTACCCTCTCGTCCTTCTATACAACACATTGAAGCCCGACAAGCCGCTTGAGGTACCGAAGAATGTTAAGGAGGAGAAGAAAGGCAAGGCGGCCACGTTCAAATTTCTGCAAGCTTGCATGAACGTGCTCAAATTCCCGCAAGAAGAGATATTCATCATCACAGATCTGTATGCGGACGACACAACGGGGTTTGTGAAGGTGGCGCGTGTGGTGAATCGGGTCCTGGATATACTAGTTGCGCAAGGCAAGATCGAGGATATAAGACCCACAGCGTCCGACTTTGAGCAAGCAGCGAAAGGCATGAAGCGCAGCCAGCGCCAGCATATCGTCCACGAGCTCGTCAGTACAGAGAGAACATATGTCCAGCACCTCGAGCACCTGCAAGCCCTGATGAAGCTTGTTGAGGCGAAAGGAATCATCCCTGGTGATGCGATCCACGACATCTTCCTCAACCTGAACAGCCTTCTCGACTTCCAGCGCCGCTTCCTCATCCGAGTCGAACAGACGAATCTCGAACCCGAGGACCAACAGAACTGGGGCAAGGTCTTCCACATGTACGAGGATGCGTTCAAGGTGTACGAGCCGTACATTGCGAACCAGAAGAAATGCGAAAAGACGGTCGTGGCCGAGTATCCGAAATTGGCAGCCGGCACGGTCGACGCCCCTCGCCAAGTCAAACAGATGGTCGAATCCTCCACTCAACTCTACGGCTTCCTCATGAAGCCTTTCCAACGCCTATCGAAGTACCCGCTCTTGCTAGACGATCTGTATAAGAAAGGCGACCTAGATGAGGGCCGGAAGGAAGATCTTTTGATTGGAAAGCAAGTCGCGACTGAAGTGCTTGGACGGACTAATAAAGCTGTCGATCGCGAGGAGAAGGCCGAGGCGGTGCAGGAGTTGAAGATGCGTGTGGAGGACTGGAAGGGTCATCGCGTGGAGGGGTTCGGGGAGTTGTTGTTGTATGGGACGTTTACGGTGTTGAAGAGTGAGACGCAGGGGAGTGGGAAGGATGGGGAACGTCAGGTATGTGAACAAGGTTTTCTTGATGTGTTGAGGGAGGGTGGCTGGGTGTCATGCTTTTGCCCTGTTCGTTGCGTGATGGATCTTAGGAGGCATGGCGGCAAGCATAGCGGGGTGGCGGAGGGATGTTGGAATTCTCTTACCTGCAGTATCTGGATTGCAGACGGAGTGAGATAGAAGGATGATTTGCGGCCTCGCAGTTGCTCACTCAGGTCTTGGTCGAGCCATCACAGTGACTTGCTAACAACGTCATGACTACAGTACCACGTCTACCTCTTCGAGACCATCCTCCTCTGCTGCAAAGACATCGACCTCTCGAAACCGAAGAACAAACTCTCCAACAAACAGCTCGTCGACAAGCGCGGCAAGCCGAAACTCCAGCTCAAGGGCCGCATCTTCATGCAAAACGTCACCGACCTCGTCTCGCTCACGAAACCAGGTAAGAACGCCAACAGCGACCCTTTTCACATCCTCCGCGTCAAGAAGAGCGGTGGCGATCCGGTATGTATCCTCGCAGAAAGGCACTAGAGCTGATTCTCTACCGTGTTTACCCCAGGCTCATATACATGCCAGATCTTCTGGAAGGGCGACCCGTCGATCGAGAACTTCATCATCCGCTTCACCACCGAGGATGCGATGAAGAAGTGGGCTCAACAAATTGAGTCGCAGCGGAGGCGGTATCGGGATCGGTCTGGCTCGCATCGGGCGTCGGAGTCTGGGAGGAGTGGGGGAATGGGGACGAGTGCGACGGAATTTGATTATATGCGCACGCTTGGTGGGCAGTTGGAGAATCCGTATGCTGGGCGGTATGAGGAAGATGAGGATGAGGAGGAAGAAGAAGGGGATGTGGGGACCGCACTGCCGGGGAGGCAGTATCCTTATAACGGCGATTTTGCAAACAGCAGAAACGCCAGCTCGAGCAGCTTACGGAGTCGCAGCACGACTGGCGAAAGTGGGATGACGCCTCTTGCGGGACCGCCAGGAAGTGGACGACAACAAGCTCCACGCTTCCCGCCTGGTGGTATGCCGCCCGGCAATCCTCTAGCTCTTCGTACAAGAGAGCTGGCAGGTATGCATGCGCACAGCCCGAGCGGCGACGCTGGACCGAACGACAGCTACTTCAGCCCCATCGAGGGCTCGCCAAGCCAGCTGTCAAGCTCACGGACGAGCGCGAGTTCAGGTATGTACCCGTTCCCGCGGCAGCAGGTTCCGCCAAGTCAGTACTACGAAGAGGGGCATGGCCATGGGACGAGATTCACTGCACCTGCTATGGGGCGGCAGCGGGAGGTCAGTGGCGGTAGCACTGCGAATGGATACGGGCCGCAGAATGGTTATCCTCCTCATCCGCAGAGTGGTGGCTACCCCCAGCAGAACGGCTATCCGAACGCACGGCCTGGTCCAGGGCCTCAGAGACCGGGGATGGGAATGCACTCAGCGCAGCAGATGCCTGGCCCCCCACGGAATCGCAGCGCCAGCAGCCCCGACATCCACAACAACCCCCGCGGCGTGCGAACACCCGTCGACGCCCCACCTCCTCCGCAAGTCCCAGACATGCCACTCCCGTACCAGCAGAACCCACACATGATCCCCCGCAGCCAAAGCAACTCCCCCAACATGGGCATGCCACCCCAGCGCGGCATGAGCCCGCAGATCCAACAACAGCTCCAGCGCGAACGCTCCTACACCCCGCAATCCCAATACCAACAGCAGCAGCAACAACAGCAACAGCAATACACCGTCTCCCCCCGCGGCGGCGCCTATCCCCCCTCCACCGCCTCCGGTCGCGCCATGACCCCTCTCCAAGAGCACTCCCGCTCCCGCTCCCCGCCCGCGCACTTCCATACCCAGACCTCCGCGCCCGCCACTCTCCAACAAAACTCCAACGCTCTCGAAACCCCAACCCAACTCAAAGTCCGCGTCCACTGCGACGCCGCGTCGCAAGTCCTGACCCTCGTCGTCCCGCTCAACATCACCTGCCAATCGCTCAAAGACCGCATCGACGCCAAGCTGCAGCGCAGCACCATGCTTACCCTTTCCGAGAAAGTCCCCGGAAGTGGGGCGAGGGAAGGGCAGACGGTGGTGCGGCTGAAGTTCATGGACGACGGGGATTTCGTGAGTATTCAGAGCGATGACGATGTGCAGACGGCTTTTGAGGGGTGGCGGGAGCGGTGGGAGGGGGCGGCGGGGGAGGTGCAGGCGCAGCAGGGGGGTGGGGGGATGGGGGAGGTGGATTTGTTTTGTAAATGAAGCTGAAGCCAAAGGAGGTGGATGAGCGATGGGTTCTGGCAGGGAGAGGACTGGATGAGAGGGGGAAAGAGCCGTGTACGGCAGCGCGACCCAATGCAAGAAAGGGAAAAAGAGCATGTCCAACGCCAGCAGTTGTACGCCGCCGCCAGAGCGCAGCCCAGAGGGACTCGATCGAGCATTTCAGCCCTGGAACAGTGGATGCTGAAACGGCCGGGAAGCGCTCGCTGCTCGCGACGGGTCGAGACGGAACGAGAAGCAGAGAAAGAAAAGGGCCAGGGAATGCTCATGCTCTGGCAGAGATCAGCAGGCCAAGGATGATGATTCTGACGACTGTGACGAGGAATGTCCATGGTATGGGGATAGGGATATGGAGAGCAGGTGTGTTTAGCTGGACGTATAGATGATGGAGAATTAGCGTTATTTTATGAGAGAGATGGGTGGAGCGTGGAAGGGGAGGGGGATGTAGATCAGCGTGCGTTGAGTTGAGAACGAGGTGAATTGAATGAGTCTGAAATGTCTGCCACCTTTCAAGATCGTGTCCGTATTAGAGTGTGATTGTTTGGCTCCTTTTGTGGGAAGCAGCATTGGAGTGCTGTTCGTGTTGTTGATATGTGGTGAACGAACGGCTCTGGTCGTCCCGACCTCGGCTTTGGCCGTTTGGCTGTTTGGAAGGTTTGCCCCGAATCAACCCGACCACAATCTTCCCCTTCACGCTCTGTAGTCCCATATTTACTCCCCTTGCAGTAGAGGCGGTTGATCGCACTTTTGTTCTCGGCAAAACCATGAGCCATGTGAGCAAAAATTGCCGTGAATATTGATGTATTCAGATGCTGATGAAAGACCTAGGACTCCCAACAGAACACGCCCTGGATAGTTTCGCTCGCGGCTGGGGGGTTCGCTGGCGCTGTACGCTCATAACAAGCCCAACATATGGCAGAACGGATGACTGACAACATGAATCGAACGGCACCAGGTCGAAGCCTTCGCCACAGCACGTATCCCCCCCTTCCCCTTGCCAATCCCAATAGCTAACACGACACCCCAGTACCCCTTCGAATTCGCCAAAACCCGCGTCCAGCTGCGCGAACAAAAAGGCATCCCCACCCCCCGCAACCCCTTCCGAGTGGTGGCCGGCGTCTACAGCACCGAAGGCCTGTCCGCGCTGTACAAAGGCTGCTCCGCGCTGGTGGTGGGGAGCGTGGCGAAAGATGGGATCCGCTTCTTGTCGTTTGACACGATCAAGGAGACGTTCAAGGATCCCGAGACGGGGACGCTGACGCCGGGGAGGAATTTGGGGGCGGGGATGTGTTCCGGTGTTGTGAGTGCCTCTTTTGTTCTTTCTATCGAGACGTTCAAATCTGTAGGAGGTAGGGGGGTTAACGAAGGAAATAGGTAGCATCCCTCTTCGCAGTAACCCCAACCGAACGCATCAAAACCGCCCTCATCGACGACGCCCGCACGGAAAAACGCTTCCACTCCACGCCCCACGCCATCCGCACCATCCTCGCCACCGACGGCTTCCTGGGCCTCTACCGCGGCCTCGCCGGCACGACCCTCAAACAAGCCGGCGCCACCGCCTTCCGCATGGGCACCTACAACATCCTCAAGGACTACGAGCGCACGCGCCAAATTCCACAGACCACACTCACCAACTTCGCCAACGGCAGTGTAGCCGGCATCGTGACGACCCTGGCGACGCAGCCGTTTGATACGATCAAGACGCGGTGTCAGAGTGCGCGGGGCGCGAGTACGGTCGAGGCGTGCAGGAGTGTGGTGGCGGATTATGGGGTGAGGGGTTTTTGGAAGGGGACCACGATGAGGTTGGGTAGGACGGTGTTTTCGGGGGGGATTCTGTTTACGACGTATGAGTGGGCGGCGGCGATCTTGAATCCGTTGGTGCGGAAGACGGGGGTAGTAAAGGAGAGTGTGTAGAGATATTTGTAGATTTGATGAATATGCGTACAATGCTGACCCGCTGCTGTGGATAGACTGAAGCTCCATCGTGAATGCAGGGTATAGAACTTAGACAGATCTCAAGCAGGCTATGCAATTCTTCGCGAACCAAGTGCTGTTGGCCTGGGATGCTGTGACAGCCACGATAAGATACCGCTCAATCATCATCATCCCCATCCCCATCCTCCTTCTTTCCCGCCTTCCCTTCCTTCCTATTATTCTTCCTCCTCTCCTTCCTCAACGCCTCGGAAACCTTCGAGTCCCCCTCATCCTGATGCTCATCCCACTCCTCATCATACTCATCCGCCACCATCTGAATCTCCCTCCGCAACCGATTCCCCTCCTCCACCAATCCCTCCCACCGCTGCAGATTAAACCCCTTCTGCTCATACAATTTACTCTGCCTCCGAGAAATCGTAAAGTTCATCGCGCTGCGGTAGCTCGCTTCCCGGTTATGGTACAAGAACCACATGTACCCGCCCATCAAACCCGTCAGCCCGACGAGGTAGGTCACCGGTTCCATGACGTCCCATCCCAGGTCCGTCTTGAACGTGAGGTAGTACACAATCGCCCACCAACTCACCATCCCGGCAAACCCTCCCTGCGCGACGCGCTGCGCGCCCCGTTGGGCGAGGTTATCGCACTCGCGCTTCAGGTCGGCGTACTGCAGGATGGTTTTGGAGACTTTGCGCAGGCGCATGCGGAGGTAGAAGGTGCGTTCGTCGAAGGAGGGGACGCCGATGTAGATGCTCTCGGGCGCGCCTTCGATGTCGACGGCGAACTCGGAGCCGCGGGCGGCGTCGCGGATGAAGTCGCCTATCTCTGTGGAGGGGGACCAGCGGACGAAGTTGGGGTGTTCCGGGTCCGCGGATTGGGCGTCATCGGGGTGCTCGCGTTGCTGTTTGGTGGGCATGGGGCCGTCGTCTTGGGAGGATTTGATCTTGCCCGTGCGCTCGCGCTTGCCGTCCACCATAGTCTCGTCTGCGCCTTCGAGGTCGTCGGCTGCGGGTTTGCCGCTCGAAATATCCTCTTCGGTAGAGTCCTGCGCTCGGAAGGTCACTTTCGGAATCTTCTCCTTCTCGCCATCCTTGATCACAGGTAGCTCGCTCTGTATGAGCCGTTCCAGATAACTCAGCGGTTGCTGCGGATGCACCAGCAACGCCAATGGCTCAACATCCTTCCGATCATTATTCGCATCCCTCGTCGTCAGGGGTAAGATCAACTTCAACATCCGACTGGGCGTTGTAAGGAGCTTGCCCTTTGTCATGGCACCAGCGCTTCTATTGCGGGCTACTGGTGGCTTTTCACTCCCATCGCGCATCCAAGGCGAGCGCATCTGCTTCTCTTTGCTCTCCTCCTCCACGGCATCGTAGTGGCTTCGCTCCACTTGGGTGACATTCTGTGACAGGTCGGCGGCGGGTATGGAGTCAGAGTCGGTCTTGACGCTGGAGGAGTCGGGCTTCTCGCGGGGCCATCTCGTCGCGGTATTTGTAAAGGCTCTCTCCTGTCTGGTCGAAGAAGTGACGGGCACGCGACAGTTGCGGTACGGCCATGCTGTCGGATGTGAGGTCTGGCGCAGCCGAGGCGCGAGCTGGGACAGCGTCCTGGAGAAGAAGGGCTCCATGTTGCAAAGCTCTCCAAAGTCAATGCTATCGCAGCATGGCCGTGGAAAGTATGTTTGAAACGTCAACCGCGGATTGACTGGAGAGTTGGCAGAAGTAACGACGCGCTTGGGCTTCACTTGGGATGTCTTGGTTCTGCGTCATCTGGCGTCAATAAGACGAACAACACCAGCTATAATCGACCAAAGTTGGCAGGAGAATGAAACCTGATGTTGAGGGCATTGCGAAGACTACACGACGACAGATGGAAGACCAAGGATTCGATTAAAACGCTGGATCACGGATACATAATATTTATCACCGACGCGCTCTCACCCCTGGGCCGACGCGTTGAGCATTATCTATACAAGGTTCTATCATGTACAGCTCGCGACCCAAGTCTCCCAAACTGCTGGCTCGTACAGTTATCATACTGCAGGCTCCAAAGCAATCCAAGAGACGCAACTTTACGCCGTCAAAGACTGGTGACCAATCGGTACAAGGACACCCTCGCAGCCAGGAGCGAAACCAACGCCTTGGTAGTTACCCAGGTTCACGAGCCATGCGCCCTGCGTAGAACAAGTCAACAAATGCTTCAAAGCGCGTCTCACAGCATCGGGAGGGATGATGCTCTACTTCTAGGGCCACGTACGCTGTTGAATTCAGAAAGCACATGATCGATCTTATAAGGAATCTCGCGCGTCGCGTTAGGGTAGGCGACGGTGTCTGCAAGCAATCAGTACATCGTCCAGCTCCCACTCGACTTGGGCCGACCACTCACGGAAGATCGCAATGCCCTGCACGCGCAAGGGGTGCTGGTTCGACACCCAGCGGATAAACACGTTCTTGCAATCCCAGAAGACATTCTCGTTCTTCCATGGCAGGGACCCCATCGCGCCCTGGGACTCGATGAGACTCGTCCGGTTCGGGAAGGTCTGGGATCCCAGCTATCGTAACGTATATCAGCATACATCCACCTCCTCACATCTTGGAAGTGAGTCAGCATACCGGCTTCGGACAAGCCCGCGTCCCGTTGTTCATGAGGAACTGCACGCTATCGGTGTAATCCACAACATCTGGGGTGAAGAGTTTTCGCGCAAACGCGTCGGTGTACTGGGAGAAGAAGTGCTCGACGTTGTCCGCGGTGGCCATGGCGTCGCGTTCGCAGAGGCAGTAGCCGGCGTTTGCGTCGCTGGGGAGGGCGAGGACGGGGGTGAGGGCGGCGAGCGCCGTGGGTAGGAGGGTGGAGGTGCGCACAGTTAAGTGCAATATGGGTATCTGGTTGTTGGAAAGGCTAAGGAATCTCACACCACCGGACAGAACACGCCTTATAACCACCCTCCAACCTTGGATCCGGGTCGCCCTGCCTGCCTTGCTTGCTTGCCGCGAGAAACCTACCTTCCCAAACCATGTGGGTATATCGACCATCACAAAACCAATTCATGATGCCCGGAGACAACGCCGTCGCAACGGTGTGCGGTAGGTTCGTCCACGGCGCCGGCTTCATCGTGATCTTATCTTGTCGGAAGGCTGATTCGAGCAGGACGATGTCTCCACTCGAAGATCCCAGCGCAAAGGCGCGGTGTTGGGATCCGGGTTGCTGGAAGATTTTTATTGTCCGAGATGGTGCATACGGAGATTTGCCTTTTTGCCTTGCATTGAGCTTGCTTCGGTGCGTTGTCTCGTTTCGTTCCTGCGTTGACGCTGATGAGATGTTGTGAGAAGAGCTTGTGATGTGGTCAAGGCCTTCGGATGGCTTTTGCTTCGTACCGGGCAGCCGTAAGTTGTGTGCATGTATCTCTCAGCATCAGTTCAGTGTTCCAAGGAGTGTGAGTAACTCTGATTAGAGTTCGGGTTGTTTCTAAACTCATCCAATACACATGCCGATCGATCAGTCCAATCTCTGGTACCAGATCTTACAGCAACCAGTGGTTCACAAGAAAGTCGAGCTTTTCCTTGGAGAAGGTGAAAACGCCTTGTCGTGCTTGTCTGCACCAACAAGAAAGACCAAGCGAATCTTGTCCAACGCACGCAATCTGGTCGACATGATGATCTGCTGGCCATCATCACATCGCGGCTATCGATCTGGAGTTGGCAGCGCATAGGTACAGACAGACCCACAGATCAAAACGCTCTGCGGAGCCCGTTGCATCAACGAGACGGCACCCGTGATTGCATTGGACTTCGACTCTTTGAAGCACGTTCAACAAACAGGAACAGCAGTTTCGACTCGCATACCCGGAAGTAAATGGAAGACCCACGGTACGATCATGTCGATCAACAATGCGTTCCTGCATTGCGGGCTCAATCAAGCTCGATCACCATGTGGATAAGAAATAGTCTTCCTGCTTGGCTGCTTGGCCGATTGATGGTGAACTGAAAGATAAAAGTAGGTAGCGGATCTGACTCCGGTATGTACAATTTCTACAGTCGACCGTACAGGTTCATAAAGTCATCCCCAGAGAGCCGTGAAGCCATGTATCGTCTCATCAATTCGTAGTCCATCCATCAAAGTCCCGCCATGCTCATGCCCTCCATAAACATCTCACCACCTCCTCAAAAACAACATTCCCCCCAGCACCTGCAACCCCCCCACCATCACCCCCAACCGCCCATACCCCACCCCCTTGACCCTCCCCCCTTCTGCCCCACTGGGCACATCATCCGGATCCATCACCAAAATCGTCCCGCAGTCCCCCTGCGCCGTCGTCGGCAGATTCGGCCCATGCGCGTACAGCGTCGAGCAATACTGCTGATACCCGCCCGCCGCGCCCGCGGGCGCCACGTACGACGTGTGCTGCGGGGCGGGCGCGACGTAGGTGGTCTGCGGCTGCCATTCGGTGGTGGTAGCGTACCAGGAGGTGGCGTGGTAGCCGCCGGCGCCGGCGCCTGCGAAGCCGGTGCAGGTGCAGCCGTTGGGGCAGCAGGCGGGTTTGGAGTCGGCCCATTGGCAGGTTTGGCCGGAGGGGCAGCAGCTGGAACACATTGGTGAGGGGTGTGAGGGGAATGGGAGGGGAGGGGGGAGAGGGCTTACTAGTCGGCTGCGCCGATGTCACTGCAGCCTATGGGGTGGTCGGCGGGACATTGGGCGGGAACGGCGTAGGAGCCGTGGTTCTGGCCTTTGAGCCATATGGCGCCGGTGAAGTAGTAGACTTGATCTGCGCTGGCGGCGTGGATGAGGGCGAGGAGGAGTGTGAGGATTATGCCGCGTATGGCTGGTCTTCGCGCTGCCATCTGTCTCTTTCTTTCTTGCTACTATACTCGGTGGCTGGGAAGGCTGGGATGCAGGCAAGGCGGGCGAGAATGAGGCTTGGTTGCGGGTATTGGTATGTTTGCTGTGTGGGAGGTCGCAAAGTACAGATGGCCGCCAGCAGCGATTGCGAACGATGGTATACAGACTCAAGAACGAGATGGAAGAGTGAAAGTAGGATAAGGTACCGCGGAATCTGGGTCGAGTCCCTCATGCACGGCCGGGTCATGGTCATGGCCAAGGTCAGCCTTCCATGTCGCCGTCCTGCTTCTCGACTTGACTTGCTGCCCGGAGTGTATCGGGCATCAATGCCTTTATTTGTTTCTCCATACTCTCCTCGAGCAGTTTGCGACTCCTTTCCATCTTCTCATTATCATGCGTGCCCAGGCATGCCATCTGCAAGACGCCGAATGACCTGCATCCACAGCTCGAGCTCTCATCGCAGCTCCCCAAAAAGATGGCTGGCGCGCTGCGGGGCTATCGATAGCGTAAAGTGCTTGCAGCTCTAGCGCGTTTCCGTGGACTCCGATTGCCGACTCGGCCAGAGCCTCACGATCGTCTCTGTTTACTCCATCTCCAGCAGTCCTACCTTACGCCAGCACCTCCCGCACCTCCACCACCTTCACCACCCGTCGCCTGCCCAGCACGGACCCTACCCACCATGACATGACAACCCCCCTTCCCGCTCCCATCTATCCCAAACGCTACTTCTCCGCCTCCCCCACCTGGTTCGCCTGGAACAAACTCACCTCCTCGGACCTCCACACTCTCCGCGAAGAACCCGGCTTTGAGAGTCAGCACATTTACTTCCATCTCAACCATCCGATTCGCTACGTCAGGTTAGTCGGGCTGGTGGTCGATATCGACGTCAGAGTCGGGAAGTACATTTTGATCACGCTCGATGACAGTAGCGGGGCGTGTATTGAGATTAAGACTGAGGCGCGGGTGGTGAGGGATGGGGATGGAGCGGAGTGGCCGAGCAATACTGTGTTGGATAACCTGGATCTCGTCACCGGGATAGGCAGGCCGCCGTCGCTGTTAGTCGACAGGAAAGCGGTAGATATCGGCACAGTCGTCAAAGTGAAAGGAACCATCGACACCTTCCGCGGCACCCGCCAAATCCAACTCGAACGCATCTGGATCGTCAAAGATACCAATGACGAAGCGAAAGCGTGGGCAGAGACGGCGGAGTGGAAGCGCGATATCTTAGGGAGACCTTGGGTGTTGAGTAAAGCGCAGCGGCAGGCTATGGATGCGCAGGCGGAGCGGGAGGCGAGGGAGGAGCGGCAGAAGGCGCAGAAGAGGAGGGTGAGGAGTGCGGAGTCGGAGAGGAAGAGGGAGGAGAAGGAGAGGCGGGGGGAGGAGAAGAGGAGGGCGAGGGAGGTGAAGTTGGATAAGGGGGCGTTGGTGGGGAGTTCGGTGGTGCCGATGAGGGTGACGGACTCGTGATGCGGGAGGAGTTTGGAGACTGGATGATGTTAAAGGCGTTGGTGCGAAGATACCCGTGGCTGTTTGCGTTGAGATTTGGATACTAGAGTCGCTATATGAATACCATCGAAAGTACTGCTCTGCCTTGGCTAGCAATCTTGATGTTACGCCAAACACCTCGCTTTCCCGAGTCTGTGCAATCTACCAAAAGCATCTCCTAGTCCTCATCCTCAGCAGCTGGCCCTCCTCTTCACCTCTTCGACTTTTTCGCCCGATTCTTCGCAAAAGCCTCCTCAGGCGGCTCATCCACCGGCTCAGCCCTCTTCTTCCCACTCTTCCCCTTCGCCCCATACTTCTCCTCCAACCCTTGTAGGAAGCTCTCCTTCCTCCCCTCCCTCCCCGCCTGCCTCCCCTGAATCAACGCCGCCAAATCCTCCATCCCACCCTTCTTCCCCGTCCCCTTCCTTCTCGATGTCCTCTCCAAATCCTCCTCCATCTCCCTCCCCACCTTCTCCGCCTCCTTCCCCTCCCTCTCCCGCCTCTTCCTCGACCGCTCCATCCTCTTCTGTACCCTACTCTCGCTCTCTCCGGTAAACTTCTCAAACCCCTCCACCTCGCCCTTCTCAATCGCCTCTTCAATAATGCCCCTAAACCGCTCCTCATCCTCGTCCGCTTCACTGAGCATAACGTACTGATACAACTTCTCCATATCCCCCCTCACCTTCCCATACGCTTCCAGCACATCCCGCCTCTCCTCCTCCCCACCCTTATACTCCTGCGCAAAAGCATCGATCGTCTCGCTCGTCACGACCGCAGCGTACTGCTCCCGGAAAAAGTCCGTCCAGTTGAACTCCCCATCCTCCCCCTCGCCTTCCAAAATCTCCTCCGTGCTGCCGGTGCTGTCGTACCGTTTCCGCCGGCGCTCGTCGGAGAGAATGGCGTACGCGAACGCGACTTCTTGGAACTTGGTGTGGGCGGTTGCTTTGTCCTCGGGGGCGGCTTTGTCGGGGTGGTGTAGGAGGGCGGCGCGACGGTAAGCTGATTTCACTTCGGAGGCGGTGGCGGAGGAGGAGAGGGAGAGGGTGGCGTAGGGGTCGATGGTGGGGGGTGAGGAGGGGGTGAAGAGGTCTTCGGTGTCGTGGGAGTCGGTTTTGCGGGAGGAGCGTTCGGGTGGCATCGTGGTGGAAGGAGCTGTGCTGGGATGATGGTTGAGTCAATGTGATGCTTCTTGGTGGATATGTGGTGTAGTTCGTCCGCTCCGGAGGTGGTGTGTTATGGTTCTATCTGTTGTAAAGATTCGAGGGAAGTTCTGGGCTTGAAGTGAGACGCGTTGACGCGCCTCGGTCCGATATCGGCATCACATGCATTCGGAGCTTGGGCAGCACATTCACATTCACTTCTCTCCACCCCAGCTTCTACCTTACAATTTGACCGTATGCCTGCTCAGAGTACGCGAGTATGATAGAACTTGCAGCTCGTCTACAATTAAAATAGTTGGCGAGATCCTATCCTGCCCGGTTACCAAGCCAAAGCTGAGCTTCATTCCCTTATATTGTTTTCTTCCTGCACTATTTCCTATTGCTTCAGCTGTCAGACGAAGGCCGCAACCGTCTTACTCCTATGGCACAAGCCACCAAAACCCTGGAGGACGAGCGGCACGAACACTACATGCGCCTCGCCCTCTCCGAAGCGCGCAAGAGCCCACCCAAGCCGACCAACTTCTGCGTAGGCGCTTGCTCGGTGGCCTCCGGTTTACAAAACACTGAAGGAGACTTGCTCGCCACCGGCTACACCCTCGAGTGTGAGGGCAACACACACGCCGAGCAATCCTGCTTCATCAAGCTCGCTGCTCTATACGGCTGTAAGGAGGAAGATTTAGGCGAACATCTGCCGGAGGGCGCAGTGCTGTATACTACCATGGAGCCTTGCAATAAGCGTTCGGTTGGGAACACGCCGTGCGTTGATCGGATCCTGGGGCTGAGAAGGAGAGATGGAAGGCAAGCGATTGAGAAGGTGTATGTGGGTGTCAGCGAGCCGGAGAAGTTCGTGGGTGTCAATGAGGGGCGAAAGAGGCTTGAGGAGGCAGGTATTGCGGTTGTCCATGTTCCCGGCTTTGAGGAAGAGATACTGTCTGTTGCGACTGCTGGACACGACAAGTCGGACTAAGAGCGTAGCTGAACGGCAGCACTCCCATCCCCTTGGACAAGATGCAAGCTCGATGCTGTTATGTGCTGGCATGCCCATCGCGGGAATACCGCGTAAGCACAGTGAGCACTCTTGCTGCCCACGGACATATCCACTCTTCATTCATCCGCTTTCCGCTCGGTCGACACGTGAAAGCATAGCTTTTCATGCATGATTGACGAAGTGATGCCGCACTGACGCGTTGACCGCGCGCTGGTCGCGCTTACCCCAGATTTACGACGTCACCATTTCTCGACACAACAATCATCACATGCAACAGCACTTCTTTCTCTCCAGCACTCTCACTCAAACCTTCAATGCGTCCCTTCACACCACAATACCTCCGCTCAATCAACCAGACCCTCAGATCAACAACAACATCGACCCTCAAACCCAGCCGCTTCACCACCCGGACAACCACCAGCATGTCTTCCACCGACACAGGCGAGCTCAAGATCGAGAACACCAACGTCAAGACTGGCCCTTCCGTCTCTCTATCAAGCCAACAGAACACCCTGGTTGGCTCCGTCCTCGACCTCTTCGCCGGCCGCCCCTCCCTCGCCAAACTCCAGCTCTGGTCCGACGATGCCACCTTCGAAGACCCCATCACCGTAGCGAAAGGGCGCAAGCAGTACGAACCCCAATGGTACGGTCTCCAGACAGCCTTCTCAGAGATCGAGCGCCTGCATCACGAAGTCACGTCAGCAGGCAACCCGATCGAGATGGATCTGAAGACGAGATACGTCGTCAAGGGCATCGGCAAGGAGCAGGTCATCGATAGCAAGGTCAAGATCTTCACGGAGGGGGACAAGATCACGAAGGTGGAGGATAGATGGGACGGCAAGCTGCCCGATAGCGGGATTCAGAATGTAAGTTCGATTTGGCAGTTGGTTAGTCCGTGGTGGTGGGTGCATTATGCGGAAGGGTGGGCGTGGTGGGTGTGGAGTTTTGTGTGGTATACGAGGCCTTGGATGGTGAGCGAGTTCGCTCCATTGGCTTGTTGTTCTTTCGAGAAGGGTATTGGGGTTGTTTTGTTGATCGGTCACGAAGAAATGTGCTAACGATTCTTCCTTTAGGCTTTCCGCCGCCTGAATGCCAACAGTGTGCCGATGATGGTCGGCGTGCCGAAGAACGCTGAGGAGGACAAGCAGAGGGGCAACTAGGCTAGTTCTTGGAGAACTGGGATACGGATGCCACGCGACATGGTATGCATAAGGCGAGCATGATGTACGATAGCGTGACAATAGAAAGCATTCAATGTCAAACAAGTCGATTCCATCGTGAGTCACCTTTCTGCCCAGTCTGCAATTCACATGTATGTCTACCGCGATCGAAATATCAACAGCCGCAGTCCGAGCATGGACGGCCTTTCAATCGCGATGCCGACCCGGATTACAGGCAGGTGAAGCGCGTCTTGCATACCCTGTCGGGGCTGGGTGAGGTGCCTGCGCGGCGAGGGATTAAGGACTTTTTAGGTGAGAAGGGAGCGATGTTAAGGTCGGCGGTGGTGGATCATAGATGATTCATTTATCAAGTTGTAATTCATGACGCCGTAGCCATGACCTGTTCCATCCAGGGATACACGGATCCTGGGAACCAGATTAGCACAATGGATCAAGCAGCACATCACTGGCTGAACATACCATTAGCCGGCGGATATCCCATATGCAGCAACCCAGTAAAGAACCTCGCTTCCTTCGGCGTCCCATACTCCATCATCAGCATCGAGTCCTCAACCGGCATCAGCCCATCGTGCGTGCCGTTAATCAGCAGTAACCGACAAGCAGGCTGATTAACCACCCCCGTCTCCACCAACGAGAAGTCCTTCTGCGCCTTATCCATGAACTCGTCTTCACTCACGTACCCAAACTTCTCCCGCAGAGCCGGCAGAGCGGTCCAGGGGTACTCGTGATCCTTGGCCTTCTCCAACCACGCCCGGCTGAAGAAATGGTGTGTCCCCGCGCCCTGCCCGACGGCGCCAGCGAGACGTTTCGAGTGCGTGTGGGCGGCGCGGATGGCGTTGTGGCCGCCTGCGGATAAGCCCCAGCACAGGATCTTTTTCATGTCGAATCTGCCGTCCTGCTCCATCCAGTCTAGGATGCTAGTCCAGAGGCGGTCGGGTGAAGTAGGGTCTCGTCGGTCGGCGGGGCAGTCTGCTGTGCCGGGAATGTCGACGATGACGGACGCCCAGCCGCGTTCGAGAAACTCGTTGGAGCGGACTGTGTTGTCGGGTCTGTGGCCGTCGAGACCGCACATGAGGATCACTGCTGGGCAGGGCTTGGATTTCGAGGCGTCCTTTGGAAAACGGACGTAGAGCGGCACCTCCTTGCCCTCGTCCTTGTCCGTCCCTGCTGTGTGAGGGATGTGCACGTCTTCGATCGGGCATTCGAACAGCGAGGCAGCTTTCATGTACGCCTTCTTCTGCGCATCGTATGCTTCCCTCTTCAGATCGCTGTTGATGTATGGGAACCTTGCGATCCGGTACACCGCGCATGCTCGCAGGTACATGTCGATGGCCTCCTGCTTCTTCCCGTCATCTTTGAGCTTGTCTGCTTGCTTGACAAGGTCTTCGCAGGTCGGCAGGAACTCCTTGGTATACTCTACGCTGTAGCCGTCATGGATGCCTTTCTTGATGAGGGTTTCGAATATGGGTGCGAAGTCCTCGTATTTGCCGTCGTGGACTGACCCGGATTGTGTGAGCTAGAGGGAAGGGTATCGAGAATGTGCAAGCCAGCTTACAAGGGTACAAGCTCCTCTCGCAAGGGAACTTCCACTTCTTGTTCCAGAGTGCATCTATGGAGTCTAGGTGTGGGTACTTCTGCTCGAACTTGTCGCCCAGGATCCACCGTGAGCCGGTTCGTGGGTCGGTCATGTTGGATGGACGAGATGCGGACTTGAAAGAAGGCAAAAAACCTCGAAAGAGCGAAATATGCAGAGGAATACGAGAAGAGGAATGTCGAAAGAAACGTTAACGGACTGCGAGAGCTGACCTTCGGGACCCCAATGAGCCCTTTTCCCGCCGTACCTGGAGCTAATGCGAGTCTTGAGCTTCGTTCGGAGTCTCAAGAGGTGCGAACGAATAGAGCGTGAAAGGGAAGCCGAATGCGAAGTCTGCATGGGCGTTCATACCATACCGTGCAAGGTACCTCATCTGAAAGTCGTAGACATCGAGACCATTGTCGCGAGATCTTTTGAACAAGATAGGGTGAGGGTAGACGTCGAGGACGAGCTCGGGCGCGTTTGCCGTCGGCTTCGACTGGGTCACGTGCACTTCCTTCCCCGCCGCTTTCCACTTCACCTCGTCCCGAAGGCTCGTGACGCTGCGATCTACACCGATAGTAGCACCTTGGTACAACAGTCTGTGACACTGTCCGCTAGCGCTACTGACGGCTTCTGCAATAGCGGACGATCGCTGACGGGCGAGGCATACCTTCCAAGGTCACCATCAGTTGGGACTCCATCGTTCGCTATCTCTCGGTATTTCGAGTGGAAAACGATAGACGTTACAACCTTCTGGAGCTCGCGGAAGTCTCTCAACCCCAGGTTTCCTGATACAACCCAAACTCGCTGCCACCATGGAGGAGCAAGCTGAGCAAGATCCACCGCCTGTCGCGCTCCGGGTCGACGAGAAGGATGCGGCAAAGGGCACAGCGGCCTCTTCTGCCGTGGAACCCTCGCTAGGTGGAGGCGAACTGCATCGCACGAGCACAGCAAACACCGCATCGTCCGCTGCATCGCCACCCGCCTCGCCTCCCGCAGCTGAAAGCCGCCGCTCACCAGTCGCAGAAGACTACTACTCCTCACGTCCGAAACACGACAAACTTGGCAACCCCATCCCTCAGCGGCGCCAAGGCGCAATGTCATCAGTCTTTGGCAACTCATCGGTACGACTACCAGGTGACCTGGGAGCCAAAGATCCGCGAAGGCCGAAATCTCCTGCTCCTGTGTCTCTGCCTGGTGATCTTGGCCCGAACGACCCGCGAAGGCCGAGGAGCGCGAACAGCAGTCCTGTTCGAGGCCATGCTCGACAGGCCAGTGGAGGGTCGCCCGCGCCACCGGAGGGCGAGAGGTTACTGAAGGACCCAAAGAGGCCCGCAACGCCAGTCGACGACAATGACCGAGAGAGTGACGACGACGCGGATGCTGACAATGACAACGACACCGATGTGGAGGACGCTAAACGCGGCAGAGGCAGGATACGACCTGAGCCGGGCAGGACTACTTCCGGCAAATCCGTCAACGTGCGAGACGAGAGTGAGGACTCTGAGCAAGAGTCTAAGTGGCCTGGAGGCGCAAAGCCGGATCCCACCAAAGGCGAAAGCAAGCTTTCATTCAAGGGCGACCCTAGTATTAAGGTTACTGGACCTCCAGAGAAGAAGCGCGTGCATCCTATGTCAGCGTTTGACACTGCACCTTCGATAGGCGCCACCCCGATGAGCTCCGATGATGAGACACATCTAGAGCTTCGGGCAGCTCAGAAACTATCCTTGACCATGTCTGCAGTTCACAGCACACCCACTGCCCATCGTGTCATCCGTCAAATCGTGAGAGGCGACTACGGCCACTTCCAGCGCGAGGCTGAGGAAGGTCGACGCCGCCAGCGCATGTATCTTGTTGCTACGGACATCTCGCCGGAAGCGGAACACGCACTGGAGTGGACTATTGGTACTGTGCTTCGAGATGGTGATACTCTCTTTGCAGTCTATGCGGCAGATGAATCAGAAGCTGGTGGAGCTGGAGAGGGTGGTGTGGAGATTGGCAGAGGTGCCGACATGGTCAAGGACACAGCAGCTATTGTGAGAGACTTGCAAAGCACTACGATCCAGCCCAATGCGCCCGGCCCGTCACCCCTGGCTCGGTCCAGTCAGCTCGCAGCAGGTACATCGAGCGACGCCCGCAGTCGTAGCCGTGGACCTTTCAGCGCCGCCGAGGCAGAACGCAGACGGGTCCTCGACGACATCACAGCCCGCTGTGTCCGTATGCTCCGCAAGACCCGCCTGCAATGCCGTGTCGTGGTCGAAGTCTTCCACTGCAAGTCGCCACGGCATATGATCACGGAAGTTATTGACTTCCTCTCGCCGACCCTTGTCATTATTGGCAGTCGTGGGCAGAGCGCTGTGAAGGGTGTGCTGCTTGGTAGCTTCTCCAACTATCTGGTTACCAAGAGCAGTGTGCCTGTCATGGTAGCAAGGAAGAAGCTGCGCAAACACTCGAAGAGCCAGCGGAACAAGGATGGAACTACGATCCCATACTCTGGCTCTGGCAGACCGGGCAGGTTCAGCAATATGATCGAAGTGCCGAAGGGCAAGGGTCTTAGAGTCAAGGGGTGGGAGCAGGTCGGCATTGATTAAGGGTGGGCGTTCGCTTGGATCGAGACGTCTACATCTTCCAGTGACTTACCTGGTACGCCCGGTCTCAGAACGTCTTCATCTTTCTGCTCCCGTGACTTCCCGTCGAATGATTCCATAATCTCCTTCCTAATCCAGCCATCATGCCTAGCTTACTGTGCTCTTTGTCATGAACCCCACATGAGCTGAGGTTCGACCTGAAGCCTTCAATGCACTTCACCTTGCTCCATCATCATCCGGACTATCAGCTGCGAGCTGCATTGCTCAGCAAATTAGGGCGGACCTAAGCAGTGTCAAGTAGTAAGGAAGGCAGGTAGGTCTCTGGCGTCCTTGTTGCAACCTCACTTCATCTTCTCAGTCAATGCTACATGCTTCGCTCACTTCGACGGGCTCGCTACTGTCAAAATACCCTTCAGCTCGCAAGACTATCAACCAGCAGTATGGCTTCCGCCGATACCAAAGAGATGACCGTGAAGAAGTTCAATGCTGTAGTCATTGGCTCTGGACAATCAGGTATGGGACTGCGTACTACCATCATTTGTAGCAGCTACCCAATGCTTACCTCCTCACCATAGGCACACCACTAGCCTCAGCACTGGCGCAAGCCGGCCGCAAGACCGCCCTCATCGAGCGCACCCACATCGGCGGAACCTGCATCAATGAAGGTTGCACGCCGACGAAGACCATGATTGCCAGCGGTCGGGTGGGGCATCTGGCGAAACGGTCAGCGGACTACGGCATCTGGAACATCCCCACGCAGAGTCTGGAGAAAGGCCACAAAGCCTACCATTCCAAGGAAGAAGGCGATTGGGAGAAAATGAATGTCGCTGTTGATATGATGAAGGTTAGGCAGCGGAAGCGGGATATTGTCAACAGCTTCCGCGGTGGGAGTGAGGCTAGGTTGAGCAAGCAGGAGGGGCTTGAGCTTATTACGGGCGATGCTAGTTTCAGGGATGAGAAGAGTCTGGTGGTGAAGATGTCGGGGCAGGAGGAAGGGGTGGTTGTTGCGGCGGAAAAGTTCTTTATTAATGTGGGAGAGACGCCGTCGAGACCGGACTTGCCTGGGCTGGACCAAGTGGATCCGAAGCGTGTGTTGGATTCGACTTCGATCATGGAGCTAGGTAAAGATTTTCCCTCTAAAGATACGAGAAGTGTTAGCTAATGAGTCTACGTGTGCTACAGGAGAGGTCCCACACCATCTGATCGTCCTTGGAGGCTCATACGTCGGTTTGGAGTTCGCTCAGCTGTTCAGAAGACTGGGAAGCAAAGTCACTGTCCTTCAGAGGGGCAAGCAGCTCGTCCCACGAGAAGATCCGGAGATTGCAGAGGCCGTGAAACAGATCATGAAAGAGGACGGCATTGACGTCCACCTGGACGTAACGGTGGCAAACACCAAACCCGACCATGGCGAGAACGTTGCACGCAAGGTGGTGGTCTTCTTCGAGCTCGGGCAAGAACACCGTCGCAACCTGGTCAATGGCTCGCATCTTCTACTCGCCACTGGACGGACACCCAACACTGAATCCTTGAACCTGTCGGCTGCCGGCGTGGAGACGGACTCCAAAGGCTACATCACCGTCGACCCAAAGCTGCGAACAACATCCCCAGCTGAAATCTACGCACTAGGCGACTGCCATCCCGGACCAAAGTTCACCCACATGTCCTACGACGACTTCCGCATCCTCAAAGCCAACCACCTGTCCGACTCATCTTCCCAAACGCAGCTCTCAACCACCGATCGCCAGATCCCGTACGTGATGTATACTGACCCTCAACTCGGCCACATCGGTCTCCACGAGCACGAGGCGAAGGCGAAGTACGGCGAGGACAAGATCCAGACGGCTTCGATGCCGATGGCGTGGGTTGCTCGAGCGCTGGAGACGGATGAGAGTCGTGGGATGATGAAGGCTGTGGTCCACAAGGAGACGGAGCAGATTTTGGGGTTTACGTGCTTGGGATTGGAGGGTGGGGAGCTTATGTCGATCGTTCAGGTAGAGCCGCCGTGGTGTCTTTGATTTGCAGCTCGCTGACTGGCTTTTAGACCGCTATGCTGGGATCTCTGAAGTACACGGCCCTGCAGAACGCGATCTATGCGCATCCGACCCTGGCTGAGTCGTTGAACAATCTCTGGGGTTATCTGAAGTGAGGGCGAACGACTCTCTGGGACCAGGTTTCGGCGAAGGGGCTGCGGTTGAAAGCAGACGACACAACGTTCGTCTGTAATCGACCGCGGTACTGTTGTTCCTCGCAATGGTGGCTTGAGAGGAACCTGCTCCTTCCATAGTCCCTCATTCCATAGCAAGACACTCGTGCTTTTAATGTCGACTCGGCGATGTTTTCGTCAAGCTCTCACAGACCCATCCACTCCTTAGGAAGGAACTCCCAAGCCGTTCCCACGATTGCCAACACTGTCGAAACGATGATCAAAATCCAGTCCAGTATCATCTGCCATCTGTCGATCTCGCCGTGGAAGAGCTTGAGGTGGAAAACGGCTGGGCAGATCACCTGAAGTGAACGTGTTAGCAAAACTTGACCAGATCAGTGCAACAGTTTTCGCGTGGCTTACACAGATCAGAAAACAGAAGCCCGCACCCATGACTGGATAGGAATGGTCAGCACACGCTTGCTTCCACTGTTCAAGGCCCGTGAATGGCACGTACTTGCGGATATGACTTCAAACGACGGCACCACGATCGCTATCAAGACGATAACGACTGTGGTGACTATCCGGAAGATTGCTTTGAGCAGCTTGGTGAGGAATGGCGACTGATTGAATCGATTCGGCTTGATCGTGGCGGCGCGTGGATCAATCCTGAACACCACCTCGAGGGTAGATATTATGGGCGAGCAGCTTCTCGCGGTTAGGAAACAGACCTTTAGATGAGCGTTGTCGACGGAGAACTTACTTCAACGGGAACTTCGTCAATGGTATGATAGCGATCGTCACCAGGACCAACACTCTGACTGCCTGCGGGTATCCATCGGTCTTCATCACGTTGGTGCTGATTTCATCCAGAGTGTTGCTACCGTACATGAGGTAGCCTAGCACGGCCATGACGAGATCCACGCTTGTCTGCACGATCATCAGCGCTTTGCATGGTTATATGCGGATGTCCTCGACTCACCACAAACGAAAAGATGATACTCAGGCCCTTTCCGTACTGGTTCGGGTGCTTCATGTCTCGGTATAGATTCGGAAAGACTGAATGGCCACCCCAGACAGCTGATGAGGAACAGTCAGTACCTCATCTTCGCTTCATCGATTCAGGAGGACTTACCCATGATCAGCCCGAAGCTCAACGGCAGAGCTTTCCAATGCTCTGGCAAAGCATACGTCGTCGCCACATCGAGTAGCGATCCAGGACTGCTCGACTTGAGAAAGCCGGCAACGAATGTGATGACGATCAATGCAATGCCGCAGAATATTCCCAGGAACGAGGTAAAGCTGAGCCAGCGCATGGGGAAGAAGTTCAGAGGAGCCAATATGCACCCGCATAGGATCTTCCAGTGCACGTCGTTGGGTCCTTCGATCAGGCTATCGAGTGAGTCGGCGAAGAGAATGACGAGGCTGACGCAGGCTGCTACGAGCTCGAGGGTGAAAATAACGCTCGTTCCTACGCGACCCTTCTCGCCGAAGGCCACAAAGGCAATGTCGGCGAAGTTGGCGAGCGAGCTGTCGACGTCTAGACACTTGGCTAGTAAGCTGGCGGTGTATTTCGTCACGAAAGCGGAGGTGAGGAGGAGTATTAGGCCGATGACCCAGCCGGCGTACCGTATGCCCTAGATGGGAAACAGGATCAATCAGCAGTGTCTCCGACAGGTCCATACCATTGAAGCTTACCAGCGGCAGACTGAGCATTCCCACCCCAATCAGAACATTGGAAGAGTTGAAGATCGTCTGTGACAGGCTGCTTTGACCGCCTATCACGTCTACGAACGTCCCATCGTGACGCTCCACTCTCTTCGCCAGCAGCGGTTCTCTATCCTCCTCCTTCTGCTGCGAGCGGGTTTCGTCTCTTTGCTTGCAGAGCGCCTCGATCCGTAAGTATGAATGCCGGTGCATTTTTTGGCTCAGGTGAATGCTGCAATCTTGTGCCTCAGCCGGTGCCGGCTTGCCGTGGTCGAGCAACGGCGTCTGCTCGTTGGCCATTCTGCTTTGCGTATTTTGCGCGTTCTGCGCAGCCGTAGGTCTTTGCGCATCTCCGTCGTCTCTGGCAGTCTCTTCGTCGCTGCCCGGTGTGATCTTGTGAAAGACGACTCGCACGTTCTTGAAAGTAGCGGCTCTCCGGACAGAGCGCGAGAAAGCGTCGAGACTGTTGATGCCGACCATCGCGGCGGATTGGAAAATTACAGAGAGAAGAAAGAGACAGCATATGAGATACAAGCAGAACCTTCACAACCACATAGTCTTGTAGCTATCGGAAGCTACTTACCTCTGGCGGCACACAGGGTCCAAGGTTCGTCGCTGTATACCCAGATGTGGCTAAGAAAGGCCGATCGTCTGCTAGAAGGCGATCAGCATTGGGCTTGCAGCATCCCTGGTTCATATCTGCATGTGTGAAGAGGGCAAGATCCGGAATTGGTCGCAAGAGGGTCTTATCTATGGCTATCAAAGCCAGCTCGCCGCACTGCAGCTGCCGGTATGCATAATGACGCAGAGCCGCCCGGCAAAGAGCTGCATATCAGCCAAGTACGCAGAAGAGCTTGATAGTGGCACTGTGGAGAGAAATGCAAGTGCGAAGCGAGGAGAGGGGAGGAGATATGAGTAGATCACCGAGGACTGGACTTTTCTCGGCTGATTCCGGTAATTTTCAAGTGATCACGTGCACTCTAACTGCATCCATTCTCGTTCCACAGCACACCATGCCTGCTGCTTCCGTCAACAGTATTTTCGTTATCTCGCATGCTGCCTAAAGCTGATATCGGAACTGCGGGTTCTGCACATTGTCAGCCGTTCCCGTACACAAGACGCAGGACGCAGATTACCTTGGTATCCGTTAGATCGTCGTCGTAAGCATTGTCAAAGTCCTCCAAAGTCCCTGTCTTGTCTCTCCTTCGATTGTCCCAGATCGCAAGATACCGGTATACGACAGAGAGAACCGCGACCAGCAGCGAGGTGATGACGACGGCCATGAAACCGGGAGCGTAGACTGGAGAGTCTTCTGCTTTGAACAGGAGCGGCCCGACCTAGATGAATGCATAGAAGTTAGGAGGTGTCTCGGCTCTCACGATTTATCTCGGATGGAACGAACAAAGTTTCCCAGACAATACCCTAGACACGAAAAACTGTCAGTGAACGTCTCAAACATGGCTGGATCCAATGCATGGATATCATACCAAGGAAGATGAAGCTCGCAGCAACGCTCTTCTTAGTATACCCAGCGATATTCGCCGTCTGCAGCCCCATCAAGACCGCATAGCTGCCGCCAAAGCACGCCAGCGTAAACGCTCCGTACAGCAGACCGCCGGTGGCGTTGCGGGGCAGCTGCCAGAGCAGAAGAGCGGCGAGAACAGTGCCCATCTGGCACACGACGATGACCCAGGTCCGCTTGTTAGCCCATCGGTAGCAGACGTAGGGAGCCACCCATTCGATCGTGCCGATAATCAAGCCGGAGGGCATTACGAGGAGGAGGGAGTTGAGCTGGTTGAAGCCGAAGCTTTGGATGATGATGGGGATGAACGTTGAGACGGGTCCGTTCGCGATCACTGAGCAGGTGTCAGAATTGAGTCAATGCAGAGAATGGAGAAGGCATGGAAGCATACTCGTCAGGAAAGCCATGGCGAACACCAGCCAGCATTTCGGATCCATAAAGACCTCCAGCGCCTGGCGGGCTTTGAAATGCGTGTTCCGCACTCCAGCATTGTTTGATCGAAGTCGCGCAACTGCAATGTATCGCTGTCGTTCTGTGAAACCCTTCACTCGGATCGGGTCCGGCGGCATGAAGAAGAAGATGACGAAGCTCCAGATGACGGTTAGAGCACCTGCTACCAGGTACACTGCAGCGGCGTGAGAGCAGTACTCCCCCGGTTAGAATGTGTACTTACTGTATTGCCAGGAGTTCAGTGAGCCGCCGTTGATATGGCCCAATCCGTAGTTGATGAGCGGCGACTGATCATTAGAGTCAGCAGTCTCCAGGAGTGAAGTAAGGTGTTGGCCCTCACGATGATAGAGACGTAGCCTGTCGCACAGTACCATAGACCCATGCTAGACGAAGAAGTCAGCCATGACCTCAAGAAGAGAATGAAGTGAGCATACCGAAGCGCCTGTTCATGCTTCCGATAGAAGCCCGACACCACCAGCATGAACATTGGCGACACGCCCGCCTCGATCATACCCAAGAAGAACCTCTGCGCAAAGAACCCAGAGTAACTCTTACACCCCGCCGTCGCCATCATAACCACCCCCCACACAAACACAATGCCCGTCGCCACCCTCTCAATCGGCCACCGCTGCGCCATGAGAATAGCCGGCGTCGCTCCACATATAAACCCCAGATAAAAGATCGACGCAGAGAAACTATACCTCGTCCCCACGTCCAAGTCCAAGTCCTCGATCAGCCCGAAGATGGCCGCTTGGGCCAGCATGGCTTTGTCGTAGTACTGCAGGCCGTAGGTCGCGATCAGGATGGGCATGAGGCGGAAGTCGATGCGGCGGACGAGGGCTTTTTCTTCGGCGGGGGTCCAGTGGAGGTCGCCGCTGTTACATTACAGTGAGTGGTGGTATAGGGGAGGTGGGGGTGGGCTTAGACGCACTCGTAGGAGGCGAGCACTTTCATCGCTTCATCTTGGTGGACGGTGTCGATTTCTTTTTGCTGGCGTGCTTCGGTTACGACGTCTTCGACGGCGTCTTGGGATTGAATCTCGGGTTTGTCGGCCATGTTGGCGGGTTGAGAACAAAGTGAATCACCTGTGAATCAGTTCGAATGACAGACGTCCAGCATTGCCCACAAGATCCTGATATATCCCTACCTCATCCTCCTCCCGAGGTCACCTACCTCGCTCCCATACCACAATGCCACGCCCTTCTCGCCTGTGAATGCTTGATATCCTGGGCAAACCCACGTGGAGTGCAGTAGCACCTTCTTACCCGAGAAGCGCCGGCGTACCATGCGTCGAGTTCCCACAGAGAGCACCAATTGCGGCCATATTCGCCGCCAGTAGCGCCTTGGTTTCGCCTGGAAGTATCTGCGGTACCAAGAGGAAGAGCAGAGCAGGAGAGCAACCCCGCTTCTGGGCGCTGGGAATATCTGGGGTCCGGGGTGTTGCGGAAAGAAAAAGTCCACGGCAGGGATGGTAACAAGGAAAAGTGAACCTGAGCAGTCCGCCGAAGTAAGGTGTTTGAGTCCGTTTGCGAGCGAAGGAAGGGCGGACGAAAGCCGGGCGAGGAGGATCAGATGTGGACAGTCAGAAAAGTTCCTACGCAATACGGTTAGCGCCGTAGAAAGAGATGATCACCGGGCACGTGAGTGTGATATGATACGATCTCGTGTCTTCAACTAAAGTACAGCAATCAGTACATGTATCATACAACACTTTTCCTCCGCACTCCACCCTGCCCTCACATGTCCTGGTAAAAACGAGACCCAGCCCACGTCAGTGGTCATCCGCGCTGCTGCTCCCACAAAGCAACCTCCTCCAACCCTTGGCCTTCTTTGGCGATACTTGGGCGTGACGATTGGCAGGTTTCCTGGCCGCCTCGCTGCCTACAGTCGAAGTCGTAGCAGTCGTGGTACTACTCTCCCTCTTCTCGGGACTCGAAGCGCCTGAAGCTCTCCCGCCTTTGTTGCGCGGCGTGGCCACGGTGCTGTTCGCTCCATCACTATCATTGACCTGCGGCAGAAGCGGCCGAGCAACAGACTGTCTCCGCTGCGTCACCGCGCCTTCGAACGGCGCAATGACATGCGAGCTATTCCTCGAACCGTCCTCACTAGGCGGCTCACTCATCTCGCGCTGCGAATCCAGCAGGTCCGGTCGCCAGGTCGCTTGATGGTGCTTCGCTCTATTACTCGCCGCACGATGCACGAGCACCGTCGAAGCCGAATCCGCGCGAACGCGACCGGTTTTGCGGGCCGTCTCGAAGTACTCGGAGGGTTCTCCCTCAGTTTCAGGGACCGAAACGGTAGAGCCGCGGTTCGATTTGCGCATGAGGCTGGAGGTGCGGAACATGTTTGAGCCAACACTCTTGATCGAGCTGCGCTTCTCGAGCTGCGGTTTCTGTTGTGGGGAGGCGGGGGGTGTGGAGGCAGGGGAGGAGAAGGTCGCGGATTTGGAAGGGGAGTTTTGCATGCTTGGCGAGCGGTTCAGAGCGGATGCGTCTTTCTCCTTGTCGTCGTATTTGAAGTTGGGAGACCAGTCTTCTTTGAATGCCACCCATAGACCTGTCATGACGATGATGGTGCGCAGGCGGTCGTCGGTCTGGCAGTGCTCCATTTCGTCGTGCTCTTCGTCCATTGCGTCTGTCAGGAACCTAGAAGCTTGCTTAGGAGTGCTCAATGGGGTTACAGCTGATGGATTTGGCATCTTGTAGGTGTCGTTGACGTCCAGTTGTCTCTTGCTCAGAGTCGCGATCACGGGATGTTTCCGGCTGTTTGGCGAAATGGTACTGAAGTTGAACCTCTTCCTGCTCGAGTCCGACGCCTTGCCGCCATCTTTGTTGCGCTTTGGCACCCATCTGACCGTCAAGCCAAGCCCATGTTCATCGGTGCTGAAGAATTCGTATCCTCCAACAGGTGTCGGGTATGCTTCCCACTCGCGGCCCCCTGGTAGGCATATCCGTGCTTTCCCGACCGCGCCTCCCTCTTCTTTGCGACCTTTGCAGATCAGCGCAACAATGTCGCTGGCCTCTTGATCCTCGTCTGGTTCGTAGGCACAGTATTTCTCCGCTCTCATCACCACCAGGTCGTTGGGACACAATCCATGCTTGGTCTTGAACACCTTGGTGATAGCTCGAGTCAGTCGGACGCTGAAGTTGGCCGAAGGCACAACCTCGTACGCAGGCTTTGGTCGTGCATCTTGGGACAGTTTGTGCAATTGTAAAAGCGATCGTGGTCGTCGATGCAATTTTCGTCGGTTCGAGGAGGTCGGCGCTGGATGGCATATACTGTAGCATGTCTTCGGCCTGTTTATACGCCTGGAACGTCGCCTTCCCGACTCATCAATGCTGCCTTCTCGGGATGCATCCTCGCTGTTGCTCGCATCGGGTTCGGCGAACATTATAGATGCGTCGTCCTTCTCGGGAGAGGGCGGATCGTCGGAGGATGCATTGGCTAGGAGACTCGACAGGAACGATTTGTTTTTGTTCGAATGATTAGGTGATGTATCTTTGTTGCTATTCGTCTTGGTCTCGTCATCGCCCGTGAGCATGCTCATGAAGTTGGTCGGTAAGCTGGGCACCCATCGCGACAGCCCGCCTTGGGCTTGTTGTGGTTGCTGTTGTGGCTTCGAGTCCACGTCTGACTCGGCCATGGTTGTTGATCGATGGAGAACAATGGCATGGCACGACCAGCAACATCAACAGCGAGAGGAGACGTTGGAGTGCTGTTCAATTCAGGTGCCTGAAGAGTGCGCGAACCTGTGCATCAGCTCAGCTCCTGCCCCCAATGATCTACAACGGCCTTCGATGGTGGCGGAGATCCCTGCCCGATCTCCAGTTTCAGGAAGTCGTCCAATCAAGTATGCTGCTGTCCAACGTCGCGAACAAGTTATTGCAGCTGAAAAAGCAGGAGGAGTTGAACGGGCGAACGGTCGAGTATATGCGCGGTTTTACGTTTGCGGCCACAGTCCGTAGTCAGACCACTGTGACTGTCGTGCAACAAACAAAGGACAAGCTCCGCCATGTTCCGTTGGCGGGGACGGCGGACGAGGGAGCGTCTGGGGCCAAGCTCTTTTGGTTCACCCTCGCGCTTTCGCTTTCGTCATACACTTCTGCTTTCTTCAATGGGAAGTTGGACAGACGGCTTGCACGGCTACTCGGATCTCCATCTGCTGTCGCATACCACTCTGGACGGCACGTCTTGACCGGACACCTCAAACCCGAGGACAAACGAGGCCTCGCATATATCCCGAAGGCGGACGAAGCTCGCAGGAGGTGGCTGACATTGAACGTCCGTCAGCTTCTTCGGCCGGACCTCTCCCCTGTGGGTCGACTTTTGTTTGGAGCGGGCATTCAAGCATCCTCCTAAACCTCCGTTCAGGCAGCCTATTTCGCGACGCGGCCATCCGTCATTGGTTCTGGGTACACGCGCTCGCATTGATACGCACGGGAGACACGTTGACCGCCTCATCCATCTGCCACGCGCGAACATCCCATAGGAGCGCAACTTGGCCACTTCTTGGGACCATCGACACAGTAAGCAGGGCAGAGCGGGCCAGACCATTCTGACCAATTCTGGAGACCTCGAAGTCAGACTGGCGCTAAATCGTCAGGCAACACAGTTCTTCCGTATCCGTATCCTCCGGCGCGGATTTCTGGAGCTGCTCTCTAACAAGGCAGCAACAAAAAAAGCCTGCCCCAATGGCTGGACTACGAAAGTTAACTACAGCGTTCATCAGTGGGAAGCTACTGCTTCTCCTTGTTGCCTGCGCAAGTCCGGGACCCGGCTACGACACCTCCACCCAGATCCTGTTCGACCAATACTCTCATCCCTCAGACTCGTGGCTCAATCGCGCGCTTGAGCATGTCGTGCTCAGACTCACCAGATGGGACGGCATATACTTTGCCTCCTCATCTACCCGTGGCCACGTCTACGAACAGGAATGGGCCTTTAGCTGGGTGGTAGCAAAGATCACCTCTGCGGTCTCAAGAGGTGCGTACCACCATGAACTATGAGTAAGTCTATAAGCTAAGTGATTCCAACATCAGTCTTTCTTTCGCCGCTTCCGCTCTCGCCCATTGTCAGCCATGCTCTCGCTGGAGTCATCGTCTCACACATCTCGCATTTACTCGCGGTCGTCTTACTGTACTTGCTCACGAACAATCTCGTACCAACCGAGCAGAACATCAAGCGCCATGTGGCTTTCACGGCAGCTTGTCTGCACATTGTCTCGCCGGCTGGTGTCTTCCTCTCTGCGCCAAATGCTGAAAGCACTTTCGCCCTGTTCAACTTTGCTGGGATGCTGAGCTATGTGTATGCCAGTCAGAATCGGCTGGATGCTAAAGCAACAGCTTCGGCAGCCTTCTGGACCATCGCAGCAGGTACAAGCTTCGGTATTGCTACCACGATTCGCGTCAACGGCCTACTCAGCGGCATCATCTTCGCTTGGGATGCGGTCCTAGCTCTTGCGCATCCTTCAACCACCCTGAGCAGTAGTCACAGGACCACTGTCCTTGCTGGAACCATCCTCGCTGGCACGCTCGTAGCAGTGGGCTATGCCGCACCCCAAGCGGTTGCGTACATGGAGTATTGCACTAATGGCAACACGCGACCCTGGTGCACCAGGATTCCACCAAGCATCTACAGCTGGGTTCAAGTACACTACTGGGGCGTAGGCTTCCTGCGGTACTGGACGCTGAATAATTTGCCACTATTCCTTCTCGCAGCGCCGATGCTGGCGATGCTGCTCGCCACAGGTCACCTGGGGTTGATGCAGCCTGAGAGCTTGCTACAGATGATCACGCCAGATGGAAGCAAGACCGCGAGTAAAGACTTGATCATCTTCCGACAAGTGCTTCCGCGCCTGGTGCTGCCGCAGATCGTGCTTGCGGTGATGGCGACCACGAGTTTTCATGTGCAGATTGTCAATCGCATATCCTCTGGGTATCCTGTGTGGTATATCGTGCTGGCCGTGGCTATTGTCTCTGCTACCAAGACTGGATCTTCGACCAGCAAGACTGAGAAGGAGGACACACAGCAACACCTCGATACTCCGCCCAACGCCGACCGGTTGGAGAGCGTGGTGCGAGGTATGGTCATGTACGCCATTATCCAGGGAGGTCTGTATGCTAGCTTCCTGCCACCGGCGTGAAGATGAAGAACTGAAGAGCAAGAGCATCGCCAAGCTATTCTGGCGCAGCTACTGCAGGAACGGGCAGCTCTATCATTGTTGAAGGCGTCCTGAGCTGAAATGAGAGTCCATCCTGCCAGATAACCTCCACAGAGCAGTCAATTCATTGCCGTATTTACGGCAGTTTGGCTGCTTGGTTCTCCAATGCTGTTCGGAGACGAGGCCGCCAGGAAGACAACGTGGAGATAAAGACAATTAAAGCCGAATGCACGTCATACCATGTTGATCGGCTACATAAAACTACATCCTCTCACTCTTTTTCAATCTTCCACCATTTCAGAAGGACATTTTGAACAAGGGAATTCACAGCAAGATAATCACCATCCAGAATTATGGCGACCACCAATGGATCAGAGCAAAAGCCCAAGATGCAATACCAAAACCTTGGTTCGAGCGGACTGAAGGTGTCCAAAGTGATTGTTGGAGCCATGAGCTACGGTTCGCCGGATTGGCAAGGGTGGGTGTTGAATGAAGAACAATCCCTCCCACTCCTCAAGCACGCCTACGACTGCGGCATCAACACCTGGGACGTACGTGTCCCTCCTCCCTCGCGCCCCAACTTCCACAACACAGGCTGACTCGTACCACCAGACCGCCGACGTCTACTCCAACGGCGCCTCCGAACGCATCATCGCCAAAGCCATCGACCAATTCTCCATCCCCCGCTCCAACCTCGTCCTCCTCTCCAAATGCTACTTCGGCGTCTCCAAAGACGGCTCTCAACCCCCCATCGCCGCGGTCTCCTCCAACGACGGGCCCATGGTGAACCAAGTCGGGCTGTCGCGGAAACACATCTTCGACGCTGTGGAGGCTTCTGTGAAGAGGCTAGGGACGTATATCGATGTACTGCAGATCCATCGGTTGGATCGCGGGACGCCGAAGAGGGAAATTATGAAGGCGTTGAATGATGTGGTTGAGAAGGGGTGGGTGCGGTATATCGGCGCCAGCTCGATGGCGGCGTGGGAGTTCCAGGAATTGCAGTGGATCGCGAAGACGAACGGCTGGCACGAGTTCATCTCCATGCAGAATTACCACAACCTCATCTACCGCGAGGAAGAGCGAGAAATGATACCCTACTGCAAATCCACCGGCGTGGGCCTCATCCCGTGGTCCCCCGTCGCACGAGGCGCCTTGACACGACCATGGAATCAGCGGGACACGAAACGCGAAGAAACAGACGCTTCGCTCAAACGCATGATCCGATCGCAGGAGAACCAGGTGGACAAGGCGATTATCGATCGCGTGGAAGAGGTGGCGAAGAAGCGGGGCGTGAGTATGGCGTGTATCGCGACGGCGTGGAGTATTCACAAGGGGTGTTGTCCGATTATTGGGTTGAGCTCGAAGGAGAGGGTGGAGCAGGCGGTGGAGAATTCGGTGTTTGAGTTGGGGGAGGAGGAGGTCAAGTATCTTGAGGAACCTTATATGCCCAAGGTTGTACAGGGTTACTAGGGGTGAGAGGTGGTGCTGGGGATGCCGGGAGCAGACAAGACCATCGCATATGCTTGACAGATGCTTGAGCGATGCAAGATGAGCACAGTCTTGATCGGAGCACGGCACGACGAGAACACGAGATAAATGTAAAATGGAACAAGTGCACGATGCATGTGATCAGGAAATCATCTCATTGACTTTACTGATCATCTCTCCTGCTACTTGAGAGCCATCTCACTCCCCTGCATCAGTCCTCATCACCATCACCATCACCACTCCCCACCTCATCTTCTCATAAACACAACCAACGCCATCGCTATGCAGTGGTATAATGCAGGTAAAACAGCTTTCTATCCCAAGTATTCCACCCAGCAAGAGCATCAATCCAGTCGAGCCTCATGCCACACATGCAGTCGTCATCAAGTCGTTTCGTGGTTTGTGATGACGTTCGAATGAAAAAGGAATGTAATAAAACGAGCGGGATAACTCTACCAAGCATCAAGCTGAGTAGGGCCGCGGTAGTGAACGAACGTAGGTGTCGAGAGTGGCGACAAACTTTTAGTACCCAGGTCGGGTGAGCGTGGTGGGCAGGAATTTGCTGAGGAAGCTGCTGGTCTTCATCTTCTTCGCGGGGTGAGGGTCGGTTTGGTCGAGCGGCAGGGCGTGGGTTTGGCTCTGGAGGACGGCCATGGAGGGTCGCTTTTGGACGGGAGGTTGGATGGTGATGAGGGATGGGACCTGGTGGCTGTCGTACTGCTGGATCTGGACGGGAAGGTCCTCGGCGACTGGGATTGCGTAAGGTGAGTTGACGCTGGCTGGCGAGGAGGTCGTGGTGTAGGAGTCGGCAGACGAGTAAGAGGCAGATGACTGGCTGCGGGTTGGTGGCGAGAGCGATGGCGTCCGCGATGGAGCACGCGATGAACCGTTCGACGAGGCAGCGTAGTAGGCTGACCGCGAGGCGTACTGGTTAACGTACGACTGCGATGATTCGTAGTATCTCGCAGCATCCATGGCCGATCGCCGTTGCTGCTCGGCAAGCATATCATGTCTCCTCTGCTCGAGCATCATCATCTCCTGCCGGACCCTCTCCTTCTCGGCTTGCCGAGCTTGCCATTCTCTGATTGTGGCAAGGAAGGGTTCCAGGTGGTAGTACAGGTCGTCCTCGGTGACCCTCAAATCCCAGTCGAGGAGCCCAAGCAGCTGCTTCTCCATGAGGTTGACCTCCGTGAGGCTGAAGCCGAAGCTGTCAAACCCTCGAACAGCAGTGTACCGTGCCCAGTGCTTGTTCTTGGGTGAAGAGTCATTGAGGTTCTTGGCCGCCAGGATAAGCGAGGCAAGGAAGATGCGGTGCGCTGTGCACTTCATGCCTTTGGCAACTGGAGGCAACCGCTGCTGCAGCCTGCTCAGGTAGACCAACGAGGTCATAAGAGTAGGCACCTGGACGTGAGATCTCTCAACGAGCGTGTTGATGAAGAGCTCCAGCGAGGGAAGCTGTGGCTCGCCATATCCAGACATGTGAGGCGGCGTGGTTGGTGGTGTTGGCGGGAGGGTCTTGTCGAGCACAACCTGGTTCTCGCAGCGGATCACCTGCGAAGCCATGTGCGCGAGGTAGGAAACCATATCCTGGGAAACCGGGAGGTAGATGAAATGGTCCAGAGCAGCTGCGTTCTGCGCCGGGGTTGGTGGATTGCAGTAGGCCATGTTGGAGGAGGTTGGTGGCGGTGGTTGCAGTCGTCGAATGTGTAGTTGTTTGGTGGTGGTGGAAGAAGAGGTTGTTGTGTCGTAGACTTATTGATCTTCCGACAATACGATCAATGTCCAGCAATGTGTCGTGAGAATCCTATAGGCTGACAATAGGTTTCTCGAGAGATTGAATTTTCCTGATGGGAAGATGTCGGGTACAATAGTAGAATTAGGCGACAATCGTAGTGCTGGCTCGCAGTGCTCGAAAGTCCAGAATTAGGTGATGATATCTAGATGTGTCGATAGATCGATGGTCGTGACCTGTGGGATTCCCCAAATGTCGATGTGGACTTTGGACTTTTCTTCGAGCCAAGTGAACGAAAGACGAGGAGTTGCAATTAATTCGAAATCCTTCCCGACCAGCGGTGTGGATGTGTCTGGTTTGAGTTGCTGGCGTGGACGACGGACAGGCAACTTTACTCTTTTGGACAAAGAATGGCGGAGGGGCTTTTCGCTGTTCCTGACGAGGCGTAGAATGCAGAAGATGGCGTTCCTGCGGCCCGGATATTGTAATGGCGGAGAGAGGGTGAGTTATTAATTGTCCAGACAGAGTAATGGCGATATAAAGATCGATTGAGTAAGGTAAGTGTCTGGGGCGGCGATGCGACTCTTATTCAAAGGCGCATGCCTCGAGACAAGGCGGAGGGTCCAAAGGAGCCGCTGCAGGAGCTCTGCGAAAGTAGCTCCAGAGGCGGGCCTTGGTATGCGAAGTCCCAGGTAGAGTCGCAAGCATGGGCGCAGGGCAAGCTGATTGGCTGCGCTATCGTCTGGGGTTTTTTAGGCGCGTCTTGAGGGGGCGCTCCGACACCCTGAGAGGATGTTTTAAAGATTGCGTCAAAATAGCGGCGGTGGATAGAGAAGCACCCACTCCCGCGAGTGTTTCAAGTGTTCGAACGTCTCTGACCAACGGCCCGTAGACGCTGGATGTCGTTTCGAGCAGTGTGGGTTTGGCTTTGCTGTCGAGTTTGAGAATGGGTTCTGCGAGCAGCCGGCCAGCGTCTCACTATCTGTATTCACCGCAGGCGCATGCCACTACCTGCTGCAAGGTTTCGCGCAAGCCCGCCCTGGCTTCGTGATGCACAAAGGATCCACAAGCCAGGAGTAGGAGGAGCTGTTCGTTCCAGACTAGAGGAGACGATCGCCAAGCTTCAGGCCTTGCGATACGTGTATCTCATCTGCTGGCCAGTCGCACGAAATGATTCGTCCTGGTGGCTTCAGGCTCGGGAGTAGTTCTGTAATGAGAAGACCAGCTCACGAGGGCGTGGCTGTCGCTTCAGTATTCGCTAGAAGTATCTTCTTGCACGTTGCCCGTTGCCCGTTCGCATTTCGCCTCATCTTGGAACAGCTTTCATGGCGATGCCCACCGTAGCCAGGCTGGGGTCCTGCAGTCGCATGGTATGCACCTGATGAACGTGGTGCATGGCGATAGGTGGCGAGCTGCATGTCTGACCAGCCTCCTTTGGTGTATCCACATCTTCGGCCTCTGCGCGCCTTGCCAGCACGGCAGACGATGCATGTCGCTTTGATGGCTGTGGATGGTCAGTGGTAGAGTCTAGCTCGACGGTCTGAACGCCCTTCTAGAAAGTCGAGGCGATGGTGATCTTCACGTCGAGCGAATGAGATGCGGAGTCGTAACAGGCGTGTGGCTGTGGTCGTGGCTGCGCTCGCTCGGACCGCTTGCTTTTCCTGCTTCGAGCTTCATGTTGCTTCCGGAAGCACACACTTCAAGCAATGAGAATACCACGCGTATCTTCAACGGATGCCCGGCATTGAATCTTTCAGCAACGTTGATCACAAGCTACACGGCCGACTACAGTCAGCAGCGCAAGGTATACCGACATTCCATATCTGCCGGTCGAACAAGGGCGTTCTTCGGGAGATGAGGCTTCATCTGCGCATCCACCACTGACGAGAGACTATGATTGGACCTCTTCTTATACACCGAACGAGCGTTCGTATACTAGTTGGTGGTCATCGGGCCGAGATGACTAGAAGCCTGGAAGTATAGCCTTACCACCACTACAACTGGGAACGGGGCTCGTGGTCACAGGACCTCATTCCACCTGGCCAAAAGGCCACTCGTGCCGGTTGCTGACTCGTCGAGGCTCTTGAGGCGCTCTGCCAGAGAAGATCGTTCTTAGCAGCTCTGGTTTGTTACACCTGGTTCGTTTCAATTTCTAGAGCAGGCGGCTCAAGAAGACAGCCGCCTGTTGTATGTAGCCGCCCGTCAGCCCGGATGCTGAAACAAGCGCCCTCGTGGCGCCTGCTGTGCTATTGCTGGCTCGGAGATGCGACACGAACGATTGCGGCTCTATCCCGATCAACTCAACTTCAATAGGCGGTTGTACCATCTATTGTTGACACACGGCAGCCGCGCTGCGCTCATCATGCGCCTACTGGTTCTCTCCCATCTCTCTCATCAATGAGGAGGGCAGTGAGAGAGGTAAGCCACGGCGAAGAGGCCAACTCCAATTTCTCAACAAGCGACGCACCGCTGTTCGACTTGTCTTGGGTTTCCTTCTGTCGAATACTACTCTACATCGAAGCTTGTATATCCACCAATATCTTGACATGCTTATCCTTCTCATTGATTAGCGGCATATACCCCTCCTTCACCAGATCCTGCATCTTGATCTTCCCGGTAATCATCCCAGCCGGCTTGATCGTCCCTTTGCTCAGCGCATCAAGCACGCCTTCATAATCCTTCCTCTGATACCCCAACACAGATTTGTAAGTCGCCTCGCGGAAGGTAAGCCACATGGGATTGAACGGGATCTCCTTCTCAAAGATCGCCACATTGATCACCGTACCACGCGATCTTACAGCAGTGCAAGACGCCTTCACGGAAGCCGGAACACCCGCGCAGTCGAACACGATGTCCGGGCCATTGACACCACCGCAGATGTCCAACGACCGCTGGACGACGTCTTCACTCGACGGATCGACGATGTAGTGCGCTCCGAAGTCTTTGGCGAAGTCTTGCCGCTTCTTCGCAACTTCGGAGCAGATGACGACTTTCGTTCCGCGCGCAAGAAGGACCTGGATCACTGCGAGACCGATGGGGCCGCCGCCCATGACGAGGCATTTCGGCTCCTTCATGTCTGCGATCGGGGAGGCGTCGACGGCGTGCCAGGCTACTGCTAGCGGCTCGACGAGGGCTCCTACGTCGAGGTTGACGTTTGAGGGCAGAGGCTGTTGAAAATGCGTCAGGGGGCGAGCTTGCCAGAGCCGTTTCCATGATAAAGACTGCACATACCAAAACAGAAATCTGAGGCATAACAACCTCCTCGCTCATCCCTCCGCCCGCTCCGCTCAATCCCACAAACCCGCCCGCGGCGCAGGCATTCTCAGCGCCGACTTTGCAGGCCCCGCACGATGCGCAGTAGACCGTGGGCTGGACGACGACTTGGTCTCCAATCTTGAAGCCGGAGACGTTCTTGCCGATCTCCTTGACGGTGCCGGAGAACTCGTGGCCGATGGTGATGGGAATCTTCTCTTTGGTGACGGGGTGCGGTTCTGTGGGTGAGAAGCTGGGGGTGCTGTGTCAGCTGGATATGGTCTTCTTCAACCATTGGACAGCTTGAAAGGTGGCTCCAGCGTCTTATTGACTTACTTCGGCCCTCCCAAATACTCATGCAAATCCGTCCCGCAGATTCCGACAAAAGCTACGAACCACACGGTTAGCGAATGTCTCAGACACGTTGTGGTTCATGGGCTTAGTACCCGGCTCGACCTTGACCTGCCCTTCGCCGCACACCGGGCGTGAGATATCGTCTTTGATCTGGATGTCTTCTTTCCCATAAAACCGCGCGGCGCGCATTGGTTTCGCGGAGCTGTCTGAGGCGATTTGTCCTGGTACGGCCATGATTTCTAACGAGCAGTGGTATGCTAGTTGAGTGAAAGGATGGAAGAGACTGAGGTGAAGAATGAGGGATCAAGAAATGCACAACAAGAAGTCCGTCATCTACTTACTCTCTACCCACCAGAACTCCTCTCGTGCGCTTGACCGAAGTCTCCAGTCCGGAGAAGCGTCGAAGGCTGGTTGACGCGACTGCGGGGTGTTTGGTGGGGCATTCGAGAAGTTGACTCAGGACAGACGGTGGAGTTGATCGTTCATGAGTTGTGTTCGAAAGACGATTGCAACCAGCGCAAGACGATGCCTAAGCAGCCAGACTTGGAAGAACCACGTCCTCCAATTGCCTGGTGGTATAATGGGTCAAGGAATCCTCTCGTACGACGAGTCTGGTCCCATCGTACGAGACGTCGTTGTTCAATGCTTGGAACTGCGCCGAGTGTTTGACGACAATGCCGCGAATATTATGGCGAAGGCATTCATACCCCTACGGCGGTATCGACAGCTTACAAAGGCCATGATCAGAATAGTACCAGGGACATCGTTGTGGACCTGACCTGCAAGTGTCAGAATGTCAGAAAATGGATCAAACTACGAAGCTGCAAGCCACAAAAAACTCCACCTCGCACAAGTCAGGCATTCTATGGCTTCGGACCAGCCTCGGTAAGCAATAGGCTGTAGACAAACGAGCTGCATTTGTTATGCCGACCACGAGCTACTGCATTGCCATCGTTCGACTCTTGACCGAGTGTTGACCGATGCAGACCCTGTGAACGAGAAGGATTCGTGCCTGAATTATTCAGCTGCAGGAACAAGCATCCTACCGCGAATACGAACCCTGCGCAGCTCACAGTATATAAGGAGCTGGAGAACTGGGCTGGTTGAGGTGCTGTCAATCGAAACACAACAGCTTTCATCTCGAGCAGCATTCCTCGTACAACATTTCCGAACAGACACACAAGATTACCACAATCATGCCCGGCGAAGCGAGACAACTCCTTAAGCATGCCGTCGAGGCAGCGGCAGACGAGGCGAAAACCGGCAAATCGTCTCATGAAGCCGTCAAGGTCGGCGCATACCAAGCCCCTGGCCGCATTGGAGACCCAGGTATGGGCATGGAGCACGATCCAAGAGTCAACCCGAAGTTGCTGGCCGCTGTCAGACCGCTCGGAATGGACAAGTTCCAGGCACCGCCCGGACTGGCCAAATTGACGGAAAACTCGAGTATGGAGGAGATTGCTGAGCTGGTGGATGAATTCGAGCAGGGAATTATGATGGTGTACGGTGGTCATGCCATCTCACTGGACTTGCCCAGTGACAAGGATATGAAAGTTGAGATGACAGAGGAGACAATCAAAGGTGGAGATGGACAAGACATGAAAGTCTACGTTTACCGTCCGTCGAACCAGGGCGACGAGAAGCTGCCCGCTGTCGTCTACACGCATGGCGGCGGCATGGTCCTCGTCGCCACCATGAACCCGGTGCACGACTTCTGGTGCAAGGGACTCGCTTCGCAAGGTCTCGTCGTCGTCATGCCCGACTTCCGCAACGCTTATACGAAGGAGAAGTACAACCATTTTCCGGCTGGACTGAATGACTGCGTCGCGGCTGTCAAGTGGACCTCCGCCAACAAGGACCGTCTCAAGATCCGTAACATTGTCCTGAATGGCGAAAGTGGCGGGGGAAACCTCGCGTGCGCCATCTCTCTGCAGGCCAATCGTGACGGATGGGTGAAAGAGATCTCCGGCGTCTACCCGATTGTGAGTACCTCGTGATACCTCCTGGTCTGTTGTCAGAACCATCAGCTAATGCCATTTCCTCCCGCCCTAGGTGCCATACATCAGCAACCTGTACGGTGCCAGCGCTGAGCGGAAGCTCAAGGAACTCCCCAGCTTGGTTGAGAACCATGGGTACTTTTTGAACAGCTGGAGCAATGCGTTTCTGGGATACTTCTACACCCCAACCGACGAGGGCGCCTCTGACCCTATCGCCTGGCCGTATCATGCTACCGAAGACATGATGAAGGGACTGCCACCTCACGTGGTGGTGATGGACCAGCTGGACCCTTTGCGTGACGAAGGCTTCTCCTACGCTCAGCGGCTGGCCAAGACGGGCGTGCAGGTGAAGTACTCGATGAACATTGGCGTGCTGCATGGGTCTGCGCTCTTATTCCGCAGCGCTCTTCCAGAGCTGCACCTGGGGATGGTGAGGGAGGTCGCTGCGTTCGCCAAGTCCTTGTAGGTAGAGGTGTGCTTGAGATAGCTTCGTAAAGCATACCTGACCACCACTGGCCGCAGAACTGTCCACAATGCCTTTTCTGTGCTAGCTCATCACTTCTAGTAGTGCTGAGCAGGTCATTTCCAGGTTAGAATGCTTCATCCGCCACCACCGACCTCCACGCCAGTCCGTGGGCGAGCTTTGTTCAGCCCTTCCAGCAGAACACATGCTTTGCAGACGCTTTGAGAAGAGAGGTATCCGCATCGCTCACACTGACCAAGCCGCTGCTTCGGCGCAGCCGCATCTCTCGTGGGCTTCCGACCCGACTTCTTCTCCTGCTTGGTGCGAATCGGGACGGCTGTTGCTTTTGACGCGCCATTCTTCTCGTGGTTCTGGCCATAAATCCCGTCGTCGGGTGGAAGCGATGAGTATGCTTCGTGGCTATGGCGGACCCCAATTGAAACTGTCTCCTTTGGATTTGCTGGGAGTGTCACCTCCGTCTCAGGTCCATTGGCTTCTGTCCGCTCATCCTGCTGTAGCTTTTTCTCCATCTCAACCATGCTGTCGCCACCACTATTTGTATTGCTGCTGCCACACCCGCCTTCTGCTTCTTCCTCAGCAGCGTTGGTGGAGCCTGCTGCCTTGCTGTCGCCGCACGCACCCTTGCATTTGCCATCTGCGCCTGGCACCAGCTTCGCCATGTCGACACCAGATCGCACAACATCCAGAATGCTCTCCGGTCGTATACGCTCCAGATTCTTGATCAAAGTCCTGGCCGAGCCACGGAAAGCCTCCGGGCTGTAGATGCACTCCGTGCTGAAGTAGTCGAGTTTCTTGTGGTGTGCATAGAGCACGATCTCCTTCTCATAAGCATACATGAGCGGCTTGGATCGTTTCACATTAGTGAACGACACGGCGCCGTCGTCCTTCGGTGGCGCTGCTGATGGCGTGCTTGTAATAATGCTCGTGGCCCTGCTGAGTCTGGGCAGATCACCTCTAAGCAGATTCATGAGCACTGTCTCCGCAACATCATCTGCGTTATGTCCAGTAACCACGTGTCCGACATTCAGCATAGCCGCGCCTCTATCCAACGCCTGCCGACGGAAGACTCCACAGTATGTGCAATTGCCCTTCTTTCCCACCTGTGCTACTACTTGGTCCATCGACCAGCCGTACAACTCTTCATAGCTCACGATCTTCAGCGGGAGGTCGAGGTCTGCGCTGTTCCGCTTGACGGCTTCCAAGCTGTGGTCGCGGTAGCCTTGAATACCCTCGTCTACTGATAGAAGCACGAGATCCAGATTCCAGCCATGTCTATCGTTCAGCGTCTTCAAGACTGACGCCAGCACTGTGCTGTCTTTCCCACCAGATGCGCCTATCGCTACTCGCTCGCCAGGTTGGAAGAGGTTCGTCGAGGTGATCGTAACGGCGACTTCAGATTCGAAGAGAGCGATGAAGCAGGCTGAGCATATTCGTTGGCCGTTTTTCGGGCGTAGTACTTGTGCTCTTGTGATCTTGCAGATCTCACACTGGTGGGGTGGCATCTTTGGAGGTTGGCATCGATGGTAGCCTCTGAGTCCAGTACTTCTGTGCGGTAAGTAAATAAGAGGACGATGCTAATGAGAGCAAGACGCATGTGAGTTCATAGGTCGCCAAATTCCTGTTGCATGACTTGACACATGGATTGATTAGGTAGAATCGGTTAGTTCTTGGCACTATCCTCATCAAATACGTCGGGTAATAAACATTTCTCGAGATGCATTGCTCTTGGACTACTACGTCCGAGGGAAGGGTGCTTGATATTTGAGTATCATGCTTCGTTGTTCTATCTTAGAGCCTACTTCGCAGCTTTCGCGGCCGTGCATTTCTACGTATACATAAGCCATTGACCCAATGCTACTCCATCGCTGTGTATATCCTTGCAGCATAGCATCAGCATGAGTGAGATGCTCACCTCTGACGGTTGAAGGCGTTTGGCGGATCAGGCTTGTTTCCCAGAATCTTCTCTATCTCCTCCATCACGTCGTCGGTCAGCTTGGGCAACAGCTTCAGTGCTGCGACGTTGTCTTCGATTTGCTTGGTCTTGGTCGCTCCGAGGATGACAGTGCTGACGTTCGGGTTCTTGACACACCACGCAAGGCTGAGCTGTGTTACGTTGCCACCAAGCTTCTCGGCGATCTCAGTGAGCTAGAAAATGGTCAGCCTATGATCATACAGAGACAAGTCGTTCAACGCGTACCTTGCGGACTTTAGCAATCTTCGCCTTGCCCTCCTCGCTCTGCAAAGATGCGATGGTGCCCTCAAAGAAGCTCTTGTTCTTGCTGAACCTCGAGTCCTCCGGGATGCCGTCGTTGTACTTGCCGGTCAACAGTCCCGAGGCCAGCGGGCTCCAGATGGTCGTGCCGTACTGGAACTGCTCGAAGAGAGGGGCGTACTCGACCTCGAATCGCTGGCGGTGGAAAGCGTTGTACTGAGGTTGCTCTGCGATTGGGGCGATGAGATTGTACTTCTCGGCAATCTGGGTGGCCTCCATGATTTGCGTAGCAGACCACTCGCTCGTGCCCCAGTAGTATGCGAGGTTCAAGTTCCTGATGCATTGTGTGAAGCCTTCCACGATCTCCTTCATGGGTGTGCCGACATCGGGCCTGTGGGCGAGAACGATGTCGACGTACGGCTGTTGCATGCGCTGGAGGCAGCTCTTGAGGCCCTCGACAACGTGCTTGCGCGACAAACCACGAGTGTTTGGTTCCTTCCTGCCGGTGCCGAAGAAGACCTTGGTAGACAGCACGTACTCGTCTCTGGGCCATGCGAGCTCTTTCAGGGCCTGGCCCATCTCAATCTCACACTGGCCATTGGCGTAGACCTCAGCTGTGTCGAAAAAGTTGATGCCATTGTTGAATGCCGTCTCGAGGCACTCCTTGACGATGTTGCCCTACACGCAGTAATGGTCAGCATTTATTGTGGCTGCAACGAGACTGTTCGCGAGCTGGGGTAAATTGTCATACCTTCTCAGTTCCACCGTAGGTCAACCATCCTCCCAGAGACAACACAGAGACCTTGAGACCGGTTGGTCCAAGGTAGCGGAATTGCTAGAAAGCTGGTCAGCATCTGAATTCATGACCCAAAGTTCGTGTTTTGATCGTACCATGTCCTTAGGGTTGACTACAATATACAAGTCAGCGGCGTGCCTTTACTTTGAATGCCTTGCGAGGTCAGTCCTTACACTTGCTCTCTACGGCAGACATCTTGGCGGTGGTGTTGTTGTCTGGTTGAGTGGGTGTTGTAGTTCGGTATGGGGTTGAGTGTTGTCAAAGTTCAAGAAGTCGGTGTCGAAGAAGACATTTTGTGGTTGCCGTTCCTGCAACCATTGCGTCAATCGTTCATTTGTGTCGCACCTTCCCAATCGAGCTTGGATGGAACGGGAAACAAGCTAGCCATCTCTAGAAGTGAGTGCTGCAGATCGAAGCTTTTCAACTGCCGCTCCACTAATCGATATAGCCGCACGCTCATTCTCTACGGAGATAGGCTGTATCACCGTGGTCAATGATCAGTTATGTAGAGGCTGATGATGATCAACCAAGTGAATGTCTGCGGACGGCGCATGAATGCAATTAGACTCCTAGGGTAGCTTTGAATATGTGTGAAGCTGTTTGATAAGAGTACAAGATGGTGTATATGTCCCTCCAAGCTGTCGACAGTGAAATCGGCCCACCAGGTCAGAGTGAGCCGTGTAAGGGACCTTCTCGCAAACAATGACCGCACGGTGACGAGAGTGATGTGGCCGTTTTGATCACAACCTCGTCTCGGAGAAGACTTTTAGATGTCTCTAGGTAGCCCCCTTCCACTAATCTGTTGCTCAAGCGAGGGATAGTGAAAGCGGCTCAACGGGCTTGAGCAAGTCATCTGATAAATCTTCTCATAGGCAGGAAAAGCCTACCCACAAGAGTGATGTAGCCTTTTCGGGCTGACTGGATTTGGGAGAAGGCTGCCAGATATGTCCGCTGGTCCGCTTTCACTGTCTGCCACTTGCCCTCCTACGAGGCTAGATGAAGCACTCCTTACTGCTTTTCCTTCTCGATAGTCGTGTTCGATATGCGTGACGCATTGAGAGCGCATGGCACTCCTGCGTAGATTCCTGTCTGCATGTGTTGTGAGCAAGGTATTCAGTCGTATCTTCGGGCACACCGTACCTGGTAGATTGCCTCCATAATCTCCTCGGGCGTGCATCCATTGTTCAGTGCTCCCTTGACATGCACCGAAAGCTCCTGATCGCATTTGAGCGCTGTCAACAAAGACACCGTAATCAGAGACCTATCGATGGGCAGCGATGTCAGTCGGTGCTAGGACGTTACAGGGCCTAACCCGTTGGTATCGTACATACCGAGTCTTCAACTCCAGTCCCGGTCTGGACCAGCACATTCCCCAGCCTGCGGATGCCGCCAACGATTGGATCGGTTGTTGCAGTGCAGGCGCCGTTCTTGAGTTCTTAACATGATCTGATCCGAGCACCTGTTCGCGAATCTTCATGCCTTCATCGTAGATCACTTTCTCGGCCTGCTCTATGGCCTTGCGATCTGGTTGGCCAGACATGGCTCTTTCTTGCTATGTTCGGTCGAGGCTATGAATGGAGACGACCGGGAACTGTGAATATAGCTTCTTTTCTTTCTCGCTTGCAGTGACAATGGAAAGAGAAGAAGAACTCGCCGGAACCGCTTACATCTATCAGGACCTGTTGGAGAACCTCCGCCTTCGGGAGCTGCTGCCCTCGGGTCCTTGCTGTAGCACTGATTGATCCTTCTTTCTCGCGAACAGACTGCGACGGCGGAACTACTACACCGAGAGTGCATGGCCTGCATCGATTCGCGTATACCAGAGGGAGCAGTGTGAGGAGAAGAGAAGAGAGTCCCAGAAAAGAGAACATCTCCTGAGATTGTGGCTGTGGTGGCAGTGCTACAGACAGATTTAGATTTCAAATGCGTGCGTCCATTGTCGCACGACCATCACCATCAGCTCTGATGTCCAGCAATGATAGAAGAACTTTGGACTCGACAATGACTATCTCTCGGCTGCCCAGATCAAATTTGCTACCAACGACATGGTCAGCGTTTCCCCTCGCCTGAAGGACTGTCTTGAAGACGACGAACAAGACTCCGTCGACCCTCGCTTTGTATTTGGCTTCCGCTCCGTGTCGTTGGACTCCTCTGGCTACGAACAATATGAACAAGATGATCACAGGCCTTGGTCGGCCGGTGGCGACCCGACAGCGAACAGAAAGAAGCAACGACTCCGGCAAAGCAGCCAAAGGCTAGAGCAGCTGGAAACCTTCCAGTACCGGACATGTGCAGATGGAAACCTCTTCCGGTTGTTCGAGCTGTATCCAGGTGTTGGCGGACGACCGGTTGAGGGCCGTCTCAGCTTCGAGCATTCAAATCGTGTTGAACGGGACTACACATGCTTGTCCTACTGCTGGGGCGACATCGTCGAACGGCCAGTGGATATTGTCTGCGATGGCTTCAAGCTCCCTGTGACCTCAAATCTATTAGCGGCATTGCAATGTCTTCGGAAGCCCAAGAGCAGTTTCTACATTTGGTGTGATCAGCTCTGCATCAGTGAGTTCGTCCTTGAGCAAGGGACATTATTAGACATAGTCTAAGATACTTGCTGACTTGTTCTCTTTACCTGCAAAAGATCAGGCAGACCTGAACGAGTGCAGCCGGCAAGTGGCGATCATGCACGACATCTTCTCGCAGGCCAAAGACGTGATAGTGTGGCTGGGAGAGGAAGACGACAAGTCCGGGAAGCTGTGCGAATACGCCAGAAAAATGCGCCGTGGCGAAGACAGCCCTAAGCAAACGTTGAAGCGCATCTTGACTCCTCGCCAACTTCAAGATGCGATCCAAAAGCTGCTGCAGCGACCGTGGTTTCAGAGAGTTTGGACAATCCCAGAGGTGGCGAACGCACGGTATGACAAAACCCTGCTATGTTCGAGATACTTGCTGACCCTTGTACCCTTCTGTTCGTAGCTTTACCATTGTTCAGATAGGTAATGACCAGCTTTCATGGGATAACTTTGTCCGCTTGATCAAAGACGTCCCTCTACCTCCAGCAGGTGGATTCGACAAGCAGGCCGCCTTACTGGGCAACCCCAGGCAACGGATCGCCATTCTCTCACAGATGAGCGCAAGCCAGAAGGCTGGGCTTCGCCATACGGACATCACACAACTTCTGATACTCGGGAAGGCCAGTAAAGCGAGCTTCGACCTCGACTACGTGTACGCATTCTACGGTCTCACCTGGCTAAGAACGTTCCCAGACTATCAGATGCCAACTGAGGTACTATACGCGGAGATAATACAATACTACGTCAATAGCATCCGCTGGGATGCCTCATACTCCAACGTCCACGATCTGTCCGAAGATAGACGAACGCACCAGCTCATGAGCGTCCTGTACAGCGCAGGTGCACTCCACCAACACTACACCCTTCCATCTTGGATTCCGGACTGGACTTTCGGCTGGCATCTCGCTCCGATATGGTGCCGGGCATCCTCCAATATCGTCACAGCATCTGGCAAAGATGAATGGTCGGCTGGCGTGCGCTGCGACTTCCGAGCTGGCGGCAGGGAGTGCGGTGAGTTTGACGTACTGCCAGGTCCTTTTGGTATGCACAAGCTGCGTGTGTCTCTTATCATTTTCGACACGATTACCATCACAAGCGAGACAACTCCAGCATCCACACCCGGTGCCGAAGTGAACTCCGCCATGCAACCGGATCCCACGATGAGATACGGGCGAGCTTTTTTGCGGACTGCGAAGGGCTACATTGGCCTTGCGACACCAGGAATCGAAGCGGGCGACGACGTCGCGGTGTTGCTCGGTGGCGACGTTCCAGTCGTCATCCGTCCTTGCGGCAATCACGATCCGGACACTAGGGCATACAAGTTGCTTTGTGAGACCTTTCTTCTCGATGAAGGCGTAATGCATGGCGACATTGTGCGCGAGACGTGGCCATTGGCAGAGGATGTTGTCTTTCTGTGAGCTCGCAATTGCAAGAACAGGCCACTCTTCACGAGTCCGACTGTGCATGCGTCGCAGCCGCAGCAATCCACTCGTCCTGGGAGAGCATCCTGGCTACTGCCACCGCCTGCCCCCAGTCTCTCTGCTCATCTCTGCCGCATTGGAAGACTGCAGCTTTTGCGAAGGCGGCGTCGTGGAGCTCACACCTCTTATCAAGGATTGGTTGGGGAAACAGCCGGAACAGCTCCTGCCACCCCTCCTGCCAGTAGCTGTCATCGACCGACGGTTTTTCTGGATCGCCGTGGAAGTCTTCCGGTGTCCATGACCGCTCTCCCGGATGGCAAGTTTGCGCCAGTATGTCGAAAAGGACGAAGGCATACGACGTGGCGTCCTGTGTATCTGCAGCATAGACGATGGTTTTCTCGGCTTTATAATATATCAAGCCAATTGCTCGATTTTGGAAGTCCCATTCCGCAGAGTTCATCCTGTTGATACACAGTTCATCTATAAAGAGGATTCTGGGCGCATTGGGTCGTCGTAATGCTCGAAGGGCGGTGCACAGCTCAGGGCTGGCGTCCAGGAAATGGTTGTCGCCAATGTATACCGTTTCGAGTCTTTCCTCAGACGTTATGCTGGCCAGGCGGGTTTTGCGAACGATCTTATGCCAGGACAGTGAAACGGCTTCGAAGTGTGGAGCGTCATCGATGGTCGTTGCTGCAAGAGTGCACACCAAAGGCTCCTCGTCTTTTCCAGCATGCAGATGCACCAGTCGCATCTTTGCAGACGAGTCTTCGGAAGCGGCGTTGGTACCGTACAGTTGGGTGTCGAGGTACTTGTAAGGCTCGATCTCCTTAGGCTCGTCTCTTGTACCTGGATTGTCGTCAAGGTACGGCTTTCTGGGTCCATTGTCGCTACTCTCCAGCGACAGCAGGTCCAGTTCGGTCAGTTCCCGACCATTGACATCTGCAAAGTCCGGAACCTCTATGCGAGGTACGTTGATAACATCGAACTCGCATGGCCCGGGGCACTCCAGAAGGATGTGTGACTTGTCGTGATGATCGTTTGGCTGGCGGACGCATCGATCACAAAAGTCCGCTAGACATTGCGAGCAATTGTATCGCATTCCGTGGATCGGATTGCCAGAACCGAAGCACAGCGACCCTTCACAAAAGATACCATGATGCGTTACCAGAGACGGGTCCGCACCCCAAGGATCCTGTGGGCCAGCTTGCGGCAGTTGTCGTATTGGATAGAGGATGGGAAGGTCGTGGACTCTGCCTTTATCGTTCGTCATGGTCTTTGATGGTTGCTGTGGACGCAGACCGGTTGAAAGAGGGAGGGGGGAGGGCCATGATAAGGAAACTCGGCAAGGCAGATGCGCCTTTTGCACAGCTCACCGGTCGCTGCGTGAAAGAATGGCATTGGTCGCCTCTGCCAGTTCGCGTGACGAGGAGAAGGCAACGTGCTGACGCGAGACAAGTCCACATGTCAATTGGGCATCAAGAGGCCGCCTGCAGTTATGGACCGGCGCAGCAAAAACCGTGTCCTGAGGATTGCAAGATGAAGAGGTACGTTGCGTTTGTTGAAGCTGACAGCAACGGCAACCCGGCTGAGGCGCCGATGGTGCTGCTGTGTGGCATACTTGCATGATTCGTGCGGCTTCCTTTGACCCGATGCAGCCTCGTCGTCATGTCCTGGACCTTTCGAAGGGCCAGCCTTAGCAGCCAACCTGGAGCTATTGACTTAGCTCCCGAGTCGTTGTTGTTAGATAGTAGTTAAAATCGTAGTACGAGTTGAGAAGTCCGTACTTGCCGAATCGATCCACAGACCTGGAACAGATCACTCGCAACTCTGTGGGGCTGGAGACGCATACCCAAGGCCATATCACACACTATTCTCGTAACGCTACCGATTCAGGAACGCTGGATTAGAAGTGGAATCAAACGCAGAGCACAGCCCTGAAGTGGCTGCACTGCGTGGACGCGGGTCAACTCTGCCCTTCATTCTCCTTCCACCGCCAGACGCACCATTCGTATGGCGTGTGAGAGAGCTCATTCCAATTGTCGTCTCCACTTTCTCGTCCTTCCTGCGCACACTCGAGGCCGGCAGCTTCCATCAACTCCCAGAATTCACGGACGTGGTCTATATAGGCCATGCGCAGAGGGTAGCAAAGGATAGCTCTAGAACGAGGACCAGGTGCCATCCACGTAACGATCGTCTTCGACAGAAGTTCCGGATGCTCCTCAGAGTATATGGTATCTGCTGCCAATATCACTGAAGCCTTCGAGGTCCCAGCGTCCACCGTCATTAGATCGCCACCGTTTCCATCCGGATGGAGTTGCAGCGTTGCCGGGTCCGTCCAGTCCAAGGTGCCACATGAGCCTGAACCACCAGACTGCTTCAAGAGTGGCTCGTTCAGCGAAATGTTTGCTGCCAGTCCAGGAATGATGTTGGAGAGGTCGGTCAAAGTGACCTTCGTGCCCCATATCGCGGCCGCCGAGAGACCGACAAGACCTGTCCCGGCGCCAAGTTCGAGCATCCAAGGTCGTTCCGTAGCACCACTATCTTCTGCTGGGGCACTGTGATCGGGCGGTAGAGAGATGGAGTGTAGCTGGTTGGCCAGAATGAAAGATGCACCCCACGTGGACAAGGAAAGATTCTCAGCAGTCAAGCCTGCAGGCTCTGAGATATGGATTGATATACTTGATCCTGTGTCATCAGTCTTGACAGCTAGGGTGCCTTGGACACCTATAGGGGAGGCCATGTCGCCCTTCAGGGCCTTCGTGGCTTCTCGATCAGCTCACTCGGATATTGTGATGAGTCTGGAAAGCCCAGAATGTCGTGAGCATCCGGGATCAGTCTGGTCATTGGGGCTGTGGAGTGCAAATCTGGTCAAGAACACGAGCAGTCTCGTGAAGCGAGCACGCGCTGGGCGGGAGTGGCCGAAGCTAGAGATTTAGCCAAGTTTAGCCTCAGCGCTTCGACCTCCAATCACTTCACTCCATCGACCTTTCACTGCGTCTTGACGAGCAATTGGATCTCTCTCGACTCGAGTCGGTCAGTGATGAGGCGTGGGCCTCGAGAGTAGGTATGCGTGCCTCATGGGCACATTCACTATCACTCTGCCTCCGTAAGTGTTCAGTCATCGCTCTTCCTTTCCATCTCGACTCTCGTTCTTGTCAGCAGCGATGCGGTGATATAATATAGAAGCAAGAGGAGGAACCGCTCTCGATCTATCCATCTAGATCCACGATACAACATGGGTAGAGGCGGACCCTCCTATCTGAATTACACGGCGCTCGTCCTACTGTCGATATTGTCGCCTGCCAGCGCTGGTCTCTGGGACATCGACATTGACAACGGACCGGCACCTCCCCCGGAGAAAGGACCGCCATTCTCGGCGCACGCCAGCCGCGATCGTGCTCTCCTACCATATCAGATTGTTGGAATCGTCGGCGCATACGTGGGAATAGTCTTGATACTCGGGTCGCTACTCTTGACAGTCGGCCGAAAGCTACGGAAGAAAGCGCAGAGTATGACGACGAAGCCGAAAGAGATGGTCAAGCCCATGCCGAAGAACTTCGAAGCGAGTCCGATAAGCCCGCGAAGCAACAGAACGTGGTTCTCGCCGAAAGGCTTAAGGTCGAAGAGAAGCGTGACAAGCAGCATCCGCTCCGGCGTCAGCACTCAAGTGTCGCCCGCGGTTGAGAGCGTAATGAGCTTCGACAACAGCGTGATCGAGGCAGACCGCGCGAGGAGGCAAGAGGAGATGGAACGGTTGTATGCTGCTGCTTTTGCTCAAGATGATCAGCGGAACGGCCATCCCAATGCAGGGCCGAATACCGCACCGCCAGAGTACTCCGGCAGGGCACCGCCTCGTCTGATCACGGATACGCCCAGACTCAGACATTTACAGATACCTGGCTCCGGACCTCAGAGTCCGACTACACCAAAGTCACCAGTTCGCGCGATATACCCACCCGCAAACTCTGCTGCAGCACAGCCGCCCATGCCTACAAGTCCAGTCAGAGCAGAGGTGCCAAACTACAGCCTACCGAAGCCGCCGCCAGCGGATTATGATTTTAAGATGAATCGTCATGAGAGGGTGCCTTCTTATGGCAGCGGCCAGACGAGCGCTTCAGTATCGGCACCGAAAAAACTTCGGAAGTCTCTGCGCAACATCAAAATCAGTGGGCCCATCATGGGCGATGACAACAGTGATGGTGCTCGTACGCCTCTATCGCCACGCTATTACACAGACCCTGGAGTCCCGCCAGAGCCGCCGTCCGCCCGAATGGAACATACGCCCAGCTCTGCTTATCCACCAGAAACGCCCGCAACGATGCGCAGCTGGCATCCGGGTGATGAGCATGAAACCCTTGACGAGGTCCGCGACTTGCCGCAAGCGTATCCTCAGCGCGCGACTGCCCACAATTACAACAACGAGGCACAGCTTGTGATCAATGCAGCATCCACGCGGCCAGACCCCACCAAACCTGCAAACGCGACTGGCAATGGTGCTCTGCCCTTCCGCGAGATGAACCGCCAGTATGCTCAACAACAGCAACAACTCTCTTCCCAAACCGCATTCCCACTCAGTCCTGGTCACTGGAACGCCAGCTCAACCACGCCGACCTCTGCCGGCGGCTTCGGCTATTTAACCAGCGCTGGTCCTGTCAAGACAACGTTCTTAGAAGCACGGAGGGATAGATTGGGCTTAGGGCCAAGAACTGGCCAGGCGACGCCATACAGCCCGTATATGCCTTTCACGCCGCTGACACCTGTGACGCCGCGCTTGACCAGCCGTGCGGAGCGGAAACAGAGGGAGAAGGACGAGAAGAAGGTGCATGGAGCGATCATGGAGGAAGATCAGGTTGCGGACGAGAAAGACCTCTGGAGTAGTGGTTACTAGTGACATGTGTTGCTAGATGTGTAAATATGCCTTCATCTTGACATTCTTTCAGAGTTTATCACCAGCACGGTTTAACAACGTACCGCTCGTGGATCCCACAGCTCGCACGCCACGGCTCGCGTAGGATATGTGCAGCTGTATCAAATCTCCAGTATGCAAGATTTATGCATGCATGGTTGACTAATGCTGGCACAAATTGGGAAGGCAGAACCCCTGCTCTTCCTCGAAACAGTTGCCTCTTTGAGGACATCCAAACACAACAGTCGGCGACTCTATCCTGCCCTAACAGCGCATTTTGCGGGATTGGAAAGGCGGACAGACGCAATGGCATGGAAGCGGAGGCGCGCTCCTTGCTCAATGAAGGTACACCAACGCGCCACAGGAGCGGCGTAGGACTGTAAGGTTTTCTTCCCGTCTCCTGTCGTGATCATTCGAAAGATATGAGAAGGCATCTGGACCCAAATAGAAATACTCCACTATCCCAATGGCGCTCCCGAAGACCATGCGCGCTGCGCGTTTCACGTCAACAGCAGGCGGCCTGGTGAAGCACCTGAAGGTCGATGCTGCAACACCACTGCCCAAGAATGCCGACTCGCTGCCACAGGACTCGACACTTGTCAAAGTCGCCTACGCCAGTCTTAACCCAGTCGATTACAAACTGCCAGAGTTGTATCTCTTCAGAGCCTTCAAGATGTCCATGCCGGCCGTGGCAGGAGGAGATTACGGTGGGAGCGTGGTCTCGACCGAGCTTCCACACCTCAAGCCAGGCGACCGCGTGTTTGGACGAAGCGACCCTCCAGCCTTCGGATCTTTCGCTGAGTATCTGGTGGTATCGAACAAGGAAGGCGTGGTGCCGCTTCCCGATGGCGTGAGCATGAGAGACGCGGCGACTCTTGGAGTGGCTGGCATTACCGCGTACCAATGCCTAGCACCGTACGTGAAGCCCGGCTCCAAAGTCTTGATCAACGGAGGCAGCGGCGGCACCGGGTCGTTTGGGGTCCAGATTGCGAAAGCAATGGGCTGCTATGTAACCTCGACTTGCTCAGGCCCAAACGTCCAGATGGTCAAGGATCTTGGAGCAGACGAAGTTATCGACTACCGCACCGTGAATGTTGTCGAGCATCTCAAGCGACAGGGCAAGCAGTTCGACCACATCATCGATAATGTGTGCACGCCGGACATCTACTACAACGCCCACCATTATCTCAAGCAGGGTGGAATCTACGCTCTCATTGCCGGCGAACCAAGCCTTAGGGCTGTAGTGACGTTGCTGAAGATGTTCTGCACTCCTGCATGGCTCGGAGGGGGGAAGAGGCCCTTGAAATTTGTTGAAAGGAAGAGTAATGCAGAGGATTATGCGACCGTTGCTGGCTGGATGAAGGAAGGTAAGGTCAAGGCTGTGGTGGAGAAGGAGTATCCGCTGGATGAAGCGGCAGATGCGTTTGCGCGGTTGAAGACTGGGCGAACGAGGGGGAAGTTGGTGGTCAAGGTTGCTGATGGTTGAGTGTTGGGAAGTGGCAGCATGCTTGCATGTCAGTTGTTAACTTATGGAATGAAAATTGCGGCAAGTGAGTCGTTCCGATAGGCACTAGTATTATACATGTTGTACGAACGACATCTCTTCGAATACCCTTCGTTTGCTAGCTGGAGAACATGACTTCTCTGCACTCTGATGTATTCTTTTGTGATCATTGCTATGGTCCTAAATTAAACGCACTTGCAAAACCACCACATCGATCAATGGCTAACAAGCATTGGCCAAGACGAACAACTCGTGCGCACCAGGTTTCAACTGGACTGCTGACGACAGCTACAATGCACAGTCTTTGTGCGCGTACGAGACCGTGGCTCTGGGCTATTCTGGCTTCTGTGGCTTATTCACATACGAGGATTGGGAGGGCTACGAGTACAGCGTAGACATCAACTTCGCTGGCAACAATGCCTTCCAATCGACGACTGGACGTGCTGTCGGTGTTGGTTACGTGGAGGAGGTCAAAGCACGCTTGGAACATCATTTGATCAAGACCCCAACTGCTCAAGTCAACACTACTTTGGACTCCAACGAGAAGACGTTCCCACTACATCAGGCTTTGAACTTCGATTTCTCGCACGACACCAACATCATGGGCATCCTCACTGCTTTTGGACTTACCCAATTTGCGGAGGCGCTGCCCGATGATCATATCAAGCGAGACCGCCAGCTCATCGTCAGCCACATGGAACCATTTGGGGCAAGGTAAGCAAGAACCCTCCAAGTACATTCACAAAGACATGCTAACGGTCTCACGCTTCATTAGGCTCGACATCGAGATCATCGAGACTCCATCCCCGCTCTCTGGCGATCGAAGCAACCGCGCTACATACATGGATGGAGAGTCGACCAAGTACGTCCACTTCATTCTCAATCAGAGGAAGATCCCACTGGGTGCATCCTATTCTTCCTGCGGAGACCGTGACGACGGATGGTGTGAGTTGTAGACTTTCTTGTCCAACTTGAGCTCGAAGCTGGATGAGGCGGAGTATGAGTACAGCTGCTTTGGGTCGTGGCCGGTTGTGCCTTACAGGCAACTTGAGGATGGCGTGCCTCCGCCCATGAACAAGACGACGACTGCTTAACGCTTGTGGAAGTGGGTAGCTGATGTCACGATGAATGTACATATCAAAGTTGCCATACTAATAAACGAATTGTAACACCATTTATGAAATCCTTCAGGAGGTGCCATTCGAGAATACGGACGGAAAGTTGCTCTGCTGGGTTTGCCACGTTCCCTAGACTCTTCTAATCGCTACCAATCAATTCAGCCATCGGCGTCTTTTCAGAAGTAAGCAAGGTTGACAACGGAAACATAAAATGTCTCAAAGAGCACCTTGCCAGTGGCCGGCCAGTTCTTGAAGCTCCGGAGACTTTCTACAGCCACAACACATGGGTCTATACCATCCGCTCGCGTTCTTACCAAATCTCGCTCGATCGTAAAGACACCGAAGAGTCACCGGGAACTTGTCTCGAGCGCACATAGTATATAAGATGCTGTGCCTTTCACTCAAGCCCGAAAAGTAGCATCAAATCGATTTTACATTGTTAACACGGAACTCATGATGGAGCATAACCACAACGACAACCATGAGCACGAGGAGATGGATCCTGGGTATGTTAAGAAGTTGTCTTGACTTTCAACACAAGCTGACCGGGCGAACAGCATCATGTACGAGCAACAATGGGTCAAAGACCTCGTTCAAAAGCTGCAACAAGAAATCGTCGTTTTGGCCAACAAAGGTTGGTTAGGCCTGGACGATTCAAAAAGTCAGCGTGTCCTTGACTACGCCTGCGGACACGGCACCATCTCGCTGGTAAGCCATACCTGCTGACCGTTCTTCGATCCGGGCTGACCAATTCATCAGGCGCTCCTCGAAGCCTTCCCATCAGCAACCTTCCAAGGCCTCGACAGCCATCCAGCACAAGTCCAACGATTCAACGACGAAGCTCAGAAAGCTCTCGAACCTGGCTCTTCTCAATCACGCATGTGGGCTAAGGTAGGCGACCTCTCAACCTCCCCTGCCAAAGACTTTGAGACGGAGGAGTGGTTCGACTTCGACGCCATCATCATGAGCATGGCGCTTCACCACGTCAAAGACCCGCTCCAGATGTTGAGGCAGCTCAAGAAGCGGCTCAGGAGGGGAGGGACACTTGTGATTATCGAGTTCCACGGCGCTGAGCACAGGAAGCACGATCATTATGGGAGGCAAGATTCCGGGAATGATGAGATGGAGATGATCTATGCCCCAGGAGGCCAGAAGATATGGCCTGGTCTGAATAAGAGCTGGCTTGACCAAGCCCTGGCAGACGCGGGTTTCGATAAGGCTTCCATCGACATCGTTCCGGGTCCGACATTCACGATACCGGAGGAGTTGTCGCAACACTCTCACGGCGGTGAGAAGCAGTTGGTCTTCGCCAAAGCTGTGGCGTGATGGTGATAGGGCCGGATTGGACTTGTTAGGCAAGCGGGTTGGTAGCTTTTGTATCGTTGTATTTGCTGTTCGCTGAGATGCAGCGGTGGCAGGGCTGGTCTGGCTTTATCACACTGGGATGCATGTTAGTCAATCTTCTAGTGCGAGTTGGCTCTTGAGCGTACGTACCTCGTCTCGCCGTAGCCTGTACCCCGGTGATAGTGCTCGGCCAGTTCCATCTAGAAATTGAGAACATCAGCACAAGCAACATACGTCAGCATTAGACGAGGCTCAGGAAAGCTCGTGCGCTTGCTACGATCGACCACAGCGACAGTGAGGCAGAGGAAGCAGCAGCATGATCAACAGCATATCGGCATCTACCCATTCTACTACATGCATCCACATCACCATCCTCATACCATCCTGAGGACCATGCTTCATGCCTCCAGCGCCATTGCTCAATCTCATGCCGACCTCAAACATCAAAAATCTCAAAACCCGCTCAAAACACCAGCCAAATCAAATCGTTCCGTCGCACATGCATCAGTTCAGTTCGGTTCACCCATCAGCCATTGTGGTCATAAACACATTCCATCTTCAGAAAACAATAACAAAAATTCGCAACGCAACGCCATGCTGGGGGGTAAAAGATAGATGCCAACCGCCGTCGCCGTCGCTGTGTATACGGCCCATGCAAGGAATGGTATCATCGTCCGTGGGTACAGTCGTAAAGAAACAAAAAAAGCGCTTGTCGTCCGTTAAATGCGTTGCGTTGATCGTGGCTTCGTTGTCGCGCGGAAGCAAATCGTCGTCGTCGTTGAGGAAGCGAATGTAGAACAAAGGGAAAATCTTTTTTCGTCGGCCGTGATCGTAATCAGATGGTCGGAGGAGGTTTGGCGTCGAGATCTTCGTGAAGATCTTGGCGACCGCCGTCCCGGTCGTTTTCGTGCGGGACGGTGAACAGCGGCTCCTCCTCGCCAGGACCTTCAGAGTCAAACATGGCCACTCGGTCGCGCGACCCCTAGTTGGCGCGGATGACCAGCTTGCTCAAGAACTTGTTGCTCAGGCAGTCAAAGTCCCGGCGGTCGAACTTGGCAGTCGTCGAGCGTTCTTTGAGGTAGGATTCTGTGATGGTTGTCAGTACGTTGTGCGTTCGCGAGGTTGTGATGTCCGAACTCACCGTATCGGTTCACATGTCCCTTGACCTCTGTCAAAGCATCGCACACCGCGGGGTTCGAGCCAAGCAGATGATGATGCTTCCTCGTATCCCACTCCTGCAGACCAGGCAGCTTGGTGGAGATGGCTTGGAACAAGCCGACGATGACACCAACAGGCGTCGTCTCCATCTCGTCGCAGAACTTGTTCACAGCCTTGTCGTCCGGCACGCGGTAATGGCAGTCGAACTGCATCTCCTCCCAAATCGCCAGCAGGATGGCAGCCAGCATGAAGATGGTCGGCCAGTTCTTCAGCTTGTCACCAGAGTAGACTGAGCTGTACAGGGTGGACAGCTCCTCGAGAATGTCCTTCTGCAGCTCACGCCACATATCCGCCAACGCACATTTGACCTGGAAGTTGATCATGACTGGTGCCACCGTCTTGCCGGCGAACTTTGACCGATCATCGTCAATCTTGCCTTGGAACTGCTCCTCTTCCGACAGACCTTCGACCATGGTGACATGGAGGGTGAGGTTGTACGCCAGCACAAGTTTGAGCGCCTTGCGTATTGAAGGCGTCTTCTCGCGCTGGTAGTAGCGGAAGGCGGTCTTGAGGATTTCAGTGACGAAGACGGTGCCGTCAAAGTACTCGTCAACGAAGGCTTCAAAGCCCTGGTCGAGATGGCGGTCAAGGTACTCAGACAAGAGAGTCGTGCTGACACCTTCCATGCCCGCGGAGAGCTTGGCCGTGTTGATCTCGAACTCTTGTGGCGTCTCGTGAGCAGACTCGACCCAATCCATGCCGAAGCATTTGTCATCGCGAACGAACACCTCACGAGCGTTGATGGGTAAATAGTGGCCATAGCCGTGAGTGATGTACAGTGTACGCTCCATCGAGCTAAAGCCTTTGATGTTGCCGACGCTGAAGCCAAGGCTGATGTGGCGCTCGTAGTCTGCTTTCCAGTCTTTCATGAAGTATGCAATGTCCTTGATGTCCATACGGGTACAAGGCACCTGCCATAACCGGGCGTGGCTTGGCCGGCAACCACCACAAGGCTCTCCCTTGTCACAGGTCTTCTTCAAGAACTTGCACCGTAAGCAGGCACGAAGTTTGCGGATCTCGTGCGCTTGTTGACGCTGATCGGGACGCAGAGGACCACGTCTTCGGCCAACCTTCTTCTCGGTGGTGGAGTCCTTGCGAGTGCTGTGCGAAGTCTTCTTGATGACAGCCTTGGTGGTCTTACCATCAAGAGGAGACTTGCGCCGGCGAAGAGGAGGTGAGGTGGGTCCGGAAGAGGTCGGTGATGTCGATGAAGAGCCAGAAGACCGGTATGAAGTCGCTGCGTTGACGGTGGGGCTGACCGCAAGTGAGGACGAGGGTGACCGATGCGGGCCGGCAGCAGGAAGGCCGTGAGTCTGCTGTTGGATGTATTGCGAGTCCAGGTAGTCGCTTCCATGGAGCTCATGAGGCGAAGTGAGAGGCCACGGTGGGATCTCCTCGTAGCTGCCGGACAGATCCGCCGAGTTTGGACCGTCTGATGCTGACGAATCCGAGTTGGTGCGGATGTGCAGATTTTGGCTGGGGTTTGACACGGTGCCGAAGGAGTCAAGAGAGTGGCGGTTGGTGTTCTGGTAGTTGACCATGGACCATTCGTTATCCGACACTGACTGCACTTCGTAGATAGTACCAGTTGGCGAACTGCCGGGTATGCTGGACTGCGCGGACTCGACCGCTTGCTGGTTGAGAGCGTGTTGTTGTAGTGCTGCGTTGTTGAGAGCCATCGACGGGAAGGTCATGTCGTTCTGGTAGTCGTTCAGCGGGAAGACGAGCGCACTCATGGAGTCCATTGGGCCAGCCATGGTCATGAAAGTGGTGGGGTCCATGCCGGCGGAGACCGCATAGCTGTCGGCAGCGGTAGCGGGCATGAAGTCGACTGGCGAAGTTTGCAGTTGTGCTCCAAACGAGGCCTGGTTGTACGCGTTCATGTTCATCGCGCTGTTGTCCTGCAGACCAAAGTGGTGTCCATGGTGGTGGTGCTGATGTTGGTGGTGTGGGTGTGTGGCATGCTGCATCTGGAACTGCCATGCATTCGGCATCATGTTGGCATACTCCAGGTCGAGACCGGGGTTCTGCATCCCCATCGCGGCATGACTGCTGCCCGGCCGGCTTTGCTGTGGACGGACATGCTGCTGGTGTTGTTGGTGCTGCTGACTCGAGCCCGAGGCCATGTAAGACTGCTGCGCGTGGTGGTGGTGTTGTTGAGACATGTCGTCGCCCTGCTCTATCCCGTCGAGGCCGAGAGACGACCAGGCGTCGTCGTACTTGGGGCCGGAGGAGTGCACGAAGGGCGGGTACGAGTGGGCTCGCGGGTCGTTACCACTGAAGGCCGCCCCAAAGTCGAAGTGGGAGTCATGGGAGTTGAAGTCGAGGTGGTCCATGGTGATACCTCGGTGAGACGGGTCGCCTCTGAGGTGTTGGTGCTGAGGGTCAGGCGCGCGCCGCTCTCTCGACGAGGAAGAGGAAGAGGGCGAGGTCGCGAAAAGCGCAGCGCTGCCGTGAGGACTAGCGGTGTGAGACGACTCTCCAGGCCTTTAGGTGGGGTTGTGGGACCCTGCTTTTCGCCCGCTTCCATTGGCTGTCCTGCTCTCTTCGTATTGCACGAGCCTGCACTACCGATGCCGTGATCACCCACGACGGGCGGAGATGGCGCAATACAGATACAGGAGATGTGTGTATATGGATGGCTATTGTCTAGGCAAGATGCTGGTCATTCTGTATGCGAACGTGGTTTGTCCCACACACAGCGGCGACGCTGAGCAGTCGAGACGAAAGCCCACGCTGGCGACGAAGTGGGGAAGCGGCTAGCCACTCGATTCGACTCCAGCCTTCTTCTTGACCGCTCCCGCGCGCTTCCCACCATTTCAACGCGCTCGAGTTTCAATGAATAGGCGAGCGGATAGCGGTGAGTTGTGTGTATCATCGCGGGCAGCTCTACGTCCTTTTTCATGATTCATGTCCCGCAATCAACAAGAACGCACCGACTGCGTGGGATCGGTCGACGAGGATTTCCAACTCGATAGGCGGACTTGGCGAAGACGCCAGATTCGAAGTAGGTCAAGCTGATCTACAATGCGCTGGTGTGTTGGCACTGGCAGTCTTGTTGCAAACACGTGCTAGCTCAATACACCGCACACCACCAATGAGGACATGCACCGTCACGGTGCTCCCACCCAGCAGTGCAACCTCGAGAGAGCAAGTGATGGTTGGGTGCTCTCCCACAGCGTGCAGCCGCGTGACTTCTGCTACCACGCAAGGAGCCAGGGTGACGTTTCTGGAAACGATCTTGTGCTTTTCGACAGCCGAATGGCTGGTCAACCGTTGCCTCATCGCTGCATGGCGAGTGTGCCTTGCATTGCGCTCTGTAGTACTGCGAAGCCCGGACGTAGCTCTGTGTGGCAGCTGTCAAAACACTCCAAGGCCAACCGGGACGTACGATCTTCTCCGGCCGGAAGCCCGTCGTGAGTGTAGGCTAGAGTACAGGTATGCAAGTACGTTGCCCGTCTCACCGCCACAGGAGAAAATGACCCCATAGTCTCCAATGCCCTCATTAAAGAGCGGACACGTCGGCGTAATGGTGAATGACAAGCCGCTATTTGCTTCGTGAAGCATGCATGTTCAGATGTGTCTTCGCTCGCCTGCGCGACAACAGTCGCGCCGTACAGTGTCATCGAGCATATTACTCCTCGTCCGCCGTAGCAACAGCCTGACTGTTAGCACCCTACACCATCAGTCACCTCAACGAACTTCATCCCGAGCCGTGAAGGCCTGACTTACTACCCTCCCACATTGCCCTCCTCTCTCTTCATCTTTCCCATCCCCAGCACCATCGCAAAGGGCACAGCAACCCAAGCAATAACCGCCTGGAACACAAGCGCCCTCTTCATACTCGCTGCCGGCTCCCCCGTCGCACCACCTCGCAAAGCGTCCATGATAACAATGAAGATAGCGCCCAATAACTGTCCCATAGCCCATACAATCGTACTGGTAAGCTCCGGGCTGACTGGATGCGTAATCAAAGCCAGATATTCAAGTGCACATGGCAGTAAGCTGAAACTCGTCGCTCCAAGGATGGCACAAACCGCGAACGGTCCTGCCACGGAGCGGGTGGCGGGCATCCAGATAAGGACCAGGTAAGATGCCGCGATGAGCGGGATTAGAGCCTTGATAACCGGCGTGTACTTCTTCGTTCGGTCGACGATGGGGCTGACGATGGCGGCGGATGCCAGGCCCACGAAGATTAGCAGTGCGCCTGCGATGCCGGCATCCGTCTCGCTAAAGCCGTAGGGGTAGAAGATCTGGTTTATGAAGGTAGATGTGGCGTTGAAGAAGCCAACGTAGACTGCGAAAGGAACAAGCACCATCCAGAAACTCAGATTCTTGGGTAGTATGCGGGCAGCTTCGTGGAAGTCCAGCTTTGGTGCCGCAGCAAGAGCTGAGGGTGGAGTTGGCGGTTCCTTGGGGAGGAAGATGGCAGGCAGGGTGGCAACCGTGCTGAGAATGGATGTGTAAAGGATCATGTTGGGGATGTCCGTACGATCTGAAGCCCATAGAGGTGAGACGAGCTGTCCTAGAGCACCGCCGAGTGGATTTGCGAGCGATGCGATAGCTGTCGCGGACACGCGGCCCTGGTCTGAGAACCAGAGATTAGAGTAGCGGGTGGGTGCTGCGAGCACGAATGGCTGCGAGAAGCCGATTAGGATCTGCCCGAACATCACGACGCCGAACTGTGGCGGCGAAGATCGAGTGCCTGCGTAGCGGATCCAGTTTCCAGCGAGGATCAGTGCGCTTGAGGCGAGGATACTGGCTTTGGGACCGCTGCGATTCAAAGTGAAGATGACCAGCGGAGCCATGGGCAGGAAGGCGAACAAAAAGCTAGTGCTCAGCCAGTTGATGCTTGACTCCGAGACGGAGAAGAAGTGCGACGCGGTAGTTGAGATGGCGCTGAAGGAGAGCCAGTCCCAGGAGACAATAATGTTGAGAAGGACGAGCTGCGCCAGGCCGAAGAAGCGGCGCTTGTAGGTGCGATATGGGCAATTTGCATCTCGAGAGATGTGGTTGTCTTGAGTCGCTCGTGAGTCGATGCCAGTGGTTCGTTCTCCCTTTGGCTGTTGATGCCGCACATCGCGTTCGTCGTTGGACATCAGCCGCTGCATTTTGTGGGACATGAGGAGGAGCGATAATGTATAGGCGGTGTCATGGATTGAAAGCGGGTGGTCGTTGCTACATGGCGATAAGCAGACTTTTGTATCGCAGCTCGCGTGCGTGGCGGCGCGTTCTCCTCGTCTCGCGTCGCTTGTAAGCACAGCACAGCTGCCCTGGAGAGGAAGGAGGTTGATTTCAGGCAGAAATAATTGATGCCTGAAGTCCACACGCTATCGATAAGGCATGTGATCTCGAAACATCCATCACCACTGCGGCCTCGCGGCTTCGTCAACCTCACCACGCCACCCGCCTGCCTGCTTTGACATCCCTCACTTCTTGGTCACTCGGTGATGGTCTATCCATACAACTGATCCGGCTCAGATAATGTCAATATGTATCAGACATTCACAGGAAGTGCGCGCCGCCCGCGCCAGGTCAACCTCTCCGGCCGGCCTACGAACCCTTTCGCTGCAGCCTCGTCAGCGCCCACATCCGGCTCACAGTCTGCGGTAGCCTCTGCTGAGAGGGAGAGGGCAGCACGACAACGGAAGCGAGAGGAACTCCAGGCCTCCGCCCGCATTCAGAAGGTATGGAGGGGTCACAGTGCAAGGCGGAGGACCTTTCGCGCGTGGCGGCAAATCTGGGACGAACTGGAAGAGCAGGCTTCGGCAAAGCAGCAAAGAGGAGCATATGCGAACGCGGAAGAGAGTCTGACACAACTCCGGCGACTGCTGCTGTTCTTCCGGGGTCGGGAAGGTGGCGATCGGAAACGACTGGGATGGTATGGCATGCGGCAGATGGCCACGGCGGATGCGGTTCGATGTGAAGGTGGACCTTGGCCGGAGGCTTACTTGAAGTTGGAGCGGGCATGCATTTCCTCGCTGAGGCTAAGGGATGGCACGGACACGGAGACAGACCGGGTGACATTAATGACATTGGCATTTGCTGCGAGGAGGACAACTTTGCGTGAGAAGGATGCCACGGAGTACTACGATGCTCTGATGGCGTTGAGGGAGGTACACGCAGATGCTCTGCAAAACGCGCTGCTGGCGCCGTTGCAAAGCTCCCCCGAGGCTTATGTGGGCCTTGCGGTATTGCTATCGAGACCTTTGGCCGTGGATATGATGGACTTGCTCCGCGTCTCAATCGATTCTCCCACGCTGGTTAGCGCTCTGGCATCCATACAGGAGCATCGACTTGGAGACACTGCCCGGGCTAGGCTTTGGCTGTTAGGCAACACAATCTTTTTGGCGGCGACGACGCAAGCTAGTGACAGTTTTACGGCGATAATATCCCGCTTGCTTGGTTCACTCGCCGACGAAGTTGACTTTGAAGGAACACCAATCGACATGGAAAATGTGTCTTTCGACCAGGATGTCCTACGGAAAGTCAGCAGCGGTCTTCCTCTCAACAAGTTCCTCGACAAACAGATCAGCTCTCTTATCAACCAGGAATCTATTCGGAACCTGCTCATTCGCCAAAGTCCTCACACCTCAAACGGTACAAACCGGGTAGCGAACACCCAGCTCCTTGCCGGCTATGCACTCACACTCCTTCGCTGCTTTCCACGAAAAGCAGATGACATCCGGATGTGGCTCTATCTTGGTCCTACAAACAAGCGAACCGATGACCAAGCTTTGCCAGCAACGCAGTACTTCTGGTCAGCAGCGAGATCCAGTTCTGTCTTTGGCACCATAGAGCAGAACTCGCGCACCGTCTTGCCACTGATCAAGACTCCCACTCCCACAGCTGAGATGCGCGACGACTGGACTGTCATTCTAGTTTTCCTGGAGCTCTATACATTTCTTCTGAAGATCATGGATGATGAGGAGTTTGTTGGAAGTGGGAGAAGACCAAGTGCTATCCCCTTGACCAACGTGGCCGACCTGGTGACGTTTCTGAAGAACCTTGGATTCGTCCTCTACTTCAATGCTTCAGATCTGAACAATACAGACACTGCCTCAGCCGCCAAGGATGGACAGGGCTCGAGCTTGAGCAGGCATTTTGGCCACGGCACTCTTGTTGCAGGCATGCCAAAGAAGGACGCCGAAAGTAAACCGTTGGTAGTCGCGGGTCTCTCAGGATTGACGATTGACTACCTCAAAGGCCTGGTGACCGGCCTGTTGCGAGCCATCTATGAGCGCGATTCAAGACGACACTTCCTACCTGCAGACCACTGGCTTTTGACGAGCAGATTCAACATGGAGCAGTTCATCCCAGGGGTTGTGGCTGAAGAGGAGTCTCGGCATCAAGTCCAAGAACAGGACGACGAGGATAAGGATGACACCGCAGCCGACTCAGACGATGAGCCTGCTGGCGGGATAATGTCTGGTGCTGGAGCTCGCGCCGGTGCACTTCGCTCGCAAGAGAATCGAGCGCGAGCGCAACGGAAAGCGAGCCGTAAGCGTTATCTCGAATCGGTGGCGCCTCGTCTGGAGATTCTTCAGAACATGCCCTTCTTCATTCCTTTCACTACCCGAGTGGAGATCTTCCGCCAGTTTGTCGGCTTGGATCAAGAAAAGCGACGGAATGGCCACACCGATCCCGACCTCTGGCGACAGAGCATGTTTGTTCAGGCTACCCAACACGGCGTCGACCCGCGACATATGCTGGCACGGCACCACGCCAAGATAAGACGGAAGAACGAATTTGATGATGCTTTCAGAGAATTCTATGATCTTGGAGCCTCGCTCAAAGAACCAATCCAGATCACTTTCGTTGACGAGTTCGACATCGCCGAAGCAGGCATTGACGGTGGCGGTGTCACGAAGGAGTTTCTGACTTCTGTCATCAACCAAGCCTTCGATGTTGAAAGTGACACCATGCCAGAGAAGTTCTTTGTAGAGAACGACAAGCACCTGCTCTACCCTAACCCGACCGCTCTCGAGGATCTCAAGCTTAAGTGGCAGTCCATGGGCTTTCCCCAAAATCACCCAGAATCTCGGGCGGCTGTCAAGGAGCTACTGCAGCAGTATGAGTTCCTGGGCAGAATTATCGGCAAGTGCTTGTACGAAGGCATCCTGGTGGACGTCAATTTCGCCGGCTTCTTCCTGAAGAAGTGGGCGCTCACGGGTGGCACGGGACAGGCGACGTTGGAATCAGGTTACAGGGCAAACATCAACGACTTGCGAGATCTTGACGAGGGTCTTTACAAAGGCCTGCTGAGTCTGAAGAATGCGCCTGCAGATGAGGTCGAGAGCTTGGGCTTGACGTTCACCGTGGACGACATGATTGGGCCCGACGAGAAGAAACAAGTCGTCGAGCGAGAGCTCATCCCCAACGGCGCCAACGAGCCTGTCACAGCACAGAACAGACTACTCTACATCAACGCCATCTCTCGCTACCGCTTGCAAGGCCAGAGCGCCGCGCAAACGAACGCCTTCCTCCGAGGTCTCGGCAGCATCGTCCAGCCGAGCTGGCTCAACATGTTCAACCAGTCCGAACTGCAGACTCTAATCGGCGGGTCTGGCAGCGCTATCGACGTCGCTGACCTCCGCCGCAACACCCTCTACGGCGGCACGTACGTCGTCGGAGACGATGACGCAGAACACCCGAGCATTCAGCTGTTCTGGAACGTGATGGAGAAGCTCCCAGATGCCGATCGCAGGGCGGTGCTCAAGTTCGTTACGTCTACACCCAGAGGTCCGTTGCTTGGGTTTGAGTACCTGAATCCGAGGTTCAGCATCAGGGATAGTGGGAGTGATGAGGGGAGATGGCCGAGCACGAGTACGTGTGTCAACCTGCTCAAGCTGCCGATGTATAGGTCGGAGGAGGTTATGAAGAGTCGGCTTTTGGCGGCTGTCCGCAGTGGAGCTGGGTTCGACCTGAGTTAAGGTCTATGGACGTCCGCAGATGATGATGGGTGCAAAGCGTGGTCGTGATAGTTGATTACTCTAGCGTTGCCTTTCAAGCGATTGTATAGAATGCATCCCCGAGCACCACGTGCGATCTGGCATTCCCAGCCACCTGTCTTTCCACCCATCTGCCGTCCCCAGGATCAATCGGCATGCCGTTCAAGGCACAGCGTGTTATGGGATTTAGGCCAGCGCTATTCTTGGTTTCAACCAAGAGGTGTGTGTTTCAGATCATGCTGACCTGCATTGGCGCCATTCCTCTCTGCTGGCTGACCGCACCTCACTCCAACAACAACAACACCTCCCATTTGACTCATCCTGACCTACCGCCATCTCGCTGCCTCGTGACACCTTCTTCTCCCCGAACAGGAGAGAGCAGAGTCGTGGCAGCGCGCAGCGGCAGTATCGCCTACTGCCAGACTGCCAGCTGGACATTATTTGCGATCGCAATAAGCCTGCGCTTCGAGTCCATCCTGCAGGAGGCGCCGAGTTGCTCTCGAACGGTCAGTCTCCACCTTGCCGCGATATCATGCTCTGCGTGAGAGCGCCGGTGGATATAAGTGATATCCCACGTTGGGGTGGTTGGTATGCTGCTACTGCTCATCCTTCCATACTTCCCTTGGTGGCCGCTCTCTGCATATCACGCTCCTTCAGCATTCACTCTGTTACATCCATTCTGCATTCACTCCTTCAGCAAGATAAGTATCCGCTCTTTACCATGCCCCGCTTGATCCTGCTCCCACGTGGATCGCAGGAAAATCATCCATATACCAAGCCTGCGCTCCTCTTCTTCCTACCGTTCATTCTTTCCTCTACGAAGCTTTGACAGCCTCACACTCACCATGGCCGGACCAATGGTACACGCTGTGCTGGTAACAGCCCTGCTCTGGAGCAATGCAGCCGCACAGCAATTCGTTATGTATTCACCTACAGTTGATGACACTTCAATCCAGAGGATTGATCCCATCATCGCACCTGGAGGACTGTCCGGCCACGCTCACCATTTTTTTGGTGCCAACAAGCTCTCTCCCACGCTCGACTACGATGAACTACAGTCGTCGACATGCACAACAGTCGGTTCCGCTGGTTTCCAAGGAAATGCCGTCGACCACAGCATCTACTGGCACCCAGCATTGTATATGGAGTCAAGCGACGAATCTGAAGGCTACATCCGCGTTCCTATCAAAGGCCACAAGCTATACTACATCGATGTCGGCACTGGAGAGAAAGCGGAACCGTTCGAATTTCCCAAGGGCTTCAGGATGATTTCGGGTGATCCATACGCACGATCGTCCACTGGCAGTAACGCCATTGACTGGAAATGCAATAACGGCGGCTCGTACGTCAATCTGATGGGTGGGAGGGTTCTCCAGAAACGCCTCTGAGGTCTCAGGACCACGGAGTGCTCCGAGACCTCACCACTTTTGCTCCACTTATCGAGACATCTGCTAACCCTTCTCTAGTACTAACGTTGGAGACAGTGGAGGCTTCCCCACTGGGGTCAGCACTTGTTCCGACTACCCATACTTCTTCGGAACTGTCAGTTTCCCCCACTGCTGGAACGGCGACGACTACGATCCTTCCAACCCAAGCGCACACATGGCATATGCAGAGGGGGATCCCAAAGGTGGCGCCTGTCCAAGCTCTCATCCTCGCCGCCTGCCGCATCTTCTCATCGAGAACTTCTTTGACATTGATGCGGTGGCTGACAAAGTCAAACCAGACTCCTTCGTTCTCGCACAGGGTGACAATACGGGTTTTGGCATGCATCAGGATTTCTTCAATGGCTGGGAAGAGGGCGCTCTACCCGATCTCTTGTCTACATGCCCGCAGCCAAAGTTTGGGAACGACGACGTCGGCAGCTGCTCGAACTTCAAGTCCAGTGGATCTGCGGAGAGCTGCAGCTTACCTGTGCAGTACAAGGAGAACGTAGACAGCCCTGGCAAGTTTCTCCCCGGCTGCAATCCAATCTCCGACAGCAATCCGGCGCCCCAGATGGCCGTTGCGCCGCTTGGATCGGCAACGGACTCCTGCGCTCCAGGGGGCGGCGGTGATGGTAGTCCTTCCGAAGGCTCTCCTCCTGCAAGCAGCTCTGCGGCGCCTGTGGCTAGCTCTGCACCTGCATACGAGTCTCCAGGAACAACGGCAGCCACCACAAATGAAGCTACCCCATTGACGACTGGAGAGGCCACGCAAATCGCGACTGGCGAGACCACACCATTGACGACTGAAGAGACCACGGCAATGACGACTGGCGAAACCACACCGCTGACCACTGAGGAGACTACGCCGTTGAGCACAGGGGAGACCATGCCAATTACTACTGAGGAGACCGCACCGTTCACCACTGCCGAGACCACGCCAATTACCACTGGAGACACCACACCGTTGACCACTGGAGACACCACACCAATTACCGCTGAAGAAACTACACCATATGAGACGTTCCCTACCGAATACCCGACTGCAGCAACGACGCCTGATCCATACGCCTCACCCACGGCAGAGCTAACGACACTCGTGACGGTCTTTGCAACGGCTTCACCGATATATTCGCCTCCGGTTGAGGCGCCAACAAGCGTCAGACTAAGACATCGCCGTCACGCGAGGAGACATGCTCGACCAGATGGGAGCTGGAGTGGATGATGGTAGTTGGTGTTCGATGCGCGGCTTCGTCAGAAGGAGTTGGGGTTGCACTGGAACGATTTGACGGCATCTAAACGATGACATATGAGGTGGCTTTGGGATTTTGGATATACCCTACAAGCGGTTGGCTTCGGCGAATAGGTGTTTTGGCTTCTGCCTCCCGGCGTTGGTGGATGGATCTGTCGGTTTGAACACATATACCCGGGTACATTCATGGCATGCACGCTCCTTCGAGACAAGTTTGAGCAATGTTTTGAGCGCCGAATTCATCAGGACTTTGGTCTGTTTCATTGAATGGTGACGTCAGTGATATCGTAGTAACGCTTTTGCAAAGCGCTTCATTCTTCAAGGGTAAATGTTGTAAGTACATCTCAATTGATGCTGCGAGCAGTCCAAGGTCGTTAGCATGCTCTGGACAGCCGGATATGGGCACCTGACTTCACATGTTGTACCAGGCCCACGAAGTCTCTCATACTTTGCAACGATCATCCTTCTACCACTCGCCCTCTCGATCCCACGAAAAATACTGTCGAGATGGCAAAGCGCAGCAATATTCCTGCCAACCACGACGGCTTGTACGGTGCATGCTTGGATCGAGATGGGTCCAGCTGTCGATGTGATCAGCGTTGACCTCTTGCTCTGGAGCTTCTACTTTCTATGCTTCAAGGATGTTCAAAATCGATTCGTCTACGTCGTCAAACGAGGATCTACCAATGGGGATGATGAGCAATTTTCGGATGCGGCCAAACATAAAACAGACGCTCAGGCAGCACCATCTAGGATTATCGAGGAACAATACCCAGCAAAGCTTTCAGAACGACTGAATTGGATCGGAACACTGCTCGTCTCTATCCGCATGAAGCATTGGAAGGTCGGAGACGCTTCTCACGACCGACGACAACCTCCGGAGCTAGCTTTCAGGTCTCGGAGTGCCTTCATGAACCTGGCAATAAGGAGCTTCGTTCGAGGATACCTGATCCTGGACTTTACGAGAGCATACATCAGCTACGATTCATACTTTACGGATGCCAACGTCTCCATCTCCTCACCTCTGCCCTCCCGAACGCTCGACTTCGTCCCACCCCAAGTCTTCCGAAGCGCCATCTTAGCGGCTCAAGCTTGGGCAGCGATCAGTCAACTGATGTATCTACCCTGTTTGTTACCCTTAGGTCTCAACGCTCTGGGCTGGCTACCAGATGAGTGGTCACCGCACCACTGGGCTCCTCTCTTCGGCCCCATAAGCGTAATCGCTCAGCGAGGCGTCCGCGGCTTCTGGGGCGAGTACTGGCACCAAGCGATGCGCATAATGTCGGCCGGGCCGGGCTATGCTGTCGTCGATGTGCTAGGCATAGCGCCTGGTAGCTTTCTCAGGTACGCGATCGTCACCTCTGTTGCCTTCTTCTTGAGTGGTGTGGTTCACATGGGTCTTGTACCTCCGGAGCCACTTCATGCGAAAGAGAGCGTGAACATGATCAGGCTCAAAGTTGGGACGTTCTTTTGGCTGCAACCAACAGCTATACTTGCAGAAGTTGCGGTTGGGAAGCTGATGCTGGCGGTATGTCCGCCTTCTGTACGCCAGACGAGTCTTCCCATGGTGGGGCGAAAGGTGGTGAACGTTGCTTTCTTCCTAGCCTGGGCCACTTTTTGCCTGCCACTTCTGGGGGATATGGCACGACAGATCGGGTACTGGCATGTCTGGCCCGTGCCCTTGAGCCTTTGGAGAGGGATAAGAGCAGAAGGGTGGTCGACTTGGATCGAAAGATGAGAAAAGATAGATGCCACTGTATGAAAGCATCTGTGTGTTTCTGTCAAATTTCAATGTCCTGTAATACTGTTCCGCATACGCTGCAACATATTTCTAGCCACTGCGGTCGACTATCGAGCAAAAGAATTAGACCCAGCAAATAGCAATCGCAACACAGCATCCCCTAGAGATGGCCAGCTAATCATCACTCGTCACCGACGTCACGCCATGAGCGCGTTCTCGTAACTGGAAGGACCTGGGCTGGAAGGCAAGCCAGCAGCGTCAAGCATCACTGCTGTACGGACACTCTTCACACGTGCAGGGGAGCTGGTTGTCCTTCGTCGGGCCTTCGGAGGTGTCGCAGCTACAACCTCATCTTCGTCGCCGCTCAAGCGTGCGCGCTTCGAGGATCGGGTCAAATGCGTGCGGAGATGGGGTGGCGTGTCGTACGGGGTCATTGATTGGCGAAGGTCAAGACCTGATGCTGGCGTCTGAGCGGCCTTCCTCTTTCTCAACTGAGAAGCAGGAGTGACAGGTGGTGGCATGCCGCCTGCTTTAGCCACCAGACGCTGCTGCACTTCGTTTGTCTGCATGCTTGATGCCTTAACTACGCCGTACTGAGATGAATGTTAGCGTTGGTAGCCAAACCCCCACAAGCGTGAGACTCACGTAGTGGCTGATGTGCAAGAGAGGATCAAATAGGCTGGCCAGCATTTCCTGATACTTCGGGCCTTCCTTGAGGGCCACAGAAGACAGCCTTCGGCTTCCTGTGTGCCTTCTCGTATTTGGCTGCTTGGCCGCAATGAAGTATCCGTTGCTCTTGAGGAAAGCGAACAGATCCTTTGCGGCAGAATTTGGAATGCCTGCAAAAAGCTCATTAGCAAAGTCGCTGCCGGTCAATCTGATCGTGGACGTACCAAGAGCACCAGCCAACTGATTTGGAGTGCTCAGCCCAGAGCTGAGCGCGTGGTACATAGCTCGTCTCTTCATGGTGAGTTCTTGAAGGCGAGAACGAGTGCTGGTGTCATCATCACTGAGCAGGCAATCGTAGCACACGTGGACTTCGGGCAGACGCTCATCATCTTGGCCCTTATAGCCGTAGCAGTGCAGGTGTTGCCACGTACTGCAGTACGTACACTGGACCTGGCGCATGTTGTCAGTGTGTGTATGTGATGAAACCGAGCTCTTACACACCATGTCTCCCTCGGTTTCGTGGTGCTCGCACTGGCACAGTACGGTATGGTCTTTGTCTGCTTCGTTGACATCTCCCGCTTTCGCTGAACTCCGAGTCTTCTGTCGTGAAATGCACTTCGACCTCTCTGACGCATCGATGACAGGTCCTGAAAGTGTTGCCTGTGCTGGCGATGAACGCGGCGATGATGCAGGGATAGCGGCAGTATCGTTATGACCGCTTGGTTGGGATGATGGAATTGCCTGTGTTTGGGTATCGCCTTGTGTGAAGTGTTCGGCGTGCATCATCGACCGCAGATTTCTCTTCATCTCTGGAACATTGCTCGATTGCGTGTTCTGAGTGCCACCGAATTGGGACAAGAGGGGTTGAGTGGGAACGAGAAGGGCGACAGCTGTGTAGCCCCCCGTGTACTCGTCCTCTGCTTCTACATCGGCCGACTGTTTGCGTGCGGGCGACGTGGAGGGGCGGCTGAGTGCAGTAGGACTGTCTTCTGGAGTCGAGGTCCTTGCAAGGTATTCACTCTCCACGACCGTTGAGGGAGTTGCTGTCAGTTGACGTTGTTCTGCAACCGCAGACGTGGGAGCCGTCGACTGCAATGAATCGAGCCCAGGCTCCGTTCTGTAAGTGATCCAGTCTGGGATTTTCGGGGGCTTCAGTCCAGCGCCGACGGCGTAACCGAGTGGTTGCAGGTAAGTTATGCCCATGGAAGTACTGTAGTCACGTCAATGGAGCACGTTTGATGAGACACCAACTCATATTTACCGGTGAAAGCCAGAGCCAAGATTCTCAAAGTAACGCTCCTTCTTTTCCCACCCATCCGTCGCGGCAAAGGTGAGGTCCATGGTATCGTTAGGTACGAAGCCTGTTGGCTTGTCTGCCACGGCTGTGTCACGCTCGTAGAAAAGTGCCATTGACATATATCTTTTGCCTGCGAGATGTCAGTATTGTCAGGGATTGTGAGCGCATGCGGCATGCTGACATACTTGGAAGATCAGGCAGATCGGCACAATGCGCGATGAGCTGGCGAAGGAGCCCTTTCAGTGCTTCATTCGTCGCTCCCACACTGGCGGATGAGCCGCCGGGTCCTTCCAGCTGAACTCCAGCAAGCAGCTGGCCGCCTTTTGGCCTTGGAGCGTACCTGATTTTGAACGTGTACGTCTCCACTACGCGCTCGGGATGTTCCGGGTCTGTGTGCACGTGTATCTCCATGGAACGCAGGTTACCTGCTTGGAGCGCTGGGAAAGCGCCATGTTCCTGTCGCTGGCATTAATGTCAATCGATGAGTTTTCAACCGTATCAAACATACCAGCCAGTCTAGCAGCAGGTCGACTCGCTTGCTGCGCCCGCGTCTCAGCACCTGAAGCTTGGCGCTTCGCTGAGTCGAGCGCCTTCGCGTGAGCGCAGCTCGGCCAGAGGCGTACTCGTCGTAGGGCTGGATGGTTGCGGTCGAGTCATATTCTTGCATATCGTACGCCTTGTCTGCCAGGAGGTTGCTGTTCAGATTAGTCTCCACCCCTGTTCGGTGTGGAGAAATGCCCTTACCGCAAGTACGTTATGCAGCTCAGCTGCCACGAAGTTAGCATTGGTACGGTATCAGAAGATCGCAAAACATACACCACTGTGAAGCATGGTTTGCACGACATCGATGCTTTGCTTCTGCGTGACCTCGGTCTTGTTCAGCGTCTCGGTGCCTTTCGTCTTGGAGATCTGGATCGTCGCCATTGTGTTCTGTTCAGTTTCTCAGTCGCGAATCGGGGTGCTGGCGGCAGTGCGCATTCGGTGAATATCCCACTCAAAAAAGCGAGCGAATGTGCAAATGGAGTCGGAATCAAAAGCGCAGTCATGAAGTCCAGGTGAGGTCTGGAAAGCGGTGAGGTCCATGCACTTGCTTGAGGAAGGTGCGACGCCTGGCAAGGAAAGAGCTCGATGAACCGCTCCATCTAATCTCTACAACGTCGTAAGAAGACAAAGGAGAATTACCTTTCTGCGTTTGCCTGAAGTTCATCAAACAACCATCCTTTCGAGTGTGCTGTGGATCAAAACGAACACGGCAAGGCTCCCACGACCCAGAAAACTCACTTGTACCGGCTCGCGTGCCACTGAGCATGGCCATCGATTACGAGTATCTGAGGGTGCCGGATGAAATGTGATTTGCTTGTCGCGGACTGCGTGGCAATGGCACGGAGCGTGGCTGGCGGCCATTGTGATGGCGACAGGACGGTCCGGCGAGCACTTGAGCTGAACACCCAACTATCGGCCGCGACTGTCTGTCTTGACCAGCGATTTGATCAATCCCGGGAGTGGTAGGTAGGGCGCAGAGCGCTGGCTACCCGACCTGGACTCCAGGCTTGTAGTCCACAGCGCTTATCTCGCCGAGAAGAACCGTCCTAGCTATTGAATCAACCGAAGCACCCCAAGCGCGCAGTACTGTCGCCGTTGAGGTCGTCGTCAAGCTTCTACACATACGCGACGTCCTTCGCCGGCATCTCACCGGGTTGGTTTCCTACGCTCTTGTACGAAGAGACTTCGGTGGTCCCATGGCAAGCGGGAGACCGTGAAAGTGGCCCACGAGGGACATCTGGACAGTCTTCTCTCGACCCACAAAGCCGTATCTCTCTCATCGTCACTGTCTGTGAGAAGATCCCTTGGACAGCTCGCGCTGACTTAGTAGGCCGCTTTCACTGTCGACAGCTTGTTTGCCTCAGATCGTGCGTGCGGGAAGGCGCTTCAGCGAGCCGTGGTCGCCCCAGTCCCGATTGTTGACGCGACTGAGAGAACAGCAACTTGCAAGAGGTGTGGTCTGCAGAGCAAAGTACTCTCCGCGCTGCTTTCAGCCCATGCTGGGAAAAGCTGAGCACGTCGGAGCTCGCCTATGAGGAACTGGGAGAACCTCACGTTCCAGACCTCTCACTGTCCAACGAGATCCGGTCACATCGCCAGACCTACGCCTTCCATTGATGGTAGCCATGCTCTGCCTGGCAGCAATCCAAAGCTCGATGGAGAGCTCGCTGGCTGTGGGAGCCGCTAGGGCAGGACGCTGGCATGAGAGGCATGTTCATATCGACGGCGAGCAGAAGGACAGACTCCCACCACCCAGAAGCACACCAAGGAGTGGCCGGTGGCGACCACAGCCGCTCTGCTGCATGCAATGCTTTCGCCAGCTGCTTATTCTCCGGCGTGTGGTCAAGCAGGATGTGAGAACCGTAGGTCCAGCTCGCACCGCTGCACAGGTTGGTCCAATTGTTTCTTTGCCAATGCTCGAGCATGCAAGAAAATATGTGTTGTGGACGTCAGATCTCGCTGCGGCGGAAATTGTGGCTATGGTCCAGCTTGCAATATGAATTCTTCTGACCGCTTGCTCGGGGTGGCCTGGTGAAGAAAGGAAAAGAACGGCAGCCTACCTGGAGCAGCTGGACAGTCAGCTTGCGTGAAGAGTTCGTTGGCCGCATTGAGAATTTCAAGTGTCGTGGAAGGACATTCACGTCGCCACGCTGTCTGCAATCTAACACGACTTCATCCAGCAGCAGCCGTTGCTCACAGCAACCTTCACTGAACAGTGAAGCAGTGCGTTCATCGACAAGTTGCACGATCAGGCCGTTCTTCAAAGATGAGGTGAAGCTGATACGATTAGCTGCGGCGGATGTCTGCATGATCGCAAGCGTTGGCTACAGCTGTCTCTGGGGCCACTGTGAGTTCCTTCCTATCTGGGAAATTACTTCATTCAAATCAGGCTAATCCAAACAGAGGTAGATCACAACACGAGTCACGCGCGCAAAGGCTTCCGTGACCTGAGCTCATTTTCACCTTCTTCTGGACCATCAGCACAACAACATCTTGCCGTACGCCAGCCAAGCTTCCACTGACTGACTGACACATTGCTGACTTCTGATTGACTCTAGAATCGATAACTTGCTGCTGATCGGCCAAGCATCACCGTAAGGATCCGCCTCTTCTCCGAAAGCACGAATTTTCTCATGCTAATTTCCTACCGCAGATGGCCAGCAACCCCTCCGCTCCAGCGGAGAAGAAGCGCTCGTACGCGGAGGTGGCGCGGCCACCCCCCATCAACACCAACCTGGCTTGCGTCGCCCCTGGTGGCGCACCGCCCTCCTCCTCCGGTCCCGGCTCGGCCATCTCAACCGTGGCCACCTCCCTGTCTTCCGGCTCCTGGACTCCCGGTTCGGCCACAGAGGCGACTCAGAGCGCCACCATCCCAAAGAAGAAGAGCTGGAACTCCTCCCTTCGCGGCCATGCAGTTGCCGTTCCTTTGCGTCCCGCCGGTCGTCAGACTGCCGTGCCAGAAGCCGCTGTGGGATTGGGGCTGCAGTTCGACCAAGCTGACCAGACCGATCGTGTAGTAGAACGCAAGCATGATGCTCTTTCCACCGATGCCACCATCCACCACACTTTCTCCACGAGCCCGCATGTCAACCAAGCTGCAGACTCGAACGCGAACACGTTTCCGCTCATTCAGTATCCATTCGGCTCATCACGTGACCTGGCGAATCAGCACCGAATTCCTTCGAGCGACTTCACATCATCGACGCCGATCAAAGCAGAAGACTCTTCCAACGTACCTATCAGCACTGTTAAGAAAGCCGTACATTTCAAGAACACCCACGAGGTGAGCAATGACGCGGTTCTCAACATGACAGTTCCAGATGCTGTCCCCGGCCAGCTTACCCGTCCGGACTCTACCATGAACCCTACTGCCGCCGAAGAGGGCGACTCTGAGCTTGACACGCTCAGCGACCTCACCAAATTCGAGGAGCAGCAACACGGCACCGCTCCCATCTTTGTATGGATCGAAGAAGCCCATCACCCGCAGAGCATCCAGAAACAACTCAGAAACAACCGCATGCCCGAACACTTCACCGCAGCATACCCGGGAGCATTCATGACCTTGAAAAGCATCGGAAACAAAAACTTCAAGCTGGAGGCGAATGTAAGTAAAAGATGATCTCCCTCGTGAGCGTGCAGAGCTAATATTCTCAAGGCGCGTGTCATCTCCATCAGGACGGACTTCTTCTCAAACATTCAAGCCGCTGTGCAGGGGGGCAAGTGGGCCACGGTGGACAAGGTCGGAGCCCGCATTATGCGTGTGTGGAATTCTCGCAAGAGCGAAGATGACAAGGTGTTGTTTCTTTTCTCCGTTAATGGGTACAAGTCGTACTGCGCCCTTGCTGAGATGTCTGGACCGTTCATGGAGGGTGGCACCAACCTCGAGAACTTCGAGTACGGCGAAGACGGGTCGAGCGAATGGGGGTGAGTTTCCTCAACATGCCATACATGAATGGCTTGCTGACCTATCCTAGGACGATTCCAGTGACATGGAAGTATGTGAAGAATGTGGCGTACCCGTGGTTCAGTGACATCCACCACGACCACAACGACGGTCCGATTACGAACATGTGGAACGGCATGCACTTCCCTACCGAAGCCGGGCGTGCAGTGATCAAGAGATACGTCGAGAGGCCGCATTTCACCAATTTGCTCTGCTGGGTCACCAAAGGGGAGTTCCTGCCTCACCGAGTCCCTACTCCGGCAATGATGGACCCTGACCTTGCTCCCAAAGACAGCAACAGTCATTACGGCAACAACTATCGTGGCAAGAAGGGTGGACGTGGACGTGGACGCGGCCAGCCCACACAGCGCCTGGCCGAGGATGGTCGTGCAGCCACCCATCGTTCTGATGCCGGATATGACAACAACTTCCCGCCAATGACGCAGCAGCATGGCGCCATGGTGCCGTGGGAAGGTCGCAACGCTCCGTACGAGCGTGGCCGCATCATCGGAGAAGCTCGAGACACTCAGCCGACACCCATGCGCTCACGCTTCAATGCGATCCACAAGCCGCAGTTGCAGATCACGCCACCGTCGAACTTCGATGGCCCTGCGAGCCCGCCTCCGCGCCCAGGCCAGATTATGCATCTTCCGGTTGTTGTTGACGAGCATGGCAACTACGTCCCCATCACTCCCGGCGGTGGTCGCCTACCGTCTATGAGTGCTCAAGGTTCGGGCAGCACCACGCCAACCGCTTACCACCATCCGGCCAACAGCCGCCCAATCAACCCGGGATTTCTAGGCAGCTTCCCACCGCAAGGCGCCCGGAACTTCAGCGGACCTACCAACTTCTCTGGAGCCCGTTCGCCGCTCGCTCCTCAGACCGTCCGTCGCATGCAGTCTGACGTTGGCACGGCGGACGTGTTCAACACCCCGCGTCAAGTGCGCCCTGCTACCACCGTGAATCGCATGGGAACACCAGCTGTCGGCATACAGTCAGGCCCGAACTACGGCGGCAACAACCAGAACGAGACCGCGCTGCAGCGTGCTGCTGGCTCGGCCAACTTTGTGCCATCCCATGTCGGCTTCAGCTCCCAGTACGGTCACACTCTCGTGAGCGCGTCCGAGGAGAGCGAGCATTCCCTGCGTACCGACAACGCCCACAGCAACAACACTGCTGAAGAGGGAAGGCTTACCGCCGAGGAGAAGGAGCGCATGTTCCACGAAGCTACCCTTCGTCTTCGCCAAGCCGAGTTCGACCTGGCCAGGATCAACTACCAGCAAGACCCACGCCGCACGATCGACAACAACGCCTCCGAGTACAACGGCAGCGAGCCAGGCGGCATCCACGCATGGGTGTCGACCTCATCGCTTGAGAAGCGCATGATCAGCCCGCCGGCGAGTCTCACTCCGAGTGTTCTGGGCACCGAGGCCGAGTTCGAGGCGAGGATCCAGAAGGATATTGAGAACATCGTCGCTTCTCCGGAGGGCAGTGTGTGTGAAGAGAAGGTTCATGAAGAGAAGAAGACGGAGACCGGTTCGATCAGCTCGGGCACCACCAAGGACGGCGGTGTTCGTCTGCAGAAGAAGGCATGAGCAACGCTTTGCGTAAGAGGCCTTGATAATTTTGAAAGGCTGCAAGGTTGATGAGGATTCGATTGAGCAACGCTGGATTGAGGAACGGTTGATGCTTGAGATGGGCTTGATGGTTCAGGAAGCTCGATGTTCGAGGAAGACTTGTACTCGAGGAAGACTCCATTGTTTGAGGAAGGAAGGATTGTTCGAAGCCTGTGTAAGAGGTTGGTATTCTCGAGGAAGGGGCTGCTGTGCGCCACCCTGTCCCGTAGCAGATACTGATGTAACAACTTGCCATTCATGAGAACTTTCTTGTTGCAGCTTTCCAGAGCGAGCCAGTCAGCCAGAGAGAGGTCAAACGAGAAGTTGGCAGCTCTCGGGCTCAGGATATCAGGCTCACTGCGTGGTTGATAAGACCAGACTTCAACTCGTCCATTTCATCTTACTATCCACAATGATGCCTCTCAGCAACTGCCTCTCCATCTCCGTTCCCTTCAACCTCGCTTCGCGGACCTCCTTCCTATCTCTCACCACCACATCCACCCGCCTGCCCTTCCTGCCCTCACCGAATACCACGGTATAGTCGTCCAGTACCTCGTTCGGCCCTACCTCGCATAGAGGCGCAATCTTGCACCACTTGCCCAGCACGGCTCCTTCTCCCACTCTGCAGTTGATGCCGAGCGTAGCATGATCACCAATCTTTCTTGCCTCAACGATGGCACCGGACTCAATGCTCACGCCTTCGCCGACCACAAGGGTCGTGTCTTCGCCGCTCTCCTCGCTCAGTCCGACGATGGCTTTCTCGGAGACGATGGTGCCTTTGCCAATTGCTATATTGCCATACTCTGCCTTGATCTTCGCATGAGGATGTATGACGGCGCCTTCGTCTATCTCAATTACGTGAGGCCCGATGAGTTGGGCTTTGTCTGCTACTGTTGCTGAAGGGTGGATTTTGCATTGCGGCTTGACGAGAGGGATGGCGCTGGATGACTGGCGGTTGGAGGGCGCAGCAGGCTTGGAGGTCATCGTGGTAGCATTGTGCGCTGTACTGCGTGTGTGCTTGACGTGTTGTTTGGTCGAGTTTTGTAGAGGAAGTTGTGGAGCGAAGATCGATGCCCGATTGGGATTTAGCGTGTTTTGCATGTGAAAGCCGGAGTCAATGCGACGACCTTCGCGTCTCCTACTACGAACATCCCTTCATCAAGCTACCAGCACTGCACAAGACCAGCTGCGCTTCCTTGAACCGATGGAGGCCATGATGACGCCGCCGATGTTGTGACAGCCGTCGCGGAAGCAGGAGCGCCAGCATCACGCGAACGGCTCCAGGGTGCGGGTACCTCGTCCCACAGGCTATGTCACTTGCGTGCAAACGCTGACTGCTACCAGGAATCTGCAGCTACGGGCGATGCATGTGTCTCACAAAGCGCTTTCGTGAGTCCTCCACACCGGATGGTTGCGCCGGCGCGGGCGGAAGATGGTCTACTGCAGGGGGCCGCCGATGCAGTAATGTGCGGCGTATGTAGGTATGCGCAGCAAGCAGGATATGAGCACATTCAACATGGCTCTTTGTGTTCGTCGTGAAGGGGTGGCAGCTACTTTGCCTGGCCACCCTGAGCCTGCCAGCTTGTCGTGAATGTGATCTGCTTCGTACGATTCAGTGGCAATGTTGTTACAGCGTATACATACACGCACATGTAGGTTATACAGACATTGCGTTCGTAACGAAAGTGTCTCATCCGATGTGTTCATGCGATTCCATTGGCTTCCGCAAGATGCCTTGCTCCTTCCCTGTCCGCAGACGCGACGTCACCTCATTCGACACATGCACTCTCCGTTTGACAACACCCGCAAACACCGACCTAGAGCACTTATGCATGCACCGACATGACCCTCTGGACTGCCACCTGGAGTCGCTTCTGCTCACGCCAGAGAACATCACCCTATCGACGCGCCGAGACCTCGTACTCTCAACCCGACTTCTACATTGTCACGTCCAACATGGGCAAGTCCAACAAGTTCGACTACTCGAACCGCGCCAACTCCGGCCTCAAGCTCGGGCAGATCGTCGGTGGCGCTTTGCAGAAGGAAGCTGAGAAGGTCAAGAAGGATGCCGAACGCCACTTGCAGAAGGCCCGGAAGCAGAGCCTCGACAGCCTGGGAGGCGACATCGATACTACTAGGCACATCATCGACCTCAAGGCGCCGAACAAAGATCTAGGTGATGAAGGAGTCTGCGCGCTTGCAGACGGGCTAGAGGATGCTCTGAGAAACAGCAGCACCGTCGCCTCACTGGCGTTGGAAGACCTCAATCTCTCTGGCAATGGCATCACCACTGTCACCCTCGCCCGACTGGCGCCCATCATCGAATTGAGCGTTTTCGACCTCAAGACGCTCAACCTTGCCGACAACAAGATCAAGGTCGAGACGGACGATCAGGCCGAACAATGGGAGGTCTTTCTTAAAGCCTTCCGCCACTGCTTCAAGTTGCGCAGGATCGATCTTAGCAGCAACACTGGCCTTAGCTCGAGAGCGCTTGAGATTCTTGCCCGCGTCCACATCTCCGAGGACTGGATCGATCCTGTCAATCCAGGTGGTGAGAGCTCGGTGCTCTCTCTGGCTTCTCACGCAGGAGACGACGACAATGATACTCCGTCTGAGGTAAGCCCACAACTTGAATATGGATCCATTCCACCGTCGGACATGTCAAACGCAAGGATCCTCAAGCGGCGATGTGGTCTGCGCTCTGTACCTTGCCTCACTCTCCACGACATCGGCCTGGATGACGCAGGCGCACTGTGGCTTTCCTACGTACTGCAAGATCACCACTATCCGAATCAACTCATGGACGAACTCAATGCGACACATGCGGAATCTGCAATCAAGACGTACCAGCAGGGCACCAGCTCGAAAGGCATCGACTGGACCGATAACAAGTCTGCTGGCAAGGAGGGCTTGCAGCTTCTGGAGAAGACGGAAACGCTCAGGCAGCAGATCATGCTTGACGGAGACACGGCAAGGACCAGAACAACGATTCAACTCCACCAGCGCAACCGGCAACATGGAGAAGATCATTCGAGCGGGCAGTCCGGCCAGCGGCGTACATCTGGAGCGGCTCCTGGGGATCGACGTGTCAGCATGCGCTCCATTCGAACGAACGATGGTGGTGAGCACGATCCCACGGAGCTCCAAAGCGCCAGGAGCAGGATCCAGCGCCACATCATCTCCCAGGGCAACGTTCACGCGGTCGAGCTATGGAAGGCAGCGCTCAGAATATTTCGGACGTCTCGTATGCTCTTGTTCATCGCGCCGGACATCAGAAGCTACCTACCAGACAGCGATATGCCAACCAACGCGATTGGCAGTGGCGAAGACGAAGCACCACCGGCCGACAGTCCAATCGCACAGAGTCCGTCCCGACTCACGCTCGACACTGCAGCAGCCAACAAGCCGTCCGCCAACGGTCGAGTGTCGTGCGCTTCGAAAGCAGGACGTCAAGAGTCTTCTGAACTCGCCATTGCCGACGCTACGAACCGACCTACCTCACCACTCAAGCTGCAGAAGTCGACGACTCGCAAAGGCGCAAGCGGAGACGTCGGGGCTGCGACTAAGAAGCTGAGCAAGCTGGCCACAAAGGCTTCCAGACAAGGAGACTTCTTGCGGTATCAACGGCGGCGTGCTCAAGAGGCAAGGCGAGATGGACGTGCTTTCAGGGACACCAATGCAGCGTGCCACCTTCCAGCGGATGTTGTTGAGCGTATTGTGCGGCTGACAATGACCAGTCGAGAGGTGGATGTGTTGAGTGCGGCGCAGAAGGCTGAGGCGATCATGCGGTAAGTCCTATTCTTGCAGTACTTGAAGCGACAGAAGCCGACAGGTATGCAGTGGCCAGCGAAGAGACACTTTGACGGCGGAGCGGGAATGGCTGAAAAAGGACGAGAGCGCGCAGGTGTGGATGTTGCTTGACAGTCTGGACTGCTTGAGCTATGGAGAGTAGAGCCTGGAGACACTGAAGCGGTGGAGGGAGTACGTCGTGCATGGGGACGAGATGATTGATTTCGCAGCCGAGCTGCCGTCTACTCTGCAGTCCAGTTGATACAGAACACAGTTGTAACAGAACAGCCGCATCTTTCGAAAATCACTCTTCACGTCGTCCCGTTATTGATTTAGTTTAATGTCCGGCCTTCCGTCGCAATCTTGCCCCACTATCAACAGTGAGGTCAGCCATTGAGGGCAGAAGCGGGTCCCCACCATTGCTGTACGCGTCGTCCTGAATGAGACGACATCGCACACCTACGTCTCGAAAGGGTCGGAGAGATAACGAGCTACTGCCGGTTCAGGTACGTTCGTCAGTGGTAGTGAAGATGTGAGCGCATTTAGCGAAACCTTTTTCTACGTCACTTCTGTATACATCTCGTCTGTCAACTCGCTCAAGATGAGATAGATAGCAGTCTCTTTTATCACTCCACCACAGTGACCATGTCAGCCCATACATCCTCCCTTGTACTCATCCTCCTAACAATAGCCCTCCTCACGACACCCAGCCTCGCATTCGGCGCCGGCTTCGTCGCTCGTGGATCTCCTCAACAAGGTACCAGCTTCCGACATGGCGACATCCTTCTCGCCGTCCCTTTCCTCGCAAAAGTAAACCGCCGTCTGGTCAAGACAATCTACTTCGGTAACTGGCTGCGGGACTTCAGCCAATTGCTAGACACCAGGTCATTATCTCATGTCCCAGAACCAATCCTGAGGGTACTGGTCGCTGTCTTCGGGGTTCTGCAATTCGGCTACTCGACTCGAGAGTTTGAGGTCACGTCTGAACGATTGGGGCTGTACAGGCCGCGTCATCATATCGACAACCCAAAGGGCTACGATGGCGGTGGTGGATCGGTTTCGGGACTGCATTATCACGTGCTTCCGGAGGAGTATGTGATTGACTCTGCGAGTGGAATGAAGAATTATATCGCCAATACGCCACCACGGCGCAATGACGACGATGTTGAGGCGAAGACTCCTAGGATCGAGACGGCTGCGGAGTATATCGAGGACCAGCTTATTGCGGCGGTCGCGTGCGGGAGGAGTGGCGATGCTGAGGCATATCTCCATCTAGGCGCGGCTTTGCATGCCATTGAAGACTTCATTGCGCATTCGAATTGGCTTGAGCTGTGCTTGCGGAGGCTTGGGAAGGGCGGGTTCGATGAACACGAAAGAACATCGTCGGAGCCTGGGGGGAAGGCTCCCGGTCTTGCGAGGGTGTTTCCGTTTGTAGGCGACGCTGTCAGAGTTCCTACCATGCACGGACTCGTTCCTCCGTTGGTAACGGGCACATTCGGCGCTGTGGATCTGTATCAGACTATCCTTGGTGAGATTGACGACAAGCTCACCACCTTCAACCTACCGTCGCTGCGGGCACGCACAGCTAGCTCAGATGGTGTACTGTCTGCCGTGACCAAGTCTCTCCTCGGCATACTCAAGGATCTCGACGCTCCTTTCGAGAAAGACGTCAACAGCGTTCATAAAATGGCGAGCAACTCAGAGCCAGCAGACTGGGGCAAGCTGCAAGAGACGCCGGACCTGCTGTGGCAGTCACTCGAACCCTTCTTCCGCCTCCGCGACAACATCGTTCGCTGGACTTACGATCATTTGACCGTTCGTGCTGTACAAGATGCTATCGCCGCTTTGTCAACGGCCGTTGACCGGCTGATATACACCGCGCTGGGAATCTTCTTGCGTCCAGTGCTAGATCAGATTGCAACCGGACTGCAGGAGCAGGAGGCCGCTCTGCTCGCTCAGGAGCGGGCGATGCGTGATAAGTCTGTGTTTGACATCGGCTCAACCGTGCAAGATCCCAGCCACAGCGAGCTGGCAAAGGACCATTATGGCCACCCGCTCAATGAACTTGCGGGTCGTGTTGCGAGTAAGATGACATCGTACACGATAGCGAAGATTGCTTCGCTCTGGCGGCCTGATGCCACGCAAGATGTGCGTCCCGCAATTGACGGCGTTCTTTCGGCTCTGCACCATCCTGAGTTGACCTCCCGCGAGTCTCGCACGGAGGTGCAGACTGCAATGCTTGCGGAGGTCCGGCGGTATGTCGTCGATCGCGTGCGCGATGATCCTGCTGGATTCGAAGCCTTGCTCGTCAGCCTGGACAGAGAGCACATGGCTGCCCGGCGTGGTGAGCATGAAGCCGCTCATCAAAGCGCCAAGCAGTCTCACGGTGCAGAGCAAGAACAGTCGCCCGTGCCACAGGCATTGGCTTCTCGGATAGCGTTGAATCTGCAGCGGGCAAGCGACGATGGTCATGTCTCCTCACCTGCGATCTCTGGGATCGAGAAGGCGCTGCGTGCGGCACCGAGCAACGAAGCGCCGAATCCGCTTGATGCTGCTATGGCCGGGCTTGGTGGCGTTGGGCTGAAGGCGGCGTTCCAGGATATTGGGACGAGTGAGATGGCTGGGATACCCGGCATTGGAGAGGTACTGCGAGATGCAATCGTGATGACCCGGATGATGGAGATGGAGGAAAACAACATGCTGGATATGGGAGGCGAGTGGAGCAAGGAGAGGTGCAAAGAGCTGAGTGACATGATGGATGTAGGGAAGAATAGAAAGCAGGAAGAGGAGAGGGCGCAGAAGGAGGGGAGGAAGGAGGAGAACAAAGTGAGTGCGTTGAAGGAGGGACTGATGAAGTTGAAGTTGAAGAAGTGATATGGTCCAGAAGTTGACGTAGGATAGATTGTCTGCCGTTTACCTGCAATGTAGCCATGTTCCAATAAGTATGGTGAAGTCGTGAAGTCAGACGCGTTCATGTAAAATCACGTGTGTGAAGTGAATGCTAACGGGTATACGCGAGGAAGGCTGCTCCGTAGTGAGCGCGGGGTTAATCCTACTCCAGACCCCTGCACTCCATCCGAACATGAATCGAAAAAGTAGGCCAAAGCCGTACACCTGACTTATCGCGCAACGAGTGGGTCTTGTTCCCTCAGAACCATCGCGCTCCAATGCAGTCGCCGGCGAGCAACCAGAGCTCGTTCCCTTCACACCACCAACAACCGCCATACAAGAGCGAGGATGCAGCCCAGGCCACAGCTGCCGCAGCACTGTCGCAGCAGGATGCGCCAGCATCTACACCTGAAGCTGGGAGGAAGCGGAAGGCGACTGGTCAACCAGGGAGTCGGGGTGTGGCCAACCTGACACCAGAGCAGCTGGCGAAGAAGCGCGCAAACGACCGCGAGGCGCAGAGGGCCATCAGAGAACGAACGAAGAACACCATCGACAGTCTCGCGGCTCGCATCAGAGAGCTGGAGAGCCAGCAGCCCTTCCAAGAGCTACAGAAAGTGGTCGCCGAGCGAGACAGGGCGCTTGCAGAATGCGAGGAGCTGAAGAAGAAGCTGGCTCATGTGGCGAGTGTGGTCAATGTGCCCGAGCAGCAGCAGCAAGCTCAGCAGGGCCATCAACAACCTCCACCCAACTTGCATGGTACGTATGATCTATTCGAGCAGTTCATTGATACCGCCTTGCTTACAAAGAACCGCAATACAGAGCTGGCAGCTCTGACGGCACAGCAAAGCCCGCTACCTTCCGCGGGCACGACTGGTGCGGGAGCTCAGCAGTATCCAGCTGTTCAACGAAGTCCAGGTGCTCCGGCCTCGTTCTACGAACAACAACACATCCACCCGGACTTGAGATCGCCCCATTCAGCAGCTCAACATAGCCCGGCCAGCCAGTCAGCCACTTCTGGGACACCCACCTACCATGGAGATACTGCCTCTCTCCGAAAATGGTCGCCTGGTCTGGAGCAGCACTCACATCCAGCGCAACATCCTCCACCGAACGGCATTACGTACGAGCAACGCCAGCCACCACGAGCGCCAATGCAGCCGCAAGGTAATGGCGAGCGATTGGATCTGGCGTACGTGCTAGAGCCTTCTTCTGGAGGTCCCACTTCCGCGCCCCAACATCAATCGCCCCCCTCTTTGGAGCCGCCTTTGCATACCCGCTTGCCAAAGAACTGCCCTCCGACCTGCCCACTAGACTTTCTTCTGGTGGACTTCCTTACAGGCAGACGGCAACAGATCGCCAAAGGCGTTCCCATGCATGAAGTGGCAGGACCAGAGTATCCATCGCTGCTCGCTTTCAAAGACCCGGAGGCACCGCAAAGTCATGGCTATCATCCGGTGTCAGCTCTTCTGGTCGACATCTTGTCCAAGTTTCCGGACATTTCCATGCTTCCGGAGAAAGTGGCTGTTCTCTACATCATGTTCCTCATTCTACGATGGCAAATATGTCCTTGTGAGCGGTGCTACCAGAGACTGCCGGATTGGGTGAAGCCCACTCCTGGCCAGCTGAATACTGAGCATGCTGCATGGCATGATCATGTGCCTTGGTACGCTCACCCCTTACTCTTCCCAAAGCAACGTTCTAGTAGACACTGACTTATGTTTGCAGGCCAATCATCCGCCAACGTCTAATAGCATCCCACCCCGTCGACTTCGAAGAGTTTTTTATTCCTTTTTGCAACCGACTGGATCTGAACTGGCCCTACGAGAACGACCAGGTCCTGATCTACAACCGGAATGCTACGAAGCCCGAGGATGCGGTGCAGATGAACCCCGACTTTGAGGCTCACTTACGGGACCTGTCGAACTGGAGCATGGGTTCCATCTTTCAGTCTCAATTTCCTTACCTAATCGATGAAAGTGTCAGGATCCAGGACGCGCGACGATCGAGCTAGGGATTCGACGTTAATACCATGGCAGGGAGATATGAGGGCTTTACGATGTGGTAATAGTTGCTCACAAAGGATACAGCTTTTGGCGCGCCAGTGTACAGCATGGTCGCGAAGCTCACTTCTTCACAGCAGCGAGATGGAGAGAGACATTCACAGTCCACAAATCCTTACCTCTACCCTTCACTCTTCTTCAGCATCTCTCCAAGACCTAGACTCTTCATCTCTCTCTCTCACTCTCACTCATCAACTCCAAGACACCACAAACACTCACAAACACTTCCTCAAACCTCACACCCCTCATCCTCCACCGCCTCATCACTAAACGGCCTCGCACTACTCCCCGTCCACCGCTGAAAAAACGGCTGATCCAAACACGCATTCCGCACCGCAATTCGCTCCGCCAGCTCCCCCTCGCTCAACGAATCATCGTTCCGCATCAACACCCGCATCAGCTTCGCCAGCAACACCACCAGGTCCATGAACAGGATCCAACCTGGTCGGGTGCGCTGCGCGAGCTCGTCGGGTTTGAATGTGGGGTCGAAGAAGGGATCCGAGAGGAGGTGCGCGCGGAAGGTGTTGAGGGTGGTTACGCTGTTGGGGCGGGGTTGGTGCAGGGCGACTGCTGTGCCGTTTTGGAGGACGATGGTTAGGATTTTGGCTATGAGGATGGGGGTTGGGGCTCGGCGGGTTGGGGTTCTGGGGGTCGATGTGGGTGCGGCTGTTGGGTCTGTTGGTGTAGTTTGTGGTAGTGCTGGTGGTGCTGGAGGCACTGGGACTGGCGGTGCTGCGGCTGGTGCGGTTGGTGGTGCCGCTGCATCGGATGGTGGTGTTGCCGCCTGAACGTTGGTTGCCGTGGACTCTTCACTCATTGTCATTAATGCTTCGTCCAGGAATTGATGTCTCTGAGACGGCTGTTGCTGGTACATGAGACATTGCTGTCTCAGACATCCTTATGGCAGTTGCGCTTCTTTGGACCTCACGTCAAGCAAACGGCAGCTTTTGCTCGACTACAATGATGGGCACCAGCTGCAGAGTGTGAAAGACGCACGACGACTTTGAGCTCTTCACCTGATGGTCCAACAGCCAAATAACTACTGCCTGCATTGTTCTGCGTTCATCATGTAAGGAGATGTGCAAACCTCACCATTCAACGATGGCCGCTCTTCTACTGGACAAGCCTCCGATACAGACATCAGAGCAAAGACTCGCGGGCAACAGGAAGATACTGTCATACTTTCCACCGCCATCAGGAGACGTCAAATGGGCGTTCATCTTTGTGGTCCACGGGAAAATCCACCATGAAAGCTGATCCCCCTGAACAAGAAATCTAGCGGCATCGTGCTTGCGCACTCATCAGGCACGAGCTCGGGATGGCGGCGGAATCTCACATGTATCTCTGTAGATGCTCTGTAACGACGCCGAGTACGAGAACGTGCTGTACTTGTTTGGTCATACCAAAAGGGTTTGACCTTTCGGCTGGTCTCTGCTATATTCACTGCAGATGTTGGCCTCCCAAACTCTGCGGGTAGTTGCGCGATCCGATGCCGTGGTCCACACAGCTCGAGGATTTGATATTGAAGTCCATTCTTCAACAACAACCACGCAGCCACACGCAGCCTGCAATCTATCAAGCCATTGCGATTCCGGCGGAACAAACCGACTCGGGTGTGAAGCTTGGTAAAATCCCTAGACGATGGTGTGCTATAAGCAGACAAGGGCGGGCAAACTAGCGGCATTTAGCTCGCATAACTCGTGCGTTAGCTAACGGTCTTCATCCCACGCATCTCCTTGGTGGACCTCGTTCAGTACTTCGCTTGCCGACATGTTCTGCTGTCGGTAGTCCGCATATGCGCGCGAGACAGGAACCTACCGTGCGAGAGAATTAGTGTAGATTGCGCAGCATGAAGGAGGTCGAGTTGCAACGGTACATGCATGGTACGGATAGCTATGTTCCACGTCATGTTCAGCTTGCGCGACAGTCGGCTGATCTAGGGACCACAGGATGAGTGTGAGACGAAAACACCGCGAGAAGAGCAGTCGCCGAGTCCCTCTTATCGCCAGAGGAGACGACTCGAGCTGAACGCTCTCCCTTTGGCAACATGCGACTACGCCGGCGCCCTACACCTACAGAACTCGTCCAGCAGACGTCCGACGATGGCCTCCGGCAGCCCCAGCAGTCAGAGGTCCCGCTGAAGGCTCAAGGTCTACTTGGGACGAAAGCCCGTCGAAACCCGGTCGCTCCTCGAATCGAGACACCAGAGCCGCTCAGAGAGCTCCTACGTGCAGATCAAAAGAGCCTGGCAACCTTTCCAGATGCAAATGGGAGTTTAGGAGATATCACGCCGAACGGGGGACATGTCATGTCTGGACCCGCGAGACAACGCTCTCACCTGTCCGGCAATGATGCGCGAACGACGTCGAACTCTGGCGGGCAATATGCACATCCGCGAACCAGTGGACAATCTGTTCGGCCAAACCAGTTCTACACCGAGCAAAAGCCTTCCGTCGAGTCTATAAACCAGAAGTATTACGAATCTGCCAGACAGCCTCCTCAGGCATTCCAGCAGACTTTCGCCCCTGCAGTGAGAGACACGGCGCCCGGCAAAGGCTCACCGAATGTGCAAGATGGAGCTGGCAGTCCCTCTCGTGCTACCCGGCCCTTGAAGTCCGCGATGAAGCAGCCGAAGTCTCCGAAGGAATCGGATGGTCCGAAAAGGTCCAAGAAGCTGGATGTCATGTCTCTGTTCCCACAGCCGAAACCAGCCAATGGACCCCTACCCATGCTGTCACCTGCAAAATATTCTCAGTCGCCATCGGCGGTGACCGACAACACAGATTACTTCCCGCAGGACACTGTCTATGCTCAGGTCCGCCGTCAAGGCCCCAACGGACGATTCGAAACTTACACTGATGCCACGCCCTCACCATCGGGGCCTGTCAACGCCAGGGACCTTCCTAGAGTGAAGATCTTTGATCCGGACCTTTACGACGAGCAGAAAATCCACAAGCGAAAACCGCCCAGAGGCATTCAAAACTGGTTTGACGGCTTCTACATTTCTTCGGATGATGAGGACCAGGATGTAAAGGATGTCAAGATCAACAGAGATCCAGTGGAGCTACCCGCCGAGCCCCCATTGCCCTCTCCCTCAGTACTGCCACCCAGCTCTCATTGTCGCCGAACAAAGGACGCTTCTCGTCCACCGCAGCATCATGCAGGCTATAGATCGCGAGAGAGCCTACGTCCAACCTTGCACATTCAACCAGCGCCAGAACGAAGAGAGCACACAACGATCGATGAGGTGACGGCTCCAAATAGCGCTGCACTATCTCCACTATTTCCAGATGGTCAAGGTCGACTTGGTGATCAGAGGCTCGCGCATTCGCAGTTGGAGACCGAGAGTGTGCTGGCGCTGTCGTCCGAAGAAGAAGAAGACGAAGACGAAGACGAACGCAGCAGCCAGCAGTCTTCGGTGCGTGACGAGCGGCACGTCGGCAAAGCCTCTACAACGATGCTAAAGCGACCTTCCATTCCGCCGCGAAAAGTCCACAGTAAAACAAGTCTGAATCAGGAAGTCCTGCGGAAGAGTACCAGCACTGCACAGACAACAGGATCAATTCCGATTAGACTGACTGACAGCATCGAAGTTCCGCCAGTTCCAACTCCTCGTAAGGTGCAGAGCCCACGCGAGTCCAATGCACCAATATCGCCGCATTTGATAGACTTGGCAAGCCAACATACAAGAAGTCTGCCGGCTTCTCGGGGAGGGCCGGACAGGGACGAGATGCGAAGCGCGGCTGGCGAAACGACGGTAACTACGAGCAGTGTACCCACTGATGCATCGCACTTCATGGCAGTCACTGACGAAGAAATGATGCTGCTGGAGTTGATGCGACAGAAACGAGCTATGATGCAGAAGAACAGCTTTGCAGAAGGCTATCGTCTGGCGCTGAAGCAGGAGGAGGAGCACCTGGCAAAGAAGAGATCTTCTGCTCATTTGAAAGCGCTGAAGATGCTGAAGCTGCGGGAGGAAGGGAAGCTACAGCCGTCGAGCAGTCGTGCTGAGAGCCGTGCTGAGAGCATGTTCAGCGACGATTCGAGAGACCAGCGCAAGAAATATTCGATGATCAGAAAAGGCTCCGTGGATAGACACTTCCGCCTTGGGCGATTCCTAGCTGGAGAAGGAGCTGCTGAGGGTAGCCGCGAAGCGACCCCGCCTGCGAGTCTGGCCAGGCTCGAACGATTCCTTGTGATGAAGCCCAGCCTCCTCGATGCAATCCAAGACAGCCGACCTGTTTCAGGCACTGAGATTGAGGCTGAGTCTTTGACTGAGCATGACGACGACACGTTTGGCGAGACCATAAATGAGGACGACATCGTGGATGAGAATGGAGTGGTGATACAGCACGGCGCGCCCTCGCCCATGCAGCGACTACGAGAGATGGCCCGCGGGTCGCCACCATTGTCTGTGTCGCCGCTTGCTGAGGAGGCCTCGCAAGTGGAGACTCCCAATGACATCCTCAGCGATGCCTCCGCGTCCCGGATATCGGTGCCCAGTGCCGATGAGTTCCCCACACCACCACGGATTGGAGTCTTGGACGACCAATCGCCGCGATCGTTCAGCTTGTTGTCACCGCCCATCAGCGAAGACGAGCCGTTGCTGCCGGACATACCAGCTCGCAGCCCGAACCGTACGCCACTCCAGGTGGATGCCCTAAGAACTAGACCTCCGCGCACACCACGGCAGATGTCTGATCGCAGTATTTCGACAAAACAGACACCCGAAAGTACACGATTCTCCCACCGTGCTGCTTCGAAGCACTCCGAGCAGGACTACTCATCTCCGGGTGTTGACTACATGTCACTGGAGCTTCCCCCGGCGGTCAAGACGGGCTCGCCCTCTCTGTCTACCAGTCGCGCGTCGCCATTGACGCCGACTTTTACTCCTATGCCAACAGTCGACAAGCCTGCGATGACTGCGTCGGCAAGTGATGGATCCAGCTTCCGCGACGATCTTATTGATATGTCAACGCCCGAACCTCCGAGCCGTAGGCCGGCTGCACGACCCGTTGCGGAAAGGAAGACCAGCAAGAGGCAGCCGCCGAAGATCAAAACTAGTGACGGGAAGAGTCTTGCTCGCATCACGAGTATGTCAAGTATCACGAGTGCAGGGGAGGATGTTCTGGCTGCGTGGGCTGAGCTGGGTGGGAGGAAGGGGTGGTGATTTATAGATGATTATGTGGTGGTGTTGCTTTCGTCGCGGCGTTTTCGTTCATCAGCTGAGATACCCCATGTTCTACTACTGTTGTTTATATACGATTTATTAGACGGCGGCATAGAGATGAATGTTCTATGAGTTCTGGATCTGACCGGGCAACTTGTTACACTCGAGATCGTACCAAGCTGTCGACGGAAAGCGGACCACCAGGTCAGAGAGGGCCTTGTGAGCGACCTTCTCAGAGACAAGGATCGCCCATTGACGGGAGAGACGTCTCCTTTTTGGCGGCAATATCGTCTCGGAGAAGATTGCTAGGTATGCCGCTGGCTGTCCGCTTTCACTGTCTCTTGCCTGCATATGAGGTCGTTTCCTCGCATTTTCTGACATCATGGTGATCGTCACTCCTTCTCTTGCCATTCTCGAGCCATTGGAGTTGCCTCCAAAGTTCCGCTCATCAACCAACTTGTCATATCCCTTCAAAGCTAGAGCCTCTTCCGAGCCAGTACTATAACGGACGAATCCATCAACATGTCGTCCGACTACCCAAAGACCGTAATGACGACGGAGCAAACCCCGGAGGAGCAGAAGAACATCGACGTCTGCAAGGAGTACATGTCCATTGCATACTCGCCAAGCAGGAACAACGGCGGCTCATCTGTAGAGCATCTGTGTACCAGCGATAGCTGGTTTTGGGCCCCCTCTACGTTTCCTGGGTAAGATCTGGAACTTTTGAGAAGGGAATGGTATGCTGACCGTTGATAGCTGCGAAACGCCAATGGATTACGCAGAGTCTCATGCTCACGTCATGGTGAGACAGATGCCAGATCGATGAGACTGAGTACTAGCTAACAATAGTGACTGAAGGCGAGCGTAACCAATTTAAGAATCACTCGCTACGATCAGGCTTGGGCAAAGGGTGGACATGTCTTGCTGCGTTACACTGCTGAGGGCAACTTCGACGGCGTGAGACTGATCAACCTTGCAAGCCCGGTAGGACGACAAGCTGACCACTTTGTTTGCAGAAACCATACAAAGGGATCCAGCCAAACGGGAACCATGCCAGATGGTCTGCGGCAGCTATTTTCGAGGTGGAAGATGGGAAGGTGAAGTCGTTTACCAAAGACTGGGACCAGGTAAGTTCTAATGCGTATCGTCAGGCCTTGCGGTCTGGAAATGGCCACTGCTGACTCCGGTCTGTCAAGAAAACAATGCAAGTCCAACTGAAATGGGCCCCCGTCAACGTCTACGAGAGCGACGACCCGAGGTGGGATAGCACAGCCTTGGGTTTTCCCGAGCGAGCAAGGACGAAGTAGTTGATGTTCTCTCAAGCTGATGCACTGGATGGATGGAGCAATGACCGACAACTGTGTTCAATGAACTCAAACTCAGTGCCCCGCCCCTCCTCTTGCCCAGAAAACGTCATCTTGAGCCTCGTGCATCTATGGAACCAGAATCGACGAGACATGACCTGCTGGTAGACTGTATGCATTTAATTTTGAGATCGTTTGACCGGGTTCCGATAGCGAGGATCTGATACCGTTACCTTCTTTCACCCGCGATGGAACGATTCGTGCACAAGACGCTGGTGACCGAGCCGCTGCAGCTCAAGTACAGCTATTACCTGTCCCCGAAATTTCACGACAACGTTAAGCAACGGCCAGATATCCCTGTTCTGCTGTTCTGCCATGGTTATCCAGATGATGCCTGTTGGTTATCGCACAAGCGGAATTCCGAACGAAGACTAATGCAAATAACAGATATGTGGGAAAGTGCAGTGCCCTCTATCGTCAAACAACGATACCCCATGGTCCTGATCGATATTCTCGGTTTGGGACACTCGGACAAACCTCTGGATCCATCCTGCTTTCGATACAAGCAGCAAGCGGACTCCCTTGCTCAAATATTGGACCACGAGAGCGTTAAGAATCCGATCGTTCCGATTGGGCATGACTGGTACGTCCTCCGGCAACCTTTTGTTGTCCGTGAGCTGAAATGTCGTCCAGGGGCTCCGCAATATGCCAGAGGTTCTATCTGTGGCACGGAGAACGATGCGTGGGCTTGGTGCTCTTGTCTCTGGGTGCGTTGGACAGGTAGTCCGACATCCCTATGTAGCTTGCTGACGCCTTGATAGCATACCAGATCCCGACGGACCAGAAATTCGATCTAGAAGAACAAAACAAGGCTACAGCCGGACGATTCGGGTATCCTCAGTGGGAGTATTGGAATTTCTTTACCTCTCCAGACGGTGCAGAAATTCAAGACCAAAATCTGGCCCGGATGTACGACGTGAACCATGGGTTATATCGAAGCCATGTTCCTGGGGAGGAAGAGAGAGATATCTGGATGCGTGAGATGTTCTGTACTATCGGCGCCATGCGGTAAGGACTTCTAAAGTATGAACGAGAGATGCAGGCTGATGCTCCCTATGAGGGAATACGTTGCGAGACAAGGGAAATATGAAAACTTTACCTGCGAATTGAAGCCTTATGCCAGGGACCCAGAGCTCAAGCGCCGATTCATCGAGCGGATGAAGAAGGACTCATTCGCGTCGCCGAACAACTACTACCATTCGTTAAAAGACGACTACAACCTCGAGGACGAGAGGCAGCTCAGCGAAGAGGACAAGCAGATCAGAATACCTTTGCTGTACATCGGGCAGACCGGGGACTGGGTATGCAGGACTGATCTTATGAGCGATGCCAAAGGTGCCGGCCTCATCAAGAATGACCTTGAAGAGAAGGTGATTGATGCCGGGCATTGGTTCCTGTATGAGAAGCCTCAGGAGTTCAGCGAGCTGGTCATTGACTGGTTGGGAAGGAAGTTCTCGGTAAGTGGGTAGTCGTTAGATGCGTCGGCCGTTATCACGCCTCGAAATAGTGGCCAATCACGTTGTTACTTTAACCTCGGCACGTGGCCGTGAGGGCCGCAGCTGTGCTAAATTCGACTACGCCTGCATGCCCTCGAAAGACCTCCATCTCGACTAGACTCCATTTCGACTCTTTGCCGGCTCGCAGCTCAAGACTTGGATAGCCATCGACTTCTTGAATGCACATGCCTCTGTCTAACATCCATAGATTCAGACTTGGACGCATCGACGAAAACAACCCAGGAGCTCCTCGCTTGTCGTTCAAGACCACGGTAGCGCCGGCACACCGGTCTGGCCTCCTAGCCAAGGCCATAGCTGCATGCTCAGGCATCACTACATCCTTCGATGCAATATCAAGCCGGATGCGGCATCACCCTCTACATCCACCCACTAGTCTTGCCTTCTTGGAGTGAGAAAACGCAGACTCGCCTAGATGGCTTCATGCACGGTAGGTTATCGGTCCTCGCCCATACCTCGCGGTAGGTTTTAGCGGTCCAGTATGCACTTTCTGCGCCTCCACCACTCCAGAGCTCAGTCATACTTGCAAGGCTGCCAAGGCAAAGCTGTCCCCCGTTTGCCTGTATGCCTACAAAGACTCACCAACAGGGCGCTGATGAAGTCGACATCGATCCGGCTCAGTCGCCATCCCGCACGTCGTGGACCTTGATGCGAGGATGAATTGTGCTCGAAAGCAGCCCTCGTTCTTTGACACAGAAGGACATCTCCGACGCCGGAAGTGTGGATGAGAGTTCAGAGCACTTCAAGAACGTTTCTGCTACCATTGGGAACGCCAACATGTCAGTCTACCGGACAATCCTGCTACTCTGGGCGGTCTTCCTGCAACTCGATTCAGTCCTTGCGAATCCAATTGCACTACCTACCAAAGCGAAACCTCATCGCGGCGGTCACCAGCGCCATCAGAACCGAATGAAGTACGGCCCGGTGGATGCCTCGACTGTGGCAGATCGCGAGAACCGAGAAATCACTGTAGATGCGGGCGTGGGAGACTGTGAGTATCTGTCTGGTCTTCAACGTGGGGTTGGACTGACACTGACGGATGCCCGTAGTCGTCTACTCCGGCGTTGGTGGACTGATGCACATGGTACGTCCAGAAGCTTTACCAGACCAACCTGAGGAGCGTCCTAATCCGTGCATAGGTCAAAAAAGAGTATGGCTTGCGACGAACAGAATCGTTTTACTGGGGACCAGCGGGCAATCCCTACGCTAACCTTACGGCCTTCACGAATGGCAAGGATGTCCGTGTCCTGTCGCTAGAGCGCTTCCAAAACGTCCTACAGCACGCCAAATGCACACCGGAGTCCGTGACGTTCACTTTCCTGAAAGAGGTGAACTTTGACACAGTCCAGAGAGAGTGGAGCTGGATCAACGACGCTGACGAGCATTACCTCGTCCTCGTTACCGAGAATGCTCGCTGCAATGTGCCTGACGGAGACCCAACCAATCGCCAGCCTTGGAAGGTTTCGAAGGCAACGTTCGACGATGAGACTAATACAGTCGTCCTCACGGCCGAGCCGAGAACATGGTAAGTAGGTTTAGGGGGAGCATGTCGCTGCTATCTCCTAGACCTGAATGTCTCCAAGAGCCTGCCGGCCCAAATGACCTTCGAGGGGCGTTTCCCCTAAAGCCTTCGGACTGGTCTAGGAGATAGTAGCTGGCAGCGCACCCTCCTCTCCCAATACAGCAAGGATGTCAAGCTGACATATTTCACCTAAACATTGTAGGCAGAACGCTTTTGAACAATGGCATCTGAAGGTCTCTAGCCAAGCCATCAATGCCGCTTCAAATAGTAGCTTGGTGAAGCGGTGGGGCACCGACGAAGTAAGTTTGCGCTCTCCCTTCGGATGTGGGTTGTATTGACACCTTGGCCTTCAGGAAGTCCAGTTCCCTCTCGCTGCCGACTTCTCAACAGATCCCATCGCACTATATTCGGATGACTCGACCTCCTCCACTGGATCAATATCCTGTAACCCCTGTTACACCACAGGAGGTACCAAACCCATGGGCAAAACCCTACCAGCTCTGATACATTTGCTAACCCTTTTGCCCTTCTGTTTGCAGCTTTGGTAAGTGCCACATGTCCAGAAATCCCTCCCTTATTTACACTCGAGGGCCTTTTCCCTTATGCTAGCGCATTGGTGCTTCGTCAATCGGCCATTGAATTTGTGCCTGGCCACCGACAACTTACAACGCCATCCTGAACCAATTTCTGAGACATCTGCTGATGGATTCTTCTTACACGCACACAGGACTTCGACATTGACATCACCTATTGGTGGGACTTCAGCATCACAGGCACCATTACCATGACACCAAATGGTACCAAACCCATGGACAAAACCCTACCATGTCTAAGACACTGGCTAACCCTTTTACCCTTCTGTTTGCAGGCCTGGGTGCGGTATTTATCCCGAACATCGAGGCTACTTACCCCGTTACTATGCCACTGCGTGCGTCCAAACAACTTTTTGAGTGGCAAGTTCTCCCAAAGGAACGGCGTCACCGTGACGGTTGGTGATGGGCTCTGACTTAAACAGGTATCCTGACGGGATCAACGTTGGCGATATCGTTGAGCTCGGGCCAGCCTTGAAAATCGACCTCTTCGGTCAACTTGATTCCACGACCGCCAAATTCGATGTCTTCACGGCCGGCGTTTCAATGGAGATTCCTTCGGATTCCATTGCGGTACTGGACTTCGAGGATGCCTCGCAGAACGTATGGCAAGGTTGGAGCCCGATCTTCCATTCCGAGCTCCCCTCCACGCCTTGGTCTGCAGAAATGTCCATGTCAGCATCTGCCGGCATCGAAACTCGCATTGAGTTCGACGTCCTAGTATTCGACCACGGCTTCCTTGCCGGACTGGCTCTCGCCGCACCTTCCGTTGGGATTTCGGCGTCAGGCCTGGCGGCACAGGGAGGCGTCTGTGGCGTCTCTGAAGCCTCACTGGGGGTCGAATTTGGCGTTAACGTAGGTGTCGAACTGGACTTCTTTGTTGGGGCGGGAGAGGATGGAGACTTGCCAAACAAGATGCCCATCTTCGCTACTTCGTACGATCTGCTTTCGACATGCGAGGTTGTTGCATCGGGCGCTCCGCCGTCGCCTTCTTCGATTGCCACACCCGGAAGCGTCTCCGTTCCGTCCTATCCAAGTGGTTCTGCGAAGGCATCTGGCTCCTATACTCCTGCGGCAAGCTCATACCCTGTCGGCAGCTCATCTCGACAGCAAGCGAGTCCGTGGCCGGCATACTCCAGTTCGCAACCGGCGGTGATCTCTTACTACCCGACCTCAAGCTCACAACCAGCGAAGAGCTCTTATGTCCCTCCTGCCAGCTCGTACATTGTGGTTCCGGCCGCCTCGTCGTCTGATTATTATTCAACTACGACCACCATCTACGTTCCCCAGAGCTCGTACGTTCCTCCGGCCGCCTCGTCGTCTGATTACTACTCGACGACTGTGACGGTCTGGGTCGAACCTTCGTCAAATGTGGTCGCGTACAGCTCCTCGAAGGTGTACGACTCGACGGTCGTCGTGTACGTATCAGCTTCGTATCCAGCACCGAGCTCGAGTGGATGGTGAGTTCGAAAGGATACTGTCATGAGCCGTTCGACCTTCGGCGCACACTGGGGAAGAGACGTTAGACGAGGCTGTGATACAAAAGCCGGACGCCCTCCGGGTGGGCGCGTTCTCGCAACGTTTGGATGTCCAGGTTGGCACTGGTACTCCAGCTTCATTGGGAGCTCAACTCAAGAGCGCCTGGCGCAGTGGAGGTCCCAGGAAGGCCCCATGAATGGTGGCGACGGCAATATGTCAATTCTCACGATGTAACGCATCAAGGATACCCGTTCGCATATATGTATCATATATAATCCAGCATTAATTTCATGCTTCCGTTCACGCCTGTTCGATGGTTCGTGAATGCGATTGACTTCGAAACTTGTCATGGAACTTGACAGAACGCCAATGTGTACAAAGATCATCAGCGTCCTCTCGCCTAGTACAGCGGTTCACAGGACCAATTTTCGGAAAGATCCGTGTCGCCGCTGCCTTTATACCTTGCTTGCTTTGGATAAGGGCAGATCTTCCGCTGTTTCCACACCTCGTCATACAGCGTATCGTTCCTCCATTTCGTGGCCACGATACTGTCCGGCGCAATCCCGTGCTCCGTCCACTGCATGACCGCGAGCAGAGCGTCGTGCTGGGGGTCTTGGAAGCCGGGGACTGAGTGGACGCTGCCCGGAGGAGTCAAGGTACCAGCTTGATTTGCTCCTGCAAAATACCAAGGTGCATTGACGTCCGGTGGAGTACCAGTACAATGCTGCATGCCGGGGACCATAAAATGACGAAAGAAAGGGTCCACCTTTACTCCTTTCGGCTTCAAGGTCTTCAGCACCTCCTTGTAGAAGACGATTGAGCTGCCGCTTGGGATTAAGCCATCGGCGTATCCTTGGTACGTGAGCAGTTTCCCGCCCTTCTTCGCGAACGGGCTGAGATCAAAGTCATCCGCATTGCAGTTCCCCGGGTCAAGACGGTCTGCATCTTGAACGACGGAGTAGTTGAAGTCGTAGAAGCTCCAGTTGGCCCCGAACCCAAGCATGTACTGCGGATACTCATAGCCTAGCGGGCTTGGCTCAGGCAGGCCAAGCAGGACGTCCCACTGCGACTCGCTGCCCAGCTCTAGATGTGGGAAGACGAACGTCTGGTTGGCGTCAACGTAGTTGTTTTGGATGTTGTAGAGTCTGTGAGAACGGCAGAGGTGAGTGTCTCGAAGCTATGTTGACTCTTTGCGACCTTGAATGACCTGACAGCTATACGAGACGGCATGGACTTACGTAGAGATTTGCGCCGGCGTCAAGCAGCCAGCTTTCGTTCCATTCTTGATGTCTGGACCACAAAGAAGTGCTTCAGCGAAAAAGTCGCAACGGGCGGGATCCGAGATGATGCCATCTTTGAGTCCATCTTGAGCGTCACACTGCCGCAGGACCTCCTTCTCTACCGCTGGGAATAGGCTGGGAGGTATGTGGTGTTCCGCTGTCGTCGGTAGATTGTACAGGCCGGCCTTGATTGTCCAAAGCTGGAGGTGACTCGTCCACCATGCAGGGGCGCCGGCAAGCAATCCATCAAAATCTTCAGGGAACATCTGCACCTCCTTCAACCCTTGACGTCCACCCGTGCTGCAGCCCGAGTAGTACGAGTACTTCATCTCACAGTCATAATAAGCCTTTGCCAGCCTCTTAGCAAGCACCACAGACTCGTGCATGGCTCGGTATCCGAAATCGGTCTGCTTCTCCGGCTCGTGGTAAGCCCAGGAGATGTCGCCAGAAGTGCTGTTGTGGCCAGTGTCGGTACTCATGGACGCGAAGCCGTATTGAACGCCAGCAGCCATGTCGAGCCAGTTGATACCACCCGCAAAGCCTCCATTGCCGACAGCGAGGAATCGGTCGTTCCAGTCTTGTGGTAGGAAGAGGCCGAAGCTGAACGCAGAGCTGGGCGAGGAAGTGACATTCACCTGGACGGCGCAGAGGGCTGGGAGGCCTTGTGGAGAAGTCGGGTAGGCAATGTCGCCAGTAGGCACATGGAAAGTCGAGTTGCTAGGCAGGTCTCGAGTATAAGCAATCCGAGCATTGGACGGTAGATGCGCCTCGAAGCCGGGCGGAGTGCAATCAAATGCGGATGTGGTTGTGGTTGTGGTCAAGAGAAGAGCTGATGTCAAAAAGACCTTTGTGTTGCGTTGCCGCATGCTATCGTATCTAAAGAAGTCCATCCTGCTTTTGAGAATGGATCAAAGACTCGTTTCTGGCATGAGAGAGTCAAAGTCAACTGTTTAGACCGGCTGTCAAGCCATTTGTGGTACCCATCCGCGGTGAGCAGGTCCCGGCATTTGTACGTTCATCAATCATCAACCAATGCAGGTGACGATGCCTTGCTCGTCATAAACGCGACTCAGCGTCTGCCAGTATGCGGGGTTTGCCGATCAATCCGAACAAGCCTGCTCTGATGCAGTGGCCTGCGGCAAAGGCGAGCGGCATTGCCCCTTCTCAAACGGCCCTGTGTGAAGAGTATACTTGATCTCGCAGAATTGCCAAAGGGCACGTACTTTCACTAAGCTCAAGAGCCAAGCTTTCACATGTGCTGCCAAAGCTTTCTGCTGTTCTGACAACCGTCAGCTCCTCGGATTTTCGAATCGATGGGACATTCCTCACCTGACCCAGTATGCTCGGAGTGTTCCAATGGGTTGGTGGCGGGAATACGGCCTCATGTGAATGGCCAGCAAACTTGTCTCAAAAGCCTCAAAGTTTGGCTTTGACGGGTTTTTCATCTCTCTCAGAGCCAGTATCGTCTCCATTTCTGCCGAGACTGCCATCCACGGCGATGCAGACCACGACTGCGATATCATCCGCCTTGCCGCCTTCCCAGCCTTCTTGCGGATATCGCGCATTGACTTCCTTCGCAAAGGGGCCGTTCCGCCTCGGGTCAAGACCTGCAAGCTTCGCCTCCCGCATGATAGCTGTTGCCAGGATCGCAGGTAAATACTCCTCGTGCTCCTTAGGCCCACTCAGGCTCGCAGGCAGGGCTGCGATGCGAGTGGCGTCCAACGTCGTCTCTCTTTCGCCATCAATCCAATATTTCTTCTCCATCATTACACGCGTGACGATGCTCAACGTGTCCTGCGCGCTCAGATTATCCCAGACACCATCCGTGGCGAAGACAACAACATCGCCATGCTTGACGTTCTGCCTTACGACCTCCGCCTGTCGCGGCGTCTCCGAAAAGTGCTTCCCACCAGATGACTCTCCTCCAAAGATTGCGTACTGGGCCATCATTTTCGTAGGCACCTTTGCCATCTGAAAAGGCGTGTTGAAAGCGTGTGTCTGAACGTCGCTCTTGTAGGCCACCTTGCCAGGACCAAAAACCATATACCCGCTATCCCCCAGATTCGCCGTCTCCATCGCGCCCTCATGATCAATAACAGCAAGACAAGCTGTGCTACCGCCGGCGAGAATACGCGGATTGGCTATGACAGCATCGTAGGCTGTCTGCAATAGCGCTTGTGGCCGCAGCATACCACTGTCTTCCACCGAGTGCAACTGTGCCGTGCCGGCCATCAGTCCGCAGAGACCGTGGCTGAAGACGCTCGGATCGATGCCCTGGTCTTGCCATCCTCCCACCCCATCTGCTACACCAAAGGCCACGTGATTGTCGCTGTCGCCGAGAGTTGTAGCGAAGAATGCATCTTCGCCGCTGTCGGGCTTTGTGGATCGGAGATATGGTGGATTTTTATGCTCCTGGGTCGAGATGTAGTTCCAGAAGTCCTTTTGATGCTTGGGGTTGCGCGGAGGGCTGCGCTTAGCTGACGCCGCGGCTGCCAGGCGGTAGGTGAAGGCAGACGATGCTGTAGATTGCGCTCGTTTTGGTACGATGTATGGCATGGTGACCCGTCTTGTTGTCAACCGGAAAATGCGTGGTAACATTGCAGCTGGTGCTGCTGCTGATCGTAGGGGAGGTGTATCCGGTAGTGCCAGGTGGTTGACATAGTCATTATGGAGACATCCCTCCTAGAATATCCAGAATCCAAAACCCCTGTCCGTCCTCCTCTTCCTCTTTTATGCTTTGTCGATGTTCTTGTACTCGGAGGTCCATCATCTCGCCGCGGAAGAGAGCTTTCGCGTGCACGGACCTCGATCATATGAAAGTCTTCTGTCAACCTTAAACCTTCGCTCCACACTTTGGCCGACTTCACTGTCAGAAGACTCGAAGCTGACCTCTTGTGGGCGCACAAGCTTCTCACACACTACTTTTCTACTGGGTGGAGGAGGGGCAGGGAAGAAGAGGCAACGATGTCGGTCCACCCATCGCGGCAGGCATACGTGGAGGAGGCACAAGAGGTAAGTCTTACTCTGTCTGCCATGGCTCGATCTATGTTCACACCTTGTCGAGCAGAGCGGGCGGCAATACGGGATGTGTGGTTGAGAAGGGAAGGAACAACAGCTGATGAGCCATCTGTATCCAGGACTCCCTCGATCTGAGCAATGTCCGTAAGTTACAGACCGACCTGCTTCGCAAGGCTGAGTAGTAGCCCTAACAGAAAAGTAGCAACGGATACAAACTACGCGCTCCCGGCCGCCGGCCCTGGCCAGCAGTCCAAACAAGCATCCGCCATTCTGAATGACTTCAAACGAAAGCGAGAAGCAGCTGCGATAGCTGTGCCCACCGACGACAAGCGGGTGAGAGCAGACCTTCGTGCACGTGGAGAGCCCATAACACTATTCGGCGAGCGACCCGAGGACCGACGGGATCGACTGCGCGAATTGCTCTACTCCGATCAGTATGGCGACGGGGATGAGTCCATGCAAGATGCGACGCCGGCGGCGGAAGATGATGAAGAGGAAGAAGTGGGCGAATTCTACACCGAGGGTTCGACGGAGCTGCTGCAGGCGAGGAAAGAGATCGCGCGATACAGTCTTCCACGAACAGCGAAGCGGATAGCACATCAGCGGCTGGAGTCGCCAATACCCGTAGCGACGCACGTACAACATCGGAAAGCGATCAAGGAGAGGTTATCAGGCTTTGAACTGTTCGGGTCGCAAATCGCCAGCGAGCGCCCAGTCTCGATGGTCCGCTTTGCGCCGGATGGCCAGACGATGGCATGCGGTGACTGGGCTGGCAGTCTCAAAATCCTCGACATCCCCAACCTCGAAACCCAGACTGTACTGCGAGGACACAAGGCCATGATCAGTGGTCTCGCATGGCATCCTAGCGCCAACCATTCACCAAAGACAGCTGCCAGCGACACAGTCACCCTCGCAAGTGGAGGAGGGGAAGGAGATGTGAATCTCTGGTCGCTATCACAGGACACACCCATCTCAACTCTTTCAGGTCACTCTGCGCGCGTCTGCCGGACTGAATTCCACCCCTCAGGACGTTATCTTGCCAGCGCGAGCTACGACACCACTTGGCGATTGTGGGACCTCGACACTACCACTGAACTGCAGTTGCAAGAAGGGCACTCGAAAGAGGTCTATGCTGTCTCTTTTAACGGCGATGGATCATTACTTGCCAGCGCGGGTCTCGATTCGATAGGCAGAGTGTGGGATCTGCGAACCGGTCGGACTGTCATGCTGCTGGAGAGTCATGTCGCACCCATCTACGGCATCGACTGGGGTGTGGACGGTACGAGGGTGCTCACTGGAAGCAGCGATGGGTTCGCAAAGTGCTGGGACCTGCGGGCAGTGCGAGAGACAGCATCGATAGGCGCGCACAAGGGTGGTGTGTCTGACCTTAGATGGTTCAAGGGCACGGATGGCCCTCTTGCGGATTCAACAGCAATAAAGGATGTCACCATGACGAACGGAGACAGTGAAGCAGAGGGCGAGCTCCAGCCTAAGAAGTCAGGGACGTTCGTGGTTTCATCCGGCTTCGACAAAGCTGTCAACATCTTCTCCGCCGACGACTGGGCCCTGTGCAAGAGTTTGACGGGTCATGATGGGACAGTGTTGAGCTGCGATGTCACGAATGATGCGAAATGGATTGCCAGCTGTGGACGCGATCGCACGGTCAAGCTGTGGGCGAGAGACGACATGGAGGGGATATGAGAAGCATGAGAGCACGTGAGAATTCTCTCGGAAGTGTTTGAAGCGTCTCGAAGTAAGTCTTGCTCAAAATGCCGGTGCCAAACGAGCAGCTGGCTGGAAGAATGAATCACCTCTACTGCACTACTTTCACGTCTGCCTTCTTCTCCTTCTTTCCACGAGAGAATTTCGTCTTGACCCAGTCCAGCGGTATAATCCCGACGTTGCCCTTTGCTTCCCGCCTCCCCAGCATCGCATCCGCCTCACCTTGCTTGCCATTCTTCGATGCTTCAATTATTTCTGCTGCACGTTCGCGCGCGGCTTGTGCTTTGTCACTGGGCATGCTGGACGCCTGAGGAAACATGACTCAGCGAGTGTCTCGGTACTGCGACCAGTTGATGCCTCATACATCATTCGCGTTCGTGCTTGGCGCGAACGCGAAGCCAGAGGTGTTCCATGACGAGGAGCCGGACATTTCTGTTCGTCGTTCGCGGTGTTTTTGGGCGTATAATGAGTTGGCAGCTCCTGTGGACGTCAATGAGTTTAGAGTCCGCGAGTGAAAGGTATACACCGGGTTCGGCAGATGCTTATGATATACTTATTAGTCCAAGGCTTCCAAGGCTGCGCCCCCGTTGCGGTTGCAAGCGAGGTCATACCACAGTGTGGAGGCAGTGCAAGTCGTCCGACAGCAATACGTACAATTTTCCAATACAGGCTATGCGGGACTTAGAATCGGTCGCAAAAGCGCTGCAGAATCGGATGGTCGACCAGTGGCATCTATCTGAACGATCTGACATGTCACGACGACATTGTGAGGACTTGATGGCTCATCTTCAACGTGCAGTTCGAAGTCAAGGCGTAACGAAGGAAATCTTGAGTACTGATACTACACTACATACTGAGTTGCTATTCTACAGGACCCTGCTCGGGTCGTTTATGGCGGAGTTACATTCGTGCCCAACTCCTTCGTATGCATATGCAATCATTCTTGCTCTTTGAAGACCGTGCTTCCACCAACGTTTCCATATCTGACAGCCTGGCCCAGAAACATCGCATGCCTCCCATTCTCACGCAGACGCCACCGGCACAGCAGCAGCAGCAGCAGCACCACCACCGCTCTTCCCAGCCACCCCATTCTCCTGGCTCGACTTCGCACTGCTCGACTTCTCAAACTCAACCTTGAACGGCCCCCCACCCTCCGACCGCTTATTCTGCGCCTCACCGTGAAAGAACTCACACACAAACTTCAATCCCGGCTGGCCCTGTGCATTCCTCTGAAATACCGTGATCTCATCCCCCGTGTACACCCTCCCATACGCCCTCCTTCCCGGCTCCCCTTTCATCAACCTCACCCCATTAACCAAAATCCCCGTCCTACTCTCCGTCTGCACCACGCAGTGCAAACCCGGCATCTTCGTCAATCCCTGGTCGTCGTCAGGGATCTTGTCGATTCCTGGCGCATGGAACCAGATCACGATGGCGCGCTTGGGGATACGCGTGTCGAAGGCGTCTTCGAAGACGTGAGTGTTGTCGGGCGCGCGTCCCCAGTTAGAGGTCCGGCGGTCGAGGACGAGGGTGCGTTGGAGGCAGGAGTCAGGGGTGGTGGTGAGTTTGCCGAGGCGGGGACGGGGTTTGGCGAACTCGGATGGTGGGGTGGTGCTGGCTTGTTTGACGATGGTTGCGTGTTGTGCAACGTGGTCGAGGTCGGTGATTTCCTCGTGCTCTGTTGTTGAGCCGCTGGTTGTGGCGGGGAGAGAGACGTTCTGCTGGCCTCCGAAGCTTGGGTCTTTGATGTAGTCGTGGCCGCTGATCTTGGTCGCGTATTCGAGAGTGTGGGTGCTAGGATCTTCCGCGATGTAGTACGACGACGCTGGTATTGGCAACTTGATCTGGCGGTCGAAATGGCGCTGTGGCTGCTTGGGCGTAACATCGTCCTTCTGACTCTGCGATTTGCTGAGTGTGCCACGTGAAGTTCGAGTTGGTCTGTCGGGAGCTTGTGGCGTGACTGGCTCTTCGGGCTCCGCTTCATGTGATTCAACGGAGAGCGGCGAGTCCATGTTCATCTCCCTCACCATAGACTCGGCTCCAAGTAAACTTGGTGAGGCAAACGCTCCTCGCTCGTCGTGGTCACCTCCGCTGCGGCTGGCTTGCTGCTCTTGACTTGTGGTCGAGCGAGGTGATGCGAATTTCTGCCCTAGAGCGCCTGAGCTTCCCAATGCAGACTGGCTGATCTCACCGAACAACTTCTGGTGCTGTGGCTTCGCGGCGTTTGCTTGTGCTCCTTCAGGCTGGTGGATGATGGGTATGGATTGATAGAATAGCTCTCGGCTTGAGTCCACCATGTCTTCCGGATCGCGGTACGCTTGCACGTGCGACTTGAAGCGCTTTGGCTGCCTTGGATCCAGAAATTCTAAGCTGCCGGAGTGAATGCTGACTTCGCTTGTTTGGCTCTGATTGTTGCTCTCCTGTTCGTCAAGACTTAAGCCAGACACATCCCACTCGTCTTCTGCAATGCCTTCGTCTTCCTCGGCGATCGAAACCAGACCCTCCTCAGCGGCTCCTAGCTGTAAGTTCTCGGCCGATTGCGTTCCTCCAAACCACCGGTGGTTCAGACAAGTAGCTGGTGATGGTCGAGCAGCGGGATCGGTGTTCAGCATGTCCGTCAGCAGCGACACTGCAGCATCTGACACGCCCTGTCGGACCAAGTCTGTGACATCAAGTGGAGTCATCATGATCTTGTCGAACATGCCACGGCCGTTACCGTCAGCCACACCCTCAAACGGCGGCTTGAAGCACAACGAGTACCAGAGCACGCCACCAAAAGACCAGATGTCCACCGTCGAACTGTAGCTGTGGAACTTCGCCGCAGGCAGATTCTTAGTCTGCCGTGGGCGCTTGTTGCCCTTTCCAGCCACATGAGCGTCGTAATGCGGAAATACTTCTGGAGCACACCACAACAGCGTGCCGCAGAATGTCTTGAGAAACGTCTCATTGTTCGTCACAACCTTGGACAAGCCAAAATCGGACAACTTGATCGAGAAGTTCTGAGGGTCCAGGTTTGCGATGAGGATGTTGTCCGGCTTGATGTCTCTGTGCGTGATCTTCTCCCTATGAAGATACGCAAGCGCATCAAAGACCTGAGACGCCATCCTCTTTGCGAGGTCTTCTGGGAGAGGACCGTGAGGGTGGAGGTACTGCTGCAGGTCTCCGCAAGGAACGAACTCCATGATGATGTACATGTGGTTTGCATGGTCCTGGTAGTCCACGTATTGTACGATGTTCGGATGGCTGACGGACTTCATGATCTTCATCTCGTTGTCCAGCTTGCGATCTAGCACGCCATTCTTCATGAACTTCCGCTTCTCCAACTCCTTGGCCGCAAATAGTTGTCCTTCGCTCTTGGTTGCCAGCTGATACACCGTGGCAAAGGCACCTTTCCCAATCAGGCCTACGACGTTGTACTTGTTGCCGCCACTCCAGTGCATGCCGTACTGATTGTGAACGAGAGGTGCTCTGATGGAGCCGCCATTTTGGACAATCTGATTAGCCGCAGCGTTGCGCCTAGTGAGCATATTATGCTTGTTGGCCTTTGCCTCTTCGGCTGCCACCCTCTCCATGTAAGCCAGAAACTTGGCTTCATACTCCTCAACGTGACCTTCTCGTGATGGTATCCGCACGATGAATTTGACGATTTCGTCAGGCTTGGGTGAGAGGATTTGAATGATCGAGCCTGGGTTGAGCATCCTCGTCTGTGGATTCCTCGCGATCTTGCCCTTGAGAACGACCTCATCGACGATTGTGCCATTGGTAGACATGTCCCGCAACATCAGCACTCCAGAATCGTTGATGAAAATGCTGAAGTGGACGTTGCTAACGCGCTTGAATGTGTCCGTGGCCAGGACAATGTCACACATATTCTCATTACGCCCGAACACGAAGCCTTGTTTCAGGCTTTTCGTGCGCGCCGAAAATCTGAGGGCAAGGTCCATGGCCTGGTGCGGTGCATCTGCTCCGAGAATGAATGTTTCCTGTTCTTCCAGGGCGCTTTGGGTGAGGCCATCGTCGAAGTGGTCGAGCCCATCGTTCTGCAGAACATTGTGCGGTGTGCGCTCGGATGCCGTTGCGACGATTCTGAACGCTGCAGGAGAGCATGGATGCAGAATGCATATCACATCTGAGATGTCGGCTTCGTTCAGCCCTGAGTTGTTTCTTCCGATCCGTCGGGGGTCCACTGCTCCTTGCGTGTTTTGCGTGAGCTGGGTTGCATCGTCGTGATCCATTGCGGCGTCACTCGCGACCGAAGGTGTGATTGTCAAGGCTTCCTTGAAGCGAGAGTCAGGTTTCGGGTCCTCGCATGCAGGTGACCGTGGCTAGGCAACGCTGCCTGCACCAATGCCGAAAGTACCGAAACAGTCTTAGACTCGGCCAAAGTCACGTTCACGTGGTGACGCTGTCTTCGATCGAGCTTTCTTCAGAGCGGTCGTCTCCCGCGAGACAGCGCTGGTCTCCCTCCTTGACGCTCAAGGCTCCTTGCCCCGGCCAATATCAGCAACAGACAAGGCCGGGGCGGATCCTATATCGAAACAGTTCTTCGTACAGCGCGCTCGCATTCCAAGCCACCCAAGCTCTTTCAAGGCCCGCCTGCTTTGTTGCTACTTCTCCGGCAATGAGTGCCGACTGAAGGCCACGAGAGTCTGGTGCTATGCTGTGAGAATCTGCGGAGGTGGAGACTCGGTGGTGGGATCGATCGATGGCGCCTCGTGTTGTTATGACTGATATCGGAAACGCTATGAACGCTGGACAGTATTAGGCAGAGGAGGCCGCCCAAGACTGAAGAAAGCTTCAAAACCGGCCGCCCCGCGCAACAGGCTAAGTAATCAAAAAATTTAGACAGCTCCACGAGTGGTATTACCCGCAAGACCACTCAGTAGGTCTTCCAGAGCACTGGTTCAATGTGGTGAAGATGAAGTGAGGTAGGAGGCTGTCGACAAAACTTTCCTAGACGCGACATCGCGTAAAGTGAATGTCGCTCGGGAGACTGCATCGGTCAGTGTGCCATAACTACTCCCTCGCCCTCGCCCTCCCCCCTCCCCGCTCTTCTTCCCTCTCCCTTTTCGTCTCTTGTCACCGCGATCAGCCTATTGGTATTTGCATTTTGGTGCGCTCATAGCAGCGCTTGAAGCAAAATGTATGGCCGCGACACGAGCTCCAGCGCTGGTCCTGGTCTGGGCAACGGTGCACCACCAATGCCTTCTACATGAACCTCTGCTTTCAGCTCGTAATATACACAATCCTTGACGGAACCGTATTGACGGAACCGTAATGGCACTCTCCACATGCGTGGCTGCGCGCCCTGGGCCATTTTGGCTTCATACAGGGTTCCCTATGGTTGGAGAGCACTCTCAGCTCGACTGGGCTCGAAGTTGAGTACCTTGAGGTGCATGCAGGCGCAGCAAGACACCTTCTCATCAAGGTTGATCCTTCTCGCCTATCCAGTCCTCCAATCCAAATACTGGCGACACAATGCTTGAAGAAGACAAGATCCCGCCCTGGCGTTGCCAAATTTCATGCCGTGCTCTGTACCTGCATCGATTGGATGGTCGCACTAGGGGCCTAACGAAGTGCAGGCCTCAGTTAGCTATCGAGAGTCCAGAACCATGCTTTCGGTGCTTTGACTCCTATTTGGAGCCGATCTTTCTATCATACCGCAAGTACATAGTCGCTGATATGCCTCTCATACATCTTTACCCAGTCAAAGCAAGAGACGTTGAAAACGGCCTACCGGACATACCTGGCTGCGTTCTCCCAAACACAATTACACCCGGAAAGGCCATATCACTTGCGTCGGCGTCGGCGAAGGTGTCATTGTCTGGGAGAAGATCCTTCACATTGCTCACCCTGCCATAGTTGGCCCACCTCACTGTCTGCGGCTTGCCAGTGTCTGCTCACACTTACCTTGAGAAACTCTATAAAGCCAATGCACCGCTACCGCCACGGCGACGAGCCATACGGCTCCTATGGCAAGATACTCCCAACGAGCGTAACTGTGCTGTCTGGAGAAGATGCTCCCGTCTCTCAGCATACAACGAGCGAAGGCCGCAAATGGAAGCCGTCTTGGCTACAGATTCGTCCTATTCTAGGCATTGCATCCCTTGCCATCACAGTTGCCTGCATGGCGGCTTCATTCCTTGTCTTGTGGGCATCTGATGGCCAGCCTGTCGACACAGCGCTCTGGAAGGTACAGCCTACAGTGTATGAAGCTATCCGTCCTAGACTATCAACAAAGCTAACCCAACATAATTATCTCGCCATCGCGGCTGCTGGAGCAGCAGCAGCCGCTCGGTTTGCACAGGCACAGGCCGTACCAGTCGCATGGTGGTATTCCGCGATTGAAGGTACCTCTATGAGGCACCTGGAAAATCAATGGCTCGCCAGTCAAAGCGTCATTTCGGCGGTCTCGAAGTTTCCCGATGCGCCATGGATCTCGCTGGCCTCGATCTTTACCACTTTGACGATCGTTGTGAGTACCACCTTGCCCGTCACGTTCGCGATGCGCATTACCCTCGTTACCAGGATTTCTCTAATCTTGATGCGATCCACAGGATGGCGTACTACTCCAGCGGGCAAGCACTATTGTCACGACAACTCAAGTCAAGCCTGCCACCCTGCAATTCCAGCTCTTACCGCAACTTCCACGAGACTTTTCTGGTACAATGCAACTCGAGACGCTCATGGGTCCCCCCGATCATGCCATGACAGCATGGAACGACTGGCTTCAGAACGCATCTCTGCCAATGGAAGTGCGAGGCTGCGGTGAGAACTCCACCTGCAGTGCCACGATCACTGCTCCGGGATAGGCGGAGGTGAATTGTACAAAGAAGACTTGGCCAATCACTCAAGACATGTGGCACAGCTCCAACGCCTCGTGGGGTTTCTTCCACTGGGTAGGCAGTGCGTCAGACTATATGGGCTATAACGCCGACAACGGGACCGTTGCCGTTAAGTCAGCGTTTGAAGTTGGACTCGGCTTCCGTCAAACGACGGCCGTCAATGATATGCCAGAAATCCTGGAGGTCGAAGCCGCCTTCCTGCAGATGACCCGAAACAACGGTGGTGAGTTCACCTGGAGGCACTGCAAATACACACCTGCCGTACTGGAGTACGAAGTCCACTTCCAGTCCGGAGAAATGGTCCTGCCTGAGGACACCAGCGCGAATCCCGTCTACGCAATCGCGAACAACAGCCGTCAATACGATACCAATAACCCCACCGCTCAACAACAGACACTAACGTCCCTGTACGAGGTATACGTTGCATACAGTCAAGTCAACGCCACAGTCGTATTCACCAAACCCTCTCCGCCAGGCCAGACGTGGAACGGCTTCCCCGACACTCTGAATGCATACGCCATGCAGTTCTACAACCAACACCGGCACGGAGAGACCTGGTATGACGATCCGCTCCCGAAGATCGTGAGCAGTTTCAACAACATGATGGTGCGTGGGAATGCTGAGTACACTCGTGAGATGCTCGCGGGCAAGGCCTCTCCCGGTGAGGTGGATCCTGGCGTTTCGCCGGACCAGAGAGTCAACGGGACAGAGAAGACAACACTTAATGTGTTCTCCAAGGACTACTCCTGGTTCGCGGCGGCTGCAGTCCTTGGTGAGCAAGCCACCTAAATGAATGGCTCTCGCATTGCTAATTAACAACGGTAGATTTGATTGTCATACTAGCCTTACTCCCTCTCTTCCGAGGCTTCTGGCTCTTCCCGAAGCATCCCGACCTCTCGCCGCTCGAACTTGCTCTGGCGTTCCGAAGCCCGTTGGCTGCAGATGTCCATTCAACGGCGGGTGCAGATGGGGTCGTGGAGGCTGTCGGAAGTCGGAAGATTGCTTATGGTGTTGTTGAGGAGGAAAGAAAGGGAGGGGCGTTCGCTTCGCCGAGCAATCGCCTTGCTTTTGGAATGGCCGACGTGGTTCGTCCACCGCAGAAAAATGCAACCATAATCGCTTGAGGAGATGAGCCTGTGAGGGTGGAGTCAATTGAACTCCTCGCCTTTGGTTGAACAACAGCGGCGCCCTTCTCCGCCAAGTCGCGATGCAGTTGGGCATGGTAGCGATTGATCACTGACTCTGCTGGGGCGTTGGTAATGGAGAAGTGTGACGAGCAGCCTGTCGTCGAAGACATGTCCGAAGCAGGACTGTTTGGAAATCTCGTTCTCGAGGCGGCTTCGACAGCGACGTGAGTACTTAATCCAGCTTCTCCTCGAGTACGTCCTGTCAATTACTTGAGCCACCAACGATGTGATACCTCAGAAACGCCTCTGAATTAATTCAAGACTCCACTCAGTACTCTTGTTCCGTTGTTCTGTTGATCCTTTGTACACTTGCGACGTACAATGAGTCGTTCTGCCACCTGCCGGGAATGAAGTGAGTGCAGCAAAAAGTTCTCGGGAATCGAACTACGGACCTCGACGAGTGAGAAACAAAAGAAAAACCCCCATCGTCAGAGGAGAGAAGAAACCAGGCGTACAGATTTGCTTCTATTCATTCCTAGCGCAGGATCGACCCAAGAGGGTGAGGAACTGGAGGCATTTAAGGAACTGGTCATGGTGCAGGCGAATTAGGGGGTGGGGGGTTTTAAATGGGTCTGAATCCATTGAGCAAATTTGTGCAGTGTGAACACTCGTTCGCCGGTAAGGGCTACTAAAGATACTTACGGGACTTTTGGAATAATACATATACCTTTGACAAGGGCTTGCCGACATTGCGCGGGGGGTGGACGGGGTGTGCTGGCGACGTCACTTCATCGACCCCTAAGATTCTTGCTGGTGGACATCAGTCTTCCTGGACTCCGCACAGGCAACGTGAAAGGCAAAAAACAAAAACAAGAAAAGGTAGGAGCATGAGGAGGATATCATCGACCGGCACTGGTCTTTTCAAGAGGTTGCGACTATACAATGGAGGTACCTACTGGCTATGTCCTACTTCTGCGGCTGCGCCAACTTGAGCTTCCCCTCATCATCGTACACCAACTCTCGCACCTTTACGCATCTGAGGTGGTTCTTGTCGGAAAGACTGGTGTCGTGATAAAACAGGTACCTGGAACAGTCAGTCAAGCGCCAGTAGTAGTTCTGAGGCCAAACTCACCATTTGCCCTTGAATTCCACAATCGAATGGTGGGTCGTCCACCCCTGGACCGGATCGAGGATCTTCCCAGCGTATGTGAACGGGCCCAACGGAGAGTCGCCAATCGCATGAGCCAGGAAGTGCGTGTCTCCGGTTGAGTACGAGAAGTAGTACTTCCCGTTGTACTTGTGCACCCAGGCGGCCTCGAAGAACCGGCGGTCGTGGTTGCTGGCGTGGATGGGCTTGCCGTCAGTGTCGTTGATGACGACCTCCTGGACACCACCGTCGAACGTGTGCATATCTTCGGTCATCTTCGCAACACGGGGGAAGATGGCAGGCTGGTCCCCAGACGCTTCCCTGTTGTCGTAGTCTTCCCGCTTGAACTCGCCGGTGGTCCAGCATTGCAGCTGGCCTCCCCAGATGCCTGAACGCAGGTATGTTAACACTGGGCCACTGTATCTGGATCGACGTACTCACCACCAAAATACAAATAAGCCTGTCCATCTTCGTCGACAAAACATGCTGGGTCGATACTATAGCTGCCTGGGATATAGTCCGGATCCGGCTTGAAGGGTCCCTCAGGCTTATCTGATTCGGCCACACCAATCCTGAAGATACCCTCCTTATCTCTTGCCGGGAAGTAGAAGTAGAACTTGCCATTCTTCTCGGCACAATCAGGAGCCCAGACTTGCTTCGATACCCATGGGATGTCATCAGCCTTCAGGGCAACGCCATGGTCTGTCGTCTTGCCACCAACGGAGTCCATGGACAGTACGTGGTAGTCGACCATGTCATATTGATCACCTTCATCGTTATCTTCGATCTCGTTCTCTCTGTCATGTGATGGATAGACGTAGATCTTGCCATTAAACACGTGAGCACTTGGGTCGGCAGTGAAAATGTTTGTGACGAGCGGTGCTGGATCGGACATATTGGCTTGGTTTTACTTCGCTAAAGCTGTCAAGTGCCATTGCGGGAGGTTTATGTACGGGCCTACCACTTTCGTTTAGGCTGAATGAGGAAGAACACGAGCGCTTGGCGGTGGTAGCTCGAGCCGCTTCTCACCAACGCTCTAGGGACTATTAGGACCGAGACCTCACTTCCGTATTCCGGCTGTTGTGTTTGCTCTCTTCCATATCGCCAAGACGCAGTCTGGTCGTTGTATGTATCACTCTGGGCTTGGACGCACCAGAAGGTGTACGTGAAGTCATGAGCTGCTGGCGCGGGCCACACGTAAGGACCGTGAACAGATGGCCTCAAAATCCTTACCATCGCAGTGGATCGCATCAGAGTTGCAAGACTGATCTGTCTGGCTAATCACTCATCTCACCTGTCAACGCTTCGCGACATGCTTTGAGGTGAGAAGTTCCTTTCTTTACAGAAAACACATCCAGCAGTCAGACTCCCGAAGACCTGGCCAAGCGAGGCACAGTGAAAGCAGCCCAGCGGACATATCTGGCAGCTTTCTCTCAGAGCCGACCCAATCGAAAAGGCCACAACACTCTCGCGGTGCGCGTTTCCCGTCTATGAGAAGATCCATTACACGGCTGGATCTGACCTGGCAGTGCCTGGTAGGCCTCGTTTGTTAACCCACAGCGAAGGGCGGCGAAAGAGACGACCACTACTTCAAGACTTCTCAACGCGCGACAACATGGCAGACACCCACTCTATGAACATGGCAGCACGACTTAATCTGAAGCAATTGATCCCTTGCGGACTGCCTGGCAGCCATCGATGGCAGAAAAGTCCCTGATGCACTGGGACTGGAGCTTCACCGCCTGTGCACTATTCGCGGCATTCGCTATCATATCGGCTTTGCTGAGGAGCTGAGGGGATAACTTCCGGAATTTACGCTTGCTCTAAACGCGCGGAGCATCATGAGCAACGGCATCCCGGACATGAGCACAGACGATGACTTCGCATACTGCATCTGGCCCGGAGACTGCGGAGGAGAACACCTACCGAGAACTGGCGCAACGATACCCTCAGATGAAGTACCAAGTTGCCCGTGCTTGCGCCGTGGCTGGCTACGACAAGTTATACCAGGAGCTCGACGTACTTCCAGAGACCCACATAGCAGAAGAGGCTAGGGAGTGCGGCAGTACGGCCATTTACGATCAGATCATGGCGGCTCCAGTGGGGTACGAGGTGATGAACGACTACACCCGTTGAATTTGTCCGCAGGAACCAGCTGTGTGCTGGATGCTCGATAGTAAACAGTCTGTTGGATACGCTACCACTCCGGAGTTCGATGACTATGGTGAAGAGACTTTTGGTCTGTGGGACGACCCAGGATTTGAACAAAGATCCATCGACATCACCGAAGACATGAGCGTGGATCGCAACGCCGTGGAAGCGACACCCCTTCACCCAATCGATGGAGTCGGGAGTCCTCTGCTGTACCAGCGCCTCCCACTGGACCTGCCAACCATCGACGAAGACGTGCTCATCCCCATTTCTGCCTACTACGGTGACATCGACCGATACGAGCGCTTGCGGCGGCCCAAGATGCTACCTTACGAACTGAACTGTTGTGTAATAGGCATCTATCACAACACAATGTTCGCCATCTGGTGGTCAAAACAGTCGATGGAGACCAAGGGCATCTGCGTCATCAGAGCGGCTATCAACGCACGCTTCATCATGAATAACGTGCTATCTCGCGCAACCACCGGCGACGACAAGAGCGACAATCCATACCTGATCTGATATCCCACAATTGCCAAAGCATCCACATACCGACACTTGGCGAAAGTGCGGCCACAGATGCTACCACAGGCTGTCCGCGCATGCATCGTCGGTGACTACCAGAACGTCTTCGATGAGCTTCTGCCGGATACCGTACCGGATGCAGCCCTCATGGCAGAGGCGAAGGAAAGCAGCAATGCGCACTACGCAAAGGCTCTAACAGAACGTGCTCGAGCGCTCGGTGGCGTCAAAGCTCTCGCGGCACACAAGCAGTGGCAGGAGAACACTCAACGCTCCTTGATGCACTCTGACAACATCGTCTTGAGCAAGATCGATCCCTCGAATTTGATCAGCGAGGTCCCAGGGTTATACAACGGCTTATCCTTCAACACCAAATCCGTCGAGTTAATGGCTTGTTTGCCAGACGTGTGGAAGCTGCCGCAGGAACCTGTGGCTCCCGTAAGGGTTGATTACTCAAGCTAGCCTCTAAAACAACCCGAGTTTGCAAGAAGATAAGGGGACGTGGCACCACTGGGCCAGGATGTCAGATATGAGATTTTCACGGCGTTGGTTGCACCACTGTCTTCGAGGATATGCATACAGTGGGACTTTGGCACAGGATCCTTCTGGCTCCGCCGTTAACGACCAAGCCGCCGACAGTAAAAGGGGCCAACTAGGTGAGACTGAGCTGTGTGAAATGGATCTTCTCGCGGACCAGGACAGCTTGCCGATGATAGTGATGTGGCCGTTTCAGGGACGTCTGGATCTCGGAGAAGACTGCTAGGTGTGAGGTGGGCCGCTTTCACTGTCCCTCGCTTGACGACCACACAAGGGTCTTGTAGCATAGCAACTATTTAGCATGGTATCAACACTCAAAGGCATCACTCATCCTGCTCCATCATGCTCAAGCAGTCGAGCTCGGTCTTGACAATCCGCTCAAACTCCTTGCGCTCCATGCCAGAACTTTTCGCCAACCGGAAAAGACTTTTGATATCTGTACTGATGTGTTGCTTCACGGCCATCTGTGCGCGATCGGATCCTCTGCTCACGCTACCGCGTTGAGAGGAGAGTTCGCTCATCTCCGCTGCTTTGGTCTCCAGGCGTTCTATGCTACTGGTGCTGGAGGAGATGGGCGAGATGGGTTCAGGGGCTGAGACGCGTTGTTCGGGTGGTGAAGAGGCGGGGAAGAGGCTTGTGCCGTTTGGTCGGGAGGTGCGACCGTCTGTTTGTTGGGATTGGGAATGTGGGAGGGCGCTGCCGTTGAGTGAGCTCTCGCCGAGCTCCGGGTGTTCTTCATCGGGGTCGTAGGCGTCCATGGCGGGTTGCACTTCGGCGCCATAGCGGGCGTAGTAGTCGAGCTCGGATTGTGTGCGCTGCCGTCCTGCTGCTGCTTGTGCGGTTGGAGGGGCTGCTGGGGCTGCTGCCTGCTGTGGAGCGGGCGTCCGGCTTGGTGTGCGGTCATAGGAGGCCCAGTAGTCGTCGTCTTCTTCTGCGTCTTTGGGCTGGCTGGGCTCTTGCTGGTTCTGTCCGCTATCCTGGCGTACTTGTGGCGCAGCTCTCGCGCTTGCAGCGTCCGTGGCTTCGAGTATGGTGTCGAACCACTCAGTGTCATCGTCCAAGTCTTCCAGGCTCTGCAGCTCTGACAGCTTCCAGCCTGCTCCCGTACCTCCATGCTCGTCTGTCTCGCACCATACGAAGATGGGCAGGAGTTCAAACTGCTCCACCTCTATCCTGGACTGTAGCGTCTCCTCATCCAACCTCCTGTACTTTGCGGGCCTCGTGTCGTCGAGCTCAACCTCGCCAGAAACAGGATGTGGCTCGAGTTGCATTCGTTCAATCACCGGCGGTAGCTTCTCCGCTCGCTCAGCGTCCCAGGAGAGTAAAGGCAGCCAGCCATCGCTTCTCGGAGCGTTGCCAGCCAAGAAGTTGACCCTCTGTCTTAAGAGTGGTGAAAGTAGTGGTAGGAGGGCAGGCGGTGGTCGAGGCGAGACGAAGGCTGTTGGCAGGCAGGCGAGCAGCGGCGGGAGCAGATCTCGAGAGTTGGGTGGTGGTGGTAGATGCATGGCTTTTGTGTTGCAGAGAAGAATGTATCGAATGTGTTCTTTACTCGTAGTGGTATGTCCAAGTTCTATGCTCGGTTGCAGGTGTTGATTTCCTGGTAGGAAGTTGAGCTTGGCTTTTCACATGCAACTGTTCAATTCACTGCACCCGCCGTCGAGCCCACACGTTCAAGAATGAGGAACACAGCGGAAGGAAAGAGGTTGCACTTAGCTGACCGAGCAAATCCCTCTTACGGGCCAGAGTGACCGCAGCAAACACAACACAGGCCCATTGCAGTGGGTCGGCAAAGGGTAAATGGAGAGCTTCTCACTTGTTGCCGTCGGCTTTGCAGCAGCTTCTCCTTTGGGCCGGCCGCCTTTTGCACGTGCTCGTCTCACTTCTCCCTTCCAGCCGCACGCGAACCTCGATCTCTGCTCGTGCTTCTCCCTCGTGTTCAGCCGGCTTTCCGCCACGCCTCGTCCAGAGTGGTCCGAGAGATCCAGATCGCACAAGGCGTTCTTGTTTCAGATGTCGCTTGTCCCGCAGTCAGACGCTTCCCCATTGGGCGGCCGCTAGAGTTTCGAGTTGACCTTCGCGCCGACCCCAGACTTCACTTCATCCTCTCCACCACTACTCGTGCTTTGTTCATCCTTCGATACAGCAACCACAGACGTCCTACCTCATGCTCTATAGTGAGACTGGGACTTACTCTGGCGTCGATGTATCCGCACGTGTCTTGACTCCCGAGCTGGAACGGCGTCGGACTCAGGTCCAAGCCCGCACACTACACCTCTTACATGCCCCGTGCGGCAACGTGTTTCGATGAGGAGACGCCCAGTCGCCATGCGTGAGAACCGCCCAAGCGAGCCCTCAACACCGCGTGAGCCCCATACGGGGTTTGGCGAGCCCGACCTCTATACAATAAGTCTCCCAATGTCGCTATTGTTTCGCGTTTCTTCTATTCACCGCTGCACCACTTTCTCTTCTCGTGCCTTCTCGACTCACTCGTTCGGTCGATTTCTCTTAAAACAAACGACACTCGTTACAGATCTGTGCTGGACGCAGGTTACTTTCATTAATATTATCACCCACCATTAATTCGTTCGTTGGACACGGCAAGCATGCACTACGTACCACAAATCCTGACCTCACTATGCATCCTGAGCTGGCATCAGGTGCATGCGGCACCGGTGAAAGCACATTCCTCCGGAGGAGCAGAACATATTGTCTTCATCAACAAGGACCACCCGATACCGCCGCGAGTGGAAGATGTCCTAGAACGTCTGGCCCTCAACGACAAGCACCCCGATGTGCGACGGGTGTTCAACAACAGCCAGTTTCAAGGCTTCGCTGCATCGATGCAGTCGCACTGCTTGGACTCTCTCGGCAAGATGGCCGACATCTCCATCGTTGAGCCGGCCACTACTGTCGCCAGTGCAGGTATGAACGTCCGGCCCAACGCACCCTGGGGCCTACAGCGTATCTCGACGTCATCCACTGTCCGCGGCAACGACAAGTCACTTGACTACACCTACTCCTTCTCGAACCAGCAGCTCGGCGGTGGAGCAGACATCTACATTGTCGATACCGGCATCTACACCGCCAACAACATCTTCGGAGGAAGAGCGAAAATGCTCTGGACCTTCGATGGCGACATGACCGACAACGACGGCCACGGCACACATGTGGCGGGCACAGCAGGCGGTTCCATCCTCGGCGTCGCCTCCAACGCTAACATCTTCGGCATCAAAGCCCTCGACAGCGACGGTGGAGGCTGGTCATCAGACGTCGTCGCCGGCATCGACCAAGTGATCAAATACCACGACCAGCGCAAATCCTCCGGCCAACCCTTCCTCGGCTCCGTCATGTCCATGTCCCTCGCTTCCACAGGCGAAGTCGGCGCCATGAACTCCGCCATCCAAGCCGCCATCGCCGCGGGCGTGCACACGGTCGTCGCAGCCGGCAACGAAGGCGACGACGCCTGCGATGCCTCGCCCGCCTCCAACGGCGGCTTGAACGGCCCTGCCATCACTGTCGGCGCAGTAGACATGGACACCCACCGCGCGGACTTCAGCAACTACGGACAGTGCGTCGACCTCTACGCCCCCGGCGTCAGCATCATCAGCTCCTGGATCGGCGGCCCGAACATGATCAACACGCTCTCCGGCACGTCGATGGCGACACCGCACGTCACTGGGATCGTGGCGTACGCGATGGCGAACAAGACGCTTGCGGCGGATCCGCAGTTGATGAAGGAGTGGGTGCGGATGACGGCGTTGTATATGGGGGAGGATGGGGTGTTGTTGGCGAACAACGGCGTGCAGGCGGATGAGGGGCAGGGGTTGGTGGGGTTTGATAGGATGACCGCGGCGGCTTTTGAGGATGCGAGGGATGAGAGGCCGGTGAGGTCGAAGAAGAAGTGGAGTAAGAAGGGAGGTAGGAAGGTCGGCAGGAAGGGGGGCAGGAAGGGAGGCAAGAAGGGAGGGGTTGCGAAGAGGATGAGTGAGGTGTGGGATAGTGTTGTGGAGAGTGTGGGGTTGTATTGACGTTCAAGTAATCGAGGAGCTTGAAAGAATTCACGCATTACGAGTAACGGCCGCGCTGTATTGGTAGTACTGAAAATGGGACATATTGTGCACTTTTGATCAACTCTGCATTGGACAATGTCTGTCGCTGCCCTATCTAAATGCAACGCCCGAGCGCCTTCGCTAAATCATGCTTGAATCGAGGGTATCATGCCCTGCCCTATGCGCCTTCCTTTTCGTGATCGCAGAGTGAACGCTCTTTTCCCTTGCAAACCCCACAAAAGACAGCAGCTGCCGGAAGGTGAAGGAAGGCGCAATCAAATAACAGCCATCAAAATTCAGTGCTGTCCTGTGCACTCCGCCTCTGCTTCCGGTTGTAGAACTTGCGCTTGTCCTCGCCACCCCAGTACAGCGCAAAGGCACCAGGGTTGACGCTCGCGCGAGGGTCGAAGGTCGGGTTCTGGTCTTCAACAGTCTTCACGATGGCCTCGAGATGAGATGCAATCTCGTCCGGCTTCGCTGGGAAGTAGCAGAGGTAGCCGGTGCTGCTGACACGGTGATGGAAAATGGGTGTCTCGAACTTGACGCGAGGTTGGGAGTTTGGGAAGTCGGGCGGGATAGAGAGGGTCACGTTGAAGATGCCTCCTTCTAGGTTGGTCGATGAGTTGCCGAAGATGGTGAGGCGCCAGACGAACGGGTTCTTGGAATTTGGAAGGCTGATCTCCATCCGTGAGCCGGGGTAGGAGGTGTGGTTCCACTTATGCTCAAACTGTTTGAATTGGAACGCGAGCTGCGTGGCGAGCTGAGTCCCCTGGTCGACCTGTACCGCGCCTTGCGACTCCCAGCAGATACGTTCCATTTCGAGGTGGTCGTGGATGCGCTTGAGGCGGCGTTCGAGCCCGGCGTAGTCAAAGGAGCCTTCAATGCTGTTGGGCGGGTATTCGAACGGCATGCGCGTGAAGGCCTTGCCATCAGCTTGCTCGCTCTTTGCCGCGTTGGTGGCCTTGAGGTAGCTATCGTAGTACCATAGAAAGCGGCGTTTGATCATGTCCGTGAAGGGTTCCCACCTGCCGGAGTCGAGCGCGGCGAATGTGGCTTCTGCATCGTACTCACGAACGGACGTGTCGGTGTTTGGAGTTTCGGAGCCATCGTCAACCGCCTCTGCAAATGTCATCTTTCCAGCCGGCGTTTGAGCCTTGCTGCGGATTCGGCTGTAGACCGCAGGGATCTTGTTCTCATCGATACACAGCAGAGCCTCCATGCGCTGAATGACCGTGATACGCAATGTCTCATGGCGGATCTTCGCAATGTACGCCTGTGGCTCCGGTTCCTCTTTCTTTGACTCTTCATGACCGGGCTCGTTCTCGTAGGGATGCGCACTCATCAAACTCTGGATGCTCAGCAGAATGCTCTCCAAGCCCTGTGCACTGCTCCACTCCTCACCCGGCTCGCCTCGCCATGTGCCCAGGATGCTTAGACACACCTTGCCGCAGTTGTAGATGTTGGGGTTGAAGCGACATCTCCCAGAGTTGGTGGTGATGCAGGTCACCGCGGGACTTTTGATGGGATAGTCCTTGCCAAACTGGAGGTTGAATTCGAAGAAGCCGAACTCGTAGGGTGTCTCTGGAGGTCCGATGATGCAAGCCCGTACGTGACGGACATCACTGTCCTGGCATGCGACAGCGAGCGAAAGGTCACTGCCCTTCTGTACCTGAGCTATCTCCCTGGCGATGCGCGCTGTTGCTCCTGATGTGTTGGGTGACGATGTGTTCTGCCTGTTCGCCATGCTGTGTAGTGGTGGAGGGAGCAGTGAGAGAGGGCGTGGGAGAGGTCATAGCATGGTGTGGTGAGGGTTGTTTGTGTTTTCGTGAAAGAAGGCTGGAGGTTGGAAGTTGCTCCAGCCAGGCACCGAAAGCTCAAGCCATTGGGAAAGGTGGGGTCGGATCTAAAGTTATCTTAGCGTGGACCCTGATCATCTTCACTTCACGCGCTTCCACGCTCTCTCCACGTTCAAGAATAGCAGCCATCCACTCTTCTCTACGACGGTTGCGGTGAAACAGGCCACATTACTCTGGTCAGCAGGCGGCCGTTGTCTGCGAGAGCGTCCCTTTCACGGCTACTCTGACCTACTAGTGGACCGCTTTCACTTCATCGAGACGTTTGAGCGGCCAAATCTCGAACATGTGGGCACAACCAACATCCAACAGACTCACAAGGATACTTGCTGACATTCCTTAGGGTCGTATTCAATTTGATGATAATTTCGAAGTCCGGCGGATTAATTTACAATCGTACTTTCTCCCCAGGCCTGCAGAAGCTCGACAGCAACGAGTATCTCATCCTCGCCGGTACTTTCCACGGCATCCACGCCATCAGTCGATCCATCAACCCTGCGCCGCCAGCCGAGCAGCTACCAGGCAATCGCAGACCTCCTACGACCGGAATTGAGAGTCTGGAGAGCAGCCATTTTAGGCTTACATGCTTTCAAGCACCCACAGGCGTGAAGTTCTTGCTGGTCACGAGTCCGGAGCAGCCGAATACAGATGTTGTGGTGAGGAGGTGCTATGAGCTGTACGGAGACTTTGTAATGAAGAATCCCTTCTATTCAATGGAGATGCCGATACGGGTCGAGAAGTTTGATAGGGCACTGGGTGGGTATCTGGTGCGGCCATGAACAGGCGGAACACTTGCGAATATGCGGGCGACGAACGACGATCCCATAGTGTCTCGCTGCATTGAGACTATCTGGCCCTCTACGTCCGTACTAGGCACAAGCGCTGGGCGAATCCTGACCAGAAAGCAACCCAGGACCGGTGTCCTGGACGATTTGTTGCGATACGCAAAGAAACGGTCTCTGCTGGGGTCAAAAGAGGACGTGCAACTGTATTTTGCGGCCTGCACTAACCACGCGATGCGACCCCAGCCGGACGGCTTTGGAGCAACGGGACGATGTGCGATAAGGAATGCAGGAATGCGGTAGGTAGCAATTGAGAGCTCATCATGACCAACATATGGACAATACCAAAGAAAGCACTTTGCAACCACCAAGCTCATTTCGTAGCAGGTACCTCCTGCCTCCGAGAAAATCGGATATGGACCCGGATTTGACCGAGAGCCTCTTGTGTGCCTCCGCTGCCTCCCCACAAGCTCATCCACAATCCTTGTTGCCCATGGTATCTCTCGTTATTCACAATGTCCCACTCTTTCTTCACTTCACCCACTCTTCTCCCACTTCACTCATCGTATGGTATATCGCACTTATTAGCAGTCCGCGCAACATTCACAACACTCTGCACAACATTCACATCCCTCCTCGCACACGAAACAACAGCACAATGTCGCAAGACAGGCCTTGAAGCACCCGCCGCCGCCTCCTCCACCGCTTTGGCGTGGGGGTGGTCTGTCAAGCATTGACTGTCAGTTGCATGTGTTCCGTTGAAGTGTATATGGTTGTCACTCACCCTTGCTGATACTGCATCGGAGGCGGCCCTTGCTGGTACTGTTGCGGCGGGGGTCCATAGTTGCCTTGCGGAGGGGGATAATTGCCCTGCGGAGGGCCGTAGCTGTATGCGCTGGTCAGTGACTCTTCGCAATGCCTTTCTCGCGCGATACGACATACTATGCCTGCTGCGGCTGGTTCGGGTAGCCGTAGCCAGGCTGTTGCTGGCCGTAATAGCCTTGTGCCGACATTGCGGTGGTGGATAGGCTCCCGCTTTCGAGGTGGGGAGATGTCTTGGTTGCTTTATCGCCGGCGTCAGCGGCGTGGCAGGTCGGGGAAGGTTGTTGTTGATGCCGCGCAGCTGGTAACAACAGATGTCACAGGAACGATGCGGTGAAAATGTGTCAAGAGGCGCTGTCACCTGGCGAGTCGACCGACCGTCGCAAGGTGTCGATAGTAAGGTCGAGAGGTGTTGTCAGCAGGTCGGGGACGGTGGAGGCCAAGGAGGCAAGCGAGAGATGAAGCTTTGCTTTGCAGGGAGGGTTGCCGCCGATTCCAACTGCCACGTGCACCAACAATGTGTTTGATGGACAGTCAGCTGCTGATTGATGGTGTTGCTCTCAAGAAAGTTGGTGTGGAGGACAATTTTGTAGGTTAATATGGTCTTGCGCCTCCACGACTTGTACGTATTGCTGCGTCTGCTGAGCCACACTAACAAGGACATCAACACACCATGCACACTCTAATGTATTACGTGGCTCGAAGCCGGCTCGCCGGCAGCCGGGCCGACTGGGACATCTGGCGAGATATACAATGTAACTTGTACACTTCCCTCAAGGCCTATCAAGACACCATCCCATATCCAGGAACGCTTCGTAAAAGCAACAGATGGAAGGCTAAAGATGTATAGAGCAATGCCAATGCTATCCAACGCCGCCAATGCAGCAGGGTTAAACGCTTTCGCTATGCACACCAAGCAACTGAATCCCCAAGCACTCCATCATTAACGCCACACATGCAGCTTACCCGACGACCTCCTCCATCTACCGGCGCGGGTCTAGACCGCTCCTCATGCTCCCCAACGATGGATCTATCGCTGCCGACTGAACGCTGAGATCCATTTCGTCTGCTTCGGCCGGGTCGACCACCACTTCGACATCGTTCGCGAGCGCCCTTACGCTCTGGCGTCGCGGCTGTCTCGCCATGGACTGCATGGCGATGAAGCGGAGCATCAAGTCTTTGACAAGACTCCAGTTGTGCTGCTCCGTTTGGTACAAGCAGCGCGTCAAGTGTGCAACGTACCAGGATTTCGAGGCCGAAGAGGGAGCAGTGGCGAAGGCTGTGAGGAGACTATGGTTTATTAGTACCTCTTTGATGTACTCCTGGAGCAAATACTCACATTCGCAGGTGCAGCGTATGACAAGCTTCCCAAGCATCGTCCGGCAGTCTGGACATTACGCTGAACAACTCCACAGCCTGCAACTGCAGCCTCGCAGAGTTTGCGGCAAGAGGACTGTAAGCCGCAAGATGCAATCCAGCCGCCAACTTGCAGGCATATGCAAGGGCGCCGTCGTACTTTACAGCCACTGTGGGCTCTGGCTGCTTCAAGAACTGATACCAGCCTTGGACCTCCATCTCCAAAGTAGACGGCGTGATGGAAGGCTGCAATGCCAAATCTTCCGGTGGATCGTCCGGGCCGACTCTCTCAGGTATGCTCATGATCAAATCACTGATCTCATCCAGCATGTCTTGATCCGGCTGTAGCTGCGGCGTGTCTTGCAGTGAGCTGGGCTGCGAGGTGTCCCCGGCCGTGTACAGAGGCGCTTCACTGAAAAAAACCGCATGGACGAGATCAAGCCTGGTCGATGTTAGTGCGTTGAAGGACATCTGCAAGTATGATGACTTACATCTGGAGAAACATGGCCAAACCGCCGTTGTCTCCGATTCTGACTGTTCCTCCCCGGAGCCTGATGATCTGGCAGAGACCGTGAAGGTGCATGGTAGCCTCCCTCGAGCCACGAGAGATTTCATAGCTGGTCAGGCAAGCCAGCGCTCCGATCGTCCTATCTTCGAGTGCCTCGGTGGGGCTCTTCAGCCGTCTGTTGATGAGCGCGAGAACTTTGGTCTTGAGGAGGTCGGTATCCGCCCGGGTTTGACCAGGCTCCAGAGCGTCCAGGTATCCGATCGACTTCAGACATAGAGCAAACAACAGCATCTGCGACGTGGTATCGTTTGACGGATCGCCGGGCAGGTCAAGCTCAGGCTGTGAAGGCCATTGCGCACCAAGCCAATGGTTGTACCGCTGACATATGCTCAGCAGATGCTCCAGTTGACCAGGAGTATCGAGTGGGTTGATATCGTCGAAGGTCGGTCGACGTGGCCTCTGGCGTCGAGGTAAGTTGACCGTAAACGTGCCAAAGACTCCCGGCTGTGCTCTGGTACTGGCCCGTTGTCTGATATTACGACTCAGCTTCGCCTGCTCATCGCTAATCGAAGTTTTTGGACTGGGACGCCTCTGCTTGACGCCCTCTTCATCATGAATCGTCGGCAACTCGTCTCGGGACAAGCTACTACTGGTTCGTCGATGTACCTCCAGGTCCGTTGGGAGAGATTGAGTGCTGCCTTTGCGTTTCCTGGACTCTTGTCTGGACCCGCCTGCAGACGATTGCGGAGGACTCGAAGCCTCTGAAGGTGAGCCTTCTGTGCTTTCGGGCGTCGATTCTTCGAAACGCTGTCGTCTTCTGAAGTCGCGCATGGCCTGGCTCCGGATCTTTCGGCGCGTCTCGTCGTCATGTTCGGTTTGACCTGGTGTTACGTTGACGAATTGGAACGACATGGTCTGCCTCTCGAAGGCGATATCCGTAGGTGAGCGAGCTCAACGCCAAAGAACTCTGGTGAAAAGACTGATCGTCGTTCAAAAGTCGGATCTCCAGCAAGCGTGGTCGACTCTGGTGGCTTTGCGTATGGTTGCAGGCGGTTGAAGGAAAGGCTGGGTATTCGAGACGAAGGCAATGTGTCTTGGGCTCTTGGTAGGTCGTTCCGTTGTCTTCTATATGCTTTGGAGCAGACGTCCATATTCTATCTCACTTTTGGTACTGGCATACTGTCAACGGGGCCAACATCTCATCTATGCCGCGACTTAGACATCCTACTGTGCTAATACAGTACACGCCGATCAATCTCCTACGCTGACTCTCTGGACGCAGCATCGCTGTGTCGGTGTTCACCATCGTCTAAATTAGAGCCGCAACAACTCAAGCATGGCATACTGTCTGCTCATTCGCTCGACGATCACAGGACAATGACCTGGCCCAATGGCTCAGACTAAGGAGCTGAATAAGGTGAAATCCAAGGGTCGTGGACACCGAGCAGAGGCCACTATGCCGGAGCCTAGCTGGCGTCGGAGTGCAGCGTCTGCGATCCGCCGTCTGGCGGTCACTGACGGCGGTAGTGCCATTGCGTGCGTAGGTTAGTGCACGCTTGGTCATTTCAAGCTCTGCCCTACGCCACGAGGAAGGCTCCAGGATAGGTAAAGAGGATCTAAGGCGGTGGACACGGAATCAGACCGACGAGTTACTCGAGCAGAAGCATTTAGGCAGACGCTTTTGGAAGCTGTCCAGCGAGATATCTGAAGTAGTCGATTGCTCTTCCGTAGATGGGTCCAGGGTCATTGAGTGAAGTCTGGTCCAACAAGGCGGTCGCTTCGGCCCCAAGATATGTCGAAGGAGCAAGTAGCTCAACGCTAGGAGCGCTGCGTTCGCCTACATCTCCCAAGTCAAGGCAAGTATCGGCGTTGAGCCTCCTACACTGCAAAGACGGCGACCGACTGCACCGCCTGATTGCAGATCGTCTTTGGGCCTTGTTCCCTCGCGTACCTCGTCGGAAGCACATCCTTGTCACTTCTGGATCACTGCAACGATGGGAGACGTAGAGACGAGGAGTATCCGATCGATATCGAAGCGGATAGAGCACCTCAGCATGTAGTTCACACATTGCATACTGGACCTTGAACTTGGCACCTCTTCAACACAGCCATTCATCTACATCGTTTTTGAGAAATCAATGGACGGAGAATTGATGTGTCCCTACCCCATCGATCAACCATCGACCAACGGATAGGGCTTAAGGGCTACAGGGATCCTCAACGAACACTCACGTCGACATCACCTCAAGCATCGTGACTGGGTGTTCCAAGAATGCTACAGCGGCGACGCCGAATGCACCAACATCCCGTAGGTCGATCTCGAAAAGCAGCAGACCGTCTATTTCGGCGACAAGCTATACTTGCCGATGCTCGCTATCGAGCCCTCGTTCTCAGGATTGATCGGCGGACGGCTGGGCTGTAGTTGATGTAGGGCCGCAGGCCTTTGGCGGTCTGTGCGGGAGCAGTATCAAGATTGATGCTGCTCGAGGAACGCTGGACTACACTTCGAACAGGACGACTCAGCTGCGGTTTTGAGAAATTTGATTGAATTGACATGGACGACTCCAAATGTATCAACAAAGTCCTGGCTCAGACGCCTTCCCACTCCAATGGCCCCAGAATACCACGAGCGATGCCTCCATCAAGATACACCATAAACAGCTGCTAGGCACCAACATTTCGTGTCAATTAGCACGCCATATGCCAAGTGCGCCAACGTTCATCTCCATGGTATCTTCATCGCTAAACATCAACGTCCATCAATTCGTTCGTTCGTAAATATCAAATGCCTTCCACCGAGCTCACGTCCAAGTAAGCGGCGCATCAAGCTTGCACAGCAGTTCGCGCCAAACTCCTCTTCAATCCCAAACTTGACCGCCCTGCCTCCCTCGCACACGACCTAATCTGCTCGTCTGCAGCAAACGAGCCAGCTTCAAGCCTCCCCGCCTCTTTGCCAATGCTGTACCCAGCACTGAAACTCAAGGCACTCAAGAACACCACAACACCTGCCGAAACAACCCACGTTAGCAGCGTGGGGGAGACATGCAGGTCCTCGCTGGGAGATGTGCGTCGTGCCTTCTTCAAGGCGCGCCGCTCACGACTGGAACTCCGGCCGCTGGCTGCTTTCCGCTTGGTGTCTTTGTGCTGATCGGTTGAGGTAGACGTCGATGTTGAGTGACGCCGAAATGTGGGGTGGAAGGTGGGTTCCTGGAGCTGTGGTGGCGAGCGGGCTTGGAGTGCAGATTCGGGTACTAGGCGGAAAGACATTGGATCGATGCGGTTGCTGCGCGGCTGTTGTTGTGTAGCCGCAGTAGTGTTTCGCTTATTGTCCGGTTTGCCTAGATTGCGAGCAGCGGCAGCACAAGAAAGGAGCGTTGAGAGGCTAGTCCGGAGAGCCTCGTCATGAGCTGATGCATCGTGAGCAGGAAATAGTATGTTTTGCGGCAGGTGACTCGAGCGTCGAGTCTCTGTATTCGGCGCCAACGACGGTCGCTGGAACGATCGGGATTCTCGCCGCTGCGATGGAAAATAGGACCCAGACACTTGCTGGCTCGAAGTGCGTGACTGTCCACTAGGCGGATGCGTGAAGGCGTTAGGTTGTGGTGTGAAGCATTCTTCGTTGCGTATCGGCTGATTGATCGCTGTTCGGTTCTCGTCATCGTCAGAGGATTCCGAGTTCAGGCCTAGGCTTGGTCTGCTGGAGACGCTGCTTGGAATGATCGGCCCTTCGTTTGAAGACGTCATGATCTTGTCCGACTCGCTCTCGCTCTCCTCATACTCTTCCTGACTGCTGGCCCCTCCTCCACTTGAGGGTTCGCGAGATATCCCCAACCTGGTTGGAGCGTTCTGCCGGAATGTCCGTCTTCGACGAGTTCTTGGATCGTTCTGTACTCTTAGACCTGCTGTAATGACTTCTTCGCCGATGGAAGAGAGGGATGAGGACGATGGCTGGGAAGAGATCTCGACCCAAGAGTCTATGGCGTAGTAGTCAGCGGCCAGCTCATGTATATCTGGATACCTCCACATTGCTCAAGGTGTAACATGTACATGTACACTAAGGCGGTAGAGTTGTGTGCAGCAAGGGAGGATCTCAACCCGGCCATCGATGGGCGGAGGACTGACCTTCGGACCGTATGCGCTGGTCAGTCGGAACTGACGAGGCCATGTTTCGCGTAGGACCCGGGAGGCTGTTCAGATCGCCGGATTGTGTTCGATTCGGTTGATGCATAGCAGGCGACAACCCTCAGAAGAGCAGCGACACAGTGTCTGTATTCCTTGCCGTCTCACTCTTCTGGCGCGGCTTGACCGCTTTCTTGTCTTCGCAATGCCAGCCCTGCAAGAGTGCTGCCGCCGTCCGTCTTGAAGTCACTGCTTGAGGAGGGTTGCGATACTGGATTGCTGGAAGGAAGGTTGCGAACAGGCTCGCCAGACAGCAGGTGAGGTGTGGTCTCGACGTGGTGTCGGGTGGTCTCATCAGCAGGTGGCTTGGTGAGGTGCGTGGATCAACGTATGATGCGGCGTGGGGGTCAGGCGGGGTGAGATCGACCCGACATCAACGAGTATGCTGGACAGACATCACCATATAGAGATCACAATAGAAGGACGGGATCAGATGGACAGACAAATGAAGTTCTCAACGCAGGAGATTTTGCGCCGCGTACCATGGGGGATAAAGATGCGCTCCCTTGCGTTACTTGTTATCACGCTCATACCGGATGGACATCACACCAAGAGATCATGGAGACAGAAGGTTCCATAAACACCATTGCATTGTGTACACGACTTCAGTACTCTAGGAAAGAGTACAGATCCATTCCCATGAACGCCGCATGAACGCACCAGCAACACTTTTAGATCCGTTGATCAGCACCGTCGTCTCTTTCGGTACAGTCGTGAGGTCACAGTCGAAGGCAGCGCTGAGGGTGAAGCACCAAGCGCAGGCCGTCGACTGAAGTAGTTCGTGGACAAACCAGCTTAGAAGGTCGTCTTCTTGCCGGAGAAGTCGCCGAAGCCACCCCTGTTGAACGAACCTCCTCCACGACCGCCGCCACGACCCCGTCCGCGATCGTTGAAGCCGCCGCGACCCCTACCCCCTCGACCACCTCGTCCGCCACGATCGCCAAACCCGCCTCGGCCACCTCCGCGACCGCCGAACCCACCGCGCGGCGAGTCGTTGGACTTGGGCGTAGCATAGTCGAGCCTGATCGCACGTCCAGCAATCTCCGCACCTTGAAGACCCTCGAAGGCAGCCTTGGCCTCATCGAGATTGCCCATCTCAACGTACCCGTATCCCTTGTAGTCGCCGGTCTCCCGGTCGGTGGGCAGACGAACCGCGTTGATCGAGCCGAACTCTTCGAAGGATGCCGAGACCGCGCTCTCATCCGCGTTGAAGGACAGATTGCCGACAAAGAGAGTGGTGCTTGGTTCCTTTGGCGCATCACCATACCTCTGAGCGCGCTCGGAGCTACGCTGCTGCGGGGTCTGGCCTTGACCAGGCTCGGGACGGGGGTTGCTCATGTCGACGCGGATGGCACGACCGTCGACGTCGGCGCCGTTCTTGCCCTCGAATGCTGCGACAGCGTCGGTGACATCCTCGAACTCGACGTAGCCGAAACCCTTGCTCCTGCCGGACTCACGGTCGGTGATGATGCGGACACCCTTCAGCTGGCCGAACTCCTCAAACTCGCGCGTCAACCACTCCTCGTCGATGTTGAAGCTCAGATTGCCGACGAACAAGTTGGCCGTGGCGTCCTTCTGCTGGCCTTCGACCGTGACCTTCAACTTCTTGCCAGCCGGCGTGACGGTCTCAGAAGCCTTGCGCTTCTTGTTCACCGGCTGCTCGGTCTTGATCACCTCTTCTTCCTGATCAGATGACGACTCATCGGACGATGCATCTTCGGCACCCGCGCCGGCCTTCGCCTCGGCCTCGTCAGAGTCGGATGCGGAAGACGCTTCAGAGTCGGAGGCGTCGCTCTCGTCGGAGGTGGCGGCAGCTTTGCCATTAACCTTGGCACCTCCCTCCTCGCTGTCGGAGCTGTCGGAAGACTCGTCGTCGTCCTGAGCCGCCTTGGATGCACCGTTGGTCTTCGGGGCAGCGGGCTTCTTGGCCGGAGCCTCTTCCTCGCTGTCGGAATCGGAAGAAGCGTCAGAGTCGCTGTCAGACTCGTCCTTCTTGTTGACAGCCTTGGCAGCGCCATTGGTCTTTGGCTTTGCCTTGGTGTCCACCTCCATACTCTCATCGTCGCTGCTGGCAGAGCTTGCGCTCGTGTCCTCACCGTCTTCGCTCTCGCTGGAAGGCTCAGGAGTGGGCTCCTTCTTGCTCTTCTTTGACTTCTTCTCAACCTTCTTGGCAACATCTTTTGCGGTCTTCTTTCCGCTCTCAACTGGCTTTGCCACACGGCCAGCCTTGACGGTCTCGATTGGCTTGCTTGACGGCTTGCTTGACGCCTTGCTTGGCGCAGCAGCCGACTTGCTTTCCTTCTTGACCTTAGCCATTGCTGAAGGTTTGTGAAGAGATGTCTACGTCTTTAGTCAGTGTCTCGCTTCCCCAAATGAGCCCTCAGCCGTCAAGCTACAGTTGTAGCAGTAGTCTCTCCTCTCAAACACCCAGCAGCCGCAAGAACGCAAGCACCCAACAGTTGCGAGAACGACGAGCGTCCAAACGATGGTAGCAGTAGCCCACGAGCGACAGAGTCGCTTCAAGCCCTCAAAAAGCCCTCAGATGTGTCACTGTGTGACGTGAAGAAGCCCACGAGTACGATTTGCTCAATAGCGACGAAGTCGCTGTATGCCCTCTGGTCGAAGGCAAAGGCAGTGCGTTCCCACAAGAGCCGATGCCGTGTATCCGACGTTTGATCAAGCCCACTGATTGTAAGTTGTGCCGACGACTGCTTTTGCAGTGATGACGCTCTTTCACGACCGCAGCGACGTGAAGATGGGAAGCCAACGAACCGATATGTGATGCGCTGGGGCGCAGATGTTTCGCAACGATGCTGGTGTATGCCGACTGTGTAGCGACAAGCCCTCTGTAGAATGTGTGATGATGTTGGAAAAGTGTCGGTGGCAGGCAAGAAAAGCTCGAGAAGCTCGAGTCTTAAAAATTTCGAAAGGCGCTAGGCTAGCGCCGATGCCCAGCGGCTAGCCCGCATTGGGACGGAGCTCCTCTTCATTCACCTCGACCCTGACTGGACTTGATGTGGAAGCAACCTGGAAGTGTTCTGTCGCGAGATCGGAGCTGTACCTTTACTGGCTGCTGGAGTAACACAAGCAATACCATGCAGCGATAACATTCGCGGACCACAATCATGCCGCCGTCTTCCTCACACCGACCGCGCAAGAAGCGAAAAGCGGAGATATCTAGCAGCAGCTCCAATGGCACAGTATCCTACGATGCCAACACGAAAAGAGAGAAGCCCGCTTTCCCTCTGGTAGCCTTCTTCTGGCCTGCTCGTGGAACCTCAATCTCCCAATGGATCCTGCTGCCATGCATTCTTATGGTAGTGGGCCTCTTCCGCTGGTGCACTGGCATATGGCCTTATTCTGGCTTCCGCAAACCTCCTATGCATGGCGACTTCGAAGCGCAACGACACTGGATGGAATTGACGACCAATTTGCCGTTAACCCACTGGTACTTCCACAATCTGGAGTGGTGGGGCCTCGACTATCCCCCCTTGACTGCGTACCACTCCTGGCTGCTCGGCAAGGTCGGAGCGTTGATTAGGCCCGAATGGTTCGCGCTCTACCTCTCACGGGGTATGGATGACCTGGATCTCAAGGTCTTCATGCGGGCTACTGTTATCATTTCGGAGTACCTCGTCTACATCCCTGCCGTGATAATCTGCGTCCGGCACTTCGCGAAGCTCTACCACATCAACTCGTGGGAGTCGTCCATCGCGTTGACGGCTATTCTGATGCAACCGGCGACCATACTCATCGACCATGGCCACTTCCAATACAACACCGTCATGCTTGGCTTTGTTGTTGCAACCATCTCCAGCATGCTGGCAGGAAGAGCACTCTGGAGCTGCGTCTTCTTCGTCGGTGCATTGGGCTTCAAGCAAATGGCGCTGTTCTACGCGCCTGCTGTGGCTGCTTACCTGGCTGGGGTGTGCCTTTTCCCAAGGGTGAATCCACTTCGCTTTCTCGGAATCGCGACTGTAACGATTGCTTCCTTTGGAATTCTGTACCTCCCGCTGCTGCTAGGCACCACCTACGACACTTACAGGAACGTGCCACTGTCCTCCGATGTGGTCAAACCGGCTCTGCTCTCTGCTTTCCCATTTGAAATCAAGGAAAAAACGTGGTACTACCCATACTTGCTCCAGCTGGCGCAATCGACCCACCGCATCTTCCCATTCGCGCGTGGGCTCTTCGAAGATAAAGTGGCGAACGTCTGGTGCGCGGTCCACAGCTCTGGCGTCCACAAGCTACATCAATATTCATCAACACTTCTAAGCCGGGCCGCGCTGGCCTTGACGTTGGCATCAATTGCACCGCCTTGTGTAATCCTCTTTCTGAGGCCGAAGAGGCGACTCACTCCGCTAGCCTTCGCCGCCACAGCCTGGGGATTCTTTCTCTGCTCCTACCAAGTCCACGAGAAGAACATACTGCTTCCACTACTGCCAATGACCTTGCTTCTCGCCTCGGATGGTGGTATGAACCCCGCCATCAGAGCATGGGTTGGCTATGCGAACTTGCTCGGCTGCTGGACCATGTTCCCACTGCTCGCGCGCGACGAGCTTCGCATACCTTACGTCGTGTTGACGTTACTGTGGAGCTACCTCGTTGGTCTGCCGCCTTGCAGCTTCAGCTTGTACTTTGGTCAAGTGAGCGGCGACAGTCTGCATTGGAGCACGAAGCTACTCCATCTCGTCACATATCTGGCCATGCTCGTGTGGCACGGGGTCGAGCTCTTCATGAGGCCACCATCCGACAAACCGGACTTGTGGGTCGTGGCGAATGTATGCATAGGTGCTGCCGGCTTCGGTATCTGCTACCTATGGTGCTTGTGGCGTCTGTTGGAGGACAGCGGCCTCCTCGTTGATCTTGGCCTGGTAAAGAAGTCGAGCACCGATGCAGAGAAGAAGAAGCAGTAATAGAGCTAGACCACTATACCCTTTTGTTCGTTCAGCGGAGAAGGTTGGTCTGCTGTGTATAGATACATGTATTTTACATTTCAACTTCTTCCATGCGCCGCCTCATGCCCCGCTGTCTATGCAAACACCGCGCGATGCAGCCCTTCATTCTTCATCGTTCTATGCCATGTTGAACCCATAGCTCGCCATGCAGCTCCTGTATTTGCCCACTAGGTCTTTACACGCGTCCTGCGGGTCCGAGGCGTTGGAGAAGAGCATGCATTCGTCTCGTGCGGACTTCTCGTCTTTGCATACGCAGCAGGGCTGTAAAGTCGTCAGCTAAGGGCCCATAAGAAATGGATGAGGGACTATAGATGTACCTTCACCTTCGGTGCGCCTTCATTGCCTTGCGGTTTGAGATCGGCCGCGAGGTTGTTGGGCTGGGGTGGATCTGCGCTGCTGTTAGTTGTCGTGGCGGCGCGTGTGGTCTCGCTTGATGCGTACTTGATGATAGTGGCGATGCTGCTTTTGTCGACATGGTTGCGTTATGAAAGTGTTGTTCTCGAGGCGACTCTATCAACTCATCTTCAAAGAATGACCATTACCAAAGCACATCTTGGCGCTGCGGGGCCCTGCATATCTGTCCGTGACGATCCTAGCGGCTTTGGAAAGCTTAAACCTTGAATTGTTTATGAACCGAGAAACTGCTTCTTGATTCCGACCTGGACCAGGACTTCCATCACTCGACACAACACCCCATGGCCAACGTCTTCTCCCTCCGAGGGCAGGCGCTCAAGCTCAACACCGCAGCCGACCTGCAAAAACACATCAAGCCGCTAGAAGACAACCCCCACGTCGAGGAGATTCACATCGAAGGCAACACGATCGGCGTCGAAGCCTCGCAAGCTCTCGCAAAGATCCTCGAAACCAAAAGCTCCCTCAAATACGCCAATCTTGCCGACATCTTCACCGGAAGACTACTAGCAGAAATCCCACAAGCTCTCGACGCTCTGCTGCAAGCATTACTGAAATGCCCTAACCTTCACACGATCAACTTGAACGACAACGCCTTCGGCCTGAATACTGTCGAGCCTCTCCGACCTTTCCTCAGCCAACATACGCCTCTCCAACACCTCTACCTTAACAACAACGGCCTGGGACCAGCAGCGGGCACTCTTGTCGCAGAAGCATTAGCGCAGCTCGCAGAGAAAAAGGCAGCGGCGCGGAAGGATGGCAAGGATGTGGCAGACCTCGAGACTGTTGTGTGCGGTCGCAACCGGCTGGAGACGGGCAGTATGGCGGCGTGGGTGAAGGCATACCAGGCGAACAACAAGGTGAAGACGGTCAAGATGGTGCAGAACGGCATACGGCAGGAAGGAATCGGCATGTTGCTGCAGCACGGCCTGTCTGCTTGCACGCAGCTCGAGACGCTGGATCTGCAAGACAACACTTTCACAGCGCTAGCGGCCAAGACGCTGGCGAATGTGGTGTCGAAGTGGACGGAGTTGAGAGATCTGGGAGTGGGCGACAGTTTGCTCAGCGCGCGGGGTGGCGTTATGCTGGGCGATGCGCTGGCGAAGGGGAAGAATCCGAAGATTGAGATTTTGAGGCTGCAGTTCAACGAGATCGATACCAAGGGCCTCAAGGCTTTGACGGACGCGGCGACAGGCTCTGGTCTTCCACGGTTACGGCGCGTCGAGCTCAACGGCAACAAGTTTAGCGAAGATGATACGAACATCGAGAAGCTGCGCGATATCTTGGACAAGCGTAAGGAGGAGCACGCCGAGGAGTACCCGGGCGTTGATGAAGATGATGAGGACGCGTGGGGCATCGACGAGCTGGATGAGCTTGAAGAAGAGGATGAGGAGGACGAAGATGAGGTAGATGTTGAGGAAGAAGACGAGGAGGAGAAGATCGTCAAAGACGCTGATGCCGCGGAGGAGGAGCCCGTTGCGCAGGAGAAGGATAAAGATGTTGATGATCTCGCGGATGTGCTGGAAAAGACGGAGTTGAAGTAAGATTCAATTCAGCACGATGCTTACTTTGTTGGAGTCAATCAGGCAAGGCGGAAGATAGAATTAAGATACCATTGAGGAGCGGGAGAATTGGCATGCCGTTGGAAACGTGCTGCAGAGATCCGTTCCTCTACCGCGGAATTAAGCGCGACACCCTAGTACGTCGACATAACTTGTCGTGCTGACCCAAAGTGTTTAATGGCTGTCTACACAGACCGCTTTGTCAAGCTGATGAATCGAAATATGTATTGTTGCAGAATCAATCTCTCAAACTGAGCTCTCCGCCCCACTTGCCTTGCGTGATCTCGCAACTGACGCCGGAAATACGGCAAAAACACTTGATGGTCGTGATCATGCAAAGTTCTCGCCTTCACACCATCTAATCATCACAGACAACCCAAGCTCGAAGGACAGTATTCTTGACGATGTCTTCCTCCGAAGAGGCAGCTTTGACAGCGGGGTCACCGCGCAGCTCCATCTCCAAAACAACGCCAGATGGACATACATCCACACGACCGGTGGAAAATGACGATGAAGGCGTTGAAGGAGACGAACAGCTCGAACGCCGTCTCCGATTGAAGGTCGACCTCAGGCTCTGCACGATCGCCGGCATACTCTGCTCATTGAATCTCTTGGACTCCGGCGTGATATCGTCGGCTTCAGTCACATCGATGATATCTGACTTGGGCCTCGAAGGCAATCGATACTCCGTCTCCATCTTCATCTTCACTATTGCGAGTATTGCATTTCAGCTCCCGTCGACCATCGCTGTGAGGGCGTTCGGCCCTCGGATATGGTTTCCCTTCATCACGGTCTGCTTTGGGATCATAACTATGTGCACAGCTTTCATCCACACGTGGAAGGAGATGATGGCATTGCGAGTGCTGCTGGGCATGGCGATGTCGGGGATCTATCCCGGACTTTCATATTTGATCTCGACATGGTACCTCAGAAGAGAGCAGCAGACGCGGTACGCCTTTCTACAATCTGGAGAGGTGATTATTTTGGCCACCGGCAGTATCGTCAACTTCGGTCTGAACAAGCTCAATGGCAAGGGAGGGTTGGAAGGATGGTGAGCACGACTCTTCAGCAAGCGATGCTACAAGAGAAGTACTATGGCTAATGACTCGTCAGGAGATACATGTTCCTCGTTCAAGGCTTAATCTCAATCGTCATTGGCTTTGTCACCTACTTCTGGATCGTCGACTTTCCCGAGCAAGCCCACAACAGCTTCTACTTCTTGACAAAAGAAGAGCAGGCTCTAGCCGTCTCAAGGATACAAAAAGACCGGAAGGACGTACAGCCGGACCCGTTTACCTGGGGCAAGGTCTTCTGCCATGCGAGCGACCTCAAGGTGTACGGCTTCGCTATTCTGTTCTTCCTACTCAATTTGGTCAGCACCTCGCTATCGTACTTCCTCCCTATCATCTTGCAGAGTGGCATGGGCTTCAGCGAGAACAAATCTATCCTCCTATCGGCTCCACCATACTATTACTCAGTGATACCAGTCGTCGTCACATCGATCATCAGCGATCGATACCACATCCGCGGACCAGTCATCACATTCAACTGCATCTGCCTGATCGTCGGCTTCTGCATGCTCGGCTTCACGGACCAGGTGGCCGTCCGATACATCGGAACCTTCCTCGCCACGGGTGCGTACGTGAGCAATTGGGCGGCGCTTAGTGCATACTACCAGAACAATATCGCCGGACAATGGAAGCGGACGTTTACTGCGGCGACGGTTACAATGTTCAATGGCGCGGGCGGGATTGCTGGTGCTTATATTGTTCGGCAGCCGGAAGCTCCGCGTTATCTCACGGCGGTTTGGGTTAGTATTGGGAGCCATGCTGTTATTGTTGCGATTGTGGCTGGCTTGTCTGGATGGTTCTATGTCGCAAACAAGAGACAAAGGGCTGGCAAGGCGGTCTTGGAGAAGACAGAGGGGTTCAGGTATACTTACTAAGGTCTGGTTCTCCGAATGAAAGAGACAATCTCAACTCACGGTGGAGCGGCTGGGAGCATCGCGTCTGTGTTTGTGGTGGGAGAAGTTCCAGAAATTTGCTATCATCCTTTTCAGTCAAGCCTTTGATCCTGCCTGTCTTATGCAAGGCAAGAGACAAAGTCTCGGTCCAGGTGAGCAAACTGAGACAACTGGGCTGCATTGCTTTGTATTGAAGACGGCAACTTCGACTTCTGAAGTAAAAAATTCATCACAACCGCCTCAGACATTACCTCAGACATCAGACCAGCAACAATGCCTCCCAAGAAGGCAGCCGCGCGGAAGGCAGCAGAGGCGTCAAACGCAACGGAAGCCTCAGCAGTACACAACTACATCAGTCTCAATGCAAGGATCGAAGGACTAGAGCAGCGAATGACTACACTGAAAGGCTCAGGTCCACCGCAGGCCCAGCCGAACAATGGCACCGATCGGCAGAAACGTACCACCTATCGCACACCCTGGACCGTCAATCACAACTACTTCGGCCCTGTTACAAGGAATGGCTCGGAACAGCATGAGGGACGGGACTCATTGTACAATGATGACGATGAGGGCACTTATCTCAAAGGCCTCACGCGACAGCGCCCAGAGAACAATCGACAGCCGGCCGAGCACCCAGCCGGCTCTCGTCATGCTTCCAATTCCAACCGACATGATTCCACGACTGCCAATCCTGGTTCACAGGTCTCCCAGCAACACCACCCAGAGACCAACGGTGAGCAAACCATTCTCTCGATTGAGCCTCAGCACGCCTCCAGTGCCCGCGAAGAGGGCATGAACCTCTTCGATAACCTTCCGCAGGCTTCTGCATCTGGTCACCAAGCTGTTCGGGGCTCGCGCCGCGCAGCCTCTCCAGTCAAGAAGCCGAGGAAGGGCAACAACGAAGGTACGACAGCCAAGGCAATGCCAGCAGCAAGCGCTCCACCACTTGAGCCTACCCCAACGCCTTCTGCGGCTGATCAGAACGGTAAGCAGCCAGGTACTAGAAAGCGGCAGCCGACTTATCACTATGAGGAACGCTCAGAGGTCCGCAACAAATATGAGGAGGCGGCTGACAAGGCCCGGAACAATCCTTACGAAGAGCGTTTGTCGCGCAACAAGGCAAAAGAGCTCGAGACAGCTGCCAGTAGCAGCAGGCAGACCAGTGTCGCGGAGCCCAAAGGTCCGACAAAAGCGGCCGGGAAGCGCAAGGAGCAGAGCCCACCGCGCAAGAAGGCTGCACCGGCAAAAGAGAGGTCGGCGTCAGGTGAGTTAATTTACCCCTTCAAATCCTCCCCCTGCACGTCCCATTCTGTCCGCTGATCGATGTCTTACTGACCCTGCAGCAGCTCCGGCCCTCAATGTCCTGCCCAAAACACCATATCCTGCCGCACCACCTGCTCCTGAGTCCGTGGCCTCAAGCAAGAAGAGGAAAGATCTCAGCGACATGGGCCTTGGAGAGAAGACACTGGACTCCAACGTTGCAGGCGAGACGCCAGTTCCCGAGAACAAGAAGGCAAAGCTCGGCCACGGTGCTGCTGCTGGTAAGGTTGCTGCTGGTACCTCGCACTGGGATGGCATGACTAATGCTCTTGCTCCGTCTGCAGCCATCAATAAGGGCAAGGGAAAGGGAAAGACAGCGACCAAGCTTCTCAATGAGAGGTCTAAGGAGGAGGAGATGGACAAGAAGAAGACTGACGAGAAGGTTGAGGAGGAGGAAGATGTGGACAACGACGACAGCGGCGATGAGGCTGACTCTGATGATGAGAAGAATGAAAGTAAGTGCTCCGACTTCACTCTTGACAATCTGCCATAGCAGACACTTTGCTAACTTTCTCCAGAGCAGAAGTGATCGCTTGAGGAGAAGGAGAAGGAGGATATGTATGTGTTGGAGACTGGCAAGTGGACGGAATTAGCGACAGAGTTTGTTTGGCTGGCAGAATCTATGCTTGGAAATGTCGTATGGGAGTGATAGATCATTTCAATACCATTTGTTGCTTCGGCTGTCATTATCTTGCCCTTCGAAGTCGTGTTTGGTACAAGCCTTGCAAAGGAGGTGAGGTCGGACGTTCTTCCGAACTTCAGCCGGGCTCCTCTTCCGCGGGCTCAATGTTGCTGTCGATGATCGCAAATGGCCAGCCCTTTCAACGACTTGCTATTCTGATTCTCCTTATTACTACACACCCACTCGAAACCACCTCTGAAGTCTTAACGGAGAAGAAGTGGTGCTTGTGACACCAGTCCACGCCGACGCGCGCCACTCCCCTTTCGGCTTCATGTGTACATAACCTCCTCGAGCCTGTTCCTTCCACGGCGCAACATCACCCACCATGGCCTTCCTTCAAGTCGTTCGAGCCGTCTATGACTATGCGCCGCAGTCCGATGAAGAGTTGGAGATCAAGGACGGCGACCTGCTCTTCGTGCTGGAGAAGAGCTCCGAGGATGACTGGTGGAAGTGCAAGAAGAAGGCCGCCTCCGAGGATGAGGACGAGCCAGAGGGCCTCGTGCCCAACAACTACGTGGAAGAGGTCAAACCCACACACCCCGCCAAGGCACTCTACGACTACACCAAGCAGACCGATGAAGAGCTGAGTTTCCAGGAGGGCGCACAGCTGCAGGTGTATGACCAAACCGACCCGGACTGGACGCTGGTGGGAAGGAATGGCGAGTATGGCTTCGTGCCCGCCATCTACATCGAGCACCTACCTGCTGGAGGCAGTGCCGCTCCTGTCGCTGCTCCTGCGCCGCCCGCCATGCCTCCCCGCTCTTTAGCTGACGACGACGATGACGACGGACCGCTACCCGGAGAGGCCGATTATGTGCCTCCTTCATCACCGCAGACGTCTTCTAATAACCCCGCAGCAGCACTCGCTGGCATCATTGCTCAAAAGACTGGAGGTGCCACCGACTCCGCCCCCTCCACCCAACGAACGCTAGCCGCTCCTCCGCCGATGGCACCTCGCCCGCAGTATACGCCAGAAGAAAGTGACGAGGAGGAAGCACCGCCTCCAAAGCCGCAGCGCCCGCAGTCCAATGCCATGCCGTCTCCTTCGCCTATCCAATCACCAGCCCGCGCGTCACCACCAGTCCGATCACCAGCGAGGACAGAGTCACAATACGTGCCTTCCGGAACTGCCGAAGCTGGTGGCATTTTTCCGTCTCCGCCGTCAAGCGCAAGAACACCTACCTTTGACGACTATGACGTTCCTCGGAGTCCTGCGGGCTACCGCCTGTACAGTATACACGAAGTCATTACACACATGGGCAAGTCGAAGAAGCTCCCCATGACACTGGGCATAAATTTGCAGAAGGGCGTCATCAGGATATCTCCGGACAAGAGCAAGGATGGCGAGGCGAAAGAGTGGTCGGCGGAAAAGCTGGAACATTATTCGATCGAAGGAAAGCACGTATTTGTTGAGCTAGTCAGGCCCAGTCGGAGCGTTGACTTCCACGCCGGGGCTAAAGAGACAGCGCAGGAGATTGTGGCACATCTGGGCGAGGTGGCAGGCGCTAGTAGAGCCATTGGGCTGAGCGAGGTTTTGGAAGCGAGCGCAGGGACCGGTACTGCAGGGCTAAAGACAGGGCAGATGCTTTACGAGTTCATGGCGCAGGGCGATGACGAAGTTACGGTCGCTGTCGGAGATGAGGTTATTGTTCTGGACGACACCAAGAGCGACGAGTGGTGGATGGTGAGGCGGTTAAAGAATGGCAAGGAGGGCGTGGTGCCGTCTTCATACGTGGAGGTTACTGGCACAGTCCCGACACGACCCGACACTGCGCTGGATGCTGCAAGAAGCACTGTCGAGCAGAACAGGCTGGAGGAGGAAAGATTGGCAAAGGACGCTGCCAAGGGCAGTCGCGGTATACCAGAACGAGGCTCCAGCCTGACCGGCGAGTCATCTTCTTCACGGAGCAAGTCAAAGAGAGGCACCAAAGAGCCCAGCGGTGCAGGCAAGAGCAAGCCCAATCCAACTCGCGTGAGGATGTGGACCGACCGGTCAGGGACTTTCAAAGTGGAGGCGGAGTTCATTGGATTGAGGGAAGGCAAGATCCATCTTCACAAGATGAACGGCGTCAAGATTGCCGTACCTGTTGCGAAGATGAGCGTGGAAGATCTGGAGTATGTGGAGAAGGCGACTGGAGCGAGCTTGGACGAAGACAAGCCCCTTTCCGACATCAAACGAAGGTCAACTCAGAAGAAGACGAACGGGGCAGGGGCAGGGGCAGCAGGGGCTTCTGTCGTGCCAAAGGATCATGAGTACTGGTTCGACTTCTTCCTGCAATGTGGTGTAAACCCTCAGATCTGCGACCGGTACGCGAGTGCATTCAGCAGAGATCAGATGAGCCCTGAGGTCTTGCCGGAGGTGAACGAGCAGCTCCTTCGCACTCTGGGACTGAAGGAGGGTGACATCATCAGAGTGGTGAAGTTCCTGGACAGCAAGTACGACCGCAAGAAGACTGTGGTGGGCGGGCCAGGTGCGTCATCAGCAGGTGATCAAGATACGATCGAGCATGCGAATGGAAGTGGACTGTTCTCTGGCCCAGGCGGAGCGTTGAAGAACAACACACGAAAGGGCAGACCAGCGCCTGCGGTTCAAACGAATGATGTGGTGTCGGAGGACGCTTTCAAGACGAAGGACGATTCGAGCTCGCCCGCCGCGAGGAGTCCGAACGAAGGCGCACAACGGACGGTCCTGGCCAGTGCTCCCGCACGAGAGGCTAAGACCGGGTTTGATGATGATGCTTGGGACGTGAAGCCGGCTCGAACGCAGACTCCCGAGCTGCGAAGGCCTGAAGAGCCGTCCAGACCTGCAGAACCGCCGAAGCCAAGGATGAACGACGACATTGCATCTCTTTCTATCACGAGCCCGCCTTTGCAGCCAACACCAGCAGCACCGCCCGCACCTGTGCAGTCTCCTCCGCCCGAGCAACAGCAGCCTCAGGCACCGCCAGGCGCCAATCAGCAAATCTTCGACAAGATTGCTTCTCTGGCTCCTCGACAGCGCCCAAATCCTCCTCCACAGCAACAGCAGACTGGTGGCGCTTTGTCTATGCCTCCGCCACCGAGAGCAGCATCCGCACCTGGTTTCCAACCTCAGCAGAATGGCTTTGGAAACGTTGCACCGCTGCAGGCACAGCTGACCGGATACCAGCAACAGTATCAGCAGCCCATGCAGCCACAGCAGACGTCTTACCAACAACCTCAAGGCTATGGCGGCTTCCAGGGCCAACAGCAGAACGGATTCATGCCACAGCAGACGGGTGTCCAGGCTATGCAGCAGAATTACCCAGCTCTGCAACCCCAGCCAACAGGTCTCAACTTCCAGCCACAGAGCTCGTTTGGCCAGCAACAGCAGAGCCAGTTATATCCAGGCGGGAACTTACAGCAGCAACTCGTCAATGGCGCCCAAACAGGCTCACCCTTCGCCGACCCGCCACGACAGCCTTACCAGCCAAATGCTCCGAGTGGTCTGCATAACTCGTTCTCGATGCCTCAGCAGACTGGCTTCCAGCCTCAACAAACAGGTTTCCAGCCTCAACAGACGGGCTTCCAACCTCAACAACAACAACAGACTGGCTTCCAACAGCAGCAGCCAAGCTTCAATATCGCTGCTCCAACTGGCATGAACGGTGGCTACGGGGCTCAACCGCAGCAAGGCGGAGCGCCACAGCTCCCTCCCCAGCAGACTGGTGGCGTGTTCGGCCCTTCGCAGCCCGTCACGCCGCTGGTGCCGCAGAAGACTGGACCTGCACCGCCCGTGAGGTTTGGCGTGCAGCCGGGCGACAAGAAGTTGATGCCGCAGCCGACGGGGAGGGCCAATTTGGCGAAAGCTAGTAAGTCTTGAATTCCTACGAACTGTCACGACCCTACTAATGCGAATCACAGCTCCCCAGAATCCCTTCGGTTTTTAGAGTGTCTCGGGAAAGGTCGATTTGCTTTTCAGCGGGGATGTGCTTCGTGTGACGTTTGGAGTTGCTGAGCGTTGCGATGCATCAGGCAGGAAGACCTGCTCAAGGTGAGAGAACGTGTACATAGGGTGTAATGGACCTTTGTGGACAACTTTAGCTGCGTCATTCCTCATTTCATTTCATGCAGCATGATATCATAATGTAGCATCTGACTGACGCTAGCAATGCTTTACCGATGTCCACCAGACCGACGACTTCTCTGGATCGTCCAAGGCCGCCGCTCACACGCTTGCCTCCTGCCTATCATCATGGCCCCCTAACAAAGGTCCCTCTTTACCGTCACTCTCAGGACGACCAGCTTTCTCCCCATCCGGATACTGTACGTGCAAGAACCTCAGATCGCCAGTCCTCCCCGTATTGGCCACAGCACCGAGACCAAGCCACTTGAACATGTCATCGCTGACTTCGTCCTTAATCGACTGCGGCAGCTTCGCCGTCCAATTCACCTGCTGCCGGAGGAAGGGCTTGGTGTAGTATCCAAACAACAACGGCCGGTCGACATTTTGCGTCACGTTGGCGCCAGACGTGTGCCATACTCGGGCATCCATACAAATCATACTACCCTTCTTCGCCTCGAAGGGGACGAGCAGCTCGGGAGCGTTGTCCGGGACTTCAGCCCGGGAGGTCCACTTGTTCGACCCGGGGATGTATTTGGTCGCTCCATTCTCAGCGTAGATATCGGGCAAGCAGAACATGCAGTTGATGGCCCACACCTCTCTCCACGGATCCGGAACGACGATGCTCTGATCGCTATGCAACGCCATCGATTTGGATCCAGGCGTGGCGATGTTGGCGGTGAAGTTGCTGATGAGGAAGTCTTCTCCTAGCACCGACTTGACTAAATCCACCGCTACTGGATGGGCGATTAGTTCGCGAAAGACGGCGTCGAGTTCGAGGAGGTAGAAGACGCGGATGTTGCTATCGTTGGGGTCGAGGTGTTGCATATGCGTGAGGTCGCCGCGTTTCTCGCCGGATTCTTTGGCTTTCCAGAGGCGGGCGAGGATGTGGTCGGCTTCGGAGGGGGTGAGGATGTCGGGGATCACTACGTAGCCTTCGTCGGAGAGGTGTTTGCGTGCCCAGGCGTAGTTGGAGGGATCGACGTTGCCGTTGGCGCCGTATGTTGCGGTTTTGGCGGTCGTCATTGTTTCAGGAAGTTTGGAGGATGATGTCGCTGTGCTGATTGAAGAATCGATTTGGTGTTTCAGTCCTCTTTAAATTCGTTCGATCATCTTCGTAGAGCCATCGATCTGTTTATGAAGGCAGCTCCGCATTTGCCTTGGGCTGCCTCGGGAAGCCAGCCGAACGCTTGTTGGAGACCTTACCTCACCTCATTCTTGGCTCGAAATCCTTTGAACTGAATTGGGCCTCCACTGAATTTTGAGCCTTCCTCAATTTTTGAGATGGCTTTGGCGACTCTTCTGGTCGTCACCGGCGGCGTTGCGCTCCTGGGAGCCGTCCTCTGGCCAGTCATCCTTCGCGACCTGGTCGTTGTCAACTTTGGGTATGGTCGGCGGCTCCAGCCATTGTCAGACTTCCCATATCAATGCAGGCGGATCACTGGACCCGGACTGCAAGCATGCGAGGACATGTGGCTGTCCGAGCAGACGAGGCAGCTCTTCCTGGCCTGTTCGAATCCTCTGAGCAGGAAGGAGTGGATGCCAAAGTGAGAGAGCATCAGTCGAGCATCTCGAATATTGAGCTGACCGACCACAGCATCCAACGCCTCAATGTCTCGGGCCGAAGTCTCGACGACAGAATCATCGCCATGAGCATCGACGAGCCCGTTGGTGCTGGTTTCCAGTATCGAGAACTCGAGATCCCGGGGGCGGAGATGCACTTTGTGGGCTTCACCGGTATGGCGTTTCAGAAAGAGGCAGCATAATAATACTGCTGACGTCATTCTTCGTCGTATGCAGGGTTTGACTACGAGGACCACACCGACCTCTACCTCGTCAACAACAAGCCGTTCATCGATCTCACCACACGCAAACTTCTGGACCCAACGGACAAGGGCGCCAACACTACTATCGAGCACATTAGAGTAAACACGGAGGCAGAGACCGTGACCGTGGTCGGGACATTCTCTGACCCGCACATCACCACGCCGAACAACATTGCCACCAAGGGTGATAGCTCCTTCTACTTCACGAACGACCACGGCCCACACAAGCTAGGCTATCGTCACCACCTAAGCCCCTTCCTGAAAGACGGCGAGATCGGCTACTGCAATGAAGGTGGATGCCGGCAGGTCGAGAGCGGGATTGGGTTCCCCAATGGCTTGTCCTTTGGCGCTGACGGTCTGCTGTATGTGCCGAGCTCGTTTCAAGGCGATGTTCGAGTGTACCGACCACAGCAGGATGGCGGGCTGGAGCAGATAGATACGATCCCGCTTTCGTACCCTCTGGACAATCTCTCGTTGGATGCCGACGGTGACATATGGGTGCCTGGACTGCCTGATATTCAACAGACCCTGGACGGCTTCGCCAACCCTCTCGACGTCACGCCGCCAGCGAGCGTCTTCCGGATCAAGAAGGGCCAAGACGGCTATCAAGTGGACAAGGTGCTTGAAGATGGAGAGGGCGAGATCTTGCCAGCAGCGACGACGGTGGTGCACGACGTGAAGACGGGGAGGTTGTTCATTTCTGGAGTCTTTTCGCCGTTCATCAGCGTCTGCGAGCCGAAGAAGTAGGGACGAAATGTGACAGACTGGCTAGAGGGGAAGGGAAAATTCGACCAATAGTAGACGGGGCCTGACAAACCGTCAGACTGAATGGTCTGGACTGCTCTATACCTGTCTTGTCTCTCTCTCCCCTCAGGCTCATCCGGAAACACGTCATCGTGCGGTCACTATGACTGTCGTAGTCTGGAGACAGCCCTTGCGAAGATGAACTGGACCTGGCTGGCTTTGCGGCTACGTTCAACTAGCATGCCCAAGCTCCATCGATGGCATATGTAGCGCCTGAAATCGTTAGCTCTGGAAGTACACGACTGCTGACTGTGATGTTCTACCTGATATGAAAGCTGATTCGTCACTGAGCAAAAAGGCGATGAGGTTGCCTACTTCGTCGGGCTTCCCAAGCCGGCTGATTGGCGTTGGGTGGTAGTCGTGCGGTACCACACCTTCCAGCGCATTACGCTTGTCCATCAAAGGGGTCGCTATACTCCCAGGTGCGACTGAATTGACTCGGATGTTTCGTTCTCCCACTTCCTTTGCAGCGCTTCTCACCAAGCCCAACATGCCATGCTTCGAGGCCTGATATGACGTCAGCAGCCAGCATCAGTGTCAGAATTCTGGCTCTTACTGTGTACGCAGCGTGCTTTGCAAACCCCATCGTGCCCTGGATGGAGCTGACACAGACGATGCCGCCCGGCCCTTTCATCGCTTGGAGCTCCGCCCTCAGCACGTACATCATTCCCGTCAGGTTGACACGCATGATCATATCCCACTGGTCGTCATCCTGCTGCTCGACCGTGCGAGTCCCATGGTGCTTGCCGATTATTCCCGCACAGTTGGCTGCTCCATCTAGACTCCCAAAGCGTTCAATGGTTGTGGCAATCCACTGGTCAACTTCTTTGCGGTTGGAGACGTCCACTTTGGTCAGCATCACCCTCTCCCGGTCTTGGAAACTCGCTGCAGCTTCGTCGAGAGCATTTTGGTCAACATCTGCAATCGAAATTGAGCCGCCCCTCGAGTAGATGGTCTGGGCTGTAGCCAGGCCGATGCCGGAAGCTCCTCCACTAATGGCTATGGTCTTGCCGGTAAAGTCGTTGTCACGTCCCATCGCTTGAGCAGTACTTGATCAGGTCGCGAAGCTCGTGGAAGAGGAACGGAAACAGTGTCGAAGGAGAGGTATGCAGCCCCACCTCGCATGTGGAGCCGTCGAAGTTGTCCCTGCCTCCATCGCAGTCGCCGGTTGAGGTGTAGCTTTCGACAGAAGATTCTTTGCCTGGGCGCGGACGCGAAGGCGACGTGATTGGTATGACTGGCTTGTCGAGAAGGAGGGAAGGTCAAGGGCCTTGACAGGGTGGTATGACAAGGCGGTGACTGCGATGGCCGTGGAGTTTCGAGAGGAGAGGATAAGCGGCGAGCAGCTCGAGCCGGCAAGGCAAATCTGTGAAAGGCACATCAGCGAACGACCGCACTGTCGTTGTGCAAGTTGCAAGTCGCACGTCTTGTGCTCTGTTTGAAACGCGTCGAGATTTTATGATCTCTGCTGGCACAAGCAACATTGTTGACAATTCTTAAAATGGTGGGTGACCACTTTTCGTCGATTCGAAATTTTGGGTCACGTGATTTGACCTCACCCCTGTATATCGACTCGGATAAGCCAACCACCACTTGCATAGCTTATTCGACTTCGTATAGGGCTAAAGATATAGCGGAGAGTACTATACGAGGTTGTGGTCGCAATCTAGAAGGGTAGCAGCCTATCCGCCGCATTTTGCATCGAGTGGAAATTCTGAGTCACGTGATTTGACTTCATATATGTATATCGACTCGGACAAGCCAACTACCACTTGCATAGCTTAGCTAGCTTCGGATAGGGATGAGAAAGCCAAGAAGAGCACTATATGAGCCGCAATTGGTCATTGGAAAGAGTAGAAGCTTATACGAGGCACGAATGTGGGCGCTCGCTCTCTTACTAGAACTTCAACCCACCCGTATAGGCTCGATGTTTATTCTGCCGCCTTTGAACTCTCGTATAGGCAAGAGACTATACCTTAGAGTACTACCCGAGCAGGATAGTCTCTCTACTACCTGTAAATACTTATACGAAGGTATCCTGCCCGCTTACTACTACCTAGACTTCGACCGACCGTATAAGCTACCAAGCAAACGAAGGCGCCTCTAAAGCTCGGGTAGCAAAGATTGCATGATTTTAGAGCCTATACGAAAGTTTTGGGACATGCGGAATTGCGGGTGCACTATACGGACGACACGCTTCCTCTACCCAAACTCCAACCCGCCCGCGTAAGACGATGCCCTATCTTTTGGCTCTGAACTTCTCCGACCGTCGAGATACCTTCCTATCCACGCCTATACGAGAGTCTCATTGTGCTTCGACTACTCGGAAGTCTCCTCGACTGCCTGCTCTACCACCTAGGATTGGGCCCACCGGACAACGGCTACGATGGTCGGACAGAGACCAAACGCCCATATAGGGCGGCACACATGCAGCTTACCACTATACGAGAATGAAGCAGCTCCTGGACCACTCAGGCCCTTATCCGGTAGCATCAAGACCAGTGACATACAAGTCACGTGATGTGTCTTGGCCCTGGCTTTACTTCCACCAACGGTGCACCTTCCGACAACGATCGAGGTACAGATTTGGCTGACGTGTCTACATAATTCTGCTGCTGGCAATGCGAATCGTCCCAACCGAGACGAGACGGAAGCAAGGCGACTATCATCTCAAGTGAGACGAGACGAAATTTGCCCAAATTCTGACTTCGGCAGAGCTTAAGATTCCGTGTCTGTAGCATGCCCGCCCGAGGACCTTCAGTTCTTACCGGAGCTAGCCACATCTTGCACTTTTCTGCTGATAGTTTGATTTGACAATCTCACATGGAAAACATCACTTGGGAAAACTCACTTGGAACATCCCACTTGGGCAATCTCACTTGGAACATCTCACTTTGGAATCCTCACTGTCAACTTCAATATCAGAGCGAGGTCTCGTTATCAGTATCACGAAAGAGCGTTCGAAGCTCCTCGGAAGACCTGCCACAGCCAGAACGGCTACCGTCGGCCCACCTCGATTGTGTTATCACGGCAATCTCAGCCCGATCGGGCAACGCATCTCAAGTCTTAATCCACCACGGCAACATCACCTTCTCCTGGCCAGCGAGTCCACCTTCGAATCTGTTTTCACTGATAGCACATTCACCCAATCCGCAAATACGCTGGCCCTTTACTGCTCTCGTCCGGCTGTCCTGCCCCATACGAGCTCGGAATGGCAGAGCAAACAGACTCCGGCCTCCGCACAAGGTACCCACCCGCCCTACCGAGGCACCGCAAAGAAAGTATCGCGAACCACGTCGCGTTGATGATGCGTATGAGATAAGTATCAAGAGGAGATTCATTCTCCTTTGTGCGTTTCCTTCGTCACTTCCTCATTCCACAACATGCAACGCTCTCTCAACCGCGACCAGGCGAACGACGTCAACGGCCATGTCAACGGTGATGCCAAGCCAAACGGAGCACCGCTGGAGCTCGATCTGGACGCGGTGGTTATAGGCGCTGGCTTTGCAGGGGTATATCTTCTCTACAAACTTCGAAAAGAAGGTCTTCGAGTGAAGCTCATCGAAGCTGGGGACGGTCTAGGAGGCATTTGGTACTGGAACAACTACCCTGGAGCGAGAGTCGACAGCCAGTACCCCATCTACGCCCTCGCGATCCCAGAAGTCTACGAGACATGGCACTGGACCGAGCAATACCCTGGCTCCGCCGAGCTTCAACGATACTTCAAGCACATGGACTCCGTTCTCGACCTCTCTAAGGACACCATCTTCAACACACGAGTCAGCAGAGCGAGCTGGGATGAGTCCGCCCACAAATGGCACATCACCTGCGACAATGGCACCCAGATCACCACACGATTCATGAACTGCTGCCTTGGGTTTGCCGCAAAACGACACTTCCCGGAATGGCCAGGTCTCAGCGACTTCAAGGGCTACATGTGCCACTCTTCCTTCTGGCCCAACGAGGGCGTCGACATGAAGGGGAAGAAGATGGCAGTGGTGGGCAATGGGGCTACGGGCATTCAGATCGCTCAGACTGCGGCGAGAGAGGCGAGCGAGCTGACCGTACTGGTCCGGACGCCAAACACATGCATACCAATGAATCAGCACGAGGTCGATCCCGAGCAGGCGAAGAAGGATTTGGAGACCATGGGAGACAAGATTGGCCGTGAGCGGTATCTCAACCATGGCGGCTTCCTGATAGAAGGACAGAATAAGAACGTGTTTGATGATCCAGAGGAGCGGCGGAAGGAAGTTCTCGACAAGGCGCTGGATGAGGGAGGCTTCAGGGTGTTGTTCCAGTATGATGACCTCCTGACGGACGAGAAGGCCAATCGATACGTCTACGACCACTTAATGGCCAGGACGCGAGCTCGCATGACCGACGAGAGGAAGAAGGACATCTTAGCACCGTTAGAACCACCGCACCCCTTCGCAGGAAAGCGACCATCTCTCGAGCAAGGTATGATATCATCGTGCATTTCCAGAGCCAATGACTAATCTTACCCTACAGACTATTACGAGCAAATGGACAAACCTCACGTGAACATCGTCGACCTGAAGACCAATCCCGTCTCGCACGTGACAGAAAATGGCATCGTGACGAAAGACGGCACTGAATTTGAACTCGATATCATCGCGATTGCAACGGGTTTCGATTCCTTGACTGGCGGCTTCATGGAAATCGACTTCACAGGCCTCGACAATGAGAAGCTCAACAAGAAGTGGACCGGCGAGCGAGGTGCTCTCTCCTATCTTGGAATGACGGTTCATCAGTTCCCGAACATGTTCTACACCTACGGCCCCCACGCACCGACTGCATATGCCAACGGCCCTTCTATCGTCCAACCGCAGGGCGATTGGATTACGGATGTCATCATGAAGATGCGAAAGGAGGGCAAGACCAAGATCGATGCGAAGAAGGACGCAGAGGAGGAGTGGAAGGAGATGATCAATAAGGTATCAAAAATCACCCAAGATTAGGGTTAGGAATGAAACACCGCTGACGTCAGCAGACACACGCGAAGACGCTGCGGAACAACGTCGATTCGTGGTACATGGGTGGGTGGTCCCCTGAAACGTTCAGGAAAAGGAGGCTGTACTAACCGTCTCTGCAGGCACCAACATCCCTGGTAAACCAAAGGCACCCTTGAATTACTCCGGCGGGATACCGCTGTACATCAAGACGATTAACGAGGTGCTGGAGAACGATTACGATGGGTTTGAGGTTTCATGATGATGTCATTTTGATTCAGCGATATGGTAGCATTCATGGGCGTTGTTTAGCCATACAGCTTTCTGCAGCAATGCACTGCGTACTACCACTTCAATCATTAAACCAGTAGGAAGGACGAGCGTGAAGAGTGCAGGCAGTCACTTCACCGCAATGAAGCCGACGCCCTGCCTCGCCTTGTGGCAAGCCTTGCGCAGCTTCTGCTCTTCATCGTCCGTCCACTTCACGCTCAGCTCGTCCCACTTCTTGACCTTGTACTCCTCCTTGAACTGTGTTTGCAAGGCCTGCATCTCCGCCAGCTCTCTCGGATCTCCAGAACCAGAGAACACGATGAACGCAGAGCAGGGCGGCAGTGTCTCCCACACCGCTTGGATGCGCGAGACCATCTGTGCGGTGACGTCAGCCAGCGTGTCGGCAGAGGTTGAATTGGTCGTGGTATCGAGCAGTGATTGATTGTCGAGGGTCTTGGAACGAGTCCACCAGCCGCGATGAGCCTCCAGCTCGCGAAGTCGGGCGAACACGAAGTCGACACCACGTTCTGGTGAAGGGTCGACATCCTCCTCTTTGGCGAGCGCATGCTTAATCCCAGCAATGACCTGCTCGTCGCTGTCGCAGCCGATCGCCTCCTTCGCAGAAGCACCGTAGCCTCTGGCGGGCTCGCCCCAGTCCACTACAGCGCCAGTCCTGAACTCATCATCCCCGCTCGGATGAACCTTGTCTCTCTTCGGACGCTTCTGCCTGCCCAGACGCTTGAAGATGCTCTCACCAGATGCTTCAGAAGTACCCCACATCTTACCCTTCTCGCACTTCTGCTTGACGAGATCCAAGCAAGCCTTGGCATCCTCAACGCTGTCATGCCCGGTGGAGCCATGGCCTTTCTGAATCTCACGTGACAGGTACTTCTGTGCGAGCCACTTCAGGCTGGACTTGAGCGGTGGACCACGGGGGTGTGGGAAGAGTATGGTCGTGTCGATGATGAAAGGATGTGTGAGCTTGAGCGCGTTCATGTCTGAGTTGAGGGAGTGGCCGACCAGGATGGTGTTTGGGGTGATGATGTCGGAGATGAGCTTCTTCTGGATGTCTTGCAATGTGGTTGTGACACCCTCCAGCTTCTGCGCGGTGATGCCAGAATATGGCGTGAGGTAGTCTGTGATGGGTTCTTCAGGCTTCACAAACTCGTCCAGTATCACAGCACCATCCCAGTCGATGACAGATATCCGAGTGAGGCTGAAGACTGCTGGAGTGCTGCCGGCCGGTGAGGTGATGCACATCTCGCAATCCATGGTCAGAACTTTTCTGCCTGCCAAGATAGAGCCTTGCTCGATGTCCCGCTCTGCTATTTTGCCTGCGGCCAGATCCGGGATGTTTGAGGTGTCCGTCCAGCCGCTGGTCCCAGTCTGACCACTCGCTTCTCGCTTGGCAGCCGCCTCTCCAGCGAATTTCGTGCCGTTAAAGTGTGCCGGATGCAGTACGTAGCCCTCCTCAGCCAGCTCATCTGTGGTCGCAACATACTCAGTGATTGGCGTACGTTGATTCTTCCAGTTCTTGCCTTCCGGAGGGGGTTGTGGGCCTTTAGACTTCTTCTCTTCCTTCGTCCTCACTAAAGGTGCAATAAGCATACCAGCCATCGGAGAGTGCATCTTGGCGTACTTGTCATCGCCGGGTGCTTTGACAGGCCAGATGTGCTCGAAGATGTCAGCGAGAGGCTGGAGTGGTGGGGGCAAACGGTCATGTTTGAGACGCGTCGGGTAGTAGTCGTCTGGCGAGATCTTGCGATGCTGAACAGCCTGAGATGAAGAATCTTCTGCGGTGGCACTCGTGGCTTGTACATTTGTCTCGTTCTGCGCTAGCTCTGAGCTATCTGCGGTTGATGCGCCATTGGTAGCCTCCTCTTGCTCCTCTTCTGGCGGTGACAGAGGAATGCTCCCATCAAACATGCCGGCTTCCAGACCGGGCACCATCAAGGCGACGACCTTGTGAACTTGGCCATGATGCCGTACACCACACCACTGGGGTGAGTTGCCATCGGCGAGCAGGTACAGCACCAGGTTTTGCAGGTCGCTCACCTTTACCGAGGACTGCAGCCGGTTATGTGAGGAGTGGTATATGGCTGGGTAGTTGTCGCCGTCTTTCTTCGCATGCTTCTTTCGCTTCTTGCTCCTCTCTACTGTTTGCCAGTCTCCGTTGCCGTCTGCGTCGCCGTTCGTGTTGGTGGGAGGAGAATCTTCAGGACCTTGACCTTCTTCCCTCAGGTGAGCGAGCGTCTCCCCCATACCGACATTGTTGTCGCCACGACGATAAGAGTCATGCGAGCGCTTCCGCCAGTTGCTATTGCGTGTCATCGTTGTGGTGTCGACATAGGTCTGCCGCAGCTCACGACAGAATTTCTGATCAACTTGGAGTTCGAGCTTCGAAGGGTGACGTCGCTGGCCTAGCGCCTATTGGCCCGGGATTAGCCGCCGCTAGCTGAGGTCCAAAAATTCGAGGATCGCTTGCGATGCCAGTGAACATCCCCAGCCTCCCGCTCGACCACCACAGCAGCCATGCCTCCTCCTTCGTCGAGTCGACTATGCTGCTGTTTTTCTCACATGGCGGAGTCTCTCTGATGCAGCACACCATGAGCGAGACACCGATGATCCTGGATGCCAATGATACAATGAGCAACATGAGCCCGCCCCTTTGCATGTCCTGTGCAACCAGAGCATGTCTGCTAGTAAGTCCCATCTCTTTGTCAACATCGTTCTTTCTTCGTATCAATTATCAACATGCGCCTGCTTCCCCCTCGACACGAAGGCCTACATCCGGCACTTGCAACTCCAGAGCCACCATGGTCGCCGAGTGGCCTCACCTCCAAGACTGGGAGGAGAATCATCTACGCGGCACTCCTTGGTCTGCCTTGCATCTTCGTTGGCGTCAGGCCAGGCGTGAAACCAGTTCCGAACGCGAAACTCGCCAGCAGTGTCTTCGCATTAACGTTCTTCGGGAACACCGTCATTGGAGGTCTGGGAGACGCGTGGAAGGCCACGAAAGCCAGGTGCTTCTTGGAAATGCAGGACATACCGCGTCGAGAGTTCAAGTGGTTCGACCGCCCTGGATCCTTCGGTCAAGACGATGCCATCCTTTTGGGTGGTGTAGCTGGCGTTCTTGCTGCTAGCCAGTTGCGCAAAGCCTGGATGATCACAGGCTGGAGGCGATGGACGGGTGCGTTCGTGCTAGGGTGTGGAGTAGGGAATTCTTTATTCAAGATGATTTTCACACGTCACAGAGAGATGAGGGCAAGATGGGCTGAGGCGAAAAGACAAGAGTTGCAGTGGACCGAACAACTGGAGCACTCATGGTTATGCGGCAAGAGGGGTAATGGTCTTCGTATGTGGCATCTACTGTCCGGCACTATCATCTACCATCGGAGCACAGCAAATCTCGTCCCACTTACTCCCAACATGGCTGCAAGCATATCTAAGCTCGAACATCACATCGCCGAACTGAAATGGCGTCGGGACGAAGCGGCTCGTGAACTCGATCGGTCATGGAGCTCATTGCTTGACAAAGAAGCCGAGCTTACCGGTGCGGGGATATCAGGCAACGCGCCAGATATCAAGGCTGTTTCGTCCTTCCTGATAGCATCGTACACAGCGCAAAGCGATCTTGCAGCACGTGTCGGCAGCTATGGAGCTCTGATATCAGATTCCAGGGAACGCATGAAGCGGATACGGTTCGGTGAAACAGTTGCGGACGGCACCCCAGCGACATGGCTTCCTCCATCCTCAGCTCCGCTAGATCTCCTTGGCTCTTACATGCTACCGGGTGCAGCGGCGAAATTTGCAGACATTCGAAGTCGGCATCACCAAATATACAACAATGCTCTCCGATCGCAAAGCACGGAGAGGCTACAGCTCGCGCTAGAGAGACGGATGGAAATGTCCAGTCTGGTAGCCCCAAGGACTTGGTTGGACTTTCAGCTCCTTCGGTGGCTGCTCGACATGTCTACCAGGTTTCGCCAACTTAGGCGAAGCAATGCAAATCGAGAGAAGACCACCACTCTGTATGTAGTATCCCGTATAACTTCACCGCTCCCGATCGTTCGAAGGGTCGGCAGGCACCCTGTTTAGCAAAAGAGCAGCACGAGCATTGTTACGCTCGTAAAGGACGGACCTTAGGTAGGTAACATAGCGATATCTGTCCGTTGGGCTATTATTACTACTGGATGCTACCACCATACAGCCGCATGTCGCTTTTGAAAGACTGGACCATTCGACCATTCGTCGATCCAATCCCGTGGATCCAGTCCCTTGCATGGCGACCTCCTGCATTGTGGCGTCAGAGCCGTGGCTGTTGTGTAACAAAGGAAGCACCTGCAGATTTGCAGATCTTGCCGTTTGGCGCCAGACTTGATGTCGACAAAATAGCAGCCTGCAAAAATGCGACTATTCCCGCCGAGCCATGAAGGTCGCCATACGGCCTTTCCTGTTTTCCCTGCACCCTACGCGCCTACATCGACATCCCAAGCGGCAGGCCTTACAGGAGGTATTTCGACCGTGGTGCCGTGCGCTTTGGCAATCAACCAACTTTTTGGCCTGTGGAAGCCACAAGCATCCACCTGGAGACGTTTCAATGCTGTTTGCACGTACGGCTTCTTAGGCGTCGCCGGCTGCGCCATCTTCCATGATTTCATGATACGCCAGATTGCCGGCCGTCTTCTAGAAGACCAGGAAATCGCGCCACGCCCGTGCAGAGCACTCGACCGCTTGGGTCACTTCGACGAAGACGACGCTTTGCTCACTGGTGCTGCGATTGGAGTCGTCACAGCGTCCTTGCTTCCAAGACCATGGGCTGTTGTGGGCTGGAGGCGGTGGATCGGCGCAGTCTCATACGGGTCAGGAGCTGGATGGCTTGCCTTCAACAAACGGCGTGTATTCCAAGTTGGTCGGCAAGGCTTCACAGACGACACGAACCGCAACTTTGTCCAGTACATGAAGAACAGAGAGGAGTATCAAGCGCTCATCAAGGCGACCGTCGCCTAATATGTGGATGGCAAACAGGACATCGGCTTGAAAACATTGGACGCGACCAAGCCCAGATCACCCAGTCCTGCTACAACTGCCCATTCCTCCGGTTTAGGTGGCCACCCTGCAACCCCTCAGACGACCATTCCGGCGGGAGGTGGCAACGTTGTTCTTTCTACAACACCTCCAACACCAACCTCGGGCTGGACCAAGATAGGCATCGACGCTCGAAGCTGGACGAACGAAACCGACGAGCCTCATCTTACGGCGAAACCGAATCCACAAGCTGAGCCAGAGCCTTACGGTAACACGAACTATCTCTGGGACATTCGTTCGGCCGACAGCACTGCCAAGCTGAAGAGGCATATCGAGGCGAAGGTGGACACGGAAGCCATCCGAAGTGTTCTTCGAGACGCAGAGGAGAGAAGCAAGAATGCTTGATGGTGCACTCATCAGTGCTCTAGTGTGATTCAGATCGAAGACGACTTGGCAGAGAGCTGCTGAGCTTGGAAGAAGAGAGACGTCGCTGTCGTTTTCGTCTCCTGAGAAACTTCTCTGAGAGGCAAAGCGTCTTTTCCAGGTACATAGCATTAGATACAAAGATCAAGAGACCACTCCGCTCCCACCAATGTTTCCGGGAAGCCAGTCTCGCCGGTCCAAGAACTTTGCATCTGCCCAACTTCATCTCGTCGTGATGGGGTTTGCTTTTTGTCTAACTTGGAGCAATCCATTGTATGTCTTCTTGAATTATCGAAGTATCACTCACTATACGTACAAGGTATCGATATCGCCACACATCCACAAACTGCAAATGTAGGTATTCCCAATCGCACATGCAATAACCAATGCGCCCGCTTCCAAATCCGCACCTCAATCACCACCCGCCTAAATCTCCTCCCGTCCTTGCTCTTGCTCTTGCTCCTCGCTCGCCTCCTCCTCCACCGTCGCCATCCTTGTGTCCTCTTGCTCACCCCGCCGTTGATGGTTTTCAGCTTGCGCCTCGCTCATCTCGCGCATCACCACGTCCGTCATTTGACTGCTGGCCCCTTCCTGACCTTCACCAACCCCTGTCTGCTCCTCACTCCTAGGCTCCCTCTTCATCTCCGCCTCAGTAGTATCTCGCTGCTCGTGGGTCGGGAAGAAACGTGCACCGGCACTCCTACTGGCGTCTTCCACCGAACTCGGGAAGATGCGACTCATAAGCTCGCGATGCCGCTCCTGGGTATCAGTCGGCTCACCCCCCTCGCGATCCTGCGTAGCACTGCCCGGTGATCCCGAGTCCTCTTCATCATCCTCTTCCTCGGACAGCGAGTTCGCCGGCGCAAGCGAGCGGGCAGAAGTAGGCGTCCTCCCTTCCATCTCCGCCCGCTCTGCCTCCTTCTTCGCATGCACCTTGCGTAAGTTGTTCGCTGAGCTCACCGAGCGCATGTCTGGCCGTCCGTCCTTTCGGATCAGGACTCCTTCAGCGTTGCGGAAAGGCTTGCTGCGCGACTTCTTCCCGCCGCTGCCGGGGCCCTGATCACTCGCGCCAGCTGCGAAAGGATCGTAGGGACCTTGTGTCGTGAGTGGTGTAGCTGGCAACTCCGACTCGCGCTCGGATGGCCCTGCTGCTGCCGCGCCTACTCGTCGCACGATCCCGCCTCGTGAAGTGTCTTGAGGGGAGCCAGGCTGGTGAGGTAGAGGGCGGTAGTACCCATTGGGCGAGACTTGGGTCCCTGTCCAGTCTGCACGCTCCCATTCAGGTGTTCCAAGTTCCGGGCCAGCAGCGGGCACGATGCTGACGCCCCCTCGTCCACCACCTCTGCTTCCCCGTGCACGACCTCGGCCGCCTCTTCCACCTCGCCGCCCACCACCGACTCCGTGCCCGCGATGCGGCATCTGCATCAGGCGCTCCGTCTCCGGTCGCCAGGATTCTTGCGAGTCGGCGGACTGCGTCGAGACGATGAAGCGATGGCCGGGCATGTTTGCGGACGCTGGCGTGGGCAGCGTGTGCGCCTGAGACGGTATCTGCGACTGCGAGCTATCTGACGGCGCGCGTGAACGTGACAGGTGTGTATCTGCTGTAGAATTTGGCACGTTTGAGGGTATATAACTGGACTCCTCGATGTACGTCGTCCTCGGCATGATGGGCGCAAGTCTTGGCCGCTTCGGTGAACCAGGTACTGATGACTGGTAAGGAGATTGTCGGGGCTCTTCGAAAGGACGCTTGGCTGTTGGAGGGGCATTGACAGCTGCCCATCCTGCCGCTTGCGCCTGCGGATGATGAAACGTTTGTCGGCTTGGACCGGGCTGGGTGGGTGGTGGAAGTGTATTTGAAGAGACACTGTTGTCGCCCATATGCCAGCCGGACAGAGCACTAGGCGGGGGCAACGGCTCGCCCAACCTGAAGCTGCCCATTGAGGAGGCTTGCATCGTTGCTGAAGAATCCATCGACGGTCGATGCAGCGCTGACAAAGTATGCGAGGTCGATCGGGTGTCGACAGGCGACATGTTGGCGGACGTGCGGATCGGTGGCAGCGGATGATGTTGGGACGGTATCGATGGTGGCCGAGACGGCCCGCTGTACTGACTGGGCACTTGCGACTCGCGGTATGCCGGTTCGCGCATTGCTGGACCGGGTCCTCGCATCGTGTCCGCAGCTGTAGGCGGGCCATGCTCCTCCCAACGCTTCATCCTGTTCTCCAGCAGCCTCACCTGCATTCGAAGCGCATCGACTTCGTTGACCCGACTCGAAATGGCGCCCACCCGTTCTGCAAGCACGTTCAGATCCTCGGGGTCATGGCGAGTTGGCTCCACGGTGGGCCTTGCTCTCTGCTCTGCACGAACGTCTTGCAGGACAGCCATGGCATTGCCGACAGCTTGGTCGAGTTTGGTGATTGCAACCTCGATATCCTGTACCTTCTGCCGGTGCGAATCTAACATGCTGGTGTTATGCGACACCTGCGTCTGGACTCGCGAGATCGCACCCGCCCACACTTCGCCGGAGGAGGCATGCGATCCATCTTGAGTATAACCGATCGATGATTGCGTCGAGCGCCCAAATGTCCTGGACGAGCCGGAGGGCGCTGGCGCACGCACTGCAAGGTTGCGAGGTGTCGATATGCCACTGGCGCGCTCATCTTCCTCTGTCAACTGCTGTCCCGTCTCCATGTCGATTGAAGCTTCATCGAGAGTGATGAGGGTTGTTCACACTAAGCAACGCGATCGACACCGTAGCGTGCTGCCTTGCTGCCGATCACACTCAAGGCGACGCTTCCATGAAGAGGCACGACAGCTGGAAGATAGATGAAGATTGTGAGATGCGAGCTTCGAGGTCCAGGTCCAGGTCGGGGTACGGCAGCAATAACCTCATCGGCCCTCATTTAATCTCTCAATGCCTTTCATCTCACAGATCTCGTCCTGAAACACGCTCGAAAATTACCTATCACACCAAGAAAAATCAGATTCAGGCGGCGCACAGACTCTGACCACGATCGCAGGGAGCAGGGTTCGCCGCCGCGAATCTTACCATCCAAGCACAATTTTATACAGACGTCAGTTGCAGTCTAGGGCAGGTATTAGCAGATATAGTTTGATTGTAGGCGGTAGCTACACGCACGCTAGTCGGAAATAGATGGACAGCTAGCATGGAATCTTGTTCTTGTTAGGCGCGGTTAGCTTCTGCTTCCTCGTGCCACCGATGAAACGCCGTCCTGTCAATCGTCGAGCTCGTCATGTTGCACGGTGGTGTGATCATATGATAGCGGCTTGTGCAGGAGCCGATCGAATACGAGCCAATGGTCAGATCCGCTGCTGGTCCTCGTCGAGCAATTCTTTGCGGCGGGCAATGTACCTTATTATGTGGTACCGTTTAGCCTTGAAACGTCTGCAATTACAGATACACCAATTCTCCGATTGTGTGGCGTTCCAGCGCGCCGTTAAGCGTGTGCGAGACACGATACAGTACTTGACAATAGATGGGTGTCGGGAGGAGGTACCGCAGGTTGCGTAACAAACAAGTAGCAGTCAGGTTCTGTCTCCAATGGCCTGCTGTGAATTGCTCTTCCTACTGTTTGATGCGGCCGTTCTCCCTAGAACAGAGCCCTGCCTGGAGGCTTTGAGGAATCCTCTGCCTACAGTTTGGACTGCAGAAACAGCTACTTCCTTCTGTTTCGTAGCTCGGACCCTCTGCAATATAGCGCTCCTGCTTATGACCAGTGTCTGGTTGGATGGCTCGGGGTGCCCATACGACCATGGCAGTGGCGTCGCATCTCACGCATATCCGAGATGAACGTGTGATGAATCACGCAAGCATTCATGTTGTCTTGATTGATGTGCTTTAGTCATATGAGGTGTTGTACATTGATCGGAATACTGGACGGTCCGCATGCGCCTACCTCCTTGAGGAGGATCCGTTCTCTAGCAATGGTAGGTGCGTTTTGACAGAGCGTCTGGAGTGATGTTCATGAAGGCCGAGGCACGCTCGCACTTGATATCAGCCTGTCAAGGGTTATGTTCTGTTGTGATATGTTCCATTGTAAGATACAGGTAATATTGGAGAAGTGTTGGGTGGCACGGAAGAAGGGAGAGAGAGAAAGAGAAGGGGGGGTATTTCACGTGATGCTCGGCACACCTTCCCTGATCCGGGACAAGCCGAGCACATCCCAGCGAGCGTCACAGTGTCACTTCACGACACTACCTTGCGCTTCTTCACTACCAGACAGCAACACTCCTCAAGACGCTCCACCGGCGCATATAGCGCACCCTCACCTCGCCATCTTTCCGCCTTAGCTGGAGCGCCAATACCGCCGCGCAGCTCCTGCTCCGGCCCAAGGGAGCCTCACGACGAACTTCACATCACTACCAGGACACCGACCGACCTCACCCCTTCACAGCACCCCAGACTGCGATAGCTGGCGATGGTGCCGAGCGCCGTGTGCGTGTAGTCAAGCTGAGAGGCCGGCTTTGAAGAGCATCGCTTCGATCCTCGAGGGTCAACCTGCGCCAGCATGCCTCACGCGACAGGCGGCGACAGAATGGACGACGACCTCGCCAACGTGGCCAAGTACGTGCGCGACTGGAACGAAGACGCAGAGTTCGATCGCGCCATCGACCAGACCGACAAAGCGGACGATGCCATCGACTACGAGAGCTTCAGTGACGACGATCTCCCAGAAGAAGAGCAGGCGACCAACAACCTCGATGATGACGATCCCCTCGACTCCATGCTTGGACAGCAAGCGCCCGATGGTGTACCTGGTGTGCAAGCGCAAGCAGAGCAACCGCGCACCAACGGCTTTCACAACGACCAGAGCATTGACGAAGAGGAGGACGCTGATCTCTTCGGCGAGTCTACCGAGCAGAACGATCTGTTCCAAGAGCGCAGCTCTTCTCCAGAACAGCTCAGAACTCACCCGCCTTCGATCGAGCGCCCACATCAGCGTCCGGGCCTGGCGCTTCCTAGCAAGAAGTCGCTTGCGCTACCTGGCATGAACCAGGGCTACCGGCCAGTGCAACCACCACAGCAGCAGAGTCCGCAGTCGATGAGCCCACCATCGTTCTTCGACGATGGCCACTCTCCCGAGGCTAGTGAAGACGAAGAAGATGACATGAGCGACGTGGGTGACCTCAAGGATCCAGAGAACATGCAAAAGTACCTCTTCAAGCTTGCAGCGCGGAAGCAAGCTGGAGAGGCAGTTGACGAAGAGTTTGGCGAGATCGACATGGATGTCTTCTACAGTCTATACCCAAGCTTTGAGAAGAACCAGAATCCGAACTTCGTCGAGCTCTTCCCTCCGCGGCCTGGCCGATATCGTGGCAAAGCTCCTCTTAAGCCACCGCGTTCCATTGTTCCTACCAAGCTCTCGCTCGACTTGATGGCCGATCAGGAGAAGGCGTTCAGGGCGCATGCTGCTGCAAACAAGGTGGGCGATGAGGCGGCCTCGAAGCCTGGGCTTGTCAACCTCAATCTGGGCTCGAACGCACAGGACGACAGCGACGATGATCACGACATGAGTGTTGTTGATGAGAATGAGCGCATCGGCAATCTCACCATGCAAGACCTTTCGATCATCTGTGGAGACTGGGACATTCCAAGCGTTGCTGATATCTCTGAAGGCGAGGCTCTGGATGGCGAGTGGGAAGCCGCTGAGCGCAGCAGACCGAACAAGAAGCGAAAGCTTTTGGATGGCGACTTCTCTCTGGCTGTGCAGGATCCTCATCTACTTTTCGAAGATCCAGAGCGTGCCACTGCCAAGCTGGCGAAGTCTGTTGCCCTGGACCTAAACGACCAGAATCTGCTTGTCGACGAGCTTCTGCCTCAGCGTAAACGCAAGTCCATGTTCGACACAAGGCGCGGCAATGCTCTCAACAGGAGCACAGTCAAGAGGTACAACATCAGCAATGATGAAGCGTACGATGCTTTGAAGGAGAACCACCATCACAAGGTGCGGAGCACGCTTGGTGCCATGGCGATTGAGCACAGTCTTCCGGCTACAAAGCTGCAATTCCCGTTCTACAGAGTCACACTCGACGGCAAAGCAAAGAGGGCGTTCCATCGGCCCAACTTGGACGTACGCGATAGCAGACTGCGCGAGTTCAGGTTCCAGAGGGCGAAGCACCTCAAGCGCAAGAACACCCGAGGTCGCGAGACGAAAGAACTGTTCGGCAAAGCTGAAGACCTTGGCTTGGGCGACAATGCCAACGTCCTGCTTCTGGAGTACTCTGAGGAAGCGCCGGTGATGCTGTCGAACTTCGGCATGGGCAGCAAGCTGCTGAACTACTATCGCAAGCGAGACGCAGATGACCAGGAGCGGCCAAAGCGCGATATTGGAGAGACCAACGTGCTCCTTACGCAGGACAAGAGTCCCTTCTCCAACTTCGGCCACGTCGACAAAGGCGAGATCGTCCCTACCATCCACAACGGCATGTACCGCGCGCCTATCTTCCAGCACAAGCCCAAGTCAAGCGACTTCCTGGTTGGTTTGAGCAGCAGCTACGCATCGGGCCACAAGTTCTACCTACGGAACGTGGAGAACTTGCACACCGTTGGCCAGCAACTTCCGACCACGGAGGTGCCGACCAAGCACTCACGTCGTGTCACGGATGCTGCGAAGAAGCGATTGCGGGCTCTCTCCTACAGGATGTACGCCAAAAGCGTTGATCCTCTCCGTCCCAAGAAGGCGAAGGCTCTCAACAACGAGAACCTGATGCCACATTTGCCCGGACACGACATGCCTCAGACCCGCAGCAAGATGCGAGAGTTCATGAAATACGACAAAGTGGCAAAGGACAGTGCCGGCACCTGGATCCCCCACCCGGGTCAGGTCGTTCCTGATGCCGACACGCTTCGCAGCTGGATCAAGCCTGAAGACGTCTGTGTGCTCGACTCTATGCAAGCGGGCGTTCAGCATCTGCAGGACTTGGGCATCCCGGACGACAAGAACGACGAAGACGACAAGGATCTGGACGAGGGCGAGCATATCGAGAAGCAGCTTGCACCGTGGCGGTCGACGAAGAACTTCCTTGCTGCTTGCCAGGGCAAAGCCATGCTTAAGCTGTATGGTGATGGCGATCCAACAGGTCGCGGGGAGGGCTTCAGCTTCGTCAAGACGTCTATGAAGGGCGGCTTCAAGATGTTTGGTGAGAGTGCGGAAGACAAGATTGCGGCCAAGAAGCGTCGGGAGACTGGTGGTCATTCGTACAATGTCGCAGAGCAGCAAAGGCTGTACGACGATTCTATCCGCACTATCTGGGACAAACAGAAGGAGAGTTTGAGTGCTGAGCTCGAGCACTCGGACGGCGAGATCGACGACTACCACGACGAGCCAACGAGTGCATACCCCGGCAGAGGTGCGACACCGCGGTCGTCGTTCGCCACTCCCGCTGCATCCAGCCGCCTCGAAGACGACTCTGCCAGTCAATTTAGTAGAGGCAGCGCCGGTCGTCGTGGCGAGATCCTGGAGATTACCCGCAGGGTCATCGACAAGTACGGCGAGCCGCAGCTGGTTACGGAGCAAGTCACGAACGCGAAGGTCATCTCACTGTATCGCAAGAAGCAGCTGGAGAAGAAGCTGGACACTTTGAAGTCTGTTATTATCCTTTCCCTACCCATATCTGAAACATCGTTAGCTGACCTGTTCTCTGCAGACCGGATGAGATGCAGCCATCCAACGACGCGGCATGGAACGCCGCGCAAGCGAAGGCCATCCAGCAAGAGATCTTCCGCCTCGAGCGCAACGCCGATCGCCGCCAGGCGCGCGAGAAGCAAAAGGGCAGGCAAGCTGCTGGCGCCGCCGGCTCCCCCACCGGTGGTGCTGTTGCGGGAACCACCGCAGCAGGCTCGCCCGCGGCGCAGTCCGACGCGGCCGACGGCAAGACGCCGCAGAAGGGCCAGGGGCGCGGACGCACGAAGGACGGGACGGCGCGCAAGTGCGCGAACTGTGGGCAGGTGGGCCACATCAAGACGAACAGAAAGTCAGTATCGTTCAGTTGTCTCTTTTGCGCGTGCAAGGATTTCGAGGAGTTTCAAGGCGGCAAGAAGCAGGGGACTCCTTCTAACAAGGAGAATTCTGCTGTGGATGCTGCTGCTGGTGCGGCTGCGATGAGCAGTTATTCGCGGTTCGCGTTGTGAGTGCGCGGACGCAAGACTGGAAAGATGGAGGATTGGATTGAGTGCATGGGCGAGGATACCAACATCCTCTTCTCGTGTCGCTTGGATCCGCAGCGGATGCTTTTCAATGCTCTTTCTTCGTAGTTGTTTCTTCTTGTTGTTCATCTGATCATAAATTCGAGTCGAGCTTCTGCTGACAACTCTAACTTATCAAAAGGCTCTGTCCGATGCTCAACGGGACGCTGAAGCCGGAAGATGCGCAGAATGGAGACAGCTCGTTTGGTGCTGTGCCTGCGCCTTTGACGCTGTGATGCCTGCCTTCCCTCCGTTCGAGACGACCACCGAACCGTCGATGCCGCCCCGTCCTTGGTTGCTCGCACCGAACCGAACGTCGTTTGTCCCTGCTCGCCGCTTTCAAGATCTATCATCCTCCATCCTCCTCCGACGACCTCCCGCGCGCTCTCTTATGACACGCTCGTTGCTTCCATGATCGACTAACCAACTGTATTGCTAGCGGGGGAGAACGCATGGGTTGCTCAAGAGCTAGCGGTATGCAATCATGGTTGAGGAGGAGCGCTGTTTGGTGCTTTGCCACAAGAGTCTACGGTTCTGCAGTGCTGTACCAACTATTACTACAATTACTTTCCCTCTTTCCTCGCTGTCATCATTCCAGTGACGACGTCCCTTTCACATGCGCCATCTGGGCGAGTCAGCGTGTAGCAGATCGCCGCGGGGATTGGTGGCGTGCAAAGCTTGTTCGACAAGAGTCCCGCAGTGTCTGGTGGGACAGAACAGAGACGTTGATACTCGTGACCATTTCCTACTTCTCCGGAGTCGCGGAAGTGTTGTTGTAGTTGCTCTACCAAGTGTACACGCCTCTTGCCTCGTGGTACGCGTAAAGAAGCCGTCGTAGCCGCAGGATCTCGAGAGACCAAGCGCTGGCGTACGTCACACGGCCCGACTTCGAGACACATGAGAGTATAAGCCTCTGCACGACGACGTCTTCCACATCAGCCCTACATAGCCCTACAATTTGAGTTGAGGATGAGGTGGAATTGCTTAGGCCTCTAGCAGCAGAAGAAGAAGGAGCAACACACATTCACGGCAGCCATGGCATCAGACGGCGGACAGCAGGTCAATGGCGCAAGCGGCAAGACCCCACGAGCGAATGGCCTCACAGTGCAACTCACACCAGCACAGAGGGCAGGCGTGCAACGGAGCGACACCGTCTTCTTCGATGCGCCCGAGAGCTCAGACGAGCCACCTCACAGCAAAGAGCCCGACGACGCCCCGCGAGCGCCGATGCAACGCACGCAGACGGCCAACACCATGTCCTCGATGCTCTCCGTCCCGCCCCCCGGCTCCGTGCTCACCGGCAAGCAAGAGCACTACCTGAAGCGCGAACTGCTCGCCCACCAGACCGAGTGGGAAGTCAGCGAGCTCGCCCACCCCACCGCGCTCCAACGCTTCGGCGCACCCTTCCGCTCTGACGCCGGCGAGGTTGCGCCTGAAGACTCCGAACTACCGCTCCTACGATACATCTTCGTGCACCATGTGCGTAACTTCCCCTTCCTCAACCAGGCGAAGGAGAAGGAGTTCTGGCAGGACAAGCTGCAGGTGTTTCTCGAGAGCTTCGCCAACAAGCACATCTCGTCGTCAGAAGACCGGTTAGAGGAGACGAAGCGGTCGAAGCTGGCGACTAAAGCGACGAAATTGGTGGAGCTGATGATGGTGTCGGGTATCCCGACGGCGTCCGGGTATGAAGAGCGCATTCGGTTTTCAGAGATGGAGGTGGTGGATCGAGGAGCGAACGAGCAGGGTTTGGTGGTGAATGTGCCGCAGGGACACCAGATTAACGGTTGGGATGTCAACGTGGCGGGCGTGAAGCAGGTTAGTGTCAAGCGGCACGTTCGGCGCCACGCTCACGCGGAGTTCATCATACGGGTGAAGAGGCGGGAGGAGGATGAGATATACGTGACGAGGAGGTTTGGCGACTTCAGACGCATGCACAAGCAGTTGCGGTTGGAGCTGCCGGGGAAGGTCTTACCACCGCTGCCGCACAAGAACAAGACGCATTCCATCTACAGCGGTAAAGACGACGATGACGCGGATAGCATCGACTCGTTCTCGACGCAGGATACTGCTACGCCGGATGGGAGCGCGGAGTCGGGCGGTTTCCGGTCGTACCTTTCATCCTGGGCGCCGGGATCAAGCGCTCGGAGTCATTCTCGCACTGAATCGAGGACGTCGCTTGGGACGGCCTCGCCGCGGCAGTCGATAGACGCTCTTTCTCGCGACTCTCCGGTCAACTCGCCACTGCGAGGAGCTTCGCCAGCACCTCCGTCTACTACGCTTTTCCGGGAGGAGCAGCGGGTTTCGCTTCGTGCTTTCCTGCGCAACTTCCTGCAGAACGAGGCTATTTCTCAGTCGCAAGCTATGCAGGAGTTCTTGACGAAGGACCCGGTCAAGCTCGGACGAGAGGAGGTGGACGACATCGACCGCCGGAAGGTCATGGACGAGAGACGCATGGATGAGCAGCGCAGGTTCTTCGAGGTGGCGCGAGAGCGTGCGAGAGAGCTTGACGTGCACATGGAGAAATTCAGGCGGAAGGTCATTGAGAGAGATGGTCTGCGTGACCTCTTTGGTGAGATCAAGCGGAAACAGACGATTGCTGATCTGGACCCGGAGTACCGCAAGTTCGCCGAGTGGTTGCGTATAGAGGTGGCTGCGACACTCTACCATCTCTTTCTGGCCGAGGACAACAGCCCGGAGTTGTTTGCGCAGTTCAAGCGGATCCATAGTCTGGTTCCGTACACCGCGCTGAAGCAGGTCATCCGGTTCACTAACCCGGCCGCTGTCATGGCTAGCGTCCTTGACATCTTCATGGCTCAGCCGCTCGGTGCGAAGAGCTTACTGCAGCGGATCTTCGGGCTGGCGCTGGGTGATGGCATACGCACTATCCAGAAATCGATCGATGCGCTGACCACGAAGATCGAAGAGCCGGTGCTGTGCGAGAAGATCAAGAACCACAGCGAAGCAGACAAGGCCACCAAAGACACCATCCGCCACGACGCAACGGCAGAACAGACGGACCTCCTCGTCAAAGTCCTCCAATCCGAAGACATCTCCCCCGAACTCTCCAGCGAGCAAATCGGCCAAGTCTTCAACGCCTACGTCGCCTGGGACAACGCCGTCGAGAACGTCGACGAGCAAATGCGCCAGGGCGCCGAACTCTACGCCCGTCTCAAACAACTCATGAAACTCTACACCCGCCAGCGCGACAAGAAGATGATGCTCGAGATGGTCGAAGAGCCCACCACGCTGCGCCTCTTCCGCGACCTCTTCACCATCTTCTACGAACCCCTCGTCCGCGTCTACAAATCCGCCAACGTCTACAACAGCGTCACGGACTTTGCCCGCTTCGCCGACGACACCATCGCAACCATCGAAAAAGCGCAGCGGCAGGACGTCAGCGCCGACCCGAACCAGACGGTCCAATCCTTCATCGACCTGTGCGCGCGCCACGAAGAGGATCTGTATAAGTTCATCCACGAAGTGCACACGCACGACAACGGCCTCTTCGACAAACTCATGACGTGGATCGAGGGCATTCTCGATTTCCTGCGCAACGGGCCCGCCGGCGGGAAGTTGGACATGAACGCGCTGTTCCAGGGCGCGGTGGAGATGAAGCAGATTGATCGCGAGAAGGCCGCAAGGGAGATCAACTCCCTTATCAAATGGCAGCACGCCCGGAAGCGCTGGCACGCGGACAAGACGCGGCAGAAAATGGCGCAGGCGGAAGCTAATCCCACCGAAGGTAGTGGTGGAGGGGACGCCATGGCCGGGCTCGCAGCGACGTTCAAACCTGGAGATTTCGGCCTGAACGCCATGGATCTGCAGGACATGGATATGGGCGATGAGGACGAGGAGTTCAGCGAGAGTGAAGAAGAGGATGAGGAGGTGGATCCGATCGCGGCGGAGAGGAAGAGGAGGCGGAGGAGGCAGGATGTGTTGAAGAGGAGTGCGGGGGAGCCGATGAAGCCGGGGATTGAGGAGGTGTATAAGATGGAGCCGCAGTTTTTGGCTATGGTTCGGATGGTGCTTGCTAGTGATTGATGATTGATGGAGATGAGGGGGGGTTGGTGTGGGTATGGCGGTAATGACGGTATGATGGGATGATGGGATGGGTTACGAAGATGGGGTTTGGCATACATGCATGCATGCAGATGACTACATGAGTGGTGAAGGGGATGGATGGGAGTACTTCTGAGATACCATGATTTTGCGGCTGGGCTGGTTCCTGCAAGACGAGATTGAGCATGCTTTAGATGAGAATATATCCCTGGTAATGACGGTCCTATGCGATTCTCTTGGAGCACAACCAGAGCTACCGCGCTTCCTACTGGTTCAGAGTATGTTTGGAAGTCGTTACTATATGGAAGCTATATACATCGGCTAAAGATACAAGCCGAGACTCGTCTCCGGCCGTTAGCTAGCTAGCTATACAACATACAAACCCCAACGCCATCGGCCACTGTTCGGCACACGAGACAGATATCAACACTGGTAGTAGCTGCCGCTGCCGTCGCAATTATACATCATCATCCCGCTATTCAGCGCAGCAGGCGCGCTGAGCGAGTGCTCCATCGCCGGAGCTTGGAGACCGCAGTTCGAATAGGAGTCTGTAGGCCACGGTATCGCTTGGTCGAGCATGGGTGTCGGGTAGCCGAGGGAGAAGTCGGTGGTGACCTGCGGGTAGCAGGACATGTTCAGCATGTCGGCTGAGATGGTGTCGTGGTAAGTGCCGACGGCAGGCTCAAACCCATAGTCGAGTTTACCATCGAAGCCACCATCCTCGAGTTCCTGGACGTCGTCGTTGGCGAAGTCCCGGTCCTCCACAGCACTGACTTCAATCTCCTTCAACCACCCATTCATCTTCAACCACTCAATCGGCGGCCAATCCCCCCCGGCCTTGCCGGCCCTACTCTCCCTCTCCTCCCCCCTCGCCTTCCGTCCCCGCTTCCGCGGACAGAAATGCGCTCGTCGGAGGTGCGCAGCAGCGTTGTAGTAAACGTTATACTCCTTGCGCTGATTACACTGCTTGCAGATCCCCAGCGGCCGCGTCGGGCGCCATCCTTCTGCAGTGGCGGTGTCCGGGTCGACGCAGATCCAGACGCGGCGGAGGGAGGCGTGGGCGCGTTCGTGGTGGCGGCGGAGTTCGTGCTCGCCGCGGAAGCCGGAGGGGTGGGCGGTGCAGAGGTCGCAGTGGAGTTTGGGGTGTTGGGGCCGGGTGTAGGGTGCTTTGGCGATGGGTTCTTTTTGTTGGAGTTGCGGGCGGAGGGGCCGGGGTTGGGGGTCGGGGTGAGACCGGGAGATGGAGACGGGACCGTGGGGGTTGCATTTGGAGGCGAGGGGTCGGGTGGCGTTTTCGATGTGCTTGCGGCTGCGTTCGTTGGCTTTGGGATCGGTGGGAGGTGTGGTGGTCGTTGAGCCGGGGTCCGATGTGCTGCGCTTCATTTCCTGGCTCGAGCAGTCGGGCCACGCTGAGTTGTCTTCAAGGCCTTGGCCGTCAACCGTACCAACTTGACACAACGACTCAGAAAAGGAAAGCTCTTGCGGATACTCGAGTGAGCATCCCATACTACCTAGCCAGTCTGCAGTAGTACTTTGATCGAAGCCGGTGACAGCGCTGCTGTCCACCGGCTTCTCAACAGCACAGGAAAGAAAAGACGCATCCATATTGCCCATATGGTATTGCAAGTCATCAGAACAATTTGAAAAGAAAGGTTCAAACCGCAACGTGTCGGTGCTGTCATCAAAGGACAAAGCACTCCTCATACTACTCTGTCGGCTCATTGAGTCATCTGAGTCGATCAGTGACGGAGTCGACAAGTCACTGGGCGATACGTTGTACTGGCAGGCGACCTGAGAGGTGGCGTAATGGTGTGAGCCATTGTACGCCTCGACTCTCTGGCGCTTCGCAGCGTTGTGCGAGTTGTTGGAGCTGCGTTGGAGCTGAGCAACGAATTCATGCGGCTTGTACGCCGTGAATTGATGTGATGGTTGTTGTAGCTGCTGTTGAGCAGACGTCGAGCCAGTCCAGGTTGTCGAGCCGTAGGCGCCAGATGTCGAGTGAGACTTCTGCATTTGTTGGTGAGTCCGCTTGCCGTTGGAGTCCTGTTGACACGAGGACGTCGTGGGTTGCCGGGTGTCCATGCTGATACCTCTTCGAGACATTGCCGGAGCGATGTTGTTCGGTGCCTGTATTTTTCCTATCCGACCGTCCGAGTTGTTGAGAGCCTGCGCCAGTTAGCCAAGACCAGCAGATCCATACTGAAAGCGCCCGTACCAGTGCCATCTGATCCACAGGCAGCGCCAGCCCCGTAGAAGAGTCCTCGATTCCCTTGCCTCCAGTCGTCCTCGAATCACTCCCTAGTCGCGAGGCCAGACCTGTCGTTTGCTGAGACCATGCAGCACGTAACTGATCCTCCGGCCAGTGCGCGTTGGCTTGCCAGAAAGCCTGTCGTGCCGCCTCCAGATGACCGAGAATCGAATCGCTGAGAACGTGGGTGCTTGAGGTGGTCATGTTAATGCAGACAGTGACGATTCAGCAGTAGCCGTTAAGCTGGCACCTATTGATTGGAGGTGCACGGCTATGTTTCGGTGAAGCTACCAATGGCGACAGAGTAGCGTCTGTGTTGTGAGAAGAGATGGATGCTCAAAATGAGGCTGCAGATGGAGGGAAGAGGGCGAGGACTTATGCTCTGCCTCGAAGGCTGCTGGAAAAGCAGTCAGGAGGCTCGATCGGGCCTCTAGCTAGTCTAGTAGAGCTGCGGGCGTGCATAATGAAGGCAAACGGGATGAAGGATCCTTCTGTCGTTGCTGCAGCACGCCGTGATCCTAGTAGTGAACGCGCAAAACTCGAGGCAGCGAATGGGGTGAGGTCAGCGGTAGCGCGAGACGGAAGCACATCCTTTCCAGCCTAGTGTGACAACGCACCGAGCTTGCGTCGTGGCGCTCGATGCGGCCTTGCGGTTCGTTCGATCGTGCTGTCGCAAGTCATGGGATCTCGTTATCGCGAGAGCTTCCTTCCCTTTTCGATACACTGCATGCTGCAACAGACGACATCTCGCATCTCCGGCCTGAGGCTTGCTTCTTGGATCGTCGAGGCCACGTTAGCACACGTTTCGTATCACACACCCCCTACCACTCCCTCGGCTCCACCCTGATTCGACAGCACGATGACGGCGAGTCAGCAAGGGGGTTACACTCAACGCAAGCCTCACACGTCTTGCACGTGCTGTGGCACTTCCTACAAAGGATGGAATGGTTGTTGATCAGCATACTATTTTCGTTATCACATCTCACAAACGAGATATAGATACACTATCTGGATCGATCTGCGAAGCCACGCTGTGCTCGTTACATCCGCACTCCTTTTCCTCGGACTACCAGCTGCTTTCTTCAAATCCCTGCCTTATATCATGGCGCCTAGGGCAAGCGTCTGCGCCTGACCACCTGGCGTCCTCGAATTGCTTCTATGCAGACCAGGAATGCCCAAGCCTAGCCAGCTGGACGCGCCATCCAGCTCCTCCACGTCATCACCACGGAAGGACTCCTTGACGGCCGGCATGCTCTGACTTCCTTCGTTCTCGGCCCGGGATGACACCGTGGTCGGCTCCTCCGGGATCAAAGTCAACGAGTCCTTCCGCACGTGGCGCTGCGAAGCTGGTGGATGTGAGATCCGATGTGCGAGGTAGGCGATGCCTCGAGTCCTGAGGCTTTCCAAATCGTTTCTCGGAGCACGTGGGACTGGGACTGGAGCCGGCTTCGACAAGATCTCCACCACTTCTTTCGCGACCACCTTTTCCAGAGGGCTGGCGTCGGGTTCTGCTGGAGGTGTGCTGAAGCGCTCGATCTCGGCGTCCGGCGAGTCGCTTGTATCCTTCATCTCTTCGTCCAGCATATCGACCCCTGCAATCACATCCCCTTCAAATCCAACCTCGTCAAACCCGTACTCGTCGAAGAACTCGCAAACATCATCTACAACCTGCTCATCACTCCGCCTCCTTGGTATGCTCAGCGCATCCTGATACACTCTGTCAATAGCATCCTGGAACGGCTCGAGACTGGCCACAGAGTTCTTTCTAGGCACAATCACCGGCTTCGGCAGCTTGATCGGACCTTGCACGTATATTCTACGCTGCCACGCGTTCATCTCAGGCGGACATACTGTTACGACAGAGCCTCCTCGCAGATGGATCTGCGTTGCGATGGGGGTCGTCACACCAGACGGCGGAGGTGAGTTCTCTGAGCTAGGTGCGTATTCTGGAATTGCCGACAGTCGGCTCGGTGACATCTCTTCGCTTTCAGCTGAGAGTACGCTGCTGCTCGACTTGGCGCTGTTCGTTGCCACGTGCGAAAGTGGACTCCGTCTCTTGTTGCCTGGCCTTCGTTGAGCCCGGGCTGAGTGTCGTTGCGCTCCCGGTGGACTTCGCAATGCTCCAGGGGGACTGCGTAATGCACCTGGTGGGCTTCGCAGCGCCCCCTGAGAACTCCTCTGGTACAGCTCGATTGGCGTCCCGGCAATGCTCGACGGAGTAGCAGGTAGGTCCTTGCTCAGTATCGAAGGTGGAGGCGGCAGTCTCACACCCAGCTGCATATTCGCATTGACTTTTCCTTCATTGCCAACCGGAAAGAACCCTGATTGGAGAAGCATACTCATCGTCTCCCCCTTCCTTTGCCGTCTCCATGGAAGCTGGATCTCCGACAACGAGCCAGACCTTTCATTTGTCTCCCCATCGGTAGGTTTCGAAGGTGGCGTGCCTGGACTGGCGAACGAGTATAGTTCATCCAGATCTAAGAGTGCCGATCGGAGCGAGGAGTCGGAGCTCAAGCGCTTCGACGCCTTGTCGACTCTGCCTCCTCGCACACCTGAGAGCTTGGAGCTGGCTTTTGATGATGCTGTGGACTTTACGCTTGAATCCATCGGACTCATGCTGATGGGCTGTGTAATTGCTGCCTGCACCACACTCTCTTTCGCAGGCATGGCAATATTTCGTTCTGTCGTTGCAGCCGGCGCAGTCCACGCCCTAGCCGGTTGAACAGGACGCTCTTCGACAATCCCTGCTGGCGGACTTGGTCGCTTCTCTGGAACCTTCACTGGCGGACTCGGCGGCTTCGCCAGAGCGATCGCAGGCTGCCTCAGCTGCTCTTTCGACAACCTCCACGACGGACTCGGCGACTTCTCCGCCCCCTTCCCTACAACATCCTTCCCCTTCCCCTTCCTCTTCGAATTCGACTTACTCAACGATGAACCCCCACCATTAAACGGATCCTCCTCCAGTAGCCTCAAAATATCCGCACCCCTCGCCTTCGACCGCTTCGCCGACTTCGCGGGTATCGGAGGCGGCGGCAGCTCTTCCTTCACCGTCTCAGCCGCCTTCACTGGGATCGGCGGCGGCAGCGTCTTCGGCAGCTCAGGCACCACGACCTGCGCCGGTGGAGGAGGCGGCGGCAGCACAGGAGCAGTCTTTGCTCGTGGACCGAACCACTCGTCCGGCGGCGCCGTCGAACGTCTCGGCGGCTGCGGTGCTCGTCGCGGCCGCTCGCCGAAGCCGTCTGGGAGGCGCTGCTGGACTGCGGTCTCTGGTCTTAAAGGCGAAGCGCCGGATTTGGGGTGTTCGAGTCGCGAGCGCGAGGCAGAAGACGGCGAGGCCAGTATAGGAGAGGATGAGACATTATCTGAAGGCCGTCTCGGCAGGGGTGATGTCGGCGCTGTTGTCGCAGCATGCAAGGAGCCGGCGCGATCCTCTGTTGCAGATCCCAGACTCGCTGTCGGGCTCAAAGGACCGGAGGCGACTGCGCTCTGTCGCCTTGCGGCGAGGCGGGCTTCGATTTGCGCTCGGGAGAGCTGGACGGGGGGTGGTGCGAACATTGTACATACACTCTCCAATGACACTATACGGAATCGTAGTCTCGAGACGAGTAGGTAGAAAGAGGTTTTGGACATTTGTCTTCCGCGAGCAGGAAACCAAAACCCCTAATAGCCCTTCTTTGTCTCACGCCATGGGCAGGTTTTCGCGGTCGCACGAACAAAGGCGTCTTCGTACCCGCCTGCGCGGTAGGCTGAAAGCCATGCATTCCTGTGCGCCGGTCCGCTTTGGGATGCACGGCAGACTGGATGTGGTATCTCGTGCACGAGAATGGTGTCGGGGTGAATTTACGGTGGGTGTATGGGCGTCTGTGATTTTGTTGTTGTTGAGAAGAGGTCGGGATTGTGTACTTTTTTGGCGACATTCTCGCAATGAGTATGGAAAGTGATAGGAGAGTTTCTGCGACTGCACTGCCGGCACCAACATTTCGATTCTCGAGAATAGTATCTATACACAACCCACCCATCTCCTACTCAACCCCCCTCTCAGTGCCCCCATCAACCCCATCAACCCCATCAACACCCCCTAGGATCAAGCCCCAAATGCAACGCCCGATGCCGCCAAAACATCTCCGGCACCACAACCTGCCTATCCACCTCCGCCCACTCAACCAAACCCGCGCTCTCGTAAGCGCTGACGCTTTGATCCTGCTTGCTGAGATGGTAGAGAAGCACGCCACATGCCAAAATCCAGAGTTTGTACCGTCCAAGCCAGTTGCGCGTTTCTTGATAGTGGAGGTATAGCGTATCTACTACAGGGTTGTAGCGGAGGGCGAGAGAGACGCTGTCAAGCCATCGGGAGAAGAAGGCGAGGTGGTCTCGCAGACGGAAGCGGGTCGTGAGCGCGAGGACGCCCGCTGCAGTGGCGCCGAGCAGGCGGAAGGGGAGGAGAAGCACGAATGTGATCACCGCGAGAACGACCTCTCCGACCGAAGCGAGCGGGAGCTCTCCAACGGTCTCCCAGAACCAGGCGCGCCAGTTCACCGTGCCGTGGGCGAGCCACAGCAGCAGCGCGGGCGGCAGGATCCAATTGCACAGCCATTCGATGGCGACCCAGAGGTCGCTCTTGATCGCCTCCTGGGCGAAGCGGGTAGCCGGTGCCCCAGTGTAGCGGCTGCCTGCGGCGGATGCTACTGTTGCGTCGGCGGAGAAGGCGGCGCGAGTGGCTCGCCTCGTCTCTAGGGCTGAGGTGGTGGTGGTGGTAGTGTAGTGGGCGAGGGGGGCTTGAGGGGCGGTCGGGGAGGGTGCGAACCAGCGCAGGATGGTGTTGAATATGGATTTGACGAACAGGGCCTCCATGGAGCCGGGCATCAGCGCGACTGTTGCTTCGGACGTGATTATTGGTTGGTTGGTTGGTTGGTGGTGAAGGTTTCTTTGTGTTTGGGTGTGAAGGTTGAGTCGCCGGATCAGAAAGGATGTGACTGAAGGACAGCTGATAAAGAAAAATTGTTGTGATTCTCACAATAGCAGTATTGTGCCTATTGTATCTTTCAAAACAGTTTTCTCTGAATGTTGAGACAATACCATGTGAGGTTGTTGAGTATGAAGTGAGGTGAAGTTGAAGTGAACTCACTTGCCTGTTCTTGAAGATCGATAGGGAAAATGTGCTGCTACAGCCGACGAACAATGCACCACCCAACAATATGCGCAATGAGAAAAGATGAGAAATCGATGTAACAAACCAGGTGAGAACACGCTTCTCCACGCCTTGTTTGCAGAGCTGCAGCTATAATACAGGAGACAGGCACTTGTCTTTGATTGTATGTCTGAGATTACATCTCACTTGAACGCTGGCTGCACGAGCGTGTTTCCTGTTGCAATTAGCGATTGTCTGAGTTGTTTGGGCGCAGTGGGACTCACCTCCATCTGGGTACAGCACCTGGTCGTTGTAGAACACGCCGCCTTTTCCTGCAAGGAACAGTATAGTGGCGGCCATATCGGTATCATGACCTGGCCTCCCCGCAGGATTCGACATTTGCATATCGAGCTGGCTCTTGTTGTCCTCTCCGCTCGACCCTGTCGTCATCTCGCTCGGGAACACGCCGGGAGCGATTGTATTGACGCGGACCTTGACGTCCTTGAAAGTCGTCGCTAGCATACGGCCCAAGTGCGTGAAGGCGGCCTTTGAAGAGGCGTACGCGAATTGCCCGTTGCTGCTGCCTTTCATCGAACCGCTGATGGAGCTGACATTGACGATCGACGAGCTGTAGCCGGGTGTCTGATCCGTCCCCTTGGCCAGCAGAGGCAGGAAGGCCATGGACATGAAGTACTGGCCGGTGACGTTGGTGTGGAATGTGTCGAGCCACTGCTGCTCTTCGGAGCGGAGGAAGTGCTGGGAGATTGAGTCCGCCGAGTTTACATCAGGCCGGCCGTTGCTTGCTGCAATGTGTTAGCTGCGTTGTACCCTTTCCAACGTGTTCAAGCATACAGAATTTCGTGTTGTCATCCCTCGCAATGCCGGCGTTGTTGACCAGCAGCTGTATGCCTCTCATCTCCTTCTGTGTGACTTCCTTTGCCAGCCGAATGCACTCCTCCTTCTTGCTCACGTCTCCAACAAGCAGTTCCATCTTTCCTGGTCCGGTGTTGTACTTCTCAATGGCGTTCTCGAGCTTGTCCTCTCTCCGGCCGGTGATGTAGACCCTCGCACCATTGGCGACCAATGCTTGCGCGATCATGAGACCGATGCCAGTGTGCCCTCCCGTAACCACAGCTGAGACATGGCGGACGTTGAAGAGGTCGTCCGTCTTGATTTCGTGGTTCTCTGCCTTGCCTGTACTCGAAAGTCAGTTGTCGATGCTCTCAATGGGTCGAATCGAACGTACCGGTTGCCATTGTAGCTTTCTGGATGTTGCTCAAGACTGGTCTGTTGTGAGTAGCCGTGATAGATCTTGGGACGCTTGAAGCAGTTCGAGAGAATAGCCGCAACATGTTGAGATGGCACCAGGAAATATGAACGATGTTACCAAAACCTACACCCGTGGAGCGCGTTCTGATGCTAACCATGACGCTTACACCCCGTCATTGCCGGCGCGCCGTCGCATTGGGTGACAAGAAACGTTAAAGTTCATTTAAGTATGCTTCTAAGAGTATACAGCCGGCACTGTTGGCGGATCAAGGTACCGTTGAAGATTGCGAGAGGTTTGATGAACTCCAAGCTCAGCTGTACGAGGTCGACTGATATGCCCTTAGTCAGCTTGCGGACTTCGACATGAGATACCATGACTGTCGTCGTTCTCTTCTCAAAATTACATTGAACCACAAGTTGAAGTACAATAGCAACAGACTTAGACTATCCTCCGCCATCTACCCATCCTTCGCCGTCGCCTTCAACCGCTCCAACACGTACTCCCCAGCCCTCACAGGCGGATACCGCGAAGGGTTGCCAGGCGTAATACAACTCGGCAATGTCTGCACAGCGTCAGCATATCTCCCGCCTCTCCAGTAGTCTCAACCAACTCACCTCAACCATCTGATCATAATTAATACTGAAAAAGAACGGCACACTGTACCTCCTACACCGTTGCGTCAGCACACCTTCACCTGTCCCTCAAACATAAACAGTACTCACTCCTCCCTCGTCCGATTCACCACCCGGTGCACCGTACTCTTATACACCCCATTCGTCCACCTCATCAGGAAATCCGCCACATTCACCACGAAACCTCCCTCCACCGCCTTCGCTTCCACCCACTCATCCTCCGGACTCAGAATCTCAAGCCCGGGCGCCGACGAGCACAGCAGAATGGTAAAGCACTCATAATCCGTATGCGCACCCAGACCAATCTCATCGTCCTTCCTCCCAGCCTCCAGCGGCCGCGGGTCCTTCGAAGGAGGGTAGTAGAGCAGTCTCGCGATCCCGCCGGGATGCGTCACCATCCCATCAAACGCCCCCTCCTCCAACCCCAACGCCAGCGCAAACAACCGGAACAAATGCCTCGCCAACCCCAACACCTCCGCATAATACTCCCGCACCGTCGCATAAAAACCCGGCAGATCCTCTTCCCGCGGCCACACATTCCCGTTGCCCTTCCCGCCATCGAGTTCCACGTACGCCCCGTCCCCACCCGTAGCATCCAGCCCTTCTTCGTACCCCCAATTAAACCCCTCCTTCGTCTCGGGTGCTGCTTGCTCACCGGTCCAGTCCGCCGGGTTGACGTACGTGTACTCCGCTGGCTCCCAGCCGCGGAAATACTTGGAGTGGCGGACGTGCAGGGCGTCTTTCTTCTCCCGGGGCAAGGTGTGGAAGAAGCGTTTCGCCAGGTCGAGGATGCCTTGCCGGGTGGAAGAGGGGATGTTGTGGCCGGTGATTTGGAAGAAGCCCGAGGTGCTGCAGGCGGCGTGGATTTGGGCGGCGACTGCTTTGCGGTCGGCGAGGTTGGGGGAAAATGAGGGAGAGATGTCGATTACGGGGATGGTGAAGGGGGATTTTTGGCCGGGATTTGTTGATGGGGTTGATGTGCCATTGGTGAGGCGGGAGTTGAGATATGCTTGGGCTGCTTGCCGGGCTTCTGTTTGGGTTGACGAGGGTTCTACTGCTGCCGCTGCCATTGCGTCCGATGGTATGAGATCTGTGGGTTAGTTGAATAGAGTTGAGAGGTTATTGGAGTAGAAGTAGAAAAGGTATCTTGCCTTCGAAAGTGCAGATAGGCGCGGCGAGCTCTGCAGCTAGCAAAAAACTGGTGGATCCCAGGCCTGGCCGAGACCAACACGGCAACAAACGGGTTTGCGTTTCGATGTAATCGCATTTTCGATTCGCAAAACTACTTACAGCACAGAGCGCCAGAATGCGCTACATTCGTACACTATGCATATCAACATTCAAACGCCGCAAAACGCACCGCACATCTCACCCGCTTAGTACGTCCGCTTAAACGGCGGCACCGCCTCGCACTCTCCCTGATCGAGCGTGTTCATCTCTACCCTCCTGTATCCCAGATCCACCTGCTCATGCGGCTTCTTCTGGAACGTGATGGTGTGCTTCATCCATTCCTTGTCGTTACGCTCTGGGTAGTCTTCACGGGCATGGGCGCCGCGGGATTCCTGGCGGTTGACGGCGGACTCGGCGGTTTGAATGGCGCAGGTGAGGAGGTTACGGAGCTCGAGCGTCTCGACGAGGTCGCTGTTCCAGATCATGCTGCGGTCTTTGGTGCCGACCTGGTGGAAGGAGGAGTCGACATCCTTCATTCTGTTGATGTTGTTAATGAGATCTAGAAATGCAGTTGATGTAGCGACGCAAACTTACCTCTTGACACCTGACTCGAGCGACTCCTGCGTTCTGAACACGGAGACATCCTCCTGCATCACTCGCTGCATCTCTGTCCGAATCTGGTTCGTGCTCTTCGGCCCATCTGCGTTCCTGATAAAGTCCACGCTGCTGATGGCGTCCGCTCCAGCATCAGCAGGAATCTCCTTGTGAGGCTTGCCGGGCGAGAAGTTGTCGCGGATCGTGTGGCTGACCGCACGGCCGAAGACGATCAAATCGAGAAGTGAGTTTGCTCCCAAACGGTTGGCTCCGTGGACAGACACACATGCCGCCTCACCGCAAGCGAACAGACCAGGCACAACCTTGTCGTTTCCGCTCTCGTCGACAGTCATCACCTCACCAGTGTACTTGGTCGGGATACCACCCATGTTGTAGTGGACTGTTGGGAGCACGGGAATTGGCTGTTTCCGGACGTCCACACCTGCGAAAATGGATGCCGTCTCGCTAATACCGGGTAGACGTTCGTGCAGAACCTCCGGTGGCAGGTGCGACAACTGAAGGAAGATGTGGTCCTTGTCCGGGCCGACACCCCGTCCCTCTCGGATTTCCATCATCATGCTTCGGCTGACGACATCTCGAGACGCGAGATCCTTGGCGGTAGGTGCGTAGCGCTCCATGAACCGCTCACCCTCGCTGTTAAGCAAGTAGCCACCCTCGCCACGAGAACCTTCGGTAATTAGACATCCGGCGCCGTAGATACCAGTTGGGTGGAACTGCACAAACTCCATATCCTGGTTCGGCAGACCAGCGCGAGCAACCATAGCCATACCGTCACCAGTGCAAGTGTGTGCCGATGTGCAGGAGAAGTATGCGCGCCCGTATCCGCCAGTGGCAAGAACCGTGTGGTGAGAGCGGAAGCGGTGCAGCGTGCCGTCTTCCTGATTGTATGCTACCACACCCTTGCACTCTCCATCCTCCATAATCAGGTCGATGGCGAAGAACTCGATGAAGTAGTTGGTGTTATGCCTGAGAGATTGTCCGTAGAGCGTGTGAAGAAGAGCGTGGCCAGTCCTGTCCGCAGCAGCGCAGCAACGGTATGCCTGACCACCCTTTCCAAAGTCTTGCGACTGTCCACCAAACGCTCGCTGGTAGATTTTGCCGTCCTCAGTCCGGGAGAAAGGACATCCGTAGTTCTCGAGCTCAATAACAGACTGTGGCGCCTCGCGGGTCATGTAATGGATCGCATCTTGATCTCCAAGCCAATCCGAGCCCTTCACGGTGTCGTACATATGCCATCTCCAGTCGTCCTTGTGCATGTTTCCTAGCGCGGCGTTGATACCACCCTGAGCGGCGACGGTGTGTGATCGTGTCGGGAAAAGCTTTGATATGCATGCGGTGTTGAAACCTGCCTCTGCGAGACCAAAGGCTGCTCGAAGACCTGCAATACGCGGTTAGAGTCCCTTCTCTCTGAACAACAATGGTGTTTCATAACCCACCTGAGCCACCGGCTCCAACAACAAGGGCGTCATATTCGTGGTCAATGATGGGATACTTGTTCCCTATCATCGGCGAAACCTCCTTGGCCCTCAGGTTGCCGCTGGGTGTGATGATCTTCTTGACCGAAGGCGTGCTAGAGAAGCATCGTGCCGGCGTCTGGCGGGTGGAGGAGGCTGCGAAACGGCGCAGCCCCGAAGACAGCATCCTGAACAGCTACGGTGGCGTTTCAGGAAGGATGTCAGAGTGCTTGTCGGTGGTGTAGAGCGTGTGGTTCGCGGGCAATGGAGGCGATGGCGTCCAAGGGTGGTCTTGAAGAAGATCAATGATGGAAGCGACAACCCACGAGACGAGCTAGACCCGGCCAATCAGAGAAGAGCCTCGGTCAGCAGCGATGCCGGAGGAGTTCGCCTTCAGCCTTCATGTATTGCGACAACACTCTCCGGGAATACCATTCTAATAATTGGTTGCGCAGCGCGGGAATAGATGGTGTTCTAGAGCAAATGGTACGGAGAACGGCTGTGTATGAGAAGTATGCTTGCCACAAGATCTCCTTTCATTTCATCTTCTCAATAATACTTCACCTCATGATCAGTACTGACAATCACCTCCTTCCACTCCTCCAACAACTCCTTCGTCGAGTCACACTTCGCCTTAATCATCTCATACGCATCACTTCCCAGCACCAACCGCATCGGCACCTCTTTCCCTCCCTTCTTCGCCATGACCTCAAAGATGACCTTACACCCCTTCTCAACATCCCCGAGCTGCTTGCTCGCCCGCTCATCATACACAGCTCTGACCTGGCCCGCAGTTGTCTCATCGTACGCCTGAATCCGCTTCTCGGTCGAGACACGAGCCCCAGCGTTCAGGAACCCGGTGCGGAAGTAGCCTGGCTCGATGACACACACGTCGATGCCGAAGGGTGCGACTTCCGGACGCAAGCTCTCGGTCACGCCAGTGATGGCCCATTTGGTGGCACAGTAGAGGCCTCCAGCTGGTGCACCGCCCCAGGAGCCCACGGAGCCGAAGTGGGCGATCGCGCCGGACTTCTGCTCGCGCATGTAGGGTAGCACTGCGCGGGTGACGTTCAGGATCCCGAAGACGTTGACGTTGAAAGTATCGTAGGTTTCTTTCGGACTGAGAATCACTATGTCAGCGTCGCCGGGAAGCGCCAGCTGGGTCTACTCACCTAGCCTCCTCGATAGCACCCTCGAGGATATAGCCAGCAGCGTTGATGAGGTAGTCGATGCGACCGAACTTGCTGTGGGCTTCTTTGACGATAGTCTGGATCTCTTCCAGTGGCTGCACAACGTCAAGGTCCATTGTCACCGCGCCCTTCTCTTTCAGGTGTTCAATCTTTTTGGAGCTGCGAGCGGTGGCAATGACTCTGTGGCCATTCTTCAGCGCTTCAAGAGCGGTGTATTTGCCGAAGCCACTGGAGGCGGCCGTGATGAACCAGACGGGGGTGGCCATGGTGTTGCGATGCGGTGATCTTGGCTGAGTACCACGTTTGAACCTGTCGAAATGCAATGGACAGTTTCAGCTGTTTTCGCCTAGTCGGTGGATGTGAAGAAGATGCGATAGTATCCTCCTTCCTCTCAAGCTGGACGCCCAGTCGTTGATATATTTTGCCATTTCCCATAGCTCCGGCGCTGTTCTTTTCCAAGCCAGAACCAATCCGTATTTACGGTTGCAAACACCAGACACAGCGGACGCTTGGTTTTGCTCCAGCTCAGTGTTGGCGGACGAGCTGCTGCATTAGCGTCATTCGCCAGAGCAAGTTGCGGCCGCAAATGCGCTTACTTAGCCAGCTTAGAAGCGAGCCCTACAAATTACAGCACATAGGATTAGGTTGATGGAGGCGGTATTTTGCGGGTTGCTGCTCCTCACGGATGTCGAAAAGCAACCTCCTCAGGTAACCGAAAGCTCGCACAGAACATCCTCTTCTTCGGCGCCACATCTCTTACGTCCCATATCTGCACCGCACCAGGTCGTTGGTCTTCTGCGTGCGTGCCTGGCACCATTTCGTAGCCTAGATGCTTGCTGATCTCGGAGCAGATTTTCTGCTCGGCGGTCTCGTTCGTAGTCATCAGTTTTTGTTCGTTCTCGGTGTCGGTGCCTGCCGAATGGGTTCCAGTCGCAAGCTCGTCTTTTGTGCTGAAGCAGTATACATGCACCATCGGCATAGCCGTCCCAGGAGGCAGCTTGTCTCTCAGCTCAGACGGATACAGCCCGACGAAGCTCGGTAGGAAGGTCAGCGCTGAGGCGGGTAGATTGAGCACATAGTGCTGGAATGTCTTCGGCCGAACGACTTTCTTGACCGGTCCGTGACTGACTGGGTTCCCGTTCGTCTGGGCCTGGGCTTGCGCCTCTCTTCGAGACACTTTCCTTTTGATCTCGACCACCTTTTCCTCGGCGAGCAACTGGGCCGCAGCTTCCCGTATGAACTTTCGGCCATCTGAACAGGATGGCGTCACGAAATCGCCAACCTTGTTCCTGCTCACTGCATCTGTGAGACTAGCATAAGAGTCCGGATTCAAGTCATTTGCCCAGACAAACACCCGTTTCTTTCCAGCCGGAACAGCAAATGGTCCGATCCCAGCCATGACATCGCACACTGCTTCGCCTTCCTTGAACATATCCACGAGCCGTGCATGCTCGGTGCTGAGTCGTGTGTTCCAGTAGACCTTTGAGTAGTCGAAGTGAAACTCGCAACCTGCCTCCGAAACTGCAACGTTGAGATCGTCTTTTCCGGCGAGCACCTCGTACTTGAAGGTTCGAAACTCGTTTTCCTCGCCGACGTCGTCGATCTTGTTGATGACAGTCTTGGCGCCAGGGTTCTTGTCGATGATGATTGTGGCGATGAGGTATTTGTACGGTAAGTAGGCGTCTCGGAGGTTCATGTGGACTACGTGGCCGACCTGGGAGAAGCCGGAGGGGATCTCTGACTGTGCTTCGATGGGTAGGATGGCCGTAATGATGTCGTGGTAGGTCCAGTAGTCGTAGTTCAAGTGGAGGTTGTAGGGTATGACTGAGATGAGTTCCTCCTTGACGAGCTCGGCTAGGACTGGAGAGTGTGGCCATGCTGTAGTTCGTTCGTCCTGAGTACTGTGCTTAATAGTGTCTCCGTTCACACCGTTGGTGGCATCGTGCGTATTAAGATCACTCTGCCGGACTTCTGGTCTCAATAGAATACACTTCTTCCCGACCTTGGCCCTTTCTGCATCCGGGTCGGGGAGCACGTTTGCAATCCGGTCCTGCTGGAGAGCGTCCTTGCTGCGTTCGAGCTGGGAGCGGACCTTGGAGATGTTCTTATTGTCAAAGACTCGTGCAGCGTTGATAGAGACGACCTTTTGGAAGATAGAGCGATCCAGAGCCTTCATACCACGGGCTAGGGGCGGACGGAACATTTCTTCGTCCTGATGCTTCTGATCGAGGCTTGTCGCCATTTGGTGTGGTTGCTTAGAGCCTGTCCAGTCACCGCACTATGCTTTGAGCTATCTTTTCAACCACCTGTAAATATTCCCGATGCATTTGGCTCCAATGACCCAGTATTTTCTTGTCTTGTTCGGTGGAAGAGATGAGGATGACCATTCCAATGACTCGTACGCGTTGGAGGTCGCGTTTTGTGAGGTTGCCTGAGGCATAGGGCCACGAACTTCAACCATCTGTCTCGAACATGTGACTGCAACACACACCACCACGACAGCAAGCATCCTTATCCTCCGACATACACTGGAAAGCGGTCGCATTGCGGACAGTAATCCTTTGACTGCCTCACGGCGGTCGCGCACACACACATGAGGGAGCATCAATAACACCCCTTGGGAAAGATGGCACCAGATGCCGGCAACATTAAGGTGGTGGTGCGCGTGCGGCCCTTCAATGCTCGCGAAAAGGACCGCAACGCAAGATGCATCGTCTCTATGAAAGAAAACCAGACGGTGCTCACGCCTCCACCGCCAGAAGGAAAGAACAGCAAGCCCGCCAAAGCGGCCCTCGAAGGGACGAAGACGTACGCTTTCGACAAGAGCTATTGGTCCTTCAACAAGGATGACAGCCACTTCGCCGGGCAGGAGGACTTGCACTCGGACTTGGGGAAGCCTCTGTTGGACAATGCCTTCCAGGGGTACAACAACTGCATCTTTGCGTATGGGCAGACGGGGTCGGGGAAGAGTTACAGCATGATGGGGTATGGGGCAGAGGAGGGTGTGATACCGAAGATCTGTCGGGATATGTTTGAGCGGATTGAGAGCATACATGAAGCGGACAAGAACATGACTAGCACGGTCGAGGTGTCATATCTGGAAATCTACAATGAGCGGGTTCGAGATCTCCTCAACCCGGCCACCAAGGGCAATCTGAAGGTCCGAGAGCATCCGTCTACGGGACCGTATGTGGAGGACCTGGCCAAGCTGGTGGTACGAGACTTTGCAGAGATCGATCACCTGATGGACGAGGGCAATAAAGCTCGGACGGTCGCAGCTACGAACATGAATGAGACATCGTCTCGCTCGCACGCTGTGTTCACCCTTACACTGACGCAGAAACGACACGATGTGGAAACGAATCTAGACACTGAGAAAGTGGCCAAGATCTCACTGGTTGACCTGGCTGGTTCTGAGCGTGCTACTTCCACTGGAGCGACAGGTGCGCGACTGAAAGAAGGCGCCGAAATCAATCGCTCATTGAGTACACTGGGGCGAGTGATTGCTGCGCTGGCGGACATGAGCGACCCAAAGGGCAAGAAGGCGAAAGGAATGCAGGTGCCGTACCGTGACAGTGTACTTACGTGGCTGTTGAAAGACAGTCTGGGCGGAAACAGTCTGACTGCTATGATTGCAGCCATATCCCCAGCGGACATCAACTTCGAGGAGACACTATCAACCCTGCGATATGCTGACTCCGCGAAGCGCATCAAGAACCATGCTGTCGTGAACGAGGATCCGAACGCACGCATGATCCGCGAGCTGAAGGAAGAATTGGAGAAGCTGCGTGCACAACTCGGCCCTGGTGGCGGTGCTGCTGGCGGTGCGGCACTACCAGGCGAAGAGCAGTATGCGCCTGGCACACCATTGGACCAGCAGTTCGTTTCCATTACCAGCGCCGACGGCAATATCAAGAAAGTCAGCAAGGCAGACATCGCGGAGCAGCTATCGCAGTCGGAGAAGCTGTACTCAGATCTTAACCAGACCTGGGAGCAAAAGCTACAGACTACCGAGCGCATCCACAAGGAGCGAGAAGCAGCGCTCGAAGAACTTGGCATCAGCATTGAGAAGGGCAATGTCGGTCTCAGCACGCCGAAGAAGATGCCGCATTTGGTGAACTTGAGCGATGATCCGCTGTTGGCCGAATGCTTGCTGTACAATCTGAAGCCTGGCACTACTACAGTTGGCAACGTGGAGAGCAATCAGAATCGGGCTTCCTCGCCTCCAGCGGAAGTGGATGGCGATACTCACCATCAACCAGATGTCATGCTCAATGGATCGAAGATCTTGCACGACCACTGCACTTTTGAGAATGTGGATGGTGTGGTCACGGTCGTGCCAAAGGACGGAGCGGCAGTCATGGTCAACGGCATTCGCATCGAGGCCCCAAAGCGGCTACGGTCAGGGTACAGAGTCATACTGGGCGACTTCCACATCTTTCGTTTCAACCACCCGCAAGAAGCAAGAGAGGAGCGGGAGCTGGGTGACCAGGAGAGGGGCAGCCTGCTCAAATACTCCATCACGGCTGATGAGCTCGACGACACGCCTACCAAGCGGCCTGGACTCAGTGGGCATCAGCGAAATTCTAGTACCTGGTCCAGGCCAATGTCGCCCGATGGCGACAGCGAAGCGATGGACTCTGGCGCAGCGAGCCCGGCACCGTGGCGCATGAGCAACGGAAGGGACAGCGACTGGGCTTTCGCGAGACGAGAAGCTGCGTCGTCCATCCTTGGTGGCGATCGCAACATCACGACTATGACTGATGACGAGCTCGATGTTTTGCTGGACGATGTCCAGCGTGTTCGCGCCGTTCGTCGCGCCCGCCCTGAAAGTCGTATCTTTGACGGCAGTGCTATCGGTGGCGGCGGTCAGGACACTGACACTGAGTCCGTCTCTTCTCATCCTCTACAACGCGAGAAATACCTGAGCAACGGCACCCTCGACAACTTCAGCCTGGACACTGCACTAACAGTGCCTTCAACGCCACGGCAACCTTCGTCTGAGTCGCCTGCTGAGGAGCTACAAGAAGGCGATGAGCGCATGAAGAAAGTCAAGGAGCAGATGCAAGAACAGTTGGAGAGACAAAAAGACGAGTACGAGCAGAAACTCCACTCTGAAGAGGAAGGCGCCGTGGAGATCGAAGTACTCAGACAGGAGAAAACGAGGATGGAAGCCAGTCTGCAGGAGATGAAGGAGCAGATGCAGCAGCAGTTGAAGGACCAGAAGAAGGAGTTCGAAAGTAAAGTTGCTGAGATCCGAAAGTCCACACCCGTACCGCGGGATCGCAGGCGCAGCAGTCATAGACCTGGGCAGAAGGTTCAGTTCAGCGAGGAGGAGATCTACCTCGCGAAGTGGGTGCTGGAGCATTGGCGAGCGCAGCGAAATGTTCTTATGGCAGCGGATTTGCTGAGAAATGCAAGCACGCTGAAGGAAGCACAAGTCCTCAGCCAGAGGCTGGGAAGAGAGATCGTGTTCCAGTTCACCATCGTCGAGGTGGGACACACATTCGGCTCGTCCTACGACCTCGTTCTGAACGGTATCTCTGCGGAGGAAAGCAATGACCCGGATCTCGAAGACGCTCGAAAGCCTTGCGTTGGAGTACGGGTCGTCGACTTCGGAAGGAACATCATACAGCTTTGGAGCCTGCAAAAATTGCACGCCAGAGTCAAGATGATGCGACAGATGCAGAATTTGATGGATCGAGGACCTGATGTCACGCAGCATTTCCGGCTTGATAATCCTTTTGAGGACGACTGCATGCCTGAATACACTCGCGTTGGCGATGCTGACATACCACTCGCAGCTGTTTTTGAGTGTCGTGTCCAGGACTTCACGCTGGATGTCATCTCGCCGTATACGTGCTCCGTCGTGGGCATCGTACGACTGAGCGTCGAGCCCAGCTCTGCCGAAGCGCCAAAGGAGACGCTGAAGTTCAACGTCGTGATGCACGACCTGGTGGGCTTTGCGGAGCGTGAAGGCACGAACGTACATGCACAGCTTTTCATCCCCGGCATTTCTGAAGAAGGCGGTGCTACTACCACCAGCTTGATCTCGGAGTTCGGCGAAGGACCTGTGAGGTTTGAAAGCGTGCACAGCATGAGTCTGCCTCTATCAGCACCTCGTGAGGCCAGCCTACGAGTCAGCATTTTCGCGCAGATCAGCCACATGCACCTGGATAAGTTGCTTAGTTGGGACGACATCCGGGACTCTTCTGCCCAACCTGTGAGGCCTGGTCTTGGTCGGAACCCGTCCAGGTTACCGGAGCATGAGTACTATACTGAGGAGAGACACGATGTCTTCGCCAGGGTGCAAGTGCTGGAAATCGGCGAGGAAGGAGAGTATGCACCTGTCGAGGTCGTGCAGAGTGGTACGCTCGACCAGGGCAGCTATCAGCTGCATCAGGGTCTCCAGAGGCGGGTCGTGCTGAGTCTGGTGCACAACTCAGGCGAGAGTCTACCGTGGGAGGATGTCACCGGTTTCGCAGCTGGCACTGTGCAGCTGCTCGATGAGTCCGGCAGACTGATAGATGGATGTGACAGCAATCAGACTGACGTCCTGCTTCCGCTTGTAGCGCCGCCAGTCATCCGCACCAACGAGGATGGCACGACGAGTGTCAAGATGACCGGGCAGTGGGACTCAAGCGCCCATGCATCGGTGCTACTGGATCGACCGACGCTCGAGAACAAACGAGTCCAAGTCACTCTGAAATGGCAGATCGCCTCTCCTCGAGTCACTCAGCCGATGAAATTCACCTTCGACTTCGCCGTGCAGACACGCCCGCGCACCTGGTTCCGCCAGAACTCGCTCCTTGCACAGCTATGGCATAATCAGCGGGTGGTGCATTCGACCGCTGGCAACTACTCCATCACCCTGAAGCCGAGCGCTGCAAAGCGTGCTGGTGATCTGTGGCGCATGGACACCACCGGCGAGTACATCTCTGGCGAGGAGATGCTGGCTGGTTGGGCACCGAGGGGTATGAGTTTGATACGAGATCACATCAACTTACGCTTAAGGCAGAGGAGAGTCAGGGAGATTGAAGCTGCGAGAGGAGTCCTGAGTCTCGATGCTCTGTCGCCGCCACTGCGACCTGTCACGACCAACAGCGAAGACGAGGCTGGAGCTGACGAAAGGCAACGAACGCTTTTGCAGAAGTTCTTGGATCTCTGGCAGTCCAAAACGCCCTTAGCTACAGACGTCGTCCTCTTCCGCTCCGGCAACGCCTCACCACAACCCACAACGAAGGGTGACCATGACGATACAGATGACCCATCAACTACAGTCCCGCTCGCAGCCCAAGTCGAACACCTCCTCAAAACCCCCTCCCTCCTCAAAGGCGGCTGGCTCCTCTCCCCCGACCCCTCCGGAACCCGCTGGATCCGGCGCTTCGTCGAGCTCCGCCGTCCATACCTCCACTTGTACTCCTCCGAAGGCGACGAAGTAGGCGCCATCAACCTCACAAACTCCCGCATCGACTCCGAACCGGAGGTCGCGAAGCTGCTGCGACGGCCGAATGTGCGGTTGAGCGTGTGGGCGATCTATGCGACGAACAAGGCGTGGTTGTTTGCGTGCCGGAATGAGAAGGAGAGGGGGGAGTGGATTTGGGCTGTGGACCGGTCGTTGAGCGTTGATGGGGCGCCGAGTGACGAGCTCGGTGGGCTTGTGTTGGATGATGAGGACGAAGATTGAGCGCGGTTGGCGCGCGAAGTTGTTCGATTTGTTGTGCTTGCTTGAGATACCCAATTATGTTGGCATAGCGCTGTTATCTACATCAGAAGTAACGTCGATTACAGTACGTCTGCTTTCACGTCAAACCAAGTGAAAGAGTTTCGGTTCGCCATTGAACCCCAGCTCACCGCAGCACATTCGATGTTGCTGGCGCCGCACAATGGTCATGGGATGCCCGACTGCATATTACCCTTGGCATCCAGATGAGTTCACGCACAGGTGGGCTAGCGGATGACCGCAACCTCGTCTCGGGCGGAGACCGGTTACACGACGTCTGGAAGTCTCGCTCCAAGCGCTCGTGCGAGTTGGGAAGCGCGGGCTAAAAGGGCCGACTACAGCGCTGTGGTGCTGTGGAATAACTGCACCCACGGCCTAGAGCCACTTCTCCTCAGTACCACCCATGCCCCTCCTCCCCCAACTTCTTATTTTTCGGATTCAGACTCAACAGCCTCTGCCCCGGCACACTCCCACTAATTCTCGACTCAAAGATCCCGCCCACAGCTCGTCTGCCCACCTGACTAAAAGACTCATACGCCTTCGTCTCCACCTCTGGGCTCGATCCTTGGATAGCTGTCCACTCCGGACTCGTGTACGGACTACTCCCATCCCCTAGATCGCTCCACCTCGTTACCACAATGGCGTGCTTGAACTGCCTGACAGGATCGCTTTTATCCTCCACCATCTGTACTTCAATGAGATACTCGGTAGGACACTCCGGACACCTCCGCGCAGGCTGACAGTCATCGCACCCCCTAACGATGAAGGTCGGATTCGCCAACGCGCGGTTGATCTTCGGCGCTTTCTTGAGCTGCTGTGAGTAAGACTGTGGTGGCGACGGCACGTGCGAGAGCGCGCACTTGCATAAGCGCATCAATTCGCCATCACGCCAGTGGGCGCAGACGGAGAAGAAGGGCGTGTATTCCTCCCGGTCATACAGCAAATGTCGCAGGCTCGTCTCGGTCGTCTCCGCGCTTGGTTGGGCGTAGGCTTGGCTGACGACGCGCATGAGGAGGCGGCTGTTGTTGACGAGGTAGCGGGTGCGGTGGGTCCAGGGGCTGGATTTGCATTTCCATTTGCGTTCTAAGGCTGTTAATTCGATGCCATGGGCGGAAGAGTGTTTGTGGCCTCGAACGGCTAGCTGGACGAAGGAGTAGGGTAGTTCCCGCCCGTGGACGAGACGCATACGAGGTAAATATGTGCCTCGCGTGTTGGGGCAGGTAAATAACGGGTTGGCCACATAGTCCGCCTTGAGGCTCTCCCTCCTTGGGGTGGAGCGTAGATGGAACTTCGCACATGGAAAGCAAAGCAGATGGTCTGGGAACTGTTTGTCGATGCGGTGGAGGAAGGCAATCTTTTGGTGGCGGTTTTCTTCTTGGTCCAGCTCTTTGAGCGGAGTGAACCCGAGCTTCTGCTGAAGTACCTTTGATGCCAATGATAGACAAGCAGCGTCCGCAGGCTCCAGAAATGAGGCAATGTTCTCCCATACAGCTTCCGGCAGAGCAGCCACCTGTCGCATGTGGAGCTCGCTCAATGCGTTGATAGGTTCGAGCGCTTTTGGGTCCTGAGAGTCGAACAGCGGGTCCTTGATTTTCTTTTCCAGAGCTTGGTCAACCAGAGAGTCGAAAGAGCCATAATGCGCAAGTCGATGCAACATGTCAGTGTTATCCTTGTTGCTGACCAGGGTAGTCGCCTGACTGAAGACCGAATAATCGCGTTCACCCAGTTCATTGACATCGTCCTGGTTTGATCGAGAGTCGACGGACTGCCGAGTCCATCGATACTTCTCTGCGTGCCTCTCTGCGGCTTTCTGTCGCCGCTCCGCTGCTCGAGCCTCGTTGCTTCTGATGGTCTCTTCCCGGAAAGCCTTGTTGGATCGTAGTCTTCTGCCTATGCCGGTGACGAGGCGGGCTGGCCAGCTGTTGGGGTCTGGCGTGGAGTAGTCCATGGTCCAGTCAGTCTTTTGCAGTCTGGATGATCAATACAAGACAAATATCTGGAGTATAGAAACCATATGAGGATGATGCCGGACCAAGCCGGAAGTGGAGGAGAAGAAGCTCAAACCATCACCAATCGCCACGCAGGTGATGACATTCCGTCGACGTACTGTTCAGATGGAGGTATTCTTTCTCTACTCTCACAGCTTGATACCATAATGCGGTCTATTGAAGGCCATAAGTCTCTCGTCTCATCCACGACGAGGTGTGGTCGTTTTGCCAGTGACGCTAGCCTCACTAGCGCGTTTGCAGAAGGTCATCCTTCTCGTCCTGGTCATCCTTCTCATCCTCACCCTCACGACGTCCTCCTTTCTATCAGCGTGTGCCGCAGACAAGAGACCTTAACACGTCTGCCAACCCTGCCATCGCATCATGACATGGAGAATTGTCTGCCAAAACCATTCGAAACGGCCTACAAATGGCCGGCGCCTAACGCCCTGGATCAGCGCTTCGACGCGGCTTCCGCGGTCCAATTGATTGGCGAGACAGACTCGGAGACAATCTGTCCAAAAATGTCTTGAACTGCTTCCCACTTCTCGCCATCGACTCTCCCATGTTCTGGATGAGTGCTCGGTCCAGATGGCTTTTGCTTTGATTCGACAGCCGCCTTCAACAAACCGCCAGGCCAATGGATGCTCGAACGCTATTTGAGCCGGGTTTGGAGTGACGCCTGCTACGAGGCCGAAATTGGGAGATATACTCTATGTTCGCTGTATACACCAAGGTCTGTCTGTCTTGATATTAATGAGAGAGTGTGTAGTTTCCTTGCCCTTTCGTTGTTTTCTTCTCTGCCAGCGCTCTCGCTGCCTTTCCTTTGTACACGTGCATTTGCAGGCGCCTGGCTTCACATCAACTCCCTTCGTTTGAATACCACATACTGGACGCCGGCCGTCAGAGTCTAGTGAAGTTTCGAAGCCTCCAGCCCTCGATCGCGAGATTACCAGAAGATGCCGACTTTTCGCCGCACAGCATCACGCTCAAAGACCAAGGAACGTCTTCCTCCTTACCAAGAAGCACCAAAGTCGAGACCGAACTTGCAGGTTACAACGTCCTTCTCGCGGCACAAAGCGGGAGCACCGGAGCAGGTCTTTCCACAAAAAGGAAACCCTTCTGAGGCCCGCTTCATCAACCTCAAAGATGTGCGGTCTCTTTCAGCCGAATCAGTCCCAAGACAGACCACCCAGCAAACAGCAGCCTCGGAACAACAATTGAACGACGGCACATACGCGCCACCACTGGGCAACAAGCCAAAAGTCGGACCGCATCCTCTCCTCCACCGACGCATCAAGGGCTTGCGTCCATTGCCATTGAGCTTGGCCACAGATGTTTCGCCTTCGGACCGTGCCATCCCCATCGGGATCGAAGTACCCTCAAACACAGCTGTAGCTCATTATGACAGCCCACAGAGTGGTGCACAGTTGGCTACCGGGAGCAGCAAGGAACTACCAACGCCTACCATCGTGATCACTCCAGCGAAGGAGGACTTTGACCACACTATCCATGCATCGCCGGAAGACATGAGGGGATGGCCGGGTCCGCGCCCAGCTTCCAGTGTATACTCTACCTACCCCAAACATCCCGGTGGCCGTAACACCAATGGAACGCCACCAGTTCCTCCTTTGCCATTGTTCGCATCTCAGAGCAACGCATCTCTGCAAAGACCTTCTGGCTATTCAGGGGGCTTGGGCAGAGCTGTCATATCCCAAACGCCACCTACGAGGAATAGCGCGCTGTCTCTGCAAACAGTGTTCGAAGATGAGCCAACGGCAGCTTTGCAGACTCGCTCTGCTGATTCGAAGCGTCTCACGACCGCTTCATTCGTATCCCGGCGCAGCAAAGGCTGGTGGAACTTGATCACGTCTCCATTCTCGCCTTCTGGAACCATTGCGCAGTATCTTCGATCTCCGACCTATACTGGAGATGAAGATGATGGAGAGAGAACGCCCATGTTAGCTGGAGCGTCTGGCATGCCTCGATCTCGCAACCACTTTGCCAACCAAGACCCGGCAAGCGATGAGCCGCGATCCGCACCGGAACTCCAGACAGCTGGTCTCACAGGTCTGGGCTACAAAGCAGGCCCAGACCACCCGGCGCCAAAACGCTCTATTACTGCTCCAGGGGCTTTGGACATGGGAGCCGCGGATGGACTGAACATCTACCGCCGCCCAAGTAAAGGCGCTGCCCGTTCATACTACGACAGCAACAGCCCAAACTCTGATACGAACGAGGTCGGTGAAACTAGAGGACTGGCAGACGATGGCTGGAGCCCTTCACAAAGCTGCTACCGTCCATCTCGCAGTAGCTTGCGGAGTTCGGTCGACAGCGGTATGCGTGACAGCCAGTTCTACGTGCTCCCGGACGACGGAGAAGCTGCGGAGTACTACAACCCCAACAAAAGGTTCCCCAGCCTGGCTCCGTACGGTGAGGGATTTGGCGACAGAGATCTAGACGGCTGGGATCCGAGAAATAGTGTGGCTCCTGTACAAGGCGGCGGTAGCTTGAAGGCAGCGAGCATAGAAGGATCTTTGGTGGAATCTCCCGCAGAAACGGACAGCTGTCGCTCAAGCCGCAGTGGCAGTATCGTCAGCTTCGATGACAGCGAGTCCTCGTTCGGTGGTCCCACCCCTCCTGCCGTGGCAGTCCCAGAGCGGCCACCATACCCGGACGACAAGAGCCCATTCGACGACATTTACGAAGCAAATCATGAGGAGAGTAGCCGATCGGTGCCTGGCGGGCCAGGAGTGGCACCCACACCAAACACCGGTAACACATCAGCATTCAACGACTTTAGCGGCACCCATCCAGCTGCGCGAGGCGCTGCATTCACTTTCGCAAGTCCTCCGGTAGAAGCTGTCAACCCACGACCAAGCAGCATGCAACGACAAGAATCTGATGACATGTTCTCGCCTCTTGAGACACCCCAGGTGGAAGAAGCGCGAACAGCGACTCTAATGGCGCCTGAATCTCATAGGGAGGTGGAAGTCGTTTCAAGTCGGCAGCCCACGCCAGCACCTGCTGGAACTGGCCTTGGTATTGGAAATGCTACCATGGCGTCTCGTGGACCAAGTGAGTCGGAGGATGGCAATTCTCTTGCATTCGAGCCTGTGTCAGAGAAGCCTGCGATGTATGGGTACCAAGCGCCACTAGCGCGGAACGACGATCGCAGCTACGGTGGGTATGCGTATCACGACAGAGACAATCTGTACCCGCCATCGCGGGTGCTCTCTGAGAAAGCGAATTTCAGCACTACCAGCTCCGCCAGAGGACCAGAGAAAGAAGACACGGGCACTCCTACCAAGAGACCTTGGTACCGACGATTTTGCCTCTGCCTAGCTGGACTTGTATTGGTGCTAGTTGCGGCGCTCGTCGTGCTGCTGATACTCTTCCTACCTCGCGGACACGACACGGGTCCAGTACAAGCCCAATGGCTCAACCTGACCGGCTTTCCACCACTGCCGACTGGCATGGCGACGGTGATCCAACCGAAGCCGGTCCAGCAAGTCAGTGGCTGTGTGAGCCAGGATGCGTTGTGGAGTTGTGCGATGCCTCCGGATGAGGGCTCAAGACGGACGGTACCCGACTTCAGGTTTCAGATACTGTTCAGAGATGGCATCTTACCTTCGAACGAGACGGCGATTGAGCCTTCTAACTCGACGCTTGCCCGGCGTGGGCTGGGTCATGCATCTGGTGCGAACCAGGTCGCACGCCGGAGTCTCTTCTCCAGTCAGCTCTTTATGTCCTCTCCAGCTCCGCCTTCGATTGATGATCAGAAGATCCTCGGCCACACGACAGACAAACTCAGCGCTCCATATGATGGCGAAGCGACTCCGTTCTACATCTCCCTCTTGAATGCTTCAGCACTGACGGAGAGTTCCTCATCCAACCTCAAGAAGCGTGTGAAGCGTGACTGGCAGTACCCATACCCTACCCCCCAGAAGTCCAACGCCACCTCCAGCGGCTCCAACTTCAAATACCCAGGCCAAGGACCCTCCGACTCCAACTCCGCAAGCGAAGCCGCTGAAAACATCCCCAAAGCCGCAGAAGGCTCCGACCACGCACCAGCGCCCGCTGAGCTGTACCCGTTGCCCTCCTCCCAACCACTCCGTCTCTACAACCGCGGCATGAATTCAGAGCACTATGGGTTTTACACCTACTTCGACCGCTCGCTGTACGTCTCCTCCCTCGCCAACTCGAGTACGTCCAGCAACAACATCACCTCCGCAACCACAACCACCTCCACGGGCAACGTGCCTTTAGAAGACGCCTCAGCCGTCTGCACCTGGTCGCAAACTCGCCTGCACGTGCAGATCTGGACTCAGCGAGCAGACGTCGCTGCGCTCAACGCCACCTCCTCTTCGGCGACGAAAGTCCCGGCGGTCGATTCTTCAGCCAACGACATGACCGCGCCGGGCTCGTTCCCATATTCCGTCACGATCACGCTAGATCGACACGGTGGTGATGCGAGCAAGAAAGGCGTCTACTGCCACTCGCTAGACGACGAGCAGCACGTTCTGCAAGACGTGCGGACGTGGGTCGTTGAAGACAGGAGTTTTGGGGGCGAACTCGTGCACGCAGCGGCTGTGCCGACGAATGGCGGGCTGGTAGGGGGGAAAGGACGTAATGAAAATAATGATAATGGGATAGATGGTGGGACGGGAGGATGCATGTGTCGGTGGCAGAACTGGGGGTAATGAAGGAAAAACACTACAAGGTGTAAGATATACGATTAGATTTGGTCGGGTTGTCGGTAATGCTAGATTGCGAAAAGCATCAGTTGCGTGAGCAGGCCGTTGGGGTACCGTATGTTCGCTGTAACCATAATAGTAATCCGTGATAGCAACCGAAATGTTTTCCCTGCGTGAGCTCGTGCTGCCTCTATTTCCTGCACCGGTGATCCTGATATGCTGTGCTTTTGCCCGTAGATTTTCGGGTGGGACTCGATGCAGCCGTCTCATGACGCCATGACGGCGAGCTGCTGTGGTCCGAATTCCAGGTCGAAAGCCAGCGTCGCCTTTTCTGCGATGACGCTGTTCATGGCGTCGTTGAGCTCGAATTCTTCGAGGACGGCTCCGAAGCTGCAACTCCTGGGTCAGCAATCTAGCTAGCCACGACAAAAGTCTCCGAAGAAGGAGTGGTAAGGAAGCATCAACTCACCCATAACACCTAACCTTCGTCGACAAATCATCCCTCACTCGCTCCAAATCCTCCTTCGTCAGTCCCGGCGTCCTCGGGTCCCGAATAATCTGCGTCCACGCCATAATCGGCGTAATCTCCCCCTCCGCTCCCAGCGGCAGCCTTGCACTCAAATCAAGCAACTTGGACAAATCCGCCGACTCGAGCTCGGGCATCTTGTACGGATACGGCTCGTTCGGCGTTTTCCTGACGTGCGAGTACGGCGGACACGTCGCCATCAAAGCATGGCCGGACATGTGGTCGTACTCGCGGTCGTCGGAGTTCTCGAGCGGGTGCTTGAAGTCCTGGTCTTCCGGGTTGTGCGAGCGGACGACGAGGTACTGCATGTGGTCCATGCAGGGCCGTTCGAGCCTGGGAAATGTGAGCGTCAGCCGAATAATGTCCTGTGATGGTGGCGGAAGCGTACCGAGTGTACAGCACGACGCGGAAGGTGTTGGGATCAGCGTGGAGGAGGGGGTGCGGGGGCGCGACCAGTTGGTCGGCCTTGGGAGTCGTACGTTAGGACAAAGTCTATGCCGATTTGATCGTAATCAACCTGGTTGTTTGGGAGTTGGGCCATGCTGGCCATTGGACGCTGCTGTTGTTGCATGCCGCCCGGGTGCTGCTGCGATATCTGCATCGGCTGGCCACTGGACGGGGGTGGGCTGAAGCCGGTACTGTCAGAGCCTGGAGGATAGCTGCCAGAGATTGAGCCACTGGAGCTAGGACCGTAGCCGCTGTTTTCGCGCTGGAATTTGACGGGGCTCTCCCCGAAGTTGTACGAGATGCCGTGTTGCTCCAGCAGGATTCTGAGTCGTCTGTTCTCTTCCATGACTTTGTCTCGATCCCGCGTCGAGTCTGCGTACACGTCTTTGAGGCGGAGCACCTCTGCTTCAAGAGTCTTGATGTATTGCTCTTTGCGTTCTCGGTGTGTCCTAAGGACGAATCAGTACTACATGTGAGGCGACCATGAAGCAAGCATACTTACCGTTGAGCTTGACGATTTAGTTCTTGTCTTCTTGTCATGGCAGGCTTGCTGTCAGGCTTCGGCCCTCGGCGCTTAGCAGGTTGCCCATCTGATCTCATCGTTAGCTACCAGTGAAGATGGTCGAGAGACGAGCATACCTTACCTTTGGTCTGCTTCTTCTCCGACGTGATATTCTTCAAGAAGGACAAGGGGCTTCGTTCACCACCTGAATTACTGCCTGTATAGACAACACGCTTCAGATGCGGTGAGCGCAAGGCAGCAAGCCTTGCAGATCCATGGTGATGACCGTCCACCATGAGCAGACTCAATGGCTGGACGCAACAGCGCCATGCATAATGCAGGTCTCGACTGCCTGTTCGAGCTCATTGCCGCATCGATCAGCGTGTCCGGCCGTCAGCATCCGTTACTCAATGTAGTGTTGAGGCTATGTGAACATCATGCAGTGTCATTGACACCACGCCGTGAGTGCGATTGAGCTCCGAGAAGCGCGCCCTGCGTGCGTCTGCAAGACTGAGCGACACTGTACAGCGGATAGTTGGGCCAAGCTGCATCGACAGTCATCACGGCGTGCTGCCGGCGAACATGAACACAAAGGGTAACGCTATCGACTCACCATAACCACTGCCCGCACTGTTGGCCTCGTGCTGCGTATTCGTCTGCATGCCGGTGTTCGCGAAAGGATACACTGGCGGAAGCCGAATGTTGCTCCAACCGTGCCAATGGCCACTGGATCCAGTAGGTGGAACCTGATTGAAGGCCATTAGTATGAAGTACAAGAAGTGCTTGGTGGTGATGAGTTGTTGAGGATGAACGCAGGCGCTGCCCGTTTGAGGACGATAACAATCGGAACAATGTGTAAAGCGGATAGCGAAGTGGAACTCCAACCGCATAAATAAAATGTCGTTGAGGGAAGTGGAGGGGCTTCGAGAGACTGTCCGCTGCTCAACGCTGCCTGGGTGTCCTGGCGACCCATGACCAAGACCAGAGCTCAAACCAGGCGCAGCGTTACTCGACGCACAATGCTGACGTGACAAAGGGCGCGGTAGACCATGCGAGGACGAATGATCGCGCTTACCTCTGTGGTGCAAGGCTCCGCTAGGTCGACAAGACTGGGTGGCCAACGAGGGTGGTAGGACTGGGTAACCGAGTCGAAACAGCCAGCGTGATCTTGTTCGACGTGCTCGCGGTGGTAAGTCAGGGCCAGGCGTGTTGTGAGCTCGGCGTCGAGAGTCGTAGGGCGCGTTGCAGTCGCCGTGCTTCCCAGTAGGCCGTCGATTGAGGGGTTGAAGGATCACGTTCGAGGCCTCGAGTCGTACAATGGCCTGCTTGAGGAGGTGAGGTTAGATATAGCTCTACCAGGTCGCTTATACTGCCGATGGGAAGAGGTCCCGCGTCCGAGGAGTGCTGTCACAAGGTGGCCAGCTATTTTGGAAGCGGGTGATGTGGAATTAATCGGCAGGGCTACCTCTCTAGCGTGCTGGTGGACCGACAAGACGGTCTGGCTCGCGATGGCGCCTTGGTTTCTTTCTTACGCCGCACGGAGGATCCTTTGCGCCGACTCGAGCATTGGAGTGCGGTATGCAGGGTCCGGTGATAGGAGAAGAGGATGGTGAGAACGAGGACAAGTTCGTTGGTGGAAGAAGTCTCTCGCTCTTGTGCGACGTCGACTCTTCCATCCTCGAGGACCCGCTTCCGCCCCGACTCCACCTGGTTGCCCAACGGCGTTAGATTCAGCGGAAACGAACATCCCCCCGCCGATATGCACGACGCCAAAAGAACGTTCGCTGCATGATTGACAGCCGCCCAGCGAACATCTCGTCGACCTCCAGGCGGAGGCGGAAGTCTGCGTGATCCTGTCATGACCACAACCCTCAGCACCACCGCATGGAAGGCCTTCCTAGGCCTGCGCTGTGCTGTCTTCCTGACGCCCTGGCTGCTGCACCTCTTCTTCGCCGATCTCATCCTGTCCAGTCTGCTCCTCCCCTCATGGCTGCTGCCGGATTTGTGCAATCGGGCATCATCTGCCATCGCAGAGTCAGTCTGGCGAGGCATCCAGCTGATCTTCACGCGCATCAACCGCGCCGACATCATCCTGTCGGGCGTGGAGAAGCTGCCGCCGGATGAGTCGGCCATTGTGATCTCCAACCATGTCGAATGGACGGATTTCTACATGATACAGGCCCTGGCTCTGCGGTCTGGTATGCTTGGCAAATGTAGGTGGTTCGCGAAGCAGCAGCTCAAGTGGGTGCCATTCCTTGGTTGGGGTCTATGGGCTATGGGTATGCCGCTGGTGAGTAGGAACTGGACGCGCGACCAGCGGGAGATGGATCGTGTCTTTCACGGCCCCTTGAAGAGACAGTGGCCTATATGTGAGTGTGCAGTGCGATGGCGGTACATGGCACAAGGCTAACAGCTTCGCGAGGGCTCATCGCATACAGCGAGGCTACCCGGTACACTCCTGCCAAACGCCTTGAAGCCGAGCGCTGGTGTCACGAGAACGGCAGACGTCTAGGCCAGCACACTCTATACCCTCGCACGAAAGGCTTCATCGCCTCGGCGCAAAAGCTACGTGATGCGAAGCAGATCAAAGCCGTGTACGATGTAACGGTCGCATACGCGAGAAGAAGAGGCGATGGTTTCGAGTTCCTGCAAGCTCCTACGTTCACGGAGTCAATCATGATACCACGCCTTGGTCAGAAGTGGAAGTTCTATGCACACGTGGAACGGCATCCCTTGGAGGACGTCCCCACGGGAGAGGCAGAGCTCACACAATGGTTGGAGGCACGGTGGGTTGAGAAAGGCGAGCGTCTGGAGGCTCTGCGGCAGAGGCTGCTGAAAGGGCTGGAATGGGATTGATCATTCCAGACTCGACCTAGAGGATGGATCCCTACGCGCGGAGTGGTATCTGCTCTGGCGATACGTTTCTAGAACCGCTTCCTGAAGTCAGCTTTATCTCTACACAATTCGAACAGCTGAAGGCATCTCATGAGCCAATCCAGCCCATGGCCACGAAACGGGAAGCAAGGCGGAAGCTAGTCTTCGTCGAAAGCACTTCCATCCGCCCATAGCCGACAATTTATCGAACTCGAACCCTGCACTCGAAGTGCTTGGACGATCAGCAGCACGCGCTGCGTCAACACTGCATGCAGCTCAGACAACAAACGCAGCCTCTCGCAATGTCTAGTATGCGTCGTGTGCCACAGGCATACCAACCTCCAAGGGGCACGTATTGGAGCTGGACCAAGTATCGAGCTGCTGGCCCTCACGAGTCCAGGGCCTTGAGCTGCTTAGGGAGGTCCGAGTTCACCGCAGCAGGTGATCGGATCTACTATGGGCTGGAGTGGTGTGCAGGAGTGTAGTATTCGAGCGACAGTAGCAGTCCGAATTCATAGTGACCAGGTAGTCAACCGCTCGCGAAAGTCCAGTGGTGTATGTTGCCTGTGACTTTCAGCCTCCCATGCAAATCGGTAATGTGATTTTAGGCGCGTTCGAGGTACATCTAGGAAGACCGGCAGTTGAAGACGCTGAGATGGAGCCTTGAAGATGTATAATCTATGGATATATTATAAGTCTATCCTCATCGACAGCTGGCAGTATCATGAATCGTTCAAACTTCTGCATTCGTAAAGAGGTTATACGACCGGACTGTCCTCCGTTCCCTGCTATGCTCCCACCCCCTCCAATCAAATTCACCAGGCCTGGTCGTCTCGTCCGAGAGGATCTGTCTTTGCCAGAGGGCCACCACCTGGTCACTCCACCCCACCGCATTCGCTGCCGTCAGTCATGAGACGTTATAAATGAACGAGCACCCGTCCCAATCGCCCTTACCTGCTTATCGACCTCCCAGCTCAAAGAAATCCCCTCGACAAACATGGCGGTCCTCCAAATCAGCCTTGTCATTGCCGCCTACATCGTCTACAAACTCATATCATCCTACATAGCAGACAGACGCTTCAACTCCTTCGCTGAGAAGAATGGCTGCTTGCCCCCAGCCGATGTCTCCGAGCCCTTCCCATGGGGCTTCAGACGACTCTACCGCATCTTGTAAGTCTCTCCTCCACTCAGCCCTGTGAACCGTGCTGACTGTCGTACAGGCGCGTGAAGAAGACCGGCGAAGACGTCCTCGACGACATCATCATGTCCGACTTCGACGAGGCTGGAGGCAGCCGAACGATTCAATTCAAGGTTTTTGATGGGTCGACTATGTTTATGACGGCGGATCCGGGGGTGCTGCAGGCCATGCTTGCGACCCAGTTTAACGACTTTGGGACCGGGAAGCGGCGGTATGATGTCTTTAAGCCGCTTGTTGGGAAGAGTATCTTCTCATCCGATGGGCCGTTCTGGGAGCATTCACGTGCCCTCTTCAGACCCCAATTTGCGAGAGAGAATATCAACGACCTCGAAGCCACCGAAAACGCGTCCTCTGCGCTTATCACTGCCCTTGGTCAGACTGACAGCAATGGGTGGACATCTGGAGACGAAGTCCTGCCCTTGGTGTACAACTTCACCCTTGACACTGCTGTACGTCTCACTCTCACGTGTGCGTTAAGGAGAGCTTCTGCTGACTGAGACTAGACGGACTTTCTTTTCGGACAGTCAGTAGAATCTCAACGGATTGCGATAGCGGCCAGGTCTGGGTCTGGAGCATACCAAGACCACAGTACAAGGGAACAAATAGAGGAGGCCAAGAATTTTACAGACTCCTTTGGCATCATGAACGACTATCTCATCATGCGCATCCGAATGCAAAGTCTATGGTGGCTCGGTGACAGCCTGAACCTTCGCAGGGCAGTACGTTATCCATGTGCAAAGCCCCTGCCAGCATGTCTCAGGCATATGCTGATAGGTCCTACACTTCTAGATCAGAAGGATACAAAGATTCGTGGACCCCATCGTCAAGCGCTCCATCGACACTGCTACCTCTTCTGCGAAGCGGGAAGAAAAGAAGCAAAGTCTGATGAACAATCTAGCGACACAGACACAAGACAGAACAGAACTACGGAATCAGGCCCTGGCTATCCTCCTGGCCGGGCGAGATACCACTGCTGGGATGCTCGGCTGGGCACTAACACGACTCGCGCTGCATCCTGAGGTCTTCGCTAAGCTGCGCAGCACTGTGCTACAGGAGTTCCAGCCTGGCGATCCCATCACATTCGCCAAACTGAAGGGTTGTCGATATCTCCAGCACTTCCTCAACGAGGTCTTGCGACTTCACCCGACTGTCCCGGTGAACCAAAGATCAGCCTTCAAAGACACCGTTCTACCGGTCGGCGGCGGTCGGGACGGCCAGTCACCAATGGCTGTGCGGAAGGGCACAGTCATCCTCTTCAGCGTGTACATTATGCATCGACGCAAGGAACTCTGGGGTGAAGATGCTCTGGAGTTCAGACCGGAGAGGTGGAGCGAGCAGCGGTATCCGGCATGGCAGTTTTTGCCCTTCTTGGGTGGCCCGAGAATATGTCTGGGACAGCAGTTCGCTTTGACAGAAGCAAGCTATCTGCTCGTTCGGCTCCTGCAGCAGTTCGATGCCATGGAGCCGACGAATGCAGCGGAGGCGCAGAAGCTGAAGAAGGGACTCGGGGTTACAATGTGGCCTGGCGATGGGACGAAGGTGCGCTTTCGGAAAGCTGCTTCTACTTGAGTCTATCAGCGCTGTTCGATGAGCGGAAAGCTGCGGAGTTGTCACTGCCTTAGGTATTGAACGCCACTCCTCTTGTAGCGTTGTGTCTGCAACGATGCTCTCTCATCAAGAACTCCACCTGCTGCATCATCTGAAGCGCCACTTCGAGCTGGCTGCGGCCGGATTTGTCAGTGTCAGCCCACCTCATGCGGCTCCAAACAACATCCATGCATCTCACCACTTGCATTATCGCCATGAGACCACAAAAGCTTGATGTGCCAATGCTCATCGTAGCGGACAACTCACACGAGCCTCCTGCCACCCGAGCCAGGCTCTCAGACTCGAAGCCATGGCCACCAAGGCCAAGGACAACACTGAATCTGCAGTGTCGGCTCCGAGCGAAGACCTCATATTCATAACTTACCAGGGTGACTGGCACCACGATCCCGAGACACGGCGTATCGTTCGCAAACGGGCATTCGACTCGACTCGGGTGGCCAAAGTGCCTGCAGTGTCTACGGGCAGTTCGCAGACCAACAGCGGATCCTTGAGAGATCAACAGCATCGCTTTCGAGTCTCTAAACAACGCAATGTCCCTCTTCACAAGGTAGACCAGTTGCAAGAACTACCACGCTCAGTGTCGCCGCTTGAGCCAACGCTGAGACGCTTGGGAGATGATAGCTACCGGATCCTTGGATACTGTCAGTTTAACTTCGTCCACAATGTTACGACCCTACGCATGAGGAGCTGCTGATTAGGCTAGATCATCACACATTCCAGCAAAACTCGCTCGCCATCAACGTCGAGGGAGGCTGGCTGGCTTTCACTCTCTCTGATGAAGCTGTGACGCACGCACAGCTGGCGTTGACTTCTTTGACCTTAGATGTCGACTCGTCTGGCAAGACCTCCTACCTCAAGCACAGCTCTGCTTCCATGCAACTCATCCGCGGCAGGCTGTCAAACAATGCTGGACAGTTTGACGATGCTGTTGTTGGAGCCGTGGCTCTGTTGCTGATTGCAGAGGTGAGTGCTGCGCTGGCTTATGAGAAACTTTGAGATATGTTTGCTGAGACCAGGCCAGAGCCTACAGAGCGACGTGACCAGTTCTAAATCTCATTCAGATGCTTTGAACTCCATGTTGGCACTAAGAGGAGGCTATAACGGCTTCTCTCACCTCGCAGCGCTGCAACGAGTCATCTCATGGTCAGAATCTCCGACAATCAATCGCAACAGTACTTGAAGCTGATCAACAACCAGGGCCCGCCGAGCGTACGGCTTGAGATGGTTGCGGCCGTCAGGAGCACCTCAAGTCACGAACTGCCTTCCCGACGAAATCGATCCGTTGGCCAAATCGATCAGAGATCTCCAGAGAGACCAGATGCCAGATGAAATCCGAGCTATCCTGCCGGACAGTCTGCAGCAGGTTCTGGCTGGATTCCAGACCGTCTCTATCTACCAGTCACAACCCGGCCAGACCAAACAGAAATGGATCAGCGCGGCCATCTTCGAAGTCGAGAGAATGCTCATGTACCTTGACGATAATAGCTTTGCAAGGCTGTTCCGGTCTCCTCGCGAGTATTGTCCTCTGTCGAGCCTTTTCCATCTAGCTGGGCATATATACCTTCTGATCGTCTTGCGGCAGATCCACAGGCAGTTTCCAATCGTACAGGCATTCGCCGATGTCCTCGCGTCGAAGTTGAAAGCTTATCACAGACGGCGGGTTGCCACAGAAAATACGCAGGGAGAGAAGCAATTGCTGCTCTGGATCCACACACTTCAGTGCATTAGTACGGTCGAGTCGGAAGTCAGACTTGAGGCTCAGAAAGGCTTGTTGTCCGTCTGTCAGGCTATGGAGATCGTGGACTTTGCTGGCTTCTCGAACACCTTGAAACAAGTCGCATGGGTTGATCGGACGCTTGGAGAAGATCTCTCCGATGTCTGGAACACCATGATGACTGCAGCGAAGAATCTAAGGAACGTCTCTTGCTTCGTGCTACGGAAATCCACTACGACGTCTGCTCCAACTCTTTGTCCTGCTGTCTATCAACGAAGCATCGACCCAACAAACCCGACTTCGAGAGGCGGATGATGACATCTACCACGGCACTGGCTCGCCACTGTCGGTCAGTTTGGTCAGCAAAATCACCATCTCTCAACAGCGAGGCGACTCACTTCTGATCGAAAACCCCTCCACTATGCTCAGCCTTCGTAGCCTTGTCAAAAAGCTTCATCAACCCAACAATAGCGTCATCAAGCTGCACAGGCGGATCATTAGTATTCATGCCAGCCCAGACAGCCGCTCTCGACCCCATATCCGTGGCGATCCAGCCTGGCTGAACAGGAACGACAACCAGCTTGTCTTCCTCGCGATTGATGCGGCCGGCAAGGTATCTAATGCCTTTGCGGCAGCGGTGTTTGGGCCGTCTCGAATGGCTGCGATGGCGACGTGGTTGTCTCGAGCGGTATAAGCGGCTAGCATTGTTTTGCCGACTGGATAAGAAGCAGAATAACCAAGTTGATCCTGCATGTTGGGTGGAATGACCGGGCCGACTCACTGCCAGACTTGCAGCCGGTAATGAGGACTGTGGTGGTCTGCATATTGATGTACTGACTTATGGCTTGGGGTTGTTGTAGCAGTGGGTGTGGAAGAAACTGATTGATTTCAATTGTGTTCTGCTTCTGAATGCTCGATGGATCTCTTACTTCTTATACATTCCACCGGCAGGTAGCAGCCTCTTCAACTCGAGTGAAGTCACTGCTGTTGCTGCGTTGGACATTATAAATCAAATGTTCCTTGGGACTCCTGCATTTGGGGAACAGTACAGCATGGGACATCGTTACCTTCATCAGTCCCTTCGCTGAGCGAGTAAGACGAGTTGAATGATTGCTGGATCTAGCAAAGGACATGTCTTCCTCAAACGCAATGCCAGGTTGAAGTACAGTAACAGATGTAGACGTATATTCAAAGTTGCCTGATATGGAAAGTGAGGTCGTATGCTGACATCGACTTTCATATGATCGCCGCGTGACTGCTTAACGGCAGACCTCGAATGAGCTTTAGACGGAGGCGAATACCCCTCGCAGTAATAATGCAAGCCCCAACGAGTGGTAAGGCGAGTGTGTAACAACCAACTTGTTATCAAACTAGATTTGCAGTCGAAGGCGCCTGTCCTTCAACCACACGATTACTATCAGCATGCTAATCAGTCGGCGAGAAGCAGGGGTATCTTGATCAATCACAATCACCAAACGCCCATCTAGACACATCGAACGTCGTCAATCGTCTGCTCCCATGACCGCTCATCCGTATTTCTGCTCCATCTCCTTCCTCTTCCTCATGCCTCCCTTCACAGAGGTAAATAGCAAGTATACCCACACCAACATCGCAACAAACACAAGTCCCGTCGACGCCCATGTCAAAGCCAAGAACTTGTTGCCTCTCGTCGCGCTAATTCCAATCTCATCGCCATGTTCGTTGATAAAATGGCTCGCCTTGTCCGCAACGAACGTGACAATGGCGCTTGCGACGGTGATCAACATGAACGCCAGCGAGTCCACGGCAACATTGATGAAAGCGCTCAGGCGGCCATTGAAGAAGATGCCCATCATAGCCGTTACCATCGCAAGGAAGATGAAGCCGATGGCGAGGCAGTAGAGCACGAACATGGCTTTCTGCGCGACTTTGAGAGCGTTGATGCCGTCCCGAATGTCGTCGGGCCATTCCACGTCTGAGATGTCGATGAAGCCATTCGTACTTTCATTGAGCTCGCGGGAGATCGTCTTCTCCGGGTCAAAGGTCTTCATTGCGGTTTTGCGGGAGCAGTGGGTGACGTTCTTGTGTATGCTTCCTGATCCGAGCGTAGCGTTCGGTGCGGATGCAGGCACGTAGAAGCCTTCGCAGAAGTTGAGGATGTGTGCCGAATAGAAGTCGTGAAGCCCAAGGACCTGTGCAAAGTCTCCCAGCCCCTCTTCAATCATGTTCTCGAATCGGTTCGTCAGGCTTTCTGCTTCCTCCACCAACTCTTCTGAGATCTCGTGGCCTTCCTCTTTCAGCCAGTCCACTGCCGCCACGGCCTTGGTTGGGATTGGAATAGCGCCAGTCGCTTTGGTGTAGACGCTGGCTACGTCGGCAGTGCCTTTGCTCCATACGCTCTCGGCCCAGTTTTGCGACTCGGATCGCCTGAAGAGATCAGGTGCGGGTGTGGCATCAGGCGCAGCAGTGATGACAGGGCTCGCCACATCAGCAGCAGCGGTGACGTCTCGTTCAAACAGACTGTCGTTGATGTCGTCGAATATTGGGAGGTCCTGGCCGATTTGGGATGTGTTGAGCTATATCTCATGTTTAGCATATCGGCAATCAAGACTTATTGGGTCCTACCAACAGTAATGATAGCATAATCCTCCATGAAGTTCTTCTTCGAGCCAGCGAAGAGACACAGGAACGACAATATCAGTGACACCATGCACAACACCGCAGGCAGCACCGCCAGAGCCCGTATTGGACCCATCTTCGACACACCGATCACACCAGTAATAAAGATCAGGTATTGGAGGTACTCCACAAGGTCTGAAGTGATCGATGTGATGTTTTATTGTTTTTTCTCTGACAATAGACAATGGGAGTAACACAGGAAATGAAATACCGACCTACCTTCACGAGTATATCAACTACCCATGCCATCGCCAGCGCAACCCGCCTCGTCGTCCGGCGCCTCGCGTGACGCTGGCGATCAAAGGCATGGCTAGTGAATGGCAAGCAAGCGACCGCACCGGCTGCAACTCAAGCAAGAAAGCGGTATGATACGGGCGCGAGATGACGTGAAGTGTCAGCGAAAAGAAGAGGCGCAGGCCAGTCGGTGGCCGGTAGACATCCGAATGCAGGGTCTTTGCCTTGTTTCAACCGCGGGCTTGAATCGGTCGGCTGGCACGGTGATTCGCTTCGGCAGGTGGCTGCGCTAAAATGATGGATGCCGAGCGCTCGCTTGGGACAACGATGCATTTTCAGAAATGCATCTGGTGCTGGCGGATCGTCCTCTGGAAGCCGGATTTCAACCAACAACAAGACAGCGTCTTAGAACTATCGGAAGTCGTCGCCGGTTGGATAACATTCCCACTCAGACACAGCCACCTTTGGCGGTAGATCACGACGTATGGGAAAGGTAGTGGCTTCGTAGGAGCTGTCAAACATACCCAAGCTACCGCCATCTGCCGTAGCAAACTCCAACGATGCCGGTGTATGACCTTAAAATCACCGAAAGGACTTCCTCCTACCACAGGTTCGAATCAATAACAACCTCGTCAGCCTGCCCATCAGTCTGCCAGGCCTGCTGACTCCGGTGACTGCCATCGTGAGTCCGGAGACTGTTTGTACTCTTCTCAGTAGCCCATCCAGCATCCTCCTTCCCATTCTTGTCCCTAACGACGAACTCCTCCCTCGATGGACTCTCACTCAGCACCCGGTGCAGCGGTCTTGCTCCCTCAACCCATGCATGCTGCTGCTTCGTCTTCCCACCATCTTTCTCCTTCGCTCCCCCATTCTCTTCATGATAGGATTTCTTCTCGCAAAAGGTCTCCCTCGTGACATCCCGACTGCGCGTCCTACCGCGCCGTGGATTCTGCTCGCGCACATCGTCCTGTGCACCATCAACTTGCCGGCTGCCGCGCCCGACACTATGGAAGCTGCGAAAAGCCGACGAGCTGGCGTCGCTGCCGGGTGGTGTGGGCGAGACATGAACTTTGCTGTTAAACCGCACATGGCTCGGCGCTTCGCTGTTTCGTGTTCTGCGACTTTGGTCGCTAAGACGGCGTTGTCGTAGCGGGAGTGTGTCGGCAGCTGGTCGTACGTAGAGCCCTGAGTGTCCCTTGTCATCCACGTCGGGCCTGCTTTCGCGCTTCTTGTTGTCGTCTCGGGACGATGGCTGTTGGCCTTTGGGCTTCACGCCAACCTCAGTCTCTTTTTCGACCTCAACCCTCGGCCGGTCTTGTCGCTTTCCGCCATCATCTTTCGCAAGCCTCTGGCCCTTGGGCTTGTAAAAGACCTCAACTTCCTCCTCGACCTCCACACGAGGCGGGCCGTCACCTCTCGGCCGCACAAAGACTTCGGAGTGTTCTTCTACCTCCACGCGAGCTCGGTCTCGACGCTCTTTGCGTTCCCACTGCTGAGTGCCACGATCGTCCGGCTTGCGCTTGTGAATAACCTCCTCTTCGACCGTTGTTTGACTGTGAGGCGGCCGCCAACCCCAGGGTCGATCAGCTGGAGTGACAATGCGCTCGGTGTAGATGTATTCGATGTCCGAGTTGTTTGGTCGCCTGGCACGGTCTCCTCCTTGAGCTTCTCGGTGGCTGTTCTTCCTGGGTCCAGTAGCTGAAGAGTCGTGATCGGGCATCACATCTTCCTCTGGGTACGGCGATGCGCCGCTCATCCGTGGGACACTCGATCTTGACACCTGATCGCGGGACGTAGTGGGCTCCCAGTTACCCGCATCCCGCGGCCACCGAGTCTTGTCGGACTCCACGCTGCCGTGAACGCTTCGAACGGTCTCAGTCGGCTGCTTCATAGCTGACTTTGCCTGTGGTGTTGCCGACATGCGACCAGTCTGCTGCGATATATCCGATTTTCTTGATGGCCCATGGCGATTGGATGGCCTCCCCTCAACGGTACGCACATTCGCATCTTCGTGCCATGCGTCCCTGTCAGCCGGTTTCGACCGTTGTGAGCAAGCTCTGGTTGAGACGTTGTCGTGATTTACAGTGGAAGCATGTCGCTCGTCGGTCTGCTGTCTATGATAGCTGGCACTCGCCTCTCTGGTACTCCTCCGGTCGTCTGTCTGTCTTGAAGAGCGGGCATCGACAACAACTTCCGGTCCGGTAGGCGGTGCTTTCGAACGTGGCGGCAGCTCTACCTCCTCGATCACTTCAATGTAGTCAGGATTGGTGTGCCGCGGACGACGTCCTTTCTTCACGACGTATGGCTCGGCTTGGGAGGACCATCGTGGTGGATCTGACTCCTGGACTACATCGAAGACCTCACGCAGCTTGACGCTAGGTGGCTCGCTGTGCACCACGTATCCGTTCTGATCAACCGCAGTCCTGGTGTCTTTGGGTGCCTTTGAAGCCCTGCTAGTCTGCTTTTCCGAGTGAACAGACTGGCGTCGCTCGACAGAAAGCTCACGGCGCCATCGCGGGCCCCAAGATTGCGCCTGTGAGCCGCGGGCTTCTTCAATCTGCTCAACACGCTTGGTAGACGCCGTCCTCTGACTTGCAAAATCTCGAATATCGTACGCTGGGTACGCGCCGCTCTGAGCTTTCGTCGACGCCTTTGCAGAAACTGCCCCATCGGGCTCGGCCAGGTTGTCGATTGGAATCGAGCCATTTGGCCGCCTCAAGGATCTCTCGGTTCCCAACCTGGCAGACATTTGTGCTGAGCTCGCCTTTTCTTGAGCCGCATAGGACTTGACACTCGCGGCTCCGGTTGGACGGTCGTCAGTCGTCCTCTGACGGCTCGCTTTCGTCGTGGAAGAGATGGCGACAGATTCTCGTTGTGAAACTGCTTTGGAAGCAGTGATCTCTTGGTCGTGGCTTTTCTTGCCCACCTTGACCGTCACTTCTTCTACGCCAGGCTGAGACCATGGGACAGGTTCGGGTGTGTCGCGCTCGGTCTCGATACGTCGGTCAACCGGAACCAGCCTCCCATGAGCATATGGGCCTGGGTGCGCTTCAATCTTCCGTTCGGCTGCTCTGTAGTGCTCGACCTCTTCTCTTGCGATTCGACGGATTTTGGATTCACTGCGCTCTTGTGGTTGAGCTGTCCTGGCGTACCGATCGACTTCCTCCCGTGCGATGGCGCGTATCTCAGACTCAGTACGTTCTGGGTTGTACGTCGTGACCTTCGCAGACGCTTGCGCAGACGTCGCGGAGCCTGCTTGAGATGCGACCTGGGTGGCGACAGACGTCTTCGTTGTGCCCGCTCCACGGGCGCTCGCAGCTTTCGCCGTCTGAGCCGTCCATGATTTAGGTCTGCTGGTAGCCTCGACACCCATGCTCGGCGTAGCTTTCGGTCTTTGGGAATGCTTTGAACCACCTGATCCAATGAAGTTATCAACGGCTTCTTGTGAGGTAGATGTCACGTTCTCTCTTTCTACCTCGACGTCAGACCGTGAACTCTCGGACTCCGCAACAGCTCTCAGATGCCGATAGCTGATATCGTTTCTCGAGCGACTTCTGCGTCGGCTCGAGACTCTTTCTGTGTACCGACGAGTCACGTGCTCATGCGTGCCGTCTTCTTGAGGCAACGGAGCAGCACCCTGATCCTTCAGATATTTCTCCAACTTCATCCTTCGCATTTCCTCCTGGCTCACGATAGCTTCGTCTCTGAGGAAAGGAGTGAACATGCCAAGTTTGATCGGATTGCTTTCAGACTTCACCACTAGATCGACCGTCTTAGTGTCTTCCATGGTTGTGACGCGGCATCTTCGGCATATTCCAGGGGGCGGTGGAACACCGTCAATAGGGATAGGGTGCTGGCGATGGTAGCGTGGACTTCGAGGTCTGAGGCAAATGCGGTAGATGTGGTATATAGCGAGTGGTGGCACGGAGTCGGGCTCGATGTCGGTGGGTGGCATGGCCAGCAATGGACCTTGCGGCCGGGCGCCTAGTCTTGCGCTGCTAGGTCCATCGTCGTAGGCGCCATCGAGTGTGGTCGCCTGTTCTTTGACGATGAGGATGTCGTGGTCTGCCTCTGACGTCGAGGAAGAGGACTTTGCTTCCATCGCTGCTTTTGGTTTGTGCGCAGGTTTTTCGAGATAAAACTCAGGGAGCGGTGGCGGCGGCAGTGGGACAAATACCTGTCGCTGCTCCACGACCGGCATAGCGAATGAATGTGGTTTTCGGTGGTGTGAAGTCGGCTTCGAGTGTTGAGAAGGAGGTTGATGTTTGAGGCCACGTGAAGTTCGCGCCGGGTGTTTCCCGTGATGCTTCAAAGAGGAAGGAGCGCTTGCGTCAATGCGAGCTTGCCTTCAGGAACCAATTTCAGCCGGCTCCAAGAACGACTTCGACCGACCATCGCACCCATCCTCTTTGCTGAAGGACCTTCCAATCGCTATCCGGAACCTTCAATGTATCTACACTCCTGCGACGCATACTCATGCGTAGGTAGTAACATGATTGCGCCAAAGGTCACATGAAAAGGTGTTGTGCATTTGATCACATGCAAACCGCTGTACACTTACACATGCTCGACCTCTCAAGAGTACCTCCCTGACGGTTCCATGACAGCATATCTTCACACTCGCACCCAGCTACCCGCTCAGCCCATGGCCTTCAAGAAATTGCCTTCCTTGATCTTCGCTCTCCTCTGCTGCCGCATTGCATGCGTCAACTCCCCTCTCGCATCCAGCGCGCTCTTGTTGCCCTCCAAACTACCATCACCTGCAGGCAAATCTATACTCTGCTCGTACAGTGGCACCTTCGGCTCCATCATGTCGGGATTCAACAGCTGCTGTCTCCGCAATGCCTTCGCTGCTCTTCGCCGTTGCTTCTTTGATTTGGCTGCGCATTCATTAGAACCAATGACACTCTCCGGCTGCGCGATCCCTGCTTACCGAACAGATCTCCCTCCAAATCATCCTTCGCGCTCTTCTCCTTACTCTCCGCCAAAGCACCCCATAGCCACGCCGGATACTCATGATCTTCCATCGCAATAGGGTCCTGCTTGTTCTTCATGAAGTTCAGCCCCTTCAACACTGTACCCGCGGGCACACTGCTCTGCACTGCCGCTGGCTGCTTGGACTGGTTTGGTTCGATGGGTAGATTGACATGGCGGTCGGTTGCAGGCGTTTCGGGTGTTGAGAAGGGCTGCGCGGCGGAGGTAGAGGTGGCTGCAGGTGCGCCATTGGGCCGTGGATTCGATGCGGTTGTAGTCTGGGATGTCACTGGCTCTGCTAGTCGGGGGGTGGTCGTGGTGTATGAGCGGGATGAGACGGTGCTCTGCGCTCGATGCGCGAGACGAGATAGGCAACGGCGACAGATCATGATGGCGCCTATGCAACGATGTAGAACAGAGTGGTTTTACAAACCCTCTATATGTAGTTATCGACAGAGTACTCGAGCTCGTGAAGTCGATCACCCATCGGCTTGGCTAGAAGTACCGAAGTATTCCCGAAGGTGCCGACCTCATCTCTTGACTGTTCATCCCGAACTCCACGACGCTGCCTCCTTCGGACGGTGTTGAATCGAGATAGGCCGGCGATAGGATTGGGCTGGAGTGACCACCGATGCACCAGACTGTCCTGGTGGCCTGACATGCCCAGGTCCGGCATCGGCTGCTGTGCGAACAGTCTGCCTTGATCCTGATGACTATGTCATCCAGCGTACACCTAGCGGCCGGCTCCGGCCTACTCGAGGATCAGTTCATGTCATTCAGCTGCTGCGCTGCTCTGGGCAGAGAGATAGAAAGTGACGTCGAGCAAAGTCCGCTTGGTTGCGGCTTAACAGGCAACTGTTGTACGAAGACGAGACCTCGCAAGGCAATGAGGTTTGCTATACCGACATCTAGGATTACCAATCTCAAAGCATGAAGTCCATTGGTGCGCAGGAGAGATTGTCGCAGGTAGGAACATGGGATCTGACGTTGCCCGACACAGCACGCTTTGACAGCGACGTTGTGCCGACGAGATGAATCCGCCTCTTGGACCTGCTGCTCGCTCACAGTCGTGATTCAACCAACTGGCCTTCAACGGTTGTGCAGCTCAGTTCCATGCGCCAGCACCGGATGCTCGCTCGGACCTTTCTGCTGCTATGTCTGATGGGACGTCCAACCGCCGCACATATCCTCGATACACTTTCGACATGCACCCCAGACGTTGTACATGCTTAGGAACACCTCCAAGTTCAAGCTGCAGATCCTTCAGCAATCCTAATCGCTGATAGAGCCCTTCTAGCTTCCTTCGAAGAACACCACCATGCCCTACCAACGCTCCTTTTGAGAGTCCGCAGCACCCTCAGCCAATCCAAACAACGAGGCGCGCAATCATCCCGCGGTGGTGACGATTTTCAGGCAGCTTTAGAGCTGCAAGCTACTGCCCCCCGCAATACTCATGCACAGCTACTGCAGCATCCCACGCGAGCATCTACTTCGCTGACCATCTGACCTTGTGGAACGTCCAGCATGACCTGGGCAGGTTGCGGCTTTGAAGCACGTTGTCTACTTACAATTCATCCTGTGGAAGAAGCCTCTTTTGCTGGATGACGTCTGTCGTTGCAGGCCCGCTGGTCGCTGCTGGAATATCGCTTGGTGTAGCATATATCTGACCGTTCTTGCTCACCTGGAACACTCCAACACTTTTCTCACTCTCCTTCTCCCTGTTCATTTTACAGCTACCATTTCTCAAGAAATTTCCTTCGACATCGGTCAGCAAGGCGCCGGTGGCGTCACTTCAAAATCACAGCAGTTGCTTGACCATTGACCTTCAGACTCCATAGTAAGTCTATTCTCGATTGTTTCCTCGCCATTCATGCACTCGCACATTTGCTGACAACGCCTAGATGAGCGACACACCGCCCAACAGCTATCGCGGAGACGATGTCGAGCAAGTGGTAATCATACCACCGCCGGTTGATAGCCAGCGCCCGCCAATCCTCAGTGCAGAGTGTCCCGGCCATGGGAGTCAAGCTTCCGACTGCCGCACTCCGGACGATGACAGCATTCAACTTGCTGCCACCAACGGCCACGACGATACTGTCCCGGTGGTGATGCCAGACTTTGCCGACGACAATTCAGAGATGGGCGATGAGTCCGTCGAGGGCGACCAGGGCGACGAGTCTGTCCTTGGAAGCGACAACGTCTGCAGCGAAATCAGACGTGCTACTACCGTCTACGGCGCCTGCGCCTGCGCTTGCGTCCACTGCAACTGCCGCCCCATGCTTCCTCCGTTCCCACCTCATGATACTTGGAGCATAGCAGCATCCCCAGCCAGCTCGAGGTCTGGATCACCGTTCGGATACAGCTCGATGGTCGTCGAAGTTGGCAGCATGGCCTCTTCGACCATGTCCATCCTTCGCAGCCCAACTCCGCCTTACATCTCCGACCTTTTCACGCTCATGACGGGCGGCTTCGAGGACCATGTGACGGTTGTCTTGCCGGATGGCTTCAACCGGGCGCCGCTTTGGCTCACGCCGACTGTACGCTATGCACCAGTACTGGATGAGGACGACTTTGATGACTTTGGCGCTTAAAGGGTCATAGTCGCATGAAGGGACTTGCGAGGCCGAAGTGCAACTCGCCGGGGTACACGAGTTCCGGGTACTGCTGTGTAGGGCATGGGAATATTATACTGACGACGACATGAGAGGTCCGCCTCAACACGCTCACTGCTCGAAGGTTTGATGGAGAAATAGGCGTTGTGGGTTTCACGGCATGATCTGCGCAGACCGCGGCGTAGCAGCAGACCCCCGTCGAGCAGACACAGTTTCACACGGGATGCTGCACATGCTGGGTGACGCATGCCGTTGCACAGTTTTGATCGGTGTTGCACGCTATCCTGCCGATCAATGGTGGACCTGGGCTACATCTAGACTCAACGTTGTCTGATGTACGAAGACTTCCACTTCCTCCTCACTGTACCTTTTCTGCGCACCTTTGCACTCACTACCTATTCGGCCATTCTCCGTTTGGTCTATTCTTCGTCTAGTCTTGTTCCGCAGGGCGCTGGTGGTGTTATCTCAACTTCGAACTACAGTCTGCCAACCAAATCACCATGAGAGACACCCCGTTATCCGAAAACATCTTCAGCATGGAGCAGGAGGCAGACATGGGGCATTCTTCCGAAAGCGACCTCGCGCCGAACCTCGAGCGTCGATGTGTGAGACACCCAATACAACCAGTCGGCTCTCGCACTTCTCTCGACGACCTCCATGTCGGAGCCGGATCATACTGCGCAATGTACGAAATTGCTTATACGCCAGACCACAAAGACTATCGGGTTCCGGACGGGCACTTCGGGGACTTCAAGGACGTTGACCTCGACTGGCTCGAAGCTCTGGTTAGCAAGCGACTTGGGACGCGGCGTTTTCAGTACCGCATGACTGGCTACGCATGGGTTCCTCGTAAGTGCACGGAGGCTTGCGAGTTCCGCATGATGCCACCTCCTTCGCTCGTAGAGGAGACCTCCAGCATGGCAGTATCGCCACGTTCCACCCGGCCCAACACGCCGTACTCGATGATTGTCGGAATGGGCAGTAGGTCCCCCTCACCACTCACCATCATCCGCAACCCGACGTCGCCTTTCTTCTCGGAACTCTTCGCCTTTATGAATGGCGGCATAGCCAATGGGTCTCATCAGCCGCCGCTTGGGTCGACATCGCCAGTCGAGTACCCGCAAGTGCATGAGTTGGATGATGATGACGAAGACGGCGAAGAACCGGGCCAGGGAGATGATGTGGTGCCGGAACATGAAGGGTCCATCTTCCCGACAACTTGAGATCCTCCATGCGAGCTTACGAAGGAGGAGTTCAACTTGGATACCAGTCGAATGAGCGCAACAGCAGGCGCCTTGCTCAATGTATTTGATATCAAAGGGTTGCATACTGGACGTCAACGCTCATCACGCCCTTCGATGCTTGCTTCTTGTTGGACAACGGGTGTCATGACTATCACGACTGTATAACTATACTATCATACATATTCAATCACCTTAAACCCCCAAACAGATCGAACAGTCTCCCATTCATCATACACCAAACTCCTCGCTAAGCCATTGCAACCGTAATCATACATCCTGAACTAATCATCGACAATATCATCCTCCTCAAGCACAAGCCCTTGAATCTGGCTCTCCACCGGAATCGCCAGACCACCTCCTTCCGTCTCCGTCTCCGCCTTCGACGCCTTCGCCTTCCGCTTCTTACTCGAAGACTGCTCTCCAGCCTCGGCGTCCGGTTTGTCGGTCGCCCACTGCTCCGTAGATGGACCGTCGTCATCGTTCGGTTCAGCATCATCGTCCGTCGGTATGGGCGCAGCGTCGCGGATGCGGGTAACGCTCGCGATCTGGTCCTTCAGTGAGGACATGCCGTTCTTCGTGGAGAGGATGTGCGACATGTACGGCAGCCGCTCAATCAGCATTTCCGTCTTCATGCTGTTGGTGACTTCTGGCCGGGCGGTATCGTTGGCTTGACCGTCAGGTTGGGGTTCTGATGCCGCCTTGTTCCAGCTCTCGACACCTCCCACAGCTCTCGGCATCGTCGCCTTCGCAAGGCCACTAGACTGGAACTTCGCAGTAAGCAGCTCAAGCACACTCTCGACCTCTTCCCGCTGCTTCCACAGCTTCAGCGAGGCAGGGTAGTACATCTTGTGCGCATCTGCTTTGTTTCCACTGGCTGGTGTGCCTCGATGTACAGGGGAGGGCAGTGAGAACAGCAAGCCTCTGACAGCGACTTGAAACGCCATTTCATCTTGCCGTAGACTGTCAGTGGCGGATCCAGAGTACGCTCGTGTGCCTTGGGAGAAGCGATCGACCGAGAGCAGATCGGCGTCTGAGATGCTGCTGATACAGCCCAGCAGGCTATCCATGGACTCTTCGGCGCTTGTTGATCCACAGGATAGAGCATAGTTTTCATGCAAAGCAGCTGTGAAGGTAGTGACATCGGTGCCCAGCTCGTTGATCATGTCATCGACGTCGTTCTCCGGGACCTTCGACCTTCGATGCTGTGGTAGCCATGGCGGAGGTTGAGTGACATCTGGAAAGTCGACACGCTTGTTGTACACGACTTTGCCAACGGCATGGAAGATGCCGAGAGTACTTTCGCGGTTGCTAATCAGACGTAGCGCTTCCTCTTCAGACTTTGTGAGAGGCGGATCTGTCTTCGACTTCTTCTGCTTGCCGAATTGCACTTTGCTGGACCAGGTGTCGCCATCGTCGCCACGAAGGCACAAGAACTCCAGGGATGAGACGGCGCTTCTGACATCGCCGCTTTCTGCGATGTGTTTCAATACCTGCGGGCCGGGTGTCCGCCGTCTGCCGGATTTACTAGCTTCTTTGATGATGATCGTCTCCAGCGCTTTGGTAAGGATGGTAGGTGCGACGGCGTTGAACTCGATCATGTCGAGATACGGGTGGTTGGCGAGCTCTGGCCCAAGCAAGCGATGCGCCGTGAAGCTGTCCGCCAGAGCAGTGTTTGTTGAGAGCAGTGTCTCGGAAATGATCATGACAATCGGCGTTGGTCTTGCACCGGCTGGTAGTAAAGGTGAGGCCAGGTATTGCAGTATCGTAGAACGGAAAGCTTGCAGTGTGCTGGAGGTGCGAGAGAAGGTATTCGGAAACTCTTCGATAAGCAGGATATTCGTGTCGCTGTCCGAAGTGAACCCTTTCTCGTTAGCCATTACATCGACTGGGTGGGCCTGATCTACGGCATCTGTAGTCAGCTGCAAGCCGCCAGATCTCCCAGCTCGTCCCACAAAGTCCGAGAACTGTGAGGCAGTCGAAGTGTCAGCACCCAGCTCGACACCCGCCGGATTCCTCCACTCCATCACATGAGCACTCATCTCCTGCGCCAGGAGCTGCACGGCAGTAGTCTTCCCCGTGCCTGCCGCGCCTTTTAGCACAAGCACTCTCTGCCGTCGTCCATTGAAAGCCATCTCAAACCACTGGCGGACATCAGACACTTTCTTCTTGTGTACGGCCAGTTCCGCTAGATCCTTCGGTGCAAACTGCTCTGTCCAAGGGCGCTTGTCTTCGTTGATGATGGCCAGAGTTGGAATGCGGTCACCACTGCTCGCTTTCCGAAACTTCTGAGAAGATGGCTGTGAAGCTGAGAAGGCAGGCTCAAGATTCTCGCCATACTGAGCTTTCCGTTTCCTCATGGCAAGTACCGTGCTTGATCCCTTCGCGAACCGTAAGCTGCCTCCTTGATTCTCGTCGCTGTCATCCTGAATCGCTTCTGGTTCCGCGTGAGGTACGGACGGCTTCTCCGAGCTCGGTGAGGGCTGTGCAACTGGCTTCTGCTGAGTCGCCGCGCTGAAGAAGGAGTTGATGGTCCTTCCGTTGGTCTTAGATGCATCTTTGACGGCTGTCTTGCTTCTGGCCTTCGAAGCGGCTTTTGCAGGTGACTTCTTAGGACTTGCATCCTGCGATGAAGGAGATGGCAGAGGTGGCTGATTCTTCTTGGCCTTGTTCACCGGCCTCAGCTTCCCAGTACCTCGCTTTTGAGGTTTGGCGGGTTCTTCGTCTTCGCTTGGCTCCGGCGGTAATGTTTCGTTGGCCTGCTCTCCCTCGTCATCGGATGGAATGGTAATCACCTTCCGTCTTGGGGCTCGCGGCAGCCCCATGCCGCATCGATGGCCTACGGTCCGGTCTGGTTTGTGATGGCATTGAGTTGGTCCAGGTGTAACGAGCGTCCGGAGGTTGAAGTCTTTACGGATCTCCAAACGTGCAAGGATGAGGTCCAGGCAGCGGATCTAAAGTCCTCACGTGGCTCGTGTCACTCACGCGTTCGCCGAGGCAGGAGCATTGACCTTCACGGTGACCACATTCACTTCTGTTCAATCTACATGTACATCACCAGCAAATTGTAAATGGAGGACTTCCTGGAACAATCAGACGTACTCGACATCCCCAATTATACATGGAATTGACGAAGGTTAAGGCTAGACGACAGCAGCGCGCTTGAACAGGATTTTGGCATGATCACATGTGACGACTGCATCTCGATCCCATCTGTTTAAGAACAACCCAAGAATCATGTCAAAGCGCCCAAGGACACTGGACAGCTTCTTCAGTCCTCCTGCCACCAAGCGCTCCCGCCAGGCTGGAGGAGACACAAGCAAGGTGGCAAACGGCGAGACAACACCGTCGCAACTGTCAAACCACCCAACATACCCCTTCGCAGTCCCCCATCTCCCTCCAGAAATCACCGACATCCTCAACTTCGCCCCGGCCCAAGAAGCCCGCATCATCAACGACCGACCCGATCTCGACCTGCTCTACTTCCAACCGTACATTCCCAAGGAAATCCAACGCCCCCTCTTCGACTTCCTCCGCCGCGAGTTCTTCTTCTACAAAGTCCAATACAAAATCAAACGCGGCCCCGTCGAGACGCAAATCAACACTCCCCGCTACACGACCGTCTTCGGGCTGGACGAGACTTCTATCTTCAACGACGCCGGCGAAGTCATCGATAGCGCCACGGGCAAACCACCCTCTGGCAAAGACGCATACACCTGCAAACCCCGCCCTATCCCCGAATGCCTGGACATGCTCCGCCGTCTAACAGAAAACACCACCGGTAGCAAATTTAACTTCGCCCTAGTAAACTACTACGCCAGCGGCGCCGACAGCATCTCCTACCACAGCGACGACGAGAAATTCCTCGGCCCGGACCCGTGCATCGCCTCCTTCACTCTAGGCGCAAAGCGGGACTTTCTCCTCCGCCACAAGAAGACTCCCGCCGCGCATCCTTCAGAATCTCAGCCGATGAAGCTGCCGCTGGCAAGTGGGGATATGGTGCTCATGCGCGGGAAGACGCAGAGTTGTTGGGAGCACAGTATCCCCAAGCGGAAGGGCGGGGAGGCGGAGAGGGGGAGGATTAATATTACGTTTAGGCGGGCGATGACGAAAGGTGGAACGGCGAATTATTACCGGTATAATGTTGGGGATGGAGGGGTGTTCAAATGGGATGGGGGTAGGGGGGAGATGGTGGCGTGGAAAGGAGGTGAGACTGGATGAGAGGTGATGGAAGATTCTTTGTTGGCGACATCAAAGCATGTGGGAGCACGACTTGGTCGATGGAGCAGTCTCCGCTGTTTCAGGACGCCGCAGCCAAAGCCTCACGGTGCCCTGCTACACGTGCCTTGCGTGCCTTTGCTTCTGGCGCGGCGATCGCCCGCGTGCCAGGGCTGTTGCTGCGAACGAAACCTCGACCAAACTTCAACTCGCAGCTTGCAGCGATGCAAAGGCACATGATCGATCGGCACTCGATACCGACATATACATGTATCTCATCGTGCATGCATGCGTCGCTGAAGTCGATGTTCGCGAAGGCCGTTCGGAAGTCTATAATGGTACGGCGCACGGCGAGACGAGATTGTTGTCGTACGGACAGGGAGAGACACGGCGTGCGACGAGCCTGAGGTGCGTGTGTGACAGGAGGCATGGGCGGTTGTGCAGGGTGCGGGTTGTGAGGCTGGGCGGTCGCAATGGCAGTGGGACACTCAGGAACTGAACTGGCACAAGACGACAGCGGAGGAAGATTTGACGGAATGGTCAATCACGATGTTGTGATCCTAGACGTGTTCAGTTGCGGTCGGTAGGCGATTCACCCGTGGCATACAATGCACGTCGATCCATCCCGACGACATGGTCCCGACTTCTCCCGGCTCCGATCGAATGTCACCGTAGCATGCCGGGCCGTGACACCGCATCGAGTCGTCTCCGCTGTGCGATCGAGTTGAAGCACTTTTGCGACGAAAAGGAAATTGCATGTGAATGTCGATCTGAAGTGAATGAAATGTTTCGTTTGGCGAATCAGCGGTGAGGAAGCTGGTGCCTGTCATTATTGGAAGGCGGGACGAAGCGGGTAGACGAGAGTCTGTTTTGCGAGGCAAGGGCGAAGAAGTGGTGGAACTGTATTGATGAGATTACCACGATAGATAGACGGTGGTAAGCATGGATGAAGCCATGAGATGAGGCGTAGAGGTCAAACACATCGCTCGTCTTGACCTGCGACGACGCTGTGGCACTGTATCGAATAGCGCGCATCGCAATCATCATCAGCTCGTGTCGTTCGTGAAGCCTTCGCACTTCAAATTCTGCCTCTTACCCCTTCTTCCGCTCTTCACGCCACCCTCGTGACCGCACCAACGCACACACGGATTTGCAATGACGAAGCTTGCCGCACGCTAAGGGCAGAAGCAATAAGAGCACTGGCGCCTCCGAGACACCATCGCCTCCGCCCAATCATCTCCTACCACCTTTGCCAATCGGCTGCTGTCGTCCAACTCTCGACTGTCGTTGGCTGCCACGCGCTCCAAGGCAGACCCCCACCATCCAATACAAACAACGACACGCGCTTGAGCGCAGAGCAGGTGTGCGAATAGGGAGACAGGTACGCTTGCACACTCCAGTAACGTGACCGCTCGTGTCTGCGCGGCGGTGACGAGGATAGCCGCCAGGACGGACGACAGCCATTGATGCTGTTGTCGACCGAAGGCGGTCTGTCGCGAGTCGCGCACTTGATGACGTTGCTGTTGATGATGGGATGAAACAGCTGTACTGACAGAGATGTAGGCGCGACTGCAGCAGCTATCGGGACACGTGAAGCGAGGTAAGCTCATCCTCTCCTACTCCCTCTGGCTGGCGCATTGCAAAAGCATACGCGCCCAATTCCGAGGCGGCCGGAGCTCGAATAGCTGCCATCGCATAACATCTACGACCGCAAACGCGGCCCAAGATGAGATGACAGCCGCCTCACCCACGCAAACGGCTCGTCGCATCCATCTCATCACCTGTGGCGGTGCGCGCAACACACGTTGAGACTTCGAGGCGAGTAGTGATGCGCTATGCGCTGGCTTCTTCCGCAGCCCTGTCGATTGGAGCTGGCGATGCGCTGGCACAACGCACGCTGCACGCTTCAACCTCGCATCCGTCCGCCGCCTCCCCTCCGCGCCCAATTGCTTTTCGCCGTGCCTGTATTTGATCGCCCATGGCCTCGTTGCTAATTCGCTCGCAGTCTTTTAGACATCAACACGCCTCCTGCTGTGACTGGTACGTTTGAAACCGATCCGTCTCCCGCCTTGCCGGCCGCCAGTCTGCCCTTCCATCGCCGCTCCCCTTCCGTCTGCTGTTACGCCTGCTCCGCCATACGGGCCGCAGCAGGACCCGACTGGGACCTGCCTGTTCGGCGACAGCTGCAGACCTGAGGCGCGGTGGTGGCGGCGTGCGAAACAGGCTGCAGTCGACCATCTATTGGGCCGCAATTATACGCTGACACGTCCAGCAGCAGCATCATCACTACCAAGCCTTCGACGGTGCACGCGACTGGTACTCTCGCCTACCCTTAACCCGGACCGCGACCATCCCCACGCGCCTTGACTCGCCCTCCCGTCATCATGGACCAACCTTATGCTCAATACCAACAGCAACCGACCGCGTATCCTCACCAACATCAACAACCGCCGCACCCGAACCAAGCGAGTCCCGTCATGCAAACACAACCACCTCCCAACTACGCGCAACATCAACAACAACAGATGGCGCCTCAGCAGATGATGCCTCAGATGGCTTACAATTATGGCATGCAGCCACACTATGGCGTGTCACCTACACAAGCGGCCGCTATGGCGACCGCTGCGGCGTCAGGATATCCGGCATACACAATGGGTGAGACGCTCGGAGGGACGATGCAACAGACGTCGCCGCGGTTACAACACATCAAGACCGATGGCTCGCGGCCGCCGGAGCAGTCGCCTCGACAACAAGGGCAGATGAACGCGCCTGGCGTGATGCCGCAGATGCAGGCGGGCGCGCAGCCAATGCCAAACACCCTCCCCCCGCAAATGCAACAGCAGAGACGCATGTCGCATGTCCAGAGCCCAGCAGTCCAACAGCCACAGCCCCAACAGCAACCTCAACCCATGAGCGCGCCTCCACGACCCCCAACAGCATCACAACCTCCACCCCAGATGGCTCAAGCACAGCCACCCCAGCAATCGCCCGAAGGTCAGACGACAGGCGGAGTCGAAGAATCGCCCCTCTACGTCAACGCGAAGCAATTCCACCGCATCCTCAAACGCCGCATGGCGCGCCAAAAGCTGGAAGAACAACTGCGTCTCACCAGCAAAGGCCGCAAGCCCTACCTCCACGAGTCCCGTCACAATCATGCTATGCGCAGACCCCGCGGACCCGGTGGACGGTTTTTGACGGCCGAGGAAGTGAGCCAGATGGAAGCGCGCGGGTTGACGGAGGGGGAGTTCAAGAACGAGCTCTCGGCGAACGGAGCCAATGGCACTTCCGGCGCGGGCTCGAAGCGGAAAGCGAACGGGCATTCGAAGAGCGAGACGCCTGGGAAGAAGATCAAGAGCGATGAGGAGGATGAAGATGGGCTTGAAGACAACTAGGTGCTAGCGTCTCGTCGTCTCCTGGGGCATGTTTGCCATGCAGGTACATGGAGAAGCACGGACGATTTTGGAACCGCGGACCTACACCAGCGTGTCAACGGTGCATTGATATGGGGCTGGAGTGTGTTGATCGGAATTATGGCGGACAGCGCTTTCGTCGCATCGCAAGGAAGGAGCCTGCAGTGGAGAGTGAAGAGACTGCGGGCGAAACTGAAGGGGCTGAGCAGGAGTCGGAGACGATGTTGTCGGATCTGAAAAGGCTCCGGTCGAAGGTGCAGGGCCTGGGGGAGGAGTTGGAGGCGTTTTTGCCAGACCGGAAGACGTCGCGGTCTCGATCGAAAAAGAAGGATGAATGAGTGACGTGTTACACGCAGCGGGCTCTCTTGGTGGCGAACGGGCTCCTTTTCTTCTCATTCATCGTCATGGTTGTCATTATGGGGCGTGTCTCGGGGAATTGGAAGGACATCGGCCGGAACGGATGGAACGAAGAAGCAGAAAGGAAGACTACAGCAACAGCACGTCACGGCACGGCATGGCACGGGACTGGTCGGTACAGGTCTTCGCAGACCCCTCCTTTTCCTTATTCTCGACGGCGAAGGCGAGGGATGGTGTATGTTTGGTCTCGGAAGGAGATTGATGGGTGGGCTTTTCTGTTTTTTTCTCTTTTCGGGCGTCGAGGTTCGAGCTTCATCACTCGCTATACCCCTGCGTTTTTTGGTGGGATGGGATGGGATGCTGTGGATTGCTTCTTGTCTTTAAGGGGGATGTGAGCAGCTGGCTGCGTGCGGGTGCTGCTGGGACGGTGTAACTGTAGCTCTACCATTAGATGGCCTAAACTTTGGCTGGTTGAGAATGAGGAAGTAAAGTTCAGGTACCTTATAAGCGACCAGATGAACGTCGTGCTTTGGAACGAGGGCGCTTTTGCTTTGCTACTTGCGGCGTACTGCTTATGTGAGGGCGTGATCTCGACAGAAAGGATCTGGATGGAGAAGGTGCGACTGCTCGAGAGAACCTGGTGGGAGGCTTGACAGAGTATGCTTAACGACGCTTCACGTAGCTCAGTACAGCTACCTGTATCTACCATGAGCCCGACCCTCCTGTTAAGGACTCGGTCGAGAGAAAGAACGCCCACGCTGATGCTCTGCCCCTATCATACACCCCTTTCATTCTCCCTCCTCTACCCTCTGGAGAAACTTCCCTCAGTTATACTGCGCATAAGCAGCGGTAGAGTTAAACTTCATCCCACCCCGAATCACCTTCTCCACCGCGGCCAAAAAGTCCTTCTCGCTCGCCACCTTCCTCCGCGCGCGAATCGCAAACATGCCCGCCTCCGTCGCCACAGACCTCAACTCCGCACCCGTCGAGTTCGGGCACAAGCGTGAGATTAGCTCCCATCGAATATCCCGCTCCACGGACATGCTCTTCGCGTGGATCCGCAGGATGTTCGCCCGTCCTTCCATGTCCGGCAGCGAGAACTCGATCTTCCTGTCTATCCGTCCGGGGCGCATGAGCGCTGGGTCGAGAGTGGAAGGGCGGTTGGTGGCGAACATGACTTTGATGTTGCCACGCGAGTCGAAGCCGTCGAGTTGTGTGATGAGCTCCAGCATCGTGCGCTGCACCTCGTTGTCTCCGCCTGCGCCATCGTCGAAGCGCGCGCCGCCGACCGCGTCGATCTCGTCGAAGAAGATGATGCAGGCTTTCTTTGTCCGCGCCATTTCGAAGAGCTCGCGCACCATGCGGGCGCCTTCGCCGACGTACTTTTGTACCAGCTCGGAGCCGATAACGCGGATGAAGGTCGCGTCTGTGCGGTTGGCGACGGCGCGGGCGCAGAGGGTCTTGCCGGTTCCCGGAGGTCCGTAGAGCAAGGCGCCTTTCGGGGGGTCGATGCCTAGGTTCACGAATCGTTCGGGTGAGAGTAAGGGCATCTCGACGACCTCGCGCAGCTTCTCGATCTGCTCCTTACACCCTCCCACGTCTCCGTATGTCACGTCCGGCTTGTCCTCCACCGTCATCATCGTCACGCTCGGGTCGATCTTCGGTGGTAGAGGAAGCATGATCTGATACTTATTCCGGTCCACGCCAACCCGCATGCCCTCTTCGATATCCGTCGGGCTCACGCGCTCACCCAAGTTGACAACGAACTTGGCGATTTGCTTGACGTTGATGACATATTTGCTCTTCTCCGTGTCCTTTTCATCCTGAATGATCTTCGTACACCGCGCGACTTGTAGCGGTTGCTCTTCGCTCATGCGCTGGCGGTCGGCTGCGATATCCCAGAGGTGAGGTGGCGCGAGACCGGTGTCGGATTCTTTGACGCCAATCTTCTCGTTTACTGAGGTCTGCTTGTCTTTGATGTCCTTTTCGAGCTGTTTGAGGGCGGCGGCGTAGGGGGCGGCGTTGTATGTGCGGAGGACTTGGATGTCCCTGTTGGAGGGTGTTAGTATCGGTGAGGAGGGAGATGTGGTGGGATAGCGCACTCGTCGGTCAAGGGATCGATCTTCTTCTCTTCCACCTCATCGTCGGCGTACTGCTTCTGGTATTTCTCCCAGTTCCTGTTCATTGGTAAGCTTGATGCTACCTTATCCAGCGTCCATGTTGCGCTACTTACTGTCCTTTCGCCGACGGCATCTTGGGTGGTTTCTGGGTATAGTGATGCCGTTTGAATGTAGTAGCGGGTTTCGAGGTATGGCGGAGATGGAGGAGCGGAGGGTAGTGGTTGTGTTGCGATGATGGTCGGAGGTGTATGAGCATCAACTCAGGCGACGAGAGTGACGACCAGAAGGTCCGTGCGCAAAACCGTTGAAGCTTCGCGTCGCGACATCTCAAAAATTTGGACTTCACATGTCGAAACACTTCTCGAACCAAAACTAAACCACGACTACGCACAAATCATGGCACAAGGAGTAACTCAGAATGCAGGAAACAATGCATTCAAGGACAAGTGAGCAGAGGATCTAACGCTTCCTGAGATGAGCGGCGATATTGACGTTTGCCTGTAGGGAGAAGCCAACGGCGGTCAGGCAGGGCAACATCACAGCCGCGAGAGCAGTGTCAGATGCCATACGGACATCGCTGGGTATGGTACGACATTATACGAACGAGAAGATGGCCACTAATCTGTACTTTAGGCCCCCGAGGCATGGACAAGATGATCGAGAAGCCCGGCAAGGAAACCATCATCACCAACGACGGCAACACCATGCTCAAGGACATGAGCGTCATGCACCCGGCGGCAAAGATGCTCGTAGATCTTGCGAACGCCCAGGACATCGAGGCCGGAGATGGGACCACCTCAGTCGTAGTGATCGCTGGAAGTCTTCTTGGTGCAGCAGAGCGGTTACTGGCGAAAGGCATCCACCCCACTGTCATCAGCGAGAGCTTCCAGCGAGCGGCGGCCAAGTCAGTAGAGATCTTAGAGAGCATGAGCGTGCCGATCGACCTTGGTGACCGGCAGACTCTACTCAAAGCCGCTTCCACATCACTCAGCTCGAAGATTGTCTCCCAGGAACCCAAACTCGCACCCATGGCAGTAGATGCTGTCATAAGGACCATCAACCCCGCCAATGCCATCAACGCCGACCTCAGGAATATCCGGATTTTGAAGAAGGCGGGTGGCGTGATCGACGATAGCGAGATGATTGACGGCCTTGTACTCAGCCAGCAAGCTGTCAAGAGTGCCGGTGGCCCAACGCGGATAGAGAAGGCCAAGATCGGACTTATTCAGTTCCAACTCTCACCACCCAAGCCCGACATGGAGAACCAAATCGTTGTCAACGACTACAGACAAATGGACAAGATCCTGAAAGAAGAGCGCACCTACCTCCTCAACATGGTCAAGAAGATCAAGAAGGCGAAATGCAACGTCCTGCTCATCCAAAAGTCGATCCTCCGCGACGCCGTCAACGACCTCTCCCTCCACTTCCTCTACAAGCTCGGCATCCTCTGCGTGAAGGAGGTCGAGCGGGATGAAATCGAGTTCATCTGCAAATCTACCGGCTGCAAACCCATCGCCGACATTGACTCCTTCACCGAAGACAAGCTCGGCACTGCAGACCTGGTGGAAGAGGTCTCCTACCTCGGCTCGCGCTACACCAAAGTCACGGGCGTGAAGCACCCTGGCCAGAATCCTCCTCGCACCGTTTCTATCGTCGCTCGTGGCGCCAACCAGCTCATCCTGGACGAAGCCGAGCGCAGCTTACACGATGCCATGTGCGTCGTCCGCTGCCTCGTCAAGAAGCGGGCCCTCCTACCCGGTGGTGGCGCACCCGAGATGGCCGTCTCCACTCAGCTCGCTCAGATGAGCAACACCGCCGCCTACCCGGACAGCATCTGCTTCAAAGCTTTCGCGGACGCACTTGAGATTGTGCCCGTTACACTCGCGGAAAATGCGGGCTTGAATTCCATCAAGGTCGTGACCGAGTTGAGAGCCAGGCAAGCAAAGGGCGAGACGAACATCGGCGTGAGCATCAAGCGCGGCGGCGTTGGTGTGATGGGTGGCGAAGACACGAAGAGTGCGAGTACGGGTGAGGGAGTGATGCAGCCGCTGCTAGTGTCGACGAGTGCGATCGAGTTGGCCAGCGAAACGGTGAAGATGATTCTGCGGATTGATGACATTGCGCTGAGTAGGTAGAGGAATTGGGCTGTGCATGATGCTACGCTAGATACTCAAAAACTATATGGAAGCATGTACTATGACACTCCACCATCCTTCCACACTAGGCTTCGCTTACTCCCCGATCACATACGTACACCCCTCCTTGCCCATCCTGCACAGCATATCGTCAGCAACCTGATTCCTCCATTCCTCCTTCGAATGCGGTTGAAGGTGCGCTAACTCACCACACCTCATGCCTCCTCCCAGCATCAACATCCAACCAGCTCCCCACCCCAAAAGTCTCCTTCTTCGGCGCCTTGTCGTCCGGATACGTGACTGTGAGCTCGCCGTTCAAAATCAGATGCGTGGTTAAGCCTGAGTGCGAGTGGGGAGGGTAGTGTGCGTTCCTTTCTCGAACGTCAGTTCCGGTGCTCTGCATCGTGGTGATGGAGGTATCTTACGGTCCATCTGACCACTGGGAGAAATGTTAGCGGATGTGGTTGTTTGGGTGGCGATGCGATATGAGTTGGGGATTCCGTACTGTGAAGACGTGCCCGAAGCCGCGGTCGCGGACTTCTTGTTCTGCGCTCTTTTTTGTCTGTCCCATGTTCTCGGATATCCTGTAGTTTTCAGGCTATTGTGGTATGGTCGATGTTAAGGATGTGTTATTTCTGTTCCCTTCCCTGCTCTTATGACATAATTGCAACGTGCTGATCGCGTGCCTCTTTGAGCTTATCTTCAGGGGATCTATCTTGGAACCTCACGGCGGCACGGCCAGGAAAATTGATGGAGTGGCATACTGCCCCTCCTCCATGCCGCACAATACGGAAATCTCGGCATCCTCCAGTCGTGAATGTTGAAATGGCTGCCAACGCGACTGCGCCTCTCTGAAGCTGTGTGCCTTGCCTCAGCTGAAGCGCCGCTGCGGCACTCCATCGCGGCCTAATTCTATACATGTATGGCCTGACCGCCCGTCTTGAACTCGCGCGCACACGACAGGCGGCTTGAAAAAATGACCTCCGAAACAAGCCCACAATGCTCGGAAGCAGTGCTCAAGCACCTAAAGTCCAAGTTCGAAGAACAGCAAAAAGCGACCCCAAGCAGGGAGACTTTCGACAAGTTCCTTAAGAAGGCCACGGATCCAAAGGCTTCTACTGCTCTGCCTATAAAAGTGGATACAGGACATCCTCTCTCGCACTACTTCATCTCCAGCAGCCACAACACTTATCTCACCGGCAACCAGCTCTGGAGCAAGGCGAGCGTAGATCCGTACAAGGACGTCTTGGCTCGAGGGTGCAGGTGTATCGAGGTTGACGTATGGGATGGTGGGAGTCCTTCGAATTCGTCTTCGGATTCTGAAGATAGCGGTGAGCAGGGCAACAACGGCGGCAGCGATGTGAGCAAGCTTACTGGGCTGGTCAAGAAAGGCCTCAGTCGCATACGCTCCGCTTCATCGGCTTCTGGGACCAAGGATAGTATGCCCCCAGAGGCGGCGACAGACGCTACTTCAGCTGATGACAGTGGGAAGAGTGGCAACAACGAAAATCTTAGGCCAGCGCCATGGCGAACTTCGTCCGGTAGGGAAGAGCCAAGAGTGCTTCATGGCTATACAGCAACCAAGGAGATCCCATTCCGCAGGGTTTGCGAAGTCATTCGCGACTACGCTTTCGTGAACAGCGAGCTACCTCTCATCGTAAGCCTGGAGGTACACTGCAACCACGACCAGCAGGAGATCATGGTCGAGCTGATGAACGACTACTGGAAAGACTTCCTGGTCCCGATACCGAAGGACTTTTCTGACCATACACCTTTGCCCGCACTGAGCAGCCTGAAAAAGAAGATCTTGGTCAAGGTGAAGTTCTCGCCTGGGAAGAAGTCGTCGCAGAAAACGGCATTGCTCAGGAAGTCTTCTAAGGGAAGCGTCGACAATGACTCTGACGAGGATGAGGGACAGATTGAGGCGACGAAGAAAGGCAAGATCATTGACGCGCTGAGCAGCCTAGGCATATATGTCCGGGCATGCCACTTCGAGGCCCTGGATCAGCCTGAGGCGCAGATACCTACTCACGTATTCGCTCTGTCTGAGAAGAAACTCATTTCGCTACAAGAAGAGAACAAAAATGGCCTCTGGAAACACAACCTCTCCTATCTCATGCGCGCCTACCCTAAAGGCACCCGCGTCCGCTCCTCCAACCTCGATCCAGCACCCTTCTGGCGTCAAGGCATCCAAATGGTCGCGCTCAACTGGCAACAAATCAACGCCGCCATGATGATGAACGACGCCATGTTCGCCGACACCGACGGCTGGGTCCTGAAACCCGCCGGCTACCGCATGACCAAGAAGCAGGACGCTCCACCAGAAATCAAGCGTTACACCTACGACTTCTCCATGCAGGTGCTGGCGGCGCAGAACCTCGACGCCGACGCCAAGGGCACCCCGAACGTGTTCGTCAAGTGCGAGTTGCACGTCGGCAGCAACGACGGCGGGTCCATCCCGAACGATGGGAAGAATAAGGGTGGGGAGTGGAAGTGTAGCTCGGCGGTGCGCCATAGTAAGGACCCGGACTTTGCGGGTGATACGCTCGAGTTCAGCGGGATTGCGGGTGTGGTGCCGGAGTTGAGTTTTGTGAGGTGAGTGACATATTTCAGATTTCCTTTTCTGATCGCAAGGCCGCCGGACGCGATGATGTCGCCGCCGGCCAGACGACCGACCATCGCTCCAAATTGCTCTGTTGCTCCGCGATGGTCGCACAGTGGGAGCGGTGTGCCAGCGTACGAGCCGTTGGGCGTCTGATGGTGCGGCTGCTCAAGCGCTGAACGTCCCAAGTCCGTGGATGGGGTGGTCGTGCGCGGCAATCATACCATGGCTCTGTGTTTGTTAATTTCAACCGCTTCAATGGAAATGCTGACAGTGCGTTCTAGGGTCAAAGTCATGGACGACGATGCGTTCCAAAAGGACAGGCTGATCGGATGGGCGTGTTTCAGATTCGATCGCTTCCCTCAGGGTCTGCGACTGGTGCCTTTGAAAGGACCAGATTCAAAGCCGACAGGGAGTTCGTTGCTGGTCGATAGCCGTTTGGCGCAGAAAGAGTGATGCTGGCGTCATTCTTGTACGACGGCTTGATAGGAAGGTGGATACACGTGGTTGAGCGGTCCAGTGCTCCGTATGCGAGATCGACGTTGAATAGGCGATCGTTTTGGGTACCAGGTCCGGTGGCCACAGTGTCGGTCTTTGTGTGGGATAAATCTAGCCGATCGAATTGTTGTTTCCATATTCTGGTTCGAGCTATGCTTGCAATCACATCATGCGTAGAGGATTAGCCGTTCTGCTCGGTTGGAAGAACGAAGTCTAGAACTGATATTGAGTACTTGCACCGATCGAAATAGGGTTCGCGATCAAAATTCCCGAGCTCTGTCGGAGAGGCTCGGTCCACGAGGATGGCGAGGATAGATCAGTGAATCTATCGTCGTGTCACCTCCATTCGCGGTAGTCTCAGACTCCTGCGGCTCTGGAACGGCTTCCGGACCGGACAGCACCCTACAGTAGACTTGAGGTTAGCAAGCCACGAACCCCACCGTGTCGTGTCGTCGATCGCTTAGATGCGCGTCAGCTGCCGGGAGAGCTTCTGGATGATCGATCTGCTGTACCACGCTTCCAAAAAGATTCTCTGACAGCGTGTCACTGCTCCGATGGGTCGGTCGGGACAGGGTCGTACCCGGTCGAGCCCCCAGCTCTGCGCGGGATGACTTGTCATTTTACAGAACATCCTTCGGTCGCTCCCCTCGACATCCAAGACTCAATGGTGTCTACGTCGTGCTGGACACGTCACGAGTCGATGTCGTGGAATGTTTGCAAGGCCGTTGCTTTCGGCGGCCTGCATTGCTGGGTGCACAATATCCGATGTCGCGCTTCGCACCCTGGGCCCAACATATGCCGACTGCCGGCGCAAACGTCAGGAGTGAGCACTATGGTTCCTCGAACACAAGAAATCTGAAAGAAGCTCGACCGGAGTCGGGCATCCAGATGCAGAGCTCTGATCGATCAGAAAGATCGCAGATGCGCCGAAGCAAGATGGCTGCAAGAGCTTGCAAGCATAGAGCTGGCCACTCCTTGGATCTCATGCATGTCTTTGTTTAACGCTCCATTGAAAAACTTACATACCCTCCCTCCCTCCCATGGACCCTCAGTATCACGAGCAGGACTCGATGCATAATAGATTTCCCAGGAAAATGGACCGCCATCCTGGGCTATAGTACTAGCATTGATGCAGCGTCCCTGGTGCCACAGATATGGCAGATTATGGTACCCGAGAGACCCAACAAGGTGAGCAGCCGTCCAGTAGGTATAAGAGGGTGATGGTTTCCTGTCCGCTCAGTTTCTCAGGACTCCCAATTCAAAGCCTTTGGCAAACCTTTCCTCAGCCCTCTGAAGCATACACTCTAGCTCACACCACTGTCGCTCTCGCCAACGGCCATATCAGTCGCCGGACCAAACAACTTAAGTCCATCGAACGTCCACCATGACCTACAACTCCCGCCAACGCGAGACGCTGCACCGCCTGGGCATCAAGCAGCTGCCAACACTCCAAGCGTCCAGATACACCCCAGAGTTGGACGACCCCTTCCGAAGCACTTTCGTCATTGGCGATTTGCCCGTGAGGACCATGCCGGTCGGTCAAACTCCATTGCAAGCATCCTGCAGTCCATTGCTGACTTTAAGTTACCAGGTACCCGGCCGTCGTTGTCCAGCATGCGCAGCCAAAGGCGAGACCGTCTGGGTCATTCCCGGCAAGCGTTGCCCTCAGTGCGGTACGCAAGTCAACTGAAGCGGGTGGAGCCCAACATACGACGACGGATACGCTCGTGCTCTCGACTGTGCCAACATCATGCGGCCGGGGCAGCAAGACATGCGCATCGATCACTCTGGAGTGGAAGTGATGGTGGAGGATCGACACCCAGCATTTCATGTTGGTATGACTTAGCGGCTGTACGATGAGCGGGTGAAGGGTGGCATCGTTTTTGATCTGCAGCATTCGAGTTTATTGTTCCTCCAAGCGTTCGCGTTTGCGCTGTTGCGTTGCTGGAAAAGTCTCTTCTGTATTCTAGATCGCACTGTCAATGCATAGATCGATTAATCGGGCCTTCCAAGTCCATCGCATGAACAACCGCGAACATGCTACTACTCGCCAATGAAGCCCTCACGGTGGAACGGAAGCGTAGGAAGTCTCACGTTCGATTGACTGCATCGCATCTACTGATCCACATGAGCTCGATAGTTTGATATTGGAATGGAGAAGCATAACAGACGGCCCGTGATATCCGCACCTTGATCTGACAGCACACATTGCATTGGTGCGCTCGAGCTCATGCGTGATCGGTCTTGTCTCTGGACACGATAGTACAATGTACTTCTGCAACGCTTCGGGCAGTACAAAGGCATCTCCCGTCGCCTCTTCTGGATCACTTGCATGTGTGGCTGACGGGAAGCTGCAGACCATTTTCGTCAGGTGATCTGACACTGTCCAATGGCACCGCATTTGATGCTCCCGGGTCCAGATCTTTGTGGTCAGAGACTCCTGTAAAGGATGATGACAGGTTTGCCGGTCCTTGAGCGGTGTTTTTGACATGTCAGAATCCAACACAGTGGGCGAGCTGCATGTCCGATCCAGATTAGTCTGTCCTGTGCTGCTGACAGGCACAGTTAGACTCGGAGGGACTCTTCCTGGACATCTCGACAACACCTGAAGTTGAAAGGCATAGGGCAAGGAGGAAGTTTTATCGCGAGACTTTGCCTTGCCATTGCACGTGATCCAGGCTCGAAGCGGTTAGCACCGAACACGAGCTTGACGCGTACATTCACTTCTTCGAGCACGAACATCACTTCAAGCCAGCTTCGATCTCACCAAGGAACGATCCTCTTGACCTAGGATTTGTGCAGATATCATCGTCAGAGAAAGGGCGCTCTTGGACACTGTAAGTCTGTGCATGCAACTTGGCATACGCATGATGCAATGAGTAGGTGACATCGATGTCAGATATAAGTCACCGCAGATGCCATCTCAAGGCCCTTTCAAAACCCCTCTTGCCTTTCGAAATGTCTTCATCCTCAAGAATTCTCTCTTCATTCCGCAATTTAACTGTTTCCACACCACGAAGACTCCCATACCAAGCCTCTCAATTCACCACCACATCAAGGACAATGGCCGCCCAACCCACCCCAGCAAGCCAAGTCATCAGCGAGACCGCCAAAGCCGAAGGCGGACCAGACAAGGGCTCCACCTCCGCCCAGATGCAGAGCCAGGTCGGCAAGACTCGCAACTTCGAGCAGGCCGCGCAGGAAGTCGGAGGCAAGATGCAGGCTGAGCCGGGCAACGTGACGTCGGAGGATGCTGCGTATCTTAAGTCTCGCGAGGCTCGTGCGATGGGCCAGGGCCAGCCGCCTTCGGACTCCATCAGTGCCGATGCTCAGCGGTTGGCTGCTGTGAATGAGGGGGATGCGAAGATGCCGAGCAAAGGCCAGATGGACCCGGCTACGCAGTCTGCGGCTGATCGGGTTGAGAATCTGGAGAGCGCGGCTGAGCAGGTCGCCCCAAAGATGGTGAGATGAGCTCTCCTGTTGAATATATGAGCAATGCATGCTGACGAGACTTTGAACAGGCCAATGACCCAGAGCACGTGACCAAAGACGAAGCCGACCTCCTGCACAGCCGCGAGCAGCGTGCCTTCGGTGCAACGAGCAAGGGCGGAATTGCTAGCCAGGCCCAGAGCATGGTGGCTGAGAACGAGAAGAAGGCGACGACTTGAAGGAGGCAACCAGCTTCTACTCCATGGTGCAGACAAGAGCGGCGGTGACGGGACGAAGTATGACATGCCTTCAAGAGCCACGACAAATATGCTTATGCCTGTATGGCAGAGCATCAGTCAGACGAGGCAAGAAGAACGAGTGTTCAGCATCAGCTCAGAACGTGTAGAATAGTGTACAGTCACAAGCATGTATCAACAAGCCTACTTCTTCACAGCGTCTCCTTTCGTACACACAATCACAAACCTCCGCAGCCCAGTACAAGGCATACCGCTTAACCCAACGACAACCACAACTTCAACATCTTCGGATAATTCGGCGTCCCAAGCCCAGTCACCGGGTCCCACCCCGGCACCGCCTGAAACCCATCCGTCCCACACCCAGGGTTGCTGCCCGCCGTAATATCATTAAACACACCCGGGTTCTTATACGCCACCGGGTTAACAAACCCAATACTGCTCAACCCCCTCGAAAACCGCTCCTCATTGATCAGCGTCAAAATCGCCCCCAACGTCGGGCTCGACGCAGACGTCCCGTAGACCTTGGCGAACTGCCCATCAACAGCGACGACGTAATTAGCGCCGTTCGCGCTGATGTCCGGGATCCCGCGCGTCTCCTGGCTGTTGTTGTACTGCGCGCTGGTGTACGGGGGCATGTTGTTCGCGAAATACGAAGTGACTTCCTTCCGCTGATACCCAGGGAGTGGGAAGACGTTGCTAAAGCCTCCGCCGGAGTAAATCACCGTCTCACAAGCCTTCTCCGGCTCTGTGCCCGAGGCCAGCGCGTTGGGCAGCGAGATGTGCGGTTTCACCTGCGTGGCGCCGACGGAGGTGATCCAGGGGCAGGAGCCCGGGAAGGAAGGGTTGAAGCGTCCGCTGTTGCCGTTGTTGTAGGTGCCGTCCGGGTTGATGCATTGGCCGCCGTTGCCGGCGACGCCGTAGTCGCCGCTGGAGTAGAGGACGCTGACGCCCATGAGGCCGAGCTTGAGGTATTCGGCGCATTGGCGGCGTTCGTAGATGGGGGTGAGGTCGTGTTCGTTGTAGGAGTAGGATGTGCTGGAGGATGTGAGCCAGAAGCGTTGTTGACCTGTGTTGCGGGCGAGCTTACCTGATGACTTTCGTGGCGGCGAACCCACCACAGTTCTGCGGGCCCTGGTAGCCGCCGTAGGGGTCCGGGTACACGGCATCGAAGCGCTGGCTGTCACCTCCTCGGAAGGTGCAGTAGGACCCATCGATGGCATCAAGGAAGTTGTTGAAGGAAGCGCCCTCGACAAGATCACCAACCTGGTACAGAACGACGTTCTGCGGGTAGACCAAGCTCATAGCGTACTCCAAGTCAAGATCAGACTCGCCGTTAAAACCAAACGACATGTTAGTCTGCTGGACCACACCACCGTCGATAGAGTCCAGCACGGGCCGCTCGCCAACAGCCTTCTTCGCGAACTGGCGGAAGAAAAGGTCCAGATCACTTGGCACATATGCCTGTGGGGTGTACTCAACGATACCGTAGGCATTCTTCTTCAGCGCGAGGTGGCCGTGCTGGAAGTCGTACAGTGCTCGGAGGCAGTCGGGCGTGATCTGCGTGTTGCAGTTCTTCAGTCTTCCCAGAATGTCGGCACCATTCATCGTAGCACCAAGCTTAGGAAGGGATGGCGAGCCGGGCTCACCGAGACCCTTCTCGACGCCAGGGCTGATGGCACGCTTCTCCATCGGCTCGCGCTTGTCGTGCCTCTTGATCGGAGCATCGAAGTGGACGGTGGGAGTGATGAAATCGACGTGCTCGGAGAGTTCGGCTGGGATGCTGTATTCCTCGCAAGCAACGTGCGATTGCTTGCTGTCGGTGTGCTGGTAAACGTTGTACTTAGTGTTGAGGAGGTTCTCGGCCTCGTCGACAGAAGCATCGAACTGTAGGAAACCCATGCTCTGACCGTGCTTGATGCGATCGTTGCCGATGCCGTGGGATGCCAGCCAGCTCTTGACAGCGCTGACGGTGTCGTCGCTGGGCGCGAAGGCTTCAGCGATCTCCTTGGCCGACCAGTGCTTGCCGTAGCGGTCGGATTCGGGGTCAGAAACTTCGTGCAGCCAGTCGCCGCCCTTCTCAAGGTTGTTCTGAGCGAGAGCAATCCTCATCGGCAGGATGGCCCGTCTGTGGAGCTCGCTGCGCTTGTTCCAGCCGCTGGGAAGAACATCCCTCTTCTCGTGAACGACCTTGGTATTGGCAATAGGAGAAGCGAAAACGGTAGACGCTGCAAGTGCAGCTGTAACGAGTGTAAAGAACATTGTTCAAATTGTCTGAGAACGACTGTATGAAAGGTGCGAAAAGGTAGAAAAGAGCACCAGCTCAGAATGGTGTTGGAAGCAGACGAAAGGGAAGCACAAACACTGTTATGTAGACCCTCCAACAGTCGATCATCTTTCACTATCTCGTCCCCTGCCGCGGTGTAGCATGTTCGCCTTCCTGATCAGGCTGGGCTGCCCTAGAGGCGGGCGGTTCAGTTGTATCGAAGACGCCAGCCGCCTCCTAGGCGTGAGCTTGGTGACAAAGGAGAGGACTGCAGTCGGTCCATGCTCGAGGGGCTCTTGAGATAACCTTGATTAAGAACTGGCAAGGTTCGTGGAGCCGCAGTCTTAGCACTGGAGCTAATGCTGAACATGTCTGAGCTTGTTGGGGGCTCCCTGGTCGATCTGGTATAGGGAGGGAGGAAGGATGTAGCTGGGCTCGCAGGGGTTGGTTGCCAGTAAATTAGATGAGATCGAGCTGCCTACTTGGGACGTTCCTCCTGATCTCGTGCATGTATCGGATGGACGCGCGCCTATAGTCTATGCATTGTTAGTGCATGCGAGATCGTGAGGTGTGGTGGAGTGGAAATAAGGAGTCAAGATAAACGTTCAGGCTGAAGGAGGTTGTCCACTCGGAGCGGCTCAGTCCAACGGCTGGCACGGCAGGCACGGCAGGCACGGCTCGCTTCGAGTTGGCCCCTTCAGCAAGCCCTTTTGAGCCTTGTCTTCTGCCTCCTGAAAGATAGCAAAGTCGACTGCGGCTGTTGATTGTGATCATCTTTCGTGTCTCACTGGGTGGTCTGAAAGCGCTGTGGCTTACAATTCCAGTTCGGCGGTACTGCCCACGGTCTGCACTCCACAGTGTAGGTCGCAAGACTGGAGAATTCGACGTCGAAGAAGGTGTCCTGCTGTGGTAAGTCATACGCCTGAGGAACTCGACAAGGTTGCTCCTGCAAATCCCTTGACGTGCATCAAAGAAAGGCAAGTGTGTTGATCAAGCTCCCATTCCATCCGTGCTACTGTACAGTCACAGCGTCCACTCCACCATTGCCATACGATGAGCCCACAAGGCGTGAACAAGGTCTTCTCCATCAAACCGCAGTTGCCATCCTTCCCACCATACCCTGTGAATCTGCTGTGTCCATGAAGAGGACGGGGTGTCATCCCAACCAAAGCACTGTGTGCCTTCCAAACTCCAAACGCCTTCAAGAATTTCCCTTTTTGCGATGAATCATCATACCGACCCTCTCACTCCGCTCAAGCCTCCATCGCTTCCTCCTCACGCCCGCGATGCATTCCAACCGCCGCCTGCTGCCCGCATCCACAATTCGCTGCCTGCTGCTGCCCACGCCGCCCCCCATGCCCACCACCTGCTGCCGCCTGTCCACCCGCCTGCGCTGCCCGCGCCATCTGCTTCTCGACCTCCGCCCGAGTCTCACGACAACGATGATAAAAATCCGCCTTACCTGTGATTGGCCCATAATCATTGAGGAGAATGCGCTTCACCTCCTCCTCCCGCAATGCCAGCTCATGCGGGTCGTCTCGAAAACGCATGATTCTTGTCTCTCGAGCGTTATATTTGCGATGGAAATGCTGCTTCTCGATGTCAGCGTCTGTTGGTGCACGAGGAAAGCTGCTTGGGCTGCCGATGGGGATGGTGCCTGCTGGGTACTCTGCTCGTTTGTTAATTCTGGTGGAGCGTGAGCGGATCTCCTCCAGGTGAGTAGCGCTCCGCGTGATGTCCAATGAGTAATGGTCCATGACGAGGATGCGGCGCTTCGGGGTGGGCGCCGCAGTAACGTCAAGGTTGCGGAGCCTATTGCCAATGCAAGAGATTGTCAGCGATTCCATCTACGTCACCATTACCGATCTGGTTGACGACGCACCACTTCGAAGGAGTGACGGGCTCAAAGGCTGTCTCTGCTGTGCTACCCGATGAAACCTCCATGGACGCTGAACCACTTCCATCCATTGCTGTAGCAAAAGGAAAGCTGGGCTCTGAGTCAGTTCCACTGGAGACTGCGGCGCTTGGAAGATCGAAGTGCACATGTCGACTCTCCGGCGAAGATGCGTCGGTCCATTCACCCTGGTCTACCTCGGCGTCAGGTTGTTGGCAAGCTCCGAAGCGCCTCTCAGTCTCCGGAAGATGCGCATATGCGACATGTGCCTTTCCCGCAGGCCGTCCGAGAACGTACCGAGGCGAGAAACCTGAGGTTGGTCGTGGAGTATCCGCCATACCGCCTTCGTGGTGAAGGGGCGGAGGAGGTGGAGGCACGAATCCATGTGGCAGGCGCATTGATGGTACCAACGTCCTTTGCGTGATGTTCATAAAGCGGCTGCTGCCTCTTAGTGCAATTCGATTTGATGCTTGCACGGCAGACGGCGGTGGATTGAGCATCAGAGTCAGCAGCCCTGGCGGCAACGGCGACTTCTTCCAGGTCTTTGAGTTCTGGCCGGCTGGAGTTGGGGCAGCGGAGCTTGCAGACGTGCGCACCTGTCTCGCGGAGGATCTGAGCCAGACTGCCGAATCGCTGCGGACTGCTTCGCCATCTTCGTTGGGCGTGGGGACCGAAGTGCTCAAGACACCGTGGTCTGATCGGTCTTGCAGGTTGAAGATTTCGACCTTCAAGTCATTGACGACTTCGTCGAGCTGGTCCAAGTCGCTGTTGAGAGCCTTGAGCCTCTCTTCGCACTCGTCGATACCATTCCGGTGGCGATTTCGACTGGTAGTGAACTCGATGTCCTTCTTGATCGCTGTCACCCTTTCCAGCTTTTCTGCCAGCTCGGCTCTGGATGCTGCCAACCTGTCCTTCTCGCTCACGCCTCCTCCAAGCGGCAAAGCTGGATCTGGAAGGACTTCGAGAGGATACGGCTCCGGTACTGTCATGCCTCGCGCGATTGCCATCTCTTGCGTCACCGCCTGCATCTTCTGCTGGTGCTCCGCCCACTCTTTCTGCCACCACTCGTGGTTCGAAGCACCCGGCACATCCCTGGTGAATGGCTGACTGTCCGGCGACCACTCTGGTTGGAAACGTGTGGTCGGGTTCTTGCTCTTCCCGGCATACCAGGTGCGACTTCCTTTTGTAGCGTCCAGAAGAGCTTGAATGCTGTCACCCCGTGGCCGACCGCTGCAGACCTGATCGACCTCCTGTCGAATCTCCTCCTGACGCTCCGCGGGCAAGCGATGAAGCGGACCTGCCGATGATGACGATGGCAGGTAATACGGAAACAGCTTGCCAGCCTGCAGTCTTGGAGAGATTTCGATCACATGCGGATTTGGTGTGTTTGGGTCAATGGGCTCGATGTTGACGTTGACCTCGACATCCTCTCTGCTGTCCGGGTAGAGCTCTTCCAGAGTTTCGGGCTTGAGGATAATGTCGACGCCCATCCTGCTTGGACAAGAAAGCTGAGGGAACTGCTCATAGCGAGGCCATTGGTGGTATACCTTGCCGCCCTGTGGAGTACGTTAGCTCATCCCTCTAATCATGCCAAACGATGCTGACTGACCTGTCTCATGATGTACGCCCACTCGGCCTGGAGTTTTGCTGGCTGATATGTGCCATACTCATACTCAACATGAACGTCGCGTAAGTTGTGCGCGGACAAGCGCCGCGCGTGCTTGCCTTTGTACTCATTGACGATATCCCAGAGTTGTGCGAATGCCGGCGAAATCTGCTTGAACAGCTCGGTCTCGTTCCAGTCGCACCTGTCTCTGAGACGACCTCGACACTCTTTGCAGGCCACAAAGAACCCCTCGATGAATGCGATGCTTTGCGCCTGGGTGCAATCTTCGAAAATGAGCGTGGCGATTGCCGTCGCCGAAAACCGGTCGATCCTGAACACGCATCGGCGCACATGGTCGCGCAGTACGGACATTGGCCCTGTGGGAATGATGCTGGGATCAAGTTCGTTTGGATTTTTGGGACCTGTTCGATGCCAACGTCCGCTTCCCTTCGGAGGTGGTGGCGGAGTCTTCGGTCTCTCGTCTGGCTCTGACAGCGCGCTCGCTGCGTTCATCGTCACCGGAGTGGCCGAAGCGGCGGCTGGCCGCAGGCCCACCATTCGCATTAGTGAGGCCATGCTCGATAATGGCTGTCGCTCGCATGTGGTCAAGCTGCCGCGGTGTGGAAGAAATGTTCAAGTGGTGAACGAAGGTGTGAAGGTGAAGATGCTGGCGCAGCGAACGAACGAGTGGCTGTAAGTCCGTGAGGTTTGTAGTGAAGTTGGAGATGTTGGGATGATCAGATAACAGCATATGACGGGCCCCACCGTCACCCTCACCGAGTGTTCAGAACTGGCAGGAGCGCAATATGGACGTCTCACCGTTTGTATACTATGTCTTTGATAGGCTACATTATGGTATCGAGGACGGCGATGAGAGTCAACACAGACTGGTCGCTTGCTTGATATTCACTCGCAAACTTCATTCTGCTGACTCCTCGTTGCCCGAGCAAACGATCGCTCCTTCCCAGTTCGTTGAGGGAGTGCGTGGCGGTCGGAGTCTAGAACCAATGGCAGTGCGATGATTTCATTTCGTGAAGATGGTATATGGACTGAACATCAAAATGTGCAAGTCCACGCATCCGCATGGTTTAGAACAAGCATTCACCACATGCGGAGCGCGCAGGATCTCCATGTGGTTGTGGATGCGGAAGCGCAGACAGGGCGAATGGACGCGCGAGCGCGAAGCTTGGCAACTGAAATGTTGAGCTTTCTTCCGACTTCACTTCATCTTGACTCCTCCTCTCTCCCACCATCATGTGATTATTGTCCTGAAACACTCATCGAATATGTTGGCATCATCATCAAAACTCACGTTGCGCTTCTCGTTGATATGACGAAACTTCTCCCGTGAACATTGGGGGCGAGTAGGACTTCAAGAACTCATCAAGCGGTGTTGCGACGGGGATCATCTCTACCCAGGAGCGGAGACGGAGAGAATGGCTCTAGTGACTGCATTGTGTCCTGCGATGCCTCTCAGTACCGGCGACGAAAGACGATGGCAGCATGATTTTGGAACGTGTAAGAGGTTTTGGGCGGTGGAGAGCTCATCGTACAGGAGGTTAAGATTGTGGTGGGTCGTTGAGAGCGTCTGCATTGGGGAGAGTCTGATGTAACTGCCATTGGTCTTGCTATGCATGATGTGCAAGAATAGTCCTCTGTCAAGATTGGAAAACCCTCCCTTGGCCGTCGGTGTTGGGTGTGGAGCGATTCCGACTTCCACCTCTGGGTTCAACACCAGGGTCAGGGGAGGCCCATGCGGAGGAGACGGAGGATTTGGAGGCGGCAAAAGAGGCAATGCAAGCAGAGGAGGCAGAGGAGTATCTCAATCTCTCGGAGTAAAATCATGACCGCGTTGCGATTCCAAGGTCTTGTCTAAACGAACCCACTGCGAGGCGTTGAGAATCACGCCCACCAGACCTGAAACACACCCCGCCAAGTGCCTTGTTTGTGCATGTGATATTGAGGGGTCCACGTGTTGATATGCCGTTGCCACGGTAAGACCAAAGCTTCGTGATGCGTCGACTGAAACAGAATTTTCTTCCCACGCTGTGCTCAAACACAACTTCACAACCAACATTGTCCATCAGCCAGAGCCACGCCGCTTTCCGCAATTGCATGTTCATACCATAAAGACCGAACCGCTGACCTTGTTTGGGTGCCAGACACAGAGAAAACCGCACCGCACTCATGCCGACACTCAACCAGCTCGAGTGCTCGATTGAGCTGGGCCCAGGCAACACAAAGCTCAAAGAGTACGGCACCAAGTACAGAAACGGCCATGTCGAGACCTTTATCGCCGTGACAGACTCAGACATCCCTTTCACCATCCACCTCAAGACGAAAGGGTACATTGCGCCCGGCATTGCCCTGTTCGTATTCATGGACGGCGTCTACCAGTGCAACCGCAATAGAATCGGCCTGAAGCTGCCTGGCCAGTATGTAGATCCGAACGAATACGAGGTACAGTTTCATCTACGTCAAAAGGAAGAGAAGTCTGTGCACGGCGCATTCATTGGGAGTGACTGGACGTTCAAGGAGCTGGATAGAGGTGAGCATCTCCCTTCCGCGGTGGAGGCTGCCAACTAACGTCATACAGTCTCTGCGGACAAAGCTCCAGCCCTCAACCCGCAGTTCTTAAACAACATCGGCACTATCGAAGTCGTGGTTATGCGCTGCAAACCCGCGCTGGACGACGTACCTACCGAAGTGTCAAGAGGTTTGAAGAGAGGACGCATCTCAAACTACGACGGCCCCGCAGACGATTCTGAGGATGCCCATAGCACCTCTCACGCCTCCCAAGGCCCAGGACATCCGACACACCGCACTCAACCACAGCTGGCCACGGCCACCAACCCACAGCAAGGACCGGGCATCAGTCTCATCGCTCAAGGGTTGAAGCAACCCCGCGACATTCCTCAGCGTTCTCAAGTCACCAGCGATGGGCTAGCGATCAGCAATGCTCACGGCTCCGCCAACGCGAGCAACATCGTTCAGCTCTCACAAGCAACCAGCCCACAGCAAGAGCCCGGCATCGATCGCATCACACAGAGCTTACGCAACGTTCTTGAGATTGACCAGCGCATCCGAGCAACAAATGCCCCACAATCTTGCAGCAACATGCGGGAGACAAGGGCCGAGAGCAGCGGTGCTCAGCCTGAGCGCGCCATCGAGGTACCTGAATCCGAGCAATTGCCTGGCAACGCTCTCACCACGGAGGCTTTGAGGAGCATGGGCGGCAATAGTCAGCGTCCTTCCAGTCCGGATTCTGTGAGTTGGGGTAGCTCAACAACTCTGGTTAATGATGGCGAAGCACCCACTCGTCTTCCAGAGCACGACTCCTTGCGTTGGTCCGATGAGGTGGCCCCGTCATCACCAGTCATCGATGCACCCGCAAACATCTTCGCCGCTCCTCCACTCCGGCTTACAGAGGATCATGATCAAGGCTTCATCTTCCAAGTTCGTCGAGGCGAAGCCGGCGTCAGAGCCAGCGTCAGCGGAGTCAACATCAGGACACCATTCTGTGCATCGTCAACACCACACTACAGCACGTCTGCCCGTCGCACTGGGCCAGGAGACATTTACATCCGCTTTCACATCCGCCACGATATGCGTCCACTGGTATTCAACTCTGATGCGCCCCACATCGCCATTGCAGCTATCAGGGAGGCGCTCGATGAGCTTCCCGAGATGGATGCTCAGTACCCGGTTCTGATGCGCTACGTCAATCAGGAGATAACGGCGGTGTTGCAGAGACGCCATGGCCTTGCCAACCAAGAAGCTGACTACATATGCGGTGAAAAGGAGCTCAAGCTTGTGGAATTCGACAGGGACATTGCTCACCTACATGAATGCGAGGAAGCCATTCAGCGGAAGCACAGCGAGATAGTCGAGGCTGCGTATAGGACTTACAGCAACATCCTCGCCAAGCCTCACACCACCTCAGCCTTCGAAGATATTGAGGCCATGCGAGAATGCATGGTACTCTGCATGGATGTGCACCGCGACCTGGACTTCCGGCCTGGACTGTACCGCCTTCGCGTCTTTCAGAGGCGTCTGTTCCGGGACCCGTTCCTTGCTCTCGCGGGAGTCTCCGATGATGCGCTGGACCCACGGGCCATGTACGAGCATTACATGGCTCGGGTGGAGAGACTTGACTGGTTCATTCAACACGCCACTCCCCTGAGAGCTTTGGATGTCGCAGCGGTCCAGGAGCGCCATGACAATGTGCAAGCTCAACTCAAGTCGGTTGCCGAAGAGCAAGGCTTTCTACACGAGTACAACGCTATCTTCTTTCCCACTGCAGGCGCTCTCGCCAGTGGTACGCCGCAGCCCACGTGGCCAATCCCTCAAGAAGACCAAGAAGTTGGCAAGAACAACACGCATGCTGAGCACAGCGAGCGGGCCTCCACGTTCGGTCTGGACGGCGCTGCAGATACGCCTAACAAGAGAGTACAGTTTGCCGAGCCTCCGACGCCTTTACCTCAGAGAGGTCCTTACGCCGACACTCCAAGATTCGCTCAGCCATTATGTGTTTCGTACGGCATGCAGCAGAGTCCGTATGCGCCCACGCCAGGCAACACACCGGGCTTTCGCTCGGTTGGCGAGACCATGGTGGGACCGGCTCTTGCGGGCTACGGCCCACCTTACCAGCAGATGCCGCAAATGCAGCAGTACCAGGGATACAATCAGGCGCAGGGCTTTTGTCCACCAGGCTACCTCCCACCACAAGGCCGAGGCCGCGGTCAACCCTTCGGCCAACCCCAGGGCTACTACGGTCAACCTCAGGGCCACGGCCAAGTGCCAGTCTACATGGCCCAGCAAGGCTTCCCGCACCCGCAAGGCTTTCAGGGTCAACAAGTACCGCTCAACACCGGTGTACCGCCGCATCTGCGGCCTGGAGCAATGGGACCCCCGAAGACTATGAGAGCCCCAGAAGGACAAGCACAAGGCGCGCCCAAGACGTTTCGTCATTTCGGTTCGTCGCAGACCCCCGAGGAGACCGGAAAGAAGAATGACCCTATCAAAGCTGCGGATTTCGGAACCCTCTGGGGCTGCGATGACGCCGACATTCGCAACCCGCACTTCAACGCAGATGAGAAGGTTGCCGACGACGCGAATGTCCAAGACCACGCCAACCGCAACAGCAAACGCAACAAGGCCAACAACGAGGGCTGGGTTCAGGATGTGCAGAAGAACAACCGTGGTCAGAACCCGAACAAGAAAGGTTGGGTCGAGGTAGGCGCAGGCGAATGGGACAATGCTGGTACGCAGAAGAAGAGCGACGGCAAGAATAGCAACAACGGATGGGGCACCCAAGGCGGTCAGAACAACGCAGGCGGCGCTCCTGGCTGGGGCAGTGGGCCGCAGAAGAAGAGCGACGGTCGTGGCGGCAAGAACAGCAACAATGAATGGGACACTCAAGGCGGTCAGAACAACGCCGGTGGCGCTCCTGGATGGGGTAACGAGGCACAGAAGAGCGGAGGAAATGTTGGCGGATGGGACACGAATGCGCCGAACAATGGAGGCGGCGATGGTGGATGGGGTGCCGATCCGAAGAAGAACTCAGGCTCCGGATGGGGCACCCAGAGTGGACAGCAGGATGAAGGTGACGGTGGGTGGGGTGGTGATCAGAATGGGCAGAACAATGCTGGGTGGAGCGGAGGTGATCAGAAGTCCTCCTCGACCAAGAGCCAGGGCTGGGGCCACAATGACAATCAGCCGCAGCAGAGCGACACCAAAGGGTGGGGTGGAAGCCAGGACTCAAAGAATAACGACAAGGCATGGGGTGGACCAGCAGACCAGAACAACGGCGCCTCTGGATGGGACACCAAGAGCCGCTCGTCCTCCGTCAAGAGCACCCGCTCGCACCACCGCAGGTCCGACAGCATTTCCGTCGCCTCCGGAACATCCGCTGAGCCTAACCCGCTCTTCAAGCCATACTGGAAGGACTGGACAAGGCCAATCGACAAGGAGGTTGCCGATGACTCCGACTCCAACGCTTCGACCGTTGTCGCCACGCCTCGCGAAGTCTATCAGTACCCGGCCGAGCCGCTCCCACCAGTCCCGTCGAACAAGGCCAAATCCGCGAGCCACGTCGTCCAGACCGGCAGAGGTGCAGCCTACGACCACCTCACGCGCCGCCCGGAGTACATCGACGCCTGGGACAAGCCGTACGCGGTCTTCTCCTTCAAGTACCGCAGCCCAGAGGCCCTCGGCAGCCTCCTCAAGACCACGATCGATGTCTCGGACATCGAGAAGGTGAAGGAGAGGGTAGAGAAGGATATGCTGTTGGCCATGCCGAAGCATAAGCTGGTCGAGGAGCTGATGGCGAAGAGGGGGATCTCCGGGGGCGGGAAGAAGGAAGGGGGGCGGAGCAGTGGGTATGGTGGCGGCGGGGGTGAGAAGGGATCGGAGAAGGGGTCGGAGAAGGGAGGGAGCGGTGGGAAGGGGGGGTATGGGTGGTAGGGGGTGGAAGGGGGTGGAAGGGGGTGGAAGGAGGGGTGGTTGGTGTTCTCCGCGCCTTGTTGGTGCGGTTACAGTGCGTTCAGGTAGTGCAGTAGCGTAGTGAGAATCGGCGTTTGGGAGAATCGTGTCCACTTCCTGCTCCAGTGCCCACTCTTTTGCTTTTCAATATCGCGATGAAGTGACGTTCTCGTACACAGCTCGTGGTGCTCAACAGCACGCGGCACCTACATTGACCACACTTTGCTGCGCGGAGACGACGCAGAGCATTGCAGGACACCCCCCTTCTCACGCTCACTGGCATCACGATCGTAGCTCATCACTGGCTATACTGGGGCCATACGACAATAATCTAGGGAGAGGAGACGCCCGGTGCGACCACTCCTCTCCCTTCTCCTAGCGCAACATCATTACGGCAGCGATAGACCACCCACGGTATTGGCGGCGCCTCTGACGGCCTTGAAGAGACGCCAGCGCTGCTGAGGCAATCACATGGGACCCCTCTCCTGGCCCAGAAGTATCACGATACCGTGATAGCACCGGCTGTGTCGGCCGCACCTCTGATGACTTTGAGGAGATGTCGGCGTGGACGCGACAATCCCGGAGAAGCATCATCATCCCGGAGAAATGTTAAGGATTTGTCGACATGGACTTCTTGTCCTTACATAGCTGCACGATGCTGTGAGTGCTCATCGATTTAATGGCCAGCATCGCCCGTTCGAAAGGTCGAGAACGGGCGTCCAGGCGTTTGGACTGTTTCACAGTATCCGTTGATGCTGCAGCTAACACAAAGAGGATTTGCTGCCATGCGGACCCAGTGCCGTGGTTGAAAGTCTATCAGATCGCGTGGCAGCGCCAGGAACTCACATCTGTCGGCGTTGACCGGATCGGCAGGTGTACAGCAGGAGCACGTCTCACGACTCCAGGCCGAAGGACGAACGCCGTTTGTGCGTCTATAAGCGCTCGTCTGTCTCGGGAGGGCTCGTCTTTCTCGTGAGGGCTGACCGGAGTCACGGAAGTGTTGGGATGCGAGGTCTCGGAAAGCGGATTCGCGCTGCATTTGAACGCAAGCGAGGTTGTTTGGAAGTGCCCGCCCTGATCCCCATGGCCCACAAACCGGGGGCCTACGCGAAGCTGCAGCAATGGCGCAAGCCATGGAGCTCCGGACTGGCCTTGTGGCTGTCTGTGGCGGCTCGTGTGCGGTTATTCACCTTCCCAGTCGGAACAGAATGCAGCAGCAGGAGACTGAATGGCTGGCGAGCGCACGATGTCAGCTGTACTTTGTAACGGCACATCAGCGGCAGTGCATTTTCACGTGCTCAGGTACGCGATTGGTGGCCTCGCGGTCGATGGCTAGCTGTCGTGACGAAGGCCGAGCGGGGATCCTCATACGATCGTCCTTGCAAGATAGCAGACGAAGAATTGAGTTCTGCTGTATCGAAGGAAGATTGTCGATTCCGAACCCTAGCAACACTGACCATACCACGCACCGGGAATCTCCCCACGCCTTCCTGAAGGAAGAGACTTCGAACGATCTGTCGAAAGCCACGTGCTGGGATCGTCGTGAGCGGCGTGGAGATCTAGAACTTGCAGGGGAGCACATCCTGCTGCTGCACAGTGACGAATCTCGTTCAAGCAGCTGTGGCTGCTTTCGATGCGATTGATCGATCCAAATCGTGAGAGAGCTGTTGACTCCACCTCTTCATCTAAGGGTAAACCTTCTACTGAGCAAAAACGAACATACTTCTTGTCTTATCGCGAAGAGAACAACTGCATCGACAATCATCGCATTCAATTGAAAACGCTCCTCGGCGAACGCATTGGCGCGAACAGACTTCGGCCATTCTCCTCCCTTGGCGTCAAGCTCGATGTTAGCAACATTAACTTCCGATGGGGCGGCTGGGCTCGGTGCACCAGCGAACGACTCAGTCGCCAGCAATGGAGCAGTAAGTTCTGTCCAATCCATGGATGCGTCTGGCCTTTTGCAGACCGCAATGGAACAACATCTACGGGTTGACGCAGTTTGGCTGACGATCGGTTGAACCGAACAGCAGAGGCGACCGTCCAGTCCTCAGCGGTTCGTGGATGCCAACGGCGTGCCCGTACGGATACCGAAACTCGCCGTTCGCAACCGCAGACCACCGGAGAACAGCGATACCAACGACACCAACGAAAGACCTACGAATATGATAGCGTACGCAAGGAGCGAGGGCGGAGGCTCAGGACCACCTTCTTCCCGCTCGTCTCAAGGCACTTCAACGCCCGGTTCAAGCCGGAGCGCGAGCGACGATACTCTTCCGACAAGACGGTCATTCGCCAGCCGAGATGGGGACAAAGGCGGCAAGCAAGCAGCGGGCAAGAAGAAGAAGGGCGGTATGCTTGGGTTTCTGACGCTGAAGGAGCCGTCCACATCAGCTTGGGCAGAATTCGCAGAGGCGGAGAAGGAGAAGGCAAGACAGAAAGGCGCCCGAAGCACTGCAGTAGGAATGCGGGGTGTTTCGACTCAAAAGCTGCCAGACTACGTACCGAAGGTTAATAGCAAATGGGATGGATTGCCGAACAGCGCGAAGCGAAAGAGCATAGAGTCTTCGAAGGCATCAAGTCACCGACACACAGACTCTTCATTCTCAAGTGCGACGAAGCGATCAGACTGGACCGCCGTGACATCGAATTCTGCAGGTTCAGCAGAGGCCAGACGAGCGTTTGGAAGCGCACTTTCATCGCCCACGTTCCCAAATCGACCTTCGACAACGAATGCTCCATGGTCACCAGATGACTGGAGAGTTTCAACGAGCGCATCCGCAAGACCGCGGCCAGGCTCTGGACTCCAAGCGCAACCTATCGAAGAAAGCGAGGAGAATAAGCCTCAGACCTTTCTACTTCCACCATCTCCAGAAGGACATGACAAGATATTACTGCCCGACACGAACTTGCCGCTATCGCCTCTGTCACCACTCACGCCTCCAGAGCTCGAACGTGACGACATTGGGTTTATGCAACGCTTCTTCAGCAAAGGCTCGCCTCCAAACAGGCAGGCTGTCGAAATGCCTGCTACCCCTCCAACCAGCGACAAGGATGAGGAGCCGATGCTGATTGGGATACACTATCCTGAGCTGGACGCCACAGACGTATATTATCCCCGGGCAGCTTCTCCTGCTTTCGATCACGCCACGATTGCAGATAGCCAGGCAGATCGCAAAGCATCAGGGAGCCCACCTTCTTTCGCCGAGTTCTGCCGTCGCTCTCCGATCAACTTCAGCAGGCCGCGATCACGACTTGCAAGCAGTCCGAAGTCAGAACAGCCACCGCAGCTTAGTATTGATGCTATAGCTGAACAAGCAGCTCCCGAAGCGAGTCTATCTTTGTCGCCAACATTGGTGAACGACAGTGGTCGGATCGAACCTTTCCTCACCGACACTTTCGCAAATCACTCGCGAGAGACTGGTCATATCCCACAGCGGGTCTCGAGTACCGTAGATCCCAGCTCAAGGCACACCACTAACATGCTATTGGACGAATCGGAAGAACCTTCTGATGCAGAAGAGGAAGAGTATACGGAGGACGAGGACGAAGAAGACGTCATTACCCCATCCGCAGAGAACGTGCAGCCCTCTGATTCAGCCTCCGACTCCAAAGGTTCTGTACAGCCCGATACTGTGCTCCGCACCACCAACAGTCGAAATTCGCTCGCGCCCAGCTTCACTCCATCCGTGATGAGCGAGCAGTGGCATCAAACGCCCAAGGAAAGACTGGGGTTAGGCAGTAAAGTGCGAAAAAGCGAAGTGCTGCCGTGGGAGAATGCGGAAGAGACGGGCAATGCGGCGGAGGGCCCTAGACGACCAATGTCGCCCGCAACCGAGAGTAAGCGGAAGAGGATGAGTATGAAGCTGGGTACGAAGAGGTAGCGACAGTGGCATCAGGATTCTGGAATCGCTCGTATGCGTTGAAGTTCGTCTCTTTAGGGCGTCCACCATGATATTTATGAGCAAGACTGTATGATACCACTTATATAGGCTGGCAGATGAAACGTTGAGAAAATGTATACTGTATCGCAACCTTTGTCTACTGACTCGTGGAGGCATAACAACTTGATCAGTTGTACAGCATATGCATGCATGTTGTTGAGCTGATTCGATCGACCATAAATGCCTCATGCGGACTCGGACCGCTACCTCACATACAGCCCACAGCCTTGTCTGCAACTACATGAAACCGTGCACTGCTCGCCGCTTACATACCTAGCTTCAGTTCCGTGCTTGCAACCTAGTCACTACGACATGGAGATCGTCACATGGTGAGCTTGCCCCAAGATGAAGCTCCGCGAGCTGGTGAACTTGTGGTACGGACGAGGCCACCGTAACGATGCTTCAGCCGCAAAACATCTTAGCCAGCAGTCACCAGCTCTAGCAGCGGACAGTTCCGCTGATATCTATGGTCCTCTGAATGCTACCACGTGAGATGTACGATTGATGCAGATGATCTCTCCTGACGAGCCCTCAACCGAAACCGTTCAATGCAAGCTGTGCACGTTCTCGCTGAATCACACTCCCGACTACACGGCTCTGTCATATTGCTGGAAGAAGAAGCCTGCCACCTGTACCATCAAGTTGAATGGCAGGTCCTACGCCGTGCGACCCAATCCGTTCGCCTTCCTCCAGGTCAGATGGTCCCAGCCGGAAGCTTCGGAATGGATCTACATCGACGCACTCTGTATCAACCAGGCCGATGTCGACGAGAGAAGCGCACAGGTTGCTCTTCATGGGAGATATCTACCGTAACGCTCGGCAAGTCATTGCATGGCTGGGCGCGGCACCACAAGTCAACATCGAACAGCTGCTCGAGTGGCAAGCGTTGTGCGATGCCAGAGCAAAAGTTACTCAAGAGCAACGATTTCTCGGCTGGGACATCGCAGACACTTCCGCTCCACCAGCTTATTGGTTGCGGCTCTGGAACGTACAAGAGGTCATGCTGGCTCGGCGACTGGTTGTTCAATGCGGATCACTCGTTGTTGAGGAAGGAAGATTGTTGCAAGACCTGCTCTTCTTTGAATATTTCATTTGCGGCTTAGCGGAGGTGGCACACGATGATACCCAGCCTTATTTGCCAGCTAAACAAGAAAGTGTCCTCGGTCGAAGTAGTCGAGCTCGTTGGGAGGCATTGAAATTCTTGAGCAGAAGGACCGCACCGCTGCAGGCACCCAACAGAATCTTAGCTCCTCCGCTGGGTTATGCTCTCCTCACGTACCATTCGCACTCTTGCACTGAGCCGTACGATGCGATATCTGGGCTACTTGGTCTGGCTGAGAGTCACTTGCGGCCGGACTACACCATGTCAGCTCTCGACCTGTTCCTCTTCGTTCTGGTTGAGTGTTATCTCGTGCAGGCACCAGAAAGAACGAGACCGGAAGACCGTTACAACAGGTTCCCGGAAGAGTACGACATGTTGTTGTTCAACAGTGTTGTGACAAGAGCACTCGATCTTCGTTCTGACAATCCTGTTGTTGCTCTGATATTACTGGAGACTGGCCGGCGCTTTTATGGCACGCCTGTGAGTCGAAGATTCTACCGTCTATTGCTGAGAGAGTTCTACGCGGGCTACCGGCGGCAAGCGGCTTTGAAGCTCGCCGCAATCAGGTCGTACTCTGCAATGCGGTATTGGACGATTCTTCTGTATCTAGGCGTGTGCCGGAGGTGGAAGGTAGCCTTGCCAGCCCCGGATGGGAAGTCAGTGGCTCGGTGGTGCTATGAGTGGAAAGCGAAGGTCTGTGACCAAATCGAAATGTTACGGCGTGTTATCGATGATTACGACGGTCCAGCTGGCAGTGTACAGCCCTAGAGCGTAGCGGACTGAGACATGGTCTTGTGGGATAAAGTTCGACGGCGGGGACGGCACTAGAGTGTGAGAGAGAGCAATTTTATGGTAAGCATCGCATCCCGTAGGAAGATATGCAGCATGGCAGTGCGCAAACCTCGCCCAAAATGGCTGACCAGGAACCTAAGCCTTCAAGTGAAACCTCATCGTCATACCATCAACAGGCACGGTCGTAACATTCGCTACGCCCCAGACCTCCTTCTCCCCATTCAAGCCGGTGTTTCCGACCTTCTCAAACCGCAACCCTCTCGTCACAGCAGCCATGACCACCTTGCCCTCCAACAGCGCCAGCTCCTGCCCGATGCAGTTTCGCGGTCCACGCTCGAAAGGTCGCCACGCTCCGGGCGGCAGCTTGCTGATGAAGTCCTCATCGAGCCATCGATCTGGGTTGAAGACATCGGCATCGGGGCCCCAGATCTTCTTGTTTCGGTGGATGAGCCATTGGCAGTTGTAGACTCTCAGACCATCAATGCGTGCATCTCGGCCTTCAATGTTCACGGACACGGGTGGGTTGCTTTCGTCGGCGTCCGGGACAATGCGAGCTGTGCCAGCGGGCGGATGGAGACGTAGGGTCTCCCTGATGAAGGCGGTGGTGTATGGAATCTTCGAGCCGAGCAGTTCTTCGGCCTGACCAGGCTTGCGTAGGATCTCGAGCGCGGAAAAGGCTCCAGATCCGAAGACGGCATTGTGCTCATCTTCCAATTTCTTGAGGATCTCCTGATTCCGAGGGTTGTGGTTCGCTTTCGACAGTTCGTAGCAGAGCCACTGAATCATCGTCGCTGTGGTATCCTGACCTGCAAACAAGAACGATTTGATCTGCGCAACTGTGTTCCACAGCAAAGCCGGTGTTGGTTCCATGTCTGCTAGAGCCAGTTGCACAATAGCTTTGGTGGAGACATCTCTCTTCTTTGGCTGGAGCTGTTCCTGCTTGAGCTTCTTCTCGAGAACGCTGTACAATTCGCGGTCGAAGAGCCTCTCATAGTACCACTGCTTAAATCTTCTGACCGGGTCAAAGAAGCCTACAGGGTCAAAGCCCTGGCCTTGCGTTGCTATCAATGTCGACAGTATCCTCGATGCTGTAAGAATGCCAGAAGATGACTTGTGGCTCTGCCCTTCGGGTATGCTCTGCGATTCGAAGTCCTTCTCGATAGCCAGCTGAGTGATGATATCGGTCGTTAGATCTTGAGCGAAATCCTTCAGAGGCACAACAGCACCGGTCTCCGCAGCGTCCTGGATGCGCTTAACGAAGATCTCCGTCTTCGATATGATCAGAGGACTGAGATTGTGCAAATGAGCAGGCGCGAAACCTTTGTTAAACCGCTTCCGAAGGTTTCGCCACTCCTCAGCCTCAGCCGTAATGATAGACTCCTTCCCGATCAATGGCTTTAGAGCCTGCATCGTGTCGCTCTTCGGGAGCGAATACTTGAACTTATCCCCTGGCTGGGTAGCCGACTCTGCAATGGAGGGCTCCGCAACTACCAGGAACGAACGCTTATCGACCGGAGCAAGATCGACCATGAAAGCAGCCGGCCGATCCAGGTCGTTCCATATCTCCTCGAAGCCATAGTCCGGGTGGCGGCCAGCACGCGGATTGCATTTCTCCCCGATGATTTTGAGGTTTCCGAATGCCCAATGTCGCGGTAAGCTTGGGATGTCATGGTACTTCTGCCGCACTAGGTAGGTATCAAATAGCAGGTTCGTCAACTTGTACACGAGATAGCCGCAGACTGCTAGGACGATGGACCGGGTGCCTTGTATGCTTTCCAGGAGGGAGGAGAACAACGGCGATTCTGCCGCCGCTTCGAAGCTTGCCATCGGACCAAGAGAATAACAGTCAACGCAGAAGAGAGGAATCGCGAGAGAGTGTGGAACAGATGGAGTCGATGAAGTTGATTTTGGCCGGATGCTTGTCGAGCCGAAGGATGCTCGCTTACAGCGCCAAGTCGTTGCATGTGATCCAGCCTGCTGCTACCTTACACATTTACAGACAATTGTACGACTACCGATGACAGATTGAACGAATGGGTGGTAAGAAGGTACGAATAAGTGTCAGAGCTCGTCGAACATCTTTCGCAGCGTGGGATCCTCACTTGGACTGGGCCTCAATCTAGTCGATATGGGTGCAACGACATCGTCCACCACATCAGCCAGTCCCACTAACCGCTGGCTCACACCGTCAAGCTGCTTGCCAACTGCTCGTCGGTTCTTTGCGAGTAGAACAGACACCACCAGCATTAAAACACCAAGCAACGTCGCCCAAGTAATGTTGAGTCTGACCCTTCGTCGAGCGACCTTCTCGTTCTCTCTGCCCTCGTACGCCTCGACTCGCAGCCTGGCAGACTCCAGCTGATCATTCAACTCGTTTGTTCTGCCTCGAGCATCTTCCAGCTTCGAGACGAGCTCATTGATCCTCTTCTCCTGCGGCTCGAATTGTCCCAAGCTCTGAACACTCTGCTCCGTATCCTTCTCCAGCTTCTCAGTGTCCTCTTGAAACGTCGACTGCATCCTCTGACTCTCATCCGCCAGCTGTTGCAGACTGGAAACGGTAGACCGTAGCATTGAAGCCTTCTCCAGAATAGCGTAGTACGTGTCGTCCAACTGCCGCGTACTGCTCATGCCCACCTCCTCCACGCTCTTCAAACTCTCCTTGAGATCCTCCTCGCGCCTCTCATTCTCTTTCTTCGCCTTGGCCACATCCTCCGGCTTTATAGGCTTCTCCGGTACGGGCGGAACGTTGTTGGTATTGTTATCGAGCTGCTGCTGCGCAGTCGAGCTGCCTCGCCTGCTCGAGTCGGAGTCTTTCTTGTCCCGTCGGAGGATATGGTCGAATGTGATCGGCGGCTTAAGGTCTATCGCGGACTGGACGGTCTCTTTTGCATGGTGCCGGTGGTGATGCCCTTCAGTCCCGGATCTCAGGCGCCTCGATACCGCATGCCGTGATGATCGCTTTTGATGTCCAAGGTCAGAGCGTACTCTGCTAGGTATGAAGTCCGTCATGGTACATTGCTTGCGTGTAGCATACTGTACAACATGGCTTGCATTGGAGGGAGCAACCCCGATGCTTTGTGCAAGGCTGACTAAGATCGACAACCACGCGCACGCGAAACGCGACTTCACTTCTGGATGACATTCTCGACCTTGCACAGGATTTGAAGCCTCTATAATGAGCTTCCTGCGAAGGCGGGAGGGGCACGACTAGCAGTTCACACCGGCCACAGCGTTCCCCTCCGTATTGTGTTTGTTGCAGACCATCAACCAAAACGTCGCATCTTGCGAGACAGCCAATCGGCCTTCATCGACCCGAAAGAACGCAGACGCAAAGAGATGGTCCAGTGCACGGCATCACAGCCAGCCGTCTCCTGCTGCTCCACTGCTCTTCTCCGCACAAGACTCAACTGGTATATGTTGCGAAGCTGGAAGTAGCGAGCAGCTGATTGCAAGGGAAGAGTGGTCTTCATGATGTCCGTTCCGATTGAACGGTACCTGTAGATGATATATATAAAGGTAAGTCTTCCAAGATAGCCTGTACAACGATCAAGACATCGTTTCTTCAAGCCGAAACAATGGGCCAATCCTTTCAAGACTCTCGTCGTTATGCCTCCCTGTTCGAGAACCCCAAAGGGCCCGGAGATGCCCGGCCCACCGCGCTGCAGATTATTAGAGACAACGATTCGATCGGCAAGCTGACCGGCAAGACTGTCCTCTTGACTGGAGGCTCGAACGGTCTGGGAATTGACGAAGTGCGAAACCTCGCAAGGACCGGAGCCAAAGTCTTCTTCACTTCCCGCGACCATGCCAAGGGCGAGAGAGTCCGAGATGAATTGTTGCAAGAGCTAAAGAAGGAAAGTCTGCCCCAGGAGCCAGCAATTGAGGTGATCAAGCTTGATCTTGAGAGCGTTGAGAGCATCAAGAATGGAGCCGAAGAGTTCAAGAGCAAGAGCGACCAGCTTCATATCCTGGTTAACAATGCAGGTCAGCAATACTTCATAGCATGCGCTGTTGGCAACTTGGCATTCTACTGACCTCTACTTGTAGGCATTGCCAATTCGCCGTTCCGGCTCGTCGAAGGCTACGAAAGCCAGCTTTGGGTGGATCACCTGGCCCATTTCTACCTCTTCCACCTCCTGAAACCACTCCTGCTCAAGTCGACGACTCCCAGCTTCAACAGCCGCGTCGTCTCCGTCGCCAGCCTCGCGCACACTATGGCTCCAATGCATCTCGGCGACTACAATTTCGAAGAACGGGAGTATGACGAGTTCGTCGCTTACGCACGAGCAAAGACTGCTAATATCTGGTTCGCCAACGAGCTCGACCGCAGATATGGATCGCAAGGCCTCCACGCTATCAGCGTCCATCCAGGCGGGATCAGAACCGGGCTCCAGAACAGCCATAGCGAGAAAGCGGCAGCGATGATCGAGCAGTATCTGCAGATGCCGCACATCCAAGACGGAATGATGAGCGTGGAGCAAGGGTCTGCGTCGATTGTGCTGGCTGCTGTTGGGAAGGAGTATGAGGGTGTCGGTGGCTTCTATATGGAGAACTGCGGCGTGTCGCGTCCGGTGCCAGAAGATGCTCCATTGGGTACGCCAGGATATAAGCCGTGGGCGTATGATAAGGAGGGCGAGCAGCAGCTGTGGAAGGACTCGCTGGACATGCTGAAGCTGGAAGACGACTAGGATCCTTCAGAGCTTGACGACAATGGTAGCATCGAAGAAGCAGTCCATCGTTGTTCCAGCGTGTCTGCATTCCTAAAATCTGCTCATCGATGTAGATGGCGAGTCCGTATGCCTGTCTGGATACTTGGCGACCGAAGCCTCCATGACGGCTCTGAGGTCACGCATTACCTCCTGAAAGCTCAGCAGGCTGGGATGCGGCTGTGACGCGGATAGGATCTTGTCGAGCAATATCGTCTTGAGCCACGCGGTGCCCGATGCGGCGTGGCCATCAATCGCGCCCAGAGCGGACAGCTCCACCTGCGCCTTTGAAGAGTGTCCTCTCAAACGATTACACGTGATAGCTTCGTTTTCGCGGGCTGGAAAGCCCGGTAGTTCCGGGATGCTGATATCTGTGCCCACAGTGGACACGTGCATCTCGGCGGCCACGTAATAGATCAAGATGTGGGAGACGTGAAACGAGACGTTCGAGGCGTGCGCCATTCGTTTAACGTCGCTCTTATCTTCTAACGGAGATGAAGAGGAGCAGTACTGCAATTCGAAGACATTCTGCCACTCCCGCAGAGGTTCGCAAACCTTGCTGAGTTCCAGAACGACGTCCTCTACCCCCCGCACGCCAGAACGGTAATCCTCGAAACGAGCGACGATGCCAGGCATAGAGAAGCCAACGGTCATCATGGCATTATGCGCTGTGTCCTGATCCGCATTTCGGAATGCAGAACCCGACCTGATCAAGGCCCTCCAGCGGGGATCGGTAAGGAAACAGACTGCGCGGTTCCGAAGAGCATCGATGAAGATGTTCCCAGATTCGGCGTGTAGGATGGCTCCGTCAAGGTCGCCTTCCATTCGAGAAGGACCGCGAAGCTCCAGCATCCTAATGACGCCGTTCGCATGGGTGACCCAGCCACTAGACGAAGGTGCCATTGAGTGCTCGTGCATTTGAAGCAATGTAGCAGCAGCCATAGTCTCGGCCGAGATGGCTTTGCCTTCTTGCGTGAGCACCCGCTGTAAGCTTCTGAGCGCTTTAGGGTACATCTGGCTCCGCGCTATCGTAGTGCAGACGCTGTCGCGGCGCTCGTCACTGCAGACACAGCCGACGGCATCGTCCAAGGCGTGATTTGTCCCGATCCGTACCGGGATGTGTCTGAGGATGTGCTGCTCGGGAACGACCATCAACCGTGCTGCTACTCCTTCGAACGTTATCTTGAAGACAAAGCGGTTGCGAAGCAGGTCGGCAGCGCTGAGTGGGGTGGTCGGAATGCTTGATGAGCGATGCCTGGATAGCGCTAGATGGCTAGGAGGGGTCGAAGTGTTGCTGCTCGAGCTAGATCCTGAACTGCCAGATGTTGCTTTACCAGGGGTTTGGGAATATGCATGGAATCGTGAGTGTGTATCGTAACCAGGGCACGGCCATTTGCTCTTCAGGCATTGTGAGCAGGAAGGCGTTGCGAGATCGCACCATTTGTCCGTCAGTGTACGGCCGAAGTGACACAGAACGATCTCATCTTGCTCACCTTGATCTTGCGCTGCCTGCAATTAGCACATCGAGGGCTGGTCTTTCGTCCGACCATTGGACGTCGTGATGATGTGACAGGCTGTTGGGTGTCGTGAGATTCCGTCAATATTCCAAGCCGCAAGTGTTGTTGTTGTTGTTGGTGTAGAGGTGTGTTGAGGAGACACAGTTGACAAAACCGAGTAGTCCATATGCCGGTAGGATCAAGGTGGCTCTCATGCACTGATGTCTTGGTTGCAGATTTGCACTAGAGAAGCGTGCATCGCTTCTACTTGATCCTTCGACGGGACCAACATCGGAGGACCTTCCTACAGTCATCCTGTGCTTCCGTGTGTGGTGGAAGCGAGTTATTATGCAAGCAATTATGCGCATTCGCAACCAGATCGGTTTGGACTGCGGGTGAATCCAAGACTCGACATCAGGACGCCAGGGATGCTCGAGGAGTCACTCACAACACCCTCTGTAATTAGTAAAGCTCTCTCCTCATAAAGCGTTATCGGCAGGAAAGGCATATATCACATTGTTGTATCCCTGGCGTGACAGCGAAGGTCGAACGAGGTGAGATGAAAGGAAGCATGTGCACGCGACGCGAGGGAAGCCCCACTTTGGGTGAGGTGAGGTGACGTTTGTCTCTATACCATCCACCAGGCGCCTTCAACTACACCATCGACAACACCTAGAATTCGACAAAATGCTCCAAATAGGCCGCCCCAGCAATGTTTTCTCCTTCTTCTCCAACCTAGGAGGCGGCGGCAGCATCAAACTCCCCAAGCCCACGATCCATGCCATCGAAGAGCAGCCTGAGAAGCGAGCACGAACACTGAAGCACTTACTGAAAGCCAGTACGCCTGACTGATTACCTCGCTCTGCTACATGTAGCTGATCGGTGATGCTGGTCAGATCACATCAACCATTCTGTCATCTACAATGAGCTGCGGTTCCACAACCATACGTGAGTGGACAGTCCGTCGATACAGCCTAGCGCTCGCTGACAAGATATGGTATGGCAGACCTCATGTTCTCGGATCGGCATACATCCTCGGCGCAGACTCAGACCAGTTGAACACTGTTTATGAAGCGGAGAGCAAACACCTTGAGCCATGGAAGGACAGTCCCGGCGAGATCAGCCAGCATGATTGGAGAGACTATCTGGGCAAGAGGGAGTACCAGCGGGCATACATCGACTTTTTCGAGGATCAGCTGGTGCGACATGGGTATGACTGGCACTCGTTGTTAAACGAGTACCTACTACAAGGGAAGGAGCCGCTCATCAACAACCTGATCGCTGGGCTGGGACATCCTCTCATACATCTTGGCTATGCGGAGGAGCTGAGTAGTCGGACGGTGGCGATTGAGAGTCTGGCGCTGGCAACGTGCTTTTACAACGACTGGCATAAGTTTTTGGATGATCCGAAGTACACCAAATCAGCATCCAATCCAAGCGACTCACTCTTCACGATCCTTGACCGCGTCAGCCGTGACCCGAAGTTCGACAACCTCTCCGATCATCAAGGCGCCGACAACATCGACAAGATCCTGGGTAATGAGGAACTGGCCAATGCAGCACTAGATTACTGGAACGCATGGCAGCTCAAGTCGCCCAAAGAGCAGTTCTCCGAATCGCAGAAGGTAGCTGTGGCCTTGGTGGTCGCAGCGCAAACGCCGAAGGAGGACAAGAGCTACGACTTCTTCGCTGTCCATCTTCTCACTACCTCGCACGCCGTCCGGATTCTCCTGCCCCTCCTGCCTGCCAAATTTCACATCCCACTTGTCCGACAATGGTGGCTCTTCACACTCCTCGTTTACATTTCCCAGCTCCGGCCAGCCATCAACATCGACACGATCAAGCTTGTCGAATTGGAAGGCCGAGACTGGTCCTACGTCACAGACAAGGCGCTGAAGGGCAAGTACCGGACGGATGCACATTACGTGAAGGCGCTCAGGAGTATGCACGAGGCGAGCCAGACGTGGGGCGACCCGAACCAGTATTACCTCAAGGCGGCGGTGAAGATGGCGGAGGAGTTTGATGGGTGGGGTGGGTTTGGGCCGGCGGACGCGGAGTTGGAGGAGCATGAGACTGGGAGTGGCGCGAGTGGGCAAAGGAGTCAGAGGAGGCACTCAGGGTTGGGTGAAGGGTAAAGGGGGGTCGGCTTGGGAAGAATGGCGACCGACGATTGATGGCTGCATGATTTTTGATGTACATGACCAAACTGGTAACGATTCCCAAATACCTGTCCGTCCTTTTGCGCTAGATGTGCTTGCTATGTCGAGTGTCTGAAAGTACCTGGTACCTTTAGACGTCGTGATACCCGTCGCGCCCCGAAACCTTCATGTTGCTCCACACTTTTCCAACGTTTGTTGTCTTGCCCAAAGCGGCATCCTTGCACCGCACGTTGGCACGGGCGTCTGTCAGCAGTGCCTACACGTCGTCTGATGTCTCAGACTGATATCCTACCATGATCTTGCATGAACGCCTCTGCTTCGTACATCTGTTCATGCCGCCGTGATCCCTGGTCTCGAGCCCTCGTACTGGTCTGGAACACAAGCACCGGCGACTGGACGAGCCAACTCGGTCACTCGCAGAGCGTAGAGATGAAGTCGCGCAGCTCGAGTCCACAGACTTCTCCGCAGGTTGTGAGGAGATACCGGGTCGACACCGCCTCGACGGCAGGAGTTACAGGTATGTCGTCGAAGTCGAAGCCATAGTGTCCAAATGCGGCTTCTTTGTTGAGAGGACCGTACCTGCACATCTGCCGCTGCCACGAAAGATGGACAAGACTGACAGCCCTCCTATATAGCCAGCCCCAGTCATAGTCTACGGAAGACGAGTCTACGAATAGAAGAACTACCGCAGCTCGCCATGAATGGCTTTCAACCTTCCAGCTCGCCTTCGAATGGAAACACATCCGTCTCGACCGCACCAGGACTGCTCAGCCCCCTTCCGAATGGTTCACGAAGACTCAGCGGCGACAATGCCAGCACCCCACGGTCAGACTCAGCACACGTAAACGGCCTCACACCAAGCCCGACACCTAACGGCACCTCATCCCCCGGCCCAGAGAACTCCCCAGCATGGAGCTCAGCAGTTGGCCACGCAACAACGTCGGGCAAAAGCGGACGCGTTATCGAACGTTTGATGACAGAGAACGACCGACTGAAGCGAGAAGTCAATGAACAGCGCATAAAAGGCCAGGAGCTGGAAAAGAGTCTACAGACCTACAAGCCCCAGATCGAGGCGCTGAGGCAAGAGAACGACAACCTGAGCCACGCTAGGGACGTGGACTCCGGCTTGATCACTCGACGAGATCGTAAAATTGAGGAGATGAAGGCGGAGCTGGTGGTGGAGAGACAACGGCGGGAGAAGGCGGAGACGCTGGCGCGGCAACGGCAGCAGGAGAAGGACGATCATGAGGAGCAGAGCCGGAGGGACATGCAGCAGATGGTCGAGAGCACGAAGCACGCTACGCTGCACGCGGAGATCTTGGAGACGAGCCATCGTCAATTAGCAGCGGAGTATCGGGCGCGAGCGGCGGCTTGGAAGACGGATCTTGGGCAGATTACGGATGCGAGGGAGCAGGATCGGTTGAAGTTGGCGAGGTTGGATGTGGTTAGTGATCAGATGCGGCAGGAGCTTGAGCGGGCGCGGAAACTCAATGGGGAGATTATGGAGTTGTGGGAGGGGATGAGGGGGGAGAATGAGGCGCGGTTGCAGGGGATGGAGGATGAGACTAAGAAGGAGAACGAGAGAGTGCGGCAGTTGAGTGTGGAGATGGATCGGGTGGTCGGGGAGATGAGGTGGGTTATGGGGGTGAAGAGGGACGTCAAAGACGCGGAGGTGTGAGTGAGGTCACAGGACGCGAGTGCATTGGCAAAGAACAGTTGGCAGGCTATTGTCGGTCATTAGCGACGGCGCTGGGGTGTGGGTTCCTATTGTAAGTGCATAGATATCGTTACTTGAAGGACTACTTCATGTTAATTCTGTTTCTTCGTTTTGTTGTTTTCGACAGCTTTGCGGTATGACGCAGTCATCTCGCTCTTTGAGTCAGTCATCATCGACCTGACCCATTCTACTCGCTGACAGAAACCTCTCCATCCTTCTAGTCATGACCGCAGAATCTACTCCTACTCCCTTTCGTCGATCAACTCTCTCGCCTTTACCCCTTTCTAGGAGCCCGACGGCGACTCTAGAGGCGCAGATCAACAAGCTAGAGTTCGTCGCGCCACGACGACTTCCTGCTGCCCTCTCGGTGATGGTCGCAGATGACATTGTGCGATAGGCATATATACGGCGGCACGCGATATGGAACTGTTGAAGGAGGACCTGCAAGGAGAAGCTCACCCTGATACCGCCTCTTCTCAGGGTCGACGAAGAGCAGAAGACCACTGTCTCTGCCACTGTACTGGCGGCTTCTTCTGGCGTCGGCCGGAGAAGAGCCGTGCCTGCCTGCTGCTAGCGCGTCACGCTCCTTCCTTTCTCGCGCCTGAAAAGTTCGGTGAAACACGGCGACCTTCTTCTCGACTTTCAAACCGCTTTGCGACCTTCACGCCGCACCTTCAGACTCAACACTAATCTTGTGGGCTCTTCACTGCCGAGCATCTCACCTCTTGTACGATGATGGCAGAGGCCATCTACTACCACGCGTCCCTGTACGCCTTCGACGCGGCGGCGAGAGACGCCATCATAGCGACTTTTAAGAGCCGCGTCAATGATGTCTCGGTGCGTTGTCACTACGACACCGAACAGGGGGTGAGCACACATCCTCCACCGCAGTGCCATCGCAACAGCTGACCTTGCGTGACAGATGTTTTGCGTAGTCTGCCCATCAGGGCAGGACGTAGGGCCGGAGGCGGACAATATCCTCGCCACCGTCATCGACGAGTTTGTGCTGCAGGAGGTGTCGGCTGCAGAGAGGGAGCAGGTGAGCTTCTCAGAGAGGGCGACAGACTTCCACCGCCAGATGCTGACTTGTGCTGCCAGCGAGAATCATCAGTCCGAATGTTTCAAGAGCTGGACTACGACGCTCCCATTACCACCGGCCAACAGCAACACACGGCACCTACAACACAAAATGCTCCAGCCGCCCCTTCTCCGAAAGTCGTACATGTTATGGCCAACTACACCACTCGCAACTCATCTGTCAAATTCTTTCTGCTTCGAGAAATGCCACAAGGAGTTCTCGAGCGACTGCTCGCCCCGTCGGATGTACGATCTACCAAAGCCGTGAAATCAAGCATGGCCATACGCCTTGTCAAATGGGATGCCGAACGAGCAGTCCACGTTTTCAACGCCAGACTGGGTACTCCCATTGAGCCTGCCGGTAACTCTACTCTGCACATCCTCAACTCTGCACTGTTCGAGCGAATTGAGGATCAACGAGCCAACATCCGATCCTCTGATAACGACAACACCCAGATCGACACAATGCAGCGTTGGAGGTTTGTTGGTCAGGAACCAAGCGTACAGCAGTTCTTGGCAGGCATGGGTGAGACTGAGCTTGTCGACCCTGAAGAGCCGCCGGAAGTACCAGCAGACGGAGAAAACTTCATGGCTCGTCCAGGATTTGGCATCACTGCCTTACAAGGCCGAGCAAGAGTACCGAGGGCACGCGCACATTCCAGCAGTGAAACTTCGGCCGCTGGCAACACGAATGACGCTGATGACGACAGCACCGTGACGGATCGTCAACCATTCTCCAACCTCTTCTCCAGTAGAGCTCAGGCATCTGGCTCAGGACACCATGCGGAAACTGATACCAGAAATGCTATCAGCGACGTCACAGAATCAAGACCTGACTTCGCCAGCCTCTTCCAAAGATCCGGCATCCCCACGGCAGCTTCATTGGCTGGAGTCTTTTCTTCCATTACAGCTCAGAACGGCTCAACATCCCTCGACGCGGCACTCACCGACCTAAACGATGAATCCACGTCATCACCGTCTCGTCACGTTGAAGGACCTACCCCTTCAGACTACCATGGGATGCCTCCATACTCTAGGACGTATGCTACAACTGATGACATCGGACTCGTGGCACCAGCAGTTAATCAAGCTGCTTGGGAGACGGAGAACAACGTTCCGCACAGGCGCAGAGTCAACAGAAGTGGTGTTCAGCGGAGGATGCAGCCCTCAACGACCAACAGTGTTCCCGTCAGTACGGCTATTAGCGAGACCTCTGGCTCCGATCCTCAGAACTCAGGATCTCCTGGTCCTCGTCTTGACGCTGGACGCCGCCTCGGAAACTCCCACGCCAGGCTTTCAGCGCAAGCACCGCCCGCAAGCACTCATCTCGCACAACCACAGCATTGCCCCTTTGACCCTCACAACAACCTGATCGACGATCGGGCTCCTATCAACGCTCCGACCACAGCTCCGAGACCTCCTCCCGGATTTCTGGACAACGAACAGCAGTCTCGTGGTGCACCAACCATGCACGATGGTGACCACAATTCTGCTTCATTCGACGCTGGGCCAAACCTCATGGACGAAGATGACGACGACCAGGTCGTCGAACGCCTTCAACCTGCGCTCGCCCCTGCCCGCACCTTCAACACCATGCGGCAGCAAAAGGGCAAGAAGAAGGGTGCCACCACTGGCAACAATACTGCAATGGCAAAAGCTTCCAGCAGCCCGCCGGTGGAGCTCCCGAAACCTGAGCCTCCACCAGCTCCGAAGTCTCGCAAAAGCAAAGACAAACACAAGGAGAACACCACAAACACCACCGCTGAGACCGCCGATGCATCAAATGGTGGCTTGGAGGACGAGCTCAGCGCTCTTGTACAGCAGCTCTCTACCTCATCCGATCTAAGCCTGGCAAGGATCGATGTTCGCTTCGGCATGGTTCTCATCCGCCATGTCAACGACAGAGCTTTCTTCACGGGTGCCATGGAGACTGCAGAGGTCGAGAAGAAGCTGCATGAAGCTGGCGATGCTGTCAGGACCGACTTCTTGGCACGCTTGACCACCTCTACCACGGACGCACGGTATCTGCTGGACTCCTTCTCTGGTGGCGAAGTCGCTGCCAATGTTGTGTATGAGGTTCACCTCAAGAACTCCGAAGGCAGAATACGGGTTCTGCGCGTCGACCAAGCCGCCCAGCAAGATTTTCATGTTCTCGCCACAGAGACTGCACTTGGCACTGCCTACCTTCATTATCCAATCCACGTCTGGGACGCGGAGGTCACCGTCGATATGCCCACCGTCGAAGAATCTTTGACAGAGCCATGCCGCACGATTGTCTCTTCAATGCGTACTCTCGGTCAAGCTCCCTCCTTCACCGCGATGATCCCACTGGAGTCTGGATCGGTCGAGAAGGTGATGGCGAAGCGGGTGTTCACTAAGACCGGTGGTGATGGCGTTGTCCTGAAAGTCACCGAAGTCCAAGACCTCATTTGGGCCCCAACGCTGTCTCCCGACTACAACCTGCAGGCGACGGCTGGGACTTCAGAGGAGATGATCGAGGGGCAGAGGCTGTGGTGGGAGGCGGGTCTTGTGCTGGATGATGTTGGGCCTCAGGCTACGGCAAAGCTGCATGGTGTCATCGATGAGGTGGTCAGCAAGATTGATGGGGTTGGATACAGCAACGTGGGGCCGTGGCAGAGAGGGCCTGAGCCCGAGCCTGAACCACGGCGCGAGAGGTCGATCTGGTAGGATGGTGGTATGTGACGTGTGTCGTGCGTTGCGGATGGGGTGAGATGGTACTGGCTTGTACTTGTTCAAGAAGGGAGGGGGTGATGGAATTGCTGCGATGTCTTCGCTCGCTCAACATTGCTGGTATGAAGTACGAACGCAGAGTAGCAATTGTAGCAAACGCAAGATTAACATGACGAAAGCACTGTTCACTTCAAAGGCAATTCCATTAGGTCTGATGTATCAGTATCATCTATGATTCGATGTCCTGCATCTCTGTCACTTCCGTTGCTGCGATGACCCGTGAGAGTCTGCCACTTCTTCCGTCATCTCGCTCAGAGTTCACTCTCCGCCCGCTCATGCGACGTTGATGGTGCACAAGCTGAGGAATAACGTCACGTCGTTGTCGATGCAGGCGTGGACTTGCTTGTCGCTACACGCAAAAGTCAGCAGATGCAAATGTAAAGCAGCAGGATGAGAAGAGGGTGATGACGTACTACCCAACGCAGCTCTGGCACACGTTCTCGTTCTTGCCGCTCGAGGTGACGTTGAAGTTAGAGTCGGCAAAGGGGTCGCCGGTGAGGTTGTTCACGGCCCTGGAACGTCACCCATGTCAGCAGATGGAAAGGGAGAAGGAAGTGAGGGTGAGGGAGGGGAAGGAGGCGTACCAGTAGATGATCCCGTTATTCGTGCTCGTGCCCAGATCGAGGCGTGGGACCGCTGCACCGAAGTCCGCGGCGACGTTGGCGACGGTGACGGAGTTGCCGGTGCCGTTGATTGCGTACTGGTGGCTGTTAGCACTGCTTCGGAGTCGAGTGAAGGGAGAGAAGTGAAGTCACCTACTTCGTAGGCCTGGCCGGATGGCAAGAGGAACGGGCCATCGACGCCGGTCTGGTTGAGCAGGAGCGTGATGAATTTGCCTTCGGGGCAGTAGTTGCGGATGACTTGGTTGGAGATGGCGGTGACGGTGGTGGCGAGGGCTAGGAGGGGGGTGAGCGTGGGACGCATTTTGTAGGCTGGTGGGTGGAATTGAGTGGTCTGTAGTTGAGCAACGGTGGCGGTTGAGGTGTAATGAGGAGTCAAGGTGGAAGGAAGTAAGGAGAAAAGAAGACTTATAAAGGAAGTCGAAGAGGTCCCGTGACCGCACGGCAAGACCGGCATGGGCATGAGGCAAGAGCAAGCATCATCTGGTGGTACCCGCATTGGCAGGTCCCACCTCTTGTGCAAACGCGCAAGGCAAGAGCGACGGTCGGATTGGTATGTTTCAGGTGCCAGTGTGCCTTGCTGCTGCGAGATTGCGTTGCACATGCACGATCGCGCGAGAGGGTACCTGCATGAGGCGATGCGATTAGCTAGGTATATCATTCTGTCGGATCAGAAGGCGTTTGTACAGTCGACGAAAGGACGCTTTTTTGTATGACTCTGGATCTTGCAAAGGGCACAGTAAATAAGCAACTGGTGATCAGGCGGTTACCTGTGCTGTTGTGCAGAGCCTCAAATAGGGCATACAATTTAGATGAACGGTAGCACGAGTTTCAACAAAGACCACTTCTGCGGAACGCTGTCTGAGGAAACCAGAACATTGTTGGCAATACGTAGGACTTGCTCATAGCTGGCCGCGGAGTATTCATAGGACCCATTGGGCCTCCTTCCAGCATCGCTTGCTATCTCTGTAGCAGTCCTCTGGCAGCCGTAGTACTCGTCGTGCTGCGCCTTGCTGTCTTGTGGCCAACGGGCCGTCGGGAGAGGCCGAGCTTGCAAGTTGCGTGTCTTCGTGGATGGGTCGGATACCGCGAGGTCTGCTCAGCCCTGCTTCGCCTTTGCTGAAGCTTGTGATGCCTCTGTAGGGTAATGTCAGCAATCACACGTCGTGTAATATGTCGCCGGGACGTCGGACTCACCTCGCCTTGTAGCATCCTCCAACAGCGGCGTGTCTACCGCAGCCGCGGGCAGATGAACATATCGCACAACGCTTCCTCTGATGAAGACATTCTTGACCGAGCTCTGTCGTACATCCTGTCAGCACAGCCTCAGATAACCTCCAACATGCCCCTCAGTCTCCCATGCTTTCGCGCGCTTGTGTTATATCTGCCATTCCCTAAGGCCTCACAGATACACCTTTCATTCTTCCAACCTCCAGATCGCGTCGCGCCGGAGTGGTTTCAAGAGTTACTCACCAAATGCGGATACTTCACCTCCTCCACCACCGAAATATCATCCAGCTTGATGTTAAGATACTGATCCACGCTCTTCAACGTCCCGCGGATCGAAATGTCGTTTTTCAGCTCGACCGTGACTTCGTGGTTCACCAGCGTCTTGAAGAAGCTGAAGAACAGCATGATGGGAGGTGAGGTCGAGGGGGTTCAAAGGTCGTTATCGTGGTCGCATGTCTGGTGGTGGGCGCAAAGGTGGTTTGTCCAATTGTGAGAGTTTTGGAGGTTCACGAGCTCGCTGGCAGAAAGCGCTAGTCGCGGTCACGTGCACAGCTACCACCATTGGGAGACGAACGAGATATGACAAGTTTTGGCCAGACGGGTTAAGATTCAATGAGCGTAAGCGGCCAAGTATTACATAAGAGTGGGTATCAAATATACAACCAGCATCAACACAACATTACATCCACTCCCTCCACTCAGGACGTGCTCTTCCTGGCCCAGCCAACCAAGCACCTCCACGCCGCATCCCCCTTCCCGGCCTCCTCCAAAGCCTTCGCCACTCCCTCCAGACATCGCGCCTCGTCGCGTCCCATCTCGCAGTTCAGCTTGAGCATCCACTGCTCCCACATCCGCGCGCCGACGAGACCGGTCATGGCGCGCACGTCTTTGGTGCTGCCGGTGATGGGAGGTTCGTAGGCTGTTACCTCGCCGTTGGGACCGATGGAGCGCTCGGTAGTGCGTTCCTCGCTGATGCGGCCTTCTTTGCCGGCGTCGGTCCAGCGGGGTAGGACTTCTGCGACGGGGAGGATGAGCCAGGCGCGTTTGATGCTCTGGAAGCCTGCGCGTTTGAGACGGGGGAGGAAATTTTTGCCTGACGAGGGGTCGTAGCCGCGGGTCTTGAGATTGAAGGCGAACTCCACACCTAGTGCTTGGGCGGAGCCTTCGGGATGGACCAGCTCAGCGTCGAGGAGGTCGAACTCTAGGAAGCCACCAGGTCGGAGGCATCGCAAGCACTCACGGAGGGTGAGATCCCATTCGTCGGCGCCGTGGCCCTTGGGCCAGGTGGTCTTGAGATAGGCGTAGAGGTTTCGCGCTGAGATGACGTCGAAGTAGTCCGACTCGAACGGTAGCTCCCAGGTCTTTGGTGCGGCCACGACGAAGTGATTTGCTGGACCTTCGAGTGTTGACTCCGCCACGTGGGCTTCGGCGTCCGACGAAACAGTGGTGTAGACAGTGGCAGCAGGATGCTCCATAGCTACGGTCCAAGCCCAGCTGCAGTGCACCTGACCACCAAGGTCGAGGATCCTGACATCTCTGCGACCCCTGAAAGTCTCGACGATAGGGCTGGTAAGCAGCTTGCCACCATTGAGCTCTTTGTGTGCCGACAGATGCCAGGAGGATGTCTGCATTTGCTCCAGAGCTTGTCGCTCACGCTCAGCTCGCTGGATCTGTTCCTTTCTCTCGTCTTCGGTGGCGGCAGGTAAGAACGTTGAAATCGGCCGCTGCGGTGCTGGTCGCTCGATAGTAGTGATCTCATACCGGCCCAGTAGCTGGTCGAGGTGCTGTCTCTGACAACTAGTTCTCTTGACATGTTCTGCCTCAGCTCGGACCTGACGGTGAGTGAAGACATCGCGAGCACGCTGAGATCGCTTCGTGTGGCGCCAGCCTTCCCAGAACGTTCCATCGTGAATGGGTGAGATGCGCTTCTTCTCGACTTGCGGTGACTTCTCTCCGGTGGGATCGATCACTGCATCGGCAAAGCGGACAGATTTCTTGCTCGGTGAAGCTCCAGCAGACACTGGTGATGTCTCTGTCGGCGTCCTAGGCACAGCATCCTCCACGTCCTTGAACGAGTCGACGACGTCGGTATCGGTGTCTTCACATATCGCCTTCATGTAGTCGGTTTGCGCACTCAGCCATAAGTGGGTCCGGTCAATGTGAGCTGATGCATTCTCCTTGATGACCATGTCGTAGGTTTCATCGATCTCATCGACCTCGTCTTCCTCGTGGATGATGTCTTCGGCTGAAAAGGCGACTCGCTTAGCTGTGACTGGATCGCTTTTCGGTTCAGGCGAAGCTGCAGACACGGTGTGCTCGACAGAATCCTCAGGTCGGTCCCTCCATGGCACGCCGTAGAAAGACGTAGCGGTACTCGTGGGCAGCGTGGTTGGCTCTGAATCCCGCCAAGGTACGCCATAGAATTGAGTTGCAATGCTGGTGTTCGGTCCAGGCTCGTTGACTGACCAGGTGTGTCGCGCGATCGAAGAATCCAGAGAAGCAAAGAAGCCCCCAGGTGAAGGAACTGAGAGTGCAGAGAGCTCGTCTTCCGGATCGGCAGTCGCCGGCGGTGTGAGATCTTGGATCTGAAGTCTCATTCTAGCCGTGATCGGTGGCGAGTCGACAATCATCCTCATCTCCTCGACTACTTCCGCAGGCACTTCTATGACGGTTTCGGTCTGCTCAGGAGGTTCTTCAAGGTTTATGTGTTCCAGTAGTGAGATGCTTCGAGGGTCCAGCTGGACAGGCGCATCCCAGGTTTCTGCATTGTCGTTCTGCTGTTCGATGTCCGGAGTCGAAGGACAACTTGACAGGGCCATGTCCTCATCAGTGCTGTCGCCGTCTAAAGACGGTGCCGATGATCCACTTGGCACTCGAAAATCACGAAGCTTCGACAGAACCGAGTAAGGCACGTCCAGCTTGATAGGTGGCGACAAAGGAGTGGCGGCAGACTTCATCTTCTCAATCGTAGGCCACTCACTCGGCGATGGGATGACGAGCGAAGGATACTTGCTTCGAGAAGGCTGCATCCTCTTCTTCACCGAGCTCGACAGGCGGATAGGGAGGTCTCCTTCAGACTCGCTCTCGGTGAGGTCATACAGCTCATCGAAATACTCGCTCTTGCACGTCCTTTTGCTGAAAGTGGAGCTCTGTTCAGACTGCGTATCGGAGCTTGCGGGTGAGACAGGCGCATCTAGGATCGGCCCATATATGTTCGCCCTTGGTGTTGGAAAGTCATCGCTGAAAGGCGATATCACAAAGTGCTTGTCCTGATCGCAAGGCGGTGCACGCTTGATCGATATTTGCGGCTTGTCTTCGATGTAGGTACTGCGTTCCATCGTACGATCCTGCGCAGACGGATGGAAGGTCGATGCTGGAAGTGTACTGGACATTTCGAGCAGGGCTGGAGCGGAGCGAAGGCCGGTGGTATAACTGGTGTTGATGCTGTTTTTAATATCTGTAGACCGGCCAGCGGTGAGAAATAATATGACTTCGATCAACGAAGTGTTTCTGTCGAAAGCAAGAGCAAAAGCAGTAAACTGAAAATGAAAGTGTCGGCACACACACGCAGTCTAATGAATACAGAACCAACAGAAAGGAAGAGTAAGCAGAGGACTAGGCGGCATTGCTCCTTATACCAACCTGCCGAGTATGCACGTAATAGCCATTCCTGGGCGGTTAGCGGATGGCACTTCTGATCGGGCTCCTACATGGCCCGGGCTGGCGGTCCGCTCACACAGCGCAAGACATCTCGAGGTACCTTCGAGGCCTGGTTGGGTCTCACGAAGGCTTCATCTCGTAGGCAGATGGGGCTTGCTGCGAACATGGGCGCGATGAGCGGAGACTGAGCGTTTGGCGTGAGACATGTTTAGAACAGTATGGGCGCGTAGGGAGCCAATGGAAGGCCGCAGACGCCCTGCAACCGCTGGCGAGATCCAAGGAAGCGTCTCGCCTGGTAGACGAGGTCTCGTGACCGCACAGAGTATCCCTGGTGATTCCGCGGCTTCGAGAAGGCGTTCTGTAGAAAGTGGGCGCGATCGTGGTGGTGGAAGTAGAAGGCAGAGTTCCTGGAGTGGTGAGATGAAGTCAAGAAGCCTTGCGTCGTGATTGGCCGGGCAGACCTCGGCATTTTGGCATTAAGCTCCATCTCTTGACTTCAGCAGACGCTCTTCACACTTAACACTCGCCTGTACGCGCTGCCTTCGATTGCCTGCTGTTTGCCTTCGCATCAATACCTTTCCAGTCTTTCGTGCCGTGCCTTGTGCCATCTGGATATCTAGGTAGGGTCCAGGCCAAGCCATTGTGCGAGGTCCAGGCCAGATCCTTGAACAGAGTCGGTATGCCATCTGGCTCGACTGCTGTGTAACGGACATGGCGCTTCGACAAATTCGATGTGACCGCCTGCAGACCTCCGCACCCGCCCCACCGTCGTCACCGTCCGAGCGAGATATCCCTCCTTTCTCCATACTGAAGCGCTCATAAGATGTAACCGCTTGCACCAGATGACATTGACATAGGGCTCTCCGTCGTCGGGACAGGCAATAGCGCTTAGTACTGCTCAGCATCTTTTCTATCAAGCCCAGACCGCCCGTGGTGAGTATGACGCGCATCAGGAGTGCACAAGATGACTTGTAGCGCCGGAGGGATCTCAGGAGTAGCGCAACGCTGAGAAGAACGCCAACATATTGGGTGCGACACGATCCAGAGCGAGGCAGACTCCGCTGTACACTCACGTTGTGGATCAGGACAGCAAGTTGCGATCATGGCCCTTGTATGTGGAAGCCATGAGTAGCCGCTGAGTCGCTCTAGCTTCGAATGCGCGTTCCAGTTTTGTGGAGTCCACTTCTATTTAGCAAACAATAGCGCAGAGTACAACGAATTTTGCAGATTAGGATTTCACGAGGATGTAGCAATTCCAGTACCTGCATATTCATGTGTCCATATGTTAAGCTTCCGTACCATCCCGAAGCATCGCCGTGTGAAGCTCGACGAGCTCCCGGCTGAACGTCACTTCAAGACTTCTACACTTCTTCTAGCTGCGACATACATCCACCATGGCACCAAAAGCCTTCATAGCACCGTCGATACTGTCGGCCGACTTCGCGAACTTGGGCAAAGAATGCTCAAACACGATAGAACGTGGGGCCGACTGGCTTCATATTGACATTATGGACGGACACTTTGTACGAGCGATTGCTCCCATTGACGAACACATGCGGCCCTCTAACAGCCTGACAGGTTCCCAATATCACACTCGGCCACCCGATAGTCACCACAATCCGACCGCATGTCGACCGGCCAAAGGAAGCCAATGGCAAGGGCACCTTTGACTGCCATATGATGGTCAGTGAGGTACGTGATTCAGACACCCAATGTGCCACTGCTTGGTCCACGTCTGACTGGCGCAGTAGCCGAAGAAGTGGGTGAAGGAGTTTCAAAAAGCTGGCTGCGACCTATACTGCTTCCACTACGAAGCCGCCATCGACTCGACCGCAGCAGAGTCGCCAGAGGTCAAGACGGATAAGAAGACAAGCCCAAAAGAGATGATCAAGTATATACACGACCAGAGGATGAGAGCTGGCATTGCGATCAAGCCTGGGACAAACGTGGATGTGTTGTACGACATCTTTGAGAACAGCGACAAGGAGGAAGTACCCGATGTGAGCGGCCACATGTCTCCATGTTCGCTGGGCGTCTACTGATATGTGACAGATGGCACTAGTGATGACTGTCGAGCCAGGCTTTGGCGGGCAGAAGTTCATGGCCGATATGATGCCCAAGGTCCAGGCGCTGCGGAAACGGTATCCGGAGCTCAACATCGAAGTCGACGGAGGCTTGTCAGAGAAGACCGTCGACACTGCTGCGGACGCCGGTGCGAATGTGATTGTTGCTGGCAGCGCCGTGTTCGGTGCGCAGGATCCTGCTCATGTCATTGCTAAGCTTAGGGAGGCTGTTGAGAGTCGGCGGTGACTGCAGGATAGTCGGCTGTGAGCAGAATGCATGCGACAAGTCCTTCTGCGAGCGCCAACGGCATTTGCTCCGCTTTTAGACAGGCACGTTCGCGATTGGCTTATTCCGTCTCGTCCGTCTGTTCTCACGCAAGTGGCGAGCGTTTCATTTCTATCTCTCTTCCGCATCTCAAGGTAAAGAGGAGAGCTGGCCGATCTCGTGAGTCTTCATGCCCGATCTTTTTGCATTCCACAGCAGTTCTATGCACATTCCAGAAAAGTCCATTGTTGGGCAGAGCATAGCAACGAACGACGTCAGCCCACATCGCGGTCGCAAGACGTCGGGCCCAGAGGTCTTAGAAAGACCATGATTGCGCACACAAGGGGACTCTCAGCCCCCCTCTGTCGGCCGAGTCGAGCCGACGCCCATTGATCGACCCTTTGTTCGCCAGCAACAAGTGACCGGAAGCGGACAATGACTTCGACTTCACGACACGTTCTGCTGCACCGTCGCTTCCTCACAAAACTCAAGATCCTCTGAGTCTTGTCGCTAGATCAAGATCAACCTCAATATCCTGGGCATTGAGAATGTCAGACCAAAATCATGGCTTGCGGGCCCTCGAGAGTCAATTGGACCAGGACCTGGACGTCGAAGACACCTCAAGAGTCAGGAGCAGAGAACCACCTTTCCGAAGAAGAAAACCTGCCAGAATCGATGCCTTGGACAGCACTGCAAGAAGCACGTCGGCAGAGAATGCGGGAGTTGAAGGCCTTAGCGAGAAACGACGCAGTTGGTATGCTTTGTTACATTTCGTGACGTACCTTGCACTATTGCTAACAATGAATTCGTAGTCCTGTTGGGAAAGCCTTCTACAAATGCGCGAATGGGTTCACTGGGTGCTGCAGCATGAATCCGTGTAATCCTGGCGAGACCTGTCCTGATCACCGCAGGCATCGCACCAAGACAAAGGAGGTGAAGAGTACAACGACCGTGATATCGACGATCACAAGTTCTACTACTTTGGCGACTACCGATGCCTCCCAGACTTCTCCTACACTAACTCTGAAGACACCGACTCGTACGTCAGCGCCGCAGACATCGACAACGCCCATGGAAACTTCTGCAACCAGCAAGCCGACTACAGCCTCATCGACCGATTCGCCTTCTGCCCCATCGCCGCCAGCATGCCCGGCCGGCAATGGCAGTACCTTTGCAGACAGCTCGAAGACTGAGTATCTCATCCACTGCAACATGGAAAGCACGTTCAAGACGAGTAAATCGATCAAAATAAAGGCCGGAGGATATGCAGAGTGCTTCTCTGCATGTTCGCATTCCGAGAAGTGTGCAGGCTTTTCCTACAAGGGCACTGAAAGGGGGACGTGCCATCTCAAGTCTCAAATGCCCGAGAACATGTATGTGGTGGAGGGCAGTAACTTTGTCTCATGTGCAAAGACCAACTCGACGGCGGCAGCACCAGGAGCTACAGAAGCAGCCAGCAGCAGTTCAAGCCACACCAACCGCACGATCATCATCGTCGGCAGTGTGCTAGGAGGCATAGGCTTTCTCGTCATCCTCCTAGTCCTCTTCGCTTTCTTCGCCAAACGCCACCGCAAGAAAATCGAGAACCGCCGCGCAACCACCACCCACGTCATCCAAGGTCCCTTCGAAAGCGAGCAGCTCAACTCCGCCGGCTATCAGAGGCAGGAGAGCTCAGCGAACGATGTCTTCGCGCCCTTTGGAGGTTCGTACCAGTCCCCGCCTCCAATGCACACGCGCCAGCGCTCCATCTATCGAGACCAGCAGTGGGTCTGACTAGGTATGTGAAACAGGCTTCTATCACAGCGGCAGCAAGAGCTGTTCTGATCTCGCTGAGCAGGCAGACGTAACCGTGGCGAACAAGTGGACAGGCAGCACGCCGCCTGGGATGAGGGCTGAGGGTGGGTTCGAGTTGCTGAACGTCGGTTACCTGCCGTCGCCGAAGCAGCATGTGGGCAATCTTGCGATGCCGGACCCTGCAGCATTCAGGCCTAGGTCGACGGACTCGGGCTCGAGGTCTCCGAGATTCCATGAGCATCTGGATGACTACGATACTCGACTCGATCCTCCTTCGACGGTTATGATGAACGCCTCGCCTGCGAACGACTCTCCGACGCTTGGACGGCTTCGGACACCTGTCCCTGCTTCGCCGCTGGCAGATCACGTCCGGCGACAGCAGTTTCTGGCTTACCAGACTCCACCAGTGCATAACGGAGCACACTACAATGCAGGCTCGAGCTTCGAGAGAGATGCTGTATCGAACGAGGCTTACTCTGGCCGAAGCACGAGCCCAGTGAGCCCGGTATCAAACAATGACCCTGTGGACCCCGACTTCAGCGTCTCGCCTTTGTTCGGCTCGAATGGCCGCCAGCGGTGGTAACGAAAAGATTGAAAGGCCGTTCATGGATTTGTCGGCGTCTGCTAAGCACTTATATACCTTGGAGTCTAAGCTACTGCTAACTCGCTCTGAGCGGGCCACCAGCCTCCAAGCAGTGCTAGTCTTTCGAACCTTGCCTGCTTCTCCTCCTCGATCACGGCCAACTCTTGTTTGAACTGCCGAAGGAATCCGTACTGGCGGGATGACTCGAAGGGTGCCCTGGCCTGAGCTGTGGAGTGTTGTCCAACAGTCTTGTATTAGGCCGAGAGTCGAATGCTATGGCTTAGTGGGACGCTCGCGATTAGTCAGAATGTAGATCGTAGAACATGATCATACCACCTAACCTCCATCTTCCTCGCCCTCAATCTGCTCCCCTGACCACCATAGCGTTGGTCCCAGCCCGGAAAGCATCATACTCCCTCTGACCAGGTAGGGCGTCTTCTTCTTTTCGCCTTCGGTCTGCGCATCCTCTGCAATGAATTGACCGCCAGGACTCTTGGTCTGGGGCGACATGTCAACCCACTGCTCCTCCTCCACCCGGAAGAGGCAGCTCTCCGCTCGATCAAAGAAGTACTCGTTGTCGTTCGTGTTCCAGATGAAGGCCTCAACACCCTGGTCGTCAACACCCCACGCGGTGCCGTCGAACAGCGTCTCAGGCGGCACCACAATATCCTCAAAGAAGTCCTGGGAAAGGTAGACGCCAGCACGTGGATTCGAGTGAGTGATGGTGCCGTGAACGATCTCGCCTTTGAACGGCCTGTAGACAATAAGGCGGAAGTCGACGTTGACGGCTACATGGCCTGATCCAGATGCGATTTTGCCTTCTGAGCATTTGATGATTGAGTGAAAGCCGACGCAGAGGCCTACTTCGAAGATGACCTTATCGGCGAATTTCGCGTTGATGAGGTCCTCGATTGCACGCGCTGGGGGTTTCTCGAGGTCTTGGGGTGGGATCTCGACCAAGTCTGCGAGGGCGACCTTGATCTCTGTTAGATGTGGTTTATTGAGTGAGCTTGAGGGGGGCGTACGAGGAGATACATCTTGTGAAGGACGTTAGTTGGAGATTCTCAGGACTGGATCACTCATGTCATCGATGAAGTTGTGGTTGGGCAGAGTCTTCGATCATGCTGTGGTTACTGTCTTTTCACGTAAAAAGAGGTTTGTGTAGCTGTTGGGAGTGAGCAAATTGCCTTCATCGAATTTGTTCAATATCTCGAGTCACGAGTTTTCGGCTTAGTCAGCGCCATCCTCTTTCCACCGTCAGACATTGAAGTGCCCTTCTCCTCATTCACGTGTACTACAAATGTGAGGATACTACTTCTGTGACGTCAGGAGACTCATGTTGTTTCGCGAGAGCCTGGACAGCAGCGTTTGTGTGACAAGATGAGTAGTGGATTCACCTTTCCTCCGCCTCCGCCGCCGCCTCCGAAGCCATCTCAACCACAACAACAGTACGGAGGACCGGACCGTGGCGGTGGCAGGGGCCGAGGTGGTTCTCGAGGTGAATTCAACCAACGTGGGAGAGGCCACAGCGGTGGCCGTGGGAACAGCTATTCTAATGGCTCTTTGGATCAACCCAACGGCAGAGACTGGAGAGGCAACCAGTATCAGAACCCATCTCAGGCAAACGGCTACCCTCGCTCCCAGCAATATGATCAGAGCAGCAGCTCTGGCTTCCCTGGACGAGGCTCAGGTGTCGGCAATGGGAACACCAGAGCTGGAGGCAACTACGGCCCCAATGGAGCGCACGCAGGCTCGCCATCACGAAGTGCAGCAGGTCACAAAAGAAAACTGGACGCGTTAAGAGGACCCGCAGATGAAAGGGTGAAGGTACCAGGCCCGAAGCCCGCGCCGGCGGTGCCCAGCTTTGGTGGCCCGATCTTGCCCCCGAGGCCTGCCCATGCTGCAGATGGACGTGCTACAGCTGGTGTAACGTCAAGGCCAGCGGTACGAGGCCTCGGCCTTGTCCCAGCTGCTGACGACGTCGTCTACGAGGAATCAGACAGTGAGGAGGAGAAGGATGTAGACGAGGAAGCCCTGTACGCGGAACTGGGCGACAAGCTGACATTCGAGCACAACGGCGTGGTCATGTCACTAACATCGCAAGCCGACCTTGAAGCATGGAGGAAGGAGAGGCAGAAGAACTGGCCGACTACCGATCGGATGTCTGCAAAGGAAGAAGACAGGAGGCGAATCGGGGTGGAGAGGAGAAGATTGCTGGCAGGTGCCGAAGTATTGCAGCGGTCATCGCAGCGCGGAAGCTCGAAGTCTAAAGCGAAGCATCTCAGTCATGACTCGGCGCCCGGCAATGATGGTTCCAGGAAGGAGCCAGACAACACTGCCCGTCGCCCGAAGCACGACAGCGAAGCTATGTCGGTCACTGGTCTCGCACCCGCCCCGCAGCAAGCCAATGCTGGGTCCGAAACCAGTGAAGCTAAAGATTCTGCTGAGCGGCGGAAGAATGATCGTGCAGAGCAATTAGCGGCGTTGCGGAGAAAGGTCGCCGAGAGCGAAGAGACCAATCGTTTGGCAAGGGCTCGCATTGAGGGTCTTCAGCAGGCTGCATCTGCCAGAGAACCTGGCATTAGCGCGGCAGAGGAACAGACGTCGGAGACTGCAGAGGTGCTGGATGGGGAAGCTGAACAGAGCATTGCTGAAGCTGAGAATGCCATCCCTGGAGCGGATGAAAGCCACGAAGCTGCCAATCACAGCTCCGCCGACTTGTCTTCAGGTGTCAGCTCGAGCACATCTGAGGATCCAGAGGCAGATTCCGACGATGACGCGCCAGAGGAAGTGACCTCAAAAGCTCCTATTGCAACGACCCCGGCCCACGAAGCGCCCATATGCAGATACTTCGCAGCAAGTGGCTACTGCCGAGATGGTGATACTTGTGCGTATAGGCACGTGCAGCGACCGGAACGTGCTGCCCAGCAGGAGAAGAGAAAGGAGAAGAAGCCATCGTCACCGGGCCTGCGGCCGGAAAAGATGACGATCTTTCAGCGGCTTGTCGAGCAGGAGCAGGCGGAAGCTGATCGCCTGGCGTTGCAGGTCATCAAGTATTTGGGCAGCGCTGGGCTGTTCAAGCAAGAGCTGTCTGCAGACTGAGGGGTCTATCCGATTCGAACATGACTAACACCAAAATCGATGGACATCCCCAATCTGGAAGGGCTACCCGAACAACGAACTTGTATAATATAGAAGGCATCACGAGCACAGTCGTACCTGCCAAACGCATGCCAATTGCCGCAGGAGCCCACACTGGGCGGGAAATTAACGGCGGACCATGTGGCGAGCGCGCTAGTGAGCTTGCAGGTTGCTGAAGTGAAGGCTTGCTTCGGAGAAGGCGTGAGATATTTGCTGCAAAGCTCACACAAAAACGCACTTGTTCTCCGCCAGGAATCTCACTTAACGCCTCACCTTGCGCAAGAGACATGCAGGTAAGTCTCGTGGCCTTCGCTTAGCGCCGTTCTGAGCCTCTCTGAGCATAAAACCTGCGTCCGCCGCCTACAGGTTTTCTCTTTCTTACTCCAACCTTTCTACACACCAAAGCACCACAAAGGTTCCTCTATCAGCAACACAACTTCTATCTCTGACACAACCAGTCCTTTGCAAAAACAAGTAAGTGTCCGCCATGCCTTGTTCCGCACCTTTGCATTCTCCGCAACCTCACTGACCTTCCCACCTTCAGCTCAACACACCAACACCCCACTCAGCAAAATGCCTCCCAAAGCTGCCGAAGGCGCCAAAGGCGAAAACAAGTCCTTCTCAACCGAGGACATGGCAGCACTCCTCGCCGCAATGGCTTCCGACGGCAGCAGCGCCCCTGGTGCGAAGCATTACCAAATCATGAATAAGATCAAGAACTCGAAGTCCGCCTCTGCCTGGGAGCATACGTTCCGGCCCATCAAGAAGCGCGCGAAGGAGCTGGGTGATCAGATCAAGGCTGGAGACTTCGGAGACTTCGCTACCGCTACGCCGAGCAAGGACTCCGCAGCTGGGGGCGAGAAGAAGAAGACGCCGGCGAAGCGTGGTAAGTCGTTCATTACACTCATCCTTTGAAACGGCCGCTAACCTCCACGACAGGCCGTAAGGCGAAAGCTGAGGCTGACGATGAGGAGTCGCCTACCAAGAAGGTCAAGAAGGAGGACTCAGAGGCCGACGCTGAGGGTGAAGAGGACTCTGTCTAAGGCGGTGCTTCACGACCTCGCACATGTGGCTTCTGACCATGAAGATACTTCTATCTCAGACTGCGTTTGCATTGCATCGCGGTCGTTTGGGTCACTGGCTGCGGGATCTGAGTTATTGGCAGCGTTGTAGCCCTGCTGGGCTGCTGATACTGGTATGGCTGCTTAAGAAACACGAAGTTTTGTGGCGATAGCATACAACGAGAGCAGTCTAGGAAATCAATGTCACTTTTCACATCTTCTTCGAATGTATCTGCTATTTGGCTCGTTGAAGTGAAGTGAGGTCGCGCTTCGTGCACGGGCCACACATCCGACCTCATCTCCAAGCAACCACACCCAACTTCCAACTCTCGTTCGTGGCCATTGGCTCTCACAACCACCATGCAGTCCTTTCAAAGAGCCACAGCGCGCTCAGCGCGAACCATACGACCGCGCCCACAACAACAATCCCGCCGTCACGCCTCGGGCGGCGACACCTTCGGCGGCACCACTAAGAACGAGAACCTGGGTGTACGACCTCCCCTCACCTCCCCATAGCCGGCCGATCGACTAACAGAAACATACAGCCCGGCTTCTACGTCACTCTCGCCGCCTTCCCAGCCTCCTTCGCCATCTTCAAGCTCACACAGGGCGACGACGCGGTCTTCACCCGCTGGATCCGAGACACTTATAACAGCTACGCAGTGAAGTGGGCGCAGCGGAATGATCTGCACGTGCAGGCGCTTGAGCAGGCGGCGGCAGATAAGGTGTTGTTTCTGAACGAGAGCGTGAGGGGGCCGCATCGGCATGTTGAGTTGAGGTTTCCTGAGTATGTCTACTCCCCTCCATACGAGATTGGGGCATGGCGGAGGAATGCAAACTAAAGGTGTGGATGGAGAAGCTAACATGGTCATGTTCGCAGACAACTCAACATGGGCTCGCCCTGGAACGTCTCAGCCGGCCACGGGGGCGCGAACATTGACGAAGCGATTGCGAAGTTCCAGAAGGACAACTACGAGGCGCAAGAGAGGAAGATGCAGCAGGTCAGGGAGAACAAGGTGCCCAAGGAGCAGCCATTTACAACACTGGCTGGGTCGAATGCCAAGGCACCTGCGGTAAACTCGGCGACACCTGCGGGTGACTAGACGGGTTGGTATGGAAGAAAGATATACAGTGTACAGATGTTTCACCAGAATGTGCCATTGCGCAAAAGTGGCTGCTTCAGCTTGCGCCCGGTAAGCAATGCGTGGTGTGCTAATGCTATTTCCTCCAGAGCGTTGATAAAGCTAGAGCACTGACACATAAGCGGCCCATACCATGGCCTGGATCACACCTACAAGTTCTGAGGACAGGTAGCAGTCGAACTTCGAAGCTCTCACATCTGGCGTGGCAGCGGAAACCGATCCGAAACAGCAGTGGAATGGTAAAGTACGCATGCCTGGACAAAAGTTGTCGACACCTTTTGCTCCGCTGGCTGTTCCTTGACCGTGGAGTATTTTGGCAAGCTTGCAGCCATCACTGGTCATTTTCTCGAAGAACCAATTGCGTGAGATTTCTTTCCTGCCTAACTAACACCCCTGCACTACGAAAGACTTCTCGCCAAAGGCATGGCTATGAATGACTGTGTTCCACGGAAGCGACAACATCGTGTACGGGTAAGTCTTGGATTTTCGATCTGAGAGCTCCCGATACAGTTTTGACGCTGCGTCATGTTGCAGAGCTCAAAGCGGAGACGTCCCCGTCAAAGACTCAAAAGCAAAAGCCTGAACATTCACCTACAGTCGAAGTGTATACTACTTCAGTTGTTCTACTAATTCCTCCGGGCTCTCCGATCGCAGACACAATGGCCCCTCCACGCAAAGCTCTCATCGCGGTCACCTCAGCACACGCTCCGCTATATCCGGATGGCAAGGAAACAGGAATGTTCGTAACGGAGGCCCTTCATCCCTTCAACGTCTTCCGCAAGGCCGGATTCGAAGTCGACCTCGCTTCTGAGACCGGTACCTACCAAGCAGACTGGCTATCGCAGCAGAAAGACTGGCTTCCAGAAGAGGACCGGAAAGTCTGGGAGGATCCATCGAGCGACTTTCGCAAGAAGCTGGATGCTCATCTGAAGCCTGGGGATATTGAGGCTCATGAAGTATGTTCGTCCATGCTATGGGTAAGACGAAGGGCTGATGTGCGTCTGTTCAGTACGGCATCTTCTTCGCCTCAGCCGGCCACGCATCCTTGATCGACTACCCGGATGCCAAGGGTCTTCAGAACATTGCTTCGACGATGTTTACGGATGGGAGCATCGTCTCTGCAGTGTAAGAGCCGTTGTCGTTATCATCGGCGCTTTGGTTGCTGACCCTTGCAGTTGCCACGGCGGAGCCATCTTCCCAGGCATCATCAACCCCAAGACCGGCAAATCTATCATCAACGGTAGAACCGTAACCGGCTTCACGACAAAGGGCGAGGAGGAAGAGGGCGTGCTGGATACGATCAAGAGCTGGAAAAAGCCGACCATTGAGGCTGCTGCTGCTGATGCGGGCGCTAAATGTACTTGATCTTCAATTGTTCATGGTGCAGAGAGGGATGCTAATATGTTGTGCAGACGTCAGCCCACCCGGTCCTTGGGACTCATTCACTCAGACCGACGGTACAATTGTCACTGGCGCGAATCCAGCTTCAGCGCATGCGACTGCTGAGGCGTGTGTCGAGGCTTTTAACAAGCTGTGAAGAAGCAATTATTTTACGCAGGTGCGAATAGAATACTCTCTCTCGAAAGACCGTCTTCCTTCGCCACAACTCATCTCGAGTCCTAAGGTCTGGTAGCTTAGTTGGTTCAAGTGATGCCGCGAACGTGCTTGCGCTAAGAGCTGACCGATGGCGTGGCTAAGATCTTGTGATTTAGACTGCCGCAAGTTCGGGAACGAAGAGAGTGGGGAGCAATGCGTGCTCGCTGTAAGTCACTGGTTCACAGCCGTGATAAAGCTGCACTTGGAAGGTGCACAACCTTCCATTGTGATTCAATTCCAATGCCCAATATGCGGACCACGTCATCATGGCCTCCGTTGATCTTTTGCACGTCGGCTATGGCGAAGACGCCGTTGTTGGCCACGTCTTGGAGCAGGTCGACGACGCTTTGGAATGTTCCTTGTGTTCCCAGTGCCTAGAGGGGGAGTGTTAGCGGGAGCTAAATCTGTTCGGGGAAATACGGGGGGGTTGGATGTACGTCGTCAGCATTCCTCATCGCGTCGGAGCAGCCATTCGCGTCGCATACGATGGCCGCGCAGCCGCTGCCGTCGGTGCTACAGATCAGCTGGTCGAGGGTCTTCTTATGGATCAGTTCGTCCAGTTCGAAGTTCGAGCGGTGGCGGCGTCCAATTTGAGCTCGTCGTTGGTGGGATTGAGAGGGCTGCTACATGTTCGTTTGTTTCCCGGTTAGCGATCGCGCTTGGTTGTTGGAGCAGAGATGAGAGGACGGGGCTTGAGTGCGTTCTTGATGTCGTCCCGGGTAAGCAAGGATATCGGGCCGGGTGTAGAGGTGGCGATGGGGCCAACGTGGAGGACGCGGCCGGATTGCGTCGCGCGAGTGGGTTTGTTGAGGCGTAGGAAGCGACGATCGCGATGCAAGCGGCAGATGCTGCGAATTTCATTGTGGGTGTGGAAGGTGATGGACGGAGCTGGTGGAGAGTCTGCTGATTTGACGATGCAATGAGTGACGTAAGAAACAAGAGAATACAGAGGAAACAAGGAAAATATGCGCTGCTGCTTTGGTGGAGATAGTAGCTGTGGTGTTGTTGAAGGGAGATGGCTTATAGTGGGATTAACCAGACTTTACACCACCGGTGATCTCGAGCATGGAGGCTTAGCTTCTCTTTGTTACATACAATCTCGGTCGTGGCTGCTGGACAACGGCCGAGACCATCTTGGTGCTGCCAAAAGACGCTGAATATAGGACGTTCGACCATGCGTGAGGTCGGAATCTTAGGCTTGGCACGGTAGCGCTGACTACTGGGCGTGCTTAAGAGCGCCCTCAAAAGTGCTTGAGTCTTGCAGGACCAGAGTTACCGATCCTCTCTTTCGGATTGTACAACTCTCGCGTTAAACTGTCGCAGTCTTTGACCAGCACGACTGGGACAAGCATGCATGACCAGCTGAGCCCAGCGGCACACCAACCTTTTGCCGGTGGCTGGTCTTATCCTGTATTAACGTCGGCGCCTGAGAGCTTTGTGACGATGCAAGCAACGTTCGTCCGTGAGCATGAAGTTTGCATGCGCTGGTACGCAGCGCAACGTCCATCGGTGCAGCAAGAAGCTGAGTCGATGCATCCGTCATACGGTCCCGGCAGTAGTCATTTTCCCTTGTCGCGCAACCCACTTCCTCACTCCCACCCACGCATCACCCTTACTCTCCACTCCACCCAACTCAGGCCCAACCTCGAACACTGTGGCCACACCATCGAGACCCCCAACAGCTACATTCCTTCCTTGATTCTTCTCCCAAGCCATCTTGTTCAGACTACGCAGTGCATACAAATCCTTCTCCTGATGGCTGGGTCGAGCGCTGGCGACTGGTATCTCGGATGAAGCGTTGATGTCGTAGATATCCAGCTTGCCGGCGCCGTCTACGCAGCCGAAGATACTAGGTTTGGTTGGCGACCAGCGGGCGTCGTAGACTGCGTCTTCTCGCGGGATTGATAAGAGGGGAGTTACGGCTTCGGACTGGCCGAATATCGTGGCTGCGGAAGTGGATGAAGGTGGCTGTGCCCGCCAGACCTTCACACTCCAGTCGAGGCCGCAACTCAAGAACATGTCGCCTAAGTCGATTTTACCGCGCGCTGGATGGAAGTCGACACCCATAACAGGCGCTTCATGAGAGCGGTACTGACAACGCGCATCCACGCCTGCCTTGGCGCCAGCGCGGTCGTAGCGGTGGACAGGCATGATGGCGCCTTGCTCGGTACCAGCGAGGAAGTAGGTAGGGTCGCTGGCCGGGAAAGAGATACACGTCGGTGCTACATCGTCGGTCTTGTAGGCGCTGGGATTTGGAGACTTCAGTTCGAGGTATTCTTGCGGCTGGGTCAGCATGTCCGGCGACCAGGCGCAGACGACGCCATCGGTCGATACTGAAATGACAGAGCTGGCGTTCTGGGTGCCGACCACAGCTAGTGAGTAGATGGGGTGGGCATGCCCGGTGCGACCTCCAGTGAGTGGTGTCTTCTGGACTGGCTCGCCGGTACGTTGATGGCGAGTCCGCGTATCCCAAAGACAGAGCTGGCCGGAGTATGTGCCGCCAAGAATTAATGATGGATGGTAAGGGTGGAAGAGGCAGGATAACAGGTCAGAGGTGGCGTGGAGACTGTACTCTGGCCGACCCTTGAGATGCATGTTCCAGACGTTCAGTAAGCCAGGAGGCGAGTGCGGTGACTGCTGCGATTTCGTGTACGCTGTACAAAGTAGCTCAGGAAACTTTGGACTGAAGTCAATGGAAGACAGCATTCGCTTCCGACCCATACTGTCTGCCAGATCGAACGAAGCCACCTCTTTGATTCGCCTGCCTCTTCGATGCCCAGCATAGTCGTCAGCATCATCGTCCAGTGCACGTGATTGCAAGGCGTAGTCGGCCAGCAAGTCATATTCTTCATCCAATGCCCGCTCGATGACCTTACTGCTCCTGTCCACGAAATCCAGAAAGTCGTTGCTGTTCGTGACCGCATTCAGCTCTTCAGGAGCGAGAGCGCGCACAGGAAACCGTTGCTTGTCGTCTGCTGTATGCTCGTGCAGCTGCAATGCCCGCAGCTCCTCTTCCACTTCCGCTCTTAACTTTTGCCGGATCTGCTCCTCTTCCAATTCCACCTCCCGCTGGCTCAGATTACGCCTTCTCCGCCTCTCCGTCCCGTCAAGCTCTGCACCATGCTGCTCTCCAATTTCACCGGGCGAGGGCGATCGCCGTGGCTCAGTCTGCACGCCTTTGCTGTAGCTAATGTACTCGGGCTTCGTCTCCACCGGGATCTCGTAGACCGTAGTCGACTCCGCGAAGCTCAGAGTCTGCGTATCGGTGCTGGCATCCTGGTACGTCCGCGCGGGCTGTGGTGTGCTCTCTGCCCCTGCCCGAGATTGTGTTTCGTCCGCGCCGCTGCTTCTCTTGCCTGACTTGGGCGTGCCTGGGGCTGTGGAGCTCGGTCGATCTACCAGACGAGCTACCAAGTCGTCTAGATCATCGCCTCCAAGGTTTGTACTCCGGCCACGAAGAGGTGACGCTTGGGCGAGTTGTGCTGGATCGCTGATGCTCTGCCGATTGCTGACCTCCTTCCTCTTGAGCTCGTTCTGGCGCTTCAACTCTGCCAGACGCGCCTTCTTTGCCAGGAGTTCATCCTTCAGCGCCTGTACCGACGACATCTTCTGCAATATCACGTAGACCCTTTCGGTGGTGTTGTCTCATTCAAGCTTGAAGTCGGATCTCCAACGCGTGGTTGGCTCGCGGTCACGTGTCTGCCGGAGGGAAATCGCCGGCTTCTTCCGAGAGGAAGAGAGAGCTCCCAACCACGTCCATTGAAGAAAGCTCCGACTGCTAGCAAAAGTGCTTGTGAGATACTCCTGTCCAGGACCACAGCGCCGCCGACTTCAAGAAGCCACAAATTTTATACTACCTGATCCGCGAACGCAAGACCGAGTGATGGCCACCACGGGGGTGAATGTAGGTTCACGCATCCCTTTCAGCGCCGGCCAACGAACCTGCGAGAGGCCATTGGCGCGCGGTACATGTTCTCAAGAGACACTTATGCTAATATCGTGTTTTTCCAGGTCCTCCGCTGGGGCGCGCTGGCATTCGGTGTCTTCTACGGCTTCTCACACCAATCCTCCATCCGATCATCCGACCGCAAAGCGGCCGCGCAGCACGAATGGGACCAGAAGACGAAGATGATTGAGGATGCGAGGAAAGCGTACGCGGACAAGAAGAACCCTCCAAAGCAAGGAGGTAAGATATCCCACGACGACTGCAACATGGTGGCATAAGCAAAGCGCAGACCCGCGCAAAAGACGGCACCGTAGAGCCAGCTACAGAGCGCGCTGGGAGACCAAGCCGAATGGATGCTAATTGGTGTGTGAAAACAGTGATATCCGATCCCGACGACCCGAAGTTCGACCTGGAAAAGTACTTGACAGATGTTGCTCAGCGGAACCCGCAATGATCGCAGGAGGGTGATATGGCAGAAATGGCCACAAAGAGCGGGAATTGTCTGGAGCCACGACTCCTGCGTGCGACAGACATACTTCCGTGGGGATGAGAGGGTCGAGCTAAGTGGCGTGGCGGAGGCGGGCCTACTGGACTACCTGAGGATACAGGGTAGCGCTGGGCGACCTTTGTATATACAATGTATACTATCGCGAACTCGACACTGAACGGAACGTGACCACTCCATCAGCAGCGAACCGTTTATGTAGAACATAGGTAAGGAAGCGGTACGTTCGCGACTGGACAGGCGGGACGGTGGTCGGTTCGTGTCATAGGCTTGGCTTCGACTTCACCTCAACTTTGGAGGCTTTGACCTTCCATCTGGCGCAACATGACTCTCACGACAGCACATTTCGTATACTATGCTAAGTACATAAAATCTCACATACGCAAGCAGGGGAGCAGTACTTCCTATGCCTGGCCAAACACTCGCTCCCCACACTCATGGCCGGCACCAATGCGGAGGTCCGTCGGCAGTTGACTTGCAGCCTGTAGATGGCCAAGGTAGGAGGTAATGATACAGTCAGCCCTCTCATTGCGCTCTAGCTCCGAGTCTCTTGCTTCCCTTCTACATTGCACTTTGTTTGACTTGCCCAGCATTCCGAGGACGCCAGCATTCTGCCCATCATGGCGAACACAACGACAATCTCGCACCCGGCCATCGGCAATGTCACGGCCAGCACAGCCAAAGACGGAGTCGTCCAAGTCTTAGGTGTACAATACGCGACACTAAAAGACCGCTTCTCGCCACCAGTCTTGAAGGAGTACAGTTCTAGTCAGAATGTTGACGGCACAAAGCTCGGGTCCGCCCTGCCACCCTCTATAGTAAAGCATATCTGCTGACTTCCTATGTGCAGACCCCAAGTCCTCTCAATAGCCCCCAATGCCGACCCAGAGTTCGGCCTGATCCAGCAATCCCTCGACTACGACCGCTCAGCTTTTACGCAATCAGATACTGAGGGTCTATGCCTGAACGTTACCATTCCCGCCGGGTCAAACGGCTCGGTCGACGAGAATGCCAATCTGCCGGTGTTTGTCTTCATTCACGGCGGCGGTCTGAACGTCGGTTCTGGGATGTATCCGCAGTATGATATGGCGCGGTTCGTGCAACTGAGTTTGCAAGAGGGAAAGCCGTGTGTTGCTGTTAGTCTGAAGTACGTACCCCTTCACATGAACCAAGACGTATAGTGTTGACCAAAGATGTCAAGCTACCGCCTCGGAGCACCAGGATTCCTCACCTCCTCCGACATGCGTGCGGCCGGCTACAAGCCCAACAACGGCCTCCGGGACCAGAGAACAGCACTACTGTGGCTGCACAAGCATCTTCCAGGCTTCGGCGGCGATGTATCAAACATCACGCTCATGGGCCAGAGCGCCGGAGGTCTGTCCGTCAACTACCATCTCTTCTCCAAGGAACCGCTCTTCAAACGCACGATAGCCGTGGGCGGGACCATGCTCCTCATGCCGCCCATCCCTGCCGCCGAAGCAGACGAGAACTTCGCCAGCACCATCAAATCCCTCGGTCTCGCAGGAGACACCGCGGTCAAGCACCTCCTAGAAATGGACGGCCAGGAACTCACGGGGAAAATGATGCAAGCCGGCGCTAAATGCGTCCCCGTCCTCGACGACGACATCTGTCCCACCGAATTCAACTTCGCAAGCATAGAGAACGACAAAACCCCCATCCCAGGCCATGAATGGTGCGAAGCTGCTCTCCTCGGCGACTGCCAATTCGACGGCAACATCCAGTTCCTCCGCCTCGTGCACCGCAAAAAGGGCATAGCATCCGCCTTCTGCTCATCCCTCACCTCAAGCCTCTCATCGCATCCGGGCTTATCCGACCGACTCCTCTCCGCATACGACCTCCACCCCGACCTCGACGACGACGAAGCCTTCATCAAGGTTTTGGAGGTAGCGAATGATCTGAACTTCTACGTCCCCACGCTCTCCCTTTCGCAAAATTTGGCGAAGCATATGAAAACTTATATGTACCGCTTCAACGAGCCGAATCCGTGGGAAGGGCAGTGGAAGGGTCATGCGAGCCATATTCTGGATCTGGCGTTTTTGCTGCAGAATTTCAACGAGTACTTGGGTGAGGAGCAGAAGGGGACGGCGGTGCGGTTTGCGAAGGATGTGGTTGCTTTTCTTCATAGAGAGTCTCCGTGGGAGGGGAGTGGGAAGGCTAAGGTGTTGGGGCCGCAGGGAAAGATGGAGGTGGTGGAGGATGTGCCGGGGCAGGTCGGAAGAAGGAGTATAATGCTTGATTTGGGGAAGGACGTTGGGTTGGATGTGTTGGATGATGCTTTCAATGGTTTTATGCATGCGCCTCCGGCGGTTTAGAAAGATGAAGATATGTACAAGTCATCACTTCCAAGTCATCACTTTCCCCTCCCAAGCACCGCCCTCAAGACCCTTAGTAAAGCAGCATTAGCATCCTCCCTCATCCCCCAACTCCGCCAAGCAACCGTTCGATCCGGCCTCAACAACACACATCCATCCTCCTCCACCTCCCTCCGCCTCGCCCAATCCCCATAAACGTCCTCCCAATCCTGTTTCCACCCGATACTATACGCATTCATCTCCACCCCTAGATACCGACTCGCTTCATACGCCGCTTGCTTCCACTTCTCCCCTCCAGGTCCGGTGAGGAGGCAGAACGCTTTGTGGCCGGCTAGATCGATCGTACTGATCGGCTCGACCGGTATCCGCGTGTTGAGCCATGCGTGTGGGCAGCGGGAGCCGGGGTACGTCGTTATCTGGTACTCGAGCACTGGATCTTCCGGCGGGGCGGGGCGTGGGGCTTTCTCGTCGGCGGTGTAGATGGCGGAAGAGGAGTACCATTGGTTCATCTCCTGTCCTACGCCCCCGAATTCATGTTCAGTGTACTTGACAGCTTCGAGCAGCTGCTTCCGCCGTTTACGTCCGGCTTCTGTTGGTTCGGAGAGCTCGCCGTGTTGGCGTTTCCGCTCTTCGATGTCTTCTGGTAAGACGCCTAGGGCTTCGAAGACGGGGACGTGGTCGCGCAGGCCTTGGTTCGCGCGGCGGATCACGCCTTCGCCGATGGGTTGGCGCTCAGCGCTGAAGGAGTCGAGGAGACTGGAGTCCGCGAGGCCGCGCTCTACGTAGGCAATTTTCCAGGCCAAATTATAAGCGTCTTGCACGCAGGTGTTGGAGCCGAGACCGTTGAAGGGTGGGTGGCGGTGCACTGCGTCGCCTAGACAGAAGATGTTGCCGTCGCTGTATTTCTCGGCGACGATCTCGTTGATGTACCATTTCGCCACGTCTAGGATTTTGACGGGGACGCTGTCGTCGCCGATCATCTCGCGGATGCGCTTGAGGTATTGTTCGTTGGAGGGCCGGACTCTGAGGTCGGAGAAGCCGGGTTGCGGCATCATGATGAACATCCATTCGTTCCAGGCCTTCACCATACGCGTGAGAGCGCCCCAGGCCCAGGGTTCGTACTCGATGTCTGGGGTGAAGACCCAATGCAAGTTGCCAGTCCGGTACTTGATATGCTTGCTCAGATCCGTCTCGACCAGTACATTAATCGCCAGCCCCTGCCCCGGTTCCTTCTTCAACGGAATGTCCAGTTGCTTCATCACTGGACTCTGCGCTCCATCACAGCCAAACAGATACTTCGACCGGATCTTATACTCCCGCCCCGTAAGCGTGTCCTGAATCGTCGACGTGATCCTCCCAAACTTCCCATCCCGTTCAAACCGCACAAAAGTCGAATCAAACCTAACCTTCCACCCCCGATCGGTGGCAAACTTGACCAAAGGCGGCTCAAACAGCGTCTGCGGCAGATCCACATGCCGACACGGACTCATCGCCTCATACTCACCCTTCCGATGCGGTTGATTCCCCCACGAATGCACCCTTGCCCACTCCTCGCCCGCCATCGACCGGCACCAGCGCGTATGCTGCATGCAGTCCCCCGGCGTGGCGTTGCGGAGCGCAGCATCTTCCAGTCCAATGTCGCGGAGACATTCCAGGGCGGCGGGGTTGGTGATGTGGGCGCGGGGTTCCTTGGAGGTGCCGGAAGCTTTGACGACGACGATGCCGGTGAGGTTGTGTTGGGCGAGGAAGCAGGCGAGAGAGGCACCTGCGGGACCTGCGCCGGCGATGAGGTAGTCGGTTTCGATTATGTGGTCTTCTGAGCCTGGGGGAGGGGGTGGTGGATGGCCGTTGGGGAGGGATGTTGCTGTACTCCCGGATAGGGAGGCCATGGTGGAACTCGGGTGGTTGGTAATTGGACTTGCAGATGTGTTATCGAGTACGAGAAGTGGCGTATACGGACATACTCATATATGCAGTCGATATGTAGACATTGTATGTACCCCAGAACGGATCTTGAACGCTGACAATTGATTATTTATTGATGGTTAAAAGACAGCATTGCCTCGATTGACTGCCGATCTCAGAGGTGGAGTCGAGCTTGTCAAGATCCACCAGTTGGATGCACGAGATGCCCGAACTATTCGGCTGCGGACCCCTCTCCAAGAACATTTCCAAGATGGCGCATACCGGGCGGAAGAGAGCCTCATTCAATGCTTATACACAACGGCGAGGTAAGACGGGAGCTCGAACATGGCCAAGCGGAAGTGGTTGCATGATGAAGACTCTATTAAGAGCGTACAGGCTATCAACACATCGGCTGCTGTAATCAGGCAGCCTTTCTAATGCCGACCGGATGCTGTTCTTGATATCAAGCACATGCAACGCTTCGATGGCCACCGCAAAGGCAGGTTCATCTAGTAGTCCGTCATAGGGCACCCCTTCTCCACACTCTCCGACCTCGTCTTCTCCGTCACCACCTCCCGCGTCAACTTCATCAACTGCTCCTGCAACCCCTCGTCCTGCGCCAACGGACTCCCCGTCTCCGCGTCCGCCGGCGGACACACATACTCGCCACTCTTCTCCGTCGACGTCGCCGCGTACATCGTCGACACGCAGCCCTCAAACTGATCTTTCTTGAACGGTGCCAAGCCCTCGGACATCGCGTACCCGGCTTTAGGATAGGGTTCGTGGATGTCTTGCTTGCTCATTTTCGTCTCGACGACGCCGGGGTGGGTGGCGTTGATCAGGATGTTGGGGTGGGAGGAGGTGAGGTGGCGCGCGAGGTAGCGGGAGTAGAGGATGTTGGCGAGTTTGGCGCGACCGTACTGCGGCATGGGGCCGAGGTCTTGGTTGAGCTCGTCGACGGAAGCGAATGCGGTGTCTTTGGGCGCCATCTCGTGCGCGTTGGATGCTTGGTTCGAGATGCGGACTTTGTGGCCTTGGCTGGCGGTTTGCTTGAGGAGGGGCAAGAGGTGGGAGGTGAGGATGACGTGACCGAAGTGGTTTACGGCCATGTGGCGGTCGATGCCCATGTCGGTGAGCTGGTATGTCATGATGCCTCGTGCGCTGTTGTTGATGAGGATGTCGATGCGGTCGGTTTGTTTTCTGATCTCGCTGGCGGCTTCGGTGACTCGCTTCCAGTCGGACAGATCGCATCGGATCCAGACGGTGCGGTTGACCATGTCCTCATCCATGTCTTCCTGAATCGTCTGCTTGCAGGACTTGACTGTGTCCTCGTTGACGCTCAGGATGAAGACCTTCGAAATGTTCTTCGACAGCAGTGTCCACGTCGCGCCGTATCCTATGCCCTCACTGCCTCCAGTAATGACCGCGACCTTGCCAGACTGGTCCGGCACATCGTCGAGGCTGAACTTCGCACCATCAGGCGCAATCTTCTGCCCAAGACCTCCCAGGTTCTGCGAGATGGTCGTTTGTGCTTGCTTCACTACTCCAGACATGGTGTAGATCCTGTTGATTCGATTGAACTGTTTGAAAATGGTTGTTGTTTTGCACGAGGTAAGTCGTAATGTAGGAGAAAGAAGGAACATCTATGCGAACAGAAAGATGTACGTAGCACCTACCTTGCTGGACACGTCGTTGCAATGTACCTGCGTCGTTGCGTGAAGAGCGGATCATTTGAGCATCATGAGGATGGAAAGTACACAAAAAGTGCAAGGGAAGTGTTATGGAGCACGTCATCATCAATCGGACTACCACCGATTGGCGAGTTTCAGATCTTGGATTGTCCCGATCGTTGACAACGTCTCGAACGTGCACGAGCGTGGCATGCGTGGATGGTGGAGCTGCACAATCGATCAGAATCAGTTCTTCGTCCGAGAAGTGCAAGCTGTACGCTCTGCGGGGTCGAAAGCGGTCTTGCCAAGCATACCATCGTCCGAGCAAAGACCGACATCAATGGATGTCCGTCGCAGGCCGTCCATTACAACCAGATCGCATGAAATCACAAACTCGCCCTCCCCACCCCATGCATCCCCTCCAACTCCCTCTCCCCCTGGCCAATAGCCTCCTTCCACCGTCCATACCTCCCCTCCAAAAACCCTCCAAAACCCTCACCACCCTTCTCAACAATCCACTCTGCCAGCGCAATCCCATCCTCAATGGCCCAATTCGCCCCCTCGCCTCCGAGGATCGGCGTAGCGTGCATCGCATCACCTATCAACACAATACCTCGTTCCGCCGCGTTCTCGAGATCCGAGGCTGGGACGAGCAGGGAGCGCATGAGCCAGTTTAGTAGACGATCCTTGCGCATTGTGGCGGGGTTGAAGACGTCCCTAAATGGAGGTGGTAGGTCTTTGAGCGTGGCGATTTCGTCAAAGAGGGCGGAGGGGATGTCTGTAGCGGCTGTTTTGGGGCGGTCGGGGGTGAAGAGGGCATCGGGCTGGGCGTGGGAGGGACGGGAGTAGATGTAGCTTATGCTCACTTCGTTGGCGGTCATGTCGTTGGTTGAGATCTGTAAGAGGGTTTGGCCTTGTCTGTGCTCGACGAGGTTGGTGCTGTCCATATACGGAGCATAGTCTTGGCCGAAGGCTGAGCGGGAGAGGCGGCGTTTGCCGTTGTAGACGGCGAATGGTAGGACCGTGAAGTCTGTGTTTGGGGAGATGGATTTGCGGACTGAAGAGTGTACTCCGTCGACACCGACGACAAGAGATGATTGCACTTGCTGCCCGTTGGAGAACGTTAAGCTGTTCGTACTGTTCTCGGATGTGAGTGAGGATAGTCCGTGATCCCATCTTATATCGAGACCCTCGCTGAGGAGATTCTCGAGTTTTGCTCTGTTGGCGCGGAAGGAGGATGCATCACTGTCGCGGCCGTGGTTGCTTATGCGGCCAATGCCATTGACTGCGGAATCAACGGCGACTCGTCTTCTGAAGGCAGTCTCATCCAGTCCAATGTACTTCAGCAATGGTTTGTACGTTTCTCGATGCAGTGTGATGCCATATCCATGTCGGGCGGACCCAGAGCGAGGAGCGTCTTTATCGTAGAGGACAGCGGGTATGCCGCGATGTAAGAGACATCGGCCGAGCACCAGCCCAGAGACTCCTGCACCAATTATACTGATCTGCGGCTGCGACATCGAGGGCATATTCAAATTCCAATGGCGTGCAGAGATGGAATTGAGATGCAGCACCGAAAGCGGAGGGGTGAAAGCCTAATCAAACGTACATCTCACGCCAAATGCACGACAGCATAGGTACACGACACCTGGACAGAAAGTTGACTGCGTAATCAGCGGTTTCAACATATGAAAGTGTTTGGCTTCTATTTACACATGTATTTCTTCCGCCAGACCTTCCGTCGTCACGTGACGCTCGCTCTACTGCTTCTGAGACACAATTCCTGGCAGCATTGTTAGCACGAACACATCTCGTCCTCATTGCGAATGACCTACTCTCAACATCCGCCACACTCTGCTTGAGGATCTGGTCAAGCACCTTGGGGTTGTCGAGCTCCTTCTCGATCTTGGCAATGACACTCTCTGCAAGCTCCCTCTGCTGGCGAGCCTTGACCTGGCCCTCGTATCGGACCCACGAGTCGAGCACAGTCTTCGCCTCAGCAGCCAAAGCGGTCTTTTGCTCGAGCTCGTACGCCTGAGCTTCCAACTGCGCGGTCTCCTGTAGCCATTTATTAGCATGCTGCAGAGGCCCCAGATTGGTGATCCAGCGCACCTTCGACACAGCAAAGAGATCCTTCGTAATATCAATCACGCCCCCCAAATCCTTAACACTATCAATCCTTGCCTTGACAGCATTCGTATGATCATCCCGCGCAGCGTTGAGAATATTCTTCATCTTCTCGCTCTGCCCCTGCGCCCACTCGCGATACATCGGGCCAGCATAATTGTACACGGCCCAGTAGATCGTCAGCAAGGACAGCGCGACGATGGTCTCCTCATTGACGACGTAGAGCTCGTTGCTGATGGCCGCGATCGAGACACCGGCGCCGGCGGAGAGGATGGCGGTCTTGCTTGCGATGCTGTTGCCTGGGAGGGCGTTAAGGATCGAGTTGGCGGTCTCCTCGGGCTTCTTCTCGGGGGTTTGCAGGCGTGGGGTGGTGGTTGTGAAGGCGCTGATGGCCGGTGCGGTGGTGCGGATAGGGAGGGTTGGGCGAGCGCGGGCGGCGCCTGTGGGGGGTTAGTGAGGCGGTCAATGGAAGGTTTGGCTGGTGTAAGAGGCTTATACGTACCAATGGCGCTTCTTGCGAGGCGCGACGCCATGTTTGAGAGTATGTAGAGCGGGTTGGAGGTGTCTGTTGAGGTTTGTTCGGCTTCGAGCTCGAGAAGCTGGCTCTCCCTCTGGATTAGCGTTAGGGTTATGGGCCGAGGATCCGCCGAGAAAATATGTCACTCAAGAACTTCTCGAAAGCATGTTTTCTTCACGAACAAGCAGTATGCCTGGAGTGATTGCACCGCCGAACGGTGCGGCGAAGAGAAAGAGGACCGATGGAAGTACTAGCAGAGCGAACGGTACCAAACCTCGAAAGGCGCCCAAGACGATAGTACACAGCGACAGCACTCAAGCAGACGTTTTACTGCTGGAGGAGCAGATTCTGGAATCGCGCGAGCACTACAACAACATCGTCGAGCTCCAATCGATCCTGAGCAATGTCGAGAAGAAACCCAAATCAGCAACACTCGCTGCTGTTGCGCTTTGCCGAGTGCTCTGCCGATTGATCGCTCGAGAACAGCTCGTTAGGCGGAAGGAGGATACGGAGGCAGATGTCCAGGTGGTGCAGTGGTTGAAGCAGCGGCAGCGAGACTATGTTGAGTCTTTGACAGGATGGATTGGTAGCCCAGATGCATCAAGGGAAAGCACAGCGCTTACCCTTCTGATGAGGGTGGTGAAGGAAGAGACATCGCAGGAATCGAGGCGGTCAGAACAGGCCTGGCGGACGGATCGATCGACGTTCTATATGCTCGTCAAAGCGCTGCTGGAGGCTACCGATGCAGAGGCTGCAAGAGTCGAATTTGTGGAAAAGTATGTGGAAGAGCACGACGATGTGCGCTTCTTTACGATGCTGGCTATCAAGCAATTTTTCGCCATGGACGCCAACCGGACACAGACGAATGCAGATAATGCTGTGGATTTACTGTCCAAGATTGAAGGAGTGCTCGATTCTCAAGAACAGCTGGAGGATTGGTATGGACAGCCACCGCAGCCAGAATCGCATCAGCTGCTCTCCCTCTCCAACCACCGCAAGGTCGCGCAAGAATGCTGGCTCTCCGTTTTCCGCTCGCCACTGACCGCCAGCAACCGCAAGACCATTCTCAACATCATCACGCCTCAAATTCTGCCGTGGTTCCCCAATCGGATGGAAGTGCTCGCGGACTTTCTCACAGACTCTTTCAACGAAGGCGGATCGCTCTCTCTTCTAGCCCTCAGCGGAATCTTCAAACTCATGACCGAACGCAACCTCGACTACCCAGAATTCTACACGAAACTCTACAGCCTCCTAGACGAAGAAGTCATGTACAGCAGACACCGCAGCCGCTTCTTCCGCCTCCTCGACCAGTTCATGAGCTCCAGCCACTTACCCGCCGCAATGGTTGCGAGCTTCATCAAGCGTCTTTCCCGTCTAAGCCTTCAAGCACCACCCGGCGCCATCGTTTGGGTCGTCCCGTGGGTCTACAACATGCTCAAACGCCACCCCTCCTGCACTTTCATGCTCCACCGCCCTTACCATCCCGCCCACGCCATCTACAGCACCAACCCCGACTACATGGAGTCCGGCATGGACGACCCTTTCTCCATGTCCGACCCCGACCCCATGACTACAAACGCCATCGACTCTTCGCTATGGGAGCTCCACACGCTGCAGGACCACTGGCACCCGAACGTCGCAACGCTGGCGAAGATTCTCGGCGAGCAGTTCACGAAGCGGGATTATGCGTTGGAGGATTTCTTGGATCACGGATATGCGACGTTGGTGGAGGCGGAGTTGGGGAAGGAGATGAAGAGGCGGGTGGAAGTGGAATGGGAGATCCCAAAGAGGATTGTTACGGCTGAGGGCGAGCGGGAGGGTTTGAACGCGCTGGGAGGTTTGCTCAAGAGTGCTATGGATGCGCAGGAGGTCTAGGTATAGTACAGTCTCATGTGGCATCAAATCCGCCCGCCAACCGACTCCCTTCCGCAACATTTCGCGACCCCCATTCTCCCCCTACCTCGGTCCTGTCCTCCATAAACCATACAGAACCTTCTTCTTCCGACCCTCCGCTAAACATCCATCAGAACGGCGCAAAGATCCCGCCCGGTGCGGAAGAATAGCTGTAGCTGTAGATGAAGCTGGAGCTCTCCGGGAGCGGGAACACTGGACTAATGGGCTTCAGGGTGGTGATCTGACTGGTGGTGGTCAGAGTGAAATGGGGGAGTGTGGTTGGACCGTGGCCCAGGTGCGTGATCGGAGGGAGACTGGAGGTCAGAGAGCTGGTTGTTGGAGTGGAAGTGGAATCGGTAGTAGGAGTTGAAGGGGTGGAGGTGGAGGTTGGAGTGCTGGTGCTGGCGGAGGATGTAGAGGTTTCCGAGGCCGTTGAGGTCGTAGGGGTGGACGTCTTAGCGGTGGAGGTCGGGGTGCCAGTGGTGTCAGTGGTTTCAGTGCCGGTGCTGGTCGTGGAAGTAGTGTCTGCTGGGTAAGTAAGCGTGAAGGTTGGGGTCAATGTTAACGGCACTTGATCGCCAATGGGGTCGTAGTAGGCCGTAACGAGTTCGATATATCCTTCGGATGCCGGGGCTGAAGATGATGAAGATGAAGACTGTGAAGACGTGGAGGTCGAGCCTGTGGAAGTCTCGGTAGACTTTTGGGTTGTGGTCTGCTTGGTGGACGTCTCTTCGTCGTCGTCGTCGTCGTCGTCGTCACCGTCATCTCCATCGCCATCGCCATCGCCATCCCCGTCACCACCGCCCCCGGAGGTCAAAGCAGCTGCGGCGCCTGTCACAAACATCAGCATTATTCGACGTTCAACCGACGAAGAGGGACAACAAACCTCCAGCAGCGGCAACATCGGTTCCCAGCGCCCCCAACGCACCCGCACCGGCATCAGTGAGGGCAGCGCTGAGCGGCCCAATGAGGCCTGCACCGGCGGCTCCGAGCCCTTCTGCAGCTACATATCGTCAGCGGAACTCATCAAACAAGTCGGAGTCGAGACTCACCTCCCAGCGCTATTCCGAGAGCAGCAATCACCCCACCGACTGCACCTGTGCCGCCGATGAAAGCTGCGACCACGCTGGAAGCACTGGACACGCTGGACTGCACGTCGGAAGGTGCGAGTGTCGATGTTCCTGTGATAGGCGGTGGCGTGATGGTCAGGGTGGTTTCGCTGCCGCCGCTGATGCTGATTGTGGTCACAGACGGGCTTGGGGCTGCAGTGCCGGCGGTCTCTTGGTTGCTGCGGGTTGTAGCGGTGATGCCGCCAGTTGTACGGCCTGTGGTGGAGGTTGTGGTCTGCGAATCATCGCCAGAGGTAAGTGTGGCATTGCCAGCGGTCAAAGTGGTGTCGGCAGTAGCAGTGCTGACGGTCTCTGAGCCAGGGTCAGAAGTAAGAGTGGTTCCAGTAAGAGTGGTTCCGCCTACGACCACAATCTTAGTGGCATTACCGCTCCCGGAGCCAGAAGTCGAGAGAGGCTCATAGATCGTTGTGACGCCAGTGCCAACGACGACCACGCCTAAGGAACTGGAAGACGTTTGCGAGTCATCGTCCGATGTCTGGGGTGCTCTCGCATGGATGTTGTTCGAGTCGAAAGCGCCGTACTTGAACTCGACCACCGATTCAACCTTCCCAAGAGATCTGAGGAGTTCTTTGCGGTTTGAGAGTTGTTCCGAGTATTTGGAGAACTCTTGATGGCCATGCCTCTCTGGACGGGCGCTGCAGGCGAGCAAGAGATTGGAGTAGAAGAGAAGGTATGCAAGACGAGACATCGTAACAATCGGCTTCGGATATGTGAAAATGAGTGTCGACTGACTCTATATAGAATACCCTGAACGTTGACGGCCATCGAATTCTCTTATGACCAGGCACGGCGTCGTGGCACAGACCAAAGCACGACCAGTATTACCGTTGGTACCAGTCTCGAATCTCAGTCATATGTACCCCTACGATGAGTGAGGTATCAAAAAAGAAAGATCGACCGCATTTTGTTTGGAGTGGAATTGAAGGAGGTTGTTTGTCCCACAGGTATCTGCCGATTTTTACCAAATCTGTACACTGGTCATGGGCGCTAACGTCAACCTGGGTGACCAGTATACATTGTAGACCACAAACACCTAAGGGCGGAGGTGGCTCGGTCGTAAAATGAGGTGTGTAAGCACAAACCCAGTCGGAAATAGTTCTCAGCACTAACGTTGAACCAGCAGCAACACCCATATATATCGACCATTGCTACAACGCCGTGAAGATGCATCATTCATCTCCTCTTCCCAATCATGCGTCTCATCGCTCCCTTCTTCATCGCAACCTCGCTCGTTGGCCGCATAGCGCACGCTCAAATCGGAGGAGGAATTGCAATATTGACCGAAGAGCTCGTAGTTGATACATTGGAACGTTTCTTCCCCGATCGTGACGACATCCCGACAACAGGGTTTGGAGGCTGCGATGCCAGCCAGGTCATCTTCATTACACAGACTGTCCGAGAAGTACAAACCGCCGCGCGAGCAGCTATTGATGCCATCAGGCGGCCAGTTGGGGAAATGCCGCAGGTCGACAACCTCTACAGCGCGCTGTGGGCCTTGAGTGATGGGAATGGCGGAAGAGATTATGTGGATGCCGGGCTTCTCGTGGGTATGCCAGACTTCCCCATTGTCACCTTTTAATGGACTGCAATGCTAACACCCATCGCAGCTAGGTACCAAAGCTTGCTGGACTTGGAACCCCTGGTTGATCCCACAAGAAGAAACGTCATTTTCCACTGTGATGACAAACTTTTCGAGACACTGCGGCTGAATGGAATCGACAACAGCCTTCAGGACCACAGCTCGGCGGGAGGATGCTCTTCGCAGGCTGGGGGACTGTAAGCACCATCATTGGATGAGACTGTCAGGTCCTGCTTCTGACTTAAAGTCTTAGTGCGTTCACTCAGATTGCCAACAGCTTCTTCCGGCAGAACGGTGCACCACATCTGACGGGGGCACATGTCGTCCTCTGTGACCCATTTTTCGATCAACCAAGTCTGGACGCGGTGAATCGTGCATTTACATGCGAGACGGCGTTTACTCACGGAAGTGTAAAAGGGGTCGAAAACAGCGCATTCGGAACACTCATGCATGAGGTATCTCAGCTCCGTCTTACCCATCTCATTCCCACTGTCCACGAGTACCTACTGATAGATGCATCTATCAGCTGGCGCACGCACTCATAGGTGTCCCTGGAAGTGAGTTCCGGCGCCCATAGAACAAGTAGAACAGCAGCTACTAACAGTGCCACAGGAGACCTTGCCAATGGTATCAGCAGCGAGGTCTACGGCATTCGCAACGCCCTGGGCTACGGACAAGAGACTCTCGCGAACGCGATATTCGGTGATCCCTCCAACATCGCAGACAATTATCACATTTTCGCAACGCTGGTGCTGTCGAGAAACATCAAGTTCGATTGGAGCAACCAAGGGATTGCAATACGTCCGGTCAGCGAAGACCTGGATGAGAACGAGGCTGTGAAGCAGAAAATCAAAGCCATCAACGAGTGTGTGGATGAACCTGATAACAACGACGCGGGCTTGACGCGCATCCCTGTTCCACCGTGAGAGTCGCTTAGGGATGCCATCAGTTGCTGGGAGTCGTTGTTTGTTGGCACTGGGGTCGAAGCGAAGTGGAAAGCGTTCGGAACTCGTTTCGACGAAGCAACTTCCTAGGTCTATATGCATGAGCTCATCGGAGGTACCTTTCTCATGCTCTCTTGCTTCGAGAAGGCCGCAGTGGGGAGGTCGATGACGAACCAGTGACAGGCAAATGATGAATATGTGAACCAACTTACCACCAGTAGCTTACCCAAGTCTTGAGCTTTTATGGTTCTGCCCAGTCCTCATAACCATGGTTTGCTACCCGTCACTAGGTAATCCACGAACCAAGTGTTAATATCAAGTCATAGTCCACTCCAGCTTGATGTCGTGTTCCGACCCTTCCTTCCACCCATCACTCCTGCGACCTGCGCTACATACAACAAATCGCACCGCAGACCTTCAAGTTATCACCTAGCTCCCTCTCCTCTCTACGACCATGGCATTGCACGACTTATACGAACTCAGGGTCAACGGCCTCAGCATCGCCTTCTACCTCATCACCACGATCTCTCTGTACTACAGCGACATGTACCGGAATAAGGGAAAGACAAGCTATTCCTTCTACTTCGGGTCTATCTTCTTCCTCTACATCTACTGCACCCAACTGGCCAGCGCAGCAATCATCTGTTTTGGCATCTCGGCTTTGAAAATTAAGCCCGTCGTGCAGGAGTCGCCCTGCGGAACGTTGTCGTTGAAGAACGATTTCTGCGCGACGTGCGGGTCTTTAACAAGGTTTTTGGCGTTTGTGGGACAGGAAGGGGAGTGGAGGTGGGATAAGGTCGAGGGGAAGTGGGCCGAGCAGGGTGTGCTTCTTGGAGTTTTGATCGTACTCACGCTACTACTGTGGGTGTCTCTCACGAAAGGCATTGCCTACGACAGAGCGAGAGCAAACGGGCTGGCAGTCGGCGAGTGCAAGGACACAAGCGATGCGCAAGACACGTTGGAGGGTAGGTCGATCTCGTGTGATGACCCTCATTCGATCACATTGCTAACGATTGCTCCAGCTGCCTGATGGCACCTCACGGGTAAAAAGCAGTGCCTAGCGATCGTACCGCAGAGTTGTGTAAATCGGCGCATACCGGGAGAGGGGACCCAGGGTGCCATCTAAATGCACAGCAGGGCCGTCTAATGTCTTCAAGGTTGGGTCAATATCAAGAATGCGGTGGGCCCTTGACGTCGACAGCCGTCTGTCCGCCACGCATTGGAGGCACGGGAATCGAATGTGGGAAGCGGTCAGAACACAGCAGTAGGCGAACGGAGGGTCATTGGAAAGCAGAGCAGACGGCATGGTAGCAGCGTTTCCTACCAGCGGATGGGGAACACTTTCACAAGATCTCCGCGCACTTGTATTGATGCTTGACCTGAACTATCTCGTCGACAGCCCAATGCCTCTCAACTTTGGCCCTGATGCATCTCCAACACTGCCTTTCCAATGCCTAGCACGTTCTCTTCGTCTGCCACTCCATCTTCACAGCTCGACGAAGTACCGTCAGTCAAATAATGCGCCTTCGTACTTCGACCCCAATCCTTGACCCTTCTCTTCCTCAAGACAACACCACAAGACATCACCAAAAGACAACCAAACCATATTCCCCTGCGACAGTGGCACGCCCATCTCAAAGCACCCGCTCCCTTCCCCCTCGCGCGCTCCCTTCTCCAAGTTGCTGATGGGCACACAGCCAGGCAATGCTTTGTTGTGGCATCGAAGCGCCTTTGATAGACTTGACGATACGCCCTATCGCCTGGGAAAGGGGACGCCATGATCGGCCTGTCGCTTCTCATTCGTCTACACCCGAGGGACGGAGAAGGTGATGCTTGTCGATGCTCCGGCTCTTGACGAACGAGAGATTCATCTCCCTGTGTGACCGCCGAACTTCGAAGGGATCTCTTTGATATGATTGTCGACGCCCAGGAACTGGCCTTGCGACAGGGGAGACGGGCGAGGGCCTGTCAATGCATCAATCGCCATAGCCCGAGACTCGCGTGGAGGGTGGAATAGGGCAATGCGTGTTGTTCAAGTCCGCAGTAGAAGATTGACAGGTGTGAGTTGCCCCTACTTTCGTACTTTCCTATCGCTTCCTCGTTTCGGGCATGCACCTGCACTTGCAAAGGCGGATCAAGGAGCAAGAGCGACAACGAGCAATGGTGTTGTATACCTTTGGGCGCGGCCTCACACTCCTCTTCTCTCCTCACCCGATACAGATCATTCGTTCATACATACTTAACTTATCATGCCGCCAACTATCACTAATCCGACTATCGCTATGGAGCGTTGGTACCAGCCGCCTCCATCGGCATACGTAAGACGGACAATCCGGGACTGCTTTCGAGCTTCTCCAAATCTCAAACACGACCATGACGCTTGCTGACGTCCAGTAGATTAGTTTTGGAGTATCCTTATGTATCGAAGTCATCCTGCAGTGTTGGGTGGATGAGCGCCTCTTCCGTCGTTTCGAAGACGACAGCAAGCTAAAGAAAGCGGCGCTCATCTTGCGGTCCATGCTCCTGTACTTCGCCGGTTGGTTCTTTGCCTCTTTCTTGAGCGAAACCATCGACGGCAAGTCAGGCTGCGTGGCCGCGCCCGCTTGATTCGGGCCCTTGCGGGACCCAACACTGTGACAAGCCCATGGACGACCGGTTACTCGCGTCCATCCCGGGCATCGACAAGCCCATGGCCGTCTTGCCTCTCGCGGTCATCCCTGGGGCGTCGACAAATCCATTAGTGGCCTCTCTCTTGCGGCTAAACCAGCTGACGGCATCTTGGTCCGTCTCGTCTCGCGAGCATGCCGGGGCGTCGACAAATCCATTAGTTGCCTCTCTTTGGTGGTCACACCAGCTGACGACACAGAGCTGCCATTCCTCCGTTGGAAACGCGGTCTTGTACGCATCATCCCATACCATCTTGACAGGCCAGTAACCACTGGCAGCGTCTGCCTTGAAGAACCTGACCAGGTGTCTCTGTCCCATCTGCTGGATGATGGGCTCGAGGCGGCGGCACGGGTATCCTGTCTTGATGGTCCCTGCATCGATTGGCCGAGAGTTGCGCACCATGCGAAGGCCTCCTCCTGGTCTCGGCACCAGTCGCGTCGTCGCAATCCATGGGGAGTTGCAGGGCGTCACCACTCCAGCCTTGATCATCTGGTTGAGCGTCTGGTCCTGCCACCTTGGTCCGTCTCGTCTCGCGAGCATACCCGGGGCGTCGACAAATCTATCGTTGGCCTCTCTGCCGGTCATCCAGGCTGAAGACTCTCTTGTTCGCCGTGAGCCGTACCGTCGGCGGCATCGTCAAGCCTTTGGTGAATCCCTCTCTTCCGGCCAACCACAGGGGCCCGGGACGTCGACACATTCATCAGTGGCCTCTCTTGAATCTTCAGCTGCAACGGCAGCGGCTGACTGTGGGCTCGCCATAACGCCTGGTGCATCGACAGGCTCGCAACCGTCTCTGCTTTCTGGCGACCATCTCCTCTCTCCAGTTGCCATTCCCTGGGCGTCGACGCACAGATCAGTGACCTCTCTGGTATTCACCCCGGCTAACGACTTTCACTCATTCGCCAAGACAGCCGGGCCATCGAAAGGCTTGCGGCTGGCTCCGCTCTTTCTCGCGACCATTTCTTCTCTTGGCCATTGCCAGGCAGCGACAAATACACCAGCAGCCTTCTCTTCTCTCGCGGCCATTGCCGGGACGTCAACGCATACATTGGCGGCCTTCTCTCCCCTCACGCCCCTCTCTCTTCTCGCGGCCATTGCCGGAGCGTCGACAAATACACAGGTGGCCTCGCTCTCAGGCTGTCGAACCAGCATATGACGTGCTGCTGGGCCTGCGTCGCACCAATCGAGGTCAGGAGGCGATCAAATGCAAGGCCAAGGGTGTCGGCACATTCATCAAAGGCCCCTTTCTTCGGCGGGCGCAGCGGCGAATGGCCCCGTTCTCCATGAGCCGTCGCAACAACAAGTCTCCGGCTGGCCTCTCTCGCGGTCCAACACGGGGCGCGCGGCATCGACATATGATGGCCTCTGTCCGCCAGCCACACCACCGAATGATGGTTCTTCGCTATGAGCCGCGGCAGCAACGACCGCTTGGCCGCCTTCCATGAACATCCCCTGGGCTTCGATGCCTTTTGGCGTCCGCACCAGCGAAAGAACCTTCGGTGCGCTAATTGACTGGCAAGACTTCTCATGGGGTCGCATTGAGCTGCCATCAGCGGTGTTGGAACCGGAGGACGTGAGGCATTCGGGAGCGATGTAGCTTGCGCTGGCGGTCCGTCATATTTCAGCTGACACTCGGGAGTGAGCACTGCTGATGTTGATCATAGCCTCGCAGCTCCTTTCCTCCGGCCGGGAGTGGTGACAGGAACGGTGTCGGCAGGGGAGTGAAAGCAATGGGGCCGATTGAAGGAGGCTTGCTGGAGAAGACCACGGCAAGCAAGAGTAGGGGGACGGATGAGATGGCATGAGAGACTGTACTTTACTGTGGTTCCGCAGTGAAGGGGGGTTATGGAAGGGGTCGGGATGGAGTGAGAATGGATGGGACTGTGAAGGTGAATCGCCTGGTGGTATAGCTCACAAGTGCTCTGCAAAGATGTATGGTCATTCCCCGTCGTGTATAGTACTCATGTATACATCCTCGATCAAGATGCAACCATGATACCTACCAGACGCCGATGGAGGGTGGAGAAGGAGGAGGAGGTGAAGTGAGCCGTGAATCCGCCGTCTCGGCGTTAGATAGCCGAAGCCAATGCCTCCACCACCACCACCTCCCCTCTTTCACCTCCAGGCCATACCCCCTTCTATAGCCAAGTATGTCCTTCTTCCGCACTTCCCTCGCCGTCGCCGGCTGGGGCTCCCTAGCCACCACCCTCAGCTACGTCCTCGCCACCCGCAAATCCAAAATCCACCCCCTCGACACCTCCGACTATCTAATGGGCACCTCGCTCTTCGCCCGCTTCAATCCCTACGACAACCCAGTAACCCGCGACGTCTGCATTCGCCGCGTCCCGCTCTCCAAGATAAAACCCGAACTGCTCGAACAAGAAGGCGCATTAGTACAGAGCTTCTGCCAGGGCGTCTGGAGCGGGTGGGGCTACGCGTATCAGCGCCGGTATCTGGAGAAGAAGTACCGTGGCCCCGATACGGCGACGCAGCTCTGGGATCGCGAGGAGCTGGAGAGTAGTTCGTATGACGTCGGGACGGTGGTAACGGATCACTTTGAAGTGCTGGCGAAGAGTGAGAACTCGATCATTGTACGCTGCGGAGACTCGCCGCGGATACAGACGGTGCGGGAGAGTGATGGCTTATTTGAGATGGTTGCGGAGGTCAAGAAGGAGGAGGGCGTGGCCGAGTTTCAGCTGAAGAGTGTGTTCTACAACGGCATTGCGCAGCCGGACAAAGAGGGTGGAAAACTAGATGAGCCCATGGGACCGTGGACGCAATGGGCGCATGCGCAGTACAGTAAGATATTCATGGAGACGGCGATTAGGAGGTGTATGCGGTAACTTCGACTCTGGACTCGGAGGACATCTCACGAGACTGCTCGGAAGGACACTATAAAGGATGGCCAATCTGTGTTCGAAGATACCCAAGCTACATACACAGCTCACGACTCAATCCAGGAATCTAGCATCATCATCATACTGCCAACTCATCCGCATCTCTTGGCTCTCACTGGTATCGTCCGTTCGCTTCAGCACCTCCACGCACGCCTGGCGCAGCCTCTGCTTCATGTTGACGGTCATGCGGTCCCACAGCTCGTCGGTGAAGGACGTGAAGCCGGTGGACCATTGTTGCTGGGAGGGGTCGGCTGCGGTTGTCGCGGAGTCGTTGGTTGATGCGGCGCTGTTTTGGCGGCTGTGGGCGGTTGTGGTGGTCGCGGTGCTGGAGGCTCGCCGCTTAGTTTCGGTGGGGGCGTCGTAGTCGCTGATTATGATGGGGAGGGTGACGAAGTCGTTCAGAATGATGAGTTGGCTTGATTGGGAGGTGGCCATGGCGCCGGCCTGACTCTGGATCTAGTTGGCCAAGTAAGCAAGAAGGGAGCAACTCTTGTGAGCAGGTCACTCTATCCCACCGCAAACTGGACGTGATATCACCAAAGGACAACGCCTTGTTTGGTCTGCATTGCCGGAGATCTCCAGTCGACCCACGCTCGAGCCGAACAAAGGAAGAATGGATATTGCCATTGCCGTTTGTCTGGCCGCATCCGGGAGCGTATGAGGTCGACTGCGTCGACAGGATGAAGCTGGTTCGGGCGAGAGTTAACACGGAGGATGTCTACTTTGACTTCCGTTTTGGGATGGACATTTTCGCTCTGGAATGTGGGCAGACCCTCAACTGCCAGACTGCGGCACCCGCACGAAGCATTGGCCTGCGCTACCGCCTTTGTTGACAGCGTGCTATACCTTTGTTGATAGCGCATCACGCCTTTGACACCGTCCACAAACAAAGCGACATGGGGAAAGAACAAACAACGACACCACTTGATAATGCATTGTCCCGCTCCTTGGCTCGGACATTAATAGCCAGCTCGAGTCCAATCTTGTTTCTCTCTCCACTGATCTACCACACGAGCAAGCGGTAAGCACACTTCAGGTAAGACACTTCCACTCTCAGCTCGAGGTCAGTCACTCTCACACTCGCAACACAACGACGACCAAACAAGGAGCACAAAACACAACGCTCTGACAACAACCAAATACACCCGACAAGATGTCGGGTCGCTCCCACCACCACAGCTCGTCCCAAGCGGGCTCTTCCCGCTCACGCCGCGAGTCTCACGCCTCTCGTGCGCCAACCGAAGGCAGCCGTCGTCCGTCGCGGACCCATCAACCGCCACCGATCGACTACGACGTTCCGCCACCGAGCTACACTAGCAGGGCCCCAACATCAGCTTCTCGCAGAGAACAGCCTGTAGGTCCGACCAGGCCAAGCTCCCAGGCAGGTGCATCTTCTCATTCTCGCCGCAGCTCGACTTCCCAAGCCTCAACCATTCGGCCGAGCGACTCAATCTCTCAGGCCTCAACCAGGGCGCCTTCGAGGGCTCCTTCGAGGGCTCATTCAAGGGCTCCTTTAAGGTCCTACGACGCCGTCACAGTCGTGCCAGGTGAGCCCTGTCCCCCAGCACCACCTTCTCATCGCGACAGCAGCCAAGCTTCACGCCGCGACAGACACGTCTCCCGCCACGGGAGCGGCCCAAGGAACTACAACACCGTCATCGTCGAACCTGAGCTCGGCCGACCATACTCTACTTCAGCAGCGCCTTCTCGCCGCAGCAGCCACGCCTCGCGCCGCCACAACAACAACCAGCTGGAAGTCGTTCGTCCCAACGCCGTCGTCGAGCCTTCCGAGGTTTCGAGGGCTTGGCAGAGGACTGTCCGTACGAGCTGCAGTCGAGCGCAGGAGGTCATCCGCCCCAAGGCAGTCGTCGAACCTTCCGACGTCTCGAGAGCTAGTCAGAGGACTGTCCGTGCAAGTGGCAGTCAAGCGCCTGACAACGCATCCAGGCGGGGTTCGACTGTCCATGCAAGTAGCAGTCAGGCGCCCGACAACACATCCAGGCGGGTCTCGACTGCCCGTTCAAGCAGCAGATCACCTGACAACACTCAAAGGCGGAGCTCTACTGTGCGTCCAAACAGCCGCAGCGGGCGTGGAGGGTGCGTCACTGAGGAGTACGAAGTGACTGTCCGGACACGCAGGACTTATAGGGAGTCTGATGAGCCGAGCTCTGACTCTCGCGGCCGCAGCGGTCGTAGGGAGAGTGCGCGGTGGATTGTGTACGACTTCTAGATGAGATTCACACGGTAAGTTGTGCTCGTACAAGGTAAGCCCTCCCTCCTCCTCGAAATTTCTTCACACTCTCGTCTGTCGCAAACATCCAATAGAAAAATCAGATGAGGCTCAATAGCCTTTACCAAACTTTCAGCTTCCAGCATCATCTCTCTTTGATTTCAATGTTCTCTCACCAGTCTGCTACCTCTTTTTCGAATCGACCCCTCCATCAAGGCTTACTGAAAGAAATAAAATGGAATACATCGATTTGAGTCTATGCAAGCATTGCAGCCTTTACGCCCATCCCACTCCTGTGTTACCCGTCGTCGCTCATCTCCAGCTCATGCCCATATGTGCCTTTTAATGAGAACTCTTCACCAATAACCACGTCCGTCTTCACCGGAAAGACTTTACTAATCTTAATCCCCACCAAAAACTCCCCAGGCTGCTCACCATCACTCACAGTCTCCGACCCAACAAAGATCGAGTTCTGCAGGTTGCTGTACGACGCATCGCCGCCATAGAACGTCGGCGTCCACACTATCGACGTCAGAACCGCATCGATCGCAATCTCTGGCACCATGTATAGACTCACCAGAGTAGACTCCACCATAAGGTACTTCCCGCCCCTGCGCCGAGCTATTGGCGGTAATACCATCCACCTCCTCATCCGCCTTCTGCACGCCGGTAACCTGCATCAGGAATGGCGTGGCGCCGTCGTCCGGGAAAATCGTGCCGGAAAGATGGGGGCGACCCACCGGGTCGCGGCCGTCGGCGGTCACGTAGTCGGTCCCGTACTTCATTGTGCCTTTAAAGGAGGGTTCGAACTGGGAGAAGGAGGGTTAATGAGGGAGGGGAGGGAGGGGAGGGAGGGGAGGGGCGTACACCGGGCTCGGATTGGAGGGTGGCATGTTTGACTTTGCCGAGGACTTGTTGGCCGCCAGTTGAGAGGTTGCCTAAACTGACCTGGAACGTGTTACGGGGGAGTAGTTGGAGGGAACGGGGGAGGGGCGTACAATGTCATAGACTGTCGCCTTTTGACTTGGTTAGTACTAAGCATTGGTCCACGATCAGAGATCAGCGGCTTACGTTCCAGAAGAGCGCAGGTACTGTGTAGAGAAATGAATGCATGGTGATTGATGTTTCTACCAAGGAGGAATTGTTGCAGCCGTTGTGCTGGACGTCTTCTTCTTATAACAATACACCCCGGAAGACATTCCGCTACTGTCATCATACACGAACCCGACCATCGTACATTCGGTGAGGAGATCTCTGTTTGCCGCCCTCGAAATGTTGGTGAAGAGTGGGCGAAAAGTGAAGTGATGCAACCAGCTGAAGTAGAATCTGCAATGTATAAGCGGTGATTCAGCTACAAAGTACCCGCCTGAACTGGAGTACAGCACGCCTCACAGTTCACCACCGACGTCACTCCTTCAGTGCTCTGCCAAATGCCTTCTCGTACGCGCAATGCCGTCGATCTGACAAATCCAACTCCTGTACACCGTTGTCCCAACCAATGCCATCCCATGGTATCATCCGTCATCGTTGCAAATCCGTCCTTGCCACCTGACAATCTTGATTCTCGTTCCACCTCCAGAGTAGGAATACTTACCATACTTACCACCCAACGCTTCTCATCCCACCCTTCGACAGTCCTAGCTTTTCGTATTCGAGCCGTACGAACCCTGCCGCAACGCAGCAGACCACGCCAAATACCACGTCCGACTCGCCCCTCCATCCAACAATCCATAATCGAACTCCGTTCTAGAGAAAAACGCATAGCTCGTCTCCGGATCAATGATTGCCAGATTCGCCATCAGCACACCCTCCCATCCACTCCCGAGCGTTGGGGCATATGTCGCGAAACCGTAAGCGTCCCACTCCTGCTGCACGAACGTCGGCGTGCGGATCAGCGTGCTGAACGGCATGAGCGGGAGCATGTGGATGCCCTGGATGTACTCGATGTTGCTGCCGAAGTAGGTGGTGTGATGGATCTTGTTTTCGAACAGAATCCCGGAGACTTTGTTGCCGATGAACTGAGCTGGCTCGACGGTGTTGTCGTCGGTGTAGAGGTAGTAGTGCTGTAGGCTTCTAGCCTGGACCGCGAGCATCAGGTTGCCTCGCGCTTCCATGTTCTTGTCATTGATGACTTTGCCCCACATCTTGAGTCCGTAGCTGGCCATGGTGTCTTCGCTGGAGGACTCTTGGTTTTTGCCGTCGGCGGAGGAGACGACGCCTTGCGCCCAGGAGTGGCCGTGGTACCAGTCGAAGCTGCGGGAGAAGGGGAAGTAAGTGTCGTCTGTGACTGAGTTGGCGTAGTCGCGGGCAAGCATATTCACCCAGGCTTTGCTCGTTCCAGTGTCGAGCCAGGTTGGGTCGAGGTAGCCGATCACGGCGGCGGCGTAGAGGAAGTAGCCGTAATGGAAGTGATGATCCTGCATCAACTATCAGCTTGGCGCCCTTGATCCTAGGGCAGGTAAGACCCACGTTGTAGTAGGTGTTCCCAAAATCATCCCCAGAGTTCCCACTCAGATACGTACTGATACTCGTCGCTCCGCCCCAAGCAGTATCATACACCAGTGGAAACTTCTGCATATTGTCAACGTGCAAAGCAAAAGCGTTCTGGAGCTCTTGCAGCCCGGTCAGTGCCAGCGTCACATTATGAGCCATATCATGAATGACATATACGATGGCCGCGAACTTCGCTAGCGCCTTTCCATCGTAATACATGCTGCCAACGTTCGTCTGCGCGGCCATATCCTGCGCTAGCTCAGTGGTGCCAGCTGCGTTGATAGCTTCGATTGCATCAAGTGGAAGAGTACCGAGATCGCCTCCTGTTGGACTCCACGGGTTGAAAGCCATACCGATAGGCAGGTCGGGCTCTACCAATGTCCACGAGTCTGCCTGAACAGCTGTCGCCACACCTTTCGTTGTCGTCTGAAGCATAACATCCGTTACTCCATCGGTACTTGCAAGAGACTCCAGATGATGTGGCAGCGCGAACATGAGCAAGGGCTGCCCTGCAGGGCCTTCTTTAGTCCAGCTTAGGGTATACGTCCCTTCCGTACCTGCCACAGAGCCGCTGATATCTATGCTTGTTGGATAGACACCAGCAGAGCCGTCATATACGTCTTCTGCATCTGTGACATTGGTGGGAACTTTTGCGATCTGGATGTAGCCGCCGAATCCTGGAGGTCCTTGGATCGACACTGGGCTGACGAGTGTGAAGGAGTTTTCTTGGTAGCCTGTGTTGCGAGGGGTGACGTAGATGAGCCATGTGACTCCACTCGAGAGCAGGGCGCGATATTTGAAGGTGGTTCCTTTCACCACGGCCCCGGCGTAGGTAACGCTTTCGATGCCGATGCCAGATTCGATGAGAGGAGTGACGGAGTTGTACGACCCGGTCACGAAGCCCATGCCTTGACAGAGTGGGAACGTGACGGCCGGTAATGTACCACCTGCAGGGATGAGGTTGACATTGACTGAGAATGCCTCGAGTGAGTCTGTCGTCAATGTCGTGCCGTTGCCAAGCTCGATAGCTGAAAGCACCAGCGACTGGATACCAAGGAGGTTGGCGAAATATGCCGAATCTCCAGCATCTGAACTCGTCTTCTGTCCAAAGGAGGCTTGCGACAATTCAACATGTGAAATGGCCAGCCCAAAGCTGTACGTTTGACGCTGTCCGGCGGACCAGCTGACCGAGTAAGGATGAGTCCAAGTTGCTCCTGTCTGGCCTCCGAGGTAGAAGTTGCCGTAGAATTTGTTCGTCTGGAGACGTTGCTGCTGTTGTTGAATACCTAGTCTTGGCACAGGATGGTCCGCCCTTGACTGGATCTGAGCAGGCGGGGCATCACTAGCGATAGGTTGGAAGATATTGGCGGCCGAGATGCTGGTGATGTGCGGCTTCGCAGTTGGTCCAACTCCAGAAAGTGTTTCGGTGTTGATCAGTGACAAGCTGGTCGAGCCATTCAACGATAGACTTGGAAAAGGCTGCTTGGTAGGGTTGCCGGACGTTTCAAGCGGTGTGTGGACAGCCTGGGATGAATGATGTCAGCTTCAATCTCTTGCATAGGGGAACGATCTTCACTCACCCCCGTCGTGTTCTCCGGCGGCGCCGCCGTGACCGTCTGCACCTCTGAAGTCGTCAATGAAGTCAGCAAGCCCTCAGGAACACTCGTGGTATAGCTTTGCACTGGCGCTGGAGCCGCAGTACTTGTCGAAGTGCCAGCACCAGCTGAAGTGGTCGAGGTCGGCAAGGGAGCTGGTAGAGGGACGTTTGGCGTAGTGCCAGCACTAGCAGAGGTCGAAGTTGAACTTGGTACGGCCGTCGATATCGGACTCGCAGTCACAAAAATCGTCGTTGTCGAGGTACTCATTGGCGGCTTCGAAGTATCCTGTCTCGGCACCGGCGTATACGTGTAAAATCTCGTGACCTCGCTCGAGCTGAGGAAAGTCGAACTCAGACTCGTCACCCCCGTCACCTCTGTCGAGACGGCAGCGGAAACTTGAACCTGCCCATCTTCAATCTGGTACGCCTCCGGGTTCCATAAATACAGCTCAGAGGAAGTCGGTCTCGGGACGAAAGTGTACTCAATCCCAGGAACGCTCGGCCATATCGGTGCCGGCGGTCGGCCCTCCAAAGAGCAGTTGGGATCCAGTACTCTGATCGTTGTCGTTTGGATGACACGGTGAGGTCGTGCGGAAGTCGTTGGGACCTGCGATAACGCGATTAGCACGAGCGCGTGCAACGCTCGTAGAGTGCGACGGCGGTCTGTGGTCATCGCGAAGGTGAATGATATGTCAGTTGTCAGTATGTACAACGAAAGAGCAAGGGACAAGAAGGGAAGGGAAGGGATTGAGCTTGGGCGGTTTGGTTTTGATACTCTTCCGCTCCCACAACGTGGCGCATCCGGTGATACGTGTTGCACTCTGCCGACGGAGATTTGTTCTTCGAGGGTGTTTCGTGTGAAGGTCGGGGGGGTTGTTGGCTTATGCCAAAGTCTGCTGGTCGACGAGGAGTAGCAGATAGGAGCGTGAGGATCGTTTGGGTTCGTGGTGGTTCGTCAAACGTCAAGATGATATGAACAATGATGTGCTCATGTGCATAAAGGTGGTCGAAGGAGTGAGGTGGAAGTGATGTCGGACAGTAAGAGCGTGATGCGTCTCGCCCGGTGGTGGGAGGAATGCTGCTGTCTCAGAGGTAACTGTGTAACTTGACCTAACTCTTTGACTTATCATCGATGCCAACTCGGCCAGTCGTTCTGCTAGTGACACGATTTTCAAGCGTTCTGTTCGCCTGGTAACGAGCACCAAGAGTCGGGAATGGAGATACCGCGTCGTCGCGCTGAAGTGCGTGCATTGGAATGAAGACTCGCACCCGTTCGGCAAGGCCGGCCAGCCGGCGCAGGTACCCGTTGGCTGTGTGACGGTGGCACCAGGACTGTCTTCGGTCATTTAACGCCTTGTGACATTGGTGTAGGACCATCCCCTCACGACATCTGATGCGTGTCTCGCGATGGGGTGGATGTTTCGGATGTGACCCCGTCTTCGGCGGCGCCCTGCCTCAAGACGACGACAAAGACCCTGAAACATGATACTCGATACGGCAAAGGCTCAAAGAAGAAGCAATATCGGACAAATCTTTAGAAGTCTGTTCATGATCAAAGGAGAGTGAGGTGCAAAAGAGATGCACAGACGAAAGCTTGTCTCGGCGAAATGCTCCCTCGGCGCCACCAAAGCATGACCTCCTCTCCTCTGCCCTAGACCCCTTCGACAATGTCACGCAGAGCGATAGGGCTGACCTAGTGAGGCAGATGGAGTGACACGTTGGCGTCCGTACCGTCGGTTCACGAGCCGACCTTTTACGCCTTGTCAAGGGTCACAAAGGATCTCCATCCAGAAGTGGTGCGACAAGATCCGAGGACAGATGACTTGCAGGTCACACAGCAGGGGATGTCTGCGTAACAGCTCTGCTCGCGAAAGGTATCACGACCTTCGTCAAGCACTCAAGGCGACGAGGAACGCTTTGAATCGCGCTCATCCTGTACTGAAGCCCATATCATCCAAGAGATGGCTCAAACAGTAGGATCGCTGCTACAAAGACAAGAAAATGATGGCGCTCATCTTTTTCTACTCCCCATCTCATGACTAGAACAGCTTCATACTCGAATTCGACCTCCCCGCCGCAGCATCATAAATCGCACCAAAATCAGCATTCCACTGCGCAAGATCCGGCCTCAAGAACCTCCGATCATAAGTCAACATCCCATTCACCTCCCCCTCCACATCCGTCGTCTGCGTCCACACCGCCCCACTGCACGCATACTCCTGCACCTGATACCGCAACTCGCCCAACAACTCATGCCCGCGGTAGTTCCACGCCGCAAGCGTCGTATCGATCTCGTACGTCTGATTAATCGTATCGATCGCTTCTTGCACGTTCCAGAGGTGCTCGATGCTGACGTTGTTGCCGATGCCGCCGAACTCGCCTTGGAAGCCGATGCGTGAGGGGTCGTAGGGCGACGATTGGATGGAGTAGAACGGCGAGCCGCATTGCGGGTTCGCGTAGTGGTGGTTATCCGAGTAGTCGCCGGCGCCATGGTCGTACCATCCTGTCGTGGCGTCGATGAGGCGGGTAGGGTCGAGTTGCAAGACTAAGTCGGTGAGGCCGAACTCTGGGTATGGAGGGTCAGTGATTTGGCCCCAGCCTTCGTTGTAGATGACCCATGTGATGATGGAGGGGTAGTTGCGGAATTGTTTGATCAAAACCTGGAGCTGGCGTTGGAACTCGGCTTGCTGGGCGTTGTTGGGCAGGATGGTCTCTTCGGTGCAGTCTTTGAGGGTTCGGGTTTGGGAGGGGCGGAGAGAGGGCATGTCTTGGATCAGGAGCAGGCCCATTTCGTCGCAGGCCTTGTAGAAGAGATCGGTTTCGACTTTGATCTGGCAGACAGTTAGAACAGATTTGCGGTCATGTTGATGAAAAGATGCTCACATGTTTCCTCAACCCATTATACCCAATCTTCTTCAACGTCTTGAGATCATAAGTCATAGCCTCATAACTCGGCGGGGTGTAAAGCCCATCGGGCCAATACCCCTGGTCGAGCGTGCCCATGAAGAAGACGAACTCGCCATTGAGCAATGGACGCTCAACACCATCAATCACCCCGCGACTGACCGTCCTGAAGCCAGTGTAGGACTTGACCTGATCTTGACCGACTTTGATATCGATGTCGTACAGATTGGGGGACTCGTGAGACCACAGTTGCGGCGAGTCGATGGTGAAAGAGAAGTCTCCGCTCGTGCACTTGTGCGTTGCGCTGCTTCCGGAGCCGCCTCGAGGGGTGAAAGTCATCTCGACGGAGGTGCTGGTGTTGGTAGATGTTGTGATGGAGCCGCTCACTGGCAGATGGGTCAGTCGAGTACTCTTCAGTTGTGCTCGCCCGCAACTCACCTTTGCCATTCATGTCCGCATTGAGGTTAAGTTCAGTGATGTAGTTCGCCGGAGCCGACTCGATCCACACACTTTGCCAGATACCAGAGCATGGTCGGTAGAAGATATGGGACGGGTTCAACGTCTGCTTGCCAATAGGGATCACGTATGGATCGCTGTCCGTTGGGTCGTGGGCGAAGACCAGCCTGTCCATCTGTCAACATTTGCACTGTCCGAAAATCTGCTTAACATAGGTGCAACATACAGCTCATTCGTCCCACTAGTCAAGTAGCTGGTGATGTCCAACGTAAAAGCAAAGTACCCTCCACGATTAAAGCCGGCCTTCTTCCCATTAACAAACACCGTGGCCTCATAGTCCACTGCCCCGAAATTCAGCAGCACATTCTCACCAGTCCAGTCCGAAGGCACCGTGAACTCGGTCGAGTACCAATTGTAAAGCATATACTCGCCTTGCACGCCTATTCACCCCATTAGCATCATTCACACCTTTCAACTCCTGCCTGGTGCAATGCTTACCACTCAACCCGCTCTCCAAACACGAAGGCACCAGCACGGCATTCTCCAGCGTCTGGCCAACCGGAGGGCTGTTCACCGCATCCAGACTCGAGACATTCTGATGTCTCCAGACGCCGTTCAGGTTCTTCCACTGCGAGCGCTCGAGCAGCGGACGAGGGTACTCGGGCCATGGGTTCGTGCCGACTTCGTAGGTCCACGGCGTGTCTAAGGGTGGTGTCTTCACGGAGTATTCGGTGGTGTTGGCGTGGCGGGGGATGTGGACAGCTGATGTAGTTGTTGCGAGCAGCAGCGAGGAGAGACTGGCGGAGGTCTTCATCTTGCCTTGCTTGTCCGGGGCTTTCTTTGCTTCACAATAGGAAACGTACTGTGGGATTGACTAGTAAGGAGTGAAAGAAAAGCTTACCAAACCTTTACCACGGGACGAGACGCTACTAAATAACGGTACCCTACCTCCAACGACTCCGCTCCTCGCTCTCCTCTCTCCGCAGCAGCATGAACGGTGAAGATGTCATGAGGGTCAACGACCATGCACCTCCACGAGCTCCTCCATGCGCTAAGGGCGTGAAATTCTGCTTGTTCCTGCATGAAGTGGGGTCTCCATGCTACCTCGTGTTGCTGGTCTAACTAAAGAAAGCAAGTGAGGTTAGGTCAAGAGTCGGAAGGTGGAGGATCGGGACAGCAAGCTTTTGATCGTCATGCGGAGATTCTGGAAACGGACTGGAGAGGGAGGGGGAAAGAATAGATAATATCCGGGGGCAGGAAGGATGCTTCGATCAGGATGCTACATCGTTCGGCAGAAGGTGGAAAGATTAACATGTGCTTGCTTGCCGCTTCGAACTGGCAGATGCGAGAGCGAAGCACTGAGTTGGCTTCTGCGTTGCAAGATCTCTTGTGAGATTAGAGAAGCTGCTCGATGGTGTTGCGGTCGACTAGTAGCGACAGCCCTATGTTCTCTTCTCTACACGACAAGCTCGACAAATCCGTTCGATACAACGTAGTGTTTTCGCTATCGCAGTCACAGAGCAAGGCTCAATCAATACTCCTTGCCCGTCAACTCATTGTCATAAGTGTCGACCTGATATTTCGCAGATTGGAAGGTGAAATAATGTAGTTCGGGGGATTCCTGGGTTTGTCAATGCGACGATGCCAACTACCTGATCACATTGTCCGGCAGACGGTGAGATGAGACGAAGTGCTTAACAAAGCATAATCTTCTCTCCTGATGACATACCAGTTACCTTATTCTACTCGTGGACGAAGAAGTCGGGCTCGGAGAAGCAAATCGGCACTCCACATTGTTTGATGATGCTTCACGGTCGTCAAAGACACATATAGTTGCTCCGAGTGCGTTGCAGCTCTGAGCTCCAGGCAAGGTTCAGGTAACGATGCGCAGCGTGAGCGTGCGTCTTTTGGCCTCCGCCACGGTCAAGGCAACATGGAATCGAGGGAAAGGCGGAAGGAAGAGTGTAGAGTGGACGCGGGGGTGTTCGGTTGATATAACTACATCTTTTCAGCAAATGTCAAAACGAGGCAGAGCAGAGCAGGATATGCCCAGATCCCAGCACGCATCCCTCACCACTAACCCCCCTCTCCTTTTCTCGCCCCCGTCCATGGAGTAGTTCGGATCACAAAAACGGCCCCTCCCAGTCCTCCCTTCGGATCTTCATAACATTACTCTGCTTATGCTTAAACCCCACCTCGCCATGCTTGTGGAAGCCCACGCGCTCACAATAGTCCTTTAACCTATTGTCCCATTGTTAGCAAAAAAGCATCCCTCGAACCCCTCCCCTCCCCTGACCCTTTTGAAGGGCCCCTTTCACTTCGTTCCAGGGTAAGATAAGTACTCACTTCAAATTATCCACCCTCGGCTCCATCCAAACCCCCGCACACCGCATATCGCTCAACAAACACCAATGCACCAACGCACTAAGCCAAACCCTCACCCTCTCCCACCCCCTAAACTCCTGCTCGCCGACTAAACAGTGGATCCCGCGATCCCATTCCCCGACCTCCCCCGGTCCTAAAGCCGCGCCGAGCGCGCTCTCGCGCACCCAGTAGAGCTCGAAGTAGGCGAATGGTTTTCCGTCGAAGAGTCCGATGGCCGGGAAGGAGGAAGTGGAGGTTAAATTGGCAGCGAGGAAGGCTGCTTGGTGGGACAAGGGGCCGTGTTCGCCCCAGGAGTGCGAGACGCGCGGGAGGTTCATCCAGCGGTGCAGGAGTTGTTCGTCTGTCATTGAGGTCGTGGGGGTGTCTTCCCCCGCCGCCCCGGCTCCCCCGGAAGAGCCGGGGGGTGGGGGCGTGGAAAGGCGGTCCGCGAGTCCCATGTTCCCGAGCGTCGGCACCAGGGCGTCGCTTCCTGTGGCTGCGCCTGCGGCGCCAGAGCGAGGGACGCGGAATTCGGTGTTTTGCGTCGGCCCCGTGGCGGTCGGGCCGCGATGCACGCACGGCTGTCTGCTGCGTGAAGCGACGCGGAGAGAGAGGTATTGGTTTAGCGAGGGGATGAAGCGGGTATAGAACGTTTCGCCTTGCCGCGGGGGTTTGGGACGGATGGGGTGGCGGAGGCCGTTGGTGCGGGTATACTGTAATGGAGGCGGGGGGTAGAAGGTCGGGAGGTGGGAGGAGCTGCTGTACGGGCCGGGTGGGGTGTTGTGCCGGGTTAGGGGGTGAGGGGGTGCGGAGCCGAGGGTGGAGAGGGTAGAGGGTTCGTGGTCTGGGGTGCGGGTGCCGAGGGGGAGGTGGGTGGGTGTGGAGGCGCCGCCGCGGTTGGGGGAGGCGGGGCGCGAGGAGGCGGGGGAGACGGAGGGGAAGGGGGAGGAGGCGTGGTTGGGGCTGAGGGTGAACAGGTAGATGCGCGGGTCGAGTTGCCAGAAGGATTTGCGGGAGACGAACATTTTCGTCCAGCCTGGACATACGTCCGCATGGTCAGCATTGCTCCATATCAACAGAGCTCCAACAGCCGGGATGTTTTGCGCGTAAAATAGTACTCACCCTCCCCAGCATTCCCCACCCCATCCTCCGGATCCAACCCCACACTCGAGTCCTCTGAAGCAATCAACCCCATCCTCTCCAGCTTCGGCAGCAAATGCTTCCCCTTGAAAATCCCCTCGCGATTGATATTCACCCTCCACTCCCCCTTCGGTCTGCCCTCCAACGGCGTATCCACCGACGCCGCAGTCGTCAACCACGGCTCCGGCTCAGGCTGATGAAAGTACCACCACAGCGTCGCCCACAACATCATAGCAATACTCCTCGTCGGACTCGAACTCGGTTTGAACTCCGAACTACTCGGGTTGGAGATACTGCTTATGAACAAATGATCATTATGCAGACTCGGCTTGCGGAAGCGGTGGACATGGTGGTTCTTGTTGTCTTGCTTTTTGGGGAGGGTGGTGGGATCGTTCTCGGCGTGGACGGCGTGGGTATGGGCGGCCATGGAGGCGGTCGGGGGGATGTGGTCGGCGGCGTCGTCTTCGCTGTTGAGGATGATGGTCCAGCCCGGGGGGAAGGCGGAGTGCGGGGAGGTGAGGTCGTTGGTTTTGAAGGAGAGGCCGCCGAAGACGGGTTGGACGGTGAGGGTCATGCCGTTGGGGAGGTGGACGATTGAGGGGGCCATCTTTGCTGCTTTATCGTGGGGTCGTTTCGGAGGCCTTGTTCATGCTATTGGGAGTGTGGTCTGGCTATTTATTTCTTCTCATTCTCTTGGACTGGGCGGGCGATGTCGGGATGCGCCAGAGCCTACACTCGAGCTGTTGACTCTCTGACAGATTTGCTGGTTGACCTGTCCGTGTCTTCTACCCCATGTGGACCTTATGAGTGGTGGTTGGAAGCTGTCCGTATGGTATTGTCCAATGGCTCACTCAGCTCAGGTGAGGTCCATCTACCTCGCTACATCACCTCGAGCTTTCCTTCTTCTCCCATCCCCCGCACTCTCCCATGCCTAGAGCGGAGCGGGAAAACGTAAAGCCAGCCCATGTGCGCCATCTCGTCTATCGGCGTCTATAATTGGTTCGCTCACGTGTTGGATAAATTGCTCCAATTCTGGTTAAACGTGGGCAGAAGTAGTAGAGTTAGGGGTCTGGCGTGGTTGGAGATCTGCGACGAGAGTGATCGACTGTCCATGCTTGTGTCTGAGATACGTTTGGGGAAAGCAGGGAGAGGTGATTGCGTTGCACCGAGTGGATAGACGCACGTGGGAGAGAGCTTGATTGATTGAGTGATTGACTGGGGCGGAAAGAGTGGAGAGCCAGGAAAGTTATCGGCTTCACGTGTCAGAGTGACAGCAAGGCGATAACGCGCAGAAGAGGAGAAACACCCCTATCGCGGCGTCCATACCACGACTCATGCGCCGTCCAGATCTGATGCTGAGATCGACGACGACGGGCATCAACCTAGACGCGTGTTACACCCACGACTCCGACGTTTCGGCGCGGTGGACTCGAGACCACCCATATGTGAGCGCGGTGTAACACGAGGGCAAGATGTTCTCCAAGAAGCGCAAACAGCAGGACCTGGCCACCCAGAAGGGGTTAGGGATTGCCGTTCAACCACCACCGCAATCGCAACAGAAGCAGGCGCAATCACGACCGACCCCTCCAGCGCAACCTCTACCGCCAGCACCGCATACCAGGACGACTTCGAGTGGGAGTGGGAAGCCATTGGTCAGTCCGCTGCAGATGACGTTTGACTTCGAACTGCCCCCGAGTCCTGCATTGTCGACACAGAGTCCGTATAAATCGAGTCTGGAGGGTGAAGGAGAGCTGCGGCCAAAGACGAGTGATGGGACATTGAACAGGAAGACGGGCATGAGTCTGGCTCCTCCGATGCTGCCGCCCATAAGAAGAGTGGCGAGCAAGGAGAGTTCGCTGGCGAGTGAAGGAGGGGTGGAGCTGGAAGGGTCGACACCACCACGACCTCCAAGCAGTGGGAGTGCGAGAGAGGTGCAGAAGAAGAAGAGTGCGTCTTCGATAGGACATCCACCTCCACTGCCTCCTCCACCGCCGGAGCCGCCAAGCTTTGCCAGATTCGACAGCGATAATGTGTCTACATCCAGCAGCAAGAGCAGACGGAAGAGCAGGATCAAGTCTTTCTTCGGCTTTGAGCCGCCGCCGGATCTTTCGTCCATATCAAGACCTTCGAGCTCGTCGGGTACACCGAGAATGACGCCACGGCAGGTCTCGACGGGAGGAGAGACAACGTCTCGTCCGGCAACCAGTGGAGGCGATTCGACTCCGATAAAGATGGAGTCTTCTCTGTTCCCGTCGAGAGAGCCACCACCACCAGCACTGCCATCCTTCGACACAGGTACGCCGGCGATGACGAGGGCATGGATAGACGCAAGGGATAAACCGTATGGTCCGCCCTCGGCTGCACCTCCACGACCGCCTCCATTACAGCCAGCGCAGAGCTCGCCAGATTTGTCTGTCAAAGCTCGCTCGCCTTCGGCAAAGACGAACTTCAGCAAGCGGAGTCCGTTGGTGACCGCGGAGTCGCCTGCCTCGGGTACAGCTTCCCGGCAGAGTCCGCAGACGTATTTCTCATCATCACCTGCTGGAAATACAGTCCAGCGGCTGCCTTCTCATGCACCGACGAACTATTCCGGCTCAACGGCGAGGAGTACCATGTCTTCCAAGTCTACGGCTGCCACAGACAACGGTCCTATCCAGACGGTAGGAACACCTTATCAAGAAACATCGCCTTCCTTTCCTCTCCCCCAACACGGCACTACACGACCAAAGACAGCTGGGCATAGCCACACCCCCTCATCCATCGGCGGCGTCAACATCCCCACCCACCACTCCTCCGCCCTCCCGCGAAGCGCCGACTCCACCCCCAAACCCACCGACCCCCCACCAAAATCCTCCGAAAAGGCAGAAAAGCGCAAAACCCGCCTCCTCAACCCCCTCGCCCTCCTCTCCCGCCGCCGCAGCGCCCAAGACGACTCCTCCAACCCCACCACCAGCGCGGCGGAGAAAGCCGCCCAGGCCGCCGCCCTCGCCCGCCAACGCCACGTCGCCGCCACGGGAAGCATTTCACGCATACCGGACGACTACGACCCGCGGATCCGCGGCGCGGGGGTGCATGATTTTTCAAGACCGAGGGATCAGAAGTTCATGAGGGGTTTTAGCTATAATGACGCCGAGTACTTGGCTTTTCAGCGGGAGGAGGAGAGGGAGAGGATGGAGGAGAGCTTGGGGGTGGGGAGGCTTGTGGCTGGTGAGGCGGAGGAGGGGGAGGAGGCACTGCTGCAGAGGGGGCCGAAGTTGACGTTTGCGCATCAGTCGTTTTTGGCGTCGCCGGTGGGCTCGCCTTCCAACTCGACTTTCCCAGCTACCACAACGCAGAGGCAGAGCGCGCGCTCGCCGAACCACAACCCCAGCACCTCCCAGACCAGCTCCAAGCGCACGACGGGTTTCTTCCAGGAACACCTCAACGACACCTCAGGACCCGCTGACTCCGCTTCTGCGGTAGGAGGCAGAGTGCAGGCCGAGCGGTTGGAGAATAAGGATTTCCTCCAACGCGCTTCGTTCTTGTCTCAACAGAGCGGCGTTAGCAGTAACGAGAGTGGTGTGCTGCCGGTTTTTGCGCGGCGGAGCGGCGTTGTTCCGGAAGATGGAAGGGGCTATGGACAGCGGTTCTCCGGGGGCGAAGCGTCCGAGGGGGAGGGAGTCAGTCCCGTCACCTCTGCCCTCGCCGATGTGCGTCTGAGCCAGAACATCAGCCCTGTGTCGCCTTCGACCTCGGATCCACGCATCTCTTCCGCGTCCGCGCAGCCCTCGTCTTCCGACCGCAGCAGCGCCATGTCTGAGCTGCAGCAGCGGAGGAAATCCAGGGTGAAGAGCGGGAATAGCATCGGCAGCAGCCTCAGCGACACCTGGTCCACCGGACGGCCTTTCTCTTCTACCGAACAGGCGATGCCGAAATTCGCTTCTACGACGGAGACGGAGACGGAAACGCAGAGGGGTGGTCCGCCGATTTCTATCACTATACCGTCCCATCCCGCGCCTGCGCCTGCGCCGGTGAGGGAACCGCCTGAGATCCCTGCCCGTGGGACTTCTGCCGCTGCCGCTGCGAGTTTGGGGACGGGAGCAGGAGCGGGCGCAAGGGCAAGCAGTCCCCTTTCCACGATCAATTCCCCCTCCACCTCAGCGCCGGACATGGACTTACCCTCCGACGCCCCGACGCCGGAGCCGATGGTGGCGGAGGGCGTGCGCTTTTCCACTGCGCAACCCGGCGCTGGGGCGAGGCTGGTGGAGAAACGCCGTTCCGCGGTCGGACATGCGCGGCGGAGCGGGGGCGCTGCGCGGAGCGCTGGGAGCGGGAAGAGCGGTAATGGCGGGGTGCCCAAGCACCATGTGAGCAATGCTTCGCGCTTCAGTTTCCAGCTCGGTAGTGCGGAGGAGGAGAGGGCGTTGGAGGCTAAGGCGCGGGAGGTGAGGGAGCGGATGGGTATACAGGCTGCTGCTCCTCAGAACGGTCGAGGTGGGCAAGGGGCTGGACAGGGTGATGATGGGAGTGAGGAGGATTTCGATGAAGACGCTATGGATGATTTGGACGAGATGGAGATGATGGGGTTGAATGATCGGGACTCTGAGGACGAGGACCGGGGGGTGGGGGATGCGGTGAACCACGCAAGTCAGAGGCCGGTGTCGACGGCCCCGAGTGCCATGATCCCGCCGTCCGTTACGGAAAGTAAACGAAAAGACCGAGCGAGCGTGGCGAACTTTCTCTACCGCCCTGCCAGTGCCGCCACCACGCCATCCTCCACTAAACCTACCAAGCCTGGACATGGACATGGACATGAGAATAGGACGTCCACCACTTTGCAGATGATGGTTAATGATCGCGAAGACGGGGATAGTGAAGAGGAGGATGAAGAGGAAGAGCCGTATTGGATGCATGAGGATTTCTTGGGGTATGAGGACGGCGGCGCCGAAGGCGAGCGACGGCCTTCGATGGCCAACACAGCTTCTCCGATGAGTCCAAGGGCAGGCGGGTTTTATATGCAACCGAAAGCTGCTGCTGGAGCACATTCACTGTCTTCGCAAGATATGGCGCCGGCTTCTACGCAGAGCCAGGAGAGAAGCAGGGACAGTGGTGGAAGTGGGGCGAGGGCGATCGACCTCCCCTTCGCTACGACAACTATTGATGCGGATGGCCGCATGACGCACCAGAGCCAGCAAAGGTCCAGCGGCGGGAGTAGCAGCAACGCCATTTCCCTTCCCTTCGCCACCACGATGATTGACGCCAACGGCCGCATGACACATACACAGACGCGTTCGCAGCACACGCCTGCCATGTCGTCCAGTACTTTCGGCGAGAACAGCTCCTCTTCCGCTTCGGACAGGAGGACGTTGAGCGCGGGGCTAGGACTGAGTGGATTCAGTGATTTCAGGTTCGGGGATTCTGCGTCGAGTTCACGGCCGGGGAGTATGGGACTGCAGGGACCTCTGCGCGACTCTGCTGTTGCTGGACCTCCGAGGGCCAAGGAGGAGGGAGGCGAGAGGAAGGAGAACAGAAGGACGAGGGATTCCGAAACCATACCCTATGATGTGGATTGGACGGCTGAAGAGAGCGCGAAGGCTTCCCCGGCGATTGCTACTCGTGGTATTGGGGGTTGGGACCGGGAGTGGAGACGGCGGGACTCCTCTCCCCTGGTCAACGTTGCTGGAGCAAAACCTGGCGCCGCTGGGAAGGGTGAGAGAGCGATGGACGATGATGATATGTACTTTGACGATGGGGGCTTTGGGGAGGATGTTGATGCAGCTTCTTCGCCCGCTGTGGGTGGTGGTGCTGGGAGGAATGGGGTAAGAACGGCGGATGGGAAGGTGGTGGGGGAGGAGAGGTTTGATGATGACGATTTCCTCGCCCGCAACAACAACAACACCGCCTCTCGGCCGACTAGCAATGGCATCCCGCACACCTCGCCGCCGCCGCCGCCGCCTCCGGCTTTCAACCCATTACTACAACCAACCCACCACCAGCAGCACGCCACAAGTCTCGGCTCCGATGGACCCTACCCCTCCTTCGCCATGCCCAACCCTCTCAGAGCGCGCGAACGAGACTCCCGCCTTTTACTCGAAGACCTTCCCCTGCACGCCGGCCCCGGACCCGTCGATCCTAGTCTCCTCCCACGCAGAAATCCGAGCGAGGACGCCAAGAGGTTGGGACTGAGTAGCAGGGCGCCTCCGCTGCCTGCGCAGCAGGATTTGGGGGGCGAGGCGCAGCGGGTGCAGGAGCGGTTGACGCGGTATCATGCTGCGTTGGCTGAGGCGGCGAATCGGGCTGCTGCGGAGGGGAGGTTTGTGCGGGCGCCTAGTTCGGCGACGGAGAGTGTGAGGTCCCATATGGAGCTGGGGAGGAGTGATTCTACGGGAGGAGAGGAAGAGGAGGAGGCAGCAGGAGGAGCTGCGCAGATGGTCGATGAGAATACGACTGCAGGAGACAAGAGTCACGATGTCGTGAGCGGTGGAGCGCCTTACAGCCTGCCTAAGCTGAGTTTTGACTTTGGCTTCGACACCAGCCGTTTCTCCGCCGGTGAGCTGGACTTCTCCACCGACGCTCTCCAGTCCAATGGCGTTTCTAACAACGTCTACGCAAATGCCAACGGCTACGACTCCACCAACGGCATCCCCTGCAACTCCAGCACCGCTCCCAACGACGCCTACTCCAGCACCTACGACTCCACCTCCGCCATCCCCAACGACGACCTCGACGACTCCTACGACGACTTCGACTACGAAGACGACGACATCATCTCTGCCGCCAACGCCTCCGCCCTCGCTTCCGATGATGCCGGTTTTTATGGGCAGGAATTCGGCTTCTTCGCCCGCTCCCGTCCGACTTCCAGGGGCAAAGCCTCGAAGAGTAAATCCGGCGGCGGTAGGAACGTCCCCGCCGAACCACAAGCGATTAATGGCGGCTTTTTTGGAGCAGAGGGAGATGATGGGTTGGCGCGGCAGAAAAGTCTCCGTGAACCGAACCTCACACCCATCACCGAACGCAGCGAATTCTCAACCCGCAACTCCTTCGTATTTGGCCCCGCGAGCGCGGGCGGCTGGGGCTCACACAGCGCGGCGCGCTTTCCACCCTTATCCCCTGGACTCGTCGGGGTAGAGGGTGAGGGCGTGGTGACGAGTTTTGAAGAACTCCGTAGACTGCGAGGCGCGGCTTTTGCTGGTGGAGGGGGCGGGAGTCAGGGGAGCTTGAGGAGTGAGGGGCGCGGGAGCCAGGGTAGTTTGCAGGGGTATTTTTCGGGGGTGGGTGGCGTGCCGATGGCGGTGGGGTGGAGTCAGAGCTCGGAGGGCTCGCAAGGGCAGTTGGGGCAGAGTCCGCATTCGGCTTCGAGCAGTGGACACTTGCCGTTTTCTGTGGCCGAGGAGGGGAGGGAGGGTGTGGATGCTACGCCGAAGCGAGCTTCCGCAGCTACTAGTGGTGTTGGAAGTGGGCAGGAAGTGCAGAGCCCGACGACCGTCCGCAAAGCCTCCCACTCCAATACCCTCGGCAGAGCATACGGACATTCAAGGAATAGCAGCGGCGCGGACTCGGTTACGTACGTGCAAGAGCGGGATCCGGATGGTTCTGGGCCACCGCGCTGGGTGCTGGAGCGGAGGCGGACGAGTGAGATGGGGGAGGTGGAGGTGGTGGGAAGGGAGGTTGTGCAGGGGGGATGGATATGATTTGATCCCGGGAATAGGAGATGGAGAGGGGTCGTATTTGCGGTTCACCGGGGCGTTCTCAAGGAGCAAAAGTGTCATGAGCATATTGATGGTATTGCTTAATGGTAAAAGATGAGGGGATGAGGGATGGGAATGATGGATCGGGGAGGAGGGGGGAGTGTACAGATATGTGAATAGTGTATACCTTAGCCTTCTTTGTATAATGTACATTACTGACTGACACTGAACCATGCAAGCTGTCTACATTGTGAGAACGAGTGCAAAATACTGTATCGTCTATCCATCTAAAGACGTCTAACATCTAAGCCTTCCGCACAAACACAGGCATCCGCTCAATCGGACACTCAACCTCCACCGTCTTCCCGCCCTCGTACTTCTCCTTCCCCTCCCAGTCCTCCCACCACGCCCCCTTCGGCAAATAGACCTTTATCGTCTTCTGCCCCGGCGCCAACACAGGCGCTACGAGGTACTTGTGCCCGTACATGTACTGCTCCTCGGCTTCCCACGCTTGGCTGTCGGAGGGGAACTCGTAGAACAGCGGGCGGATGACTGGGGTGCCTTTTTCGTGCGCCGCCTGCATGAGGGAGCGGGTGTAGTCGCGCAGTTGTGAGCGGATGGTGATGTAGTGTTTGCAGATTTCGTAGACTTCGGGGGTGTAGGACCATATCTCGTTATCGGCTCCTAGAAAGCCCGAAGGCCGACGAAGTTAGCAAACATCTCAATACCACGAAAGAGCCTCTCGAAGAAACCCAGCACCACTTACCCGTCGCACTCCCCTCCCCTGTCTTCGGCTCCCGATCCCCATGCAGCCGCATCACAGGACAAAACGCTCCCCACTGGAACCAGCGCACAAAGAGCTCGTGGAAAGCCGGATCGCGGATGTCGCCGCCGTGGAAACCGCCGATGTCTGTCGTCCACCAGGGGATTCCTGCGATGCCCATGTTCAGGCCCGCGGCAAGTTGGTTGCGGAGGGAGGACCAGGAGGAGGCAATGTCGCCGGACCTGTACAAAAGGATCAGCAGATGAGGTGTGATAGGAGGGCGGGGTGTGATGGAGTTCCTACCAGACGAGTGCGCCATATTTCTGGCTCCCGGCCCAGGCGCAGCGCAAGAGGTTGACGATGTTCTTTTGGTCGGAGGCCTGCTGGCCTTCGTAGAATGCGCGGGCGTACTCTTTGGGGTAAATGTTGCCAGTTCGAAGTGAAGAGCCGGAGTGGTAGCGAATGATGTCGTAGTCGTAGATGCTAAATTCGGGCTCCGCTTCGTCCAGCCAGAAGGTTTTGATACCGAGGTCGTAATAATGCTTCTTCGCCTTCTCCCAGATGAATTTGCGAGCTTCAGGGTTCGTGGCGTCAAAGTGCGTCACATCTGCGTTCATCTGCATGGCCACTCTGACACCTCTATCATGCCGGATCAACAAACCCTTCTCGACCATCTCGTCCCAGTTCTCCGAAGCTGGCTCAACAGTCGGCCATATCGACACCATAAGCTCGACGTTCATCTCCTTCAGCTCCTTGACCATCGCAGCAGGATCAGGGAAGCATTTCGGATCAAACGACCATTCGCCTTGGTGCACCCAGTGGAAGAAGTCGATCACGATGAGGTCGAGGGGGATCTCACGCTTCTTGTACTCGCGGGCTACAGTTAGTAACTGCTCCTGCGTCTCGTAGCGGAGCTTGCATTGCCAGAACCCCAGACCGTATTCGGGCATCATGGGAGCATAGCCGGTTACTTTGGCGTAGGCTTCTACGATCTCAGCGGGAGTGTCGCCGGCCACGATCCAGTAGTCGATTAGTTTGGTGGAGTAGTTTTCGAAGCTCATAGTGTTCTTTCCTAGTACCGCGCGACCGATGCCGGGGTTGTTCCATAACATTCCGTACCCGAGAGACGAGAGAGCAAATGGAACGCTGGCTTGAGAGTTCCGGTGAGCCATCTCGATGTCGGAGCCTTTGAGGTCGAGGTAGGGTTGTTGGTACTGTCCCATGCCGTAGATCTTCTCGTTGGGATCGATGGATTCTAGTCGGAGGGTTGAGTGGAAGTCGCCTCCAGCTATGCCTTTGAGCTCTCGGGCTTCGATGGAGAGGGCGCTGCATTTCGGATCCTGGAGATCGAGGCGGTGGCGAGCATATTCTTCTAGTAGTCTTTTGCCATTGGAGTCGTACATGATCACCTTGCCACGGTGGGAGACTTCAGCCTTGATCTTGCCGTTGGAGATAGTAGCGGATCCATCTTTGGCGATGTCAATCGAGACGCTCTTACTGACGTCTGCTGTCTTCTCCGTCAAAGCCCAGTCCTCAGTAGGCATCTGGGATAGTTTTGTCGCCCGCACCCGGAGGGCATTCTCGCCCCATGGTTCCAGCCAGAGTGTATGGTCGTCGTAGCGGAAGATGAGCTTGTTATCTTCAGCGTACAACATCTTGAGATTCACTTCCTGGTAGAGCGGTCTGCCAGGAAACGCAGCGGCTCTTTCAATATCAAAATGTTGGTCCCTACCCACCTACCTGTCAATGTGGACCTGTTCCTCGCTGTGCTGGCATGCCGAGGACGCGGACGCCCACCGGGATGAGCCCCAGCGAGCAAGCATCGGGCAAGAGAGTGGTGAGGTTACATTGCCGATGCTCTCACGGCGCTGTAGGCTAAATGGACGTACGATTCATGGCAATATCAGCAGGTCTTCTCACTACAAGTACGACGTGACGTTGAGTGGTGGAGAAATGGTAGTGATGTGGAAGCACCCGAGCGATCCCTGCTCACCCTGTTCTTCGACTTCAGCCCTCTCCTTCCCCTCTTCACCTCCACACTCACCTCCACACCACAAGGCTGGGGTTGGTATAGCGTCGGCCGTTTCCCCTCGAGTCTATCAAGCAGTGGCCGAGAACCGTAAGCACATGACTGGGTGTCCACATGCCGCGATGCGAGCACGCCTTGTCCGCCAACACTCCGATGGGCGAGACCTTGGCCTTGCAACTTCAGCACGACGATGATAGGTCGATGAACCTCTTGTTGCTCGAACCGAGCTTACACTGCGACGACATGGCTTGTTTTACTACATGCCTGCATGCCTTGCCACCGGGCTCGAGGGCCTTCACGCCGTTTCCTCGGTATGGCTTGTCCTTGAGTCGGCGTATGTAGGTCGGTATAAGCTCTCTTGTGTCTCCCCTCTCCTCATTTCAGTGTTGCTCTCTTTGGCTTTAGACGAATAAGTCTGGATTGAGTTGAACAACACCATGGCGAACGAGAAGGAAGACGTGCCCATCGAAAAGGCCGCCGCCGCCCACATCGAAGGCAGTAGTGACACGAAAGAGGCCAAGATCGCAAACCAAGCCGAGCACGAGACGACGCTATGGCAAGCACTGAAGGAGAACAAGAAGGCGGCGTTGTGGTCTGCGATCATCTCGTTGACCATCATCATGGAAGGTTATGATGTTGGTAGGTCCAGAACTCGCACTCCTGGTACTTTGTGCCTGAGCTGAACCATATGGACAGGTCTGATCTACCAATTCTTCGCCTACCCGTCTTTTGCGGAGACCTTCGGCCAATATGATGCTTCTACGGACTCCTACCAGGTTTCTGGGCCATGGCAAGCTGGGCTGGCCAACGGCGCGAACTGCGGTATCATCATGTCAGTCAATTCCTCAATACCCAGCCCCTTCTTCTTTCTTTACCGCTAACCCGTCTTTTTGCAAACAGCGGCGGCTTCCTCAACGGCTTCCTCTCCGCCCGCTACGGCTACAAGAAAGTCATCCTCTGGTCCCTCTTCTTTATGAACTGGTTCATCTTCCTCCCGTTCTTCTCTCAAACTCCCCAAGTCCTCCTCGTCGGACAGATCCTCTGCGGTCTCACCTGGGGTGTTTTCGCTACTACCGGCCCTGCCTACGCCTCTGAGGTCTGCCCTCTCGCGCTCCGAGGCTACCTGACCTGCTACGTCAACCTCTGCTGGGCGATCGGCCAGCTCATCGCCGCGGGCGTACTGTACGGGTTGTTGGATTTGAGAGGGCAGTGGAGCTACCGCGTCTGCTATGCGCTGCAGTGGGTTTGGCCTATCCCGCTTTTCATCATCATCCTCTTCGGCCCGGAAAGTCCTTGGTATCTCATCCGCAACGACCGTGTTGAAGATGCGTACAAAGCGCTGAAGAAATTGGATAATAAGGGCGAGGACTCGCATCGCCGCACCATTGCGCAGATCATGCATACGCTCAAGATTGAGGAGTCGATGGAGTCAGGGTCGAGCTACTTCGATTGCTTCCGCGGGACCGATCGGAGGAGGACTGAAGTCGTGTGTATGACCTTCGCTGGACAGGTGCTTTCGGGCTCGACCTTTGCCTACGGCCCAACGTACTTCTTTCAGCAAGCCGGCATCTCCACAGACAAGTCTTACCAAATCGCTGTTGGCGGCACTGGCGTGGCATTCGTCGGGACAGTAATCTCCTGGTTCCTGCTCAGCAAGTTTGGGCGACGAACGCTGTACGTCGGCGGCCTGGCAATCGACTGCCTCATTCTCCTCATCGTTGGCATACTCGCCTCTGCTTCGGAGTCATCGGGAGCAAAATGGGGACAAGCGGCGCTCTGCCTCTTATGGTTGTTTGTCTACTCGTCAACGGTCGGACCGATCTGCTATACCATCATCTCCGAAACCTCGAGCCTGCGGCTTCGCGCGAAGTCCGTGTGTTTGTCAAGGAACATTTACAACATCACACAAGTCAGCAGACCGTCTCCTCCCACCTTGTGACTCTGCTAACCTTCCTGCACATTAGATCATCGCCAACATCATCGAACCCTACCTCATCAACCCAACCGAAGCCAACCTCAAGGGTGAGACGGCGTACTTCTGGTTCGCCACTGCGTTCTGTGCACTCGTCTGGGCGTTTTTCCGACTGCCTGAGGTAAGTCCGCCCTTTCTCTTCTAATCTCACGATGAATAGAGGATAGCTGACACACGTTGTAGTGCCGTGGAAGGACGTACGAAGAACTCGATGTCATGTTCCACCAGAAAGTGCCGGCGCGGAAGTTCGCGAAGTATCAGGTTGATGCTTATGATAACGAGTTGACGGGCAAGGAGTAGGCTGTGGGTCTTTCTCTGCGGCCTGTGGTTATGGCGATGTGGAGGAGTAGCAGCATCGAATGCATCTGTCGCTACTGTCACGATGATCGAACAGCTCCTCAATCTGTAACAGACCTTGCAATGCAGAGGGCAACCCTGTGCTTCGCTCTCGCGTCTGTTAACGTTGTTGTTCGCTTCTGACGTTTATTAGAACGGCAACTTGGCAGGTGACGTGAGCCTGTGATCTCGCAACTCGAACAGTCTATGTCGAAGCGCAACCATGGACCATCAGCAGCAAATCGTCTTCAAAGACCCGTGACGAAGCAAAAGAGATCAAGAAAGAAACTCACTTGCCACGTCTCTCAGCAAAACGAAAAGAAAGGAAATTCCTTCGTACCAACCAACAAAGTCGTATAAGGCGAGTCGGACCCCGACCTTAGGACTCCTTGCCCCCGAAAAGAGAAGCAAAAAGAGATTTCCCACCTGAACTCCGCCTTTCACTGCAAAGCAGCCAGTAATGTAGGCCACTTGAATAGCAAAATTAGCAAGTCATCGACCAAGCAGCAGATTGAGAGGTTTGCATCGTCCGCACCCAAAGAGGACCGAATATTAGGGACGTGAGGGATCATAGTCGGACAAGTCCGTCCGGAGAGCTTGGTGGAACCCCATCTCAGTGAACGGCGAGGATCGAACACTGTCAGAGACCGCGTAGTCGGGGAGGCTTTGAGCATCCGGTGGCATCAATGCCATTGTGCTCGTGAGGCAGCAGGAGGTATCGAACGACCTGCTCGAATTCGTACTCTGTGCCACAACGTCGACACGCGCAGTGGCTCCAGTGTGCACCGTCGCTTCGGCTTTTTTCGCCGGTGTTGGCCACTGCCAGGGATGCAGTTGGGACATCTTACGAAGGGACAGATCCGGGGTGGTGAAGATCGGCGCTGCCATATGGTCATCGCGGCAGTCCAGCTGAGTCCTGGAAGCAGGACAGGCAGAAGAATGGGATCTTCCGGCATAATGTTTGTATATTGTTGCGTCGTCCCTACGCCGAACTGGTATGCACGAATGAGCACCTCTTCGATGCATCCAGTTGACCGGACGAGTAGTGCCGGACAGTTACTGTACGTGTATTGCTGCGTACATCATGGTGCAGCGACATGGTTTCGAGTGATCCTTGTTCGTGCCATCAGTGATCCCGGTGGCCTTGCATACTCTCTCGAAGCGCACGCGCAGGCGTCGTAGGGACCCGACTGCTGATGCGTTTGTCCCGTCATTCTTTGCTTGTCGCACATCGATCGTACGCAGGCTCGATCAGCATCTGATGATTGTGCGACCATTTGAGCGTCGTCACACGCAATGTCGACTCGAAGCCAGCAGGCAGTGAATAGATCCATCCGCATCATTCACTGCGGTTCGGATCCTTTGAACTCGACGGGGCGGGCTCCAACTTTGAGCAGCTTCCTTGTGTTAGTGGCGAGGTGCTGCCGGTCAACGTCGAGCATGAGCGTCCCCGGCGAGGGTGTCGAAAAGCATACGCGGCCTGTCGCGGTCGAAGGATTCCAGAGGCGGATATAAGCTTACACAGCATAGGCGACGAGGTTGGTGAACGCGAGCACACAAGTATCCCGGCAGTCTGGCAGACGGGAATCGGGAAGGGGGCTCGAGCGGTGGCTTCGAATTGTTCTTCGCCCGAAGCTGATTTCGTTCCGTCCCGTCTTAAGCTTCGTCGAAATTGGAAGAACGACATTCACCAGCAACTGCATCTCGCGTTGGCAGGCATGATCAGTGGCACATCAAAGCATCCGACCGAGCCACACACTCCGAGGACTTCAACACCAACAATGACGCTACACGGAAATCTTGTGCTGTTACCGTCCAACCAGCAGTGGCGAAGACCGCGGGAGTGCACTCCCGAGCGTTGAAGGACTACTAAACTTAGCGCCACCGAGCTTACCTTGGGTCTGCGGGCATGGGCTGAATCGTCAATCTAGAAGCGTAAAGGGGTGGGGGGCTCTGTAGGTACCGGTTCTTCGTATCTCTGAGAAAGTAACTTTCTTCTGTCTTGTGCTTACCTGCGTTGGTTTTGTCGCTCTTCTACCTCACCTGCTCTGTTCGGGGGCAGCAAAGGTATGGCGATACTATTTCACCCGTGGATGAAGACGGTCTTCTTCACTGTCTTTCTGTCCCTATCGCCTGTCATTTCCGCAGTCAACCACCACGATCACGACCCTGATCTCTTCCACTACAAGACCGTAAGACTCGCCAGACAAGGCAGTTGACAGGCTGGAGGCTGACTAGACGTACAGAGACCCGACCTCAAACCGCCGAAATGGGACATCATCGTCCACGACGAGTCGAGGCTCACGACAGGCTACTGGTTCGTCGGGATCAAGCCTTCCCTCGACAAGACGATAGGAACAGACCAGCCGTGGTTCGGACCGCACATATATGACCAACAAGGGGAGCTGGTATGGAGCGGCTCGCGGCAGTTGGACACTTCCAACGTAATGGACTTCCGTTTGAGCAAGATCAAGGGGAAGGACCATCTGACTGTTCTGGACCGCGATCGCCGGGAAGGGCTGATAATCAACGACAACTACGAGTTGGTGGACTCGTTCCCGGTGGATTGGGACCACCGCGATAATGTGAATGGGCACGAGCTGAACTTTGTGGGTGATGGATCCAAGGTGCTTGTCGTGAGGAACAACAAAGAGGAGTCGACACCAGGGGAGGGGGAATCAATAGGCCATTCCGGACCATGCCGGGCCAACTACAATGGTATGCGAGAGCTGGACGGCAATGCCCTTTGGATGCCAATTTTCGACTGGACAGCTCTGGGCCACATCACGCTCAACGAGAGCACGGAAAAAGGCGGCAATATCGACCACAAATGCGAGAATGACTGGGATTTCATGTACGTATGATCTCGCGCATCTCTTTGGCAGTACTAACGCTCCGCAGCCACACGAATTCTCTCGACAAGACCGACGACGGCGACTACATCCTCTCCGGCCGCCACACCAGCACCATCTACAAGATCTCGCACGTGGACGGCCACATAGTCTGGCGGATGGGCGGCAAGTTCTCCGACTTCGACATGGGCGGCATCGAGTTCTCCCGCCAACACAACATCCGCTACCAAGGCGAGAACCACACCCACATGCTCGTCTCCTTCCTCGACAACGCCAAAGGCCAAGACGCCAACCCCCCCTCCCACGACTTCTCCCGCGGCCTTCTGCTCGCTCTCAACAAGCACGAAATGACCGTCACCATGGAACACCACTACGACCACCCGTACAGAGACCACGAGAACTGGCACTACGCCAACCGCCGCGGCAGCTTGCAAATCCTGCCCAATCGCAACGTCCTCATGGGCTGGTCCGAACAGGCGCTGCAGACCGAACACACCGAAGACGGGGAGATCCTCATGGAAGCCGTATTTATAGCAGACTGGGTCGGCGCCTACCGCAACTACAAATTCGACTTTGTCGGCAAACCGCTCACCCGGCCTGACGTCTACGCCGTCTCCTACAACGAAGACGAGTTCGGTGATAAAATCCCCACCACCGACGTCGCCGTGTCCTGGAACGGGGACACCGAAGTCCGCACCTGGAAGCTCTACGCCCGGGTGGAAAACGACCGGGACGAACATCTCATGGAGACGCTCCCGCGCAGCGGCTTCGAGACGTCGTTCCACCACGACGGCCTGTGGCGGACCGTGCGGTTCGAAGGGCTCGATTCCAAGAACAAAACCATCGTCGACTCCGGCGAGATCCGCGTGGAACAGCATCCCTCCCCGCCACCGTTTGACGCGTACAAAGACCCCGCCGAAGGCATCTCCGCGAACCGGTATAAAGAAGACGGGCGGTTTCTCGGGAACCCGCATGTCACGTTCGCTTTACTCTTCATCTTAGGCGGGGTGTTGAGCGCTTTCGCGGTTCTGCTTGGATGGCTAGGTTTCTTGCCGCTGAGGTGGTTGACGGAGCGGACGAGGGGGTTGAGGGAGGTGGTGCGGTACAAGAAGGTGGCGAGGGATGAGTTTGAGGAGGAAGAGGAGGGGATGGGGTTGCCGTTGGCGAACGGGAATGGGAAGTTGAGGTTGCAGAGCCCGCAGAGTCCGCATGAGCCGCCTTAGGAGGGGGGTGAGAGTAGGGTTGTCTGGGTTTTGTTTGGGGTGTTGTGGGTATTGTGTGCGTTGAGCGTAATGTATAGAATGGTATACCATAACCTTTACACTGCTTTTAGATCCTTCCTTTTCGATCGGGCCAGTGGATCCTGTGCGCCGTCGGCGAGCATAGTCAGTGTCTGAGAATGGGTTTGGTGGACATAAAGAGCACAAGTGCCTCGTCCTGAGATTGGCAGCAGTCAGAAGATGGCAAGGACATCAAGCGGACGCTCCAGCGCCAATGCCTACAAACTGCAACCGGTCAACCAACCGCTAACCACATCCGAAGAGGAAGAAGAGGAAGACGACAGTTCCGACCCTGCAGAACCTCCTCTAGCGTTGGAGATCATCCCGCCACGACCGGCGGTACATCAGCGGCAGAGGTCGTATGCGAGACGGGCGCCGGAGCTGAAAAAGGTGCGGATTAAGGTACACGCGGAGGACATGCGGAGGACATGCGGTATGTAGCACTGAACGCTTGCGTGAACAGTTCACGTGTGCTTGGGTTCTTCGGTAGGATGGATCTTATTACGTCTGCTAAGCCCTGCATTGCTGGATCTTTGTGAGAGTCGGTCATCACCTTTCCCACCTCAAGCCTTCCTCGCCTCCCGGCGCTCACGCATGAGACGTCTTCTTTCCATCAAAAACGCCTTCAGCAGGTCGTAGTACTCCGCCACCGACCTTCTTCTACCGGTCACCGTGCGGACTCTCGCTACGTCGGCCACAGCCAGCTTCTCCGTTCCTAGCAGACCAGCATGCTCTCCACTGGTCAATTCATCCGTTGTGAGGCCATACTGCACATTGCGGTCCCCTTCGAAGTTCGCCATGCGCCTTGCGTTCACGTTGGAAGGGGCGCTCTTGAGGATTGGTGCGTCGAAGGCCTGGCAAGTATCGTTAGCCAATCTTCGATCAGAAAGCTGTATTTGAGACTTGGAGGGAAGTACCTTCGCAATCTCCACCGGACTGAAGCTCGTGGAGTGCCCCAAATTCCAAAATCCCCAGAACGTATAGAGGATAGCCAGTATGCACAGAATCTCCACGACTGCGGCCCCGACGAAGTACGTAAAGTTGGACTGGAACACGTTGATCTCGCTCACCGGCGTACCTGTGATATCGTAATGGATATCCCACCCATCGTCGATCCGGGACTTGAGCCAGCTCTCGTCGTAATGCTGTGCTGTGTAGACGCCCGTGCCTGGGTTTCGTGAAGCGCAGGTCGTTAGCCCAAGGTCCAAAAAATCTGAGTACTGACCGCCAGCAGCACGAGACTTACGGAACATCATCTCGTTGAGGATGGCCATTGCATCGTCTCGAGGGTCGCTCCAGGCGGGCTACAGAGAGAACGTCAGCGAAAATCTCAGGTATCTGGGTTCTGTTCATCAGTATCCTTACCGCACATGCATTCTGATAGTCCCAGTCCACGTAGTTCGTAAGATGGCCAAAAGCGAGCGGAGATGACTGCTTCCACGCGAGAACTGGGGTATCGCCCTCGACCGGTGATGGCACCAGTGCGCCCCAGGTGGCGAAGCTCCATTGAGCTATGTGCGCCATACCGCTGAGGGTGGTTCGGACGTAACTCGGTACCGGAGGGTAGTGGAGGTCGTACTCTGCAATCGTCCGGTCGGTGATTGCAGCATTCTCCGCTAATGCAATAATCTTGGGATTACTGGGTGGTTCCGCGAACGTGACAGTCCCGTCAGTCACGGTAATTGGATACTCGGCGACGGCAGAGCGGAGGTAACAGCTCGTCGTGTTGAGGTTTCCCGCGCATGTTTCGGCCACCGCGTTGTCTGAGATTCGAGTCCCGAGTATAAGATTCTCGCTGACATCGTTGGCGATCGTGTTGTTGACCGATATCGGCACGACAAAGAAGACTGTTCGGTTCGTTGGCACTGCTTGGATGTCATCGTAAGCGGCCTGCTCTTGCTTTGGCAGAGGCTCCGCGTAATTGATGTAGCTCAACGTCGTGTAACACTCCGTCACTGCCAGCGCGGGTGCGCGAACTGTGCCAGTACAGGTCCCGGAGCATCCTGTCACGCCAATTATTGGGCTTTGATCTATATACTCTCTGACAATAGGCAAGAAGTCCTTGGTAAAATCCGTGGACAAGAGCGGGTACAGTGAGTACTCTGACCACCCAGTGAAGTATGCAGGGACCGTTGGCGTGATCGACACATTCAGGGGAATAGGTTGCTGTGGAGTGCTGGAGGTAACGGAACTAGCACGCTGGAGCAGTGGACCATCCATAGCCACGAGTGTTCCACACAGACATGCCAAAGCCAGTGCATTGAACCGGCGCCCAGAGACCATGGCTCTGAATAGGAACTGACCAACGCCCCAGTCCTCGTGCATGTCCTTCAGCGTGGTACCGGCCAAGGCTTTCAGCCACCATGTCACCACCGTCCCTTGGACGACTGCGAAGCTCAGGGCTTTGTTGCTGAGGGCAGTGAGGATGGCCAGATAGACTGTTGGCTGGTACTTCCAGTCTGCCACTGCATCGCCATCAGAGGCTTTGAGAATCGCAAATGAGGCAACAGTCGACAGGACCGCGAACAGAAGAGCTCCGAGGCCGACAAGCGGGGCGATGCGAAGGAATGAAGGTCTCCAGTTGATTCTGTGCTGTTCGAGAGGGTGTGTCGTGACATATGGTCCTTTTTCAGTGTCTGTCGACAGCGTTGCAGTGGCCTGACATGGCGATTCTGCCGATGGGCACAACGTCGCAGGCGAGGATGCCTCTGAGCTGGCTGTCACTAGGGTCGCCAGGCTGTCTTTGTCGATGCTTGCATGGTTGTCGGCTTGCACAGTGTTGGTGCGTGAACTTTTGTGGTCGATCTCTGGTCGATCGTTGTCGGGCCCTTTCGCTGTTCCATCAACAGTAGCAAGGCCTGGCAGTCGTTCATTCGGTAAAGACATCTTGTAGTGTGCTCAAACAAGTAGGAGTCAACCAGATGATCTTGATAATTCTTGAGTCCTACCTTTTCTGGGGAACAGAGCTGGAGGAGCCCACCACCACCCATAAATATTCCATTGCCATGGCATCACCCTCGCGTATGCGCTGAATGAATTATCTGTACGCGTACAAAACCATTTAGACGAACGCCACGAGGTTTGTCAGACCACGAGGGTACACAATCTCTTGTTGGCTGGCGCAAGAGAACATGCTGAAGCGATGGAGGAGTGGCGAATCTGAAGCCGTCAATGGGGAAGCGTAGTAAGCAGTGTACCGTCAGCTTTTACTCAGCTCCCACGTAGATTTCTTACACATCAGACCTAAAGTCTTGAAGGCGTTGTGGAAATGCGGTGTCGACGAGGCTAGAGTCGTTGATCGGACCGTCGATCGCAGCGTGCACTGAAGATCGAGTCTTTGCGAGTACCTCATGCTGTTGAAGTGGTAGTCATTCAGCGCGTTCAGTCCTGGGCGTCGATGCTAGCCGACAAGCTGCGAGACGTTGCTGGACTGCCCTCCAATGGAATTGACACTCATACCATTAGTTCACGGCTTGGACGAGAGGCGCCCGTGCGTCACATGTCCAAAGGGCAGCCGTGCGGTCCACGCAGCTGACTACTGCGGATGGGGGTTGACGGTGCAATAAACGCGCTGTGGAAGGTGCATTGTCGTCCATGACAGTGTCTAGATACAGATGATGAAAGACATGAGGTTAGAAACATGAAGTCCCGTTGCGCTGGCCCAAAGAACGCACGGACCGCCGCTTGAACCACCTCAAGTGCTCAGACATGTGATAGATCTGTACACTCTTCATCATCTCCATAGGACCCGACCACGGTCTTTGTCGATTGACGAGGACGCAGTGAGAAAGCTGAGATGCTCAGCAGAGAAGGCGAAGCTGGAGCTCACCCGAGCTAGGTAGGTGAGAAGCGCGCATATCGTTCCATCTGGTCTTCTTGTACCACATGTCCAACAACATCTCACGCCCCACGAATACCGCAATGGCCTCCCACATCGAGCCCCCCAGCAACCTCGCCCAAGTACCCACCGACCCCAAAGACCGCCCGCGATACACTCCCGAAGAGCTACAGACATACTTCACCCGCATATCTCTCCCCTCACCCTACACCACCTCCCCAGTCCTCACAGACCCCTCCCTTGCCCAAACAAAAGAACATGGCCTCCCGCTAATCCACGCCATGATGCTGCACCATCTCTCCACCGTCCCTTTCGAGAACCTCGAACTCCACTACTCCGCCCACAAAACCATCAGCCTCAACATGGACGACCTGTTCGAGAAGTTCGCTCGCAACGGGCTGAAGTACGGCCGCGGAGGGCGGTGCATGGAGAACAACTCCTTCTTCGGCACGGTCCTGCGCTCTCTGGGCTACGAAGTCCGGAACTGTGCGGGTAGGGTCTCGAGAGCCATGAGTCCGTTGAAGCATATCCGGGAAGAACAGGGACATACTTATGATGGGTGGAATCACATGTTGAACCTCGTTCGTCTAGATGAGGACTGGTGGGTCGTGGACGTGGGAATGGGGAGTATGGGGCCACAAGTCCCTTATCCGCTGCAAGATGGGTACGAGCAGGTCGCTGTGGCGCCGAGGAGGATACGGTTGCAGTTACGGCCGATTGCGGAGAGCTATGCGAATGCTGGGAACGGTGTGGAGCCGCCGAAGTTGTGGTGTTATGATGTCTGTTTGAAACCTGGGGCGGCAGGAGGCGATGTATGGACGCCGCATTATTGTTTCACGGAGATGGAGTTTCTGCCGCAGGACTATGAGATGATGAGTTGGTTCACTTCGACGAACAAGAAGTGCTTTTTCGTGTATTCGGTGGTTTGTATGAAGATGTTGCTTGATGAGGCAAAGGAGAAGATTGTGGGGAATATCACGCTGTTTAATGATAAAGTTACGAGGAATGTAGGAGCGGAGCGAGAAGTGCTGAGAGAGCTGAAGACTGAACAGGAACGCATCGATGCATTGCGAGAGTACTTCAACGTCGAGCTGACGGAGGAGGAGAAGGAGGGTATTTCGCCAGATTTCAGACTACAGTCTTGATCGATCCCTTCCCTTCCATCACAGAATACTTTTAAGCCTCAACAGCGACCTCACTCCCCCCAACGACATCCATTGCCGTCTCAGGCTCATCCTGATACTCCACCCACGTCCCCATCTTCTTCCTCACATACTCCCCATACAACACCCCCTCGCCCCCATCAACGCTCTTCACCAAGCACCCTTCACCCGGCTCAAAGAAGAATGGCACACTAAACCTTCCCATCCCGTCCGCACGACTTGCTCCACTATCGTTCGTCCGAACCCGGTGCATCGTCGCAACGAACCGCCCGCCGCTGACATTCGCCAGCAAGTCGCCGATATTGACCACAATTGAGTTGGGAACGTACGGTGCTGGCACCCAGTCGCCGCTGGCATTCTGCACTTCGAGCCCGCCTGTCGGGTCTTGGTGCAAGAGGGTGAGGATGCCGCTGTCGGTGTGCGGTGTGCAGCAGAGCTTCACGGCGTCTTTGCCGGCCTCCTGGTGTGAAGGCTGGGGAGGGTAGTGCAGTAATCGAAGCGTGGACAATGAGTCGTGCAGGTAGGATGAGAAGAACTCTGGCGCTCTGTCTAGCGATACCGCCAGCAGGGAGAGCAGAGTCGATGACAAGGATTGGAGTTCTTCGTGCAACTTCTCGAGCCTGGCTTTGCCATCTGGGAACGATTCTTCCTCAGGCCAGACGTTCGGTTCCGTCAAGTCGAACTTCTGCGAAGCTCCAAGCGCCGATCTTCTTGGTTCCTTGGGAGGTCCGACTTCGAAACCTTCCTTGAGATTATCCTGCTGGCCTGGTTGAGGAGGGAAGTACCCGCGGTAAGTATTCTGGTTCCGCTTGACGAAGGTCTTCTTCGAAAGCTGCGACTTCTCTGCTTCGGATAGGCGGAAGAAGTCGCTAGCTAGCCTGAAGACGTCGTCGTGGGTGAATGACAAGGGTGCGTTGGTGAGGTAGGCGAAGCCGGTCGTTGCGAAGACATCGTAGAGTTGGGTGCTCAGTTGCTGTAGTTCCTGTGGTGAGGGATGAGGAGATGATAGAATAGAGAGATCGACGAGAGGGAGGGAGGAGAATGAGGTAGTCATTTTGGCGTGTATAACAAAAAGATTGAAGACGGTATATGGGAGAAGAGCAATATCCTTACCTTATGTACACTTCTTCCTCACTCCTCCGAGCCATTAGTCAAACACACTATCACACTACAGGAGCCAAGAGCCTGTTCCTTCGCAACGATTCAACCCACAGGCTCCTCACGCAAACAATGACAGCATTGAACGCTCGGAGTGCTCCTGGATCGCAGCCGAAGGCATCACAGCTACGGCAAATGTTGACGCTGTTCAACATGTACGTAGCCGACTCGGGCAACTGAGCACACGAGCAATTTCTGCAGTGGGAGGAGAGTTCCGGCTCCGCTGGGTGGGAGGATCTGCGGTGCAGTAGCGTGCGGTGATGGCCGCGGGATCATCTGTTGCTTTCCAGGTTGTCTTCATCTTGACTACATACATGTATTCACCCTTGCTACCATCGTTGACCGAGCTTTATCATCGCACGATGGCTCCGCCCGGTTTTATGGATACCACTGGTGGCGTTGATCTGTCGCAAGTGCTCTATCGACTCCCCCAATCTTCGTCGAGCGCGAGCACAAGTAGAGGCACTGCTTGATGCGGTACTGGTGGGAGAATCGTCTGGCTGATGTACCATACAAGGAGGATACCGGGACGATGATGCAGAACCGGTTAACTCTGTTGGTTGCATCCCAAGCACGTTCTACCTCCGGCTGACCGACTATGCCCAGTGCACGTAAATCGCCTCCAAGGCCACGAACTACACCGCAAAGAACGGCCTGTCAATTTCGTGACCGCGAGGACACTAGACAAGCGCATTTGTTGTTTCGTCTTACAGGTCATCGGGGGCTCCGTGACCGCACTCAGCACGAGGACGTTGAAAGGAGAACGCTCTGCGGCCCGTGAGCTGATCGATCCATTGCGTAGGAGCACCACTGCAGCAAAACGCATCAAAGTCAAAGCTACATGTCGAATTGCTGCAGTGTTTGTGAGGAGACCTTGCTCCCGCCGAGCCCGGCACGATGGTTCGCGATAGCAAGTCCACTGGCCAGTTCAAGAAGAATATCCAGGTACAACTACTGGAGGCACGCTGGCTTCGAGATATCTTCTCATGAAGCCCTGGTATCCTGTCAAAGCGTCCCTCGTTGCACTTGGAAACCGAACACGTTTGTTGAGACAGAATGCACAACCTATAGGCCGTGAAAGATCTATCACAAATCGGTGCATGCACGGCAGCTGCATGCTTCCCGTCTGGGAACAGTTGCCACTGCAGCTTCTCCTGTTTGTGAAACCTGCTCTCTTTCGCCTTTTCACCCTCAAGCCCCCTCTCTCATCACATTCCCATCTTCTCACCAACACTTTCCGAAGTCTCTACACTCTGTCCAGCTCAAGACTTTAAAGCATGGCGCCGTCCAAGATTCCTGTGGCGAAAAAGTACAAAAAATCAAAGCAAGATAAAGGCAACATGCTGCAGCAACAGCATTTATCCAGGCTGCCGCTTCACCAGCAAGAGGACAGCAGGCTCATGCAGCTTGCTCAAGAACTTCGAAACGAGATATATGAACACTTGTTCTGCGCTACTCGCTTCGCCTCCGGCATGTTTGCTTTTACCCGGAACGGCAGCTATCCGATTGTCTCGGCTACTGATCGTAACGGCTTGAGCATCTTGCGCTGCTGTCGCCGTGTGCACAACGAGATTGGCAGTACGTGGCTCGGCCACGTGCTCTTCCTTTTCACGGACCCAAGGGCAATGCTCGACAAGCTTTGCAACATCCCCAGTCCTGTCCTCGGCCAAATTCGCAATGTCCGTGTCACTGCCGACAAATTGATGCTCCCTGACCAGTTCGGCAAGTGCTATGGCACTGCACGTATATTGAAGCTCCTTCCTGGTCTCAACCTCGATGTCCTCACGGTATTGGATGAAGGAGGCATGGCCACTAGCTACGAAACGCTCAACATGCTGATACGCCATGGCATTGGCTGGAAGGAGCTTCGCTTCATCTCACGCGACTCCCGGTTTCTCGGCTACGGGCACGGTCTACGGCGCCGGTTTATTGATAATCCACAGGACGACCTTTATCTACATCAGCCACAGCCCTCAGACTGGCAGCAAGCATTAGAGCTGCGGGACGGAATAGATTCATCTCCGTCGGTGATCATCTACCGCACCAACAACGCCAGTAAGAAGAAGTCAAACGCAGTCCTCCATCCTGGCAAGCGCGATATCCTCCGCCAGTCCTTCGCAGCTGGGCAAGATGCCTAGACGTTCGGCCTGGTCGAAGACGCAGCTCTAATGGGAGATTCAACTCCGATGGGAGACGCAGTCCTGAGCATTCTGATGGAATGGCCGCCTCGGATGCGTAGAGTCAAGCGCAAGAAGGAAGTCATGGTCGTCGTCAAGCGCGGCGTAGGCGTCGATTACGCTGAACTGCAAGCTTCGCCGTATCTGCCGGGCGGCGACATCCGCCAACACTTTCCAGGGAAGCCGTGGAAGGAGCTCCAGGCGTGGCAAGAGGAGTTTCACGAATCCGACGAGGACGACGGCAATGCCGAGGAGTGGTGGGGTCTGGAGTCTTACACTCACGTGGACGACTACATCTGGCCTACCCTTCATGAATCATGCGAAGATCAGGAAATGTCCGAGGATGAGGAGGAGGAAGTCGGCATTTGGATGGATACTTACACCGACGAGAGCGACGACGATCGGTCAGATTGGTCAGCTCTTCACTTCTGAAAGACAAGACTCTGCGATTCAATTATCAGTATCATGGAGGGCGGAAACAGAGCGCGCGCAGCATTGCAACAAGTCTTGTCGGACCAGCGGGCTCCAGACGTGATGCTTTCGGGCCATTGAAGCATGGGGAGTATGTTTGGGCAAGGCGGGAAGCATCAATGGCAAGGACGACCAGAGCGCACGGCGAGAGTTACGACAGTATAAGATCACATCAGCATGTAACAGCAGCAGTAGCATGATGAAATAATGTGACGCATTGGCAAGCGTATCCGCAACAGAGCGCAGGAAGAACCAACCGAACAGAAACGCCATCCCATTGCCCAATGCTGGTATAACGCTACCCTATTATCCTACAAGCAATCCAACCTCCCATAAACTCCACATTCCCTTCCACATATCTTACAACAGTAACAGCATCCTTGACCCTAGAACTCCACGGCCAACCTGCCTTCCTCGACCACTTCTAGCTAACCCTCCGCGGCCGAATCTCAACCAACTGGTCCTCCTCCTCACTACTCCCCTCCCCCTCCGGATCCGCAAACGGCCCCTCCCCCCCTTTGACACCCAACCCCTGAAACCTCCCCGCCAGCTCCTCCTCATCATCGTCATCCCCAAGACTCATCCTCACCTCCGCCTCCCGCGTACTCGGCCGTTGCCTCAACCGCTCCTCCCTTTCCCTTCGGCGCCGATCCGCGCTGCCGGCGGGGGACATGCCCTCCGCTGCTGCGTCTGAGGATTCAAAGTCCCCTCCCTCCCGCGAGAGGGTGTGGTCGCGGCCAGCGTCGTCTTCATCGTAGCCCCCGCCATCGCCGTCGGAGTCGGAGCTCGAGTCGCTGCTGCCGAAGAGGCCGGAGAAGCGGGATGCGGTGGCGCCGAGGCCGCTTACAGTCCGCAAACCGGTGATGTTGAGGCCTTGTTTCGGCGAGCTAGGCGAGTTATGGCCCGCCCCGGTCTCGTGAATAGCGTGCTCGGTAGCGACGCCCAATTCGACGTCCTCAGGTTCTTGCGGCAATTGCTCCGCTACTTCAAGCGCTACGCTGTCCGCTGCGTCGGGGTCGGCGATGTTCTCCGCAGCCACGGCTTCCTTTTTAGCGGCGAGACGGGCGGCGAGTTGGCGGCGGGCGCGGGAGGGCGGGATGTTGAGGGGTGGAGGGATGGAAGGGCCGTCGCGGTTGGAGTCGGGTGAGGCCTGTGAAAACGAGGATTAGTTAGTATTGGTGTTCTGTGGATCTTCTGAAGCGTACCTTGCGAGAAAGAGGAAGCTATGGATGGGATGAGTTGGAATGGTGGAAGAGGAGAAGGGCCAATTGCAAGGGCGAAGCGAGCGGGTGGGTGGGTAGGTGGCGATGCCGCTGTTTCAACAATTCTTCCATTGCTCTTTACGATCGTCTCGCTACCTCTCCATCCGCCGTCAATGACCGTCCATCATCTTCACCTCTTCCCACCTCCCTTCAACGATCGTTCGTGTCTCCAGCCGCATCCGCCCCACACACCCAACCGCTCCCCGCCACGCCATCTCGCAACGCCCATCACGTAAAGGTGCAGGGGGTGCATTGTGAAACAGCCTTCACAGCTCAACGATACTCCATATCAACATCCTCAAAAGAAAGTTCACCAACCTGTTCGTCGTCCTCCAACTGCTGCGCCGCCGCCCCACTCTCCCGCTCCCTCTCCCTCCGCTCCCGCTGCTGCTCTTCCTCCTCCGCCATCTCTTCATCCTCGTCCGGGTCCGCTGAGAAGCCCGAGAGCATCGTCCCGCTGTTGATCTCGAAGCTCTGGCCCACCGTGCCCTCGGCCATCGCCATGCTGTCTTGCGGCGTGATCCCGGCACTGGCGAGCGTGTTAGCAGTATTGTTCGAGAAGCTGCCTCCTCCCAATCCGCTGCCGCCCATGCCAGGACGAGCGTTCATGGCATCTTGTGGGCGGACGCCGCCGAGAACTGCGTTGTCTTTGTCACGAGTCTCGGCGAGGGTGCCTTCGACGTATTCGATCCATTCTTCGCGGTGTACGCGATCGAGGACGGCTTGGTCAAGCGCTTCGGGTGGGTGGCGGTTGCCGAACTTGCAGACTTCTTCTGCGATGAGGGTGAGGTGGCCCATGTAGCCCAGACGCATGCCCTTGTACTGCTGGGAGGCGTCGGAGACTTTCTGGCCGTCCAGGATGCGATCGGTGACTTCCTTTGTGGACGCGAGGCCTAGGTCTTCGACAGACTGACCTTCCTTTGCTTCGACCGGGGTGAAGAGGTCGAAAGCAAGGGCGCGGTTGTAGCCGCGATCGAGCGTGCCGTTGAATACTTGCTGAACGACATCGTAGACGACGTTATGGAGGAAGTTGTTCCACGGGAAGCGGAAGAAAAAGTCCTGGATGATGAGAAGATAAAGTTAGTCTCCAGCTCAGAATGTCCTCCTAATACGAAGTAAAGAAAGCCTCCTTACCAATATCGTAGGAACAACCTGGTGCTCCACAAACTGTATCTTCAGCAAATCTCCAACAACCGGCCTACCATCCGCCTCCGTCTCATACGGCTGCCGTCCTCCATTGGAGTTCGTCGGCTGATCACCCTGAATCGTAGCAATGCTCTGGTCGATGTCTTCCGCGGCAGCCTCTTCAGGCGTCGGCTCGATCCGGATTGGATCAGACGACTCTTTCTTCGCAAACAACGGCAGAGGTTTGTCCACTTGTTCTGCGTTTGCCAGCGCCCGGTCTAGCTCAGACTGCTGATCATCTTCGTCAGAGTGCTGCGGCTCCTCGCCGAACTCAGTCATGACGGTATCGTCGTCCACGTCCAGCTTGTCAATCCTATCGGTCATGGTGGCGGTGGTGGGTGACTCCACGGAATGCGTAGGTGGCGGGTCGAAATGCATGTTCGCTTTTGACTTCGTTGGCGACAGAGGTCTTGGTACATCGCTGTTGGCTGGGAACTGGTTTTGCAATGGTGGCGACTCGGTCTTCTCGGCCCTAGACAGTGTTGACAGCGAAGTGTACTCCGGCTTATCGTTAAGATCGTCGAACGTCACTTCATCTGGCAAATCATCGTTCGGCGCATTGACCTTCTCAAATCCATCTTCATCGGCATTGGAGGCATCACCAATTCGGAGCTCCTCCGGCTTCTCGTCCATCTCATCATCACTAGGACGCTGAGCATGATGGAAGCCATGCGAATCAACCGAGCTGCCGAACTCCTCATGGCTGTTCTCCTGACTCGGACTTGTCGCGGGCTTGGGCGTAGCATACCTGCCCTGCGCCCTCAACCTCTCACGCTCCGCATTTTCCTGCCTCACCCGATCTTCAGCACCTCGCTCGTTCAGCAAGCCCATGTTGCTGCAATGCAACAGCTCCGCAAACAGCTCGCACGTCTTGAAGCGATCGAAGCCAAGCGGCTCTATCCTCCTTCCAAACGCAGACGGGATCTCCGGCTTCTTCGCAGATGGGGACACGATAAGCTTCTTGAAGTCTGCCACATGCATTGCAAACTCTCGAAGAAGGACGCCAAGATAGATCGGGTCGGAGGTCTTTGGCTCGGGGCCGACTTGGTTGTCGAGGTCGTAGTCGGAGTTGTTCTTCCTAATGACTTCGATGATAATACCAACTCCTACGGTAAGAGGGTTGCCTCCTCGAAGCATGTCGTTGATGAGCGTTCGGATGCATTCTTCAGAGACCAGTTGCCTTGTCAGTTCATTAGGACCAATGACCGACTGATCCTGGGTGGTGGCGTTTGCTGAGATTGTGATTATCGCTTTAAGAAAATCGCCAGCTGAGGTTTGCGTTGCTGAGCTCTGTTCGGGTGAGAGGTAGCCGAGTAGTAATGGAATGAGGTTCTGCGCTTGCAGCCAGTCCACAATGCCTGCGCCGCCTTCGTGCTTCTCCAAAGAGATGATCTTCAGAAGCAGATCCATCACCATCGGGCAGTCGACATGCTGAAGCATCGCGGGTACAATGCCATCCAGTGACTTGAAGAAGTTGAGCATCTCCTCCGTCTTCTTGTCTAGTAGTGCCTCGTTCACTTTTGTGAAGTAGCCAGCTTGCAGCGGATCCAGTGGTGCAGGTCGATGCATGTACTGCCAGAACTCTCGCAGGTGGTCCTGCTGGTCGAGAATGGCTTCCGTGAGAGACCAGACCTCCGAAGACAGCACTTCGCAAGCCACGTACGCATACTTCTTGCGCTGCGCCTCCTGCTTCTCCGCTTCCGTCTCTCCGTCGAATTCTTTCGTGCTCACAGACTTCGACCGCGACCGGCCCTTGCCTTTCCCAAAGAAGGAGATGCCGGTAGACTCCTCCTTCTCCTTAGACTTGGCTTCATCTTTCTGCTTGTCCTTTTCAGCATCAGATTCGAGCGACTCGTCCGCCGCAACATATTTCAACAGCTTCTTCAGCACCGGCTCATCGCGAAGGAACTCGATGAGCTTGCTGTTCTGCTGCTTCAGCTCCTGAATGAGGTCGCTCTCGTCCAGCAGCTCTTCGACAGTGACGTCGGGTTTGTCGAGGATGGTATCGAGGGTGGAGATGTTGGCGTAGCCGCCAAATCGCCAGAACATGATGACGATTTATGAGATGGCCGACGCTCGGGGCGCGGCGGGATTAAGGGGTGGTTATGCCGGCGGATGAGTATGCTTCGTGGGTATCATGCGTAGGTCGTGGAATGTCGGCCGTCGAACGTCGTGAAATGCCGGATGCGTGGTATGCAGGTCGTGGGGGAAGTAGCGACAGTCAATGGCAGCTGCGCTCGAGGTCAGTGCCCTGTCTGTGCGGTTGTCGCGTGCTACCAAGCACCACGATGCGCACGCTACGGAAGCAAGTGAAGAAGGACGACGTACATGTCCAGCAAAGCCATCCAAATGCTCGTGTATACTACAGCGGATGAATGAATCGGGAAGGTCGGGTGGGAGGTACGTCGTTACTTCGAGTCGTCTGCCGAGTCTGGGGGATGAGCGACGTGGTGGCCCAAGACAGGCGGAAGTCAGTGTGATGGTGCGCGCGTGGTCGGAGAGTGCGATGTGGTCATCGGCCTCCCTGTCGCAGCGAGCAGATGGTGTCGGACGAGGTCGTGTTCATGTGTTTCGCGCTTCAAGGCACTTGAGAGGTGTTTTGCTGCCCACGTGAGGTTGCTTTCGATTAGCCTTTGGCGGTCTGACCCGACGCAGCTCACAACCTTAAAAAGCAGGAAGCTCGGGGGTCAACGTGGGGAGGCACTCGAGTCAGGCCAAAACACTTTCGAGATTGCTTTCATTTCTAATGCTGTCGAGGGTATGGAGGTGCAGTAGTATAGGACTTTTAAGGTACTGTAGTGGGCTTTCATTGAAGTAGGCCCTGCTGTAGGACTGCAGTGGAACGCATATGCTCGAACTTCATTATCATGCTTTCATAACCCAGCTATCCTACAACCACACTCCCTCCTTCCTCCCCCGTCACCGCTGCCCTTCCTGCGCCCTCCTCTCAACTTCTTCCGTCAAAGTGGCCATCTGCGCCTCCTCATACCCGGGCGGCGCCTCATCCGGCACATTCTCCCTCGACCTCTCCCCCACCCCACCCCCCTCCCTCCCTCCATCCTGCACAGTCGGCGGTATCAGCGGCCCATCTCCCTGCTCCTGATAAACCGGCAGATCCTCCAAATTCACATTCTCCACAACCACTCTGTTCTGCGCCGCACCGGCCCCATCCCCGTCAATCCTCTGCACCTCCATCGCCTGCTGTAATCGCTCCCGCACGCGCTCGTAGTGGGTGTGGAAGTCGAAGGCGCCGCCTTCTTTAAACGTGAATTTGATCTCGACCGCGCCGCCAGGGGGGATGGGGATGCCGCCGCCGGAGGTAGGTTGGAGGAGTGCGGTCCACACGTTTGGTCCGAACCAAGGTGCTGCGACGTGTGAGTCGTGGAGGTTGAGGATGGGTGCTGCGAAGCTCTGGATTTGGGGTGTGGATTTGTCGGGGAGGAAGATGACGCGGCGGTTCGTGAGGTAGAGTAGTCCGCTGGGGACAGAGAGGTTGAAGGGTTGCTGTTGCTTGCCCGGGAAGTGTGCGGGTGTGGAGAGGTTGAGGGCGATTCGAGGGGAGGATGTGAAGAGGGTTTGTTCGCTTGGTAGAGGTGTGTACGGTGGTGTGGAGGCAGGCGCGAGCATTACCCAGCTGGAGAGATGTGAGCGGAGGCGCTTGGTTTTGGTCATGGTGGTAGAGCAGGCCATGAGAGCGGTCGAGGAGGAATGGGGAGAGACTCACTTGATCGACATCCTGAAGACTTCTTATGAGCCCGTCCAGGCCACGCACGACTCCTCTCTGTGCTACCCAGTTGGTGTAGAGTGGGTATCGAAGCTTTGGTCCTCGAGAGGTTTAGGTTGTGGGTCAGTAGTCCCGACCGCGCGAACTGCGCTAGATGTGTCGATTTGGCGAATCAAGGGCAGGTAGATGGATGGTTTGCAGGAAGATGGCGTTCGTGGTTGTCGTTGGTTTGCTTGGAAGACGTGGCGTTATGCTCCAGGTTCCGCTGGTCGTGGGGTAATTCAAGCCGCGGTATGCGCGTGGGGTTTCACAGGGACGATATTTACTGCAGTGGACTCAATATCATTTTCGAAAGTCCACAGTCTCTCATTCCATGTGAACGGGTTCGATCACTACGTTGAATGACCTTGGTCTCGAGGAGAGTCGGCATGATGCGGACGAGGGAGCCATTGGCACTTCAACATAGTAAGTTGGAGGAATTTTTCGATACAATGCTCATATTTCTTGTGCCTCCTCCTCACCCTTCCCTTCTTCCTCAGCCCGCCAAAGCATCCAACAAATAACAATACCCAAATGCACACCCGCCGCAATCCACAACGCCCCGGAAAACCCAATCGAATGCGCCGCCGCAGCCCCTCCCACCACCGCCCCAAGAAAATAGAACACCGCTCCTCCAGCTCTCCGATTTCTGTTCACGTTACCAGTCAAGCCTGCAGTGAACAGCCCAGGATCCGACGCCAGATCCGTGTACAGCGTCGTAAGCACCACGCAAGGCATGGCGTTGTAGTCCAGCATCCTGCTCGCAACCACCTTCCCAGCAGCTTGAAAGCTAAGCAATCCGATGGGAATGAGATCTGCCCAGCGGAAACCTGGATCTGCGGGTATCGCCATCAAGGCGCCAGGGTCGTTGCTACCAGGCGAGCCGGAACTGCTGCCGCGCGAGACGAGGACGGCGGAGATGACGACGAGAATCCCTTGGAAGAGGAAGGAGACGGCGAAGACCCAGCGTTTGCGATCACCAAAAGCGCGGTGGAAGGTGGCGATGAGGCCGGATCCGAGGATGTAGCTGAGGATGGAGCAGACGGATTTGGTCCAGGCGAGTCGCGGGGCGCCTTTGGGGAGGTTGGAGGCGCCGAGGGCCGCGAAGACTGTGTTGCCGGTCTGCGAAGCATCAGTATATAGCCTTGAAGTGATTGTATGATGATGAGCGTACCTGCATACTCGCGAAATTCTCATAAGCGTTGTAAGCCCCAGCGTCAATCACGCCTGAGACGAAGAAGCACACCACCAGCACGAGATCCGCCCATCGTACCGCAACATCTGCCATCAGGTAGTCCTTCACCTTCTCGCTCGTCGATGCATCGTTGCCTTCATCGCTTCCGGTCAAGTACTGCGTGCCATACCCACTCGGCCTCGGGAACGAGCGCAAAAGCGGTCGGTTGTCAGAATTTTGCGCGCCATTGCTGTCGCTGAGATTGCGATTCAGATGGCCATTCGTTGTTCGAGACATCCTGGCCTTGTCGGAGAATTTCTGAAAAGTGTATGGAGCATGTTTGTTGGGTGACGATGTCTTTGCCTTGATTTTTTGGAAGAGGCTAGCGCAGGTACGGCGTAGCGATGATGGCGTGGCGAGGAAGTCAAAACCTGGCTTCAGGAGATTTCATGTTCAAGTCTCTTCTACTACCTTACGGTATTACACGTACAAGCATGGGCGAAGGTTTCCTTATTGCTTCTTGACTTCGAATGCTTGTGTCTAACTTTGAGCTTGATGAATGATACTGATTCAGTCGGGCTCTCACTATCGCACTATCGCCACCCACGCTTCCAAGCTGTGTTCCACGAGAAGTCGCAGGCCGATCTTGCGCACTCCTCTGTAAGAAGGATGCTTGCCAGCGAGTCTCACAATCGAAAAGGACTTCCTTCTCTTGGAGAACTATACGGCGAGCTACCGATCAGAAGAAGTCGCAGTCCGCTTCCGCCTTCTCCGTGACAAGGTCACCAACGATGACATCTGCGGTCGGGCGATGCCCTTCCATCTGTCCCGGAGAAAACTGGGGTTTGCATGCCCGCCTTCCACCTAGCTTCTCCAGGACGACATTCTTACCAAGGGCTGTTGCGCTGGCGGACCTAATCTTGCTTACTGTCAAAGACTGCCACTTCTTCTGGCACATAGCTTGACGGTCGCGATGCGTCTACCGTCTTCTCCGCGGATTATTCGCCAATCCGCCAGGGTCCGAGTCCACTCTGCCACCCATCCGGGCCCTGGAGAACTAGGGTTGATCCGAGCAGGTAGCCGGCCAGGCAATGACATTGAAAGCCTCAGACGGGGAATTCTGGCAAACAGTACAGTCGACGAAGTTGTCTTTGAGACGGGAATACATCTGCAGAAGCCACACGACCCTCTTCGGTAGACCGTTCCTGCCCGAGAGAAGAGGAAGGCAACGGTGGAGGAATCGACCGGGCGTTTTCGTCAGATGCAAAATCACGCCACGAGGTCAAGAAGATGGCAGGGTGGTTGGTATCTCGTTGGAGATGTGTTGCAGGAAGTACTCACATCAGAGGACCATCACCGTTGGTAAGACGATCTTTGCAAAAGCACAACGAGACCTTCTCCTAAACCTAGGCCGGCTTGAATTGACTATATCACTCACTTCAGCGGCTCGTCGTCCTTCGTGGAAAGACTTTTGCAAATGCATAACGAGGCCTTCTCTGAAGCCCAGGCCGGCTCGAGATGACCACATCATCCACTTCAGCCGCTTGCCATCCTTCGGGGGAAGATCTTTGCAAGCCTCGTTCTACCCCTGAAGATCTAGCGATGAAGGTTATGAAAGGTCTTCTCCGGCATCCAGTGGACCTAACATGATCACGTTACTGTCGCTGACGGGTTCTCGTTGTCTGTGAGAAGGTTCATACTGCTCATGCTACCCTACTGGACCAACCTTCCTAGGAGCAGCTTTGGGCTCGCCGCTCCGTTCTTCTGTACTCCGTGCACGCTCCTGTCGCTCCCTCATTGCCCCCGCCACCATCATTCCCGCCTCCGATCTCACTTTGCTGCTCACGTCGATTTTCCTATCGGCGGAACGGTTCCACCCCGTCGACTTCGACCTTGACCCACGCTACGAAGCAGAAGAATCGGAAGTCAGGATCTGGCTTCTCCGCGATACTTTCGCCTGTTATGAAGTGTTCATTGGATTGTATTGTCCCTCCTGTCTCGGAGAGTCGTGCTGTCCGCTCGTCATGCCCCGCCTCTTCTCCGACAAACACTCTCCTACCTTGGAGCCTTCTTGAGACCTTCGGGTTTACTTTGCTGATAGTCTGGATGTCGGACCGACTGATATAAAAGAAGGCACCACCCTGAGCATCGCCATAAACTTGCTCAGTTTTCCAGTCTGCCTGTGATTGCTTGCGTATAAATTCACAAGCGCTCGACCAGAAACGGATTTTCAACGAAGTCTTCTCCCAGATCTGGAACAACCTCAGATACACGCCTTATCTTACCCACGTCGGCGGGTTGGTGGTGGCCGCGAAGATGTCCCGCTGAAGCTAATTCCACACATGGAGATTTCGGAGGTCTTCTATATCAGACTGGCCTGCCATGGCCACCTCACTCACGTTCGTACCAGGTTGTGAGCGGGGAGCAACGCAAGTGGAGGTCCATACGGCCGCCCAATGGACAGCTCTGACGTACATGTAGGTTACCATTGGCCAAATCTTAATTTCATCAAATCCAGTCTCAAACGACAACCTTACTCAAGTTGGCAAGTTGTTGTTTCTCAGGCGAAGAGGCAAACTGTGGAAAAGTGGCCATTGCCGAAGTTTTCTCCAAGGCCGGAACTGGTCTTAGATGGCCACATTACTCATGCTGTCGCTTTGTCTCCGTTCGCGAGAAGAGGGGCAATGATGGTACGACCGGCCGGTTGATGATGTCTTCTTCGAAACCAAGCCAGCTTCATGAGATCACACCGCGCACTCTGGCGATCTATTACTGCCTCGGAGAACAGGCAACGGACGGCAAAAGCGACTGACTGAAGAAGTCTTCTCCCAGACCCGACCCGCTCCCAAACGACTACCTCGCTCATGGTGATGGCCCATCGCATCCGTGAGAAGAGCACCCATCGACACGATAGCTGGTTCACGCCTTACAAAGTCTTCTCCGAAGTCGAAGACTGCCTCAAATCGACGCCGTGCTCACGTCGGTACCTTGTCGTTGCTTTCGAGAAGAGGCGAGCGACGGTGAAAGCGGCCGCTGACCGGTTGACGAAGGCTCCTCCAGGTTCAAGCTGACCTCAAACGACCACCTTACACCATTTGGCTGGTTGTCACTACCTGTGAGAAGGTCCCGCGAACGCTTATGACAGCTTTGAGATTTCGAATATGATGTAGCGACGAAGTCTTCTCGGAGGCCCAGGTCGAGCTCGAACGAGTGTCTCACCCACTTCGGCTGACATTGTGGTTTGTGAGAAACAAAATGCATAGACAAATGCCACTGGATGAGAATGTATCCTCTCAGATGCAGGCCGACCTGAGATGACCGCATCAGTCTTGATAGCGGCTTGTCGTCTTTCGTGAGAAGAACATGACATGGCTCGTTCAGCCGATGAAATCTGGCGGTCATCACTGACGAGGAATACCATCGAGAGCCAGCATTGAGCCTTCGCAATCAAGCGATGTGGACGAGTTCTCTAAAAGAATTAGGATTCTCATGCTGCCGTGCAGCCGCAGCGAGATTTGCCCAGACCGGGCCGGACGAGAAGGCTTCCCGCCCGAACCTCAATTTCGACCTCATCTCCTTCTCCTTTGCCTACACCTACAGATACATCGCTACGGACTATCGGCTCAAGGACTTTGCGAAGACCGTCGAAAGCTTCTATCTCGACGGCGTCATCTGGTGTCTGTTTGGTCTGCTATTGTGATTTGTCGCTGGCAGCACACACGTCATGGAGCATTGCAAGTCAATATGCTTCGGCATACAGTACAATGCCGCTACTCGAGGTGAATATTTCATCTTCAATATCCTGGGCCTCGAGGTATGATCCATTGTTTCGTTCGTCTCGCAATATGCACGCTTCAAGGCTTTTGTGCCCTTTTGTCGATGGTGGTCCCATCCATGCTGCTTCAAGACAAAGGTTGTGCTGCTTCCGCATCCGGGACAGCCTTTGTCTCGAGTTACAAGGAAACGAGGTCATGCTCCAATGTATATTGCTGGTCTGGTCGCCTCGCGGTGTGTACGTTTGCATTTTGTACTGCGTTTCTCCTCGACATGGCTGCACCTCTATCATGGGATCCCACCTTGGTCGCTCCACAAATACCAGGTGTCGCCGGCCCTGTGGCGGTTCCAGCAGCGGCAGCTTTTCGTCCAACGGCTTACGTTGCCATACCCACCCCACCCGGCACGGGAACAAACCGGTGCCAGGATCGGACAGCCTGTGCAGGACCAGGCGGGCCAGCTGGTCCATGCTGCGATGCAGTTTCATTTCCCTTTCCTGGTGTTGCTCCTGCGAACCAGAGGCTAAATTGCCTCCAAGGAATGCCGATCCACGCCCCCGGCCGGCAGGTGTGCGCAATGTGTGACGATAACATCTCGCGGCAGCAGTGGTCCCAAGCTATGATAATGAATGTAACCACCGACCCGCAACCACTTATGCGTACTCTCGCAGGCAGAACTACCGGCGCTACTGCGATAACTCCGCAGCCCATCAATACACACGCTGGATTCTTGACACATCTTTGTCGAGGCTGTGAGGACAAAGAGAAGATCCTGCTGTGGAGGCGTGTGAATCGGCCTCTCGGCCTACCTCCACACCTGCAGATCACACCAGCCGCAGCAGCCCGAATGCAGGGCCACCCTGGAGTCGGGGGACTGGACCATACATGCGATTGTCTTTTCCAGCTCCTGCGCCTGCCTCCAGGGGGAACACTGTGCATCCAGCACCGCTTTCAAGGCGCGGCCCTCAGACACAATGCTCTATTGACCGTCCGCCAACAGAACGACAACTGGCTCCGGAGGATTGGCCGTGACCCCCTGAAACCGGCAGATGTCATTTTCGTAAGCCCTCAGCGGGTCACCAAGCGAGATAACGATCGGGTCTACCGTGCATGTCGCTGCGGTGCAGAGATCCACGCGGATGGACAGCCACCGAGAGTAGCGATGTGTCTGGGATGTGAGGGCATTGTAAGTGGCAACGTAACTCGCAAGGGCATTTCATCGCATGTTTCAAGCTAATATTTCCAGGTCCATCTTGTTGCGCGGCACCTCGCAATTGCCATTCCTCCGTTATGGCAACAGGGACCTTTCAACGATAACAGGCCCCGCAGGCACAACAATGATACGACATTACGTAGAATACCTCCATAGTCTTGCAGCCGGCGTGGTCGGGTATGTAGTACGATCGTCGTTGTGAAGCTTTTTTCTATAGACATTCAACAGGAAATTCTGCAGTTCTCGAGGAGAAGTGTGTTCTAGCATGTGACAGCTTACGTAAAAATTCACAGGCGCATGATCTAGCGGGATCGCGAGCCGAGCCTACACCGCCCTGCTAGCGCTGTTGCCTCATCTCAAAAGCTTCTTCTGCCCTCACATCTCTCTACAACACCTTCCACATCGCGGAAGTTGGCAACAACACCATCCTCTTCCGCCACTTCGCGAAACATTGCGGCGTTGGCAACCATGGCGTCCGCCCAGCCTAGGGCGGGTACACAGTTCCCCCTACTCGAACAGCCGCCTGAGATGCGACAGACAATCTACAAGTACTGTCTCTTGGGTGAGTTGCTGGTTTTCGAAAGCAGAGTCTTACCTTACGAACACATTGCTAATCATGTCTAGACATCGATACCATCTGCATCCTGCCTAACGCGAAAGGCAACGTCACCAGCCTGCACCCGCTGCATAGAGTGTGCCACCAAGTCCGCGAAGAATTCGGCGCCCTGCTAGCCGAGCAGTCTCCAGCACAGGTAACTACCTTCGTCGCGGATGTGCACGATATGAACTTCGATTCCGCCCGCCTATTCTTCACGCGACTCTCCAGCAACTCTCCAATGGCCAACATGCGCTTCGGCATCAACAAAGCCATCGGGGAGAAAGAACTACTCATCAGTCTTACCATTTCCAAAAAATGGTTCAAAAACCCGAAGAATCTCTCAAGCCTGAACTGGACCAGCTTTCTCAGCAAACAAGAGGCCCGTGGAGCTGTCATCACACCGCACGACATCAGCTACGAGATCTCTAGCCTCGGGAGGATGAACCAGAACGCAAGGGCAGCGCTCGGTGACTGCCTCGTGAGCAGGGGTACGAATTGGTGGGAGCCACTTGTGCACGGGTTGGTCGACTATTTCGACTACGGTACGGCGGATCCAGACGAGGTTGCGCGGGCAGAGCGTAGAATTCAAAAGCAAGCGAATCTGGATGGGCAGAAGGAGATCAATCGGTTGAAAGAGGCATACGGAGCTGGGTACGTGAACGCTGGGGCGAAGGAGCTGGCGATTGGGTGGGCGGGACTGATGCTGGTGCCGGATTTGCCGGATGAGGAGTTGCATGCATGGGTCGACGAGAACAATCTCGAGGTTTACGGATGGGGAAGGAACCGATAGGAAGGTTGACGTGAGCAGCAGAGTGAGACCGGAGGTGGAGGCGATGGTGGCGGAGACGTAAGGGAGAGACAGAAACGTTAACAGGATATAGCAGAACGGGACGGTGTACCCAAAGCTGCTCCTAGTCGAAGAAATGGCAGTCAGCTTCTGGCTTCTCCGTGACCGTATCCCAGCTATGGGGACCCTCGTTAGGCTGTGCTGTTCCTGCTGTCTCGGAGAGCTGAACTATCCCTACTATCTCGAGGGGCTACTGCTGGCTTCTCTGTGACCCCATCGCCCGCTATGAAGACTCCCGTTAGGCGATGCTGTTCCTGCTATCTCGGAGAGCTAGACTGTCTCTACCTCCTACTGTCTCGAGGGGCTACACTGTCCGCGTATGCTCCTTGCCTCCCGTCTTCTCCGCTAAGCAATCTCCTACCACGAGGCTTCTGAATATGCTTTCCCTGTAGTCCAGACTGCGGAGACTGCCACTTCTTCCACTACAATCACACGCCACTCTTTCTGAGAAGCGCTCATTTCCCACAGCACCGACGCATCCTCTCCAGCATCTAGAGCAGTGCTCAGCAGTATTTCTTCCGCTATAGCAGCATACCACACGCGACACTCTTCGAAAAGCGGTCATTCCTCTACGCCATCTACGCATCCTCTCCGACATCCAAAGCAATCTTCAGCAGGCGCTCGATCGCTATAGCAGCATACACACCGTCACGTATACGGAGAAGGCGCATATTCAGCTGAGGTTCAAATTCTGAGCGATGCTGTCAATGTGGTCAGTGCTCAGATGTGGTCGTCTCATCACACACAAAACAACTCATGTTTAACAGCGCCGACACGTCGCGATTGGTTCAACAATGTGGTACGCCAGCTCGTGTTGCAGAACACAAAAACTGTACTTGAAGGGTAGAACAAGTATATTGGATCGAGAGTACGGTACGCTAGCTCATGTTGCAGAACACAAAGATTGTGCATAGAGCTAAAACAGGTCTATTGACTCTTTATTAGTTCGAGAGTGTGGTACGCTAGCTCATGGTGCAGAACGCGCAAACTGTGCATGAACTGAAAGGTTGGAACTGCATGTGGTCTATTGCTGATGACGGAAAGCTTTTGACTTCCTCGGGCATTGGCTGCCTTAGGAGGTACGCTAGTTCGCCTAGAGTGCTAAGCCACATCAACGGCTTCAACCTCACCTGAAGTTCAACTTCAACTTCAGTCATTATACACACATCATGTCGTTGTCCATCCAGCGTATGCTGGCACTGCCATGCCATGTGCGCGCACAGGTCTTCAGGCGAGTGCTTGCTGCTCCAGCAGCATCACTACGTCCCTTCTCGACGTCCAGGCCTGTCAATCAAGAACCCACCAGCTCGGTCAACGAGACTGAAGTATCCCACTTCAACGCCCTCGCATCCTCATGGTGGGACCCTCACGGCTCCAGCAGACTCCTCCATCTCATGAACCCGCTCCGGCACGACTTCATAGCAAGATGTAGAGCCACAACTACAAAGGACGCGAAAGAGAAGCTCCACTACCTCGACATCGGCTGCGGCGGTGGCATTTTCGCTGAGTCCGCCGCCCGCCGCTCACACACCGCCTCCGTAGCCGCCATCGACCCTACACCCTCCGTCATCGCCGTAGCCCGCAAACACCAACGACTCGATCCACTCCTCCTCGAACCCGGCCGGCTCGAATACAAACAGATCCCGCTCGAACACCTACCCGTCCCCTCCTCACCCGAGCAAGGCTACGACATCATCACCCTCTTCGAAGTCCTCGAACACATCCGTCGCCCCTCCGCGCTCCTCGCCTCTGCCCTCCCATACCTCAAACCTGGCGGCTGGATCATTGGCTCCACGATCGCAAGGACGAACATCAGCTGGTTCACGACGAAGCTGATGGCGGAAGATGTGTTGGGGATTGTGCCGAGAGGGACGCACGAGTGGGGACAGTATATCATGCCGAACGAGCTGTTCCAGTGGGCGAAGATCCAGAAGGAGTTGGAGGTGGAGCAGGACGGGAGAGGGTGGATGGTGCAGGGGGTGATGTATGTGCCGGGACTGGGGTGGAAGGAGGTGGGAGGGAGCGAGGAGTGGGGAAATTACTTCTTTGGGGTGAGGAGGAAGATTGAGGGCGGTGGGTGAGGTGGCACAGGAGGTGCGAAAAGACGATGGTTTGCCCGCTCCAGGGCGAAGAGTGGATGAAGTTACGGGGTGAATGAACCATCAAGACTGTGGGTGTTGGCTTGGGTGAGCAGAGGTGGCAGCGAAAGAATCACGTGATGTACTTCCTTTCCTGGTCATGCCAAGAAAACCAAACGAACTTCACGCGCATTCACTCTCGATTCATCGCCACTAGCGTACCCGCCGAGCCGCTGACGGATATTGAGATTCTTCACATGCGATCACCGAGTTTCACCTCTTCCGCGCCACTACCCCATTGTTTACCATCGCTCCCTCGGACGACAGCAGTCGGTCTGGCGGCATGGCGACCACTAGGGTGACGCGCAGTGCCGCCAAGCGCAAAGCAGCAGACGCCATTGCCATTCCGCCAGCCAGCCAGCCGGTCAAGGCCACCAAACTGACGCACTATGCTGATGATACTCTTCAAGCGAACCACTCGTCCAGCGCAACCTCTGATGCAGGCGCATCCAAGTCCCCGTCCCCGTCTCGCGCAGGAACAAAGCGGAAGCGGCCGAAGCACTCTGTTAGTTCACCTTCAATGGTGTGAGCACTGACGACCCAAGCTGACCACACCCCCTAGACTGTGCGCCAGTCCAAGTCCAGATCTGACGAGGTGAAGTCCGATTCGATTGCTGCGCCAACTTCTGCCGCGAGAGACGGCGCGGATCAAATCGTGAGTTGGGACTTGAAGTTTGCGAGTTCGATAGGCGCTAATACCATCTGCCAGAGCAATCACTCCGCCACACCGCCATTCAACACCAAGAAGTAAGACCATCTCGGAGAAGAAGCCGCATCGACAGACCACCAAAGCATCTCTTCCGAAGCCGAAACGCCTGAGACTGAGGGAGAACACCCCAAGCGTCTCCTCGGCCTACCCGTGGAACTTCAAGACAAGATCTACGACCACTGCATTGCAGACACGGAAGACGTCAAACTCATGGTGGACAACAGGCCGCAATGTCCCGCGACGGGCTCGCATCCGCTCCGACGAGTCTGCAAGCAGATCACGGACCGCTTCGACAATCGTTTGGTCCTCGCGCACGGCACGATCACTGCGGAGATCCAGGACTTCGACTTCTCGGCTTTGAGATGCTACGTCCACCTCATCGTGCAGCAGAAGGATGGCAGGGCCAGCTTCAAGACGTTCACCGGATCGCGCAAATTGATCGTCGTTCTCTCAGTATCGCAGCAATGGAGCGACCACCGGGATCGTGCTGGCCTTGACAAGGAGTTGAAGTGGCTCGAGGACAAGACCCGGCATGATGAACACGACTTCAACATCTTCTACAAGATGGCCACTGTGGACGATGTTGAGAAGACAAAGAACTTCATCGGCTACAAAGAGACAGACATGGAAGACAAGACATCTGGCTGGGCACAGATCAAGTGGGCCTTCCATATAGCGAAAGAACCGTCGGCGGACTCATGTCCACGTCCACCGCCACCGGAGCATGTTACACCAGGTTCCGCGCGAGTGCCATCTTCAAGACACACCAACACAACCCTAACCAATGATGAGATAGATGTACATTCTCAAACGCTACCACCCTAACCATCGAGCTATCCCCCCTCAAATGCCACTCCTCTCCCCAAATCCCTCACCACTCCCCTACGTCAGACACATACACGAGCAAGACCTCCGCTACAAACGCATAGCAAGCCCATCCTTCCTCAGCAATTAAAAACAATGCCTCATAAAGGTAAGCTCACCAGTAGCGCCACCCGTGCTACGAGCCCGAAGATCCACCGCCGCGCATCCTCTTCCCACCATCCCCTCCGTCTCCGCCATCATGTGGCCTCTTTTGCCCTGCGTTCGCTGCTCCACCCCTAGGCAAGACACTACCACGTCCGGCGCCGCCGCGTGGCACGCCGGATCCTCGTGTGGTGGGGATACCTGATTGTGGGGCTCCGCGACCAGCGCCTGGCTGGGAGGTTGCTGCGCCTTGGATTTGCAGACCCGTTCCACCGCCGCCACGCGATGGGGCGCGAGGGATGCCGCCACTGCCGCCGCGAGCACCGCTGAGAGCACCGCGCAGGGCAGCTGGCCCGGTGCCGACGTTGGGTGTGAAAGACTGAGCGTTCGGATTCGAGCCAGGCTGAGCCGACATGCTCATCCTACGGGCTGGCTGGCTCAACGCACCACCTGCATGGCTAGGCTGACCGAAGGTGCTCGCTGTCGAAGGCTGGCCGAAAGATGAAGGTGTCGACGTCGTAGCAGGTCCAGTTCCGAATCTCTTCTGCCGTTCAATAATCTTCTGCTCCTCCGTCTGCTCCTGCGCTGGCGCGGTCGCAGCGGCTGGCGAAGCGACCTGGTTCTGCGGCGTGGGCGCCTGCGTGGTCGGCGAAGGTGGCACGACGGGCTTCTGTGCCGGTGATGCAGTCGTTGGAGCCGCCGCGGGCTTAGGTGCAGGCTTGGCTTTGTCCGCGACATCCCACACCTCTTTAACGCCCTTGTCTGGCGTCTCGGCCACAGCCTTCTTGACAGCCTGGATCTTCGCCTGAGCCATACCGAGCTGACTGATCTGCACTTTTGACTTCTTCACTTCCTGCTCGGCAGTGGTGAGCTTCTTCTTGAGCTCAGCGATTTCCTCCTCAGCATCCGCAATCTTTTTTTTCAGCTCATCAACTTCCTCGCCGCCAGTGTTAGTAGCAGTAGTAGCGCCTCGCTCCTCCTGAAGTTTCGCAATCTCCTCCTCCTTCTCCGTAACCGCAGCCTTGAGCCTCTCAGTCTCGCTCGCCACACGCTTGTTGATGTTGGAGTTGAAAATGCCCTTGACCCGCTGGTTCGTCTTCATGAGTTGCAAGACCTGCTCTTCCGTCGGCAACTCCTCCGCCGCGGCAGCGGTAGCGGTGTCTGGCTTAGCATCAGATCCCTCACCCTCCGCCTTCGCGAGAGCAGCACCACCCTCCTTCTTCAACCTCTCGACCTCAGCTTGATGGTCAGCCTCCAGCTTCTGAACCGCCGCTTCATGCTCATCACGCAGCTTCTGCAGCTCTTCCGAATGTGTCTGGACCATCTCCGCCCGCACTTCTTCGCGGATCTTCTCCTTGCCCTCCTTCAGCTGTTTCGAGAGGTTGGTCTTCATGCTTTCGACGCGGCGGTCGCGCTCCTCTTCGAGCTGCTTCTTCGCCAGCTCATGCTGCTGCTCTAGTTCTGTGCGCAGCTGCGCAACCTGCTCGGCGACTTGGTCGGCGACGCTCTTTTCGCCTTCGGCTGGCTGAGCATCTGTGGTAGTAGAAGGGGCGGTGTTGCTCGCGTTTGTCCGAAGAGCCTCGACTTCTTGTTGTGCCGTTGCGAGGTCCTGTCGAAGCTTATCAAGCGTCTCGGTGTCCTGGTTGATTTCGCCCTCTTCACCTTGGAGAGCATTGTCCAGCTGCTCTTGAAGCGTCGAGACCTGCGTCTCCAACTCAGTCACCTTAGTCTTGAGCGTCTGGACTTCGCTGTTGAGAGCGTCCGCGCGGTTGGTCTGCTCGGTCGCATTCGCCTCTGCCTGGGTAGCCCGTGCTTCTAGCGCCTGTTGATCGCCTTGGGCAGTCGGAACATCACCACCCTGTGAGCCAGCTGCCTTGCTCTCCGCCTCCTGCAACTTCGTCCTCGCCTCCTCCAACTCCTGCTTCACCCCCTCGATCTCCTCAGCTATCTTCGCCTTCTCACCATTCGCAGTCTCAGTAGCCGTCTCGGCATCCTTGATCCTGGCGTTCTGCTTCCGATTCTGCTCTTTGGCCTGAACTTTGAACTTCTCAAGCGTCTCCCGCAACGCCTTCGACTTCTCCTCCACAGCCTCCGAGACCTTCGCCTCCACCCCTTCAGCCTGCTCGCGAAGTGGCGCCTGCTCGGTCTCTAATCGCTCTTTCTCAGCTTCTAGAGTGGCGAGCTTTTGCTTCAGATCCTCCAGCTCGGCAGGGTCGACGCGGTCGTACTTGGAGATGATGTTCTGCGTCCGCTCGCGCCAGTGGTCGCGATCGTCTTGGAGAAGCTTGCGCTCGCCCTCCTTGCTCTCGAGTTCGCCTTCCAACTCGCCGACACGGCCTTTGAGTGGGTCGAGCTCGGCAACAAGACGCTCAACTTCCTTGCTCTTCTCGTCGAGCTTCTCGCGGGCCTGGCGAGCCTCGTTGCGGAGTGTGGTTGAGCTCTCGCGGAAGAGGTTGAGCTCGTTAATCGTCTGCATGAGTTTGGTCGTGCTGCCTTCGTTAGCAGTCTTCTCGGAAGACTGGCGGCGCTCTTCCGCGAGCTTCTGTCGTGCGTCTTCGAGCTGCGTGTTGGCGTAGTCGAGCTGTTGCTGTAGTCTCTTCGACTCCTGCATCGAGAGCTCATACTGCACGTCAACGATCTCCTTCTCGCGGCGCAAGTACTTGACGACTTCCTGCATGCTTCCGTCACCAGAAGGCGTAGCAGCACGCTCCTCGCCATCGCCACCTTGTGCTGCACGCCCAGATCGGAGTGCAGCAAGCTCCGACGAGAATGAGTCCATCTGCTGGTGCAGTAGACGATTCTGCTCATCGACATCCAGGCGCCTCCGCTTAGCCTCAGCAAGCTCACCTTCGAATTGCTCGCGCTGCTCAGCCCAGCTCTCCTCTCCACGCTCCAGACTGGCCTTCGCAGCCTCGGCTTCAGCCCTGATACCAGCGACTTCCGTGCGCAGAGCGTTGTGCTCGTCGCGCACGATCTTGAGGTTCTTCGCAGCCTCCGCATGTTTGACGAGTTCATCGTCGTAGGACTGCTGCGCTTGCTGTGCAATCTCCGCTTGCGCTTTAAGGTCCTCCTGGTAGAGCTTCTTCTCCTCCCCATGGCGCTCGGCATCGTTGGTGAGTCGAGAGATCTCAGCCTCGAAGTTCGACTTCTGCTCATTGAGCACGCGATCAGAATCCTCCGACTTGGACCTGAGTTCGGACAACTCGTTGTTCGTCGTGCTCAGCTCCGTCATCAGATCGTCAACGCGCTGCTGCAATTGCGTAGCACGCTCGTCCTTCTCGGCGATTTGGCGATCCATTTCCTCCTTGAACTGCTCGCTCGTCTCGTTGAAGCTTGCCAATTCCTCCTCTGTTGCCTGGGAAATTGTCTTGTACTGCTCGGCTTGTTGCTTCGCAGCTTCGAGCTCATTCTTGACCAGCTCAAGATCACGGCGCAGATCGGAGACCTCAAGGGCAAGGCGCTGCTCAGCCGAGAGCTCCTCGTCATCCTCCTGCTGTCCATTCTGCTGTGGTTCAGTGCGAGGTGTCGGACGAGGCTGAAGCGCTGCAGCTCTCTCTTCTGCAGAGCGAAGCTCGATCTTCATCTCATCCACGCGAGTCTGGAGCTGATCTCTTGTCGTTTTGGTGGCGACAAGCTCTTCTCGCACATTACCCAGCGACTTGACGAGGTCGTCGATGCGAGTGCGAGACTGGCCATCCTGGTACTCGCGCCTCAGCGTCGCCTGCCGGGCATCCTCGACTTCCTGGTCAAGCTTCTTCTTCGCCTCGCTGAGCTCGCTCTCCAGGCTCTCCACACGACCCTGCAGTCGCCGTCTAGACTCGGAGTCAGAAAGCTCACGCTCGTTCTGAAGATTCTGTAGGTCGGTGACAAGCTTATTCAGCCTGCTTCGCTCGTCCATCAGACTCTTGTTGTCCTCCGTCAAGCGAGCTTCAATGCGCTTCCACAACTCCTTCTCCGCCTTCACATTTGCGTTCTCGTTACGCAACGACTCTGACATTGAGCGTGCCTCGACAAGCTCCTCTGCCACCTGCTGTGTCCGGAGATCCTGCTTGGCGGCATTCTCAGCCATCTGCTGCGATCGCTTCTGAAGCTCTTGACCCTCGCCACGTAAGCTGTTGTAATTCGCTTGTAGCATCTGCAACCGCTCGTCGGCAAGCGTCTTCTGCGACTTCCAGTGCGCCAGCTCAGCATGCAGATTACTCTTTTCACGGCCAAGAGCGTCGACCTGATCCTTGAGCATCTTGCGGTCTTCCGAAGACTCGTTCCGGTACTGGTCGAAGAAAGTCTGCTGCTCCTTCAGAATCTTATTGAGATCTTCAGCATCCCGTGATCGTGGTGTTTGCGGGACACCGTCAGCAACGTTGCGCTGGGGTGTGGCAGGCGATATGCTTTGGCCGAACGCTGACTGGAGATCGGTACCAGGTGGTACATCGCCGCGTCGTTGTAGCATTCGCCGGAACATATCGCGCTCCTTAACGTAACTGTCAATCTGGGTCGAAGTCGCCTGGATTTCGTCCTTGTACCTCGCAATCTGCTGTCTGAGCTCCTCGATCTCCAGCACGTTTGCTTGCGATTCGGCGTCCTTCTTGCGAGCTTCTTCACCTTCCATCTTCTCCCCAAACTCCCGCAACATCTGGCGCATCTGCTGGTTCTTCTCCTGCAGTTGCTTGACGTCCCGGAAGATGACCAGTTTCTGAGAAATGATCTGGTTGGTGAACGACTCGTTCTCTGCTTGAAAGTCGTCCATCTCGCCCCTTGCCATAAGCTCCATGCGATATCTCTCATCCGCGGACATGCCATCCAAGCCCTGCTCTCGGCATTGAACCTCCACCGTCAAAATCTTGACTTGCGCAGAGAGATCGCGGAGCTGCTGGCGCAGAATCTCGCCTTCACGTAGCCTGGCCTCCGCTTCGCTCTGGTATCGCTCGGCCTCCTTCGCGGCGTTATCGCGGTTGCCGTGTGCCTCCTCGAGTAGCTGCGAGAAGTCCAAAACCTGTTGCTCGAGTTCATCGTGCGATTTCCGCATCTCGATGTACTCCGGAGCGCGATTTTCCAGCTCGGTGACCATGTCATCGACAGCGGTGGAAAGCTTCTGTGTCCGGCGACGCTCCGCTTCAAGCTCCTGCTGAAGCTCGTTGTATTTGGTCCAGTACTCGGTGTTGGAGAAAGGCATCTTGTTGCCAAACTTGCGAGCGGATGTTGACAGGGCGAACGGTGACCCAACACGACCAGGTGTTGCAGGGTCGCCTGAACCATTCCTCATCGGAGTACCCGGCCTTGATGCTCGCGGTTGCTGCTCCAGCCGTTGCACTTGTAGTTCGAGATCAGCAAGCTTGGTTTCGGCTTGCTCTTTGTCATTCCTCTCAGTCTCAATGTCAGCCTGCAGCCTACCGATCTCCTCGGCTGCCTCCTCCTTGATCCTATCAACCTGGCCTTGGACCTCCTGCAAACGAGCCCGGTGTGTGGCGGCATTCTGAGCCTGGAGCTCTCCCAGTCTCTTGCTGCCATCAAGTTCTGCTTTCCATCCTTGCTCCTTCCGGGCGGCCTCCTCCTCCAGAGCAGCGATCCTCGCGAAAGCCTCGTCTGCCTTGCCCTGCACCTCGTCCAGTCTCTGCCGCAACGTCGTCTCCGAGCGCTTGAGGGTGTCCACGGTCGCCGTGCTATCCTCCAGCTCACGCTGCAAATTCGCTACGAGTGCATTGCGCTCCTTGCGGTACTGCGCCTGGCTTTCGTTGTTTTTCTGGAGTTCACCTGCGTAATACTCACTGTTCTTCTTGATCAAATCGATTTCCTGCTGCAAAGACTGCTCTTTGAACTTCTGTGATGATGCGGCGTTTTCGAGGGACTGGCTGCGCTCCTCGAGTTGAGAGATCTCACGGCGGAGGGCAAGCAGCTTGCCATGCTGCTCCCCAAGCTCGGTGGCCACGCGGTCCTTCTCGGTCGATTTGCTCTCCACTAATGCCAATGCATCGCGATTTGAAGCCTCGAGCGTCTCAATCCTTTGTCTCAGCGTTTGGGTCTCCGCCGTTGAGCCGGATGAAGACGAGCGGAGTTGCTCGAGCTCACTTGACAGCGTCTCACGTGCGCTTTCAGCTTCGTTGAGCTTGGTCCGAAGCTCCTCAACTTCCTTCGCGTGCTTCGTCACCTGAGCCTTCTGCGCCTTGAGCTTCGTCTCGGCGGTCCGCGAGGTGTTCTCTAGCTCGACATCGGCCTTCAGTTTATCCGCTTTGAGGGCGTCATTCTCCTTGCCCTTGTCGGTGAGTGACAGCAGAAAGTCGTGTATGAGTTCTGTAGTCGGGGCATCAATCAATGTCTGTAGATCGGCCTCGGGGATGTCGTAGGTATTGGAGAGATACGCCACGTCCAAGGCCTCAGAATGGGCCGTTGCGCGGGTGCGCATTGTGTCTGGAATGATAGCGAGCGTTTAGACCATATCTGCGACCTGTTTGCCCGTGGGTGAAAGGATTGCGGTGGTGCGGATGTTGCAAGATGAAGTGAAGAGGCGTGGCTGTTGTATTGACGAAGCGTTCACATGAAGCGAAACGCGAAAGTTGACCGTGACAAAAGAAACAGCAAGCGGGAAGTGCCACGACTTTTCCGCATTTGGCTGTAGGTCGCGACTGCCTGTCCAAGCGGGACCCCGAGCAGCGCAGGAGAGGGCAAGAGCGACGTCCACACCACCCCAACGACATCTCCATCGCCCACACGATCACGAAGACCGAGTCGCATCATCACTCGGACTTCACACGCTCGTCCTGAGCCCGTGAAATCATCTGCGCGACGACCAGACCGCAAACCCCGAGCCTTGCTTAGTCACCACCACCGCGCAACGCAACCTCGAACAACACCACCACGGCGTTGAGAGGGCTACCTACGACCTGAACCGTACCGAGAAGCACATATACACGTGTCAGAAGACGAACATCACGCGACCACCTTCGTCTTGGCAGCTCGACACCTACATACGACCAGGAGGGGAAGCTTGGAGGAATGCTCAGAGCTGCGAGCATCTGAAGCAAAGCAGTTGGAAGCAGGAGTATATCACAGAAGCCGGTCGCAGACAAGCTGGCTACACTGGTCCTCAACCGCTCCGCACCCACGCCAACTCGGCTGCGAGGGCGTGGCGTGCACTACCGAGCGGCGAGCCGGGACATGGAGGTGGACGATGATGAAAGAGATGCTGAGGTTGCAGAAGAGCTGGACGGGGAGGACGCAGCAGGGGAAGAAGATGCCGAGGGAGAGGTAGTGGAGGAGGACGTTGGCTCCGAGGCTGATGCAGAGGGTGAGGACGATGATGAAGAGGCCGGGGGTGAGATTGTGGGTGCCGTGAAGACGCGTTCCGCACGATCGAAGGGCAAGCAAAGAGCGGAAGAGACCGAGGAGTCGGAAGCAGTACCGGAAGATGAGGGTGATGATTCGGACGATGATAGCTCCAAGCCAGAAGAAGAGGACTGGGAGGCTGTTGACGAGGCTGTAGAGGATGAAGAGGTCGGGAATGCTACGGCCAGCCGCTGCGTGTAAGTCTGCATCCACGTCGTGTTCCAAACACCACTGACCAAACGATACAGATTCTGCGGCCAGGACGAAGAGCACGATCCGGGCGACGAATTCGAGGAATACCTCGCCTGTGCAGTTTGTGGTGATAATGGTAAGTCCTTCCAGCCCGAGTTCTTTCGATTTAACGTGTGTTATCTCTTCAACGCGGAGGTGGCATGTGGGGCAAGGATTGCACGAAGAAGTCCGAAGTCCTGTTCGTTGCAGTGTCTTCAGGTTGGTGCAGTCGAGCAATCCAGACATTGGGTAAAAGAGAAAGAATCACAAGCGAAAGACAGAAGCAATGTAGATCGATTTCCAGGGTCCAAGGCTGACTTTGGTACCTGCAGCACATCGGCATTGTGCCAGAGAAGCAGAGACGCTAGCTTCGGATGAAGGTACGTTCGTGGCGCAACATCGGCTGTCCGAGCCGCCAAGAAGCTCTCTTCACAGAAAGTCCTGTACTAACAACAAGACAGATGCAGCGGAATGGCGTTGTACAGAATGCATCGACAATGGCTTGGAGGCAGACTTCAAAAATGTCCCGGAGATGCTGTCGACTCACAGACGCTCTTCTGCTCCCAGAATGGCACGAGACCTCCTGCCATCTGCTAGAGGCGGCATCAAACCAGACTCGCATTCTGTCTTCAACACTCTCATACTGGACGAGGATCCCATGGATGGCTCTCGCTCGCTTAGAAAGCGGAAAGCTACTTCGGAAGATGTCGACGAGCCACCACGACCGCCGGTCGTCCGCAAGCGGCGGAGAGCAAGCGCAGAGGACGAAGAGGACGAGCTTGCTACTGTCGAGACGCCTGCTGCTAATGGCATGGACGTGGACGGCGCAGATGATGATGCTGCGACACCAAAGTCACGCTCAGGTCGACCTCAACGGAACATGAAACGCAAGAAAGGCGCAACCATCATCTCGCGTGACGACAGTGAAACGAAGAGTATTGTTGTCTCGATACCAATCACTGTCGCGCAATGGGATCAGATCGAGCGAGAGGTACTGAAGAAGCAGCGTCGCCGTGAGCGGGATCGACAACGTCGTGCTCGCAACAGTCGGAGAACGGTCACGGTCGAGCCTGAGGAAATGCTACCGCAGCAGATACCAGCGGTGCAAACATCGATGTACACCAATCCCTTCTACGCGTTCCCGGACAGAGAGACCGACGAAAACAAGGGCAAGCCATATGGTGGCATCCTCACTGACGCCGAAGCCGACACGCAACGAACGTACCCAGCAGAGAACGACCGTGAAGCATTCTCCACTGCTCGCACAGATGCAGAGCGCCGATGGAAGGAGAAGCTGGCGGCAAGCGAAGAGACACCAGCGCGCTCCAAAGCGTCTGGTCAACCAAGTAAGATCAAATGCATCAACTTCGGCCAGTACGAAATCGATACGTGGCATGCTGCACCCTATCCGGAAGAGTATAGCCGCAACAAGCACCTCTACATCTGCGAGTTCTGCTTGAAGTACATGAGCTCCGACTACGTCGCGTGGCGGCATAAACTCAAGTGCCCGGCTAAGCATCCGCCTGGCGATGAGATATACCGCAGCAAGATGACCAACCCGGAGACTGGTGCCGAGACGACGCTGTCGTTCTTCGAAGTCGACGGTCGGCGCAACCCGCTGTATTGTCAGAACCTCTGCTTGCTTGCGAAGCTGTTCCTCGGATCGAAAACGCTCTACTACGATGTGGAACCGTTTCTCTTCTACATCATGACTGAGAACGATGATTTTGGCTGCCACTTTGTCGGCTACTTCTCCAAAGAGAAGCGTGGATGTGGCCCACCTCCGCCTATGAATCCCCACACTTCATTCGACGAGAGTCAAGAAGCGCAAGCGAAGAGTGGTGCTGACGCTGAGACGGAGCAGAACAGCTTGGACGCTGTGCTCGCCAATCCCGGCAACAACGTCTCGTGCATTCTTGTTCTGCCCGTTCACATGCGGCGAGGATTCGGGAGAGTACTGATTGAGTTCTCATATCTCCTGACCAAGGTGGAGGGTAGGACCGGGTCACCTGAGAAGCCGTTATCAGACATGGGTCTGGTGTCGTACCGCTCGTACTGGCGGACGGTACTATGTCGACTACTCCTGCGGTACAAGGGAGACGAGGAGAACGGCGAACGGAAGAGCGAGCACCGCATCTCCATCGCCCAAATCGCAAAAGAGACGGGCATGACTCCAGACGACATCATCTCGACTCTCGAAGCCCTGCGCTTTCTCGTCAAGGATCCCATCACCCGAAGCTACGCCTTCCGCCTCGACTACGACTACATGCGCGAGTATGTCGAGAAGCACGAGAGGAAAGCCACCGTCACACTCGATGAAGATCGCCTCGTCTGGACACCGTACGTCATGGGCCGACCGACCAATCTCTTCACCATCGGCGAAGAAGCCACCCAACCCCTCCAAACCGTCGCGCCTCGCGAAGAAGCGAACGCACAACAACTCCCCGCCGAACCCGAAGAAGGCGTCCAACAATCCCTCAAAGCGCAAAACGCCTCCGCCTTCGCCCACCAACCCACCGAACCCGAAGACGCCCCCGCGCACGAATCCACCGAACCACCCGACGACCAGCCCCCTCTAACCAACGGCGTCCGCAAAAAGACCCCACAACCCCTGGCGCTCACGCCACAACCGTCGTTCACCTCCCATCCACCACCAAACTCCACCTCTTCCACCCGCCACACCTCCCCGCGCAAACAAACCCCCAACCCCACCACCCGCGAAGCCAGCCCCTCTTTCTCCCTGGACTCAGCATCGCAACCCACATCCGCCGGTCCCATCCCACCAACGCGCTTCGAAGTCTTCCCGCCCGTGCCGGGCATGGGAACCGGGATGAAGCGTCGCCCTGGCCGTCCAAGTCGCAGAGGCAGGGGCAGTTATAGCGGCACGCCGGCTCGACGGGCGAACGCGAGGAGGACTACGACTGCGACTGCGGGGTTGGGAGCGAGGAGGGCGAGGAGTATGTTGGGCGAGAGCGCGGTTAGTGTTAATGAGATTGAGGATGGGGAGGAGGCTGTTGTTGATGCTGGGGCAGAGGAAGAGGGGGCCGGAGAAGGGGGGGCGGATGCGGAGGGCGAGGAGGAGGAGGAGGAGGAGGAGATTAAGTATGAGTGATTTGATGTGATACCCCGAGATTGGGAGGTTGGTTTCTGTCAGTGGAAAGCGGAAGTTGACTGTATATTGTACTCGCAGCGTGTGGCAGGATGACTGTGTACTGTAGCCTGTACTACCAGTTGTGGCATTGGCGGAAGCCCGGCTCGCCGCTGACGATTAATCTTCAGAATGGACACCGCTTGTGAAGTTGGTTCTAAAATGTCAAATGTTCCGTAATAACGGACATTACCAAATATCACTCCATTCGACGTCTACAGTAAGTGCCTGACTGCTTCCACTCGAATAAGGCGCACGACACCAATGACAATGTCCCGCCCACAACGGCGAACGCCCTGGGCTCCCAAATTCTGCGTTCAATAAGGAGTATGTACCACCTCAACGAGCCCAGCATCCGTTCTCAGTGTTTCTCAACATTCACTCGCCCACTGTGCTGGCGGTCCCAATCTCAGTGCGTCGAACCCTCCAACATCCGCCGAAGTCATGAGAGTCCTAGTCCCGCACCGGTCTTAGCAATGTAGGTCCTTCCACAGGTCTTCTTGTCGCTGTCTTGCAATGGTTGTCTCTGTACCAAAGACCCAAGGTGTAGATCCCGTGGTCCGTACAGATCATCTCGGCATGTAGCGTTCGACCTCAGAAACGGCTGATGCGGCCAATGGTGTGTGCGCCCTGAATATTGCTCAGAAGTGGTAGCCGGCGCGGGCATCTAGCTGGACCTTGGGTGTTGAACTGAAGTGGTCGGGATCAAAACCGCTTAGGGTTTTGGGTATGGTGTTGTTCTAGAGAGTGCGCGCTTTGAAGGAGGTCGTTCTCCGAGCGCAACCAATCGTCGATACCATGTCTCCTCTGCGAAGCCTGCCAACAGGAGGGCGGTTCCATCAGGAGCCTGGCTCGTCCGCATCCGATGATGATAGAATACGTTCTCTTCAATAAGGAAGGAGCGCGTATTTGGTTTGGTTTGCTTTGCCTTGCCTAGTCCTCGCTCACTGGCACGTTACCATCCCAGGTGATGCATGAAGGTGATAGCGGCAGGCGAAGGATGGCAAAAGAAGCGCGCCCTCCAACAATCCAGCTGGCGCTTCAACCTCATCCAGAAGAGCTCGCGGCTCGCGAAGATCCAGTGCCAGCAGAGTCGTCCTTATCAGATGTCGAAGGGGCCGTTTTCTTATTCAAATAGCTGGTTGACGCCTTGCAATCGCCGCATTTCTCGTCGAGTCGGTATTCGATCGCAGTGATGTTTGCGGGACAGCGTTTGTGTGTCTCCTGATATCTTGTACCTGTTGGGCATTGTTAGCTGGTGTTGATAATGTTTTGTCTTCAGGTTGTGGCTACTGACACCATGATCGAACGATGAACCGTTGATGACCGCAGGTGTATTCGACTTGTGTATAGTCGCACATGGTTGTGATCGTGGAGTCTCTTGAGGGTTGTATAGGTGTCTTGTTGGAAAGCAACCGCAAGTTACAGCGGATATGCTATTGAACTCCTGCTATTTGCTTTGAGGGTCAGATATTACTCAGGCTCGACTGATAGAGTGACGTACCAGTGTGCTCTGCAGTCCACCCAACGGACAATCAGTGACAAGAGTACTCTTCCTCCCAGGTGAAGCTTCAAGCCCAGCAACAGCATTGCTCGCAGGTCTCATCGAGCTGTTCCATGGTCACTAATCCACCGCATCTGCCGAGAACTCCTCAAGACCGGTCTTGAGCGCACAACTCTGCATGAAGAGGAGTACCTTTGGCCGTTCGGCTTTGCAAAGAGCCCATGTTGGTGTGGGGCCAGGGGTGTGGTCATCTTTCCATGCCTGCTTGCTTCTAGCCCGCGTGACGGCCACTATGCTCACCAATGAGCCGCAAGGAAAGGTTCCGGGGCCTTCGATTCGTTCGCAAAGCATGACTTTGTCAGGAAAGAGGCGAGTCGGCTCAAGATAGTTCGAGTATGGTGATATCTCGAAGGTGGTAGAGGGAAGGAAAATGCTATTGAGATCTCCTACCAACTCGATGACAACGGGAAGGACAACTCCGTTCACCGCAAGCACTGACACCGTCCGTTCACTCTGATCCCAGAGAAGCAGGTTGGTCCAGTGGAAGTTGTTCCGGATCGTCCCCCAGGCTGACCGACAACCGCCTCGTTCGGCACGTACCCGGCAACTGGCCCACGCCTGCTCCGTTCCAGCGGGGCGGAGACGGGCGGACTGTCCCAGCGTAAGGGTTGAGTTGTATCAAGCGAATCACAGCAGCAGAGAGGTGCCAGTGAGGCGTTCCGGGCCATGCGTGCCTACTTAGCTCGAGACCTTGGTGAAGCCATTCGCGGCATCCGTCATGGCGGGTCAGCCAACAACGTGGTCGTTCGTTGGTCGATATTGCGTTATACGAAAGAGAGCTGGAGTATGTGGTCTTCCGATACCTACAGTACAGCCGCTTCCAGAGCACGACGATCAAGATCTTTGCTCTGGGACTGGAAGAACGCCTGTTCGAGAAAGCGACATGTTCATGGTACAGGACTGGCATCTGGCCCGTGCTAAGCTCGGATCACTCTCGCAGATGGGGAGAGCGGTGAGGAGGAAATCAACTCGGGCATCATACCTTCAATCAACCTACATTCGTCCTGTCTTCACGGAAGAGCGATTGCAACCGCTCTGGACGATGACAGCTATGGGATTTACAGCGGTCGAGTGCCGCACTTCTTAAACCTGTATTTCTGCCATCCTAATCTCATCAATTGCTGTGACAAGGATGGTTGGAAGCTCACGAATGCGGCTGTTCGGTTCCAGACTCGAAGCGACTTCCAACGTACGAAGCAAACGGGCAGCTCGGTAAGCTCGAATCAGGTCCACGACAATCAGGATGTTCGCAAGACGTGCACCAAGCTCCAGGTTGGCCATTCGTTCGCTTGGCACTCACCAACATGTTCTGCATGCGCTCGAGGTAGGGATTGAAACAGGAACCCTGACATGTCAACGTCGTATCACGCCTGGCTCAGCATGGGTAGCAAAGCGCCGTGCATTGTACCTAGGGATTGCTCGCAGCGGAGGTCGGCAGATGTGTAGACAAGCATGTGAAGAGGCCAGTCCAATCTGAGATTGACATGTCAGAGCTCGACAAGAGTACTTCTCGATGTACTCTGCGGTGCTGAGCTCGGTGTACCTGCATTAGGCCTTGCCTGTCACTCTGAAACCAGGAAAGATCCTCCATGGTCGCAATCCAGGTTGGAATGTGAAGAAGTAGGGCTGACGGCGATCATCACCCATCGGAAAGAAGAGGTGGGTTCATGGCTTGCAGGATGACCTCGTAAGTTGAGCCGTATCGCGAAGAGCACCTGTTACTGGTGGGCGACGTCGGAAGCATGCGCGCAAGAGAGCATATGAGAGGTCTGTTCCCACTCCTTTCATTTCGAGAACCGCCCCGTTGGGTCATTGGACGGGTCGTTGGATGGTCGAAATTGGATGAGCGACGGTCCTCAAGCAAGTGTGACGTCCCTGCTGGTGGATGGCCTTGGATGATCAAAAGAGCGGCGGGCACCAAATTGGCTGAACCATGGACTCAGCGTCTGCACTTCGCAACACGCGTACGAGACTGCACTGGGAGCTGTGACGTACCAGTGTCCTTGCGAGGATCATGAGGTAAGTCTGCTAGCAGCTGAGTCCTCTCCGGGACGCTTCAAGGCCTTGAAGCGTGAAGCCTATCAGTGGCTGAAGACGCGAGCTCGCAGCGCATACTTTTTCCAGAGCTCTCACGGTTTGTCCTTATCGACGCTGTCCCTTCGTCCGAGAAGATGTTGGGATGTCGATCCTCCATGGAGTGCATCGCAGCGGCGACCAGGATTGATATTGCGCACTTGTCAATCAAGTCCCATACGACTGGTACGTACATTACGGGTGGCCAACGCCAGCCGTACCCCGAAGAGGATGTCGCGATGTTCTTGGTGACGGAGGAAGTGTATCTGACACACGCAGAGAGCCGGGATGATCCTTGCGACGATTCAATGGCAGAAGCTGGAGGTGAGGTTGAATTTCGAGAGCTCCACTGCTTGATGAAGCTCTTGCAAATTAATTGCAACCTGGAACCACACATAGCATTGGTGGCAGCTCATCAGCTGATGTACCGCAATCCACACCCACATACCGACCGCATAATCGGCCAGATTAATTGCACAAACGCAAGACGGATATTGCCACATGGACAGAGGTTAGTACGCTTTTGCCAAAAGCAAAAGTTGATTGCAAGTCCTGTATGCCTTCATTCTATCTGTCTCCTCAAGAACCCTGTCTACATGTATCTGTCTTCCACACCCGCAGCGCCTTCGCTTCTCATCTAGCATAACACCCGTCCAACAAGCACCAACAGCAACTAACACCACACCCACTCACTTCGTCTCGAACGCAGCAATCCGGTTCTTCACCGCATCCTCATCCTCGCCACACTCTAGATCCTCCAGCAATCCCGTCCCAAGATCATAAATCACCCCGTGAATCTGCAAGCCACGCTCCTGCATAGCCTCAATCACCGTCGGTATCCTCCTAAGATTCCCCACGCCTTGCTGCACATTCAACTTCGCCATGTAATTGCTCTTGTCCTTGCCCTCGAGCTTCGCCAGCTCACCCGCGTGCTTCTCCCGCAGCATACGCATCGGCTGTAGCCACAGATCCAACACGCCGAGCTTGTTGTTGTTCAGCGTCGCGGCCACGCCGCCGCAGCTCGTGTGTCCGCACACGACCACGTGCTTGACTTTGATGTGGCGGACGGCGAACTCGACGACGCTCAGCAGGCTGAGGTCGGTCGGGTTGATGACGTTGGCGATGTTGCGATGGGTAAAGACGTCGCCGGGCTTGAGGCCGAGAATGGTGGTCTCGGGCTTGCGCGCATCAGAGCAGCCGAGCCAGAGGATTTGGGGTGCTTGTCCCTTTGCGAGGCTAGGGAAGAAGTCGGGGTCGTTTTTGGCGGTGTCGGCCGCCCAGCGCTGGTTGTACTCGAGGCATTGCTTGAAGGCGTCGTCTAGGGGGTGGTGTTAGTGATTGTACACCCATCGACGGCCTACTACGCACTTCTGTGGATTGATGATGTGCTAAAGCTGCGGAAGGCCCCCGATGTCCTCGTCGTGCGGACTGTCGCTTGGGCAATGCCCAATGCTCGCCGGCGCATCTCACGCAGAATATGTCGTTGGCGAGAGAAGGTAGTTCAAGAAAACAATCTCACCTACCTTCAGCCTGCCCAGCCATGTTGGATCCGTGCTTTGGTGTGTTGTAGCCTCAGGAGACTTGGGATGGAAGATGGTATAGCGACAACTTATCTTATATCGGGCAGAGATATCGCATCTCCTTATATATCTGCGCAATGCTTACGATGGTGTGCTTTTTCCCCGGCGGTCCAACCGTTGAGCAAGCTCTGAGATTCCACAGTGGGGTCCGACCGTTGGTGAACCCAAGTGCGACCGTTTGATATCAACCACACCTCTTCATTTTGCGTGACGACCGAGATAATCGAACGAAGACATGGTGATATTCCCACTGAACGATCTCAAGAGTCACACTCACGGCGAGATGTTGTCAATCAACAGGAAGTCCACCATCTTCGAGGACCGTCATCATCAGTTCTATTCTTGTCCCACAGATTCTGTGGCGGCTGATTGTCGACCAACCACCCAGCCAAGCTGATCAACCACCTACACCACGGAGTTCTAGTATGTATACTGTGCCTTGCTCAGAGTCTGCCAGCATGTCCACTTGACGAACAAGTGTCCGGAGAAAAAGATTTGCAGCCCCAGGGAACACTGGTCATCGCTTGCAACTCCCGCCATGACCTGAGCCGCCCACCGATGTAAGATGCCAGATCTTGAAACACCTGTGCTTATACCACCCAGATCCCAAGTTTCAGGCCTCCTGTACATAAGTCGCACGCCGAGGAAAACTCTGGGCGGTCCTCTACACACCTCACATCGACTGGCTGGCCACCATGACCATGCGCTCCCGCTTCCACACCCTCGTGGAGACCCGCGTACCGCAAGACATCGACGCCAAGGCCATCATCTCCGCCTTCCACGACCACAGCTTCATCATCACCATGCAGCCCATCGTTACACGCCACTCGGTGCGCGATCGCGACCCTGCTTCAGGAAAACTGACCTACGACGTCTGGGAGCACATCAGCCTGTTGCCGTTCGGCCTCTGGAAGCGGGAGATCCAGTTTACGGTCGCCTTCACGGATAAGAAGGACGGGACTGTGAGCGCGATCAACGCCCCGATGGGGTTTGATTCCGAGGCGACGTATACGATCAAGCCTGGCACGGATTGGGATGGGGAGGGCGGGGGGTGGGTGATTGAGGAGAGTATTGAGACGGAGTGTAATGTGCTGTTGAAGTGGTTCGTTGAGGGGACCATGGTGCCGGTGAGGAGGAAGATGCATGAGCAGATTTTGGAGCATGTGAGGGAGAGGGAGAGGAAGGAGAGGCAGGATGAGGCGCGGAGGAGTGAGGCGAGTAGGGCGAGTGGAGGGGTGGACCGGCCGGATGGCAATTACATCTGATCTGGCGCTACATGTCTTGTTGGCTGGAACGGCTTGGTGGATTTGCTGCGAAGCGTCACAGACGGAGTGGCGAGCAGACGACCTCGCCCGGAAGTGGGATTTTTGGCGGACCGTTGGTACGGACGACGAACGGGTTACTCTTCTTCTTTAGCCTGGCGTTCGGGAGTGAAGGCAGCATGTGGTAACGTCCTTGCGATGCTAGAGCTACGCTTTGCGGACATGGGCTGGATTGCTGGCTGAGAGCATATTCGCAGGACACAGAATCTGAATGATGAAGAAGGCTGACTGCTCACTTCCCGTTGTGAAGTCGTCTTTGCCTTGCCATATTCTGCTTCCTCGTACAAGCTGTGAGTCCCTGGCTGCTGGTTGAAGCCGTCTTGAAATCTCAGGCATTGAACAATGCAATAAGGTCGCATGACTGAGCAGGCGAGGCTGGCTCATTGACTCAATCCACCCAGACGCACAATGGATCTCTCAGTCACACTGCTTCATTTCTCAATTCGCTCCTTCCGGTCGTGTGCATCTCGGAAGCGTGCAAGTCGTCCTCGATCCCAGCACAAAACGTGACAGCAAGGTACAGCATTGCTGCCTTACCCACAGCAGATGCGACGGGAATGCACATACGGTTTGTCATTGCCATGTGGGCGTGGTGGGCGGTACGCTCACTGTTGCTTCGGGTGTTGCATGTCGTGCTCCTGTCTCACTTCCCGCATGACAATGGTCCATTGATTCGCTCTGGCTGGCTTGCGCTTTCGTAGGTGGCAGAATATACATGCACCTGTGATGAACGTCTCAATTGACAGCGGTGGACTCGCCACTGGCTGCCTGCGAGACGATGTCGTGGGATGTCTTGGATGTCTCTACAATTGCGGCACGACGTGCAGAAAAGCATCCCACCCACCTGCTCGCTTGCACGAAGCGATCGCGAAACTGACAGGTCGGCGATAAGCCGCAGCCACCGCGATCCTCTTCCAGGATACTTTGTCGTACAAGTGGCTGCCACATGGTCTGCCACGTGTATACGGAAGCGTTCACATCCGAGTCCTCTCACCAAGCGAATGTGCTTGCTGCACGCCACAAGCCTTCTAGGCCTCTTGCACGGAAGTCGTCGTCTCAGTGGCCAGCTTCAGAGCGCCACGCGAATGCATGTCGCAACGAGGCGAGCTCGGAGACCGGGCTTCAGCTCAGCTTTGACTGTTGGAGCGACGCCATGCTGCTGCAGAGCTGGTGGGATGACGAGCTGGCTGAAGGAGGGCAGCTCTGTTGCGTGACTTTGCGCTTCACGTCTCGACATTCAATATCACACGGCATAGAGTGCATACGTCCTGTGCGCCTTGTTTGAAATGAACTGGAAGCTTCCGCAACCGCTGCTGAGATGCAGGAGTAGGATCCTTGCGCGTCGCGTGGCAGCCGATGCTTAGTAGACATTCGGATCTCGTCTTACCGTTGAAATAGAAAGCCTAGCTGTAGGAATGTCGTTTAGAACGGCTACTGTATTCGGAGCCGCCGTGGCTTCAAATTCTAGAGCCTGACGACATACATCAGCAGCATCTTTGTTCGAAGCGAGATGAAGTGCATCCATCGTGCATACAGCAGCATCTTGAAGAGGAAGAGCTGCAAGTGCCGTTTACGAGAAAGTACAGAAAGTAGCAGAAGCAGATTCCCTGCTGCACATCCTGATCAATCGCTTACAGGCCCCGGGGTTTGAGGCTCCTTGCGCCCGCATTGGTGGCTCTCCACGACGTCTCCACAGAATATCGGCCAAGTGCGGCTGACATTGGACAGTGAAGGCTTCGGGTGTACACTGTAGAGGCAATGAAGACTCTCGATAGAAACGTGAAGTTGAAATAGAGTCTGATGAACGCAAAACATGTCTTGGTGAGTCTGCCGAATGCGACGATCTTCAAAGTGCCGCATCTCACAATGTCGTCCCCGGTAACGTGCGGTGACCATCCCGTCTTGAGCTCAGAGCCTTCGAGCTTTACCTGGTAGAACCAACGGGCCGCATGCCGACAGCAACATCGGCCACTATACTCGTCCTGCGACCGTTGCCACCTCGTCTACGTAAGCGTTGAGGACATCGCTTAGAGATGAGAACGAAGGCGTCTCAGGCGTTTCGGCGCAACCCTCTCCGTGCGATGTGGACGACGGCTGAAGAGACCCTGCGTCGATGCGTAGATCGGCAAGATGGGCTGCTCGCTTGGGTGTTCTCGTAGAAGATTCTGCATCCCAAAGGGAATTAGCGGCGCATTTGACAGGCGTTTGGAGTCGCTCTGTCGAGTGCGAGCTGTCCGAAAGCGGAAGCAGCACTGTTGCGCGACACACGTTGAACGTTGCACGCCGGCGTCGCTCGGTGGCTGCAGCTCCCACGAGGACCTCGCTGCCGTGGCCCGTGACAACGTGGCGTGTGTGACCGCGAAGCGACCACGAGGTGTCCTCGAATAGCCTGGCAAGGTGTCAGGGCGGCATGGTCGATGTGGAGAATGGATGCGAGGGCGCGCTGCTGTGACCCTCTCGTCGCAAATGGGGAGCAGGGATGGCGCAAGGAGGTGCGTTCGCCGCGGACGAGCAAACCTCACGTTGCGGCTAGAGCAGCACAGAAGGAACATGCGAGCGCTGGAAGCAGAGAGTCGAGCAGGGATGTCGCCAATTTGGGAGGTGCCCCATGCCGGGGTTGTTTCTACGCGAGCGCAGGACTAAAAATCGGCTGGTGACTGGAGCTGACGGGACGTTCAGAAAAGTGACGAGCCCGGTAAACGTCTCTGCATTGCAGGGATCCGACGGGTTTCATTCATCCTGTACGATCCACTACCCGCCAGTCGACCGTATAGAGCTATAAGCCTGTAAGCGAGCGTGGCATGGCATTGTGATATACTGACGAGTTTCTGCTCTTATCCGTCTAACCGCAGCGCACATGAGACATTTTTGAGGGCAGCACAAAGGCCCTTCCAGCTAATGCCCAATAGCCTCAAGTAGTGCTACGGCTGCTTCCACTCCCTGTTCGATGTCTTGGGAGTCGTCTGTTCTCTAGGCTGACTTTAACCTCTGCTCATCATCAACGCTGTCGATTGACCTTGCCATCCATCAGGGGAGACTGCCTCCCATTCTCGAACGACGTCTGGACAGACTGCTCTCGGATTGTTGCCGGACGCCGCAAGGAATGTTCATGTGCCGATTCGAATCTTGGTAGCGAGACGGGACATCCTTAACCTTCTTGAGACCAACCGCCAACGAGAAACGGCCAACGCCTTCTCTTGCACGATCACATGAATCGCAGTCCTCCCGGCCGTCATTGAGGAGAAAGAGATTGCTGTCTCGACCGTGACTACCTTCACCAAATTCAACAACACCGGCACGTGAATGTGGACCTCCCCCCTCTTCATCACCAGATCTGGACGAGCATAGCCCTTGAGGCCATCATCTGCGCATCCGAGATCGAGCTTGAGTGGACTTTATTTCCGTCTTCATCGCATCGCCATCGCGGGGTGTATTGGATGACCGTTAGCAGCTTACCTCTCCCGCAACGGCCAGTCGTCCTTCTCGAAGCCGGACTTGAGAATCTAGGAATCTGGTTCCGCCGACGGACCGGACCCAGTCTTTGATTACCACGACCTCACTTCATTGCCCACAACCACCGATCGCACCGGCTTTTCAGATTGCAAAGTCGACATTGACGCGTCTGGAACGTCCGTCAAAGGTGCCGTTGAGGCTAAGCCTTGAGCACTGCGCCTGGTCATTGGAAAAGAGCAGAAAGTGCGACTGCGGACGTCAAGTACAGCAAGTGCATCTTCGACGTGCTCACAGTGCTCTTGCTGCACAGTAAGGAAACTTATCGGCAAGAACGAGTCCTCAGAGCTTTGCGGTCCTCGATGCTGCACCGCGATCACTTCCACATGCTCTTCTTACGAGCCGACGCGCACCCCTATCATCACAAGTTTACTTATCATCGACAACCTCTCCGCATCTTTAGACTCTGAGTCTCACCAGCGGTAGAGGTCAGCAACGACAGCCCCACTGGTACCAATCCACGCCGCTTCAGAAATTGTCGACATTCGAATTGGGTAGTCGAACCCATCGTGACTCTTAGGTGAGGGGCTAACCCACCGTCTGGTCGAAAAGGCAACGTTTCGGTGCTGAGGTCGATATATCCTTGGGGCCTCTACCGGAACAACCTTGGCAGTCTGGATCAACCACGGCGGAGCATTCGACGACAAGGCTCTTGACTCTGGTATCCAAAGGTCACCACCTCTTCACGCACTTTCTCTCACCTTCCTGCTTCGACGAAGTCGACAATCGAACCACATGTCATTCCCTGGCTCATACCAAAGCCCATACCGACCTCTGACCAGGTAAGAGGGAGTGCAGACAGCGCCGTCTTCCATCTCTGCGGAAGAAGTGTGGTACGCGTATCGGACTTGCTGATCATGGCGATACGCAGCGATGTCGTCGAGCTCTTCGTCAGACAACATCCTGAGCATGCGGTTGTCACGCCGGAGAACAAGGATAAACGTGAGTGCAGCTGCTCTATGCATGCTCCCTGCCGGGAGACGCGTCGCAACGTTTGCTAACACCACCACCAGTGCGCAAACCAATAGACCCGCCGCCAATTGTACAACTCAGAGTCCTTCGGAGTCACGATGCTGGAAGGTCGGTCAACAGTGTCTCCATACATCCATGGATCCAACTGACTTTGCATGTAGTCAATACCTAGTGAACCCATTTTTGTACATGGTAGCACTGCTCGTGGAGGCTGAACAATCACGAGGGCACGATGGGATTGATGGGTTTCGTCCGGTCAGGCCAAATCCTCTCGTTGGTGCATCAACATCATCACTGCACCGGCTGAAGGACGTCGACAACAAAGGTACGTTGTTAGGAGATGACCATCCTGCGAGACGTTCACTAACACCAAATTCAGATGGAGGCTTCTTCGTCTTCGGCGATATATCGTGTCGTCGTGAGGGGAGGTTTCGACTGCAATTTGCCTTGTTCGAGCTCAGACCGTAAGCCATACAACATCTACTCTTGGAACGTCCATGCTGACCTCTTACAGTGACGGCTCGGAGTTCCTGAACTACGCCATGTCAAACCCCTTCAAAGTGGTGCCCTTCAAAGAGTTCAGAGGAATGAAGGAGTCGACGCACCTGTCGCGAACCTTTTCGGATCAAGGTGTTCGACTTCGGTTGCGGAAAGAGCCTCGTGCGATAGGGTGGGTACAAGGATGAGACGTGATACAGGTACAGCAATTTGACTGTGGAATAGGGCGAAACGATCATGGACTGGCACGGAAATGGGACCAACGACTTCACCTCCGTCGCGTGACCCGATGGGGATGCACCATGAGCGTAACGACTACGGATACGAGATGGGAAGCATGAAGCGACAGCGAACGGACAGTGACTTTACGCCGCATTCGTACTCACAACAACCCTATGCTGGCGGCCCGGTCAATCCGACTCCATCGTACTTTGAGACTGGCGGAATAAACATGGATAACAATGGATGGCCAATCCACAACAACTATCAGGCATCCTTGACACACAACCAACACATGGCCCAGCCTTCGCCTGCGCAGCCTGTTGCTCAGCGAAGCTATGCGCACATGAGTTACCCTCCTACGTTGGATACAACTACCGGACAGGACTACTCAGTGAACACCACTTCGGCTCTCAACTTGTCGACTACGCTGGGCGACGTGTACGCGGGACAGAGGAACCAAACGTACAGCTCCAGACCTTCAGGAGGGTCGTTCGACCAGGCACACGGACTTAGAACACCCACTTCAGCCTCGGACAGCAGTAATGGATACGCGAACCAGCGCAGTGCCGTCCAGTCTAACCCTCAGGATGTCCGAATAAGCATCGAACAGATGACACCGATGGCACAGAACCTGGCCCAATCGCAAGGCATATCAAGCGTCACGCCCAGCTACGGCATGCCACCAAACCCCCTGAACTCCTCTGCGCAATCCTACACCACAGCGGCCGACACCATCGACTCAGCGTACGGCCAGACGATGCCACAGTCCGGTCTAAAGTACGAGCTCGACGACTACGGGAGCACGACCAACCCTTACTTCGATACAGTCCCAACTCGAGATACATACGCCTCCGCCGGCGGCTCGCTGTCAGACACCAACTTGCCGCTTGGCGGAAGCATGCTGAACCGCAGCTACGCGCCTGCGCACGCGCAACAGCAGCCGCAACAGCAACAGCAGCAGCAACAATCGAGCGAAGGCAGCATGCCCAGTCAGGATCTTGCGGGGTATAAGGCGTCCGTGCAAGCATATCCTACCCCTAATCAGACAAGTCCGCTGGGTTAGCTGGTTGCTGATTCGATTTTCATTTCTTTCAGGTTTAATAGCAGGGACGCATTTGCTTTCAGACAGTGGGAGCTGTACACTCCGACTCGCCAGCCTTGGGCGCGCACGAGGAGCAGTCTTGGGGAGGGGGAGCGGTGGATGCCAATGGCAATGGCGCGGTCACGTCCGCAGCCACGGCTTAGCGATGGCATCACTCCGCTCGGTGGATATGATGGGTGCGTTGCTGGCATCACCGCAACTCAAGGACACGGAAGCTGACCTTTGTCGACTTCTCAAGGCCATTGGATCAGTCGCAGAGCCTGCTACAGCTCGCGCCAGGAGATCCGTATGACTTCACAGACGGTTTCTACGACACACCACATTACCATCTCACCGAGCAACAAATCGAAGCCACGGTTACAACGCTAGACGAAGCGCTTGACACTCCGGTAGGCGCAACACTGGTTTCGGCATCAGCGAGCCTGCGACCTTCGACTCCGACGAGACATTTGGACTTGACGAGCAGCTCACACACCGCACTATGGAATCATCGAAACGGAGAACGAGCTCAATGGACAGATCCACCAGCAGAATTTCAGTCCGGCAGGCCATTGGTAGACGATGCTTTTATTAAACCAGAGGAGGACGAAGATGCTGCATCGGCAAACGCGTCTTTTAGCCCGGCATCTCCATCAGAGTACCCGCCGGATGCGCCTTCGGAAGGTCCATCGCGCGCACACTTCTGCTCTACGTGTGGCAGAGCCTTTGACAAGAAAAGGTACCTCACGGGGCATGTGGCAACTCACACTGGCGAGAAGCCATACGCTTGCTGGGTCTGTAAGAAGGCCTTCGCTCGTGCAGATGCTCTCCAGAGACACGAAAGAACCCATGATCACTGGCTGGCCGTACGTCTGCACGAATGCATTTCGGACGGTGGAGAAGGCGGAGCAGATGGAGCATGAGCGCCTCACCAGGGATGGAAGTGAATGAGACGAAGTACGGCAACGAGCCAGAGCCAATGGTCCCACAGCGAAGGGGCTTCTCATCGAAGCGAAGGCGTTCGGGCTGGGTCAAAAGCGTTCAAGCATCACAGCAGGTCTCGGGGCGGTCGGGAACCTTATCATTGCTTGTGAAGGACTGGAATACAGTACAGCATGCATTGTGTTCGAGGGAACTGGCTCTAGGTACAGCATGGATGGCTTTTCGTTCGCTTGTAATGTATTTTAGCTTGTGGCTATGAGGTAATGACAGCGGTGATGTATTGCTCGATGACAACTTCACGTGCTCTGTGATGACAAAGTTGTCCTGTGGTACCATACTGAACTCCTCGCTATGCATAAAAGTACATCAATGACCGTCATTGTCCGTGCTGTCCATTATGATCTCAATCATCAGGGTCATCGTCTTGCAGCGGCCTGTACTTCGCATCCGAACCTCTTTGTACAACCCGATCCCAGCGTCGTTGGTAGACTCGCACTGCCGTCCAGCCTAGAGCGGCGGCTGCAATTCCACACACGGCACCGACGATGAAAGTCGTGCCCGCTTGCTGGAAGTCGGACGGCCATGAACGGCTTGGTTGTGGTTCCTCGTCCTGGTCAACGCCTTTCTCCGGCGGCGCTGCATACCCTTCCTCAGAGATCTGAGAATCTGAACCACCATCGATGAGTGGCGATGACCGCACAGTAGTCGTCACCCCCGACTTCCCAAGACTAGTGCCATCGCCATCGAAAGCTTCAGCAAAAACCCTCCTTGCAAGAGCCTTGTACTCGAAGCTCGTCTCAAAACCCTGCCGCCTGACTGATCCAAGGTGCTTCACATCCCCTCCCTCGTCGACTTCGCTGAACTCCCATTTCCTCGTCCTAGTATCGCCATTCCAGCTCACATGGATAACAGTGACCAGATGGTCGTCAACAGCCACTGCCTCCGCGTGAACATCTGGTGGCCGGCTGGGACTCCCGACCCAAGGATGTTTGAAGGCGCGGTATGAGCGCAGCTTAATCGGGATTCTAGCTTCCATGACGACTGATCCGTCGGGTGCGTGCTCGGTCATGTAGGAGTGGTAGGCCCAACAGATGAAGGCGTTGCCGTTTGGTAGGATCTGGAAGCTGCCTACGAAACATCAATGATCAGCTGCTGTAGGTATTACTTGAGGGTTGTTTCTGACGTACCTCTTGCGTTGGTACGCTCACCTCCCGGCTGTCGATACTCTCTGACAATCTCTGCTTTCATCTCGGCTGTGTCCAGCAGCATAACAAGCGCTCTGGCTTTCTTAGAAGTGGCCTTTTCGAACGGGCCATCGCCAATGCCGTTGTCGAACACGCTCAAGGTTGTGTGCGTTTCGTTCTGCGAAAGAACTTGGGCATGATGCTGTCGTGAGAACTTCCAGTCGTCTTGGATGAAGTCCGACTTGACACCTCCAAGTCGCCAGACTATGGAGCCGTCTTTGTGCGAGATCTTATAGAGCGCGTCAGTGTGCCGCGCTGAGAGCAGGTAGTCTCCGTCCGGGAATTTCGTTATCGAGTTGAGATGACTTCAACCATGTTAGCTCTTGAATCGCTTCCGAACACGGGCTGTCAAACCTACAGGATATCCCAGCCTCTAGCGCATTGCTGGTCAACTGAGCCGTCGTATTTCTTGTACGTCGCCTCGTCCAGACCAATATGATGACTGGCATCCCATTCAAACAGCACCTCCTCGGCCCCAACAGAGTCAACATCCATCTCTCGGAAACCTTGGTACTTCGCATCGCACGGTCCATCATAGCCAACCACTTGCGACTGCTCCTTAGGAGTGAGACCATCGACATGGGTGAGAAGCAGCGCGCGAGTGCCATTCTCGAAGACGTTGAACTCATGCATGTTCGGCTTGACTGCTTGATCAACCAGGAGAGGGACGGTCTTGTAGACCTCGTACGAGCTGTCGAGTATGAATCCATGCTTCTCGTGGTCACTCAGCAGGGTAAGCATTCGTTCGCCATCGACCATCCTGGATTCAAAGTCGAAGACATTCCAGTATCCGAACATGGGCGTGCCACTCCATACAAGCTCGCCCTTGCCATCGTAGATATGCGGGCCATCCCACTGCGGGCCGGGTCGGTCTTGGCCCAGTTGTCCGTAAGGTGCCACGAACCAGTAACCGGGTGCTACAGCGTGCTCGTCGTGAACATCCACGTGAAAGACAGGTGCATCGATGTCTGGCCTGGTCACGTATTTGTAGAAAGTACGGTCTTGCTGAGTGATTTTCCTTTTCGAGAGAGAAGTATGCCGTGCTAAGTGTTCCGCATCATTGTGAGTGGCTTCCGTCAAGATGGCTAAGGGAGAGACTGCAGGAAGCAAGATTAAAGCCAAAAGACATAGCTTCTTTGAACTGGAAGACAACGACATTGCAACACCAAGGATTCATGACTTTCAAAATCATAGTTGCACGAGGAGAAGTTTTGAGGTGGGCAACTGGGCAACGAGATTTGAATACGAACCGCCGGGGATGCTACAGCCGCCGTGGCCACACTCGATGGCTTATTATTACTGCGGCACAGAACTGTAACCGCTGGGCTCAGCCAGAGCCAAGCACGTGCTTTGCATGTATCTGGAATTGATTGACAGCTGCTGTAAACGTGGCCAATGGCTGATGCTGTGTTACCGATGAAGATGTCGTTAAAAGATAGGGAACAGATGGCCGCGACGTTTGATAGCCGCTGAGGGTGAAGGCGCTCCAATTAACGTTGCGGTCCAAACGGCTTGCCGATCCGTGAACTCTCCCCACAAGCACGATCCTCTCAAGATGGTTAGACCGATATGCAGGAACAACCAGGCCTTCCTGAAACATTCCCTCTCTACGCGCCTTCATTCTGCTTGCTCACATCTCGTTCTCCTAGGTTAATATTTGGATTCGCAGGCTAGTCTGTTAAAGGTCTCCAACATGACCCGTGGTCAGCTTCCATGGGAGCCGCAACACAGAAAGACTTTCCATGTGGTGCCAGCCTGGAACCATAATGCCAAGTGAACGATTCGACTGAGGATTCGTGAATATCAGGATGTAGGTAGTAACCTGTCTACGGCACCCATTGCAAGCGAAATGTTGCCACGCTCGACGTGGCGGTAGAACGAACGCTGCTGTTGGCCGATCCGGTCCTGCTGTTTGAGCCTCATGTAGGCAGTCCATGGGATGCACGAGGCAAGAAAGGAAGGTAGCCGAATGCCTGAAGATGCTTTGAGAGCCGCCGAACTGCCACAAGGATGACAGGGGACATGCATGTGCCAAAGTGGCGTCGCTCTGGATATGGCTTGCTGTGCCGCAAGGTCATGTCTTGCTGGTTGGTATCTGGGATCTGCTCCTCCGTCAGCGACCTACTCCTCATTCACCAAGTCTTCCCCAGCTCACGAATCGACAAAGTGCACGTTCGGACATGGCAACCAAGACGACTGTAACCATACCTCTCACAACCATCTTCACTCCAGCTCCGACCTGCACCTTACCACTTCTTTCCTTCGCTAATCCCCACAATACCCATGTTTGGGGGACGGACTATGGCACGACCACGATCCAAAAGTTCCAGCAAGGATGTTACCCGGAGTATTATCTAAAATATGGCCAAAGGGTGGTATTCTCGCCAGGCGTCTGTCCGTCGGGGTATACGATGGCGCAGCTGTCCTCGGACGAGAACTACGGCAATACTCGTGCACACTGCTGTCCCAGGTTCGGCACCCACAGTACTCTCACGCTGCTTCCAAAAGCTGACCGACAGCAGCAACGCTCCATTCGTGACGACCAGCGGTCCTTTTCAGCACTGTGCTTCACCAGCCACGAGTCCCGGCACGCTCGTGCTGGAAAAGAAGGCGACAACCGGAGGAAGCTATCTCATCGTCCAGAAGGCCATTGTCGTTGAGTGGAAATCAGATGACTTGTCCTTATTCACACCAACGTCTGCACCGCTGTCAGCGTTGGCCCGCGCAAGTCCGAGTGTGGAGCCAGCCAGTGCTCTCCCGTCGCCAATACACAGCACTCGGGTCCGGGTGCAGTCGTCCAGTGAGTGGTTGAGCACAACGGCAACGTCAACCAAAAACTCTGCATCCGAAACAACGGCAACCTCTGACACGAGCATAACCTCAACCGCGGCGACTCAAGTAGCTTCGAACTCTCCAGTACCAACAAATGCTCTCTCGACCGGTGCCAAAGTCGGCATTGGAATCGGCTCTGCCATGGGGGCCACCATTGTGCTCTTGCTGATCGCACTAATATGGATGTCGAGGAAGAGGCGATCGGAAAAGGCTGCAGGCCAAGACACCTATCTGCAGCAACTGGGGCCTTTCACAGCGTACGACAAAGGTAGCCATGCTACAGGCAGCTATGCCAGCAGTAGCTTTCCCAATGATGGGTACCGCAGCCCAGATGGAAAGAATTACCAGCATAAACTGTTCGAACTGAGTCCAGACAGAAGGATCGCGGAACTGAATGGCGTGCCTGGTCGAGATTTCTGATGAATGGGACGGAGGTACAGTCGACAGACGATCTGTTTTGACAAGGTTCAGCGTTGTCTTTTGCCTGTTAGCATGGCGTTTAGATTAGTGTGACGTTAAGCGTAATGTGAAAATCCTTTGGCCTTTCGAGATGGAAAGGGACTTCATCCATTTCGTCCTACCTCGCTTATACTGCTCTACTGAGGTGTCCTCTGAAATCTGAAGAGCTCATGCTATCAGCACGGTCGAAATTTGTATCCGGTGGTAGGCCACGAACTATCCAGGCCATGGGTATGCTGCCTCTTCTGATTGCGACATTGTCTACATGGGCCGCACTACGGACAGAAGGTGGATAGACGTTGAAGGAAGAGGAGGCGGGAGGCGAGAGCATTTGGAAGTCGCGATTCCTAGAGCACGTGATGTATCTTGGCATGCACGGGCCAAACGCACGAAGCCGAAGTTCGATCGTCGAAAATTGTCCAGCTTGACCAGCGAGACAACCTCACCTTCAACAACCACTACCGCTACCTCGCCGACACTTCAATATGGTAAGCAAGCAACGGAACACCTGATGCAACAGATACCTGCCTCTGCTCGCTGAGCATGCAGTGAACCCGCTTCAGCACGTACTCCGAGGAGTCGCTGGCGGAGAGATACAATGGCTTGAGCTGCCACACTCGCCTCACGGCAGTGTGCAGTCTCTTTAGAGAACGAACAGTGACTGACTGTTCTTCTCAATGACAGCCTCCCAAGACGGGCAAGAAGGCCGCTCCGGCGCCATTCCCGGCCACCAAGGCGGGTGTGAGCAAGAAGCAGGCCAAGGTGAGTCGCACATCCCAATCGCAGCACATCCACACCGAGTATATTGACACAGTGGCAGAATCCCCTCATCGAACGCCGCCCAAAGAACTTCGGTATCGGCCAGGACATCCAACCCAAGCGCAACCTCTCGCGCATGGTGAGATGGCCCGAGTACGTCCGCCTTCAGCGCCAGCGCAAGATCCTCAACATGCGCCTCAAAGTCCCGCCGGCGATCGCCCAGTTCGCGCAGACCCTCGACCGCAACACCGCCGCACAAGTGTTCAAGTTCCTTAACAAGTACCGACCTGAGACCAAGGCCGACAAGAAGGAGCGTCTGCACAAGGAGGCTACCGCTGTCTCGGAGGGCAAGAAGAAGGAGGATGTGAGCAAGAAGCCCTACACCGTCAAGTACGGCCTCAACCACGTCGTCGCTCTCATCGAGGCCAAGAAGACCGCGCTCGTCCTCATCCCGAACGATGTGGACCCGATCGAGCTCGTCATCTTCCTCCCAGCTCTGTGCAGGAAGATGGGTGTGCCGTACGCCATCATCAAGGGTAAGGCTCGTCTCGGCACTGTTGTGCACAAGAAGGTATGTTGAATGAGATCGATCAAATTGATGTCAACTAATCCTTATATGACAGACCGCCGCCGCTCTGGCCATCACCGAGGTCCGCAGCGAGGACAAGTCTGAGCTCTCGAAGATCGTCTCTGCCGTAAAGGAGGGCTTCATGGACAAGAGCGAGGAGGCGAGGCGTCACTGGGGCGGTGGTATCATGGGTGCGAAGGCGCAGGCCCGGGACCGGAAGCAGAGGGAGCGTACCGAGCGGGAAATCAAGATCTAAGCGCTTGTTCCTGTTCGTGCGACGTCGTGGTAGTGATGGTGTTCTAGCGAACCCGGGTTTTCGACGATGGCTCTGCACAAGTGTTGTGATGCCTCGTACGATCAGATACTCTTCAGACCCACAGTCACCTTAGGGCGAGATATCCCAATCCATGAGTTCCTGCCATGACCCTCGATTTCAACTTCAGCTATTCGCATTCGCTTCAAGTGACATGCCTTGTATTCACCTTACGAGGTGACTTATACGTTCAAAGACCCTATTGTAGCACCAGTCTTCTGCCCAAAGTCTGCCAAGCATCCGCACCTTTGAACCAGCCATTGAAAGTTTCGTCGACGCAATGGAAGTCCAACCTCACCAAGCGGAAGACAAGACGACAGTCACTGTACTAGTCACTGGCGCAAACAGGTACGTAGCACGTTCAGCCGCACGCCGGGTACGCTTACTGACTTACGCAATTCCACAGCGGACTAGGCTTCTCAATATGCTGCCGCCTCATCGATGAATTCCTCTTCACCCGCCCCCAATCGCAGTCCCTCCACCTCCTCTTCTCCACCCGCGACACGAAGAAGGGCGACTCCACCCTCCGCCGCCTCAATGCCCACCTCCAAAAGACGCTCAAGGAAGCCAATGCCTCCACCCCGGGCATCAGCCTCCTCCTCGAGGCCCGCATCAAGCTCGAAAACGTCCTCGTAGACCTCACGCGCCTCCTCTCTGTTAAAGCGCTGGCAAAACAACTCCTCACCCGCGGTCAACACCTCGACGCCGTGGTATGGAACGCTGGTATAGCGGGTTGGATGGGAATCGACTACCTAGCCGCTGCCCGCGAAGTCCTCACCTCCGTCGTCCAGGCGACTACGTACCCGCACTTCATGATCTGCGACGTCGGCGCGCTCGCGAAGCCGCAGCTCAGCGGCCACGGATCGGTGCATACGTTCCCTGAGCCGGCGCTGGGGAAGGTGTTCACGGCGAATGTGTTTGGGCATTATATGCTGACGCACTGGCTGGCGCCGCTGATGGACGCGGGGAGTAGGGTGGTCTGGGTCTCGAGTCCCAGTGCGTTGCCTGAGGCCTTTGAGGTGGAGGATCTGCAGGGGCTGGGGGCAAAGATGGCTTATGAGAGTTCGAAGCGGGTGACGGATCTGATGGTGCTGACGTCGGAGGGGGAGGCGAGTAGGGAGTCGACGAGAACGTTCTGGGGAGGGAGGGAGGAGGGGCCGAGGCCAAGGATGTACGTCACGCATCCGGGGGTGATTACGACGAGCATTGCGGATATCTCGTGGATTCTGACGTTGGGCATGATCGCGATCACGTATCTGGCGCGCTGGCTCGGGTCGCCGTGGCACTGCGTCTCGGCTTACAAGGGGGCGGTGAGCGCTACATATGCTGTGCTGGCTCCGCCGGACCAGCTGCCGGAGTTGGAGGAACGGGAGGGGAAGGGGAAGTGGGGTAGTGCGTGTGATGTTTTTGGGCATGAACGAGTGGCGCGGACGGAAATTGAGGGTTGGGGTTATGGCGGTGAGCTCGGTGCGAGGCCGAGTGGGAGTGTGCCGTACAGTCGGACGGGGCACAAGGAGGCTACGAGGGAGTCGCGGGAGGAGTTCGAGGAGACGGGGAGGAAGGTGTGGAGGGAGATGGAAGAGATGCGGGTCGAGTGGGAGAAGAGGCTGGGCAAGGTGGAGGTCGACAGTGCGTCGTCTGTCGATGCTTGAGGACTTTATGTTTCTAGTGAGTGTACCATCAAGTCAAAGCAGTCTTGCTGAACGTCGTGGCCTTTTTCAGAACATTCTCCATTCCAAGTCATTCGGACATGACGCCCATGTCACATGCAAGCTCTGCATCGCTCCTTCCTCTTCCGTCCCTGCCCGAAACCTTCTCCCTCACCACCTCACTTCCGCTCAACACCAACCACAACCACAACCTTTCTCTCACCCACAGATCTCCCATCGCAGAACAACGCACACCAGAACAAAAATGGACATCCACTCCTCCCGCCACAACCCCAACTTCTGCGACCGCACCCTCTCCCAGCGCCTCGAGATCGAAGCCCAGCTCATCGCCTTCCGCCGCCAACTCAACGTCATCGTCAAGACTGAAGACCAAGCCGCGCTATCGGATTTGCACGCGAGAGTGAAGACGGCTGGGGAGGGGTTTGTGGAGAGGGTGCCTCGGTTCGTTCACTCCCTTCCTCTATCATTGCTATGAGCTGTAAAGTGAGGGTGAGTGCTGACGTGTGCACCAGGCAGCCGACGATCGAAGGCTACGTCTGGCACGACGAAGCGAAGCGCGTCGCGGTGATGAAGGAAGTCGAGGCTGTGATGGCGCGGGAGAAGGCGGCGCCGCCGGTGGTTAGTGAGATGCAGGAGGTGGATTCGGAGAGTGAGGAGGGGTGTGTGGTGTCGCCACCAAGGCGTTTCGTACAGGAGATTGCGCAGCGGGCGTTGAGTGAGGAGGAAGGGAGGGAGAGGAAGAAGGCGAGGGTTGAATGAAGTGCGCTGATTGTGATGAGGGAGTAACAGAACCTGGTGGTGCGTCGCAGATGCTGGGAGCAGGTTGGCGGACGCACTGTTGAAGCAAAGGCATGGAAGCGTTCAGCTTCGCAATTTGCTCGGTATGAGGTGACAGTGTCTACAGGCCTACTCATGATCCACCACTCCTCCACCTCTCATCCAAGCCATCCAACATCTCCGCACTCTCCGTCGCCTGACTTGACTTCGCAGCCCGCACTGCCCTCTGCGTCTCCCAAATGCTCCGCTGCGTCATCAGCTTCAAGCCAGATTCCTGATCGTACATCGCCAGATCCAGGATCTCCTTGTCTCTGAAACCCCTCACTGCGCTCTTCTTCGCCTGCCCCTTGGCTGGTGGAGCAAAGTACCGTGGGTCGGGCGTGTTGTCAGCGACGGACGTAAACACCATCTCTACCACAGCATTCTCAACGCCAGCGTAGACGAACGGGCTCATGGACGAAGGCGAGGCGAGCGAGTAGATGCTGCTTTCCGCACTGCGACGAGCCCAGTTGTTGCCACCGCCGCGGCCGGAATAGGTGGCGCTGTTAGGTTTGAGGAAGAGGTTCCAGTGATTTGTAGCAGGGCCGCTTGATCGTCTGGAAAATTCTGGCCCATAGTTGTCACCTGACTGGGCGTCAAGGTAGGTGTACGCTTTCGCGCCTAGCCGCATGTCGAAGACTTTCAGGAGGTTGTGTCGGCTCGTCCCTGCTACAAGCTTCTCCTGCCCGCGAGGGAGGAGGGAGTAGATCGCGCTTTCGTCCGTACGGTCGACGTAGGCTTGCTCGACGTCACGGGCTGAGCGGAGGTCGTGGAGACGGATGATACCGTCGTAAGCGCCGGACAAGAAGACCTGGGCATCGTTGCTGGCTGCTGTGCCTAGAGGTGGTAATGGCACGATAGGGTAGACGGACGAAGTACTCTTCTTAGCGAAGCCGGAGAGCGTGATCTCGCCTTCTAGCTTCTCGAGATCGTTCTGCAGACTGTATTTGCGGATTGGATCTTTGGTCAGGCCAGACTCAGAAAGCTGGTGGATATAAATTGGCTCCTCACTCGGTCCAAGGCCAACGGCCAGGTGGGAGGAAGATAGGAAGTTTGTCGACCAAGCACGATATGTCCTGTGACCGTTGGTGGGTCGTCGAATCTCTATCTGGCTTGATGGCTCCGTCTTCGGATGAGTGGCATCCACATTGTAAAGGCTCACCCTTGTATCGTCGAGGCTTGCTGCAAGTAAAGGCGGCCGCCATGCCTCTTGCAAGAGACTGCTGGACCGAATGGGCAGCCCTTGGGTTACAAAGCAGGATTTCGATACCTCCTCGTCTTCCCCTTGGGATAATCCAATCAATTGCAGATCCCCGTTCGCGGTGCCCGTGATCAATTGAAGCTTCCTGTCGTCGCCTTCGCCTTCTTGCCGTCTCAACAGATGCAGGCTCGTCACATCGTCCCTGCCCTCAACAGCACTGAGTGGCCTGTAAGTCATCCAACTAACACGGTCTTCGTCTGCCGCATCTTTGTGTCGTTCCGTCTGTCTTACACAGACCTCTGCGCCAGCACTAAAGGCCAGTACATCTCGTCTCTGCTTGCCTTCCTCTTCAAAGCAGTCCAACTGTGGCGTAAACCCGATCGTCTGTCCTCGTGGCCTCTTCCATCGATCAACCTTCTTATTGCCGGGGAAAGCTGTGATATCGCCCCACGGTTCGGTATATCTTGCTACGAATGCTCGTCTGTCCCACGCTCTTGAGAGAGTCGTCAAGGTGCGTGAGGCGTCTTTGCCTGTCACAGTGTTCTTGTGGGTATAGAGCGAGGGGAAGCGTTCTCGTGCGAATGTCTGCCAGGCATCTTTCTCGACGAATGTATTCAAGCTCCTGGAGGTGGACGAGAGGTTCGAGACAGCTCGTGCGGTGGGTAAGTAGCTTGTTATGTGGTCCAGGAGTTCGGGTGGCAGATCGGTGAGTGTCTTCGTCGGCTGAGCCATTGCAGTGTCCAAAGCTGTTGTCCTTGACGAAGTCCAGTCGTCTTCAGACTTTCACATGCAATATGACTCAACGTCAGATATTGCTGCATGACTCGCGCTTGGTTTATCTTATCGGCCACGCGACGCTAGGGCAGATCCTACGCGCCACAAGTGAATGCAAGCGGGTCGATTTAGGTAACGCATATTGGCTGAACTCCAACCCCTCCACCCTCTCAGCCCCATCCTTCACTTGTTCAACAACTCGAGAGGCCCTCGCAGATCTCCTATACAGCCCTTCCAGCACCACAGTCGCAGCTGGTATGCGGTAGCTTGCTTCCATTGGACCTTGCTCACCAGACCAGGACCAACGGTCAACCGAGCCTATCATGGCAACATCAACTACACTTCTTATTGCTGAAATACTCTCAATCTGCGTCGTAATCTACGGATGGGTCATCTTTCCTATCCTCTTCTCACCACTGGCAAAGATCCCATCAGCTCACTGGAGCGCGCCCTTCTCGTCCTTCTGGATCCTAAACAAAAGACGCAAGCAAGCGGAAACACTTGCAGTCCATGATGCTCACCTTCGACTGGGACCTATTGTGCGCCTTGGTCCGAACGAGATCAGCGTGAACAGCGTCGACGGAGGCATCCGGACGGTCTACGCCGGAGGCTACCAGAAAGGTGACTGGTACCTCAACGCCTTCAACAACTATGGCATCATGCCAATGTTTGCGATGCCGGATCATGCAAATCACTCACAGCGGAAGCGTATGCTGAGCAACATATATGCCAAGTCCACGTTGCAGAGCAGCAAAGCTATGGATACCATTACCCACACTCTGCTTAACGACACCTTGGTCCCGAAGCTGCGAGGAATGGCGAAGAAGGGTGAAGCTGTGGAGTTCTATGATCTGTTTTGCGCCATGGCAATGGACTTTGTGGCCGCCTACGTTTTCGGGCTCAAGAATGCTTGCCATTTCATGGATCAGCCCGACATGGGCGCCCGGTTCTTCCGTGACTACAAAGCCCGGCAGGAATTCGTCTTCTGGCCACAGGAAATGCCGCTCTTCACGTCTTTCATGTCCAAGAGTGGACTCGGGAATCTCCTCGTGCCGAGCTGGGTAGCCAAAGCAAACAACGACATCGAGTCGTGGCTGATTGGCATGTGCGATAAAGCAGAACAGACTGTACGTCAGGCGGAGCTGGAAGGCGAAAAGGGGCCGGAGGAAGATTGGCCCAATGTCTACTCGCGCCTCCGCAGTTCTCTGCTCAAGGAGTCCAAGGCGAAGAGCGCCAGTGATGTACCTGTCGACTACCAGGTCCAGGTGAACCGCCTCGCAGTCGCCAGCGAAATGCTCGACCACACGCTCGCCGGTTTTGACACTAGCTCTATCACTCTTACCTTCCTGGCATATGAGCTTAGCCTTCCCCATAACAGTCACTGGCAAGACAAACTGCGTGCCGAACTGAAGACTCTCGATGGCTCCCGTGATGCAAAGACCCTTGACAACCTGCCTATCCTGCACGCCATCCTCATGGAAACTCTCCGCTACCACGCCCCGATCCCAGGCAATCAACCACGCATCACACCCTCCGACGCCACCCTCGGAGCCGAAGGCCACGCCGTTTCCGGCCTTCCACCCGACGTCCGCGTGCAAGCACAAGCCTGGTCGCTCCACCGCAACCCCGAGGTCTTCCCCGAGCCAGAGACCTGGAACCCAGCGCGCTGGCTCGAGAGCAATGAAGAGCAACTCAAGGAGATGCAGCGCTGGTTCTGGGCCTTCGGGTCGGGAGGGAGGATGTGCGTGGGGAGCAACCTGGCGATGTTGGATATGAAGGCTATCATTGCGGGCATCTGGGCAGACTTCCGGACGACTTGTGTGGATGGACGAGGGATGGTGCATAATGGGGGATATGTGGCGGAGCCGGTGGGGAAGGACGGGAAGTATTGCATGATGAAGGTGGAGGAGATTGAGGTTCTGGTGAAAAAGGAGAGAATGGTTGGCTATGTTCGAGAAACAAGATAGATGAGTAGACGCTTATGTTGATGATGATGAGTTATGTAGATGCTGAATGAACATTCACACAACCATGACTGCTGTACATTTGCTGAAAGACTGCTCCTGCCGCATTGGGCGCGGGTGAATAATCAAGTGGGGCAAGAAGCAAGCTTGCTCACTCAGCGCTTCCATGGGACCTCATCGAAACAATTTGTTTTGGTGGCGCTCGAAGAAGCTCTGTACTTGGAAACGTTCTTGACATCTTGGCCACGTCTGGACAGGAGAGTTGCTTGAACAAAGAACATCGTTGACGTCGACTGCCGTGTAGCCGAAGATTGACCAACAAAGGCTGCTGTTGCTTCCCAAAAACTGGCATAACAATAATCTGGAATTACTGTCAAGATCCAAAACTGCTCTGTCGCGTATTGAGACTGGTGGAACATTCACGATGCCTTTGACAGTCCTGTCCGATCGAGACGTCAACCGCATCCTGCACTCGTTCACCAAGGACGACATCGAGCACCTACAAACACAGCTGGCCGACGCACTGCACTGGTACTCAACATCCTCAGACGAGAATGATTTCTGCTCGGACTATCAGCCTGAGCGTATTCAGCTAAAGCGGAAAGATGGCTCAACTACTCTCTTCATGCCGGCTAGTGGTTGCAACGGACAAGCCGTCAAAGTCGTCAACATTACACCTCCAGATGCTGGAAGCGGACTGCCTAGTTTCGAGAACTTGAGTCTGGATACTGAGCACTCGAGTCGGAGTTCGATCTCCAGTCCTTCGACAGTGGACAGCCCGCGAGGCTCGATCTCGACCTTCTCCTCTCAAGAGACAAACCCGACGCCGGGCACGAGCATTAGCTCATCCTCCAGCGTCGCCCCTGGCGAGCGTCTCCCCAGAGCCCCGACTGGCCAGCAATCTACCAATCCCTCCTCCACCATCCGCGGCTCCCTCACCCTCATGGACCCCCAAGGCAACACAACCGGCCTCATCAACGCAAGCGAAGTAACCGCCTTCCGCACCGCCCTCGCCTCAACCATGCTCCTCAAGAAACGCCACTCCGTCCACGACCTCACCGTCTTCGGCGCCGGCAAGCAAGCCTACTGGCACATCCGCCTCGCCCTCCTCCTCCGCGGTCCAGAGATCCACCACCTCAACATCATCACCCGCAACTTCGACTCCGCCCGCGAATGCATCATGCGCATCTACAACCCGCAACCCGACGACCCTGATTACATCAACCCCATCGGCAGCAAATACAACAGCAAAACCAAAACCAACATCCTCACACCCAGCCATACGGAGTACAGCCGACTACTGAAAGACTACGTGCGCAGCTCCAACGTCATCTTCTGCTGCACCCCGTCCTCCACCCCCTTATTTCCGGCTTCATACTTGACAAACCCCGAGGGCAGGAAGAAGGGTCGCTACATCGCCTGTATCGGCTCCTACAAGCCGCACATGATCGAGCTGCACCCGGACATCCTGCGCTACGCCGTCGCGCCGCACCACGAACACCGGCACGTACATAAGAGGCAGAAAGAAGGCGGCGCCATCGTCGTCGACACTGTCTCCGGCTGTCTCAAAGAAGCGGGGGAGGTGGTGCAGGCGAAACTGCTCCCTGACCAAGTTGTGGAGTTAGGGGAGCTGTTTATGCTGAAGCGCGAGGCGGTGAAGCGGATGGAGGCGAAGGGGGAGAAGGTGGAGAGTGGGTGTAGTTTCCAGGATGATTCCGGGTTGAAGGAGTGGTTGACGAGGGGGAATGTGGTGTATAAGAGTGTCGGGTTGGGGTTGATGGATGTGGTGGTGGGACAGGGGATTGTGGAGATGGCGAGGGAGAGGGGGGTGGGGACGACGGTTGAGGGGTTTAATTGATGTTTGATATGAGATATGATAAATGATTAGATGTTCTGCATGCCTCATTGAGCAGGTTTGACACTCACTCAACTCTATCACAAGCAGATGAACACCAGCTAGCGCAACAAGTTCCCCAGCCAATGCCATATCAAGCAGCAATAAAGTCAGACCGCCCCTCTAGGTCCCCTCACGTCCAGCTTCCGCTCTCGGCCGCCTCTTGAACACCAGCTAGCGCCCCCACCAATCCGACCACTCAGGTCTCGAGGCGCGATGAAGTGAGGTCGTGCTCACCAGCTACACCCTCGTACAAAAGCTGGTATGCTTGGCAAACACCGGGACGCCAGCTAGCGCGGTATGCTGTCCAGCCAATCGTGTGCGCGGCGGCGATGAAGTGAGGTTGTCGTTCCCGTCCGGCGATCGCGGCGAGGAGGTGAACAGTAGCTAGTGCGGTCACTGTGTTGGCCAATGGTGACGGTGGGGGTGAAGTGAGGTCGGCATTTCGCGGCGAGTTCGGGCACCCGTTGGTCGCTGTCACAAGCCAGTTGAACGCCAGCTAGTGCGATAATTGTTCTGGCCAATCATGGTCCAAATGAAGATGAAGTGAAGTAGCCGGTGTACATATCTGAAAGCCGTACGTCGTTCGTGTGCTGCTCCCTCCACCGTCCAGTCCTACAAGTCTCTGCTGTACGTCTGAGCATCGTCTTGCTGATCTGGTCTGATGGCTTTCCATCTCTGCCGCGAGCTCTGCTTGCGAGTCGTCTCATCAGGTCAGACCAACTGGCGGTTCGGAATTGCCGCCCTCCTCCACCTCGTGAGCCCCCTGAGCGCGAATGCATCCCGTGTCCTTCGGTTAGCAGCACAGCGCGGCGGAATGCTCCTCATGTTCGGTGATCGCACTCTTCGTGCCCTCCATGCCGGAGTTTGTGCTGCTGGCATTGCCCTCGAGTGCTTCAATGCAAGCGCGGCCCTTCCATCCCATCTTGTCCAACGGTGTCCATCAGATATTCCCACCCTCAGCCTTCCACTTCTCCAAATACTCCTTCCCATCTAGCGAATTCTTGCTCTCGGAATGCGCATACGTATCGCGCGTCTTCTTGATCTCCTTTGTCACGAAGGGCGTCAACTGTTCTTCGTCAGCATGCATATCTCCACCATCCTGCGTCCCTGGACAATGCCACGTACATTGAACCCACTCAAATCCGGACAGACATACGTCCTCACTTTCCGGAAGTCGATCACGTAGCCGCCGTACTTGGTGTGCCGTCCCATGGCCCCTGTCCGGTTGCCCTTGTAGTAGTTGTGCGGGCCTTGCTTGGTGGTGAGGGGGAGGCGGCGGAGCGCTTTCTGGAGGATGGTTGAGGGATGCATGATGGACGATGACTAGCACGTTTCTCTAATGAGTGTTTGGAGATGTAGATTCTGTCAATGGAAGGTGATGATGATGGACGAGGTCGACGTTGCGGAGATCTCGGGAGAGAGCGCCAAGATTTCGACCTTCGAACAATTTTCGAGACAGCACGATATCGCCTCTGAACCACCACACACCTCACTATGCCTCCCAGAGTAGCTCGCTCGAGCGTTCAGATCGCCGCGCCCAAATCAGCGCGCAACAAAAACCGCAAGCGCAACCTCGACGCCTACGCCATCGCCTCGCACGCCACGAAAGCCGACCAACCTCGCTTGAACTCGAATCGTGCCGGCGAATACCTCGACGATGGCCCAAAACACAAGCGAAGACGGGCGGTCGAAGACGAGGAAGGAAGCGAGGGAAGTGTCGAGGAAGATGTACCTGCTGGCAAGCGGAGGAGGACCGCCGATGAGGATCCAGAGGGCGGAGATGAGGGCAGTGATAGTGAGGGGAATGAGTGGACGATGGGTGGGATGAGGTGTGATGATGATGATAGTGAGTTGGATTCTGACGAGGCTTTTGGGGAGAGCGATGAGGAGAGGTTTGAGGATTTTACTTTTCGGGGATCGAGTGGGAAGGGCAAGAAGGGTGGTGGGAAGAAAGCGAGGGTCAAGCATGTCGAGGAGGACGATGAGATGGATCTGAGTGAGGGAGAGGACGATGATTCCAAAGAGGAAGAGGACGACTTTGGGGACGAGGGAGTGGATCTGGCTACCATGTTGGACGACGATGATGAAGAGGCGCTGGGTGAGAAGGACAACACGAAGCGAGACATGGGCGAAGAAGAGCCTAGCGATGGCGAGGAATATGGCTCGAGTTTCTCAGATGAGGAAGACGAAGACGACGAGAACGATCCGCAAGCCAACGAAGAGCGTGCAGCTCGAATGCGCGACCGCCTCGATGCTCTGAAGTCGTCTGGAAAGCCCTCTGCCACTCAATCTACCCAACAATCCGCCGCTTTGACTGTCGACGACCTGCTCGCCACACTCGACCCAGCATCGCGCAAACAATACGATGCAGCCCTCAAAACCAAGAAGAAGTCTACCCGGCCGACTACACTCTCAGCACCCCTGCCTAAGCGCCAACAAGACCGCTTGAACCGCGAAGTCGCCTCCCAGAAAGCCAAAGAACAGCTCGACCGCTGGCGAGATACCGTAATCCAGAACCGCCGAGCAGAGTTCTTGTCCTTCCCACTCAAGGATCCCAATGCGCATGAGCCGCAGGGCAAGGAAAAGTTTGTCACGGACGGCCGGCCGCAGAATGAGCTGGAGCAAAACATCCAGCGTATTATGGAGGAAAGCGGCCTCAGCACCAACAGGGGCAAGAATGAGGACGAAGAAGCTGCAATTCTTAAGAGCGAAGAGCTCGCCACGAACAAGCTTCCCGTTGAGGAAGTGATGCGCCGACGCGCTGAACTCCGACAAGCGCGCGAGTTGCTTTTCAGGGAAGAGATCAAAGCGAAGCGTCTGTCTAAGATCAAGAGCAAATCGTACCGTCGCGTGCATCGAAAGGAGCGTGCGAGAGAGCGAGAACTTGAACGCGAAGCCCTCGGTGATGGTGGTGAAGACGAGAAGGAGGCGAATGATCGGAAGAGGGCCATGGCGAGGGTGAGCACGAAACATCGGGACTCGAAGTTTGCGAAGGCGTTGAAGCAGACGAATCGCGGGGTGTGGGACGAAGGGGCGCGAGAGGCGGTAATTGATGAGGCGAGGAGGAGGGAGGAGCTGGAGAGGAGGATTCGAGGGGAGGATGTTGATGAGGCGGAGAGTGATGTGCCTAGTGCTGATGATGATGGGGAGGATGGATTCGAGGGCTTTGGAGGGGATGAAGATGATGTGACGGTGATGAAGCAGCTGGATACGCTGAAGAATGATCGAGAGCCTGCTGCGGAGAAGGGGTTGGGGAGTTTGAAGTTCATGCGTGCTGCGGACGAGAGGCGGAGGGCGCAGAACGATGAGGATGTTGAGCGGTTGAGGAAGGAACTTGCTGTTCAAGATGGCGATGAGGCCGGCAGTGACGAAGAGATTGATGATCAAGGTCTTGGTCGGGCGGTGTTTGGGCCTAAAGGAAAGGGGGGCAAGGAGAAGAAAAGGGTCAAGCGACCCGAGCTTGAAGAGGGCGAGGAATCTGGTTCTGAGGCTGAGGCTGATGCTGAGGGCGAGGATGGTGTTGATGTAGTGACGGAGAAGCCGGCGGACCAGAAGAAGGGAGCGAAGCCGCCTAAGCAGATCGCTGCGAGCGGCCCACTGGCGAAAGGCGGGAAACCTGACCGCAGGGATCCAAACAGCGGCTTTGCTCAAAAGGATGGGACGCAAGGTCCCTGGCTCTCGGCTGATACGGGGAAGCCTGAGCGGAGAGGGCCTGCTACCGAATGGCTTGCGGCGCCCGCGAACAAGTCCAAGTTGAGACGCGACGAACCTGTCGAGCTCAACACCGCTCGCCCCGAGCAGCAGCCGGACGCCAATGCCAGAGATCGCACGAAGGCGAAGTCCGCACTAGCACCAGCACCAGCTGCCCCAGCAAAACCTCAACAGACCACTGACGCCGGCAACACCAACGGCTGGACCACCGTAACCACCACCAACGACCACCCCTCCGACTCCTCCCCCGAACCGACTGACCCCATCCTCAAATCCAACCCCACCTACAACCAACGCGCCTTCGCCGCCGACGCCGACGACACCACGTTCGCGGCGGAAAAAACCGCCCTCGCGGCCTCCGAGGACGAAAAGGAAGAATCCTCCCACCTCCCCGGCTGGGGCTCCTGGACCGGCGCCGGGCTGAGCAAATCCATCAAGCGGTCCAACGCGCGCTCCAAGCACAATCCGCTTTTCAAAACCAAAACTCCCGGCACGAAGCCGCAAGACCGCAAGGATGCAGGGTTGGAGAAGGTGATTATCTCCGAGAAGGGGGCACGGAAGGGGAAAGGGTATTTGGCGCCTATCCTCCCGCATGGATACGAGACGAAGGAGCAGTATGAGCGCGCGCTGAGGGTGCCGGTGGGGCCGGAGTGGACGACGAAGGAGGTTTTTCAGCGGGGGACGAGGCCGAGGGTTGTTGTCCGGCCGGGGGAGGTTGTGGGGGCTATGGAGAAGCCGATGGTGTAGACGGCGCTGTCGAGTGGTTGGGCTGGCGTGGCGTGGCTTCTGGCAACGTCAAGCTTTGTTTGGGGAGGGTTGGTTATGTTCGGCTTGAGTTCTCGAGCCATCGTTTTACGGAATTGCTGCCATCGTGGGCTGCTCGGAATACTATGTGCTATATCAGTAAAGACACAAGGCCTCCATAGCAGAAAAGGAACCTTACGTTGCCGCTCATCCTCATCCAGCGTGTTCATGAAGTCACTACTCCCATCTCCTTGCTGCACTGTCCTTGTGTTCTGCGCTTTGTCTGCGATCTCTAAAGCTCGCGCCTTGAAAGTCTACATCCACAGTCAGTCGAGCGTTCCTAACATATGCTAGGCGAGCGTGATCAGAAAGAACGAACCTCAGTCAACACCTCCACAACCTCCTCCTCCTCAAACAACTCCAACATCCTCTCCCCCAACCCATAAAACCACTGCGCCTGCGCCCTTACATCCACACTCTTCGGATCCGCGCGCAACGCATTCATCACCTTCCCCCCCAACGCGGCAGGCATATCTAAGGTAGCGAGGGAAGCGGACCCTGGACCTGCGGGTTTGGAGACGGCGAGCATTTCAGCTAGCCAGAGGGGCAGGTCGAGACGGGTGCCGGGGGTGATGGGGGTGGAGTTGTTGAGGGGGGAGAGGTGGGGGAGGAGGAGGTCGAAGGTTAGGGGGGTTTTTTGGGCGTCGGTTAGGATTGAGGAGGGGGTGTAGTACGAGGACATTGTTTCTGGGGTGATTGGGGAGGGTGGTGCGGAGGGTTTGTTGGGCCGGATGGTAAGGTGTGTTGTCCACGTGATGGATGGCTGGATTGGGCGCGCGGTGGAGGAGGCGACTGCAGGTGGTTGACGCCACGGTTGAGTTGCGCGTCTGGTGTTTGCCTCCGGACGGAACAAGTATTATTTCATGCCGCTGTCGTGTTGAGTCTTCATTGAACATTCCTCAAGGCTGGTGTTCCGTTTCAATACAACCCTTTCCGTGGTCCGTGTTCATTGGTTCGCGTTGTTGATATACCTGAAGGCAAGAGTGTCGCGTGTCGTCGACGAGATCTGGCTCCAGGTGGTCATAGCTCCCAAACGTGACGCTGATGTTTCCGCCTTCGAGACGACTACTGGTGACACAGGACAAGACAACATCGACTCGAGTCTCTGCCCGACCTCATATCAACTCGGTGCTATCTATTCCGGAAGGACACCATTCTTCTGCTCAGCGCAGTACCTCCGAAGCATCATCATCATCAGCATCTGCTGACAAACATCTAACAACAAAGGCGCGGGAAGCAGTGCATGTGATTACTACTCGCACATCACCCATCCAACATCGACATCACTACCTTGCGTTTGAGACCCTCACACATGAGCGCGCACGCTCATCCTTCCTCCCTCTATCAACATGGCGGGTGAAAGCGCCCAACACGACCGCATAGGCCTGCTGGGTCACGCCAACGGCTTCGGCTCAGGCGCGGATGACTCGAGAGCAACATCACCAGGTATAGGCGGCGATCGTGCTCTCATCGGAAGCAGCGGCGATAAGGATATAGACATGGCGCGGCTGGGGCGGACAAGGCCTCGAGTCTTCCCATACGCCAAATACCTTCCATATGAGACGGAGACGCCGGAGCAGAGGGAGAAGGACATGGACGAGATGATCAGGCTGCTCTACGTCTCCATCAAGTCTGGAGACTTTGTGCCGGGAGCAGTGCACTGGACGAAAGAGATAAGAGGGTGGATGAGTCTGAAGTTCGACCTCACACGGAAACAGCGGATATCGCTTGTCGAGCTCTACTACGAGCTCGCGCTTGCTCCTGGTCTGGAGTACAGCGTGGCGGAGAGGTTCGCGAGCATGTTCATGGTTCTGACCAAGAGGAAGCACTACCTGCGGCCGGGAGTGGACTTGACGCTGGACTGGCGGCCCTTGTGGAAAGAGCTGAAGATCTTCGTCCTGCCGTCGGAGAGCAGCACCCAGAACACCTACAGCAGCAAGCGTAATGTGCGGACGCTAACGAAGATGTGCACGTTCGCCCAGCTGTTCTTTGATCCGAAGGAAGTCCCCGCGATGATGGAAGAATTCCTCCCCTACTACAGCATGTCGTTCTCCGAGAATGCATTCGTGGTGCTTGGGCTTTTTAACCTGATGCTGCCAACTGCCGCTCCGCCTTCAGATCAGCCGGACTTAGCACCACAGTCATTCTTGCCGACCTTCTTCCACCTATGGTCTACCATCAACCGCTCGATGATGACCGATACACGATTCTTGGACATCTTCTCCAGACAAGCTAGGGACTGTCTGGGAGCTGAGCACATTCCGTTCGGACCTTGCGGGCTGTTCACGGAGGAGCAATCATCCCTCATCTTTACCGCAGTGCTGAGACTGCTTGAGATTCCAGTGGGGCAGGCAACCACACCCTACAGCGCAACGGTTGATCTGGGTGCCGGTAATGCTATTTTACTAGAGCGGGACCCGAGAAAACATCCTGTCAGCCACAGCATTGCTCGATGGATCGTAATGTCGCTGTCACCACAGTGCCTGGAAGCCAAGGACGGCAAGTCGGTGCTGCACCAGCTAGAAGCGCTATTGCAGGGTATTGAGACATTCTTCCACCCGTCAAACTCCGGCAGCTGGACCAAGCCTCTGGCACAGCTCATCTACTACCTCGCGGACTTTTTCGTCATGCGATGGAACCGCGAGCAGAGCGGCGAGTACGACATTCCGGCTGATCGCAAGCTCAACGACGAAGTCAAGCGTCGATTCGTGCTCTGTCTGAGGGACGTCGTCTTCATGGGCATCTACGCGAAGAGCGGTACGGCCATGAACTACGCGCTTAGCACGCTACAAAGCCTCGCCTCGCTCGAGCCCACACTCATCCTGCCTGGCGCTCTGCAGCGCATCTATCCTGCCATGCAGGGCTTGGTGGAGGTTCACCGTACAGTCTCTTCCATCCGTGCACTCCAGATGCTCAGCAAGATCATTGCCAAGACAAAAGGCTTCAGATGCCATCTCACCACATTGCTTGGGCTAGCTCTACCTGGTGTCGATGCAAACGACTTGGACAAAACGATGCACAGTCTGGCTTTCATCCAGGCAGTTTGCTACAACATCCCGCTGCACGACCTTACCAAGGCGCCCAAGCACGAAAAGAGTGACCTTAATGGGGACTACGAGATGGTCGATCATGGCTCTCCGTCAGCGCAAGGCGGCAGCACAGACCTGGCTGTCCAGTGGATCACCTCGCAAGTGAGCCACTTCGAGCAAGCAGGGCCTGGTCTTGAGATCGACTACGCTGCCGAAATGTCGGATGAGGACGAAGAGGCTATACTCAAGTCTTCGACTGCTGGCTTTTCAGAGTTCATCATTAGCTTTCTCGGCCGGGTGTTCACTCTTCTGCAGAATCTACCTGATGCAGCCAGAGTCAAGAGCGGCAGTCCAGAAGAGAATGTCGTCAATACCCTGCCAGCAACCTTCAGCCCGCTTCTCGCCAGCCTGAGCCCGGAGCTCTACGATGTCGCACTGGAGCACGTCGCACGCTTCGTCTCGAATCATGTCGTACATCAAGCACGAGACGCGATGGCCTTCATCTGCAACGCAATGGTCAAGATCTCACCAAAGAAGGCCCTCGGCCGCTTGCTGCCAGACCTCATCTCCAGCATCCGGACTGAGATCAGCGAGAACGGAGCTGGATCAACTCGGACGACAGGAAGTGAGATTCTTCCCAGAGACCGCGCCCTCGTGTGGCATGTTTCGCTCCTTAGTATGTGCGTTGTCCACGTCGGCAAAGACATTCTCGAGTTCCAGGAGGATCTCTTCTCGATTGCCAATTATATGCAGGATACCTGCAAGGGCATTCCACTAGTGCATGTCAGTAATTTCGTGCACCATCTCCTGCTCAACTTAACTGTGACGTACACCATCGACTATAGCCTGTTCAACAAGTCTGAACTCGAGAAGGGCCTGAGTACTGAGTCCTGGGGACGTACAGTGGATCCGACAACGCTGGAGATCCAGTGGCATGTTCCTGAGCAGGAAGAGCTGGCTTTCGCCACCAGAGTATGCGAAGCGCAGGGAGGTCGAGCGCTGAAGGCTCTCAACGAGCTCATCTCGGACACAGCTCAGATCAAGCGTGATGGCGTTGGCAAGGACTGGTCGGACGAGGTCAGCAGAAATCTGGTACTGCTTCGGCTGATCATCTCGGGCGTGTCGCGACTCTTCCGATCGGATGATGGCTCCGTCACGCCATTCACGTTCGATGACACTGCGGTCAATGAGCAGATGGACACTGACGACGACTCGCACGACCTGAATGAGCCTGATGAGGAGAAGATCAGGCGTGCTTTCCACTACCCGACTGGCTACCCACTGGAGATCGGCAGCGAGTCGTACGAGACTGTCCACAGGTTCCGAAAGACCGTTGGAGAGACGCTGCACAGAGTCCACGAGTTCCTGGTGAAGAACCAAGAAGACGATGTGCCTTGCTTCAACAGCCTGTACACAGCCTACAAGAGCTGGTTCATTGACATCGGCATCGAGCGATCAGCGCACGTGCTGGACAGGCTTACGCGGCTGTTGAGCGCGGACACCCATCCTTTCAAGTTCTCAGGAACACGAAAGCAGTACCCGCGGCCGTTGCTCGTACGAAGAGCCAACCTCTACCACTTCCAACGGCTGCGGTTCAATGAGCACCCACGAGCGGCTTCGGAGCTTGACAAGACACTTCTCCTCGACCTGGCCAATTCGAGCACGTCAGTGTATACCGACATCCGCCGCACAGCGCAATCAGCAGGCGAGCAAGCCATCAAGAGCATCGTCGGCGCAAAGCCGCTCATCATCCCTACGCTGCTTAACGCTCTCGAAGAAGCGCTGAAGAAGGGTGACCACCCTCGCATCAAGGGCGCCATGTTCTCGCTTCTCTTCGGCAGCCTCGCGAAGCCGATCGGAAGGAACTGGAAGTTTGCACCGCGCATGATCAAGCTGTTTATTGAAGTCAGCGACGCCGATCGTCCGAGCATTCAGAAGCTGGTGGGTCAGAGTAGTTTTTCGATCCAGGGTATGACGAATGCTATGGACCGGATGGTCATCCTGGACGAGGCGACGCTGAAGGCGATCTGGCCGGGTGATAGCGACAGTCCAAGAACCGTTGCGAGAACGATCGAAGAGGCTGACGCACTGGTGCCGCCGAAGAAGGATAAGATCCAGCAGAGACGCAAAGTCGTCGAGGCGAAGAAGAGCGAGTTGGCTGCCGAGCTGATTGATATGGTCAAGAAGTCGCATTGGAAGAAAGCCAGCAGGACCGCTGTCATGGTCATCGGGCTCGACTACCGCTTCGAGACGATCGCTTCGCAGGCTATGTTGGAGCTGGTGGTGAAGGGTGTCATTGACCCGCATCCGCAGCTGCGGACACTTTATGCGACGTCTCTTAATGCCATCTTCAGCTTGGTCCAGACGAGAGCGCTGACAGGACACAAGTACGAGAACTACCTCAAAGACGAGCAACATGATCCGGATGAGTTGGTCGCACCGACTGAGCGCGACGATCCGACGTGGACGCAGCGGTATCTCGAAGCTTTCACCAAGCCGGAGACGGACATGTACCTTGACAGCGACTTTCCGGGCTGGCTGGTGTGGCAGAAGACGATGCGCGGGTATCACACCGGACCCAGCAAGCTGGAGTACGATGAGCTGGAGACCAAGGTGCGGAAGCAGATGGGTTCGTACATTGACCGGCATTGGCTCTCGACGTACTTCGGTTACATGAAGCAAGAGCCGCGCGACCAGCAGGCCGATCGGTTCAGGATGCACAGCTCGATGATTGTCGCTTATGCGATGGATTTGCTTGCTGCTGGGCTCACGGTGGCGACGTTTGACGATGTCAAGGATCTGGCGCAAGCGGTGTATGGTGATGGCAGCGACAAGCATCAGCACCGCGCTATGGCTGAGATCATGGGCGCTATGCTCTCGAGCGCGGAGGACTTCAGCGTCGAGCTCAAGGAGAAGATTTGGGAGTTTGCGTTCCCGATTCTGAGGAGGATCTTCACGGATGGTCTGACGCCGGAGAATGCTTCGTACTGGTCTACCCTTGTCACGCTTGTGGTCGGCGGGAAGGATCCTCGCCGAGCGTGGCCGATGATCGACTGGTTGGCGGGTTTCCGTCTGGACATGGACACCAATGCTGCGTTCAAGGAGAGTTCGAAGATCACTTTGCTCGGACTGGTCATCAGCTCGTGTGGCTGGCACTTCCAGCTCGAGAAGCCTGTCGTGGAGAACTTTTTGCAGCATCTCGATCACCCGTACAAGGGCGTAAGAGAGGTCATGGGCACGACGCTCAGTACGATTTTTAGGACACGGTATCACGAGTCGTACAAGGACATCCCGTCGCTGCTGGAGGACCAGCGCACTGCTTCGAGCGTGGGAAAGAGGCCTTACCAACCTACAGAGGAGTTCTCGGCGATTGTGAAGGATGTCTTTGAGCGGCTTGAGAAGTGGCGTAAAGAGCGACCGCCGGGGATTCAGACACCGACACCTTATACACAAGCCAGCAAGACCGTGTTGCTGTGGCTCGACACCTCCCTCGCCTCCTACGACTGCACCGTCCTCGTCCCCTTCTTCCCGCACGGCTTCATGGAGCAGCTCCTGCACATGATGGACATCAAAGAGGATCCGGAGCTGCAATCCCTCGCCTACCACGTCTTCCGCCACTTACCAAACATCCCGCACCGGCCCGGCGAAGACACAGCATTCGTCGCCTCTCTCATAAAAATCGGCCGCGAATCGACGTCCTGGCATCAGCGGCTGAGAGTGCTGATCAACATGCAAGTCATCTACTTCCGCCACATCTTCCTCATGCCCCTGAAACAGTCCAACGACCTCTTCGTCTGCGTGAGGGGGATGCTCCACGATCCGCAGCTCGAAGTTCGGCTCGGAGCCGCCGCGACGTTGGGCGGCATGGTGCGCTGCTCGCCGACTGGGTTCCGGAACGAGAAGATCGACGAGCTGAAGAAGCATTTCTACAAACTCCTCGTCGATAACCCGTTGCCGAAACGGCCTAAAGGCCAAGCTGCGCCGAGTGGCACGAACACCCCAACCCAAGAACAGAACCGCGTCGTCCTGGCCCGCCACGCAGCGGTTCTGGGTTTGGGAGCGCTGGTGCAGGCTTTCCCCTACACGTCACCGCCGCAGGAGTGGTTACCGGAGGTTCTGGCGACGCTTGCGGGGAAGGCGGCGGGGGATCCGGGGATGGTGGGGAAGAGCGTGAAGACGATTCTGAGCGATTTCAAAAAGACGAGGCAGGATACTTGGCAGATTGACGTTAAGGTATGTTTGCTCTTCTGTTGTATCGATGGCGGGTGTGGGGTGAGGCTAATGTGTTTTGTGTATTACAGGCGTTCACGCAGGAGCAGTTGGAGGATTTGGAGGGGGTGTTGTGGAAGAGTTATTTTGCTTGAGCCGATGGGCTGTTTGGAAGGTGGCTGAGTGGGTACGCTGAGGATGCTTGATTGCTTTACTGGCATAGCGTGGGCGTTTTCGCGGAGATGGGAACGATGCATGGTGTGTGGGAAAGACTTCAACGTGTATGAGGGTAGCGGTGGCGAGGCATTTGTCTGGTGTTCACGTTCAGCGGTCAAGATGGTGGGTTGGAGGTGGTTTAGATGAGTTGTGGTATTGATCGATGAAGACGTGCTAAGCTTTCTGTCTCGAGGCTTCATACCCTGTGTTCAATGCCTTCGTTCCAGTCGTCAAATGCTTGTTCTCGCCATGTTCTGTGGAACTGCAGGCAACGGTCTTGAACGACTGCCCCGCCACCAAAGCTTGGAGTGGGTGTCTGCGTATGTTTCCAAGCCCGCTCTGCGCTAGATGCCACCTCATAAGAGCGAATCCAAGCCGTACTCACGAGACCTCTGACCGAACCGAATCAACCAGCCACTACCTGAAGCCTCCAAGCGAGCTGATCTCGTCCTTGACATTGCGCGAAAGTCCTTGCGAATGTCGCCCATTGGCAGATACGGCGAGCCCGTCCTCTCAGTGTATTCGACCCCGGCGCCTCGCTTGACCACCACCGGCACCTCTTTCTCGTACTCCGTAGGGTCGTCCATGATCGCATCTGCCACTTTGCCATCCGTTGAAGGGTCTTCGACGTCCGCGATCGTTTGGTAGAAGACGTCGCTTTGCTTGAGATTGAGTACGCAGAACCGTCCCAGTTCCACTTGTACGTTGTTTCCACTATGCCGCTGCCATCATGCTTCCTGGTCCGTCATTTCCTGGTCTGCAGGCTCGCCAGCATCAAGCCAATCTTCCAATTCACCCCCCGGGATATCCGGTACATCACAAAGCCCCGCCCAATCAATTGCCAACTGCTTCGCCTCTGCATGAACGTACCCAGTACCATATTCTTGCATCCACTTCTCGACATCCTCTCGACCTTGGCGTGCCGCGTTCCTCTTGGCCTGGCGGATGATTTGCGAAGCCTCACGCCGATCTGATGTTCCCATATAGTAGAAGCGCTGTGCAGCCTCGCGTGCCGGCGCCCACCAGTCGATGCCGTTGCTGATGAAGCAGCCGTCGAGGACTTTTCCCGCACTTTCCTCGTCCTCGATTGCTTTGAACGCGTACGTGATGTCGTCTGGAGCGATCGATGCTCCACGCGACACTTCATTATTAAGAAACTTGGCCCAGTGGATGAGCGAACGGGGGTTGGGGTCGTCGGACCATTTCTTGGAGATGGTGAAGTTGATAACCAAGACGGTATTTCCGGCAGCAGGGTTTCGTCCAAAGCGTATGTTGGCCAGTGGGGCTTCCTTCGAAATGCGCTGGAAGAAGAATCGAAGCGGATCGAATGTCATGTCTTCAATGTCTGCCGTGATTTTGGTGACGTTGTTGGGCAATGCCATCTCCAGCACGGCGCCAAATTCTTGTCGAACTTGATGAGAGACCCTATGCAGCGGATGCGAGCTCATGATGAGACCTTTGCATCGAGGCAGGATCTTGACCGTGGTGACATCTATTGCAGCAGTTAGAACAGCCGACAGGATTCAAAGGCATGCAACTCACCAGGTGTGCAGTATCGGTAGATCATATTGCGCATTTCTGCCGGCAGCTTAAGGAGTTGGAATGGTGCTCCCGCGACCGGCTGGTCAGACGGCATGGTTGTCGCGGATAATGGTATCAGCTCTCAATACGTCGATGAGTAAGATGTCGAGGCGAAATTTCAGTTGAAGGAAGCCTCTGAGCCAGTAAAAGGTAGGTGCTGATCAACTTTCACATGAAAGTCATAAGCTTGCGGCTGCTCCCTTTGGGACTAGCGCCATCTCTGTGGTTGGCTCGCTTCTTGCTCAGTAAACAACTTCTCTTGCAACCTTTGACAGCAAAGTCTTCGCAGGCCTCGAGACGGCAAGATGGCGACTCCAAGTACGGCCAAGAAGCCGAAGAAGATGAATGGCCACATCTCGTCAACTCGTGCTTCATGTGTCCGTCGTTTCACCAGCTGGAGGACAGCAAGCTTATGCGACTACCTCGAATGACCCGCGACCAAATCTGTATGGAAGCATTCCGGTCTACTCGCTCCACCGCTCAAGGTGAGTCCTCCATTGTCGATATTCAGACCTCGAGGTATGATCGTCGATTTCGTCCGTATTGTCACTCCTTTGTCGTCGCATTCGTAGCTTCGATGATGGGCCGCATCCGGATTGTTCTTTGTCGATTTCGACCGGAGCAGCAAGAATTATGGTTATGTGATGGGTCGTCATCTCATCTCGAGTCGCGCTATCGTGACCCAGTACCGGGACCGTTGAACATCCTTACTGCGATGGCCGCTCCTTACATGGCTGGCCCAGTACCAGGTGGTGCTGGGCCACTACACAACGACCCTACGCTGGTTCCCCCCACCTTGCCCTACGCTGTCCCGGGTCTCGTCGGTGTTGCGCCGGCACCAGCAAACTTTCGTCCGACCGGGTATATTGCGGCAAATGCTGGTCCCCCAATACCGGCCCCCGTACCAGCCACCTGCGACGACCGATTAGAAGTTGAGGGCAACCCACCCGCCACTATCGCTCTTGCTCCGTGTACGGACGCTACATTCCCAGGACCCGTCCCGGCTGCGACTCACAATCAAGTGAAAAGCTGCACGGGCAACGGAAACCTTCATCCTGTGGGCCCCCCGCCTTACACGGTCTGCTCACAGTGTACTCACAACACGCGTAACCAGCAATGGATGCAAGACATTGTTGCCAACTTAACGACTCATCCAATCACGCTACTCGCTGGAGCAGGAGCGATGGGCGGAGCTGCCCCCCAGCCTATAGCTACATGGACGAATTTCCTAACCCATCTGTGCCGCGACTGCGAACGGACGGAGAGAGTGCTAAGGTGGCATCGCGCCCGTGGCGCCGTTGGTGTTCCAATTGTTCCACCCGCAGCTTTACCTTTCATGCAGAACCCAGCGGACAGCACCTGTACCTGCGCATGGCAGACTTGGCGTGGGCGAACTCCGACGCAAGAGCTGTGTATCCAGCACAGATTCCGCGCCGCTTGCTTAGACCACAATAGGCTGTTGGTAATCCGTCAGCAGAACGATCAGTGGCTCCGACAAATCACGAGAGAACCCGGCAATCCGAACCAAATCATTCGCGCAAGCCATCAAAAGATCACCGGCCGAGCCACGCGAGGAGTGTACCGCGCCTGTCGCTGCGGTGCAGAGATAGTCAACGACGGCAATCCGCCCCTGGTAGCGATATGCATGGGTTGCGAAGGCATTGTAAGTCAGATCCCACATCTCTTCAAGTGTGGCAACATTGGCCAGCATGCTGATTTTCTCTTCATCAGGTCCATCTACCGGCGTCGGTCCTTGCTCCCTTGGCGGGCATATACCTCAGACTCAGGCCTCGTGATATGAGACTCCGTAGAACGCAGATCTAAAGTTTGTTTCGGCACCTAAGCCAGCCATATAGACATGCGATCATCCACGTGTGCATATGCGACCCGTCAATTGAAACGTCGATTCTACTTTTCAATCAAGCATACTCACCTACGGCTATGCATGGCCAGACATAGGTACACGGAGTGTAATGACCCGTGGTTGGCGTCAGCTAAGCCCACTCTGATGGTGGAAAAAGGCAAAAATGGGTCGTCATATGCTCTGAGGCGTTGTTTCAAGTTGCGATCTGGTGGCGACCGCGGCAGCGCGGTATGTCGCCTTTGGCGTACGTCTGGGGGCTGCTGTTGCGGTCACAAGAAGGCGGCCTCAAGAAGAAGGCAAGGCGAACGAGTACGCCTCATTCTGTGTAGCATACCTTCGTGATGTAGGTAGATAAAGCAGGGGAGGTCGTCCACCGGAAGAACACCATCCGCTCAGCCTTGCGTCGCCCCACTTTCATATGATCGACAGCTTCCAAGATCCGATCGTTCCTGATGATGCTTCTATTTCCATTCATTGATGGAGCAGAAGGTTGCGCTGTTGTCTTGAAGGGCCATGCAGGCTACGATGTCGACAACGACATATTCTCATTCTTGGGTTACGAGGCAAGCATGACCATGGCCTCCTCGAGCCCTCCGCCGCCGTACGAGTGGCCCAGAGCCAACAACCATGCCGCTCATATGCAGCAGCAGGATCTCTACGAGCAGCAGTCCGGATCTCAGACACTGCTACCAGCGACCCAGCCGAAGACACCGCGAAAGAAGAAGTCTGCGTGGACATCGACCACCGAGTTGAGAAGAGATGGCGGTGCACAGCTTGGACAGCAGCGACAAGGCTGGCACAGCACGAATAACATTGTAGCGGCATCTCACACGAAGCCTATTGTTCGAGCAGCAGCATGCTTGGATACGGTCGCTGAGAGACTACACGATGTTCTGTGCCGGGTTGACCGCGGTGGACAAGGCGAGGACCGTCTGGAGTCTCTTACTCGCGAGCTATCCTTGGACGAACCGAGATATACCGTACCCTCAGAAGTCAAAGAGAGATCGTCAGCTCAGCGAAATCAGAAGGAGCGGACGAGGGTAGCCTTCATCAACATCCAAAAATCCTGGATGTACGCGAACTCAAGGCTGCCGCCGCACATGCTTCCTTATAGAGCGTACCTCGCTAGCTGGCAGATCTATTGCAAAGCAGCTGAGGCGTCTAGCTCTGTCTATCAACGTCCGAAGACCGGTGAGAGGGAAGACTACGTGGAGGCGAATTGGCGCAGAGGCACGAAAGCGATGGTCCTGAAGAGTGTTGCCCAAGATCACGACAAGGTCATTGTTATTGCCATCAGAGGCAGCCAATGGAATGTTATCGACTGGGCAGTCAACTTCACCGTAGACCCGAAGGTCCCAAGCGACTTTCTGGACGATGAAAACCCGTGCCACGAAGGATTTCTCCAGGTTGCTCGATCCATGGTTCGACCGGTGGCAGCCAGGCTTCGGCAGTTGGTCGAGCAGGATCCATCGCGGCATACAAGCTCTCTATTATTCACCGGACATTCTGCGGGCGGAGCGGTGGCGAACTTGCTGTACTTGCACATGCTTTCGCAGAAGGCTGAAAGTGAGCTGACAGTACTTAATGGAGTCTTCAAGCGAGTTCATTGTGTGACATTTGGCGTTCCGCCGATGGCATTGCTGCCGTTGCAGAACCCAGCCGGCCACAGACATAAGCGGAATGAGTTCGTCTCGTTCATCAACGAAGGCGACCCAATCGCCAGGGCTGACTTTGACTACATGAAGTCGCTCGCCAGCCTCTATACCACATCAGCGCCTGAGAGTTCTACCAGGGACCATACAAAAGGTCTCCGGCAGAAGATGTCCAGGCAGAATCTCAAGGCACCAGCAGTTCAGCCCGTGCAGACAGGAGTACCTCCGATCTGGCCTCTGCCCAGCGCCACGCTATCGAACGCCGGCCGACTTGTGCTGTTGCGAGAGAAGCCAGGTCACCGGACTAAAGTGGAGGCTGTCTGTACGTCTGACGAGCAGCTGCGCGGTGGGTCTTCTGCTGTGGCGGTGATCTTTGGTGATCCGGTGATGCATCATATGGAGGTGTATGAGCGCCGGGTTCAGAACTTGGCTATTACTTCTGTTACTGGGAAGGAGGTTGGATGAGAATGCTGGATATGCAGGCGCTGGAATCATTGCGCACGTTGTCACGAGTACGATTTCCTGCAGTGGGGGAGGACACCGACCTGTATCCTTGACTGCAGCCGCAGATTTTGGGATCAGAAGGCTTCAACAACGCTGAATCGAACGATGACTAGGATCGTGGACAGGGCTAAAGGCCTGTACTGACGAAGAATTGCGAACCAGACCCGCTCTTCAGCCCGACGGAATGGCACCTCAACCATGCGCGCAATCTGCGGCACTCGTGCTGTGATCCGATCGGCACGGCATGCAACATTCGTTGGTTACACGGACGACCTGTCACTTTTTGACGCAGCCACCCCTAGCAGTGGTCGTGGGCCCGAAACTTCTCATCGACCCGGACGTGTCTGCATTGCTCACTCCTCGTAACCCATTTGCGAGCAGCACGAAATCAACTACATCACAGCCGCCGTCCCAATGAGCAGAAACGCCTGTCGCGAGAACATCTTGTGCTGGAGCTACCACGAGGCCATCGAGTGTCGGGTGACCGGACATGCAAGCTTCCGCAACATCATCGAGCCTCACGGCAACCCGCACTCTTCTCACCCTACCAGACCCAAAGAGAAGGACATTGCTTATTGCTAAGAGTGCACAGCTGGGTGTTGCAAGGCTCCCCGATCCTGACGAAGATCCTCGAGAAAGGCGCTGAGCCTCCATGACAATCATTCGAGCTCTATATTCAATCCATGAGCCCTAGGAGGTACGCATGGGAAGGGATGGCCGAACGAGAAACCACTGTTGGAAAGGTGGGCTCTCTGAGGCTGAAATACCAATATGTTGGTTTTCAATGCTGACCGCTTATATCAGCTCTAGCGTACGCTCCGACATCAACATCGATAGGTGGTGTGGTGTTTGACACTTGGTGAATATGGACAAAACTGGGTGAATAACCAAAACGGCATACAGAGCTGTCATGTTTGTCCATTTGCCTCGCAGTGTCATGACACCCTTCCTTCTGGCTTCTTCGATCGAGGGTGGGCAAACATCATGCACTTCACTCAGCTACTAGGCAAACTAGGTTACCTGGTTGCCGCCTTCTACATATTTCTTCTTTCCCTTCCTACCTCATTCGCAAGCACTCACAGCCGAAAAGCTGCTCTGCTGCCCACCAGATTCCCGTGACTGACTAGGGCGCGATTTCGGTCTCGGACAACCAACCATAGTCCACTCCAGTGCCGCCACAACGGCAAGCAGCGGCGGCCCGGAGTAAGACGGAACGATGGCCGGCGACATGGCGCCCAGCAATGATATCAAACAAACCCTCCTCCGCAAGCGCCTACTCCACGATATTGCTGACCTCCAGCACAATCCTTACCCCGGCATTGCTCTCCGCGTCGACGACAGCGACGCACTGCAGAAAGCCTGTTTGATACTTACACCCGCGAATTGGGAGCCGCTGCACTTGACCATTGTCTTCGGCGCAAAATACCCGCTCTCACCCCCCAAGATCAGCGTACAATCGTACGTCGTCCATCCGAATGTCTTCAACGACTACATCTGCGCATCCATTCTTAACGATCGCGAATCCTACACGTCCGCATACACCCTCAAAGGCATCTGCATCCAGATCCTGAGCTTCTTCAGCAGCGATACGCTGGAGCAGGAAGATGGGCTTGGAGCGTTCACTCTGGGGAAGTTCCACGCTTGGGTGGAGGAGGCAAGTGTGGAACAGAAGGAGGCTGCCGGGGTGTTGAGCACGGACAAGCCGGTGTATGTGTGCAAGAAGTGTGGCTTTGGTGAGCAGAGCGGACGACGTCTGGATGAGAGACAAAGCGGCACCGGTGGAGCACAGCCCGGGTTCTCTGGAAACGAGGTGCAGGCCGGCAAAGGGTTGGTTGCGCTGCCGCTCGACGTTCTCATACTTGTGTGCGAATTCCTGGACGACGAAGAGCTGGTCGTGGCTGCCAGAGCCTGGAATGGCTTCGCGAGAACCATGAAACGGATCATCCGTATCCGCGAGCTGCAGTGCTTCACCCTCAAGGAAGGCTTTAAGACCTCTGCCCTGGGCATTGGAGTCCACATCGATGGCAAGATGCTGCAATCAGAGTTCGAGCTAATCTCGCAGCTGGCCTTCTACAGCCTTGGTGTCCGGAGCTCCATTCACGGCTTGAGGTTCGAACACTGGCTCCCTTTACCAATCTCCGAGACACACTGGCAGCGAGTGAAGCACAACATCAACGACCGCCTCACCAAGATCGGATTAGAAGCACGTATCAACGGACCGCCAGTCACCGTCATTTACGGTTTTATGAACGACATTGTCGTACGGCTGTCGTCGAAAGCCAACGATCTGTTCAACCACGGCCGCGGTTCAATGCAGCGTGACTACGACTTCAGGACGAAATCAACGCTCTCAGCGGTCAGCGAGAAGGCGGTGGAGAGCTACTTCCACCTCTTCCACTTACTGTTGTGTCTCACAATCGACAAGCCCAGCGTCGTCCAGGACGCCAACAACAAGCTCAAAGCCTTCTTGGACGGCCAGACCGACAAGCAGAGTGTACCAAACCTCGGTCACCTGCTGACCATGGTGCTCATCGCCAACGTTGACATCACAGAAGGGCTGACCAAAGCCATCATCAAAGAGACCATTACCCGCAACGTCGTGTGGATGCTGGACTCACGTGGACAGAACATGCCCGAACTCAGCTTCCTCGAAACCGACGCCATCAGTCACTTCCGCCTGCAGAAGACGTTCGATGCGGGCAAGACATCCTACCGCATCCTCATGATCGCGCATCTGATGAAAACCACAGTCAGCAAAATGGCAACAGCCTCCGGCCAGAAGAGAAACCTCTCCTCGCTCTGCAAAGAACTCTTCGACCGCCACGGTGAACCACCAACGGGCGCAGCAGCCCATCTCACAGATGCCATCAGGCAAATCCAGCAAGTCAACTGCTTCCATGACTTCCTCAAGAAGATGAGCGTGCCTCCGCCCAGCGCTTCGCTGTTCACCGCTTATCTGCGGCAGACGCTGTACGAGAGTGTGGACAAGGGGTATTCGAAGTGGGGGCTCCCGCAGGAGCAGGCGTTAGCATTGCGGTTGGAGAAGGAACCTGGGGTAGGGAGGGTGGAGGGTGTGCGGCCGGAGTATCGTAGGGTGAGGGTCAGCTTCTTTCCGCAGGATGGCACCCGTATGCGGTTCACGTGAAGAGGTTGGTGTGCTGCCCCGGCATGGGTGCGCCTGAGTCGAATTGGGGGCGACTGCGTGGTGCTGCTGAACACCTGGTCGGTGGATGTCTCAAGCGAGAAAGATCGACGGATGAGAAGTCAGCAAAGAGGTTGCTGATCATGCATCATCCCATCGGCTTGAAGACACAACGAGAATCAAAGAGGCGGACGAAGAGCATGAGCATAGGTTCGTAGCCTGTCCAAGAGTCTACTGGATCTTCCATCCATCGCCCTACGCCTGCATGTCAGTGGCGGCACCAACTTCACGATAAGTTGGTGTACTGACCTGAGCCACAGTCTCCAGATGCTGCCTCAACCGCTTCGTGGGCTCCTCTCCCAACCATGCCGGCATGGTCCTATCAAGGCCATCCATGATTTCCCATCCTCTGCCGCCCTCGACTGTACACACCCAACATCAGCTACTATGTCAGAGCATACACTGAGTCTGGACATACCATAGACCGCTTTCCCATGCATCTCCTTGGCCACACCCAGCCCAATAATATACTTCGCCACATCGTCAGCAGAATTAATCGCCTGGTTCGTCTTCTTGAACTCGTCGATAATCGTGACAGTCATCTGGGTCTCTGAGAGGGCGGGACAAATGGCGTTTACTCTGATCTGTTCACTCGTCAGCACCACCAATCCTCCAAGCCCACTTGGTGGCAAAGGTAAGTAAAGTAGAACGTACTCCATCCCTCTCCCAAAGAATCTTCCTCGTCGTCCTCAACAGCCCCATAACAGCATGCTTACTACACTGATACATGAACAAGCCCGGGCTATCCCTCACCCCGGCCGCTGACGAAATGAGCACGATGCTCCTGTCCTCGCCCTCCTTCCTGTCGTGCTTGAGATACGGCACCGCGATGCGCGTGAAGAACGCTACACCCTATACCTTCGCATCAGCTACCTTCCAACCCTCTCCGTCCCTTTGAATCCGTTAGTGCGAAAAGTTAGGAGAAAACGAACCTTAAAATTAACATCCATAGTCCCCATCGTCTCCTCCTTCTCCACCGTCTCAACCGTCAGTCCCGGATCAAACCACTTTCCCTTCTCAATCACCCCCGCAATCGCAAACGCATGGTCCACTCGTCCATACTTGTCCAGCGCCGTGCGGAAGAGACGGATATTGTCCGCGTACTTGCTTACGTCGATCTGGACGAAGATGGGTTGGTTGGCGCTGGGGTGGAGAGAGGCGATGGTTTCCTCGCCGGCGGAAGAGTCGTAGTCGCCGATTACAAGGAGGGCGCCGGCGGCGTGGAGGGAGTGGACTGTTGATGCGCCGACTGAGAGGTGGTATGGGGTTAGTTCTGATGGTCCATGAGGTTCGCGGAGCCCGGCTCATGGACAGGGTTGATGTGGAAGGTGAGGAATAACGTACTGCCATTGGCACCACCTATTCTTCTGCGTTAGCATCGCCACAGAAGTTCATGTTCTTGATCGAAAGGGTACATGTATTTACCAGTCAACACAACGACCTTATCCTTCAACTCTGCGAACTTCGACTCGTCGACATGCACCCTGTTGTCTGTAACCGGCTTTCCCGACATCTTGATCTGGTGTTGTCACGCTTAGTTGCTATTGCCCTAAGATCTGTTCACAGAGGATCCAGGTACTTGGTACTCACAATGCTTGCAAGACATTCTTGCCGGCGATGTTGCTGTTGTTGTCCCTCGGCGTTGGAGACAAGCCAGCCCCGCAAGGCGGAACAACATCTCCAACGCCTTTCTCCAACACAATCCAAGACCTCTCAAAGAAAGCGACCGTTGAGTGGCTGTGAAGCTTTGATCGTTATTCTGGTTGATATGAATGCATACCCACTCATCTGCTTTCTAGCGCTACCCTCTGTCGTGAATCATCATAAGGCTCGCGCCCCGTATCTAACCATATTAGAACCCCCTCCCCCAAAAGCCCATCCTCGCTCGCTCGCTCGCTGAAAGTAATCAAACGATCAATTTTCCTACCCTTCACCCTCCACCCGTTCACCGCCAAGGCCTCCTCGCAGCCGACCCAACAGCCTCCCTAATGCTACCGCGTCGTCTCTGCAGACCCATCCTTCCCGTCCCACCCCCACTTCCACTTCCACTTCCACTCCCACCTTCTTGCCCGACACCACTTATTCCATTCGCAGCCATAGGCGCCGCGCACACTGCATCAACACCAGCCTTAACGCTCCCCCTCCGCGCAAACAAATTCTTCCTCTCCCCCTCTCCAACCTCGCTGCCCCTCCTTCCACTCAGCGGCGCAGGAACAGTGTTGTTCCGTCCGGGCATCGAAGGCCTTCTCCCTTCTCTACTGCTAGGTGGTCGCGGCGTGGCTTGCAAAGCGCGGTTGATGTCGTTGCTCTGGCTCGTACCGGGTCTGCGGGCCTCTTTGGGGACGTCGTTGATGTAGGCTGAGGATGGGGTAGAGGTGAGGGTTGGGAGGGGCGACTTCTCGCGCTGCCGGGTTTCGTTGGGGCGAGGGTCGTCGCGCGGGTTGTTGGTGTTGGTGTTGCTCATGCGGCTGAAGAACGATTGAGTCTTCTGGCTGAGTGTGCGGGCTGGTGGGGGAGAGGTTCGGGAGCGGGAGGTGGTGGGGGAGGTCATGCTGTGGGAGAGGTTGGAGCGGGTGTGGGAGAAGTCGGGCGAGATGCTGCGAGTCTCCTCGATGGTCTGCACGACGGTGTGGTTGCTGGAGCCGGAATGCTGGGAGCGGGGGCTGGCTACGCTGCCGTTTGATGACAGTCGCTCGGCTTTTGCATTATTGCCGTAGGTCGGAATGACCACTGGGCTCGTCTCTGCTCTCGTCATGCTTGGCTTGCGAGTGCTCGCCGTCACTTCTGAGCTCGACTGGCGCCGTCGCGGCTCGAAGCGCGTGGCCTTCGTCGACGCAAAGTCTGTCGCATTCGTGGTGGTGAGGGGCGAGGGCGACTGGACGTGCTTGAGAAATCGACTGGGTGTGCCCATGATGAGCGAGCTGCCGTCCGGAAAGTCGTAGTCGCCACCCAGGCCACGCGCAGTCTCTGGACGCTCTTCCACCTCATCCTCCTCGTCTACGCCCTCGTAAGCTTCGTCGTTCTGGCGCTGTACGAATGACTCATAAGCACTGTGCAGTTCCACAGACGAACGAAATTGACGAGGAGCGGTGCGGACGTTGGGCTCCAACGCATCATAGCCCTTCACAGGTATCGGTGTCGTATCGAGCAAGCTCCTGTCGTCGTTCGCAATGCTTGACCGAGAGGCACGCAGCATGCGAGTGCTTGCACTGTCAGGAGTTGGAGGCAGCAGAGGCTCACCAAACATTGGCCCGGCGAAACTGGTTGGCCGCGACTCCTTCATCGGCTGCAGCTGCCTTTCTGTCCGGATTGGGAACGGCTTGATGTAGGAGACGCCATTCTGCATGCTGTCGGAAGACTTGGATGTCGTAGCGGTGTCGTTTGACAAGGTCTTCGCCAGAGACTGAAACTGCGCAGTATCGACTGGACGCTTAATCGGAGACGACGGCTGCAGATCAAGTCCGGCGAACTGCGAGATGGGTGGCGATATGTGGTTGGATTTTGACGGTGTGTCGGTCACCTGGTCGCGTTCCTCCATCCACTGGCTTACCCGCTTGATACTATCCTGCCGCAGGTGTGCCGATGGTCCGTGTGGTGACACCGTCATGTCGTCTGCATCACCTTCCCAGGCGCACTTGTCCGGGCTGGTCTGCTCCTTCGGGCTGTAGATAGATGGAAAGCTGCTCTCACTCAGCACGCTCAATCTTGGCGAGTCCAACACCGCTTCTTCGTCTTCCAGCTTACTCTCTCTACGAGTCAGCAAGGAGTTGAAGCTTTGAACCGGATGCAATGCCTGCGAGGTCTCGAGATAGACGCTGCGAAGAGCATGAGTGCTCGGCTTCTTCTGGCTCAGAATGTGCGGCTCCCTCCTAGGACGAGCCGGTGTCGGGCCGTTGACAGCGCCGAGCAGCTTGGTTGCAGCAGCTGATGCGGCAGGTGGAGGCTGGCGTTGCTTCACATGCGGAGTCTTTGGGTGTGAGATTGGCTCCGGCGGTGAGGACGGCGGGACTGGCTCATGTGTCTCGGTACCGGCGTACCCAGAGTCTGCGTTTGCCGTCGAAGGCCTGGTCGCGCTGCGCCTGTCCTCCATATCCGCGACCTTGTCCTCCAGATCACAGATGATGTCCATAGCCTCCTCGACAGCCTTGTCACGCTTCTCCAGCTCCTCTACTAGCTGACTATTAATCCGTAGTAGCTCGGCATGTTCCTGCTCCAACTGCTCAGCCCGTTCGACCTGCATCCGCATGCTCTCGATCTGCTCCTGCAACTTCGTCGTGCTCTCCCTTCGGTGATCAAGCTCCAGCTTCAGGGCAAAGTTCTGCTTCGTCAAGCGATCCATTTGCTCATTTAGATCCCTTGCTCCTGGTGCTCGCTTCCTTCCATTGCTCTCCCCCATCTCCGAGCCCCGCCGCGATCCAGCTGTCAACGGTGAACTGTCGAACGCCCTGCTCCCGCCACGCCTGCTCTCCTCTGCCTCGTTGAAGAAGATGTCATCGTCGCGACCATTCCTGGGTCCAAAGTCTGACTGCCGCACGCGCTTGGGTCGCATATTCTTTGCTCTCCGCTCCAGCAATTTGTCCTGCAGATATTGCGAAGCGGACAAGGTGTCTGGAGCCCCATCTCGCCCCACACCGTTCATGGTGCCGCCGTTGGTGTCCATCTTTGCGAATTGGCGGTCAGGAGGGATCGTGACTGCTGCGCCGCAGGACTGGCGACTATTCGCACCAACGAGACTGCGACATTGTTCTCGATGTCCGTTGTGAGACGTCGTGCGGTGTTCGGGCGCGTGATTTCGGAGAAACAATTGTCGACTGATTCGTGTTTAAACGTGTGGCTTGTTGGCTGGCATGTGCGACGCAAACGGCTGCCGGTTTCACATTGAGCGCGTCTGGAGATCCGCGAAAGCTGCGCTCGTCGCTATCTTCCAGTCGGTCGAAGAACGCGGTCGGGGTATGGTGGCCGTGTGGAGTGGAGGAGGAGCAGCAGCAAAAGGACAGATGTGAAGTGTGATGGAACATGCATTGGGCACCATACTTCTGTGATCACAACAACCGGCGCGCCGACCAATGCCTCTAGCGTGCAGCGCTACCCACCCGTTCCGCCTCACTGGGCCGGCACTCCCCAGATGGCGGCCCAACCCCCCTGCTCGCCTCCGCTGCCGATTCGACGAGCAAAGACTGCTGAAGATCTCCATCCGGTCGGGTCTGCTTGAGGAAACCGTCGGTCAACGTCTCCTCCCAAAAGATGCTGATTCCTGGATTAGTGGTTCCACGTCAACGTCAACGTCAATAACGATCTGAACGCTGGAGAACTGTTCCTGCAGCGATTCCCATGCTCCATCTCGTCTCGCTGCAGAACTTATGCAAACTAAGACCCTACTCCGCATTTCTCCTGTGTCGTACGGAGGTACCTGCCGCTGCGTCCGCTCTTGGGCATCGACTTCCAAATGCACGACATTTTGCGTACGATTGACCGAGCATTGGTACCATCTCACAATGACTGCATCGAGCACTATTTGATATTTAACGATGGCCACGGTCCGGACGGTATGTAGCGGTCCGCAATACCACAAAAGTCGCGTCCCACACGCGGCTCGCACGAGCGGCCGTTCGAGCTACCAGAGCTTTATTGAAGTCTCTCCTCCACCACGGCGCGTCATCCGCAGAAACTCTACAAGCGACGACGACAACAATTCTGTGGACGTGTCTGAGAGCAGCGAGCATTCGGAGAGGCGGAGCTCATCTTGACGCTCTCTCAGCAGGCTAAATGCAATACACCATCCCAGGTCCCAGTATTGTGCTCATCAGGCACTTTACGCAGCCAAAGACGCGGCCCCTCGAGCGCCGACATGACCATAATCCAAGAGCACCATCACACCTCGTCCACACTGGCCGCTGGACTCACCAGACCTAACTCTCTTGCCTGTGGGCACTTCGAGACATCACTGTAGTACACGCCCCCATGAACCTGAAGTCTCGAGCAGTACTCCTCCATAGTCGGGGAGCGGGCAAGCCAGTCTGCTCCCACGAAGCCCTCCATGCCTTCCCAGGGATAGACCTGTCTCGGGAGTAGGGCTTCGGCTTTGCGAAAGATGTGGGAGACCCAGACAGGCTCTTTTCGAAAGCTATCGTCACTCGTCAAGCTCGTACTCTCTGGCCAGCCGAATATGTATCGGCTCCTGTTTAGTTGGTTTCCAAGCGCAGCATCGCAGCACTCTCCGTGTGCATAGCGTTTCGGGTTGACCCTGACAGCACCGCAGCGTCTCATGCGCAAACAGACCTCCAGATACTGGTCATTGTCCAGATACAATCTCAGCCTGCCGTCGTTATCCTTGGAAGTCGTCGAGCGTCGTCCCAGGAAGCAGTAGTTCGCTATAGCAGCACAGCTGGTCTGAAGATACAGCATGGGGCCTTCATCGGTAGTTGGAGGGCGGCTAGTCGATAGAGGCGTCTCAAGGGTGAATGTTCTTTCATTCTCCCACATGCGCGGGACAAGCTCGACAGGCACCGGCGAGGGCTCGATGTAACTGCTCTCATCGCCCGACGCTGTCTCCGCAGAGCTGAATGCGCCCCAGAGCCGCGAAAGCATGTTCATCATCGTAGAACCCATTTGGTCTCGGCTTTTCTAAAGCGATTCGTAGAGCAAAAGCAAGAATGAGAGAGAGGGAGGGAGAGTTCAGGACCGCTTTGTGCCTGAGTGTCGTGGGACCTTAGATCGAAGCCGGCAGAGAATATATGCGGGACCATCTGGTCAACTCTGGTGCCTGAAGCTAGAGTCGGCGGCTGCTTCAGGCTTCAGAGGTCTCTACCAAAAGTTCGGACGCTTTGCGGGATAGTAGAGGTTATTAATGTTATATTCCCTCCTCCGCTACCTACACCATTATAAACAGGTAAATATAGTATTAAGAGAAAGCTTATTATCTAAGCTATCTGGCCGACAAACCGTGCCCGTTGCTCGAGTATTGTTTCCGAACGTCCAAAAAGTGTCTTCGTCCCCCGTCTCCTCCGCAAAGTCAACGCAGCTGTAGTGGCAGAGTAGCATGTGAGCTTGGAGCAGGTCACGCAGCTCGTTCCTAAGCCTGCGTCCGAAACCATGCCGTCTTGAGCTTGTGCTGGCGGCGACGCAACAGGCTTTCCGGACGCCTGCAAGCGACTAAACGGTCCTCACGCCTTGCTCCTGCGATGGTTTAGATGGCTGCTCCTCAGACCATTGTCGTGCGCCGGGTATCATCGCTTCACGGTTCACCCGTACTCATTGTCTCTGGCCGCCGTTAGAAGATGCGCAAACGGTGAACGCCACCGAGCTGACGAGCGAAGGAGTGCAGTCTCGCAGAGCCGCGGCTGCGCAATGCCGAATCATTGAAGTGGTGGTGCTGGCAATTATGCGGCCCACACTTGCGATGTCGTGCGTAATGTTAGGTCGCTCATGCGCTCGGGTGGATCGACAGGGGGTAGCCCAGGCTCGCGCTTCGGTCGGTGTGATGAATGGGTGCTGCGCGAGAGCTGCGAGAGAGTTTTCGATGCGAACTTGTGAAGAATAGATTTGGATCGTAGCCGTTCGAAAATCATCGCGTGGAGAAGGCGGCGAAGAATGAATGATGCGATCGAAATGGAAGGTTGTACTCAGTCTCGGGGGTTGGGAGCGCAAGGGAGACCGGTGAAGACATCGGAAGTGGTCGTAAACGGGGCCACCACGCTATCAAAACCATCGCTCGTGTGTGGTGAACCTGAAACATGTCAACATTCGTGAGAAGAATGAGCATAGTCTCAGTGTCAGCAGTCGTAGAAAGTCATTTAAAAGAGGTGTCGTCCTTACCGTTTAGGCATTTGCATGAACCCACCTTTTCCCAATCAGAATCGAACTCCAAAAAAGTGCAAAAAAGTTCTCCGGGTAGGTTCGCCAGACTATTTAAACAGAACAGCGCATTCTGCAGTATTCGGCTTGAGCTTTCATCACGAGGCAAGCGCTGGTTGTGACTCTCGCGATTCGGACGCCTTAGCATCGCAAGGGAACCATAGGCTGTCACCCACCGAAGTAGGAACGCTGGCTGTTGCAGCTTGAGGACGTCTCAACCGGAGAAGCTTTGCCCATTTGCTGAAGCTAGCATGATCGATTGATGTAAGGAATACTGGAAAAATATATAAATGCTGCGAAATGCATTTTCCGCACCCGGAGCCAGCAAAGTGTCATGGGTGTGCATGGCAGGCGTCGGTTGTTCATTTTGTATTCGCAATTGGGGTGCTCGTATTGTTCTGCTGGGTCCGGGGGGGGGTTTTGAGGGCAGGTCGTCGATGCCGTCGTCCGGTATGCCACCATGGCGAAGCGAGGATCGGCCGAAGGTCGCAACGTCGCGCACATCACTGCCGCTCCCTCACGCAATCAACATCACACCACATTATGCCCACAGAGGTCTCATGTGCTCGAGCATCACAGCCAGATGTGTGTTCAGGAGGTGTTCTCCTCTGCGACCTTCTTACCTGTATGTTTCCCTCCTTAAACATATTTCATCATTGTCATTGCAACGCGCTTGTCCTCGTGCATCACCACAACATCTTTCGGCATAGTTCAGCCTGAAAACCCTGGTACAGTCGCTTCACAGTGTGGCTGTCTTCTCTATTCTCTCTTCTTTCTCGAAAATGAGCGCGTCGGTAGATCTCTCCTTGATCCGCAAGGATGGTCTTCGGGGCCTCAGTAAGCTGAGAAGCTCTCTCGCTCGTCAAGGCGGTCTCAAAAAACCCTGTACCAGCGGCCTCACAGATATTCGAACCTAGAAGTGCAGCAGGCCATCACTGCGGTGGACTGTCGCTTCTTCGAGTGCGCGGAAGGCTGAAGTGGTCAAGAAGCAGCATACTGCTCATTGAGCGCGGTTGATAGCCAGGTCGAACGCCTCATGACTGTGTTCGCCGCGTTTGAAGAGTTCGCGAAGACCTAGAAGAAGGGATCAATATCAACGACCTCACTTGAAGTCCGCACAAGCATGCCAAGCACGCAAATCCTGATGGTGACAATGGCATGAATAGCCGACCCAAACTTTCTCCACATGCGCTGATCGAGAACATGCCGCGAGGGGACATGTACCAACGATGCTGTAACACCACACTTTCAACACCACCATGCTCGCCTCCGGCTTTACCAACGCCCCCATCACCCGCTTCCTTGTCTTCGGTACAGTTATCGCCGCATTCCTCGCCAGCCTGACAGATACGAAATACTACTTCTGGATCCAACCGCAACCCCACCTGTTTAGCTACTGGCAATTCTGGCGCCTCTTTACCTGGCAGCTATGCTATACCAATAGCGCCGAAGTGCTGTTCGCAGCAATGACCTTCTACCAATTGCGAGTGGTGGAGCGGCTATGGGGGAGTAGGAAGTTTGCTGTACGCCAGGAACACCACCCATAACAAGCAGCTGCTGGATAGCATCGGCTGACAAGGTAGGTACGATAGTCATTCATCTTCTCAACCTTTCCATACACTACCCTGCTCCCTCCAATCCTCCTCGCCGCCGTTATCCGCCCGCTTAGCTTCGGCCATATCAACTACCTCCCTGCGGGACCAACAGCGATTGTGTTTGCGCTGCTGGCACAGTATCACGCGGCTGTCCCGTATATCTACAAATACCGCGTCTCGAGCAGCCTACCCACCGGCACTTCGCCAAACCAGGAGTACGGACTCATGCTCACGTCCAAGTCGACCTCCTACCTCCTGCCAATGCAGCTTGCGCTCTCGCAGCTGCCTGGCTCGGCGATTGCGGCGGCGATCGGCTGGATCATTGGATTCGCTTACAGGAGAGAGATCCTGCCTGGGGCGGCGAGGTGGAGAGTGCCGGGATGGGTCATTGGCGCCAGCGAGCAGAAAGAGCGTTATGATACTCTCAGGAGGAGGATGGAGGGTGAAGCTGGACGTGCGACGGGCGTGGATAACAATCGCCAGCATGCGAGGAGGAGGGGCCTGGTTGGCGGGTTGATTGATCAGTTTAGAGGTGCTTGAGTTTGTGAACAGTAATGGTGGAATATTGAACTCAATGTTGGTGATCTCTTGCTTTTTCTTTTCGAGGCGGTTAGCACAGTTCATACCACGAATGCGCCACTGTGAGGCTGATATCAAAAGCAGAAATGAGGTAAGGTTGGCCGGTCACATGCTTGCCTCCTGCCCCATTGGGTCTAACGACCCACGTGGCCTCTACGCACCGGCTATGCTTTGAAGCTCACCAGATTTTGCTTCGCAGATACCTCTGCACCCGTGCTGCATGGCGGTAGTTCTCACCTAATCTGTCTCTATCCCGTTCACACCGTGCGACACAGCGCCGAGATGGCGCACGACAGCTTCGAGTCGGTGGTTCGGAGCGGCGATACCACACCACCGCTCACCGAGCCAGATGCAATTGTGACACAACCAGCTGCTGTTTGCAGCGTCCAGTATGTCTCCGTAACTTCATTCCATCACCTCCATGTATGTATCCAAGCATGACCACTGACAGCCGCCAGATCCCTAGACAATGCAGATACGAGCTCCGCAGGTTCATCTTATACACCACGACCGTATCTCACAGAGGTGCTGCCCATCGGGCTTGTCGACTCGATCATCGCCTTCACCGTCGACGTAGCCGCTCCCTGTCGTCCCTGCAAGCACGAGTGCACTCAGCCAGACTACCATAAGTCTGGCATCTGTCACCTTCTCAACCTCGCCAAAACGTGCAGCAAGTTGAGAATACGAGCCCAGAAGTTGCTCCACCAGCACCTTCGAATCAGAAGCTTTCCCATGGAGGATGGTTGCTACACATTCACCCATGAGACGGAGAACCTTAAGACCGACTACGTGCTTCCGGAAAAGCAGGTTTTCGATATGGTCCAGAAGAATAGTAGACTGGTGACGCACACTGCCATAAATGTCAGGTGAGCAGCCAAGGACACTTCCGTCCTTGGGCTATAAGCTGATTCAATGCGCTGCTAGGTCGCTAACTTTCGACTTTCCCCGTCGTCTCGACAAATCCTTACCAAGCAGAGCTTTTGCAACGGCATTCGTCCAGCTCATCAGTCGCCTCCCGCAGCTCAAAACCCTACTGTTCAACCTTCCCCTGTACTCCTGGGCCCAGGACACCTTCCGCGAAGCTTTTGAGAACCATTTCAATGATACCGAGCCATTGAGTAAGCTGCCGGTCACCGAAGCTCAATTGGGCATCTTCTGTGGCTTTGGTGCGCACTACTGCCCAGGGCTCATGGCAGTAGTCGGATACGATCATTACAATGACTTCCGCACCAACACTCGACTACCCGAGACCCTACTCGCCATATCTCAGGGTGGCGAGGCTTCTCCACAACCTGCTAAGTTCCCCCTGGAGCACTTCGAGATGGCTTGTTTCTGGACTCAAACCACATGGAACGGTAGGTGTGGCAATCTGAGCTGTGTAATCCTGCTCTGCTAATACCCTTGTAGTCGTCGAAGCGCTATCACAGCACGTCATTCTCAAGAAACTCGGCGTCAGAGGGCAGCTGGCGGAACCACCGCTACCGCTCGACTACAGATCAGGAACCCGGGTTAAGGTACGCTCGTTCATCTACTCTTTTCTCCGCAGTCCACGTACTAACTCAGATGTCTCTAGCGCAACGACTTCTACAAGAACCTACGGCAGTTCAAGCACCTCGAAACTCTGATTCTGTCAGGCAACGTCTTGTGGAACTTCTTCTGGAAGTACCGCGGCACCGATTACTTTGAACTTGGACTTGACCCATTTACAAGCGTGACCGACGTTGTGTACGAAGACGAACTCCAGCCCCATCACCTACGCTCGTTCCTGGACTTCCGCCATGACCACTTTGGTACCGGAGAGCTTGACGCTACGAACCGGCTTTACGACAAGGTCTACCGTGAATTCATGACAACACTGCATTCGGAGGGCCTCGAGCACATCAGAACTGTCTGGATCGAAGCTTCTCTACGCCCGAGACAAGCAGACGGAAAGTTGCGTCCACCCGATGTGCCGTACTACGACTACAGTAAGTTCCGAGATGTCAAGCTGGTTCGTCAAAAGGATGGTTCTATCACCATCAGCCGTCAAGACGTGAGGAGGCAGCTCACAGATGGTCTTGTGCCGGTCGTGGGCTTCCCTCATCGGACGTACCCAGACCAGTCGTTGGGCTCGTACTTGAAGACAGCGCTTCCGCTCGGCTACCCACGGAGCAGTGTGGTACGGGAAACAGAGCTGCCCAACGGACGTAACCGCAGTTACCCGGATGGCGAGCTGGCGATTGGTGACGAGTGGTTGTAATGTACGAGATAGACGACAGAAAGGGAAGAAGGCCTGAATGCGGTTAGATGACAGCTTTCTGCAGACATGACGATCTGCTCAGGTGTTCTGGTTCAGCTACGCTCCTATCGAAACTGGAGCAGGTGCTTCTCCTCGATGAGAATTCTCCATGATCCATGGCTCAAGATGCGTTTCCCATGGACGAGTACTCGAGAGGTCTATTCCATCGCAAGCTTTGCTTCTGGGGCTGCAGTAGTATCGAAACAACTCATCACCATCATGGCGCTCAAGGCTCGATCCAAGTGAATCAAGCCATGATGTAGAAATGAGAGTCTGCTATCACAGAGAGCGCAAGGACAGATCATGCTACGTGTATACATTATGAACGGTACTACGATTATGTGAGCTGATGGCTATTTGTGCCCCGTGTCTCTATCTCGCCATGGTCGAACATTCGGTGAAGGCTGCTGACGACCTGCCCACAGTCCACAGAAGACATCTCGATCCACACTCTCGTTCCACACCATCTCTTCGCAGGTCTTTACCAACCGCCACGAGGATGCTGCTCGCGACCCTGCTCACCGGCTGGCTTCCACCAGGAGTCGAAGAATTTGGCAAACCAGCTGGTTGGGCCGGATTCAGACTCCTGGGCAGGACCGTCGTGGGTGTATTGCCCTTCGGGATGTTCTTTGTTGGGGACGTTGAAGGTGCCGTTCGTGGATCCATAGGAGTTGCCGATGGTGCCATTCTTGTGACCACTGAAATGACTCTTGTGATCTTCGCCATCTGGCTTGTTGCTGCCATTGCTTGGCTCCCAAGATGGAGTCCACGTGTACCACCAGGGCCGACCGCCAGAGTGCTCAGCTGGACCAGCGGGGTGATGCTCGGCACCTATTGGGCTAGATGGGTGGCCTGGGTTGGTCTTCGGTGGCTGCCCGTGGCTGGGTTCCATGTGAGGTCCTTGGGCTGGCTGACCATGGTTGGGCTCCACTGGATAGCCTTTTGGTGGCTGGCTGTGGTCACCATATACTGGCTTTCCCGGGCCATGTGGGTATGATGGCTGGCCACCATGAGGCCCTGCTGGTGGCGTTGGGTAAACAGTGAAAGTGATTGTCGTCGTCACAGTTGTCATGTACGATGTCGTGATGGTACGTGTGGTAGTCGACGAAGGCTTAGTCGGGCATGGTTCCTTGGTAGTGTAGGTCGTAGTTACCGGATAAGTGAGCGTCCTGGTGGTGCATGTTTCGTGCGGCGGCGGTGCGGGATAAGTCACAGGCGCCGACGAAGAGCTCGGAGCGTTCGAAGAGACCGAATAGGCAGGGGCAAAACTTGAGCTGCTGAACACCGCTGCCGAGCTGGAATGAGGTTCGACTGGAATAGAGTGTGAGGAGCTCGAGAATGATTGTCCGCTGCTCATCGATGGATACACCGGGACCGAAGCAGAAGAGCTTAACACAGGTTCCGAAGAGCCGGATGATGGCCCTGCTGAAGCGGAAAGACTGCTATAGATGGCCGGCGCACTGCTCTCAGGGATGCGCGTTGAGGAGGCATGATCGCTGGATCCCAAGTTCGAGGAAGACGGAATGCCAGGCGAAGAGGACAGCGTCGGCAGAGAAGAGGACATCACTGCCTCCGAGGATGACTGGGCGTGGCTGGACTGCAAGAACGAAGAGCCAGCTCCATTGGAGACACTGCTTGATGCTGCTGGCCAGGGGAGAGAGGACGACGGTCCACCATGGATTGACGATCCGGAAGGAACGGATGAAGTGGATCCCAGCCTTGAAGAAGGATGGGCTGAAGCGGATGCGCTCAAAAATATGCTGCTGCGCGGAACAGCTTCGCTCGCACTGGGCTGCGAGGGATACTGTGAGGAGGAGATGACCCAGGACGAGCTACTGCCGACCTGCGAAGATGAGCCCACAGCGCCGCTGCTGATGCTGGGGACGGGTCCATTCGAACTGGATTGTGAGCTAACCGGACCGGACGCGGACGGCACGATCCACCCAGAGCTCATTGATTGTGCCGACGAACTGGCATGTGCGGAAGCAGATGATGAGATGGCCTCTGCTGGACTGGGCAGCGCTGAAGACGAGGCTGCCATGCTAGAGCTCAGCGGGACGTGTTGTGAGAAGGAATTGGCTATCTCGGAACTTGATATAGCGTGTAGTGAAGATGAAACCACTTGGGAGCTTAGCGATGCAGATGAGGACAATGATGCGCTCGCGCTCAGAGATGCATCAATCGAAGAACCAGAAGGCGCCGCAAAGCCCGACGAAGAAGACGGGTGCATCACGATCTCCGACGACTGCAAAGGTAGTGCGGAGGAGGCTGAAGGCACGGCGCTGCTGAGGCCAGAAGACTGACTCCAGTATTGAGAGGAGGAAGCGTATGCCACCAGGCTTCCTGAAACCGAAGAGGCGCTCCAACTTTGCGAGGATGATGGGTACGCAGAAGATTGGCTCCAGTATTGCGAGGAAGAAGATGCATATGCGGCTAAACTTCCAGACACTGATGAGGCGCCCCAGCTCTGCGAGATTGATGCGGAAGATTGGCTCCAGGGTTGCGACGAGGCAGATGGATATGGCACCAGGCTTCCGGACATCGACGACTCACTCCATGACTGCGAGGATTGACTTTCCCATCTCGATGATGTGGAAGCGGCGAATGAATTCGAAGCGCTTGAGGGCGCGGAACTGATCGAGACCACCCAAGGGTTGGATGATGAAGAGGATATCCATGACGAGCTGGCGCTGGACCCATAAGCCAGATATGAGCTTTGAGACGCCGCAGGTAGTGATGACATTGAAGGCGCAGAGCTTTGCGACGCACTCCAAAGACCGGAAGATTGGGAAGATTGCCAGTATAAGCTTGAGCCAGACGAAGATCCGTACGCAACAGCACTCGCTGATGATGCATAGGCTGCTGAGCTTGTCATGCTTACACTGGCGCTATGAGACACGCTCCATGGGTTCGAGGATGCAGACGATCGCCAGTAAAAGCTTGACCCTGACGAAGATCCGTACGCAACGGCACTCGCAGAGGATCCATAGGAAGCCGAGCTTGTTACACTGGCACTGGCGCTTTGGGACACGCTCCACGGGTTCGACGCGGACGACTGCCAGTAGATGCTTGATGAAGACCCGTAAGGGAATGGTCTAGAGAAGGAAGCGGACATGGACGAGCTCCGTGATGCAGGCATCGAGCTCTGTGACGCACTCCATTGAGATGAAGCCGAAGCCGAAGCACTCCAAGCATAGCTAGAAAAGGATGACGATCCATAGTAGGCTAGACTGCTAGACTCTGCGAAATCGCTTCTTGACGCCGGTGCTGAGCTCTCCGATGGCACGAGTTGGTAGGACGAAGAGCTGGCTTGCCAGTGGAAACTGCTCAGCGATGACGAGTCGTATGCAGCGAGGCTACTAGAAGCGGCTGGCCAGGAGGATTGAGATCTGGAGGGCTGAGAGCTCATCGACGGCTCCCAACGGTACGAGCTTGCCGAGCTGGGCTGCCAAACGTAGCTGGCTGACGATGAGCCATATGCGGCGACACTGCTGAGCGAAGAGGCTGGAAATGAAGATTCCGGTCCAGCTGGTTGAGAGCTCTGGGAAGGCGACCAAACGTACGACGATGAAGACGGTTGCCATACCTGTGATATTGCACAACGGTCAGCAAGTGTCTCCCAAATTGATTTGACATTGAATGAGCTCAGGATGCCTCTCGTGGGTTGATCTGATGTCGGAGAGTGCTCCCAGACCGAGACCCTTATACTTTTGAACGAGTTGAGATGGCCTTCTTCCATCCATCGGGCTGACTTACAAAACTAGATCCAGATGAAGAGCCATATGCCGCGAAGCTGCTATACGAAGCCGATGGCATCGAGGACATGCTCGGCGCGGAGGGTGCTGAGCTCAATGACGGCTGCCAAATGTACGACGAGGAGGATGGTTGCCATACATAACTAGATTCGGAAGAGGAACCATAGTATGCAGGGTTGCTGAACGAGGATGCGGACGCCGAGGACGAAAGTGGATCAGAAGGTTGGGAGCTCATCGATGGTGACCAGACGTACGAAGAAGAGGACGGCTCCCAAACATAGCTCGATTGTGAGGAGGACCCGTAGTAGGCTAGGCTACTCAGCGAAGATCCGGGCGCAGATGAAGACTCCGGGCTAGGCTGCGAACTCATCGATGGTGACCAGACGTATGAGCGCGAAGACGCCTCCCACACGTAGCTCGATATTGAGGAAGACCCGTAGTATGCGAGACTGCTCATCGAGGAAGCGGGAGCGGAGGATGAAATTGGACCAGAGGGCTGCGAGCTAACCGATGGCGACCAAACATATGAGCTCGAAGACGGCTCCCACACATAGCTGGACATTGAGGAAGAGCCGTAATACGCAAGGCTGCTGAATGAAGATGCCGGACTGGAGGACGAAACGGAGCCAGCTTGCGAACTCATTGATGGCGACCAAATGTAGGAGGACGAAGAAGGTTGCCAGACAAAACTCGATCCGGAGGAGGACTCATAATAAGCAAGACTGCTGAATGAAGATGCCGGAGCAGAGGACGAAACGGAGCCAGGCTGCGAACTCATCGACGGCTCCCAAATATAGGACGATGATGATGGTTGCCAGACATAGCTGCTGCTCATGGATGAAGAGTCGTAATATGCCAGGCTACTGAAAGAAGACGCTGGGGCCGAGGACGAAACGGGGCCAGGCTGTGAGCTCATCGATGGCTCCCAAACATAGGACGATGACGATGGTTGCCAGACATAGCTCGATTGCGACGAAGATCCGTAATATGCGAGACTGCTAAACGAAGACGCGAGTGCTGAGGAAGTGACAGAGCCGGCGGAAAACGATTCGCTTGAGTGCGGCGCCCATATAAAGGATGATGACGAGACCTCCTGGTAGGAAGAGCTGAACGACATCGAGCTTGACTGTGGGACCACTGGCTGTGAGCTGCTGATGGGCGCAGCGTGAGAGCTTGAGAAGTCATGCGAAGAAGACGCAGCCGCGGAGGATGATTGAGAAGAGGACGCGGCTTGCGATGAGCTTGAGCTGGTTGCGGATGTAGTCGTCGTGGTCGTCCATGGACCGTGTCCTGGCCAGTTTGGAACGTTCGGTGGACTCACAGGAGGGCCATTTCCCGGTGGTCGAGGAGGCCCCGTGGGAGGTCCAGCAGGAGGAGGGGCAGCAGGAGGGGCAGCAGGGGGGGCAGCAGGAGGCCCAGCAGGCGGACCTGGTCGAGTGGGAGGGAAGGTCGGAGGCCATGCGGCAACGGCACCACCAATGAATGGCAGCGCAGCAAAAGCGAAGGAACGCATGCTGGGCACAACGAGAGACTGCCGCAACAGCAAGTACTATCAACGAAAGGACGAAGCAACGAAAGCTGCTTCAATAGGGGATGGAGCAAGAAAGACTTAGGAAAGCGAGCGTTGATGGCGACCTCGAGAAGACTTCTAGGACAAGGACAGAAAACGGTGATGCGAGACGATCTGGGTATATGGAAGGCACTTGATCAGGAGAGTTCCACTGCCGTAACCTACGCTTGGCTCAAGCCTCAGTGGTCAGGTCCGCGATGGAAGGACCGGATAACGGCAACGGTCGAGAGAGGTCATCCGTCGCGGCCATACCGGTATCAACAGCGGTCCAGGTGGTTTGCGGTCTAGCCGGGCGTTCACGATGTACATAGTCGAAAACAGAGTTCAGCCACGTGGATTTCGATCCGAGAAGTAGAGTCCCAGCGTGGTCTTTCCGCGGCGACTTAACCGTATGTTGTTGCTCGAGTCGCAGTACATAAGTTTAGCCGGGTTCGTGGCACCAGAGCTGGCTGTGCCCGGCGTGTGAACCATGGCTCTGATCGGCGTTCCTGGCTTCGGCCAACGTCGAGAGCACGACACGACTCAGAGACTGTCAAGACTCGCTGTTTGAGGCGATAAGAAAGCTCCATTGGGAGGCGACGGGATCCAGAATGGGTTCATAGGGGCTGAAGTGGTCCCGTCTTCAGATGCCCCTCTTGTGGAGATTGACTTAACGGTTGCTGGCGACTCGTCCGAGCGACATGCGAGCAGTGGTGGAGATATAGGCGGCGAAGGACGTGTAGTTACGGGCAATGCTTGCCCGCTCTTCGGTTGGGAGGCGCATGGAAGTGAGGTCGTGAAAGAGATGATGCGCTGCAAGGTATCCAGGCTGTCGATCGTGCATTCTGCGGGGGCGTTCGAGATCTGAGTCAGTGCCGTGGAATAGTTCAGGGGTGAAGTTGAGATAGCGTGGTATTATTGGCTTCCAAATGCCACGTGCGGATCTCAAAACTCTCTTTCAAGCCTCGATCCGGACGATCACATGTTCGTCTTTCAGCGGAATAGAAGGGGCCCTGACAATAAGTGCTGCTTACCCACTAGACAGCCTAAACACAAAATCAGATGCTGTCAAGTACGCACGGCGGAGGACCTGACAGTCGTATGCAACAACAGATACATGAATGCCTCATCAGTCTGCCTCGGCCACCTCTGTGCTTTCATGGCTACGAGCTATCTAAACCCCATCTGCATATCCACCTACAACTCCAACGGCTGCCCAAGCTGCTTACAAGGCCCATACGCCTGACAATCCCTCGCCGCCTCATACGTCTGATTAGCAGGCGGCTGAGGCCACTCCTCCAACATCGCCGCCTCGCCCGTCAACGTAAAGACAATCGTGTCCTGCGTCGGCACATCGAGCAGCATCTCGTACTTGCCTGGATATAACCAGGAATTACCTTGCGCGTCGCGGCGGGCGAGCTCGCCGAGATTGACTGGTAGGGTGGCAGTCGAGGTGGTGCCACCGGCGATGGAGAAGAGGCGTTCGTAGCTCGCGAGTGACTTGAGGGGGTAGGGCTTTGGACCTGCTGTTAACGACCGAACGAATGCAAGTGCGACGAAGTCGGAGGTCGTGCTGCCAGTGTTCTCGACGGAGATGGAGAGACTGCCGAGTTCGCATTTGTCTGGATGTTCTGCCGTGCAGGTCTCCAGTAAGTGCTGGATGCTGCGGTGGCAATTATTTTCGACGGAGCCGTGGCCGAACTTTGCTGTGAAGGTGGTGTAGTGCATACCGTAGCCGTACGGGATGATAGCGTCGGGGTACCACATGTAAGTCCGACCGGGGTTCTGATCGCCAGGCTGGAGGTTCATGTTGAGCAGAGACACTTCGTCAACGTACTTCGACGGGTACTGCGTGACTGGCAAACGACCCGCTGGCGCCACAGCTCCAGTCATGATGTCGAAGACTGCTGGCCCGCCGTCTTGCGAAGGGTAGCCGGCCCACAGGATGGCATTGATGTTATCGTTGTTGAGCAATGGCGTGTCGTCGAGCTGGTCTCCCAGCTGCGCAACAATACATGGCTTCCCCAAGCCGCAAATAGAGTCGATGAGGGAGAGCTGAGACTGCGGCCAAGCGATCTGGTACCTGTCCAGTGCCTCTGCCTCAACAGACCAGTCAATGCCACCGAAGTACAGCACAACATCAGCCTTCTTCGCTGCCGCAATGGCGTCCGCCGTCCAGTTGCCGTGCGTCGCGGTTTCGTTGATCGGTCCAGTCGCATAGATGTAGTTAATTCCGAGTTGATCCGCAGCATACAGAGGACTGTGGAAGTAAGGCGGCGGTCCAGAGTACCCGCCCTGCATCTGAGACGTCGCATTGGCCCACATGCCGATCATCGCGACAGTCATACTCTTCTCGAAGGTCATTGGCAGGATCCCGTCGTTCTTCTTCAGCACAATTCCTTCAGTCGCCGCTTTTCGGGCAAGAGTTTGAGCCTCCTTGGTGTTGACCTGATCCCAGCCAATGCTCCTGTACGGGCTTGCACTCGCCGGGTCGAAGTAGCCAGCAATGATCAGGGCCTCGTACTGCCTCTTTAAAGCACGATCGATGACGGCCTCGGACAGCAAGCCCTTGTCGTACGCACCCTCGACTGCAGTCCTGTTGAACACTTCACAGACCTGGTCCGTCCCGGCGTTGTATGAAGCAGCAGCAGCTTCTTCAGGTGTGCTGACGTACTCATGGTTCGTCCATATGTCGAGAATGGCGTTGCAATCACTCGTGACGTATGGATGGTCTGGCTTGTCCCAGCCCCAGTGTTTCCTAAGGATATCGTCCATGATGTAGCTGTCTGCACAAGCTGGTACGCCATTGATAGCATTGTAGCTGCACATGATGCTGCCCACCTTCGAGTCTCGCGCACATTGCTGGAACGGGGGCATGTAATAACCTGCGAGATCTTCGCTGGTGATCAGGGCGTCGAAGCCGTACCGGATGACACCGTCCTGCTTGCGGCATCAGCACGGCGTCTTCGATCGGCAGACCATGCAATTCGGTCGGTACTTACCCAAATCTCCATGTCATAGCCAGCAAAGTGCTTACACGTAGCAATCAATTTCTTGTGCTTCGGGTTATGACCGCCCTCCAGCCCAAGGATCAAATGCTTCACATATTCCATAATGCGGAAAGGGTCCTCGCCCGGTGTCTCCGAGCCACGTCCCCATCGCGGGTCCTACATCCATTAGCACCTACCCTTGATTCTGCTTTGCCTGCCGGAGACATACCTTATAAGGGTTAATATTCGGCGTAAAGAAATCCAACCCCGCCCTCCCAGCATTCGAAAACGCCCTCGCCTCCGTACTGATAGTCGTAGCAATATCCAACACCAGCTGATCATCAAAAGCAGAGGAGAAAGTAATCGGCATCGGGAACGAGGTAGCGTAGCTGTACTCCCCACTGTCCGAGAAGTTGACGCCAGGGCTGCCGGCTACGCCGTGTAGAGCCTCGCTCCACCACTCGTACTTGCCCAGACCTAGGGAACGGGAGCCATTGCTTCGGTCGACGAGGTTCTGGAATTTGTCGTTTAGTGGCATAGCGGCCACGAGAGCAGCGGCGCGGTCTGCGGGGGAGGCGGAGGTGTCGCAGACGGTGTTGTCGGCGAGAGGGCCATTGTCACAGTCTGGATACTCGAAGTGCCAGGTGAAGCCGAACTGGGCGGTGGCTTGGTGCGCAGAAGTCAGAAGCAGCGCTGCTGCTGGGATGGATAGGTAGTGCATCTTGCGCAGTACACTGCCGGCGAGGGTAGGCGAGAGGCAGACTGTGGTCAGATAGGCTAGAAGGGAAGTAGGACAAGTCTTATACTTACCTTCTCACCGTTCATCAATCACACCTACCTTGTCGGTCGATCATCAACAGGCACAACAGAGCAAATCCATAGCCGGGCGAGGCGAATAGGCTGTTCAAACCAAGAAGTTCCAGCAATCACCACAGAGCAGCGTCTCCGCACTCTGCGGGGTTGCATGTTGTGTCTCCATCATTGTCAACCAGCTTAGGGTGGAGCGGTGTTGTGTCGCTTCGGAGCTTCCTGTTCCTGACGAGCGTGCCGTGAGACGAGAAGGGGGAGGTGAAGTTGTCCGGCAAATCAATTTTAGCCGGATGATCATCCGGCCCGTAGGAATGCTTCCCACTTCTTGGGTTGGAGAAGAGGGTGACATTGTTGTGCAGTACATGTAGTATCCAAGCCATGCCGCGGTTGAAGAGGCGCTCGCATTGGTGCTTGGGTTGCTTGTATTCGGCGTAGGAGCATCGAAGACTGAAACAACCATCCACAGCAGGATCGGCCTGGGCCACTCAAAGCTATGCCATCGTCATCACTCACGACATTGTTTGGTACAGACGTTGCAAGCAGAAGCTTGACCGCACCGCATCCCTTCGTCGGGCGTTTCTGGGCACCTCACATTCATCGACTGGATAGATGAAGCGTCATCTTGTTCGCGATGGCCGCGACATGGCCACGGGCGGATGGTCACGAGGAGAGAGCACCGTGAAGCGAAGGATGGTATGCAAAGCAAAGGTATGGCACTCACTTCTCATCAGCACCTTTTCATCATTTTGGGCCTCTATCTATATCACACCACCCTCGTCGTAGCTTCCAGTATGGCGGGCCATGCTTTCATGTCATTCTCATCCATCATATCTCATCAGCAGCAGCAAGAGGGAGCCAGAGGCCCAATCTCGGAAGTCGGGGTCAAGTTCAACGCTTAAGCCTCAATCTTCTTGAGGACCTCGGGCCACTCCTTCCAGTCGTACATCACCACCTTGGCGTTGCACGTGTCGGTGAGGGTCTTGGCCATCTGGTCCATCTTCTCCTTGCCCTCCTCGATGTTGTAGATGCCGACGTAGGCGACGAGCGGGATGTTGGCACGCATGGCGGCGGTGGAGCCGGACTTGCTGTCCTCGACGGTGACGCACTCCTCCGGCTTGACACCGAGCTCCTTGCAGGCGTGGAGGTAGATGGCGGGGTCGGGCTTGGAGGATGGTGGGTTGAGGGAGGAGGCGGCGGAGTAGACGTGCTCGGGCTTGAAGAAGCCTGGAGAGGCGGTCAGTCGGGACTTCAAAAAGAGCTTGGACTGGGATACGTACGCATGAGGTTGCACTTCTCGAGCGAGGCGACGACACGCGGCTTAGCAGAGGTCGAGACGACGGACATCGGGTAGCCCTGGGCCTGGATCCACTCGAGCTGCTCGGTCACACCTGGGCACTCGGTGCACTTCTGGGAGAGCTTCTTGGTGACCTCGCCAAGCTCACGCTCGACAAAGTCGTCCTGCTCCTCCTTGGACATCTCGAAGTTGTGCTTCTTCTGCAGCCCGACGAGCATGTTGCGGAAGTTGTGGCCGACGAAGTCCTCGAGGAGGGAGTCGGTGTCGTAGGTAGCGTCGATGTTGTGCTTCTTCATGACCTCGTTGGTGAGATCGGCACATGCTTCGAAGGCGAGGCGCTCCGACTGGCAGAGCGTGTTGTCGCAGTCGAGGAGGACGTACTTGACCTGTGGGAAGGGTGAGCATGAGTGCTTCGAGCTCCAATGGCTTCTATCGAGAATGGTAAAGTGACGGTGAGGGAGACGAACCTTGCCCATATTGGCGGTTGTGGTTTTGGTTGTTGTATCGGTTTAGGTGAATTATATTGGGGTCTATGAGAGCAATTGGAGTCTTTGCAAGTCTTTAGATGTTGTGTCGAAGGAGTAGAAGAAGAAAGGTTGAGGAGCAATCGAAAATTGGAAGTTACCTTATACTGCAGGGACAACGCAAACACCTGATTTTGGCGGGGCAGTTGCAGCGGACAATCGGTCCGTGCCTTGATCGCCCACGTGCAAGACTAATAAGTGAAGGATGGAAGTGAACTAGAAGCACGAGCATGTGAAGGGCATGTTCTTGATGGATGGTACTCGCAAAGCTATACCGTGAAGATGTTCCTACGCTCAACGTCCTCGGGACTTTCAGTTCGTCTCGCTGCGTGAGAAGCCAGCCAGCTCTCTACGGGCTCATCGACGCGATATTGCAAGCCGATAGAAGTCGCCATATCATAGGTATCGTAAGTCGTCTAAGAAGAACGTCGCCTCATCGATGGTTCCCACTCAGTCCTCCTCGTCCCACTAAATTTGCTTCGGACTGCTCGACAGCTTCGTCGCCTCAAACGCATGCCACTTCTTCAAGATCCGCTCTATCTTATCCAACCCAGCCTTCAACGTCTCCATCTTCGGGCCATATGAGACCCTTACATAATGGTGGCAAGGCGAGTCGAACAGATCCCTCCTCCGACTCGGGTTGAGATCGAAGAAGATCCCTGGGACAACAATGACCTTCTGCAGCAGGCACGCCTGAAAGAAGTTCAGGCCGTCGTTGATCCCTTCCGGCAACTGCTCGAGGTTGAGCCAGAGGTAGAACGTGCTGTTGGGTGTGTAGTCGAGCTTGAAACCCATGGCTTCCAGTCGACCGACGACGTAGTCGCGCTTCATGCGGAAGTGTGTCTGCAGGGCCTTCATCTCCGCGCGGACTTTCGTCGGCTCGAGCATGGAGACTGCGGCTTCTTGGAAGGGCACGTTGGTGCCGCCGTCGAGGTAGGAGCCGCACGAGCCGATAGCTTTGATGAACTCCTTCGGCCCGACGATCCATGCTACGCGCCAGCCGGGGAGGCGGAAGCGCTTCGTTAGGCCGTCGATGATGAGCACGTCGTCTGCGTCGACGTCCTCGATGTTGTCGGCTGCGCTGATGACGGCGCCATCGCAGTTGGTGGTGTAATTATAGCCGCAGTAGAACTCGTCCATGATTAGGGTGGCTCGGTCGCGGCAGAGATCCTGGATGTGCGCAAGTTCCGGGTTGGCGACCATGTTTCCGGCAGGGTTGCGAGGGTTTGAGGTGATGATGACGGATGTGCCGCGCTTGATCTCGTCTTCGATCTTCTCGGCGTGCATCTTGTAGTGGTCCTTCTTGTCCAACGGGATAGGGACGGCTGCGAAGTTCCTAAACAGGCTCAACATCTCGTTGTAGGCCGTGTAGTCTGGGACGAAGAAGCCAAGGTAGGCATTGCCGAGGACGGCAGCGATGCGGATGAGCCCAGCCCTGCCGCCGGGAACGATACAAACGTTCTCCCAAGTGTACTTCGACGGTTTGTCCTTGCGGTGGTGGGCGTTGTACAGCTCGGCGACGGCTTTGCGGAGTGGTTTGATGCCTGCTGTAGGGCCATACTCGCGGCTGTTCACAGAGATGTTGAGGCTGTGTGGTCGCTCGAAGCATCCCTCGATATCTGCATTCTCATGTTAGACGACGGCCTTGGATATCAATGAATCAAAACTCACCATCATCAACCTGAGGCGCTCCCTGGCCGAGATTTGCCCATTTGCTTGGGTCTTCGAGCAAGCCATACTCGGCGGCTCGTTCGGTGCACCAGACCACGCCGGTCGATGCTCTGGATGGGTCGAGACCTTTGGACAACACATCAAAGAGTCAGTAGATGGCTCAAATGCTCTCATTCAACTCCGCCAATACCAACAGCCCAGGGGAAGATTTCGAGCCGTTCGATGAATTCGCAGATGCAGTCAATGCCAACGGATCTACATCCGGCATCTGCTACATGAATTGCTTGGAGTGACGAAGCGTACCTGCATGTGGCTTGTGGCCCTCGTGCGCCTCACGAAACTGTCGATGGATGGCGGAGTTGAGTTCTGTCCAGACGTCAGTCGCTCGTCATGCAATCTTCAAGAGAATTGTCCAGACCATTGACTGTGGGAGCTCTGACTGTGGAGAAACGGCGATCTGGCGGGACGTCCACGCTTCCCCTAGAAGCTCGATTTGTGGAGGACGTCATCTCGTCGTTAGGTTGGCCGGAACACAATAGAGATGTGGCAGAGTGTCTTGGCTAGGCTTGGAAGGTCTTGAGAAGGAGTACGAAGGGAATATGAGAGGCGAGATACCTAGGCGGTGTGGGATACGAAGTGAGGTCTGCATGAACGATGAGCAAGCCTCGAAAAGCAAAGATGCAACTTCCCGCGGTGATCGACGCTACCTGGTCGACTGCCTTGCGTGGTGAGACCTCTAGAGCATGCCACGTTACGCTCTTGCTGCTGTTGGCGAGAGCATGCCTTCATAAGGATGGCGCCAATCCTCGACATGCGCTGTCAGAGCGCGAGCGTGTCGGTGGCTTTCGAGCTGGCTAGGATCTGAAACCTGCTGCTGCTGCTGCTGCTGTTGCTTCTCCTCGTGGGTCCGTAAAGCAGCTGGCTTCAAGCATTGCTGCGGAGGTGGAACAGCAGTCGAGGACACGGAGAACGAAGGCCTATGTCTTTGGTGTGAATTTGTAGAACCCAAGAGACGCAAGAAACATAAACAAGGCAGTTCTCCAGTACAGCAACTCGCGTGTAGAACTACCCCTGCGCGTCGTCGATCATTGATCTGCCCACGGCGCGCGGGAAACCGGTAAAGCACCCAATACCTGGGGCTAGCACGAGGTGGCTTGCACTTCTCGAAAGCTCAAAGCGCTACCTGTACAAGATCACGGGACTCCAACTTCTCCTCTTCCTCTTACAGTTGGTGACATTCCTTGATTCTTCCAGCTGTTTGAAAGTGTTTGGGTGTCAGGGAGCATTTCAGGAGCAACCGGCATTGCTGCATAGCGAAAGAGCATATTCTCGATCTACGAACGCTTTCTCCCGGTTGCTCGACTACAACAAATAGCGGACGTAGGAGATGGAGTCGTCTTCGCGGTCAGCAGGCGGAGGGGGAGGAATATCATGGAAACAATTCTCAATCGCAGCCGTACGTAGTCGACAGTGGTCGACAATGGTATAACCAGGCAGCAAGTTTCTAATGTCTTTGCAGCTCACACTCCAAAACTCGATCCATATCCTCGTCCTTCGATACTCGAGAATCATGCCCCTGGTTGACGGCCACCGATACTACCCATCCACGGCAGTCTTCCTGAACGAGCTCGTCAAGCTCACCATCTCCCTCACAATGGCACTCTACAACATCGCAACAGATCCGAAGACGCCGGACACATCTACCGCAACCGGGTTGTTTGCAGAGTTGACAAGAGCTGTGTTCACGGGTGACAGCTGGAAGATGGCTATACCGGGCATGCTGTTCACATTGCAGAGCAGTCTGCATTATGTTGCGCTCAGCAACCTGGATGCTGCTACGTTTCAAGTCACAGATCAGCTGAAGATCCTGACCACTGCGGTGTTCAGCGTGATGATTTTGGGAAAATCGCTCAATAGCCGCAAGTGGCTCAGTCTCTTGCTGTTGATGGTGGGCGTTGCGATTGTCCAGATCCCAACAGGTCCTGCGCACTCAGAAGTTCTTTCGATGAAAGATCTGAAAGATGGCACGGCTTTCCACGAAGGGCGAAGAATATGGGACTTGGAAGAAGCTGGCCACGAGGTCGCGCAACTAGCAAAGCGCTCCGCGACGTATGAAGGCATTGAGGAGGACACCGAGCTCACATACCCGCCCATGAACTCGTCCCTCGGGCTGGCGGCAGTGCTGCTGTCCTGCGTCACCTCCGGTCTGGCCAGCGTTTACTTTGAGAAGATCCTGAAAGAGCACAGGGGAGAACGTTCCGCGACAGTCTGGGTCAGGAATGTTCAGCTTTCCTTCTACTCCCTGTGGCCGGCACTCTTCATTGGCGTGATATTTTGGGATGGCGAGCATATCGCGAAGACAGGCTTTTTCGCAGGTTACAACTCGATTGTGTGGACAAACGTGCTCGTGCAAGCCGCTGGCGGCATTCTGGTGTCGTTTGTGATCAACTATGCGAACAACATCACCAAGAACTTTGCGACGAGTATATCTATCCTGATCAGCTTTCTGGCGAGTGTAATCTTCTTCGATATGGAGATCACGATGCTCGTGAGTATCCTTGGATCTACTTCTGCCATCAGTGGGAAGCTAACAAGTCCCAGTACGTCCTCGGAACAGCAGTCGTCATCTCCGCCGTCTACCTCTACAACCAGAGCTCCAGCTCAGACGAGACACATACACGGCCGCCCCAGATCAGAGTACCCGACATGGAGAAGTCCGGAGAGTCAGGCTACTTCGATCTCGAGTCTGTTGTGGCACCAGCAAGATCTCCCCTGCGCACCACGGAAGCTCTCACTTCCAGCCGACCGACTACGCCGAATATTGAGAGGCGTCCTCCGAAGACTCCGGACTTGCGGAGTGCGAAGAGGGAGTGGTAAGATCAGGCGTTCGGGATTGGCGTTTTATGATACCCAGGACAGACATGCGATGAAGGTGGTGGGTGTAGGATTACCTTGAGATTGAATGTACTACTTCACGCTGCTTTTCGAGCAGGAGCTGCAGCTATCAGGGGCCATCTTGTCATGGTCGAGGTCATATACAGGTGGGCAGCTGAGCAGGAGGCATGGTAGGAGTGACACTGTTCTGCTGGAGAGTCCTTCTCTCTGTAAGTACGACTTTCTTCGCTGACTGCGCACTCGCTTGCATCTCAATCAGAGTCGTGGGCTGCAGTTACAGAGCTCCGATCAAGCTCATGTCACTCGCTTCACATGAGGAAGGCACGATGGGTGCAGTTGCCTTGAAGCTTATTTCGACCTCACCACTACTCGCATCTTTGCAAAGCCTTCATTCAGCGTTTGTATCAATGCGACTTGGGTGGAGGTCAATATTGTGTGGTCGAGCTCTCCGGCGGGTGTACAGCAGCTATGGACGAGAGCATATTCAACAACCTCGACCGGCTTGAACGAGCCGACCGCGCTGCGACGCGTCCAACTCGCGACGTGTATAACAACTCCAGCACTGAATACTCCGCATACGATGGGCCGAGCATGGCATACGATGGCCCGGCTTCTCATCGGACCAACCGCCCACTTGAAGGGTATGATCTCGACGAAGCGCCGATGACTTTGGACTCTTTCGGTGAGTGATTGCACGAATGGTGAATGGGCCATGGTGGCACTGACAGCAAGCAGACGAGCAGCTACTGCGGCAGCCAGACTACAATAGCCGACAAGGTCAAGCGGCCTTGGGCCGTGCCAGGCTTTCACTACCGCCGGCCGCACATGCTCGGACGCAAGACTATGCACCTGTACGACGCGGACTCGACTTGTCACGGTTCGCACTCGACCAGAGTCAGCATGGGCCTTCCACGTCCTCGCCCATGGAACCGGTGTTGCCATCGAGCCCGAGTTTTAGAGCCAGCCAGCGGCAGCCAGCTCCAGTGGAGCATGGAAGGTTGAATCGCTCCCATCAGCGGAGAAAGCTTCTAGAGGCCGAGTACGATGAGGTTGGCTACGAGCCTTTCACAGCAGAGCAGCTGGACGCCGAGGAGAGCTACATGATGCCGCCGGCCCCTGAGATCGGCTTTCGACCCAACTATGCCGAACCACAGCAGAACAGACCACCGAGACAGAGCTCCAGGCAAGGCCCGGTTGTCCAAGGCATTAACTTGGTGTCCACACATGCACTTCCAGATCGCTTGCGCGCTATCTTTCCGTACCCGCTGTTCAACGCTGTTCAGTCCAAGACATTTGACACAATCTTCAATACCAACGCCAACTTCGTGCTCTCAGCTCCCACGGGAAGTGGCAAGACAGCCGTGCTTGAGCTCGCCGTCTGTCGCCTGATCAGCACCTATGCCACTGACTCATTCAAGATTGTCTACCAGGCGCCCACGAAATCCCTCTGCGCTGAGAGGCAGCGGGACTGGCAAGCGAAGTTCGGCACTCTGGGTTTGGAGTGCGCCGAGTTGACTGGCGATACCGATACTTCACATCTCCGTAACGTCCAGCAAGCCAGTATCATCATCACCACTCCAGAGAAATGGGACAGCATGACCCGAAAATGGAAGGATCACCAGCGTCTCATGCAGATGGTGAAGCTGTTCCTCATTGACGAGGTCCACATTCTCAAGGAAGACAGAGGCGCGACGCTCGAAGCGGTCGTCTCTCGCATGAAGTCGGTTGGCTCTGATGTTCGCTTCGTTGCACTGAGCGCCACTGTACCGAACTCAGACGACATTGCTGCTTGGTTGGGCGGGGATCCGATGAATCCTCACACGCCAGCAATGCGAGAGCGATTTGGAGAAGACTTCCGTCCAGTTCGATTGAAGAAGCATGTCTGCGGCTACCCGTCAACTTCAAATGACTTTGCCTTTGAGAAGAGCCTCAGTGCTAAGCTGCCTGAGGTCATCAGCAAGTGGTCACAACGGAAGCCGATCATGGTATTCTGCTTCACCAGAGCGGCATGCGGCGAGACTGCGAAGATGCTTGCGAGCTGGTGGTCAACGAACTCGCCAAAGGACAGGTATTGGTCATCGCCTCGCAAGCGGATCGTAGTCGGAGACAAGGATCTCCAAGGTGAGTCCAAAACTCAGTGCTGGTGACTAGTCTCGGGAAGCTGCTGACTTCTCCAGACACCATTTCGTCCGGCGTAGCCTTCCACCATGCTGGCCTTTCGATGGACGATCGCAATGCAGTGGAGAGGGGCTACCTCGAGGGGGAGGTGAATGTCATATGCTGTACCTCTACGCTGGCAGTGGGCGTCAACTTACCTTGCCACATGGTCATCATCAAGAACACGGTGACCTACCAGGGCCCAGCAGCAGGCGGCTGTAAGGAGTACTCAGACCTCGAAATCATGCAGATGCTTGGACGTGCTGGCCGGCCACAGTTCGACGACAGTGCTGTTGCGGTGATCATGACGAGGCAGCAGAGGGCGTCGCACTATGAGAAAATGATATCTGGGGAAGAGATTCTTGAGAGCTGGTGAGTTGAAGCCCTGCTGTCGGATCGCAACAGGTACTGACCACGCCAGCCTCCACCGCAACCTGATTGATCACCTCAATGCCGAGATTGGGCTTGGTACGATCAGCAGTGCTTCTTCCGCGCGGAAATGGCTGTCCAGCACGTTCCTCTATATCCGCCTCAAAGACAATCCAGAGCACTACAAGATCGATGGCGACGGGTCAAACCGCAACCTGGAGGACCGATTGGAGAAGATCTGCAGCAATGGCATCGCGGCGCTTGAAGAATACGACCTAGTGCGCGTTGCACCCAGACTCAGGTGTACGGAATTTGGTGATGCAATGGCCAGGTACTACCTTCAATTCGATACGATGAAAGTGATCATGGCCCTGCCTGCCAAGGCAAATATCTCTGAGATCCTGTCTGCCGTCGCACAGGCTGCGGAGTTCAAAGAAGTGCGGTTCCGGTCTGGAGAGAAGCCAATCTACAAGGACCTCAACAAGAACACCTCGATCAAGTTCCCGATCCCCATGACTCTGGACCTTCCGGCACACAAGATATCACTGATCATACAGTCGGTGCTAGGAGCCATCGAGTTGCCGACCGAGGACTACAAACACACACTAGAGTACAATACAGCAAAAGCCAGCATCTTCCAACATGCCACACGCATCATTCGATGCATTGTCGACTGCCAGCTCTATCTGGAAGATGTAGTCACAACCCGCAACGGTCTTATGCTCGCTCGTAGCATTGGAGCTCAGGTGTGGGACGATTCACCCTTGCACATGAAGCAGCTCGAAGGCATTGGTCTCGTCTCGGTTCGGAAGCTAGCAAACGCGGGTATCATGTCTGTCGAAGAGTTGGAGAATACTGAAGCTCACCACATCGAACGAGCGCTCTCGCGCAACCCTCCGTACGGTCAGACGGTACAGGCGAAGGCGAAGGCATTCCCGAAGCTTCGGATATCGATCAAAATGGTCGGAGAGCCTCACGTCAAGAAGGGCGAGCATGTGGCCATTAAGATCAAGACCGAGATCGGCTTCCTGAACGAGACAGTACCTGACTTTTTCCAGCGCAAGCCAGTTTATATCTGTCTGCTTGCGGAGACATCCGATGGCCACAAGGTCCATTTCGCTCGCATCAGTGCGAAGAAGCTGAGCAAAGGGCAGGACGTACTCTTCGAAGCACACTTGACGGATCCAAAGCAGTCCATTCGTGCGTATGTCATGTGCGATGAGATAGCTGGGACAATGCGGCATGCAGTGTTGACGCCAAACATACTTGCATTATCCTTCCCTGCTCGCAAGATGGACAAGGATGCTGAACAGCGCAAGGCTGCTGATGCGATCGCACCGAACACAGCTAAGCGAAGATTACCCGCCGAAACGAAAAGAGGTGTCCAGGACGACGATGATGAGGACGAGTTTGCGGACCCGGACCTCAATGACACTGACTTCGCTGTGGCGGAGGCAGGCAGTTTCATGGACATCGACGCTTTCGATGATGCGCCATCGAAAGGACCCAAGCCGAAGAAGCGTAAGACCACCGACACGCCAGCGACAGATGAGAATTTCGAGCCGCAGAGACTACCGAACGGGAAGTGGGCGTGCAAGCATGCGTGCAAAAACAAGAACACGTGCAAGCACATGTGCTGCCGCGATGGACTTGACAGCAAGCCAAAGCCGCCAAAACCAAAAGGGGAGAAGAAGGACGCTTCGGATGCGCCCGACCCAAAGCAGACACAATTGAAGATGTCAGTGGCAAAGAAGGCAGGCCCATCGACACAGCCCGGTCAGTCAAACAGCAAAGTTCCGGCAACGCAGAGCCAGGCCAGTGTCAGGCCGAAGGCGAAGGCGAACGACTCGATGGAAGCCCGCGACCTGGATCGCTTACACAACAGCATCAAGAGCAAGACCCCAGCTGTGCCGACTCTTGCTTCGCGTCAATCCGGGGCCTCCGCCAGCGCGCCTCAACAGAAGGCAGGCAAGGCTCGCTTGAGCTTCGTCGAAGCCGCACGACACGCTGAGGACGACGATATGAGCGACTATGGGAATGAGAGCTGGACATCCAACGACCTGCCGGACGTCAGTAGTCTTGCTCCGACACAACTGGGCGCTCGCAATGGCGTATCAGATGGCAACGATCTAAAGATGAGCGGGGCAGGAGATCGGTCTACCATGGGCGAGGGCGATGTTTCCGAGCCTCTCGCTGGCGGTGACGACGTCGATGCTGCAGCAGACTTCGATTTCGACTTCCTTACCAACGACTACAGCTTCGAAGACAGCGACGGCTGGAGAGACGAGCCATCTCCGGATGACCAGTCTACCAGGGACAATCAGGACGCTACTTCGAAGCCGACGGTTTTGCCACGGACGTCCAATGCCATCTTTGTTGGAGATAGCTCGGACTCAGTTGCCAACGCCTTGCCTACCGTCAAGAGTGGAGACGCCAAACAGCGTACCACGGATGCTGCGCAAGATAAGTCGAGCGACAGCGTCACCTTTGGCCGCCACAAAACGAGTCAGAACGAGGTCATGTATCAAGGGTATCCGGGTCAGGTAGCTGGAGCAGACCGCGGCGTTGCACATCAAACCGAACCGCCAGCAGCAGATAAAGAGGCAGACGATGCACTTGCATGGTTCAAGGAGAAAATTGGTGGAGAAGACATTTTCAACTTCGTCGACTGAGGAGAAGGCCGAGGAGGAGGATTTGCTGATACCTGTGTCCGAACTTGATCATTTGCTATCAGTTGGCTTGCCCGTTAGCATGTACAACGAATATTGGTGATGGAAAGAAATCATTATGGCTTTTGTACGATTTGCAGCATCTAGCAATAGCAAGATAACTTGGCTCCATTCTGATTTCAATCTCGCTTGATCAAAGAAATGCAAACTCGTCCTCAGTGATGCCCATCTTGCAGTCTGAAAGCATGAGCACCTTTTTGAACGCCCGCCACGATTCCCTCATGCCGTCACGCTAGAGAAAGCAAACAGATCAACGCAAGTCCCGGTTCCAACCAACGCCTCGCTAAAGTCTTGATGGTAGTCATATCCTCTTCGCCCTCCCTTCATTCATCAGTCTATCTCGTTCCCACCGCCGCAACTTCCCCCCTGCCCTACTTCTTGGAGTAATCCTTCAGAATGCCCAACATATGCGCATTCGTCGTCTTGCCCCCCTTCCGATTCACCCTCCTCTTCTCCTTGCGCTTCGGCTCCGTCTTCCGCACCTCCTTCACCTGACTCGTCGGCGTCAACCCGGCCTTCTCCAGCTCGTTCCTAATCTCCGCCTCGCCGGCCGGTAGCTTCGTCTTACTCCATACGTCGACGAAATCCGCGTCGATCTTCTGCGGCAGGCCCGTGTGCGAGTTGAGGATGTGGTAGGATGGCGAGTCCGGGTAGATGGTGCGGGGTGAATTGTCCTTCTTCCAGCGCGTGATGAGCACGAAGCCTTCGCGCTCCAGCTGGTCGAGGGAAGCGGTGCAGTCGGGCCAGCCGTCTTTGAGATCCTTGACTGCGATGCCGGAGGCGGAGCGCGTGGCCATGATGCCGAGGTAGTCTTTCAGCTCTTCGGCGTTGGTGACGGGGATTTGCGGGCGGTATTTGAAGCTCTCCTTGCCGTTGGGTGATTCGGCGCGGGGGACGTAGGTGGCCTGGTCGCTGTCGCGGAGGGCGCGGCGGATGAGGGGGATGTGCTTTTGGGCGTCGGTGGGGAGGGAGAGGTAGCTGATGAGGTTGTCGAAGGCGATGGGGGCGGGTGATTTCTCTTTGAGGTATTGGACGGCGGTGTAGACTTGCGTCATGAGCTCGGCTCCGCTGTGGCGCGTAGCCAGGGCGGCGGCGGCTGCTGGCGTGCCTGCTTTGGTGTCGCTGAAGGCGGCGTCGTGGGTGCGCTTTGCTATGCCGTCGCTGGGTTTGGGGGTTGTGGTGCGCGCGGGGGCGTTTGTTGGGCGGGCATGTTGGACGTTGCGGGCGGTGGCGTCGGAGAACTCAGTTCTGAACTTCGCGAGGGAGGCGTTGAGAGCCATGGTGTGTTGTGATTCGAGGTTTGGCCGTAAAGCGTGTGTATGAAGGCCCAGAGGATTCAGTCAAGAGGTCCAGGCCAAGAGAAGGTGGGCGTCGCTTTGTGGATGGTGGGGCATTCACAGTCGTACAAGTGAATGTGTGAAGATACGCTGTGTTCCCACGGCGGTGAATGTGGATGTGAAGAGGAAGTGTTGGTGAGCAAACAGCAGCAGCAGTCATCTTTGGGATCGTCGCCAAGATATATGGCGCGTGCGCTAAGTTACCGCTTTTGGTCACGCACGAACTTCAGGTGAATCGAGAGGTCCTCCACTTCCGTTACCAACTTGCAGATATCGAGCACCTGCTACTACAACCAACGACTCCATACAAACGCTATGGCAGATCAAGTGTTGTCGTCTTCACCAAGTCAGTACTCATCCATAACCAGCTTCGGATCTGCCTTGCTACTTCAGGCGGCGATTCACGACTCTCTTCTGACGGACGCTAGGAGGTACCACGATATCCTTCGCTATACTGACATCTTTGCCACTATCATAGCTCCTTTCCTCCAAACCAGACTTGCCACACTCCTCATCGCAGGCATCGTCGTCTTCATCACTTGGAACTACTACGACGAGAAAGAACATGAGCATGAGTTACTCCGCGAAGAAAGGGGTATACCAAAACCCTGATGCTCTCTACATCTATTCCTTAATACATAAGCGAATGTGAACACGCGGGCAAGCGAACCCTCAGCCCATACCTGATACAACTTATTCTCATCACTCTCTTTCAGCTACCCTTCTTAACCGGTTTGACGATTCGATCTGTTCAAGGTATCTAGTACTCTGTGAGAGGAGTAACTTCGTCCATTCACACCTATCGTACAAAGCGGAGGTGAGCCACACGCTCCAATATATACAAGTAAGGGGTCGATGCAAAGGTATCCAGACCCGGTTCTATCTCTATCTCTATGCTTTTCTTTATCCTTCTATCCCCAATGCACGCTCAAAGTATGGTTACAGCGCTTCGACCAACACCGGCAAATGCTCGATCCCGGATCCCGTCTAGACGTACTTGCACATCATGGCAACCTGTGACTTCGGTCAGCAATCGCTTTCGGGAGAAGATATCTTTTTTTGGAAGCTCACCATCAGATCGAACAAACCAATGGCCTCCACGAAAGCGAAGCCCAGAATGGCGTAGGAGAACAGCTGGCCACGCATCGACGGGTTCCTCGCAACGCCGGAGAGCAGCGCGGCGAACACCAGTCCGATACCGATACCAGCGCCGCCAAGACCGATGGCTGCTTGGCCCATACCCAGGTTCTGCGAGACCTGGACGAGAGCGTTGGCCATTTCAGAGGAGTAGGCGCGGCTGGCCTGGAAGGCGAGTGGGGAGCCCTTGGTGCGGGCGGCGTTGAGGAGGGTAGAGGTGCGCTTCATTGTGGTGAAAGCGGTGTTCTGGCGGGTGGCGGCTGGAGGAAGTCAGCTTGCTAATCCACACATACGAAGTATCTTTGAAGCTTTACCAGAGTATGCACGGCTGAGCTTCTGCACCTGCTGCGTCTTGAGCATCGGACGTGCAGCCTTGATGGAGCTCGAAGCGGCCATCGATGCCATCTTTGGCGCAGCAACACGGAGAGAGGATGCCATTGTAAGGACTGTGTTTTGGTGGTTGGAGGTATGGGAGGTGTTCGATGGTATGCACAAGGAGTGGAGATGTGGGCTGTCGTGAAGATGCAGAGAGAATGCAGAAAGAAGTCGCAGAAGCAAGAGAAGAAAAATTTCTTGTCAATGGATGTCGGGTGCCAGCATAGGGGAGGAACGCTTGGTCCACCCGGCCAGAAGATAGGAAAGAGTTGTTTGGTACTTATCACTAGCCTCATCCGTCCCGAATGTTCCGATGGTATGGGTCCTCGTGATGGCACGGGTTCAGTCATCTTCATTCCTTGGGCCATATCACATGCATCTGACAGGCAGGTCCATCACGAGGTCCTCGTTGTTGGCCTTCGCAGGACGAGCTCACGGCGCAGGTTACATGCGCTTCCATCAACGCGAGATGCAGCGTGTCTTTCGCCACTCTTATCGACAACTGGTCATGTCCCACAAGTTCTTGATTCGACGCCGTATCAAGTGGTTGCTGGAATGATGGGTGTGCTCCTGGCGGCCTGTGCTGCTATCCATAAAAATTTTGGGCCAGCGCTCGAGCGCTGCTGCAGTCCAGTCCGTTCCGATTTCACCCGAAAGGTTGATGATGGCTGCATCGCAGGCGACATGTGATTCTCCTTTGTTAGCTGCAAACATGCAGGCCATCTGAGTCAGACTGTATTGATGGCTGCCTTTTGCATACTCGCGATGGCATTGCGACGTTATCCAGCCCAAAAGAAGTCAACACACGAATTTATCGATGAAGTGAAGTCAAAGCCAGCACGGCGATCCCGACCCAAGTCCCGGCACCCAGACCCAGGGCAATTAGCAAAGTGGGCCAGTAGAATCATCGACGTGCCTTCTACTGATGCCCTCCGTGCACTGGCGAGATTTGGCCGATGGAAAATGTCTGTGTCTTTTTGCTGTCCGTTTGAAGTCATGTCCCGATGAAATGGAGCCTTCCCGCTGCCCGCGAGGCTCTTGCCGGCGCCAGTGCGATCTTAGCGTGCTGCTTATTTTGTGCTCAGGAGACCCTGCTGGCAAGAAACCGGTATAGAATCGATGTGCACCCCTGGTTGGGCTTCTAGAGCGTGAGCGTGTGGCGGCGTCTAACAGGCCGTCGCAGAATTAATAGGGGGTCAAGGGGACGCTGGCAATCTGACCGCTGTCTGTTGATGCGGACGGACCGGTGTCTTGTCAAGAATACTGTTGAAGCATTGCTTTCATACATAGACAGGCACCGGCTAGCGGTCTAGCAATGTTCGCGGACAATGGAGCAGCATTGAGATATATAGGTTGAAGTAAGAGAATATAAGAACGTTTGCATTGAAAGCGAACGTGGAAATGGAGTAGCCGAGGATGTCGAAGACTGGTCTTGGCACAAATATACCCATTGCTTGAGACGTGAATGCTGACGCGAGTATGGATGAACATCAGTTGAAGATGTAAGTTTATACAAGAATGCCTCTCCCGAGCCCCAAACAACCAGCTCGCCCGAACGCTCCATCTAGTAGAATTACATGTCTTTTCTCTATGTTTCTCTCCCGTAATCTCTGTCGAATTCCAAATCTCAATTCGTCTGCACCCACTGCGAAACCGTCACCACCGACGAATACACCATCGCCACAACTCCAAGACACAACAGCGCGATATCGAACGCCTTCTCTGATGCCGTCTCCGCCATTCCCTTGAAATGCAGATAAGGTGGGTAGATGTAGACCAGCGGCACGCAAGCGAAAGCTCCGATGAGCGCCACGAACTTGTCCAGGTCACTTGCACCGATGATAGCGATGAGACCGCACAGGACCATCATGGCCGCTCGCAGGGCATTCTTCTTCCATTTGATCGCCGCGCTTTTCCTGCCAGATGCTCGCTCCCCGAAGAGGTGCGTTTCGATGATGCGGACGGCTGGGAAGAGTTGTACTGGCTCGCCCACGAGCACCGCCATGGAGTACAGGAACTGAACGGCGTTCACCAGTTTGCTGTCCTGAGGGAAGTTCGAGATGATCTGGATCTTGGTCTCCTCGCCGAACGTTGCGTAGCACAGGGCTCCGACCGAAGTGAAGATGACCGTGACGATAAGCATGACCAGGTAGAGGAGGTAGCTGAACTTGTGCGGCTCTCGCATGGATGATTGAATGGGCAGAATGAGCCCGATCCCTTCAAAAGTGAAGATCGCAGAGCCAATCGTAAGCGTGAATGAAGATGGGTTGAACAGAGTGACAGTCGGTGCAATGCCTCTTTGTGAGATTGCGGAGATATCGTACCACCAGATGTAGACCAGGCCGATTCCAATGAAGACGTCTGCCAGTAGAGCGGCAGGTCCGAGCTTGGAGATGTTCCGAATGAGGGCCAGAGGTACCAACACCACGAACTGGATGGCAATCAGAGCGTTCACGCCAAAAGGTTGTTTGCTCGGAACAGAGGTGACAGCATTAGCAAAGGCCAGTAGATTTTCGGCGGTGAAGATGAGTCCAGCGCATACGAAGCCGAGCTGCGACATCGTAATGGAACCCAGGATAATTGATCGTAACTTTGGTCCACCAATCTCCAACCCAAGTTCACCGTACCCTCCTCCTCCATACCTCTTCCGGCAATGCAGAAGCAGCCGGAAGCATACAGTGGTGACAATGGAGACAGTAATCAGAGTGATAGAGGAAAACAATATTCCACCATTCCGGAACGCCTTGGGCAGGAACATGATGCCGGTTCCCACGAAAGCCTTGAGGAGGGTGAAGAAGGTCTTGGTGGTGCCGGCGTCTCCCTCGCGCTTCATGCGCTTGGAGCTCTTCCTCCGACCCAGCAGCGGTCTCCTCTCGCTGGGCATTCCATCATCTTGGTCACCATCTTCAATCGCAGATTCATCGTCAGTATCAGTGTCCGCTAGATCCTCACCGGCGAAGCTTCCATACAGCTCCAGGAACGAGATGAAGTTCTTGGTCACAGGCTTGGTGTCGTTGCTCATCATGCTCCGCTCTATGCTTGGGCGCCGCTGCTGGATGTACTGCCGACGGAAACCACCCGGTTGCAACTGTTCCTGGGCAGTCCGGTAGGCCGTAGGTCCCAAGGCCGGACTTTGTTTCGCAGAGAACGTGTTGGCTCGCTTTGGCATAGTGCCACGCGCTTTGATCCGGAAGATATCGCGGTGCACATCGCCACCCTGCAGGAGGAGTGAAGACTGCTCTGTTGGCTCTTCAGACTCCCTTCGTTCCAGTGGAGTGCTTCGTTCCTCCCCTCTCTCGTTGCCATTCCATGCTACCACCTCCGGCGTCGCCGAGTAGCCTTCGGGAAGATGTCTGTCGACGATTTCCGCCTCCCTGCGGCTTTGCTCGCTGTTAGGGGTGTCCGCCATGGCTCCGCCGGCCAGAGACTCCAGCCCGTGGGCAGGTTTTTAGGTGAGTATTCGTGGAGAGATGACCTAGGTCCGTGGAGCGAGTCGTAGATGTCGAGAGCAAAGAAAGCACATTTTTCGTGGCAGACGATGATCGGAGGTAATGTCGCCCCCACGCCTTTCGGGCGGCGTTCGGCAAGGGTGTGGCGGTGGCGGTGCATCAATTCAACTTCAACTTCAATGTTCAAGCCATGGTGCCACAGGATTTCGAGATACCAACGGCTCCATAGGAGCACGGAGAGGACGAAGGGCCATTGAAGTGTGACGTATGCCGTCACCGTTAGCGACGAGGAGAATGCACGGGTTTAGAAAGGCTGCTCTTCTGGCTGGTCGTACTTCGGCTGAGCCCATCGCTGCTTCGAGCTGAACTCAGTTGCTCTTGAACGACATACGCCCACCGCATCGCACAATCCCATGGCCTTTGTAACAACTCTATCATCAAGAACTTCAGAACGACATAGCAGCATGTTGATTGCGGCAGAGAAGGCGAAGCGCTGCAGACTGAATCACTGATACCTGCTATCCAACCCTGCATTTCAAATCGGATCGACAGAACCACTTTCAGTTTCTCCCCTCGCCATTGCCAGCCTCGCGATGAAGCACACCCTTCAGACCATCCTTATCGCCCGCCTTCAACGCTCGGCTGATCACCTATCTCGATGAGCAGGTTCGGATGGGCATCGACGCAGCCCCGCTCGAAGTATGCCTGTGAGAATGAACAATCAGCACGATAATGACGGGAAAGGCCATCTGTTTCTTACAGTAACCGAGCGGATAATCTTCTTTCTGAAGATCTCACTGTGCTGAATCAACAGCCAGGCTGCGCCGCGGACATTTGGAGTGTACAGCATCGGCTTGAACCCTTCGTCGTCCCAGCTGATGACTTCCTTGTCAGGCCAGAAGGGCGCTATCCACCGCCACTCTTCTTCCGGATATCTGTCGCGCAATATGCGAGTCAGTACGCCCAGCGTCTCATGATTGTTGACGGTCCGCCGCAGGACGAATTGGAGGTTGCCGATGTCAGCGACTTCGGCGCTGACAGCTTTCTTCCACGAGAGGTATGCAACATCGGACCAGTGCTTGAGAGGCGTGAGGTGGTTCTTCTCATCGTCCCACATGAACCCATTGAGTCCCTCGTTGCCCGACGAGTCCAGACCATCGTTTGCGAAGGCGAGGATGACGCCCGCTTCCGGCAAGAAGACGTTCTGGTAGAGAGCGTCTGTGGCCTGCAGCAGAACTCGTTAGTACATCCAAGCGAGCACGGTGGTTGCGTTCAACTTACCTTGTAGACATGACCTTCCGGCAGATCCTCACTGGAGATGGTGGTACCATGCCGCCACATCACTTGAGTCCCCTTGGCTCCTCGCAAGATGTGGTCGATGCCATCAATTATGCCGAAATCCTCACCCTGCTTCGCCGATGAAGCTTGCTCGACCCAGCCGTAAGCTTCCAACATCTCCCACTGGTCGAACCGGGACTTCGCATGCTCTCCAGCTGCTGAGGGAGACTTCAAGTACCGCCAAAGCTCGCTCCCCTTGGCGGTGAAATGACCGTACTCGTCATCAAGGGCAGGGCGAGGGTCCATCAATGCTTCTGGCTCGAGTGGAAATATGGAGCAGGTCGTTGTGTGCACGGCAGTACCAATGTTCTATCCAGCGATGCGATTTCGGTATCTTCTTGTAGAAACACAGCAGCCTGGCGATCCAGCGGGCATTTTGTACTCCCAGAGCAGGACTCATGATTCTGATAACAATGAAGTAGACTGACACATCGATGTGTCCATGTTTGCTCAAGCTTGACTATGTCTCGAGCCATGAGCAGTCGTACAAAGGCCTGACGTGAGATACATCTCTGAACTCCAGACCAGATGAGAGACTGCCAGGAAGCACCAGGCGCATCCACAGGAGTCCATAGCAAACACCGCATGGACCGAGTCCAGCCTGCCGGTAGATGGCAAGCCACCCTGCACATCCTACGCAAGCCCCTGCTCCTCCAGCTTTGCGATCTTCTCCCTGAGCTTCTCCTTCTCCTTGTCCGTCAAGATATCCGCATTATCCTCCCCTGCACCACGATATCGTCAGTAACGTCTGAAATCCAACGACCGCCCACACGCCATGCACGTACCAAAAATCCACCACCCCTCCGCATCACCACCCCTGTCCTCGTCCGTAAAGTCCTCCCAACCCATATTCCCGATGTCAAGATTACACCACATGGAATAAACATCAGCCCACGGGACGCGACACTTGTTATAGTCCTTGGTCAATTCATCGGTCTCGTCGTCAAAACGCTGCTCAGCAAAGACAACAGTCCTGTTCTGCACGCCCTCGTCGTCCAGGAGCAAGAACATCGAAGGCGGGTCCTCGTGGTTGACGTCGCGGACCCAGCCTTCGACGTCCGAGATGGAGGCGCCGGTCCATGCGTTGGATAAGTCAGCTTTCACCGGCACATCAGTAGGCTCGGGCATGCGGTTGTGCTGTGGTGGGGGATCTCCTAGAGCGTATGCATTTCTTGCCGTGACGAGGTGCGCCACTTTGTCTATGCCGTTTCTCTGCTGATCGCCGAGATGGAGGAGGAAGCGGTTGATGAGTTTGTGGTCTGCTAATGGTGCAGTCACGAAGAGTAGGACGGAATCGTCCATGATTAGTTTGTTGAAGGAAATGGATGTTGAATTCAGTGTTGAATGAGTGAATGTCAAAACAGGTTTTGTATTGAATGTTGCGTGCCCCGCAGATCCACGTGTTGCCTGCTTGCCGCCTTGCGGCTCATTTACAACTGAAGTCTGCAATTTCAACGGCTTCTCATGTCACGCATAGACGTCACAATTGCTCCAAAGGAGCTGCGTTACGATCGCCGTATCTTGTTCTCTTGTGCTATTGATCTTTGGGTTGGTTGGACCGCGCTTGCGGTTCGTAAGTCGCAAAGCATTCGTCTGTCAAATTCTTAGATTGGCCGTGACTAATAAATCTACCTGTAGCCACCCTCGTTGTCTTGCGCACTTGTGCGTCGCCTTCGCCAGGGAGACGTCGCTCGAAGAGTGAAGGATGAACGGATGTGGGGTGATTTTAAAACTTGACTTATTAGGGTAATATACACTATAATACAGCAGCAGAAGTATACTACCAGTACCGCGAGCCCTTCGAAGTATGTTGAGGTAATGCATGCCTTCCTAAGCAGCGACCCGTTCGGCCTCTGCTTCGTCCAAAATCTCCACCACACCCATGCCAGCATCCGAACTGATCTCTTGCCCGTCTTTACCGATAAGCACGGCCATCGGCCGGTCGTCTTCGTCAACGTTGAAAGTATTCTTCAGATGCCCGACGAATCTGAAATGCACCGGAGTTGTGGCGAGCCATTGTAGTTTAAATGCAGGTGAGGTAGCCCAGTTGAGTTTCGTGCAGAAAGCTGGTTTGGGCAGTGAAGGGTCAGGTGGGGATGCCATGAGTGCCTGTTCAGATGTTAGCAAACGAGATCAATGTCAAGGTAATGGCAAGAGACACTTACGTATCCTTGGAAGGCGACGCTCTTGTTGACGGAAAAGAGAAGAATGACGTGTCGTGACGTTTCATAGGCCTCGGTCAGAAGTTGCTGGTTCTTCTCCTGGGTCGCCCAAAGTCCATCCTGCATTGCATTCTCGACGTTCGAGCCGTTCCAAGATTTGATCATGAAGTATCGTACACCTTCCGTCAGCGAGCTACATCAGCACACAAGTGATTAGAAATGCGATGAACGAAGCCACGAAAGAGAGCGAGTTCTTACCTCCACGCCTCAGATCCAGACCGCCACTTCCACGGTAGATGGTTCGATAGGATCCGGAATCATCATCCCTGCCGCCGCGGTAAGGTCGACGACCACGATTGCTTCCCTTTGGTGAGTGACGACCAGGAGGCGGCATGAACCTGTCACGCTCGGCGGCATCAGTCCTGGGCTCCTGCTTGTAGTAGCTTTGACGCCTCTCCAACGACGCGTCGCGAGAGTCGGCCGGTGGGAAAGCAGAGCGGCCATTGCGGTCCTCGACGGGGTAGCGGCGGACATCTGGGTATGAAGGCCTACGGTCAGGTCGACCTGTCGATGGGGGTGAGTAGTCCTCGAAGCGACCTCGAGCGGGCCGACCGCGGGTGTCTGGAGAGCCATTGATGCCACGAATGCGAAAACCGCCAGGCGACTCGTCTTTTCGCGCTTTAGACGCCTGGACCGGCTCGGGAGAGTGTGCGCGCTTGACGCCGTTCAAAGCGTTGCTCACAGTCCTGGTCTGTTCCTTGGCGGGCGTTGCTTGGATCGTGTCAGGAAGTGCAGGACGCTGGGTATTTGCTGGTGCGTGAGCACGCGCTGTGCGCAGAGATTGTATGGTCGCTTGCTCGGTCTCTTGCAGTTTATCAAGGCGCGCTTGGATCCGTGCGGCTTCCGCTTCCAGTTCTTTACGCTCCTTGAAGGTGCTCAACTTGGAGTTTCTGTATTCGACGTCGTGATAGCCGGTGATTTCAAGCCACATCGCCAGGTCAGCATAGTATGCATCCGTTACCTTGTTTGTGCGCCTGGGCTGCGTGTCTGCAGACGCTTTCGTGCTGTCTGCTGCCGGCGGGTCGACCTTGCTGGAGAGTACAGGACTGTGTCGTAGATCCTGCAGCTTCTGCTCATGGTTGGCAGCTACATTGTCCTGCGCCGCTCCCGCAGTTGTTGGCGGCCGAGCCGTGCTGGAGAGAACAGCGTTCTGTCTTGGATCCTGCGATTGTTGGGCATCGTTGAAAGGCGCGTCAAGCCTGGGTGACTGAGAATTCTGCTGCGCTGGTGCCGCCTGCCGTTCCTTATTGGCCTCTGCGGCCGCCTTACCTTCTGCCAGAAGGGTGTCGATGCCATAGACATCCTCCTCCTTGGCTTCTTGCTGCTCGGTAGGTTTGGACGGAGTGGGCCGTTGCTCGGCAGTGAGCCTGAGTATAGGAGTATCTACTTGAGGTGTTGGTGTAGCAGTATTGAATGCCTTGCTGGGAGTGTTGGCGCGGGACTGCTGTTTCAATGGAGTCTTCTGGCGTTGAGCAAGCAGCTTTGCCCTCAGTTCGTCGGCCTTCTTTTGATTGGCTGCTCGTAACTCTGCTACGTTAGGGGGGAGAACAATAGGTGGCTCGACGAGCGTGTTCGCTGCGCTGTTGTGTTCGTTTGGTTTCTCAATACTGGAGGCCTGCAAGCATCGTGGATCAGCTGGTTCACCACACAAAAGCGACAACGCATATGCCTTACATTCAGATGTCCGCTGCCGTTGGTGGCACCAGGCAAGGTGTCACTGCCTGCTGCGGTGGTCCCGTTTGTATGACCGTTGCCGTAGAAGTCCTCGTCTTCATCTTCACCCACGTTCTCTCCATTGGCAGTATTCTCCTGCCCGTACGACGCCATAGACTCCAGCCACTCCATATTGGCTGGTAGTACTGGCGGGTGTTGTACGACCAAGTGCAGATGATTGTGATACCTTGTCGTGAAGGTGAGAAGACGAAAGTTAGAAGGTCAAAAGTTCAAGCTTCGCGTCAACCGCGTCGGCCACGTGGTCCGAGCTCTCCAGAGCGCACTTCATGAATGTTGCCGGCGACGCTTCGCCTTCTCCTACAGAACACTACTCATGAGAGAGAGTAACGATGCCTGTACACAAGATCGACCTGATGTCCCGCAAGGACAAAATCATCGAATGGCGGGAAGAGGGTGTGACTAGAGACGGGGTGCTTGAGCCTCTTAAAGCAGACGGTCTCAAGTGCAGCCACAGCACGCTGAACCAATTCCTGCGTGACGTGGACTGTTACGTGCAGTACAGACTGACAGACCAACCTGGGGGCTATGAAGCATACCGCGACCGATTAATCCATTACTTCCAGCACAACTTCACGGACGCCGGCATCGTCGAGATGCTGGAGAAGGAGGGCTTCAGCACGTCGGCCAGGACCGTGAGGCGGATCCGCATATCGTTGGGCTTGATGAAGCGAAGCGCCAACAGGAAACGACCGCCTCCGGTCAGTACGGGCAGAACTAAAGTACCTGCGTCAAAGACTACTGAGCGCGCTGCTATTTCCCAGCCCATTTCTCTCGCTCAACCCACCGTTGCTCCACGAGATGTCTACGAGACAATTTTGTACGAAGGAGTATCTGACGAAATAATCTACGAGGATTCATGAGATCACAAGCTCTGCAACTTCTCGGCATCACTTTCTTCCCATGGATGTTCGGCCTCCACCTTCAGAATCAGGTCCTCGTGCTGCTTGCTGCGCGGCTTAATACTAGCCTTGAAAGGCATGGGATGACTGATAATGCCAGGTGTGAAGCGTATGTCCGGCTCAACCTCGACTCCATTCTCCACTCCTTTGCTGATTTCAAACACAGCTAACGATTTTGCTACGGTCAACCAGACAGACGTCTCAGCGAGAAGCTTGCCGGGACAGATGCGGCGGCCGAAGCCAAATACGAAGTCTACTCGCAATCAGCAAGGATTATCAGCAGAGCTCTACGAGTGGTTACCTTGAGGGTCTGGCGGCGGTGGGGATGACAGGAAGCGCTCCGGATTGAAAGTCATTGGGTCTTCGTAGACCTGCGCATCGTGGGTAAACAGCCTACAGCACGTCAGCTTCTCAGCCAGCCAGTAGTGCATACTTCGAAAATTGGCGTCCGTACCAGATATTCGGGATCAGCAACCCTCCCTTCGGTATCAAGTAGTCTTGGTAAACATCATCCTGTGTCGTCACATGCGGCACTCCCATTGGCGCGATCGGATGCCATCGAAGACATTCCTTTACTACGGCGTCAATGTAGGGCAATCTCGGTCGGTCTGCGAAAGTGGGCAGCTTGTGGCTTCCAACAACTCGATCGATCTCCTCTCTGGCCTTCACTTGGACTTCTGGATTCACGACCATGGCCAGGAAGAAGAGCGACATGGTGCTCACAGACTGCAGACATCAGCCTAAATCGAGGCAATCCGTTCACAGAGACTCACCGTATCTGCACCACCAGTGTACAGCGCCGCAGCACTCCACTTGATCCTCTCCTCTTCCTCGGCCGTCACAGTGTCGCCGGCTTTACCATACAAGTTGGAAACGTATGAGCCTCCGTGGCTGTTCTCGGCCATCTGCCGCTTCACTAAGCTCAGAGGCCTCTCCGCCAGGTCCATAAAGGTGGCCTTCCATTCTCTGGCCGTCTGCTTGAAGGCTGTTCCAGGCACTGCATGGGTTCTGCTGATTAGCGCGTGCTTCAAACTCCATGAATTTGGCGGACTGACCCCAATCAGGCAAATAGCGCACTATGGTTATCAGTGTCAACTCCGAGCCCTCGATTTCCGGCACGACTCACAAGCTGGTATCACATCCACCATCCAAGCCCCCGGCACAGTCGCCGCCGAGAACTGCGCCAGTGCCCGATCAGCAATATCGATCAAAGGATCCCTCTTCTCCGGCTCTATCGTATACCCATACGCCACTTTCAAAATAATCGCCCCGGTCTCCCTACCCTCCCTATCAGCACAGTCCACGGCAAAAGAGAAGAGACCACGAAAAGAACTCACGTCTTAACATTCCCCACCACCTCCTCCGGCCTCCTCATCGTCCGCAACAAAAACCTCTCCACCTCCACCTCCATCAATTCCTCAAACTTCCCCAACGCCGAGCGCGTCCCAATCACCTGATGGATCCGCTTCCGCAGCTCGCGCACTTCGTTGGGGTCCGTTTGGCTGACGAGCAGGTGGTCCCAGCCGCACATTTCACCGCCGAAGACCATGCGGGGGCGGGAGTGGTGGTGGCTGCGCTTTTCTAGGAGCTGGGTGAAGGGATGCTGTTAGGGCGATTTGAAGAATGGTGGGTGGGGATGGGGAAGATGGACCTCGAAGGCGGCATCGGCGGAGTTGAGGATGATGATTGTGGTGCCGAGGACGGAGATGGAGCTAATGGGACCTTGTTCTGCTGTTCAACAATGCCGCTCACTCCTGGGCATGAAGGTGGAGTGGACGTACCGTACAGGTCCTTGTGCTTCGTCCAGTGCTCCCATTCTCTGACACCGCTGGGAGGGAGGTCGCGGATATTGCCAACAAGTGGGAGCGGCTTAGGTCCTGGTGGAAGTGGTATGGAGCTCTTGCGCTTCTGAAGAAGTAGTGTCAGGCCGTAGAGGAGAATACCGATGGCGACGAGATCGAGAAGCATCGACTGTGTGGCCATCTTGCGCGTTCACTGAAGCCCGGGTTAAGGAGCAAATGTGAGGACAGCGGCGATGGAATGGTGTACTTAATTTTCGAGCGCATTGATAGATAGTTGCCAGGTACATTGACGTACTGAGGGATACTTTCCACCTCCAGCAACTTCTCGCCCCCAATGGTCGCATCGCAGCGTATCGTTGTGTCTTGCAGATAGCCTTCTCGAGCTAGTCGTGCGCTTGGTGGGTTCACTGCGTGCGGCTGAATTGCATACAAGCACGACCAGCAATTTCTACATTGGTCTCAAATGTCTTTGCAGCTCCGGCCGACAGCTCTCCCGTTCGAACCATTGATGATGAGCGGGCAAGCTGTATGCAACCTGGGTATTATCGCATCTTGACGTTAGGTTCGATCAAGACGAGGTATTGAGCTGTCGGTATGGAAGAGGCCTTGCCATGTCTTCGTTGGGGAGATGTGATCCTCAGTTTCAAAGAGACTCGACAACACATGTAGCGCTCGAAGCGGCACAAAGTGCGAAGCAAGGTCAAGAACGAGGCAAAGACAGTTGGACATGGTGTTCGAAGTAATTCTGGTATAGTATCGTTCTACCAAAACCATACAGCATACCCAGCCGTTCTGATCGTCCATTGCCATCCAACATCAATATCCAAACATCTCTCTTCAAACAAGCATACCATGCCATTCCGTTACCGTCACTCGACGACTTTAACCCAAGAGGCATACCGCAAAGCCTAACATCCAATTCAAACATCTCTTTTCTTCAACCCAAGCCCGTCGTCAAAAAACCCGATATCCCATTCCAGACAGCCCATCGAAACCTAATACAATTGCGAACGCCGTGCAGACCCATTTCGTACCATCATGCCCCATTCCTGGCCCATTCCTGGACTGCACTCGCACCACTCTCGCTCGAAATCAACTGCCGTCGCGCATACGCCAGCTTCAGAAGAACCCACAATCAGCATGCACTCTTCGTTTTCGTGGTGTCAATCAGTCACCGCCCAGCATCCTCATGGAACCCGGGTACGTCTGATAGTAATGATAGCTCACCTTGTCCTGCGTGCCCGCCAGGCTCAAATGCTTCGCCACCACCGTCTCGATCTCGCCGTTGCGCTGCCCCGCGAGCACCACCGCGCACTGCTGCGGCAGCCAGCGCAGGATGTCGAAGCCGTTGGCGTACACGGTGCTGTTGTTCGCGATGCTGTTGGTCACGTGGCCGCCGTTGCCGTCGGTGCCGGGGAGCTTGAAGGGCGTGTGGATGGTGAGCGTCTTGAGTCCCGAGCAGTAGCGGAGCGACAGGCGCACGATCTCGGAGAAGCGCTCGAGGATCTCGGTGTAGGTCGGGATCTCGAGCTCGACGTGCTTGATGAGGCGGCGCGAGCGCTGGTGGAGGCCTGCGAGCGTGTGCACGCCGGTGGGAAGGGCGAGGTCGAAGACGTTCTCTTTGTACATGACGTCGCGCGCTTCTTCGTAGATGTCTCTGCTCACGCGGAGGAGGTTAATGACGAGCGGGTCGTCGGGGGCGGCGTAGTTGCGGACGGCTAGTGTGGTGGCGGCGCCGTCTTGGTAGATGTCACTTTCGTCAGAAGAGAGGCCGAAGGACATGCGGACGCCGCGCCTGGAGGTTGCTAAAACGGTAGGACGAGTGTTGCTGCGAGTTGGGCGCGTGACGACGCTGACGAGGTGCGGTGCCGTGCTAGAAGGGAAAGGATCGTTAGCAAAAAGTCGGCTAGCGCAGAGACATTGATATTGAACATACCTGACGTAGACCGGACCGCCATCATCATTACCGCTACCACCACGATTAAGACGCCGCCGCTTATTCGCCTTCTTCTCAGCCTTGACCTTGTCTGCATTCGGCGTGGGCTCGGGCTTCGAGAGCAAAATCTTGTACGGCCGGGTGAGACAGGCGCGGTAGATCTCTTCTCTCAGCTCGAGCGGGAGGTCCATCATGCGGAAGATGTGGCGCTCTTTGGGTGGTTTGTCGTCGACGTCGACGGCACGCCCTTTGCCTTTGCCTTCGTAGGTGGGCTGAGACTGCGCATCGAAGTATTCTTGACTCTCCTGCGATTCTTCTTCGTCTTGACGCTTGCGCTTGCGGTCTTGACGAGGTGTGCCCGCGGCTTGCGCAGAGCTGGTGCCCGCCGTCTTGCTGCCATCCTTGACCGGAGTAGTGCCTGTGCCCGTCGTCTTCTTCTTGCTGTCCTTGATTTGCTTCTTCTTGCCCCTCTTGCCCGAAGCAACCTTCGTATCACCCGCACCCAGCAACCCAACCTCATTCGCAGCAGCAGCCGCAAGCTTAGACTTCTGGCGAGTCATCCTGCCCGTGCCGGCACTGGCGGAGGAAGACTGCTTCTTGGAGACGCGGGTGTTGTTCTTATTGGTGGAAGGCATGGTCGTCAGAGAGTATGGTAGTTGATGTTCGGCGTAAGGGTAAGGCTAAAGTATGTTGTTGTTGGTGCAATGGTATGGTATGGTAGGGTATGGTATAGCCGTACTGAAGTCGTGGTGGTATGCAAACAGTACGAGTTGATCGAACAAGCAAGTTGCAGAAGAAAGGGTATGTTGGAAGAAAGGCTGTTGTGTGTGTGTAGAATGAAAAGAAGAGGAAGATCCCGCGATTGCGCGCAGAAGATATTCCAACGCGCACAATAGCACAAGAACTCAATTGTCGTCACAATACCAGATGGAGAAGCTGGCTGCTAATGAGCGCACCTGCCGCTGGAGTGTCCGTGCGCGTGATTTTCACATGAAACGCCATTGAGAACATGTCATTTTTGCTATTGTCGACGTATACAATTATTATTGAATGGGCAAACACGGTACACAATGATGATGTATCCTTCTTCGCATTATCGGGATTGGAGAGAAGCAGGTTATCGCTGAGAAGTGGTCTCCATGGAATAACTGCAGCGAAACGCCGTACGGCTTGAGGTCATCTGGGTGAGAGGGAGAAACGTCGCCTTGAGAAGCAGCTGACAATACCAAAGCACATTCCATTAAGCCATCTGCTCGCTAATCACACACTGCCATTACGGCGCCTTCCCTCGCTCAAGCAGCACGCTCAAGCCACCCCCAATCCGTAGCCGGACTCAATTAACCCCATCTAGACGCCACCACCTCATGCTGTCCCGGAGTGCAGGACCCATATAGTACACATAGCAAAAGCAAAAAGAAACGCCGCCAAAAATCCAAGTTCCAATCTTGCAATAGTAGGCTCGTACCGTCGTCAATGCGCGCATTGTACCCAGCCCCTCTCCCTCTGCGTTGCCGTTCCCGCTTTTCTGCTCCGCGCTGTGAGATGTGGTTGTTGTTGTATGATTGATTAGTTGTAGTCGAGTAGTCGTTCCATGACAAAGGAAAGGTTGTTGTAGTAGTAGCACACAGTTTCACATTACGTTGTAATGCGAGGGTATCGCGCAAGAGATGCAATGACGCCAAGAGAGCCCTGACGAAGAGGAAAAATCGAGACCGGGGTATCTGATGAGCCAGCAAAGTCCGTTCAACGCCGAGACCAAGAAAGGGTGATGCTGCCAGCATGTGAAGTATACGCGCCTGAGGCCGCACACGCTCTACTACTGATGATGCTGCTGCCAGACCTCCTGGGTGCGCATCTGGTTGGCGTAATCCATCGGGCCGGTGCTGTGTGGGCGCTGCATGCCTTGCTGCTGCTGGTAGTACATCTGTGCTGCGCTGACAGGGTAGCCAGCATGCGGATCAGGGTACGAGTAGTCGTGCTGCTGATTGCCCGCCATAGCGTTGTGCGGTGATTGCCAGCCAAGGGTGTTACCCATGTGGGGGCTGTTGTTGCCGCTGCCAGTCTGCTGCTGACCGTTGTTGGCTGGTGGCTCGAGGATCTGGGGTGGGTTGTAGCTGGATGAAGGATTGGAGGTGAGGGATGGTCGTTGCTGCTGGCCGTTAACGGGCAGCTGATACTGAGCGGGTGACTGAGGGCGGGGAGACGGCTGCAGCTCAGGGCGCATGTGAGGTGGGACTGCCGCCATGCCACCACTCATGGCGTTCATGTAGTAGTCGGATGACTGCCTCTGCAGGCTTGCGACACCGTTCATGGCAGGTCCAACGGAGGAAGGTCTGTCCGGCTGAGGCATCGGTGACTTGCCGTTTGTGGAGAAGTCGTCTTCGTCATCGGAGCCGCGAGACCGAGCGGTCGGAAGACCACCCCGGGTGGCGAGCGCGGCAGCAGTGGCGGCTTCTGACTCCTCGATGGTGCCACTGTGATGATTTTGATGCCTCGTCAAGGTAGTGCGACGCGTGAATGTCTTCTGGCAGTCAGCGTAGGGACACTTGTACGGTCTCTTGCCGGAGTGGATCCTTCGATGCCGAGCGAGCGAGCTGGAGTCGCTGAATGGCTGCAGTGTGTTAGTATGAACTTGCTGACCGAGACCTGACAGTGACATACCTTGCCACAACGCTCGCACATGTGCGGCTTCTCACCGGTATGTACTCGCGAGTGAACTGTCAGTGCGGATCGCTGAATGAATTGCTTGCCGCAGCCCGGATAATCGCACACGTGAGGTCGGTGTCCGCTGTGAATGCGTTCTGCCAAGGGTCAGCATGCGCTGTCAGGTGATTTGAGCCATGTGAAATTCACCATGCCGGGCCAGATCTGATCTCCTTGCGAAGCCCTTCTGACACGTCGAGCAAGCAAAAGCTTTCGGTAGTCCCGTGCTTCCTGTACTTTGCCTGTTGCTGTCACCCTGACCCTGATCTTGCTGGACTGGTTGCACTGCGCCTAAAGAAGCCTGCTGTTGATATGACTGATCTGAAGTGGCGTTAGGGTGGTACGAGTGTTGGATCATCGGCGCCATGCTGGTCGGCTGGCCCAGCTGAGGTGACGGATATCGCATGCCGTTAGCAAGCTGACTGGCCATCTGCTGGTACGCCATGTTATTTTGAGGAGTTTGCGATGAATATCTCGATGAGTGGTCGGATGTGTGCGGGGAGACTCCTCGCTCGGAGCCGTTTTCAGACTTTATTCTGCTGTTGCCGTTCGGAACGTAGAGGTTTTGCTGTGCGTAATGGGGTGCGGCGTTCAAGTCGTGATTCATGCCGACGGGCATTGGTATTTCGTATTGCATGCTGCGGTAGCCTGTGGCGGAAGCTGACCTGTTAGTATTGAGCAGATTATTGAGGTCCATCTCGCCGACAATGCTGTCCCTTCTCTTGCGCTGGTGGGGGAGCAGTATGTGCTCGATCGATGGCAGAGACATCCAAACTTCACGTGGAGTATGCTATGGAGCGCTGACTGGGAAAATGCAGGGTTTTCCTCACGACACCAAAACAACGCGATGCGCCCGGTAGGTGGTGGATAGATGTACGGCTCTTTACTCACTCCTCGCTCTGCAATGGGCTGTCAGGTGTAGCCCTGTGGTGGTGGTGGTGGTGGTGGTGGGCCGTGGTCTCGGGTGGTCTGTTCGAGGGCGATGACGGGAGGTCGTGCGTCTTGAAGGAGGTCACAGCTCCAAATGCTGCAGGTGGAAGGACAAGACCTACAACGCGCGGAGAATGTCAGCTTCGAGTCTTGCCGTCGACGTGGCGGAGGAGGGCGCGTTGGAGGGGGGTGTTGCTGCGAGCCCGCGGATGGCGTTTCTTCGCGTATCGCCCATCATCAAGGGGAAGGAGAGATGGGAATTCTGCCTCGAAACGCGCGTCCGTCGGGTCGCGAAAGGAAGGAGCAACTCACCAGTGGTGTCTCACGCGCTCTCAAAGCCTCCCGCACGAATAACAAAGCAAGAACCGGGTGTTTGCAGGGTCGAGAAACAAAAAAGTTGTTGACCTTCTGCGCAGTCGGGTGTTGCAAAGATGGGTGGACTGTGCTCGGAGTCTTTGAGGCGCTGATGGAAAGGAGTCCACACTCCCGCTAGGCTCTTGCCGCCGCTAGCGTGTTTCTAATTCAGGCCGATCTTTTTCTCCTGCTCAGCTGAAGCTCCCTCTTCCAACTTTGCTGCCTGTGGACGGGGTCGAAATGGCGTGAGAGGATTGCTGGAATGCCGTTTGTTTCTCCAGGTGATGCTCAATGGGTATGGGCAGCCGAAGACCCGATTGATTCCGCCTGAGGACGTTGTCCAACCAGAGGTCCGGTAATGGTCGAGAAGGTTTGTCGGCCTTGGGCGGATCCTCAAGACGAAACAGAAAATGCCTTCTGTTTCCCGACGAGATGCCGAGCGACTTGCTGGTGTTCGACGTCTGTATGGGAGGGTCGTATCCTCAGGAAGTTGGCCTTGGATCACAAAGCTGTATGCGGCCAGTCGAACCGCCTTCGACGATCTAGGGGTGGCCGTTCGAAGGCAACGTCAACCTCCCTTCACTTGAGGTCTTGGTTGATTTGCTTTACTCCGTTCGAAGGGTGAGAATGTGCTGGACTACCTAGTGTTGTGTTTGTCGGCCTAGAGGGTTTGTCGTAAATCTCTGGTGTCCTGTTGCTCCGTGATGGTCTTCTCCTTTGGTCTCTGGAGTCGTCCAGTCGTGTTGATCGGTGTTTTGTCAAGCGTTGGAGAGTTGACAGTGTAGACAGACTTTACTGCTTTGTTAGAAGATGTCTTGATTGCACAGTATGAGTAGTGTATCTGGCAAGAAGAAGCAGAGATCTACAGCAGATCCTCCCCAGCGCGCATCAACCCAGAGTATATACCAACCTCACGTCCTTCCAAGCGATGACAACGATGCACCGGCAGTCTGTACCTGCAAATTACCACTCATCCAGCACAAGCCTCCGCGTATGGATCACCCCAGCATCCGGCAAGGCAGAAACCAACGGCCGCTACGAACATACATCATCAGCGAACGTGCGAGCGTGCAACAAGAGGCACGAGCATTCGCTTCGAAGCCGGATCTACCTTCCACAGCTTCTAGCGCGGAAGCAGAAGATCTGACAGGGCTGCTGGCTTTTGCACGCAGCACGAGCACGTCTGTAGAAGAGGTCGGTGCTAGGGATGTGGTCTGTGTGGTAGCGCGCATGCGGCGTGGGAGATGAGGTGGTAGCGGAGATCCTTGTAATATAGACCTAGGGCGCTTGCCGGATTGACCGTGAGGTGCGACAGGCGATGCACGAGCGGACGACGCCTTCGAACATCGAGCGCGAGGAAGTGAGGTGGTGTCGTGTCATGTTTTCGAGGCGGTGGTGGGATGGGGCAGTACTTCATCAAGCCTCACGTTTCCGATGGCCGCGGCGGTCTTGATTCAAAAGCTCGTGCGTGTGCTGTAGAAGGCCGCTAGAACGATCCCTCGCCGACATCATAATCAACACTGACGCCATCGGACACGAGGCTGAAGAAGCGCACTGTCGCGGACAGTCGCAGAGCCGGGCGCACGGGGTGGGACGAGGTCAGGTGGTTGTCTTGGTGGAGTGATGCTGGAAGGGCGGGAGAAGCATCTCATCTCGGGTAGAAGGCGGGCGGGAGAAGGTGTGGTTGCGCACGGGGATGGCGGTGGTCGTGCGTCTTCTTGGAGCAGACTTCAGCTCTTCGTCTGGTCATTGGACTTGTTTTCGCGCTGCTGAGACGAGACGAGATTGGTCTTGGAAAGGTATACGATTGCACCTCACTTTCAACATTTCAATAGGTACGGCAGGACGAGCAGCAATTGCCAGGGACACTGCCACGAAGCTTGAGAAGATATGGAGGGACGTCCCCTGTCGCGAGAGTTTCAACCGTCCGCGAACGGCGGCGATCCAAAAAGAACACTTCTTTAAGCGATCCACCTCGTTGCCTTGCAGCATGGACCTCGCCAGGCGAATCCTCCAAGACACTCGCTGTCCTGCCGCAACTGCGTGCATAATAGTAATCTCCTCGCCCACCATGCTTTTGCTTACCAACCCTCAATCAAAATCCTGTTCTTGATCATCTCGAGGCTATCTACTACTGTACATGCACTCTGTTGCCAAGCATCGCCTTACGAGGCTGCAAGGCTCACTGCACGACGGACGAGCACAGACAGCTGGCTCCGTCATCTCAACCAAACGAACATGAAGTCTGTTCGCAAGCAGCAGACATACTGTTTCATGAGAGCGTTCATGTGTCTGTGCTGAAGGCGTACCCAGGTGACCCTCTCGACTCGAGAAGCAAGCCTCGTCTGTTCTTTTTCCGGTCACCGTCGCTACCTCATCCTTCAACGGACGGAACAGTGTGCCATGACTCTCGCCGATGTCCATGCAACCTTCTAACCGTTTCGCTCCAAAAGACCGTCCGCTGCATGTACGCCACCTGCGCCTTTTCATCTTTGTATCTCAACACCTGCCGTGCTTACTTCATTGCACCGCCAACGAGAACCAGGCGCTCACGCGGCTGGAGGACATGCTGGCAAGACTACGGGTGCTGTACACGCCGGGGTCACAGTAAGAGCAGCACTCTTGAGGAGTGACGGCGGTTCAGGAAGGTCGTCGTCAAAGCCTCCCTTGGTCTCCTGGCCACTCACGCCATTCGGCACCCCTTCCAGCTCCACCTGGGTTCTCAAAGATTTGAGCAGGCAAGATGCACAGTCTGGCTGCTCTTCGAAAGCACTGCGCTTCGAGCGAGCTGTGTCTAGCTTTCTCGCCCACCTCGTGTGAAAGCTCGCTGCTTTTAAGGTTGCCTCGAAGATCTGATCCTTCTGATAATCGGCTTGGAAGACCAGTCTCCTTTGTCACGGGATGATTGCGCCCGATAGATCTCTGCGGTGAGTCCTGTATGTACGACTGGCCTGACTAGAGAGCTCAAATCGAATCCGGAACCACGATATCCAACGCTTCCAGGCTTAAAGGTCGCCGACTCTCCAATGAGATCCGGTCTGCGTTCTCGTATCAAGTCCAGTAGCCACCGTGCCTTTTCTTGGTGGCCTTCCTTGACCAGCCTCTGTGCAGCCCTGAGGATGAAGTACCACAAAATGCTCATTTCTGGGCCGTCCTTGGTTTGAAATAGCTCCCTTATGAAGCCCGAAGACTCACCGGAGTATCTCTGGAAGAAGTGGACTGTCGGGAGGCCGCTTGGACTCGTAGGATGATGTGGCATGAGGCTCGCTCTGACGAACTCGAGCTCTTCCGGCAGCTGCAACCAAAGTTTCAGGTGTTGCAGATATCGGTCGAAATCGTGTGCGCTTGTGCGAGAGGCCCGTTCCGAGAGAAGTGCTTTTTTCAGCAAGATGCCTGCAGGTCTCAATGGTACCCAAACACGCAAAGTGCTTTTGTTGGGCTGCATCTCTGTACTCCAGTCGATGCTGCAGCTCGACTGGAAGGTATCCAGCGAGGTCTGGAGGGAATTTCGTTAGCCCATGCGTTGCTGAGGTGTTAATCAATCGCTGATTGTTGTTACAAGCTCTCACCTTCAAAGGGCGTGAGTATGGCAACCAAAATGCTTGAGCCTCTGTTGAATGTTAGCATCGGTCTTCTCGGGGATGAGCGCTTTGAAGGCTGCTCTATGGCTGACACACTATGATAGGGATTAGCGTTCATATCCTACTAATTCCTGGGCAAGACATTACCCCAGTAGGCGACGAAACGCATTGCCCCTGTACATATGTGGCGTATGCTCGTCTACATCGCCTTGATATTTCGGAGGGGTGTAGATTGTTAGCCACTTCGAAAGCAGATCTTCTGCCGCCGGCCCTTCCGTCACACAGAATACGATAGCTCGAATCAGACCTGGCTGCAGGACAAGATCCACGCTTTCTTGATGACCAGAGCGCAGAAGCCACCGCAAAGCACGAGTTCCCGGCATCTCGATCGCATACTGCGGCCGAATGTCTTCCAGCGTTGCATACTTCGAGTGTAGTCCGGTTATGTATGTCTCCAGACACTGAATCGCCAGAGAAAATGGGGTAGTTGAATCATTGAAACAGGATAATGGATCCGTGTACAACGCCTCAGGCAGGCTTTGCTTCCACCTTGCAGGATCTTGAGAGAGCAAGGGACCGTAGGGTCGAAGTCTTGCCGCACTGAGGGGCCTGTTGACACGAAGGCGAATGTATTAGCTGATGAATCGAACACTGCTGGCTGTCGCCTCTCAGGACCATGCACGGTGAGGTAGCTGGGTGTCTTGTCCTGTCAGCAAAGAAACGTCGAGGATGCGCATCAGCAAAGCCGTCCTACAAGTCATAGAAATTCTCTCGAGTCACACCTTCATACTGATACTTTGGATGCCAGACCCAGGACACTTGACGGCGCAGCAGTACCTGCCCATGTGATTGTTTCCATTGACGTTGGAACCGATGTCCTTTGGCGCGAAGTCTGTGCCGCCAGAGAGAGCTAGCTGCGCCGATAGTTGTGCTGGCCATGGCCGCTTGGTACCTTTTCATTGCAGTCCGAATCTCTGTCAAAACGGAGGTCCGGACTGCACTGGCAAAGGACTCCAGGCTTTAAAAACATCAGGGGCGGGAATCTGCGTGGCGAACATGTAGTTCTGTAACATTCGCGTAGATGAGGCGGAGCTCGATCTGGTAAAGTCTTTCTTGGCTGCTTTCACGATCACGTGCGCGATGCAATACAGGTAACCTCATGTCTTATAATTATACTTATGGTTGAACCCGTCGGAGCGGACGTGTGTATGCGCATACCAGCCATGCCTATCGCAGCCGTGATGTATCTGCACAGGTTGTTTCCCAAGTACGAAGCCTTGTATGGCGATCTCTTGGTCAGACCGATCACGAAACTTCGTGCAATGAGAGCAATGTTCTCTGTGCCTTCTACCTTCACCAGTCGCAACGGAGCCACCATCAACCAGCGTCGCCGACCTCACGCCATCGTCCAAGAATCCGAATAGACCATGACCTAGATTCAATCACATTACCACGGCCTTTTCATTTGTAGCAGAACCAACTCACCTGCTCACCGGCCACACCCTCGTCGCCTGCAGCGCCCACAGATACAACGCCACCAGCGCCAACACCCCCGTAATCCCAATTCCCACCCAGCCCACCACCGGCGCATGCGCGGTCAACACTAACTCCAGGAACAGAAAAGCCGCCAGCACCTGCGCCTCCAGCAGCAACGACAGCGCGGCAAGACCGTGCTTGATCGCATGACTGTCGCGGTCAATGCCTTTGATGATGGCTTTGTGCTCGAACTTAAACAGCTGCGTGCACCCTTGGCAGACGAGCACGGTGAGGACGAAGCAGATGGAGCTGATGCTGCCCAGGTCGTGACGGTGGCTGGCGGGAAGCCGGCACGGTCGGGTGTTGGGGAGCTATTGATGACGACGGAGCGGGTGAAGCCTGCGCCTAGGGTTCCGAGGGTTGAGAGGGCGGAGAAGAAGCTGTGCTCATCAGTCAATCTTCGGTGTAGATGCGGCGTTGTAGGTAAGTGCAGATATCGTACGAAAGGTACCAGTCAAGCACTTCTTTGCCAGAGGTAATGCCGGGGATGTCGTAGGTGTGTGTAGAGTCTTTCGGAAAAGCACCAGGAATGCGGAAGATCTGTATCGTTTCCAGCTAAAGTCTTTCTGAGGGTGAAGTTGTTTGGCCCGCCATATGAGTCTGCAGTAGCTTCTCGAGCTCGGGAGGAAAAGCGATGAATGGTCCGGCCATCGTGCGCAGGATAAGTAGGAGACTGAGAGGTGAAAGAAACAAACAGAGAGTCATCCTACCTTCATGAGACTCGTGATGGCGACGAGGTTGGACATCGTGACTGCCTGTGTGACATACCTGTCTCGGAGAGACCTGCCTTTGTCTAAAATGCCATCGTGATCAATCTTACTGCCATCAACGACAAGTCTGAATCTTCGGGGATCACAGCCTCGCCCTCTCATCAGTCAACGCAAAGTTGGACACAGTGGGTTCGATGCTGCGCTCAAGACAGCAGTTCTCCAGGAGGTCCGTCGCCGCACGTCTCCGTGCAAACACCCAGCCCTCGCCCTCCAGCCCCTCACAACTCCTACGCCGCAAACCCGTCGTCAGCCCCAATCTCGTTTCCCAGAATCCAATTCTGTCTTGCGTCCGCACGGCGCGCCGAAGGAAGAAGCCAAAGCTTCAGAGTGATTCTTCGCGGCTTCTAGCGTGCGAGACATGACAAGGACCAGGGTCGTTAGGAACAGAAACCAACCCAGACGCCACCGCCCACGCTGGGTGCCGAAATCAAGGCGCTTGCGCTTGAGGCTCGATCACGAGGTCGGCTAGGGAAGAAAGGAGGGGTGGGATGGTTGCAAGGCAGATTGGTCTGAGAGTCGAAAGAAGGGAGTTAGTGATGCCGAGAGGAATCGAGTTCGCGATTCTGCGAATGCGGACGACAAAACGAAACGCTATTTGAGGCATTGCTGCTAACAAGGTACACATCTGCCGGCCGCTCACGTAGCAAAGCCCGTCCATACCCAACCTCGAGAATACCAGAGCGAGAGTCTCTCAGCTCCTCAAACACCACTCATGCATGCCATCTCCTCGCTCATGGACTCCCACCCCCCGCCCCCTCACCACCAGCCGGTTCCGGCGCACCCCCAAGACCTCCCAACCCACCAATGCCCTCACCCTGCGGTGGAGGCATGAATGTCTCCCCATCAGGCACTTTCACAGGCGTCTCAGGATCCACCTTAACCTTCTCCGGCAGCTTCTCGCCCCGCACAATCTTCTCCATCTCCTCCTTGCCCAACGTCTCGTACTCAACCAACGCCTTCGCTAGCCGGTCCAGTCCTTCGCGGTTGGTGGTGAGGAGTTTCGTCGCACGGTCCCTTCCATCTTCAACTAATCGGCGGACTTCGGCTTCGATGGACCGTTTGGTTTCGGGTGAGAGGCGCGCGTAATCAGTGTCCAGGTCCACGTTACCTAGGAGATCGCTCATCCCTGCCCGCGTGACCATCATGCGCGCGATCTGGGAGGCGGCTTGAATGTCGGAGCTGGCGCCTGTGGTGACGTTGTCGGGGCCGTAGACGAGTTCTTCAGCGACTTTGCCGCCCATGGACACGTCGATTTGGGCCATCATTTCTCGCTTCGTTTCCGAGACCTTGTCGAGTTCCGGAAGCATTTGCGTCAGGCCCAGCGCGTGTCCGCGAGGCATGATCGTCGCTTTGTAGAGAGGTGTAGAAGCTTCCGTGAGCATGGCCACCAGTGCGTGTCCGCCTTCGTGGTATGCAGTCATGACTTTGTCCTTCTGCTGAATCACGGCTGAACGGCGCTCGGCACCCATCATGATCTTGTCTTTGGCCCAGGTCAAGTCGTCGATCGAAACTTTGGTGGCCTTGTTCTTGCTGGCGCGGATGGCAGCCTGGTTGACAACGTTCTCAAGCTCAGCACCGCTGAAGCCAGGGCAGCCTCGGGCGATGATGGCTGGATCAACAGCCGAATCTGTTCGTACGTTTCGGAGATGGTGCTTGAGAATCGCAATCCGGCCGCGAACGTCAGGCATGGGTACAACCACATTCCGGTCGAACCGGCCAGGTCTTGTCAGAGCCTTGTCCAAGCTCTGCGGGAAGTTGGTCGCGCCAATGATAATAACGCCTGAGTTCTGATCGAAGCCGTCAAGTTCGGTGAGAAGCTGATTGAGGGTCTGCTTCGCATACGCGGCATCTCGCTCATGTCGCTTTGATCCTATGGCATCCAGCTCATCAATGAAGATGATGGCAGGACTCTTAGCGCGCGCGGCGCTGAACAAATCACGCACACGCTTCGCGCCCACACCGACGTAAACCTCGTCGAACTCAGATCCGCTCATGTAGAAGTAAGGCACGCCAGCTTCACCAGCAACAGCGCGAGCAAGCAGTGTTTTTCCGGTACCGGGAGGTCCCACGAGCAGCACACCCTTCGGCAGCTTGCCGCCCAGGGAGCTGAACTTGTCCGGCGCCTTCAAGAATTCGACCAGCTCTTGCAGTTCCTCCTTCGCCTCGTCGCAGCCATGGACGTCCGTGAAGCGGGTATTCTGCAACTCAGGCTTGGCCTCAGCGTTCTGCGCGCCTCCGACCTTCTTAAGCACACCAGTAGCCTCAATCAACAGCGTGAAGACCACAAGCGCGCAGTACCCGATCAAGCCAAAGATGAGCAAGAACTTGACCCATTTGAAGATCGTGCTGCCCATGCTTTCGTCGACCACCACGTACAGCGGCTCGTTCTTTGCGCCAGAACCTTGCTTTGAGATGCTAACATTCCCGCCCTGATTCCGAGCTGAAACCGCTTGACCGATAGCTTGTAGTTGTTCGTTACTCATGCCGTGGTTTTGACCTTGACCTTGCATAGATTGTGCTTTGCCTGCCATGCTTCCCACAGCGCCCGTCTCTTGTGCTCCGATGCTTTGGAGGGCGCGCATATAAGCGTTTTCGCAGGCAGTGTTACTGGCATAGCGGTTGGTCTGGTAGCGTTCGACGAGGATCTCGGGCATGTTGGCGCGGAGCAGGGCTTGGTAGAAGGCGTTCTGAGCGGTAGGAGATGCCGGATTGTTGTTCGCCTGCTGCTCCATTTGTGCGAGGACGTTGCGATTGCTGGTCGAGCCCCACGATGAGCCAAAGAGGGTGCGTTGCTGGCTGAAGCCGACCAGGGATGTACTTCTCGATGCTGTTGGGCGGAGATTGAAGGGTCCAAAGCGAGTGGTGGCCGTAGAGAATGCGCGCGAGTTAGGTGAGAGCGAGGAGAAGGTTCGGTTGAGCGGTGATGCTCTTCGTAATGAGCCCTTCGGTAGACCGGACAGGATGTCTCTTGTCGTCATACTGCTCGCTCCTAGCGCACCCATACCCGCCGTCCTGCTCATGCTGGCCACCGGTACCTGAGCCATGAACTCCGGCATCTCACTCCTCTCTTTCCTAGCCACCTCTTGCTGTGCATCTCCTCTTGCTTGATCCCTCCGTGGAGAGACCTTCTGCTGTCCTTGACGCTGGGATCTCGACGCCGAAGACGGCCTCCCTTGCCACGGCGCTCGCAATACCGCCGCCATGCTCGGCCATAGTTCCGCAGTCGCGGATGTGATCTGCTGCATGCTCACCGGCGCAGCGGCAGCAGTTGCGGCCTGGAAGGCCATGTTTGGCGATTGATGTGCGCGGACTCGGCCGCTTCGTGAGATGATCTCGTACAACAAAACAAGGAAAGGAAAGGTGGCAACAACAATAGGATAGAAGTAATGCGCTGATGCGCAAAGGCAACAGAGAAGAGTGTCGAGTGTAACGCCAGAAGTGGTCTGAGGCGGCGTTGTGTCATGTTTCCTCGCGCTTCTAGATTGCCGCTTTGGGTTGGCGAAAGACCGTCACGTGTTTTCTGCCTCATAGAACCGCTGATGTCGGATGATGATTCATTGAGTGCTTTGGTGGATGAGTAAATACGGTTTGATACGCCTATCGCCACTACCGTGCCCATGCCACAAACAGCAAACAGAACACAGGAAGTATGTACACGCTAAGCAAGACAAATTCCTCCAACCCATCTACTGCCCGGGCGAAATCAGCATCCCCCTCTTCTCGGCCCCATGCTCCCAACCACCTGCCAGTGCCTCACCGCCCGCACGACTCGTATGTCCCCGTATCCGCTCCTCCAACTCTGGCCTGAAATGCCTGATCAGACCCTGAATCGGCCATGCGAAAGCTTCACCCAGAGCACAAATCGTGTGTCCCTCCACCTGCTTCGTGAGCTCCTGCATCATGTCAATCTCCCGCTCCCGTGCATGGCCCTTCTCGAAACGGTGCATGATCTGCTCCGTCCACTTGCTGCCCTCCCGGCAGGGTGTGCACTGTCCGCACGACTCGTGGTGGTAGAACTTGCTGAGGCGGGAGATGGCGCGGACAATGTCGGTGGATTGATCCATCACGACTACCGCCGCCGTGCCGAGACCGGACTGGTTGTCCTTGAGAGCGTCGAAGTCCATAAGCTGGTCGTCGCAGATCTTCTTGGGCAGGATGGGCGTGGAGGAGCCGCCGGGAATCACAGCCTTCAGGTTGTCCCAGCCGCCCTTGACGCCACCAGCGTGCTTGTCGATCAGCTCACGAAGGGGAATGGACATTCTCTCCTCCACTGTGACGGGGTTGTTGACGTGGCCAGAAATGCAGAAGAGTTTGGTGCCTGAGTTGCGCTCGCGGCCGTACGAGTTGAACCAGTTAGGTCCGCGGCGGATGATGGTTGGTGCGACTGCGACAGTCTCGACGTTGGCGACAGTGCTGGGGCAGCCGAAGAGGCCGACTGCGGCGGGGAATGGAGGCTTGAGACGCGGCTTGCCGGGCTTGCCCTCTAGTGACTCGATCAGTGAGGTCTCCTCACCACAGACGTATGCGCCCATTCCACGGTGCAGGAAAACATCGAAGTCGTAGCCAGAGCCGCAGGCGTCTTTGCCGAGAAAGCCGGCTTGGTAGGCTTCCTGAATGGCACGCTGCAGCACGGTGGCCTCGTGGTAGAACTCGCCACGAATGTAGATGTAGGCTGCTGTGCAGTTCATCATGCGACCTGCCACCAGACACCCCTCCACCAGCTTGTGTGGGTCCTTCCTCATGATCTCGCGGTCCTTGCATGTTCCTGGCTCGCCCTCGTCTGCGTTCACTACCAGGTATCTGGGCTTCGTGTCGTTCTCCCAGCCCTTGAAGTTCATGAAGCTCCACTTCATGCCAGAAGGGAACCCAGCACCTCCTCTTCCTCGCAGACCAGACGCCTTAATCTCGCCGATGAGCCAGTCGTGGGACTTTTGCAGCATCTCCTTGGTCTTGTACCAATCTCCGTACTTCATCGCGCTCTTCAGGTCGGCGCCGTGGTGGCCGTAGAGGTTGGTGAAGATGCGGTCCTGATCCTGCAGTTCTTTCGAGTGCGAAGCCGGGGCGTCCTGCACTGTGGCCATCGAACGCCTCTGCTGGGCGCCATCGTGGGTGGTGGAGAGGGCGCGGAGGGTGCTCTTGGTGGCGGGCGAGCGGAGCGCCGTCTTGGTCGATGGGGCGGACAGCATCGTGATCAATCCAAGGGCCTGTTGTCGTTGCTTGGTGCCGTGTGGCTTCGTCGCCTGCTGAAGTGGTGGAAAGGCAGCAATGGATGGACTGAAGTGGCGTGTGGAAGAGTCTCGGGGTGATGTCGTTGATTTCGGCTCTTATTGCCGCGTCTGTGATTGGCTCGGCTATCTGGGCTGGGCGAACTCAATCTCACTCGCTGCTTCTCCTGTTTCTTCTGCTTCAACTTCATCTCTTGCTTTACCAAATATATCTACTTCGTTAAGAGAACTGTGCAGGTAGTTGGCGGTCTCGTTGTAAGAAGACTATTGTCGAGCAAGCAATGCGCAGCAGGTACATCTCCGGAATCCATTAGTCTACATGTAAGGCAATAGAACATCAGCTTCCCAATCTCCATCCATGTTTCTGTCACATGCAACATCACGAGGAGCGTGTTAGTATCAGCATGTTGCCTGAGACGCAAGAGGTCTCATCACCCCATGTTCACCATCGATGCCAGTTTCAATCTACATCCTCCTGGCGACCTCTCTACTTGAACATCACATTGCGGTGAATGGTCGTGACGAGCGCATCCAAAACAAACCTTGGCCTCTTACCTTCCCTACCTGGACCGATTGTGGCATTTACAACACTTTTGACGTCACTGAGAGCCAAAACTTCACCTTTCTGCCTCTGCTGCGCGGAACGCCATCCAAAACTTCTCATCCTGCCCAACACACCTTCCTTTGATTACCCGAGAGACGTCCGGCTCTCCACCGCCGCAGATCCCTACAGCCTGACCACTCCTCGAAAGCACCCGTAGATCTTCCGGAGAGCTTCTTCGGCTTCACGACACGATGGTGCTCAAAAACCTTACCTTCTCGGCGTCGAATGGTCCTCCAGCGCCACCGCGGCCGTCGCCAGCGGTCGATGGGAAGAAGAAGCGGCCGAGAGCTGATGAGTTCCATCTGCGAGGCCGACATCCGGTTGTGTCAGACTCCCCAGCGAAAGGTACGTTTGCTCAGGTCTATCAAACCGAGCAGCGGCTGACTACCCTCTGCAGGACATCCAGACCATTCTAGCGGACCGCGCCCTAACGTGCCGGGTTCTCCACCAGGTGCTCTCTCCCACCAGCTACCCAGCGCGCTGCTCTCACCTCAGGCTCCACTAGGAGAAGAAGCCGTTGTAGAGAGTATCGAGACTCAGCCAGAACGCACGCTGGCCGAGGAGACAGTCGATGCAGACGCAGTTATTCTTGATCCCAAAGATTCCGAGCGCCAATACTGGTATGACCCGATCATACGTGTGCAGCGCGAGATCTGGCGTCCCGGAGATGGCGACGGCGAGAAAGCAGCCGACTACTATGAGAAGCCAGGCCCAAAAGCTCCGCTGGAGACACGGTGGCGATTGTATCAGGTACGTTGCAACATCAAGTGTCCCTCCATTGATGCTTGCGCATTTTAGCTCTAAATTCTCGACAGTCACGCACCGGAGCTGGCCTCGTCCAGCGCGATGTCAACGAGCCTCCAAAGAATGTCATCCTCGACGACAGAGCAGCTTATGAATGCTTCGCTTCCAACATGCCACGTCAGTATCTCGGTCAACACTGGAGCCATGAGTTCTCCAACGCTGGTCAACTCCGCGCTCGTCGTCCTCACCGCGGCCGCGGCGCCATCAGAGATCCCAATGGCGCTGGCGACCAAAAGTACCACTCTACCACCATCGGCAGCAAGGGCGATAGATACTTTTTTACGGGGGAAAAAGACTACAAGCCCATCGTCTATCAGACTGACGACCCTAAGCTGGCAGTCGACATTTTCAAGCCGCCGCAGCGCCCGATACCTCTGAAGACCGAGTTGGCATCGAACAAGCATGGCCACAACCAGTTCACGCCTCGGAACGAGATGGTCAGATACGGCGCACCTCACAAAGGCTCCAGCTGGTTGCGATACTCCAGCCGTGTCAATCCATTCCTCACTCGCGAGAAGACGCCACCATTGCGCTCGCATGGTGGCATGTCCACTCTGTACGCCAGAAATCCGGCGGCTTACATGCCCAGTATGCACACTCACCAGCTTACTTCTGCTTATCGAGACGCAACCGAAAGCGAGGAGGAAGAGGAGCCGATGCAAGTGGAGTCGGATGAAGAACGGCCAGCAAAGAGGCAGAAGTTCCGGTCTCTTGGCACCGACGACGACCCAGAGAAGGAAGAAATTGCCCAGATGGGGTTCGGTGGTGGTGGTAATCACAGCTCGCGGAGCAGCACGACCCGCCCTACGCCATTTCTCGAGTTCTCAGACGATGAAGCGGAGGACGCCCCGCCGCAGCCGATGAAGCCAGTCGAGCATCCACCACTTTTGGCAGAGACGTCGGACAAGCACCAAATCGCTGATGAACAGACGTCGCGGCCGGCTAGTCCTGAGGTCGTCGTAAGGGACACGCCGATAGCGACTGGGCACCAGGACAGCGGCTCTTACGCTTCTACACTCGAAGCGGAGCTCGCGCAAGCAAAAAAGACTATCGAACAGCAACGAGGTCAGATCTCCGCTCTCGAGAAAGCGCACGCGCCAGCGCAGTCGGGGACCTTGGAGCAAGAGGGGGAGGATCCGGAGGAGAAGGTGGAAGCGCTTGGCAATGGTGATGAATAGCCTTACAATGAAAGGTGCTACCAAATGGCGTAAGTGCATATGAACCAAGATGTGCATCAGGAGAGGATAAGATGCACCAATTGGGAATGGCGGATATGAAGTTTAGTGGTATCAAAAAGTCTAATGCTTACCACTACCACGTCTTGCATACCTTTACACCTGGTTTTACTGGAGCAACGCCGCACACAGCAAAATTGCTGACCCAAGTGGGATAATCCGAGTTTCATGATGGGAACCTTGCTGGAGCACTACCCACGGGGCTATAAGAACCCCCCTCTCCTCAACGCATGAATCGCTTCCCAATCGCCCACCGATTGTTCTTCCTCCTGATACACAGTCGCACAATGCTACAAGCAACGCAACGCACCAATCAACATTCGGTACGTTGATATCAGGTCTTTCCTTCTATTGCCTTTCTCCGTCAGGCTAACGTCGTAGCAGCAACGAACACCATTGCCAGCCGCAAGCCTAATATCAGCCCCAACACCACTACCAGCCGCAAGACACTATCGTCAAATTACAAGACAACCATCATTCCACCCTCCCAACGCCAGTCTTTATTAATATCTTGACTCTCCAACCGCCACCATGCCCACCTGGCCCTGGAACTGGGACTGGACGTGGTGCAAAGAGCCCGTCGCCTCGCCCAGCATCCGGCCCATCGACCCCCCCGACGGCCTCGCCGCCCTCAGGGAGATCAACGAGCCCCATCCCGCCAACCCGCTCGTCAACCCCGCGGACCCCAACGACAAGCGGCGCGTCCTCACCCGCAATGACCCTGTCGCGTACAAGGCGCTCGGCTACGGCAAGAAGTGGTATGAGAAATGGGCCATCCTCACCGGCGTCTTCGTCGTGCAGTTGAGCATGAACTTCAACGCCGCCGCGTATGGGAACGCGGGCGAGGGGATGAAGGAGAAATTTGGCGTCTCTCAGTCTCAGGTTAAGCTCGGGCAGATGTTGTTCCTCGTCATGTATGCCTTTGGCTGCGAGCTCTGGGCCCCGTGGTCCGAGGAGCTGGGGCGAAAGTACGTGATGCAGGGGAGTCTGCTCTTTGTGAACGCCTGGCAAGTCGGATGCGCGCTGGCGCCGAACTTTGCCACTATCCTCACCTGCCGCGCGCTCGGGGGTCTGAGCAGCGCCGGCGGCAGTGTGACGCTGGGAATTGTCTCAGATCTGTACGAGCCCGAGGAGCAGCACTATGCGGTTCTGTACGTGGTGCTGTCGTCCGTGGCTGGCAGTGTCATTGGGCCGATCGCCGGAGGCTTTATTCAGACATATCTGACTTGGTACTGGGTCTTCTGGGTCCAATTGATCTTCGGCCTTGTTGCTCAGGCAGTCCATTGCGGCCTTGTACCCGAGACGAGAGAGCATTGCCTTTTGGATGAAGAAGCGCAGAGGCGTCGCAAGGCCGGTGAGTCTTTTCACACCTCTTCACTTAGCGACCACACCCACTGACGTATTCTCTAGGCGAGGACCCCAAAATCTACGGCCCCAACGAAATCAGAGGCTCCTTCTCCAAGCGCACCGACTTCAAACAAATGCTGGCCCTGATGTGGCGCCCGTACAAGCTCCTCGCCACGGAGCCCGTCATCCTTTTCCTCTGCCTGCTGTCTGGCTTCAGCGACGCCCTCATCTTCATCGGCCTCGACTCCTTCCCGCTCGTCCTCGGCCAGTTCAACTTCACCGTCATCGAGATCGGCCTCTCCTTCATCTCCCTCCTCGCCGGCTACATCATCGCCTACATCAGCTTCCTGGTCGTCTACGGATACGAGGGCCGTCAGAAGAAGAAAGGGAAGCAGTACACTCCCGAACGTCGTCTGTGGTGGCTCCTCTGGCTCGTCCCGCTGGAGCCCATCGGTCTGGCATTGTTCGGCTACGCGGCTTTCGGTCCACCCAAAGTACACTGGTGGGTCGCGATGCTCGGGGCGGCCTTCATCGGCATCGCCAACTTCGCCATCTACATGGCCACCATCGACTACATGATCGCGGCCTACCATCCCGTCGCCGCCTCCGCGACCGGTGGCAATGGCTTCTGCCGTGACTTCCTCGCAGGTCTCGCAGCGCTCTTCACCGGTCCGTTCTACAAGGAAATCCGACCGGGAACGAAGTGGCAGTTCTCGAGCCCGACGTTCATCCTCTGCGGGATCGGCACGCTGTTGTGCGTGCCGGTCTTCGTCTTCTACTTCTTCGGCGAGTGGTTCAGGAACCGGAGTCCGTATGCCACCCAGATCGAGAAGGAGCGCGAGGAGGACAGGGAGGCGAGGGAGCACGCCATCATCGAGAGCAGAAAGGTGACGCCGAAATCAACGCCTGCAGCATCGCGGGCGTCGTCTCCGGCGAGGGCGGGGAGAGTGGACCGTGGCGGGAGGATCATGGAGATGATGAGGCTGCGACCTAAGAAGGAGCCCATCGACATAGGCATCGAGGAGCTTGAAATATGATTGGGAGGTATGATGGAAAGGATGGAGTACATCTTCCTCTGAGCGAAGGTGCTGCGGCGTTGGCATCTTGCGATGCATCAAAAGTTTTAGGCGGGTTATAGATGGGTTTACTGACCTTGGTAGAATAGTAATCTTAATGCAGTTTTCAACAATACCTTCTTTCACATCCTTTTCACTATTCCTTCGCCTTCAGACCTTCGAGGTACCGTATCAGATCCTCAATCGTGACGGCCTTCAACCCGAACCTCTTTGCAAATGCGAGGCACCCATCCCGCCTCATCATACCAAAGCCTCCCGACATCTCCGCCTTGCCCTCTACCTCCTCCCCGTCCTCCACAATTTCTGACAAGACTCCCACCGGGGCTTTGCTAGCTAATTGACAGAACTCCACAGCCGCTTCTGTGTGTCCTGCCCGTGTCCGCACCCCTCCCTCCCTTGCTTGTAAAGGCACAATATGCCCAGGTTTTCGAAAATGCTCTTTCCGCACCTTGCCCTCCGCCAGCTTCCGGCATGTGAGACTTCGATCTTGCGCCGAGATGCCGGTTGTCACGCCCTCAGCAGCGTCAATCGTGATCGTGTAGGCAGTGCGATTAGGGTCGGCATTATGATTGACCATCTGCGGGAGTTCGAGCTGTGCAGCTAAGGAGGGCGGGAGAGCGGTGCAGAGAAAGCCAGAGGTGTGCCGGATCATGAAGGCGCATTTGGAGGGTGTCAGGTCGGAGGCGGCGATGATGAGGTCGCCTTCGTTTTCGCGGGAGGCGTGATCGAGGACTACGATGAACTCGCCCGCGCCTGCTCATTCTTGTCAGGTCTGGTGTGTAATGTAGGTAGAGTGGTTAAATGCTTACGGAAGGCTTCAATGGCCTCTGGGATGGTGTTGAAGGCGGAAGATACTCCGTTCGTCGTCGCCATTGCTACCAGTGCCACACGATTTCCTTCTATACCCGGCCGTCGAACAGTCTTGAACAGTCTAGCGAAATCCAATGCGTAGTACTTTGTGTATTCGAAGAATAAGGTCCAAGTGCTTGCAGTCTTAGCAGAGGATTAATATATAGTCGGGAGGATTACGGCAGCCCCCGGTCGGCGCACTGCTCTATCTACTATGATTGCTGTGTGCTCGAGCATACCCTCTTGGAAATACATCATGCCAGTATGGTAAGCATACCACCGTTATTCCGCGATCTAAAATTGTTTGTTCCAAGGTTGTAGCGCAAAAATGATGTGCGCCCGAAGCCGGCGTGATCATCCGAAATTCCGCTTGCCGAGGCCCGAACACATGAACATCGCCAAAAATGAATGAAACTTGCTAACAACACCACCATACAACCACATAGACCACATACATGATATGTATACCACAAGAACCGCAAAAGAGAATCTTGTAACGACACCTGAGTGATTCGAACACTCGCTCCCGAAGGAACTGCCTTATCAGCTCTTCCGAAAGGAAATAGCAGGGCAGCGCGTTAACCACTCCGCCAAAGTGCCTGGTTTTGAAAGGCCTCGTCCCATGCTACTGCTGGGTTTGGTGAGAGCATTGTCTTTCTAAAAAACATATAGCTCACGCAAACTTGAGCCGATGATCAGCCAGAGCTGGTCGAATGCCGGCCGACTTGCCTTCAAACGCCGAACAACAGCGCCATCAACCGGAAAAGCATCTTCCGTGACCCTTCCTTTGTCACCCACCTCGTCTCGAGGTCGCCGGGCAGCGACATCGGTTACATTGTACTTGTGACGACTCTTGGTCAACATCAGAGCTCTAGTCGATGGTAAGAGGTATTGAATTGCTTTCGTGACTGTCGTCTCACACCAACCCTTCATTTTGCCTCCCGTTTCTTTGACATTACAACCTAGAGCAGCCAAACAGCCACATAAATCAGCATGAACATCCTCATCACCGGCGCGGGCGGCTTCCTAGGCCAACTCCTCGCCGAGCACCTCCTCAAGGACGGCCACACCTTGATCCTAACCGACATCTTCGAGCCCCCCGTCCCACCCGGCGCTGAGTCCAACAAGGACAACACCACCTGCATCAAAGCCGACATCCACGATGAACCCTACTCCGTGCTCTCGAAAGACCTGGACGCCATCTACGTCTTCCACGGCATCATGTCCTCCGGCAGCGAAACGAACCTCGAGCTCGGGTATCGCGTGAATCTGATCAGCACTCTAAACCTCCTCGACGCCGTGCGTAAAACCTGCAATCCAGGAATCAAACTCATCTACGCTTCTTCCTGCGCGGCTTACGGACAACCGCTTCCCGAATGGCCGTCTGAGACGACTATTCCTACGCCGTCCGGGAGTTACGGGACGCAGAAGATCATGATCGAGCAGGTCGTCAACGACTACACGCGTCGCGGGATTATCAACGGGATCAGTTTCCGTTTCCCGACGATTTCTGTCCGGCCGGGGAAGCCTTCTCAAGCGGCGAGTAGTTGGATGAGCGGGATGATTCGCGAACCGTTGCAGGGTTTGGAGAGCGAGTTACCTGTTGAGGATGATTTTGAGTGCTGGTTGGGCAGTCCGAAAGTCCTGGCGGAGAATCTGAAGATTGCTCTTACGATTCCGAGGGATGCGATGCCGGTTCATGTGCGGCAGGTGAATATGCCTGGGATCACTGCGACGGTCAAGGAGATGTTGCAGGCTTTGAGGGATGTTGGTGGGGAGGACGCTGTGAAGCTGGTGAAGAGGAAACCGTTGGACCCCGAGACGCAGGCGGTGCTGGAGAGTTGGTCGGTGAGGTTTGATGTTTCGAAAGCGCTGGGTTTGGGTTTCAAGCCTGAGCAGCCGTTTAAGGGCGCTGTGGAGGACTTTGCTGCTAGTTTGAAGAAGTAGGCTTAACACGTATCTGACGCATCGGCTTCTATCTTCAAGCCTTCCCACTGCTCCCCAAATGATCCATCCACTCCTCACAAGCCTTCTGTATCAGATCCGTCCCTTCATCCATCAAACTCGTCAACGGCTTCTTGCCCGTATTGGTCTTCGCATAGTCAAAGTAAGGATCCATGACCAACTTGTTCACATTCACCCTCGTCACGCCCAACTTGATGCATTTGGCCATGATGTCCGGCGGGAAGCCATTAGTTCCGTGCAGCACAATCTGCACCTTGCCATCACACTTCTTCTGTATCGACTCCAACCTACACCCTTCTATTAGTACCACATCCCAGTTCACCCCCCCTCGAAAATGCAAGACTCACCTCGGATAATCCAACTTGATATTCTCCACCCCGCCATACTCCCCATGCACATTCCCAAACGCAGGCGCCAGGAAATCAATCCCGGTGTCCACAAACTCATCCACCTCCTCCGCCGTCGTCATCATGCCCTCCAGCTCCGCCGTATCCTGCACCCCGTCCTCCCCGCCTTCAATCCGGCCCGGCTCCGCCTCCGTCGCGATCCCCTGATCATGGCACAACGCGACCAGTTCCCGCGTCTTGGCCAGGTTCTCCTCTTTCTCGTAGTGGCTCATATCCACCATGATTGAATCAAAAGCCGGCGTGCCGTCTTCCGCCTTGATCTTGGCGACTTTCTTAATCACCTCCGGATCCTGCGCGTGGTCCATGTGTAGCGTCACGGGCACGGAAGCGGAGCGGCAGGCGTGCGCGACAAAGTCGACGAAGAGGGGGGAGTACTTGTATGCCCAGGGGAAGAGGAGGATTTGGATCGGGGACTTTTTGGCTTCGGCGGCGCGGATGCAGGCGATGAGCGTTTCCATGTTGTAGGTCACGACGCCCAGGACGCCGTATTGGCCGGCGCGGGCGGCGTTGAGCATCTTGACCGCGCGGTTGGAGGAGAGCTTCTGGAGGGCCATGGTGGTGGTTGTGTGGGGGTGTGTTGATGTTGAGAAGGGGGTTGATGTTAGGGAAGCAGATGTGATGAGAATGAAAAGCTGTACAGCGTTGTGAGAAGACAAGTACTTTACCTTGCTCCTACGACACCATCAACATCTCCCGACTTTAACCATTGGCAACCCCACCAAGTGGTAAAGATGACGGAGGGGCAATGCCTCGTCGAAGCAGCACTTCCGTTCCGGTATCGGCTTCTGGGCGAAGAGGTCGATCAAACGCCGACTCCCAACCTGAAGCGTGTGAGCGAAAGGAGGAAACGTCGACTTTTTCGCCGATACGACTCGATGATCGTACAGCAAATCGATACAAAGTTAAAAGTAGCGCGAGCTCTGGGTATAGTGCGCATACTGCGTGAAGCAAACCTGCCGACCCTTTGGCAACCCACCCATCCCCCCACCCACTGTGACGCCGGGAAAGCGCCAAATTATTCAACATTACAAGAGCAGTAGAAGTCCTAGTCCAAAGCCAACAGAAGCGGCAGCAAAGGATGCAAAGGTGAATTGCGTGCCAGGCGTGGATCTGTGTGACGCCGCAGATGCCTGGCTGGGTGTGGCCGTCGCTGTGTAGACACCCGTAACCTTCGTCGATGCGGCCTCTCCAGTACTCATCGGATGGCCAGGCACACCAGCGGCAATCGTGCTTTCGGGATAAGCAGACGTCACATCGTCGGGATCGAGGTAGTATATGCCGTTGGCGACGGCGCCTTCGCCGGCCAGCATGCCTTCGGTGTCATCGTCGCTGCAACTCGCGTTCCATGCTCGGACCCAGCAGGTCGGGGTTGGCGAGTATCTTGCGGTTGTGGTGAAAGTTGCGTTCGCAGGCCCAGTGGAGCCGAACGTAGAAAGGTCGATCAAGTTACCCGTGGCAATTTCAAGCCCGTTGATGATACGGGCGAAGACATTGAAGGCGGTCTCTGGCTGATAGTAGGGAACGAAATGGCCAGCCTGGTATATCCTGCTGAAGCTCAGATTGCCGTACTGCCGGACCGCACCACCGATGTAGGTCTTGTTGGGCACGATCTGAGAGTAGCCAGCAGCTGGGAAGCCGTCCGCGTACGTAGGAGGCGCGTCTGTCCCTGGCACTGCACTCGCACTCGCAGCGGACGGGTAGTCAGTCAGCTCTGCTGCGAGAGCAAGACTAACAGCCTCTCCACCGAACCAGTTGCACAGATAATCAGCATCGCCGTAGATGAAAGCAACTCGGACTCCACCACGTATGAGGTTCGCCAGATCCTGGATGAGACCGCCTCGGATGGTGTCGCCGGTGGAGATGAAACCAGCCTGCACGTATGGATTGCTCTCCGTGAAGTTGACCTTCGCACCTATCGCCGCAAGCACAGTCTCGTTGTTGAGGTACTCTTGGTACGCTGCAGGGGGATCCGGACTTGGTAGTTGTTGGCGGATGTCGTATGGATAGTAACCACCATTGTTGATGAGGCTGACGATTTCATTGCAGGCGGCCTGCGCACGCTCACAGAGCGTGTTGGTGGAAGTGACGTCGCCGTACCCTTCTGGATCTGATCTCGCCATGGCACTGCGGCAAGCTTGAATCGCAGGCGCGCAGGAATAGGTATAGGCTGCTCTCGCGTTGAGCCAGTCCACCTCGTTGAGTGCCTCGATGCCGTATGTGTTGTTGTAGCCAAAGTCTGGAAAGTACTGGTCTTGTATGAGATCGTCGATCAGACCATTGATGATTCCAACGACCTCAAGCCTGACCTCCAGCGTCTCGTTCCTCGGTAAGGACCCATTCAGACGAGCCTGGTTCTGCTCTTCAAAGTAAGACGCAAATACCGGAGCGTACTTCCCGCCGTACGATTCCGCGAACAAGTTGACGCCGACAGGCCCATTGACTTGCGAGTTGGTGTTGTTCGGCCGGACTCCTGGATTGTACTTTGGAAACGTCGCCAGCCACGACTGCAAGAAATGCCATGTCGCTCGCGCAGCAATCTCTGTCGTGTTCGCAGTCGTAGCCCAAGGCTTGCCATCATCGTCCGTACTGGCAGACCCAAAAGTACCATTGAGGTACATGAAATGCGGAAGTCCCGTATCAGGAGGTGTGGGAGGCTCAAATACCTCCCCCGTAAGAAGGTCGAAAGAAGCGTTGGTCGCGACGTCGTATGAAAACCCAACGTTATTGGGCTGGTCAATGAACAGCATATTGCTGCTCCGGTCCCAACCCCACAGATTCGTCTGCGTGCCGTATGTGCCATCCGCTAATTGTACGACCTCACAGGGCCCCAGCTCGTTGAACAGACCGAACATGCTGCTCGTCCCCGGTCCTCCGCTCAGCCATATTGTCAAAGGCGAGACGCTGGGATTATCGCGCGCTTCGACAAACCAAAAGAATGTGTTTATGGAATAGTTCTGCTGTATGGGCGCTAGTGTGAAAGGAGGTATGCTGATGTAGCCAGTGTATTGTTTCTGTGAGGATATTGCCGTCATGCATGTCCCTGGTGGAGGCTCCTTGTATGATATGGTGATGTCCCGGTTCAGCTTGGACTCGAGCACGTTCGAGTATGATACCGGCGGAGGGGTGTGCGAGAGGGCATTGGAGGGTGAGAGGAAGGTGGCCACCATAGCCAGCAGTGCTGGAGGAAGTCTGAACAACTGCATGGCGAATGTGTTAGTCCTGCTGCTCCGCGGATGTCTCCAATGCTTCTGCTGCCATCTGCGACAGCCGTTGAGGAAGCTCACCTCCATGATGACCTCCGCGCCGCAACCTCTCTTTCTCTTCAACGCTGCACCATTGGCCTTCCCCTGTCGCTCGCCGTAATGCTGCTGGGCGGACAGTCAGACATATGTCCCACCGGCGACGATGAGAAGGAGTTGGTGGAGAGGCTGACCTGATCGAAGGCGGTAGCACGCAATCGCAGGGTCGGCCAAGGGTTCTCACGGTCTCGCGTGGCGCAACACGCGGCTCTGACTCCGAAAACGGTTATTGCTCTTGATGCAAGGTACCCGGCTTTTCTTCGCGCCAATGGCTGAACATATACTTCGATCTGAGATACTACTCTACATGTACGCTACGTGTGCCTTTGATAAGAATGATGAAAAAACGGACAACATGGATTGGTCGCTTATGTACGAAGACGCCAGCAATTCCACGCTTCCGCCCCCAACACGAGCAACGTTGTGCGGGCTGAGATGAGATACAGGATCAAGCTAGCAAACACGACACGATTCCTCTGTCCTTCAGGCTCCAGCCTCACGGGCTGTTAAAGAATGCTTGGTTGGTGGTTTTATCACGAAGGCCATGGTCGAATCGTAAGCACCTCCATGCTGAGGCCATGTCATTAACGAGTCTGCTATTGATCACGCTCAAGCCACCCTGGGCAGCGCTGTCCACCAACTCCACGCCGAAGAATCATAACGTCAAACCACCCCTTCGAAAGAGTGTAGGCGCAGCGCAGACTACAGAGCTCCAGCATCGAACGCAAATTCCTCCTTGCCCGTATGAGCGCTCTTCTCCTCGTCACTGCTCCGCTTTGTCACGACGAAGTTCATGTCGGTGTGAATGTAGAATCCAACAGCCATCTCGTTGAACGGCTTCGCCAGGCTGCACGGCTGCAGGTTGAAGCGGAGTAGTGTCTGTTCCATCATTAGCTCCATCGTCCTGAGAGCAGGATCGGATGCGTTTACCTCAATCACAGCCTTATTCAACTCCATCGTCGCCACCCCTCGCCCCAGGCACCCATACTTCCCATACCCGAAGCACAATCCCACCGTCTCCGTCATCCTTCCGATCCGCCGCTGCTCGTCCTCCCCACGATTGCGAGGTAACCACCTCTCCGGCCTGTAGATCTCGCAGTCGGGCCCAAAGATGTCCTGATGCCGCGTCATGCCCCAGCTGTTCCAGCCGATCTGCGTTCCGGCGGGGATGAACTTCTCGACTCCGTCGACGTCGACAGTGACACCTCCTTCTGGGGCGAGCTTGGCCATGAGTCCAGTGACGGGAGGGTACACGCGTAAGCCTTCCTTGATGCATGCTTGCAGGTACGGAAGTTCTCGAGCTTCGGAATCTTTGATGACTGGTCTCGAGATCTTGCCTGCCTCCATCGCCGCGTTCACTTCTGCCAAAAGACGCTCCAATATTGGCGGCGAGGTACAGATAAAGTGCAGCGTCATCCGCAACGCCGAAGCGGTACTATCAGAGCCAGCGGTAATCTGCGTAAGCGTCTCGCTCTCCAGCTCACCCTGCGTAAGGCCATGCTTGATGAAAGAGCCAAGCATATCCTGTCTTACGATAGCTTTTTGGCCGAATCGCTCCTGCACACGATCTCGCGCAAAGCCCATCACACGGCCCAAGCCACGTTTGTCAGTCGATTTGGGGAGTGCAGATTTCATAAGAGGCATCTTAAGGATCTTCGTGAGCTCTGTGTAGACTCCGAACACGATGATGGCTGGGAGGAACTGTTCGAGGTTCTTGAGGTAGCCGAACGGATCCTCATCGCGCTCGAGGAAGCCAAAGGTCTGGCCGAAAGCCACTTTAGAGATGACATCGAGCGTGAAGTAGTTGGTCACTTGTGAGAGGTCGACAGTCGTGAAGACGCCTTCGTCCGGTTGAGTGACGTACTTTGAGTTGATCAGATCGAAAAGCTTGAGTAGCTGCTCATCGACGTCCTGCTCGAGGTGCTCGTTCTCCTTGCCGGCGTACCCAAAACCCATGCGGCTGCGCAGGTCATTGTGGATGTTCTCATCTCGGATAGAGACCACGTTCTCTCGCTCCGGGTGAAGCTTCAGAGCAGCGTACCACGGCCCACGTGTGAATGGTGACCTCGCGGCGCTCATGCGGCGGATGAGGACTGGGTCCGCTGTGATGAGCATAGACGGCCCAATGCGAGCAGTGGAGCCTGGTGTCCCATGTCAGCCAGGGTATCTCGGCGCTCGCGGCGAGCTTCCTGCCATGTTTCGAATGTCAACGGACACATGCATCGGCGATCAACAAGAAGAGAAGTCAGGTGACTCTCTCCAATGTGACAAGTCACCCAATCGAGCCGTCCTGTGCCACCGTTGAGGCCGAGTCGGAGAAATCCCACTACGCCAAAAGCTCCCGACAGTCTGGTCTCGCGAACTCACCATGTTTATCGGTAATCTTCGTGAACCTCTTGTTCATCTCCCCACTGCTCTGCGTCTTGAGCAGCCATAGTCTCGACCAGCCCGCCGACCAATGACCTCCGAAATGCCTGAGTGCGATGAATGTCCGGATACTGCGTGCGATGTATAGCGTGGCGAGTGCAAAGACCAGTATGAGCCATGCGGCGGCCATGATGGGCGAGTGGGGAGCCAATCCGTGGCAGCGCTTCTGTTTCCAGCGTCTTGCAGCAAAACGGGCGGGTGACTGTACGCAGTCGCGTCCACGCTGCTGGGTCTGCGCTGATTGCTCAAGTGCTCGTCATGTGGGAATTGCGTGGTCGATGATTGCGACGTGTCGTGCAAGAGGGGCAGCAGAGGAGTTGGCGAAAGAAGGGTGGTAGCAGAGCTGCGAGTTGCATGTGGTGGGAGTGGCTAAAGGCGGCATGAAGAGGGATAATATTGAATACCTAGTACCTGTCGAATGAACCGTGCCCGCACTCTCGACGAAGCGAGCCTCTTGCTCAGCCCATAGCAGCCGTTGAAGCCAGAGAATGCATCCAACTTGTCTTTATCGGTGCATCCCTCCGTGCGTGCTTGGAGTGAGACAGGGTGACGACCTCACGCCCGCACGAAAGAGGCGCGAGAGGCCCACGGGATGTGCTCGTTACCGAAGCGAGCGCAGTGAACTAAGCAAGGATCTCTCTTTCTCCACACCAACCTGGTGAGATGGGAGGTCTTCGCTTTCGTTCATGGCACCAGGGAGTCAACACTTGCAGTGCCCGTCAACTGATGGCTACTAGTAGATCTACCACTCCTCTTGTCTCTGTCAATACATGTACGATAGCAGGGAAACATTGGATGATACTGCTCGCCCGTTGGCTACCTGCTGGAGACGATGCTAGCAGCTCGCGTGGAGGGCGCTACCTTGCATGCGCCATTGCCGGCACTCGCAGCTTCGGCGAACGGGAATCTGTACCACCTCAATGGAGGTCCACGCGCTGTACGACGGCGTGCGTGGGTGGCAAGGATGACGAGAGCGGGTCAATGTTCCCAGAACCACAGTCTGAGATCCTGAAAAGAAACCTCAACGTCTACCGAAGCAAAGGTTGTCGCGCCGCGCCGGTGGCAGCTGTCAAACAACCACACTAGATATTTTAGACAAGTGCCTAACCGTCTGATCGTCCGTCTTGCAGCTGCCTTCTCATCCCAACGTTGATCTTCTTCCTCCTGCAAAGCAGTTTCCCTCTGGACAAACGGTCGTGCATTGGACGTCAACCACACTTCGAAAGCTACTGCAAGTGGAGCTCAGTCGTGCGACCTCGCGAGAGAGCATTCTATTCCGAACTTTGAGACTGCCACGTGCGAGACAGACACACTCATCTGCACTATCGAAGCCTCACGACGCCATCGGATGCTAAGTCCGTCGATCTGATGGCGGACGATGCTGGCGGACGTGGCGATCGGACGAAACCAGCGGGGAGTGTCCAGCAGATGTTGACGGACATCACCAACACCGGAGCCGCTGATGCGAGTGGCAACAGTGTTACCGACAAAGCTGGCACCACGGACGACACCCAGTACAGACCTGCCACCGCCACGCCATCGCTCCAGACACACGCCAGTGTCGATTCGGCCTTCGAGGACTCCGACTCCAGATCTTCTCGACAGGCCCAACATGGCAACCAGCAACCACAAAACGCAGGCGACGCACCCATCATCACCACCGGCTACGAGGAGCTAAACATCACCCACGAGCAAGCAGAAGGCCTGCACCACGCGCTGGTGGGCGAGCAATTGGCAGAGGAGCAGGACCTCATAGTAGATGTGCGTCGCATCCCCCGGCGTCACCGACGCCGCAGGCGTGTCAGTGGAGAGTCTTCTCACCAGTATGTGTCTTCGTAGGAAAACGACAGCGACTCGGCTCTCGGGAGCGACACGTGCGTAGTCCTACGAGCGAATCGCGCATGACGGCGGTGGCTAATCGTGGCGGCTGCAGGGAGAGCACGACTACGAGTCTGAGTGAGAGTATATGGAACTATCGCAAGGAGCACGGGCGGACGTACCATGGTGAGTGGTAGATGCATACCTCGCACTCATCTCCACCACGCTCGCTCGGGTGGAAGAGTTGGACGCTGACTTGGTGGTTCCAGCGTACAAGGACGGAAAGTACATCTTTCCAAACGACGAGGTAAGCCACTGAACCCAGTATCGCGGAAGAGACAGCAGCCATTTCCAACTTCTCGGAATTTCTCCAAGCCCACGTCCAGGAACACCCGTAGTGACATGAGTGGGACGAACACGAGGCCGAAAGCCTCCCGAGCAGCCACCGCTGATCCTGACTTAGCGCGAAGCCGACCGTCTTGACCTGCAACACCACCTCTTCCGAATAACATTTGCAAATCACCTGTACTTTGCGCCGCTGCACAGTCCGAGGCGGGCGCTCGATGTCGGGACGGGCACGGGTATCTGGGCGATGGAGTTCGGTGTGTTCGGAAAGCCTTCTGCGTGGACAAAGCTGATGCAGGAACAGCGGATGAGTTTCCTGACTGTGATGTGATCGGAATCGATCTGAGTCCCGGGCAGCCGCAGATGTGCGTAGATGGCCATGTCAGATGTGGTCTGAAACCGCTCGCTGATCCAAACTTAGGGTGCCTCCGAACTGCAAGTTCATCATCGACGATGCGGAGGACCTCTGGGTATATCCTGAGAAATTCGACTACGTCCATGCGCGGCTCATGGCAGGCTGCTTCGCGGATTGGCCGGCCTTCTTCCGCCAGGCATACGAGTAAGACAAATTGCTCCTTCCATTTGGTATTGCGTACACTGACCACTCCCGTAAGAAACCTCGAACCAGGCGGTTGGCTTGAGATCCAGGATTACGGCCTCCCCGTCCGCTCCGCCGATGGCACCGCTGACGGCACCGACCTGATGAAATGGGGCGAGCTTCTCTGCGAAGCGGCGCGAAACATGGGCCGCCCGATGGGCACCGACTGCGCCGACCACTACGTCGCGCAAATGACCGAAGCGGGCTTTGTGGATATCAACCAACGAATGTTTATGTGGCCTTCGAACGGTTGGCCCAAAGACCCGCTGATGAAGACGCTCGGCCAGTGGAACCAGACGAACATCCTCGATGGCCTGGAAGGGTTCTGTCTGGCGCTGCTGACGAGGGGGTTGGGGTGGCAGAAGGCGGAGGTGGATGTGTTTGTGGCGAAGGTGAGTAGGGATTTGAGGAGTAGGAAGATTCATGCCTACTTCCCCATGCCGGTCACTTATGCGAGGAAGCCGTTTCCTGGGGAGGTGCCTTTTCGGCAGTGAGTGTGAGGGGAGTTTTCGGACAACAGAACGGATTGGAGACGTGTGTGAGTGGCGCATTAATGTGCTGAAGCGTTTTGCATCGTTGAAGCGACCTTGCAGATAGTATAGTCAATACGGCCAGCAACTGAACAGGACATGCAAACCAGCCCAAATCAGCCGTTCGAGTTCTTGCGACAACATTAAGAGGAGTGGTGGTTGCGCGGTTGTTCCACTCATCTCGACTGTAACAAGGTGTCCAGGCCATGTCTAGGCGCCTGGTCGCATTCACTGATAGCCGCCTGCCATCGTGCGTCGGCCTCAGATTCCAGACTCAGCGGCTACATATGCACATGCAACATGCATACGGATGTTCTGCGCGCGTTCCGCCAGATGCCGTAGTGTTGGTCTCGAACATGGATCCAACTCTGAGACCTGTTCTGTGGTCGTGAACGTGAAGCGATGTATGTTCACTTGGGTAGATATGGATTGAGTGAATGTAGTGCTTGGAGACGTGAAGTTGGATGCTTTCACTTACAAGTGAATGAATGAATGAATCGCTTGCGTGGTGATGAGGTGATGACACATGCCAGAAGCTTCGACCAACTTCGCCAAGCCTTCCCCAGCTGCGCCTGCCTCTTCCGCTTCCTGCCTGCTTATAAGCAGTCCAACCTTCCTTCACCGACCTGTTCTTCTACCACAACCTCACAACTTCGACATCCACATCACACGTCGACACACATCATATCAACAACTCACTACATCAACCACACGCCACACTCACCACCGCAAAGATGCAGATCTTCGTGAAGACCCGTAAGTAGCCTTACCCCGCCAGGCCGTCATCGCCACCTGGTCGCGTCACGACCTTGATCATCTGCTAACATCACTTCAGTCACCGGCAAGACCATCACCCTCGAAGTGGAATCCAGCGACACGATCGACAACGTCAAGTCAAAGATTCAGGACAAGGAGGGCATTCCACCAGACCAGCAGCGCCTCATCTTTGCTGGTAAGCAGCTTGAGGATGGACGGACACTGAGCGACTACAACATCCAGAAGGAGTCCACTCTGCACTTGGTGCTTCGCCTGCGTGGCGGCCAGTAAGGGGTGCAAGGGATGGGTGTGGGTGGCGTTGACTGATTAGCGATGGATGATTTAACGAGCATGGCTGGGTTGTCACAGAATACCCTCCATCTACATGAAATAGCCTTCATGAATTGAGCGGCTTCAAAGCCAGCTTCCAATTTCACCTGTGTATCTTCCTGTTCGAACGAACTCTCTCTGTTCCATCAACTTATCTTCCTGTGCTCTTTGACCAACTGACTAATGCCCACGTTATTTGGTGGCGCAGAAGATACTCGCGTTTGCCGACCTGAATCTACAACTCCCGCCTAGAATGGTCTTCGCAACCCACACTCGTAGCCGTGAGAAGGCGCAATAGACCAAAGACCAACACCACTTCAGACATCATCAAGATGAACACAGTAGGTTGGAACTTCCTGTAATGCCTTCCTACTTCTTCCACTTGAAGCTTGAGCTCTACCAAACACCTGCAGCGCCCAACAAGAGTCGCCAGCTTGACCTCACGACTGCAAGGACAGCACCATACCTGCCTACACCGGACGCGAACATCTTCAAGACGCGATTGCCGGCTCACAAGACATCAAAGTGGTCTTCATACAGCTTTCCGAGGCGTCCGGACACACCTCATACGAACTCCACCGGGTCTGAGGCTTCTGGTTCACCGCATCAGATACCGCCCAGTGAGTTCGCAGAATCTCACGGCGATGCGCTGCTGCTGCCTGAGCGGACGTTGAACAGGCACAGTGCCCCGAAGTCGCCGGCAGTGGGAACGACGAAGCCAAAGCCATCAAACGAAGCGGCGGCGAGAGACTACCGGTACGACGCCGTGTGCATCGAGAGCATCGATATGGAGAACAGCAAGAGCCAGCAGGTGAAGGGCGGAACGAGCGGGCTTCACACCAAGGCAGCGTACATCCCCTCGGATCCGAAGACCACGGAGGTTGGCTGGGGTGTGGTGCATTTGTATCGCGACACCGAGGAGAGTGCAGTGCTTGAAGATGATGCTGGAGGTCGCAAGAGCTTGGAAAGGGCACGGCAGGACAGCAGCGATCATTTCGATCCGGATGAGTGCACCACGCTCTGCATCCTGGCTGTGCCTTCATGGATGATGCCGTCAGATCTACTGGGCTTTGTGGGTGATCAAGCGAGGGAGGACGTCAGCCACTTCCGCCTCATACGGACTGGAAGGGCGAACAAGTACATGGTGCTGATGAAGTTCCGTTCGCCGAAGCGGGCAAAGGAGTGGCAGAAGGCGTACAACGGACGGCTGTTCAGCGCTGCAGAGCCCGAGAACTGCCATGTCGTCTTCATCAAGAGCGTGGAGTTCCTCTCGTCAGAGTCGGATGAGGTCGAGCAGGAGGGCAAGAGCTTCCCGCAGAACAACCAGCACGATCCTTTCACCCCAGCTCACCACGTCCCATCAAGAGCCGAGAAGAGCCTGTCGAGCAAGCCGCTTGCTCCACCGCCACCGAACCTGCTCGAGCTTCCAACGTGTCCAGTATGTCTGGAACGAATGGACGAGACTAGTGGTCTCCTCACAATCCTCTGCCAGCACGTCTTCCACTGCGCGTGTTTGGAAAAGTGGCGCTTTCCCGGCTCAGGATGTCCGGTCTGCCGCTACACTCAGTCACCCTCATACACATTTCCTTATCCGCGGCCCTCATCATACACCGGTGAAGAAGATGAGCCAGAGCCCATGTGCTCCGTTTGCGCTGAGAACTCCAATGTCAATCTGTGGATCTGCCTCATCTGTGGCAACATTGGCTGCGGTCGCTACGACAGTGCACATGCTTACGCCCACTATGAAGAGACGTCCCACTGCTACGCGATGGACATCAGCACGCAGCATGTCTGGGATTATGCCGGAGATGGTTATGTGCATCGGCTGATCCAGTCGAAGCCGGACTTTTCTTCACAAGCCAAGCAGCCAGGCTCCGCAAGTCTGATCGATGTTGGAGCGGGCAAGTCACGGCACGAGAACGAAGCATACAGGACTGAAGGCGAAGACATGGTGCCGCGGGAGAAGATGGAGAGTATGGCGAACGAATATACATACCTGCTCACCTCCCAGCTCGAAGGGCAACGGCGGTACTTTGAGGAACAGGTCGAGCGTGCTGTCGATAAAGCCACGCAAGCATCCGTCAAAGCTGAAGCAGCCGCGTCCCAAGCGGCGAAGGCATCCGCAGATTTCGAAGCCAGCCAGACCGAGCTCTCCATCGCCCAAACCACTATGACACGACTAGAGAAAGCCCTCGAGAAATGCGAAAAGTCCCGCACCAAATTCGAACAACTCTCTCGCAGCCTCTCCAGCCAACTGCAGGAAGAAAAAACCATCAACTCTGGCCTCCTCGAGCGGATCAAAGCTGCGGACCAGAAGGCGGAAGCTGCAGGGATGGAAGCGGAGAAGGCTAGGCAGGAGAAGAAGGAGCTGGAGGATATGAATCATGATCTGACGAGTTTCATCTCCGGGCAGGAGAAGGTGAAGGAGTTGCAGGCGCAGGGGGAGGAGGTGGAGGAAGGGGGGGTTGGGGTGGTGGAGAGGCCGAAGAGGGGGAAGGGGAAGGGGCGGAAGAAGTGAGGTCTTGCTTGTTGGGGACTGGATGTGCATTCTTGAAGTTAGCGAAGATACCCCAGTATTGACTGTTGCAGCAAAGTATTGATATTCGAAGAAGGGTAGATACAGAAGACTGCCTATGGTGTGCTCTTCCCACAGCGCCGTCATCGTATTGTTCTCTTCATGAAGCACGTGATCATTTCGATTGCCGAAGATCCGCCGCGCACAGACATCATCTATCTCTCTCCCAAGTTGACCGCAGGCGTGCTTCCATTCTTCCAATGCACTGAATCGACCACACTATGGCAACACCCGACACAGCTGTCCCGTCCTGCGTTGGCTCCAATTACGCTCGATCCAGTCCAGGAACGAAGCTCGTGCGATTTGGCGGTGAAGCTCATGGTTGATGCCCAGCGGCATGCTAATGCACTCCACAGACAGCGTAGACGCCGTAGACGCGGGATGCTGTCCACTCGCCGCATTGCTGACCATCGTTTGCGAGCCCAGTGTGATGGCGGATCAACAAGATACTCGACTCAGCACCATCGTGGGCCGGCGAAAGTGGTGGATGAGAATGCCACTTGGCCCTGCAGTGAAGGCTATGCGCTGTCTTCGGTGCTCGAGGACCGATCCTACAGCCCTGCATTGTCGAGCAGACGTTGCCAATGGGACGGTGCCACAGAGACGGTCTACCCACGCACTCTCCAGCACCAAGCAGGGGGTACCGCAACCCCTGCTCTCGTCGTGAGAAGCTCAAAAACACGAGAGCATTATCGTCGTGGCGTTCTCTTGTGTAACCATCGCGCCTTCTCGACCAGGTTGTCGACTCCACTCTCTCGCAGATGCAGCGCTTGGTGGAGAGTTTATTTCATCCGCTGTCGGCAAGGGAGCAATGCACTTTCGCGAGGCCACTCGTGAGTCGTTCTCACGCTCGGGATGCCGGCCGATGAAGAGCTAAAAGTCCCGCCCAATGCTCATCAGCGCCGGAATCGTGGCTTGCCCTGCAGCGCAAGCACCTCACTTGACAACACATACCTGCCTTTACGCTATCAGGCAACCGTTCCTTTCGGTAACACATGGCCATTTCCGGGAAGAATTGAATGGACGACTGAACTGCACGAGCGATCCACAGCACTTTGACGATGAGTGGAAGTGAATGTTCTCACGCACGGTGACCGCTGCCCTCCATTACACGACATTCCCGACAAGCTGTCTCCTGCCACGAGCCTTCATGATCTTCTTCGAAGTGCGGTGGCACAGCTATGATCTGCACCTTTGACGTGGTCGACGTCTGCAGTAGCCTTCTCTTCCAATTCTCCTAGCGCTCAAGCACTGACATGGCTAACCGCATAGAATTCTCCTGTGGAGCTCAACGTTCATGCTCCAACACCCGCAGTCTTCTGAAGCAACCTTGACCGTGGAGTGATGCACAACATCACGTCCAGCCTTGACTGGCCTGCTGCAAGTGTACCTGACGCACTGACTCCGCACAAGATGTGTTTCGTGCTGCAACATTTTTGCCCGTCGGTGGTTCGAAATCCTGGGCATCCTGATCTGCACCGGGAGGTGGTTGTTACCCTGCGGAGCTCATGCTCGATCTTCAACCTCCTCTGGTGGAACTGCACGCCAGCTCATCACTATGGGGCCTGGCTCCCGGTAGGCTTGGGATAGCCGGTGCAGCACTCTGCGGTCCCATTCCAATGGCATGGTCTCAAGAAAACGCACCCTCTCACCGGTGCCCTCTCGGGTGGGATGCCTTTCATGCTTCATGTCTGTTCAAGATTCATATACCGCTGTCTCTGTTTTCGTCTTTCTGCAAGCGTCGACCATTCGTAGCATTTCCTTTGCTTGACATCTCCCCGTAGAGTCATCCACCTGCACACATCGCTCTCTTCGCCCACTAGGCGTCGCCATACACCGGCTCTTCAACTGCTGTGCAACGCCAGCGTACGGCTTTCAACGCCTTCTATCAGCACGTTGCCGCATTCGACCGCCGGACAGCAACCAAACGACCAATCTCCCTCCGCCACACTGTACTGGACCGAGTCCGATTGGAGTGAACATGTTCTATCGGATGTATCTCTCAAGTACGTTGACGCTCAACGATCCCATATCAGATATGCCGGCAGATACATCAGAATATCAAACATCGTTGAGCGGATTTGGCTGACATTTCTGCCCAACACAGGCCTCTGTCAACGTCGGCAATGGTCCGATCCCGTCTATGAACCCTACCACACGCGCAGCGGCTACTTCTGCAAGGCCATCGTCAACAACCGGGAGTATGTCACAGATCATCCGTACGAGACAGAAGAGCTGGCACGGGATGCAGCAGCGATGAACGCCTTCATGATCTGCCGCAGTTTCTCATCCAATGATGGCTACTATCCCGGCCAACGACCCGGGCAGCGGTCGGCCAATGGCGTTGCTCAAGGCGTGCCGGTGCCGATCGGTAGCGGGAGGAAAGTCAAAGTCAATCGGATATCGGCCAGCAGCTACGACAGCAACGCCTCTGACGAGAGCACGACGAGTGGTGAGACCAGCCCCACGAAGAGCGAGGAAGACGTCTTCGAGGACCAGATGCGTCAGGCTGCTGGCGGGGCGTTCGAGAACCAACTGCGACAGGCTACGCCGCACATGCCGAAGCCGGTTGCGAGGCAGCGGAACGATGTCGAGCATCAGTACATCTGTCGGTGTCGACGGGCGCCGGTGCATTCCTATGGACGCTGCCAGTGGTGCCTGAGGGAAACCTGGTACGCATGATGAAAAGAAGCATTGCCTGCGTCATCGCTGCATAGCATGTTGCATGGCCGCAACGCAATTCTGGGCGTTCGAGGAGGCCGCGAGGCTTAATGATGATATGACGATACGGACGATTTGATGATGGTTCCTTTCCAATTCAATTCATACGGTGCCCGGATCGCTGGATTCAGAACAGCACTGGTGCGATAGAAAAGTTCCGACGGATGTGACGATACTGTCGCTATGTTTGCATTTAGATTGTGGTGTCATGGATGTGGTGTCATGGAGGCATGGCGGAGGTTCGCATCTCACGATTTGGGTTCTCAGCTCTAGCATGTGCAATGAGAGGTTCAGTATCTTACTGCGTCCATCCCTTCATCCATTTTTCTCTTGGCGCTCAATTCTGTCGCCTCTCAATTGTATTGCCAGCCTTGCTGTACGTCGGCGTCCAAAACCAGCTCTGCGGCACAGTCTGGCGTGACCTCGAGCCTTGTTGAGCTTCGCTCGCGTCGATTCTCTTTACTTTCATATCACTGACAACATGCCAGATCGCATTGCATTACCAGTAGCTAGATCGCAGCTACCGGCAAAAACACAACTAACAGCAACAAATTCTCAGCCTGTTCCAAAATGCATGGCACTATCGAGCAATGGTTCCGAATGCCCACGAGTGCCCACTCACCACAGCTACAAGAACTGTTCGAAGCACCACGGAGAGAAACAAGGGCTCCACAAACGATACAAAGCACGGCAAGCAAGCTATGAGGCCATCCACACCGACGATAACACAACGGCCACGGATGATCTGAGACGCAAGCTGGAATTTGGTCGTGAAGTACTGGAGCTCCGGGATGAGACCAACCGCCGATTTTACAATACTGAAGCAACGAATCGTGGCCATATCAGATGGATTCTGAAGTTGAAGCACGAACTACAGACCTTGGAAAATAAGATCAAAACGGCAGAGCCCACTCTAGAAGCGAGAGAAGAAGCTCCGAGTGTCTACCGCTCTCTCTTGGATCCCAAAGTGCCTGAGTCGGAACTTGCGCATCTGCCGCAAGATAGTCCTGTGCGGGTCCTGAGGACAGAAAGAAAGAAGTTTAGAGATGCGATGATCTCGCGGATCTACGAGCTGTATCCGTCACTGAACGACTCACAGAACACCGTCGCAGACCCGGATACTGGGTCAAAGCGACAACCGGGCACAGGAGACTTTGTCATCCGCTACGTCTTTCGAGAGTATCTGCTGTTCCGGGCTGACAGCGACGTCCTCTATCTGGCAAGCAAAGTCAACGGCATCGATGAATTTCTCAGAGACTACTCTTGCGGTGACTTGCACGAGTATATCAAGTTTTGGGAGAGGCGTGGTGAGAAAGATACTCTATGGCTTCTACGTGACGCTATTTGCGACTACTTATTACCTCCAGACGCTTCCTCGATATTGGGAAAGCCGGTGGCGACTGACGACGAGCAGAGAACGATGACACGTGAAGCATGGGACATCCTCTGGGTGTGCTTCTCTGATCTGTGCCACTGGTCCAGCTTTGAACTATTTTGCGGAAACTTCGCCGACTGCTGCCTTGTTAAGAAGCTCATAGCTTTGGGCAGATTTGGGCAAGGAGAGCAAGGTCTATTAAATGCCGGAGACGACATCTCGCAGAAGTGTCAGCTTGCAGTTCTACAAGGCTTTATCGCCATCGCGAAGCGCCAGTCGGATCCTGGCGAGCCCACCATATTAATTCTGGATGAGGTCAAGCACGACATTCAAGCCCGCTGCTACGTCGTTGGAAGGATGGCGAAAGATCTTCCTCTCGCAGACAAGCTCATCCAAGCACTGCTCAGGCGGGTTGCGAGATACATCGTCGTTGTCTGCAATGGTACAAAACCTTATAGCTTCCAGTCAAGCGAACCCGTTCACGCCAATGCGCCGGAGGAAGATGCATGGGTCAGGAAGATCAGGCCTGTATCCGATAGAACAGAGGGCGACACAGCGGAGTGGAAGATAGACTGGACTATCGAAGGTATCCGGAGTGATATGAGAACAATCACCAATATACGCGATCGAAACATGCGCTACGACTGGTTCGAGATCATCATCATCGACCGCACGCCCAATCGCCCTTTCACGCTCCTCGACGAGGTGGCAAGGTTGCTCCTCGAACTTTCAGGAAGTTCATTCGAAGAGATCGTTAACAGCATAGTCACTGAGCACTATCCAGAGGACGAACAGCAGCAGGTTCTTTCCGCAATCACCTTTCCAGACCGGGGTTCCGTACTCACGGTTTCAGCCTTACACTATGAAGGCTCAAGGATCAGGGCATGGGATGATGCCAATGATACACGACTACGAGTCCGTGCTATTGTGACAGGCCCGCAGCGCAGAACTGATATCCTGACGGTGTAGAGAATCGTCGACAACATGGAAGCCAACGGAATCGTCTCAGCTATCACAGAGTTCGAACAGCCGCAAGCCCGTCCCGTCGTACTGCCAGGAGCAGATGGATTAGCGGACCTCTACTTCGACTATGACCACGGTCCCATCGACCAAGCCGCTCTGCAACGATCAGTCGTGATGGCTGCAGATGTACCACAATCCAGCCATGCCCTACTCGACTTCGCCATCAGGCAACATGCCAAAGCTCCCAACTGCATCTTCACCCGCGGCAGGATCCACCTCCATTACTGCGCCTGGCCAATGCCGGCCTTGCCACGCCACGACCTTCTCCCGAACTTCTGTACTGTTGTAGGTCGCATGTACCGCTGGAAATACCTACCTTTCGACTGGCCGCTGGTTTCTCATTGCTGGCAATACATGTTGCATAACGAGATGGGTAGGCGCTTTCCCTTTGTGTGCTTCTTCCGAACAACTTTCGTCATGTATGCTGCGGATGTGGTAGAAGCGGAGAGGAATACGGCAGCTATGCTTGAGGTTGCGAAGAAGCATGGCTGGAAGTTGTCGATCCCGCCTCCGGAGAGTTGGACTAGCGATATCAGTGAACTCGGTCTCGATAGGTTGTGGGAAGGCATTATGCCGCGGTGATTGCTAAATGAAACTTCCAAGATCTCATCATGTCTCTCTCAGCTATCATATCTTTAACCCAACGGACTGAACGAAGCAGTCCCCTGAACATCCCGGCTCGAGAACCCGGCCATGACACTAATACTCCCCTGCCCAATCGTCCACTGCTGCGTCACAACATCCCAGTAACTCACGTCCCTCCTCGTGAGATCGAACCTCACCTCCCGACTTTCGCCCGGCTGCAACATCATCTTCTCGAACCCTCGCAGCACCTGCCGGGGCGTCGTATCTTGGTTCGCCGGCTGCGGCAAGCCGAGATAGACCTGCGGTACCGCTGCGCCGGCCACGGAGCCGGTGTTCGACACGGTGGCGGTGACGCAGTAGAGTTTCTCCCAGAGTGCTGGGTTGCCGCCGGGAACGATCTGCTGGGCCGGTGGTGTGGCGGAGAGGTCTAAGGCGCTTGCGTATGGTTGGACAGAGACAGAGCCCATGGAGAAGGTGGTGTAGGAGAGGCCGTAGCCGAATTCGTATTGGACGGATTGGTTGACGTAGTCGAAATATCCTGCCCTTATGGTCAGCGGGAGCGAGTACTTAAGCTTACGATAGTCAACAAGCAATCTCTCCTTGAAGTCAGACTGCCAAGCATTAGGGTCCTGGGTATTGAGCAAAGCCGTAGAGTTCGTAATGTCGGCGAATGAGTAATCATCCTCATGTTTGGCAATGGTATACGGCAGATGACCACTCGGATTCATATCACCCCACAGGATATCAACAATAGAGTTGCCGACCTGCTCGCCCGGGTAGTGCGCAGCAAGGATGGCAGTGACGTTCGGATGATCAGCGAAAGGCAGGACATTCAAGCCACCGCTGTGCGTGATGACGACAGTGTTTGGACACTGGGATGCTACGCTTTCGACGAGGGCGGTGCCGTTCCAGTCCACGAGAAGCGAGGGCCGATCGTAGCCTTCCGTGGCCCAGGTCTTGAGGAAGACGAGGCAGACTTCTGGTGGACGAGGAAAGAGTATGTCGCTGTGAAAACGTCAGTAGCTGCTCGTATCAGCACGGAAATGGGATATTTACAAGCCACCACTGTCAATGACAAGGGTGTTGTTGAGCACGTATTGCACCAACGCCTTCTCGTCGTAAGACGCCACTTTCTGCTTGATCGCATCCAGTGGGTTCACAACGTAGGTCATGCGAGCAGTTCCTGACCCGCCACCGATTGGGAGAACCCCAATATCGTATCCGATGTTCTGGAGATCGGGATCACTGCCAAAGTATAGACCGATGGTAATATCTGCAGCATCATTGCCAAAGACGCCGACGTTTTTCGGCGTCTTCAGTGGCAAGGTGTTATTGGTATTCTTGAGCAGGACTGTGCCCGCTGCCCCGAGCTCGCGGATGAGATGGGAGTGGTCGTCGCGGACGTCGATGTCGGATTGGTTTCCAAGGTTGAAGGTGTAGTTGTAGTCGGATACTGCGTACGTTAGCAGCGAACCCATCAAGCAATATGAGGGCACCTACCGCTATTTCCGGCGAGCGCGGGTTCGCTTGCGTCAATCATGGGATACGAAGTCTGCTGGAACTGGAAGTAGGGTGTCATGATCCTTCGACACATGTCGTTCGCTCGTTCGAGAGGCAGACTGCCGTTGTTGACGCTCTTGGTGATGTTGCCACCGAAGAACGAAGGGCCTCCTGGCGTGAAGCCGATCGTGCCTTTCCCTTCGCATCAGTACAAGCGAGAGTCGGCGAGAAGCTCCTATGCTGGCTCACCTGGCATGTCCATGTCCTCGCCTGCAAGGATCGCCGGATAGCCCGAATGCGTGGCGCCCCAATCAGACATGATCTATGACTTTTCAGCACTCGTTCCGACCCTGCGCGACGCAACTGACGTACGTATCCCTGGAATCCAAGCTCATCCTTTAGGAGACCATTCTGCGTCTTGCTGTTCTGGCACCCATACGAACCATTGATGCGGTTGTACGAGCACATCATGGAGGCCACCCCAGCTTTGACGGCGTTTTGGAAAGGCCAGAGGTAGACTTCGTGCATGGTCCGATCGTCGATGTTGGAAGAGACCGCTTCGATCGTCTTGCCGTCTTCGTTCTCACTGGGGTTGCGCTGGGTCTCTTGTTCGTTGCCGATATAATCTTGCAACTCGTCAGCACTAGAAGCGATGGTGATGTTTGACGGATGACCGTACGCTTCGCACAAGCCTGTAGACCGTTCTCTTGCAGCCCGTCAATGGTCTGTTGTACGTTAGCCTTACTGTCCTCACCATCTGAATACCAAAAGGCTCCTGACCTCCTCAAATAACACCCCAGTCAGATAAGGATCCGGCGAGAACCCCTCCCAATTCCTCCCACCATACCCGCTCCGTCCCAGCGGTCCCGCCACAGGCCCAAGAATGACATGCGCACCCTTCGCCTTGAACTCTGCACCTAGTTCTTGCCCTCGCTGCCGGGCAAGATCCCTATCCCAGGCGGCTGCAACTGTGATTCCTGCCGGGAACGCAGAAGCGAAGTCCGCTTGTCTGATGGCGAGAGGGCCGTCCATGAGGCAGAGCCCTTCGAAGCCTAGGCGCGGGATGGCAGGGATGTTGCCTGTGCATGGTCCTGCTACATGTCAGAGCGAGACTGCAAGAAGGCGTCAATGGGATAAGTACCAGTCTCGCCGGTCACCAGCATTGTCTTCTCCTGAAGCGTCAGTTGGTCCACGAAGTCAGATGCCTGCTGGAAGGCTGCGTCCCAGCCTAGGCCTATTGCGTTGGCTAAACGAACATGTCAGTACGCTCTCGCTCCTCTTGCTACCACTGGATACATACGCGAAGGATAAACCGGCGGACTGCTGGTGAACTTCGAATGCATCCACGGCGGACCAGAAATCATCGAAGCATTTTGTCCGTAAGCAAAGCCAGTCGCAGCAAGCAGAGCTGCCGCCGTACGCATCTTCATTCTTGAAGCACTCATGGCGGACAAGATGGACGTAGAAGTGATAGAGTACTCCCTACCTGCTTGTACCCACCACGCAGAAGAGCTACGCACTCCGCGAGCTGTGCAGAGCGTTATATACCATACCGACCCCAGGTTCCGGCATCTCTACCTTACACTCTAATCACGATGCCACACACCCCTCGCTCGCCTGCAGACGAAAGTGGAGGTCGTCGCATCGCTGGCATCGGCCCTCCTCCCACGTTCAGCACCAAGAGCGAGCGGTGCTTGCGGGGAAGCCTTTCGAAAGCATGATGATGCTTGAGAACAAGCTTGTTCCTGCTGATCGTCGTCGTCTTCGCAAGGCACGCGTACCGGACCTTCCTAGTTGTGCGGTTTTGGTGAGAGGCATGAAGAAGGTGAGGTCGGGTGTCGGAGCCTTGCGAGACAACCCCAGGAGACACACTCGGGACAATTGCTACCGAGCAGAGACGCGAACCTCGTGAAAAGACTCGGGATAATTGCTACCGACCAGTACTGCAAACACACTGGAAGCACAGGGGACAATGAGCAGTTCATGGCCAACGCAGAGAGGCGTAGCGTAGGTCTGTGTTCTTCGTGTTGCTTGTGCTAGGAGGCACTCTCTCACTGCTGCGCAACCCCAACCCTCCACCGATCAATCGCAGCCTTCTGCTTCGGATCCAGTCCCTCCTCATCCAGTCCTCCCATCATCCCCATGCCTCCCATCCCCATCATCCCTCCCGCACCTCCAGCCCCCATCATCATCCCCTGATTCTGCGCAAAACTCGCATACGTCCCGCCCCCATTCATCATCGCATTACTGAACCCGTTGATGCCCTGCCCCATCCCACCGCCGCCGTGCCCACCGTGGAGGGCGTGGTAGGCGGCTGGGTTGCGCATTGCTTGCTGTTGCTGTTGCTGTTGCTGTTGCATTTGCATCATAGCCATCTGCTGCTGTTGTTGCTGCTGTTGGTAAGGGTTGTACGCGGACATCATACCCGGCGTTCCTGCGTAGCCGTACCCGTTCATGCCAGGGTTGGGGGAGAAGTAGCCGCTCATGGCCCCCATGGGCGAAGGCTGCGGTTGGACGCCGCCCATGCCGTTGTTGTAGGTTCCTGCCGCGAAGCCTCCCGAAGGAGCGCGGCTGTTGTGCTGCTGACCGAGCAGTCCGCCTGAATTCGGGGCGTACATGGCTTGTTGCTTTGAGTCGACGAGCGGCATGCCGAGACCAGCGGAGTTGGTGTTGGTGGCCTGCAGTTGATTGCGGTGCCGGGCTTGGATGCGTTCGTTGGAGTGCAGGAGGGAGCCTTGCGCGGGCTCGTAGGTTTTGGAGGCGGTGCGTTGGCCGACGGGGTTGGAGGTGAGGAGGTTGGCGAAGCTGTTGCGGGATTGTAGACCGGGGCGGTCGGCGGATGAGCCGCTGACGTTGCGCTCGCCGCCGGCTTCACGTTCGCGCTGCAGGCGGGCTCGCCGTTGGCCGAGTGTTTCTTCTTCGTCTCGTGGTGGAGCACCGGCAGCTGCTTCGCCGTTCTCATCCTTCACGTCCAGGCCGCCGAATTGACTCATCACGTCGTCGACTAGCCTACTCACCGGCCTCGAGCCCGACTTCTCATCGCCAGTGATATCCGCAAGCGCGCCATCCAGCTCTCGCTTCGTCCTCAACCTCCGCAACCTCTCGCCCAGCGTCTCCCCCGCATGCTCATCTTCTTCCTCTCCGCCATTCTCCTCTGCCTCCACCTCCGCAGCAAGATTCAACTGCGACGCACTCGCCATCGGCATCCTCCCTCTACCCGGCGAAACCCCTCTCAACCTATTCCTGCGATTGCTCAACGGCTCACTATCCTCCATCAGCCGCTTCTCCATTAGCCCCAGCGGCCGATCCCAGTCCTTCCCATCATTCATCTTCCGCGCAGTCGCACCGTCCTTGCCCGGGAAGAGCATCCCAAGCGGCACGTCCTCGTCGTTCTTGTCCATGTCTGCTTCCAGCGCTCGCTGGTGCGGGTCCTCCCACGCCAGAGCGATGCGCTGTTGTTGGCGTTTGCGCTTGCTGATCTCCTCCACGGCGTCCAGCTCGAGCAGCGTACTATGCATGCCTCGCGGGAACGCCGTGGCGGCAGTCCTGTTTCGCGACTTCAACTGCATCTTGCGGACTTGAAGCTCGGCGAGTAGAGTGCTGGGCTGGACAAAGACGGGCTCGCCTTCTTCCGCATCTTCTTGCGTCTCCAGTTCCTTGAAGTCCTCATCAATTTGATCTGCGTCATCGAGCTTGTAGCCGCTGCTCATTACGGTGGGAGCTCTCGACACTCGACGGTCGTCGTCCATCTCTACCTCATCGGCATTCTGCGCCGATGCAATGAGACCAGACTGTCGATTGCCCTCCCTGAGTTCAGACGCCGGCGTCTGCACGCGACCATCCTGCTCAAGCTGCGTGCCCATGCTCAACTGACTCTGCCGCTTCCGCAGCTTATTCCCACCCTCAGTGAACTCCGTCATGATGCTACCCCGGCTGTTGCGTTTCTTCAATGTGTCGGTGAGCTGGTCGTTGCTTGTGGCCCGTCTGAGCAAAGCTCCAATACTACTGCTTCGTCTCTTTTTGATTTTCTTTTGCTCGGGTGAGGGTGCGCTTCCGAGCGTTGCCGTGCTCTTCCTTGCTATGTGTTCCATGGAGTACACCGAGCTCCGCACATCGCCCGCGAATGGATGATCGGTGAAAGCGTGGATGGGTGCTGTAGCAGAAGCGGCGAGAATATCGTCCAGTGTCGCAACAGCGGACTCCGACTTGACCTCCACATCATGCTGTACCGGCTGGTGCTCAAAGTACATGTTCGCCCTCAGTTGGGGTGGCAGATTGCTCATGTTGCCGCTCATACGCTCGTTCAGGAACGCTTTGTGTATGGCGTCGGATGATCCAGAAGCATTCCTGCTGTGTCCTCGAGAACCTCCCCCCTCCTGCGCCAGCCATGGTGCTCCTGCTCTATCATTATCAGGCATTACGCCCAGCATTTGAGACCTCCTCTTAGCCTGGACGTCTGCTGAAGGCAGCTGCGAGAGCCTCTTAGGCAGGTTCAGCATTCTGGGTACCGGGGCTGGATAGTAGACCATGTCCTCTTCAGGTGGTGGAGGTGCAAATGAAACGGGCCGGTCGTGTGCGGTCCTCAGCATCGAAGCAGCTTCTTCGGACATGCCTCCCGACACGCTGCGAGCAGACACACGGCGGACCTCGTTGCCCGCCTCATCCACCGCAACGTACTCATCCGTGTCGGGGGAGAAGTGCACGCCATCAAAGTCTTTGAACGCTAGTTGCGCCTCACGGTATGTATCTGTCGACGAAGGTCGCCGTGGTCCCATCTCGTCCCCTCCAACTCCCAACTGCTGCAACGCGTCTTCACGATGCATCTGCGCCGGGTCTTTCGGTGGCGAAGGCGGCACGTGCTCTAATGATTGTGCGATTTGTCCAGCAATCTGGTCGTACCTGTGTCCGAACGAAGTCTGCGAAACATCTCGCGAGCGGTCCATTGGTCCGCCTGCTGCGGTCTGTAGCATATCTTGATCCTCCTCCTCTTCGTGCACACTGAAGCTCGGCCGCAGTGGTGAGTCCAGCGGTCGGCCCTCTTGCAACGGCTCGCTGACCTGCGCGAGACGCGATGTCTTTGATCCAGATTGTACTCGACTGAGAGAAGCATGCGGCCAGGACTCCGTTGGCGACCCGACAGGTGAAGTGACATATCCGTTTGGCGAATACCCTCCTCCCCTTGCAGCCGCATTGACCCCATGCGAACTGCTCCTGCTACTCCTCGTGCTCAATCCGCGCTCCAGCATCGTCGGTTTTGATCCGCCATATCTTGCCACGCCATACGAATTGCTCCTGCTGCTGGCGTTGCTCCCCACCCGTCCCATGCCCGGTCGTGTGTCGCCATAGTTCGACGACGCGACCGAGTTGCCGCGACTCAGCCGCCGAATCTCCTCGCCCAAATCGCTGCCATTCGAACTCATCCTCTCGGCCGTGCGTTCGAGTCTCACGACGTTCTTGACCTTGGAAGCGGGCAAGTGAAGAGTTGGTGTTGGAGACAACATGACCGCGGCGGATGTGCCCGCCATTTTCTAAAAACAGACGCGTCACAAACGGTTCGCCGTCGACAGGGTCTTTCGCGAGATCTCGGTTCTTGGGTCGCGTTTAAGAAAACATCCTGGGTCTTAACACGAGCACACGCGACGGCGAGATATGAGTGGAATATCAGACCAACAGCAGACAACACGAATCCTTCTAACTACCTGCTAGGCTATCGCGCTGCAATCTTTATTATCTATCTACTAGCACTTTCAACACACGGCCACAAATTTCCGGTCCTTAGCGAAAGCGCCCTTCCTAATGTCACGCTCCTGTCGCCCAGCCCTTCTAAATTCCTTTGCTCGTCCATTGACCGATTGACTGCGCCTACTTGTCTGTATCCACACGCTCGTTTATCTTGCTACAAGCTGTCACAAGTAGCTCTTTACGAAGCCTTTGACGTCTTCCATTTTGGCGAGTCAAGTGAGTTGTATACAGCTGCAGCAAGAACTCCACGTGGCATGGGCTTCCTGTCTGGATGAAGGGCGGCTCATTGGACCAAGACAACTATCGCACTATACACTATGTGTGCTGCGCCCCGGAAGACGGCCAGGAGCCTTACGGAAGGACATTGCCGAGTCCATACTTGGACTTGAATGGATGGAGGCCGCTTGATGGGAGACGACCTCCAGTGGTATGGCCTCGCCTACAATGTCAGGGGCGTCTTTCATGCGGATAGCGGGGGAACCTGGAAAGACAGCAGCGAACGGCCCAAAGCTGAGGGATTGCAGAGGCAATTTCCTCTGTCATGTGCTTGCACTAATTGCTTGCCTCATTCCTGACTGATATGTGGCCGGCAAGCTCTCCAGACGGAGAGACGGGAGAACTTCGTCGACCGTGCCGACTCGACCGCGGCCCTGAAGGCAGGTATTCTCCATCTTCGATCAATTGGTGGTGGCAGTGTACATCCCACCACCATCCACTCCATCTACGTGCAGCCACTCGCAGCGAAGTCTTGCAACTTACTGGACGACTCCAACACTCCACTAGCTGGCTCTTGCGCCAGCATGGACACAGACCGACAGAATGCTCTCGTCCCCACGACAACGAAGTACAGTACTCCATCAAGCTCGAACAAGGCGCAGCGTCCCCGTCCGCACGGGTTCCGCCTTTGATCGAACGAGAACGGACACCCCGCCATCCTCCGCCTGCTCAAAAGCCGTTGAGGAGGTCTGCAAGATGACTCCATCGATGTCTTTTACGCGAGCAAGGCACTTGAATCGCCTTGATCGTAGGACTGTCGATCTCAGACGTGCACTCTGCTCCAGCCTTTTGTCTGGACAGCAGCTGCAAACTTACCGTTCGTGATCAGTCGCGGATCCGGACAAGGGCTGGAATTAAATCGTCCAATGTTGAATTGGCCATGTAAGCTGTGTTCTCCCCTATTCTCTATACTCCCTCCCACCCATCAATGATCGACTCCAGCTGCCAACGGCCGGATCCCAGAGCATGCTTCGCCGGCAAAGCACCCTCTTCCCCCAAACGACACCCTTCACTACCCTCACTCACAGATACCCCCCCATCCCGCCACAAACATCGACACTCTCATACTCCAGCCCGTACCCATCACCCTCCGGAATGATCCGATAGTAGAAGTTCGCCGTGTCGTCGGTCTCCTGGAACCCGATGTAATCCGCCATGTTCTCCGGATCGTTCCGGTCCGCGCGGTCGGCCCAGTCGTCCGCGATGGCGTACGAGGCCTGCGACATGTGGTCCTGTGTCAGCAAGGACGGCTGGCGCGAGGTGAAGGAGATTTTGAACCCGGGTCCGTCGTGGCCTTGGCGCTTGCTGTGTTCGGGGTTGGTGGATGAGAAGGAGGTGGAGGGAGGAGAGATGCGCACGTGGCCGTTGCCGGAGCCGAAGTCGGCGTAGTGGAGGTCGACGGTGTGGTTGCCGTGTCTGAAGTTCTTGACGTGGGCATGGTCCAGCATGGGAAGGTGGGTGGAGGAGGCGTCGTGCGGTGCGAGGGGCACGGAAGAGACGCCGTCATGCTCGAAGCCGAGCCCCGCGAAAGTGCTGTGGACGTGGTCGGCGAGCAGCAGCGGCGAGGATCGCTTCTCCGTGTCTTGGGTAGGGGCAGGATCGGCCCCGCTCCCCGTCGCGACAAAGATGGACAGCACGACCGGGCCGACGATCAGGGCGATGCTGGAGCAGTCGTTGGTGCCGATGCCGCCGATGCCGTGGTCGCGCAGGATGCGGCAGACGCCGAAGGCGCTGAGGCCGGCAGTGCTGGCGTAGACGACGCGGGAGCTGCTTGTGCCGATGGTGGAGAGGACGGTATTGATCACGTCGCAGCCCTCTTCGCGGACGACGAGGCCGTGCGGCAGAGCGATGTCGTAGGAGACGACGTCGGGTCTGGTTCGGGATGGGATGGCGTAGGCGGTGTCGAGCGCGAGCCACGCCGCTGCAGCAGGAGGAATCTTCATCTTGAAGGTTGAACGTTGAGTGAAAGAGCAAAGTACTCTCGATTGCTTCAAGTGTGGGCGGTTCTTATATGGGAAATGGACCTACCTTGTCCCTCCAGGCATCCTTTCGTGACCATCTGGGGGCCACCATAAGGGATGCCCTGCGTGACACTGCCTCATATCCTCGAATCGGACTCGCCATACCTTCATGGAGACGACCTTGACCAACGACTAGCCGGCACACGAAGGCAGGCCAAGGGCATCCGAGGAGTGGTCGTCCACAACAGCGAAGTGATTGGCAATCCTGCCTAGAGAATTCATAAGGAGGAAGCGGCTCAAGTCGTACGTTGTGGAACTGGACAAAGAAGTTCCTTCTCAGCCTACACCCGCGTGGATGAGGCTGCACGAGAACTGGTGATGGCCCCCACAGGCTGGCTTTGTGAGGCGTGCCCTTTACGAAGGGGTTTGTCCTCTGAACTTTGAGAAATCGCTGTGATCCGGACCAACCCCGGGCAGCAGGAGCTCGTGACGCCTTCGCACGGAGGGCGACGGCGACGGCGATGGATGCTGGGAGCCCGTAGCCGGGAAGACTGCTGTGAGTAAGTCTTTCGGTTGCAATTGAACTGCTGAAGGGTTCGATCTTCTCTCGATCAGCCTTTCCTTTGAAACTGTCGTCTTTCGACCATCTTCCTGGAGGCCTGGGATCTTTTTGAGAAAGGCAGGGGCTTGGAGCACCGGCTGCGTCGGTTCTCATTAGTACGTTTGCAGAGCTCAAGCTCATCGCAGGCGAGCCAGCAGAGTCATACTTGAGGTTGTGACCCTTCTCTTCCGCTGCTTGTTGGTTTACTCAACTGTTTGACAACTCTTCATCAAATGTAGTACACTCGTCTTGCAAGTTCTATCGCGACATTCGAGTTGGGCGCATACTGCGCACTCTGGAACATGGAGAAGGCAAGTGACAGCGAGGATATATGTATGATGGAATATAACATGACTGCACCTCACCATGCTCACCTCTTACCTCTTGAACGTGGCCGCAGCTTTGCTTCTTTGCCAAGTCTTGGACGAAGGGTACCAGCTAATATCGACCTTCGAGATGGCCGAGACAGTCTCACAAGGCCTCACCCACGCCTGATGCAGCCTGTGCCCCCGCGAGTCGACGACGATGGAGTGCCCGTTCCGCGGCGTACATGAGCGGCTCTTCTCTGCCTGACTCAGATCCAGCTTACCGTAGGGTTCTCAGACAGTCAGCCGTACGACATGGAATCCAGCGTCGCCCGAATGGAGCACCCATCCTTCATCAAAACCTTCAGCCATGTCCTCAGACAACGTCTTCCAGAAGGCTGAAAACAATCACAGCCCACCCCCAAGGCTGAAGAATCCCGTCAGTCCGTAATCTAGCCCTCACCTGACGAAGCTCTTACGCAAACTCAAAAACCGCCCTACCGCGACATCCCCTCCTCTCAGGAAAGGATAATGCGGCATGACATCTTACGGATCACGCGTCTTCATCTAAGAACCTCGGTGCCGGTGGAGACTGTACTTCCGAAGGGCGTGGGTATATAGACGTAGACGTAATGTTTCTGACACGAGGGTGAGACACAGTGAGAGTCGACTGGAGCTGTGTACATAGATGTGTCTACTGCGGAATACTTAAGCTCTACCAAGCTTCCAAGGCTATCCAAGCCAAGTGCCTCCTCTTACTACCTAACATACCAATCCCCACAATGGCCGACGAGCAAAAAGTCGACATCTTCATCTCCGGAGCCGGCCCCGGTACGTAGACATCCCAAAGCCATATGTAACCCACCCCACTGACCAATAGTCTCCCAGTCGGCCTCCTCCTCACCTACCAACTCCTCCGCCTCAACCTCACCACCCACCTCGTCGACGCCGCCGACAAAGCATCCCCCGCCTTCCCCATGCTCGGCCGCGCCAGCACGCTCTACCCCCGCACCCTCGAATTGCTGGACCAACTGGATCTCTACGACGACCTGGCGCAAGTCGGGCTGGTCGCTCGCCGCGCCGTGACTTTCAAGGAAGGCAAGCGCGTCCATGGGCGCGGGTGGACGCAGTTTGAGAATTTCACCGATACGTATTTTGATTTCTCGTTGAATGTTCGGTTGAAGTATAGTGAGGATATTTTTCGGAGGCGGATTGGGGAGTTGGGGGGCGAGGTGCATGCGCCGGTGAGGTTGGTAGGGTTGGAGCTGGATGAGGATGCCAAGGACGATTATAAGGTGACTGCCACTTGCTCGACGTTGGATGGTAAGACGTATCGGGTTAAGGCAAAGTACATTGTTGGTTGTGATGGTGGTAGCAGCGCGGTGCGCAAACTCGCAGGCATCCCCTTCGAAGGCGAAGATAAGGAAGACCATTGGGTGCGCATCGATGGGAAGGTGAAGACGAACATGCCAGACTCCAGGGTCGGCTTCGGTGCGCTCGAATCCAAGACCCACGGTAACGTCCTGTTCGTGGCGCTTGACCATGGTGCAACACGGATCGGCTATGTCCTCAGTCCGGAGATGTACGAACGGTACGGCCGGAAGATGTCGAAGGAGGATGCGATCAGGGAGGCCAAAGCGGCGGTTGCGCCATTTGAGCTTGAGTTCGAGACGGTGGAATGGCACACCGTGTATGGCGTGAAGCAGCACGTAGCAGCAAGGCTGCAGGACCGCGAGAGGATCTTTCTGGCTGGTGATGCTGCTCACACTCACTCATCAGGCTCAGCCCAAGGAATGAACACAGGAACCCACGACGCCGTAAGCCTAGGCTGGCGACTCGCCGGCGTGCTCAACGGATGGTACACCCCAGAGGTCCTAGCCACATACACCACCGAGCGCAAAGCGACCGCGGAGCAACTGATCGAGAACGACCGCACAATCTCCGCGCTCATCTCTCAGCATAAACCGGGCAAGTACAAGGACCGCGAGGAGGACACTAACACGCTGCTAGTGGAGTTTATGCAAAGTGTTGGTGGGTTTAGCAGTGGGTGAGTGCTCCGGATTGACGTCTCTCGCGCTTCCGGAACTGGACACTGACAAGGATGGCAGTCTCGGCATCGAATATGCAGCCAACATCCTTAACAACGTCGAGGGCTCATCTCCGCCGTGGCTCAAACCTGGACAACGCTTTCCGGACGTATCCTTGCAGAAGAACGGCCTCCCACGCCACCCTGTCCGCTTCTACGACGTATGCAAGAACGAAGGGAAGTTTCATGTGGTTGTCTTCACCGGCGATGTGCACAGCACTGGCGCCAGCTTGAAGTCACTGCGTGGCCACGTGGATAAATTGACGCCGCAGTTCGCGCATGCCGTCGACTTCAGAACTGTGGTGATGGGTCAGGGGATACCGTTGGCGTTCGAAGAGTACCTGGGCGTCAAGCAGTTCGGCGATGCGTACTGGGATATGGACCATTCAGCGCACACCCGGTACAAGGTATCTCCCGATGCTGGTGAGATCGTAGTATTGCGACCAGATGGTATCCTTGGATTTGTCGCCGAGCTGGACGGCTTCGAGCTAGTGGCGGAGTACTTGGGCCGACTGATCGTGCCCCGGCGCGCCGAAATGAATGGGACAAACGGCGTCAACTACCAAGTTGGCGAGCATGTCGGGTTAGATGAGAACAATCTCTACTACCAGCAGGCGCAGGAGCAGGCGGAGCAGCAGGGTCTCCCGGAGAGTACTGAGTCCGGCGCCATAGCTGTGCACTGATAGAGCGACCTTTAGATGATTGTGGTAGTTCAGATGAACCCCATTTCAGCCATTTCCAGAACTAGGCCTGTGCCTCAATACGCTTCCAGTGTCAGTCTCCATACTCAAAATACTGCCCGAATCTGCGATTGAAGCTTCCTCTGCTTCAGTGGGTGACCGATCTTTGCTTTCGGGTGGAACTTGATGGATTACGGAGCCAACACTCTCCTCGCTCTCCAGGTTCTGGTTGATGTATGGCGTAGTGGATCTAGACGGCGCCGTACGAGCTGTGACAGGACTGTGGAGTGTAGATGTTGCCGTGAGTGATGCATCGTCGTCTTCTGTTTCATCCAGCGCGGAAGCTTTCTCTCCTGCTTGCTCGCGGATTTGCTCGATAATAGCAGCGTCGAGTTCGGCCATACCACTCAGTAGCTCCGAGAAATCAGCCATGAGACTGTGAAACTCCTGCTCCGTAACCGGTGAGCTGCCGAATCGAGCCCTTTCGTACTGCATCAGAAACCTCTGTCCCAGTTCCAATGGATTGACGAGGCCAAGATAGGACAGCTGCGTGAGGTAGTCGCGCATGCTCATGGTTTCCGGTCTGCGCAGAACATCCGCCACCACGGGATCAGCCATCGGTGGACCATTGGCAGGCACCGCAGTCTCCTCAGCAGGCGCCAGAGCAACGGCCTTCGCTTCAATCAGGTTCGGCAGCTCATCGATCACCATGGCGAAATGCAGGTTCGGCGTGGAGTTCTCCTCAAAATGGCTCGGGGAGGACCACCCAGCATGCTGCACGTGTCCCCACGGCGGGTGCGCGGGATCCACCGATATCTCCCTTCCCACCGTGTAGTCATTGCGTGTCAAGCCCTCTGCCTCGGGGGGGAGGACGCCCACCGTCTCCGCCTCCAAGATCTCTCCCAGCAAGTCGCGTGGCCTACTCTCCCAGGCCACAATCGCACTCCGCTCCAACTGCTTCACAATCATCTTCCTCACGCTCCTGCCTAGCTCTCCATCCTCGATCGGTATATACGCTTTCCCCACGCCCGCCAACACCGTGCGATTCGTGTACAGCCGGCTGGCGTAGATGAAGATGGCGATCAGCGCCGTGAGGATGTACGTCCCCCCAATCATAATCACGTATTGGTACGCTTGGTTCTGGATGGCGGACCAGATCATTGACGCCGGCGGGATGGCGAGCATGCCGAGGCAGAGGATGTAGAGGGTGGTGTAGGTGGTGCTGTAGAAGATGCGGAAGAATGGGATGCGGAAGGGGAGGAAGTGGCCGGGGCGGCGTCGTGACATGTTGGACAATGACAGCAGCGTATGAGCTGCTTGGTGTTGTTATCACATGTTTATGTTGTGGATATAGGAGAGGAGGTGGTGAAGTCGAGGTGGTGGATCTCGTCTACACCTACCCCAATCTCAACCATATGCCACCTACCTCACCTTCTACGTCCATCTCTCGTTGCTCAAACGCTGGTCATTGCTTGTTTGTTTTGGATAGTTATTCAGTCTTCTGGAGGTCTCATTGGCATTGATGGCAAAAGCATGCTGGAGCAGTGCAAACGCAAGGTAGACGCACGTTCGAGACATGCCTTTGAACAATAGTAAAGCGGGCAGGCATTGTTTGACGCCTCTACTTCAATTACATGACCTCTCGTCTCCCACGACGTTCCAGGAAAACCAAAGTCCTCTTTCCAACACGCAAAATGCCGCTCGTGAAGAGGGACGATGACCCAGAAGATACGCTTGACGAACTACTACAAGATAAGGCTCGCATTGAAGAGCTCCCTTCCAACGACGACGACGCATACGAAGACGTAGAATCCGACAACTCTGGCATCCCATTCCCAGGCAGACCATCGAAGGCTGAACGAAGAAGAGAGGAATCCTTGCCACCATGGCTGCAAGCCGCGACTCTCAACCTCTTCCACGACGAGCTGCAAACGACGACCTCGGAAGCACAAACGAAAGTTACCGCCGACTGCCTTCCTCTTCTCACCGGCAGAGATACGCAAGGTCTTCCACTGAACAGCCATGGCCTCCCGCACCTACGCCGCGAACAGCATGTCAACTTTCTCCATTCGCAGCTCGGACCGTTCCCAGCGCCGTATGTGGCGATCGACGCCAGTAGGCCGTGGTTCTTCTACTGGACTATGGCCGGTCTTAGCATTTTGGGTGAAGACGTACGCCAATTCCGCGACCGTTTGATGGAGACCGTCCGCCCACTGCAGAACAAGACCGGCGGCTTCGGAGGCGGACATGGACAGTACAGCCATTGCGCCGGCAGCTACGCAACCGTCCTCGCCCTCGCTACGATCGGAGGACTGGACATGATTGACCGCAAAGCGATGTGGGAATGGCTGGGCACGGTCAAGCAAGCGGACGGCGGCTTCCGCATGGCTGTAGGAGCGGAAGAAGATATTCGCGGCGCTTACTGCGCCATGACGATCATCACCCTCCTCAACCTCCCCCTCGACCTCCCACCCGACGCTCCAGCGCGCAAAGCAGATCTCACCACCTTCACAGACCGCCTCGGCGAATGGGTCGGCCGCTGTCAATCCTACGAAGGCGGCATCGGCGGCGCTCCCACCAACGAAGCCCACGGCGCCTACGCCTTCTGCGCCTTAGCATGTCTGAGCATCCTCGACGCACCGCACGTCAGCATACCCAAGTACCTCGACGCTCCGGCTCTGCTGTCCTGGCTCGCGGCGCGGCAGACGCAGCCGGAAGGCGGGTTTCAGGGTCGACAGGAGAAATTGGTCGATGCGTGTTATGCACATTGGGTGGGCGGGTGTTGGGATTTGATTCAGGCTGCTGTTGCTCCTGCCGCTTCAAACGGGATGAATGCGGATGTCTGGAACCGCGCAGCCCTGATCCGGTATCTCTTGACCTGCTGCCAGCAACCGGGTAAGAAGGGCGGGATGCGGGATAAACCTTCCACTCGGCCAGATGCGTATCATACGTGTTACTCGCTCGCGGGGCTCTCGCATGCGCAGAATCATTACCAGTACGACAAGGCAGCACCCACTAGGGATGGCGAAAAGGGCAGGTTGACGGCGGCTTTCAACTGGACGGCGGAGAAGGCGACGGAGACGGAGTTGCAGGGGTGGAGGATTGAGAGGGAGGATGTGGTGGAGTTTGTGCATCCGGTGTTTGTGCTGCCGATGGGGGTGGTGGAGGAGTGTCGGGGGTTGTTTGAGGGGGTGGGGGTATGACTGATTCATGCTGAAGATCTTGGAAGGTGCGGTCATCCCGCGGGTCGTTGGCGAAAATGCCATGAGTTGTGACGCTGGTTTGGATGGGGTATAGAGGTTGGACAACCATTGATCAATGTTCTGAAATAGGAGGAGTTGGAAACACAGACGCTGTACTGCTCACCTCCTTCTTTTCTCCGTGCTCTCCGTCGTAGCTGGCAGTGTCCTCGTCGCCACGAAAGCGACTCCAAGCCAGCACGTGTTCTTCCAATCACCAGCATTCGCCTCGCGGAGAAGACAACACGGAGGCGAGAAGGCTTAATCAATTTATAGCCATCCGCCGGGCAATTGATTGGCTCGGAGCGCATCGTCCCTGAAAAGCAAGGAGGCTTGCAGCAGGGTCCAGCTTCGAGCCACGCAAGTCAAAAAGTTCAGACCGCTACACCTGTCCATTACAGTCCAGACTACTCCTCCCCATTGACCTCTTCAGTCGCTGTACACTGTCATACCAGGTCTTGTACTCCACCGCAAGACCATCGCCTCTCACTCCATCCTCGACTGACTCGAAGTGACTCGGCGACTGCCCGCGCAAGCTTCAGCGATTCGACCGACCCCATCCCCTCGCTTCATACCACAACACCGCCAATATGAAGGGTCAGCAGCACAAACAACAACCAGACGTATACCCCTCGCTTACATTCTTCCAGCTCTCATCCTCGTCGGCGGCTTCGGCACCCGTCTCCGCCCCCTCACCCTCTCCCTCCCCAAGCCCCTCGTCGAGTTCGGCAACCGCCCCATGATCGCCCACCAGATCGAAGCTCTGGCCGCCGCCGGCGTGACCGACATCGTGCTCGCCGTCAACTACCGCCCCGAAGTCATGACCGCCGCGTTGAAGAAGTACGAAGAACAATACAACATCAACATTGAATTCTCCGTCGAGACCGAGCCATTGGGTACCGCTGGGCCATTAAAATTGGCGGAGAAGACGCTCGGGAAAGATGATAGCCCGTTTTTCGTTCTGAACTCAGATATCATCTGTGATTTCCCGTTCGAACAACTGGCGGAATTCCACAAGTCGCATGGACAGGAGGGGACGATTGTGGTCACGAAAGTCGAAGAGCCGAGCAAATACGGCGTCATCGTGCACAAACCCGACCACCCTTCCCGCATCGACCGCTTCGTGGAGAAGCCCGTCGAGTTCGTCGGCAACCGCATCAACGCCGGCATCTACATCCTCAACCCTTCCGTCCTGCAGCGCATCGAGCTCCGCCCGACCTCCATCGAGCAGGAGACGTTCCCCGCGATCGTGAAAGACGGCCAGCTCCACTCTTTTGATCTAGAGGGCTTCTGGATGGACGTCGGACAGCCGAAGGATTTCCTCAGCGGGACCTGTCTCTACCTCTCTTCCCTGACGAAGAAGGGCAGCAAACTCCTCACCTCCACCTCGGAATCGTACGTCAACGGTGGCAACGTCATGATCGACCCTTCAGCCAAAATCGGCAAGAACTGCAAGATCGGACCCAACGTCGTCATCGGGCCGAACGTGGTGATCGGGGATGGTGTGCGCTTACAGCGGTGCGTGTTATTGCAGGGGTCGAAGGTGAAAGAGCATGCCTGGGTGAAGAGCACGATTGTGGGCTGGAACAGCACGATCGGGCGGTGGGCAAGAATGGAGAATGTGAGCGTGTTGGGGGATGATGTGAGCATTGGGGATGAGGTATATTGTAACGGGGCGAGTGTGCTGCCGCATAAGAGTATTAAGCAGAATGTTGATGGTGAGTTTGCAATCTTTTTACCGTCTTGTGGGTGAGAGGGTGTGCTGACGAGATGGCAGTTCCGGCGATTATTATGTAAGGGTTGTTTGTCGAACGGGTATGGCGTGGGCATGTGTTTGGGCATTATCTCGACTCTGCGGCGTATGGCGGCCTTGGGCTTTGGATGGCAGTGTTTCTGCCTTGCTGGTGTACGAGGCGTTCACGGCGCGAGATGGGACAGGGGAAAGCGTTCTACGCGGGCTTACATACAGTATACAGGACACGGGCCCGGTACGGTAATGGCAGGCAAGCAGATCGGCAGGCGAAAGGAGGCCATTATGCAGGCCTGCGGGTATAAGATGGCTGTGCTTGCAGAATACAGACAATGTATGCAGATGTAACTTTGCGAAGCATTCGTCTCTCAGGGCACGATCGTACCTGTGGTGGAGCAGCTTGAGCCGGAGCAGAGAGTGCTATGTCGACTTTCCAGGGGACTCCGACCTTCTCGCCCACCCGCAAAAAAATGAAAAGGGGCTGTGGTGGGAGCTGAGCTGTTATTCAATTTGATGGATGTTTGAGGGACGCAGTCCGACTGCCCAAGTCTGAGTCTATGTCTGAGTCCAGCAACGGATCGTACAAATTAGTGCCTTTCTCATTTCTACCCTCTCGAACAGGCCAACAAAGCTCCGCCGATCCACACGGCTCCAGCTTGTGTGCGCTCACAGCAACTCAGCAGGCGGGCAGATGGGCAGTCGTGGGATACCAAAGGCGAGGATCGAGATGAGCAGCAAGCCACCTACCGTGAGAAAGCAGCCCACCGGGCATACTTATCTGGCAATGTTCTTCCATCCCCAAAAGCACACGAAGAGACGACATCACCCCCGTCAGCAGGCTCTCAGGGTCTGTGAGAAGAACCGTTTCACACGGCTCAATCTTCGGCCTCGTGGGCCGCTTTTGGTGATTGTCGGCAGCTTGGGCGGTTTGAGCCTGCTCCTCTGAAGATAAGCGTGGATCGGGAAATGCATCGACATCGTCACTATCGTCGTGTCGTGCTGCCTGAGGATCATTTGCTGGCGCAAGTGCTGCCAATTCCCCTCGTCAACGCCTGTCTGCACGAGCAGCTCTCGAAGATAACAGTACGGTGTATGAACTAAGTTCGATCGGTAATGCGATATCCGTGCCATTTTCCTGTACGGTGACCTGATCAGCGTTGCAGGGCGGAAGGCCAGGTAGACGGCGAAGAACGTGGTATGCCGAAGAAGGTAGAGCAGAGAAGACGTGCGCGGTGTGTTTGACCGAAGGCAACCATTCCAGCATGGTGTGGTGCGATTTGGAGAGGGACGACTTCGTAAAGGACCAGACCATGATAGCAACTAGCACATGAGCGAGCGCGAAAGCCGAAGATCCTTGTAGAGGGAAGGCCTCCATAGGGGCGGCTTGTAGAGCAAAACAGAGGACATCGTGGGCGGGGTACTGGTTCGGGGTAGAATGGATAGCGCGGGGTAGGGGCAGACGGTGGAAGTCTCGAACTCGTCCACGGTCGTTGCGATGGAGCAGACGGACAGGTGGGATAGCGAGGCGGCGGGGATCGAGGTACTTGGTAGAGCGGTTTAGCTGCTTCTCCTGATAGCGAGCCCAATTTTAGCATAGTGGACCTGAGATTTGAAGACTTCCCTAGAGCCATACCTCGCGGCGTGCAATCCTGAGACGGCGCTGCAGCTGATCTTGCAGTCGCTCGTTGCGGCGTTCGGTGACAAGACGGGGACTGCATGTCAGTGGTCTTCCACATCCTGGTGGCGACGGAGGGACCGCAGCAGCAGCAGCTTTGATCCGAGCCTTCTTGCTGCGAGCCATAGCGGGCTACGCTCGTGAAGATGCACCGAGCAGAGCTGATGGCTAGGGAGTGGCTGGCGTGTGCTTGCTCTGCCGGACTGTGAAGGTGTTGCTCGATGAGCGAGTCGAAAGCCGTCGTGAGAGGATTTTCGCTCTTGACAGCAACGAAGATGTGCAGGGTGCACATAAGTTCAATAAGGTATGGCTGTGAGATGCGGCGCCAGAGTGTTCGCAGGCGTGTGAAGCGGGTGAAACGACTTGAACTTCACTTCCATCGATGTCGTGATTTACGACCTCACTTCACCAGCTTCACGGCCCTTTCTGAAATCTCTTTCACACTTCTGAACTTCTAAACGAGTGGCCAAATCTGATTTGAAACCATCCAGCACCAGTCAGACACGCACACACCATGGGGGAAGAGAGTGCGACTGACGCATCTTTCCGCAAACGTTACGAAGATATCTGCGACCTCCGTGACGAAGACCGTCTTGATGAGTTCGTTGAAAAGGCGAAGGAGCTTCTGAGAGAATCGCACCTACCTCGCTACTACCGCATTAGGACGTTGATCCTGACGGGGTCCACTGTCGGCAACTGGCACGATGCCATGAGATACTGGAAGGACGCAGAGAATCTGTGGCGGTTCGTCAGGCGCCGGTACCCCGACGGTGCGTATTTATCCTCCGCCCTTCTCCTTCGTGAAACGATTTGTGCTCACACCAACCGTGCAGGCGAAGAAGAGTCCATCGACCGTCCCATGAGAGCCATTCGCGAAGACCTCGACGAGCTCAGGACGGTGCTCGACGAAGAGAAGCCAACTGACGAGGAGGAGGGAGATGAAGCGGCTCAAGCGAAGCTGGAAGGGATCGGAGCCGATATGGACACGAAGCATGCGGAAGACGTGGCGCGAGCTGCGGAGGAGAGCGACGATCCGGAAGAGTGTCTGGAGGCGGATGCGCTTGTCCTTGGAAAGACCGTGGAGGAGCTCCGTGCCGTCGAGGCTCAAAAGCCATTCTACACGAAGGCAAGTCCCCTGGAGTCGCAAGGCGGACGTTAATATGCTAAGACGTTGCTGTACCAGGTGCAGGTGCCGACCGTCACGCAGCAGGGAGGCTCGGCAGAGAAGATGGAGACGGATATAAAGCCGCCGTTGATGTCGACCGCCTACGCGCAGCCTGCAATGGTATGTCACCAAACATCCCCGTGTCTTATTTCTCCGGAAATGACCATGCTCTTACTCTCGCCGCAGCTGACGCCACTGCCACACCGCGGTCGTGGCAGCCCAGACAAAGGTGACCGCCTCGAGAGCTTCATGCGCAAGCCATCATGGTACGTTGGTTCTTGCTCGGATTGTCGTAGTTTGAATGCTGATTTCAAATACAGGCACCCTGAGAAGTGAGATGCGGCGAGTGGAATGGCAGAAGAGTCGAGGGCAAGAGGGCTGAACGTGCATGTAGCTAACGCTCTTCATTAAGATTGCAAGCACTTACATTGCTCAAAAAGCTTGCCACAAATTATCATCGCCCACCAGATCGTCCAGGCCGCCTCCGCTCGCATCCCACATCGGCTGCTGCTGCAATTGCTGCTCCTGCCCCATCTGCTCATCAGCCCGTTGCCGCATCTCCAGCTCCGCGTGTAAACGGATGAACGGCTGCCAGAGACTGTCGTTCCCGCGCAGGTAATCGATGCTCGGTCTGTCCCGGAAGACTTTGGCGATCTTCTCCCGCGCACGCTTCGCTTCCGGTGAAGTGCTGAGGGCATCGTTGCTCAGGACGGTGGAGAGCTCGGTGGCGAGGGCGTGCCAGGAGAAGACGCGGATGATGGCCCTGTGCGCACGTAAGGAAAACCCGTCAGCAGATGTCTCGTGAATCAGAAAGGCCATACAGAAGTGTTCCGCGCCTAATCTGGACGATGGCAGAGGGTCAGACCCAAGTCTCGTAGCTAATCGACAAGCACAGATCCGCTCGGATAGCCGCAGGCGCTCTGGTCCATCTGCCACGAGACTTGTCTGAGACCCTAGAGCATAAATGAGGGAAGGGGTTCTGTTCACGTGAGACTCACCAGTCGAGTCGGCGGTGGGCGTATTTGTCGCGGATGGATTGGACGGTGTCGCAGAAATCTAGGGCGATGGTGACGAGTCTGGCGGATGGTTATTCAGAGGTCATGTCTTGAGCAAAGCGACTTACCTGTGTTCAAGTGCTTTGTATGTTGTTGTGATGCAGGCACTGTTTCTTGCCAATGGCCTCAGCTGTGTGAGATGGATTCTCTGGAAAGTCAGATTTGCAATATCCAATGTCAAGGACTGCTGGAGGGTGTTTAGATCCAGTCGTTCGATATATCTTTCTTGCACCGCGTCCCATGCCTGTCGTCGCAGCTCGTGGTGGTACTCGGCATACTCTTGGTCCTGCCCGTTATATGGGGCGCTGTGTGCGAGGACATGCCGCAGCAGGGCTGCTGCTTCGTACTGTACCAGGGCCAGAGTCATATCAGTGAAGCCTTCGTCTGCGACCGGCCGATAGGTAGAGGAGTCGGAGGTATCCCAGGCCGAGTCGTTGGAGTTTTGAGGTAGTTGCACATCTGCAAATCCAAGATGCACCGCACTGTCAAGCCCGTGGTTCTCCATGCACCAGCTGTCCACCAGTTGCATGAAGTGCCATATACGCCGCCGAAGCTCAATCTGCCATGGCGAGAGGCCGAGACCGACTCCATCCCGATGAATGCCGAGCCGCTGGGCAATGCGGACAGCAAGACCTAGCAAAGAGCTCGCATGGAGGATAGAGCCAGTCCAAACCAGATAAGCCTTCACATTGGTATTAGAGACATCTGGCTGCATCTTTGGCGAAGATACTTACGATATGGAGAATAAGTGTTTGCAGGGTACTGAGCTTGTGGGTTGTCGTCAGTTCCAAAACCCCCAGACCTTGCTCTACGTCGCGCTTGAACCTCCTGAGCAATGCATCTCGGGTTTCTGCAAAATATTCGAGACAGTCTTGCTCCGTGAGACTAAGCACGGCAAGGTTGAAGATAGCGCTGAGCTGGACCTCGGAGCCAGCGTCGCCGACACCTCGCTGAAGATGGTTCAGCTGCTTCAAGATTGTACCCTTGTGCAGGATGCGGATGAACTGGTCGACGTTAAAGATGTATGCTTTCATCAGTAGTAAAGCGCGGCTGGGGCAGAGTTGGAGACAGAGCGGCTGCCACGGAGAGTCGGGTGTCTGTAACAGCCATTGGGATGCCGAGGGCGCATCTTGGTTGAGAACAAACTGCAGCGAGCCGATCTGGCATCGATGGAAACGTCAGCGACGGGGCGTCTCAAACTACAGGGTGGGACACATACCTCATCGTACATGGATCCCCAGAAGGCATGGATGAGATGACGTGAGCTGCCACCGGAAGAGACCAAACGACCTCTCCAGGCGGCCTCGACATCCCATCTGATCTGAGGAAGTCTGCTGAAAGGATCGCGAGCGATCTCGTCGACCAAGAAGACGCGATCCTTTGGCCTTTGAGGCTGGCTCGGGATGCCCTCGGCACGATACGACGATCCCTCGCTCAGCTGATTTTGGAGATCCGCAATGGTCCCCTCCAACTGCCGGACTCTCTCCGCCAGTGCTGCAGCTGTCCTGGAGGCCTGTTGGGGCTCTTCAGGATACGAACATGGTATGCCGGCTTTTTGACAGTTGGTGCAGGGATCAGTCTTGGAACATCGGACCTTGCGGTGACGGCAAGTCTTGCACGGCTTCTCATGGGCTTCCATGGGTTCGGCATGGCTGGAGCTGAAGTCCATTGAAGACAGGAGGACCCGGTGTTGAGAGCAGAAAGATCATGGTTTAAAACAGACTTTCATGACCTACTATCTTAGTGACGTAGCATTACAGATGGTCCATGCAACATACGTAACCACGTTTACTCCGTGTTCGATATGACATCTATCTTTGCAGTATTTTGGAGTGCTTGTGAATCAGAAGGCAGAGGTTGGATGTTGAGTTGAAGTTCCCATTTTGATGACCAAGCATGGACCGTGCGCTCAAAACGAATGCATGTTCTAACCTCACCTCCTCCCCTCTTCTCTCCAACTCCAACCCTTGACACTTACCCTACAACGCAGCGTCTTTCAAATCCTCGTGCACTTGCGTCAAGATACTCGGCTGAGTAGGTTTGAAGCCCATTCTCGCGCTGCGGTTGGTGTGCATCAACATGTTGCCTGCCACGAGGTACTTGACCTCGCCTTCCCCTGCCTCCTCGAGCGGCACACTTTTTGCCTCCGGCGACTTGAAGATGCCCTTTGCATACATGACCTTGGCCAGCTCTGTGGCCATGTCTTTCCAGGCAACACGCTGCGTCTCGACGTTGAACCACCGGCTGTAGACGCTTCCTTGAGCGGGTCCGGATGCGGCGAGCTCGAGCACTTTCAGCATGAAAGGCACCACATCCAGAACGTGCGCCTGATGCTGGTCAGCGGTGCATCCTGAATAGCGTATTCAGAGACTTACTGTGCTCAACACTGCGCTGCCATTTCCGATGTACGGCACATAACCCAGTGGTTTGGCATTGCCGGTAATCAGCGAATAACCGACACCCATGCCTTTCGAGCCGACCGCAGCTCCGCCGTATGTAACCGGAGTGCATACGACGTAGGTGTCGACAGCGCCATTCTTGCCCGCTTGGAGAGCTCTACGCACGCAAATCAGTGTACTATTCTGGCTCCCATGGAACCCCGATTGAGGAGGGCTAACTCACACGACGTCCGATTGCCCGTTGAACATCTTGTCGTTCACAAGCTTGATGTCCTCTTCGTTGTCATCGTCCCACACCTTGCTCGCGGGATTGAATTCGCCTGTCGTGCCGAAGTCAAGGAAGTTGCCGGCACCTGTTTGTTCTACCCTCAGCGCATGCTCTTGGGTCCTTCTTCTGGGATGACACGAGTGACAAATCCCCAGCCAAAGCTCGTGCCGAAAACGCGAGCAGTGGGTAAGACAGCACCGACTTACCGCTGATATGAAGCAGTTTGCCTTTCGGACCTTCCGACCGCTCACTCAGTCCAGCAACAATTGCTGATATGGGGGCATCCGTGAACGAGTTTCCTGCGTTCACAGCGATATCATTCTCCTTGCATAACGCTTTGATCTTCTCAAATTCGGTGAAGTCCCCGGTTTCGATGCGCTTAACCCCAAGCTCCTTCTTGACCTCGTCGGAAGTTCGAGTGCCTCGAACGTACGCCGTCACCTTCCAGTCTGGATGCGCTTTGACGATGGCTCTGGTCAACGGAGCGCCCACTGGGAGAGCGACTTGTCAGCGGAGGTTCCCTCTCAAGTGGGTCATGTTGAAGGCGTTGCATACGGAAGCCCGTGGCTCCAAAGACGATAACGGATGGCATTTTGGTCTTGTATCGCGATGCAAACTCTTTGGGAGGTGTATGATGGGTGAGGTATTGGAGGTAGGAATTGACTGTCTTCTGGCAGTATCGAAGACGGCACTGTCTGCGAATTTAACCATTGCCGCTCCATCGCGCAAGGCCTGTCAATAGAAGCTTCCATTGTATCTGCGAGAAAAATGCATACTGGGTGACTAATTCTGGTATCGACTCGTTGAGCTGCAATAGATTATGTCAGCTTCATCCATGACTCTCCAACGTCGACGGCGGCTCCAGATAGAACCAAAGGGAGAAGTTCGGGGTGCTTCTTCCGCTGCCCGTGAGACAGGTGTGGAATCTCAATGCCCCGAAGAGACAGGTTTGCACCACATGCTAGCTTCGCTCGCTCGGCGAGAGCTCGCCGAAGGGGCTTCCAAAGCATCGCGGTGGAACCCAATGGGTCTTCGACACTCTTTCAAGCCTGATACCTCAAGCTGAACCTTAGCAATCTACTCTGTGGATACTTGTTGCTTTCATAATCCGCGAGAATTGTTCATCACAGCTCGAAGACATCAGTCCGGTGGGCATGGTGTCTTGACTGATATATAACCAATCTCGAGCACCACTCAGTCTCCAAGAACCCAACATCCGCATCGAACCTCCCAACTGTACTTCTCAGCAAGACGAAATCTCTGGTGCAACTGAGAAGACGAGAAAGAGAGTTAAGAGAAACACAGCCATGATGGATCTCAAGGGCAAGACTGCGATTGTGACTGGGTCCTCGAAGCCCACTGGTACGTTGCAACATGGCACCAGAAGCTACCTTGTTCAATGGCTGACGGCGCTCACTACAGGCATCGGTGCCGCTGTGGCGTTCGCACTGGCGGAGCAGGGCGCCAATGTAGGTGTAGTCGGACCTTTGAGCATTTTCTCCAGCTGACGAGCTCAGATCGTGGTCCATTACAGTAATTCTGCCGACTCCGCACAAGCAGTGGTGAAGCAGATTAAGGATCTCGGTGCCCAAGCTGTAGCCATCAAGGCCGACGCAAGCTCAAATGACTTTGGAAAGACTCTTGTCGAAGGAGTAAGTCGACACTTTGTACTGGTCCGATGGCAGACGAGCGCTAACACAAGAACTCCATGCAGGCATTGGACGCCTTTAACACCCAAACGATCGATATCGTCGTCAACAATGCTGGCACAGCGGCGGTCCATCCAAGCATCGCCGAAGTCGACGCCGACTCCTGGGACACCGTGTACCACGTGAACGTCCGCGCGCCATTCCTTCTCATCCAGGCCGCCGTTCCACACATGAAAGAAGGTGGCCGCATCATCAACATCGGTTCCATTGTTGCACGCAGCGGGAACAAAATGCTGACCGTGTACGCTTCTTCGAAAGCTGCCGTGACCTCCATGTCCGTCAGCCTTGCAGAAGAGCTCGGTCCGAAGGGCATCACGGTCAATGTGGTGGCCCCAGGCCCAATTTCGACGGAGATGAGCATGAAGGGGAGCCCGATCTATGATAAATTGATGAACAATGCGCATATCAAGAGAGAGGGCAGTGCGGAGGAAGTCGCCAGCGCCGTTGCTTGGCTGGCGAGCTCGAAGGCCGGGTACGTTACCGGTCAGTTGATCGGGGTGGATGGTGGGATATCCTTCCCTTAGGAATAGCGCCAGGAAGTGTGATCAAGAGGTAGCCGATGATCTCGATGCGTTCAGGCGTCTCTATTATAGGTCATTGTCAAAAGCATGCTTCATACCCAATACCACGCCACGAGACACTTCGCGGGGAGGAGAAAATGTTTGCCTAGAGCTAAGCACTATATTCCATCACGGTTTCTACTCGCTACTGATCGTAATGCTTCAGCGTCATCCTTCAGGTTGCTTTTGCCCGACAACAGACGACTGATGCTGAAGTACGCCTAACTACTTGGTTTCCAGTCTCGACCATCTCCGTGCTCCTACTGTCCATACGAGAGCCACTTCAAGATAGTGGCCACATGCTTGATAGCGATCGCGGCTTTTCGGGTCGATTTCTTTTCTTCCGTTGGTCGTATCGGGAGCTATCCGACGTCTCGTCGGCTGTCAATGAGGCCTTCCGAGCACACGACGAGCTGGATTTTGTTGCTGTGGATCGTTGATGGCAAAGCCTTCTGGCCATTATTAATGAAGAAGAGTGGTTTGACTGCGATGGAGTGGAACATTCGGCATTATCACGGGCTTCACGACAAGCAGTAATACCAGCTCAAGCATCCAGCAGCGACAACACTGACAGATAGTTCGACACCGTCTTTCTACTCTTACCTTTTGGACTTATCGTTCACAGAGATAGCCATGGCGACCCTGACGCAAACGCAGCCAGTGCGAACGCAACACCATATCTTTGTTGAGCCGCAACCTAGAACAATCGAGATACCCAGGCCTATCATCCAAGAACAACCTCTTGCGGCCACACATCTTGCTCTCACAGTAAACGAACAGTTACAGTACAGCCTGACTCAAGTCTCAACACCACATCTCGACGAGCATGAGGTCCTGCTCAGAACAAAGGCCGTTGGACTCAATCCCATTGACTGGAAGACTGTGGAGTACAAATTCTGCATGCCCGAGCTTCCCTGGATCAATGGTCGAGAATGTTCTGCCATTGTTGAAGGCGTGGGATCTGGTGTCAAATCATTATCGAAAGGCCAACGAGTATGGACGTCGACGTACTACCGCGATCGAAGAGCAGGGTGTTTCCAAGATCTGGTCGTTGCGCCTGAACACACTGTCATCCCAATGCCTCGTGGGGTGAGCTTTGAAGGTGCCGCTTCCTTGGGCGTGTGCGGTCTGACCGCAGCAATGACAATCTGGAAGTGGTTCGAAGTACCAATGCACCGCAGACGTCAGACAAGGTCATCATCACGGGACGACAGGTTCGCGCTCATATGGGGCGGATCAACCATCACCGGCCAGTTCGCCATTCAGATTGCAGCAGAAGCAGGCTTCAAAGTCATCGCTGTAGCTTCTGAGCGGACACAGCGAAAGCTTTTGGACCTTGGAGCACACCACGTCGTTGCTCGTGACGGAAAGTCGCTTGCAGCCATCGCGAGCGAGATCGAGCGTATCGGCGAAGACAAGATTGTTCTGGGTATCGACCTCGCCAGTCCAGAGACCGCTGCCGTGGGTGTAGCATGTCTCTCGAAAAGCCAATCCGCTCGCTTCGCACCACTGGCCATGCCCTCACCTCCTATCGACGCCCCGGAGAATGTCGAGATCGTCAATGTGGAAATGAAGAGATTTGTCCTGGATCCGACGTCGAAGCAGTATGCCGTACGATTAGCTTCCTTGGTTGGCCAGGGCCGAGTGAAACTTCCAAAGGTCGTGGCATTGGCTGGCGGGCTGCAAGATGTGGAGGCTGGACTGCGGAGGATACGCGGCGGTGACATGGGCGGGTCGAAGCTGGTTGTACGAATGCATGGTTGAATAGACTAGGACTGTGGATTGGGGCTGCCAGTCCATTGGCGTTTGAAACGATTTAGCGATGCATGGCAGGGCCAAGGTTATTCAGCATTGGTAAAATATAGCAGAGCGGCAATAGACAGTAGACGGATAGACTCACCAAGCACAAGAGATATCATCAAAAGTACCTTGGGATTGCGCATATGTTGCTGGTGTTTGACTGTGGTGTCACTTCCCCCCACATACAGACATGGCTAAATCACAGTCTACCACCTTCCATCTCGCCCACCAATTTCTGCACCCCCTCGCCTTCTCTGACCTTACGATAAGCCTCCGGACGCGGGAGCTCAAACCCATTGAAACATGTTCCTGCAAACAGAAGGGCAAAAGGGTTAGCGAATGTCTCAGAAATGATAGGGGTTTGCTCGTTAGTTTGGTACCATAAGTGATCCCGCCTGCTCTGAAGACTGGCCTCAACTTCGCGAGGTTTACTGTGGCCTTGTCGGAGGAGACGGCATCTTGCCACGCATGAAACAGAACAGCCTCCAACAGGACTAAAGTCGCACTTCGCTGGCCCGACTGCGGGCTGGTGATGTCTTGATGTGAGTGATACCTCAATTCGATCGAGAAGACCGCCTCCGCTGCGTACGAAGGCTTGACCAGTTTCGCCGGTCGTGGATGCAAACCAGACATCGGCCATTCCGAGAGATGCGGCGGAGTGTTGATCGAAGTGGCGTTTGCAGCCTCGATGAAATGATCGCTGATAATGCTAATGCATGCTTGCTTCGTGTCCAGAACGTTGCTGAGGCTGTCGTTGGCTTGCTCTCCGACGAAACAAACGGAGTAGAGAGGCGGATCAGCACAAACTGCCTGGAAATAACTGAAAGGCGCCACATTCTGGACCCCGGTGCTGGACATGGAGCTGAGTAATGCAATGGGTCGTGGCACCGTGCTTGAGATCATCAGCTTGTAGTTGAGGTTGGTAGGTCGTCCAGGTTCGCTGGGATCGATGTCGAGGACATCATGTGACTTCCAGTCTTCATCATTTGCTCCATCTCCGTACTTCCAGGAGGGGTTGGGAGTCTTGGTAGGCCGCCAGGCAGATGCTGCGTCGTAGTCTGGTCGAGATGCTTCGACGGCAGCAAAATTGCGATGCGGATTCCGATTCACCAGTGCTTCCTTGTCGAAGGCTTCGACCGGTGCTGACGTCGGGTCTGTCACGCTGCCCATGGTTGTCTGAATGATGTCGATGACAGTCCAGAGTCGATGCAAGTGGTGCTTATCGACGGTGGCGACTGTGAGCTCCAGACGTCGGGTCGTCCACAGGAGAAGTTCCTCAGAGTCCTATCGAAGGGCTGCCGATATGTCCAGCGCCGCGGGCTGAGCGCCGATTTGGGCGCCATAGTGTCCACTATCTATGGCAGAAGGGAGTTTGCGTCTTGCGAGTGTTCCGCTCAGTCCGTGTGTCCAACCCCTCGGCCGTTGACTTTCACCGCCGGCTGTTCACACATGACTCGCTTTCAGACCCTTGCAAGATAACCTATCTCTCCTCCCCGGAGCCAAGTCACCTTCTTGACCTCTGGCGACCAGACGGCAGAGCAGTTTTACTTCCGATACCTTGGGGTAGCCACGTGGAAGACATATAACGATGGAAGATACCGTGGAGTCGAGACCATCTGTCGCCGGACTGGTCTTACTTCCTCTCTCAGTACCTATATCAAGTGCTCTGCAGGGCGGTTGAAACACTTCTAGCTCCTTCATTTGGACAATCGAGACGTGGCCATGAAGTTTCCGCAAGTACGGCGCCCAAGGACCTTTCGCTCCCTCCAACTCAACACCAAGGAGTCGAGATGGATCAACGAAGACATCGCCCCGTGTCCTCCTGAGCATCAAACCTTTACCAACCGCGCCTTCTTTGGCTACTGGGTTGCGGCGGGTCTGAACACGACAGCATGGGCGTAAGTACCATCGTACACGATGAGAACATTGAGGAGGACGTGGCTAAGGATTATCAGCTTGGGCTCGAGTAATCTGGCCAACGGCCTGGACATCGGCGGCGCTCTAGGAGGCATCTTCGTCGGCGGCGTCCTCGCCGGTCTTGTGGCCTTCCTCTGCGGCGAGCCAGGCGTCCGATATCATCTGGGCTTCTCCATGATGAGCCGCGCGACCTTCGGCATGTACGGCGCCTGGTTCGTGGTTATGCTCAAATGCTTCGTCAACTTCATCTTCTTTGGGATCCAAGCATACTGGGGTGGACTGGCGGCGAGCGTGGTGCTCTCGTCGATCTTCCCATCGTTCCAAAACATGAAAAACACCTTGCCGTTGTCCTCCGCCATCGAAACGCCGCAGCTTATAGGCTTCGTCATCTATATATGTAAGCTCCACGCACTACGGAACGCTCTGAGACCTTTTCATCTCCCTTCCAACCGTGGAGATATCTGCTGACACTTCTTCTTAATACTCTAGGCATCTTCACGCCATTGATGTTCGTCCATCCTTCTCGGCTACAGCCGGTTCTCGCGGTATCTCTGGTCACCACATCGTGCACGGTTGTTGGAATGTTCATCTGGGCACTTGGACAGAACGGCGGAGCTCCTATCTTGCCACCGGACGTCAACATCTCCTCAAGCGAGCGCTCGTTTCAGATTCTGCGAGCTATGTCTTCTGTGGCTGGCTCGTGGACGGGAGCATGTATTCGACAGTCTGACTGGACTCGTTTTGCGAAGACCAGGAGAGCGCCCGCCGTACACCAGCTTGTCTCGGGCCCGCTCACTGTGACCGTGTGCGCAATCATCGGCGCATTTGCTACCAGTGCGATCTACGACATGTACGGCGAATTAATATGGAACCCCATTAGCGTCTTACAGTTCCTCCTGGACCGCAACTACGACGCTTCGTCAAGAGCTGGCTGCTTCTTCGCGGGCATGGGTTTCTTCATCTCGCAAATCGCGACGAACCTTGTTCAAAACTCGGTCTCTTGTGGAATGGACCTGGCGGCCTTAGCTCCTCGTTGGATTGATGTGACTCGTGGCAGTCTCATCATGTGTCTCGTTGGCTACCTCATCCAGCCATGGAGGTTCGTCAATGCACCGGGCACGGTAAGCTGAGCACCCCAAACACGAATGCCGAAATCTGGAAAGCATTTGCTGACGCTCTGATTTACCATTTCTAGTTCATTACTGTGCTCAGCAGCTTCGGCATGTTCGTCTCTCCGCTTGCCGGAATCAATGCAGTTGACTTCTGGCTCGTTCGGCGCATGCGCTGGAGAGTGCCGGACTTCTACAGAGGCAAAGGTCAGAGCATCTACTGGTACACTTCAGGACTGAACTGGAGAGCGTTTCTGGCTTGGACGCTCGCTGTGTGGCCATCATTCCGTAAGTTTCTTGTCGCACCCAGATCGTCTGTTTTTCAAGCTGACTGTTCTCCAGCCGGCTTCATCGCAGCAACAGGTGCAATTACAGTCAACGTGGGCTGGGAGAGATGCTTCTCTATCACATGGCTCATTGGGTTCTGTGGAGGAGCTTTTGTCTACTATGTTGTCTGCCTCATCGCACCGCCACCCGGCAAGCCGTACCAGACTGTCTACATGGAAGATGAGGCGACAGCATTCGAGGGCCTGGAAGTCAGCAGCGACGGGGAGAAACACCCCACAGCTAGCGTCAAGAGCGCCGGCGGGTCGTAAGGTTGTATGTACGATCTTTATTTGTTCTTGGTGTACGAAGCCGGCAAAGCCGTTAGGCGAGAGTTTGAAAAGATAAGGCCGTCGGCAGATCTTCCGGACTGGCGGGCCTCAATCAAAGCGAACTGTTCGATCAGAACTGTACAGCTATATAGACATTATCCCGGCATGTGGTCGTTTCTGCAGTATTACATTGTCTCCTTACTTCACTATGCCTGAGCTCATCGTCAAGAAAGCCTACATTGACGTCTCCTCGACAAACCAGCAACTCCACTACAGATACGTCCTGCCGACATCGACATCCAAGGACAGCACCATCGTTTTCCTGCACAAGTCCGCTTCCTCATCTGTCAGTTGGGAGCGGCTGATGTGCCACTATGCGGCGGAAGGCTTCTCATGCTATGCGCCTGACATGCCCGGGTTTGGAATGTCATTTGATCCGACCGAACAGCAAGCCGCAGAAATCGAGCAGGCGGGGACGAAGTGGTATGCTGAAATCTTCCTCGATGCTCTGAAACAACTGGGCGTAACAAAGCAGAAGTTCCATATCATCGGCCACCACAGTGGTGCTTCTCTGGCCACACAAATTGCCGCAGACCATCCAGACCTCGTGGCGAGCATCTGTCAGATCGGCGCGACTACCATTGGCTATGAAGAGCGGCAGAGGATGAGGGAGATCTTTCTGGTCCCGTTCAACCAGCCGACTGAGGATGGAAGCCATCTCCAGAAGACTTGGGACTACCTGGGCAAGATGGGGGCACAGACCAGCCTTCACCTACGACAACGCGAAGTCATCGACCACGTGCGCGCATGGAGAGGGCGAATGCTGATATACGGCGCTGTCTGGAACCAGGATAGTGAGACGCTGTTCAAAAAGGTCTCTTGTCAGGTCTTGGTACTTTGTGCGAGGGATGATGTCTTGTGGGAGCATATGGCAAACGTGAAGGTGGTGAAGCCGGAGGCCATCACGGGAGAGATAGAGGGTGCCAACTTCTCGCCAGATCGTGATGTTGATGGTATCGTCAAAGCCTGGGACGGCTTTCAGTCTCGTTGTTGACTTGATGGAAAGGGTTGAGCAGGGTGTCTGAGCCGTCCCATTTGCGGTATCACATGTACAGCTCGTTCTAGTGAATGCGCAGCAGTCAATCGCTATCGATTTGATTACGTTCGCTTTCCTTCTCCAACTTCCGTCGGGATGGCAATCGTCTTCCGAACATTATCAACACCTCCACCTCCTCCCTTGGCTTCAATCATCTTATCAACAATCGTAATCATGTCTCCGCTTGCCAAAGCTGGCCGTCATAACCGGCGGCAGATGCTGATGCTGTCCGAATTGCACCCTCTCACCAGCAATGCCAAGGGGCGTACATCCTCCCATCCCACAGATGGACTTTGCATCGGCAAGTCAGCAGGCTGGCCCGAGACCACGGAAACGAGCACGAACGGCTGTCGCTTGTCGACGTTGCAAGGCGAGGAAGCAGAAATGCGACGGTGGCCATCCTGCGTGCCATAATTGTTTCACATCCGACAGTCCTTGCGAGTACAACCTTACTCCTGCCCTAAGCCGAAACCAAGAGCAGTATCTACGAGCACGGAAGAGGGTGGAGGAGCTCGAAGGTATCCTTGGTCGGTTGGGTGAAGCCTACGATCATGGAGCTGCCAACTCAGTGTCTCCGGAGCCCGCAGAAGCCACTGCTGCAGCTACTGCGCCTACATCAGCAGCTTCTGCAACTCCAGACGAGGGAATGCAAGACTCCAGTGTAGCAGATGGGGTGCAGAATCCTCGCATGGCACGTGATAGCTCGTCCCAGCCCAGCTTCGTTGATGTGTTAAGGCATCTGTCTTTGCAAGCAACAGGGGGTTACGTTGACGCCGCGTCGACCGCCACCTTTGGACGCATGCTACAGGCAGTTGTTGCGCCCAAGGGCGAGGACGCTGCTCGTGGATGCCTTCTGGAGCAGAATCTAAGCCCGAAGTCTTTGGACGTCTTAGCACATCCGACAGGACCAAACAGGATCACGCTGTCTGGCATTCCTGATGTGGTCGCCAACCGCATGCTCGAGAAGGGCTACTTCGGGTACATCTCAACGCTATGGCCTATCATGCAGCCAGATGTGCTGAGGAATCTTCACGAACGAAGGGCTAGCCTTGAAGACCGATTTGAGGTGACCGCCTTGCATCTTGTCTACGCCGCCGCAGGCCGATTTCTCGAGACGACCGGTGAAACTGGCTCATTTCGATCCGAGCAACACTACCAAGCAGCGGCGGCATTGATACCAGAGATATTGACCCTGCAGGATGTCAGAAGCGTGCAGATTCTCGCACTATTTGCCATATATAGCCTACGAGCGCCAAAAGGACCCGGAGCATGGTCTTTCGTTGGCATGGCAATGAGAATGTGTATTGAGCTGGGACTGCATCGCAAGCTCAAGGACACATCTTGTGCGGTATCAAAGGACAAAGAGCTTCGGCGGAGGGTGTTCTGGAGCTGTTATTGCCTTGACCGGCAAGTCTCGATCATCCTAGGCCGTCCTTTTGCAGTCTCTGACCATGACGTCGACCAACTTTTGCCTGCTGGAGTGCACGAAGATGACGACTCGGGAGAGTCAATGGCTTGCTTCGTCCATATATGTCGCCTGCGCATAATCGAGTCGCACATTCAGCAGACAGTGTATCGCGTCGATCAGCCGCTCTACTCGAATTCGGCAGTGCTTGGTCTCTCCAACTTTGTTGAGCAGCTCGAACAGTGGAAGATGGGCATCCCTTCAACCAGCGATCAAGCTCCTTCGAGCCCTTCGATCAATCACCACGATTCATATGTAAGTGGCTATGCATGTCTATGCTATTAGGTCAGAAGTCGTTCTGACATTGTGCAACAGCTCATCTACTACTACCAAGCTGTACGGTTCCTACTGCACCCCCACATCTCCTCACCTTGTGCGCAGGATCAGTACATCCGCAGAGCTGTCGATGCTTGTGGTGGATTGTGCTCAACGTACAAACGCTTGCACCAGGTATGTGCGTCCTTTCTCTTTCTCTTGATTCTCGTCCTCCTTGCGCCTTTCGTTTCGACGACCTCTGCTCCACGCCTCTTCCACTTCTTCTCAGTCTGCAAGATTGCTAACCAATTCGTTCCGCAGAACGTGACGGTTGGCTTCTCCTTGATGGCGCTGCATTCCGTCTTCTTCGCGGGGCTGACTATGCTGTACTGCGCCTGGAAGTCGCCATCGCTCGTCCTTACAAACTCCACTCGGAACAACATCAACGACTGCAGCATAGTACTCTACATCATCACCGAGCGATGGCCGGGCGCGAAGAGGTACCGAGATCTCTTCGAATCTATCAAGGACCCGGTACTTCACACAATCGAACAACATGACAATCAGCCACAGATGGCTGTCGAAGAACTGCGACCAGATTTGTTCGGCGCCTTGCGCTCCATGTATCCCGCAGAAAGCGGACAGGATGAATTCTCCGCAATGCTCAGAGAGATGACAGGATCGGGAGGCGCTGGCGGAACCGCAACATCGCCACAGACGCAACAGCAGCAGCAATACGACAGTTATTTCTCTACAAACGACCTCTCGGTTCAACCAGGGCTCGCCTTCGACTTCTCCCTGCCATTGGATCCAAACACTCTAACGCCTTACCAGTCTTATCCATCCTTCAATGCTCCGATGCAGCAATGGCTTCCGGGTACAGACACAAATGCCGACCCCTGGAACGTTGAATCAAGGCTGTCGCACTCAATATAATCATCAAATACGCGGCTGCTTCTGCCTACTTTGAACCGGCCAAATACCAAACACATGATGCCTCAAATGGCATGGTAATGGCATAACGACCACAATCCATCTGTGTTTCAACAGACGAGCCTTTTACGCATTATTGGTGACCGTCATTACTGTCTTCCCTGCTAAGCCCGTACCTGCGAACATCGGCAGTGCTCAGATGGTACCAAGCTCCAGAAACCTTGTTGGAATATCCGCCTTCTTGCATCGAATGTACTCAGAGATGAACTTCCCAAGGATGTCGTACGTCGCATTGGCCGTAACGCCCCGGTCCAGCCAGTCATGCAGCAGGAAGTGGACTGCGCAGATGCCCGGAAACTCCATACGTTCGATCTTCTGGCCAACATAGTCGTCCGCCAGGAGTTCGATGAACTTTTCGGTCGTGAAGAAGGACCGTACCCATGGCCAAGCTTCATCGTGGACTGGGAAGAATGCGACATTGCAGTTCGAGCCTTTGTCTCCGGCACGAGCATGTAAGATGCGACCAAGCGGCATACGTGTTGTTGGCCCAAACGAGTCAACGGCCAGTGGGGAGGATGGTTCGTATGACGGCTGAACCAGCTTCTCCGGGAGCGTCTTTGTTGGTGGGAGGACTTCAACTGATGAATCTGAAGTCGAGAAGTGAATCATCGTCGTTGGCTGCGGGATGAGTGTTGGGAAGTACTCTTGATACTGGGTCGGGCGGATGTTTTTGTTAGTGTAAGTCGCAGCGGGAAATGTTTCCATGATGAAGTTGAAGAGCGGTGCGGTGAGCTCCTCGGGGCTGACAGATTTATAGTCTTTTGCTTGCAAGACAAGACGTAGGTCGACCGTAGCAGCGTTCTGGGAGCGTGGATTCTCCGCCACCGAGCCATAGATGGTCAAGTTAAGCATCGAGAGTTTGCTGAGTCTTTCCTTTCCTAAGCTGTGCCGGAGCTGGACCTCATACATTTTCTTCTTTTCTTCAAGATCCAGTCCGACTAGGCCCCAGTTCAGCTCGACCTTCCATCCTCCATGAGCGGTGACTCCGGCCTTTGTCGTTGGTGGCGGTGGCAAGCCTGTGACAGCCGACATTCGTACCCGGTCTGGACCCATGGCCTCGAAGCTGACTCTTTCGATGACAGCGGTGACATCGCTGTTGAGGTAGTATTTGCCCTGGATTTCATACAACAGTTGCTCCTTACAGGTCGCGGGAGAGACCAGTCCGCCGGATCCAGTCGCTTTGGTGATAACAACATCGCCGTCGTGGCTGATCTCTGCGATTGGGTATCCAAGATCATGGATCATGGACCAGTCCATCTGTTTGATGAAGCCAGTGAAGTTGCCTGGTGGAACCAGTCAGATTGTCTGGCATCAGGTAGGGATATCATGATCTTGGAAGCTTACCTCCTGTCACATAGGTCGAGCCTGGAACCCATCGTTAGCTCTGGACACTTTCAGCAGCCGGGCACGTATGCTTACACTCAATCAGATGACCAGCAATCAGGGCCCGAGCGAGGTTGTCGAAGTCCTCTCGCTGCCAGCCATGCCACCAAGCCGCCGCAGCAACAATGGGAGAAGCGTCTGCACATCTTCCACACAGCACGATATCCGCGCCGGCTTCGAACGCCTTCGTGATGGCCCATCCGCCAAGGTAACACTGCGCAAACACCGGCTCGAAAGGCCATTCTGAGAGACGACCGCCAGTGCACACGGACACCAGTGAGGACGAGTCCGCTCCCAGCACGGTCGAAGTTACTACGTCGCCCTCCACCCATGCCACCTTGAGCTTGTCGCTCAGGCCATGCTTGGAGATCATGCTCACGACTTCATCGAACAAATCCTTGGTCGCAACGCAGCCGGCATTTGCCGCCACCTTGATCCTCTTCTCGACGATAGAGGGAAGCGCTGGCTCCAAAGCTTCGAGGAACGACGGCTCGTAACCGATGGCTGCTGTGTCACCGGTTGACATGGCGTATGCTCGAGCCGGCATATTCAACTCTGACATCCAATCGCCTACCAGGAAATCGATGGGTTCGTCCGAGTTTGCTGCCTTCGCCATAGCATCTCGTCGGTCGACCGGCGAGCCTGAGATGTTCATGATGCGCGCAGCGCGTTTAGGATATCCTGTTGAGCCCATGGTTGCTGGATGCTGACCTCAAGTTGGCGGTTGCTATTTACTGCGAAGAACTCAAACTCGGAGGAGCTCGCAGAAAGATAGTCTGGATCAATTACCCTCAGAAGCACTGCATCAAATACATGACAAGCTATTTCCGGCATCTCTATCATTGCCGTTGCTGGGCTGGTTCTATCTTGGCAGCTCGTTCGGAAAAGCCGATGAGATCGGAAGCAGACTAGGCCAGCCTACAATACCATACTGATTCGCCAAGGGCCTACTGATGCAGGCACCAGAGCTCTCCACATATGCCGTGCATGGCATTGTTTACTTACAGACTTCATCCTTCACCAGCTTACGGTTTGATCAAAGAACCACCAGGACTCTTTCACCGCCGCCATCATCTCCACCTTCACCATGGGCTCTATCGAACCACCCAAGAAGCGCATCTACCTCAACTTCTTCGACTATGCCTGCACCGGAAGCCACATGTCGCCTGGCCAGTGGAAAGACCCGAGCGACAAAGGCCACACCAAGGATCGATTGGAATATTGGATCAATCTGGCGAAGCTTGCTGAACGCGGGAAGATCAGCTTCATCTTCTGGGCGGACAGCTATGGAGGCCAGGAAGTCTATGCGGGAAACAGTGATGCCCAGCTTCGAGCTGGCAACCAAACTGCCAGTATGGACCCCATGGTGCTTGTCTCCGCGATGGCAGCAGTAACGAAGTCCGTTGGCTTTGGGATCAGCGGTTCGACCAGCTACCTCAATCCATACATTCTGGCTCGGACGTTGAGTAGTCTAGACCATCTGACTGAAGGTCGGGTCGCCTGGAACATCGTCACGAGCTGGGCCAAGAGCGCGGCTCAGAGCCTGGGCTACGATGATGTTATACCTCACGATGAGCGATAGTAGGTCGAAACCGGGTGGAAAAGCGAGTGCTGTTCCATCTCTGCCTTTACGCATGAGAGATTGCATGCTGATGTCTTTCATCTGAACTTTTTAGTGCTATGGCAGATGAATACATGGACGTTTGTTATAAGCTGTGGGAGAGCACATGGGCCGATGATAGTGTGGTGTGGGATACGGAGAGAAAGACGGCCTTTGATCCAGAGAAGGTGAAGAAACTGGAGCACAAAGGTCAATTATCAGCATTCTATCACAAGTATCGCTAGGAAGCTGACCAGCGCAAAGGCAAGTATTTCAAGATGAACGGCCGTTTCCAAACGCATCCTTCACCTCAACGGACACCGGTTTTATTTCAGGCAGGTACCTCGAAGTCTGGAAGAGCTTTCGCTTCGAAACATGCTGAAGGTAAGAGACTCCGCTCTGATCAGGGAGTCGAAAACTGATCGTTTTTCAGCGATTTACATCGGCGGGCTCTACCCAGCACAGTCAGCAGACTCAGTTAGAGACATCCGTGCAGAGGCAGCGGCACGAGGACGAGACCCGAAGTCTCTCAAGTTCTTCGTTGGTATCTCTCCCATCCTGGGCAACACGTTGGAAGAAGCCCAGGCCAAGTACGAGAGGGCGAAGGAGCACGCCGACGTCATCGGCGGTCTCGCTGTCTTTGCGGGATACACAGGCATCGATCTCAGCACATACCCTCTGGATGACCTGTTGGAGCTGAAGGGCCAACCAGGCGAGGATGCCGTGCATTCCTTCTTGAAATCTTTCAACCACACTACCGGCATCGACAAGCCTTGGACACCGCGGAGACTGGGAGAGACGATGGCACTTGGCGGGTTCCATCCTGCGCCTGTCGGCACTCCGGCAATGGTGGCTGATGTGTTCGAAGAGTGGATTGACGAGGCAGATGTCGATGGCTTCAACATCAGCTACCTCACCACTCCGGGCGGCTTCGAAGACATCGTGGACTTGCTTCGTCCGGAGCTGGTGAAGCGAGGTTTGATGTGGGAAGACTACGACGTGCCGGGTGGAACTCTGCGAGAGAACCTGAATGGCAATGTAGGGAGGAGCAGGGTGCCAGCTGATCACTACGCTGAACAATTCAAATGGGGCCAACCAGTTCCTGGGGAGCCGGTGCAGGAGATGACTAATGGGCATGCTAAGAAGTGAGTACCCATCTTCTCTATTCATTGGAACCTAATTGACGAATGGCATTATAGGCGAAAGCTTGAGACGTAGTGAGCCTTCTTGACGCATTGTGCGGCAAAGCTTGAATGCTTTCGTACGGCGACACCTGCCGTCGTTGTCGTTGCTTCTCAGATTCTGTATCTGCACAAGAGACTTGTGCAACGAGAGCAAGAGATTGGCGATACATGGTCAAGGCTATTTGGAAGAACGGCAATGTGAAAGCATGGGTGGTGAGGTCGGCGACGAGCTACAATTTACTTACAATACTTCCTGATGCTCCGACGTCAATCCGCTTTACGATGCCATTCTCCAACGCCGCGGTGTTGATATAGAACTCACTCAGCTGCTCGAGCGACGTCACCCCGAGAAGCCGCATTGTCGTCTCGATCTCATCACTTAGCACTAATCGGCCAAAGTCAGCAAACACTCTACATTTGTGGTGGCGACACTGACGCTGTATGGCCTTGCAGACCCCCTCCGTGCCATACGCAGACAATGCGTACATGAACGGTCTCCCCAACCCCACGCCTCTTGCACCTAGACAGAGTGCTTTGATGACGTCCGTCCCTCGCATGACGCCGCCGTCGAGATAAACCTCCATTTCCTTCAACAGGTGTGGGTAGTAACGGCGGATCTCGAGAAGGGTCTGCAGCGAGCTGGGAGCAAAATCCATCTGTCTCCCACCATGGTTACTCAGATAGATGCCATCTATTCCGGCTTCGTGTGCAAGCAGAGCATCTTCAGCGGTTTGTATGCCTTTCAGCACAACGGGCCCGGTGTTGCCCCATTCCTTTTGGATCCAGGATAAGTCGTCCCAGCATAGTGTCGACGAGTGCACGCCGCGGAGAATAGGCGCCTCGCCAGTCGTGCTGGTCGTCCGCTCAACCGTCAGTCCAGCTGCATGGTCAAGCTCAGCTTTGTAGCGGTCGTCTTCCTCCCGCTTCCCGATCACTGGCGTGTCGACAGTGAGGACGAGAGCTTTGAATCCCAGCCGTCGTGCCTCGGAGATGAGCTGTTTCGCTCCTTCTTGAGCAGTGGGCACATAGAGCTGCCAGAGCAATGCACCGCCTTTCTCCTGTGCAGCAAGAGCTTTCGCAAGCTCGATGTGCGCGACAGAAGAGTAAGTGCTACTGCAGTAGGGGATGTTGTAGCGGCCGGCGCCTCGAGCAAGACAGAGCTCGCCATCGGGATGGCCCAGTCGCGCCTGAGCTGCCGGGCAGATGAAGAAGGGTAGTGAACTGTCATGGCCCATCAGACGGCATCGCATCGACACCCGAGCGACGTTTCGCAGGATTCTTGGTCGAAGGTTGACCCGCGTCCAGTCTCGCCGATTGGTATCCAGAGAGTTGAGGCTATCGGCTGCGGAATGGAAGTAGACCCATGCTTTCTTCGAAAGGACCTTCTTCGCTTCGGTCTCGAACTCGGTCAGGTTCTGCACTGTCGAGAGTGGTATGGGCTTGTCTGAGTCGTATTGTACTATCGGAGTCGATGCTGAATCGCCTTGCGTCTCTGGCTCAACAGGTCCAAGGTGCTTGTCTGATCACTGTCAACGGGGTTCCCAGATGACGCAGTAGTGGCGGCGGCTCACCCTTCGACAGGTGCTTCTCAATCGTCCCAGGTGGATGGACTGGCTCGTATTCTGCTGTAGCGTCCTTGAAATCAGTTTAGCATTCCTCTAGCTCAGCGACCTTATTTAATGACCATACTCACTCGTCCGGCATATCTCAGAATGCTGTTCGCCCCGCCGGGATGGTGGTCCAAGAACTCAGTCACATCGTAGGCTTGACCATCAACCACCACCCAACAAGAGTGGCTGTTGTTATGCTTGTGGATTTCTCTTGTTGATAGCATGGTCTTGATACTGTCTAAAGTCCTACGGTATGGCCTATATGGACACTCGTGTCGAAGAAAAGTGTCCAAGATTGGAGGAAGTGTTGTAGCCGAGGTCGCCCTCAGCAAACGATGCAGATCAATGTGCACGCCAGACAGCTTTCGCCTTTCTTGTTCGCGAGGGTACTTGATCAATACATAAACGGTTGTCAGAGTGCCTTCAGATAGGGCCAGGAATGGGGTTGTAACTCAATACAAAGCAGCTCGATTAGTAGGTTGAACCGGCATTGTTGGACTCATATATCGACTTGGACACCGGAATCAACCACCCCGACAATCACCATGGCCACCGAACGCCTCACGAACATCCTCTCCCACGTATCCCCATCACAATCCCCAATCGATAAACTGTAAGCCCCCACCCCAAACAACACCACACCTTTACTAACTACCCCCGCAGCACCACCAAGTCCCCCTCAGATATAGTAATCACCCTCGCCCTCCGCACCTCCCTCACCAAATCCCACCGCGGCGCCTTCAAAGACACACCCCTCGACGGCCTGCTCTTCAAAACCCTCGAGCAAGTCGTCCAACGCTCCTGCTTCCCCCCGCACCACGTCGGCGACATCTGCCTCGGCAACGTCCGCGATGGGCGTGCAACGTATATGATCCGCGCCGCCGCTTTGGCAGCCGGGTATCCCGTGCCCACTTGCACGAGTAGTGTGAATCGGTTTTGTTCGAGCAGTTTGACCGCTACGCAGCATGTTGCCAACGAAGTCGCGTCGGGGTTGATTGAGGTTGGTGTGGCGATTGGAGCCGAGACGTTGAGTCAAGGGAATGTGAGGTTGGAGCGGCCGTTCGTGGAGGAGATTATGGAGGCGAATGGGGATGCGGCGGATTGCATGCAGTCGATGGGGCAGACAAGTGAGAATGTGGGTAGGGAGTTTGAAGTCAGCCGGGAGCAGCAGGATTGGTATGCGGTGGAGTCGTATCGGAGGGCGGAGGTGGCACAGAGAGAAGGGTGGTTTGGGGATGAGATTGCACCGGTGAAGGTGAAGGTGAAAGGGAAGGATGGGAGGGAGGAGGAAGTGCTGGTGGAGAAGGATGATGTGAGGTATGGGACGACGTATGAGGGGATTGCGAAGCTGAAGCCTGCGTTTCCTGAGTTTGGGGATAGGAGTCATGCCGGGAATAGCAGTCAGGTTACTGATGGGGCGGCGGCGATCGTTTTGATGAAGAGGAGTAAGGCGAAGGAGTTGGGCGTGCCGGTGCTGGCGAAGTATGTTGGGACGGCGATTGAAGGGTTGGCGCCGAGGATCATGGTGAGTCTCTCCGTGATACTCAGCTTTTATGCGGTCCTACTGGCCATATCGGAGAATGCAGGATCTTGCGGTGTGCTGAGATATGAGGATAGGGCATCGGACCAGCCCTAGTCATCCCGAAGCTCCTAAAGCAGTACAATCTCGAGATGAACGACATCGACGTCGTCGAGATCAACGAGGCCTTTGCGTCCATGGCGGTGTACTGCAGAGACAAGCTTGGCCTGGGATGGGATAGAATGAATCCACGAGGTATGTCCAGTAGTCCTCTCAATCATCGTTCTTGGCTCCGTCCGTTGTGGGACCTTAGGAAAAGCTGACATAACTCAAAAGGTGGTGCAATCGCAATTGGCCATCCATTCGGTTGCACCGGGGTAAGGCAGATTGTGACAGGCCTGAGCGAGTGTCGGAGGAGAAAGGCAAAGCTGCTGGTGACGAGCATGTGCATGGGCACAGGGATGGGAATGGCCGGCTTGTTTGTGAACGAGGTTACCTGAAAATGAACATGAACATGAGTAGGAAGGCAGTCGTAGTAGTGTCAGATGATTGCATAGGACCGCTCAACCTCTCCAGGTTGTGCAGAAGGGTATCTTGTATCGATAAATGTACACACCTCGCACCTCACGCCTCGCGAAGTCTCCCTCTATGCCAGATTGACGACACCTCTTTATCGTTACACCCAAGCCTGTGCGCCGCGCCGCCTGCGGCACAGCATCAAGCAGCTTTAGCTCTTTCGCCACCATTGCCATTCATGGCCTTCTTCTGACTCCACTGCCATTCCACAAGCGCGGGCAGGAATTTCCACAGATTGAACTCGGGCCAGAGACAGTCGATGAACTTGCATTCCGTGTTCTCATGAACCTGCCAGAGCATGAAATCAGAGAGCCGGTTGACGCCAGATGTCCGGATCAGGAGCTCGGGTGGCGGACAGTTGATGTATGTGTTTCGGGTGAGCGTTTCGGCTGAAATGTTCTCTGGGTCGGGGAGGTGTGGAGATTTTGATCGGCTGGAAGACTTCTTCTGTGCGTATAGATCCAGTCTCGAGCTTGGCTGAAGGTCGGGCGAGGGTGAGAGCGAAGTTTGACTTGATGGAGGATGGGCCAGGTGGGAGGAAGAGTCCAGGTCTTGCTCAGAGACGGAAGTGTTTTCAGCGTCGGATGATGGCATGGATGCCGTCTCTGCTACGGGTGGTTCGGCGGGCATTTCCTGCTCCTCAGCAAGACTCTCGAGCTGACTGCCTTTCCTAATGTTCCGCTGAATGTGGGTCTCGCTGAACGGCCGCTTCTCCTTCCTCTTCTCTGGCGGAGCGCTGCTGTAGTCTTTAACGGTCTCCCGGATGCTGTGCACAATCTCCTCGCGTCCGGTGTAAGGAAAGCAGACATTCAATACAGCGCTGCCATTGTCCTTGGTCATTTCAACCGCCTTGTCCACCTGCTCCAACACGTCATCGCGCACCAGACTTCGATCGCCAAGTATCCTCACCGCCGCCCCATACCGGTCAAACAGCTCGCCATGCTGGCTCATCTGCACCAGCTTCGTCTTGGCCATGTCCATGAGACCGTCGACCTCGTACTTGCTCCGTTTGAAGTTCTCAATGGAGAAGGCGTAGATGGTGACGTACTCGACGCCGCTCTTGTAACAGACCTCCAGTACTTTCGCCAGCGCCTCGAAGCCCATGTGATGCCCTTCGACCGTCTCGACATGATGTGTTCGCGCCCAACGTCGGTTGCCGTCCATGATGAAGGCGATGTGTTGGGGTATGGGCCCGCATTTCAACGAGCCGATCAGCAGCTCTCTGACCTGCTGCAGCGCGTATTCGACGGGTGGGAGAGAGAGAAGCCACCGCTGGAGGGAGCCAGAGTGAAGGGTGGCCATGGTCGTTGTTGGTGTGAGTGGTGATGTTTAGGTGGGGACGGTGTTATTGAACCATTGTGTCGCTTTTGTAGTGTTGCGAAAGGCGCGCGTGTCTCTCGTGGCCGTGTCGCTGCTCAGTCAAGTTGCTTTCGTGGCATTGCCTCGACCTTGAAACCTTGAACACGCCGGCGCCGACTCCGGGACAGAAGCGGCTAGCTCGTCACATCCACGCGCCGACCCTTGCCAAGGCCGCGCGTGGTGCCTGCCTTTCACAGAAAAAGTTGTCTCGTGCTTGCCCTTCCTCCTCCTCAGCACCTGCTCACGACACACACGACACATCCAGGCTTCCGCGTATTCCTTCGAAAGCTCTTCAACCTCTTCTTCCTCTCCGGATCAAGACCCAAAAAAAGTTGAAAAGTCCAGAAAACCCGTCCCTTCGCGCTCCTCGCAAGGCTTCACTCCTCCCCCAACAACCACCTCCTTCTCCTGCTTACCCGTGAGTATCTACTACCGCGCGACTGAAGTTGACCGACCTCACTGACACACTTCCCACAGCCACTCACTCACTACCATTCCCACCTCACTCAACACTTGAAGCAGAAATAGTCAAGGTAAGACAGCGCGCGCCGACACTCTTTTCTTTGTTCATATTCACCGGCGGAAGGACAATAGAACTGCACCATCTCCTCTACTTCGAGACAGCAACTGAAATCGCAGCAGCACCGACCCGCCACGATGTCTGACGTCCAGAACTCGACCTCTCCCGCCCCGGCCGCCGGCCAAACTTCCTCTCCCCCAGCTGAGGGCGCCGGCGCGAACGGCACCGGCCAGCTCAACACCAACGTCACCTCTGATGGCGGCGACATGCAGACCCCCACCTCCGCGGCCCCGTCCACTGCCCACCACAACTCCGCCTCCCTCTACGTTGGCGAGCTCGACCCCTCCGTCACCGAGGCCATGCTCTTCGAGCTGTTCTCCTCCATCGGCCAGGTCGCCTCCATCCGTGTCTGCCGTGACGCCGTCACCCGTCGCTCGCTGGGCTATGCCTACGTCAACTACAACAACGCCAATGACGGCGAGCGCGCGCTGGAAGAGCTGAACTATACCCTTATCAAGGGCAAGCCGTGCCGCATCATGTGGTCTCAGCGCGACCCGGCCCTTCGCAAGACCGGCCACGGCAACGTCTTCATCAAGAACCTCGACACTGCGATTGACAACAAGGCTCTCCACGACACCTTTGCCGCTTTCGGAGACATCCTCAGCTGCAAGGTCGCTCAGGATGAGCACGGCAACTCCAAGGGTTACGGCTTCGTCCACTACCAGACCGCCGAGGCTGCCAACGCCGCCATCAAGAGTGTTAATGGCATGCTCCTGAACGAGAAGAAGGTGTTCGTCGGCCACCACATCCCGAAGAAGGACCGCATGAGCAAGTTCGAGGAGATGAAGGCCAACTTCACCAACGTCTACGTCAAGAACATCGACCTCGAAGTCACGGACGACGAGTTCCGCGACCTTTTCTCCAAGTATGGCGACATCACCTCTGCCTCCCTCGCGCACGATAACGAGACTGGCAAGAGCCGCGGCTTCGGCTTCGTCAACTACATCCGTCACGAAGATGCCAACAAGGCGGTCGAGGAGCTTCACGACTCCCAGCTGAAGAGCCAGGTTCTCTATGTTGGCCGTGCCCAGAAGAAGCATGAGCGTGAGGAGGAGCTGCGCAAGCAGTACGAAGCTGCCCGTCAGGAGAAGAATGCCAAGTACCAGGGCGTCAACCTCTACGTCAAGAACCTGGCCGACGAGATCGACGATGAAGAGCTTCGCAAAGTCTTCGAGCCCTACGGCGCCATCACTTCTGCTAAGGTCATGCGCGACACGGTGCCCCTCGACAGCGACGGCGAGCCGATCAAGGAGACGGAGGAGAAGGAGGAAGAGAGCAGCGAGGAGAAGAAGGAAGAGGACAAGGACGGCGAGAAGAAGGAGGATGGTGTTGATGAGCTGGAAAAGAAGATGGACACTGTCACCATCGGCGGCGAGAAGAAAATGCTGGGCAAGAGCAAGGGCTTCGGCTTCGTCTGCTTCTCCAACCCAGACGAGGCTACCAAGGCCGTCACCGAGCTCAACCAGAAGATGGTGCACGGCAAGCCGCTCTACGTCGCCCTTGCCCAGCGCAAGGAGGTCCGCAAGAGCCAGCTCGAGGCCAGCATCCAGGCTCGCAACCAGGTTCGCATGCAGCAGCAGGCTACGGCCGGCGGTATGCCTCCGCAAGCCTTCATGCAGCCGCAAGTGTTCATGGGCCCGAACGGACAGCCGATGGTGATGCCAGGTGGTGGTCGTGGGCAGATGCCGTTCCCGATGGGCATGCCACAGCAGGCGGGCCAGCGCGGCGGCTTCCAAGGCATGCCGCAGCAAGGTGGACGTGGAGGTCCAGGCGGGATGCCCGGTATGCCAGGCATGCCGTATGGCTTCCCACCACAGATGGGTAGCTACAACCCTGCCATGGCCGCTCAGAACCCTGCCGCCTACGCCCAGTTGATGCAGGCTGCCCAGCAGGCACAAGCCGCTGCCATGGGTCGCGGTGCTGGTCGTGGCGGTCAGATGCAGGGCATGGGCATGCCGATGATGCAGGGCATGCCGCCACAGATGATGGGTGGGATGCCAGGCCGTGGAGGCTTCCCCGGCGGTCAGCAGCCTGGTCGTGGTGGTATGATGGGCGGTCCAGGTCGTATGGACGAGCAGCGCGGTCGCCAGGCTACCCGTGGGCCACAGCAGCAGTCTGACGGCTCCCCAGGCGTCGACCTCGCTCAGCTCAACAGCGTGCCGCCGCCTCAGCAGAAGCAGATCTTGGGTGAGGCCCTCTACCCGAAGATCGCCACCCAGCAGCCCGAGCTCGCTGGCAAGATCACCGGCATGCTGCTCGAGATGGACAACCAGGAGTTGCTGAGCCTGTAAGTTACACCATAACCCTCGCCACGACCTTCACGTTTACTGACTCCTCACAGCACCACCGACGATGACGCCCTCCGTCTCAAGGTCGACGAAGCCATGAACGTCTACCACGAGTACGTCAAGAACCAGGGTGGCCCGAGCGATGAGCCCAGCGCTGGCGGCATGAACGGCGGCCCTGAGAACATCAACCCGTCGGTCGAGGAGGTCAAGGATGCTGAGGCTTGAGCGATGACAATGTCGTTCGCTCCAAGCAGGCGATGTCAGTGACCACTGTCGCCGGCATTCCGACCCCTTTCAACGTCCGTTCACCTCCCGGTGGCCACGGATTTTCCTTCCATTTGTTCCAGCAGGATGCACGCGATACGCGCCACAGCTCAACTCAGTTGCTTTTGTGGCATGCTGTCGTGCCTTTTACACATTACCACTGTGTTCAATTAACGATACGATACGACACGATACCCCGAGCAGAGCAGGTTTCTTCACAAAAGCATGGGCGGGAGATTTCGAGGAGGCTGTACGAGTAGATTGCTATGGATGTCGATGGTGGGAGAGGCATCTTCAGTTCACATTGCTGCAAGTATGATTATGCTATGGTCAAGGGAGGCAAAGTAGTGTGAGGATGTGAGATAGGCGTGCAGAAATCAAATGGTGCGTCATCAATATTTTCATCCCTCTTCTTGATTAACCGCAGTGAGAATATCTGCCTTGCCTGCCCACCTGTATTTCATGGCAGTAACGTCCAGTGCGTGTCGTGTGAGATGTGTTGGTTCCCGAGCACAATGTCTTCTGTACGAGTGGCTTGATTTGAAAACGACAGCCCACCGCGAGAGACTGCATGCACCACGTCCACACGCAACACCCGTCCATCATCATCACCCTCGCTGATGATGGCAGACTACCACGAAACCAACCAGCGCATCGAGGTATGCCTTCGACACATCGCTCAGTCGGAAGGAAAGCCAAACCTCACCAAATGGGCTCGAGACTATAATGTCCCGTACTCGCGCCTCTACGCCAGGTACAAGGGGAGGGTCACCAGGCTCGAGCGTCCGGCGAGTCACAGACGCCTGAAAGACACAGAGGAGAATCTGCTTCATGATCTGGTCAATGGTCTCGAGGCACAAGGTATCACTCCACGGCTGGCGCAGATTAGGACTGCGGCGAACGAGCAGACAAGTTCGCCCACGAAGCAGGCGTCTACATCAAATCCACCAACCGCAGCTACTTCACCTCCAACTACCAGTCCAACAAGACCATCGAAACCTACTCCATCGACTGCACCACTCACCAAATATTGCTAGAAGAGTTCCCCGACGTCGTCAACCCGAACGGCGCATGCTACTATGGCGACCAAGTCCTCTACTGCTGCCAGGGCTCCCTCACCACACCTTTCGCACTCGTGCTCGCCCACCCTCTCCTTGGAACCTCGGAGATAATGCTGAACAGCTTCTACGGCCGCGACTTCAACAGCCTCAACGACGTCGTCGTCCACCACGACGCAGGCGACATCTGGTTCACAGACCCCACCTACGGCTACGAACAAGCCTTTCGCCCGTCACCTCTGCTTCCGAGTCAGGTGTACCGCTTCCGCCCTGCTACGGGACAGATCTGGTGCGTCGCCGATGGCTTCGTGCAATGCAATAGCCTCTGCTTCAGCCCGGACTACGATAATGTACATCACCGACACGAGCGCGGTGCAAGCGCACCGTGGACCCGGGGATGGGCAGAACGTCTCGCTGAACCCGCGGTTGCCGGCGACGATCTACGAGTTTAATGTTACGGATGGCCGCACGAGGTTGAGTAACCGCCGGATGTTCGCCTACGTGGACTCGGGGGTGCCGGATGGGATCAAGTGTGATGAGCGAGGGAATGTGTACTCGGGCTGTGGAGATGGGGTGCACGTGTGGGATGCGCAGGGCACGCTGTTGGGCAAGATATATGCTGGGAACGTGGTGGCGAATTTCAATTTTGTCGAGGGCGGGATCTGGATGATGGCCGCGGAGAAGTTGTTCTTCTGTGAGATTGGGGTGAAGGGGGCTTTGGTGGATATTGAGTGCTTGTGACTTCTCAATCGCATGCATTGGGCTCTGCCTCTTACTCAAAGCAATCGCCTCCAACAGCCGCACAAACAGCCGCAGGAGACTCAAGCCTTGTCTTGTTCGTATACTCCAACGATCGTGACGTCGCCTGGATTCAAGCTCACAAGCATCGAATCTGTCCTCTGGGACGTATGGCCGATCAACCTCAGCAAGCATCTTGCAGGAGCTACTCTTGCAGGCAACCACCTGCTCCAAACATGTTCATAGGGTATCGTAGATCATATAGCTCTTGAACCCCATAGCCCCCAAGGCCCCAGCACCACAGCGCCGCTTTCAAATGACCCGATCGCCAAAACTCCGCTCTTATTATCTTAACCCACTCTCCTTCCCCCACTCGTCTGCACAGTAAACGGACTCTCCTGCGCCGCCTTCATCGGCTCCAAACTCAATAGCGTCCACACATACAACCCCACAAACCGCACCACCGCACCCGGCCAGCCTCTCCCCTGCGCAAAAGCCGCCGGACTCGCCATCAGCGCACTCCAATCCACGCTCGGCGCTTGCACTGTCTTTGGCGTTATATTGCTGTCGCTCGAGCCGAGCGTCTGCCCCTTGCCAGAGAAACTCGCGCTGCTCTTCGCAGGGCCTTTTGCGGCGTTGGCGGCGGCGGAGAGGATGGCGGTGCGGAGGGCGGTGGGGTTGGCGCCGCGGACGGTCTCGACTACCGAGGTGCCTTTGAGGATGAGGAAGGTGGGCATGCTGTCGTGTCCAACACTGCGTCAGCCGTGCGCCCACTGTGGGTGGGAGGGATGGGCGGCACTTACGCAGAGATGCCATAGGTTCCTGCGACATCTTTCTGGTTGTCGACGTTCACTTTGCAGAAGACTATCTTGCCGGGTTTGCTCTCTGCTGTTGCGAGCTGGGAGAAGATCGGAGAGATTTGCTTGCAGGGACCACACCAGTCGGCGTAGAAGTCGACGACGGTGTAGGTGGATGAGGCGACGGTGGATTTGAAGTGCTGGTTGGAGTTTATCTCGATCACTTTGGAAGACATGTTGGGGGTTGGTAGGTTGGTATTGTTTGAAAATTGGCAAGATGCGTTGGAGAGATGTGAGCTTTGCAAGGTGTTGTTCTCGATGTTAGGTAAGCGAGCATGTGAAAGCCGCGAACGTACCTTACATGCGTCTACATGGATATACACCCATGCCGGCAGCAATAAGGATGAGCAATTGATTCGATGATTCAGCTTTCGTCGTCTAGTTTGTGAATTAAACAGTATTGACAAGCACACACAGAACGGCGGCAACAGTCCGATATGGAGATCATCAACGACGCAACGAAACATTGGCAAGCCGTGCCATCAATGAAAGTGTCTGCTGAAATACCCGGGGCATGGCTGGATCTGATGGGAATGGCCAGAGTGATCCAAGGAGCCTCAACAGCCAGCGTCTCTCAGCTGGACCCATTACTGTCGCGATAGTTGAGCCAGGCCGCCAGCCCTTCATAAATTCCGAATCCTTCAGGTCGTATCATCCTTCAGGTCGCATTCTTCCGGTCGTGTTGTTGAAGATGCGAGTACGAGCGCAAGTTAGATGTCAGGTGCGGACAGAAGCTGTGATCTAGATGCTCACGTCAGACGACAGCCGCAGAAGCTGTACCGTGACCGTTTGATCCAAGCGACTTCGTCTTACATCAGGACTTTATCGATCCATTGAAGCGGAGACAAGCTCAGCAGCGATTTGCCCCGCTTGTAGGGTCACCGGGAGCGTGGTGAACCGTCGATGGGGGCCAGATGCAACGCAGGTCCAAAGAACTGAGAATGAACGATTGCAGTCGCGGGAGAAATATCAAGTCTACGTGACCCAGCCGACCCAGGGCATTGACTCTGTTAAAACAAATATCTCGTGGAGCATCGAATGGCCGTTTTGGCGGCGAATAAAAGGGTAGTAGACGAACATGGAAGTCTTGGTCGAGCGAGGACCTTCGAATGGAAGTCAGCCTTGCTATCGTTTGCAGTAAGCAATGAAGGAATGCAGGAGTCTAGTGAGGCCTTGAAGACGGCTTAGGGCCAGGAGTGATAAGATGCAGCGCTCTAGTCGAGCTCGCGCACGTGGTGATGTACCGAATGCAGTCAGAAGCCTATATCTCTTTTCCCCAATAGGTCCGGTAGAGACCGGAATGGACGCCTGGCCCTGCTCGCCACGAGAGCTCTCGGAGATTCACTTCAGATACGACGAGATGTTGTTGCGGAGGCTGTGGGGTCCGGTACTCCAGTCAGCAAAGGGTCTTCCTCAGATTGCCACGGCTGCTGGAGAGACCGGTCGTCGGCTTCTCACGATCCGGAGCGGTCGCCGTAGCAGAGAACTCAACTCGGTAGCACCAATGTACGCTTGGCTGTTGAGACGACCATCGTCGTGACTTGTTGATATCTATCGCCACCAGTGTTTGCTACATGTAGACGTTCCGAGGCCCCTCTGACGATGCAGGCATCATGATTCTCGGAGTCGAGCGGGCAATATTTCTGGGCGTGCGGTCTGATGGAGAGCTGCAGGACTTGTTGGCCCTACGGACAGACGAAGCTTCAGCCGTGGCATCAGGGCCAATGAATCACCACTGCCTTGCTGCACCTTGGCGAGGCAAGGACGTCGAACGCCTGGCATGGTCCCTCCTTGCTCAGCGGGTGTCAAACCCATTGTCCAGGTGGGCGCACCGCTGCGGTAGAAAATAAGCTTGTGTGGCAGGCAGCTGAGCACGACGATTGTTCTTGACCCAGGCTTGCGGCAGGTGGCAGGGCGGCTAACGGTGCTTGGGCTAGCTCTTCTAATATTGGCAGATATCCAAGACGTGCGCAGGCCATCCCGGACACAACCTGCAGCTCGCAGATGCGATCATGCAACGTGGGGGCGGCGATGCACGATGCACTTCTGCCGGAGATCCGCACTCCTGAAAACTGGGTGCAAGCGAGAGCCTGGCATGGCCGAGAGCGAGGCTGAGGCGGACAAGTCAAGATTCTTCTGCGTCTATTCGAAGCAACCTTCGCCGCCACGCCCGTCTTAGCCCCCTCTCTGCCTTGGCCATCGCGAGAGGCGTCGATGCTATAAGATCTACACGTCGCACCCACCCAGGACCCGGTTTTGGTTCCACATCAACCAAAGCATTTTAAAAGCCAGCAAGAGCATTCATTTCGCGCGAACACCTTCGTTCTACATTCGCTCGCTCTCACATCCGCACCCGCACATCATCCTCAGCCGCATTACGCAACCCATATTCTTCGATAATCCAGGAACACCAGCAAGATGGTTGCCTTCGTCAGCGCGGCGCTGCTCTCCCTCGCAGCCGTCGGCACCCTCGCCGCCCCAACCGTCGAGAAGCGCACCGGCCTGTGGCACCACAAGTCGGACTGCATGTCCAGGAGAGAGGCTCAGGTCGTCGCCGACAACTACGCCGAGCTGATCCGCAACTACACCGATGAGCTCGCCCTGGCAACTCTCGACCCAGGCTTCACGGACTATAGCGAGTCTGTCAACACCCTCATCAACACCTGCCCCCAGGGTGATGCCGCGCAGACCCTCCCGCTCCTGGCCCCAACCTTCTCCAACCGAACCCAGTTCATGATCGGCCAAGGCCAGCAGCCTTTGATCAACTTCGAGCAGCTCAACATCCACCACGACTGCAAATCTGTCACCATCCGATGGCTGACCAACAACACCGCTCCCATCCCAAACCCGCGGCCAGTCGTCGGCATAATCCTCCTCGAAGTTGTCAAGGCACCCAAGCGCAACCAGTACCCGTGGGTTGCGAAGACTGTCTATTCCGAATTTGACTCGGGCGCGTGGCTCCAGAATCTCGAGCAGGCCGGCATCTGCGTGGGTGCCGACGCCAGTGGCAGCTCGCCACCGATCATCCTCCCAAGCGGTACCATCCCGGCTAGCCCAATCGTGCCATCCGGGTCTGCCGCGCCCGTGGCTGGCTCCGTCGTCGCGCCTTCGGTCACCGCCGCACCATCCGGCTACACCGCTGCTCCTGCCTCTGCTGCCGACACCTGCACTACGCCTAGCTCTGCTACCCCCGCGCCGACTGCTACCTACGCTGCATAGATGATGATCACGGTCTGGGGATAGGTGGAGTTTTGATGGGCTTTATTTATACCACTCGGTATGGGACTCGGTGATGTGCAACGGCTATGAACGGAAAATGTACAGTTTCATGTAATTAATTATCTATCTATCTCACGATATGTATGCGTCCAGAACGCACCACTTTAATTCTACACCTCCATAAGCTCGCTCGAGCCGCCTCAAAAAGTCGTTGTCCATCGCAGCAAGTTGATCCATCCAGCAGTCTCCCAGCAGGTAAGTTTTGCATGGGAGGTACATCCGTACATCCCGCGCAAAACATGGCAGGCCTGTCAGATCCACCTCCAAGCATATGCAGCAAGGAAGCCTTGCATGCATCCCAGTCGATGCACAGAAGCAAGGTCCTGCCACCACAAATTTTGTTTGAACCTCAGTTGAACGTCACGATGAATGTCTTCGATGCATCTGCCGTCTGTGTGGATAAAGTGCTGTCTTGCATGATAGATGTTAAAGGACGGCATGAACATCTCTGGTCTTGGAAGTGTCGTTTGATCTGATGAATGCTGTTCCCTGAACAGGGCGGGACATGGATCGAAGGTAGCAGGAAAAACGAGAGGTTGGGCCGGTAGAAATACAGGGGAGATGAGGGGTGGGTTTGCATGGAATACCCTGCCCTCGTTTTCTCAGGTTATATCGATGGATAAAGTCACAGCCCGTTCCCCTCTCGCTCTCGGGACGTGGTATAGAGTTCCCACATCCCTGCCACCGATTAGATCGAGCAGAATGGCAGAAAGATGAGTTTCGCAGATGTTCAACGTTCTTGAAAACTGCTTCAAATCGATCTGGCAGCAGTTCCTGGATCCAGGAGTTGTCTGTAAGGCTACCCTGCAGTTCGACACAAACTACCTGCTCTTGTTAGATAGACGAGCCAACTGTGAGAAGATCTAGTCTCCCCAGCTGAAAGGTGTTTCGTAGATCAATAGTAGTCTGGACGGTAGACCGGTTCGCCGCAGTTTACTATACATGCTGCAAGCGCCTTTCGCGGGTGTGGGTGAAGTAAAGCAAGAGTGCTGATGTTGTCGGCCGAAAATGCCAAGGTTAGATATAGAGGCCCGAGCGTCTTGAGATTGGGGAGGAGCTTCACCTTCAACATCACCTCCACTCCTACGGGCAGCAGCACTTCGATCAACCTGCCACTTCCCTCGGCGCACTGCGCAATATCCAGACTCATACAACGCGACAATGGGTGTCCCCTTCGAAGCTCTGTAAGCCTACTCCCGCGCCGTCGCCGCGCCATGAGCTAACCGCATTACAGGATCCCCTATGGGATTATGCTGGCTGTACGCGCGATACCTCCAAAGCCTTCGCACCAGCACCACTGACACTTCTCCCCACCAGATGTTCGGCGTATCCGGCGCAGCGCTTTCAAAAATCAGACACATGCAGAACGGAGACAAGAGGCCGCGACATTCGCTGGATGCGTGGGATAAGCAGAGTATGTCTGAAGAGCTGCTAGCAGCCTACACAGCGAGGGCGCTACATTACAGTACATCGTGAAGGGCATTAGTGGCTGACATGATCCGTGTAGTGATGGACCGAGACAGGCGACTCACCGGCTTCTTGCGAGGACAATCAGACACAGTGCGGGCGCCGGCAGGCTTCGAGCTCAGCAATCCTTGGAGGGTGAGTCTACGCTTCCATGCGATTCCGAGAGATGCCGTCGTGCTGACCAGACTTGCAGATGGAGCCTACAATGACATAGAAGAAGAGCGGAAGCAGAGGAGATGAAGTATGTAAAACATATCAAGCAACGTTCAAACCACCCAATGCTCCCTCGTACGGACCGTGTTCACTTTGTTCCTTCCGCAGAAGATGTACTGTGCGCACTCTCATAGATGCATCCCGTCGCGAGAGCGGTCCTCAGGCGAGTGCTGTGCGACGAGCTTTAAGACGCCTTGAAATAGTATCAGCGGAGGCCACTACTGACATCGAACTGCCATCACTGACAGCAATGGAATGGAGTGCAAGATGAGCTTCATCAGTGCCGTATGCAATTTTTATTCTAGATCCCGTATATACATGCATCTCAACGTCGTGTTCATAGATGAATCTTCCATGCCCCGCCGTATGATCAACAAGCGCCAACAAAAGACGTCCGATGCCCCAAACGTTCAACTCTACAGCCGTACATATACCCTCGCTCATGCAACAGAGGAAACTAGAATGATCAAACCGGCGGAGCGCTGCCACTCGCACTCACGCTCTCCGACCGCTTGCTCAGCGGACCACTGCCTTGCCGAAACTTCCTCAGCTCACTTTCGAGCCGGCGGCGCTCCTCCTGCTCGGCCTGCAAGAATGAAATCAGCCACGGTATCAATGTAGAAATACTTGGAGCACACATACCTTCAAAGCCCTCATGCCCTCCGCGCGCTGGTCTCGCATCATCTTCTTGAACTCCTGCCGCAACACCATCATACTCGTGCCCTCTCTCATCTGCGGCTGCCCGTCCGCCCCAGGTCCGTTCGTCGGAGACTTAACTCCCACCCATCGGAGTTTCTCATCGCTGAGCTGCGACTCCAATGAATCACACCGCTCTCTCAACCCATCGATCAACTGGTCCAGCTGCTCCCGCTCTTTTTCAAGCTCAATGCTCTCCTTGGTCAACTCCTGGAATTCACCCGTCATCTCACCGAGCTCGCGCTCAAGCTGCGCCACTTGGTCGGCCATCGCGCGGTTCCTAACCACGAGCTGCTCGACCTCGGCGGCTTGTGCGCCTTTGCGTTCTTGACGGGATCCATACGCGCCATCAAGCTCCGCCTTCGCCATGGTGAGTTCGGTCGTCAAGCGTACGACCTCTGACTCCAAGCCTTCCATTTCCTGCTGCGCATCAGCCTGCTCCTGCAAGCGCGCCTCCATCTGCTCCATTTGCTCCCGCATCTTAGCACTGACTTCATCTCGCTCGGCCTGCTTCAGGTCCAACGTTTTCCGCATTTCCTCCAACTCCTCCATGACCTTGCCCAACTCTCCCCTGGCGTGTCCGGCCTCGCCCTCACTCTGCTCATGCCGCACCATCCAGTTCGCCAGCTCCTGTTGCATCGCATCTAACTCCTGCTGCAGAGATGCATGCTCTCGCACCACGCCCTCGTGCTTGACCTGCAATTCCGCTATTTCCCGGTCTTTCTCAGCATCGGACTTTCCGTTGAGGTCGCGCTGCTGCTGGATCTGGCGGCGTAGGATGTCCTGTTGTTCTTTCGCAGACTCAGAACGGTCGAAGATATTCTGCACGAGGGCGTTGAAGGCCGGCAGGGAGAAGGATTCCGCCAATGGCGAGGGTGGCGGGCCGTCATCGGGTCCGTCGTATGCGCTGGGACGACGAGAGGTGCTGCTGGGCTGGAGGATGTCCCAGAGGCCGGAGATGGTGGTCTCGTATTCGGACAGTTTCTGTATTGCACCTGATTGCGCCTGCTGCTGGAGCAGCTGTTCCATGGTCATCAGGTTCTCTTCCAGATACTGCATCTGGCTCTCGTAGCTCTGCCCGGACTGCGGAGGCTGCAAACCTGGCACAGCCTGCGATTCAGAAGCGATGAGTAAGGTGTTGTACATCTGGCGGTTGAGATCTTGCAGTTGCTCCTCGACAGCCTGCTTTGTTGTGGACTGCCCTTGTTGCGTCAGAGAGTGCTCTTCTTGAAGCTTCGAGTGAGCGTTCTGCAAGCTCAGGTGGTCCTCTTGTACTTTGGAATGATCTTCTTTCAGGCGCGAGTGGTCATCTTGTAAGCTCAGGTGATCCCCCTGCGCCCTTGAATGCTCTTCTCTCAAGCGCGAGTGGTCGTCCTGCAATCGCACGTGATCTTCTTGTATGCGTGAGTATTCATTCTCGATGGCCAAATGGTCCTCCTGCATGCTCGCATGATCCTCTTGTACTCTGGCATTGACCTCCTGTAAACGTGCGTAGTCCTCCTGCGCCTTCGAAAAGCGCGACATGATTTGCTGCTGCTGCTGTTGAAGAACGCTCAAATTACGCTCGACCCGCGCAAAGTGGCTCTCAACACGCGACGAAGAGTGCTCGCCGTCATCGAGAGCCTTCTCGACAGCCGGTGCCGCACCAAGCGTTTGACTGGCCTCGCTGATGACAGACTGAAGCTGGTGGTTCAGTTGCTCCAGCCTTGCCTGCACACCTTCAAGCTGCTCCTCGTGCTGCTTCACGTTCCTGCTTGCTCCCACCGGCATGCCGTGTAGAATGTCGCGAATCCCATCGAACTCGTTCGGCGTGTACACGCTATCCTCATCAATGTCGGTCGTCCCATGCGTGCCATTTGAGAGCCCCGGCACTGCCGATTCCACCGTCCTGTTCGCCTCCTCCGCCAGCACTGCCGCAGTATGCCTCAGCAGCTTTCGCTCCACGTATTGGCGGCGATCCAGCAACTCCTTCATCGTTTCGTGCAGCTGGTCCACCTTCTTCACGCTAAGCACGACCTCGTTGTCTGTTTGCTGCAAGTGCTCTATGCTCCCAGAGCTTGCCCGGCTATCGCTCCTCTGTCTGCCGCCCAGTAGACTACTCCTGCTCTTCTTCGGGCTGTCGGGATCCTGAGGCGTGTCTGGCCGGTTCTTGGTAGAGTACAATCGCTGTAGATTCTGCGCCGCATCCCTGACCTTGCTCTCGAGCGCCAGCTTTCGCTGGGTTGCGTCAATTTTCTGGTCGAGGCGCACATGCTCTTTCTTCAGCGTGTCTACTTCGGCAATCTCGAGGATCTCAAAGGTCTGTGAGTCCATGAGCGCGGTCTCATACAGGAGATGCTGCGACACCGAGTCTTGACCGCCATTGCGCGAGACGCTGCGGAGGCCGGTATTGACACTGATGTTGTGGCTGGCGCGGTCGCCGACAGAGCGGGCGGTCGTGTCGAAGTTGAAAGCGTCGAAGCCGTCGTAGTTGTCGCCGTAGTTGCTGACATTCCTGCTTTCATTGCTCGAAGGCGGCGGCTTCCAACGGGGCTGTGAGCTCATGTGCGCCGAAGGGGATTCGGAGTATTGGCTGCCATCGAAGCTGTACCGTGGAAGATCCTGTTCGTCGTGGAAGTACAGCCCGTTCGGCTGGGGGTGTTGCGGTGCCTGCATCCTGGCCAGCCCGCCCTTCTCCTGCAGCGCGTCAAGTAGAATGTCCGGAGGCAGCGTGGGCGAGTCCTTCACGCCGACATGGAAGGCTTTCAGTCGAGCGAGCAAGAGTCCAGCGGGTGCGGTCGGGGGCTTCGAGGACTCGCACTTGGGCACGCGGCATGCCTCAGAAGCCTCCTCGACTAAGAATAAAGTCTACTTCAGCCCTATTCGTACCTCCACGCGACTCCTGACTCGACAAGGGGATGAGGAATGCTGCTTTGGGTCAACGCTGGAGTTGGGTGCTGTGGGTATGAACATGCTGTGCAGTGGAAGCTCTTACGTCCACGGAGTATGATATTCGGTTTCCATGTCATCAACCAGCCATATTCTCTGCTCGTCGCAATACATTCGAGACCATTCATAGCCCGGATCTGTCTTTCGAGAAATAGCCTTTTCCCGCGACTCCGGCCATTGGCTGCCACCGAACCCTCCCCTGTCACATGCATGAATACAAGCGAAATGTATTGAAGTTTAAGATGACACAGCCTGGCGGAGTCGATGGAAAAGGCAACGGTGCGTGGAATATGTTGGAAGCAAGATTCGAAAGAACAATCATAGACAGCTTCTTGGTGTCGTCGTTCAAGTTGACCTGCCGCTATCGAAACACTGTAGCACAAGTCTGCCTTTGCTTGCATCTGTAGCAATCCCATCCCGTCCGCATGTCGCAAGACACGATCTCATCAACGCACTCAGCCAACAACCCCCATCGTTCTCGAATACCTCTCCCACATCCCCGCTGCCTTCCCACCCATCTCCGCCCGCCGGTGACCTTCGCCCTCCATGCCTTCCTCTCTCACTGCCTCCTCGACCACTTTCCCCATCTCCACCACAGCCACTCTCTCCTCGAGACCTGCCCCGCCGCCCTTCAAGTTCTCGTGCAGCATGCCCAAGCCCTTTCTCAACCGGGCGACATTCACACCCGCCTCTTCCAGGCCCTTCCTTGCCTCTCTCGCGCGCACCAGCTTTACGAACTCGGTGTACACCGCACCACCACTGCGCCAGCCTTCTACCTCGCGCGTTGGAAAGGCGGCAAGCACGCGGGACAAAGGAGTGTAGTCTTGCTCAATCACAGCCTTCGGGCCGAGTGTTGTGCACAGAACATCGTGCGCCTCCTCGGACAGACCAGCCTTGATGAGCCAGAACGTCTGGAGCGCCGGGTCACAGAGGACTGATTGTGCATACAGCGCCTTCGCCTTCCAGAGCATCGAGCTGGGGATATAGCAGTGCTCGCGTAGGTCGTCGAAACTACCCGTGTTCTCGTCCTGTGGGTGGACCGGCTCGGAGATGCGGCCAGCATTGCGCTGCAGCATGCCAGCAACCGCGGAGACTCGAGCGTTGGTGTCGCGGATGTGGAGCAAGATCCAGACACTGCTAGTCAGATGGCCAGCCGCTTCGAGCTCGGTGGCAAAGTCCAGCGTAAGCGTGTCCATACGGTCGTCCGGAATGGAGATGATGCCCTTCACATGCAGCAGACAAGCCATCTGCCATGCCAGACGTGAGTCGAAGTGAGCGCCAGAAACAGCTTTGGCGTTGAATATGCCCGCGGCGTCATGGCCTCCAGCGGCGACACGCAGCAACTCCAGCAGCGTATCAGTAGTCTCCTTGAGGTCCGCCCAAGTCTGCGTTGGCTGCAAAACCTCCCTGCCAGCGTTCAGATCCTGCATATACGCCTTGACGACATATCCGATGCTCTCGCGACCTCCATAGAGCAGGCGAAGGGCAAAGCTCTGCCGCCAGCTGAGTCCGAACCTCTCCGCCATATGAAATTCTCCCGCGCGATCCTCGCTCGGCCCCTTCTGCCCTTCCACCACGCAGCACTCTCCAGCGAGTACAGAATACAATGCCCTCACAGCATCCCCAAACTCACTCCATTCCTTCCGCTCCCTCCAAACCCCTATCTGTTGCTTGGTCATCGCTCGACCTTGGTCACTTCCTGGCAACTGTGCAACTAGGGCTGCGAGCTTGAAGCATCTCCCTTGCACAAGTATCTCACAGGCCGTGACAACATCGCCCCTCGTCAAGTACAGCAGGGCCTTCTCCTCTGCGGTCTTAGAACTCTTCAAGCCCTTCTCGACGTCCGACTCTACAAACTGAGTCCAGAAGGCAGCAAGCGCATCCATTCGCATCCTTGGCTCGAGCTCATCGATCCGGTCTTCTGGAACACCGCGGATGAAGGCGGCACAGGCAATCTCGACGGAGTCGAACAGAATGCTGCACACTTTCCAGATCGAAGTCTCACGATCAGAGATGGCAAGGCCGGGTTGTACGGATTCGGCGAGAGTGGCGAAGGAGTGCTTATCGCTTGTGATGGTAACGGCAAACTCGTGCTCGGTATCGATGACGGTACTATCCTGTTGCAAGCCGAGGGTGTCAGGCTGGAGGTCCTCGGGCGTGACGAGCCCGGCGAAGCGGACCTGTTTGCGATGGTCGACAAGAGCTTGTAGTCTGGATGGCGCCAACTCGCCAGAAACAGGGGCAGAGCTGGGTGTGGCCGCGAACATGAAAGTATTGTCATTGTTGATAGAAGGGCGAAGGCAGCTGAGCCATTCATCATCTTGAGGTCGCAAGGAAAGGCGCCGGCGCTTCGGATATGGGTTCTGTTATCATACTCAGCTATGTACTTTACAACAAGTGCCATGTGATGGGGTAGGTGCAGCGGGGGAAGGAGGATGTGACGATGGTGCGGAACGCTCAAAATCCTATGATGCAGGTTCCTCCGACACAGCCGTGCGCTGTACAACATACGCCTTCTCGCTCCGTGTGCTCTACATAAGTCAGGTGGATGCGCACGGGGATGATCATACCTCGAAGCCTTTGGCCGCGGCCGGGACCTTCTTTCCCGCTGCCTCATCTTGACCCCACAACGACTTCATCAGATCCATCGAGCCGCGGAATGCCGCACTCTCTTGCTTGCTGGCGCCCTTGCCGTCAATCTTTGCCTGCTTCGCGCTGCGCTGAGCCAGATAACTCTGGTCGAGAGCGCTGCGGCCTAGCATGCTCTGCCTTAGCAACGGACTGTCGTTCCCATCCTCGTCGATAGCCTTGAACAATCCCTGCTGCATCTCCTTGAGCGCTTGACGGTCACGCTTCCTCGGGCTCATGGTCCGCTGGAGCTGCTCCTCCCAGGTTTCGGTCGCAAGCTTCTCTGGTGACATGAGCGCACCAAGACCGGTGATCGGCTTCAGAATCGATCGAGGCATCTTCGGCTCCGGAGCGAACGAGCCTGGAACGGCCTTCTCAACTCCCTCAACATCTTCTTCCTCAACTGCTTCTTCCCCATCATCATCTACCATGCTTGAGTGATAGCGCTCGACTGCGCCAGGAGAGGGAGCTTGCACAGCGCCACCCGAGGACATGAAAGAATCCTCTTCCATCTCGCCGAGCCCGCCGGACATCATGTGCTCGTCTTCTCCGTCAGTGTGTTGCCCATGGCGGATGAACGTATCCTCGCCATCGCCATCGCCGAAGCCGCCCGGCACATTAAGCTGGGAGCGCCTGTCGAGTTGGAATTGGAACGTGTCATCCATCTCGCCACTCCCGGTGTCAACGCTGTCCATGGTCATGTCTTGCTGATCAGTAGGCGTTGCAAGCGCATCGCTTAGTCCACTTGAGTCGCCCTGCATCTGCGTGTCATCGTCGAACTCAGACTCGTCGTCGTCATCGAGGCCGTAGGTCGTAAAGTGGTCGACGGTGAAGGTCCAGATACCAGTATCGGGATTATAATTGACGAAGTGGGTGCCATTGACACGCTTCAGGCGAGCAATGTGCTTGTCGTACGCCCTGCCGCTCTTCGCGTTGAGCGCTTTCTGCCCACCATTGGACCTTGGCCACGACTGCTCGAGATGTATAGTTGATGGCACATTGAGCGCCTTGCCCATGCTCGGCTTGTTGGCGTCATCCTCATAGACGGTTGCAGAACGCGGCGTCAACTTGACAATGTCGCCGCAGATGGTATCCAGCTGAGTATTTGTCAGATCGACGGCACCAAATTCAATGCGACCAATGCCATCACGGCCAACAACGAAGTTGCCAATGTTCTCGAGCTGCTGGCGCGACATGTTCTTGAGATCCTTCATCGCCGGCTTCGTCCAGTATTCGCCGGCTTCGTTGCGCGTGAGCGACTTCTCGGCCGGGGCTGGAGCTTTGGTACTGGGCGCGGAGGTCGGACGAGGTGCTTCGCCATGCTCGGGGACAGTCGTGAGGGTGTTGCCATTGGCCTGCTCCATCTCAGGCTGCTGGGACCTACCTGGTGCGGCGCGCATGAGTGCTGGCGGTGTGCTCTGCTCCGGCTCTTCTTCCTCTTCAGTGCGCACGAGCGCGTTCGAGTTGGAAGGCGCGGCCGTGCTCTGTTGGGCCGATGGCTGCTGGAAGCTGGCTTGACTTGCAGAGCTCCGCGACTGTCTGGGGGTCTCGACAGTGCTCGGCGGTTCCGCAGGTCCGAACAAATCCGTTCGCAGGCTTCGGTCGATCTTCAGCCTACGCATGCTGCCACTCTGAAAGCTGCCTGGAGTGCCGTTAGGAGAGAAGGTACTCGGTCGCAGCAGGCTTCCACGTAGTCCGGGTGTTGCATCGCCGCGCAGGTTGCTCGTGCTGAAGCTCTTGTTAAGACGGCCAGTAAGAGCGCTGCTTAGGCTACCAGTAGGTCTCAACAAACTGCTTGCTATAGGCGTTAGGCTTCCCGAAGTGAACGCCGAACCAGGTGTGCCGTAGGTGGAGTAGCTGAAGCCATACCCTCCACCGCCGGTGGTGCTACCTCTTGGGCTGTAGACTGGGGTGTTCGCCCTCGCGCTTGTTAGCAAGCTGGGAGTCTTCCGAGGTGCAGGCCGCGCGCCTGTCAGTGGTGTCGCAAGTGGGCCAACGGGCGGAGATGGCGCTGCGAGCGATGAGAAGAGTTGCTCGTTGCCGTAGGGTGCGTTGGTGAGTGATGCATGTAGCTGGTTTTGCGGCGTCGCCTGTTGGCTCTGTCCCAGACTGCCTCCAAACAGAGAGTTGGTAGTCGTGCTGTTCTGGTTCTGATTCTGGCCAAGACTTCCACCGAACAGACCTCCACCATTGTTCTGTTGATTCTGCTGGTTGTTGCCACCAAACAGAGACAGGCCTGAGCCCGTGTTGCCTTGATTTGAGGTGCTGCCGCCGAAGAGACCACCCGCAGGCTTGTTCTGGCTTCCGAACAGACCTCCGCCGGTGTTGTTGTTGTTGCCACCACCGAACAGACCGCCACTGCCTTGCTGATTGTTGTTCTGGCCGCCGAAGAGACCGCCGCCTGTGTTTGTATTGGTGGTGCTGCTACCGAAGAGACCAGTACCCTGAGGCTTGTTTTGATTCTGGTTGCCGAAAAGACCGCCACCAGTGTTCTGAGAGGCGCCGAATGGGTTGCTCTGCTGCTGCTGGTTGTTGTTGTTGTTGTTCTGGCCTCCGAAGAGGCCACCGCCAGTATTCGTGCTCGGGTTGTTGCCAAACAGACCGCCGGATGCAGGTTTGTTCTGGTTGTTGCCGAAGAGCCCGCCTCCGGTATTCGTGTTGGACGCGCCGAACGGGTTGCTCTGCTGGTTCTGCTGCTGGTTCTGCTGTCCGCCAAAGAGACCGCCGCCCGTATTCTGCTGAGAACCGCCGAACAACCCACCACCTGTGTTCGTGCTGCCGTAACCACCGCCGGTGTTCGTGTTGGTCGTGGATGCGCCAAAGCCGCCGAAAGCAGGCTTATTCTGCTGCTGCTGCTGGTTGTTGTTATTTCCAAACAGCCCTCCGCCGGTGTTGTTGTTCTGAGTGGTGCTGGCTCCGAATCCTCCGCCGCCGCCACCTCCGAAAAGGCCACCGCCGGTGTTGTTCGCAGTACTGCCGAAGCCTCCGGTTGTTGTGCCAGATGTGTTCGATGCGCCGAACAATCCACCCGTTGCAGGCTTGTTCTGAGTACTGCCGAATAGACCTCCACCTGTGTTGTTGGTACTTCCGAACCCGCCGCCGGTGTTTGTGCTGCCAAACCCTCCAGTGTTCGAGCCGAAGCCACCACCACCGGCCGTGGCAGTGTTGTTTCCCCCAAACAGACCGCCACCTGCTGTGCTCGTGTTGTTGTTGTTCGCCCCGAAGCCGCCGAAGCCTGTGCTTTGACCGAAGCTGCCTGCTTGGCCGTTGCTGTTACCAAACCTCCTCCCTTGGGCGTAGTCCTCCACTCGCAGCTCCTCAAAGCTCTTGCCGTTGTATGGGGGTTGCATGGTTATGGATTGGTAGGCCGAGGAAGTACTGGCGCCAGGATCTTTCTCCGTGACAGGCTGGAATGGAGTGTTGGCGGTGCCATTGTTGTTGTTGTTGTTATTGTTGTTGGCTTGCGTGTTCGAGGCTGCACCGCCGAATGTGAAGCCGCTGCCGCCTGCGTTAGATGCGCCGAAGCCGGTGTTGGTGTTGGAGGCTGGGTTCGTGCTGAAAGGATTGTTGTTGTTCTGCGGTTGGGTCGAGCCGAAGCCACCGCCGGTGTTGCCGCCTCCGAAGAGAGAGCCGCCAGTGTTGCTGGAGCCGAAGCCACCTGTCGCAGGCTTATTCTGACCGAAGAGACCTTTGTAAATGTTAGTGTTGTGCCGGATGAACTGGCTGATCTCGAGCTCGTGGTGCTCCTTACCTCCACCAGTGGTGCCTCCAAACCCACCAGTATTCGTTGATGCCCCGAAACCACCACCGCTTCCAAAACCTCCACTCGTTGTAGTGTTGGCATTGTTGCCGAACATCCCACCTCCGCTCGAGGTCGTGGCAGGCGCGCCAAAAGCAGGCTTGCTTCCGCCGCCGAAGGGTGAAGAAGTGTTTGCGGTAGAGCCAAAGCCACCGAAGCCGCCCGAGGTAGCTGTGTTTCCGCCGAACAGCGAGCCTCCGGTTGACGCGTTGTTGGTTGCGCCGAAGCCGCCGCCCGTGTTTGAGCTACCGAAGCCACCAAATGTGCTGCCTGTGTTGGCGTTGTTATTGTTGCTGCCGAAGCCGAAAGACATGGTTGCGGGTGTCAGAAGGGTGGGAAGGGGAATGCGCGCGCAAAAGGTGCGCTCTTGCACTTGGAGCTGAGCTGGCCGCGCTGGCCGCAGATAACACTGGGTTGGGTGACCGCTGAGCTTCAAGGTGGTTAGCAGGGTTGGGCGACGTCAATGTTTTGTGCGACTGAAGAGCGCGGGCAGGAGAATTGGAGCAGGCTCGATCATCGCCTGCAGAAGTTTCCTCACGACTTCCAGCAGGCTTCACGGTTTGTAGCCTGCCTGCTTTGCTTTGCTGCCGCCTCGCTCGGGGAAGAAACGTACCTATCTGGTAGCTCGCTGCTTTGGTGTGAAGTCCAGGAGGTGCAGCACCGCGCGCCGCTGTTCCGTAGGTTCGCAGCAGAAGTCGTCGGTGGTGAAATGAGCTTGGCACACAGTCGATGGGTGTGCGCTATGCAAGAGGCCGTAGACAAGACATGAATGGAAGAAGGGGACGGTGAGGAAACAAAGCTGTGTGCTGTGGTAGACCTTCTTCACGCGTTTCTGAGAGGCGTCGGACTGAGGTCGAGGTTGCCAAGCCCGCTAGCCCCAATCAGGCGGCCATCAGCCGGCGACCTCTAACACATGTCTCTGTCGCCTGAGGTGAAGAGCGCCTGGTGAAGGAGACAGAGACACGAGTGGTCTTCTTGGAAGTTCAATGCGAGAGACGTGCAGGTGCGTGGTTGGAACATAGATTCATGACCTCTCCAAGCAGGGCTACGAAACAAGCTACGACAAGATACCACAGGACTACAATGGCATCATCTGCCACTCTACATGTACGCTCCATTCCCACACGAGCAACGCCCGCCAGCGCGACAAAATCCGGCATACCACCATGAACGGCGTGGAGGTCCAAGTCTCCTGCAAGACTCCGCCTGCACGGAAAGCATAACAGCTGACGTACGGCGTTGAGCTTCGTGGTTCGCACCAGTTTTGGGATGAGGCGGCGGACTTGACGGTTTCGAACACAAAGCGATGCTGTGAGAGTTTGGCTTCTGGATGCGTGGCGGACATGTGATCCCAAATGCAGTTGGCATAAGTGGCATGTCTTGTTGGTTCATCTCGCCGTCGGTGTAACCGTGTGACACTACCCAAGCCGCGTGTCGGCTTCCGTGCATCCCGTCTGAGAGTACAACTCCATCGAAGGGCGAGAGACAGTAGTGACTGCTACCGGAAGCCTTTCACAAGTACCACCGCAAGCCCCCAATGCCGATTTTCGCGCATCTGCTGAGAAGGAGAAGCGGACGAGGCGCAAACGAGCGCGCACTGATGCCCGTACGCTTGGGCAGTCAGTGTACCGTGCAAAATTAGGTCCGATTCCTTGAAATTGCACCGGCGATATCTATATCATGCAGAGTTCGCCTCAGTCATACGGAAAGTCCTTGAGTAGGTAGGTCCGCGGCCAGAACCCCACGGCTTCAGACGACGGCTTCTGCAAATGGGTGCTTTACAGTCCAAACCGGCACCGACTGCTGCAGGTGGGAGTCCCAGCACACCTACATCGGATACCATCATTCCCTTTCGCTACCTCGATAACCAGAGCTTCCTCAAACAGTTCGTTCTTGTCTTTACGTACCGTTTCGATGCAGTTCTCGACCCCGAAAAGCTGCGCCATGCGCTTCAACGCCTCTTGGAAAGCGGCGACTGGAAACAATTAGGTGCCAGGGTGAGGAAGAATGTGAGTTTGTAGCACGTTTGACCCGCTTTGTGCAGAGCATAGACTGATGGAAGCGGCAGGCAAGCGGTGATCTCGAGTACCACCTGTCCCAATCGTTCGACGACCAGCGACCGGCACTATCATGGTCGGACATCAAGCTTGAGCAGAACCTTGCCGACCACCCACTCGCCTGCCGATTACCCCGTGCGGCTCCAGACCAACACCGTCCGCAATTCTTCGAAGATGCCGCTGCTTTTGTTCCACTGATTGAGGCCGCGGAGACTCCTCGCAAGATCGAAGACTGGACGTCAACTGATGCACCCTTGTTGTCTTTCCACGTTGTGAAGTTCAATGATGCTACTCTTGTCACTGTGAGCTGGTGTCATGCTTTCATGGACGGTGTTGGAATTGCTTCACTCATGAGGGCATGGACGGCGATGCTTGCAGGCCAGGACGACACAGTAGCGCCAGTTCTAAGCTTTGACAAAGATCCAGTTGAGCTGCTCGGTTGCAAGCGGGAGACCGCGCCGGAGGACTACCTTAACCATGGACGAAGCCTCAGTGGCAGCTCTCTCTTCAGATTCGTGGTCAACCAGCTGTGGGAAGTGATGTGGTATGCCAAGCCCGAAACCCGCATGATTTGCCTTCCTGGGTCGTTCATTGCCAAATTGAAAGAGCAAGCGGCCCGGGATGAGACAGAGTTCGTGAGCGAGGGCGATGTCGTCTCGGCCTGGATCACCCGTACTACAGCGCGTGCCTTGTCGATTCCTCACTCGATGCCGGTCGCAATGGCGAATGTGCTCGATACACGAGACCTGATCGGCGAAGACATCCTCCCTTCGAACTCAGCATACATCGGCAATATGTGCATCCAGTTCTTCACATATGTGAGCGCCGGTGAGCTGGCGAGTGAAAGTCTTGGGACCACGGCGCTCCGAATCCGCAAAGCACTGCAGGAGCAACGGACCGGCGACCAGTTCGAAGCATACTTGTCAGCGCACAAGCAGGCCACAGCGGCTGGGCGTCCCCCACTGTTCGGGCCCTGGAATATGGAGATGGTGAACATTTCAAGCTGGCTCAAAGCACGGTTCTTTGAGTACGATTTCTCGCCGGCGGTGGTGCGGTCGGCTGCGGATGGAGACAGAGAGCAGGCGTCGCTCGGAGGTAGACCGTCCTACATCAGTGCCACTGGGCATGAGAATGTGCCGATACCGTCGCGAAATGTGGGATGCTTGGTGGGAAAGGACGTGGATGGTAATCTGTGGATGAATTGGACCATCAGGAAGTCTGCCTGGCCGGCGTTTGTTGGCATTGCGACGGGAAACTTGGAGTAGACAGAGTGTCGTGCGCTTGACAGAGAGTCCGGTGCTAGACACAACATGCTTTCAATCGAGCGAATGGAAGAAGGTACGCCAGAAGCAGGCATCTGACAGTCCCAAGCTCGGGAGATTTGACCACCATGCTGTTGCAACTGCGGGCCACGGAAGCAGCGGCAATGCAGACATCGCGCTTAGAAGTCAACACCATCAAAATATCTAGCTCCATACACGGTAACCCTCCCAGACCGATAGCGGTGGCTCTTCCCACAATTTCTACCCTACGTTTCGCTGCGACGGCGGATCCGTACCCCACTATGACCAGTGCGGAGGCAAGGCTGGCCTGGAGAAACTACATGTACGTGCGCGCTGCCCCCGTATCTGCCAACCACGGTACCTACCAGAGCCTTCCCACGCCTCGGACGTCCCAGCTGAGGGCAGAGGAAGTATCGGTGACATACAGTCATCCAGTGGGTTGTGTGAGAGCTTTCTGATTCCGTTGCTTTTCCCACCAAGGCCTTAGGAAGGTTGCTTCATCATACAGGATTCTCTAGAAGATCTGACTCGTCTACCATAGGACCTGATTCATGAGACCCTCTATGGGTAAGTGTTCATCCCTAACTCCTTCTGGCCCACTTTGTGCCGCTGTGTGGAAGAATCTTCTGTACATCATGTCTCGTCAAGTACGGGAGTCGGCTTGCATCTTTTAGCAATACGTAGGTAGCTGAGAGGTAGGTATATATTCAAGGTAGGTATATATTCAAGGTACGTATCTAGGTTTCACGCCATCGCCTGATCCAACAACTTACACCCAGGAGTTGACAGCAGATATGGGAGTTTTGCAGCTCTCAGGCGATCGCCTCAGTGCTTCGGTTACTGCGGCCTGTGGAACTGGCTTCCTTCTCTTCGGGTGAGATTGTATCAGTTAGGGTGTGTTGCAAGAATAGGTCTGACAGTCTCTCTACAGATACGATCAAGGAGTCTTCGGCGGATTGCTCACGAACCCTCTTTTCCAGTCGACCTTCGACAACCCCAACCCAACGATTCAGGGCCAGATTACTTCCACATACTACCTTGGCTGCGTCTTCGGGGCCGTCGTTTCTCGGTTCGTAGGAGATTTCCTTGGCCGGAGACAAGCTATCATGCTGGGCTGCACACTCTTGACCGTTGGAGGTGCCATCCAAGCGACTTCTTTTGGCCTGCCTCAACTCTTTGTTGGCCGAATTGTCGCAGGCCTCGGGACCGGACTGAACACCACCGCCATTCCAATGTGGCATGTCGAGTCGGCGAAAGGCTTACATCGGGGAAAGCTTGTGACTCTGGAGCTCGTCTTGAACATCTTTGGCATCGTCATCGCCCATTTTCTCAACTATGGTCTTTCGTTCGAAACTCAGAGCGCGGTCTCGTGGCGATTTCCCGTCGCATTCCAATGTTTCTTCGCAATCCTCACCTTCTCGCTTGTCCTCGTGCTGCCTGAGTCGCCACGCTGGTTGATACTTCGAGACCGACAAGAAGAAGCGGCCGCTGTTGTCGCTCGCTATCATACTCTCCCGGCATCAGATGTTCACGTCCGTGCCATCGTTGAGGGCATCGCGGAGAGCGTCGCTCAGGAAGTCGCGGACTCTAAAGGCTCCTCTTGGAAAGAGATGTTCCACAATGGGCGGCAACAGAACTTCCGACGCATCTGCTTGGGTGCTGGCACAGCGTTCATGCAGCAACTCGCCGGCTGCAATATCGTGGCCACTTACCTGCCTGTCGCACTTGAAAATTCCATCGGCCTGGGCCATCACCTTTCCTTGATTCTCGCCGGCTGCAACGAGATATCTCTCATGTTCTGGGGTGCCTTCTCGATCTTGCTCATCGATCGGTGGGGCCGGAAGCCGCTTCTCCTTACCAGCTCGCTTGGCATGGCCATCTCGCTCTTCCTCATCGCCATTGCGCTCTCGTACGGATTCGAGAACTCCGGCATCATGGCAACCGTGGCCATCTTCCTCTACAACGTGTTCTTCGGTCTTGGCTTGCTGGCCATCCCCTGGCTGTATCCGGCCGAGATCAACTCTCAGAGCATGCGGAACACCGGAGCATCGATATCGACGACTACCAACTGGCTCTTTGTGTACGTGGTCGTGCTTGTCACGCCTCTCGGGATCAGCAACCTCGGATACGGCTATTACCTCATGTTTGGCTTGTTCACGCTGACATTCCTGCCGTTTATCTGGTACTTTTACGTGGAAACAGCCGGTCTCACGCTGGAGCAAATCGACCAAGTCTTTGAGCTAAGGTATAATACGGAAAACGCCATCTCGTATAGTCAGGCAAGGCGCGAAGTAATAGCCTCGCCGTCATTAATGCCGCGTTCTAGCAAGAACGGGCTAGCCGCCGAGAAGGAGAATATTAAGCGCCGGGATTAGGTTAAGCGGTAGTAGTTTATATAGAATAGGATAGCGTATATATACTAGTAAAGCTTATATTGCCCTATCCTATTAATACTACTCGTCGGAAAAACTAACTTATACCGGTATATGTTTTATTCGCGGAATCGATAGAGAGGATAAAACTATCTACTTTTAATAAGAGAACCTACTCGATCCGGCTAAATATAAGCCTAGAATCTTTAAATTTCGGCCTTTTTAGTAGTTTTAAGGTTTTCCTTAGCGCTATAGAGTTTTCTAGATAGTAGGAATAGTTTTCTATAACTCTCGAAGGTAGTAAAAGTAAGAGAAAACTATCTAGAACTTCTAAAAAACTCTATAGCTCTTAAGAAAACCTCTAATAGTCTAAAAAGTAGCATTTTTAGAGGATTTAAGGGTTAGGGTTAGGGTTAGGGTTAGGGTTAGGG